ACGCTGGATGTTCCTCGCGTTCAACGGCTTCCTACTCGCCGCCGCCGTCGGCTTCTGCACCTTCTGGCCCTATGGTCGAATCGTGCTACTAGGGGCCTAGTATTGCTACCGCTCCGGAGATCCCATCAACCATCAGCCCGTCCCGCTTATTAGCGTCGCATGATGCCCACGCTGCTGCGGAGGGTCAGCTTCAAAGGAGACAATGCCACCGAGACCTTGTACGAACTCAGTCGCCGTGATGACTGAGATATTTGCGATTATTTTCGGGGTATCCCCTTGTATCGATACGGCCTAGACACGGACACTGCATACCTAACAACACTTAGTGTATATGTACTTCTTTTCTTTCCATGACCGCTATACGCGTAGTGTCTCAGTCCTGCGAGATCCGGGATTAGTTGCTTTCATCTGGAGCACTTTCGGGTCTTTTTTCTTCGTCTTCTGTCTCCACCTTCATCTACCCTATAAGGGGTGGTAGGATGCACTGCATACTAGTTAGGTTTCTTGTTTCACTGTAGCAGAAAATGGCGCTAGTGAGGGCGTATACTAGTTGGACTTCGCAACAGTATCCTATTCAAATTACTAAATTTATCAGTTAACGACTCTAAAAAAAAGCCTATTTCTGATTTAGCGACCATTTTATACCTTACCTTTATCTAGATTTGTTATGCTTATAATTTCTAAAGGAATCCAGCGAGTTGAATAAACTGATTCAAGACCGTCAAAATAGTTATATAGGAGAAAAGGGACTTATTTTTAGTTCATGGTGGGGGAGAAGAGGATCTGGTAAGGCTAGCCTTGTTCAAAGGTTAACCTGGGTGAAACAATATTAATCACTGATCAGCGCCCTGATCCACGTAACTCTCGGGACAGCCGGCATGTTTGCCGGAGTGCTGCAGTATGGTACTCTTCGAGAACTATCTATTATTACGGAGTATGTAGCAAAGTTCGGAGATGTTTCTGCTTTTCCCCCTCACGGACCCCTGCTGCATCCCCTCACGATAAATTGTGATCTGACTGATCTGTGGATCGCAAGAGGAGAAGATGGAGCTCTATCGTGGGATCGATTGGAGCACGAATAGGCCAAGCTTTAGGCCAAGCTTCGACGGCGCCGGCAGAGGTGGAGAGAGGTACAACCAAGCTTTCATTAGTCGATGCCCGGTATCGACGAAGCCGAAAACGGAGTATACTGCGGCACTGCCCGTCTTGTTCTTGTGCATAGTTACCCCCGAGTGAGTCACTGACTTGGGAGTTAGGACTATGGTACCTCCATGTCCTACGGTTGCGAGCGCTCCGGACCATAAACCACCATGACGGTGGTAAGTATATAAAGACCCAAGTTCGTCGGAGATCAAAGGAACACTTTCATTCAATCCAATGCCAGGGCACAACATCGAGAGTCCTTGTTTCTCATTATGCATTTCCAGCATCCTTCGTTCATCTCATACCTGAGAGCTGTCTCTCTGGTTGGTGTTCTCCATGCAGCCTACGCAGTGCCTGTATCTCAGAGCTCTTCTGCCGTGGGTGACTGGGCTGGAGCAGCTGGAGATGACGAGTCCAACGGTGGTGCGCCGCTTCGGGGCAGTAAGACCCTACTTGGCCAAATCGCCAACGAGGTCAATCGAGCAAGCAGTGGTGACGTTCCCAAGTCCTCATACCAGCTTGCGCCTGGCCAAGGTGCGGACGCAGAGATTGGCATTCCGTTCACGTTCAAAGACACATTGAACCCGCAGCCAATTCGAGGTGATCTGGGTGGTACCGATCCGGGACCACGTACATACGGATACGACCGTCTTAATCCCGACACACTGGCTCCCCCAGAATCGGACAGCGGCGAAGTACCCCAGGGCAAGTGGCCGATGGGGTTGTCGCATAATCGTATTCTGCCGGGCCGTGCTGGGTGGTCGCGACAGGAGAATACAGACGTACTGCCAGTTGCAACGGCTATGGCCGGAGTAGACATGAAGTTGTCACCCTGGGCGTATCGAGAGCTACATTGGCACAAGGTAACCGGTGAAAGAGAGTGTGCTCCTGGAAACTACAGCTAACCCTGCCACAGGCAAATGAATGGAGCTTGGTCATGAATGGCAGCGTCCGCGTACAGACCATGAACGAGGATGGCGAGACATTTGTTGACGATGTCACGGCTGGGGATGTGTGGTATTTCCCCGCCGGTGTCCCTCATTCTCTTCAGGCTCTGGATGAGGGTGCTGAATTTATGCTCGTGTTCGACGAAGGCGACTTTAATGATGGAGGCACCGGTCTCATATCAGAGATGTTCCTTCGCAATCCGAAGGAGGTATGGTCAAAGGACCTTAATGCACCGCTTTCAGCCTTCGATGAACTGCCCAAGGATCAGCTCTATATTTTCAACGGCTCTCCAGCCGGGCCCCTGAGCTCGCAGAATGTCACTGGGCCTGGTGGAGTAGCCTCGGGTTCTCAGAGCTACACATACCATTTCTCTAAGCAGGCACCATACGAGGTTCCTGGAGGAAGCATCAAGATTCTTGACCCGCAAACCTTTCCCATTGCCGAGATGTTCAGCGTAGCGTTGGTGACTATTCACCCAGGCGCCATGAGAGAAGTCCACTGGTAGGTAAACTCTCGACAGGAAAGGAACTATGATCGGCATGGCTAATGAAAACTCTCTCTCTATCTAGGCATGGTACCAGTGATGAATGGGGTTTCTTCCTTTCCGGGAGCGCCCGTGTCAGTGTATACGTCGCGCCCACTTCAGGTGCGACTTTTGATTTCTCTGCTGGCGATGTCAGTTATGTTCCTGCTACTGCGTCCCATTATATTGAAAACACGGGCGACGAGGATGTTGTCTTTCTGGAGGTCTTACAGGCACCTCGATTCACTGATATCTCAGTCGGCCAATGGCTGAAACTCACTCCGAGACAGATTGTCCAAGACCATTTGCATCTGCCGGATAGCGTACTTGACAATCTGTCTCCAAACAAGCAGTATATAGTGCAAGGGAACACAAACCTGACTGCTCTTGCTAGCGGAAATGGCACCGCATGAGAAAAACAGCCGACATAATGCTCTTGATGTACATACTAAGTCGGATGTACTGTTTATAGCATTTGAAATATACATACATATGATATATCCGGAGCTTCAAGTTGAACGGATACTCTGATCCCTAAAAGTAAGAAATCACGAAAAGACAAAAAGTTTAACAAAGAGTAGAACTTAAAAATATATAAATAAGTAAATAATATCGAATATGAAATGGCTCTGAAGCACAGTGTAACCTGAATCTCGAATTGCTTGCGTTGAACCCATATTTATCTCTACAGGTATACAAAGAACTAATAAAAGTAAAAGTTCAAATATTCTATTTAGGAGTAATACAATCATCTAGATATATCAAACCTTAAGATAACTGGCAATATAAGATAAGCTCCATGTGAAATGCAAGTAATGCTTCCGCAAAAGAAATTTACACAGGGAGCCAGACCACCACGACGAGCCTCCCATCTCGAAGTCTAGCTAGGCAGATATCAGTCGAAGCTGACGAGGAGCTCTCACTTCGTTCGAGCCAAAAGACGTAGCGCTACCACTTCTCCTTTCCTACCTCTTTCTCATCCTACTGTTGCTGCTATTTCACTGCTACCACAACCGATGACGGACAGATAACCAAGTACCATGCCATCAATGATTTAACGATGTATCCATATCCTCAGAACATCATCTCCTATCCCCAGATGCAGTTCCTGTCAAAAAGTGCTCTATTGACATTACCAATCGAGGTATTGCCCAGTGTCTCCCAGTATCTCCCAGAGTCATGACCTGGACAGTCATACTGACTCATTCATTTGCAGATAATCGAAGACATCGCATTCTTGCTCGAAGATGACAAGGACCTCATCAATCTCTCACTGACATGCACTTCATTGAACGCGATCTTACTATCAACCACGTCCTCTATCTGGCGCAGGCGATTCAAAGAGAAGTACGACCTACCGCGAGGAAAATCATCGGCGCAAATAAAATTCGAATACCAAACGCGCTCTATCGTACTGTCACAAGCAGTTTCCTTCAAAGACGGGGAAAGTGGCCAACAAAAGTTGTGGTTGGAGGTCATTCAGCTTCTTCTTGAGGAATCTTTCTCATCACCATACACAAGTGACGGTAGTGTTGTGTCGAGGAACCTTACTAGGATTCGTGAGGTTATTTCGAAAAGCGCCTTTCTGGAAAGACCGATTAGTGGATTCGCCATGCGCAGTCCAGATGTCTGCTCAGATTCTTTCTGCGCCGTGCAGCTGGTAAGTCTTAACCCTACCTACCTAGCCTCCTAGGATAATTTGCATTTTCTTGACACGAGACTTGTGGAATTAATGATAGTTATATATACAGTGCTTAACTTACCTTAGTCTGGATCTAAACCTTTCGTATCGCTGCCTGCGAACCGACTATGACATCGCCAGTGTCTATTCCTACGGAAGCGCCCCTGAGAACGTCTTCATTTCCATTGAGGAGTTGGACCTCAGAAAACTATTGCACATACGGAACTTTTGGCAGCGACATCTTATTAACCTCGACGAAGGGACATTCCACAAATCATTCGCCAGCCTCTGTGAAGAGAAGAGACCCCAGCCCTGGACCGAATGCATACATCACAATATCAACCTTGGGAGTTCCTGGCTAGGATATTACTGTAAGGATGTGAACCCAATCAATCGATCCGGCTACTTTTTCTGATGAATGATCTTCTCACCGTTTTTGTATACTGTAGCTTGCATACATCCGCGTCCTCCTGATCTGAGCAGTCTACAAGATCGTCAGACATGCGCCGACCTAGATAGTCACTGGACGGATATTCTTCCTCTGGTACGTTTGAATAATTGTCAATGAAATTGAATGCGACTGCAACAGACAGACTGACAGACTGACTAATTGGACGTTCTTCAATTAACTAGCATCTACATTTACACTTGATTCGCGACTCTGATGAGGAATGGCCAGCGCTTTTTGATAATATCATACCTTTACTTGGACCGGATAGCCGCCGTCGCTATTTTCGCGGCCTTCAAAGCCTCCACAGCTTGAATGATCGCACAAGTTACCCTGTCCGAGGACTTATCGAGCAAATTCTATCTTCGCAAGGAGGACTCAGAGGCTGGACGCGCATATGCTTCACAATCTACAATCCGAACCGGGAGCTTTTGAAGCTTATTCCTTCTGAGGACAACGAAGAGAACGCAGAAGACCAACAGGAGGAGGTCCGCTTTCCAGACGAAGAATGGCCACCTATTTCGTGGTCGGATTTCCATTGGGCCTTTGGCTATGAGGGCGTTGTGCTCCCTGGAGGCAACATTATGTTTGGCAAGTGGATCAACATGCTGGAAACGAGTGACAGCGGGCCATTTGTATTTTGGTGTATCTAAGGCAGAAATGGTATCAATTCTGACCGTCGAAACTTTCAAAAAATAACATGTCTATGTAGGATAATATTTGGTATGTAATCCTTCTATGTAAAGGCCACAGCTGAGGCATTAGAGAGTAAAGCTCCAAGTTTACTTGGGCCAGATATTAATGTACAGTACATTGTAGTAAAATAGACTCCAGTAAATTTACTATAGTGCAAGGAGTAATCCAGCTCCTGCGATTCCAACAGCCATATGTCCTGAAAATGCCGTCTGCACCGGAGCCGCACCTTTGCTCGTCTGGGTTGGAACGCCGCCAGAGGTTATGACGCCAGTACCTGATGGTCCTCCAATTCGGGCACCCCCACCTCCAACATTGACGCTTGTAACTGCGTTTGGCACACCAGTAGCGTCGGGAACAGCAGTAGATCCAGTGCCTATTTCCAAGATATTGTCTTTAGTGGAGTTGAAGTTCGTATTCGCCAGTGAGATCTCATTGTTTGCGAGATCATAGACGACATAAGCACTGCGCAAGAAAGTGTCCCCCAGCACTGCAGTACTGTCACCGGCAGGGGCGATACCGAAAATGCACGCTGGCGTACCGTCGGAAAAGGTAGGCCGGGAACCATCGGCATTCTCGCCAGGGTCAATGACGAGTTCACTCATGCCGACATTGATCGCCGGTTTGGTAAATGTGAATGTGAGGTGCACATCTTGGTTCGCCAAGTCGCAAGGGACGTATGCCGTCTCGCTTGAAGAATCGTACGTCGCCTGTAGATCGTCATAGATACTGGCAACGATGGAGTCCGGAAGGTACGTCAAACTGCTCCCAGAGTCAAGCAACACAGCTGCCGGAAGAGTTCCCGAGTTGTAAGTCTTATTACCCGAGCTGGCACTCAGCGATACCCCAGTGAGAGCAATGACGAACTCGACATATTGTCCGCCTTCAGTCTGGATAGGCAATGTCTCTAGCGTGCCGTGGAATTTCTCCGTGTTGACGCCACCAAACAGAATCGAACCTGTGTTCGCATCGAGATCGTTCAGCCACAAACTGTAAGCATTCGAATTGATCAAACCGGCATTGACCATGGCTTTGGGTAGATTGGGGTAAGGGCTTTTTCCATTTCGGTTGACCTGTACTTCATTGGTCGTATAGCCGATACCCAAGACACCCTCTGCAAAAGAAAACCAATACATCGTTAGCCTCGCGATGACCGAATCTTCCACTAGGACGTAATAGCCATACCAGCAGAACTTGAAACATAGCCGACTCCAAACTGGAAGTTCTTGAGAGTGGCCCCGCCAATCTGAACAGTGTCCGTCACATAATCACCGGTTGACGCTGAACCATCCACGTAAGAGATGTTGAAGTCAGAGGAGACGATCTTGTATGTCGACGACGAATTTGCGTCATAGGTCCCTGATATGGCACAGGGCTTGGCTCTCTCAGAACATAGGCTCGACTGCGCTGTGTTGACCCATAGATCACTGCTTCCAGTATCGATTGTGAGGCGCACATGCTGTGCGGGCGTGCCCAGCGAAATGTTGGCAAAGTAGAGAGTTTCCTAGCGGAGCCAGAGTCAGTACGGCGAACATGTCCAGAGCGGGGTGTGAGTTTAATCTTTCGAAGTCACGGCCGCTGATCGGGATGGGAGCGTACCTCATTGTCCAGGGTCTCGGTGACCGTCTTGTCGCGCTTCCTCCTTACTCGGTCCCGCGTAACAGGGTCAGATACGTGCTTGCGCTGGAAGTCCAGTCCAACGACAGCGGGCACATCCCTCTGGCGTAACTCCAGAGCATCCACAGATGCTGCCAGAGAAGCCGCCAGACAGAGGAAGGTGACGACCTTCATGACGGCGGGTAGTCGTTCACACTTGGAACTGTTTCTGCGGACCGATCGAAGAGGGCGAGTTTCGCAGGTGAACCGGGCCAACCCCTGAGGGAAGGAAGCGGACACTGACGATAGACCAGACCGCGTGGAGCACAGGAGGAAAAGAGAAATGCCCAGAGAGGAGTCAGTGGCTTATGATTAGAGGAATGACACCGGTTATCGAAGCGGTAGGGGAACAGGGCCGATCTGGGGTGTCCATCGTCCTTTTTATTCCCACGATGGTTGACGTCGGCTGGATCTTGCCGGACCCGTTGACTATTACTTCCTTTGCTGGGGCCATTCAGCAATCCTACTACTAGTCACTAGGTACTTGACTTGCCCAGTCGGTTCTGAGCGCTCCATCCCCCACTCGTCTGGTAACCAAGGTGAGAAGCAGGGTGTAAATAATAATAATCCTTCATGATTCCGGGAACCAGATACTCCATAACCATGGTCCACCGGGGGAACACTGCCTATGAGGACGTTAATTGAGAGTCGTGTGTGGCCCCCAAGAGGCTGAGGGCCGCGAACGGCTGATCTGCCTGTCTTTTCGCTCGGGAGGCAAACCGGAGAAGTCGGAGCCCTGCTGCTAGCGTCATCATGGCCCTACGTATGTACGTACATTACTACATGATACTAAATTGAACTAAAAAAGGCGCCGGCCTGGGAAGGCTTATGGTATACTTAGTACTGTCGCAGACCAGGTACTTAGTACTAGTCAACCTCTACTGGTAAGACCCTGTCTGGGAGATTTCCTTTTTTGGTCTTTTCATTTTCTTGTAACTTCACCAATCGAAGAAAAAGTAATTATTGCCGCTGCAGGGTCGCTTTCTGTAGATACCCTCGAGATCACTCATAATTAATATTAACTTGCTGATAGATAGATAGATAGATAAAAAAATAATGCTGATGAGCAGCAAATCCGGAGTTCCGGCACGATGACGTGGATCGTTGACGAGTCGCTCAGCCTAATGCGGAACCAATCAGAGCTGCTCGTTGGCCCGTTTGACTTTGATTACGTATGGTTACTGGTTAACTACTGGTTATTATGGTAGGTACGCTGTGCACCAGCAAGCGCCGTGTTATATATATACCTTATATCAACTCTGCTGCAGCTTCTTACTCGAGTCGCATGCACACTGGCGCTCCCCATGCAGAGAAGCTCAGCCCTGCGAGGCTCATTGGTGTGCATACCATTTGCCCAGGAAGCCACTCTACCACACTGGCAGTACGTGGATAGCTCAGTACGTGGTTAGCTATCCCACGCGCCGTCCTTTGTGCCCTGCAAGGCGCAGCAGGGGTAGCGCGCGACTGGCACCGCCATCATCTGATTATTGCGCAGCCCTCCTGAGGACCATCGTCTACGATCTGCTATGGTAACTAGATCCTACACGGGCTCATACATCGGACATACCTAGGCGGTTAATGCTATCAATATGCCCAAAGGCTATGCACAGTCACACACACAAAAGCAGAGAAGGAAAAGCCAAGAGGGGAATATAAACATTGTTCAATATAATGTTGGACGTACTGATACACGGCCCGCGCGAGGAGCAGGGCCCGGCCTGCACTGGAAACAGGCGTAGTAGTATGATACAGCTATCAGAGGCCCATGGCGGCCCTAATAGTTTTCATTGTCGAGTCAGCGTTGGCCCGCGCGGCTCTCGCACCGGCCTCAGCGACGCTGTCGACGTAATCCCTCTGATCCTGCAGGGCAAAGAATCGCTCCCTGATTCCACTGAGATGGTTCACCAGTGTATCTGCCACAAGTTCCTTAAGTGCGCGAATGCTGGTCGATCTATGTTCCAAGGCGACCTCCTCACACGACTTGTTGTCAGACTGCAAGTGACACAAGATCTCAAGAAGGTTAGAGACTCCTGGTCGGTGTACTGGGTCGTAAGTGACCGACGGCTCGGAGTCTGTAAGGGCTAGCTTGATCTTTTTGCGGATTTGCTCGGGTGAATCGGTAAGCAAGATCCTTGAGCGATCATCCGTATGCGACTTGGACATCTTCTGATGGGGTTCCTTGAGCGACATCACTCTCCTAGCGGGCGCTGCTCATTGAAGACGAAAATTAATATCCGAAGTTAACCGCGGGAAGTCGTGGAAACAATGACTCACAGATGAGAGGCTCCGGTGATGGAAATATAGGGCCATAGAGATGGTTAAAACTATTGGCGGTATACCGCGTGAACTCGATGTGTTGTTTCTGATCTTCCCCGACTGGCACATGCGTCGCTCTGTAATAATGCACAAGTCAGCTCATGAGTGGTAATCGACCAGAAAACCATCAGTGACATACCTATGTACCAGAATATCCGCCGCTTGAAGGACGGGATAAGAGAAAAGACCGAGTCTCAGCTTCGATTTAGCAGCCGAATGTTCCAGGCTCGTATCCTCCGGCAATTTGAGCTTGCTCTACGTCGAGTTAATTTCAGGATAACGGCCTCTAATGTGCTTCATCAGAGGTGAACACCACCAAGGCCATTGAGCGCCTCACCTTCCACTGAGTCATACGGGAAAGATACCCCATCGATGCTACCGTGCTTAAAATCCACATCAGTTCAGCGTGGGCGGATACCTGGATTGCAACCCGTCAGTATAGTAACATGGTAGTCTTGGACAACCTGGAGCTAACATACAGCGGATTGATAAAATATCGTGCAGCGGTTGGGATCGAGCCCAATCGCAAGGAGCATCGTGAACGCTTCTCTCTTCCACTCCCGAAGGCGTGATGCATCTTGGGGAACGGTCAATGCATGGAGATCGACGATGGAAAATATCAACTTGGTGCCCGCAGCGCTGTCATTCTGCAATCGCACCCATTCACGGAGCGCCCCCAGATAATTTCCCAGGTGCGGCACACCAGTGGGTTGAATGCCGGAGAAAATGGTCTTTTCGTGCGGAGGTTGGCTCGGAGGTGGACTGGAGTTCAAAGTCGAGGTCTGTAGACAGCGGATGTGGTGCGAACTTCCCGTATTTCTGATTTGGCATATAGGGAAGCGTTTTCCCTGTCGAGCGAACAGAGTGGCCATCTGACCCTGTGCTCTGCAGTAAATGTCGTTAACTGTACAGCTCGGGATTCAGCATGCAGTAGTAGACATTTGACATTGATTGCCGGGCACGTGATCTAACCGGCTCCATATAAAATGTACTCTATTTATGATGTCCTGACAAGAAACCGCCCTATTCGGCTTGGTATTTAATTTTACTCCCTCCATGCAAAGATAGAATATATAAGAATACATAATATGCGTTTAATTCCTGCAGAAAATCATTCTGCTTCGATAACAGTGTAAATGACAAATCCCAGATTATACAAGACAAGGCTAGAAGAGAAGAATGGAAAGTATGCCTAGAGCTAACCCTTACGTGTATCGGTCAATGGGCCCCTGTTCTGAGAGAAGCGTTCGCTGCCCAGGATCTCGGATACAGAGGCGCTGGCAGCGGCATCTTTTCGTTGACCGAAGTTCTCAAAGTAAGGCTCGAGGGACTTCTCGAGTTCTGGAAGTGATTCGTCCATAGATTTCGCAACATCTGCGAGAGAAAAAGGAGAGGTTAGTCGGCGATCCTGCAATAGCAAAGACGAGAGTAAACCATACCAAGAGTATCGTATTCCCACACGTTCGCCTTCATACCAACCCCGTAGAACGCGTGTTTCCGAAGGAACGCAAGCCATGCCTGCACGGCCTTAGGATGACCATCCTTGATCTGTATCAGCCGCCGGAGAGTGATACGCTCGAAGTTCTCCTGGCTCTTCTTGTGTACGAAATTGCTGCGGGGGACTGTCCAGCGTTCGACAATACGAGGTAGTGGAACAGGTCCAGAAACAGGGAGTTTCAGATAGTAAGCTGCACGGACAGCGAAATCGGCAAAGAATTCGACGTTTCGCACACTATAAGATCGGAGTTGCAAGTCACAGACGGGAAGGCCGTATTCTGCCTTTCTTCGGAGGGGTCGCAGATAGACGGCTTGCACGCTTCGAGGTAATCTGAACTTCTCACCGATGTCGTCTAAGCGTGCGGGCCTGGAAAAAGGTGTAAGCCTTCAACTATTCAAATACGCAAGCAGCATCACATATACAAACCATTCCTTTACATCCACTGTTGGTTGCTGGCTAGCCTCGGGTGTACTGCTATCTAGTCAGTTCATTGTGTCGCTTAGCAGTAGAATCCAAAGGTCCGTACGTGTGCGACGGCGCTGTCGATTTTTCGCCTTCAGGTGATTGTGATTTCGCAGGAACAGATTCGATCTTGGCCGACGTTTCAAACGCCCGGCTTATCCCAGAGACCTTAATGTAATGTGAGCTTTGCGGACACCGGGAGCAGGTCTGCTGGGCGGATCTACCTTCAGCCTCTTCCCTGCACCCAAAAGGGAACGAAGGCTCGATGTTGACAGCATAGCGTGGAATCTGTACCCTGACGATATATGCTCTGAGGACAATGGTGGAAGCTGTTCAGACAGCCATAGCCTATTTTTTTCAGAGGTGTTCGCGGTAACTTGAAGTTTCCCCGACACGAAAGGATTATTGACCGCCTTGGTCCCCTAGTGCCGACAACCAATAAAAACTTACAGAGTGCTAGCACCAACCAGCAGAATCATCCCAGTAGTCAAGCAGTATTAGACTCCCCACTATGACCTGCGAATTGATAGTTGTGGGTTGAGGCTGCCTTGCTTCATATCGGCAGACATTATTATTATCCGACGGAGAACACCAGCAAGGAATTGGAGCAAGTGGACTATCCCATTTCGTGGTCGGTTCATAAGCTGATCGAGCCCAACTCAGATCTCATACAAACTTCTGCATCTGTCACTGTTCACTGGCCCAGATCTGCGAAAAATCACACTGTGTACAATTCGCATCTGTACATTACTATTCACCAAATCATTTTCGGGGCTTTGGACATCATTTTCTGCTACTTACGTCCGTTGACCAACCATGGCTGAGTTTGGACGTGGCTCAACCTGCTTTGAACAGGCGAAAGAAGCTGCCGCTTTTCTTGAAAGAGGCCTTCCAGATGGTCTGCGAAGCCCCAAGGTTGCAGTTATTTGCGGCTCAGGGTTAGGCGGGCTTGCAAATACTATCCAGGAAGCTTCAAAGGTCGAATATGAATATTCATCGATACCACACTTTCCTCTTCCTACCGGTAAGGCTCCACGAAGTCACAATATCATGCAGTCACCCTGTCTCTTACCTCGTCAGTGTCTGGACATGCGGGTAAGTTGGTTTTCGGATATCTCGGTCATAATATTCCGGCAGTCTTGATGGTTGGCCGTGTGCAGTGAGTCCTCATATCAAGCGAAAACCGCTGTCTTTCTGTGACTTGGCTAAGACTCAGTCCCGTAGTTATTATGAAGGCCATTCTATGGAGAAAGTTACATTTCCGATCCGTGTTTTTAAACTCCTTGGTGTAAAGACACTAGTCTGTAGGTGCCACCTCTACAACTGTTTACAGAAAGTTCTGGGCACTGATTTAGCACCAAAGTGACCAATGCTGCAGGAGGCCTGAATTCAGAATACGCGGTGGGAGACATTGTGGTCATAAATGATGTAAGTTGTTTGACATTGTCACTTTAGTCCAGAGTATTTAACAACGTGTAGCATCTTTTTTTGGCCGGCTTGGCAGGATCACATCCACTGCGGGGTCCCAATGCGGACGAATTTGGAGTTCGCTTCCCACCGATGTCAGACGCCTACGATCTCGAACTCCGTCGCTCCACGCACCGAGCCTGGGAGAAGCAAGTTTCTCCTGAGAGCAAGCGAAGACTGCACGAGGGAATATATGCATTCGTCGGAGGCCCAAGGTGTGTTTCATACCTGAAGATATGGACTTATAGGTTAATGCATAGACAGTTATGAAACAAGAGCAGAATGCCGAATGCTCAGACAGCTCGGCGCCGACATTGTCGGAATGTCAACAGTGCCGGAGATTGTAGTAGCCAGGCACTGCGGACTGCGAGTGTTGGCACTGAGCCTGGTCACGAACAACGCAGTGCTTACTCCAGTCCCACGTGGCGATGACCACCTCCTTCAACATTCGAGTGCAAACCAGCTGGACACAATCTTGGGTGAGGGAAAGGCGAACCATGAGGAAGTTCTAGAAGCTGGTCGTCTAGCGGCCGTCGACATGCAGGTGAGCTCCAACGGAGGGACTGCCCCCGCGGGCTTGTAACATTGTCACTAACGTCACAATGCTAGAAACTGGTTGCACAGGTCATCTCTGACACCTTCGAGTGAAGTCGAAGAGAAGGATGGTTTTTGAGGTGAGATAATTGAGCCCAGCTAGGAGATCAATTGTTATTAGTTCACCAGGCAATTTTTCGGTTTCTTAAGAGTCGCGGCATGATCTAGTACAAGACCTGCTAGAACGTCTTTAAAAAACCTGCACATCTACCTCTTTCGTCTCTTTGCTAGTAAGTTCTTATAGTAAGACTTCTTACCACTGGTCTTGGCGGCTTGAATGTCTCTGTACTTAGCTGTGAAACGCCCAGACTGTCGTTCCGCAGCCATAGCCTCGCCAACGAAAGTTCTCTTGCGCTCTTTCTTTGGTATTCGGGAACTAAGGAACTCAGTAGGACCTTCAACAACTGTTCCCACTTGAGAGAACTTTGGAATGCCGCCCTCATCGACCCCCTTTTTGTAATGCCTTTTAGGGTCCAGTACCGAACGCATGCGAATCATTTGTAGATCTCTTTTCAGCTCCGGTGTTAAATTTGTCTTCGGAAGATCGAACCAGTCGCTTCCTGCAGTCTGTTTATCCTGATGTATACGTCAGCAGACATTCAGTGCTATATAGGCGACGTCATAAAGAAAGTATCGAAAAGATAATGATCGTTAATGCTCAGAGTAACTATGAATAAATAATGAACTCTCATGGAAGCAGGTCAACCCAATACGGGCTGATGTGACTGCATCGAGGGCTAGATGGGATAATTTTCCTCATGGCAATCCAGGTAACAACGTGGCAGGAAGAGGATGTACTAACCTTCTTGATCTGGCTGTTCGCCGTGATCCTCTCTACTGGATACACAGTCTCCGCCTGCTGTTTCTGGGCGCGGTCAATGATTCGCGACGTGTCAACGGTAGCGATTTCATCTCGCTGCTGTACATAGGGTGACGAAGTTTGACAAGAGTCCAATTTGAGAATACTAGAGTTTGGGGTCTGTGTAAGCTCGTGAGCTTCCCATGGAAGATGGAGCGGCAGGATTTTACCTTGACCAGGTGGGTTGCGAGGCACCATTGCCTACAGGGGTGACTCCATTAACCGTAGCCTGCGCATTTCGCAGTCTAGTCTCTGCTTGTGAGAGCAACTGCTCAATGTCCTCATCCGTTAAGACATTTGTTTGGTCCTGCTTCTCCATGCTGGAGGGCAAATGGAAGGTAGAGCTCGCCAGCGTTCGCAAGCTCTCTCAAATCGAATCAGTAGACAAGGCAGTATGTATGTACTCTGGACGGCCACCAAGAGTGGTTGGCACTATTTGAACAGTTGAGACAGTGACATTTACCCAGCAGTGAAATGATAGCTGCACAGAATATTTTGCGTGATGGAGGAAAATAAATTAAGAGTAGAATTTTCTTAGTCTGTGGGCCAATGTGATCTCAACAGGGAATGATCGATTAGTCATGAGGTTATCCCAAAATGGTTAGTTAGAATTATTACGGCAGAATAGCTCAGTATTCTATGTACACCGCCTTTGAAAACAACACTGCAATTGTTCAACCTGCGTATAGTACTCTCTACACACCAAGGGTTGCCAACTCCAGCTGTGAGCGTCGTTCTTTTTTGTGTCTCCTGGAATATTGCATCTGCATCTACATCACTTCTTCACTTGCTATCAGCTACCTTCGATGCTCGTGGTCATCTCACTTTGCAGCGATGTTTGCGCCTGATGCGACTGTACGCTCAGCGGTCTCGTCATTAAGAAATCCTCGGAGACGGCAAAGGACAAACTCGGATGACTCTGTAAAGCTCCCGAAAGCCAAAAGGCAGCGATCGGCTCTCGGAGAAGATACTTTTGAGCCTCACCCCTTTACGGCGTCGGAGCAAGAGTCTTCTGTCGATGCTGATCCAAACGCCTATAAAGCAGGGTTTGTTGTCCAGAAAGATCTTGCGCTCAGAGGTCCAAAAAGACCAGAGAAGAGGAGTGATGCGGATGGGATAGTGATACTTGTGAGGAAATCCTTCCAACGCAGTCTGTTGAAACGGGTGAAATGGTTTGGGATCTAACCCATCTTACACTGCAGTCTAAAACAGACCACTACACCGTTTCCCAGCTACCTTCGCTTCCCGACCAATTACGCGTAGCCGACTCAGGTAAGATGCGTTCTCTATATGCAGTCCTCGCTAGATACTTACCTGTTACAGTTCCTCCAGGGAGCTTCTTCACTGTTGAACAGGGCTATGCACTGGTCTTAACACCGTCACACGCTATCATTTGGCCATATGCAGTACCGTCATCTTCACCTTCGCCTAGTGATATCTTTACTCTCACAATCCCAGAGTCTAGTGGGAGTCCGGCCGGTGCTACCCCATGTGGAGTCCTCATACCGAATGCGACCGTCGCTCCCCCAGGTCTTCTGGTAGTCATACCTGGAACTGGGAAAATAATCTACTGGGAGACAGTTTCGAATGCAGTAGTCCTGGGTTTAGTGAGGCAGAAACAAAATGGGATTCAGACCTCGATCTCTGGAATGCTTCCGGGAGAATATGCCAAAGAGATCATAAATGCAGAACCTTCTGGGGTTATTGTCACGTTCTCATCCGGGAGGGTGGCACACGTTACCCTGAGAGATCCTCAGGGAAAGGCAGCCTTGACTGTGAATTTTCTCCGCAGCACTTCCAAGCTCGGCGGCAGTGGATTTCTCGGAGGGATCAAAAGTGTTCTCACTGGTGGGCTGTGGAAAAGGGACATCGCCGCCGCAAGACCCGCTAAATCATCGCAACGAGGCCAACGGGATATCGTTATTGCGACTTCCACTGGTATTTTTGAGATATGGGACACCCATTGGAACAATGGGAGCACAATGAAGGCGGAAGTAGACCTCAGGCGTACCATATGCGAGGCTACTACGAACACTCTAGATGCTGGGTTTGAGAACGGTCTTAAAATCCTGGATTTTGTCTGCGCGCCTAAACAAGATGGGTTGGATCATGTACCTAACCCGGACACGGATCCCTCCGTATCCGTCTTCGCCCTTGTCGTCCATGCACAGCAACATGAAGTCCCGACATTGGCCGTTCTCAAAATCGATATATCTGGTAACGATGGACGAGTGGTCTCGGCGCACCATGTCGAGCCGCGCAATATACCACCCCACTTTGGGAAATCGAAGGCGAAGCTACATATTCCGAAGTTGGGAGATACGGCTTTTATTGTTTTGGAACGTTCTGTGATTGTGCTTTCACTCATTCCAGTTCGAGAATCACCATCGTCTCAGTTACTGATGGAGTCCCGCCATATGTCCGGTTATTTCCAAGACTGCATTCAACTCAGAGCCGATAAACAGGAGGAAGTCCTTGGGACCAGTGTTGAAGAGCAAAGCGACAATCGAGTGTATCCTGCCTGCTTGGTGATGCTCCGCGGTTTCGGTATCATTCGCATTGCAGCATCACCTCATACTGGATCAGACAATGTTCTAGAAAAGGTACAGATGACTGCGAAAGATAAGCTTGAACAAGCCATTTTCTACGGTGCAATGTCGGAGAACCCTTTGGACTTCCTGAGCGAGAACTGGTTGAACTTTCCAGCAGAGGAGCTTGAAGAAGCCGCATTGGATATCTGCGACGAATTGTTGCGATCGACCTCGAGGTTTATATCTGCAGCAGCAGTGTCCATCGAACAGCACTTGAGTGTTCGAGCGAAAGCGCTCGATGACTTGGTCTTCCATCTCATACGGCACGGTGTGCCATTATCAAGGCTAACCCGTTGGCATCTGCTGTGGGCGGCTGAGAAACTAGCTTCCCAAAGAGCTCTTTGGAAAGTGGAAGAGCGGTTCAGGAAAAGCAAGAATGGGAAACCGACCTATTTGAATCGTGTGGTCGAGTTGATGAATGAGAAGTTCAAGACCAGGTCCGAAGTAGCGAGTGACAGAAATGATAGTGTACGACATTGGTTCATATATGATACCTTCCGGATGGAACACATCATTCCATGGCTCTTCAACGCGATCAGGGATCATAAAGGCGGTGCTTCAAAGCAAGGCCAACAATTTGCCGATCAGGTTCTCGAGGCAAGCGAGCTTTCTCTCGCTGCCTTGGAGACCGCTTTCCGTTTCAGAGAAGAACATTTTGGTGCATACGGCCTTGGAGAAGAATCATTGGAGGATGGCATATTGCTCTCCGGGTATGAGGATCTGCCTGAATTCTGGACCTCACATGGAATGGGGTATATCGAAACAAGCCATCTTCTGGATCTGGAGCTCGATAGCTGTAGATCTTGGTTGCAACGACAGGTCTCAAGGGGGGAGCCGACGGACCCCATGACTGTGGAAAAAGTCGCACATAATAGCTTCCGCCAACTTCGCGTATTTGGTAAGATGCATCGTGAACGAGTTCGATGGCTCTCTGCACAGAGCGACCCGAAATTGGTTGACGAAAGTAAGAACATCGAGAACAACCATATCAGACAACGAAAATGGCAGCTTTTCAAATTGGCTGGAATCGGCCAGTTGAAGGAAGCTATGTCTCTGGCTGAAGAGTTTCAGGACATGAGTGCCCTCGTGGAGCTCATAGTTGAACTCCAAGATCAGGCCAAAGCAGACAACCTACGAAAAGGCGAATCGAGTGATGAAACACGCAACGAAGGTTTGGAACAGTGTAAACGCAAGATTACGGAATATTTCGAGAGATTTGGTGGACATTGGGCAGATGCGTTCTTCTCTCGGCAGATATCTGTTGGACAACCAGGGATGCTGCTAGCAATGTCCGAGTATCGACCTTATGTTACGCGTTTTCTCCGCAAAGTCCCCGCGTACCGTCGCCTATCCTGGATCAACGATGTTACTGGGGAGACAGACTATGACACTGCGTCATCGTCGTTAGAAAAGTTAGCCTTGGAGGATGAGTCTGACGTTTGGAGCCAACGCGCAGAATTATCCATAGCTAAGCTTTGCCGCCTGGCTGCATGGGAAAAGAGCGCTAACTTTGACCACTCTGTTGCCCGGGAAGAAATCAGACGCTTTGATGCTCGTGCTGAAATAAATACGATTCAAGAGTTAGTGTACGATCACATCTCGCCCGCGCTTCACGGCGCCATTGACCAAAAAGCTGAAATCGAGTTGGCTGTGGAACACTTTGGAGGCTACCTTGAGAAGGACCGACCAGCTTTTCATGAAGTTCTTGAGGTCACTCTTGCGAAGGTAGTGGCTCGAGAAGTATTAAATGTCGACCAGCTGATCGATTTGCTAACTTTGATGGATGACGTGCAATTCCTTGAGGGCGAGCATGATGAACTTTCGGGACGGGAGTTTTACTTTGCTCTTCACGCACTCCAGCTGAGCGGATATGCTAAAACAGACCCTGAGCTCTATGACTTTCTGCAAAAACTAATCTGGCGTCGATGTATGATTCGAGACAATTGGGAGGCATTGGGAAATACAGGGCAGAAACTGGATAAGGAAGTTGAAGCAGAAGTCTCCAACACTGCTCTATTTCGAACATTGACAGAATGTCTTGCTGAAGGTGAGCTTCATCTATATCGACACTGTTAACTTCACTTCTAACACTCAGCAGAACGCCTGGGTCGTCCAAACAATGAACCCATATGCGGCTTGCATTCGCCTTCAGAAATTCTGAAATGGACGCCGGATCCCGCCATCGTTAAGACGAGATTTCACCCAGACCAAGGAACTCGCATACTGCGGGATCTGAGTGTGGAAGCAGAACTCCTGCGTCAGTACGTCGAGAAAGGGAAGCTCGAGCTCTGGTTTAGTGAGCTTCTGGCATCAGCGAAATCTGAAGTATCCAAGAGTACTATTGAAGAAGACACAGGAAGCAATCATGATCCTTCCATAACGCCTTCCACTTCAGAGAAGAGGGCGAAACTGAATTGGCTTTGATGTCAGGCTTGAGTCTTGGTGCTGAGAGGGTTTTGTCTGTCTTTTTCTCTTCTGCTTTTTGTACTTCATACGCACTGGGAAGGGGGAGGGTTTGCAAAGGATCGGATCTTTTCTCGTGTCGAGCAGTGCTTAGTGGCTCGTTGCATGCCGGGATTATTAAATCGCTGAATAGCAGTAGTCAGTTAGCAGTAGACCATTGGTAATTGTCCACAGTTTTACATGGATGCAACTATTAGAGTTGGGTAATGTTAATATAGTAGTATGATTAATAAGACAGGATTATTAATTTTTATATAGTTGATTATTATATTGTTAGAATCTAGACTACGGAGACCACTAAAGTCATGTGACCGTCCACATGACTTCTCGGGATGTTGAACTGCCCGACTGTACCTGTGTAAGGTGCCTGTATGCTTGTAAATCGCTCTACCTGTCTTTGGCAAACATGGCTAAACATTACTCATGTTCATCATGTCTAACACACTGACTATTCTGATATACGCCTCCTTCTGCCGCCCTACTGATCCTGGGTATCTGTACAAGTCGATTTAAGGATGTCGGCGGTCCGGCTAAGACACCGGATACAATTCACACAAGCAGTTAACCGGTCGTGGGCTTCAACGTGGAGAATCAGTCGACTGCCAACTGTATCGTACTACTCTCAATGTGCGAGAAAGGATTTGCGCACAGCCCTGTTCTTTCCTGGTTGGGCCCCTTTCGATGCTCAAAAGGTGCTTAATGCTAACACTCGGCAGGCCATGGAGTCCAGCGCGTCGGCATGGCTACTCCCTGGGTCGAGCAGTTCCCGCGAACTGCACGACCCTTCATGGATGAAATTGACGGCATACTGGGGTTTTCTCTATCCCGTATAATATCCGACGGCCCAAATTCGAAACTAAATGAGACGGAGAACTCACAGCCTGCGATAATGGCCACGTCGATATTGATACTGCGTATACTGGAAAAAGAGTTCGGTTTTGACACAAGAAACCGTGTTGACGTGACTCTTGGGCACAGCCTTGGTGAATATGCCGCTTTAGTTGCCGGTGGTTACATCGAATTGCAACCAGCCCTCAAAATGGTCCGAGGTCGCGCGGAGGTGATGGCTCAATGCACCCATGATGCTTCGAGGCAGACTGGTGAAGACTATGGAATGGTTGCTTTGGTGTGTGAGCCAGAGCATCTTGATGGATTGATATCGACAATCCAGGAGTTCTTGGGCTCTAGCTCCTCTGGTTCAAAGGATGACTCGAGCTACGAACTACCGTCTATCCAGCAAGTTATGATTGCGAATATTAACTCTAAAAACCAAATTGTGCTTAGCGGAAGTATTGACCGGATCAAGACGCTCCTCGTCCAACTTCGCCAATTTGGAGGCCACGATCCCCGTGCTGTGAGACTTAAAAGTGACAGTCCCTTTCACAGTCCTATTATGGCACCCGCGGCACATTATATGAAGAATGCACTCGAGCATGCCACTGTTGCATTCCCAGCGGCAGTGCCATGCATATCTAATGTCACTGCTCTTCCATTCCGGTCACGAGAAGAACTCAAGGATTTACTATCGCGACAGTGCATCGAAACTGTTAGGTGGTGGGATAGTATTAAATATCTAGACCAAGATTGTGGCGTGAGGCGGTGGATCGGCATAGGACCGGGTAAAGTCGGCCGTAATTTGGTCGGAAAGGAGGTTGGGAGAGTCATGGCCAAGGGCGGAGGCGTCTGGGGAATATCCGATCCGAGAGAGGTCGAGGACATTATGCTGGCTCTTGAACAGACCGAGCTTACAGATTCATGACTACACCGTAGCTCTCACAGCACACGGAAATCACATGATACGATGGCCGCCGTCCTATGGAGTCACCGAGTCACGAAGGACATCCCTTTTCAGTCTTTGTTAGGACGTTGCCCTGCATGGTCTATACCTTCAGTGCCCTGTCCCCATCTTCCAGCCTTTTTACCCCATTTTATCATACCCCAAGCGTGTACCCAGCTGAAGCTTGGAGCGCTAGGACGGTCTTGGCTCTCACCACGGAGGTCCGTTCCACTTTGTGAAGCATCGACCAGATATCTATCTGACTTGGAGATTGGTGACTCCCAATGTCTATGTTGATCCTTCAGAGGCATCCACCACTCGGAAGTTGACTTACTCCACCAACGAGAGCTAGTCATCTCCCAGATTCTGCTTTGTGCTCGTCTAAAGGCGAATTTCTCATCCTCCCCGATGTAGAGCCTGGGCCGCGTGAAATCAAGACCGTCTCGGTTTTCCACAGTGCGCACATGTGTTTCTGACTGTGTCTCATGACCCGGACTCGTCGATTCTGATGAAGATAGACTCGCTTTACCGCCTGTTGACCTGATCGGTGAAGCCTTATATTCTACCGAGGGGCCTTCTTTCTCATCATAGGATGCAATGTTGGGACGGAAAGGGAAGTTCATGTCTTGGTATATTTCCGACAGACTCTCTTGCCAAATGTTGTCGTCATCCCGGTCTTCTTTGGATTCATTTGCTTGGTCACGATTGTTCTCTGGGAAGAACAGATCGTCAATATGTGCACTCGCCCGGATAAGCAATCGACAGCGCGCTTCATAGAGAGCATCCAGCAAGGTGATAAACCTTCTTGCTTCGTTTCGATGGTCAGATGACAATGATGGCACATTATCGAGAATTAACGTGTGGTAAGATGCCGCGAGAGATATATAGTCTGCTGGGCCAAGATTTGAGCCGCAAAGCTCCGCGAAGTCCCACATCATTATCCCAGCCTGCTGTTTTGGAATATGAAGTTCTCTCCCGTATACTGTCATTTGGCTTCTCTGCCATTGTTCCGAAGTTCCACCCGCTTCAGAGAGAACAATACCGATTACATGTTCCCACAACTTGTGTTCTTCACCGGCACTTGATTTCTGTTGGCCGGATGGGATGAAGTAGTAGGTAGGCGTATCGGTCCAGTATAAATCTGTCTTTGATCTATATTCTCGCACAGCTGTGTCCCGCTTGATAGTAGAGTCTGTGTTCACAGTGGGATCATCATGTGACAACTGTAGATGGATAGGACCATTATCATCTTCTCTCCTCCAGTCTTTACAACCTTCCATTTCCAAAGTATGGCATCTCAATCTGAGGATTTCCAAGAAAAGAGGCGTGTCATTTGATTTCGCAGCCTCGTTTGTGTCGATGGTTGAACCAGAGTCTGGTATCGAAGCACCCATTTGTGTAGCCCCGTCTTTCATACGTTGAAAAGACCGGAACCCCCTTCCAGACGCTCTAGCTAGATCCTCGGGCATTCTATTGCTGGTTGCTATGATGACACCACCCATCTGGAAAAATCCCAGAAGGAGCGAGTACAAAATCCTCGACGAGGCCCTATCCGGAAGTTGGAATTCATCCAGAAAAATAATAGGCGTAGTCGATGCTAGATGCCGAGCCAGGGTGAAGACCGAGTTCTCCTCATAAGGATCACGAAATGGAGTCGGAGGCGGTGACTGCAGTCGCTGCTTTTCCAGTTCCCTGATAATTTCCAGCATAAAATTGTTGAAATGCCACCTTCTTTTCCGCTCAGTAGGTAGTGAATTGGCGAGCAAATCAACGAGCATCGTCTTCCCCGTGCCGACTTCTCCATGCAATAATAGACCCTTGGGAGACCTGACATTGTACACAGACTCGAGGTCACTCTTTGTCAGAGTAAGGTCCAACGATGGGCCTTCGCGCTGCCGGCCTGACCAGAAGGATCTCCATGACCGTATCGACTTGACTTCCGCACCCGGGCGTTGTGACTTCCCTATGATCCGAGAAATGCTATCCAGACGGTCTCGGTACCCAAGATCTGGTTTGTAGTCTTTGAGCTCAAAGTAGAGCTTTTGCAAGTGGACGGCGACGCGAAGCTGAGCAGGATCGGGTTTCAGCTGTTTGGTGGCAACGAGTGTCCTATATTGTACCAGCGGATTTGTGATTGTCAAGCTTGTTGAGACTGGACCCGAGGCGGTCATTGCTGGACCTCCGAAGAAAGCCGTAAACGTTGTTGGCCCTGATGCCGATTTCAAAATGATGGATATTCACAGGCAATGCGATCAATACTGATGCGGACGATATGTACAGTAGTAGTATGTACTCGATAAGGCAGTATTAACGGTGTTGGCGGGGTTGAGAGACGCAAGCTTGCGCATCCTGTCTACACTTGATGTACTCGCCTGTCCACGTGACAGATAAGCGGAAGTAAAGATAGAGCAATGCAATTGGAAACTTTTGCTGGAATAATGCATTGTATGTTATTTGTATGACAAATGACGCCTGAAAATCATACTATCAAAATAAGCCATTACATGATTGCGCTTGTCCTTCTCGCATGCTTCGTTAAGTGTCCCAGGCAAGGATACTATATCATGTCAGGATCCCGAAGCCCCAGGAAAATAAAATCTCCATCTCGTCCAAGCTCATTAAGTGGAAATCAGACAGTGTACAGGGACGGTTGATGGACCCTGGCGGTCATATTCTAAAGCACTTCACCGTGCACTTATGCCCCGTATTCGGGTGAAAGGGGCACACATGTATCCACCACATGTGTCAGTAAATCACAGGTGGATTGGTTACACCATAACCCAGAATAAAATGCCAAATATCCGCAGAGAAGAATACGCGTTTAGCAATATCCGGCGAATCGAGTCTGCGAACTCCACGAGGACCAATCTAAAATCTGTGTTGATGCGGCGTGTTGGATGAGTGATACTGGCCTTCATTGTTGCAATAGTGCCATATGTTCAGACCGTAGACATGCCGGGGGCCCAGGTATCACCAATGCGCTTGACTTCATCAGTGAATTTCCGTGTTACGGTGTGTCCGGAACCACTCTGCGGAAGTGTAGCTTTGACGATGGGGGGATCGTCACTGGGAGCATAGAACGGGTTCTGCATCAGCTGGATGAATGCTGTCTGGAGAGCTCGGAATGCCTGATGGAGATTATTAGCCATCCCCTCACAAATAAGCCGGTTGTACTCACCGGCTTCAGATCTGAGTCTCGAAGACCAGTCGTGGCGCTGCCCTTGCGCTTCTCTTGGTCCGATGACGGCACTCTGCCTACTGTGTCGACTACGATCAGGAACTTTAGACCGGTGGTGGTCAACCATCCATAAGCTGCGAGTCTTTCATCGATAGCATGCAGAAGACCAAGATCTTGATCCACTGAGGTATGTTTCCGCCTAATCTGAATTATATCTAGGCAAGAATTGAGCAGGAACGAGAACTCCACGCGCGCGTCCTGGTAAGGTGGGAAGAGCGAGATATGCACGGGGTCATCCTTCGGCCCTGTTAGCGAGATGGCAAGATGAAGCGTCGAGCGACCTGGTACGAGTTACAATATCTGCGTACATTCTTTCCGATGACCCCGATGCAAGCAATTGAAGGGACCGCCATTCGAGAGATTCGCTGGCGATATCAGCTGTGTCTAGAGCATATGTGGATGGAACAATAGTCAGTCTTAGTCGGAGTTCTTTCGTGTTGAGTGACGGCGGGAGCTGCCCGGTTGACCAGAAGTGTCCGCCAATCATAACGCATACAATTCATTTGCAATCATGTTTCTCGTCATTACCGCAAATTTGACTACTCTCGGTTAAATAAACCAACCAGGACTCATATAGTAATGAAGGCTAACCATATACGGTTATTATCAGTAATTTAAGTACGACAAATACTACGTTTTCATTCGAGTTGAGCCGCAACGTCTTGGGTCCGGATCCTCACTACCCTGATGTCCGTTCCCCTCGTCCTGCTCGTGGCGACCGTTAACCATTGTCTTCTCGCACGCCTGGCAAGACCCTAGGAAGGTGCTAGTTCTTCTAGAAGGTCTCTGACAGAATCTGTCGCCATAATTAACCATGTTGGCCGTCTCGCGTACGAGAGCGCTTGAGGCGTTGCGCGGTAGGCTTTTCATCATCGCTTGATCACAAATGAAACTGCTAACTTCCGAATAGTACAACCTTTCCTTGTCCCCTCTCTCGCGCGTGCCCAGCAAGTTGCATCAATTAGCACCTCCTCTACCAAATCTGCCAGCGCTGTGCAGCGCCATGACGGAGCCTCTACCCAGCTCACTGCCTCTGGCAAGGTCCGCAGAGAGGTCCCTCTGCCCAGCCAGGAGAAGAAGGAGGGTGCGATGCAATTCGCCTTGTAGGTACAATCGTCAGGTGTTTCCCTTATGGATGCTGATGACCGGTATTAGGACGACCCTCGATCAAATTGCAAACTGGGCCCGTCAGAGCTCTCTCTGGCCGATGACATTCGGTCTGGCTTGCTGCGCCGTAGAGATGATGCATCTCTCTACTCCTCGATACGATCAGGATCGCTTGGGTATCATTTTCAGAGCTTCTCCTCGTCAGTCAGATGTTATGATCGTCGCCGGTACATTGACGAACAAGATGGCTCCCGCGCTACGACAAGTCTACGATCAGATGCCGGATCCGCGTTGGGTGGTTAGTATGGGCAGTTGCGCCAATGGTGGAGGTTACTATCATTACAGTTATTCTGTCACCCGTGGCTGTGACCGGATAGTACCGGTCGATATTTATGTGCCTGGGTGTAAGTATTAATATTAAACCGTCCCCGAGGTTAAATGGTAACTGACAGAGTTATTTGCAGGCCCGCCCACTTCGGAGGCTCTCATGTACGGAATTTTCCAGCTTCAGAAGAAGATGAGACATACAAGGATCACACGGATGTGGTACAGGAAGTAATTGTCTTGGCTAGGAACAGGTGCTTTAACCAAGAATAACGGATCGAGCCAGTGTGTGATCATCTTGTCGTTTCTCTTGTGTCCCATGATTAGATCTTTTGTCCATGCGACGGGGGAGTCTTATTCAGCATGGGTTGTCTCGGCCTAGTGGGCTATCTTAAAGTGTTCCTTTTGTATTTTTTGCCTATAGTTGTTCAATATATGAGAGTCGTCCGGTTCGCCTCAAAAGTAGGCGTCTCTGGAAAAGTGTAATACTAAAGTGCACAAGACTGAGGTGGCTTTCTTTACTAAATAAAGCTGTATGAATTACGAGATTCATCACTCGATATATTATTTATGAACGATGAGGATATCCACATCTCTTTCCAAATTCTGTCTACTCTTAACGATTTCTAGCCATTGACCATCACACCTCCATTGGGATGCAAGCATTGTCCTGAGATATAACTACTGTCCTGGGACGCGAGAAACACGAAACATGTCGCTACTTCGCTTGGTTGTCCCGGCCGGCCCATGGGTACAGCGTGGAATTGTTCCATAGCCTCAGTAGTCATTGTCGCTGGAATAAGGGGAGTCCAAACTGTGCGTGAGAATCATTATGTCAGTACATGATGAGAATTGTTCAAATGGGGCTCTTGTTTTTTTGGACAAACATACTGGGACCGGGGCACACGCAGTTTACGCGGATGCCTTTGCTAATCTGTTGATTGGATAGAGCTCGGGTGAATGCCACGATCGCTCCTTTGGTGGACGTGTAATCGAGAAGATCACCACGGCCGATATACGGGTTCACTGAAGCGCAATTGATGATCGTCGAACCGGGCTTCAGATGAGGCAGTGCGTACTTCGCCAGATAGAAGAAAGGATGGATATTCGTATCGAAGGTACGTATCCATTGCTCCCTGTAAGATAGATAGATACAGTTAGCAAAGCTTCGTTTACACTTGCTCTCCGTGATGGGATAGCTATCACCAAAACCGGAGGGTTGGGGGTTACTCACTCAGATAGATCGCTGATATCCGGTAGCATATTTTGGTAAGCGGCATTATTGACCAGAGTATCAATGCCACCCAAAGTCTGCAAGGCCGTATCAATCACCTTCTTGCAGTTTTCCCTCTTGCGAAGATCTAGCGGAAGCAAGTAGCATTTTTGTCCCTTCTCTTCCACTCTCTTCTTCGTCTCCTCTGCATCTGACTGCTCTTCCGGTAGGTAAACGATCAGGCTTGAAGCTCCTTCCATAGCAAAGAGTAACGCAATAGCGCGTCCAATTCCAGAGTCACCGCCAGTAATGATAGCTCTCTTACCCTGGAGCTTCCCGGCGGCTTTGTAGAGCTGATAGCCTCCATCTTCGGTGGGTATGTGTGTCGATACGGGCTTGGGATCATCCATATCGGACTGCAGTCCAGGATGTTTCTGATGATGAACCGGGACCTTGTGCCCTGAATTCGTCACGAATTAGAAAAAAAGAAAAGAATTGAGGTTCCTGAAGATGTGATCATGACTATACCAGGTTTGAATTGAGACTCCGGGCCACTGGCCGGCTTCACGCTTCTTTTCTCAGTATCCATTTTGTTTCTCTGAATGACTATACCCTATCCCCGTCAAGAGTTGATATAGCGAGACTTCAAGGTTATTATTCTTATTGTCACAATGTCAATAAGAAAGAAAAGAAGCTTGAATATAGCTGTGTAGAATCAACGCCTGACAAGTTGTAAATATAGTCCAGGGCTGCGGACTCTCCGTCACTGTGACGTCTCCACATACGCATTCGAAGTGTTAATGCTTAAGCTTGGAAATGTGGGCCACCAAACAGTGTGTTTCCAGTGCATTGCAGATTTGCCTACGGAGATTCATCCCTAGGACGTGTTCTAAGGTTGACTGTTGAAAGCCATGCTAACTACCTATTACAGCAGTCTCCTTGAGAGCCCGTCCAGTTATTGGCTGGGTAGGTCTTCTTCATTGATGGCGTAGAACAATTCCGCGGGAATATGCACCCATGAGAAGCTCTGGTAACCTTCTCGACCATATACCTGCGAGTCAGATATGAGGCTGTGGAAATACCTATGATTGACGGGGGTATATAGAGTAGTTTCCTGTGTTCTCATCGTTCATGACTGCTGTGACGTTATCTTCACGTGACAGAAAAGCAACATCTTTGCCTCCCCCATAGACGAGTCTACATCGACGTTCTTGAGAAAATAAGCTGCTAGATGCGTAGTGAGTATCCTATTCTCATGATACTTTAGCGGCAGATGGATTGATATTCAGTTCTCAAGAGTCCTTCCTGTATGATACGTAGCAGAGCGGCAACCGGAAACCGGCTAGAGGTTCTTTACCCATCTCGCAAAACACCATTAGAACAGAGACACTCCAGGTAATTATAGCCCATAGCTCTTTTTATGCCCTTTTCTTACCGCTGACAGATTATAGATCAAAAAGTAAATCGTGAAAAAGGCTGCTGGGGACTAAAAGTAGAGAAGCGGGGAGGACCGCAGGGGCAAACAGCGAAGAAGTGGTTTTGAAACAGATGTGGATATACCGCTTCGAATTGAATGAAATCCTGTCCAAAACACGCTATAATCTGATGCTTCAATCGTTTCGCGGGCGTGGAGATTGAGAATTAATTCATCATGTTTTCTAACATGTTCATCAAACACTGCTCACCAAAAGAGCGGCACAAGTGGCGCTCTCAGCCCAGAGTACCCAGACGCAGCACGCTAGAGTAGATAGACTAACCAGATACGGAAACCTCCCGCAAAAATCGACCGAGTCTTGGCATCCGGACCAAAAAAAAGTTATCGGGCTTTTTGTCGTACAGCACATGCTTTAACACTCTGCTATATTTTAACTACCCCATCTCACGTACGGATCTTATATGATCTGACCCGGCGGTATCGCATACCGCCATAATGCCCGTGGCAGTGATGAATTCAGCCACAGAGCCGGTCGGCGATTCTTCGCTGAAGATCGTTGAATCTGTGTCTTCTGCTCCTCACAATTTCCTTCGGCCTACCTCAGACCTTTATGCGTCTTCAGTCGCGTCCGCGAGGTATTATCTGGATTCTCTGGCTGAAGCCGTAAGCTCAATTCAGAGTGCGCGTCAACAGGAAAACAGAAAAAAGCGCAAGAGGTCGGAGCTGGGCGAAAGTTACACGGAAGATGTCCTACGCTTGAAGCAGCTCCATGTGGACGGATTCAGTATTGGTCAGATTTGGGAACAAGCAGCGAGGATACTAAACTCTACGGACAGGGAGATTAAACGGGATCTTTCTGTCGTGTCTGTTCCTGCTAGCGAAAGTGCAAGGGTATCCAAGTCTGCTGCCAGAGAAGCGCCGTCGAATGATGATGATTTTGACTCGGACCAAGACGATGAAGATGATGCCTCTATCATTTCTGGACAGTCGCAGGAGGAACTCGACTACAGTGGTGCCAGTGGATCTGAATCTGAACTGCAAGAAGATGGCTTGGAGGAGTCGCATATGGGAAGCGATGCCGAAGAAGCGTTGGACGAGGACAATATTGCCGCTTCGTCAGATGATGACGAGAATCGCGATTTCTACGTGGAAGATCCACATGGCTTGAACGACGGCTTCTTTTCCATCGATGATTTCAACAAACAGACAGAGTTACTGGAGAGACAGGATATGATGGGGGCCCCTGATGATGACGATGACGACGAGGAAGATATTGACTGGCACGCCGATCCCCTCACTCTGGGGCAGCCATCGTCCATTTCCAGGGGCAAGTCTTCTACGAGGGAAGATGAAGAGGACGAGTCAGATGAAGAGGATGGCCCAACTTTCGGAAATGCCAACCTCGATGAGATGTCTGACTCAGACAATGATGATGGCGCTTACATGGATGCTGGCGGTGATACTGCATGGATCGATACGAGCAATATCAAATACGACGACTTTTTTGCGCCACCACCGCGAAAGGTTTCCAAGAAACACATGCGCGCCCTACCTAAGACACAGCCAGAGCCGCAGGATATCGAGAACGAGCTCGAGCGGGCAATGGCAGATGTCCGCCGCGACCTGTTTGAAGATGAGAGTGAAGTTGAGGGATCTGAGGCAGAATCCGGTGCAGAGAGTCAGGATGGAGCCTCTGGAAATATCCGCTCGACCCATGAGAAGCAGCGGGCAAAGATTGCGAGCGAGATCCGGCGGCTGGAAGCGGAGAATGTCGCAAAGAAAGAATGGATGGTTGCCGGAGAAGCACGAGCGACGGACAGACCAGTCAATTCTCTGATCGAGGAGGACCTAGAATTTGAGCGAATTGGCAAACCCGTGCCTGTCGTTACTCACGAGACCACCGAAGACATCGAAGAGCTCGTCAAGCGGAGGATTGTAGCCAAGGAATTCGATGAAGTGATCCGTCGTCGCCCAGATGCTATAAGTGGGCCGCATACCAAGAGAGGAAGAGTCGAACTTGATGATTCTAAGCCGCAGCAGAGTCTCGCTGAATTATACGAAGCCGACCACCTCCGTGCCACCGACAGCAGCTACGTCAGCCAAAAGGACAAGAAATTGAAACGCGAGCATGACGAAATAACCGAGTTATGGAAGAACATAAGCAGTCAATTGGACTCTCTTTCGAACTGGCATTATAAGCCGAAGACACCGCAAGCGACTATCAACGTGGTTACAGACGTGGCAACGATCACGATGGAGGATGCACGCCCGACAGCGGGCGCTGCTGTCAGCGGTCCTGGTGCATTGGCTCCGCAGGAGATCTATGCTCCTGAAGGTAGCAACAATGCCGGTGAAGTCGTCCTCAAGGGAGGTTCGTCTCTGGCCAAGGATGAAATGAGCCGAGAGGAGAAGCTCAGGCATAGACGCCGCCAGAAGGAGAAGCAGAAGAAGGCAAATGCCAATGCTCCTCCCAGTCAGACTGGCAAGGCGGCGGAGAAGCAACGCGTTATTTCAGACTTGAAGAAGGGTGATGTCAAGGTGCTCGGTCAAAATGGCGAGATGAGGGATGTCCAAGGACGTCTGGCGGGATCTGCTACGGGTAAAAAGGGGGATGTGCTCAAATTGTAAATAGTCTCGACATAGTCAATGATTGCAGATTCGACTTTTTATAATCTACCACTCAGCAACCTATCAAGATCAGGTTGAAGTCTCCGCAGACCGATTCGCCCCAGTCTGTTTGGCGGGTGATTTTGATCTGATCACCCAGATGGTGATGTTTTCTCTGGCGTAAGTCTGACGGTCCGGATCGTCTGTGACCTCAGTAATATCAAAGGCCTTTTTGGCAAGCTTGATAAATCTGAGATCCGCTCTTCGTCGTCGCTTGAAGCAGAAGTAGCAGACGGTCTCAGGGCCTATGAGGCTCTGTAGTGTCTCTACTAAGAGCGGGAACGCAGGTTCAAAGTAGACACAGTCTGCCGCTAGGACCACGGCCGGATGGTGAGGGATGTCCTCCGGGAGAGGGGTTCCCCAGTCAAGCACGCTGGCCTTGACCAGCGGCAACAGGTTGTTTAGTTTGATGTTGGTTTCCATCAAGGCAAGCATGGGCTTCTGGTCGGTGATATAGATGGGAGAGTCAACTGAGCAGCCTCGAGCGACAGCTAACCCGACAAGGCCTCCCCCGGCACCTAATTCAACTCTGTGTGGTTTCTGTCAGCATAAAACTTCATTGAAGACTAAGTCTGCATATGAAGAATCCGCATTTGCAATGAAACAGCGTTGGGATGGAGCATACAGACATAGTCTTACCACGCAGGTCTGAATGATGCCGACGGAGCATGTACTTTGAGAGCACAATGCCCGCCGGCCAGAGTTGTCCACCGCATCCTTCCTTGAGATCTTCCTGGAGTACTAGAGGCTCAGAGAGCAGGCCATCAAAATCGATATTTGTCGTCCCCGCGGTCTTCTGCTCCCTTGGAGGAACCAATGACTCGCTGATAGCGAAGGGAGAATCCTGGTCCGATTCTCCCGAATCGTGGACGCGGTCCTCCATGCAGGAACAGGCGGGACGATCGTGCACGGAGCGAGACTAGCGCGTGTGGAATCCAGGGGACTGCAGGAATAGGATACGCAGGAGGTGGCTGGGAAGCGTTAACGACTCAAAAATCCAAGGATAGCGGGAAGAATGGGAGAATCCTCTTTTGGGAAAGAGATGGATCATTTACTGTGATATTTTTAGCGGGGATCTGGATCTCGAAACGGAAGCGTTTTTTATGACCGTGCGTGCGGGGAGGGGAACGATGATGACTAAGTATCGATACGGTTTTGTAACTTAATTTACCTACCTAGATACCTACCTAGGTACGTATCCAGTAACGGCAATAATGGTTAGTTAGTGCTCTCCAGGCTAGTTAGCCCTGGCGAGCGATTGATCTTTCCCGAATCTATACTGTATGTACTATGAAGAAACATGAAATATGATGCGAAAAGACAATGGAGCAGGGAACCTTTCAGGAACCCTAGACGTTGCCCAGGGATATGACGCGGTAGAGCAGGGCAAGAACATGAAATCAATATCAATTAATTACTCCGTAGTCCCGTAATTACCTCCGTAACCGGGAAGTTGCCAAGTTAGCGCGGAGTCCTTGCGACCTAGATAGTCTAGAGGAGAACGCCAATTGATGGAGCTGCAGCCATCGCGCTCACATTCTGGGATCCATTAATGGGTATGGTAAATAATATAGGACGAATCCAGGTACGGAGTGTCTCAGTGAGAAATCAATAATAATGATTAGGGCATGGCCGACTACGGCAGATGGCTTGTTTTATTTCTTCTCTTGGCAATCAAGAAGCTTGATGCTATGTAACTAGGTAACTAGCGTCGCCGGCCATGACTGTTTGCGTCCAGCCGCGGCTTGACGTCAACGAGGGCTTGTATACCAATTATTATTGCCCCAGTTGGACTCTTTTTTCATACTGTAAACAGGCTTGCCAAGATGGACTTTCGTGCTCATTGCTCATCATCGCATGTCCACTTGCGGTCATGACGACGTCATCACATTGCCCGGCTGGATCCAGCCTGGGAACAGCCAAACCATGTGACTTCCATCCCGGCTCGTTCAAAAGGCTTCATGTCGCCCTTGCTGGTCGTCTTCGATTCTATTATTACTGCCAGATCCGATCATCTCATCTCGTCTTGATCTTGAACATCTTAATCCTCTGAACCTATTCCACATCCTCCCACCATGGCTACCCTGCACTGTAAGTACTTCCCCTCGGACATTACCTAGTCCTTCCACAATCCAATGGATGTCTTCAAGAAACTGATCATCATTCCATCTAGACCTCCCTCCCGTGAAGCCCTCCGCCATTGCGCTGGGAGCTGTCTTCACCCACACCGCTTCCCTGGGCATCCTTACCCCCGTCTTCGGTGACACCTACCACCGTGCTCAGGCTGCAAACACCAAGGAGGAGTTCCTGAAGTCCAAGGAGACCGCCAGCGCTGTTGCCGCGTGGGGAAGCTCTCTGGTCGGCAGTGCTGTCCAGACCTACGGTGTTGCCGCTCTGATCAACGCAACCGGTACCCTCAGCTACAAGGGTGCCGCCTACCTGGGCAGTCTGATCTTCTTTGCTAGCTCCGCTCCAAGCGTATGTCACGATCCAGCCATGCCATGTTCTTAACGCACTGGGCTTGATTAACTGACATTGAAACCATACAGTTCATTTCCCAGATCTTCACCGAGAAGAGACCCCTGGACACCATTGCTGTCGGTGCCGTCAGCCGTGTGTTCGAGACCGTGGGTCTCAGTTTGTTCCTCACCTGGTGGGGAACGCGTACCAACCCTTTTGATTAAATAAACTGTTGCGGTATATGTCCTTTGATGACGGTTCGGACGAGACCCGGGAAACGATTTCTTATCCATGTCTTATCATAATTGAGCAACCGTGTTGTATAAATCAGGACGAACAAGGTTCCTCTTAATAAAGAATTTGCGGTGTCGTTCATCTGTTGTGTTTTGACGTAAGAGAAGAGTTCAAATATAATGTCGAGACTGTAATAATTATTGAGACTGTCGTGTCCACTGCGCAGCGTTCGATTGGATATTCACAGGTAGAAAAGTCGCACATTTCCGCCCCTACCTATATTCTAAAGATGTTCCTCACGCACAAGAACCAGTGGTTAGAATGATAGGACTCACTATAGCCGTGAATACTATTCTCATTTGCAAGATATAACACAGAATCTACATAACCATACCACCGAGTCCAGATGACAAGGGAGGCCGTTCGAAAGGAAATCTAATATGACAGATTGGCTCGCGCAAGAGGTCCCAATGTGATGACATAATAAACTGATTTCTTCGAGAAACGACCTAATAAGAGAGAGAGAGAGAGAGAATATATTTAGACAAAGGTACGGCAAGGATATCTGCATGAAAAGAAAAAAATATAGTTAGCTCTCGAATCATTCTAGCTCTCAGTCCCAATGATTCAGATACGTACTTCTCTGGATAAGCCTGCTCGGCACCCAGCTTGTATCTCGGCTCCGGGTTCAAGTTGGCAGGCAGAGGCGGCAATCCGTTAGGTCCCAGGATACCCTGAATACCCTTCTTGTCCTTCTCGAACAGAGCGGCAAGACCGCGCTCCTCACCTTCCTGCTTCACCGCAACCAGCTGCTTCTGACCAGCTTCTCCGATCTGCAGAACATCCTCCTTTGGTGCGGCCTTGCTTCCTACGCTGAGGAGACCCACAACATCCGCCTGGTTAACCACGCTCAGTCTCGGGTAGTTTCTGCGCGTGTCTCGCTTCCAGTAGGGGTTGTCGGCGATATCAGCGGCAGGAACAGTGACAGGGTCATCGTACGATTCCGGGGGGAGAGATCCTGGCGTAGGCCAACGGTACTGAGGGTTCAATGGGACACCGGTAGATCGGGTAGGGTCGACGGCTAGAAGGCGGCGAATACGCTCCCAGATGCCGGTCGACTGGACGGTATATTTCTACAAGCTGTCAGTAATCCGGCATCGAGTAGAAAAAAAAAGAAAAGAAAAGGCAGGATAAGCCGCAGGAGACTCACCTTGTGGACGGCAATCGCATTTGACAGCGATTTGCCCACTTTCAGCGCATCCCGAGTCATGTTGGCACGCCTAGAAGAGGCTAACTTTCCTGTGTATCGAAGTCATCAGAGAGAATGAAACGAAGACGAAACTGCCGCTTGAGCCAGCAACGACTGCTGGGCTACATACCTCGTGAATTCAAACGCTTACCGAACTGATGCTCTGATATCCGAACGAGAACGGAGGTGGTTTGAGGTGCAGTTGTCGGGATCGGGAAATCTATATTCCGAGAGGGAAATGCATATCACTTCGGGGCACTCTGATGTAATAAGATCTTCGAAAGAGAGGGGGCACAATGGAAAATTCACAGATTGTGGATTCGAGCGTACCGTAAATTCGTTCTGGTTGTCTCATTACATTTATTCGATCTCATCTAGGATGGTTTGCATATCTGGACTATGTTGCGGTTTTTGCAGATGACTATCCGCATTTGGATGCTTTGTGATTCGCTCCCTGCCATTGAATCTTGATCCGAGTAAATGCTGAGGGACTTATGTTCAACAATAGGTCTAGAATACTTTTGAAACACTTCCTTTCAATAACAATGCTCTAGCACTGTGGATTCAAAACCGTGCGATAAATTATGTACATACATACTTAAATACTCTACCACAACCCACTGTGATCTCATCTTTCCGTGGGCTAATGTTCGATGTTGTACATCAGACATATAGATGCCTCGCGCACAGAGAGATGCGATTAAGAACTCCTATATCTAGAATACCTAGATAAGGGTCGTTGCTGCAACAGTACCTGATGAGTTACCGAACATCATGACTTGTCCGGGGCGGACGAGCCGTCTGCTTTTGTCTCCGAATCTTTGGATTCGTCTTTGCCCTCATCTGGTTTGCTCTTCACTAGCGCTCTCACGGCGTTAACAGTTGCCTCCGGTCCACCAGCCTCTGAGATCAGGACCTTTCCGGCCTTATCCACGACGACGACTCCTCTGAGCGTTCCTTTTGGTGCCTTCTTGAAGCCGAGAGCCCCAATTAGGCTAGCCTGTTGGTCACACAGGAGAGGGTATGGAAGGTTCTGTTTAGTCTTGAAGGTCGTGTTGGCCTTGGGTGAATCGTTGGAGAGCCCATAAATAGCCAGACCGGTGGAGGTCAAGTCGCTGTAATCATCGCGGAAAAAGCATGCCTGCCTTGTGCCTTGGATCATTATTAATTTCAACTTCATCGTTTCTTCCTTCCGGGACGTATGTGTTTTGACAGTCTTGGTCATTTGCAGAAGGAGTATACGAACACAAAGGGAAGAGAGAATAATAAAGAATCTCGCCGTGCTTACAAACTCCAGTCCGAATCACGCCTTGGGGCAGTTGGAGCTCAAGACAAATCTCATGGACTTCTACCAGGCAAATAGGGGCGTTGGAAACGGGATCGAAGGACGAGAAGGAATACTTACATCCAGGGGTCGAAGCCTTGGGGTATGTAAAAAGAACAACTCCCGCTTCACTCTCGTCAACCAATGCCTTCAGCGTCGTCTTGACACCCTCGTGCGTTTCGATTTCTCCTCCAAACCCATCGAGTTGAATGGTATCTCCCACCGAGGGAGTGCTAGATTTCGACGATTGAGCGGCCGAGTCCTTCTGGGCTCCCTTTGCCGATGCTCGAGGTCGACCTCTGGTAGCTGCCTTCTGTGTTACCTTGGGCTTCTTCTCCGTCGGGGCGGGCTCTGCGGGTGCTTTGCGCTTCCTGAGTTCGACCATGTTGGTAGCGGCGCGATACCAATGTTTATGTGATCAGGGTGTTTTCTGGAGTTTTCAAAGACAGATAATAGCGCACTTGCCAGGAGCGATTTGCAATAGAAAGTGAGGGATTAAGGGAATAATAAGCTTGAGTGGTGGCAGTGAGTTATAGCAAACGATAAGGAGTAATATGCGACGGACCTTTCCAGCTGCGACGCGCGGGAAACGCGTTCTGGACTTATTCTACTCCGTAGTTACTCTAGTCCAAGGGCCCGCTAACCCCGGTGTCCGGCGCGGAGATATCGACTACTACTAGTAGAGGGAGTTACTGAACTGGGTTGAGTATCGTGTCTTGACAAGCCTGTCACTATTGAAAAAAAAAAAAATCAATTAATCACTATCTGATAGTTACACCCAGAAATATGAGTCATTACATGCATACTATGCACGTGGCAAACTCCATCCTCAGTTGATACATCACGCAAGAGGACCCCGTTACTTATGCCCCCCTAAATTCGTACTCAGGACGTATGGTAGTAGTTATAGAGTCCTGCACCATATGGCAAGCGTTAAGCTGCCAAGATGATGAGATCATAAAGGCTTGTTTGTACTCGTCCGTAGAGAACCATAAAACCAGACGAGGTTCCCAAGGTCAAGGAAACAAATCCCGATCGACACTGCAGGTGGAGCAGATCTACGAACACTCTAGTTTTGACGTGATGGACAACTTGCCTGGATTAAATTCTTACATGCAGAATCGGTGTACAGACTATAGTGTGATGGTGTATGTGAGATAACGGTGTGCTTATGAGTATTTAGTCAGCACTGTCCTTTTTGATTCTGTTCACGCATGTATGTATGTAATTACTTTATTTTGTGCATTGAGGCTATGATTCTCCGTTACTGCGACCGGAACGTCAGAAACTAGATTATCTCCCCAGGATGACGTTTTGCGTGCTGATCCGCCAACGAGATTTGCCAGAAATAACAGGGCGGACTGGGATAATAAATACCTGTACCTGTTATTGGATAATTAATTCGCATCATACATAGTAATAATGATAATCGCTGTGAGGATGGAGAGTTTTGCGGGCGCAGAAACGGTTAGAACCACTCTAGTCTTCTCCAGTTGGCCGATAGAGAACCTTGGAAGATTCCCAAATGGGCGTCGGAGCCGGTGGCCAGTTTTGCTCACACGACCACCGTGGAGGCTGGGAAGTGGCAAGAGATATCAGAGACCTATCGTGTTCAACTACTCGAATATACTCGAGGAAGAACAGGACGAACAGGAAGACAATGGGAGACAGAACCGTGGAAATGAGGCCGCGAGCAGCCTACCTGAGGGCGTAGTTCCCTGGCCCGGCTTCCGCGGTCGGGCGGTTCAGGGACGCCGTTCGCCCAGACTTTTTTTTTGCCTGGCGCAGAATCCAAATAGACCCGCCTCCCGCTTTTCACTGAAGAACAAAAGGAACCTCGACTTCTTTCTCCATAGATCGTCTTCGTTGCCTCTTTCACGACGTCCATGTTCTGCTGCTTCTTGAACGCAATTTGATCTCTTCTCTGTCTGCACTTGAGCATCGCGTTCTTCTCGCTCTTCTCACTCTTCTCACTCTTCCACTCGTCCGTTTCCCCATCTCTACAACTGGTTTCTCCGCCAGTACTTCGGGTCACGCGCACAGAGCCGGTTCTCCGGTGAACAAACTCACTCGCCCTTCTCCTCTTCTTGCCATTCTACCAACCCTCAAAATGAAGGTCTTTTCCTCCAACTGCACTTTTGATTACTCCTGGGACGAGGTCTCCACGGCAAACTGGCGCAAATACTGTCCCTGGAACGATAAGTCCACTCATGTCGTTGCGGCCGATACGCTATCGAGGGTCGTGGACCCGCAGACAGGCATTGTAAGTCATCTTCAACCTGCTGTAGGTGATCGTCTGGCTGACAGTTCTGGGTCCAGCTACGCACGGAACGTCTGATCACCTGTAATCAGTCAGTGCCACAATGGGTGCTCTCCCTCTTCGGCGGCAGCGCCACTTCTTATGTCTATGAAGTCTCCTACGTCGATCCAATCACCAAGAAAGTCACGATGTGTTCGACCAACCTGACCTGGTCAAACGTCCTGAATGTTCGCGAAACCGTCGTCTATCGGCCGTCTCCATCCATGCCAGCCTCGAAAACCGACTTCCAGCAAGAGGCCAAGATCACTGCCCTCTGCAGTGGATGGCAGAAGATCAAGAACAAGATCGAAGAAGCTAGCGTCGAGCGATTCGGCCAGAATGCGAAGAGAGGCCGTGAGGGATTCGAGGCCGTGCTCGAGATGAGCCGCAGAGTGTTCAGCGAACAGCGAGAACGCGAAAACCAGAAAATCCAGTCCTAGATGACTGCCAAACCTTCTACGGAATTGCCGTGGATGTGTCCTTCCTATTTCCATTCCCATTCTCCATGGTCTTAACCAAGCGATTGCATATTTAGCATACGTCCTGACGATCAGCATCGCAACGTGAGTTCTTTGGCGTTTTTCTGATTTTACACCATTTGTCTATTTTGGCCGTCTTTTTGAGACGAAGAGAAAAGTCGATTTCTAGATGGCGTCTGCAGGGGGGGGTTTTTTTTGTTTTAGATAGTCTTACACTCGTTACTTGGGATGCGATAAAGCATGGGTAGATAGGGGTTCCTTTTGTTCATTTTCTAGATAGACGTTTTAGTTTTTGTCTCTTCAAGCAGCGAGCTTTTTCTGGCGATTCTTTTACTACATGGGATGCGGTGTACGCAATGGTTCTTATTGTTGTATAGAGTTATCATTTTGTCGGAAGCACCTGTATATATTATGCTTTGGAGCAGATTATACCTATTTCGATTCTCCACCGTGCTCATTCATCATGTGTCTCATTAGAGTATGCTAAGCATGACCGACTATGCGAGTCTCCCAAACACATTCGAGAAGGAATAAACGCCTTGCTGGATCAAACAACGATGCTGAAACCAAAAACTATCCCAAACCAATTGAACATATTCATCCCAGGAGACCGCCCAGCACCACCCGACCCACTCCAGAGATCTCATTCTTCGCACCGCTCCTGCTCGCATCTTCAAACTCACGCACTACCCCGGCCACGATGACCTTGCGCAACCTGGCGTCCGCTTTCGTGAATATTTCCCCCAGAGCAGCGGTGCAGACCGCAGGACTGGACACCAAGGAAACGAGCCGCGTGTAGCAGTCTATCAGCACATCGCATAGAGTTGCAAAGGTCTCGAAGAAGTCAGGATCAAAGGGCAAAGACGGCGTAAGGAGATACGAGTATTCTTCTCCAGGCAGGAGGTCGGAAAACTCCGTAGTTGGAAACGACATCACCGACGACGCCGCGCCCGAAGAGTTTCCCGTTATAGACTTGGCATCAGAATTATCACCTGATTGCATAGGAAGTCCAATCTCATTGGCAGAGCTGGATCTTCTCGTCTTGATGCTGGAATGCGCCGCTGCTCTCTTGAACATCTGAGGAATACGGGCCCTCGCGAGCGTCGATGACGAGCCTCCATCGGGAGGATGTACCTGCTGAAAGGTCTCGAATTCTAGCAGCAAGGCGTTCAGGGAACGGAGATATTCAAAGGGGGTAGAGTTGATATCAAGAATCGGCGGCAGAGATAATCCCAGGAGAAGATAATTGATTGAGCGACGTGTGAGCTTCCGCTGGTCGAAGTATGACATGCGCGAGAGATCTGCCTTTGAGAAATGGACCGTGTTGAACCAGTATACGCGGCCCTCATGACTTTATCATAATAGTCCCGTCAGCAACTCTTGCTCAAAACAGTATTTGTAGGGGGAAAGCGCATGGATTCCACTAACGCTTTTCTAAGGTAATCCAAGGTCGATATCCGTTTCGAAGCCATGTCATGAATGTGTTGATAGATCGCAGCTGCGCTTTGCGGTCCCAATGATCCTCCACCACTAACGGCCGGAGGAGGGAGCGGAGGAACGACGTCCTGGGCTGATTGTCCCGCGACTGAGGACTTGGTATCTCTCCGAGAGAGCCCTGACGACATCATCTTAGTAAATTCAGGTATAGAGGCGGTGATAATCGCAGCAGTCTTCGCTGATCGCAGCCAGAGCCGGAACGGAGTGCGCAGTAGTTTCCAATCTGCGCATGGGATCTAGTTAGAATCAAAGAAAAGCCGAAAGTACTTTTTGCAGCATGATTGGGTCCAGATAGCTGCTGGGTCTCTACTCACAGATATCTCAAATTGACGTCCCTTGCGACGCCCCTATTCCCCCAATCTAGACCATTTATTGAAAGTCGACCTAAGACTTGAAGCACAGCTGTGACCGTCCCCGGATATGCAGCGTCCCAACGCTTGGAAACCAGACTCCGAGGGGGTGGCACCGAGTGAAATTGTCTGGGATGATCCAAAAAGACAGAGAAGTTAATTAAATCCAATGAATCTGTCCCTAAGTTGATGTTCGCGAGCACCTGAAGGTCCCGCGGTTCGGAGGTTAGCTCCAGGGGCCGATTGGCTAGTGTGGTTTCCCCTCCTGAACCTCGATGAGGGGACAATAATTCGATAACAATTCCATTCTTCTTATCACATTGCCCATAAGACCGAAGGGGGATTATCTTTTCAGATCTTATTCTTCAGATTTATCCTTTACTTCTTGCCGCGACTGTGCTACTACATTCATTTCCGTCGACCTCGATCTCCAACCGCCATACTACTTACCCTCCTTGCATATGGCTTCATCCGCCGACGAGGTCATCCCGTCGCACGGGCAATGGCCTGTCGACCCTCAGGAGGACACCCCGATATCTAAGGATCGCATTTGGGTGGACGGATGCTTTGACTTTAGCCATCATGGTAAGATCCAGATACAATCTTCGGTTGATAAGATGCGGGTTTGCTAACAGAGTCGGCATGTGTAGGTCACGCTGGCGCAATGCTCCAAGCCCGTCGACTCGGAAAGGAGCTGTTTGTTGGTATTCATTCCGATGAAGCGATCCTTGAAAACAAAGGGCCTACAGTCATGACTCTCAAAGAACGGTCGGTTGTTACCTTGATACGTCCAACTACATCGTGCTGACGACGATCTTCCCAGTTCAGAGTGGCAGCTGTCGAGGCATGTCGATGGGTTACGAAGGCCGTTCCTCACGCACCCTACGTCACATCGCTTCCCTGGGTCTCGCACTACGGATGTTTCTATGTGGTCCATGGAGATGATATAACCTCAGATAGCAATGGTGAAGATTGCTATCGTTTTGTCAAGGCCGCTGGCCGTTTTCTTGTGGTGAAGAGGACGCCTGGTATTTCTACTACAGATCTGGTCGGGCGGATGCTTCTCTGCACACGAGGCCACTTCATCAAGTCCTTCCAGGGTGCGCTCTCAGGCGAAGAAGGACCTGGCAGCCCGGAAGAGAGGAAGGCATATGCGGATGATCTCCTGCAGAGGATTCGAGAATACGCCACCGACCAGACCGGATTACAGCCAGGACCGGAAGTTTGGACATGGACTGGATCGGATTCGGCCAAGCTCAATCACACCAATGAAGAGCCCGGAGTATTCGACAAACTCGTCGCTGGGAAGCCGCCAAGACCTGGTCAGCGGGTCGTCTATGTAGACGGAGGATTCGATCTTTTCTCATCCGGCCACATTGAATTCCTACGGCAAGTTGTGGCACTAGAGGAGGCTGAAGGTCGGCAGCGGGGCTGGTACGAGCCTCAGCAGAGGGAACAGAGATTGAAAGAGCACGGTGAAGACTACGAACCCGCATACGTTATCGCCGGTATACATGATGATGCCGTGATCAATCACTGGAAGGGGCTGAACTATCCGATCATGAACATTTTTGAGCGAGGCCTTTGCGTTCTTCAGTGCAAGGTCAGTTATTCCCCCTTCCATTCTGCTGGATAATTGCTGAAGTTCCTAGTACATCCATGCGGTCGTATTCTCGGCCCCTTTCACCCCCAGTAAATCCTACTTACAGGCGATGCCGACGGGAGTGCCCAGCGCCGTTTATCATGGGCCAACTACGTTCATTCCCCTTACATATGACCCATACACAGCCCCGAAGCAGATGGGTATCTTCAAGGAAATAGAGAGGCACGACTTCCAGGACGTAAATGCTGGTCAAATAGTCCAGAGAATCCTGAAAAGCAGAGAAGCATTCGAGGAGAGGCAGCGAGCCAAGCTGCAAAAAGCTATCGTGGAAGAAGCAGTCAAACAAAAGGAGGCTCAGGCCTAGTGAAGAAGGCCGGTGAGCAGGTCCAGATCGAAGTAAGAAATCCAGCATAACCCCGGCTCATCCACAGTTATCATTAGCCTGTGACTGACGATACATCGCAGATGTCATCCATATCCGATGACGGTGGACATAGGGTCCGGTATAGAATGGTTTTGAGCCTTGTAATAGTCTGTACATAGAATATTGGTGACAACCGGGGACTGAAAGGTAGGGCATTGTATAATGAGAAGGCAGAACAATACTGCTTTACATGATACTGCATGCTACTCGAGAATAAGCACTCAACTTGCTATATAATACGCCTCAGCTATTGGCACTTGAGGTGCCCATATAACTATTATGCACTCTTGATATCTGCGTTGATTTCGATTCCAGAGAGTTGAACCGAGACGAATTAAGTGAGACCAAACGACATTATTTTGGGATAGCTATTACTAATATCTATCTCTATAGCCGGTAGTGGTAGTATTAACGACAGACAAACAAGGTCCTAGGGCATAACGCGCAGGTTAACTATATGATATCGAATAAGTATCTCGTGCTATCTGCCTAACTCCGTTGGACATGTCTCGAGTTAGTGGAATCAAGTTGACGGATTCATATAGAAGATTCAAATGGCATACGCTTAATGGCATAACTTGCCAGTCCACTTTAGGATATTGCACTTATAATGGATATAGGCCGAAGTAAATAGGATAATCTGACATTCTCGGCGCCTACATGTTAGCACGACAAATAATGATTTCCAAATACACTGAGCAGATTTATCTCACTAGCAGTCTTCCAAGGACCAGTATTAGAAGGTTGGTAATCTAGTCACCAGATTCAAATTCCCCAGTCCCACAATCACTAAGAGTGAGCGACGAGTTTCTGGGCGAGGTCCTTCATAACCCCCCAATACTTCCGTTTCTCAACTCGCCACGCCTGCTCATAGCAGCACAATTAGATATGAGGAGATTAATATTCAATTTAATTCTCACCTTTGCTTTCGCCTTAGACTTAGCTATAGCTTTCTTGCTCAAGTCCTTGATTTTCTCAACGTCCTCACGAAAAGCGCGTTGCAAGTCCTCTTTGTCTCCTTCGCTTTCTTGACGTGATGCTTTAGCAGAATTAAACTTCTTTTTAAAAGAACCACGAAGCTGATCTTCGAGTATGTTAAAGCGAGCTGGTCCCAGAACTTCCACGCCTAGAGAGACGATCTTTTGCTGCGTCTTACCCCATTCCTTCCATAAACCGTCAAGTTGACGTTGATCGGTCTCTAGCTCATCGCGCAGATTTTGCAGATTCGCACTAGAAGGCATCACTAATTCAGGGGATCGTCCTGATGGTCTCGATCTTGCGAGTGTCTTCTCTCCGCGTGATGATGATCGTGCTAGGTATTGCTGAGTAGAAGAGTATTTCTTCATCAGGAGATCTAAAACCTCCTCTTCTTTCTGGACGAGGGATAGTTCTAGATCTCTCCTTATCGCAGTGCGGGTGTCATTCAGGGAATCTGAAATCCATTCCAATCAGTAAGTCCACCATGGATGATCTTGCTAGAACGCTCCTATTTTGTCTATCTCACCGGTGAAATTTTCTAGAAGCTCTTCCTTGGATATGAGAGGGCTTTCGGGCCTAGTGAAGGCCGGCATGTCTGTAGTAGTAGTAGTCCTGGTGTTGTATACATCGGGCTTTCTGATGGAGACTTTGGTCTTCCCCTTAAGAGCATCTTTCTGGGTAGATGGTTTTGAATACCGGGCACGAGATCTGAAATTGTACTCAGAAGGAACGCTGGAAAGAGCTTTTGGTTTATGTTCTTTGCGCCTTGCTGGCATTTTGGCTCTATGCGGAGAGTGTGACAACTTGCTCTATCAAAGTCGTTGAATATCCCGGGCCCCTGCCAAGGAGACAAACAGGAAAAGGTATTCCAGAACAGCTTTCTGTCGATACAGAAATGACAAACCGATAATGTTCGAAAGCATGTAGCTCGTAAGAGGGGAGTTCGGCTTCTAAGGAAGAGCACGAGGAAGTAACGTGACCTTTGAACTGAACTATGAGTAGAGAATCTGGATAAATATACTGTACAACTAGTAACGGAAACCCATACGTACATGCTCTCGGGGATCTAGAATAGGAAGAAAAATAAGAAAAGAAAGAAGACCAAGAAACGAGACAGACAGATAGATGACTGGACCACGATTCTTCTCATAATAACACAAAAGGCCCTCTATTCAGGCTACCGTACAAGACAGGTATAGACGATATCAATATATCGTGAGCAAACGACAGACACCCTCTGAATGAATGAATCCTTTACTCCGCCGCAACCAGGACTCCCTTCTCTTCCAGGAGCTTCGAAAGCTCTCCGTTCCGGTGCATGGACATCAGGATATCGCAACCACCGACAAACTCCTTGTCAACGTACAATTGCGGGATGGTCGGCCAGTCTGAGTACTCCTTGATACCTAGTGACGCAAAACCATCAGTTCTCCGTGAATCTAAGACGACGGAAGAAGGCGGAGGAACACAGCGCATACATACCTTGTCGAAGTTCCGGGTCCTCCAAGACGTTAAAAGCAGTGAACTTCTTCGGGTCGACACCCTGAAGGCCCAAAATCTGTATAGTTGCTCGAGAAAAGCCACACTGGGGCGTCTCGGGAGTGCCCTTCATGAACAGAACAACCGGCGCAGAAGCCACTGCCTTGTCGATGGCGGCTTTTGTCTCCGACGAAAGAAGGCGAGCCTGGAGAGGGGACAATCGAAGACCAAAGAACGGTTTCGGAACAGGGACAGAGGTCAAGCGCGTAGCTTGCCGGAATGCCTTCAGATAGATCTTTAGTCAGAATAACTTGCGGCGCGCAAAATAGCAGCAACAGATGAACTTACCGATGGGAAAGCAGATCTGCAGAACATGATGTCTAATAACCTTTGAGGTGAAATAACAAGAGACACCTGATGCCCCGGCAGAAAAAGAGCAGAGTTTGTATACTGGAAATTGTTTTGGACGAGGTTATTTTTTTTATGACGGCATTCTTGGACTCCAAGGACCGACGGATGGGATGCTTACTTAACCGCCAGTGGCGTCAATAAGTTACTAGGTAACTTAAGCGTACACTAGCAGAACATTATGCGGAGAACAACAGTCGGGGCATGGAACCAGGCCATTATTATTATTACCGATACCGTTATTGGCCCAAATGAAGACTGGAAGAGGCGACATGCAAGGCGCCAAACTAGCGGACAACCATCCAAGGATGAAGTATACATGTATCGCTTGCGTGAGGACACTACCTTTAGACAGTGACAACACGATATCTACTTGCGCTACGACTCGGATTGAGAAACTAATATAACTTCAGTACAGAGCTAGAAACGTGATCGCTGGTCCTATCTGCTGATATCGAAATTGGCGGTTGCATTTGGGATCCTGATAAACTTAAATCTATCTATCTATACATACTCCATCTCCTACTAAATACTGATACACGTGAGCGAGGCCTGCAGATCGACAAAGCTGCCACAAAAGACCCTGGTCCAAAATTTAGCGGCTTCATGCAAGTTCAGAGTTGGACTTCGTCTCTTCATCATAGAGTCCCAGAAGCCGTGCGACGTAGTCACCCAACAACCCTAATGTGATTCCACCACCGGTAAACCAACATCCATTCTTGAACCACCACCAACAATTCTTCACGTCTTTCAGCTGGACCCGTGAGATCATCACACCGAGGGTGAGAGCCGCACTACCGCATGTGCCGAGGAAATAGATAGGGCCCGCTCCTGCTGCCAAACCTGCTGCAGCAAGGAGGGACACCTGTGCGACGGCTAGGCCAGATAGCACAGTCTTCGTATTGTGCTCGTGGCGTAGCGCAATAGATTTAATACCAGCTGCCACATCGTCTTTAATGTCCATATGTGCGTAGATCATATCATACAAAACTGTCCAGGAAATGCAGCTGGCATACAGGGCGGCTGCTGTCTGCAAGGCACTGGGATTCGAGAGAAGGTCAACTCCAAGGGCCGGGAACCCCATGATCGCACCCCACGAGAAGGTAAGCCCCAGGACAAACTGCGGGTAATTGGTCACCCGCTTGGCGAGCGGGTATGTTGAAACGAGGAGCAAGCTTGGTATGCCATACCATAAGCATTGCGTGGGGAATTGAAGAAGGATACCGAGACCTGCTAGTAACTGCGTTCCGGTAAAGATGATGGCTCTTTCGGGAGTCAGCGCTCCTCGAGCAATGGGCCGCAATTTCGTCCTCTCGACTTTGGGGTCTAGATTCCTGTCCCATAGATCGTTGATAGCGCATCCAGCCCCTCTCATAATCAAAGCACCACTGAAGAATAGAGCTGTTGTCGTGATCACGTCCGTCGGTGTAGCCATCGGCGTTGCCATTGGCGCCGCGAGAAGAGTCGAGAATAGGCAAGGGAAGAAGAGGTAATATGTTCCGGTTGGTTTGTCCAGACGCACAAGCTCAGCGTAAGGTACCCATGATTTGGGCAAATAGGCGAGCAAGCCAGTCTGCGGTGGCACGTACTGTACAACAGGCGATTCTTCCTTTTCTGTGACGGGGAGGGAGGCAGGAGTGGGGGACTGTGACGAGGTAGCCGACTTGTATTCCCTGATTAGCAGCCTCCTGGAGATTGCATGTAGCCTCCAAGGTTGTTGAGAGACTCGAAGGTGGCATGCACTGGCCATCATCGGGGCTTTGGAGATAAACGACGTAGACACAGGTGCGAGGTTTCTGGCGGCAAAATGTCTTCCCAAGCGCAATGGGGCCTTACCCCCTGCTTCCCTCAGATTACAGTGAAGGCGCATAGGGGCAGTCACACCCGAACACCTGAAAGGAGATGCCATCATATAATTATACGCAGTAAAGGCAGATCTTCTCGCGCGCGAGGTTTCGGTAGGCGTTGCGGGGATAAGCGGTTCGCGTTTTCAGCTCAAAGAAACATGGTTTTCGCAATATATTGAACGATATATATGCAGTCTCCGAGGTATCCTCCAGTACAGATAGAAGGGGTCAGTTCGCGCGGTCAATTCGTCAATTCGTCACTTCTATGCTCGTGCAGAGGATAAATCGGCCGGCTGCGGGTGTTGAGCGGAGTTTATTTGGTGAATTGGCTCTATGGCAGTGAAGCCAAATCTGTGATGCGTTAAGGACAGTATTGGCCAATTGATACCTGAGGAACACAGTAATGAACGAGGTTTGCAGTAAGAGTGAAAGAACGAGGAGCAATTCACTATCTAGATAGATCACTTCGGCTTCACATCTGGAGCTTTTGATCGGACCGGCAGGAACAGCCAGAATAGGACTAGCGCATCGCGCCGACGCTGCACGCCGCCGCGTCGAGATAGATGGACAATTATCACCGACCTCGCTATCCATGCTTCACTGCTCATCTGCGTTCCTTCACTCCTCTTCCTTCACTCTTCATCCAAAGACTAGGAGGGTTCTCGCAACAGGGTCTGTTGTCTGTTCAGTTTGCCACCAACCCAAATTTGAAGAGTCTCCTTAACTTGCCCATCTACCTTCGCTCCTCCAACAATCGTTGAGCGCCCGGCGTTGCGCTCTCACTATGAAGTGATAACTCAGGTCTGAGTTACTCTCGCTGATCGTTCACCTTGTCCTCTCACATGAAGGAACCCCGTCCTTTCGTCGGTAATATCGGCGACGCGTGGAGAGAGCGCTATCTATTTTGGTGACCCGTTCTCGGCTTGATTTGACCAAGTCTAGCCTCGTTGTCTCCTGGTGATATTTCACGCGAGATGCCCGCGCAGCGCCCCTGTGCTGCCTTTGAGCCTCTGCCACCGGACCTTGACGTTACGGCGCTCGTCGAGTCTACGCCGAACTTTGAGTTCGCGGTTCGCATCCATTGCGACGCGATCGATGAACAAGGACTGGAAAATTTCGAGAAGCTAGTGCTTTTGCATGTGGTTCTAGGAGGGAAACCGCTGGTCATAGAGGGGTACGAAGACCGGTTGGACAAATGGACTTTCTCAGAGCAATGGCTGAGAGACAACCATTCCGCGAAGAGTACGTCCTCCCCTAACCGTTTGTGTCCCAGATATCCCTAACCGCTGTCTCTTCTACCCCGCAGCCGAGATCGCGCGAGATCTGTCGAGCAAGTCAAATATCCCCATGACTATTGGCCACTATCTAAACAACCTTCCGTTTTTGACCGAACAGTGGAATGCGCATAACTACAAAGACCCTAAGCGCCAGCGAGTCTATCTGAAAGACATCGACTGCCCTCCTGTCTGGCACGATAAGCTTAGGGAGCTCATCCCTCCGTTGCTATTCTACTTCAATGAATCGACTGGAGATGCTGGCGGGCCGGGAGCAAAGCTGGAACCAAATCCGCACGGCGCTGGGACAAGGCTGGGAAAAGGGATCGCAAAGGCAGGAGACTTAATGAGCAGTCTTCGACCAGAAATGCGGGCAGACAACCTAATGTGTTATATTGGTCATGAAGGTACTTACACCCCAGCGCACCGGGAGATGTGTGCCAGCCTCGGCCACAATATAATGGTCGAGGCTTCCACTGGCCTCGTAGAACACGGGAAACCGACAAAACGAGGCAGCTCTATCTGGTTCATGACTGAAAGCAAAGACCGTCACCTTGTCTCAGAGTATTGGTTATCTACTCTCGGGCACGACATCGAGATTGAAAAGCATTTTGCTCAAATCAACGCATGGAAGGCGGCTCCCTTCAAGACATATGTTGTTGAGCAGAAACCTGGTGACTTCATCCTTATCCCCCCGCTCGCGCCACATCAGGTTTGGAACAGGGGAACTAGGACGATGAAGGTAGCTTGGAATCGCACCACCGTCGAGACCCTGGAATTGGCCCTGACTGAAGCTCTCCCGCGAGCAAGGATGGTGTGTCGTGACGAACAATATAAGAACAAAGCTATCATTTTCTTCTCTCTTGACAAATACTCGAAATTGCTTCGCCAAGTGCAGGAACGCAACCTCAGCGGTCCCAAGATACGTCAGTTGCAGAAAGACTTTCGACGGTTACTTGCACTCTATACGAGGATCCTCCTATCGGAGAGTTTCTCCATTGAGCGACCGGAGGAGAGGAACATTCAGTTTCTCCCTTATGACAGCTATGTCACATGTTCATACTGCAGGTGTAACATTTTCAACCGGTTTCTGACTTGTCCCTCTTGCGTTGGCAAACTCCCCTCTGGTGAGGAAGATAATTACGATGTTTGCATGGAATGTTATGCTATGGGCAGGAGCTGCGCTTGCATTTCAAAATTGAAGTGGGTGCAACAATTTCGTTGGAAAGAACTCGTGGAGAAGCATGAACTGTGGAGAAAGCAGATAATCAATCTAAGTGGCCTCACAGACGATGCGATCAAGTCTTTCCACCAAGAAAGGAAAGACATTCACGATGCAGATATACGGACCCTGGCAGAGGTCTGTCAGGAGGAGCTGCGGAAACGACCCTGGGTCGACGTCACGAAACCAAAGACCGTGGAAGAACCAGAGGAGGACCCCATTGATGTCGACGATGAGGGTAGACCTCGAAAACGGAAGAAGACTCGTTCTGAGAAAGAGCCTAAGGGAAAACGTACATGTCATACTTGCAGGTATCCTGAAGCAACATGGAAACTTGCTACTTGTGAGAAATGCAAAACGAGCTACTGTTATGGAAGTTTGTTCAGAGCTTTCGACATCATGCCACAGCAGGTTATGGAGAACCGGAAGTGGCAATGCCCGAAGTGTCAGAAGATCTGCAGCTGTGCAGCTTGCCGGAGGGATCCTACGGTGACTCCTTTCGAGCCTAAGGGTACCTTGCTGGGACATGACACTAGGAAGATAGCCGATCCCCGGAGCGTGGAGAGCTTAGTGGACTTCAGTCATTCTAATATTGTATGGCTCAAAAAGGCTGGTGATGGCGATTTCCATAACAGTCGTCGTCTTCAAAGACGTCTGGAAGAAGCGGAAATGCTGAAATTAGACCAACCGGTTCTTGGTGAAGATTATGTCGAGCCTACACGTCCAAGTTTGGAAGATGCGGCAGATCATGGAGGAATCCCTGTTGATCCAGCATTGGCACCAGGCACTCGAGGGAATGACGGAACTAATATCCCCATAGATCCGGCCCTGGGTGGTGGGTCAGAAGAGCCTCAGTTCTTCGTTCCGAAGAATGGTATTCTCAGAGAGGGCATGAGAGACGAATATGAAGAAACCGAAGCTATAACGTTTGAGTATCCGGACCCCGAAGGGCCATCAATCGCACCAGACGCGTCCCAACAGACACCTTGGCAACCGCTATCTGAAATAGCGGAAAACTCGCACGATCCCCGCACCGAAGCAAGTTCGACAGTAGACGGCAACGGCAACGGTAAGAAACGAAAGCGAGCCAGCGAACACATCAAAGTGCAGAACGGCTTCAACATGATTTACGACGGACCGGGTGATGCTGCGCCAAGCAGAGGGAAGTCTTCGTCATCCAAGAAAACTGGTTCCAAACAGAAGAGATCAGATAAGCCAGCGGAGCAGGATCAGGTCTCCACAGCGATTGAAGCGGTAAGGATGCTTGAGGATTCCGTCGTGGTTATGTCCGACGTTTTGAGCCACGACCAGCAGCCTTTCTCCCTGAAACCCGAAACCCAAGGGCGAAGGCGTAGGACTCGTAGTGGTGAGGACGATGACGAGTTCACTCCCGTGAGACGTGACAGACGCCGTTCCCAGAAGCCAGTGGAGGAGTCTATCATCATCCAGAAGAAGAGAAACCCGCCCCGTGCAACCAAAAACCGGGCAGCTCCGCCAGCAGCGCCGCCAGTCGAGATTGATGACTTGCGCAGCGACGATAGTGACGAGGAAATTCAGCCAGACACCGTTAACCCGGAGTCTCTAACGTATCGGCCTTCCCCGCCGTCAGGAGCTTCCAATGATTCAGACGGATCTGCGGATGATGTTGCATATCCTGTAGCAGTCGACGAACCTAGCCCAGTGAAGCGGGTGCATCTTACGGAAGCTGAAGAGAACCGCAGAGCCAAGCTCCTGGCCATGCAATGGGCTGAAGGCCAATTCGATGATCTAGAGGAGGAATGGAGCTCGCCTGACGAGAGGCCCGATCCTGTCTTCCCGAACGGAGGGCCAACGGCACTGAGCTCTTCTGCACATCTACCGGGCAAGAAAGGGGCGTCGGGAACCAATCTTACGCCACGCGCTAATAAACGAGGAGGAAGGTCATCAAAATGATCTCACGTTAAACTTTAGGAATTGGATGTAGGGAGCACATAGATTCTCATCATATCACCTGTGGTGATAGTCGTGCGATTGTTAGTTACAGCTATCCATTGAGTAATTGAATTCTCAAGTCAACATGTTTCCTGAACTGTCCAGCTTTCATTATTTGATTTTCTTGAGCAGCTGCTAGTCGTAAATTTCATCTAAATCACCAACGTTATATTTGGCCCAAGACGCGAAAAAAAAAGCAGTCGAAAACAAGAGAACAATTTCCATTCCCCCAAGAAGACAAGTAGAGATATATAAGCTCATTTCCATTCAAACACATGCGCCAGGAAAACAAAAGAAGCCGAAACAACATGAACAACATGAACAACATATGTACATACAACATAGTACAATACAAGCCAAGCCTCCCACCGCAAAAGGGAACCCATTTAAGCTCCCTTATAATCATACTTGAGATTTTCCAGCTGTCCCACATCGACAGAAAGCATCAATTTCCGCGTAATGCAGATAATCCCGAATACAACTATGATCAAGTTCGTGTCAGTATGAGTATATCAGTTATGCTCCGACGACAACAACAACAACAACGATCAAACCGAGACGAATCGAGCAATAAGAAAGACACACGAGAGAAAAGAGAGAAAACCTACCTCCAGGAACAAGATACGACAACCGCGGCACCCCAGCATAACTAATCCCATAGCCATAACCCGTCGCATACGCAAGCAAGGTGACAAGCGCACAAAGCCCCACATTAACAGCAACCAAATGCTCCCTGACAAGCTCGAGGTATCCCAGATTCCTCACTGGGCGCTTTTCCTTCGGATCCGGTCGTGGAAGCGGGATATGTCGCATGATATACGCACTCGCGAGGAGGGAAAGAGTACTGAGAAAAGAAATAATCCTCTCTGAGGCTGTTGCAGAAGAAGAGAATAGGCCTGGTAAGAAGGCGACTATAGAGACGAGGGGAACGATGGTGAAGACGAGCTGTTTTTTGTTATTATGGTTGATATTCATTTGTTCATTTCATTTCATTTTAAATAGAAATGGAAGTTGGTTCATAACTTACTTTGTATTCAGCGTTTCGCGCATCATCGCGCGATCGCAAGTCGTTGATGATTCGCTCTTGTTCTATGGAGTTTTATCAGTATTGTTATTGTATATATGTATCACGAAATACTCGGAAATAAATAATAACTAATAGCACTTACCTTCTTCATCTAATTCCTGACGGGCGTCATCGTCCGAGTCTTCTGGATACCGGAACGTCTTTCGTATTCTGAGAGCGGCCATTTCTTCTTTTCTTTTACTACTGTCCTTATATTTGTCGAATAATCAGATAATCCTGCTTATATGAGGAAAGACAGAAAAAGTATTGTCATGGAACGTCGTTAGATAGTCGTAGTAGGTTAGGTAGTTAGTAGATATTGCATTTACACGTGGGAGTTTGGACTGTTTGACATTTCAAGGCGAACCTTAGTTCTTTGGCAACCAACGCCGTCGTTAAGTTCTCTAGCTACTTAGTGAGTGACCTCCGCGAAAAACGAAAGATAGGATCCTCCACCCAGCCATACACATACCATACAACATGTCGCACTCAATGTCTCTCCGGACCTTACAGACTCATATTATCCGCCCTCGACTTTCCAACAGCCGGGGATGCCGAAATGTATCACGGCGTACATTGATCCCCGCTCCGAGCGCGAATTCAGGACCTCTGATGGACCGCCGTCCTGATCGAGCATTGCCCGAAGTGAATTCCGGTCGCGGCTGGAAGCGGACGCTGCCTATCTTCGCGGTCGTCGTCGGCGCAGCCATGCTCGGTATTTTCAACTATCAGAAATCATCCTCGAGTGTCGTCAGCAGTACCCTCTATGCTCTGCGAACGTCGCCGCAAGCGCGCGAGATTCTAGGCGATGAGATATACTTTGCGAGCAAGATTCCCTGGATTAGTGGCACGATGGACCAATTGCATGGTCGTATTGATATCACATACTGGGTGAAGGGGACTAAGGGCGAGGGGAAGATGCGGTTTAGAAGCATTAGACCGGACCGGATGAGCTATGTAAGTTGTTAGATCTCAAGGTCTCCTGTAGTCGTCTTGATGGCTGGACTAATATGATTATTCTAGTTCCGTACTCAGGAATGGAGCTTGGAAACAAAAGACGGAACCGTCGTGCAGCTTCTCAACGAGAACGAGGAAGATCCCTTCAAGGCTTAAACTACGTTCTATCACCGAATTGATCGACTACGGAAGTCCGAGACGGGAAGTGTACAGCTATACCACGTCCCTGATGCATCGTGCCTGGAGTTTTGTATGATACTACTTTTTTTTCAATTCTTATTAAAAGGAAAGCTGGCGTTTTGAAGGGCTGCCGCATCATGGGATGAGATTTTTGTATATGCGCGTGTTGAAGAGAGTAATGGGAATCATTTGTATCCTATATGCGAGCGCCATCACCGGATATGAGATGTATAGTACACCGAAGGGGGGCAAAAAAACAAGATAGAAGAACCTAAGGGCAACAAAGAGTCTCCACTTCAAGCTGCTTGAGCAACCGCCTGCTTGAACGCAATCTCAGGCCAAGGCTTCTTAATAGCATCCTGAATCATCACGACAGTGTTTTTGGGACCACTGACAGCACCTGTCAAAGAAAGAAAGAGAGATCAGTCAGTATAAAAAGAACCCCCGTAAAAAAGCAAAAGCAGACACCCAAACAAGAAACCATTCACATACCGTTCACGACAACAATGCCATTCTCAGGATCAACCTTCAACACCTTGAGATTCTGGACGGTATTCCGCTCATTACCCATGTTTCCAGCCATTTTCTTTCCGGGATACACTCTGGAACCACCACCCTGACCCTGACCGGCGGAACCTAGCGAACGATGCGTCAAACTGACACCGTGACTGCGATCCTGACCGTGGAAGCCGTGTCTCTTCATCACACCCGCGAAACCCATACCCCTCGTATTCGAGCGGGCGTCGACAAACTGCCCTTCCTGGAACCAGTCCGCGTTGATGACCTGTCCGACGGGGAGCAGGCCGCTCTCATCCTTGACCTTGAACTCATGGACATGTCTCTTCGGGGAGACTCCATGGGCGGAGAAATGGCCGAGGAGCGATTTCGTCATGTTGCTGGCATGTTTCCATCCGGAACCGACCTGGACGGCATAGTAGCCGTGCTGTTGCCGCGTCTTGTGTGATACGACCTGGACTCGATCGAGTTGCAGGACTGTGCATGCGGTACGCTTTCCCGTCTCGGGGTCGTAGATGGCGGTCATGCCCTTCTTGACAGCAATAGCGCCCGTTCGGAGAGGAGTCGTAGCGGCCTTGCGTTCGAGAGCCGCCGTGTTCGTCGACTTCAGCACCGGCAGATCCTGGCCGACATTGAAGCGATTCGGTCGAGGAGGCTCCAAGGACCGGATACCAAAAGATCGTCTGGAGACATTCTGGGCCAGAGACGACGGGACCCAAAGAGGCGACAGCGCCTGCTTCAGCCCTAGCGGAAGCCGTGGCGGCATTGTGGGCAAGTTGATCGTGTCCAGACGATGAGCGTTGGGATCGTGAAAGTCCAAGCAGTGAGATTTTCGGGGAAGTTCTGCGAATACCGCCGGAGATGCCAAGACCGGAGTCCGGGACAATCCAGATCGAGCAGATCAATATTATCAACTAAACTAATTAAGATGGAGATCAAATAATAATAATATCAATGCAAAATGCCATTTCAATGAAAAGACTAATGAATCAATCCTATCTAGCCTCTTCACGCTTCTCCCTGGTGTTGTCTTGGAATTGATGATATGAATGCTGCACGCATAACTTCCTAGGGACGTTTACAACCACAACATATCCACTTCCATGTACAATCAGTAACTAATAACCCAACTTAGCCATCGAAAGCATCAAAGATATAATAATAACAATCCAATCTAATAATAAAAAAAACATCCAAAAGCAAAAACGAATAAACTCACCTCTGCAAAGCACCACCAAATTAATCAATCACCTTAAAACGCAACAAGACTAAGTAAAGCGGGAAGAGCGCGGGCCTAACTAACTACTTAAATAATAGTCGTCCAGGAAAATAAAAAAAAGGGACGTCACCGAAATCTCACCGAAGGAGTTATATAACATAATATTATTATCCCCTCCCAATTGAACAACAGCTTCATTCTACTCACACGTCGTTTCCTTGCCTGTGTTTTATTATTTCCCCTTCGTGTCTGTCTGTCCGCTACTAGTCTAGGGAACTCGATCGTGTTCGAATCTACGGAAGTTCCGGGAGGGTTCCATCTTTGTTTTTTTCTCTCGCGGGAAGAGTCAAGAATAAGGCAAAAGAAAAAAAAAAAGAACTATCCAGGCTACGACGATACAAACACGATAATGCCCCCCTCTCAAACCATGTCGACCTTCAGACCGCTTCTCCAACGATACGCGGAGCTCTTTGTCCTCCAGGGCAAGGGATCCTCTTCTTCTTCCCTTCTCTCCAGAAGAGCTGTGTCCAATTCCTCCAGTCAGCTCGCCCGACGCGCTGCCAGCACCATTACTCCTACGACACAAGCATCCTCTCTCTCAACCTGTGCTTGCTCATTCACCAAACGGTCTCCCCAAATAGCCTATCGAGCCAGCAGGAGACAATCACCCTTCTCTCGACCTTCTTCTTCCTTCTCCTTCCGCAGCCGCCGGACACCCCGACGCGGATACTCTACGAATACAACAAAACCCCCCGAGGAGGAGCCTCATTCGCTATCTCAGCGATTGAAGAAGCTAACTCGTGAATATGGCTGGTCGGCACTAGGTGTATACTTGCTGCTATCAGCGTTGGATTTCCCGTTCTGTTTCGCCGCGGTAAGGCTTCTGGGTGTCGATCGGATAGGGCATTGGGAGCATGTTATTCTGGAAACGGTGAAGTCGACGGTTAAGAGCGTTTCGCCCTTTGCTGCGGGAGAGGAGAAGAAGCAGGGTGAGGCTCCTATTGATCATGGAGTGGCGGAGGCGGAGAAGAGGAACGCTGGAGAGGGTGCTAGTATGTGATGTTCCCATTGTCCCCGTTCCATGAGCCTGTTTGTTTGGACTGCGTCAATCCGCTGACTTGATCCTGCCTTAGGTATCTGGACACAACTTGCCCTCGCATATGCCATTCACAAGAGCTTTATCTTCCTGCGCGTGCCGCTGACAGCGGCCGTTACCCCGAAGGTCGTCAAGACCTTGAGAAGCTGGGGCTGGAACATCGGCAAGCGCAAGCCCAAGAACGTGTAAGATGTCATGATGCGAAGAAGTCCGGATTGGATATATTATTATACAGCGACGAACTCTCCACCCCCAACATTCACGGAACCAGAAGTAGAAACACATGCACCATTGTACATTAATAGATAAGCTATTTAATCATTTGCGTCCAGATGATATCCTCTTTCCTCGCCTGACAGAGCATATGAACCTGTTGACATGCGATTCAATGCAACATCTCCAAAAATCTGCAAACCAAAACCCAAAAGGGGGGAAACAGGGAGAAACAACAGACGGGGAAGGACATGGTGTGTATCTCACTCTATCGTAGACGGACATATCACGCTCCACGAAGCCTGCCAGCATATGCATAGAGAGATGCACAAGTAGATGCATACATCAAACCAAAACAGTGACTGAGTGCTCCTTTTCAGTATCCTAGAAATAGCAAACAAAAGATGGTGGGATATATACAGTAATAAGGGGCGAGGAAATTGCATCACATGTCGATCGTATCGTTGAATCTCAGAACGCCATCGCCTTTCATCACGCCGTTGACTCCATTAGGCATCCGATACGCCCACTCAGCAGCTACGCCCATTGTGCCAGCCGCCGCCAGAGCACCGGTCCGAGTGAGTTGCTCAGTCTCGTCAGAGGTATCTGCAACGAGTACCAGACCTAACTCCTTAATGGTGTCTACCAGTGCTGGCATAACATTCTGCAGAGTATCAGCACTAATCCATGGAAAGAGGGGAACAATGAATGGATAGAGAGGCATACCAAAAGACTCGAGCGGCAGATCAGTCCCATGAAGTTATTGCTCTGCGCTATCCGGGCGGACTCCTTAATGGACATCGAGGTTCGGCCGCTGCTCCGGATAACGGGTTGACCACTAGCATCCCCAGACAAGTCTCGAATCTTGCCCAGGTCGTTACAGAGCAGTACAGGATCTGCCGAATTTAGATTAGCTACAGACAGTCACAAGACAAGATCGCAGAAGAACTTACAGTTGGGTTGTTTCCAGTTCAGAGCGCTGCAGATGTTCGGGTTGTACGATGTGAAGACGATAGAACGCATGAAATCCGGGTTCTTCTCTCTGGATTCTCGGGCGTGGTCGAACACCACCGTGAGAATGGCGTCCGCAAATGTGTTGATATCGGCCAACGACGTCAGGTCGAGACTTCTTTCCTCGGCAACACCAGGGTACAAGATGGATAGATCGACGTGGATTCCCATTGGAAGATGGCGGAGGATGTCGCTCAAGGGCACGAAACATCCGGCAAGAGCTTGGTGTACCTCAGCAATGTCATGCACCGTCTTGCCCTTCAACGATTCTAGAATATCGGATCCGTTGACGCCTTTGTCAAGCCCGATTTTCCTAAATTGGTCGTAGGACAAGTGGCAGACAGGTATGTCGATGCCATGATGGTCAATCGCGAATCGTGGGTAGAGGACAGGCACTCTGTCCTTTGTCAATTGGACGAAGAGCTGAACATAGTCGCCCGACAAACTGGAACCAGTAACCAGCCCATTATGTTCAGAGTCAAGGGCACTAGTGGCCTTCCAATATGTGGCAAAATGGGTGATCTCAAGAGGGTCACCGTAATACGGTTTGATGACCTGGAAATTGAAGCGGATCTGGCCGATCGATCGCAGTCGAGGGTCGAATAGGGGTAGGCAACAGGAGCCAGCGCTCGATCTTTCGGCACTGAACACATCAGGCAAGGCCACACTCTTGGCTATGACTTTTGAGCCGAAGGTGGGGAAGATTTCGAAATCGACCGCAAACGTATCAAGGCTATCTATCTGGAAGGATACCGTCCTGGCATCCTCCTGGATGGGAAGCATAATGGTTCGAGGGATCAGGTCTGACATCTTCGACGATATTGTCAGCCGAGCGGCCGGATAGCGTCCAGCCTGATCAAATATGATGGATCCGAAACCAGGTTGTTCAAAGTGGATGTGCACAATGACTTTTGTGTCGAGGAAGTTATGACCATAACGTCTGAGTGGTATAATTGGCGGCGGAAGAGAAAGATCAGGTATACCGTCGGCCGTCTGTGGATCTGTTGACATCGTTATGTCCTCCGCTGGCTCAGGTACCGACCCCATTCCATTCAAAACATCTGCAGGCCGTTGCGAGATCCTGTGGTCCTTATGTTGGGACCACAGCAATATCATGCATTCCAGGTGTCCCTCCCAGGCAGCATAGTACATTGCCGAAAGACCTTTCTCGTCGATAACATCGGGATCAGCGCCCAGCTCCAATAGAGTCCGCATGCAGTCCACGCATCCTTCACTCGCGGCGTGGAAAAGAGGCGTCCACTGGTAGAGCTTATCCCGCTGGTCAAGGTCAGCCCCGTGCTGCTTCAGGATCAGCAGCAGCTCGGGAGATTGAGATGCTCTCGCCACCATGTGTTGAGGATACAGGCCCTCGGCATCAGGGAGCAAAAGCGCTTTTCTCTCGAGCAGCATTTTGACAATAGGTAATGAACCATGTTGACAGGCTAGATTTAGCGGGATGTGATCGGATTCCGAGGAGGGATTGATCCTCGCATTGTGGTGGAGCAGTTGCTCTGCACAGGCGAGCTGATCACGGACGATACTGTGGATAAGGGGCGTGAAATTATCATGGTCCATGAAGTCCACAGTGTGAGGACCAGCAGCAAGCAGTTCGCGGACCATTTCGACCCTGCCGTGCATACAGGCATAGTGGAGAGGTATCCTGCCGTAGACATCGGTCCTGGAAATGTCAACGCCGCCAGACAAGCCAGCTTGGAGGACAAAAGGCCGCCCTGAGATGGCAGCCTCGTGCAGGCAGTTCCGTTCATTGATATCATCCTCGGCGTGAACGTCGACCAGGCCGCTCTCCAAAAGCAGTCCCAGGACGTCGTCAGAGAAGTCGCTGATTGCGGCCAAGAAGGTACGCGTGACCCGGTCTCGAGCGTCCGGGGAGGCTTGTACTTTTGTCAGCCATTCTCGCAGAGTCTGGAGATTCCCCGTAGTCGCTGTCTGTAGGACCTGCAGGTCAAACTCATCACCCTCGCTGGCGATGTGTTGCGCAGGCACGGTTCGCTCAGAGGGGCGGGCTGCGTCGAACTGGATGTTCTCTCCTTCGGCCCATGCCTCCAACTCCAGTCGAGCGGTCGTCGCCCGATCGGATAAATCGCGCAGCACTTCTCTATTAAAGCAGGGTTGGACCTCGACAGCACGGTGGAGATACAGTTCTTTCATGCGAGACTAGGACGGAAGTTAGCGGAAGATGCAGGGGCTTCGAGAGGACCTAAAGAGTGCAGTTCGGACCTTAGATGTTTTATCCCACTATCATTATCGTCAGCTATACTATCCAGCACGACGAGAATCCCATCATATCAACGAACCTTTTTCAGAATTTTCGAGACGGCGGTCTCGTTGATCTCTACGAATTGCTGCCGAAACTGTCAGCTCAAGGGCAAATGAGGTCCATTTCGCTGCGAAGTTTGCACATACTTGAAGTTTATTCAGATCGCCATCAAACTGTTGAAATCCTTCGAGTAAAGCGACAAAATTTGCCGGGACCTTCGAGTTGGCATGTGTTCGCGACTGGATCACCCTCTTCTTGTCGAGTAACGTCTTTAACCGTAGCGAGAACTGTCGTCCGTCAGTAACGTGACGAAAAATTCCGACAAATGGCTTGGTCAACCTCTGATTCTTTTTGGAGATAGAATGCATTGACTTTCTCAATCTCACGTTCCTACGAGTAGTCAGTAGCTATCCAGACAGACAGATGGGGGGTGCTCCAGAAAGTGCGTCAGCGTACCAGTCGGAAGAAGAAAACCTCTTTGTTCGCACGCAGCGCAGCTTGAGGATCCGATGGGTGTTCATGCTCGAAAGCGCTCTGGGCTGGTATCGTCGGAGTTGCACTCAGTTGCTTGATGAGCTGTAGACCGCAGATTCAATTGAGTAAGCAAAGCTGGCCACTGTCACCGGCGAGAGAAAGCCAAGGGCCTACCTTTTTCAAGGCCTTGTAGTTGACAAAGCTGGCAGCATACTCGGGAAGGTCAAGCTGCCTTCGCTGAATCTGCTTTCCGAACTTCCTATTGATAGCAACCAGGTCAGAAGGGCGTTCCCGTGCGAAGCAACAGTCGACGAGGCCACGGGGAAGCTGCCCGCAGCTGTCCAGCTCCCCGACGGCCCCTCGAAGGGTGGAAGAACGCACATGTTGACGGTGAATGGGGTGAGAGCCAAGCTCTCAGTTCCTTTGCAGCAAAGAGCGGATGATCCAGGATGACCGGGAAGTCGTAGGGAGAGATCAGAAAGCTCGAAAAACTGGCCGATCCGAAAACAATCAAGTCATAGATGGCCGTGGAAGGTCCGTATCAGACTATCAGAACAAAAATGGGAGCCGTTTCCAAGCTCTCCCAGTTTGGCAGAAGAAAGAGAGAACAAAAGCTGCCGGACGAAGAAAGCAGCTACAGAAGCACAAAACCACGAGCAATCATGAGGGGCTCTCTCTCTCGAGGGGATCAGAGAACGAACAATGCACGCGAGGTGGGGGAATGATGAGAGGCGGCCGGCAGGGTGAGTGATGCTAAGCCGTGGCGGGTAAAAAGTAGTCAAGCAGAGCAGGGAGCTCCAGCTGATGAAGAGAGCACTGCACGTGGGCCCAACTATGCGGAGACCAAGAGGCGCAAGCTGCTAGAGAAGAGCTTTCTGCTTCCCTAGCTTGGTACAGTACAAGGGGAAAAGATAGAGAGATACAACAAGTACAGGGCAACCGCAACTATTGGCGCAGCAGACGCCAGGCACACGAGGTTACCGCGAGCAGAAGCGTCCAGTCCAACGAGACAAGAAGCCAGAGAAAAAGGAAACACACCTAGAACGGGCAGAGCAAGGACCAGATAGATAGGAACACCACTCCCTGAGGACCAGGATAGGTTGAACGGACCTTGTTCTTTTGGTGGTTGCAACTGCGCTTGAGGTCCGGAGAAGCTCGATCTCCGCGCACCAATCATCGCTTCCGGCTGCAGCACGTTCCAGGCTCACCCGACGGGTTTGGCGCGTCCCCAGTTCGACTAGAGGATTATGGTATGTCTTTAAGGCAATAATAATATTAAAATAAGAGACGTGGCTTGTAACTCAAGACCCTCCTAGATATTATTATTATTAACTAACCACTGCAGGAATCAATCAATCAATCAGTCGCTATTAATTATTATTAGTTTACTACTGTCAAGTCCTGCACAGAACAGAAACCCCGCGCTTAACCCATTCCAGCCATTGAGCCAGGATCTCCATGACGCAGGGTCATCAGATCGAGATCCCGGCCGGTGATCAGGTAATTTAGTCAATCTATCTATGTATTTAGCCTGTAGCACAATACGATCAATCAAACCAGTTATTCTGATGATGGAGTTGGTGATAATAATACATACATACCTTGACAAATTATTCCTTTCTGCTAAGCATTCTGCGTCCTGAGATCGATCGTGGTCTTCTCGCTCTCCTGGCATATAATTGACCTAGGGACAGCATCCCCGTCGCACACGAGTTACTATGTAGTATGTACTAGCAAGGATATAATTACACATGTTCTGTATCTAGAGTTCTACTCACACAGAAAAGTGGATCCTAATAACTTAGGCGGATATAGCGAACTAAAGCTACTATATCAGCCAATACACAAACCTCACCCGTTGCCTACTGATCCAGTTCAGATACAAGACAAGACTGATCAGAAAAGTGGTAATAATGTATTGTAGTGTACGGATCCCCGTACGGCCTTGGCCTATGCTGCTGCAGACAGATACAAAAGATAATCACCAAGAAAAAAAATAATAGAAGAGAAGAAGAGAAGATCGAAAGATAGGAAATCTCAACGATGACTGCGCGCCAACCGCCCATTTCACACGTGGGTTAGAGGTCGCGCACGGATATAGAATCAAGTAGATAAAAACATGACAGAGAAGTAAATCCCTGGAGAAGGAGAAAGGTATAACATCAAAGTCAAACATAATAGTGACACATAGCTTTCCGACAATGCACGGGTGGCAGGAAGGACGGGAGATAAGGAGAAGATCGGTGACAGTAGTACTAATAGTCATGCATAGAAGGCAAAGTCCGCAGGGCACGACGGTGCGGTCTGATCGTACCGCGTTGGCCCGCAAAATTAAAAGGAACTAAATAACAATGCGACCAATTGGGCCGCATTTTTGCCTCGAGACAACTGCCGCGGCACCTTTTTTATCGGCAAGATCATGAAATGTCTCCCCTCCAGGAAAAGAGGGAGGGGGAGAGAGAGGGAGAAATGGGTCCGTATAGAAATATAAGCGTGAAAGAAGGACAAATCATGGGAATCTCTAGAAATTCTGCGCGATACCGGCGTTTCCTTGCTTGGGGAACACGGACGGATTCTCGATCCGCGTGTTACGCCGAGCCTGGACGTCACGGATCACAGGTGGAGCACCACCATACGGGTTATCCCCGTATGGGCCTTGCTGCCCATTAATGTCATTGTAATACGGGTTGTCATCGTAGTAGTTGGCAGCTGGAGGCATTCCTGCGAGACGGCTGTCCTCAGAGCCTTCTGAGTGTTGCGCTGCGGAATATGCAGACGAGGCATTCGAGGGGCCACGGTGAATGTCCGGATTGCGGTTATTGGAAGCAGGAACTGCACCCAGGGCAGCCACAGAGTCATCCGAGTGCGGCCTACCCTCCGAGTACTGGATTGTTCCGTCGCTCGGGGTGGCAGCGTGCTGATATCCGGTTCCATTATCACCATCCGACATGGCCATTCCTATACCTGCGCCACTGGAAAGATTCGTGGATGCCTTGCGGGCATTAGACGTCGTTCCCCATCCTCGATATCCGGAAGTGTCCTCCTCTCCATAATTGGGAGCCATACCCATGGGAGGCAGACTCGGGTCGTTGTTGGGATTGAAGCCATATTCTTCTACCTCTTTCCTCCTCTCCTCTTCGGCCTGCTTCCTTGCCTTTCGCTTCCTCCACAGGAAAAGCAGACCTAGGATGATCAACGCAACCGAAGCGACCGGTACGACGACTGCCACTGCGATAGTGCCCCCCGGAGAAAGTCCACCCGAATGTTTACCCGAGATTGTCGCTCCCGACCCAGTGGAAGACGATCCAGCAGCGGTCCCCGTTGAGGTACCTGTTGCTTGGCCTTGCGTCGGTGATGAAGCGGTCGATGTGATGACAATAGTCGTGGCGCCACCAGTACCTGCCGTTTGGGTGCTGACGATAGTCGTAACCACCGGTGCAACTGTCGTCGACGGTTCGGTCGAAGTGGTGTGTTGCGAAGAAGTGGTCGGTTGTTCAGTAGAACTGCTCGAGCTGGAGGACGTAGCCGATGTAGACGTGGACGATGTCGACGTCGCCGACGTCGCCGACGTTGCTGACGTTGTTGACGTTGGTTCCGTCGTGGATGAAGTCGTCGACGTACTAGACGACGAAGTGTCCGATGTCGTCGTGGGAGAAGTTGCGGCGGTCGGCGTCGTGGCCGCTACAGAGGCTCGAGTGGCAGCTGGCGACGTCGCTGGGTCGGCTACAGGGCTCGCGGCCGCGACCACGGAACCTGCGATGATATCCTTTAGCAACTGGACGACACTTTCTTGGAACCATTCTCTGTCTCAAATTCAGGGAGGAGTCCTCATACTTGCGAGACTGGCCATCTTGAAGGTCAGGAGACAACTCTCCTACTGGGCCTCTGCTGTATCAGTTCAGCCTCAAAACCTGACGGCCTTCTGTCCGACACACTCCCTCTGTTGGGGATTGTCCAGATCAGGCAGTCAGCGAGTCTGGTGTATTAATCCCACGGTGATGCGTGCGAAAAGGAGGAAGATGCAGCGGAACTCTTTTCGGTAGTATCCGAGATCGAAAAACTGCGACTGCCGACGTTCACCCGACGGTGGTCGATCACATACGTCTCTCTCACGGTCGAATTGGCAAGAGAGGAACGGAGCCGATGTAGGGATATCAGCGTACTGCAAGTCTGACTACCATGGAGAGAGAGAAGGGAATGAATGGGTGGTAGTCAGATAGCCGATGCGCGCTGCCTCCAAACGCGGTCGCAGTCTGCAGGCGCTGAGATTTGCAGCGTGTGTCACCGACTGGTTGAGTTTTGCGGTAGCGCAATAAGTTGGATCGCAAAGCACCAGATGAGATCGTAACCCGGTGAGCTGACGAGCGGGTTGAGTTTCCGTGCGTCCAGGATAACTAATGTACCGTGAAAAAGGATTGCAAGGCCCCCCGATATTGCCGTTGGACTGGAGATTGGACCAAGTTCGCCTCGCAGTAGCGGCGTGAAGCGAGAAACCGGGGCCGAAAAGGACCAAAACAAGACCGGCGATTCCGGGCTTTCCCTAGACCGGCACACGCAGACCGATCTTCAGAGCCAATCCGGGGGTGATTGAACGAGAGAAAAGGAAGAAGGAGTCAATGATATTATTATCAACGAGCAGCAGTCACTTGGCTTCTGGGGGGTAAGAATAACTATTGGGATAGTCACGGCCAAGCGGGAACTGGAGGAGAGTGACTTTTAAGGGGTCCGGGCGTGGATTTTGGTCTGGGCTGGTGGGATATTATTATATTACTTGTATTATTGCAGTAGTCATGAACTAGAATCGCTTCTGGGCAGTGCGCCGCGATGGCAAACCATGTGAGAGAACGAGATCGGGGTAACTAATTAATTTACTTTAAGGCTAGCTGGCAGCCACCGGCATGAGAGACATTCGCAGGGCTGATCAGATTCCAACAATCCGATGCAAGCAAGCAAGCAATATGATGATTTATGATTTTATTTCCCTCTGGCCTTTTTTCTCAGTGGACGATATTCCAAGGTTTTCCCTCGCTACCAGAGATTTAATTCGAAAAGTGATTCTTCCATCCATTCAACCTTCCCCTAACGCACAATAAAATGAGTATGGTATGTACATAATAATAACCACTGCACTATGGTACTTCTGCAACGCACCCACACGGCTGCGACCGAGTCTCTTCGGATGAAAGCGGCATAGGTTTGAAGAGTCATCACCAGGCACAATCGCATCTCTGAACAGCTGTATTATTATTAGATTAGTAGTAGTATCATACATTTTGCGCTGTTATTGACAGCAACTGTCTGTTTGCGGAAATCCTCTGTAAACTTTCCAGCGTGTCCAAGGAACAGCAACTCCCAATCCAACTGTCCGGGAACAACACATAGCCGGCCCCGGCGCCCCATGGATACTTAAGTACAGTAGTATGTACATACGAACATAACTTACTTCCAAGTTTATGAATTACTACTACAGTACCAACTATCTTTCAAACAAAAACAACAAACAATAATAACCACATAAACCACACAATACTCATAAATCAATAACACAACAGAGGAATCATAATAATAATAATAACAAAATAACAACGGAACTTCTCCGGAACGCGTCCTTGGAACCCAACTTCAACTGCCCGATCGGGTCAAACGGCGGCTTTCCCGCAGTGCCAAACTTCGCACTTGTTTCTGTTCTTACCGCGTTTGATCGGATATATCTCATTCCCATGGTTATTAGTACCACCCTCTTTTTCTTTTCCACGCACACCCATTTTCTTATTTGTTTCCCATTCCAACTTGTTCCACCGTTTGAGGGAGAGGAAAAGGAAATGATACGAAACTGCAAAACGGAAAAGAACTAGAAAAACTTTAACAAATTAGACTCTACCTCTTATCCAGTCAGATAGACCCCGTAACTACTCCAGGACCAAAACAGACAACACATAAAGAGAGCACGTATCCATTCGCAGTCCGTTCCAGTCTGCTTATCTTTTCTTTAACTAGGAACGAACACCCACAGAAAGAATACCACATAATATGTAACAAGACCAAACGACAGCAATTGGGAGCCAGCGCTCCGCCCACACGCAATGACGGTTGACCCGCCTTATTCTCGGCCAGTTATACTATAATTGAAATAGTTAGTTCGTGCAGTAGTGGTACAGTAGTCAGTCGGATCCGGATCCGCCACCAGGAACCGGCTTGTTAAGTTACAACTTATGGTAACTAACTTACTCCCCTCTCTTTCATCCGGAGGAGATAACAGACCGACAAGAACAATCTAAAAGAACGCGAGGTAAGAATGCAATTGACTACCATGTTAAATGCATGACAACGATAGGAACAGACCTGTTGACCTGGGGTAATAATAATAATGAATTACCCGAGCGCCAACTAGGTTCTAAGTTACTACTAACTAACTACTTGATACTCGAACCAGGCACACGTACAACTTACGAAAAAAGTTTCTAATAATAGCCTGGTACACCCAACTTCCGGGACCCAACGAGCCAAGTCAATTCGAGAATAATAATAATATTTATAAATTATTCTGCGCATCATCTTGCAGATTCTAATCATCATAATGAAATAATAATAATATGGCAAAATAATACATACAGACGAGAAATACGACCACAAAAAAAAAATCCCCAATAGAGGCAAGTTCAGGAGGTTCGCTACCTAGCCGATCTGCAAAGCAAGTCTGGACGCCGCCGTTGACGAGCTTTCGATAGTTTTCCTCGCGCGTCTTCCTTGCTTTGCCTCGTGGCACATCACGCTAGGTAAGTGTCGTACTCTCTCCTCTACTCGGCGTATATCACGGCGTACTCGTAACGTTGGCGGTGGGACGGCTTCGGATCACTACTACGTACTACAGTCATACATATCAGCCCTCGACTGGCCAACGGTTTCTTTGCCCGCCGGGGTGCCATGTTGGCAAATCCCCGCTCTCGATTGATACGTCATATCGCTTGCAACCTAGTGTAGATTCTTAGAAAGTAGTCGTGCTAAACGATACGATGTACGGAGTACGTATTATACATCTACAGTAAAAGCGTGTCAGAACTACCGCTTCTCGAAACAGCCCCATTGATTCAGAGTTCTTGAAAGATTCCAAGCACGTTGAATAAGAGCACCCTATCAGCCTACACTAGCCACTTCAAGAATTACACACAATCAAGTTAGATCGCTTGCAGAGAACGCACACCAGAAGCCCATCCCCCGGGCTTAAAATCCCCCTAGTCAAGCGGCGCGTGCAGAGCAGTCTAAAGAAAAGGAGGTTTGGTTTTAAAGAAGAAGTAGGATGAGATAGATAGATGATGGAAAGGGCCTCCCAGGAAGAAATAATGGAAGTCCCTATAAATATATAGAGATATATGTGGCAGGAAGGGAAATGCAATCGAGATGAGAAACAAGTCTATGTACGCCTAGGCCATCAAAGATAATGGAAAAAAGAGAAATCGCACCAATACCCACAGTGAAACCCCAGTTGTATGTCAGGGAAAGATGGAGCAAGCAGGTCATGACTTGACTTCAGGAAGACACTGAAGACATCATTAGAGAACTGTCAGAAACCAGGATCAGACGAGATATCAGTGTTCCGTTGTTCAGGGGTTATTCATATCCCACTTGGGGCGCAGGCTGGTCGCAAGGTCATCCATCGTGCCAACGGTGTCGGCTGGAAGGCGGCTGACACGGTACGCACCCATACGGATGTTATTCGCATGAGTAGTGGAGATTCCGGTCCGGTTGCTGCGAATGCTTCCAGCGTCACTCCCCGTGTCCTGGTTCTTGAAACGTGGCGGGGGTGCAAAGTCGAGAGCCGTAAATGTTCCTGACTTCCGCAGGGCGTGTGGGCTAGGCATAGCAATAAGATCGTCGAAGGAAGAAACCAGCGGGGTATGGGCCCTGACTCCTGGGGAGTACGGCCGGAGCCCGCCCATTGGGCTCTCCGGTCGACCTTCTTGTCGATCCTTGAACGTCTGGGGCGGTGCAAAATCAATGGGGAGGATCATCGAGTCGTCCGTCAATGCGTGTGGAGTGGGCAGAACATGGAGAGGCTCTGGCGGAGGACGCGGCTTCCGCGGTCCTCGGGGCGGTCCCGGAATCCTTCCAGAAGCTGAAGAGAACGCGCGCGGTCCCGGAGGCATGAAACCACTGCCCGAACCTGTAGGCATATGTCTGGCACCGCCTTGGAATCGCGGAGGCGCGCGAGGCGGCGGCGTCATAGCCCGGCGACTGACAGGCTCCGCCCATGGTCGTGGGGGTCCTGTCAGGATGTCGCCAGTGGCCGGGTCGTAGACGGCGGCATCTCCATAGAATTCGGGGCCAAACGGTTCAGAGTAGGCTCCCTCTGGTCCCTGCTTGTTGTCGTCAAAGTATTCCTTGTAGAAGGATCGGATTCGGTTGGCACGCTGTTCAGGGTTGTCTGATGGGTCCTCAGGGGGCAGAGGCCGGACGCCCAGGGTCAGCCGACGAGTGTCATAGGTGTATTCCGCAGGAGCCAGCTCTGACGCTGGCTCATGATGATCGCTGGCATCCTTCTTCTGCTGCTGCTGCATGCCCTCTTCCTCTTCCGCGGCCATAACATTCACAGCAGGAATGTCCGAATCAAACTTGGGCATATCACCATAATCACTGGCGGCATCACTGAAGGGGAGAGAGATTCTTGGAGGTTGATGTTGCACGGATTCGGACGGTGCAGAGGAATCAGATACCATCTGCGCAGAAAAGCTCTCGACTGAGAAGGGTGACTTCAGTTCTGGCGATGACTCCCGATGTGCGACTTCTTCAACGACTTGTTCAGTGACTACTTCAGCCTCAGCCGAATGAACGGTTGTGGACACGGCCTGTCCGGGGAGGTCCGAAGATTCTGCATGAGTGGCCTCGCGGGGGTAATCGTTGCTCTCGTCATGCTGTGTGCTGGTGTTCTGAATAGGCATCTGCTGAGGCATAAAGGCCATCGATGGCAAACGAGGCTCCCTGCTAGGCTCCTCCGAGTTGAGATGGTTTGCAGCATCATTGTGCCTTGGTATACGCGGCGGGGACGATTGTGACATCCGCTGAGCATTCATCAGGAGATTTTGGTTCATATCATCCCCTCCAAGCCTACTGGCACCTCCCACGCTAGAAGCATCATCCTTGCCAAAGTGCGAATACGATCTCACAGAAGCATTGTCACCCAGGAATGATGTTGCATGTCGGTACTTGTCATCGTCAATGCTAATAGACCTCGAAAGAGATCGAAGGGATTCTCGAGAGCCATGCAGGCCTGGTGGCAGAAGATAGGGGCTTGTCATCATGTCCAGTGACATTCCCTTGCCACCTTTACGATCCGACTTCTCAGCCTGTGACATTTCGGCTCCTCCAGACTTTCCGGGTGTTGTTCCTGCACCTGACTCCACCGCATCCATGCCGAAATCAAGCGACTTGTGCTTGTCATTTGCATCTTCATTGCGCAGCTTCTTAATGTGTCGTCTGTGTAAGAAGAACAAGACGATCATGGCACAGACGATGGGGATTCTGTAGATCAATTAGCCTCGACTGAACTATGATATTTGAGATGGAACATACACAGCACCCAGCACAACGGGTAGTGTAGCAGTGTCTACACTACTGGTCGGCTTCTCGCATGCTGCTGAATTGTCATTCGGCCCACAGGAGTGATATGACCCTGAACTTGTGGTTGCAGCAGGAGCCCTCTTCACCAGAGTCGGGCTGTCCGATACTGATATGAAGGGCAGGCGTTCTTCAGGGATGCGGTGTGGGCGGAGTTGCGGAACACGTTTTCCCAGATGGACGCCATGGCGGAGTGAGTGTGGATGAGGCATGTTGCCTTGTTGCTATCTCTGTCCGGACCAGATGGTCACCTCTCGGATAGCTATTGAGGTCCGCCGGGCCAACTCACAACCAAAAGAAAAAAGGAAAGACGCGAGAAGCACCAGAATGGGCCTCCAAACGAGTACGATTAGATTAGGGTTTCCTCCACGCAGATATCAGACCGGAAGCGGTAAAATTGATGCCCAAATCATTAGAACGATAACGGCGATTTGTAGATACGATTGATTTGATTATAAACGATTGGCGTGACAAACGTAACCACACAGACGTCGAAGATTCGCTCAGGAAAAGAATGACAGGTGTAGCAGTAGCAATTACTGCAAAAAAAGGAGTGTCTGGGACAATAGAAGTCCCGGTAAAGAACGTCGGCTCACGGCCAGGTGGAAGCAGGACAGAGGATGAAGATGAGAAAGCTGCCCTGAGGAACCGTACAGTGAAAGAAGGAGAAGGAAGAGAAGGAGAGGGTCGGGAAAAGGCCGGGGCGAGAGCAGTCCAGAGGGCCTGTTGTATCCTTACTCTTCTGAGCGTGTGCGGAGCCTATGGAGGCAGTTCCACGCCGTATCTAACTCGAATCGATACCTTGAATCCAGGATCGAGACGGGAGTCTTCGCGCGGTGGAGGCGTGGAGATAGGGAGGTGAAGTCGCCAGAGCCAGTGGCCGTGGCCAGCGAGCCTGACGGGCCCTGCTAGCTGGGATAGACGGGGCGTCCATGTCTCCAGGAGTCCAGAAGTAGTCTGACGCCTGCTTGCTCCTGAACTGTTTAGAAGGTGAGATCGCAACTTTGGGGCTGCGCCGGAGCGTGTTAGCGTCAGGAACGCCTCCATCGGCGGCCAGTTATCGCCCGATATTGCAGCCGATCCCTCTCGCTCCCTCCACTGAACCACCAGGGATGGTTGAGGCTATCGACCCGTCACCTACACACTAAGTCTCCTAGCAGCCCGTCGAAACGTCAGGAAAAGGGACTGTCCCTTCGCAAGTTCACGCTCTCCGACACTGGCGAGAACCCTCAAGGCTCCCAAGCCTCAAGCCTCAAGCCACCGCCGTCCGAGTTGCCGATTTTCTCTGCGCTCCAGGTGCGCTCGGACTGGAAGGGGAAGCGTCTCAATTTCTCCAGCTTCCCCTGAGGGGAAATGAGTGCAGTGCGTATGTGAAATTGGGAATAGAAACATACAGCTAAACATCTATCGAGCATGCAGATTCAGAGAGTTATCATGCAATTGTACGCAACGTCAATCCTCTGATGGCGACCTCGTCACAACGAAGCTTAAATATCGAAAATCGATGCGTCGCAATCGTATTTGCCTCAGTTGTCATTATTGTCATCGCCTGAGGTTTGAAACTTCGATTCGCTCTCATTAACAATTTGACAGTAGATAATATGTTTTACAGAAATAACTAGATAGTGGTTCCTATAATAATGCTGTTAGAGAATCAAGGGGCGGAAGGGATCCATGGATAATAATACTGTAATAATAATAATGTGCATCCGTTCAGACCTTCCCAATATAGGATATAGGATTATTCTAATATTATTGCATGGATGCACTAACTCTGCCCCGCAATTGTGTTCAGTTTTCGCATTAAGTGTGTAAACCTGTCTCAATTCTCTTTTCCATTTAACGTCGCCGCTCTATAGCAGCAATTGGTACAATGCACGATACTCGTGGCTTATCCTAAAGTTATTTTCTTCACAATTCATACTCTAGAGTACTATCAGGGGGTTCTTGAGTCTTGTCACCGCATATGCTAAGATCCCCAACATTTGCTCGCAGGTTATCTAACCAACTACAACCACCCGGCCGTCTCACTGGACATTGATGAAGGGGTTGTACCATTTCTGATCCTGTGTTAAGCATTGATTAAATAATATCGTCCCGAAGATATCTTCTCTCCTTATGCATCTATAAATATCAAACTTCTATTTCCCCACAATAGTCTGCTAGGCTTCTCCCGGTGCGGTATGTATAACGCGGTCACGATCAACTGCTGTAGTTCCCCTTCCGGTCCACTAAGGGCTATTATTGATCTCTGTCTAGAAGGCCTCTAGGTATATCGAGACTTTCTAAAATAAAAAGATTCGCTACTAGCCGGCAAGAACTCCATCAGACTTCACATAAGACCTATAGATATCGAGTGTTCCGTCTTATGACTATTCAGTTTTGTTTCTGCAAAGAACTCGACGTGCTATATACTCAAAATTCAAATATCCTGCATATATTGTACATTTAGATATCTGGCCAGTATTATGAAATGTCGGAGCCTGCCTACAGGCAGATCTCCTGTCGGGTTTCTCCTACGCCTTTCTAGCTCCACCCATAAAGATATATATAGGCTGGGCTAGTTCCCAGAGAATTCAAACTCAGCGAGCTTCGCTCCAGATAGAATTAACGGGATTTTGCAGCTTCGAGGTCTTTCTTCCTTTTTCCTGTTCAGGTTTTAATCAGCCGTTAACATTTACCGAATTTACGACCGCAAAGAAACTATTATATAGACAGTGTAAAGAGCTAAAAAGGATCGAGCTCTTTATAACAACTAGAAGGACTGGTTGCGGAAACAGAGAATGAACTTGAACGCCCAGACGCAGTCGAGTTAAAGGCTACACGCAGGTAAAACCAAAGATATAGCGAAGTAAGGAACAGAACTAATCGCTGATCCGTCTAACTAGTATTCTCAAGGGGGGTTGATCTATTCTATCTTATCCTCTGCGGGGTCAGTAAGATAAGATCTAATACGCTCTTTCAGCCTAGCTAGTTATTGCTATTTTATAACTAGATCTAGAACTGTTGTTTATTTACCCCGCTTATAGTCTAGACTGAGCTCTAATATCACGGTTTCGTCCCGTGATATCGAACTTAATCCGCTTGTCTAATTCTGTAATATAACAGATGCCAAGAATAGGCTATAAACCAATAGTATTACGAATTCAAACTAGAGACTTCTCCTGGATATAATTCTTAAGACTTGCAATAGTTATAGAATTCTCCGGTTACTAAGATAAACCAAGCACAGTACGTAGTACTCACAGTCTAGATAGTTAAATAAACTATAACTATCAAACTAAGATATTTGCCATCAATTTGGAGATTAAGGACGATGTCAGGGTAGACCTCAAACGAACGCTCCTGGGCCTATATATGACCGTGAAAAGGATAGGATGTACGGATAGGAGACAAAAAGCACGCTCCAATAACAGGCCGATATGGCCGCTAGCTAGATAATAGCCCAAGCAAGCTTCTCACCGCTTTAGATCAACACCTCTCAACATGCCTGCCCCTGACCCCGGTATAAGATCATCATGTGGAGTTTACAATAACTAATGACGTTGATTATGGGTTGCTGGCCAACGTACTTCTTTCTAGTGGGGTGTTTTTGAGCTCATCATGTTCTTGAGCGCGTCCGGAACGCGTTATATTCCGCCCGCTCTCATGATTTATCTGTCGCGTCCCCTATCGAGTCGTCGTCGACGGACCTACAACCATTGTACTCACTCACTTTATTCTCAAGTGCCTACGGAAAACCTAACAACATGCCCCCTAAGAGAAAGGCCGCTGACGCGGCCGCTGGAAGCGCGTCTAAAAAGTCCAAAGCTAGTAGCACCGATAATACGCCCGAGAAGCCCCCAGTGCCTCGCAGCAAGCGATGGTCCAAGGGCCTTTCCGGCTCTGCAAACGCTGACACGGAATACCGTAAGAAGATGATGCACGATCCCGCCGGTGCTTGGGAGTTTGTCTGTCGGTGCCGACCAGTTGTTGGATCCGATGATGATAACGAGGACGAGGACGAGGACGACGAGGACGACGAGGACGACGAGGACGAGGATGATGATGAGGGTGATGGACGCCCTTCTTGCGACCGCGGCAAGACTTGTCTTTGCAGAAAGTCCAGCAAAGACCACCCTGACCACCCTTACACCTACTCCCTCGGAGGCATACAGAAGTTCAACACGATTGCCACTATGTGCTCTTTGCGTGACCCGGACTTGTTCGGCATGTACATCTATAACGACTTCGCAGGGTATGGGCTCCTGGAGATGGTTGGGAACCTGCTGCTCGATTTCGAGGAGGCCAAGGATGATTGGAAACAACAGTGGTATATCTGCGAGGCTACGACTCTGTTCTTCCATAAATACAACCCTATGCCATTATTCATGTAGGTTTTATCGACCTTTTTTTTTTCTCCCACTACTGCTGCATCATTACCCCTCTAATATTCGATGAATCAACCAGGATCGATGACAGCGAAGGCTTGGATATGTTCCTTCACTGTGTCCGAACGATGTTTCTGACGATGATGGCAACTCTCGAGCGTAACGATCTCCTGAAACCGGGCTCCGAGATCAAAAACCTCGGAATGGTAATGGGGCTAGCCATTCGTCTTGATTCATACGCCCAGGACATGGATAGCTTTGAGGATCTCCCCAAGTATCTGTATGCGTATGCCGCAAAGCACAACATTGTCCTTCACGATGTACCCAAAGACGATGAGCCGGAACCAGTGCCAGCGACTGGTAAGGGCTCTCTGCCCGATCCCAGGGCCAAAAAGAATAATCCGTGGGGCTTTGCAGCGGAGCTAAAAAAGCTTGCGAAGGAGCAAAATGTTGGTGGCGACGAGTACGATATTACCACCATGTCTGCTGCTGAACGCAAAAACGCCAGCTTCACCAAGAAGGATCCACTGGGTGCGGAGGAGATCAAGGCACTGAAGGAAGGCTTGGTCATGCAGTTGGCCTAGTGGAGCGAACGCCTCGGTGATTCTATGGAAAACTCGCATTTCTTATGCCAAATGAATTGTGGATGCGCCTATGTATATATTTGGATTGTTTTCGGATTATATATTCTTCCTGTGAAGTATAGTTAATTCTAATGTTGCAGAAATTGTTACTAGGAGGTGCGTCGACAATTGAACTCTCATACTATACTGTATTGGCTATGGAATAGATCGAATAAAGAGGCTCTAGGCACTAAATTGTAAGTATGAGTGTATGATTCAGTTCGTGCAGTTATATCATCTCATACCAGCCTTGGAGTCGTCACCGAGGATTTCCAACCTTATAAATCCACGTATCCCAATACAGCTAAGACAGAGCTTGACATTGCCCCCCAAAACTATATCGGTGCTGCACAGCCCACTAAGCTTTACTCAAAACATCAGATTAAGTTCGAAACGCAGATCGATCGATCGATCTAATAATAAGGCTTTTGTGGTATGTGGCTTGTACAGTACGTACATATGTGCATGGCCTTGGGAAAGGGAGGGGGGGGGGTTAGCTGGGCCCCGCATTCCTCGCTCCGTCCATGTCGCGATCAGAATAGAAATTTGTATCTCCTTAATGTATGTACTTTGTATGTACTTTTGACGCGCAGGCGTACATTACTCCGGTCTAGCGATCTGTGATGCAACTATATATATGTGCTCTATCTAAAGTTACGTTTTTGCATATTATCGGACGGTTGTAGGCCGAGGGTGGTGTTATTGGAGGCTAGAGTAGGGCAGGATGCTCTACAGGTAGTTAAGTAGTATGAGTATGATATACCATAAGTTGTATATACTATTATAGATGGAGCTTGCATTGCATAGTTCCTTGACTCCTTGAGCCTCTCAGTGTGTTCCAAGCTGCGCCATCAACTTTAATTCTGCCTAGTCGGGCCATGCGGAGTAGAATACTGTGGCACAGTGCACAGTACCATAGTGTTGTGTTGTGGGAATAAATAATAATATGCTAAGTTATACTATAGAATAGCTACACAACTTGCTAGAGTATGACTGTTTCTGCCCCATCGAATCATCTATTCATATTCATGCATGTGGAAAACCAAGGAAATAATATCCTGCAAACTAACTAACTACGGTAATATATTTTCGAACTTCTTGGCACAAGAAATTTCACAGACCTATCGGCCTCTTTCCGAGAGACGCCGTCGTCCGGTACTGGTAGTGCGACAGCTAAGAACATTATTATTATTATTATTGCCGATATCCAACAGAGTACATAGTAGAGCAAGAGTATAGTAACTAGTTATGACATTTACAGCTGACTGATACATAGCCGAAGCGAAGTTGGGCAGAAATAAAAAAAAAAGCACGGATCGACGCGGACGGAGAGTGGAAGATAAGCCTAGAGAATTCTAGAGCTTCGATGTGGTGCCCAAGCAAGTATTTAGTAATTATTGACTATTTTGTATCTAGACATCTTTTTCCACCGCCTTCTCGGCATTTGGCGGATTTAGTTTATGCCATAATTATTATTCGCTGCTGCAAATGCAGGTACTATGAATAAATAATAATAATATGGTACTATGTACTACTACATAGGACATGTAACATTAAGATTATTGAACGGCAATATGACCGGCAAAAGGAAGAAGGAGAAAAAGGGCTGGAAAAAAGCTGATGGGTATTTTAGCGAGTTCACGAATAGTCTAAGTAGTCTAGACCGCCGGACAAGGAAAAAAGTAATCAAATGACAGCCATTCGGGTAGGAAAATTCGGTGGGGCTACGGGAAGTACATACTCTAGATAGGATATCTAATTATGTAGTTAACTCTCTCTAACATCGGTAGTCGAACTATGTGGAGACAGAAGAACAGACGGAGATACATGGCTTTTTCTTTTCCTTCTGCTCGTATTATCCACTTCGATTCCGTCTTCATGTTGCCGATGCTAGCCGTTATCTAAACATGATCGATGACATAACTTGCCTCCAGAGCAGTCATAGAGGCAAATTGAAGAAAATATGGCAGTTCAGCAGCAGTGATCACCTCGAGACCTCAAGGCTGGGAATGCAAATAATCGCTGTAGTAGATAGTGGTCAGAGCATATTATATAATTCTAGGAGAAAAATAGAGCAGATATGCACGTAGTCTAGCTGGGAAGATCTGTCAAGACTCAAAAAGAATCCTGGATATTCACAACTCCGCCGCCACTGCCGGCCCCAAGACCGCTTTGAGGCGGCGCCATCCTCGATTTTTCCCCAACCAAGCTCGGACTTCGCCATGCCATGACTGCCCAGCGTTGTATTTATTTGTTTTCTGCCGCCTCTGCCTCTGCTGACTTATCTTCCAAATTGCAAAGTTGAGGTGCTGTGCCTTAAGAAACCTCTCGACAAGTCCACTGGCTTGAGAGCCAGATACTAGGTGTACTAGGTGTTCTGAGCTAGTTATAGGTACTGCAGTACCTTGCAAGAGAATCTTCATGGATATCGTATCCCAAGATATCGAGAAGGCAGAGCTGCAAGCCAGCCGTGATGCTGCTCGTCAGTCCATGGAGCATGGTGATGATGCTCGCCGCGAATCTTACGCTTCCAGCTCTTCTTCCGACTCTTCGTCCATATCTTCCTATGACGAAGCTACCCTGTCCAGAATACGAACCGGACCTGACCTCGAACGACAGGCAACCGCTCTCAGTCGCATTGCAACGCAGAGAAGTCAACATAGTGCTACAGTTGGTGCAAGTCTCAAGACCCGTTCTTCGAAGCATCTAAAGCCTCTGCCAGCGTTTGGTGGCGGGAAGCCATATCCGCCGCCTCTGCCAGAGAAGGAAGAGTATGTCGTGGAATTCGATGGTCCTGATGACCCTCTGCACCCGCAGAACTGGTCTGCCAAAAGGAAGTGAGTATTCCCAATCCAGTCACTCCCAAGTCATAGGAGAAAACAAACCCCTCGCTGACGCTTCGGTTTAGAATCGCAACGTCATTTATGCTTGGTTGGACGACGCTCATTGCCTCTTTCGCGAGCAGTATCTTTTCAGCTGCTACGACCAATGTCGCCTCTAAATACCATGTTTCCGCAGAAGTTGGAGTTCTTGGCCTTTCGCTATATGTCCTAGGTTTCGCAACTGGCCCCGTTATATGGGCCCCTTTATCTGAGCTCAGAGGTCGTCGATTACCCATCCTCCTCGGGATGTTTGGATTTACCATCTTTCAGTTCGCCGTTGCAACCGCAAAGGACCTGCAGACAATCATGATCTGTCGATTTTTTGGAGGCTTCTTCGGAGCTTGCCCAATCGCGGTCGTTGCCGCGGTCTTTTCCGATATTTTCGACAACCGTACTCGTGGTCTCGCTATAACGATGTTCAGTATGACTGTTTTCATGGGCCCCCTTCTTGCTCCTTTCATCGGTGGATTCATCGTGGATAGCTATTTGGGCTGGCGTTGGACGCAGTACCTTTCTGGCATCATGGGAGCTAGTGCTTTGGTCCTTGACTTCTTCTTCCTTCAGGAGACCTATCCGCCCGTTGTCCTTATTGGCAAGGCTGCAGAACTTCGGCGGCGTACGAGGAATTGGGGAATTCATGCGAAACAGGAGGAAGTTGAAGTCGACTTCCGCGAGCTCATCCAGAAGAATTTCAGCCGTCCCATGAAGATATTGTTCACCGAGCCAATCGTGCTTCTTCTCAGTATCTATATGGCATTCATCTACGGTCTTCTTTACCTGTTCATGACAGCATACCCGATCGTATTCCAGCAGGTCCACGGCATGAACAAGGGTGTTGGTGGTCTTCCTTATTTCGGCATGGTCGTTGGCGAACTACTAGCTGGAGTCTACATTCTCATTGGGCAGCCGTCGTACAACAGAAAATTGGCTGCCAACAACGGTATTCCTATCCCTGAATGGCGTCTGCCGCCCGCCATGATCGGAGGCGTCGCATTCTCTGGCGGCCTTTTCTGGTTTGGTTGGGCCGGCTACAAGGCTAGCATTCACTGGATTGTGCCTACCTTGTCTGGTCTGTTGACTGGATTTGGTCTGCTCGCAATCTTCCTGCAGTCCCTCAATTACATTATCGATGCCTATCTGCTATTGTAGGTTCTCTTCTGGACGTTCTCTTCTAGTATTTGATTCAGATACTGACTGCTGTTAGCGCGGCTTCTGCCATCGCAGCGAACACCTTTATGCGTTCCCTCGCAGGCGCTGGATTTCCGCTTTTCTCTCAGTATATGGTATGCTAATCTCTACACACTCTTTTTGACCTGCTTGTGGCGAGTAGAAAACTAATTGTTTGGCAGTTCCATGGATTGGGAGTGAACTGGGCTGGCACTCTGCTCGGCTGCGCGGCCGCTGTTTTGGTCCCTATCCCGGTCTGCTTTTACATCTACGGCCCTAAGTTGCGTGCGAAGAGCCGATTTGCGCCTACCTTTATCCCAGCAGTACAAGCCCAGGAACATACGGGCGAAGCATGATTTACGCCACTCGAAGGTATTTCTCGTCCAAACAAAAAGTAATTCGTTGTCCCAATTTCGACTAGATACCCATTTGCATCAGGCCGTTCTTATGCTTTAGATCTGTGGAATGCATTTATGAGCTGAAGCATGCCGTTGGCGCTGTTTATCTTGTGATATCTAATCTATGTTTTTGTGTCTTCGTTTTATGACCGATATTCGATGTCACATACTATGTCATGTAATTAGAGATGAACTAATGCCATAATTTTCTCCAAAGTTCTATAACTCATGTAGCTCATATACACATTGGTTTTTATGATGGATCCCTGTAATATTTATCCACGTATACGAATAAACATCTTATCTTATCTGTCCCTCCGCATCCTAGTTTGGACATCTCATTCTTGTTGGACCTTCAAGCACAAAAGCAAGTAAGCAAGTCATAGGAACCATCCAGGAAAGAACTTTCTTTATTTGTATGTACAATCTGGGCTGACTCTAAATTTATAGCTAACTCCTAATCAGACAAAGAAGCTTGATCCTAACGAAATAATCTATCTCAACCTGGAAATTTACAGGTTACTAGTATGTGCACAAGTAAACTTTAGGTGCCCACTGCCTCTACTAGTATATCTACTTGTTCCCTTTATTTTAGCAGCCTAAAGAAAGAAACGACTCAGCTGGGTGCTTCCTTAGCCTCTCTTTGGGAATACCAGGCTTCACTCGACTCGGACCCATGGATCATTGATCCAGTGTCCCGTTCAAGTATAGGAGCTGTGAAGTTCCATACTTGTCCTATTGTAAGATATGTTCTATGAGTGAATGTGTATAGTGACTCTGTATGTGAACCGTCTGACAGTGAAGGAGGACTGGGGACAGAAGTGGCCTAGTAGCACTTTCCTCCTGTCAGAGGTTCAGTGACAGGCAGGCAGCATCTCCTATAAAGACCTTTCCCTCACCTCTCCCTCCCATCCTTTCTTCTTCTCCTTCCCATCACCTTCCCATCACCTTCCCATCACCTTCTCATCAGAACACCCCAGACCCCCCCTCCCTCTGTCCTACCCAGGCGAACTTCACTCCTGTTTTGCTCTGTTTGAATAGAACCCCCCGAGACTCTCCAGTCAACCTCAGGACGCTGTTCTTTTTTCCTTCGTGATCTCTCCGTCCTTTCCAGGCGAACCTTATGTCTGTTTTGCCCTGTCTGGACAGAACCTCTTGAGACTCTCCAGTCAACCTCAGGACGCTTTTCTCTCCTGTGTGTCTTCTCGTTCTCCAAGATGGGGAGCATTTCCATCACACGTGCGTCTCACTCCCTCAACCACGAGAAGGAGTTTAAACATGCCGTGGAAAAGATTGAATCTGCTGTCCAGAATGCTCTAACCTCGGACAAAAAATACGAAAATGTCGGTGTGCTCTCGCTCCGGTGGGTGAACGACGACTTGAACCTCGGCCAGATAGAGACAGAGCTCCTCGACACTTTCAAAACCACTTTTAACTATGCGACCGAATCATACATCATACCAGCGACCAGTTACAACGCCGCGGCTACAGGCGTGAAGAGGAAGCTGGGAAGTTTCATGGCTAAGTATGACAATGCCAGCAGTCTTGCCATTGTTATCTACCAAGGGCATAGCCATTATGCTCAGCACGGAATAGTACCTCAGCAGCTTGTCTTATTGTAAGTATCTATCTTTCATATTATGAATTAGTCAAGTTAATAACGACAATATAGTGGATCATCGAACCCTGCTGCTCCTGCTATCCCGTGGTCGTTCATCGAAGCCAACCTGTCTATCGAGGGAGACACACTTGCTATATTGGATTCTTGCTTTTCCAGCGCCGCAGCGATGACTGGGCTGAACACGGAGTATCTCGTGGCATCTGCATTTGAGTCTCCGGCCTCTGCAATCATCCAGAGAAGCTTTACTCGCAGGCTCATAGATCTCTTCAAGAGCCAGATCAATCCCGAGATGACTGTAGCCCAGATCCACGCGAAGCTTGTTAATCAAGCTAATCAACCAGGGAGCGGCTTAGATTACACGTTTGTCCATATTGCATGCGACAATAAACAGTCGATCACCCTACGCCCTTTGAGGCACATGCCACGGGAACTTGCAGCCCTGAAGAAAGGGGATGAATTAGCTGACGGCAAAGTCCTCGTTTCCGTTCTACTGGAAGGAAAGACGTCTATTCCCTCCGTTTCAGAGTGGGAAACATGGCTGGCTCGTGCCATTCCTGAAGATGTGGCCGACATCAAGATTGAAGCTGTCTTCGAGACCGGTTCTGCTCTCTGCTTGATGACAATGCCCATTGCTGTCTTCGATATGCTGAAGGGACACAACCATGAGGGCGCGTATGGGTTTGTCGCTTACGTGGAGTCGAACAACCTCATGAATACGCATGGGTTTCGTTCCCAAGCATCGGGCTTTCTCACAGCTCGCCAGGGTAATGTCCAGATGCCCAGACGCGAGCCAAAGCCGACCAGTTCAACTGAATGAATCACTGTAAGACCACCGCGAGATCAACCACCCCCCAGATGTCGGTTGGGACGGCTCGGACGCAGTGGAACAAGCAGTGACTTATGTATTTGATAATGGCGATGCTGAATTAGGATGGAACGAAGGGCAAGTGGGAATGAATTGTATTCCATAACATCATATTTCTTAGTTTAGCTTGAGACAACGTCGCTTGAAGGCCCTTAACCTCTGTTCCTTAGCTCATCGGACTGGTAGATGGTCCTTTTACCGTTTTATGCCGAATGAAATAATTGCTATAGAGTCTTGTCCCGGATTTTGAGTGGTAACGAAATTCTATCGTAATAATATCATCAATTTATGAACATGTATAGGCAATGTAGTTGCTGGGGTCAGGACCTGAGTTTCTTCTATAATTCTTCATCTTTCTCTTGGGGGATAGATACCTTTTTTGAAGACTTATAGTAACGCGCTCGCATTCTATCTATCTATATGCTTTATATCTTTCAAACTAGACAAAAGTGTTTATAAAATAGCATCGTCGACTTCCATCTCACTTGACGGATCATTATTTCCCGAGATAAAATACTAGGAAAGCTGAGATTTTATAAAGATCCCTTCTTTATAGAGCCATATAATTAGCAATAGCAAAAGGCGATGGGGGGTTTTATTAGCCCCTTGGAATATATATATACTAGGTGATTATACTGTGCTATGGCAACAATGTAACTACTTGTGAAAATTGAAGATGAAGATACTGAATGTCTTGATCATGTATCATGATGTTTTTTATCTTTCTTTCATTCAATATTAGAATCATGTACTCTATCACAGTCATGAGTCGAGCATGCAGAACACTTTTTCGTGCCATCAGCTGGTAGGACAAAGGCTTCACTTGTTGGAAGCAGAGACGATAACGCTCCTAAAGGACTTGAAAAAAAAGATGAAAATGCCAAGGGTGATGAATCACACAAGAAACCGAAGGAAAAAAAAAGAGACTTAAAGGAAAGATCGACTATTAGTCTTTTCGTACACCAACATGCCTGAGAAAAACCATGAAGACCGTATTGCAACCGACCCAATGAAAAGGATACACAAACTCCTCACTCATGCAAACGGCGAAATCTAAAAAAAAAAAAAAAAAAAATTATAGACAGCAGTCTCCACTGTCACCGACCAAGGAGATCATGATCAAGATAACTGTCTTTTCCTTCGTCATGTCGAATGCAAAGACATTTCAATGAAAGATGAAGAAGATTGACGGTGTCGATCGGACTCTCAGGTCCTCTCAACCAGCTGAAGATGGGAAATTTCAGGTACGGGGTGATCGAAGATCCGGCTAAATGCAGGGTCTGGAGGCTGTCCATTTCCCGACGTCGCGGCCACACCCTCTGCTTCGCGGATTGCGTCCTTCAAAGCGCGGGTGACTACTCCTGCCCGCGCCACAAGATCTCGGAGAGAGTCCGTGTCGAAGGGTAACTTACGTGGCTGACCGTCGCCGCCAAGCAGTTCCGGTGTGCCGCGTTGTTGATAAATAGTCTCAAGTATGGACTTTGCGTTCGAAGGGTCCTTAGAAGAATGAGAGGATAGATATGAGGTTGTTGGCAAAGAGCGCGACAAGGACATTTCGGGACTACCGCTTGCGGCCTCAACATCGAAGTCGTCAAACCCGTAACTTGTGGTCGGCGGAGTATCTGGAAAAGAGGCGGTGTCATCATCGTCGAGTGTCGCTAGGTTGATGATGCCTTCTGCTTCTTTCCACAGCTCATTTGAAGGCCCTTGCGTTATTTGCAAGAGATTAGCGTGCAGACGCAATCGCTTGAGTTCCTCAACGAGCAGCGTTAACTCCTGTACCTGACCAAATTGACCTTGGACGCTCGCTTGACGGTCCATGATAGCCTTTGGTACTTTCATTCCCCGCTGGCGATTAACGGTAACAGCTTTCGTGTCATCATCTATGGACTGTCCATCAGAGTCATCAAATTCAAAATCACCGTCCCAGTCCTCTGTGACGCCTTTGCTTCCAAGACCCCATGTGCCGAATTTCACGGATGACTGCCTTGAGTCAGTGGAGAATGCTGGTTCTCTCGAAACAGGAACACTTTGGCTCCGCAGGTGTAAAGCACTTGGCCCTCTACGACCTGTAGTGCGACTACCTCTCGTGTCAGTGCCCTGTTTACCATGTACTGTGCGTGGCCGAAATTCAACATCTTGGAAATCGCGATCATTCCACGGCTGCTCAGACCAGTCGAAAAGGCTGACCCTAGTCCCCAAATCTGACTTTTTCTTGACCGGTTTGCGGAAGTCTTCTTGGATGGAAGCTGTTGAATATGTCCCAGATGACTCTCTCGATCTGTCCAGTTCGGCATCTTTCGCTCCGTTGGAGAGAGAGCCATAGCGGGATTCGTCCTGACAGGACGAGTTCATACTCTGCTGCGATGAATCCGTTGATGAACTGGACCGGTGTCCTGGAACCTCTTTGACTGATGGAACGGAAGTGATCTTGTCATCCAATGGAGGTGCATGAGATAGATGGATAGAACCTGCATCACTCTCGGATATCCTGGGGAACGGATTCGATAGCCTGGCTGAGAATGGGCCACACGGAGCCATATCTGCTTTGTCAAAGAGCGTTTCAATACAAGGACCACGAGTACAGGAAGTGGTGCTAGTAGTGTCATGAGTGCGGAAGGAATCGAAGGCGGTGTCACTCTGGAAGTCGGTTTCATCTTCTTCTCCAGAAGTGAAGATGCGATCATCGGATCCTAGCACAGTGGAGGGCGGTTCAGAAACACCGGACGAATGTCTTTTTCCGCGTGTTTGCTGGATGGTAGGGGACGATAACTCTGTGGGTTTGGAGAATTGTGGAGATGGCCTAGCCTCTGTGGGAGAAGCAGTACCCTCTCGTGCTGCATCCATATTAGATTCTGGTAGGGTGTCTGGTGGGATATTCGAACTGAAGGTTCCTGGGGGTCGAGCAAGGCCTGTCATCGTGAAGGAGGGCGGATCTGCCTGTGACATAGTGACAGGTCGCCGGAAAAGAGAGGGGTCCATAACGTCCTTTCTTCTATGCGGCAGGGCTGAAGTACCTGGCCGGACGGGTTCTGGCTGTCTTTCTAGCAGCGTCGAATACGCTCGCACTTCTCCCTGAGGAAGAGAGCCACTCCGACCTCTGCGAAGGCTGCTCCGTTTGCGAGTTGCCCAAGACGCCAGAGAGTTCCCAGCAGCGAATCCATTAAAGGTAAATGATTGCTTGGACTTCCGCCTCTGGCGAACAGTCGGGGAGGCCGCGTCTTCTGGATGCGCTTCTGAAGACTGGAAGGGATTAATAAACTGAGGTGGATGTGAAGAAGAACGGCATCTCCCATTTGCATGGTCTGGATGTGTCACTGAGGAGCCTAGCAGCAGGGTAGGTGGGACATCTGAGTCGGCTACCACTCGTCGTACAGTATGATCTTGGCGTCTGCGCGGCGAGCTTTTTGAAGTGAGCTTTTCAAAGGTTTTATCAGGAAATGAAGTGAAATAAGGCCTCCATGTAACTTCTGTTCGTTCGTTGATCACGTCGTATCGCATCTCACTGTGACGACGGCCATAGCTAATCGTAGATTCCGACTCTCCGCCAAGGATCGATTGCTGCCTCAGGTGCGCAGATCTCTGGTAACTTGTGGCAGGTCTACGCAATGCGCTGCCACAGAACGTCGACCTTGAGGACTCTGGACGGCCGGAGATCACATGTTGGGACGTTGAGCGCTTGACTAACTTGTTCGACTCCCTACGCTGGGTGGGGGATAGCGGAGATGTGGGAGTGCTCGGTTCGTTCATCAAAGGCGACATAGGCCTGGAACTGAGTATCTGATCTTCAGTCTTCGTCGACATAACTGACAGTCGCCGTATCCACGAGGAAGAAGGGCGCCCGTTGTTGATGTCCGTAGATGATTCCTGCAGACCCCCGACAGGAGGACCAGTATAGGTCTGTCGACGGCGACGTCTCGCGCCTCCGGATATCAGTTCCTTCGCTGCACTGAAATTGCTTGAGCGGTGCCTATCCAGATCGACCGTGCTTTTCTCAGAATCGAAAGCGGCGACATTAAACGGGGCGTTGCGTCTGGCTGGTTCTGTGTAGTATGGCGACGAAGGCACGGAGCAAGGGCTTCGAGTCGGCGACACCATTCCCAGCGGCAGTGAACCCACGGAAGCTCGAGCGTGTCTGGAGCTCATCCCCTTCGATTTTGGTGTTGTCTGGTTATCCTGTCCTGGATGACCCAGCGCAAAGCCCGTGGCTGCAATCCCCACCGTGCCAATGGCACAGAGCTGCAAGATGTGTTTCTGTTAGCATGAAATTCGTGGCAGCGCGCAGGGACCTCGAGGCAGATCAGATGAATGCAAACGATTCCCTTCTGCGCAGCACCGTATTCGCAAGTAATAGCGGGTTTATGGTAGACGAAGGCGTGGAAGGGGCAAACCGCGGGGCAGGGATGTAGGAGGCATAAACAAGGTCGAAAGAGCGACACACACACAGGGATATCTCACCGTCGGTACGTGGTCCATGATGAAGAAGCGCGAGACTAGGGAGAAGCGCCGCAGGAGTTGTATAAAAACACTGATCTGGTGTCCCGGAAACCATCCATCCACATGCTGATAGCCATGAGTCTAGCAAATGTGATCCATCCAGCGTTCACCTCGAGTCGGGAAGGAAGAGAGGGGCAGACGACCGTCGCCGGAACGACTGCAGGGAGAAACAAGATCGACGTGAAGAAAAAGACCAGCAGAAAACGATCGTGGGAGTTGTGTTGGCGGAGAGACCGAGTTGAGGACGCGGAGACGTGTCTGCGAGGTGAACGATAATAATCTGGCCGACCGAGACGAGATGAGGGCGAGGGGAAGAGCAGCTGGGATGTTATTCCAAATGGGCCGAGATCTCCCAGGCGGATATCTAACTATCTGATCGGTTCACGGAGCAATTAAGCGCGTGGAGAAGGTCGGGGCTCTTCAGCCAGGACGGCCCCCTCGACGCGGGAGTGTCGAGGAAACAAGAACGAGGCGGCGCGGGTACAATAGAGGCTGGATGCGATGATGGAAATCCCCAAACCGGCTCCAACAAAGCGGACCATCACGAAATAATTCAATTGTTATTATTATTGTCGTCTCGACGGGCGATCGGCCCAGTCTACAGTCTACACAGCGGCTCTGCAGGAATACACCGCGCACTATCGATCGAGGAGTCTGCTACGATTCGACTATGTTGTTTCGTCCCTTGTTTGGATGGCGATGTTGTCCGGGGGGAAGCGCCGCGGGCGCCTGTCTCCAAGGCAATAATGTGTTACTGATATTGTTAGCAGGAGAACCTGCAGCAGACTGACGCTGGACCAGCGACTATTTACGACCATCACAGCGCGACATGGGACCTTGTCAATACGATCCGCGCCCCCTTACGGCGTACAAGCTGCATCGTGAGCGTCAGACGCGGAGACAGGTCGCTAGTGGCATTACTGGCCCATGCACCAGATCTCTAGGGATCGGATGCCTTGGTCACAGTGGACCCTGAGTGGCTTGTGCCTATGCTTGAGCTAGATAGGAGTTGTTTGCGATCCAAGAGGTTTCAGCTCCAGCGTTCCCGATCCGGTAATAGTGAAGAGGTTGTTTCCGCCTTGCAAGGGATGATATTATTCTTATTCTTGTTCTTCTTCACGTCTACCAGACTGACTCTCTTTCTCGAGGGTGGTAATTTCTGCCAGCATGACGGTTTTGTTTTCTTCAGTCAGCCCCATGGACAAGACACTTCACTCGTCTGCTCCCCTTGTGCAGGTGTCTTGGATGGCCTGCAGCTGTCGGTTGTCGGACGATGCTCCTCGAAAGAGATCTCCTGCCGTTCATCGTGGGTCTCTTAGGAGATTTTTCGCTGCCGCGCGCGACGATCAAAGGCTGAGCCGGGATCAACAGGACCTATCGCAGCTCCAAGCCAGCTCTTTGCCAAGGTCAGCTTCAAGAATCTATACGTAGCACGCGAGTAGCGACCGTCAGGGATCTCCACAAAGCCATCTCTTGCCAATCGCTTTCTCGGACAAGTCGACCGCGGGTTCACTGGCCACCATTCGGGAATATTCCCCTGTCTTCTCAAGCGCCCATGTCCCCGGAGAACGCCGCAAGGTGCTATCCAATACTGCGAAGCAGCCAAGACTTATCTGTAACCAGAGGCCAGAAGGAAATTGGAATCCAAGGCGGTAAATAATAGTGTTGGATCGTCTTCCCTTGTGTGCTTGCACCCGTACATCAACCTCAAAGACCGTTACCGACGCACTTGAATTGGCAAAAAGGCCAAATGGCATACCGGCCTTACATGGACGCTTTTTATCTTCGGATCACATTCCAGTGATGCGCAAGGGAACCTTGAACCTCCGGAGCCACGTTCCTAGCGGCGTTGAAGTGGCATCTGCACTGCCGTTGCGTACCGGCAAAGAGGACCAGGCTAGTCGTACTGTAGATACAGAAATAATGCTTTGAGAGGCAGTAGTGACGATAATGACGAACATGACGAATCCTAACTAGTCAATTAGTTAGCTCATACGACTAAGGTGACAAAACTTGCAGATACACAAAGGCGATCATGATCATCCAGCAGGCCGCACTACTATAATAGTCTGCTCTCTGACGAGACAGAGTTCTTGACTACACTTTATTGTCTATTTCCCTGACGGGACACAGCCACTATAGATAGATAGATAGATAGTAACTAGTAAATCCACCATCATCGGCACCTATTTCCGCAAAATGCTTATTATATGCTATTTCCTAGGGTCAATAATAATGCTGACACCCAAGGCTTGTGTATATCATTATCCCAATATAGGCAAAGTGTTGCTTGGTGTCATCTGATTTCATTATACTACTACTAATCACTGCTAGCCCGACTTTGCTTAACTTGCTCTTGCTTAGACTAGGTTCCAAAATATTAAAAGCTCTCCTGTGATGCAGAAGCAGGACATGTCTGATAGCGGTTCGCTAGGGACCACCGCTCCCTTAGATTTGAAACAATAGTATCTTGAAACGCCAAAGAAACTGTAAATAATCTATTCCCATTAATGTTGAATTTCTGCCTTTTTCTAATTGGAACACAACCTCCGTAAAATGGTTTGACATCTTGTCATTGCGGGGAACAAAGCTACGTCGTCCAGGTCAGCGCGATTTTGGTTTCCGGGACATCGCTATACAAGTACTCCCACAGTGGATTTACGGAGTACATATTACTTTATTCTGAAAAGCTCAAGATGATCATTGCGATTATTGGTGGTGATGTTGTGTACATATTGGTCACTTCGCAGTAGTAAGAAGAAGCTCTTAGCAGTATTATTAGTTAGCAGTCCCATACTCTTGACCATCCTTCTCCACAAACCAAACTCTGCTGCTCCGCCACTCGTCTGGAACATTTCGATCGGGGACGAAGCTGTCGCTAGCCATTTGATAGTTCTACGCAACAATCTGACAGATCGTCTAGAATCTGTCATCACGGAATTTTCGGCTGAGAGAGCACAGCCTGGCCTGCGTTGATTCCTAGAAGTTATTGTTGATATCGTGGTGCGCCGCACCGAATTTCCCCGCGGAATGGACGCCGAGATTCAGGCGCAGATCCCCGGCTTGGATCATGTAATTTCAGAGTACTCAGTGGTACGTGACTCTCTGAAGCTTTTGCAAAGATGGACAAAGAAAGGACTTGCGAAGTTCTTCAACTAGTCTGCTAACGAAGACCCCAGGGCTACCTGACCCATGCCTCCAGAGCCTACGTCGAAGATGCCGACCCAAACGCACCATCGCCTCTGTCTGAAGCTGCTGACGCTGTGACCGAACTGCTCATTTCGGCATCGGGAGACTTTTCGCCAGAAAATGAAAAAGCGATCCGCAACCTGGTGGAAAAGTTCATCAACTCTCTGAGTGCTGCTGATGGCGTGGATGCGGAGCGAAGACAAATACCCTTTGCGGCTAAGAAGCTCGACCAAGCAATCAATGTGGGATCGCAGCGGAACATGTCCTCGACACTCGGACTGGCTGGCGGAGGCGTCGATCTAGAGTCTGCAAATACCAGGAAGGTGGAATCTCGTGTGGATCGGAAGAAGCTTGAGAAGGCGGAAAAGAAGATTCGCGCGAAGCAGGAGAAGAAGGTCATGAAGAACGTGGAATATGAGGCATCTCGACTGCTCAACGAGCCTGATTCGACGCAATCCTATGAAGAGTTCTACATGGCTGTCAACCCTCTGCAAATGGGCGCGGACTCGCAGTCCAAGAGCAAGGACATCAAGGTGGACGGAATCGACATCTCTATTGGTGGCTTGCGGATATTGACGGATACTTCTTTGACACTGGCTTACGGTCATCGCTACGGTCTGGTTGGTCAGAACGGTATCGGAAAGAGTACTCTGCTGCGTGCTTTGAGTCGCAGAGAAGTTGCTATTCCGACCCATATCTCTATCCTCCACGTGGAGCAGGAGGTATGTCGGCTTCTGAATAGCGTTCAATTCTTCTGGAACATGACTGATGAAATCTGCAGATTCGCGGAGACGATACTCCCGCATTGCAAGCTGTGCTGGATGCCGATGTCTGGCGAAAACATCTACTCCAGGAGCAGGAGGTCTGTCATCTCGCCCGTCAAGTACACACCCAGTGCTAACTGCATGAACAGAAAATCTCCAAGGAGCTGGCGGCTATTGATGAGGAGAGAGCATCGTTGGCGGATACCTCCAAGGATGCGGCTAAGCTTGACCACCAGCGTGAGGGTCTCGACATTACTCTGAGCGACATTCACACGAAGCTCGCGGAGATGGAATCAGACAAGGCCGAGTCTCGAGCTGCCAGCATTCTCGCTGGTCTCGGTTTCTCTCCCGAAAGACAGCAGTTTGCTACGAAGACCTTCTCTGGAGGTTGGAGAATGAGGCTGGCACTGGCGCGTGCTCTGTTCTGTGAGCCGGACTTGCTGTTGCTCGATGGTATGCCGCCGTTGTCTATTTGATAACTTTTAAGAGTCAAGCACTAATCCTTTACAGAACCGTCGAACATGTTGGATGTCCCATCCATTACGTTCTTATCCAATTACTTGCAGGGATACCCCAGCACTGTCCTTGTGGTATCTCACGACCGTGCTTTCCTTAACGAAGTCGCAACCGATATCATCCACCAGCACTCAGAGCGGTTGGACTACTATAGAGGAGCTAACTTTGGTAATTATATGCAACCTTCGCAAGCTAGTAAGACAGTGCCGCTAACTCTTCATAGATTCCTTCTACGCTACGAAAGAAGAGCGGAGGAAGACTGCAAAGCGCGAATATGAGAAGCAAATGGCAGAGAGAGCACATCTTCAAGGTCAGACTCTTTGTTTCGTTCTCCGGTCAGGTTCTTCAACTAACGGTGGCCCACAGCGTTCATCGATAAATTCAGATATAACGCCGCCAAGTCCTCTGAGGCGCAGTCGAGAATCAAGAAACTCGAGAGGATGCCTGTGCTTCAGCCTCCCGAGAGCGAATACACCGTGCATTTCAAGTTCCCAGAGGTCGAGAAACTATCGCCGCCCATCGTCCAGATGTCCGGTGTTTCCTTCGGATATACCCCTGATCGGCCTCTGCTTAAGAACGTCGATCTCGATGTCCAACTGGATTCCCGTATCGGTATTGTTGGACCGAACGGAGCTGGTAAGACAACTGTTCTCAAACTGCTGATCGGCCAGCTACAGCCGTCCAGCGGCACGATATCTCAGAATCCCCGACTGCGCATTGGCTTCTTTGCTCAGCACCACGTTGATGCATTGGATCTTACGGCAAGTGCGGTCGGTTTCATGGCGAAAACCTATCCTGGTAAGACGGATGAGGAATACCGGAGACATTTGGGAGCGTAAGTATCCCTTGGAGACGTCGCCCTGGTATAGGAAGATCTCTTACTGAGTATTTCGCAGATTCGGTATTACCGGTATGACTGGTCTCCAGCGAATGGAGCTTCTGTCCGGAGGTCAGAAGTCCCGTGTAGCATTCGCTTGTATCTCTTTGACCAACCCGCACATCCTCGTTATGGACGAGCCTTCTAACCACCTGGATATCGAAGCCATGGACGCGTTGTCAGACGCTTTGCGGAACTTCCAGGGAGGTGTCCTGATGGTCTCCCACGACGTGACATTGCTGCAGAATGTCTGCACCAGTCTGTGGGTCTGTGACAAGGGCACCGTGGAGAAGTTTGACGGAGATGTCAATGCTTATAAGAAGAAGATCACTTCACAAGCAAACGAGGCTGGTGTGGTGGCAGCTCACTAAGAGACAAAACTAGTTACGATAGAGATCAGATGATAAAACAATCTGGCCGAGCATACATTATGACCATGTCACATCATCTTAAATAAATTTCAAGCGTATTGAAACATGCTATCAGCTATCCACGCGTAGTCTTAGAAGATCGTGGCGGCAATTGAAGTTAGCCATTCTGGCCACGCTAGGTGAGATAGTCGGTAAAGGGATCGCCGGGAAGCCTGGGGACGATGACGGCGGCGTGGGTGCACCAGCATTAATTGCTAGACGGAAACTGGAATCCACGAACACGGGGTACTCGACTTACTCGACCCTATACCGCTACTGGACATATGCGATTCCATGTTATATTCATAGCTCCTCATGATATCGGCGTACTCCTGCTCGTCTGAGGTGAGGTAGAGCTCGAAATCATGGCTCACGAACACCATGACGGCAGCGGAGCGGAGTCTCCCTTGCTGGTCCACGACAATGACGCGCGGAGATCTCCACGGCGTGAGCACGAGGATGAGGATGAGCTCGAACACAATGAGCCCGAGCAGCCTCTCGTCTCTAAGAGCTATGGCGGTCTTTTCGTCTGGATCTTGACCTTCTCCGCGGGCATCAGCGGACTTCTCTTCGGCTATGAGTATGGCATCCAAATCCCTTATCGCATATAGGCCGTCGTTATTGACAAGACATCTAGCACTGGAGTGATCTCCTCTATGCTTGTTTCCATCGGTTCCGACTTATCCAATCGTCCACTTACGACCGCCGACAAGAGCATCATCACGTCGTGTACGAGCCTTTTTGCGCTTATCGCCAGTCCGATAGCTGGTCTGCTGGCAGACAGATTAGGACGGAGGAAAGTTATATTATTCGCAGATGGCCTTTTTGCCATTGGTGCATTATGGCAGGCTGTTACAAGCAGCGTTTGGGGCATGATCGCCGGACGCAGTGCTGTGGGTTTGGCGATTGGTGCTGCTAGTTTGGTTACTGCACTGTAAGTGCCTAGGAACTCTCTTCTGAGGAGCGGAATGGCGGTGGGATTAAGTTCGAATGCTGATTTTTGTCTTTGTGTGGAACAGATACATATCTGAACTTGCTCCTTCGGAAATGCGCGGACGACTTGTTACCATACTCAGTCTCTTGATCACTGGCGGACAAGTAGTCGCCTACGTGGTCGGGTGGCTCTTTTCATCCATGCCCGGAGGATGGAGATGGATAGTTGGTCTGGGAGCTCTCCCAGCCTTTTTCCAAGTGATGTTCATACTCTTCTTACCTGAGACACCGCGATGGCTCGTCCGGGCCGGTCAGGAAACTAGGGCGCGAGCCGTCCTGGGAAAGATTTACGGCTCCGATCCCGATATGCAGAAGCTGGCGGAGCGTGTCTTTCGCGATATCGAGAGAGAGGTTGCCCTTGAGGAAGAGGAAATGGGCGTCGACCACAACAAACCGTCCAGCTTCATAGACCAAGCCACTCACAGCATGTCAGAACTATTCCGTATCGGCGGCAACAGAAGAGCCTTGACGATCGCAGTCATGCTGCAGGGTGTGCAGCAGCTTTGTGGATTTAACAGTCTGATGTACTTCTCCGCAACGCTCTTCTCTCTGCTGTCCTTTTCATCTCCAACGTTAATCTCTCTCTCGGTGGCCGTAACCAACTTCCTTTTCACCCTCTTCGCCTTCTCTCAGATCGACCGTATCGGTCGACGCCGCATCTTGCTGCTGTCGATCCCCATCATGACCGTCTCGCTTATCGTATGCACTCTCGCATTCCTACCTTTGGACCTGAAAGACGCACCATCTGTACATCAGCTCCGAGATCAAGGAAGCGACATCACGAAAGGAAAGACATCCCTTCCCATAATCATCCTCTTGTCCCTAATCGTCTATACCGCATCGTACGCCTCAGGCCTCGGAAACGTGCCCTGGCAGCAATCAGAGTTATTCCCGCTAAACGTCCGTTCCGTCGGTTCTGCGCTGGCGACGGCCACGAATTGGGGGTCTAATTTTATTGTTGGGCTTACTTTCCTGCCGCTGATGGAGTGGATATCCCCCAGTAGTACATTTCTCATCTACGCGGCGATATGTGTTGCTGGTTGGGTTGGAGTATGGGCTATCTATCCCGAGATGAGTGGATTGAGTCTAGAAGAAGTTAAGGAGTTGCTTGCCGACGGATACGGCGTCCAGGAGAGTCTTGCTAGACGGAGAGCGTAGCTTTTTGATTTCACCATTATAGACTTTGTATAGAAATTATGGATATTTTTTTTCCTTCTTGCTGTCTTTTCTTTTTTGGGCTAGCTGGTACAGAAAGGCCGCACTGAATCAGAGCAATGGGCTGCTGTGTAAGATCCGCCATCTATCAAGCGATAATAGGATGGGAAATATGAACGAGATTCCAACCACCATTCATGCTAGAAAACATTAAATCTTTACTCCTCGATATCCTTGACCTTTTCCCACTGGCCCTTCAGGTTCTCCTTCCACAAGCTGACCTTGTTGTCGCCGCCGCTGACGGCCAGGATGTTACCGCTCAAGCTCCAGCTGACTCTCCATAAAACGGTGTCGAACTCGAGCACGGTGCTGGTCCACTGAGTGGGGTTAGAGGCGTCAGCCGTCCATATCCGGACGGTCTTGTCTTGTGAGGCGGAGGCGATGTATGACTTGGAGAGAATACTTGGGGACCAGGCGACGTCACGGACCCAATCAGTGTGACCTTCCAGGGTCTGCGTCAAAGTGTATGACTTCGATTCGGCGCTGTTGAGGGTTTTATGGTCAGCAACAAAAACGTTTAACAGACACACCGAAATACGATGTCTCCAGGGACTACAGTAGGTTAACGAACTTGAAATCCCAGATCTTGACCAGGTTGTCACTGCCACCAGTGACGAACCTCCTCTGCTGGCCAGGACCAGGGTTGGCACTGATCAGACTGCCGGGGGAAGCCGCAGGAGCCCAGCTAACTGCGTTCACGCCCATCCCGTGAGCGTGGAAGATCTGATGGGTCCAGCTGTTGTCACGGAACTCGAGCACGCTGACATGGCCGTCGGAGGAAGCACAGGCGAGAAGACATCCGCTTTCATGTGGTGCCCACGAGACCATGTTGACGGAGGCTGTGTGTAGGGAGAAGTCGAAGACCTTGCTCCATGAGGAGCTGCTTGCGGGGGAAGTTGTGCTCAGAGGCTGTTCGCGCCAGACCAGCACCTTGCCATCGTAGGAGGAAGAAGCCAGGATGGTACCGAACTTGGGATGCGCCTGTACATTTGCTTCCAGTCAGACCTCTTCATTATTCCCAGAATCCAACTTCGAGACCGGAGGATGTTGCACGTACCCATGCGACACACCATACTGCGCCTTCATGTCTTTGCGCACTCAGAGTCAGCTACCACTCTGAACAATGGAAGCGAAACTGCCCTTACCCCTTCAGGGTCTCGACCAATCGATGTGATTCCCCCTCAATTTCGAATATCTTAATCGTCTTATCGGATGAACATGTTGCAAGTCTCCGGCCGTAGTAATCCAGACCGGCATCGTGCTAGAAATTAATCGCAGTCAGTACCCCTCGCTTTACTGGGAAGAAGGCGCATCCTTCTGGATTCTGATCCGATGCGACAATTGGCACGTACAATCATATCATCATGACCAGAGTTGGAGATGACTTGGGCCTGGTGGAGTAGACTGTTAATAACAAGAGCTCTGGTCTGCGTCAACAGAAGGACTGACCATCTTCGCGGTGTTGAGAAATATAGAGGATAAAGGAGAATTCGGTTCGGAGGAGAAAGCAGGATTCTATCCCCTTCTGCAATCGAACACAAAGGGGTTCCGCGGAGGGATGTTATTGACGATGCTCGATTGGGGAGAAAGGAGCCCCGACGCGCGAACAGCCAATCTGTCCGTTTCTGCCTTGTTGCTCAGGCTGCAACATGAGAGCCGCACGCCTTCTTATCTTATCGGACCTTTCCCCCACGTGAGCACCTCGGTCCGCGGGGATGCCGACTTCTTGCCCCGGTATTTGCCTCATCCTTCTTGTGACTCCAATGCCCTCCTCTGCTTCTAGCGCTCTCTTTCTGTCGTAGCAGCATTATTGTACAGTTATTTCCCCGTTCCTGCTTCTCGATACTCTCTGTGCGCTCCGTTTGGCGATCCGTTTGGTATTTCCGTGCTCATCGATTAGTCATTACCTCGGACAGAAGCACACTTGTATACCTACTGTCTCTTGATACAACGAGCGCTCTGTTTCTCGAATTCCCTTAGCCACCATGGCTGACGCGGTCTGCGGTCCTTCTAATCCACTACAGAATTTCCGAAAGCATGCATCGACAGACCGGACGCTTCAGCAGGATCGCTTGACTGCCCGTCCATCTCCTGCACAAGTAAGCAGCTGTCGATTCCGCATTTCTATCTGATCCAGTGTCTGATATTCTCTTACAGGGTTTCCGATCAGCAAATCTAAATGCCGGTGTCTTAGATTCCGAATTCGAAGCCTTTGAGGCCAACCTAGCAGGGCCACCCCCCAGTCTGCAACATCCTGTCCCTTTCGGGGTACACAGTCGACATGGCCCTATGTTTTCCGCGGGGGAGAGCTCCAATTGGGCAGCAGACTTTCAAAGGCTGCAGGTGTCTGACGGTCCCCCGATGCATGCTCAGCATCATTTCCAACCAGCAAACATTTCCATGGCCGGACCTTCCCAGAGAGGTTGGCATGAGGAGTTTGTGCGACAGCAACAGGGAAGTCCGGCCCAGCTTCATCAACCATCTCACAGTCCAGCGTTCCAACAACCAATGCATTACCCCATGACTGGTGGGATGAGTTCTTTTGTTCCCCATGCGACACAAGCAGCACCGCAGAATGCTCATCCCGCAGAGACGCAGGTCTTCGACGAATCATCATTCGAGGCTGCGTTCGCACAAGCGCGAGCGGAAATGGAGTTACAGGAGACAACTGCTACGCAAGAAACCACTACAGTTGCTAGCACGCCACAAGTGGATGCTGTTTCAACCGAGCAACCTCTAGAGCAGATACGGATTGGCTCTGACACGATTCCTTACGTGGAGAAGGACAGCACTGAGGGCCGGGTGGATGATTCAGATGCGCTCGCAAAGACGGCGGGCCAGCTACTCGAAAGCGTCAGCCACGACCAGAGTCAGAAATTCAAAGAGAGCAATTTCCTTGCCCTTATGCGTCGGATCCGTGACCGGGAGGTGCGCGTGGAGGGAGACGAATTCCGCGATGTCAGTACTCCTCCGTAAATTCAAAAAACTCCGTAAATTTTTTTTGAATTTCGGAGGCGCGGCATATCCGCTGGTACAACTTTAGCATTCTAGATTGATTCTCATTAGCGCTAATGGGTCTCCAGGTCGAGCAATCACTTCACCCTGGCGGCAAGTATTATCCGGCAGACTATCGATCACCGTCTAATCATGAATCGCAACCGGCGGCCAATATAACCGGCGATGATGATGCTGGTAGGTCTTGACAGGTCAAGACGGACTGAATGACCTGACTCCTTAGCTTAACGGACTAGATTTTGAGCGCGGTGCTGGTAACGGGATTCGGAACCGTGTAGGAGGAATCCTGAGCGATACTGGAGGGTCGGATGATACCATCCTATTAGAGTCTCCATCTGAGGGAACCGACACAAGTCATCTTTACGAGATACCAAGGCCCGGCAAGGGAACAATCGATCGCGGTATTGTATATCCTATGTCCTGCTTTTTTCGAAAAGACCTAGAAGCACTTGGCCCTGTATAGGTTGGACTTGCTACAGGATTCGTGATCGCGGTCCGACACCTTGATTGCTTATCAGACACACTTCATATCCCACTTGCATGTATGTAGCTATTATCTAACAGAAACTTGCTGCCGGCAGACTCGTCTTTTCTGGCGAGGTGATCAAAAGCATATAATAAAATCCGGCAATTATGACTTCCATCATTTCATCTGGTTCTATTCTATAATTGGGAAAATCAAGATGACCAAAAAGAACCTGCTGCAAATGGATGGTACGACCGATCACCTGCACGGCTCTTTGCGCGTCGAAACCATGACAGATATATCTATGTCATTGGTTATGAGTACAACTCGTGATGGCGTATATCATAGTTCCGTACTCATCAAGGTTCTCCAGCCAACGGCTCCTCTCAATGCCCAGTTCGCCTAACTCGGCAGGGGTTGGCCAAAGTTCGTCAATAGTTAGACTCCCCTCCATCCACTCGGCCATGTGGATATTGTATTCTCTTTCCCACTCATAGCGAGTTGTTGCTTGCCACAATAGTCTATTAGCCGGGGCTGGCAGACCACGTAATTCACTGCCAAGGAAGGTAGGAAGACCTTCCCGAGTAGAGAGGATGCTATCAAATAAATACATCACGTATAACGTCCGCCGTTTGGCTTCGGCTACGATCCATTCTTCCCACCGTGGACGGGCTCGTTGCTGATCTGCTGCGCATACAAGTCCATTACGAGCCGAGGCGCAAGCCAGCTCTTGTAGATTGGTCATAATGCCGCGAAAGTACCTAATCATTGCAAGATTGATTAAGTCGAAAAAAGAGGACCATTGAATAGATAAGATAGGCTTGGAACGCAGCAAATAAAGCCTCATCGTTATACCCGTCCCGTAGTTCATATAGGCTGTGCATCTCTCGTTGTAGAACGGTAGCTGCGGCATCTGTACTGCCTGGTAGTGGATTTGAACATATCCGAACCAAGCTTAAGCAAGTAGTAAGTGGTGACCCTGTTGGCTGCGCAACAATCTGTTTCGGATGAATGAACGGTAGAGCACCACGGCCATTTATTGAAACGGTTGCATATGACTTTAGAATATCATAAGCGAAGCCGGTGACACCGATAGGATAGTTCTTGATCGTCTGTCCAGGAATAGGAATATACATTTGAATCCAGCGATTCTCGATATCATCAGCGTTTATGGGACAGACTAGATCGAGGCCCGAGAAGTCCATAGTGTTCTGCTCATCATCAGAAACGGTTGTAGTGGTAGCAGTGATGGGCCGTTCATCCTCAGATGAAAAGACTCTAACAGTTGTGCTTGGAGTATTTAGCAGTTGAGCTCTCGGATCATTATTGCTCGCATTCATTGCTAGCAGCCCACTCTCGGGGCCAATTAATGACGAATCTGACAATGAAAATGGGCTGTCCGGCCGCGCTTCACCACCCAAGTCGGTGTTTGTCCTAGTATTCAGCCGCTGCCTTTCAGAGGCATTTGCATGGGGATAAGCACAGGGCAGACCCCGTTGTGCACATCTCGTACAGCGGATATGTCCATATTTGCGCTCACATCTAGCTTTAGCACTGGTGCATTGCTGACAGGCTTTTTGTCGAGAAGTTGAATATCTCGAGCTTCTCATTATTGCTGATATGGAGCCTGACTGAACTTTTGGAAGAGAGTCCACAGTGATGAAGTGGTAAGCTACCAGCCAGGTTGGGTTGATAATCCTTCGAGAAATGCCACGATAGGGGCATTAGGATTTACCAATAGCTCTATAGCTATGGCATTTCAATATGAGGAACAAAGCTGTTTGGTTAGAAGCAGCAGCAGGTGTATTCGAGTGATGTTCTGCGAGCTTCATGTACAACTAAAGTACCTACTTGATGGTTTAGTTCTCTTTTCGGAACTCCGGCGCCATTGCGGATGCGGAGTTCCGCTGTATCCGCATTGGTTTAGTGACATAGCCAGGGGTTGAATTCCTCTGATATTGATGATTGGCAGTCATATCTCTGAATAAAATTTGTCCTTAAATTATACTATACATGGGATCTATGTTCCCTTCTCGGTATAGTGATGTGATAATACAAAATGGTGGCGCTCTTCCATGTGTATTATTGTCTCCGTGCGAACCATCTGATATAGCAAATCTAGATTCGATTCCTCTTCTTGCTAATCTTAAGATGTATTGAGTTCTCATTCCGACTTTGTACTGCGAGACATGAGCTTTTTCTTCATTTGGCCTGTTTAGTGATTTTTACCTTCAGCTGTTTTCTAGAGCCTTTCGGACTTGATATTAGATCCGGAGTTGAAAATCGGGACCCTACCGGAGTTGAACAAGTCATGGGGAATGTGATTGGCCAATGTGAATGTACTCACAGCGTCGTTGTTCTATACTCTAATCCCAAGCAGGAGAGGACAACACCTTTGGTTTGAGTTACCGGGATGGTCTAGCTAGACATCAACGAGAAACATTGTCTATATTGAACGGACTTGATTCTACTTCATACTAAAATATCCGAAGTCACTGGTCTGGCAGTGTATTTAAGGGGGAAAGGAACTCTAAGTTCACACCACGTACTACCAGAAAATCGATCTAGGAATTCCCCAGCGCCTGCAGAGCCTCACCAAGCGAGATAACCTTAAGGCCCATCTTGGGTAGAAGCATGTCGAGCATCACATAAGTGAACTCTGCTGTTTGGTTGACCGGTAATTCCAGCACATTGTCCCTGATAACATAGATCATGTAGTCCAGATCGAACAACCGATAGATGGTGGACATCACAACACCCGAAAGACTCAAGCCGGACTGTAACATTTAGATTACTAGAACAACGTTAGACATGGAGGTAATTGTCACGTACGATGATAACAGTATTGATATTCCTCGCTTGTAGGATCTGTTCCAAGGCGTTGCCTATGCTAGCGCACCACCTTGTTTTCTCAACAACGATATCCTTTTCGTCTACTTTGAAATGATCGTCGATTTGCACTTCAGGAGAGGCCTTTGAGAGGTCTCCGTATGGAGCAATCAGCTTGGCAAATGGCGAGTTAGGCTTGACCTCAGGCTGGCCAGGGCTGAAGGAGAGGGTTGAGAAAACGGTAAGAGGACGAGGAAATGTCTGGTGTATAGCGTCGTTCCATTTTACGCAGTTCTCAATCAATGTCTGCCCTTCGGATGTATCTTTGACGGCGTTGATAAGTCCCGTCATCCAGTCCAAGTTGAGAATCGCATAGTTCTCCCCGAAGCTCAGGGAACTGCTGGTCACAGAGGCAGCCATAATGAGTAAGAGACGCTTGGAGTTACCGAGTAGAGGCAAGAAAACTAAGCGGTAGAGTGGATGTATTAATTTTCAGATTAATCAGGATGGTCCATTGGAGCATTTAACAGCTCGCAAATTGAAAGAGTGTCCCCTGAAGATCTATAACTCAACTCCGAACGCCGCTGGCGGAACTCCGATTGCCACTCCTGCAATTCATGGTCCATATATTTCAGCATCCTCTGCCCTGTTCCGATCTGTTATTTTTCTTGAGAACCTTTAATACTAGACTCTAGCTATACAGAAGAGAGAAACGGACACAATGTCTTCTACTTCTGATCCAAAACTTGCCGATGGCGACGCCGCGACGAATGCATCAACAACACCGGAGAGAGATCGCACTCCCGAACCACCCTTCAGCATATTTGATAAAAGACAAAAATGGCTAATTATTATCATTGTCTCTACCGCTGCGACTTGTAAGTTTGCGAGCCATAAAGTAGTTTTACATAAAAAGTCTACCACGCTAACGTTCTGGAAATAGTCTCTGGTTTCGCATCAAACATCTATTTCCCTGCCTTACCAACAATTGCAAACGACCTCAATGTCTCTATTGAACTTGTCAACCTTACTGTCACATCATATCTCATCTTCCAGGGCCTAGCGCCTAGTCTTTGGGGTCCAATTTCCGACGTGAAGGGACGTCGAACAGCATACATGGGCACATTTCTTGTGTTTTTTGGAGCATGCATTGGACTCGCAGAGACGAAAAACTACGCTACTCTTATTGTTTTACGATGCCTTCAAAGTACAGGCAGTGCCAGTACGATTGCAATCGGGTCTGGTGTGATCGGTGACATTACCACTCGCGCAGAACGTGGAGGCTATATGGGAATCTTTCAAGCAGGGTTGCTTGTTCCTGTTGCCGTGGGCCCAGTGATTGGAGGTGCGATTTCTGGATCGTTGGGATGGAAAGCAATCTTTTGGTTCTTAACCATTTATAGTGGTATTTTTCTCTGCGTGCTTATTTTGATATTACCTGAGACACTCCGATCGATTGTCGCCAACGGAAGCCGGCTACCATCGAATCCCTTGGTGAAATACCCGCTGAATACTTATCAGAAAACAACCAAAGTCGAGTGGCAGCAAGGACAGGATTCACCTCCCGCGGCGAAGAAGACTATTGATCTTCTGGGTCCCTTCCGAATCCTCTTCAGCAAATACGCAACTCCTATTATCGCCTTTCTTGCTATCTATTATGCCGTCTGGCAGATGAGTATCACTGCCATGTCGTCGCTTTTCCAAGACAAGTATGGCTTGACTGAGATCCAAATCTGTCTGACCTTCATCGCCAACGGCGTAGGATCGATGGTCGGAACGTTAGTGACGGGCAAGATCCTTGATATCGACTATCGCCGCGTCAAGGCCAGGTATGAGGCTTCATTTGACAACGAGCGACACAATGAGGTTTCTCGGGCCAGCTGTGATGATAACTTCCCTCTTGAAAAGGCGCGTCTTCGACTCGTGCCCATCTTCTCTATTCTACAGTGCCTATCTATCATTCTCTTCGGCTGGGCTATCCAATATCCTCACAAAGTGCACATTGCGGTCCCTATCGTCTCTACTTTCATTACAGGATGGACTGCTATCTCGACACAATCCCTTATCATGACCTACTTGGTGGATATTTTCCCCGATAGGAGTGCAGCAGCCAGTGCTAGTTTGAATCTTGCGAGATGTCTATTTGCCGCTGGTGGGACGAGTTTTATCATGCCCATGATCAATGGCGTCGGTGTGGGAGTGGCCTTCACGATCTGTGCCGCTGTACAATTGGTGGCACTGATCGGTCCTACAGTTCAGTGGAAGTTTGCCGCTGGATGGAGAAGGAAAGAGAGGGAAGAGGGTGCATTGAGGGTCGAGGGAAAGAATTCTGCTTAGACAGACTAATACGGCCACAGTCGCATCGTGCTCATGAACGACGGTCAATCCAGCCCAAACCTTCATGTAGCTTGGTTATATGGATCTACCCTGGGCTACAAGGTCAAGCCTTGTAGCGTTGGCATGCGTTGCACATCACTATCACTCTAAAAGTCTTCGTTGAATATGCTTTTCCTGTGTAGTTATAACTACCAGGAGAAGGTGAATAGGGTAATAAAATATAGGTTAATTTCTAATAGACCATCGGATAGAAAAACTATACGTGAATTATTCGGGCCTCTGTACTACGTAATCTGCATCGTACATTTTCCTCATAGAACCAGAGCTATTCGACATGAGTATCATCAGCCTAGCCGGATGCGCACCAGGCTTTTCTTCATTTTCATGTGCACAATCTTTACGTACTCTATAATCACCGGCGAAGTGTGGAGCGGCTATGCAGGGGCATCGTTTCCATAATGATATCGGGTCCCTTGATTTTACAGCTGCATTTCCATCACACATTCTGCCTCGCCCAATTGATCAATACAAACTCGGAGAGCTGGCATAAGCAGTCCATACAAGAGACATTGTTGCTGGGTGGTAGCACAATTCTTTTGAAGCTCGTTCTATATGGCCGTGCCATCCACTGGATTGGTCTTTCCTTCATCAATAGTTTGTGTATTGAACCTAAAACGATGTTAATCAGAAATTCTGCTCAGAAAGAGTGGTACGACCTTCAAAAGGCGATAGTTAAAACAGCATATTCGGTGTTTACTTCTCGTTTGTATATACATACCCCCACCAAAGCATTTCTCTGCAACTTGGTCACCACAACCCATAGGACCATAGGCTTCTCGCCCCTAAATTGATTAACAATGGCTAGTTAGGAAGAGCCTACCTTATACTCTTATCTCCTACTTGTCAATGTGATAAAATCCATTTCATTATTACATGCAATCACATGACTTATGTGCTATTGACGGAGTGCAACAACAAGAGAACAATAGCGGAATTTCACAATCTTGACCAGCTGCTGAAATCTTGAATAGAAATCAAACATCCAACTCAATAACTTTCCAGTCTCCCCTTTTCCTGGCGCTCCTTTCTCAGCCTCATATAATGTTCCCGTGTATACTATCCAATTTTGGTCTCTATCTGTGCTTCTATTGTCCCTATTTACCTACCATTCAATCATATATTCCAGAAATCTGCAAGTGCTACTAATATAGAGTTCAGACTAATGTCTCTATTGAACCTGGTATTCAACACACAAGAGCAATCCCCATTGTTGTGGGTTTTACACAATTCTGTGTTATACATATAAATGGATATAAATACTTGGCTCTATCCCCTCAATCTACTTCGGCTCTTGACTCTATCACCACAAAAGAAAGATCAAGCATACTTGCTCTATCTAAGCAGCTGCCTTTGCAATCGGAATACTTCAATCTACATCTGACCCAACGAGTCCTTTATATTCATTACCTACCACAAGCATCAACTTTCGCAAAGAAGAAAGAAAATGTCTCTACCACCATATAGTACCATGGCGACCCAGCGCGCAGTGAATCACCGCTGGTTCCAGGACAGGATGGATGAACTACGAGACCAACTGAGAGGACTTTCCTCCAATGGTCGAGGAGCCATTCTCGAAGACCCAAGCATCTATCCACCTCCGCCCTATTCGCTTGCAGAGGAGACACTCAATGTACCAGAGCATGAAGAGCATGAAAACGAGACTCGTGCCCCCGTCCCAATCACCATTCGCATTGACGTATCTACCAACATCATCGGACATGGGAATACGATTGTCATTCCTTCTCTCTCTGCTGGCGCTAGCAGTTCGAATTCCGAGTCCGGGGTTTCTCAACCGGATATAGAAGTCGCAGGAACGATGCCGACGAGCGTACAGCAAAAGAACCGGGCGAAAGTAACTGAACTCACTACTGCTATTATATCCGCTCTTCATTCCTCGGGTGTTTTGGACAATGGAACCAATGGTAGTAACCGCGGCTCTGTTGAGATCGATATCAAGGGGGGTATTACCATTCAGGGAAACAAGAACGTTGTATGCGGTAGCATTGCCGGGAGAAATGGCAGCGGGGACATTGCGCAGGCGGCAAAAGAGGTGGATAGGTTTGCGCACATTATCGAGAGGAAGAGAAGGGCTGTATCGGTATGTCTTGTCCTCTTAACATGTTAGTATGGGATATATTCTAATGGGATAATGTAGGAACCGGTCGAGATCCCGAGAGCGAAGAGATTCGGCTCTGGGCAGGGTAGAAGTCGTTCTGCATAACGCATATTGGTATGAGTACAAATTCTGTATAATCATATCGTTCCAGATTGTGTTTTGAAGGAGGAGAGCAGGGGGGAAAGACCGGAATGTCCGGCTGATATCATTATCATTCGCCCGGAGCGAATTGACAAAAGTCAGATAGTTCAAATGAATTCATTCCCTCGAACGAGAAACGAGAAACGAGAGTCAAATGTATATACTTAATGCACATAAACATCTATATCACCAAGACCATAAAACCTACAACACAAACCCGTTCGAATATAAAAGGAAATGCAATCTATAACTTCAGCCCCTACATATTCATTAGCTACCTAGTTAGGTAATTTTACATCCGTCCATACACATTTCTCTACCCATATCTATAACTCGATTCCCTTCAACAAGGCATGGATCCCCTAGAAATATCCTTCCTCCCTTCACCTCTCTTAAACCTAGAAGAAACAAGAAAACAAAACCCACGTTCCCAAACTTGGTTTCAGACCTTGATATCTCTTCTAGTGAGTGAGTGAGTTAGAATAAAACACATGGGGACCATGAAAATGACCACGATAATGGACTAAAGAAAAATAAACACAGCAACAACCCCGAAACCCTTGGACATCATTGATATTGCTTTTTTGGCGGAACCGGCTCATGTACGTCCACAGTTGCTTATTCTCTAACACCACAGCATGAGAAAAGCACAAGCAACAATCTGAGGAAGAAGAAGAGCACCAAGAAAAAGAAGTAATAAGCAGAATCAATGGAAATGATACCTTGTACAGTACAGGATGGTAATAGCAAGAAGAAGAAATTGAAAAAAAAGAAAGCGCCTTCCCACTATAAATCGGTCACCCAGACATAGACCTTGCGCCCAATAATAACTAGAAGAAAATAGCAAAAAGCCCTGCTTTCCGATCTACCGCCTCAATGCCCGATAATATGATTTTAGGTGGATTTGTAGCCATTCATCACTTCCGGAGAATATCACGACCAGGTATCTGACATCAGAAAGCGCTCTCTCGTGATCAAAGTAGCTGAACAGCAACCCATGCCCCGGCAGATGTAGTGAAGTGTAGAACAGCTGTAAGTGAGTGACTATCGGTGCCGCAGCACAATTTGACCGTATCTCAATAGCGACGCACGCATTGGAGCAACGGAAGCCTCACGGCACGTAACAAAATACCATAGTCCAAGGAACGTGGCTCATCGAACCAAGGGGACATCGTGACGATGTAAGTCTTTTGACCACTCCGGCGTAGTTCTATCTCGCTCGAAGAGGAGACCACAGTTATGACAGAGAGACTTTCGATAATTAGTCAATGTCTCGGACATTTTCAAGGGCCCACTTACTCTAGGACCTGCTGGACCATCTCGGACCGCCCAGACGGACGTTCCCCAGACCATGCAGTTGGTACATCTCCAGGTGGATCGCTCCCTGTAAACTTGATTAGAATCACGAACAGATCGGAGTCACTGTAAAACATACCAGTCGGCGAGTGTACCACTACCACCGCCGTATCCAGCTCCGCTGCTGGTATCAGGAGTTCCGCGGCCACCAGGTGTTCCTCCTCTTGCCAACGGACTGAGACTGCGGAATCGTCTCTTCCGCTTACTCCTCTCTCCTCTGCCCAGCGGTGTGTCGGGATCAGGGGCGTCGAAATAGCCACCGCCAATCTGCCTCGAAGTGTCAGGCGTGATACCAGCGGTCGACGAGAATCTTGCCGTTTCTCTCCGCAGACGTCTTATTTGCCGCTCCCTATCGCCTTCACGCTTTTCGATCTCTTCTTTGGACAGAGTCTCAACCTTGGGCTCCCACTCATCTCCCAGGCCATCAGGATCATAGCGCCATCCGGCTTCAGCTCCGTTCGCGGCCTGGTTGTCAATCTCGTTGCCATAGCCACCTACTCCGCTGATGAGACCTCCACTCTCGCACACTTCCTTCTTCAATTTGAGCACAGCTTCGTAGATCCCATGTGATATCGCGGAAACCCATTCTCCACCCAAACCAAGATCCGCACAGGTCACTTTCGCGAAGTCTTCCGCCATGCCCGGAGGATGAAGTAGGGACCACTCAAACTTGTCTGTGTATAGCCTGTTTTGAAGATTGATGTTGAGGTTGATTACGCATCTGTAGGCATCGTCCGGGTTCAGTACGCTGTCATTGATAAGCGCCTCCTTCGTCACACCATTAGGTCGGTTCGAATTGCCCTGAACTGCGGTCACAGACACGTCCCTGGAAGGAGCAGCAGCATCTCCAGGCTTGTTTCCCGGTGTACTTTGGAACAGAGGATGCAGCGCAACACCTGCGTACTCCTCTAGCTGCTGTCGGATCTGAGTGCTAATCGCTGCGGTCATCGCTGGAGGATTGGGCAGATCCAAATCGCGAACGAATCCAGTCGCGAACTCCTCCGGCGTCGCAAGAGCCTCGTGAAGATTCCACAAGAAGGTGTCCTTTATCCGGTATGCCGGAGCTGGCTCTGGTCTTCTGTAACCTGGGAGGGTCGGGTTGATGCCCGGTTCAATGATTCCGCGGGGTAGTGGGAAAGGTTCTAGTGGCTGATGCGCTGGGACTTCGAGATCGATACGGATGGGAATGAGGGTTAGAGGCAGCTGCGCTTGAATCTGCAACTGGTCTGCACATCTGGAAAGACGCAAAGAAGAAAAAAAAAGTGTTAGAAAGAACGAGCTGCGCAAGCCAAAAAAAAGCCCAATTCAAGGACGGAATAAAACATACGCTGGTCTCAACATCCTCTTGATCATCCAATCTCTGAAGATTCCTTGCACCTGAACAGGAGCATGGACTTCTTTCCCCACCTTTTCGCTCAAGGGAACCTTGTCCATGCTCGACTCGTCGCGGCGCAGACTTCTGAGACCTGTAGGTCTCCGGTGACCATCGCTATCGTCGAAATCATCGTCATCGAAGCCATCCTCCGCATAGTTGATAGCAGTTGTGCCACGTTTCGTTGTTCGTGACGGAGCCGCTTGCGTTGGAGGGATCACGGGCGTGAGCAGCGCATTCCCATATTGGCGCACTCGCGGCGGATATGAGCTGATATAACCTCGAACCGGCGACATCATAGGCGCTTCGATCAGCCTCTCTCGCACATGACCTTGTTGAAAAGATTGACGAACTGTTGCGATCGGAACGAGGCGCCAGAAGCTTCAGTAGATGCGGAAGGGCGAAGCTTGGGTCGTGGCGGAGACGATTGCGAGGGCGCAAATGTTTTGTAATCGTTAATATACCCGGGCAACCTTAGAGATCCAGCTGATAGAGCGGAAATGCAGGAATATGGCGTTGGAGGTCGCGCTAAATGGTGTGTAGAATGGGCTTCACAGTGGTCTAGCTCCGCCTACTTAGCTGCTCTTTGGGGGTTTCCTCGTCCGCCGCGTTTTCTCTGCGATTGTCGCGCGCCTACGCAGTAGCATCACGTGACATGCGGTATGCCAGAGAGAGAACGCGAAAGGTGGAAAAATACTCAGTTACTCGAGTGCAGAAGGGGTTTTTCCAATATGAATGTATGTTTGATGATTTCTTCCTTAGGAGATAAAAGAAAGAATTTTCCAAGTGGTGTAATGCTAATAGTGTGGGCCAAACCAATAACCAAGCAACCCTACATAAGAAATCCAACTAGGTAGGTAGTATTAATACTATGTTTTTGCCAACTGAAGCTAGAAGTGACGCATCCATACTTACCATGACGCCTTTCTTTGCTGCCGTTAGATGCTTACTCGGGCACTGCAAAGGCCCGAAGGGGAAGAGAGAAGAAAGTATATCTTCAAACTCAGTGAAGATAGATAGAAACCAGAAAAGGCACGGAATCGCTGTCTCAGTGGTATAATTACAAGGGGATTCCAAAGAAAAAGATGCGCAATAGAAGAAGAAAAAAAAAAAAAAGAAGAAGAAGACCCAAGACCAGTGTTACCGCAGTCCAATAACGCTCTGTAAATGACATTAGCACAGGAACGGCAAGATAGCAAAAGAAGACACACCATTTCGAGCGTCCATACTCTCCGAATCCACACCTTCAACTTGCCCTCGATACCTTCAACGCCCTCTAGCTCCACTCCCTCCCACCAGCATCGTCTGGCTGGCTTCCGCCAGAATAGGAGAAGCTTCTGAGCCATTCCCAGGGTGTTATTGTTAGCCAGGTCACCTTTGATGTCAGTCCTGAGCTTGGCCAGTGCAAGACTGCAGATGACCGCTTTGTTGGGTTCGCCAGCTCGATGACCCCAGCGATCTTCATGATTAAAGCCACTACCACGAGTTAGATAATCAAAAATGAACTAATTCAAGCCTTCGCAAAGAACTCACCCCGCAGTCAACATTTCGATGAGATGTTGCTCAGTGCTGCCAGCCTCATCACTTTTCCTCAGACCAGAAAAGATTCCATCCTGTTTCAACAGGATCTTGGCTGCAGCACGCTTGACCTCGATCATCTCGGGGTGGTCAATTTCCGGTCGCGGAGGGATAACGTAGAAATCAAGGTCTTCACGAAGCACGATGATACCGGCTCTGTCCTGAAGCATATCTCTCGCAGAACCCTGCATCGAGTCCATCGACGCATCCAAGTCCGGCGACATGTTCGGAGAAGGGGATGATGATGGAATCGATTGTGCCACCGAACGGAAGAAGTCCAGCATATACTGGAGGGATGCGGGGTCGTACTAAAGTAAAGGTCAGAGGAGCACGCTCAAAATTATCGAAAAGATATCCTGTAGATCCCAAGCGGGTAACTTACATCAACTGGGTATATGTCGCCTTCATGGAAAGTGCCCATGTGGCCGTCCGGAAGTAGACCGTTCGGGAAAAGAGACAACAGGACAAACTCGGGGAGCGTTAATAACTCATCTCGGGAGAGTGTGAAGCGGGTTCCTCTAAAATCCCGGTAAGTCTATGTAGAAGGCATTTGCGATGGTACAATGGATTTACCGAAGGTCCAGCGTGATATGCTCATCGGCACTGATATCTACCAGAACAGCCTATTAGTACGAACAATAACCAGATGATTTGGATCCTTCATACCCCCAAGAGTGTTGATCGGTGGCCCTCCCTGCTGCACCTGGGTGATGATGCTCGCGGCACCTCCAGCGGCTGCCATGACGTACGTAAATGATTCGATCGGACTGGATCCTTCTGTATAGGGTGGTGGTGGCTCTGCCTCCTCCGACTTCCCTGATGATTCCTTTGTCCTTTCTTTACCCGCAGATAGGGCTGCTTTAGTGTCAGCAACGACTGGCGATGCAGGTGAACCCTCTGGGAGTTCTTCAAACGGAGGCGCTGGTGCAGTTGCTGAGATAGACGCTGAGGGGTATTCCGCTGTAACGGCGTCGAAGCAGTCGATATCCGAGTCGTGAGTCGAGTACAGAGAGGAGAACGGAGGTGGACCAGGAGACACCGCTTTCGAAGATGAGGGTCGCGAGTCTGGTGAGTCTAGCGGTGGATCTGTATAGGGAGCGTCCTCCTCAATGGAGTCGATCGGAGGAGGTGGCCGCGCCGTGGCAGGCGAGCCGTGAGGACTGCGTGGATCCGACAAGGCGAATACTAGTTATTGGATCGAATGTCGGTAGGGGGACGGATGTACTCTAGGAGAGCGGTCATGCGAGAGTCTGGCAGCAATACTGAGCTTCCACCAGATCGACAATGATTGACGCTGTAACGATCGCAGTATGGAGATCGCAGAGGTGCTGGGTCATGTAACGCATGTGATCAGGGGCGGTCCCACTGTCGATAGCTCGCTCGAAGTTGCAGAAGGTGGACGTCTAGCGATCAGGAAAACATCTGTGGAATGCTGGCAGATCCAATAAAGCTCGCGGAGAAGAGTAGGATCGGGGTGAAGTCTGGGGACGGAGGTTGGCGTGATGGAGAGCGATGTGCACTGGTGGTGAGGTCGCGGGCGTCTTAAGGTGGTCTAGCTAAGTACTCCGCCTCGGGTCCTGTGCTCCAATGCTACGCTCGGTGCTGTTACTTGCATTAGATGGAGTGGTGGTCCCTCGTTGCGCTTCCTCGGCTGGAAAAATAGCAAGTACTCACTGTAGACGAGGATATATCTATTGTATATTGCATTGATGATCTGAACAGGTTGCTACGTTTCTTGTTCGCAGCATGCATGGAGATGTATGTAGATGCACATAAAAGAGCGACCTCTCGAAAACCAAGCTTTAATCAACACTTAGGTCAACCAAGATGACCTGTTTCCCTATGATACCTTTTACATACGGCAAAACCTGATTTCAACAATGAAATTATAAGGATTTCTCCTTACTGTTTATCAATAGTCTTATATTTATTCTATGGTTCTTCCCTAAGTCTTCGGACAAAGCGAGACTAGTGTGTAGGCCCTAGACATTACGCTCTGCGTAGCTCTGGATCAGGCCCTCGAGCGTAGGCTCGTATTCTTTCAGGACTACCTTGTCCCCTTCCAAGACCGTGTTAGCCTGAACAAAGACTTTGCGGGGGATCTTCTTCTGCAGGACGACCTCCCGGACTTTGGTTCCCCACCAGTCGTCCACATGAGTGATCTCATCATACAACTTCTTGCCTGCTTCGAAGTCAGCAGTACTCTTGTACACATGCAGCTTCTGCAGGTATTTCTCCACCGCAGGCCGTCCGTGTGTGAGAATCTTGGAGCGGTCCAGGTGAATCTCAAGGTCCGAGAGATCGTCCTTAGTATAGACGAGCTTTACGAAATCGTCCCCGGCATCGAGGAACGTTCGTAGGATACTGTAACGGGCCTGCATATGGGCCTGGCCCCATTTTCGGCTCTTAGGATCCCAGAACTCCAGGGCGACAACACCAGCGCGGGCCATCTGCAAGTAAGCCGCAAACAGGACGTCACCAGCTTCGTTGGACAGGTCCTCTTTACCGTCTCCGAAACCGAAAATCTTCAAGATGCTGAAGTCACAGCTCAAGGCCATAGCCACACACTCTGCACGACACTCTTCATAAGAGGACGCAATGGGACCGAAAACAGAGCTCCACGTCTGTCCTGGCTTGTACCACGTCGAAATAGGCTTATTGGTGACCGGGCTGATAGGTGGGTTGGACACATCGAAGTTATACTCTCCTGGTGCCGTTTCCTGCAGCAACTTGCCCGTACCATGTCCGAGGAGCTCATGGATTCCCACCTGGACTTCGAATGCCGGGTCACGGAAGTTACGATATACTTCAAGATCCTTCTCAGGAATAAAAGGAACCGGCTCGTTTGGAGCTTTGGCACTGAGCACGTTTCCGAGGGAGACGTTTTTGAAACCCAGATTCTGACGGATATCATCGTAGTTCGGCAGATTGATACCGGCAGGTATCCCACTGCCAGCGAAGCTTAATACTTCCAGAGAAGTAAAGTCTGGGCTGAGGAACTTGTCCTTCTCAAAGTCCTTGCCCCAGGGCAGCTTGGGGATCATATCCTCGGCACTGGATACCAATTTTCCAAACGCTTCCGTCCGTTCAACATTGACCTAGAACCGTTAGTATCCATGAAGACAATTAAAAAAAAGAGTAAAAAACATCGTCATCCTAGACTTAGTGACATACCATGGCGACGAACCCCTCCCACTCTCCTCTTACCCCATGAGGATCTCTGTAAGTTTCCACGAAACCAATATTGGTCTCGATCTCAGGGCCCTGGTCTTTGACCCAGATCCTTTGGCTTTCCTTAAAGGCCTCGATGGAACCGGTCTTGAAAGATTTAGCATATTGTTCGAGCATTTTCTTCTGCCTGTCGGTCTCAGCATTGAGAGCGGCTTGCTCTATGCTGTTGGCAATTCTTGCCATCTCCTCGGAATAGTCACCGAAAACAAGAGTGAGCTTCTTCCCCTGAAGCTTGCCCTCCAATTGCCAGTGGGCAGCATCTCCCAGGTCCCTGTCCTGTGCCGGAGGCGAGGGCATAGCAGATGCGATCAACAGTTCAAAGTCTCCATTATTGGTCTTCCTAAGTCTCGTATTCTCCAACGGGAGGCCCTTCTTCTCCAGGAAGTCTCCAATCGCAGTGATCTCATCCTTCGTGATCGACGGAGAATCGGGATAATACGTGGTCATATGCTTGCTCTCTGGGTAACCCAGATGCATCAGAGCCGGATCATCAGTCTCGTAAATGCCACCTCCAGAAGTGTTCGCCTTCTCCCAAGCTGCCGTTGCTTCAGGACTAGCGGAAGCCAGTGCCTTCAGAGCAGCTGGCGAGATTCTCGGAATGATCTTCGAGTCACCAAAGCCTTTATAATTGCCGCAGTTGCCCAGGAATTGGGCGGCATACTCGAGGAAGAAACGCAGATCCTCCTGGCTAACATTTGTCTTCTGAGCGAGATCTGACCAGTTACCCTTGCTGGCGTGATAGAGAGAGATGATCAGGTCGTATATCGGCTCTGATTCGGGTGAGACCTGTCGCAAAGTCACGCGAGTTCCTTCGAAGGCAGCTCTGCGAGTCCAATCGGAACACGTCAGCAACTTGGTTTGAAAAGAAGCATCGCAACCGAATCAAGAGAATGAAAATCCAGAAGATAGGGATACAAATTGAGGGCAACAACACTGACCTGCTCAGGAAGTGCGCGTATTTTCTTGACCTGTCACTCTTCAATTTCTCCCAGTGCGGCTTGATTTCTAGCCTCACCACCGTCGGCGGAGAATCCGCGAGATATTGTTGCTTTGCTTTGGCATCCATCGATACTCTCCGCGACCCAAGCGGGGTGAACGAATCAAGAGAGTTGTTGGTCGTACTGGCGCTCGTCGAGCTGGACTCTCTGAGATGCTGCTGCAATAGCTGCACGCGATGAACGATGGGGAAAGATGAAGGTCGGGGCAGAGCTAGATGGTGGACATGTCCAGCAGCTCTGGATAAGCTTCTCAGAGGGACCATAGCAGTTGATCGAGAGAGAGAGGGAGGGGTTGCTGCACCGCCTACTGTAACGGAAGCCCGATTGCGGTGCAGCCTGGCATTAATTGGAGTGAAACTGCCGGAAGGCGGACAGCTTCCCCGCATTGTACGCCGATACTACACTATAGTACGGAGTACCTACTAAGTTAACTAACTAGCTAGTTACTCTACACACGTGGACAAGCTCTCGTCCTGTTAATATAGACTAATACTTATTACTCGCCGATATGATATGATCGTACAAGACGTCTCAACTGTTGACCTCAGAGATATTTGCTTCTAGCTGCAGGAATGGTATCTTCTAACAACTAAAACGTCAATGGAACAGGAATAACTCATACAACATAGAGGCAGGCCTTGTAGAGCCTAATCCAAGAATTGATATTTCGTAGATCATCAAACAACCCTCACGCAGCTGGCATCAAGGAATTTCTGCACAAAGAAGCTTGCAGTTTTCGAGTCTCAATGCCGCATACCCGCCAAGAGAACAAAATCTAGGGTAGCCTGGTCACAAAAGACTTTCATATTTATCCAGACCTTGTTTCTGCTGCTGCTGTCCTGCAGAAAACGAGCCAGAATTGTTGGATAACGCGTTGGGACTTGACAGATTCGCCCACGGGTTCTGGGTTGACCCAAAGCTAGTCGTGTTTTGTGGTGTCGGTATAGACATGGTCTGGGACTGCCGTGGTGTCGTTGTCGTCGTTGTTGTTTGTATCGTTGTCGAAGGAGGCGGAGGAATAGTGAATGCTGAGTAATTAGATTGCATCCCTGTCCCTCCTGCAGTGGGTATGGAAGAGCTAGACGCTGTCCTTGCGAAGCTTCCCAAGTTCGACATCGAGCTTGGTGATTGTCCCGTGGACAGGGACGCAACAGAAGACGCTGTATGCCTCTTTGCGGGTTCAAGAGATGGAAAGGCGCTCATATTCAAGTCAGGGGTGATCGTACGAGAGGGAATGCCCACATGTCCTATTGACGACTGATTGTTCGCCAGGCTTGTGGTCCCTTTCGCGTTCGACGACCAAGCGAACGTTGGTGTAGACGGTTGAGTGGACGTCTTCGTTACGGTCGAAGGTTGTGAGCTCCAATCGTCCCACAGATCGTTGCTGGCAGCATTAGACGTGCCAGATTTACCGAGAACGAGTCTTTCAAAGCTATCATTGGTTTCGTCAACAGCTGAATGACCGCTTAGCCCGGAAACCGCAGAATTATTCCTGGACCCATTCCTAAGGTCTGATCCGTTAGTGGAAGACAGTTCCTGCAATTTTTTCGTTTGCTCGTGTTCAATCTTCGCGGACAATGATTTGATAACTGCCATGTACTCTTCAAACTGCTTCAGATTGAGGAGGGGCCCCAGACTAAAGTTCCAAAGCACGGGAAGAACTTCCAAGGCAAGGAAATCTGTGTCTGCGATTTTACCGACCTCGCGGAACACTTTCAGCGCCGCCATCATTACAGCTGGTTCTTTCGTTTTGATTGCCCTAAGGAGGGGCACAAGCTTTTCTTGGACAGTGTATTTGTCCAAGATTGAAGATGTCGTCTTTTTGGACTTGCCACTTTGTACGACTCCAGATAGATCGTCTTCGGGGATCGAAGGGCTTTTGATAGACCCACCACACAACACCACGAAAGCTTCCAAGCCACGGACTTTGATAGCAAGACTGGCCGTTTTACTGAATGTACTTGCAATTGGCGGAAAAACTTCATTCTTGACGGTGGAAAAGTCGAGAACAGGAAGTATCACTGATAAACACTTCATGGCAGCGTCGACAAGTGCATGAGTTGGGGACTCCATTCCAAGTCGAATAAGCGGCAACACATCTGCTTCAGAGTCAGTTTTGTTCACACTGGATAATTTCCCATCGATTCGAACCTTCTTTAAACTCCCTGCCAGAACAATTCTCTGCAATGACGTTCATATTTTCAAGTACCGCCATGAGACCGGCCTCTTTGTTCGTGTCCCGTTCCCGAGTTGCAGCCTTGTTTCCGCTGGCTAGGAATATCTCTTTCAGTCGTGGGATCACCCTTTCAGGAAATATCTTACGACTGTTCGGCGACCTTTCAATGATCTTAAAAATATTTTGCAAAATGAGCGATAAAAGTTCACGGTCCTTCGTCTCCTCCAGTAGTATCCCTAGAACCTTCCTCTCCAATACTGACGTTGGAAACCCGGCTAGTACACGCTGAAGCCCACGCAAAAACTGAGACTTTTCGTTCGGCGTTTTTGTCGGCCATGATTCCAGAAACCGAATAGTTGACACCAGAACATTGTCGAAGTATTGTGATTGCTGGAATTCCCGAGCATTCATACGCTGAGCAGGCCGTCGTGTTATCAACCTGGGCAGCACGTGAGAAGCAAGATCATCAGGCAATGGTTTCGAGCTGAGAAATCCGTTGCTCTTAGTAGGTGTACTTGAAGGGGAGCTGAGCAATTTTTTGTATGTATTCAGGTTCGAATGCGTCTGAAGCGGGGACACATGCGGGGAATTATAGATAGAGACAATGACCAGACCAAGGGAAAACAAATCGGCGGAAGGAGTGACATGGGAGTCCATCACAAAGTCAGGAGAGGTATAGTCGAGGTCGAGTTGAACTGAACTGGGTAGCCGTGGATCATGATATAATATCTCAGAGAGGGCCAGCGGTGGCACAGAGGACGGCGTCTCAGAGGAATCGGCAGGTCCAGCAAATGCAAGACCAGCAATCTTCCAGTCAGACTTTGCATTGATGAAGATAGCTTGCGGGTTGAGATTTCCGTGTACGAGACCGGCAGATTCATGTAGGAATTCCAATCCCTTTGCAATCTGAAGAAGACCCTTCTGGATTTCAAGCTCATCCATCTCAACATCTCCTCCAGTTCTCGCCCCGTTAGCCCCTGCTGCATAACGGCTCTCTCTATCCTTCTCCTGCAAGATGCCAGACAGCGAGGCAGTGACGGGCTCCGTCGCAAACATCAGACCCCCATTTCGCGTCTCTTCCACGGGCTCCAATACCTGAAGAATTGAAGGATGCCGCAAGCGCGACAAAGTGCTAGCTTCCCGCTTCAGACGCTCTACTACTTCATCATGCAATTTCTTTGTTGAGGAATTGCTGGAGCGATTGCCAAACCCACTGGATCGAGAGTCGAGCGATTTCCGCTCAAAAACAAAAATAGATGCAGCATTCCCCGTGGACTTTTTCTTTCCATCATAGACTTTCCACGGGCCAGAGACCAGGGTTGCAGTTGGAGAGATCTGATAATTAGATGAGATGTTGGAAGTGAACGACTTTAGCGCAGATGAAAACATGATGAATGCACCAAATGCAATGATATTTTAACAGGTCAGACCTCTTATAGTATGGGTATCTATGCTGTCAGCATGTCTGTAGAGCCGGGCCCCGACCAGAAGCAGGGTCATCCAGCCGCTACTCTGTCAGAAACATGCTATCAGAGTAAATAGGTACTGTTGGCTTTCCCAACCCGTGGCGGCTTCATGATGTGTCGGGCTCGAACGATGCGTGTCCACGTGACCGTATCGCTGTCTCGTGGGCTATTACCAATCAGAGACCTCTCCGCACGCCGACGTCGGCTCGGATTCCTCAGGCGGGAAAAGCTAAGTTAGGCTGACCGGCGACAATAATTATCCATTATTATGATCTTTGTACGGCGCCAGCTCCGGAGGAGTCATCGCAACGAGCCTCCTCCTTTCTGACCGCCTCAATTATCTCCTGGATTATATCTCACTCTTTGTACGTTTTCCCGCCGCATTCACCTCCCGCCTAATTGTCTCGTACTCATCCCATTCGCGATCAGTAGTACAGGAACTCCGCAGTATGAGGCTATCTCATCGATTAGTCTGCGGCTCTGGCCTGCGGACCGGAAATGTGGCTTCCATCTATTCTCTGCAGGGTGTCGCTGCAAGCAGACTAGGACAGAGGACCTACAGCAGCAAGTCGACACTGCCTGGGCTTGATCCGTCGAAGTTGACTATTGCGAAGACGACGACACCAAAGGAGCCGCTACCTCCGCAGGAGCTTGTGTTTGGAAAAACGTTCACCGGTACGCCTCTTCGTATAGACTGTGTTCTTAGAGAAATTGCTGACGGTGTTCAACTTGTTCATAGATCATATGCTCTCTATCGAATGGACTGCTTCCGATGGATGGCTGGCTCCGAGAATCACCCCTTACCAGAACCTGAGCCTCGATCCCGCGACTTGCGTGTTCCACTACGCCTTCGAATGTTTCGAGGGTATGAAAGCATACAAGGACAAGAATGGTAAAATTCGACTATTCCGACCTGACAAGAACATGGCGCGTCTGAACAAGTCATCTGCACGAATTGCCCTGCCAACGTTTGAGGGCGATGCTCTCATCAAGCTGATCGGAGAATTCGCCAAGCTGGAGAGCAAATTCATTCCAGAGTACGTTGAGTTGCTTGAACTTTACTGACCACGCGGCTAACGTGTCTGCAGCTCCCGAGGCTACTCGCTATATCTCAGACCGACCATGATTGGTACCCAGAGAACTCTGGGTGTCGGTCCTCCTGGCTCTGCTCTTCTTTTCGTTATCGCCAGTCCCGTGGGCCCTTACTACCCTACAGGATTTAAGGCTGTGTCGCTAGAAGCTACGGACTATGCCGTGCGTGCCTGGCCAGGCGGTGTTGGTGACAAGAAGCTGGGTGCCAACTACGCGCCCTGCATTGTGCCCCAGCTCGAGGCCGCGTCGAGAGGATTCCAGCAGAACCTGTGGCTGTTTGGCGAGGAGGAATACGTGACAGAGGTCGGCACGATGAACCTCTTCATCGCCTTGAGGAACAAGGAGACTGGCCAGAAGGAGCTGGTCACTGCGCCCCTGGATGGCACCATTCTGGAGGGTGTCACTAGAGACTCTGTTCTCCAGCTCGCGCGTGAGAGATTGCTTCCTGAAGGATGGGCGGTATCGGAACGGAAAATCCGGATGTCGGAAGTCGCGGAGGCCGCGGAGACTGGACGCCTGATTGAGGTCTTTGGAGCCGGAACGGCTGCTATTGTGAGCCCTGTCCGCAAGATCAGCTACAAGGGCAAGCTGGTGGACTGTGGTTTGAAGGAGAACGAAGAAGCCGGCGAGATCGCTCTTCGGATGAAGAACTGGATCGAGAGTATCCAGTATGGTGATGAAGAGCACAAGTGGAGGTGAGTTAGGCGCCATTCATGATTCCGTTGGGTTTCAATTGCTGACTTCGATCTATAGTTATGTCATCTAGACAGGTAAAAGGCGGGAAGGGGAGAAGAGAGTTCTTTTCCATTGATTCTTCAGCTATGGTTCATTTTCTGCCAAAGGGGCAAATAGCGTTGTTTATTTCCTGCTTTGTAGATTACAGCATCTTAGAGTCAGCAGTCACATTGAAGTCAGTGACAAATACCATGAGAGCTCTCTTGCAGGTGGCTCTATATATCTCAAACGTTGATAAATGTTTGTCACTAGTCCCGTTTTTCTATCACACGCCTAGCAGTGCACTATCCAGCTCTTTTGATTGTATCGACAAACTGCACTTAGCCGGAAGGCGTGGTTCTGCCCGATGAAAGTTTAGCGTACTATACTTGAGATTCGCTATACTGCCATCAGAGCCATCGAGTACTATGCCGGTTATATTTGAGACAGCAGTTAACTAGTTGGCCTCTATCCAGTATGTAAAGAGACCATTTCTTTCCATCGTTGCCGAAAACTTATAACTTGCGCAATGCAGTAACGAATATACACACCTGTGTGCTAGGTGTCTTAGAAATATTTCAGCTCTCCAATCCCCCCACAAGAAAAATATGATTGAGTAATTTGCTCGCAGATACTCGCCAGCCTGGATTCACCTGAAGCATCAGCAAAAGGAATGACGCAAAGTGCTGCGCATCCTTCGTATCAAATCCGGGTAACCGATCCATTAGGTATTCAGTAAAGCGTCCAACTCCCTGACCATTGTTTCCCAGGATTTGGCCAATGAGAAAATCATGCTCTTTGTCAATCTGTTCGGCCGAAAGGCCCAAAGTCCCTAGGGGAAATAACGGCTCATTTGTCGCCAGTTCGAATATCTGCTTCAAAGTTAGATGGAAGAACCGGCTTCTAAGGATAGATACTTATAGCTTACCACACAACCCAAAGCCCAAATATCGACATTAGCGTCCCACGGATTCCGATGGATCAATTCAGGGGAACGCAAGGCTGTTGGTATCACCGGCCATTGGTCGCATTGTTGATCCCACGTAGCTAGAAATATATGAGCCTCTTTCAATCTTCGATTTGGGCAGTATAATGAATTCATTACCTCCACCTAGATCACCTATTTTGACTGAAATTGTGGAAATGTCTATATTGTCCAGCTGACCTCGACGTCGCTGCGAAGATACCAGATAGTTAGGTGCGCTATTATCGGCTTTGGTTCCTTCTAGCCATTTGACAGGACTGAACTCCGGAGGCTGCAAGAACATCTCATTCGGCATCACTCCAGCAGGCGTGAACATAATATTTGCCGGTTGTAGATCTGTAGTGAGTCAACCGGAGTACCACCTGAAAAATTGTGAAATGCACTCACCACAATGGATAATATGTGATTTGTGTAAGAAATCAAGACCAAGTAGAATTTGTTTAGTAACATTTCGTACGTAGTCTGTCCGATGTCGCGCTCCAGTGAGAGTCATTTCCTTGCCGTCGGAGATCATAACAGGAAATACAAGACATGAATGAGTTCCATTTGGACCGATATGTTCGAAATGATCCAATAGTTCAACGATATGTGCTTTCCCGGGGTGATCCAGTTCTGTGATAGACAATTGACTAAGAATAGAAAGTTCTCGATTGTTATTTTCAGATGCATCTGCTTTAAGTATCTTCAATGCGACATGTCGCGTGGCCCTTCAAATATGACAGTCAGCTAGGTACCTACCGGCCGAGCAGTGAGTTTCAGAAACAGACCATTGATCATTTGCAAGCCATACTGTTGAATATTGACCAAATGCTAACTTTCCAGTAACTTCGTATCTCTGATTAAAAATGTCGTGAAGATGTACTGGATGATAGCCTCCACGGCGATACTCTTCAACGGGCTCTACTACATCGTATATTCTCTCAAATCGTCTCATTTTGAATGCTGAACTGGAGGAAAATGACAGGGTGAACTTGATTTCCTTGAATAAAATAGGCAGAATAGAGTTAAAACAACGGAGCCTAGGTGAAGATACTCGTGTACGCTGTCATGTGACGAGAAATGAGCCGTCCAATACTTAACAATGAACTATTCTTCTCTTCTCGGTGGCTTCCCCAGTCCTCGTACCATCTGCACGATCATCTCAAGAACTCCGTGAATATTAAAAAGCCGAACCCTCCCAACTTGGAACCAGAAAGACTTGATTAAATCTTATAATTTTATCTGCTTGGGAACATGAAGGCCTGAAGATGATTTACACCTTCGATTCTCAGAGCTCACCTTTGAGAGAACCCCCGTCAGCAGTTATCCTTTCTCTCTCTTTTCGCTCGTTCTCCTCAATCAACGATTTTTGAAATTGCTCTTGGCGAGCTCTTCTCTCCCTCATCTTGTCCATCTCAGCTAGAAGCTCAGTTGTTTGCCTCTCCCTATCTTCGTCACTCTTTGCTGGTTTGTCCTTATCTGCAGGACTGACCCAGTCAAATGGAACCGATTCCAACCATAAAGATCCATAGATCGGTTTAAAAGTCGGGTTTTCGGTTAGTATGCCAGGTGATATCGGCCGCCCGGCTTCTACAACACCGTCTGAGAAAAGGTTACCCCAGGCACCTCGCAACAATTCAGAATCTCGCGGCACCGGGACAAAGCCTAGCGGTTTCGGTGGATGGATCTTAAGGTACGACACTTTCCGTTCCCTTTCTTCGAGATATTTGGTAAATTTGGCGTCCGCATCGGCTTGCTGGTCGGGGGTGAACTGAATTTGAAACGGCTCGCTGTCTTGTGTGCTTTCTAACGACTTCGATTTGAGCAATGGGGGAAGATAAGTTTCGTCAAACCACTTCTCCCACCGCTCTGGCTTTCCAGGATCATTCTGAAGAGCCCACCAGTGCTGATGCAACTTCTTGAAGCGCTCATGTAGTGAAAACGGCTCGTCGGGAATGGGATTTCTCCGTGTCGTATTACGGTTGGATATGGCTGAGACTGTCCGATCAATACCCGTCTCTTCCAGTACAAGCCACGAGACGTCAGCCCGCGTCTCGAGACTTCGTAGGTATTTCGAGCACAAAGCATAGTCATCATCAGGCAGAGATGTAGGAAGAAACGTATCCCTCAAAACGTCGGAGATATAGGCGACTAGTGAATATTATTAGCCCGCCAGTACAGACACGCGCATAATCGGCAATGAACTTGCGTAGGTCAGAACGGGAGTGTAACTACCTACCTTCTTTGATTGCATCAAGGACCGCTTGGTTATCTGGCAGATCTCGGTAAGGGTTGGTACCAGCCCGATTCGCATCGTACGCAAGCCCGTCTTGTGTCTCGAACCAGCTCTCCAGATCTATCACGCCATAGCGATTTAGAAAATTGAGGCCCCATTCCAACAGCATCAAGAATGCCACTAGGCGTATGACCCATTTCACGAGCCGGGATCTCGCGAGGCCCCCGAGAAGCCGTGAGATAAATTGAAGCATGTTGGCTAGAAGGCAATTGCCATGACATAAGGCTTTTGCCGTGCTACGCTATGAACCACCAACATATACTGTAGTGTCCGTCGGTCAATCGCACTGCATTTGCCTGTCTAGCTAGCTAGCACCACGGCGGCCGCAGAGACGCTCTGAGACTTCGTTTTTAGCGTCGACCCAAAGGAGCTTATGTAATTGTATTTGAGGCCAATAGGATAAGCAATTTCTGGCGCTCCCTTAAGTACTTATATAGGAAAGTTATGATATTCAAGATAATCCGACTAATCACACTCCGGTGAGAAATATCAAGGAAAGGAGCTATTGCCTAGTCGAGCTTTCGGACACAATAAAGTGGCCTTTCTTTAAGTTCGTAGTCTCTTTAGGTATTGCAACCCAATTTCCAAGACTCTTAATTATTCCCTAAGCTCCTTATTAATTAGGTAGCTATAACCTTGTCTAATAAAACCCTTATTATAAAGTTTATATCCTAACTTTATTGACCCTAGAATTTTAAGTTATAAAGCCTACAGTCTCTCTACTAATAACAAGTGCATTAGTTCAAAGGCCATATCGAAGATAATTGTGATGAAACAGCATCTACGCAGTTATTCCTTCCTATTAAACTAAAAGAGGATCAAGCACTATCTACCCAATTCCTATACCTACTTAACAAGCCCTATCTACTAAAGATAGTGTGATTCCTTAAACCTGCTCATTAGAGTCTAATATCAACTTAAAAGTTTATATTCGAACGTTCCTACCTATAGCAATAGAAACAAAGACTTGGCAAATTATTATATCACACACTACCTGCCTTGATTAGGGCTTCACAGCGCATATTATTTTAAACTTTGATCTTCTTTTCGACGCTAGCTCTACAACTTTAGCCTGCAAGTTAATTAATTCGTTAGATACATTATCAGACATGATCAGTCTGCGGCGGCAGGTCCAATATAAACAGGGGTAGGAAGAGAGGGGGACACCTATATGCAGCAATATCATGCAGAAACAGTAAAAGAATAGGTACTAATAGGTACGAGCAGAAACAGGAGGTGTTGAAGAAGATAAGCACTAGCATAGGAGATCAGGAAATAGCAGATCAAAGCTAACAGCAACAAGGACCAAAGGAGGAGGAGGGGGGAGTGGTAGCCAACCCCAATAAAGCGCAGCAAAAGGGTCACGTTTCTGGACAGGAGAAAGTTCGGACTCGGAGCGTTACTACCACAATGAAACACAAAACCAAGGCAGCCCAAAAATAAAGAGATAATTCCTTAGAGCCAGAAACAGCAAGGTCCTTAAAGCTTGAAACAGCGGGGTGGCTGTATGCGCCGCACCCGCGCCCCTCTCCACAGACATAACTAGATAACTTACTGATAAAAAGCAGAGTTCTTATGGTTTTAAATCTCTAATCTTGGAGATGTCTCCGGTCCGATCAAATTAAACTAGGTTACTACCTTACTACTCTCTTCTATCTCGAGGTGGATTTGCGGCGCATACACGTATACACATAACAAGGCCCTGGGAGTCTGGGACTAATATTCCTCGCCGCAGCCGCGCAACTAAGACGAGCATTTTATGTTTCTAGTTTAGTGTCCCCGTCGGTAGGATTTAGGTAGGTCGTTGGTGTTTTAGCTGCAGATCTGCTGTCAGGACTCGGCTGCAGTGGCTATGCTATGTACGTCGTAACTCTCTCGTCGAGTCTCTTGCTTCCAAGTGGGGTGCGACACCTTCCATGAGGGAGAAACCTGCTGGGCGGGGTTTGCAGCCTTAGGTCAACTTAGTACTTAGTACACCGTGACTGTGACTGTGACTGTAATATTCGACCTACGGGGTCGAGTTCAGGGTCCAGTCTTGTCTTGTCCTTTATGGTGGGTGCTACGTGGTATCGACGAATGGCGATAACGGGGGATTTGCGACGCCTTGGTAGTATACCATAGCCTTGAGCATTTCATTCATCCAATGTTTCTGCTTGTACATACTATCCGAGCATGTGACTATCAAATCCCACTAGATCCGGAGTCTCAGCGTTTCACGTTGCCCCTGCGGTTCTCTGACAAAGCAGGATCCGTGAATGCGGGATGATAGATGCGCCGCAACAATAGGTACTAGGAAGACGCCGGGCGAGATCGATGAGTTTGGAGCGGACATGCTAGACAGACCACGTGTGGGTGCTGGAAACGGAACGAAGTTATCATTTGCAAAGGTCGCAGACATTCGGCCGACCAGCTGCAGGCGGTCATCTTCAGCCCTACAGCGTGGAGACGTTGTGTCCCTACTTATTATTGCCACGCACACCGGGCCTTGGGGGCCGAATACGGGTTGCTAGTTGCCTCCACCATGGACGAATCTTCGACCGAGTGCTGGCGATATGCCTGCGGCGTTAAAGAATAAGGTGTCAGTCGTCAAGTGTGCAGTAGTTTGTCGGATATTGCGGCCGTTTCTACTCCCGGACTCCATACACGTTGACCCTCCTAGAATTCGGATAGCTATGAGGTCCGTTCGATACCGCCGCTAGCGTGGGTGTTATCGGTGTCTCTTCTTTGTCCCAGTGTTTTGAGTAATAGTGAGTACTTAGGAGGAATCGGCATAGCGAGTAAGTCAATGATGATTGTAAAATCCAATTGTTTTCCCCGATTGTTGAGCTCCAGCCGCTTAGCAAATTCCGAAACGGGAAGAAGCATTGGCCACGTCGACCCCGCGGGGAAATTGATTGTTCGATTCCTAGGTCAGTCAATGTGCTTGTAAATTAATGGTGGGTGGTAGCTAGCGAAATTTGTCATTCAACATTCGGATTCTCAGGGGATGCGAATAATCACTGTTGCCGTGGGTCTTGACATGCCGGCTGTCAAGTAGTAGTGGAAACTGTAGATAGAGTATGTGATCGGAGGCCTTTGGGGAGTCAGATCCTTAATTGCAGTAGGCAATCAGGATCGCAGTGAAATTGACTAGCGCCATAGCTGACTCACCTCGCTGAAGCTCGACCTCGACCTCTCCATTAGTGTTTCTTGTTGCGAGCCAGTCGCTAACGGTCTGGCCGTTGCCCCGATTAGGAAATTGACCTGATCATGGACATCTTCCACCCGCCTGCGCTCCCGTGGATCGGCGAATGGGGGTGGCTTGGGGCATTTGGCATCTGGAGTCTCGAGTATATTCGACGCGGTGACTGCGTCTCCTGCTTGCTCGACTGCTTACCCATCTGATTAGTGTTCCAGCAGCATTGCCAAGGGACGCCCTGTGACAGCATCACTGGGCGGCCATTATTGTTTTGTCATACACAACCCGCATGGCTATCGCAATCCCTGGACACTGACCAGTATCCAGATACTCGGATAGTGGATTAATCTTAGCCTTCCCTGTCAAACCGAACAGTCGGGAAGTCAGGCTGCGTCCGTGTTCTCAGCAGCGCCTGGAGTCGGGTGGAGCCTGCCATCCCTTTGGTGCCAAACAGTAACAATAGGTCTTCTATAGTGATGCTATGTGTCACCCCTCAATCCATACGGTTCCTCTCCTGAGCCGTCGTGGGAACATTGATCGTAGATGTTGACTTGGTATTCTAGAGCCACGTGCAAATAGTATACAGTTTGGCTGTGATATTTATTGCTTATCAGCTGTCTTCGGCGGTCGCTTCAAATATCTGGAGATGAACGCAAGTGTCTTCGAGTCTGAATACAAGGGAGATCCTCAGATCCCTGGCCAGCTGCCTATGGAAACCGACATTTCAGTCCAGAGAATGCATGATGCGTTCCAGGGAATTTCCGAGTAACAGTGCATCGTCAATATCCAGCACTGTCTGTCGACCAGTAGAACAGATGAGGAACGAGTTCCCTTAAGAGGAAGAGCATGAACACTTTTGATGTTGATTCAGATTAGGCATATGACATCCATCACTGCAGGCATGCTTCTTCGGATCAAGCACAGTAACAGTCACATCGACAGACTCAAGAGCATCAGTTAGCGGTCTAAGTAGCCCCTGCCAGACTAAATAGACTACTGCTTGAAGAGACGTCAAATAGGGTAGCCAATGGCGGTAGACCGTGAGGCTCCGCATGCAGACAGTTACCATTGTCAGACTCAACTTGGAGCGTCCGCATCAGTGTTAAGTGAATAATCTTGACCGCCTAGACAGTCTTTGTAAGGCATGTTCAAATATAGATCCTCTGACAAAGCCTTATTCTTGTCTGTTAGTGTCGCCCTAGCAGCAGGGAACAATAGGCGACCGCACATAACCGCGGGGCTGCAGCCAAACAAAAACCGCTTGGATTTGGGCTGTTTCTGCAGACCGCCAAACATCAGCATGTTGTCCCCAGCTGTTCATGTATTATTCATCCCTCGCGGATAGATCCCAGCGACTCGAATCCACTACTAGCTGATCTCCCCAACCTGCTGGGTCGGTCAACTTCCGCCCCAGGAAGCGGGCATCCTTGTACAACAAGAATAGAGTTGCCCACGGGGGCTGAAACTGCACCGAGCGGGTTTGTTTAAACTTCACGGAAGCTTGCGGCATTTGGGCACCTGCTTGATGCCTCTTGATGTGCGTCGTCGTTTAGAATCCCGTCGTGCACGTAGCAGAGCACTGTCCTAGTAGACTGTTTTTGACTAGGCCATCGTTAGGCCCCCCTGGCAAGGCCACACATCATAGATAGAGACATGAGATGAGATAGGTACCAACTAGGTCGTGCACCGCTTCCGCTGATCATCGGAGGTCAGTTCGCAGATGGGATATCGTCCCCTTGCGCTCGTTGTTATCATGTCGGCCTTCATTCCGGGGGGAGAAAACAAACAGAAATGGTTCTCCTGAGCCAGCTATCCGGGAAATGTCAATTCTCGGGCTGTGGTAAACTCTCTTGTCTGGCTAACGGGATGGAAAACGGTCATAAGCCTCCGTACCACTGGAACGGCATGGGGAAAGCAGCAACAGTCGTTCGAGAAGCTCGAGGGCGGAGGCATTGAGCCAGTATGGCGATCCCAAATCCCAAGAGCTCGCTCGACAACGTGGTTGCCTCCAGTCCGCAAAAGGCAAAGCATGCGACGGCGGGGGGGATAAGACGTCTCTGCAGGCCTGCAGCCCTAGAAAGAGACGTTCATTCTATTCACGGATCGACCACGAAAGTCTGCTGGTAACTGGCCTGACGACATCAAACGGTGGGAGTTGGCGAGATAGGGTCGTGGCAGGACAACGTTTAGCGAAGGCAGCGTCCAGCGCCATGTCCCAAAAGAGACCGTCCTCTCAAGACCGGTGCAAGCCTCGCAACGGCCTTGACTCCAATGACCACGAGCGATTCGAACGAACCCGGACCTGGTTACAGTCCGTTTCTATCACGGACAGGGTCCCTCGAACAGCCGCAGTCCTGGATCAGCCTACCCAGCAGATCCACGATCCCTGCGCCGGGCTGGGCCACGGATGCCCTTTTATAGCGACGCATCCATCGTACAGGAGGGGCATGCACCAGACAGCTTCGGTGGGTTCTACCACAGTTGGGGCTCTTCCAGCTGATCGGCTGCTAGAGGACGAGTTCCGTACGGTATGCTTAAATACTTCATGTTGTCCGACATGTTTGGACCCATTTCACTTCGAGCAGCAAGCCTCGTGGTTGCAGCTGGACGCCTGATTTCTAAAAGATATCTAAATACCTCGAACGCCCCACGATAGTCTGCCATACAGAAACTCATATAACAGCCTGCGTTCACTCTTCTCCGCAAGTGTCTATACAGATCCATCCAGCTACTTGCAAAGCATACTCAGCCCACCATGCAGCGCAGCGGCAACTACCACTACCCTTACCCGCCAACGGGCTCGCGATACTCGTCGAGTCATGGCACAAGTAGCGCTTTCAGCGCCAATGCCAACCCAAATGAAGACTGGACAAAGATCTCCGATCTAGCAGAGAGACGTCGGATCCAGAATCGCATTGCTCAGCGTAACTATCGTACGTAGCATCAGTCGCTGCTTCTTCAATGGTGTTTATGTACTAATCGAACCGCGCAACAGGCAAGAAGCTAAAGCGCCGTCTCGAGGATCTCGAGAGAAGAGCTGCCTCAGCCTCAGCTTCTCCCGAACAGTCACACGAGGAGCTTGACCAGAGCAAGACAGAGCAGACAGAAGCTTCGCGGCCTCAGGATAACCGCGCTCATGTGCAGTCTCACGGAGAAGCCAACTGGAGCAGCACGCATGGTCAGCACGACGATAACTACTACTCTCATGAAGAGCGGTCTTCTCTGTTCACTCAGAGATGTACGCGACAGTTGTCGACGTCTCCGCCTCCGGTCCTCTCATACCCTCCCTACCCGTATCCGGAAACATACGGGCAAGCGACATACCCTCAGCAGTCCGTCTACCATTCGATGCCTGGTCCGTACGGAGATATCTCCATGCATGGCCAATACCTCGAGCCTCTGCCTTCGACTCTTCCTGCAATGGCGCCTGCGACTCCTCCCGCAAAACGGCGCCCAGCCTTTGCAGAGGACGACGTGCTTAGCCCATTCAGCGTGAGTTATGCCACAATGGCAGGTATTGATCTTCCTGCATCCTCATCTCCCTCTCAGGAAGCAACCGTTCATGTGAGCTATCCTCGCCATCCCAGCAATTCGATCGATGGCAGTGCTGACGTTTTGGTACTAAGACGCCGCCCCTGACGTACTCGTTCGCCTACGATCTCTCAGGATCAGCGTCTCCCGAAGGATCAATGAACTACCCAGTGACTCCGGGTTCTGTTCCTTGCTCGCCACCACATCTGTCACTTATTTGACTTGCTTCTTTATTATCTGTATTTCAAATTTATCTTCGATGACCAGTCATTGGAGGGTTTTGTATATGATCATTATATTTACAGCGTGAGATGATATCATTTCTCTTTGCACTCTCACTCGTTCATAGGGACGCGGAATGGATTGCATATGGTGGGCGTTGCTTGATTCTGTTTTAGATATTGTATACTTTTATCGGTTTTGGTTCGGTGGTGAAGCAGCCGCATGCTTTTCTTCTTCTTCTTTTTGGTGATTGCCTTATGCAGTCACTCGTCAAAAGACTACCTATCCAGCACAATTCAACACTGTTGAGTGATATTACCAGAAATACATAAACCAATACACCAAGGAACCCGCTCAAGTAGTACCTTTGGCCCCCAAAACGCCGGACTTTTACATGCTACCTAACTATTCACACAGAACCCCTGCCTGCGCTAATACGAACGAGGCTATGCATGCGCCGTTCTCATGCCCGTGAAAAAGAATGGGCCTTTCTGCCTAATTTCGTGGGTCTCTCTATCCCTTCGAGAACCTTTTATTCTCAAACCACCTCTTTTGCAGCTAACCTCAGCCTCAACGAGATGAAAGCCTTCTTCTCCGGAACCAAAAGGATTGAATTTACATCAGTAATACAAGTTCGGACTCGGAGATCACCAGCCGCCGATTCCCATGGAACGCCTTGCAGATACACCCCAGCAAGCAAAAGGATCCCCCGCCTTCCTTTCCCCTCCTTCCGTCTAACTAACTGACTAACTCAACCCGCACTCCCGGAGAGAGAGAAAGCCATTCTATTAGCGCCAGGAAATCCTAGTGAACGTCACAGGAAATATCGGATTCGGGGCAATTCCCGGCGATAAGCGGACAAGCAACGCTCCGCGATCCGTGATACAGAGCTGAACAAGCCATGGCGGGAAGATGCATAACTAGGAATCCTGTCGTACGACCATTTCGCTCAGCCCTATCCGCAAAAAAAAAAAAAGGAAGACTGGGTGAGTAGGGCTAGATGGTGGTATGGTAGGAGCGAAGGATTGAGATGCTTGCAAGAAACGGACGTCAGGCAACAGACGTACATACATTGCTAGTAGTTTCAAAGCCTCAAAATGCCAATTAGTGGCTCTAGTTGTAGTATAATTCGTATCATTCCACAGGGTAAGTAAACTAACTGACTGAAATCCGCCCCAGTATTAATTACTTCCGGCCGGGTGCGGGCAGTGCACACTTACTTACTTATTATACACCTGCATTTTAACTCAAGTCTGGGGAATCATAATACCTATATTATTACGCAGGCATTCTTGTTTCTTCTCCCTCTTCTTTGGTCCTTCTGGAAACACATTAAATTTTGAATGCTGACGATCTGCATTCGTGTCATGTTCTAGTGGGATTCGTTTCGTGCGCATATTATAATTCAGGCCGCCTGGTTCCGTAGCAGGTAAGGCGTACACAAGCGCCAGGTTTAAGCCACGGTTTAGTTAACCGAGACCGTGAAAAGGTTGGGGGCCAAATTCAGTGATGGCTTGATTGAAGGAACGAGGGAGGGATAGTTCTTCAGCTCGATGAAGAGGCGTAGTAGCGTAAATGAGGCAATTTCTAGCAACCATTATACCTTATGGTACCACGTGGGGGGGTTGTTTTACTAATGTTGTAGATTGAGAAGTAAGTATAGAATTCTGCTCTACGTTGGATGAGTCCCCAGATTCTATGACGAAATAGATGGCCTGGTACAGCCGTTTAGTTAGGTACAGTACAATGCCCGTGCTTTTATGGACTGAGAAGAAGATCGTTCTAAAAATATCGCTTGCAATGACAGTTGTGAACTGTTCGTAGATCAAAAGGTAGTAGTATTCGTGGAGAATACTTCAAGGGCCCATTGCTAGACAATTAGGCCAAACATGTTATTTGGACTATGTATGTCTCTTCAGAGCCTCGCGCCTTGTGACTCTGAGGAGTCTGTAAGTAGTAAAGCTGAATATTACACCATATAAGTAATTATGTACAGTAACTTATCCTAGCACAGCAGAGACAGCCCATCCAATAATCAACTCCTCCTTCTCGCTCACCCCGACAAAATCGACTTGTTTACAAATCCAACACGGCCTCCACAAGCCTTCGGGGGCCTAAAGATGATAAGGTTCTTAGGCAGACCGTTAATAAACAACTGGACAAGGCCAGCCACTGCGTGTTCGGATCCTTGCTACCTCGTGGGCCGATGATGATCTGTCAAAAAGCCCCCGAGACGCCTGTCCCGTTCTCTTCGTATCGTATCCTACCGTAATTGGATCGGACGCCGAACTCCAATGGACCGACCAAGCAGCGCTGCTGGTGCCGTTTCAGCTTGGAAAGACAGCAGAGTATAATATCTACCAGTAATGAGTCGCGATAAGACGTGCCAAATGAAGAAATCATACTTTACTGGAGAATATTAACCACCGCACTCCACTCGATCCTTCTTATGGATAATGAGGCATCATTCCTTGATGGATTAGTCTTTCGGTTCGGATCGCTGGGACTCCGACTCGGAGTTAATAGTTATTGAAGATCAACACGTTGTTCGGAGTCCGGCGATAGCGAGGAGGGAGTAACGATCGTGGCGTATCCTTTGCTGGGCTATGAATCATGCATATGCCAGCGAAAAGGGACATGGATTGTCCCTTTCCAATACGATTATCTCGTCTAAGCGCTTTTCATTACATGCAAATCTATACTTTCTGAAACAGATTATGTAGTTTGAAGAGAAGAATCGATATCTACATACATCGGGCTACAGAATCTAACTACTAACCATCCCATTCCCAGATTAATTGATAACCAAGAGAAGAACAACAAATGATAACTGCTAATCTCTGCGAAACTAATCACTAGCCTACTCACTTACCTCTCTTTGGGCCCTACGCAGGCGCAGCTCTCTCTGTTCCTGTACTTAACGGCGTAACCTCAAAAGAATCGATATAACGACCCGATCGGAACTTCCCACAAGGTAAGCAGACGAACGTTATTTTCACATTAACTTTATTGATTTGCAGAGTCACCGGCTCTCAATTCAAGTTAGGATAGTGGTATTCCTTGTCTAGCTCTCTTAGAAGATATCCGCGCGTGAGTATACTTATTCCCGAGTTAGGAGGCGTTGGTTTTTATATAATCATAGCCCAATAGCGAGCAAAATATGCAGATAACTTATCGCAAAAAGTAATAGAGGACCATATAGATAGAGAGATTATATGATAATTCTACCTGAGCGGGAGTTATATTAAGATAAGGAGGACATTGTATGTCGTGATAGAAGAAAAAGTGAAAATAAATACACTAACTCCGTATAATATCTGTTACCAAATAAGCAGCGGTATTCAATGAATGATTCTATACAGATTGACAAACTTATTCATTTTCATACTAAGTTATGTATTCTTTTAGACCATTGGAATCGAAAAAAGGATCGACCTAGACGTTGAAGAGACTCCTGAGTTATTGATTGGAGAGATTGCCGACTTTGCTATTCTATTGCCATTTGCCCTTATCGCGTCATATCCACAAATAGTTATTTATATCTACTCTACAAACAAACTGCTATGAACTATCCTCAAGAGTAGTTGAGACATAGCTATCTACGCGAGAGCGAGAGAGACATACCCCAAAGGACCCTGAATGGTGCATTATCAGTAAAACCATCCCCATCACACATACCTCTCTGATCTGTATTTATCTTTACCCAGATAATACCTAGTACATATTATCACCCCCTAAACTGTAGCTAATTTAGTCCTCTCGCAAACCTATTTCATTTTTTTTTAACTTTATAAAAAGAAAGAGAAGAACACCCTAACCGGCTCTCTGGAAAACAACACCCCGCTTTCCACTATAAACCATGCACTAAAGATCATTTATGTCGAGGTTTTGGAAAATAAAAAAAAAAGTAAAAACATGAAGGCATCGATAATCGCAGGGTGCGGGAGTAAGAGGATGGGATGGATGGGATGGAAAATGGCACTTGGGATGGATTGACGAGTGTGAAGATGGTAAGACACCGGAGACATGATTTGAATTCAAGAAGAGCAGAAAATTTGTATTTAACAGATGACTTGAGACAAGAAAAGAAAAAAAAAAGCGTTCTTCAGCCTAGAATCCCATGTCCTACTCGTTGGTGAATGTATTTCTCAACAGATTCTTTCCCTTTCGTTTAACCGGCCTCTCCACCATTAAGACTCATCTGGCCGACATTACTCGAGGCCGCCGGCCTGCGTCTCCGAAGAGGTGCCTTCTTCCTCCTATTAATCGCTGCCTGCTGTGCTGTGGCTCCAACTGTACTCATCTCCGTGTCGCCATCATCGCCTCCTTCCTCGTCAGCATGAGTCGCGTGGTATATCGCTGCCTCATTAAGCTCATTGATATCATCAGGCTTCATTCGAAGCCACTTCATACGGGGTCCAGACTTGGCGCGCTCAGAGACTCGGAAACCATAGATTCGCGGCTCGTACACCTTGCCACGGCCCAGGCCGGGAGCGAGGTTGGACGTCAGCATACCGTTGATCTGTGTCGGCTGGTTTGCTAGCGGCTCAGGGGACGTGAGAGTCATGGCAGCAGAGGAGGTCAAAGAGGAAGAACGGGACTGATTCGTGTTGGTGGTAATTGGCGAGGTGGGAGACATCGTAGGATCCAGACGAGGCCCGATGTCCAAGTCCGGAAAGGTCATGAAGAACAGGCAGCCAAATGTCGTACCGAAGAATGCACCGTCAACAGATTGGAACCGGCTATTGGGAGGCGTATAGATGTCCTGGCAGCTGGGGCAGAAAAGCTTGACCGTATCCTGTCCAGGGGTATCCGTACGACCAACCGGCAGGACCTTGCATCCATTGCAAAAGGCACGGGGACAGACACCGAAATGCTGCATCTCGTACTTCTCCAGCATCTGCTGGATGCCTGGTCGAGAGGTGATATAGCGCTGATGGATCAACCCGTAAAGCAGCTCTGCGGAACTCTCTATGACGCTCAAGTCGCTTGCCACGCGCATATGCCTTCGGTCTCCAGCCCTCCGGTAACCCAGCGGTTTCTCATCGCCCAAGATCTCATCTTCTTCTTCATCCTCCTCCTCCTCTTCCTCTTCATCCTCGTCATCCTCCGGTTCAACGTCGAGGATCATCTCCAATGCCTCCTTGTACATGGGCACCTGGGACTGCAACCCCGTCAGGTTGAAGTCATCCTCGATAAAATCCTCGGACACCTCCGCGAAGTACTCATGGCCTATCAGGGAGCAAAACGAGGGGATCCACGATTCGGGGGCGCCTTCAGACGACGACATGGCGAAAGAGCTGAAGGCGGACGTTGATTGCGTTGATGCCGATAATTGACTCAAGTCCAGCCTTTCCAGGCCCTCAGCCAGCGTCGCTTCTGTCTCTCTCGACACGATGTTCACCGGATTGATGGCGCAACCGTCAGGGAGGTGGGAGGGTTCGCCCCTCTTTTGTCAGGCGTTTGGTGAAAAATAGCACTGACCGCCCCTTACCGCTTATGCCAACGGACTTGTGCGGGAGAGATCGATCGAAGGCGTCTCGAAAATCAAGGGCTGTACGTAGAGTGAAAGAAATGAGTTATCGCCGTATCATAGACGGATCATAACAGCGGTGACGGTTGTGTGCGACGAGGGAGAACGAAATGCGAAGCTGCGGGATGATCAGGTCACACTCCAGTTCTTGGCCTGGAGCATGTGTTGACCAAGATGGCCTGGTTTCAGTCAGCCACAAGGAGTTCCTGCGACGAGCATAGAGGCAGACTGGGGTTTGGATGGTAATTACCGTTCTTTTCGTGCAGTTCCTAAGTATCTGGAAACGATGCCTGTGCGGTCGACGGAGTGCAGGGATCGGATGCCGAAACTAGGTTCGCGGGGCACTGGGAGGGGAACACGGCCGGGAGCCTCTGAAGAAAGCTCGGGGAACCCGGTCTCTCGAGCGGAAATGAGAAGCTCTATACCAACATCAAGGGTCTGGAGTTCTCCGCAAAGATCGCACAGCAACCCGTTCTGGCGGGCGTTGACGTTTGCATTCTCGCCGCCTCTTGTTGCCCGCCGTCCTGATCGGCGCTGCATCACGTGCTGGCGATCTAGACTCCAGCGAAGACGCAGTTCTAGAGTCATCCCAGATAGCAGCGAGATGAAGATATATACAGCGCTACGAGAAGAAGGGCAGGTTCACAGATGCAATTGGCAAGGTGCAGCAAAGAACTAATGACATGTTCAGGGGTATCTGCCTGGATGAGACATAAACAAACTTCGTATATATACCAACATGGGGCCTAAGGAGTAAGTACTGTAAGGACGCTTGTGCTTTAAAACAATTCTCTCATCACTCGAGAGAACTCTCCTCCGCCGCCCAGAATTGCTGGCAGCCCTTCGCCGGTATTTGACAGCTCGCCTTCTGTCCCAACAAACCCGTTGATACCATCTGCTCCCGAGTGGGACGCAAAGTTACCATAACCTCCCATTGCCTCAAAGAAATTCGTCAACTCGTGGCTGATCTGTAACCCGTTCATTGGACTGTTTCCAAGCTCACTAATTCCGCTTATCTGCCCGTAGACGGATAGGTCGTCGATAGAGTGACCGGCCAGACCAGCCATGGCAACTGCAGCCGTAGAGTGAGCGTCGTGGGTCTCCGAATCCAACGGACGTGCTAGCAGGCCGAGCTTTTCCCCCGTCTTCCTGAGACCCTTGATCGTCTTCCAGAGGCGTTTTGAGACATAGGACTTAGCACTGAACCCGTTGACCAGATCCAGGGCCATATAGAATTCGTCTCGCACCTGTCGGTTAAAGTCGACGGGCGCATGACATGCAGCGAGCAAGAGGACAGCTAAAGAGGCGACTAGGAAATAGTTAAAGCAGACCTGCTGCGTGCGGTAGATATCTGACGTCTGATTCAGCCGCGTCAGGACCCGAACTGTGTCCTTGGCGATATCCACGACCGCCTGGGCGTGCGTTCGGTTTTCAGCAATGCTCGCCGCCGAATGTAAGACCGGGCGATATATAAGAATCCTCAGATGGTTCATACGTAGATACAGAAGTACACGTAGCCGCCTGAGGCCACGGCTGATGGACTCTCCATTCTGGGGCGACTCCACCGCGTAGAACTTCAGATTATCCGGTATCTGCTTATACCACTGGAGCACCTGATAGTCCAGAAAGCCAATTTCATCACGTCTGATGTCCGTTGTCCCTTCCGATCCGAGACCGGAATACCAGACTTTGGAGCAGAGGCGATTGTAAACGACCATCCACTTTAGATAGGGAACCGTACCATCCTGATAAAGGTCAGTAAATGCAAGAGACATGGGAATGGGAATATTTACTCACCGGCTCGGGTAGGTTAGGATCGATGTCCTCGTCCTGGAATACGAATGGTAGCCCGGTACCGAAGCTCCACCGTCGATCCAGGGAATATATCGACCAGAAGGTTTTGGTCACCTCAGTCCATTGTTCTTCGTTCGGAAAAGACTTCAGCATGGCGTCTCGCCGATGAAGGCCCATCTCGAAGCACATGCGAGCTGTCATACCAATGAGGCGGTAAGCCATTATTTCATCGTCGGTATGAAAGTAGTACGTCGCCTAAAGAAGGCTACCATCAGCAGTCGAACGACGAGTGATAGGTCAGAAGACTTACCGCAAGAGCAAAAAGCTGAATTGTCTTGATATCGACCGGCTCCCACAGCTTGGCCTGAAGTACAGGCGCTATGCTGTCGAAAAGTCGTCTCCCAAGCTCATTTTCCCCATTTCCTTCTACTATCATGGTCGTCGCCAATATAAATTTCAAGATAGTCGTGTCATCATCCTGAAGACAGTCGGAACCAGGAAGTCCTCTTTCCGCGAACCCGGTGCGAGTGGCTGCTTCGAGGAAAGTGTAAAGGAGATTGGTCTGCTGGATGACCTTTTCAATGTTAATCAAGGGATACATGATCCCGACCTCCTCTTCATAGACACGACACAACCTGATAGCCTCCTCGCGTTTAATGATCCATATGGGATCTTTGGACGGATGAACCGAAAATACTGGCGCTGCGGGTAACTGCTGGGGGGGACTGCCGGCCGGAGTCGCATGCGCCGTATCGTCATGCGCATCTTCTAGTTGAGTTATCCCCATAGTCCGAAGACTGGATTTCGCAACGTCGAAGTTGAAAGCAGAGCTTGTTGGCCCTCGGAAATGAGGAGGTTTCATGCGCGACTTTGCCGGAGAAGGCTGAATCGATGGGAAAGCATGCGGAGGCAGCGAAGCCGAGTGTGAGCCATCACGGGAGAGAGCGTCGAAAGTGGGTGTCTCCGATGGCAGTTTATTGACCCGAAGACTATTGAGATTGGTAAATAGTGTATTCACCTGTTGCTGTAGGGAATCGATCTGCTGTTTCATCGTCTTGAACTCCCTGCGAAACAAACGCTACAGTCAGCGCATGCTAGACGACGCAATAAGAGATTTCCTGGCAAAATCAATGGAGCAAATACTTACTCAGAGTCCTTGAAGTTGCTAGAACAGCAATTCGGGGCATATTGGCCTGTGCGATATCGTGAGCGATGACCCGGATAGAAACAAAGGCGGACTGCATACACTCGAGGTTGAGGTGGCCGCAACGCTGACAGGGGACCTGGCCATTGCACTTGATCTTGCGTCTCTTGCACTCATTGCTATAGGATCTGTCAGCAGAATAACATAGGGCGGAGAAAGGTAGGCCTACCATGCGATCGAGATGTACCGATTCCGCTTCGCGCGCGTGTGCGTTCCGCTGCCTGATTCCGCCTTTCTCTTGGTGCTGTCAGTGCCAGGTGAGGGCGCCTGAGCGTCCGTGGGAGTCATCAATGATGCTCCATTTGTATGAGACGAGTCAGAAGCCATGGCACCGCGACGTCAGTATGGATACTCTGTATTCAGAGGGAAGATCAGACGCTTTCCCAGCAAGGTTGGCGGTCGGACAGGAGAGAAGAGTGCGGAACGAAGAAATTGCGGGGTTTTCCCCGGATCCACTGGAGTTCGGGGAATAATGTACAGTACATAAATAGGTAATTATCGAAGGCAGACGTGGCAGCCAAGCAGGGCGAGCCGTCCAGAAGATCGAGTACGTGTCGATACCTGCACGATGCGAAGATCATCAGAAGTCCTGAAGCTCGAGGGGAATCCTATGTATTGAATATGTTTGGCTGAGATCTCAGCAGAGCTTCACTGCTTGGCCTTAGACAATCTGGTCATTCTGTCTCTATTTGGTATTTAGGGGCCCTCATAGATTGAATGGCTTGCTAGCCACAGAGAATCGCCTGCATTGATATATGCATCTCTACTTGGATCAGGGAACTACTAGTCAAGTTGCATACCAGAAGATGATAATCATCCATTATTCTCCATCAAATCGCTGTGGGCCGACTTCTATGCCACGTGCCAAGGCTCCGAGCGCGGAATCAGTCCCGACGTACGAAGATCTCGCGTCTTTCTCTTCCATTATTACTGCTTACTTACTTACTTACTGTCCCTGTCGTGCGAATTCACGTACCAGCCAGTCATCTAACAGCTCCACGATCTCAGGGCCTAAAGCAGACGGCTGGATGAGGCATCAGCAATGCTGGCGGATGCTTAATCACCCGTTGGTGCGGGCCTTTGTTCAGGCTTCTCGATCGCGCAGGTCGTGTCCTTGGGAGACCAATTGCAGAGGCCATGCCACTCTCCCAGGCTCACCGTACCGCCCAGTCGATATCCTTGAGGATGGCAGCGTGAACCGTTTCCGTGATATGTGCTTCGAACCGCAACGGCCAGCCCTTCTCCCGCGCGGCCATTTCCGTGACCTCCCAGCATTCCAGCGATGGTTCGTTCGAGATTCACCATCCGCAACTCGATTGAACTACGAATACCTGCAGCAGTCAGGAGAGACTCTTGTGCCTCTGGAACTTACCAGTGCTGATGACGGCAGTTTCCAGCGGTTCAACGCTCCATTGAGCCTTTTTCTGCAATGGACACAGGCGGCCGAAGCGCAATCGTCGCGTCTCTATCTCGCCCAATGCCAGCTTTCCGACCTCCCTCCGTCTCTCCGGGATGGTTGTCCAACGCCGGACCTGGTGGCGCAGGCAGGAAGGGGCGATATTTACGATGCGAATATTTGGATGGGGATGCCTCCCACTTATACACCGCTCCATCGGGATCCGAATCCAAACCTCTTCGTCCAGTTGGCCGGTGAGAAAGTCGTCAGACTATTGTCACCAATGGCGGGGATGCGCGTGTTTTCCCGTGTGAGGCAGGAATTAGGCCAGGATGTAGGCCATGCAGCAGCTGTCTTTCGAGGCGACGAGATGATGCACGGTCCGGAGAGGGTCCTCCTGGAAAAGGTCGTCTGGGGTGATAATGATGGAAATCACGTATGCGCCGAAGACTCTAAACAGGACTGCGAAAGTTACGAAGCGCGCCTTGGGGCGGGTGATGGACTGTTCATCCCCAACGGCTGGTGGCACAGCATCAAAGGAATCGGCGACGGGGTCACAGCATCGGTACGTTACTGTTTCTGCTTTATGCCTTGCTCCCCAGAACTCACATTTTGATCACTAGGTAAACTGGTGGTTCCGCTAGCCCTGTTCGTCTCGTCTTCTCCGACTTCCCTGCAACCAGCTCTAAGCATCCACTCAGTCCAGCAGTACATCACTCAAAAGGTGCAGTACCGGTTCAACAATTCCAGAGTACAAGTGCTGCATCGTAGGACTTACTTTGAGTTAACGAGACAGCATGCGACGACAGCATTTTGCAAGTAAAATCAGCAATAACAGGATCATCAGTTTACGTTGCGCTGATCGGTTGCGTAGATATATTTGTAGGCAGCTCTCCACCTTACGGCATATTACATATCCTATATTTGCGGTGGCTGAAATATGGTTCAAGATGTAAGTCCTCGTTCTGGCTTCCGGAACGGTGTCGGGCCATGGAACGAGAGATCTCTTACCGTAAGGTAGTATTTGAAATCGGCTCAGTTACCATCAGACTATTTGTGGTATCATCAGCGACGCGAGAGCAGGTATCTACTGGACAATGCTTTTCCAAAGGACTTCGTAGGTACAGATAGGCTGTTGGATCTCTCCGGCGGCTAGAGATCGATATTGGCCAGTGGCTGCGCTCCCCTGATAAGAGTCCGTTTCAGCGTCAAGGCATAAACCCAACGAGTTCCTCAAGACCATTCAATGACACGTTACTTGCAGCCCAATGATCTAACCTGAACAGCGAGGCGTTGAAACGCCATGATCGCGATCGTCATATTGGCCCTGGTAGTGTCGTCTATAGCGCGATAGACATCAGGTCGCATTCACAGGGACCAGTAAGAGGACAAGGCAGCATGTCTTGAAGGGTTCAATGGGAAACCACCATTTTACAGCGCCAGCTCCCTATTGATGCGCATGAATGGCTATTGATGCCGGATATCTTCTGCCTTGTGTTTCATGGCCTCACCATGATTTTCTTTCCGCTTGGTTGTGTTCTCGGGCCCTGGCTCGGGTGCTCAGCTGTCAAGAACTCGCTATTGTTGACCCCCAGAAGATGAAAGAGTCACAGTGAATAGCCTTATTACCCATCGTTGGGCGTCTATTGTACAGTGCTTTATTCCCACGGCTGTCGGTGTTAGCATACAACTTTTCCTTTCTCTATCTCTCTTCCTTCTCTCGTCATCGTCTACGTTCCTTGCTGCTGGTCAGATCCGTTCTATATCTTTTCATATTCCAAAAAGACTAACTCGTTGATCGATTATTCTGTATTTCATCCTTTATACTTCAGTGCAAAAAAAGAAAGGGAAAACGAACCCTGTCTGCGATACACCAATAATTTCTCTTCGAACTGACTCACCGACGGTGTCCTTCATTCAACGACAATCTGTCCGGCGTCATCGAGAGGCTTGACCAAAATGGCCATCTTCGACAGATCCCTGGCTGGTCCAGGCTATGTGATTCTCAATACTATCCGCGTCATGAATATCATCGTGTTCCTTACGATCATTGCTGCGTGCGCCGTCATGCTTGTCAAAATCAAACTAGTCAACAGCTTCTTCTTTTTCGAGGCCGTAGGGCATGTCATTACTGCGAGTATTAGCAGTGAGTATTCCATCATAGAAGGCAAAAATCATTCGTAGTATTAGCTAGCTGACCATGGCAGTTTTTCTCATTATATCTGAACTAAATATTCTTCGCGGTTATTTCAACAAGCACTGGCCCCTTCTGGGACAGGAGTCGGGATTTACGACCTTCGCATTCGCAATGGCCACTATTGGGATTTCCCTGCTGGGAGATCTCAACTCGTCGGAAACGAGCCAGAAAGCCTTGGGGCTTGCCTTCTGGAGAATAGTAGCCGCGGCGGGTATCCTCGCCATTACCATGGCATTCGTCAATCTATTGACCGTAAGTCCGATTCGTGTATAGTATACGAAGTCCGAAAGCTAATCATGCCAAACTCAGAGTTTCATATTTGCAGACAGAAAGGCCGGAGTGACTGCGCGTCATGTCCGTGCCTATGGCGCCGTTGCTCCCCAGAAAGTCTTCATCACCCGATCGAGCAGCAACAAGTCCTTCCAACTCGGTATGAATCGCGAAGAAACACTTCCAACTTACCGTCCGAGTACCGCGAGCACCAGATCCATGTCGATGCGCAACGCAACTCGATTCCCCTTGAAGATCTCCTCGCCCATCAACCACAACCACCAGTTCCAGGACGCCTCTTCGTCGCGATATTCCAGGGACGAGAATGATGTCTCAGTTCCGAACTTGGCACACCATCCCGCTATGTACTCTGGTCACATCTAAGAGAGTCATTCGACCTCGTCCCTGAGATCAGGACGTAGCCCTAGCTCCAGCTCCCTGTTGTGGAAATCTCCCAATTAGGACATTGATACATCCCCTTCCCAACCGCGGTGACTCCTCTGATAATATGCCAGATCATATTTGCAGCACTGGATCCACCACTTTCTTTCAACTTTCGAAAGCTTTATTTTTAATATCGCATGTACATATAAACTGTTATTCTCATGGTTCTTTGAGCGGGAGCGTAGTTTGGGGCAGGTCCATCCATATACTCGGGAAATGCTCAGGATCGGCAAGTCTTTATTTTTGTTATTAACAAAAAAAGAAGAAAAAAGGAATATAAATGACGAAATATGTATCTTTATCAGATGAAATCGAAATATATTCCTTATTCTTTCACCATTGAAATGTAGTACTCGGGGTATGTACGTACCATAGGAGCTTGCCAGTTAGTCTTGGCACCACCTTGCCTCCGGAGTCCTGATAGCTTACTCCGAACGGACACAGTCCTACCTCCATACTCCATAACACGACAAGCCCTCGCGTCCTCCGACGACGCCGCAGCAAGCACTTTTTGACCTTTGGTTTATGCTATCCAGACATGTGACGGTGGAAGTCACATACTTCGGAACAAGATGGTTGAAGTAGGGATCTCTTTCCAGACGTACGTCCATCCGCAACTCTTCGCCTTTACTCTACCTCTATCTATTGTTGGTTATCATTATTATTCTAGCTAACACCCCCGCTCGTGCACAGCATCAAATCACTCCTCATCTTCTTCGCACCGATTATCATCCCGCGAGCAATAAATCTTTATCGAGGCCTTCGGATCTCCCTGTCGCAGGCAGGCAGGATTCCGCCGCGCCCGCTTTCTCCGCTCGCTACTCGCGCTTTGAATGTCTTATTCTTCGCTATCGTCCTTTTTCTCCTGCTCAGTTTACCGGTCAATCCGCATGCTCCGGCTGCGAATATATTCTCGCTGACGCGTTCGAGACTGAATACTCCGACGGAGGTGATATTTACTCGGTTGGCGCGTCATCGGGCGGATAATGTGCTTACGGAGGAGGATACGCTGTTACGATCCAAGTTGACCTCGATGGCGGCGAGGAAGGCTTATCTTCGCTTTGGGGCGGAGCCTTTGATTAATTGCCAGTTCTGTTCGCCGGGTAGTCTGCAGTCTTATCTGCTTTACTATCTGCCGTTCAATGTGCTGGTGCCGCATCTTTTCCATATGCTTATTGTCGGCTTGGTTACGTCTGCGCCTTTTGCGGGTCAGGAGGCGGCGCAGTGGAGGAATACGTTTACTCTTGCGGGCCTTGCCCTTGCTGCGGTTGACTTGTATATAATGGCGACTTATGACCCTGTGCAGTCCGCGTCTACTGCCGTCAAGTTTGGTCAGGCGCCGCCGTCGGCTCTATACTATCGAATGGCTCTGGGACGGCCATTGGCGTTCACTATATTGGACGCTGTGTATGCCGCTCTGATCTACGTTTCTGCCACGGGTCGCCTCTTCTTCAGCCCGCCCTCGCAGGCGGACCAGATCGATCAGATTGTTTCAACAGCGACTTCGTCACTGACAAGCGCCAGTTCGAAGCTGCACGCATTGAGCGTAACACGCAATGCTGTGGTGAGGCAGAAGGTGCTGAAGAACCGGGACGATGAGTACTGGCGCGCAGTGGTGGCTATGGAGGGTTCTGGCGGTAATGCAGACGGCAACTCAGGAAGCATCTGGGAGGAAGAAGAGGTCGTGAAAGCCATGTCGAGAGCTATGAATGGACAGGCACGCGGAGGCATTGATCTATCAAGGCTAGGTGTCCAGGCGGGCGAGTATGTCGACGAGGTGACAGCTGGTCTGGAGAACGACGCCGTCGAGCGCCCTGAGTGAGGTCTGACATCCGCGATGCGCGATAGAGCCTTTGCAAAGACAAATAGATTGTAAAAATGTTTCTCTTATTGGTTTCTGGCTTCGATATAGCGACAAGTCGGCGTTATCTAGTGAAAAGCGATACTCTATAGGGTATAGCACGCAGCTGTGACACGCGCCTCCACGTGGAAGTCAAGGTATCTATGCTGGACTGGCTCCCCACTGATTCAGAACGGACCCGTAAGATCAACCGTTTTCTCTTGCCGAAAATGTAATTATCAGTGCGAACTTCGAAGGATAGAGAAACAGAGACTCGCAGAGTCGAGAAATGTCGAAGTACTGTTCGTCACAAAGCTAGAGTAGTCTCACCATGATCCATGGGCCTAGCATCTGCAGCATGACGATCTCCAGTCAGGATGGAGTATAGTACAGTACTCGCAGAGAGTAAGCTTTCTTGCAGAATATGCGCCGTAGTCCATAGAGAAATGGTTGAGCCCAACCAGACAGTTGCTCCATCTGATCAACGGGAGGAGAGACGAATACCTGGCAGCCCGTTGGTCCCTTCTGCCAAGCATGGACTTGTCGATTGTCCAAGGGAACCAAACGAACCAGTGGCACGCCAGACACTGCCAGCTGTGCACTGGAGCAATTTTCAGATGCCCTGTGACCCTGTCCGCCGTGTCTCAAGCGCAGTAGCTTCAACAGAGTCCTCGAGATGTGGAGAGAGCGTGGAGCATCGTGCCGCCATCATTGGGGCTTTGGCGTGTAGGCGGTGAGGGGGCAGCGAAGATCGGGGCATCTTCCACGAGACGATCAACTCCTCACCACAAGACACTACGCGCTTTCTCCCGCCCCCATTGCCTTGTGCTCTTTTCCTGCTAGGGCTGCTTGTCCAGCTTTGTCTGCTCCCCTCCATCTCTTGTTTGGTCTTCAGTCGTGACTCTCAGTCTGTCTTTGTTGTTGTGCCAGTTCCAATTGTCCGGAACCTGTCAGGTACAGGATCGAACGTTCAGGAACCTGCGGCAGAATCACCAGACTTCTCACAACAATAAACACGCACATTCCCCTTGTATCGACCCCTCACACACTGACGGATCGGCACGGCTACATTTCATAGGGCAAACAACTCTAGGTTATCTCAATCTCAGATCCTTATCATGTCCAAAGAGACGTCTCCCCCGTCGCAATCGGTGACGGAACTCAACGCATGTGTTTCAACATCTAGCGGTCACCGGAATCCCAAAGAAACCACTTTTCGAGAATGGCTGTTGGAAAACCAGATTGGTACGTCAATCAATGGCTGCAGATTCTTGTTTCTTCCTGGGTTGGCACATCTCTTATACTGCAATCCATACTGACTGGTCGCCAGGTGCCTCTGTTACAATCCTGGCGATGCTATTGGCGGTTCATAACCTGTACCCATCATTGCGGCCTTATACCGAGCCATTCTTCCAGCTTCAATACTACCAACCGAATACCGGCCTCTACACTCAAGGATGGGATGATATCTACTTTGTTATTTGTTCCGCCATCGGCTTCACCGCAGTGCGCGCAATTGCTATCGACTGGGTGTTCTGGCCCATGGGCCGACGTTGGGGTTTGAAAAGGAAAGCTTCAATCCGACTTGCGGAACAAGCTTGGATGGCCATTTATTATGGCTTGTTTTGGTCATGCGGAATGGTTCGTTTTCTCTTTACTTCCGCGGAAAACAAAGGAACCTATCCACTGATATACTTCCCGCTTTTAGTATCTCTGGTCTCATTCCAACTACTGGCTCGATTTCAAGGCCGTCTGGTCCGACTGGCCGTCGCGCGAAATGACCGTTTTCATGAAGTGGTATCTTCTTACGCAGTTGTCGTTCTGGATGCAGCAGCTTTTGGTGATCCACGTTGAAGAGAAGAGAAAAGATCACTACCAGATGCTTTCTCATCATGTTGCCACGATCACCCTACTCACTTCCGCCTATATATATAGCTTTTACAACGTTTCCAACGTTGTTCTCTGCCTGATGGACATTGTGGACCTCCTTCTGCCGGTAAGAACCCTCAAAAGATGCCAGCGCCCCTCAAGCGAATATTCTAACAGGCAATGCTGGGCAGATTGCAAAGATTCTGAAGTACTTGAAGTACGAAATGGCCTGCAACATCGTCTTCGGTGTATTCGTCCTTACATGGCTCGTCACGCGCCACATAGCGTACCCGCTTCTCTGCTGGTCGATCTACAAGGATGTCCCGGATCAGATGGCGTACGGTTGTTATTCCGGTGCCACTACGGAGATGATCTCAACGAACGGATACCCGGATAACTGGGGCCATCTCTTGGGTCCTTTCAAAGATCTTAATGGCCCAATCTGTATGAACCGTCGTGTCAAGTGGATCTTTCTCTCTTTCCTCCTGTTCCTCCAAGGTCTTTCCTTGATCTGGTTTGGAATGGTCATTCGCGTGGTCGTTGGAGTTCTGCGTACAGGAAATGCTGAGGACACTCGAAGCGACGATGAAGAAGACGAGGTGGAGTCGGACTCCCAAGTCAGCAGTATGAGGCGAAAGGAGATGGCTAAGAACAGCATTGGTGACAGCAGCTCCAACTCGGAGGCAGCATTCCGCAGGTCGAGCAGTCGTCCTGTTCGAAGCCGTGGCCGTGGAGGAATCCGACTCGGTGATCAGAGCGACAGGAAAGCCCTGCTTGGTCGTATCGGATGCGACAAGCCCACCTAACCCTTTGCATTTCTGGCATATGATAGTCTTTGTCTTTGTCTTCATTTTATTTCTCTCGTCATCTTTAAGCGTGCTGTCGCTTTCGAATGTATGCCCTCTTCAGCAAATCTGGGCTTGTTATTTTCAACCTGCAATTACACCTTCACGTCAATTTTCGATGGTAACGACGAGGCGGACTTCCTTTCTTGTCATGGTGCAACACTTTCTTATTTGTTCTATTCTTGGTGATCTGAATGATCTCAGCGTCTATAAGATCTCTCGCTGCAGTTGAATGTCGGCTACGGCTTGACAGAGGGATTGAATGCCCTGTACGAATGCTCACGTGTTTCCGATTCCAATCTCTGAAGAGATTGCGATGCAAATGAATACCCGGTCGCAATGTTTGTTCCTGTATGTTGTGCTTGTGTTTTTTTCCTTCCTGATCATCATGTTGTCATTTGCGAAATATCTGCATTCGATGAACACACGTCAAGGTCGGCATGTTAAGTGGTTTAACGGGATGTAAAAAGAGAAATTTGACATGGAACGGGTTGTCTATCCGCGCTGGTCTTCCTTCCTTTGCCTCGTTCGTGTGTATGTGGTCCAGACTCTTTCTGCTGGGCCAAAATCACCTGTGGCTCGATTGAGCTAGGTGTGCTACGTGAGAACTCTACGAGAAAACATGCTTCAATTAAGCTGTTTGGTTTGAATTATATGGCAATGAATAACGACTGAACAGGACTCGTCCCTCAGTTCAGCCGCTTGGCTGTCCATCTCTGCTCTGTACCAATATGGTCTTTGATGCCTGTTGTAAAAGTAGACCTAACAGCTGTCCATGGCTGATACATTTGTGATCTCCAAGACCGTTATTATATCCATCAAGACGCCATATACCCCCTATATTCTCTAGGAACGGACTAGATCTCATGTCTCGAACCACCTGTCTCGCTCCTTCGAGCGGCTTCCAAGTAGTAGACAATGGTGCACCGCGGACCACTGTCTTGCTCAACACTGATAAGGGGTTCAGAAGGGGTTCAGACCTCGAAAACCCCGACGAAAACGGACAGCACGCTTCTTTTGAGCTTTGTCCTAGCGCCTAGTGTTCCGAATATGTCTTGCAGTAGTCTAGGACCGCGTCGGTGCCCCGGCTAAGTGGACCATGTGGCTGCCGGGGAAGTTCAGCCCCCCTTTTTATAGTCGTGAGGACGTGCACAGTATCTAGTCAATTTCTCAACGGCATCAGTGCCAAGGCTCATAGCAGCGTAGGATCATATCATTTTGCTGTTCTTTATGGGAAGTCATGATCCGTCTTTCTCTCGAAGCTTCGCCAGAGCTGCCGCGATACCTTCACTCACCCCTTCCTCCTCCTGACGCTGAGAATTTGGCACCTCTGAGCTCTCTATGTCTCTGCGTTCCGCTTCTCTAATGCTAGCCTCCTGAGCAGCAAGGAGCATGGCCTCCTCTTCACCCTGCTCCTCCTGTCTCTCGGGGGGACGGGCTGCCGCACTAGTCACAGGCGGAGGATTCCTAACAGGCGCGGTCTGTCTCTTCGCCTTTTCCACACGAAAGCCTTCTCTCACGGCACCGCACCACTGTCGTACCTTTTTCTCTCCCCAGCCCGGTACCATGCTGATCTGCTCTGGCTGTGCGTTGACAGCAGCCTGCAGACTGCCAAAGTTCGAGATCAAGCTCGCCGCGTCCGACTTGTTGATGCTCCTTGGCACGGTCACAAATTCAATCAAACTCTCCTGATAAGACTGCGCCTGCTGAGAGCGAATCGCAGTAGGCTGCGCATTTTCCGAAGACTTAAACAATTCCAAATAATGAGCAGCTTCCGGCGCAGACCAGCATAGAATCAAAGTCAGATTATTGATAATCGACGTCTTTGACAGTTCCTTCAGACTGTCTTCGTGATTCGGTATATCCACCATCACAAGGAGGATACGCAGGTTATATTTACCTGCCAGCAGTCTGATTCGCGAATAAATGTATTCTGGATGTAGACGATGGTACTTTAAAGACAGGAACAGCGCACATGTAGTGCTGCCAACTACGTAGTCAGCTGGGATATCGGCGTATTCCCACGGGACGAGTTTGATATGGTTTAAGATCGGGTTTCCCCTCTGTCTGGTCGAGACGAGGACTGCAGAAGGGGCATTTCTGTTGGGTAGTGCTTGAGGCTTCGGTTGCTGGACTTTGGTTGGCTGTGTAGAAGTAGAGGAAGGTCGTGGGTTAGGCGCTTCAGTGGATTTCTCTGGTTCTTGGGAAGTAGTTGGATCCATCCTGGGAGGTAGACCAGGATCGTGTTGAGATTGGTATTATTGTATTAAATAATGGAGAGCTTGAGGAAAGATTAGTTAACTAATTAACTAGGTATTGATCAGTGGAATAGTTGAATAGTTTAAGACTGGTTGATGATTACTACTATCGCGGATCGGCCCAAGAGTCTTATCTCACCGCCCGGAGCTCCTAGCGTTGGTTTCGCCGCCAAAACTAACTTACTTTTCACTTTTTCTGCCGCCCGCCATCTGAAGAAATAAATTCAGCAGTTGCAACAATGGAAGAAACACGCAAACGAAGACGGCTTTCGGAGAGCGGCAGCTTCCAGGTCGAAGATGCCGTTAAAGAAGCTATCAAAAATGACACAGTCGCTACTGAGCAGCAAAACACTCCATCTGCTGCTGCAGCTACTACTCGTCCACCGCGGAAAACGCTCTTCGTGCGATCTCTGCCCGCCTCCGCGACGACCGAGAGTTTGACCGAGTACTTCTCGCAGTCTTATGTGATCAAGCATGCAACTGTCGTTCTGGACCCGGAAACGAAGCAATCGAAAGGCTACGGTTTCGTCTCCTTTGCCGATCTCGAAGATGCGCAGCGTGCTCTTGAGGAATTCAACGGGAGCGTTTTCGATGGGAAGAAAATCAAAGTCGAATATGCCGAGCCTCGTCACCGAGAGGTCGACGAGACTGTTGGCAAGAGTCATCCCACTGCTGAGGCTCTCAAGTTGAAGGAGGAGAGAGAACGTCGGAAGGCGGAGACCCAGCCGCCTAAACTGATCGTGCGGAACTTGCCGTGGAGTATCAAAGAGCCGGATGATTTGGCTGTTTTGTTCAGAAGCTACGGAAAGGTCAAGCATGCGGTCCTCCCTAAGAAGGGAAATCAACTCGCTGGGTTTGGATTTGTGGTTCTACGAGGCAGGAAAAATGCCGAGAAGGCGCTTGAAGGTGTCAATGGAAAGGAGGTCGATGGTAGGACAATCGCTGTCGACTGGGCAGTCGACAAGGAAACCTGGGAAAATGTACAGAAGACTGCGGAGGAAGACGCCGACCCCAAACCGGAGGTCGACGGAGACGACGACGCCGCCGCATCAGCTCAAGATGAGGAACATCAGTGGGAAGACGCAAGCTCCGACGAAGAAGCCGAAGATAGCTCTGAGGAGGACGAAGATGTGGACATGGATGACGTGGAGGATGTAGATGATGACGAGGAAGAAGAAGAAGAAGAAGAGAAGGAAGATGAAAGAAATGCTTCGACAGTCTTCATTCGAAACCTACCATTCACGAGCACCGACGACTTACTATATGATCATTTCACCCGGTTCGGACCAGTGAGATATGCCAGAGTTGTTCTTGACCCCGAGACGGAGCGGCCCAAGGGAACCGGTTTTGTCTGCTTCTACAAGGTTGAAGATGCGGTCTCATGTGTACGGAACGCCCCTAAGCAGTTTGAGGTGCTGGCCGAGAAGGATAAATCCAAGCCATCCACGATAGTGAAGCACTCTGTTCTACAGAATGAGAACGCTGATCCGACCGGACAATACACCATGGACGGTCGTGTTCTGCAGGTCACGCGTGCTGTCAGCAAGTCTCAGGCTTCACGATTGCAGGAGGAAGGTGTCACGAAGCGACTTGCTAGAGACACGGATAAGCGTCGTCTCTATCTTCTGTCCGAGGGTACGATTCCTTCTAACTCGGCTCTCTACAAGAAGCTTTCGCCTTCGGAGATCAAGATGCGCGAAGACAGTCTCAAGCAGCGACAGACGCTCATCAAGAACAACCCGACGCTCCATCTCAGTCTCACCCGTCTTTCCGTCCGTAACATCCCACGACATATCACCTCCAAAGACCTGAAGGCTCTCGCCAGAGAAGCGGTCGTTGGCTTTGCCAAGGACGTCAAAGCAGGTCTCCGTCAGCCATTGTCCAAGGAGGAGCTGAAGCGAAGCGCCGACGAAATGAGGGAAGCCGAAAAGGAGCGGAAACTGAAGGGCAAGGGAATCGTCAAGCAGACCAAGATCGTCTTTGAGGGACGGGACGGCAGCAAAATCGATGAAAAGAGCAGTGCCGGAAGAAGCAGAGGTTATGGTTTCATCGAGTACGCCACTCACCGCAATGCCCTCATGGGTCTTCGCTGGCTCAATGGCCATGCTGTCGAGATGAAGCCCGAAAACGGCGAGAAGGGGAAGAAGAAGCGTCTCATTGTTGAATTTGCCATTGAGAATGCCCAGGTCGTCAAGCGAAGAAACGAGCATCAAGCCAAGGTCCGCACTTCCAGCAAAACAGACAAGACGGACGATGACTCTCGGTCCGACGAGAAGGGAGGCCGCAAGGGATTCCAGAGAAGAGACCAGAGGAACGGTCAGAGAGGAGACCAGAGAAGAGACCAGAGGGGCGGTCAGAGAGGAGACCAGAGAAGAGACCAGAGGGGCGGTCAGAGAGCAGACCAGAAGAGAGACCAGAAAGGGCCGCCAGGGAAGTTCAATCAAGGACTGAAACGGAAGAGGTCCGAGAGCGGCATCGACGAGAAGAAAACGGGGGACAAGGAGAAGGGTAAAGATCGCGGAGAAAAGGACAACGGTGTTGCAAAGAGGAATCGCATCATCGCGAAGAAGAGGATGCAGAGAAAGACGCGGAAAGGCAAGGCCTGATGTACAAAGTCTAGGGAAAAGTTTATGTCTTGAAAATATCCTTCATTATGTCTAATATATTCTACGGCGCTTCTGGTTGGAGCACCAATTCCACGAACGTGTTTCTCCTTAGATGTCTTCGAATATAGTTGCCAGTAGTAGATCCGGTCCCAGAGTTGTAGCAGACTGCAGGCAACTCGATCTGATCTGGAAATGCAAAAGGAACAAAGATCATCTCTATTGAACAGCGTATGTCTATCTTGCCGTGACCATTCCATTATTCTCGGGTATTCGATTTGTTACTAGATCATTTACAACGAGGCCCATAGCACAATCACGTATTCGTAGCACCCACCACCTTTCCAACGATATTGTAGCGCTTGCTGAAAAACGTATACCACTCGCTCAGGACCGTCTTCTCCTTGTCATCGAGGTCATACCAATCGGGCCTGCAATCCTCAGGCTTCAGTGAGGAAGAGGCGAGTGCGCGTGAAGGGTCCTTGCCGGCGAAAACTGCAGGGAAACCACATCGTCAGCTTCTGCTGGAAAACTTCTAGTTGTGAATTTTCTCCGGGTGATAAACATACCGCGATATTGTCCCTCAGGTCCGTAGGCTGGGTTTCGAGAGACGTCGAACACGACACCTTTGATAGCGACCAAGGTTGGGCGACTCGGGTCGGTGCCTGGGTGCTTTGCGATCAGTATACGTTTGCGTGCATCGATAATCGATGGGGGTATACACTCACCATCACATTTTGATAGCTCCTCGTAAGTAATGGGGTCGTCCTTGGGAGGGTCCAGCTGGACAGGCTGTTTCGGGTTGAATTGTTTCGGTTCCGGCTCGTGGCTCGACATTGTATCTGCCAATTCCAATGGGATACCCGAAAAGAGTCTCAATAGCTGATTACTCTAAATGTGCGACGGGAAGTGCCAGACAAGATGCGCATTCACGGGAATAATAATAATGTTTCCGTCGAAGAAAGCAAAGCTCCGACTGAAAGCCGCAAAACAAACGCGGGGTTTTCGGAGAGGGCGGGGTTTGTCTTCCATGGTTAATTAATTAAGTATGGCGAGCTCGTCTCTCGGGAACGAGAAATTCAACCAAACATATTCAGGTGATTTGATTGCACTTCTTTGCCCTAGCGGCATATAATCTGTCGGTGCTATATTCATTGCATATTATCATTATCAGGGGGTAGATGACTGTTGCCTGATAGGTCATAGTTATGCAGCCTCTGGAAACCGATGGACCTAGGCATGCAGACGATCGCTGTTCATGGACTAGGATTATAGATATGGCAATATTGTCAGAAGTTATAGTTATTCCACTCTATTGTTATAAACCACATATAGACTGCATCTGGGAAGAGAGAGCAGTATACTCTTCGTTATAGAGAATCTTCAGTACGGTCACCACTGCGCACCTTCCTCTTCCGTAGAAGCAACCAGTACAACACGAGCACAATCTTTTCTTCTCTTCTCATCCTTTTCCTTTTCCTTTTCCTTTTCTTCTCATCATCATTCCATCCGGGAGACTTCTCCTCGATTTCTCTCTATCGATCCTGATCTTTACGCGAACATCTGAGTTTATTTATGTCCTACGAGATACTCTCGACTCCTTGCGGAGCGTCTTACGCATCTTATCTGGCACTCCAGACATGGCCAAGAGATAAATGGCTGGAATGCTCGCCCTATCAGGGAAAAGCTGTCCCGGATTGCAGGGAGAATCTGATAAGATGAGAAGCCCAGTCTGTCAAGGTGGACTACGAGATTGAACAGAGGTCTGGTTCGGTTCCTACAAACCACACCATGCAGAAGCGCATCATGTCGATTTCCTCCAGTCTCCCCGTATGATGGACGAGCAGAATATCCGATTAACAAAGGAGCGCGGTATCGTTATATCGCTGTTCGCCGCATAAGGAAGATACCGAAGAACATACCTCGGCCCAGAAAACCGATAAAAATCGAATCCGGGTCCTATTCCTCTCCCGGCAACGCTTCGTCCGGTCCCGCGTCGAGGGGCCGGGCAAAGACTGGGGGTGGCCGTCATAAACCGTCGATAGCCAATTGTTCGTTGCTTTCGTTGCTCTAGACTAGTATGAGGGCAGCGGGTTGCTGTTACCTTGAAAACTTGCGCTGTCCCGGTGGAGCATATCAGGTTAAGCCGCACATGGAGTCTTCCGTTTTCTACAGTTTTTCATTATTATTTTCTTGCCCCTAGTGGTTCGCCCCATTGTATCTGTCTCCATGACATGCCACTGGTCTGGGGACAATAAATACCGTTCTCCGGAGCTATTTCTACTTAACGGGGCGCGGTTCTGTCTGTCTCGATTTTCTCGTCTGCTGCCCTCCCGACTGCTCTGCTCTGCTCTGCCAGCGCCGCCATTGACCGATGGCAGTCGATTCGGAGGCCCCCAATGGGCCAATTTCTCATACGGCCCTAGCTGCTGCCATCAGTAATAATGGTGATTACCCCACCATCGTGCCTGATCCGGAGTCAGTCAGTTTAGCCTCGAAGCGGGCCAAAGGGACAACAGTCAGCGAAAAGGCCAAAATTGTCGAAGACAACGCAGATTCTGTCTTGAACGTTTCCATCCAGGAGGGCACCGATCATACACACCGTAGGTTGAAGCCGAGACACATACAACTGATCGGTATCGGTGGGACTATCGGTACAGCCTTATACGTTCAGATCGGGCAAGGCTTGATGCATGGCGGCCCCGCAAGTTTATTCATAGCATTTGCATTCTGGTAAGTACCTACTCATTGCTTGCTCTATTAATCGTTATGCTCCACGGTTCTTGGGAAGTTGCGATCCAGGAGTGGTTCTGCAATGAATTGGCTTGATATCCAGGAAAGCTGCAATCTATATGTTGGCACAGCGGACAATCCTGTTTCCGATGATCAGAATGGAATCAGCTTGGAGATTTCTTGCTTTTGGACGTCGAATCTTATACTGCTATTGTATAGGTGTACTTTTATCTGCGCAATTACTGTCTGTAAGACATCCCACTGCCCTGTTCTTGAACTGAGCCCTTGCAATGTTATCCACGGCCTTTCTCCCAACCGAACCGGCTGCGGCGACGTATTGTCCCTCCTACCGAGAGCGCCCCTGCATGAGAACCCGGTCAGCCCAAAAAGCGCCAAACTCGTCTCATCGCCTGTCCTGCGCAGGTTCGGTTCCATCTGAGATGGTATCTGGATTGCTAGCTTGTTCCCTCTGAAAGATCTATAGCCCTTGGAAGTAAGCATGTGCTAAAATGTAGGATCCTCCGATCTATAGGTATGGCCGAAATGGTGACATATCTGCCGATATCGTCGCCTTTCGTTCGATTTGCGGGCCGCTATGTCGACGAGGCTTTCGGAGTCGCGGCCGGATACAACTTCTTCATCTTCGAGGCTGCGTTAGTGCCCTTCGAAGTCACCGCGTGCAACATGATCATCAATTACTGGAGCGATGCAGTCCCTGTAGGTGGAATCATTGCGATCATACTGGTCCTTTACGCGTGAGTGTCCCTACAAAGCCGCTGTCTAACCTGTAATGCGATAATCCTGCGTACACGGGAGCTCTAATACCTGGTCATAGTCTCCTCAACATCTTTGCCGTCAAGTGGTACGGTGAATCCGAGTTCTGGTTGGCTATAGGCAAGGTGCTGCTTAGTTCCGGTCTGATTCTGTACACGTTTATCACCATGGTAGGGGGCAACCCCTTGGGTGATCGCTTTGGGTTCAGATACTGGAAGAACCCGGGCTCTTTTGCAGAGTATTACAAAGAAGGGCATCTGGGTAAATGGCTCGGATTTCTGCAGTGCCTTATCACGGCAAGTTTTACTATGGCAGGGCCCGATTACGTCTCTATGGCTGCTGGGGAGGCGGAAAATCCACGCAAGGTGATGCCAAAGGCGTTCAATGGTGTTTTCTATCGACTCACTGCTTTTTTCGTTCTCGGAGTCCTGTGCGTTGGTATACTGGTACCGTATAATGATCCTACGATGACAGCAGCCTTTGAACAGGGGCTACCAGGCGCTGCTGCGTCGCCATATGTCGTTTCGATGGACCGACTGCATATCCCAGTGCTGCCGCACATTGTCAATGCCATGATTCTCACAGCCTGTTTTAGCGCAGGGAACAGCTATGTTTATTGTGCTAGCAGAAGTCTGTACGGTCTGGCACTCGAGGGCAAAGCGCCCCGAGTCCTGGCCCGGTGCACGAAGAATGGAGTACCCATTTACTGCGTTACTATTGTCCTGGTGATTGCTCTATTGAGCTTCCTGCAGGTATCTAATAGCGCTTCGGTCGTGCTAGACTGGTTCGTTAATCTTGTATGCAATCCAACGACCCCCCTCAGAGATTCATAATGTCATCGTCAACGTATTCTGACAGGTGGATAGGTGACGGCCTCCCAACTTATCAACTACGCAGTTATCTCCTTCACATTCATCCGGTTCAAGAAGGCACTGGACAAGCAGGGCATCTCGCGTGATTCCTTGCCCTACAAGGGTCGTTTTCAGCCATTCCTCGCCTGGTATGCCCTGGCGGGCACATTCACCATGGCGTTTGTTGGTGGCTACACCGTCTTCCTCCCGGGGAACTGGGACGTCCCAACCTTCTTCTTTTCCTACACCATGATCGGCGTCTTCCCCATTTTATATATTGGGTGGAAGCTTATCCGACGAACGGAATTCAGAAAGCCTGAAAAAGTTGATCTCAAGACCGGAGTCGCTGAGATTGATGAATATACCCAGAACTATATACCTACTCCTCCTAGGTGAGTGTCCAGTCGTTTTCCTCAATTTTTCTCATCGGTGGGATGGGTAAGCTAACGATAATTTTCCTTTTTTAAGAAACGCATTCGTCAAGTGGTTTAATATCCTTCTCGGTTGATAGTCAGATGATAGAACTTAAAGTTTACTCCATGAGCTCATTTGAATTTGGCATTTACAGCAGTTTCAACCGAGAGGTGTAGCTCCGTTGATGCATAAATATTACCAATATATTCTCTTCTTTTATTCACATGCATAGCGGACATGGATTGTCAACTATAATTCATCTATGCTCATTAATTCTTAACTTTAAACATTTATCGGTCGTGCGCATCTATTATTCGGCTCTCAGTGCTTGACTCGCCAAGAAAGTAATCTATAAAAAAAAAATAATATGAAGAAGTAAAAAAAAAATGCAAAAATCCAGTTTTCTTTCCATCGGGTATCCAAAATAGTCCAGGGGTCCTAAGGACCTTATGCTGAAAAAAAAACAAAAAGACGGGTATATTATAAAAGAGCAATCGTTAAGAATAAATGTTTATATGTATGCACAGACAACTAGATAGATAGGTGTTAGTTAGCAAACGGCGATTGTGAGAGATAGATAGATAGACATGGAAACAAAAGTGACATACATAGGAGGAGGAGGATTATGAGATATGTTGGAGTCTGGAGTATGTTCTTGGGAGCAGCGTTGGATTTTGAAGGTGAAGTGGGAGTTGCTGTTGTATCTGCCTTTGCGGGGTTTGTGATTGAAATTGGATTTGCGGATGCTGACGCTGATGAATATGCAGATGCAGATGCGGATAAAGATAAAGATGTAGATGCGGATACAGTCGCAGACGCAGACGCAGTCGGAGTCGCCATCACAATCATAGTCGCTGTTTCAGTAACAGTAACTGGAACACCAGCTCTACATACACACACACAGAGAGAGAGGTTAGTCAACGAAATTGTACTTTTCTCATGGACCAGCCCACGAGAAGAAAGACGGAAGATAAGGAAGGAGATAAGGATTGCATACATAACAGATGGCCAACCATCAACATAGTCAAGATAATTGTATCCGAGCTGGGCTTGCTATTCTCACACACACGTCAATTAGCATGTTTTTGTTTCCACGCTTAACTATTTCCGGGTATTCTCACATCGTAATTTAGACCAATGTCCTCGTTTACTATTATATTATATATGGATTAGTATAAAAGAAAGTTTGCAGGAAACTGGGGGAGGGGTCCAACTCAACCTACAGTAATGATAATAAAGTATATCAAAATCACCAGTTTCTGCTCCACTCATTATTCCCTGTCCACCTGGTGCGTAGACCACGCCGTTATTGTTCGAGCCATATATGATGGTGCCGCCGCCGTCTGTGAGGTTCGTGCCTGATTCGTCTACGTATGGACCTTGGATGGTGGCGGATCTGCCGACGCGAATGGAGTATCTGTGCGAGGTTAGTTTCTGGTGTTATTTGATAGTAATAGGGGTGGGTGTTTATATATATATATATATATATATATATAAAGAAAAAGGAATGAATGGATGGATGGGTGAAATATCAACGTACTCATCACCAGCTGGAGGAAGAGTCGACTCGAAATTACAACACTGTCCATGGCTAAACCAGAGATAATACCACGGTTCTCGATAATACATAAACGACCCCTCGACAGGACGTGTTCCATCCGGCTCTCTCGTAGCCGGATATGATTTCAGAAACGCATTATCTTCTCCAGGAAGAATGTCGTAAGCAAGATTCACCGCGTCGGGGTCTTCTCTGTCTTCAACCGACGTCAACTGCGAGGCGAGAGGTGCCTGCCAGATATTGGTCCAATAGCTCCCCCAAGCCAGGTATGGTTGACCATTTTTCGGATCGATCAGGACACTAGGGTCGATAGCATTCGATGCACTGTAAGGATAGTTGCTGCTGAAGAGACCCGTACCCGTTGCGATGATTTCTCCAAGATCAGTCCAAGGACCCCGGTCGATATCCGCAGTGATCGCTACTCCAATGGAGCTCTCCCGTGTTCCATCCCGGCTAACTGCGTAATAGCAGTAAAAGGACCCGTTGTACTCCATCACGTTTGGGGCCCATGGGTCTTCTCGGCCTTCTCTTTGAATCACACTTGGTCCATTTAACACTGTGCCTAGCGATTCCCATGGTCCGCTCATGTTACTCGCCTTGAAATAGGGGATAGATACCCCTCCAGTGAAGGCGTAGTAGTTGTTGTTGTAGCGGATAACGCTGGGGTCATGGACTTGAAGATTTCCTTGTAGGGCTATTGGATACCCAGTTGTTTGTACGGGGCTTCCAACGCCGACTGTTCCTGATGCGACAGGAGGGGCCGCATTCACAGGAGAAATGAAAGCCAGGCTCAAGGCCACCAAAGATAGGAGAACCATTTGGTAAGCTCTATGTTCGATGGATGCGAACATGACAAGAATGATAAAAGACGATGCGAAGTTGGTGTGCTAGTAATAGAGATGCGCCGCAAGGTTTTTTATTCAAAAGCATTGGCATTTGACGACAAATCCGAGCTAGCTGGCATTCAATGGTCAGGAACAATGGTTCTAGTGGGATATCAGTCAGTCAAGTCAGTCAATGGTCGGCTTACGACGATGCTACTCAGTCAGGCTATTTAGAAACTGCATCACATACGATTCCTCAAGCACACTGGGCGCTATACGACAGGTCCAGTCGTCCCGAGACTAACGCTGACCAAAGAATCCATCAAGGAGAGTGGGAGCTAGTGCAAGGTCAAAAAGAGAAAAAAGAGAAAAAAGACGCATATAATGTATGGCCTGCTGGTAGAATACTTAAGGCCCAGCGACTAGCGGCATACAGAACTTGGAGAACAGCCGGCTGTATCCCTGACAAGCCTTAGAAGAGAAAGGAATGACAATAATGGGTAAGGAAACGAAGGTGAGTGGAAAATAAAAACCAATATAAGCATATAAGCGCCAGCGAGGGGGGCGAAGCAAAAAAGCAAAGGCCCAGACGAATCCCAACCCCTGCCAAACTGATTGCCTAACAAGCCAAGAGAGACCAACGTGCAGCCAGTTTTAACTACTCTAAGTAGAAAACCCAGAAAGTCTAGAATGCCAATATTCTCGCCTCTTTTCCTCTTCAGGCAGAAACTATGAGATCCATAGGCAGCCAAGAGGAGACTGATCGACGAATCCCTGTCATGGGCTAGAAGAGATGCTGTCCACAACACCAAATGATAAACCAACGAGAGTCGTTCTAACATGGCGTTGATGGTCCAGATTGTCTTTGTCCTGTCTTGGTATACATGTTGAGAATCCGCACTAAAAAGCTTGACACCGACGGCGTCTTCAATGATTGCCACTAAGTTCTAACCGCCGGTCGATCTGCACCCAGCCCTGGATGGATTTGCACTATGAAATTGGGATAGCGATGGCGAAACAACAGGCTTTGGCGCCGTTGTGGTCCCCTCGTAGGACTTCTATCCTGGAATCCGGCTTTGCCGGGCTGTGCTGGCTTGGCTCGTCTAAAAACCTTCTCTCCTTGCGGCTGATTATTATTATTTATTCTCAACTAACTAAAATAATATGCATCAGTGTGTTGTCAGCACTAGATAGGGTCATGGCTCGGAGTTCAGTCTGATTGATCTTCTTAACCGAGATTGTGAGTTGGTCCTCCTTATCGCCGCCAAGCGCTCAGCTGGTTTCGCAGGGGTTAATTAATACCTGAAACGAATTGAAACAGCCAAGTTAGGGATCAGTGTTACACTTAAATTCAGGCACTAGCCATGATAAATGATGATCCCGGCGATAATAATCGTGCAAATTATACCTGAGGCGCAGGAGGTCGATTAAAGCTGGCTAAACTAACACTCATCCCCTTCTCAATCAATAATAGTTAAGTTACACACCAGTGCGACCCGAGGTCGTCCCATTTGCAGCTGTCACACCGCCGTTATTGTTATCAAAGCGACTAGATACGAAAGTACTATGATAAAAAAGGCCGAGACTTAGGGATTCGAGGAAGAATCGGTCAAAATCCCTGCCGAAGACTTCTGACTCGGTGAAGATATCAACCTTGGCCAACCTTGACAACGGTCTAAGTACCACCTCGCCCAAGGTCCCCCTAAACCCTACTTCTAGTCGTGATGAACGGACTAAAAAGAACCCACTGCTCGTACATCTTATTCCCCTCGTCCGTTCGTCCTCACCCGTAATCTCCCATTGGCAGTTCAATTAAGCGCCGTCGCCTTATGGTATTTCCATCGGCTGTCCTAACAATGTTGTCAACAGTTAGCCTGACCAGGCAGCAAGAGAAGTTACACCCTATCCGACAACATGGGGAAACAATTCCAAATATTGTTATCGAAAGGCTATTCTGGAACTAAAAAAAAAAAAAAAAAAAGAACAAGGGCTGAGACTTGTTTTTTGACTTTTTATTTCTTGGTATCAACTTTGATTTGTTTGATTATGTTGAATGGCCCTGTCTTTCCACATCAAAAAATTACATTAGCTAGTTATAGACTATGGTCAATAATGATATAATGCTTGTTTTTCCCTGGCTTTCGTGCGCCATACAAGAAAACGCAATGACCACTCCGTAACTGTTTGTTCTCCTTGAGCTAATTCCCCGAAACGCCGAAATTATGGAGTAATAGGTACATTCGTATATCTCGTTCCATGCATAAAACTCAAGACGAAGAAGAAGAAAACAAAAAAGGGTAGGACACATCCCACCGGCGCATCACCGTCAACGATGCAGACGTCGTCTCAAATCACGACTTGTCCAAGCTTTATTCAGCCTTCTCCCCTTCATTATTCGCCGCATTGAGCGCGTCCCTCCTCAACTGATTCCTCTTCCCCAGAATACGCAGGGTATTCTTCTTCTCGATCTCCGTCATTTTATCCCAGTTCGCAATCCGGCTGAGCGTTCCATCGCGATTCACCACCAACGGGCCCAGGTGGTCGAGCTTGACGGAGCTGCCGGAGCCGGAGACGTCGAGTTTCTGCGCGTCCTCTTCGGCAGGTGGGAGGGCGAGAGGGGAGGAGTCGGCGTTGGTGGTGGAGTTTTCGGTGGACGAGGAGGCTTCTTGCTGGGTCTTGGGGTCTGAATTGGCGGCCATGTTGGTTGATGAGGTGTGAGAAAAGAGTCTGGTAGTGGTAGTTGTAGTGGCGGTGGATGACCGAGACTGGAACGTCGCTCGTGGGATAGAAGAAGGAGCAGAGAATAGTTGCGCAGCTCGACGATACAAGCTTTGATAAATGGACATATCTCTCGTGGAGGAGGAGGAGTAGTGATAACACGAAGTAGGAAGAAGAATCGCAACGGCAAGGACGAGACAGTAAATAATCAGCTGGTTGTTAAGACCACGTCTCATTGGGGGTCCACCATTAAGGTGATAATAAGGTAACTAATGATCTTGCTTCAAGAACCCCTCTACTCTAAGTATTTCTGACATCAGTCCCTTTCATAGAGTCTGTTTCTTTTCTTTTCTTTCCTTCTGAACATAATGAAAGAATTGATGATTGGGACGGCACCTAACACGATTAAGCGCTCATGACGCACTAACTGGCGGCGGGAGAGGCTGGAGAGGCTTCTAGAAGGAACCGCAAAGAATCCCCGCAGCACTTTTCCCCCTCTTTTCTGCTGGGTGGTTTTAGAAAGGGTGAGCAAATACTCAGGAGGGAACATAAATGGTTCGAATAAATATTGGTACTGGCGATGTTATCATTCTCTACACGATCGGTTTGAGCTTCAGAGTAGTTCGGAGTTGGTCCACTGATGAATAATACCGTAGAGTACCTAAACCCCAACACATGCCTCGTATACTGTCTCCAGTTGGATACATAAGTTGAATAGTTAATGATATCCCGATGATATTCCCTTTCCATTTACAGTATATTCCTCGTTTTACTATCCGCAGAGCCAACAGTCGTCTTCATACAGCCTGTTACTTACCGCCCCGTATATGGTAAAATACTCTTATTCCCAGGAGCACGTACCATAATCAGCATCGCATCAAAATAAAGATAATGCTAGCAGAATAGCGTGCTGAGAAGAGCACCGCACCGCACCTGATTAGTTCGTGTCACGATCTACGTCTTATTTATACTACGTAGTAACAATAAGTTATAAGTTAATGACTCCACTCGAGAAAAGAATGGTCGTCATGTTTATCTACTACTGGAGGTAAACCTTCTCGATGCTGACCGAGTAACTACGTATCCTGACTACGCAAACTTCCATGTTATTAGGTACGCATTGTTCCGCGCTGATCTATATGACTTTCGATCTTTGCTGCTTCCCTGTGCATGGATTATATGTAGCCGCTGGATTAGCTAGTTGTTTGCACAGCAATATCATAGTTTTCCTCGTACGAGGTAGGATACGGGCTAAAGGTGTCGTGTAATTAAACAAAGATCTCTGACATATCTTCATCAATAATAGACTCATGCCGGAGGTGGAGTGAGACGACCCGTTCTAACTACTCCGATCTACACGAACTATGTATCAATGCGGTTATATAGAACGGGTAGCTGCAGTCGTCACCGTTTGACATCACGAAACTCAAGCCACCCAGGTATAATTAATGCTCGCTAGAATATAGTATAGTATAGCATGCCTCATGTCTAAACAGGGCTGTATACCTGCTATCATATGGTTCACCGTCGAGGATGAGAAGTATGGCATGTATCCAAATGACAGCCGGAGACGATCTTTCGGTCGCGCACAAAGCCAAGTGGGGAGATCTGGGCGAGGTTGGCCAATCGGAGCATGCGATCGCAGCTGGACAACCAATTCAGCAAAGGCCTGGAATCGCGTCGATTCGCAAGGATGAATGAGAACGAAGAGGGCAAATCAAATAGGGAGTCGGAAAGTCGGCGACGAAGACAAAGTGGGAAACCCTTCACTTTTTTGCCGTCCCCGAGTCCTGTATAAAAGCCCATTCACACCGCCCGAGAGTGAGTCTCTATCCTCCGCTTTTCCTTCCCCGCTACTCATCTCCCCTCCAGCCCGGGTCATCGTACTGTGACGGTGCAAATCTTCCTCCTCTTATTAGTCGCTAGGTGTTTTCATACTTCCCGGCCAATAGCGGTTTGATCAAGATGGCCCGCGGCAACCAGAGAGAGAAGGCGCGCGCGAAGAACCTGGCCGCCCAGCAGGAGGCAGCCAAGGTGAGTGATTCTCCATCAAGGCGCTCTTCTGACTTGCCTCCACTGGGTTTAGGATGACTGCTGACTGTCGGTGATCGAACAGAGACACAAGAACCAGATGACTGGCTCCCAGTTCCAGAGAGCGAAGGAAGACACGGCCGCTATCATGCGTGAGAAGCAGAGACTAGGTACGGGTTCCCTGAATACTCTTCACAAAGACGGGCGCCACTTGAGGGTACTACGGAGAAGTGATATTGACTTTTTTTTTTTCCAAACAGCCGATGAGAGAAAGGCTGCTGCTGCTGCTGCCGCCGGCAAGAAATGATGGCCGTCTTGGGCGGTCCAGAATTGTCCGGATCCCTTCATTTCTTTATCCGACCTCTCTCCTACCGCCGGTCTCGAGTCAGTCTGCGACAGAAAGGACTATGTTGGAGAAAAATAATTTATCCTGCATACAGCCGACGGGCCGCCCGGCATAGGCACAGAGTCGGAGTGTCGCTTAAGGATATACCCATTTAAGAATTACGATGCACATGTGGCTTCAGGGTCTGGCCCCAAAGCGTCGGATTCATTTGCTTTTTGGTTGTTAGCGAGGCGTCCATCAGCATCATAGAGCGTTCTTCCCAGACGGTGTTGCACCACACTTCCATACCCGGGATTCCAAAGATCGACTCATCTTCTTGAGACCCGTAGATTCTGGCCTTTCTGTGGGCCGTACGTATCGTAACACTTGTTTCCGGGATAATATAGATAGATGTAGCGGCTACTACCAACAAACGTCTCAGCAGGGCGGACTAGTTCTTTGCACGCCTGCTTGTTGCTTATGCATCTCCCCGGACTTGGTGACTGCTCCATAGAGACTTTGCCCTTGTGGACCAGGCTCTCCAGCCTTTCGGCAATAACGAAGTTGCGATTGGTGCGCCTTTTCGAGATGGTTTGCCATTGCCAATATCGCTTTCAAGCAAGCCGAACGACTGCAGCGTCTCTAGAACTGGAAACTTCCTGGCCGCCAGATCGATAAAGGTCCAGAGACTTTCCCCCTCCCAACCAACATGTAACGCGAATTGAAGGACCCTGCTGACTGTGTTCCTCTGCGCGTCCTCGGAGGAAGCAGCATCCAAAAGATAGAGGAGAAAACTCCATCCGGAGATGTCCTGCGGTTCAGCCAGACACCATCTCTGGCACTGATCGATCATCCATCGTGCCAGCGCCGACGAACCGCCAGTGGGATCATCTCCGACCAGACTTCCAACCTTGTCCAGATGGCGAGATAAGATAGCATGTAGCTGGCGCATATAACTAAAGGCATAGTAGTTCCTAGGGTGCAGCTCAGCGGCACGAAGCACAACATTAAGCTCGTCTTCCAGCAGACAGCGCATTGCTTCGGGAATCGTAGCATTCCCCGTGCAGTTACCGTATTGGATTTTGATCAATTGGTTCAAAACCCAGAATCGATGATGCCACAAGGTCGGGGACTTTGTGTGCCGGTGTAACCGTGAGCAAAGATAAGTCGCCATGAGCGTACGTTCTGTTTGGAGGAGCTCGATAAGGCGTCTATCACGCTCTTCCTGCGGCACACTCATAGAACTTTCGCTCTCAATCAAGGCCGTCAAACGTCTTTTCCTCCAGTTGCATGCTGTCAGATATTCACAGTCAAAAAGAAGCATGACTTCCGTGGCGATAGCACGATCATCACTGAACCTGTCTCCTAAGGCTCCATTTCGAACACCGGATTCAGCCTCAGCTGAGCCGACTTCCGTGCCAGCATCCCCTGCGAGGCTCCCACCGCGGAAGAATTTCTGCCTGGCAATGATAAAAGCCTGCGCCAAGGGTTTCTTGCCAATACCTATGCTGTTGCCATCCTGAAGGAGCGAGCCAAATGCCGGTGGGATGATTTCAAACTCCAGGATCTGATTGTTCCTGTTTGAGAAGATCTGCTGGAGCTGCTCGTAGAACTGCTCCGGGCTTGACATTTGTATTCTGGAGAAGGGAATCCTGCAACTCACGCGACAAGATGCATGTCCAGCATGTCAGTTTGTAGAGTAGTTCGACCGACAACGAACAACCCTTGAGCTGTAAGTCTAGTTAGTGAGAACGGCGCGTGGCCCGAGCGCCTCCCCGGCGCGCCTGGCCTTTTCCTTTCCCTTTCAGTGTCGCTTGACCTTCAAAACGTCATTTATGCTTCCTCTTCTCCGTCTGTCCTTTTTTTTTTTCTCTTTTGCAAACGACGCTGACGGACTGTGTCAGTCTCTCAAGTCTCTCTAAGACTCAGCTCGTGTTATCAGTCTGCTAAAGAAGGAGAGAAAGACACACGAAAAGAAGCTGCAGTCATGAGCGCTGCGAGCCAGCCTTCTGCGCGCGTGTGGGCGCCCGAAGCCGGCAAGTTGGATGCGCAACGAGACAACAAACCGGATCCCATGCTGTCTCTTATTCTAATAATCTTTTTTGTCCATCTGGCAATATACCTCGTGAACACGATCGGCGCAGCTACGATTGACAGTCTGGTACGAGCTACCTTTCCTTTCCCGTTTTGACTTTTCGGAGCTCCATCATGCCACATGTTCGCATATGCGCTCAGCGGGCACTCAGAGTCTATATTCTGCTCTTAAATGCACGGAGAGCTGATTTTATGGTAATATAGTTATGGATCGTCTACCTCAAACTCCCAACCGCTACGTCGAGGAATGCGAAGGAACAAGCGCGACTCAAACGTGAGGTGATACAGTTGAAGCGAGAGATGAACGCGACAAGCTCCCAGGATGAGTTTGCGAAGTGGGCGAAGCTGCGGAGGAGACACGATAAGACCATGGAGGAGTTCGAGACATTGAGTATGTACACTGTCATGTTCTTTGCAGAGAGTATATGGCTAATACGGTGGACTTTTTTGCTTCCAGACAAGATCATCGGTGCCAACAAGAGCTCTTTCGAGTGGACCGTCAAAGTCGCACGTTGGCTTAGCACCAATGGATTCAAGCTGTTCCTGCAGTTTTACTATTCAAAGACGCCTGTTTTCGAGCTTCCACCGGGGTGGTTCCCTTACTACGTGGAATGGGTGTTGGCCTTTCCGCGGGCGCCGATGGGCACAGTCAGCGTCCAGGTCTGGGGCAGCGCCTGTGCAGCGGCCATCTCTCTGGCAGGCGATATCGTCGCATCTGCGGTGGCTCCGTCAAAGACACGAAAGGCGCAGGCTGTCCCTGCCGGCAGTGACAAAGAAGCCGACAAGAAGACGCAGTAATCTTGTTATAATGAAGGAAGACAAAAAAAATACTACTCTTTGTAATTTTTTTCAATATTTGAATGGCTATATGAATGTATATAACGGAAGAGTCATTCCATACGACCGAAGCTCGGCCGCCTCCAATCAAAATGAGGGCATTACGATGTTCGTCAGATATGATTAACAATCTTTATCGTCAACGACGCCGAGGTATATACCAGGGAATCTCTGTGCTTGACTCTATGATTGGTATATCATCACTCGAACATACCCAAATAATGTGAAGATAAATGGAGACAAAAAAGAAAGAAAAAAAAGGATAGAGTCCGACCCCTTCGACAGGGTTTCTGCGAAGCAAGACACCAGATCTTTCCTCAAGATCCGTCAAACTCTCCACTTCACCGCTTTGCTATAAGCTACAGACTCAAAAATAAAATCTGAAATGAACTCCTCGCCTCAAGAATGAGCCCCATTGAGTTACCCACGCAGACCGCGAAGGATCCGCGCGAGCAATCGCATGACTATACAACCTCGACGAAAAGCAACCCAATTGAAACCCTTCTCCCCGCTCACGCCGTACCACAATTGTTTCCACCGAAGGCGTCGGGCACGATCGAAAGCAGGGGAAGGAAACAGGGCGTAAGCCGCTATCGAATTGCTTCTATGGCGGCGCGTTTCCGCATTGCCTGACAGAGCCAGTTCCTCGAAAGAGAAACCGGGCAGGATGTCCGGGGACTTTCTCCCAAAGCTTGAGATGGTATGAGTTTCCTGAAAGGAAAACTCTGTGCGTGAGCTTTGAATGCGATTCTTTGAGCGAGGAGTTGGGAAAAGAAAGAAAGAAAAAGGAAAAGATCAGTGGGACGGGAATTTTTAAACGGGTTTGTTCGAGGAAAGTGGATTTGGCGCTAGTCTGTTTTAGGGTAGTCATGTGACTTATATCGCTTGCCGTATTGGGATATATAGAATATCGTCCATGTTGGTTCTCGATCTCTTTTTCTGGGGGCGTATGATTTTAGATTATATAAGACAGATGGTTGTGAAAACGGCGCTACAACAAAAAGTTGTGACCTTTACTATTCGATTTTCTCAGTTTCTTTCTAACTCGGTACATACTACATACCTAGTAAAAAAGAGAGTCAGACCTGCTGGTAATGAAAGAACTATCCATATCAAAAGCATCTTCAACTATAAAGCACTCACCAGCAGACCAGAAATAACATGATTCCTGTATGGAACTGCTTCCTACATCCTAGTAAGCAAGGTATAGAATATACATCCCTGTCAATCGTCGCCCAACCTCCCCAACACGGCAAGATCTGATCCGCAGCAGCCCACGGCTCACCGCTTGTAATTTCAGTATTGATTTATATGATTCTCATCCACTTGACTTGTATTATTTTTTTCTCCATCAAATCATTAACCCCTCTTTCAACAAAGACACAACCCCCCCAAAAAAACAGACTCCATCCAAAATGAACTTCGAAAACGCCAAAGGAAACATGCTCAGCGTAATGGCCCCCTCTATACCACAAACCCGCACCTGCTCAGCATGCAAGAGACCCGAGCCCGCCTCACCCACTCCTTCACAGACCTTAAAGAGATGCGCCCGCTGCCATATCACCATCTACTGCTCTCGCGAGTGTCAGAAAGCGCACTGGAAAGCAGACCACAAGAACCGGTGCATATGGGGCGCGATTCGCAATAATATCTACCTCGATTCGCTTCCGGAAGAAGACGCCATGAAGCAGCTGATTGATGTGTATCGGATGCGTGTTGAGGATGATTATAAGTTTCGGGGTGATGCTCATGGTCTTTATGGATTGGAGGATCCGTTGGATGATTTCGAAGAGTTTCTTGATCTTGCGGAGGAGCAGATGGAGAAGGAAAAGGAAGATGCGGGGGGTCTTAAGAGGGCGGGGATTCTGCCTAGGTGGTGGTGCGAGGAGAAACGGAATGCTTGTGAGCGGAAGGCGATGAGAGATCCGTGGTGTCGGATTACATATGCGGTTGAGAAGGGAGATATCCAGGAGCATTATAATGATGATATGATGCCGATGAAGCTGCGGATGTTGGGTGAAACGGTATATGGTTTCAATGTGATGACATTTTAAGGAAATTGGAGGGCCTTATCAGCTGAATCTTTTTCGTTCCCACCCTGCTAAGAGTCGCGTTACTTGAATGAGACCATGTGAATTCTGAGTACTTTTGCGAAAGTTCTGGAGTAAATATCCCGTGGTGGTATCCATTTTTTAGTTCCCAAATACAGACTGCAATGAAGTGCTATCATTGACGCCACAGCATACAGAACACAACCGGGTAAAGGAAAGCCAAATGTGAAAGCACATAGATACAATGATTCAAGTAACAATATAGGAAATGTAAGGCGTGAATACCCTCATGCCTTGGACTTTTTCTTGGCTTTCTCAGTCTTCTTGGCCTTTTTGGCAGCAGGAGAGACCGTAGCCTCCACAGCGGCTTCATTCGACTTTGACTCAACAGGCTCTGGTTCGGCAGCCTTCGTCTTCTTTCCCTTTCCCTTCGACTTCGGTGTGCCACTGGCCGGCTTTTCAACATCCTGAGCAGAAGCCTCGATAGTCTTGGGCTTCTCAGCTTCAACCGCTTCAGGAGCCTCCAGAGCAGGCTTCTCCTTTGTTTGCACAGGGACCTCGTCAACGCTCTTGAGCTCGGGAATCTCGAATTCATATCCGAGCTCCTTGAGCTTCTCGAGTTTGGCAATTCTCCGTCGCTGCTCCTGCTCGATGCTCTTGGTCCACTTCGATCGGACCTTGCCGTTCTCCAAACGCTTCTTCTCGATCTTGTTCCAGGGAGTCTTCTTGAACCGCCTGTTGGCACCCTTCCAGATATCGGGATGCAGCTGTTCGTTGGGAACGAACTTGCACTTCAGAATATGACCGTACATCAGATAGTTGTTCATGGTCTCGGCAACGATTTTAGCGACAGAGGACGAGGCGAACTCGATAAATGCGTAGTGCTTAGAACGGCCAGTCACACGGTTGCGAGACAAACGTAGGCGAGTGATTTCACCGAACTGCGAAAAGTATGCGCGCATCTGGTGCTCGTAGAAACCGTGAGGAATACGTCTGTGATGTACCGAATTAGTATCGTGTAGTAGAACAACAGCTCACATAGAATACCGTACCCAACGTAAACTGTTCCAGTTTCCTCAGGCTGTGCAATGCTCTTCTGCTTCTTCACAAGCTTACGCTTGAGCTTCTTCGAGTCCGGAATCTTGGGAACAGGTTTCTCGGGATCAAAGCCTTCGTCGCCGGAAGCATCCTCCTCGTCACCACTGCTCTCAAAGCCCTTGATGAGTGCGGCAGTCTGGTCATCTTCATCCTCATCATCCTCCTGCTCAGAAGCATCTGAGCTAGAAACATCACTGAAATCTTCATTGACAATTTCCTTCTTCTTGGGCTTGCTGCTCTTCTTGGCCTTCGATTCCTTTTCCTCGGTGTCCGCAATATTCGAGTCTCCGTTTTCTTGTTCGCTCTTCTTGTCCTTCTTAGCAGACTTGGCTTTCTTGATCTCCTGCGAAGCAGTCTTGGACTGAGCATCTTCATCGTCGCTGAGGAAATCCGCTGCCCGCTTGCGGGGCTTGACTTGTCTCGCAGGCTCGCCATTGAGTTTCAAGGACGGCTTGGACGATGCGCCATTAGTCTCCACGGGGGCGGCGGCCTTCTTCAAAGCTGATTTAGCAGGCTGCTTGGACAATTCGACGGTCTTGGGTTCGGTCTTCTTCGATTTCTTCGCAGGCGGGTCGGATACCGCAGCGGCCGCAGCGGATGCCGCTGTAGATTGTTAGCAAGGCACGAGGAGCGTTGCAAAGGAAAAGTTGTGAGCATAAGTTTACCTTTGCGCTTGTTTGCTTTCTTCTCCGGTGCCATTTTTGCTCCGCTGGTTATACGACGAAGCGTTTGAAGTCGACTTGGATGGGATCAGGCACGGTAGTCGAAAGAGTGCGGAAACTTTTTTTTTTCTGGCGAGGCGGCGCCAAGACATGGAGCTTTAAGCTCTCCGCAGCGATCACTGATGGGTCTCCGCAACATCAACCATCACAATAACAGATCAATGTCATGGGGAAGAAGAAGAACACGAATCGAGAGCTGACACACGAGGAGATATGGGACGACTCAGCCCTGGTCAGATCCTGGGATGAGGCCGTCGAAGAATACAAAGTGAGCCGCTCATTATGGGCATCTGTACGGTTCACGTGATCGAGATACGAGATACTAACCATTCGCCAGCTCTACCACAGCATCCACGCGAAGGGGGAGAATATCGAAGATGTTTTAAGGCAGGCTGGTGCATCAGAGGATCTCGATTACGGTGAAGATGCGCAGACCGCAGCGGCACAGGTGGAGCCTGCCATGGCCGTTGATGACGAGTCTGAGAAACCGACTGAAGACGTATGTGGATATGTTCCTTCTTTCCTCTAGAATCTTGCTGATCAGGCAGCAGTTCAAATCGTCAAGTGCACAGCCTTCCCAAGGAGGAGAGGGTCAGGGTATGAATCCGATTCCTAGTGGACCAAACGCCATGCCCGAGATCCTCCTGCAAGGTGAGACCACGATTCCTCCCTAAATGTTTTGCGCGGAGTGACCGGGAGCTGACAATTACTTTTTATGGCTTGAATCTGAAGGTCAGGATGAGAGCCTCAAAAATCTCATAATGGCATGGTACTATGCCGGTTACTATACCGGACTACACGAAGGACAACGACGAGCCAACCAGCGCAATTCCTGATGTCCGCCACAGTCCCAGTTGGGATTCTGCTGGGACGCTATGAGTCTCAGGCATAGGCGAACAGAAAGTTTCGTTGGCATACTGCTTCATTCGGAAGTTACCGTTCGTTCTAATATCTTGGTCGATAATAATATCTGCGGCACCGCAGCACTCTTGGACGGGTAGGTAGGACCCCATATCAAGCTCCATGACTGCCAGCAGAGGACACACCAAGATAGCAGTACACCCTCCTCGTTCCCCACGTGGGTGTTTGGATCAAGAAAAGTTCAACCGATGGCTGTACTGCGCAGTACTGTTCAAATGGGGCAGGAAGCTATCAGGAAGCTATAACGACCGGTGCCAGTGTTAGAAAAAGGGACGACAAGCCACGACAAAGCCTGGCTATTATTCATAATAAATACAGGGATTAATGTCCATATCACTGCGCAGAGGAGATCTATTCGTAGACTAGCAGCCCATCGAAGTGTCTATATAGATGAAGGGGAACGGATCGACATGCCCTGAGACAAGTTGCCTCTTTCGGTGCCTCTCGAACCCCAAAGCGAAACAGTAAGTCAGCCAGTATAGCTTGATGCGGTTGCAGAACCGTCGGCCTTGGTCAAAGAAGGCGAACAGATGGACCCGGTGGCTTTCCATCGAACCCTTCTTGGAATCTGCCGTGGCTCGTGCGACACGCCGGCGGATCTTTCGAAACGCGGCAGACGAAGGCCGAGACGCAACGCGCGACGCTTTCCCCCTCCGCTAACGCAGGATAACCCTTTACGGTTGCCGTGCACGGTTTAAGCACAAGCATCGACTGCCTCGAAAGTGTACCATTGCTGATCAGGTATGTGGAGGACGGCGAGATCTCTGCTTGTGGAACAGGAGAGCTTACGGATTTTGGTTCCTGAGACTTTCGGGCGTATGAGATTGCTGGGGAAAACTTGATGCCTTTTATAGTTCACGCGAGATATAATCATGGCCTTCCCACCGGTCATCGCGATTGTCTCTTTTCTGTTCCTCTTCTTCGTTCCCAAACCAACCGTCTTACCTGTATTTACGTTTCTCTCCTTAGTCCCTCTCGTTCACTTCCATTCTTTTCTTCCTTTCGTGTCACGAGCAGGCCCTCGAGAAGTATATATTGCACGTTCCTTCGGTTCTTAATACTGCAGTGCACTCCACTCCCTGGTCGGATTTCTGTGAATTCTGCTGGAAAATCGCTTCAGATTTTCGATCTTCGGCATTGTCGAAAAGCAAAAAATACAAGATTATCATAATGGCTAGATTTTGGGCTTGGATTCCTTTCGTCGCAGGTGCGATGGCCACCATGGACCAGTCTATCTCAGTTGGAAGCCAGGACATCAGTGTCTCTACTTCGAGTTCCACGACCATCATCGTCATTTCCGCGAACAACGGAGGGTCTTCCCAGACTCAATATTACAATAGCCCGATGATGCAGGCTGGTATGGTCCATCAGGTGAGAAACACCCCCGGGAGATGATCATGCGTGTATTTCTTTTTTTCTGATATATCTTACGTAGGTGACTGTTGGTGGAGACGCTGGTCTTGTCTACACCCCTGATACCATCCAGGCCGCTCCTGGTGATATGGTCCAGTTTAACTTCATGTCTAAGAACCACACGGTCACACAGTCCTCCTTCAGCGAGCCCTGTGTGGCCATGGAGGGCGGCGTCGACTCTGGCTTCATGCCTAATGCCGACAACACTGTCAGCCCGCCCCCGATGATGATGTTCCAAGTCACGTCGACTGAACCCGTCTGGATGTACTGTCGCCAGACGGGCCACTGTGGAAAGGGTATGGTCTTCAGTATCAACCCCACCGCAGACAAGTCCCAGGCTGCTTTCCAGGCTGCTGCGATGTCCATCAACGGTACCGTCTCAATGGACTCGAGCATGGCTGCAAGCTCTTCAGTAGCAGTCGCCGCCAGCTCTTCGGTGGCAGTGGCCGCAAGTTCTTCGGTGGCTGCTGTTGCTACCTCTGCTGCTGTTCCTCCGCCTGCTTCCTCCTCCAGCGCTGCTAGCATTGCGCAGGGCTCTGGTACTCTTGTCAGCGGCGGTGCCTGCGACTGCTCTTGCCTCTGTGGAATCAGCGCGTTCCCAGCTGGTGCTGGCCTGGGGATGCTGGGTGGAATGTCAGGTGAGTTATTACCGATGGGATAATATAGATCTGACCGAGTCTAACATGTCTGATATAGGTTCTATGCCCCTCGCCGTTGCGGGCCAGTAGCTCCTCTAACCAAGAGAAACTTGAGCGAGACCCCAACATAGTATCCCTAGCAGCGCGAGCTGGCCATGGGAGATGATGGCCTACGCACCAATTTTTCAGTTCCCAGTGTTGCGGTATCCTCTTCGGCTGAGCCACATGTTATTAAAGGGGCCTGTTTTCTTGGAAGGTCATCTCATATGTTGAACCTACAGTATTTTTTTTTTCTACAATATTTAACGCCGTGTTAATCACACGATTGAGAACCGCAGAGCGATGTAATAAATACACTGAATGTTTTTATCTACCCCCGTCAAATGCCTCACTGTTCGTGCTTCCCTTTTTTTTAAAGCTTCTTGTTTCCTCTGTCCTCTTTTATTTATTCCTGCGCCCTTCTTTTCGGGACCGGGAGAGATGTAATCGGATATGGTTTGATACCACAATTACACGGTTTGATGGTTCATGGTTAGCCGCGGTTCCAGCGTAATGTGTATCTGCATAGCATATATATAACCTAGGTGTATAGAACAAGTGGAATGTCTGTCACCTCCGGACATACTCTTAGGGGGACGGCACGTGCTATTCCAACTTCTCTTCCCACTACAGCCAGGCCATTCCACGTACCCCTGCTCAGTTGATGAGCAATGTACTACTAACTAACAACGACTTATACAGACCGCTATATTAGTACCCTCAATAATCCATCCATTTTGTCAAGAACCATCAATTACCCCACCTATATATAACAGCAAACTTGCCAACAAATCCAAGATTTAAATGATAATTCATTAATTCCTAAAAATCCCAAAATAAAAGCTATCTAGCTAAGGTATAATAAAAGGTTCTCTTCACATCCCTCCCCCATTCATTCATCATCAAATCCGGAATGGAATACATGCTGAACGATCATAAAATGGTAATTGTAGTTGTAGTTGGTAGTTCCAGACCAGCATAAGCTTAGCCAAGCCAAGCTAGTCCATGATAATGAAAAGAAACACCCCCTTTTTCTTCTTCTCGCCCTTTTCATTCAGTCTTCTTCGTTTTAACGTTCCGTGTTTTGCTTTGGGTTCGTTTACTGACCACCACCGCCAAGGAGAGCAGCAGCCAGAGGTCCGATGATGGGAATGTCATTGAGAGGGTTGCTGGCAGCCGAAGGAGAAGGTGTGGGAGTTGGCGCCAGTCCGAAAGGAGTCGGGCTGGGCGTGGGGAAGAAGTCTTCGCCGCTGGCAGGAGTAGGGGCGGGGGTTTGCTGGGCCTGTAGGTAGGTATAGTTGTTTAGTATGTATGATTTTCTTAGATGAGATTGTATGGATGGATTTGTTTCGTGTGGTTTCTTTGATGTTACGGGGGGATCAGGGCAGGGGAAAGGAAACGGGGAAGTTATTCTTGCGGGAATGATATCTAAAATGGGAGAGAATTACGTCTCGCACCTCAAGAGCTTGATCGGCGGCCTCCATGGCCTTGTTCATGGCCTCGTCGACTGAACCGGGGAAGTCATTTGCGGTGGGCAGGGCGTTGGACAAAGCAGCCAGGAACATGAGAGCCGCAACGATGCTGAAGCGAGCCATTGTGAAGAATGAAGTAGGTTTTTCTTGATTGGGAATCGAAGACGATAAATAAAAGGAGTGGATAGGCGAGAAGAATCCGGAAAGAGAGAGGTCGTATAGAGTCGATGGAGTTGGAGAAGAGAGAATAATGCCGAGCAAGATATCACGACGGGGGTTTTATAAGCATGAAACGCGAGATGCAGGTACTAAAGGGAGATCATTAAACAGAGCCACCGTGGAGAATCTACGGGCTGGGATCATAAATCAATGAAGGATCATCGTTGAGGTATGGTAGCTAGTATAGAGGAACTCGTCAGCTCGTCCCTGAGAGAGCAGCAAGGGAAATGTTTCCTCCCGCGAATGGAGAGAGGACTGGAATGGACATAGAGTCGATCAATCTCTCAGCAGCAAATGAGAAGGTCCTTGATCGTAGAAGTCAAGGATGGTTTACTACACATTCCAATGGGCCGCCCTGTAACAGATGGTAATGCACATCATTATCAGCTGGCTCCATCTTATCCCTCGTGGAACCGCAAAACCAAGCACTGATCGACACCGCCTGCCTTATCGCCCTTGCATGACTCTGTTATGTGAGTTCAGCTGAACCAACAAGGGCTCTCGTTGGAGATCCTCTCTGTCTGTACCTGAAGGCTTGAAAGGGAGTGGAGGACCGGACAGAGATATCCGAAGCCTTAACCAGAAAACTTCCGCGCGCTTCCTCTTTTAAAGCATTCCAAGAGTACTACACCATCAGGCCGTCTGATGACTACAGAAATACATAATTGGCATCCTTGGAATGTATCTCGCTCTATTGACACGTACGGCCCCATGAATTATTAAGAGGCCGCCGCAACACGAGTGAGAATATCGAACAGAAAGGACGTAGTCCTTCCCTCGGAATCTCGCTATTGGCACGATTTTGACCTCGACTGTCATCAGGGCAGGACGGACGAGACTTCGAAAATGCCGTCTGTAAAGTCGATATCGACATGTTTTACGGTGGTCGGTAGATATCGAGGCGCAGCTCCGTAGACAACCCCGCGCGATCGACTTCCAAACATCACAAGAAGCCGACCAGGAAGGGTCAAGCTACGGATTGCCAACCAGCCATACATGCTTATGGACCATGGTTATCGATGAGTGGATTCCTGTTTCTGTTAGTGGCTCAGAAGTGGTTCAGCAACAATTTGAAATGCAGCAAGCTCCGGACGAGGAAAGCATTCGCTAGCCCATCAGTCTCCTTTGGAGCTGTTGAAGATGCATCATTGATCCCCAGATTAACATGATCTCCTTGCTCTACAAAGAGCAAGCAAAATGTAGACCATGGTGATGTATGCTCAAAAGCGAACCCAACCACCTCGTGGTTTCAAATCAAAGCACACAAAGTGCCTAATAAGAGGCGATGGCGGGATTAGAACGAGCCTAAATCACTCTGGGTCTCTTTCTGTAATTTGTAGACGGAATGAAGTAGCTTTGACGGAGCAAGGCCATCCATCGACAAGGGTATGGAGACCGGAAAATGTATGAAGTTTTATGTAGAGAAAAGGGAAGAGAAAGGGAGAAAGGAAAAAAAGGTGAAATTTTATTAATTAATTCGCTAGCCTGTGGAGCAGCTTGTGATTATGTCAGCGAAATCAGTGGGATCTGGTTTATAGGCGGTAAAATGTGGCAGAAACGAGCTTTATCTCTCGGCTTCCTCACTACTAGTTAAGTACCTAAGTAGCCATGTTCAGTCTCAACATGGACCATGGAATGGCCACACAGGAGGTTATTCCTTGTGCCGTGTTTACTTTTTTCCCGACGCCTTGGGGGTATACACTAACTTGACTGCGGAGATAACTTGTGGAGTACTCTGATCCTCGCATCTCTGTACAATCTTCCAGACTGATGGCTTAGAATCGAGACAGAACCTTCTCATGGGTATCTGCCAGCGGCCAGTCGTTGAAATTCTTCTTGCTTAGCACCGACTTGGCCTGCTCTAACGTGAAACCCTTGGCCTCGACAGCAGGGTTATATCCAAGACCGCTCACTTTAGCAACAACATCCGACGGCACCAGTGCGGCAGTCTTGCCGTCAGCACGCTTGTACACTGTCACTACCACTGCACCTCCCAGGCCAAGATTGTGTTGTAGTGCTGCGTCCGTGCCGTCGATGAGGCGGTTGTTCGCCCAGCCACGCAGGTGCCAAACAAGTTCGGCGCACTGTGCGATACCTGTGGCGCCGAGAGGGTGGCCCTTGGAGATGAGACCTCCCGACGGGTTGATGACCATCTTGCCGCGATAGGTGATGTCACCGCGGCGCACCATCTCGTGTGCCTTGCCAGGCTCGCACAGCTCGAGCGCATCAATAGTGATCATTTCGTTAGCTGAGAAGCAGTCATGCAACTCGCAGACCTTGATGTCCTTAACGTTAACGCCGGCCTCCGCGGTAGCAGTACGGCAGGCATAGCGCGTCATCTCAAAGCCCATCAAATCAATGGCGCTGCGGTCAAAGACAGATGGAGCGTCTGTCGCTATAGTCTGGCCGGCGATCAAAACGGCCTGTTCCTTCAGATGAGGTCTCGCATCGAGAAAAGCCTGGGAGACAATGACGGCGGCCGCGGCTCCGTCCGAGGTCGGGCAACACTGCAGCTTTGTAAGAGGCTCATGGATCTTGGGCGATTGCAAGATCTGCTCCAGGGTGTATTCGTCTTGGAATTGTGAGTACGGGTTGCGCTTGGAGTGTTCGTGATTGATGCGAGCAATTTCTGCGAAATCTTCCGGCTTCGCTCCATATCTTGAGATTGTTAGTCGACTTTTATAACAGTAGATCCGGATGCTCTTACTTTTCGATGTATTCTCGTCCCGCGTTGCCAAACATTTGGGCAGCGCCGGGGGCGTTCCCAAAGCCTCTCGTCTCCATCATCATCAGAACGAGCGGTCCAATCGGGTTCTCTCTGTCTTGGTAGGCAGACTGGAGACTGCCAGGATTCATCTTCTCAAAGCCAACCACGAGGACGCAGTCAGCGGCGCCGTGGCCGACCAAGGTCTTGGCCATAGCCAGACCCGTCGAGCCGGTCGAGCAGTTGTTGTTGACGTTGTAAATTGGGATCTTAGTCTGGCCGAACTGATAGAAGACACGCTGACCGCAAGTGCTGTCACCGTAGACATAGCAGGCCACACCCTGTTCGACATCATCGTAGTTGATGTGGGCGTCCAGCATCGCCTTCACACCGGCTTCAAACCCCATCTCATGATAGTCAACTTTGCCTCGAGGCTTGATGAACTTGGTCATTCCCACGCCGAGGACATAGGCGGGACCTGCTTGTTGTTTGCCCATGGTAGCGGTTCGAACTGGTCTAGGGTATCCGCGTCGAATAGGTAAAGATGGTGGGTAAAGAGCTGACTGCCAGAATCTCCACCCGTCAGGTAAATATATATACAACCGAAGCCGAGAGTATGCGGCAGGCTGATCTCCTTTGGAAGTTCAGAAACGACGGCCGCAAGTAGATAGCCGAGGCCTGGATCAGTCCTGAGTAAGATAGCTATTCTAGAGAAAAGAAGTAGCGAATGGCCTGCGTGGAGTACTAGTAGCTGGGTGCTCTTTGTCTGGGGATATGATGCGGTTTGGTTTGCGGGGACGACCGAGGTTCCGACGGCTGCTCGGCTGGTCCCCTGAGCATTTGAACGCTTATTCAGATTCGACAAGTAACTAACTAACTAGTTAACTTATCTAGTTGATAGCTAACGTTCTTCACACGGCATTGTCACAGAGGAGTATCTATTGAATTCAATGTCTATAGCACAGTTTAGCCATGTGTTATGATCAACCGCTGTTCGTCTAGATCTATTGAGTTGTGTCGTTGATGAAGATGTGCTGCCGAGCAGCTATGCATAACTAGTCTAGTCATTACGCGACGCTGCCAGAAATGTGCTGTGGTTGACACCTATTCAAAGGGTGAAATTGACATGAGTCCGACATGATATGACTGATAGCTTATTTCACACTCGTTTGCAAAAGTGTTGCAATTGTTTTTAACACTCTTGGATTCTCTCCGAACTGTAAGGGTTTATTCGGTCCCCGGGGGTGTGGGGTGTGATATAACTATATAAAATGTGCCAGCCCGTAATAGCCGGCAGGCTATAATTACGGTTAGAAATTAGCAGGAGCATCCTCTACTTGTTGCTATATACTACTAACTTAAGAGGCATTATCATTGTTAAAGCAACTGAATATCACCCCCTTAAGGCAATAAATGCGGCCGAGGAGCCTAATGGCACAATTACCTAGGTATCTGGTGTTGGCCTTCATACGGGAAAGTGTCTGATACTGAGAAGCTACGTAGAACGACTAACTATTTAACCTTCCTCGACAAAGTCTGCAGAGAGAAGAGTTCTAGATACATGCATTAACTTCCACGCCGCTATTGCTCTACTGCTTAGATGGTGTAGAAATGCGCTGATCAGCCAGGCCCGGTCCGTCTCAGGGATATAGCACACTGTTCTAGCCTCTAGGTAGCACGGTCGCCTTTTCGCTCCCGTTGGCCTATCGTTGCGCTGTTATTACAGAACCCAATATGAAAACCTGCATAGCGTTTCGGACCGGTTCATGGTACGATCCCGGATGCGTTCAACGGGCTCCGGTCCAGGCTTGTGCTGGATCTGCTCTTCGGCCTCTGTAACGTATCCGAGTCTATCAATGCCGTCGCCAGCCATGGTAGCAACTGCCAGCGATACGCTGTGCTGGTTCGCGCATCGTGGTTGGCATGGACGTAGCCTGGAAGCTCTCACCATTCTTCTTCTCTTTGACTCTCGACTGTCGCGTGTCCTGTGCTTCTCGGTCTCAGTAAGCATGACCAACGCCACGGGGGACCCCTGCCTTGCACCCCCTATGGTACAGTAGACAGGTGATAGTACTGTATCTCAAGCATTGGGACTGGGGACAGGACATCTCGATGTCGGCGGGGTCGCGAGAGCGCGGACAGGATCTACCACGCTGCCCTGTCAGGATGCAGATGATGCCCCTGCTGGGTCTGGCGCCATTGCGGGAATACCATCAGACCCTTGGTTTCCGCGGGGTAGCGTCCATCCAAGATATGCCGTATCGGTTGGCAAGAAGAAGATGAAGCTCGCTCTGGTTTGATTTATGCTTAACCGGGTCTGTTCATCAAGACGTCACTGGAGCGTTTAGCTAAGCCAGTCCAGTTCCGCCCGTCACGGCCCACTCTCGCCCAGCGTCGCCGACTCGCGGACCTCATCTTCGATCAGAAAACCCCCTCCGTTCGCGCTTCATGTCCATAGTGAGGGGGTTGATGAGATCCTGTTCGCGTGTTTCTGTCTGAGGTAAGTCCAAGGTCATACTCCAGCCTACTCTGCGCACTTCTGCTTGACCCAAGAGCAAGGAAAAAAGAGTGTACCAGAAGAGTATACAGGATGCTGATGTTGTTTCCGCCCCGCTAGTTCTGGACCTAGTTCGACTTGAAACCACAGGAGTGGACCGGAAAATATACTTGAATGATCGTACGAAGGTGCTGCAGGACATTGAAATACTGAACAACCTTTATTGGACTGTTCCTGGTCAGCAATTGAAGGTGGTGGCCGACTTTAGACGCGAGCTTCTACCGTTCTTCCAGAGAGCAACGGCTTTGTGTCAAGCAGTTCTCTGGGGGTATCCTATAGCCTCCTTTGTCCAGTACCTGTCTTGGGTGTTGGAGATAAGAGAATCAGCAAAGCTAGGAAGGGTCCAGCAGTCCAATTCATGGACAATTGTGGGACGTCAAACGGTCTGCTCGCACCCTGAGAGACCGCTTGCGTTCCATAGGGTTCCCCAGCCCATCACCAGAGGGACAACAATACATCGGCAACCGCTACAATTTCATTGTTAGAACCAGTGACCGGGAGTTCTTGACGACTAAGCGACAAACAATCGATAGAATCACACGGTTGCCCCAAATGAGGCACATCCAGGGATGACTCCAAACGAACACTCTGGACATGCAGCCTTTTCCTCTTTGTCCACAACCCCGTCAGCAGCCATAAACCCATCATCGTCCTCATCAATCATGGACGAACACACTCGCAACAAGCTGTTGAAGCGGTACAGGACCCAGATCGCCTCGGGCGTTTCGACCATCTGCGCGTCGCTTGCTGTGGTACGTGGATCCGATCAAGCTCGAGACCTGGGTGTAGAGCCCTAGAACGGCCGCAGAAATAAGCAATACTGACCGAGGCATCTTTTCCTCGCAGACTCCGTTGGAAAACATCAAGACTCGCATGCAAACGTAAGTTCAACACCAAAGGCAACAAGATGGACCTGGTATATCGCTAACAACTGCTAGCCACAATTTCCGTAACGTCGTCGAATGCGCCAAATATATATGGCGCACGGAAGGATTCCGCGGATACACTGCAGGTATGTATGCGCGTTCCAGTCTTTCTGGATAATCATTGACACGCTTCCGATTGCTAGGATTTCTGCCGCCGTTGCTCAGTATTACTGGCGTGCGCGTGCTGTCCTTCTCTACGTACCAAGTCGCGAAACATTCTATTTCTGATTGCTTCGAAGCGACCACGGGACAGTCGCCTTTACTCTACTACAACCACCCTGGAAGCACCCCAACTCTGACCACGGTCTTCACATTTACAGCTTCCGGCATGATAGCCGGCATTACCACATCTTTCCTGGCTTGTAAGTGCGCTATGCAGGTTCTCAATAATCACATTCACTTATCTGGTCACAGGTCCCTTCGAATTGACTAAGAATGTCGTCCAGACTTCTTTCCTGATGACCCATCGCTCCCAGGCATCACCGGATGCTGTCAGAGACCCTTCTCTCCGCAAGCAGCCTCGTCTAGGAACAGTCGAAGCGCTTAAGCAGATCATCCGTCGTCACGGAATCCGCGGGCTCTACACGGGTTTCCACCTTCATGCTATGAGAGACACGATTGGCACCGGCATCTACTTTGGTGTCTATGAAACAACCAAGCAGCTGGTCGCAAAATACATCGGAACGGAGCCATCGTCGCCCTTTGGTGCTCCCATGGTGGCTGGAGCGCTCAGTGGAACCATTCCGTGGATATGCGTAAGTGAATTCCATGTCTTCTCTTGAGAGTTGTGAATGCTGACGAGCTTCAGACGTATCCCCTCGACACACGCAAAACTCGGGCGCAAAGTATTCTCCTCGGTAAAACCAAGGAGATAGGCGAGGCGTCCGCAGCCACAGCCGGATCGAACATCTACAAGGGTTTATCCGTCAGCCTGATCAGAACCAGCGTTAACAACATGATCCTCTTGACCCTTTTCGAGTACATCAAGACCAAGATCAATGAGCTGGACGACTAAACGAAATCTTATAAATGGACGGCCATTTTGTTCTCACACATGAATCTCATGAGAGATTCAGACGGGTCATTTGATATTGCCCACTAAATATGGTGGGATCTAAGTTTTCATCATGTGCATGGTTTATTCTTTTTTCTAAATAGTCTTGTATTATGTACATACATCGAGGCTCGAGCCCAGCGCTCTTGAGCAGCCGATAGCAAATTCCACATAACGGTGGTCCATGAAGACGACCACAATGATTATCCAATAAATCGTTTTCTGATGTGAAACTTCCTTTTAACCTATTGAAGCACAAGCTGTCATCAAATTATAAACAGTCTAGTAGAGTAATATCTGATAAGCATGGATGATCGATCGATCTAGAAATCAAGGCACCCCGCGTTGCAGCCTCAGGCGATCACCCGACGTCATCCCGCCGAGTTTACCCCAAAGATCCGTTCGTTGTCCAAACAAGAGACGAATACTGCGGAATTTCGTTGCTGTCGCGTTGCCCTACTCGACCCGGTACCCAGGATGGCTTCGTGAGTGCTCCATCACCTGCTTAGCTCTAGATCGAATGGAATGAGATCTGGGAAAATGTCAAGACCCTCGCTGACCCATTCTTTACCCACAGGAATATTCTGCAACTGCCATTTCGGCGCACCCATACCATATCCCTCGCCGATGCCATCACACAATATATCTCTTCTAAATATGACCAGCGACCTGATATGTTCGCCGATGACCTGATGGTCCTGGATCGCTTGCGCACAGAGGCCGTCAATGTCCAGGAGCCCCATGTCAGCGGTATCAGTCGGCTGGTCACCTACGCCGCTCAGCTGAAATGGCTGGGTGGAAAATTTCCGATCGACGTAAGATAAACAAAGAAACGGTCCTTTTGGTTGTGGTATACAAGTGAATATATGTGCGACTGTGATGTTGACTTGGAATCTGCCGTATATAGGTTGGTGTGGACTTTTCGTGGTATCCGGCGTTTGGATTCAATACGTCTAGACCGGGTGAGTCCCGACCTGAGCGTTCTTCAAAGAAAGTGGATGGATTTTGGGACTAATCTGGGAGAATTGTAGTCTCACAGAATAATCTCCGTTTCGAGCTCGCGAACGTCTTGTTCAACCTTGCCGCGCTTTATTCACAGCTTGCTTATTCCTTGAATCGAACGACTTCCGACGGGCTGAAACAAGCATGCAACTACTTCTGCCAGGCGGCTGGTGTCCTGGCACATCTCCGTACCGACATAGTCCCCGATCTACGCTCTTCGCCGCCCGAAGATATGGACGAGATGACGCTGCAGAGTTTGGAATCCCTGATGCTCGCGCAGGCACAGGAATGTTTCTGGCAGAAGGCAGTCAAGGACGGGCTGAAAGATGCTTCCATTGCCCGCTTGGCTGCGAAGGTGTCCGATTTCTATGCCGAGGCTGGTGATTATGCGATCAAATCGAATGCGATCAGCACGGACTGGATCCACCATATGACGGCCAAGCATCATCACTTTGCAGCTGCAGCTCAGTATCGGCAATCACTCGACTGCTTGGATAAGCGGAAATATGGCGAGGAAGTCGCGCGGTTGCGAGATAGTTTGACATGTGTCAATGAGGCTCTTAAGGAGTCTCGCTGGATCAATCGAGTCGTCCTTGGCGACTTGAACGGGCTCAAGAGTCGTGTCGCGGAGGATCTGAAGCGAGCAGAGAAAGACAACGATGTCATTTATCTACAGCCTGTCCCACCGAAATCGGAACTCAAGTCGATTGATCGCGCATCCATGGTGGCTTCAAAGGCACCACCTCAGGTTACTGATGCTATATCCATGCTCGGAGAGAAGGGGCCATTGGGTCAGCCTCTGTTGGTCAAACTTGTTCCATATGCCGTTCACGTCGCTGCCAGCATATATTCGGATCGTCGTGACCGGTTGGTCAATGAAAAGATCGTTGGAGAGCTGGAGTCAATGACGGATAAGTTGCGAGAGTGAGTGCTTTGTCTCTCGTATTTTACATTCTGAAGGAGTGCTAACATCTTCTCTAGTCTCCTACAATCCTTGAACCTACCGGGTTCTCTTCAAGCACTGGAAAGGCCTCTGGGTCTGCCTCCCGCTCTAGTATCGCATGCCGAAGAACTACGGCAGCAGGATGGGCTGTACCGTCTGCGCCGGTCTCTGGAAGACGTAGAGAAAGTCAAAGCAAATGACCGCGCCGTCTATAATGAGGGCGTCGAGTTCTTATCTGCGGAAAAGGCCGAGGACGACGCCGCCCGTGCTAAATATGGCACGGATCGTTGGACCAGACCATCGTCAGAGGTTGCTGGCGAAAATCTCTACACAACAGCCAGCGAGATCGCTGGGTATTTCAAGTCGGCACAGAGTACTGACGATCTTGTTCAGGGCAAGCTGAGGGACTCAGAGGCGGTCTTGAGAGTGCTCACAGGAACTAATAGGGATTTGGAGGCATATGTTCCAAGCAGCCGCAGGGCGGATATCACGCCACAGGTAGAGCAGGAATCGAGCAGGCTGAGGAGCTGCTTGAACGAGGTTAGTCGTCTAGAGAATAGGAGGAAACGAAAGATCGAAGCCGTCAAGGATAAGGCTCGGACCGATGACATCAGTAGGGTCTCCCAAGTTGTTGCATGTGCGGTTCTCAGCTACTAACTAACATGTAATTTCAGATCAAGCATTACTCAAGGAAACAGCCCGCCTCGAGCGAGAGTTCCCCATGCAGCCCATCGAAGCCAGCCAATTCGAGAATTTGTTCGAAGAGAGGCTCCATCTCTACGACTCTGATCTCGAGATGCTGGAGCAGGAGCAGAACGAGCAAGATCAGATCGCCGCTCGAGTGCGTGAGGCGAATCGGGCCTTCACCAAGGCTCGCAAAGGTGACTCGTCAACCAAGGACAGAGAAAAGGCCCTCCAGGAACTGGAAAACGGCTACCTGAAGTACAAGGAGATTATATCCAACACCGAGGTTGGAAGGAAGTTCTACAACGACCTAGCCAAGATCGTAGGACGATTCAGAGAGGACACCAAAGCCTTCATCCACCAGCGGAGAATGGAAGCAAGCCAGTTAGAATCGTACGTCAACCCAACTCACAACCCTTACTTACTTCCCCCCTGGAGACAATTCCAATTACTAACAACAACATGCAGCGACATCACCAACGCAGCAGCAATGGCCTCTCTGAATATATCCCAACCCAGTTTCCGCCCTCAGCACCAACTCCCAACAAACCACCACCCATCACCTTACACCCAACCTCCTCCTGAACCTCAACTCCAACAAAAACCCACACCACAGCCCCAGCCACAACTACAACCCCTCCCCTCCCGACCCGTCATGACAGGAGAACCGCTAACGGCTCCCCAACCAACTCGCGCATCAGCCGTTCCTCCCCCCGTTGCAACATCGGGAATCTGGTCTCCCGAAATGGGAATCCGATTCGGCGGAGGACCGACCCCAGCATCAGCAGCTCCTTCGTCGACCCAGCCTCAAACACCGGGAAGTGCTCCGATGCAAGGGAAATGGGATCCAAGTCGTGGCGTGCGGTTTTCGTAAATTACTTCTTTTTTTTTGGATTCGTTTTCGTCAGGCTCACATAATAAAAGCGGAATGTTCTTTTCGTTTTCTTATTTTTTCAGTCTTGAATAAAAACTTTGCCAGCCAGGTGAGGTCCAGGTGATAAATCATCTAGAAGAAGAAGAAGAAGAAGAACCACAAGAGTATATAAAGATACGACTATAACATTTCTTGATACCAGAACTTTTTATCATTTCATAGCCTGATTTGCATTTAGATTCTTTTCTATTCTTTCTTTCTTCTCTATATATCTTCTCGTCGTTGTACATACAGATAAGTGAGGATTACCCGAAGAGTGTATACAATATTGGGAGTATTATATATACTATATGTCCTCTGTCATCTGATGTATGTATACGGTATATTGGGATTTATATTATGTATGTATACGGTAGTGCATGTAAAAGCGCATTCGTGGTCCCCTCCGCAGTTAGGACCTGAACGCTGCGGGTGGAGGGGTCCTAATATAGACTATGTTGCCGTTCCATCGCATCTCAGACGGCTTCAGTATCCTCCTCAGTATGCATTACGTTGTCATCAGATCGTCCAGAATCACCACCAGGGCTAGGAAGTATATCGTTACTTCCTTCAACGGCCCCAAGGAAGAAGTCAAGTTCACTCGGACCTCCCAGCGAGTTTTGTTCGTTCTCGGCCAATTGCTCCAGCAGGCGGAGGAAAGGGTCCTTTTCCGAAGAGCCATTCTCGCTGGCGGCGGTTGCATGAGAACCACTCGCCTGTGAGATCGCTCCGGGCGTAAGGGCCGTCATACTGGTAGAGACACCATCAGGACCATGAGCAAGTTCTCGGCGAACGGCGTCAAATGGGAACGTAGCGTATTGTGGATTCGACGGCGGCGTGGCCGCAATATGAAGTAGGGTATCAGACAACGACCCTGGGGGCGAAAGCCCGAATGCCGATGGTGTAAACAAGTTTTGGGTACTAGATAGTTCCTCGAGGACGGGGAAAGCGTTAGCGTCTGCTGTTGAGATTGACGCATGGGAGGTCTGCTGCGGATTTTGTAGGAACGATAATTGGGGATTTGTTGCGGAAGATGGAGTTGTAGGGATGAGATCCTTTGGTAGCTGCTGCATGTCGCGCTGACCCAAGGAAGATAATGTCGAAGACCGCATTGCAGGATTCTGCCCTTGCATCTGGTAAGGAGCTTGTGACAGACGAGAAGAGGTCATCCCTATTTGGCTGAGATACAGATTATGCACATCAAGGGAATGCAACGGCACACTAAAGCAAGTCAGTTTGTGAAAACCAAAAGGAAATGTAGGGCCAGGAAAGCATACCTCTCGCGAAACTCTGCCACCGAATCGGTTAACCTTATGTGAGAGCCTTCGACGGCAAGACCAGGGTAACGATCGAAGAAGTCTTCAAGATGGAAGACAGGCGAGAAGCGCATGGGGCTAGTAGCCAATGTCCGCACCAGTTCAGCGTGGCAGGTGTAAATATTCTGAAGCAATTCTCTTTGGTGTTGTACTCCAGCCCATATGTTTCTCAGCCACGATAGCTGTTGCATCTCTCTTGCAAGGAAGCCCGCGCTTGAAGAGAACACCTCACCCTCTTGTCCCTTGTAATGCACACCATGGACGTGTACTGTCGCAGCGGTACAGACGCAGTACCCCACGAAAGCCGGCCATTCGATAAGAGGTGACTTTCTGCCGAGGTCAACCAGCTCAGCGATAGCATTGGAGTGCGAAAAGCACAAATTTGTGGCCCCTATCTGCCAAGACTGATGTTGACCAGTACCGCGGAGCTCCAGCAGGTCTATGGGTAAGAAGGGTCTGTATATCAAGCAATGCACCAAGTGATAGATGAGCTTGCTCAGTAGCAGCGTCGTACTTTCCGGGTGGCCGAACAGAGCGTCCACTGACGAGAACACATCTTGCGTCCCTGCAGCCCAGATATCGAGCTCTTGACGGATCTTGGAAAGATTGGATAAAGAGTGCCAAGGGAAATGGGAATCTCCCTTTACTCCTCCAGCTACTAGGTACTGATGAGTTATACCTAGAATCCGCGTGATATCGATCAACGAAGTGGTAGCTCCCTGGGCTTTGCGGCGGGGATCAGAAAAATAATGGATATTCGGCCCGGTATTGAACATTTCTCCCTCGGCGTGTAACCCACCCTCGGAAGCTGTCCACAAAGGCAAGCGGAGGGCAATGGAGGCGTCAGAAATTAGACATGGTCGTTTCGAGCCACATGCGGCGAATTTATCGAGAACATAACAAGTCCAGAATAGTCGTCGACGCATTTCCCGTTCAGATGGAGACAAATTGACCTTCGATGGCGCCTCTCTATGCAAATCCAAAGCGATAGCGACGGTGATACAATTGGCTACGTTCATGATTAGCTGCCATGACTACCAAGTTGTGGAGGGAGGGAGCAATCGTACATAGAGTCATATATGCCTTCTTACCTAGCCCATGGGCAAAGAAAGAGAGAGAGAGCAATATTAACGTCTGAAGCGTCTCAACGGAAGGATCGTCAATGTCCACCGCTCGCTTTGACTGCACTGCGTACTCTAACCCTGAGCGCAGAGATGGTTCTCCATAGCTAAGCCATCAAAGTGAGCCAACATGTCTCTTTTTCTTTTAGCGGGACTATATCTGCGAACCTTATGGTTATAGCATGGATTGCCATTGACAAAGGAGGCGGCAGTTGCCCGAGTTTGTGCTTTTGCCGCGTGTCCGCTTCATCTAGGATATAGTACGGTTTGCCATGAATACGCGAGAAAAAGGTATCTAGCACCGTGTGTGGGAGTTGCTGGCTTTGGAAATGCGGAGGGCGTTCTTGCGTTGGTGCAAAAGACGCACCGTAGCCACCATCCATACTGGTACGGTGCGGAGACAGATTGGTCTCTATTCGAGATGTCGACAACGACTGTTGAACCTCTGTGAACGCAAACCCCGTCGCCCCAGGATTGACAGTGCTCTGGTTATCATGAGGACTGTGTTCATCTGCGGTTGCCTTAACCGGTGAAACTGGAGATGCTGGCGTTCTTTCCTCTTGGAGGCGCTTTTCCAGGCCATCCACTCGTTTCAAAAGAGCCTCTAGGACATCCGTCTTAGGGCCTCGCTTTTTAGGAGTTGCATCTTGCCATCAGTTAGTCACCTGTTGATCTATCGAAGTTGCAATTACGGTTTCTCGTGAAATGCTTGAGAACACGAGAAGGGAGAGCTACCGTATATACAAGGGCATTGAAACACCTTGCAGGCTTCGCAGCTTGGCCGCAACCGATTACATTTGATCTGTGGATGCGGTGGACCTGGTCAGAAACTGATGAAGGCATCCGGGACGGAGCATCGCAACCAAATGCACCCGACATGCAACAATCATGCGACAGACCTTTCTTTTCCGACAGGACTTGCAATTCATCGCCTCGCGCGGTTCGGACGTCACCCGTCGCGGAGCCAGACGGTCGATGCTGACCTGCGGACGCGACATACTACTTCACGCTCGAGGGTAGCAATCACATTGGCACTTATAAGGGTAGAAATGGCCCGGGGGCAAGCCAGAGAGGTAGCACGGTCGTCCTCGACGGCGAAGAAGTAGTGCATCTCACGAATACGGGCTCTGAGGAGGGCAATGGCTCGCATATATGTCGAGCAGAGACACAACGCATACGACCGGCCAAGAGGCGGAGATGGAGCACATGTTCGTGGCGTTGTGCGGCCTGGGCATCCTGTGCAGGACGCTTGATCCTTTTCTACTGCTCTGAGCAGACAATAGCTTGGAAGTCAGGGAAAACTTCGGCGCTCAGAAAGACCAACGGCGACAGGGATGGTCTTAAACTGACCAGTCCACGAGCGACACTGGAGAGACGGCGCCATCTCCCAGCCGGAGGACCTGCCGAGTCGGGGAGATCAGAATGCGGGGGAAATCGAGAATCGAGAATTAAACAACCTTAGCAGCTTCGGCGCTGATGGCTCCGATGGACTAAGGAGAATGAAGTGCGGAGAAAAGCATGGCTAGAGAACCTCATGGGGGAACGGATCATACCCGACATAACCGACTCATATCCCTCAGTTGATGAAACCGTGCCAACATGGGCCAGTTCGAATCAATAATATGAAGCGAGAGTGCTGTAGTGCAGTTAGCCATTTGCAGAATCCCACCGGTCCATCTCAAGGCTTGAGCGTAACTTTACGGTTAAATTAAAAGCATCTAGTTATCCGGTCGTAGGCTAAATCAGCCAACCGAAGCCATTCCCATCGCCATGACGATGCATGTCACGTAGTGAAAGCTTGTTCTTGCGATTAGATCTCACGAAGGAAATGGGCAAATGGGACCTTGACGCGGTCAGCGCTGTCGTTCAGCTTAACAATAATATAGTGGTCAGTACAACACTGTTCTCCGGGCCCCTACCCTAACGAAATCTTTCTGAAGCTGATTGGTATAGACACTAATTCTAGCAGATTGGAAATTGAATCTAATGCGGAGACGGACGTGTCGCAGAACTCTGAACTAGATAGAGCACCCCAATGCCAACAGTGGGATAATATCTCTAATAGATGGAAACGCTAGTATAACCCGCGGCCGGATGCCATTCGCACAAAGTCAAATGGCACATTTTGACCAACCAATAATCGCAATGTTTCCACCGTCGTCCAGGCATTGACATCGTCAATGCCGTATGCGGTCCAACCCGCGCTGGCAGCTACAGCTATCGGGTCCCCTTTTCGTGGGCCACTGGTGAGATCCAGATATACCTTACCCTTAGTGGAGAGTGGCGATGAGCGGCCATTGGAACTGTAATGCCGCAGCAACGGCTGCACGAGGAGCGACTTCTCCGGCGGCAGTGCAGAAACGATGACGAACGGTTGCCCTACAAGTTTGACTGACTGGATTGAGGTGAATGGCTCTGAGCCTTGAGCTAAGGGCCCAGTGGCTTTGAATCCAACAGTATACACTGTGCCGATGCCGAGGCTGCGTAGAGCAAAAATCGCAGCAGATGCGTCGGTCTGGGAAGAAGATATCACAATCGCAGCACGGCCCCGATAAGCGGATGGTACATAGTCTCGTGTCAGAGTCGCGCGTATGCCTTTCCATGCTGCATTCTCTCCGACGAACTTGTGCTGCCCGTCTACGTCGTTCACAGTAATCGTATCGATCAGACCGATCGCGTGTGCCGCATCACTCGTCGCAGGAATAAATGAAGCCGTACTCGGGAGTGGTGGGCTGACATATGCGCCGCCAAAATTCGGTTGCATGATTACCGCCTCAATCGACTCCTTAGGTCCTCGGTCGATCGACTTGAAGCTATGCGGGAGACTAAGTTCATTGAAGCACTTTTCCATGAACATGGTTTGAGGGGTTGCGCGAAACGAGCCTATGGCGTACATGTCACGCTTGGGCAACTGGCCCATGATGTGGAGGGCCTCATTGATCTCAGCAGCAGTGAGCTGGCCAGGAGCTGCTATCATGGGCAGTAGAGGATGCGTGATTGGAGAGAAAACGGTGTTGAGCGCACGAGAGAGTTGACCCATCTGTCCCATGTTAACAGCGGAAAGCAGTGGATATGAGCAACTGGCTTTGATCGTAGACCGGAAACATTCGAGCTCATAATTTTCCTCAATCGTGTTCACCATGGCAATCATCTTCACGATATCCGCATATTTGGCACCTTCCTTGAACAGCCGCTGCGCCTCCGCGGAGGTCCATTTCCAGGTACCGGAAAAGTCGTGGAAGGCAGACATGATGATGCTATTCCCTCTCTCTTCCGCTAGACGCCGTCTGATATCTTCAGGCAGCCACAACTCGACGTCGATATATTCGATGCCCCATTGGATAGCTCGGTTCAAGTATTTGTAGAACAGACCAGGATCATCCATGGGGAATTTACCATTTTCCTTGGTACATCTTGTCGTGAAAATGATTGGGAGTTCGGTTCGCTGGCGCAGCAGCATGACCTGCTCCCCGACATATTTCAGACTGGGAATCGGACGGTAAGAGCCATCCGGTAAAGGTTCCTGCAGCAAATCAACTCTTATCTCGACAGCATCTGATCCGACTGACAGGATGTCAAGGTTAGACAAAGCTGCGCGGACATCGGGAAAGGTTGTCGAAATGAAGTTTGTTCGTTTCTTCGTGGCCAAGTCTTCATGAGGCCTCGTTTGTCCTAATATTAGAGCAAGAAATCGGGCCAAATACCGCCGGAAGAATGCACTTCTCGAGTAAAGAAACTCATAATGACAGCACTCTGTGAGCTTCTCGTCCGGGAAGCCCCCATCATCCAGGCAGTGTGTGTTGATCAAGATCAAATTTGACTTCGGGCGTTCCCCCAGGCTGTTGGCGAGGTCAACGGATCGAATACCGACCACCACTGCATCGCTGGCTCCTGATAGATGTGACAATGAGGTTGTTGTTGTCCATGCCTTCCCCAGGACTTCTGATACAGCTCGAACTATGTCGTCATGTCCAGGCTCAAATACAATCACGACAGTTCCTGAGGTCTCAGGGGCAGGGGCAACTGCAGTATTCGAGGCATTGAATGAGATGCTCTTCGCCGGGGTTGCATTACCCTTTTGCACAGTTGTGGCCATTGGCCGATGGAAAACACTTTGCATCGTTGGAAGCCGTGGTTGTTAGTTTCCCATCACTGAGAAACACCACGGGTTGGATATGTTCAAGGTCTGTTTCCCGACACAGCACAAAAAGATAGGCAGTACTCAGCAAGAGCAACACCCATAGTCATCGAGAAACAAGAGATAAAGGGAGAACAACAGACACAGTTCCGCTGCTGCCTGCAACCAGCAGCAAAAACTCACACGGACTCTCGCTGGGTATGGGGTTTAGAATATCGATAAGATGATGCTAACAACAGGACAAGACGGGGATAGACAGGATAAATGGTTAATGATATGCACACAATGGGGTATAGATGAATGTGTGGGCTGGCCACGAATCAATTGGCCGCGTAGAGAGTGCCAGACTGATAAGGCAATGGATAACCAGGATCGTAATCAGTAATACTTGAGGTGTGAGCTTGCGGGTTTAGCCCAAAGATCGCCTCGACAGTGACCGGGGGGCCATTTAGGCGGCATCTGGAGACATTAGAACCATTGAGATGGACCCGACCGGAAGATCAGCTCCTTTCCTTCCGATGATCACTGGGATAGTACGACAGCAGCAGCATAGGAACCAACTCGATCCGACGGAGGACGACTGCAAACGCGGGGAATCGAAGGCTCCTGGGGTTGTCGATGCTCAAACTGGAGATGGCGAAAGGTGGGATTTGCCCGGGAAATTCCCCGCGTGGGCGTTGACTGGATCGCATTTCTCCGCCAATCGCAGCCTGATTTTGTATTCTTACATTATATGAGAATCCGAACCACGTCTGTAGAATAGATGGAAGTATTTGTTAGTTCTTAATTCCATGTTTAAGATTCTCTTCAACTGAGACCTTTCGTTGGAATCCATTGTCGCTGCGCTTCGCCCGTTACGCTTCTTTCACCAACTGGGAAGACTTTCCAGACACAGGTCGATAATAAGCACTGCCCAATAATTGGTAGAAGCAGTGTGTGGTCTGATAGAATAATATCGGTATGACCCTCCCCAATAATTCAAATACAAACACGTATATCGTGGATTACACACGCGGTCTACTTAAATATGAGTAAATATATTGATCAATCCTGTCAGACGCACCCCGGCACTTTTAGGAGATTTCGAAATTCAGTAGGTAGACTAGGATTGTGAATGATCCAGTCCAAGGATATACGGGCTATCGGGATTTCTCCACGCAGTGTCTGTTTCCTCCCCTGAACAGTCCTGGATATCCAATTCAATCTGACTATTTGGATTTTCCGTCCGTTGACAGCTAGAGACAGTGTACTAAGGTAGAGATTACTATTCCAGGTTTCTGCTTCTTCCAATTAGATCCATCGACTCATTTTACAGTTAGGATGAACACTGTGCATTTCATTCCCAGCTCTCTTTCAACGTAAAACCTGACGGCAGCCGTAATCCAATGAAACTGGCGTATGAACCCGACCACGATATCAGTCCATTCGATTCATGACCCATCTTACTCCTCCAAAGGCGGGGTATCAGCAAATACTTGATCCCCGAGGCTAAATTATTCCTGTTAGTAACTGAACTGCACAACTATGCATAACATGGGATTCGGAATCTTTTTCTTTCTTACCCAGGACCATATCTGTCGCCAACAACCTCTGCATTCTCAGCTGCAGCTCGGATCTCCGTACTCTCCTCCGGCGTCAGCTTGATACTGAGCGCCTTCACATTGATGTCAAGATTCTCGACACTCGTCGTGCCTGGAATGGGAATAATGTCATCTCCCTGAGCCATGAGCCACGCCAGCGTCAGAGAACTGACATGGACACCCTTCTTATCAGCGATCCCGTTGAGGATATCGAGAAGCTTAATATTCTTGTGGAAATTCTCCTTCGAGAAACGTGGCAGGGTCTTTCGGAAGTCATCCTCTGGGAAATCGTCGGGTGATCTGATTTTACCTCCGAGGAATCCACGGCAGAGAGGAGAGTATGCGACAATAGCAACGCCGAGCTCACGAGCGGTCTCAAGGAGCTTGGTACGTGGGCTTTCGATATCCAGACTGTAAGGGCTGTATTCGACCTGGACGGCCGAGATGTGGTGTACCTTGCATCTGCAAAACCAATTTTCCCATCAGCATATAACTATGATTTTCCAACTCCCGAACTGACTATTGTCAGTAGTAGGGAAAGAAGAAGAAAGAAAAAAAAGAGTCCACTCACGCTCGACGAAGCGTTTCAGCAGAACACTCCGATAGTCCCAGATACCGAATCTTCCCTTCCTTCTTCAGCTCCGCCATAGCCTGGACCGTCTTCTCGATGGGCGTAACGCCATCCATCCGATGACAATAATAGAGATCAATGGTCTTGATTCCCATCCGTTTCAGACTCGTCTCACACGCTTCCTTAACATACGGCGGATCGTTTCTCAGAATGAAGTTCCCGTCCTTATCCTTCGTGACGGCGAACTTGGTCGCAAGGAAGATCTCGTCCCGCTTGCCGGACTGAGCGAACCATTTTCCAAGCAGGTCCTCGCTGTCGCCGTACATGTCCGAGGTATCCCAGTTGGTCAGACCGGTCGAGTGTACATAATCCAGGAACTTGAGACGTTCCTCGTCGGGTTTGGCAGGGCCGTAGAACCTGGACAGGCCCATAGCTCCCCATCCCAGGGCAACGACCTGAGGTCCATCCTTGCCCAGTTGGCGAGTTGGTAGTTTCGGAACCATCGTGAGGAGTCAATCAGAGTTATAATGAAACGAACCACCGGTATAGTATCGTGCCGTATTTCACATTCTGGGCAGCTTCTGTCTATCCGGAGGGGTATATATATATATATGTATATATACTGCCTACTTTATCGGTGGGGCTCGAACAAGCCAGCCCCTCCAAGAGTTCGGGGATAAGTCGAGCCACCCCATTCTTGCGAAACGCGCATATCCACAGTGCTAACCGGACATTGTTAGTCCATCATCATCCACGGTCCATCAATGGATTCCTTCTCGCCTCGACGTTCTTTGGGCCCTCCGGCGTATCGCTATCTCCGCTCTCAAAGTCCGATTGTCCCAAGTGGTAGATTGCTCCAAATTAATGCTGACCAAGGCAGTTCTACCGAATAACTAATAATAATACGTCCTCTTACAACAGAAATAAAATATCAAGCAATCTAATCCAAGCTCAAGAAAATGCACCGTGGATTGGGGATATATGCCGCGCATCACAATCATACTCCTATCTAGAACTGATGGACGTGCCAAAACAAGGGGAACTGGGGTTATCGGGCGAGAAAGCGTGAAACAACTGGAAACAAGAAAATTCTCGACGGGCAGAGGCTCAATTTTGCAAGTATGCACAACAGTCGCAGAGATGACTCAAATGGACAGACAAGAAGCTCTCGGGTATTAAACATAAACAGGAGAATTTGACGCCAAGTATTTAGCGATCGGTAACAGATTTCCAAGAAATAGCAAGGACATGAGAGCCAAGCAAGTCCAGGTACGCAAGACGGGCAAGACAAGACCCAGGTTTCCCTATGGCCGATCTCGCGTCTCAAGTGCCAGCGTCGGCTCCCAGTCGGAGACGTATGTACTTTTTGCTCGCAGCACAACTGATTTCCACCCAGTCTCATCCTGTGCAACTGGGACGAAGGGTCCCATCTCGCATGGACCAGACCAATCAACATACAGACAAGAAGCTAGGCGACAATTGCAAGCGCGAATCCGTTATTTTCGTATGCAGTCCAACAAGCGTGCTTTTGGAAAGCGGAAAGCCGAGACTCATGGCAACAGACATGCGTAACAGCAAGTGGACGTAAGCCTCTTGCTGGAGAGATATGTCCGCCCAGCAGCGCCTCTACTAACATACTGTATCATTATTACCGCACCACTGTCGGAGATCGTGCGAGAAGTCAAGAGACCATTAAACTTCATCCGAAACACCGAGGACCATAACGCTCAAGGGCCCTGCCCTGTGAAGCAAGAATCCGGAAAAAAGAAACTCGATCCCCTCGTATTCTGGTTCGACGGAAGAAGTGTTCAAGACATTAAGAGGTATTTATGCGTAGAAAAAATGCGGCTCGAAACTATAGAGAGATCTCTATAGGCAGACACCGAGCCTCTTGTCCCAGTCATAACTCAGGAGCGCAATCCCGTGTCTAAGACGATTCAAGAAGGGGGTGATATCGACAAGCCGTTCATGAGTTTAGGCAGTGGTTTGCGACGTGCATTGTTCGTTGTCTTCGTCATACGGGGCTGTCCGTGCACCATTCGCGGTTCCTTCATCAAAGATATGTCGAGTTTCGCAGGTGCTGCCGATTTGAATGTTAGCGAGTTCTCTCTCTACAGTGGGCTCCGAAGTCTACAAAGGGTCGGTTTGTTCCTTACCTCTGGTCGTGAGACTGCCGTAATCACCCGAGAGATTTTGCTGGCTTCTACTGCTTGATGGGAAAGAAGTTGCAGCTGCCGATCGCCAGAGGTGGTTCGACGTGTCTGTGAGGAAATCGGTGACGGTACGGCCAGAGAAGATAGACGCCCGGCCACGATTACGCTTTGACAGGATAATTTCATCGAACAAGCTGATTCTCGGATCCTTTGACTTCGGTTTCGCTCTCTCACGCTCACTTATGAACTCGTTGAAACCTTCGATGTGTGTAAGAGACCGCCGCGCCAAGCGCAAAAGAAGTACAATAAGACCGGGTAACTTACCTTGTGTTTGCTGGAGTACGGCCATGTAGTCTGCATGCTCGTGCGGTAAGCTCTTGAGGAATGCTTCCATGTTGAAACTGTAAGTCAGGCCTGACTTCTTTTTATCGCCACTAGCAGGCACAAGATATTTCTTGTACGTGTAGAACAGACTGGCAAAGCATCGGACAAAGGCAGCCCGAACCTGCTCAGGATGGAAAGCTGCAGGACAGACAATACAAATCTGAGGCGCACACTGGCCATGTACTATGATCTTGCACGCAGTGCATCTGTACATTCCTTCTTCTGCCCTCTCATCACACAAGGAGCAAGTAGCCTTCTCGTCCCAGGGTTGCAGCTGCAAGCAATGCCCTTCAGCATAACAGGAACTCTCCGTGTTGTAGACAGCCTGCGCTGTCGCTTGAGGGACGATAGTCGAAGCAGCAATAGTGGACTGAGCGTACACTGATGGCGCATACGTCGATCCGCCATAATCTGTGCTCAGAGTCGTCACTGAGAGATTGGAGGCATGACCAAGGAACGGTGCACTGGGTCGCCTTGGAACTCCCGGGCGCCCAAAGGAGGAGCTCCTACGAGAGGACGTGTCGAAATGTCCCGATCGTTTCTCCCTCAAGGATGCTTGCAGAGCGTACCCGGAGTCGTTACGGGATGCGGGAGTAGAGGGCAGGGGAGGGAAGTGTCCTGAGGTTGGCGAACCAGTTCGCGGGGATGGCGGAGAGCCGGTCTTCGTCGTCGAACTTGTGCTTGGTCGGTCCGAGCCTGATTTATTAGAATAACGTCTGGCGAGCGCATACTGGTTCTGCGCATAGAGGAAAGTATTGAAAATCATAGGTTGGGGCGATCCCGAAGCGACGGGCTCTTGACCAAAAGCGTTTGAGTTCATACTGACATACTTCGCAAGATGTGTCGGTTGCGCTTTCGATACAAAAATCGCAGGGTTTTCTGCCATAAATGAATCGAAAGGAAATGTCTCAACTGCGTATGCTGGTGGACCGGTGCTGACTCCGTACCGGCTATGGTGGGGAGCAGCTAGTTGAAGAAGAGACAGCAATTTCCGGCGCTGGTGACGAGGTAACGGCGTTGGCTTGGCTGTACTCTCAATTTCATTCTCGTCCAGGTCGACTAGCACGAAATCATCCGATGGTAATTCGACTTTCTCATATCTTCGCTCGATTCCAACAATATAAGGGCAGGGTGCCTCGATTGCCTGTATCAGACGAGCAGGCAGTACGGGAATGAGGACCCCGGTCCACTGTAGTGGAAATAAGAGATCAATAAGAGCTCTAGTCGCCAGATAGAGCATCGACGTGTGAGACGACAGGAAAATAATCCTCGATTCAGTAAGAGCGTATTCAAAAAGGAGGATGATGTTGGATACTGAAAGCGCCTTGAATAACGCATACAAGTCCGTGTTGCGAGATCCCGGCAATTCGTTGATTGCCTCTCTCCGTGCAAAGAGGCGCAGCTCCCTGATTGCGATCTCGACCTGCGTCTTCGACGAAACTGGACTGAAGGCTTCTGTGCAGAGATTCATCACGTAGCGTTCGAGAGGCTGCCAGACTCCTGTCCGGGGCGAACTGGGAGGCACTCTTGCGACGCCCCCTTCGGTCATTGGCACAATCACCGCCTTCAACCATTCTTTCCAGAAACTTGTCATTGATGAATCTTTGCCCAGGATACCGTATGCACGAGGTATCCAGAATCCCGTATCCCCATCGGTGAGACCCTCAATCTTGGAGGCTGCTCCATGACGAACAGGCCGCAAGAGATCAGTCATCAGTCCGATCTTCTCTTCCACAGAGCTAATCTCGTCCTCCAAGGCCTCTCTGTCTGCTGAGCCAGACTGAACTGTTGGCAGTTGGGCAAGAAGGCGTGATAGCTTGGCTCTCTCTGCCGCGAGCCTCTCACCGAGACTGGCAGCCAATTCTCTCTCCTCCCCTGTCATGTTATCTCTCCGCCATTCCTCGCAGCGCTTTTCTAATTCTTCTGCAGCCCGTGGATTCAAAGGGATCCACACCGTCACGCATATCGCATGCAACTTAGAGCCGTCGCCACCGGTCATGATGAATCCATGCCAGGTGGACCGTGGCCGCTGATCTGAAGAGACGATACTAATGTCGTTTGGGAAGGCAAACATTGGCACGTAATCTGGAAACTTTCCTCTTTGGTTGTTCTCATCAGGCGCTCCCTTCTGAGGATATCTGTCGAGGAGGACAGGTTCGAATCTCCGTTTGAGCGGATGCATTGATGGTGAGGTGTCCAACGGTTGTGGAACTGGAATCACGGAATTGTAGTTGCTCATGCGTCTCGAGGTTCGAACGGATGCTGTCAGAGTAAAACGTATTGTAAGCAAACTGGCAACAGAGAAGGGCGGAAGGTGCATGGGGAGCTTACCTTGACGAGCAACGGAAGGTTGTCTCTTCATGCTGTTCATATCCCTGAAAGACATGTGCCTACGCACGCTTCCGATACCTGATTTCAGAGGGTTCGTCTGCGGCAACTGCTCATCTGAGATGATCCTCTGCGTTCTCGGCCTCGGCTTTGGCCGTGTGTTCGTGATGGCTCCAGCACTGAGGCTCAGATCGGACAGGAAGGTCTCTCTCTCTGATGCAAACTTCAGCAGCGCCTTATCGAAGTCAAAGTCACCGAGGAATGAGGTCCTGTTCGGGGATGCGGCTCCTCCAGCCCCTCTGATTGTCATGCTGCTTCGGTTGCTGTGGGATCCTTTTGGATCGGACCCTGATGACCGCATTGACATCGACGCTTCGTTTGATAGCCTCGACAGACGCTGAACCGAATTCCGTCTTCCATTTCTCGATTCTGGTCGAGAAGAGTCCTCCAGAGGGACAGAGCCACTTTCCTCTTCGGCGTCGGCATCCTCTTCGATCGTATCGGAGAGGGCGGGGCCAGGAGCACTGTTTCTATGCGAACGATTGTACTCCTCTCCCAATCTCAAGAAGGTATCCAGTATTTCGGAGCCATCGACACCGGCTATCCAAAAGAAATCTGCGAGGGGCGCGGTGGATGTCTCAGGAGTCGAGGTCGTTGGAGGCATGTCGACGAGATGGAAACGGCGGCTGTTGCTAGAAGCATGGACGAGGCGATAGTATCAAGGTCTCATATAGACCCGTCCTATAACACCAGGGGTTGTCTGTCACAATCACATCAATCACACCGCCAGCCACGAGAGACGCCGTCCACAGAAATTGATTCCAATCGAGTCCTCCAGGAGAGAAGGTGTCAAGCAAGGAGGGACGTGGTGTGGACGAGGCACTGCGGTGTGCGCGCACCGGTTTCTGGGGATTCTGCAGGGGCAGAGGAGAATTGCCGTGAAGAGGCCAGTTAGACTGACTGTCAGGCCCAAGTTAGACACGCGGAAAGACTGCGCACTCCACAAAATGGAAAATTGGAGAAACACAACGTGCCTGTACGCTGGAACAGACGCACACAACGGCAATGGCCCCAGGAACCACCGCCAAAGACAATCGCCCGCCACAAGGGAAGACCGCTAGCCGCAGGTGGGCAAGGGGGGCTTTGACAGGAAGAAGGATGATACGACCGAGGCCCCAAGAGATAGCGGCACACTAGAGGCAGCTATCAGCGCTCCGTCTGGCGGCCGTCTTTAGTCTCAAAGGGCAAAACAGTTGCTCGTTCCTGGTGCGGCCTGGAAGACGGGAGACTGCGAACTCTTGGTGGAGGGTCACGTAACTTAACCATGGATAACGGTTTGGGAGCACACTTCCGATCCTAATTCAGTGGAGCTGATGTCGTGTGTACCAGATGCGTTCTTTATACGGTACTGCTGTCAATTTGTCCGTAGCTGGAGATCCAGGCTAGTCCAGCGTTCGCGAGAACTCCCGGGGGGGCGGGGTGAAAAGGGCGCAAAAAAATCGAGTGGAATGGCTATTCTGCCCTCTCTTGAGGTCTCGACAACACTTTTTTTTTTCTCTCTCTCGTCTTCAAACGGTGACGAGGAGGGAAATAAGTAGCGGCCAAACTCAGTTTTCTGTTCGCTACGCAATGCTGTCCCCATCTTTCACCCGTTCTCTACCAGCGTAACTTACTCCATAGTCCATACTCTCCTACTCTAGGATTGAAAGGCTCTCCCGATCCAGCGAAGCGCTCTGCCGATGATTGTGGTGGCGGAGATACTTTGGTGGACAAGATGGGTCCATCATTGGATGGACATAGGACAAGTCTCGGTCATCGATTGTTCCCCAGCAGCCCAGCAGTTCAAACGATAAGCAGACTGGGTAAAGGATCTTCGGGTGATAGGATATACTCCATGCCTTGTGCGATGATCTGCATCGTTAGAACGATCAACGATCCATTGAGGACTCGTCCTTCTAGCCTTATTATTCCCTCGTCCTGACTCCTCCTCACCGTTTGCCCTCCCAGACAGGCAGCAAAGACTCAAGGAGTGTCTTGCGTCCCCATAGTTTCCCGCCAGGGCAACTAAGTAGCTGCTGTTTCGACGATTGTGGAGGACAAGCGTTAAGCAAAATTAGGCTCTGAGGGAGCCAGGCTCTTGTCTGGACCCCACAGGAACTATTTTCGAGTTGAGAACTCCTTAAGAGGCCGTGTCCTCTGTGTCACGACATCGGCGAGAAGCAATAATAATAGAATGCTGCAATCATTATCAATCATCATTATGCAAATGCAACGCGGCATGAGGCAGCCAGCGGTAGATAACTGCCATCCAACCGTATGGGCAGAGTCTTCGACAAGATGTATACTAGTGCCGGACGGACACCGATGTCTGCTTACCAACAACTCTACTGTGCAGAAGCCATTAACTATTGCTTGAATAAGCGAAGGTTCCCCGGTCTGCGGTTGGAGTCTTCTCCCTTCAAGTTCAAGGAGATCAGTCTTAGCCTGTTGTTTACATGTCTATTGGGAAAATACGTTAAGCGGCCCTGTACAACTCCATCTGTCAGGGACCAGGTATTATTATTAGCATCCGCGTCTTCCCAAGTTTACTTGCAAAGGTAAAGTATAACCGCAACGTTCCTCAGTGGCGTTGAACTAGCCAAGTTGGACCTCAACTAGGAACCCAGGAGCTCAGGCCTCTTTACGGCTGCACGGCGAAAACGCTTTGGTCTTGAATCGCTAGCGTTTCAACTGCCGTTCTCATGGGAGATCCTTTCCTTGGCCAAGCATTTTCAGACACGCCGTCGGCACAAGAAAGCGATAGATACAACACTGGCCGGCTCGATCCGCAGGAAATATCCTCCGCTAACCCCAACTATATGCTCTGGAGCCCGTCTCAAAACGATGATCGCCTGTCATGGACGGTGTCCTTTTCCTGGAGGCCATTGCGGGAGCCACACACACAAATCCATCTGTAGTCGAATATAAAATCGACTAGAGGTAACACCGAACTTCGAAGGGAGGCATAATAATATGATAATAATAACTGTGGATGGACCGCGCTATGCTAGTAATTCCCGTTTCATCTGGGGAGCCCCTGTTGACTCAGTGACGCGACTAGTTTCCGCCCCATATTCGGGTGTCATGATTAGTTACTTGATTGCTCTAGTTAGATTAAACGAAGGAGCAGCAGCTCGATTTCTATACCAACAGCGCTATCGAAGGAGACCGCATTGCTCTCGAGACCTGTCTCGGATATGTTTCCCTGGGGACGGGATTGTTCTCCCCTACACGTTACATAAATAGAAATTATGCCGCAAGTGCCAGAGGTTGGTTGACGGGCGGAGAATGGCCCCATGCAGGGACCAAGAGCCCATCGATGCAGAGCATAGACATCGAACATCCCAAGCTGGATCTTCCTGCGCCTGAAACAACCAGGGACTCGATAAACCGTCCCTAAAAGTCCACATCGGGCGGCAAGCTATCTGTTCACATCCGGGCCCATCGCTCGTAGAGCAGCCCATAGGCATAGAATGTCATGCGTTCTGCATATCTGGAGTTGGTCATGGTGAGAGAGGCCCCCATTGCGGTGAGAGCAGGAGCAGTAAGTTCCAGGAGTCACTCGTCAGTTCCTGCTGGGTTATTATTATCGCTTCCTAGTTAGCAGGTTACCGGTGGTCAGGAATCCCTTGTCACCCATGGCGCTTCGCCATTCGATAGACAGTTGCCCGAGCGTAGCGCGACCATCTCGTTTCAGGTCTTTCTGCAAAGCATCCAGACCGTCCTGCTCACCAGGCTCTTGTTCAACAAGAAAGGAAACCTGCAGGACATCACGTGGATTGAGCAATGGCGCTTGAACCTTCAGACCATCTGGTCTATCGAAGTCCCAGTTTAATGAACGAGATTTGAAAGGTGGCTTCGGGTTTAGCGTTGTTTGCTACATAACAGTAAGCGACAGGCTTCTCCGCAAGCAAGTAGGCGTCTCAGAGTAACCAACCTGGACGACAACAGAACCGTCTCCAACATTTTCCAGTTGTGCTTCGAGGGCAAATCGAAGCAGCCGCGACTTGCCGTATGGTCCTAGAGACTTATTGTCCACCTCTAGAGGCAACAGTTCAGTTGCCTTAGTCCTAACACTAAGACAAGGCTGGGCAATAAACTGGTAGAGCTTGCGGAAAGTCCTTGCACGTCCGCTTGCGGCTTGCGAGTTGTCTGCCATCAGAGTCTCCGTGTAACTAACGCTGACGGCCAGTATGTGGTTCCCCTCTTCCTTCAGATCGAACCGTACGATCTGTTGGAAAGATTCACCTTTCCCTAATCCCTCTGTCTGAAGCTCTCTGCTGGGTGGTGTAAGTTCTAAGGGGAATATCTGCGAAGGGGTCTGCATTTCCGCAAGGATGCGGACTGAGGTAATGACCCTTGAGGACTCCTCTTGCGGCAAGTCATTGTTTGCACACAAGGAACATGCGAACGTCTCTCCAACATAGGCAGATCCAAAGGTGGGAGGAAGAGTAAGCTTTCCGTAAATGTCAGCAACTGAAATATATGCGTGTGAGAGGCCACTCGCGTACATTTGGGCTAAGAATGAATTCATTGTCACCCTCATTTGATGGGTAACTCAGCGACGCCTTTGGCGATATCTTAGTATTTGCAGCAGGCAATGGACATTGATATGAGAAGGATGGTCGTGATAGTCTGAAAGAGTCAATTTCTTTCTTCGAACAAGAACCAGAACTGGGATATCCTCAGCGTACCGTAAAACTGAACTTCAATCAGCCACGCAACATTATTAGAACGTCCATTGATACATACCTTTAAGAGATACTGCATGAGGCTCCTTGGGGGCCTCAGCCCCTGAGTGAGCGCGTGCTCGTGCCATAATATGGATATGATTTTGTAGTTGATGTTAGATTCTGATATTCGTTGACAAGATGACTAGAGATATTGTGAACTCATTAGTTAAATACCGTTTATCGCAAGTTGCTTGACATCTAATCAATTCCCCGGTGGAACCGCGGCTAGACGCGCCGCTGGAAGATCAAACCTAACAAAATGTGCAAATCGAACAAACTCCGATAACAATGAAACTCGAACTCCTCAACAATAATCATGACAACAGAACTTAGTGACCGCTTAAGTTACCGCCAACGACGTAATAATCGCAGTTGGAGTTACACTAATAATACAGGCCTATCTGACATACTGGACCACTCGGTTTCAGGATTTTGTTGTGTCAATAGTAGTGGTCCTGCGACTGTTAACTATATCGTCTGCTGCAAATTACAGCACGTGTCGCGTTGAGCGGAAGCGCGTCCTATTGGATACCATCATCGGTTTTGGCACTGAATGGTCGTTCCATCTTATCGCCACTCCGCAACATATCACTATCAGCCAGCATCCTTCTGCACCGTCGCATATTATCCTGATACTTCTTTCGAGGACCCTCGTTTACTAGCGTCATGGGTTCTACCAGGACGACGTCGACCCCGACGAAACGGGGAGCTCCAAGTGCAAGCACGGGCGCGCAGACAGCGTCTGCCAAGAGGAAGAGAGCTACAGCTCAAGAGCTTAGTGCAGCTCCCATATCACCCCGATCGGTAAGAAGGAAGGGAAATGCTGCAATGGCAGCCTCAGGCAGAGTCGATCTCATCGATTTGACTGATGAATCGTCACCGGTATATACTTCGCCCCGAAAGAGGGCAACGACAGGCTCGTCCTACCTTGAGGAAGTGACAGAGCGCCGTGCTAGGAGATTCCGCAATCACCCTCCAAATAGCTTTATAGAAAAGCTGATGCGAGCTACTACTCAACGGTAAGAGTTACTAGACTGGTCCATACACATCGTCGTCTGCTAACCTCAGTAGGATGTATGTTGTCGGTCAGACCAGGACGGGTACTGATACCGTCCCCGAGGGGCAATTCGACATGGTTGGCACTACGGGCAATATATATCGAGTCAATATAGGGAAGGTGCCATCATGCTCTTGTCCGGATGCACTCAAACGTTCTGACTTGTGTAAACACATTATCTACGTACGTATGGATCTTTTGACCTTGTCTAATTATACTTAATCACCTACGTTATTCTTACATTCGATTGCTAATGGCCAACCAGGTTCTTGTGAATGTTCTGAAGGCCCCAGAGCATCTGCAATATCAACTAGCTTTCCTGTCCTCTGTAAGTCGTCCCATCACTATACCACTTCACGAGGATCATGGTCTGACCGTCTCAAGGAACTTCGCGAGATCTTCCAAGGAGCGCCCTCGAGTTCGCAAGAGAATGCCTCCGCAGAAGATACGTCGGGAAAGAGAAAACCGATCGAGGGTGATTGCCCGATCTGCTTCATGGAATTTGATCCAAAGACCGAAGAAATAGTCTGGTGCAAAGCGGCATGCGGCAACAACGTGCACAAGGTGTGCTTCCAGCGGTGGGCCATGACGCAGCGTGCAAACGGAGTCCGCTGTGTATACTGGTGAGCAGTAACATACAATCACACGTCAATGTAAGACTATACTGATGACCGTCTACAGCCGCTCCGACTGGCAAGCCGACGAAAAAGGACTTGAACTCTCGACTCTCCTACAACATGGCAGGATCAACAACGAAGGATACGTCAACGTCGCTGATCAACTTGGTATCTCTGGTGAACGTGGTATGCGACCGTCTCTGTATTTCGCCCGTTTTCAGTCCCCTTGTCGGATCAAAAGCTAACTGATGATCTTTCTTTTCTTCTTTCTCTGCAGATTATTCAACCTACTATCAGCCTTGGGCACGCCGGCGATACTACTCTTATGGCTGAGCTAGAGGTTAGTGTCTGATAGTTGACGTTTCCGTTTTTGTGTGCTCGATTTCGTCACGGGGCGTTTAAATGGACAAGTGGAATGGCGGTTTAGCAAGGCGTTTTGGAGACGAGTTCGATTAGGAATTTGCTTGTCAAGAGGTGCTATAGTTAATTGCCTGGGCTTTGAATACGAACATTGATATGCAACTAGGTTTGAAATCTTGAAAAAGGCTGTCCCCAATATAAAGTCTCTTGGACAGCCCCATCATATCCTTTTCCCTCGTCCTTGCTATTTAAGTTACTCCGCAAAACGCCGGGTATCCTCCCCGACACCACACATAAGCTTCCTGTTGTCTGTATACAAGCAATCCGACAATCCAAAAGGGAAAAGCGAGACCCACAGCAAGAAGACAATCTAAAGAAAAAAAGGAAAATGACAATGAAATCGATCTGAAATAGAATTACATTTCATCGTTCATTATTGGGAACAATTCTCCTCCCTCCTTTCACAGCAGCAACGCTTACTGCCTCTTCGCCAGTCATCCACGACGGCATGCGCTCCGGATCTGCGACGCCTAGCTCCGCGAGACGACGCAGGCCGGAGACGACATCTGAGCCGTGAAATGTAAGTGTCATTGTTGGTGCGTCAGTGCTGTCAACGACATCATCATCGAGGACTTCGTCCTCTGCAACGGGAGGATCCAAGAGGCGGATATCGAGCCTGTCGAGCGCGGCTGCTGAGGCGGGCGTTCCGGCCGTACCGAAACGGGAGTAAACTGCTAGTTTGCGTCGCTTTGATCCTTCGGGGTCTTGTTCTGAGTCCGACTGTCGAAGATTCGATCGCTTCGTTTGTGTTTGTGTTTGTGTCTGTTGGTCTTTAGCATCCGTAGATGGCGGTTTTTGGACTTCCTCGTCTTGTTTCTCTGAAGATCCTTCACTCTGATATTCCTCTGGGGCAACGGTATTCGAGGCTCGTGGATCAAGAGGACTTCCTTCCAATACCGCGTCGGCGAATATACTGAAAGCGCCATTTGCGCTATTCGTCCTTCCGGGTCCGCGCAGCGCCAGGAGCGCATGGAGACTCTTCGCTGTAAGCGATGTCGGTTCCAACGTGTATCGCTCATGAGGACGGGATAGGGCCTTGGGGATAGCTTCTCGTAAAATATGCTGTAGAGTCCGGGTATCAGTTGCAAGGGGATGAGTAGCCGCAGGGGCGGTTTTTGTCCCCGGCGGGGCCGCGATGGAGGTATATAGAAACGGAGAACTATCCGGAAACGCAACATATACCACTCTTGAAGCATCCGTGAATATCTCCGGTGGTTGTCGAGGATATTGATATGGGGAATCGGTAATGAATATGCGGAGAAAAGTCAATGGTAAGGACTTTGAGCGCGAGATATGATAATGCGCTTTCACCAGGGACGATATCTCGCGTTGGAGATTCTGCAGAAATGTCGACGGATGGAACCGCGGGATGCAAGCTGTTATATCTGATGCGGAATCAACACCGCTGTCTGGACTACTGCTCTTGCTTCCTCGGATAGGAGCCAATTTCAACGCCGTCCACCGGTGACTACCAGCGGGGTGGTCCTCGACGTAGCGCAGATCCGCCATCGCCAGCTGTCGAAGTGTGATTCCATGCCGCCAGTCTCCCTCTAGTATCCGATCGATAACCTCGCGCTTTCCGCCCCTCCTGCTCTGCAATTCGCGATACACCTCACGCACATCCTCTACCGTCACCGCGGCGGGGTAGGGGTTGATTTCCTCATCGTCTCCGCGCTCCGTCTGATCTCGTTCGAGGAATGGTGGGAAGGACTGCACGTTTTTCTCATCCAGCCATTCGAACGTGAGGTCCAGAAGGGACTGTCGAGAAATCTTTCCGAGGGTTTTAACCAGCGATGGGGTCGTGGAGGGGATTCGGAGGCTGTTCGGTAGACTGGCGGTTGTGGGCGCGCGGACGGTCTTGAGACGCGCCATTTCACCGTATGGCAGCAGAAACTCGGGTTGGCGATTTTTTACATAACAACTTTCTTCATGGTAGCCTTACATTCCGAAAACAATGTTTTGGGCAGTAACCATAGGGAATTGAATGAGCGCGCCGTATGTATGTATGTATGTATGTCGAACTATCTATCCGACGCGAAACCGTCGAGCAAACACGAAATACAGTACTTACAGATAAGTAAGGTCACGTGCTGATAAGACGATTCCCATACATTTAGGCAGCATACAAGTCAATAGTTACAGTGAAGTCAATTCTTGGACGTTCCAGGTCTTCTTTTACCTTTCTTCCACTTATCAAATGCTGACCGCTGAAAAATGTTGAAAAGAGATACGGAGCAATAGTCGTGTATTTTGCTAACCCGAGCAAGAAAGATACAACGGGAAGGGCCTTTTGGGCAGATTATCTGCTCAGCGAATCTTCAAATCCTTCTTGACATGGGCATGTCTTCATTTGAAGACCTGGCGAAAGAACCTTATAGTTATCTAGACGATATATCTATGCATCCATTAACTATGCATAATATCAGTGAACCGCAGATATGGAGAAGTCGGAAATATTTCGCTGTATACTTCTAAAAGCCACCGGTACGAACTAAATAATAAGAAGGAATAACGATTAGTAAGAGCTGCAGAAAAACCCCAGTCAGTACGAACAGGTCGGTGGAACGGAATGATGCGCTGGTTTATCCCAGACTGGACGCCATACATGCATCTGAGAATCACCATAACAGGAAATGGTCTTTTGACGAGCACAAAAGCTGAAAATCTTAGCAGACCCCGCACTGGTTGAGGATAGTTATTAACTAAGCAGCACGGATGACCAAGCACGACATCGTCCATGGACGTCGAAGCGGGCTCTTGGAGGAGGTTTGGGGCGACCGGGGTATTGTCTTGATAAAAAGTTTATGCGAGATACGACTTGACCAGACGAATAAAAGAAGAGAACCGTGGGGTTTCACCGCAGTAATCAGTGGTAGTACTGCCAAGTGTATCATTCCGAGATATTAATATTATTATTTCTGAGATATTGTGCAACATAGCACGCGGAAATTGCGCGAACGGCGCTAGGATCAAACATGGCGTTTTGTATCTCCTAGGTCGCACGCGAGGCAGCTAAAGCACGGGCAGAATTCATAATATGATTGTCTAAGTGCTTCTTCTTGGCGTCTAATTCTCGAGGTGTTGATTCTTGGGGTGTCTATGTTGGCTTTGTTCTTTGTCCCGTAGGGGAATCGAGCTCGACATGAATCTGACGGGGTAACCCCTCATCCGGGGGGGCATTATAGGCGCCGCTTTAAGGACTATTGGTAATCACAGTTGTTCAAAAGGAGAGCTGATCACCTGGAACTTCCTGAGAAGCCAAGAGAAGATAAGAAGTAACTATACCGTGCAGGTAGCAGTGTCATTGTTCAAGTATTCAAGAATGGCCAGCCACACTGGACGGACGAAAGGACGAATATAGCAGCATACTGTAGAGTAGAGAAGTAATTAAGTAATGATACTGAATAATAGGATAACTAGGAGGTGCTCTTACCTGTATAGACTAATTGCCTACCTATTATTTACTGTACAGTATGAGATGAGACTACTACTATGATATACTACTCCTACTCTTCTTCTTCCCGCACGGACAACGCCGGGTGAATTGGCCCGGTCGTCGGAGGCCGAGCATCGGCTGAGAACGGCAGTGATCGTGAGTCGATGTCATTGTGTGGCAAGCAGTGTCATTAATTAATTAATCAATCAATCAATTTAATCTATCAAGAATAACTAACTGGAATCGAATATCTCAAACTTGGAAGTCTTGAAGAAAGGCAAGTTAACTAACAATTGATTAATATTAATAATTACCAGACACTCACACAGGCCACAGCGCGATCCCGGTGATTCCTGGACTCCCTTCTCCGTACTGTTAACTAGTCCGTTCGCCTCCGCCCGCGGAAAAAGCCCCCCCACCGCACTGGCTCCCGCAAAAGGCTCCTCTGCCGCGTCCAGCATCCGATTTTCTCTCTTCATCCCACCATTCCCCCTCCGCGTCTCTCTGTTCTTCTCTTCTGCTATACCGACGCCTTCGCGATTCTGTCGAATGCCATCCTGGACGACAGAACAAAACGCATCTGAACCGCTGTCGCCAACGCCGTGAGACCGCACCGTCTGTCAGCCGCGGGGCATTATCCGAGTGTTCGCCGGTGCGCAGTCAGCAATCGTCGACCAACGTCTCACATCTCCACCTGGAGTGTCAAATCGATCAGATACGAATTTCCGACGAGGATACTTTGAACCTAAGGAACAGGCCGCGACGGGTGGTCAATTCAGCAAGATGTCCGGATACAATGGGCGGCGAGCGCCCAACCTCTCGCAGTTCCTCGAGGATCTCAATACGATTCCGTCGCCGTTTGAACAAGCGGTCCAGCAGCAACAGCAACAGCAGGAATCGTTCAATCTCGATGAAGAGCTGGCGATGTTCACGAATGCCGAATTCCTCGACTTCGACAACCTGGACATGAACATACCCTTGTACGACCCCGAGGACAGTCAGAACCATGGAGACAAGGCTGGTGTCGGTAAGGAGCAAGACGTGAAATACATGGACCTGTTGAATGGTGAGTAGCTAAAAGCCGGAGCTCTCTTATCGTTCTACTATCGGTGGTTCTTGATTCGAGAAAGGCCTGTCCTGCAGTCCCCATGTCCCTGCATACTTCACATGTTCTCCCCAAAGGAGCAGGGGGGCTGCCTCACTTTAATTACCTGCTTTCTGTGCTGTTTTTTTTTTTTTTCTTATTCTATGATTTCTCTCAACTTGGTTCCATGGATGCGTTGCCATGTGTCACACTGTTCCACTGAGCCTCGTGTGGTTCGGTTCAATGCCCACCTCGTGCATTTCCAGCACTCTTTTTTCTGCCATTCCAAGCACACAATTTTCACCAACCCTCCGTGCGTTCTCCGCATGGCTTGTCGACGGCATGGCACTATCCAGTTCGTTCTCGTTAGATCGGCATTTTCCACACGTCATGATTGGCACGGTCACACGTGCCCGGCGTACTATATCACGCCATTTCACGTGACATCCTATACCCCCAACTGCGCAGCCCAAGTGTTGTCCGCGAGCCCTGCTTCCATGGTCTTCGTGGTCGTGGGCTGCGTCCAAGGGTCTCTATCCCTTTGGATCCTCGAGTGCCCTTAGTCTGGCGTGGTGCCTTTCTTTCTTCGTTGCGAACGGGCTCTTACTGCGCTCCTGCTGCTATCAGATCATGCCTGAACCTGATTGATCTAACTGTGTTCATGTAGCAGACTTCAACCTTCCGGATTTCACTCAGACCGACTTCAACGCTTCCGACTCGCAAATGATGCACATGCAGGCTCCTCCTTTCCCTGCTCTTCCCTCTCACAACAAGCCCGCGGCGAACATCACATCGCCTACGGACCATGCGACGCCAATCTCCGCTCCAACCCCACAGCCGCAAACTGCAGTTTCCACTCCTGCCCCATCTCGAACTGCCGGCACAAAGCGCAAGCAATCCACTCAGCATGACGGCCCTCGGAGCCTAGAGGAGGCCTCGCGCGCGGCTGCTGAGGAGGACAAGCGTCGTCGTAACACCGCGGCCAGCGCTCGATTCCGCATCAAGAAGAAGCAACGTGAGCAGGCCCTGGAGCGCACGGTCAAGGAAGCCACCGAGAAGAATCTAGCCCTGGAAGCCCGAGTCCAGGAACTAGAGCGGGAGAACAAGTGGCTCAAGGATCTCATCACGGAAAAGAACGGCGGTACTGCTGCTGAAGCGGAAGAGCATGGCTCCGAGCTGGCACTGATGTTCAAGAAGTTCCTGGCCAGCCAGAAATCCGGCAGTGAGAAGGTTAGCACTGTGAAGCCCGTCAATGATGTGAGCGCCAGTGCTTAATATGCTCCATTTTTTTTTCTCGGTGCTTGCTACATTCCTCTACACCCTTGCTTTCTCTGCGTGTGCATATTAGCTATATTTTCCATCGTCAGTGAACGGCATTCGATGCTGTCGGGCGGTCTGCTGTGGGTTCATACAGAGTTGGGTGGTATATATTCTGGTTGGTATTTGTGATTTAAAAAACACTCGGGCGCATGATTGGCACGGCCCGGATCGGTCTCCTCGACGGCCACGGCCCCAATCAGGTTGGCGCGTAGGCGTTTTATGTGTGGCTGGCAGCTGTATTGAGAGATATGCAGAGCCAATGAATGATGAAATGGAGGTGATGATGTCCGTTCTTCCTAGGGTTCTTTCCCTCCCTAGACGTCCCTGAAACCATGAGGACGAGTTTTCTCTTTTGCTGTTCTCTTACTCTCAGATCAATAAATCAATTAATCAAAAAAGACGAACGCATGGCTCTTAAATCCGATCCAGTGCAATTTTTCCACTTCAATTCTTCACTGATATCTTCCAATTCGTAGAAATAGTAAGTAAGCATGTCATTCCCAAGAGCGGGAACTATACCTAACTACTCTAGGTACTCAGCTGTCCATTGCAAATCAGCATAGCTAACTACCTAATCTAGATAACCATCCCATGTTTTCTTTCATTATCAATATCAATATCAATATCAGTTATGAAAATGAAACGGAAACGGAAACTACAGAACTATTAGTTAGGTAATTATCTACTAGGTAGTTAACTAAGTAAGTACCAAGATTTCCCTGTCGTCTGATATATTAGGAAGGAAGAAAAGATGGACTGAACTATAAAAGATAAGATGACGTTCAATTTCCTTCATTCGTCGATAAGAAAAAAAAGAATACATTATCTTATCAATGGGGGGGTATGGTAGTAGGTAACTACGTAGGTATACTAAGTCCATTGAACCGTTGACAGTATGAATCAATCAATCAATCAATCTCTACTGCGCTTGCAAATAGGGTAACTGAGGGTGATAAGCCCGGTAGTCGAAGAAGAAGGAAAAGAAGAAAAGGACAAAGAAGCAGGAACCCAGAACGCCCCCGTGTCGATAGGTCAGTGTCAGTTTCCCAAGCGATAGAGGTATAAAGTGAAGCAAATAAGCAGTAGGAACAAAGTAAAAAAAAAGTAAACCCATAAAAACAAAGAGACCCCATTTCCCAATCCCGTCGCTGTTCCAAACCCTTGTTCATCCGTCGTAGAGAAAAAAAATCAAATGAAAGAAACTGGCGCCTTGCCCGTACTCGAAGAAGTAGACTTTATCAGATATCGTGGAATGTCGTGTCGATCCCTAGTTGACTTCTCCAGCTTTGGTATCGGTCTCCTTATGGACTGCTTCTTCCTTCGTAGTCTCGGGAGATAGGTTCATCTGAGTTTGAGTTTCTGTGCTCTCCTCATCGTCTTTGCTCCCTTCCGTCTCCTCGTCTTCAGAAGCTACGCCCGTAACTTCAGCCCATCCAGAGCTTCGTCTGCTGATGCGACCTGTAGCACCAGAAGAGATCACTGCAGGGCTCGCTAGAGGGCTGCCAACTCCTCCCGCCAGGCTTCCGGTTGCGCTGTCGTGGCGGACGTGGGATTGGATGCCACTCCTAATACTGCCCGTATCTCCCGTTCCTGAGCTCTGCTTGTTTGCATAATAGCTGCTTCTGTCGCCAGCACTAGTGCCAAGGGCCATAGTACCGGTTGCAGAGTATATGCTGGCACGTTCAGTGCCCGCGAGACCGCCAATGCTAGGACGAGGAACAACGCCAGAGGCATTGAAGACGGATGCATTCGTGTTGTCTACAACGCTCCCGCTCAGGACACTCAGCGGTAGACTCTCACGACTGCCGCCAAAGACCGAGGAAGGAGCCAAAGCACGCACCGAGGCGTTCGTATCAAGCGAGTTCCGACGACGACGCTTCGATGAGGACGCAAGCGTTAGGATCGAGGCATTATCGGTCAGCATATTGTTCGCAGTCGCTGTGCTGTATGTGTAGGGCGCCAAATGAGGTGGCACCGCACTTGCAGGCGACGGCGGGAACTGGTGAGTGAACTGGACGCCCAGCGGTTGACTGGCAGAGCTCTGCGTCGAGCTCACATGTGGCAGTCCACCCCCATGAGCCCCGTTCTGAACACCATAAAGGTGCGCTGAAGGTGCAGTCGACTGAACGGTCGTCAGAGTTGTGGTCAAAGACCGTACTGAGTGCGCTGGCGAGGAGAACGTGCTCCCCTCGCCACCTCCCGCGGAACTGATCCCGCCGCCTACTGTCGTTGCCAATGTACCTGCTTTGGAGTATCCTGCATCTGATATTGTAGTTTCAGCGGTCGTAGAGAGTGTGGGGGCAGTCGACTTTGCACTCGTCGCAGGAACTGGGCCATCGTAGTTCGATTCCGTGAAGGAGGGCTGGCTTTGCGAACGTGACGCGCGAGTGCCACAGTCAGTGGATTCCGCCCAAGATATCCGATCGTTTCTGCTGTTCGTATTGATCGTTCCTGAGAGAGGATATGGATTGTTCTTGCACTTCTTGCTCTTCGAACCTGTCGTTGAACCGCCGCGTTTACTTGACGTGCCCGCATGGTTTGAGACGGATGAGTTCTTGAGATTGGCAAGACGCTTCATCCAGCTCGAGAAAGGCCGACGGAGTCCATGGCGGTCTTCCATGGCCGTCAGTTCGGGATCCCTTGAATGATATCTTGCAATTATGGAAGTAGCGTACCGTGTGCTCTGGCCGGACCCTCGGTCGTGGCCATTCGTCTCTTCGCAAGAAAGTTGACGGTCTGTAGAGCGCTGAACAGACCGGAGAATTGTGTAATGGGTTGTAGAGAGTCTTTCCAAAAATAGCTCAGCACTTGCAGGAAAGGAGGAACGTCGAAACGAGCAGCGTTCGAGACCCGCGGTTCGTATTCACCCGCGGAGTTGAGGCGGCGCTTAAGGTGGGCTGAGGAGAGAGGAGATCAACGTAGGGAGGTATATGTACGCGGGAACGGGCTTCTGGAAACTCCAGTTGGATTACGGAGACAGAATAGAAGTCCCAGATTGTGATGCATAAAAGCACTATAAAGGTATCTGAGGTGCAAATGAGATCCTATTCTCACAAGGCTGATGGCGGAGTCATCGCTGAGCTGTCGACTTGCCTCCTGGCAGACTCCGGATGCTCCCATGCTGACTAACATCGGCATTCCAACGCCCGGTAATCTATCCATCCTCTATACTGATCATCCATGCAGAAGCAAGATATTCAATTAAGACATGCCTTTTACAGTAGCTTTGCGAATTGCCTGTTTTTGCACTGAAGTGAATATATATGAATGAACAACTACTAGTAAGTGCTTCTCTTGATGGTATGATCAGTCTTCGTCGTTCCGTGTACTGTATCCGGCATCCTTCCTTGCAACCCCCTTTTCCTTTCGGTCGTTCCAACAAGCAGATAACTGTACATGAAATATCACGGTATCATTTGCACAGAGTTATCTATCATTTTGCTCTCCTGTAATCAATTGACCGCTTTTGGTATATTGCATATAATAGCTGTAACTATGGCTCCTTTCACTGATACGCAAAGCTATATCCTCGCATTCCCTTTCACTGAGCATTGAAGCATGATTATGAATAATGCGAACTGGATTCCCCGCCAAAAAGAGAGAAGGCAAATTCACATTTACCCTTCCCCCTCTTTCTCTATCCTATCGTGGTATAAAATGTCGCATCTACCGTTCCTGATCCCAATCTCCAACGCTCTCCATCCATCAGAACTTATTCTCTGTCTTTATATAGCAGAGAGCGAAATTAATAACGTATCTCTTTCATATTCTTCTCCTTGGTATAATAGCTTGGGCTATCCTCTCTTGCCCTCTTTCAGTATATATACAACGTGCTCTGCCGTTGATGGAATATATTATATAGTGACCAATGGTATACCAGATCATGTATTTGCAGTCACTCCATACTGCCTTTCCATAGCTTATAGCTCCTACCCCTCCTGAGGAGGAGGACATCATCATTCTATTGACTACCTTCAGGGATATATTGTTCCCGCAAAATGCGTTCTATTGTGAACGCAACTCCTATATAAACTTGATTTGTTCCTTTTACATGAACTCCGCAAATTTGGCCCTGCAGGTCCCTCTACAGGAATGTCCATCTGTTTGATATACCAACTTCAGATCATTATATCGAACAAGCGAAGCTCTCGCCCCGTGTTGCATTGAAATTGATATTCTCAGAAACCCAGGAAGCGTTTGCCATATCTCTCCCGGACGTTGAGAGGATTTTCAGCTTGAAAAAGAATGGATGCTACTATCAGATCTGGAATTTACCTGAAGAGGAGCTCATACCAGTTCCTGAAGCTCTCCACAACAGACTGGCAGAGATATCGTCCGCACTTGGCCAGGACCCCAACAATGAAGCGAGCTAGGAAGTTGGACGTGTACGACGACTCAAACGGCGTCGATTAATGAAAGTATATAACAACCGCCAGCCAAGAGCTGTGAGAGTTGTTAAAAGAAAGAAGGGTGGCCAAGAAGGGTTGCTCTACCTAGTCCTCTCTTTTACTTCCTTCAAGCACATTCTTCCAAATGAATACGGCATGGGATTATATGCCACCCAGTTCCGGGAGAACCAAGAGCTATCCATCCTCTATAACAGCATGGTAGTGGGACCTGTTCATCGCGAATCGTGACAACCCAAACACTATATGGCCTAGCGGAATGTCCAAGGATGTCGCCATAACAATTGGTCGAGACGATGCCCTTGCTGAGGAAGAGTGGAACTCTATAACAGCATGACGCTATCATCTACAGAACGGAAGTACCACACATAAAAGATAAGCTACTTGCTATTGTGCGGTTCAGTGGCAAGTACGCCTATATGCTTCAGAACCCTGAGAAACCGGCCATTTGGCACATAGATCATAACAAGCCTTTACGAATGTTTGTCCAAGGAGATAACCATGAGGGAGTTTACGCCTACTGGGTCGTCAAACACCGCTCTGGGAAAGGGCCAGGTGATAATGTTTGACAACAGACGCTCGGTGAAGCTGAAAGGAAGGAGCTCAGGTACGATCAGTGTATACTGCTTCGACTATAAAGAAGTGAATGAACGGGGTGCAAGAATATCAGGGGGGAGGGCCCCTTTAATATTCTCGTCAACCGGACAACGGCCATTGGAAAAGCGCTCCTTGGTCAAGCCAATTGGGACTCTCTGGAGGTGGCGGCAGAACTGTACTACGTCCTAGTTCCGTCTGTTTATATCCCTGGTCCTAAGCATCGAGTCGCTGACAGACTATCCCGAGTACTTTTCAGTTCCAAGGATTGCGACTGCGACAATGCCGTTGGGGATGCTCACCAAGAACTCATCGAGAGAGGTCCTCTGTGGATATGGAAATATGGCATTTCCGGCTGCTTTTCAGATGGATATAGGTTTACGTTCCTCCGAATTAACAACGAATCCCGATGGTCAGAATGGCCCTGTCCCCCCCCCCCCCCCCCCCCGCCCGGGGCACCACAAGAGGGTTGAGAGAAAACGTTATCTACACGCATCTCCGTCTGATTATACGGAGTGCTGCCCGGACATCTCCCAGGTCCTCCCCCGAGAGAGTCTCCACGCAAACGGACCACAGACCGCATGCTCGCCCCTATTACGAGCTGCGGATTGGGAGTTCCTTCGATGAGCAGCCTACGATGGATTACGAATACTGAGATCTTCAACAGACCCGCTTAAGCACGAGGTCCAGCAGAGGGATACCCTGAACGGGGTTCACATCCTCAGTGGTGTTCACCTTCAAAGATACAGACCCCTTCTCACCCAAGACTAGTATGATGTCTTGGAGATAGCAGATCAGCCTTGTTCGCCTTGGGCGTTGACCCCCAGAGGCAAGACAACGGAGCCGTATATCCCCACGGCCGTCAGGAAGTGGTGGTACTTCGGGCAGGAGGACTTGGACCGTATCAGCCCCAACAAACGGCGTGATATTGGCCGTATCATGGAGACCGGATTAGGAGTACAACTTTTCGGGGACGATAGGTATGCTGCCTGTCAGCTCCAAAGATAACTTGAAAGAAGAACATTATAGAACTCGACCTGGCATCTTCAGAAGACTTTGCAACATGGGATGAGACAGGGATCTTTAAAATGCGGTTCTGCCAGGGCAAAAAGGTACACGAACTGATAAAACACGCCGAGAAGGAAGCCTTCTCCGACATCCTTCATGAGAAGGACATTTCTGACCATTCTGCCTTGGAATACCTCCTTCGCGGATCACCAAAGCTGCGTGCAATGCTGCCGGTAATATGCGATCAGATCCTTCTCCATAATGAGAAGTCAGTTATCTGGTGCGTTAATCCCGCCCAGCATTTGTTTATTGGTGCAGCCTTGCACCTTTGTGGCATCGACGCGCATGTGTTCCACTCAGAGCTCGATCATTACGAGCTAGAGATGCTGGTCCAGGCCTTCTAGCAAACGGAACTCCCATCATGTGCTAATTTGCTCATACTACGTGAACAGCGCTGGGTCTAACCTCCAGAGCTTATGTCGTAATGTTCACTTATTCGATATCCCAACAAGCGGCGATGTACCAGAAGGAGTCAGCGGGGATCTTACTTACGTCACGGTATATCCTCCAGAAGATCATCTCTCAAGACTTGACCTACTACCTGATTTTGTTGGCTCTCTTCGGACGAGGAGAACACAGAGGATGTGCTGCAACTGAAGACGAGCAAATTGTGATGGTAATCATGACAAATCATATACAGGTATCTTTGATCTAACGAGTGTTTGGCTTCCTCTTACTATTAAAACAAACACTACAACTGCAATCACCGATTTTCCGAACCAGATTGAATCCACCAATAGCACAGCCCCAGGTACGTGATATCAGACATATCACCAACATCATATAAAGAGGATGATACTGACTGGGAGATAGAATGTTATCCACGTGAGCACTGGCGCTCACTTGTCAATCGAGGCTCCCCGTCTTGATCGGCGCCAGCCAAGAGCTGTGAGAATCGGGAAGAAGAAAAAGGAAGCTAAGAAAAAGATAAAGAGCTCCTTGAAGACAGAGCAGGGTCTGGTAAGTAGGCCTATATCTGGGATACGTGATTTTGTTTCACATAGGAAAGCAATAAATCTATGTGTTATATTAGCTGGCTTGCAGGGATAAAGAATATGTCCCGAAACATTTTGCAGAAGATCATTGGACAAGATGTGGCATATTACCTTGTCTGGCTGGCTCTCTTCGGAGAAAAGAATCACTGTTTATAAGTTCGCTACAGGAGAGGGTGCGTAGGAGGAAGTGAAGGAAGTGAGATCACGATCCCGAGAGGTATACAGGGATGGAGCCTTATGCCTCTGCACAGCGGAGCTATTGTGGGAGAGCCTTTCGGAGGGAGTGATATTGTTTTGGAGCGTGGACAGATACTAATGTCTGATAACCAGAGAATAGTGACATTGAAGGGGAGAAGCTCTGGTATGGTCGCCATTTACTCTTTCAATTACAAAGAGATCAGCGGGATACGTGAAGACCAGGGGGGAGAAGGCCCGTTCGATCTTCTCATCCACGGAGTGACTGCCATTGGGAAGGCCCTTCTTAGGCAGGCTTCATGGGACTCCGCAGAGGTATAGGCAGAGTTGTACTTTATTCTTGCTCAGGATGAACAATCTGTCAAGCTTTTCCTGCAGGATCAACGACGACAGCTTGTGAGCCTGGCAGTTACTAAGCACAAAGTACACAAGATATTGGAACGTTCTTGAAGGCCAAGCGTCTTGAGGAAGCAGCCAGCAGGGAGGAGGAGGAAGCTGCGCGTAAGCGGGCAAAGGCGACAGAATTGCGCCATCTCGCAGGGGTTTTCGAGTTATCTATTCGAACAGCGCGGTATTACTTATTACGAGCGGACGTGAAATTTTGAATCCGCCAGACGATGGTTGATGCTTATGTATGGAAACCATCACTCCTTCTCGCGAACGGGAGTAACTTCTTGCTCACACAAGATCGGATAATGCGAACTCTGACTCGGCGAGGAGAAGTATATGAGCCGTTTTCCGCTCACTCAAGGAGCACCATCGTCGTTGAATATCTGAACGTCAAGGATATGGATTGGGCAGTCGGATTGATCTACGAAGAAGTCAACACGGACAATGATACCAGTGGCTTGTACCTCGTGACGGGCCTTTCGACGATGCATTTCGAAAAAGATAAGATACAAGGATGAGGATCGTATGCTCAGTGCCATACCGTCTCGAATCCGATAGTGTCTGAATCACCTATCTCGCTGCGCCAAGAACAGGCGGAAAAGGTCGCAGCGCACCTTCCATCTCTTTCGTTCTAAAAGAACATATATTGACAGGAAAGGAGGATATCCTCCTATTTGGTCTGCCTGGATCTGACAGATCACAAGTGATGCACGACAACGATCTGGAACGAGATGGAAGATGTGTTATAGCGCGGCGAATCTTACAGGAAGATTGGATCAATGCCGGTAACTTAACTAAGTAGCATAAGTATCTGGTGGAAACCGTGGACTTAATTTAGACAATACTCTCACTTTTTCCTACAGCAATACAACAAGCGTATTATGTACAGTACATTTAAAATAGTTACATGTAATGTATATATGTGATCAGATCAAACAATTCAATCGAGATACCCTTTCCTTGAGGAGATCACTGTCCTTCCCACGGCAGAGCTTATTGAACTTATTATTGTTGATATCTACATATTGAAATAAGGATTACACCGACTAACGCCACGGATCAACTAATAATACTGCCCGGTCAGGGCATATTTGGTAGTCTCCTGGTAACTACCATCTGAGACAGATATATTCTTCCCGCAGCAGAACGAACTTATTGAACTCACTGACGCTATCCACAGATTCATTTACTTTGATGACTCGGTTATAGCTACTACTGCAGAGGATACCCTTGTTCTCCTTCTCTGATATGGGCTGTGAAATGAGTTCTTTCCATGTCACCTGCCAGGTCCTCAGTGGAATGTTGGTGATGGCGAGGAGTTGAGCGGTGATCCTAACCAATCAAGGAGGAGGCATCGCTATCCGGGTGGTCACGGACTGCAGGATCGCATTTTAGTCGCATCACATGGACGAGAAGGGGAGGGGAAGGACGAAATGTAACTGCTTGAAACCGGATTTTGGAAAAGAATACGCAGTAGTAGTTTTAATTGGTATATATATTTTCACCCTTTGTTGATTCTAATTGTCACCGTTGCGTAGTGATCCACGCTATCATGTAGTCCATTCTAATGGTTCAGGGGATGGTGGTATCCTAGTCTAATACCTCTGGCGCTGGGAAAAGCAGAATTCCTTTCCTAGGAATTCCTCCCCAGTCCAAGACCAGATCCGGCACAGTTGCCGGCAATCTAGCCATCGGGCCACCATATATGGCGGCTCTCTCTTTTCAGAGATGCACATGAATCACAGGGATGCCAGGCCGTCGAGAATTCCTCCCAGAGAAACCGCAGTCTCTAATACAAAAAGCTAACCCTCACAATGTTCACAGAACGGCAAAAGCGAGAGAACGCAAATCAAATGACAAAGAAAATAACCACAAGGAAAGATTCGGTCTGGATGGAAATCAGAGAGTGCGTGTTGATTGACACCGGGAATGAAAAGTCAGATGCTGCCGGGGAACTTAGAAAGATATAAATGATCGAGTTAACGTTTCGCAAATAGAAGGCAGACTCCAAGATAAAATTTCCCCGTAAAGAAAGAGAAAGAAAAAAGAAAAAGAAAAAAAAAAAAACGCCAATTAGACCCTCGATTCTCTAAAGGCTGATGCAGGAGGTATCATGATCGTTCGTAAGTCAAAGTCGGCCGCTGGTTTATTTCAAAGCGTTTCGACAATACTCATGGAAGAGAGACGCACAATAGGCCGGCAAGGAGTTGACGGCTCGTTTAGACTCGATCACCACGGTCCGACCTTTAGAGGCATTCCGTGACCATATGTCCCAGACAGAAGTTGCTCCCGGATCGATCCAGGATCGGCGTTAGAAGAGCTTCCATGACCCTGAAACCCAGGGCCGCCCATCCAGCCCAGAATCGAGCTCAGCTCGTTGACTGCATTCTGCAACTTGCCTCCCGAGATCTGGTTGTGTTTGGCCAATTTCTGATCCCATCCACCATATTGTAACTGGATCCCACCGCCTCGCTTGGCCGCCTCCCTGATAACCAAGATCCATGCTTTGCACATTTCCTCATACGCGGAATCCTTCTCGATGTTATTCTGTGGCGAGCTCCATCTCGGAAGCGAGTGAATGATGTCTGTGGCGCCGTCCAAATAACTGAGTGATGTGGATGCTTGAGATTCGTTTGGAGGAAGGAAATGGGGTGTAAAATCGCTCAGGGCATCCAACAGGTTGGTGAGATGCTGACGCACCCGATTGTAGGCGTAGTCGGACGTGGGATCGCCACCCAACGGGAAAGAGGATCGAAGGGTAGACTGGTAGTTGTTGAGAACGTGAAGCGTAGAGGAGACACTGGGCCGTGGAGCCGTGTGTACAACCTCGTCATTCAGCTCAGGATGACGCTCGCACATGGAGCGGAGGACGGAGCGTAGAGCATCGGTATCAAGAGTCTCGAGCAGACGGGGAACAGTGAGAGGACGGCCAGACACGTTGGGCCGGGACCGTTTCATCGGACGATTGGCAAGCAGAGGACGATGGGAAAAGGCAGGCGAGTTGGTCGGGGAGGCGGACATTCGAACATCATGATCGTTACTGTCTTCGTCGGCTTTCCGCTTTCGACTGCTTGAGGATTGAGGTGTAGACACTGGAGGGCATCGTCAGCATTTCCTATCTTTGATCAATTCTCAGAAAAAAAAAATATGGAAAGAACATACTGGAACGAGTGGGAGAGAGACGAGTATGTTCGTAGAAGTGCGGAGGAACAGGAGGCGTAGCCACCAGACTGTTCATCGTGATGGACGGTGGGTGGAAGGCGAAAACGGGGGACAGGACCAGCTGTGACACCTGCAGAACCCTGTACGGCCGAGGACGAGTGGATGGACGTCTGTGTATGTCGATATGATGATGAAGAAGCGAAAAAAAGGGAGAGGCGAGAAGGATGCGGAAGAGAAAGTGGGGAGAGAGGCGGTGGATGAGATGTGGTGATGGAGCAGCCGTCACCAAAACGAAGGCTCTTTAGCTCCCCTTTAGGTGTTGCGGTAGGCAACGCGCGCCGCCTGTGCACCCTCAGCCCAACGCCTGGCCAGCAAACGCCCAAGCACTACGTGGATATTAATATTAATTAATTAATTAACCAACTAATTTAACTAACCTACAGCTCGCTTACGATTCAGACCGTTGGGTTTCCGATCTGGCCGTTGGACCAGTGGCTAAAATTCTTTCATTCATTCAGAGCTTTTCCTGTTACTGTTAACCGCCTCACAGGTCCTGACCTGCCATGACGCCAAAGCTATGCCTTACAAGCACCCACGAGGATCAAACGAGAAAGACAGAAATGTACACAGCACAATAAAGAGATACCAAGAATGTCTCCCAGGCTTACAGGTACAGCGATTGGGCGGCAACGATATCCCTTCTCACCTTGGTGAGCGCCGTCTCGAACTTGTTCTCCAATTCCTCACTGCCCATGACCTTGGCGGCCTGCGCCATCTGTCTCAGACACTCTTCCAGCCGACGGAACACCCGGATCAAACTGCCTTCGTAGACGTCCGTCATCTTACTGCAGGGTCGTTAGCATCCCGTCCAAACCGATGGATCAGTGGGGGGCCACCAAGGGGAACTTACCAGATGTCCGCAAAGGATTTACCGTTGGCCCATTCGTAAATCACCTCCATCAGCTCCCAGTGGAAGCTCTGTACATACTCGTCCTCGTTAACGGCCAGCTTCGATTCCTGGGAGACCTTGGCGATGATTCTCGCTTGAGCCTGGATCTCCTTGAGCGGGCGGGCCAGCTCGTCCTTGGTCAGAGCAGGTGTTTCCTTCGTCTTCTCCTCGAAGACGAAGACGCTCAGAACAGCAGCCACCTGCTCCGGCGTGAGTTTGTTGAAGAAACCGTTGAACAGGAGCTCACTGAGCATGAGCTCATCGCCGGTGCTGATCTCACACGCAACTCGTGCCTTGAGCTGCACGACTTCCGCCTCGTTGATGAAACCGAATCGACGCAGGACACGCTTACGGCACTTGAGCTCGTCAAGCTGCAGGACGGACATCGCATCCGAAATCTTCTTCTTGGTGGCCTTGATCTTGGTTCCGAGCTCGAGCTTTTTCGCATACTGGTCGTAGAGTTCGGGCAGACGAGGCGAGTTGTGGAGTGGGTTAGCAAGGAGTCGTGACTCGAGAACCTCAATCTTTCTCAACAGTTTCTTGAACGAATCATCCTTGATCCCCATGTTCTCGATGGGGTCAAGCAGAGCGATCCCATCAGGGAAGCGCTTCTGCACCTCAGCTAGGCTTTTCCCGACTCCATTTCTCGAGTCCGGAGACTGCAAGTCCTTGGGCAAGAAGATTCTGATATGGGAGATGGCTTTGATGCAGTTCAGCACCACCGGGACGACTTCCATGCGAGATTCCTCTCCATCCTCAGGCGGTCTCACTCCCTTAGGAAGATCTTGATGGGTCTTCGTGCCCGAGGTGGTTCCCTTGGCGACTTTGAGCAGGACATCGACCACGTATCTCTGGTGATCTTCAATCTTCTCTGTCGAATTCTTCGGAGCCCTCCGTTCCTTGTAGTTGACCAGCACACCCCAGCCGAAGTCGTAGTCACCGTGTTTGATTTGCACGAGTCTTCCGGGCTGAATGAAGGGAAGACAGTAGTTGGGGTGGCTAATAACGTCCTGCATATTCTCCGTGAAACCTGCAAGTTGCTTCCGGAGGTCGTAATACTCGCGAATCGTTCCCTCATCTGGGATGTTCATCTCGGCCCGCTGTGCCTCCAGCTCGTGAAGCTCTTTCTCGAGACCTGCCACGCTCGCGGTGTTCTGGAACTGATAAAAGCATCTCTCGAGCATGAACTCCGGTGAGATGCCTTCCACACGCATGAGATTCAGAATCATGTTGTAGCCCAAGTGGAACGCTGAATTCAGTCGGTCCTGTTCGCCCCGGACGATTTCCTTGGCCACTGCTGGGTCCATCTCTTCTCCAACCATCATGATAACGATACCACGGTCATCAAGACCTCTTCGACCAGCACGACCAGACATCTGCACGAATTCAGATGGTGTCACCCAACGTTGACTAAACCCGTCGAACTTTCTCACGCTTGTGAAAACTACTGTCTTAGCCGGCATGTTCAGACCGATGGAGAAAGTTTCTGTGGCGAAAAGGACCTTAATGAGACCTTCCTGGAAAAGAATCTCAATGGTCTCTTTGAGAATAGGGAGCAGTCCCGAGTGATGGACGCCGATTCCACGACGGAGCAAAGGCAAAATGTTCTGGATCTGCGGGAGATTCCTGTCCTCCTCAGACAGCATTTCAATAGCACTGTCGAAAACCTTCGAAACCATCTCCTTCTCCGAATCGTCGTTGAAAGCCAATGAACTCATTTGCAAAGCGCCGGCTTCGCACTCGCGTTTGCTGAAACTGAAAACGATGACGGGATTGTAGTTCTTTAGCATGATCATTTTCACGATCTTGTAGATGTCCGATGGTCCCTTGGTGCCGCCCTTGTTCAATTTCTTGTCCTTGCCCTTACCCTTCCGTTTGGCCATGGCATCTGCAGGATCATCACCTTTCTTGCTAGAGATCGAGCTCATGGCCTTCTGGAAGTTTTCCTCACGGAAGACGCCCTTTTCGTCGACAATCAGATGGATACCATCAGCACCGGCGGGGAAGAAATAGTGCTGGAGGGGTGTTGGTCGGAAATCGGTGTACACAACGTGACAAGGCTGATTGTGCATCTTGGTGATCCATTCGGCAAACTGCATAGCGTTCGGAATGGTAGCGGACAGGAAGACGTATCGGACCTTATCGGGCAACAAAATGATAGTCTCCTCCCAGACTACACCTCGGGTAGCATCGCGCATATAATGGATCTCATCGAAGACCACCCACGCAACTTCTCGCATAATCTCAGAGCCGCGATACAACATAGACCGGAGAATCTCTGTCGTCATGACGAGACAAGTAGCTGTTGGGTTGATCGTAACATCACCAGTCATCAGACCCACGTCGCCAAATTCCGCCGCGAACTCTCGGTATTTCTGATTGCTCAGGGCCTTAATCGGACTCGTATAGATGACTCTCTGGTTGTTCTTCAAACTTTGCGCAATGGCGTATTCGGCCACCACCGTCTTTCCTGCACTAGTATGGGCCGAAACAAGGACACTCTCTTCTCTCTGGATCGACGCGACCGCTACCTGCTGGAAGGGATCCAAAGTGAAGGGCCATGTTCTTGCGGGGTTCTCCGGCGGTTTGTGTTGCGAGATAGGCACGTATGGGTAGTTTGGCGGGACGGCGACCTGATGGCGGACCTGGTGCGAGAGCACCACCCGTTTTGATGCATCACCGGTTTCTCCAAGACCAGATGCTGCGACTTCACGTTCCTGTTCTGTTTCGAACGTGTCTGCGACCAGAGGTTCTGCCTCTTGATCGAGACGCTGTCGCTTGGGTTCTGGTTGCCCGTTCTGTGCGCTAGGTGCCTCCGTCATGTCAGTATCGGCATCCGCAGCTGGCGGAGCAGACAGCGCTGCCTCGTCCTTCTTCTCTTCCGTTGCACCATTCTCCTTCACATCCCCATTAGCCTGGCGCTTCTTGGTCTTGTCTTTCTTCGGCCGCGGTCTTTGAACATCGTCCGCAGGCTTCAGTCCTTGAGGCTGGTCCTCAAAGACATCGAAGAGGTCATCCATGGTCCACGAAATCCCTTGACAGGACACGAGGGAGACAGGACGGTGGGGAGGGAGACGCTCTTCGACAAGAAACGGATTCTTCTTTGTCGCGAGAAATTATTTCAAAAGACCGTCTGGTATCAGCGGCGCCTCTGATTCGACAGGAGCCCGTAGGCGGGGAAAGGCGGCAAAACTCTGCCAGCAAAGGATCACGTGCGCAGGGACTTCCGGAAGGCCGTTCAAGCTGCTCGTTCCACTCCTGCTAGATACTCTCTCCATCGTGAAAGTCTCCCGACAACGTTGCTGTCTGCTCTTTCTTCAAGGTCGGTATTATTATTAGTTGGAACCAGCTCAATGTCAATTGCTCCTAGCTAATTGACCCAAGATGAACGCCGCTACCGCTATCCGCGCCAGAATGGCCGCCAACCTCGTCGCCCGCCGTGGCTTCTCTACCACTCGTGCCCAGCTCGCCAGCCCGTACCACTACGCCGAGGGCCCGCGCACTTCCATCCCCTTCAACCCCCTCACTCGCTTCTTCTGGCTGCGATACTGGGCCTTCATGGGTAAGTAGCCGCCGCATTGTTGCTACGGATCGTGCTACGGATTGGCGGCTGACAATGATAACTCTAGTTACCGGTTTCGGTACTCCCTTCGCCATTGCTGGTATGCTCCGTCCTCGCTATCACTCTGCATCCTCGTTCAAATCTGACATATATTTCTACAGTTTGGCAGACTTACAAGACCCGCTAAAGTCCTCGTCGTTGGACTTGGATTCCCCGTCGTGGCTGTCGGAGCGACAGAGATGTAATCGGGAGGCCAATTCTTTGAGCAACGGGACACCCTGTACAAAGCTAGACAGACACATTGAAATTTATTGGAACGTTGCATCTTTTCCGATGGTCACGGTTTTGCGTAGATCTATGTGTTGGGTCGGACAGGCGTAGAAACCAGTAACATCTGAAATGTGGATGAAGTCATTGGCCGGAAGCTCACTTTCTCCCGTAAGAAAATTAAAATTTTGGGTCGGAATTCTGATATTGAAATCCCCGGGGTCAACGCAACGAGCAAACATTAAATTATCTTTCTGGAGCTCACCCTCCGTTCCAGGAGGCCCGTCTTTCATTTTTGTAGGTAACTCCTCGTCTGTTCATGGAGGTGGGGTAATCGCTGGTTGAAGATGCGCAACTTGAAAAACGTGCGCCTCGCGGAGGTACAACTCCAAGGCGAACTGCCACTGACTGCCACCGCATGGGATGCCGCGTCGGATTCAGTCATCTGTGCATTTGGACCGACGGAAAATAATGCAATCATAGATCTGAGAAGGAAGAGCCAGGATGCTGAATATTCCGGACCTGTTACTGCGGAGCAGTTTGAGTCGATCGCATCCTGGGATGCGCCATGCCCGCTCCCGGAACTGGCATGCGACCGCATACTTTCTCTGCAGTACTTCGCAGACAACCTAACGGCATGTCTGGTACTGGAGGGAGGTGATATTGTCATCGTGCGAGAGGAGCCTCAGCCGGGGGAGGACAAGATCGAGATTGTGGGCTCCGTTGATGTTGGAATCACCGCTGCGGCATGGTCGCCTGATGAGGAACTTCTGGCCATCACTACAAGAGCGAATACTTTCTTATACATGACCAGGGAGTTTGAGAATGTTGTCCTGGTTGAGCTTACAGCCGACGACCTCAAGATTTCCCGTCATGTCTCGGTTGGTTGGGGAAAGAAAGAGACGCAGTTCCAAGGAAAGAGAGCGAAAGCTATGCGAGATCCAACCATGCCTGAGAAGGTGGACGAGGGAAAGCTAAGCAGTAATGACGATGGCAGAACGACTATCAGCTGGAGAGGAGATGGAGCCTTTGTTGCTGTGAACAGCATCGAGACCGGCGTCCGAAGAGTTATCAGAGTCTTTTCAAGAGAAGGAACGCTGGACAGTGTCAGCGAGCCAGTAGATGGCCTTGAGGGTGCTTTGAGCTGGAAACCAGCAGGGAATTTGATTGCTGGTATCCAGAGACTTGACGATCGGGTTGATGTCGTGTTCTTCGAGAGAAACGGGCTACGACATGGCCAGTTCACCCTGCGTCTCACTGTGGAAGAGCGAGCAACATGGGCATCAGATATCTCCTTGTCATGGAATATTGATTCCACTGTACTCGCAGTCTGGTTCAAGGATAGGCTGCAACTGTGGACTATGGGCAACTATCACTACTATCTAAAACAGGAAATACCCATCGTGACAAACCCAGACTTCCCCTCTCTGTTCTCTTTCAGGTGGCACCAGGAAAAGGCACTGCGTTTTGTGGCTGGTTCAGCAGGTACGTTATGTTGTCCCTGGCCTTTGAGTGTCTAGATGGCTCATGAGAAGTAGGCTCAATCCTCGATATGGACTTCGTCTTCGATGTTTCTCACGGTTCTACTGTGAGCCCTCACGATACCGGTGCGGTTGGCGTCATCGACGGAAGTATGTGTCTTCTCCGATTCCTACATATAATTGCTCTAACTAGTGTACAGAGGTGTTGAAATTGACCCCCTTGAGACTGGCGGGTGTACCACCCCCCATGGCTCATTGTGAGATCACCGTTGACTCCAATATTGTCGACGTCTCATTCAGCCAGACGGGTACAAGAATCGCTGTCCTTACCAGGGAGAGTTTCTCTGTTTTCATATGGTCGCTCAAGAGTCGGCCTGTTCCAGCTCCCTTATTGGAATCAAGCTATCCGCTACCGGAAGACCCTGAGAGTCGACCGCGCCAGATCGCCTTCCTAAAGGAGAATGAGGTGTACATCCTGGTCCACAAATCACCCTATGAAGCCGAAATTGAGAGAACTACACTTGAGACTCGTGTGACCAAGGTTGTACACCAGGCGTCAGGGTCAGAGCAACTGCGATCGATATTCTCAAGCCTCGGACACGATAAACTCTGGTTTTCTCATACTATACAGCCAAACACACCGGTCTCTTATTCTACTATTAACGTGTCACCTGATGACAATGTTGACGTGGGTGCGTGGAATGGCAGCCCGGGGTCGGATACTTTTTGGGCGAAAGCGATACACATCCCTGACGATGAGGTATGACCAACCCCTACTATGGCAGCGAATGGCACTGATAATGAGCAGGATATTCTCGTTACCATGTCTAGGACAGGCTCTCTCTACGCCAACAAGCGCCTCCTCGCGAAGAACTGCACATCCTTTGATATTACGCCTGCGCATATCATCTTTACGACTACCCAGCACCTCATCAAATTTGTTCACATTACCAGTGTTGAAGGTGACGATCTCTTACCTTTAAATACAGAGTCACAGAAGCTAATGTATTGCAGAAATCGAAGTGCCTGGTGACACTCCTGAGACCGATGAACGCTGTAGGAGTATCGAGCGTGGATCCCGCCTGGTCACAGTGATGCCGTCAACCTTTGCCGTCACACTTCAAGCGCCCCGAGGTAATATTGAGACTATCTATCCTCGTGCTCTTGTTCTGGCCGGTATTCGACACTTTATCGACAGAAAGGATTACCGTTCTGCGTTCCTTGCCTGCCGAAGCCAGATGGTCGACATGAACATCCTCCACGACTATAATCCCGACCAGTTCATGCAGAACATAATTCTGTTCGTGGATCAGATCAAGAAAGTCGAATGGATCGACGAGTTCCTCTCTCGTCTAAAGTACGTTAATCTAATATCCTATGCCGGGGAACCTGCTCACCGTCTATTGCCAGGGAGGAAGACGTGTCTCAAACCTTGTATAAGGATACCTTGAAGATATCCAAAGTCGAAGCACAAGAACAGGCCCAGCTGCCTGGCGGAGCTCCATCAAAGCCGCAGACGAAGTCAACCAAGGAGAACAAAGTCAACCGTATCTGCGATGCCTTTTTGGAAGCTCTCAAGAACAGAATCGCAACCAACTTGCAAAATCTGATCACAGCGCATGTATGCAAGTTGCCACCCGACATCGAGTCTGGCTTGCAGCTTGTTGCTCGTCTCAGAGGTATACTCCCTTAATTTGCATTCCTGTGAAATTTGCACTAACAATCTTATGTAGAAGAAAGCCAAGAGCAAGCAGAGGAGGCTATAGAGCATATGTGTTTCTTAACTGACGCCAACCACCTGTATGGTTACGCTCTCGGTCTTTACGACTTAGAGCTCACTTTGTTGGTGGCTCAGCAGGCGCAGAGAGTAAGTACAGCGGGGACTTTTCTGTAAGATGGACTCTAATCGGTTCGTAGGATCCCCGAGAATATCTCCCCTTCCTTCGCAAGCTGCAGGAGCTGCCTGAACTGCGGCGACGCTTTGAGATCGACAACTACCTCGGAAGATTTTCGAAGGCGTTGACGCATCTTCACGCTCTCAAAGAGCACGAGGAACTCAAGCTCTATGCCATCAAGCACACGCTGTACAAGGAGGCACTCGAGTTGTACAAGTACCAGCCAGAGCAGCTGCGGGAGATGACCCAAGCCTACGCAGATTATCTTTACGACCAATCGAATTACAAAGAAGCAGCCATCGGTAGGTTTCAGCTCTGAAACGATACAACCCTCGATATCAACTAGATCTAACTCAACAAACTCCAGCTTATGAATCCCTTGGCCTATACGAATCGGCCTACAAATGCTACCATCTTGCTCACCGCTGGCGGGAATCCCTGTACTGCGCGCTTATGGTCCCCCTACCGGAGGAGGAACTGAAAGATCTGACCATCACCCTCGCCACGACATTGACCGAGGAAACTCGCGACTACGTTTCAGCAGCACAAATCTACGCCGAACACCTCCACGATATCCCTACCGCAGCCCGTCTGCTTTGCCGTGGCTCACGCTTCGCCGATGCTTCTCGCCTGCTTGTCCTGAACGGTCATAAATCGCTCGTCGAAGACATCGTCGACACCGGTCTAGCCGACGCAATGAGCTCGACCACCGACCTCCTCGCCGACTGCAAAGCCCAACTAAACGCACAGGTCCCTCGCATCCGCGAACTGCGCGAGCGCCGCGCCAACGACCCTCTCGCCTTCTACGGCGGCGACCCTACCATGGAAGGCGCCGCAGCAGACATCCCCGACAACGTCTCCCTCGCACCCACAGACGCCTCCACAGCTGCAGGCCGCACCATGTTCACCAGATACACCGGCGGCACCGTCAATTCTCGCAAGACGTCCCGAACGCGTCGTAAGGAAGAGCGCAAACGCGCCAGCGGCAAGAAAGGCACCGTCTACGAGGAAGAGTACCTAGTCAACAGCGTCCGTCGACTCATCGAGCGTGTCAACTCCTCGATCGACGAGGTGCAGTCGCTATCTGAAGCTCTTCTCCGTCGTGGAATGAGAGAGCGGGCTCATGCGGTGGAAAAGGCCCTGCGGGAAGTATTGAACATGTGCTCTGAGTGTCGAGATGAGGTGTTCGAGATTCCGGTCCAACCGACGGGGCAGCAGCAGCAGCAGCAGCAGCAGACGGATGGGGAAGATGGAAATAACCGGCCGGTCGTCGAGGAGATCCCGCGGCCGTTGGGCGGCCAGGGTGTTCTCTGGGATTCTATGCATGGTGTTGGAGTCGGTTCTAAGGGAAGAGATGCGCCTCTAGTGAAAGAGTTCAAGGGATTGGCGCTGCTGTAGGGAGAAATAAAAATATACTTGGTCTGTTGGTGTTTATTTTTGATATATGGATCAATGCATGCATCGTTTGAGGCTGGTTTCTGAATACATCAAATATTACCTCTGCCAGCTCTGCTGCGTATATGTGTAGTCATGCAGAAGTGTTTAGTAATGAGGCAGGACATTATAACGGGTATCTTTGTGCGATCTATTATCATGCCTTAAAACTATACAGGCTGTCGTACTCCAGTCAATCACACGTCGCGTATCGCATATGATAAATGTTCAATCTGGTACTTTCCTTTTCCCTTCGCTTTTTTTTTCTTTCGTTTCCCGATGTTGAATCTCGAGTTATCATTACTCAAGCTGCGCTGGACAGGATGTCTCCCTTCTCACTGACAAGGTGCTCGTTAACCTTGACGGGTCCCTCGCCCACTCCGGTGAGGATAACCCGGCTAACGCCATCCCTCAGAACGTCCACAGCACGAGAGTCCAACTGGCTGAGGTCCACACCCTTGGACACGGTCTTTAGCCGGTCGGCGAAGGGGCCTTCCCACCCGTCGGTCTTCTGTCCGAGGATCTCCTTGAACGTTCCCGCGACAACAGTGCTGGCTTCGTCGAGATAGTAGATAACAGCATTTGGACCAGCGTCGAAGGTGTACGCCGCGACGGTCTTGGCAGCTGCACGGTTGATGTCGTGCACAATACGGACCGCCGCGCGGGAGACGTCGTTCATGTAGAAAATTGGGGGCCAGGAGTCGAGACAGGTGGCATGGAAACCATTGGAGTCACGCATGGTGATCTCTGCGAAAGTAGGGAAGTCACGGTCACGAATAGCAGCTTCGATAGCAGCCATGCGCGCTGGGACGGTCAGTTCAGCACGGGTTGAGAAGAGAGAAGATGTCGCAACAGTGGTCTGCATGCCCTCAGTACTGGGGACGTCCTTCTTCTCAGCACTGACGACGAGGATCATTGCTCGCATGTCAGGCCAGTGAGATGCAGAAGCAACTTCCTCTGCAATGCTGTCACTTCCATCGGCCTTGGTGCCAGCGCGCCAGGCGACGTAGCCGCCCATCAGGGAGCGGCATGCGGAGCCAGAGCCTTGTCTGGCAATACGGCTGAGTTCTGTAGGTGACTGAGGGAGCTCATAAAGGTCGGCGATGGCGCGGACAAGGGCAGCGAATCCAGCAGCAGAGGAGGCCAGACCGGCGGCAGTAGGGAAATTGTTCTCGGAGACGATGCGCAGCGGATAGGCAGAGAGCTTAGGAAGAGAGGGGTCCGCATTTTCCAGGGCGCGACGAAGGTCGCGCAGGTTTGACAGACAAGCCAATGTCCGCTTGGAGGACTGGATGTCCTGGGGCTTGCCGTTGAGTGTCAGCGTGTCGGAGGCGGGGTAGGCTGCGGCGCAAGAAGCAGTGGTGAGAGTGCGCAGCGACTGCTGGGACAGAGTGACGGAGAGAGAAGAGTTAGTTGGGAGATTAAGAGCTGCATCTCGCTTTCCCCAGTATCTGTTTTAATGTGCGTTAGTCTATAGTTATCATTGTCTCCAGTTTAGTCTGGAGATGAAGGAGGGGTAGCAGGAAAAGTAGGCTGACATGGAACTCACTTTATGACAGCGATGTTAACAGGTGCCGTTGTACTGGCCCGGTAAACAGTATTATCATTCTGAGCCATGTTGTATATCTTTCTGTCTTAATGAACAAATAGCAGGGCAATAAATGGGAGAAACGAAGAGGATAATGCAATATCATACAATATCAATGATCGATAACCCCCTGAAGCGACGCCAAATCAGCCAAGGCGGTGAGAAAAGCGGTCCGTGCTGCCAGTTTTTTTGGCATTTCCAATCGCTGAGCCTCAATTCCTGATCCCGCGAAGATCTCCGTCAATAATTCTTTCTTTCTTTCTTTCATTTCTCATCAACATCCCAATCCTCCCAATGGGTGCTGGTGCCAGCACTCCGTCAGCTACACCGGCGGCGTCTGCCCCGGCCGCATCATGTCCCGTCGACCACAAGACCCGGGAGATCTGGTTACAGCAACACAAAGCCTCCGGCGGCGCTCCGCATCCTCTGCCGCCCTCCGCAGATACCGCAGCAGAGTCACAAAACGACCAGCCTACAAAACTGCAGCGGCCGCTCTCAGTTGATCGTGAAGTCAGCAGTATTCCGCGCGCCTTGGACCCTGGATCCAGAGAATCCACTGGTCCCGCTGCTTGTCCATCACCATACGCTCATTCCGCTCCCTCTGCCACCGCGGCATCACACGGCACTCCTTCCAACGCAGAGACGGAAACTGGTCATGACCCTGCCACGGGAAATTGGATTTACCCCTCTGAGAGACAGTTCTTTGAAGCGCTTCTCCGCAAGAATAATACCGGCACATCAGTAACATCTGCGAAGGAACTGGCTACGTCGGTAGCTTCGATCATTCCGATCCATAACGCTGTTAATGAGCGCGCCTGGCAACAGATTCTAGACTGGGAGAAGAAAGCGCCCACGTCGGATCCGGGGAGCAAGAAATGCGGTGGTCCCAAGCTCTATTCCTTCCGCGGTCTCGGCGTGGATCCGCAGTTCTTGAGTCCACGCGCGCGGATCAATGGATTGATGGGATACCAACGGCCATTCGACCGACATGACTGGGTAGTAGAAAGATGTGGAGGAGAGCGGATCGAATATGTGATTGATTTCTACCAAGGGAAATCATCCGGCTCACAGGGCAATGGCCAGGGATTGACCAACACCGCCAGTCCCGGCAAACTGAGTTTCTATTTGGACGTACGACCGAAGCTGAACACATTGGAAGGATGCAGGATGAGATTCAGTCGGTTTATGGGGTTGTCGTAAAACGACTGTGAAACAGGCCCCCTCGGATTACGGAATTGGCACTAGAGGTAAAAGGAGTATAGGCATGTTTTGGGTTGAACAGTGTATCATGTATATGTATAACATGGCTATGTACGATGACTGGTAAAGGACCGACAGATAACAAAGGAAATTCCGCTCCCATAGCGCGCCCGCAGAGAAACCAAGAGAAGACCCGACCAGGTGTGACAGAACCGAGACCAAAAAGAACAGCGGTCCAACGAGCATATCGAGACAGACAAAGGGAATCATACAGACGATAGACAGGTAGACCAGACATCAAATTTCATGAACATTATGTCAACGGACAGCAAACAAGTGATCCTTTCCCTGGGCTCAGCCGAGAGTTGCCGCTAGGACAATGATCGTCAGGATCACAGCCAGGATGATCAGCAGGCAGCACATCTTGTTTCTTGCGTTCTTCTGGTATCGGCTCGCACTGCGTAGCTCGACATTTGCGCCCCGAGTGTCTGTCGTAACGTTCTCGACGTTCTCGCTAATGATATCCAACTGGCCTCCTTGCTCGCGCACAATATGCGCGACATCCCGGAATAGTTCGTTTAACTCGCCAACACTCTGTTCAATGTTGCGGATCTCAGCCTCGCGTTCGATGATCAAAGCATCTTGGAAATCGACTTCATCCTGGTTAGCAAGTCGCGGTTCCTCAAGCTGCTGCTGCTGCTGTTGTTGGTGGGCGTCTGCCGACGGAGAAGTCGGGGCACCCTCATCGAGAGCGGTGCGCGCGGCCGCAGCAGATGCACGCTGCTTCTCCAGCGCTCGACGCTGAACTGTTTGGAACTCTTCCAGAGTCGATCTGAATTCAGAGGAGAGCTTCTGCTGAGTCCACTTTTGAGAGGGCTATATCGATATCTGTTAGCAATGGTCTTATCGTTATCAAGGGGATATCAGGCAGGCATTGCTCCGCAGGACAGGCCCAATGATTGGAAAAACGCAACAGTTAAATAGACAGCAACAATGACAATATCTCACGTACATTGACATCCTCCCATGTCTGCACCTTCTTGATGGCATCACCGGCCTCCTTGAATCCCGCCCGCGTCTCCTCTAGAAGGTCATGTACTCGTTCCCGGACACGCTCGGTATCCCGCTTCGTCCCAAGCAATGCGATCTGATTGGATAGACGGGATATATTGGATGTTAAAGTGAATAGCTGACTCGAGAGACTCTCCGTGAGACGGTGAAACTCGGGATCATCGCGATACTGAGGGTCATCCCCGCGCCGGACAGTCGTGGGCTGCGACTCGAGAGAACTTAGACGATCGAAAGACATGGCGGCAGAATATACAGTGTAATGTTCTTCTTCTTCCATAGAAGAGGCCGATAGAAATCAACCCCAAGGGATATAAAACGACTTGATGCGCCGACGAAGAAGGAAGGCGGAAGATCAGGCAGTAGCCTGACGTCGGTGGTCATGTGACCGTTACTCTGTTTAGCTGCAAAAACATATCGCAGCTCCAAAGAATAATAATAAACCGATCAATCGCTTCGACGCTGCCGGTGCGCGCTCGCTCCCTTTCTTCTCGGACGGGAGTTTATTCCTGCAGCTGTAGGGGCTGCTCTTCCACCAACTGGATCATGCAGTAATCCTTTTCCCGCAAACATCAACGAGAGGTTCTGCATCTCCATCACCATGGCCGTCGCAAGGCCTCGCCCGTACAGGCGGATCCTGACGTCCGCCCTGCATCGCAGATTCGTCCACGCCTCTGCCCTCTCCCTTGCTGTCTGCTACTTGGTCGCGTTCTTTACTGGTGTCAAGTCGTCCTGTAAGTGTTGTCGTGGATCCATTTCCGTTTCCTCAATTCGAACCATTCGAGGGGTTACTTTGCGCAAAGAATTGCATCTGACATTGTTTCTCTAGTTTTCTGGGCATGGTTTCCATTTGGTCCCTGTGGCATTCGCACCCTTCTTCTCTTCATTTGTCCCCTTACTGTCTTCGTTCTCCGTGTCGGTCAGATGCACATTGGCGCAAGGACTACGAGCTCTCCGTTGGGCACCATAAAGCACCTATTCCCTCTGCATATCATCCAGACGTTTGGCTGGTACTTCTTCTCTGCCTGGTGGTTCAGTGAAGTATATGTGTGGTCGTCTTCGAGTGATGCAGACCTAGGATGGGTCAAGCCAGGACGGTAAGCACTCTTTGCGGTATGAACTATGGCCTGCGATGCTGATATTTAGCAGACACAATGAACGGGCCACGCTGAACGAAAGACCCATATACTTGCACATCTCTCATATTCTGCTTGCGGTGTTACAATCATCGATCCACCTGTACACAGACATCGATCGAATCGATGTTCCCGTCGCGAAGCGCACTCCGGAGACAAAGGACTATAAAACTCACCCGGTGGTTCCTGTTGTGAGAAGGATTCAACGTGCACTACCGCAGATTGTCGTTGATTCCTTCGCCTGGAGTTCCATAATGACGGTTGCAGGACCTGTAATCTATATGCTGTTTCTCAGACGCACCGCGTGGAGCTACACCTTGTCGTTCGCCAAGCTGTTCTGGAACTTCCCCCGGTCTGCAGCGGATCCTCCTGGTCTGATCCCTCCGCTGCATATTACGCTTCTTTGGCGTTGTCTGACATCCGGCGCATTGCTTATTCTACTTTGGCGGACGTCCAATCTGTTCTTCACGGCTTTCATAGCCCAGGGTCCGATGAAGCGGGGTCAGACGCTGACAGCAGAGGTGAAGGATCCGAATGGAAGCTTACTCAATGGATTGAAGGCGAAAAAGGAGGTCGTGAAGACATTTGCGTTCTGGGAATTATGTATTATCAGCCAACAGTACCCTGAACGTCGAAAGGCCATCTTCAGCGATATCGATCGTGAAGGTGGCGCGACCTGGACCCAGGTGTTGAATGCCTCGACGGCCGTGATCAATGGCATTGGAATTCGAATTAACGAATACCAGAACCCGCCTTCCGCCATAGCCAAGAAGCCAGCGCAGAAAGGCCGGCCTCAACCGACTCTCCAGACATTGCCGCAGCTGACTGCTCCGCCTAAACAAGCAGACATATTTGCCCCATCTCCAAAGGCGCGATCACAGAATGAAAAGTTCGAGGAAACTATTGGTAACGTCGTGAAGTCATACGGCCAATCGCCGGACTGGACGCCCACTGCTCGAGCCAAAGCTCGCGATATCTTTGATAAGGCGTCCATGGCCATGTTGAGCCCGGAGGGCAAGAGGAAGCTCCTCGCATCAACCAAACAGCCAAAGTTGCTGACTGGAACTGATTCTGATCAAGCTTCCTCCCCGGACAAGCTGCATCCCATAACGGCCCAGATCCTACGGTCTCCAGTTGGTGCACTTTTCAGGCAGACCTACTCACGGCGGTTACGTGGCATTGTTCTGGGGAGTCCTTACGATTCTCTCTGTTCTATCATCGATGCTGCAGAGTCTTTGGCTTGCCTCTTTGTTTCCAGTTTGGAAGAAGACCCCTACGGCAAGGTGCAATCCGATTTCCCGGGTGTCGTACGTCTCCTTGCAGACACGATCGTGACTCTAGAGGGTTTCATTAACGGCGGCCTTAAAGTCCACTGGACGGACGTCACCTTTCCTCCGTCTAGCAACCCTGAAGCGCAGGCGGAAGCTCGCCGAGTGCCGGAAGTCGATGCTGTGTTGGTCTCCTTGAAATGCTCGCTTACGGAATTGCTCACTGCATACAAGCCCTACCTCAGCCAAGTTGGGCTTGCGGGCAAGGACTTGAGACTAGCGAAACAGGCAGCAGGTATGGTGGAGGAAGAGGCATGAAAGGCTATGTAACGATGATAACATCTTGTATTATGAGATAGACATGCGGCTATTGTTTGTCCGCGTGCGTTGGAAAAGTTTCTCTGCATTGGCTTTTTCTGATATCCAGAGATGCGCGAGCTTTCTATTTATGTATCTAGGGCCCAAGAAGAGAGTGGGAGTTGGGTTCGGTTTTCTTTGTCTTCGCAACAGAATTCAGGGCGAAGGGGAGTCGAGTTGCATTTGTCATTAGCATCAACAAGGGAATTGACTTGATAAAAAAAAGATATATATATATATACCTTTCACCTTCACATCAGAACGCAGGACATTTCTAGTCCGAACGTCCTTAATTATAGCTATCTCATCTTTTCACCACATCGGTAGTAGGGTAAACACGCACTTCCTATTTGGGAAATAGTGAAACAAAAAAACCCGGGTCATAAAATCCCCGCGGGCCGAGCCGCGGTGGATCCCACGGCAAACGCTCGGCCCTGTCGATTCCTGCCGAGAAAGGTAACTATATGAGAAAGTACTTCACACAGGATAGGATAGGATAGGATACTATCAACTTTGAATTTATACAGTATAGAAATCTGAGATATTCTTATCACAGAATGGGTCTTGGGGACATAACGCTTCGGTTTGTTTTGGTATGTTTGTGTGAGTGTGAGTGTGTCGTTATTATCTTATGATATGGTATGGGGTTAGATGTATACATGCATCATAACACAGTTTAGTTAGTAGTAAGGATATAAGAGATGCTATGCAGGTTTCAAGGTCTGGGCGTCCTTCTGTAGCGCAGGTTCTAGATAGTGTGCCCACTGTCCATTGCCCAACAAGGCTGTAAGTCTGTTAGTGCTGGTTTGTTATGATGTGGGATCGTGCGCAGGGTTTTGCGCGTATAAGGATAGGGCGAGTATTTAAAGTAGAGTGATTAACTAAATTGGATATGTGCGTCTAGTGGATTTGTTGGATTGAACGGCGAACTGTATACTTAGTTACTTACCACTACATTCTAGTTTCGGGTCATGTTGGTGAAAGAGGCTATTGGATTCAAGAATCATATCAGCAGCTATGCTGTTCTATTGAAGACGGAATAAATACTATATGCACCCATATATATGTGTGTATACATATGTAAGTCTATGTATGTACAACCCCCACAATGATCAGTCTCGCACTTTGGATGACAGTACGTAAGGCAATGGCCATGATGGCTGATTCATCACGACTATAATATTACCACTGCCTCTCCACGGAGCTGCCTTGCCGATGGCTATAATTCTCTCTGGCTGCAAGAGTGCATGCAGGAAAGAGGTGAGGTAAGCCTGCGTGCAAGCGCCCAAGATCGCGAATCAGTTTTTTGTTTTGGAAGAACGTCCAGAGAATGAGTTTCCGGTAGATGAAAAACGAAGAACCGGTAACTCCCCAATTTCTTTTACTTCCCAACCTCGAAATCACAAACACACAAAAAGGTCGTGTCACGTCACAGTCCCTGTACTTTTGTTTTCTTCTTTTTTTCCTTTTTGTCTGCATGATGGCCTACCATTTAGGCCATCTGCCTAAACTCGCCCTCTCTGTACTCCAGAAGTTGTCCATTCGTAATCTGAAATTGCAACACCACACACAAAATGCTCGTCAAAACGTCACAAGACGATGTTGCTCAATATCTGCCAATCGCATGGCGGAAATGCTTAATATCGGAGGACTTGAAAAGAAAAAAAGAAAAGGTCCTTGGGAATCCAAATAGTTGCGAGAACGAAGTCGGTGTTTAGACAAGTGAACGGAAGCGAACATGGTAAAAAGATGCACAAGCGAAGGATAAGAAGGTCTCGAATATTAATCGCCGCCCATATTTGCAATAGCCGAAAGACGCCTGCCAAGAAGGAAAAAATGCGGGGTGAAACGTTTCCTTTCCCCAAAGTCGAACGGTACCGTAAATGCGAATGAGGGAAGAATATGATCTGATCTAGGATTCGTCCATTACTTCATCGATGGTGTTTGAGCTGAGGGTTCCTGTTGATGAGACCGTAGTACCGGCTCCGTTCACACTTGAGGGCCCTCGGCCCCCTTGTTCACTGATGCTTCCCAGTCTGGACTCAGCCTGTGGTTCATCCTTCATGCACGCATTTTCGAGGATATTAGTCCACTTCCCGCTGGTGCCTGCGTGGCTATGCTTCAGATGCTGCCGGAAATGATCCGCGCGGTAGAACTTCTTGGCATTGTTGCATTCCCCGAACTTGTGCACGCTGGTCAGATGCTCAAATCTGCGGTCCCAGTCGGGTTGCGGGAAATTAGGGAAGTCTTCGCCGCAGTATCCGCAAGTATCATGGGAGGGACCAGCACTGGTTTGGGCCGCTGGTGAGATAGAGGAGTGAAAAGCAGCTTGGTAGCCCGACAGAGCAGCACAAGACCAAGAATGACGACGGAGATGGAGCGAATTCTGATGACGCTCAGCCTCGTTCTTGTTCTTGAACCGGTTGTTGCAGAACTGGCATGAGTATTGCTTCTCTGACTCGTGGGCCCTGGAAGGTGAATCCACGTTAGTTTGGCGCTATACAACACGCGGGATCTTCACAGAAAAAAGTAAATCAAGTATATCTTACCTCAGTTCTTCAGGGCTGCTAAACTTCTTTGGTTTCTTTGGGCAGCAGTCACAAATGAACATGCCTTGGATCCCTGGGCCTGTCGGCTTCGACACGTTCAACGTTGTCTGTACGGACATCTTCCGTGCCGTTACTGCATTCTGAGCCTCGGACACTGCGCAGTACTGGGCACCTCTGGCAGCCGGTTGACCGATCAGAGATGCTGGAGGACTGGGATTGAGGATTGTCTTCTCGTGGTACTGCTCGAACTCCGAACCGGGCGATATGCCTCCAGGGGAGAGACGATCGTATGAAGAGATGCTTGTTACACTGCTGCCTCCCAATGACAATCCAGCGGATGAAGCATAGGAGCCGGTCCGTAGGCTTGCAGAAGAGGCCGATGACAGTGATCCGGGACAGACTTGATAGCGGGAATTAGGAGAAGTTGAATTAGTGAATGGATGTTCTGTGGTCCGCCTTTGGCGATCACCGTTGCTTGTCGACGCTCTTCTCTTCATGCCTTGCTGCTTGTACTGAGTTGACGCCCCGTCGAGATAAGGGGGAGTACGTTCTCCCAAGGGGCCCTGCCGATATTGTGTAGAATCTTCAGCAGAAAAGTCGCCCTCCACATCCGAAAAGACGCCTTGGTCATAGCTTCCCCGGTTCGATCGACTAGGTAAACTGAACGTGTCCTCAGACTGAGGAGTCACACCACCAGCAGATCGACGAGCAGCATTCTCAAAGTCAAGCCCGAAAGGAGCGTTGCTTTCAACACTAGGACTCCGGCAGTCCATATAGTCTTTCCATCCGAGCTTTGTCCCTGGTGAAATACCTCCAGAGGAGTTATTATACCATCTAAGCTCCAACGAACCTCCCGGGCCGTCGGGAGCGCCAGGAGAGGGAAGGGTTCCCGCACTCCGTGGATGGAAAGGCAACGCTGTCAACGAATTCCGGGCGTCTATACCCAAAGGACCGGGGTGTCGTGATGGAGAGTGTGGTTTTCCGATTTTCGAGAGGAGATGTTGGTCGTATGCATCTGAAGAGCTTTTCACGCTCTTGCGAGAGAAATCCCGCTCACCTTCGAGACTGGTTCCACCACGTCAGCACAACCAATTCAATAACAACTCTCCTTCTATGTAACCATACTGCGCAATTGACAATCAATGCTCAGGTAAAAAAAAAGAATAAGGTATACTGCAAACGAAAAAATTTGATCCTGGTACTTACATTGGTCCTGGCATGCTTGAAGAGACAGAACCTCGAAAGCCCTCATCGGTCCGGTGAGGAAGGTCAATCTTAATAGGAGGCTGTGGACTTTTGGATAGAGGTGTACCACTAGTTCTTTCTAGTTCAGACACCATTGATCTGTCACTTCTGGCCAGTGGTTCTGGGCGTGAATGACCTCCGTACAGGCTTGAGCCAGGGTCAATTGGGGTCAATTTTCCAAAACTACCAAACCCAGGTGAATTCGCGTGAATCCAGCCAGCATCATGACCCGATTGCAGGGCGTTTATATGGGGTGGAGGCGGAAGCGGAGGAGGAGCAAAGTCCTGCACATTCTTGGTAGGAATCCTCATCGGCCCAGGCGATGAGAAGGACTGTTCACCAACAGGATGGGACGATGAATTAACCGTGGACATGCGGCGGTCATAGCTGTTGTTGAAATCATGGACGTGGATCGAAGGCGGGGAGGACAGCCGCGGGAACTCCATATTCGAGGGAAAGTTGCCTCAAGCCAAACATCCAGGGGTGGAGAGCAATAAAAATGATCTCTCAGTATTCGGCAGCTAGACGCATAGGACGATGAACGGGCGTTTCGCAATTGTCTCGTGGTGGCAAGTGGAACGGCTCCGTTCGGGTAGTTCGTTGTGCCCAGCTGAGGGGCAGAGATAGGACCGAATGGGCGCCGTCGGTGAGAAATATCGAAAAAAAGCTTCCTGTAGAAGTTATGGTGGGTTGTTCAAAAGAACGCCGGGGCAAGAGACGAGAGTGGCGCGCGGTAGATCCCGTTAATAGAAGGAAATGAAATGATATAATAGTCTTGTTTTGGCGCTTGTATCTGGATTAGAAAGAGTAAGGTTAGGCTTGGTACATGGACTTGCGGCCTCTTGTCAGACAGTAGGGCTGAACAACGTACCCTATTCGGGCTTCTAAACGGGGGATCCAGTCTGCCGCTGCAACTCATCAAGTGAGGTCGATGTATCTACCACACCCAGATGGAACCCTTTCCTTTGTTTCGCAACCAGCGTGGAGTTAGACCGTGGATAGCGGGGTCAAGTGGAAGGGCCAAAGAGCATAGTGAACGGCATCAAGATTCCAAACGTGCGTGTGTACAAGACGGGAACGTAGTGGTGGACAGCCAACCAGTGACGGATCAGGAACAGCCTGTCAAAGAAGAAAAACTGCTTTTCTTCTGGGTTCTCTCTGTCTTTGTCCCGTAAGGATAATGTCCAATACAATGACAGAGACGCGAGGGTAGCCTAAGTATACTATATGCCGCGGTTGTGCAGAAAAGTTTCCCAAGCCCGCAAGCCAGACCAGTCGTCGATGGATATTTCCGTTCGAGACACAGCGCGGAAAAGAGCTGTCTCTCTTTCTCTCTCTTAGACAGGGAGTATGATTGCACCCGCCACCTGTGGGGGGGCGCAATTTGTTGAATGTTGACAGTGAACGCTCTTGGTTCGCCGCTGACCAGCAAGACAACAGCCGAATTCCGCACTGCAGGGTGTGCTGTTCCGGTCGAGAGCGCGCGCGCAGGGAAGAAGGAGAGTTAAGAGAACGAGCGAGATCCGAAGAGGATTGAGACTATCATTCGCATCGGTATCCGCACCAGCTGCAGCTCCTGTGGGCACTCTTTTTTTTTTTTTCTCCCAGCGCGCGCTGGGATGGCGGGAGCTGGCTTCGAGTCCGTACACCGTATGGGGTGTAACAGACGAGACGAGCAGATGGGCCAGGATCGCAGATGCCAAGCCCGCGGAAGGGTGGGCGACAAGCCCCAGGGCCGATTTGCAGGACTGTCACTTGTCAAGAGAGACAGTCCAGTGGCTCTAGCTGGAGCAGAGACGGTCTAGTGATACGTACTGTGCTGTTAGCTGGAGACATGAACTCACGCCGTTGGAAAAGGCCCGCGCCGGAACGGCCAGGCAAGGCTTCATGGGGGCTGCGGGCTGGCGGGAGCTGGCAGGGCGTGGTGGATTCCCAGGACCCTCACGTTCGATTATTGGAATTGAATTAACTTCTCTCGAACCAGGACCAGGGTGGCCGCAGTAGGGCAGACCGTGACACCAAGCGGTTTAACTGGGGATGGTTTCGTTCTGGCGCTTCGGGATAGCCGTCGTGGAGCCGTGCGTTTTTTCTGGACGGTGGTGCGCCAGTGGACAGGCCTTGGGCAGATCAGCTACCGCCCTTCTCAGAGCCAAAAGGACAGAAGAGAAAGAAAAAGGAAAACCCTCAGAGACTCGCTTGGGGTTGGTGAGGATGATCCAGTCTGCGTTGCAATAATGGTATCAGACCCGTCCGTCCGTTGTTAGAAAAGACAGATTTAACCGGTGATACATGCAGCCCAGCACAGACGCCCCCCCAGACAGCGCACCGCAGAAACCCAAACAGAGCATGTGTATTTGGCACTGACAGGAGCGTACATCAGAGCAGGACTGTCTGTGTGTGCCATTATTCGTCCCTCCTTCGTACCATGGACCGTCCCGAGGGGAACAAATCCAACGACGCGTCTGATCATCGTTGGGGCCCGGGGCCGACGGACACGCTAGAAGGTTATGAGAATCCTCCATGGAGCGGTGAACACGAGCTACTCGACTAGATGGAGAGCTATCCAGTCCAAAGAGAGCAAGCACTTCGCAGTAGTAGGAGGCAACGGTTCATTAAGGCAAGTCAAGCCATAACATGGTCAAGGACACTATTATTCCTACTACTACGGAGTTACAGAAAATATTAATTTCCTCCTCGTCCACGGGACCAGAATCTCTAGTCTCCATACACTTAGATAGGTACCTCTCTCTCCGTATCTACGCTCTCTGCGGACACTGATAAAAATAACATGAGCAGGGATCCTTTTACTACGGCATCATACTATGGGTGTTCCTTGGCCGTGCTTGTACAGTACAAGTACTCTGGACCGTTCAGGACCATACGAATCCTTAACTAATTCCGCCACGCGATGGCTGACTTGGAGGGTGTGTAGAAAAGTACGCTGTCGTTTTCTGGTGGCTCACTGATTCGCCCCGAACAATCATGCAGTGCACGATGGCGGCAAAGCAGTCACAGGGCTAGCGGGACCTCTTTCATCATCGATAAGCAGGGGGTAAAGAGCTCGATGGTCGCGTATACTTACGGGGTACATGGAATACTCTAATCATATCTGTCCCTTGGGACCATCGATTCAGAATGTTACAGCGTCCGGATGACTGGGTCTATCTACGGGTAATATTGTTGTTTCATTGCTGACGGGAAACCCCCCGCCGCAGCTCCCTGCAACCCAGAAAAGGTTGTTGTTCGGTATGGAGAGGATCAGAATGGAAAAAGCGCTTCACTTAATATTTCTCTCGACCCTGCCATTGGGTTGATAGGGTTTCCTTTCCGTGCCCCCGTCGACAAGTAAGTAATAATCCAAGAGGATCGATACCCGCAAAGTATGTTAACTATGTGTTGACATTATTATTATTGTTGTTGTTGTTCAGAATCAGAAAGCTCGTTACCACCCTTTTCCGAATTTCTCCTAGTGGTACCTTTTTTGCAACATCTGTTAAATAGTAAGGAGCAGTCGGAGACCAAGGCTGCCCTAGAGAAGTCTCAGATCCACTCAGTGCGGCCTTGTCAAGCATGACCCGTTGCGCTAGACTCGACTCCACCTGGAGGAGCTTGCACTGCCACAATAATGGTCCCAGGTCCTTCATTCCTGTTGGTCTGCCCTGCGCATGGCAATCGATTCAGGGTACGCTCTGGAGTCTCTCCAGTTGTCCTGAGTGACGCTGGCTGCTGCTGCTGATAATGACGGAGCCTAGTTGAGGGAAAAGAAAACAATGCTCGAGGATCCAAGTGTCAAACCAGGATGGTCACATCATCAGTGGTGTATCGAAGTTCTGACGGCAGACGCCCATGTTTACATACAAAGAGATTATTGTCAACCCGTTTAGAGGTGCCTGTCTCCCTAACCAAAAGAAGCTGTTACGCAACTGTCCAGGTGGACACCCAGCCCATCCATTATTATGCCCCGTAAGCGCCGATTGCCAGCACTGGACAACGGATCCACACAAGCTCAGCAAGAAGTTGAGCGCTGCTGGGAGCCCATCTGCGAGGCCCCCCATCGAGTCCCAAGCTGAACTCCAACGGAAGCATTTTCACAACCAAAAAATTCCTGAGGTCAGCGCGTCGATCAGATGTATTTGATTCGGGCATGCGACGCTGGCCCAGAACTTGTCGGCAGGCCGTGCCAATTAAACTTGACAGGTCTGTCGTTCGATGGCGAATTCAGAGAGAAGTTGGTGTTCCAGCGGGATGTCAAAGCTATCCGCTGACGGGTTAATTGCAATCTTCTCTGGAGCCCTGACTGCATCCCAAGACCGGAAGATTGTCAGACAGGAACGCACTACTGCTCTGCCTGCTGCTTCCCCCTGGGCTGCATCGAATCCCGCGGGTCGCACGCAGCGACAGGGCGCATGAGGATTATCGAGGCAGGCTAGGGAGACGGCAGGGTGCGCCCTGAAGCGCCGCTGCAATATAAAGTTAGGCTAGGTTACTGTCCGGGCGCCGTCAGCCTTAAGAGGCTGCGGCTACGTGCCCGTGCACACGGCTCTAGTCAAGGGACGTTTAATGAGCTGCCGCAGTGATCCCTCCAGATGACCTCCATAACCACCACACCACCACACCGACACCCATCACAATAATAATAGTCATAATGATCATAATAATAATAACCATGACCTCCAGGTGCCCTTAGGCTGTGGCGTTCCACGAACCGGCATCCCATTCCGCCGGATTGGGCACTTCTTCGGAGATATATCGTTGATTGATCGCCCTGTGGTCCTTGCTCTACGGACAGTTCGTCATCATGATTACGGCCGACTTGGGTTACTATGATACTGTCTCTATTACTCCGTATTTCATCAGTGATCGATCGTTCGTTCTGCTTGGCCCTGAGCATGCTCCATCATCCGGGGTCTTGTCTTTCTTCGCTCCCCTGCAGAGAGTCGGGGCGTCCAGAGTAGAGCTCTACCCTGACACAGTGGAGCTACCCGGGATATCAGACGATCCTCATGTGTTGGGGCACGGTCTCAACGGAGATTGCGGTCGAAACGATTAACAAAGAAAGCCTGATGTGTCCAGCTTACCGGTCGAGTGCGGGGTGCGACAGCTTCCAGGATATTTATCATTTTTCAAGATTGGTTAGTCCTCGAGACACTTCGCCATATGTGCAACAAACAAAGTGCAATTACCCGACGTCGTTGTTCCAAATCCCGATGGTCTAGCTTAACGCAGGGCAGACTAGTAACCTAGCAGTCGCGCAGTCTCACCATATTCATAACAATAATCTGTTAAGAATACCCCACGTACCCAAGGAGGTCTAGCCAAGACTGTCATGTCATTGAGTTGGTGCTAGGCTTATTTTGTCTGGAAATAGTGAGCAGCTAAGCTAAGCTACACTTACGGTGCTTCTTGCAGACCCGCAGAATCAACGGAAATCGAAAATTGTTCCTTTTCGTACGGAGAAGGCTTGAATCCTGCACCTTACTGGCTTGCTGCTGAGATATACTTTCAACCACTGTAGATGGTGCCAATGGGGATGCCGGGCCTCCGAGGAGGGCGCAAGCCCCGTCTACAAAATACGTTTTCAGAACAGGGAAATAGTGTGACTATAGGATTCCTTGTTACTGGTGCAGCTGACTTGTCATCTGGCCTCAAAGACACTGGTCAGAGTCAGACAGAAGCACAGGTGCGGCGTAGCTGCTTATCTATAATAATAATACGTCACGGAACTCCTTTTGCTGTTATGTGAGGATTGGTTTGCTTCCAAGCAGCAAAGAGCTCATAGGGATTAGTCTAACGATGGGGCTGCAGCTAAGTGAGAACCAGCTATTCTTTATCGAGACATGTATGGCTATATGGGAAGCCCCTGAAGACTACCAGATCTGCATGGAGCCATGGACCAAGATTCTTTCACAACCCATCGAACTAGGAATTGTCTCGGGAGATCTTGAATGCGGGAAATACATGACGTCTCAACAGGGCTGTGCTGTTGCAGTGAACCACAATCGAATCATGCCTTGAGATAATAATAGGCTATGGAGCATCCTCATGGCAGATGGATCTTGTCATTGGATAATCCCCAAAAACACGGGAGATGGGTCAGCAGCAAGACCCATGGGCCTGCTTGGACTCAAGAGTCGCGACATCTGATATTCGCTGTGTCTCCAGAGTCCATCGTATGGTAGTCTACCGGTAGTCCTGGTGAATGAGGGGAATTAGAAGCGGGTTAACCATGGCTCACGAGATTGGATCTGGCGTCATCACATGGCATGCCCTAGCCCTAGCCCTAGCCCTGTGCCCTAAGCAGATATCGCCAGCCCCGCTAAAACTATCCGTCCCTTAGTTACTCGATTAGTCAAGCAGCCTGGCCAGGAAAAGTCTCTGAAGAAGAGAACTTCCCCAGTTCTTCCCAGCGGGCGCGGAGACGGTATCAGGCTATTATTAAATAATACCCACGTTACAGTCCATATTTCATCTTGCGGACGTCACTCTCTCATTATCTGGATGGGTGTGCTGTCGCCATGGCGATGAATCAAGTTCCTGGTGAAAATATCTACATAGGCGGGTGGGTAACCCTAGAACGACCTCCCTCAAGACACTTTTGGCCTTCCAGCACCTGAGCTGGCCTTGCAGCGGGTCAAGCCGCCTTTTGGAACGTGCTGACAAGCGTCCGCTGTGCTTTAGCTTCCTGTCTCTCAAGAACAAGGCCGCATTAACTAGAGCAAATATTACACATATTGTCTCCGTGTTGCGGCTTCAGCCATCAGAGGATCTCTTTGCTCCTTACAAGCACCTAGCTATCGAGGTCGACGATGTCGATGATGAAAATATCTTGGAGCATTTCCCGCGCGCCATCGCTTTCATTCAGTCGGGACTTGATGAAGGTGGCAGTGTCCTAATCCATTGGTGAGTAGAATACCTGGTTTCCTAATTTGGCAATACATCATGTCTCAAATTGATCCCCCTACCTGTAAATTTCCTCTCTTTACCGATCCCTCGTACCTCCTTTCTCTTATATTCTTCTTCTTTTCTATATCCTTCTTGCCATCATCGCCCGAGTACTAGTGGATCATGGAAATGATGCGGCATAGTTTCCTTTTTGTTGTCGGGGATGTCTCATGTCATGTGACTTCTATGTACAAGAATATCAGATCATGTGCAGTCTCGAGTCACCATACTTCGTTGGGGTTTCTCTAGCCCACTTGTCCCAGATGTTTTATGACTTTCTAGTGTACTTATCCTGGATATCATAGTTTTGACTAACAGGAGCCACAGTGCGATGGGCAAGTCTCGCTCCGCTACAATCTGTATTGCCTTCCTTCTCCACCGAGATCGTCACACGACAAACCCAGAAGCTGCTCTCGCTCTAATAAGAGAAGGGAGACCACTATGTGAACCTAATGAGGGTTTCATGCAGCAACTGACTCTTTATCATCAAATGGGCTGTCCTGATGATGTCTCTGGACATCCGATTTATCAAAGATGGCTTTATCATCGCGAAGTCGAGGAGAGCGTTGCATGTGGTCGAGCTCCAGAATTAGACGCCATACGATTCGAAGATGAACAACCAGTCAGCACTGAATCTTATTGTGGACAAACGACAGAGATTAAATGTCGAAAATGCCGGTAAGCCTCCATGCACCTCAGAAGATTATATTTGCCCACTCGACATTGTCACTCGAAATTGAACACTAATCCTATCTGGCGCTATATAGGCGAATGTTGGCAACTACGCCGTTTATCATACCCCATGAGAAGCCGAGCCAGAAGAAGTCTCGGGGCGCAGTGGAACCCGAATGTGCTCATATCTTTCTGCATGCTCTGACTTGGATGAGGCCATCTCTTTTCCCGTCGACGCCTCCTGCTGACCATTCAGACTCTGTCCAGCAAGCAGAAGATGCACCACTTTCAGGCCGTCTGACATGTCCAAACCCCAGCTGTGGATCTAATATCGGGAAATTTGCATGGCAGGGAATGCAGTGCAGTTGTGGCAAATGGATCGTACCTGCTATGGGAGTCGCAAGGGCTAGAGTTGATGTTCTGGAACGAAAGTCCCCAAAGGGGAACGCGACGCCCAATGCAAGGCTTGGTGCAATGGGCATCCGTCTACCGCCCGGCATGAGGTCTTTCGACGCGGGAGCTCCAGGGACGGGACGAAATAACCTCTGAAGACAATCACAATAGATAAAAAAAATTAGGTGACCATGCATTCGGACACGCCAATATCGACCAGTGACAGACCCCTCGCTGATAGCGAGGTCTGTTAGTTGCAGCGGCGAAACTGTTGACATTCAGTCCAGCGACTGATCCGATCTTCATAGGATCATTAAGCGCAGCAGTCTATTACATCCAGTGATCCCCAGTGGCAAATGGCCGTGGAGTTAGACAGCATACGTTTCGGGATACCTCACTCTAGGGTACAGCTCAGGCAAATGATTGCCAGATGCGTCAGAGATTACCACGAACGGTTAATGCAGGAAGACTAGAACAGAAGTCCTTCTGTCATATCTATTCTGACTACGCAGGTTTGAATGGTTAGATCGGGCCTGCACATTGGCCGATCGGAGAGCGTCCTATACCAACAGCAGACATTGGATGATGACCGAAATCTCGAGCCGTTAACCTCTTCAGGTTCATAGATCCGACATAGAGATCAAAATGATTATCATGGCCATCATGTTTCCCAGAGGCCTTACCATTATCTGATATTCGGCGCGTAAAGCAGACAAAGACATCACCTCTTAAGATCAAGTAGTTGCTGCCTCGGGCTACAATACGAGAGTTGTCAATGGAATATTTTCATGTTAGAGCCTGAGGCCACAGCGCGACAGCAACCATGGCTCTTGCAGACACCGTCTGTTGGCGTACGCTTGGATCCTGCAAATCATTACCCCATATGCATGCTCCAGCTCGTGGCTTTCATGGATTTCCGTCACCCGCGAGCTTGGTACGGTACCTCACCCATGGGCTCCACTTGTTACATCCTTCCGTTGCACATCCTCAAGAGGTAATTCAGGCTCTGACGCTGTTGGATGTGTCGAACCAGCGTTGAAGAAGTCGAATGATAACTTTATAGCCTCGCCATCGGTAACAGCCTCAATACTGAGAATGGTCGCCGAGGGAATTCACTGTGGCAGCGCAAAGATCTTGCAGGGTATTCATCCGTATTCTCCGGGAAAAGCTGGAGCGGTCGCGCCATGGCAGTCTAGTGTATCGCACGAGTCAGAAAAACGGCCCTGCTCGCCGGCTAAGGACTCAGTATGAGCTCTAAGACCGCCGCAGGCGCCATAGGGAAGGATATGAGCTTCATTATTGGACTGCTCGCTTGAGGCGCTCGGCAGTTTCGTCAGCCCCTGTGCAATCGGGGATCTTCTATCGATTTAGTTGCCTGTCAAGTTCGGCCGGATCATAACCGGCTTCGCAGATGAACTGAAATTGATTGTTCTATAACGTGTCAGGCCGTCATAGAGATTTTCTGTCTCGCCACCGCCCACGAGCAATGTTGACCGCAAAGAGCGGTCAGCGCGAAGTGAGAATCAAACTGTAGCCGCTAGGCGCACCGCCAGTTTGCGGGACCGAAATGTCCCAGCCGTCGATTAACCTACTGTATTGTCCTTTTTTTTTTTTTTTTTGGCGCGTCACCAGCTTCCTTCCAAGCCTTATTCAAGGGCATTGTTAATTACCTCTTTGCCGCCAGTCGGAGAAAAAACATGCATGGATTAGCCCATTCCCGTAGCCGACCAGAGCTAAGGGGATCTGACATCCGAAAACGATGATCCTTGCGCTTCTATCTACACAACGGACACTGATCAGCACATCCCAGGAGACAGTTGTGTGGAAGAAGCAGCTTGGATGTTGTGTCACAGATTGCTCGGAGGCAGCAGAAAACTAAAATGGTAGATCAAGGTGTAGACTACCGTTCCTTTTCTGGTCCGCACATTCACTTGCCCGTCCTTGACACGCAGAAAGCAATGCTTCTCGCGTCTTGGCTAATAGTCACCTCTAGGCTCTGTCACTCTGTGGATCGGTCACTTTATTGTTGTTGCTCTCCTATTTCGCACCAGGGCTATGGCGCCAACCGGGATTCACTGCCGGAAGTCGCGATAAATCCTTCATCTCCTCCATCTGTAACAAAATTTCTCCAGTCCCTTTCCTGGTATGGGAGTTACCTACTCAAAAGCTGAAGTGAACCCCCAATCATCTCCAGCGTTGTTGGCCAGAGTCGCCACTGCGGCGGCCACTTTGGCCAATTCAGGGACCATGGCATCCCAGGGTTCCTACTTCTGGGCAGTGTACGAGGGCTAGACCCAATCATCCAACAAGTATCAGCCCTCTAAGGTTCAGTCTGACGCCCCCAAACCCAGGGTCAAAGTTGAAAACGAGCGTAGCCTTTCGGAGTCTATAATCCTCGAACAATGCTAGTTGTATCACTGTCTCCTCAATGAAGGAGGCGAAATGCCAAAAAGAAATTGACAACTGATAGCGTCTGGGCATAAGCATCAATTCAGGGGGAAATAAATAAACTATCACAATAATAACGTCAAACCCCCCAAATTCGGTATCCACGTAGCGTAGCTCATATTTCGGATTCGGCGATTTCGGGGACCTCGAAACTAAGGAGTTTTTGTTTCAGTGTGTGGATATAACTCGTAACTAATTATAGGTAAGAGTATGACATAACCGACATTCTCCTTCTATTTCGGATGTTTTTCTATCTTTGTTACCCGATAGATGGAAGAAAAATAATATCTTAACCAAGTTTATTCTTCTACAGTATATGTGCATGTGTACAGTACAATAATCCCGTGACCAATCAGTTACAGAGATCTAATCACGTACTTAAACTAGCGAGATCGCTCTATAATTTATAGCTAGATCTATCTAGATTCTATTATCATATAAATAAAAGGAGAAGAATTGCTCCGGAAATCATTACTGCCTATTATACTGGACGGCTATAATAGACTAATCACTGTCTAGTTATCTTGTCCTTCGCACTAATATCGGAATTTAGTCGCGCTCGCATAATTAAGTAAAATCATAATATATCTGTTCCACAGAATATAATCCTAACTGCAATAGTTAGTTTTAGAATGGATAGTATATTCTATCGGCGCATAAAGCGAATGTCCAGGTAATTTGTTAATTATCCGTTTGCAGCACGTCCTGAATATATTATAGGGTAGAAAAATGATCTAGATTCTTTGTATGTCATAGGAGATAGATATGGGTTTAGACCTCCCCCTAGAGCTAGGTTCAAGCAAGATGGTTTAAATCGAACGTTGCTTTCGTGCTATTAGATATACTTTCTAAATAGGCTAGCTTATAGAAAGCGGCGACGTAGATATATACACTTGCGCGTTAGTCCTCAAGATATCGCTATCTGCAAAGGACAGCAGAGGGTTCTAAATATACAGCACGTCCTATATACCCTCTATACTATTGTATTCGGTTTATTGAAAAGAAATAAACCCAAGAAAGATATAGCAATGTCTAGATTTTTTTTATACGCTATAGGAGATGAATATAGCTTCAAATCTCACCCTAGAGATAGATCTAAGAGACGTTACTTCTATGCTATTTGATATACTTACTCTCTAAACAGGCTAGCTTATAAAAAACGGCGATATATATTATATACTTGGGCGATAATCCTCAAGATATTGCTATCCATAAAGGACAATAGAAGATTTTAAGTATATAGCACATCCTATATACTCTCTATACTGTCGTATTTGATTCATTAAAAAGAAACAAACCCAAGAAAAATAATAGCAATATCAGAAAGGCCTTGGTTCATGGAATCTAGTTTGATATTGTGATTATCAAGTTTAACTCTGTCTGCTTGATGGGATGTATCTCTGGTATATGCCTAAACTGAAGTTGAACCACAACTTACGATACCATTAATCGATAGCCCGAACCGAATTAAGAAGTTGCTATGTTGACGCTCACGGAAGACAAGTTGACAAGGAGCTATCCTTGAGAAGGAGGGAGTCTATAGAAGACGACAACACATAGTTAGACTGCTAAATAAGTGTGTGTGCTATGCATGCATGCTGATGTACGGCAAGTCTAGGTATGCAAAGACAAATGAGGGGGGACAGCATAGAGAAAGGATCGTTGAAGAGCTGAAGCAAATATGCATTGCAGTATGCCCACTCAGACATATGCATCGATCACGTATTTCCCAAGAAATACCATTGAAGGCAGGACGATTGTTTTAATATAGACCGTGCAAGTACTATAACTGCAACATAATACACATGCATGGTTACCTGAGCCATCTGCAGCATGGGGATATCTCAAATGACAACAGTTTCTCGAGGACTCGGTTTCGGTGGCTAGTGTATGCAACCTGTTGGTGTCCTCTGCCTGGAGAGAATCAATGCATGATGGTCTGAGCGGATAAGCACCTGTGATGGTAAATTACAGCCGTCATCGAGGAGAATGGGTTAGAAGTAGTGCATGTATCAATATAATGCATGCAGATAAGATCCTGGTGGACTTGCAGGGCGTGGCCATACATATAGCTCTGGTGATCGCAGCAGAAGGTCGGCCTAACGGACAGAATAAGTAAAGAAAATGGCGATCAGACCCTTAGTTTATACAGCAATAATATTAAATTTTCCATATTCGTGTTGTAGATGCGGGGAGGATAGATCAACAAGGGTAGCTTCGATATTTATTCCGTTTTTGAGCGCAAGGATGGATTCTTCGCCACACTTTGACATCATAGGAAATAGGACAAAGTCTCCCGCACGCTGTACGTGCTCACCCACACAGTCTCACACCTGTGGTTGCAATATTGTATCAATCGGGTTGCATAACCGCTCATGTGGCGGCCCTTTTGACGGAGACTGCTGTTTAGGGCTGATATGGATACGAGGATAAGGTGAGGCATGCTGTCACGCATAGGCATGGAAGCTTGTACGTCTACCCGATGCGCCAGTGACAATTAGCCGGCCACAGATGCGGAGCAAGTACCTTAGCGCTTACCTTCGGGACGGGGGCTGCCCCCATGATATTGAGCACTAAGATGCTCATAGACGGTCCAGTTGTCCGTGCTTTCCACATTTCTCTCGTAAGGATCATGATCTCTAAGGCTGGCTGTGGCCATGGGAGAGGTTTCTGACAGCCATCAGACGTTTAGCACCAAGTAAAAAGACTCGCATCGCCATCCCAACAATCAAGACGATCAGTGACCCATGGTATGGCTGATGAGTGACACATAACTTTTGGTACTATCGGAAAATATGACCTGTGGAGTGTCGAGATAGTCAATGGTAGACTAAGCTTCATTGGATGGACCAGACAGCGGCCCCAGTCACTACCTGATTGTAGGTAACCTTTCATTATCCAGAGAGTCTCGAGCGTAGGCTGAATATAGTTGGAGATCTGCTCTATAGCATCGGCCTCGAGGTTTGTGTCACCACTTTTCCATTTATCTAGAGAAATAATTGAATAGATGAGGCAATAAGGTAGATCTCTCCACGACTCATCTTGGCGGACTAAATTGAACATTGTCGATATATTGCCGATCACGTTGGGAGTATATGACTATCAACTTTGAATCTAGAGCTTGACCCCGCAATATTGGACCGATTACTTCATGGTCTAATTGCTGTTGTCGTATGGTCGATATCCCTGGAATAGCTGCAGATACCCGTTTTGTCAACCGGGAACTTCCGAGATTTCGAAGAGTTAGACGGGTAAGCGATAATAGTGCTTACCAGTTACTGCAGATCATATCGAATTTTCTAGTCAGGTGAATGTCCGACGAACCAAACAGCGATGCATCGTCACGATGGCACTGCAGGTCAGTCCCAATGCTGACCTAGCAGTCATCCCATTGCAGTATAGGAGAGGGGAACCATGTTGACTTTGGGGGTACGGTCTGTAATCCTCTCTCGTTGTCGGTCATGGGAGTAAGACAAGAACATCTATCGTGATCTCACGGTGTATCTTCCTTTCCCCCGAATTCAGTGGCATGCTCTTTCAGTACGTATTGACGTATGCATATTGATATATGCATATTGATAATAGGAACCCTGTTTGCTTGATGCTGATACTATATTTGCGATAGTTGGCCTATTACCTTGCCACAGCTCAGGGTTCTCCAGTCGGGACGGATGGGAAGAGTGCCGAATCCCTCAGCCGCTCACGGTTCCTTTTTGCAAGCTCGATGTTGCGGAGCCTGTCAACTCGCATCTGATAAAAGTTCCTAAATCAGTCAGTCTACATTACCAGGACATCTCCATCTTCGTGACGTACTTGTGGAGGGAGAAAACACGTGGAGTATCGTCCGGTTTGGATTCAGTTGCCGCTTTTTTGATGGCGTCGATCTGTTTCAGCGTCAACACCTGTCTTTAGAAGCAAAGATACGTTTAGTTTTCGAGGGAAAGCACCTTCTCATTTTTCTCTTTCTCTGCATCATCTGATTCCTCCTTTTTCTTTTTATCTTTACCGTCTTCCCCTTTATCATTCTTCTTTTCCTTGTCTTCTTTTTCTTTCTTCCTTCGCTGCTTTTCCTCATACTCTTTCTTCACCTTTTCGATCTCGAGTGCTAGTGCCTCTTCCTTCTTCTTTGCCGCCTCCTTTTCCGAGTCGACAATAGGAGAGCAGAACCCCCGGTCCTTCAAATGTGCAGGACAAACATAGAAGAAATCCTGCATAAGTCAGAGAAACCAGCTCTACTGAGGACACCGGACAGATTTATGCGATGGACCGATATATAGGGAACTCTTACTTTATTGTCAGGCGTAATCAACACGCTTGTAGACGGTTTATAGCAGATGTAGCATGCCTTGGCGGAGCTGTCCGCCACGCGGCGTAAGTGCCACACATTAGGGAGAGACATCGTTCTGAGGACTACAATTCCTTCCTGAACAATTCCAGAAATCCCCCGACACTGCTTCTGGTATTCTGGGGCCGAACTGTCGCCGAAATGGCAGAGAAAATAGCTATTCAGAGGTACTGTTGCGGGGTGTTCCAGTCGTCGGGCGGAATTGCGGGCTCCGATCTTGATAGATCTAGATAGGTCATGTGATTGAATTAGGGACGACAAGCAAGTTTCAGCAACGACAGAGAACATCTTTTGCGTCCGGAATACATTGGTCGTAGAATGATTACCCTCCTTGCGGGGTTGAGTACAAATGAATCTTGTATTACTGTACCATTATCTTTCTGGCCTCTGATGGCTATTCAGCATCAGCTTTCAGGCAATGTGTTGACCACACTCTAATATCTGTTTCTTCTATCACACAAACTACGGCCTTAATATGCGAATTAGTGAAAATGAAAAACCCTCCCTAATGCAAGCACAATATACCCTCATGACGGACAGATTAAGGGACGGATACAACGAAAACTTAGAGTAAGTCTCGAACTACTCCGTTAAGCCCTTCTCCATCGCCTTCAGAGCGTGCTGTCCCAACGAGCCGGGCATAATGCCTTTCGCGTTCTCTGCACGTCTTCTCGCATCTATCCAGATCATAAACTCATCGTAGGTCTTCGGCATGACCTGGATGTCCTTCTCTACCAGGAATGTGTAGTTGAACATGCCGGTCGATTTTCTCGTTCCGTGCTCAACATCGCGAACCTTGGTGTCGACTCTGACCTGGACCTTGGTGAATTTGGTCTCATCACCCTCCTTACCTTCAGGCTCGGTGTAGGAAACTGACGCTCTCAGATACAACACGCTGCCCACAGGCACAGGGTTTTCAAAGGTGCTCGGGTCCAACGCGATGAAAGTCGGCCTGGCGTGAGCAAAAGAGGCTGCACAGCAGAAGGCCAGCTCGAACGACTGTCTCAAGAGGAAACCACCGAAAATCATGAAGTTGTGACGATTGCGGTGCTGTGGCTGCATGATCATGGCTGATTTGAGGACCGTGTCGTTCATAAAGACTACGTTGGAAGGTCGCTTGTCCGGAACGTTAGGGTCTATTGAGAGTCAGTATGGTCTGACTCGTTTTGCCTCGCGATGAAGACTGCTTACTCGACCATGAAGCCTCCTTCATCCACATTGAGTGGATAAGGTTGCTCTCTTCGTCGTTCGGCGCTTGTTCCAGCAAGCTCCGCTGTCGCAAGGACTTCTTAGCTTTGTAGTTGGCTTCTCCCTTTTTGAAGAGACGCCGTTCTTCCTCCGTCTCTATCTTGAGAGGGGCAACAGGGACAGGCCTATGGAGCATATCAGTAAAGAGCTCGATGTTTCCATGCAGGTAGGCTTCAACACCCACTTTCTCGTGATAGGGTCGAGGGACACCATGGTGAAAGCGCAGGTAATGAGAACGTCCTCTGGCTTCACCTGTTCTCCATCTGCGGGCGCTTTGGCTACCTGGAGGGAGACCTCCATACTGGACCTGCCAGTTGCATAAGTGACCTGTCCGCTGATCTCTAGATCACAAATCTCCTTGAGTTGGTTCTCAATGGTGATCCTATCCACCGCAGCAGTCACCGTGGCTACAGCGTCGCCGGTATGTCTGTACGCAACGACACCCGCAAATGCATCAAGGTCCATAAACAGAGCTCCCAATCTGTCCGATGGAGTTAGCTTGATGCTCTAAACTTGAAGCATTCCCGTCGTCTGGACTTACCTGATACGGCCCGTTGCATTGAGATACGAGTCCAGCAGCCATTTGTCTTGTGCCAGGGGCAACACCTGAAAAGCTCTAATGAGCAGAGTATCCAGTTTTACATGAACCATGCACACTCACCGCGCAGTAGTAGCTATCGGACATCCTTCTCGGGGTAAGATCGGGCCCCGAGTGCTCCGCCGGAGCCTTTCCCTGGGAGTTGGCAGCATCCTCTCGAGCCTTCGTCAGGGCATCAATCCAAGGCGTCTTCACACGCATTGGCAGCCATGTCGGCCGAGATGCTGCATTAGCCTGTGCTGGATGGAAGTCCCTCGACAGGAGAGGTTGGAACTGCTTCGAGGCCCTAGTGCATGGTGTAGACACGGCGCGCCTAGAACTGGCCAAAGCCGTCCTTCTACCGATCCCGAACATGATTCCCTTTCAGTACGGTTCTACTGCAGGATGGTGATAGCAGGTTTGCGATTATTAGTTACTATCTTGTGGGATGATTCAGAATGACTCCGGAATCTAAAGTCGCAATGCTAGTTTTCCCGTTCCGGGTGAAGACTGATCCGTCAGACGGGAACATCAATTAGCCTTGATCGCCCAGCACCGCCGTCATGAACAATGTTGTTGTTTCATTTCTATCCGTACAGCAGTTTTCCATTCGATACGCCATGTTCTCTTACCACGGACTCGGTATAGCGCCCAGAGTGCGCTCAATGCGCGCTTGTGAATTTCGCAAACGGCATCTTTCGGGAATATCTAATGACATCATCCCGCCATGAACTCTTTCGATGCGCATCTTCACGATCATTTCCCAGGCAGCCGATATACATCAACTGGACACGCTAAGTGACTAATGGTACAGATGGGGACAGACTGCAGCAACAATGGCTCCATCTATACAGGAACAGGGCCACTTCTACCTATGCAACCACGAGCCGATATCCGACTCGCCCGAGACAGCTACAACAGCGCATCCGGTACCGCAGGAACCGAAGCGCAGATCGAAAGCTTGATTTACAAAGCTATCCACAAGTCGATATACCATCAGATATGTGGAGGAGAGCTGTCTGTGACTGGCTGTCGCCCTTCTCGGCCGACAGATCGTCAAAATGACTTCATCGACTCTATGAAGTATACAAAAGCGACCACCAGCTTATGTGATCTGGTACTTGAGCTGAGGTATATAAATCAAGCACTGCCAGGGTGTTTTTGACTCTCAGAATATTGAAGCTCAGTAAATATCTATTGAGAAGTTTGATAACTGCCAGCGCAAAGGAAATCAACAAACATGAGTGACCCCAACAACCCCAACATTCAGAAGAGGACAACCCCTCAATGGGGTCTCTACCAAAGGGAGAACTTCTGGAAGCTGAATGAGGGCAAGACTGTCCCTTTCAACACAGGTTAGTGTCTTTCAATCTCCCATATATATTAAACCTATTCAACTAACAGCAACTGCGCTCGTCAGACCCCAAGAAGTTGGAAGAAAAGGCAAAGGAAGTCCTCAGTCTGGGAGGATGGTACTATGCATCTTCGAATGCTGGCATGTCCAACACACATCTTGCCAACCGACAGGCATTCTTCCGTCACCGTATCATCCCGAACCAGCTCGTGGACACCAACCTCCGAGACACCACTACAGAGATCTTCGGCCACAAGGTCTCCGCCCCCATTGGATTCGCACCTATCGGTATCAACAAGATCTACCACAACCTTGCTGAGGTGCCCGTTGCCAAAGTGGCTGGCGAGTTGAATCTGCCATACTGTCTCTCCACGGCAGGGAGCACACCGATCGAGAAAGTCGCTGAAGCGAACGGCAAAGGCCCACGCTTCTATCAGCTATACATGCCACACGACGACGAACTGACCCTTTCACTGCTCAACCGTGCCTGGAAGTCTGGTTTTGACGCCCTGATCCTCACAACCGATACCTGGCAACTGGGCTGGCGACATGACGATGTCGCTAACTCCAACTACGCCTTCTACCGCGGCATCGGCGCGGACCTTGGTCTCAGCGACCCTGTATTCCAGAAACGATGCCGCGAGGCCGGCATCGACCCAGAGAAAGACAAAGTCGCAGCATCCGCGAAGTGGATCGACAGCGTCTGGCACGGCCGCGCCTGGTCCTGGGAGAAGATCCCATGGCTGATCAAGGAGTGGAAGCGCATCTCCGGCGGCCGCCCTTTCGCCATCAAGGGCATCCAATCCGTCGCTGACGCCAAGAAATGCGTCGAGCTAGGCGTCGACGGTATCGTGGTCAGTAACCACGCCGGCCGCCAAGTCGACGGCGCCATTGCGTCCCTCGACGCCCTCGAGAACATCGCGAACGCCGTCGGCGACAAGATCTATATCATGTTCGACTCTGGCGTGCGTGGGGCCAGTGATGTCGTCAAGGCCCTCTCGCTGGGTGCCAAGTTCGTCTTCATCGGCCGTCTCTGGGTCTGGGGTCTCAGTATCATGGGTGAAGAGGGTGTTCGACACGTCATGAAATCCCTTCTTGCTGATTTGGATATTCTCATGGGCGTGGGTGGATTCAATAGCGTGAAGGATTTCAATAAGGATATTCTCGAATCGTACCCGAAGGGGTATACCTTGATTGCTGATAAATCGGCCATCTAAACCCGAATCAGTTATAAGAGACACAAAGACATAAACCAAGATCTTTATGTGTCATGGCCAGAGGACAAGAGCGGAGCGAGTTCTGACTACTCTCGGGATCAAATCACCAGATAACACATGTGGATTGATGAACAGTATGATGACTATGTAACGAGCACAGCATATAGTAATGAATGATACAATTTCTACATATCGAGATGATACGAGGTATTATAGAGTAGACGCAGGTCTGGATCTGGTCCCTGAAATACAGGGGAAGAAGAAATATTCCTAAATTCCATTTGCATTTTTCCATTCCGTATATCGTAGTGAATATACACCTAACTTAGCTATTCTTGATTCAGAATCTATCTCATAGACAGGGAAAGACAAAGGCTAGCGCGAAGCCACGAGGCTGCATGGGGTGAAGTAGCAGGATCAGGAGGGAAAAGAACACGGAGTGTTTCTGCGGAAACGCAGTGAGTGGTTTGTTTGGATAGGGATAAGAGGCTTTCCTTCCTTGCGTGTTTGTTTCTAGGTCCGAATCCAGCGAACCAAGGCCTATTTTTAAAAAATCGGTTTTATGCTCTTGGTTGACCGATTTAAAAGAGAGAGAAAACAGTGCCACCTTAGATGCAGAGTGTAACAGATGAGCTGGATAGGATGGGTGACGGCCCCCCGCATGGAGGATGCACCCGTAGCCAGCATGAAAGACAGTGATGGAGTTGATCGAAAACGAAAGTGCCACAAGGGGTACAAGCCGTAATGGTGCTTGCTCCACTTGCTCGTATAGACGCTGTTAAGGACAGGTAGATGAGACAGGAAACATTAAAAGGCGATATAGATTGCAATATGCAGCCAGACCGACTGTACAGCTAGGTCGGGAGGAAGGGAAGTAGTAGTAGAGGCTATGCACGTTTCAGAGAGGGTGCGCAATAGAGTACAAAAGAAGCATCGGACCTAGGACATGGAGCTTGTAGTGTAGTCCACAAGGCTCTTGTATATCGAATGTCCACTTCAGTAACAATGATGGATGCTCGCGGAGAACGTTCGGGGACATTTTGATTCTCAAGCTGCCTAGCGTTTAGAGAAGCGACAGCCAGAGCATGGTTCCAAAGCCCGCGAGGAGGAGCGGGAGATTGACAGAAGTTGTACCCGCGGTTCCATTCGCTGCTTGGTGCGGAGAGGTGCCCGAAGCCGAAGCCGTAGCCGTGGAACTAGACGTCGAGACAGCCTGGGCGTTGGATGCCACGGTGGGCTGGGTAGTCGAATTGGATGGAGTCTGATCAGCACGGTTGGCAAACCCTACTCGGTTGTTGTCATAGTCGAAGACAGAGTAGACATTCTTCATGAAAACGTCGCCCACTAGCCAGTCTGTGTTCCCGAAGGTCGTGTGGCCGATGATGTTCGACATGCAGTTGTTGCCGGTATTGTCGATAGTTGAACCGACGTAATCCTTGGGGGAAATGGCATACGTAGCACCGGAGAATGTGATGGCCACGGTGCTGTTTGAGCTGCATGGGATGACGAAATCCTCCCCCGAGGGCGAAGAGCCTGGGATAAGAGCATGCAGAGCGCTGGCATCCGCAGGAGGGATCAAGATGTAGGAGGTTCCCGAGTCGATGATTGCAGACCTGCCAGTCAAATTCAACGCCTTACCATCCACACTAGCATCATCCAGGGGAATCTGCCAGAAGGAGGCATCTCCGGTCGTGTTGGTGTAGGTAATATCGCCAGCAAATTTGTTCTGGTCGACAGCGCCGAAAGAAATCTCACCATCCTTGGCCCCGTCAGAAGCACGCTGCAGACTGAGAGCCACAATGTTCGACTTCAACAACTTCGCATCCGAGACAGCATCCATAAAGCTCTTGGTGCCAAGTTGGTTGTTGTCTGATCGGCCCAAACCCAATATGCCGTCGAACGGATACTGCAGGAAGTCGTCCGATGTCTGCTTCGCCCAGCCAAATGTCATTGTAAACTCGAAGCCGGCAAACGAGACCTTGTCGCTGGCCAGGACTCCACTGACTTTGCCGCTTCCGTAGCCGACATCCCACGAGTTCGACGTGACCTGTAGACTGGACGAATCGCTCGGTCCAAAAGTGTTGTGTTGTGCGCAGGCCTTGGACGTGCAGTCCGTACCCATGACCCATGTGTTGAGACCACCGGTATCCAACAGCATCCACATCTCCTTGCCTTGCGACCCGAAATCCACCACGGAGAAGTATGAATAGTCGTGGCCGTCTTCATCGATCGCGACGCTGTGAGACATGGTCGGGGTCTTTCCCTTGATCACTGGATAGTTATTATCTCGACGGATCACCTGCAAACACATCAGCTGGGGTGTCAAAGTTAGGAAGGGTTTCCAATTGACGAACATTGTTCGGCACCTTCTTGATATCCAAGCTGATTCCATGGTTGTCAGCATTGGCTGGCAGAGTCCATGGGAAGAATCGACTCTTCAGCTTTCCTGGCGATGAGCTGCCGCTGGAAATATCGAGTTTAAACGAGTAAGGATAGAAGGCCGTTACGCCTGTGGACAGGAATGTGGAGAGCAGAACACATGATGGGAGATGCATGATCCGGGGAAGGATCTAATAGTTCTTGAATGTGGCTGGAGGCAGCATTTGATGGTTTCTGACGAAGCCACTCAGCAAGTCAGATACTCGCAACAGAAATGCGTATTTTCAACGCAAATTGCACTGAGCGAGACACAGAGAAAACCGGGCTGATATATGTACAGGTGCAGACCAACAGATGTTAGTTCACAATTGTCTGATTGCACTAGCCAAAGGAGTCCGTTTATGACCGATCTATCTCTTCTTTTCTTTTCCTGCTGGTTCGAGATGTGCAATGGAGAATCTCGAGACCAGATCTATTTTCTGGATAGTGAATGTGCTTGAAGACCGGGTTTACTGGAGGGGAAAACGAGGGAAAACAGAAACCGACGAGGGGTTAGCCACGAGAGAAGACCCCACAGTCCAGCAAGCAATTAAAACAAATGAATGAGAGGACCAGAAATTAAAGGAAAGGATGAAAAAGAAGAGACAGGAAGGTACATTGACGATGAAGATGAAGATGAAGATGAAGATGAAGACTGCGTCCAGGTCGAGATAGAAGAGAGTCTCTACTCCGTATTAGCTATTTACACCCAACTGGCCGGTGCGTTCTCCAGCCAAGGAACCAGGGGGGCGCACCAGCCGCCCGTCAGCCAAACAGTCATCTTTATCAGCCGATCCGTGGAGTTTGCCCCTGGCCGTCTTTGCCCGTTTGGATGTTTAGTCGCTCTGCTTCCAAGGTCTGTGGCGGCATCTCAGCACGTAGCTCGACGCGGTTTCTGAGCTTTTTTTGTCCGGGTTGCAGCGGGTTGAATTGTTCGTCGGCCGTGTTGAGCTCCACCCCTTAAACCAACTGACTGAGATAGACTTGCTAAATGCAGATATGGTGGTCAAGGCGACTATAATCAATGATTGATTGCTGGCTCACTGCCACTTGCGCCCAACTGATGTGCAGCTCATCATAAGGACTTTCATAATGTGTTCGTTGAAAGTGGCAGGCAATTTTCTGATAGACCACGCACAGCGGACCCTGATGTTTCAGCTGCAACCAACACCATGGAATTGATTGATCGCATCCAACCGCAGTGGGCTGTCGCAGGTGATAACTTACACGCAGGTGGATGAACCCACCCCCACAATGACAGCATCGACAGTCGACCAAGATAGCCGGCTTTGAAGCCAAGCAGACCGTTCTCAGATACCGTTGACCAACAAGAAACGGCGGCCTCGCACACTAGCAGCAACGGCAGAATCATAGAATATCCATCTCATGTGTGCATCGCGCAACCCTGATGATTGTGGAAGTCAAGATAAGAGGAAAATGAGCAAGTAATAGTCTTTGGCGTGTATCATTCCAACTGTTCGCCTGTCCGGGGTGACACGTACTCGGCCATGTCGATCGCAGTCTGGACAATGCACGGGCAAATAGGGTCTAGAACTCTGATCTCCATCGGTTACGTCTGACCTGGTGGGAATGCTCTCAGGGTCAATTAAACCGAAATGATTATATCTTGGAATTGTTACCCATGGGACAACTCTGGATGCCTGTTTCATGTCGACACTGTGCCAATTGTTGATGAGAACAGAACGCTCTGTCCACCTTGAATGAACCTGGCGATCGGATGGAACTGCACGGCACACGGAGCTGCTAACCTCCGCATCTAGACTCGGCCAGCTTGGTTACAGGGATCTCGAACGAACTAGACCAATCTGCAGCAATCTCGATGCGGCAGTTTACATTCGTCCGCGATGCAACCTGCAATCCTGGTCCGACCACATGAAGCAGAACTTTGAATCAAATCTCACTTGAACAGCGATTCCTTTCTTCCTTTCTTCTTTTTTTATTCGATGGCAGGCGCCATGATGGGGATTGAGGAGCTGGTTCGATATTCAAAGCCGCGACCTGCGACTGGATCTATCAAATTCTATGGACCGACCAGCGGGGTGCGAGTGAGAGAAGCCGTCATGCAATCGCAGGCATTAGCTTATGCACAGTTCGATGGGCATTCCAGAACGCGATGCAAGCTCAATGCCGATTTTCAAGACAGAGAAGATATCTATGATACGCAGGACCAGCCTTTCTCCGATTTATTGACCATCTCCATAACGTGCCCTATTCTCCTGGATTATGCTTTATACTGATCTAGTAAAGGTTGTACTGTACAGCATAGTATGCATCGGACTCGCTGTATCGAACAATTAGCAGTGCTTTCCAATGGAAACAGCTATATGTTTTAACCTGACTTACTGCCAGTCCGGAATACCTTCGAGTAAACGCAGCAACATGCCACGGTTCGTCTATTTTACATTTTCCCACATACAAGGCAGGAAAAGTCCTATCAAGCTCTACTCGTTTTAAGAATACCCAGAAGGTAGAACAATAGATAGGTTATCGTTTTCCACAGGGCACAGTGAAAACCTAGGCCAAAGAACAAGCTATTGATATTTTTCTAACGCCTAATTCTTACCCTCTCATATAATACTGTATAACCGCATATGTTGCCTGATCATGACACTGTCCGCAGGCCATTTGTTAATTGAGATAGATAACTACAAATAGCCTCAGTATCGACCTTCTTCCTAAGACACCCAGCCCTTAGGAGATCGAGGTAAAGGATATCAGATGTCTCTGAAGTCGGGATTTTATGACTGTATTTTCCATTCACGATATTTCCTCACATACCTTGCCAGAAGGATTGGATTGTGCATCCATTGAGACTATACATATATTTCCTGTTAGAAACCAAGGAAAGGCACTTGATCTAACTTCTAAAACATCGAGGCACTAAACAACAATAACAATAACATGACAATCTAGCATGCTCTGCATCGCCAATATAATCACAATTTCTATTGCTGTAATTCCACGCAATGAAGATAGATCGACATAAAAAAAAAATAACAAATACACACCGCAACGACAACAAGCGCAACTCGAACTAATCGACATTGTATATTGAGCAAAATATAGCTAGCTCCCTTTCTTTACTACCTGAGTAACAGTATCTACTTAGATATTCCCCGCATCATAACCATATCCCTTCAGCTTATCCCCAACCTCTCCATTTTTTTTTCTTTTTTCTCTCTCTTTTACATGCATCAAATCACACCACATCTCGACTTTTCCCCCACGATTCTGGATTGTTGTTTCACTTTCTGCACAGCTCGCCTATCCGTCCGACCGACCGACTAAATACGGTAAAGTAACTGCTAAAAAAGTCGGGAAGCAATCTACCGCACTAGCCATTGATAATATCAGGACAAATAGAAATGCAGAAGCACGAGTCTAATCCATATGATAAACTGCATGGTGGATAAAAAGCAAAAAAAGAAGAAAGAGCTTAGCATGTCTACCCCACATTCAGTCAGTACATAGTCATACTATATCGACTATAAGTAACTTAATCTGAACTAGGTGTGTGGCTCCACTGGCCTTGTATATCAATGCCGTTTACAGTAGAGGAATTGACATTCTCTAGGTAACTATATTCAGTTATCTTGCTTTTTATCACTTACTTGCTTGTCAAAATAAAATGGAGAAAAAAAAAAGGATAGGGAAAGTACAAAAGACGCATGAGATGAAGAAGAAGAAAGAAAGAAAGAAAAAAAAAAGTCTCAAGTTCCAGATATCCCTTCCTCCATGAATTCATGTGTATATAGAACTGCAGATTCACTAAACTACCTATGATCTACAGCTATAGGTTTCTTCAAGACTCAAGTAAAATACAACTACCATACCAGAAGTACTGTACAGTATATACCCTGTTCCTTCACACATATAGTAGGATAGTCCTATAATCCCACCAATTTACTCCACAGATAACCAAAGCCAACCATCACTCATCATATTTGTATTCGCGCTAACTAACTACCCCAGTCCCTGCCCCTCTACGGTACAGTGTACTAAGTGGACACCTACAGTACTCCGACCCCAGAAAATATGGTACGTACCATACATAAACAAAAAAAATCCCCCACATTCCATCTTTCCGTGGAGATTTTACCATTCATTCCCCCTCTCTCACGCATCGAGTTCAGCTGATTACGTATAGTATGGTATGTAGATCTGCGAAGCAAGACGTCCATCCATCCACTCGTCCATTGAAATTAATAATACTATCTCTCGTACCCGTTAACTGGCTAGCTAGCTACAATCTACTAGTAGTTAGTTACTGCAGCTGCCAAATGTCCCCTACAGGGATGCATGGATCAAATGCAGTGTTCACTGAATGAAGTAAGTGCATTATCCTGTATCATTATTGATGACTTCTTTTTGGCAGGTATAGTTAGTATACTCCTTTTACCCCGCACGCGGTGTCTTCACCGCTTGTCCACTGTCCCAAGTTCAAGTGAGTTGTGATTGTGGATGCGTGATAGAACTGGTCATGTGATGAGCGATGAGCTTATTTTCGGAGGAGATCCTTTTTCTCGGGGGCGTATTCTTTTTTGCGGAGGTGGAATGTATGCGGCTAGAGATGGGTGGTCATGGGGTGGTCCCGAGTCGGCTAATGTGGCTGTACGGAGTATGTTGGCGTCGCGATACGGGGTGATAAGCTAAGGCTGCTTACTCCGTAGATAGTGTTGCTTCTCGGGAGTTTCGAGCTTGTATGTACGTACTATGTTTTGGATAATTCGTAGATATTCGATTTAAAGAGGATAGTGAAAATGGTATATCGAATAGATTCAATTTCAAATGAGATCCTCAAAACTGGATCCGGCTGAGGGCAGTAGTCAACCACAGAATGAAAATCTCACGGGTTCTTTACACTGCTTCCTGCATTTCCTATCCCGCTAAAGAGAGAACGCTCATAATAAAACAAGTGGAACGGAGCAACCGGTCACAGGAAAACAAAAGGGGCAAGGATCAACAAATTGGCATTATCGCTAGGAACGGGAGGAAAAAAATAAAAGAGAGATTCGTCACAGGAAACCACCACGTCGCCGCTCACTTGCGCTGACTAGTTTGTTTGGGCCCTAAAATGTCATCCACGATGCCACTCCACAGATCCCGTAAGATGCCAGTCTCTTGCGATTGTCCGTTGTTCTGAGCCCGGATGGCGTTGCCCCGAGACTTCCCGACAGCCTCGGTCAGCGAGAAGGGATCGATGTCCACGGCGTGGTTGTCAACTACGTCGCTCATGACACTCACAGCCGAGTCCGACGACAGCTCGCCGACCGCGTGGACCTGAGGCTTCATCGGTGAGACGTAGTCGGTCTGCGTCTCGATCTTGTGTCCGTAGTTATCGGGGAAGGTCGGGATGCGGGGACCGCTGACGGAGGGGGTTGCGTCGACGTCGGCCATCGAAGGCATATAGGCAAAGTCAATGGTGGATGAATCGTGGACGGCCTTGCTGGCGCGCGAGGTGTTAAACTGGCGGGTGCTGCAAAGAGTCAAGGTTAGCGGGAATCCGCCGCATCGCGTTCCGTTCCGGGATGGAAACATACCCGCTGAATGCGCTGCCATCGATTCTTCTCATGGCGATGCTGAAAGCACGCGATTGGAGCATGTCATGGTTGTTGAGGCGGTCAACAAGCTAATGCGGTCGTGATGTCAGCATCTCTGGCTTTGTTGTCGGAACTGTTGAGACGCATTGAACGTACCTCGTCCTTGCTGCCAGCGGATCCTATCCGTCTCTTCTGGCACTCTGCCTTCAGGTCTGCAAGAGTGCGGGTAGCATATAGTGTCGTCTTGTCCGCTGCGTTGGCGGGCTGCGCGGATTGAGCGCCTGTGATGTGGAGGGAACGGCGCAGAGGCGCAGAGTGCAGCTGGGACAGCGCGCGCAGGGCACGTAGGGAGGTTGATCGAGGAGCAGCCATTGAGATGAATGTGTAGGAAATTAAGATAACGATACGACGGAATCGATGAGCCTATAGCTTGCGCGATGCAATGAGTAACGTGGACAGTGTCGAGCTGCAGGTGTATTGGTAGTAGTAGTGAGGTGTATGAGGTGTAGGAGGTGTAGGGGCTTCGAGAAGAAATAAACAATAATGGCAATCGTGGTAGGCAACAAAATATCAGGAGGGGGGAAATAAGCAATATAACTAATTATCACTTACTGTCAGGGAGAGTCTAGACTAGCGTAAGCTGATCGAAACGGGACACCGAGACGTGGTTCCGGTCAACTTTTGGATGCTTGCGGTAAAGTGTTGGGGAGAGCTGCGATAACTGATCAGTAAGGCAGCCCAGAAACTTGGCGGTCTGGACAGGGAGAGACTATCGAAGCCACGAGTGGACATTGTTTGATATCACAGACATACCTGTGCTGGTGGTGAGACAGTATTCTGCGAGCTCCGTCTTGGTCGTGCGCAGGAGTGATGTTTCTGTCTCAACAGGGGTTGAGGCTAGGGAAGCTTGGCTGTTGTCTCTCTTTTGCTTTTTGCAGTGTGCCTGTATGGATTATTATTGGAAATACGGTGCGGAAAAGATCTCAGACCAAAGTAGCCACGAGATGTTTGGGACGGACCTCCTGGCTCCTTTTAAGGCGTGAGACGTGACTACGAGCGGGACAGGAATATGTAACTAATCGAGTACGGAGCAGTTTTACTAATTACACAGCTCTAGAGAAGAGCAGATCGAACATTCCCCATGACCAACAATAATCTTCCACCGGCACAATTGCTCTCTCATCAGCCGTGTGGGTGTCGACAGCCACCATATCTAGAGTACTCCGGATGGGACGATCATTGGCCGCTCCGGAGCGTTATGGGATGGAGATCCATGGAGATCCAGGATGACGCCAGCAAAGAGTTTCTCGTTGTCTCTGTGTCTGTTCTCTTTCCATCCATCCATTTTATCCACCCATAATCATATCCATCTCCCCAGGCGGGGATAAGGGGGAATGCAGCAGCTTCATCCGTGAACCAGCAACAGCAGATTGTCGCGTTGATCCAGCAGGGCGGAGGAAGCTCTCCCCAGACAAGCCAGACGTTGGCGTTCCCTGGCGATCCGGTGGGCCAATCACGTTGGGGATCTGGCCCGCATTACTCTAGACTCGTTGAGGAACAGGGGTCCCCGGAGTGGGGCAACTTGCTTCTGGAAGGGGAAGCGGTGAGGGGATGATCAGATCATGAGGGGGAACTCAATGGAAGTGGAAGCATTCCTAGTAGTACTTCAAGCAACCAGTGGTGGTCGTCTTGTACTCTGCACTCTCCGCAGAGCCAGAGCCTACTCCAAATATGACGGGCTAACAGTGATACTACTTTCGTCCATCTATCTACTCCCTATGGTAGATAGTAGATACCAGACACTCATGGAGAGCAACGGAGAGTTTCTCCAGATTATTAACAGCTCTCTCCGGTGGCGGCCGCTCCACCGGATCCTTCCGGAGTTGCGACTGGTCTCCCCAAGGCTCAAGCATCGACAGGTCACGTGAAGACCCTGACTCACCTCGCCGGTGACGCAGCACGATGCCATCTGCCCGAGGCACGACTAGAGTATACTAGAGGATCACTGTACTCCGGAGACGACTCCATAGTTAAAAAGCTCCGAGATGCAACGGGGTGCTTATTTCCGGAAGACGGAAGGCTTGAAGAACAACTCATCATCCCCGGTCGTCCGGGGAGTGGGGATCAGATGGAAAGATGGAAAGAAATCATGAAGAAAATAATAAAATAAAATTTAAGAAAAATTAAAAAATTAAAAAAAAGAGGACGTCTCTACTGATCGGTTCGCCGTAATCAGTAGATAACCCGTTTCGATCGACGAATTTCCTGCATTTGATCCATCTCACGGTCTTTACCCGGTCCTGGATCAGATGGGGACCTTCGGACCAAGCTCGGACTTTTCGATGAGTGGGGGAATGGATCTTTCTGAAAGTAGGAGAAAGCTGTGTCTGTCTCTTGACTCTCTTCAATCAAAAGTGCAGCATATAGACTTTCCGCTGGGCCTCGGCATCTGGTGTGAGACGTCTCAGGAGTCAGGACAGAGTGTAGATGGCATGACCTCGGTGCTGTCGTCACCGGACTTGATGTCTGCCTCGATCCGTTGTGGTCAGATTCGAATCGACTGTCGATTCTGGCGGCAGTGTCGGGGACGAAACAGTCGGGAACCCTGATCATACAGCCTCTTTGTTCCATCCTACTTTCTTCGATAATACTAATACAGCCTCACGTTAACTACCAATCTTGCGCACGCTCCAAGTAGAAGAGAACCAATCAGCAAATGACGACATATAAGATGACCAATCATAGCTCTCTCTCTATTGTGTATCTGTCTACAATTTGGACGCCAACTGCCGTCCACGACCTCGAGCAACAGCCCGAGCATACGGATGCGAGCGAGAACCTGGTACCAGATGGTCTACGTCGCCCGTGTTGAGCAGATCTGGAGTGGCTTGGTCAAGGCTTGTGATACCCGTGTTTCTCATGGCAGTTTCAAGCTCATCGCGCATAACTGTTCGATCGTTAGCCAAGAGTCTCAGGAAGAACGCAACATGAGGACATACTATCTATCAAGTGCTCGACACCTTCCTGGCCATAGTTCGTGGCGAAGAGCATACTGCGCCCCATACCGACAGCAGTGGCCCCGAGACAGACGGCCTTCAGGATGTCTGTACCACGTCGGATGCCGCTGTCGACGTAGACCTCCATCCTGTCAAAGATCTCAGGGCAACGCTTGTGAAGCTCCAGGAGGGTGATGATGGACGGTGGACTGGTGTCCAGGTTCCGGCCACCGTGGTTACTGATGAGGATACCGTCCAAGCCGGCCTCCATAGCTAGGATGGCATCGTCGGCCGACATGACGCCCTTCAGACAGACGGGTAGATGCGTGTGTTCTCTGACCCAGACCAAGTCTGCCCATGTCAGGCCAGGATCGATGAAACCAGCCATCACGCGTCCCAAACCGCCGCCCTTCTTGTCGTTGGATGCTTTTGCCGGTGCCATTGGTACCGACAGACTCTCATCAGCCTTTACACGTTCATCTGCTTCACGTTTGCCTGGCCAAGCAGCGTCCACCGTGACGAAGATCGCCTTGATGTTGGGATTGTTCGAGCACTGACGGAGCAGCGCTGCGGACTTCTGTCGATCTCTGTTTACATATAACTGAAAGAAGAAATTTCCAGATGGAGCAGCCGCGGCTAGTTCTTCCATGTTGTATGAGGAGTTGTTCGATATCTAATACCCCCACAGTAAGCTGACTGCCTTCTCAGAGACTTGCGACTGGTGAGAACTTACTCCTTGCATGATACCTTTACTCTGACATGCTCTTCCAATGGCACATTCTCCGTCAGGGTGAATCAGTTTCGCCATAGCTGCGGGTGACACAAACAGAGGAAGACTGCTGTCAATCCCGAGAATCTTCGTTCGCGTATCGACGGAGCGCACGTTACGCAGGACCCGAGGGCGAAACCAGATCCGATCAAAGCAAGACTTGTTAGCATCTCTAGTGATGAGGTCCGTCGCTGCACTGGAATAAAAGGCCCATGTCTTCTTGGTAGCTGTCTTCGAGGCGACGAGCTCGAAATCATGCGAATTGATCAAGGTTTCCAGCGGTGGCTTTTCATTGTCCAGCACCACCTTTGGGTTTTCTGTTGGAGGTTGTTTAACCCACTCTTCATCGATAGTGGAAGCATCCAGAGTGCCCTTCAACTTGTCTGGATTTAGGTTATCCCTCAGAACGTTGGGGGCATGGATCTCGGAATAGGCCTTGGTGGCATCGCGGCCCGCGTACTTCAAAATAACTGTTCACATGCTTAGTGGGTACAGATGGAAGGATTCACGAGGTATTATTCTCACTAGCAGATCCTCCAGGATGCTCTTCAAGAAAGTCTGTCACATCCCAAACTTGACCGTCTACCACAATCCAACAATCTGCAGGAGTGGCATGCTGCGAGACTTCCTGCGCAGATACCAGCTTTGACTGAGCCATCTCTGTTGAGATGGCAAGCTAATGAGATCGAAAGCACTCCAGGACAGTATTCGAAAACCCCCTGGCTAAAGTCAGGCTTGTCGGTGTCCAAGGTAATGCTTAGTACCTGCTGCTTTTCCTGGAAACCAGTTCCAAATCTCGCGGCAACAAAGAACCAGCCGAGAAAGCAAGACACGTGTGCCTGTAGCTTTATAGAACGAGCGGAGATTCCGCCGTCTCGCGCGAGAAAATGCAAAGCCGTTGATTATAACGGATGGATCGCAACGTCCCTGCTAGAGAGATGATATGACGGCCAATGAAGCGACATGTATTTATTAAGTTCGGATCACCCCCGTGTCTGGACTCCGTAGCTGTGCCCATTTCTCAACTTCCATTCGCCCAGCCAGCACACCGCTTTCATAGGCGCATCGAGACGGACAACATTGAAAAAGGCGGAGAGAGACAGACAATTCGCCATTTCGCCGGGATTTTCATTATCTACAAGCGGGGCTCCCGCATTCTAGATCTAAAGATAGCTAGCCTTTTGTGGGACTGTGAGGCAGAATCATCATGGGCTTTTAAAGGTATATCAAAGAAAATGTTCGAATCGATATGTATCTTAAACATCAGTTACTTTAATCACTGACTATCATGACGGGTTTGCTGCTTACAAGAAAACGGATAATTACCACTCGTATTGTAATTGCCTCGGGCACAGAGTCGGCGCATCCCCGAACGCCGGCAGCGGACTTGTATGCGAGTGCTTAGCCACATGTGGATAAGCAACATGTGGCGGGAACATGTGGCTTGAACACCGTCGAATTAGCCGTAATTATGTCAGACTCGCTTTCCCTACAACATAGGTGGATATACATGACTGGATGCAGGATATCTATACCTACTAATGCAGTTTCTCGTTGCCAGGAACAGTATTTTGAGGAGACCTTGGATTAAACCCGCATCTCCCGTTTCCTGCTTAGGGTCCACAAAATCTGTCTGTGGATTATCCTCGGCCTTGAAGCATAACAAGACTGGAGTTCGTTTGAATATCCGAGGTTTTTCTTCTTTTTCGCACCTGCAAACTAGTGCTTCTGACTCAAAGATGAGTGAAACAACAAAGACGTTGAGATATGTCGATGTAGGTTGATACGAATTCCTACTGTATGCTTTCTGTAACATGTAACTGACTGCGATCTCAGATTGGCATCAACCTTGGTGACCCTGTCTTCAGGGGCAGCTATAATGGCAAGCAAGTCCATGATGATGATCTAGCAGACATCATACAGCGCGCTCGTGAAGCTGGCTGCGAGAAGTTCATGGTGACTGGATCGGACCTGGAAGAATCGCGGCATGCTGTACAACTTGCTCGTGATTATCGTACGTCTATTCCGCCAAACTGGGTTGAGAAGGCGTCTCTAACATTTGTTTCCTTTAGCTGGGTTATGCTACGGTACTGTTGGAGTGCACCCCTGTCAGGCAAACCACTTCGACAAGCACCCAGGTGGCCCCTCAAAGTTGCTGGAAGAGCTGAAAGCCCTCGCCCTGGAAGCTAAAGAATCAGGTCTTGCCGTCGCTTTTGGTGAAATTGGACTCGACTATGACCGACTCTTCTTGAGCGCAAAAGAACCGCAACTGAAGTACTTTGAGGCACAACTAGATCTGGCTGTCGAGATCCAACTTCCGCTTTTCCTCCACTCGCGAGCGGCCAGTGAGGACTTCGAACGATTGCTTGCCTCTAGACTCGACAAATTGCCAAAGAAGGGCCTCGTTCACAGTTTTACGGGCACGGTGGAGGAGATGCAGAGGTTGGTTGCAATGGGTCTCGATATCGGTGTCAACGGATGTAGTATGAAGACGGAAGAAAATCTGGAAGTCGTAAAGGCGATTCCGTTGGAGAGAATACAGATAGAGACTGATGGTCCCTGGGTAAGTACGGAGAAATCTGACATGGGAACTCTTTTGGCTGACAAGGTCCAGTGTGAGATTCGACCCTCACACGCCTCAGCGAAGTACCTACAAGGGGCCCCGGAGCTACCCAAGGCGGTTAAGAAGGAGAAGTTTCAGAAGGGATGCATGGTGAAGGGCAGAAATGAGCCTGTCGCCATCAGTCATGTTGCGCAAGTTATTGCCAACGTGAAGGGGATTTCAGTCGAGGAGGTCTGCGAAACGTAAGTCCCCAGTTTTCGAACGTTCTAAGGTCGTGACTGACATATCCAGTGCGTGGAATAACTCGATAAAGATGTTCGGATTGGGCGTCAAGTCCTCATAAGCCGTGACAATATACGACACGGTTTTAGACTAGTTGTTTAGTGTTGGTTTTTAGAAGCATTATAGAGAAGACATACGTTCACGAAACGACGCAACTTCCTCGACAACGGATTTGGACGCCTATTGAGGACCCTCATTCATACACATGGCTTTAACAACTAGGCCCCGGGTGCTTTTTCCTTGGTCGCATCTGCATGTTGTGATTGACCAGCGGGTCTAGACTACCTTTTCCGGAATAAAACGTGCTAACATGACACCGGAGATCTTTACCGTATCTATACTCTACTACATGAGCATGTAGTTAGTTAGTTATAAGCATATGTTTCAACAGCCACAATATTAACCTACACCAATCTCATAGTCGAAGAAAACTGCTCATCACCTAACTGGCTAGCGATCCCTGCAGTTTTCTCTAGGTGATGCACGTGATGATTGGCTCTATGTATGTACCTTGCAAACACGACCGATTTCAAACCCAATTCAAGACATGTTTTTCTTTTCTTTTATATTTAGTGTTAGAGGTCCAGGTAGAGTATCGTATCGCCAACTAGGAGTTCTCCTTTTTGGTCGAGTGGCAGAAAGCCGATATTTAGTGCTTATTATTTTCTCGTATACAACGTTGCCTGTCGTTGCATAAGCGCTTGTTGATACCGCCTAAGTATAGACATTGACTGTGCCGCAGCCACCTTCAAAAAACCGTTGTCAAACTACCTAGCCACATGATCGTATGTTGCACCTATCAGATCAGTTACATCTCAAGAGAAAGACTACAGTACTAAACTACAAACCCCTCATTTGGGAATCGATTCCTGAACTCTAGACAGGAGATGGAGATGGGAGGACGATGGGGGAGCGATCCCCACAATCGGCCTAGTAGAGCGACATGAGCCATTGTCAATGGTTACTAGCATTTAAGCTTGAGTGACATCGTGGGTGTGAGTGCATTATTATTGTAACCTCGTATCCATGCTGACGAAGGCTACGATATGGGGTTTTGACTGATATGTAGGTATGTAACCTGCCGCCGCTATTCATTCCGCGCATTGGGGGCTGAAAATTAATATATGAACGCAAACTCTTGACGAGAGGATAAAATGCGATCCGATTCTTGTGGTGTATTATTTCTCTCGATATTTTCGAAGATTATCCCCGTCTGAGGCAGGGAATAATACTCATTTCTTATCATATTTCTAACAATATCGAGAATAAAAAAATGGAGGAAGCCGACATAGTGGTAGCCGGTGGTAAGTCCAAACAAACACAGAACAACAGATTGGATCCCATTCCCGTTCATCATTTAACATATATGGAGGTCGAACTGTTCTGATCCAGATATGACAATGTAGGAGGAACCACCGGCCTCATAGTCGCATGTCGACTCGCAAAAGCAGATCCAACACTCTCGATCGTCGTTCTCGAATCTGGCATCGAAACAAGGAATAACCCTCTCATCGTCAATCCTGCCATGTATATACATAACCTCTTTCCCCCATCAAAAACAGCAGCGTTCTACAAATCTCGAGCAAGAGAAGAACTAGGTGGAAGAGAGCTCGTCATCGTAGCAGGAGGATGTCTAGGTGGTGGAAGCTCGATAAACCTTATGGTATATTCCAGAGCGCAGATGATTGATTTTGATGATTGGGGGGCAGACGGTTGGAGGGGGAAAGATATGCTTCCTTTTCTGAGAAATGTGCGTGAGATATATTTATATATATAGTTTTTTTTTTTTTTTTCTTTCTGTGTTTTCATTCTTGTTTGCTGACGCTGGATCAGTATGAACGGTTTCAAGACACGAATCCCGGAATCGATAAATCGGTGCATGGCTATGAGGGTGAAATTAGCGTGTCCGCCGGCACGTACGCGCAGAGACCGTTCCAGGAGGATTTTTTGCAAGCGTGCAAGCAACTTGGAATCCCAGAGACGGTCGATGTGCAGGATTTGAGGACGTCGAATGCTGTAGGGGTATGTTCTTACTTTCCTTTCACCCAGCTCTTCACCGGTGCTACTATTTAGTGAAGCAGCTAACTTTATTATTGTCTTATACAGAGATGGAACAAGTATATCGACCAGGACACGGGGTTAAGGCAAGACGTCCCTCATCGAATGCTCTACCCAATTCTCGACGCAAAAGATACCGGTCTTCGAGTCCTGACCGAATCAAGAGTCGATCGTATATTATTTGAGGGCCACAAAGCTGTTGGGGTGAAGTACCGACATGGCACAACTGATAAAGAAATCCGCGCTCGACGACTCGTCGTCCTTGCCAGCGGTGCATTAGGCACACCGCAAATCCTGGAAAGGTCTGGTATCGGTGGCAAAGAACTACTTGACAAGCTGGGGATACCACTAATATCTGACCTCCCCGGAGTCGGAACGAATTATCAAGACCACAATGCCTTAACCTATCCGTACAAGTCAAGTGCGAGCGCGGAGGAAACTCTGGACGGCATAGTCAGCGGTCGTCTCGGTCTCGAGGAGGCCCTAGAGAAGAAAAACGCCGCTCCTCGACGACACATCCTTGGGTGGAACGGCTTCGACTGCGTGGGAAAGCTTCGACCCACGGACGAAGAAGCAGAGTCTTTCCCAGAGTGTCTGAAGACCCTTTGGGAGAAAGACTTCAAGCCCCGTGCTGAGCGTCCGCTCCTGCTCATGTCCTCGCTGGCAGTATACTTTGGAGATCATTCCAATCTCGGAGAGTCCCAACACTTCAGCCTGGGTCCCTATACCCCTTACCCATACTCGCGTGGCTCCGTCCACATCACTGATCGCAATCCGCTCACTCCTCCGGAGTTTGATTGTGGATTTTTCGACAATCCTGCAGACTTGGAGAAGCTCGTGTGGGGGTATAAGAAACAGAGGGAAATTGCACGTCGGATGGCGCATTATCGAGGACCTCTTCAAACGGGACATCCTTCGTTTCCCGCCGGCTCGAAAGCCGGATTCGATGCTATCGACGAGGCCTCGAGAGAACAAGGACATGCTGTTCCGATCACGTACTCTGAAGAAGACAACGAGGCAATAAGAGCCTTCCTTAGAAATAACATCTCAACGACGTGGCATAGTATGGGTACGTGTGCGATGAAGCCGCGAGAGGAGAGAGGTGTCGTTGATAAAGATTTGGATGTCTATGGTGTGGAACAGTTAAAGATCGCCGGTAAGTTTTCTTTCTTTTAATACGCCTCTATCCTAGTTCCTTGATCGTTTTAAGGAAACAATTTCGCCAGGCTAATGTACGATTTGATAGATCTTTCTATCTGCCCTAGTAATGTGTCCGCGAATACGTACTCTACTGCTCTTGCGGTCGGTGAGAAAGCTGCGTCCATCATCGCAAAAGCGTTGGGCATTCCCTACTCACTTGAGCCGGGTCCACTGGATCCTGGGGTGGCACATCCTTGAGTTTTGTGTCACAGTTGCCTTGATGGCAGCTAGTGTCCTGAGAGGGAAATGTCGTCTACTACAACCCATAGTGATGGACAGTCTGTGAAAGGGACATCTCTCTACGAGATACCTCGAGTATGTGCGAAAGGACTTTCAGAGAGATAAAGAAGGCTAATCTCGATCTATTATATTGAGAGAAACTGAGTGACCGCGCTTGTAGACCTTGAATTAGTATAGAGTATAGTTTGTGAAAAATCAAGGTGACTGAACATACATTGAGTCTATTGAGAGATTTGTTTATAATCCGTGAAAGAAACTTGCTCATATACAGCTGCTTGTCAATGTAGCATGTCTTCATCAATATCGTCCCAGTACATGGTATCTCGCATATGCTGCTTGTCGAGAGCCATTGTACCGTTCTCTGCCGGTAAAGTTGGTCCTGCATAGAATCTTTCTAAGTCCTGCTTAATATGACTCAATGAAAGCCCGAAGTGGTCGAAAGAGAGAGGAGATGAAGAAAGTACCGGACCCGGTAGCTGCGATGAGACTATTTGGCCGCTGGGGTCAAGGATGTCGCTGCTAGAAAGGACGGAGAGATCATCATGGTCTTGATACTCTTCCTCGCCTGACTCATAGTTCTCGCACATTTGGAGCGTGTCCAAGAGGTCCTCCTCGTATCCCATGTCTTCTTCAAGGGCAGGTGAGCAGAGATCTTCTTCGAGCATCGACGTCAAATTATCATCTTCGCACTCTTCATCGTCAAGTAGGTCATTATCCGAGTTGACATCGTCTTCGAGGATGCTGTCATCGCCCGCAAATAGGCTCTCAAAGACTGGAGAATTTATTCTGTTGACACTTGCAAAGCCACGCATTTTGCGAGCGGCCTTCACACGATAGACACCTTTTTGCGCAATTTTCCAAAGCAGAGACTTGAGCATTGCCTTTCCATTCGGTACTTCATCAATATCGAGGTCTGTCCCGTGGTGCGATGCATAATGTCCCTGGAGAGAAGACAGTCTCTGCGAAGAAGTCAATATGTCGACAGTTTCGATTATCGAGGACATTGCCTTGGCGATTACTGGAATAAAACATGCTCTTTGTTGCATGGCCTTTGGAAGCAGAAGCGTCAGTAAGCTATTACTTTCTTCCCTGAGAAGTAATTCAGACTTACCTCGCGGTATCCCGGAGAGAAGACAGTAGGAGCAACGTCTGAAAGCTTGTATATAGTTTCTTCCTTGATACTCTCGACACCAACAGTAGATTTCGAATGAGTCGTCGCAAAAATATCATCAAGGCAAACTCCAAGGAGCCTGTGGAACCCAACCCTGCTTCCACTGGAATTGAAATTATCTTCTGTATTACCATAACCCGTAGCATAGTATTTAAATTGCATCCCAGAACTTTGAAAATGGCGTCCAAGTGATTCGAACTGTAATTGAAAAGGAGCCGGTCGGATCTCTGATTTACTAGGGGGGAATGAAGGATCATATCCTAGAATGGGGCAGCTCTGGAGCGCTTCATCGCAGGGTAAGTCAGACCTTGGTTGAATGACGCAGAGCGCTACCGTGCCAGTTCCAATGATTGACCGTGCGATAGTAGGCGTATTATGTTTCCCATTGGATGAATGAAAGTTGAGAGATAGGTGCACTTCAGAAAGAGTAACCCTCGGGATAGCTGGAGGAGGTTGAGCGGTAGCACGGAAAAGACCCAGGAGTTGATGGGGTACACGCCGTACTGCTGTAGCAAGGGAATTCTCCTGTATGTTGAATGCCATGCTCAAATCTGTTGCGACATCTGGGTCCAGTACATCCTCGCAACTCTTTATTGCGACCGTAAGGCCAAGATCGTGCCAAACCTGGAATGGCTTTTCAGTAATTGAGAAATCCTCTAAAAACTCTCAGTCAGACCTTTTCATACTGAAACATCTCAGATACCAGCTTCAAGTAAGAAGACGCATGGCTTTGAGAATCTCTGTTCCCCTGCACATGGACACGCAGTATGAGTTCTGGTGCCGGAGCTACCCAGCATTGTCTAGACTTGAGAATCTCTCCAAGTCTGTCAGAGTCAGATGAGATAGGGGAGTTTTCCGGTATGATGAACTTGGTGAAAACATATGATGTCAGTCTCAAATCTGAATCTAATAGACGCAACGTGCTGGACCCAAGATCCAAGACAGTAGACGTTCCTGCAGTCGCCATCGATAGTACGCATCAAGAGCATATCATCTCCAGAAGATAGACCAGTATCCTGGAATATTATCGTGTCCAATTTATGCCCATCACGAGTGGAGAATGACGGACATTGATAAATTAGGTACCTGAGGCAGTGGAGCAGGAGACAGCTTTCTCAAAAAGGGAAGCGCTACAGCATATAACCCGTTGGCATAAACAAACCCACCAAGAACACCGGCCAGAGAGACACGAAACAGACAATAATTGAGAATCCACAGCAAGACTTGGAAGGAAGTAAACTAAATATGGTCTATCTGACTGTAAAGGGAGGGGCTTGAGGAGGTTCCTCAAGGGATGGGTATGCGACCGAGTACTCAAGACCAGCTAGAGGTCAGTCATTCCTACTTATCAGACAACGAGAGTCATTGAGCTAGTAATTTATCGGGGAATATAACATCTTTGGAAAAGGAAGAGACAGGTATATAGGTAGGTAGTTAGTAGTGTCGGTCCGTTCTTCATCTATGTTTCTCTATGAAACACCATACTCGTATGTCGACTAGAGAGTATCTCAACCTTAAGGCCACAGGTGCTCGCTGTTCTATCTTTCATTCTCTCGACAAGACTGCACGCGACCGACGGTCTACTTAATATTTGACGAAGCGATAGAATTGATCATCAGGGGGAAAGGGAATCCATCTCGCTCAGGCCACCAAGAGGCCGATACGGATCACGTGAAATCGCAGCTCTACTGATAGACCGTCGTAAGCTAACTGGACACGATGGCCTAGATGGAACATCATGAATCCAACAATTAGCTATGCCAAGCGATGACAGACTCAATGCTCGCCTGACCGAGCAGAGGGGCCATGATGAGGAGGAAGCTCGCTCCCTCCTCTCTGCATCTTCTAATGACGAGGACGACCTCGTAGTCCATCCTGGGCCCGCCAATCCTCCGTCTACTCGCTCCGCACCCCCCAAGCGCCAGCCCTCGATCACTCGACCGCTTCCAGATGGTCAGCGGCGCACACCTCGAACGCCAAATCGCGTGCGATTCGATCTCGATGAACAAGAGCAGGAGGAAGAACGGTCGTCTAACGGCCGTCTTCTCCCTTCCGAGGATGGGTCATGGATGGACGAGGAGGATTACCTTCGAGTTGGGAATCGAGAGACACGAAGCAGTACTGGTCAGAGAGCACCACTGCTTACCGGCATAGAAGCCCCAAGTGTGACGGTTGCAACGTCGGAAGAATTCTTTCCTGAGGAACATCTGGAGAGTGCTAGACCACGAAGTGGCCTGCGGATGGCGTTCATGAACATGGCAAACAGTATTATAGGCGCCGGGATCATTGGGCAACCGTATGCTTTTCGCCAAGCAGGACTGGCAATGGGCATTGTATTGCTTGTTGGACTGACGATTACCGTGGACTGGACTATCCGACTGATAGTCGTCAACTCCAAATTGAGTGGAGCGGATTCGTTTCAGGCAACCGTGCAACATTGCTTCGGGAGAAGCGGCCTCATTGCAATTTCAATTGCGCAATGGGCATTCGCTTTCGGTGGCATGATTGCGTTTTGTATCATTGTTGGAGACACCATTCCGCATGTTTTAAGCGCCTTGTTCCCATCTCTTCAGGAGATGCCTTTCCTATGGCTGCTCACGGATAGACGATTCGTAATTATGCTTTTTGTGCTGGGTATCTCGTATCCCCTATCCTTGTATAGGGACATAGCGAAGGTAAAATCTCCACATAATATTGTGGCGAAGATACTGACGGCGTTCAGCTCGCAAAAGCTTCAACATTGGCCCTGATCAGCATGGCGGTAATCGTGATCACGGTGATTACCCAAGGCTTTCGCGTACCTCCTGAGTCCAGAGGGGACTTCAAGGGTCTTATATTTGTTAACTCAGGCTTCTTCCAAGCTGTTGGCGTTATCTCCTTCGGTATGTTCTCCAGCGGGCATTGACGAGACTATATGCTGACTAGTCGTAGCGTTTGTTTGCCGTATGTCAATGATACCCAATTCTCTACAATATCTGACCTCTACGCAGATCATAATAGCCTTTTGATATACGGATCCCTCAAAAAGCCGACACTGGATCGTTTCACCCTTGTGACGCATTATTCGACCGGAGTCTCTATGTTAATGTGCCTAGCGATGGCGTTGGCAGGGTTCTTGTCTTTCGGGTCAAAGACTCAAGGGAACGTTCTGAACAATTTCCCGTCAGACAACATCATGGTAAATGTGGCACGGCTGTAGGTGTCCCCCGAGTGCCTGGATTGCGGCTGTAGAACTGATCCGTGTAGTTGCTTCGGCCTGAACATGCTTACTACTTTACCATTGGAGGCCTTCGTTTGTCGTGAGGTTATGATGACTTATTATTTTCCCGACGAACCCTTCAACCCAAGCCGTCACTTGATATTTACGTCCGCATTGGTTGTTAGCTCTATGGGCTTAGCTTTGATTACCTGTGACTTGGGGGCCGTATTTGAACTCATCGGAGCTACTAGCGCTTGTGCGCTGGCGTACATTCTGCCGCCACTCTGTTACATCAAACTGAGCCAATCTAGCTGGAGGGCCAAGCTTCCAGCCTACCTTTGCATAGCGTTTGGCACTGTGGTGATGGGTATCAGTCTCCTCCAGGCTGTAGCCAAAATGATTAGAAGTATGTTCCCTCGGCATCTTCTGAACTTTGAACTTACTGATTAATCTTTTCCTGCAGACGAGGGTGGAGTCAGCACCTGTTCGACTTCTTAAGCAACGCTCAGATGATAGATTTATGCATTTACTTCTCATAGGCCATCTCGCAGAGCATCATGTTTTGATCCTGGAAAATCAGCAGGCAGTATTCTTCGGGCATGTTTTCTTTTCATGTACTTTAGCGAAAACCTAACAATCTCCCAATGTGGGAAGTTCCGCTTCGCTCCGGATGTAACTGGGGTTCCTGGGATGATATCTTGCCAACCGGCCTCATTATCGAGCTTAGTAGAACGCAGAGGATCGGTTTGATATGAAAATGTGCTGGGCTCCTATGTATCTCCGGGTAACTAACATATGGGCTATATTATTGAGCGCAGGTATTACATGGTCTGTGTGAGCTCCTATTTTCGCAGCTGATATCCTTAGCACTACTGGAACTTAGGCGAACAACATAAGACGACGAGATATCAGCTTCTTGCTACAATATACACTAATAATCTAGACTTCAGAAGAACTCTGACAATGCGGGTGGATAATTGTGCATTGCAGTAACAACTGTTCCTTTAAGCTTATTGTGTCCACCTGTGTCTATTGTTGTCTAGAGACAGGCATGACAACTCTACAATTGTCTAATTTGTTTTCTCGAAGGTTCTTATAAGACAAGCCAAAGACTGTCTTTTTATCTTCTTGCTGAAACTGTTGTATTGTCTTAGATGGTCTTTCAAATATCGCATCTATTTTCATTTTTCTGGGGAATGAACAAACGTATCTTGCATGGGAAGTTGAAAAGACGACTTGTGTGTTGGGTTAATCTCATATGGGATGCCCACACGTTCTGATAACTTGCGACGGTCGTCTTCTGTTTGTTTTCAGCTTGCCCTAGCGACCCTGGAGCAAAGCTGCATTTACCCGACCCATCCAACTCTTTGATAAACTAAAGCTTCTTTATCTCGATTCCTGAAATACATCTGTGCAGTTCATCCTGCTTTCTGTATGACGTTCCAGCATCTTTCTCTCGGCTGCTGACCTGTACGCATATACGGGTGGATTCACTCGCTGACTGAAACCGCAACTATCTTGTTCGCTGCTGATACGAGGTTATTTCTTCTACTTTGACATATCCTCTTCTTTTGCAACACAGTTGTCGTTGCTTTCAATTCTGCAGGAACTGCACGACGATATTGAGTTATTCCAAGGCCTTGACGGATCGTTGGCGCAACGGGAGAAGCTACGGGTCCTATTTCTACACCTGGCGTCTTTCGAGCCCTCAACTAGGTTCCCAGGTAGCTGTACTCAATGGACATATCAGAGAAAATGGATCCATTGAGCGAGCGGCGCCTCCAAGAGCTGCAAATGGTACGCGCCCCCAATTGCTCTGCATGTCCTTGTAAGGACGACTGACACTAAATAACGGTCACTAGGCGGATCTAGGAACAGCTAGGCGTGAGTACATATCGACGGTGGATAAACCAAACAGATTCGCAAATGTTAGACTGGAGGAGGTCGAAGCAAGTCGAATCTCGAACAGGAAGGGATCGGACGCACAGTTGATGGCCGAGAAGAATAAGGCAAAGCTTGCGGCATGGGCCAGTATGTATTCCATCGATATTACAGGTTCATCCGCTCACAAACTCAGATGTCTACCAGGATATTGGAGATACTGGCGATTTGGAAGATTTGGACCGACTCATGGATGGCCAAAGCCACAGGGCCCAGCTCACTGCGACCATACGAGAACATGGTGGCCAGTCTTATGCAAACAGTGCAGCAACGGATGACAACTTCCTGAGAAGCACAGGGAATAACTCGGGGAGAGATTCGCGCCACAGGGGTCGTGGTGGTGGTATCATAGGCACTCGCGGTCGCATGTCATCTTTGCACAGGTACACCGGTTATGCTGTCCCATATGTGTATTGCTGAAGCTGACTACTTCTAGTTCTCCAGGCAGGACGAATAACCAAGGAAGCGTTGCCAAACTGGGACACCATATCCCTCAGACACCAGGTGCTAGAAACCGTCCTCTTGATCCTGCTGTCGATCCGGACAGGGAATACTTCTTGAAGAGCAAGAGCAGAGGTAATATAATCTCAGGAAGCTTAGATGAGGTTGTTTACAGATATGCTAATGTCAAATAAACTATAGGTGCAAAGCCACCAGCCCAGCGCTATCAATCCAGACCTTCAAACCTCAAAGCCAGACGTCCAGTCATCCCAGAGTAAGACCCCGTCTCAGTCACTTATCTTTATCTCCCTAACAATTATGAAAAGTCAGAACTATGAGAACCTCCTGGCGGATCCACAAGGCTTTCTAGCTGCAGTTCGCAGTCGGAGAGAAGACTCAACGGCCTCAGCCAGTCAAAAAAGCACCAGCATAGCAGACTCGGATTCATATGCTCAGGAATCGGCATATAGAAAACCGGAGACTGAGTCTAATAGTAAGACTACGTTCGACGTAGCTGAAGACGTTACAAAGGCGGCATTTACTTCACATGAGAAGTCTGTCAATCTGCCTGAGCCTTCAATTTCTGCTGCGAAAACAGGAAATAAAACCATGGAGCCACTGTTTGCCTCTGAGGGTGCGCAGTCTGAAGTGAAAAAGATGCCAGTCAAGCCCCATGTGAGAGAACACCACTCGCGGCATGGCAGTCAGCCATCAACACAAACAGAAACAAAGACACAGAACCTTCTAAAAGGGTTCACTTCCAATCTTCCCCAGCCTGCATTCATCTCTCCCAAATCCCCACCATCCAAGAAAGCAGTTTTAAAACCAACACCTGAAGAGCCCTGCGGTGACTTGCTTCTGGACTTCAGCTCCGCACCATCTCTCCCTGTTGAAACTTCGAAAGCATCTACCTTCTCGTCACAACAACCGACTTCACCTCTCCCAAAAAGCCCTGCGGTCGATGATTTGATGGACATCGACTTTAAGCAGAGTTCCCAGGAGCCAACTCTTTCTACGGACACACTTTCACCCCAGCCTCCTGCACCAGCGATTACTACTCAACCAGCAGCAATGGCTTCCAGCCAAGCTTCCAACATCTCAGCATCCACAATTAATGAGCAAGCCATCGCAGAGTACCTCAAAGAGATATCAATGCTTAATGATCTGGTGGCAAACTCGCCTCTTGCCGGTGCACTTCAGGACATGATAAAACAGCGGAAGCAGGAGCTGGAAGCCAAGATATTCTCAGCGCTGCGCACCCAGGCAGCTTCCAGTCCATCTGAAGCTCCAATCAAAACAATTGGCAAAGCAGAGACTGAGAATTTCCTTCACACTAAAGCTGGAGCAGGTCAGGAAGTGCATCAACCACCACTATCCGCCACAAAGCCAGAGTTCAACGAGCAGAAGTGTTCTGAGACAACCCAGAACACTCCTACAATAAGAGATACTCCCAAGGCCGAGAGTCCACTACAGAAAGCTGTCACTGCTGAACCTTTCGTGCCTAGCTCCAGTGGTTGGGATTACAGGTCTCCCAGGAAGATCAGCACCTCCAGTGAATCAGAAAGCCCTGGAAGCTCAGGCGAGAATATTCGTGATACTAAGAGCACTATCATAGGCGACCATTTGCTTCCAGGAAGGCATGGAACCAATATCTCCAATTCCACAGCTCGTCCTGCAAGTGCTTCGGTTCAGATGCATGATAGTAATGTTGACTACCTTTGTCAAACTCTGAATGAGTGGTTAACAAGTGACTTAGGACCGTCCGTCGGTAACAGCTCGACAGTCTTCGCTTCAAGCCAACACAACCGACCAGCTCATCAAGGTGGAACGCAAGCCGGTGGAAGTGTTTTGTCTAGTATGAAACCTCCTGCGTTCGAGGGCTTTTTCACTTCTTCCACGGCGGCAGAGCAATCCTACACTAAGGCAGAGAACAAGCCTTTCTCAGGTCATCAGGAAATGGGCACGAATGACCAGGGTTTATTCAAAGATTCACGCATCGCGTCCAGCAGACCTGCGAATAAAGAATCTGCCTTCCCAAATATTCCTATGTCGGCAGCCACCAGGCAGTATGCCAGCAACGCCTCGGCTACACTTATTCAGCGCCAGACCAGCACCCACAGTTCCAATCTTCCAGCCTCTGCAGCTCCGAGGAAATATGCTGACAATGTCTTCGAGACTCCCTCCAAGGGCCCGGGACACACCACGCGAGCTACGCCTAATATTCCTATGTCAGCTGCCACGAGACAATATGCTTCCAGCACTAACCCACCCCAATCTGAACGTGCCCCTCAGGAGACTACTAAATCTCCCAACATCCCGTTATCAGCAGCTACTCAGCAGTATGCAGTTAATGCTCCCAAGTCTGCTTTCAAAAAGCTTCTGTACCCTGAGACGGTTACACCTCCCTCTTCCGTGAGAGAGCAAAGCGACCAAAGCGCGCATACACCGATAACCCTTTCTTCTCCAAGAACGGGGCAGCGTAACACATCCACTCAACGCAACGATCCTAGAAAGGCCTCTGGGCTGATGGCCTCGAAATATGCGGACCCTTACTAGCCATTCCGTTGAAAAAAACTGCCACTCTTGAAGACTGGGAGTATGGCACTGCACACATTGAGTCGAGGCTCATCACTGATCCAAAGAGAGATCTTGCTGCACTATCATCATCGGCTATCATCTGCGCAGTAATCTGAGAACCAAGGTCTATCGTGAGCTCGTCCTCAGGGACTGATCAGCAGTCATTCACTAGCATATCATCGACATTCTTGGCCAACATCCTCACCATGTGGTCCATTATTCGAGATTTCAATGTGTTTCTTCCCCCCAGATTCATTTCCAGGGCTAACCCTCGGATAATCATATCGCAGAAAACCTTCACTTTGCAGCTAATAACTGATCCATCTTTCTAATTTGCTTTTCATCTCACCATGTCTCATTCACATGGATCCCCTAATGTCCCTCCCCTATGTGTTTTGCCAACTTGTTCAATAAAACCAAAAATAAAAAGGAGAAAGAAAAGGAGCCAAACCTTGAACGCCTGTCAGCTTCAGATCTTTTCAGATGACTGAACTGGGTGTCCACGAAAGGAAAGAAAAAAAAAATGAAAAAAGAAAAAGAAAAAGAAAAAGAAAAAAGCAAAGGAAAACAAAACAAAAAAAACTATCACGGAAATCTCTCGATCGACCAGCCACCATAGCAACTTGCTTGTGCTGTCTTTCATTTCCAATTCTCTATTCTCTCTACTATGTTTCTTTCTTCCCACGAGGAGAATCATTACCAAACTAAACCAAAAAAAAGAAAGAGATCCCTCCACAGATTCTATCCTTGTCATGTATTATTACTAGCACTTTATCATTAGTCCAAATTGAAAAGTCAAGTGTCTTTAATATCGAGTCGAAAGGAAAATTAGGATCGAAGTTTATAGCTCATCTACGTAGGCATCTAACAATGAACTGCAACGCTTCACAGACGTACGGAGTCTGGTCAGAAGACCCTCGATTACTACATCGGTGGGAAGAGTATGCATACAGGTCGCACCGGGCCCAGTAAGGAGTGGGAAACTCATGACTCCCTTATTTATATTCAACAAAGTAAATATCTATCAAGCACAGGACAACCACGGAAACACTTTGGTGGTAGCTAAAATTATAAAAGCGTCGAACGACGACCACCAACGCCCCAAACTCTGTAGACTCCAGGTAGTTTATAAACTTAGACTAGGCCAGACAGCAGCCCTGTTGCTGCCGTCTTCTGACACCGGATGCCAGTAGCAATGTGTGGTAGAGATATAGCAGCATACGTCAAAGTAATAATGTGACGCGAAATCAAACACCCAAGGGAGCAAGGGTGAGCGAGACGCCTTGAAGAATGATCCGATCCCTGGCCCTCCCGTACGCCATTCCTCGAAATTATATCAATCGAAGCCTAACAAAGCCCCCCAAGAAATATGAACGTCACGTGCAATATAGATCCTTCATATGTTCGTCACTGAGGATTAATTCTGTTGCTGCTGCTGCGCTACAGAGACATTCTGAGCGTCCGCGATCCTCGGTCTCTTGGGATCACTAGGACCGGAAACCGATGTCGCAACACCGGGGCCGGCACCAGGAGCAGCATTCGTAACGTCATTCAACGGAGGTCGCTTGCCATTCATGTTCTGAGGGACAGAGGGACCTTTGATCGGGCCTATGTTGACTCCAGCGTTCCTAGGGTCCACAGTTGGGCGTGTCAGTGGCCGATACGAGGATGTACTCGGACCTCTAGACACCGGACTGCCAATACCAGTGCTGCCAGGTGCTCCTATCCTCCGATTCAGATCAGCAGAAGGATTGACAAAGTCCCGCGTATTATCCGTGGGAGTAATGCCTTGCTGCGCAAGCATGGGTTTTGATATTGGGAGGCTCTTGTTATGGTCCACACCAGCAGTCTTGCGAATTGAGGGGCTCTCCGCACGGGGGTCGAACTGCGGCACACTTGATGGAGGAGCATTGTTATTTCGTAACATATCAACTGCTCGAGCAGAGTAGAAGACGCTGGGTGGGTCTCCTGGTCGCTGATTTCCAGAGACAGAGGGACTGCCAGATGGCTCTGTATCCTGCGTATTATTACCTTGAGGTCTCCCATTCATAGGCCCCGGTCCACCAGTGGCACTTGTTGTTGCTTCTTGACTATATTTCGATGGAGGTTGCACTCCTGGCCGGGCATATTGTTGCGGCTGCTGGGCCGGGGCCGGGGCTGGACCCGGTGTGGGTCTTCTCTGCATCGTCTGTTGCTGGTTTGTGACAGAAGGGTTTGGTCGTGGTGCTGGGTTTGGAAAGTTGGAGGGCATCTGATGCGGTTGTCGGGGAATAGTTGCATCTGGAAGTCTCTCTGGTTTAGATGGGGTAACAATGTCTGGCATTCGAACAGGAGGACGCGAGAAGTTGCCCTGCCGTTGAGGTGCAGGTGTAACGTTCGGTCTCGATTGTGGTTGTGGTTTGGGTGGTTCGGGCTCCAACATCACTTCATCTGGATTGCCCTCAGTTGTGGCTACAAAATCCGACTCGTCAAAAAGGTCACCTGATATCATCAGTGTCTGTTACATTGACAAATTCCGGATGACATACTGCCAAATTCGCCATCCCCATCAAGAGCCAACGTATTGCTTTTTGTGTTAGCACTGGTAGCCCGCGCGGGTCGAGGAGGGAGGTCGATATCGTCAGTCTTTTTGTCTTCAACTGGCTCCTTTTTTACTGGGGCGTAGTCGGGGTGGCGATGCAGATTGCTTACATCCCATCTTGCCTGTCTAATATCAGTCACTGAGCGCTCGACGGGTGAAAGAGATATCACATACAGGTGCAGCTTTGACTTTAGTCACTTTTGCCAGATATTCCTTATCGTATATGCAGTTGCCCAAAACATTGCCAAACGTTCTCAGTGAACGTTTAAGGGCATCCGTCGTCCCTTCTTTCTTGGCTTTCTCGAAAGCTGCGGCTTTGCCTTTGCAGTTCTCGATGTGCCCGTACCCAATATCCTGCAGCGTCCGTGGTTCAGCTATAGTGTTCAGACCAATTCAAAATATGCCATACCTCGTGAAATGTCCCGTCCTTCAATGTCACTCTCACTATCACGGACAGACCCAAACTTATTTTCCCCGTTTGTGGATTTTCGTCGACCTATTCCTCACGTATCAGCCATATTGCCAGCGACCGATTGTGCCTTATCTTAATCGGAGCTCACAAAGTCGATCTGGATGTTCTGAATAGCGCTGGACCAGCCATTAAAACCGAAAACTTCGTTCGCGAGATTGATACACTTCTCCGCAGCAAGATAGTGGACCTTCTGACCTGCAGCACCAGGTCTTGACGAAATATATTCCGGTCCTAGCTGTTTATCGAGGCGCGATTGAAGGGTAGCGATTTCCTGCGCAGTGTATTCGCTGATCCGGCGTTGCGGTTCTTCAAACGGGTTTGCCGTGATAGCTGAAGCCATAGTACCAGGCGGGCCAAGGCGATGTTGATCGCCGACGCTTGAGTTACGGTTAGCTCTGTGATGATCCATTCGATACACGAGTTCATATAACTTACGCAGGCATCATATATTAATTGATTCAAATGTGAACTAACATTGACAAGTCGTGGGATATCAGCAGGCACCGACACGACGTGTAGACGCGACGGAAATGCTTATATCAGCAACGCGGCGGGATCGCCAAGTCACGTGGAGATAACAGACCATCTATTCCTGTGTGGGGATTCAGAAAGAAAGACATACCAAAACATGGAGGGGAGTCACCGTCCAAAAACTAGATAGAGAGATCATTAAGTCAAGGTTGTATTCTCCTTCAGCGCATCAGAAACTAGCACGTATGATGTCACCACTACAAATCGTCCAACTTTGCTGGCAGACAGGATACAAAGGTATGAAAGATGAGTCTAGGTAATCTACAGCAACATTTCACCAGCAACCACGCCAACTATCATGTTCTCATGAGTATCATCATATCAAGAAGTAATATCAATAGGGATTCTCTCTAGGGCATTCATTGCACGATGAGACTCGCGCTAGGTACGAGGCCGAGTTCCTTGAGAGTCTCTCCGAAATACTCAGAATTAAAGACCTTGCGCGGGAAGTTCTGCGTGAAACTCTGCACGTTCAGGCCGTGTTCCTGGTTCAACGCTGCAGCAACCTCGAAGAGAGTGGTTTCCACAGGGAACGTCTTCATGACATTCCCACTGGGCGTCTGGAGACGAAGGCGAGCTTCGGTATATGCAGAAGCTGGCTTTGAGGATACCGGTCCAGAGGTCGCTGGAGCTGGTGCAGCTGCGGGCTGGGGTGGAGGAGCCTGGCCTGCGCGTGCGGCTCTCTCCCGTTCAGCCTTCAGCCTTCGTTCTTCCTTGTCGGCCTCGATCTTTGCGCGAATGCGCTGCTTGGCTTCTATTTCTTCTTGCTTTTCCTTACGGCGCTTTGCTGCTTCCTTCAGCTGTTCCTTTTTCTTGAGCTCCTCCTTCAGGTCCTGACTCTCCTTTGTGCTCTTTCTCCGAATCTCCTATTGGAAGTTAGTAATGATAGGAGACTCAGCACTAGAGCGAAACCACGTACCTCGTTTCTCTTCTGGTCAATCTTGTCCTGCTCTGACTGCACTGCTCTCTTCGCGGCCAACTTTTGTCTCAGCTCCTCCAGTTTCGCCTTTTTCTCTTCTTCTGTCAGAGGAGCGATCTCCTCCGTTGATTCAGAGAAGTCGACGTGCTGGGACTTTGAAGCATGGAACTCTGCCTGTGCTTGGCTTCGGAATTTCTTTCCACAGTCGTTGCAAACCAAGCTTCGAGGCTGTTCGCCCGGCTTGAGTGCGGGACCTTCTTCATCTTCGGCAGCAGTTGTGGCGGATGCTTTGATTTCATCGAGGGACTTATCCTGGTTCTGTTCGAGCCATTCGAGAGCACCTTGCACTACAGAGACAAGCTCGTCAGAAGTGGCCGGGGAAAAAAAGAGGGGGTCAAAGAAACGAGTGTTCGTGTTGAGCTTGTAGGAATGTAGAGTTGGACTTACAGCCACCAGTTTTGGAAATGGCGATCTGTGCTCTCTCCTTGTCGAAGCCCATTTCAATGAGCTGGTCTAGATCTGATGGTGCCATTTTTGATGGTTTCTCGAGGTGGCGGATGGTGAGTAGCTGCTGGGGAGGGTTCTCAAAGCAGGGTAGAAGGTACGATGTTTCCGCTGACTCAAGTAGCGGGACCAGCGAAGGGCAGCTTTAGTGAAAGCGACCTCGGAAATTGGATCTTCGTGAGAGACGTTCCTTGCAGAGTACGCGCGAGAGCTGCGTGAACGAAGATGTCGTGTAGCTTCCAGGTGACGTATCAATCGGCGGCGAGGTTGATAACGCGGGATGACCCGTGTTCGGTAGACGCTAAGAGCTTACCCACCAGGAACATCCGGCCTTGGACATTATTATTGATTTCTATGGTAGAGGAGCGTCCAGCAATGGCTTTCTTTGTTTTGAACTGCGAATTCCGTTTCGCCAGCTATCTTATGGCCATCTCAGATAATACTCTCCATCCGCTTCGTGGGTAGACTAGTCCATTGACATGTTCTCGACTCTCATAGCTCCACCTCGATGGGGAAATATCATTTGGTGGAGCTTCCCAACAATCGAAAAAGAGGACAATCAAATCATGCGATTTCTAACAATGAGATGCCGTCTTTGGCATGTCTCCGGGCAACTTTCTGCGCCCTTTGGTGTCTCTCATTAATGGTGGCTTAGGAATCAATGCAGTACATCACGCTACGACTCTATTGTCTCCCGAAGACTGTCTTTCTTGTCTTTGATTCCCTGGTCCATGAAACCACAGCAGGGATCGCTGGTCGTACACTGTCGAGACTCGGAAGGGTATGGGAACTGATCGACAGTCTGGAGCAACTCCTACCAAGCAGCTTGTTCGAATAAAAAGCTACACTACACTGAATCTCAACGCAGATTCCACGGAGCAGTCATACGTAAAGTGAGCTGTTCTAGATTGAATATTGTGGGAGTCGTGATATAGTCTCGTAAAGCCGTTGTAGCTCACATCCACACCACTGAGATTGGGTTTTCGAGATACTGGAGTCATATCCCCACGAGTTCAGAGGCGTCAATCATATGGAGATCACTAGTGAATGTAAAACCAACGGCAACAATAATATTTGCACCGGGTCGATGTAGGTAGTTGGGTAGTAATGTGTATTATGATATATTCGCCTGCATAAACCAGACGCAGGAAAGCGGCAGTGGATGATGGATCATGCTGACTTCAAGATTACTGGAGGGGAACACATCTATTAGTGTTTAATTTCTTTCGACGTCCACACACTCGCTGTCCCAGGATTAGCGTGGACGGGAGTATGGTTGAGATCTTCCCCACGTCTCTCCCAGGAGGCGATCTGGTGCGGATGGTGGGTACCTTGGTCAAAAGTGCGTCTGGACGATGCCATAGCAGGGACTCTGATCTAGAGTCGTCCAACTTGGAGGAAACGCGCCTGGCGAAGCCTCGCAATGGGAGGATTTATTTATCTAGATAGAGGAATAATCATAATAATAATAATAAATACTGCTCGTGCGTTCCCGCGGATGACATCACCTGACCGCGAGGCTGACATAATCCTCCGTGCCATGATCGGGAGCCAACCGAAATGGCGCAGCAAATCGCCCATACGTCGTCGTCTGCTCGCTGGTGACCACACATCTCCAGCTTCCCTTTCCTCTTGCCTGTCGTGTCGACTTTGCTCCGTAGTTCTTCTGCTTCTTCTCACCAGTATTTTATTCGCTTTTCATCATGTCCGTCGAAATAGATCCCGCTGAACTGGGCTTCAAAAGTGAGCTCACCCGTCTGTTATCGAAAGGAGCACACGTAGTAACTTGCGCACAGGACCCTTCAACCGCGAGGTCAGCCAGACGCTGCATCTGCGCAACCCCAACCCGGAACCCGTTGCATTCAAGGTATGTTTTCGTCTAGAATCGTTTTATTCAGTTGGTCGCATGCTCACGGCTGGCAACAGGTCAAGACGACTGCTCCGAAACAGTATGTTTACTCTCTGCGCCGTGCTGATATCATTTCTCTTGAGCCATTACCTGACCCTCTCAGCTACTGTGTGCGCCCCAATTCCGGTCGGATAGAACCCGGGAAAAATGTCGAAGTGCAGGGTGAGTCCTGGATCGCATCCAGACCAGTATGTTGCGGGCTCTCTGGGGCTGACATATCTGTATAGTGTTGCTACAGGCGATGAAGGAGGAGCCACCACTGGACGCCAAATGCAAGGACAAGTTCCTCGTGCAGTCGGTATCAGTTTCTGGTGAATTAGAATTTGCGAATGTGACCTCCATCGTACGTCTAGATAACACCATATCCCTATGTCTGCGATATTCAGTCACTAAGTGAACCGCAGTTTGAAAAATCCGCCAAGTCATCCATTCAGGAACGCAAGATCCGCGTCAACTTTCTCCCAGCAGATGGAGAGACAAACGGAGTTGTATGTTTTCCCAGGTGTCGCAGCTTTCTATGCAACCAGGATCGTTCAGCTAATGTAGTTAACCCAGGCACACGAGGAGGAACCGCCCGCCTATACCTCTCCAACCGCCCACAACTTCGAGACTCCAGCCACCGGCCTGTCGAGAAAGCCTGCTGACGATGCCTCCCCTATCCCCCCGCCTAACTTTGGCGACCGATCTACAAGCGAGCAGCCTAACTCACCTTCGAATGATAGCGCCTTCGGATCTGCTGCTGCAAGTGTGAAGGCCACTGCTGCTAGTGCCGTCAGTGCAATACCCACTTCGAGCGAAGATATCAAGGCACAACTGGCAGAAGCCAATGCTCAGATCCAGAAACTCAAGAGCCAGCTTATGGACGGAGGTCTAAGGCAGAGAAAGGCCGGCGCGGCCGGTGAAGAGAGTGCCACTCCTCAGTTGCAGCAACAGCACCCACAGTCAGTAGTGACGGGAGTTCCGGTCCAGGTGGTCGCCGGACTTTGTCTTCTCAGTTTCCTGCTGGCCTACTTTTTCTTCTAGCATTTCCTTTTTTGCCCCTCTATTCCCCCCTTTTTAATTCACTCCAACTGTATTCTCTGTCTGTTGTATGCTTCGTCTTTTCCCTTGTCTTTTTCCATTCTTCGATTTCTTACTGGTATGTCTCGGTGCCCCTTATTTTATGTCCCAAGCACTAGCATCCTATTCTCCCCTTCTTGGTTGAACGCCGCCGTTTGACTTTTGTTGGTAGCACTGTTCTTTCTTACTTTCTTCCGTAAGTCGCTGGAGCGTCTACTGAATCTTTTATTTTTACTAGAATACGATATGAGACCAGTCAGGAAGAAACCTCATTTTCTATTAATCCATCCAGATAAGAAAGAAAGAAAGAAAAAAAGAACACTGCATCAAGAGGTATCGGATGACCGAACTTCTCATCTCATTATGTCCTGGCGGAGCCGTTCCTTCCAACGTATCATAGTTACCAATTCTCCCATCCTCCGTTCCTCCTAGTCTTATTATTCATTGAACATGCATATTGGTTCCCATATTCTCTTCTTTCCCTTTAATTCATTTTTGCCAGAGAAGATTTAAAAAACTGTGAACACACGGTGTCGCCCTTCATATAAGGTAGGGGGATACGTGCTTGGCGCAACTATGGCTTGATTTTTCATGGGCACACATGACATATCTTGGAACTAGACTAGCAGAATCCGATTTTTTTCTCCCTTGTCTATCGTTATATCTTTAATGTGTGGTAAGGTAAACGTCCCATATATATGTTTCGATTCTCTGCGGAGTGGCGCGGTAGCATCTCGTAGACGTTGATGTTACACATGATAACTAGATCAGATCCGTGTTGCCGTATCTTTTTGATAGGAACAAATTCCTCCAGATGTGACGACTTGCGAAAGGTATCTTCCAGGCAAACGCACTCTTCCTATAAGGAAGAGCCATGAAGGCGCCCAAGGAGAATCCATAAAAAAAAAAAAAAAAAAAAAAAAAAAAAAAAAAAAACCATTTCAAACGCCAGACAAAACCCCCCTGTATACAGAGCATACATCTGATAAGATAGATCTCGTTTAGTTCTGAAGCTCACTCTCCTTCCATCCATCACCATCGTCGTCCTTGGCGGCAGATGCAGCTGAGATGGTTTCGCCGCTTCTGCCGTATCTTTTGGCATCTTGTCCACCTCCACCAACGATACGGCCACCCTGGGATCTCTTCACCCGACACCACATTCCGACATTGCTATCCAGGATGAAGGTCCAGATGACCCAGACCCAGCTGCGGTGGCAGGGCAGCGGTTCGTAGAACTCCTTCGCGATCTGGTGCAGCTTTGGCAGGCGGGTCCAAGGGACAGCCGGGAAATCATGGTGTTCATTGTGCAGGCCAACATTGTAGGTAAGGATGTTGAGGGGGCCATAGTAAGAGTATGTCTCCGGCGGCGCGAGAGAGTCCAGGGGGTGTTCCTTCTTAGGCTCATTCTTCCCAGCAGATTTCTGTTCCTCAATCGATTCAGTCCCGCCCGTCTGGACGTTGGAGAAGAAGTAGTGTTCGGCGATAAAGTGTCCTGCGCAAGGGTGCAGGGAACCCGCCAAGAACGAGCTCAGTATGAAATAGTACAGTGGCTGCGCGGAACCGCAGAGCTTGATGATGCTGTAGTCGAAGATAAACTGGGTAATGAGATTCAGGACATGGATCGAGGTGAACGGCGGGCTGTAGATGAACATAGGGCGGACCGCATAGAAGAGGATCTGGAACGTGCAGAAGAAGGCTTTGCCGAGCAGGGAGTCGAGGAACCAAGCTTCAAAAGCTGTAGGAAGATCGGTGTCAAGTCCTGCAACTCCCAGGGACTTGTGATGTGTCAGATGGTAGGGCTAAAGAAGCATAAGTCAGCTGTCAAGTACCGATTGACAATGGATCTAGCAGAATGGTTCACTATCCCAATTGACCGATTCATGGAGACTTACCCTAAATGCAGCGCTGTATGGCAGCCCGATGGGCAGATTGGCAAAGATAGCCAGTAGTCTGTTTGCCATAGGCGAACGGAACGCCAGATTGTGTGATATCTCATGGATGGAGAGGAAGAGGTTTTGGTTGGCCGTGGCGCCAATCACGTATGCCGTTGCGAGGAATTTCCAGTCCAGCATGGATGTATCCTTGAGAAGGCAAGCGCAGAGGACTTGCAGGGAGACGACACCAAGGACGACATACTTCGTGAGCGGTTCGTGACCACAGAGCTTGGTGACCTGCGTAGAACGAAAGCTTTGTTTAGCTATCTATCCATATATCACCATTCACAAGAGGATTTGCAGAAGTACTATACCTCTGGATGCGCCTTGATAATTGCTTGACGCCGTGATCGATGCGGCTCCTCTGTATATGTCCAGAAAAAGTGATCGACGGACGAGTCTTCTGGTGGTGGTGCCCTGGCAGATGTTCCTGCGTCTGTTGGTGCCTGGTCCTTCCCGGCGGACACGCGGAGGTGAGGCGCGGACTCCGTAGTAACGAGCGACGGCATGTTGTAAGGGTTGTGAAATGGTCCCGTATCCCTATCCCATACACAAGAGCGACTAGCAGGTTTTCAAAGTATTTGACAGCAACTGTGAAATGAGAATTGACGACCAGCCATTGCTTGAGAAGTTTCGGGGATGGCGGTGTCGGCTTCGGAGATCTTTCTTTCCACGTGGGGCTACGGACTGTAGAGATGGGTCGCTGTGCCGCCTACGCCAGGGACAATCCACAGATCTACATCTTATTGCTACAGAAGAGATAAAAAGGTCATGCCAAAAAAATAATAATAAATCTGTCGTTGGATTCATATAATCTCTTTTCCTATTTATTCCTGTCTGTTTCCTTTTTGTGGAGGTGAATTTCCACCCAACAGCGTCGTAGTCTACCGAATCCACACAGTGGATAGTTGGTTAACTACTTAACTATTTAGTTAAGATGTGACGCTTTAGTAATCATCGCCACGGCTGATGACCTCCTTCACGGTTGGTCGCAGCACAATAGTCTGAGAGCACGTCAGTTTCCAATCGAAAGCAGTGAGGGGAAGGCATCATACATGTTCAAACTGGGCAGTGTAGGAACCCTTGATATCGCACAGGGGAGGATAATCCTCGACGATGCCCGCAGACACCAGGTTGTTCAGCTGTAAAGCGAGTTAGATGAGTTTGTCCTATCAAGAGACCTCGAATCAAACTTACTCCTAGGAGGTACTTGTCCTGTCCCAGGCGGTCAAGATACCGACGACAGAACGGCAAGGTACCAAAGTTCTTGTTGATCACGCTCAGGAGGTTCTTTGCGGAGGAGAGACGCAAAGGAATGTTAGGAGCGTTGGGGACTTTCGCGTAGTGAGAAGTTTCCATCTAATGAGACGTTAGAGATGAGCGTTGTGGAATTCCAAAGCCGGTGAACTGACATCGTCGTGCACGTAACCCTTTCCGGTACTGCCGAAGGTTTCGATTGCAAAAACCTCTCCCTCTTCCATCTTCGTCTGGTCACCACCCTTGACGATGGGCACACTCTTTCCACCATGGATCACATGTTGGTTGATGTTGTGTCCATTCAGATTCCGGATACATTTCACCGGATAGGTAGTACCGCCGATCTCGACTTCGTAGCTCTCCATCGTTTCCTGGATGGCAGCACCGATGTCACACATGCGGACGTCGATACCGGCTTCCTGTGTCGGGGTCAGTTGCCATCCTCACAAAGCTATATGGGCATGATCAACGCACGCGAATACCGGTATTCGTAGCTTCCCTCACAGCCTCCAGGAGGGGATCATAGACCGGGTCAAAGGTCATGGTAAAAGCACTGTCGACAATGCGTCCATTGATATGGGAACCAAAATCGACCTTCATCACGTCTCCCTGCTGGAGCACCATCTTGTTTCCAGCGTTGGGCGTGTAGTGGGCAGCACAGTGATTAATGCTGAGACCACAAGGGAATCCCATACCTCCCTTGATGTTGTCTCCCTCTTCCAGTCCTGGGTGGCCGGTCAAGGCGCGAACAGAATCCTCGATGCCCTCCGCAATCTCCGTGAGAGTCTGACCAGGCTTGATGTTCTTCTGAGCATACTGGCGGACCTGGCGATGGACCTCAGCAGCCTGACGGTACTCCTGCAGGAAGTCGTTGTTCATGCGGTCGAGGTAACGCTTCTCTTCATTGGTGGTCCGGTAGGCGTTATCGTCCTTGTACTCGACAATCTCTCCCTCCGGATACTTGTTGTTCGGGAAGAGCTGAGAGATCGGGACACGGGGAGGAGAACTCTGGACCTTTGCACCTCCCTTCTTCTTCTTGGGCTTGCGCTTCTTCTTCTTCTTGGCGGCTATTTCAAAGGATGACCATCAGCCATCAACTCGAACGAGTAGATCAGAAATCCTTGCAAAAGTCCTACCTCCGGTAGCTCCAGCATCCGGAGCACCATTTTCATCCTCCTTGTCACTATCATCATCTTCGTTTTCTGCATCTCCAGTAGCAGAAGGACCGTTGGCAGCCTGGTTGGCCTTGGCGCTGCCGTTCTCGCCGTTCACTGTGTAGTCCAAGATATCTTATCAGTCCACGACACGGAAATTTTCAAAAAAGGCGGAGAACAACCTGGGAAGACGCACGGTTGAGCTTTTCCAGCTCTTCACTCGTCTGGGCAGCCATCGTGCAGTGTGCGAAATGTGCGCTGCTGATCCTGAAGCTGCTAGCGGAAGCAAATCCGGTGCGGGACGAAAAGAATAATCAAAACGAGGGGAGTTGGAAATGGACCGGTAGCAGCCGCTTCGTCCCGCCAAGCCTTGGTGGCACCTCTGCAACAACAAACATCTTGCTGGAAGATCTAGGGGCAAATCGCATCTTTAGATACTCTGTACGGAGTAGACAATACTGAAGAAAGAATAGATACGTGCATTCCGTTTTGTACCCTCGAAACGATAGAGCAAACTCGCAAAAAACCGCTCCCCAGCACTTCGGCATATCACATAAGCATCAGCGACAAATAATACAACGCCTATACCATCCTCGCATCCCCAACCTACAATCATTCACGTTATATAATCAATTCCCCTTCTCTCCAACTCATAAAGCAGCATGAATCTTCCCCTCACGAACAAACTCCGCTCCGAACCTCGCCCGAATGCAGGCACCATCGGACGATCAGATAAGATTCGTAACGTACGATACAGATCAGATAACGGCGTAATATTACAGGCCCGCGTAATCTCCGAAGCGCCCAGTTCCCCGTTATGACGCCAGTGGGAGGATCGCCGATAGCGCGGCTTTTCTCCTCTCTTTGTCTCTCTCTCTCTATATGAACTGTCGTGTGCTGGGACTATAACAGCTTCCTTTTAAACCTAACTCATATATCCAGACCTCTTCTCTCTTTCAACAGTGGCCAAAGTGTGTTGTTTTATTTTTAATTCCTAGATGTGAATTAACAAGGCATGTCGCCTCGCCTGAGGACCATCTCCTCTCTTCTCTCCTCGTCACCATCACCATCACCATCGTCACCATCGCCTTTCGTCAATCGTCATTCTTCCAGAAGAAGCAGAGAATATGTCTGCGCAGCAGCATTCTTCTCGACTACGGCACCAGCATACGCTGAGCCCAATTACTACGAGATTCTCAATGTCCCCGTGACCGCATCCACGGCGGAGATCAAAAAGTGCGTTTAAATTTTACCCTTGAAGAACAAGCTATTCAATTCTCCTCTCTCTCCACACATATTCATATTCAATATTCAGATCCTATCTTTGATATCAAGACAGCAGCCATTAGATATATAATATACTGACTTTCGTCCCCGCACAGACAATTCTACGCCCTTTCCCTCACACACCATCCCGATCGCAATCGCGACGATCCCAACGCAACCGCCCGCTTCGCCAACATCTCCTCCGCCTACAACGTTCTCGGAAACAGCAGTAAACGCGCCCGCTATGATCGCGACCACGGCATCATAGCGCACAATACCTCCTCGACGCATAGCACCGCCACTCCCGGCCAACACCCCATGGGCTCGCACAGTAGTCATGGATCGAGTCTGCATAAGTCATACGTCGGATCGCGACCTGCCAGCGGGCTGAGCAAGCGACGAGGTCCGTTCAGGGGTCCCCCGCCGAGTTTCTACGCTCATGGAGGGTATGGCAGAACGGGGAGGACGGGGGCTGGAGCTGGCGCGTCGTCGTCGTCGTCTTCTGCAGCGAGAGGTGGCGCGGGCGCTACTTCCAGCGAAGAAGATCCGACGTCGTTTATTAATCAGAATCCGGTGCATCATTTCAATGCTAGGAGCCATTTCCGTACACAGTCGGCAGAGGACGAACGGCGGCAGCGCCGACGGATGCGGGATTTGGGATTGGATGTGAATCAGAATATAGGTGGGAGTCTCTTGTTAAGGTTTCTTGCTGTCTGTGGCATCCTTGCGGGAGCAGGAATGACGGCCGGGATGTTCGGTATCGGAGGCGGTTCTGGTTCGAAGAAGGTAGCCAGAAAGAAAGAGGATTAATTCTTTTTTTTTTTTTTTATGTTGGCTTCCTTGTCGTGTGGACGGATGTCTTGCGGCCCTTGGCGAATTGCAATAAGGGTGCATACTTTTGATCTTATTCACTGTACATATATATGGATATATACTTCTTTCCTTTTTTCTTTTTGGAGCGGAGCTGTGAATTAATCTACTGCTCGAATCGGCGGACGAGTATTCGCCATATTACAGGGATGATTTGGATCATACGTTGAAACATGGCATCAATGTAACCAATATTAAAGAATGGAGTTCTACGAGATGGAAGAATCTATCCCACAAGTCGTAAAAACTAAATAGCTCTAGCATTGATATACAATAAAATAGCCGTGAAGTATGATAGGTACACGGTTGACCTCCAAACCAACCCTGCCGAGCTCCGCATCCCATCATGACCCGTTCGGCTGCCCTCCGGCTGCAGGACATGAACAGTGTGGTGCTCCAAAAGATGCGCCATAACCTTAATCCTGCCTCACATGCTGTCTGGCGACAAGGATCTTCAAGATAGCACTGAGCTAGGCCGGCAGATCGATGGGAGACCGGAATTATACATTTAGCCCTCGAAGGTGAAGCTGGCGCCAACCTTGTGGGCAGCCTGGTTCAGGTTCTGGGTGTCGAAAGAGGCACCGAGACCAAGGGTGACACCAGGGCGGAGGAGGACGTTGTAGGCAAGAGCAGCGATACCACGGTCGTTGATCTTGACCTGTAATTAGAGCAAGAATGGTCAGTCGCTGGAGAAAACTATTGGCGATAATATCAAAGCTCAACTGACCTTAGCGAAAGAAGAGGGGTCCAGCTTGTACTTGCTGGCAACCTCAAGGCCGACGGTGTTACCGGCCTTGGAGTCCCAGGTGGCCTTGGCGCCAGCCTCGACCTGAGCGTTAACGCGGTGGTAGTAGCTGGCAGAGAAGAGGGTCAGGTTGTTGCCAGCGGTGATGGCAGCAGAGTACTGGGGAAGGCTGTAGCCAACGGCAGCGGAGTACTTGGTGATGGCAGCCTTCTGGACATCGTAGCCACCCTCAGCACCGACGAGGAAGCCCTCGTGGCCGAGGACGGCGTCGAAGTTGGCGGTGGGGCCCTTCAGCAGGTCGAAGAAGGCACGGGCGTGCAGGTTGGGCTGCTTGAAGTAGAGGTTGAGCTTGGCACCCTTGGACTGGGAGCTGGGCAGGTACTGAGTGATAACCTCAGCCTTGAGGCCCTTGGCAATGTTGTTGTCCAGCTCAAGCTTGGTGTCGAGGGCGTTGGCGGTGGTCCACGCCTGGGTGAGGGTAAGGCCTGGGTACGGACGAACCATTAGCATTACACCATGCTCGACCATGCGGGATGAGACTTGGAAGGTCAGGGAGCCAGAGGAAAAGCGACCACACGATACAGATATCGTGGGTCGCAAGACCCGTGCGTGGCTGCTCCTGGGATCGGGTGGTTTTCTTCGTTTTTTGGGATGTTTACCAGTTGGCGCATCAACGTATTTGGCCTCGAGCTGTACGTAGCGGATAGAAAAAAATCACAAATCAGCCTCTATCAACGAGGACAGGCGCAATGATAGCGCGATTGAGCTGGATAACTTACGGAACCGCCAATGGGGCCGTCGTGAGCCGACTTGCCCTTCACGGTGAAGGTGACGCCATTGGGGGCCTTGGACTTGACCTCAAGGTTGGCTGTAGCGGTAAATCAGCTTGGAGCGGTCATTGTCTTGGGCTCTGCGATCTTACCGGCGCTGGTGTGGTAGAAGTCCTTGTTGAGGAGCTGTGGGAGGCGCGCAATCAGTCTTTGCAATGCTCTTCGGCAACGAGTAACAAACAATCGGAAATTTCAGGAAGGCATACATCGTTGCTCGCCTTGGCGATGTCAGAGAAAGCAGCGGGGGCAGCCATTGTGAATACAAAGGGACGCGACGACGACGTCTGGATGATCCTAAAGAGAGGGAGAAGGGAAGCTGTTGGAGGTCTTGGATGTTGACAGCAAGGTGAGGACGGAAGAAGGCAGAGAAGTTGGGGGAACCGGATGAGATGTCGCCAAACAGGGAGCCCACGGGAAAGCAGATGCGCGGCCTGATTGGGCCGTTGCAGCACCCGGTCATTGCCGCCCACCGCCAGTCCCGTGACCCCTCGGCGGACACAAGGAGCAACTGGAAGTAACTAACTTAAAGACTTGAATAATATTACTACGTACTATTATTGTCTTGCACGAGATGCAACGAGTCATAGTTATCGAACTATTGCCTTACAAATGAGATCTAAAACAGGCAACTTGCCCCGCACGGGGCCAAGTGACAGGAGTATAGTACTATATGCGTGAAACAACCCGAATTCTACTGCTTTCCAGCGCCAGGACTATACATGATCAACCAAACGACGCGCGCTTTTTCTCCTTTTTAATGACAGTATGGATGGATGTTTTGCTTGCTTTCCCCTCAATCAAGATCTGTACATGGCATCTATTGCGTGTTCTCATACTTGGCGTTGTGGATCGCGATGGCCCTGAGAAAGAAGTCAGCAAAAATAATCCATGGTGGCTTCACAAGTGCAGAGGGTTAGCAAGTCATACCGTCCACTGGGGTCGGTCTGCTTGGACCAGGTAGGCGTCCATCGCTCGACTGTCGAGGCGCAGGTCGGCGGGAAGTGCTCGTCGAACATCATGCGGTACCAGTAACTAGTTCCGTTAGCAGTGAGCTCCCACCACACGGTGAAGGAGGGAAAAAAAAAAAAAAAAAAAAAACATACGCTTCCTTGGTGTCAGGGATATCGGTGCCCCATTCCGGCTTGGGGTTGTTCATCATCTCATCCGTAACGTGAAGCTCAGCGTTGTCCTTCAGGGCATCGATCCAGCCGTAGCCCACACCGTCACTGAACTGTTCCTTCTGGCGCCACAGGATCTTCTCGGGAAGGTACGGCTTCACATCAGGCTCGTCAGTGGTGTCGAACGCCTTGCGCAGAATATACTTCTCGATCCGGTCCTTGGTGATCATCTTCTCCTGGGGATCCACGCCCATGCAGACCTCAAGGAACTGCTTGTCCAGGAAAGGAACACGGGCCTCAAGACCCCACGCGGACGTCGACTTGTTGGCTCTCAGGCAATCAGCCAGATGCAGGTTCTTCACCCTGCGCACCGTCTCCGCATGGAATTCCTCCCGGTTCGGAGCAGCGTGGAAGTAGAGATAGCCTCCGAAGATCTCGTCACTTCCCTCTCCACTCAGCACCATCTTAACACCCATGGCCTTGATCTTTCTGCTGAGAAGATACATAGGGGTGGAAGCGCGAATTGTGGTCACATCGTAGGTCTCCAGGTGGTAGATGACGTCGGAGAGAGCGCTCAGTCCGTCCTCAATGGTGAATGTAAAAGCGTGGTGCTTGGTTCCAAGGAACTTGGCGACCTCAAGAGCGGCCTGGGTGTCGGGGGCACCGGGAAGACCGATGGAGAAAGAGTGCAGCTGGGCCAAAGTGGTCACGGTTGACAGGTCGTTCTCGTCATCAATACCGACCAGACCAGAGTTATCATCGGCCTCAGTGGTTTTCGCATTCATTTGCGCCTCCCGCTGACGGAGAGTCTCTCGCTGTGCGATTGAGGCCACCAAGCTGGAGTCGAGACCACCGGAAAGAAGGACACCGTACGGGACTTCAGCCATCAGGCGCTTCCGGACAGACTTTTCCAGGGTCTCTCGGATCAGCTTGTAGTCGACGGGCTGCGACGGGACGTTGGTCGGATCCCACCACTTGGGCTCGAAGTATCGGGTCGTCTGGCCCGTCTTGGAGTCATAAACATGGCCAGGGGGGAAGGCAACGATCTTGTCACACACGGGGTGCAGACACTTCAGTTCAGAGGCGAAGTAAACAGTGCCGGGGCTCTTGGAGTCCCATCCTTGGTAGAAACTGATAACGCCAATGGGGTCACGAGCCGCGATAACCCTGTTCTCCTTCTTGTCGAAAAGGACAAAGGAGAACATACCGTCGAGGAATTTGGGGGCGTCAATGCCATGCTCCGTAAACTAGGACCAGCCAGTGAGTCGACCGTCCATATACACACAAAGGATGGACAGATTCGAACGTACCAACGGAATGATCACCTCACAATCCGAATGTGTCTTGAAATTGTATGGCGTCTTCAGCTGTTTCCGGAGAATGCGGTGGTTGTAGATTTCACCGTTGACCGCCAGGGCCAGGGTCTCGTCATCGTTGAGCAGAGGCTGGGCGCCAGTGTCTATAATCATATGATTTCTTAGCAAGCCATTGCTAACAGACTTCCAACGTCTCAAGCGATTCCTGTACGTACCGACACCGACGATACTCAGACGCTCGTGGACGAGAACTATGAGCCGGTCAGCAGGGAATTGACGGCTAGGATACCTCCATTACTGACTCGTTTGGTTCGCAGAGAAGTTACCGCCTGTTTGCGAAGATTGCTGTCAGTTATCCTGTGCCAGGAGACCTCTAATCGCTATATGATGCCAGGTTGACTCACTCCAGTCGGGACCACGGTGACGCATGCTATGCACGCCATTTCAGTATACAACATTCCCCAAATTGGCAATCATCACGGAGCGACTCACGTCTTGGCCATACGCAACGCCGTAGGCTTGAACTTTTGCACATCGCAATGGCTATAATTTCAGTCAGCAGCTTGTCCATCCCGCGGGGGGAGGTGCCACTCTGTCCGGCGCACCGGCCGACAAAGCCCTAAAAGAGAGAGAGTGACATACTTATGGCACGCGAAGATTCCACACATTTTGAGCGACTCCCCTTGGGCGGAAACAGGGACCAAAGCCTAGAAAGGAAGGAATTGGAGTCTAGAAATGCGACAAGGCGTATCGCAAGGAGAACGAGAGAATGTGTGGAAAGGACAAGAAAGTTGAACGTCTTTTGGCTGGGTTTGGTCCGAAGACGGGGAAATTTTAAGAGCGTTCCAAGCCGGCGGAGGGGCAAAAACGAGGGGCGAAGTCGGCCTTGACTCACCCGATAAGATGGATTTTTACAGTGCATGTCATTCGCTCCATATCATTTATATCATGCTTATTCTTAGTTACATACAAGCTACCTAAGCTAGCTACTACTAGCTACAGCATTATTACTGACAGTAAAGAACCTTACCTCTACTCCCAGAAATCATATAATATCAGAGTATAAGTTAATAATAATCCCTACAGCTTATCTCCCCGGCCAGTACTTACCTATGTATGACTCACGCGAGCGAATCGAATCGGTCTCCACGTTTTTTCCCCTTCCCACAGCTCTGTGGCGAAAAAAACCATTACTGTAGCACATTTGACTAAGTAAAATCCCACTACGTACCTATTCCAACTTGAGACTATGGAGTACCATACAGTAATTAGGAACCATTGTTTTGTTTATCATTATTAGTCAAGGGAAAAAAAGCAAAAAGTTCCCGCCCCTGCGCCATCCCATCCCTGGGAGCTCTCGTCTCTCCACGACGCCCGTGCTTAAGCTCTTCCAACGAATGAGAGATGGTTCTGGAATTTGTAATTTGTAGCTGGCTACGTAGTTGCATCATCGTACTTGTATGGTACTTGTACTTTTTGTATGTATTATTATTTTAGGGGGGGGAGAAAGAGGAAGTATGTTGCTGACCGGAATGAACAAGTATAAAAATGTATTTTTGAACATTATTCCCTAATAAATGACATTATGGAGAAAGAGTATGATGAAACGAAAAAGACAGAGGAGACGCATTATCCCGAGTAATTTGGCAGGTTACCACTGCTTTTTCTTTTTCTTTTTTGATTGAGAAGCGCATCTGGTGTTGAGAATTCTATACACCTAACAAACACTCCTGATGGATTAAGCAGGGCTGCAAATACATCTGAAGAAATCGAATTAGACACCAACGCCGCTCTCTGATTCCAGCCCCATCTCATAAAAGCAAATATCGTAGACGCCATGCTCGCTGTAAACACAGAAATCGCCGAAGAGAAACGCAACACGATGCAAGACAGACAGAGACAGAAGGTGACTGACTGACTGGCTGGCTGATCTCATCCGCCCTTGTCGTGTCGACCGGTATCTGTCCCAAGGAGTCATTGGCAATAGATTTCAGTCACTCTTCGTCTTCCGTTGCCCATTTCATTCCACACCCAATTGCACACGGATTCGACATACACTAAGAAGTGTCTTTCTGGGCCTGTCGAATAACAGATCCATCTCTACCGTAGTCCTACAACGCCGGGTTCTCCTTCACAACCTGTCGCACCTTCTTCTCATACGCGGGACGATCCTTCTTGAAGAGGTTGTATGCTTCAGCCTGCGCAGGCGATTCCGGGTTGGGATCGTCTAATAGATCCTGAATACCCAGAAGGATCTGCTTGATCGTGATGGCTGGCTTCCATGCCTCCTCCTCGTTCAGGATTGAGAGACAGACGGTACCGGAAGGGTAAACGTTGGGATGGAAGAGCGGAGGAACGAATTTGCCTATACGGAAAAACACGTAGGTTAGCTTCTATTTCTTCTGGCGACCATCTCTTCGACACAAGGAAATGTGCGCGCAGGAAGTGCGCGGATCTGCATCCTGCGCGAGTTCGAGCCGGGGGCTATATATAGGGTACATACACTTTGGAGGCTTCGTAGGATACTCTGCCAATTTCCCTCATGTTAGTCCACTGTCTGACCGAAGCGCAAGCTATAAGAGAAAGAGAAAACCACACTCACCGTCCGGAAAAGTCACATCTAGCTTGAACAGTCCTCCTTCCCAGAGAGTCTTCTGCTTTCCCGGGATACCACACTCCCACTTCTTCAGATCCAATACACCCTGTGGCGTCCGGTAGGGTTTCGCGTAGAAGCCGAACGGGTGGTCTCGTCTCCACTGCTTCCTATATAGACAAGCAGCAACGGTCAGCTTTGGGGCTCTCAAGCTGTGCGATTCAATCGCCACTCAGATCGCAATAACACATACCTCTCCTCCATAAGCCGGTTCTGGCAGAGCGTCGACATTTTGGTAGATTTTCGGCTCAAGAGACTGGTCTACAAGAGGCGACGATGGTTGCGAATAGCGCAGGCGCAAACGGACGTCAGATAGTTAGATCTGGTGTTAGGTTGAAAAGAAGTCACTGGGTGACGGTAGGAGAGGGAGTGAAGAAAAACTGCAGGAAAAGAGAAAGTCAGATAAAGGCCGTGGCAGTGGAGCGGCAGTGGTGAGGCTCCGATCTGCTCAGTGAATGCTCATGAAGAAAGCCGCCATCCAGACCTTCACGGCCGATACAGTATTGGACCCCACGAGCGGCGCTCCGCAGACCCATCTAGAAAACACGTCACGTGATTGCCTCTCTAAAGGACGTCCCTCTGGTAACTTAGCAGAAATATCATAGTCATACATGTTCTTTTTCCTTTACACATATTGCTAGGGAAAACAAGGTTGATTCCTAATATAGCAAGCCTAGAATGGATGGCATCCGTCCACGACTCTTGGATTCCCGCATATCAAACGCAACAGCCGAAGGTAACTGATCTGGCTGGAAGAGGTATCATTGAACGTCATAATAATAGTACATAACCAGCTCACTCATAAATCCCCTTTTCAAACTTCTCATTGCTGAAGAATCGGGCCGTGATTTTGTTGCCATTAAATATTCGTCCTTCAAGAGCGTTGACAGCCTATGAGATACAGTTAGTCAGGGTTCCATGGGCGGCAGGATAGCGGAGCCAAACAAACTCACCCGTAAAGCAGAGAGCTGGCTAGTGAACTTAACAAAGACAGGAACAGAGTCGCCAGCATTACGATGAATGAAGACGCGCTCGACACGTCCATACTATTATAAAGGTCAGATAGAAGTTGCCAAGCGGTCCTGGATAAACTCACCTTCTCGGCGCACTCTTCGCCGATCTCCTGCATCAGGCCTCCGTCCTGACTACTCTCCAATTCTGCTTCCAAGTCCAGGCCATCCAGCATACCTCTCAGTACGATGACCTCACTCATAGCACCAAACTTGCCTTCATCCTCAGACTTCTTGGCGCTGCCAATGATCTTACCCCGGCCGCCAGGCCCAACAAACCCACCACCTTCAGAGTCAGGTTTCTTTTTCTGCTTTTCCACTTTGACCTGGAGCGGCTTGACGATTCCAGAACCAGTGGCACCTAGTCCTGATCCTTTCGACCAGCCGTACTTGGCCAGGAGACGTTCAGCAAAGCCTTTCTGGCCTGGACGTAGCGACCGAGGAGCATTTCCATCTTCGGGCTCATCGACAGGCTGCTCCTTTGCGAAGGTTTCCTCCAGCTCTGCTTCTGATGCGGGGATGTCTTCCGGAGGCGGTGGTAGAGAGTATCGGACAGGCGCACGAGATATGGTTGCCGAAGGAGCCTGTATCGAAGAAAGAGAACGGGTAGGTTGTGGTGCAGGTGACGGTGGCTTAGGCGGCTGTGGATCAGAAGGTCCGGCAGCTGGCAAGATGCCACTCATCCGTAGACGTCGCGCATAAGCATCGTCGCCCGTCGGGTCGTCAGGGAGCGGCGCTGCAGGTTCTGGCGGAGGGCCCTCCGTAGGCGGCTCCGGCGGCGGCGACACCTTGTTGAGATCTGCAGGTGGTGCAAAGTTCAGACCAGGAGGAGGAGCGAATTGCCCTAGAAACAATCAGTAACGTAGATCCGTGGAGAGACTAGACTTGGACGTGAGCATACGGTTCATCGGTCTTGAAGACTCTTCGTCACTGTCGAAAGCACTGCTATTCCGGCTAGCCATGCGATGAGCATAAAGACGGTCCTTCCACTCCCTGACCTCGCGTATTTTCTCCTCACTATGCTTGTACTCTTCGTAGATATTCGGTCGAGAAGGGTCATAGATATCGTCCCAGTTCTGAAACACCGTCTCTGCCTCGCGGTTCTTCTTACGCTTTTTGCGTCCGCCGCGCTGACGTCTCTCGCCGTAGAATCCATTCACATCGTCATCGTCAGTTGCAGCCCAGTCCGCCAACGTCGTCTTGACCGGCGCTCGAATGGCCGCGTTATTGGACGCAGAAGCATCTGCTGAGGAAGTAGGCGCGGGCGACGTCCCAGGAACAGCTCTCGGCAATGTAGGCTTCGGTTTCGGTTTCTGAGCAGAGATCTGAGGTCTTTTCGTAGGTTGAAAGCGAAGAGCAGCTGGATTCCCCAAGCAAGCAACGCGACGGGACAAGTGAGTAATCAAATCGACAAGAGGGAGGTCTCTCATGAAAGAAGGGTCTAGGCTCTACCGGAATTGATCTGTTGCTTCTTTGCAGCGGACTCGTCTGGCTGAGAGTCGCCTTCTGGACTCTGTTTGAAGACGACGGGTGCTCGTGATATCGTCCCCGGAGTAGACGAGGCATCTGCTTCAGGATCAAGCAGGTTGGCGTACAGCGACAGCATGCCGCCGCCTTTCGACGGGGTAGCCTCTGGAGCCATGCTGTAAGCGCAGATGGAGATGTCTGGCCAAATGATCGACTGGCAACTATCTAATAGTTCAAGCAACAAGCCATGCAGAATCACAAATGCCTGGACGGCCAAAAGCGGGCAGTTTCGCCGCGAGTCGGCCGAATTCCCGAAGTAGAAGCGGGAAAGACCGGCAGTTTCGCACTGGGGCAACGTCATCTCCGCTCCCCGGATGAGGCAGAGAGATGGGGAGATCGTTGGATGCTCAGGGCTGGGGCTGGTTCTGTTTCTCTCTTGTACCATCTTGCATTTCGTTTCGTTTCGTTTCTTTTCCCGCTGGACGTACACTATTCTGTTGAGGAAGAATGGCGACTCTAGCAAACACCTTTGCTACCGATGGCTCTGCCACGGCTATCATCGTCCCGAGCAAGCCTCAGGCGTTGACGGTGTCTTACAGACAGCTGAACTCCGCAGTGGCCACCTTCCAGGCGAAGTTGGCGAAACTGGGCATTCGTCCCGGAGATGCTGTGTCGATTGCTCTCCCCAATTCGTATGAATTCATCGTGGCCTTCCTGGCTGCGTCATGGCAGCGCGGCATCGCTGCTCCCCTAAACCCGGCTTACAAGCAGGAGGAATTCGAATTCTACATTGATGACCTCAGCTCTGCTCTGGCTCTCGTCCCGCAGGGCTCGTTTGAAAAGGATGGCCCTGCCGTCAGGGCGGCCCGTAAGTACCAGGCTGCCATTGCGGAATGCTACTGGGACGGCAAGGAAGTCGTGCTTGATGTGAAGGATGCCGGAAAGCTGGCGGGCAAAGGCAACCAGAAGATCGAGACAGCGCTTCCGGACGATATTGCTCTGGTCCTGCACACGAGCGGGACGACAGGCAGACCGAAGGCTGTAAGAACATCATATTCCCTGTGGATTGAGTCGATACTGATGCTTATCGTTGACCAGGTTCCGCTTACGCACAGGAATCTCACCAGAACCATGAGTATGTTGCGCGATCCAGTACGTTGCGGTGGAAAGATGCTGACAAGTGATACAGAGAACATCAAGGCCACATATGATCTGAGTCCCAAGGACCGGACGATGCTGGTGATGCCATTGTTCCACGTTCACGGCCTGCTGGCTGCGTTCCTGGCTCCTCTCCACGCAGGAGGTTCCGCAGTTGTTCCCCCCAAGTTCTCTGCGCACGAGTTCTGGACGGACTTTATCACCCACAAGGCCAATTGGTACACTGCAGTGCCAACTATCCATCAGATCCTGCTGAAGAACCCGCCGCCCAACCCGAAGCCGGAGATCCGCTTCATCCGTTCGTGCTCGTCGCCGTTGTCTCCTAAGACGTTCCACGAGTTGGAGAAGACGTTCAATGCTCCAGTCCTGGAAGCGTACGCCATGACGGAGGCTGCTCATCAAATGACCAGCAATCCTCTTCCTCCCGGTAAGCGCCAGCCCGGCAGCGTGGGTATCGGCCAGGGAGTGGAGGTCAAGATCCTCGACCAGGAGGGCAAGGAAGTTCCGCAGGGCCAAGAGGCAGAGATCTGCGTCCGTGGAGAGAACGTCACGAAGGGCTACCTCAACAACCCGGAAGCCAACAAGTCGTCTTTCACTAAGGAAGGCTTCTTCCGGACCGGTGACCAAGGAAAGAAGGATCCTGATGGCTACGTTATCATCACGGGTCGTATCAAGGAGCTGATCAACAAGGGCGGCGAGAAGATCAGCCCGATCGAGCTGGACAACACACTAGCGCACCATCCGGCCGTTGGAGAGGTTGTTTCTTTCGCCATTCCAGACCCAGGCCACTACGGAGAGGATATCGGCGTTGCCGTTGTCCTCAAGGGCAAGGGTGCGACGACGGAGGAGCTCAAATCGTGGATGGCTACCAAGGTGGCCAAATTCAAGGTCCCCAAGAGGGTATGTCCCATATACCTCTCCCTGATCAATCCCGCCGAATGCTAACCCAGTCTCAGATCTGGATCCTCAAGGAGATCCCGAAGACAGCAACCGGCAAAGTCCAGCGCCGCAAGGTGGCAGAAGCCATGCTGAAGAAAGACACCAGTGCCAAGCTGTGATCCAGTTAAGCTCTTATATATATATATATATATATATATTTATATGTAGATGCCAGGCTGTTTATAACCCGTACCCCTTTCTTCCTGTGTCTACAATATCATGTATAAGTCACGTACATACATGTCTGCAATTTATCCAATATATGGCATTACCCACTGGAATCATCAGTAATCAAATCTCAAGCCTTAAGAGAATATCTCCCCTAACTGAAGAAAATCCACTTAGATTCTCCCCATTCTCTTCTTATGTACATCATTTCTGGACTCGGACCTAGATAGATGCCCCATATTCAATTCAGCCTAAGATCCCCACTAGATATATTTCATCAAAGACATATAGCGACATTCTTACGCAAGCGGCATCCGCACAGCTGATTGGAACTATACAAATCAGTTAGTTCAACCTTCCTCATAACCAAACAACAACAACAACAACAACAACAAAAAAGCCAAAGCAAAAAGAAAAAAAGGTGGGGGAACATATTACGTACCGGAATAATCTGCGCAGCATCAAAATCCCACACACCCTCCGTAACATAAACATCCTTGGAAAGAATCTCCTTCGCTTCAGCGGCGGTATTCGCCATGACGATGATCATGCTTCCTTTGAAATTGGGCGTTTGGCCTTCCGCGGGGTGTTGGTCTTGGAACATGGCGCCGCCGGCGACGATGGAGCCGGATTCAACGAGGGGTTTGAGGCCGGATTTGTGGGTGCTGCGGGGTGGGAGGGAGGTTATGTTAGTTGGGGGTTATATGTATGTATGTATGTATGTATGTATGTATGTATGTATGTAAATGGGGAAGGTTGGTTTGACATGATACGATATGTATGCGTTATGATGTCCGGATATGTATTACTCCAGAAGAATCGCCCTGGAAACAATAGAGCATAGAGCATAACTCCAATAAAACGAACTGGGATAGAATCCCACAACAAGAAAAAAAAAAGCCAAAAGAAAAAGGACAAACTCACGGCCGAACCTCAATCCTCTTCGCTCCCACACCGGGCTTATCCGGGATGATAACGAGGAATTCCTTCTTCTGCGAAGAAGAAGACATGTCGCTAGTCGTAGTGTCCGTAGTTGTAGTAATAGACCTATTAAATCTTCTCTGAACTCGTAGCGGAAGTATACCACGAGGAGGATATATATTCTTCTTCTTCTGCGCTGTCAAAGAAAAAGAAGAATAAAAAGAAGAAGAATGTAAAACCCCGCGAGGATTATTATAAGACGCAGAAGAATAATAAGCAGCGGGAGGAGATCGGGGCAGAAGCCGACTTGGTGGGGAAATCGGGAAGAACGCGGTGGGTACGACCAGGAGGAGGGGCTGCGTCGTTGTTGTTGTTATTATTGTTGTTGTTCTTCTGGCGGCTGAGGAGAAGAAGATGGACATGTTTGGATGTTATAATAATAATACCCTTGTCGTTAAATAACAGGTCTTGGCTCCAGTTGGCACTGTTTTGTTATTGTCCTTGTCTTGCTGCCTTTTTTTTTTCTTTCTTCTGCTGCTGCTGTTTTCTGTCCGATTATCCAGATAGACAGAAAGCAGTTCAAGAAAACAACAAAAGCGGATAGCTTCCGACCGAGCTGGAGAGGACAAGAATCGAAATAGAGAAAGACCTCCAAAGAATGGCGTCTGAATTGGAACCTTATGATTTTCCCCCCTCCTTTTTGGATCTAGTGCCGCGTGCCGCTCAGAAAGCCGAGGGAAACAAAGACGCAATTGACGAAGCTACCGTGTAGCAGGAGTTAGAACAGACTGTACCAGACTGCCAGTCAAGAATGTATATCTCTCTAGTGTATTACGTAGGGCGCAGAGCATGATCACTCCTAACTTGTCAGACCAGTAAGGAGGAGATGAGGTAGTTGGACGACTGACTTGACCGGTAATTCGAGAAAACCAAGGCAAGTCAGCGCCTGTATAGACTGTGGGGCTCGTGGGACTGATAGAACTTCTACAGAATGTGGAGAGCTGCAGCACTACTAGAGTTAGTATAGTACTATGTACTTACTACTGTACGGACTGCGCGTCGATATCGCAGCAAGAGGCGCAGTTGTGAGTGCTTGATCGCTTCAAATACAACAATATCCAGAGACTACTGGTGAACGGAACTGCTCGCAACTTAGTCTACAATAATATGCGGTTTCACACACAAGCAACCACTGGAACAAACAGACCGAGCATCGTTTTCCGACAGAAGAAGCGTAGCCTATATATACAAGTACATACAGTACAATTGCAGGAGCTCAGCTCTCCCTTCCATCCCCCGGCCGCCCGCCCATTAGTAAGTTTAGAAGAAAAGGACCCGCGCATTCCTCAATGACATGCTGGGCTTTTTGTGCCATATGTGTTGCTGCTTCCGCTCCCTGCCATATCCTCTCTTAAATCTCCATGCAAAACAAATGATGATGATTATTCAACTCCAGCGTTGGCTTGGCTCCGCTGACAATCGGTGGGAACAGCCCACCGCCAAGCACACCCCGTAGAAAGCAAATTCCTGCACAAACCAGAACAATGCGCCAGTGTGGGAAGTGGCAAAAACATGACAGCAAGGAAAAAGAAAAAGAGCAAGCTGCTTCGAATCAAGGAAAAGGGGGGATATGAGAAACATGAAGGCGAATGGAATCCGGAGAGGCCCAACCCAAAAGAAATAACGCTGTTGATCCCGAGGGTCGACGGTCCAAGCAGAGACCGCATCATTTCAACACACCAGCGGAAGTTGGCACGACCTTATAGCCATGACCGGTGCGGTCCTGAAGGCCTCCACCCGGAAACAGCAAGGAAAGGTACAGGCGAGAGAAGTGCGACTGACAAGGCAAGACTCGGAGACGATCAGCACCTATAGGGAAACCTTGAGACCACAAAACTCGAATACTCTCCTCCGTAGCGCCAAGGAAATGAAGACAAGAGAATCCCTAAACTGCGACAAGAAAGGAATCTTATTACCGCAATCATTAGGCTGCTGGGCGCATAAACACTGTCCAGACGGGCGACAAGACCGATGAGCCGACGAAGAATCCGCCGGGAGTCCGGTTAGACTTCTCAGAAGGAGAAGAACCGAAGACCGTACGGAAGGAAGTCGAATCCCAGAGGGTTGCGATGAGATCCGAATGCTGAGCCAAGTCGAAGATGCCCATCGATCACCTCGCACATCTGTCAGATAGACGCCCTCGCAGCATGAAACAAAGTCACGAGTTCGTCACTAGTAAGCCTTGCGGTCTCCGAGATTACCAGGCTTCTCCTCGGTGTCGATGTGCCAGACGACATAGTTGGGCAGTCCGACCACCTGGTATCCAGCGCGCTTGGCCATTTTGGCGAATCCTTCCGTCTCGGCCTGGTTCTCGAAGGAGTAGGCTGGGAAGTTGATGCCTGGATTTCAGTTAGCATCCACATGGTCCTGCAACAGAAGAGAAGGAAATGCAAAGTACCTGATCGGTGAACGTCCGCCTTGACGAGAATGTTCACACCTCCAATACCGTCCAACTCAACCTCTTCATCCTTGTCCTTTCTCCAGTCTCCAAGCTTGACGAGGTAAGTACGGCCGGTGTCGTATTCCTTGTAGCCTTCGGCGAGAATGGTGTCCTTGTCAAGGCTGGCTGCTAGCCTGCGGCCCTTGTCGGATTCAATCCACGAGTTGTAGTCGACTGGATTCATTAGCCGATGTTCTCACATCACTCAGAATTTGGGGGGGGTTAGCCTACATTTGCCCTCGACATCCCGACCATCCTTGTAACGGTGGAACCAGATGTTAGGAACCAAGATGTCCTTGTCGTGAGCGATGAAGTCCTCAATGATCTTTTCGGGGCTGTCCACAATGTCGACATCGCGCCAGTACACCCAGGAGTGTTCGGGTTTCAGAGCGGAGTAGAGCAGATAGTTGCGGGCTCTTCCGATGGCCTTGCGGCGGGGACCCTGGGCAGCGAAGGAGTGCTTGTCCTCGACGTTCATGTCAACCACGGCGCCAAAGTCCTTCTGCACGATGGTAGCGCTGCGGAAGGCGATCTTGTCCTCCGTCTGCGCCTGGATGCGGTTCAGTTCCGAGGAGAGGACGGCCAAGGTGTCATCGGTCGAGTCACCAACGAGGAAGGCCAGATCGATCAGTTCGTGCGGATACGTCAGCATCGAGAGCAAGTCGAAGTACTTCGGTAGGTAGGGCGCAGCATCTCTCAGGGGCGTCAGGATGAGCACGCGTTCGCGATTGACGACGGCCTGAGTGGTGGACTTGATGGGGTTCAGGTCGACGTTGTGGATGGTGGACGAGTTGACCTCGTAAGGCTCGTGGTGGTTGAAGATGACGGGCGTCTGGAGATGCGCGTTCCATTCGACCATCTCGTTGATAGACATCTCCATCGGTGATTTCGAGGAGCCATAGCAGTAGAAACTGTTTGATGGTCGTACCATGTTAGTACCGATTCAACCCTTCACATGAACCATCCTCCCTGTCGCGAGATGATCCCAACCAGACAGAGGGAAAAAAAGAGAGAAGAGGAAACGAAAAGGAACATACTTTTGCATCTCCGCCGCAGACTTGCTAATACCACGCCATAGCAGAATGACCAGACCGGTGACGGCTATGGTAATGAGGAAGCGCGTCCGCGTTAGCAGGACAACCAGCGCTCTCCATGGCGGTAGCCTGGCCCTGGCGGACTTCCACGTTACACCAACACCACCCTTGGGAAGAAGCATGGCTGCTATGTGTGTATATTTTTTTTTGGGCACAAGGAAAGGAGTGTTGGCTAGAACAGGACAGAGAAGAAGGAACCCAAAGAAGCTGCTGCTGCTGCTGCTGATTGCTGCGTGGCCGACAACAACAGGCCGGCCTGTGCACGGAACGGCGACCGTCTTCGGGGCGATTTCTTTTCCCAACAGGTCAATAATACCTTCAGCAACAGACAGTCTTGAGGACAGTCCTCGGGGGGAGGCAGATCAGCCCCAGCGGCGATTGTCGATGGAGTGGCACCGGATAGACGATGGCAGGGCGGTGGGGGAAGGATGGAGAGAGAAAGGGCAGACTTGTAGGGTGAGGTTCGAGGTTAGTTAGTAGTAGTAGTTAGGAGTGTCTGCAGCACGAGGAAGAGAGATGGTCGACCGGAGATTGGCCTCCAGACCCGCCGCGGGAGGGAACAAAAAATAGAACGAGGGATGGGATGTCTTTGGGAAGAAGAAGAAGAAGAACAAGAACTCAAGGATAATAAGAAGTGATAGTCATGGGATGGACAAACTATCAGATATTCTCTTTTTTATTGTTATTATTCTTATTGTTCTTGTTCTTCTTCTTCTCTCTCCACCGATGGATCTAACCAAGTAAGAAGAGTCCAGAACAAGAAAAGACCAACAAGTTAACAACCATCCAACCCCCTATTGGGCTCTACGGGCATCTGTAGACTCCAGACATGCCACGCGATCCCTGGACGCTTGTCCCATTATGACTGACAGTAGTAGTATTAGTAGTATCTAGACTTCATCTCCTCAACCACACAACTAGGAATAATTATTAAATTACCCTAATTCACCAACTTAGTTAACTAATTAGTTAGTTATACATCTTACCTAAGCCTTGCATCGCTGTATCCACAAACATAATCATCTCTTTACGAGATAGCTCAACTCCATCTCCCCCATTGCATAATGCATAATGCATATCATCACACTATGCGCTCTAGAGTACGTACGTACGTACGTTACTTACGCATTAATCACTTTACTTACTTACTCTAGACTATCATCTGAACCCTTTTTTTTTTTTTTTTTTCTTCCTCCTTCTGCATCGATCGTCAAATCTTATCGTCGAGTTACTTACTCAACTGCCTTGCGGCGGTCCATCTTCCCCGCTGCACGTCTCGTCTCCCCTTGCATCGAGCATCCAGCAATAGAATAGAATAGAATAGATAGTTCCCAATTTTCATCCGGTGGCGAAAAAGTCGTTAACGAAACCTCGGTTCATCCCCTCCATGGCTGGCTCTCATTGAGTTTGGGCCCCCGGAGCAAAGTTCAGCTGGTGAGATGCAATTTTTGTTGGTCGTATCCAGACTATCATCGTCCTTCATGCGTTAAGACCCATTTTCGTTCAAAGTAAAATTCTTGCAGAGGATTGATGCCTAGTTAGTTATCTGGGAAATCGCACAATGGCTGCAGCACCTCTTAGAGACTTTAGCGAGAAACACGAAGAACTACAGAAGAATCCAGAATGGCTGCACGCAATCACCATATTATCCAAGTCACTAATGTACACACAAGTAAATTTCACCCCGGACTACCCCCAAGTCTGTCCCCAGGACAACTTTTTACTTCTCTGCGCCATCAACATAGGATCAAGAGGAATCTCACAGAAAAAGAAAACAAAACATATATACACCGAATATCAAAAGGTATAGAGCAGCCGAACAATGATAGATATCAAACGAAATCCAAAAAAAAAAAAAAAAAAAAAAAAAAAAGAGAATCCGAATAAAGACAACACATAAACAAAAAACAATTCCCAGTGGTATAATGTTACAGGTAATCCCTGACCCGACGCAGAGGTTTCCGTCGAGGTCCCAAAAAGTCTTTCCATATCCCAAATACTCCCATGACTCCCGGTCCTGCCGTGCCATCGTGCCACGTTCTTCCTGATATGTATCGTAAGCTCGTCAATTCTGTCATCCCCTAATTCGTTCATGTAGAGAAGGACCCCCGCCCAGACAGAGGCGAAGCACGAGAGGAGCTCTGGCACACGGGCGACGAGGGACTGGTAGCAGGCGGGGTGCTTCTAAAACTGAACGAGAACGACTGTCCGAAGACCTGGGACGAACCAGTGTGGGGAGGTTCAGTGTTGGCCCCGGCCTCCGGACTGATCGCGGCCACCTCGTCGCAGAAGACCCTCAGGCCCGGAAGCATCTTCTTCTCCTCATTTGCCGGGATGGCCTCCAGAGGCCTGGGGCTGGTGGCCTCGGTCTTCGGGAGGCGGAACATCTGCTCGTACGACTTGAGCTGGAACTCGAGAGCCCGGTTTCTCTCCGCGAGAGTCTCGTTTTCATGCTTGACCGTCCTCAGCTGCTGCTGAGTCGACTCGTTCTGCTGCTGCAGGCTGCTCACCTGCTGTTGCAGATGCATGGCACGAATGTTAGCCTGCAGGTTCTCCGAGAGCTGCGGAGGGACCTTGTTCTTGTCCTGCTTCAGCAAGTGGACGATGATGACCAGCATGAAGTCAATGAGGTGAATGGCCCCTTGAACGATGTGCTCCTTGGACTGAGGCAGGCTCTTCGAAGGATTCCAGCCGGCCCGTTCAAGAAAAAAGTCGTGGACGCGGTTATCCAGCTCCCGGTGGAGCTGGCTCAGGTTCTTGCGGCGGTTTCCTTCGGCAATCCGGTGCTTCTCCCTCTGATCATCCAGATCGCCCGACATCTCGCTGCCCTTGCGTTTGCGTCCGCAGAGCTGCTGGAGAGGCGGTTTGCGATTGATGTTCCTCGGCGCAACCAGTGCCATAATCTCAGCATAGGATAGATCGTTAGGCCAGCCAAAGGCCTTCTGAGTCGAAAAGGTCTCGCGCAGGGAGCCCTCAGTAGAGCTCGCCGGAGAAGGAGGCGACACGGCGTAGTCTGAAGACAGCCATGGGGACTTCAGAGGAAATGAGTCCTGGGAACTTGCCGGGCTAGGCGCAAGGATGTTCGGCGTGAACGGGTTAAATGGGCCTGGGGGCAGAGGCTCAACCCTTGGGAGAGGAGGAAGTCGGCGCTCATCAGGCCTCTCCATGTTGCTTCGCTCCTGAGAGTGGATGGAGCGAAGGGCCCTGTATTCATCTCCGTTAACAGGTTGTATGGTTAGATAAGGGATACTGTAGTCACTCACGGCAGTGAACAACGGCGCGCAACACCGCCGGCAATCATATCCATGTTTTCAAACATCGTAATGGTTCAAGGTCGATGCGTAGGAGCAACGTATGTGCAAGGAGCGAGTACAGATAGCGTTTGGTCTGTAGGTGGGGATTGACAGATATGTATATAAACAACTTTACTGTACAGACATAGAGTGGGTTCGTAGCGCGGTAGAGAATGACCAAGTAGAAAAACCTGAGCGAACGTGTCCAGCAGAAAGAGACAGACTCATGGGGGAACTCGAACGCAATATATGTTTCCAATCTGTAAACGAACTATCAGGGACCCGGGCACTTGTTTCGGGCTGGGACGATGCTATCTGCATGAACGCCGGGGCCAGCCTCTCTGGGATCCAAGACGTATCACCTGCGGGATCTGCGGAAGGCTTGACAAGGTAACAGATCATAGTAGCGATCAATGTGCAAAGTTAAGTGTGTCCGGCACTGCTATCCACACATCCATGAGGGCGGGGAATCGAGAAGCAAAGCCGCAGAGTTCGGCCAGCCCCAGTCACTAGTGGTACAGTGTGGGATCCCTTCACAGACTGGCAGAAATTAGAAAGGAAGATCCGCCAATGAAGGCATTGCGTGCTTGATCTACTTCTGAAAACATGGCCATTGAATAATATGATTGGTGACCGGCTTCACGGGTTCCCGGCCAAAGGTATAGATTCCCCTTGCATCAATAGTCTTTCGGGTGCATGGAGATCGCGCACAGGGTACCAGAACGAGGTCATGATCGTGTCTCAGATCTCCAGGCGCTTTTTGTCATCACCCGCAATGGCCCCGGAAACGCTCGTATGTCGCCTGTGTGGCGACCCCGTCCTGCCGCTAGACGCCATTTCCAGTATAGAGACGGCGTGGCCCCGGCACCTTCACGACCAGAAAAGGATAAGATAACCAGTCTCTCGCAGAGGCTCTGAAGAAAATTAATAGACAGAAGAGGCGGTGCTCAGCAGTGGCGGTGCAGTTGGCAGCACATTAATCCAATAATCATAGATTATTATAATGTTACCAGTGGGAAGAGTGGGTAGCGACCTCAGCACGATGGTACAGTACTATAGAGAGCCCCGATCTTCTCCGTCAGTTGTGCTTGGGTCAGATCTCCGCTTCCAAATCATTATGTAGGTGCTTTATGTTGGCGCACATCTTTCTCCCTCTTAGTTCGATATGGAAGTCATCTTGTTCCCCCCCAGGGCGTGTGTCCCAATTGAACTACCTAGTTAGTCGACTGCTATCTGAGAGGGGTTTGAGGAAAGGGGAAACGAGCAGTGAGAGATCACACCGTCGCTGCTGCTAGGAGGTGAGGGCAGTACGAGGCACCAAGGTCTACCGGCAGCACATGGTCAACATCCGTATGTAAGGCATGACTGACATGCAACAATCAAGAGCATTGTCTTCATCGATAGCGGCCCGGGTTTGACGTCGGCGGGGCCGGACCCAACACTCAGGGTCCCAGGGACCTGGGCTTGACCAGCTAGCGGGTGAGAGCAGCGCAAAAGAATCGCTAGTCAGCTCGAACTGGGGCGGAAGGGAGAGCCAATTCAGCCAAAGATCGTGCAACACTGCGAGTGCGGACTCTGGCGGGGGAGGGGGTAAGCGAAGCCTGTTTGTCCACGGGATTTGTAAATAATGCGCGGCTCACTAGTAACGCCGCACGTCCAGATAAGAGCTGTCATATTCTTCCATCGCCTGCTGCTCCCTCCAGATCTTGCTCCCCTCCAGCAGGACCAAGATAGACCCACGTTCTCTCACGCCACGACCTGCAGGGGGTGAAAGGGTCTTCCTCAGACTCGATCTCGTTTCTGCCAGAATCTGCCCGGGGTTGGCCCCAGCCGTCTGGATCACTAAGGGAAGCTGAGATAATGATCAGTCCAGCCACACGGTCGTCTGCGCCCAATTGCACAACTCTTTTCTCACTGTAGCCGTGTGCGGCTTCAGATAGCACGACTCGCTGGTGTCAGCGGATGGCGGCCCGGAGGACTCTTAAGAGTCTAAATTGTCCGAGAGCCGTCCGGACCCTGCAAGACAGAGCCTGCTCGTGGGCTAACTGACTGCTCAATGCAATCGAACTGAGCCTGCTTCTTAGACCAGATATAGCACACGACGGAACCGCATGGCAACTCCACCGGTGCATCGTACTCGCCAAAGTTGGAAGTTGGCAGTTCGCCTACTCGTATTCCATTATTGATGAAGAGTAGTAAGTAGACTTGCGGTTGGACTCTGGCAGTATCTGAGAGCGATGCAGACAACTTCTGGTGGTCAACCTTCTCCCATTGAATACACAGGAAAGACACGAGGGCTGCTCGTGCTGTTTTATGAGGCACCCTGCGAAGAAGGGGTTTGGGAACCGGTACAAGGACCGTTGTGTAGCAAGCTCATTCTCGCGTACCTGGCATAATGTCGCCCTCCAGGCACGATCTCTCAGACGCAAGGTCCACCGTAGGGATGGAGTCATGGACTGAGGAACACGAGTAGGGCCATGTTCGCCAGTCCCCGAATCCCCGAAAGGGCCTCGGACTCTCCTGCATAATTAAGCCGCCTTGGTCAATGACAAATTGTGGAAAGGGTGGCTTTAGAGAACTCAGGAGTAAGTTGGCGGATCTGACACGATCGCCCTTCGGGCCTCGCGGGGCACGGGCCGTGACGTCTGTCAGATCCAGACTGACGGAGATGCCCGTGACCGCAGAGTAGTATCATTGTTATATTATTATTATGCCAACAAGAACCGTCACCACTCAGGATTAGCGATACTAATTGGTATCTATGGTGGAAAGAACCAAGGAAGCCTCTATGTTATCTATAAGCAAGTAGACAAACTAGTCGGCCAGATATACAATGATCCCAGATAGACCATGCCTTTTACTCTTGCCTCCTCGAAACAAGAGTAAAATTGCCAATACGGCGAGAGTGCCGGAGCATCTTTACAGTGTGAAGGGGCGAACAAGCTCGTGGCAGGTTGACAGCATTAGGGGGGTATCCGACATGCAAGGATCCGATATTTAACAGTCAAGGCTGGATTAGGAAATAAACTAGCTATACACACTACGAACTGAAAAGGAACGTCGATTAATGTGAGAGGATTGCGCAATATAACCGCACCCCTGCCTTCTGATTACTGCCCTTATCACGCATAAAAAACCCCATTACCTCGAACCGGACTGGGTGCCATGTCTTTCCATCATCACTATCTAGCCCGGCGCGTGACTGCGAAGTCACCCACCCGCGACCCCAATAGCGTGACATCTGCCATTCAGCCGAACCTCAACCCCAGTTCTTGGACACGTTTGCTTGTAACATAGGGATGGAAGAAACCCAATGGTTGAATTTGCGCTCAAAAACACTTGATTATTATCATGAGAACAGGGATGATAAAAACAGATATGGAACGGTTCCTTATTAGGGTAGCTCTACAGGACCTTGAGAAAGAAAGCATGCAAGGCTACTGCATTTACAGCAGAGCCTGGAGCATGGCACCGAAAGCAGCAATGAGGGCAACAGCGGGGACGTTGATGTCAACGAGGCTGGCAGCAGACTTGGCGGTAGAGGAGGAAGAGGAACTAGAGCTGGTACCAGAGCTGGTGCCAGAGGAGCCGTCGGAGGTGGTGGGGTCAGGAGTGGAAGACTTGCAGGTGAAAGAACCACGGACGGTGGACTTGATGTCCTGGAAGTCGGAGCAAGAGAAGTTACCAGTGGACTGCATGTTGAAACCACCCTTGACCTGCTTCAGAGCGGGGAGATCGACCCTGAGAAAATGATGTTAGTTATTGTGCTTTATATACACGCAGGACGCAGGAACCACTCACTTGTTGAACTCTCCAGTGAAGTCCAGAGCACCAGTAATGGTCTGCAGCTTCTGGAAGCCGGTGATGTCCTCGAGATCATCGTTCTTGCTGATGGTGAAACCACCGTTGACCGTGGTCAGCTGGGGCATGGAGAGGTTGGACAGCTTGCCGTTGTTGTCGAAAACCAGGTCACCAGTGCTGGTCAGGTTGGCCGCGGAGAACTCCTTGAAGGTGTTGCCGAACAGACCGAGCTGGCCGGACAGCTCCTTGAGCGAGGGAATAGAGAGACTGCTAGCATTGCGGATGGTGATGTTCTGAGCACCGCCGAGGTTGGGCAGAGTAACCTTCAGAGAAGGAGCGTTGGCGGCAATGTTCAGGAGACCAGTGACATTCTTCAGGTCGTTGACGTTGATGGTGTCCATGGCAGTGTTGGCAGTGATGTCGAAGTTACCAACACTGTCGAGAGTGATACCGTTCAGGCTGGTCAGACCAGTGTTGGTGATGGAGACCGATCCGGCCTTGCTGACACCCTTAGTGAAAGAGAGCGCCTGGAGGTTAGGCAGAGCAGCCCAGTCGATAGAACCGACGGAAGTCAGAGAGCCGAAGCTGAGGTCGGTCAGAATGATCAGTCCCTCGAGCTTGAAGGTGTCTCCGATAGACGTGAGCTCGGGAGCAGACAGGGAGGTGAGGTTGGCGGCTCCGTTGGCGGAGAGACTACCAGTGATCTGCTCGACACCGTCCAGAGAGATACCACCGGTGGTGTGCTCAGCGATAACGATGTCACCCTTGACGGTCGAGCAGCTGCTCAGAGCTGAAGCATCTCCCTGGTTCTGGATGGTGATGGGGTCGGACGAGCCATCGCAAGCATCAGAAACTACAACCAGTCAGTCCGGCAAATTCTTTCAATCGATTGTTGTCCGGCTCGCTGTTCGCGTCAAGACGGGTTCTGGCGAGTTCTCACCTGCGAAAGCAGTCGAGGCCGCAGCCAGGGCGGGCAGAATGTACTTGGTAACAACCATTTTGTCTAAACAATGATGGTTGCGATTCAGTTAGTTGAATGCTCGTAGAAACGAGAGACGACAGCGAGAGACAAAGTAAAGTTGGCCAAGGTTGTTGTTGACAAAAGGCACGTTCCGGCGGCCACGTCGACAGCAGCCACAACAAACACAGGGGCAAAACGAAGGACAAGCTTTTTTTGCCCGACTCGAGGACTCACCTAAGGTCCGTTATTAAAAGGTGATATGGAGTATGGACTGGCAATCGATAATATGCCCGTCGTTAATTTAATGCGTAACAGGGTGTTTCAGAAAAGAGGATGCTGGGGCGCGGCTGGTGGTTGGTGCGAAAAGAAAAAGGGAATCTGAACGAGTGGAAGAAGAAAGCTTCGAACGAAGGAGAAGCTGTGGCTGGCGTTCCTGCAACGAAGGAATAGCACCAATTGGGCAAGTGCGTTCTCTCTAACGACGTTGAATGGGAAAGAAAAGAAGGAAAAGGAAGAGAGGTTTCTGGGCAACGAGAGGGACGAGGAGGTCTTTCACTGCGAGACGAGGAGGCGGAAAGGAGGCGTGTGCGAAATTGGGGGTGTTTGGCAGCCGGCAGCGAGCCTGCTGCCCCTCTGGGTCTCGGGGGGGAGGATGGAGTCATGGACAAGGAGCAGGACTGGGCAGCAGGCGGGGGCCATGCTTGTCTGGCCACTCAACGCTCAGCAGCCATGGGCCCCCCTGTGCCGGGGAATCTGGCGCCGTCCTCCTATGGTATGAACCGTTCCAGCTAGCGCTCCACCCACCGACACAACCTGTGCGCTGATTCGCCAATGCGGCCTCCCATTGCTCCTCTGAGTTGCTATCGAGCCACTCACCACGCGCAGTCCCAGACAGGATGGGTCATGCCCCTGTTTCTCAAACCAAACCATGTCAGCCATGTATGTTGGTCCTCGTCGGCTCATGCTACTGTATGGTATTATTATTACTATTATGGTACTCTCTACGCACGCGTCGGACGCCCAGCCGTCATACTATTATTATTATTATTATTATCACCCTGATGCCCAGCCGCGCGGACCTCTTCTTTTGATTTCCATCGACGGTTATCGACCGATCCTGATGATCGGATCGCCCATTATTTGCCGCCTCTTGGTGCTTGTTGTGACGGTGATCCAGCCCGACGTCCCCACGGAGAAGAAAAAGGAGGGAGAAATGATGACGCCCAGCTCTGGTTTGCCGCTTGGTGGGCGATCAGATTGTCCCCTGGAATCCAGGCCCACTGACTTACCGTTATCGACAATGATGTACGACTGCGAAATTGCAGCCCTGTGCTCTCCAAACAACTTGCGCCATAGCTTATCATCCCGTGGTGGTATTCTCATCTTTCCCATCGATCCAAACTGACAGGCAAACTACTCGAGTACCATGCATAGATAACGTATTGATTCTCCATTCCCCATGATTCCGCTAAACAAATCACACAATCTGATTTTTCCTTTTTTTTGTTTTTTTTACCTTCTGTCTCTGCCACGGTTGCGGCACACAGACTGCTTGCGTCATCCCCTGATGCCCGTCTCCGAGTACTGGAATTCGCGGTCTGGTCAGGAAAATAGGATGTCAATTTTTAGCCTACGCCCCCGTCTGATTGACTTTGGCCGCGCCCCCAGTCGACCAAGACCAAACTAGGCACTAGTGTAAAGATGTATCCAAAACTGCGGTTCAGATCCTCGCGGGATTCTCTATTATTTTGTTGTGATCGCGCCCCGTAATTATTTATGATTATTTCTTGTTCTTGTCAATGGTGATCATCCCGAGATGATTATCATGATGCACACAGTGCCAAGAGAAAAAAAAAAAAACAGCTCCGAACGAGTCAACAGTTGCCACTGGATCAACAAGGTCAAAGGGGACAAACCCTCTTTAGAAAGAACAGAAACGACCAGATACGCTTAGATCAGCTATTGAACTGTTAAAATGAGGGTAGTGCGTGATTGCATGTCTATTCTAATTTCTGGCTGGCCTTCTACATAGATCCATTGCGCCTCGGCAGTTCAATCTTAATATCGCTTAGCGAAATTATAGATCTGAAGTCGCTGCTCTCGTGTCTCCATACATCGTCCAAGACAAACCGGTTTTCCTCGTGCCGGCTAATACTCGACTTGCAGGCTTCCAGCAAGGCTTGTCTGCAGACGGGACTGAGGCCCGTTTCAACCGACCGGGGTTATGGACGCTAAAGAATTTCGCCCATAATCCCGGCCGTACCGGACTCCTACGCTATAGTATGCATAGACATGTGTAAGGACTGTGCAGGTTCAAAAATGATAAAATGGATGCGTCCAGAATCGAGAACTCTTAGTAGTGACGGGCTATTATTATCATGATGTACCGTCTATACCGTCTATCTACTCTTCTGTACGGGGGCACCGGACCTTGCAAGCTATTGTTTCCTGATATAAATTCCGGCGATTGTCTCACGATTTTGATAGCATCAGACTTCAGGCATCCGGACTGTTTACTCGGGCGCTACCCGAATTCCTTTGTGGGACAGGGGGTTAAGGATATTTCTGCGTCCAAGGAGGGTTTTGGTTCTAGAAGTAACCAGCCAATGTCTACTTTTCCTCGGGTGCGACACAATACCATAATTAACTAAGACGCTCCCCCCACCATCGAACAACAAGCCAAGCTGTCGCGGGCTTTTATAAGTTAGTGGGTATTCTGATATTATCCAAACAACGCACGTTGTTCTAGGCGTGGTGGCAAAAGTGGCTGCGACATTGCACGAGGGGTCCATACCAGCCATTATTATTATTATTATTACCCTAGCAACATCGAGAGGGGAGTCGAGACTATTTGAATCCGCATTGTTCGAGATATCGCCATTATAATTACATGATACGAGCTGCATGTCAAGTCTGCAGTCTTGAGCTTTGCATAAGAAAGATCAACCCGCCGTGGTTTTTATAAATGATTATCATCACTGTGCATACCTAGTGAACTATGGTACTTTGACAGCGGGTATCGCAATCACATACCTCTCTCTAATTGCCACAGGGAGAAATGATCACGAGAACAGAAAGGGATATGAAATGCCTCACTTGTTCTATAACTAAATAAATAATGTCAGCGTCAACAACAAAGTCTCCCTTGCTTCTGCTTATCAAGAAGAAATAAGTGTCAAGAAGATCCTTCTACTTATCGAACCTGTTCCATTGGCTACATAAAACGACGCATGCGCGTAGCAGCACTTTACACTACTACCGCTCGCATTGCAACCCACTGATTTATGATCTTCTGCGAATAAAAACCTCAAATCATAGAAATCCACTGCCCATAATACATAATATCATATGATTTTGGGGACACCTTCCGGATGCAGATGTTTAGTGTCAACCTACATCATGCGCATATATATATATTTTCCGATAAACTCGTGTGGCGGTGAACTGTTAAGAAAACTAGCGGGGAATCGGATGATGGTCCCAGCAAGAGAATAACAGGGTGCCAATTGAACGATACTGTTGCAGGACCATGGGTGTGGTTGCTATTAATAATGGCTCAGCTCAGTAGGTTGTCCCATTCTTCGCCCAGTTACCGTTCCCGAGGAACATGAGGGGCGGACCGATGCAAGATGCCATGAGATTTCGATGAAGATTACTAGGGTACCAAGAAAAAGCAAGCAAGAAAGAAAGAAAGAGAGAAGGAAAAAGGAAAAAGAAACCTGCAAAGCGCGTGGCCTATTCTCTTCTAGAATAAGTATCTGAATCGCCTTCATTCAGCCTACATCACTGGTGCTGTACCTATCGACGTCTCAGAAAAAGGCAGAGTTAACAGTCAAACGTCATGTTACAACTTCGAGCTGGAAGATTGAAAAGCACGTCCTCAATGTCTACTACTACAGGCACAGATATTTATAAGGCGGTTTTATAATCCGTTCACAACTTCTGCGTTACATCATCTGCCCATCCTTGACATCCTTGTTCGTATTGGCGCTTGAAAAAGGATATCCGATTTTAAGTTTACTTTTATCCATATCGGCCTGGGGTAGGCGGTTTACCACTAGATCAGCGAAAGGCACAAGTGAATTGACCTGCCAATCAGCCCTATTCCCAGACTATATAGCCAAGGTGGAAAGAGGTGGTGATGGTTCATGGTGGTCCAACCCGAGAAAAGAAAGACCTCTCTGATCAATCAACATATGCCTCCGCCTGTTGTGTGTTCCCTCAATCAGTTTTCGGTTGCCGGTGTTTGAGTAACCGATCGCGTTGTCGCTTACCAGTCTCTATACGATCTGATCTTATCAGAGACCATCGTCTATTGTATCGTTAGAAAGTCGATCTGAGACTCTATAGATTTCCCTGGAGATTCTATTTAGAAGTGGATGGATAAGTCATAGGGAGCTTACGCAGTAACAGAAAATGCGGAGTTTCCAACAATCAGCCAAAGAGCTGTTGCTATTCTTAGGTTCGCTCCGACTCTTTGCTTCGTCGATTTTGTCTAAATGGCGACGCTAGGAATCGAAATCCGGAGCGACAGCTCCTCAGGATGAAGAGAATATTATCGAAACCAAGCGGGACCGACATAGTGAGAATGACAGAGGTTGAATAATAATTAAATGATATGGGAGATGTCATATTACTTTAAAGAAAAGTCTGGGGATTCACAAGGTTGATATAGATGGTTTTAATGAGGGAGGCTATGCTAAGGAATAGAGGGCTGTGCTTAATTGCTTCATATTGGTGATTTTTCAGGGGGAGCCGGCTCCAATCATACGAGGACATCGAGTTACGCGAATTTCCTTGATACTTAGAATCCCCAGGCCTTGAGTGAGTTAAGATTATCTATTTATCACTGCTTACCACGTTAGAGATGGGAAGTCTGTAACCACTGGGAAGTCATGGTCCCGTGCCCAGGTGTCACTCTTCGCGACCGGAGAAGCCAAGCCTGGGGACGGGTCACGAGTCTCGTATCGTTACTGGGCAATTCTTTGCTCATGTAAGCAGCTCTAGACATCAAGATCCGACGTGCTGTAATGGACGTTGATAACTATGTCTATCTAGTGTACCATGAGAGGAGAGCGTGCAGTGCATTGACGATAGGAGCTGAGATCTCTCGCAGTATGAGGTCATAAGTCGCGCAATATCGTCCACTTCACATTTCGAGTACAGCTACATTTGTAACATTCAAAGTGGCTGTCGGACTCCTTTTTGCCTATGCTCATGCTTTCCGACCCGTCGTCCCTATAGCGTCGTTTTCATCATTTGTTAGGATGGCTCCAAGGCGCTCAGCTCGATTGCTTGCTGCTGGTGGACTAGAGTCAGCAACAGCCCAACCGTCGTCAAATGCCACCAAAGTGAAGAGTGGTAAGGTCCAGAGCAATGGGGTCAGCAAAGCACGAAAGACAGCCCCGAAGGCAGGAAAGAAGAAAACGACGGCCACATCTGAAACTACAGATGCATATGCGGCTATTTTTGGAGCATCAGATCTAAAGACCAGAACGAAGGATGCTGCCTCGTCTACAAACGGCACAGCTAAACTGGAGTCCACACCACCGCCTCTTGACCGTCCTGTTGACCCTCATAGAACAAATGCAGCTCTCCTCACGCCACATGGGTCATCATTGGTGGCATATCAACCAGGAGCAGAAGACGTTTCTCCCAGCAAGACTGGTCTGCCACGTCCGACGGCAACGACTGGGAATCTCCTAGAAAAAGCAGTTGATCACTTAATTTCCATAGAGCCGCGGTTGAAGCCTCTTATAGACAAGCACCCTTGTCATATGTTTTCGCCCGAGGGACTGGCGGAGTCGATCGACCCGTTTCAGAGTCTAGCCAGTAGCATCATTTCGCAACAGGTATCTGGTGCAGCTGCTAAATCAATCAAGAACAAGTTCGTTTCTCTATTCAACGACGATGTGGAAGACGAAGTCTTGCGAACGCTGCGGTTTCCAACCCCAGAAGAAGTCGCCAGGTGCGACATTGCCACCCTTCGGACAGCGGGTCTGTCACAGCGAAAAGCTGAGTACATCCAAGGCTTGGCGGAGAAATTTGCGACTGGCGAGTTGAGCGCGCAGATATTGCTAAAGGCCTCTGATGAGGAGCTTGTTGAGAAGCTCGTGGCTGTCCGCGGGTTGGGTAAGTGGAGCGTCGAGATGTTCGCTCTCTTTGGTCTGAAACGGACTGATGTCTTCTCGACCACTGATCTGGGTGTACAGTAAGTGATTTCCCCGATCAAGTCTTCTTGCCTCATGACTTTCGCTCTGACCTGAACCTATTCTAACACTATGCATAGGAGAGGCTGCGCTGCCTTCGTAGGCCGAGACGTGAGCAAGTTGAAAGCCAAGGGAGGTGGGAAGTATAAATATATGTCTGAGAAGGACATGCTGGAATTGGCGGCTAAGTTTTCCCCGTATAGGTAAGTTGAGTAAACCAATCAGTCTAAAACTGGCAATCTCTAAAAACACACGCACTAATACGGAGTTCAGGAGTTTATTTATGTGGTATATGTGGCGCGTCGAAGAGGTCAACGTAGAAGCCTTGGGATAGATGAAAGAGGGCGAACCCATTAGACACAGACGCCGAGTTGGGTCATTGGAAGCGTGTTTCACACATCTGATACAAAGTGGTCGCACTTGTAGAATACGGGCGGTATGATGTATATACTTTTCTGAATGCTATATCTGACAGGGTTTGACCAGCCGGCCGGATTGCTTGTTTCTAGTTAGGTCGGCTTTTTGGAGACATAGCAACGGAATGCTTGACACGTATATTGGTTAGTGATATCACGCTGGGTGCAATTGAAGAGCCTTCGTAGGCTTAGTTAGCTTGGGGTCATTTTTGGACGGTTTGCCTAGACGAGAGAAATAGTGACGATTTGGTTCCTGGTGGCCCTCCACAAGCGGGATCAGTTTCGACAGTGACAATTGTCAAGAGAAAGCAGTTCTAAACAAATGAGACGATGACATGATATTGATTTGTACAATACGGGTACATGGTTTGAAGAATGCAGGACAGGGCTGGGTCGCTCAGCATTGCACGATCAGTGCAAAGCCAAGCAGACCAATCTAAAAAGCAGCTGTCCATTCATTCACATTGCGCACTCCCCTTTACAACTCTATCCTCCTAATTCCGCTTCACAATGATGCTGTCCAGCTCCTCACGCTCAGCCTGCTCCTTCTCGACCTCGCGGATAATGGGGCTGAGGTACTCGACATCCTGTAATTTCAGAACAATTAGCATCGGATTGTCATAAAATAGCTTCCCCATCAACGTAGTATCGTCCCCGTGCGCGTTGTTCGAGAAATGCTGGTTATAGCCGGGGTTTGAAATTCGTGCAACGGGATTGGTCGGTGGGCCAGAAGACATGTTGGAGCTACGGGGGAACTGATAAAGTTGAAATTTCTCACCTCCTCGGGCTTGGTCTGCTCAGCAGCGGGGAGAAGCTGGTGGGAAAGGGACAACTGTATGGAAAGAGTCCATGGTCAGCGGCGATTGCAGGTTATGATAATCAGGATATCTCAACGAACCTGGAACGCTCTGCGGAGACGGAAGACACGGTCGTAGGCCTCCTTGGGGGGCAGACGCTTGATGGCAGTCTGGACGGATTCGCTCTCCTCGGGGATCAAGTCATCGAATCTGAAGCAATCAGTGTCGGGCCCTTAAGAGGGAAGAGAACGTCGCAAAGGATTCGGGATTGAATGGATGTCGAGAGCAGCGGAACGGTACCAATTGGACATGCTCCTGCTGGCACCATTGCATCTGCTGCCTCGAGCACCGAACAATCCTGTCTGTTGATCCGGGGAACCAAGGGGAGCTACCTCAATCCGAGTCTCCTGTAGCCGGCGGCGTTGGTGTACCACTCCGCGATGGGCATCAGGAAGCGGGTCAGCGCAGGGCGCTTGACGATGTAGTTGGCGAGAGAAGGCGCAGACATGGTGATAGATGTCACGCGATGGCGTATCAATCCAATTGAGCACCTGGTGGTTGGGGTGGAGAGGCAGAAGAATCGCGGGAAGGGTCAGCCAGACTGGAGATCAAGATGACCCGACGACGTTGGCGGTTGTGCAAAACGAAAGCCCGGCCGGACGGCTTCCCAAAACGGAATCTGGATGCCCGAGGCATCAACACGTGACGGGTGCGCCGAGCGGAGCCGCAGTCGGGATTTCGGACCAAGTCGGTGCCTGAGGCTGCCAACACGGATTTCTCCACTTGTACTGCCGACAGTCTGCGCTCATCCCGCCTACATCATCCTGCTTCCTGCTCACTTCTCACACTCGACGGCTTCTCGGATTGCACTTCGACCACCCTGTTGTCATCTTGGGGGAATGAGTTCTTTCAATTGCTGATCTGGCCTGCTCCATCGTGGAGCTGTATACTGAAAGGAACCCCGCACGACGTTATCTGATTTCGGGGTAGACACATACAGGTCACACGCACATTTACTCGACGTCCCAGGTTTCGCAGATCGAATCGTCGCCTCAATCAGCTGATCCGTCATCCTGTGAATACTACGACTGGGGAATCTTTCTACTCCTGTCAGCGAGGGTTAGGTGTTGGGTTCCGGGTCGAGCACCGCTATGCTCGGGTCCGTGAGCCCCCGGTGACCAAGACGGACAAAGAACTCGCAGGAGACCTGGTACAACAATGTCTCAAGAGCGCGAGGATGCCACCGGGGCTGCAGGCAGCTCTCAAGGTCCCAGAGTTCCAGACGCGGATGTCTACCCTCCCTCAGATGTCTATTTGCATGTTACTCCTCCACCGCATGCGACCTCTTTAACGCGCTTCGAGATATGGACCACGCGGATTCCGCACGCATATATTACGCCCCTGTGCGGGGCAGCAGCAGGTGTCGCATCGGGGATTGTGACATGTCCACTGGATGTGATCAAGACGAAGCTGCAGGCGCAGGGAGGATTTGTACGGAGAGGTGGGAAGATGATAGAGCCGTCGAATCTATACCGTGGAATGATCGGGACCGGGAGGATGATATGGCGGGAAGAAGGTGTTCGAGGTCTATACCGTGGTCTGGGCCCGATGCTGATGGGTTACCTGCCAACCTGGGCTGTATACCTGACGGTGTATGACCGATCTCGGGAGTTCTACCATGAGAAGACAGGTCGGTCAATGCCAGCCCGTTTATTACGTTGACTGACATTTGTACAGATAATTGGTGGCTAGCACGTGGCTATGCCTCCATCACAGCAGGAGCGTGCTCGACGGTCGTTACGAATCCGATCTGGGTCATCAAGACGAGATTGATGTCTCAGAGAGTGGCCAAAATCTCCGATGGCTACGTAGCCCCATGGCATTACAAGAACACACTAGACGCCGCTCGGAAGATGTACATGACTGAAGGTATTCGCTCCTTCTACTCCGGACTCACCCCGGCCTTGTTGGGACTCACGCATGTGGCCATTCAATTCCCGCTTTACGAGTACCTGAAGATGGCATTTACGGGATATGGTATCGGCGAACACCCTGAAGATGGCAGTTCTCACTGGGTAGGGATTTCTCTTGCGACGTTCCTGAGCAAAGTTTGCGCAAGCACCATGACATATCCTCATGAGGTTCTACGGACGAGGCTTCAGACGCAACAAAGGGCTGTTCCAGCACCGTCCCCCGAGGAGATTACGTTTCGTGGCGGTCTGCACCATCCTGAAGACGGCGGTCGGCCTTCTGGTCCATCCTCGTCGGATGGCATGCGTAACCGTCCTCGCTACCAAGGCGTTATTCGCACGTGTAAGACGATACTGCAAGAGGAGGGCTGGCGTGCATTCTATTCGGGCATTGGAACCAATCTGGTTCGCGCCGTACCAGCGGCCATGACGACTATGCTTACCTACGAATATCTGCAGAAATCGATACAGAGGGTCCAGCACGAGGGCGAGAAGAAGCTCACTTCAATTGAGACAGGAGATGGGGATGCTGTTCTATGACGCAGCTGACACTTGACTGAGGGGATACAGTCAAGCGTTGCTATCTGAGACAGCGTAAATGGGGACGGCAATCTATAGCCGCCATCTGCTTGAGTAGGCAAAATGTCTCAGGCACTTTTTGACGCCATATCTAGTGCTGGAATGACGAAGATACATGGCCCGAGACAAGCAATCAGAGGGAACATATTTCTCAATAAGGAATTTATCCCCGGATGTCCGGAAAAAGCACTGAAATCTTTCGGCCAATCATCTGTTGCGATTCCTGATGGAGCCAAGTAACATTACCATAGAGTCTAGACACTCATTGTCCTCTTTTTGTAGACTACTACCTTTCCTTGCCGGTTATTATTGTTGCGTGTTTTACATCCTTTCACGTCAAGCACCTCAATACATGTACAGTTTCTTTCTGCAGTTAACCATAATCTCTTTCCGTCGTCGATGGGATGGGGGGTTTCTATTCTCAGACATGTATACCCTCGTACTACGCGTTGGCTTCCCGGCCACGGCCGCGACGGATATTGCGGCTAGAAATAGATGGTCCTGTCAACCCTTATATCCAGAACAAGCATAAGAGAAGGGACAAGAAATCAGCAATGACAAATAGATATACATAAAACCAAACAAAAGGCCTGCAGCAATCCATGGTAAACTACTCCTTACCCCGCAACCCTCCTCTTTCGGGGTGGGAGTTATCTACTTCCCCTTACTATCCTCCAACGCCTTCGTCAACCACCCGGGTTCGGAGCCCTGTCCTCGAGAAGAAGAAGCAGCACCCTCATCACGATCAGATAGATGATATCGCGCATCCCGACGTGCAGATCGGATCGAGCTAATACACCACGAACCGAGGACAATCGCCATAGTGAAAGCAGCTAAAGGCGCGGTGAGGGACTATTCCCATAGTTAGCCACCACGAGGAAACAGTAAAAAAAAAAGAGAGGGCGGGGGGAAGAATATGTAAAACTCAAAACTCACCTTCGGACTACGTCCTAGTGTTTTGACTTCCGAGGGGTGTGATTTCTGATTATTGCTCATTTTCGTAGATTGGTGCACAAGCTGTATCGTCTATCTGCGATGTGTTCCTTTCCCTGCGACGAGGGAAGAAGGGCATAGACTAGTTGTAGATAGAGGATGGAGGGAGGATTCGTAGCAGTCAGCCCTCGTTGCTATCACCCCAACGTCAGCGCTGGGTCGGTTAAGATAAATAAGATCGATTCAAAGGACCAGAGTAGGATAATAAATCTTTCAATACCTGAGAAAAGACGTATTAGCTTCGAGTTAATGGCTCCCATGGTTCTTCATTTTATAAGCTTCCCGTTGAGGAATGATAATTGTAAGTTTAACCAAGAGAAAAGAACAAAATCGAAATACTAGATGAGAAAGGAAAAGAGTCCCGACTATTCCGTATGCGACATGCTAATTAACCATTCAACAAAAGAAATGTCAGGGGTTCAATAAACGGCTCACACGAAGAAAGAAAACATAGTAAACATACAAGGAAAACAAACAATCTAGACTCTTCTACTTCTCATGAACAATGAACAAGGAGAGGCATAAACGTTGAATATGAAAAATATGCTTATGCTTGTTCTTAAGATACTGAGAATAGCCATAAACTATCATACCACAGTAGAGTGAAGAAAGAGCATACGCAATACCATACCTCCTGATTTGGATATCCTCCTTTCCTTGCCCTGGATACTTAGGCGCTTGGATGGTTGGGATGAGGGATCAATATCGGACCGGTTCAATATAAAGTGCTCTTCAAGGTCGTAGTTCACATCAAGTTGTACCAACAGCGGTTGACGGGGTCTAGTTAATCGGAGTGGATGTCTCGACGCCGAGGACAGACTATCGTGCTTCCACGTGACTGACAAGGGTATCGATATTCTGCGACATCAACTAAGTAGCCATTTTAAAGGCCATAGTATATTGCCTACGATTCCTAGTTGCTACGATCTACGAGATAAGCTGGATGTTTATACATAGGTGAGAGAAGGTTGATTGAGTGAGATTTGAGTGATATAGAGTCTAATTGTCTAACCTCTATATGCTCTGCAATGTACAACGAATAAGCCTAAATTTAACTAATTATAATCATATATGCAATCGAAGAGCATTTCCCATGGGCGCGGCTGGATATAAACCGCCCCGGAGTACCCTCGTAACGCCAGCGTTGATGCAGACGGACGTGTGCGCCGTCCTTTTTCCATGTGACAGCAAGTAATCACTCATCAGCATGTGCAGAAGCAAGGATGAAAATGATGACGTTAAGGTCTCCTTCATTGGGCGGAAATGCCCAGGCGACTTTTCAGCATCAGGTATCTCTCATAGAGACCCAGCTTCAGCTCCACGCGGAGGTAACCAGCCCAGGCGTAGAGGAAGCGGAAGAAATTACGCGGCCACAACATGCTTCCGCATTCGCGGATCTTCTCCATCTGTTCATCGAAGACGCAGCGAGTGGCGTATCTTGCGAGAATGACAAACGTGCGAACAGGACCCTGGCGAGTGTGCAGGTTCTCGTCCAAGCTGCGCGTGAGGTCGTTGGTCTTGAGAATCAGGAGCATCACTCTTGGTACTTGGCCCAGTAGTTCAACCAGCTGTTGGAGCATGCCGTCTCCCAACGCACCCGTGATTTCTTCTTTCTCCTCCGCAGTTCGAGTAGAGGTCACAGACTTCTTGGTCAAGACGGTATAGTCTCTGCCTGTGATGGCGCTAGCGAACAGGGGAAACTGCTCATCTGTGATACCGGCCACCTCGCGAGAGTACTTGCGCATGTTGGGCACATCCGATTCAATGACGGCCAGCCAGAGTTTAGCATAGTTCCTACGCATGTCCCGTGGAATGTCACGGTACAAGCCATGGTCGTAGAGGATCACGTCGAAATTGGGAGAGCGGCGGTTAGGATTCTTGCGGATGGCGATGTTGCCGCCATGAGGATCGCAGTGCAAAGGCGCATCTTCACCGAAGATCATCTTGTTGAAGATATGTGCCAGTGCAGCGGAAACTTCGTCGCGGTCGATGTTATTTGCGTCCAGATACGCCAGATCGTCCGGGCGGTGGCCAGAGATAAATTCCATAACGAGAATGCGCTTCTGAGCCCACATGACTATTCATATCGATTAGTATGACAGCTGCTGACCATACGTTGAGGGGGGCTCAACTCACCCTCTGGAATCACCAATGGCGCGCTGGAATTCTTCTTGAAGTATTCGCTCGCTCTCTTTGCATTCTCACCTTCCCTGCGAAAGTCCAATTCCTGGGGCAGGGAGAGATCCATTTCGCGGGACAGCCATTCGAGATCGTATTCGGGAAAGAATCGTTTGAGCGCGGCAAAGGTCATACGGGTAAGAGCCAGATCCAGAGGAACCCATTCCGCTAGAGCAGGATGCTGCACCTTGACGGCCACTTTCTGCCCGGTCTCCTTCAGCGTGGCGATATGCACCTGCGCCAGGGAGGCGGCTCCGATCGGGGCGGACTCAAAGGATGAGAATAATTCATCAATGCTCTTTCCAGTATCCGCAACGAACATGGCCTCGACCGACTCGATGGAAGAGACAGGGCACTTGTCTTGCAGCGGGATGAACGTGGTCGTCCACTCGAGCGGCAGAAGGTATCCCATACTGCTCAGGTGCTGGCCCAGCTTGATGAAAATAGATCCATTCTTCTCGAGTACTCGCAAGGTCCGTTCAGCACAGCGCTTGTGGCAGGCGCGCAGCAACTCATTGCCTTCCTCGGGGGAGGATGCGGACGCTTTCTGGTTGAGGGTCGTTCGATAGCTAACAACGGACGTACGTATCAGTAACCGCAACTACATACAACGCAGATATGACTTCCCCGACGAGAAACGCGACACTTACTCGTTAATACATATAGCTAGCGCGCTCACAACTCGTCCTGACCTCTCCGCTGCCGCATAGCCATGCTTGATATCGTCCGAGAACGCCAGCGCCCCCGCGCCCAGTGCGCCACCAGCAGCGGCAAACTTGATCACGGTCTTACGCGACCGCTTCGAGTCTGATCGTCTGCCTGCATCGTTTATGCCTTCAGAAAGCCGTGTAGAATAACTTCTCGAGAAGGTGACCGTCCGTTGTTGTAGGCACCGCCGACATGTCCACGGGGCTCTAGAGCCGAATGGGAGACCTGTTGATGGCGCGACTGAGGAGGATGACTTCGCGAATTGCTGAACGACCGCCGCAGGATCGAAACGAGACGCACTCAGCGGTATCCGGACTGGTGCTCTCATGATGATTGACACGACGGCCGCTCTCCGGGGCGAAAAAGAGGCCAAAGTTTGCCGCAACAATCGAGAGAAAAAAGAAACTTCCCACGTGTCAGCTATTCGCGAAAGACGTCAGCCATCGTAGGTAGCCCGAGACGATGGATGGAGATATGGGAGGAGATGCGACGAAGCGCTCAAACGTCACAAGCCGAAAAGATTCTGCTGCGTCTTGAATCCGAGGTCAGGTCCTTTCTCGAATCTCGCCGTACCTTTTCGAGATCCACCGTGCGGGTCGGCATTCCGTCGGCCGATGCCGGCTTCAACTCGTCCCGTATTCAGTACTGTTGATGCTCATCTTCATATCTCCGTTTATAATTTTGTCAGGGAAAATCTAAGTAGAGAGCCATGCTAGGCTCATAGGACCCCATCTGTGTTGGTATCTCTTTTTCCTGCTGGTTGTGGCACCTCATTCAACTTTGGTCAATGCTGAGGGCCTAGTATAGGTAACTATATACTTCCATTCCAGAGTCTGCATCACAAGTGTAGGGTCAACGGTAGAATAAAAAAAGGAGCATGCATGCATCCAGTCAGATGTCAAGGACTTGGATCTGAAGTAACCTGCGTGAGTATGCTATAGATGCAGGCGGTATCTGCTAACTACAATCCAGAAAGCTTGCTCACTGTCTCCAGTTATCATATAGTGACAATGCGAATTGCGACACCAATCATTTTTTTTATACTCGTGGGCGTGATCGTCATACAGGGCATTAAAATCACGAACAAAAGACAAATGACTCAAAAAAGAAGTCCTGGACATACATGCACCCCCCGAAGGGAACAAAGACCAACAAAGCACTCCCTGGGAGGCTAACAAGGTGAAGCAACAGACAATCTGAGAGGAGGGAAAACAAAATTAAGCCTGCAAGCATCTGGACTGAAATCGACTTGACAAGAGTCGACCTTCCAGCAGAACAGCATGCCCAGAGAGGAATATTGACATGTTAAAGTCGGATTAAACGAGAGTATGGGGACCACTGCGCAAGTAATGGAACAACAGAAGCATTTTTTAATGTCCCTTCAGGATGTGTAGTAACAAGAAAAAAAGACTGTAACCCGCCCAATGCGCCTGTGCTATGCAACTCAGTGAGACAGATACTAGGTGTCAGCAGTGTGTGTTCCTTGAACCTTTATGAAAGAAGGACGGCAGATCCAGACCAAGCAAAATGAAGGGACTGAAGAAAAGGAATGCGCAAGAGAAACTATGGACAGAAGCCAATCATTTTTATAGTTCATGTCCACTCGGAGTCCACGTTGGCCCTTCGCCGACGTCCGTTCAAATTGACGATCGACAAGCGACGAGTCGACGGCTCCGGTGCCCTGTACTCGTCCGTGTTCAGGGATCCCACCTGGGGTACCCGGTTCGACATGCTGGACATTGCCCGCGGCAGCCGATTCCTGGCTGCCGCTGGACCACCGCTGCCTCCATGGGCGAACACAGGGCTACTCCCATCTCGACTTGTCGGCCTGAGTCCCGCAGAGCCATTGAGACCGCTCCTGGTGTGTCGCGGAGTCTCACGTGGATCTAAATAGCCCCTAGACTGGCTCGATCGGCTAACCTGAGGGCTCGAAGGCGTCGAATGGCTCGATATGAGACTCGGAGAACTGTTAGAACCGCTTCTCCGCCTGGTAGGAGGCCTGCGCTTAGGAGCGCCCATGCTATCACTCTTTTCGCTAGATCTGACGAGCTTTCCAGCCATGTCGCGTACTAGAATAGCAGGGTCGTTCTCCAATTCTCTGATAGCGTCGAGCAGACCATATCGTGCCAGGAGATCGCCTTGCTCTTCGCTCGAGTCACAGATGCTCGAGATAATACGAAGTAGGTTAAGCCTAACTGCAGCCTTGTTGTGATGGAGTTTCTGCCCTAGGCGGGTGAAAAGATCAGGTCGAGCGAGGGTTGACGCAATTGGGGGACTTAGCCGCAGCAGTTTCTGAAGTGGTTCGAGAAGATTTTCAAAGGCGTTGGCCTTGGAGATCGTTACGCATCTGACAATAGCATCTGTGAAGGATGGCCTCTCATGGCGGTTATCCAGAAGATGTTCTTCAACCTTGGCGGTCTCCTCTTGTAGCCTACACTGTGTTAGTGTTGACTGTATAGATATAGATACGGATGTATCGCTTACCAAGTGAAAATCGCATCCAAGGCCGTTACCTGCCAATAGGGATCGGAAAGAAGCGAGATATAGAAAGCCAAGCCCTTGTTACGCCAGAGTTCTCGCCGTCCGACCTTTCCAGAATGGGCCATATCGCAGAGAATAGGTAGCGCGAATTCCTTGAGTGGTCGTTCTGTCTTAACAATCTTCTGCAGAAGAGGTATAATACCATTCAGTGCAGCATCTTCCTGCCTCGATTTACTCAGACGGCACATGTTGTAGATAGTATTCAGGATCTGGTTAGAGACCTCCCGGAAGTGGGGGCCCTTCATGGTAGATCTTAGCAGCTCAGTTAGGACGTCGATAGCATTCGAATTCTGCAGTGCGTCGAGTGTTGTCGAAAGCATGGAGAGGTTCTTGATGAACTTCAACATCGTAATTTGATGTATAGGGGTCATGCGTCTTAGCTCCTTCAAGACCCCTTGACAAATGGTCAGCGTTCTGCCTTGATTCAATGAATAACCTCATACTTACTGTGCAGGACAGTTCTCTCAGCGACCATCTCCTTGACATGGTTCTCAGCTTGAGAGAAGATGAAGAATATGTTGGCAATGCGACCCTCGCAAATCTCAGCCAACTCTCCATCCTCATCGAGCACTCTGCTGAGAACGAGAGATAGGGGATCGAGAACAGAATTTCGAGACAGAATCCGGCAGAAGTCGTTCTTGGGAGTCGATCCCTAGAAACTATCATCAGCCCACTGAGACTGCCCATATGAAAGTCTGTCGAACTCACCTGCAATTCGAACACGCTCCATATACCGTTAACACCGATAAGAACAAGGTCCCGCTCATCTTCATAGTCATCCTCCAAGAACTCCACTAGAACATTGAGACCACCTGCGCTTACGAACATTTGAAGGGTTAGAGTGGACGTCTGATACATCTGCTGCACAAACGCTGCCGCTTCGAGTCGAATTTCGCGCGGATACTTTTTCGAAGCAAATTCGTTGATGATGGGAATACCTCCCACGAAACACAGGTTTTCTTGGATTTCATAGTCATTGTAGATGATCGCGTTAACGATTTTCAGAAGGTTAGAAATGACATCCCGACGACGACATGTATCCAGGATCTCCAAGATAGGAAGCATTCCGTGCGCGCTGATGATGACGTTCTTAGTGTCCGGAAGATCGCAGAATATTGTGAGTAGTTGCTCGGAAATATCGGCGAGAACATCATCATCTTGGGAAGTCTTCAATGAGCTAACAAGACCCTCCACTTGATTCCTGAGCCGAGCATATTTGTCACGGGCAATGTTAGCCTCGAGATCCATCTCGTCAAATCCTTCCTCAAGCTGAGCGAAGGGGTCATCCTCATCGTCCTGGTCACCAAGCCAGGAGTTGCTAGAGAGCTTCGAGCTGAGAAGTAAGGTGCTTTTATCAGAGCCTCCATCGCTGTCGGGCTTTTCCAGAAGGCCTTCCTCAGCACCAAGGATATCTGAAAAGTCCTCGTCTTTCTCATTTTCAGCAAACTTTTGTATTTCTATTGATGACCGTGTCCGTTTGACAGAAAGCCGTTTCCTCAGCGACGGCTTTGGGTCTACGCTGTTGCCCGGAGGTGCAAAGGAAGTCCGCACTCTGCCTTTGAGATCAGGAGCATCCATCAACGCAGTCTGGGGGGTATCATCATCCACAAACTGCAATTTGGTCAGTCTCGTGTATCTACAGAAGACCTCACATGGTGGCTTACCTGGAAAGCGTTTAGTTTCTTCTCCAAGACGTCCTCATCATCGACGATCAGGTCGGAATAGTCCTCGACGGAGCTCTCCGAATAGAACTCAGTGGGACGAGGCTGCCTTGCAGGGGGAGGAGGGGGAGTTTGAGTTATGACTGGTACGCTCGTGATGGCAGGAAGTGCGCTTTTCGTTGGCCTATGCCGCACAGGACTTCTCCGGAGACTTCTCTCTTCATCCGAAGCTTTGCGCAGGTAGGGTCGAATAGTCTGAAGAGGATCAGCCTCACCGGCGCTCCTAAGGCTCATAGAGGAATCTCCCTCATCAAAACTATCCGAAATGTCCTTCATTGTGGTCCCATCAAGCGATGCGAAAGCCTTGAGCTTCTCGGAGGAGAGCATGCCACCAAAATTATCCTGAGGTTTGAACTGCGGCATTTTAAGCGCACTTGGCGAGATAGCCGTTGCGAAATCATCGTCCCAGTTGTCATCCGTTCCTTCGGGTGAGCGAAACTTATCCGCCGTACTCTTTGAGACAGCTGTCGATGCTGAGTCCTTCGCAGGAGTGATAAGATGTAGGTCTGGGCGAGCAGGCGCTGGGCTGTTGTGGTCAAACCTCACCGTCCGGCGTAACGTACCGGTATCAGGGGACCTTAGAGCCTCGTTCCATTCCTGGACACTGCGGACAGCTTCCTCGTATTCAGTAGACTTCTTCGGTACGACTGAATCAGTCCTGCGTGCATTGACAATCCAAGGATGTTTTAGCAGCTTGCGAGCAGATACTCGAAGATTGGGGTCCTTCTGGAAGCATTGCATGAGGAAGTCTTTCACGGCCTGGATAAGTTAGAATTATTATTGCGGCAAAAAGAGGCCAACGGTCCTTACCGGAGAAGCACCCTGCGGGAGCGGAGGATGGTCATCATTGACAATGCGAAACAGTGCTGGCATAGGCTGTAGCTTCCAGTACGGAGGCTTGCCTTCTAACAACTCTATCACCGTACAGCCAAGACTCCAGATATCTGAGGCTGTTGTAGCCCCGGACAGTTCAATCACTTCTGGAGCCATCCAATAGGGTGTACCGACGACACTACTCTCGTGGAGACCAGTAGTACGACTCGCCACACCGAAGTCTGCTAGTTTTACGAGACCTTCCTTGGTGGTGAGGATGTTGGCGCCCTTAATATCTCTGTGGATGACACCCTGTTCATGCAGATACAAAAGCCCATGGAGGACCTGGGACATATATAGTCCGACCAGATTCTCCGGGAAGCGGCCGAAGTTTTTCGAAATTGAGTGCAAGGAGCCATTCTCACAGTACCTGGCTACGGTCAGTCTATCGTGAGGCTTCATATGATGGGGTACGTTACATACTCGAGGATAATGTTTAAAGTTTCGGCTGACTTCACAAACCCATGGTACTTGACAATGTTTGGATGCTGAGAAAGACAGGTTAGTTATTGACCCACGGTTCCTGCTTATCGCCCCTCCCCCTTGAGTTGCAAGACTTACATCCAGGTTCTTCAGGAGATCAATCTCTAGCTGTAGTGTAGTGCACGTGGTCAGCAACCAGTCTTGGTGTGGGTTCGTGGAAAAGCATCGTAGATGCGCACCATAATAACTCGTAGCTCACTCTTAGGGAGATCAGCAAGCCGGATCTGCTTAACAGCGACAGTTTCTCCCGTATTCCAGTTCAATGCTCGATAGACTGAACCGAAGGCACCCTTCCCCAGACAGTCACCCAATTGCTGCACGATTATCCCACGTCAGCTTTGATGAGTCGGATCCCACAATAGCCAATGCACGTACGTAGTCCTTGAGCTCTGCGACATCCTTGGCAGATGACTTTGAAGTCCTTTCCTCCTTGCCTGTACTCGTTCCTGGTCTTGGATGTCGCGATTTCGCCGGTGTACCTGGAGTGCGTGATGCCGGAGGCTGAGCCTCGTCTCCATCGCTGGAGCGCGGTACCATGGCCACAGATTGGCCAAAGAAATTCGCTTCCCAATATCGAATTCAGAAGTGAAGACCGCCCGGTACGACGTTATGCAAAGTAGATCTCGTGTGATGGATGGTGAGAACCAACAGTTTCGGCCGTCATGTCAGGAAAGTACCGAACGAAAGCACAAACACTGTGCGAATGTCGGTTGAATCCGGGTGAAAATGCGCACGAGATCAGACGAATTACGCGAACACTGTGTTTTGGTATTAATTCGGGGTATATGAAGGACCCCTGCTCTCGCGTCCGTGAAAGCTTCTGCGGGCGCACACGTCGTTGCACATCAGAGACCTGTTCCCATTCAGAGCCATGAGAGGCCATTCAGTCAGTCCCATCGAGCACTTAGACAGGGATAGAAATGGAAATGAGCAGAATTCAAAACTGACCGTGGCGTGCTGTAGATATGTCTCCAACAGGCAAATTGTTGTGTCTCAGCACTTTCGGCCTCCGCAAGTGAGCATTTGGCAGGGGAGATGACGCAGTCGGGATCTCCCTCCCCCAGCTCCGATAGCCCTAAAGTCGACCCATAAAACTATGCCTACGGAACGCTAGCAACAGATCGAGACGTAGCTCGATGGAGTAGCTCTAGAAGGTCCTATCTAGCGTAGTAGTCTCATGCAGTGAATGGGATTATTCTTGACTTGAGCCTCTTCTTTATCTTGTAGTATGTACACTATTTCTATGCGGGGATATCCCTTGTTCCACATTCCAGCCAGGACAAAAGCCACCTCACATCTCTTCCAAACGGAGTAAACAAGCGCATGTTTGGTGACTGGATACTAAAGATTTGGTGAATTATTCCTCCTATAGATCTTTCTTACTCTCTCGGAGTAGACGGAGGACATCCGAGACCAAGTAGAGACTGCCCGCTATCACCAACGGACCGCCTTGTGATGTAGTACTCGCCCAATTGAGGGCTCCAACGATGTCGGTATCGAAATTCTTGGTCTTTCCAATTCCTTGGATATCTTGTATAGACGTGATGAGTTCAGATGTATCGACCGCTTTCACCCACGGCATGCCGTCAACCGGGCCAAATGCAACAGTCGCGACGTTATCTCCAGGCTTGATAATTGGATGAAATAGTCCTTTGAGGTCTTTCCCGCGAGATGCTGCGACAACCCAAGTAACATTACGGCCAGTCTGGCGTAGTTTGCGATCGACGTGGTGTCCCAGGACCTCAGCGGATTGGGCATTGTGGGCACCATCCAACAGGACGGGTCCCTGACGAGCAACCAAAGGGTCTAGAGCAACCGTTTGTAGGCGGCCTGGCCATTGGACTTTCGAGAGCTCCGGTAGTAGAGCATCTACTGTGAGTTCAGGCCGGATCCGAGGGAGGCACATCTTCAGAGCAGCAATGGCGCAGCAAATGTTAGCCTGTTGATGAGGCTCAAGATCGAGCTCTTGAAACATACGAGGAAGCAGTGACGACAGTCCGTCCGCTGTCTCCGGTCTGACGAATACGGACTCTATATCCAGTTCTCTGACTCGGTCCTTTATGACACGGATTGCTTCCGGCAGATTTGTGCCGTCGATGACACAAGGGACACCGGGTTTCAAGATACCGGCTTTTTCTCGAGTGATACTCTCAATCGAGTCCCCCAACAAGGACTGGTGATCGAGGCCGATTTTGCAGATGACCGACACCAACACGTCCCTAAGAATATTCGTTGCATCCAAACGACCTCCCATTCCCACCTCCACCACCCCAACTTCGACTTGTTCATGGTTAAAGATCTCGAACGCGGTCGCCGTCAGCAATTCAAACTCGCTGGCCCCAATCCCCAGGCTTTCGTCCCGTCGCTTGACCTGTTCCTCGATTTGACGAAAGAGTGATTCTTGGACAACCTTTTCGTCGATAGTTATGCAGTCCCAGCGGTCGATCAAATGGGGAGAAGTAAAACGCCCGCAACGAACGCCGCCAGCGGTGAGCAGCGCGGACAGGTATGCAGTCGTGGACCCTTTTCCGTTCGTACCAGCCACATGGATAGCTCTCCATGGAATCACCGTATGCTGGAGGAGACGGGATATTCTGCTCAAGCCTAGCTCAATCATTGTCCCAGGCGGAAAGTTGTTCGAGGCTGCTCTGACTCAGTCTGCGCATGGCTCACGTCTGGCGTGGGGTACCGACAAGTGGGATGCGACACCTCAACTGCGATACCAGCAGTCCAGCGGAATATCAGGGAGCTCAATTGAATATGATATTCGTCATAGGAGACGGCATGGTGCCGTGAATTTGTCGCATGTCCTTTTCGCATATTTCGGCGCCGGAGCGTATCAGAGGTCAGGTTCAACGATGACTGTTTGTGCCTAAGGCATAAACATAAGTACGTAATCCACCGGGATCCAGCAGCGAGCGCCGTAGTTAACGATATATCGCATACAAAATATGGAGTATCTGATAGATTGCCTTTTATGCTACTATTTAGCGCCTCCCTCCGATTAGTCCTTCATAAAGGTAATTTTAGATGATCTGGTATGATCTGGTGATTCTATATTAGTGACATTTCTAAGCAGGCTGAAGCTGTCAAACTGATTAGAGGTTTGATTATTCTAATAGGTACTGTACCTAGGTACCTACCTACAGTACCTACCTACCTAGGTAGTATAAGGTGATGGTATAGAGGCCTGTGACCTTCCTACGGCAAAGGATTGCGGCGTAGGTCTGCCCATTATATTCATAGTAATGCATACGAAACTGATGAATTAACCTGTAACTAACTGGTTCACTACTCCGATCAGTCAATATGGGAGCCTTTTTAGCTGTTGATTATCTCTTACCACGCCTAGCTATCGCAAATGAAGGCCATTATTTGGCTAAATTCCCGCTGTATATGTACAGATGGTTATATGACCTAGTTCGGCATCCCTACTTTAAAGCACTCATAGATAGTCTATGGCGGAATCCCTACCCTATTGCATGCTTCTCTTGTTCGGATATCTCGAGGGCAACCACGTATCGGACGAGGGGGCCATATGACATTTGTCAGTCTTCGTATCATTGCAAAATCGCGCTCTTCCACTGCTTGGTCCATAGCTGCTTGTTGAGGAACATCCAATTCGGGGCACTTTATGACAGTGCCGTTGTCGATAAGGAAGTGAGCCATTTCATAGTTCCCACTGCCCGCAGCAGAGAGCAACGCGCCGCCGCCTCCAGCACGAGCTGGATCCGCACCGTACTCGAAAAGCAGACTGACCATTGTCATTCTTTGACCTTTTATGTCCTGATTTAGAGAAGAATCAGTTCCAGCAGCGAGAGCAAGAGGGCCCTTTCTGTCACTATTCACGAGATTTGGATTCGCCCCTGCCGCCAGAAGGAGCTTTAGCGTTGACACTCTCCTGTACCATGCCGCCGTATCCAGAGCAGTGGCGCTAAGATCGTGGAAGATCCCACCGTGATGTATGGAATTAACGTCGGCGCCACTGGCTATAAGCATACGCGCAATCTCCTCATTTCCAGAGCATTCCGAATAAGACATTAGTGTTCGAGAAATTTCCTGATGTATGATGCCGTGCGAGAAGGGATCTCGATTCTCTCCGTCCTGCAACAGCAGCTTGACTATCTCTGAATGTTCCTGCCGTGCAGCGCAGCAGATAATGGACATATCCTTGGATTTGTACCACGGATTCACGCCTTGGTCTAGTAGTAACCTCACCATATCAATTCTGTTCGCTGATACTGCTAGCCGCAGCATCTTATCGTAGTTCGAATCTGTCAGCCTGGTGCTCATTCCCTCGTCTAGTAAGATCTTGACAATACTGGTGCAACCGTTGGATGCTGCTTTGTAGATCGGGTGACTCTCATTCGGCCCATGCATTGCGTCCCATAATGCCTCACAATAAATATCAGCGCCCGCTCTGAGCAAGTTCTGTAAGGTCCTCGATTGGCCATATCGCGCTGCCCACGTTAAGGCGGGTGCTGGCTCATAACGTCGCACATGATACCGATAGAGAAAGGAATTCAACAAAGAATAAAGTGCGCGATTTGCTTGAGCTAGAGCATTAATGGTTGACTGTGAATCTGAGGTCTCTGCGATTATCAGGATAATCTCAGTGGGCAGTGTGGAGAAATGCATTGTCAAAGTTTCAGATGGTGTTAGAGAAACGGTACTGCAGAGGTAAGGTTGAGGTGTTAGGAGAAGACAGTTGGTCGGTGAGGAAATAACACAATCCTGGGGCGGAAGGAATCATAATATAATATCGAGTTGCCTGCGGAGGTCCAGACAAGGGCTGCTGAGCGGGGCTGTCAATCTGGGAGCCCGGCTTTGGTGCCCTTCGTTGCTTCGAATCCTCTTTGTTCTCCTGTCTTTGTTCTTTTGTGTCACCATCCGTTCTATGCTTGGTGCTGGTTGTTGCCGATTTATCTTGCCAGGTGGAGGCCAGCAGGGTCATACGGAACATCCTCTTCTGAGAAGCAAGAAAAAAAGAAGCCTTCTTGATTCTGGCCTCAATGCAGGATGCATTCGGAGTTTTTCCATCGCCTTTGTTGAGGACACCCAGCTTTTCGTCGAGGGACTATCACTGCCCATGAGGGCATCAACTTCTCCCTGTAGCAATGAACAGTTTAACTCGGACTTATCAATCAACTACTGTGCTATCGAGTCTTTCCTCGTAAGAGTGTTATCCCATGTTATGATAATACATACAGTTTGTGGTCGTATGCTGAACTAAGCTTCGGCCAGTACTTGTATCGGCGGAGACAGAAGACAAAAGATACATATGGTAGGTCAAGTAACTAACTACCTAGAAGGCTAACTAACCGGGAGTTCTACCCAAGAAATACGCCGTTAACTTTTCCTTGGGTGATTTCAAATCAAGACCGATCTACTAGTTAAGCATTGTCGTCAAACGTTGGATGGGTCTTGGCACCTTCCATCGCGCCAGTTACACTGGGATAGATATAAAGCTGCATGCAGTTATTTGATCAGCAGTGTATAATCTCATTTTGAATCTGGAATTTTATCCCCAGGTACGTACCGCCGTTTAAGAAAGCAAAAGTATCTAAGGGAGTATTGATTAGAGCCGAAGGTCTATACTCTATATAGCTTTGGACTTACCAGAGTTCTTCAGTGCTTTGTGCTGAGTTCTCGGGTCCTGAGCCAGCTGATAGATGTTCTCGAAGCCATAGGCTCCCTGCCCGGTATAGCCAAGTGCTGGGTCGTCTAATGTTACCTCGTCCTCTTTGAAACCATTACATATGATGATCAGCATAAGTTACCAATTTTCTGGCGGATACGGGCATCCCTGCTGCAGTTCTGAATGTAGAACAAGAAAGTGGTCTTACCCATCACCCATTGTGCGAATAATGATTCACTGTGTGTGAACTCATGGATGAGAGTCAACTCCGGCGTTTTTATATCAATGTTCTGCAGATAAAGGCCCAACATTTGACTGACATGTAGACCCTTATAATCATCAATATGTTCTGTCCAGCGAGGCCAGGCCCTAGCGCAGATGGTAAAAACATCCGTTATACGGTTGCGTGTTGTTACCATTAAAGCTTGCCAATTTGGATTTGCATCACATTTCCCAGCCTCTGCTGTTTGAATGCCAGGTACCACGGCACTCTTATAAATATCTGAACAGAGTGAAGGAAGGGCTTAGCACGTTGCAAAATTCTTGGAAGGGGATTGTATCTGGGGAACATACATTTCTGTCTGCCGTATTCATCCTTAGCTAGAGCCCCAGTATTGGTTAATGCCGGCAGACCATTTGATACCAAATGGTCGTCATTGCAGAAGATACTAATACTAAATGTATCTTCATACATGGCCCTATACAATTCTCTCGCATACCCTGAATAAAGAAACAAGTTATAGAGCAACTCCATTAGAAAATTGCTGCAATTCTGGAATATAATCAATGACAACTCACACAAGACTCTCTCAATTTTAGGGCGAACCGTCGCGATACTCTGCTGGTCTGTCTCATCAAATATTCCGTACAAGGCCATGAATATATCCAGTTTTGCCCTATCACCGGGAGAAAGATGTCTTCTCTGTGTACCAAGGTTATCCCGAACGGTTTGAATGCTATCTATGGTGTTGATGAGCTAGGAAAGGTTCCCCGGACAAGTCAGCTTCACGGAAAATTTCAAATAGAACAGACGCGAGGAAAAGGGAAAAAAAGAAAAAAATCACAAACCATGGTTTCTGCGGTATCGACTGCCCTCTGAATATCAAGCAAGTGCCCATGGCAACTCACCGCATCGTATAGAAGCTTTGTCCTCGTCCGTTGTGCAAGTGCAATAGGCCAAAGGTGGATAAATGACATGACCCAAAAAAGGTTCCATAGAATGATAATTCCCTTATATTTGGAGACCATCGTGCAAAGTCTATAGCTCGATAAATTTTGGAAGACACAAATGTGGAAGAGGCGACACAGAAGAACGAGGATGACATGAGAATTCAGCGCAATCTACATATTAGGAATATATGGCATAATATATGAAAAAAGCATGGAACCGATGACTAAATCCGTCATGATCGATGCGCTGAGACATACAAAGAGCCTGAGCACTGCCTCCACCACCATGTAAGCGCATTTCCCTAATGAAGACTGACTCCGTAGATCTATATAGAGGTTTAACAAGGTGGCTGGTGCTGATTATTCTGTGCCCTTTGTGCAGATTACCAGCGTAATTTCCTCACATCAACGACAAAGCAGTTACCCGGCGACAAAATACTATCCAGGGATACTCTGTTATACATAGTACGCGGTTAGTTGTAGGTCACACCTATTTGTAGGCTTGCACGAGGGGAGTCGAGAATTGACTGGAGGAAGCTGGTAGACCGTATCTTTATTTCCGTAGATCTCACTCTTATTCTTCCCTCTCCAGTTCTGAATATTTAATTAACTGGTGCCACCGAGCGAGTCTCTTCCCTCGTCCTGAATTTGGACACACAAGGCATTTCTTACTCGCATATCTCATTGCAGCTCTGAAATTCGATCGGGAATGATGGCTTTCTCTCTCATATACTAGTTATCGCTTGCCAGGAAACGTCTGATGTTACTGCTTCTCCCTTTTTGAGCTGATGAGAATACCGGCTGAGAAGATCAAAGACGACAGATCATACTACCGTGATAACTCTCTTCGCACGGGACCGCCCACACAAGAAGCAAGTCGCAAAGGAGGGGAATATACTGCTGGGGACTGAATCTTCACCAGTTCATGCTAGCAGATACATCGGATCATCATTTTCTTGTTCCAAGTCTATTGCATATATAGAGCAAGATGAAAAGACACCTACTTGGAGGGCTCTTTCTGGGTTCTTTGGGGGTAATATCACTCTGCGCACAAAATGGTGGCAGTGGCACCTGTTCCTCGAAATCAAAGTGCGTTAGTGGTTGTTGTAGCACCAGTGGCTACTGTGGGTTTGGCCCGGATTTCTGCGGCGATGGTGTATGCGTGTCGACTTGCAATGCAGTGGCGGAATGTGGGCGTACGTATCACTCTCCCAAATTGAATGCATAGTATAGATGTAGTATTGACTCAACATAGCATATGCGGCTGTCGCGAACACGACCTGCCCTTTGAACGTCTGCTGCTCAAAATATGGGTAAGGAATACATTCAGATTTTTCCGATGATCATTGGAGATGCTAATTCTCTGATATTTGGCAGATTTTGTGGTACGAGTGAAGACTTTTGTGGTGGCGGATGCCAGAGCAACTGCGAGCCTGTGCCTGAGCCGTATGTCATCTTAACTTCTACGACTTGATAATGCAGTACTAATAGTAACATTCAGTTCCTGCTCTGGGGAATCAAGCAGCGCCGTGTATATCGGTTACTATGAAGCTTGGAATTACCAGCACCTGTGCGATAAGTTACTTCCATCGGACATCGACGTTAGGCCATGGACAGTGAGCATTATTCCTATTTACTGCTACCCGCATCATCAAGCTGACGAGAAAATAGCACTTGTACTACGCGTTTGCTGGAATCGACAGTAAAACATTTGAGATCAAAACAATGTATCCCAATGATGAGAAAAACATGGCTGATTTTGTAGCGCTGAAAAAGAAAAGGTCCACTCTCAAGACCTATATCTCCGTAGGCGGGTGGGATCTCGGAGGACAGATCTTCTCTGATATGGTTCGTTCTTCCGGTAACCGTTCTAAATTCATCAAATCAGCAATTAGCTTTATGAAAAAGCATGGGTTTGATGGAATTGACATCGACTGGGAATATCCTGCTGCATCTGATCGTGGTGAGTGACAGTCTACCTTCTACGATTATGTTTTGATGTTGACCTGGAGACTTGTGGTGTTAGGCGGCAATAGCGCGGACACGAAAAACTATGTTTCCTTCCTCAAAGAACTCAAGGAAGCGTGTGGTAAAACATATGGCATTACAGCCACGCTACCATCTTCCTACTGTGAGTGAATAGGGAGACCCCGTGTTGAAAATGGCTCACAAGAGATAGGGTACCTTCAGGGCTTCGATGTTACTTCCATGGCCGACTACGTGGATTATTTCAACTTTATGTCCTATGATATCCATGGCACGTGGGATGGAGATAGCAAATACACGTCTTCCGTGGTCAACCCGCATACGAATCTTACAGGTAAGCCTTCTTCATCGAATCTTGTGCGTGCGTAACAAACTGATTCGGTTTCTAGAAATCACCCAAGGCCTGGACTTACTATGGAGAAGCAAGATTGATCCTAGAAAGGTTCTCTTGGGGCTAGGCTTATACGGTCGTTCTTTTACGCTGAACAATACCAACTGCAACACTCCTGGATGCCATTTTGATAAGTCTGCATACGGCGCTGGCGGAGGTGCGCCTGGGCAGTGTACTCAGACCAGTGGGATACTCTCCGACTATGAAATAAACCGCATTCTGGAGGATTATGAACCTGCGATCAAATATGACGAAACAGCGGGCGTGAACTGGATTACCTGGAATGACAACCAGTGGTATGCATATTTGCATTCCCTGTTTTTCCTAATCGCGTTTCTAACACTTCTTGTATAGGGTGTCATTTGATAATGCAAAGACGCTAAAGCAAAAGGCGGACTTTGCCAATGGTAAATGCCTTGGTGGACTCTTCAGCTGGGCATTGGATCTAGGTGGCCCCGGATCATTGGGGAATCCCAACGACTTGGATTCTGTCGATACATCAATGGATGGGGCCAACCCCGAAGGAGGCAGTGATGGGACCGGTGATTTCCTCGTGGGCCAGGAAATCTTTGGTCCCCACGATAACACTGTCACCGGTATTGGCCCTATAAACGTGATCTTTCCCCCGAGTACTCTGAAGAGTCCTACGACTCTCCACCCGGGACCATTCATCACTCCCTTGGAAATTGCTTTCCCTAAGACCACAACAATCACTACAGATGGGTCTGTCACAGTCACGACTACGATCACGCGGATAATCGAGACAACTACAATTCCGCTCTCCCCGATTACCGTAGGGGTTATTCCATGGTGGAACTGGAATATCACAACCCACAACCAGACTGGCGGGTCGACAGTCCTATTCCCTAGCATTGAAATTGGGCCAATTGTGATTTCGGACGACTTCCAGGCTCTGAACATCAGCACAGCCTCTTATACCACCACGTCTAACCGGACAATTCTCGTTCCTCCGTGGCCGTGGTCCACCACGCCGTTGTCAACGACTGTTCCCGTTGGACCAACGGTGCACTTTACTCAAGGTTCACCTCCCGGTCCTAAATGCACGGCAGGATGTGGTAAGAAATGTACTACATTTTGCGACAGCCCTTGCATGAACGACTGCGATGTGGGTGGCGGTAAATCAAGTGGCTTTGCTGACCCTTCGGACCCTGATCCGCCCCATAAACACAAATGTGGCGGGCCTGACTGTAAGAATGGCAAATGTACCGGTCCATTATGTGCCAGTTTTGGATGCACTGGCACCGATTGTAACCAAGACACAGGCGCGTGTCTTGGGAAACGTTGCGAAGAGACAGGTTGCATAGGAGATGGCTGCAAGAAGGGATCTTGTCATTCAAAGTCCTGTCGGAAGGTGGGATGCTCTGGCCGTGACTGTTCCCCTAATGGAAGCTGTTTTGGATTGAGCTGTATCTCCATAGGATGCATCGGTGTCCTCTGCAACAAGGCCGATGGGACATGCAGTGGACCTGATTGCCATAAAGTCTCGTGCTCTGGACCCAACTGCCAAAACGGATTGTGCAAAGGGAAAGGCTGTACAAACGGGGACAGAGAATGTCAAGAAGAGGAAGTCGGTATCTGTACTGAATTCGTATATAGCGCTCCGGATACTGTCAGGTCGACGTCTACCACCAAGACTTCTACCAGTTGCGATACGATCACGGCCTGCTCTGTCACGGCCACCACTACTACCACAACTATCACGGACGATCCACACGCTTCTGACCCATTCGTAGCTTACATGGAGGACACAAACACGGCTCTCATGGCTTCAGTGGCGAGTCAAATCGATGCCGCTTTCAGATCGGCGGAAGCTTCATGGACTACAACAACAACCAGTAGCACCTCGAAGACCACAAGCTCGGAAACCACGAGCTCGGAAACCTCAACATCAACTGGGCCTTCTGCTACCTCGTTAAGTAATACATCACCGGAAGAGGTCAGCTATACGTGCTCCGGTATGTCCGGAGAGTGCAAGGTATTCTTGCATCTCCGCCAATTCTGCGATGAAGCCAAGAGCTATATAAGAGGGACCGAAGTATACGGGTAGGTACAACACGGCTTTTTATTTCCCCAGCTGTTATCCCCTGCTTTTTCGTGGCATTTCTCCCTAAAAGCGTTGCATGATGCTAATGGTCCTCGAAATGAAATAGAACAACCAAGGCCAATAGCAATACGGGCGAATGCTATACCGACGGGAAGAACGCAGGCTTTGGCTGTGGAGTCTTCGTGAGTGGTGACGGCTGCCAATTACTAGGCACTACGATGCAAGCGTGAGTCTACCTATCCAGTCTGTTACCGTAGCTATGACATTCAGGCGATGCTAATCAATGAGACGCAGTGCCTATGATCACCTCATGGATAAGACTGGAGGAAACTGTGGCAAATGTGGCCAAGTGACCTTCTCAAACGGATGTAAGATGCGAGTCGACTATGTTAGTGGCTGCCAAACGGAGAACAATGGCCCAGCGCAGTTTGTCCCATCAAATGACAGCAGTGCGACTACGGCCATGAGCCCTGCCACTCTAGCTTCCTCCCAGTCCTCGTTGGCAGAGATTCCCTGGTCAGTGGCTACATCAGGGTAGTTTCGAACTACACAGACTAATATGGCATTTCTCGTTCGTTTATACATTACCGTGAACAGATTTACCCTCATCTTCGCTGCTGTTGCAGGCACTGGGACCTTGGGAACCCCAGCTTTGACTCCCACCATTGGAGGATTCTGCCACGTAAAATGGTGAAGGGATGATAGTTATAGATCATAGTATATAAGTTAGTTTACCTCACATAGAAACAGTGATGGAGTGACAGGGGCTGGGAAAGTCATGCTGCATAGAAACCCCTTTTTCTTTTCTTTTTTCTTTCTCCTTCTATTATGTACATGACTAGTCCTCTTTATCCCGAGCCAGATCCTATATCGAATACTGTTCGATTCCACCCGTCATATCCCACAGATCGTTGGCCACTTGCTTGGTATATTGCAAGGCGATCTCTTTGTCCCTATTTCTTTTCTAACCAAGTCTAGCTTATGTACTGTACAAAGGGTCACTTCCATTGTCTGAAGTCTTAGGATAACTATAAATAACACTTCACGCCCGACCAATTCTCTGAGACCTTTCGTGTCTTTATTCCTTTCCCTGGTCTATCTTCTGCAGTCTACCCTTGGACGATGAAACTTCTACCAGTTCCCGCACTCGATGCAATGGTAATGACCATGGTCGTGCTACTGAGCCTCTCTGCCCAAGTCCAAGCCGATCCTAACCAGCGTCTCCCTAAACGAATGGAGACCCATCACCTTTCTCTCTCCCACAAATCTCTCCCCATCGTGCCCGCTTTTCCAGGTCCAGAGACCCAAAACCTGAGCAGCATCACCAGCGACCACAGACACACAATCTACAGCCACAATTGGGCCGGTGTCGCACTTCTCAACTCCGCGCTCCCGTCTACCCCAATTCTCACCTCCGTTGCCGCAACCATCACCGTTCCGATCCCTACCTCCTCAGCTACAAACGTCCAGGCCGCCTCTTCCTGGGTAGGAATCGACGGCTTCGTCAATACAGCTGCTATCCTTCAGACAGGCATTGACATAGTCGCCTTTCAAGGCGAAGAAGCCAGATACAAAGCCTGGTACGAATGGTATCCCGATCCAGCCATCCATCTTGATCTCGCGATAGAGGCAGGAGACGTGATCATTATGGCCGTCTATTCTACGTCAGCCTTGACAGGAGTGACGATTATACAGAATGAAAGTACTGGACAGAGCACGACGGTGACAGTCAGTGCGCCGCACTCGACGGCGACATTGACAGGTCAGTCCGTGGAGTGGATCGTGGAGGATTATCAGAGCGGAGGGTCGAGAGTGTCGTTCTTGGATTTTGGAACGGTCAACTTTACTGGAACTGTGGCGAGGGCGATAGGAAACCAGACATTTGGGGCTGGGGGAGATGGGGCTGTAATAGTAGACATGATCATGGATAATGGCTCGATTGTTGCAGAGGCGAACATCGTTGGTTCGTCAGGGGTTGCGGTTACACATAGTTGAGAAAGCAAAGAGATCACTGTAGATGATTTGGCAGGTTCATTTGATCGACTAGGATCTAGATCTAGTTTCTTTGTACTTACGTTGAGGGGATAAAAATCGGCTTACTATGTGTATACCATACAGCTCATATCGTATCTCGAGCCACGCTGGAGAGGCAATCGACGCCACCCGCGCCACAGACCGACCGACTCGATCTCCACGCGAGAAGCACATCGGCCAGCTAATTTAATTTTAGCGTCAAGGCTGATCATTCTAACTTCTCTTTCTCCAGCCATCTCGGCATCGGCCCCGTCCCATCTGGCATCCGACTCACGCGCGGCTCTCCAACACTCCCCCGACGTGCGCTTTTCCCTTTGCCCTCCTCGATCCGTCGTTGTGAAAAGCTCAGCATCAACAGCTGTCTCCAGCAGCAACACCACAACTCTCGTCCCAACTCCCCCGTCACCTTTCTCCCGCTCAGTAGCGTCCCGTTATTGTGGTCGCGTTCCCTGGCGAATTTTAAGTCGAGCCTTTTCGTCTCTAATTTTTCCTTGCCGCCATGGGTATCCCGTAAGTTGATCCGTTCCGCTTCGCTTTGTATGGCGCTTGCTCGTGTGTTCGCGTCGCCTCAGCGCCAGACGATAGATATGCCACGCGCCGTAACAGGATCCCAACGCTGACCGCCATGCAGGATGTATCGCGAACCCTCGCCCTCAGAGGCCAGAGCCTGCGGGAAAGGCGACCCCTCCGCGACCGCACGCTCTGCGATCCGGAGACAAGCCACCACCCGTCGCTCATCGCGCAGCAGCATTCGTCCGTTGAGCGGTGCAACCTTTCGCTCGAATCTACCCCGTCAGTTGAGCGAAGAGATCAATCGTGAAATCGAGCGCCGTCACACGCGATCGCCAGCGTTGGGCCTAACCCAGGGTGAAGACGCTCTCCTCGAACTCACGGGCGGCTCAATCGTGTCGGATTCCACAAGACGGGAGGCAGGTCAGAGGATTCTGAGAGACGCGCTACGCCACGGCCATCCCGGACGACGTCTGAGGATCCCTCGAGAGTCGACGCTACGCTTCGAGGTCCCCAGTCCGCTCTGGGCCATGGGTGAACTCTCGAACCGTTCCCCATCGGGAGAAGAGTCTGCAAATAATCGCAATTCGGAGCACCCCCTGTTCACCCCACGGTTCGCTCCTGCTTTTGCGTATCACAGCACAATCTCATCCCAGCCACATCCAGATATATCGGCTCTGTTGCACGCTCCAGGACTGGGTGGATCTGACGATTCGGCTGCTAGTATGCCGTTGTTGCGCCGGGTCGGCCACCGCTCTGTGAATGGAGCAAACTCACAGGATCCGCACCGTAGGAGCATCATCGATGGCCTTGGAGATCGTGAACGCAGTTTCAGCCCGGATGACGATCAGGAGCACGATGCGTGGGAGACACTGCTGACCACCATCACGCCCGACGTACAGCTACCGAGTGCTGATTCTTCTTTCACTTCTGCTGCGGCTTCTGCTTCTACGGGGGCGTCAAGAAACACGACAAACACTTCGACCAACTCCTCTCACACATTGCCGTCGTCTCTGGACTCCTCCGCAGCGATGCACATGATCCTGGATCCTTACCCAGAACTCCTGAACCCATGCGACTGGCCAAGCTCTGATTCTGATACTGAGGCGGAGCCAGACTTGAGCTCACGACCATCGACGACTCGCTACCGTAGGCATCGGCTGCTAGACTCGCTCCGTCGTCCTGCCGGCGTAGGCTCGACTCAAGACAGCCAGCCTCCGATTCCTGCCGTTGCCTTCTCATTCTCTCAGGAGACCGCCGACCCCGATCTGCAACAGATGCAAGCCATGCTAAACCGTCTTGTGAATAGGGAAGACATCCCAGACGATTGGTGGGCTGCAGCTGGACTGTCACGCACCATGGGCCGCAGGCTCGGCGCTGGTGATGAGCTTCCGCGCACAGATATCCCTGATGGACCTCTCTAGAACGATAGGTCCAGGTCATGGATGCTTTAGAAACGACTTGTTTTTCATTATTATTATTATTATTCCTTTTTGAGAGTTTTTTTGAGACAGCGGGTTTCTTAGACAAGGGGTCTACATAACCGGGGGTGTTGGCGTTTCATTTGAGCGGGTTCTGTCTGTTGTTTGTCTGATTTATTCCCTGCTCTTTCCTTCCTGGCTTGAACTTTCTGTGTTGGGAGAAGATAACTCGGAACGTCCATGGCTTCGGGGAAAGATGCTGAGCATCTGAACCTCCCCCGAGAGCACGTCACGTGAACATATGATTCGGGAATATGGAGTGTTGTGTACGATTTGTGGCGAACGGTTTTCTTCTGGTTGAAGTGAAGTCCAACAAAAAAGGGGGATCATACGTGCCATTCTCATTTCATGCTTGCCCTGCTGTTCGACGTGTTCGCGGCTGGACATGCCTTGTTGCGACTTGGGGCGGAGTCGAGATGTAATTTGGTTTCTTTCTTTTTCTTTTCTACTCTCGTTGATCCACTTACACCTAGAGTATGTGGTTCACGTCCTGTGTTCATACTTGGCCCCATTCTACCATTGTATTATCCGCCTTCTATTTTTCTACGGCCAATAGTCCCGGACGGGATGTCGATGAATGAATTTGATTCTGCCGCGGATCTATTTATTGGGCGGTTCATATTGGATTTGAGGGGTGTAAAAGACAGATACTGGTTATGGTATTCCAAGTTACCAGGGGTAATGTCTCATTTCATTTCAATGCGCTTAATTTCCCGAATAGTAATCTAGCGCTATAGGTAAATAAGAACAAAAAGTAGAGTAAGAAGTGCATCAAGTGCGTGACACCACCGAAGATCAGTTGAATCCAGAAGTTCCAGTGCTAGTCCATGTATTGTTGGATGAGAGTACGTCCGGGTGAACTGGAGTAATATGGGGTGAGACTGGAGGGTGTGGACACGCGCCGACTGCTGGGTCGCAACTCGGGATATTGTACAGTACCATATGCGCTACAATACTCTATCATATGCGATGGATTGGGAGACAACATGGTATACTATGCGTGGAGAAGACGACTGTGATAGTAGTTACTAGCTTATCCATTTCGTGATAATAATAATCAAGACGGCCAACGTCATGGCCTAACTGGATGGCAGTGCTCCGTGCAGCCCCACTCCGCCCCGCGTATTCCGCATTCTTCATTTATTCCCCGCGCTGCTGGCCGATTGTTAAATACACAATTCTCCTGGACGTTATCTTTTATTTGCTTATTTGCTTGTTTCCTTTTTCCTGTTTCCGGTACAATTCGATTGTTTTTTTTTTCATATTAGCCTTTTCTGAAAGGAACGTGTGCACACATTGTGCTGTCCTATCAGCCAAGTCGCAGTTCTGCCGATCCCGTCTGCTTCTGAGTTGTCCTCCGAACAGACAACTCGACATGGACGAGCAAGTAAATAGATTGGTTGAAAAGACATGGGGTAAGTTCGATGCATGTATTGCTCTTTTTTATTGCAACTTAAAGAGTGAATGAGTGATGCTCTGCAGGAGTAGTCGTCCGGATCCCAATTAGTGGAAGTCCTCAATGACTTATTAATCGTTGATATTGGATAGGGAAGGTACTGTCTACACCACAAAATGCTCGGTTGATGATTGCTATCAGTGGCATTCCCGGATCAGGGAAGACTTCGCTCGCCCGCGCCATGGCCGAACGGATCAATCAGCTATACAAGAAAGAACACCCGGAACTACCCCCAATAGCTCTCGCCGTCCCGATGGACGGTTATCATCTGACACGCGCACAGTTGGCTCAAATGCCAGATCCGGAGTTTGCTGCTGCCCGGCGAGGTGCAGCCTTCACGTTTGACCCGGAGAAATTCCTGAAACTCGTAAAGTCGCTACGAGAAGAAGTGACTCCTGAGACCCCCACTGTCTATGCTCCCAGTTTCGATCATGCGGTCAAGGATCCTGTCGAGGATGACATTGCTATCCCTCCGACGTCCCGGGTCATCTTCTTTGAGGGGAACTACTTGAGCTTAGATAAAGAACCCTGGAACACAGCTGCCAAGCTGATGGACGAACTCTGGTTCGTGGAGGTAGATTTTGAGACAGCACGGAAGAGATTGATTCGTCGCCATGTCGCAGCCGGCATAGCCAAAGATGAAGCCGACGCGGACAAGCGAGCAAGAGAAAACGATCTGGTGAACGGGCGAGAGATTGTGGATAACAGGATGAATGTCCAGGAGATTATCTTCAGCAATGATGACCGAGCTTGGGACCCATGATGGCCTAAGGTTATCTTATCGGGTCTGACATAGCTTTATGACGGACCATTATTTAATGTAGCCTCCTGACCTATAGAATGGACATGATGTACAGTACATCCTTGTTTGACAGCGTTCCAGCAACAGGAGGCTACTATGTTGTGCAGGATGTCACGTGACAAGAATGAAAAGAATATTGATGTCAAGTAGTTAGTTAACTATACTTTGAATATTATATAATTCATATGGAAGCATGAAACCTATTTCTTTACAGATCGATTCAGTCTCATGGCAGTTTTGGTGTCGAACAGAATCAGAATTGGAGAAAAGTCCATACCTAGCTGATGCCAAGGTCTTGGCACAATTCCAGTAGTATATTCACGAATCACCACCGGGTCAGGGGCCATTCAGTCCGTTCCTGGGTCAAGATGCCAAGCCAACGGTCGTTTAAGTCCGGGGATCTACTGAATCGCCAGGACCCTTGGGGGCGCGGCGTTGAAACACGCTTTAATCTCGTACTCTTGAACCTGAGAGCTCCTTTCTTCACCCTTGCAGAACCACCTTCCTTTACGATACTGCTCACATTCGTTTGAACCACAGTCACTCTTTTTTCATACAGTCGTTTAACCTTCTCCCGCCCGGTCCTTGATCTGTTTCGGTATCGCCTACATTCCTGCGCGTTGCACTGAACCTCTGGTTATCGAACTTATCACTTCTCTTCGAGTCAAATCAGCCTACAGCGCAGCTATTATCACCATGTTCGCCTCCAAGTCGACCCTGTTCTTTTCCTTCCTGGCTCTCTGCAACTTTGTTGCTGCGGAGACGCCTGGCTGTTTGCTGTCTGCTGTCGGGTATGTTGTGCTTCAATGAATCCAACGGCGCGCGCCGTGGTCACAGTATGGGGATCTGACAGTCTACATAGCAATCAGTCCGACCCTTCTGATCTGGCCAGCCTCTGCGGACCCCAATCTGGAAAGCTCCAGACCCTGATCACCAAAAAGTGCGACGATACTGCCCAAGTCGCGATGCAGGCTTATTCTAGCATTTGCTCTTCCGCGGGACACAAAGTCGGTATGTATAACGTTGATTTATATCAGTTGTTGTCGCGTATACATTTGCATGGGATGGTTTCGTATTAATGCCTGCTGTGTCTTCAGTCATCACTTCCTCCAAGGCCGAGTCTACGACCGAATCTAAGACCGCTTCTGCATCTGGCACCGGAGCCGCTAGCACTGGCTTTGTTACGAAGACTTCCAGTGCCACCGCTACTGGCTCTTCCACCTCTCAGTCTGGCTCCAGCTCTACTTCCTCCAGCTCTACTTCTTCCGGCACTTCCTCGTCTGGTTCTAGCTCTCCCGTGGCCAGTGGTGCGGCGTCCGCTAGCGAAGTTGGCTCTGCCGCTTCCTTCGCGGCTGCTGTCTTCCTTGGCTTCGCTGCTATGCTGTAAATTCAGTTGCCCCTTATGGTGCCTCTATTTTTCAGATATATGGAGAGATTTGTGAACACAATGGATGTCTGATGTTGCGACTCCGTCCGATAGCATGTGAGATGTGGATATCTCTTTTATCTTCACGGCTGTCTCTAGTACAAGAGACAAAGCGCGCGGAAGATGTTTCATAGATTCTCCAACGACAGACACTGTACAGACTTGGCTAGTAAAGAGCTGATCATCCCTTCAATTCTTCATCATAACTGCCAGCTTCGGGGGCGATAAACGAAGCTCGAATACAGCGAATAAGAAGAGCGTGTCCCGACAACAGTCGAAGAGAAAGCTTTTGCACAGCTGTATTGTCCATTACGTTATCTAAGTTCCGAATCTACTGAACAAGTAAAGTAACTTCTCCAAAGCATATCGGATTACAACCCTGGGTCATTTCTATCAGCCGCTACTCCATGGTTTGGGACTGTATGTCTACTTAATTCCACTTTGCTGCCTTGGGCAGACGGCTTCAGAGCTCCTTGATAGCCGCAATTGCAGATTGGCAGATTAGCCAGATGAACCGGCCAGTAATGCGTTAATAGCAACCGCTTCAGACTACTTCCGTCATCCACATCTACTGGGATTCTCACTTCTACCTCAAAAAAAGATGATCCGTGAACTCGAGGTATCGGGGTCGACGAGATCATTCTGTTTGCAGAAGTATTTGTTACAGTGGCAGAGGCAGTGCTCGGGTGCTTAGAAGTGAGCTAGCAAGAGTATACTATCTCGAGGAGACATTTAGCTTCCATTTTTGCTTCCGCACTCGAAGATTGGACACATTCACGTTGGTTGCTATCTTATCAATCAGACGGTCTCTGATCTGTTGAACTAGTACTACAATTGAAGGCGACTAGACACCGAGATCGGACTGTATCAGGGTGTGGATGATGTCAAGTAATAACAATAAACCCACTGTTCTGCCTAGGTCCAAACCTAGCAAAATTCCAGCTCCTTTCGCTTTGCCGGAAATCCGCGATCAGCTTATTCAAGCTTCGGAGGATTGTTTTGGTAGATTAATCAGCATTTGCACGCGTTGAACCAACAGTGTTGTGGCAACCAGCAACATCACGTGAGCGACGTGACCCATCGCTGCTGATGAAATCCATTTAGCACCAAACACGAAAATCGCGTCCCTCTACCCAGACACGCGTCTGGTCCCCGGGGAGACATCAAATAACTTCCTGTCCTGCCCCTCGCTGTCTTCCTTCTTCCTTGTCTTCTCTCCCAACCTTCTCTTCCTTTCCCTATCCAAGGGTTCTTCTTGTGCTCTCGTCTTAACACTGTTCCGTCATTTACTGGTCCTTTGCCACTTGACGGATCGAAGTTAAGATACCCTTTTGGATTCTCTCTAATACCACCTCGTCGTCTCGAGATATATAAGACGTCAAGATGTTCGTCTACAAGAGAGGTTAGTATTCCCTCAGGTCCTAAGCTCACTCTCAGAAGAGGGGCTCTTCCCTGTGAATGAATTCCATCGTTCATCGTCACTGCTACTCCTCACCAAAATTGTTGCTAACTTTGATCGGGCGAATAGATGGGCGCAAGGAGCGTGTACAATTCGATAAGATCACGGCCCGTGTGTCAAGGCTCTGTTACGGTCTCGACCCGGAGCACGTCGATGCTGCTGCTATCACCCAGAAGGTCATTTCTGGTGTCTACCAGGGTGTGACCACTGTTGAGCTGGATAACTTGGTAGGACCTTTCCGGCCGTCCATTGCCTAGAGGAAGCATGCTAATTTCGTTTTCTTTCTGCGTAGGCTGCTGAAACCGCCGCTTATATGACCGTCACACACCCAGACTATGCTATCCTCGCTGCGCGTATAGCCGTGTCCAACCTCCACAAGCAGACCAAGAAGCAGTTCTCTCTGGTCATCCAGGACCTTTACCACTATGTCAACCCGAAGAATAATAAGCCGGCGCCGATGATATCGAAAGAAACGTATGAAATCATTATGAAGCATGCGGATGAATTGAACTCCGCTATTGTCTATGACCGTGATTTCAACTACCAATACTTCGGATTCAAGACTCTGGAACGATCGTATCTGCTCCGCATCAATGGAAAGGTTGCTGAGCGTCCTCAGCACATGATTATGCGTGTTGCGGTCGGAATCCACGGTGATGACCTCGAGAAGGTTATCGAGACCTACAATCTGATGTCCCAGAAATACTTCACTCACGCCTCGCCGACTCTGTTCAATGCCGGTACTCCTCAGCCGCAGCTGGCCTCCTGCTTCCTTATCGATATGAAGGAGGACAGCATTGAGGGTATCTATGACACCTTGAAGACTTGTGCCATGATCTCCAAGACTGCGGGTGGTATTGGTCTCAACGTCCACCGTATCCGTGCTACAGGTTCTTACATCGGTGGTACTAACGGAACTTCCAACGGGCTTGTCCCTATGCTTCGAGTGTTCAACAACACTGCAAGATACGTTGACCAGGGCGGAAACAAGCGCCCTGGTGCTTTCGCTATCTACCTGGAGCCCTGGCACTCCGACATCTTTGAGTTCTTGGACCTTCGCAAGAACCACGGTAAGGAAGAGGTCAGAGCACGTGACCTCTTCTATGCCCTCTGGACTCCCGATCTCTTCATGAAGCGTGTTGAGTCTAACGGTGACTGGACCCTATTCTGCCCGAACGAGGCTCCCGGTCTTTCTGATGTCTATGGCGATGAGTTTGAGGCTCTGTACCACAAGTAGGTTCCATCTGTTCCTTCGGTAATCTCGGATCGACGCTGACTTCTACAACAGGTATGAGCAGGAAGGCAGAGGTCGTCGCACCATCAAGGCTCAGAAGCTCTGGTATGCCATTCTCGAGGCCCAGACTGAGACCGGTAACCCCTTCATGCTGTACAAGGATGCGTGCAACAAGAAGAGCAACCAGAAGAACCTGGGTACTATCCGCAGCTCTAACCTCTGCACTGAGATCATCGAGTACACTGCCCCCGATGAGGTCGCCGTTTGCAACTTGGCCTCTCTTGCTCTGCCCACTTTCGTTGATGCTGCTCGTGGCGAGTACGACTTTGGCAGACTCCACGAAGTCACCCAGGTTGTGGTTCGCAACCTGAACAAGATTATCGACATCAACTACTACCCCGTTCCTGAGGCCAAGAAGAGCAACTTGCGCCACCGCCCCATTGCCGTTGGTGTTAACGGTCTTGCTGATGCCTTCCTGGCTCTCCGTCTGCCGTTCGACTCTCCGGAGGCCAAGCAGCTCAACATCCAGATCTTTGAGACCATCTACCACGGTGCTTTGACTGCATCCGTCGAACTTGCCAAGGAGCAGGGCACATACTCCTCTTATGAAGGCTCTCCCATCTCTCAGGGCATCCTTCAGTACGACATGTGGGACAAGACCCCTACTGACCTTTGGGACTGGAGTTCACTGAAGGCGGAGATTGCCAAGCATGGTGTCCGCAACAGCTTGCTCGTTGCTCCCATGCCCACGGCCAGTACCAGTCAGATCCTGGGCTTCAACGAATGCTTTGAACCATACACTTCGAACATCTACTCTCGTCGCGTCCTTGCGGGAGAGTTCCAGGTCGTTAACCCTTGGTTGCTGAAGGATCTCGTCGACCTCGGCTTGTGGTCTGACAACATGAAGAACCGCATCATTGCCGAGGGAGGTTCCGTCCAGAACATCCCCAACATTCCTGCCGACATCAAGGCTCTGTACAAGACTGTGTGGGAAATCTCTCAGCGTACCATCCTTCAGATGGCTGCAGACCGTGGCGCGTACATTGACCAGTCTCAGTCCCTTAACATCCACATGAGGGAGCCTACTATGGGCAAGATCACCAGTATGCACTTCGCTGGATGGAAGATGGGTCTGAAGACCGGCATGTACTACCTTCGCACTATGGCTGCTTCTGCTCCTATCCAGTTCACCGTCGACCAGGAACAGCTTAAGGTTGCCGACACTAATGTTGCACGGACCAACAACATCAAGAGGCGGCCTGGTGCTGGGTCCTCCGGTTCCTACTCGGCGGTCCCACGTCCGATGTATGATCAGAAGCAGCCAAACACCCCTGCTCCAGCTGTGAATGGCAGTTCGGAGCCCCTCCCGCCCTTCTCCCAGCAGTCCAGTGTCCGTGACAGCCCGCGTACCATTGCTGCTGAGCCAGCATCTTCTCCCGACCACGACGAGGAGCTGCCAGCACCTGCAGTGAACGGCAAGAGCAGCCAGGAAGAAGATGGGGACGAGAGCCAAGAGCGCGAGAATGACATCTACTCCCAGAAGGTCCTCCAGTGCAGCATTGAGAACAAGGAGGCTTGCATTATGTGCAGCGGCTAAACAGGAAATATATCATCCTATCTTGGTCGTTTGCCTTCTTGGGCGCGTTGCTTTGCTGGGTTTTGGATCTGCATGTTGACGAATTTGATGGTTTACTGGTTTTCTTTCCCTGTTTGTCACCGATGTTATGAACTGCAAAAATTTCCCCACGTATATGCCCCGACATCCTGTCAGAGTCTTGCATTATGTATGTATCTTATGGTAGTTATGGTGTCATGGTTTTCCTAGAATATAATTCAGAAGTTCTACATTAGCCAATGACCGGCGCTCCGCCAGTATCTCGTAGAGTTGATTTTTGTAACTACGTACTTGTTGTAGGCGCTGAACCATCGGCTCCGTCGATCCCTGTCATGCATGACATTCCGGCTGTGCAGCCATCGTCCCTGAACGGACAGCATATCAATTCTGAGTCTTTCTGACTCAAAAGTCTTGCATTCGTCATCTACAGCTAGGCAACCGAACTGTCAATACTATCTTGACATCCGCAAGGCTGGAGATTATATCAGCAGTAAATTTTAGTTATCGGCATCCCATGATCCAACAAACTACAGACGACGAAGGGCGGGTATCGTGTCAGCAGCACCAATCGCCCCTCTTCTTTTCACCTGCGAGTTGCGTCAGTGGATCTTAGGGCTGAACCAGCTGGAGGTTCAGAAGCAAGTGCCAACTAGGTAGGTACCTAGTGGTAACTAAGACCCTGACATTTAGTGCTTACGCGATTCGGTGAGGACCCTGCATTTGGATCATCTCATGCGAATTGCAGACGTCGTCAATTTATTCTTCACCGTCTGTCATAATATCATAGTCAGATATAATTGGTATAAAATCTACGAATGCCTTTCTGTTTGACGGAGACCCTGGATATGATTTCGCAAAAGGCGGTCCATCGGGAAGGAGATATACCACAGGGGAGATACTCGGCACAACTACTCCATAGGTGCCAGACTAAAACTGTGACAAGTCGTTATCGGCCAACAGTTCTCAAATAATGCACGTTGGTTATCTGCTCACCGGCATAAGCGCTTGTAGCGAGGGGCGCGCCACCTTAGCTGGACTTTGAGCCTCCGATGCTGGGATATCGCGCGGCTGGGGATGAGGGGATTCGCTGTCAATCAGGTTATTTTAGCCGGACAGGTGATGCCTAGGTATCGATGAGGCTATAATGTAGATAGCAGAAGATTGACTACGCTGTCGACACACCCTGGCTATCGAGGTATTCCAAATTGTCTCGATTCTCCAGCTTGATTGGAGCGCGTGATACAACCCTAAGACGAGGCTGATCATGATAACGATAGCTGATAATCAGTCTAGACCCATGGACCCTTCTTTTACATGCACGTGGATGGAGACTGCTGCCTTTCCATGGCCATGCGTCTATCCGGAAGCGTTCGTTCCGCAGCAATCGTTATTGACGGTATAGAACAGACAGTCCCCACGTGGGGGCCTGAAAGCTGGGAAGAAGAGAAGACGCAGTTTTGGATACGTATGAAGCTGAAAATTGGGGCTATCCTATCGGAGCTGTTGGGATGTTCTTTTCTGTCCTTGAAAGACTGTATATAAAGATGGTACGGTACCTGTGTAGTAGTGTAGTTTGATTGTCCTATCAATTGCTTCTGAAACATCTTTCTTTTCTGCTTTCAAGAAATATCTACAGCTTCGAACTCAGGACATAATCATAATGGCTCTAAGTTATCTCCGTCAAGCGCCTCATCTTTCTTATCCTCTCAAACGTGCCTTTAGCTTCAAGAGAGGAGTGAAGAAGGACACTTACGACAATGCAGCGCTACCGCCAATTACCGAGAAGTCTCCTGTCCAGGAGACTACATCCAAGATACTAGGCTCTACTCCCACTTCGGAGGTTAGAAATGAAGACGATGCTGTGCCAGAGGGCATGATGCGGATACCGGATCTGTTCGTCTCGTGGGCCGCTCAGAAACCTCGAGTCAATCCGTTCTACGAAGAAGTGAAGCCGCAGGTGGAGGAGTGGTTTAAAGTGTATGATTATGAGTATCCTTTTCTTTTTTATTTTTCTCTTCGGATCATTTCTTGTTTTGTGTAATGGGTCAATGGATAGATGGGCAAGGGGCTAATTCTAAGTGTGGTTGGAAAAGGAAATGCAAGCTCGATGGCGCTCAATACAACAAATTCGTCGCTGCAGACCTGTGTTGGTTCGCTGCTGTATGGGCCCCTGATGCCGATAAGGAAGCTTTTCGTCTCGCGTGCCATTGGGTCGGATGGGTAGGTACCTCTTTTCTTTTCCGTACTTGGCTCTGCCATTGATTGAGGTTGTTATATGCTGACAGAGGGGATCGGAAGGTTTTTGTCTTCGACGACCGTAGGAATAAGACTGTCCCATACACATTCGATGATTCAATTCGCTCATACCAGAAACAGGCATCGACGAAGGAGTGTTGAAATACAAAACAGACATCGTGAGAGAGGAAATCGACACCGCTCTGTCTCGTCTGAGTCCCGATCCAGCACCTTATTCAGAAGAGCAAGGGGAGATGTTGACCTTTGACTTGATATGCCAGGAGATCAAGAAGGTAGCACGATCAATTTCCAGAGGACCGAGGTTATATATGAGTTCAAGCTGACTTGCTTCTTTCTTTCTCTTTTCCCATAATAGTGCTCTAAAGGTGAGTCTAAGATTACTTACTTACTACCAACCCAATCTGAAAACTAAACTCAACATAAAACAGGTCTTCAGGAGAGATTCCTCAAGAAACATCTATTCTACATGAACGAAGTCCTCGAACAGACTGAGCCTGAAGCAATCAAGGCTTCTCATGACCTGGAGTCTTTTATCGACCACCATAGAGGCTCTGTTGGGATTTATCCGATTTATCCCATACTAGAGTAAGTAGCAGCGGTCATCAAATTATTATATCCAACCTGTCAAAATTAACATGGCATATATCGCAGATACTGCAACAACCTCAACCTGCCAGACTACGTATTTGAATCTGCTTCTATACAGAAACTCGAAGCGTTAGCTGCGGAGATCGTTCTGCTGTAAGATACCTATGCTTTTAGACTATCCCGTTCTATAGCCGCATACTAACACAGGATAATAGAACGAATGATTCAATGTCCTACCTCAAAGAAGCAGTACGTTACCATATTAACCCCTCCCCCAACCCCTTTCCACCCACTTCAGAAAGGACAGACCAGTACTGACTAACTCAAACCAGGTCAACGGCGACGAACACAACCTCATCATGCTCCTCCGCCAACAAGGCCTGTCCCAAGAAGCAGCCTACCAACGCCTAGGCGAGGAAATCACCCGTCGATACCAAGAATGGTACGTTGCGCTGGTGGAACTGCCGCTGTGGGGAGAAGAGATCGATACGCAAGTGCAGAGATACGTGGCTGCGTTGCAGGAAACGGTTCTTGCGAATTTGAATTGGAGGTTTGTTATTGCCTTTCTGTATATTTTTTTTATGTCTAGTTACTTGAAGGGTATGACGGTTGCTGATGTTGTGTTTGTTTCCTAGTTTCCACACGAAACGCTACTTTGGAAAGGGAAATGAGATCGCGAGGAAACAGAGGTTGATTAAGCTTATTCCTTGAGGAGGGAGTAGAATGGTTTCTCAGATACTAGAAATTGCCTAATTGCCTTTCCTCCTTTCTTCTCGTCTTTGTGTCGGATTGGGAATTATATATATATGTCTATTTTATATACGAATGAGAAGATCAGATATATAGATTGTCGAATATAATGAGGGAAAGCTTCTTGATTTAAGTTTTAGTATCTATCCCCCCCTCTCTCTCTCCTAACCTATAAGATGGGGGAAATACAGCAGTACCCTAGAAATTACATTCTCATATCCTCTTCGAACAGAACCAACGACAACAATAATAGGATTAAGCAAGCAACTACATGCTAGAAAGGGAATTCCCGTCAAATTCTATTCAAGGTCGGGTATACAAACAAAGCTACACAATGAAATGCTTAACTTCCTATAGGGATTTTCCCTTCGTGTCTACCAAACATTCAACACGACCTTTGAGTGTCTCTACAGTTAATTATTTGGTAGGAAAATACCGTCCTGACTGGCAATAACGAGAAACAACAAGCAAGATAAGGGCATATTCACTTAATCGATATATATTCTCAACAGAGTCATATTTTCGTATATGAAACCAGAATAGACATACCTAATCTCATTCTATACAACACCTAGTCCCAGCCTTCTCCCTAACCTCATGCACAACAAACCAACCCGCCCCCTCCACCCCTCCGACACCACCCTCCCTATCCACACGATCCGCATCGCCATCTATACCATCGGTCTATTCCTCTCCTCCGACACGCGCAGCGGGAGTCACGTCTCGATCTACCTCCTCCCAGGCACCGGGACATCTATCAGACTCGACATGTTCCAGGCCGACTTGACCGATACATTGGGCACGTATCGGGTGCGGTGGTGCGAGTATGAGCTTTCGAAGAGGGCGGTGAGGATGTGGGATTTGATGCCTGTGCAGGGGTTAGTTGTGGGGGATGTGTTGGGGATGATGGTGGAGAGGGAAAGGGGGGGGGGGGGGCGGTATAGGTTGGCGAGGAATGGGGTGGGGTGTAGGTTTTGGGTGTATGTGTGCTACCTACTTACTTACTATACTGTGTTCTTGGTTCTGGTTTTTTTGTGGTTGTTGTTGTTGATTTTCTTTTGGGACTATAAGAGAGAAACAAGGAGTATCGATACTGTAACTAATGAAATGTATGTATTGGGTCTGACATAGAAAAACCATCCTCACCGATATAGAGAAATACAACTACATATCATCACCACATAAGTCCACTCAGTCCTGCATTCGTGAAGGAGTTCCTTACGGTACAATTATTCGAAATCCGCGGAGCCGGTCCTTGATGAGATTGTTCAGGGGACGTTTCTATCTGAGAAGCAGGTTTGCGATGGACCGATGGCAAGCTGTGAAGATTTAGGATGTGGCGTGTCGTGTTATGCAGGACTGGAGTTTTAGTTTCTTACTTTGGAGTACGGAGTAGATATGGCGAGTTTGGTTGGTAACTACCCCGGGTTTCGAATGGTTTGTATGTACATTTTTGGCATGATGGTTGTATGGGATATTGTTTGAATGGGTATGCTTATGCTGTTTGAGAGATTAACTTGCAAGGAAGGAATATGGAATTATCCAGGAAGAATCTCCTTCGTCAAATGGGAGTACTATTTTGCTAGACGGTAGGATGTCTTTCCGATTGGACACTTCAAGTACGTTTCTTGCAAATGCCAACTCGGAGTTAGTTACACATCTCAACTGCCTATTCTGATAGCTATCAAATCAACCCTCCAGAAAAACTGCCATAACGAATCGACCAATTAATCAATTGCTTCTTCCATGCTTATCTAACGGTCGAGGTGAGAAACAATCGGATGTTTTAGGCGGACAATATACTCACGTGATCGCAGCCACCTGGATGCCGGCGACCACACCTTTTTGGTTATAGATCGGATACCATTTCCATTTCCGGCGAGACATCGCAGCATCAGGTTCCATCGAACGCCATTTCTGATCCAACTGCTCGAAGAACCGTATTGCTCGGGACTTGCCACTTTGTCATGGTCTTCCACCGCCTACACCACCATTGGCGTGTTGTCGCTCGCCGCCTGCAGGAATGTTAGAGCGGCAATGGCCGACTACGGTGAAGAGATTTGCGCTCATACTGCTCCCCCTCCATTGGACATGGGGAATTAGGCGTTCGTCCAGTTTTCGCCCGACGGCCGTCCTTCGGATCTCGCAAAGTCTAGCCAGCCGTCGAAGTGTCTGGATTTGGACCTTTGCTGGGTTCATCGAATGAGCTGGGGTAGGGTGAATACTAATAGCTGTGGATTATTCCAGCGTTGACGTGGAAGCCAGTCATTTCAAAGCAGTTGCAAAGGACCTGTTTTTCCAGCGAGGATTCAAACGGTTTCAAGGATGATCCTGGAGTCGAGAACCTCAGAAGGACATGTTCGCTACAGGGAAGTCACCCGGAGTGTATGGATGGAGGATAGGTCTCCTGCAGGAACGTGTTCATTCCCGCGGTTCAACTATCCGTCCCGTCGCATGGGTTGTAGTATTCATGACGGACGTTAGAGCCGAGTTGCAGCCATCTCGTAAACCGATGTCTTACTATGTTGGAAAGTAGAGATATGCGAATCCCGCAAGAGTATACTAATTACCGTTCACACGCGGAAGTCTAAGGCAAGAGCCCGGGATTGACAGACCTGGTAGAAAGCACATGCCTCAGGTCTGAGAGGTCATAAAAATTGTAATTGAGCGTCAACCAAGGTTGACAGCATTCGGATGTCGACTGTGGACGGTATCCGAAATCGCCCGTCGGCCGACTTGCCCTCCCACGGAGGCCAGAGGCAATACCGTTGATGATTCCGAGGGCTCTTACAAAGAACACTGGTGGCAGCGTTAGACCTGGAAAAGTCGTCCTGTGGTTCCAGTTGCAGGCTGAAGCCATGATACAACATGGTGGCAACGGAGACGATCGTCCATGGAGCTTTACGAGAGAGAAGAAGCAAAGAGGAAACGGCAGAGAGGGTCCAGAGGCAGCTGCGCCTCAGACACTCTGGATATGATTCCATATCCCCGTCAAAATGGCTAGAGGAAGTGTCTGGCTCGAGAGTATTCTAGGATCATGAAGAATGCAGCGGGGACACACGCAACACCGCAATGATCAGAAGGGCAAGCAATGTGATGATCGAAGCCGATGCGCTTGTTCATTCGATCTTATTGTACGCCGTTCCGCCAGGGCCACACCCTATGGCGATTAAAGACCGACCGGGCCATCGTCCACGCCCATCGAGAGGGGGCTCCCGTCCAGCCTGCTCCACGTCGCAGTGGGTATGCGAACGCGACTGACTCCAGACTGCAGAGGGATGCTTGAGTTTGCAAGAAGAGCAAAATCGCGCAGTGGACGCCTGCGAGAAGAATCTGAGGCGGGGAGATCTAGACCGGGTATGGTGGAGAGTGGCCGTTAGGGCTGGCGACCTGTGCTGGAGCGCCAAGCAGATGTTGAAGTTCGTGGCTTTTGCAGACCAGCAAATAATTGCTCTGGAGTCTGCAGATTCTTCACGGTTTGCACAGTTGCAGAGACTGACTTATCGATACGGGCTTGGTCAGTGCCAGATACACGTGGCGCGAAGGCGATTGTCGGCCTGTGAGTAACGATAGTAATTCCAGCCCAGGGACATTGGCCAGGGAGTGGTCTTGCTTCTCGGTACTGTTGCCGGGATCCAGGAAGCTGGGCAATAGAAAACTCTGAAGGAAGGGGGGATTCTTGCCGTCGAGATGATGAATATGGCCGGAGTTGGTATAGAGTAGTCCAGAGTGAGTCCACAGAAAGGGATCCGATACTCTATTTCGCATTGAGAATCTGGTTCAATCGCCTTGAGTGGAACTGTTCAACTGAACTGAACCGAACCAACATGATCCCCGGGAAGCGCCCGATGGAAACTCGCGGGCCTTAATTGCTCTAGCGCAGGCACAGGCGAGTCGTGCCTGGAGCCAACGCACGGTACCTTTGGCTGCGTGTCGGCGCTAATATTAGAGGGTTTCGACTTTCTACCAATTGCGCCACGTTCAGGATATCCACGGCACAATGAGGGCGTCTCCAGGACGGTGTGATATCCCAGGTGTTCATGATTCCAACATCGAGCACTGCGGGTGATCAGGGAGATAGAGTCGGTATAGAGGACACAGCCGAGCAGAGAAGACTTCCAGAGTTGATCCAGGGAATAATAATAATAATAATAATTACCATTAATAATGAACAAGGATGAAACGAAACAAAGCTCCTGGTTCGGGCCCCAATGGATGTGCTCCATCCAGCCCCAATATAATCCCATGGACCAGACACGCTTGTGCCTGTGCCACTTCCTCCACTCTCTGCGCCATCCCGTTCTTTTCTCCATCCTCTCTCTCTCTCTCTCTCTCTCTCGCGTTCCCTACTTAAGCGTCCGGATCCCACAGGAGCCTCTCTCCTTCTTTCTTGCTCCCCATCCAGACAGTCATTCCCTTGTCAATCCTTTGACCGTTTCTTCATTTCACTCCCTTTCGGGTGCACTGCTATCAGTCCTTTCCTGCTGTGCAGAACTTCAGTCCCTCAGTCCTGCTTGCATCTATCTCTATTGATTCTTGAGTCGCTTGGTTCGATTCGATCTCATTCCCTCACATCACCACTACGCATTGCACCTTTCTTTGAAGAAACCGTCAGCTCTTCTCTCTACCAAACACAATGGCTCCTGTCTCCAAGTCTCTCGCCCTTGCTGGCGCCCTCTTCTCTGTCCTCAGCACCGCTCTCCCTCTGAACAAGCGTGCCGTCGTTTGGGAGACCGTCACTGATGTCGTCTGGACCACCGTCGACACCACCATCACCATCGCCCCTGGACAGACCTTCAGCACCCCGACGCCCTCCGCTGGTGACTTCGTCGAGCTGACCGTCACTGCGGAGGCTTCTGCCACTTCCTCCGTGGCCGCCAGCTCCAGCTCCAGCTCTGCTGCTCCGGTCCAGACTGCTACTTCCAGCCAGGCTCCTGAGGAGTCCTCCTCTGTGGCCCCCGCTCCTTCGACCACTGCGGCTCCCTCGACTACTGCGGCCCCGGCCCCAGCTCCCACCACTTCTTCCGTCGAGACTCCCGCTCCTCAGCCCACTACCTCTTCGACTACCTCCTCCTCGACCACCTCCAGCGCTCCCGCTGCCTCCAGCAGCTCTAGCTCCAGCAGCGGCAGCAGCGGCTACAGTGGCCAGTGTGACGAGAGCTCGCCTTGCTCCGGTGACGGTACCTACTACGACACTGCCACCCTCGTTACCAACCCCAGCTCTTGCGGCACCACCAACGACGGCCTCACCGAGAACGTTCTGGCCCTCCCCGTTGGCCTGATGAGCGAGGAGTACTGTGGCAAGACCGTCACCGTCAGCTACAACGGCAAGACCGCTCAGGGTACCGTCGTCGACAAGTGCATGGGATGCGAGGGCGACTCCATCGACCTGTCCCGTCACTTCTTCTCCTCTCTGGCTGACCTCGCCGAGGGCCGTCTCACCGACGTCAAGTGGTACATCAACTAAGATCGACTCTGTGGACGGATCGGTCTGGTACCTAGCTCGTAGACATGAACCTGGACGGGCTGGGCCGGTATAGGACATTTTCATTCAACACTTTTACTCTTCGTCTTCTACTCGAAGTTCCCCAAGTTGGGACTTCGCGGCGATCACAGTCCGGGCTCGATGGCTCAGGACCGGGATCTTTTCTTTCCGTGTGAATAGACTTTCATTCGATTTTTTTGTCATCTATTAACAGAAACAAAAACGGAAGCATCTGGATTGATGCGACGAGAGACGTATACACGTCGTCTCGCAGTTTTCACTTTTTCGGGCTCTTCTTCGCTTCTTCTGTCATTCTTTTCTAGGACATGTTGAACATGGCCGGAACATAGAAAAAGTGCCCTGCAAGATCGGGACACAGGCGCAACGAAACGGGTTACCGGGAAATGGGATTCGGGAACTTTTCTCCCAGTGGAGAATGGACCCGAGGGCAATGTCAAATGTTCAAATATGTCTTAGGCTGTTCTAACGAAGCATACGAGAGAAAAATTGTATCTGATTTGACCAGAGTGCTTTTTCTAGTAGGCTATTCACGTCGATCGTCGTAACACCGGGCGTCAAGTTTTCTGTAGATATCCCGCCCTGCGCTTCTGGCAACGATAGTCAGGAACCGGGCCTGCCGATCGGCGGCAACTCGGAGGGGCTTTCGAACAGTGCGTCAGCCCTCTCAGGCTTTCATTCAGCCCAGCTAAACACCCCCTTAAAAGGCATATCATAAATGAGAAAATGACCGGTCTTAGCTAGGTACTTTCTATATTTACCCACACCCCTTTTTTTTCATCTGAATTCGATATATGTATACGTCACGTCATCTAACTAGGTTTCTTGTTCGCGAATAATGAGCCAGGAGTCGAAATAAAGATCTGTCACATTCCATTCTATGGATTAAAGTATAACGTTGTCTGCAGGTATATTGATAAGATAGAATAAATGCCAAGTGGAATATTGATAGGTTGACTAGCTGATCAACTCGTCTTGTCTTGTCTTGTCTTGTATAGCGATGCGCTCTCTATGGGTTTTGATTTTCTGTAGAGTATTACTGTACTTAATTACATCCTAGGTACTTGGAGAAGTGTATATCGTTAATAATAATAATAGTGTAATAACTAGTCACCTAGCTAGGATATAATCCTTCTTATTATTGTACATGTGTTGGATTTTCTCGAGGCTGAGGCGCAGGGCCGCGTAAGTAACAATAATTCCTGCTTGCTATAAGCCTAAGGTTAAGGGAGGCTAAGCTTCCCAGTCAGGAACCGCATCGCGCGCCGGTGTTTCGGGGAGAAAGTTTATTATACCGTACCATACGTTAACTATTCCAGGCGATAGGTAATTGGCTTTGGTTTTGTTTGATTTGATTTGCTATGTGTTATTTATCATATTAGAGGTGTGATTGGGTTTATAGTAGATAGTACTCTGGTTCAGATTCGATTTTTTTGGTATATCTGAAGAGTAAATGGGGTAATTTAGGTCGTTGTTTTGATGCGATATGTCGCTGGTTAAAGAAAGGACTACAGTACATACTGATAGGAGATGGGCATAATTATCTTGTAAGTCTAGAATAGTCCGTGTGATAATAGTTAGTTATTTACGCTGTATTTTCTCGAAACCGGCTGGCTGGCTAGCTGGCTATCCCCAAATCTTCATCCAATCTGACTTAAAACCTCGTTGTTTGCTGTCGCTCGTTCCTCTGGGCTGGACATTAACGTCCTTTGAAGTATAATATCTAGGATAGTCACGCTCTTATCTTACTATGTATCTTTACATATGCCGTCTTTCTGCCGCTGTACTCATATGCATGTACACCCCGCTTGAAATAATCCTCAAAGAGACCAACAAAACAAGTTGATTATTCTTTGACTCTCCTCTTTCTTCGAAAATAAAATACTCTCACCGTGCCTCCCACTTACTTAAGTTATCCCATCACTTAACAGTCCAATGGCATCCGCCTCGCCTGCTTAGAAGACGTATCATCTACCGTAGCAAGAGTCGCGTCAAATAGCGATCGCGAGACGAAGATATGCGCCTCAGTGGGTATGATTTCGTGACCTTTTTTTTTTCTTTTCCGAACCATACTGGCGCATCTCCATGAGAAGAAACGCCAGGTAGGTAGGAGAGGTAGTCGCATGCATAACTACCTAAGCTCCGCGCAGGGCTTACTGAACTTTTCGTAGAAACTTTTCTTCGATGGAGATGCTATCGAAGCTAGTCAGCTGGGATCCGTATCAAGAATGTTTTTTCAAGATGGAGATCTAACTAAAACTCGCTATTAGTATACATCTTCCAGTGCTTGTGAGCTTTACTAGTAACAATATGAGAGGTAGTTAGTTATATATGCAGAGATCAGCATAGAGTTCTACTCGATTATTAAACTCGTTTTACGATGAATACTTATACGTCAACAGCAAGGATAAGCTAAGCAATAATAATAGAGCATGTTATGCTAGCGATGTGACCAGTTCCTATTCCGTGGGATGGTGGGAAAGTTGAAAGATAATAGACATCAGTTCGTTTATGTTGCTGTATCTGTTCATATAGTGAGATATGAGCTGTGAGATTGCAGCAGCATATAGAGTGTAATCAGATGCATTTTTGGTCAGGTCTGTTTTTCCAAACACAAGTACGACCACATAATCTGAAAGAGGTAGTTGCTTGGATGATTTCCTCAAAGATCTCGAATTGATGCAGGGTGTAACGGATCGTAAGTGTATCTAGCTACTAAAAGAGTTTAGTAATCCTAGAGGATCGCTCAATATTTTAACTTCTGACATGTATCCCGTTGGGGATCACCTCTTTCGGGATATCGAACGAATTCAAATGTCAAGTGGGCCTATGCATAGAAAAGCCCAACATCATTAGGCGTTAGCCATGAGAGAGATATTTCGACGTGAGTCTTCTTTTTCACTGCTGGTCAGGTAAGTATACCATTTCACCAGACATGCAGCCCGTCTACCGTACTGCATTTGATGCGGTGAACAAGTAGCCGGAACTCAGCGGTGAACACAATCAATCTCCTCTCGCGTCAGTGGCTGAAGTCAATCATCTATTGCCACGAAAATCAGCATCGGCTCGACATGGATCTTTAATAATATGGCTTAGTAGAGAGATGAGAGATAAGAAGTGAAAAGTTTTTAAAGAAAAATTTTCCTTCCACATTCTGTTTCCAACGTTGCAGTGCGCAGTGTGCAGCTGTCCTGATCCCTGTACGCCTCGGGGCGTCAAATTTGTCAATGAGCCACTCGTGCTTACTTTCCCTTCGCGGTAACTACACGAGCAGTTGCGTAATATTGGCTGTCAAAAGTCTCCATTATTATTATTATTGTCGAACGGTCGACGCTAATTGATCAATTAATCGCTGGAAGAGGGATGGCAGCCACGTGAGATTTGCTCCAACTTGCTCCAACTTACTCCAACTCGGTATACGACCGACGGGTTGAAGTTTATTCTTCGAGATCATCTCCGCAACCAGGAGGTTCCTGTTGAGCGTAGCGAGGGGGAATGCCACGCGGACCACTCCTATGTGGGGGATGACAGCTCGTCGAACGCAATTCTGACGATGAACGATTATCTTGCAACGAGACGATCTGGTATTACCGGTCCACGCACTGGTGAAGCTCTTTCAAGATTTTTAGAGTATCCCTGCGGTAGACATGCCCGCCGTGCCTGTCATGTTCAAAACGCTTCTTCGCTGACGGGTTGCTTCGAATGGACAATGCGTGATGTGTCCCTTCTCCAGCCAGTCGCGGGGTGTTCGGATACGCGGCCATCTGGGGGATACAACCCTCCTCTCTCTCACTGGCCAAGAGGATACTGATCCCGAAAGCACTGCCGTGTTCCCTGGTTGCGAGTCGAACAAACTTCGCCATCTCGCGTGCTGCTAACGTTGCGGCGCTTGTTTCTCCACCGGTAGAAATTTTTTGCACGTTCAGGGCAGAGTCCGTGCGAGCAAAGGAGGAAAAGAGCGAGAGGCAAAACCAGAGGTTCGTTCATCGAGAACCAGCATGCTGGGTGGTCAGGAACACCAACAAGAGTATCACTGATGATCTATCCGACGGGAGGAATAGATACATCACTTCTGTAACGAAACCGGTTTTTTTTGGCTGGGAAGAACAATCCTATCCTACTCTAGAATACTGTGCTTTACTCGACGAGTATATACCATAGAGAAGCGCCGGTAACGGGCCCAACACGGGCGCCATCCGCGGTTCTCCGTCACATCGACAGTCCCCGACAGCCATTCTGCATTCGTACAAATAAGACACCGACGAGAAATCAGTTACTACTACTACTATCAAATTCTCTCTTGACAAACTCAGATATCGGCCGTGCGGGACCCGACCAACTGGAGAGTCGTCGCTAACCCGCCCTGGACAACGGACGACCCACGCACCACACTGCTTAGGCATGGGGTACTCTACAAGACATTCCGATCTGATATTATTATTATTATGGATTCCGTCGTCGCCTTCTGCTGACCAGAACTCTGCCTCGAGGGTTTCTTGCTCCTCTTGCACCGGGTTCCAGGCAGACGACCGTCAATATCGTTGCACTGCCTGTTCTTTTCTCTGCCCTGTGTTGCACTGACATCTCAAGCTTCGATAGAATCTGATTGATCTCACGCGACCTCGGCCATTCTTCGCCTCGGATTCCTTCGCGCGGAGACCATGGAGACTTTGTTGTTCCGATCTGATAGCAAAATAGATCTATGGCGGATGAGAACAAAGTAGTCCTGGTTTTCAGTCGAGCAGCTCGCGCTGGGGGTTTACCCCGCGGGCACTGTGTCTCTGTCGATCAAACATGCAGAGCCGCAGAGCCGCCGTTCTGGTGGTGTCGATTATACTCTTTGCCATTGCTACGGTCATTGTTGTATTGCGCTTCATATCAAGGATCGCTATTGTCAAGAAGGTCCTGTTGCATGATTACTTGATGCTGCTAGCATGGGTAAGTGCAGAGCTTCCGTACAACCGCTCCGCGTTTGCGACTGACTCGTGGAAAGGTGCTCGACCTTGGTTTTTCGGTCTCCCTCTTCGTCGCGACCTCGAAAGGGTTAGGTCTTCACGAGAAAGATGTCAACCCGGCTGATCAGCCCGTTCTTAACCGGGCGGAATACACCTTCACGGTGCTCTATGTAAGTAATGCAACCAGAAGCGACCACAGAATCCCACACTGGCGTATACTGAACGAACGCTCTTTCCTTTTAGAACCCGGTATTAATGGCGATGAAAACATCAATCCTCGTCTTCTACCTCACCCTGACTAGAACAGACAAATTCTTTCGGTGGGCCAATTATGTGACCCTGGGTGTGGTGAACATCGCGGGCTTTGCGTTGACGTTTGTCAACCTCTTTCAGTGCCGTCCGGTGGGCGCAGCTTTCACCTATCCAGTACCAGCTCATGCGACATGTACGGACATCGTCACTCTGTACCTCTCGTCTGCTCCCGTCAATATCATCACGGACCTCCTGATCCTCGTTCTCCCCATGCCTATATTGACGAGGATGCGCCTCCCACAGAAACAGAAGATCATTTTGGTGCTCACCTTCAGTTTCGGCTTCTTCGTCGCAGTCGTGGATGTGATTCGAATCGCTTATCTGCAGAACGCCTCGACATCCCGCTTCTTGGCGTATAAAGCGTACGACACTTCCTATAACAATTCTGTGGAGTATTCCGACTTCACCTGGTACGCTTCTCTGGCGTTTATGTGGTCTGCTATCGAAGTCAACGTTGGTATGATATGCGCCTGCGTCCCGAGTCTTAAGCCCCTCGTATCTCGGATATTTCCCAGAATGCTTCGCGACACCGACGAAGTTACCTATGATGGTTCGGTCGAGCCTCCCAGACCATCCGCGGACATGGCTGCCACGACCCCTTCTCCTCCGGGCCCAAGAGCTATGGCACCTGGTTTGCGTAACTCCGGTTCCGGCGTCACTGGCAGTGGAAGTGGGAGCAGAACTGGAACGGGATGGAGCGGCGACGATACGATCAGGAACAGCTCCGCAGGGCAGAGTACATTTATGGAATTTCTGCTGTCTTCACAGCGAAGGGAAAATGTTGAAGAAGCAGACACGACGAATGCCGGTGGCACCGTGCAGCGGCACATTCATTTCTTCGATTTCGTCAATGTGAATCAACCGAAGAGCATGCTGAAGATGACCAATAAAGAGTCCATACTTCCCATCGCATCGACCACGATCCTTTTTTTCCTATTGGGTTTCGCGTACGGCCTATTGGATATCTTGAACGACCAGTTCCAGAAGGTCATCGAGTTGGACTCATGGAGCTCACAGGGCATGCATGGCGCCTACTACGGCGGTTATTTGGTCGGTCCGTTCCTCGTCGGTTATCCGGTTCTTACGAAATGGGGCTTCAAGCCAACCTTCATGACGGGCTTGTTCATCTACGCCTGCGGGAGTCTGATCTTCTGGCCTTCTGCTGTCCTGACCTCGTTTTCGGCCTACATAGTATCCAACTTCGTCGTGGGTTGTGGACTTGCCGTTCTGGAGACCGCAGCGAATCCGTTCATCTCGCTCTGTGGGCCACAGGAGAACTCCGAAATCCGATTGAACATATCCCAAGGTGTTCAGGCTATTGGCAGCGTGGTTTCTCCGCTGCTTGCCAAGAAGGTGCTCTTCAAGCAGGTTAAGGATGCGCCAAGCTTTGTGGATGTTCAGTGGACCTACTTGGCCATTGCCCTCTTTGATATGCTCCTGGCAGTGGTCTTTTACTATATGCCTATCCCGGAAGCATCCGACGAGGACCTGAAAGAACTAGCTTATCAGCGCCACGATGATAACTCTGCCAAGGTTGGGCCGATTCCTGTCGTTTGGCTCACCTTCGGACTGGGTGTGTTCTCGATGTTCTGCTATGTCGGTGGCCAGGAGACAGTCTCTACCAACCTCGAACCTCTTGTGGATTACTTGAAACCCAAATCTTCCAGTCTCAGTTCTTTTGAATATCTCACAATCGGTCATACAGTGTTCGCAGTCGGGCGCTTCCTGACAGCATTTGCTCAGTGGATCCTCAAACCTCGCTGGATCCTTCTTGTCGCATATATCGGCATGATCGTATTTTCGATTCTCTGCATGAACGTTTCAGGTTATGCAGGCATTGCCATGGCATTGATGGTGTATGTTTTCGAAAGCGGCGTCTTCAGCATCATCTTTGCAATCTCTCTGCGCGGCACCGCTCAATACACCAAGACCGCAGCAGTCATAATGACCGCTGCCATCAGCGGTGGAAGCGTCTTCCCTTTCCCACAATACGCCGCTTCTAGGGCGCGCGGTGTCCAATACTCGTTCTGTGTCACCGTCGCTGTTTTCTGTGCGGGCGCGATCTTCCCATTGTACCTGAATCTGGTCCCAGCAGCCCGCAAGCAAGTCGATCCGGTGCCTAACGAATACTTGCGTCGACATCATCCGCTACGACATCTTCAAAAACAAGACATCGTCGGTGAAAAGGACGACTCCCCTCGCGGTGGAGTAGCATCCCGACGAGGCAGCGGCAACTCGAATCTATTTGCCGATTGTCAAAGACCAGCAGCCAGCCATCGACGCGATTACACGAGCATGACCGGCTCTACCAGCACTGGTGGCATCATGCACGAACTCGCACCATGGCCAAACACATAAAATCCCTCAAACATCCTTCTACATTTCTCATTTTCCCTATCTCTTCCTTGCACTTTTTTCTCTTTTCTTATCCATTGATACCCCCTATCTCGTTAGATGTCCCACACCTGACATTAAACTCTCTTATCCACAGCAGAAAACTGCATCTGCGCTTTCAGATACCAACGGTCTATCTATCCCATTTATCTTCTCATACTACCTTTTAATCTATCAGATCCTTTTTGTGACTTTTATAATGTAGATACTCTTCTTTCTTCCTTTCTTTCTTCCTTTCTTTCTTCCTTTCTTTCTTCCTTTCTTTCTTCCTTTCTTTCTTCCTTTCTTTCTTCCTTTCTTTCTTCCTTTCTTTCTTCTTTTCTTTTCTTTTTTTGTGACGATACACTTCATTTTTTCCACACCCATACATACTTTAGTTATAATATGTGTAGTTATGTTTTTTTTTCCTTTCAAGCGACGGCGTTACCATTAGACAACAATTTTCGCATCCTATCCACTTGCATTGGGAGAAAAGCTTTTTTTCTAATTTTTTTTTATTTTGGGTCCTTCTCCAAATTAAAAGTTACGTGACATGCGGGGGGGAACTAGAAGACAAGTTTTTTTTTTTTGTTTTTCTCTTTTTTAGAATCATTTTTAGTCAAGGGACTTACTTCTCTTTACATTCTATCAAGTATATAGAGTACATACATGGTTATCATATTCTTATTCGCTGTTTTATAGAATAGATGCTTCGCATAATATATCGGTGCAATACATATCTATGTCCTGTCTTGCTATATAACTTGTAAGCGTTAACTACCGTGAGTAATTAGTTAAGTGTTGTTGTTGTTGGGATTCCTGGGGCGGGATACCACATGACTTGCACGAAGGCTGCGTTGTCGCTGGATATGGCTGAGACGTCGGAATGGATCTACAACCACTTAATATCATTACTATCGGTCTTCACGTTCTACCAGGAAAAAAAAAAGATCGAGTTTATGATCGTAATCATCTATATTCATTTTTCATTCCGTAGCTAACCGAAAGGCCAAAATATATCGCTAGAAGTACCAATGCCAAAACACACGGCTCCACGCCAACAGGAGGTATATATAGTCCATGAAAGAGATATGTCTATATCTCTATATTGAGAAAGAAGAGAAAAAAAAAAATATGTATCAAGTCAAGAAGGGAAGAGAGGGATCAGCAAACCAGTGCTGTTCGGATGGCCCTCACCACCAGTCACCGTGGTCGTGCATGGCGGCAGCGACCTTCTTGAAACCAGCAATGTTGCTACCGGCAACGAGGGAGGGGAGGACACCCTCGGCAGGGGTGACGTACTCCTTGGCGGTGTTGAGACCGTTGTAGAAGCAGTCCTCCATGATGGACTTGAGCTTGTTGTCGACCTCCTCCTCGGTCCAGCTGAGGCGGGCGGAGTTCTGGGCCATCTCGAGACCGGAGACGGCGACACCACCGGCGTTGGCGGCCTTACCGGGGGCGTACCAGATGGCATCGGCACCCTTGTTAGCCTCACGGTGAGCCTCGAAGACGTCGATGGCCTCCTGGGTGGAACCCATGTTGGAACCCTCGGCGATGAACTTGGCACCAGCGGCGATCAGGGCCTTGGCCTCCTCGCCAGAGACCTCGTTCTGGGTGGCACAGGGGAGGGCGACGTCGACCTTGCCGACGTGGACCCAGGGGCGGGCACCCTCGAGGTACTTGAACTTGGCCTTGAAGGCGTCAGTGGTGGCCAGCTCGGTGAGCTGCTTGCGGTCAACCTTGACCTGGGCGACCTGGGCGATCTCCTCGGGAGTGAAGCCAGCCTCACCCGTGGCGACCAGAGCGCCCTTGGAGTCAGACAGGGAGAGGACGGTACCGCCGAGCTCGATGACCTTGAGGGCAGCGTACTGGGCGACGTTGCCAGAGCCAGAGATGGCGACACGCTTGCCCTTGAAGGACTCCTTGCCGCCAGAGACGTACTGGATCATGTGCTGGACGTAGTAGACCAGACCGTAACCGGTGGCCTCGGGACGGATGAGAGAACCACCCCAGCTGCCACCCTTACCGGTGAGGACACCCTCCCACTGGTTGCGGATCTTCTTGTACTGGCCGAACATGTAACCGACCTCACGGCCGGTGACACCGATATCACCGGCGGGCACGTCAGTGTCGGCACCGATGTGCTTGCACAGCTCGGTCATGAAGGAGACACAGAAGCGGCGGATCTCGTTGTCGGACTTGCCCTTGGGGTCGAAGTCGGAACCACCCTTACCACCACCCATGCTGAGGCCGGTCAGGGCATTCTTGAAGATCTGCTCGAAACCGAGGAACTTGAGGATGGACAGGTTGACTGTAAGAGCGGGGGAGTTAGCCGGGAGAGCGGGAGCGCGGAATTGTGACAGAAAAAAAACTTACCAGAGGGGTGGAAACGGAGACCACCCTTGTAGGGACCCAGGGCAGAGTTGAACTGGACACGGAAACCGCGGTTGACCTGGAGCTGACCCTTGTCGTCCTCCCAGACGACACGGAACTGGACGACACGCTCGGGGATGGAGACGACCTTGAGGGCCTGGCGGTACTCCGGGTTCTTCTGGAAGAGGGTAGAGTTCTCGAGGGTCGAGGCGAGCTCTATACGGGGAGATTGTCAGCGTCTGGCTCGTCATTGCATCTCTGTTCACTTCTTCATCGTGGGGGAGAGTGGGGGGTGGCTCTGGGGGAGGGGGGGTAAATGTGATTGAAAAAAAGAGACGAAAAGAACAGGATAACCACATACCGTTGTAGGCCTGCTCGAATTCGGGCTCGTGAGGAAGGTTCGACATTTTGACGATTGAAGAAAAGTCTTTTTTTAAAATTGAAGGGGGAAAAAAGAGCTCAATGGAGAGGTATGTATAAAAAAGTCAAGGACGATCACGAGGGAGAATACCAACGTATATTCTTTCCAGACAAGACAAGACAGAACAGACCAGAGACTCGACCACGACAGAAAGAAGCAATCCGAGATGAAGAAGAAAGAGAAGAAAAGAAGGGAAAAAAGGAGGGGGCGTCTGGCGGGGAAAGAAGGGATTTTATGGGCGGGCAGAGGGGGTTTCCGTCGACGAAAAGAATAAGGTAAAGCAATGCTCGGGTCGTCCGCCGGCTGCTCACCGCCCGCCCATCCCGAGCGTCTGGCTGGCTGGCTGGCTGGCCAGTTCTGCCCCGACATCGCCCGTTGGCCGGGCTCGCCACCGGAGCCGGAAAGGCCAGATCGGGCAGGTTTCTCCGTCCGACGTCGGACGGCGCGACTCATGGCCTTCTGTCACTGTTTGCGGTCTTCCCACTCGCTCGGGCTGCTTCTTATCTGGCCACCCCAGAAGCTGCCGAAATCGCACGGAGAATGCCCCCTCCTCCCCGCATTCAATGAAGGAAATTTGGTCTCGTGTCCGGGGAGGGCACGTGCGTCTCCGGTTTAGCGTCCAGCCTTACGGGATTCAATTTTGTATTATCCAACTGATAACTGGTTCACTTGCAGCACACACTTTGCTCTCGAAACTTGAACAGTGAATATCTGGATTCGATACTATTAATGTAACTCAACACGAAGAAGACGTCGAAAATAGGGCACAGATGAATTTATACCCAACAAGGATCAACGACTGTTGATATGGTAGTTTCTATGGAAATACGCTCGCAAGCATCTTTGAAAAGGTATAAGGAATTCTGTTCTGCTGGCTTGAAACAAATAATACAATGACTTGTCAGCGCTCACGGCTTCAATGGAGGCGAGCTGCAAAACGCCACTACTATTCTATGTACAGGTGGTGGCAGTGCTCCAGGCAGCAGTCGTTCAGGATGACGTCCATGGGCATAAATAGTCAATAAATTTCATCCCCTCTAGCTCTTTAAGCAATCAAGCTCTCAGTCCCGTATCAGATGCTATTTCAACATCCTTCCTTCCGTGGTCTTCGATCCTGACATAAATTGACGGTGAGATATGAGATGAGATTAGGCTGAGTCTATTGTTGGCACGGCGTGAACGACGGAAAAAGTAATGTACGTCTCTATTATTTGTTCCCTATTCTACTCGATACATTCTGCCGTGTGACAGAGAGTGTGGTTCCCGTGTCCCAGCACAAATACAAGGTCTTGATAACATTGTTCATGGCGCGTCGACCGGGTCCCAATCTGTATTTGTTAGTTAGTATGTACGCACCTTGCAGACAAAACAGGACGACCGAATACTTACCCGTCACAAGGTATTCATCCAACCCATCCAGGGTCTTCATGTCAGCCTCGTCAATCTCAAATCCGCCCACATCCGCGTTCGAAATGATCCGCTCCTTCGACGTGCTCTTCGGCAGCGGCACGTATCCATGCTGCAGACTCCATCGCACCAGCAGCTGGGCCCAAGTGCATCCATACTTCTTCGACAGCGCGACAACGGTCGGGTGACTCTTGCGATACGCACGTGCCAGTGGCGCATACGCTTCCACCACGATGTTGTTCTCTTGACAGAATGAAGTGATATCGGTGCGAGTATTGAACGGATGCACCTCAATCTGGTTGACCGCAGGACGGATGCGAGGGCTCGATCCAAGCAGCTCCTTCAGATGTCGGACACCAAAGTTGCTGACCCCTCCCGTGCGGATTTCATTATCCAGAATGGCATCCTCAATAGCGCGCCAGGCCTCAAGTCGCTGAGCCTTTCCGCCATAGGGACTGTGGATGAGGAAGAGATCAATGTAGTCCAGCCCTGAAACACTCAAAGACTTCTTGATCGACCGACGGGTGGCGTCGTAGCCATTGTTGGAAGCCAGCTTCGTTGTGAAGAAGATATCCTCCCGCGTCAGTCCATTGGGCTTGTTCTTCTCTTTCTCGAGGAAGGACAGGATGGCACGGCCGACCTCCCTCTCATTGTGGTACATCTGAGCACTATCGACCCTGTTTCATCATTCCAGCATTGAAGCCTCAGAGTCAGCTTGTTTGATCCGACAAGAGGATCCGATCTGGTCTAGCGAGACTGGACACACCCTCGATATCCGGCCTACGCAATGGAACCGTCAGCTGGTCTGGTCCACAGTGGTGAAACATTGACTATCCAGATGACCAGCAACTCACCTCTAGGGCCCATTTGACTGCATTCTCGGTCTCCTTCCCAGAGGTCATGTAGACTCCTAGCTGGATCTGCGGCATGAACGCGCCATTGGGAAGCTATACGAAACAGGCAATCGCAGACGGTGTCAGCAACCATGAACCGATGGATCAATTGACCCTCAAGAATGAGAAAGTGCTAGAATTAGGGATGGAGATCCAGTTCTGACCTTGATCTTCGTCGACAGGGAAAATACGTTCTTGGGAGACGCCATGCTGACCAATCGGACTGGAAGCGCAGGATCCGAGGCTGAAGATAGCACCGAGATTCTTCGTATCCCGATGATCAACAATGAATGAACAGAAACTTTACGCGAAAGCTCAGAGCTCGGTGTATCTCGTTGACGACGGTAGGTAGTTGCTGGTGTTCAAGTCTGCCGGATTCCTGGGCTACGGGATCTATGACGCATGGTCACGGGCCGAAAGAGGAGGGGAACAAGAGTGGGGCGTTCAAGCCACAGTTCTGGGCCCGACACGGGAGGCTACAGTAATCGTACTCCCAAGTTACTATGAGAACTGCCAGAATGATCGATTTCCATCAGCATTACTCACCAGGACTTGACTGATCACAATGGATGATATTGCGGTGTCGCAATTTTGAGACTAAATAGTTCTGTCGATCAACTACATGATTCTCCCCATTCTTCTGGTGTCTGAGTGTCTGTGGACCTGTCTGTTCCCAGTGCAGCAAAAGCCTCATCAAGGTCTCGGGGTCCGGCGGAAGCTGTGGCTAGAGCAACACCAGTGGCTGATGATGATGGCTGCAGGTCCAAATACTTACTAGTAAGCTATGGCGGTGCCAACCTGCATGGGCCAAAATTCCAGGATGCGGATCGGATCGACTAGCCACAGTGGCTTCATAGTAAGCTAGAGGATTCTAACTAATGTGTGGCTGTAACTAGTTCTGCATCGCTATGTGGCTGGTGCGATCTTCTTCTGTTTCGCACAGGGCACTATCGATATTCTCCCAGTCGGTGTCTCCGCCGCACCCTCTTGAGATGAGACAAACCAGAGTAAGCTGCTTACGTGCCCTATACTGCATTGTGAAGTAAGTCTTTGCATTTGGCCCCTTACATGCCTTTTGTGGCAGCAATATCTTTTTCCCTGTTGTGGCACATTCAGTGAACGTGGTCTGCATCTGGCTAGGTAAAGTTCCAAGCTACAGCTGAAAACTTTGACGGCTCGAGTATTCAAGCCACAGCTGCACGGATGATCGATGGGACTAGTACTGCAGATGCGGCTACAGCATCGTGGTGAGCCGCCAAAGGTGCATCATGTTGTCGATAGCTGTGGAGAATTAGGGCCACACAGGTCTGGCGTTCTATTTTGCTTCAGGAATCAGTACTGAGCATACTCAATTAATAATTTAGACTAAGGTTCGGCTATCGCTCTGCATGAAACTAGTTGAGTTTAAAAAAAAAAACTCTTGATTGCTGGCTTGCGATATCGTTTCCAAAACGGGTAAATAGTGGTCGACTCGGGTCCTGGGAGCAAAACACAGACCATGACCATCGACAAAACATGCAAGCAGCAGTTTAGTCATGGGGCTTCTTTTTGTTTTTGTCTCTTCTTTTTTCTCTTGCAGGGGTTCGGTGATGGCGACAGCTGACTGATAGGTCCCCTACATTGTGTAACTAACTTACTTGCCAGTATACCGCTCAACGCCCGCGGGATAAGCTGGAGAAGGATCGAGTAGTAATAAATAGCATTCCTTACTTGAAAGATCGAGATGCAGAAAGAAATTTTGAGTGGCAAGCCGCTTAACCCCTGAGGATGCTCAGATTAGCGCTCACACCAGAAAAAAAAAGATAAAAATTCTACAGCAGCTGAAACCGAACTGTGGCGAGTGCCGCCAACGCGATGCGGTTCCTGGACATGCGATGCGGCCTTTTGCGTCCGCTGTCAAAGCAAGTCGTAGGTATGCGGAGGATGCACGGAGTTAGTTTCCGCAGAATAAACTGCCCTATCTGGAATAGCATCTCAACCACATAAAGTGTTCTTTGTGAAATGATTTCCATTATTTTTATTATCATACTCATTGTAGATTACCGGTTCGGTGGAGAACACTAGGCCACAGGGGAAAAAAAAAATTAAAAATTAAAAAGCTCAGGATGCGTTTCCCGTAATGGGAGAAACCGATTGGCCAATGTAGCCAGTACATCTAACTTAGAGTCCTAGACCAACTCGAGAGAGCCAAAAAAAAATAAAAATAATGTTGGATCCCCCTTGGTGGACTTCATGGGATAGACCGGGTGAGAGATGAGCGGGACTGCTTGTCCCGCTCAACGGACGGCACGACTCTTACCTGGTCGAGTAAAGAGTCCACCGTCCAGATCTGCCCGGGCTTCTCCAGCAAGCGTGGAGATCTGGCGAACTGACTCCTCTCCCATGCTCCGCCTCTGGGGATCCTCGTGTTGGACCAATCTATTCAATCTGGTTCAATCTGGCCCCATACCTGTCTTCCCGGCGATTCTGCGGCAGGAAAAACATGGCGGATCTGCTGGTCGTCTCCCCTGTACATGCCAGACAAGACGTTCGCGGACGTCAGCCCTTGACCCAACTGCCGTCAAAGTGTCACGGCCCCGACCGTTTGCTGGCAGCTGAAGCGCACCATTGAACCCTGTAGATCCCACAGCAACCAGGGACACAGTTCTCGCGAACACACAGACATGCTACAGTACTATCTATCTACTACCTACGGGTGGCATTCGCTTTCGGTCTGCTTGGCCCTCAGCGGGCGGGCGATCCATTCGTGGGTGTCATTGAACTAGCCCGCTAGGGACATTATTGAGGCTGTCACTGCTTCTCAAGATCAATGCTTTCCAAGAAACGGCGGGTCGCCAATTAATTGTCTCTTACTCACGGCCGGTGGGCTGCAGAATTCCTCAGTAACGCCGGGTCGTCCATGAAGAGCGGTCTCGGTCCGTCGTTTCGTTCCACGCCGGAAGGGCCATGCAAACGCCGTCGCTCAGAGTCCGAATTCGTCCTTGCTGTCCCCCTATGGTGCAGGTCATACTTACTACTACTATGACTATCTACTACTACGACTAGTGGAAAGGGCCCGTCTGTGGACGCTGCGAGTTGGGAATCGCAAGGACGATGATCATCATGGATCTCTGCCCGGCGTGAAGCAGGGGTCATTTGCAGCCCACTGCGGATTGCCATCTGCCCTCCAGATCGATCCGGTCAGAAAGAAAAAAGATCGTCCCCGAACAAGCAGAAGGGTACCGGCGCTGTGGGAATGGCGAAACCTCTAGCTTGGCGAATCCGCGGCCGGAATCCTATCCCCATTCCCCTAGCCCTGTGCAAGCCACAGCTGCACGGATGATATCGATCTGGCGATGAAGGCCCGATCGTCCCAGGGTCCACTCGGTCGAAGGACTGGGCGATGGGGAAGACCAGCATCATCTTTGCCATCGTTGCTTCTTTCCCCATCAGCCTGTCTGATTCGCAGCAGCGCCAGATCTACTCTAGAGTGGCCTCTCTACACTAGTTTGTAAAGCTAGCTGACCCGGATGGCATGCACTGCAGTTCGCTTCTATTCAGCTCCGCAGAGCCTGCTCCTCCTTGTTAAAAACCATCTGGGATGCGATGCGATGTCCGGGCTTCATAAGTTCTATTGTTTCCCCCATCGAACTCCCTTCTTGGTCCCTCATCATCTTTCCTTCCTGGCCCTCATGCGACGTCTCCTTCTTAACGTGGACCGTCGCCCCTTTCCGATTCGGACGGCTTCCGGTAGCAGATATCCATGAATGATCCCCGCCCCAACAGACAGTCGAATTTCTCAGTTAGAAATATTTTGCGCCCATCTTCTTCTACTCGGTCTTCGACCCTGTCTCGACGGGATAGGCTCTCTCTCCTGATCCGTCGCGGTAGAGCCTACTTTTCGCGCAAGTAACTGGCTCCTGCCCTCCTACTTTGGTTTTGCTGCTATATACATACAACAACCCTACCCTCCTGTCCTTCGTCTCCACCTGCCAGTCGTACGGGCGGAATCGCTGAGATCTGTATCCAGCAGACGTCCCGCAGAGCGGCCGCAATATCCCTCCAACCCCCTAATGAGTGCCCCTCCGCCATTCGACCCCGCGACGATGGTCGGGCTGTCGGAAGCATCTCAAGGAATGGATGATGCCAATTTCGATATCTTCGAATGGTACCCTCGCTATCAGAGTTGCCAGCGATACTTCCTGGATCATGCACAGCACAGCGTTCCGGTGCAGGCCCTCTCGGCGTTCTTGAACATTCAATTACCTCTCCAGAGACAGCCGAATCCAGTCTTCAACTCTTCCACCACAGCATCGGCATCTGCTGCTTCTCCTCTGCCTCCCTCCGTTTCACTGATTCCTTACCTTCGACGCCTGGTAGCGACCGGGATGGATTTTCCTGGCATTCTACATGGGTTCTTTGGTGATGACTGGGCCGCGGGCATCGGTCCCCTTCACGAGCAAGAACGTCGCAATTATCTTTTTGCGGCAAAGAGTGGTGGATGGGCTGCTGTCAAAAAGGATTATGATATACCTCCTCTGGAGACCGTCCCCTTCCTACGCCCACTACAGGGACCCGCAGATGCTGAAATCGAGGCGGCAGAGAGGAGCTGGAGCGAATGGCTTGCCATGGAGGATTGGATGGTAGGACCGCGGGCGCCTGATGTCCTCCGCGATTCATCTTCGCAGATTTCTCGATCACGAGGTTCAAGAGCATGAAACGTGAATCTCGAGCTTTCCATCTCCTTGACCACGGACAACAATTACAGAGCGGTCCGGCGTTTGGTGCGTTCAAAACGCCATGTTTGCTACGAGACAACGAGTATCTGGAATTCATCAACGGCGCTGTGAATGAGATATCATGCATTTCTTATTTCTATTTTTATTTATTTTTTACACCTTGTGTGGCAGCATTGGCGGCCATGAAAATGATCCAGAATCCACGGCGCTGGAACTCCTTACTTGTCCATGGGGCATTTTCTTGGAGCAGTTGAGAGACTATAACATTCATGAGTTTTCATTACATATCATGATTTCCACTTTCCTTGGTATCCACAAAGGCATTTGAGGTTACCGGAACTGTTTCTTTGTCCTTCTATTATTATGATGTCTCCATACCATGGTCCCCATTCTCTCCCCGAATGACATCCACGTGTGCGCTTTTTTTTTCTTTGGTGTCTCGATATAGACATTATTTACTACGATCTGAATCGTAATTTATTAATCCACTATACCCCTTAATGCTTCTCTCTGGCAGTACGCAGCCGAGCATGTGCGAATGCACTCAGGCTGCTCTGGCTTTGTGCCATCGTGGCGGGGAAATCCCAATCTGGCCCCAAAACTGACAAATCAGTCAGGATAACATGTACCGTTTGTCGAGTTACGGGCGTCTCCACTGCTTGTTCTCGTGTGAAGTTTTAAACAGATGAGACCCCGCTCAACGACGGCCCCCTGAACAGGTGGACAGGGCTTTCGGCGAATCTAAGGGCAAAACTGTCCTGCACCTTACGTGAGTGGTAACACCGGCCTCCTACGGAAGCGGCTCAGAGACGCTGATGAAGTGATCAAGAGAGCAACGCCTCTGATTATGAGGAGAAATATACCTTACACTTTGTTCCGTGTATGCTGCAAACATAGTTCCAGTATCCCGCGCACATTTCACACGCGAAGATCAACCTAAGTGTTCCTTTCGAGCCCGAAGATCATTGCAAGCTTGATGCGTATGCACCGTTGAGAAATTATTACCTGGCTTGGCTGGCTCTGTAAATGGGGGCCACTGTCCAGGCCGTTAGTGAGATGGAGCAACGGTTAAAATCTCCGCCGTCGTGGGCCGGTCCCTGCTAACAAACGGTGTCAATCTGCCAGCAGGCCGTTGAGTGACCATTCCGCCATATGATTCGACCGTTTACATAAGAAGGATGGCACTCACGGCGGATTATACAATAGAAGAACCGCCAAAAGAAGGTGGACTGCCCGTCTTACACCGTCGTCGAGTAGAATAACCTCAAGGTAGGCGCATAAGGTTCAACCGGCTTTGGACTTTTGCAGGTTCTAACCCCCAACTGGTGCCAGTCGCTTTCATTTTTGTACCGGTGGGGAAGAACGACAGCCACCCTAACGGGCACGTCGTTTCATGCTGTAGATTTTGCTCCAATGGAGCCTTACGCGTCACAGATAGTGGAGAAAAGATGGCATGAGGACCTCAGCGAAGTAGCGACTCAGGAGGCATGTGCCTCTACCGGTTCAGGTGTCAGGTGTCAAGTGTCGAAGTGTATCCGTTATCGATTTTGTGACTGCCCCTCTTTCTCTCCCGCTTTCCAAACTTCGGGCTCTGCAGCCCGTCTCATGGATAACATATGAGAGCGGTAGGCTCTGATCTGTTACAGGGAGTCGACAGTTGGCTGCTGTGCCTTTCGGCCTGAATCTTGCTAGTCCGTATCGTCTGACAGATGGGCGCGTCACCACGAATATCAAACGTCCTTTATATGCTATGTTCTCTCCAGGACGACAAAGAGGGAACATGGGCAAATTTCGGACGGCTGGAATTGGGCCAGATTGGATCCCCTTTTCGTTACTAGCCAGCAGAGTGGCAAGAGAGAGTAGAGGAGTGGATCTTGGGCCACTTGGCGGTCTTCAGCTCTTTCTGCGAACCTACCGTGGAACCAACTATTGAGATCAATGAGCACAGTAGTAGTAACCTGTGATCGAGTTTCTGGATCTTCTCGATATCGTGATCGTCATTCCTCTTTTGGAACCCCGCATCTCGTGGCACAGTTCGTTCCAACGGAAACGGTCGCCGAAAGTATCGTGTCGGGGCTCTCAGGAGTGGACTGGGAACGCTAATCAGATGGCTGTGGAATCTGTGGATAATAGATGGATCATGGCAGTGTCCTAGGAGCTGATCATCTCCCGGGCCGTTGGGAGATAGCACGATCAACTATGTCACGGAGGGCAAGTGAGAGAGCAAGAGGGCTTCGAGTCAAGCCCTACGAGAGAGTGTAGTGACGGGATCAAGGAACCAGCGTTAATCGACCTGTAAGTCCCGCCGTGCTGGAGACATCGAGATGCTCTCGGCGGGGATTTGGCCGTTTTTGGCAATCCTCCCTTCCAGGAACGGAGACGGATGAACGCACAACAACCCGCCTCGGCCGTGCGGCTACCCTCATTTTGGGGCTTCAACAGCAGATTGCTAAATGGTAAAGAACTGGAGGGGCAGTGGACTGTGTCTCGAAGCGAGCCTTTTGGTATCAGATGTGGAGTCATGGACTGGCCCTAGCGTAACCGTTAGGATGTCAGTGAGAGGGGGGCGGTAACAGCCATGTAGACGTTTTGGATGACGCTCAGGGACATCATCATTATTAACATCTTATTCCCAATGCAGGTTATAGCCGCATATTAGCAGGATGCTCTCGCATGAAGAAATGGAAATAGATTGCCTCCTATGGGTCTCTCGGGAGAAAGATAGTACTTTGGGGAAAAAAGAACTATAGACGCCTCAATCGGCAGGGGCATACGGTCATGGGGTGCCTATAGATATTCATGTTGCAGTTAGAGTGGCCCTCGATGAGTTGGACTCTGCATAGCATTGGGGAATACTCTATCAGCCTTCACATTCATTGCAGTTGTGGCTTATCACACCAAGCCAGCTCGCACTACCGCTGTCCTCAGATTAGCCTAATAGTGACCTCTTTTCAGCCCTTGTCAATGAACAATACTTTCCCTGATACAGTGTACATCGTATCCAGAATGTAGAGGTCGCTTAGTTAGGGAACAGAACATACATGATTTTAGACGGATCTAGATTACTGCATCCCTTCGCTCAAGCTCATGCACATCAGTGCAACACTAACTGGAAAATCTCAATTGAGTAGTCCTGCATGACTTGTGGGAAATGGGTTAAGCAACAAGAAATATGAAGGGTGAAGAATAAGCCAGCAGGCTGATCTACATGCTTAAACTTCGGAAATGATATAGTAGTAATTGAGTTAAGTAGGGGGCAAGGAACTTCCCTGGAGGCAACAGATCAGATCTCGATCCAAGCGGGAGGCGGTGCACCTGCTTATGTAACCAACCCACGTGATCTGGTTTCGCTCAGGCTCCGACGGTCCAAACAGACGGAGCCTTGATGTATGTGGTCTGAAGAGGCATGGTACTTGTGGTCTCTAGCTCTGGCGCAGCATTAGGACATCGAGCCTGTCATAATCTCCATCCGATCTGGAATATTCTCTATTTCGATAGCATCTCGATGAGACTGTTGAAGTGTTGAACCAAACAAAGAAAAGCAAAAACAAAAAGCCTCTGGATTTCGATCCCGATTTATTTGGATTTCAATAATAGCATGCTCGGTCCCAACTAAATGGGAACCGCGGTGGAACAATGGAGGAAACTCCTCCACCAATGTCTAATCCAGCGGATCGACGCCAATGAATTCAAGAGCCTTTCCAAGCTCTTACTGCGTCGTTCACCCCTGCCCGAAGCCACTCTGCTGGATGTGGTTCTCGAGTCCCGGACCGTCACTGATGTCCAGTGGGACCCGCTACTACCTCTGTATGTCGATTCGTTAGCTAAATTGGGCCATGTCAAAATATCGACTGTCCTTTCTTCCGCGCTGAAGTATTCGACTATTGTCGATAATAAGTCTGGGGATTCGCCGGGTGGGACAGCGGCGGCGGGGGAGGAAATCAAGAAGAAGAAAGGGAGGAAAGTATCCTCATCGCTCATGACTGATATCCGGATTATTCAAGATGCCATGATGACGATTTCTGCTGGGTTTTCACCCAAGACTACAGTGGAGGCCGTGAATATCTTCTCTGCTGTTGCGGAGTGGATCATTGCTGTTGTCGCGTGGCATAATGGCAATGTCGACGAGCAGCATCAGACCGGTGGTTTGATGAATTCTCCCGATGGGATGACGTTGTTTGAGTCCCTGGGTATTTTACTTGCTGCGTTGTCGGCGACGGGGAAGGCGTTGGAAGCGCTGGCTATGGGAAACTCTGAAGGTGATAATAACCATCCGATATAGTGGAAGAAAAAGGATTCGTGTTTCTTGGAGAGATTGATGCTAATGTTTGCATAGCCTGGAAAGTGAAACTGGGCCAGGCCCTTTCTGCCTATCTTCCACTTTGTGCGGGGGTGTCATTGCCTTTGCGGAATCGGCTGGATAGCTTGCAGAAAGAGTTCAATCTCTATGGTGATTCTGCGTCCAAGTCGTTAGAAGTGTCGATGATGGATGGTGTCAATGTGAATGCGTTGCAATTTGAAGCTTCTGTTATTGATGGGCCAGTGGTCAACTCGAGAGCCGGTTTGTACGTCTATGTTAATGCCATGGTAAGTGTTAGCCAGAGACGTGGAGTCGAATGTCGTTGAAGCTAACGGAACGTAGCTGGTGGGACGTCCTCTTGTCGATGATAGCATGTTGATCAACTATCTTACCAACCGTTATGGGGTAAGTCCATGAGATACTTGTTAGTGCGTTCGAGTATTGACGATAGTCTAGGGACATCATGGAGTGCTCGTCGAAGAACTCATTACGGCAGCGTTTGATGTACTCTCCAACGCGATGTATCGGAACGAGTCCAGTCGGACGATGTTCGTGTTTCGATCATTCCTTGTGAATAAGTTACCGTCCTTTTTCGCCAGTATGTCGGCTGCGTCGATGGAGCCAATCCCTATGGAACTCTGCATCAGTAACGCTCTCAACCGGGTTGATCCGAATGCTTTCCCGTCATTCTCTCAGATGTTCGCCATGCAGGGGAACACGGTCCTTTCTGATGTGCGACAAGAGTTCCTATTTGCCTGTGCTACGCACAAGCTCATCCCTGAATCCAGTATTGAGCGCTTGCTGGGCGAAAATCCGATGCAGACTCTTTCAGCCAGTGGTCAATACGTCAAGGATGAACTTGTTTCTCAGATTAATGCTAATCCTGAGCGGGCGGAACATCTCATCGGCGAGATCGAGTCGATGGAAGGAAACGCCGGCGCAATAGTCGCTGCAATCACGGAGGTAAGGCGCTGTATCATCTGAAGATGGAACGGCAGCTAACACGACCAGGTTATGCACAATCTCTGCGACCAGAAAGAGACCATGACGTTGAAAAATATCTGCAACTCTTTGTCTCGACGGCCCCAGGCGCTCGATGTTATACTGCTCTTCCGCAGTCCGAAGACGGTGCTGCAGCCTCTATGTGCCTTACTGGATGCGTGGCACTGGGATGAAGACCAAGGTGAGAATAGACGAGGTAGTTCTGGTAGGACCTAGTGCTAATGGGATTAATAGGCGAAAATCAGCCTGTATATGATGAATTCGGGAGCATCCTACTGCTGGTGCTCGCCTTCAAGCATCGATACAATTTAAGCCAATATGACCTTGGAATCTCGACTAATAATTCATTCGTGCTAACACTCCTGGATCGCGGTCCCAGCAGCCAGAAACTGGATGATCTGACTGATTCTCAACACAAGAACCTAGGTGCTTGGATTTCGGCTCTCTTCATTGCTGAAGGAATCAGCGAGGAGTCCATGTCTTCATGTAGTCCTCAAGAATTCTACATGCTCGTTGCTACTCTGTTCAGTCAAAGCCTAGGCGCATGTGAGGCCGGGAAGCTCGAGTTTGATACTCTGAAGGGAGGATTCGAATGTTAGTATAAACCCTCTGTGTTTCACGTTGCGTCCTCACTGATAGTTACAGATTTGCTGGAGCCATTCCTGCTTCCGTCACTTGTTGTCGCTCTTACATGGCTAGGAAACTATATTTGGGAATCAGAAAGCGACCCAACGATTCCACTGAAGGTCCTATACTCCCTCGTGAAACCAAGTTCTATCTCAGGAGAAGCACAGGCCATCCATCGGACAGTTCTACAGATCACGGCACGAACATTGGAAGAACAGCTGAAAGACGTTCGCACCCGCCAGCCGTCTAGGTCGGATATCAAGCCCATCCTTGACGGTCTCGAACCGTATCTGTCTTTCCAAAGGACAGGAAGCTGTCATCGGTCCGAGCTTGAAGGCTGGACAAATTCCAGTGGTGGCCTGCTGGGTAGCATCAGAAACACTTTCCAGTCCCTTGTCCTCTGGAGCACGAATCCTGTGATAAGCATGACGCCTCATTCATATACGCATCGTCAGATCTTGGCTGGAATTCGAATTCTAGGTGCTTCCCGAGTGCTCGCGGCTTTGATTGAAGAACTAAAGTTACAGACCGAAGCCGGCAGTGGCGATTTGGCACTTGATGTCGCTGTGACCCTGGTTTGCTCCCCGATGGCGGAATCCTTCGCTGTTGACCAAAGCTTCTATCATCCTATAGATCCTAACAAGGATGCTTTGCCTCGATGTCCCATACTCACCCTCCGAGACGCCCTCATCATCCAGCATGATGACGTGCCAAAAATATCGGAAAAGGATCCACTGCGCGCAGAAGTTATCGTACGGCTGTACCGCCGTCTGAACAATTTGATGGCGCCTCCGTCCCAGGTGACCAACCTCGATGTTAGCAATATAATCCAGAATATGAATCTGGATGGCGTTGGCGAACACGGGCAGATGGGCCTTGGCCCTGGCGAACATGGAGTTGGGCAAGGGGGAGTAGGTGACGAAGATCCGGAAAACATCAATCAGATGCTCAATGAAGCTGCAGCCGCAGCCGCCGCTGGGGTCGACCACGGCGTTGGCCAAGGCATGGGTCTTGATGGTTCCGGAGCTGGTCTCCACGCAAACATTGATGACATGCTAAACAGCGCTGATATGGGAGTTGGTAATCCGGAGTTCCTTGACTTGGATATGGAAGGAATGTTTTAGGAAACTGCGTGTACGATGGCTGATTTACGTTTGTCTATCTCAGAAGCGATGTGATGTTATATATTCAAGATACTACTTGAGGAATGTCTTAATATGGTATGCTAGGATTTCAACATACGGTGTCACTTACTGGTGATGACTAGAGACTACATCGATCTGTAGAATTGCAGTACCATAGCTATATCCGAGTCTCTAATTGTACTGTGCTTGTTCCTCATATGGATTCCCAAATCACCGCGCTAACTAAAAATACCATCCAGGACTATTACTTCTCGTGCCAATCAGTCCCGTTTCACACAACTAAACATCCTGAAACCGAGATAGAATGAGCATCTCCAAACGTATACATCATCTGCTGATGCAAAGAATCTCACCTTAAACACTCTGTATTACATCCTAATATATCCCTGTACCTTTACGAATTTACAGGTTCCCAGGCGACTCAGCCCCCTGCTTCCCAGGGTGAGTTCCAGGCTGGTGGTCCTCCACAGCTAGATAAACACGAACCCTTGCGGTCAGCATACATACGTATAAACCACCAGGAAAGAACAAAAAAAATAAAAAATAACCCGAAAAGAAACTCACCATCCTCCAACTTCGCCGGCAATTTATCAATTCCAGAATTCTTAATATCAACAGGCACCAAGAGACCACCCGCAATATCGGCAATTTGCGAAAGAGGGTTTTGACGCGCTACTACCATCTTCTTCTCCTCTTCCGCGGAGGGAAGGGGAGCAGCGAGGGAAAGGCCAAGAAGGGCGGAAAGGATGAGGAGCGTGAGTTTCATCTTGAGCTTTGCGATTGTGTTTCGGTATTTGAGTTTGTGGTTCTAGGGGTTTGTTTGGTTGATTGGAGATCTAATAGGTAGACGAATGAATGAATGAATGGATAGATAAATAGAGAGTTATTACGTTTTATGATAGAAGCAGAAACAGCCGAAGAGAGAGAGAAAATAAATTATATACAGTACATAAGCGCAGGAATAGAGGTAAACACGACGCGTCTGGTAAGTAAAAAGAGCAGACAAAAATAAAAGAGACGCGAAATGTACATACATACCATGTACATTCACCATGTATGTAGTTTACCTCTTTCTTTCCACATATTACTGAAGGTATGTATGTAAGTCGTATACTGAATTGGGTGTTTTCGCATGTTTCAGCTCGAGGTGGGGAAGAATGTTGAGTTTGTTTCGAAACTGCTTTCGTAGTACATAGTAACTATATTGTAGTTTAGAGTTTCTACGGTGTTAGTTAGTCCCTAGGTATGTTACTGTCAGATAGATTGGTGAGGATATTAATTAGTTACTATGGAGGTGGTAAGTGGATAAATGATTTCTTGTTCCCTTTGTGTGTATGGAGTTAGCCTTGACGATAGATCAATTATTCAAGGGAAGGGAATGGTAAGGGAAGAACGGCAGGGAGAGGGGATAACTACTCTACTCTATTTTGAAGGGACTGGAATGTGGAATATCATCCCTTAAGTACACGCCGAAACGTAAACATGCGACTAAGAACGAACTTTTCATTGCACCTTTGAACTGATCGATTCCTCTATTTCGTATTTCGATACAATTATCTTATTTTCGAATTTTGTCGCTTCTGTACTCCAGACATGTTGTATGTGATATAAAGTATCTTTGTTGGACTCCATTCGAGAAACCAACCAAAAGTATCCGACGACATGCCGTAGTCTAAAATGGCACATGATGCATACAATAAGAACATCAAGATGGTAGATCTTCTGGCTGATCTATATTTTCCTAATTGGTTTTGGATTTCATCAGCAACTGTTGATCTTGTGCATTAATGTAACGACAGAATCATCTTATTCAGAAATACAGCATATAACTCTGTAACAACAGAAAGAAGGTCGCCTTTTTTGTAGTAGATCGTATTTTGTATTTTCTGTTATTACGAATCGAATTTTCTCAACGGCTCCGAAGAGATGCGTTACGAACTATCCCAGCAATCGTTGCGCATTTCCTACTGTTGGTGGAAATCGCTAATCATGTTATGTACATAGATATAAAAGGTTATTCTGCGCGAGAACTTATCTCGGCTAGCGAGATTGCTTGTTTCTGCTCATCAAGAATGCTTACGGCGGGACGCTCTATATATAATAATACTCGATAGTGGTATGGTAGGGATATATTTTATTATCTTTAGGATTTGAAGTAGTCCAAGTGGCCTTAGAAGGGGTATCTAGACCATTGACATGGCCCTCATAGATGCAATTGAGAAGTCAAGAACTAACCAGCCATAATCACAATGGCTCCCAGAAGATGCAGGCCATTTAATATCTTGGGAATAGTATATCTCTTTCTGGCTAATAAGCAGTAGCTACCGCGCATTCAAGCCAGATATTGAGTTCAAACCCGACCACTAGATCCTAAGTACTGTATTATACCAGTAAACTGTAAGCAGGTTACAATTGTCCTATTTTGGCGTTTTGCATGATCACTTCGCGCGAATGCAAGAGAGACCATATCCGTGTAGCGATGAAAATTCAGGACGTATGAAAATTCGGAATATAAATCACCCCTTACATAGTCTTCCTTAATGACCCGGTGGCAAGTCGATACGTCTCTGATTGTGGGCCGAGGCGGCCAGACTAGGTTCGCCGTGGCGTGAAAGAAAGACAATGTGAATTGTTTACCTTGGACTCCGATGGAATAAAAGGCGGGGTGGCGGGGCTTCGGAGAATTGATGGCGCTCAGCCAGACTTTCTCGTGTTACACGTCTGTCAAAACTCCATGTACAGTACCATACTCTAGAGTAGAGTATGGCAGATGGGCTTTTCCAGGAAATTTTTCACCTGGCCCATTATTAGAGATTGAATATCTTTGTATGGTCGGCCATTTGTGAAGATGAGGGTCATGAAGAGCCGACAATTCTTGGACCTGTCCAATATAGTTTGCAGTCATATCCGCTCCTCCGATTTCTGACAATTGACGACTGCTGATAAGCGGAAGTAACACTCCATGTGAGTTCCTGGCGTGATCAACGGGGCGGATTTGCAAGTGACGTCGTAAAGACAGTGCGCAGGAAGTGATGAGATTCAAGGTTTGACACACGACAATCTGTTGATCCCTTCAGTATCACAACATGAAAGATCCCCAAAAAAGGGACCGGGAGACTTGACCCGGGATTATTAGAACGAACCACACCTTATCAGTAGACAAGTCGGGGCACGTCGTAAGCCCACCCCTTGCGGAGTGGGCGTCCCACTTCGGAACTTTGTTAAATATACTCTCTGGTTGATCGTATTGAGGATGTTCTCGATCCCCTGAAACTATACTGAAGGACAATCACAAAAGCATAGCGATATCCGGTGGCGATAGCACAAGTCCGACATAGGACCGGTAAGGCATGATGGCCATAACGGTCGGACATTTGTTTACCTCGACCAGTGTCGAAAACAACGTTTGCTAGACACAGATGGTGAAACCTAACATCGTCAAGTTAGAACTCCGTTCCCAAGTACATATGCTCTGAGCTAGCACTAGGGTACCATATTTTGGGGTGCTTACCCTCGATATTCGGCCCGTCTCGTACCTAGGTAGATACGACGGATATGATGTTAAATAATAATGGCTTGCCACGAAGATAACAAAGTTTCGGAAGCTTCCGGTGGTCCCAGAAACTCAAGAGCAAGCTTTCCACCATGATCCAGGAATTCAATAGCTGGCGATCCATGCAGCACAGTATCGATCAAAGGGTTCATTGAAGAGCCAACTAGAGTGAAAAATATCACAGGGCGGAATCTTGAGTTCATGTCCGAGGCGGGAGATCAACTTAGCTTCTATTATGGTCCTTTTTCTGTCAATGGCATAAAACGAAAACGCTCCTTAGCAACAGGAATCGGGTTGTTATCAATGAACGTGCCTTTGACCCGACAAAGTGGAAGAGCGACAATATGAGCACGTGTAGGCGATCCATTGAGATTTGAGACAACCCTATAGCTTCAGACGCTTGTCCTGATGGGGATATGTCTGCACATCAAGTAATATATATTCACTACTTTTGCAGCTACTCCATGACCGAGAGCAGGACTCATTGAAGGGGAATTGTCTGAGCTTCTGGACTCTACTAGCATATTTGACTCTCGAGAAAGCCGATAGACATCGATATTATCAAAATTCCTCGTTCAGCAACTGCGTGATCTCTTAGAAGGTTCGCTGTTTCGGCAAGATCAATGTCTCAGCTTAGGCGATGAATGACCAAAATAAAGTTGGCCCCCTTCAACCGGTGTACGACTAGCCAAATCCAATTTCCCGGAGGCTCTTCTACTTCTGTTAAGGATTGTCGCTTCAAAAGTGCCTGCGCAGTTCTCCATCGCGGAAAACCACGCAATGCACCCCGAACAGAGCAGAGAAAGACATTGGCTATGGTGGCTAAAAGTGACAGGGTGGTTTCCTACTATCGATCAGCAGCTGAGCATTTTAGAAAGCGGATGACAATTTTCGGATCAAGGCAAAATAAAGCCTAAAACTGAGCAAATAATCTTCATGGTTATGCCTACTGTCAGCCATGCATAGCCGCGTTCGGCGGTCGCCTAGACGTCGGTTGCTGATGCAGGTGGAGAGCGTCTAGATATCGGCATAATTGCAACCCTGAATTTTGCGCATTTCATTACATGCGGTCGGCAGTTCTACAAGCCATTGTACTTGGACTGATCGGATGACTGTTTGCCCAGCTAATAATTTAGTTAGATTGATAATCGATTAACCATTAGTTAAAACTTTTGGTGTTCTTTGGTTCGTTGTTAGTACTCGTGGCGTCGAGGCAATGAACGTAGTCGTCATGGCGGATGTCACAGCAAAACATAGGCCGATAAGAACCCATTCGCACAAGCCCCCTGTTGGTACAAATTAATTGACCGCTTGATCCGGAAAAATGAGAGCGATAGAAAACCGTCTGGATAGATAACCATATGGAAGATCTTAGGCAGAAATCACGACGTCTCCGCGGAGCAACCGGCACGGGATTCGAATGCTGCTCGATAACAAAGAAGGACGATAATTTGTACCCCTTCCTGATCAAGTCTGCAATGAGCCAGAGCCGCCCGTGCCATTAGTGTATATTGAAAAATATTTCCTTATGAGGAAGCTAAGAATTATTTCTATTTCGCGGTGATACTGTGAGTATTGCATTGCCGACTCGCTATGCCGAGCATGCTGTAGACAGATGTATCTTAACATAGTATAGTACTGTACTATGCATTGACCTTGCGCACAAGTCATGGTTAGTGAGATCATCGGTCAACAACGCGTACCATTTACGCATGCGAAGTGGACTTCATTATTGAAGAGACTTAAGTCGCTATTCAGGCTCGTACTTCCCAGGACATGATGCTTTATCATCCAGACCGACACCTCCAAAGGCATATCCCAGAAGCACCAGCATAGTACTTTGCATTTGCAAGTTTATACTAGATACCATACTGGAGCAAGCCTAAGTTCGCAAGATGGCCTAGAACCCTACACACGAGTCATTGATTCATAAGGCTGCGGCTTTCTCTCAACTTCTCAAGTGGCTTGAGCTCCACTGAACCGACGTCTCGCGTAGCACTGAACACTTTTCGGCGTGAGCTGAACGTGTGGGACCCAGAGTTCGAGAGAATCCTGAACAGTATCTACGGACTCCGGAGTAAATTATTACTCGACGGAACAGGCGTGGATCTCGGGGAGGTTCGAGCGTTGCCTCTATCGTTCACAGAGGCCCTGAGCTCCAGTCGACGGGCTCACCGTCCGTGCGAGCGTGATGAGCCTGAATTCATCTGCATGGAGCTATGGAGGGGACATGAATCATCTATTAGGATTTGGTCAACAAGAGGCGGCAGTTGAGGACCTCCAGTGAGATTGTGAGAGCTAGAGTTTCACATACATACATACCTGAGCGCGAGCACGTGTCGAACTGCCGTTGTTTTCCTGGGATTTTCTGATCTTCTTCCCCCACGAAATGTCGCGAACGATACGATCGAGAACAATGTCTAACGGAGCCCTGTAAACCCGTCTGCCATTTTTTCCCGATCCCTCTCTACTGACATGCGCGGATGTGCCATCACTGACCGACGTCAAGTACTGTACAATAATGGAGACGGTGTGATCGCGACTTCGATGTGTATCATGGTGAAGGCAGGCGTCTTTTCAATAATACGGGATAATTATTCCCTGTCAGTTGGAGCGCGAACCTTGGCCCGGCCCCTCGAGCATCGAGATTATCCAATTCCAGGAGACATCACGACGTTGGTCCGTCAGTTGGCTAAAACAGCTGAAGACGGGATCGACTCGGCAGGCGTGGGTTTAGCGAGTTACCGTTGCTGGGAAGCCTGGGATTCGCCTTCGCCCCTACCGCTATCACTCATCATTATTTAGCTAGTCTGAACCCGCGGAGTACAGACGGTTCAGATGCTAGTGGACTATCTAGCGGTTATCTTGATTTCCCAGAAAAAAAGATCGTCGCATGGCTGTTTTTCGAGTTTCCACTTTTGATCTGGTTCCTGGATGGCGCGCGCCTTTGGGCCATATGGGCGATCTCATCAACAGTCGCCTAACTCGTACAGTACGTGTTTCGTTTGACGATCCGTTCTGATGACGCCGAAAAAGACTGCCAAAGATACACACGTGCCTATACTGCTACCAGTAGTGGCAAATAAGCTCGAAGAATAACTGAATAGCTAGAGAGCTTACCACACCTGGCACACCATTATTAGCCAAACAATAATAACGGTCGTTCTTCGGTAAAGATGAAGGAAAAGTACTCCGTACTATCTATCTATTACGCAGTATCTAGGGCACAATTTTCCCCAGACAGGAAATTGTAGCCCCGACATTTCGACAGCAGGGTTTGATTGCTGATCTTCAGCAAGCCACAGGAGGTTATACCGGAATGGCCTTCATGCAGTAGTATTAGTCACAATCAGACCCTGCGCTGACAGGCTAAAGTACTCCGTACACTCCGCAGTCACTTGTTCCCTGTGCTAACTATACTAGGTTGAGAAAGGCCAACCGTCACGGGTAGATTGGATGCAGGACTGAAGATTTCTACTCGGATATTATTGTTGTCAACGAGACCGGTCACAATTCATGTTGGGCAGAACGATTGAAGCCGTTAGTGAAATCGTATGTTTTCTTTTTGCGCTTCCTGTTGGGCATCGACATGAAAAACAAATTGCGAGCACCGCATAGATATTCTGTACAGGGAAGAGATGGCGTGCCTCACTTCTTCCGGCTTTTTAACATTATTGTCTCGCATTAAGCTCGCCAAACATACCTGATGTGAGAACCTGGTGATTGAATTATATAGAGGTGAGAGTTAAGACGGCATTACGGGACTGGCAATGATACCGGCAGAGCAGATTCCCGAACCCCAGAGCTTAAATGTGAAGCCGGTAGATCTTATTCCATGCTCTGACACGGCCCTCGTGCGATAACTGGCATGTGGAGAGCACCCGCCACCTAAAAGCAATGCAAAGTCTCGACGATTGACAATGAGAACCACACTGTCTCCATTAGGTCACGGGAAGGAAAGTGAACTGTAAAATAATAGCTCAATCTTCCGAGTGGCTGGTTTGCGATAGGGAATTATACAGTAACGCGTCGAATTCCCCGCCATTTCAGACTGACGTGCGTGCATTGGTACAGTACATGCTCTACTGCGATACACAAGAACTGGTGGCGAAGTCGGTTACCATCACCTAAGAATGATTACTGATGCATTATCTGAAATCGGGCTTCGCGCGCATAACTCCTCTGATTTTTTTCCGGGTCAAAAGCCGTCCATATAATAACGATCGGAGTCTCGAGTGCGATATGCGGTCTGAATGTCAATAATGAAATGCGACCCCTAGACTGTAAAGGTCAGACCCTCGTTCACAATGGTATCTCGAACAATGGACTTTTCAGTCTTCATGTGACGGAATTCGCCAAAAGGTTAGATCTGGCCTCGGATAATCGTCTGCCCTTGTTCTTCTGGAGACTTGCGACGCTTTATCGTGTCGAATCGTGCATAATATCCTAGTATCACATCATGAAGTGTTTGAGCTGTGGGTTGTTCCGGACTGGACGAGGCGAGCGAGCAATAAGGCGACATTCTCCTTTTCATCCAAAGTACTCGGTATTATTCGCATGACTCTCCGGATGAGAATAGTTAGTGTCGCGGTCCGGAATCATACAAATGACGGTAGCAACTTATAATGTCTATAATAATATTAACCCCTGCTGTACTTCGAGGCCTAGCCAGGAATCCGGAATAGTGTGATTGATAATACGCGGGCGGGTAATATGCGCCGTACAGAAACCCCTGAGCGGTTGGAAAGTTCGAAGGACGTTAGTTAGTAGTAGGGCGGACCCCGGCCCTTCGGCCTGGGCCATGGTTCATCCTCGTGGGTTCCGTCTCTAAAGGATATGATTTTCCACACTTTTGCCGTCACTAACATGCCCCTCCTGGAGTCTTGAGCCTTTGCCTCAGCAACCGTGCCATGACGATGAGCTGAGCTTCTCTGGGGTTCTGGGGGAAGGGCACTGTTGTCTGTACTTTGCCAACTAGCTCTGCGAGTAGATAGAGCACGGATCACTCCGCAAGTCCCATCTGCATTATCTTCATGCTAGGTCCTCGTGCGGCCCGGGGCGGGTGATGGAATAAGAAAAAAAAAAACGAATTCAGGAATAGCACAAGAAAAAGGCATGATGAAGGAGAAAAATGATTGGGCATAAAAACAGACACGGCACAAGAAAAAAAAAAAAAGTTAAAGCCAGTGACAAGGCTGCATGGGAAGCGAATGCAGGCACAGCAATACCATACTCTCTAGAGAGAGGCCTGCGTACGGCGTAATAATAATAATAATACATGGCCCTTCGCTCCCCCAAGAGAGCACGCCTGGGCTGTTCTGCGCCGTAGATCGCATCCACGGCGACCCATCGACGGCGACCCAATATTGTATCTGTTCAAGTGGTCCCCGGCAAGGGGAGGCGCCGTCCGTCACAAGAACCATCGTGGATTCGTGCTGCTAGTTAGTTGAACCTTAGCACAATGACCCGCTGGAGAGAGGGATATCTCTAGTGCCTCCTGAGTCCTTAGCCTCTCTAGGCTGGAGGGCGGATAACATCGAACCCTGTCCCTGTTCGACGGTTTATAGCACAAGCCCCAAGGTGGACCGGCGCAGATAGGCGGAGGCTGAAGAACAACCACATCTCCATGGCGTTGACCGTGCGGGATCGGATTATGGGGCGGATACTGAGTCGCTTGCCTCGTCACCCCCATGGCAGGGGCTGGAACAGCTGGAACTCGAACCGTTCAGCGAGCCGTTTTCTTTCACGGGCCAACTGTCATTTCTGTCTTGGCTCTAGTCAGTGTTGTCGTGGAGAACTGGAAGTTTGGGAAGCGTACGGAGTGCCATAGTTAGAGTAGAGTAAAGTAGAGTAGTAGTCCGCCCCGACGTCTGGCGCTCCACGACGTCGTCGCCTTTCTCTTGACTACTTACTGTCTTTCCTCTTATCGTTCGATCTGTATGTACATACTCATTCGTGGATCTGTCTTGCCTCTTAATTATATCGCATTTCCCGGGATCTTATCCATTGCTGCAGGTGGCAAGCGTTTCGCCGCGAGTTCGTCGAGCGTTCATTCCTCCCTTCTCAGACCCCCTTCTGGCGGTCCTTGCGTATACCCTTCGGCTCTCGAACACGTCTCTGCACATACTCCTCACCATCCTTACCGTTGAGTTTCTTGCTCAAGACGTCTTTCCTTGCTGCCGCTCGTTTGTACGCGGCGTGATTGAGGGGCAACAAACACGTTCCTTTGGCGTCCGCAATACCCTACGTCGTCGGCTCGTTACATCTAGAATCATACCGCGATCGAAACACCATCGCCTGGCGGCATATCGGATTTTTTTCCCCTAGCAATTCATCATCTACGTGATCGCTCTTTTGCAGCGCTGTTGAGATAAACAAGCTTACTAGGACTGAGACTGTCTTTTTGGACTAAAAGAGCTTCATCGTTTTGACTTGCCTCAGCACAGGCGCAAGCATAACTACGGGTGAGTAAACGGCGTCGCGCTCCAACATTCCTCATCCCCTCCACCCCTAGAGTCGGGACATTCCCCGCTTGATCCTGTGGCCCCCTACTGCTTTCCACCACATTTCCATGGGGGGTATCTAATTGTGGAAAAACAGTGCCACTGATGCGCATGCAGGGTAGGAACATTAATCGTACGAAGCCCCATCTCCACGTTCGTTGACTCGACCTTGATTCTTCCGACCTACACCAAACTATCAGCGAGAGTCAATCGACATCAACATTCGCGGATAATCCGTGGATGGTTGTCTTCTACAGCGTTTCCTTCTTGTCTTGGAGAATGTTTGTTTGGTTATCCCGGGCATAACACCGCGGTCAATGACGAACTACTTCGTCTTTCATCGACGAACAGATTATTGAACATCATATACGTGAAGAGAGCATGGAAGATACAGAACCTAGCGTTGCTCCATTGAATATTGCGAAAAAGGGCAAAGCTGGCCCTAGGGTTCCATATCTCTCCTTCTCGACATCCACATATCACAACAACTACGGCACCCGCCAACAACAACATTTGCAGATGACTCCGCCCTTAACTCCCCACGACTCCATGGAGGAGTCGAGGGAGCCTGCAGGAACGGACAGAGTCGTCTTTCATAACTACTTGCGCGCGTTTTATCCATTCCACCCTTCTGGTTCCGTTTCGCCTTCGACAGTAACCCTCCCTCTGGACCAAGGCGATATTATTTTAGTTCACTCAGTCCATGTAAACGGCTGGGCCGACGGGACATTACTCGAAAATGGAGCACGGGGATGGTTGCCAACAAATTACTGTGAAGCCTATGATCAGCTACCCATGCGACCGCTCTTGAAAGCACTGACAGATTTCTGGGATATCATACGAGGCGGGTGCGGATCAGACTTGAAGGATTTTGGCAATCAGGACTTAATGAGAGGTCTGGTGGCTGGCGTTAGGTTCTTGCTGGTGAGTTTCCGGTTATTACTGAGGAATTGACGTGCCTTTTTGCTAACTGCAGTAGGAAAAATCCGAATGCCTTACAAGGGAATCTACCTTGGTGCAGAACCACGACAGACTGCGCAGGAATCGCAAAATATTACTTTCTGACTTATCATCCTTGGTCAAGATCGCCAAGAAACTCCAAGATGTCGCTAATGGCGCACCTCTGAATGATGCCGTCGAGAATATCCTGGATGAAATGCTCCTCAAAGCGTTCAAAATAGTAACAAGGGGAGTTAGATTTCTAGACGTTTGGAACGAGGAAGTCGGCCTTAGCAGAGCTATGGAAGATCTAGAACAGCCTGGCGACTCGCTGTACGACTCCCCGTTGACGCCGCCGTCGGACACCTTCCCGCTAGCAGTCAAAGGCAGTTCAGTCATGGCATCTATCGCCGACAGACGAGAGTCGAGAGAGTTCAACAGGAGTCGTTTGAATGCCAGCCGGGCCTCTTCAGCGCGTACCGACATGTACGATTTCCAACCCCGGTCGGCTTCGGTCCAGACGAAGAGAGTCTCAGTTTCCCATCGCGTCTCGTACTCTGCGCCATCAGCAGGTGCACGGAATGGGAATCTCGCATCGGAGCGGCTTGGAGTGGCATACGATGGATTTTTGGGCGTGCTCGGATCTTTTATTGGATTGCATCTACAGTCACGTTCCTCTACAGAACTGATTCTGACCACTCAACAGTCTGTACAGTCTTGCAGGGCCCTGCTTTCCGTCGTGGAGGCTGTTTGCGAGCACGATCTTCATCGCTCAGAATTGTTAGAGGAGGCAAAGGATGCGATGTATGAGAGGATAACGGAGCTGGTACACGCAGCTCGGGATGCTTTCCGCCCAGCCAACGCTGCTGACGATGAGCTAATATTCATGCCGGATGAAGGAAAGAGGCTTGTAGATGCTGCTACAGACTGTGTCCGGGGTGCTGGAAACTGCGTGGCAAAGGCTCGCCTTGTCCTCGAACAGATTGGCGATTTCGAACTTGAGCCTGTTGGACAAGGGTTTGAAGTCCCTGATATGAGCACTCCACAGCCGCAACACCCCGACGAGATGGAAGTGAATACAGACAAGCCGCATGAGCCGTCTATGCGCCTACCACCGCCGCCGCTGCAGATCCCAAGTGGAGAGCTTACTCCTACCCTCACTGATGGAACTACGCCCTCGTCATTTTACTCGAGGTTGACAGCTACCAGTCCAGCTAATACCGATCAACGCTCTTCAGTCTACTCGACTGCATCTCCGTACCCTGGATTGGAACCCCATATTATCTCCAGCGAGACCAGCCCTACTGATGCGCAACAAGACTACAGCTTTGAAAGCAGGGGTGTCACAAGTACTGGGAGCAACCTCACGTACAAAAGCAATGTCCGTGACTCAGAAATGAGTGGCATGTCCCAGACATCGACACGAGCAACGTCTCCCGATATCCATAGCCAGCATCGAGAACCATCGTTGAAAGGCAGCGTTAGCCATTCGACGTTGGCTGAGGAGAGTGAGGAAACAGAAGCGAACATTTTGGAGAAGACTTATGCTCATGAACTGATGTTCAAGGACGGCCAGGTCGTCGGCGGTAGTCTGCGTGCTCTGATAGAAAAGCTTACCGCTCATCAGTCAACACCTGATGCTATGTTTGTTGCGACATTCTATTTGACCTTTCGACTGTTCGCGTCTCCTCTGGAATTTGCGCAGGGACTTGCTGAACGCTATGACTACATTGGCGATACGCCACATGCAGCCGGCCCTGTCCGACTCCGAGTGTATAACGTATTTAAAGGCTGGCTGGAGTCTCACTGGCGCCATGATTGTGACAATGTTGCCCTGGACTTCATCGTCAACTTTGCTAAGACAAAATTGATGGCCACCATTCCAACTGCAGGCAAACGACTTCTTGAACTAGCAGACAAGGTCTCTGCTGTGCACGGACCCGTCGTACCACGGCTTGTTTCTTCCATCGGAAAGACGAATACCTCCATTGCGCAATATGTGCACCCAGACACTCCTCTTCCACCGCCGATCATCACAAAGAGTCAACTTAATATGTTACGGCAGTGGCAAAAAGGTGGTCCAAATGTCAGCATACTGGATTTCGATCCTCTGGAATTAGCCAGGCAGTTCACGATCAAGGAGTCGAGGATCTTCTGCTCTATTCTTCCTGAAGAGCTTTTGGCTACTGAATGGATGAAGAAGAGTGGCTCATTAGCGGTCAACGTACGCGCCATGTCGACTTTGTCTACCGATCTCGCCAACCTGGTGGCGGATTCGATCCTTCAGCTCGAAGAGCCCAAGAAGAGAGCCGTCATCATCAAACAGTGGGTGAAGATCGCCAGCAGATGTCTGGACCTCAATAACTACGATTCCCTTATGGCGATCATATGCTCGCTTAACTCATCTACCATTTCGCGCCTGAAGCGTACGTGGGAGCTAGTCTCCCAAAAGACAAAGGCCAGCCTGGAGCATCTGCGGGGCGTTGTTGATGTCTCCCGGAATTATGCAGTTCTTCGACAGCGTTTACAGAACCACGTCCCACCATGTCTCCCATTTGTTGGGACGTATCTGACTGACTTGACCTTTGTTGATCACGGGAACCAGCCAGTGAGAAATCTCCCAACAGAAGATGGAGCCATGGCAGTGATAAACTTCGACAAGCACATGAAGACGGCGAAGATAATTAGTGAGCTTCAGCGGTTTCAGATCCCTTACCGCCTGACTGAAGTGCCAGAGCTTCAAACCTGGATGCAGGATCAACTCATCCGTGTCCGCTCTAACGGAGAGAAAAGCTTCCAGAGTTATTATCGCCGCTCGCTCGTTCTCGAACCAAGAGAGATGCAACGCGCTACAACGGAATCGAGCCAATCTATCCAGTTCAAGGAGAACGGGAAAGATAAATTCGACTTCCTCGCTTGGACGCATAGTTCCAAAGCAAAGGGGGTCACGACTACAAGTTAATCTTGTACACACTCTCTATACTTTCTCGGCTTATTCTATTGTCTACTGTGAATCAATCTTGACCACAAAATGTGCTGAGAGCTGTTGGTGATCTCTCTGGACATTTACTTTTATGACTTACGACTTGAGACTTTTTATGCGGGTTATTGCTTTTATTTTCTGGCTGATTGAATTGACGCATCATACCCCTATCGCTTTTACTTGGGATTGTTAATATTTTTGGGCGGTTGTCGATTTCTGGAATGGCCACAGCGGTTTGGGAAAATGAACATGGAGTACGGGATCGCCAAAAGCATCGGGATGCTCAACTGCATTTTGTCCTTAGACCACAACGTCTGCCATGTGGGGGCGAAAGCAAAATTCAAGAGCCTAGGCAGCTGGACGTTTCGATTTACTCTTTTTGGTTGTGTCTTGTCCCATTACTCTCCCTGACTCTTTCGGTCTCAGAATATCCTTGGCTTTGTCTGATGGTTCATGCTTTGGTCTTTCATGGAAATCTCGCAGGAGGGACGGCTCTTCTCGGAAATTGGTATGTTAATGACTTTGGGACTTCGTTGTATGTTTTTTGCCATTTTCATGTATCGATATTATTACCCTTATTGTTATGGTCGTTGTCATCATCCGAGAGCATGCTCTCACCCCTTGTACATAATACACACTTGCAGAATTGCAGCAACTAGAGTTGCCTTCATCATCATCGTGGAATATAGCATACTATGCCAATAAAATGAATCCACAACTCATCTTCATTACTCCCTGTTTTACTTTCAGTGTTTCGGATAAGGTGGCCACGATCTTGGCGAAATTATCCCCCTGCAACCAACTAACTAGTCAGTTCACACCTTACCAGGGTTACCCCTACCTCGAAATCTCCTTAGTTCAGGCCACCCCTCAGGCCCCTAATAGAAATAAGCATGCATTATCCCTGCCAGGCCGTCAAGGTGAAAAAAAAAAAAAAAAACTAACTAACTAGAAGTTATGTACCTACAAAATCTCCGTGTGTCTCTGACTAGCTCCCCCTACCATACTTTAGAGTATAGGTAGTTGATCCCCCATATCCGGACTATTTCCGAACTAAAACTTGAAATTAGATTATCGCTCTACTCAAGACGAGGAGGGCGAGGCCTGTTTCCTAGGGAGTCAAGTTACCTACCTACCTACCTAGGTATCCTAGACGTTTAGAGGATCTACAGTACGTATAACTACATACGCATCAGGGATACTCCTTAATCTTATCTTATTACAGTACAATAATGGAGACATACGAGAAAGGAATCATAGGTGGAATTTTCCCTGAAATTAAGATGAGGACGTATGTATTTTCTTTCATCTACTCATGCGGCCGTTAGTTGTTGAGTGTATTAATTACTTTATTATTGACTCAGTGCATAACTTTGTGATTGATTGATTGATGGATGGATGGATGGATGGATGGATGGAAGGGTATGTTTAAGTCCACTCTGTGTTCAGCGAATTTGCGAATCAAAATCAATCCCCTACCTAGCCAAGCCCTGCGAGGCGCGCCTCGGATAAGTTGACTTAAACTCCTTCGTAGATCATTTCTTTAGACAACGGCATAAGTGAGAAAAGCCCTGTTATTGTTAGCTTTCGCGTTCTATACCTGCAAGAAGGACGAGTGCGATTGCGAATGTGGAGTTGGGGGAAAGGAAGGGGGAGTGCTTGTTTAGTTTTTGGTAGTGGTTGGTTGGTTGGTGGTGGCTTTGATGACGGATTATGACATTTCAGATGTTGCTGTGGACACGACGACATATGTCGCATGGAACGATTGATAGCTTGAAAGCCTTGGCATCGTCTGTAGTTGTGGTGAGAGGTCAGTTCATCGCAGGGCAGCCAAACCGGGGTTATTGAATTCATCGTCATCATAAGTTCGTCGCTTTTGGGGATATCCCTTCTTCGTGTCTCAGAATTTGTATGCCGTGGAACGCGAGTCACATTCTAAAGTATGTTGAGTTATATAGTTGTTCACGGGGATCAATGCAGGTGAGTCACGCTCCAGGGTATTGCATTGTATTGTTCTATGCATGAACTTTGATTATCACCGCCCACTTACGGCATTGCATAATCTATATCCAGAAATATCAAAATGATGTCCAAAGTAAAAATGAAAACCTGATTCGAGACTAGTGCACTGTATGTCTCCAAGCTTTGAATGCATCTGCGAAGCCAAGTCCCTCTATTGAATCAATGCTGTTTTCTTTAGCCCTGAAGTTATCACTGCCAGGGTTGGTCGACCCAGGCTCATCCTCTGTTGAATTTTGCAATCCAAGATCCATTATGGGTATCATAGTCGGCCGTCCATGTGCGCATTGGAAAGGAAAAGCACACCGAGAAAGGCGGGAGACTAGATTTCTGGATTCACCAAGAGTCAGCGGGTCATTAAACATGATCGCACTCCTGCAGGCTCGAGAATTGAGAAGGTCAATTATCCCTTGAGGGCAGTCGGCGATATGGTCAACCCAGAATGATGACTTCTCATCCGCCAGCGTCTCATCCTGATCTGACGGCGGGGAAATGGCATCCTTTTGTTGTCTCAACTGTTCAGCGGACGATGTCCTCGTAATGATCCCGGGAATATTCTTGCCGGTCTCCTCACGCTTCCAGATTTCTCCTCGTAGCATATCTATAGCTAAAGTAGATTCCATTCTGCAGCGTTCCACAATACCAGTTGGAAGTGCAGTCAGGGAGACTTTACCGCCTTTCGTCTCCGGGACTTTAGAAAGCTCATAATGGCAACCCCATGAAGTAAAGAATTCAGAGTATTTTCTGAACAGCCTGAATTCGACTGCTGATGTTTCAAATTCGATTGGTGGCAGCAGCTCCGTTGTGTGCACTTCAACATGCTGGCCAATACCGCCAGTTAGGGCCGGCGGTAGAAAAATCTCTTCGAAGAGTTTTTCAATACGGCACCTTTCGTCGGCTGCATGTTGATCCACTATGGCCAAAACGCTCCCCGACACCTCCAGATCAGATGCGGTTGTCATCTTGATAAGAATAAATTTGCAGTCGACCTGGGCTATAACTTCTGCCTTCTGAAGCGCAATTTTGGAAAGCTTCCCCCTGAATGGTGTAAAGCTTTCAGCCTGTGCCGAGAAAGCTGAGCAGTGATGACTTCTGTCAAGAAAGGATCTCTCCGCTTGTCGGCTCGCAACAGGATCGACTGCAGTTATCGGCCTCTCCCATCGCGACAACACTGGATTATTCCACCTTTTCATTATATCATCTAACCAACCGCTGCCCACAGTTGGAAGTGCCGACGCTGGGCGTTTGATCATCTCTGCGTTGTTGCTTCTGTCCCGCAGAAAACTGGCAGAATGCGGTCTAGAAATAATTTCCTTAGGCCGTGTCAGCTTAGTCGTGGACTGGCCTGGAGGCACAACCTGCCCGGTTCGCGAATTTATCAAAACGCGAGTCTTTGAGACCGGGTCCACCCATACATGTGTACCATCAACTGTACTAGTCTCATGATGAAGAGGAGTACTCTCGAGTAAGGGATCGTCAGCAAACTCTGACCCCAGCAAAGTAGAGGAACCATGATTTGCAATATCTTCATTAACAGAAGATATGCGGTTTTTAGAATTAGAGAGCGCAGGAGGAGCTGACAGTTTGCCACGAGGGAGGCCGGCACAGATAGCATCAAGCGTACACTCTTTCCCGCTTTTAATCCTCGACAAGCCGCTAAAATACAAAGATGTACTTGATGAAGGTCTGTTTCTGAATTTTGGAAGTATTATTCGGTCATCCAAGGACTCTTCTGTGCTGTGGCCGAATTTGCTGCGTGTTCGATCTCTCCCGGGAGGTAATTTATGTTTTGAGGAAGTTTTTGACCGACCAGATGTTTGTTGGGCATTGTCCTCAGTATCAAAAGATACCTGAGTCTCCTCTTTCTTTTGGCGTCCAAACCTTGGCCGAAGACAATGCTGCTGTAAGAACTGGTGCAGCATAGCACTCAGCACGTCCAGCATATGTTGCAGGGAACTATCAGAAGTGAAAATGTCACTTTCTTCGCCAACACGCCCATCGTCATCTTGTGTATCAATTCGTATATAGAACATGGGCCACCGAGCCACGGTCTTGCTTGCCGACTTGAACCCTGGTAGAGTATCCCTTTGGGTGCTTCTCAGTCTTATCATATCAGAAGAGCTGTTGACTGAAGATTCCATATTACCAAAGTCAGATGAGCCGAATATCCTGTTAACTTCATTGAATAGGACGTTCGCATTGTTTCGTGGAAAGATCGGATGCTTTCCCAGTGACATGAACTGCACCTGTTTCGTTGGACTCGGTTCGAGCGAAATAGCAGCTTGGATAGATAACTCGGGAGTGCTCGCAGACACTGATGCCCAGGAGCCGCCATTCTGAGAGGTGAGGAAGCCGGCATTTCTCAGTAAGAAGGTGACCTGTCCGATATCTATCATCGGTGTGGCAGGTTCCGAAGGAAGAACCGAGGAACTCCGACCTCGGATGCTGAACTTCCTGTTTCCGACTGCATCAGAAACAGACACCTTGGTGGATCTGTCATTTGCGAGCATGAGAGCAGTGAGTATCCTTCTCAAGTTATCCCACTCCCTGTCAATCTCCTCTGGCTTCTGAAGAGCCAGTGCTCGGCTTTTCACACGCACAGGAATATTCCCAAACAGGTCGTGAACATTGACTCTGGTGCCATGGTCACTCAACTCCAGTTCCTGCTGTGGAGGAGCTGGTAGTAATCTAGCAACAAGCTTCCCTTGGTGGAAGATGATAGAATTCGTACTCTCATGTGGAACGTGACGAGACGTTATAGTCAGTAATGAGAGAGCCGCCAACGAGGCAAGGAACATGCCTTTATGGCCATATGTCAGTCTCTTTGACTCAAATTTCGAAGTGCCTTCGAAATTGTAAGTTAGTAATTAGTCAATGAAAATCGAGGTGTACCATACAGTATGTTTTTCCAAGCCCCCCATCTCGCTCAAACTCCCGAGGAGGGATACCATGGCCATCATCCTCTACCACGCATCCGCCGCGCTGATAATCGACAGTGATCTTGATTGTCCCGGCATCTGCGTCAAGCGAGTTCTTGACCAGTTCTAGAATGACACCGTTCAGAGAGGTGATGGAAATGGAGGACTTGATCTTTGCAACTACATCTTCGGGTAAGGGCTGGATAGTCGCATCACGTTGAGACATAACACTTGTTCATCTCATCCAGTATATGATACCACGGAGTTCGGTACGGAAGACGTGAGCCCTCTTCCAAGGCTACGGGCGCTCCTTTGATATATTGGATGACTGTGACCTGGCCCGAAAGGGATCTTGTCTGACTATGAGTCCGGTAGAATGAAGAGAAATACCTCTTTCTAGCCAAAGTCAATGAATGGCCAGCTCTTCATAATTGAGGGCAGAAAAAGGGAGTAGCAACCAAGGTTGATCTCCAGACGATGTCGTTGCTGGAAAGATTGACCCGGACTCGCCATCATATCACGTGATACCATCAACCTTGACCACTGAGGGTCGCTACAGCCAATAGATGGACAATGTCGGTCTGCGGCTTTGTGAGTCGCCATCAAAGAAAGCTATATGGATGTGAGACCCCTTTGACCACAAGAATCCACTAGTCTACTAGCTTCGACTTCTTTGTGTAGAATTTAGGATTACGGATTTGCTGATCTCCATATTTATTCTTAGGACATGTTTCAAGTAGTTTTCAACGAACGTCAATAGAAAGTTCTTCCTATTTGTGGCACAAGCGATTCATAATGGTCATTAACAAGACAACAGAAGACAAGTAGCAGATGTTTGCAGATCGAGTAAAGAGACGTAAGTACTAATATAGCTACAGGGTGAGATGCTCTTCAGCCAGATCACGGAGATTTTACCTCCAAACCAAAAGAGCTCCGAGATATTTCGCAGAATATTTGATCATTCATTCATACATAAGGACCAGGGGAACATTGGCCTTCCCAAGCCTTCCTAATCATACCACCGCGTTCTTTACGACACGGAAGAACCAAATCGCATCGGACCAACCGCCCTTGTCACCTGGCTTCTCAATATTCACACCATGGTTGTCTTCTTCGGAAGACAAGGCATGATGATCCTCTTCAGTATGTTGCTCTTCGCCGTCATGAGCATCCTCTCGAAAAGTCACAGACTCTTCTGCACCTGATGCCACAGGCGCGATAGTGGGCGGCCACTCCTCATCGACACCAAAAAGGGTCCATTCTACAAAGCGGTCCAGCCAACTTCCTAGGCCAAAGCCCCGCTCGCGGGTCAGTCGCTGCAGCTCAATTTCATCAATATCGTATTCCGAATCCGTCTCTGAGGCAGATGATGACAGATACTCCTCCAAATAATCTTGGCGCATTGAAGCCATCTCGGATCGAACGTGATCATCCACGAAGTCCGGCACAAAATGTTGGGCTTCAGCCGGAGAAACAGCCTGAGAATAGTTGCATCCCACCGTCGAGTCGGTCGTTGTCATAGTAAGATCGACTCTGCTCCCCTTTTTACTCCCGCCACGCGAGCGGGACGCTCGTCTCGAAGCCGGGACTGGAGTGGCTCTGCCCGATCTTGACTTTCGTCCGATAACATCGTGTCGAGATGGTAGTACTGTCTCTTGCTCTTGCTCAACCAAACTCGTCGAGCTGTCCCGCTTGACCAACCAGCTCTGACCTTTCTCCTCACGGGTGGATGCTGCAAGCGCCAGACCCGCGCGGAGTACCCATTCTGGATCCTGGTGAATTAAGCCACTGGTGTGTTTGTGTCGATATGATGTTGTTCTTCTCTTGTCACCGTCATGGGGATGGTGATGATGGAGTGGCTCACTGCTATCGAGACCCTTCAAATTGGTCTCATTGAGAGGGCCACGGTTTGCACTTCTGCTCCGATTATATTGTCGTACACGCGATCCGCTCCGCGAATGCGACAGGATGGGAGGTGTCGACGGAACTGAGGCGCTGGAGAGATATGACGTCTTTACGGCACCCTGGGGTGTATAGGTTGATCCCAGCTCCCTGCGGTCTCGGGAAAAATAATCCTCAAATTCTGGATCATCGTCGAGCGGGATGCGAGAGGTCAGGGGAGCGACAGAGATATGCTGTAAAGAGGGATAGGAACGACGCGACCGGAACGAGCCTCCTGCAGGAGTAAGTGGCTGCGGGTACGAACATTAGCAGTTATGACATTGGAGACGACGAGTCAACCTACATCCATGGCCGACTGCTTTCTGGTTTGTGATAGAGAACTCGTGAGAAGAGTGAATTCCCTGAACGACTGACTGACACGTCGGACATGATCGATTTGAATCCCCCCGCAAGGTTGGCGGTGCCGAGTCTGGACTCCTGACATGTGATGAACACCCCCGGATACGAGAGGTCCGACACCTCGTCGTGAGGAGATCTGCTCACCGCTATGATCGGATCGACTCATGAGGCCAGTTGACTGCTTTTTTTTTTTTTTTTTTTTTTTTTTTTTTACGCGGAGAGCCACAACCGGGAACAATCATATATATAATTACCCATTGAACGTCAAATGGAGGCATGAGATGAACCCCTTGCGAACAGGTGAGATCGCTAACGTGTGTGGAGCGGATCATCGCGCTCCCAGTACAGTACGATACCAAGATCTAAGGGTGAACTTGGACCAATTCCTGGAAAATCGTAGAGATCTACCATCTCCGGTTCCCACTCAGATTTCACAAACTGCAGACACTTTTCAGGATCTTTGGAGTAACTGCAGAAAAATTTGAGCAGCCAAATACATGGAGTGAGTGGTATCGTATGGAACAAAAAGGTGAACAAAAAGGTTACAAGTCCACATACGCAACCAAACGACTGTAGTATAAATTACTCTTTGCATGCTATTCAATTTGAAGCTTGATAGTCATTGTATTTTCTCCCTTTTTGGATTTTCATATATGACGATCATGGGTACATAGCTGGTAGAGTGTGGACATACTTTACTGAGGTTCATTGTAAGCTCCCGGCAAACTGCACCAGCTGCCGACTCCGATTCAGGACAGCAATATGCATGCCCGTAGCGTGGGATAATCATATCTGACAACAAAAGAATTTACGGAAAATACATAGCCCCATATCGATCGATGGATAAGATACGAGAGACCACTAGGCTACACTAGTAAGTATGCGGAACCTTGGAAAGTCTAAATTTCCGAGAACACGAGGGATGGGGCAAATATAGATCTACTGGAGTACAAAATGAGGACTAAGTGTTAGTTATACGGAGATAATAATACTATTGCAATTAACTTATCACCGCTCTTCATTATTGCATCAATTGATCCGTACCATCCACAGAAAAGGGTTATAGTGGATCGAACTGTGACGCTATCGCAAGCGGTTTTATCGAATTGCAGAGAAGCATGTGGTAAGTTACACCCCAACCATGATTGGTAAGAAGTTAACTGGCTTACTTAGCTAGCAAGCATCCCAAGCTTGATCTTACAAATCTACAACAACAGCATTGCGTGAACTCAAAAACTGCTGCCGCCGCCGCTGCTGCTGCTAATACATCTTTCGTGGACCTTAAAAAACTAACTATCTACCTAAAGTGCTTGATCTACCCTTTCTGATATACGTAGAGCGCTTGAAGAGGCAAATACAACTCCACGATGCTTGAAGTTATCATCCGCCCCGGTCCCAAGACGGAGGTTATCGGCTCCGATATCCCTGTCCCAAATGATGACCAGGTCGTCATCAAGGTCGTGGTGTCTGGCAGCAATCCTAAAGACTGGAAGGTACCGGAGTGGAGAGGTATGACCATCAACCAAGGTGATGATATTGCTGGTATCGTGCACCAGGTTGGGAAAAATGTAACGGAGTTCAAGGTAAGTCGTTGTGCATTATGAACTCGGTATTTATAGAGTCTGCGGGTGTCTCAGGTACTAACGTTATAACATTCATCTATAGCCTGGAGACCGTGTTGCTGCTTTCCATGAAATGATGGCTCCCGGTGGTAGCTATGCGGAATATGCGGTCGCATGGGCGGACACAACGTTCCATATCCCGGCCAAGATTTCCTTTGAGGGTAAGCATCGATATTTTGACCCATAACTACTGTCTTGGAACTCATACTGATTCTGTTCTTAGAGGCTGCTACTATCCCGTATGTCGTTATGTCCCTAGATAATCCCCACTTCACCTCGCCTTCAAGCTCCTAACAGCTATCAATGCAGTCTGGCAGGTATGACTGCCGCACTTGGTCTCTTCGCTCGTCTGCAACTTCCCGACCCATGGACCCCCGCGCGCTCTCCCACCCCGTTGATTGTCTATGGTGGATCGACCGCCGTGGGCTCGTTCGCTCTGAAACTTGCCGTGAAGGCCAACATCCACCCACTGATTGTGGTGGCTGGCTCCGGCGCTTCGCACGTTGAGACCCTCATCGACCGCTCGAAGGGTGACACCATCGTCGACTACCGCAATGGTGATGACGCCGTCCTTGAGGGAATCAAAAATGCTCTGCGTGCTGGCGGCCATGAATCAGTCAAGTACGCACTCGACGCCGTGTCTGAAAAGGGTAGTATCCAGAATATTGCGAAGGTCATTGACCCGCATGGAAACGCCACCTTCGTCCTACCATACCAGGATGCGGAGAAGGAATTCCCAGAGACGGTAAGACTCTCCATGACAATGGTAGGTAGCGTGCATGGCCAGGGGACCGGGGAGGGAGATAAGGATTTTGGTTATGTGTATTTCCGTTATTTTGGAAAGGGCCTCGCGGAAGGCTGGTTTACGGGCCATCCGTATGAAGTACGCAAGGGTGGCCTGGAGGGTGTTGAGGCAGCTTTGCAGGATCTGAAGGCTGGCAAGGCGAGTGCTGTCAAGTATGTGTTCAGGATTAGGGACACGCCCGGCCTCGAGGCAGCCAAATAACTAGAACTGTTAGGTTGAGGTCTCACTACCGAATCGTGGGACTATGTTCCATTTTGCAATATGTGTGTACATGCTGGTAATGTCATTTCGTTTTGCCTCATGCTTCCTAGTTCAAAACCAGAAACTATACTGTATTTTATAGTACCTGATTTTATTGCTCCCCTCCTGCCCGTAGGTGGGTTGCTAAATCAAGAACTCCCCTCCGGCATAAATGCAAACATCTTGATCTCAATACTCTCTCGAGCTTTGGAATTTGCATACTCCGGGTCGATGAAAGCACAATGCGCCAGAGTCACACCTCCATTTCCCGTCTCCTTACTGTCAAACTGCTTAAACACCAACGGTTCCGACGGCTCCTGATGCGAAAGGTAGAACCACTTGTGTTTATCATTATAGACGACACTACCAAACTCATTCCTGCCGTGAGGAAATATCAGTCGATTAACCATCCAATCCGTCTCTGGATCCACTGAGGTCCAGTCACAGACCGTCAAAGGATCGCGGGTGATGGTCTTCAGGGGCCGCCACACATTAATGATGCAGAACCGGCCTTTCGTGAGCTGTTCTCTTTCTGCTGGGTCTTTTACATTCACTTCGAGGTGATGCAGAGCCCCGGGAACTGTGAAGTCAGAATGCACAATGTAAGCTGGGGCGCGGCTATCCCCCCGCTTGGCAGTATCAGTTGCCTTGCAGCGAATGCGATGGGCAAATACGATAGTCTTTGTAGCACCAGTCCTGTCCAATGATTAGTCCAATATCTTCATAGGATGGCGAGACGAGACACTCACAATTTCTGGACCAATGTTTCGGTTTCTGGAATCAGGAGAGCAGCGACTAAGTCCTCATTCGAACAGTCCTTCAGTCCAGGAACTTCGTGATGGATATACTGAAACCCATTGCGGTCGAGGGTGAAGTCGTTCTCCTGGCCGCGAATATCATGGATTGTGACTGGGTGGGTGGTCCTCAAACTCTCGAGAGCATTGAACCTCTCTTCCCCGCCAGGAGTGGTGAAGTCTGTGCTAATGACCTTGCCAGGGGCAGGTTTCCAGTACACAAGCTCTGTTGTGACGTCCCTTCTGCAAGTTGTGGCAGCCATAGCCGTTCTCTTTTTCTTGTTTTCCAATGGTCCGAGTTAACAAGACACTTCAGGTACCTATTTTGTGATTCAGGAGAGGTACATACATAGGGCAAGACGTAGTATCGAAAGTGAATTGACATATTCCTCGTTGTAAAAGCTAGGCTAAAGCAGTGTTTGCTGTAGACAAGGAGGGGGTCCTTAGTTAATTCGTCCTTGAAGCCAATTAGAAACCTGATTATTAGTAGCATGCAAGTAGTTTGCCGTATTCGTATTCGCATTCGGAAAGAATACTGGATTCAGGAACACTTGAAGCTTTCGCATATACTACCTGACAAGTCTATCTGGACAGGATTTCTAGAAAACAAAATTACGCATAAACTTTTCCTTTCGTTTTGTTATTAGGTAGTGGTTTCAGCCGTGACTTCTCATCATCTATTCGATCTTTCCCTTATTAACCACGAAGCCCTCCAGGGCAGAGATGGCCGCCCACAATCGGTTCTCTGCCTCTGGGAAAACAAGAGAGCGTCTGCTGTAGAAGACTTCGTCGCTGACTTCTTCTGGGTGGCGTGGCAGACAGTGCATGAACTTCCAGCCCTCCTTGGCTCCTCCCCGTTTGGCAAGTTCTGAAGTGATCTGGAAACCCTCAAATGCCTTCATTCTCTTGACCTTTTCTTCCTCCTGTCCCATGGACACCCAGGTGTCTGTCACGAGAATATCCGCACCCTTCACTGCCTCCTCGGGAACATTCGTCTGAATGAGCTTTCCGGGAGAGCTGACTCCTGCACCGGCCTGCTTGATGATTTCAAGCATGGAAGCAGGAATTTCATACCCCTTTGGTGTCGCCACTGCGAGATCGACACCCATCTTGGCCGCTCCAATTGCCATATCGAAGAGCACATTGTTCGCATCACCAACCCAGGCAATCTTCAGGCCCTCCAGGCCCAGGCTGGAGAGACCGGCCTTGCCTGTCGTAGGAAACGTCTCGTGAATGGTCAAGAAGTCCGCGATAATCTGGAGCGGATGGAACGAATCGCAAAGGGCGTTGATAACCGGGACCGTAGAGTGCTTCGCGAGATCGGCCACATCAGAGTGCTTTGCAACACGGGCGACAATGCACGACACCATCGACGACACCACTACTGAGGTATCGTACGATGACTCATTGACCCCAAGCTGAATATCGTCCTTCCCCAAGAACATGGGGTGGCCACCCATTTGAACCACCGCTCCTTCTGTAGAAACCCTGGTCCTGGTACTTCGCTTGTTGAAGATCATGGCGACCGTCTTGCCTGACAGAGAACCCAGGAGATTCCTCGGAATTGATCCCGACTTGATGGCTTTTTTGTGGGCAGAGGCATTGCGGACAAGTGTAGCGAATTCGGCCGGTGTGAGGTCGGCAATTGAGAGCAGATGCCTAGGAGCGAAAGGAGAGGTGGGAGGTGTCGAGGGGGAGGAATATTGTCGCAATTGACGAGCTCGGACAGCTCGAGAAAGCTGGTTGTTGCTGGTCAATCGATTTACATTGTGCAGACCATTGCGTGCTGCGACGTGCAGACTGCAAGCCATTGTGGATGCGCAAGAATTGTAACGCTTTTTTTTCCTGCGTGGAATGGTTGAAAGCACTCAAGAGTGAGTCTGAGAAAACCGAAAGATAGCAAAGTCGGGATGCGAGCCGATGACACAAGTTCATATTCAATTGATACGGTAAATAATAATAATTACAGTACCAACACAATACGAACCGGTTACCGCTTGTTGGCCCGAGCGGCCGCTAAACCGTGGGGACGTCATCTCCAGGTCCAGTAACCTTACGGGGCCCGTACAAAAGAGGCTTGGCGAGGTCGGCCGTCGTAGATAAGTACTAGAAGGCTTAGATTACATCTGCCTCAGGTACTGGTACAACGTCCCTCTCCGTTGTCACCGTCTGTCATCGACTCTTCCATCATCCAAAGTTTCTTGGAATAATAATGTGAAGCATCTCCCGCCTTTTGAAACAGGTCCAGATCCTCGTTCTGAGTCGGACCCCGCTAATCCACCTTCAACCATTATGACTGACGACGACGCAAACGCGCCCCTGCTGGACAGGGCGTCACGATCACCCTCACCTCAGCGTTCTATGAGGTCTAGTCGATCTGGGCATCAACAACAACCGAGTCCTTTCATTCCATCCACAGAATCGACACCCCTCCTGCTACATCACGACGATGGAGCATCCCGATACGGTTCAGCACTTGAAGCAAGGTCCTCACCGCCAGCCTCGAGAGACTCTTCGCTTTGTCGAACGACCGACGAATCCAAAGCTCACCGGCGGTTGCCAACATATCTAGCTATAGCTGTCTTAAGTGCGACCATCATCGCCATCCTCGTTCTTGTATTTGTCACGCCGGCTGCCGTCAAGGAATATGCCGAACAAGCAGTTGTCTTCAAACCTACCAATCTGTCCATCCATTCATCTACTGCAGACGGCGTGAGGGCTAGAGTGCAGGGAGATTTCGTTCTGGATGCATCTCGTGTGCGGAAGAAGTCTGTTCGAGACCTTGGTCGGTTTGGCACATGGGTCGCAAGGGAAGTCAAAGCGGATGAATCCGAGGTGCAAGTCTACCTGCCCGAGTACGGTAACGTGCTTATTGGAACCGCATATGTACCCTCCATCAAGGCCAATGTCAGAAATGGTCATGTCAATCACATCGACTTTCTCACCGATTTGGTGGCTGGTGATATTGCCGGCATTCGACCGATTGCCAACGACTGGTTGGCGGGAAGGCTAGGTCAACTACGCTTCAAAGCGACCGCAGCTGTTACCCTAAGTTCGGGTCTGCTCAGTCTAGGCACTCAGGTTCTGTCTGATGTCGTTACATTTTCAGGTAGGTCGTCCAGTTCCAGTCAACGGTTACCCCTGCGTATAGGACTAATCTCCCAAACAGGCCGCGACCTGCCCCAGTTTCCGGAATTCAATATCACGAAGCTTAATGTCCATGAGGCAAAGATGCCTGGAAACAAACAAGCAATGGCTGTTGATGTCTCAGCCACTGTGCTGAATAGTTATCCGTTCAAGCTCACCGTCCCGCCTCTTGGTTTCGATATCTTGGTGCCGAATTGCTCGCCAGGAGACCCATATATCTTAGTGGCCGATGCCATCACAGAGACAGTCCATATTCAACCAAAACAACCTACCGCTCTTGACGTCAGTGGACTGATCCATAATCTACCCGTCGAATTGACCAAAGTGTGCCCAGGACAGAAGAGCTCTCCGCTGGATTTGCTCGTGGCAAATTATATCCAGGGCTTGGAGACAACCATCTTTGTTCGCGGAGCGGATTCTCCGTCAGACGAGACTCCCACTTGGATAGTGGACCTAATGAAAAGTGTTATAGTACCTTTGCCATTCGCGGGGCATGCATTTGACAACCTGATCAAGAACTTTTCAATGACGAATGTGCATTTTAGCCTTCCAGATCCCCTAGCTGAGCCAGGGAGTCCTGAAGCTCAGCCGAAGATATCGGCCTTCGTCAATGTCCTAATCAATTTGCCCGAGCAAATGAATTTTGCTGTGGATATACCCCGTGTGCGTGCTAATGCGGATGTCTTCTATCATGGAAACAAGCTTGGATTTCTAGATCTGAAGAAGTGGCAGCCTGCGAACGCTACCCGTCTTGAAGGTTCCGACGGGCCCCCTAGCCTGCTGGTAGTATTCGATATCAAAGATGCACCGCTCCACGTTACAGATGAGGATGTATTCACCGAAGCTATACAGGCTTTGATCTTTGGAGGACAGCCTATTTCCCTCAAGGTGGCTGCAGATGTTGATGCGGAGGTGAAGACGGCATTGGGGCAGTTTCTGATACGCAAGATACCTGCTGAAGGCAAGATCAATGTGAAGCGTAAGTCGAGGCCGACTGACTTGAAGACCCTCACGACTGAACATCCTTTAGCTCCCTACGGTCAGTCTTTATCTGACATAAACCCCCGCGTCGAATCCCTGAAACTTCTACACACGACGGAAACGTCTGTTCTAGTTCAGGCAATGGTCAACTTCACGAACCCGACAAAGTATGCGGCGATGATCCCCCTGGCTGACCTGCTCCTGTCATACAATGGAATAGGAGTCGCACATTTGATTATGCGAAACGTCTCTGTTGTTCCTGGATCAAATTCTGGTGTTCCTCTAGAACTCCTCTGGAATCCATTCGATTCAAATGGCACTGATGGGATAGCAGCTGGTAGAGACATGCTGTCACAATACGTTTCAGGTCGGTATCTTTGGGATATATTTTTCTTGGGTTAAGTGACTAAATTATCTTAGGAATGAACACTACTGTGACGCTCCAGAGCCACGAGGGTACTATACCTGCGCTACCGCAGCTTGGCCGAGCGTTTTCCGAATTGCGACTAGATCTTCAAGTTCCCAGGCTTCGGTTACCGGGTGCACCACGCGATGACGATGACGATCCTGATGCTGATGATGGACCCCATTTCATCAAGGATGCAACGGTACTGTCTTCTTTCCTCGCTACTTCAGCCTTCTAGCGATTCTAACCAGTGTATACCGGTGGGGTGTCCCTCTTGTCACCACATTTGACCATTCCAGTCTAAATCACGACAGCAAGCTAACATCTATGCTTGATAGTTTCATCTGTGGACTTCAACCGCTGTTTTTACGCTGCTCTCACCGTTCGCTGAGACCACTGTATTTGTGACTTCGGTCGATGCGGTAGCTTTCTACAACCATACAGAAGCCCTTGCGAAGATTCTTTATCAACTTCCTTTTGCAGTTCCGCCCGGCGAGTCAGAGACTCCAAGGCTCCCTGTCGATTTAAACGTGAATGATGCTGGTCTTGATGTTTTGAAAAGAGCTCTGGGTGGTACACTACGGATGGATGCTCTTGCGAAGATAGGCGTTAGGATGGGGGAATACCAGACAGTTATATTATACAAGGGTAAAGGTATTGGAGCGAAAGTCAGGATATAGCGCTGGTTCGTTATGATTTGCGGAATATCCCCGCCATTGTTCTTCAGGGAGGGGTTATTGGAGTATAGGGATAGGACCATTATCTAGCTCAGTTGGTTTTCTCTTCGCGGATATTTCATCCGCGACATGGCAAATATTAGGTTGCGTCGATTGATTGCTTATGAAGTACCAATTCACAGACTCTAGGTTATTGTGCCAGATCCTCGGAGCGGTTTCAGCTTCAATTTCTTTCATGATCTATAAGACATTCTCCTCCCCATTTTGCCTAACGAGATTCCCAGTGTCACTTCAGTAACTAGTATGATGCTGAGGTGGCTCGTCTTGTCTTTTAATTCGACAACACCGTCGATCAACGAAGCAGCTATACAACGCACCATCGACTCGTACCTATCATCGCTCACCCCGTGGTCTCGGATGGCTGGAAAGAACGGTCTTGGAACAAACTCCTCGTTCTATCACCTTTGACCAGAAATTGCACCTCATTACTAACCATCACCGAACATCCAATCCCCTTGACCCGGAACTTCTGCGGAAACTAATTACCTCTCTGTAGGTATCGGACGGGACGCGCCTATCTCCGCTTGCCGAGGCTGCGCAGTCCCCAGGATCTTTCGTTTTCAATCTTCCCTGCCTGCTAGCGTCTACTCATAGATATGGTAGGTAGGGGAGTGTTACTCTTGTCCTACGTACGTGCACGTTTCTGTGTTCTCTTTGACGTCTTTGACGGGGGCTGTCTCCATAATGTGAGGATGCCGCGTACTGATAATATAATAGTGGATACATTTTCGATTCGGTGTCTAGATATTGCTGTGTTATATGCCGTGTCAGTATTCATCTAGGTCCAAATTGCGATACTTCGTCGCCGCATCGCCCTAGCAGTACTCCTTGAATCTACTTACATCGTCCTCGGACCTATATATCTATGAACTTCACCGATGCAAACTAACAGAACGAGGTACACTTGTTACAGCGGGAGGCAAGTTGAGGTTTCGATAGCTGGCGGTGATACAGTGTGATGAGTCCCGCGTATAACTGTTTGCCTTATGGCAACTCCTCATAAAAAGGTCAAGTTTACCGAATTAATGTTGCACAGTCATTTGATCAATGCATTAGAGCTACTGCCCATGGCAAGAAAGCCTGGGATCATATGAAGACCAACTTGGTCATCTTCATATCCGAGAGCCAACCGGGTCTGCAGGGAGCGCTTATTGTTTGCCATATCACCTGTTCTCCTATAAGGAAATAGCCGCTGGACACCCATGCATGACATGGCAAATGCCTTGTCCAATTGCCGCTCAAGTTCCACAGCATTTCAAATATACCGGGGGAATGTTGGTGTTCCGCAAGGCAAGCGCGATATGGTACACTTGCGGGAATGATATCAAATCTCTATATATTTGCTGCTATGATCCATGTCATGAACTGTTCTTACTGATAAAGATTTTACTCCTTTGTGGATTTACTGCTTCGTCATTCCGATAACTTTGTAACTGTTCCCCATTGATTCAACGGCTTCTTGTGAGAAACTTAACAAGTATTCTGTGTCTGAAGACCTGAGTACATTCACAGCTACAGTCCAGGCCGACCTCATAAATGGGCTTGCACTGCGCCTTGTTCCATTCAATAGTGGACTTGTACCCCGACAGAGTTAAGTCCATGATTTAAGCCACAACTGTGGTAAGACCTTGTCTTCGCATTTTAAGGTACGTCCTAATGTCTTTGAAATATATCCTTAAGTTACTATTGAAGCGTCGTTTTACCCGGATACTTAGTTAGGCTGACTATTGATCCCAGTTTCCAGTCAGACTCGTGATTACAGCTTCATTTTCGATTTGATATTTTTCGTGATCTAAACCAAATACCACCAAGCAATCAGCTGCCTTATCAGGAATCTACAAGAGGCGGGCTTGAAAGCAAACATGTGTCACAAAATTATTCACTACGTATGTGGCGCTGTTGAGAAGGTCTTTTCGGAGACATGCAGCTGTTCGCGCAAGGCTGAGGAGAATTACAGTCAGCGCCACTGCGGCATCTGCGAGATTTGTACCAATGGCTAGATTATTATTGTCCAATTAGGTGAAGAATACATGCGTCTACAAGTGGAGTTGCCCTGAGGTCAAGACATTTCGTGAAACATATCTCTGACCGAAGTTGCGAAGCGCGCACTGCGCAGGGAGCAAGTCGAGGTACATGGATCCTTTGTAAGGAAACAGCACATTCCTATTAAGCCTGTGTCCCAGTTCTCACAGTGAAACTCTTATGGACTTGGTAACTCATATGTATTGTTTTTTTCTCATTGCAGCTGACGCCGTGGCCTCATTCTATTAAACCGTCTCTCTTCGGCGAGATGAACTTGTATGATTCAAGGAAACTAAATCATAATTTTAACGCGGTCTATTCGCTCTTTTATCAGCTGTTATGGTCGAACTCGGCGAATAATAAATACAACTACAAACTTACCATGTTATGGCTCCCATGAATTCGATGTAGACACCGGGAACATGCAAAGATTCTACATACCAAAGCAATTTTCTCGTAAGAAAGTATCTATATGTCCCTTTCAGCTGGGGTTTGTAAAACCGAGCCGTTTGAGAAAGGCTACTATTCCCTTTGACTCTTGAGATGGAGGCAGAAACTGAGACAGTGGGCGCGACCAACACTGGCCAGCAAGTCTGCACATTGATCAAAAGACCAAGAGAGTGACCGATTAGCCGGGGCGGAAGTCGATTTCACATCATAAAATTCTTACCAAGACCCTATGATTCTGTCCAGCTAGGCTACCAGTCTTGCAAATATAACGGGCTCCGAATTCATTGAGACTATCTACAAGACGCCAATACGTCAATGCTTCGAATCACAACAATGCTGCTCAGCGACATCCTTTGACAAGTCAGACAGGATATAATAATACTTAGTGCTCCTCTTCTCCTGTGTTTGTATAAAGTATATTGGCGAATACTTTTCTCGCGTGGTGTTTCAGATGTGAGAAGGAAGCTACATAACTAAGTAATCCCTCAGGTAGGTAGTTATCTCCGCTACGCCTAAATCAATTAATGCATGGACGAAGCATGTTAACGGAGCTATGGCGCTTCTGGAGCTGTATAGACCAGAATAATCCTATGGGCCTCCTCGACTTACTGCTTCTTTGCAGTAAGAAACGCGATAACTAGTGATGGCCTACTTGTTTCAAGGTCCTAGATAACTGGCTGTGTACATCGAATAATGCCCATTTCTGCAAGCCCCCATCAAGATGTCAGGGCAAGCAGTAGAGATCAAGCGTTCGCCTATAGTAGCTTGTGTTCGTCGACTAATAGAAATAATGGCCGAGTTGCGCCCTATATATAAAGGAGGCATATACTTCAATGGTTCATATGAAGAAAGCGGAGCTTCGCAGTGGTTACCGAGTTCCCTCCCAACATAACATGAAATAGTATTATAACTATTGCGCCAAATGTACTGGATACAGTGTTGTGGCGGTTTATCAGACGGAAATACTCGATAGATAAATGGGTCTTCGAAAGAATGACTACAGCCGAGAGACCCTACAAAATCGGCGTATTCGATCGCTTAACCGTCCGAGTTCCTACACTAGGTGGAAATTACGAGACATGGATGAAACAGAAGGATCTATCCCCGGCATGAATTACTAGTTGCTGAATACAAAAGAGAAAGATATCTGAATATTTGACACATGCTTTTTAACCAGGGGGCAGAGTGCTAGCGTCGACAACGTCAGCGGCCTCCTTCTCGACCTCCTCGTTGGGATCCGAAAGAGGGGAACGAGGCAAGGCCATCAGACCCGTTCTCGTAGATTCCAGGATACCGAAGGGGGCGATCAGCTTGAGGAAGGAGTCGATACGAGAGGGTTTGGCGGAACTGGTCTAATGTTAGTTGTTTCCATCTGAATGAAGGGGGATAGATGCACTTACACCTCAACGATACAGTTGTTGTTGCTGATATCAAGCACCTTACCGCCGAACTGATGTGTCAGACGAGTGATAGCGTCGAGATGCTCGTGCTTGTGTCGCAGAGCCTGACTAGGGGGAAGGTGACGCGGGTGGAAATCAGAAGTGTCATCAAGAGATCCCGCAACCTTCTGCTGCTCGCGCCTCTGAGCCTCGCCCTCTGGAGCAGGGCGAGAACTGCCGTCCTCGGGAGTAGTGATTTCGCGGTGATGCTGCAGCAGCTCCTCGAAGACCTCGGGGCCTAGAATGCTGACCTTGGCCAAAAGCAGTTCACGCTGCACGAGAGCGGCATTGGTGTAGTCGAGCACAGCCCACACAGGAACGAGGTCATCCAGCTGGCGACGAGCCTGTTCAACAACGCCGTCGAGGCCTTGGAGAACGATGGTCATGCGCGAGAGGTCCTCCACCTCCGTGTTGCAGACCACCAGACTGTCAATGTTAAAGCCTCTGGCAGCCAGAATTCCGGAGATGCGAGAGAGCACACCGGGCTCATTCTGAACCAGGCAGTTCAGGATATGGCGCTTGGGAGGGTTCGTCGGAGGAAGAGGTGTCTCGTACAGGATGGACGACACAGCAGCGGGGGCATCCCACTGGGGTGACGAGTCCTGAACCGGAAGCGGGAGAGGAGCACGACGGTGCAGGGCCTTGTATGCAAGTGCAGACGTCGAGCTGGAAGAAGACCTGATGGATGTGAAGCGCGGCAGGGCGGCAGCGGTCTTCGACGTGGCCGCGGAGGTCGCTGTCAAAGACGAAGACGCTGAGGACAGCGTCCAAGCGCGCCGGAAAGCCATTTTCCGTAGCTGGCCTGTGACGGGAGACAGGCAGACAGCAAGCGCAGATCCTCTGATCCTCTCCCGTCAATGAGGAATGGGAACCGGGGAAAGAAGGTGAGGATCTTTGGAGGAGAAAGAGACGAGATATGATTCTTTTCGAGTCAGCCGTCCGACGTCGGCTTGACTCACGCGTAAGTCCGATACCGGTAAATTACCGCTAGTCTCTGTTGGGACAGGTCCAGTGGGCGCAACAATTGGCCATGATCGTTTTGCGTATCGAGATCTGGTATTGCTCGTACTAGCGTCTCTCGCCGCCTTGGCCGGCCACTAAACATGGACTTTGAACTTCCTCTCACGCTTCTTGGTATGCGACTTTTTTGATATAATCACGGCAGCTCTGGTTCTGCCCCCACGATCAGATAATCCGACTATATTTCATCGCCCTCTTCCTCTCCCGTTACCTTCCGCTCATTGAAGACGTCATGGCTGATGAGGAGCGCCGGACGAAGCGCTCCCGCTTCGATCAAACGGAGCCTGAACCACGACGATCCAGATTTGACCGCCGTTCGCGATCGCCCTCAGCGCGACAATCTGAATCTACTCGGACTAGAAGCCCTCTGAGCCGGGAACCGCGCAGTCCTGCCGCGGAGGACAAGAAGGATCCCGCAGCAGCAGCAGGTAGGCCGGCGTTGCCCCTCCAGGATGTTGCCTGTCATGAAAACTAACATTTCCGCGATCCAGCTGCGGCGGCCGCCAAAATCAACGCGCAGTTGCAAGCAAAGAAGGGAATTCAGCATGTCGATGTCCCTCCAATCCGATCTGTGAGCGAGAATGGTCATCGGCCTGCGAGGGATGTAGCTAACATACAGGAGACCGCGAGCCCGGTCGGTCAATCAGCCTCGCCGTCTGGCAGTCAGAGTGCGGGCAAGCTCAACGATGAGATCTATATTGCGGACGGAGATTATATCAAGGATATCGAGGTCAACGATCTGCGCAACCGCTATACGCTGACAAAAGGCTCTACGCAGAAGATGGTAAATAGTTCCTGTTATATCCGCTGATATTCCCAGGCATTTGGCGCAAGGTGGCCAATGGGCCGCGCCTACTAACCTCTTTCTCGCGTTATTCCCCCCCATACTTTTGTCATGACTGTGCCAGAAGCTTACCCAAACATAACCATAGCATCTCACATCCCCTCTTTTGCATCTGCTGACCTCGGCTGCGTGACATTTAGATCAAGGAAGAAACTGGCGCCGGTACGCCTCACTCCATACATTTTATATATCAACTTTGAAGGGATAGAAGCTCATCAGGTTTTTTTTTAAAGATGTCACCACCAGAGGCAGTTATTACCCGGATAAGAGCATGGCCACAGCTGCCGTATGTTTCCCTCGACGCTTGAACAATCTGATTGTGGATGTTAATTGAAGCGCATACAGAACCCGCCGCTCTATCTGCACGTCACGAGTACTAGCAAGGAAGGCTTGGAAAAAGCCGTTGCCAAGATCGAGGAGCTTATGAAACAGGAGTTGCCCAATCTGGTCGATGAACGACGCTTCCGCCGTCGAGAGCCAGAGAACTTTGAGCGTGACGAGTTTGGTCGAGTATGAGATGCGTATATAACCGTCTTCCGGGTTAAGAGGCTAACTTTCCCAGCGCAAATGGCCCGAAGAACGCATTCCTATCGACCTCGAGCCCATCCCAGGATTTAACCTTCGTGCACAGGTTGTTGGTCAGGGCGGCGCTTATGTCAAGCATATCCAGCAGAAGACCCGTTGCAAGGTCCAGATCAAGGGTCGTGGCTCGGGATTCACTGAGGTCAGCACCGGTAGAGAAAGCGATGAGCCCATGTACCTGCACGTGGCGTACGTAGACCCATTCCAGTGACTGCTTTCTTATACTAACCTTTGGCGCAGAGGACCTGATCCCAACGACGTTAAAGCGGCCAAGGAGCTTTGTGAGGATCTATTGGCCAATGTGAGAGAACAGTATCAGCGCTTCAAGGAGAACCCTCCTCAGCATAGATACGGTGGCTATGAACATCGCGGCGACCGTCACCACTCCTATGGCGGCGGCTATGGAGGAGGATATGGCAGCCAGTCGCACCATGCTTCTCCGCCTGCTTCTGCCAGTCCGACGGGTGCTGCTGCCCCTGGCACGCCTGCCGCTCCTGGCGCTTCTAGTGCTGCCGACTACGCTGCTCAATACGCCCAGTACTATGGTGGTGCTGATCCGTATGCTGCCTACGGGGGATACCAGAACTATCTTGCCTATTACCAGTACTACCAGCAGGCTGCTCAGCAACAGCAACAGCAATCTCAAAGCCCACCACCCCCTCCTCCGTCTAGTGAAGCTCCTCCGCCACCTCCACCTCCTGGTGCTGGCTCGCCGCCCCCGCCTCCTGGGGGAAGTGGTTATAATGCCGTATGTACCCCCTAAAATTGTGAAAATGATGCGTCGACTAACTCGTGATAGGTTCCGCCACCTCCTGGTTTGTAAACGATCAGTCGATCGTACTCGCCCATAGATCTGGAAAACTTGGAAATCCATTCCCCAGTACGTTATCCGGTTCATCACTAGGGTTATATGACAAGGTTATCTTGGTACTTAATGCCACCCACGTCTCGTACCACAGCCTTATCTGAACGACTATCTTGAAGTGCAATTAATCGACAGACCTTTTACGAGATGCGTCTTTCAGGTATAGCGCCTGGCGCAGGTGCCCGGTGTTCGAGCCGATACTCGAGTCTGATTTTGTAATTTTTCCGCGCTTTCGTCGATTTTAATGGTACCCAAAAATCCCTGTCTTTGTGTTTACTGATAGTAAAGAAACAAAAACCTGCCTCTGTGGCATTCGCACAACTGTAATGCTCTTCGTTTTATAATCTGTCGCTTCCGCAAAATGAAGAAATCTATCAGCTTTGGTAAGCACCTGTATTCGATACTTGCTATTTAGTAGTGTTGATGACAGCTGCAGTTCGACAATCAGGCTTCGCCTTCTCTCACTCAACTGTCCTCCGCTACAGAGTGTTCTCCTGACACGTATCTTCCTAGATGGCATCCGGTGCGTATTATTCGTAAGTCAGGTCGCTCTTGAGTAGTTGGTGAGGCGTTCCACGGAAGACAATACTGTCGTTTGACATTGCGGAATATGCCCGCTGGCTTTGTTTATTCTACCCGGGCAAAACAAAGGTATCTACCACTAGTGCTTGCGACCTAACACTGAAGGAAAATATTCCAATAGCTAAGGTTCCCACCATTGGAGGGAGCGTGCGCTCCACCGTTCTAGAACAGCCAAGGCTATGATTGACCTGGATCCAACAACCACGGAAAACGTGCAGGACTTATAAGCTCCAGAGCTGTTATCTCGGGCAGTGTCCGATATCAGTCTTTTTATCTCATGGTGTCGGTAACCAAAGCACGAGATTGACAGGTCCATGTGGTATTCTGCATCCAATTATTTGATAGAAATGACGCGATCCTGCGCTTACCTTCGAAACAGCTGTTGGCCGAAAGTGGAGCCTTATGGTGTGATCATAGCAGCGCAAGATAGACCAGGACTGTAGGTTGAAGTAGTTCATAAGAAGATGCGATGTTCGCGACGCGGTGTCGTAGTTGTGTTGTAAGTGCCATACTCGATCCATGGTGATACTCAATAGATCCCTGGTCGCGCAGAACCTCATTTCCCAGATATAGATATGTCTGGAGAGAGTCTGGTTCCATTACCCCAAGGGGCGGGGTATGGGGTAGTTGTTGGTGTTGGTCTTGCTTTTGGTATCGGAATGGTTGGCGTCAATAAGTTTCTGGAGAAGTTTCTACTTGAAAAGTCGGATCATACTGAAATGTAAGATTCCCCGTCTAGATCAATGTGTTATATGCTTCGATTAGGAACCGCAGTTTGGAATTGATGCTCATGCGGTTTTGCAGGTTCATGGTCGCCAATCGTAGCGTTGGTACTGGGCTAACAGCTTCCGCTGTTATATCCTCATGGATGTGGGCGTATGTCTTCAGAGCTCCTGTCTAATGACGTGCTACTAAAATAATATACAACGCACAAAGTACAGCCATTATCTGGACAGCTGCCCAGGGTTACCTCTACGGAATCGCAGCGCCATTCTGGTACGCCGCTGGCGTTTCTATACAGATTGCTTTGATGACAGTGCTTGCCATCCACGCTAAAGTCAAGGTCCCGTATGTTATCCCTTTCTTCGTCTTCGAAAACAAGAAAAGGAAAAAAAAAAGCAGATGCTTGAGAACTGCCAAGTCTATGTTCAAGCAATTGACAGCTGGGTCAACCACTAGGAACGGCCACACTGTTTTGGAGATTGTCAGACTCAGATATGGGACCCCGGCCCATGTCATTTACATCTTCCTATGTTTCGTCACCAATTTACTTTCAGTAACGTCTATGATCCTGGGAGCTGCTGGAGTTATTACCGCATTGACTGGCATGCACATTGTTGCGTCGACCTTTCTTCTGCCTCTTGGAGTCGTGGTGTATACAGTATCAGGAGGATTGAAGGCGACTTTCCTAACTGATTATGTGTGAGTGCTTCGTCAAATATCTTGTTAGGGACTGACTTTTGGAGAAGAGTGGGACACTGACTATATTATAATGTTCCAGCCACACGCTCATAGTAATGGTCATACTCTGCTTTTTGACCGTCAAAACGTTCACAAATCCAGCCATTACCGATTTGAGTTCCTTCTACGATATCCTGGTTGCTGCGGATAAGACTCGTAACATAGAAGGGAACTATCAAGGCTCGATACTTTCATTCAAGTCCAAGAGCTCGATTATATTTGGACTTGTCCACTCTTTTGGAGATTTCGCTTTGGTCATTATGGACACCAGTTTCTGGCAGAAGGGTATGTTTGAATGGAGATGTTTTCGACAGCAGCCAGTCTCCTAACTAATTAATAGGCTTTGCTGCCGACACCGCTGCTACCATGGTAGGCATCGAAGGAAATGTTATGTTAGCCAAAAATTCTGTGACTAACGCCTTCTAGCCAGGATACATGCTTGGAGGAATATCTTATTTCGCCGTTCCTTGGGCTGTAAGTATCACGAAAGTAGCATCTTTTTTCTAGTCTACATAAGCTTACGTATTATCCTCCATTCAGGTTGGTACTACAGCCGGTCTAGCAGCGATCGGGCTTGAAAACACTCCCATCTTCCCAACTTATCCAAGAGTTCGTTACTCCGAAACAGGATAATTTGCCAATACATCACTCACATTTTCCAGAAAATGACTACCAGCGAGATCAACGCCGGATACGTCCTTCCTTACACCGTCATGGCCATCGCCGGAAAAGGAGGTGCATTTTCACTGCTCTTAGTGGTCTTCATGTGTGTAACGAGTACAACTTCTGCCGAACTGATAGCTGTCTCGAGCATATTCTCGTTCGACGTCTATCGAACATACATCAACCCCAAAGCTCATGATAAGCAAGTAATTCGCGTGTCTCATTGGTCGGTTATCGCATTCGGAATCTTTGCTTCGGCCTTCGCTACAGCGTTGCATTACGGCGGTATCGACCTGAATTGGATGGGATATTTCCTAGCAACGATCATCTGTCCGGGAATGTTTCCATTGGCGTTTACGATTCTCTGGAAGCAACAGTCTGCTGCAGCTGCGACAATTGCCCCTATCCTAGGTTTGGTGAGTGACTCTCATCGTTCTGTATGCGTATCTAAAGATGGAGTCTGACTTAGAACCCCAAGGCGAGCGGCATCGCAGTATGGCTCGGGACAGCATACGCTTACGCTGGTGAATTGACCGTCATGTCGACTGAAGCTCAACTGCCGTGTTTATGGGGAGCGCTCACATCCACATTTTCCTCTGCTATCTACTCGGTGATCATCACATATATCAAAGTACAGTACATACATATCAAACCCACCATCCCCCTCTCTATCCACGCAAATACACAACACCACCTTTCATAATGACTACCTACTAACGCACACGCTTCCCACCAGCCTCAAAACTTCGACTGGCGCGTCTTCCTCCTTCTCAACGAAGTAAAAGACTCCTACTCGGAAGATTCTTCCAGCACCGGACCCGAAGCTACGAACCCTATCGCAGACACGCAGGATCTGGACAGCGTCCAGCATCCGTACCCACCGGAAGAACTGAACCGAATGAAACGCGCTGGTATCATCGCGAGCGTTTTCAGCGTCATCGTAGGTCTAGTCACGTGGGTTGTGTGGCCGTTGCCATTGTATAGGGATTATATCTTTACGAAGTCGGTGAGTTTGGTCATCTTCTTTCTCTTCTCATGTATCTCTTTTCTTTTTGTCTGATTAAAATTATAGTTCTTCTCTGGTTGGACGGTTGTTTCGGAAATATGGCTCTTCTTCTGCCTGCTCGTTGCGTCTGTTTATCCCATCGTTGATGGAAGGGATGTTCTGCTGAAAGCGGCAAGGCTCGCGTGGCAGAGTATTACAGCGAAAGGGGAGGGTCAGTATCAACCTGAGGAGAGAAAAGGAGCTCATGATCAGTCTTCATCGAGTGGTGTTGACGATGAAAGGAACGAGAAGGTGCCTGCGGGGGTGGAGGACAAGTCGAAAAACATAGATGTAGTCTCTGTTTCATAAGGGTTGAGAGAGTATGAGGTTCTCGATATACCCACAACATCTAACGGGTTGTTTATAGAATATGGGGTATCGTTCAAAGATAGAATAGAGCGTGAAGCTCCTTTCTCAAGGGTTCTGCTTTGTGGATATGTTTAGAAATGAAATATGATGAGAATAAGTACATTATTCCGCCCGTGAGTGTTCCTTGCGCCATTTAATAGAAACATATGTTCAGTCAACCATAGCACTAATCCCGTATAACGACCAATCAAATTGATCATTTCGTCCCTAAAAAATCGTAGATATCCACAGAGGTTGAGAAAGGCCAAGGCATAACCACCATATGCGGATAAAGTTCATCGGTCATATCTTGCAGCAGCAGAACGCTCGGCCTAGCAAAAATCCGGAAACATCATTTCGAACAGCTGTTGTGGAAGAGCGCCTGTGTGTTCGAAGTCCTCCATATCCGTCAACATTTTCTGTTTCCTCCTCGTCACGGATTGAGCGCCCTCTTTGCAGAAATCGCAGGCGAAGTCGCACGGGGAAGTGGGAAAGGAGCCGTTTTGCCCTGCCTGCGTTGAGTTGTATTCCCGCGGAACTTGCGAGCCCATCATTTCGAGGTCCAGGTCCCCGGAGTACTCTTTGATGATTTCGTGTCTGCAGCGTGTCGTCGTCTCGCAGTACCGGACGACTTTTTTGAAACTATCTATTCGAGCTCGGTGGCTTTTGACCTTAGTGCTCGTAAGGCCATCTTTGGTCTTGTTCGAGATAGCATTCTTGAAGTCCCGTTTCATAAGTTCATAGGCCCGGTCACGCTGTAGAATACCATAATAGACCAGGGACATAGCAGCACGTCCATCGCGACCTGCACGGCCAGATTCTTGGACGAAGCCTTCGAAACTCCGTGGTGTGTTCCAGTGGACCACAAAGCGAACGTGAGGATTGTCGATTCCCATACCGAAAGCGTTCGTAGCAACAATGATCGAGAAGGCAGTATCATCATCATCCGCTGCGTCAACAGGTCCGTTGGATGTCCACATTGCCTGGATGCGCGACCTTTCTGCGGCTTGGAGGCCAGCATGGTAGGCCACGGCGTGGATGCGGTTACCTGAGGACGACAGTGCCTTTGCGAGACTTTCGCAGATAGAGCGATACGGGGCATATACTATACCGGACATTGGCTTGAGTTTCTTACCAGGAGTCTTCGGCTTAGCAGTATCATCTCCAGAATCCGTGGACATCCTGGCTTCTCGCCGGCGCTGTATAGAATTTAGCCACGCTAGGAGATCGTCCAGCTGAGACTTTGCCGTGCAGATCTCGTCGTTTTCACTATCCGCAAAGTACCTGACCTCATAATGGATATTAGGGCGTGCTGACGGCGTGTTAAATGTCCTCAGAGTAGCCGGGTCCAAACCGAGTAGATTGATAATGTCGGTACGGACACGCGGCGTAGCTGTGGCTGTAAGTGCACTTATAGGAACCGGAGGATTGACCAATGCCCGCCTGAACCATGATAGTTCTTTATATGCGGGACGAAAGTCGTGGCCCCATTCGCTGATACAGTGCGCTTCGTCAACAGCGATGCGTTTCAGCTCTCCTTGCGCGTGCATGGTTTTGAGAGTCCGTCTAAACGTCTCCGTCAGGCAAAGCTCAGGCGTCACATAGAGGAGACGAATTATCGGATGCCCGGAGAGAAGATCATCCACGATATTTCTCCTCTCGGATAAAGGAGTAGTCGAGTTTATTGTTGACACCGCTACTCCAAGTGTCTGAAGTGCTGAAACTTGGTCCATCTGCGCAGTAGAAATTAAGAGTAATTCTTCAGAAGACCTAAATGAAGTCATTTCGTACTTACCATCAACGCAAGAAGCGGAGATACAACAACCGTGACTGCACCTGATATTAACGTCATGTTATCGAGAGATAAGATGCATGCACTACACAACTTACCGCCATGATTGATGACAGCAGGCAACTGAAAACACAAACTTTTGCCGAATGACGTTGCAGCTTGTAAGAAAATATCATGGCCTTCAACAGCAGCAAGTATAACCTCTCGTTGCAGAGGCCTTGACTATCTATATCAGCACAAAAAAGGCCGCTGGAATCGGGGACGCGGAGTTGAACTACCGGAACGAGGTTTTACCAAAGACTCGCCGTAGGGTGAATTCGAGATCCACCTTTTGGCGTTCGAATGTACGCTCTAGCATTTCCGCATTGCTTCTTTTGAACCTGCGATCTTGAATGTCTATTCGATAAGAACTGATGTCGACTTTGATAGCTCGGATAGGCAACGCGCTGCACGACATGGGACACGCGATGTCACGTGATACATGGTAGATTGCTGATCTGAGCAGGAAATAACGACGACGCATCTTGATGAATTGCTGGAATCATAGATGAACCGCATAAGTTTCGGGATATAGAGCCTTTACTTGAAATGTGTGGGTTTCATTTCCATGCCTGTGATGCTGTGCTTTTATCCGCTCGTGCCAGATGATTTTGATTAATTTAGTCTATCGCCAGTTTGATAACGATCACATGGGATTTCGCGAGTTAATATACATAAAATGCCAACAGATATAGTACGAAGATATAGACTCCTAGCTATATGGCGTATACAACAGATCTATGCAATTACACCAGGCTGAGCAGAGATCCTACTGCAGTCAGCGCCAAGAACCTTTAGACAATTGCCTCTCCAGTTCGTCTTTAATGGCCATAACATCGACGGCCTTTCGCTTCTTAGGCTGCCAGATCCGTTCGAGCCGTAGCCAAACATTCATGACAGCATAAGGCCCACTGCAAGCGCCGAAAGCGCGCAAAATGGCCAATATAACTCTGCGTCCAAGGAAAACACCGTTCTCAATTCGCTTCTCCAGTTCTCCCAATTCCTTTTCGACTCCAGCCTGCCTTGGATTCTTCAGCATCTCTTCAGCTTCATCCTCGTCAGCGTCTTCTTCAGTCTCATCAGTCCCATAATGGTCTTCCTCGCCAAGAGCGTCTTCTTTGCTTTGCTTCTTGGAGTTCATCTCACGGAAAGGCAATGGTGCATAAAGTTCGTTGGGGGTATTCTTCAAAAGCTTCTCTCTCATTTCTTCTTCCATGCTATTGCTCAACGGGTTTTCCCACAATAGTTTGTCACGTCGCAACGTAGTCCGGTCAATGACACTCATTCTAGTTTCGTACAGGAGACGGAGGTAGGATTTCCAGACGTCTTGTAGTCTCTCAGCTGACCACTGTCTTCTCTTCCGGCCGAATCGAGCAAAACCCTCGAAGAGAAATAGATATACCATAGCACGGGGAGGGACATCGAAGGTGCGCTCCATATCTTTGAGAACAGACATGAATGCGAACAAGTTTCCCGTCTGTGAGGCATGATACGAGAGAAAGATGTGAAAAGTTCTCGTATCCGGAGCCATTGATAGGGAGGCCTGTAGCAGACGATGCTCCTCAGGAAGTTCATCTCTGAGGGACGTTGACAAATTCAGCGTCCTGCGCAACTCCTTCATCCTTTTCCGGTAAGTCGGCATATCAGATGTGAGAGTCGGGTGGTGTGGCAGACGCTGGTTGCCAGCCTGAAGCTCCTTTTCTAATTTCTTCTGTGCCTCCATCATGCGATCGTATAGTTGCTCGGCCGTGCCAGGTTCCCCAGCCCTAAGGAAAGAGACAATGAGACAGTTCAGGACCACGGTATCAACTATTTCCCCGGACTTGATGAAGTCATCGAACGCCTGGCGGATGCCTTCCACGTCTCGAAGGAATCCGTGGTAGTAGATCTTAGAGACTTTCAAGGACCGCCTGAATGGAATACCACGTGTTTTCATCTCCTCCATCAGACGATCTGCGACCGTATACTGACCAGCTTTAATGGCTATGTCGAAAAGGGTGCTGAAGACAACATTATCCGACTCTATACCCGCAACTCGTTCCATCTGATGCCAGATGCCAATTGCCCTCCGCAGGTCCCTTTTGAACACTCGACCGGATGCACGTCCTGCGAAATGGATAGCGCTGGTCCAAAGCGCCCTAGAAACGGGAAGTCCAGCTGCATTCATATCTTCTATGAGGGCAAGGTAACGACGAGCATCTATCCATCGCCGATCTGGAGGATCTGCAAAGCGGCGTAGCAAGAAACCGCGCGAGCGCTTGGAAAGGTAGGCCACGCCCGGTGAGGGAATCTCCCTATATAGTCTGAAAATATACTGAGTCGACTTAGTTTCGTCCCATAATGCAGCAACGAACCGCTCAACTGCTGGGTTTTCAATCATATCTCGAGATGTGTCCTTTTTGCCCATCTTGGGACTGGCGGCAGAGGTTGAGGTATAAGACTCATTCGAGGAACTCTTCTCAGATCGAGCACGCTGTTGATCATGGGAATTGATCCCTGCTGTCTTCCCATATGCTTCCGGAATTGATTCTGTACGTATAGTGTCCGGTCTCGATATCTCCTCGTCCGAAGGTATCTCTGTTGGAGCAGCAGGTGTTCCCGATAGACTTGGGTCATCGACCATTGAAATTTCATCACGTATCAGGACATCTCGTTTCCCGATAGCAGGTAAAGGTGCGGTTGGTGTAGAGTCCTCCACATCTCCATTTTGTTTGTTCTCAGTGTCTTCTTCAGGATGCTGCCTTTCTGAATCGGCAGCTTCTCTGTATCCATCATCAGGTCCAATAGTCCAAGGACGTCGTTCAGTGTCATCGTTTTGGCTTGGTGCGGCTTGAGTCGAAAACATTCTCGTTGTTTTCAGACCTCGTCGAGCCAAGTAATCGGCCGGAGATCTCGAATAATTCAGGCCTCTCGCAAGCGATAAACGTCTGTGTCTCGTTGTACTCTTCCTACGCCAATCCGGCGTTCTATCGTCCAAACCGGGTTTTGATATTGGCGCTAGGCCCCTCCCGCGAGGAGAATGTTCGCGACAGAATCCTGCTATCACCAGCGACGTGACAAAGATGTCCGCTATCGACGCGACAGAGGGTCGGGGGCCTCGAGAGCGGAGTCTTCTGACAGAGGTACTGCAGGCATGCGATTCAGTATGCGGCATTGAAGGCGTTCTCAGAGAGGAAGGACAGTCCAGGCCCTGCCTGGGTATCACGCCGATGCCCGTCGAGCTTGCGGAGCTGTTGAGACGAGGCATGAGACTGACATCGTGGCATTGGGTCAGCCATGCATGTCCAACGTCGAGATTACCCAGCTCCAGAGATTCCAGTATTCTGCCTCCGGTACAGTAGTTGAGAACAACTGGAGCCGTTGTGACGATTGAGTTTGCGAGGACTTTCACATCAAAGGTGGCCGCTCCACGAAATTATGTCTGGGGTTTTGCAGGTCTGCGTCGCGCGGAGCCTGGTCTTGGGCCAATCGGAGCCGCGGATTTGCGATCCTCTTTTTCACGACAAACTGCGCGGCTGATGCTTCGAGTCCTCTCCGACCATCGTCGTCTCCAAGAACTCGACCAACGCATATAGCTCCCCTTTTCTCAACACCGGGCAGCAGGGTTCCGGCTTTTTCTAGGAGTTATCTTCGACTACAGTCGCATTTCGCAAACGACGGGATAAGGCCTGCGGCCTTCCTCTCTTGGTCCGCCATGGGCAAGTACAACCTTACAGCTCTTCGGGTTCGACAGACCGCTCTCAACCAGAAAGCCGCCGGAAAGATCTCAAAGCTTCCGCAATGGGTGGATGTTGTGGGTGATATTCCGCCAGCTCAGGTGCTGGTCCGTAACCAGCCGCTACAACATCAATTGGTGCGACAACGCGTGAAGACCTTGCCCGGAACTTCGAAGCCACAGGTTGTCTTTGAGGTTCAGGAAAAGCGAGTAAAGCCGAAAAAGCCTAGTCGCATGTTCTCGCCGTTGGAGATCAAGTATGAAGAGGATCAGCTGCGAAAGGAGTTCTTCCGGGACCACCCCTGGGAGCTGGCGAGACCGAGAGTCCTCATCGAGAGCTCTGGCAAGGACTTCGAGAAATACGACTGGAGCCGGCTGCAGCAGCCCGGGAAGAGATTGGATGGTGAGAGGTTCGTGATTCCCCTCAAGCTTTTTCAGTGGACTCTCTATCCCGGAATTGCGTCGGTGATGCTAACATTGACCGCTCTCCAGTGTTGTCCAGCGTCAGCTTTACCTTCTGAACAACGTTCCCGATATGACGAAGAGCCGCGCATATGATATTGCACGACGAGAATTCTACCAACTCCGTCTCCGTGAAGACATCGAGCGACGAGTGGCAGCGGAGGAAGCAGAAGCCACTGGCGCAGAATTCGGTCCCACCAAGTTGGAGGTTGGTATGGAACTGGAGAACCAGGAATATGAGCGCTGGAAGGCGTGGGCGAAGACGGAGGCGCAAGTGCAGGATCAGCGCGCCGCAGCCTTCGTCGGTGCAGATGCCACTGGTTCTGACGACTCTATCGGTGAACCGGCTGTCGATGGAAAGACTCAAGTTGCATAATAGAGCGGCTGTATTCTTTCTACCTGATCTTTCTTTCTTTTTTCAACGGCCCTTCCGAGAACTATGATTGACATCCGTGTCCATGTATATTACTGTCTTTGTGTGTCAAATCGAATGATATGGTCTTTGGCTCGGGACAAATCAATATAATCGAAACCTCTACAATTGATTACGGAGTCACGTTCTTATATGCACTATGGGGCTCGAAGGAAAGAAACCATGTTGACAGCGAGCTTGCGGAGGTCAAAGTTGAGTTGACCGGGGAAATGCAGGCAGGTGGTGTCACAGTTTCTGATATCACACAATTAGACCTGCCTGGTGGAAATAATCCCAGTTCATGCCCGTGACGACGAAGCTCGCATACAATTCAGGCCCGCGTAACTTTGAAAATATTCAAACGGCGGTAGGAGCTATTATGAGACATAACGCGCTTACGAAATACTTCTTTTTGCCCCTCCTTATTTGTCTCATATTCGCCGGATGGTTACATTCTAATACACCATGTCAATGTGGCCGAGTGGTTAAGGCGTGCGACTCGAACCCTATATTCTGATACGTGAGAAATGGCATAGGCCCGCCTGCATAGTTAAATGCTGTTGCTGACGATATTCTTTTCTTTTTTTTTTTTTATTGATTTATTCTACCGCCCCTTTCCAACAATGACCCTCTTAATTGGCTGAATAGAGACTGACGTACCAGCGGCATATGTCATAGAATCCGTCTAAAAACTAGCATGCTTTTGACAATGGGAAACAACTTTACATCGGAATCTCAACATCCACATGGGGTGGGTTATTGCCTGAGCTAGAAGCGGATAGAGTCTATTAAGAGTCTACACAGTCGCGAAGTCTTCCAGAGATGCGGGGCATTTCATGGGGATATCTTCACTGTACACGGAGATCCTGCAAGTGCAGAAAGAGGTAGAGCGACCTGTGGTCTCCATTAGTCTCTCTCATTGGTCTTCCAGGAGGTCCTCAAGACGTTTCACAGCGGCAAATGAAACAGAACAGTTTTGGAGCTGGAGGGGCAGACCACCCTAGTATGACAGCGGTCCGTCAGATCAAGTACAGTACGGAGCGTCTGCATTACGGATAATGCAGAGCAGCGAACTCCAACTGTGAAGAACATTCAGGAAGAGTCATTTAATATTGTATAAGAGAGCACATCTCCTTGGACCTCCTCGACATCCCAATAACCATCTCATCACGTGCCAACCCTAAGCGGTTCCTGCCAAGCCTTCTGCCGTCCAATCAGCAGCGCGCCGCGTAGCGGCCGTTTTGCGTTCCTGAGGCAGAGCAAGTCGTGACATCCAGGCCCATCATCGGACTTATCCCATCCCTAACTGATCGTCCCCGTCCCCAGATTCCCGCTATCGAACGTTTGGTGCTAAAGGAATCGACCATCGTTAGCAAGCGGCAGATGGTGCATCACGTCTGATACAGACGGCGCTGGCAACCCTCGAGTCCTGGCCTTCAGCCACTCGCGCCCAACGTTATCCCGAGTCCTAACTGCAGTAGGGCGACACCTCACACGCTCCACCTCCAACGTCCATTCCTCGGAGAGTCATACCCATAAGCTCAAAAGCATTCCTCTCTTCAAGAACCTTCGAGTCGAAAACCTTCTGTTGTTGCAAGGACCACCGCTTATCTCGTCGACACTCCCCTTGGTCGCTTTGAGGCCAAACGCGGACCATTTCCCCGTTCGAAAGCGACACGGTCAACCGCGGCGGGATGCATTGAGCAGCACTGAGAACCCGTGCTTTATCGGCTTGTTTTCTCGAAAGCTACTGTTCCACTACAAACATCCTATATACGCAGAATCGATGGCATCTCCGTTTATAATCGTCTAAAGTCGCTGCTTAACGTCTCCGGTGATCATATCGCAGACTATGCAGTATATTGTGCCTGGTCGACTCTACAGGACAAGCTCTGGGAACCTGAGGAATATACGGAAGGTTTTATATTGAATTGAGGGAAGGAATACGGTACTCGAGAGGAGTCGCCTGGTAGATCGCCCATCATGCTTACCGCTATACCCCATACGGATGATATGATGAGGGTCCCTCGAGGGTATCGTGAAGACACAGATGAAGAAGACAAGCCTAGGGGCGCTCCGGAGCCAAGCTATCCGTTACAGGCGTCGAACAGCAACAGATCGTCCAGCCACGAGGATGACAGCTCGCAAACCAGTGTTACCAATGGCGAAAATGGCAGTAATAATAGCAACCGCAAGCCCATTGGGCCCAGGCAACTTACACAAGAAGAGACTATTGAACTCACCCGTCGCGCGGTCGAGAACGGCTTGCTGGAAACAAAACGGTCGCTGGCTGGAAGTGAGCCGGTCAGTGATGTGGTGCGGCCAAAACTGACAATCGACTTGGGTCATTCCAACATCGTCCGGATTCCAGAGGCAGTGGTCGACATCATTAAGGATGAAGTGGAGAGGTACGAGAGCCCAACGGAGCACCTTCCTGGATAGTGGATGCGTATATACTGCCATTCATATAGCGGAAGTTAACAAATCGCAGGCTTTCCCTCTCGAACAATCAAATATTTCATATCCCCTACCGCTTTGCCGAATGCTCCCATCTGCGCTACCTGAATATCAGAGCAAACAATTTCCGTGAATTTCCAAAAGGGGTATGTCGAGTAATTGTGTCTTATATTTGCTCGGCGGCACTGACATCGTGATAAGGTGTACAAATTGCCACTACTGGAGATTTTGGATCTAAGTCGCAACAAGATCAGCAAAATTCCCGAAGAGATCCGGAAACTTAAATCACTGCGGGTATTTTCAATTATGCAAAATAGGCTGGATGACCTTCCGGTTGGACTGTCGGAGATGAACAAGCTGCAGATTCTGAAGGTCTCCGGGAACTCTCTGAAATATCCTCTACGTCGGGTACTTGAACTCAAGGAGGCGGAAGTAGCCACCTCATCCATGACGGATAATGAAAAGGAAGTAGCCGTCACTGCGGAGCTCAAGAGATATCTGAAAAGCAGGCAACCAATTCCAGCCCCAGATCCTGAAAGTGGTAGCGAGGCAAGGTAAGGATCCTTCAACTACCTTGTCGATGGCATCCTGGAAGCTGATACGTCCGCAAAGTGAAACTATGATCGATACACCAAAGCCTGTCAAACGAGGAGCGAGCAGCCGGTTTCCAGTCATACCTAGCACTGGTGATGGTTCCGGGGATCCACGATCCCCGTCGCTGTCAAGACCTCCGCCAATCCCTCTGAGATCCCACTACCGAATCGCCTCTGGCCAGAGTACCATCTTTTCGAGCAGCGGCGTTCAGCGACCTGGCGCCAGCCCTCTTATTGGAGTGAACGAGCGTAACCGAAGTAACAGTGAAGGTATCATTCAGTCTTCTATTACCGCTCGCAATAGGCGGTTAGGCATGCTTAACAGAAAGAACCCAGATCTGGTTACTCTGGACGAGATGCGCCCGTATCGTAACAGTCATCTGCGCGGTCTCAGTTATGGCTCGATCTTGAGGACTCGCCCATCGAATTTGTCGAGTGGCGGCAGCAACTCCTCCAGTCCAAGCAGTCCGCGCGAAAGAAAGCGAATGAGAGAAGGCTTTGTCCGTCGAATGTCCAGTTTGCCGGAGCAGAAGAATGAGGAAGGGCCTACAGAGCCGATCATCGAGGGCGCTAAGGGGATCCTATATGCTCTCTTCCAGATGCAACCTCACATTTCTGCTTTGATAAATGTCATCAAAGGCGATGGGTCGCGCCGCAATAGTCTTGAGATCGTCTTCTACAATGCTTCCACCCACGTGGATCAGCTCAACGAAGCCCTGGAGAATGCTGAGAACATCGATTCTGAAGATCCAGAGTTTATCAGGATGGCGCTTGACTCTGTCAAGCGTGAATGCGAAACTTGTACGATGGCCTATACTCATGTCAGCACTCAGTTGCGGAACAATATAAGCAGAATCGTTGCTCATGGCGATTCACGCTATGTGCGCTCCCTAATGCTCACGATCTATGGCAGTCTGGTTGAGTTCCGGAACGCCGCCATCAACCTTGGTGTCCTTCAAACACAGAAGCAAATCCGCACTATGGGTGATAAACGGCCAACACAGGAGGCTGCACAGGAAGGACTCACGTCCGAGCATTTTATTGGCCCGACGGTCACTCCCACGCGGGATCGACCTCAGCCTGTTCGGCGGCTTCGAAGTGATACCACGATCCAGCATTCCCCCGCTCCCTCTGGAGGATCGTTCCCGCCTACTCCGAGCTATCAGGGCCCCGCTACCTCTCCAGGCTTTCCTCCCAATTCTGCTATACTGAGCTACGGCGGGCGTAGTCGATCCGGAAGTAGATCGAACACTTTGGTAAATACTTCGGTTCCTTTGTCCTTGGCCACACCGCGTTCCGCAGAATCCTTCGGATCGCTTTCCACATCGACTGTCGGCCGGATCAACCCGGTAACGGGATTAGACGAAATGGAGGAAGAGAGGATATTCGAGAAAATTTTCTATCAACTGACATCCGCCTATACTGCAGCTCTTCAGGCGCTTCCTCTTGCTCGTCGTCAGTTCAGCCGATGTCTGGAAATTGCGGAGCAATCACGAGAGTCCGAAGATCTTCGGTTGATCTGGACTAACTTGATACGCCGCTGCCGGGCTTGCTTGGAAGTCTCTGAAGCCCTCGGCCTGCGCCTGTCGAATATGAAGGTGAAGGAACCCGGTGGTGGCATGCGCAATCAACGCGAGTTCTGGCAATTATGCAAGGCGTTCATGCAGTCATTCGTCGACCTCGTGACTGATATGCGGGACCTGAGAAGCATGCAACTCTTGCCACCTGATATCATCATCACTCTACGCCCCGTTCAAAAGGCAAGCAGGGAAGCTGGAAGACTCATTGAGGCTTCCCCGTGGTCTTTCCTTGCCGATATGAATTCGACGAACCCCCCTGCAATATACGGTCCACCTCTTCAGACGCAGCAGGCGCAGCATCAGCAATCAGCATCTGCGTCACAAGTACATCTAAATTCTGGTCTGTCGCCTCAGTCCGTCCCTCTACCAGCCACGCCATTGAGTGCTGCCCTCGGTCCTGCTGCGCAGGCAACCGTGCCATCTACTCCAGCAGGCACATACAGTGACAGAGTTTTCGTAGGCGACGTGTTTCAGAGAGCGGATACCTTACTTTCGATGCCAATCCAAGCGCCCTTTTTCAGTCGGCGATGATCGTAGCCTAGTCTTACTGCTCTTCTGTTCATTTTCGTCCGGCATCGATGCCTTCATTACTTCTTGTCACGCATGTCGTGCCGGGGTATCATCAGCAGGGATGCCTACAACTCTCTGGTCAGAGTTATGGTTTATTCTGACAGGCGATTGCGCCTGTCTTTTCACCGGGGAGCTCACTCCTAGGTATATACTTTGAAGGGTCTAAATTGACCATGTGGTGTTTCTCTTCTTTTCCTTCGACACTGCAAGGCGTTTTGTATGGAGGTGATGGCTCTACCCATCAATTGTTTCACTAACGGCTGTACTTTTCCATATCACCACTGTGTGACTAGCAAGCATTGAACGACGGAGTATGGGTCTTACATGCGAGTTAAGTATTCAGTCGATCCTTATTTTCTGCTGGTGTTGTTAGGTACTGGGGAGAAACTTATATTTTGGGTTGCCATTTTGAGCAACTGGCTTTGCATGCATCCATTTTTGAACGAAGCTATGATTCTGCAATGATTGTTGTCCTAAGAGATTGTAATTCTAGCAGCAATTTTATATATAGTGACTAAGGAAAGAAACAGTGTTCAGAAGGAGACTCATTCGTGTCTATTTGTAGATATCAGGATTCGTTTCTTGTTCCTTCCTGTATCTAACTACAAAGTATCCGAGGAGCGACGGATTGCTTTGAAGAGCAATTATACATATACAGCATAGTCCGTATCTCTATTTTGACTAGGAAGCGCTAGTGAAGAGACACGTTTTCCGATAAGCATCTGGATCAACTTATCAAGCATCGTACCCGCCAAGGTAAATAAGATGATCTGCTCAGCCACAATATGCAGAAGACCAGTACACATCTCCACGCTATTTGACTGGGACAGGTCGATATTCCGTGTGAGGCTGTCAGCTACTACACCGCATCGGCTTTGCCTGCGAACGAGATGGGCTAGAGGCAGTCACCTGATAAGACGGTGGATCGGATCTCTAGAACATCCTGCGCAGTTACGAAGCCTTACTAGAACTCACTTCATCCTTGACTCTCTAGTTCAACACCAATCATCCATTATTTTTATCTTCCCGGTATCACGGGCCGCTAGTACGGTGATCTCAAGCCTCAAAGTTCCCCGATGCTGTCTGGGCACTATTTCAGCCACATCTCCGCTCCGGGTCTCGGCTTCGATTCTTCATCCCACCGCTCTTTCGGGTGAGGAGGCTAAACAAGATCTTTCTGCACTCAGTAGTGTCGATGATGCTATGGTGCTTCTATCAAGACCAGTCTTCCTACCGCCAGTTTGAGCTTCCTGGTAGGATCCGACCACCGGCTGATGATGAGGCGGATTCACCGGATCGTGGGCTACATAAAAGGGAAAGTGAGGCGCCAACACAGCCGAGAATCTGAGAGCCCAGCCCCTTTATTCGTGAACCACCGGCACATTCGGTCTCAGAATTGCTTTTCTGCCGCCGTAGACGATGGCGACATGACGTTCTGGGAACCGTTGTGCTTGTCGATCTTCCTCGCCCCTGAAGCAGAGGCCAGCCATCGCATTTCCTCAGGAGTCTGATGTCCTGGCAAGAGCTACGGAAGAAACGATGCGTATTGCGCTCAGCAGCAGAACTCCCGAAGAGAGACAATGTGAAGCCGCATCTGAGTCACTCTTCTGGGTTTTGACAGTGGATAAGAAGGATTGCGTGGAGATCATTTCCACGCTGAGCTCGCATAGTGGACAACACGCTGCATGCTCCGACAATCGATGAACTGTGAAGTGTAAGCCAGTTAACTTGGCCATGCCTCCTCCGCCACGGACATGTGCCCTCGTGAATTCTCGGTGGAGTTGATCCACTCGCCCCGTCGCGGTTCAACCGTCGGGCTGGAAGAGTAGTGCCGTCGTACTATGACACGTTATTGGAACATGCATTTGGCATTTGCGTTCATAGTTGGTTCGTCTGCCCCGGCGTGGCTGTCAACAAGGATGGTCGCTGCAGCAAACCGTCAGCGTGATCGTCAAAGAAAAAAAAAATTTCTCAGCATATACTGAATCATGAGCTCTCGTGGATATATTTCGAACGGTCTGAGGACCGGGGGATATATAGATTTCCGACCTCGAGACAACACTGGGGTAGGCGATGATGCTGTTGCTTGATCTTTCCCCGTACCGGGCAGGGTCAGGCGTGGCTGACAGCTATTTTGAAGCTTGATAGCTCCAGCAAGCCCCGACGATCGCGACGGCGGGGCGGAAGGTTGCGTCCACACACGCATCAGCTTTCATACTTGACCGACTAAGTCCGCTTTCGACCTCTCAGAAGGCCGAGCGTGTGCTTTACAACACTATCATCGGGTAGCAGCGTTCGTCCATGGTCATGAAGGAGGGAACTGTCGCTTCCTTTGCAAAGAATGCTGGTGACAGTTGTCCAGGCCTGCCGTCTTATTCCCTCGCGCCTGTGGTGGAATTTTTGGCGGCATCGTTCGTTCGCGGTAATAGATCTCCTTGCGCGGAAGTGTAAGTTAAGTATGGATTCCGTATCCGGCGACAAGACACAGGCTCGACAACGTCACTCAACATGTGGCTCGTGCAGTAAGGGATCTCTCAATTAACCCTGGAAGCTCTGCCTCGACGCTGCTGGTCAGCCGGTACGGACGTCAGAGCAATTCATGCTGAAAAAGCACTGAGCGCTCCCCTTGTAAAACCGCAAGCAACCAATCTGATCGGCAGCCTCACTTTTTTGGGCCACCTCAGAGACGACCAGGGAAAGAATATTAGCATTCGGAATTAAAGTGGCGCATCCGCTAGCCAAATTGTTTTCCATCTACTCCGTAGATGTGAAAGTCTTCTGGGATCTCATACAGTCTTCCCGTCTCTGATCGCTCTCACCCATCACCCCCTTCTCGGCCGCGAGATTGAACATCCCTGCACCCTTTTGCTTCGCAATAATAACGATCCTTGATATCGCTTTGGTCTTACCGCCGCCCCGGTTCCGCCGATCTGTCGACTTAGTTCCACTCCTTCCGCTGCATATCTGCGCATTCTGCTCTCGTCGCGTAATCGCCCTGCCTTCTCCTGGTTCCTGAATAACCCAACGTCCACGCCTCGTTTCCCACGGTGCGCCTTACTCGCCGCTCTTGCGGAGGCGGTTGGGGCTCTGAATAGTGTACTTGCGTCTCATTATTGCTCATTGTTCGTTTGTCTTTTGTCGTCTGCTCTACCTCCGCCATTTACAACAGGCAAACCTCAAAGGTGTCTACAGCATCGCCCACTACAACTTCTGCGCTGTCTGCGAAACTGATCATGTTGTCTGCTTTCTAGCCAAAGCAATTCGGGTACCATTCCCTTGGTCTTCTTGCTTGCGCATACTCTCCATTTGCGAAAGTCCTGTGACACGGCTCGGTTCTTATATCCGCAATAACTTCGCGATTCAGGTGGATGGAAGATGGATCTCCAGAAGACGAAAGAGGCTAGGAGGAATATGCGTAGCAAGCAGGATGAGAGCTCTGAATATTGTCTGGAGGCCTACGGCAAGAGTAACAATTCTAAGAATCTCCCAAAAAATGATTCTCTCGACCATCCGCACGATTCGCAGAACAATGAATCTTCGGCAGACGACAGTGAAAGGTCACACATGACAAACCAGTCGCTCAGCAATGTGCCGCAATCTACTTCGTCATGCCCGGCAGATGCGCAAGAGGGTCTCCAAAGACGGTCATCAAAAATGCTCGCCATTCCCAGCATTCTGCGGTTAGATGCGAAAAGGCTGAGGTTGCTACGCTCAGCAAAACGCCTGCCTCCAGTGACCAAGGAGACCCTCAGCGAGCTCGATTTGCATCGCATCATGGCCAATATCAATCTCCGCATGGATGCGAACTTCGACCGTGATCTCCATTTCAAGCCAGACTTGGATGGTGAGAAAGGCAGGAGGAAAAGGAGAGAAGCCGCAGAGTACTGGGAATCTATGGCGACAGAGATATTGGTGTACTCTTTTTGTGCATCTAATGGGCTTGAGCTGCGTCAAGAGACTGGATCAGACAACGTCGATGAGCCGACTTTTGAGCCTAGACTACCAGCTATGTTCGAAACTTTGCAGGATGTCCTGAAGACCCTCGTCCCGGAGCGCGACCACCCGAGTGTTATGCAAAACTTGGATGTATCTTTGATGATGCAACAGATTCGGAAGGGTGTTCTGGACCTAGTAGGTTTAGCAACATGGTTAGCGGGACTCTTGAAAACTCATTGCGCGCCTATGAGAGACGAATGGGCGGATCAGATGGTGGAGCAGATCAGTTCAGGATCAGAGGCCCAGGACATGCGCAGGGTCGTCGACGGACTCCGCACACTTTTCGGAATCCTCGAAGCCATGAAACTGGTTAGTATGCTCTTATTATATATATCGATCTCACCGCTGACCTGATCTAGGACGTCGCAAATCACCAAATTCGTGCGTTTAGGATCCTCCTAATTGAAGACACGGTTCCGTTCCTACAAGAGTACTTCATGAAAAGAATGGCAACTCTCGATTTCCCTGTTGAGTCATCGAGGATATGGTATTTGAATCTTCGAAGACGTGAGCTACTGAGTCTTGAAGATCGTTCCAAGATAGACAGCTTCTGGCCTATTGGGGTTCTCTTTCGCGGACTATCGGACATGCTTCTACAATTCGACAGTCCCCGAGCGTTTCCTAAAACATTCCAGTTCGATTCCGGGAGACTGTGGCAATTGCGCGCCGATTTGCAGAACCTGATCAACCTTGACATCTGCTGGTACATCTTCGATGTCTACGTCCAGAGCCAGCAGGGATATATGCCGTCGCAAGCTGAAACGTACGCCACATTCCGATCCCGGATATGGCCTCTATTGGAGGGAAACGACGATGGGTATCGCGAAGCATCACGCTGGCAAGGAAATATATCTAGTGTCGCTCTCGAGATTGCAAGGATGGCATCTGTTGTCTGCCACCGTGATGATATGGTCTGCGACGATGTTATTGCCCCAATAGAACGGGCCTTGGAATGGCACCTGTCGCATGAGTCAAGTGTCTTCCAGCTCTTCCAGACAGCTGCTCGGGAAAAGCTCTTGGAGAGAATTTTCTCATTCGCGAAGAAGTATTTGCATATGTCACCACTGGCGATATGTGAGTCTCAGCGGCCATTGCAATCCCAATATGGAGGGTCAGTCTCTCAACGCCACATGGACATGGATTTCATTGCGATGCGGCTTGCTCATATGGTCGTCCTCCACTGGAGGGTATGGGCTCCTATACTATATACGCGCGATGAAAGCTCCGAATCGCGAACAACAGAGGATAATCCTGACCTCGCACATTTATTCAAAAATGGGTCTACGAGCGCATGTCCTCGGTCATGAGGGACTAGAGGTCAAGACGTCGACTTGCGATACGGATGCTCAGTCTCCTCCCGTCAAGACACATCTGACGCCCGGAGATTCATTTTCTTTTGTTCAAAAAAACAATTCCCTCTTGTTTATTGTTTATCTTTTGTCTCTCTTCGTCTTGCCCTGTCATGCGATTTAGCGTCTTTGCATAGCCTGGAAGTTATTCGGTCGGTTTGGTCACGGGGCATCCAAGCATCTCAGCGTTCTCATACGGTTGTTGGACAGTTTTTATGTTGAGCACTTTCCTGTTTTCCCCAGAATATCGCAGGGCGTGTGCCTCCTGTTCTAATCAGTCTCTTTTTTTTTTTCATTGTACATAAGTCTGTATCATGATTTATTACGCTAAGATATCATAATTGATCTATCTGATTCTGCAGTCTACACTCGCATATCACGTGATTGGACTCTCAAGGCGACGCAACTCTATCCGGCGGAGCTGTTTTCTAATAATATGTATAGACTCATGGCTTATAATAGCTAGAAACTCGTCATTAAGAATGGTTTCAGATGCGCTTCCTATGATCTAATGACATTTCTCCTGCAGATTGAGTCTCATGCGGTCATCGTTTATCCGAGAAAATCCTGCCATGATCCGCACCTCGATCACTTTTATTTATCTCAGAGCATATTTACACCGTCAACAAATACAGCAATAGCAGGCCGCCCACCCGTCTATGTCTCCTTAATTCTGTGAGCACTATACATTCTAAAAGCAATGGCCAAATGTTATCTTTAAACCTGTCTTCTTCCTCGTCTGCGAGTTCCGTGCTGTCATTTAAGGACCTCTCACTTCTATTTTATTCCGGAGCAGATCAGACACCATGCGAGCGTTCACTGAAACTTTAACATCGACTTATCAATGGCTTGGCCATCTAAAGTCCTCGCAACTCAAAAGCATCGCCCAAGCAACGGGTATACCAACAGCCGGACCCAAGCTGGCCTTGGCCTTACGATTGCAGAGAGAACTCCCGCAATGCGAGTATCTGCCAACTGAGCTGACTATGTCGGCGGGCCAGGGTTCATCAATACCCCAATCCGCAGGCCAGAATAGTGTACAGAAAGAAAAGATGACCAGCGGCCAGGGAGAGAGTCTAAGTATTCTCAGTATCGATATGGGGATTCAGAATCTTGCCTTTGCGCATTTGCTAGTTCCGGGTCCTGCGATGAGAAAGGATTCTATTTCCAGTTCTGGTTCTCCTCCTTCAGGGGATCCTGTTCCCACGCTCACTGCATGGCATCGTCTTGCCGTTTCGGCATTTCCAAGGTCGTCTACTCTTGGGTTATCTTCGCTTTCGTTATCTACGTTTCCACTATCGGGGTCTAGGTCCAGGAGGCAGAAACTACCGACAGAAGACAGAACTAGCCTGCTCTCCAGCGACGAGGAAGGAAATACGGCTACGAGATCTACAGAGGACGATGACAAAATGTTATTCACCCCAGATCTCTACGCCGAACATGCTTATACGTTAATAACGTCGCTCCTCGCGACCTACAACCCAACTCACATCCTCATTGAGCGCCAGCGCTTCCGTTCCGGCGGAGCCAGCGCTGTGCAGGAGTGGACGCTCCGCGTAGGTGTCTTTGAAGGGATGCTCTATGCTGTTTTGCACACGCTGGCGCGAGAGCGGGCACATTCGGTATCCGTACAGAGTGTCGAGCCATCGCGTGTAGCGAGGTATTGGTATGGTGATTCGGAGACTGATGCTCTTCAAGAAGAGGAGGATTCAGAGACAACGCAGACGAAGGACGAGACGAGGAAGAAGAAGAAGAAGAAAAGGATGACTTCGAAGGAAGGGAAGAAAGCGAAGATCGACCTCGTGGGCAAATGGCTTTCTGCATGGGAGACAGGGAAGGAAAGCATCAGCGAAGGTGTTCCGAGCACGTCTCTCATGAAGGGACAAAAGATAGATGTCGCACCCGATGACAATGTCAGACGAGTTGTCAATGCATATCTCCGCGGGTGGCAAGGAAAGAAGACGACAAGATCTCGCTCTGCAGTCGGTTCGGACGAGGGATTGGAGAAGGCCGATATTGGCAAGCTGGACGATCTTGCTGATTGTCTTCTTCAGGGAGTGACATGGCTAGATTGGCATGTCGCAAGGGGACAGATTTTGCGTGATGGAGTGGACGCTCCTGTTGTTAAGGATATACTCAATCCTGAAGCGATAAGAAGGGCGTAATGGTTGGATGGGATACTGTTATTTGTAAAATACACAGTTCTATATGTACTATATGAAAAGACATAAAAAACATTTTCCTTCCCTTCCAAATCTCACTTAAAATCTATATCCTCACAAATTTACTTATTGACTAACTAAATAGAGAACCAACCTGGATCCCATGTTATAATACCCCAACTAATATATGCCCATGTCTATCTTTACTCCATACTACATCTATCATGGTCCCTGCCATCATGATCATCATCCAGCACTTCATTTCCTTATCCAAACCACAACCACCACACTACTCCAATTACCACTATATAAAATCTACCTCAACCGCACCGATCCAGCCCCAAGATTCACATATGTACCATAAATAGAATAAATAACCATACCTAGGACCCCGTACCAAAGCATAAGGAGATAACTAAATGACAACAGGGTCCTGAGATTAAGATGTGTTCAATCATCATTACTTACCCACCCGAGCATGAATGATATTCTGAATTATGGATCTACACCCCCCACCCCGCACCGACCAAGGCGCAGCTCACGTTTCAGAAAAAAGCCATCTCTCTTTATATATAAAACAAACAAAGAGAAAAGCAAAAGCAAAACTGCCAAGAGTCAAGAACGAAACAAGGGAAAGAAAAACAGAAGTGGAGAAGGTGGGAAGGAAAGAAAAATGTAATGAAAAATGGATTTCCCTTCATTGTTATTATTATCTGGAAAGCCAGAAAAAGGTGATACAGGAACACGAAACATACGCGGGAAGGTTGACTTCATTCAAAGCGGGTGGAGACAAGAAGAAGAAAATAAAAGGGGACGGATAGATACTACATACTGTTCCCGCGTTCCTGATCCGGACTTTTGGGTAACTCAGTCGGGTTGGGTTTGGGTCTGGAGATTAGTTTACACTCACTATACCATATTATTATTATTACTTTCTGCTTGAGTCGCACGAGGCCTCTAGATGTTACGCCTCGTGTGGGTGCATCTTAAGATTAATGACTAGTTATGGAATGGTTGGGACACTTTGGCTGAAGAGAACCGGGATATAGCGCACTCGAGCTATCATCCCCGACCAGAGGTCAAAAATCGATAGCCAGACTCGAGAGGGAGACTCTTCTCGTTCCCCACATTGTTTATCGCTCGCGGGCCGCATTCTACACGTCCAGTCTGTTTTGGGAAGATTCTGGAATCGAGACTGCGATGGGATCTTCGCTACTACATCGGGGAATGATCTGCGTATACAATTCGGTCGCGTACCAAGATTCTTCGCGCTCGCTGTGGATGCAAAACAGAAGGCTCAAAGGCGTAGTCGCATGCCTTGCCAGATAGAACTGAGATTCTGGCCACTCGGAGACATGCGAATGGAGTCAGAGATCGGGAATGTATCATATGGGATGGATTTTCCGAAGAACGGTCAAGAAGCACAGAATTGAATACAATGTATTTACACACTTCACTGAAGATAAATAGAAAAGGGGGAGTTGGCCACCCTTGACCCTTCTATTTTTGGTTCCGGTACGCCTCTGCCAAGGGAGACTTGTCTGCATCCAAAAATCACGAAACGTACAAACGATGAAACAGGGATCTTGATGGCCATCTTATTTTATTCGTCCCGTACGTGACACAGTATAAAAAAAGGTTGGATAGAATGAAATCTCGTTGGAAGAGAGGAATCCGAAAGGGATCCTGATCTGGTTAAAGAAAAAGGGGGCGGGAGCGCCGACTGAACCACGTTGGAGAACATGCTGTTCATCGCAGCCGGAGTAGCCCGCAGAGAATTGAAAAAAGTACGAAAAGTTTGTGCCATCAAATGGTCCGCAATAAGTACAAATCCAGCGCGCGACTGACGCGAGTGAAATTGATCTCTCAATCATGGATGGTCGATACCGGCGACTTGATCGAAAACAGGCATTTTTCTCCGCTTACATGCGGCGGGCGAAGTTGGACGGGAGAGGCAGCTTGCTCGTCAAGAAGCCAGAGGGAGTCGACGCCTTCCTGAAGGTGGGGAAAGTACCGTTGCCGTAAGGAGGACCCGCCGGCACAGCTGGAACAGCTGGGGCAGAGACAGCAGGCGAGCTGGGGACAGCAGTGGGCTCAGCAACCTGCTTCTGGACCGCGGAGGTGATGTCAGCCTCGTTGACGGCATTGGCGATGCTGTTGGAGGAAGCAGCATCGGTAGCAGTAGCACCAGCAGTCTATAGAACATGTTAGTGCTTAGTCGAGGATAGAATCTATTCGCGTATACGGCACTTACCACTGTGACGGTCTCCTTCTCAGTGACAGTGACAGTGACGCCATTGCAGGATCCGGCGGCGTTAGATCCACCGACGAGGGCGGAGCTAGCAACAGGATAGACGGTAACAATGGAGGTGGTAGTAGAGGTGGTGGAGATAGTGGTGGTGGGCTCGTCATCAGCGACTGCCTCCTGGGTGACACTGGCCTCAGGGGTCTATAGATGAAATTAGGCTCTGCTCTTGATAGCATCACTCCCAAAATATAAAAAAAGCATACCTGAGTAACAACGACGGTGTTGGTAGCGGTGCGCTGGACAGTAGTTGTCACGACAGTGGTAGAGGCACCACCCAGAGTGTAGGTGAGGGTGAGGTCCTCCACCGAAGTTTGAGTAGAGACAGCAGCCTCGGGATCGATCTCACGAGCAGCACCAGTGCTCAGAGGGATGGAGGGAGTGACCTGGGGAGTCTTCTCAGCGGGCGTCGGGATCACGAAGACCGACGAGACACCGTCGTCGGCGGTGCTGTTGAATCCTCTGGCATGGTGGAGGAACTTCCCCGAGCGAGCGTGGAAGGGGTACGAAGCCTCTCCCAGAGCCGCAAGAGATGCCACGAGGGCGACGGAAGCAGAACTTGTGAAGCGCATGTTGGAGATGATGCCTTTGGTGTCTTAAAGCTTGTCCGGAGAAGTATATCTTTAGCGTGCTCGATTCAGGTTAATGAGCGTGGGTGCGAAATCTATTCGCAATAAAGAATGACAGTGAGGAAAAGAACGACAAGAGTCCTCTGGCACAGAGAACAGAACAGAACGAAGCAACGCGACAAGTTGGCGACTTAAAGAAGGAGAAGAGAGAGAGGATGCCAGCAGACGGAGGGGTGGGATAATAAGAAACGGGGGACCCGAAGCCTTAGCAATTTAGCTAAATTGCAGGGTGGGCACGGGGCGGATCAGACCGCCAGCCTTAGCTCGTTCGCTGCCCCTGGCGCCGTTTAATGAAGTCGCTCTTCTTGCGATGCGGATTCGCCAGAGAAAAGGCGCCAAATCGGCCTCGTGCGATTCCTTTGGCTGGATTCTCGTCAGACTTTTTGTTTTCTGCAACGTCGTCGTTTGGCGGGATGTGTTCTAGTGCAATAGTCGGCGTAGTCGGCGTGCTGGCAATCCATCGCTGTCCTTTATAGAAAATGTATGCTCCCTGAGAACGCCTTGAGATCGCTGCCAGGGTCTGTATCGCGTCGTAGAGTATACAGAATGACGCCATATGGAATCTGACTCCCCAGATTCAATAACAGCGCGTCGCGCTTGTGGCATGTTGCTCGCGTCCCCCCTATCTAGGCGAAAGAGCGGACTGAATGATGAATTCACCGCACGAGAGAATTTCCAGCCACGGCGGCGGAAGAGGCGTGGCACCGTCCATCCCATCGCCAGCTGCATAAATCTTATCTGGCATTCCTAGTGGGGGACTCGTCACGTCCCTCACCCGCAAATTATTACTCTAGACGCCACGGACTGTCATTTTGAAGAAAGGGAAAACAAAGCATAGCGGCAGACTGGTATAGCCTTGGAGGGCACGGCGCTTTCCACACCGCGTTCAAAGTTGAGATGAGACCTAGTCGGCTGGGGGCTTCTGGCTTCTGGGCCTTTCCTTGGAAGTTGGGCTAGAGTATCACGATGTATGCACATCAAGCGAAAAAGATCTGGACTCATCTGAGCGTCGGGAAACGCAAATCTTTTGCCATAATCCCATTAGCAGCCGACGCCGGTCCCGAGAAGACTGCACGGATGCCCTGAGCGTCGTGCTCTCGACTAAGAGGCTAACTAAGACTTGCTGGGCGTTTTAGTTTTTGAGTCCTTGGGCCCGTTTCGGATATCGGGAACCTCCCAGGGGTCAAACCATCGTTTCGCAGGGGACCAGGGGCTGTTCAGCTGTAGCACCCGACAACTATATGGGTGGACGTAGGACCACGTCACAAAGAGATCAGAGTCGTGATGGTCGTGGCAGCAAGAAGACTGCTGCTGACCATTTGACAGCTCTGACACGGACCACTGTCTGTACTCCGTACTTCGTCCAACTGCTGATCTCTGCTGGTGGCAGAGAGGAGAGAAGAGTAAGTGGAGAGATCTCTCCTGTGAGTACCGTGCGAACTGGTCTGTTCTCTGCTCGGTAGACTCGGTACGGTAACTTACTTAGTTAGTGTTGCCAGAAAGGAGTGATTTGCGTTGATCGCATACTCTGTGCTTCCAGAATTGCTTGATGCGGCTGACCCTTTTTTTCTAGCCTGAGAAAATTACCCGACTGTGATGCATGACACATAGCAACAGATCTCCCGATGCGCAGATTCCGAGATAGACGTGATCGCCAGGGGCGCTTCTGTAGGAAGTTGAAGAAGAGATGCTGGTTGTCTCGCGGCTCGGAAGCCAGTGGAAGAGGGGCGATGGAGGCTGGTTGCTACCGTCATAGCCGCTGGCTGCCCCATGGATTCCCCTCAACTCCATCTGCTCTCCACGCTTTCTGTATTCGAGCTATCTAGAGCTAGAGCTATCAGATACCTGACGCCGGGCACAGCTCATGACAGATATCGCGGACATGGCTGCCCGCCTGCGCACGCAGTACGCCTCCGCGTTGAAGCAGTTCGCATCGTCCTCCAAAGCATTCGAGGTTGTCGGTAGTGTTCCTGCTGAGCCTGCACCAGTGACTCCGAAGGTGCTCTACGTTCTGGATTCCTCGTTCAATCCGCCCACGTTGGCCCATCTGAGGATAGCAAGTTCGGCCTTGGCTGAGAATCCGGGTCCTTCATCGCGATTACTACTGTTGCTGGCGACGCAAAATGCAGACAAGCCGTCGAAACCCGCGCTGTTCGAGGACCGGCTCGTTATGATGGACCTGTTCGCCCGAGACCTACGTTCCGCTCTGCAGGGCTCTGCTGCATCGTCCACTCCAGATACACTCCCACAGGTTGATATCGGCCTGACGAAGAAGCCGTACTTCATTGACAAGGCTGCGGAGATAGAAACATCGGGCGTCTATCCCAAGTCCCTTGAACAGGTTCATCTAGTGGGATACGATACCCTGATAAGGATCTTCAATCCGAAATACTACCCCCCAACACACACCCTGCAGCCTCTGGAGCCCTTCCTGACCCAGCACAGATTGCGGGTGACGATGCGACCCGATGATGAGTGGGGTGGACGAGCAGAGCAAGAGGATTATCTCCGTCACCTCGCCCAAGGCGGGAGGGAGAGCGAAGGAGCCAAGAAAGAATGGGCGCAACGGATACAGCTCGTGGATGGCAAAGGAACGGACGATCGAGCTGTGAGCTCTACCAGGGCCAGACAGGCCGCAAAGTCCCAAGTCAATGATTTAGACTTCCTAGTGACAGCCAATGTCCGTGATTACATCGTATCGCACGAGCTGTACAAGAATGATTGACTGGAGCCGGGAAACTCTCTGTATGAAGCAGTCAAGCTCAGATCAGATAAATGCCGACTATGAATTAACTATGCAGCACGATGATATGTCACCAATTGGGCATTTGGCGCCCTCGCGATGGGGCGATCAGAACTCTACCACGCATAAGACTGCCCGCCTGTTGTTTGCAGTAAGCTATACTGGTACATAACTGATAATGATGGGCTATGAATGAAACTGTGTGATAGATACGTATCTATACGCCTATATATTGGAACCTCATACAAACAGGACGTGATGACCAGTGGACCTCTAGAAACACCATGCATTCCCAGGAAACGCCTAACCAGCTTTGCTCCTCCCCCCAATTAGTGTCATGACTTTAGTCTTCTTCTTCTTCATCCTCTCTCTTGCCTAGCGTATAGGCCAGTCCGCCCGAGACCATGTTGACAAAGCAGAGACCCATTGTTGCGCCCCGAATGATGCCTCGTGCACCCCACTTCTTCATGAAAGGCTGCTTTCGTCGGCCAGCAAGGAGAAGGTATAGACCGGACCATGCAGCACTGATTCCAGCACTGTCTGTTTTGAAACCATTGACACTGGCGTAACTCGTGAACAGAAGGACCGGGGGAAAGAGCATCGGGAGCGCCTGGAAGGGTCGCATATACTGCGCTGTGATGAGCGACGCCAGCAGCGTGGGTGGGAATGGATTTTCTGGGATATTGTTAGCGATTAACCAGCCAAGGGCTGTCTACAAGAAGCCGGAAGCTGTATAATGGCAAGTTGAGCTGCGCACCTCCCCATGCTCTGGCCTTCTGCACGAGCGACTTCTTCGCTGCTTCGGCCGTAGACTCCGAGCTAGCCATTGTTCTGGGCAGCGGATACTTTCACTGAAGATTGGTTGTTGGCGGTAATTGCGGAGAGAGAAAATAAAACTAAGTGACGGGTAGGAGATGTAGATAATGCGATCCTCAGCAATCGTAATCTGCGGACAAAGCAGAGTGCTGAAGACTTGTTCACGAGCTCTCCCAGTTCAAGAGTTCCGCAGCCGGCAGCTCCCCAAGAATTTGTGTCCTGAGCGGTGCACAGGGCTGCCCGAAGCTAGCGTCGGCCATCAAGGCTCCCCAAGACACCACGTTGGTTTGTTATCCTTCTCCAGATTTCCAGGTCTGACAGCCAAAGAAATACAGTCCAACCTAACACTCTACCACCAGAGACCAGCTTGATAGGAGACCCCGGAGGATACAGACAGACACCGCTGCCCTTTCTCGTTTGACGTCTTGCCTTATCTTTCCGTCCCCCGGGGCGGCATCAGCTTCTCCCCGCCGCCACCAGTGGTCACCACGCCGGCCAATCCATCGAATACCGTCGAGTTGAAGCGAGATTGACCGTCTGATATCAGTTGAATCCTGGCGCAATGCCTTCTGCCACGGCATCCGGCGCGGACACCGGGTCCGGTGCGAGGTCTCGCGACCACAATCAAGGGAATCAGGAGCGTAAATACACCCCCGAGCAGAAGGCCGCCGTGCTACGGGTACGGAAATGCTCTACGCACGCATACTACGAGATTCTGGCGCTGGAGAAGACCGCATCGGACGGAGAGATTAAGAAGGCATACCGGAAGTTGAGTCTGTTGACACATCCGGATAAAAACGGCTATGAGGGAGCAGATGAGGCTTTCAAGAGTATGTTGCGTCGTCGCCCGCATGTGCAATCGAAGGATCCTCTGCTGACAGATGGGAACAATAGTGGTGTCACGAGCATTCCAAGTGCTGTCAGATCCCGAGAAGAAGTCTAGATATGACAAATTTGGCGGCGATCCAGATAGCAGATTCAATCCTGGTGCTTCTTCCAGCGGTCCTTCGCCGTTCAGTGGATTTTCTTCTGGCGGAGGCTTCCCTCGGTCGACGCCAGCTGGATCGGCCTTCTTCGAGGAGGAGATCTCCCCGGAGGAGCTCTTCAACCGATTCTTCAATGGTGGCTTTGGTGGCATGGGCGGAGGCTTCAGTCCTTTCGGTATGGAGATCAGACTGTCACATGTTTGTGGGAAAGTTTGCTGACATTCACCAAGGAGGACCTCAGTTTGTCTTCAATATGGGAGGAGGACCGGGATTCCGTGTACATCAGTTTGGCGGTACGCGGCCGCGGAGAAGGCCGCGGGAGGCCGCTGCTGCTTCAGAGCCACCGCCATCGGGATGGGCGTATCTGCAGCAACTGCTTCCTCTTATTCTGTTGTTTGTCCTGCCACTGCTCTCGTCACTTTTCTCCGGTTCTTCTACCCCTTCAGGTCCTACCTATCGCTTTGATGCTGCTGTGCCACCCCACACGATGCAGCGAACCACGCCGAAACTCAAGGTGGACTACTTTCTCAACCCCGTGGATGTCGAAGATTACAGCGCTCGAAAATTCCACCAGCTGGATCAACGAGTGGAAGTGGATTATGTCTCGAAACTGCGGCATGAATGTGAAGCTGAGGTGCAACATCGGGAGCGCATGATCCAAGATGCGCAGGGCTGGTTCTTTCCGGATGTTGAGAAGATGAAGGAGGCGCGAGCGATGGAGCTGAAGAGCTGTCGGCGGTTAGACTCGCTGAAGGGCCGATTGAACTACTAATGGCATAATGCAACCCATTATTATTTGATTATTCATGTCTACTTATGTTGTCTGTTAGATATTTCATGTCACTCACGGACTGGCGTAATAATGGGGAGGTTGTATGAATCATGTGGATTGCCCAGGCCCCTTTTTGGAAGGGGGGAGGTTCCTCCATTGTATGTACACAAAGCAATGACTGCTGTTTTTCTTTTGAAATAAGGATACAACCTGTAGCCAGAGTGACTGTATTATTATCTATTATCACGGCTTTGAGCTTCCGGGCGGCGCAGAATTGGTCGTCCTGGGGCAAAAGGAACCAACTGCCACGGCCTCAGGCTGCCCGCCTCCAACTCTTGCAGCGGCCGGAGAAACGTCCAACGCCGCCGATTAGTTAATGCGGAACCTCAACGATCATGGCCGAATGTCGCCTGCGAGTTCTCAGCTGATTATTATACCTTCATCTTCCCTTGGGTGGCTCGTACCATCCAGTTTGACCCTGGACATAATCACTGAGCACCGGTTGCCTTCGTGAGAGGAAGCGTGACCGATCGCCTCTGGCTTAATTACTGATAGACCATGTCCGATACACTCTCTGACGCGGACAAGGTCAGTTCTCTAATCTATGCAACCAGCTTTCCCCGGATTCTCCAGTACTGATCTCGGCCTAGATCCGCAACAAGCGTCTTGCGAAGCTCGCCTCACAGGCGCCGCCGTCGCAGTCTTCGTCGCAAGCTGCTGGAGCTTCAGAGCAGTCCTCCACAACGCCGTCAGAGGCGCCCTCAACACCGCAAGAGCCGCAAGCCCCACGGCCCCAGATAAATGTTCACAGTGCGCCCCCGTCACTGTCGCCATCGCCGCGACCCGATATCCAGCAGTCAGATGGCAAGCGCATCAAGATAACACCTGCTCCTGGGATTTCGACGGTACCTGAGCGGCCGCAGTCGACTTCGATCCCTCCCAAGCGGCAAACACCGAAACCCGAAGAGTCTCTGGAGGCGTTTGAGGACCGTACGCTGAGCGCGATCTTCAAGCTATCACTGAAGGAGGACCGGCAGCAGGACATTCATGGCCAGAAGCTCATCTACTTGCCCGGGTTACGGGCGGAGCTAGAGGAACAGGGACGAGACCTGCGGATAGATGTGTCCGTTCTGGACCAGGCTCTCCTCGAAGCAGCCTCAAACCTCGACAGGCAAAAGCCCTTGGATTATCTGCTACCATGCTGGAAGAGGGTGTCGAGGCTCTACAAGGGTTTTAAGAAGTCGCGTGATGATGATCCCAAATTTGACGTCATTCGGGAGGCCAGGCGCCTTTGCATGAGTTATTGTATCTTTGCGATTACCATGCCGGAGATGTTTGGGTATGTTCTATTGACTTCTTATAGTTTATTGGTGGTCGCGATGAGGTTGCTGACGGGTGCCTTTTGTACGCGATAGACTTGATCCCCCTGACCAGTCGCCGCTCAAGCCCTACCTTCTCTTGGATCCAGAGGAGGACCGAGGTATTGACATGGATTTCCTCGTGGAGGCTGTACGCCGGTTCCCTGAAGATGAGAGCATCAAACCAGCTTTCATATCCGCCGTGGAGGCGCTGAGCCAGGATCTTGCTGAGAAAAACATCAACGATGACTACAAGCCTTATGTCATGGTAAGCTAAGACAAGACACCTTGGTGCTCTATTCGTGTGCGCTTTCTCACATGCTCGCAGGCTCTACGGAATCTTGTCCGACATGCTGCTATCGCATCTGCTATTACAGAGTCTTCTATCTTTAATGCAACCCAGGATCCCCCCACGTTTGAGACGAAAACATTGTTGGGACCGTGGTTTCGGCTATCCCCTCTTCATGGTAGTGTCACGACTTCATATTTTTCTTCCCCGAAGACTAGGGACCAGGGCTATATTCTGACAGCTCAGAGGTCGCTGCGCATGACGCAGCAGATGCTTAATTCTGACCTACTAGATGTTATAAATCATCTAATCCGGGCGTCGAAAGATGCCAGAGAGAAAGTTTTGGATTGGTTTGCGACTGCGGTGAACATCAACCACAAGCGACGAGCAATGCAGGTTGATCCGAAGACGGTTTCGTCGGACGGATTTATGTTCAACATTACGACATGCCTTGACCACCTCTGCGAGCCTTTCATGGATGCTGGATTCACTAAGGTAAGAACTGGCGTCTGTATGTATCAGCACGCTTTAATCTGACTTGAGCAGATTGACAGGATCGATGCGGCCTATCTTCACCGGAAACCCCGCGTCAACATGCGGGACGAGACCAAGATTAATGCTGACCAGCATGCCTCAGACGAATTCTATTCTAAGACCGTTGAAGGAACCAACAACTTTATCACTGAGATCTTTTTCTTGACCGTTGCTGCTCATCACTATGGCAGCGAGTCGCTTACGTCTAAGTTGGATCAGCTTGAGAAGGACCTCCGGCAGATGGAGGCCACTATTGCAAAGTTCGAGTTGGAGAGACACAAATGGATACACAACCCGATGCAACTACGTACATTCGAAGAAGCTCTCAAGAAGTACAAGGACAAGTTCGATCTTGGTCTTTCGTTCAAGTACAGCTTGCAGGGTGTCCTATTTGATGATCAGTGGCAAGCCCGCTCCATGCTGTTTATGCGGTATGTGGCAGTATGGTTGCTACGAGTGGCGTCAGGCGTCGACTTTCCGAAGCAGCAGATCAAGCTACCGCTGCCGGAGCAGCAGCCGGACGTCTGGAAGTGCCTTCCGGAGTACTTCCTGGATGACATTGTTAGCAACTTCAAGTTTATCATGTGGGCCATGCCCCAGATCATTACATCTACTGAGGGAGATGAGCTGGTTATGCTCTGCATCACGTTCCTTGAGAGTTCTGAATACGTCAAGAATCCCTATCTGAAAGCCGGACTGGTGTCCATCCTGTTCCGGGGAACATGGCCGCGGCCCGGGGGTGCTAGGGGTGTCCTTGTGGACCTCCTCAATTCCATGCCTTTTGCTAACGAGTACCTTTTGCATGCTCTCATGAAGTTCTATATAGAGGCCGAGTTTACTGGCACGCACACGCAGTTCTTTGACAAGTTCAACATCCGGTACGAGATTTTCCAGATCATCGAATGTATCTGGCCTAATACGCTTTACCGGACGAAGCTGTCGAACCAAGCGCAGCAGAACCTCGACTTCTTCGTGCGCTTCGTCAACCTGCTTCTCAATGACGTTACATTCGTGCTCGATGAATCGTTTGGTGCCTTCATGACCATTCATGACACGCAAGTTCTACTCAACCAGGCGGGAAGCACGATGGATCCAGCTCAGCGTCAGCAGAAAGAGGAGCAGCTTGCGGCAGCGCAGCGGAACGCAAAATCGTATATGCAGCTGACGAACATGACTGTTGCGATGCTTAAGCTTTTTACAGAAGCGTTGGCTGACTCCTTCACGATGCGGGAAATCGTGCAGCGTCTGGCCGATATGCTCGACTACAACTTGGACGCCATGGTGGGCCCTAAGAGCTCCAACCTCCGTGTCGACAATCTGCAGGAATATGGCTTTAGCCCCCGAACACTTCTCAGTGAGATCGTTGACGTGTATCTCAATTTGATGGACAAGGAGAATTTCATTTACGCTGTTGCGCGTGATGGACGCTCGTACAAGCCTGAGAACTTTGAGAAAGCGGCCGAGATCCTCCGCAAATGGAGTTTGAAGTCACCCGAGGAGCTGAAGAAGTGGGAAATACTGCAGAAGAGAGTCCAGGCAGCTAAGAAGGAGGATGAGCAGGCAGAGGAGGACCTGGGAGAAGTCCCAGACGAGTTCTTGGGTATGTTCTTATCACGATTCAGCGCTCTGGAAGTGATTATGCTGACGGTTGTTATTAGACCCTCTCATCTATACGCTGATGGAAGACCCCGTCATCCTCCCCGGCTCCAGAGTGACTATTGACCGAGCAACGATCCGTTCCCACTTGCTAAGCGATCCTCATGATCCGTTCAACCGTATGCCTCTGAAGATCGAGGATGTCACGCCAGGTAAGACCTAACCCACTTCTGTTCGACTTAGCAGAATATGAACTGACGTGATGTCCGTTAAGACACCGAGCTTAAGGCTAAGATTGAGGCCTTCAAGGCGGAGCGCAAGGGAGCGAAGCATCGTCAAACGGCACAGGGAGCCGAAACCATGGACACTTCGTCCGGTTGAGACAGTGACGCACTGCGCGTGGATTGCGTTGGGTAGGGGTTTTGGGGATTGCATATAGTTCGGTGTCGATATCGTGTTTCTATTTGTAACTGACCACTGTTATCAAGACTTGCTACATTGAGACACAGTCTATATTGAAAGAAGCGCCTCGGTTCCGGGTCTGACGAGAGGCCGGCCGTGTCGGGGTGTCATATCACGAGGAAACTTAACATGACCTACATGAGCTAGACTTTGAAGATAGTCGCTATGATGAGAACATATGAAATTGGCTAGACTGTAGAATTCGCATGTGCTGTAGCTATACTCGTACTCGTATATTTCCATTCGCACCAAAGATTTGTTTTTCATCACGTGCTGCAGTGACGCAGTGACACGCCGGCGATGACGATTGATTATTTAAAGGTTTGAACATCCCAACTAGTTAACTAGTTTGCTTTCCTTCACTGTGAGCGATCAGCAACAATACCAGCATGTAAATGGCATAGCGGTGTATTATTATTTATTTCCCGCTCAACCAACGCGTTTCCCATCCATGTTTCCTACTGGGCTTTAAGGAAGCTCGGACGTTACACCACATAACTAGCTAGGTACAGTACTTATAAGAGTGTTAACTACTCGCCCCTTCTGGAGTTTCAACTGCTTCCTATAGCAGACAGATTTCTCTATCCATCCATCTACATGAGATAGGGTCCTATATTGAACCCAAGAGAAAAAGAAAAAGAAACCAAAAAGGAGATTCAAAGAAAAGACAAAATGGGATCTATCAGCTCATCTTGTCTAGATTCAATTCCTCCCTTGGGGGATTTCTTCCCGCCTACACCGCAAGCATATGCCTTTCTCTTGAATACATTTCAGTATTTTCCATTGGTGAGTAAATTTAATTAATTTATTCTCTCTTTTTTCCTAGTATGTGACTATATGAATATCAATTAACGAAAAAAAACCACAACGCAGATAACACTCACCCAATGGCTAATATCCTACCACCCCGCGGGCAAAACCTCTCTTCAAACCTCGCGTCTAAACCTCCCTGGTCCGCTCGCTTGGTGTCTCATGGAAATCGTCGGTCCCCTCAACCTCATCTACATCCTCACCACCCTGCCCCCCGCAATCAATATATCCTCTCTCCCATTCTGGAATAAGCTCGTCGCTGCGCTTTATGTGATTCATTATATAAATCGCGCTATTATTAACCCGTTCTTCGCGGCACCGAGCATGTCGCCTATTCATGCGTTTATTATGGTTTCTGCGATGGCGTTTAATTGGTTCAATTCGTCGTGTTTGGCGGGTTGGTTGGTTGGGTATGAGACGCCTGTGACGGGCGGGTGGAAGGTTGATGGACGGCCGAAGTTGAGGCGGGAGGGTCCGCAGAATGCGGTGCAGAGGTATGCGCCGTTTGTGGGTGTGGGGTTGTTTGTCATTGGGATGTTGGGGAATACTTATGCGGAGAGGACGTTGTATAAGTTGAGGAGAGAGGAGGCGGATCGGCGAGTCGAGGAACGAGATCGAAATGAGAAGGAGGAGAAGAAAGACATTACCTCTTCTACCTCTTCTATTTCTGAAGAAAATGAAAAAGAAAGGAAGAAAAACAAATATCACAAGGTCTACGTCATTCCGCCAACTCGAGGATTATTTCGCTCGATCCTCTATCCGCATTATGTCTTCGAGTGGCTTGAATGGATCGGTTTCGCTCTCGCGGGTACAGCAGTGTTTCCTTCTCGCAAGCCTGTGATTCCAACTTCGTATGCTACGCCGCCCATCACGCTCGCGCCGTGGCTTCGACCAGCGGCCGCGCTGGCGGATCGGTTCCAGGTCCCGTTGCCATTGCCGGCGGTGCTGTTCGTGGTGAATGCGGTTGCGAATATGTTGCCGCATGCGAGATGGGGGAGGAAGTGGTATGTGGAGAAGTTCGGGGAGGAGGGTGTTCAGGGAAGAGGAGCGGTTGTGCCGTGGTTTAAGTGGTTGTGAAAGGAATGAGGCATATCCAGAGATAATGGCAGAAGAGCAGGAATAGGGAGAGATTTAGATAGGTAGATGAAATATGGTATAACCGATTGCTTTTCTGCGCCTGCCTAGAAACTAAAAAGCGATAAGCCATACAAAAAAAGGACAGCAAGGGGCAACAAGCAAGTCTTCCGCATGCTTTTCCAGAGGGGATAGCAATAACAACATTTATGTACGGATTCAACACCACAAATGAAAGATCCCCTGCCTCCAAGCTGAAGAAGACGACAGACCGGGGGGAGCGCTGAAACGAGTAAGATCGGGAGAGTTGTAAACCAGACCACGGCATATCCCGTACCGAAACAATAAGAAATCAAAGAAGAAAAGAAAAGACGGGAGAGGAGAAAGATGGGTTGCTTAATAAAACATAGACCCCATGCCGGCTGGGAGGGTTGTTCTCCGCAAGCGTCGATGGGCGGTTCCGGGGTCATAATCACTGGCCGGATGACGGGGATGGGATAGAATCGGAGGGCAATTGGTCATATTAGATATCATCTCATTGACGTTTCTCTCCACGATCGTGCTGTCTCCCCAATCGCCGCTCGTCCGCGTTCTGGACGGAACCACAGCCATCTCGTACATCAACCCCCGCGGGGTGTCTCTCCCAACCGTCGCCCATCTCGCCGTTCAGCATCACACATTGGTTGATTGATTGATCGCTCGTACACGTCTAGTTGAACAGGCTGGCACCGCCGGTCTCGATGGCCTCGATCTCAGTCTCGGTCCAGGGCAGACGGTGGAAGCGCTGGGGCAGTTCATCGCGGTCGAAGAACTCGCCCGCCTTCGGCTCAACGGGGCCCAGAGCGGCACCGGGACGACGGCCAATCCATCCAGCACCAACGGCAGCAGCGCCCAAAGGACCGTGCTGCTGGGCTTTGGCGCGATATGTCACGAAGGAGTCGGGCAGGCTGCCGGAGGGCGAGGCAGGATGAGCTCGGGGAGTGTGGTCGACGGAGGCTGGCGGAGATTATGTTAGCACGCTGACGGGGCTCCATTGAGCAGACACCTGATATCCTCTACATACTAGGCACAGAGCGCTTTCCGAGGAACCTGATGAGCGGGGTTCTGGCCGCGTTACGGAGAACAGAAGTGGCGTGCATTTTGGCTGGAGATGTGCTTTGGTGGCGGAGAGAGCGCAAGAGTCAGAGAATTATCGATATTCCGCGGGAAGAAGAACGGATCCGGCACTGTCCGCCCTGCTCAAGCTCAGGCTAGACGCGTCGTGTGGGAAAACGGGATGGTTGGGCGTATTAACTGAGCATTGATGGACTGACAGAGAGAGGAGGGAGAGAGAGAGAGAGAGACAGAAGAGATGGAATGGGATGGGCGATAAGTTAGTTAGTAAAGGCCCGTAGGTAATTCCGCCGTAGACAACCGCGTGCTGGTCCGACTGGCCCGAAGACGGGACTTGCTCTAAGTAAGTACCTATGGTCCTATCTACACTCGACGAACTAACTATGTCCTTTCTCTCCCCCGCGGACCCAATTACTGACTCTAGAGTCTAGAGTCTATAGCCCTCTGGATTATTACGCTTTAGAGTATCGACTGCATTCCTGGCAGCGCGGGGGATCAATTGCTTGCGCCATCCGGCCTCTCTGCCGCATCATCGTCAAGCTCTCTTGCACGAAGCGCTGCAGTCCTGGTCATTGGAAGAACGTTCGTTGCCTGTGAAGAGGAACCAGAAAAAAGATCGGATGTGATTACGCCCTAGAGCTCACGCTTGTGATTCTCGTGCTCTCAGAGACGCCTGGGGTCGCATCGGAACCGCTCACGCTCCAAGTCAGATCACTGTGATCGCTTCAATCCCGCGTTCCGATTATTGTCTTGTGTCTGGTGTCTGTGCCTGTCTGTCTATCTGCGACGGCCCCCCGCGCGGAGAAGAGCGTTCGATCTTCTCTCCCTCCGTTCCAGGCTTCTCCGCACTCTGCGGGCACCGTGCTGACAGGCCAGTGCTCGCAGCCTATATCAAAAAATAGAACCCAGTCTTTACCTTAGCTGTCCTCGGTGAGCACCCTGTGGAGGGATCTGGCTACTACTCTTTGCCTCCCTTGGCGCCGTCGCGGCAGGGTCCTTTGGTCGTTCTTCTCTTGACTAAGAACGGAAAAGAAAATCACAGCATCCCCTTCGGGATTGGGATTCCTGGACACGGTGTGCGCCCGACACCTCAGTGTTGCTGCCTTTCTACCCATCTGGACTGTGCCGTAGACTTCTCGTGACAGGAATAGACGCCTTCGTGCCGCCTTCTACCTAGTCTTCCAGGACCTCTGGCGGAGACACAGATACGCCATTATCACGATGCATGAACTGCTTCTGTTCGCGTCCATCCCGGCGCACCAGCACCATGATTTGCTCCAGCAGCTGGCCGGTCTGACGGCCATGCAGCCCCGTTATCGGCTGGAGAGACGTCTGCTGTTCAAGGCATATCGAAAGCCGGGTTACGTGAACACCCGTATTGGGGGCAGTCAGGACCTGCAATCGTCGGAGATGCAGCGCCTGACCAAGATGCTCAATGGCGGCATGTACTACACCCAGGTTGTCGGACCGGTGCACGAAAGCGACTTTGGTTCCACCCCTCCGCCATTGATGGGTCCAGATGCCCCGGATCTCGGGCCAGATGGGAAGCAGACGGCCGATCTGGAGTACGACTTTGACGAGCAGCCGTGGAGGCTCGAGTTCAGGGATATCCCCGAAGCGGGGACACGCTCCGCCGTCACCTCGCGAGTCATGTCCAACGCAACTCTTCCGCGGGGAGATGTGATCCTGCCCATGAGCGCCTGGGGTTACAGGTCTGTGCACTCTTTTCATACACAGGATCTATACTATTTTTTCCTAGCAGTCTTTAGCTGACCGTCATGCTAGCTTTGTAACCGAGTATGTTCTGGAAGGGCATGTCTTTGTCTACAACGATATTGTCATCTTCATGCATCGCGTGCTGAACTTCCCCGACGATGGTCAGGACACCAGATCGCCGAGGCGGCGGCTGCCTCCTCTCAAAGACATGACGCCGCTGGATAAAAGTGGCGGTTATGTGCTCCAGGCCGCCATCACCGTCCAGGACGGTGCCAATCCGGAGACCATGAAGATGGCGTCGCAGCACCTCTTCGGACTGCGAGAACAGCTCAAATCCGTAGTTCGCTTGGAGCAAGCAGATCGACTGGCACTAGACACGCGAGTAAAATAGAAAGAAACGGGCTGTTAAACATTTTACATGTACGGTTATGATACCCCATAGCGCGGTGGATATTATTAGTTTTTGCGTCAAAAAAAGAATTAAACTCTCTTGATAGAAATTTGTCATGATATTCGTGACATAGTTTAACGAAGAATTACTTTCGTTACACTACGTATCAACAAGAGGTATTATATGGTTGGCTATCTCCGATCTCAATACAAATCTCACATTGCGGACAACCAATATAGAACATGTGACTTCGTGAAGCTCACCTGCGCGTTCCTCGCGTCAAGCCACTCCCGATGCTCGAAGTTCATCGCCCCGTCACCTCAACTTTGAACCGCCCCCGGAGACTTCATCAGTGAGAATTAATTGAGATATTCCTGAACTTCTATTCACTATTCTCACCCTCCAAGCCTTCAGAATGGCCGGGGCAGGCAGTATGAAGAGGGCTGCCTCCCCCGCACGTGCGTCCATCTCTCCGCCTCCAGTAAAGCGAAAGATCGAATCCACGACCACTAGTGAGTTGACTGGATACTTTACAGAGATCTGACTGGAACTACGATTCTAACTAAAGCTTCAGGCAAGACGGTCGCCTCGTTCTTCACTCCCGCCTCACAAAAGAAACCCGAGAAGATCACCTGGAGGATCCTCAACAACAGCCTCATCATTGGGAGATACTCTACTGATCCGACAGAAAAACGACTCACGGAACCCGGAACAAGACGGAAGATTGCAGCTTTCGATTTTGTAAGAGTTTACTTTCGTCTCGTCGGTTCAGGGTGCACGTTCACACGAGCTGATACATTTGATGCAGGACTCTACGTTGATAGCGACGGCATCCGGGAACAGATTCGCTCGCGATGCCAGGGATTGGAAGTGGTGGCATCCTACCGTTCCTACGAAGATAAAGGAGCTCAATGCTGATGGGTGTGTCTGAGGTGGAAGCTAGATTTATAGCGGGCATGATGTGGACAGACAGGCTAATATCGAACCAGGTTCCAAGTCGTCGTCGTCTCGAACCAGAAGAAGATTAGTCTGCAAAAGGAGATCAAGGGTGGTCGGAGCGAGTCCAAGAGCCTTACAACATTCAAGGAGAAGGCCACGGCCGTGATGCGACAACTTGATGTGCCCCTCAGTCTTTACGCAGCTACCCAATATGACGAATACAGGAAACCGCGAATGGGCATGTGGAGGGAGTTGGTGGAGGATTACGATCTCGACGTCGACGACAGTCTGGACCTCCAGAGTTCTTTCTTCATCGGAGATGCAGCTGGACGACCGGGAGACCACTCCAGTTGTGACCGGTAGGTGCTGCGGACAGGATGGGAAGTACGAAGCGCAAGCACATACTGACCGATGCTACTCAGGGACTTCGCTGCGAACATCGGGATAACATTCAAGACGCCAGAAGAGTTCTTTCTGGGGAAGTCGCCCGAGCCAGTGTCACGAGCGTTCGACCCTGCAGTGTATATCAAGGAGGAATTAAGTGGTCCTAGTAAGTTGCATTTCATCCACCTCGGCTCACATGTGTGAAGTCCTATCACTCAGACAGACTTCGTATTTATGTATTCTTCAACGTGCGATCACATGCATATGCAGTCGAGCTTACAGCGCGGGCTATAGAACCAGTGACCTTCGAGAAGCGCAACCCGCTCGACCTAGTCATCTTTTGCGGTAGTCCCGGAGCCGGAAAGTCGACATTCTATTGGAAGTACCTGCAGCCTCTTGGCTACGAGCGCGTGAACCAGGATATTCTTAAGACCGTATGCGTTGATCATTCCCGTCCTTGGTTGCCATTTCAAAGCTCCTGCTTGCATCTGTTCCATAATTGCGAACTGATCCGGCAGATAGACGTCAAGCTAACTATCCGTACAGCGCCAGAAATGCATCAAGGTCGCTCAGGAGCATCTTGCTGCTGGAAGATCCGTTGCAGTCGGTATGTAACACTACCTATAGTGCCCTGTATTTTCGATTGGATCCTGCAGCCATTATCGTCGGTTCGCCCGGTGCTACTACGCTCACCCCGATGTCCAATCCGTGCACCCCACGTTCTCTGTCATGTACATACGGCTGGTAGCTTTCGGGTATCAACATCAAGCATAAATCCGCGGGGCGCTAACCACATGCAACTTGCCAGATAACACGAACGCGGACCTGGAGACAAGAGCGTACTGGACTGAGATCGCGCGGCAGCATAAGATCCCCATCCGTGTTGTATACTTCACCTCACCGCCCGAGTTGTGCCGACATAACGACGCTGTGCGCGCAGCAAATCGAGATCTGGTATGTAGAAACCCGTCGCATTTTGTGTTTTTAGACATGAAGGCCAGCAGAAAGAAGTAAAGCTGATACATTCGGACAAATAGAACCCCGAATCCCGCACACTCCTCCCTGGCATCGCATTCGGTGATTTCGCCCGTCGCTTCCGACCCCCAGACCTCTCCGAAGGGTTCCAAGACATCACTCGTGTTGATTTCCGCTTTGAAGGTGACGAGGAAGCGAAAAAGAGATGGCGTCAGTACTGGATCTGAATATTTTCCTTCACCAGGCGCATTCATCATCTCCATGATTCCACTAATGTCCACGCAAAAGCGTCGAGAAACAGGATCTCGGCGTAGGAGGGGGTTTCAAGTTGCTGTCCCCATTAATCGGAAGACTTTAATCTCTCAAGAAAAAGAGCTTTAGTCGCATGCATGTACCATGTAATATATTATGTGATGAAAAAAGTCATGTCACTCAGTCTGGGACGCCATTCTTTCCCTACGGTATGAAACTGATTCCCATAGAGCACGAAAGAACTACAACTACGAGTCTCTCTGCTTCATTCAAATCATGAACTGAACTCCTCAATATAACTCCCAGATCTAGGTACCTCATTCCACAACAAAGTCCAGACACATGGTGCTTGTTCCATCTATATCCTACCATACCCTACCGTAGTTGTAGTAGATAGTAGAGTAGTAAAACAATGTACATACCATCCCCTTCCCTCCCTTCCATCCCCAGGTTAGAATCAGATAATACTTGATTAATCAGTACTATCACCGTACGGTATTTGCTTCTTCTACCGATCCAATCACAATCCCCAACACACCGACATCCCCAGTCCCCCCCCAAAAAAATAATAATAGAGAGACAAAAAAGATAGAAGACAAGAATAGACAAATAGAAGAGACTAATGGAGAAACCAGTCCACGTTCCCTAAAATTATTATTATTAATCATGATCTGAAAACGGACCTGTTCGTATTATTATCCCGACGGGTAGTTAGGTAACTAGGAGTCTAGGATCCTTCCGCGACGAGAACCGTGGAACACGACATCCGAACACGAGGTATCCGTGAGCCCCGGGGAATGGGAAGCAAGTGAAGGGATGATCCTAGTTTTATGCGTGGTACCTGAAAGTTTGATCTGTTGTATCTTGACGACTATGTTTGCCGGGGTAGTTACAGCCACTACGTGTTATGTTTGTTATATGATCGTCGCAAGTAATACGATTTAGTATATTGATGGATGCTTCCGGTTATCTTCTCAGCTGGGTCTAATTTAACACTGGTGTTGTAAACTAGACTATGATGACTAGAATATAATATACATCCTCGAAACAAAGGATGAGCCAGACAGAGTGAGATATCACGTATGATGATTAACTTAATGTTCAGGTACCAAGGGCTGCCTCGGTCCTTTAGTTGGTGGCCTCGTCGCCAGAGTACATATGTGAATAGAATGGTACACAATATGACATGGAAACTTTTTTCCTTTCCTGATTTTCCATTTCTCCCGACGCCCAGTCGCTCAATACAGGGAATGACAAATCTATAGCAGATGCAAGAGAAATGAGATATGGAAAACCGAGTCTGATACTCCAGGTTCCGGGTATAAATGTACAGAAGAAGCGAACACACAAGAGACCGGGCGTATTGGCGCAGGTTTGTGCGCGAGGCTGTCCGCGGAAGCTGCTTGCGAAAGCTGCTTGTCGGAGACCCGGCTCTTGAAACAGGCTGGCTGTCAAAGCGATATTCCCTGCTCTGGATGCACTGTAGAAAAATAAGAAGATATAGGGCGCCAGTCAAACAGGAATAAGTTCACAATGGTTCGAGTACACTGATGACAGAGAGTGTGGGTATAATGAACGTGATTCGTCAAAGGAATGTAACGCGCGTGAGTCGTATCCGCAGCAGGATTAATCGTCATAACGGGTCATTATCAACATAGATAGTTGTAAGAGATCATTTGCGTTGAAGCAAGTCTGATGCGCCCAAGGAGCATATGTCAACAGCTGTTGTACATATCGACAGCCCTCCAGTTCCACCCAGTCTCTTATGACCGGGTGGCGGCGACAGCAGAAGGGTAGGACTTTGCGACAAGATCCTGGAGGAATTTGAAGAACGAGCGTTTTCGTTGTGACCTCGCTCGTGGAGGTGATGGGCTGCGCACAGCAGGAGCCACGGTCATCGGTCCAACAATCTCCTCATCGCCCAATTCCGGGAACTTCTCATTATCGTGGAGACGCGGAATCTTGACAGTTTCACACGGATGCAGATTGGACATCGTCAGACCCAGACCTGCGCCGCCGTGGGAATCCAGTTCGGCCAGCACTGCCTCATGGTTATGTTTCCATTCACGATCGATAGATTCCCACTTCTCCTCCGTGAGTTTGTAGATCTTGGAGGTGACTCCGTAATGTTCGCCGGTACGCACCAGGTGCTTTGCGTAGTTGCATCGTGCAACTTCCCAGTCCGCCCGAAGTTGCTGGAAAGATTCCAGGTCGCAAATCTCCGGGATATAGGGCTCAGGCTGGACAGTGAAGTTAGCATGTCCTAGCTTATGCGCCCACTCGTCATTCGGATCCGCCATGATCAGATCCCCTGACACGGTCCGCATCGTGTTCGTTCGTGGTCTACTAATGGACACCATAGAAGGCTTGCTCGACAGTGGTGGAGAAGGTAGACTCGCCAGCCGTGAATCCAGAATTGGACTCATTGTCGACTCCTCCGTCACGTCTGCGACCGACGGCGACTGCAAAGGCGAATGGATAGCCGAGGAATCTTGGTGGTGTGGAGGGCAGCTGCCCATGAAGGGCGGGAGAAGAGGAGTGGTCGCTTGGGGTTCGCTTTCGTCAATGTTCTGGCAGTTCGCCTTTCCGATATCTATCGGCTGGACACTCGATTGGCTCAATCGCTCCTCAAAATACGTCCTGGCAGGGGAGGGAGGGTTTTGGGCATCGATTCTCGTTCCGGGACTGATTGCTGGGCTGAAGATGGATGATGCGGCCGAATTTTCTCGCGAGAGAATCTTGTCACCGAACAAGTCCTCCGAGACGGTGCCATCAGAACCTTGTCTTCCTTTGAAACGGGCAGAGATGGTCGAGAGGCGCGTGCTGATGCTACGCGAGAGACCCTTGGGAGACATGCTCTCTGCGCGGCGCTTCTTCGGGGAATGGGGAACATGTGACGCTGTGTCCGTCAGATCATATTCGTCCGGATCAATCGTAGAGATCTCCTCCGTGTGAGTAGTTGATAGATAGTCGTCGAAGTGTTCTATGTAGAAGCAAGATATCAGTAAACAGGCCCAGAGGGAACTTCCGTGTCTCGAGGCGCATCACTTACTGAAATAATCATCTTCAAGCTCCCGGCTTTCGCGCTCGATAGGCTCTTCTTGAAGGTCTGTCAATGGCGTTTTCATGGAGCCGGATATAGAGCCGGAACTCTCCATGGACATGCCCATGGCCGGGGACGAGATTGATGAGGACACCGAGCTGGAGAATTTGGTGTGGCCTTTGGCAGAGAAGAGAGAGACAGCCGGTGACACCGGCGCAGATGTGGTGACGGACAACGAAGATTGCGGCGAAGGATACGCTTGAGAAGAATCGATGTCTGCCTCTGCACCGTAAGAAGGTCTCTTGGAGTCCAGTAAGTTGCTCAGCTTTAGCATATTGTGCTCTTCACGCGTCGTGGTACAAGATGACGTCTGAAGGTACACGGATGGGGGTGTTGTCGGTTAATATGAGCGAGACGGGCTCTTCATTATTGTCCCGTGGCTGGATTGACTTGAGGAGCAGCGATCGCAAGATACGTGGCGGTGAATCAGTGCAAGTAGCCGGTGGGGGGTTTGGAGAATTATCGAGATTGCGGTGTGCAGTTGTCCTGAGAAATCGGGCAGATACAACACCAAAGAACCGCTCTGTCGCACCTTCCAGACTGTGCAGAGACGGAGGTTTTGTGTTTATTTGGAAGTCCGCGGCCTGTTGGTTTATCGTGTCAGTCTTCGTATGTTTTGGACGTGTAAGAAGCGCTTGTTGCCCGACTGAGAAAATAGCTCCAATAGCTGCCAGAAGGAACAACCGGAGCACAACGCGAACGGGGTAAAAGGGAAAGGTCAATGAAGGCGCCACATGGTACGCCCGGGGGATAATAGTTCACAGGTCGAGCAGTCTAGTGCAAAGACCAAAAAACACGCCAGAGGAAAAAGAAACAAAGCAGGGTTCAAGGGATGCTGACCAGTGATACCAACACAGCCCTACAGGCTTTGCCAGATCAGGAAGATTCGTGCCCGTACAGCTTGTCCAGCTTGCACGCGAAACAGTCGTGACGCCCAAAGGGCCGGTTCCGGTCTGCAGGATCAATGCTGGCGCCGTAGTGATGTGATGAGATGAGACGGTCGAGGACAGCAGCTTGTCGTGCTTCCAATAGTAACGATGATTCCGATGGCAGGTGGTTGGGAGAGAGACACTGGGAGGAGGTGGAAGATGGTCGAGGTTGACCTGGGCGAAACGAGCGACGGATGAACTGTCCCCACGACGGGTTACTACGATGAGTAAAGCACAGTCTCTTGGTAAGTTGGTAGACTCTCAGAGCAGATGGAGGCGATTATTATTCCGTGTAGAGGAGAACTTTTGACAGTTCAGGTTCTTTTTTGCCCCACGTCCAACTGGAGACTGCGATGGAGCTCCCACATTCACAACGCGATCCCACAACGCGGACGAACACCGGAGAAAAAGGTTATCGGACGCTCTATCTAACTACTAAGTACTAACTCAATTGACTCGGGGCTATGATGCTTGCTAGGAGATCAAGATATCGACGGTGTCTGTCATGTTGATCAGACATGCAGTCATAGTTCTTGATACTCTTAAGTTACGACTCTATCGAGCATTTACCGAGATTTTCTATGGCGAGTCCCGAACCACGGGCCACCCATCGAACGATGCGAAAAGAAGCAGCGTCCCCGAAAGTCAAACCCAATCGCACGCACTTCGGGTTTCTCATGAACCATGGGCGATTGTCAGAAAACGTTGCGGAGTCCCGCGGTCGCCCGGATGAGCGTGAGGTCACTGCGTTCGCGCTGCAAAAGTGGTTCGATCCACTCGCTGGTGAAAATTTCTGAGATGGCCACAATAACTGAAGCGGTAGTTGGTCCCTGAGCGGCTCCGAACTAGCCACCAGGTCCAAGGATGTCGATGTTGTTCTGGCCCGGGGACGAGCATCGGGGAACTCGCCAGAACTCAACCAACCCTGTGGGAAGCTTGCTAAAGTCTGAATGAGGAAGTCCCCGAGCAGTGACCGCGCTCTCCAAGGGCAGAAAAGGAAAGGTCTCTAGGGCTCAGCCGCAATAGTAGCCATGCACGGTATCACAATCATCTGTTGGGATTGCTGGATGTGTATCTTCTATGAGATACGTCAAGCAAACTTCGCCAGTTCTGCTCAGCCTCCGGAGATGGAGTCCGCTGGTTGCAAGAAGCTCATCCTCAGCAGGGCTCAAGCACACGACGATCTCGCCATGTCCGGAAGTACTGACCGTTTCATAGAAAAGACAAGGACAGAAAGAAAAACGAGCCCTCATGGCTTGTCGTCGGGGATTGGCTATTGGCGTCAGCGGCGCCTGCAAGGACGGGTGTCAAAAATTCATGCTTTGCCCACCCAGTCAGAGTCTCAATTCGAGGAATAATGCAAGAAAAGGCGGCCCAGGCACCGATCCGACTCGTTTTCTCCCGATTCTCGGCCTATAATCCCGGCTTACTGGTCAATTCCTCAGGAGTCAGGACAAGATGGTTGGTCTGATTTCCAATATCTCCATCAGCACGTCCCGTGTTTGTATGCACAACAACCATGATAATAATACGTAACGGTGGTGGTTGGAAGCAATAATGTATTATTGACCTCTGACTGACCTCATCAATGTGGTCAATGCCGTACTTGCAAGGTGGGTGAGCGCGACGAAAATCAAATTGCTCGTGTGCTCCTGGGGCATCTGTGCTCCATTGAAGCTTCGACCGGGTGACGATCGCTGTCGTTCTTGACCAAGTTATGACTGAGCGTACTCCGTAGAGTAACTACTATTGCTTGTTTGTCCGCGCTATGGTACTTGGACCCGGAGGTTTTTTCAACAAACAGACAAGGAATGGTTACAGCATACTCTTCTTGACCAGATCCCGCGAGTAAGGGCTATGGAAGCCATTGGGGGTAGCAATCAATTCAGCATTGCTTGCCGAGCATCTCACTAGAGGCTGGCCCAGATCCGTTCTCCTTCCATTATTATTAATATTGGAGATATCCAGCTTAACACAGCTTCCACCGAGGTTGAGTAATAATAGAGTGTTGATTGTTTGTTGGCCAGCTTCCTCGGGCTTGACGTGATGCAAGGTACGCAACAGTACTGTGTTCTGCTGAAGACAGCCAAGCCCGATCTGGTGTCTGCAGTGAACATCCTTTCTTTCTTCAGCTTGTCCGAGCTTCTGGATCCGATTCCCTTGGTCCACCAATATGGAACGAAACTCTTTTCGAGCTAGATACTCTATCGAACAGACGAAGGGAAGACGTCAGATCCACATGGCCAGCACCATTCAGTTGGGACGCCAGTTCCCGTGTTGCTCTCCCGGGTGCCCGAGGGAAAGGTGCTGCGGAGTGCGGACACATTTCGGCCGACTGCGAGCCAAGTATATTCTCTGTTCTTCCACGGTTCTGCTGTGCCAAACTCTCGATGCGTTGCCGTCCTGACTCCTGAGCAGCCGAATCGATGGCTCCGGTCAAGTACCAGTACCATAGTGTAGCTGTTTTTTGCTTAGCGCACTTGTCCAGAGTTCTTCTATTTCGGGATACAGGTCTGCTTGCTTGTGCGTCGAGTATATTATTATATCAAGACTGGCCAATATGCCAAACCAACAATAGTAGTCACCAACAAGAGTGGCAGTGCATGTCTAAATCTTCTTGTCGAGGGTCGACAACATTAGAAGAATAGTTCCGAAGTGAGCATTTGTTGGTTTGTCTTGCTTGTGGATGGGATGTGCAACAAAGGAGGATCAAAATCACGTGAATTTGTTGCCCTCAATCCACCCCGCTCATGATCCATGGCGCTGACGAGACGTTTTTTCTCCTGTGGCTTTCAGATGGGAGAATATTGCCCGTATGTGGAAGGTTTGGCGAAACGTCCTTGAAGACAACAATAATAACAATACTACTGACATCGAGAATATGTTATTATTTGGCGTTGTTTACTGAGTACGCTACACAAGCGAAAGCACCGGCCTTCGCCACCACCACCACCACCACCACCACCACTACGGACCAGGTTGTGGTGGCTTAAAGGTCCTATCTAAAATTTGGACACTGGCCAATCGAGTATATATGCCACGGGGGCTAGTAGTGTTTAGAGAATGGCCTTTGGTTCTAATGAAGGCGAAACGCCCTCATTTGGGATCGCTGTGCAGACAAATAATATAGTTATGTTGCCCTGGCGAAGTTACCAGAGTTTCAATAATAGACGGAGACGTCTAGTACTGTATATGCGAGATATCATCATTGTTAGGGCTTATTGGATACGAAAACATGACAAGTATGTCTCCAAACTTCCAGATTCGGCTGCTGTCTAGTTCCAAGCCGCCAGCAGACAGACGCATCTAGGCTTCCTGGAGGCGAAAATGCCTTGAGATGATCACAACCTTTTCAACATATCATTATTCCTTGGCGCGTATGTGTGCCTAGAGCTTTGTGCCAGGACCCGCTCCCTTTTGCTATTCCGTATGTCTGTTCCAGGCAGGTTCACATTTATGAGAATGTGCACACAGGGCATACCCAATGCTAGATTTTGTACTACATGGTGGTCAAGTACTCGAGTATTATTCGTCTATTCCATCTACTTTGTAGAATATGAAGACATCATCACGATATCAACAAATAAACCAAAGGATAGACGTAATAACTCCAGTGTCATATACACTTTCCTCGCGTTTTCCTCGGAGTTAGCCACTTCTACTAACCAGCCTATTAGATTCTAATCTGCATTTTTAAACCCCACGCAGATATTTTCTTCTGTTCTAGAACTCGCACTAGAATTACAGGAAAAAGGTACTTCGGAGAATAGCGTAGCTTTTTCAATTAAGCTAAAAGCAACTTAAACAACCTAACTGATTACCGAATGCGTCGAAAATTTCATCCAGGCGCGCGGCTAAGCAACACTTCCTTGTTATTTCCCTTCTTAACAAGGAATCCTGCAACCCTATCGAAGCGACAAAGAAGAAAAAACTTATCTGTATATGATTGGGTAGGGAGGACTATTGCCTTTCACTTCACGACCTGGACTCTATAATACGAGCAAATCCAGTCTAGATCCTTGTTTTAATGATTCGCAATTAAATTAAAGTTATATCGTCTATGCTAATTATCAGATTGCCAGACGCATGATATAACCCAAATATAGGATTCGTGGAATGAGATCTGTTTACTATATTATTCCCAAACTATATCTGCAAACGGATTAAGCATATTCTAAATCTATTAGTTTATGTTTCTCGTCTTTGACCTCAGCAGGCAAAAGGCCAAGTTTACGACAAATATAAAACTAGCTGGTTTTTTCTTTACTTAGAGGCAGTGTTGGGTGTTTAGAGTGGATAATGTCCTGCGTACCCTATGCTTCGCCCCCAACGTACTTTCTGAAAGAAAGGAAAGCGCACGACTACAGTATAAGATATACAAATCCGACACTTGATCTAATAAAGAAGAGAAACTATACAGTGATTTTTTAGCCCCAGGCTAACGAAGAAATGTGAGCGTACAAGTTTCTATTTGCATTTCCACTTTCCTTTCTTTGTTCTCTTCCTCCGTCACCCCTCCTTTTCTGACTTATACTCGTCGATGGTTTTAGGAGCCGAGTCAAGGGACGTTCGATAATGGAATGGCTTTTTAGTTCTAGGGCTATTTATATATGATATTCTATGTGTTGTTAGACAGTCATTACAGATTCCAGTAGCGGGAAATTAGCTCTGTATTAGTAAAATATCATATAGTAGATACTAGAAAGGTGATGAGCTACATAGGCTCCCTTAAATTATTACTGGAGATATGTAGTTATTTATAGATCCTCTGTCTTCTTTATTCGCAATAATGCAAAGGCAGACTGTGATCTTACTCGGGCGATATCGAATATTAATTGAAGTGTCCTTCGGATCTCACTCATCAAAGTCTTACCTCAGAAACCGATTTATCCCTTATGGTAAATGAGTATATTCCCAATTTGCTCAAGAACTGTACTACTAATATAGTAACTAAATATACTACTAGAATAATTCGAAATAACTTAACTACGGCCGTGGGCCTAAGTAGCTGCGAGATCGAATAATTGTTGTTTGGATTATTACCGGATTACATGGAGGTGAGCTCGATTCTTGAGCGCATGTCCGCAGTATAAACGAGAGAAATCACGATGCTTATCTACAGACGTTCTTGACTTTCCAAGTACGAAGAGTTTGCCATAAGTTTATAGCATCGACTTCGAATCGTCTAAATTCCTGACCTTCCTTAGATACCTTTTGAGCGTGTCTAGCCACTTAGCGCACTATTCGAATCAAGCACATGACCATCTAAAAAGCTCCAACATATAAACGATAGATCAACGAAACTATAAGAGACTTCAATGTAGTATTCCAGACAGATTATCATAGCACCATCTCACGCGAAAAGAAGCTTTCCGTAAGACCTGTCACTTGATATCTCCAAGTTACTACACTCTAGCTTACAAGTATGCATCACATAATATTGTGCAACGTCCGCATGGAAATGTCTCACGTAAGTCTTCAATTTATACGCATGATCGGTTAATGTAAGTAAATACCTAGGTACCCACTGAGAGCAATTGGTACTACATGCAACCTAGATACTACTTGCAGGGAAAGCCCAAAGTATAATATATATTGCCTTCCTTGGAAGCTTGTCGGATGACTTTATTCTCATGGTGAATATTCAGTTAGCTGTCTGGCCGGATGCGCCTGCAACATCAGTATCATTGTCAGCGAATGGCCGGGAAGGATACAGCGTTGCATTATGGGTAAAACGAACAATAGTATTGATCCTGCTGACCGGGAGAAGATTTCACAATTGTGTTTTCCGGACCAGTTGCTATAGGGTGATATCGCGTCAGCAGATCATCTGTCCCCGTCAGCTTATATCTCTGGAGTAGACTTCGCCGACGACCTATGTTATCTGAATATGATATCCTCATGCTAGGAATCCTCCAAGGCAATTATTGCAACGCTTGTCGAATTGGTATTCGGGAATATGAAATCAATATAGCTGTTACCTGGACGAATGAGGCACTTGCCACACGCTTGTACAGTACTTAGGGCTCATAACTCTTACTATGTGCGAACATAGTAAAGGCTTTAACCGCAGACTCTGTAGACGAAAAGATGAAACTGGAATACACTTGTGGAACCTAATAGATATTATAAGATAGCCCCCCTCAGTCTTCAGGGTTGCACAGGGGCTTGGTGCAACAAGCGAAATAGCACTCAGGAAACAAGACCGATCTGTACTCCACAATACTATACTATGTCATATATAGCTCCTTCACGTGGATATGAACTCAGTGTGATAAGGGTAGATTCGTAGCTAATTGTTTTTTCTATTGCTGGCCACACACATTGTGCCCCCGCTTTGGGAAGTAACGGCTGTAGCAACGATAGACCGCATCTAGATCTTGAGAATCTATTCTAGCAGGATCCCAGTTTACCATCATTGCCAACACGATCTCCTTCATCTGGACCCTGCCGTAGAGTGGTGTTCCTTGTGTTATACACACTGCTTCACACCTTGGTCTCCAGCCATTGGGTGCATTGGCTTGATGCCAATTTGTTGCCTCATCCTCATATTAGTACTAGCTTCACGTCTGGAAGTCTACTGACCACAGAAGACCCCACATGTTCTCAGAGAGAGATATTAGGTACTCGCCTCATCCTTAAGCATGAATATTCGCCTGTATGAAGGCGTAAGCGCTAATACTCTGGGCCATATTTTGGGAATAGGCTGATTGGCTGTACCTCAGTTGTTTCTCGGCCCTTCGATAAACACGGGTCTCCGAGAGGATGCATCACACAAGAAATTATTAGCCTGGGTGGTGTGGTTGTCTGTTCGTTAAAAGGAGGGTTACTTATTGAGAGGCCCGAGCCATCTGGACTACTGTTTGTCTATATTCCTTCTGGGTCTTTCATGACCCGGTTTTAAGGCCTTCGACTAGATCATCTCGCCATGCGCGAGATAGCTGATTGACAGGCCAGCAACCAGTCGTGATTGCTTCTTAGTCACTTACCTAAATTTACCATATACCCGGAAGAAGTTGTATAGAACCGAATCAGGCAACCCCGTCCGAGGTGTGATGATGCCACGGATATTGGATAGTGAGGCACAGCTGGCTTGCGCGAAAAGTGCTCTCGTTGTACAATATATATGTGAGTAAGATGTGTACCATGCTGAGATCCATTCTATTGAGTATTGTCCATTCTAATATGACTTAGCTCTCTTCCAGCTAAACGTAAACTGCCTGCCCAGCATGTTCAACTTACCGTCACTTATCGTTATACTTGCTACGCTGTCTTTGGCGTTAGCCACTCCAACTGACCGAAATGTTACTGATGGGTTACCTGATGGACTCGTTGCGGGGAATCTGGGTGCTATTGCTGGCCTCGTTGGTGTTGAGGAAACCTTCGATTATATCGTCATCGGTGGTGGGACCGGTGGAAACGCAATTGGCGTCCGTCTCGCAGAAGCTGGGCACAAAGTTGCAATTATTGAAGCGGGTGAATACTACGAGATTGGAGAGATCGTTCTTGCAAGTACCCCTGGGGGTGACATAGTCTTCGTTGGGGCCGATATTACAGATTCGGATCCTCTCGTCGACTGGGAATTTGTGACAGAACCGCAGGCAGGTGCTGACAACAGAGAAATTCATTATGCTCGTGGCAAATGTCTAGGTGGATCGTAAGAATTTCCTGGCCTTAGAATTACGAATATGGTCTCTAACAGTTATATAGATCCGCCCTTAATTTCATGGTCTATCACAGGTACGGTGACCCACATCGCAACACTCTTAGTATATATTAACAAATCTCCTATTAGGGGAACCAAAGGTAGCTTTGATAAATGGGCTGAGCTTGTCGGAGATGAGAGCTACACTTTCGAAAACGTGCTACCTTACTACAAGAAGAGTCCAGTATTCACACCCCCGAATGAAGAGAAGCGTGCCGCGAACGCTACTCCGAGATATAACCCAGACGCGTTCTCACCGTCAGGGGGGCCTCTGCAGGTTACATTTTCTAACTATGCCTCTCCGCTCTCTTCGTGGGTTAGCAAGGGACTACATGCAATTGGACTTCCTGATGCCTATGATTTCAACAGCGGCGTTCTGGATGGTTCCCAGTATGTCACTACGACAATACGGGCATCTGATCAGACACGCAGCAGTTCCCAGACTTCTTTTCTCAAGAGCGCAATGGACCAAAACCTTCAAACTTTGAAAGTCTATATTGGGACGCAAGCTGAAAAGATTCTCTTTGATGACAACAAGGTCGCCACTGGTGTTCAAGTCAACACCGCAGGTATCGGCTATACACTTCATGCCTCCAAGGAAGTCATCCTCTCTGCAGGTACATTTCAATCCCCGCAAGTTCTGTTGCTCTCGGGTATTGGAGCGAAGGAGACTCTCGAACAGTTTGATATCCCAGTCATCGCGGACTTGCCCGGCGTGGGACAAAACATGTGGGATCATATTCTCTTTGGTCCGACGTACCGTGTTGACGTTGATACTTACACCAAAGTGATTCGAGATCCCGCTTTTCTTGCAGAGGCGGTCGTCTCGTATATTGCCAACCAAACTGGTCCCTTGGCCGGCAACGTTGCTGATTACCTGGGATTCGAGAGACTCCCCAAGGCTTACCTGGACCAACTCAGCGAAAGCGCCAGAAACGATCTGGCCACTTTCCCTAGCGATTGGCCCCATATCGAGGTGAATGGTCATATAAGTCTATGTTGTCTAACTCCTAACTGACAAGGATTCTCCTGTTAGTATATCGTCGCTCCCGGATATGTAGGCAATTTCGGCAATCTCCCATTAAACCAGCCGTTCGACGGTTACGAGTATGGAACAATTCTCGCGGCGATCGTCGCTCCTCTCTCCCGTGGAAATGTCACCTTGAAGTCGGCATCGATCACAGATAAGCCGTTGATTAACCCTAACTGGCTCACCAGCGATACCGATGTACAAGTTGCTATCGCCGCTTTCAAGCGCGCACGCGAAGCTTTCGAAAGCAACGCAATGAAACCAATCCTAATCGGAGACGAATACTACCCCGGAAAGAACGTACAGACCGATGAAGAGATCCTCGATGTCATCAGGAAGAGCTTGATGACATTCTGGCACGCTTCCTGCACTAACAAGATGGGCAAGAGTGACGACCCGTTGGCTGTTGTGGATTCTCAAGCTCGTGTCTTTGGTGTCAAGGGCCTGCGTGTAGTCGATGGAAGTGCTTTGCCACTCCTACCACCGGGTCATCCACAGAGCACAATTTGTAAGTCGGCCTCGTTGCTAAGAGTGCTTACTGTTTTCATGAACATTTGTCTAATGAATCACACCACATTTACAGACATGCTTGCGGAGAAGATTGCAGATAATATCATTAAGGGATCCTCGTAGTGATCGATCCTTGAGTCTCCAAATATCATACACGAATAATTTGCCAAGTCCGTTCCAGCATCTTGTTGGAGTAGTTTCTCTCCTGCTGCTTTATCCATGATCTATACCAGAGCATGTCGTCTAATCCCCGAGTTGTTTTTTCCCTTCCTTTTTGTCTGTTCAAGCCTTGTCAGGTTCAAAGTGCAACTGCTATGAGTAATGAGCCGTGAAACTCTTGCGTTTCTATCTTACTGCAGATCTTGCAACGTCTTTCGTTATTGATGTCGTAGAGCTACGACAGAACCTTGGCGTGATGTCATATTGCTTCCGTTGTAATTAAGTTGTTTGTCCAAAAAGCAGGGTCCCTAGTATCTAAATACTGGGGTCCCCTTTGTTGTGGGTGCAGCGTAAAACATGCAGGGACTTGATCCAGCCAGGCGATCATTCTGGCCAAGCTTAGTTGAAGTAACAAGAAGGATAGCCTCAGATATAGAAATTTGTGTTCTGTTTCCATTGCATCGTTGCCTCAGAAGAGATGATGAAGGCTCTCTGAAGACATCATTCAAGAAAGTTGACTATCAAAATAATGACATGCATGAAAGGAAGCAGGCAGGAATAACATCCTAGTCCGTCCCATATAGTCGATATCCCCCGTCAGAAGGCACTTCAATACCCTAACACCGTCTACAACCACCGATCATGAGCCGGAGAGAACTGATGTCCACAATGTCCCTAACAGCAGCAGACTCGGTGGGCCCGAAAATAGAAAGAGCTAAACTTCAACCCGTGAAACATTGCACAGCCATTAAATCCGTATTCCTTGGAAGGATACCCGGGAGCCCAGATCTTAGGTCAACTTCTGCTTGATGAAGAAGGAGCGGAGGTGAGAAAGCTGCCAAGCGCAGGTCGCGGAGAGGACGGCGAGCTGGATCAGAGTCCATCGGACAACACGAGAGTTGGTAGCCTCGGACTGGTCACGGAATTCCGCTTCTCGTTCCTGTATATTCTGTTAGTCATGGTCTCTCTAAACGTAGCAATGCTCGCAAGTCGAGAGAAGACTGAACATACACGCTGGAACACCTGCTCCCTCCGGATATCCTGCAGCCGTCCATTGAGGTCCTTGACCTTCTGCACAATGTCCTGAATCTTTCCCTTATCCGCGCTCTCGATCTTGCTCGTCTCACCGATGGCAATGTCAAGAGTGAGTCGAACAGCGCCCTGCGAGTTGTACGACAACCAACCTCCGTTGGCGGCCACGTGGTCAGGCGTAAAGCAGATCTTGTGCTGTCCGCCATCAGCGGCCGAGAAGGTGAAACGGCCATCGGCATTGCCCCGCTGGGAGACGACTCGGTGGTCGTTGTCGAAGGTCTCGTCGACGGTGATGAGCACGTTTACGCCCGGGTCGGAGATGTAGCTGTGGGATGGTTGATTGTAGACCTCCGTCTTGTAGTGTCCTGTCGAAAGCCAATGGTTAGATAATGCACGGGAAGGGACTTCGGAGTGAAATACAGACCGACAACAAGAGTGTCCTTGGGCAGATCCTCGAAGAAACATTTCTGTTTATTCGGGTCCATATAGAAATACAGAGCGTGTGCGGGAATGGAGAATGAGAGGATGGTGAGGACGGCGAAGGCAGTGGTCAGCCACGACGATGGCTGAGACCTTGATAGAGCCATGGCTGCTGATGGATATGAGAGCAAGCTATGCTCTGCTGTCGAGGAGTAGACAGACGATGGTGACGCGGAGGATCATCAACTCGATCTCCAAGTAAACCAAGGGGGATTTCGGTCCAGCTGGCACCATCGCTGATTGGGGAAAGGCTTGGCGCGACTTCAATCCTGAGCCGCATCATTAACATTCGCCGCAACGAGCATCACCGCGTCTGCTTCTCATCATCGCGTTCATCGATTTCTGGCGTTCTTTACCTTCCAGAGGCGTCCTTTTTCAAGTCGACATCACTTGCGCACGCCCTTCTCGTCTCGTTATCCTGTCGACCGCAGTCACAGAGCCGCCAACATGGCCGCCGCAGATGTTCGCGACATGTTGGATTTGCCCGCGGACGGGCAGCATCCAAGACCCCACAAGAAGCAGAAGGTTGTCGAAAAGAGGCCAGGTGAGTATATACCGTCGTTCCAGATCTTGAAATATCGCTGACGCCATCCAGAGGGAATAACCCGCGAGCTTTTTGCTCTACTTGGAGAAAGGGCACCTCCGATCGCCATTAATGAAAACCGGTACAAGGGACGACCAAAATGGATGAGCAAGACCAAAGTGCGCCCATGGTACGTTTGATCTACAATTTCCAACTCACGAGTCATGTTTTCTAATGTGATTTTCAGGCGTATGACACCGTTCACGAATGCGGCTCGATCGGATGGCCTTGTTCTGCGACATTGGCAGAGAGAGACGGATATTCCGAAACAGGCACCTCCGCCAGAGGGAACCGAGATGGAAGTGGATGAGAAGAAGAAGGACGAGCCGTCTAGTGCCGTGGATGGTAGCATATATCCATTCGCGAAATACAACATCAAGGCACAGGTGCCGAAGAGATACACCGATGAGCAGTACAACAGATATTTGAAGAGCGATGACTGGACACGGGAAGAGACGGATTATCTTATGGATCTTGTGGAAGAATATGATCTACGATGGGTCGTGATCGCCGACCGCTACGATTACCAACCGCGAGGGACAGACGCTGGCGCAGAGGGAAACGCCACGGCCATGGTACCAGCACAGAGATACCGTACAATGGAACAGATGAAGGCGCGTTACTACACGGTTGCTGCCAACATGCTAGCACTCGAACATCCACCGTCTGAAATGTCGGAAGCAGAATTCGATCTCCATGAAAAGATGATGAAATTTGATCCGGAACGGGAGAGAGCGCGCAAGGAATTGGCTGGTCTGCAGCTGAATCGCTCGGCCGACGAAGTGCGCGAGGAGATGATCCTTCTGGAAGAGCTTAAGCGCATCACAGCCAACGAGCAGCAGTTCATCGCTGAACGCAGAGAACTGTACTCAAGGCTCGAAGTTCCCATCAGCGTCGGCAACACCACGATGTATCAGTCCAGCCAAGGCCTATCACAGCTGCTGCAGATGTTGCTGCAAGCTGACAAGAGCAAGAAGCGCCGTTCCATTCTCGGTCCCGAAGCTGCTGCAGCTAGCCCTGCCGCGCAGACTCCTGCTGGAAACGCTCCAAGCAGTGCCAGGGACAGCAGAGCAGACACCCCTACCGGTCCTACTGCTGCAACAAACAAGAAATCTGTCGCAGCAGCCGCAGCTGCTGCTAACAAGGAGGCTCAGCAGACTATCAAGACTCTCACACCGGCCGAAGAAGCCAAATACGGTGTACAGCACCACGACCGTCTCGCACCCGGTGTCCAATTCCGGAGCGACAGAGCTCAGAAGCTCACCCAAGCCAAATCGAACATCCAGACTCAGAAATTGGCCGCCGCTCTCAACGAGCTTGAAGTCCCTCTCCGCCTCGTCATGCCCACAGAGCGCGTATGCAAGGAATTCGAAAGACTTATCCACTCCGTCAATCTCCTCCTGGACGCCCGAAAGGTCTCCGAGAAAGTCGAGAGCGAAATCCGCATCATCGAAGCCGCCAAGGCCGAGAAGGAGCGCAAGGAACGTGAAGCAAGAGGCGAAACAGAAAAGGACCAGGAAAAGAAACCCCAAGTCAAAACTGAATCCGACGACCAACAACAACAACCTACTCCTACTACCACAGCTCCTATTCCCGAGGGAGGTGACGCCACTACTTCTACTGAAGGAACTTCTTCCAACCCTACTACTACCTCCGATGGACAAGACAAATCTTCTGCCGAAAGACCGAACGACGCCCCCGCTACAGGACCAGCTGACAACAACACTACAGCAACAGCAGATGGCGAAAATGCGAACGGAGACAACAAAGATAAAGATGACTCGGCCTCACATAAGCGTTCAGCAAGTGTTCTCAGCTCCGTAAGCGACAAGAGCGCGAAGAGGCAGAAGAAGTAGACTAGGGACAGACAATACGCTTTGTTTTGTCCCTTTTCTTGATGAGTTATCTGTTATATCCCATCTGGTGTGGCATGGCAGTTGGTATAATTGTATATTATGTCCTTATTCATGGGAGTTCTCTAATTGATCATGGGAGCGGGAACGGTTGGCGTTCCTTTCTTTTTTTTTTGCCGGTACAGCTTCTACAAGATTTCTTTCCTGTGTAGCTTTGGTCGTCAGCCTACTACGGTATGCAGTAACTCTTTCAAGTTCTATAATGGTTTTTTTTTAAAGAAAAAGTAGTGGTAGATATGTCCCACGAGTCGACAACAGTCATGGACATTACATAGACTATCAATGATTTGCGTATTGTATACAATCGATACGAAGAATCAATCTCACCTATCCTTCTGTCAACCAGGCCCTTTTCGTCAGCAGCGGCGCCGATACTAATTAGATACATACTCCTACGAGCCCGTCTAGGGAGTGGTTCTCTATATATCTCGAGGTCCTATCGCCCAGATTCTCTCCCTTCTCCGCCGGTTACAAGCCTAGAAGTCTTACCCAGCTCTACTCATCTTGCGAGTGGGCTTCTTCTACAACCTGCGTCCTTCGGATATCAGAGCCCGAATTGGATAAGTGCCCACGAGCAGATGTTGATCTCCTGGTTCCTTCGTCTCTGGCCGATATTGGTGGCTGCTGCTCCTGCTCGATCTCGTCGGCCGGGATGTTAACGCAGTCTTCATAGAGTCTCGACCACTCCTGTGCGGTCGACGGTGACTGCTGGTTGAGATTCTCTTTCCCCGTATTCCCGGGCTGTGGGGTACTATGCGTCTCTGTTAAGAAGCGCTCATTCTCCATCAATATCTGTTGCGGGCATGTCGAGAGCGTCTGCATTGGCGCAGAGTCGGACGATCCGGTCATGAGAATACGTTCGGTCTTCTGTTTCATCCACCATTCACATTGGCGGACTTCTTCTGTGTAATCCCCCAATTGCTCTTTGTATGGGACAACACTCGTACCACGAGGGATCTGAAGTTCGGGGAACTTTGGCTGTCGATATTTAGCTGCTTCTGTTGTAAAACCAGCGCGATACCGTCTAGCTTCAAAGCTCTTCGGGCGATATAATCTCGTCCATTTGCGAATGAACTTTCGACTCTTTCCAGCGCCAGCAGCTCGTTTCTCCATACCTAGCTCCTTGCGCATGACATAGTCTGGAGACGGCCGAGAGGAGAAGTCACGAACAATGACGCCGTCACTGTATGTTGCCGATCCACACCTTTCTGTTCTCGAGTGGCTTGGTAACTTCGCCCACAGATGCTCTGTTTTCGCCCGGAGACTGCTGTGTTGCCTGGACCTCCTGCCGCTTAACTCTCGGATTTCCCCAGATTCAGTACAATTGTCGTTGTAGGACGGTCTTCCTGCCATCCCAGCATCCGGAAGAGCCAAATTCGGTGTAAGAAAAGCCTTATCCGAGGACGCTCCTTTCGAATGATCGTGTATTCTACTTTCCAGGCGTAATTGGTCTGGCGGCAAAGCTGGACCATCGTCCACTGACGTATCTGATATCTGGGGTTTCGAACCCTCAGTCCCTTCACTAGGCACAAAAGCATATCCAAAACCAAGCCGCCTGCCTCCTGACATCCATCCCACACTGACACGGCGTGATACAGTTTCCTCCGTGCCTATTGCAGCACTGTTGGTATTCGGGGAGGCCGGCTCGAATTGTTCTTTGAATTTGCTTTGCGTACCAGTTGTCTGAGGGACCGTGTCATCGACCGCGGATAAGAGTCCATTTGAGGGCAATGTCCTGGAATCACCCTTCGGAGAGAATAGATCGGAAGGAAGTGCGGAATAGCGACTAGCTCCTCTGGCCCTACCATGTCTCTTTGACAAAACAATGACATCTTTGCTGTAACTTGGTGCTGGCACTTCCAGTCTCAGCTGATCAATCGAATTTCCGTAGTTGGAGGGAACGCTGCTGGTCTGGGACATGTAGAAAGACGACACGTTTCGTCCTCGTTGGTTGTTTGATGGACTGAGCCTGGGTGTTTCCGAAGTAGACGCATTCCCGGACAGTATGGTTTGTTGTCTCAAGGAATTATAGAATATGGAATGATCTGGAAATGGCAGTTGATCACCAGAGGAGGTCGGGTAGTCAGCAGATACTGATGCAAGTCTCTTTGATATGTTCATCTCATGGAGGCGGATGCAGTCTGGTTCGGATAGGGACCTCAGATGGGTTTGGGACCTGTAGAAATGAGACAATGGTGGCTTGTTACCATCGAACGATGACGGAGTATCAGTGCGAGATCTGGGATAGACAGGAGTTTCACTTATTTGGATCTTCATGATCTCCGCAGATAAGGCATCGTCTCCTGTGCAAGAAGAATCGTTGCTCTGGGCCCGATCATAGGGAGCTTTATTTGTAGATAAACCACGAGCCCTCATTAGTGACATGGAATCTTTATGTTGTATAACATGACAGTGATCTGATGAGGAAGAACTGCGCTGAACCAGTATGTCTTGCTCATGCGAGCTAGGCCCTGTATTGTCATGAGACAGGCTTCTCGATGGTTCAGACCGGGTCACCTCTGTCCTTTGTCGGCCATTGGCTTCATTTACAGATGAAGCGGTTGAAGGTTGCTTTGCAGAGGGATGTCCGTTACAGACCAAAGGCGAATGCCTAACGTGTTCAACTGATCCATTTCTACCTCCTATCTGTGGATCCCCGTTATCAGTCTGTGATATATCCCGCGGCTCCGCAGCTGACCCCGATTGTTCACTCTCCTCTCGTATGGTAAACTCGCGTTCATGATGCAGGCTTCCAGGCGACTTGCTGCTGGACTTGGTACTCGAAAGCTGCACCGCTTGAATGGATCCCTTAGGGGTTGATATGCACTGGGCATCACTATCATACTCATTCTCATTCACCAATCCACTTCCCAGCGCATGATCCAGGACAGAAGGATGTCTAGCAGTGCCTCCATTAGCTGAGAGGAGGCGCGAGCGATCTCTATGCTTGCGGATCTGAGGCGTGTTCGATGGCGAGCCTGGACATCGTGGCTCTCTTGACAGCCGTCTGCGCAGCCTTCCTGGAATATTCTCAAGATGCCGCCGTCTCTGCTCGAGTCTCTTTGCTTTCACCGAGGCCTTGGTTTTTTGGGTCGCTAATGAAGGCCCATGGAGAGGAGTTATGGAAGCGGTATCTCCGTCATCAGACGACAAGGCGGGTCTCAATACTCTCTGCAGTTGAAGACTCTCGCCTTCATCCTCTATCAGCAAGACTTCAGTTTCGTCATTCTGTTCTGCTGTCTGTCTGGCGGAATTCGAACCCTCCGGAGGTGGCTCTGAGTTGTCACTCTTCGTTCTCTTGGCTCGACGACATAAGAGGCCCATGTCGGGTTGCCGTGCAACTGTGAGGCCAGAATATGGTTAAAGCAAATGTACTGACAGTGATAAGTATTTTTTGACGTGAAAAGAACAAAGGATACTTGCTCGTGTCACATAGAAGATGAAATATACGCCTGGGTTCCTTCGAGGCACTCTCAGAGGGAGGGAGGACTACTCCATTCGGGGTTGTGTCTGCCAACGTCACAAAACGGGAAGGAGGCTCTGGCAGTTCCAGCCATTTCAACATCTACCAGATAGAACATATCCAAGGTAAACACAAACTGATATGTGGGTATCTCTTCATATTTGGACTCATAGACGAGTCAGCTAAACTATCAAATCCGAATTGAGCAAACAACAGAGTACAGCATCTCCCAGGAGAGACCACCAGGTTGCCATGGAAAGTAAAGTCAGAGAGGAGAAACAGGAACGCCTGTACAAATGCAAATCCGAACATGCAAGACAAAAGTTCCGCCCACGCTAGACGAGCCTTGGTCAAGAGGACTCTTTAGAAGTCGTAGCGTCCCGATGCAAGAAAAAAAAAATTTCCCATCCACATGCAGCGCCAAAACGTGGGAAAGAAAGCGGCAACCATGCTCTATATATGTTCAAGGACACAACGCAATAATCAGTACAAGAGAAATGTTGACAACACCCGCTTGCTTGTTGGAAACAGATCATGAGGCGACAAATGCATATCCGAATCGGTCATGGGGAAATTGCGCTAGCCAGTTGCTCATGCGCGAAACGCGACTGTCATACGACAAAGGCGAGAAACAAGGACAATAGACAGTTCACAGCAGATTGCAATCCAAAATCATATCGATAACATAAACCGTAATGAGACACTGGGCATTATGCATTATTCTCCTTCGACGGAGCAGTCGTAACCGGAACACTAGGCTTTTCATGGTCGCCTGTCGAACGTACAGGGAAAAGGAAAAAACGACGGTATCATTCGTATGTTCAATGAGTCGCATTTAGAGATTGGAGCAGCTGAATTCGTCAGACTGCCGACGGCGAGTCATTCATCTCCCGGCATTCGGTTTTCACGATGAGATGCACTGCCCCCGGACCGTTTCTTAAAGCCGAGTTTCAATCCCATCTTCTTCCACGGATTATCCGTCCTCTTGGGAGTGCCACCGGAGGACAGGTCGCTAGACGGTGGAGTCATCGGCGGTGTCATCGGTTCACCTGCCGTAGGACTGGACGTGTTGCTGCTACCCGAATCTTCGACAAGACTGGTTGACCCAGAATCACCACTAGAGGCAGAGTGGTGACCCGGCACGCGACTGCCCGTCTTCGACAGGGCCGCAACGACGTTCAGGCTTGGGCGACCATGGGGATGGCCACTGCCAGGAGAACGCGGGGACGCAGATTCCAACACGGACGGCCGCGGAGACCCTCGACGACCCTGGGTAGTTACCCGAGTAAGATCGTCCAGGCTAGGATTCGAGAACCGATAACATTCATTTGGATTCATGTAGGAGGGGCACGACTGACTCGCGATGTGAGCAGACGAAGAAGAGCTGTTCAGAAAAGGGATAAAGATGGACTCCTCCATGAGGTCGTGCATCCGTGTCACCGCAGAATCCAGCACCTCAGGGGGAGGTGGGGTGGTCGAGTCAGCGTACTCAAGTAGACCGTCACGGACTGAGCTCGAGAGATTGATTTCTCGTGGAGATCCCGGCAAGATATATGCGGATATCAATCGTTGCCACAGCATACACAGGTGCTCCGTCTGGGGACAGTCTGAGCAAATGGGAGATTCGCTCAGCTGGTGGGATACGGCTTGATACGTCTCCCCATATCTCTTGGCTTCCATCGTGAATTCCAACGTCTCGAGGCAGTGGTTCTGCGAGAGATAAGCCATGAAAGCGCTGAGCGTGTAAGGAGGAGGGGCGGTGTTAGCCAAAACGTCGTCCAAGGTTGGCCGGATTGGACAGAACGCTCCACTGGGGATGGCCATGCTCATGGGCCTGGTGCCCCGAGTGCTATCCGCATCCATGTCACTATCGTGGTCTGCCTCACCTTCCGAGGAAACGGGCGAGAGTTGCGGGCTTTGGTCAGGGGTCAAGTTCCAGGAAGATGGCGTCGGAATGGTCTTCTTTGCTAGCATGGCGTACAAGGAGCGCTTGGCTACGTTTGTGGTCCCCTTCTTCTTCGCCCGAGGTCCTCCTCTGCTACCTCTGAAGCCTCGACGCTTCACGCTTTCCCGCAGCAAACCCTCCAGTTTTCAATGGGACCGACCGCACCAGCGATGTCCCTACAGTTCCCCGTTGATCCCAAGTCTGTCTTCGTCGACCAGCGGGATCCAAGGCAACGCCACGGAGATGCCTCCTAGATTCAATCGGCGCAATCGCTATTGACCACCGGATGAAGGACGTGGGATACAGTTCTGAGTCGTAAATGCTGCTCTTATTTGACACCGCGAGGGCAATTGACTCCACTATGCTCATCCGGCCCGGCTGGTATTCTTTCCTTTGTATTTCTGTCCCTGGCCTGGTGATATAATGGGCCAAGACGTGAGATAACCGGGATGGAACCAATCCTAAGAACCGCCAATGTCTACCGGAGATGTGTTATGAGAGTAAGATGCGAGATATAAGGGGGGTGGGATTCGATGTCGGAATCGATCAATCGCTGATCGCCGAATGAGGAAAGGGAATGGAATGTTGCAGGTGAACAAAAGAAGACGCGGATTGTATCTGAAGACGGATTGTTTATGTGAGTTGACAGGACTCTTGAATATAATAATGTCCACCAGAGACTGATGGGCAGCAGTGCAGAGGGAGGGGGGATCTAACCAGGGAGGGAATCCCGTCAGAACAATCCAGGCAGCACGCGATACTTAAGACTCCGCAGCCGAGCCGCAGATCTCGTGTGAAAGAACGGGGTTCGTTGCTTCTGGAAGTTCCACTCGTGTTGAGCAGTCAAACGGAAGGGTTGAGAGAAGCCGGGACTTGATATGATATGGAGTCCAGGTCCAGCCAAAGGATGCAGGTGAGCACGTTGTCTCTGGGCTCCCTTCTTAGGGCCGAGGACAGTGCAGCAGAGCGAGTTCGAAAGCTGTACAGTCTGTAACCAAGTGGATACTTGGCAGCGAGGATTATCTGACGTTCCAAGCGGCTATTCTCGAAGAAAAACGACCGTTCGATGAGTTGGACGAGTGAGATTACCTGATTCCGCTTAGAGGAACGAGACGGTGGATCGGCAGCCGTGTTCACTGTCCAGCTTAACCAGGGTCCTCTGGTCACTCGTGCCTGTCGGAAGGCTCGAGACGACAAGAATGTGGGAGGGGGTTTAACCGGTCGATGCGATTTGGAATCCCGTCCGTTCATGGGCGAACAACTGAGTATCCGGGCGGATCCAGGTGGAGAGGATGAGTAGTAGTTATAGTTAGTCTATATCCACTTCCGATGCGAGGGCGCGATGATACGACGTATGGTAAATGCGATCACGCAGCCAGTAGAGTGTCTCTCTCTCGCCTCTCGTTGAGGATCAGAATCGATCCTCTTTGTAGAATAATAGATAACTATAGTAATTGATACAGAACAGGCGCACCGGGTGGCGGTGGTCTCGTCTCGTTGTCCAGGCTGCGTCTTTGAGAGGGATGGATAGCGCCGTGCGGTCGATCCTCAAGGAGCGGGCTGGCCAGGTCAGAGATACGATAGGGAAGAAAGACGGCGGATGGGTATGAGAGCCAGACTAGACTGCATCCTTCATAGCAAGTCCAGTGTCATTGGGGAGACTGTCCGTCGCGCAGCACTAGCAATTTCAGATCGGACCAGGATCGAGCTTCTTCTGGGGCCGTTCTGGCATGGACTTTTGGGCAACCGAACAACGTGCTGTTCTCGTGCAGGATGGCAATTATGATTATAATTGGGCTGTTATCGGCCAGGATCTGCGACGGTTCCAGTGCAGAAAAAAAGGTCAACCCGTTCCAGCCAGCAGTTCTGACAGGTCAAACTCAACTAACTCTCTCGTACTTACAGCTTCTTCCATCCCGCCCCCAGCAGAGAGAATAATCCCTGCCTGGTCTGACTATTAATTGACTTGTCCGTACCATAATCAATTAATAATGATTAATTCCAGTTGAAAACGTAGTAAAAGATGCTGCCGGTAGCCGATGGTTCCTTGGAGATGATTGATGAATTAAGTTGTCACTAAAGAGAGAGAGTTACGCAGGTGGCTGTTTGGCCTTCCAGAAAGCGACAAGAAGCTCGCGCGACAAAAACTGCGAAGGCCGTGGAAGCAACCACGCTGCCCATGTGCCTACACCGGCATCTCCCGTTGGCCGTGGCGTTAATATCCACTCGAGGGTTTCATGGTTTTATCCACACGGCCAGGAATTATTATTGATTATTATTATGGTAATCGTCAAGAGAGTCCTCTAGTTGGCGACTGTCCAACTTTCCAAGGGGAACACTCCACTAAAAGGGCGAGAAAAAAAAAAGAAAAAGAAAAAAGAGAAAAAAAAAAAAGTACGGGCTGCAGGATTTATCGCCACCTCTAAGGCTTCTAGAACTTCTCCAAGGCGGATCCTGACCCGGAAGTCTGCAAGGCACAGCGGATCAGTCGTTACTCAAGTAACTAGACAGCCATTGCGTGCTCAGAATCTCGTGTTCTTCCCGTAAGGTACTACTACTACTACTAAGTACTCTACCATAGAATAGTATTTGGAATGCAGACCCTTTTCGTAACTAGATGATGGATCCGTATAACTAACTACCAACGCTAGTCCGATCTTCTTCTGGGGAAGCCGGTCACAGACGTCATGCCGACTAGTATTATATTATTTTCTTGTTATTATTATTATTATTATTATTATTATTGGCACCTTGGTCATGATCTCTTTGGTTGCAGGCAGTGTAATAATCAACTAATAATCCTCAAAGATACGTGTGTGACTCCGGATGCCAGCATTGGTCGGACCCGAAAGCCAAGATGGCAGCCAACACCATCGGTTCAGCCCTAACAGCCACCGCGATCCTTCAACATCCTTCTAGAACATCGGGTAAGAATCAACTAGTGAGCATAATCAATCAGCTCAGATTTCAGATCCAACAGCAGCGTCAGTCCGCCTCTCCGTCGGAACAAAACCCAGTACTACTGTATTACCTGTTCGTCGTTTCGTACTCAACGCTAATCAACTAATTCCATACTGCTGGCGAATATTCGGCTGCATTTTCCGCAGGCGTAAAATGGATCCATGAATTACCATAGTTGGTTACTACTGCATGCCAGTGTTACTCAAAGCTACTTTACTCTACAGAGCTTTTCACCTGCCTACCTTACTACTACTGGCCAACCAGCTGGCATAACTATACCAGGCGCTAGAGTATATCCGCAAACAGTTCAGGGCTTTCCAGGACTTTGTATGCTATTCTTGTCCATCAGTGGACCTTGATTGCGCTGCGGATAAACATTTTCTTTTGCTTTGGTCGCCTATTCTCCGACTTCTGCAGAATACTCTACCATAGTAGCGGACTGCAGCCTGATCATAACTAGTTGATTTGTGTAGCCCATGTCTGTGTCTCCGGGGGGCGCCGAGGTGACAGCCCTATGGTAAAAGCTTACTCACCGTCGACGATCGAGATGGCAGTCATATCACCATGCTCTTAGAGACTCTGAACCGAGCAAGACAGCTCGAGTTCATTAACTACCAGCAACAAGTGATGGCAGTCAGTCTAGTTCATTCACACCCTCTCCTTCCATCACAGCAATTGATGGCAGCCTAAATCTTTCCCCCCACCCCTTCTCATTTCTTTTCCTCATCTCATCATCGTCTTTACCTTTCGTTTTGCAACGAGCTTACTCCTGTGTCTCCATCTCCTTTATGTATATCACGACTATTAAACTTATACCTGTGACCCGGTCTCTTCATTATGATTATTAAGCTTACTTCTATATTGTCACGACGCTGAACGAAGCGGGAGAACTAGAGGGAATCACACAGATAAAACACCACGAATCCTGCCCAGAATCCTTCCTTCTTCTCCTCTCCAGCTTGAAGTTCTTAGTTATGCTGCCCTACTAGGTTAGGATTTAGTAATGAATCTGATTTAGTTCGTTTGAGCCTGACATATATAACTATCTATCTCTTCTATTATAATAATAATCAAACATGCTATTATATCTCTATCTCCTTCATCACAATTGTCTTCTTCTTTCACTCTACTCGCCAATAATACATAAGATGTCGAACCACGAAAAGTACGCATCGCTTTATGCCTGAACTATATATATATAATAAAGCCTGCCTTCGTGACCAGCAGAAGAAGCCGCACTGCGAATTCAAATTATCCCAACTTTCCCAATTCTCCACTGCCTCCTCTTCTATTTCTGAATTTTCTTGAAGAGAAAAAAAGTCAAAGCTCCCACCTCTCAGAGAGAGGTTTTTTTCTTTTTGGCCTCCTAACTACAGAGATGGTCTCCTATATAAGCCAGAGCTCAGAATACCATCATGGAAAGAAGAATTTTCAGGAGGAACTCGCTGAAACTGTTGTTACGATTGCCCCCCTGTCAAAGAGCCTTGCGGTCCTTGATAGACAAAAAAGAGCTATCGAGCAGGACCTCGAAGAAGTTGCGGAGGTTCAAATAGATTTTTTGATCTTCTTGTTAATGTTAATTCCCTTCAGTCGCGATCAAAAATGAAGCTAGCTTCTCGCGAGAAAAAAAAAATCCAAGAAGAGGAGAGGAAATCAGGTGAATTACGGACAGACACTGAACTGATTCGATGAATCAACTCTTTGAGATAAACAGATGGCAAGTTGAACGTTGAAAGCGAGAGAATTTATATATTTTCAGATCCCACGAATACAGTTCCAAACCAAACTGTAACTAATCTAAAGCGATACGCAGTTCGTGCTCTGAAATAGAAAGTTCGTGCACCCCTCCCTCCCCCCTATCAAATCGCTTCACAGCATTTCTCTAACCCTTTCTCTGCAGGATTTCGACAAGAAGGAGCTAGTATTTCTCACAGAGAACAGACCAGCTCGCCGGTTCCTCTACTTCAGATTTCTGATCACGTATCTCAATGCGAAGAAGTCCGAAAACACGGCGTTTACGTCTACTGTCGAAGGGAGAGACCAGTTCTGGGCGTCCCCTGGGGAGTACTTGGAGAAGTCGACCCTCAAAGCTCTCGCCAGAAACATCTCTGGTCTCGAACTACCTCCCACTCTCCTGCAGCACACATTCGAACATGCGCCGAAGGATGAGCTGGCGGCCGACTACGTCGGCATCAGCCTTTCCTCGCTGCTCAGGGATGCGACCGTGGAGAGCACAAAGGAGTTGGAGGCCGAAGATCCTTTTGATGAAGACGAGGAAGAGAATGATGATTGAAATGGGCACACTGCTGAGCTGGTCGGTTTTAAGAAAGTGCACATACCAAAGGCCCTGGGAAAGGAAACAGGCTGAAGTACTTCTAGATAGCTACTTGACAGTGGACCGAGGCGGCTGTCTTCCAATGATACAGATATCTTTATAATTAAAAAAAAACTTAGCTAGTATCAATTACCGTATTTGCACTACAAACACACCCATGTACCTATCTTATCTGCAACTGTAAACATCACGCTATGCAACGCCGGCTAGGCTTTACAAACAAGTAGCGTTCGGTAAAGTCAGCACAACATACCTCGAGAAACATTAACAGGTGAGAAAAGAGGTAGCCCAAACGGAAAGAGAGGAAACGGAAACGGAAATTGAAATGGAATATAAAGTGGTGCCACTTCGGCCTACACGTCTCTTCTAACAGCCCACACTGTGGTCTAGGAAGACGATTGGCTTCGGCACGATGAGCATCACCGCAAACCCTATGACCCGGACTGACAGACCACCCAACTAACAACAGGAGAATGATATTATTAAGACAAATAGAAGAAGCACACACAAGGTTGGTTCCGTAACCGAAACAAGGCTGGTCTCAAAGGGGCAGTTCAACTTTCTAAGCAGAGCCACAGGCTGCTACTCGTACAAGTCTCACTGCCATGAATACTGTTCACGCCAGCAATCTTGTGCCCCAGCGTACTCAGAAACCGTGTGCCCAGTTATCCCTTGCAATTGCTTCTGTCACAGGTCCCCGTTCAAATTCACCCGTCAGTCCAGATTCTCCCTCACCGTCCTTTCCCGCCAGTGGAAAATAACAACGGCAAGAAAGACACAGTTAATCGACGGCATGGCACAGGAGACTTGGGCTCCCAGAGTCGAGCCCCGACAGAGCGGTGAAAACGGTCGAGAAAGATGTAAAGTCTATTATTATATCGTTCGGGAAACGAGATCGGACGGGCACGTAGATAACCCCAATTTTCGCCTGGCCGGAATATAGCGCCTTAAAAGAGAGTGATGAGACGAAGAAATATATCGCTCCACCGGTCAATCGGCAACCCGGATGCAGTCCAGCGGAAGGCGGGCATGACTCGCAAGGAGGAAATGATGAAAAAAAGGCTCTTTGGCCGTGACTGACTCCGATATCCACCCAATGGAGAAACAAAAAGGTAAGAACATTCCGTAATGGCCGTACGGTCGTTAACGAGCGTCGCTATGAACAATTCAACTGAAAGGGAAAATGGACGACCGAAAGGCGATTACAGACGCAGGCCGTCGTCCACTCTTCACGGAGTCCCAGGTTGATGAGAGACTTCAAGGGACCTGCGCTGGCGTAGGCAGAATGACAAGCGACTGTAGCCATCACTCATCCTTGAATTGGATTAGCAATTATGGCTTTCTCGATCGAGCGCTGTCACCTACCACAGCAGAGCGCCTTCATGATCTTCTGGACAAAAGTGGGCTGGGGCTCATTGTTCCCCTGCGTGCCCTGAGCCTGCTGATTGTTCAGCGCTCCATTCCCGGGGCTCGATAGGCGAGGAATGTTCCCGTTGGAGTTCTGAAACTGAGCCTGGGTCGAGGCTGCTGGTGTGTTTGCGTCGATAACCCCCGCCTGTCCGCTCTGACGTTTGGCTTGCGGCCCGCCTGGGGCGCTTGGCCGCTCTCGCGTCTTCCCGGCTCCGGGTTTTGCTGGAGACGGGGGCGGGGGCTGCGCGGCGTTTAAACGGTCGGCAGTAACTGCTTGTCTCTGGTTTCGGCTTCCGTGCAGCTCTCGAGCAGACGAGTTCTGAGCATGGGTGCCATGAAGATGGTGCTGAGAGGAGTAGGACTTGTATTCCCATCCTCGTCCGTTGTTCAGCTTCATCCAGTCGTACTCTCCGTCTTCGACTTCCCCAGTGTTCTTCAGAGCTTGAGTGAACAAGTCGCGCAGGTAGTCGTAGTCGGGAGTGTCCTCGAAGCCGAGGTTCCGGACGTAGCTCAGGTACTTGCTGAACTCTTCTGCAGAGGGAATCAGTATGATCGCAACATATAGAACCGGTTACGGGTCATGTACCTGGAAATCCATCGCATAGATCTTTGATGGCAGTCGTCTGTTTCTTCTCACCGATCTTCTCGTACTTCTGCTTGTTCGTAGCCGCCTTCAGTCCCTGCCAAGGCAGACCACCTCTGAGGAAATACATGAAAACGTGTCCCAAGGCCTCCAGGTCATCACGTCGTGACTGTTCTCGTCCCAAGTGGGTATTGATACTCATGTAACGCGCCGTACCCGACAGCGACTTTCGTTCCCGATAGGGAATGTGCTGCTTTGTCTTCGGGTCTCTGTATTGCTTGGCCATACCAAAGTCAACGACATGGATGACGTTTGCAGCTTTCGTGCCGGGACGACCAATGAGGAAGTTGTCGGGTTTGATATCTCTGTAGATGAGATTCTTCTCGTGGATGGTCTGGACGCGCGACAGCTACAGGGGGGTGTCAGTACTGTTTAATAACATAGGTTCCAGGGTGCCAATGGACGAACCATCTGCTTGGCGACCATCACCACGGTCTTGATCGAGAACCGACGGTTGCAGTGGTCAAAAAGATCCTCCAGACTGGGACCGAGCAAGTCGATGACCAGGATGTTGTGCAGACCTTCCTGTCCGAAGTAGTAAACATTGGGAATACCGGCTAGAAAACTGTCAGCATGGACCCTTCCGAGGAAAAGAGTTCGCGAGACTTACGACATCCGACAAGGATCTTGTACGTGCGGTACTCATCGCGAAGCTGCGGTGCATCACTTTTCCGCGGCTCCTGCCCTGGTGGTTAGATCGTATGGAACTCAATCTCGGCAGCACCAGCACGTACAAACTTGATAGCAACCTGCTGGTTATTCAATAGATTCGTGCCCTCAAAGATCACACCAAAGGAACCTTCACCAATCTTCTTTCCCACTCGGTAGTGGACGCCCACTACGTTCGACGAGGATGATGCCATGACGAAAGATGTCGACGATTACTGCGGACAACAGAAAGGGGGACAGGATCGACGTAGCGGACGTTGACGTCGGGGGAAAGCAACTGTCGATGACACCAACGTCAGTTCCGATGCAGAATGACCACGGAGACTCCAGCTAGGACTGTATATCTAGATGTCACGCCGGAGAGCGATGAGGAAGGTCGGGGAAACGGACAATGAGGCCTGTTTCACCGGACGTCTTTCATCGACGAGAATCGGAAACGGCTGGCCAACCAGATGACAACCACAAAACACCCGAACGGAGCGAGTCAACGACTGCTATTATTTGATTGAACCGTCGAATTTTCTTCAGGAGGTACGGAACGCAGGATGGATAGCTTTCCTGAAGACAGGCGAACAAGATCCCCCGGGAGACGGATGACCGTGTGGACTCGACTAGGCACGGCGTACGGCTGAGGAGACGAGAAAGGGGCGAGGACCAGTCGATCCGGAGTTGGACCAGCTGCCACGCAGTACGGAATCCGCACTGGAACGACGTGGAGGGATGGAGGGAGGGAGAGAGAGAGAGAGAGATAGAGAGAGAGGGAGTTGGACGTCGAAGGGGGAGAAGGGAAGGCGGAGGGATAAGACGAGGCGAGAGGGAAGGGAGAGGTCGGGTTGACAAGGGAGAGCGGTTTGGTTCGCTGGGGGTTGTTTTTGGCGTGGGCGCTGAGCCGCGGGAAGCCCGAGAGAGCCAGAAGAAGAAGAATAATAATAATAATGGCCTGCAAAACTGCAAAGCCTCGACGTCCGAGCTTAACTTAGCGGACGACTTCTTGGCTGTGGAATGCGCCCAAATTCGCCAGCGATCATCCTGCCTGGACGCTCCCCGACCGCTAAAAAGGAACCTAACCCGGTCGGATTGAAGCGCTGCTGACGGTCGCGAGCCGGCAGCTGAACTGAAGAGGGCGCAGAGACACAGAGACAGAAGCTGGAAGAATCCGTGGTGGAAATTCGTGTCTACAGAGCATCCCTCATTCCTCATGATGAGGACGCTACGCAACCGGTACTCTTTCCCATTGAGGCAGTGCTGACTCTCCTACAGCTCTACAGCTCTATGGTACAGATCTCTCTAGCTCTCCAGGTCTCTCTCTGTCTGTCTCTCTCTCTCTCTCTCTCGATTTAGGTACGGGATGATAAGTACTGGTACTGGTACTGGTACTCGTTACCGTTACCGTTGCCGTACCATAATTACCGCGGGAAACACTCAAAACCGGTCGATAAGCCGTGCAAAACGCGTAACAAAATGGTCACGCCCTCCGCAGCCGGCTGGCCGGGGGAGAAAGAAAAACCAGGTCGATCTGGCGATGCTAAACCAGTTTCCGCCTGAGAGACAGACACCGTCGTCGCTGGTCTCTCTCTCGTCCCACGGATCTCCAAATTGGGTTCTGACGTGGTAAACCGGCCGCTTCCCGGATGAACCTGTTGTTGTTTCTTGTTGGCTCTTACCCCTGGCCCGATGGAGACCGTCCCGAGAAAATCACAACAGGCGTGTCCTTTACTTAGATATCCGGCTGGTGCAAAAAAAAAGACAAGTCCTGGGCCGCCCCATCATTGGAAGGGAGATAATTACAGTATACGCCTTAGAGTAGACCAGCACGAAAACAGCGATCGACCACTACTCCAGAGTCCAGCTTCCATCGGGAACGATCGTGACCATCGGGAAACCATGTCTAGAGCTTATATGAGCCTTGCTATCATATCTAGATTCCAGGGTAATATATGGCAATATGCACGCGGCATGAAGCTCGAGCTTTCCCTTGAACCCTTACTAGCTCACAGCATCGGTCGACTGATCCGTCATGATCTGCCAGGGCGAGACGTAAACAGGGTACATGAATGCCCTTCCTGATGCATCCCAGCGCTGCAGACTTCGCATCGAATATACGGAGTACGTTATGCTGAGACGCTGACAACCTCGTTTAGGGGAGTCGGAAGTCGTGTGCCAGCCCAATTGGTCTGTGAGGCTGTTTTCCCCCTCAGACTGGCATCTGCGTATCAACAAAGACAGCATAGGACATCTGACGGCACGATGTCATTGAAACACGTGTTACCACAGCACGGCTACTGTTGCCTCTATCCTAGACACGTCCAATCCAGTGTAATTCCCAGAGAACGAGGGAATTGGCCTTGGGACGTTCTATCGGATCCTGCAGCCATCACAGACCAAGAAAAATGCGCATAAGGACCCGTCAATGCTTCCCGATATGGTGGAGGAGCATGAAATGAATTATTGAATATTTCGAACAACGGTTATCCACCCGCTATTCCGCCATTATGGTGCTATGACGACGTCCCTGGTCTAAGCAGGTGGGAAGAGAAAAGGACGACCCACAGCTCTTTCCGGCAGATATCCACCAGGTCCCATCCTCATGGGGCTCAAAACAATGGCATCACCTCGTGCCAGGATACGCAAGGTTTAGTCTGATTATATCTTGCTGTGGCACGTTGTTGAAGCCGCATCCATATGCAGAGATGTTCCATTAGCGAGAGCCGGAGTCAACATATCCAAACGCTGAAGACCCTCACATCGAAGCGGTGTCTCTGCTGAAGCGCTAGGTCCATCAGTTTGCCATTGCGTTCTAAAACAGGGACCACGCCGCAGGAATTTGGCCCAGGGCCGGACTCTTTTTGAGAGGCATGGACTCTCAGACCTTCATTCTGGGCTCGGTGAAAACATTCTCTCCGGCAGAAACCGACTTAGATATAGTTCTTCTCCCGTGCTTTCGAGACGCGGTTATTCGGCTGCACCCGTTGTCTCTGCGGGCTAACTATTACCTCCCAGGGCAGACAGCACGGGCAATGACTCTGGGAGAGACCATAATACTAGTTAGCTGCATATGGTCGATATATATATATATATATGCATATTATTGGTATGACCACGCCTCATAGGACAGTTAGTTATATTATACATAACTATCGACCTCTATCTCTGACACAATACAAATATTAATATCTACCACTTACTATAACTACCCCATATTATCATATCATTAAGAATATATAATAATGACCGTCTAATAACCATACCCCTTACATAAACTATATAAAACACTAAAACTTCAACTAGCAGAATCACTAACTTAGCCATATTCTACAGACCCGAAAGGAGTACGGAGTACATACTAACTAACCAATACTACCTAACTAGATCTAATCATACTATAATAATAGTATACCACTTATAACCCAACTAGCACCCAAACTTATCCTACTGCAGTTTACGCCGCAATTATTATTCAGCTATGGTAAAACTTCCTTTCTCTCCCCTTTTTCTTTGGCTTCTAGAAACCAGCTGTGGCTTCTAGAAGGGGGGTAACTAACTAGATGGCTTTTCCCTTTCTTCTTAGTACGGAGTACTTAATAGGATTCTCCTATTGCATGTTAATAATGAATGTAGATATGGGTAGATAGTGAAGTAAACTAGTTAATAATGCACTGATCTTCGCTGACATCCATGGTATAATGATTAGGGGAGTTCTGTCTGGTTCGGGCTAGGGCTGTGAAAGAGGAATCGTGTGGACGTACTCTGTGCACTCTATCTCTGCAGCATAGTGGAAGACTGCGCTGGAAGAAAAGAATCTATTGAGTGCGATCGATCGATGACAGTTCTCGTCCTGATTACCCTAGTACAGCACTACCTCGAGGGCCCAGCGACGATGGTGATTACGAATATACTATACACTTATGGGTGGGTGAGTGGATGAAAATATTTGGTATTCAGAGTACATCTCATTGGTCATGTTACATTTCGCAGAGGATTCGAAAGACATATGCATCCCAAGGGGGATAACATGGACATCATCGAGAGAAAGAATAAGACAGGTTGCAACCCATTGTTGCAGTGATACCATGGGGACCCAGACAAGTATGTCACATTCCGCTCATAGGGCGGAGAGATTAGATGAAGACGACGTTTACACCTGGTCCTCGGGGTCCTCCGCCTCACTGCCCAGTTCATCCATCAGATCTCCACCCTCGCCATCCTCCTCTCCGTTTTCTTCGTCGCCTTCGCCTTCCTCATCATCGTCCTCTTCGCTGCTCGAGCCGCTACCGTCACTATCACCTTCGCTGCCGGGGTCGTAGTCTTCCTCTTCTTCGTCTTCTTGATCCTCGAGCTCGCGTTGTGCCTTCTGCAGCTCGCTTTCTTCTTCCTCCTCTCCTGCGCCATTTGCGACAGCAGCCTCCTCGTTCTTGGGCGCGTTGACATTGTATTTCTTCGCACGTCGGGCCTCCGCGAGACTGGCATCCTGTAGACCGTGCTTCTTGATGTATGTGTCGATTCCAGAAAAGTCTGCCTGATCGATCATCGAGAGTTCGAATTCCTGGGGCTCCGCCTCAGGGTTAGATGCGGAGCGGGTTGCAATGTTGAGGTTGAAGGTCCTCTGTAGGACGGAGGTGTAAGAAATCGATTCAATGTCCTCGAAGGCGAAGAAGACCAGGGGCTTTTTGAATCCGAAGAAGATGCCAGTGGACAGAAAAAATAGATAACCTGTATTTGAAAGTCGATATTAGACACGTTTACCATTCCAGATATCGAGATGGTCAAGCTGTATATATACCTTCTTTGCTTCCTCGGAATGCCTTTACGTGATATGCCTTATCGGTCTTTCGATGCGCCTCAACCATCGCACTCACGAACTGCTTGTCATCCGGGCGCACGACCTGGGTATGCGTGAGGCTTTCGTTCAACATCCGCCGCAGGAGGTTTTCGCCAGTCTCACCCTCCGCGCCCAGCTGCTGTCCAGCTCCGGAAAATGCTGCCTTGGGAGGGCCATCGGCGACTGTCCAGACCATAGCTTCCGGCGCAGCTTCACCGTCCGGCGGAGGATTAACGACATCACCATACCAAGGTATCACACAAAAGTTGAACTGCCGCTGATTCTTTTCCGGTACAGGAACTGCGACAACATGTCCTTATAGGTAGAAACACATCACGTTAGGGCTGTAGTCTTATAATACCGAGTGGCCGCAAATATCACAACTACCATGCACTCACTAATTTTCGATACGTGAAATCCAAACTCGACCTGTTTGGACGTCTGATTCCTCGCGCGGAGGTAGCCGCCAGCGGTCATCTCCAGCGTGAGTTTCTTCCGCATAGGAACCGAGAAAGACACATCTTGGATGTAAAATTTCAGCGGCGCATCTTCCGTCAGACCGGCCAACGGCTCTGAGCTCGCTTCAGCGTCTCCATTCTGTAGTTTTCGTTTCTTCGGAGCTGGTTCTTCGTTCGCAACTACCACGGTGCGTGACGCGTTCGCATTGTCCGATCGCACGTTGTTCAAGGTGTATTTTGCGATATCCTCAAAGAGAGGGGCATGCTGGGGAGTAGACTCTGTAGAAATACAGAAAAAAAAGCTGTTAGCAGGTTACTTTTACCGTTTGTTACGGGGTCCGGGGAAATCTCGTACTGATCGCATCGTAAACTCGCTTCCGGAGCGAGGAATCGTTCGCGAACGCCTGGTCAATGGTCGCAGAATAATTCACGGCGGCAAAAGACATCTTAGACAGAAGACCGCGCCGTCGATTGCAAGTCTGAGATGGTAAGAAGGGGGGATGGGAATGGGTGAAAAACTGTGGGGGATTTACTCTTCCCCTGGCTGCCGACCATGTGCTTGTCAGAAACGGGTCGTCATAAAGAACTTCAAGCAAGGAATCTGCCGAATGGCCATTATCGGGACAGTCTAGGACTGCAACAATAGCTGCTGATTTTCACTTCAACAAAGTTGTCTCGTAACAGGAGAGCTCTATTTCTAGTAACAATAACCGATTCCTATTCTACATAACTATGGTGTACAGGCTATTTCAATCAACGGGACAGCCCCGACATAAATAAAAAGAAGATTGGAGATGTATTCAAGCGGAAGCCGACTTCTTCTTCTCCGCGTTTTGTCTCATGAATCGCTCGATGAAGTTAGTTGTTTCATCGTCCATAATGGCATTACCATCTTCATCAAACTTGGCCTTCCTCCGCTCCGCCTTCTTCTCCTGTGTTCTGGCGTGGAGCTCGCCGAGCGGTGTCAGGAGGGACCTGCTCTCCAGATACTGCCTCTTGAGATCTTCCATCTTCTTTGCCTCCACCCACTCAGGATCGTGTCGTGTTCGGTATTTAGAGTATTTGTTCCTCAGTTCGTCAAGTATGCTGGGCTCGTACGGCGGGTACATCAGCGACGGCATCCAGGTTGGCGTCTCAACCTCCATTCTCAGCGTGTCCCATGGTTCGTCCTTGAGCGGCATTGCTTCTTCTTTAGGCCAGGGGATTTCAATGTTTTCTCCGGCAATGTATCTGGTATGTTTGGGAGTCGTGGAGCCATAGTCTCGTTCCAGGATAGGCTCTCCGCCGTAAACATGCTCGACCAGGACATCTCGTGCATTTCCGGTCAAAGGGTCATCGAGAGGGACAACAAGACGCACATCGTCCAGAGGGATAGGCAGGCTCAGAGCGTTGTAGCCTTTTGAGTTACCGTAGGACTCACTCAACCAGTCGGGGAAGTGAACATCGACCTGCAAAGGAAGCATGTTAGAAATGTAAGATTCGACTTAGTACTTTTCCTTCGTGGCCAAGCGCACCATGTTGACATCCTTCACCGTCACAGTTTCCGTTTCCGGATCGACCCTGGTGACCTCCCCAATCTTGCCCTTGTCCCGTCCTCTGATAACGCAGACACGGTCACCGGCAGCGAAGTTGATATATTTCCGTCGGAGGTGTTTCGGGACCTTAGGTGGCTGCATGGCATAGGGCACCATAGCACCATAGAATCTGGCTTCAGGTCCAGAATCTCTCTTTGGCGCCAATGGGCCTTTTAGCCAGTCTTCACGACGTGCTGACCTTTCGTTGCGGATAGCATCGAGTTGTATCCGGTTGTATGAGAACCGCTCCCTCAGAGCCTCCTTCCATTCTTCCCGCTGCTCCTTCTTGGCGGCAATGTTGGCCTTCCTCTGAGCCTGGTTTCTGGCCAGCGCCGTTCTCCGGATGATCTTCTGCATCGTGAAGTGTGGGAGGCGGACAATGGCGATGCACGGAGTCGACAGCTTCCGGAGCGCAGAAAGTCGCGCAGCGGGAAAATTGAAGCCGCATACGAGTCACGTGATACAATATACGCTCCCCGTTCGGACATCAGGGGAATTCAGGGCAGCACACAAATGGGCTATAACTAGAGCAGCACCTATTTATTATAATTGCAGCATTCTGAGGAGGATTCTTGCTCGTCCAAATATACTATTTCCTTTATCGCTGAAATCAGGCAGGTGCAAGACCAGTAGGACCATTCGAGTCCTCCTTAAACCGTTAAGCGGACCAGGAAAACGATTTGACTACGCCGTATTTGCAGGGTCAGAAGAGAAAGAAAAGCCATAGCGGAGCCACATATAGTCAAAGCGGTGTCCCAAGAGCAATTTGCTTCAGTGGATTAAGATGGACATATGGTTCAAGTGCAACTAGGAAGTCAATAGATGATAGATGGTCAGCATATTTCCAGCTCGTGTGGTTCCGAAGATGAATGCCGGGTCAATGCCCCGGTTTCCCCAACGTCACTACTGGAATAACGTCAGTATGTACGGAGTAGTGAGACCATGACCAGGCCGCTCACAGCTACCGAACGTACACCCCTGATGTTGCAAGATAATAGAGAAAAACTCAAAAGATCACGGCTCACCGTGCCTCATAGCGTGCGCCAACAACCTTTCACGGCGGGTCTTGTACGGATCCATGTGTGGCTGTGCGATGAATGTGCCTTGCTCCACCCGTCAGTCGATGTCGAGGATATTGATAGTATACGACTGGGATAAAATAGGGGCTTGATAAACGGGGGAGCATGGTGAATATTGATTGTCTTAGATGACGTTTCCTGGGTTAGTTGACAACGACCTCGAGTTTTGAAGCTTGTTGTTGACACACCGCCACCGCTGCTCGTGCCATGTTCAGTGTCAGATGGAGGTATGATATTTTGTAGTCGAGTCGACCCGTCCTATACAAAAACATCATTGCGGATCGACAGTGACAACGCCAGGGCACGATAGGGCTGCTAAAGATATCGTTTTGTGAGTCTCTTTTGGGAATCTGGAGAGTCGATCCATGATGAAGGCCTGCTTACTCCGTACTGCGTACGTTGTACGGAGCAGTACTGTATACACTAGGCGCGCCGTAATACTTAGTGCTGATACCGTCTCCGTGAACTGGTGAGGATAACGTCGGCGGACTTAACAGACCGCCGTCTGCGCTCTTCCCTATGCCGAAGTCACCGTTACTAGGCCCACGACTAGCTGTCAACTGGATCTCAAAAGAAGTGATGGGATAGGGCCATTATTGTTGAGTCTTGACTGTAAGCCCCAGTATTAACTATATCGCTGCAATATTTTGGACTGTGATAGATTTAGCCTGTCCCGGGTCAATAATAATAATACCGCTCATGCTTTTGCACCTGAAACATCGCGAGCCTGTTAAAAGGGGAGCACAGACTCGTTATTATTATTGCAGCGTGTAACTAACCAACTAGGTTGTAAGCTTTGTCCCCCGAGGGTAATCTCCACGCCCACACGCGGCCCGACTTCTGGGATGGTGATAGATGAAAGAAACTGTTTCGTTTTCTTAGCAGTTCGCGACAACGAACTGCTGAAGCTTACTCTGCAGAGCTAGCACCCAGGCAACTGCCATGTACTGCTTTGTTGTCGCAATACCTAATGCGGTAGACAGATCTCGCCCGTTTGGCGCCTCCTGAAAAAAAAAAAAAAAAAAAAAAAAAAAAAAAAAAAAAAAAAAAAAAAGGGCCAAGCGTCTCCCAATGGCGAAAAAGCGTAATTTCGGGATGGTACCAGAATACTCGGTGCCAGACAGATGAATTCGCCATCTCTCGGTTTTCTGACAGGAGTCAGCTCCTCCAGCCACGTAGAAAGATACCACACAAGCCACATACCGGGAACCGTGCCTCTTGGGATCTGCCTGCTGGAGCTGCGTGTCGCTTGCCGGCCACCGACCGTCTCAACTCCCGCCTTAGCCCCAGTGGACGACTCACCTGGGCCTTCTGGGGGGACACGAGCCCTAGTCCAACGCAGATAACCTCTGCCTGCTTCCGCTAGTTGTCTCCCATACAACCCCATCCTCTCTCTCCATCAAATTCGCCTTTGCACCTCCTCTTTCATCGTCATTCCTCTCCTTTCAGCTTGCTGAACCTCCTTCCATCCTCTTCCGGATCCTTCATCACAGCATTCACCGCCGCCGTTGCGCTCGCTGCCTAAACCGTACGTGCTTCCCTTTTCCCTGGGTCCCTGACTTGTCCCTTTCAGTCCAGCCGTGTCCTTTCCCCCAACACGTCAACAACAGCACCATCCGGCCATCAAAGAGCTTTCTGCATCTCAGCAGCGGCTATCTAACTCTCTCACAATCAATATCTGGTCCGTTTACTGACAGCAGCTTCTTTTCTTCTGTCCAGATGGCTGAGATCCGCCGCAAGCTTGTCATCGTGGGTGACGGTGCCTGCGGTAAGACTTGTCTTCTCATGTGAGTATCCATTTTGGCAGCATCCCGTCTTCAACAGCTCTCAGTTAGAGCCTGAGAAGAAGAAACCTATGTGCAGTGAACTGATGTCTTGTGTCCGGCAGCGTCTTCTCCAAGGGTACCTTCCCTGAGGTTAGTCCCCTTTCCGGCCCCTCCTGATCCTGATAACAGTCTCTGCTCGAGATGATGAACATCAAGGTAGCATTGTAGCCCCACGCTGACTCGACCGATAACCGCAGGTGTACGTCCCCACTGTCTTCGAGAACTACGTCGCCGATGTCGAGGTCGACGGAAAGCACGTCGAGCTTGCTCTTTGGGATACCGCTGGTCAGGAGGACTATGACCGTCTCCGTCCTCTCTCCTACCCTGACTCCCATGTCATCCTGATCTGCTTCGCTGTCGACTCTCCCGACTCCCTTGATAACGTTCAGGAGAAGGTGGGTGATTACTGCTTCACTTGGGTCTCGGCCAGGACTGACTCTTCTTCTCAACTTGCAGTGGATCTCCGAGGTTCTTCACTTCTGCCAGGGCCTTCCCATCATCCTTGTTGGCTGCAAGAAGGATCTCCGTCACGACCCTAAGACCATCGAGGAGCTGCACAAGACCTCTCAGAAGCCGGTTACCCCCGAGCAGGTATGTGATGAATCAAATCTCCTTTTCGTCTCGCATGCACAGGTCGCGTGGCTAACTCCGATTTCCAGGGTGAGGAAGTCCGCAAGAAGATCGGAGCATACAAGTACCTCGAGTGCTCTGCCCGTACCAACGACGGTGTTCGCGAGGTCTTCGAGGCCGCCACCCGCGCTGCGCTGCTCACTAAGGCTCACAAGAAGAAGTCTAAGTGCAGCATCCTGTAATCTAGTCGTTTCCTTTTCAAGGACTGCTCAGATGGTCATCCTCAACGGATAAGCGTCCAAGCGGTTGATTACGTTCTCAGATGTCTCGCTCCGTTTTCATGTTCCCCTAATCGGCCTCGGTGTGGTGTGGATAGTTGAATCACGGGCGCACGTGCTTCATGGGATGATCTGGGTATGCAACTGGTCGATTTTTCTTTTCTTTTCAGAATTTGTCTAGGGAGGCGTTGTCTTCATGACCTATCGGTTTCAGGCCTCGATAGTGCCTAGCGGGTGTTTCAATCGCATGGCAATGTCGTTTTCGCAGAGTTCATCACTACCGGAGTAGTGCAGATTGACGAGCAGCAATCGATATTGGCCTTTCTTGCGTGTGCCCCGATTAAGCATCCATGGGGAGCTGACGAAGGAAGTCTTGAGATCTCTGTCAGATTGTATCAAGATTCCTCTTGTCTCGACTGCAGTTTGTCTAACGGAGGTCTCTTTCACCCAAGAGTGCCATGGAATTGGACTGCGGTACCTGCATCTCCCCACATAGGACAGTCTGTTTCCTTTCTACTCATCTTCGTTGCCCTGTGGTTCGTCAAGACATTAACGCGCGGATAAAAAGAGTCTCCTAATACACCCAGAAACTGTTTGCTTTGCAATATTTACCTTGCGTCGTTCCTGTCTTCAAGCCCCCTTATTCCCCCCCTAAGCTTTCCTTTTGTATCTCCTTTATGCTTTCCCACCAGAAAGAGCCTCTTGTGTGTTCCCATACCAAGCATATGACCCTGTGTGGTAGTTTCAAATGTGATCAAGAATGCACAAGCAAAGACAACTAGTCGATCTCCCTAATTAGGTAATACAGCTGTTCTGCTTTGACAATACTTTGATAGTGCTGCGCTTAAACATTAGCTATCTCTCTCCATAACGCGTTGCTGTCTTAATATAGTCGCACTCACAGTTTGTATAACAGTGCACGGATGGCTATTCGAAAATAATAATAAAACAGTACATCTAGATGATTTAAATACCTGGGAAACCCCACAGGAACCTCCCGTTAGATGAAAGGCATCAGTTGTTAGATGATCTCTGTGATTTGTGCGCGTCTTGGGAAGAAGCGAGGTTAATGTTGACTGAACTGAGTGAGCCTCCTTAGCGCGTCTCCCTGAGCCTGTCCTCTTTGGCGAGGCCATATTAACTTCTTCTTTGGGGTTTTGCCTTGTATTACCGCTTTTACTGTCAGAGGCTGTTATTGTTAGGAAGGCCTGATGACGTTACTGTTCTGGTTTATATTGTATGAAAGATGATGTATCTTTCTACTTCTTCTACGTGGGATTCCGAGTTGAGGAGATGCAAGAAAACGCTGCTACTGATGATGTTTTGGGAGATCATGGATAATTGTGTATGTCTCTCATTGGGAGGTTTTGATGGCTGGTTGTATGCTTGAGCTATAGTTAGGTAAATTGCAGTACTCTACTGGATCTCCAAAGCGGTGGAAGGATTGTCTCATAATGTGTCTTGTATGTACGCATGTATCTAGTTCATTGGGCATACCGCCGCATAAGTATATACATGGATTGAATAAATACTCATCATCTGTTCAAGCTCAACAGGCTCTCTATATACCTCCTCGGATCCAACCCGACACCCTCAGCGAGCTTCCCTGAGGTCATGGAGCTGAGACCACTTGGACTGAGTGAGGACGCACCGCTGAGATCTCTGAAGAATCTCGATCCACTACTTGCGCGCGAATGCCCAGCAGTGGTGGCATAGTCACTTGCTTTTCGGATCAAGAATGCTGATTTGAAAGACTCGCTCTCCGCTGCACCCTGCTCTGGTACGGTCCCTTTCCCAGAATGAGGGATTCGCACCCAGGTGACCCACCAGCTGCGGTTCGTCTTGCATGTCCTCTCCATATCCAGCGGCCGTAACAGTGTCTCGCTGTATGTTGCAAGAATTCGCTGGTGTACGTTGAGGGCTTCAAGCCTGGACCATGGCCGCATGTCGGACGGGCCTTCCGCGACAAAAACGCCCGGGTCTGGTATATTTGGAATAGAAGAACGTATCGTTCGATTCGAAGGGTCATATACAAGGTCGTAGATCGGCTGTTTCGGAGCACTGGGCCTCCTGCTGCTAGCAGCAGCAGCGCCATTAGTAGATATTCTCTGAGATACGTTCTCCGGTGAAGTTGACGATAGGAGCGGCTTTTGGAGGGGCCCAAGCTGATGGTGTATGCTTCGGTAAAATGTTGGATAGGCTAATGTTGGAGTTCGTAGCTCGAAGAGAAACGTAAACATAAATGGACGATGCTGGATACCATACCGTCAGAAAAAGTTTTGACTGATGATGGCGAGGAAATAGGAAAGAAGAAGAACATACCACGTAGACAACTACTTGTAATTTCTTAGAGACCTCTTCTGAGGAAATGTCTGTAGTCCGGTCAGTTATTATGTATGAGCGGAAGGTCGGGGTTTTGCATACCTTGTGTATCTTTATCTCCGCTAGCCGTGGTCATCCGTACATGTAGAGTCCTTAGCATCGTCCTGCTGTTTTTGGGGACCTTCTCTTCGGTATTTTGTTGTGCGTTACCGTCTTTGATATCCTCGTCATCGCTGTCTTCGTCCTCGAGATCATCGCGGAGGCCAATGATGAATTTGCCTACGGCATCGTCCGCCGGACTCCGTCTTTTCTCTTCCCGAGACAACCTGTCCGATGGAGTTGCAGGACGAGTGGCAGACGAGTTCAGACTCTGACCAGCCTCACTGCCCGACCCGTCTGATTGACGTAAAATAGACAAGCGAGGGTGTGAAGGGAGAGATAAAGAAGGAAATCCCCACGAGGAACCGTAGCCTAATGTGAGATATTTCACAACAGTATCGGTACCAAATCCAGACGAGTCATCAGGTGTTTCGGTCCCAGTGCTTCTGGTCCTGCTAGCATCCCTAGAAGCCTCGTTCGTAGAAGCATTTTCAATAGGCTGCGGCGGCAGTGCGACGAGTGGAGGCGGTATTCCGGGGGAGAGATCCCGTGTTGGTGTTCCACCATGTGAAGCATTGCGGTGCACTTTCATCTGAGTGCCAGAAGCCCCACTGGGATCTCTGATATGCCGACTAAGTTGTCGCCTGCGTCGCTTTCGGCGTCGAAGAGAGCTCGGGTTTTCGTTGACTCCATATGCAGCTTCTCCGTACCTGTAAATCCATTCCATCCACTGCGAAACTTGAATCAAGGATTCCCTTGAAATTGCTCCAACACCGGAGAAGATAACTCCGTCAGAAGGGCGTGGGCATGTATCTGACCCAAGCCAGGGGTATTTGTTAGACGGTACGTCTGAAGAACCATTTTTCTTCTTCGGCGAGTCAGACCCGTCAGTTGGAGGTACCGCATCACCGAATCTCGAGACGACCAGATCGAGAAGCCCATCAGTTCTGTAGACAAAGTCTTCCAGTACCTCTCTTTCCCCGCTTCCCCATTCTTCTTCCCCGACGCCGATACCAAGCTCCCCGCCAGCGGCAAGTTTTATACCGTTATAGATTTCCGCAGCCGGGTTACCATTTAGAAGGATATCCCATGTCCATGCGAAGCGGGTCCAAAATCGGTCAAGAAACCTGCAGGCTGTTTCCCTTCCCACTCGGTTATAAAGCTCGTCCAGTGAGGTACCGTGGTGAAGTAAGAAGATCGAGTGTGCGCGTCGGAGTTGCTGTACCAAAAGGTGAGGAGGGCTAACCTCCCTTGAGGAGTAGTCGAACCGAGAGTCATTGGGAGTAGAAGAAGATCCGTTATTAGAATTCGAGGGAAGACGAGTCAGGTCAACTGACTGTTCAATCGATTAGCTCTAACCGAATGTTGCAAGTATACAAGAACACACAGCCAGTATCCACCAGTTCTTCTCCAATTCGTGGAGTACAATACGGGACCTCTCAGTTTCAACCGAATCCAGCGCCTCTCCGGTGGAAAAGTTTCTGGGCCACAAGTTAGTATACTTATGCTCGACTTGCATCTCAATCGGCAGAAGTAGGCTCACCTAGCAAAGCTCACCATCCCCTGCGCCAACCCTATCTGGCGCAGCTTCACATCCCGGTCATCTTTCCTGGCTGAAGAAGCGGCATCAGCAGAATCGCTAAAAGCGTCGGACTCTGCAGCTGCTTTGGAGAAGTAGAAGACGATCTGATCCGCTAATGTCTCCTCCGACGTCCCGAGGAGGGGGTTGTAGATCGCGAGGAACGAGAGTTGCGCGGGGATCACAGATCCTGGCTCGGCTTCAGGCATCGCATAATCGATCTGTGCCTCTATCCGCCAGTAGAGAGGCACTGGAAATAGTGAGAAGATACAACCGTTGGATTCATGATCGCTGGTTTCGGTACTTTGAGGTCATAACATCACGTGTCTTATCGATACCAGTAAAGTTACAAGCTCCCGGAGCTTGAAGAGAGCTCGAAACTCCGGCGACAGCAGTCAAAGTTCGAAGAAATGCTGTTAAATCGGAGTTCACGCGTTCTATTGTCGCGCAAACTACTCTTGATCCGACCGCTGTTTACATCGAGATGTCTTTCGAGCAGTTCCCATGAGCCTTTACGCATCTTGTTCTGCGGATCGGACGAGTTTAGCATTGCTTCTCTGAAAGCTCTCCATGAAGAACATAAGAAGGAACCTAGCCGCATTGCGTCGATCGATGTCGTCTGCAGGCCAGGAAAACGAGTAGGCAGGGGCCTCAAGAAGATACGAGAAGGTAATTTAATTCAATCGCGCTGGCCAACTACAATTTCGTAGACTAATTAATATGTGACCCATAGTCCCTATCAAAGCCGCAGCGACACAGCTTGCCCTTCCGATACACGAGATAGATACTTTTACCGGATGGACAGTAAGAGTTTGCATGGACTTTTGAATATTCTCTGGCCATCTGACAATCAATTGCAGCCGCCCCAAAACGAAGGCTTTCCTATAAATCTGGTAGTGGCAGTATCATTTGGACTCTTTGTTCCTCCTCGAATACTCAAAGGGGCTAAGTACGGGGGTCTAAATGTCCATCCATCCTTGTTGCCAGAGTATGTACTGCCTACAAAGCTGAAGAAACCAACTGACCTTAGAAACTTAGTTTTCGCGGCCCTGCGCCGTTGCACCATACTCTCCTAGCAGGCAGGACGAGGACTGGCGTTACTCTCCAGACCTTGCACCATGAGCATTTCGATCACGGCATAATCCTCAGTCAGACCCCCCCTCCCGGATTCGAGATACCAAATCCAGAAACTTGTACCGTTCCGGAATTGCTGCAAGTTGTGGCCCCGGAGGGTGCACGAATTCTAATTGAGGGCATGCGAAATCGGCTCTTTGTACCTCCCCTAAAAGAAGCAGGATGGCGTGCGACGGAGGCGGGAAGCAAATTGATCCATGCGGCTAAGATCAAACCGGAGGACCGACATGTCGACTGGGCGAATTGGACATGGACAGATATCAGCAGACGGAATCGGATCTTGGGACCTCTTTGGAGTAAATCCCTAGTTGCAAGCGAGGATCCAGATGGAAGAATCTCGTTCGGTGAGAAGAGAATCATTTTCACCAAATTTGAAGAAGTACAGGCGAACCGAGACCTCGGGCAGCTAGCTCTTATTCCAGGAGTCCCTTTCGTCGATGGGGTTCCGCCCTTGCAGCCCCAAGAGAAGAAGGAGCTCTATGTGTTCACAAAAGATGGAAGACTGATACGGATCCATGAGATGAAGGTCGAAGGAGAACAGGCCGCTGACGCGTTCAGAGCTGCTCTCAAGGCTCGAATGTTCAGCAATAAAAGTTTCCAGTTGGGTGCTTCACATTACACGCTCTTCCACAATCCACTTCACTGAAGTACTGTCGAATGCTCATGAAACGGATTTGTTCATGTTATCTCAACTCTATGATACCCCTATTTTGCTATAGAAATGATCTGTCTTTGTATGATATAGTGATATAATGGCGCATGCCTCCCGCATTGCCTGTATATGGCCCATTGCAATTGCCTTACCTCACATAGCCGCTGTCTGTAACAGGGTCAGCCTAATCACATTCATCGAGATTGCAATCTGAAGATACTCACCACAGACGATTGACTGTCCTGTCATGGATAAATTCTTTGCGATCATGGTGTACAAGTTAGCACAGTCCTCGAGGTCGGCCTATATCAGCGACGGTCAGTAATTGCAAGCCATTTCTTTTCCAATGAAGCATGACTTACCACATGCTTTAGCACAGTCTTGTCTACATAACCCTGAATCAGCTCGGGGGAAAATCGTTGGCCCTATTTGATAGTCAGCGCTTGATGACTTTCCGCATACTGTAAGATATAGTTGAAGCAGCGTACCCATTCAGTGAGGAGAAGTCCAGGCAACACAGCATTGATGCGGACCTTTTCCCCTTGCGTCTGCATTAGGCACTTCATGAGGTGCAGACCTGTGACATAGGATATTAGAAAACCGGAGGAATACGAGAAGTGGAAAGAAATTTACCTGCAGCTTTTGAGACAGAATATGCCATACTGCTTCCAGAGGCGGAGATACCCTATCAATGGTCAGCATTTTGAACTAATTGCATTCGTTGCCTTCTGTCATTACCGCAGTGGATGAAGTGATGATGAAGGCTCCACCATCAGGATTTGTCTTGAAGGTTGGCAACGCCTCCCGGAAGAGATGCAGGTTGCCTTTCACGTTTGTTGCCCAGCACTAGTTGAGGTTAGTGAGGGAGTTGGCAACGGTGGGATTAGTGGTAGATACCTACCTTATCCCAGTCGTCCTCAGATAGCGCATCCAGATCGCCAAAGGAGGAGAATTTCGTCCAGCCCTTTTCACTATCAGTAAACATCCCGCAATGTTCGTATGCCGTAACCTTACAGCATTGGAAATGACAACGTCGAGTCCTCCCAATTGCTCAATAGTAGTCTTGATTGTCCTAATACAATCGGCCTGAACCCCGGCGTCCTGGTTTATAGTAAGTATCGCGCCATGTTCAGAGGAAAATTCCTCCCTCTAGATCAATGAAATAGACACGAGGTTATTCAACTTACACCCTGAATTATGATCGTCTTCACTTTGTACTGGGATTCGATCTTTGCCGCCGTCTCTTTGGCCCGTTGCTCATTGGACACATAATTAATCGCAATGTTCGAGCCCTCGGCCGCAAACTTCTCGGCTACAAGAGCTCCCAGCCCTCTATTAAGTCCAATCAGTATCAAGCGTGGATGTCTCTCTGTGCTTAACCGGACCGCGACGATATATATATATACATACCTTGATCCTCCGGTAATCAACACGTTGCGGCCGCTTAATGAGTACGGCATTTTGTTTTGTTCTAAATATCGTTGAAAGAATATATTTCAAATCAGTTTCGGAAATTCGGTCTGAAGAAGTGAACATCAGCTGCTTATTATAGGGCTTACCTCTAAGATACTGTACCCCTCGTGCGCACGTTATCTGCCCCGCAAGTGGAGAGCCGAAAATGGAGATCCGAATGGTTCGGACAAGCGTCCGCGGGTCTGGGGTAGGGAGCTCCGACACGGTAGTTGTGTGTCTATCAGTCTAGCAAAGATACTGACGGAATCAGATGGTCTGGTGTTGTGCATGTCTTTTGCCATGACACAATATTCCTATTTAGTTCACAATGATTATCTAGGGTTTCTTTTGATATTATGCCAATGCAACTAGTACGAGAATTGTAAGAGGGCTATGATTCCATACATTTGTGATCTTGATTGTCCGAATGGACCTGGTATTGGGAACTGTGTTATTAATATTATTGCTTCGTAATAGAGCTAGCCACGTTCAGTACACAAGGGTCCCAACATATTGCGTTTCCCGCATGCCTTTCCATGCTCGCCTCCCAGCAAGGGCAGGCCATTGGACAAGAAACCTGTCTACAAAAGGCAATAGGATCTTTCCTGACAGACTCAGTGTCGTGACACGAGCCCAGGACTCCACAAATATGGTGCGTAGGGGAGCGGGTGACAGTTCTTTACTCTCAGAACCCACACATTGCCCACTTGGGCTCTGGAGAGAACGAGAAGGCCGTGAGAAGGTGTAATTTAGAAGACGAAGAAGCTTCGCTGCGAGTATGACGCATACGGCTGTAGCGGGGCCATTCGTTAGTATCAGGTCAGGATACGTAGACGCCGCCTTTCTTTTGAATGATCTTTGGTCCGGATGGGCTCCACGGAGAACCTGCAGACACGCCCAAAAGCATTGAAGAGTCGAAAAGGGTGCCGTAAGGAAAGATTGATGGACGCGGCGAGCACGGGGGACTGTAATAATGATATACGAGTCCGACTGTAGAGAAGAGGCGTCGTCGTCGTGTTTCTCCCCATCCGCATGATCATGGTGCCCGTTCCCTTTGAGCTCTTCCTCGAATTCCAGGGCTTTCCTTGCGCTGAAGCTGTCACCGGAGCTAACGACATACGTTCGATATGTATAAATCGTCGGATCTAGAGGCATACATCTTAACATAGAAAACATCTCTGTGGTATGGCCGCCACTGCCCAGCACGACCAGTAGATGTGTCGGTGTGTGTCGACGTCGACATTTTGGGACAGGACCTCGCTGAGATATCGCAAGCGCGCGGGCGAAGACCTAACGATCTGGGTATCAGAGTTGCGATTCAAGTGGGTGTGTGCTTTGGGATAGAGTCTGGTTTCACTCACAAGAATGGAAAGCGTCGCGAGGACAATGACCAGGGCCAAAAGACCAGCCAGCAATGTCGCAGACCGCTGGGGCCAAGGCACAGTAGGTTCCCACTGCATCATGGATGGAAAGCTCAATCAAACGACAGGAGAAAATGAACCAGGCCCAACTCGAGAATTAGTCACTCAGCGCATCGAAGTACAGTACATTGCCCAAGTATCCTTTGTGTTAGTTCCGCTTGGCGACAATAAGAGCATTCATGGATCCATCAATGGGGGGTCAATGGGAATTTCAAGTGTTGGTGAGCGTGGAGTAATATACTCCTAGAGAATGACCACCCAGCTGGCACCCTAAACCATCGTCTGCTCGTTACAAACACCAGAAAGTTGTCGTATATCCGATAATAGAGGACTGTTCCTGATCGCATGAAGATCGCTCCACACGTGTCTTGGTCTGTGCGGCTCGGCGATTAATTCTCCTGTTGCCTTAACTCCTGCCTTGTTTTCTTACGCAACGCCTCGGAGACCAAGTCGCATAACAACGACAAGAGGGTCGCTTTCCTGCTGGTTCTGTATAGGACAAGATGGCGGCCATCTTTCAGAAGCGGCTGCGGTGCTTCTACTGTGGGCGGCGTTCTGCGCAAGCCGATAAAGGGCTCGTCCGCAGATGGCACTGCAAACATTGCGAAGCAGTAAACTATCTAGACGAGGTTTGTGTTGTCGCGACACTGCTTATTCTGCGATTTCCTTCTGGTTAAAGATTCTTTCTCTGATTTTCTCTTGACTCTAGAATGGCGAAATTACCGATCCTCCTGCTGCGGAGACGAATCCTGAAGTATACGGTCCTGGAGCATCAAGCCCGCCATTCGAATCAGTAAACTTCGCCGACTCGAGTCTGTTCTGTTCGAAGTGTCTGAGAAACCAGCATCTTTTTACGAGCGCTTTGGCGTCTTATTTTCCGGCCCCGGAGGACCCGGCATACGCCGCGTACGAACGGGAATATCCTAAATTTCGCCAGAACCTCGAGGAGAGATACCCGCAAGTATGTCAGAACTGCGAACCGCGCGTTAGGGAGCGCATCCGTCAGGCAGGGTACGAGGCAAAGTCAGACCACCTCAGGCGGATGATGGAGCGCAGCAAGACAGGGAGGGTAGCGCGAAAAGCACGCAACAGGAACTGGAGGAGTCTGCTAGTCTTTGCGGGTGCCTTGGGGTACTGGGCTAGTGTCGCTGGTCAACTCGCCTGGAGTATCATGGGCTCTCTGAATGCGGAGAATGCGCCATCTGATTGCGGTGATGCGCTTACTCTCTCATCCTTTGCAGCATGCGTCACTCAGTCGGTCATAACGCGACGAGTTGACGATTACTGTTCAGCCGGTCTTGCTTCTTACGCTGGCATAGCTCTCCTCTTGGGAATTCTGTCGCTCTGGTGGAATCCCAAGCTGCGTTTCAAGGTAGAAGGGAGGACTGGTAGATTTGTCGGGCTGGGAGAGTATTATAAGGTGCAACTCATCGTAATGGTCCTGAGATCTGCCTTTTGGGCTGTGCTGAAGGACCCTTCGACGAGTGGTTTACGTGCAGACCTCCCACCAGCTCTGCATGCATTCATGATAGCTTTTACGATCCTGGTAAGTATTACTATTCATTACTATCATCTTGCGCTGTGCCAATGATCTGACGAATCTAGTCTGTCATTGTATCTCGACGGGTTGTCCGATATGACAGTCGACCGCTTGTCTTGTGGTCGGACACTCCTTCGGCGACCCCAAACCGCAAACCTGACACCTCTGGCCTGGCTTCAACAGGCGATGTTAAGTCTACTCCCTTCGGAGGGTCGAAAACCGAGCAGCCACTGCCGCGTTTCCCCTTCGAAAAGCTCGTATCTGCGCCCCCTGCCCCAAGGGGTGAACCGGCCATTCCTCCAACTCCTCCTCCGGAAGTTGAAGACATGGATTGGACACCGTCATTGCGGGAGGAGATCAAGCCCATTTTCAGTGTCTATGAAAAAGAGAAAAAATCCGTTCTCGACGGGCCTTTACCCTTCACGGGAACGTTGCCGCCCGCACCAAAACCTCCTTCATGGCAGCTTCGGAATCCAGCTCCTCAGAAGCCGGTTGAGCGAATCGTTCAGCCAAATCCTTTCAATCGCACCCCAACCCAAAACGCCGAATGGGGACGCAGCAGGGATAGGAGTAGCTCTGATGTTGTCTTTGCGCCACCTAGATTCTTTCCTGCCAGTGATCGTGGTGTTACAGGACTCGAATCTTTGTTTGATCGAACATTCACCATCAAGTCTCCAGAGGAAGAAAGGGATGACGACTGGCAGCGAATGCAGAATATGACGATGGCTGCGCCATCAAATGTTGAAGTCCCTATTCTTTTTGCTTATCTGAGACTTGGTCTCCTGGTTTCGTCTCTTTTCGCCTGGTTCCTTTCTGAAACCGAACATCTGTCACTTCCGGGAGACTATGTTGAGGTGGCATCCCTAGGGAGCGCAAGTCTTATTGCTGGATTCGCGCTCCTGGAGATACTGAAGCGACCAATGACACAATGGAACGGAATGGAGATCCTCGTATCGACGGCAGAGCTTGTTGCAGCTGTCCATTTAGGGGCCAATCTGCCGGGCATGTCGTTTGAAAGAGCATACTTCGACCGATACGGGAAATCGCTTTTGGTGTTTATGATCGCTCAGGAGGTGCTTGGTCTGCTTTCCGCTCGTCAAAGGATCGAACCCAATCCCGGAACGCAGTCACAACCTGCATCTACCGCATCCCCCAGTCCTCAGCTCCAGAGCGCAAACTTCAGCGCGAGCTTCACTGGCGATGCACCAAGTGCAATTGCACCGAGTGGCTCTCAGCCTTTCTCCAACCAGTCATTCTCTAACCAGTCATCCGCCCCTTCCCTCTCTTTTACTGCACCCACGCTCAGTCCCAGCCTTTCATCGCAGCCTTCGTTTCGATCACAGCAGCCGTACCAACCATATAGCCTTGGCTACAATGGTGGCTCCAGCTTTTTATCGAATGGTGTCAACGACCATGATAACGACTCCGATGTCACTGATCCTCTGGAGCCTGACTCGGACACGGAGACTATAGCAACCACCATTACGACTGCCAGCCACCACACGGCAATCAGAAACATGCGCCTCTTTAGGGACGACGATTCTGAAAGTGTTCCTAGCCCCAGACGTGCTCTGGGTAAGGGTATCAGCGGTCTTAGTCTCGACGATAATCCCAACTCATCTCGTCGGACGACTCGGAGTCAGACGAAGCAAAGGGCCCAAGGCCAGACAAGTGGTTATCGCAGGTATCCTCAGCGTGGAAGCAAACAGAGCCTCTCCAAATCATGACGATATCTTTCTTCTCTTTCTCTTTCAAGTTTATTTCAGTTTGGGCAGACCTGGAGTTTCTGTGGGACAAATTTCTTTTTTTCGAAGGCGCAATGCAATACTTTGCATGGAATTAAATATCGACGACTCGAACCAGCGGCACTACGCTTACGAATTTATTGTTTTATTCTGTTTTACTTATCTTATGACGACACCCTTGCATGTACTGGATCCGGACTGGATGGGGAGCGAAGCTTTTTATTTGAAGTATGTTGGAAGATTGTATTGTTTGGAAATCAGGATGTTGCGGGAAACGAGAAAGGAGTGCTAGCGATGTCACCGTGCCTTGCTAGCTTAACTTAGGGACTTGTATATAGCAGATTGGAATCGAATGGAATTAGAACCTCGGCATTTGACTGGAACTGAAGCTCTAGAGCACCAAGGACAGAAACGTATCGTCAATCCTGAAACAAAATGCCTTTCTTTGACAATCTATACCGAACAGAAATTAAACCCTCTCAATTCTGGTCTCCATAGGGCCAGTCTTGTCATCTACTTCATGCGTTTCACCCTGTTCCATGTCCCTCGCGGCCTTGTGCTCGAGCAGCTCAGTAACTCCAAAGAGATCATCCATCTTCTCGAGGGACACAGCTAGTTTTCTGTCAGCTCATGCATTCATTTTAGTGCAAGTAGTGTCCAGCATACCTTTGGTTTCAGGAACGAAAAACCAGACGAAAACACCCATAGCAAAGCAGAAGCAGGAGAATATAATATATGTTCTGAATGTCAGGTCAGGCGTTAGCTACCAGTATGGGTATTGGTTGACATGGAGGTATCTTTCATTTCGAGGAGAATATACTTGAAGTGGATAGTGAAGAGAAACGTACCCATAACCAGCCTCTCCAACAGTGGCCATCATATTGGGCACAGCCCGGGCGACGACAAAGTTGAATAGCCATTGCGTCGCAGCAGCAAAGGCAACATTGAGTGAACGTAGACGGGCAGTAGGTATTTCAGAGACGTAAGTCCAACAGACTGGGCCCCATCCGAACTGGAAGAAAGCCGCGAAAAGGAAGATACACACCAAGGCAACGTATCCTGCTGGGATGACCGGTTCGCCTGCCTTTGGAGGAGCGATCCGAACGTATAAACCGATGTATAGCATGGCGAGAGCCTGGGCGACGGATGTCCAGAGCAATGATTTCCGTCGTCCGAGGGTGTCAGCGACGAAGATTAGAAACGCACCGCATGCAACCGCTTTTACTATACCATAGATGCCCGTAGCGAAGAGATTCGTTGCATTGCCAGTGACACCAAGGTTTTCAAACATCTGCGGGGCGTAATAGTTTATGGCATTCGTGCCAGTCATTTGTTGGCATACCATGAGCATGATGCTGATGATGACTCGTTTGCGATTTCCTGGGATTAGCCACATTTCCTTCATGAGGTCCCAGAAGCTGGAGCCGCCGATTAACTGGCGCTCGCGTTCAAGCTGGGTCACGATATCCTGGAATTCCTCCTCGACGTATGGGTGCGTTGGGGGTAGCGATCTAACCTTTGAAAGAGTCGCCTTGGCCTCTTCCCACCTGTCCTGTCTCGCGAGCCATCGGGGAGATTCATTGCAGAAGATCATTCCAATGAATAAAAGGGCCGCTGGGAGAGCTTGCATAGAGAGAGGAACGATGTAAGAAGCAGCTCCATGGAAATGGAGCAATGATCCATAGTTTATCCAGAAGGCGAGCATGATTCCAAGTGCGATGAAGAACTGGTATAATCCAGTCAAGCCACCTCTGATAGCTCTGGGTGCATTTTCAGAGACATAAAGCGGATTAACCATCGATGCCGCGCCAACACCAAGTCCAGTAATAAACCTATGAGAAACAAGTTAACATGTCTGTTTGTTTGATTGATTATCGCTGTTCTCCCTCTCACCTTCCAATGTACATCGGCTGCAGATAACCGTCCGATGCAAACTGCATTACAACACCGACTATGGCGAATACCGAAGCTATGATCAATGAAAGCCTCCTACCCCATTTATCTGAGACAGGTGATGCTATTAGAGCGCCCACAAAGCATCCGGCCTGCAATGTCGAAACGATATTGGCGGAAAGATTCGCGGCGCCGACTTTGCTCTGGTTTTCCAGACCGTATTTCCTGTTCAACCGTCAGACTCGATCCACTTCCGATCCATAGAAACGAACCTCTTGAATGTATCCATCGTAAGGACACCGCCTATGATACCAGAGTCCATTCCAAATAACATAGCTCCACAACATGCCTATGACTCTCTATTTAGACAATACCATCATAAAAAGCCCGAGAGGAGGAGGTGGGCATACGGAGCAAGAGAGGAGATACACCCTCCATCCATAGATCTCCTTGGGGTCTGTCTGCATTGCCTCATTGTGGACGATTTTCCTGAGAAGGGAAGCCATTGTAGTTCATTCAAAGGAAGTCTGTTAGACCTCCTGCTCTGAGAATTCGGGGGAACGGCTCGTACGGTATGTTGTTATCCAAGGAAGAATAACAGAAAGAGCTTATAAGTGTATATTAAAATACTATCAGGGCTAAAGGCTTGACCTCTGAGTAATAAAGAAGGGGAAACAGAAAGCTTTAACAGACAAGGAATATGATCATATACATCCAGTACAGCTTCACGTCCCCCTCAGAAATTATGAGTCGGGAGGCGTCTCTTGCGCTCAACCAGTAAGCAGATACTAGCTAGATGCTACATTTTGTCATGTGTGGCAGCTGGAGGGATTACTCCGCGTATCCTAGTGAAATTCCGGGGTCTGCATGGCCCAGTTCTGCCGGTAATACTTACCAAGTCGGGAGTCATGTCGACCTGGATATCCGGTTAAAACCCTCAATGTCGTCCATGGATAACTGGGGCAAATATATCCAACCAAGATCAGAGAACTGCGTAGATATTGAGGTCCCCTTGCGCGAAAAGATCACATTGAGTCACCGAATGAGCCCTGTTTTCATGCCATGACCGCCATAGATGCATACGTCCGTTTAGACTTTGCGCTTTCTGGGGAGCATCTGGGGAACATACAGCCTGAACCCCAACGGGATGAGCTTCAGCACGGGCCGTCAAACCTAGCTCAATATCGCAAATCTCGTTTCTGCAGTATCATTTAACTTTTGCGGGGAAAGAAGGTCTGCGTGTGGGGTTGCGGGGATTGGCGCGAAATCAACATACATTCTTCCGTCAATTGCACACGAGCATTGTGAGTCTTGGAGCATCTGTACCACACGAAGCTTGGATAACAAGACGTCTTATCAGGTGGTACATGGCTTCCAGGTCATCCAAGAGAGGATACAGTTCGAATGGGAACAGATATAAGAATATTTTGTTACTAGAATTGGAATGTACAGATACAAATAAAACGAAGCTACATTTCAATTGATAGTGAAACCAGACAGAAGTAAAAGAACCGAGTAGTGCACTATATTGTGTAACTTAAATAGATAGTTTTCGAGAACCATCAATCTTATGCCTTCGAAACAACCATTTCTTGCAGCCAAGACGGCACTTGAGGCTGTTTCTCCCATTTGCTGCGCCAGACATCCTGCCAGCCTTCCTCTCCTGCTGGCAAAGCGAATACTGCCGTGGTAAACCAGAATTGCTTTCCAGCATCAATTGTTGCCGCCAGAGACGGTAGAAGTGTTCTACCATGGATGATATTCGAGTTGGGGTCTGCCAGTACAACTTTCCCGGCACGGCTTATTCCCGGCTGAAGCTCTACAATCCCTACGGCGCCAGCAGAGGAGACAGTGAGAGCGCGCTGCGAATCCTCTAATGTACCCTCAGACGATGAATCATCCTTGAACAGACCGAGAATGCGTCCGTTGTGACTGCTACATCCGTAGATGGCGAAAGCACCTTCGGAAGTCAGGATATTGCGAGACGTGGAAATTCGATGAGCGCGAATATGCCAATTCCCCGTTTCCTCTGAGGGAGGGAGAAGGTATGTCTCGATAGTGACGTCTGACCACGGCTTCCACTCCGAGATGAGCACTGGCGAATCACCACGCTGTTCGATGCGAGCATTTAGAGCAAGCCGACGAGTCTGCCATATCTCTCCACCGTCCTCTGATATGGCGAGCATGCTATCAGGGGCATGCTGCTCGAGTTGATAGCCACCGGTAGGAACGGAGTAACCGAAGGAGGAGCTGTAGGCGAATTTGCCGTATTTCGCTTGGGTTGCCTTCAGTGGATAATGACAAGCCTGGCCGGAAGAAAGCAAGAAAGCGTGACCACCGCGGTGGATGACAATATGCTTTGGATATCCTAGAACAGCAATTTCTGGCAAAGCGGCACCTGGATATGGTTCCTCTGCTGCAGCCCAGAATGGATGGGATTCAGGCAGCGCTAATGGCGTGAAAGACAGGCAGCACCAGTAGGGCGATCCCGGGGAATTGTAATTCTCCGTCAAGTACATATTTGCATAACAATATCCCAGCGTCAAGGTGCCATCGCTGTTGAATATGTCCTCTTGGGTGGCCCACCAGCGGAAATTTCGCAATAAGAGCCCCTTAACAACACCCCAAGTGAGTGGTGCAGGGAGTTCGACGTCGGCAAAAGCAACTGCACCCCAGAAACCGGCCATTGCAAATCTGTAGGTTACGGAACGGCCGAAGGGGATAGCTCTCCCTGTCACAGAAGTGTCAGTATCCTGACAAGACAACAACTGAGAGCTCTGACACTGTAGTAATTACCATCTTTGTCAAAATAGTGCACAAAGTCCTTTGCAAACTCCTTGGCACGGTTTCTATATCTCTCAGCTCTTTCCGGATCAAAGTCGCCTGCTAACTTCGAATAAAGTAGCTGCAGGAATTGGATCGCAAAGGAGCCAGAATAGTAGTCCATCTGGTGATGGCTTTTTGGACCATCATTACTCCAACCGCCTCCAACATGGAATGTATCCAGATGATCCATGTCGGCTTCTATGCGTTTCAAGGAATAGGCTGCGCCATTCTTTCTCAGTCCAAGATTTGCGAAGACGCGGAACCATAACCTGGAAGAAGCTGTCAGCTTTTGAGGCATATCGACCAAAAAGACAGCACCAGAAATAAATTCGACTTACCAGTTCGTATTGGGCATTTCTCTCTCATTGATGCTTCCAAGCCACTTCGCAACATTATCCTTCTGTTTATCCGTCAAGGGATTCCACAGTTCATCAGGAGCCACAGCCAAAGCAAACCCAATCGGGCACATCTCTACCATCCGCTGATCAAGATCCTCGATCTCTCCCCAGAATTCAGGATGTTCCGGGTCTGTGCCATTGATAATTCCCTGGCGCCATCTTTCTGCTTCGCTATATTCATACCCGCCCGCAAGCAATGCCCCCAGGCCCCAGAGAGGGCGTGCAAAGCCCTCGATCTGAGCAGCGCCTTCATCGAATCTTGTCGTGGAGGTACCGATTTTCACTCGACTACTTCCTGGTGTAAAGTGAGGCACGAGAGGATCGAGCAGCGCGACGCAACCATCTTGAAAGTCGCTACGTGTGACGAATGGACATTTACTGAATGCTTGAGGAGGCGTTTTGCCGTTGGCTTGTACCGACATGATCACTGAATTGATATCGTCGTAGGTTCAATTAACTTGCACTAATTCATATAGAAAAAAACATAATGTTAAATAGCTCGGAAGATTCCTCATAAACAGAATATGTCGCTCGATACTGTAGAGCCGTCAGCGCGCAATAATTTTGACCCCTCCACCCCTCCGTCCTACGACAGATAATCTGCTCGGATATTACACTGCCGAAGCTCTAGGAGCTCTCACGTTGACCATTGTGCTGCAATGTCGATTTTCCCGCTACTTGCATATGCAGAATTCTGCTGACAATCGTAGATCTGTTGGTAGCTACATGGTGACTGGACATTGATCTTCCGCGTGAGGTAGGACAGAGAGGAAAGGACGGCCGCTGATTGATGGAATAATATCAATTTTTTGTATTTATCCGGAAATACTTCTTTGAGGTGGATATATAGAGTGCGGGGGGAATGTCCGCGACAGTTACTGAAAATTAGCCTGATTGGAAATACCCCTTGAGTTGATGTACATGCATGTATTCTTCTTAGCAGTTTCCATCCGTGGCTAGAAACATGATGTCATGTAACTTGCACACTAATTCTAGCCTGATATGGTCGGTCTAACATACCTAGGTAGATTATGAGGACTACGCTCTTGGATTAAATGTTCATGGCGTTTCTGCGTTTCATTGGCCGCTGAGAGCTCCGTGACCGCACGGTCTATACTTCGAAAAGTACTGGTAGATTTGGTGTGAAATCGGCGGGAGCTCTACTAGAGTCATCCATATCCTCATCAAAAATAGCAGAGGGATCTAACTTGTGAAGATCGAAGCATGCCAGGAAAGATAACTGCATAGGCACAGGAAACAACGATGTTGCTATTTCGCTTGAAATCTTGAACTGAGAGAAAATCCCCGATTCCATTTTGACATTAATAAGATAAACGCCGTCATTCTATGTCGAAATGTTTTTGATATCTCTAGGTTGATCCGATTCGAACGATCTCACTTTTCCGTAGTAGGTCTGACCGGGACAGTCTTGGACAACGGGGGCAGCCGGTTCCTGGCAGCTTCCCTTGCATTCTGAGCCATCAAGGCGTCAATGATAACGAGTGAAGACATCGCCTCGACAATCGGGACAGCACGTGGGACAACGCAAGGATCATGTCGTCCCTTGGCCTCCAACACGCCCTCCTCAAGATCGTAGGTGGCAGTGGTTTGAGCCTGGCCGATAGTCGCAGGAGGCTTGAAGGCAACACGGAAGTAGATCGATGCGCCGTTCGAGATACCACCTTGGATACCGCCAGAGTTGTTGGTCTTAGTCGTCAAGCGCGGCTTCTTTCCGGTACCTGCACCCGCCTCGTTCTCGGCAACCTCAGGTGCAACGATGAAGGGATCATTGTGAATAGATCCAGCAACCTCACAGCCCCCGAAACCAGATCCAATTTCAAATCCCTTGGTAGCTGGAATACTGAGCATGGCGTGGGCCAGCTTAGCCTCCAGCTTGTCGAAGCAAGGCTCGCCGAGACCGACTGGCACGTTTCTGATCACGCAAGTCACGGTTCCTCCGATGCTGTCCTGGTTGTCACGGAAAGTCTCAATCACCTTTTGCATTCGGTCAGATGCCTCCTTGTTGGGGCAGCGGACTGGTGCAAAGGAGTCGACAGTTTGGCGGTCGATCTTTTCGATGAGCTTCAAAAACTCCGGGTTTGTTGAAGACGAAGGATGTTCGGGGGTAGGAGGGAAGAGGTATTCATTGCCCACGGAAGAGACGAATGCCACGATCTCGACGTTGTGAGCCAGCTTCAGGTACTTCTCCGCAATGGCACCAGCAGCGACACGACCTTTCGTCAAAGTCAGCAACATGTCCCCGTCAACCAGACCTGCAGTTCATTAGCCCACGTACCGATGGTCTCACGCGCACTACTCCGTCCTCCACCGCTGCTGGCCTTGACACCGTACTTCTCCAGGTAAGTGAAATCCGCATGGCTGGGTCGCGGGTAGAGGTCCATGGTGCTGTTTCCGTAGTCCTTCGGCCTCTGATCCTCGTTACGGACGATCATACCGATAGGTGTTCCGAGAGTGACGCCAAACTCTGTCCCGGACTGGATCTCAACTCTGTCCTTCTCATTTCTGGGAGTCGTGAGAGCACTCTGGCCCGGTCTGCGGCGGGTCATCTGAGGCTGGATATCATCCTCCGTGAGTTCCATCCCTGGGGGACAGCCATCGACGATACAGCCGACAGAGCGGCAATGCGATTCACCATAGCTGAAAATATGTCAGTAGAGTAAGAGATCCCTAGGGTATTTCATGACGCACGTGGTGACTCTGAAATATTCGCCCCAAGTCGACATGGTGTCGGTTGTTCTGGGACCAGTTCGACTCGAATGACAATAGATAAAAGGCCGGCCAAGATTGAGAGGCGAATTGAAGCTCTCCCAAATGCGTATGTACAAAGAGAACCGGTCAGCTCTGATATATCCAGACAGGAAACAATCGAGTCATATTGCGGAGGGACAAAAAAGTCCGCGGGGCAAGGATTCTATTTCGGGGTTAGCGTGGAATTGGCCCGCCGACCTTCGGAGATCCGTCTTCTTACCTAAACCGGATATAATCAAGTTAGCTAGTTAACTTCAGATCGTAAGATGGATCGATACTCATAGGCTCGTCCTCTCTCAATGCTTCCATCGCGGCGACTACCATGCCTGCCATGGATTCTTCCAGCGCATGGCCCCCATAGGACCGTCAGGCCTGGCGTCTTCCTCCGGAGGAATTCGTCTTTTGCTTCCTCGCAGTTTCCGGAGCTCGCAAGCCGCGAATCGTCCCGGCATCAGATATATCAATCGCTGTCGACAGATCCCTTCGTGAACCTTTCCATTGAGCATTTCCTCCTGCAGAACACGCCACAAGATTCCAAGATCCTATTCCTCTATATCAACAGACCGTGCGTTGTCATTGGCCGCAACCAGAACCCATGGCTAGAGACGAACCTTGGGGTTCTGCAGCAGGATCGCATCGGCAACGGCGACGCAGAGACGGATCAAACAGACGATGTGCTCTACGTCCGGAGAAGGTCAGGTGGTGGTGCCGTTTTCCACGATGAAGGGAACCTGAACTACGGCGTAATCTCCCCGCGAGACGCTTTCACCCGGGATAAGCATGCGGAGATGGTGGTGCGAGCACTACATCGGATCGGGGCCACAAATACCAGCGTGAACGAGCGACATGATATCGTTCTCAGACAAAATGTTCCCGAAGCTATCAGACAGAGCTCAACCGCCACCGTGGAGGATCCACCAAAGGAGGCTTCTGCGCAGGCGCTCAAGATCTCCGGATCCGCATTCAAATTGACTAGATTCCGCGCTCTCCATCATGGTACATGTTTGTTGGACTCGCCCAATATTCGTAATCTAGGATTTTTCCTCCGGTCTCCAGCCAGACCATATATCAAAGCGAAAGGCGTGGAGAGCGTCAGGTCTCCCGTTGGGAACGTCTCTGCTTCGCTGGCCGATTCCCTAACTCCGTTCTCTATCCAAGGAGTAATGTCGAGCGTCATACAAGAATTCGGTCGACTATACGGCGTCAACCCAGATGCAATCCTAAGAGCGAACCGTGCTTGCCATACGAACGAACCCGAACTATACGCAGGAGATGACTGGGTGGCAGGAACAGTGGGGGATCCTCAGGCGTTGGACGTACCCGATATCCAGAAAGGCATTACTGAGCTGAGGGTGAGCACACATCTACGCTCATGAGAAGTGACAAAACAACCAAAAAGACTAACTCTGTTTTGCCCACCAACATAGTCCCTCGACTGGAAATACCTCCAGACACCCCAATTCACCTTTTCCACCCATCCGATTGACGAGGACCCACGTCCAAGACCATCTTTACCACCTACCCTTCCCCCATCGGTAAGATTTAACAACTGCCTTTCCTGCTGGAATTTTTGATTTCCGACACCCTCTCCCTAACATATCCTCCTCAGACACGAATCTTCCTCCGTCTCAAACACGGCTCCGTTCTCGAAAGTCACATCTCCCTATCATCCGACTTGGTCATAGCAGAGACACAGGCCCATCGTGTCCACGAGGCGCTGAATGGACGGAATTTGCACGAGCTCTCAATGCATGATTGGCAAGCAGCCTTGGAGTCTCTGCGCGAGTCTGATGAAGATGATGTAGATATAGCAGACCAGGTGCGCCACTTAGCAGAGTTTATCGGGACGAAATTTGGCGCGAGGTCATCGTAGAGATTCTCGTCGTGTGTAATGGAATTTGGATGAGTGATGGGGTTATTATAGAGGGCTTTCTTACTGATGGACATGTAGAATACTGTACAATACTAAATAATGGCCTATTTCCCACTGTGTACATATTCTATTTGCAATCTGTTACCTTGTACGAAACGAGATCTTGAGTACGAAATGACATACGGAAAATTCTTTATGCAATCAAAAAAAAAAAAAAAAAAAAAAAAAAAAAAAAAAACTCAATAGTCAGAAAAATAGCAAACATTCGCCAAATCCATCAAGTTGTGATAAGTATGCGCCATTCAAAAAAAACTCATCGGTCATTTTAACCCATCGAAACATGAACAGGTGCAGAGTCCGCCTTCCAAGAGCCAGCCGTTGTCTCAAAAATTGGAACCGAAACGGCTCCGGAGAGGCATAAGCGTAATCATACCGTAGGTTCCAAGTAAGTATGCACATGTCAAATGGAGCCGGCAGGTGCGAAGACATCCTATGAACCGAAGACCAGGGGCTCCAGGAGGGACTCTGCAGCTTCACCAACACGCCAAACAAATTCAAACTGCGCGAAAAAGGATATCAAAAATATGAAAAATAAGATAGAAACATGAATTTAGACAAGAAGGGTAATTCGTCTGGAATATCGCTGTCAAGGTGGACTGATTTATCTTGAAGATATCCGCTGTGGTACGGCCTTGCTGGATTTAACAGAAATATCGTCATCATCGATCTCACCTGTTCCCGCATTGACTACTCTGAGCTTCTCCTTAGGTACTGTGAAGGTCACTTGGACCAGTCTACCTTCTGCAGCAGCCTCGACATCCCAGTCCTCGTCATCCTCGTTAGACGTGTCTTCACCTCTAGAATGATGCATGGGGAACTTGACAGTCTGAGATAAGGAGCGGGAGGCCTCGCCTGAAGCTTCTTCGCCCGCACCCCAGTCCTTCGCCCCTCGTCTGCGTTTCAAGACAGCGGCAGAAGTACTGACGGCTCTTCGTGGTAGTTGATACTCGTATGTTGTCTCATTGGCTGAACCAGAGGATGTGCTCATCTGGTCGCCCGCAGCTAAACTTTTGTCAAGGTACCCTTCTTTGGCATCTCGTCCAAAGGCTTTGCGGACATTTCCTATCCAACTGAAAGCCTTGTCTTTCGTGCCACCCGAACCTTTAAGAACGGGCGATTCGGGTGGCGTAGCCCAGTCGGAGTCTCTACCAAGCAGGGATTCCCCTTCGGTTTGTGATCGTTGAAAGGATGTGTGTGCGGTCGTGAATGAATCAGCTGTTCGAGACTGCTCAAAGGGGAAGCCTATACCAGTATAGCTGCTTTGGTCCTGTGTTTGACTGCTAAAGGACCGAAGTGAAGCTCTCTCTGTAGAATGCGGAGTTTCGTTCATCTGTCCCAGATCCTGATCTAGCATAGCCATTCCAGACGACTCGCCGTGTATCGGAGGACTCTGATAGTCATCACTCCCGTCGTTCGGGACGATGAATAGAGACTGTGATTTAGATGACTCCGACAGACTATATGCTGTATTTTCATTTTTGCTTGGAGATCCGCTTCGAGCTTCGTCCGGAGAGCCATGACCGGACACAGACTCCCCGTCGCTCATCCAGCTTTGCCTGTTCTTCGTAGGAGATAATTGTAGCAATGGAGATGATGCTGGGTCTTTGAAAGGATCGCTCCCCTGTGATATCTGACTGTTGCGATTGCTCGCATCGTGACCTATTAGACCCTGCTGCTCAGAGGGGTGAGCTTCATATTCCTCTTGTTCATCAATGGGAGGGATGACTGCAGAGACACCTGGCCTTCTCGGCTCATCGCATTGTACTGCCGGTTGATAACGGTAAGGCCGGGAGTGCATGGATTTCCTGAGTCCACGCGTTGGACTCGGCACATCCACGAATGCCCCAGTTCCCTGGGCGTTGGAATTCTCAGCCTTATGCCAAGGGGGACCATCGCCGAAGCCCCTATTGCCAGTCCATGGGTAGGCATTCTCAGCGTAGATACCTAATGCATTTCTATTGCCAGTTTCTGAAATGGGACAGCGAATGCTGCAGGACATTTCTGGTTCGCTCCAGAAGTGATCACGCTCTGCTCCTAGGGCCAGCTTACGAAGCTCCCGATCCCTGGACCTTCTATAGGCTCTGCGTTTCCGGCAGCATAGAAGGAAAACTATCGCGATACACACCAGAGCAATTATACCCCCACCAAGTCCTGCTCCTAGCCCTATTTTTTGCGACTTGGATGAAAGCGGACCAGACTTTGAGCTGGGCTTTTGCTGGTGTTGTTGGTACGGATTAGTATATGATGATGACCAGGTATTGGATGTGATGTTGTAAAGATAGACTTGCGAGTTCGGAACAGGCTCGGACGTGGATCGCTTGTTAGATGAGGATGGAATTGAGTAACCTCCCACGACCATCATGATATCTCCAGGAAGTAGTGTTGCTCCGTGACCATAGATACCAGAGCCTTGAGGCAGTCCGTTTGCCCCCTGAGAAGGAACTTTCCATGTCCACGATCCAGTGCCACCATAATCTTCATCTACTTCGAGAATGGCCAATTGTGGGTTAGCAGCGGTGCTCGTGTCACCAACCCAACCACCAAACACGATAATCTTGCTTCCATCGGGCGAGAGAACAGCGGAATGTCCTGATCTTGGTTCCACTTCATCGATGCCACGAACTGCGAGCTCTGATCTCCCTGCATCTGGCTGAGCAACGTTGCCATAGGTCCAGCTACTCTCTGGGAGTGAGAAGACCGCGATTCCCGACATGTTGATGAATGCATTCTGAGTATGGCCGCCGATAAAAATGAAGCTCTGTTGCTCAAGTACTTCTCCCGTGGACGTATTCGAAAAGGCTACCGGCAACGGCGTAACAGTAAAGCCAGCTTCCGCAACTGGGGGTCCTCTCGCAGCGCTGATCTCAGCATCGTATATTGTATCCGTGTCAGAATCAGAGGGGTTTAAAACAACCATAGAACGGGAATAGTTGGCCGCGGAAACCCAACTTTCGCCGGACGTAGAGCTCCATGGGCACATCCCACCGAAACTGTACAGCGAGCTGGATGAACCATTGTACATCGAATATGCAAACCCAGCAGCCAGATAGGTTGGACCTGAGATCTGCCCACTTGCGGCTATATTGCCGATATCTATAGAAGACCTCGCCCACGCCCCGTCTCCTGTCAAACTGCTATTGCTTGGGGTGAACTGCCACACAGTTCCATCGCCTGCAGATGAATTGCAACTTCCCGCATAGATCTTCAGATTGCCCTCATTATCCATAACCGGTACAATAGCCCCGCCATCTTTGTCACTCGAAAAATGACCCGGCTGGGCTAGCGTCGAATATTGCGGGTTCCCAGCATCGATATTGCCAGAAAAGTTCAGAGATAGGAACTCGAATCCATTTGGAGAGGATGATTGCGCCTGTAGAATATAGGCGAGCGAATCGCGGTTCTGAGACGAGAGGAAAATGTGGGAAGGCGTATAAGGGATTGTTGCAGTGACCAATTGGCTCCAGAGTATCCAAAAGCCGCAGAAGATCTGGAAGTCCATGCCCAAGAACATCTTGGTTTTCGATTGCCTGTGGAGACTACTCAAAGGAATTCAAGAACAGTACTCCTCTTCGAGCTTATTGGATATTGTCAAAGCATTGGAATGTGTCGAGGGTTTAGCGGTGACGGTATGATATGCTGGCCACCTAGGTCGCGGGGCAAGATACAGACTGCGAGTATGTGCCCGTCTAGATCAGCCTTATCAACCGAAGTTGAAGTGGCCCTGTTCGGTCCAAGAATAAGACATGTACAAGAAGAAAACTAAGTGGAAAGTCGATAGAAGATAATGATGATAACAGCGATCGACCGTGCAGGGTGGGCCGTGGAGGAAATCGGAGGAGTAAACAGAACTAGTAGATCGCAGGCCTGGGCCACAACGCACGTTCAACACATCGTGCGCTCCTCGAAACGCTCCCATCTAACACGATACATACTCGCACGAGCAATAAGAGCCCAGACCGCGGGTTCGTGAACAGTCTCGTCGGCGGAACAGCCCAGGGCCACGAAGGAGTGTAAACATCGCCCGTTGCAATGGCAACACAATCCCGTGACTCGTCGAACCAGTCCCGTACCGCTCCTTATTATGATCGCAACATGTGGTTTATTATCGCCTTTGGAAAAGTCTTCATTATTATGGTGTGTTTGCCGTTAGAATAATATCGTGACTTATTTATGATCTGATATACTAGGCTGAATTCTGGCATGTGTCCATCAAGCATGGCAGCATTCCTACCCGCACGTTTTAGTTTCCACCTTCTGGTATGCTACTAGAAAACTGGCATATTCAGAGTGGCGTGGAGTCCTAGTCAAGCTTCGCTCCCAGATCCGGGTGGTTGCTCATCAAGATCAAGCAGTGTTCTTCAACTCCTCGTAGTACCATATTTGTGCGTCTGAAATCCCATATCCATGGGTCTAGCGTGATATTTCACGCTCTTGCACTTCGAATTATACGAGCAGAGCCTTCAATAGAATGAATACTGTTAGGGAGGCGAGAATGCATAGGCGCGAATGCACTAGCACAATCGTTCATTATTTTGGATCTTCTCTTAACGCGGGGGGGCGATGCTAGGTGTGGTTCGTTCTCTTATCGGTTGGTCCCGAAGTTCTATCAAGTTATGCTTGGTGGGAACTTTCACGATTAATGCAAGTCTTCTCCATAGAACCAGAGATCGCTTCCGGAAGACTCGGGTTCTTTCATACTGGCTGCATTTGGCCTATTGTATCCTGGATACTGGAGAACCATGTGTCGCATGTACTTATAAGAGGCCCCTGCGCTAGCGTCGATGGAACCGTCGGACCTCCGGGGATGGTCATGAAACTGGATAGCTGGGACGGTGGGTTATACTCTATGACTATGTCGGGCAGACATGCTCGTGTTAGTAGTCTTAGTAGTCTTGGAGTGAGTAACCTGGGCGGAGTACTCAACTCCGCATTATGTCGATTATTGCCCCAGGTCCTCTCCATCTAGCATAGTTCTGCAAGGGCGAAAAGGGCCGAGCAAAAAAATAACTCTCGACAAAATAGGAGAGCGACAGTCGCTTGGGCCCTCGATGAGCGTAGAGTCTTATGCACGTCAGAAATGGCCTCTTTCTGCTACTGGCTAGGTCGGACAAGGGTCCAGGCTGGGCCTTTCGATCCGAGGATGTATAATCCCAAAGCAAGTCGTCCATTCAGACCATCGAATCGACGACGACAGCCTGATCAAACAAGCTGCGGCAATAAGCATCAACCACTGTCACCAGATAGGTCGTCCAACCAGCAGATTAGTCACCCAGTGCCCTGCTGCTCCTGACCACTGACGATCCAGGCAGGGATTCGAGTGGCGCAGGAATATGACAGATCCAAAGTTGATTGTCCGTGGGCATGGATTCACCTAGCATCCTATTACCATATTGCTGCATCTGCCGTATTGACTGGGAGCTCTCGCTCTCTGCGTCTGCCGTCAAGCCATGGCAGCTCCTGGTATTTTCCTTTCTGGGTCAGTCGCATAAATCCCACAACGTCTCATCATGACCATGGATAACAATTGCCCATGAACACCAAGTAACATCTGGTGCACAGTCCAGCCCTAGAAGAACTGCTCCCAGATACCGTATCGCATCCGGGTAAGAGCATACATAACTCGAAACATCAACTGAGATCCAATGACTTCGTGTTTGTCTCCTTCAGACTTTGAACATCCCCAACAGTCCCTGAAGGAAATCCATGGATGGGTTAGAGTATCGAAGGGTATAGATAGCCAAGAGGCTCGTGCTTGTTTGCCATCATCGATTTCATGATGTCCGCGACGACGGTCATGACGGGCTCGCACCTTTGGTGACGGCATCAGCTGCAGGAGAGACCGGATGCGGATTAGTGCCCGCTTTAGCGTCTCTGCTGATGATGAGGGGCAATTTCTCTGTGGTCCGTGCGTTCTAGATTCATTTCACCATGTATACCATACCTAGTTATCAATTTATTAGTTCTCGAGTCAGTGCCACGCATGCGAAGAATATGGGGAAGAAGAGACAACAGCATTACGGGGGACGCTATATCGACAAGGGCCCCGGTAGAGAGCCTCTGATCATGTAGAGGGGAATGCATGTGGATGACCACGGGTTAAATGCTCCAGCAAAGCACTACTATATCGAGGACTCTCTCCGTTTCCTGACTGCCCGATGGTGATTTCTTGACACTCGCGGAAGGGAAAGGAAGAGTTCAGGTCACTGGAATCCAAGGGATCGTGGATGCTAAAGCATGGGTGAAGGTGCCAGGAAAGGCAAGAGTCTGCGTTGACATGCATAACATGGCACGAGAAGTCAATGGATGATCCCATCTCGGCGACCGATAGCCGAACCGTCAGCTTGAGAGAGCTTCCTGGAATGGTCGCTAATCGTGAGACCTTGGATTTGCTCGAATCCCGGTTCCTATGGTATACCGTCTAGCCCTGACGTAGCGCCATCTGGAGAAGACCCGCTCATGTTTCACGGCGTCAAACGTCGGAGGTTGTATGGTAGATGTAGGACAAAGCGTTGACGAAGTGCTGTATAAGGCCCAAAGCACTTATTTTTCCGATATTACTATCGACGGGGTTGGGAGCCCCTAACCCCTTCGTTTACGTCTGATTGAGCGCTTGGAATGGAAGCTCAGCGCTAACCGTAAATCACTTCAGAGGTGCACCCGGGTCGTTGTTGTTGTAGAGCAGCACATGTAAGAATGTGCCAAAGTCTCATATCCCCTTTTGGTTCGTTGCATACTGAATCCTCCGAAATACGGTTGCTGATGTGAGGTTGGGCGTCTCGAAATGTCTGGAGATTTGATTCTGGGATTCCGCCACCCCAGCTGTGACGGCAGAACCCTCGAAATACCCTCATAGACAAGAGAGCATATCCGTCAAACCAGCCATGAACCCTCGAATCAATGCAGCACAACGAGAGGAACCGTGCGCCAAGACCCAAAGGTTCGTAGCCAGTGGAACATCAACATTGCTAACTTTACATTAGTGTTGTGGCCAAGCGGGAAGAGGTATGTTCAAACGCTCTTCAACTCGGGATCAACGCTGGGGCCCAGACCCATGGACGACGAAAACGAAACGGGCAGTGACCTGTACGACTTGGCTGACAATCAAAGGTCGCGAAGAGGTAGTTAGACGATGTAAGTTAGCTGTGGGCATCCGAGACACCAAGGAAAAGTTGCGGATGACGGACGAGATTGACTGGGCAGTCTTCGACGTAACCGATAGTCAGTTAGGCGATAGCCGTGCTGGAGCCGCCACCCACGAGCATCTTCTCCAGCCGTTTCGTTTCGTACTGTCGAGTCCCATCGCGACGTAAGAGGAGTCTACCATATGGCATAGAGGACCAAGGCCGCAGAACGAATGGACTGCTTGGACAACAAGTAACTAGTAGTTGTGCTCGAGTGGCAGCAAAGATAACTTCTTCTCGCCCCCAGGGGTCCATCCACGTCGCCCACGGACCATCTCCGGAACGGCGACCGAGGGCGCACGCTCCAGTGCCGTCGCCCAGCCTTTACCCACTGCAGCAGCGCCGGTCCATTCCCATCCCCATCGCCTGACAACCTCAGTTCGCTTTACGCTTTCTCTCCTGGCTCCTGGGACATTCAACCACGCCTCTTGATAGTCACTTTTTCTCGAGTCTTTTATTATCGACGCTCCCTTGGCTCGTTCTCTGCAATTTTCGGCCGTTTCAGTTTTTGTTCTCTCATCCTGGTCCCTTGCTGGCTCTTCAAGAGTTGTACCCCTCCAACGCAGCGTCATATATTGCCAGCCTGCCGTGCATCTGGCCCCGACCATTTAAACGACCAACATATCGCCTGCGCTTCCCTCGAGACTCTGTATTCTTTTCTTTCAGTTCATAGTGACTCCCGAGACAATACACAATCCCCGTACTCGGCCGGTGACTGCTACAACTGCCACGTTTCCCGGTCTTGAGATACAGGTGGTCAGGATTGAGGGTGCTCTGGCTGGTCTATCGCCCTGAATCGATTGCCACAGCCCGCACCACTGGCACGGGTCCACGCGCGAGGCAGCAATGTTCCTTGCGTGAGATACAATAGCAAAGGAATGACGGTTTTCTCGTGATCGTCTGCCGGACTCCTCTTTTCTCTGTCCCACCACGGGTCCAGGTTCGACGTCGACGAACGGAAAACAACATCTCGGACTCAAAGAATGCATAGAAGGAGCGCCAGGAACAAATTGTGAGACAGTGAACGAGATGAGGACATCCCAGCGGCATGATTCCAGGCCTGACGTGATGGAGTCGGCCCCTGATCATCCAGACAACGCATCTCGTCACAGTCCCGTTGGAAGCGAGGACGTTGCAGTCTCATCAGATTCGACAACGTGTGCCACACCGACTGCCAGGCAGATCACTGGCAAGCCAGCCGCGTCTGAGGATTTGCGATCATCACACCAGCATGGCTACCATTATCCCCATCACTCTGCCAGTGGGTCACGGCTGTCTTCAGCGAAGACGTCGTCAAGTTCCTTGCAGGCTCTGAATGAGGATGTTGTGACGGATGCCCGCTCTGATAACAGCAGTATCATGCGGAACCCTCTGGTACAAAGAGTGGCTCAGCAGTTTGGACAATCAGCAGAGCCACTTGCGCCATCGACACAATCAGTGAATACATCGGGCGACTTCCCTGTGTATCCTGATCAATCATACGCGGTTTTGCAGTCACAGGTTCATCCGACGCCGTACCCTTTCCTACGCTCGCGGAGCTCATACCCAGTACATAGCGATATTTCTGCACGTTATCCCAATGGCCGTGGCGCTCGCACCGCTGGAAACACTCCGATCTCCAGTCCAGGCTTGTTTTCTTCGAGGAGTTCTAGGTCTACCCCGCCTTACGCTTCTGATGATGAGGGCCGTCTCGGCAGTCCGTATCTACATCCCACTCATCTTCAACCACCAAAAGAGTAAGTAAAGCTATTTGCATCCCGGAGATCCAACTCATGCTAATACTTTCCCGTCTCAGGACACATACAGTAGAAGTAGATCGCGACGTCAACACTGGAAACAAGCTCATCAACGAATATGAAATCCTAGAGGAATTGGGACGTGGTGAACACGGGAAGGTCAAATTGGGTCGTCACGTGGTCACAAAACAACAAGTTGCGATCAAAATAGTACAGCGATACTCGAAAAGACGGCGTTTGGGCAAATTGGGCAATCCTGAAGATAAAGTCAAGAAAGAGGTCGCTATCCTCAAAAAGGCTCGTCATCCAAACGTAGTCAGTCTGTTGGAGGTCATCGATGATCCCAACCGTCAGAAAGTCTACATCGTTCTGGAATATGTGGAGAACGGGGAGATCGTTTGGCGAAAGAAAGGGCTGCGGGAGATTGTGAATGTCGACAAGCGCAGACTCGAGCGTGAGAAAAGGGGAATCCCCGATTCGCCCTCCTTCCTCGAGGAAAGTCTACAATATGTCAGGACCGCACAATTGCAACGTCGACAAAGGGAACGAGCCCGTGCAAGACGTAATGCCCAAACACTAGCCCTTCAGGAACAATCGATTCCTGCTTGGAGCTTGGAGCACGGAGGCGAGTCAGATGATGAGGCAGGGCCAGAAAATCTACCGTCGTCTAGCCGGACGATGCTCAGCGAGGACCACTCGGTCCATTCTTCGCCCAGTCATTCTTATACGTCTACCTCCGATCTCGAGCGCCGCATGCGGGAAGCAAGCTTGGCTGCCATTGAAGGAAGCATGTATGGCCCTTATGCATCGGATCACTATTACGGACGGCGTTTTAGCACCGCCTCAAGTAATCTTGGATACGCATCTTCAGAGCCAGATTGGCTTTCCGACGATGATGACTTGTCTTATGTCCCGTGCCTCACCATGTCTGAGGCGCGTAATGCTTTCAGAGATTCCGTGTTAGGACTGGAGTATCTCCATTACCAGGGAATCATCCACCGCGATATCAAACCGGCCAACCTTCTGGTCACGGCCAATCACCGGGTCAAGATATCTGATTTTGGCGTGTCTTACCTGGGTCGGCCTATGCGGGACGATGAGGAGGAACAGGTGACGGAGACTGATGCTTCTGAGCTTGATGATGCTCGAGAATTATCCAAGACTGTTGGCACACCGGCTTTCTATGCACCGGAACTCTGTTATACTGGCGACGATTTCGTGAGCGCCATCGGAAATGTACCTAAGATCACTGGAGCCATTGATGTGTGGTCCCTCGGTGTGACTCTCTACGGCATGATATTCGGACGGCTTCCATTCATGTCTGACGATGAGTTCAGCATGTTTCAAACTATTGTCAAGCAGGAAGTTTTCATCCCACGGAAACGTCTAAAAGCTGTCGAGGAGGACACATCGTCTACCAACCCCCACGACCGCAATCATATCATGAACTGCAACAAGCGCACGGAAGACGAACTTGTTTACGAAGACATTGACGACGAGCTTTATGATCTCTTGAAGCGACTGCTAACAAAGGACCCCACAAAACGAATTACACTAAAGGAAATCAAGCATCATCCTTGGGTTCTCCGTGGCTTGCAGAATCCCCGAGCATGGATTGAAGAAACAGATCCCGGATACCAGAGCAAAGGCAAGAGGATCGAAGTCTCGACTGAAGAAGTCACGACTGCAGTCAGCAAAGTTCCCTTCATCCAACGCGTTCGATCGAATGTGGCTAAATGGTCTGGATATATTACTGGAAGGTCCAGAGAAGGGCGGAAACGCGCCACGAGCAATGCCACATCAGCCGATAGCGCGGCTTCGGCCTCATCGTCTGGTAGCCTTTGGAGAGATTGGAGCCAGGTACGGCGCCAGAGCCTACGAGGCGACGAGGAGCCATCCCGTTTGTCAAGATTCGGTCGCGAGAGTGACCATCCTCTATCCCAGAGTGTCACTGCCAGCCCAGATGGCCAGGAAGATCAACCCTCGTATCTCCCGATTTCCAGAACCAACACGACGGCTTCCGCAGATCAGACGCCTCGTCCTCCCCCTCCTCAACGAGCGACTTCTAGCTTGTCCAGTACGGAATCTACAAAAACGGTGAGAGCATCTGACCCTGAAAGTACCCCTTCAGTGCAGCCTCGAGCGTCTACGCCCTCATTTACCGAGAGCTTGGGGGCATCCAGTATCAGTGGTATCTTCAGTGGAGCCGGCCGGCGACTTGCCAAAAGCTTCCAAACTGGCGAATGGCGTCCGGAGCGGTCACGGTCCGCGGACAGAGTGTCTGTGGACGGTGATGCTCGGTCAGAGCCGAGTCTCGCATTGAGTGTGGCTTCTGCCAGAGGCGAAGTGCAGGCTACTGATGTACAACGGGATGAAGCTAAGAGTCTACGCCAGCCAGCCTCAAGCGGATCGGTGCATCGTCGCCACAGGTCTCATCAGCTTGCGTACGGCTCTTCGGTCGAGTCATTCCAGCTTGCAGAAGCTCTTCTACGTCAGAAAGTACACGATACTGAACATAATACTAATGGTGATTGTCCCGTGTCCAGGCCGGGAAGCGAACTACCCTCAGACGACTTTCGGGTAGAGAACGATGAAGTTCACCGCAAGAAATCTGACAGTTCCCAGGATGAGCAAGCTGAGTGTGGTACCTCCCAGGATTCCAATGGTGGCCTTACTACTTCTCCTCCGTCTGCCACCACTATATCCTCGTCTGTCGACGATTACAATAGTGGTATCTCTCAGAGTGCTTCTCACCGCAGCATTCCTTCGGTTCTTTCCCGGGCTTCTTCTCTTTCCGGCGACATCCCCCCTGTGAAAGAGAAGGAAGCGGAGAAGTCATGTCATGTGCCTGCCATACTTCGTACTGGGGATACAGTGAAGGCCATAGACATGTCGTATCAGCGTTCCCATGAAGACGATGAGTCGAAATACTATTGCGACGATGAAGAGGACGATTCAGAAGATGAGGGAATCGTATTTGGCAGAAAGACAAACGCGCGTCGCGATGTCAAAATAAACAAGTGATGCGTTATCGACGTGGTTTCCAGAGTGAATGTCCAGTCTAGCACTTGCACGTTCTCACAGCATCTTCGTGTTCCTTCGCCAGACCGGTTACTGGAGGGGAGAAAGAAAGACACTTCTCGCGGGAACCTATGTCCTGCTACTCTCAACCTGGTCGATTCTCGCGCGATTTGCGTCATATCTGTCACCGCGGAGAATCTCCTACTGTTGTCGTCTTACCGTCAACTAGGTCATTAGCCCGATGTATAGTGTGCATTGCGTTTTGACATACTTCTGGCTCGCTTTCTTTTGGTCGTTAACCCGAACTGGGTTCTTCACTCTGCGATCTAGATTTTTTTTCAAGTGTTCTTGTTCTATTTCTGGACTTTCGGACATTTAGATTTCCTTATGATGACGTATATTCTGTTTCGCCTGTATATATACTTCCTTGAGATTCGTCTATACTTTCTTTCGATGTCTCGGCGTTGGTTATCTCTTTAAAGCCTAGGGAAAGGCGGTTGTTCATTGTTCAGTGACTGATCTGCGTTTCCCGCGGATCCTGGGATGCTTGATTTTATGGGACGTTATTTCTGAGACTACATGTATGTAATTCCATTTACCCCCGATGGATTGGGCTTGGCCGTTGGATAATCGTTTCTGCGGGACGCATTGTCCTGCATGCGCATGTGGAGACGATCATGGATTGTGATTTAACGACTTGGAAGACTCGTTTTATTCTCAGACTGCCGCTATACGGATGAGGAACGAGAAAAATCTTGCTTCAATCTTCCTTTGCTCCGCACAAACGAGAGCAATAGGCAGCGTCCTGGCCTGGAGCCAAGGTAGCGAACGATTTCACAAACCCCTATAGAAAGAACTACTGACCTTTAACCAATGCGGGATTGGCCTACATGTACAATAAATTTCTAGTAGTGCTACTGCAATTGGGACAAGTTTCAAAGGAGCCAGCAGTTCCACCAATATTTTAAGTTCAGAGAAGATGTTTCCAACCTTCAGCGATCATATAGTAGGACACCATGGAAATTCTGAATCTTCTTTTCCTTTCTCTAGAAGTGGGTCCTGCTTTCCTGGATAGCTTGGCCGATAGACTAGCGAGCGTTATTATTTTGATCCCAAGAGATATTATTCTTAGTATTCTATGGTAGAGTTTCCCGCAAAAACTATTTCCGCCTACCATTATCCTGCCCGCATTATGGGGCCAGCTTTGTGTCTTTCTGACCGGAGGACATCATTCTATTGTGAGGAACGTGCGAATTACAAGTATACTCTAAATGATAATGGCTTATTTAGCCGATTTTCGGGACTGGATAATATCCGATATAGAGTTCTCTCCTTTCACATATAGGGATAATTTGAATCTCTCCCGGAGTTGAAACATATAGACTGTAGATTTCCGTCATATAATAGTAACGAGATCGCATGCGTCGACGCGCGAATCTACGTGGTATACATACGTACAGTACCTACATAGTCCAAATAACCGAACTAGCTTTGTCCACTATATCAAATAAAACATGCGGATCCGCAACATCATCCCATTCTCGCTTCTATTCAATACTATAACCGCTCGGCTTCGATACCGCGGAGCAGATATCTCATCTCTCTTAGTCGAGGAGGCCGCCGGCATTATCTACGATGACATTGATGGCCAGGAATTACCGCTTGAAACGATCCTTGCGCGACATGGAGTCAATTCGATCCGGCAGCGGATATGGGTCAATCCGGAAAACGGGACCTATGGTCTTGAATATAACTTGAAATTGGCGAGGAGGATGGTCCAGGCGGGGATGAGTGTTTATTTGGATATGCATCTTAGCGATACGTGGGCGGATCCGCAGCATCAGGTTTGTAGTGTTTTCTTTTGATTCATTCCTATTAGTTATTAGTAATGGATGAGAGGTTCTAAATAAAACTGGCCTGGGAGGGGGTTTTATGTCCGAGTTTGTATAGAGATAGGATACATAGCTCACAAGTCAACAGACCACACCTGCAGCCTGGTCAACAACAGACATCAATGTCCTGACAGCACAAGTCTACAATTACACCCTCTCCGTAAGCAACGCATTCGCAGAAAACAATCTACCTCTCGAGATAATCTCCATCGGTAATGAGATCCGTAACGGCCTCCTCTGGCCTCTCGGTTCGACAGACCACTTCCACAACATCGCAACGCTCCTCCATTCCGCCAGCCAGGGGATCAAAGACTCGAAGCTCAATCCCCAGCCTCAAATCATGATCCATCTCGATGACGGCTGGGACTGGGACGCTCAATCGTACTTCTACAGTACGGTTCTTAGTGAAGGCCCGCTCACCGACTTGGACTTTGACTTGATGGGTGTTTCATATTATCCCTTCTACGGATCGAACGCTACTCTGTCTGCATTGAGGGATAGTTTGAAGAATATGCATTCTACTTTCAAGAAACCCGTCGTTGTAGTCGAGACTGATTGGCCGGTATCGTGTCCGAGTCCGGAGTATGGGTTTCCTGCTGATTTAGAATCGATTCCTATATCGGTGAAGGGACAGGAGATCTTTGTGGAAGATGTTGCTGATGTGGTTAGAGATACGGAGGAGGGGTTGGGGATTTATTATTGGGAGCCAGCGTGGGTGGGTAATGCTGCGTTGGGGTCGAGTTGTAGTGACAATTTGATGGTGGGTGATAATTCGACTGCTAGATTTAGGGAGAGCGTGAAGGTGTTTGAGCAGATCTAGTTAAGCTTTGTTCTGGAGAACGCCTCTTATTGTCCCTGGTTTGGGAGAACCTGGTGTCAAGAGAGGCATGCCAGGGCTTATCTAGATGTTTTGTTTAGGGGACTGTGGGATGCGAAGGGTGGGAAGTATGTCTGATTGCACGTCGTTACAATCTAATCGAATGCTGGGATGGATGGATAATCTCATTGAAGTATATACCGGATCTGGTGGACTAATCATCTAATGATACCTAACCTTCTAGATATTTGAATCGCATCGTCATCAAGCGCTTTTGCCATTATCCCAACTCTTCTGATATCCATGCAATTGCAACGCAAACACCCTTCCAGATACTTACTGATGCCCCTAAAACTAGTCCGTGTTCCCAAGAGCCGTTTATTCTTAGAAGGGAATATAGTTTCATCATTGACCCAAGCACCTGCAGTCCTGCACAGCCTCACGGCTGTGCTGAAGCCACCCAACCCCTGCAACTTCACATTTCAGACAAAGTACATGAGAGCCGCGTCTCATGCTCAACGAGTAGAATATATCGCTGCTAGCAATGCAGGCTTTAATGTTACCTTGGCGTCTGACGGACTCGGTCGAGCTTTGTCGATCCTATCTACGCGTCGACGGACTTGATACTGCTAGGTTACTGCTACCTGCATCCCTAGCATGATCTTCGCGTGGAACGATAATTATAGCACAAAAGGCCGGCTGATCGCATAGGCGAGAAGGATATCGTATCTGCCATCCGATCTTCATGATTACGTCGAGTAATGATGTTTCGTTGTCCAGTTGTCAATAAGTTAGGGCTCGGGCCGGAAAGCCTCCATATGCGCGGTGATAATCAACGCGGTTATTTCTCTAGGCAGCAACATTAAGGCAGATCACATATTCGATACTCTGGCCTGCATCGCAAAGGGGACAAAACACGTATCTGCTGGATGCGTGTCTCATAAGTCAGATAGTCTGCTGTTCGGGAGAAATTCCGTATCTGTGCTGCACCGATTCTCCACCATGATCCGAAAATATCTGGAGAAACAAGACGATCTCAGATGTCAGAGACTCAGAGGAGCGGACGAGAGAAAAGCAAGGCACCACAGTAGCGGGTGACGCTAGACTTGTAGACTGTGACGACGATGGGTGCTATGTGTGCTTTGAATGGTGGATTTGCTCGTTCCTTATCGGGATTCTGGTCAGCACTATTCACAGTTTACCCCAGGGAGAAATCTCGGTATGTAGTTAGAGTAGTGATGGATGATGAATGACAATACCCAGTAGCACAATCCAAATTGGTCTATTATTATTAACTAGTTACGATCTACACCGCGAATGGTGGACGCTAGAAGAGGGGGAAAAACCGCCCAACACCGATGATCGCATGGCCGCGTTGAACTACCGAGCGCTTCGAGGATCGTGTAAGGCACTGTGAAGCACAATAATTGGTTGGGATGCGCCTGTTCCTGTTGGTCTTCAGCAGCCCAATCCCTTCGTATTCGTAAGGCATGTACCATAACTCAGTCTGGTCGAGTATTAATATGTACGTACATACTTTTTCTCGTAGCGCCCAGAGAGGAGAATGCCATCAAGGGTCTGAGGTAATGATCAATCGTCACAGTGGAACAAGACACTAACTAGCTAACGAAACGATCTTCTTAACTAAGGTTATCTGAACGGAAAACATTTTTTCCTCTTTTCGCGTTTTGCGATGCGGGCGCCGTCAGGATTCCCAAGAGACAGTCTTGCGTTCCGGAGTTGGCCTGATCGACTAAAGTTAGAGTAACCAATTCACGCCTGAGATCAACCCTCGACTTTCTCCCGCGACTTCATCCTCCATTCCTCCTCACGATCGTCCCCCTGGTGCCCCCCCATCCCAAGAGAAGTCAGGGCTCCAGACGATCCCTGGACGCTGCAATACCGATCTGCTTAGATATCTCTTCTTATTCAACCGTCACGTTTCACTTTCTCTCACCGTCGCGTTTCCTTCGTGGGGTTGAATCGGCGAAGCGCATCGCCCACTAAGAGCCCTTTCCCGCTTTCGCGCTCTTCTTTACCCCCCATTGCCACGATTGTTACTATTACAGCTCATACCGCGCATCGGATCTCTGCACAAGTGATAGACCGCAGTGGATACGGAATCAGGTACAGGCTGGAGGCTATCTGCGAAGGTGAAACATCCGGATCTCGACGGCTGATGCTTGCGCCCCAGGCAGACTCGCGAGGTGCACTTCGCTCCCTTATCACTATCAGCGCCCGCGAATGAGTTGTCGGGCCTCCGCCAGAGCCATTTCGTCGTTGTACCTGCATTATTGAGACGACTATCACTTCATAACCTCTTGCGGCCCTTGCACGCCGAGTCATCGTCAGGACTATAGGTCCCGCTTTCCGCGTGCGCTCGCCCGCGATCTGATCCCTCCTGGTCCAAGCTCCTACTTTATCATATTCTATTCTAGGATACTGCATCGTCAGTCGCAATGGATTCGCAGGATCAACAACAACAGCAGCAACGGGCACGATCCCTCTCAACGGGGGTTCAAAACCGGAGCCTCAGCCCGTCCTTTCCCCCGCAGTATCAGAACACCTCGTCCAGTCTCAGGATTGATCCCGCCCTCACGGCTCAGGCCTTCCCTGCTGGAACATTCAATGCGAATCCTGTGTCCAGCGCAGCTGATTCCTATAACTTTGCTTCTGCATACCTGGACACCCCCCGGTCTGCAGAGGGACAGTTTGCGCAAAACCAGGGATATGCGCCGTCATTCGACTCTGGTTTCGTAAATCAGCTGGAGCAACCCGGTCAGAACACCGGCGCAGGCGAAGAGAACTTTTCCAACTTGCTCAACTCGGACCAATCGAGTTTCGATTTTTCTCTGTACCAGAATAACCCTGGGGAGTTCGATCCATCTTCACTTCTCGATCCACAGATTCAGCAATCGCAGTCTCCAAATCAGTCTGTGAACCCTGCTGATCTTGTCAGCGCCATGTCATCTCCTCACAATCCTACCTCGCCTCATCACCTGCAGCCGGACCAGCACTCTTCTCCAGGCCCCGCGTCACCGCCGTCTTCGAACCCGGGTAACTACTACCATCGCTCCCATTCGCGCCATACGTCCCTAGATCCGGCAACTGCAGCCTATATGACCGGCCACCCACAGTCAGACTGGCAAGGAATGCTAGGAAACCCAGCTTTCCAGGGCCACAGGAGAGCCCCGTCTGAACACTCGGAAGTATCGTCAGTAACACATTCCCCTTACATGTCTCAACATGAATCGTTCGATGCCATCGAAAACAATCCATCACCGCTCCTGTCAGCGCAAAATGATCCCACTCTCTACGATAATGCGTTGGGAATCGAGTCTTTTACTATCTCGGAGCAACAGCAACATGGCTTTAGCCCGGGTCATAGCCCTTACATATCTCCGCAGCTGGGCCCGCAGCAGACTTTGGATGTTGGGCTGGATACGCAATTCTTGGCGTCCAACCAACTGAATCAATTTCCGTCCCCGTCGACTGATATGTATCTCGGGGGTGACGGTTCAATGGCAAACATGCAAGGAATAAGTGCTGCGGAGATGGGACAGGCAACACAGATGGCGCCGCCGTCTATCAATGTGGAGTTTGCACCTCCTTCTCGGAACCCTAGTTTTGGCCCGGGAAAACCGCCTGCCGATATGGATGCTCTGAGCCCTCCTACTATCCGTGAGATCACTCGTTTATTCAATGTCACTATCGGCTGTTTTGCTGACCAGGCACAGGTTTGCGAGGACGTAGTAAATCTGACCCCTTTGGCCGTCAAATGACCCGGCCCATGACATCTAGTTCTCTGTCTCCGCATCTACAACCTCAGGCCTCATCTCCAAGATCCCTTTCACCCTTGGATCCCTCTCCGCGTTCCCATAGTAATCCTGGATCACGTGACCAATCGCCCTCTAAATCCGCGAGACGACAGTCCACCTCGTCCCTCGATAGCCGTAGCTATCTCCTAGATCTTGCAGATCCACAGCGTCCAGGAGCTGCTCCCAGTGACTCGAAGCGTACACAGAAGCACCCAGCGACATTCCAATGTACGCTCTGTCCCAAGCGTTTCACCCGTGCTTATAATTTGCGCTCTCACCTCCGTACTCACACGGACGAGAGGCCTTTTGTTTGCACTGTCTGCGGGAAAGCATTTGCGCGCCAGCATGACCGCAAAAGACACGAAGGCCTTCATTCAGGAGAGAAAAAATTTGTCTGTCGCGGGGAACTTGCACGGGGAGGTCAATGGGGATGCGGCCGTCGTTTTGCTCGTGCAGACGCTCTTGGGCGCCATTTTAGGTCCGAAGCAGGCAGGATCTGTATCAAACCACTGCTCGACGAAGAAGCTCATGAGCGCGACCGTGTATTGATGGAGCAGCAACAGCAGCAACAGCAGGGTCATCTCCAGCCTGTGCCTCAACCCATGATTATTCCCGGTATGGATGGCCAACCTACGGGTGGCTTTACGCTTCCTGCCGCGTTGCTGGCTCAGTATCCTGCATTGCAGACTTTGCAGTGGGACCAGATTGCTCCAGCGGCAGAGGATCCTAACGACATCAGCGGACGTAGCAGCTTTGATGCTAGTTCTGGTGGCGAATTTGGATACGACGATGATGATTCTGGCCTCAATAGTGGCTATAACAGCAATAGAGGATCAATGTACGGAGTCAACCAAGGCCAAATAGCCTATGGGATGAATGACTGGGGCCGTGCGCAGTGAGATAGCGAAGCCCCCCTGCCTATGGTTAGGCAATCCTTCTGATGCATTTCATTAACTCTATACCGCTGCGGGTCTGTCGGTGCCTTATCCCGTTCCATGCGGGGTTTTCTACGAAACACGCCCCATTTACTTTTTTGTCTCTGCTTCCTCAGAGGAATGGATACCATATAGAAAGATTCTGCGGCGTTACTTCTGGAGTGGAAAACAACGGGGTTGATTTGGATATGCTCATCTTGACGCCTTTTTTGGGTTTAAGGTTACACTCTGTTCGTGTTCTTCTCCTCCATTTTATTTTTCTTCTCTTTTTTTGGTATCTATCCCCCTGTCTTCTGATCAGTGATGAGTTTTCCTTACGTCGATTTCACGGGATTATGACGATTTCATCCCTTCATACCCCAAGGACCTTTTTTCTTCCTTTCTTCTTCTCTTTATTGCTTCCTGATATCGAAATACCCTTTTGACTATGTCTCAGAAGAATATAGGAGAGATAGCATCTATGTTTCTTGCGGTATGTTTTGGAAAAGGAACCACAGGTCGTTAATCGATAGATTTATACTGGTAACACAGCCCGGTACTGTGCTCGGGTTTTTTATCGTTCTTTTACCATATAACATAGTCTTATTGGACAAAGGTTCCCTGAAGACGAGTAGCAACGTATTTACTAGAGCACCCGTTTAGGAACATACGCAGGGGAACGAAAGGGGGTATACACATAAAACTACCATATCATCCATCAACACAGCAAAGAACACGACGAAGGGACTAAGATCCGCATCGCTCCCCCGAACCATCTCTTCCATCTTTCGAGGGTCTTATGAATACAACACGATATGATACGAAAAGATACCAAAAGCAAGAGCAAAAGTTGGAATCTCTGAGCGACTTCAGAGAGATGATAACAGAAGAGGGATATGAAAGAAGTCAATTCCGATACGATACTCTATCGACGAGTCCGCTTAGTTCTGAGGGTTACGAGCTTCTCTACTTCGGTGATCCACTTCCGATCGAATTCCTCCTCCGTGAATCGTAGGGCGGATTTCCTGGCGCGCTGGCGCATGGCTACTTTTTCTTCCTCGGGTAGAGCCAGGGCGGCTTCGAAAGCAGCGGCGAATTCTTCTTCTGTAGTTGCGCGGAAGCCGGTGGCGCCGTCGCCGAGGTCGACTACGATGTCTTCGCGGGGACCTCCAGAGTCGTGAACAACGCTGATTAGACCTGCGGCCTGGTATTCGACAACGCAAATGCCGAAGTGTTCGTTCCACATAGCATTCGCGCCAATGGAGGAGGTGCGGAGATGGGAGAGCACAGTGGGCCAGCTCGCGTCGCAGATGAAGGTGGTGTGGTCGCGGATGCGGAGTTCATGGGCTAAGAGGCGGAGGTTGTATATATGGGTTTCGTCGGGGCTGCCGTGACGCACGGAACCGATGAGGATGAGTTTAGGTGTCGGCTGAGATGCAGATGCAGGGTTCTTCTGTCTGTCGTTAAGGAAGCGGGCAAAAGACTTCAGGACCAAAGGGTGGTTCTTTTCTGGGCGAAACTGTGCAATGTACAGTATTGTTGGTTCTCGTGCCTTTTCGGTGTCTGAATTTACCTCGATTGAGGATTCGAGTTCTGAAACCGCGGTGGGTGGGAATATCACGGTTGGTTCTCCGTGCTCTCTCCTCTTCCGGGATGGACCCCAGAGAGTTCTGATATGCGCAGACGTCCAAGAGGAGTTGCACATCACTACATCCACCTTACCACCAACCCAGCCGTAGAGCCAGGCGAAGGCAAGCCAGTATTTCCGCTTTGCGAAGCCTCTCCAACCAGTGCCCGCGCCAGAATTGATTCCTTTTGTGCCGGTTGTGTCATCAAGCGACTCGAGCATATCCGTTGATATCGTGGGGTAGTGGACATACGCTCCCGTTGGAACAGAGGGAAAGAGAAGCTTCGAAAATGCGAGCGTAAAAGCGTATCCCATAGTGTCTATGAAGATGTCCGGTACAAGTAGGTTGAACGCGTCGTACACGACAATCAGAGAACCCAGCGACTGTCCCAGAAGTGTTAAATAAGGGTACATGCTGTGAAGGACGTATTTACGCGTCGACAGATATAGTAGCACGAGCGTTGGCGGGTGAAGTTGGATGTTGAAGCGGTTCTAGAGGCACGACAGTCAGTAACAGGCATAGTGCATTTGTCGAATCTAAGTACTGTACTGACCTTGACTCGTTCCACCATTTCAGTCTTTCCAACTTCGTGATCTCCGGTATAGATAACGCAAGTAGCCTTGGGCCATCGTTTCTGCGTCGCATGGACGGCCTCCCAAAGTACACGTTCCCCTCCTCCACCTGCGTTGCTGTCGCGAGAGTAAGTAATCGGACGGGGTATCTTCGATCGTCATGTGCATACCAAAATGGATGGAAGAAGCCAACTATCCCGTCCCAATCATCCTCTGCCCCTTTGCCCTTGGGCGGAGTTCCTGGAGCGGCGTCATCGACCTTCTCCCACTCCTCATCCTCAGAACTCTTCGAGGTCCGTTTGTCCCGTTTCGAATCGAAGTCCTCCCGCTCAACGCGGACACGGTCGAGTATTGCCTGCCTCCTATCTGTTGTTCTTCTCTGTATAGACCAGCCAAGGGTGCGTAAGGCGAATCCGATAGTATAGGAACCGAACTTGGGAAGCAGGAACACAGCTACCACGAAAGTGATAATGGAAGTGGCCAACTTCGATAAGAGCGACATGGCGGGAGCAGAACAGATGTCGTTTTTCCACAGATACTAGCGCATATTCCACAGACGGTTGAAAGGGCAACTATCGCTCCTCGGGGAGCTCTGCCTCTGCATTTGCTGTTTGAGTTGGTGGTGGTCTTGTGAATATCTCCCCCGTCACGAAGGAGAGAGCTGGTCAGATTACTGTATCATACAGTCTGGTGAGACACCACGTGATGCCAGATCCCGCTTTGTGGAGCTAACAAAAGCTTCTTGCGGAGCTTAAGACTACATCTCCGAACTGCTCAATAACATTTCTATATTCCCATTGTTGTTGGCACAACGGGAATTCACGCTCGCTTCCGCGTTGGCATTCACTTTTATTTGATTCTAGGATCTGGTCTTAGGTACCCGAGCTTCAATTGAACTGCTCGACCGTCATGGCATCAATCTATCCGCGATTAGTTCTCCGAGCGCGTTCCGGCGGCAATATTATTTCATCGAGCGCTTTTCAGCAACGGCGATCATTCCACCCTACTCGACCGTCTCCTTTCATCAATGAAGCTTTGGATATCTCCTCTAGCTTCCTTCACGGCGTCCACGATGTGACTGGTCTTCCATGGGCCGCTTCTATTCCCTTAACTGCATTCATCGTTCGAATGACCGTCGCGCTGCCTTTGCAGATCTATACAAGAATACATGCTCGCAGGAATCGTGATCTTTCGCCACTCCTTCTATCCTGGCGCAAAGTCTATCAAGATCAGATCATGGAGAAGGCAAAGGAAGAAGGCAGACCTTTACTACCTTTCGAGGCAGATCAAAAGTTAAACGAGGAAATGTCCAAGAGACAGAAATCGTTACGCAAGCGCTGGAAAGCCGCGAGGTTTCATGGCATGGCTACCTTCTTACAGATTCCAATTTGGCTTTCTCTGATGGAAAGTCTGCGAGCGATGTGTGGGAACAATAATGGACTTGTGCCATGGTTCTTGTCACTTATGGAGTCGGAATCTGCCGATCCAAGTCAATATCACCATCTCAATATCGAACAGTCTCTTGCATCTGAAGGTGCCCTTTGGTTCCCGGATCTATTGGCCGGAGATACAACTGGCATACTTCCCCTGATGCTTGCCGCGACCATTTGGACAAATGTCAGCGTAGGCTGGAAGACTCCTTCCTTCAAAGAACTTGCGGACTTCCCGCGGACGGAGATGGTCAAGCAGGGTGTTTTGAAGACGATCAAAATGTTCATCCAGTTCATGGCCATCAATATAGGCATCAATTCCTATATGTCTGGAATGCCTACTGGACTAATGATCTACTGGATCACTAGCGCGAACGTTGCGACACTGCAGACCGCATTCCTCAATAAATACATGTTCTCAAAAGCGCCTCTCAAGCCATGGATGAAGATGCATGTCGGTCTCCGGAAGGCCGGGGAAGCCAAGCCCGAGAAAGCAGCATCCAAAATATGACTGCCGACTCATCGAAAACTGTGAAAGAAATTACATGACTGGTGTCAAATATGATGCAAAAAAGGGGGAAGAAATTGCCGTCCTGGACAGAAACACCGAACCTGCTTCTCGCGTGCCCTCGAAGAACGTCCAGAAGATCATGCATGCATCCGGGGCGAATTATATTTATGCAGACCGAGCATTTCCAACATCTTTTTCCGAGGGCCCCAGACTACCGCGCTTTCTGGACTGGATAGATTCATGTGGAGCTCCTGATTGAGTAGAATTATGATGGACTCAGGATCCAGATGCGGGAAAAAGCTTGCCCATATACCCAGATGAATGCCTCGGGGTGAGCTGCCAAGGAAGGTATGAAGGACGGTGTCATCATATCTTCTCCAGTTCTCTGGATATTAACAGACATTGGTAATCAGCGGCAGTGGTTACGTTCATCTGGCTCATTGCTGTCTAGGGTTTACTCCCCGCTCTAATTTCTAGATGGACTCACAGAGAGGTGGATCGCGAGACGAGTGGCAGCTCGTGTGCATTATTCTCATGGAGGGCGTGACTCGAGGGATATGCGGTGGTGAAAAGAGTTCCGTCCTTTCAGCAGATTTCCGATATGTGCTTTGAGAACGGAGGGTCGAAGTGAAACGTCTCTTGCGCTTTCTGGGTTATGGTTGCGACGGTGCCGCGGTGAGACAGGACGAAATACTGAAGATATGTGCTCCACGTATGATCCAGGCACCGTACATCGTCGGAGTGTAGACTGACGTCGATATTGTGCGTCACCTCTTTCTGCCAATAGCGCCTTCTCGTTGTCCTCTTCGACCCAAAGAATCGAGTTGATGCTCAACCGAAATGATCCATTGGCTGTTCCGCCACTATCACTGTCGGTGACATCGTTGATGGCAGCGTCGACTTCGATATGATACCTCAGTGGCCACTCGGTGACTGTTCCGGTGCCTTCATGACTCGCAGTGAATAGGGCACTCTCGTTATCCCCGAAGGAGACCCGGATAGCGTCTGTTCGGGAGGTTTAAGAAAGTATTTGATAGGAAACCAGAGGTTCGCCGTGTCTGTATGTGATCTGACGATATCTGTAGATCCTTGACTGACCTTCACGGCACTTGTAATTATGCAAGCTACTTGTGACAAAATTAAACCACATTTTTCTTTCACACTGTTCAAGATCTGGGTGGTAGTGTGACCGGAACATAGAGAAAAGAGACTTCATACTTTCTGCATGCTGTCTCTTTATTTTAGAAAGCATTGGTATATATCTTACAAGAGTCATATTTACTCGGTTACTGATTCCAGTTTCTTATTACTATTATGTTACCAGAACCGACCCAACAGTCTCCTTTTCCATTTCTATCCATGTTATCACTTCGGTATAGAACGAGTTGACTGGGCCAGGTACACTGAGCTTCTCTAATGCCTAATTTTCTTGTTTGTTATCGCCGCTGCCCCATCCGTGCCGCAAGGTAAGTATCATAGACCGCTTTACACGTCTGTATATCCACAGCGCGCCCAATATGTCAGATTCTTTCTTCAGGAATCGCTTGTTACGAGCACTTGACAAGTTTCAGACCCTTCACGGTAGGATTGTCTTTGAATTGCGAACGAACAGTAATGGAGCCGAATGCCGTATATGTCGACAGATCCTTACCCTGCCCACAAGTTGCCCCCGGGATGAGCTGAATCGTGAACCGTTAAGCTGGGTCAGTATGACCTTCATATCCTTTGAGCTCAGCACAGTATCAATTATCGAATGAAATCGAGGACAGCAACTCATGTGGGACGGGCGAACACTCGAATGGAGGCATGTCGTGGCCATCGTTCGCTTCTACCAGACGGGCCATGGCATCTTGGACCAGTTCTCGGTTTTCGAATGATTCGCTAGCAGCTAGAATCAAGAAGGCTCCGATGGCTATGAAAAGTGGCGATTTCGCCTTCATAATTAAGTCAGCCTCAATTCTGTAAGTACAAGATTCGGGGTTGTATATATTGCTTACCAAGTATATGTCGAAGCTGGTCGTCATCAAACAATTTGCTTCGGAGATCATGCATCATGAAATTTAGCTGCCAGTCTTCGATAGATACAAGTGTGCTGTATTTCTCTGAGAAGATCCTCGTGGCAAAGTCCTGCAGCACGCTCGCGATGGAACCCAAGGAAGCAACAGATACCCAGATCAGTGCAGGCAGGTGATGGGAAGGACCAGAAGTCGCAATGCCACCCTTGTATATACTGGGCCGCAATCCACGGCACCTTGATCTCACTTCTACCAGTAAAGTATCATTTACTGTTGGTGATAAAGGTCTTCACCTGCGTCGAGTTTGGCTAAGTATAAGATTTGGCTAGGGAACGCAAAGCAAGAAGATCGAGAGAAGAGAAGTTGACCCTGGCATATGCTAAGCATAGGAGATTTTCATGTCTTGATTCTGTTTACAGTCGAAGTGATCCTCCGCATACTTTGAAGTCAGCAGATCTGTTATTCTTTGGTGATTTCACTCGACATGAGCTCAGTATGCTTTTCCAGTTCCAACCTTGCAAGAAAAGGAATGTTAGCAGCGTTCAACAATCAATGCGTTATCGTGCTTCTGATAAACGTCTGACGCATTTGCCTGGCTTACCTGACTGAACTCATGGGACGATGCCGAGCAGTGATAAATCACGGGTGATACTTGGAAAGTGTATCTCCCAGTCCGCTTGAGAAATACGGTTTCGTTATATGTCGAATAGAGCCCATAGAGGGTCTCGTTATCATTACTTGGCCTATATTCATGGTCTTTATTTGGCCGTGCGTCCGGTTAGCTGATTTTTTCGAGAAATGGACACAATTAGCGCAGGCACCGTTTGCAATCCCAGGTACTGATACGCAACGACAGTATGGCCCGAGGGCCATCTTCAAGCCGCGACGCTTCACTTCATCTTTGCTGTGACACGCATCGATTGCTTCCAGGTCACTGCACTGATTATAAGCTGTAATTATTAGCAATGATCATAATATTGCGACATATACTCATAAGGTTTGTTGATATCGCCCTTCACGTATATAAGGACGCCATTTTGGTATATCTCCCGTAGGGTACTGCTGTACTGCGGTACAGAGATTTTGCTGTATCAGCATTGCTTTAAGCGTTGGACACTGCGTAGCGGTAGTAAGCTCCTCTCAATGCGAGTGAGCGTGACGTTAGCAGGGGGCATCAGACTCGGGTCTGACATAACAACGTCGCCGTGACGAACCATTGTGAAGTTGTGGAATGTTCTCGTGAAGTCGTGAAATGCTCGCTCGTGATTGCAATTGTTACAAAGAAACAAAGAAACAACAGAAACAACAGATTCACTGCCTGCGAAAAGAAGTGGAAAGGAATCACGTGGTGAAGTTCACAGCCTTATATAACTTCACGCCTCGAGCTAGCGCGCTAGCTCGGCTACGCTGAACCTGATTGGCTCGTTCGCATCAGCTCTGCCGCGGAATATGAGATCTGAGAAGATAACATCGGTTCCCTCGCAACCCCAGTGCTTTTGTATTGTGTTTCGGGCTATTTGTAAACGGGAGGCTTTGTCGGAATTCGATGTCGCGCTAGACGGACCCAAGCATGTAGCCATTGCGGGCTTTTTGATAGATATCTGCAGCAAGCTATCTGCGAATCAATACCTGATTTGCCGATTATTGTAAAGGCCTGGTAATATGTACAATATAATCCGGATGTCTGAATCTATCGTAAAACTCGATTCTCCACTTATTAACAAACTCTTCTAGCAGAAGTAGTAATGAGAAAGTTATTGACCTTGTGTTTAGTAGGAATTCTGGGCGAAATAGGGGCGACCGTGGCACCCAGGAGCTTTAGTGTTTAGCAAATTCCTCAATATAATTCAATGAGTTTTCAAAATAATAGTTTTGACCTAATAACTTGGCTAGCTTCGCCGGAGTTATATTGAGATCCGTTGTCCAAGGTGGTTTTATCTCGCCAACAATGACGAAGAGACATGGCCATCGACATCGAGCGGAAACGGTATTTCGGGAAATAATAGTGCAAAATCCAAAAAAAAACTAAGTAGTTACTACTAGTTATTATATGAAGTAATATAATCAGTAAATGCTACGGACGATGGACTGCATAGATTCGGAACAGAAGACCGAGGACGGATGACGGCAGAGGGAAACGGAAGGAAGAGACTCCCATATTGTGCCCGGGTTTTTGCTGCATTGGACAGTGCTATCTGCCACTGTCCTCGACGAGGCGCCATAGATAGGTGTGCCGGCTTGGAGGCTCCAAAAGTGAGACCTAGGCCTAGTCTCTCCAAAAGTAGCTGCAAAGGTATGCAGAGGTTTTTGACAAAGCAGCCAGAGACACCAATGCTTTCTGGTAAGCAACGCATCCCGCATGATCCCCTCATATCGTTGCATGGTATTTGGCGAAACATAGCCGCGCTGCAACTCTCGCTCGAGGTCTTTGACACGACAGCTTGTGCAGGTGTATGGCGGCTTGTTGGCTCGGCCCTTGATGCTGATTTGAGCGAAACACACTCCAGGCAACTTCCGACAGCAGGCCATGCAGAAGTACAGCATGTGAATGGCAGATGACCGGTCTCTTTGCCCGGTCACTATCTCAACGAGTCTAGGGAGGTCTGACTGGAGGTTGTCCTCCCTCAGGTCGTCGAGGATTTCAGATACCTGTCTGCGCTTGTCACTGTGTAGGAACAACGGGCCGAGGATCATGAGCATCAGCCCACGACGCCTCCGACACATTGTCCTCTGCATGGCTAAGATATTGGGCAAGAACCATACAGGAAAGCTCGTCGATGGTCTGGAGAGCAAGTTCAATGAAGGAAGCTCTTTCAATTCTTCCAGGTCTCCTGGCGCAAAAAAATCTGGGACCTCATGGTCCTTATGCGTACTGAAACGTGACGCCATCCGATTCTGTTGTCCGGCGAAAAATGATGTTGTGCAACAGTGACCGAGTCGTGTAAAATAAATTAGTGGAATGAGCAGGCCCAGACGCAACGTGGGCTCTGGTTCCACTAAGCGTCACTCTTTTCCGATATATATTAATACCCAGCTTTTGTAGCCTTCCTATACATCATTGGAAATAAGTATCAATAAGTTATACTTATGTATAGAGTGAAAGCGAAACATACATCGGGATCAACACCGATCTCCCAATAATCAAACGCTTGCTGGTTGTCTTTCCCTGGCACGATTGTGCTTCTCTGTTCCGCTGGATCGCTATCATTTCACTTAAAGATTTACCTCATGGCGGTAGACAGCTTCTTGAGACATCGAGGTGGACGCTTTGATCCAAGCGACCATTTGCTCGGTTCTTTTGCATCCGCATCATGAACGGACGACGACGGAGTCGGAGATGGCGAGGGTTCTGTCGCGGCATCGTTGATAATGCCCGGGGGAGTGGTATCGGCAAGCTCTGGACGTGGTCAGTTACGCTACCAGTCAAGACAAGGAAGTACATACCGGAGTCACTGGAGACGAAAGACGGGATGACGCTGCGACGCGGGTGGTCTGACAGTATCCTGATTCTGTATTGTATATAGTGATCGTCCTTCGTGGAGTCAAACGAGTTTGGACAGTGGTCATTTGGAAATTCATAATGCTTCAATGGCTCTGCGCTTCTGCGGGCCCAGAATATTACCCGGGCCTCGAGATCTGAGGTTATCTTTTGACTGTAAAACGATGTAGTAGGAGTGCAGTTTTCGAAGATATCTGCGGGAGAGTCCAGCTCTTCCAGACAATCATACAAGGATATCTGCTGACTCGTGGTCGCAATGCCTCCCAGCTATTCGGCAGCTGTCGATCTTGCTCCTGATTTGTTCACCTTGTATTTTCGTCAAATAGATGGTTTCATTGTACGTTGATAAGAAACCATATTTGACACCTGCGCAGAACATGTATATCCCGATCGGATCCATTATTGTTTGAAGGAGATTATGAGCTCAAGGCGTCTTGAACTCTCCCACAAGAAGTGCTTGCGTCCAGTTGATGTTAATTCTTGCAAGGACAATGATATCCCGCCGCACACTCTTGTCGTCGATCGGCCAGAGCTAAACTTGCGCGTAATCGTCATTCGATTACGCATCCATATATATTGTTGTATAGGTTGAACAGGTTTGGGCGACTGCCCAACGTAACCTGTCCCTGAAATGGCACCGTGACCCCCCCTGGGCGTTCCATTATCTGCAGAAATAGCATTGCCAGCCTTGTTTTCCGCCCAGAACTTGACGGCAAAATTTCCCAGCTTCATGAAAGCCCGCATGTACCTTGCGTTCCTCGTATTTTCGACATAACTCAGGTGTCCCCTGTGAGCTGGCCAATATGTTGTAGGGTCAATTGCTCGGTTATCGATATATACCAGCCAATGCGGAAGAGAGGCTGGGTATGGATATCACCCAGAAATTCGCTCTTGCAGATTCCCAAAATTGATCTCGGAAAGAAGGGGGGTGGATATAAGGGCCGTAAGAACCGGTTATTGGAGAGGTAGAGCGAGTTCCGAGCATTGTATGCGAATATCGCAACCATGACCATGTTCAAGTCAACTGACAACGTTGAGTTCCACGGGCCGAATTGTCTCGTCGTCATGAAGCCAGCTCTTGCTATGCTACCGCCCTTTATATATCTCGCCCAATTTCCCATCATAGCAGGAAAGGTGATGTAGGATTCACTCCTATCCTGGAATAGGAGGATCTGCCTTTCTTCGTTAGCTCCTACTGCAGTTTCGATTCCAGGACATCTCTATACTTACTGAGGGATTCCTTGATCCATGCCACTATCTGGGAGACCTCCTGCATCTCCACTTGAGGGCAATGTCTATTTTCAGTGCCGACCTCACATTCATGGATGGAGTTTCATCTTCCGGAATTGACATCTTGTCTTGTAACTGACCATCTGTCTGGGCCACGTATTGCCCAGCGCCCCCAAATTTGGCAACTAGACAAATCCTAGTAGACCTCCACTTGTGGATAGGGGCAATTGTCGTCTTGCAGGGACTTGAAAACCCTTCCAGCATAGTCACAGACACGACTATGAAATGACAGCCATTTGTAGTCATCTCAGCCAAGACTCGACAATGTCCAGGATTATCTCTCGCTCCCGTACCTTCGATATATATATATATATATATAGAATCTTCTTCAGCAGGACAATCCTAGAGAAGGAAATAAAGAGTTTGTTTCCTGCCGATGCAAATGGTATCTTTCCATTGACAAATCCGAGAGGTGTGAACGGAAGAGGCGGCGTGACCCTTGCTGCCCAGTCGTCTTCCCGGATATTCGTTTTCAGGTCGAAGCAGATTTTCAGGGTGTCACTATCATCATTCTCGCTGGTTCTTGTCGCCGATATGTGAATGGATCTCCAGGACTAAAATCGCACATAATGCCTTCTGATTGAAAAATGGCCGCCATTATCTTACTAACGTTGTTGTTAAATCGGCCTTGCATATCGCCTTCGTCAGAACAGGTGTAAAGCTCATTGATAATACGTTTTGCGTTCAGGAAACCAGCAGGGTGGTAACCTAGAATCGCATTGTTGAAGTTGGCATTATCTCCGAGACAGTTGTAATTTCCTGCTCTTGGAATTGTCATAGTCCGCAGACTAATATCCCGGGCCAGCAATTGGCGGCCCCTTGATGTTTCCTGCGGACCGACAACCGATATATATGTTCATGAATATATATAGAACAATAACCAGAAGAGCTCACGATCCATAGACTCAAGTCAACCTCTTCATGGCAGGATGCACAAAGAGGAATGGCCTTCGAGATGGACTTATACGAGACAGTATACAGCCTGGCCTGCTCCCATATGTCTGTATATAACTTGTCAGCTCATTTCTCGATAGATAGAAGAGGTGAAGTCATGAGATTATCGGCCATACATTTGGGGGGCATCGAGACTCTGCAGCCACGTAATTGAAACACTCTGGATTTTCTGCAGCCCCTTCCCATGATCCTGTCCAACTCTCCATGAGCCTAGAGATCATTAATCGCACGGTAATAGTTTTGTACAACCGTGTATTAAAATCTAGCAGGTATATATCAGTCATTCTGGACCTTCAAAATGGATAGGGCATATGTACCATATTGCAACAAGTTTTTAACATTGGACAACGCCCAAGGAATCTGATGAATCGCCTTCTGGTGGCAGCGCCCAACGGCAGTGCACCGATGGCAGGGCATCAGGTCTCCCAATGACTTTGCACTCAATAAGTGCGTTTACCTTCTCTGGTTCCCCTCGGATGAAGAGGTCTCCGTCCGAAATGGCTGTATAGCCGACCTGGCCAAAATTGGCTCTCATCCGGAACCTCGTAGGAACCCAGTGAAGACTGTAAGAAATGCAGTCTGTTATAGCGAAGAACGTCAGTCACATTTTCTAAGGAGCAACATGAAGCAGGGTAGATTGAGCTTGGAGACGCTGCATGGAGTAGGATAACTTACCACTATGGGCCGAGGCCGCCATCAGTCTCAAAAAGGACATTCCATGGTATGCAAACGCATTCCACATATCAGCCTCCAACATCCGAGTGGCCTCATCAAGGGCAACAACCTCAGATTTTGTATTTGTTCTGAATAGCTCCCTCCCCAGCTCAAGTCGGACCGATCGAAATCCGACAGTATATCAAGACGCCACCTTGCATGCGTGGATATACATAGACGCGAGAGATTTCCCGAGTACCCTGCTTCAATGACGAGGTGCGGCAGTATAAAAAAGAGATAGGACAGAGAGAATGACAATGTTGGAAAATAAAAACCGATAGCTCGGTGCTGAATCATGTAAAGAAGAGTATATATAAGTTCTTGAATGAGCTGATTGAAAAGGATAATCCTGACTTCCTGCCTCGCGCCTCTCTGCCTCAAGCCTCGACTGTGGTTCAGGAGATAGCGGTTGGATAGAAGCCAACCCATAGCGTTCTGGGGGGGAGGGGGAAGGGGGACGACTCTCTCCTCCTCCTCCTCCCCCCATATATACGATAAAGAAGAAGAACAAATATAGGATAGGGATAGGAATAGGAAATTGGTAAGTTCTCGAAATTGGATGATAAAACTGAACATTTCTCGGGAGTACTGTCGAGGAATATATATACGCAACCAAGGACACACCACCACGAGTATGAAAAGAGAGAATAAAGAACAGATCCAATTGACATATGACCTATCAACTGCGCATTGGGAGCGATTAGCATAATCTTCTTCCGTTACCAGTGTCTCTGTCGGCATGTTTTCCCTGTAGGGACGGCGAACTAGCGTTGTGACACCTAGCAAGCATCTATAACAAAGATTTACCAGGTCCATAGACCAATAGCGTTACGGGCCTTTATGGAAGATCCTTTCAGACAAGTTAGACATGCATGCAGCATGCATCCAGATTCCAACATGAGAAGATCTATGAAAGACCATAGCCACCAGAGTCTGCAGGCTTGGAGCTGCTCAAAGGGTGGTAAAAGAAGAGGAGATAGTGGATATGGGAGGTCAATGGAGGGGATAAATATACCCTTGAAAAAGAGGGGAAAGAGGGGGAATGATTGAATGAAGGGAATCTCCTACCCCATGTTTCATTCCCTTCAGGTGGGAAAGATGGACCATGAATGTGTGCTTTCTGCGGAATTGTTAATGATGACCTACGAGTGCTCTCCAGACCAGTAGGGAGAGTCCCTCGCGATTAGGCATACTATGGGTGGTATCGGCACCGCACAGTGAAGGGCAACCCGCAATCCTTTGCTTCCTTGGAAGGCAGCTAGATTTTCGATAGCCAACAGATGATTGTCTAGAACTTGCAGTAAGTGGAGATCTATGTAGTCCTCGCCAATCTAGCAAGGATGAGGGATATGGTATAAAGAATCCGATCGGCAGCCCTTTCAAACATTCCCTCAACTTTACGGGCCTTTGCATACAGAAATGACTGTCATTTCCAAATTTCAGGATCCTTGTTGTCTATGGGATCATTTAACGATAGTCGATGCAAGATGAACAAATTTTATGACGAAATGCAGCACGTACCCGCCGTACGTACTAGCATGTCTCAGGCTATGTTACAAGATGCAGCCTGGCTGCTGTCACCCGCTTCCAGGACAAAGGCCTGGAAAAAGGTGGAAGAATCATTTCGCAAATCGTTAAGTAGCGAAGTGCAATTACCCAAGTCCTTATCCTTGTTTATGGGTCCTACCAATATAGCACAAGAGATGAAACGGATGCAACAATCCTCTGCCCACCGTCTATTGCCAATATCGAGGCTCGTTGAAGACATGATACTGGTGGCCACGGACACCCTGTCCGCGGAACAAAGACGGGAAGCGACGGCCCACTGGGACCAGTTCCTCAGAGAGTCGCACCTCCTCCTCCGGCTCAGGTTCACCAATAACAAATTTGCCCACCTGGAGTCAAAGTTAGTCAAGGGCAAAAACGGGACGGATTATGCAACGCAAGTAGTTCAAAAATAGAGAGCTTACCTGGATCTCAGTATCCGTAATGGAATCCCGGCTGACTCTAGCGTAGCCTGTCCGCTTCAATCCCTTGTAGAGGATGTATTCGCACCACCTGTCCCAGTCGGTAGGGTCGATGTCCTTCATGCCACTCAGTTCGCTTACGTAGGTGTTGTAATTTCCCTCGAGTGGCTTGGTAACAAGGTAGCTCAGTAGAATGAGCGGCCGAGGCGACTCGCCCATAAGTTTGGACAAGTATTCGGTCTGCAGACGGCGATCTTCGGGGTCTTCTTCCTGACCGGAGTGGAAAACGACAACATCCACGAGCTCGCCATAGACGTCTAGAGTGGCATGGGTCGCAGGTGCCAGCTCACCAACGGGAGATGGCAGAAGGTGATGAGTCGAGTTGATAATAGGGAACTTCGAGAGTAGCGCTGAACCCCAGGTGTGCTTGTTGGGACCAGGGCCGAAGTCGACATACATGCCCAGATCCTCCGCAAGAACTTGGGTGGCATCACGGTTACCCATGATGATGCGCTGATTATCTGACTCCAATAATCCAATGACGTCGATCTCGAGCTCCTCGATGACTTTGCGCATACGTTGCTCAGAGGACCACATGTCGTTGTCCAGAGCGAAATGAATGGTCCAGATGCCAGCGGTGATGACTTTGTCATCCTTATGATACGGCTGGTAGTCATTCGTGGGGAATCGCAGATAAGCCACGGCAATGGAAAGCAGCTGCAGGATGGCAAGCACGTAAAGATAATACGAACGCTGCTTTTTGCCTTGCGGATTCATTGGCTTACTCCTAGAAGTTGACGAGGAATTCGACACGGCATTAGAGAATACACCTGCTCCAATTAGAAGCATGGTCGTGATCATGACCCAGTCAGTATGCTCTCTCACGAGAGGGCCACCAGGCACAAAGGCGTAAGCGACCACCCAGACATGGAACAGAACCATGAAGTTATAGACGAAGAAGCCAAGCCCAAAAGTAGTGGCGGGGGAATGTCGAACGGCGGAGGAAATAAAGACCGGAACCATAGCCATGAGATAGAAAGCTAGCGTCAAACCACCGTAGTAGCCAAACCAATGACTGTAAGAAGTCAAGATCGCAGCTCCCACAGAAGCGATGCCGAATGCAGTCCAGCTACCAGCGACACGTGGATAGAATAGACCGAAGATGAGTCCAGCTCCCATAATAAAGATCGTCACAGCGCCGTGGGGAGCCGCCATCGGACCTCTGACGGGATATCCGTCCCAAACCCAGATGATCATGGTACTGGAATCAGACAGGAGAGAGTGCAGACCGAAAAAAAGCCCAGCAAGACCGAAAGCCGCCAGAATGGGAGACCCTTTCCTGCCGCTGGGCGGGAAGTAGTCGCCTCCACTGACTGTTGGCCGTCTGGTCGACCGCAGTACGGCAAGGATGGCGAGAGCCAAACCCAGCTTGTTCCAGCCGCCATTTTCCGCGTGCATAGTCGGCCAGATAGGGTTGTTCGTCTTAAAGGCGAACTTGGCCACACTGGACGCAATTAGGCCGATGGCCCAGGCCAGAATACGCGACTCTAATCGAACTGACTGAGCACGCTCACCAAACCAAGTAGCAGCCCATGCCAAGCAGCTTATAAAAACTGCAGCACCCGTGACGAACAGCCGGGAGGCTGGATCCTTGACGAGGAAAGCGAGCAGACCGATCAGCGATGCGAAATGCAAGGCACGGATATTGTTGGTCGCGAGAGAGCGTAGAGATGGGATGGCGAGCAGGAAAGGTGAGCATGTAGACATTATAAAGACTTCATAGCCGGAGATGCCCATATGCCACAGGGGGAAATCTATAAAACGTTAGAAGAAATACGAAGACATCGCCTAAGGGAATCTTTACACCAAACCAAGAGACCCAGAGAAGTCAAGTATGACCAAAACACAAACTATGTCTGTCAGCAGAGATTCATCTTCTACCGGCTGGATGAGACAATACCCCGCTGTAAACATCGGCGGCAGCGTCGATGGCCTCAGACCAGACGAAGCCCTGGCCAAAAGTGTTGCCAACAGGCTTGCCCTTCCTGTCTGGGGGTCAATTTCTGGATACTAGATCTGGTCGCAAGGAAATATAGCACATACTCTTTGTCCAGGACGACATCCGCAGTGGTCTTCAACTGTCTGTTGATTTCATCTTAGAGAAGGTCTTTCATTTGATTTTTTCCAGAAACCCATTTCCGACTGTACATTTGTCTACTTTGGAAGCCACTGAACATACCCTCTGCTAACCCCCTTGGTATCTCTCACAACGAGCTCAAACGCCTCAAAGTCAAGCGCAGTGACAGCATCGAAGCCGACATCAAACAGAATCAAAGACCACTCGAAGAAAGCGTACTTGGTGTAAGCTAGGCGACACGTAAGCCTATATCCTTCGAATGTATCAGGTTAATGGTCACTTACCACCGGGGACCTTATGGACCTTGTGCTGAATGAAGTAGTAAATCAACGGCACCAGGGTACCGAAAAAAAGGCCTGCCAGGATCTTTCTGTACTTGACTGCACGGCGGTTGTTGGGACTCAGTGCCAGACAGCCAAGCGTCCAAGGCAAGGTCGCAACTAAATAAGAAATCATGAAGATATCATGCCAGTCATGGTCGTCGGTAGATGTGATGTACGTCCACCCTCCGCAGGTCAGGGTTCTGAAGATCCCTGTCCCAGCAACCACTTTCGGAAGAGTCGCGTTGGGCCGTGCAGTCAGAACATACCAAAGGAAGACCAGAGCGAATCGAGGACCGGAAGTTATAGCGATAAAGATTTGAAAGATCGAACGTTCGGGGTAGCGATCACCGATGGTCGCTGATACCGAAGGAAACCACTCGTCAGGGTAACCATAATGCTCGTTCTGAACGATCTTCCTGAAATGGAGGGCCATGCCAACAATCAATGCACCGATGAAAGCCGTATACGCGAAGAAAGTGTGTGCCCAGGACACCCATTTTCCGTTGACCTACATGATATTAAGAATTCATCTTGGAAAGCTCGGAAGTGCAGGGTGGGAGACTTACTGCCACGACGGCATCCCCGTCCTTGAACTTGGGGGCCATGGCAGCGCTTAGAGAACGACTGGTTCTGGAAGCAATTAAGAGATATACAAAAGAATGTCAAGAAAGAAAAAGAACATGGATTGATGGGACGGCGTAAGGAAAAGACGCCCCTGAGGTGAGCAACTTCGAGGACAGTTGGACAATTCCGGGCCCGACGGGAAACGCGTTGCGGGAGCTGGACTGGACACCCGCTTAATCAGGCTTAGACAGGCTAGTCCACCACGGGAAGGCGGTCTCGGCCTCTCGGGGGGTCCCTAACTTTTTGTGCCTGTGAAAGACGATAATAAATTAATTATTATCAGTCTGCAAGCAAAGCAGGTCTTCAAATCCAGCAGCCACTATGGCGGGTGCCAGCGACAAGGCGCGCTTCTATCTGGAGCAGTCGGTTCCCGAGCTGAGGGAATACGAGAAGAAAAAAATATTCAGCAAGGTTCGAATGCTGCTGCCATCGGGAAGTCTGCTGCGCACTAGAAACTAACCATTGCGACATAGGAGGAAATCACATCGATCGCAAAGAAACGATCAGACTTTGAGCATAAGTTGAACGCTCGAGGAGCGCAACCTGTGGATTTCGCCCGATATGCAGAATATGAAATGAATCTGGATCTTCTCCGGCGAAAAAGAACAAAGAGGCTAGGGATCAAGATGCCCGCGCATACGGGTCAGCGACGAATTTTCTTCATCCTGGAACGTGCGACACGGAAGTTCCATGGAGACGTCAGTCTTTGGCTTCAATATATCGAATACGCCAGACAGCAGAAAGCACATAAGAAGCTCTCTCAGATTTTCACTAATGCGCTTCGTCTACATCCCACCAACGCTGAGCTCTGGATCTATGCGGCCAAATATGTTCTCGATGATCATGCGGACATGACGCAGGCTAGAAGTTACATGCAGCGGGGATTGCGGTTCTGCAAGAGTTCGAAAACGTTGTGGATTCAGTATGCTAAACTGGAGATGATCTACATCACTAAGATCTCTGCTCGACGCCAAATACTAGGTCTTGACCGTGTCCAGGAGGACGCAGAGCCAGCCACGACAGCGGACGATCATGATGCCGACATGATTGCTCTCCCCAAGGTCACGGCTGAAGACATCAACCCGACGCTCGGTCAGGACGAGGGGGTCGACCAGGTCGCGCTGCAGAACCTCAAGTCCACGCCCGCCTTGAGCGGCGCCATTCCTATGGCTATTTTCGATACTGCCATGAAACACTTCAACAACGATGATCGCTTCGGACACGACTTCTACGACATGGTCTCCCAGTTTGAAGGGACGGAATGCTTCCGCAAGATCCTTGGTCATGTTGTGGACGCTCTGCTCGCAAGCTCCCCAGGAAGCTACCACACAAGAATATGCTACATCAAGTTCCCGACAGCCGGTATCAGTGTCACATCTCCTGAGTTCCCACGAGCCTTTGGGGCTTCTCTGAGTCGCTTAAAGGAAGGCCCACAGGATAAGAAACTGGCGGAAGAGATGGTGAAATGGCTGCGGCCCTTGACGGAGAAGGAGGAGCTAGATCCGGCTTTGTTCAAAGTGCTGTCTGCAACTCTGCAGAGATCCCAACGTACTCTCGATGAGTAGGGTAATAAAAAAAGTTTGCAATTGGTCCCGCCGTGGGAGTTTGTCGATGTATCAAAAAGGCGTTTCTGGCGAAGACAATTGACGTTCCGAAGACATGTATATACGATAGTAGCGCATAGATCACTCATCATACTTGCTACCTCGCCGGCTGCTCTTCTTGTTGCTAAGGTGCTTCTTCATTTGGATCCTCGCCTCATTTTCTACTTTTTGGCTATGTAGAGTCAGTACGTACGGTCGACGGGGTAACGTTAGCCCGCAAAAGACATACAGCTTTTTGACTTTTTCCTTTTGCTCCTCGGATGTTTCACCCCGAATCGCGTCTTTCCCGGCACTTGCTAGCAATAGCCGGAGCTTCTCGAAACACGACTCCACATTGGCAGACTGCTTACGCGAGTCATCCGACTGTATGACCAGACTGTCCGTTCGCTCAGCGGCATACCGTGATGACCGCAGTTGCGAATGTAGGACTGGGGGAACCAGTGGGAGTAGAGAATTGAATGGCACTCTCAGCGTAGCCTTTGTATTGACCCTGCCCATTGAGACTGTCAGTTGATTTGAAAGCAGCAGATGGCACTCTTCCTGGACCAACAACCTACTTGTTGACGTTCTGCCCTCCAGGACCACTGGACCTGCTAAAAGCTACCTCACAGATATGGCGTGGAATGGTATTGGAATTGAGCTTCGCCAGCCACTCTCTAGCGGCTCTCAAGTCCTCCTCGCTGACCTCCTGGACATCCTGGAGAGCTGCTGCACGTCTAGACGCGAATTGTCGCTGGGCGGATGCATATCGAAAGCACACAGGACTCGAGAGGGCACGGGTTCGTCCTACCGTCGCGAGCATTTTCTTTACATAACGTGGAGCGACGTACGGTAGTTAGATAGTCAACTGACTGGTTGACTTATTAGTTAGTTGGTTAGTTAATTCAACAAAGAGCGAGCTTGCAGAAGAAGCGCTGCTAAGAATAAGAATCCGGCATGCCAAACGGTCTGGCCCGCCCCAAGCTTTCAGGGCCCGCCGGACGCCACCCGTCGAGTTCACTTCGTCTTGTCTCTCCGTGCTCTCTCGGCGGCCCAGACCCTCTTCTTATCCCTCCCCCGATCTCTGCCATCTCGCGACGTTGATTATTATTCATCTCCTTGTCTCCTCCATCTCCTCACTCTCTCTCCCCCTCTCTCTTTCTCTCTCTTTAGCACTTCCTGCCACCATCTCCTACCACCTACTCCCATCTTCCTCCATCCCCTCCTCCCTCTCCTCCCGTATCCCAAACCCCTCAATCGACGCCTGCGTGGTTGGCCTGCCCTCGCTTCTTCTAGATCCGCGCAGTCATCCGTCCGTTCCTCTCGAACATTGCCCCACCTTAGCTCATCGCATCGATCGAAAATCCCTATTTCCCGTGGTCCTCCAGCATTCTGCGTTGTAGATGCCTGCCCTTATCCTTTGTCCGTTGCCTACATGACGTCCAGTCCGCCGGATGAAGCTATCCATTTTCGTGGCAAGACTCTGACTCCGGAGAGTCCGCGTCCTCTGCACGTTCCGGAGCCCGCCAATATCCCCGTGCTCCAGAATATGATGGATCCGGTCTTCAACGATACTTCCACGTACGAGAAATCGCAGTCTGCTCAGGAGTCTATCCCGACGTACAATGAGAACCCCGCGCAAGGAACATGGCCTGGATACGTGAGCGGAGGGAACACACAGGGTGCAGGGCCGGCGCAGGGCCAGGAAACAGGTAGCTTCCACTTTGATTCTCAACAGGTGGATGGATCGATGAACAGAAATGAGACGAACCTATCAACCGATAAAAATGCACTTCCGTCGCACCGTTCTTCACCTACTGTGGTGGAGGTGTCTACTGCTCGTCCAAATCCAGCAAACCCAAGTCTAACTGCTGTTCCGTCAGATCCCACTGCCCTTCTAGAAAATGCTATATCCGAAGGTTCCTCCTCTCAGCGTCCTCCTGCCCCCGATTCTGCTCCCGCGCCTCCCCAGGATAAACCCATCGCGACGGCGTTAGATGCTCCAGGCCCTGATTCCCAGCAGCCGCCGCCATCGCAGGATGGCCTAGAAACTGAACAACGCAGAGATGTCGCACCCAATGCGGCTGAGGACGGCATTGACTTTCAGAATCTGCTGGATAATTTGTCCCCATCTGCCTCGACCGCTCCAGCTGGTCTAACAGTCACTGCGACCGCTTCTTCTCCAGCTGAAGACCCTACGCTGCCGCAGACAGCGACGGATAGGTCCCTTCCCACCCCTCTTGGCCTGCCTCCACGTCCCCCGCCCCAGGAAAAGCCTTTCATCCACCCCAATTACACTCCCACTGATGATATTCGTTCATATCATCAATTCCCCCCGCAGACGTCGTCCACGTCTACGGCATATGGTTCGCAGCAAGGTAGCTATCCAGCCTCCGGGCCGTCACCCGCAGTCGTGGCCCCCGTGGCCCCCGTGGCCCCAGGCGCCCCAGGGACATCCTCCGGGGCGAGTGATCTGCCACCTCCCCCTGTTCCTACCTTTCAACAATCCCAGCCGTCTACAGTCAGCCCCCAGCAATCTCCCCCTTCCAATCAGCCCAGCCAAAAAGCTGTTAGAGTCGACAGGCACACGGGAAAGCCGCAACCGGAGGATGAAGCTCCATGGGGTCCCGAAGTGCAAAAGAAATACGATGAGTTCCTTCATGATGAGCGCGTGTATGTCACTGAAGGTCTCTGGGATCGTTTCCCTCCCGGATCCAGATTATTTGTTGGTCAGTATATACCTCAATGGCCTTCCTCGCCGGCGTTGTTGTGTTCCTAACTGTATGAAGGCAATCTCCCCACGGAAAGAGTAACCAAACGAGATCTGTTTCATCTATTCCACAAGTATGGGAAGCTAGCTCAGATTTCTATCAAGCAGGCCTATGGTTTCATCCAGTTTCTCGATGCCAATGCTTGCTATGAGGCTCTTCAAGCAGAACAGGGTGGGATAGTGCGAGGGCGGAAGATTCGTAAGTATTCAGTCCATTGGCTGCTATGCCTTAAGTGGATGTTAATGTATCAATCTTCTGCAGATTTGGAGATATCAAAGCCTCAGAGGAATACTAGGCAAGGTCCGCCTCCGGCTGAGTCCTCCCGTGCCCCTCCGTCGAGGCGCTCACGGTCACCGGACTTTAACCGGAGTGGACCGCCGGGTCGTGGTTCTGGAGATCGTTATGACAGAGCCTATGACTCTGGAAGAGTGCCGTTCAGTGATTTTAGGGATGAGCATCGTCCCCGAAGACGTGATGATTATCGGCCGCCGCGATCTCCCTCCCCGCGCGGCTATCGTAGCAGAGAGGGATATAGGTCCCGTGATCGGACCCCTGACAGGTACGATCGACGAGAAAGACGACGTTCGAGATCACCTTACGGGAGAGAGCGGCGATACAGAAGTCCCAGTCCCAGGGCACGTGGTGGGTATGACAGTGATTCAGACCTGCCTATTCCCCGAAGAGCGCCTAGGGATGTTCCAGACGTGCAGATCATTGTCCTTGATGATGTGGATAGGTGAGCGTTACGATCTGTTCTAGTCTAAATGTATTCCTGACTGATCTTTGCAGAAACTTCATCTTCCGCATCGAGGGTGCTTTCCAGAGTCGGGGACTACGAGTTGACGTTATGGCACCCAGTTCCCGCATCTCGATATCGGCCATCGTGCATCGTCAAATGGTGGAAGGCGTCCTCGCGGTAGTCAAAGTCGCGCGCAACCATCAGTATTCTGGCAAGATCCCCTTGCAGGTCTTCGATAGGACTGGTGGTCCAGACAATGTTCGCTTCAATGGTGAGTTCTGCTCACCTTTGTGCTGCAGGCTGTGTCTAACATATGAACCTAGAATACACCGACCTGGACCTCAATGTAGCCGCCGAAGTGGTGGTTCGTGCTCAAACCATGCAGCGTGGCGGCGTTCCCAATCCTACTGCTCCCGCTCCTTTCCCACCAAACCCAGCATTTGCGACTGCTGCTCAGTTTCCAGCTTTGCAAGCCCAACAAGCTGCATTACCAGCCCTCTCTAATCCAGGCAACATTGCCAGCCTAATTTCCACTCTGGACGGGCCGACCCTGCAGTCCCTCCTTGGGGCCCTTCAACAGCAGCAGAGGCCAGCAGCAGTACAATCCGTCCAGCAGCCATTCCCGGCTGCTCCGGCGGTCAACCAAGCCGATCTTGCGAGTCTCCTGAACCAAGCTACTCGGCAGCAGAATCCTGTGCCAGCTCTGCAGGTCCCGCCCCAGCGGCCATTGCCCGGTCAATCATTCGGTTTACCGATTCAGAATCCTCCCGTGGTCCCAGATCCTAATCTGATGTCGCTGTTGGCCAAGGGCTTGGGCGGGCAGCAGCCACAGCCCCAGCCTCAGAACCCAGCCGCTATTGGCCCTCAGGTACAAAACATTGTCAATCAGTTGACAAAATGGAAGCAATGAGCTGTGATATCCCCCTATTTCATGTTTCTTGCGGCGTCTCTTCTTTTCTCAAGCCCCGGTTCGGTACAGGTTAGGTGTTGTTCTTTGATGGCTTGATAATCCCTTCTGTTTCTTGATGCGACTATCAGCGACGGTGATGTGATTCTACAGGACGGTTCAGTTCTCGGGTGGTTGGCGAATGGGACCTTTTGCAATCGGAGAGATTAAGGGTTTGATCGTCCGTCTCCAAACATGCAACTTTGCAATCGGAGCTTTGTTTTCTTTCTACATGCAGATATATGGTGACCGCTTTTTGTTCATCCGGAACACGAGTATAGATGCGCGGTGTACGGTACATAATACGAACATCCTTCTCTTCAACGATGTAATATCCTTTTAGGCGAGTGGTGTGCTATTTTTATTGTCATATTATAAGCAGAATTTGGTATGATGGTCGTAAAAGACAAAATATAGTACAGTGTTATCTGCTTCGAAGAACCAGCAAAGAAACTCTTTTTTGACTCCGTGCCCTAATGCATCTTCATTCTCTCATCTTGTTTCATGCTCATTGCGCCTTTTCAGCATTTTTTGCCGCCTCTTCGCGCTTTATCCGCTCGATGGTCTGATCCCGGTTCCATTCCATGACCCGCTTCTCCTTGAAGTATTTCACCTGTCCATTAGACATGTTGTCAGTTCATGCATCCATTCCAACGAGTCCGCCCAAAAATACTGGGGAAAAAAGATCCACAAACAACCACACAATAGCTCAATGTCTAACATACCCAAGTCTTGGAGCAAGCGGTCTCGAACTCCGCAATCTCCTTGCCACACTTTCGCCGTGCCTCCTTGTCATACTTGATCGCATCGACGATATCATTCCGGTCCAGGCAGTTGAAGAAGAGGTCCCGGCCGATGTAGCATTGTTCGCGCGAGGAGCGGTCCGGTGCGATGCGGCCGCCGTCGGAGGCCTTGGGGGACTCAGATCCGCCCGACCATGGAAGCCAGCCCATTGTGGTTTCTCCTTTTGTCTTTGGAAGTTGTGCTGTGTATGAACAGGTGTTTGGTATGGCAGATGAAGAGCAGAGTAGATTTAGATCAACAAGCGTGAGACGGTGAAGTCGATTCGATCCCGCTCCGCAACAAGTCTGGAAGCTCCTCGGCCTCCAAACGCGCTTCTTTCCGGGCGCGGCTGCAGCGCCAATCGGGAGGATCGAAGCGCGGGCAATGAGGATCGTCGTTTCTGAGCCGTCTTCTTTTCGCCAGCTTTCCACCTGGATGTTTCTATTTGCCTCTCGTTGCTTTACTGTTGATATCTCTTTGCGGCTGTGATTGTTCACTAGGAGTTTATCTCAACTAGCGATATCTCCTACCTTGCAGCCACAAACAGACGAAACTATATCATAAGCTTAATCTAGGGTCGTCAGTCTCCGCAGGCAGTTTAATAACGTCAACACATCGTCCGTCCTCAGCACTGCGCCTCTCACAACGCACTCAGTGGCCTCTTACATACGGGCTTGAGGACGCAATTGTCCCTTCTGTTGTTTCATGCCCCCGCGCCGCCGTCCGCCTCGAGCGGGGGCACTGACGGATCTCCCGCCGCTCAAGATCATCAAGAAGATCGCCGTCCTGCAACTCGCCTACTATGCTTGCGCCACTATTCTCATCCTGTTCACGACTCTCGTGGCAGGTCAGCCGTTTTCGCCGGCTCTGATTCTCAGTTGGGATAGTTTACGGGGAGACACTACGATCGGATGGATGCTCGGGTTAGTGTGGATGTTGAATAGTTTCCTATGGTGAGTAGGCCATATCCTCTTATCCTTGCGCCGCAAGCAGCATGCGAAATAGCGCGTGGTTATACGATGCGCAAGAAACAAATTGCTAATATTCCTTTCTCACAGTGTCATATTCCTCCTTCTCCTCGTCTCGCGCTCCAAACTCATCCCTGATTTCGCCTTGACCATCCACTTCATCCACCTCGTCGTCGTGTCGCTATACACGCACTCTCTCCCATCCAACTGGCTATGGTGGGGTCTACAATTCGGTAGCGCTGCATTAATGATCTTTCTCGGAATCTGGGCCTGTCAGTGGCGGGAGCTCAAACCCATCAGCTTCGGTGGACTGGGCGGTAGCAGCAGCAATACCGGCAGCAATGCCAATCAACAGTCATCCTCCCAGCATGGCCAACAGAACGGGTCCGCAGAATCAGGAGATGATTCACAACTAGCTGGATTCTCTCGAGGCCGCGGACGAGGCCGGAACCTCCGGGACGGTGCTGGCGAGTACGAGATGGTCGACATGAAAGAGACCGAGGATGTATGAGACTTAATCATCGGACTGTACACGTCTCTTCCTTTTTTTTGCATTCTACTTTGTTTTGTGCTGGTTCACGAGATGACTGAGCCGTCTGTTCATACAGATTCGATACCATTTTGCTTCTTCTCTTTGTCGTTGTTATCTACTTACTGTCAGATTATTCTCTCATCGGTCATGACCAAACGATGTAGTCACTTTGTACTATTCTCCCAGCCGGCGTTTTCTTTTCGTTTGTTGCTTTGTTACAAATCTCGGAGAAAGGGGGCAGTGGGTCTAGGGAGGTTTCATCTTTTGTTCTCTACCTGCCTTTTCCATTGCATGGAAGTTGCAAGTCGTGTATTACATGCTTTGCATATGTGTATATGCATATCAATATGCATTGTTATATTTATATCCATAGGTACATATTTTATATGTATATTCTCGATTATTTGTAATACCACTTACCACGTGCGTAGTGTATGAGGTGAAGAAAAGGACCGCTGGAATTGGAAACACTGTTCAAGGTAGAATAATAACAGGAATAACCCAATCATACTATATCATACCATTTGATATCATTGCATGTCATGATGAATAAAAACGAAAAGACAAATCCATATATACAAAAAGCCAAAAGACCTACAGAGCAATAAAACAGCTATGAGGGCAAATCATTTCAGACCCAGATAGTATATTTTATTATTGTTTATTTATTTTTTTTTCCCGCTCTGTACTTAGTCTGTTCAAGGAGTAACGGCGTTTCCGAGCAACTTGCCAATTTCCTCTGCGATAGCCATCGTGCGCTCCTCACTGAGTCGGCGACCGATGATCTGGACTGCGACGGGGGCACCATGGTACGCTTCGGGGTCATCTGGTAGAAAAGGCAAGTTAGTATATGCTTTACTTTCGCTTCGCGCATGTTATGTTGACAAGAGAGAGAGAGAGAAGGGTTGAAGTGGGACTTACACTCGCCCTGCACGACGCCATCGAGCTCATTCAGGGGCTTATAGTTCTCCTTCTTCACATCGATAGTCTTATCCGCAAAAGTGACGGGAACAACCACACTCGTGAAATCGAGCAGATTGATCGCGGATGCGTAGCCGTAGTATCGGAACTGGTTGTGGCGGACCGCAGCAGTAGGGGTGATGGGAGCGATGATGGCATCGAGTTCCTTGCCGAGCTGTTCCTCTGCCTCGCGCCACTTGGCGAGGTATTCAACCTGGTAGTTCCATTTCTTGAGCTGGACGTCCCAGAGCTCGTTCATGTCGGCCTTCTTGATATTGGGCTGCAGGAGGTCTTTGATGTTGGGGATGGCGGGTTCGCCAGAGGCGTTGATGTCGCGGTAGACGTCCTGGATGGGGGAGTTAGTTTTGGTCTGCTCCGTGAGAGGGGGGGGGGGGAATCATACAGTGCAGCCGTCAGAGGCGTAGATTCCGTTGATTAGGTCGACAGCGAAGTCGTGCTTGTATGGCGTCCAGGGGACGACATTGTGGCCGTTCTTCTTGAGCGTTGAGACAACGGTCTCGATACCACGGAGGATGGGCGGGTGAGGGAGAACCTGGATAACAAGGTGGTGAGCAAATCTGGAACGGTTGATGAGAAGGGTATGTGAATTCCGGTACTTACGTTTCCGTCACAGTTGAAGAATCCAAGAGTGAGACCGCCGGAGCTGAGCTTGGACTTGATGATGTCCTCTTCATTCTGCCTCCAGGGCAGCGGAATGACCTTGGAGTCGTACTTCCATGGCTCCTCACTCAACACGGAAGTGACAAACAACTTCAGGTCTGGTTACATTGTTAGGTAGTTGCTCAAGAAGAATCAATGCACGTATAGTAGGAAACGTACCGGGAACCGAGTGTGCGATAGGACCACAGACACTGTGGACAGTCTCCTGGCCCTCCATGCTGTTGGCCATCTTGGCGTACGGCATGCGGCCATGGCTGGGCCGCAGACCATACAGGAAGTTGAATGCTGATGGAACACGGATAGAACCGCCTGTTGGAGGACAAAAAGATCAGCATCTTGTCCATGTCAATCGCATAATTGGCGACGGTCATCTTTTATCTCTATCGATAACCGCGATAAGGAGCATCCCACTCACCGATATCGGTGCCCACACCAATGATTCCTCCGCGGAAACCAACGTTGGCTCCCTCGCCGCCTGAACTACCACCGCACGACCAGTTCTTGTTGCGCGGGTTGACCGTCCGTCCGATGATGTTGTTGACGGTCTCACAGACCATCAGGGTCTGGGGGACGCTGGTCTTGACGTAGAAGACTGCACCGGCCTTGCGCAGGAGGGTCACCATGATCGACTCATCGGTGTCATACTTGCCTAGCCACGAGACATATCCCATGGAAGTTTCAAAGCCCTGTCATTTGAATGGCTGTTAAAACCACAAATCAAAAAACAAGGTATTCCGTGTCTCGCACTGAACTTACCTTGACGCGGAACTGATCCTTGAGCGAAATGGGCAGACCATGGAGAGGTCCAATGGGTTTCTTGTTCTTCTCAAAGTACTCATCCAGCTCCTTGGCCTGGGCCAGAGCAGCATCAGGGAAGAATTCCAGAGCACAGTTCAACTGAGCAGAGAATACAAGAGTCAGCTAATCAAGCCACTTCCCGGGCGCTGAAATTGATCCATCTCAAATCAAGCCATGCATATATATCTCTGATCTATGAACAGACTCACCAATTGATGCGCAAGAGCAGCTCTTTTGCAGAAGGCAAGGGTGACATCGTACGACTTCAGCTCTCCAGTCGCTAACTTGGCCACCAGGTCTGTAGCAGTGCTATTGGTAATCTCAAGCTCCTTTGCCGATAGGAGGCCGCTCTTGGTGGGGTAATCGATCACGGAATCCTCCGTTGGGAGCGTCTGGATCTTCCACTCGGCGGGGATAGTCTTCTCAAGACGAGCGCGCTTGTCCGCGACGAGTTCCTCCCACTTCTCAGGCATTGTTTCTGTCTCTTTTTTCCCTCGGGATGTTGGTATTAGGGGCTTGGTAAATAGCGGGGAAACCGGACCAAATAACTGCTCGGCCGAGAGAGGTAACTAGGAGCAAATGGAGCTGAACGTCCGGGTAGGATTCTTCTCGCCGGGATACTGCAGGTCTATCAAGGTAAAGGAAGAGGAGGAAGAGAATGAAGCCATCGAGACAATCAGGGGGGGTTCATAATCCATTTATACCCCTCGTCATTTGTCTTGAGGTCCCCTATCTCCAACGTTCTGCCCCCCCCCGCCCATTGGGGTACAGTAACTGGTGACAAATGGAAATCATCGAGCATCTGGAGATATCTCCATGGCAGACTCCACATCTCCCAAGAGTAGAAACGAACTCTGGCCCTTATCAGAAATTTTTCCTCTTCAGGACGCTCGGCATGGCGTCTAATAGGCCTATCCGTTGGCGCTAGGCTTTCTCGTCGGTACCAGCAGGTTGCGGGGTTCGGAGTCTATGTAATATTTAATGTAAGCAACTACCGAGCGGGAGTGCCGTATTCCAATTTAAGACTCGAAGAACATCTCAAAAATACCTACTCTTAGAATATGATATTATATTATATGAATCAGTATTACTTTATCTACGTAGTCACTATTACCAGTGGAGAGATAGAGCATGTCAATATTGAGTGCCTTTCATATATCATTTCAATTTTCTGCTTTTCTGTATATATGATATGAATCGGCACGTTCACTTTAATCGTACGCAAGCAGGTAAATTCGTTTACTCAAGGACCTTTCCGTTGCTCTCCTCCACAATCAATTCGAACTCGGGCTGGAACTCGGTGTAGAAGTTGTGCTGATTCCATTAGCATATTGGATCATGTATACCTGCGGTTCGTGCATGGGTAAAACTTACAGGGTTCTGAACAGCATCTGCCGTGTACTTAGCAACGTTGTGAGGAATGATCTTCTTCTCAATCCCGTTCGCAGCAGCGGCGTCAGCGAGGAGCTGCGAGTGGCAAGCGTGGTCGAAACTGGAGAAGAGGAAAGCCGCCTCATCGACGGTGCGGCCTACCGTCAGAAGACTATTGTGTTTTCCCAGGTAAGAAACATGCGAGGAAACATCTCAAATAGGTGCTATATATATACTCACCCATGATTCTGCAAGACACAAACCATGTTGTCCTCACCGAGGGCCTTTGCAATGGCAGCGCCCTCCTCTTGAGCCAGAGCAACGCCTCCGTGATCATCGTACACACTCTGCTTTCCGTAGAAGTTGCATGCATCTTTGATAATATTAGTTCATTATTCCGTAGGCGAGATAGAGATTTCTATCAAACTTACCCTGAGAGATCATCTCAACGGGCTTTCCGAACGCACTCCACGTCTTGCCGTAGATGCCATGAGTATGCGCGGCCGCAATAACGTCCGGTCTGGCTTTGTGTATCTCAGAGTGAATCATGAAACCGGCCTCATTGATAGGGGCCTGGTTGCCTCCTTCAGTGACGTATCCCTCAGCGTCAACGAGAACCAGGTCAGAGGCCTTCATGAGGGAGAAGTGCTTTGCATAAGGGTTCATCCAAAAGTGATCCTTCAGAACGGGGTCTACGGAGACAACTCATATCAATATTGGAAACATCGGGCAGGTTGACCAACTCGAAGTTACCTCTCATGGAGATGTGACCGGAGATACCCTCTCCGTAGCCTAGCTTTCCGAAGTATCGGAACGCGGCAGCCATGTGCTCCTTCATCCACTTCCGTTGCTCGTAGGGGTTAGTGAACGTCGGGATACCACGCAACTTGAGGGTTCCCTTCCGGTCACCTCGCGCAGTGGCTTGGAACTGAGCATCCTCAGCAGCAGGACCGTAGGCTGGCTTGCTGTCGACGACAGCAACCACTGGAGCGGAGCGAGTGGCGGTTTCAGTCACGGTCGTCGACATCTCGTGTAGTCGTTATGATTTAATCGTAAAATATTCTTCTTTTCAAAAATTTTGAGGTCGTTCTAATTATGTGTCAGTGGATAAGATGTCGACTCATGAGAAAGTAAACGCAAAGATAAGGGACGGCCGACAACCGGCCCTCACCACCGAGCTGATAGTGATGACGTTCCCCCAGAACATATGCAAAAATCAAGGATCTAAAAGACAAGAACCTATCTATACCTGAATTTAATTATACTATCATAAATCCTCTTCGCAGCATGTGTTAAAATCGTGAAATGGTAGTCAATGAAATCAACTAAATGTAGATGGCAGTGGGGGAACTTCTGTTTATCTATATGATCGGCTCGCGCAGGAAAGCCAATGAGAGATTGTGTTTTACGTCCCGTCGGCAGACCCCGCCTGGATGTCGCGATAGGGCGCATAAAGCGTCTGTAGGCGTCAAATATGCTTGCTATCTGGATATCCGAAGCAAACTGGGCTTGTAGTCACTGTATATTTTGTTCTCATGACCTATTCGGATATAGCGACGCAGTGGGTAAATCGCATCCAGTTAGCCGTAGAGATCGCTCGGTCGAGAACAAGATCGAATCGTTGAAATAAGAATACTTTCTTTTCTAGACCTATCATATTTGCGAAGTCCTCTCCAAGTAGCGGATAGAGCTGTTAACTTTCGGGATATCTCTCCTTGCTATACCCACAACTCACGAGATAAGGAGTCGGAGATACCGAAGATGGTCGAAGAGCATAAAATTCAAACCTCTGTCGAAGGGCTAGAATCCTGCATGAATTGATTAGCTGATCACAACTATACGAAACGCCGGGATCTAAACTATGTGTAACGCTTCAGTACGACAGACTAAGTCCAACTGCAACAAGACATCGATCAACAGGGATCGACTTTTCTGCATGAAAGGAAATATATGCAAAACATATGCATCGCGTTTGCAGGGATACTGCGAACCTCGCTCTGGCGGGTGTTAGCTTGATATGTATACATATCGAGAACGGTTTCACCTAAAATTTGTGGGCCATATTGCTGGAGTTGCTGCATCACCAACCACCCAGGTCCCTGCAGAAAACTAGTCGATAACGAAACTATTAAGCGCCAAGTGAGTGACGAAGAACAATCGCGATCAAGTCAGACAGGGGTTGAACGATCTTAGTCTGTACTTCTGCAAGAGATACAGATATATCACGTGACTATACGCCCTCATGTGTATATATCAGCTTCCTTTGGCTTTGTTATTTTCTTTCCTCTTCCCAGTGTCCGACATCTCCCGCACTGGTATACGTCACTGAAAGTGGTGCATACTCTATAATCTTGGCCATCCATGCCTCTATACGCTAAGGACGTAGTTAAATCCTTAGCCGCATCTGCTGTTGGGCATTGTTATTACCTGGAAAAGTTTCTGGGAAAAAAGAAAAGAAAAGAAAAGAAAATAGCTGCAGCAAGCAGTCAGAAATTGAATGACAACTCATCGAGGCCTCCCGCGAAAGTGCACGGAGTGAGAGGCTTTCCTGCTTTAAAGGCCTGTGTGAAAGTCGAGTGCATGGGGGATGTGCCAAAGCGCGCGCACTTGCCGAGTCTCCCTACCTCAGCTGCCGAAAGGGAGAAAAAATGTCCCACTAAGCCTCCCTACGACGCGGGGCTCTCGATCTCATTATTCTCTCCATATGTTGACAGTCAGACACATGAACTCCTGCTGGTGATTTCAGCACAGCATCAACCATCAAGGCACTAACACAGCGCGTGTCCACAACAATCAGCAGTAATGGCGAGGTGATCGATTCGTCTTGCCCAACATGAGAGGATGCGTCCAACAACACATTTTGGATCCACAAACCAGTGGCAGATGTGCGCGGAATGCTCGAACTTGCACTGGCACGGAAAAGAACAAGAGGCAGCGATTGCTGCCTCCATTGGCAATGATTCGCCCACTCTACCAACGGCTTCGGTGACTATCCAACAGGTGTTGTCTAAATTGGGTAGCGCCCTCCAGAGTTACAGTGCCCTCCAGGCGCTATCCGGAAGCGCTAGTATACACCGCGCGAATCGGCAAAGTGAAGAATATGACAGCTCCACCTCAACGTGGCTAGGGCCCTAGACTAGAGATCAGACTACTCTAAGGAGACAGGGGATATGATGGGCTGCCGCCATTCAGAGTCACATGTACTGCACAGTTCATGCAGTCTTGTCAACAAGGAAATCACTGCGGAGGCAATTCATTCTTCTACTGCCATCCCCTCTGTTGAGGGCCCCTGCCTCCTTTGTTTCTTTGAAACATTTCTTTGAAACAGCCCTGAGTGTCCATAGTCGCAGAAATGGCTGAGAACCCGCCAGCGCAGAACCCCTTGGAGGTCGATGTAAGAGCGTGACATGATCCTAGTATCAGCTGCATCGAGCAGAGCTTTCACTAACAGGGGTGCAACCAGGACCATCCTTCCACTGACACCGACTCGGCCTACAACGAATCGTGAGCCTGTCTGGGTGGACTATCGAGGTCGAGCATCCTTCTGATCCCTCAGTTTAGAATAGGATCCGCCAGCTACGTGACATCCTTGAGTTCTAGCATCAAAAACTACAAGTATGAGTTCACACACTATGTTGGTTTAGTTCTAGCCACATTCGATAACTAACCATGACTATTGCAGATATGAAGTATGCCGGGAAAGCGCGCATGGATGATAAAATACTGATCATGTTTCTAGAATGGGCGTCGTTACCACGCATTCCATGAGGGTTCATACATCTTGGTATGGCAATACGAGAGCCTCGTGATGATTACCTACTGAGTTATTTGTTAGCCCAATGATGAGGAGGAACAAGACAGAATGGATTTCCTCCACCACATTTACAAACTGATGCTGGATGGAGAGCTCAACCTAGCGCCAGTCAAAAACCCTCAAAGAGTGCTAGATCTGGGGACCGGTACAGGAATATGGGCCATTGACTTCGCCGAGTAAGGAGATGAAAACACCTATACTGCCGGTCTGGTTGGAACGTGCTTTTTTGCTGATGACGACAGCGAACACCCTTCTGCCCAGGTTATCGGGACCGATTTGAGCCCCATACAACCTCCATGGTAAATGCTTGTCCTTGTCACTCTCTAGTTTGCGGAACTTTCTGCTGACGACCTCATCTAGGGTACCTTCGAATTGCGTATTTGAAATCGATGATTTCGAGACACCGTGGGTGTTCAAGCGAGAGTTTGACTACATACATGGTCGTGAAATAGAGGGCTGCATAGCCGATGAAACCCAGCTCTTCCGCCAGGCGTTTGCGAATCTCAAGTCTGGTGGATACTTCGAACTCCAGTGTGCTTACCCTTACTGGCTTTCGGACGACGACACCGCGGAAAAAGCAACGAACGCCCAGCTATGGGTCAAACACGCTCGTGAAGCTTCCGAGAAGTTCGGCAAGAGTCTCACAAATGCCCCTCTCTTCAAGGACAAAATGAAAGAGGTAGGATTTGTCGACGTTCATGAAATGGTTTACAAGGTTAGTGTGCTTAAAAAATTCCTTTGGGTATTCCCATATTACGTCTTCTATTTTGTCCTTACTAAATTCAATTTGTAGCTCCCGATTGGCTCATGGCCAAAGGATAAGAAGAAAAAGGAGCAGGGCAAGTATCAGCTAGTCCAGCAGCTTCTAGGGGTGGACTCCTATACTCCGGTGCTTTTCTCGCGCGTTCTCGGGTGGGAGCAAACCGAGATTGAGGTCCTGAAGGCCGGCGTCCGGAAAGAGCTGTCGAATCCCTCCATTCATATCTACATTCCCGTCTACTTCGTGTATGGGCGAAAGCCTTAGGCGAAGAAGGAAGCTATATTGTCTCTCGCCAGTCAAATTCTTTTGGAGCGCAAAATCTGCAGTGCTAGCAAAAACCTCTTGGTTTCTATTCCTATGTTATCGGCATCGCGTTCAATCCGTACATGGTAACTCTGTTTGCAAATGACGGTATAGCGATCACGATAGTAATTCACTTTAGTATGCACCAATTCATTTAGAGACCTCTCATACTCCTGTCTTTCTTGTGATCTTTGGACGCCGACGTCCGCTATAAGTGATCTCTGCAATGTGTCCGTCCACAGGATACAGTGGATTCCCCACTATAATCCGGACACTTCATAAATCAAGTCTGCTACAGCCCAGACAGTTGATCCTCCTGCATCATCATATGGCGGTGCGACCTCAACGACCTCAACACCGATAATATTCAGCGAAGTCAATTTCCCTAGGATAGCATTGAGTTCGCGTGTTGTCCAACCGCCCAGCTCCTGGCAACCAGTTCTAGGCGCCAGGCCAGGTTCTGAGAGGAATTGTGAGCCTAACTACGAGACGGAAGATCTCAGTCATTCTGGGCTTTAACTAAGACATCAATGTCGATGCTCAAGTACACAAGCCTGTCTCCCACTACCTCTCTGATGCGTTGAACGGGGCTATCGATCCCGATTTTGTCTAGTTCTGTGAGTTTTAGATGCCCAAACACAGAAACAACAGTTACCTGCAGTGAACAGACCTTCCGTCTCAATGTACTGAGAGTTCTGCTTCGCATCTTCTTCATAGTCACCATACTCGTTGCCAAATATTCGCGTCCGGAGTCCAGCATGGATATTGCCCTTCTCTGAGATAAGGGTCCTTGTTGCGCGCAATCTAGAACCTTGTTTCTAGTAAACGTATAACTACATATATTGAAATTGCCATTGACTCACCATAGAACCGTGGTCGTAGACTGGTTGTTTCGAAGCCTATTCCCCGGCTAGATTTTGGAGCGACCATCTTATTCGGATTAGAAAAGAGAGAGAGATATCCTCGGTTCGATAACAGTGCAAGTCACGTATCGAGATGGCTGTATGCTTCTATCACTTGATTGCTTGAAAGCAACTGCACTGTCGCTTTTGTGTAATGCACGTTCTGCTGAAGTGATAAATAAGCCTTAGCTTCATGTTCTAGCCTTGTAGAAGAATGTGCAGGATCAAGTATATATTATTCTCATCTTGTTCTATTTATATCATGGAATAGATGCACAGACACACTAGCTGTCTGTCCCCGCGACTACACGATAAGTACGTTGCTTTCGTATTGAGGAGGTCATTGCACCCAGTCGACTTCATTGGGCAGGTAGATAATATCGATAAGCGCCGATTGGCGGGAAAGACCGAGTCGAATTGCGCAAAGAATCTGTTTGGCGGTAATGACCGATTAGAAGCACGATCTGCTGAATCGAACGGCTCCAATATATTTATTTCCCCGTGTCATTCATTGTATTTGATTCGGGCCTCTTGCTGGCTAGTGGAGAACTCGGAGAAGGTCCCCCTCGTTTGTGATAAGCGTTAGTGGTTGATACAGATGATCCTATCTTAGTAGGTACCTATGCTTGATGAACTGTGTAGGCATGTGATGTAAGAGCTATTTCCCCGAGCGGCGGGCTGCTCTTCTTGAAAGCTGTATGGAAAGGTGATTTATTGTCTGTGAGTCTTGAGAGGGGGCTTGGAGCAGGTGTTTATTCCCGATCTGTAAGGCGGAAGGTGGAGGATCTTCGGGCCTGGAACAATCATTGATCAATAAATGGTTCTACATGGCAAATCGGAAAAAAGCAGGAGATCTATCAGAAAGATCTAACCATCTTTCGTCTAGGAAGTTCGGGGTCCGATCCTGGTACTGCGCAAGATAAGAAGGCACCTGCCCGCATATCGGCACGCCAGGACCTCCCTTTGACAACCACTCATACATCCCTTTCCACAGACAATATACCCTTCCATTAATAAAGAAAAATGTCACTCCAAGAGACTGTAACTCAGAACACTGTCTCGTTGTCTGCTCTCGCAGGTGACACGCAGCCCGATGGAAGTGCTGTCCTATATCGGACGCTGCGAGAGCGGCCCAAAACAGTCATCGGTAGCAGCGGTAACTACCTACAACTGGAGAATGGACAAGCAATTTTCGATGCCTCTGGAGGTGCCGCCGTGTCCTGTCTCGGACATGGAAATGAGCGTGTCAAACAGGCTATGATGGCGCAGTTGGAGGCCAATGCGTATTCCTATTCGCTCTTCTTCAGCAGTCCTGCGGGGGAGAAGCTTGCAAAGCTTCTCGTTGACTCTACCGATGGAGTCATGTCCAAGGCACTCATCGTGAGTTCAGGTATGGCATGATCTATCAGGTTTGGGAGACGGGATATTTAACAGAACAATCTAGGTTCTGAGGCCGTAGAGGCAGCTTTAAAACTCTCGCGTCAATACTTCATGGAGCTCTCTCCTCCACAACCACAGCGTATTCGCTTCATTGCCAGAAAACCATCATATCACGGCACTACCCTTGGTGCTCTTTCCGTCGGAGGCCATGTGACTCGACGGGCTCTGTTTGAACCGATGCTCAACCCGAACTTTAGCCATGTGTCGCCCTTCAATCCCTATAGAGGACTAAAGGAGGGTGAAGATATGGAGGCTTACATAGCTCGACTGGCCCAGGAACTCGATGATGAGTTCCAAAGGGTGGGACCTGATACGGTTTGTGCATTCTTTGCAGAACCTGTCGTTGGAGCGGTATGTATGTGTCCATCAATTGTGCTTCCATGACTAAGTGTTCTTTGTAGGCTCTGGGATGCGTTGCAGCAGCCCCTGGCTACTTCAAGGCCATGAAGGCTGTATGTGAACGCTACGGTGCTCTCATGGTAATGGATGAAGTTATGTCAGGGATGGGCCGAACCGGGACACTCCACGCGTGGGAGCAGGAAGGGGTGTCTCCTGATATTCAAACCTTCGGTAAGGCTCTGGGTGCCGGGTATGTTCCCATTGCTGGTCTGCTTGTCAGTAAGAAGGTTGTAGATGTCTTGGATAAAGGCACTGGTTCTTTCGCTCATGGCCAGACATACCAAGGCCACCCAGTGGCCTGTGCCGCTGCATTTGAGGTGCAAACAATCATAAAGGAACAGAAGCTCCTCGAGAACGTCCGCAAAATGGGGGCATATCTAGGCGATCTCCTGAAGCAAAAACTCGACTCACATCCGAATGTCGGAGAAGTCAGAGGTCGGGGCTTGTTTTGGGGAGTGAGTAGTTTCATAACCCTATATACTTACGGTCCAACTAATCATCTTCCAGATCGAATTTGTCAAGGACAAGGCTTCTAAGGAGCCATTTGACACTTCCCTGGGGGTCGCTCAGGCTATCCATAAAAAGGCCCTTCAGCCTGGGTATGACATTTCTGTGCTCCCAGCGACGGGATCTGTAGATGGTACCCGTGGCGATCACATTATCATATCGCCAGCCTACAACATTACAGAGGCGGATGTAGAGACTATTGTTGACCGGGTTCAGAAGGCCATTGAAGACTATTTCGAGTCGCTGAGCGCTTAACTAGACTTCGCTGAATCCTTTCTTGAGAAACTCGGTCTTCTATGAGATAATTCTCAATGGCATTACTAGACTAGACATCAATAGTATCTCAAAGCGAGACTGGTTACTAGTAGGAATGGGAGACAACTACATACTACGTAGATGCTTGCACAATTGCATAGAAGCTTAGTCAGGATATCATTATCACGTGATTGAATAACAGCACCAACCAACGTCGACCGCACAGCCCTTGGCACGTGGTCCATCCAACCATCTGGCAACCGGGAGTTGACAAGCTCAGATATGTTCCAGTTATAGTACTTCTCATAGCTCCTTGATCAAAGTGTCTCCTGATGAGTTATGATTTGAAAAATAGTTAGCCTATATTGCATATTTCCCTTCACATTTCATCACTCAACCATCACATATCCTGGGAGCATCTCAATCGAAGCACGGAAAAGGAGAGAATCGAAGCTCCAAAACCAATCGTGTTTCTTGCAATTTCAACTTTCTTTTATGATACCCCTTTAAGTTCTTTTTTTTTTTTTACAAGAGAGTGAATTTTCCTGTTTGAAGTCCGTGGTGTACAGTGTGCGAAATTGCAGTTTGCTGCAGCACCCCAGACAACACCATGACAGACGGAGAGCCATCATACATAGATTACGAGACTTTTCTCGATCCAAATTTCTCTCCGGCCTCGTTTGCCAATTCTCTTGTCATCAGCACCAACAATGCCAATGACTCTCCCCTGGACCTCTCCACGCCGCTGTCGCGCGTGCTGTTCGATCTCCAGGAGATAGATACGCACATTCATACGCTGACGACCAAATCGGCATTGCCGCTTCTCACGCATACGCGCGAGCAGACGGGATCCGGCCAGCGTGTCGTCGAGCAAGTGGAGGAGCAAGTTGCCTCGTTGACGTCGGGATATCAACGGCTCGAGAAGGAGGTTCTGCGGAAATGGGAGGCGGCCGAAGAAGCCAGAGTGGCTGCGGAGAACTCGTGGGCGACAGTCCGTCTGGCTCGAGCTGTGGCACGGTGTCTTTCCCTAGGGAGACAGCTCGAGGGTCAGCTCGCGGAGCTTTCTGGTCGGGGCTCTACAAGACAGGACCATAAAATATTGTCTGATGCGGCATATGCCATTGTTTCCTTACGACGGTTGCTTTCTGCCACTGGAGAAGGGGAGGAAGGCTATGGCCTTGATCGAGTCAAGGTCGTCCGGACGCTGAGGAACGAGCTCGTGATCCCTGCAGAAAACACCGTCACGACGCGGACGCAGCAGATCATCAACAGATTCTCTATGTCGACTTTACTCGCGGAAGAGAATGGCGGTTCTGCCGGATCGTCGACATACAAGCAGGCTCTTGATGCCAAGGCACGAGTGATATCTGCGATTACGACATTATACATCCTTTCACCAGCTCCTAGACCCAAGACTCCGGCGTCTGAATATCGTCCAGAACTCCTCCTTTCGACTCTGCAAGGATACATGCATACTTCTCTAACCACGTCTCTGAGCGCGCTGACCAAAGCGCTCACTATGCTCCCGACGCTCGAGCGTACTCTCGTCGAGATCTCCGCTCGGTGTCAAGATATTGTCGCTCTCGAGACGATTCTCGGCACCTTACGTCCACCAACCCATCCGCTCTTGGAATCACAAACTCCTCCACCAAAGGAACTCCCTACGACTGCCCAGGATACAGAGAAGCCATTCCAGTCGCCTAGCGACCAAGCCCAGAGCGGGACTGTCACAACAACCACAACCACAACATCATCATCATCATCATCTACGACCGACAACCTCCTCCAACCGCTCCTCCAGTCGCTCGACACGTCTTCACTCCCCTCCTACTTTTGGCGCTCTCTCGCTTCGTCCCTTCGGTCTCGCGTCCACGATATCGTCAGTCGTGGTGGCGTTTCCGCCCGAACGCTCAAGTCGAACGGCGACCGACTGCGGGCTGAACTGCGCGAGTGCGTGCTGCGCGGCTCGCAGCTCCCGGCGGCTAGTGTGCTGGGGAGAGAGAAGGGGTTGAGTAAGCGGGATGCGACCGATCAGCCTGTTGTAGTGGGTAATTGGGAGAGAGAAGCAGCTGTGATGGTTGGTGCGGTGGTGAATACGTTGGGGAAATAATGAATTAGATCGATTACGGTTGGGTTTGATTATAGCATATAGCATAATAAGATTCGATGCGTGCGAATGAAGATCTCTTTTGTGTATGTCTTGTCTAGTTTTACTACATGTAGTATCCCCATCATAGATGACATATTTGATATTCCCAGAATCAAGCATCTTCTTTCTGCTCGATTATACGGAATCGGGCGATACAACATTCCTAGCTCCCTTGTCGTAGTCCGTCAATGATTACGCACGCAAAACTAAGGAACGCATATTGTCGAGAGAAAACTAGAGTAAATTAATTTCCTGAATACCTACTGAATTCGTCTATTGCGACTTTCGTTTCCAGCCCCAGGAGATAGGAAGCGAGCCAAGTATCCCCATAACTAATACCCGGACATGGAGTAAAGAACCGGAGTAGCGACAATAACCAGTCTTTTTCTTCAGATTTCGGTTCCAGTTTACCCTTTCCTGGATAGAGAGAGAGAGAGAGTGTGTGTGTGTGTGGTCTAGACGACAATCGACTTGACTCGTGTGGTCCTGGTTCCACAGGCGTGGATGATGTGTACATACTACATACCTACCTAGTTACATACGTATTATATCAAGACGACTTCGTGCTTGTTGCTTTCTTTTTTTTTCGTTTGATCGCTTGCTTTTCCCTTCTTTTTATTGAAGATCCCATAAGGAATGGGATGGCATTGGTACCTACTGTACGGAGCAGTGAGCATCAAAAGAGAGATTGATCGTTGCTTGGCAAAAAGTCAATTAATTCCAAACCAGGTTCGTCTGAATAAGGACCTCACTTTCTGAACCAGATCCAGAGAGAATTTAGGTACAACGATGCTGAAACCGTCAGAGAAATGCTGATGGAAAGGTAAAAAATGTTAAAGTTAAGTAAAGTAAAGTTAGGTGAGGTGAAAAGAGGGGGAAATTGATAGCGAGCAAATAATTCCGCTTTCAATCACGAGCAAGAAACGAAGTAGGTAGTTCCTCGATGTAACTACTACTACTACTACTACTACTACTGTAACTCGGACGCTCGTTCGTCCGTGCGGACCAGGACCAGCAGGGCCAAAAACCTTGGCATTATTATTTGTTCACCGCAAGGGAACCCGTGCCTGGATCCAGGCACGCAGACACCGTTACTCGCTGCGTTGAATGTCGGCTGATAAGTTAGGTAGGTAGGTATCCTGATTCGAATCAAAAACCGACCGGTCGAGAACTCCCCTGTGCCCTTTGTCGATGTTCGTCAAGGGAGACAGACCTGGATGAACTGCGGGAGAAGAGTAGAGAAAAGAAAAGAAAGTTCACGGTATTATTTTGCCTGAGATCAACAAATGTATAGGTTGCAAGGTTGTTCGGATATCGTCGCAGTGCGCTGTTCGATCCGCGCGTCTCCTAGCTTACGGCTGTGGCAAGAGTCAAGTGGGGTCCGGGCAATCGAGATCCAAGGGCCCGCTGCTCGGACGTCCCATTGGACAGGAACTGCGGACGATATGGTATGGTATAGATAGGATGAATTTTGAAACCTAGATATCATACAGAAACGATAGGGTCGTGGGAGACTCTGATCATTTGGTATATTATTGATGTTGGAAAGCTGGGAGGCGAGAAAGATCCCATGGTGGCCCGTGAGCCCTGCGCAGGGGACGTGTCAGTCCATCGACGATTCGATCAACGACAAATAAGACAAATGTTCACACCGCCCACACCGCCCTCCCACCTTCTCCACCACACCCGTAAGGAAAATCAAGATCACCCTCGATTCCTCGAAGTTCGAACTCGCCTTTCTGCCATTCACATTGTGTTATTATTGTCTCTTGTCCGACAGCAACCTGTTTTACTACTTGCGAGAGAGGAAGGAATGGGACACCTAGATAGTTATTTTTTTTTTCTTTCCCGGTTGGTGACTCCGAACTCGATGACTCTGTTCGCAACCTGAGACTCTCAGGAGGGGGGCATGTCATGTTGTCGCATCCTGTCAAAGACGTCAGCGTGCGATCAGGGCGTAGACTAGAGGTTGTTAGTGGACGAGCTCAGGGCGCCTGTCGATCCGGATCTGTCCATCGTACGATATCGATAAGGCGCAGGTACCTCGTTTGTACATGACCAGTGCCTGACGGGGCCTGTCACCCAGTGTACCCGACAGGTACCCGGGGCGCCATGGCGAGCTCTCTGGCTTAGCTAGTCAGGCTAGTTAGTCTACATAGCTAGGCTGCTGTTATCTACTATGTATGTATGTACTGTACAATAATTATTCATTATACAGTATCTAGTAGTGTAATATTAAATACAACTGCAATGTGATATGATATGATATGATTATTACTAGACTCTCCTGTATGGTCAAACTTCCACCAAGTAGTAGCTAAGTCCCTGAACGAACAGAACAGCTCGCAGGGTTCCTTTCTTCTCCTTCTCCCCCCGACCCTGGTGGCGCGGCTCTCCCCCGGGGTCTGCCAACCAGCAGCCCAGTCGCCCTCCCGCGAGCATCCATCGTCACGGTGGATCATACATCATCGGTGTGGGAGCCAAAAAGTCTCTGCGCTGCCCTCACCTTTTTTTCCCTCCAGCCTGGCTGCTGGGAAGTACCAATCTGCAACCTGCGTCTCCCTGAACGCTGTTGAGAGCCAGCCAGGATGGCACCGGAACCTGACGGTCGAGCATAACTGGGACCTGCGATGTCATAGCACCGTCGACACGGTAGTATCATGTCACACGGTGGTTACGAACGAGTAATAGGTAGGTAGGTAGGTAGGTAGAGCAATACGTAGTCTCTCTCTCTCTCTACTTTCTCTCTCTCTCTCCTACTTACCGTTTGCGGATATCGCGGGAGGGGGATCAACGAAAGAGCAGAGTCAAGCGAGAGCGGGGGAGGCGCTCATCTTCGCCGCTGGAGGGGAAGATCGAACCTACAAAGTTTGCTGAATGCAGTTAACTGCTCGCCATTGTTCGACTTCTATACTCCAGCGGGCAGAGAGGCTCTATCAGCCTTCTAGAATACCTGGCACGATACAATCCAGCCCGGAGAGCGAAGATCGTCTGCCTTGCTCCAGGGCTATCGTCGGCGGCAGAGCCGATCCCTGCGGTTGGAGACAGACCAGACTCCAGAGACAAGCGGGTTGGAAACGCCCCGTATTATTAAAGTTTCCCACCTCGCTCTGATTTACTCTTTTGTCGCTGCTTGCGATGACGACTCGCTTGCCATGTGCTTGGGACGCTGGAGGCCGATGATTGCTTGCTTGCTTGATTGATTGATGGGCGCAGAATGGGTCGGATCCGCAGCTGCAAGAGGCTCGTTGGAAGATGATGAACGTGTTCTCTGCTGCTGGCTTGCCTTGTCTTGTCTTCATATTATCATGTATTACTGTACATACGTATGTATGTATGTATGTAGCGAACAGGCAGCTGAACGAACAAGGCTGGCCCAGCTCGGGGAAAATGTTCGCCATCGGACAAAACTCGATTTTCCTGGGGGGACGGTTTCATGGTTGGGTTGTCAGGGACGTGGATAAGATGAATGGATCAGAAGAAGACCTTCCGTGGATCGGATCGGATCGTTGGTTGGTTGCAGACAGTCAGAGAGACACGGACAGCATGACAGATAGGTGATAGTAGGGATCCATCATCATCAATAATCCATCGATCAGTCCATCTTTCAATCGTTCCAGAACTCACGTCAGCTGGTCGTTGTATGTACATAACCATCTATCCCAAGGACAACAGCCTCTTGTTTCGTTTCACGCCAGTCCAGGCACACGAGATGCTAGTGCTCGATGATTCATGACTCGGATCGATTGGGAACCCCCATCCGTGGAAGCGATTGTGCCCGCCAGGAAGGCAAGGGTTCCTGGTGCCTCAGAGAGTCAGCATCCTGTGATATCCACGGTTCATCGGCAGCGATAGTATATGTCAATTCTCATCGAGCCTGAATCTCTCCGGTAACTCGCTCGCCTTACCAGCACAACGACTCGGACCCGCCATTACAAGCGCCGTTCTGAGTCTAGCGTTCCTGATAAACAAACCCAGCGCCCGCCAGCTGCCTCGCTGCATCTAGAAGAATGATTTTGCAAAAGAGTTAAAAAAGAGAGGGAAAAAAAAGAAGAAAGGAACGGAAAGATTCTAGACATCCATGGCCTTCCGTCCAACTGTCGTCGTAGGCTCTTTTTTCCCTTCCCCATCCTCTCCGCCGCTCTCATCATCCTCAGCATCATCATCATCTCTATCTACCATACGCCGTAAGACACTCGCCGTAAATTGATAATTCTCACCACGAGAAAGCCAGCCTTGCGCCGTTTTTGTTTGGTGCTCCCCTCGTTGCTGGTGTTCGAACGTCCCATTCGCCTGCTGCTTCGGCTGAACCGGTCGTCCAGCCTTTTTTTCTAGACCCGTCAGCTGTCGGGTTGTTGTTGCTTTCTGCTCTTCTGCTGGGGGCCGTGGCCCGTTCGACTATCTAATTTAATTAACTGACTTGCTGCGACGAAACGTCCTGGACTCGACACGGCCCAGTCCCTTTTTTTGCCTTTGCCCTGTCTTGTCTTGTCCTCCCCTGTCCCTTTTCTTCTTTCCCCTCCTCCCCCTCCTCTTCCTGCCCCTCGCTTCCCTCTCGTCGCCGACCGTCGTTTCCGATAAGCCTCTCTCACTCTCGGGTCCTTGTATCATCGTCCCTGCCCTGGCCCGGTCAAGCATAACCACCACTACCACCACCATCACCACCACCCTGCCCGGTCCCTCCTCTCCCTCTCTCTTATTCTCTCTCCTCTCTCTGCTGGATTCTTCCTTTTCCCTCTGATTTTCCCAATCAGACGGTTTCTCCTCCATCGGGTTCCCGTCTGTACCGTTCCATCCTTCCCGTCGAAACCACGCACGCACTTCTCCCGTCAGCGCTGGCCAAGACCGGCTACTGGTCAACCGCTCCCGCTGGCGAGATAGCAGGATTGCAGAACGTCGACCGTCCCTTGCATCCTCTACCGCTCCCTCTCTCGAGGAGAAATGCTCCGGTGCAGCTGACGGATCGCCCCATCTGTTCGTCGCGACGTTTCGCCCTTGCTTGGTCGCCCTCTTCTGCCGCTGTGGCCTGCTGTGTTTCGATCCAATCTACGCTTGGCAAAGCTGCCTGCGACTCGCTGCGGCTGATCGGAGATAATAATCTTTTGACACTGGTATGTCTCCGGTTCTACTGGTGTCGTTTGAACTCGTGCTGCGATCTATGCCCGCTCGCATGCTTACCATCTGATCTCAAGTATCCACAGTTAGCTCATCAAGCCGCACCGCGAGATCCAAAAACCAGACGACGCGATCCTCATTTCCCGAAAGGGGCATACATCTCGTCTGTCTGCCTCTCCCCCTCCCTAACGTGGTCCGCAGACGACGAGGGCGCACTGGTAGCGATCTAGAGTCGATCGCGAAATACGATTACAGAATCCACTCTTCCGGTAGCCAGCGTGGTTCTGCTGCGACAAGATCAGAATCCCACACTGACATTTTCTCGTGCCGCACAAGATGACTTCGTTTCTACCAGTGAACAATATCCCCGCGCCTCGGGATCACACCATGGATGATGCTACGACACCTACAACTCCTCGACCGAACTCGACTAATCTACCTAGAAAACACGAGAGCTCTCCGCAATCACAAACGAAAAATAGTGAAGACGGCACTCAAAATACACAGAACTTGGCTGAAGAAGGCTCCCGGTCGAATGATACGGCACAGTCGAACTCGGCTTCTTCGAATAAAGAAAGCCGCTCCCCACAGCAAGCTACAGACGACAACGCTGCTGAATCAGATGGTGATCGGGATGGTTCTGGAAACGAGTCTGATCATGGTGGATCTGGGCCTCCTTCAAAGAAGAAGAAAGGACAGCGCTTCTTCTGCACGGATTTCCCGCCTTGCAACTTGAGCTTTACCAGAAGTGAGCATCTCGCGCGGCACATTCGGAAGCACACTGGAGAGCGTCCCTTCCAATGTCATTGTTCCAGACGGTTTTCACGCCTCGACAACCTGCGCCAGCATGCTCAGACTGTTCACGTCAACGAAGAGATCCCTGGCGATTCCCTTGCCGCCACAGGCACCCGATTTCAACGCCAGATTCGTACGGACCGCGTTCGACCTCAAGGCAGAGCGCGAGCAGGTACCGCAGGCAGTCAAGGAACACATAGTCGGGGTCATAGCAGAAATCTTTCCGCTTCCAGCATCACCTCGACAGCGTCCACTTTCAGTCAGAGCCAGGACATTCGACGTCGGCCTCCACCTTTGATTATGGCCAATGACGGCACGGCAAGGGCCAGGTTGACACTGGACACGATGGGTGAACCTCCGACTACACCTCCCGCCCAGATTCGAGTTGGACCGCCAGGTCAGTCTCCTAGTGGACCGCATTATGCACCTGCGAGTGCGTTCCCTTCTGCCGGCGGCAGTCCTCATTTCGGCTCTCCCATGTCGAGCACTTCGCATGCTTCTGGATTCTGGGACGGCAAGACAGCTGCCCGCCGTTTGTCTGTCCCATCAGGACCCAACCCATTCATTCCTCCTCATGGCACCACATATCCTCCCACCTATGTCAGTTCTCTGCCTCCCTCTCATCCTTCATATTCAAACAGCGGCGTCTTTGCTAGCCCTGCCAGCTCGAATTACTCTTTGTCGCGGGAAGAGCCCACCCTTAGCCCCGCTGAAGCGGAGTTGCGGAGGAGGACGTGGCACCCCTCGACTTATTCTGGCTATCCCAGACCCGCGACAAGCGGTTTGAGCCACTACCAGACCCCCGAGACTCTGCAACCCGCGTTCGGGTCCGGCACCTCAGGGGAACAGCCACCTCGGCTGCCAGGTATTGAGAGCTTCGACAAAGTGATCCCACAGCATCGGCCAATGACACCCCCGGTTCGTAAACCGAGCCCAATGCAGATTGACGGTGGAGGTAGACCGCAGGGAATTACGCCAGGCTTTGCTCCCCATGGACTACCAACTGTTCGTCCGCCACCTCCGATCTCCGGCCCAGGACATCGACGGGGCCATGTTTCCTGGGACATGTCTCTGCACAGACTCGATATCTCCGACAGACCTTCGCCGAGAGATCCGCCGCACTGGGGATCAAGCAGCATTCCCGAAAGTCACAGTACAGTGTCGCGTACTTTTGGTCCATACGGAGTGAGTCGTGACCATCCGGACAACCGTGAGCCGGGCCAGGCTCCCGAACCGAGCACTCCGCAGAATAAGAGAAGCTCATGGTATAATGGACCGCCATCTAGTAATGTCCCTGGCTCTCAGGCGAATCGTACGTCTCCTGAAGATTCCAGCAGCAGCGAGGGTGTGACCACGCCCTCGACCTCCTCCCTCGAGTACCATCCAGCTATAGTACACAGCAATGGTTATGTGGAGCCTCACCATCCACCGCTCCCGGTTGAAGCATCTCACAGTGTACGCACAACTTCTCTCTAACCCTCAGGAATTAGTGAATGTTTTTTGCTGATCTATTGCAGGCCTGTGCTCCACTCCCTCATCCAGCTCCTGGTTATCAAACGAATCCTGGGAACGGCGCACGTTCAGACTTCTTCGGGGCTTCTTCCAACCACGGAGGTGGCATGGGTCGCTTGGAGGCTCTTGTGGCTGTTGCAACCAGTGAGAATAAAGGGGGAACAAAGCTCTACATTTGAGAGGAGACAGATAATACATGATGAATTGTCATATACTCGGCCAGGCTGTTGATACTTCCTCGCAGGAGATTAGCAGCGATTGACCCCCCTTTTTCGTGTGTGCCGAAGACTATCCGGCCTTCCGGTTCCTTACGTCGGTCTTTTCTTTTCTTTCTTTTTTTCCCCGTCTCCTTCGGTTTGAAATAAGGGTACTCTCTGGTATCTACCTCTCCTTCTGTCGTTGCGTTCCTTTCTATATCCGAGGAAGGACATTCGCTGAGTGATATCTGCCGGTTTATCCTTTACGAAGCGACGACCTTACGAATGATGCATAAATGCGGTTCCTACGAGATCTGGTTCCCATGTTCCTGCGGTGATTTCCATCTGTCGACTTATCCTTGTGTTCGTGATTACTTTGTGTGTGTGGCTTCGCGTTGATTATTTTCCGCTGCTGGCGCAAATGGTCCCTGCATCGAGATACCCTGGCCTTCCTGATTCCGTCATGAGGGTCTGGCAACGCAGTCTCTTCTCGGTTGCGGCACGGCTTTCTTTCTCCGCTCTCGTCTGGGCTGTATCTGCCGACCTTCTGCTACCCGGGGAGGGCTCTGCATCGCCCTTCTATATAATCATTGCTATATACGGCTGGGAATTTCACTTCAAGTATATGTCTTAGTAGCCTTTCTGCTTGTACTGGACTGGTTCCGGGACTTATTGGTTATCCGAGCTTGCGGCGCTGGTATTTTGAAGAAATTACAGAATGACTGATGACTTATCTTTATGACGGCGCGGGTAGGATATGCGCTGATCGTTGCTCGCCTTGAGTATCATTTTCGTTTACTTGAGCAGTGTTTCTGATGATTGAGTCTCCTTCTGGTCCTGCGTTCTACATTCACCTTGGTTAGATTCTGACGGTTTGCAATATGCGCTTAGACGGTTCCAGTGTAGTCAGATTCAATCGATTCCACTTTAACTGCATTGTTTTGGATATATCCGACTCGAGTGCTAGTGCGGTGTGTTCAGCAGGAGATGAGCACCGCTGGCGCGGGGTTCCCGCAGCCGAAACATGCAGTCTGCTCAGTAACTAGCGTGCATTGGAGCCAATTGAGGATGCAACACGACCCTGATTTAAAAATAGGTGACCTGGCGCCTGCAGGGCTCCGTTAATAGCGTGTCTGGAAGAAGTTCCCCTCTTCTGGCGTCCTTGAGACGTGCAGTTGTTGAAAAGGATGAATTCAGATGGCGATGACTTCATAGGTGGTACCTACCCACTCCCCCACCATTGGCGTCAAAGCACAAGTACCTGCCAGGTATTAAATTATTATTGGGGATGCTTTATTCGCAGCCAACTTGGCATTCAGTCGAATATATTTCCCGAGGTAATAATATTCGATTCAAAGTATACTAGTGCTCTTCTTCATCGTGGGGCATTATTACGTGATGACTGGTCGTTGACGTCTTTCGTTCCTCGTTTTGGTTAATAGCTGACCTGCTCCGGCATTCCACTTGCCCATGTTCGGAGGGGACCGTAGTTAGCAGTAGTTAGTAGTTAGAATTGAATATGAACTTTTCTCGAAGGAAGAAGTAATAAGCACTCGATACAATTAATTTCCTAATGATCATATCTAGGTATTTAGATACCATGATAGGAGCATCTACTTAGCACGCACCGGACGCAACCAAAGAACGAGCGGGACATTGCGATGCGAAAAGAACAAAAATGCAGGTTTAGTTATTTTACTTCCCGTTTCAATAATACTAGCAGGACTTGAAATCCAGAGAAGTACATACGTAGAGTATATGTGGTAATGCTACAGGCTGGGAACTGAAACTGAGTTAACGTCATCGTGCCCGGTGACTTTCCGGGGTACGACGCTGTGCCTCTGTTCCGCTCGGGCGATTTAAATACGGACTGGCTTTGCTCCTTTTTAAAGTGTTCAATCATTCAGATTTATTAGTATTCATTGAATCTGGGGGGCTTGCTATCCTCACGTCCTCACATACATAAATACATACTACCTTGCCCTACTCTACATTACATCCTCTACACTCTACCGCCCATCATGTCGAAGAGCCGCACCCCTCTCTACTTGGGTCTCGGTCTGGCCGGTGCCGGAGGCTACTACCTGTACAGAGCTGGTGGTGATCCCCAGAGGGCCAAGAATGAGGTGAAGCGTAAGTAGCCCAGTTACCTAGCAAGATGGGGTTTCGAATATCAGTTCGATGGGAGTTGCATGTGTCTGACTGACTGAATGACTGACTGACTGGGGTACGCAGACGATGCTGAGCGGGCACGCAGCAGGATCCCCACGGGACCCGAAGCTGAAAAGATTGGAGAGAAAGTTGGATCGGAAGCTGGCGCCAGCATTGATGAAGCTGTAAGTTGCCTCTCTCTGGCATACAAAACCGAATCATCCATCCCGTTCCGGACTCGAGGAAACAAACTAACATGGAACCCTTTTTTTTTTTTTTAGGTCAACAACGCCAAGGACCTGGCACGAAGCAATGGAGACAATATCAGACAGTATGCCAATGAGGGTATTGACAAGATCGATCAGATCCGTCAGGATACCGCCAAGAAGCTAGGCACGAGTGTCGACAAGCTCGACAGGACTGTGGAGAACAAGGCGTCTGAGGCTAAGAGTACCCTGTCCAGCTGGTTTGGAGGTAGTAGCAAGTAAAAGGATAAGGGAAAATAGGTAAAATGGCAGGGCGATAATAATAATAACTTGACTGGGTTTTCCTGATTGGGAAAAAAAGCCTAGTCGAGCGAGTCCTTTGGGCGGACCGTTGCCATGGGATCTCTTTTTGGATTCTTAATTTGTGGATCATGATCGAAATGTCTGTCTGTATTGTAATGTTGGAACGTTGAGCTATGAATGCGATGCTTTTCTTTTTCATGATTATTTCCAGAGCCTGCTCCCGCTCCCCAAGGGCTCTTTTTCTAGATGTTCACATCGTGAGCATGGATTCGTAAAACCATACCAACACGACCGTGACCATTTAAATACACTCGATCGATGTCAATTAATATACCTCGAGTCGCTTGAAAAGGAGCTGTATGTAGCGCGGGCTAGATATCATACTCCACATTCCGACAACCGTCGTAAAATTGCCGTGGCGATGCCGCACTAAGACGCCTCGGAACATTCCTCCCAACTCCGCTTGTCGTAGGAACGAACATATAGATATGATAATATAGTAATAGCATCTTGAATAGAATAAAATCAATGAACACAAAAAAAAAAAGAAGAGACGCTGGTTGTTGCACCAAGATGAAGTATTATTAGTTTTGCGAGAATACGATATAACCCGATCGGGAACTTGATGCGCGAAAACGCGGTCCGACGCGTGTTTTCCCCCTTTGTTTTCGCGTCGATCGAGCTCGAGATCTTCTTCGCCAAAACGGGGGGAAAAAAGCTGAGGGTCGAGGCTGAAAGGCTAGACTAGCAAAAAAAAGCACGAGCCCTCCCCTCTGTCTCTGTCTCTTTCTGTGACAACGTCAACAGATCTCTTTCCTGATAAAACTCATTGGGGGGTTCATGTTTCCTATTCTATGAACATTGTGTGTCGTTGTTGGCTTTTTTTTTTCGTCTTTTACTTTAGGAAAGTATAAGTTACTCTTATACCATACTCTACTTCTTTTTTAAAAAGATAATAGACAAGAGGGCAGGTACAATGCCTCGTGCCTCGACGACCGCCATGACGACGCGACGAACCAGTCTGCGATCCACCAGGCCAGGACAACAACCGGGCATTCAGACCTTCGCAAGAGCAACCAAGCCCGGAACCAGGACGTCGATAGGCCCTGCCGACGAGAAGAAGAAGTCTCAGTTTCAGCAGACACAGACACCGCTGCTTCCGTCGTCTCCGTCGAAGAAGCGCAAATTGAACGAGATCGGGCAGGTGGAATGTGTGTCTGAAGAGAAGAAGGAGGAGGAGGGGGTCGCGAGGGACGTGACGGCCACGCCGTCGAAGACGTTGCGGTTTAGTGAATTGGCTCTTTCGACGCCTAGGAGGACAAAGTCGGCTCCTCCACGGCCTCTTAGGAGGAGGACGGAAGCCTCGCGGGAGGAGTCGCCGTCACGGACCCCTAGTGTTGAGGAGGAGGAAGAGTCTTCGTCGTCGTCGGCGGTAGAGGAGGCTGACTCGAGGCCTACGTCGCCTGAGGAGGAAGAGTCGCTTGTTAAGGAGCAAACGTCGCCAATTGCTCGACCGGCGTGCTTTGACGATCTGTTGAATCTGCACTCGTGCTTCCTGTCCGCTTTATCACTACATTATGCACATAACGGCGCGTCCACACCGGCTGATTTGAAAGAGTTTTTGCCCAGCGTGCAGAAGATCTGGAAGAAGCGCAAAGTCGTCACAAAGGACTTGCAGCGGTTAGTTCAGATCTGGGACGAGGAGGGTCCTTCGTCTGCAGGCGTACGGTTTCGCATCGCCAACTACGGTCTGGGGAAAGTGTGTCTGGAAATTGTGGCTGCGACGGGACAAACCACGCGGCCGCTGGATGAGAATGAACTGCAATGGCAGTTCGAGCGCAGGCTGGACTGGGTGTGGAAGAGATTGGTGGACTCGGTGCCGGATCTGAAAGGGAAGGATCAGGTGGAACTGTTGGACTTGTTGGATCTGGCTCCTATTCATGAGTCGCTTACCGCGTTCACGTCCTTCCGCAAGGGACAGCAGCGGTTACAGGATCTTAGGGGAGGTGTTATCCGCGTGAAGACGGCCATGATGAAAGCAAAGATGCAGGTTGATGACTCGACGCCCAAACCACCTGTCGTGGCCGCGACGGCCCGTCGAAAGGGGCTTCTGGATCGGATCAAGAACAAAGAGCTCAGGCAGTCGAAGCTGCCGCCGCCTCCTTCGAAGGAGATGCTTCTCCGGCGGTCTGCGGCTGAACGTGTCGAGGAGGTGGCCAGAGTCCTGATGGTCCTTAGACCGAGTGGTGTTGTGGGCACGGGACCCTGGGCTATTGCTGCGTCTCAGAGGAAGCCGTATAGCTTAGGTGCCGTGGTGCGGAATGTGCAGGATTCAGTCCGCAGTCCGATCTCGGACAAGGAGGTAGAGATCTGTTTGGATATTTTGACTCGAAAGGATATTGCCGGAGACTGGGTGAAACTGGTCACCGTTAATGATCTGCGATCCGTGGTGCTGGGATCCGGTCGAGGGATCTCGCCTTCAGATATCGGTACGAAAGTCAGTGCTCTGAAGATTGGGTGGGAGGATCCCACCCTGTACTGAGTATTTTTCTTCTCTTATTATTTCGTACTCGACGGATACCAGAGCGAAGGCGTACGGTTTTTGCATTGTTTACGGAGTTTTGGATGCATTTGGAAAGCAATGAGATAGATGGGACGCTACGTTCTCTACGGCCTCATTCTGTATTTCTTGTATGTGTTACAGTGCAAGTGGCCTGTGTCTGCCGCATTAGATAGCATACTATGAATCATTATAATAACACTAATTAGCCAGAACTGTGGTGTTGTTGATATCTTGGTATAGTAAATATAGTCAATAAAAATAACAACCCATCAAACCACTTAAGAGGCTGCGGCGCGAGACGCGTTTTCACGTGACCGTGTCGGAGCGGCGCGTCGCTTCTCATGGCCGATAAGTCGATTCATTATTATTATCGAACTGTCAGTTTGCCAGTTTCCACCAGACTTGCCTCGAAGGACAGATTGTGGTACTCAGCACGATCTTGTTCATACGACTCCCGGCAAGATGTCTTCACGGCCGGATCTCAAGGTATGGAAATCTTCTCCAACATCAAATGTCCAGCTCTCTTGCGAGTCTAACCATCTGCTTTGGTACAATACACAGGTCGACGACGAAGTCGGTTTCATCCGCTTCTTCCGTTCCCTCCCCCAAAAGGACAGCGATGATACGATTCGAGTCTTCGACCGCGGTGACTGGTACACGGCCCACGGGGCCGAGGCCGAGTTCATCGCACGCACCGTTTACAAGACGACCTCTGTGCTCCGTACGCTTGGCCGCAGCGACTCTTGCGGTCTACCCTCCGTTACTATGAGCGTGACTGTCTTCCGGAACTTTCTACGCGAGGCGCTCTTTCGACTGAGCAAGCGTGTGGAAATCTGGGTTTCCGCGGGCTCGGGTAAGGGACAATGGAAGCTGGCGAAGCAGGCTAGTCCTGGTAATCTGCAGGACGTGGAGGAGGAACTGGGCGGATCGGGTGGCATGGCGATGGATTCGGCGCCTATTATATTAGCAGTCAAGGTATCGGCGCGGGCGTCGGAGGCGCGAAATGTCGGAGTGTGTTTTGCAGATGCGAGCGTGCGAGAGTTGGGTGTTAGCGAGTTCCTGGATAATGATATCTATTCGAACTTTGAGTCGCTGGTGATTCAGCTCGGTGTGAAGGAGTGCTTGATCCAGGCGGATGGTGCGAAGAAGGATGTCGAGTTGGGTAAGCTACGTGCTATTCTGGATAGTTGTGGCATTGCTATCAGTGAGAGACCGGTGGCGGACTTTGGCACTAGAGACATCGAGCAGGATTTGACGAGGTTGTTGAGAGATGAACGGTCTGCTGGTACGTTGCCGCAGACGGAGCTGAAGCTGGCTATGGGTTCGGCGGCCGCTTTGATCAAGTATCTTGGTGTGATGTCTGATTCTACGAATTTCGGCCAGTATCAGCTCTACCAGCATGATCTGTCGCAGTATATGAAGCTCGATGCGTCCGCTCTGAGGGCGCTCAATCTCATGCCCGGTCCGCGGGACGGATCGAAGAACATGAGTTTGTACGGATTACTTAACCATTGCAAAACGCCTGTGGGGAGTCGGTTGCTTGCGCAGTGGCTGAAGCAGCCGCTTATGGATCTCAATGAGATCGAGAAGAGACAGCAGCTGGTGGAAGCTTTCGTCAACGACACGGAGCTACGACAGACGATGCAGGAGGAGCACCTACGCTCGATTCCTGATCTCTACCGACTTGCCAAGCGCTTTCAGCGCAACCAGGCGAATTTGGAAGATGTGGTGCGTGTGTATCAGGTCGTGATCCGCCTGCCGGGCTTTGTCAACACCCTTGAGAATGTCATGGATGAACAATACCAGACTCCGCTGGAGACGGAGTATACGTCGAAGCTGCGACAGTTCTCTGACAGCATGAGCAAGCTTGAGGAGATGGTCGAAACCACTGTCGATCTGGATGCGTTGGAGAACCATGAGTTTATCATCAAGCCCGAGTTTGATGACAGCCTCCGCATTATCAGAAAGAAACTGGACAAGGTCCGGTATGACATGGATGTGGAGCACCGGCGCGTAGGCAAGGACCTCGGCCAGGAGGTCGACAAGAAGCTGTTCTTGGAGAACCATCGTGTGCATGGATGGTGCTTCAGACTGACCCGCACGGAGGCGGGCTGCATTCGACACAAGAGGGAGTATCAAGAATGTTCAACACAGAAGAACGGCGTCTACTTCACCACTTCCACTATGCAAGCTTTACGACGGGAGCACGATCAGCTCTCGTCCAATTACAACCGGACTCAGGCTGGCCTCGTGCACGAGGTTGTCGGTGTTGCAGCGTCATACTGCCCTGTTCTCGAGCGGCTGGCCGGTGTTCTGGCGCACCTCGATGTCATTGTCAGCTTTGCGCATGTCTCTGTCCATGCTCCCACGCCGTATACTCGTCCTAAGATGCATCCTCGTGGCACGGGCAACACGGTTCTCAAGGAGGCACGTCATCCCTGTATGGAGATGCAAGATGACATCTCTTTCATCACCAATGATGTGTCTCTCGTTCGCGATGAGTCGTCTTTCCTTATCATCACCGGTCCCAACATGGGCGGTAAATCCACCTATATTCGACAGATAGGTGTTATCGCGCTCATGGCTCAGACGGGATGCTTCGTTCCTTGCTCGGAGGCCGAGCTAACCATCTTCGACTGCATCCTCGCCCGCGTTGGTGCCAGTGACTCTCAGCTCAAGGGCGTCTCGACCTTCATGGCTGAAATGCTCGAGACAGCTAACATCCTCAAGTCTGCTACGTCCGAATCGCTGATCATCATCGATGAGCTGGGCCGTGGCACGAGTACCTACGATGGCTTTGGTCTCGCCTGGGCTATTTCTGAGCATATTGTCACCGAGATCCGCTGTTTCGGTCTGTTCGCAACGCACTTTCACGAACTCACCGCACTCGCGGATCGTTATCCCAAATCAGTCAAGAACCTGCACGTCGTCGCATTCATCGGCGATGACGCAGACGGCGAGAATGCAGATGAGCAAAAGCCGAAGAAGAAAAAGCGCGAAGTCACTCTTCTATACCGAGTTGAACCTGGCGTCTGCGATCAATCATTCGGTATCCACGTTGCCGAACTGGTTCGCTTTCCTGAAAAGGTCGTTAACATGGCACGTCAGAAGGCCGAAGAGCTGGAAGACTTCACCTCCGCCACTGCAGATAAGCCAGAGGCACAGCCTGCTAAGAGCCTCGATGGCTACTCCCAGGAAGAACTGGAGGAGGGCAGTGCGTTGCTGAAGGCGATGCTCTTGAAATGGAAGGAGGAGGTCGAAGCGCCTGGAAAGAATCTCAGCGTTGAGGAGAAGCGGCAGGTCATGAGGGACTTGGTTAATGCTGATGAGAAATTGCGCTCGAATAAGGTCTTTCAGGGTATTAAGGCGTTGTAAGTAGGATAATGTAAGGTACGGATTTCTGTTTGTTAAATTGTTTTTTTCTCGGGATATAATGGTGTTCGGAGAGGATTTTATGGTTATAGGTAGTTAGTTAGTTTATGGACTATAAAGGGCATGGCATGAATACTGTATGTCTGTGATTGTTTAGGAATCGTAACGCTTTCTATATTTGTCCTTTCTTCTACTTGTACATCTTATCCCTCAGCAAACAGAAAGGGGACGTTCTTATTTAGGAAGTCAGGCTAAGTTAATACATACTTTCTATTCGGCAGTAGGTGAACAACGCCGAGAGTAATAAATGATACATTATCCACAAAATCTAGTAACTAGTTTTATATCTAACGGTAACTCTAATAGGAATCTCCACTTCATAAAAGATAGCGGCTGAAAGTACGGATGACTAGAGTGCTAGACTATTTCAGAAAATCTTGATGATCCCGCTAGGAAACCTCGTCCCACCTGCACTTAGCGGTATCCGTGTATTGTGTTACATGGTCTAAGTACTATATTACTGCGACTTGCAGTCCACAGGCCTCTCTACCTTGCTCCCACTCACTACTCACTCCCCGCATCTCATTGCCATTAAGTTAAACCCACCATGGAAGACCTGCTGCCACTGGACACAGAACCAACAACCGGATATGACGCAGAAGATTGCCAGGCCGCTGTTCAGGGGTCTCGAATTCCAAGGACACTCGACGACGAGGTCCATCGACTATGCACGATTCGCGGCATACGGCATCATTATGGCTTCGCCCAGGAGCTCCGTGGAGTCAGCCCAGAGTTCACACGCGCTTTGAATGCCCGGGATATTATGAGCGGTGTTATACCGACCATGTCGACGCCTGATGAGGTGCCGTACTGTATTTGGTATCCGGATGTTCCCAAGGAGGAGACTCTTCGAGCTTTGGTGCAGCGATACCCCGATATGCTTTATCATGCTGCTCGGGCCTGTGCTGTTGCGGGATATATTGATCTGTACAAGGAGCTTGATCCTCTTCCGGAGGTCCATGTGGCGGAAGAGGCTGGCTATGCGAGCATGCAGAACGGCAACAACGGCAGTCAACAGATCTATCGGCATATTATGTCTCAGCCTTTAAAGTTCGAGATTATGAACGACTATACACGTACGGTCGATATCGCCGGCCGTCGAGTTGCATCTCTGAATGGGGATACTGCTGTTTACTCGAGTCTTACTGCCAGGACGAAGTACTATGGTCACCGGGAGATCAAAGCGAACGCCATGCCATGGAACGTACATTGCATGGGACCCCCGTCCTTCAATATCACCGAAGACTGGGGCATAGATGACCATGACAGCAAAGCCCCTGAGGCACCAGAGGATTATCTCCCGCTGGTGTATAACCCACTCCCTGCAGATCTCCCGCTCATCAACAAGGACAAACTCATTCATGTCGCTGCATACAATGGCGAAATCGATCGCTACGCACGACTTCGACGGCCGCAGATGCTCGAACATGAATGGGCCATGGTGGTACACGGCATCTACCACAATCCAATCTTCGCCAAATGGTGGAGTACACAGCTCCCTGAGCACCCGCAAGATAGACATGAGATCAACATTAGGCGCGCGATCAATGCCCGGCGCATCATGTCCGACGACCTGACTTGGCTCACTGCGGATACTCCTGGGAAACTACTGCCGGAGCTTATCTGGTATCCAAATGTCGCTTACTTGACGACCTATGAGAAGCTCGCCCACAGGAGACCAGACATGTTTGAACTATGTCTACGGGCCTGCATAGTTGCGAACTATCCATGGACGTGGGATGCTTTGCTGCGCGCTGCGCCTGAAATCTTCAAGGACAAGCTCCCCCGCCACTCCAGCGAGCCCCAGCCCGAGGGTGAGGAGGATTCTAAGCTGTGGTGGCTGTCGAAACATGCTCGCTACGGGCTGTGGAGTGAAGCTGCCGCCTCATCAAACAAACATTTCCAAAACGACATTTTAGCAGCCGTGCCTGACGCCGCTGAGAAATTCAAAACCCCGCACCCTGGCAGCGACTGGTGGGGGGACTACTACGTTGCGAAAGGTCTTTACCTCCCAAAGCGGTCCCCGATTGTCCGGCTCCATGACCCTGTTCAACCGGGAGCGCGTGATGAAGGTCCATACGATGGGATGTATTGTGACATTGGCGATGTCGACATTGCTTTGTTTCTCAGCGATGCCGTCTCGAAAGAGACCTGGAAGAGGGAAATTATAGATGAGGGATACTCGACGGCCTGTCTCGAGGAAGTTTGGGACTTGTTAGAGATGGAACAAGCTAAATAGTTGCTCTATCGGGAAATTTCAACCTCAAAAATCGTTTTTCAACAAGTTGATATCTAATGTACATACACTACATCCAGAGCCTCCAATGTACATACAGATCTCTCCCTCCCTCACGCTGAACAACCGGCGATTTTCGCCTTTGCATCTTTCGCTGCCTGGATGTTCAACACGTGGGTTCTCTCCCTATCATGCCAAGGCTGAAGGAAATCCTTTTTCAATTTCATCGGGCCCCTACCAGCCGCTGCTTCTGCGGCGTTGACCGAGTTCTGCGCAGCCTCCAGATCGCACGTCGGCCATCCCCCAACGCCTCCGTCAGGAATCGCCATTCTCTCCTTAACCAGTCCCTCATCCACAAGAGGGGCGTCCTTCTCAATCTCCCCGTTCTTATTTTTTGGCTGCTTGTCCCAAACCTCTCGATCGTATTGCTTCCGAATCTCGGCTCCTACATCTCGGGCCCCGTTGGCCTTTCGTCCGAACTCGACTCGACTTCGGGCCTTTTCAGCTAGATCGAACAATTCTTGATCCGGCTTGCCATTTTCCGCTTCCAACCAGCCTTTTTGCTCAATGAATCTGTTGTCCGCAGTCAGTTATTCCGGAGTTCGAGTTTACCCTTTTTCCACTGGCTCAGAATGGCAAGGAAACTCACGCAGCAACATTCCCAATAACCTTATCAATCCCCGAATTCGAACTCAGACCCTGATAGATGTGCCCGGGGTTATAAGTCCTCCCAACCCCAGCCTTATACATCTTCGAGGCAACTTCATCGAGAGCCGTCTTGTCCTTGGCTAGGTCCGCATCCGTGAGCTTATTCTTGTCCGCGATGATTTCCTTCTCATCCTCGTCATCCGTAATGTAATAGAGGAATTGACGCAGGTTGCACCGTCCTCCCCTGATGGGACCGACTGCCTGAGCGGTTGTGGGATCTCGAGAGCAGGCATTTGCGATCCTTTGCTTCTTGGATCCGCTGTCCATTTGGTACGCTTGCCAGTATAAGAGGCGCTCGTAGCAGCCGTAGAGACCGAAAGCGGCTACTTTCGATATACAGATAGCAAGTAGGAAGAAAAGAGGGAGCTTCATTGTGGTGACAAGAAAGATAGGACAAGACACACCCTGGAGTGAATGAAAAGGGATGCAAAATAATAATAATAAGTAGAAGAGCTCCAGCTCAAGCCATCAGGTATTCACGGGAGGGAACATGGTCCATCGGTACTGTATGTACATTTTTTATTCTTCTTGTAACCCTCATTACCACTTAGCATGTATTGTATATACACTATCCCTTTTACTAGTTACCTAGGAGTAAGTCAGCCGTCTCGCGTATTCTGTTTCTGGAATATGGACCCCAACTGAATTAGGTAACTACCATATGAGGTTCCTCGGAAATGAGATCTTGGCTGTTTCGAACGGACGGTCGGAGTCAATTGTGCCAAGATACTCTATTATATAGTAAGATTTCATCTTTAGTCTTGCGACTTACAGGGTCGCGGGTGGGCTCTTAAGTTCTTTGGGGGCGGCCCCCACGTAGCAATACTAGTAAACTAGTATATCTAAGATGATGGATCAGGAACCAGATCAGGAACCAGCATCGGAGAAAAGGAATAGGAATGGGCTAAGTAGAATTTTTCAGGTTCCTGGATGGAGTATAGAAAGTTTAACGGTAGTAGTGTGATAATACCAACAATAATGGCATTATATAGATGGTATAACTACTCCTTGATGGGAGAAGGTGCTGAGGTGAGGTGAGATGAGGTTAGGTACTTAAGTAGTGCTCAATTAAATTCATAATATATAACTATAACGCACCAAATGGGACCTGCCCTATTCACCATCAACAGCATATGGTGAAAATACTCAGTAGTCCGTATTCCATAACTAGTATTCACTTACCTACTTACCTACCCAGTTAGAGTCAAGTGGAGGCGCATAACAAGCTAATGCTAAGCGAAGTGCTAATATTCAGGAACAGGAACATAGCTGAGCCTCGATTGAAAGGTTCTTCTTCCGAAATTAATGTGGATTAAACGCTACTTTTGGGAGGAATTTGGAATTAGACGCATATTCCGTAAAGTGAACGTAGTGTGCTCCGAGTGGTCCCTGGAATTTTACCGTACTAGTATAGTATATGGTATCTAGTTATTACGGTGCCAAAGCACATATCAAGGCTGATTTTCCTGGTTCTAGGTATCACCTGGGAATTAAGATCAAGATCTCCTTTCTTTCGTTCTTTCCTTTCAAGAGCTCTTATACGCTCTATTCGATCATTCAGGTTTCCTTTCTTTTTTAGACTTTCTGTTTTCATGTTCTGCTTCTTATACCTTCACATTCATTTCCCCATGTCAAAACCCTCCAACAGTGCATAGGTACATGTGTTAAAACCCATTTCCAAAGTCAAAATGGGCTTGTTGATACACCTCAGTATCCTCAGTCAAGTGGCTGTATTAGCCGCTGCAGCTTCTTCCAGTCCCAGCGTTCGCGTGGCAGATCCTTATATTGCCTCGCAATGGAACGCCTGTCCTTCAACCTGCGAGAGCGCCAATCCCAATGACTGGGACTTGTACTCCAACCTGCGCGTCCTGAAATCATGCAATGAGCCAATGCTCCTCAATCTGGTGGTGAGCAATCCGACTGGGACAACGGATTCTAGTCTTCGTCAGCCGCTGTATGCCTGTTCCACGGCCAACGTGGACAATCTTGCTACCTCGAAAACCGCCAGTGCGTCAAGCGCAAGTGCCAGGCGGTACTCGACCAAGAATGTCCAGATGGAAACTGCGTGGCGGGGAGATGACACAAGCCAGTACTCGTCTCACGCAGAGGTCGCAGCTCAACTTGTCCAGTCGCATTTGAATGCCCCTGCCAGTCAGAATGCTACCATTGCTATGGGCTACTCGAACGGTGTCGTCGTCGGAGCGTTCATTGGCTCCAACATGGAGAAGGCCAATGGCGAGAACAAAAGTCTTCTGAATTCTTTCCTGACGAAGCTTCGTCAGGGAGAACTGAACAAGTCGGGCGTCATGATGCAGGTCTGTGACAGTGACCGTACGGCAGCGTACACGCTTGGTGTTGTCGCCGAAGCAAACGCAGACTATGCTCAAGCTCTGGGCGCTGTGCGAGAGGCTCTTGCGACTTGGAATACTGGAAAATGCGTTTCTGGATACAGCGGGACTTCAACCTCCAAAATCTCAGTTAGCGAAGCCGAGGAGGACGACGAGGACGACATTACCCCTCCGAGAAATGGAACCAGCGCACATGTCCATGTTCATAGACGCTCGCACGGCAAGAGACTCCTCTCCGAAAAGCACCGCCGAGCAACCTGTACCGCGATTCGAGTCAATGACGGCGACAGCTGCAGCACGCTCGCAACCCGCTGCGGAATCTCCCCTGCCGACTTCACAAAGTACAACCCGAGCAGCACGCTGTGCTCGTCCTTGCTTGCTGGACAGCATGTTTGCTGCTCTGCCGGAACGCTCCCGGATTATTCTCCGCAGCCGAATGCCGATGGGACTTGTGCAAGTTATACTGTCCAGAACAACGATTGGTGTAGTAAGATTGCTGCTGCTAATAGTATTACGGTTGATGATATCGAGGACTGGAATGAGAAGTCGTGGGGGTGGACGGGGTGTGATAATATTCAGGCTGGTGGTAAGTACAAAAAGCCCTGTACATGACGTTGGACTGATCCGATGACTTATCTTCTTCAAACAGCCAACATCTGTGTCAGCAAGGGAGAGCCGCCAATGCCTTCTGTTCTGCAGAACGCTGTCTGCGGTCCTCAGAAGGCTGGGACGAAGAGACCAGACAATTGGGATGACATCGAGAGTCTGAATCCTTGCCCTCTCAATGCCTGCTGCGATATCTGGGGGTAAGTAATCCAGTCAGTCCTCCTTTCCATCTATCGATCTAACATTAGACTTTCTTGATAGACAATGCGGTACTACTGCGGATTTCTGCACAAGAACAAACGTACGTCCCCGACTTTTATATTTAATATTTACCTTTTTGTTTGGCAATAACTGACAGTTTGAACAGTCTACCACTGGCGCCCCTGGAACGGCGAAAGCTGGCACAAATGGATGTATCTCGAACTGCGGCACTGACATCGTTTACGACGATAGCGGCTTCGGTGATCATCCCGTGCTGGTTGGATACTATGAGGCCTTCCAGAACACTCGACCATGTTTGAATATGGATGTGACAGCCATCAATAACACAGTCCAATGGGGTGGCCAACTTGGAAGCCATGCATCGACGTTCTCTCAGGCATGGGACCATATCCATTTCGCGTTCGCCAACATCACTGAATCATTCGAAGTCGATGTCTCCAGTGTTCAGGATGAGTTTGATGAGTTCAAAAAGTTCACATCCCCGGGCAAAAAGCCAAAAGTTCTGTCCTTTGGTGGGTGGTCATTTTCCACGGCCTTGGACTCCTACGCCATCTTTCGAAAGGGTGTCACGGATGAACAGCGTTCGTTGTTCGCGTCCAACGTCGCAAAGTTCGCGGATGATAATGACCTCGACGGGCTGGACTTTGACTGGGAGTACCCAGGCGCCCCTGATATTCCTGGGATTCCCGCGGGAGATCCAGGTGACGGTGCTCGATACCTTCAATTCCTGAAGGAGGTTCGGGATAAACTCTCCTCTGACAAGACGCTCTCGATCGCAGCGCCCGCCTCCTACTGGTACCTCAAGGGCTTCCCAATCGCGAATATCTCGTCCGTCGTCGACTACATCGTGTACATGACCTATGATCTGCACGGTCAGTGGGACTGGAACAATCCCTCGTCTGATGATGGTTGCGACGGCAGTGCCTGTCTCCGGTCTCACGTCAACTACACCGAAATCGTGAATTCCTTGTCAATGATCACCAAGGCTGGAGTGCCTAACAGCAAGATCGTCGCGGGTCTAGCGAGCTACGGCCGGTCCTTTGGCATGGTCGACCCATCCTGCTACGGGCCCGAGTGCAAGTTCACTGGCCCGGATTCGGGAGCTATGCCTGGACGATGCACTCAGACACCGGGTTACATTGCAAATGCAGAGATCAATGAGTGGTTGCAAGGTGATCAGAACATCACGACGTACTTCGACGAGGTTAGCCGGTCGACAATCTCTTACTCTGCCAACGGAACATGGGTGGCTTACACAGACGACGATGAGAGAAATAACCGCATCACAGAATGGTGGTACGACAGAACCGTCCTTGGAACCAGTCTCTGGGCAATCGACCTGACTGAATTCGTCGCCGAACTGCCAGATGGCACCGTGCTGCCTCCATCAACCCTAATCGACTGCGACCAAGTCTTCACCAGCCTAGACGACGTCGAGGCCGCTGCCGGTTCCATCCAGCCTGAGTGTATGAACCTGTACCTGATCCAGGCCTTGCAGAGCAATCTCACCGCGTCGGTCTCGCAGTACCACGATGTCTTGAAAACAGACTACGATGAGAAATTCGGCTGGTACCAGGATGCTGTCAGAGAGCAGTTCCCTCTGTCTCTTCAGGCATTCCTGAAGGCCAACGCCTCCAATTACTTCGAGTGCACATCCCAGAGCATGGAGCCGTGGAGCGAAGAGCCAATAGGCAAGAACACGAGCTCTTCATGCCCATCCAATCCGAAGGACACGGGTTACGCAACCTTCTACTGGACCGCGACGGACAAAGACGGATTCTTGAACGACCTTGAAGAGACGACTGGGATCACACCGGACCAGCTCCTATGGGAGATCGATGCATCCCATTGCGTGGACAGTCCGGACGTCTCACAACCGACGATATGCAGCGGCAGCAGAAACATCGGCATGCCGAACCTCCCGCCTGATTTCACAGTCAGCAACCCCAAGGATATCATCTCAGCTCGACTCCCAAACATCACGACCTTCGAGAACCAATCCACGACCATCGTCTCACTCGCAAACAGCGATCTCTACCTCGGCGACACAATCGACGTCGTGGACGGTGCATCGCTCCTAGTCCTCATGGTTTCGAACTCCATCGCAAGCATGAAAAGCGTCGAAAAAATCGGCACAGAATACCACAAGGAGCAAGTCGAGCAGGCTATTCTCCTCTTCGTCTCGGCCTTGCTGCTCCTGATCCCTGGACTCGGAGAGATTGCCGACTCCGTCGAATTGACCTCTATCGCTATCACGCTTAGAGCCATCGGTGCAGCCGGTGACGCAGGCTTTGGCATTTATGGCGTCGTGAGTGCCAAAGATGCCGGTGTTGGTGAGATCTTCCTTGCTCTTCTGGGTGGCCTGGGTATTTTGGATATGCTTAGAGCACCGGGGCTTTTTGCCAAAGCGGCCAAGGCCAGGAGGGCTATGGACGCTGGGGATATTGCAAAGTTGGGAAATGAGGTTAAGGGGGGAATTGCTCAGATTGACAAGTTAAAGCAGCTTTGTCATTAGCCTGTATATAGTGTCTAAGTATATGGTGCATAGTTTTATCTGCTGCACGAGAAAAAAGCTCTGTTCAAATAGCAAGTTAGCCCTAGATATAGAACCTGTGCTATTCACTTCACTTGATAGGTATCCTATAGGATGTGAGCCAGATAAGAAATTAGGACATAAAGTTAGCCCTTAGATTAGCCAGTAGAATATTGAATATAGACATGTAGCATTTGAATTTGTATTAAATCGCTATTTGTGTCAAGGATACAAGTAGCTGTCTGTCGGATCACGTGGTCCTTTCCACGTGATTATTGGTATGCCGTTCAATATAACGCCTTACAATTTGCATTTTGTATCTTTGAATTAGACGTATTTTAGTTTTAACTAAAACTGATTAAGAGAATAGGAGGAATCAGAATGCAGATATAATGTTAAGTTAATTTAGTTTGTTCCAAATAGTACAATTAGCTAAGATAGTAAAAAAGAAGCCACCTCCGGAGGTCTCGACGTTTCCCCGGAGTCAACTCCTCCACCTCGGCTTCTCGATAATTCCCCTGACGCCTCTTAATTCTATTTATTTATTTGTCCTTCCTGGTACTTTTCCGCTACAAGAGAGTCATAACATCTCCCATACATCGTTTGCGCAACCCGTGCGAGTCCACCATCCAAAACCGACCCTGTCATTCATCTTCGGCTTCCCCGAACCTCTGCGGCATTTCAATCAAGCACTACTCGCCAGCGATGCGCGAACGATAGACAGCACATTTCCCGCTCCTCGCCTTCTGCCACGTACAATCTGCGAAGAGAGAGAAAGAGAGAGGACATTCATGCACCCATTTTCCGTCCTGACTCTCGGGATCTTCGTAGCGGGCTACATCACCGCGCGGTGGGACCTTGTTACGCGCCTGTACGAGTTGGCCATCTTTGCGTGGGATCACGGAGTTGTTGTACGTTTTGTCCTCTTCGGGTGATTTGGGTTCTATGTGCGCCGTTGGATACGGGATATCTATGTACTCGAGGAGGGAGGGGTTGGTTGTGGATCACAATGGGCTAATTCAGAGCTGGCGCAGACGCGAACGGCAAAGGGATTCGTGCTCCTGTCGGTGTTCTACTTCGTCTTGATTATACCGATTAATCGCATTGTGACGAGGGAGATTAATTTGGTGAGTTGCGACCTCGTGTCTCGTGACGTCGTCGACGCTTCGCGCGGTGATGTCGAGTTGGGGGTTGGTTGTACTGATCGTCTTTTGTGAATAATTGCAGCATCCACGGTCCGTCAGTCAGGGTATATCTGCGCGCGAGCAGCTACGGCGTCGAGGATCGTTCTGAGTTGCGGTGGTTGTTCCATATAGAAGGAGGATGACAATATGCTCATGAGCGATGGGTTGTTGCGGGTGTTTTGGCCATACGACCTGCCCCGGTCCACGTCGCCTGGGGTGATTGTGGGCTGGCGAAACTCGGAATTGGATATCTTTGTGCTGGGTGTGTTGGAAGATGTTGAGGTGCGTTTGTTGGAAAAGTATCTCTGATTTCCCGCAGGGTCTTGGGCTAACGGTACTCTCTTCGGTGTTGAAATAGCCCCGTAACGTTGAAAATGCCCTGCGCGCAGGTATCCTGTTTCGCAACAGTCCGCATCCCGTCTCACGACTATTTACACTTTGTGGGAGATCTGCTATGCATGTGCTTGGGTCGACGAATGCGAAGGAAAAGCCGACTACGTTTAATCCATCCCATCTCTATGTCACGACCGGACCGTCAATCAGGGTCCCACGCATATATTGTCCGCCAGAGACGAATATCGCCGTCCAGGTGATCATGTTTGACCGGCCCCATCCGACACGAATGCAATACATGTCGTTAAATCCGATCTCTTTGGCTTTGGGCGATAAACCTTCGACGGCGGAAAGGGATGGGACCGTACCGGATAGTGTCGATGCGGAGGAAGAGCGCGAAAAGCAACGGTCACGGAAACTAGTCGAGAAGTTGAAGCTTCACACGGTGGTCAGGCATGTTCCGTCTCAGAAAGAGCAAGCCCTTCCGGTGATATTGAACCAGGTTAACTGTGCCTTCGAGATGGGGAAACTCATGGAAAAGAATAGCGGCCTTGTCGGCACGAGGGCAAAGAGAAGTATGAGCATGGGAGAACGGGTGGTCGAATCTGCAACGACGTTATGGGATTTCTTTGTCCTTGGTATTGCCTACGTCTTTTGGCAGTGGCTCTGGCCTGTCATTACGAGAGCCTTCGTGATCGGGCTTGTCTGCCATCGTGCTGTTGCTGAGGTTGTCCTCCAGTTCCTGGAGTGGCGCGCTCGACCGGATGCAGCTGCGCTAAAAGACATATCTGCTACTGCGCAACAGGTTGATATTCGACTACAACAATTCTGCTACTGGCCTATCCAGTATACGAAACTTCGACAACGGAAGGACAATTGGGAAAGTGTGACGAACAGCCATCCAGACTACATTCGATTCTATAACAGCTTGTGGCTGGTCGCGAACGATGTGATCATCGGCATTGCTCTGGGATCGTATATCATTGACAACGCGCACTGGGTCGCATTTCAGATCAACAATATCCTGAGCGGCTACACGGTAGAAGGCCTGCAGCGTACCATTTCATGGCTGATGGACTGGCCAGCGGGGTTGAAGCTTAACAACGAGCTGGCTGCCTTTCTGGGTGACCTTTTCTTATGGGTCATTGAACATTGGGCAGGTAAGTTGTCCTGCCGAATTATTAGTGTGGGAGCTTTTCTGATCTGATGAGGAATATAGCATGCATCGCCAATCTCCAACCATACCTTCCGAGTGTGATCTATGTCATTGGCTGTTCCAGCTTCGCAGGTGCCAGCATGCCAATTGCGCTGTTCTCCGACCTCCTCTCTGTCCTAACAGTACACATCTACTCGTTTTATATTGCCTCTGCGCGCATCTTCAACTGGCAGCTCACCATCATCATATCTCTTTTCCACCTCTTCCGCGGAAAGAAGAGAAACGTGCTCCGGAACCGAATCGACTCCTGCGACTACGATCTCGATCAACTCCTGCTGGGCACGATCTTGTTCACTGTGTTGTTCTTCCTCCTACCAACAGTCATCGTATTCTACCTGACATTTGCCTCTGCGCGAATGTTAATAATCTCGTTGAAGGCGACTCTAGACACATGCCTTGCGTTCTTGAACCATTTCCCTCTCTTCGCGTTAATGCTTCGTATCAAGGATTCAAGACGCTTACCAGGTTCGTCTATCCTCTTGCCCTAGCCTTGTCGATTTTAAAAAGCCACTAACATTTTATTATTCAGGTGGCATCCAATTCGAGCTCTGCGAAGAACTCGATAAATCCTCTCCCACTCCTACCGTGATATCCTACATCCATCTTCAGGTAAACGCGGTCCCAAACATATCCAACAGCGACCTTGAGAAAGATATCCCTTTACTAACACACCATTAGTCCATCCCCCTCTCCCTCCGTGCCATGTTCGACCAGTACTTCCAACTAGGCCACCGCTTACGGAAGCACTACCTCTCTCCAAGCGTCATTCTCTGCCTCGTCACCGGACGCTTCGTCCCGCCTATCCATCGTCGCAACCTCTACAGCATGCAATACAGCATGTTGCCAGCACGCCGTGCCGGCATGGCAGAAGTATGGGCTCTATTAACAGGAAAGAAGAGTAGCGGAGCCGGCTCCGCTGGTGGGCCTGTTGTAGGATTAGGTAGCGTAGGGAGTGGTATATTGAAGGTACCGAATGGATTTGGTAGTGGAGCTGGGAGGAGAGGACACCGGTGATGAATTTATTCTCTATTCTATCCTATTCTCGAAGACCTTTTCTTTTCTACAGTTATATATATATTTATTTATTTCCGGTGCCAAATCTTAGAATATTAGGAATGTGATTTATGAGAGATAGATGGTCGTCAGTTTATTACTATATTGTTGGCTAGAAAATTTGATAATTTGATATATAGGAAGTATCATTCTTAAAGAGTCCTTGAGTGTACCTTCCATAGGAGTTGTGTTAAGGCCATTCATTGTTTGAATATATTCAGCGAAGATAATAGATGTAAAAGGGATCCGGAACACTTCCAAAGTCTTATGCAATCTCCAGATCATCATATATAGCTTGCAGGTACTTCCCTGCACGCGTAGACTCACGTGCACAAGGAAACAGTAGTGACAGGACAATGCACGTGCAAAGGAACAGGTTGTAATACATACAATCAAGAAAGGAGGCGGCTGTTAGGGGCAGAAACCAAAACAGCAGTCTCTTATAAGAGACAACACAACATCGCTCAGTCGCGCTTCAGACTCTGGTTCCACACACGCACAAACAAGAAATGGCGCACGGCAAGTTCAGCATCGAAAACGACATCTTCCTTATCGCCATTTACATGGGCACTAGGCTTGGGTGGAGAAAAATCGAGGAGGATTTCCGCAGAAAATTTGGGACGCAGGCCACCTACAAGGACATTGAGTCTCGGTGGCACAAAAGGCTCAAGGACACCGACCTGGTTCTGGCGGTCGATGATTTCCGACACAGCGGAATCGTCAGAGAGGACTGTCATCGAGACGATATTCTCTCTGTTGTGGCAGTCTTGGCCGACTATTCGGCAGCAGAAAGGGTATTTTGAACAGTGACGAGGTGAGTAGCGTACTTCTTTCCCTGAGAAAGGCTTGCACCGCTATTTTTCCTTTCTCTTTCCTCTTTTCTTTTTTCTTCTATTTCTGTTCAAACGGACGTTCAGAGTGGAGATCCATTTGTTTCTGCAAAACGCGCTGCTCTTGTTTACATTATCATACATGGTTGGTAGCTAGGGGCACCAGTCGAGGGAGAAACAGATTGAAACGAGGCACGACTGCTATCGCTTCAGGTGCTCGGCATCGCTCTCGAGTCCGAGCCCTCGTGCCTCGTCCAGCATGCTGTCGATGCCTCGCTCTTTAAGAGCACCCTGTACGCACCGTCAGCGAGCTACATTGCGAGAAGAGAAAACTGGCAGATAGACAAACCGTCAGGCATTTCTTGTACTCGCTGAAGAGCTTTTCGCAGTCATCTGAAGCAGTCTTGCCACGGAGATACTCTGTTGATCGTCAGCAAGTCTGTCCCCTAGCGACAATTGAAGATGTGCATGTTCTTACTCTCACTGTACCACTTCAAGAAGCAAGCATCATACTTTCTGTGCACAGATGGTCAGTTGGTTCAATAAATGGCAGTGTGCGGGAACTACATACTCCTTGATATTATTGCATTCTGGAGCAAGAGAGGCCGACATGATGGCAATGAAATGATGCAGATGAATGTGTGAAGATTGTCCTATATTACCCTCTCCCAGCACACGTACCTCCTACTAAGATGTACCGGCGATTTATGGGACACGGCTGACCTTTTTTTCGGTAGAGCAACGAGCAAGATAGATGACGCCCGAAGGTGAGCAATGGATCTTGGTCCATGGACCTCATGTGCCTGGTCTAACCCTTTCCAGCTAGCCTGATCTCTCCGCCGGCCTCACATTTCTCCGGTATATCTTCTTGTTCCGCTTCAATGATAATATTTTTTTGTCGCATGCGACCAGCAGACAACAGGCTCACAACGTCTGCCTGGTCCTTTTCTGTCCTGTTTCTTCTCTGTTATTACAATTCTTGAGTTCTTTTCTGTTGTGCTTTGTTTCTTTAAGGTGCTCTTTTTACTCTGTCAACCATGGACGTCGCCGCTGAGTTTGGTCCGCTTCAAGAACGGGTGATTTCGAAACTAGTACAGACGACCCGTACTGTTGGCCAACTGTCTGCTGAAGACCTCAGTTTCCACAGATCCTCGAGCGCTGAGATATCCGATAGTCTTGACGAGCAAAGTGGGAGACTTCTATCTCTGACATCATCGTTACTGAAAGTCGCGACTGCGGGCACGGATACCAAAGCTCCAGTCTTGGAGGATGAAGATTCCATAGAAGACAATTGGCGCGGGGTAGTGGACGTTATCGATACTCTTTTAGAGAAAGCAGATGCTTGTCTAGACGAATTTACGGGCGTTATCAAAAAGCTGAGCCCGTCGCAGCAACAGCACGCACAAAATGTGCCGAAGAGGAAAGATCCCACGCAGAAATTTCCTACCATCTACGATTATGGCCCTTCGAAAATCCCTAAACCTCAGCTTCAGTTCGACCGCGCTCCTGACAATACCGATGTTAAGCCATTCCGACCGCTCCTCCGAACGAAGCCGCATGCTATTGTGCCATTGGAGGAGTCCCTACAATTGATAGATTCTGGGAAGGGCTACAAGAATCCATACGAAACTGAAATTCGAGCTGCTAAATACCCGTCCTCAACCTACACCTCCTCTCCCCCTATTGACTATCTTCCTTTCGAATCGACTACCGCGACATTTGTCGACACTCTTGAAGGATTGAAGGATATGCTAGAAGAACTGAAGTCAGCAAAGGAGATAGCAATCGATCTGGAACACCATGATGTACATTCGTACCACGGTCTGGTTTCACTGATGCAGATCAGCACGCGTGAAAAGGATTGGGTCGTTGATACACTCAAGCCGTGGAGAGAGGAACTTCAGCAGCTCAATGAAGTGTTTGCGGATCCTGCCATCTTGAAGGTACTTCATGGATCTTCTATGGATATCATCTGGCTGCAGCGTGATCTGGGTCTTTATGTTGTAGGCATGTTCGATACATACCATGCTTCGATTGCCCTCAATTACCCAAAGAGGAGTCTCAAGTTTCTGCTCGAGAAATTTGTGAACTTCCAGGCCGACAAGAGGTATCAAATGGCCGACTGGAGGATACGGCCCCTTCCGACTGCCATGTTCGATTACGCTCGCTCCGACACTCACTATCTTCTCTACGTCTACGATCATCTACGCAATGAGCTTGTTCAGAATTCGACCCCTGAACACCAGCTCGTGGACTATGTACTTGAACAGTCGAAGAATGAAGCTCTCCAACGATACGAGCGGCCTGTGTATGATGCGGCGATGGGGCAGGGACCGGGCGGTTGGTACGACTACCTGGTGAGGAGCCCGGCCATGCTGAGCAAAGAACAATTCGCTGTCTTCAAGGCTGTTCATCAGTGGCGCGACGAAGTGGCCAGGGCTGAGGATGAAGGCGTTCAGTGTGTCTTCCCGAAGCATGTACTTTTCAGGGTTGCCCAGGCTATGCCCCTTGACCTTGGAACCCTCTTCAGGACTATCTCTCCTGTGACGCCTCTAGTGAAAGATAGAGCTTCGGATCTTCTAGCAGTGATCAAGGCTGCGAAAATCGCCGGTGCTACCGGCCCAGAATTGCGCGACGTGATGAAACCGAGAACGACTACTTCGACGTCGCAGACTGCTGCTCCTAAAGATGTAACTTCCCTCGAGCAAGGCTTATTGACCCCTCTTGAATCGAAGGGTCTCGCCTTGCCTACCGCTTCTCGGTCTGAAGTTTCTCAATTCTGGGGCGTTGCTCTCGAGTACCAGCCACCGCTCACGCCGCCTGAGTATTCTGTTACGGCTTCGGCGGAAGCTCTTCGACTTTCTCTCCCCATCCCTGCCATGCCCATGACTGTTTCCGAGGCGAAGGAAAAACTGGGCACCTCCACCGTTCAACCGATCCCACAAGCGAAACCACAGGCACCAGCTGCCGCTGCCGATAGTAAAGAGAAGGAAAATGAGATATTCATTGTCAAGGAGAAGGGAGGCCCGCGGAAGCGGAAGGCCGTCGCTGCTGAAACTACCGAGAGTAGTCTCTCTTCTGAGATTGACGGCAGCGACACGGGTACCAGCCCAGGCGCAAACGAGCAGCAGACCAAGAAGAAACGTACCAAGGAGTCGAAGAACAAATCAGCTGCGGAAGAATCTCGCCGTCAAACTCAAGACGCGACCCCGTTCGACTATAGTGCTGCCGAATCGGTGCTCCACGCTAACCCCAGCCAACCTGACAGCCGGCACCACACGAAATCGAGGCGGTTCGACCCATATGCTAAAGCTCTGGAAGGCCCGCGGGGTGCACGAAAGACGAAACAAGAGACTACAGGCAAGACATTCACATTCAGGAAGTAAAATGGTGGAAGGGGTTGAATGTATTGCACGACTACGGCGTTGGCTTTTTCTTTGCTGCACAATTCGAGATTTTTTTTTCACCTAGGGGACCTGGACGGTGGATGCAACATGCATGTATCTGAAAAATTGTGGCATGGCGATACCCGGGCGTATTTTGTGGTAATATGTTGTGAAGAGTCTTAACCTGCACATCAATGTAACTTGACATGATATTCGAAGCTATTATTCCTTTCGTATCAGCGGCAACTGCCGGAAATGTAACGAAGTCCTGGATGCGATATCGAAATTGAGTAACCAGATCTTTCCTGGTGGAGATCCCTCCGTTAAATCGTATCCTTCCGGGTCCAAAAGGGCATCAGCAATCTAAATCTACCGTTGGCAATTACTTCCCAGACGAGGCTTTGCTTGAGAAGGAAGTGTACTCTGGTAAACTTTCAGCAGGTAGTTCGACACCTAGCTCAGCAAGATTTCCTGATCGACGTCATTGGGAGGATACCTATCTATCTATAAGACTATCTATTCAACACGCGCGAGAGTTTTTAATTATATATAGCAATGAAGCATACCAGTACATATCGATATACACGTATTATTGTTACCCCATTACTCTACCTTTTAAGACACTTCCTTATATTTTTAGATCTCTCACAGTCCGTTTCCTCCTGTCTACAATACCTTGTAACGTTATCCGTTACTAGCAGGGCCTGTCAACTATGTATCCATAGGTAGGTATGTCATATCGGCGTTTAGCGCGAGACGATTTCGAAACGAAGCACAGACATAAAATGGGAAATATCGATACAATTACAAACGCACTGACTCCTTCCAACGGGTGATAGTCTAGCCTATTTATTTTGGCCAGTCATAACGTAATGATTTCAACTAATCAATTAACTGGAGTTGGGGATACTTGGAAATTGGAATGAATAAATTATACTCTACTGTGAGTGGCAAGACTACGGGGTAAGGGTTGTACATACATACATATCTATCCATCTATTCATCTATCTATCTCCACACAAGGATATATTACCATGCGAGTAACCCGTTAAAAGCAAGGATGGTTTGCCTTTCCGTTTTCTTTTCTGTCGCTATCGAGGGTGCTCTTAGGTACTCGAGTAGAGTGGAACAGACGAGCTAAACGACATCCGTTTTGACCGTGTGGGCTTTTTGATTATTTCAACGTTCGCAGCCACGAGTCTACTAGTCGATTTTAGGTTTAGGTTTTCTAATAGTTAAATGCCACATTATTTTATTTTTGGTGAGTATCTACTGCTCGTATTCGGTTGCCCGTATAGATACATATTATTATTATTCCTTCAGAGAACAATGGATGGATGGATGTAGCCGGGTAATAATAATATGTAATAATCAGTTAATGGATGATCTTCCGAAAATTGTGGGTGTCGTGTGTTTTTCTCCCCCAGAAGCTTTGATCATTCATTTTATTTAACTATCTCTTACAGAGTTTGTATAGGCGAAATGAAAGACCCAGACGCACTGATATCATTATGGTATTTGCCATTGAGCTAATTAAGTAACTGCATATTGGATCAGCTGATCTATCTACGAGTTTGATTTTTGCTCCAGAATCCATGAGAGATAGGTTTGGTTTGGAGAGAGAGCCAGCCTTCTTCTTCAAAGTTCATCTTTTATCCATTCTTGGTATGGAGTAACGTCGTGAACCATAGATTGTTTGCCTTTTTTTTTTTTCATTTGGCTGTGGAGTAGTTATTATTATTATTACCCCGTACCATACTTAACCAACAGCTCTTTTTTTTTGACTTCAAGACCCCTGGAAGGCGGAGGGGTCAATGAAGCTGATCGGGCGCGGTTGTCAAGTGGTCCGGCTGCACCGGTGATCCTTACTGAGGTGCGATGCAGATGAAATTGACTGGTGTCGATCGACCCCCACAAGCCAAGCCGCTCCGATCAACTGCTGTCGTGAACTGCTCGAGGAGGCTGCACAGCATCGAAGAGGAGTCGACGCTCAGTTGCTGGTTGTTACGACAGGCGTTATGAATTCTGCAAAGTCTGGGGGATGTTTTGCCGTGCGCGTCCCGTCTCGTGGCACGTAAGTGCGTGGAGAAATTCTTTTCGGTATTAGCATCATCTCCCTTGACTAGTTTTCTATTCTCTGATATCAATTCGGGTTTGCACTCAATAAATCCGGATGTCTCTTCCTGCCGTTCTTTTAATTGGTGACCAGCAGACGGCACCCCTAGGGATGTGATACACGGGTTTCCTGCTACAGATCACCCTCGATGGACGCTACGCTTGCTAGGATCCATGCGTTTCAGCTAAAAAAGCTCGGCTGTGCTTTCGACTGCCGGCAGCCGAGATTGATGTTTTCCTCAGATAGGCGATAATAATAATAATAATAGATAGGTGTCTGCTCCTAAACAGCTGAACTTGCTGGCTCTGGACCGGACTTTCACTCGATAACAGATCTGCCCTGGCGCTGTGCTTGTCAAATCGACTAGATATAGCGCGTTGTACTTCTGCTGCTAGTCAGATTTGGCTTTCTCGGCGAGAGGGTGTAATGATTTTTAACCTGGCAGCCACGCGAGCCAAAGGCAAATGTACGATCTCAGCTTGAAGACTAGAGCAAAAGAGAGGCCGGAAACCTGCCAAGAGAGGATATGGCCTATGCAGTAGTGTCCGGTGCCATGTGCTGTAGATAGATAGTCAGGACATCAGTCGCCTTTTGAAACAGTCGACTTATTACCTAAACCAAGATCCGCTGTGGGGAAAGAGGGTTTTTGAATAAGACAAAACCCTGTTTCTTTATCTTGAATCATCTGGAGATCTGCGCAAGATACGGTGATAGGAATCCCATCCTCATCTATCGGAATTATTTGCTTGAGGCTGGCGCGGTTTGATGTCACGGCTGTCATTTCCGTACAATTGACGTACTTCCGCTTGCCTCGAAGCGATGAATGAGACCAACTCTTAGGATGGTTAAGCTAGTTCAATTAGTTAGTTACTGATTTACTGCGTCCTCAGCGATCAGAGCCCTTCTGCCATGGCCTGAAAGGACATAGCTTACTCACGCCAGTAGTACGGAGTAGAGCATCGAGGTGGATCTACCATAGTGTACACTAACGGCAGATACCCTCCGTGAGGTTCATGCGCAGCGGGGTCACCTGTCAGGCTGTCAATGAAGTTTAGTCGGCCCATTCCGCTCACTAGGATGACCAGAATCAGGATCTTGTCTTTCATAGATTCACAGGTTTTGCCAGGTATGATTGGAACGACAAGAAACTTGGATCGATCTCGATGCGTATGAGAGGGAATCGGGCTGATGGACAGACCAGGAGATGCATAACTAGGTCCAGATCATCTAAAGTGCTCTGTACAGTACAGTAGAGCGACTTGGCGTCCAGACATGCCTCAGCAAGACATGATGATCAGCGACAGCCATGCTGTGCGGCTAGAAGATGTTGTACGCTTTGCCCTGCAGCAGGTGAGCTAAACAGGTGGTGGCATCGAGTACTCCGTACAAGTAGTATACTTACTGAAACGGGTGAACTTGTCATCTCCTATGATCGATCTTGGGGAGTTATATTTGCAACTAACGCTGCAAAGAGCCCCATTTGGGCGATGAAGCGACCGCACTGAAGACGAGAGTGGTAGAAATGTTCCGAGGCGGCAGCCGATGTGATCAAGTGATCAGTTACTCTGGAGTCTGTACTCTGATCAAAAGGGTCTACGGAGTTTTAACTAATAATGAATTGTACTCTACTTGATATACACAGCCCAGTGGTGCAGCCATGGCTCGGATACTCCCCCACTTGGCCATGCGGGCAGCGGGAAGCACGCAGGAACAGGAACGGGCGTGTTTTTTTGATGCGAGTCGATAGTGGAGTCTAGTAGAACTCCCGTGAACCATTCTTATAGGCATTTCACCGTTAGATTAGAACAAACGGTGCATGCATCCACGGCACAAGCGGAACTGTGAGCTTCTGTGCAGCGGCAGATTAACGGCACGTCTGTCTCTGCTGCGGCCTGGGGAACTACTGTACTATGGAGATACAATAATAATAATTATTACTCTGGACTCTACTCTACTCTAAGACTACTCTAGCCTACGGAGTATTCTACTCTATCCTGGCGCCCATCTCGACGGCCTAGCCGAAGAACGATCCGAGCGACAATCAGGGTGGATCAGCCCAGCACACCAAAGGTCAGTCTGTTAACTTAATTACTACAGTAGTTACGGCAGTTGTTAACTAGTCGTACAGAACTACTACTATACTGGAAGAGTCGACCACAGCGCTGACCGACTAGATAACTTTAGTATGATGGAGTGACCATCGAGAGGAGATCGCGATGGCCCCCCCTCGTTGATACTTTGAGGGTTGGTGTGAGCTTTTCGCCCTCCCAGGGAATATCAGGGAGTTAGCGTCGAGTCTATCGCGTGCTTGGCCCCTTGCGAGCAGTTGGACTAGGTGAAGTCGAGCTAGATAGAGGCTGTACCTTAAACCCAGAAGGGTGGCGACCGCCGGACGCCAGGGCCAGGGGTCAACCCAGGCGACTAGAGTAATAATAACTAACGGCCCTTGAGCAGCCCAGGGATCCGACTCGAAACGGCGTGCGACACTGGTGGTCCAGCTGAATTCCCCTTGCTTCGTCCTGCGTCAGACGGGAGAGAGGGGGCTTTTCTCGTGAGTAAACTAACTAATAGTGAACTAGTTGGTAGAGTAATAGTAATACTCATCATCGAGGGAGAACATTATTGTTTGAGACCTGGCGACAGTAAAAGTATTATTCTCGTGGGATGGACGGATGGATGCAACATTGGGATCATTGGCCATGCACAAAATGTGTCGACGAGAATAATACAGTAGAGGAGAGTAGTTAAAGTACACTACATTAACTACTAACCACCAAAATCCTTATTATCCACCAGGCCAACTGACTCCTCTCTTCTATCTACCATAGTTATTACTCTACCATACTGTTAACTTACCCCTGGCCCCTATCCTATTCCTGCTCCTGTCATCGGCGCCACTCCACACTGCCTCCATCCTGACCCATCAAGGCCCGGCGCAAAACCACCTGCCGACACGCCAAAAAACCACCCCCCCCCCCCCCCGATCTTTTCTTGTCCAAACCCCCTCTCTCCGGCCGTGTCTGTGACTTTCAGACTCTCGTCCAATCTCTCTGCTGCGTCTCTGTCGTTCCTGTCTGTTCTCTGTTTTTCCCTTTTTTCCTTGTCCCTTGTGCAGCGCCTCCCGTATCCGCGTCTCGTTCCCTCGTCCACTCGATTGTTCGCCCATTATCTCCCGACCTACGCCGCTACCGACAAACATCGCATTGCATCGGAAGCGCCCTCTGTTCTGTGGTTCGCCTGGATGCGATTAGCCTCAGTCCCCATACGAACTCATTGCTGCCTGCAACAATTCGTGATCCGCTAGCAGTTCCCAGACGCCGACTTGCCTTGTCCGGTAATCAGTGTCGACTCGCCTATCGTTGCGTTCGAGTCCTGTGAAGTAGGAAAAAGCAATTGGTTTCGACAGTCGACCGCCCCGGGCCTGTGTATACGGAGAATACCGCTCACAGTGGTCGCAGTGGGTGACACCAGTGCAGTGCAGGAATCTGGATACCATAACCCTGTTTACTGGGAATCATATTTCCCCCCTCCGCCGTCTCCTCTGGGAGTCGCACGCATAATACTGTCTGGCGTCCTCACCGCTGCTCGCTGGCCGCCACGACGGGAGGTCAATTCGTTTTGTGAATAGCAATTGATATACCTTCCCCGCTCGCCGGAACGGCCCTGCGACTTTCTCTCTCTTGGGTTGTTGATACCCCTTACCATTCGCATAATTATCCAATGTCCGTCGCAACGATGCTCCAACCGAGAGCCTCAAGGGCCTCGACGTCCTCCTCGGGGTCCTATCAGCCAGTCACACGGCAGAATACCCTCTCCTCCTCTCACGATGGTCGGTCCGCCCGCCAATCGAAGCGCATTTCCGTCACCGCGCTGTATCTGTCTATGTCCGCAAAGGACAGAGACCTAGAGATCTCTGATGACCTGGCGAAAGGTAAGCTTCGGCTCGTGCTTGTTGCGGAAATGGCACCCGGACTAAACATCTCCTGCAGCACAAAAGTACCTCCGTGAACTGAAAGCAAAGATCTCGTCACAATCGAAGAAGAACTTCGTCCTGGAAAAGGATGTGCGCTATCTGGATTCCCGAATCGCGCTGCTGATTCAGAATCGCATGGCGCTAGAAGAAGTGAGACACCCGTTGACCACACACGATGTGCTTGCGTTGCTTACAGGACACAGCAAAACGAAGTTGCGAGCCATCTCGACGATTCGGCCGATCCTCAGGAAGGCTTCTTTCCAAACGATGAGAAGACCCAGAAATACGGAAACCTACTCTTCCTTCTGCAGTCGGAACCGCGCCACATTGCCCACCTCTGCCGATTGGTGAGCATGTCCGAGATCGACTCCCTTCTCCAGACGGTCATGTTCACCCTATACGGAAACCAATACGAGAGCCGGGAGGAGCACCTGCTTTTAACAATGTTCCAGTCCGTGTTAACCTACCAATTCGATAATACACCCGAATACTCATCTCTGCTGCGCCAAAATACCCCTGTATCGCGGATGATGACTACGTACACGCGACGTGGTCCCGGCCAAGGTTATTTGAAACAGGTGCTGGCGGACCAAATTAATTCACTAATCGAACTCAAGGAGGTCGACCTGGAGATCAATCCGCTCAAGGTCTATGAGAGCATGGTCAAGCAGATCGAGGAGGATACCGGATCTCTCCCCGATTACCTCGCGAGGTCGGTCACCCCCGAGGTTGCGGCTGAGAACGAACAGGTGCAGGCTATCATTGTCCCGCGACTGAAGATGCTGACCGACATCGCCAACACTTTTCTGAATACCATCATTGACGGATTGGACGAGACTCCTTACGGCATCCGATGGATTTGCAAGCAGATTCGGAGCTTGTCAAGGCGTAAATACCCCGATGCCCAGGATCAGACTATTTGTACACTGATCGGAGGATTCTTCTTCCTGCGGTTCATTAACCCGGCGATCGTCACACCCCGCTCTTACATGCTTGTCGATGGGACTCCTTCTGATAAACCCCGGCGGACGTTGACTTTGATCGCGAAGATGTTGCAGAATTTGGCGAACAAGCCCTCCTACGCCAAGGAGCCATACATGGCCAAGCTGCAGCCCTTTATCCAGCAGAACAAGGAACGGGTCAACAAGTTCATGCTGGATCTTTGTGAAGTCCAGGATTTCTACGAGAGTCTGGAGATGGACAACTACGTCGCACTGTCTAAGCGTGACCTGGAGCTCCAGATCACGTTGAACGAAGTCTACAGCACACATGCCTTGCTGGAGAAGCACTGCGCTGCGCTGACTCAGGACCAGCACTCGCACCTGCAAGTCCTGCTCCAGGAATTAGGACCCGCTCCCCCGCAGGTACCCCGAAAAGAGAATCGGACGATCAACCTCCCGCTGTTCAGCAAGTTCGAGACTGCCATTGACGATCTCACTGCTGCTCTCGATATCACGCAGGAGGAGATCTACTTCATGGAAGCCAAGTCGACCTTTGTCCAAATCCTGCGTGCACTCCCTCAACACTCTTCCGTCACCCGGCGTCCTCTTCGACTCGACCGGATCGCTGAAGCGGCTGCCACGCTGAAGAATGACGCTGTCATGGTTCGAAAAGGAATCCGCACCATGGAACTGCTGAGCCAGCTCCAGGAGATGGGGGTCATCGACCGTTCTGACGACTTCAGCCTGCTCCGGGATGAGGTCGAACAGGAATTGGTCCACCTGGGGTCCTTGAAGGAGAAGGTGCTGGAGGAGACGAGGAAACTGGAGGAGGTTTTCCGTACGATCCGTGATCACAACGCCTATCTGGTTGGACAGTTGGAGACCTACAAGTCGTATCTGCACAATGTCCGCAGTCAATCGGAAGGCCCGCACAGGAAGCCACAGAAGCACCAAGAACTGGGCCCATACAAATTCACCCACCAGCAACTCGAAAAGGAGGGCGTGATCCGGAAGAGCAACGTGCCCGAGAACCGGCGGGCAAATATCTACTTTATGTTCAAGAGTCCCCTACCGGGAACCTTTGTGATCAGCCTGCACTACAAAGGTGGGTTTCATCTGACTTTCCACCCGAGTCGAATGTTTTATACTAACAACCTGACAGGTCGCGCACGCGGGCTTCTCGAGCTCGACCTCAAGCTTGACGACCTGCTGGAGATGCAGAAAGACAACCAGGAAGATCTCGACCTGGAGTATGTGCAGTTCAATGTGACCAAGGTGCTCACGCTTCTGAACAAACGATTCGCACGAAAGAAGGGATGGTAAAGAGAAATGACGCAACACTTATTTTTGTTTTTTTTCATGACATCGATGAAGGGAAGGGCGTTGATCCGATGTACCGCCGCACAAGCCAGGGCGCTCTCGTGTCTCCGGATGACGGGAGCATAGCTAGCCTCTCCCTCACCGAGATGCTACTGCTACTGTTGCTGTGCGGTGCGCTGGGATCCCGCAATGATCTTCTCGGGCGGGCGCTTTCGGAGCTCTGCCATGTTACGATTCCAGAGTATGAATACTCTTTTCCTTATACATAATTCGTTTCGCCTCGTCGCTGCCTTTTTTGTTTTGTTTTTTTGGAACGCTGGTTCTCCTTTTCGCGTTTTATACCATGACGATTGCCAGTTGAAGAGAAAGTACCTAATGCGTGGGAAGAACCCGGTCGATTGCCCTGGCTAGTCGACTACCCCGCTGGTTCGGGGAAATCGGGTGGATTGATGGATCTCTAGCGGGGATTGTTTTCTTTTTTCTTTTTCTTTTTTTTTGTTCTGGCCTGTATGTGAATTTGGGACATCCCCTCTGCCATTTCTGGTTGTTGTTGGTTATTTTTCTTGGTGGTGATGCTGTTCGTCATGGTCCCCCTTTTTCCTCTTACAACCCATCTCTGTAATAATAGTTACGGTGTTGCTTGGGTGGCAGCACTACGGATACATGACCTCTTTTTTGTTTTGTTTTGCTTTTTTTTTTTACCTGTTTGCCCAATACCATTTTGTTGTGTGATGCTCGAATTCATTGTCTTTAACGAATCCCGTAAATGATCTGATTAATATCGACGATTTCTTCTTTCTCTTTTCTTTTGGTTTTCTAGCTGGCTGTCTGGAGAGGAGGTCGCAGACGTCACCACCGGAGCAGCGCACTAATAGAGTCGGGGGACGGAGACGGGCCAGCACGCCGATCGAGACAGAGGACGGATGGTTAGTTATATGTATTATTGCCCGTAATAGTCGATTAATTGGCTTGATATCTTGGTGATTTGTCCTTCTCTATCGGCACGTCTATCAGTGACCCCTTTCGCCGCCCGTTGATGTATTATTAGTTTTAGCCACCTGCCGTTAACTAGTCCCTAGAGTCAAGAGTCTAAGACAAGACCGCCGCTCGCACACAGACTTGACCAAGAACCAGCGCTCGAGGCATCTCCACACGCCACTCCCCCTAACGGCAAAGCAAGACAAGACAGGCAGACGATCAGAGTGCAGCATTCCTCTTTTCGCGCCTCTCTCCTGGCCACGTTTCTCCGCCAGACTTCCTCTCCTCGCGCCCTAGGACCCCTTTCGGCCAGGCCGTTCTCACCGCCCGCTACGGTCAATCTCTCTCTCTCTCACCGACCGGCTTGTATTTATTCATTTCCCCAGAAGTCTTTCCATCAACGCTTCAGCAGCCCAGGAAAAACAGATTTAACTATCCGCTGAGCAACCATGGCTTCTGCACCGAATCCTCTCCCTCTCGACCCCAAGTACGACGACTATGACTTCCCCACGACAGCCCCCGAGCCGCAGTCTGGGCACCCCGGCCATACCACCCCCGAGCAGGATGCTCAGGTCGTTCTGCTGCGCTCCACCCTCGAGCAGTTGGGCTACAAGGACCGTCTGGATACGCTGACCCTGCTGCGATTCCTGCGGGCGAGAAAGTTCAACGTCGAGGCTGCCAAGAATATGTACGTTTCTCCTTTTTTACCCCTCATGCTGCCCGCCCTGATGCCTCGACGTGCTGGTTACAAACGCCACCTGTCCGCAGGAAACAAGATCATCTCTTCCGCACAGGAGGAACTGCTCCTAGGGACCAATGCAGTAGTAAACTAACATTGGGATCGTTTCCAGGTTCGTTGAATGCGAGAAGTGGAGGAAGGAGTTCGGAACCGATGAATTGGTCCGCACGTTCGAGTACACCGAGAAGCCTCAGGTTTTCGAGTACTACCCTCAATACTACCACAAGACTGATAAGGTATGTTCCGGAGGATCGTCCGTGTCTACCTACCGTCATAATCGAAGATGAGTGCTTACGTGGCGCGTCCTTAGGATGGACGACCCGTCTATATCGAGAAGCTGGGCAAGATTGACCTCAATGCGATGTACAAGATCACCACCGGCGAGCGCATGCTGCAGAACCTCGTCTGCGAATACGAGAAGCTGGCTGACCCCCGTCTGCCCGCTTGCTCGCGCAAGGCTGGCAAGTTGCTGGAGACCTGCTGCACGATCATGGACCTGAAGGGAGTCGGTATCACCAACGTGCCTTCCGTCTACGGCTATGTCCGCCAGGCGTCCGCTATCTCGCAGAACTACTACCCTGAGCGGCTGGGCAAGCTGTACCTGATCAATGCCCCCTGGGGATTCAGCAGCGTCTTCGGTGTCGTCAAGGGCTTCCTGGACCCCGTCACTGTGCAGAAGATCCACGTTCTGGGCAGCAACTACAAGAAGGAGCTCCTGGCTCAGGTCCCTGCCGAGAACCTTCCCGTCGAGTTCGGCGGTACCTGCCAGTGCCCTGGCGGATGCGCCCTCAGCGACATGGGCCCCTGGCAGGAGCCCGAATGGACCAGGCCTCCCAAGTGGGCGACTCCCAAGACTGGTAACGATGAGGCTACCATCCAGACTGAGGCGACGGGCCCTCAGGAAGGCAACGGACAGCCTGTCGCTGCGGGTGAGACCGCAACTGATGCCACCGCTACCGAGGAGGCCAAGGCTACTGCATAGGTTCACAGCACTTAAACATTTCTTTCTCTCTCGATGTCCGCCTCTTGTCCGCGGTCGGCCTTTTTCCACCCCAAGCATGTGGCCGTCCTACCATCGATGGCACGGAGCCCACTTTGTGATTTAGGAAGCACTGAAACATATTCCTTTCACCTTCTCGTTTGACTCAAGACCTTTTTCTCTTTTTTCATTTGCGATGGTTCCTCTTGGATAAGTTTTCGCGGCATCGACAATACAGGGTTTCATGTGCAGAGGAGGCTGGTCCCGTTAGCTGATTGTTGAGACTTGCTTTTACGTTTTTGCTCCCCCAAATAGATATAAGGAAAGGGAACTCATGGGAACCGAGGAGTGTGGGATACTTCATTGCTAGTTTTTGTGTCGTCTGAAATTTAGAGAGGGTTGGTGAGTTATGGCGAATGTGATCGTGGAAGCAAACCACTTAAAAAAAGAAAAGAAAGAGAAGAGCCCCGGACATCCTAAAATTCATTGATTGACAGACACCATGAGAGGTGTATGGTACAAGAGAAGCTTTGCGAACTGCACATTACATATGTTTTGCTCCCCATTAGTTCTCTTTCCTCTTTTACAATAGAAGTGTGATGGACAAGGGGGCAATGGAGGGGAGAAAGCATGGTCTCAAGCGATTTCCAATAACAGTTGTGCGCCAGCTTGAGTGCGCCTTTACATATTATTGTTCTATACTGTCTAGTATATATATTTATAATATGGATCGCGGAGATAGGGGAGTCGATTTTCGTTGATTCGAGTTTGCCGTATGACGTGTCCCTCTATTCTAGATTTTAAACAAAGAGACAAGAAAGGCGGTTGGATCGTTCTTTATTTATGATAAACGAGGGGGAAAAAAAGAAAGAAAGAAAAGTCTTGAGCATTAATTTGATATGACTTGATTTTGGTATCTTCAATTCTTCTCAAAGGGATATCTGCAATTGTAAGTCCGGAAACGCCTTGTTCGCCTTTTTTCTGCCTGGTAAAACCTCACAAACAGCCATAGTTATCAGTCCGTCCAGGAAGAAGGAAACTATGTACTGTACAATTCAATGGAAAAGCGGTCTGTCCTGGAAAGGAAAGGAAAAAAAAAAAGGAAAGCCAAAATCCATATCCAGACTCCAGAGGAAACCCCAAATGATCATGTGCCTGCCTGGGGTCGAGTTTCGGTTTCGTGTCGAAATAGAAGTGATGTTTCTTTCTTTCTTTCTTTTTTTCCGTAATAAAAAGAAAAAAGAAACAATGGCCCATCACATATGTTCGACGACATCTGCCGCGCGACCAGCTCTTTCTGCTTTGCCCAACGTCGTGGCCAGAGCCTTGATGCCTCTAGAGGAGGAGGAAGAAGTAGAGTCTGATTCATCGTGCTCATCGCCAACCACAGCCTCGCCTTGTAGTCGGAGAAGCGTCCGTAATGCGTCGCTGTATACTTCTGCCATTTCCCCGTTCCGCCAGCGGGCTTCTTCCTCTGCGGTGCCGAGGGGCACGGAGAGCTTCCACTCCCTTTTGATGCGTGGACTGCGCCGTAGTGGCCTTTGTGTCGTACTGGAGATACCCTGGTTCTGGTTCTGAGTATTGTCATTATCATTATTACTCGATTCATCTTCCGTCTTAGGCGCGTCTGTCATCTGCAAATCCGCATCATCCTGTTCCCTCTCATCGGCAAGTTCTTCCTTCTCAAACTCCTCGTCATCTTCCCGTAAAGCATTCTTCAATTCCTGCGCGTAGTTCTTGGCAGCTCGTCCGGGCGCGTCTCGACGCAATTGCGCGACGGTAGTAGTTAGGGACTCTAGCTGCGCGTAGAGCGATGTGAGGCGCGAGGCGAGCTTTCCGTCGTAGGGCTCGTATTCAACTGTCTCTGGTGTGGTGAAGGAGGTTGGAAATGGGAATTGGGCAGAGGAGGAGTCGAGACCGTTTATTTCGATTGAGGATGATGCGGTCGTGAATGTGCGGTTGATGAACTGGATGGAGCGCGCGATTGTTTTAGTTAAGTAGGTACGTAGGCAGTAGACTTGGTTTTCGTTGCATTGAACTCACCTCGTCGACTAGTTCTCTGACGCGCTCGCGCATGGGATCCGGATCATTGCCGCTGGCGGAGGGGGGAAGATGCAGATCGAGCTTGCGGCGGGAGAGCGCAAGGGTGTTGGTGTAGAGGTAGGAGAGGTCAGCGGGGGATTGCAGCTCGATTTTGCGATAGTGCGGAGCAGCCATGGTGGTGATAATGGAATGTGCTCGTGTTCGAATGGGTTGGACGTGGCGGGCAGAGAAACTAGGTGGTGAGTAAGTAGTATTGTGGCTTTTCTATCCAAGTTCCATAGCGGAGAAGAGCAGAGCAATTATTGTTTATCTGCCGGGGAAAAGAGACAAGCAACTCCAGACTAGAGTACTGGATGCGGGCGATGCCAAGGAGATACTAACTGAGCATGGTTAGAACCGATATTAATATATATACTGTATCAGATATTCTATCATCTGGAAAGTGACGATCGGCACTGCCTGGCCGGACCAACTATGTCATGGGGCTGACCTTGCTGGAATTCCGCCCACTTTCAAGGCTGTGGCTATGGTTCACGCTTTTGGCTTTCTTTCTGTTCCTCTTAAAGGGCCCTTTGCTTTCTTTTTTTTCTTTTTTACCTACATGATCTCACTCTATCAGTTCGTTGTCGTTCATTTATTCTTATGCTGCCCGTTATGGAACTTCATGTTGCTCGTTAGATACCTGGGTTCTGCCATCGCTCGTCTACCTATTGCTACTACCATACAATAACTACCACCGTCATTACTCTAGGGTTTCCTGTGGCAGTCTTTTGGACGTGCCATCCGAGATGCGAGTGGCACCTTGTAGCCAGTGACCGCGATTGTCTCTCTCGAGAGAAGCCAAGTCCCAGCTGGATAACGGTGGGCAACGATGATGCAATCAGGGTCGAACATCTCTCTCCTTGACAACACCATTCCTGGACAGCGCTCAGATGATGAGGGCTCTCAACCACCAACGGCGGCAAGGACCCCGTCTTTGAACTTAGCCAAGCGGCTCACTGGTGGCTCGATCAGGCAAAGACGAAAATACGCAAAATGGCAACAGGATAAGCTGGGACTGAATGAAGACGCCTCTGTCGGCAGGGTTAATTCGCGCGCTAGCAGTGCGTCACGCAGAGAGCGGCCGCCATCAGACTGGGATGGGGATACTGATGGCAGTTTGTCCAGAGAGGATGAAGAGCGCCGGAATATTGATGCGACAGACTTTGCCCGTGTGGCCAGTGAAGGCCAGACAGAAGGCCCGCCGAGGACGGAAAATGCTGATCTCGGAGGCAGCAGCCAGCTCGACGTGTTGTATGAGAACCAGCGGGGCATGTTCTTCTTCGGCATCCCGCTTTACTCCCATGAGTCCCTCCTGAATCTTGACCCAGGCCCGTGGGTCACGCAAGATTTCAAAGAAAGCCCAGTGGATATTACAAATGCACAGGTCCCGGACCCAAGCTGGAAATGGGCCTGGAAGACCTGGTATGTCGACATGTCGGGTGATGTCGACGAGGAGGGATGGGAATATTCATTTTCCTTCTCCGTAAAGAAGGCCTGGCATGGAACTCACCCCTGGTTCCATTCCTGGGTACGCAGACGACGCTGGGTCAGACTAAGAACCAAGAGGTTTTCAAAACGGACAGAAAGAGAAGGACGGTCAGGATTTGAGATGGCACACATGTTCAATGAAGACTACTTCACCATCCATCCAACCCTTACTAATATAAAGAGCAGAGAGCCCAGCATAGGACGAGGTAGCATCGCTAGGGCGGCAGAGGTTCACAAGATCGAAGAGGAGGAGTATCACTTTGATGAGATTGGGGATATCCCGACCCTGATGCAAGCTGTGAAGCATGCCATCGTGGACCGTGAGAAGCTCACCGCTTTGAATAGATTCATTCAAGAGGGAGGGGAAGAGCTGCATTATCTCCCATCAAAGGTATATCCCAGAGAAAAAACCACGCGGTTTCGAGGAAATGTGCTCATGATTGCGGATTAGATTCCCGAGATTATGTCCCGCCTTGTCTATCAAACATCTCGATGGCAGTTTTACAGCTACCTACAAGGAGTAATCGCAGAGGAGTCCAAGGACTTGGCTGAGAACGACACGTCCGCAGAGGCGGATGCAAAGAAGCGACGGATTGCTAATCTCTCCAAAGCTGCAGAAAGTGTGAAGAGCCATACACCAGGCCCTGTTGTCCTTTCTGATCCCCAGGGCAGACCTGTTGGTAAGGTAGACTTGCCGCCTGCCTGGGTCCACCGCCGACTATCATCATCATCGGTGAAACAAGAGCCAAGCTCAACGATGAATGGGTTCGTAGAGATCAAAGGCATCCCCGAGGAAGCAGAAGTTGGACAGGACGATCATCGCGTCCACATCCGGCGGTCATGAGTTATTCGCTATCCATTTCATATCCTTAATATTAGTGGGAAAAAGCCACACAGGGAATAGAAACGGGAGAATAATAATAATAAAAAACAATCTATGATTCATGCGTTGTACTGTCCATGTTGAGCGAGGCGAGGAAATAGTTGTTGTTAGTCTAGATTGAGCAACCGGGGAGCTTCCGTGGTCGGAGCTTTCTAGTCGGCCAAGCGGCTTGACTGACCGGGATTGGCCAACTGCGCAACTGTGGCCATCGCGAATAAATTTCCAAACAGCCAGCGACGACGAGATACGAGCTCGCCAGACAACACATTGGGCATTGTCCATGATCCCCACGCTCTCTCTGTGGTCTTCCCCATGTTCTCGCGCAGCCAGCCCTGTCTGAGAAGCCGTAGGATCTCTGCCGCCTTGGACAGTGTCGCTGTTGCTTCCAATGAGCCGCCTCTTCTCTTCCTGTACCCCCGTTGGTTTACTGCTTCGACGCGAAATGACCGTCCTGCTGCTTCGATAAATACGCATCGACTTGGTTCAGATGACAGGCGACCTTCTGCTTCTTTCCTTTCTTCACGGTGTTGTCCCAAATGTCGCCTGCCTACAGCAACCTCGACCAGACGATGGCTCTCGTCCGCAGCTCCATTGTCGAGCCCTGGTGTCGCGCAAGAGGAGTCCAATGATACAAAAACGGAGGCATCCATTGCGCACGATGAAGGCCAGGGGAAGGTGTCTTCCACAATTCTCGACGACGGTCTCAGACAGACATCCACCACCAACCATGGAGCGCCGGCCGATGATGTCTCGACTCCGAGGGCTGAGCCGAACACTGACTCCGCAACAAGCCCTCCGCCATCCGCAGTCGATCTACGTCCTGTGAGCGAACAGACATCGAGTGAACAGCTTGTTCGCAGAGTCGTCGGGGCTACTGCCAGAGGGAGACGGGCCAGAACGCGGCAAAACTCTACCACAAAGTCTACCGAAAACAGACCGGTTCATTTTCGGAGACAGATCTTTGTCAATCTCGTCAAGAGATTATCAGCGACTGAGCGCAAGAAGCTGAGATACGGACGACATGTTACCAAATACGCCACACAACGAAGACAGTGGCGGAAACGGGTCCACTGGACTGACCTTGTGCAACGCCTGGACGACCTCGAACATGATACTCGCGTGTGGAGCAAGCATGTCAGACATAAGGTCCTTCATTTACCCGAGGAAACCGTCGCTCTTATGGGTGGCATGCTCCGGATGGAGGAGAATATCTGGCATGTCCCTATTCACAACGGTTGTCAAATTCGTGTGCTAGATCCAGCAGAGAGTGAGGGACTTCATCGGAAGGTCATCATAACAGGTACCAAACGAGTCATCGAGTTGGTTGAAAGTGGCATTTTGAAGGCGCAGATACGCCAGGAGAGGGGTGATCCTCTGGTGGAGGTCCAAAAACCACTGGTTCCGATCGTTCCCTCTGTGGAAGCGATGCGGCGCCGGGGCTTAACTGTTCCACTTATTCGAGGTGTCTGGGTGAGAGGCGTTGATAGAACGAGGGCAAAACAGGACGCACTTGAGCCTGTGAGAGCAGATGAAATCCCTAAACCTTCACCGTTCACTGTCAAGAAATTCGCCGAGTACGTTGAGGATATTGTCACATCTGTTGATCTACAGCCTTTGCAGAAAGATGCCTATGACAATGCAGAAGTCAGCCACGTGGAGATGGTGGAGAAGATGCTCGTGGCCCTCTTTTACGATGAGGCGAACCAGAAGTTTGTCTCAACAGGTGCAGCAAATATGGCTCTCGACTATTTATGCAAGCATGAGTTCCTGAGTTCTGCCCGCCGGGTGCTAGCAAAGTGCGAATCCGTGGCAACAGCAGACACGTACAACATCTTCTTGCAGTCGGCTGCTGACCGACAAGATCTCAACGTCTTCCATTACATTCTGCACTCCATGGCTCGGCTGCATGTGCAACCTAATGACAAGACCTGGATTGCTTTCCTCCGATGTATCGTGTCACCTAATATCAAAGCGAAAGTGATGCACCACATGGAGTCAAAAGGACTCTTGGCCCGTTCTGAGACTCTCCGCAGCGCGCTCCAGCTGACGGTCCATGATTCTTTAGTTATGCACCTCGAAAGGGGTGGAAAGGTCTCGGAATTTATAGAGATGCTCAATCAATACTATGGCCCCAAGTGGCAGTCGGCGTTGATAATAAACCAGATGTTCCGACAGTTACTCGCGAAGAAGGATACTTCCACAATGCTGCAGCTTGCTGAGATATGCGAGGCGCAACGACTACCCGTTGACGGCATGACTCTGAGACTGATGATCACCTTCTTCTCGTCTGATATCCAGAAAGCTTTATGGTTTCTCTTCCGGTACACCAATCCTTATCGGCACCGTATTAACCCCAAGGCGGTGGAAAAATTGTTTCTTATTGCATTCAAGAACAGGAGCCTGAATGTCTGTCGGGTACTCTGGCGGTATGCTTGCACCAAAGGAAGCGTTAGCCGCAAGATGAAAGATGCCGTTGTGAAATCCGCCGTACGAAACCAGATCAAAGAGGACGGTAACCCTATTACCAACATGTGGGAGTTCAACTCTGGGAAAGTAATCATTGGTCTTGAATTGGGCCAGGAGCATGAGATTGGCCTTCCTGGCGAGATTATGGGACTGGTCCCAAGTGGGTTTGAAGATAGTCCTGCGGCATCCCTCGTCGGATACAGGCCTACTGAATCGGATCGCCAACGGCAGAAGGACCTCGCGCTTGCTCTCGTTAAACGGGACATGGAAGCAGGTCCGATGTACCGCCTTGCTGAACCTCTACGCTTTTTGCTGGAAGCTGCCGCTGTTTTGGATAATCAGTGGAATCACACCCCCCGGCCTCTGTCATGGTTTCTTCAAAACGCGATACGCGTGCCGATCGAGAAGAGGGTCTATGTCGCCGAAGGCTACAGCAAGTATTACTCTTGAACTTCACGACTCCGATAGTTTGCATAGTTTCCATGTACTCGCATTTCTTTTTTTTTTGGTCCTTTGCCAGTATTGTATATGCATGCATGCATCACATCCGGTTTCACCTTAGCGGGCGTTTTCCAGGGTATACACGGGTGTACATTTAACGTACACACAACATTTTGTCTCTCCTCCGCTTGTACAATACATTTCCGATTGGGGATCGAGCCATGTACTCCATATAGTATATTGTGTGAATACGAATATATTGAAGACGAGAGAGGCGAACTGAATAATATGGAATGTCTAAAGGGGTATAAATTTATCTCTGATCTGTCACGACTTTTTCCAAGAGAATCCAAAGTATCGGCGCATGTACTGTCCACAGACCCAGTCAATACTGGACATGACAACTTAACTCATCCATTGGTATCCTCATCTTCATCCTTCTGGCGCCAACAGTCTCTGTCTCAGGGGCATCCATAAGCAGTATCAACGGTCCTACACAGACATGACAATCATAACATCATTATCGCCCGTTCCCGCCGAGCAGCGGAGCTCCAGAGTCATTGAAACCAAGACCAGAATCCGTACCAACAGGAGCATATGGATCGAATTCCGGCTGAATGGAACTGACGCCTTCTTTGAGATACAGAACAAGACGATATGCGGAATTACCGTTCAGATAGTATCGGTGTAAGCGTTTGCTGCGAAGAAATCCGAGACGTTCGTATAGTTTCATAGCGGCGGTATTTGAGATTTCGGTTTCGAGCGCGATCTAGCCCAATTTGAGTGGTTAGCTAGGAAGGATCTCTTCTTATCTATTCAAAGCAAGAGGTCGCTTATGCGCCATTTTGTCTGGCAGAAACGAGAAGGGAGAATAGAAAGATGGATAGATAAGAAAGAAAGAAAAAAACGCACCTCATCTGCATTCCGCTCGATCATAGCATCAATCGCCATGCGCACCAGCTTCGTCGCTATCCCCTTCCCTCTATACTCCTCCCTAACTGCCAACATGGCGATATACCCTCTAAGCGGACCGCCGCGGTGCGGTTCGAGCTTGGATACCACCACCCCGACGAGGTTATCCTGGTCGTCCATGGCCATGAAACATAGGTCCCCCCATTGGTACAGAAAGTAGCGGTAGACGTATATGCTGTAGGGCTCCGAGAGATCCTTGGAGATCAATTGCCTCATCGCTGCGACGTACTCGTTTTCCCGGCTGCTTTCGTACTGCACGTACCGGAGCTCAGGCGCGGTGCGCTCTGTTGTCGAAGAGGACTGGCTCATCTTGGCTCATCACGGCCGCCGATACGGGCTCATCGGAGGGATGGTGCGGCAGTACAGAGTATGGGGGAGGTTTTGAGGAGAGGAATAACGGACTGTAGACTGTTCGAAATGGGATAGACGGGTTGGTCCTCGAGTATTGTTGTCTGAGGTGTTTGGTCTGGTCTGGTCTGGTTTGCGGGATTCTAGACGATCGGCAAGAGAGAACCGGTATCGTGACCTGCGGAGGGGTTTGATGGTTTGATCAGGTACTGGTTCTCCCCCAAAAGACCCCCCGCGAACACCTTGCGGAGTCAGAGATAGAATCTGAAACCAGCAGAGTTGCTGCGGAAATCCAAGCAGACTATCATTCGGGATAGGGATAGTTAACATGTATCTGCGTCGATAGTTCGGATTCCTCCTGGCGCATGACGTCTTCTCCGTGTGATTGGGCTGTCCGCCGTCCTCTCGGTCTGAGCCGCGGATCGCACTTGAGAAAGTTGTAGCTTCTATCCACGGTTTTTTTATCTTTTATTATTTATTTCTCCATCCTTCCCTTGAGACGATCTCTTGTTATTTGTTCGCATTGCGGAATTCTACTCCCCCAATTGATTCTCCGTTGGTGAGAATCCGCACTTGGTGTGTGCGATGTCCTTGCTTCGTCGTCGTCTGGGCAAGGACTCCAAGGTAGAGTCGCCCTCTATCGATGTGTCTGACCCGGCTGCTTCCCCGGGAGTGGAAGAGGCGGCAGCCAAGGGTCAGGATGTGAGCTTGCGATCAGGTTCCGAAGTGAAGAGTTACATGTCGAAACCCAAAAGCAAGCGACGAAATGGCTTCATCTTCCTCCTGGGCGGAATCTTCGGCATCTTCGTGGCCGTGTTCTTTGCCAACCAGAACGAGGTGATCAGCCTTGACTCGCTTATGGATTTGAACCTCGATGCGCTGGTAGATGTAATCCCGCAGGGCATCGTGAAGGATTTCAGAGAGTTTTCGGTGAGCTTGGCTTCCCTTGTTTATTTATAGTTATGTATACTTACCGAAGGGTTGTAGCAACATGAACGCGACGCTGTCAGCTATGATTCCTTCTCTGTCGGCCTACAACTACAAGCGCAAGGGATCCATGCAAAGCATCCTGTGATCATGGTCCCCGGTGTCATCTCGACTGGACTGGAGAGTTGGGGAACGAACGACGATTCGCGCCAGTATTTCCGCAAGAGGTTATGGGGCAGTTGGAGCATGATGAGGGCATTGGTCATGGATAAAGCCGGATGGAAGAATCACATTATGCTGGACAAGGAGACGGGTCTGGATCCGCCTGGGATCAAGCTACGTGCGGCTCAGGGTTTCGATGCTACGGATTTCTTTATCACCGGCTATTGGATTTGGAACAAGATTATCGAAAACCTGGCCTCCATTGGGTACGATCCTACGAATGCATTCACCGCCGCATACGATTGGAGACTTTCGTACCAGAACTTAGAGGTCCGCGATCAGTACTTCACCCGCTTGAAGTCTTATATCGAGACGGCAGTGGCTGTTAGCGGTGAGAAAGTGACGTTGACATCGCACAGCATGGGCTCTCAGGTGGTCTTATACTTCTTCAAGTGGGTAGAGAATGAGAAACATGGTAAAGGTGGCAAGGATTGGGTCAATAAACATATCGATTCCTGGATCAACGTCAGTGGCTGCATGCTGGGGGCTCTAAAAGGTCTCACTGCGGTTCTGTCCGGAGAAATGAGGGACACAGCCCAACTCAATGCATTTGCCGTCTATGGACTTGAGAAATTCTTGTCCAAGGAGGAGAGAGCAGAGATTTTCCGAGCAATGCCCGGAATCTCCAGTATGCTCCCTAAGGGCGGAGATGCGGTATGGGGCAATTCGACCTGGGCACCGGACGACCAACCTGGACAGCCTTTCACCTATGGCAACTTGATCAATTTCCGCGAGACTAATTCCACCTGGACGCGAAAGAACTTGACTGCTGGAGAAGCCTTGCCCTATATGTTGGGGCAAAGCGACACATGGTATCGCGACATGACATTGTCCAGCTACTCGCATGGGGTGGCTCATACGACGAAGGAAGTCGAAGCAAACGAGAATGATCCTCGCACCTGGGTGAACCCTCTCGAGTCTCGACTTCCCTTGGCCCCTGACATGAAGATCTACTGCTTCTACGGCGTTGGGAAGCCTACAGAACGCAGTTACTGGTACCAGGAAGAAAGGGACCCCTTGACAAAGCTCAACGTCAGTATTGACACAACTGTCACCAACGACGAGGGCGTTGACCACGGGGTTGCGATGGGAGAAGGCGACGGGACTGTGAACTTGCTCAGCACGGGATATATGTGTGCGAAAGGATGGCGCATGAAGCGCTACAACCCTGCCAGGATCAATGTCACCGTATTTGAAATGCCACATGAACCAGACAGGTTCTCCCCCCGTGGCGGACCAAACACTGGTTTGTCTCCCTTGTCTCCCTAGATGTTTCACAGCAACAATATAAGGCTAACATAGAACAGGTGACCACGTCGACATTCTGGGCCGCGCATCTCTCAATGATCTTATCCTACGCGTAGCAGGAGGAAGAGGATCTGAAATTCCAGAAACATTCGTCTCTAACATTCGGGAGTATGCCGAACGTGTCAAAATATACGACGACTAGCAGTACACAAGCACCACCGGTTCTGGGTCCCAGACTATATCCCATCTGCTGTTTCCATTCTGTAATACTTATGACCTGCTTTGGATCGTGACGGTTTCCTATTGATGATTGGCGGTTTTTGCTTTCCTCGTCTGTTTCCAATTGGGTCATTGTGGCGTACGGTATTCTTTCATAGGGCCTTGAGAAGGGCGTTTCCTTTTCTATTATTTTCTATCCATCCTGTCCAAGGCGATTGCTCTGATTTTACCATAGAAATAAATGGGCAATGTCAACATGTCTGCGGGAAGGAAACCCATGGTGTGCACGGTGTTCGATTTCTTTTTTCGTTCTATATTTTTATGCGTCAACATGCGGGGACAATACAAGCAAATTTCTAAGGGGAATAGCGTCAAGTTCGATCTGTGATTGGATAACCAGCTCTTTATTGTCTTTCTATGAGATGAACATTTTCCCACGAGGGTCTAGATTTCTTTTTGTAATTAGGAGATAAACATGGGGCCAATCCCCCTAGATTTAGATTCAAGCAAGCAACCTAGCTGGTATAGTTAGGAGGTTCAAATCACCATTAGGATTCGACACAGAAAGTATATAACTCTCCAACATTATTTTTTGACCCCAAACTCTTTAAATATCTTAATGACCTCTTTTCTCTTTCTCTGCCGTGCAACTTGCAATGGTGTCTTTCCCGTGATATTAACGATGTCCGCATTCGCACCCTTCACTAGCAGAAATCGGACCATTTCTTCCAGAGAACATGTCGCTTCAGGCTGCTTTGGTCGAGCCATGATCACACGATGGAGTGGTGTGCCTGCTCTGACTTTGGAAAGGTCTCCGTTTCGATTGCGTCTCATGGCGAACGTGTCGTTGATATCTGCGCCCAGTTCTAGTAGTCGCGTAACGGAGCGGATCCTCCGGTTGGTCAGAGCATATTCAAATGCATTGCTCTCTTCTGTGAAAGCCCCATGTTTCACAAGAAGAGATACCATATCCGGATCGTCGCTCCTTATAGCCTTGATCAGGACCAGCTCGGGCTTCTGGCGATTAATATCGGCGCCGTGGTCTAGCAGGAGTTTCACCACATCGTGTTTCTTCATTTCTACGGCTTTGTAAAGCAGGCTCATGTCTGAATTGAGATCATGGTTCCCAGTCAGGCCGTAATCAAGTAGAGCGTTGATGATCGCGGGAGGATCTGTCCCTTCGAGCGCATACAGGAGAACATTAAGCCCGCTATAGCTTGTATGATTGTCACCATGTAGGTTATCTTCGTGGTAGTTGAACGGAAGGCAGAATTGATAATTGTAGGTTTTCCACGGGAGCGGCCTTAGGCAGTCGGACAACGTGTCGAAAAGATAGCGGAGGACGTCTGCCTGGCCGTTCCTAGCTGTCTCTGTAAGAAGACAATAATATAAGCTAGATTCTGCCATATCTTCTTCCTTTAAAATTTCAAAGAGTGCATGTACACGCCGGATATCGCCCTTGCAGGATGCGTCGAGCAATCCCTGCCGGAATTCAGCTGAAGGATCTCGTTATCGAAGATCAGTTCTGACAAGAAGATATCTCTGGAATAGGAGAAAATATAGGTCTTGTGTGAGTGCTTACCTGCATTCCAGGGGCGGATCATTATGTTTTTGACTATAGAGAATAATATTGTCTTGAATGGAATCAAGTCCCTCGAGGCAGTTATTAATTAGTCAGTTCTCTTGTGGATCGATGGGTGTCGAAGCCAAATTATACTCTGCGACGCAGGATCATGTCCGAGTAATGCTGAGGTAGATGCACTCACTACCTACCTAGGTAGGCAACAACACGACGCTTGCACAAAAAAAAATTGACCACAAAAGGCATCATCCATAAGCAGACAAAACGATTATATGCCCCTTTCTTCGCACTGAAGAGATAAGACCAGTCATGGCTAAGGTATCTGACCTTCCGAACGAGATTCTGTATAAAATACTGTCCCATTTCCCCACCCACGGGAGGGATATGTATAACATATGTTTAACATCACGTTTCCTTTATGCAGCCGCGATTCCGATTTACACTCGACGATGCTCCTTCCGCCGTAAACCCAAAAGAGGATCTCCAGCCTGTTTTGTCGCCGGAGTACTTCGCCGTCAGATAAGTGCTTGTATTCGCGAACTTTGTCTGGAAAACTGGCAAGTCCGACGGTTTCCATTAGGAGGCTGGTCGTATCTCACAGACGAAAACACACGACAGTGTCTCTGCCGTGCTGCGGAGGAGTTCCAATTTCCTAGTGAGATCACTGGTGAATGGAAACTGGCACTCGACGATGCGCTGGAGGACGCAGTCTTCGCGCTGTTGCTCCTTCTTGCAGATGGACTGGAAAAACTAGTCCTCTCTCTGCCATTCACTGGCTCCAACCAGACTCCGTGGCTATTCAGGTTGCTCCGCGTAGCCCAGGAAATACCTTTGAGTGTCCAGCCTCGTGGACTGCAAAACCTGCACGACGTGCGTCTGGAAAGCTCAAGCAGGCAAATGTTCTTCGACTTAGACTTGGTCCTGCCTTTATTTCGGCTGCCAGCACTGCGGACTTTCCGAGCCTCCCAGTGCATCGGATCCCGTGCGACATGCTCATGGGAATGGCCGCAGGGTATATCGCCTGTCGAATCGATAACTTTTAAGAATAGTCGATTAGATGCTGGATCGATAAACGTTCTCTTTGGAGCGTGCGGGGGCATCAAGAAATTTCGCTTACATTGGTCTCGCGAGTGGCGTGACAAAAAGACAGACTGGATATACGGTGATTTTGACCACTCCGTGCTTGAAGCAGCACTTCGCAGTCAAGCTGCTTCCCTGGAGAGTTTCGAGTTCATCGACGAAAGCTACGGCACGTCAGATCACTATCGCAGGAACTGCCTTCCGCTAATGACTGATGTTTCGCCTTTGCTCTGCCTGATCGAGCTCCCTTGTCTGAAATCGGTCAAACTCCCACCGGCGTGGTTGTAGATCTTATGTGGGATACAAACATTGTCAGGGGGTGAAACTAGGGCAGTTTGTTCATATATCTGAGGCGCGGGATTTGCTGCAACATGTGTTCTATTTGATGCTAGCAAGGAATGAGTGGATTTGTGAATAGCAGTGGTGACACGGAATCTAGAGCAGGAAGGTACGGCAAGTGGCTGAACACTTTTCCAGGAGGTGACTAGACAGGTATTATTCCAGGCCTATGTATGCGTCCATAGCTACTGCTATTATTATTCAATTTGGCAGCCAATCAGTCAAAATTCTAGCAAAGAACCCCAATCCTGTACTTAAGTCACACGAACAATCAACCCTCCACTCTCCTCAAATACCCACCGAATGGCAGATTCAACTCCCTCAACTTCTCAACCGCGAAATCAGCAGCACGTTCAAAAGCCTTGAACTTAATACCCTTGTTAATCTCACGCTGTAGTACCTCAATCGGAAACGGGATACTCATTCCGTAAAAACAAAACTTCGATGCCGTCCCTATCCCATTATGGCGATCTTCAACCGGGGGTTGGTTGTGGTCACCAGACACGCAGCCCCAGATCTTATCTGGTTCCGGCATGTCGCTGCCCCAAAGGTACATATCTACACTGAACCGACCAGTGAGCGAGATTTTCTTCTGATAATACCAGGAGATGATGTAGTGGTAAAGGGGCCAGAATGCGGGGAACATCGATGTGAGTTGTTCATCGGTGAGATTCCATGTCTGGTTTCCTTGCTTGACGTATTTGGATTTTCTGCTAGGTGGTCGTCCCTCTTTGATGTCGAAGAGCATGACGAGTTGAGTGGTGCCGTTGGTGCCGTCAAGCCACATTTTCGCGCGCTGGAAGAGCGTTTCCGTTGGTTCTGCAAATGCGATTTCGACGACAACAGTAGGATACTTCTGGTCTCCCCGTCTGAGATGCAGGTCTGTGGTTCGGAAACATCCTTCATGTTGGCCGGATAATCGAAATCCGTCTGTTTGTTTTTCAATCATCAGCAAAAAGAAAAAAAAAAAAAGAGCTATATACCTAACCAATTCCATACACAGAATCATGTACGGTACAAACTCTCCCAAGTGTCAACACATAACTATGGGATCCACTAACCTGCAGGATCAAACCTGAAATCCTTCCCCGACAGTCTTCTCAAGCGAAGCTCCAACTCACAGAGCCACTGATTCATAACTGCACGAATCGTCCTTCTCACCGGACAATGATCCGGCTTGAAGGTGATTTTTCCTGTCTGTGGTTCATATTCAGCATGCTCTTTACCACACCGACCCAGTTGACTCTGCCACTGCTCAAACTCTTCTGGAGTGACATTGAATCTGTTGTTGATAGTGATCGTCTCGCGTGAATGCCAGTGGAGCTTCATGAATCGCCTCCAGTTTTCTTCGTTCCATGTGAGATCTTCGATGGAGTTGAGTTTGTCGAGGACAGAGGCTATTTGTCTCTTGATTTCAGTTGTCATGTTTGTTGTTGTGGCTTGTCTCTTTTTGAAGAAGAGTGATGTTCTATTATGATTTATTGGAAGACATTTCTAATCTTTATAATGACTTTGTAGAGATGTATTTATCTTATTATAACTCGGCCATTGGCTTCAATGTTGATAGTAGACAATGAGAATTAGACGGAATCGTCCCTCCCATCAGGCGTGAATAGCGGGTTATACAGTCCTATAGACATAGATTAAAGACGAGATTTCTTTGATATGGGTATTCAATGAGAGTAGTTGCTAATACCCGTAAAGACCGCCATATCTGTATAATAACAAACAGAGAATAATACCATTGATAGATCATAGTATCGTATAGAATAGGTGGTTCGACGCTTTGAGTACTTCAGGCGACAAACTCCAGGGACAAGGACTCTTAACGCACAGATTCACATGCTCTGAGCTCATCCAGATATGCTTTCAGGATTGTAAGACATCTAATCCTAGAGAATAGATGGATATGTAGTTATGACTAACTATAACCACTGCTTTGTACAATTTACATAAGCACCCTTTAACTATACGGAGTTACTAATATATGACACCCAAAACAAAATTATATTTAACTATCTACATACTCATAGAGTAAGTAAAACACACCCCCACCAACAAACATCACAAAACAAACAAACAAACAAATGCCTAAATACAATTCCAAGGGGTTTTCTCCTTTCCTAAACCTACTACTCTAGTACTAGTGGGGCAGATCGTCCCTCGCATGGCACGTTTCGTTTCACCCCGTGGACGACAATCGTCATATTGCAGAAACGGCAATATTTCAAAAAAGGAGAGAAAGCACTATTTTCTTTGCCCTTCTCGAATCCTCCATGGGTACAGGCGGTTTAGAAATCCTTTTCCAAGTTTTCCTTATGCACACAAACTATTTACACTAAAACCAGATTACAATCTACGGGATTCCGAAGCTCCACGGACGGTATAACCCGATTGGAAGAAGGGGTTCATGGGGCCCCGTCTTGTGAGCTGCAGGCCGGGCTTGATGGTTGAGGACTTCCGGCGAGACGGTTCCTGGTTTGAGAAGATAGTGTATATCCGAGAGTACGAATACGGTAACTTTTACTCCGTACCTAGTAGAATCCTAGTTTCGCGGGTTCGATACACCCGGGAGACCGAGATCCACTTCCGGTTCTGACGGACAGATCGTCTCATCCATAGGGGGATAATCCAAGCTTGTCTGGAGTTGCCTTCGATGAGCTCGTCTTATTTCATGAATATAACGGTGCTATACTACTACAGGCATACAGAGCATACACGGCATCACACAAGTGTTCATGAACGGGTCATCAATTAATATTAAGTCTGCTACTGACACGTATCACCTGGACCGTGCAACTCACTCAGATCCGCTTCGTAACATCGTGAAAGTTCCAGAAAAGGAGTACACAATGATGAGGTCGTTGGTGATCCCAATGTCCATAGCCAGTACCAATAGCAAGTACAACTGAGGTCCAAGGGACCAAGAGGGATGCCTCCGTCATGCATCCCCCTCGATTGCCTTTGGACTCATATTCAACTCCAGCAAGCCACATCTCTCTCATCTCTCTCCCCTTTCCCCATCTTTCAGCATCTATCAACATGCGCGCCGTCCGGTAAAGTAGCCGCAACGGCTCTGTTCACGCAAGACATGTATAAAGCGAGCGTATGTGCAGAGGATGACCAGAAAATAAAATGTCAAAATTTGTCCCCTCTTCCCGTTTCTATATGCTGACACAGGTCGTAGCCACTAATGTATAACACGATAATGGGCCGCAATTATGCGACCAGTTGGTAAAAAGCACAGCGAATGTAGTGCATGTAAGAGGCGCCGTGTAATCCTTTTTTTGTTCATATCCATTCCCAGTTCCCAGGCGCCGGTAAAGCGATTGACGTGAATCTTAGGTAAAAAGTGCCGGCTCGAGTCCAGAATGGAAATAGACTCGTCCATAAAAATATGTAATAGGAAGGGTCGACAATCCGAATGGAATAATTGACATCCATCGGCTGCAGACGAATCGAAGGTGGAATCGAAGGTGCACAAGCGAGAGTCTCCAGACAGTAGCTATCAGGATATGCAGATGATCGACATAGGCCATAGAAAGACAAAAAAGGAAGCAGTCAGCCTATGAGGACATCCGCTCCAGGTAGCCACCGGGATTAATATTATCGACGGAGTTTCATCGGATCCAACGGACCAAGGCGCAATAGCAAGTCGGTCCGATGATTGGTATGCATGTACAAATCAACCAGAGATTATCCAGACCGATCCGGAGCAGGGTCGCAACCCTAACTAGATCAGGCGGAAAGAAGAAAAAAAGCCCATTAAAAAAGTGATCCATGCGTCAAAATCGCTTGATGCAAATAAAAGTTCGAAACATGTCGTCAAACATGAGAAACGCCGTCTCAAGAGACCTATGCTGGAAAGTCGGCAGGGGGTCGATGCCGACCACAGTATATGCACGTCGAATACAGTGGAAGCAGGCAGGTCGCTGGAGAAGGGGTTTAGCGACCGGCCTCGAGGTCGGAATTAGAGCCCAGAGTCTCGCCTTCCCACATGTGATGCTCGTCGACTGGGCTGAGGGATCCAGAGGACACGGAGGATGACGATCCAACCGTCCACTCGTCACTGTCCAGGTTGAAGTCGCCATCGAGGCTTGCGAGATCATAGCCGAACTCCTCTGCTGCATCGCCAATCTCGACGTAGTCGTAGTCCCAGCGGAACATCTTTCCGCTTTGGATTCGCGGCAGGAATCTGGCTTTGGTGAAGTAGAAAGCGACTGCAGCAAGGAGACCACCGGCGACCAGATCGACGGCATAGTGGTGCGATAGGTACATCGTTGCCCACCACATCCAGAGGGTGTAGGTCACGAACAACGGCTTGAGGCGGGGGAAGACATGGCTCATAAAGAGAGCGGCCAGTGTCGAGTCGGCGGCATGGAGTGAGGGGAAGGCACCGAACACGACCGGTGACTGCTTGAAGCCCGAAGTATAGAGATCAATACCAAGGAGCTTGTCAATGCGGGAGAGACCAGCCGCATTTCCAGGCATCGAGTAGTCTGCGGGAGCGAGGCCGTACAGGTTCTCATACCACGGCGGAGAACACGGGAAGACCAGCTGGATGAAGACAGCCGTCATGCTGATATAGCCTAACGTGCGAGCGAAGAGAGGCACGGTTCCAGGCGGACCGAAAATGAATATGATCAGAGAGACCACGAAAGGCGCTCCGTAATGGCAGAGGCCGTATGGGATCCACGCCAGCACATCCAATACGACATTCTGGTGGGCAGACAGAACGTTGCTGATGTTTGCACCATACAGAATGTTCTCCAGGGCGGGAAGGACACGAACCCAGATTGCTGGGCGCCAGTCGCTGGGAACGAATCTATCATCAGACGTCAGCTATCGAGATCGGTTCCAAAGGACAACAGGCACCCATTGAGAGGAATACTCACTGGCAAGCGTAGAAAAAGATGAGCCATGCGGCAACGGGAAGGAAGGGGAGAAAGAATTGTCGAGTGATGGGGAGGAGTAAGGAGGTGAGAAGCAGCGTAGAGACTGCCGTCTTGACGAAAGGCCCAGGGACCTCCATTACACAGAGGGAGAAGATGCCCAAGACCATCAATAGGAGGTATTGAAAGTCATACAGGGTCCATCGGTGCGCCTGTAGGGATTTCAAAGTATCCAAGGGCGAGAACGACGTCTGGAGGGATGCGATCGAGGACGTTGGAGACACGCGACTCCGCAACTTGGACCGCAGCTTCCTCCGCATACGATGCGGGACCAACAGCTGGATCGATCGCCATGGTACCTGGATCTGAACCTTTCCAAACTGGCCCTGTGTCCGGTCCTTCCATGACGGAAGGGTGGTGTTCATCTTTTCTGCTCGAGCCTCGTCACAGAGACTCCCTTGCGGTTCGGACAGCGAAGACAGGGAGGAACGTCACACGAGTGACCCGGGGAGCGTCAGAATCGTGGGAAGAAAGGAAGGAGGGTCTGTAAAGCGCGGGGGAATCTAGAGAGATTCGACCGCCTACAGCCTCAATCCAACCGGGAGAGTCTCGAGTCGAAGACGTGGTGACTGACGAATGGAGATATAGGCACCGGTTGCCCTGTCGTTCCCTCCGGAGAACCGTTCTGACGCCAAACACGATCGCAAGGGGGGTTGAGCGCGCGGGAGTCGCAAGACAGACACGCAGAGCGATGCAGAGACGGAGGAGTCGAGCAGAGAGGAGGTTTGAGGAGGGAGCAGGATCGACCGATGACCACGACAGCAAGAAGGAAAAGGGAAAAGACGAAGAGCAGAGCCGGGAATGGATGTCTAGACTATGAAGAGATTCTGTTCACCAGGAGAACCGAACGAATGGGGGATAACGAGGTGTGACGGGGCGGACAACGACGGGTACGGGTACGAGATACGGATCTCTGTTCTTGGCGGTAATAATACCGTCTGTCTTCCCAGCGGTTACTATCTACTCTACTTCTTAAGAGGATCGTTTTCTACGTTAATATTAAATAAATAATGACTGGCTCCATTCCCCGACGGAGATAATAATAACTCGCAGGTGGCCTAAAGCTCTTAGACTACAGATACTTGCATCGTTCGTACTCGTATACGAGGCTCACACAGCCTTCATTTTCTCAGCACTCAGCCTTGGGGCCATCGAGGTTGGCGTTGACCGGAAGAGACGGCGAACACGGAGGACACGGAGGTTGCAAGGGCCGACGGGAGTAAGTAATGGCCGGTGGTATTATATTACCGTACGAGACCAAGCATTATTAGTACTTTCTCTCCATTTCTCTCCATGTTTTTTCACAAGCGAAATTTGCAGGCGGCCGTGAGTCTCTACTGATTTGATTGGCGGACATGCTCCGCTCCCAGGCACCTGGCCCAATCAGGCATCGGGCCACCCCAGAGTAATCTCGCCTATGAGACGCTTGACCTGATCGGGCCTTGGCAGAGAAGATGCCGAGGCGATGATTCAATCATTCAATCCTCGATCGACCGGTTTTTTGCGCCCCCCGGATGACGTCCCACTGCGTTCAAGACTGATCCTTGGCCCCCAAAGTTGCCTCATGCGGTATTCTCGATGATAACTCGACTCACTTCTTTTTTCTGATATATATATGTCCAGTGACGCAACGCAGCTTGGCTGGAACGAGGCGCAGTGGGCATGGCAGAATTCTGAGATGGAGTCAGCATGACGCCCAGCGACCATGCCACCGTCCTCGTGTTGATTATCAGATGTCCTCATCAGGTGCCAGCAGGTGCATAAGGTATGGAGAGGAGAGATACGCAGCCAGGCTAGACTAACCCTATAATAATATCCTTATTATTATGGTATTATTATTGTTACGACTGTATACAGCGGTACAGAGGGATAAATTATACTATCCCAATCGGGCATATTCTCACGTCGGGCCGGCAACAACGGACTAAGCGACAAATTAGCGCTATCTAGTTAAGAAATCAGCGTCCGATCGGGCTGCTCATCGACCCGCTCAGTGAAAAGAAAGAAAGAAAGAAGAAAAAAAAAAGAGCTACATTAGAAGGCGAGAGACTAATTCGCTGCACCATGTGGGCACATCGCATCGGGAGATTCTACGGCCGTGTATGGAGTACTACTACAATAACTTACCCACCCTCGATAACAATTTTACAGCTTACGATCACTATCTATGGTAGAGTAACTACTATACAAAGTAATAATAATAATAATAATCCCTCAACGGTCAACCAAATCATATGTCGGGCTCTCTTCGGAAAATCGGAGGGTCATCCTCAAGACTGGACAATTGGTGAAACAACTCAAGGCGAGTCGAAAGAAAGCATCCCCAACACAACCCGGATGATCCGACTCGAACTCCCAGCATCTTCCAGGATCACGCTCTGGCTCGAGCGCGAACCGTTTCACGATAGCGCCCACGGCTGATCCATTCTTTCGTGGAACACGTTGGGGAACACTTGAACTTCCTTCTTGCAGCAACAAAACAGTTTCTGTGTGATGTACTCCGTAGATTCCCATCACATCCCGCTCATCCAGTAATACTGACACTACTATCATACTCTACATTTTCCCCTGGTGCAGGTCTGACGGTCAAAAGCGCCAGGCTGGTGAAATTCCCCTTGAGCTGTCTAGAGACTCGAGAGCCAGGGGAGCTAAAGGAGCTCGGGCCATGCTAGCAGCAGCTCAACGCCTTAGCCTGTGACGATCCAATTAAGCCGGCGCTTCGCATCCAAATCCCCCTCTTGAAACTAATGTAGACTACTGTACTCCGTATCTACTCCGTACATATTCCTATTTTATTGATGCGTCTTGGCGCTAAAACACCTTGCTTTCCAATAATGGCACCATATAGTTACAGTATGTATTATTACATGATCCGTACTGAGTCTGCATCATTCATCTCTCTGTCCTTGCATTCCTTTTTTCGCCATGTGTGACTGCAACACGTTGATCTGGGGTAACTAACTCCTTACAGGCAGCCGTCCAAGTCTCGCGGGGTTCGTTATGCGGATACACATTCCAGAAAAGTCAGATGTGCAAATGTAATATCGCAATAATGTTAGAGCATGACCTTGGCTGGATAACAGGAGAATGTGCTCATTCATCAAGGGATGAATAATAAATAGCAACGTAGCAAGCATAGTTAGTTACTGTCTGTTTTTGAGTCTATGGAGCAGATGTAAAAAATCAACGCTATCTATTGTTGATCTACTAAAAAGGCACCCCCGTAGTTAGTCACCTAAGCATAGATAACTAACTAGAGTATTTAATCCATTCATCTAGAATTATATATGCACATGCATTATTCCAGGACCATAAATCAATCCTTCCCCTACTTCCGAATCTGACAACGACCGACCTCTCTATCTTTTATTCTGTAGTATCTCCTCCCTACACCCCCCTGTCCCTCGTACCAGGCCATATCCGAGAAAATCCCGCAACGGTACCTGAACGACCGAGAATTGAAATCGTTCTGTACAGGGCATCCCCTGTTAACTAACTTATGTTGTTGAACCGAGATATATGATTACTCTATTCGTAGACCTGCATAAAAACTACCGATCTGAACCCATATCCCCTCATGAGAGCTTCCTTGATCACCGTTGTTACTATAGTACAAATAAATAGTCGGTAATTGTACGAGTAGATAATCGTGGCTAAAATAACAGGATATCGATCCCGTAATATTACACTCATGCCTCGTAATATATAGGGCCAAGTCGTGATTGAATCTGATCCCCAACACGTCACCTCACGCAGCATAGATATGTTGCCGATCGTGCCGTAGGAATTAATAGAGAGACGAAAACTAAGGTCCTGTCAGTGCGGAGCCAAAGAGGATCTACTACTATGGAGTAGACAGAGCCAAATTCGCAGGTGCTCCAGCCCTAAAATGACAGAATATGAGTCGTGGCAAGCTTGTATGTAGATCTGCGAGCAATGATCGTGACAAGCGGGGGCCGCGGGGTGGAAAGGGCGGGGAGAAGTGTAGGTTCAGTTGGGGGTTTTTTGGGTGGTTGGATTGACTCTAGGATCTGCTGTCATGCGCATATTTTTTTTGGTCTTTATGCATTATTGGTCTGGTAGCCTAGTTAGATTGGGTAGGACACTACTATGATAGCTGGTTGGTAGTATGGTTGCATTCGAGGCTTGAGTGTTGTTTTGAGGGCAAAGAGGATGACATGGTGGTCGTGAGGTTGTTGCCCAAATGGGACGGTTTCTTTTTGTAACTAATGCCATCTCCTTGCGGCCTGACTAAAGAGTATCTTACCTCTGTCTGTGTTATTGTGGGAGGATGTCGGGTGATCCTGTTTTAGTTGACTTCGTGTAGTTTAACTGATATGATCATGGTGAACAGAATTCGAGAATCTTCCCATGGACCGGGTTTGGATTTCTCTTTCAAGGGTAACAGTTTAATCTAACCTGACCTGGTAGCTTCTGTCTACGAATAAACGTTACAGGACATCAATACGAGAATTGGACAGTGTTCGGTTATTAACTATATAAAAAGCAGATTCCGACTGCTACCATCCTATCTCCGCGACTCACCCGACGGGACATCCAGTCTCGAAGTGGAAACACTTGTACAGGGGCTGGAGCAGCTATTCATATCCTAGTGCACCATCGCATTCAGTTGTCACTTTCTACTACGAGCTCAAGTTGCATACTGAATCACAAGCAGGAGAATAGGCATCAGACCGTCATGGTCATTAATCTATCCGACCGTGCGTACGATTTCAGTCTGAAATTCGGGTGTATGATCGAAAGCTGAAGCGACGAATTGAAAAAGGCACGTGTTTCCCTCTTCCGCCGATTATTCTGCAGGTCCTGACGTTCCATGTGTGTGATACCATTCTCTTCCCTCAATCTCCCAAGCGTGATTACTGAGATACGGATCTGGCGCTAGGGGCCGTCCAACAGCAGATGTCCCCTTGAAATGTGGATTACCTCCGTCATGGGACACGTTTAGGTCTTTCTGCGCAAGTTCCTGATCAGATTCATTCCCTATAGACGGTGATTCGCCGTTTGAGGAGACAGGAGTTAATGCCTTCGCCATCGGCCTGTCCATCTCATATTTTGTATGACCCGCAGCGGACTTCAACCTGTTGCCCTGCCATATTCTTGAGTATCTTAGACTAAAGCCCTGTCTGGACTGGTGGGAGCGTGTGTACCAATTGCTAACGAGCGGCTTCAGCGCAGGTATCGATAAAGCAATCAAGGTCCCACCGAGCTCAGAACTCTCAACAACTATCATGGGACAGTAGAACCAACTGCCGTCGTCTGTATTTCCTTCAAAAGTGAGCCATATTCGGACGAAGGAAAGAACGACGACTCTGTTATCAGCGACGGTCAGCTAGGCAACTCTTCCACATCAAGGATGAAGACTGAGCTCGACGGGTATACTGACAGAATGCCAGGGAAAAGCACAAAGGAAAGCTGTATCTTCCTCTTCCTACTCGCGTGAAGCCGCGCTATGAGGGTGGCTGGTATACCGAGCATAGCAATATCACAACCGAGAGAGATCCCTGCAATGACACCATAGACAGTTCCCCAGGGCAGACAGATTTCACGCAACCCAGCACTGGAGACTTGGAATGGATATGGCCACAGACCTGTAATAGGTCTACAATGTAATAATAGTAGAAAGAACTGGGCCAAATAACCAGCGACTATGAACGCTGTAGCACAGTGAATGAAAAGCTGGATCCGAGGATGACGTCCCACGAGTCGCAGATAGAATGCCAGACCTGATAACCGGCAGACGAATAAAGCGGTAACATAGAGCATGTGGGCGACAAAATCGAGTTTCTCTGACTTCGCAACATCAGAGAGAGACATCACATATGCAATGTAGTCGTAATGTCTGCCACCCCCTATCCTCATCACTGTTATGCCGAGAACGATGAAAACAAGATAGAAAGGCTGGATGGGAGGTCAGCCTTAGTCGCCGTGTATTATGCAATTTTTACCCGGAAAGTCCCTCATATCAGGACAATTCCTTCCATGGAAAAACATTTCAGAACGTGAGTGCGTGCTCTAACGATACTGGTAAAGCTCACCATCGTAGCTACTGCAATGGCATCATCTAATCCAAACTTCTTCAGGATACAACGACGTGCATAGCATCGTAGTATGATGACAAACGTGGTAAGTGAAAAGACGAACAGAGTTGCAATTATGGTAGGTTCATTTCTTTCCTGGGCCAAGTAAGATAGATCTATCCCCTTGGGGACTCTCCCGGAAGCTGCAGCATTTGCAATATTGTTAGGGATCTCAGCCATAGAGTTCTGATTGAATGAAACGACTTCAAGGAGAACTTCTCTAGTTGTATGGTTATATGACAGTAATTAAGGCAGGCTGCCTAACTATGGACATTGCGTTCAACTGCAATATGTAGAGACGTAGCCCCTATTCGGACCATTTGCGTCCCAACCGAGGGATAGACAGAGCACTGGCCTCATGATGAAAGAACCGCAAAAGCACACGTGAAGAAGATACGGCTGCCAAAGTCTCTCAAGGTTGTTCGAAGAACGATAAAAGACGGTGAGTTGTGCCTCTTCGAGGGAAATCTGAGGTTGCACATAAACGGACGGCAATCACGGGTGTGCTACCGGTTTCGATGAAAACAGTCTTGAAGTCCTGCGGCCCAGTAGATTGAGGGAGAACTTTGGACATTTATTCGTTGGGCTTAGCAGACGAAATTGTTTCACAAAATGTAGGATGATACGAAAAATTCGAAGCGGTAGTGCAACATTCAACTTGATGCGCAGGTGTACAGGATCGCCCGTTGCAGATGGCACTCGAAACTTCTGAGTTGGGACTGGGAGGAAAGATCCCACCAAGTTCGCTATTGGAGGTTCCCTGCTTTGTTTCCCATTATGTTTTGTTTGATCCGGCGCAGATATACATATCGCTTTTGTTAGAAAGGGACTTCATTGAATTGTTGCTTTCTATACTTAAAGCCGGGTATCTATATGCAAACTTTTATCGTGGAACCTTCTTTTCCCTCGTAACGCGTAGCCATGGGATTCCGGAACCTGGATATGTGATCGACGAGAATTCCTGATTCGAAGCGAGCTCGCACAAGCTTTTAGCCTTGCCCGCGGCACGGTCCATAACATCACCGAAGATGATGTAGATATTGAAGTGGTGACTGGCAATTGAATCTGTTCCCATTCAGAGAACATAACAAAATAGATAGCCTTGCTGGAGCAGAAGGGGATATGCTGCCTTCAAGCGGATGGCACATCGGGATATCAGGACCCTGAGTGTGGCGAATAGCGCTATTCTATTTTGTCCGTGAATGTAGCCTTGGCAACAGTATGCGAGAGAGGACTCGATGAGTGGAGTCGAGAACAGACTTATGAGACTCTCCGCGAGGAATCCTTTGCAATACCATCGCCCAACACGACGGTCCTAATGGTAACCAATGACTCCGGTCGACTCACTGGTCGCGAAGACTCAAAGTAGAATCAGTCTCCTATGAGAAGTGTATGCCTTCTGCGTTGCAGGCGTAAAGAAGCCGGAGGAAGTCGTTCTCATCGCATTTCGTCGCACGGCTGCTCGAAAGTCCAGTTGAGTCCAAGATTCGCTGGATCTTGTGCTGTATTAATTTCGTCACCATAACTCGCGGGACTTGAAGTTTGCCAACAGCCACTTGGGATCCGCTGGCAGCCTTTGTTCCTGCACTGCTGAGGGTGTTATTGCCCGTGCTGGTGGAGAAGAAATCTAGATCGTCGTCCAGTGATTCCGGTGTTTCGTCCATATCCATATCCTTATCCTCCTCAACATCCATGTCCCCGATTTGCACCTTTCCAAGAAGGAAGTCCGTGTCCGCTTCGGAAACATTTTCAGGATACATGGCAGCCCACGTAATCCAATTCTTTTCGATTAAAGCGCGCACCTTAGATGCCGTCCAGCTTGCACGTAGCGTCTTGTTCTTTCGTACGAAACAGATGCGAAGCATGCCATCCCACTCATCCCAACTAATCGCTGGTCGATCCTGCTTGGGCTCGATCTTGACGACACTAGACTCGACCTGCGGAGGCGGCGTGAAGTTGCCTTTGCCGACCTTCATGACATGAGAGATGCGAGCGAAGAACTGGGCATTAACGGAGAGACGGGAATATAGGGAGTCTCCTGGTCGTGCGATTAACCGAAGGGCAAACTCGCGCTGCACCATGAGAACGCTCATCTGCGGGGGATGCGGGGAAGAAAGGAGCTTGAACACTAGCAGCGAAGAAATCTATCACGGTCAGTCAGTAGCACTTTTCCCTGGAGAGTAGAAGACGTACCTGATATGGCGTGTTACTAATGCAAATGTTGCACAAGGGCAGTTTGGTCAGATCAGTCTTCGCAAAGTCTCCCAAGACGATTTGAAGTTTCGACTGCAAAGGCGTCCCTTGTACTCGAGTAGTAAGTTCAGCCGCCATTCTGGGGTCCAGTTCCACAGCAACGACCTTCTTCGCCTTTTCGAGAATTCGAGTCGTCAGGATACCCGTTCCTGGACCGATTTCGAGGACCGTATCGGTGGGTTGAAGATTCGCCTTGGCGACGATAGCATCAGCGATACTGACATTTTTCAGAATGTGCTGACCGATGTTGGTGTTGAACTTGAAGAGAGAAGGCGGAATACTCGGATCTGGCTTCTTATAAGGCGAGTTTGCGCTGCCATTGCGCTTGACCTTCTGCGCTTTGCCCATTTTGCGTGAGGATGACAGAGCTTTGAACGGCGTCGCGCAGGGATCCAAAAATTTTGTATGGGGTATTATCAAAAAACTTAGCCGCTTGGTGGAGGTCGGTTAGATAAGATAGGCTGATAGACCAGTCCTGTCACGTGACTGAATATAGTATGCCTGGACAATAAGTTTACTCGAATCTAGAGCTCTGATATAGTATACTTTTGAACTATAAAATGATACGTTGGTTGACTTCCATCAATACTTTATCTTAGTCAATCCATCATTTGTCTCGTAAGAGAGCTTATGGTATTATTTCACCCAGACGCAAGAGATAGTTGGTCCACTGAGGTGATTGGCTCTGTGGCTGTTTATGTCATCATTTGCAGTGAGGTCACTACCTCCAGTATCCTCGAGTATCATATTTGAATGAATTCACACGAGTATAAATAAGATCAAGATCAAGCTCAGCTATAGAAATATACTTTAGTAACAAACCAATTCATCAGGTTTCGGTCCCACGGTTCCTCGAATTTCGCGAATCGCATTGTGTTCTACACCGCCCTTCCTAATTATGCCTGACGTCTCACAAGAGCGAATCACTTTGTCAGATTGAGTTGGTAAGGCTTGATAAGAAGTGCAGGGTATGTCTAATATAAGCTTCTTGGCTCTACCATGCCTGAAGATTTGGACCCTTGAATGAGGACCGAGGAATTCGCTAGAAGAAGAACCCACGACACGACCGTCACAAAGCAAAACACGTACCTGATCCAAGAAGATCCTGATAATAACGGCGATACAAATGCAGAATTTCACTTGGGTCTCGACTGCTACAGCAGTTCTGTCTGCGTTGCGGTGTTTCTCAACAGCCACTGAGAGCAGTTTCGACCACAGCGGGAACTTCTCAATGGAGATCCTGACTGAGCCTTTCCCATACAGCTTTCCCAAACTTGGCGCGGATAGCTCGCAGTTGTTTCCTATGCCACTTTGTAATGGGTTCAAATTGGAGGAAGCTACCATTGATGAAATGCAAATAGCTTTGAGCACGGGTCAACTGACCAGCATGCAATTACTAAATTGCTATTTGGATAGGATACATCAGGTAGACAGCTATCTCAGGTAACGGGAATCATTGCATCATAATCATTAGAACGCAGCGTTTGCTGACCCCCTACTGGCCAGTTCAATACTTGAGTTCAATCCGGACATGTTCAAGCTGGCAGAGTCACTGGACAGGGAGCGGTCCGAAGGCCATGTCAGAGGCCCTCTACATGGCATCCCGTTTATCGTCAAGGATGTCTTTGCGACAAAGGATCGCATGCAGACTACCGCTGGCAGCTGGGCTCTTCTGGGATCAGTCGTACCGCGCGACGCCCATGTGATTTCTCGTCTTCGCTCAGCGGGAGCGTTGTTGCTGGGAAAGGCAGCATTAAGCGAATGGGCCGATATGCGTAGTAATAATTACTCTGAAGGATATTCTCCACGCGGTGGGCAGTGCAGGAGCGCTCATAACTTGACAGTGAACCCTGGAGGCAGCAGCTCGGGGTCAGCTGTCGCTGTGGCAGCAAATCTTGTTGCCTTTTCCTTGGGAACAGAAACTGACGGGAGTAGTAAGTTGGTACCCGGATACAAACGGCCATTGCAAATGAACCCATTAAGTAACAGCTGAATAGTTATCAATCCTGCACTGCGAAACAGCATTGTTGGTATTAAGCCCACCGTGGGCTTAACGTCTCGTGGAGGTGTCATTCCCGAGTGTTCACACATGGACAGTGTCGGAACGTTTGGTCGTACCGTTACTGATACGGTGTATGCTCTTGATGCCATCTATGGCCCAGATCCTCGAGACAATTACACCCTTGCCCAGGAAGGCAAGACGCCCCAAGACGGCTATAGCCAATTTATATCCGATCAGTCAGCTCTCAAAGGAGCAGTTTTCGGGCTACCCTGGAAGTCTTTCTGGGCTCTGGGCGATCCGGATCAGATATCACAGCTGTCGGAATTAGTGCGCCTTATTGAGGAGGCCGGTGCCACGATTATAAACGGTACGGAACTTCCCAATTACAAGACTATTGTGTCTCCCGACAAATGGGACTGGGACTACGGCACGACACGAGGATATCCCAACGAATCTGAATATACCGTCGTCAAAGTCGACTTCTACAACGACATCAAGAAGTATCTCTCTGAGCTTGAAAACACCAACATCCGCTCGTTAGAGGACATAGTACAGTACAATATTGACAACGTAGGCACCGAAGGTGGTCTTCCAGGAATCCACCCAGCTTTCGGCTCCGGACAAGATGGCTTCCTCGCTTCTCTCGAGACAAAAGGTGTCATGGACGAAACCTACTTCCAAGCTCTCTCTTTCTGTCAGCGTTCTACGCGGGAGGAAGGCATAGACGCAGCACTCAATCATAACGGGACCAAACTCGACGGTCTCCTCGTCCCTCCGGAACCAGGTCAGGCAGGCCAGATCGCAGCCCAAGCAGGGTACCCACTGATTACGATACCTGCAGGTATCACCACCGAATCAGGAATGCCGTTCGGCCTGGCAATCATGAATACTGCGTGGTCGGAACCAGCCCTGATCAAGTTCGCGAGCGCCATTGAAGACCTGCAGCGTCATTCGGGGACTAAGTATAAGCGATCTCAAGCCACGTGGAGGGGATATATGCGGCGCAATATACCCGTTATTAATGCATGATTCATATGTTTGCATCTTCGTACATGGACTAGAAATGAGGAAAGAGGTGTCTATACATAGGCTATTATGTTGATACTGCATAACCATTTGTATGTATGTGTATAACAAAGCCTAGACTACAGAGACAAAAATAGAAGCTAGTTTGGGATACAATATCAAAGTTCTCAAACTTTTTGTTATACAAGAAAATATTGTTACTTATCCCCCATAACCTTCCCATGTTAGTAGCGACATAGCCCTCATCAAACAATAGAGTCATTGTCCGCAGGCCCCTAATATTATCGCTTCTCTCGTTGTCACGGCATCATCTAAATAGCTGAACAATCAGACCTTGGAACCCGGAAAATCTTCATGCAACCTTATCAGCTGACAAGTAAAGAGCGGATATTTTCTTTCGTCGATAAGTTCTGCCGAATTCGGAAAATCGTTCTATAGCAACACACTCAAATCCTCAGCTAGTTATCGCGGAAGCTACAAAAAAAACACATCTTATCAGCAATACATAGGAAGTCACTATGTGCTCTTTCTTACCTTTCTCCCAGGTTCTCTCACATAGCGCATCTTGCGCCACTTGCCATAGTTAGAGGACAAAAACAGGGATCTTGTCCACTTCCCATTCCAATTCGCCCTGCCTGTCCGAGGGGCTCCCTGGGCAGTATGTACATAGATTGGACTGATGAAGTCTTTGCGGAAATTTCTAAGACTGTTGTATTATTGTATATTTTTTTGGTGGGATTCAAGTAGTCTGATGCTTGGATTGTCTAGTAAGTTCAGACTAATTTATCATTGTGGGTGGAGCTCGATAAGGGGAAGTCGTGGGGGAACTCTGGCAGACTTTGTGGTTAGGTGGGGAACCGAATAGGATATGTATTTAATTGATTTTTCTATCTGGGGATGCTACGCCCAGTGAAAAAAAAGGGGTTTTCTTAATGTTAGGTCTATGGCAGGACCCGACGATCTGTGAATACTGCTGAGTTTTGGCTACTGTGAATGAGTCAAGTCATGTCGATATATCACGAGAGGAGAGATATCAGGAGTACATTAGGCGGGTTTTCTATAGTTTCTTTCATATATGGTTTCTATTTCTAGTATATTTCTATCTGGTTCATATATAGAGCATAGTCAAACTCGAGACCCTTTTTGCTGGACCCGTAACAATCATTCCAGGTGAAATTCTTTCAGTACATATAACGCCATAGCACCCCATCAAGCCCAGTTTGTCCCGTTCTTTTAAACGTAAAGACATGAAAATAAAAGAGGTATATCCACGCAGAGAAGCACTCTATTTACTTACTGATGCTTTTCGTCCGGGGTACTATCGGCCAGAGCCTGGAATAGCTTCACCAGCGCCATGGCGGATCCTGCCGCTAAACCTCCGACTATTACCATCTGCACTCCACCGATGACTCCGCGGCGGATGTTACCTGCTCCTTTCCAGCCACTAACGTAGCAGGTCTTTCCGTAGCCGAAGAGGAACAGGGTGACCGCCATGGTAGCTATGGACCAACGCAGAGCGATGAAAGCGTCGTGAGGGCCGACGAAGAAATATGGAAGCAGAGGCACAAAACCGCCGATGAAATAGCCCAGAGCAATGGTGATGGCGCAGACAACGGCTCGAGACCCGGATGGCTCCGGGAGAGTATGATGGAAGTTCATGAGGAATGAAGGGAGATTGGGGGATTCAGAGAGGTGGGTGGTGAGTTCGCTCAGAAGGTTAGATGGGAGGTCGTAAGGGGCGAATATTTGTGAAATGATGCCGTCGACGGATGACGGGTCTGTCACCGTCTGCTCGCGGGTCTCTTTTAACGTTGCTTTATATGATTCCCTACAGGCCTTGTTAGCATCTGGCTCCATCCTTCATATAGACCATGACGGTCTTACTCTTCACTCTTGGCTCCCAGATATCCACCCAATCCCATGGAGATGGCACCAGCGATTAGTTCTGCCATTCCGCCAAAGACAACCACTTTCGTGTCGCCTAACGCAGACAAGCCCGCTGTGAGGGCGAATGGCACCGTCATGCCATCGGACAGTCCAATGATAGCATCTGACACAATCCTCGCATCAACGATCTTGAAGCTGCTCTTCTCATTGTGCGTTGACGATGTTGCGGTCGATTCCAGGTCTTGGAGCTCTTTCCGGAAGGGGATATGGACATCTTTCTCAGCGTCTCTGGACGGCGACTGCTCCCCCAGAGGGGAGTAACGGGAGAACATCCCCTTGAGCAGGGCCAACGACATGGGCGATTTGGTCTGCTCGTCGTGTGCTGCTGGATTGCGCCGTCTGTGACGAGTTGAATCTGCTTTGGACTTGGGGAAAGGACCCAACAGCTCTGGGAATTCGTCCAACAACGGAGAGGAAAACAATGGCTGTCCGCTGGGTTCTGACCTCAAGGATGCCATGTCTATTTCTTTCTTTTTTCCTTAAAAGAGGAAATCCTCGCACTGACCTTTCAGACAGCGGCTCATCTTGCGGTGCCACCGGGAACAAGCCGTGAACGTGAGATAACCACTAGTTTATCACATCTGGACCAGATCCGAGGCCCGCAGAGAAAATGTCTCGTGGAGCCCTTTTGCCAGATATCGATTCGGGTCATTCCGCCTCGTTAAACAGAATGTATGACGGCGTTGAACGTGAGCCTATCGAGTGCAGAACGTGATATGAAGAATCATGGCCTGCCAAGATCTTTGTCAGGGTCGGGGCCTCCATAGCCAAGTAGTAGTATTAGCGGCGCATGGAAGACGGGGAAGATACAGTATACAGATGGCGACGGCCCGTTAATATCGCACGTTGGCGGCATTGGCGTGTCTGATTTGACGGCTGCCGCGATCGCGCTAGAAGCTTTAGTAGACGGTAGATGAAGCTTCGGCGGGGAAGAAAACGCTTGTCTAGTTCCTCAAGTGGGATTCCCGCCTATCACACGCCCGCAGTTTCCAAGCTGAGGAGCTGTAGTAGTAGTACGTAGTAGCATTAATTAGTATATCTTCTTTTTGTTAGTAGTATACCACTTCAACCACCTTTTGCTTGGATCCCCCCTTCGACATTCAACTGCCGAATCATCCGAAAATGGGTCTAATGTCCAAGCTAGTAGCCCACGTGGTACTACTACGTTGTAGTATGTAGGCTTGACAACAGAGATCGATCGAGATCCAAATCTGTAGAATCAAGGACGAGACTAATTTATTCAAGAGTCATGTCATGGTTGTCGATGTATTTATATCCAGATTTCGCCTCACATGCAGACATCGACAAGTGCTCCACGATAAGACAAGACGGCCAGGAAGGAGAGACAATGGAGTCTAGGTACTCTTGCTATAACACTTATCTCGACCCTGGCTTTACTTGAGAGACCAGACTGAATGAAATAATATAGGATCTTCAGAATCATTCGTTTATTATTACAAACCTCAAAAATGCGGGTCCTGCTATTCTTTAATTTCCGTCCAACTCACTTCTTTTTCTTTTCTTTTCTTTTCCTTTTTCCTTTTTTTGTTACTCGAGCCTGATTATTATTATCAACTTTGACGACTATAGTGGTTTTCTTAACCATGTCCTCCCCGCGCTGGAGGATAATCTCACCTACACTGGAATTTCCGACGGACAAAATATCACCTACTATGTCACCCTCATGTCCCCTTACATCGCATCCCACAAACACCCTGATCAACGACCAAGGAATCATATATGTCTCGAGTTTCGCATACGCACAGAGCTCCATCCTGCATTTCCTTCAGGAAGTTGAGGTCTGGGGGTCTGAAAACCCGCGTCCAGTGGACCAAGATCTTTGAATAACGTCTTTGGCAATTAGAGAAACCACTCCTCAGAAGCTCTATACTCCCGTCTGTCCTGTCTAGTACTGGACGCAGCCGGAGCCATATTTTGAGCTAAATACTTTAGAATGAAGATGATTAATTACGCGAGTTTGTCATGATGGATTTTTGCTATTCCGAGAGGAAAAAGGATGTTGAGAGGATTAAATGGGACGCTGGATTCGATTTTGGGAAATGAAGAGAAGGTAAAAAGTGATACACACGATTCGATTCGACCTGATGATATGTTTATGATGAAATTTTTGATTGATCTTGGATGGAATAAGAGTCTTTCGACCAATGAGGTGCAAGGTCACCTTGGTTACTGATCCCCCTCGGGCAAGTATGCACTTCAAAATTCTCAAAACTAGGTAACTTGACTATCAAGTCAAGTGAAACAGCCGAAACCAAAAAGGCCAGGTACCAACATGCACTGTCCAGATAAAACCCGCTGATGCGAGGGAAAAAAAAAAGATGAATAGGAATGATGTATTTACAGAAATTACAACGCTTTAGAATGAACAAGAAGAGAATCCTGCTATGAGGGGCCCGAACGCCGTGGTTCCTTTTAGATCAACAATTCAAACTGCTCAGGGAACGGTCTGCGGAGAATATCTGCATAGAAAACGAATGCCGTTAGAAGGATACGTGGTGAAGAAATACGGCACGGGGATACTATGTGCACTCACTACTTTCTCTTCGATGCTTCCGCTCCGGATCCGTTTCCCCAAAGCCGGCTCTTGTAAGCTGGGAAGGAGGTGTGGTTCCACATGTTGACGAGAACACTAGATATCACGCAGTGCAGGTTAGCTTCCTGATTCCCAAGAATAAAACTAAATTGCTCCCTGGATAAGGAGTGCGTCTCTGGATGTAACCCACCTCTGGCTGCGATCCCTGTACGCCTCATCGGTCAACTCCTTCACTTCGACTTTGAGGCCGTCCTTGTTGAACATGATATGCTTCTTCTCCATCTTCGCTCTTGTCTGGTTGCTGACCTCCTGTATGATGCCGTATGCGACGAAGCCAACGACGGCGATGACGCCGATGACGACAAAGAGGATCAGGAGGGGAACGAGGTTCTTCAGTCCGACGGCCATTGTTTGTATGTAACGATGATGGCCTCAGGTTTCAAAGATGAATGTCCGGTATAGTAATCCAGTAGTTGATATAATCACTAGCGAGGGGCAGAGACGGATGCGGGGGATTGGCGATAGGCGATCGGGTGGAGTTTCGTAGATGTGAAAATCGTTTCTCGTTCTGTCCCGCGTTGCAAGGAATATCAGATCGGAGTGGAGGATTGATGATGACTGGTGCAGTGTTTTGTTTTGTCTCGTTGTTTCTGCGAGAAATCTACTGTTAGTGGGTTGGGTCTCAAAATCTCTTTTGTGTGTTCAGGTGGGCGGCGAGACAGAGTTGTTCCTCGTGACGAATTTAAGGTAACTAAAAGGGATGCGAACCTACTGCAATACGTCACGCGAGTAGCTGTATGAAGTATCGCTCTGCTATATCAACTCCACCTGACAGGAGCGACAAACAATCAAAGAGATATTCACACTTGAAGCGAGCACAAGAAATGGAGAAACACCACGAGATTTATCAGGCACAATTTCGACCGAGTTTGGCATCCGGATGACTGTCCCTTAACTGGGGGAGTGGGGCCATGGTAGGGCTTGGTTGATCTAGCGTTGAGGCTGCCAGCAAGTGGCCAGGATAGTTCGTTCCTTAGCATCATCCAAGGTTCCAACTTCCCAGGCTTCTTGAACTGTTCCTTACCAGCAGCTTCTCTTTATCATCCATGAATTAATTCCTTTTGAGCTAATTCTTCTTCATAACCATCTTCAGGATACGAGGACCATCATCTCTTCACCTTATTATGCCTACCCCTTCTGAACAACGCAGGCCTATGGTACAGACAATTTAACCTGCCGTACGCGTTCGGCGGTTCGCCCCCGGATCAGCAAGCCACAATCCGGTTCGTGAACTGCGCCAGCCACAGTGGACCCCGGTCCCTGGCCCCGAGGAATTCCCTCACGTCCAACTCCACGACCGCAGTGGTAGAGCAAAACAAGAAAAACTTGCGGCCAGCGCATGGTATTATTGCTAGTGGATCATCGTTATCATTTACCCGCGGGGATTTTCGTTTTGTTTGCTCCTCGTGTTCCTTCTGATTAGCGCCACGATCATGTTCTGTGGCGCAGCACCCTAAACTGCGCCGGCCCTGACGCCGCCCATGCCCTAACTCTAGGCATTTCCATTTTTAGGCTTCCCTGTGGTACACTAGTCTCTAGGGCTTATGATTTATGATTACGGAGTACAGCAAACACACGCCAGATAACGATGTTGGAGGAGGGCACTCGTAGGACGTCATCACGGGTGTCAGGTAAATCTGACTTGGCGTCATGCAGGGACAAGATGAGCTGGTAGCGGGAAATGAATTCTTCAAAGTGAGTTCATATGCAATGCATAGCCACGAAATATGCTGACTTTTGTTCATTCAAGGATAGGCCACATCGTAGCCGCTCTTCTTTCGAATCAGACTTCCGTACTTGAAGAATAGCCACGGAACAGGAAGGAGTGCGAGAGAGACGAAGGCCAAAAGGCTGGTGGCCCAATCGATCCCCAGCTTCTCGTACACTATGGACATCACGAGTATTAGCCTACCTATCGAGCATCTGACAACAAATAAAAGATGAAGGATAGGGGACCAGGCTTACTCTGCACCGTAAATAGCGGGAAGGAACCGCCCAGCATGTACCGCACGATTCCATTCGCAGCCATCGCGGATGCGCCGTTCAGCGGTCCATACACGTCTGTCAGGTATAGCGCACATGAGGTCTGCCAAAAGCGTCAGGGAAGAGTCTCCTTGATAAAGATAGCAATGTCAGGAACTCTCACAAAGGTCAGTAGATTTCCACATGCAAAGAAGACAGTCGCTATGACGCAGCTGATCCAGTGAATATCGGCGCGGGCAGTCCAGGCAAACCAGAAGAGCCCGACTGTCAAAAGGACACTTCCCAGCATCGCACCATATAAGCGATTCTCTGGGGCAATAGTACCATCACCGCCAGCAGCACGATTTCGCAAGGCGCGTCTAATGTACGCGAAGTCGTCGATAATTAGAAAAATTGCGGCAGCCGCCGCGCATCCCGCCGATAAACCAAGAAACACTAATCCTGCTTCGCCCACTGAAAATTTATACAGACCACGGAAGACCAGAGGGAATGCGGCGAAGAAGCAGAAGAGGACAGAGAAATTGAAGCCGACGTACAAAGAATACAGTCCCACAATTGGCTCGGTCAGAATCATATGGATCGGTCTCGCCAGAGTGACGGTCAGAAGGAATTTGATCGCAGGTAGACCCTCTGGTATAGGACTGCGCGGCAGCGGTTTACCCAGTTTCTTCAACCGTTTAGCCAGGATAATCTTTGCGTACGTTTCTTTTGCCCCCAGTGAGTATATCCAGACGGCCGCCCCGAGAAATATAGTAGTCCATTGCGTCCATCTCCAGCCTTTGAATTCGGCTACGTAACCGCCGACTGCGGGTCCAAGAGCTGGTCCCAGGAATGGGGCTACTAGAAACAAGGATACCGCTCTTGCGCGATGCATCGGTGCCCAAATGTCGAGATTTGTCCCTGCTCCTACTGCCAATGGAGGTGACCCTAGTATACCGGCAAGTAGCCTGCAGATCAGCAGAGAGGCCAAGTTCTGGGAGAAGCCAGCTCCCAAAGTAAACATAAGAGAAATAGGCATGCAGAATATATAGATGAACCGCCGACCGTAGGTCTCGCTGAGAGGAGCAGCAATCACTGGACCACAAGCGAGACCATATGTGTATAGTGTAATGGGCAGCAATGCCACGGTATTGCTGACTTGAAACCTTTCTGCAACCTCTGCATCACTAGGCGAGTATACAGACGAACCAAACGTCCTAAGCAGTGTCAGAAATGCAGATATAGTTACAGCTGGCGTTTCTCCTACTCACACTGCAAGGCCCATGAGACCGGGAATTGACATTGTATAGGCCTTTTTCCATATTCCCCAGTTATGAGGATTTTCCGGGTCATCTGGGCCATCAAAAGTTATCTGCGACGGAGGCTGATTCGAGGTATTCGAGGACACACTTGGTTGTTCTGCCGACTTCTCAACATCTACTGTCCGGCCGTGATTTTCGCCCAATCTTGTCTCGCTTGCGGCAAGAGAAAAGAAAAATTACAATAAACAGGTCACCTCGTAATACGAATTGTTTCATTAAGACTGGGTAATGTCCTATACGAAGATAAATATGGGCCGCCATGCCGTTTCGACGGGGAAAATACTTTCAAACTTCATTGTCTGCTGGTGAGTCTTGGAAATAAATTTCATCTCTTCCGCAGCGCGGCTGTAGAATTCGCGTCTGGCCGTCGAGTTTCCTGGGTGGATTGGGCTTCTTACTGACACTGCAGGGTCGATGATATATATACTCTAGAACACATCTCTCTGCTGGCCGTGTCTCACGGCTCTCCACGTACGAGTCACACCATCGGGATCGCTTTCCCACGCGGGTTACTGTAAGGAAGGGTTTCATTCAATCATGACGTTATCGGGATGGACCTTCCTAGCTGATTCGGAATCCGGATATATTTTCTTGACGACCACAGTCCACCCCTCGAGTGACGGCCTCGCTCCCATGAGGGAAATATGTCTTTTCGACACGGAGGAGCACTGCGAGATGTAATCACGTGGAACCAGCACAGGCCAACTCGGGGTAAACGAAGCGAATCGACGCTATCTAGGGGCATACAGCTCGGCGTGGTTCCAAAAAAGCTCCGCGTGGTTCTAAATTTTGCCCATTTCTTCCGCCTTCCTAAAGCAATCACTGGAACCACGCTGAGCTTTTTCTTGGCATAGGCTCGGCATGGTTTGAAACTCCCTGGAACCACGATGAGATTTTAGCGCCTATCCGAACCACGCTGACCTTTCTAGCCCTAAGCCCTAATTCCCTAATTCCCTAATTCAAAAATTCCCTAAGTCCCTAAGTCCCTAATCTGCCTAAAACCCCTAATCTTTTAGGCCCTAATAAGGGCATATGTTAAACATATACATAGCATATGCGCCAAAATTTATGAGGCATATGTTAAGTATATCCCCAGTATATGCTCATTAACCTATAATTATATAACACTAAACCAGATAGGTCAGCGTGGTTCCAGCATTTTAAAAGGGTTAGACTATAAATCTCAGCGTGGTAGCAGTAGGGCGTTGCAAAGGCGGGGAAAAACGGCAGTATTTAGAACCACGCTGAGAGATTTTAGAACCACGCCGAGCTGGCACCCCGCTATGTAGATTTTGAATGACCACTACTACCTGTGACTAAGCCCGGTCGGGCTTTCGGTAATCGCGGAGTCGGAACGTGTACTAGCGGTGGTATTTGAAATTCAAAATTTCATGAATTTCATAACTTTTTAGGTATTGAATTTCGCAACGAAAAAGTTTTTTGAAATTTGAAATATGCTAAAAATTAGTCTCTACTAATAGCTTATCTAGGAAATTAATAAGCGAGATTTCCTTAATTTGTGGAACTTGATATTCTCGCTTAATTCCCTGGTTTATTATTAGCGCGCCCTATATATAGTCTGTGTGTAATGCATTGCAAAAGGAAAAAAAAGGTAAAATGTCAGCATTTTATGAAATTAAAATCAAATTTCTAAAATGCACTATCCCTAATATGTACAAACGATGCCAGACCTTAGGATTAAGCTCTTTAGCGGCGACAGCCTCTCTGCCCGCTGTGAGCGTTGATCCCCGCAAAGATCCTCTTAATTACCTCATATAATAGCATAGAATTAAATAACAGAAGATTTATTTACAGATTAAGCGTAGGCCCTACCCTTTCACTGGTGAGGATATAATTAATATATTCACCGGCTTCGACAGGATTGCTGGGATTTTTCCAGCTTCTTGCAGATGTATCCCATTAGCGATCTATTTGTCGAAATAAGGTTTTACCTCAGGACAAGTAATGGATCCATTGGGGCGGGCCATCCAGGGCTCTGGGTCACACGAACCACTCAGATAATTCAGGTGCTCAGACCGCCAAGACGCCGTCCCTGGACTTTCTGCTCAGATACGGTGATTCGCCACTGAGTAGTATGGATATTATCGTCTCACTGGCTAGTTTCATCGGGTCGTGCGTCTCTAGATCTGAACGGATAATCGGGCGAGCGAGCATCGGGGTAAGAAAATGGATAATTGCTCCTCGCCTGCTGCCTTCCAATCACAGTACCGGTCGGCACTGTGGCCGATAATTCTGATCATTCATCGACTCAAGATGACTATTATTGTTTTTTGCGCTTCTTGTTCTCTTCTTTTCTTCATTCTATAATCCCCACCTTTCACGGTCATCGTCTGATCACGGTGGATTCCCAGGCAGGGTCGTGGCCGAAGACTGTTGATCGTAGGGTGGGCAATGAGTTCGGTAAAGTCCGGTAACATATGATGGACCCGCTATGGATCCAAACACGACAGGGAGCTTGTCTCCCGCTCGGGGCCATACCGGATCGGCGCCAGGTAGTGGAGCCTATGGCGGGACTGCTAGACCAGGATACATGATGCAAAGAACTTGATATGCTCAGTGAATCTTGTAGCAGAGGCAGGTCCAGAGTAAACCAAGAAGGCTATGAATGCTGTGACTGCCATTCAGGAACTGGCGTTGTTCCCTACTACCCATTGTTGCAAGCCTGTGAGATCGAGAAACTGTGCCCATGTTTTCATTCACTTTAATGTGTTTATTTTGCTCTGTAGATTACAACCTTGTCTCTGAGAGATTGCATTTCTCTATACCTAGTTGTTACAGTGGCCTAGATAATATTCTATAAGAATCTACTAATCCAGGGCTAATTATTATAGAATAACCTATGCACACGGAGTAGAGTAAGCCCTTGGTAGGGAGGTGGGGGGAGGAAAGATATCGGGAGGGCTCCCCCGATAGGCAGTTTACGTCGAGTTTGTGCACAGTATACTGTAAGTTGTAACTAAACGCTTGATAGCATTACAGATTATGGCAGATAGTTCTTATCTCTTAACCGGGACTATTTTGCAGATCTAGTGTAATTTGCGAAGCGAATTCATGTAGACTTTTAATGTAACCCTGCGGCGTAGTTTTCTTATGGATTATGTGGAATCTAGCATGTAAAATGATACCTCATTTCATTAACAGTCCGCTGCCCCACACTGATACGCGATCCACTGCGCTAACCGGCACACTCATCTTGCCTGAACTCAGGTTGTGTAGGGGGACCCTGTCATTCTAGCCGAGGAGCGTGGCCTGCTCTAGGTAGGATTACGTACACTACATGCGCTATGGATGTTAAACTCATGTAAGAGGGATATAGAATAGCATGGCATTAGTCCGGTTCTAGCAAGACTAATCGCTAGAGAATTGTACTTCCAGCGAGGCGCGCTTAAGAAGGCGCAGGGTGTCAATGTCACGTGATCCATGACTGCTACCCTGCGCTATCCATAATGGGGTTCTATATACAACGTGCACCTTATACAATAACTCCTATCTAAGACAATAGATAGGCAGTTGTAACCTTTAGGAGACTAGACTATATCTTCAATTCTATAGCACAGGTAGAGATTAATTAGATTAGATTGGAATTTATTCATTTAAACAGGCAGCAGAGTAATTAAACCCTTTCTATCTGTAAGAAGCGCGCGGTCTCTAGGGGTTCGGTTAAAGCTTATAAGGGGTGCCAGCCCGTGATAGCCTAGCGGCTATCATTTTGTGTAGTCTTTTTGGCTGAAGGGTTCGCTAGGACTAGGCTGGCGCCTAGAGTTCTCCATACACTATCCCTGTAAAGTCTGGTTAGAATAGCATTCCTATATTAATATTTTGCCAGCTAACCAGCATTGCTTTACTTTTTGGATACAGATATCTAATAAGAATTTTCTAATCTAAAACTGGATTGAATTTTTATTATCTAACCAACTAACTAACCAACTAATTAACCTTCTAGATTGGGGTGTTTTTTAAACAATAAATTCTTGTACTCGTAATTCTTGAGACTCAAACTTAAATGGATCTACTCCCTCTACTATTCTGGCTTTAAATCAATGTATATAGAGATTGGGGGTAATTCTGGATAGGCATGTAGGCCAACTGTGCGTGTCGCTCCAATCTGGGGTTAACCCCCATGCTTGGGTGTAGTGCAGGGGGAATGACGGGAGCCATAGCAACGGCAGGCGAAACTGTACGCGGGTGAGGTGCCTGGGAGCAGGACTGATGTTCTAGGGACAACAGAATGAACCCATATATTGTGATAAGACAGCCCCTGAATCCCCGTTCCTTTCAACTAGCATTAACAGTCAAATTGCGAGATCGGTGAGCGCTTCACACAAGCTTGAATACAGTCCAGTGTTTTCTTCAGTGATAGCAAGGTCACTAGCGTCTGTCGCATCACTGCCTTGGCTAGTACGGATGTATCATGGAAATCCATAGCATCTGTTGAGGCATTATTACACCAACCAAGGCAATATTGCGCGGGGAGACCGATAAGCTTCTCCAGGGTATGTAGCTGATGCTCAACAACACGGATCGTCATCAATATGTCCTGGCTGTGTGGCCGGGTGACCCCCTGAGCTGATCTTTGGGCTCTGGGGTCCATTGGGTTTAGTTCATCATGTGGCCGCTGAGGGTCCAATGCCGTTGATGACATTAGAGGGCAGCCAGTCTTCCCCGTGGGGTTGCCCGGCTCCGGGCTTGCATTCGCTAGGTCGTTTAAGAATTGAACAGTGGGTGAGAGGATAATGTCAAATAGCTCTCCAAGTTGCAGGTAGGTCGACAGGAGTATGAGTGTGACCTGGGGCGGAGCATTGGCTGAGAATACCGACGTAGGCAATGTGCGATTCGACATGGGGCGAGAGGCAGCGTCCTCTGCCGCGCTGTCTTCACCAACCATGCCTGTCCAATCTACCGGCGATGGTGGCATTATCTGTAATACCAGAATGAATCTCATCGTAGCTATTACTGCCTTTCCCAGCAGCTTTGCCCGGGAGGAGCCGTCCGAGGCGCCGTCGCAAACGGGGGTGTCCAGGAAGTTCAGGTCCGGCGAGATGCCCTCGAATGTGCAGGCCCCGACGGGCTGAGTGGATAGATTGCAGGCCTGCGCCCTCAGCTCGTCCAGCTGGCGCGATACACTCCCTAGCGCATTCATAAGGGACGTCGTCCAGTCGCTGTTGGGCCTCCCGGTCTTCGACTTCGTATTGGTGTCATTCCTGTAGTGGGTGCTGCTATCGGGGGTATACGGTCGCTTGCAATTGCTTCGGTGTAGGTTGGCATACGGGCTGGGCTGCATGTCAGGGATCCCGATATCAGAGCCGCAGAGCTCGTCCGGATCTTGAAATTCCTGTGCGTGAGAGTCATTGCCGTTGTTGGTATGGGTGCCATCTAGGGAATTGTGGCATGTGGTTCGCATGGTCGCTTCTAGAAGGCCATATGGCTCATAGATATCTTCCAGTTGCATGCATAACATACCGTCAGACTCAGATAGGCCAGGATCTGTGCAAACACCAGGGCGCTGGTTGTGCGACTCGTGCGTCAATTTGCACTGGCTGTGAATTGGCATTCCAGCAGCACCAGAAGCTCCCATTGACCTACAAGACATGGAAGTGTTGGGGAAGTCCCCGGTAACCATTTGTTGGTTGGATTGGGCGTGATGCATATCTTGACAGATGGCGGTGTTGACGTGCGATTTATGCTGGGTTGGCGGCCTCCCCAAGAGTCGACCACTGCTTGTGACGCAGCGAGCATCTACACGTAGGCAGCGATCACAAGGGGCTTCTTCAGTGTTGCGTGTGCACCGAAGTTTCAGGTCCCTGCAGCGATCGCAAGCATATCTTTTGGCATTGCTGGTCATAGGAATAACGCCAGTGGCCTGTGCAGGATGAATTCTTATGTATGTAAAAGAGAGCAGGTTTGGGGAGAGAGACAGACAAAATTGGCAAAATCTATCCCTTCTGTTCAACCTCTAAGGAGAATTCCTTGGGGCCCTTTAAACATTCCCAATAGTGTGCCTGGCTCTGTCGGGAATATGGAGAAAGTCCATCGATTATCAGTACGCACATGCTCTGGGATTATCCGTTAGGGTGAGGCTGATAAGATCCTGGACTACTCCGTCCCTATAGTGGTCCTTATCCCACTATGTGCTCGAGGAAAAGTTAACACTCAGTTCTTCTCCTGCGGCTCACTGCACCTTCTCCACTGACACTCAGAATAACCAATAGCAAGGGTGATATTGATTGAATATTATTTAGCGCAACTAAAATTTTCGCGTGGTGGAATTGTTACCAGGGGCAGTGATATTGATAGGTAGTATGGACACTTTGCCCCTCCTTCGGTAGTATCCAGTCCTCTTTGGCTGTTTTGAATCTATTTTCGTGCTTTGTCCACGGTTCTCAACAATACCGTTTCGCCGAAGAGCATATGAGCTATGACGTTCGCTAATACATAATAATTCCAATAATAAACGTAGCTAGGATTCCGGTATCCCCTACTGCTTATCGATTGAGTAAACTATGAATGTTTTATTAAGGATACATATCTTTCCGACGAAAATCCAGTGCCATGCATGCTGGTTCGCTGCATCTTTCCAATAATCAGTGAGGGCGCCCAATTCCCCGAAGGTTACGGAGTTGACCCCCTCTATTACCTGGGCAATCAGATACCCATCGCGAGGCCTCCCCTGCCCTACGTCACCGGTTGAGGTTGTTAGGGGAGGTGGCGCGATAAGTACCATACTGAAACTCCCCGCCTAAAATTTCGTCGGTCATACAGCTGTCAAGCGGTACTAATGGGACAATGGTGCTTTCACAGAAGAAATTCATGTTGAACCAGGAATTCTCCGTCCGTAAAGCATTATAGCAGTGGGTAGAATGTTTTGCATTATTAAGATTGTTGACTCATGAGGGTACTCTTAGGGCAGCGAATTCAAGTGACTTGGGTCGCTATTGACTACCTACTCCGTAGGCACAAAAGTTAAACGATCATTGCTCCCACAGTTAGTTTGCGCGGGATCCACTGAGGCTTACGCCGGAAGGAACCATTATCTGCTTCAACTACTATAGAGTTCTGTTGGGATGAGACATAGCCCCAACATAAAAGGCCTTCTGGGTTCATACCTATGCTCTATTAAAACAGAATGATATATATATCTTCTCCATTCTTTAGAAAAATATCGATCTGGATTGATCAAGTCCCTTAGATAAGTGAACATGTAGTATAGCTAAGGAGAGAGATTAATAAGGGATAACACCTTAGTGCTGCACAAAGCATATGATCTAGGAGGGGCTTAATCGCGATCAAAAAAGTGGAATGAGGAGGGGCAATATTCCGCTACAGCCGGAGCGCTCACCAAACCAAAATAAGTATATGTAGTTATATTCTGTACGGAGTACATGACATCTAAGATGGGACTGTGATCTACCAGTACTCCGTAGGAGATAATAATATATTACGGCCCCACCTTCCGGCTGACCGCCCGCGCGCCCCCACCGGTCCTCGAACGTCGACTCCCAAGTAATCTGGATGAACTCCTACCGTCAGGGCCGAGCTGGATCGGAGAGTTCCCGACATGGATGACAAAAAGTAATTAACTAGGAGCTAACTATCCACAATACTTTACCTCGAAGTTCGTCGGCAAAACCCCATTCGAATTTTGTTGACCATTCTAAGCCCCTTTAGGTGGACATCGGGTATTTGGAGGCCTTGCCCACCTACTCCGCACATAAAAAAACGATGATTTGAAGCATAATCCACAACAATATTTACCTAAGTAAAGACACACAATAGGAACTCACCAAGGCAACGGCTTCTGGACCAAGATCAATCACTTCTCAGCAACCTCGGAAAGCTCAAGGTGTCCTCCTTTCCAAGCCCCAGGAATACAGCGGACATCGCACTCGACAGTCCCATTTCCCCGGCTTTCCTAACCCAGTCTTCCAAATCCACTCGCTGGATAGGCTTTCCCAATTCTGTAGACAGATAGTCCGAGATATGAGCCAGATCCAGCTCAATATCGCCTGACTCATGGATGTAAACGACGTTCTCGCCATGAGATGGAGCCATGACGGCTCGTAAGAGTCTGTCAGTCACGGTCTTGGGGTGTACAAGATCCACATATCCTGTGAGTGATACCGCCACTGGCACGGCACAAATCCGCCGCGAGAAGGTTAGCATGTTCTGCAGAACATCTGCAACGGGTGTTTGTTCCCCCCGGTCAGGACGGAGCACACTCGAGGGTCGATGAATGTAGACCGGGAGCTTGCACATGGAGTTTACTTTCTCGAGGTACACTTCGCTGGCCCACTTAGAAGAGATATATCCGTATTCCCCGTTGCACGGTGGCGGTGAGTTCCGAACCGATATTTCTGGGAACGTACTTGACGCCGTGTACATGGAGACTCCCGCCGTGGAGACGTAGTGAAGGGGTACCCGTCTTTTCAGGCATAACCGCGCTAGGTCTTTTGTCGAGTTCACGTTGGAGCCTCTCATGGAAGCGTATGTCTTGAGATGAGATACATCGGCCCCGTTGTGGATAACCGCATCGGCTTCAATACCAAAGATGCGATCGATGTCAACCTGGGCTAAACCAAGATTCGAAGCACGGAGGTCGCCTTCCAAGCACTCAACTCGCGGAGACAGGAGAAGCTCTCTCCTTCCTTCGTCGGTCATATTTCTGTTGGCGATGCATATAATCTTCTCAACGCTACCCTGCTCAAGAAGTCCACGAAGCAGATGCTGTCCCAGGAATCCAGTTGCACCAGTCAAAACAACTATCCGAGGAGGACACCTGGGAGATGGCAGTTTTACGTCTTCCACTGGTGCTTCCAGCTCGAACGCGGTCTCGCTCGCCCAATCAATACACCTAGGATGATCTAGATACGTCTCATCCAGCGCATCGCTCTCCGGTTCCATCGCACGCTGGAGGACATTGGCCATGCCACCTAGCGTGCTCATTTTGAACAGATCCAGCAGGGTAAGAGAAACATGAAATGTGTCGATAATCTTTTGCTGCAGCTGTACCAACAGCATGGAGGTGCCACCGACGCTGAAGAAGTCAGACGAGGGGTTTATATCAACAATCCGAACCACTTCATCGGGGAGAACGCATTGCCAGAGGCTGAGAAGTCTGGCCTCTGCTTTTGAGAGCGTAGGAGTCAAAGTGGTCGTATCCGCACTGATAATGCTACTTAGTGGTCCTCCAGCGATGTCCAAATCCTCAAGAGCGCGCCTATCCAGCTTTCCCGCTGTTGTTCTCGGTAGATCATGAACCGGAACGAGAAGGGATGGTCGCATGGCACGCGAAAGAGGTAGTTTGCCCAGAATCGTTTGAAGGATCGATCGTGAGTTCAAGTTTTTGTCTTGCCTTTGTTCGATTGAGAAGACACAGAAAGCGACCATGTACTTGGATTCTGCCTGTTCTTCGTCCTTTGATGCCGACCAGTCGGTGCGCACGCACGCCGCCACATCGACAAGCTGGCCTTGAGAGGCTTTCAGTACGGTCTGCTCTACGTCTCTAAGGTCAATTCGGATCCCGTTCAGCTTGACCTCAGTGACATTGCTAAGACGGCCCTTAAGGATGAGGGTCCCGTCATCTTTCAAGTAGCCAGCATCACCTGTGCGATACATAGTAGTCCAACCGTGCCGGATATACTCAGTGGTTGCAAACGGGTCCGGAAGAAAGGATGTTTTCGTCTCTTCTGCATTGTTCAGATAGCCTTTCGCGACCCCAACGCCGCCAATGGCAACTTCACCGGCTAGGCCCAAAGGTAGTAAACTCTGCATGCTATCGAGAATATAGAAGGACTCATTCGCAGATGCCCGACCTACGGGCACAGCATCAGCGTATTTGTCGGGATTGGCATAATCAAGCTGGATCTTGGACGACCCGCAGGTCGTCTCTGTCGGGCCATACACATTGAAGAGACGAAGTTTGTCTGCCCTATTGAGACTCCTGAATCGTTTAAGCAACGGCACTGTGACGGGCTCTCCTGCCACTAAGGCTAGTCTCCAAGGCGATTGTTGAATGATGCCCACATGCGCATCACGAAGCCAGCCCCTGTACTCCGTCGGAGTGGCATAAGTGGTAGTCACTCTTTCGTCACAGAGTAGCTTGGCCATGGCTCGCCCATCGGCCCTCAGAACATGGGAAGCGATGTGTAACCGCGCACCAACTGTGAGTGCCAGGAACAATTGCGTGACGGAGAGGTCGAAGCTCCAGGAGCTCTGCTGCAGCACAACATCCTCCCTGTTGAGCCCATAAACGACTTCGCAGTGCGCAGATTCGTGTCGCAAGCTTTCATGAGAAAGAACTACCCCCTTGGGTGTCCCCGTGGTGCCACTAGTGTAGAGAACCATGGCCGGTGAATTGGGGAGTGCAGTAGTAGGAAGAGATTGAGTGTGTGTGTCAATAGCGTTAGATACGTTGATTACGGCACCGCGAGGTGGCAGCTCTCTCACCATATCCAGCGTAGACTCATTAATCAAGATGGCCGCAGGCTTACAGTCGTGAACCATGAGAGCCAAGCGGGAGGGCGGAGTCGCGACATCAAGGGGAACATAGACTGCACCGACCTTCAGAATCGCCACAACAGAGGCAACCCAGAGAATTGTTGGATTCTGGTATACGGCGACTCTAGAGCCGGGTGCGACACCCTCCTTCAGCAGTGACGATGAAATGCTGTTAATCTGCCTGGAGAGTTCCTGGTAAGTCACGGGGTTATTGACGCCGTCGGTTACCGCGACCCGGCCACCGATGGATGGGAACAACGCATCCAGTTTGTGTACGATTGTGTTCGTCGAAGTACTTTCAAAGCCAGGGCCTTTTATCCGCTCAGTATCTTCAACACAAAGAGGTATCTCGTCTCTTTTTACTTACCATGACCAACTGTAAGGGCCTTCGTCAAATCGGACTGCCTAAACTTCCAGTCGCCATTCGCTTGATTGTCTGGCCGATCAGCAAACTCCCGCAAGATGTCTTCATAGCCATGCGCGAGGGCCCTGGCCGCGTCAGCATTATAAAGGGAATCTTGAACATTGAGGACAATCTTTGTGTCCTCGTCACCATGTGTGGTCGTGTTCGTAATGATCGTTAAGGCAATGTCGTACGGCAGCTCAGCCTGGTCCTCAGCCATCATCTCGCAGTCACAGTCTAGAAACTCTCGTCCGCTCTCAACGCTCGTCTCAGCGTAGTTGATAAATGCCTGCGCCAGTGGTGAGTGGGTGGCTTGCCTGGAGACCTTGAGCTCGTTCAGAAGAATCTCGAGAGGGACCGCGTTGGAGAGAGCCGTGTGGCTCTTCTCGCGTGACTCGATTATGGCATCTGCAAAGGACTCCGACGCCCGCGCCTTCATTCGAAGGGGGAGCATGTTTAAGAATGGACCAATTCCCGTCCACATGTGTTCGTCTCGACGACAGCCGTCGGCAAAACCGATGCACACGTCTTCCGTAGCCAGCCAACGTAAGAGCAAAACCTTGAAGGCTGCCAGGTGAAAGTGAAACGGCGTGGACCTGTACTTGCGCGCGACGCGACGGATCTTGGCTGTAAGCTCGCTGCCAATACGGAACTCGCATTCTGGAAGTCCGGTGCGAGAGCTGTATTTCTCAAGAGGGCGGCGCATCGAGATGGTGCTTCGATGCAGGGAAAGGGGCTCGGGAATAGTGGCAAATTCGTGGCGCCAGAATCTCAGTGCATCGGCCCACTTGCCTGAGGCGTGCGCTTCATACAACGAATTGGAGTAGTCGAGGTATTGAAGGGGAGGCAAGAGATTCCCGATTTGGCTTTTGTAAATGCGAGCCAGGTCAGACATGAAGATTTCGGTGCTCGCTCGATCGAAGATGATATGATGCGTGCCCAAGGCAAAATAGTGATCAGTTGGAGAGTACGATAAAAGCAATACTCTCACTGTGTGGCCTCTACTTAGATCGAATACCGTTTTCTTCAGATCATTGTACGCGTTCGAAAGGTCGGTTTTAGTAAAGACGCGGCGATGCTCCAGCTCCAAAGTCGGTTCGGCAAGCACACCTTGCGTATGGACCCCATCCTCTGTGAAGAAACGAGTCCTCAAACCCTCGTGACGCTCTCCCAAAAGGCGCACAGCCCTGTGGAGGTCGGGTACTCTTATCTCACCGCTAAGATGAACCATGCCTGTGTTGTTTAGAGTTGTCTTGTCATCCAAAAGCTCGTGCACAAACATAAACACGGACTGTGTATAGGAGAGGGGGCCGGACCTCGCTATCGAAACCTCTTTCTCCGGAGGCGGAGTTATAATCTGTGTCTCGTTAGTGTCGGATGTGGTAGCGCTATGGCTATCGGGGGTGTTTCTGGACGACGGTGTCGTGGAAGTATTTTTCATGTCTTCGGGTGGTGGCTGCACCTCAGGGACGCCGGCTGACGGACTTGCATCGGACAAACCCGGCGTCAGGTTAGCGGGAATTTCATTGAGCGCCTGATCGATAAGCTGCTGGAGCGAAACTCCCTTGATAATCTTCAATGCCGGAATATTAACCTGGAAATGGGTTAAAAACCACGAGCGTATGCGGACCGCAACGAGGGAGTCTAAGCCGAGCTCGTCTGTGCGAACAGCTGGTGTCATGACATAGTCGTCTCCCATGTGGAGCATGGAGCACATTTCCTTAAGAAAATTGTCTATTAAAGATAGTGGTTAGGGCAGGAAACCATGGCTTGAATCGCTGAGCACTTACCAGTGATAACTTTGTGCACATCTGCAGTCGTCTTAGCATCGGCCAGTTGATCGATGATCGGACCAACAGCCCCGGCAGTATCTGATGCTTTCTTTGAATGGGTCGCATTCGAGTCTCTGATAGTGAGACAGGCGAACTGTGGGAAATTGTACCAGAGAGGTCGGTCGGGCGCGTCGGCCGGAAGTGGTATCAACCCAGTGGTGATGTGCCATTCCATCTCGGAGCCTGGAACCACAGGGCTGGCGTTGATTGCCTCGGCGAACAAACAGTGAACATCAGATTCAGACATCCCTAGCAAACCCCTCTCTGCCAACGGGCGGGTCAAGGCATCGCCGATTTCTCGGGTGATGTATCCCGTCCCGAGGACGGGGCCCAGGTCAATAACGGACGCAGCCAGACCACGACGCCGCCGCTTTTGCGCCAGGCCGGCCATGAAAAAGTTAGCTGCAGAGTAGTTTGCCTGTCCGGCGTTCCCGGTGATACTGGCTGCAGAGGAGAAAAAGATAAAGAAGTCCAACGGCGAGTCATGGAAGAGGCGATCGAGATTGATGCTGCCGTCAACCTTGGGGCGCAGAACCTTGACGAGGTCTTCCAAGGACATATCCCGAGTCAGAACATCGTTGAGTACCATGGCGCCTTGGGCAACACCAGCAATGGGAGGCAGGTTACTGGTGATGTTGGCATGGGTCTTTACGAGGGAGTCAAAATCCGTAATGTCACTGCCGCCGTTAGGTCCGCTGCCGTTAAATTTAAGAACAGAAGATGACAACTTACCAACTAGTGACAAAAGTGGTAGCCCCTTTGCGAGCCGCTTTTTGAAGCCACGCTTCACTGACCTTGGGGTTACGACTAGATATGACAATATATCTGGCGCCATTGCGTATCATCCAGTCTGCAAGTGAGAGCCCCATGTCTCTAGAAAGTCCCGCAAGCCAATAAGTCCGGTCATCCCTGAGAGAGACATTGACTGGCTGCACGGTTATGGGAAGCGCCTCGAAATCGGTCCAGCTCACAATTGTCACGGGTGAATGAGCACAGGGACTTGTATCCCCGTCCCTAGTTAATGCGCTGATATTGACTTCTTGAAGAGTCACACGGTCTGCCGCATCATTCTTGGCTTCATTGAACGTCAGGTCCATGGCCGTATGAAGCAAATCTTTCAGCGCCATAGAAGAGACAAGGTCTTTTCGTGATTCGGTAGCGAAGATGGTGGACTTGCTGAGAATTTTAATATGGCTGGGGAAGCAGTTTATGAACACGGACGACTCGCGGTTTTCAGCCGCGAAATCGATCAGCAGGGAAACGTTCAGAGGGAACAATGACTCGAGTTCCGACTGTCTTGTGTACTCTTCAATATGAGTCCAATTGTTCTTGGCTGCCTCATCTCGCGATGAAGTTGTGAACGTGATGTCCTTTGCCCTTGACGAGCGAGCCAATAATGCACCCACAATGGGGGGAGGGTCGTGAACCACCACAGCCCGATGTGTGGCAAGTTTCGCTTCAATTGTCAAGAAAGCTAAGCTAGAGACAGCCAAAGTTAGGATCAAAGACTCTGAGCACATTCGAAGGACCGCGGAGGGTATCTCTATCAGATTTGACGTCGCCACGTTGGCCAGTGATGTTACGGACGACGTCAGGCCTAAGTACTTGAGGCCTGTCGCTGCGCAATACCCTGACACAGCGAAAGCGCTCCCCCATTCCGTTCGGACCGCAAAGAGGCTGGAGTAGTTAATCTTCACCGATGCGGTTGATCCCAACTCATCGAGTCTATTGGACTGCTGTTGGTAGAGGGTATAGGTCGCTGGATAGCCGCTTGGTTTATGTAGTAAGACTGGACTCAGCTGAGGTCTGACGGCACACTCAACCCGCCGCAGTGAGGAATTATACCTAGCGTTTGCATCTACTAGAGGCTCCAAACGTGGGATCCGCTGGCGCCCGTCTGCATCGATGACAATCTCCGACTCCACTGAGTACAACGTATTGTTGGTCTTGTTTTTGGGGTCTCGGTAATGCACCGATCCGGCGACCTGGAAGCGCAGAACCGCCTCAGCGAGCGCGCGAGGATCAATCTTGGAAGGAGGGATGCCTTCAAAGTCGACAAACTGGTAGCGAAGCTCAGGGGCCTCCCAGATGGACGGTCGCACGAACCCCGGAGCCATGTTGCAGTAAGGATTATCAAGGAGACGATTATGCGTGACCCAAACAATCGTCTTTTCGGATCCAAACACCGTCTTGAGGCTCTCTAGTCTCGGGGCTGTCATGTCCTTAAATACGGGCTGATCAAGGTCTTGCAGAACTAAAACAGTTGACGACTTGTCAACCTGGTCGTGGTCAAGGTCTTCAAGGAGTCCAACTCGGATGATGGCCTGGTGGCAGAAGGGTCTTAGAAGCTTCTGCACTCCATCAATGAGTCGCGATACGTGAAGGCTTTGACCCCCGACAATGAATAACTTCTCCAACGTGCCGACAGATGACTTCTTTGAAAAGAGTGGCACACCAGCCGCCGCCTGTGACATGAGCGGCTGCCGGACAAAGTCAACCCAGTCATCTACGGCCTGGGACACCAGAACTGAGTTACAGAAAGGCATAGAATCATTGTTGGGCGTCATCGTGTCAACCCCAGAGAAGCCAGTCCTCCGAAGAATAGCATCCCACTTGGACTCGCTCACAGCAGGGCACCATTTTCGTCCCTCGTCGACACCTTGCCACCATCCTGGGAGACAGCCGAACAGGGCTGTGTGACGGATCAAGTCAACGTTCGTTATCTCATAGAAAATGAGGTATCCGCCCGGCCGAAGCAGCGATCGCACTCTCTTCAATGTCTGTTCTAGACTCTTGGTGGCGTGCAGAACGAGGGATCCGATCACAATGTCGTACGAGTGCTGATCAAAACCCTGTGCCGCTGTGTCCTGCTCCAGGTCCAACACGCGGAAGGACATTTGGTCTCGGTAAGCGGCGAACTCTGCCTGGGCATCATCGAAGAATCCCGCTGATACGTCGGTGAATGTGAATGAACAAAAGTTATTCCCAATGAGCTTAAACACCTCGCGGGTCGCTCCACCCGTGCCAGCGCCAACCTCGAGAATATTGGCTCGGGGGTATCGGCGGGTGACCTGCAGAACGGTATCAGCGAGGACAGTCACTTGCCCCATCCCCAGGGCCTTGGCATAGTACTCGTTGAGCAGGCCATCCACCATGAGATGCTGAAGCATTGGAGTCTCCCCGCGAATAGCCCTTGGCATTTGTTCGCCCACGATGTGCATCGCCTTGACCTCGGGCAATTCATTATACGGCTGTGTCAGGGTCTTGATATCATCCAAGGTGTCGTTGGCCCAAGCCGGTTTGCCATACCGATGCTTACCTTTCATAACTAGATCGTGGGTGTACGCAGCCCAGCGGAGATATGCCGCGTAGGACGGATCCAACCGCCCTGGGTGGTCGGCAGGGACTTGGTCATCCAGCTGGCGCAGGTAGAAGTAGTGGCCTCGCTCGAGAATCTCTGCCAGCTTTCGTTGCTCTGGGGTCGCAATGAATGGATCTGGGATATCTGCGTCAGGTCCTGCATTCACCCAGCGCGTTTGATAAAACATAGTCCGATCGTCGTCTGGGGTCGCAGGAGAGAAGGGCACGACATGGAGCCCCTCCACCTGGACTGCTGAATAGGCCCCGTCCCCGCCATGGATCTCAGCATCACCATGGAACCCAGATGACCTGTCCGCCATTTTTACTTGGTCATCGCTGATCACCGAGACGAAAGGAACGGGCTTTGTTGTCCAATGGCGCGCGCAAAGGGCCGGGTTGAGTCGGATCCTTTTGATATACGTGGGCAGGTGCAATGACCAGAGCGTTCCATCTCTCGGGTAGCTGTAAGCCAGGATAACTGAGTGAATAGCGGCATCCAGCATGCCAGGGTGGACCGTCATGCAATTCTCGCCATCGTTGTATTCGGCCAATGTGGTGCTGAGAACTCCCACGGCCTTTCCAAGCCTTCTGCTTAACCCCGACAACGCTCTGAAAGGACCCGTATATCCGTAGCCCATTTCCTGCAGCGAGGAATAGAAGATGTCGGTCGGGACATCGGCCATGGCATTGTCCTGTTTTCCATCACTGGCAGGTAAGGTTCGCTCGCTAGGGTCGCCCGGAATGACACGAATCATGCCACTTGCTGCTAGTTCCAGAGAGCCGCTTGAGGAGTAGAACTCGTAAGTAAAACTGCCTGTGGCCGTCGAATCATGATGCGACCGGTTGATACCACCAATGGAGAATCGTACTTCAATACTGGAACTGGAAGAATCATCGAATACCATGGCCTGATGAATCACGAGATTCTCAACCTCAATAAGACGAATAGCCTGGGCATCTGTCAGGAAAGGGGCTGCCTCCAGCGCCGTCACAGCGTATCCTGCCGCAGGAAAGACGCTCTGGCCCTGGATCTTGTGGTCTTGGACCCAGGGTATATCCTGGGGGCGCAAAACAGCTTTCCATGAAAGGTTTTGCGGGGAGCTGGAGCTACAAATATTGCCAAGAAGAGGATGGACGGGAGAGCTCCTGAAACGAAGATTGCGAGATGTGTTGGACTCATGCCAGTGGCCCCCATTGTGGTTATGGTTCCATTGGTACCGAGGAAGGTCCGCCAGGAACCGACCCTTTGATGATCCTAAGCCACTCAATGCGTTCTCGTATCTGTCAAAGTTGACGAAATCACTTTCTACATGAGTCCAAAGGTATCCAAGTGCGGATGAGAAACTCCAGGCTGCCTCAGTTCCTCGCTCCAGGAGCCCGGTATAGGGCAGCTGGCCAATGTTCAACTGCTCAAGGATTTGCCGCACAGGTCCCTTCAAAGCCGGGTGTGGTCCCACTTCGACAATTGCATCGAAAGGTCCTAGCTCGGTCAGGGCTCGCTCGACAGCCTGTTTGAATAAAACTGGCGACAGGAGGTTATCGACCCAATATGAGGCACCCAACTCCGTCTCCGCCATGTCTAACTCAACCACTACACTCGATACCCACAGGCAATCGGGTTGGGGCGAGGACTGAGGTGATGCTGTCTGAAAGCTCCGCACAGAACTCAAGTATGGCTGTGAGCATGGTATCATGTGGTGCGAATGGTAAGCCTTGTCGACTCTTAGCAGACGGGCCGTTTTCCCTTCGTCCTCAAACAGCGCAGCAATTTCCTCCACCGCGTCCCTATCGCCAGATAACGTAATGCTGTTAGGAGAATTGCAGGCCCCGACATTGACTCGTCCTCGAAAGAACTCGTCGTGGCAGACTTCGCTTGCATCTTCCATGCTGGTGCTAACGGCCAGCATGGCACCCGGTGCACCGTTAGCTGCTCCGCCCAGGCGAGTGCAGTGAAAGCCACGGTAATACGCAATTCGTATCGCATCAGCCGCAGATAGGCGGCCTGCAGCGTACGCCGCGCCAATTTCACCGGAAGAATGACCGACGACGGCGGCGAATTCCACCCCGGCTTCATGAAGAAGATCCACGAGAATCAGCTGAATGGCTGTGCATAAAGGCTGCGATATCTCAGCATCACCGACCTTAGTCTCGGATACATCCGCCAGGAGCTCTTTCCGAAGCGTCCAATGAGGGCGGTCTTGTTCGTTGGGGAGATTCGCAAGCTCAGCATCCAGCTTGCTCAGTATATCGGACGCAAATTTGGAGGTTTCTATCAGCTGAGCGCCCATTCGCGCCCACTGAGCACCCTGCCCCGTAAAAATACCCAAGATTTTTACCTTATGTCCTCTTGCACTAGCGGAAGACCCCACGGTTGTCAACTTCAGCCTCTGGTCAAGCTGTAACATCTTTGAGTCACTGCTGGCGATGTTCTCTAGACTGGTGTGCAACATCTCGGCAGAGGCGGCCGATAGTGCGACTCGAAGCGGAAGACGGGACCGTCGTGAACGCAATGACCAAGCAAGGTCTGCGAGACGAATATCGGGATGTTCCGATAGATAGGTAGCATGAGCAGCCAGACTGGAGACCAGAGACTCCTTCGACTGTGCGGAAAAGACAAATGACCTAACCATATCACTTGCGCCGTCTTTGTCCACATCCTCATGCATCCCGTCCTCCAGGCTTTCCAGGATAACGTGGGCATTTGTACCGCCAAATCCAAAGCTATTGATGCTAGCACGTCTGGGTTGTCCTGGGGCTACCATTGGCCACGGTATGAGCTCACTGGCAATGCGAAGGTTTCTGCACCAAGGTTCAACGCGCGGGTTAATTGTGAAATCCAAGACCTGGCCATCAAGTATCCGGTTGCCGTTGGGTGGGATCTCGCCGTGACTCAAGGCCTGCGCAACCTTTACGATGGCCGCAATTCCGGCAGTGCTCTCTGTATGTCCGATAACTGTTTTGATGGAGCCCACCACGATCTTCTCGGCACCATTCATCTCCATGGGCTGATCGTTGCTGTTTTCGAAGAAGGCTTTATGGATAGCCTCTGCCTCGATGGGCTATGTACATGGTCAGCTTGCAAGTAGCACTCTCGCTGTATAGGCAAGAAAGGGGCTGGAGGGGCACTTACGTCTCCTGCCGGTGTTCCAGTTCCATGAGCTTCGACGTATTGGCATCGATCTGCCGATAAAGCCAAGTCCAGCCCAGCACGGGCATATACGTCGCGGATTAATTGGACCTGAGCCTTGGCTGTAGGCATTGTGATACCGGGGCTTCGCCCATCTTGGTTAACACCGGACTCTCGAATAAGACACTCGACATGGTCGCCATCTGCTAACGCCTGTTCGAGGGTTTTGAGCACCACGGCTGCGACCCCGTCTCCGCGGGCGTATCCATTCGCATCATTGCCCCACATCCGGGAGCGTCCATCGGGCGACAGCATCTTCAAGTTGCTCTCGTAGATGTAAGGCTCAGGCCCCAGTAGAAGGTTGGTCCCCGCTGCCACTGCGACAGTGACCTCGCCGGAGCGGAGGGACTGCACTGCTTGATGCAGCGCCACGAGTGACGAAGAACACGCCGTGTCGACTGTGAGCGACGGGCCGTGCCAGTCGAAGAAGTAAGAGATTCGGTTGGATACCATGCTGCGAGCAACACCTGGATCCAATGAAATTAGTACGCGGCATTCAGTAGACATTGGACCATCTTACCCGTGCCGTGATACAACGGGACGCTTTGCAGGTCCCGATACTGCTGGTACTCATAATCACCGTACATCATACCGACGAATACGCCAGTATCGGAACCCCTGAGCCCATCAAGTGTCTGTCCAGCAGCTTCCAGGCTCTCGTAGACCGTCTCCAGGAGTATGCGCTGTTGGGGGTCCATGGCAGCCGCTTCGGCGACCTGGAGATTGAAAAAGCGAGCGTCAAAGCTAGCGACGTTCTCCTCGAGCAGGTACGAGCGGCGAACATTACTATGGCCCGGAAACTGGTGGTCTGAGTGGTAAAACCCTCGCGGGTCAAATCGGCCTGCGCTCAGGAGGTCTCGTGAAACATCTCGGGGATTGCAGAGGAGGTCCCATAACTTGGAAGGGGTGCTCGCACCACCCGGAAATCGACAGCCAGTGCCAACAATGGCGATGGGCTCGCTCTGTGGCATGTCGGACTGATCGTGGATTGTAGGTTAGATGTTGGAAGTGTAGATAATTCGATAATATTGGGTTGGAACAACGATTTCCCCGGAGGACGGTTCACTATAGTGTCTATAGCTACTGACATGTCCCTTTCATATCATTACAGAAATCAAAAAGGCCATAGATATGGCTGGGCCCCTCTAAGTGCCCGGAAGGAAGGTGATCTCCCGGAGAGTGAAGTTATCGGGACCCATCGCTACAATCCCGGCGTGGGCCTTCCGATCAGTTCGGAGGGTTCGAGCCAAGACAAGAATGCCCCGAGCCAGTTTCCGTGAACCCATATTCGGACGCCAGCTGCTATGTTGGTCAGAGGGCTTGAAGCGGCACAATGACGAAGACAAAGTAGATAGATACAAATGTGGGCGACGGCGCTGCTCCATAACATTGACGCGCAACGCAGTCAGCGGCATAGCACGCAAATACAACTTCAACAATGGGCTCTCTTGCGCGGGATTCCATGGACTGCCTTATCCAGGGCCCCTCGGGCCAAGGACAGAGGGCCGTTCGTTCACGCCCTGAAGTAAAGGCGCCCCATGATGTTTTGGTCTGCGTCTCTGCCGTGGCCCTGAACCCAACGGACTTCAAGTCGCCGGCGTCCAACCCTAGTCCAGGGGCCATCATGGGTTGCGACTTCATGGGATACGTCGTCTCAGCCGGCGAGGACGCGGACAAACTTTTTCCCTCCTCCACGCGAGTTTGCGGCTTCGTTCACGGCTCCAACCCTGGCAATCCCGACAAGGGATCGTTTGCGCAGTACCTTGTGACCGACTCCCGCCTGTTGGTCCGAGTTCCCGATAGCTGGACCGATTTGGACGGCGCAGCTCTCGGCGGGGTTGGATGGGGTACCATTGCTCTGGCCATGGAGGTATCGCTACGGCTCTCTGGGCGTCCGTCCAAACCAGCTGCTCCTCAAGAGGATGGCTCCAGGGTTCCCGTGCTGGTTTATGGTGGTGCCACGGCCACCGGCACCATGGCATGCCAGATACTGTCAATGTATGTATATCGTTGCGTTTTCCCTTCCAGCCGCAGGGGCCCATCCTAACTCGCCTGTAGGTCCGGTTACAAGCCCATTGCCACAGCGTCCAGCATCAGCTCGTCCCTGGTGCAAGATTACGGTGCCGCTGCAGTTGTACCGTACTCATCTGCCAGCTGTGGGGAGACCATTCGTGACCACCACACCGGCGGGAATTTGCGAAGCGCTCTGGACTGCATCAGCTCGCCAGAGTCCGTGGAATGCTGTTTCACGGCCCTGGGTCGCATCGGGGCACACTACGCCAGCCTTGACTTCATCCCGGACGATTGGAAGACGCGCAAGGCCATCAAGGTCTACATGCCCCTGACTTATGCTCTCCACGGCCACGAGATTCTGTTCAAGGGGCCGTATCATCGGGATGCAGACCCTGCCATGTTGGAGCTGGGCAGGCGGTGGCGAGACGAAGTGCAGGGCCTAGTAGATGCTGGACGCCTTCGACCGCACCCCGTTCGAGAGGTCCAAGGGAAGTGGCAGGGGATTATTGATGGACTGGAGATGATGAAGGCTGGAGAGATTCGAGGCCAGAAGCTTGTGGTAGCCTTGTGAGCTGGATGACGCTTTTTAGATGAGATATTATATATTAGGTATATATATACTCGGCGCCGTGCTAAGTGGTAGCTCCCTTAGCCAGCTAGTAAATTAGTCAGCAGGTCCGGGGGTTAACTAACTAGTTAGTTAACTAGCGTAACTCCCGCCGACCTATCTAGTATTTAGTTTCAATATAACTATCTAACAATAACTATCTAAATCCTAAATTAGTTGCTTACCGAGGTCGGGAGCCCCATGGCCCGTGCTCGGAACCAATCCCGCTCACGGACGACATGATTTCGATGGCCGATGCGCACCGTCTAGCGTCCCGATCCGGAGCCGGTAGGCGGGAACCTGTGCCGGGGCGCGGTACCGGGTTTCCAGATGCAGAAGTATGAAACAGGTCTAGAAGCTCCGAATGGAGAACACCAGTTAAGTATGATTGCACCAGCCCAAGGCTACAAAAGAATGATATCTTTACTTCTGGGAAAGGCTGCCGACTCGGGTGTTCAAGATAATAATGGAGAACTGCTGGGGGACAGAAGAATGTGATCCACGTTTTGCAACACAGAGGACCATCCACGACTCCGAAGATAGTGCATGATTATCTCAATGTTTTTCTACATGTCTCTGACTTCTCGTGCATTCCCACTACCTCGGTCATCGTTCATTATATGATAACCTTCCGAAGACGCACGAAGCACTGGCGCGGCTTGTTCACCACGGCAAGGCACCCTCCATAGCCAGACATAGCGTCGGGGCACTTGAGCAGCTCAAAATGCCATATAATCATTGTGAGCATGATTCTAAATTCGACATACGCCAGCCTGCGTCCAAAGCATGCCCTAACCCCGAGACCAAACGGGATGCAGGGCCCAGCCCGGGAGTCAAATATCCAACCGTCACTGTGGTTGCTGTGTTCTGGAATGAGCCAGCGCTCGGGCCTGAACTGATTGATATCCGCATCATCCCAATTTCGTGTCTCTCCACGTTCCTTTGCCTCTCGCGAGCGCGGACTGCGGCGGCTCTGATCTACGTCGAGCGCCGGCGAGAGCATACTATGGCTATTCTGCAGGAAGAATACGAGCGTGCCTTTAGGGACCCTGTGCCCCAGCAACGTTGTATCTTTGGTCGCCTCGCGATCCATGATAGGCACGGTCCCGCCGCAGCGTAGGATCTCTTCCATTGTGGCTTCCAGCAGAGGTACCGAAGTCTGCATGATTTCCTCAACTGTTGGAGCGCGTTTCTCAGCTGCAGCAGAGCTGAAGGCTGCGAAGAGAGCTCGCCGAAGCCGTGACTGCGACTCAGGATGATCAGCAAGGAGCTTAACACCCCAGCACATCGTTGTGCTCATGGTATCGTGGCCAGCGATGATGAACCCAAAAACCTCGTCCATGACGGCTGTTGAGAAAAAGTTGGGCTTCCGTCTCTCCTTCTGAGCGTGGCTTTCCTCCCTGTCCACAATGCGGTCCACAGCAGACTGCTCCCATGCCCGACCGCTGTTCGAATGTTGGCTCTGCCGGCGTGCCTCGACGGCCTTTTCGATCTCCCGTCGTATACAGCTGTCTTTTATCCTCATCCGGCGTTTGAACTTTGGTGTTACTTTGACGTACCACCATTTCATGCGAGGCGATGGTGCACTCTTCACCTGCTCCATGGCATCCCCCAACTCAAGCATCGACTCGATGGCCTGATTGATCTCTGCGTGAGGGAAGTCGACGGCCTGGTCTTTCTCTGCTTCCTGTTCATTCGAATGAGACGTTGTAATCAGGACATCCTCCAGCCTCTGAATCTGCGGCTTCGTGGCATTGTGGGGAAACTTGGGCCCAAAAGAAAATGCCAGAACGGCGTCGAGGGTCAAGTGGAAGATGTCATCGGTGGCAGAGAACGGCCGGCCAGCTGCCAGCCTTTCCTTAATCTGCCACAGCTCCACGAAGCGTTGGCTGCTGGCATAGATGCTGGGAGCGGCCACTTCTCTCAGGAAGGCTGGTGTCATGGTGTCCTGGACCAGGCGGCGGTGGAACTTCCACTCTGGGCCCGTCTTCAGTGTGAACTGCTGCCTGTTCAGCAGCCCACTGAACATCTCGGCCGTCAAGCTGGTGCGATCAAAATCCTTGATGCGGTTGAGCATTACATCGCGGCACTCTTCATAGTCGCTCACTAACAAAACAGGCTTGCCCATGGGTCGGATGAAGATCTGGCTAATGACGGACTCGGACTTGATGTTCTGGTCGCGCAGCCATGCCACAACATCGCCCGTCTTGGATACTTGCGTGAGCATGTCCGGGATGTCTCCGAGGAACCTGTTAACAGAGACCGCATTGTAGGGAATCCCGGGCAGCGGGCGCGGAAAGGCCGATATGTACCCAAAATAGAACATAACCACCAGAGCAAGGGCGATGGCCACAGTCGTAGCTGTAAGCATCCCGGCTGTGTCTTGTTCTCCGATAGTCCACGATGTACGCTTGCGTGTTGGTGTGTGTATGTGTGTGTATGTGAATGTAAGAATGTGTAATTGCAGAGGCGGCGGCTAACCCATTGGCTGTTCTGAGATGTGACTTTTAGTTGCTATCCTGTTGAGTGATCCAGGATAAGAACACTCAACAGTCTCCAATAAAGCATTCACGCTCAAAACCTACTTATGTAGGACTTTCCCATGCAATAATCCTATGAACATGCAGGTCTAGTGCTGCAGTCTCGGACAATTATCCTTCGCAAGGCCTCTGCTTTACCAACCCCAAGCCTCCGATGCTCCAAAACCCTCCTAGGGAATGCTCCGACTCCACCAGGGTTCATCCGAAGCAGGCCACGAAAATTTCCATTTAGCTAGTGGGGTTGTCTGAATCTGTTGAGGGACTCCAGCTTTTTCTGTCGCAATAAGCAATACTTGGAAAGATGTTAAATTCCAATGGCAACGTCCGCCAAGCGTACTGGTGATAATATCTGTATTTGCATGTACCAAGGACTTTAGAGACGAATTATAACTATATAGGGCGATTAGTTAACTGCTTCACCCTAGTACATATCCATCCAAACCACGGTAACACCGTTCTAAGGAGACGTTTGGATGACCTGCTTGCCCGCTCGCTGGATAAGTTGGTTCTTGATCTCGTTGGGCTTCTCGGAGTAGGCCCGCTTCCAAATTTCCACCTCTCCACCTCCGTAGATGACTCCCACGCGCATTGTCGAGAGCAGGTTGTGTGCGGCGTTTGAGTGCTGGTAGACACCGCCATTGAAGGTGGCTGTTGCATCCTTCCCAATGGCCGAGGAGATGAACGCTTTGCCGCCGGGGTGCTCTTCAATGAAGTCAGCCACATCATGAACGACCCCTGCGATGACTACCAGGGCTCTCCCATCAGCTTTTGCCGACTCGGTTTGGAAATCGTCCCATGTGATGATGGGCAGCTGAGAAATTGGGGTGCCCCAGTCTAGTTTAGACCGCCAGGCGTCGAGCTTCTTTTGCTCCTGCTGTAGTCGGCCCTTTTCAATTTCGTTCTGTTTAAATTGCTTGAGGTCATATGCCAGGCCAAGTTGCTTCCACGTCCAGATGGCCCACTTTGTTGGGTCATACTGCCACCACTCGATTGCATTCCGGTAATCCGACGGGAACTCATGATGGAAATTATGGTACCCTTCCCCCAATGTGACGAGGGCCGTGATAACATGATCCCGGGGTGAGTTTCGATCGTCAAAGGGCTGGTCTCCCAGCCAGTGAGCCAAAGAATTGACGCAGAAGGTAGCTTGTTGCACAAAGGTCGCCCGTAGAATACCCGCGTAGATAAAGCCACCCACCCAATCGCCCCAGCCAATGCCGCAAACTAGAGTAGGGAAGATAAGGCCCATAAATAGAACAGCCTTGATATAATTACGGTGCTGCCATATCACAATCGGGTCCTTATTAAGGTCGGTGATATCCGCCCGACCAATGCTCTTCGGGTTTTGTTTCATAATCATCCAGCCAAGGTGGGAATACCAGAAGCCTTTGCGCACGGAATAGGGGTCCTTTGTAGTGTCAGTATACCGGTGATGGGCACGATGGCCCCTTGACCACCACCGAATCGAGCCCTGGACGGCGCCAACGCCGACCGCCGCCAGATAGATTTTGAGAGGGGTTGAAGCTCGGTATGAAGAATGTGCCCAGAGGCGATGGTATCCTATCGAGAGATGTCAGGGTCTTGTTCCTCGTCGCCCACAGAACCTTGACGTACGCACCGGCTGTAATACCCAACCCAGTATTAAAGTAGTAGAAAATGGCAAAGGCAGCCGTGGCTCGCTGTAAGGGATAATGATAGGCAGCGATGAAGCCCATGAGTGGGATGACTATGATAAAGAAGACACTCAGCCAGTTAACATGCTGGTACCAATTTCGCCATGTGATGGGCATCTCCGTGATGTGAGCTGTTTTCGTGGGTTTCGAGTCTGCCATTTCAGGATCATGCGAGTGTGTATGTGTGTTCTGATTGTTAGATCACGTCGGACGACGGGACCCAAATTTTAAACCCGAGGAAGGACATCTCACTAGGGAAGACGAGGAAAATATCACATGAGGTCTACGTATTATGTTGGGTGTTGGTGCCGTTTCGTTGGGCGTCGTCGCAATGTACAGAGAGGTAGCCGACCCTCGGTCAACAGAAGATTCCACGCCGCAAGGGGTACATTATTCCCAACGCCCCAACATATACTACGGTGCTTGAAATCATACGAATGGTACAGTCGACATGTCAGCTTCCATCAGTGATTATTAATAATATAGAGTAACTACTGCGTGCCGCTTGGCTGTGTTATTTGTTCAAGCGATTACAGTGTCTACCAAAAACAGGAAATTTTTTTCAAATTAAGTTGTCGATACTAATGCTTTCTCAAGGGCTAGGGACTTGGAGATGAAGAAGCTTGAATTCTCTATCTATCTAGCTACTATGCGTGTAAAACCCTAACCGAATGCAGAAGGAGGTAGGCGATTGCCTACTAGGTCCCTAGGGACCGAAAATGCTTCAAATGAGAGTCAGGCTGCCTTAAGAGAGGTCTCCCAGTAGGCATGCTTACCCAACATACACCAACGTCTGCAGAATCTCAAGAAACTTTTGCTCTTCCTCAATGACGTGGTTGCCTTCCAGCGGTGGGCTCGGATAGAGTGCCTCCAAGGGAGTCTCGCGAATGCGAATAGTGACAGGCTGCTCGGTCGACTCCCCCGGTGCTGCCACTACCTCGACAATATTACCCTCACCGAACTGCGGTTCGGTCATAATCTTGAATGTTTCCTCGGCGGCTTGTTCGGCGGTAAGGCGGATGCTGTAGCAGTATGTTGTTAGCTCGCGGCGGTCGACTGAACAGAGCGGAGTTCAAACGTACTCTGTGGGCAGAAGCTGGCCTCTGCAGTAATCGGCATCGAAAATTGGCGTCTATGCAAGATCTATAGATTAGTATGGAAAGGTAAAAGTAGAGGAATTGGAAGCTCGCCTTGACTGGTCCCAGGCAAACAGCAGCGTTGCGGATGCCAAACATCCTCCTCAGCGGGCCGAGACACTTGACCATGCTATTCACGGCCGCCTTGCTACTAAAGTACAGCGGCGACTGCATCAGGTGAACATATCCGCAGACGCTTGACAGCCATACCAGGTTTCCGTCAAAGTTCATCTCGGCGTCGGGGTGGTAGAACCAGTAGTTGAGGGCGATCTGTGCCAGCCGAATGGGCCCCATAGCGTTGACAGCATGGGTCTGGTACACGCCGGGGTTGCAGTCCACCTTGTCCCTCGCCGCTGGAGACACGCCGGGGGGCTGCCAAAAGGTGCTAGAGGGCGGCTCGTAGATAGCAGCGCCGTTGACCACGATATTTACCGTGCCGTATGTCTCGATCGCCTTGTCAAACAGCGCCTGAAGTTGGGCCCAGTCCGATACATCGGTCTGCTGGAATATGGCGGACGCCTTCCCGTTAATGCCAGGTACGGTACTGGCATCTTGTAGTGTCTTCTCGGCCTCCGGTCGTAGAGTGAGGTCGGCCATAACGACCGAGCAGCCCTCCTGCAACAGAATCTTGGTCAGGGCATGGCTGATGCCGGAGCCCGCGCCCGTCACGATGGCAACCTTGCCTTTGACACTGTACGCCGTGGGGGGGTGGTCTTGCGTTGGCTTTTTGTCCATTTGGGGCTGTATCAAAGAAATGGATCAGTGAATGGACAAGCCGGAGGCAAATCGGGTAGCCGTACAGTAGCTGGTTCACTTTCGAAAAAGCAATGGATTCACTGCACTAGATAGCTGCATCTATCTCTCTTTTGTGGTTCCTCTGACATTTCTATCCCTCTTGCAGATGAACCCTCCGATAGAAGCCCCCGATAGAAGCCTCCGATAGAAGCCTCCGATAGAAGCCTCCGACAGTGGAAGGTTATCGGAATGCGGAACTGGTACGCTCGAACAAATTTCCCACCAACACAGCAAGAGGTAGATAGATAATGGGCACAGAAACCCTTTGATGTAAAGAACTTACGGAGTAGGTGTCCGATCAACCTCCCGAGCTTTACATATCAGTCCACTGCAAACCGACTGTGGGTAATTGCAGCTCCCCTAATCCCTCATCCCGCAAGGACGTTACAATCAAGGGCTACTATTCAAAGTTGCTCCATCTCTTCTTCTTCTTCTTCTTCTTCTTCTCTCTCTCTCTCTCTCTCTCTCTCTCTTTTTTCACTTTGTGCAAGCATGGTTCGATCTCCCAAGAGCGTGTCAGAGACCTGTGATCCCAGCCCCGTCCGGCAGGAACAAATTCATCGAAAGTATGCTGAGGAGAGGTCAAAACGACTGCGGGCCGAAGGTGTTGGTCAATATGTGAACCTCAACACCACTGATGACCTGCGGTTGAAACGGTTCTTACATGATCCGTGGGATCAGCGCGCTGAATCCCCAATCCGGCTCCAACCAGGTGCTCGATACAAGATAGCCATCATGGGCGCGGGATATGGAGGGCTACTATATGCCACACGGTTGCTCGACTCCGACGCCGGCTTGGAACCCCAAGACCTAGTCATCATTGATACTGCGGCTGGATTTGGAGGGACTTGGTACTGGAACCGCTACCCTGGGCTCATGTGCGATACCGAGAGTTACATCTACATGCCCCTGCTGGAAGAGACCGGCTACATTCCCAAACATAAGTACTCATACGGAGAAGAGTTGCGGGAGCACGCCGAGAGAATCGCCAAGCAGTGGAAAATCGACGACCGGGCTATTTTTAGAACTGAGCTGCATCGGTGTACATGGAATGATGACCGCTCCGAATGGATTGTCGATCTGACACAGCGGTCACCTTCCCCCGATGGCGTATCCACGAGCGGCACAATCTCCGCGGGCTTTGTGATACTCTCCCCGGGCTTGCTAAATAGGCCAAAGCTTCCCAGAATACCTGGCCTAGGGACATTCAACGGACCAAACTTCCTCGCCGCCAGGTGGGACTACGCCGCAACCGGAGGCAGCCCATCGCGTCAAGAGCTCGACCAGCTGCAGGATAAGAAGGTGGGCATCGTAGGGACCGGAGCCACTGCCGTGCAGATAGTACCCGTGCTAGCCAAATGGTGCAACCAACTTTACGTCTTCCAGAGAACCCCCGCGTCGGTGGACGTGCGTGGCCAGCGACAGACGGAACTGGATGAGTGGGCGTACAAGATACGGACTGGTCCAGGTTGGCAACAGACCCGACGTCGCAACTTCCTGGCGTTTGGAGCCAACACCGAGCCCAGCGAGCCGGTCGACATGGTATCGGACGGATGGACTCGCTTTCCATCCTACTGCGTCCTGACCGGATGTCCCGCCGCAATGAACGTGACCATGGAGACAGCCACGGAGTACATCTCCGAGATGCATCGACTTGACCTCATTCGGTCTGATATAATCCGCGAACGGGTCAGCGCCGTCGTTAAAGACGAGATCACGGCTGCGAAGCTCAAGGCCTGGTACCCGGGCTGGTGTAAACGGCCCACGTTCCACGACGAGTACTTGGAGGCGTTTAACAGACCCAACGTGCACCTCATCGATACAGACGGCCGGGGTCTAGACCGTATCGTTGACACCGGGATAATAGCAAATGGGAAGATGCACGACTTAGACCTCATTGTGTTCTCAACTGGCTTTGAGGCCGGCACGTTTGGCAGTCCTGCGCAGCGCTGCGGCGCGCAGGTCTTTGGTCGCGGAGGCAGGTCAATGGATGCCAAATGGGCGGACCCAAGAACTGCGGATAGTCAGATATCTCTAACGGTGCATGGAATATGTGCCAGGGACTTCCCCAATATGTTTTTCACCAGCAGCAATCAGGCCGGGATTGCTTCTGTCTTCACACCCACATTGGATGCCTTCTCGAAACACGCAGCCTTTATCATATCAAAGAGCCTGAAAAGGCTAAAGGATACAAGAAGAGAGGGTGATTCATCGATTGAGCACACAGTTGTTGTGGAGCCCACATCCGAAGCTGAAACCGTTTGGGCTAACCGCGTGCTCTCGGCCGCTGCTTCACTGGCACCCATAGGGGGATGCACCCCTTCATACTTCAATGCCGAGTCCAAAATAGACAGCATGCCAATACACGACCAAATCAAGGCTGCGGCAACAACACGATGGCCCGCCGGACTCAATGACTTTGTTCTTCAATTGGAAGGCCTATGGAGCGCCAACGACGACAGTGACTTTGATATAAATATTGTTCGAAAGGGCCTAGATTAGCTGGTAATTTGGCCAGATTAGCATTGATAGCAGTAGAACTGTAAAAGGAGCTTGAATAGCGCAGTATTAGTCGGGTTGTAAAGGAAGCGGTGAGAAGCTTGCTTAATTGAATCTAGGAGCTAGGCAAGGCCTATATAGGGTCACCTGCATCACGTGACACTAGTAAACAGGGCGCCCAAACAGGGGCCACCGGAGGGGGTCTCTAACAGTAGCCTGCTAGTGACACCAGGTACGGAGTATTGAATGACAGTTAGACTGGAGAGTCTACTCTATAAGAGTATCGTGATATATTATATTATCGTGACAAGACGGCCGGAAGGAGAAAGCAAGACTCCCCAAACAGGCAATGCAGCCTCCGATCGCAGCACCGACTGCGTCATGATGACTAAATTCTCCATCTCCTGCGATTCGTCCGCGCGTCTGCCAAAAGACCTCTGAAGTACCGACTTCAGTCGTTCTTCCTCGGATACCAATTCCTGAGTCTCCTGGATTGACGCTCTTTCAGTTCCTGACCTCTGGTTAATACCGTACCGCTGCAGAGGTTGGATCCTTGTTGTGGAAACTCGTCCTGCCTCCGTCTCCCCAGTCTAGTGTAGAGAATACGGCGCAATGGTGTTCATTCCTATCTTCCCCATCTGCTTCCAGTGCGGTACCGATCAGAACCCTTGTCACTGCAAGGTAGTCGGTCCTACCTGCGGTATGTTAACCGGTCCCCTTTCAATTGACGTGAAGGAGCAACGTGGTAAACTGATGTAAATGGACATGTGCTAATTCGTCTCCTTCAGGTTTCATTGCTTGCGTTCTGGCTGCTGTATGTGGGCTCCTTCTAACAGATCAGATATCGAGACATTCTATGAGCGGTTGATTGACTTGATAATGTTAGATTGTATGCTGGCCGGCTTCTCTCTTCTGTGGTTGTTGCGCAACCCAAACTGGAAATGAGTAAGTCTATCTATTTTCAGCATGATAATATACTTGCCAGAGATTCTGGTGAAAGCCCGAGAACCAATTTCTGTCCCTTTCCAGTGCTGGATCTCAAAGAGGTGGTTCGATAAGAAACAAGTAGTTAACTGTATACAGCATGCTCGGATTCCCCGTCAAATTGAACGCAGAAGTCAGCAATACAATCCCATTCTAAGTGCATTGGATATGCGAAGCGCATCGGGGATGCTACAACATCAAGTTTATGTATGATGGAATATTTCTTTTAGGCGTTTTGGACAGGATGTGAAGTCCCCGTTGTTCTTTGATGGGGAGTACCCCCTCTGCGTTGGTGATTGTGATGGGTAGCTCCTAGTTCATCCACTCGTAACATCAGCAGCTCGAATATGAAATTATAACATGATCTCACACACGCATGCCCTTTCCACACGTATTTCCCAAGTCTCTTTCACAGACGCACTAACCAACCAACCACCCAGCCTCCTATCTCTTCTTCTTCTTCCTCCTCCTCCTCCTTCTTCTCCTATCCTCATCAACCTCTTTCTCAAGCAACCCCTCTAGACACTTACACAAGAATCTCAACCACCGAGGAATCAAAACCAAATACGAATCGCAAAGCAAAGTCCAAAATGGCAACCTCCACCCCCAACTCAAAGACTCCCACCACCACCACCACTCCAGCTGCAACTCCAACTCCAGCCACAGCATCTCCTCCTCGCAGCACACCACCATCCTCAACCCAAAGCACAATCACACTCTTCACCCAACTCAAAACAGTCGCCGAATCCGGCTGCAAAATCCACCCAGACTTCTACTACAACTACACCGGCTACGCCGAACACACTCTCCAATTCAGCATAACCCAATACGCCCTCCTCACAGGCGGACAACAAGAACGACCTGATCTCGAATGGGAGCGCGCAAGCCAAATCTATCTCGCAAGAAAAAACATCCCCCATGAACTGGTCACGTTGCCATTAAGTGATGTGAGGGCGAATACCCTTGCTGCTGCTGCTGCTGCTGCTGCTGCGGCTGCGGGGCCAGGAAGAGGAGCGAATGATTCGAAGAAGAATAAATATATCATGGCTGGTGTTCCGAGGGTTTCGAGGGAAGAGGTTGTCCCCGAGGGGAATGTCTCTGGGAAGGTGTTGATTACGAATGCAGATAAGGGGAAGCCGGTTTATTATGTGCCTTAGGGCATTATCATGAAGTGGTACGTGGATTTTAAATGTGTGTTGAGGGGGCAGGAAGGGGGGGGGGACTTTTTGTCTGGTCTCCTTGATGATTGATTGATTGATTGATTGCTTTCCTTCCGTCTGCGCAATGATTGCTTACTGAGGAATTGGTGGGGTTTGAACAGGTCTTGTCTTTTATCACGATACGCGAGCTTGAGGAGCTTCGTACGAAACACAGCATTTGATGCGGACGGTTTGAATGGTGGTTCTTGACTTTGGTTGGACATTGGCGAGTTGGGGGAGTTGGGGGGGGGGGGGGGGGGGGGGGGGGGGAGGGGGTTGGAATGAAAATGGTTTTTGAAAGAGCAAGACCCTGTCACCTCTTCCTGTCTATGTCTTTCTAAGGATATCTCACCCCGGGTGCACTTGGTTCTCTGGCCTCCCTACTCAGTTTGAACTACTGTTCTCTTTTATTCTCATGCGGCGTGTCAACAGAATACATAGACGGACGGGATTGAGACATCTTAATTTCATTTCGGGAAATTCAGAAAGGTTTACAGCGTATGGAAATTCTTAAGAGTATGGAGAGTTTTCATTCATCCTTACCCGAACAGGATACTGAGAAGTGACATGGTGCCCATCGTAATGAAAAAAGAGACAGCTAGCCAAACCGATACAAACGCTGTACACGGCGACGGAAGAATTGTAGAGAAGAGTGATAGGGAATCAAGAAAACACAACCAGACCGTAGAAAATCAAAGACAACGGGCGAGCCCGGAAACAAGCCATGTACGGCGAATCGACTGTGAGCATAACAAGAAGACAAATGTCGGCACTGGGATGCGATGGATAAGTTAATCCATTATTAATTCTGTGCCATTCGCATAAAACAACAAAACTTCATTCCGTAAGACGTAACATAACGATCCAACTGTGCTCCAGCTGCCCGTACGCACGGTGCCAATACGGGATGATCTGAGGAATTACTCATATTGACGGCTGCTGGATCGTTCGAGAGCCAAAGGCACTAGTTTATTTGAACTTCTCCTTCAGCTTCTTGAAGAATCCACTGGAACGCTTCTTCTTCTTAGGTTCCTCTCTCAAGGTTTCCTTCAGGGTAGGGTTCTGCGAAGTCGATGCGCCCGCACCAGATTCCCCTCTCAAGGTTTCCTTCGGGGTAGGCTTCTGCGAAGTAGATGCGCCCGCACCAGTGTCCCCTCTCAAGGTTTCCTTCAAAGTAGGGTCCTGCGATGTCGATGGGCCGGCACCGGCGACTCCCTTCCCTTCGGAAACCTCTGTCGTCTTGGCCGTAGCGACACCCGTGGTCACCGTGGGTTCCGAAGGTCCAGGCACCGGACTCGTCTGAGGGGCCACCTTGGCGGACTCTGGCTGAGTCGTTGCAACAGCAGTCGAGGCCGGAGCTGCAGACTCGGACTTAGTTGTAATAGCAGTCGGGGCTGGAGCTGCCACTGCGCTGGCTGCTGACAACGTGGGCGCAGGCTCCCCGAAAGCATCATTCGGCTTCACCTTCTGCTTGATTTCATCTTCGATTTCCTTCTTCTCTTCCACTGCTTGGATGCTCGCAGCAGCTTCAGGGGGTTCGTGAGCTTCCTGCAGAGACTTCTTCACGACGCCAGGCACGTCGCCAGCGGGTTCCCTTCCGTACGTTGGGGCTGGTGCTCCCACGGATTCATCAGGCGGAACCTTGTTGCGAAGCTCGTCTTCGAATATCTGCTTTTCCCTCACAGCTTCTGCACTGGCTGCCGCCTCAGGACCCTCATGAGCTTCCTTCAGAGATTCCTGAACGACACCAGGCACTCCGCTGGCCGCACTGGCCGCGATCGACCCATTTGTTGGGGCCGGCGTTCCCGTGGAGTCGTCGGGCTTGACTTTATGCGTGAGCTCATCTTCAAATGCCTTCTTCTCCTGAACCGCTCCAGGACTGGCCGCTGCTTCAGGGTCTTCATGGGCCTCCTTCAAAGAGTCTTTCACAACATCAGGAACGCCGCTAGCAGGCTCCTTGCCATTGGTATCTACGCCGCGCGTGAATGGAACCGCTGCCGCAAGGGCTGCTGTGGTCGCTACAGAGGCAGCTGACGAAATAGGCAGACCAGTGTCTGTCGTGGACGGCGTGTCCATTGGAAGACTGGACTCTGGGATCATGTTGTTCGATACCGGGGGAACACTAAAAGCATCGGCTTTGGCACCCTCGCCTTCAGGGACCAGGCCAGGTACCACAGGAGCACTAGCATCTGCTTCATAGCCAGCCTTGTCCGTCCTGACCGTCGACTCAATAGTGTTGGCATGGAGGGAGCTAGGGTCTGGGACCTTCTGTCCGGGCTTCAATTGCACGGGGTTTCCAATGCCGTTCGAAGCGGGGATAGGATTCACAGATACCTGATTCGCCTCGTTTGCGGGCGTCTCCGGGAAAGAGCCGGGCAAGACCTCACCGTTCTTCTCCAACGGGACATCCTTGGCAAGCTCAGCTGTGGTCGATCCAGGCGCAGCAGAAGAGATCGTGGCCGCTGCGAAGTCTGCTTGCTCCTCGGATTCCTTGGGGACACTGGCGGCTAGCGCAGCAGTTGTTGAGTCGGGAGTAACGCCAGCCATCACTGATGCGACTGGCGTCGTCTGGTCGGTCAGCGGGATGAAAGCTTGCGCTGGTGTCTTGGTGATTTCCTCCGGGAGAAGGACGTTGTTGGTGTTGTAACTGCCGTCGTCTTCCTCTCGAGCGTTGGGATCGGTGGTCCAAGAGCCGTCCACAACAAACTGCAGGGGAAAGTAAAGTTAGCAGGAAAGAAGTCAAAGAAGTCAAAGCAGATAGATAAACTATGGTAAATTCCAGCAAAGATGGGCTGAGCATGCGCTAAAACCCCCCGTCGCGAGCCGCCCTGGAGGGGGGCGGTTGACGTGACGTCAGTACTTATGGTTTGCGAACGCCGCCTGCTGGAGAGACTTCAATCAAGCTGTCAGCGCTGCCAAACCGGACGGCCAATTGTCGCGAGATTAGCGCGCATTGTTGCCTATCATCCTGCTCTAAGCTCGTAATTGGGATGCCTGGGAAGAGTAAATGGCGCGGCCACCTCAGGCACGCGGCCAATTTCCCCTCACTTGCGCCGCCAGGTCAAGCCAGCCGTTCCGCCTCCCACACAGGATTATACTTCTCAAACGGATAATATAAAAGGTACAAAAAAAAAATAAATAGAGGATGGCGTTCTGGTCGACCTACCTTGTATTGGATCTTCTCATCGGCCGTGGGCAGATGGACTTCCTTTTCAAATACTGAGCCCTTCTTGTCCAGCTGCACCGTCTTCCCCCAGTCATCGAAGGTACCCGTCACGAACACCTCGTCCGCCTCATACGGCCTAGAAACCACGCCAGCAAGTGTCAGCTCAGAATCTCATCGCACGGTGGCGGCCACTGGGAGTACCCCGGATGATCCGGTTGGAATGCGAGCTCGCAAGCTGAGGTCAGCTCAATCAATTCTTGCGCGCTTGCGAGTCCAGGCAGCCGCGATGGTCCATGATGATGATGATGGTGCCCACATACCATCGAAAGATATAGGTCCCCATGGTTGTAGTCCGCCTTCCTTCACAGCAAGGATGTATTATCTCGGGGGATCACTTGTAATTTGATCAGGCCTCACGAGACCGTGTGATAACGCCCGTCGCAATTGGACGCGAACCGTCCGGTTGAAACGAGTTCAGGCAGTCAATGCTCGTATCCCGTGGATCTTCTTGCGGGAGAATGACGCAGATCCTCCGCTGGGGCGTTCGATAAGAACGGGATGAGTTGCGCAATCTAAGGCGACTTCAGCACGAAAGAGAGATGGAATGGCCTTTAAAGAAAGAAAAATAAAAATATAAGAAGTAGAACTGTGATGCGCCAGACACAAAAGGCCCCTGCAGACAGCTCCACTGATCCAGGGCCAAGTCGACAGTTGTTCTCTGCTCCGGGGGAGGCTGGGCGTCATCGACGGGCGGAGAGAGCTTCACTCTACTTATCTTGCCAGTCGTGGTCCCATCCTCCTGTTTGCGGCTTTCCACTCCCGCCTTGCCTTTCAGATAAATAAGATAGATAGATAGATCAATGTCGGTCCATTGCATCTCAGAATAAGAGCTCCTCAGTCTGAAACACTGGCTGTTGAAGTATACAGGCTGTCTCTGTCTGCGATCACATGTGAACAAGGCGCCTTGAGCACTGACAACACGCCAGCACTGACTGACTGGACTTTAGCTTCAACGCCCCGCGCAGCACCAGCACTGTGCGTTGGCTCTTTTGCGAATAATATGACCTGCCTTGGTGCTAATTCTGTCGATACCCAGCCTTCTCATAAGTATACCTTCATTTTTCTTGACAATTCCTACTCGCTAACCCATAAAATGACTACAGGCTGCATACTCTATCTGCACACCGCTGGATTCAGCAAAATAAATGCAAGATCTAGATCAAAGCCTGATAGGAAACCCGTTATTTTATGATGGGCAGAACATTCTAGAGGATACGGACACAGAGCGCCAGGCAGAAAAACTGTTCTTCTGGCTAACAATTACCCATTGTGGCGGAGGAAGGTTCAATAATTCTGTACAATCATGTTTCCCATTTTTTTCTGACGCATCCCGCATATTCTTGGGTACCCGATAACTTTCTTGCATTACCATATAGGTGTGGTCTGGGATACCATACTTAGCCTACAATATACTACTCAAGAGAGATGACAATCTATTGGCCATTGGTATTTATGCCTCAAAGAGATCGATCGAGATAATAGCCTTGTAGTTAGTTAACTAGTGGCTATCAACTATTAGTTATGTTGCGCAGAGCCCCCAAGTCACGGATAGGTATTCTCGCCCGGTCGGCTTAGCGAAACGAACTATGGAGCGGACTAGCGAAGAAAGAAACAAAACAACTGACTTACTACTACTGTCTTAGATCGCTTTTTAATGCTTGACTGTCGAGAGAATGACAGATCACAACAAATGTATTTTTCCCCAGGAAAGGCAAGTCTGGACAGTTACCTAAGCTACGAGACAGCATGCTGCTCATACAAGAGAGTTATTAGTGATTAGTAGCCCGTTCGAGAGCTCACGCCTCTGGCGTCATGATTCGACGGGTGATAAGATAAGCCCCAGCTCTCTACGTAGCTATACCATTCGAGCTCATTGGCACATACGAAGCTTAGGTACGGAGTAATAATACTGGCCTCCTCTAAAACGTGCCTCAACTCTCTGCTGGCCGTGCAATGACTCTAATTAGTTGCCCATCATAGCAATGGAGGTGCGCACGATGCAGGGGGTGAGGCCATTGACGGTGCAATCGGAGTCGCGCGGCACTTGTCGATTTGCAAAGTGCCACCAGGACCGCAAACGGCCAGCATCCACGAAATCATATTGCGTTATGGTCGGGATGATCGTGGAGCAGCGAATACCATACTCTAGCACCCGAAGAGCGTATCAGTAGCTTGGTAGAGTAGGTACTCTGCGTCGTTGCAATAATATGGTAATCTAATAGTTAATCCATGATCTGCCGTCATCCAGCTTTCTTCTAGAGCCCAGTTTCGCCACAGATTATTGCCATGGCACGGTCCATGTTCGACCTCCACAATAGATAGGGGGGTTTGGTGCATCGAGAGTACGTCACATCCCTGGGCATGTTGTCTCGTGTCGCTGACTCGCCGGGGAGCACAAAACGGGCTGGCCTTCTAGAAGACACTTGGAAAAAGGTTCCTCGACCGATCGAAGCTTCCACGCGTCGATAAAGGACCCCCAGGCCGAAACAGCGGCGCTGGACCCCGCGTCTTGGAGCCGCCATCGGTGGGCAACATGAACTGTCGGAATCGAGTTTAAAGTGTCATAGTCATAAGTAGCCGTTGATCCAGGTGTGCCGACGGGGAAGGCCTGAGAAGGAGTCAGTCCATCTCGAGTCGACATAGACAGACAACGTAGTTAGTTAAGACGACGTAGAATAACCGAATGCCAGTCTAGCTAGCTAAGAGTCTGTAGACTCTCGAGTAGACGTACCATAAACTATTACTATTATTATTATTATTAGCTGCTCCTGCGTGCCTTGGGAAGTGGACGAAGGGGACGAAGGGGACACGCCCGGACCAGCACAGCATCGCACAGCTTCCGTCACTTCTTCTTGCTAAGTTACCTCCCCACCTCTCTCGACGGGCCCAGCAATAATCCAGCATCATCAATCACCCTGCATCACCAAAACCCTCCGGATCTGTCGTCTGTCCATCTCCTGGCTCTAATCTCTCTCGCGCTCTCTCTTCTCTTTTCCTCTCTCTCTCTCTCCCTCTGGCATTCTTCTGCTGGTCTGGCCGCTCCATTGCCTTCATCCGTGGTAACTGCTCGCCCCTAGCTGAACTGCTGGGGACAGTTGGATTCGACAGCTCCTCCTCTCTCATTCTCGCTACGCTCTCTTTCGCTGGGCAACCACCCCCCCATCCTCTACCCCCGTTACATCTCGGCTGTTCTCCCGCAACGACAACCCGTCTTCCCAGGACAACTCTCGCGACCAGACGACGAACGAACAGTCTCTCCCTGACGTGACCCTCGGTCTCAGCCAGCCCTGGGAACAAGGTCCAGCGGTCGACCAAGCCGTGAGCCCCGCAATCCACGGACGGGCGTCGTCTAAAACGGGACCTTAAGAAATCACATTGCATTTACAGCTTAAACGCACGGCGAGACTTTGGAACGCTGTCTTTCTGGTGCTCCAATTAGACAATCCCCCTCCCCGATACCCACTTCCCAGATGACCCAGCATCGACTCCCCCCCCTCCTCTCAGTTGCTGATCAGTCTTCGTATCTGTCACGCCAAATGTCGTTCGATACCCTTCCTCTCTCATACAAAAACGAGATAAACACCCTTAACCGGGAGGTTCTCAAACACCAGCCGTCAGATATCTTGCAGTTCTGCGCCAACTTCTTCCTGCGGCGGCTGGAGTCTCAGCGCGCTGAGTTCCTACTCGCTCAAGAGCAGTTTGGCCTTGGCCGGAGTCCTGGCCTCACCGGCCGCAGCGGTGATAACATGGCCGAAAGCACATTTCCCGGGACCAATCCCTGGGGAAAGAGCGGCAGCAACCTGTCAACCCCGCGCTTTCAGATGATCACAGAGGAGGACGAATTCGACATCACGTCACCGACAGACGCTACCTTTCAAGAGCTAAAGGACGCTCCGCCGTCAGGAGAGCTCTTTTCGGGATATCGCGCCGACTCCAACGAAGACCCCATTGCAAGCAGCCAGTCTGAAGAGGAGAATGAAGGAGGTGACTCGAGTGCTCCGCCCACAGGATTCCGCCCTGCTGGGACGCCGAATCAAGGATTCCCCAACAACTACGCCCTGGGACGACGTACATCAGTGTCAGCGGAGTCTCTGAATCCTACGTCGTCTGGCGCGGAGGGCTGGATGCCTCCATACCACCCGAAGACTGAGCAGCAGCTTGGCCGATTGAAGACAGCCGTGAGTGGGAACTTCCTGTTTTCTCACTTGGACGATGAACAATTCAAGACTGTGCTGAATGCGCTGGTCGAGAAACCGATTCCGGCCAAGGATATCAAGGTTATCGCCCAAGGTGATGCGGGAGACTACTTCTACGTTGTCGAGGAAGGATATTTTGACGTGTACATTCATCCTGCCGGTTCCGTGCAGCCCGGCCCCGATGGCTTGGGCAACAAGGTCGCTTCAATTGGGCCTGGCGGTTCGTTTGGAGAGCTGGCTCTCATGTACAATGCGCCTCGCGCAGCGACAGTGGTCTCGGCAGACTCCAAGTGCACCTTGTGGGCTCTTGATCGCATTACTTTCCGTCGGATCCTCATGGACTCTGCCTTCCAGCGACGTCGTATGTACGAAGCCTTTTTGGAGGAAGTTCCGCTGTTGTCGTCCCTCAAACCGTACGAGAGGGCCAAGATTGCGGATGCACTCGACACGATTAAATATCCTGCTGGCTCCACTATCATCTCTGAAGGTGATCCTGGTGATGCTTTTTATCTGCTGGAATCTGGCGAGGCCGAGGCATTCAAGCGTGGCGTCGAAGGCCCCGTCAAATCTTACCAGCGGGGTGACTTTTTCGGAGAACTGGCACTGCTAGACGAGAAACCTCGTGCGGCTAGTGTTATTTCCAAGACCGAGGTTAAAGTAGCCCGTCTGGGGCGGGATGGATTCAAGAGACTCATGGGACCGGTTGAAGATATCATGAGACGGACGGAGTATCCTATCGATCCGTCCAAGAGGACTTCAATTTAAAACTGATCCGCCACGGTAGAGAAGTGGCTCTGTCGCGGTTATACCCATGAGTGTATCCTTCTTGGTAGTGTCTCCCCAGAGACTTGGAAGAATACAGTCGATTTTGTGATCGATTCTGATGTCGCAGATATCAAGCAACTGCTGTCCCCTTGGACGCAGGAAACGAATGTGGCTGCAGGACATCCGGCTCCACATTCAATGCCTTAATACATATAGGATTTTTATTACCCTATACTTCCGTTCTGATCAAATATCATGCTTCTTTTTTGGGTCACTAGCTATTCTCACACATTCCCCTACTTGCGGTCTTTTCCTGGTCAGAGCTCGGCTGGTGGCATTGTCCCTTTGCAGGACCTCATGTCCTGTATCTCCAGCTAAAATATAGTCTTCTTATTCCTTCTGTCTCGGACTACTCCCTACTCTCTACTTTCTCCAGTCGAAAAGGCAGTCAGACCTGTCTGATTATCACATATACACTAGCATAGCCACTCTTTTTTCCTTTGCATTCTTTTATTCTCTCCCATCGTTTTCCGACTTGATTCACTCGTGGGCGATGAATCATGAGTTATCTACTGTTTTTCTTTTCTTTTCTTTTCTTTTCTCCTTTATTAAATCGTCTGGTCTGGGATGGAGTGTGTACCGTACTTTGTGGGATTATGGCTTAACCTTTTACCTAGTCTGTACTCAAATATATTTCATTTGACATCACTTTGGATAATTGGTCCTTTCTATAGTAGAATGTTTTTATTATTGTTGTTTTCTAGTAATGACTATATGTATGTGATATCATTGAAATGGCCAAGCCTCGCAAGCAGGAGGCAAGGCCTAGATAGTATCAGGAGTAGTAGAATTCATCTTCTGCTGTAAGACTCAACACCAGTACCTAGTTATATATAGTCTTTCTACAACAAACATCTCGTCATAATCATCATCATCTCATCGACCAACAACCAAATCACTCCTAACAACCCATTTCTCCCCACTAGTGACTCTCTTGCCCTCGTGGAGTAAACAGTGCTCACCGTGCCGATGCAGTAGCGCCATGCCGACCTCTGGAGCGACGGAGATCGGTTCCGGTGACCGATCCGTGGGTGTCGGGTCAGGGTAGAAGACGGTTTCGCCGCCGGAGCAGTTGGTGAGGTAGATGAGGAGGGTCCATGTCGTGCGAGCGGCTATGGGATTGTTCTGGGTGGCCGGTTTAAAAGTGAGGGTGTTGGAGTCGTCGTCTATTGTGGGAATGAGATTAGTTTGTTAGTTTGTTTTGTTGTTGTCATTGTTGGATGATTTCATAACAAAAATTGATGATGTATGAGATGCGTCGGAGAGTAATAATTGGGGGGGGGGGGGGATCAATGTCTGGACCGGGTATTATCAGGAAGAAGGGAATATATAGAATAATAAGAGTTTTTGACTCACAATGCTGCGCAAAGAATTGGCCTGGAGAATAACGATATATTCTTATATTCGGATTCAACCCCAGAGGATTCCCACCCCAAGTCTGACGAAGCATTGCTTGCGTGGCATCGCTGTCTAGACTGCCCTCAACCAAGTCCTTTAGTGCTGTCGAACTCCATAGCATCTCAGCAAATCGAGCATCGTCGATTTGAAACCGATCATTGACCCGCACGGCCTCTCCCTTTTTTGGCCTGCTGGGAGTGGTGATCAATGGTAGCGAGGCGAGGAATGAGACATAGTTTTTACAGAGGGTCGAAGTGAAGAAGTTGCGAATGATGTATATCTGGTCCTCTACGAGGGACTCGAGATATAGATCGGACGCGGGGACTAGAGGGCGCAGGGGAGGCCAGTTGGGAGCTGGCTCTTCTTTCTTTTGACCTTGGGTGGTGCCTTTAATTTTGATAGGTTCTTTCTTCGACTTTGGAGGCATGGCTGAGGGGAGGAGGGGTAAACAAGGCGGATCGGCCAACAAGTTTAATTCGAATATCTAGAGATTGTATTCTGCTTTTTGTTTCCCTTTTTGATCTCTTTTGCAGTGGAATGATGGCCTTTTAGTCTGCATGTACAGTTTGTTAGGGTGATCAACCAGCTTGTCTTGTCTAGTACGTGGCGGGATCGATTGGGTCCGGTCCGAAGAACGGGGAGAAAGAGATCAATAATAATCAGGTCGGAAAAAGTGATTGTCAATAGGAAGTGAATAATTTGAAGGATCTGTTGAAACAGATCTTTGTCTGAATCTCAAGGTCAAAGACGATTCTTTCTTTCTTTCTTTCTCCCAACCTCGAACAGCAAGCTTATTTTGAAGGCTTGAACTTGATAACCGAAACGATAACGAGCAACAGGTTAACTTAATCACGGGCTAAAGAGACTGGCATTATTATGGCATAGGTCCTAGGATAATACTCGAAGCAGGGACCACCAGCGACATCGACAAGGTTTTGCCAGTAGTGGACCAGAGCCAGCCAGAAATTAGAATGGACTGGCGAGGCAGAGGGCGGGGCAGGCTAGAAGAAAAAAGCCGGCAGAAACAGAGGGGAAACGGCAGGAGGGGAAGGCAAAGATCGACAGAAGAGAAAGAGCCAGCGGACGGGCTGGATCGAGGCCATCTGCTGCTTTCTCCTGGAGAATCTGTCAGACTGGCGAGATGGATTGATCGAGAGAAGAAGAAGAAGAAGAAGAAGAAGAAGAAGAAGAAGACAGACTTACTCTAGAAACCCCGTGATCGATGCCTGCAGGGAGCCGCGCAGCCGCCTGAGGCAGCCACGCTAGACCGCAAGGAGATATTTTCTGGCCAGGCCGCGGAACCGCCAAGCGTGATTGGCGCGGGATACGGGAAGCGCCAAGCGCCTTTTGCGCGTTTTCAAAATCCGCCCGCCAGTTAAGATTGAGACTCCTCACGATAGCCTCAAACCTCACCGCCCTGCTTTGGTTCTTCAGCCTCAGTATCCTGGCAGCAGCGTTGTCATGTCGTCGTCGCAGACCATGACAGCGCCAGCGGTGGGCCGTCGTCCTCCTGACCCGGGTCCGGACATGGCTCTCTACGACTATGCCGCTACAAAGCCCCAAGACAACATCTCCTCCCCGCGCGACGACTCCGCAATGCGCGCCCTGCATAATTCTGCCTTCGACGACATAGATGGCTCCCAGGACGACCTCGCCGCTCTCACCGGTGCTGCAGGAACCGCAATGGACCCGGAACATGCCCCTGGTCTCGCCGTATCGGGGGAACCGCAGACGCAGTCCGACGTTGACAAGCAGTCCGCCGCCAGCTCCCTTCTCGCTCAACTCCTCGGGAATCAGAATCAGCCATCAGGAACGCCAGCGCAAGGGAACCAACCGGAACAACAGCAGTCAGTTGACGTTTCGCAAGAAAATGGTCTGTCTCAGGGCCAGTCCTCGAGAGAGCAGCCGGAGCAGTCGATAGAGCTGCAGACAACCGAAACGCAGGATGCAATACTTTCCAGACCTGATCCGCAGAACTTTTCGAATGAGAATCAGATACAAAACGGCTCAGAGGACCAGCAGAACGGCGATCGGATGATAAAGGAGGAGCCCGTTTCGGGGACACTGGACTTCCCGGCACTCGATGGAGACCGTCCGCTCATGAAGCAGGACCAACAACATACGGACTTATTCCCTTCTTTCGACATGACTGCGCCCCCGAAAGATGCACTCGAGGCGCTTCAGCAGAACGAGATGCTCACTGCAAACTTCCTGTCTCAAGGCCTTGATATGTCTTCGCTGCCCGAGATACCCGGATACTCGCAAGCCTATCACGACGCAACGACATCCATTGCCGGCTCCGAACCCCGTATCCAAGCCTTCGCAAAACTCGAATTCGATGATGGCCACTTCTACGTAAACACCTACTCCTTTACTCTCGGGCGCGATGTTCGAGCGGCCCGAGCAGCCTTCCAACGGGAACTACAAGCACGACAAGCCATGGGAAGGGCATCCCGGACGAAGAGCTCGAGTGGTGGCAACACATCTCACACACCCAACCGTGTGAAACGTGAAGGTAGCGCCATAATAGGTAGCGTTGTCAGTGATCGAGGCGGTATTATGGGGTTTGATCCGGACGTCCCTCCGCATATGCCTGCGCAAAGAAGCAGGAGATCCTCAAACTCGTCCTTTGCAGAATCTGGGGCCTTACATGCCACACCGGCTCAACTACAAGCCAATCATACGGATTACAATGCCCTCGCTTTGCAGTCCCTTTACGAAGGTAGCGGAGACGCAAAACCTGTGGATACGTTAGCTTTGCTCCCGTCGCCTGACGCCTGTCCTACGATCCCAATTCACCCGCCTGCTACCGCTGATGGTAGCGCAGCTGGACACCGAGGGATCTCAAGGAAACACGTAAAAATCGCCTACAATTTCGACAAGAATTTCTTCGAGATGGAAGTCATCGGAAGAAACGGTGCCTTCATTGGAGCTGACTGGCTGGCTCCGGGTCAGATCAGACCACTACACAGTGGAGATTATATCCAAATAGGAGGAGTGCGGATACGTTTCTTGCTGCCGGATGTACCAATTGGAGAAACTGGAGCTGAAAGAGCTGAAGAGTCTTTCATGGAGGAAGAAGAAAAGGCCATCACTGCAACCTCCGTGGCTGAAGAAAGCGCGGTTGGAAACGAGATAGAAGCCACCGGAGAAGCTGAAAGCGACGTTGGAGAAGACAAAGACCAGTCAAAGGTGACTAAGATAGTCTTCAAGAACAAGGAGTCGGATGCATCGCAACCAAGACCATCCGTCGAAGACACTCCGGACTCGTCACAGCAACCTGTAAAGCGGCGTGGTCCTGGACGCCCGCCGAAGGATGGCATCATGTCAAAGCGTGAACGTGCAGAGATCGCAAGAGAGCAAAAACTTGCTGCGAAACGTGAGGCGAATGGCGGAGTCACCCCGCCTCCCTCAAGCAGATCGAAGGTTGGACGGCCACGGAAAGATTCCGATGGTGATGAAGCCAGTATCATCAAGCCCGAGAAACGGAAATACACCAAGAGGAAGAGATCTGATGGTACTTACGTGGATGTCCCGATTCCTTCGACAGAGGGTGGAGATCCAGCCCTCCCGATGCCTCAGGAAGAATATCCCAAGCCTCCTCCCGTCAAGAAACGCAAGCCATCGCGATCACCGTCTCCGAACTACCCTCCAGAGTCTGCCTATACCCCTGAGGACCTGGCGAAGCCGCCTTACAATTACGCTGTTCTGATTTTCGACGCTCTGACCGAATCACCCACTCCAATGACCTTGAAGCAGATCTATCGAGCTCTCAAGCTCAAATACCCTTATTTCCGCTTCAAGTGCGAAACAGAAGGCTGGACGTCCAGTGTACGGCACAATCTTAATGGTAATAGCCACCTGTTTATGCATGCTGAGCGAGACGGGAAAGGCTGGTCCTGGCAACTTCGTCCGGGCGCGTCGGTCGAGAAAGAGAAGAAGAGAAGGCCCTCGCCTCCTCCACCATCCCAACCTACGAATACTACAGTTGGTGCGCAGCATTACATGCCGCCTCCGAGCCAGAACTATTCCAATCCACAGAGCGTGCCAGCCCATCTCAGGAATCAGCAGTACCAGTTTCCATCGATGCCGACGAATCCGTACAATCCTCCAGCGCCTACACCTCAACATACAAGCCCTTACGCTCCCCAGTCGCCGTTCCCCATCACCAATCCTTTGCGAAATAATCTTCCACCTGCGTTTGCCCAGACTACACCTTCTACCTACACATCTCCTTACGCATCCGACCCGCCACCACAGCTCACACAACTCCAGCAGCAGCAACAACAGCAACCACAGCAGCAACCACAACAACAGCCGCAACAACACCAACCTCAGCTACCTGGAGGGGTGCCAATGCAGCAACACTCCCCCTATGCACCACAGATCCCGCCCCAGCTGTCGAACATCAATCCTCAGCAGCAAGCTCCGCCACAGCAACAAGTTCCGCCGGCACCACCGCCAATGCAGCACCAAGCCTCCCATCCACCGGAGCCGAGTCCGATGCCCATGGACAACCAAGATACTCTTTCTTTCAATGAGCGAGCCAACAAGGCCATTGACGACTTCGAAGCTGTGCTCATGGAAGACTATGAGGACAAAAACTATATCCGTGAAGTTCTCAAGAGTGCTCGTGCTCGTGCTCTGGGCCATGCTCAAGAAAGCTCCTTCCCTGGCGGTGAGCCGAAGGACGAAGCAGTCCTTGTCGATGCGTTGAAGAACTTGATCGGAAGTTTGAAAGAGGAAGGTAGTAATTGAGGTCGATCGGCTTCTGAGATTGACTGATACTCTCGAAGGACAATGTACTCATTCTTCGAGAGATGTCCTTCGACTTCTTGCTGCCGTTCGCACTCCTTTATTGAACGATTTACGAACTGGGCATATGATCTTTGTAGGGAGACCTATCTCTGGCTTGTTGGAATTTTGCTTGTTGCACCGATAGTAATCTTTCTTGTCTGCTGTATCTGGGAGCTCTGGGATAATCATACATCCCTTAGCTTACAGATCGCCTATGCGCATGCATGAGTATGAGTTACGGAAACTTCGTTTGATGATATCCACATGTGTTTGTTTTTGGGATCGCGCTTCTTTCTTTTTCCTCGCCCCAGTATTTGAAAGTAACCAGAACTTTCAAACTATCTACCTCAGGCGGTACCCTGTTTATATTGTTTATGTCTCCCCCACCTTTTCTTGCGGAGCATTATATCTTCCTATCTCCCGGGCGGACCCGGACCGGTGGGTGGTAAAGGATACAGAAAAAACGGAGTTCGTCAGGTGTGTTTCTGTTTATTTTCTCTCCCATCTCATGTTCTACTTACTAGTCAAGAACATGAGAGAACAAAAAGCAAATACTAAAGGAATGTTCTTTTCACTCTCCCCTGGGACTACTCATACTCTCAAAAAGAAAACCGGGCGTCTTCCAAATTCTACCCGCGCCAGTTTTTCTTTTTTTGTGTCTTCTTTTCTAGCTAGATTTCCGTCATTTATACCTTCCAAGTCTAGCTGTGTGGAAATCAAATCACGTCCAAGTCCCATCGATTTTGTCTTTCCCCGTGCACTACGCACGTTAAGCGTAGACTAGGCCTTCTATAAACATACTTAAGGTCAGATGGAGATTATCTATCTGGTCGACTCTTTTTTTTTAAGTAGCAGTCGGTCGAAGTTGGATTCTTTTTTCACGCTTTGCGCAATACTTCACTTCCCTTGGCAACTTTGCGTTTTAGAGAAGTATCCGTATAAGAAGAGAAATAAATGCTAGGTCCGCGGGAAATCAAGCAGCAGAGTTATACCACCGGTTATGTACTTAAATACAGCGTTGACTCGTCTCAAGTAGAAAAAAAGCAAATCATTCAAGTAATTCTTCGTGGATATATGAATTATTCTTTGGATAGCCAACCTAAGACACTGTATCGACGGCCGCCCATCAATAAAGGGGGGGGGAAGGCGCCTCGGCAATGGAAACGCAAGATATCAGACACACACAAGAGGAAAAGAAAAAAGGAACCGGTTACGCCATCCATATATGAAGGTAAGGTAGGAGGATGAGAGAGCAGGTACTTTGAGAACTGGGCTCAATAGTACAGGGAGAAGCGAATGGATGGCCAAAAAGGGGATTTCGGAAAAGGCATTCGGCTGGTTGTGGGATGGTGTGAGTTTGTGATATGTAGTGAGGATGATTTAACCCATGGCCATTTCTGCACGAAGTTTCTCGAGTTCTGCTTCCTCGTCCTCCTCCTCTTCTTGTTTTGCCTTGCCTTTGACTAGAGACGTGAGGTTAGATTCACATTGAATGTATAGACGGTGCACGTAATATGGAAGGAGTGTTGACTCACGCTCTCCGTTTGCCGCAGCAGGTAGTCTGTCGAGCTGATCTGTAACCGGGACAGTTCCCGTCTTGAGCATCCGCTCGTCCATTGCCTCCTGCTCCAGACCCTCCAGTTCGGCCTCGAGCTCGTCCTCGTCGGGCTGTTCGCCAAGTGGGTTGTTCGTGATAGCCGAAGCAATTTCTTGGCTGAGCTGGTGTTGTTCGCGGAGGGCATCCCTGTAGGAACGAGTTGATGTGTTAGCAAGGACCGATCACTCTCGGAGATATAGAAAGCGAGGCGAATATATCCTGACTGCAGAAAACGTACATAGTCTCGTCGACCTTGTCGATCGTGAGGTTGCCATGAATCTGCGCCATGGCAGCGCCCGCCTGCTTCATCGCGTTCAGAGTCTCCTGGTTGATATTTGCCGCTTCGATAGAGTAGATCTGTTGCTCTAACTGGGCGATCTGTGCACTCGTCTGTTCGAGATTCTTCTCATGGACCTTCTTCCGTCGCAGGGCAGTTTTGGCAGCTATGCAAGAAATCCTCAATCTATCAGCCTAACGTTTGCTCCCTCGCATGTTACCAGACATAGTCCGCAACTAACAATGAAATTATGGTAACTGTAAGTAGTAGATATCGAGGTTCCCTGACTTGCTACAAGATTCAAACATGCGGGTGTGATAGTCGACACGAATCACAGTAACATACCGTTCTTATTCTTCGAGATATTTTCCCTAGCAATCGCTTCCTGATCTGCCATCTGACTCTCCAGATACTTCTCCCTCTTCTGCAGCATATCCAACTGCTCTCGCAGCAGCAGGATGGCGTTCTTTGGCGCATCCTTTCTCTTCTGGGCTGACTGCCCACCGAACCAGCCCCACATCCTGACTGTTTTTGACAATGACAGAAATCGGAATAAATAATCGAGGGATAGGTTTTAAGATAGAGACTCCGACCTCAAAGCGGTTGCCTAGGGCCCTTCTGGACTTCCGCTAGGAGGGGAACCGCAGACAGGTGACTTCAGATAGCGGTCAGGCGGCAGGATAAACAGCCGTAGTTCAGCAAGAGACCGTGCGTAACAGTTCCCGAAGGACCGTTGATAAGTTAAACAGCGGCGAGAGAAGAAAGGAGCAAGTAAAACAGCGTAAGATCAACGGGATTTTCTGGAGATAGACAGAAGCCGAGCGAAAGATGGGCTTGCTTTCCCCTCTGTCCCTATGACATACGCGCTAAACCGATCGGAGAAGGAGCATCACGTGCCATCAAGTCTAACTAAACATCCCCGCCTGGAAGATCCTATCTCGGATTTTATCGACAGACGCGCTGGCTGCTACAAGGTCAATGAACCCTTCGACAGTACGCAGCTGAAATGACCAGAATGACTCGTTGAGTCTCATGGCGTCTTTTCTACGCTTGGCGGGATGAACGGCCCCATTCCCACCACCAGGGTATTTCTTTCGGAGATCGGATCTCTGCCACTCCACGCCAAAGTCCGCTTCCTGGGTTGGTACGTAAATAAAAACAAAACCAGTCAGAGTCCGCTAGAAGCAGAGATATTTCATCTCATAGATGCACGTATTTTCCTCAAGATATATCTACTGATAATAGTCACCACAGCGTAAGGAAATACGATGTCTCAACTGGCCATCTGATCCTCGAACACAATTATCCTCGAGCTCGAGGTCAAAATGAACCCGCAGCGGTTCGTGTCGACATCAATGTAATACTCGAGAACATGAAAGCAGATTATCTCAGAGTAGGGACGTGGCTGAATGTCCTTGGTTACGTGCGGGAGTCTCCGCAGGAAGAAAAGCAGATGCCTGTTACAGATTCCAGCTTGAGATCTGTATATATCGAAGCCATCATGATCATTCCCGCGGGAGCTGTGCGGGTAGGAGAGTATGAGCGCATCTTGCAAGATGTTCGTGAGATCAACCAAAGGGTCAAGCGACCAGCTCACGGTGTTTCTGGTTCCCATAGAGGTTAGGGGTGGCACAATGACATTATTGGTGCATTTTTATTGTATTATATAGAGATATTTCTCCAATAATACCTGAACAGCTATTTGGTATTTCTTCTGCTGTGATATTTTATGATTAACAAAGATGTATAATTCAGACCATCCCACATGTCTACTTCGCAATTGCCAAAAAATGAATCAGTCCCCGACGCCTTCTCTATGACCACAGCTTTCGTTCCTTATCAGAGACGACCAAACTAGCCTGAGTACAAAAAGTATCCATGCGTGATGCGTAATTTTTTATACTTCCTCTCGCTTTTGTGCTTCCCTCAGCTCTGCTGCAGCTTCCTGGTCTCTTCTCAATTGACGCTTCCCTTCGAGCTTCTTCTTATCGTCTTGCATCATCTGGATGAGAGTGCTCTTTTGGCGGATCTTGTAGCCATACTTGTAAAAGATGATAGGGATCGGAATGATAGCCACCTCCATCAACCCTAGCAAAGTTCCGGCCCAATTAGCCCCCAGACTGGCGTACATGTAGGGACCCGCGAGGGGAAGAACGCCTCCTAGGATGCTACGGATAACAGCGTTACCGGCCAGAGCTGATGCGGCATAGATACCGTAGCTGTGAGTCAGGTAGTTTGTCGCGTAGATAAAAACACCAGTATTTCCTGCTCCGAACGGCACGCCCGCAAGAATGGGCACTACCCAGTGGATGGAGGCTGGCGAACAGGTCCAGGCAAACCAGAGTTCGCCGATGGGGATGAAGACAGCTGCTATACAGACAAATGAAACCATTGCTTCCGGTGGAACCCTCCCCGTCTCCGGATCGACCTTGTGGCGGTTGATGAGACGGCGTATCAATGGCTCGCAGACAATGGTGAGGATGGAACCAACGCCAATTCCAATAAACGCCAGTCCCGACAAGCCAACAGACCAACCCCGAATTTCCCGGAAGACAATTGGATAAGCCACAAAGCAGAGATAGAGAATGGCGTATACAATGGCGATATAGATGTTCCAGAAGATGCTGGAGAAGGAGCATATCAGTAAGATATCCAACAATGCGGAATTGGCAAGACGTACCAGATCGGCTCAACAACCGCCATTATGAACGGTCTGGTCAGATTAATCTTCAAAACCTCACTCAATGCCACTTTTTGGTCGTATCGACTCCACCATCGCGGATCGTCCGTCTCCTTACGAATCCGTGCAGCTTTGCGCTGAAGTAGGACCGGAGTATATGTCTCCTTCATAATACACGAAAACATCAACGCAACTCCCGTCATCATCATGACAATCCAATCCGTCCACCTCCAGCCGAGGTACTGGGTAACAAAACCACCAATGATTGGACCGAAAACTGCGTGTTCGTCAGCTATTAATGAATGTATTGCTCTGTGTCAACATATCTTCATACCAGGTCCATTCAGTGGTCCAAGACTCCAGACGGAGAAGGCCAATGCTCTATGTTCATCGTCCACAATGTCTGCCAACGTCCCAGGTGCGCTAGCAATCATCGCACTCCCTGCAAATGCCCCGATCAATCGCACAACAAGAAGTTCCGCCACTGATGTAGCCAGCGCCGCAGGTATAATCAGGACTAGCATCAGGAACATGCAGATGACTGATATTGGCTTTCGACCATACGTCTCACTCAGGGGAGCGATGATAACAGAGCCGACCGCAAGGCCGATCAAATAAAGGGTCAATCCAAGAGTCACTACGGTTTGAGAAGCGTTCAAGTCGGAAGCAATGTTGGCTATCCCCGCAGTATAGGAGGTCGAATATAGAACACTGTAAAGCCAGAATTCACGTTAGCAGACGAGCTTCGCATTATGGCCCTGAGGGAGACCGACACTATAAATGTGTTCCAAGATAAGAAGCCCACCATCATACTCCTGTACGCCAACGACCAGTTCCGAGGATTTGCAGGATCGTCTTCATCCTCCCAGTCGACCTCGAAGTTGGGATCCGTAGTACCTGCGGTGCCGACAGAGGTCACCTTCTGTCTTAGTGATGGTTGCGAGGCCCGGGAAATCTGTGGTGTGAGCGCTTTCTCATAGTTGTGCGCGATATCTAAACTGTTTCTCGATACACTCTCGATTGTCGAATTCTCCGAACGTTGTATGTGTACTTCTTCCACCCATTTTCCAGGCTCAGAAGAGTCTTGCCCCGAAGACGACGACATCGAGAAGACACCTAAAGCACAGCGCACAGTAACTGGGCTGTCGGTTCTTCCAAGGCGCTCGAGACCCTGCAGCAGCGTGCCTTGAACGTTAAGGACTATGCGCAGTCCGTCTGATGATTCGGTACAAGGACCTACGCATAACAGTTCGGGCGTGTATATAGCTCGCGCTGGAAATTTGAGTCAAAGGTACAAAAGATTGACCTCCAGACTGTGGCAGGTCCAGCTGAGAAATAATGTGGTGGGCACCATTGGGACCCATTTATTATAGCAGCGCCGATTTCACCAGCCGACTTATCAATCGTCGATCAGAACCTACACGGCAATGGAAAAGAACTGTGCCTGGACATCCTCCTACACCGAGGTTAGTGCCCAGTCGTGGGGGCCTCGCCGATATGGATCTGCCACCAAAGTCGCTACAGGGCATCACTCAAGCTTGCTTTATGAAGTGACAGGCAGCCGTATATCAATCAAAGGACTTATGCCCTCTCGGTAGGAAGGATCGTGCTTTTCCGAGTACTTTCTCAAACAAACACTCTCTCCACGTCTAGGGTTTGTTTCTCTACCCGCAGACTTGCAGTATCGGTATCAATTCCCCGGGAAGAGAAAATAATGTTTGTCCCGATAGCGGGGTTGATAGGCCCCGAGAGTAAAGTCGGCCAATAGAGACGGAAGCGCAAGACGCCATGGTCCACTGAATATTGGGCTCTCCCAACTCTCTCCCCGCAGCCGAAGGGGAGTATCACTCCGTATTATGGCCATTATTGATCGCGCCAGCCTCTTGGAGCATCTAACAAAGCTCCACGGTCCCAGGATCGCGTAGGAAATCCGACCTGAATGGACCATGAGACCCATTCGATGACTGATCTATGAGACCATGGAGAAGACTATCTGAAGAGTGTGTGGTGGAAGGAGTTGAATCCCTACTGGTTTATGAGCAGCCAAGATCATAGCAGAACCGAGAGCGTGCCGGTTTGCCGGTCGTTCGGGGAATACGAAAGCCAGTTGGAAGAGGGGTTTGACCGGGCGGTTGAAGTGAGTCCCTGGATAGATAGATTCTCTTGACCTCCGCCATGGAGATCGTTAGGCTTCAGTCGGTGAAGTGATCCTGCGCCAAGGTTAGCGGTGGGTGAGATTTTGATAAGACCGGGGTGAAAAGGCGATTACGAGACCAACCATCTCGATGTATGCATGATTGAGACAATCTTAATCAATTCAAATGACAGAAGAGCTGATGGATAATAGAGAGCATTGCTGATGATTGATGATGGAGGTAGGAGCATACAGCCATAGTGTACAGTAAATACCACACCCCCATGTTTTCCCGCAACCCACATGGGCGGTCCAGACGATTCTTCCCACATTTTGAACGTCTTCCACCAGGAGTAGGTCTTCTACCGGTACAAGCCTCGCCTAAAAACTTGGCTTTTTCCTGACCTTCCTTTTACCACCAAAAGCAATTACTAAGGTACTCGAGTTAACATTTCATAGCATAACATCAAATGACTGAAAGAGAATATCCATATCTACTACCTGCGTACTTCGCGAAACTCAGCTCCATACGATATCCCCGTTCGTGACTCGCATATTGATCAATTCTAATCCTTATCGCCAGCCTGTCGCCTTCCCACCCCCACCCCCCTCTATAGACCGACGAACATGGTCGCACTTGGCCGTCTCTTCTGGAAAATTGAGTTCCTATTTGGACGTACGACCGAAGGGTCTAAAAAAGAACGGCAAAAAAAAAAGACTCAAAAACACCCGCTCGCGCGGTACTCGGACGATTTCTATCATTGACGGAGTAAAACGGCGAGACGATTATCCTGTTCCTGTCCCCGGATGGAAATGGAATTTGTCCCGTGCAAAGAAGCTATTTCATTTGCTAGGAGTACCAAGAGCGCGACGCGCTAGTCGAACGAGAACTGAATGTGAGTCAATGCAAGTTGAAGGTAAATCCGTACAACTTTCAAATTATGGATTCTGCGACAGCCCTAGCCGCGGATATCTAAATACTTAGTTGAATAACGCCGAGTGGTAGGGGAAATTCGGAAGAATCAGTAATGGGATTAGTATGTATTTTGTCGGCGCACAAAGCGAACGCCAGGTAATCTGTCAATGATCCGTTTGCAGCATGTCCTTTGAATCTTGATAGGATAGAACTACTACATCACAAGATTCTTTGTATGCTATGGATATAACTATCGGTTCAACCCTCCAAAAGCCCTTAGAACTAGAAGCAAGCAAGCAATTCAAGCAGCTTAGATATATCAGCTAGGTGGTTCAAATCAGACCTTGCTTTCGTGCCATTTATGAAGCGACAAATTTCTCACCCGGCAAATATATTTGACTTGTGAATATTATACGATAGCTTCCTCAGATACTAACTGAAGAGATTATGAATGTAGACATCCCCGGCTGCACTTACAATAGCTCTAACTACGAAGATGTCGAGCTTATAGAAAGGCTACCACTACTCTAGAACGCACTTGAATGCTCGTAAATCAAAAAACATAATTTCATTTCACGTCGTTGCTTATAGATCATTGATATATAGCCCCTGAGGATGTTTACCACTCGGGCGTACCATTCAGAAAGCCGTGCTATCGAGCCTCAAGCTCAAGAATGCATGATTGCAACAGCGATCGAAAATGTTCGGGGAAGTAGTGATGATGAGCCAGCAAAAACAACGATTACCTCCCGAAGAATAACGAAATAGCTCCCACTTAGGGGAGTCTTGCGTGCTAGGGCCAACACTTCACGGAAGAGAGAGCCGTGGAGAGAGAGGGACAAAAGAGCACATTTTTCTTGCCTTTCGAGAGAGTCCTTCAATTCTCTTACCCTTGTTTGCTCGTGCGTTTGTACTTTGGGGATTTTGTCTGGTCATGAATTCCCCTATTGCAAGCTTCGATGCTTACAGACGAGCAAGGTTGACAACCTCGCCTGGAGCGTGGTATGTTGGGACCTTCATGTCTAGGGCCGAGCCGGAGTAGCCAAGGTCCTCTGCTGTCAGGACGGCACACTTTTCGCCGATCAAGAGGGCAGTCTGCAGGGTGGTTAATAAGAGACCTCTAAGTACGAGTCGGATGATACACCAGGGTAAGACTTACGCTGAAGGTGTTGCAGCCAACGTTGTCAGGGCAGATTGACAAGTCGGAGACCTTCAGGCCTTTGACGCCGTGAACGTTCAGGCGCTCATCGAGCACACCGTGCTTGACGATGGAGTTACCCTCTCTGGGGGCCATGCTGCAAGTACCCAGGCAGTGCCAGGTGGTCTCAACGTGGCGTTCGACTGTAGATAAGTTAGACAATGGCTGCTATGACAACAGTCTGGGAGACAACTGGTTGATACTCACCCCACTTCTCGATGTGCTCAATGTCCTGCTTGGTGTACTTGAGCGGCTCACGGGTCTCCTGCTTGTTGGAGTTCAAGAAGTTGGCAGCAGGGCTCTTGCCAGGCTCCAGAGGATGAGACCAGGATCCTAGGACGTGGTCAGGATCGACACTTCACCAAAGATAATATTAATCCAGTGTCACTTACCATGCTGGATGTTAGCGCTGAGGTGGAGCGGGCCAGCGTAGGCATTCGTGGTAGCAAGGTCCAGGTCGAAGGCACGGGCAGGCGAGTCGTAGGCGAAGTGAGGGTGCATAGCAGTGACTTCACCGGCGTAGGAAGCCATGCGGCGAGCAGTCTCACGAGACTTGATGTAACCCCAGACCATAGGAGCCATATCACGCTTGTCGTTCATGAAACCGGCATCGAAGTCGGGAGCCTCGTATGGGTCGGGAGACTTGACGTGGATCCAGCCACGAGAGAATGGGTATTCCTATTGATCTGTCAGAAGGGTGCTGCGTAGATGATAGATAGAACCTACTCACCAAGAAGTGGAACATGGTGAAGAACTTGCCAGGGGGCATGAGCATGTGGTCACCGAACCATCTGTATTGATATTAGCAACCGATCAAAACAGGCATTAAGCCTTGGTGTACTTACCCAGAGATCACAGAGTAGTGCATGACAGGCTTGTCGGGCTTGTTCTTGAAGTAGGTATCCCATCCGCTCTGGAATTCAGGGGTTGGCCAGTTTCTCATTTCTGCCAGCTCCTCCTCAGTCGGGCGGATCTTCACACCAGCCTCAATACCGTTAGTGGAAAGGGGACCGGTGCCCTTGATGTTCCATTCATCATAGACTTTCTTCTGGACCTCAGGATCGCCGCGGATAAAGTCGTCGAATGACTCAACTTCAGGCTTGGCCCTGTAGACGGAGAAGGTGAGGTAGTGGTCCTGGAAGTTACGACCAACGCCAGGGAGGTCCACAATGGGCTTGATGCCGGCCTGGCGGAGCTTCTCGGGGTCACCAACACCAGAGCGCTGGAGGATCAACGGAGAGCTGAGTGTGCCTCCGCTGACGATAATCTGCTTGCGAGCACGGTAGATCTTGCGCTCCGGGTTGGCGCCATTGAGAGGCTTGGTCGGGACGGTGGCAACACCGACAGCCCTGCCGTTCTCGATGATGACTTTGTCCACCTTGGTACTGGTCTTCAAGTGAAGGTTGTCGAACTTGGAGCGGGTGCTGTGGACGTAGGCGTGGGCAGCATCACTGCGACGACCAGTGTCCCGGTTGATCCACTTGAGCCAGTGCTCAGCACCATGGCTATCAATTTGTCAATAACATTGCCCTTAAATTATATCAACCAGTGTGCCTTACCCGGTCTTCAGATCTTGAAGGTCGTCCGTAACAGGGATGCCCTGGGACTCCGCCGCTCTCAGGAAGTCCTGCATGATCGGATATGTGTAGTTTCCAAAGGAAACCTTGATCGGGCCCTCAAATCCATGTAGGTCCCTGTTGTTGCAGGCCCTCTGGTAAGTCTCATGCTTCTTCATGAGGGGGATCAGCTCCTTTGTGGTCCATCCCTTCGCCTGGAAGTCATCGTAGTCGGATGCAGAGGCTCGAGTGTACATCTACAAGCACACAATGCCATCAGTATCTTTAATCCCAGGGGACGTGGTTCCGGAAATCTGGACATACCATGAAGTTGATGGAGCTACCACCACCCAAGATGTGGGCACAGGGGACAATGGCTCGTCGGCCATCCAGCCATTTAGAGGGGCGCGAGTAGTAAAATGAAGCGGTTTTGGAGTCCAGCTTCATGTTACGCGGGTAGATACCCGGACGGTAAACCCTTTCACAAACTGTCAGCAACGGTACACAATCTTCAATGCTTCCGCTGTTGGTTTTGCGCTTACCATGGGTTGTTGAGATTGTCTTCACCTGCCTCGATCAAGAGGACCTGGAGGTTGTGATCGAGGTTGGCAAGTCTGCCAGCGGGAACACAGCCGGAGCTGCCTCCACCGCAGATGATAATATCAACCTCGTCAGGGATAGTCATTGTGACTGTGATTTCTAGATGGCTTCAATTGCAATGGAAGGAGTCTGTCTATCACAACGAACTCCAAAACTCTGGTGTGAGACAACAAACTGGTTGGGATCGGGGTCGAGCAAGGGGATTATATACTTGAGGTTCTCAACCCCGCATATCTACAATATCGAGAGAGCTACCCCTGTTGGGGAATACTGCTTTCAAGATCATCCCAGTTACCATCAACCAGGTTTGTGTAGAAGTCAAACCCCCGCAAATGGACCCCCACTCAATCTATGATCTGCCATATGTCGATGGCTAGAGATGTGGACTGGGATACATTGCCGCCGGGAGATGGTTGGGGATGCATGAAAAACTACAGCGAGGCTGATATTTCTCGATGGTGAATGGTCAAACAGCACGCTGGAGACCAGAACGATCTCCGCATCAGCTTCATTCTCTCCGCATTCTAGAGACGGCATAAAGCACAGCACATGGACGCTTTGATTTTCAACAAGCTCTGCTAATCTGGAAAAGTGGCACGGTGCTAACTCGCACAGGAATGGATTCACTCTCAGCTGCTACAATGACCTCTCTTTCCTGCAACTCCGCTCGGGCCAGACATCTGCCCAAAGTTTCGGCACACCCTCCCGAGCCCTGACATATCACTGGCACAAAATAACCAGAGTGAGCAACTGTGGTGAAGAGCCGATGGATGGAGGAGCTACAGGGCGGCGGTGAGCACACGCCCATACCAGTAGGGATTGGAACGACATAAGCCAGCAGACACGATTAACCGCGAGAAGATATCGAGCAGCGGATGAGGAGAAGCTTCAAAGATGATAATTACTATCCAGACACATTGACCAAAGAGAGCCAAGGAGCTTGCGTGGCTGCCATCGTAGCGGCAGGGAGGAGGCAGAACGAGAGGTTGGAGACATGGTTCGGCCAGAATGCTGTTCGCCCGCGAGCCCCCGTGAGACATACCACAGACGACGTACCATAAGTACAAGCCAGCTCAGACGAAGTCGATTATTGTTTGAAATTTGGATGGACCAGTGGGGCGTGCCCCGGATCTAACGAGCGGAGGTGCAGTGCGGGGAAGCGCCAACCTTTTTCCATCTTTAAACAGTCGCCCCGCAAAAGAACTATTGATATCTCCCCCGGCTGTCTATCCGCGCGATGCCGTTGCAGACGCTACAGCTCCCAGTGAGACCATCGACATCATAATCGGCTAGATCTGCTCCTCTCTGTCCGCCCTGGAGCGGATAGTGCCCGTGGCTACTGTCGTGGCCGAGTCCACCACGGGCGCTTCCCCAGAAAATCCTCAAGTAAATTCCATACCCCAGAGGATCGGCATACAAACTGCTCCGTGCTAGCTGAACGGCATTTGTCGCAGCTTGGTTGGAGCTCTGCCGTCTGCTTGCGTTGATTGGACTGACCGCAACAACCCTACAGCAGCGCACATCGCATTCAGACCATTTTGTCCAGGCTATCTCGCACCGAAGGACCCAGGCCTATGATTATCCTCCCCGGCCATATCCGCCCCCCAGAGAACATGGGGCTGACAGGGTCCACCCTGCACTCTAGACTCATCACACATCCTGGGAATCAAGTGATCCGGAGAGATTTCATTGCGCATCGGCCGGCACATCCAGCCATCAAACGATGGGATCGCTACAACATCTTCCGCCGTGGAGCAACGCGCTTCTATCGTGACTGCTGCTGCGACAGCTGACGTCGCTGGTCCAGAATCTGCATTCGCAGACTCTCCGCAGCAAGCTCCACATCCAACACGGCGCCAACTCCGCGTCTCCAAGTTTCCTGCAACCCCACAAGCTCTCCCTTGCTAGCTTCTTGGGCCATCTTCCTCTGCTTATGGACGGACTCCACAGCAGCTCTGGTATCCGCCAATTCCTTTTCGACTCCTCGAAGTACCTCCTCCAATTGCGCATTGCCAATCAGCCATGCGTTCTTCCCATGCTCCTCTAGCAGAGTCAGGTTCTCATGTCTCATCGAGAGGTGCGAGCTGGAGGTATAGGCCCGTTGCAAGGTATCCCGCCATTCATCGAGCGCCTCTGAAACATCTTTTCCCGGTACGGAAGTCCCAGATGGAGGCTCAGGGGCTTCGTATCGTGAAAGGTCAATCCCGCCCGTCATTGGCAACCCGGCCTCTTTGCGGGCCAGCTCTTGCTGGATGAGAGGGGAGAAGCGTGGCTCTACCAAAGCGGGGATAGATGAGTGCAGGGTCGATTGATAGTCCGCGGGTAACTCTGCGGAGATGAGTTTTTCGGCTGCTGCGCGAGCTCCAGCATTGGGTTCGCCGTCGATGTCTGGGATCTACGATCAGTCCAATCTGCGCGACTCACGTGAGAGGGGAAGGAATGCATCAACTTACAGGGGAGAGAATCATGGGACTCGTTAATAAGCGACATCTTCGCAACAGCCGTGTCTGGATGAGGGAACGCAGGAAGAAAAAGGGTTTGCTGATCGCCAGAAAGTTTTGATGTCTTGTCTTGCCAGCGTCGAAATCAAGAACGCAATCGGGCGGTGAGGTTCTGCCACATCAGTTGATGACTAACCCGGAGACCGCCCGACAGGCAACGGCCGGATACTGCCGGTTCTGTCAGAAAGGCGGAGTCCATGACGATCGCTTGCTGAGATCAAGGATGATCTCAAGATAAACTACCTACTCTACACCGTAGCCTGGCGCTACTTGTTCGTTTAATAATCCTTCTGGACAAGCACATCATCTCAGTCGACCTCCCAACGGGTTTGGGAAAAGGGTCGCGTGAGACGGTGTATTTGCGCCAATAAAGGCCGAGGGTCTGCGAATTGGCCTGGCTTATGCCCTGCGCGGTAGCATTCACTATCTCTCAGTTTCCTATCATTGGATTTTTCGGGGGCGCTATAGTCCGGCAGCCCTTTACTAGTGGCTATCTAATTCACGTCTCCTGAGGTTCTGACAGGGAATACAGATGGCATGTGTTGGGCTATTGTTCATGCTGTATCTGAAACAACAGTGATTTTAAAGAAGAGCGGGGTCCGCCCAGTGGCAGCTTAGCTGCGCAAGAGGGCTTCAATTTGTCTTGGTAAACGGCAAAGAAGTGTATATAAGCACATACTAAACAACCATGGCGCGTTTTGGGCTTGTCGCTGCGCTGGCAGGGATATTTCTCGGTGCTCTCGCTCTGCTTCAGCTGATATCAATAGCCTGGGAAGGCCCGAAGTTGCCGCGTTTTGGATATGATTCCCATCGGGAAGGCAGAGAGAGCGGATTTGCATCTGATGATGGCGTATTTTTGCTGGGCGCTGGAAAAGCGGATATCACAGGGTAAGTTATTGACAGTTTAAGTGACATGACCCTGCTAAGTTCCGCGTCCAGGCCAGTTGTCGAAGTTGAGTTCGGCGGTTATGCGATGTTGGATCAGATCGGGACTGGCCTTCGACAGAGGACGTACTCCCGTGCCTTCATTGTTGCAAGCCCGGACAACCCAGAAGATACTTTCATCTATGTCGTTTTGGACGCTTTAGCTGGTGACACAGCTGTACGGAATGGGGTCTTGCAGGGCCTCGCAGACCTCGGCGGGGAATATGCTCGTTATGGGGAGCGTAACTTGGCACTAACAGGGACGCACTCGCATTCAGGACCAGGAGCTTGGTATAATTATCTCCTACCTCAGATCCCCAGTAAGGGTTTCAACAAAGAAAGCTATCAAGCGCTTGTAGATGGCGCACTATTGTCCATCCAACGAGCACATGAGACTTTAACCACAGGAAGGCTGTCGTTTGGATCCATTGACCTGGAAGATAGTAACATCAACAGGAGCCCTTATTCTTATCTGGCTAACCCGGAGGAAGAGAGAGCCCGCTATTCAGCTAACGTGGATAAGACGATGACTCTTCTGAGATTTGACCGAGAATCAGACAATAAGACCACTGCTGTTCTGACGTTCTTTCCTGTGCACGGGACATCTATGTACAACAACAACACTCTGGCTACGGGAGACAACAAGGGAGTTGCCGCATGGCTCTTCGAGAGAAGTGTTCGAAAAGACGCAAGGTTTGCGGATGGCTTCGTTGCTGGGTTCTCCCAATCGAATGTGGGTGATACATCGCCCAATATTCTGGGAGCATGGTGTGAAGATGGTTCGGGTCTCCCGTGTCGATTCGAAGATAGTACTTGTGGCGGCAAAACGGAACAGTGTCATGGACGTGGACCATTCTTCCGTGAAAAGGACGAAGGCGCGAAAAGTTGTTTCGAGATTGGACGACGACAATACGCAGCTGCCAAGGAACTCTACCAGCAGTTGGATTCGAATCCAACTCGAATTCTCGGTAGCTCTGCTGTTTCCTCCTTTCACGTCTACCAGGACATGGCAGGCTACACGTTCCCGTCGCCGTTCAACTCTAGTATACTCAAGACGTGTTCTGCGGCCCTGGGGTTCTCTTTTGCTGGGGGCACGACTGACGGACCGGGCGCATTCGATTTTACCCAAAACAATACTGGTCCAGCGGAGAAGAACCCCCTGTGGTACATTGCCCGTGGCGCAATCCATCAGCCGTCAAAAGAACAGCAAGAATGCCAAGCACCTAAGGACATCCTCCTAGATGTAGGAGACATTAGCGAGCCTTATGCATGGACTCCGAACATTGTTGATATTCAAGTGCTCCGTGTCGGGCAACTTTTTATCATCGTCTCTGCGAGTGAGGCGACGACGATGTCCGGTCGTCGGTGGAAGGAAGCTATTGCCAACAGTTCGAAAACCATCCTTTCAGTTACTGACCCCCTGGTGGTACTTGGAGCTCCGGCCAATTCTTATGCTCATTACGTCGCAACGGAAGAGGAATACGGCGTACAACGTTACGAGGGTGCATCTACCCTCTACGGGCCGAATGAGCTTGCAGCGTATATCAATCTAACATTGACGTACCTTCCATACCTGGGCAGCTTTTCTGAAGTGTCATCGCTACCAGCGATTCTTCCAGGGCCCAGTCCGCCTGTCAACACGAACCGCTCCCTTAGCTTTATCACTCCAGTGGTCTATGATAGTGCTCCAATTGGAAAGTCCTTTGGTGACGTCGTTTCCTCGCCTTCATCGGATGTGACATACGGTCCAGGGGATATTGTTAATGCAACGTTTGTCGGCGCCAATCCGCGGAACAATTTGCGCCTGGAATCCACCTTTGCAGCTGTCGAAATCAAGGATCCCGCCACTGGTTCGTGGCATGTGGTGCGCGATGATAGCGACTGGAACTTGCTGTATCGGTGGGAGCGAACCAGCACTGTTTTTGGAACCAGCGAAGTTACCTTGGAGTGGCAGATCGAAGACGACTACTACAGTGTCGACAGTCCGCAGGTCTTGCAGAGCGGCACGTATCGGATGCATTACTACGGTGATGCAAAGAATGCTGCCGGTAAGATTCGGTCATTTGAAGGAATCAGTGGCACTTTTGTGGTGTCCACCAGATCTTAGCTTTGTGATTTGGTACTATTTACAAGCGTGCTATATGGATGATATATACGAGACATTGTTTTTATTTGCTCTATCATTCGTTATATATTGGCTTGGGCGTCCCATCAGAACAACTTATGGACCTATATTCACGAGATACCTATTTGGCTACCTGGTTGGAGAAAATTTCATGCTCGAAGAGCGATACTTTTGTGACTATCCCAAAATATCCTTGGCTAAGCTTGAAGAGGTGTAGAGAGTGGGAAGCACGAACTTGACGAGAATAAGTCTTGTAATAACGCTGGGCTGTCAGTAGCGGCCTCCAGCCTCCAGCGACCAGGCGAGTTCTAAGAATAAGCGCTCTTAAGTTGGATCCTACGAACTAAAAAATATGACCAATTTATCAGTAGAGACGCCCTCAACTTTCGTGGTCTCCACTGTCCAAAAATATTCTTTATGGGCTTCAACGCTGGGCGGTTACACGAGAGGGTTGCGCCAATAAGCACGCGCACTGCCGGACGAGTCACCTGAAGCTGTAACAACACCTCAACAACGCTCTGCCTTTTGTCTCTCTTCTCGACGCACAGCAGCCAACCATCTGAGGCGTGTATGCAAGCTTAGAACATTAGTGCCTTGGATTGTTCTGGCCACCAGAGATGTCCCTCTTCCATGCCGCCTGCCACAGGCGACAGATGCAGTTCGCAGTGATCTAACTCTTATCTTTCTCCCAGGAAGCTTAAACAAAACGCAGGCCTCGCGCGCATTCATGAACCTCCAGGATGTCTTTGCTAACATTATATCCTCAGGAAATTCTTGCTGTATTCTTTCATTATCTATCCTTATCTGAGCTGGACGATTCTTCTTTCTTTAAGCGCCCCAGCTTCTTTGTTCCATATCGCAATAGCCGATCTAATTCATACCTTCAACGATAACTGCTCTCATTTCTGACGATCATTCTTACTTGAAACACTTAACTTTCCCTGTGTCTCAAAAATACATTCTGTCGAGATCAGCTTGTCTCGAACTGCCATAATGCACTTTATCCAGTGCCTTGCACTCATTCTTGTCTTTATCACCTCAAGCTCGGCCGGTCCGGTTGCTCATCTACTTCCACGACCAAGAGATTTCGGGTCTTACAATCAAACAGCATGGAAACCGAAAGCTACCTCTTCGTCTACTGCAATTGCCCTTCAGTTTCTTGCAAGTTCTAGTGCACAAGTGGGTCAAGATGGGGGTCGATCCTCCATTACTCCTACGCATAGTTCTAGTGTGCAACTCCGAGGCTCGTCGAACATTCCCAGTTCAACACCCGTGCGGACACTATCTGGAACAACAAGCAGGACATACAAAACTCATTCTACTTCGTCGTCATTGCTCAGTACGAGCACGCCTATTCTACAAATCATACCGGTGGAAGAGCCAACTTCCACTTTCTCATCTGCTCTTTCGCAGACTCCAAGCAGTACAAGTCTGACCGTTCAAATCATCCAGCCTCTGGGTTCTAGTGGGGTCGTCAGTCCTTCTTTGTCACTGCAATTCTCAAATCCTGTTAGCCGGACAGCTTCGCCCGTCGCATATCAGCCCGCTACAGGGGCTTCGGCAAGTTCATCAAGTGCGCGATCACCGGCCAGGACACCAACTTCCTCGAGATCGAGCTCACATGCTTATGTGCAGCCAACGTCTTCTATCTCCGCAAATAATGGTGATGGTCCTGCAGCAGAGGCAACTATTACACTTCCGGGCCTTGAGAACGGGACTAAGCCTGGTCCAAAACCAACACCCTCACCAACTACATTATCCACGTCTTCCGCTTCTTCGATCTCGAACAGCATATCTCCAAGCAGCCAATCTTCACAGACTCCTTCTGAGCCGACAATCGGGGTAGTAACCATACAGCCAACACCTGCTTCTCCCGCACCCTCTCCAGCAGATGGTGGTGAAAAGTCAAGCTCATCCTCATATACTCCGTCACCCACCAATTCCGTCACTGGGACAAAAGCAACGACTACAATCAACCCAGCGGATACGACTACTCAGACAGCAGCTCCGGCTTCTGGCACTCCATCAGTTGGAAACTCGAGCACCGGAGCAGCAAAAACAACAAGTCTCGAAGTTACAATTATCAAAACGACATCCACCCGTACTGTCTTGGTATATCCTTCGCCCACGACAAGTACCTCCCAGCAGCCTCCAGCTCCAGTCGCACAGCCAACCTCATCAAGCAAAAGCACAAGCACAAGCACTGTGGTTCCAGATGAAATATCCATAGTCCCCGTCACGCCAGGACTGCCCACTGTGACGGAAACAGTGACCGAGACAGTTACCGATAAAGTTCAAGTAACGGAAACAACGACCGTCACGACGACACTTACAGGATATTATTAATATGTATCTCTCCCGAGAAGTAAATATGATTTTTGGGTGTGTGGATATGGAGATAGAAACTAAATGGGACGATAATGATATTCCATTGTGCTTTTTAGTATCATTTTTCCTTATATTGTATTTTTATGCTGTAGATCTATGTAGTTGTTTGGAAGTCGTATGTCTGATTTCAATAAGAAGTCGATGGTAATGATGGAATTGAAAACCTTCAGTATTTGGATCAATAAGGCTATCTGGAGTACTGTTGTTACCTGATGAACGATATGATATCACTACGAGGAATCTCATTCCCCGGCCGAATTTTAAGAGCTATATGATAGTAACTGTTCATTTCTCATCGAATACACTAAGTACCAATGGGTTCGATGACGCTTCTGATAATAGCTACAGAGAGTTTTTTCCCTGTATATCTTTCTTCTTAATCTATCTTATAACTTCGGCCGTCTCTTTCATGAATGCATGTCATCACATCATTCCCCCAGATAAGAGATCCTAAGAAACAGATAATGCGTTCTATATATATATAAAAGAAGACAAAAGGTCTTATAACGCAGAAAGCACACCTCCCGCTTCTGCAAACTTCTTCTGATACTCCTTCAGGCTAGCCCATTGGCGAAGGTCCTCTTCTTCGCGGTCATGGTCGCTAACGTAGCTCATGGCTTTGTCTCCGGCGTAGAGACTTGCTCCGCTAGCGGGACTAGGAGTTTCAGGTGTGGTTACGGTTCCGGGACCGAGACGTTCGAGGCGCATTAGAGTGTCGATGAAGGCTTGGAGATAGGTCTCCGCTTCTTTGGTGGTGAGAGGCTGCGGGCCTGGTGTGGCGGCTTCGGGGGTTGTGCCGGCCTCTGCATCTGCGGAGACTTGAGGTAGATTGAGAAGGGTCGAGGCAACTTGGCGGACTTTGTGAGTCTGAGAGGATAGTTAGTTTTTGATGATCAAAGCTTCCAGACTGAGTAGAGGACATACGAAACTGGCACCGTTTGGTTCCATGTTCACCTCATTCACAGTCCTCAGTAAAGCCAAGAGGTCTTTTATGACAAGCGCTCGCTCCTCGGCCATCATCTTACCTATGTAATCGGTCCGGACATGTGCATCTTCTGCATGTACATCGGGTCCCCCGCCCTCCAACTTAACCGCTTGCGCGGCCGAGTCAGGCGATTGCTTCTCAGGGGTTGTTGCCTTTTGCATCGACCTGTAAACCGCGTAGAGACTCCAATATTTTTCAACAAGGTAAGAGCGGGTGCTCAGTTGACTGGCGTATATGTTTGCTTTCTGAATTTCATACTGGACCGCATACCGCGACTTGGCCCGTTCGTCGGCTGGTATATGCAGATCCTCTGATTTATGCCAGGCATCAATAGCAGCGTCACTGCGGTCTTGACGGAGTGCCAGCTCCTGTGGCACATTTACCACAGCAGCTTTTGCATTCTGCAAGCATTCCCAGATGGTCTTTCGCTGGCGCTCCCAGTCAAAGACTTGACCATTTCCGAATGCGACTTCCAGAGCGGAGAGCGAGTTATAAGAACTGAAAACTCTGACGTTGATATTGAATCCGGTAAGTTGCGACACAACTCCCGGAGGCTGCGATTCGACGTGTGTGGGGAAGATATATTCATCGTCAATCTCGAGGGGTAAAGGCGGATATCGATCAGTGGGAGTCTCGGGAGGGACATATATTCGCCCATCAGAAGATCCAAGTTGGTGCAGCGTCTGGTGACTGACTAGCGATACATAGAACAATCGCCGACCTAGCTCTTGTTGGATCATGTCCACTGGTTCATCTGGAATCCCGATAAATGAGTCCGGCGACGGATGAGAAGAACCAGACATTGGGCTCAAAGGTGCGGCACTGAGTGGACGCTTGAATAAGTCGTATACCCGTAATATCGTACTGCATTCGGCCAGATAAATCCGGGACTGATGCATGTCGTAGACATAGCCCGCGCACAGGCCGAGAAAATAGCTGATAGCTGCATCATAGACAGTTGCACTTTTATCCAGATAGCCGGGTCCACGGGCCTGGATAGCAACGTCATGGCATCTTTTCACCAACGCCGTCGAATTTGGAAAATCATTCTTTTCGATCTCTGTTGCGAGATGGAGCTTGGGTCTGCGAGGGAATGATGCGACCAACGTGCCTACCATGGAGGCCAGTAATGCCAGAAACGTCTTGTTGGTGACATCTTCTCTTCGATCAAATGCAGCCCGAAATGTAGGTTCATGAGGAACTGGAATTAAAGGATGTATATAAGTAAAATAGTCATCGACAAGAAGTCGCAATGTATGCATGGAGCAGATGGCTTCTGCTGAAGCGGCTGCCGGCGTAAACGGGAGATTCTTAGTCGGCGGAACTCCACTCTCCTGAGGAATTGGGTTCGTATTATCAAGAGGGTTAAACGGTGTCGCTGGCCCAAGATTTTGCTTCTTTAGAGCCTCCGCGTGCCTGTTAGGCGGACCTCGACGTCTGCTGGGCCTGACATACGTGCAAGGGATATCCAATGCTGCACATGATCGACATGGAGGCCCGCTCTCATCGCACTGGCCTCGAATATCAGCACCAGTAGCTCTGGGATTATCTTGACAATTGGAACATACTTTCACTTTGCGGATGCTACAGGCGTCACAGGCCTTGCGCAGCCTAGTTCGATTCTCCATTGGTCTCAGAATCGGTCATGGATTGTTCCTTTGGGATCATGATGCTCGTAACAGATAAACTTCGCATTGCGCAACTACATCCAATGCGCACCGAGATGGAAGATGGAGATGGGCGTTATTCTGCTTCCAGCCCGTGGCGTTCCGTTGAATCGGGTGATGGAGGATGGATCGCGGACCCGCGCGATCTCTGTATCAAAGTGCTATTAGTTAGCTGAGACGAAACACACGACGGTTAACTTAGCACCCCACTAGCTGAGAACGCCAACGCGCCAGAAGGAAATTAACAAAGTCGTTTGTGACGTTGGAAGCAGATGTTGAGGCAATACTCCGTCACGTGCAGTGAGATAACGTGTTCCAGCCGGAAATGAAGGCCGATCTCGCCGCACTGCTTGTGCTGCAACTCATAGATTGAGCTGTGCAAATGAAAGCCAAATACGAAGAATTCGTCTACTAGTATTCTCCTCTGAACCTACTCCAGGTACAGTATATTGACCCACTCACTGTCTCGAGCATTATTCTATCTGCAAGACCCTTCGTAAGAGGAATATCTTCATCGCTAACATCGAGATATACAGCACGTATTATATATGCGATGCTATTACATTAGTCTCCGGCTTATTCATGAACTGACAGCGCAGTAACATATCTTCAGCACAATCTTCGCGACGTTTGCAATGGGAAGACGTGAAAACACGAAAGCCAGATGATTGATAGCCAGTAGAATCCATCCACGTTCATACCGTTTGGTCATGGTACTCGGGCTCCGGTCTTTGAGAGCGTTCGAGAGCGGTCCTCCTTTTTCCTTCGAGCTCAGCTGCCCACAGAGCCGAACCGGCGGCTGATGTCATCAAGAAGAGCATGGAGAACATGGGAACGAGCTGAAGAATCAAGGCCACTGTCCCAAAGCTAAAAAGACAAAACCAGGTATGTTAGTACTGGATGGCAATGACTCGACACACAAAGCCGAACTTACCATGTATATTGCAGCTGCCGCTTGCGAACGTATGCTTTCCTCTCTTTCTTCGAAAGGTCCAAGAGTTGAAAATACCTCCAATGGTGAAAAGGACCGGCTCTATATCCCGTCAAAATAAGGAAGATGGGCGTTCCTGCCACGGGAATAAAGTTAAGCGGCAGAAAGATGATGAACTCAATGATCTGTCGGATAGAGAATGGCGAGTACTCCGCTTTTTTGGTAGGCTTTCCGAGTCTTTTCACCGGCGTATCCCCATCTGGATAGATGACTCGGGAATTGTTGACAAGCTCTTCGTAGCCCTTTGCGAAGAGTACCGCATCGAAGATGTCGACCAATGTCTCGTCGACGAAGAATGCCTCGAAGAGAGCAGCAACGAGGGCAGCACCCTCTCCTAGAACAAGAAACGCACCGCTCACCCAAGCGCTGGAACCTTGGAATATCGCCAGGAAAGCAACCTGCGGTAGGTATGTGAAGAAGAAGAGAATGGTGTAGATAAAAGCGGACAGCAGGACAATCGGGATGAGGCGTGCGCGGAACAACGGCCAGAGGAACCGGTGAGTTGCGAAGTAGAATATACCCTGGGAGGAGAATACATCGTCAGCACCATATGAAAACAATAAACACAAGGAATCAAGGCATATTCAATATGCGTCTGCAGAATGTCGGTGCCTACCAGGAAAGGATATAGCCAGGCTGCCCTGGAGGTGTCCAGGACTACTCTTGGCATGGTTGCTGGTCACAGACTGCAAAATTCCATATCCTATAATATACGGTAGTTGCCCAGAAACAACTTCAGAGGGATCGAGGTCAGGTTGTCCTGGAGTAAGAATGATAATATCCTGAGACGCTCCGGAATTGAAACTCGGGACGTCATGCGGCCGCCAAGCCCCTTATCGATAGGCGCCGCGGCTCGCTATAAAAGCCACAAATTTTCGCCCAGCATTGACCTTTTTCTTTCCTCATACATAAAACTACCCCCTTCATATTCACTCTGAGATCCTACTAGCTCCATGGATTACTTGGAGGGGAAACTGGAGGGGAGAGCGAGCCATGACGCTGGTGACTTACCCCGAAACTTCCTATGCTTACATGGAGGCCTTTGGAAATATTTGCAGCGATACATCTCTTCTTCTACGACACCGACGATCCGGTTATGAGCGAGGAATCATAGGTCCTGTTATGCCTAGGGCATTTACTGTCTGCTGTACATTACGTGCGGAAGAGATTGTCAGTTGGCATGCTTGTCGATGATGCCTACAATCTCCTCCAGACTGTGGACAATAGCGGTCGGCTGTAATTCTGGAACGGCTCCATCCATCCATCCTCGGCCAGCGCGGTCGACCCAAATGGCCTTCATCCCACTACCTCTAGAACCGACAATATCGAACGGATTGCCACTGATGAGCCACATGTCGCCCATCTGGGATGCGTCCTTGCCCATCTTCTTTGCTAGATGGGCATATGTGGCTGGCGCCGGCTTGTATTTCTTAACATCATCGACAGTGATGATGTCGCGGAAGACGTCGGCTTTGGGAGACAAGTCCTTGGAACGTAGCACTGAGTTTGACACCATCGACTGTGTTCCATTAGAGAAGACAACCGGCGTGATGTTTGGTTTAGATGCGAGTTTGGTCAGAGCCGGAATCACATCGGGGAACGTAGACAAGAAATCGTAAGCCGCCATGAGCTCTCCGATAGCCTTCTCATCGCACTGAGCGCCGTTTTCCGCCAAGGCATGCAATAACGAATTGCGCGTGATGTTCGAGAAGGTATCGAATTGGTCTAGAGTACAGAACCATCAGCCCATACATTCGCTAAAAAAAACAGCGCGGAGACGCGGAACGGGGATCCAACCCATGCTATTAAGTCTCCATGTGTATTCCAGTTGGTATCGCCTCCATGCCGTGGCTATGCTTTGGGCTTTCTCCTGGCCGAAGTGTTCTGCTAATTGCTTTGCGATCGACTCTGTCGAGAGCAATGTCCCGTACAGGTCAAAAGCAACGATAATCTGCTTGTGAGACATCGTGGCAGTAAGATAATGGGCAATTTCTTTTTCACCGGTCAGGGCTCAGGAGAGATGGCAAAAGATATCGGAAGAAGGTGAAAGAGGCGACTCTGTACCTGGCAATGATGTCAAATCTTTGTCCCGTCGGAGTAGTTGAAAAGCGGGGTCATCCGGCTGCGATGATCATGATATATGAATATATCCTTTCCACGCGGAGCTGAACATCCCCAGAGAACCCTGCGACTGGAAGCGCACACTCCCCCATGAGTCTCCACGGCGACGGTGGGAGCAATTACGAAGTATTCAGGGAGTGTGTCTCAGGGGCCATTGTCGCCAAGTCGGAGACGAAGCCCGACAAAGCCTCTAAAAAGAGAGCTCAGAAGACAAAGCGTGGTTCGAAGAGAAGCGCTGCTGATCAGGCAGTCGTAGCTGACAGAGCTAACCCCGAGGAATTAGCTGATTTCATTGATGTACGTATATAAGCTCTTGAAGCTCAAATTAATCCTCTGGGGAGACAATAATGTAGCTGATACTGATAATCCATTACGGATTCCAGTTCATAGCATCAGAAGCATTCCCCTCTCTGCCGGACGAGCTGCAAACCCTCTCCTACTCCGCAATCCAACATGACAGTTCCCTGGCTAGTAAATACACAGTGCCTATCCCGCGCCCACTCCTCGATTCGGTAACGGCGGCAATACCTGTATCAGTTGCTGAATCCCTATCCGTCTACGGTCTCATACCCGACTCTTCAGACCTGCCCGACTTCTTCAACCCTGTCCTCAACGAGTACGTATCCGGTGTAACCACCGGACCACCCGCATGGGCTAGTACACGCGCAGATGCCTGCGAGATCTGCGAGAGGGACTGGATCCCGTTGTCATATCATCATCTGATACCGAGGAGTGTGCACGCGAAAGTGCTGAAGAAGGGTTGGCATGATGAGTGGATGCTGAATAGCGTCGCTTGGCTGTGTAGAGCTTGCCATAGCTTTGTGCATCGCATGGCGAGTAATGAAGAGTTGGCTAGGGAGTGGTTCACTGTTGATAGGATCTTGGAGAGGGAGGATGTACAGGAGTGGGCGAAATGGGTTGGAAAGGTGAGATGGAAGGCAAAGTAAGCCGATACCCTGGTCACCAAGCGACTCGGGGTTAGAAGTAAATTGTACGACGCCTCCTATAGAGGGCCAGAAATGTCTTTACTCGAAAGTAAACATGTGTATACGTTCTTGGATTTGTTTAATAGACATTATGTATCATTATGAACGATCATGAATTGGTTTCATAGTCATCTATATAGGGTCGTCGATCCTTAAAAAAGTGTATTGTACATGTATAAAGCTCTCGCCAGGAGCAGAGTAATCTAGTAATAGCACATCGGTAGAAGATTTTTTGCCCCATGTTTTAGCCCATCCAACCGGCTATGCAAGACGTAAGTGGCGCAGGTCGAAAACAGATAGAATGTAGATATGCCGAGTACAGCGAGAAACCACTAGAAAAATACTCATAGGTATCTCTTCTCGTAGATCTCATCGTAACACTGGACATGGTCACCGACAGCAAAGTCGGCCCAGCCCTCGAAGCCCATTCCGCACTCGGTATCTTTCCGCATCTCTACAACGTCCTTCTTCACGTTCTTGAGAGAGGCAAGAGAGCCTGTGATGAGGATCTTAGTAAAATACTCTCGTATAGAAAATCAAAGAATAAAAAGTTGAACTTACCATCGTAAATGATGTCCTGGCCTCTCAACACCCTGACTTTCTTGTTCCTGTTGATAGTGCCATTACGAACCTTACATCCCGCGATGGCACTTGTCTCACGTCCCTTAATGGTGATATCAAAGATCTGGGAAATTTCTGCTTCGCCGGTCACGCGACGGGAAACAGTTGGGGGCAGGTGCTCGCTGAGTTCCGCCTTGACGGCATCAATCAACTCGTAAATAATGTTGTGGTCCAGGATTTTCACTCCGTTACTCTCAGCCATGCGAGATATGGAGGGATCAACGGGGACGTTGAAAGAGACAATATGACCATTTGCGGTCTGCGCGTGCTGAATATCGAATTCGGTTATTGTACCGACTCCGGAACGAAGCACGTGGGCGTAAACCTCATTGTTTCCAATTGCAGCAACAGAATTCATGACAGCTTCGACGGAGCCGGACACATCTGCTTTAACAATGAAGTGGATCGGTTTTGGCCCAGAGGATTCATCCGCTGCTGAAGGCGACTCGCCCTCCTCCTCGGCGGCTTCCCGGCGGCGCTTTTCCAGCATCTCACGACGGGACTCGTTGATAGCAGCCATGTCCTGGCCGAGTTTCTGGGTCTCAGACTTCTCCAGCCGGTACTCGATAACGTCCTTAGCCTTCTGCTCGTTGGGGGCCCCAAGAACCTCGCTACCTGCGGCTGGCTGTTCCTTCCAGCCGTCAATCTCAACTGGCATTCCGGGCGTAGCCTCCTTAATCTCGACGCCAGCCTCATTCTTCAAAGTGCGGACGCGAGTCCATGTCGTGCCCGCAACCAAAATATCCCCAGGGCGCAGAGTACCACGCCTAACAAGGACAGTTGCAACACGTCCGGAGCTTTTGGTTGTAGCCTCGATAACCCAGCCTTCCACGTTTCCGTCAACGTCAGCTCTGTGATCAAGCATCTCTGACAGGGTCACTATGGCTTCTTCCAGGTCAAGCATTCCCTGTCCAGTTTTACCGCTGACAGGGATGGCCTGGACATCGCCACCGTAGTCTTCAACGTCGACACTGTGACGTGCAAGGTCCTGTTTAACCAATTCCGGATTCACATTGTCCTTGTCGATCTTGTTAATGGCAACGATCATTGGGACCTTGGCATCTTTAGCGTGCTTAATAGCCTCGATGGTCTGAGGCTTGACGCTGTCGTCTGCAGCAACAACAAGCACGACGATGTCTGTCACATCGGCTCCACGGCGCCGCATATCCAGAAAGGCCGCGTGGCCGGGGGTATCCAGGAAAGTGATAACTTTGCCCGAAGGCATGGACACGGAGAAAGCACCAATATGCTGAGTGATCCCTCCATGCTCCGAGGCAGCGACCGAAGATTTCCGGAGCCAGTCAAGAATCGTGGTTTTGCCGTGATCGACATGTCCCATAATAGTGACGACCGGTGGTCGGGGAGGTAGGACACTCTTATCTTCTGGTTCAGGTGCAGCAGTAAGATCATCTTCGGATTTCTCAAAGATCGGTTCGAAGTTGAACTCAGTTGCCACTAAACCAGCGGTCTCAGCGTCCAGAATATGACTATAAGTAACGCCTTCGAATCCCATCTCTTCCATCCTTTGGACGAAAGTGGCTGGTCTAACACCGATCACATCAGCCAGGTTGCTGACGCTGATGAACTCAGGAAGATAGAGTGGACTTGGTGCTGCATCTGTTTGTTTTCGACGCGCCTTCTCTTTCTTCATTCGTTTCCGGTCCTCACGGCGGCGGCGACGAATGTTGTCCTCGTCGAACTCATCCTCCTCAAGCTCTGACTGACGCTGGTTACGTCTGGATCGTCGCTTGGACTCTTTTCGTGACTGCACATCTTCCTCAATATCGTCCGGGATCGAGAGCGGTATTCGTTTAGATTTCGTAGATTGTTTATCTGACTCCGTTACATCGGACTTCTCCTGCCATGTCTGGTCAACCGAATCATCGACCTTGGTCTTGGCCTTAGCTTCTGGCTCTGTCGAATCCCACGTCCTTGTTGTATCCTTCCTAGGGAGAGAGACCGGTACAGGGCGAACAGCGGAGAAATTGCCATTCTTCACGGCATGATCTCTAAATGCCTTCTCTCTCAATGTCAACTGATCCCAATCTGCCAACACGGACTGGCCTAGTTTCCTAATTTTCAACGACTGCTCAGTATTATCCTGCTTCTTGGACTTCGTCTGTTGCACGGGTCGAGGAGCGCTGCACGCCGGGCATGTGGTATATTTGCGAAAACAATGATACCTGCACTCCGGGCACTCCCAATCGCCATTCCACAATTTTCGCGTGGAATTTCCGTTATCTCGCTCGTTTCTGGTTGGTGTAGAAGTCCTATTTTGCTGTGGCCGTTGATCGTGGTGCATTCTGTGTTTCGAGATGAACGGTAAAAGTTTCTCTTTTTGATCCGACTTCTCGCTGTCCGTAGTGCGCTTAGCTCCTTGTGTCTCTTCATGAGTGTTCTTTCGTGTCTCCTGTGGCTCCTCCTTTCTACTCTGCGATAGCAGAGCATCTCGCTGTGCCTGTTCGCCTAAAGCCAGACCAGCAGGTTTATTTGCTTGTCTGCTGGCCCATCCACCACCCCATTTTGCCCGAGGGAACGATTCGCGTGGAGTTTCTTCTTCTTCCTTCACGACGGGGGCTGGATCAGATGCCTCGTTCCTGATTATTGAGGAGCGAAAACCTCGTCGTGAGCGCCATGTTGATGCAGCCGGAGATAAGCATCTACACGTCGCAGCGCATCGGTCAATCCGGTGACAGCGCGAGAGCTTCGAACGGATTAGTAAACTAGATTGTCTTGAAAATAATAAATTGAGAAATGCAAAAACTCACGTCCAGGGCCGCCCATCTGTGCATAATGCCGGAAGCTCTCCGGAGCGTTGTCTGAGAGCGCGAGTATCCAATGCTCTGAAGCTCGACGGAGATCCTCAATCGGAACTTCGAATTTCACGCTCGCATGGCCCGAGAAGCGCGCTAGTCCTCTTCTGTGTTTTGTCACGTGATTCACGTGTTTCGGCGCGTCCATCCAATCAGAGCCAGTGTCTGCTTACTGATAGAGATACCAAAGGCTCTTGCGCCATCGACGGACGCCAAAAGGGCACATATAAAGCTGCAGTCTCCAGAGACCTCGTGTTTATTCTTCAATTCTCCATCTCAATTGGCGCATTCTTCTGTAATTTACTCAGGTCGTGCCAGAGACTCATTTGGGAGACGCAGGAGATGGAGCCTCAGGCTTGGGAAGATCTGGAGAGGGCCGATGGCGGGGCTCTGAGGACTGTTAAAGATCTGTCGGCTGGTGCTGCTGGTGGCATTGCTCAGGTCCTTCTAGGTATGTCTTGTATATTTCTTAATTTGGGCGCAACTGAATATTATTATACCTCGTCTCCTGAACTTTGTCTTTAAGTTTCTGTGGTGATAACGTGACCTGCCCTTGCTATTCCATCAATATGTCTCTCTATGTCTCTATATGGAAGACGCATGCTTTCATAATTTTTTATACATACAAGCTCCATTGCTTATATTGAGTTTGATATTCTAACATCTCTCCAGGTCAACCTTTTGGTATGTGAATCCTATTAATAGTCTTATTTAAGCTACCGATCTTAATGGTCCAAAGATATTATCAAGGTGCGATTGCAAACGAGCAATCAGTACTCCAGTGCTTTCGATGCTGCCACCAAGATCTTGAAGAATGAGGGTCCCTTGGCTTTCTACAAGGGAACCTTGACCCCGTTGATTGGAATCGGTGCTTGTGTAAGTATATGCCGTGGATGGCTGGCCTCTTCATGTGCCAATTAAACCTTTCCGTTTCACGCGATTCATTACCGGATACTGGGTTGTCTAACTATTCTTACAGGTCAGTGTTCAGTTTGGTGCTTTCCATGAAGCACGAAGACGCTTGGAGGAAGCCAATGCGAAGAAGAACCCCTCCAACCCAGGGCTGTCGTACTCGCAATATTATGCTGCTGGTGCGTTCGCTGGCGTAACTAATTCCGTGCTCTCTGGACCGATCGAGCATATTCGTATCCGTCTGCAGGCCCAGCCTCACGGAGCCGGTCGGCTCTATAGCGGTCCTCTGGACTGCATCCGCAAGCTATCTGCCCACGAGGGTGTCCTGAAGGGCCTCTTCAGAGGCCAGGTGGTCACTGTTCTGCGAGAGGCTCAAGCGTACGGTGTCTGGTTTTTGAGCTTCGAGTACTTGATGGACCTGGACGCGAAGCGAAACAACATCACCCGTGATGAAATCTCCAGCATTCGCGTTGCTACCTACGGTGGTCTCGCAGGAGAGGGACTCTGGCTGGCCAGCTATCCCTTTGATGTAGTGAAGAGCAAGATGCAGACCGACGGTTTCGGTGCTCAGCAAAAGTTCAGCAGCATGACCGACTGCTTCAAGAAGACTTTTGCCGCAGAGGGCCTGGGAGGTTTCTGGAAGGGTATTGGACCGACTCTTCTGAGAGCCATGCCTGTTTCGGCTGGTACTTTCGCAGTGTATGTCTTCCCTTCAAAACTCGTCAAACGTGAACTAAATCCATCATTTGGAATTTATAACTGACTCCAAGACTAAACAGTGTCGAACTCGCAATGAGAGCTCTTGGTTAAGCACCGGCTCTAGGAAAAAGTCATTTTTTTTGCTTTTTACGCATATTCCGATTGATGCATTTCTTAACTCCATTTCCACGGCTTCAAGGTTTCATGATATACCAAAAATGCTCATTTGGGTTCTTCAACATAATGCGAATGCGAAAAGGGGGGGAAAGAGAAGTCTGTTTCACCATATGCATTTAGAACTTTCGATGCAATGCATTCAACAGCTTTCAATTAAGAGCTATGATTTTTTTTTTTTTCATCTTAATGCGAAGTCTACGTACATCTCTTGCCCGGGCAAGGAAACTTGTTTGCTTGGCTCCAAATGTCGACACCATATGTATCGCCCAAGCATACAATGAATATAGATCCTAGTGATCTACGTAGTATGTTCTATCATATGAAAGAACCTGCTGTAATCGGCGATATGATAGATCGTCTGCATGCATTCTTTGTGTGCGCTAACAGAAACCATAAATGGTTATGGCTCCCCGATTCGAAGATGTAGATCGGATACTCAATTCTACAATTTGCTGGACTACATCCGCAGAGAAAGACTATAAACGATATATGATTGCAAACTTCTTCAGACATAACTATAAAACCGGTATAAGCTGAAAGTTCTAGTATAAAATACAGGTGTCATTGAATGGATTTTTGCCGGCGCAAGTAATAATCCTTTTCACCGCGTTACTGCTGTCCAGTGATAGGGTTCTCACGCAGCTCGGAAATAGTGATAGGTTCATATGGAAGCTCTCCCCTCTTAGCCGCCTCCAGTCTCCTCTTCTGTCCGGACTCGCCTGCTCTACCAAGGATACCAGCGATCACCTGCACGCAACGCAAGCTGTCATCGTTGGCCGGGATTGGGTAGGTGACCTTCGTCGGGTCAGCATCCGTGTCGATGATACCGATCGTGGGGACGTTGTTGAGACCACATTCGTGTAGCAACACGACGTTTTCGATAGGATTCAAGCAGACGACGAGATCGGGCTTGAGAGCCGGGCGGTCGGTCAGGTTTTGCTTAAAGTCAGGCAGTTCCTGATCCAATGCGTTGACAACCTTGCTCTCGCAATGACCGAGGATCTGCTGTCCATTGGTAAGACTGCCGGGAATCCAGCGCTCGAAGATATGATATCCTCTCGCCAACTCTGCAGCTCTCACGACGGCGCGCTTCTGGCCCTTCCGAGTTCCAACAAACAAGATCAGACCGCCCCTCGCAGCCACCTCTTCCACAACCTTAGCTGCCCGGCGAAGGTAGGCTGCCGTGACATCAAGAGAAATGATATGGATTCCTTCTCTGACACCAAAAATGTAGCGGGAGTTCTGCGGGTTCCAGCGAGACGTGGCATGTCCAAGATGTGACTGGGAGGCAAGAAGCAGTTCGAGGGAGATATCTGACGGCTTGGGAGGGTTTCGGAGGATATCTTCAGGTTCGTACGTCTCAGACACAACCGTACCCAGGCTGTGAAAATGATTTCCTGGAAAACATCGAATGTCAGATCCAGACTCCGATGAAAATAGGACCGATTGGTCTTCCACTCACGTTGTTGCACTGTTTTCTTCCATTCCTCTCGCGCAGGAGAGCTAATATCCTCCGGAACCTCCATCACAGCCGAAATCTTTCCCGGCTGAGATGGAGCAGCGACGTTGGGCGTCTCAACAGCGACATCGACTCGGACATTAGTCGAGTTGAAGCGCGCCAGCATCGGAGCCCGGTTGAGGGCCAGGAAGCTGCGGCCTTGAAGACAATTCCATCAGTAAAAGAGCTAAATGTGATTAAGACAGTGAACACTCACTCTGCCGCGCACACAGTTTCCGGACAATCATTTTGTGCTAGAACTGCTGCTTCAACACCGTTCGCAAGGTCCGCGGAGAGCCTCTCGAACTTTTGATGGAACGCTTGGCGAGTCTCGGGGCCGAGCCATGAGATGCGCTAGTCCGTTTATGGCAGCCACGGTTTGTCGCGGGTGCCGACACTCTGCAGCATGCATCTCAATAATTTTCTGATCACTTCGGTGATGATGGGTTCGCAAACTGAACGACATTGCGTTATAAATGACTCTAAAGGGTTCAGACTATGGAAAACTACCTTCGTTGTTGATTCAAATGCGGATCTACCTCGCTTCCGCTTCTTAACCTGCTCTACAAAAGATGAGAACAGCAATCTCACCAAACAAGTACAAATCTGCTACTATTTCAAAAAATTTTGGATGGGAATTTCATCTTCAGAATGTGATATATAGATGGCCCGATATATAAATTCTGACTTCTGACTCGGCTCTAGGATAAACCTCAAGTCTCCCCGATTTGTGTTCAACATATTTGCATATTCAAGTCCAGCAGTAAACCAGTTGGACCTTTTTAATCCTTCGCATATCCGGACAATATGTTTGATGCAGTAACTTATCAATAATAGTCAATACCGGATCTCCATCTATGTCAATGACACTTCATGATCATATAGCATCCGCGGGAGAAAGAGCAAGGGCAAAAGGGCCCAGATATCCAAAAAAAAAAAAAGTCACAAATACACAGCGAAACACAATGAAAGCTATGATCCCGCAAAGCGAAAGAAAAACAAATCGTCAGAATCCCCGTTGACAATATTGGCTAGTCCCGGTTCCCAGCCGGGAGTATAACCCAAGACGCTTTATTCATTTCTTTCCGAGGAAGCTGCCGGCCGCGTTCTCTAACGAGCCAAGGAGTCCACTGTGGTGTTGAGAGCCCTGAGAACCGTGATGCTGTCCCTGGGGATAGCCGGTTCCACCATATGACTCCGTGTAACCGCCCTGCTGATGATGACCCTCACCATGATTCTTGTGTTTCTTCACGGCATCTTCAACAACACTGCCCATGATAGCGCCACCAATGGTTCCCAAGATACCATGGTCAGCCTTGTGGCCGGCAAACCCTCCGGCGAGACCTCCAGCTAGGGCGCCGCCCAGTCCACGATCTCCCTCCTGGGCACCGCCTGGTGCACTCTGGTTATGACCATAGCCCCTAAAAGATTCTACCGTTAGATAATTGATGGAATTAGAACCCGAGTGAGGTTCAGGGTTAACATACTCAGATCTGCCTCCATACTCATGCGAGGGCTGCTGGCCATAGCCCTGTGGTCCTCCATACTGCTGGTGGCCGTACGACTGGTCATAGCCACCTTCTTGTTGGTGATGGTGATGGTGATGATGAGGCTGCTGGCCGTAACCGCCCTGCTGAGGATAGCCTCCCTGGTTCTCGTAGCCACCTGGGCCGTAGCCACCTGGGCCGCCATAACCGCCCTGGTTATAACCGCCTTGGCCGTAGCCCTGGTTGTACTGGTGGTCGTAGGGGCCAGACATAATGGATGAAGTTGATATAGATGTTATGTTAATGTGAAGGTAGTAGTATGTGAAGAGTGATAGGATTCAATAAGTAATGAGATTGAGTGCGATATCCAAACCGCTGAGGGACTTCCCCCGCTCTTTTATAACCCTGCAAACTTCAAAGACAGCCAAGGAGTCTGACATATCATCCGACCTAACTACTAACTAGTTAACTAGTTAAAATTACGTTAACTGCTTGCAGAATGCAGCGAGAGTTACGACTCATCGCCTCTAAACTTAGCCACCCCGCTAGATCCAGCGTTCGGCGCGCTGCTTCAGCCCTGTGGATTAGAAGACAAAAATACATTCATTGGAGGATGCCTGGACGCACGCAAGCCGGACTCCTTGGGGGATGCTGCGAGACAGCCAACAAGGTGGCCTCGTGGTCCTTTCGGCTCAGCTGGACCCAGCCAGCATGTACACTTAGTAGTCTACTTAGTACTGGTACACCAGCGATGAACCGTTGTTGAGAGTCCGCTGTCGCCATCGGACCCCCTGTGGCTGTGAAGACGCTGTTCCCCGCGGTTGGCCGGAGACACGTGGCGGTGCATCGCCCCTGTGGCGCAAGGAAACGCAATCTATTTTCAGATCTCCCTGACGCAGCTGATCGCTGTCAAGCCCCATGAAGATCGTCATTCAACGGCGGTTATCTCCTTTCTGGTAATTCTGAAGATCTTATTGTACATGTAAAGATCTAAACCATCAACACTGGGAATTTCTGTTGCCAAGTCCCGGTCCGGACACGCATACGTGTACACCTCGACTTGGCAGAGTTTGCGGGAACCCTAACCAATCTATCATCTTCAAGTGGACCATGCCCTGAGTCCCTGATGGATGGTGACTATTATTATTATTGTTTGTTTCTCCGGAGCGGAGAGCCAGCTCCTGTTTCTCGGAATCGAACAACTCCTCCGGTGTCAGCGTCAAGGTCTCAAAATGGGTAAGACGTTGTCTCATTAGGTACACTTGAAAGGGGAAGAGCCCAAATGTTCAAGATCAGACATCCCCTGTACATATTGTAGTGAAATGGCCAGTATCCTATCATTTGCACACTTGTTCATGACGAAGTCTGTTTCTCTGTCCCTGGTCCATCATTCGGAAATTGCAATAACTACCTATCATCTGACTTGTCCGTGCGAAGAAAGTCAAGCTAGGCTCTAGAACTAGTGGTTCATGAAGCACAATGAATAGACAACAAAGCAGTCTATTAGTCACATTTATTTTCTTCTGTGGCTTGGAATTCATCATCAATTCTATACGTATTTCGTAGATATCTCAATTCCAGTAGTTGAGACATCCTCGAAACATTCTCGTTAGTTAGTTAACTAACGTCAACTTAATATTGCCTTATGTAAGCGAGCAGCTGACATCTTATCTACTCTTAGAGACGGCAATACTGATAATTACCACACCGCGGAATACACCGCCCTCGAGTATCGCACTATACCGAATACAGATGCATCCCAACATGTCGGGTCCACTGGTAGAACGATTGGACTCACTGGAGCAGTGATCAATGAATATGGAACAGAAGGACATGTTGTGCCGTCTGAAAGAAGATCGCTCTCATCAGTCTCTGTCTTCGGACAATGCAGACAAAGCCCTAGTGACATCCGACCGGCCAGCAGCATTGCCGATCCGAAAACGGGGGACCTGGAAGGATCGCGATTGGAGTGGAATGTGATGGATTCAAGAATATGCCCGCATAACTTGATAAGAGCACCAAGACGTTACCTTGGCAGTCTTTCGACATGGATCGTCTGCAGACGGCACACCCAACCGGGTGCCCGACCTCTTCTTTAAGCACACCACGTCCTCGTCGATTTTCTGAGACATTGTTCGGGAAGCCGTTCGGATGACGGACCAACCGTGGTATCACACTCGTACCTGCCCACGAAGAACACGATCAGATGCTTATACGGATAAAGCTGAAACATACTCTGGCATATTCTGGCGCGCGCTTATTTCTGCTCCTAAATATCTATAAAACAAGAAAACAATTCCCGCGAACTTCCGCCGCGGGCGGTTGCATGATGACATCAGTTGCGACTACAGCGTGGGGCTCTACTCTGATACTCTTCCGCGAAATTCCAATTATTCGCAATTCGGATACGATATCTAACTCTCTGCCAGCTGCATGATGTTGAGTGAATGCTGAGAAAATTGGGACGATGAGAAGGCGGTGTTGCAGAGTCCACATCGGTTAAGGGTATCTATACCGCCATGGGGCCGACGACCGAGCGCCGTCAAGACTGGTTCCAACAAGACGTCAAACAGCGCGCTCAGGTGTGGTACCAGAAATACGTGCTGGAGCTGATCTTGAGGCGAAAGGCGCTCTCTTCTTCCAATGATGGCCGTCATATCCCCCTCCAGCCTTTCCATGACAAACCGTTGGTTGATCCTCGTAGACATCACCCATATATCTCAAACACCATCCGATCGTCCAGGTACACCATCTGGGACTTCTTGCCAAAACAGTTTCTTTTTCAGGTGACCAGACTGGGGAACTTCTATTTCATTTGCATCGGAGTTCCTCAAGCTATTCCTGGGTTGAGCAATACCGGAAGCTATACGACTATTCTGCCCCTTCTTTTCTTTATCCTTCTGACAGTCGCAAAAGAAGGCTATGATGACTACAAAAGACACAGACTGGACAAAGTGGAGAACACAAGATGTGCGACTGTTATAAGAGATGGCCGGCACGCGGAGCGTCGAGGAACATTTGCAAGAATACCCGATCTTCGCTCGTTTCCGTCAGTTTCTAAAACAAAATCGGAAGTTGTTGAGGAGTTCGAGCTGAAGGAAGACGAATTACGATGGAAGCAAATCCAATGGCAGGACATCAAGGTCGGTGACATTATCAAACTGGAAAGAGACGACGCTATCCCGGCGGATACAGTGTTGCTATACGCGGATGCAGAAGATGGGATTGCATACATTGAAACGATTGCTTTGGACGGGGAAACGAATTTGAAAAGTCGCCAGGCATTGCCGGAGTTTGATCGTTGCAACACAATAGAAGGGATCAGATCATGCAAGGCCGAATTCGTGGTCGAGGATCCGAATCCGGATCTCTACAATTTCAACGGCAGGGCAATCGTCGACGGGGAATCTGTTCCACTCACCCTGAACGAAGTTGTTTACCGGGGTAGCGTCTTGAGAAATACTAAGCTCGCAATAGGCCTAGTAATCAATACGGGAGAAGAATGCAAAATCCGAATGAATGCCAATCACCATCCTAAAGCGAAAAAGCCCCGTCTTGAAAAGTTTCTCAACCAGGTCGTACTCACACTCGTGGTTTACGTGATCCTCCTCACTATGGGGTGCTCAGTGGGGTATCTCATTTGGAGGAGATCAGTTGAGAAGCACTCATGGTACTTGAAAGACGCTAAAGTCAGTGCCAAAGAGATCATTATCGGCTATGCGATTGAATTCAATAACGTCATCCCGCTGGCACTATATGTTAGTCTGGAAATTGTTAAGATCGGCCAAGCACTGTTATTGAACGGCGACGTTGAAATGTACGACGAAACGTCCGATGCTCCGGCGAGGTGTAACACGAATACGATTCTCGAGAACCTAGGACAGGTCAACTATATCCTCTCAGACAAAACAGGAACTTTGACAGAAAACGTCATGAGATTTCGCAAGATCAGCGTTGCGGGCACCGCGTGGCTACATGAAATGGATATCGAAGAAGATGACCAGGGCCAGACGTCGGAAGCCGGGGAAGAAGATCACGACAGCATCAAATCTTGTCATATAACCGCCACTGCCAAGGTCGGGGATAGTCAGACATCCATCTCGCCTCTTGTTGAATATCAACCGAGGTCCTCTTTTTCCACTTGGAGATCCGCCGGCAGGCCTGATCATCTTCAACCGGGACTGACAACAAAGCAACTCCTCGAATATATTCATCTTCATCCCGCATCTGAGTTTTCCAAAAGGGCCCGCGAATTCATACTGGCAACGGCTTTATGCCATACCTGCCTTCCCGAAGTCACGGGTGACAACGTAGATTTCCAAGCGTCATCTCCCGACGAACTCGCCCTCGTCCGGGCAGCCCAAGAGTTGGGTTACGTGGTCGTCCATCGCTCATCGCATTCAATTACTTTGCTTGTGAAAAGTGGAAGTGGGAATGAAAGTCAGTCATACGAAATTCTCGACATAATCGAATTCAGCAGCAAACGAAAGCGCATGTCCATCATTGTGCGATGCCCTGATGGTCGAATATGGCTACTCTGCAAGGGTGCAGATAATGTCATCTTGCCGCGTCTCAAACATGCAGACCAGGTAGCTCGATTGGCTAAGCGGGTGCGTGAAAGTCGTGAATTCGATCACCTACGACGGAGTCAACAACTTGAAGCAGCAGAGAGACCTGGTGTCAGGAGATCACTCGAGATAACGAAGCAGTCCGCGTTCAATTTCCTTGACAAGTTGTCGGTCACGAATGACTCTACTATTCTCAGCCGCTGCCTCGAACATGTCGATGACTTTGCAAACGAAGGCCTTCGGACCCTCCTTTTCGGTCACAAATTTATTTCCCCGGAAGACTACAGCTCCTGGAGGAAGATATATCGTGAGGCAACGACCTCACTCACAGATCGTCAAGATCGCATTGAAGAGGCTGGGGAGCTTATTGAGCAATCTCTTGATCTTCTTGGCGCGTCTGCCATTGAAGACAAGCTACAACAGGGCGTGCCCGAGACCATTGACAGACTTCGTCGCGCTAACATTCGAATCTGGATGTTGACTGGTGATAAGCGGGAAACAGCGATCAAGATTGCACACTCTGCGCGGCTTGTCCTGCCCGGTTCTAAGACATTTATTCTGGATTCTACAGTAGACAATTTGCAAGGGCAGATACGGGCCGTTTACGACGAGATATACCTTAGGGATGCAAATAGCGTCTTAGTTATTGATGGGCATACCCTTGCAGTTGTAGAAAGTGATCCCATACTGAAGGACTCTTTCTACCGGCTCATAGCATCCACTCGTTCCGTGATTTGTTGCCGTGCTAGCCCAGCGCAAAAGGCTAGCATAGTAAGCGCAATCAAAGCGCATATACCCGGATCCCTGACTCTTGCTATTGGTGACGGAGCAAATGATATCGCTATGATCCAGGCTGCAGTAAGTAATATATCCCTCTGGGTATCTACAAGTATATGCTCAACCTAAGCTTTGAACCAGGACGTTGGTGTTGGTATATCTGGTAAAGAAGGCCTACAAGCAGCACGCGTCGCAGACTATAGCATAGCTCAATTCCGCTTTCTTCAACGCCTCCTTCTTGTTCACGGTCACTGGAACTACGTTCGCACTGCAAAGTTCATACTGATGACGTTCTGGAAAGAAATGTTCTTCTATATGATGCAGGCGCTCTATCAACGCTATAACGGATACACCGGTACTTCGCTATATGAATCGTGGTCTCTGACTGTTCTTAATACCCTATTTACATCTCTGTGCGTCATCATCATGGGGATTTTCGAACAAGACTTAAGCGCCGACACCTTGCTCGCTGTTCCCGAGGTGTATCTCTACGGCCAAAATAATGCTGGCCTCAATCTGCGAAAATACCTGGCCTGGATGCTATGTGCCACCGCAGAGGGAATGATTGTATGGTTCTTCTCCTGGGCAATTTACGGAATGCTTTATATCCCCAAAGATCAAGGATTATTCGCATTTGGTGATCTTGTGTTCACCTTAGCAATCCTGTGGACGAATACAAAGCTATTGTAAGTGCCCTTGCGCCACTGGAGGCCACCATGTTCGAAATCCATAGACACGTGCTAACTAATCTGTTCTGTTAAAAGCATTGGCGAAACTCACTGCAAGACGATCATTGTCATCACCTGTTTCTCGATCACTATCGCTGGCTGGTGGGCCTGGAATGCGTTCCTCGCAGCTGCCTATACGCCTCAACCAGGACCATACAGTGCGCGCGGGGGCTTCACGAATACCTTTGGTACTGACCCCATTTGGTGGTTGACGCTCATTCTGGTGTTTGCGATCTTGGTGGCTCTACAAGTCGTATACAGTTCGCTCAACCGGAACATCATATCAATCGCAATGAAACCGTTGAGGCGAAGAGTAAAGTGGTTTGGGGGCAATGAGGATTCCGATATTAGAATGTTCCAGGAGATGGAACAGGACCCGTCCATGAGAGAACGGCTTAAGAAAATGGCTCGGGACGAAATGGAAGAACCGGACGTGGAGTACATACCATGATGTTAATGACTAACGACACTACATAAATAGTGTACTTACATCGCAGATTTATTAGAAGACCTAATGATTTAATTATAGTATCTGTTAGACACCCCCTCCGGTGGCTTCTGTTGGGCGCCCTGTTTACTAGTGTCCTATATAGGGATCGCCTAGCCCTAGATTTAATTAAGCAAGTATTCTCCCGCTTCCTTTAGGTTATATTGCTCTTATTCTAAATGTTATTACTCTTTATACTTGATGCTTCTGGTTTGATAATTGCCTTGCTGCTTGTTGGTGCCTTAGATTAAATATCATCAGTTTCAGAGACCCGGAAGGCTAGTAGAGTGATTGGATGTAAGTGTTAGAAGGGGTAACACAAGGCGGCTATAAATCAATAACTATTGGCTACTTTCAGTAACTAAGTAATAGTAACTACTTAATCCAGATGTTGGCATACAGAGATGACAAATTGCTGAACCTTCGATCTACAGTACTTTTCACCTAGGTCCAGTGCTAATGCACGCAAAAATACGCCAATATCTGAATACATCCTAGGCTGGTGATTCTGATTCCGCAGAAGTATTAGATTTACCTCTCCAGCTGCCCTAAGTAGGATATCAGACAACTTAACTAGGACCCGAGCAATTAGGGAACCACCCTAGTCGGCTTAGCCGCCACTAGAGCGGGCAATGCAGTCTCGTGCACATAATCCTGATACCTATTCGAACCGGATAAGCCAACGGGCACCAGTATCTGGCTGTAGTCTTCGAAGCCTTGAGCCAACGCCGGTGTCTTGTGTTCTACTCAGCTAGCACTCTCGGAGCTCCCGTTCCTTACACTGCGGACCATGAGGCGCCGCATATAACAGTTGTGGTCCCTTTGAAGTTATCAGTGATTATATCGTCTCGCTTTGAGATTGTAAGTGGCATTGTTGTGTAGTAACTAGTGCAAAGGATCTTGGTATTGAATTTGCTGTGCCGCAATGTTGCATTCACAGGTATCCACAAGTTAGCATCAGGAACTACATAACAATGGGGCTGTTCATTGATTTAAGTTTGAACTAAGAATGGTAAGCATAATCTTGTAAGTAGGAACTACCGTATACAAGAGAGGGGACTAAAGAAAGAAAGAAAGAAAGACAAGAGCTCAAAGTCTTTGTCAGAGAATAAGAGGCAACCATAAATGTCTATGACTCTACAAGCATGGGCCTGTGGAAATCTATAAGCTAGCCCGGGAGATCTTTCGACTCCAACTAGTTTGCTATCAAAGTAGACTCTCCACCCGTTAAGTCGATCGTATCTATCTCGCGCCATTTCTTTCTCCAATCGAGTTTGGAGCAAAGCTACCTGGAAATCGGTTCTGATATCCTGCGATCTGCCAAATTAAGGTTCGAATAGTAACTTTGTATAGTGTCGTCGGGGAATTGGCAAGTGGGCTGGAGTGAGCGAATGAACAGATACATCTTTCTGCCCATTTGCGAGTAAATGGTGTGATCAAGATAGTGTCGGCCTGCGTCCTTTATCGCTGAGCGAGCTAGAGGTTAACGCTTAACCACTAAGTAAGATAGCGTGCGACAGCGCTATAAGTATATACCTATATTCGGTATGTTTTATTTGTTTTGTTTTACTACATTCCTTACTCCGTATGGGGGCCATGCTTATCTTGAAATCGAGGATCGAATTCAAATGGCCGGCCACGTACCTAGGCATCCCAGGAAACGAAGCAGCTAACCAGGCTGCCAAAGATGCCCCGATACTACCTCGTGGCCGCTCGATCTCAGATCTCAGCTATTACTACATAGAGGGGTTGAAGTCAGAGTCAATATGCCCTCAGTATTTGCACCTCGCTGGCGGTCGTCGGGACGCACTCTGACTCCGTCTCCCTTGGCGGAGATCCATGCCACTTCTCAGCCATCAACTCTCGAACGATCGCATCGAGGTCAATTCGAAAACTTCTGCAATTATCGCGCAGATGGAATCCCGCAGGTTACCGGCTAGGTCTCTGCCCCGGCGAAAGAGCATCACCCCCCAGCTCAGCTGTGAGCTCTGTCGTAAGCGCAAGGTGAAGTGCGACAAGCTCAATCCATGTACCAGCTGTGCCTCGAGTGGCACTGCCTGCGTTCCCATATACCGAACACGACTGCCTCGGGGCCGTCATGTCAATAATCCGCCGCATCGAGGCCCGTTGCCTCCTATGTCCACAAAAGGTCCTGGGGAGGCCGATCGGATGATCCAACATACCGTCCAAGTCAATGAGGACCTCTCGGAGCGCATCTATCGTCTCGAAGCACTCATCCAGAGTATGAAGTCCGCCCAAACGTCAACGGCGGGATCACAGGATCAGGTAAGATAACAACTTTCCTTCGCCTGCCCCATCTATCCTCGAGGATTGCTAACCTTGGCATCGATAAGTCGGCCAAGCCACCAGATACCTCAGTGTATCCTCCGACTCCCATCAGTTCTTCTACTTTGGATAATTCAACAGCCCCCAGACGTCTCATTCTACAACGCCCCGACCAGTTTTGGGCAGATCTGGTGGATGAAGTATTACTCAGGACTCGCTGGAATGCACCACAGAGGGAAGAAAGGTGCTGACTCGGACACGTCACAGATCCATGGCCTCCACGATGTGATTAAATTCTCACTCGGGGAAGGAGAGGAAGTCCCAATACCCTCCTCTCGCTCGACTAAAATCGGGCTGTCCGACAACGACGGGATTCCCGTCCTTGGTCTCGGAGGCGGTAATTCACTCTCAATGCCCCCAGTCGAGAGTTTGCTGCATGATTCTGCAGTTGCCCGCCAGCTGTGTGGGGTTTACCTTCAGCAGGTTGACCCTGTCATAAAAATTCTCCATCGTCCCTCTGTGAATCAGTGGATGGTCCATGGCAAGCCATATCTGGCCTATGCGGAGGGTCATCCAGCCACAGAGGCGCTGGGCTCGGCGATCTGCTACTCGGCCGTCAGCAGCATGACTGAAAACCAATGCTCCCTCATGTTTCACACCAGCAAGGCGCAGCTGATGGTCAAGTCTCGTATGGCCTGCGAGGCGGCAATTGGGCGGGCAGGTTTACTCTCCACTCGTGATATCACTGTCCTCCAAGCATTTGTCCTGTATCTGGTACGGATCTGATCCCTGGGTGGTGTCGCGTACGTAAAATAGATGACTGATCCTACTTCTCTAGGTGGCCATGAGATCAGAAGACCGCACGCAGTGCGTCTGGACCTTAATCGCGGTGGCCGTTCGAATTGGCAAAGGCCTTGGCCTCTACCTCGACCTGGAGATAGAGACTTTCTTTGATCAGCAGATGCGAAGGCGCCTCTGGTTTACCATTTGCCTGATGGATCTACAAGCTTCATTCTTTCAGGCATCTGAACCGCTTATCAGCGTCGAGGAATCCGCGTCCACGGCCCTCCCACACCACATCAATGACTCGGATTTTGATCCCACAACCACACATATCGACCCCTACCGGGAGGGCCTCACCGACACGACCTTTGCGCTGGTAACCTATCACGCCCAGCGGATAGGACGTCTGCTGAACTTCGCTCGGCACGACAGCAAGGTCGACGGGAATACTGTGCCCACCACCGCTACATCCACCTCCTCTGCTTCCTCAACATCCCACTCCCGCCGACACAAACCCAGTTGGTCACAGCATCACACCCGGCGTTTCGAAGAGGAAGCGCTCCGCCTCCTTCACTTCTGCGACCCCGAAACTTCGCAATACGCGTGGTTTACATGGCACGGCACGCAGAGTCTTATTGCAACGGCACGGCTTGCGGCCTTGCGCCCTCTCCAGCACGTTGGAAATGAGCCGCCTCCGCGCCGTGAGGGCAGTACGGAGCTACTGCGTATCTGCCTCCAGGTGCTGGAGAAAGCACATCTTATGCATACAGACCCCCGCGCGGAGGGATTGCGCTGGTATGTCACCGTCCCCTGGCATGCGCTGGCGCTCGCCATGGCCGAGTGCTATGTGAGCCTCGACGCGGCTATGGTGCAAAACGCCTGGCCGCTCATCGAGTCATCATACATACAGTACGAGGCGACTAGAGGTGGAACCCTCAGCGGTCCTCTCAGTCAACTTATGCGGCGAATGAGGGAGAAGCTGGCAGGTACAGCTCCCCTTCCGTCGGGCAGTCTCCCGAACTGCAGTTTGACCCCGGCCACGGCGACCTCTCCTGCATTATCGGGACTTCTGAACAGACCGCAGCGTAGTAACAGTGGTAACGAACTGAACCCGTCTGACTCTCCATGGCTGTCGACTGGGGCGACCACGCCGGCGGGGCCCAGGATGCCGTCCCTCCCTTCGTTACCAACATGGCACTCGATGTCGCTCTCCTCGGAGAACTTACCCTCGCTCTTCACTGGGGATCCGCCTCCACCAGCCGTGGCGGACGGACTGCATCCCGATACAGAGACAATATGGGAGGAGCTATTCGCGGGGGTTCCATTCAATGATATTGCAGGTCCGGATACGTTTTTCGATATGAATTGGACATGATTTGGATGAGTCTCGTATCGTATGACATCATATTACTCGCGAAGAATGGTGAATAGGATGGAAATTAGCTTATATTTTGGAACACTCTCAGAGCTTCCACCATAATTCTCAACCCCCAAAGCCTTATCAGTTTCCACCCCATCGCTAAGATGCGTGGTCAGGGGACCGTGTCAGTTGGATTAGAAAGATTCTCTGCTGCGGTGGTTTTGAAACAATATATCTATGTAGATAACTATGTACAGATACCTATACTTCGGACTGTCCAGCCCCTCGGAAACTAACAGATTATGGCCCCCAAAACAAGGTGATTCTCAGAATCCGAAACTGCTGATAAACCTATTTCATAACATTGCTAATTGATAGTTATGGCACAGTTAGGAGTTGTCAACTTGGCAGTTTCCTTCATTCATATTCTGTTGGCTCCTTAAGTCTAAGAGTCCGGACTGAAGGTTAGATTAGGATTCATCCATCATAAGTAGAGAGCTATGATATTAAGCTATTCAATCACAGAAAGGTGAATTACTGACGGCAACAAGACGGAAATTAGTCTAGAATAATCGAAGGAGTTTATCCCTGACTCCCCTCCCCCGCCCCCAACCCACCCTCTAACAACAAAGGAGAACCATTCAATCCTCTCCAACCCCCCTAACCAGATGCATACTGCGACATCGCCCTCAGCTTACTTCCCCAAAACCAAAACACCCACGGTGCTGGCACCCCGATCACAATACTCAAAAATGCCAACAACGTATTTCCCCATCCATATTGCAACCGCTGATACATATACGGCGCAAACAACGGAAACCCAAAGCCTGCCAAGCTTCTAAGGACAACCGCCGCGGCCATTCCACTTGCAGCGAATCTTGTGTAACTATCGATCACGTACATCTGCATACACTGCAGACAGACAATTGACCCGAAGGAGAAGATCACAATCCCAACGTTAGGCATCACCCAGTGGATACGCGCCTGCACACTCCATCCATACCAGAACAAACCCACGGGGATAAACAACGACCCAATGAACATTGTCGGGATGCGGAATTCCGGTACGCCCGTATTGGTGTTACTCTGTTTCCTTTTCAGATAATAATAGATCCAGTCGCTGGCGCGCGCGTTGATCTGCGCGCCGAGGACAAAGCCAATGCCTAAAGAAATGTAGTTCAGTCCTCCGATCCCAACCTTCTCGCCGTAGACCCCCTCCCAAACTTGCGGAAAGGTAGAGAGGAGGAGGTAGAAGAGGCCGAAGAGGTAGGCCATGTATACTGCAATTAATTGGACGATGGGCTGGGTAGCGAGTAGGACGAAAGGCCGGATAAGGGCTTTCTGGACCACCGACGCTAGGTTCTGGTTTTGGCCATTGTTGCCATTATTGGCATCATAATCGGTGTGATAGCGCCTGTTACCAGTGTTTTTGCGGAGCTTTTGGGCACGACGTTTGAGAATGGTCGGCGCGTAGGTCTCTGGGAGGAAGGCCAGCCCCAGCAGTTGGAAAGCTACGCCAGCGATGCTGGTTGCCCAGAAGACCCAACGCCAGGTAACAGTCTCAGCAATGAAGCCTCCCGCGATAGGGCCCACGACGGGGCCCAGGAGGGGGGCTAAGCTATAGATGCCGACGGCTTTGCCGCGCTGGTCGGCGTTCCAACAGTCGCTTAGCGAGGGTTTTTAGCCATGTTTATCGGTACAGTGGTATGTATGTATGCGCATACAAGAAACGGGGGAGATCTACCTTAGAACACCTCCTCCAATAGCCAATGGCGCACTGCCTGCAATCCCACTCATGAATCGAAAGGCAATCAACTGGCCTGATGTCTGCGCAAACCCGCACCCTAGGTTCCAGGCTACATAGCACAGATTGCTGAACTGGAGGACATAGGCTCGCCCAAATATTTCGGACAGGGGACCAAAGCTAAGCGGACCCAATGCATAGCCTAGCACGAACACTGACAACGCCAGTTGTGTTTCCACGTCGGAATGGATATGGGATTCATCCGCGATTTTGTTCAATGCGGGAGCGACCATGGAGGACGAGACGGGCGAGATGAAGGTGAAGAGCGAGACGGTCAGCGTCACCGCCCATTTTCGGCTCATGGACCAGTTTTTCGGGTTTTCTTTTTCCTCGAGGGTGGACCAGGAGACCTGCGTGATTATTTCTTTTTGTCAGTTCTCAGTTTGATATCTATAAGTGGGGTTGACTGAGATGACTGACCAGGTAGGGATCTTGTTGTAAACCGTTTACTTCACCTCCAAAAGGTTGCGATAGTGTGGATTCTGTAGTCAAAAAGATTTATTACTATTATCAGAGCATTGTTTCCAAGTGAAGTTTATAGACCTGCATGACCCGTGCGGACACTCGCTTCTCGGAAACTATGTAAACATACCTTCTTTGTCTGCTATCCTAGGCATTGTGGTCGATACAACTTAGTGCAGCATAGAAGGGAAGAATAAAATATAAATATCTTTGACGCCTGCAAGAAAGTACCAGGGGTCATAAATAACAATAAAAAAAGACTGGGAAACAGTTGTCTCTACTAAAAGTGCGGACGCTCATATATGCAATCATCATTCGGATTTTAAGACCATCTCTCAAAAGCCGAGCGGCCTTACAACTCAGGCATTACATTCCCTCAAAATGGAAAAGTTTCAGATCTACCAATGTACATACAGTATTATCTTATCATCTCTTCCCATTATTGATTAGTTCTTTACATCAAAAGCCACGGATCCGGAATTATAAATTTGTCGGTCGACCACCTGGAACAGGAAGGCCACGTGGGTAGCTGCCCTGTCAAGATAAAGTTATAGTTGTGGCGTAGTTAGCCGGCGCGTAACCTCTGCTTAAGGGTGGCCTTGCGATTTCGCTACTGCAGCGCTACACCAGTTTATGCAGCCTATAAAGCATAAAGCCTTATTGCTCGGTGCTTGCGTGAAGCTGATTATAACTAGCAGCGTTGATTAAAAAGGTAGCAATTTCTTCCAACCTTATTCCCGACACATATATTGTGAACAGTATAAAGTTATAGCGTGCTTATAAACAAGTCTATTTCCAGGATTCTTATCTTCTACAGTATCCATTGCAGGGGCAGATTCTCCCGTTTTGCAGAACAGAGGCAGACTCATGAAACTGAATAGCTACTGCTAGCCTGTTTTCCCGTTCGAAAACGACCTCTAATTGAGCTATTAGTTCACTATTCTGATTTGTTAACTACTATGCGCTTCTAACCTCTCTTTAATACAAAGGTATGTTATGGGGATAACCGCGTCCAATCTACTGGCGATGAGCACATCTAAGTAATATTCTTATTATATGCGCTTTTATGACTTATTTGCTAGTAGTGTATAAGAGAACTACGTTTCGGAGAAACGATACACAACGCATACTTATCCAGTTATAATTGATCCCACTGTGACATTGGCTTAGTTCTCCTGCAGGTGGGCTGCATAACAGTTATGGCAAGTTATCCATTACTAAAGCTAGTGAAAATATTATATCTCGTTACATGCTACTATCAACTGAGAATATCGAGGTTCCACTAGGAAGTCCAGATACATTAAGTACTATTTTACATGACTAATATAGCGGATTGATCACGTACATACTACAGAATTAACCCAGAGTATATTGGAAATTATTCTGTTTTCAGTGTATAAATGTTGCTGACAGAGATTTTTTTTTTTTTTTTTTTCTGCTGCTATATTCTGTTGAATGCGTCAGAGACAGACAGCTAGGTCCACAGTTAGACTTGCTTAAATGCAAGCATGTAGGGAATCGAAAGACAATGTGAAGATGGACAACATCCCACTCGACGAATGATAGTTAGGGCCAGCTCTCTTCAGTAATCGGTCGCCTAGTCAACGTTCTTATTCAATTACTACCAAAATAAACCTAGCACTTCAATTAACAGTTAACCTATCCCATCTCAGCGTCTGTTCGGCACAGCCCGCTCTATTATGAGTAGCCCTATTAAATAGATCTAGGACCCCCCGCCCCCTCGAACCCAGTAATAGATAATAATATAGATTCTTGCAGATCCTTTACCTTGCTGCTGGGCAAGCGTTAGGGATAATGATATTGTACCCAATCGGGTCTGTCGTGTTGCTTAATATATATATCTGGTGAAGCCAATAGTTCTTAGCTCTCTCCAACCGGGAATAAATATGTCGTAAGGTTGTTGAATTTATGAAAACTGCGAACGCAACACTCTTGTACTTTGCCATCCTTAGCCCTCTCGACGCTATCGCGAATGCCAGCGATGATATGTGGAGCAGCCTTTTGTGGCCTGTCGGCTCATCAATTGAATTCTACATACATATATCTCCTATGAGGTCTGCCTACCTATCTGACGAGTCCTGTGGGACAGTTACTCCTCCAGATTTCAAAGCTTCCACTTTAAAAACAATCTTATCAGTCTCCCATGATTAGATAAATAGGAAGGGCAGGGGGCCTTTATGGAGTTGTTAGAGAAGCAGAACCTCCTGCACGCGGGTCTTATAGTCTGAATAATATACTTACACGTTGAATCTAACATCATTGACGAAGAAAGGAAGCTATAACTATGAAGAATCTACCAGCCTGCTTTGATATACGGACCAAGTACCTATATCTGTAAGATCCGATTTAGTATTCCAAAAAATAGTTTATAGTAAGAAAAAAAAAATGATATTATTATTATAGTTCTATTTCTTATTGTAAAGTCCCCTAAGTTATTATTATTTCTTTGGGCCAATACTATATATATTTCTAGGATAGAAGCGGGGTCGTGCCGTTTCAGCGTAGTTAATTTATCTCGTGAAGTCAATGCTATGCTGTTAGGTGTATACTGGATTTTTTTCTGAAGTAAATGACACACAATATATCATGTTAAATCTTAGAACACCTACCACATATCTATTGTGAAATGCTGTCTTGATTATTGAAGTTGTTATTTGTTTCTTCATCATTACCTATTATCTGACTGATAGCAGAAAAAAATGGAAGCGGAGCATTCAAGGCGGTGAGAACGTGCGGGACAACCAACCAGGTTTAGGCGAGCGGAGCAAATGAATGCCAAGATTTACACACCCACCCAAATTTTTCGATGCGTGTATCGCAGCTCTCGCCTAACTTGGGCTTCCAGACCGGTTATCGTCCATCTCCAGGTTGCGAACTGCTAGTCGCAACGACTTGAGAACTGCCATATACTTGACTCCAAGGATACTGGTCGCCCTTAGGAAATAGTCAAGATGGCTGACATTGAGGTACGCATTGAACTTTCCGTTCTCGTGGGCGCGCAGAACCAGTATGCTCATATGCCCACTAGGAACGTCTGCGCAGTCATGCCGAGGCCTTCGACGGCCTGCTATCATTGATACCTGCCAAATACTACTACGGAGAGGATACAAGTGTATGTGATGACCCTGTGGTCCACAATGACTGCACCGCCTTCTCCTAAAAGTGCGAAAGCTGACCGTGAATCCTCCTACAGGACCAGTGGCAGCGAAAAAAGCAGACCAAGGAACAAGCCCGCAAAGCGAAGAAGGCAAAGTTGGACCCTGACTCTGCAAAGACCGCCAAGGATGTCATGGAAGAAAATGCACGAAAGCGCAAGCGCGGTGATGAGGAGGGCGCAGAGGACGCCAGTGACAGCGACTCGTCTGTTTCAGAATTGGGCACAGAACTACCCAAGGAAGGCCTAAAACGAGGAGACGCAAAGAAGAAACAGAAGAAAGAGGCTCAGGAGGCAGAGAAGGCTGCCTCACAGTCGAAAGAAGAGGCCGAAGAACGGAAAAAGCTGAAAGCCCAGAAAAAAGCCGAAAAGAAGGCTGCACAGCGAGAAAAGAAGAAGGCCAAGGAACTTGAGAAGAAGGAAAAGAAGCAGGAAGAAGGAAAACCTACCTCAGAGTCGTCGCAAAAGTCCCAATCGAGTGCCAAGCCTGAGAAGCAAAAGTCTGCACCGGAGGAGGATGAGGACGAGGACGATGACAACGATGCGGATGAGGTGGAACAAGTTGAGGGCTTCTCCCTCGATTTCAACGAAGAACCCACTTCTACCGCCTCATCGACACCAAACTCGCCCGGCTTCGACGCCTCTAATAATGCTTCCGGCAGTTCATCAATATCCTCTATAGTCCCTCCCAGCGCATCCGCAGATACCTCCAAGAAATCTTCATCCGAACAACAAAAAGTGCCCAAAGCCACACCAGAGGAACTGAAGCAACGTCTACAGAAGCGTCTCGACGAGCTTCGGGCTGCCCGCCATGCGGACGGTCTCAACGGCAGGCCCGCGCGGAACAGACAAGAGTTGATTGAAGCGCGGCGGCAAAAGGCTGAACAGCGCAAGAAACACAAGAAAGAGCTCAGGCAAAAAGCCAAGGAAGAAGAACAACGGAAACAAGACGAGGCCATGGCCCGACGCTTCTCACCTAGCGGATCCGGCTCTCTTCTCGCATCACCCCGCTCCCCGGCCGATTCGACTGCATCTACCTCGAACAACTTCGCATTCGGCCGTATTACGTTTGCAGATGGTACACAAGTTGACCCTTCGCTGTCCAGCCTTATCGAGGGGCACAAGCGCAAAGGTCCTCAGGACGCCAACACGGCCCTGAAGGCCGCTGAGGCCAAGCAGTCTCGTCTCGCTACCATGGACGCAGAGAAACGCGCAGAGATCGAAGAAAAGGACATGTGGCTGAATGCAAAGAAGCGCGCCCACGGCGAGCGAGTTCGCGACGACACCTCCCTCCTAAAGAAGACTCTGAAGCGCAAGGAGACTGCGAAGAAGAAGTCAGAACGGGAATGGAAGGAACGTCTCGAGGGCGTGGCTAAGGGCAAAGATGCAAGGCAGGCCAAGCGCGAAGAGAACCTGCGCAAGCGAAAAGAAGGCAAAGGAGCAGGTAAGGGCAAGGCCCGACCCGGCTTCGAAGGTAGCTTCAAGGCCAAGGTTGGTGGCAAGAAGAAATAAAAAGAAAAAAGAAAAGCAATCTATCTACTTCCCATGACTACTTTTAAATACCCTGTCATGGAAAACAAATGAATCAGTCTCCGTTGTGTGTATGATGACCAAAAAGCAGGCAACATTCGCCCCCTAGGCGGATGTATGGGCCAGGGTACCAGTTGGCTTTGGGGGAGTCGGGAATTTTTTTTATTAAGAATTGCATTCCCATTCGTTTTATTTGCTTTCACTTTTTGAGTTCATATTTGAGGTTCCATGTGCATTAGGGAGCGATCTTTTTCTCACAAATTCAATTAGGATTGGAGTTTTGTGCGATACTTGTAGAGTGCAGCAGCATTTGTTATCCAACTGTAATACAACTATTGGTATAGGCAGTAGAGCCAAGAGACCATTGTACATTTAGCGAGGATGTGATCTTTCTTTTTTTCAGACAAAGGGAAAAATCGGCTCTATCGATTGCTGACTGGAACTAAAATAACACAAACATAATACTTCCTTCCGAGAATACATGCATCCATGCAGAGTTGCCACTGGGGATGCTGAGTCGTGTGAGCGATGAAAAAGGACTTCTGATGACGACATTTATGTACAGTACAGGGACAGTTGCTCCAGTAGTGTCTCCTCCTGCATGATGGGAATTATTCCACGACGGAACGTGGTTTATCGGTAGGGAGCGTCGGCTCTGATGGCAGCAGCCAGCTCGGGCTCCCACTTGTCACCGTTGGCCAGCAACTTCTCCTTGTTGTACAGCAGTTCTTCTCTGGTCTCCGTCGCATATTCTGCGTTGGGGGCTATTGGGTAGACACAGTCAGCGATATGTTCACTCAAGGTAAGACTTGGGTATGCGGATGTGTCCACGGCAAGGGCGCGGCCACAGGCGTCTCAATATGCCCCAGGAAAAGAGTGCGGTAATGAAAACCAAGTAGACAAGGAATACTCACACTCAACGATGGCATCAACGGGGCAGCTCTCCTGGCAGTATCCACAGTAGATGCACTTCGTCATATCAATATCGTATCTGGTGGTTCTTCGGCTTCCATCTTCACGCTCTTCCGCCTCAATAGTGATGGCCTGCGCAGGGCAGATAGCCTCGCAGAGCTTGCAGGCAATGCAGCGCTCCTCACCGGTTGGGTAGCGGCGGAGGGCGTGCTCACCACGGAATCGCGGGGAGATGGGGCCCTTCTCGAATGGGTAGAAGATCGTGTATCTAGATAGGGAGGCATCCATATCAGCATTTCTGCACCGCAAGACACTGTGACAGATGGAGAGCCATCACATCCACCACATATAGCCCCATTGGGGCCATCTGCGCGGATTCAAGGAACCTTTTGAGGGATACTTACGGTGGCCTGAAGAATTGTTCCAGCACAACGTACATGCCCCGGAAGAGCTCAGCCATCAGGAAGTATTTGCTGGCCTTATCCAGAGAAGACTCCTCACTCTGATCCCATCGCTTTGGGGGAGCCAGACGGAAGCCAGGTTGGGGTGGCCCAGAAGGGGTAGCTGCCCTGGAAACCGAGGATGAGAAGTTTGCGGTCGAGCCCAAGAGCGACGGACGGAGGGAAGATGCAATCAGGTAGGGCGAAGGCCGGCGATAGGCAACCAGCCTCGCGACAGGCTTCGCGGAGGCCATGATGAGCGAGATCTGAGGCGCGGAGGGGAGGAGAGGGGAGGTCAGCACTGGCAAGTCGAGCAGGTCGTCGACTACGGCGGAATCAGTCGCGATGGTGGTCGAGTGCGGGTTAGGTCATTCCCTTCTGCCGCGCGCTGATTGGCCGCCGGCAGGATTTTGCTTGTCCGGCTGCCGAGCCGCAAAGGTCGAGCATCTCGACGTCTTCAATCCTGCCTCTGCCTCTGCACCAGCTCATTCATCTACACTCCCTTCTCCTCCAGTTTCCTCTATTCTTCCCATCCAAGCACGAGCTTTGCTTCGTCCCCCCCACAGCCACCATGTTCCGTGCCGCCATCGTCCGCTCGCTGAGGGCCTCCGTGCCTCGCGCCGTCAGGGCTCCTGCCTCTCTCTCCATCAGAAGCTCCCCCGTTGCGCGCCCATCCCAATTCTCTCCCTGCTTCGTCTCCCAGGCTGTCAGACTCTACTCTGCTCCTGCTGGTCTGTCGAAGGATGAGGTCGAGGGCCGGATAGTCAACCTGCTCAAGAACTTCGACAAGGTGCGTGGCCAACATTTCGCCCGTGACGTGGATATCATCAGATCAAGCTGACAATTCTCCGATAACAGGTCTCTGACGCCAACAAGGTTCGTCTTTCTGTCAACTCATCATGCAATTTGATCTCTTCGTTTTTAGGAAACCGTCTAACTCCGCACAGATCAACGGCTCTTCGCACTTCTCCAACGACCTTGGCCTGGACAGTCTGGACACTGTTGAGGTTGTGATGGCTATTGAGGAGGTAAATCTACTCTGATCCGTGCGAAGATAATCAAAGGCGAAAGTGTTGACATGTGCAACAGGAATTCAGCATCGAGATCCCCGACAAGGATGCCGATGCCATCCACAGCGGTGAGTACTGAAAAAAAAAATCATATAACTAGCTCCATCTCGTGACAGACCAAATGCTTATAATATCACAGTTGACAAGGCTGTCGAGTACATCCTGTCTCAGCCCGACGGTGGGTTATCTCTTCCCTCCTTAACCGTGAAGATTTTTAGCTAATCTGGCCACAGCTCACTAAATAACCCGCGAGGATACTGGAATGTTAAGAGTCAAAAAAGAGGGATTTTTGGCGTGGATATATGCGAAACTGCTAGAGCTTGAGTGTCATGTGGTCACTGGCGCTGCCTTGTACGCTTAATTCATGCCGGGGTTTCTCCCCAATTATTATCGTGTACATCATCTGCAACATGAAGCTTTGATAAATGTCGGATCTATGTCCTCTGTTCTCGACTGGTTATTCAAGATAATGCGGAATTGAATTACTTATCTGCTGCGGTTGGCTTGCTTGATATACGGCGATGTTACTCAGCATAGCGTCTTGCCCACGGTCAACTACCGTTCCATATGGGGACCGGCGAATGACATAGCTCCCCTTAGAACGTTAGAATATCGAATATCGTTCCAGTGTGACATTCTACTAGACTCTACAATGGTAAGATTTCGCCTGACACCTACTGGAGCAATTGACACTCGCCCTGGAACTCTCACTAGGCACAGGTTTGATTACGTGTCTACCGCGGGAAGATATTTAGATCCCGGAGCTGTGTTATATACTTAGATCTCGATACCAGCGTGCCAATGCCTATAGGCACGAGTGGCATGTTTCCCCAGCAGGCCCAATCACATAGCCATCACTATGGAAGAACAGAGTCGCACCTGATCTGCGTTAAAATATTATTTCTTTATCTCTTTGGCGTTGTGATCCTACGCAGATCATTGGAAGCGTGATCAGCCCCCCCCCCATGGCGGGTGCCAAGCCTCTCTTTTAGCGAGCCGCAGCGGCGCAGCGACAATGTCCGTAGAGCACGAGGCCTCACATCGCCTTTGACAGCTGGACTCTCTGGACTGCGTATAGACCCTGGGACAGTGGTACTGCTTGTGCAGTGTGAGGTCTAGGCCAATTCCTCTCTGCACTGATTGTCACTCTCAGCTTCCCCTGACGTGCTCCATCCAAAACAGACTTCCCGTGCGGATCGCGAACCACCTCTCTGCCCCCCCGAATCCCATGCTGAGAGCAACTCGGTCAATCGACTCCTGAGCTTCCCCCGCCCTCTCATCTCTAGACAAGTTCAACTACATAGCTAGATTCCCCGATGGCCTCAGCCGGTGGCCTGACGCGCCGAAGAGGAGGCGGTCGAGTCGCTGGCGGAGACGACAATGAAGGCAGCCGAGTGTCGTCCCCCACGCCCAAGAATGGAGTCCCGGAGACATCGTTCACCAGCGAAGAGAATGGCCACAAGATCGCTTTTGATCCGAGGGACATCAGCGAGAGTGAGGAGAGGAGCAAGCAGCCCAAGCTGACGCTCATGGAGGAGGTGCTGCTACTTGGACTTAAGGACAAACAGGTGACTTTTCCATTCTTTTCTCTTACTCTGCCTCGTGACCTTGGAACTGACGGACTACATTCCTGTTTCTAGGGCTACTTGTCTTTCTGGAACGAGAATATCTCCTACGCGCTGCGAGGATGCATCGTCATCGAGCTGGCCTTCCGCGGCCGGATAAGCATGCAAAAAGACTCCTCCCGGCGGCGCTTTCCCCTGGCCGATCGGATAATCGAGGTGGTCGATGATACCCTGACGGGAGAAGTCTTGCTGGACGAGGCGCTGAAGATGATGAAGACGAGCGAGAAGATGAGCGTTAGCTCCTGGATTGATTTGATGAGCGGTACGCATTCTCGGGGAGAATGGCGGTCTTCTTGAAAAGCGAGACGTGTTAACTGATGCGATGTCGTTTTTAGGTGAGACGTGGAACCTGATGAAGATTGGCTACCAGCTGAAGCAAGTCCGTGAGCGTCTTGCCAAGGGCCTTGTCGACAAGGGAATCCTCCGCACAGAGAAGCGTAATTTCCTTCTCTTCGACATGGCAACACACCCCGTTGCCGACGGTGGTGCCAAGGAGGAAATCCATAGACGTGTCCGCAACGTGTGCAGCAACCGTACTGTGATCCTTCCTCCCAGCCCCTGGCTCCCAGAAGACGCCGAGTTCAGATACCTTCGGACAATCACCATGGTGTGTGCCGCGTACGCCGCCAACGTCCTTGAGAATGCGCTGGTCACAATGAGTCACGAGGCTCGTGAGAGAGCTTTTGCACAGGTGGACGAGCTACTAGCAGAATACTCCCAGTGGCCATTTGCGCGGAGGGGTGGCGGTTCGCAGGGCATTGGCGCCAACCTGGCGCAAGCCATCAACGATGAAGTCAACAAGGCGAAGGATAAGGAGCTCCAGCTTGAGGTATGTCATCTGCCCGTGTCAACGGACACGCTATCTCTGGAGAGCGCGGTGATGACGATGAGGATGCCGTTACTAAGTGCTAACCTCCACAGATCGTCGCGGCTTGCCTGAGCGTTTTCACTCGTCTTGATTCCCTCCTATAAGCAGCGTATTCCGTTCATATTTCCAGCACACTGATCTCCCGTGCCATCCTTCCAATCCAGTTCGTCGGCTATCGATGGGGATTGCAGCTACTTACTATAATATTGGTCAATGACTGATGGATCGGAACCTGGCCGGGGCTTCTTCGTTTCTAAAGGACACCGTCCATAAACTCGGCATGATATGGCATTGACTTCGTCTACTCTCTCCTGATTCTTCCATCCCTAATACCATCTGCCCAGTGTCAGTTCCGTCTAAAAAGCTTTTGAGGCGTGCAATATAGAGCGTTATGGTTACACAAGATTCCAGACCCAGCATGGGCGTGTGGACACGAACAATCGGCTCCATTTTCTTATCGTTGTGGTCTTGATCGGATAAGATTGCAAATTTCTTAACCGAATATATCTTTGAACCTGAGCATTCATTGACCAGGGGAAGAAAGATGATGCGGTGCATTTTCTTTCGGTTTTCTTCTACTCCTTCCAGCCCACGCCTTTTTCCTGGATTCTGGTGGAATCTTTCAACGCTACCTCTACGTTACATCTTCTGTGAGGGGTCTCTGCTGTGTCTGTCTGGGCCTTGGTCATTGCGTATCTGCCCTTTTGTTCGAAACAATGTTGTTTGTTCACTTTCTTTCTTGACGATGTTTTAATCTACTTTATCAGATCAGCTCGGCAGAGAAGAAATGAGAAAAATTCCTTGAAAAATTCTTTCTTGTCCCATTCTTTTCTATTTCTTGTTTACTCCATTGCCCGCTTAATCAACCGTGCTTTTCTGATGGGAGGTAGCGTGGAAGTAGTACGCTGAATCCATCAAGGTGAGGGCGTGAAAAGATGGCGGGTCCACGCGATCAATATGCTGCTTCTCCATCTGACTATATACATTAAACGATGTTTGGCCCGACTGAATATATCACAGGAATCCTATGAAACCCAGCTACCAACCAGAAAGCAGAACTTCAACGCTACAGAGTCGTTTGGTAGCAACTAGCCAGCATTCGCCCTCAGCACGACTCGTCCTATACTCCTATTCTCGCCCACCCTGGTCATTGCTGCCCGGCCATCGAACAGGTCAATCACCTTTTCCACGTACCCTCTCAGCTCTTCCTTCTCTACCAGTTCATTGATCCGCTCCAAGGCCTTACCATCCGGCTCCACGGATAGGGACTTACTCCTGAGTCCACATTTCCCCATCACCTCTTTCATGACGGCCTCCGGAGCTGGGTCAGAGAAACTCACAACAACGCCTTTTTCTTTAATAACAGCCGCCGGATGCAATTTCTTAAGCGTCTGCCACCCGCCAACGGAATCAAGGACGATATCGACAGGCGCCCATTTGTGCGATCGAAACGATTCCGCAATATCTGGCTTATCAACAGCAGCATCAGCACCCAGATTAGGCCGCAAGGTCTCCGCATTATGGGGCGAAGCGCAGGTCGCACAGATCCAGACCCCGTTCGGAAATAGTGATCGCGAACGAAGCAGCTGCAGCGCTTGCATCCCGACAAAATGATCCCACGCTGCCGTCATCAGGACCCGTAACTGACTACCACTTTGCCCTCGACTCGTCTCCTCTGGATCTAGCCCTCCATGCCGGAACAGAGCCTGCCAGGCCGTAAGTGCTGGCAAGGGAATCGTCGCGGCCTCCGCCGCGGTGACATTTCTCGGCTTAAACGCAAGCTCATCCTCCGTCGCGAGGACAAAATCCGCCGCGGCGCCATCTCGTTCCGTAACGTCCGTAACCACTCCAATGACCTGGTCTCCGATCGTGAATTTCGGCCCGTCCTTCCTCCTGTGATCCTCATTCGGTGTCGTGATGATCGAACCGCAGAAATCGCGCGCGATAATCATGTCCCGCCTCGTTGCGGCATCGAGCGTGCTTCCCCAGGAGAGTTCATCCGGGGAAAGCGCTGCGGTTTGGACTTTAATCAGATATTGTCCCGGTCCGGGCTTCGGCACAGGAAAATCGGTTTTGTAAACCAATTTGTCAGGAGGTGGAGGAGCGGTTTTGTCGTACGTTCCAGAAGGGAGGTATAGTGCCTGCATGACTTCGGGAATGTAGGTCTCTTCGTCCATGTTTGCGGATTCGGGTTTGGATTCTGGATCCATCTTGCCGTGCGGTGATAGAGTCGTCATTGTGGACGATCGCTATCTAGGTGATTATTACTTATTGATGTTGATGTTGATTATCAATATCTGCGGGGAGAGGTTCGGGTTTTGAGTGAATGCTGCTACAATGATACTTTCTTTGTTCATATGTTTCTGATGCACGTTGAAGATAGTTTTGGCTTTGATAGTACAAAAAGGACCTGAAATCAAGCAGGAAAAGAAATCTAATATATGAGACAGCCGACTGTTAACAATGATAAACTAGTATATATGAATGGAATATCAAGTACGACCAGCGCAAAAGGGACGGTGATCTAACACGCCGTGATATCGAAAACTATGTTACGCCCCGGATTTCCTAACGTTGACGTAACCAACTTAGCTGCCGCCAGATTAGATCAGCCTCCGCCACACCAGGGGATCGATAAACCTGATTGTTAGTCCAGAAAATAGAAAGATTGGCAAAAATAAGTAATAAATGAAGTGTGGGAAAAATAATAGAACATCCGTGTGGTCTATCGTGATCGCCTCGTGTGCCGTGAGCCATGGACGTGCTCGAGAAAAAGAACGATTGAAGCTGAATCCAACGCCTGTGATCGTCTGTTACATAAATCGGAACATAGGTGATAGTGCGAGTTTCATGAATTTCGTCGCAGACATAAAGTTGAGTATCGTCATCTCGTCGAGGTAATCCTGAAATGGCCCTCGTTGTTGTTTCCCTGCTCTGTATCTATTTCAGCTTCTCGACGAGTCTATGTAGTTCTTCTGGCTTCTCAAAGACTTTCCAGACATGCTGCGGTATGCCCTTGAACGCATTTTGGAATCTTTCATCTGTGTTTTTCTTTTCCATGTGGGCAACGTCTGTCACTTTTCTGATGAAGATAGCATGGACCCATCCTGGGTATTTCTTGTAGATTTCCGCATAAGCTTCAGGATCACTCTGTGTGGAATCACCGACACACAGGACCTTTCGCCCCGGGAGCCATTGATGGATCTTCTTCATTCGATCTACCTTGTAGGTCTGTGTGCCCTGCGTGAAGGTCTTCAACAACGCTCCTAGATCCATCCATGAGAAATCACGAAGTATAAGAGTCCCCGGGCTATAGTTGGAACGGAGGAACTGCCGCAGGAAAGGATACAGATTGTATGGCGAAGCGGACAAGTAGAACCAAGTGGGTACGAGATATTTCTGGACATGCGAATAGAACTGAGGCATTCCGGGGATAGGCTTGGGCTCTTCCGCGAACGTCGTCCGTAGGATACCTGTAGGCTCTGGAGTCTGAGTGTACTTGATCGTATCGTCGATATCCGAGATGACAAGCCAGCCTTCAGGACTCGCAAACCTAGTCTCCATCGAGACCATATCATCCCAGCCCTTAAGGTAGGGCTTCACCACCGTTCCATTCTTGACTGTACGACCGTCGATAGGTAGAGTCTTGTTGGCGATCCCGTTATCGTTCGTCGGGCCTAGTTGGTGCTGCCGTCTCTGGCCATTGGGAAGAGGTATTTCGAGGGTCAATGATCGAGAGGGCGATATTTTGGTCAAAAAGGGCTGCAGTCGCTCTTGAATCCGTCTCCTGACCGTTTCATCCTTGCCCAATTCGCCATCGAGGCCTATTGCGTCTGCCAGCGACGCAACAAATTCACCAATATCTTCGCGGTCGCCTGCAACGAAAACGCATGCGACTATCTCGGCCTGCCATGTTTGCGTCCCTTTCCTACCTCTGCGCACGGGCCGATAAGCCGTATTATCTAGCAACCAGACGGTGTTGTCGCGTGGATTAGCCGGTTGCGCCAAAGGGTTCCGCTGCCCCAGCACGGACGAGACGAAATCTATAACGCTGGTGCTCCGTCGATACCATCGTAGTGGTAACTTCTTCTCGACACTGGGGAAATCGGCAGATTTCCGTTGTCGACGCTCGTCAGGCGTTTCTTGTGCCTTTTGCCGGAGCACACTGGTCATTATTAGACCAGTTGCTATATATAATAATAGGATTTGTTTATGGTATGGTTTAATTAGATGCCAAGTAATAACCGAACGGGAGTTCGAGCAGCAAACCGTGGGTTCACGCAGTTCGACCACCGGGCGGAGCTAACTTGTCTCTCAGGGGTAAGTAGTTAGATAAATTGAGACTGTTGAATGCGGGGCGAACTCAGGAACATGGGCAAAGAGAAAGGCGAGAACGCTCCGCTTTAAAGCCTTTCTTCGAAGCGACCGCCACGCTCTGAGACGCCGTTTCTTCCGCCATCATTTGCGCGAGTCAGACGCTCGATGATAGCTTTTGGCGGGGATGTTGACTTTGGCTGGAGTGTGATGGCGCCGCTTGGCCCTGGCTTAGAGGGTTCAGCTCTAAGATAGTGTCCGATAGTGTTCTATCTATGGCACGCAAAGCCGGCCAGCCGATGTCAGCCTTATGTCTCTCGTGATCTTAAAAAGCCGTCAGTTGGACGTCTCACCGGTTGGTGCACTGCACCATCAGCGTTGAATCTTACACGAATAATAACCTCAGCCAACAAGGCGTGCTTTGTGTAGTTTCTCCAGACGTTTGAGGCTGAAACGCACGCGAGGGCTGCGAACCCAAGAGAAACTAAAACCTTACGAAGGCTACCGAGCCTCGCACTGAATAATGGCGATCATGAGCCTCGATAGTGCCGTTGCGCAGAGAACTAGTAAGTTGTCAGCAAACGCCCACGTTCACCGGTGAGATAGAATATTGGGAATACGGAATGAATCGCTGACCGCAGATTGGGAAGGTCCTGTGTCGCCGACTGTAAGAACTGCGATATCGTCGCCTCGATCTCCCACGTTCTCTGTATCCAATGACGACAGCTGGGACTTCGTGTACGAGTCGACACGGAATGGGCAAGAGAACGTGTCGAAGCAAAGACCAGAGGTATGTTGATTTCGATAGCTTGATATCGTCATTTCTCTTTTTCTTTTCCCTCGAGCACGGCACACGTGCCTTGAAGCCATCAAGGGAGAAACTATAGACGCCCTGCATATGCCAAGTACCCGAATTCCCATTCCAGCCAGAGACATGTCCACATGGCTTCAAACAAAAAAAGAAAAAGAAAAGAAAAGCTGCCTTTTATCCAGCACCGTCTTTCCTCCCTTGATGATCACCATGCCTTCTGTGGCGGCCGTCCGTGGATGGAGGCAGCTTTATAGTACGGGTCTATACTGCACCTGGCACCCCTTGAAGACTGCTCGGATTCTTTCTCTCAAGAATCACACAATATGAAATTGGGCCCTCGATACCAATGCTAGAGCATGGTGATCCTACAATTCTAACCCTTTGGAATGGGCATCAGGGCAATTGTCCCATGCCCTGTGAACAACCTGAGAGTCGTTTTTAACAATGGCACCGCTTCTTCGTTCTGGGTTCCTTGCTAGAATCCAATTTTTTTTCAAAATCACTTACACATTGGCACTTACATATGTTCACCGCTGTTATGGACCTCTGGACTGACATCTATCATCCGGCGATAAAGATCGCAACGCCTTCTAGGCCCTCTTCAAGAGCATCAACGATAAAATCCAGTCCGGCTTCCCCAAGCTATACCAGCCCCAATCCTTTTATCTACAGCACCTCCGCACATTCATTGACACATCCATGCTCGACACATCACCTAGCAGCCTGCGCCAGGTGCAATCCAAGCCGCATGTCTCGAACGGAGAGAAGTGTTATGCCGCTTGACGAACACAGACCCTCTTATGACAAGGTTTGCGACCACGTTTACGATCACATTTACGACAATTCCGGGCACACAGGCCTTACAAAATCCACAAGGGCATCACGTCTGCTCCAGCAGTGGGGCACCTTTAAGACATGAGGCTGGGATAATCCCTCAACCACTACTGAACAACACTTGCCAATGTCTTGTCCTTAAAATAACGAACATGTGTTGGAGGGCAACAACTCCGCTATCTTTCAAGCATCTAATTATGGACGGACCCATCTCCAGAAAAACTACATCCCAGAGCGAAGACTATATTCTCGCCTCACCGCGGTTCGCCGAAAGCTACGATGTTCTTACGAGACGACGTCTGGACGGGATCACGATAACCCGACATTCTAGGGAAAGAATCAATGCATTAATGTATATAGCCGCAGATATCCTGCATCTAATAATTCTAATATGAATATATGAATACAACTCTCTGTATCGCCCTGCAGGCATCAAAGACAGTAGCCTTTTCGATTCGTTACGTTACATTGTAGACACTTCTGCGAGAGTACTTCGAAAACCCCGCCTTGCTTTTGGCGGGCGGGGTTTTATTCTCTATCGACCTCCTAGGGAAATAATCTCTGGTTCTATTGAAGATATTCTGGCTTCCTCAACCACCACTTTGGAAATTAAACCTTTGTTGTCTAGGTATCTACTGCGAACAACTACATGCTGTGAAGCGCGTGGTCACGTGGATCAACACCAATCTCGTTGACAGCCCCGGCGACGCGTCGTTTCTTCGGCTTCCATACCTAAGTATTGCTAGAGTCGAAGACGGACCTGTGGCCAGCCGATATATCTGCGATTTCCCCTTGACTGGAAGAATTTTCAATATCATCGGATCATCCGTAGAATCGATGAAAAGTGTTGCGATTCGTGCGAGCGACCGGGGCGATTCAGCCCCCAGATGTCTCTGGTCGATGACAATGACCCTCTCCAATCTGATCGCTTTCTACTTGGACCTGTAAACTCTTCAGGGTCCTAGATACATGCTCTAAAAGGACGTGCAGGCTTCAGGTCACGATGTCAGGCCGACGACAACGAATCACCGGCCAAACTTATGCAGAGAGGCTGCTGGCGCCGCCGGTCAGTTTCTCGAACGGACCCTCATGGGTTCATGAGTCTCCTTATATGTACAAGGATTTTGAAGAAAAGACTCCAGTCGGCGTGTCGCGACTGAAGGAACTGGCTATGAAGCGAGTATTATCTGATCAGCGCAGTCTCACGCCGGAACTGTTTACGAATGTGCCGTGGGATATTGCCCATGAGATGTGGCTATGTTTGGGAAAAAGGTATTCGCCCTCTATTATTCGGGATTGGACTTGGTTTTGGCTATTCTTACTCGATAATCCAGCGGAAAGCAGACCATGTATATGTGGAAATTGTTCGCGACGGCCTATCGGAACGAATTCAGAAATATTTCACAGTATCGATCAATGAAGATAGGCTTTCCTATGATGCCAGTACAAGACTACCTTGGACTGGTGAATGACGACGGTCTGAACTGGGGTGTTTCCTTGTTCCTTTCTACGATATATGCTCGTACACCGGACCTCGTGGGAATATCCCGTATCAAGAACCTGGTTGCTCTGGATGTATCCACCCCGTTGCATCCTTCGTTCGATACTCTTGAAGAATCACTCACGGCTGTGGCTCTCAATGATAGGATTATCAGAACTTGGTGTGAGCTCGCGCGGAACTCTTGCGCTTTCAGACACCTGAGAGTTCTCAGACTCACCCACCAAGATGATATATCCGAAACTCTCTTTGAATATCTCGCAGCTCTCCCTTGTTTGCGGATGCTTATTGTTCGAGACTGCAAAAGCCTTGGAACCGCGTCTTCCAGAGCATTTGCGGGGCGGTATGGTTGGGAAGTCGGATCGAAGCCTCCAGTCCAACTCAACGATCAGCAAGAAACGGAGGACTCGGACAGCATATACCAATTCTACAAGGAGACATTTGCTCTAACTGACCATGATGCAAATGATGTAGCGCCTATCTTGGCGGTCGACACGCCCATTCTCGATTTCGAAATCGGGATCAAACGAAAGTTCAATAAAAGCCAGCCTATTGTGTTCCTGAGGAGACAGGTGGACGAGCTTCGAACCGCAGAAACTGCCATGAGAAAAAGAAAACTGACCGGTTCAGAAGGCGGGGCTACATGCTACAATGGCACAAAGACGAGGAGGCCGGTTATGAAGGAGCGAGGCAAGCAGGATATAGCTGGCATGCTCTCGGAATTTCTGTAAGGCATTCTAACAGATCGACGAGACAACCATACGCGCAATTGGCGCATGTGCATTTTCATTCTTTTATAAGCATAAATGTCGTACAATCTAACGGCATGATTGATCGTCTATTTTGTTTTCGAGGTATATTGTCGAGTAGATCGACTCCTGTGCAGTAAACAAGTTTGGTTCGTTGTTGGTATAGAATGAATGCGTGCATCGGGTACCCAATAGGAGGAAAGTTGACAAACAGTAGAGATTCACAATTCTTGCACAGCCTTCTAGTTTTAATCTAATTGTTGCAGATGTACTTTCTATAACCGCCTGGAGGATGTGACTCGGATGTTCCACCGCACGGGACGAGCCGTCGGGTCGCGTTTGGCGATGGAGAGTTTCCAAAAGTACTTTCTCCCATGATCCATCACCCCGCAAACTGCACTGCCACAAGCAAACCAAACTGTCTCCAGCGCACGTTCAGACCCTGAAAGACATCAGTAGTATGCTTCTAAGCCTGCAGTAACTCGCCCGTTCACTCTTCTCTATCTCTCTATAACTTGTTTCCTGTCCTCCGCGCTCAGGAGCGTCGACCCTCCGAGTCCCGCTCGAAATGGCGGACCGGCGACCTGAAGGTGGACGAGAGTCCTCTACCGAACCTGCCATCACGTCTCCACGATCTAGTATTGATTTTCACCCCGCTGCTGCTGCTCGCAGTCCTCCATTGCGTTCGACTGAACTCAGTATCTCGTCGTCAAACCGCCGCAGTTTCCACGAAGCGCTGCGGTCGATGCCTCAGTCTCCCCGAGCCCGACGACAACCCTCCCTGACCCAGGCCGCTATTCAGAGTCTTATCGACAATCCTCCAGTTCCAAATCCCTCAGATCCAGCTTTCGCCGGTCGCGACTGGAGGCAGATCACAATAGGAGAGCTTGTCAAGCCGGATGATCTCAAATACGTGCAGCTTGACACGGACATCGAGGAAGCCACCAACGTATGATAACAGCGGCCCGACTTTCGTTTACGACTACGCGCTAATTCTTTTCTACAGCTCCTGATCGACTCTAACGCGCCAATTCTTCTAATCCGAGAGACCGCTCAAGACAAGTCTGCCGTTAGCACGTTCGATTATACAGACCTCAACACGTATCTGCTACTCGTGGTTGGGTTAGCGCAACCAGCTCCAGAGGATATCGAATACTTCCAGCAATTAGCGACTAGGGCCAGAGAAGGACAGAAGGTTCCACTGAAAGATGTCAAGGCGATCGGTCGTAAGGTCCCGCTCGTGACGCTGCCGGCGTCCGCCAGTTTGATGACGACGGTCGAGACATTCGGAGGTGGTGTTCACTGGGTGGTGGTAGTCAAGGACGACAGCTCGGAAGTTGTGGGGATATTCAGCCAGTTTCGACTCGTCAAATTTCTCTGGGAAAATGGACGAAGTTTCCCGGTTATCGATGAGTTATACCCGCAGTATCTGAAGGACTTGATAGTTGGATCTCAACATGTCATCTCGATCAAGTGGGTCGACTCCTTATCGATGGTGACGCATATGCTAATACCAGTATAGTGGAGATAGGCCGCTCTACGAGGCTCTGCGACTGATGGATCAGGAGGGAATCAATTCTCTTGCTGTCGTCGATAGCCATTCTAACGTTGTTGGTAATATCTCGGCAGCAGATGTCAAGGTAAGATCCGAACCATCACTTTGAAGCCTAGGGCTTGTCTGATAATGGAAATCAGCTCTTGACCAAGTCCACCTCCCTGCCACTGCTGCATAACTCTTGTATCCACTTCATTTCCGTGATACTGTCGACGCGTGGCCTAAACGAGGGCAAAGACTCCTTTCCGGTCTTTCACGTAAATCCCACGTCGACTCTAGCTCATACAGTTGCCAAAATGGTAGCTACTCGGTCCCATCGGTAATACCCTCGCTAGCTCAATAATAATACCTTGTGAATGTCTAACAATTGATTGCAACAGTTTGTGGGTGACTGACCCACAGTCTCCGTCATCTTCTGGACCTCCGACACCATCTCATTCCTCCACCCAGATCCCTCTCTATACACAGGGGAATCCAGCCCCAGCTCAAACGTCGCTCACCCCTCCTTTACCCTCCCCTGGTTCACCTCCGCCGATTAACACCCAGCCAAGCGCACCGCCAAACTACACTAGTCCACATCTCCCGACTCCTCCGCAGCCTTACCAGGTGGCATCGACTGTAGGCGGCACAGCTGCAAGCCTGCCACAAGTGATGGCTCCCTCAATCCCGGCATCTGCCCTGCCGGGCGCCTGTCTATCGGGCCGCCTGGTGGGAGTTGTCAGCCTTACGGATGTGCTCAATCTGTACGCTCGTGCCAGCGGCTTAAGGCCTGCAGACCCTGCAGAGACCCGAAACCGCCGGAGGCGCAGCAGTAGTTCTAGCGTTAATGTGCGAAAAAGTGGCGACATTGGTCGAGAACTCTTAGGTCGTGGTGGACCATGAATATCACATGTATGTGACTAAGTGTCTGTGGCTGGCTGGACTCTGGTAAGTCCAAAGTACCAAACACAGCAAATAGAATTCTCAGCAGCTATGAGTCAGTCTGGGCATATCATTTTCTATGAGGGCTTGTGTGAGTACTGGACAAGGCAGATCAGCTTCCCCAGTTAGCGTACGCTTAACCTCCACCTGCTGTCGCTATTGTCACAGCCACACAAGACCCATTGTTCGATTCTTATTCCCTCATTGGCTCTCTTTGCAGACCCGAAGGCTCAGCAGCATCCAGATTTGTTCAGCAATGGCTGGTTTCTTTATGTCAGTGCACACCTTACTCACGGTCTCGTTAGTAGACAATCAATCAATGGGTCGATATTTAGTCTTGCCACATGTCTGACGCCGACCTCTTGTGGCGTCTGCTGTAGTTCCTGGGTTCTGTCTGAGAGCTGTAAAATGGGAGGTAAGAATGGCTTGGTCTAGCCATCTTCTATGTCCACGCCATTATGGCTTGAATCTTGTCCGTGCCATTGGGATGGTGAACTACCCTTAATCGAAACTTTCCAAGATGTAGGAAGTTTACTTCTTTCCACGTCGACGGCTCTAGGCTTTACCGAGGGTAAGCGACCTCCCCGAAGCTCTCTTATCACTTTTCTGATCACATCCCGAAGGCATATTGTGAGACTGGCTGGGATGGCATTTGTTACCGGGCATGACAACAACCCGACGTCGCTTAGACTTATCACAGCCTCTTATCTCCTTATCGATTAGAGAACAAAGTACTCCACTCCAGCTCCTATATAGTCCTGGTCGTAGATGGTTAAGCCGGAAGTTGCCGCCTTTCATCGTCTGAAATCGCTTAGCAAGCACAGCAATCGCCGGATTTAGACAATGTTCTTCAACTAGGCAGACTCCACTTGATTCGCCAAAACCCCTTCCGGAGAATAAATCCCCTTCGTCCGCAGTCGTGGCTTGCAGGTACCATGTACCTTCTAATCGGGCTTACGTTGCGAGTTGTATAGAATCTGATATATTGCTTACGCCCGTCAGCTTTTGACGACAAGGGTTGGTTGGTTGGTAGCAGAACGATAACTATTTACAGTACTTCCCACTCGCTACGCCATCACTTGGGAGAATCAAGAAGACCCCGTGTGACCCGATTAGACTTTCCCAAGAAGCGGGGTTGGAGTTATGCTTTCAAAAGGAACAAGCCGATCTGCGCAGAACCGTAGGAAATCTACCTGCCTCTCTTTTTCCATGATGGATGTTCTGGTGGTGGCCATCTTTCCTGGTCGCATATCTTGGTTTTACATAGCCTCAATCTCAGCTAAGATAATCCTTTAGACGGAGCATGGTGTACGATGAAGAAAAAAACAGTGGAGAATAGAGTAAGCAAGCCACGAGTTTTAAAACGAAGCTGATACGGACAACGGACACATGTACGCGCTGGATTAAGTATGCAAGATCTTGAAAATCCGACCTGAAGTCTACAGTAGTTCTTCCTCCTAAACCTCTCTCCGGAGTCCGATCGAGCAAGGAGCTAAGACATGCTGGTAATTACTTCCGTAAATCGCTCGTGCTTATCCCATACAATATGAAAAAGAAAAAGTTCATCGATAGACTTCACCATCCGACAAAGTAACCAGACTCCATTTTCCCATCTTACTCCACAAAATTACTTCCGTCACAAGATCAGAACTCTAGCAACCCCGCCTGCGGTGACAAAGAAAAAAAGAAAAAGCAAGAGTAAAACCTGCTCGAAAATCCGGGGTTTTCACAGGTAACTTTCCGCCACCTGGGGAAACGAGCCGTCGAAGGTCGATGGGTCGGGCATTGCTCTGCTGCACCGCAGTATATAACTAAGTAATAACTAATAACTAAGGTACTTCATCGCGCCCGCTTCTTGGCTGGGTTGAGTAGGCTGGCTGTGTATTGCGCCAATTTGTCGATTCCAAGTCTATTGGCAGTGCTCGGTAGTTATATCCACATGGTTAGCTTGCAGTTGAAGGAGATCTCAGCCGTTACTAGCTGCTGGTCGATCAGGGTCAAAGCGCAAAGCAAGAGAGGGGGAGGTCTGAGCGCCAGCACAGCCTATCTACCTTCTAGCTAGCTACTGCTGGCTGGGCTGTGAGGACGATTTCCCTTGGACGAAATGGCAGTTTGTCTTCGGATGTCTGAATATCGTCTTTAATTTATAGGGAATATGTTACTTGCGGACGTGATATGTCTTATGTCCTTGTCGAATAAGTAGAAAGAGAGAAAAAAAGAAAGCAGGAACACATTCAGGGATAAGGTCCATTTTCCACTCGTATTAATAAACTGCCTAGACAAGTCTATCTCCCTGGGGCTCCGCGGAGACGTCGACATGTGGCAAATGTAGCCATTTTGGGTGCCGTAACTTGTACGCTGCTGAGTGCAGATGCAGCTATAATATGAATTCGACGAGGTGCAGCAATCGAGCTGGGCTCCAAAGAAAGAACGGAAGAAAAATAAGAAGTAAAAGAGAGAGAGAGAGAGAGATTGCAGACAGTACAGATCTAGACGCTGTAATCTCACGCATCCCATTGCCGAATGCAGCAATCTCCCAAGGGACCAGGAATGCAACGCCATTCAGGATGATGCCGGATGATGCAACGTCTCATCGACCCATCGTGCAGGTAGGTACTGTACCTTACAGCAGAACGTGTTCTAGATGGTGAAGCGCCGTTTGGAAACAGTTCTTTTTTTCTGCGACGAATATGAAACGTTGATTCTGGATTCTGAAGTACCTACTTGACGTCAAGCAGAGGAGAGTACAGAGTACTCTAGAGGATGATGCCAGCGCATGCAAGACTGTATATCAACAATAATATATTATGTAGCCATATTGATTTTCAAATTTCAACAAAGTCCAATACTTATTATATAACTACCTCAACCTCAGTAAATCGTAGAGTTACAACTCCGCGCAGTTTCGGTACCATACTCCGCCCCAGCACCGCCGTTCCCCACCTTCGAGTCAAATAAAGTTATCAACATCCCTACACAAGTATGCACCAAGTTCGGTTCCAGTGGAGTTCAAGTGGATCCAACAAGCCCGCCGTGCGCCAACCCAAAACCCCATATTTGATCCGTGCGCCGAAATACAAATAAGGAACCGAACTTCAAACAAGCCAATCATGATCGAGTGAAATCTTATGTAAACCGATTCGCCAAGCAAACTAGTTAACACTAGCGGCGTTTTCGGTCCTTCCCGTTTCCACGTCGATCATTGCCTGACGATGTCTGTTTTCGGGTTGAACTTTGGGGAGGTGTTAGTACTTGGGTAGGTAGAGAAGTCAAATATGAAGGAATGTGATATTGGACATGTAGCTACCTACTGAGTAAAAGCTATATCTACTTATGATACGTGGGAAAGATTCTTGTTAGTTTCTTTTTTATGAATTCCTCTTTTCCCCAAACGTCCAGGTCGGACGATATCTTATGGTATAGATCGCGAGCTAACTGGCTGGATTTGCGTATACGTAGCTTGGTTTTGGTGATCCTACCCTACCCAAGTATCCAGTGTCTACGTACCCAGGTACAGCGTAGAAGCTTGCGTACTGTATCTAGATAGAGCAATACTACCTTGCGAGGCCAGTGTGTCTGGCGCATAGAGAACCACGAAACCGAAGTATTGCACTTTCTTCTATCTTAACAGCAGGATACAACAAGAGTAAAAGCCAAGAACGCGGAGAAAACCCCCAAATAACACAAAGCAAGCTCCGTCGATGAAATTCAAATTCAAATCAAGTTCTCCATATGTGGAGCGACAGACATGAGATCGAGAGAGACATGCCGACCAACTCCCTTCTTCCTCTCTTTTTCTCTCCACTATAATAAAACTCAACAGGTACGTAATTCTGCCCCAGACTGTCGCGATGAATATTGGTCTTCTCCCTCGTCCAATTAGATGAGAATGGGATATGCGAGTTGCAACCTTGTAGAAAAATGTCTCCGATGAAACGTCCCGATTCTGATGTGGAAAGAAGGAAAGAGAGGAAGATACGACAGCGCAGATGGATCGAATAGCATCGGTTCGATCCAGATATCACTGTGAGGATAAATTCTTTTAGAAACTTTATCGCGTTGGGGATAGGTATTGTTTCTCAATGTCGAGGTCAGAACTATGATAAAAAAGCAAATACCAAATCAATCTTCATATAATAGTAATACCTTAGAAAGTAGGAACAAATTATACAAACTCCCATATCCTATCTTGTATTAACTGCATATCAAGCACGAACGCAATCTACTTCACTCCATATAAAGCCTAACTAACTCTGTTAGCTCTCTTGGATTTCAATCCAACCGCGAGAACACTACTTGTACAACAACCAAGGTATAACAAATATCAACAAGCTAGTCCTTGTGGAACTTACACTACCACTAAGTACCAGCAGCAGCAGCAGCAGCACCAGTCGTAGTAGTGTTAATATGCACTTGCAGGGATGGTTTGAACTTTTTTTCTGGTTGCATGTACTTTACTTACTTACCTATCTAAGTACATAGGTAGATAGTGATTATCTCAATCAATCCAAGTACATGTACATGTACATGTACCTAATAAATAATAATTATTCCCCTCAACAGAAACAAAACGCACAGGCGAAACCCCCTCTCTCCCCTCCCCCCTTCTTCAGCAAAACTGCCGAGACATTATAGGTAACCAACACCCCTCGCACCACAAGTCCCTAATCTAATCCATTCATTCATTCATTCATTCATTCATAACTTCCCCTACCTACCTAGTACCAGTAGGTAATAGGCTCATAACTGTAAATTAAAAAAAAAAAAAAAAAAAAAAAAAAAAAAAAAAAAAAAAAAACGCCCCAGAGCAAAAACGAACGTGTGATATCCCCCATGGTTCGTTATCGGCGACTACGAAACCAACTAACTCCCCACAGCAGCATACTGTCCTATACAGGAGCACCCAAATCTGATCCACACTGAAAGATAGAACAGATAGGTCCCACATCACATATCTGGGCTGTGACCTGTAAGAGTTGAATCGGTGGCGATTTGGAATGACAGAACTCAACTCTATCGGCTGGAGCCGTTCACGCAAGAAACCCCCCGTTCTTAAACCAAATCCCGCCTGCCGCTTGTTCGAAGTGCTTATTGGTCTAGGAAAGCGCCTACGTAAGATGAAGAATAATAAAGTTCAAAATGCGCCATGCATGGGCGATCTGGTGGCAGTGACTAAGTGCTAAGTAACTAAGTCAGAGGTTTTTCTCGGGATGCAAAGCTACGGACAAACGGCAGCGCGTAGGGCTGAGCTCGATAGCCGAAGATAGGCGTCTTATCGATAGGGATATGTATCGGGATTTGGGGAGTGATGAGTCCGGATCCGGTCTAGTGGCGGCACCGGCCATTGCAAATACAGTAAATCCTAGCTATAACGAATTGAATCAGACCGGCACTTTTATTCGTTATAGCGTGGTATTCGTTATATCAAATATTAGGGAAAGGTAATTTACGTCATGTGATCATAGTAAAGGGGAGAAAATTTTCAATATTATGTAATAGATACATGAAAATAAAGGGATTTTATTGGCTATTTGAGGATTTTTACACGTGACATGTTACTTATTATAACGAATCCCCTATACAAAAATGACGGCCATCTAGGGATTTGTACCAAATTTCGTTATAGGGCAGATTTAACGAATTTTGTATGGGGGTTTGAATTAGACACGCTGTTCGGTTCGTTACAGCGAAAAATTCGTTATAGGTAGGGTCGTTATAGCGAGGATTTACTGTACATCCATAGTAAGTATGGTCGGCTAAACCTCGATAATTCTGCACCCAAGTACAACCTAGCGGACAATTCCGTCGGTTACTATGACAAAGAATGGAAGAAAAAGTGTTTTCAAAATGTATCCAATGGTTCGATTTATCATCCTCAGTCGCCTGGACTGGTAGCTGGTAAAGCAATTATAGACATAATGAACAAAAAAGGGCGAAACCGATCCGTAGAATCTCCGTATCCAACAGCCAATGGTGTAACTAAGTGGTAGAGAGGTGCGATATATCCAATAGATGGGTATTCATTCCCAGATGGCCAGGTGGACTGGCGAAGCAAACAAAAAAAGACAGAACAACTCCGACGCTCTAGGACCGGCATCTCGTCGTAATCACAAATAGAAATACAATATATCATAATACAACATAACAACAGTAAAGAAAAAGATCCCGAAATAATGGCAGTATTTCAATCTTAGGCCGCGGCAGCAAAGTCCAGGTCCAAGGCGACCCAATCATCAAAAGCAGAGGTCTCCAGCCCGAATCCGTCCTGGTAGTGGGAACTGCTTTCCAGACCCAGCGCGAAGCGGTTGAAATCAGCAAAGTCGGGGTCCAACTGATCGGTGGACACCATCAGTGGGGCGAGAGGTGTGCTGTCGTGAGCCACCATCTCTGGTGGGATACTGTCGTCCCACGATGTATTGCTGGCAGAGTTCAGACTGCCTGGGGAAGGGCAGAGATCCGGAGTACCCCAGGCCTGGGGGGTGACATAGGTCTGCTGAGGGGTGACCGTGGCCATGGTCAGAGGCTGCGACATGGTGTTGTGGCTCTCCTCCGGTGCATCAGAGGACGGCTCCGACTGGGCCCGGGGACTCTGTACAGGAGATGGCGGAACGGCAATGGGCAGCTGTGCCCGCAGTTGAGGCTCGGGAGCAGAAGCCAGGCGGGAGCGGAACCCTTGAGTCGGAGTGGGCGACTCATTTTCGAGGGACTGCATGAGGACCCGTCGTCGCCAGGAGTCGACCGTCTGGACATCGTTCTGCTGAGCGGCCGGGTAGCCCTGCTGGCGGCGAGGGAAGAGGTTGAAGGGCTGCTGTCTCCATGAGTTCTGCTGGTTGAGATACTGAGGCATCTGGGGCGAGGGGAAGCCATTCGAATAGCCCCCGGGGGTCTGCACGTAGGAGCCCGGGGTCTGGACGTAGGAGGGCGTGCCGGGAGTCTGGGGGTATGTGATCGTGGGCGTGCCAACATGATCCTGACTGGCAGGCATGGGACTGGGGACCGATCCAGCGCTGCCCCCCTCTGAGAACGAAGCACGAGTTGCAGGCAGATCAATGCGTGTCTTCTTCACTCCGTCTGAGGGAGCTTGAGGCACCGCGATGGAATGGCGCGAGCGGGCAGCGCTGTTGGCGCCAGCGGCAAAGGCTGCGAGAAGCTGTCGCTGGAATTGCTCTTCGATCTGCATATTCTGCGCCTGGAGCATGCGAAGACGCTTCTCCTGGTACCGCTCGTCCACTTCCTCGTACATGGCCTCCTTCTCGACGATCTCCCGGGTGATGTAGAGCGCCTTGCCGGTCCGCTTCTTATGCAGCATAGAAGCCCGATGCGCTGACTCGAGACGGGCATCCAGACTACGGTCCTTGCGGCGGGATGCTGCCACAAAAGCTCTGTCTCGTCTGTTAGTATGCTACGATCTACGATCGATATCGGGACTTGTCTGGGGAGGGGACCTACCGCTCCTGGTTTTCCTCCCGTGACCGGGGAATGGACGAGAAGTCCGCATCGACGAGTTCTGGAGAGGATCCCATCTTTTTCAGACCCGTCTGGGGGAGGTGAATGGGTTGATGGGAAGACCGACTTGCTGTGCCTAGTATCTCTTTCTGGTGGTTGTCTCACACAGAGGGAATCAGACAGCAGCTACGCGGACTGGTGGTATCAGAAATGCCCGTATCAGAAGGAAGGATCAAGAGTAGATAATAAAGCAAGACCAGTGGGTTGAGTCTTGATGACCAGATCTAGACCAGAGCAACCCAACGAGCGGAGAGGGGGGTTCATATACTCGAGGAGATGAGGGGGGAAAAGAGAGAGAGAGAGAGAGAGAGAGAGAGAGAGAGAGAGCTAACTACTGCTACTACTGCTACGGCCTGTCAGATCCAGAACGAGCTCCATCGTAAGAACGAGGGACCGCCCGGCCCATGGATCGCAGGACCGCATCGAGTCTGGGTCAAAGATCACATCCAAAACTTTGCCGTAACGGGAACCGTGGGACGAGCGACTCCGCGTCTGGCCGCCAGGTCGTGGTCTGGTCCGGAGTGGAGCTCGTGTTCAGCAGGTGCTCTAGATGTGTCCGTGGAGTACAGTAAACCGAGTAAACGAGAAAGAGAGAGGATAAGATAGTGATAGTGATAGTAGAAGGGGCTTTCTGTATGCAGGGTCAGCCTGGCTCTGCAGGCAGGATATGGTCAGAGGGACCAGGAAGATAGAAACGGGCTCCAACGGCGAGGGCGCACTGGGCGACCACTGAACGTCTTCCAGCATGTTGCTAGTTGGGCTAGCCCGTATGAACCTGTTGTTTCCCTGACCTGACCTGACTGTCCCTCTTGCTCTCCACCAGCCAGACAGGATATCTTCTCCGCGAGCGACCCTGCAGCAGCCACTACTAGGTACTTAGTACTGGCGGTAGCGCACGAACTGGAGCAACGCAGCTAACTCTTTTGACAGCTGCAGCCCTCCGCCGCCATCGACATAACCGGGATGCTCCCTGGGTGTCAGGACGGGCTTTGGAGTCCAGAGAGTTTACTCTAGGCCTAGGAGGAGTGGGGAATATGATAATGATTATTTCTGATTGTGATTGTGATTGTGATTATGGTATGATTAGTTAGTTATTAACTAAGTCGTCCTCGTAAGACTAAGTAGGTACCATAATACGGACAGGATCCTCAGGCAGTAACCCTGGAAAGCGAACAAGAACGAGAGAAGACAGTAAGTTAGTCTACCATAAGTGGAAAGAGAGAGAGAGACAGCCCTAGACAGAGACAGAAAAGACACACAGAGAGAGAGAGAGGGCGGTGGCGAGGATATACGGAGTACGGAGCAGCCAGCGAGTGACAAGCTGGGAAGGCACAAGGACCGCCCCGAGCCCGGAAGGAGCGACCGCCGCACTGGCCAAAGCCAAGGCGCGCCTTCCCCAGGACGGTCCTGCCAGGAGCTTGGCGGAACTTTATGGCACGTGACCCGCTCGCCGCTTCGGGCAGGCGCACGGGTAGGCGCACGGGCCCCTCGCCATCCCCGGCCGATCGGATCTGCTGCTTGCAGTGCGCACAGGTCAACCGTCTGTCTTATCACAACTTCATAACTACCTAGGTAACTAAGGTAGTTAACTACTGCCATAGCTTAATCTATTATTGCTATGCGCTCTCATTCCTTTCCATCACCGATCATATGGAGTCAGTCAGATTTAGCAAAATAGACTGAAATAAACCGAAAGAGGAAGCAGTAGAACATGCACTAACCCCACATCCTAGTGTACATACTCTCTCCAATTCCATATACAACTAAGAGAACGACTACGGCCAAGAAAACACCCAGACTTACTCCCCCATCTCCTCTCTCTATTTCTCTCGCTATATCTATACTAATCAGTATTAGATGTCCCCAGTCTGGTACACTCTCACTCACCAACAATCGCCTGCCATCCACGTACTCTTCGACAGGGGTCAATCACTGACAAGAACAACGAGTCTATCCTGCAGTCGCGTGACGGAATACGGACTGCGGATTGGCTATATTCTTCCAAATAGGATGCACTGCTCGTTCCGGGGCTCCGGCCGCGGGAAAGAACCAGCTTGGCTGCTCGCCTGTGTTTGCCACAGTCCGTCCAGACCGGTCGTCGTCGTCGGCTGCCAGCCCTAAGCCACTGCCCGCGAGTCTAGAGTAGATCCGTCGCGGGCCTGTGGCAGCCAAGAATCCAAGACTGGCACGGCTGTCCCGATCGGGGAATTCTGAGGGTCCATGGACCACTGCTCTAGCCACCGTAAGCCACCGTGCCCGAATCCCCCAGATCGCCTGTTCGTCGTAGACCTAGGTAGATGACATGTCACCTTCCTGATCCGGTACTGCTTGCGGCGGCTGTTTTGTGGCTGGGATCCCCAAGAGCCGCCACGCCCCATTTATTTGTCGATCTACATCGGGGTGCTGTAGCCGCGGTCCCAGATGTTGGGATCGCGTATCGGACTCCTCCGACAAGGCCCTTTATGATTCTGTTTCTTTTTTCATATTTTTCATATATATTTTTTTTCGCCTCGTCTCTCCAGACCAAGGTACCGGGTGGGGTTTGCTCGACCCCGGATCTCCGGAGAGGCTGTCAAGAACTATGTATCAAGAAACCTTTTTCTCACTCTGCTCTGCTGATCTGCAGCATCTCGACTGTCTCCGCGGAACAATCGACTCCGTCTTGGCCTAAACAGATGCTCTTTCAACGGCCAATGTGATGTCTTCTGATCGGACAGAAACCTCGGCCCAGAACAGGACCCACGAAGAGCTGGTCCATTAGTCATAACAGGAAACGTCAATAACGAGAGAAAAAGAAATTCTAGGCACGACAACACGGCGGAGAGATCGTGTCATTGGACTCAATTGACAAAAGCGTGATTGGTTATCTCAACTCAGACGGACATACAACGGTCTCGCTTGCTGGACTGACCAAAAACAATATGGGGCAAACGAAATTCTGATAAGGAGTCAATCAAAGTATTCCCAGACGATACATGGTCCACAGGATCTAGATGAGGTCCGAGAATAGCATCGTGACCTAGGACCCCATCATGGCCAAGCATACAAACCATTCTCAGGAGATACCCAACGGCGGTACCATTCCCTGTTCCTCCTTAGCCTCCGTCCCGACTTTGTAGGAGACCCTAAAGCGAATCTTCACCGAGTTCCCTTTGCCTGCATCCACCCCGTCCAGTAGCAAGTCCTGCTGCACGCCGTTCTGCTGCAGTGGGCCGATGTCTCGGCCCGACTGAGGCCGCAGCTGCAGCTTGTACGTCTAGACATTCCGTTAGCCCTAACAGCTGTTCCCAAACAAGAATTAGTGATAGTGACGACATCTAACGCACCTTCTCCACTGCGACCTGGAAATGCAGCTCGCTCAACGGTCGGCTCGTCGCGTTGGAAAATAGGGCTACCACATGAATCTGCCGAGGATGGCCAGGATTCCGACGAGCCGCGAACTCGATCCGCAACGATGAGTTCAACACCTGCACTTTGTTGGTGCTTGGCAAGGAGCTTTCCGGCAACGACGAGGTGAACGTCCATTCGTCATCTCCAGCAGCATTTTTCGTGCCTGTAGCCTGCTGGGAGACATGTTGAGACGAGGACTCCCCACCGGCCAGGTCAAGTAATGACGACGACGCTGGTCCTTGCGGCTGGCCATACTGAGGCGGTTTTGAGAAAGGAGACGAGACTCTAGGACTGGCCGAGACAAGGGCAGCAAATGGGTCCGCAGGTGGTGGAGTGGCCGTCTGCTGCTGCTGTTGTTGTTGTTGTTGCTGTAGCTGCTGTGAGACGAGAGGTGCAGGCGTCGAAGACTGAGAGACCGGCCGCGAAGAATTTAGAGATGACAAAACATCATAGTTCGGCCTGAAGGAGGCAGGCTGCTGTGTCGAAGAGCTGGATACCATAGTAGCTGAACCCACTGCAGGGGGGAAAGGGGTATCTGTTATTCGTTCAGCAATGCCAAGTCAATGAGTGCGAGCATTCAGAAACATACCTATTCCCAGGGAGATGCCACCGCTCGGCGCTGGCGGCCTGTCCTGGAAAGACAGACCAAGCAGATCATTTTCCAGAGAGCTGGCACCCTGTGCCGCTGCGCTCGACTCGTTGCCGTTAGAGCTTGGCTCCGGGTCGAAGTCAATCAGAGACAACTCATTGTCGGCATTCTTCGATACGCCTGTGCTCGTGCCCAACGTGCCCTTCGGGATCTTGGAAGCTGCCTCAACATCGCCCTTCTTAACGAGCTTATAACGCTCAATGGTTCTGTGTATGCTGTCGTTGATCTCCAGCAGCTTTCGGACAGCCTCAGTATCGTCTGCCTCCTCTTCACACATCTTCTGGATCTTCGGGTGGGCACTTTGGAGCGCATTGGCGAGCTCCTAATATGCGGTCAGCACCAGGAATTGACGCGGAGACCCATGCTTCCTACCTCAAACACATCTCCTTCCGCGACCTTATCACCAGGCTTGAGGCTCTGCAGCATCTCTTCAAGGATCTTAGCCTTCTGCTGAACCTTTGCAACCTCTTCTGCGGCCTTGGCCCGGTAATCTGTCTTATGTCTGGTATCATATCCGGCCATCACCTTCATCAAGCGGTTAGCCTCCTGCAAGTCTTCAGGTCCACCTCTTCGGATGAGCTCCTGCAATTTGGCTGACTGAGCTGCCCTCTCTTCTTCTTCCATCTCTTCCGCTGATCGAAGATTCTGCGCGTGGTTAGTCGGGTTCGAACAAGCCGGGACGACCACATACGTCGCTGGGATTTAGCACAGCCGCGTCTTCGTGGCGGACCTCTGGAAACGTGTAGCCCTTGTACAGGAGAAGGCGATGCATATCCCGAATGAAGCCTAAGTCCTCTTTGTATCGAGACGTCTGGCATATTGTCTGGCGCCACTCCTCGATCGATTCCAGAATCCGGTATTGCACCCTGGAGGGCCGCAACGGTGGCCTTTCCGGGAATCGTCGCACCAATTCATTTAGAAACTCTTTTGTACTGATCTGCAGATGGAAAGGATAGCCGCAGTTCTTGACACATATATCGAGAAGCTAACCCCGACATTAGCCCCGCCTCCCCATCATCACAGTGATAACCTACCGCCAACGCCAGCAAGGAGACATTCTGATTGCGCGAATTGATAAGACGGACTATCGTAAAAGCGGCATCTCGAGGGCTTTTTTTCCCGCAGGTCAGATGTTGGACATGGTACCAGGACGGAAGCAACTCACGCATTGCCTTTCTTGGAGTTTATCAGGTCCGCGACTTCGAGATTCAGGGCAAGGTTAGGCTCGTAATTGGCAGGATCGCATGCATTATCTGTTGCGATCGTCAGTATTGTTTCCACCACCAGTGCCGTAGTGCGCCGTGGGAGGACGTACGTATAGCCCGCTGGAGAGGTGATAGCCCAGGTTCAGCATAGGCACCGAACCGGTCCCTAGCTGCCATGCGTGCTGAAGCTGCCTCCAGATTGACGGGGAAAGTCAATGTACAATGATAAGCGTTGTATGCGCGCGGTATCGTCGCAAGATGCAATGGCTGGACTCCCGCGAGGAGCAAACGTGCTGGTGCGTTGTTCGATTCGGTGATGGAGACTTGGCTTGATGATGACGGGGCGGTTCGCGGAGCTACTGACGGCTCCACTGAAAACCCCCCATGCTCGACTCTTTTTCCGAAGCCGCATATCTATCGATCTTTCACTCCCAGCACCACATTTCTGTACGAGGGCTAAGCGCTTCTCTGGCCCTCTGGACCTACTAAGTCAACTGCCTGATTTACAGCAAAATGGTCCGACACAAGAAAGACAATTTCTCGCGAGGAGGGAAGAAGTTCGCCTCCAAACCCCGCCCACGGCCATCACCCCGCGACGACGACGGCAATGAGACAGGCAACTCCTCCAGACCTCCTTTCAAGGCAGCCTGCTGGGACTTGGGTCACTGTGATCCAAAGAGATGCTCCGGTAAAAGGCTGATGAACTTTGGACTCATGCGGGAGCTGCAGATCGGACACAAATACCCGGGAGTTGTCATATCGTACGTTTTTTTTTTTTTTTCTTTTTCTTTTTCTTTTTTTCTTTTGCTCCGATAAACAACGGCATAGTCTAATGCTTCGTCTAATTCTCTAGTCCGAACGCGAAGCGCATTATATCTCCCGCTGATCGTGAACTTCTCGAGCAGTACGGGGCGGCGGTCGTGGAATGCTCCTGGGTTAGAGTCAAAGAAGTGCCGTGGTCACGGATCGGTGGCAAGTGCGAGAGACTGCGTATGTATACGACATATTGGCTGCTATACCGTTGATTTCCTGACGATTTCAGTGCCCTACCTTATCGCCGCGAATACCGTTAACTACGGACGTCCATGGCGGCTCAACTGCGTCGAGGCTCTGGCAGCCTGCTTCTATATATGCGGACACGAAGATTGGGCGCAAGAAGTGTTGAAACATTTCTCTTACGGCGAGGCGTTCCTCGAGATCAATTCTCAGCTCCTCAAACGATACGCCGCCTGTTCCAGCGAGGAAGAGGTCAAGAAAGCCGAGGAAGTGTGGTTGGAGAAGATCGAGCGCGAATACTCTGAGAGCAGGGATACCGGAGGTGCAGATGACATGTGGACTGTTGGGAATACAAATCACAGAGAAATCGTGGAATCAGATGAGGAGGGGGAAGACGACAACGAGGACGAGGATGATGAAGAGGAAGACAAGGATCCGTTTGCGATCTCTGACGATTCCGACGATGAGGAACAAATGGCTGAGATCCGGCGCAAGATCTTGAATTCCAAGGCTTTCCAGAATCCATCAGAGCCGGAGAAACCAGAGCCAGAGAAGATCGAGCGTCCTGAGACCCTGCCGGTCGATTCGGACGCTGAATCCGGAACAGACGGTAGTGACGATGAAGCGTTTGATAACATTATCAACGCCACCGTAGTTACGGACCGGACTGGTATCATCGCGAAGCAGCAGCAGAGGAAGACCGAAGATCTGACAGCAACATTCTCAAGAACTGTGATTTCTGCCCCTAAGCGATGGTGAACGACTTACGTTTTGGCTCATATGGAAGGATTCCACCAGCATTCTCCTTTACGTCTCGTCATGGCCTCACGTTTTGGAATATCGCCTTCCTTTGCTGATGGGCATTTTCGCAGGGCAAAGATTTGCCCATTCCAGTTCCCCATCCGCACGATCACCCAGTACCATTGACCATACTTGAATCCCGTAGACGGGACACAGTGGTCAGGCGAGAATAGGGCTATCAAGTAGCCAAAATATCGGCAGTGAGTGGAGGAGACTTCGTGCCTACCATTCCCTCGCTACGGCTCTCAGCCCTTGCGGTATAATCTCCCCGTTTCTTATCCGCCGTGGAGTCAGCATAATGAGATGCGTTACGCTCTCATCTGTTATTCCCACTCCGATTCACACGGCTAGGATCCGTCCCGTCGATGAAGATCAAGACAGAAGCGAGATACCCAGTCCTTGAATCAAACCACAGGATACAGGAAATTACGACACGGAATACGAACATTATATTCAACCATCAAGAATACAAAAGTTTTATCCATCCATCAACAACATACATACATACATTATCTATATATATATTACTGTACTTTTTCCATGTACATGAAACCCCAAAACATAGCAACGTCCAAAATATATAACTAAACGCTGCTGGTTTCCTGCTCATTCCCATGCATGAATGATACCAGATTGAAAAAAGTAGAAATGTCATCGGCCAAGAGAGAAAAGCATATCTCACAATGTAACAGTCCATGAAAAAAAAAAAGTGAAAATGCGAAAGCATTCCTTCATGGTATATGCAAAAAAAATAACGCCATGCTTTTCTCACCGATTGTATTCATCATATTATACTTCCAAAATTAAGCAATCGACCTCCTTCCACCAACAGCATACTTGCTCCTCCTCCTAATATGTTCTCCATACTTAAAGAAAACATACGGCACAGGAACCAGGGCCGCACTAATCGCTCCCAGAATAGTCAAGGTATAAGCAACACCCAAGTTTTTATAAAACGGCAACGACACCTCGATCATCCCTCCCGCAGCTACGTATCGAATCACCGTGACGGCAGCCAGGGCACTTGCGGCGTACGTCTCGTAGCTATCAATGACGTATTGGTAGCAGGAGATGAAGACGCAGATGATTCCGTAGCCGAATAGGACGGATGCGCCCAGTGGTGACCAGGGGGAGATGTCTGGGCGGGTGGTCCAGCCCATCCAGAATAGGGAGACGGGGATGGCGGGCGCTCCCCACATGGAGAAGTAGAGGCGGACTTCGGGTCGGACGCGTGAGTGGCCTTGTTCCTGGGCGCGAGCGAGGTCTTGTTTGAGTTTCTTCATGGCGAATGGGACGAGTAGACCGCCGAGGAAAATGCCGATGGAAATACCGACGAAGCATACGCCCGTGAGGCCCTGGGAGAAGCCGTAGGTGTCTGTGAAGATGAAGGTGTAGCCGGTCAAGAAGGTGAAGAGGATGATGTAGATGACGGTGAGGTAGAGGGCGACGAGAATGATGATGGGTTCGCGCATGGTGAGGAGGAAAGGACGGTAGAGAGCATGGAGGAGTCGACGCATGAATGTCGTCTGGCGAACCTCGATGGCTGCTCGATATCTCTTGTCGCCGGTGATTCTTCGAAGATGTTGGGCTTTCCATTTGAGGAGCACGGGGCCGTATGTCTCGGGTTGGGTCAAGACCACAATGGCTAGCACCAGGCCTGAGAAGATCAGGGTGATCCATTCCACCCAGCGCCAGCTGATGAGAGAACTCTCGCCGATGAAGGATCCAGGAACCGGTCCGCAGACGGGTCCGACAAATGCACAGCAGGCGAAAATGGGAAAGGCGTATACGCGCTCGATGGGTGTCCACATATCCGACAGTGAGCCCCCGGCGCAAACCAGAGGCGTTGAACCGAACATGCCCGCGAAGAAACGGCAGACCAGCTGCGTGCCCAAGTCTTGAGCGAGGCCGGCACCCATGATGAACAGCATGTATATCGCGAGAGTCCCGATATAGACAGGGTTTCGTCCGAGGGTTTCTGAAAATGGTCCACTGACCAAAGCACCTGTTCCGAATCCAATCAAGAAGAGTCCTAGACGGCGCATTGTTAGAATATATTCCAGATATTAAGCAAAAAAAGTTAACGGAATGACATACCTGTCGCCAATGACTCTGCGACATCGCTGACGCCGAATGCCTCCATTCCCTGCGGTAAAGCCGCGGAGTCAATGGAAGAAGCCCAACCCACGACACCACCGATGAGAGAGATGACCAGCGTGGATGTCAGACGCCGTGCAAAACTCCAGTTTCGAGGATCCATGGGGTCTTTCTCACCCTCGTAGGCGACGACAAAGACCTTTCCAGCAGCAGCTCCTCCTTCCTTGGTGGTGCGATCGCGCACTTCGATACCCGTCAACGATAACCCTAGTGTCGTGCCCATTGTCCCATGAGTTGGAATTGTCTGCAGGTCCTCTGGCCATTCTGGATCATAGACGACAGGTCCGGAGCCCGATAGTTGATCCTCGTAATCTGCCCGTTCTAGATCCCCTGCTGGTTCCATATCCAACGGAGTAGGCTGCTGGCCTTCCAGCCTACCGGACGAGCGCGACGACGCTCTTGATGGAGAGCGTCCGGCATCGCCTTCTCCCCGCTCATCTTTCTCATCCAGTTGTTCGTCTTTGTCTTGATATTCCTCCTCCTCCTCCTCTTCTCCAAGCGTAGGAGCGTCCGAGGAGGTATCTGATGTCGGGCCTCTTTGGCGCCGCTGGCGTCTCAACTCAGCGGTGCGCTCTCGATTTCTCTCGATCTGAGCCTCGAGCTGCTTACCAAATTGGCGATATTGAAGAAACGATTGCATGATGAACGGCGGTGTAAATTCTCTCTACCTAGGTACAGGTACCGGGAACGGAAGCGCTCCTGGGGCGCATATACCGCGGGGGGTGTGATATACAGACAGAGATATATCTACACGCGCGATGCGTAAAGCACCAGCTCTGACCCCCGGGGGGGGGAGAGGGGGCAACATGGCTTTTACATACTCGGAACCAGGTTCTCTTACTCTTTTTTTTTTCTTTTTTTTTTTTTTTTTCTTCTTTTTGCCCGCCGTGGATCCTGGAAGTGAAAGAAATTCGCAAGACGGAAAGATAGTTAGTTAGTTAGCTAAGATAGATAGTGGAACTCGTGTTTCTTTGCTGTGACGAAAAGCTCAGGTTCTTTTCCATTATTTCCATACATTCAGCGGAGTCTGACCCGCTCGCTGGGTCTCTGTCAGACCAATAATGCTGTTGCTATGGATGCCACAAAGCTTGGTCGGAAAGATGTCCGACTCGACTAGCCGAAGCCATATCGTATTTCGGCTCTAGACAACAGTGAGTAATACTATAATCCTACTACTACTACCACTGTTGACATAGTCAGTTATCTTTCCTCTCTCTCTCTCTCTGTCTTTCTCCCCTGGTGATCCACTCATGTTCCAAGGAATACTAAGTTAACTTAGTCTAGGTTATAACTAGATTGCGAGTCAGTGTCATTGTTTATCTATCGTGCCCAGACCATGCGGATCCTCCCAGACCGCTCTGCGTCCAGACATTCTGACATGACATATGGTAAATATTTAGCGGCTTGGTGATCATCCCGTCTCGAGAATCTTCGATTCTTCCTCGCAGAGAAGAAGAAGAAGGGGTTCAAAAGTTCAAGGACAAAGAAAGAGTCATGCTGCTACTCGAGGGGACAAATTCATCATTCTCTCGAGTCCCGAGAACAACCCCAAGAGTATCGCGATATTCAGCAATAACCAGTTATAGTTAGATACTCTAGATAGGGCACGCATGGTTGGAGTCTTGAGACGATCTCGGCTAAGCGGACCCCCGGCGTAGGGTAAAAATCCAGACGGGGTAAACAACGAACTACTAGTAACTTGTAAGCCATGGGCTCTCGCTCAGAAAGCCGTCCATCCATGGAACTTGAACGCCATTCCTGATTATCAATCATGCTCGTCTCGACCTTAACTTACTAGGACGCACAACATAAGTTCAAGATACAATAGATACTAGACATCAATCCCTGTATCTTGTCACATCTACCTGGAGTTAGTTAACTCTCGATGTTTTCGTGATAATTATCCTCGTAATAATGTTTACTGTGCTGATATTACTCGGTTTGTGTGATTGTGATTGTGGTGATTATACTTCAAGTGTGGGATGGGATGGATTATCGGATAATCGGCCCGCTAGAGTTGATGGGATCTGCATCATCATCATCATCAACTTCTCGGCTACTCCCGAGCTTGGTCTTTCTTCTCTTCCTTGATCCTTGCCCCAAGTACGGAGTACTCTGCGAATATGTAGCTGATATGTATTATAGTACAGTTATTTTACGGTGTGGAAATACCACACTAGATAAGCATCGCTATGGAGATACGAATTATCATTAAATTAAATTAAATTACCCTAGTCTAATGGAATGGATGATTTCTATACGGAGTATACTCCGTAACCGTGCGTTGGGCACCCGGATAGCTGATAGGTATCCCTTGGGCTGGAAAAAAACAAGCAAGGCTACCCCAGCGTCAAGAGACTAAGTGGATTAGTGTCGTCTTGGCGCCGATTCCCAATTTCGATTTCGATTTTTTGATGTCCGTATCACATAACAGGGATCTAGAATACTGTAGGTATAGTCTAGTTCCCGGGTTTAGACTGTCTTTCGATAGATGCGCATAGAGAGACGGATGCTGATGCTGGTCCATCCGCATGATCCCCTATATCGTGTGGGTTCGAGCTTCGTCACGGATCACTATCATAAAGATCGAGAAGAGAGTCACGAATTACTATTTTCTGAATTCGCATGGAAACTGAACTGCAGACACCAATCATTTCAGATAGCAATATCATCCCATTTTGTTACCCCACCCAGTCGACATTAATTTGCATTTCATGAACCGTATCACTCCTCGAAACAAGAGGCCAGGCAATCAGGCTCGATGCCATAACTGCCTGCCGAGGAAAAGAAGAGAGAATCGCTTTCAAAAAAGAACAACGTCCAAAACCAGGCTGAAGCTGGTAACAGTCACGCAGTGCACCAAAGGGAGAACATAACAAAATTACAGACTGGCCAGCATGTCGAGATGAAAGGAAAGAAACGGGATCGGAAAGTGACCGGCTGGACAACAGATCAAAAGCGAAAAAGAAAAAGTCGTTCCGATCATGGCAGATATGTACCGCAGCTCGTTTACATCACGTAGAGGAGGTTCACATCTACGGTCTCACGTCAGGACGGGTCACCCACAGTGGAGGAGAGAGGACGGCTTACCCAGAGGGTGACTACTGCTCAGCTGGGGCTTTTGGGAGTACTTGGTCGCCAACTCGTCTCGGATGCTGTTCAACAGCTGCACGTAGCTCTGCTGAGGGTTCTTCTTCAGAGCATTGATGAAGGCCCACGACATGGCACCGGTGGCCTGGCCCGCGATGTTCGCATCTTGGCTGGTTTGGTCGTCTCTGCTGCCAGACCACATGACAACATCCGCCGGACTCGTCTTGGTCATCTTCGTCTTCTCGTATGCCTCGTCACCCCTCGTAGCCTTTTTGAGGAAACCAACAGCGGTCGAGACCATGCCACCCATATCTCCACGAGCGTATGCGGAAACGACACCGAGCAATCCCTGACCAGCTTCCTTGGCCAGGTTGGGCTCCTTGAGGACACCCTGGGTGGAATAGATGTAAGGTAGATCCAGAGCAGAACCCGAGTGGCAAGAGTCGAAAATGGCTGTGAGACGGACACCAGGCTGAAGCGACTGGACCATGATCCGGTGCATTTCATCATCGACAATGTGGCCAGCAACCCTGAAGTCCACCGGGTAGATAACTTCGTCGTATCCATCGTCCTCGTCGCCGTCCAGATCCGGCGTCTGACCACCATGGCCTGCAAACCCATCAGCAGAGGTCCTAAACATCACAGAAACATCCAAACCCACCGGAATAATGGAAAAATAGCGAATCATTCGGCCTTGCATCCTTCACCAGCCAGTGCATCGCCCGTAGTATATTTGCTTTTGTCGGTTGGCTCATGGGATTTTGTTGGTCGTCAGTGAGGATGACCATGTCTTCTCTGGCATAACCGAAATTCTGGTTCAGATATGCCGACATGTTCTTCACATCATTGATACAACCTCTTAACTGTCCCTTCTGGCCAAAGTAGTTGATTCCAATCAGCAGCGCTTTCCTTTTGCCGGTACAGTTTGAATATTGGAAACTATAACCCTGCGGTGCTCCATTGCCAAACGAGACCGGCTGTGAGGGTGGCGGAGGAGGACCGCCATGGCGCCCGGGGGTATAGTTGTTCTGGTATGGCGCTATTCCGTAACGTCGTCAGAAATTAAACGGATATCAAGTTGCTGCCACGGGGAAGCGACTGACCTGGTGGTCCATTATACATCTGGCCTCCATTTGGCGGCGGGGCTCCGTAGGGAGGAGGACCTGGGGGAGGGCGCTAGTAGCAGACAAGTCAGCATCTTTTTTTTCCTATTCTTTTCCTTTCGATGTACAGAAAAAAAAAACATACGTTGTATCCGTTATTCTGGTAGGGAGCGGGGGAGTTCCCATAGGGCTGAGGTGACGGGGTATGTCCATAGCCGTAAGAGCCGCTGTGACTGTGACCACCTGGGCCGTAGCCTTGACCTGGATATCCGCCATAATTTTGCTGCGGAGGGCTGCACAGCGTCAGTCATCTTCGAGTCCAAAGACCTACGGTGCGTCCAAGGGAGAACTCACGGATATTGCTGCTGCGGTGGCGGATAGCCCGGTGGGCCACCATAAGGCGGATAGTATGACATTGCTAAGAGGAGACCGAGGTAGTGAAGAGGATTTTCAACAGGGTCGATCTTCTTGGATCAAGGTCGGTTTCGCCCTCAAAGAAGTAGTGATGAGAGAACGACGATAATGTGGAGGCCGCGGAAAATCGCAGTTCGTGAGAGAAGGCGGCTGGAGTCGCGGCGTGTAAACCGCGGGAGGAAGACGTAGAGTATTGTAGGTAGTTATTGGCCCGAGCTCTTAGCTAATGACTCCTCGCGGCAAGTAGAGTAGTTGAAGCGCCGCGTTCTTGATCCTCGAGTAAAGGTAAGTAATAATAATACGTTCACGGCCGAGTCCGTCAGACAGAAAGAAAAAAAAATGATATCGTTCTTTGCCAGGCCCACTGGCAGCCACGCAGGTCTACGTTGCTGCAATCGCGATGACGACGCTGGAATGGCGCGTGAGATAATAATAGTTAATTTAGGACCGTAGTCCCAGAGCTGCGATCTGCGAACTCTCCCGGCACTGCTGTCGAACCGCTAAAATAGGAAGCAGACTGCTCAAATAATAAGGCAGAGGATGTGATCCAACACGAAAAGAGGGATCGAAAAGGCAGAGTTGAGCCGAACCTTGGATAGATCTTGTTCTCCGGTCTGGTTTCCGAACTTCGACTTCTTTTAAGTTCTTGGGTTCATCTCACTCCAAAATAAGATTGTACTATTTTTTTTTTATATTTTTACTTTTCCTACTACTAGATACCCCTGAGGCCTGATCTCATCGGTCTTCCCCGTCATGCCAGTTCATCCCAGTCCGTGCGGGTGGAAATTGCAAAAGAGTCCGTAGCGCCGGAAATGGTGGGGGGAGAGAAAAGCCACAGTGTGATCGATCGCCACGCACTGGGGATCGTTTTCTAGAAAGACAGACATAGACTATGAGGACAGACACGCTGGCATAGATTCATGTAGACTACCAGCCCCATCCCATTTTGACAACATCATCCTCTGCATCTCTCGAGGCGATGACATGACCATAATATTGAGGCTGTGCTTGCATGTCGCCTGTCAAAACTTGATGATAGTTCTTTGAGCCCTGCGTCTGACACGTTTTTGAGAGTGGCTGTGCTAGGGGTGGTGAATTTCAGAAATTTACTTTTAATTTCATGAAATACTGCATTTCGCCCTTTTTTTTTCTTTCGAAATTCAAAACGCACAGACCAACTAGTTGGTTACACTATACCTAAAGGAGATAAGTAAGCGGTAGCCTAGATTTAACCAATAGATTGTGCTAATTTTGGATGTCTTGAGATATTAAGTGGGTCGGAACTACCACACTAATTTATTAGCGTATTTCAAAATTTCAAAAAATCTTTTTCTTTCATTTCAAGACTTTTAATTTCATGAATTTCATGAAATTTTGAATTTCAAAATACCACCCCTAGGCCGCTGTGCTCACCTTCCGGGAGAGGATTAGTTGATCGCTGAAGAACCACTCATCTTCAGCACTCGTCCTATCGGATATACCGTCCATTGTAAATATCGATACTATCTATATGCACGATTCCGCCGGCTATTTAATCTTATTCTATCCTGCATCTGCGTGCTGATCGTTCCACTGCGTCGGGGTCGCCTATCCTGCAGCAACTACCAGGTATGCGTCTCCGCGGAACTAGAGTATTATGTATACTACTCTACCGATTATAGCCACTACTTGGTCGAAGCACGCCGTAATAATATCCGATTCGAGGGTCAGGCCTTGATCTGGGATAATAGGATTAGATCAGAATATGCCCAAGCAACTACCTATGTCAGGACGACTAACTATCACCGGCCCGCTGACGTAAATATATAAATAATATTATTAGAGTTTACAGAATGAACAACGACGGCCCTCTCTGGCTAACCCGATGCTTCTTCCGCAAACGCAATTGTATATCAAATCTACGCGCAGGGTGAAGCGGGATCTATTACACGAGAAGAGCTCATGGCTTTTTATTGCACTTTTCCTGTTTGTTGCACTTTCCTGCTGCGTCTCAGTTCCCAAGATCATATATAGAAAGATTGATTTTTGGTCTCTGCAAGGAAAAGTATTACATCTCGTATCTACTTGCTTCTCCTCGTCGTCACAATCGTGAATATTCAATTCTTTCTTCACTCTCCAATGCTTTTCCCTTTTTCCCTTGTTCACCTTCTGGGCATACCCCGTCCGCGGCCACGGAGAGCACGCTGGGCGGCACCCGGTGGCAGACCGCGGGTGGGTGCCTGAGGCTGGGCGGATTCTTGGTTCTCTGTTTAGTTGCATCGTGTGTTAGTAGAAATATCCCCCCAAGAAGGATAAACAAAGGGGAGGGCGGGAAACATACTTATCGTCTCGTCCACACTCAGGATCAAGCACGCAGCCTCGACGGCAGCCTGGATGGCATTGACCTTGACCAAGCTGGGCTCCCACACAAAGGCTTCCATGTTGTCGCGGACACCTTCATGGTCGAAGTCGACACCCGCCCAGGTGCTACCCTTGCGGTGCTCAACACGGAGTCTGTTCAGAATGTCGGTGGCATCGAAACCGGCGTTGTCGCAAAGCTGGCGAGGGATGACTTCCAAGGCCTTGGCAAACGCCTTAACAACAGCCTGCTGCTTGTGCGGCACGTTCTTATCAGCGTAGCGGTGAAGGTAGCTGGAGAGCTCCATCTCGCAGGCACCACCACCGGCGACGACGGTAGTGTTACGGATAGCGCGCTTGACGATCATGATGGCATCGTGTAGACTGCGCTCGACCTCGGCGATGAACTGCTCAGCCCCACCACGGAGCACCAGGGTGCAGGTCTTCGCTCCGGGGCAGTCAGAGAAGATGTTGAATCGCTCACCACCAATCTGTCGCTCCTCGAAGGAACCGCAAGTACCGAGGTGACGATCCTGGATATCGGAGCATGTCGACTGAACCGAAGCGCCTGTGGCCTGGCACACACGTTCCATATCATCGGATGCGACGCGACCAGCGCAGAAAATGTCCCGGTCAGCAAAGTACCTGTTCGTTGTTAGTGATCGGGAGATCGTATGTTGTGTCTAAACGGAAGCACGCACTGTGTAGCCAAGTCACCGATTGGCAGCTTGCTCAGAACAACCTTGGCTCCCGTCTTGTAGATGGCCTCCATCTTGTTGTAGATAATCTGCCACTCCGCGTCGACAATAGCCTGGTATTCTGACACCTGCTCCACCCGGACCTCTGCGTTATCCTTCTCGCTCTTCAGTTCAAGCTCGACATTCAAGCAAACAATCTTCGGGTCCTTGAACGACTTGGGCTGTTGCTCGAAACCAGCGTAGGAGAACGTCTTCTTGAAAGCAACACCGTTAACAAACAGCGACTCCTGAAGAGCACCGCCGTTGACCTTCTTCATGCCGATAAGCTTCTCGTTAAGGTCTTCCTGATCGAGAGTAAGGACAGCATCGACAACCACTGCATCATATCATTAGCTTCTTTTTGCCCTCTCCCCAGTCCGCACGAATAGCAGATGCACGCACTCTTCGTGAAGAAATCCGAGTTCCTCTTGATCAACTTGCTGTTCATCGCAGTAGCGGCCAATTTCCGCAGAGTGTCGATCTTTTGTTCCTCACTGCCCGCTGCATCGATGATGTCTATCGCAATCTCCTTGACCTTGTTCACAGACATGGCGCTCGCTCTCCGCAAGCCCTTGATGATTGTTTGTGCACTGACTCCCTGTTCGACCAGATCACGAACCTCCTTCAAGATCTCACCAGCGAGAACAACGACAGATGTTGTTCCGTCACCCACTTCGGCATCTTGGGAACGTGCGATGTCGGTAAGAATGCGGGCGGCAGGGTGGACGATGTCCAAGAGCTTGATCCCCAACCGGTCAGCTATCGGATGACAGATTATATGGCAAAAATAACAAATGTAAAGTACACACCTTCATCACTGTTGCTCCATCGTTGGTGATTGTCTGTTTGCCGTTGCCGTCAACAAGAAGCAAGTCGCCTCCGTATGGACCCAGTGTGCTCTTGATAGTCGATTGCACCGCAACGCAGGCGTCGATATTCGATATAATCTGACCCTTTCCCTGTGAAGCGTCGGTTCCTAGTGATTTATAGCATCAATAAATGGCCGCTTCACCGTCAAGCGGGCATGATGGTGCTACCGACCTTCCTTCAGGACCACGATGGTGGGGACTTGGCCGGAGAAGGCCATGGTTGTGGGATGACTGTGCCGGGTGACCCGACGGGGAGGAATACAACAGAAGAAAAGGTATTAAGTGATTGAAATGGACGGGGGAAAAGGAGGTGTTGCAGGTTCTTTGGAGGGATCGCGGGGTCCGCCTCGACGAGCTCTGGGGTTCACGATCTCGACCAAAATTTCCCTAGAGCTCTCGAGAGCCCGCGTCGCCAAAGGACACAGCGCCAGCCAATCATCATCCGCCTTGCAACCCTACCGCTTTGGCAACGTTCACCACTAACTACACAGTATTACTGTTGTGAAGCACATGCAGGACATTCTGAGATACTGTTTTTTTATTTTATATAGACAGATTTTTTATCAATCCTTGTTTAATGCTATTATTATCAAAATGGCAGTGGTGCACACTGACTTTTAGGAAATCCGCTCAGCGTTCAGTTAGTGACGCTGGAAAACACATCACGGCCTCATGCTCCGTGCAGATTCTATGCTTAGACGCCTTCCGAAAAAAAGACTCCCAGAACACCATGGCCCACTAAAACTCCAAGTCGTCTTCTGACCGTTCGACGTATCTCGCTAACATCTCCTGTTCGTGCTGGGCTTCGCTCAGCGGAGCGTTTACCAGCCCAAGGGTCTCCCGGCGTAGAGCAGCGGCCTCTGTATCCGACTCGTCATTCATCATGACTTGGTAGTCATTGCCAGCATGCCGTCTGACTTCATCCTCGAAGTTCGAATGAGGCAGGTCCTGCGCCACATGTCCATATGGGTCAGACATGGCGTCGTGGTGTTGGAACCTGGGGAGATGCTGGTTGATGTCGATGATCTGCGGGTCAAGAGGCATATTGGTGTAGTCGGTGATAGAGTCAACAGGCGCCGGCACGACTGATTGATGCGTCGATACGAAAGGATTTTCACCATTGGGAGCGTCAGTCATGAGCTCGTCTGGAGAACCAGTTGCCGCATCTGGTGATCCGTTGATATCGCTCGAACGAGCGACCGACGACTCATCCGCTCTGCCCGCCCCAGCAACAGGAGCTTTGGGTGCTTCCTTACACTGCGGGCAGTCCCTGATGACTCGGCTCACAGTCTCTTTGATTCTTACCCAGTGGTACTTCACGGCAATCGTAGCAGTCGTCTTGTTGATCCCTCCGTGCTGCTGGATATGAATCTGACGAGCTATCTGATACTGCTGCTGGGGATCAGACACAACCTCCTTGTCTTTCAACATGAGCTTTTCAGGCTCCCCATTCTCCCCGCCGACTAATTTGTAATGAGTTGCAGCGCTTCTCAGCCTGCTCTTCTCAGCTCTGTCGGCCCCTCGCGGGTATTTTGAATGCTTGAGGTAATATCTTATCTTGTCAAAGCGCTCTTGAGTCACAGAGTCTTCACCTTCGGGACCCAAGTCCCGTCCATATATAATGGCATCCACGAACTGACCGGGCTGGGAGCGCAATTTACCCCCGCTCGGGACTTTTCCAATCCGCTTAAAGCCCAATGCATCCCATATACGACAGGACGCCACGTTATTTTCATATACAAGATTAAATACAGAATAAGTATATCCCTGCTCGTAATTAGTGGAAGTTCTATCAGAGTAGAGAAGAAAAAAGGTTGCTATCGGGGGAACACAGGCTAGGATATTGCCCTGTTTGCTTTGTGTTACTTACTAGCTTTGGCGCCCATTCAAGATATCCTTCTCCCATCAACCTACCCACACCTCTGTTCCGTGCAGCATCTGTGACCAAGAACATGCCATTGCAGATATGACTGCTGCGGCCAGGATAGTTCGGTCTGATATTAAAACTGCCAAGGCAGGCTTTCGCCCAATCCGTGCCGGCTTTCTCCATAGCCTGCACATCCTGAGCGCTCCTGATATCACCCAAGAGCATGACGGCACCAAAGTTGGAGAACCAATACGGACCAAAATCATCCAGAGCAATCGGATCAGTCATCGCATACGTATCGCCCTTTTCGATCTCTTTGTTGAGCTGATCTGATAGATAGCCCAACAGAGACCGCGGTACTTCGGCCGCGCATGAGAACGGGACCAGCGTCGCGACAGTGACCCGGTCCCTAAGAGTTACCTGACGCGGAGAGATCGTGCCAGGAAGCTCCTTATCCGTCGCGATGACCGGGGCGTTTGGGTCTTCATGTACCGCGGGCATCATGCCCTCAGGCACCTGGCAGAGCCGGTCACGGGGCTAGTTACCTGATTAGTCCATGGAACAAGCCAAAGCTCACAAATGATATTGCAGAGCTGAACGTTATTATGTATTACCGGCCGGCCCGGAAGAGAGCCGCCGCAGAGAATGAGTTGGCATTGCAATGATCGAAGGGTGTTGCGGGGTCTTTACCAGGTAGGGGGTTGGAAGCACGAAATATCCAATTATACTTCAATCCCTGGCTATTCAAACACCATCTGGGATAGACTCGGTGGGGGATGCTGCGTCGTTAACGGGCACTTCAAGGACCGCTGGGTATTCTCGAGACCGGAACGTGGTGAACGCAGCAGAGAAGACGTCGTCCCGCCCCGGAGGCGTTGGCGGATCATCGTTGTTCCGCCATATCATACCATGATGCTGGGATAATCGTTAACTAGCTTGGCGTGGTTAGTTATTAATACTTGATAACTTAGGTGATTATTACTGGAGCTTTATTGTCAGTGATAAAGAACAGTGTTAGCAGCTACGGTGTCAAAATCAGCAATATAAACCATCACTGACTGCGTTAAGATAGGGCTGGATTAAAACCCGTACGCATAATCTAACTACTACGCATCGCGAACAGGGGTTTTTATACCTGGCCCATAACAAATTAGCAGATGATATGCTATTACGTAGCTAGGAATAGACGCGACTTCTGTAATTGCCGTCTGTTCACCGACATTTCAGCTTTCATCTTCAACCATCCTGTGTTCTTTCATCCATCATGGAAGGACATCAGCTTCCACAATATCATCGAAACAATCTATCTCCCGCCAAAATTGACAAAGAATCGCTGCAGACGATATTCAGGGAGCTACAAGCCGCAATTCGACATGGAGTCGACCTCCTCCAAAACAATGTCTCCCTACCAGACGACCCAAAGGAATATGGCAGCATATACAGTGGTACCGCAGGTACATGCGAGTTTTCATTCATCCATTCAATTGTACACGTCCAAAAAATAAAACCAAAACAAAAAAAAGCACAGAAAAGCTGAAATATTATGTAAACCCCAGGCGTCGCCCTCGCATTCATGAGGTTGCATTACCAAGCCAAATCTCTCGTTATGGACGATAGTGACCCCCCCATGCCGGATTTTCGCACCCTCGCTCGCGAAAGGGTTCTTCAAAAGGGACCGCCCATCCGGTTAGATGATAAACGTTTCTCGCCTCTAGGCACCCGCAAGTTCAGTGCTATATATGTGCGATGTTTGGAAAAATGCTTTTTCAATCGCAGAGGCGCGGGTGTTCATCTTCGTGCTAATGATATCGGTGATATCGCTGCGGTGGATATGCATGCCTCCCACGATGCGATCAGGTTTCCGCGGAAATTCCGAGATCCAGATGAACCGGAACCCCCAGGGGAGGAGGTTTTGTATGGGCGCGCGGGTTTACTATGGGGGCTTGAGAATCTGCAAGCACATCCGTTTGATGATGAGAATCAGTACTCTTTACGTTCGGTGTTCTCTCACACTCAGAGTCTGGTTGATGTCATTATACAGAATGGCAAGATTGGCGCGGAGGATGTTTGGGTAAAGAAGCATGGTGAAAAAGGTCCATTGCCGTTGACATGGACGCGGGATGATGGACGATGTAATCTCGGCGCGTGAGTTCTCTCCTTTCACTTGTAAAAGACGTAGCATGCTCGAATACTAATCAGTGTTTGGCTTGATGAAGCATCCACGGAGTCTGTAAGGATGCCCCCCTCGACGTTATGATATCTGCAGCTGACACGTGGGAAAAGGCGGAACATTGACGATCCTCCTACAATGCAAACCGTGGGAATTGGAATATGACGAAGAGGAGTCTCATTATCCGATTATAGCCGATACAATAACAGAACTATGCAAAATCTGCATCTCCAACAACGGCCACTTACCAACATCACTCCCTGTTCGTCCTTCGAATCGTGCCTCACCACTGGTCCAGATCTGCCATGGCGTCCCTGGTCTCATGCTTCTTCTCGCGACAGCTAAACAGTTCATTTCCGAGTATGAAAAGCCAGAATGGGACGAAGCCCTTCGGCTGGGCACCGACCGGGTCTGGGAAGAAGGCCTGCTATCCAAAGGCGGTGGTGTTTGTCACGGACATGCTGGTAATGCATGGCCGCTTCTCTTACTCCATGTTGTCTACGAATACAGCAACAAAAATGCGGGTCAACACTCAAAGTCTGAAGCTGAATCCAGTGCGGAACGTGGTGGCCGTGTTTCCCGCAGCGCCAGCAGAAAGCAGAACACTACTGGCGACTCCTATCTTGCCAAGGCTCTGGCAATGTTATTGTACGCGCGGAAGACGCAACCATTCAGCAACAGTGCTGAGGTGCGGCGCAACTTCCGCATGCCTGATCGTCCCTATAGCCTCTTTGAAGGCCTAGCGGGGACTGTGTGCGCTTGGGCGGATGCCTGCGCTATAATCCGGATGCGTTTGCGGAAGATGGAACTTGCGGAGCAGCTTGGACGTTCGTTGACTCCAGAGGACTTGAAGACCGATGAAGCCTTCAGGGAGCATTCACAGTGTTTTCTGGGAATGGTAGGGTTCGGAGGATTAGGCCTTACGGGAGGTCTCTGAGTAGATGGCAGGCAAGCTGATCTTTTTTTATTGAGTTTTCAATTTCTCTCTGATCGGTTACACTGCAGATAGTAGTCTTTCTCTCAAGTAACTCTACGACTTTGATACGAAATAGGAATAGCAGGTTATTTTTTTTGCTGTCTTTTGAGGAAGAATGAGATCGTTGACATGTAATGGGATATTTGTTTCAAGATAACTCGAAAACTAAACGATTATACCATACATCACGTAGTATATCTCTTGCCAAGTACCTTCTAATCCAACCAAGTTCCAATTCCAGTTCCATATCAGAGGACTCCATCGATAACCTAATCACCTCCAAAACGCCATGCTGAATGCTCAATCAATGCCGCAAACAAGAAGAAACGTCTTGACCGTGTCTCATGTCCAAAAAATTGCAGGATAGGTGATAAGTGTCTACACGACAGTAAAGCCGCCATGGTATATTGGCCGTTGACCGGGGATCTCCCTCTTGAATTCCACTCTCTTCGGCGTGTAGTTCGCGCGTGGCATCTCTGCGACAACTCTCCATCGTCGCCAGCACCTCTCCAGACGGTGATCGCGGTCTCCGCAGAAAGTGCAGCAGATCTGCTCCTTTCTCTGTTGGGCGGCTTTTCTCATGTCGGGTTGACTTCGGGCTCGGGACCGCGTCTTTCGTTCCTGTTCTTTGCGCATCTGCTGGACAACGAACTCGTTGATCTCTTCCTGGCTGGGTCTTTTGGTGTGACCTTTCAGTGGTTGCTGTTCCTTCCTGTCTTTGTGCATTTGCCCCGTGACAAATTCATTGATTTCATCTTGTGTCAGAGCGCGTGGCTTCGTCCAGTCCGGCGAGGACCGACCCTCACCGGTCTGCTCTGCCTTTTGCAGCATCGCTTTCTCGTACTTGATCGCCTGGCGGGAGAGTTCTTGAAAGGCCATCTGCTGAGCCGGGTCGGTGCTGTTTACCCGCTTGTCCCGCAGCATGGTCAATGCCCAGTCCTTCCACTCGGGCTGTGTTTCCAGCTTGGATAAGAATAAGACGTTGACTTCAAAGTCCTGGAGGGCGAAATAATCGTCGATATTCGTCAGCCCTTCTCGTAGCGCTTGGATAAGGGCAATGAATTCTGCGACGCTCTCGAAGGAGGAGAAGTCGAGGTTGAGAAACTCGCCAATATAGTGCATGAGGCGTATCTTTTTCTGAGAGGCCTCCATCTTTGCGACCGGATCACGACGGGGTGCAACTTGCTGAGCTGGATTGATTGCTTCTTTTTAGGGAGTAACAACGGGATTGAGACGATCGAGAAAAGAGAGAACAAGAGGATCTGGGAGGCAGGGAAACCAGGTACATTAAGAGAGTCGCAGCTGATGGTCAATTGGTTATCAGCCCAGTAGACGCTTTACGTCACTGCAGTAGTCGGCGCCACCAGATGGTTTTCCGTGTTGTTCGAGCAACTTGAGCCGGTCTTGATGCACGCCAATAACGCCCATTAATGCTGCGAGGATCTTCAAGACCCTGAACTGCAACAGAACCCCTTCTGGCTTCTCGTGGATTGCTTGGAGTTCGCTGGGTGGTGGTCTGATCGTCGGTGGTAGAGAGCTGTTTGTTTACACTGAATTAACTACTTGTACGGAGTAGCTAGGTAACTATCCACTGCGATCAGAAGTATCATATGCCACTGCAGATATGGAAGAAGCTTAAATCCCACCACATGGCGCATGAAAGATCTGTCATATATGCATTATCACGCCTTATTGTCCGTAAGCAGTGTTGATTGATCCCCTTGATTGGGGGAGTCCGATTCTCAACCGTGCTATCCCTTCCGGTGGCTGGTGCGGGCGCGGATAATAATGAACCCAATCATGCAAGGGAAAGCGAAAGATTTGGAAAACCATTCTTTCGTGGAGATAATACTCCGGACAGTAATACTTCTCGAAATCATTCCATGTATTTGCAGCCATGTGCACGGATCCACGGCACGGCTATCCCCATTTGCCTCAGGCTCACAGGGCTGAGGGGTTTCCTGACATGAAATCACTGCTGGAGCAGATCGACGCTCTATCTAATGCGTACTCAGCCGCAACGAGTTGGGTCACGCTCTTGGGGGCCAGATTGCCCGCACACAACCAGTGACACTAATGGTAGTTACTTCAGCCATGTTCTGTCCACAGCTCGATCTCGAGACTATCATTACCTGCCTGACCTGGGCTACTATGCTCGAAGCTTCAAGGCATACACCAGGCTGAGAGTATGTGTCTCGCTGAGAGGTTCTAGCAACATATAATTCGGAAAGTGAGATCCTCACAAACACGAAAATGATAATTGAAACAATACCTCCGTCATACGAACATGCCACCACCAGAGATGCCTGGTCCATCGTTGCTCGTTATATACCTTCCAGTGATCTCTGCGCTGTCGCGCTCGTCTGCAGGAGATGGCACGAGCTATTCATGCCGTTTCTCTGGGGAGACCCAGCCTCCCATTTTGGGACGGAAAATGATGCGGTCTATGGTGAGATCCATGCTAACTAAGGAAAAGAATGGAAAACTGATCTCGCGGAGTCGCTCTCACCCGCTTTCGAAGAACCCTGAAACGAGCACGGCTCAGCGTCAGGATGCTGACCCATACTCTCCATCTGCCTCCCGCTCTTTCGGAGATCTACGATGGCCCCCGTCCGGAGTGGCTCAAGGAGGTCCTAGATTATCTCCCGTGTCTCCAATCTCTGATAGTGTCGGAGCTGCCTTTCTTTGACCATAATGCCATGGTTGCTTTGAAGCAGAATTCCCACAGTGGGCAGACCGGCAGGCATGATTCTCTGCGGACGTACAACCTCCGCCTGTTGAAGGCAGAGCGAGAGCCCAATACAACCTCCGTTGGAATTGCAGAAGCCTTATTACGGTTTCCCGCCCTGGTCTACCTCGACCTGTCTTATACCACCTCTGCAAGGGACAGAACAGTCCTCTCTACATTATCCCTGTTGGAAGATCTCCAGGTGCTCAAGTTGCGGGGCATAGGTCTCAAGGACAGCGACGCAGAGTTTCTGGCGAATGCCATCGGCAGTCGCGTACGGTTTCTGGATATTCGGAACAACCTACTCACTGATATGGCCATCAGGTCGTTGATGCAGGCTTGCTTAGGATCTCCAGCAATATCTTCGACTGAGACGCAAACAGATCCAGGAATCCAAGGACAACAGCCCACCAGCCATTCGGCGTTGAGCCCTTATAGCACCTATATACTCAACCGTGCTGATTTGGATGAGCTGATCTTAAGTCAGTTAACGCGTCCTCTGACAGGGAGGTCCCTCGTCGAGAGCTTACCACACGTCGGGGTGACCCACCTCTTCATATCTGATAATCAGATAACCCTCGAAGGAGTTGCAAGTCTGATAGCTTCCAAGAAACTGCATGTGCTTGATGTTGGAACAGTGGATACAGCCGAATCTATCAGAAAGCGCCAGCAGATCAGGGGGGCCACGGATCCCTCTAGTTTCCCTGGCGCTGAGAAATTGATTCCTGTATTAGGGAGATACGGAGAGGAAACACTGACTTATCTTCGTGCTCATCATGCGATAGTGACGGCAGATGCTCCGGTCAAGGATGTGGCACCTCTCAGTGCTTTGTTACCAGAACTTCCGGGCGAGACAACGAGTCCGGATCAGAGACATGCGGTAGAGCTTCCTTCAACGCATGAGATATTCGAACTGCCTGCCGACACTGAGTTCCGGGTTGAGCTAGAGGACACGTCGATCAGGCCTATTGCTGAGTCCTACGCTGAACCAAAACGGGACAGTATTCGGAAGCCCTATGAAGACGAGCCATTAGGTCAAGTGAGACGGGGCTCTGTTTTTGCACCAGAAGTGGTCAATGATGATGTATTCGACGATGAAGATGCCCTTTTGGGCGCCACAGGAGCAGGCTCCCACGAGAGTTCTACAAGCTCTCTTGATCCGCGAAGCCGGAAGATCCAAGAACTGATTTCAAAAAGACCGAAAAATAATGGCGTTCCTCGACGGGGCAGCGCAGCTTATACCTTCCCCTATCTTCATCCTTCTCATATACCTCACATTGATACATTGGTCCTGACCGACGTCCCGTCAACTGTGCCCGCAAATTCCCCAATACTAGCTTCCTTGATTCGTTTCATAACCGCTTGCTCAGATGAGGCATTGTTGGCCATTCTTCAATCAAAATCCGATTATTCTCTCCCTCCGGGTCGAGCTCGACTTACTGCTGAGAAGCAGCAAGCGAGGAGTCTCTTCGCGCTTCGACGGCTAGTACTTGAGATTGCTCCTGACCACAAAAAGAACCGCCAAAAGCCAAATTCCTGGAAACCACTTGATACAAGACTTAACTCAACCACAGGAGACCGAGATTCAGAGCAACTTTGGTCCGCAGCCGTGGACGATTTCAGCTTCTTCGAAGGTGAATGCGGTATTCCTGACAATGACCAGGGAAAATACTTCCCCATGGCAATTTTGAATCAAAAAGTCAGTCTTACTCCTGAAGACGACGACTCGATCCGCTCTGCACATTCGGGACTCGGCTCTCCTCGATCAGCAACGGGTCTAACCCCCAGTCCAAGCACCCACTCTTGGGGAGCGTCACCGTCGAACAATGATGAGCGCCATTCTAGATACGCAGGCAGCGAGATAGAGCGACAGCAGTATCCCAAAGAGCTCCAAATCGATCTCGTCGCTGCACTAGCAGCCTTCCGGCGATCGAAGAAAGCAGAATACGAGGCACTTCTCAGGGCACATCGAGAACAAAGGCACGTTTCTGGAGACGCATCGTCTCTCCTGTCGCCTCGTTTTACAATGTCCTCCTTGTCTGGATATCCGTCTCCATCGCTGCCTCCAACCCCGACGACCCCCACGTGGCCAGTTCGGCCTATCCCACTTTCTGTGGAGGGACACTGGAAGGGTGAAGTGAAGATCGTGAGGAATGCGGAGCCTCGGGGCAGAAGTGGCGTTGTGGATATGTACGGTAATTACTTCGAGAAGGGGTATCTATACCCTTAAAAGGAAAATAAGAGTAGCATGAATGCCAACATCTACAGTTTGCTTAAGATACTTACGGTCTAATGGCCATTTCACTCCATAGAGGTGAATATGGGGGTTTACAGATGAAAAATGCAAGTGAGAGACCGCAAGTAATCCGTGTCGTATGTCTGGCATAATTCTGGCTTAAAAGGTACATTTTACCCGCGCCTTAGTCAAAAGAAAGAAAACCCATCCGCAGAGGAATTCTCGCAGTTCATGACGCGGAATTTCTCCATTTTTCCCCCCTGGTCTCCGTTCTTCCTGATGTAATTTTTTGTGCTTAATTGGACAAATTTTTTCCTTTTTGTCTTGCCATGTCCTAGCCATCATTACCGACACAAAAAAAGAAAAGGGAAAAGGAGCAGTCTCCATATTCCTTCCCCTTTCTCCTCAGGGCTCCATTGACAACCGACGTTTTCCATGTTATCCCGCAGCTGTCCCTTCGCCCAGAAGGAAACACCGAAACCCACGCAGATCAAGCAAGGAAGGAAGAGAGAAAAGAGAGAAGTAGTTAAACTACTCCCTTACAGAGCCTTGGTGGCCTGCTGGGGGGTGATCTTCTTGCCATCCTTGTTGTAGCGAATGCGGGGGGGAGGGGCACGGTTGCGACGACCCTCTCGGGAACGGACGCTGTTAGGAGAAATTATCCGTCAGTAAATCCATTGATTCCACATTGAACGATACCGGCTCGGAGATAAAAGAATCTCCTGGTTCGAGACGGGGAGGTTTTTCCTGATGGAGCGGTTTCGAGGGGTCATCCATACCGAACAATCTTGCCGTGGATAGCGCAGGAGACACAGTACTGCAGCTTCAGGTACATCTTGGGGACGGCGTAGTCGGCGAAGACGGAGGCGTCAGAGATATCACCTGTGATTCGAAACTCGGATTAGTCCAATATTCTCGCCCGATCGATCTTCCATTCCGCCTTTTTTGTTCATTCTGCGTTCAATTCGAAGAATCCTCGAGAATCTGTGTGGTCCGACTGGGAAGACGTACGGATAGCAGCGGACTCAACCATGTTGCGGATGGTGAATCTCTTGATCGCCTTGTCCTTGGGGGTGCATCGCGAGCAGTTGGAGCAGCGGATGGGCTTGACGTGGCCGCGGCCCTTCTTGTTACGTCCGCTGTGAAGAGAGAAAAAGAGCTCGTCAGCTTGTCATCCTTCCATTGGAATTCCCAAGGAATATTTCGACTTCCGGAGAGAAGTTCAATGTCCTTTTCATCAAATTGCCATCGAGCAACGGAAACGACATTTGAATGCGCCGGACCAGATTGTTGGAAGGGGGAAATCGCTTACTTCGACGCCCTCTTCTTGACCATTTTGACGGATTTCTGTGCGACACGTCAGACGGGAAAAGAAGTGTCTGGGGGGAGGTTGTCGCGTACTTGGCTTGTCGGTTGTGGTTGTCGATGGCACTCGGGGCTCTCGTGATGTGATTCTATCGATGTGTGGGCGGAAGCCCTAGACCCTTAAGCGAGGCCCCGGTCACGGGATGGCACATTTGCGCCTGAGGCAGCTACAGCGTGGATCTAAGGCATCCAAGGCAGCATTTGCCAAGCCTCCGGTGGCCAGTTAAAAAGTAAGGAAACAAACAACCTGTAAGCCCCGCGGGTTTGTCTATCTACAGTGTTGTTTACAGGTCCGGATGGTCGGATGTACTCATGGTCAAGATCAACAAACAGCCTCAGGCCATATATCGGGTTACTCATGTTGACGAGCCACTACTAGGTGTCTTCTATGGCATTATTTCCTTATCTACGTTATCAATTGCCATGATGCTATCTTCTTGACCGCTAGAATTTTGGAATCCGGATTTTGATCCCACGATTGTTCTCATCCGGAATCTTCTCGCTCACTGCATGTCGTTTCTATCTAGAAGAAGACTCAAATCGACAGTTTGCATGCTTCAGAGCTACCATCCTCGACATTGCTATGAGAGTGAATTATTGTCCCACTAGTTCGGACAACGATGTGATGACTTATCATAGCGAGAACGTGCATTGGCCTTTGACTACTTAATTGGCTCTCAACAGTCAACTTGCATTTAGCTACTGTCCAACTCGCTTAACGGTAGCCAGAAGACGTACAAATCTACCCATCAGAAATCTAGTGATTGCGTTTTTCTCCTCGGGATTTAGCAAGACTGTTGGGGCATTTGTATCCAAGCCATAGCCGTGCACATTCTCTGTTATGATATGTTGACTTGAAATAGGCCACAACGTCCGGTTTCTCTTTGGTTACATGTGGAAGAGTATACTGGTCTCCCAGATTTTAAGTGTTGGTCTTGATAACTGAAATACTTTCTGTGGTTGTATGTAGATGGATTTTCGATGAGTTAGCCATTCCATAGCGTAACTACATATACAATCATCGTGAGGAAAGGTTTCCGGACAACATGAGTGAGACCCTGACCTTTACTACATATATATGATAATGCCTGACAAGCTATATCCACTTTGAACGCGTATCCTCGGTAATATCAAGAGAAAAACGTGTTATCTTGTAGAATATCAGATAACCTAATGATCACCCTCATGCCTCCCGGCTAGGATCAACTGGGTATAGTCAGGCTAAGGCTCCTGAAGAGTAGCACACACCGCCATATGACCACGACTTCTTTTTTTCTCGCTCTCAAAACCCCCCATCCACACACAGGACTCTCTTGCACTTCCAGTGTTCATTTCCAGGCGAGTCGACGGCATCACGTGGGACGCGCCCGGCTGGGTTTAGACTGGTCAGCACCGCCGGAAAGACCTCCTTTAGCCTCCGTTCCACCCAGGGTTCCGGCTCCCAGGGACTTGTTTATTCTCCCGCCGCGAGAGAGAACGACGTCCCCCATCTCCCAGACCGGCGTTCCAGATTCCCAGATACCCCTGTTCGCACGGTCCTGCGCTTTGTTGCTTTCTGCGTGTCCTCTTTCCAGCACGTCGAGTCTGCTTCTGATCCACCATGTCTACCACTGGAGGAACGTTTCGGGGTACGCCCAATAGAACCATCGGTAGAGGCAGGATGCCGGACTTCGATCAAAGCCCAGGGGGATCTCACATCCCCCGGCCCAAAGTAGAGGGCCAGTCGTCGCACTCGCATGCGCCCAGTGACGTTGGAGGATCGACAATTAGTGCTGCGAGCAGACAGAGGCAGAACCAGTCGAAGCGTGATGAGGTATAATCAATCCCACATCGTCTCCGATGGCCCGACCGAGATATCCATATCTCGCTTGTCCGCTATCATCAGCTAATCGTGAGGGTCACCATCAGGCTATCAGAAAGAAGATGGAAGCCGATTTGAATAAGAAGAGGCACCAACCGGCGAAAGCACGACACACCCGCAAGGCTCCTCCGGGTACCGTCCTGGCCCTGAAGCCCAGCCAGGCTCTACAGATTAAGCCCAGCACCACCGTCGCGGAAGCCGCTCAGTTGATGGCCGCGAAGAGAGAGGACTGCGTTCTGGTGACGGACGACGATGATCGGATTGCGGGTATTTTCACCGCCAAAGATCTGGCTTTCCGCGTGGTTGGAGCCGGTCTCAGGGCTCGCGATGTGACGATTTCGGAGATTATGACCAGAAACCCTCTCTGTGCGAGAACTGATACCAGTGCTACGGATGCGCTGGATCTCATGGTCCGTAAGGGCTTCCGTCATCTACCGGTTATGGACGAAAACCAGGACATCTCGGGTATCTTGGATATCACCAAGTGCTTCTACGATGCTATGGAGAAGCTGGAGCGTGCTTACAGCTCTTCCCGGAAGCTGTATGATGCTCTGGAGGGTGTCCAGTCCGAACTCGGCTCCAGCCAGCCTCAGCAGATCATTCAGTATGTGGAGGCTCTCCGACAGAAGATGTCTGGACCGACTTTGGAATCGGTTTTGGATGGTCTTCCCCCCACGACTGTCTCTGTGCGGACTTCCGTCAAGGACGCTGCTGCCCTGATGAAGGAGCACCACACCACGGCGCTTCTGGTTCAGGATCAGGGCTCCATCACTGGTATCTTCACCAGCAAAGATGTCGTTCTGCGTGTTATTGCTCCCGGTCTTGATCCGTCAACCTGCAGCGTCGTGCGCGTCATGACGCCTCACCCTGATTTTGCCCCGACCGATATGAGCATTCAGGCGGCTCTTCGTAAGATGCACGGTCAGTATAGGTTAGTACTCTAGGTTTGGGATAAGATGCTGATTGTGAGCAGATGGCCACTACCTCAACCTGCCGGTCATGAACGAGGCCGGTGAGATTGTTGGCATGGTCGACGTGCTGAAGTTGACCTATGCAACTCTCGAGCAGGTTTGTGCTTCCGGTGTAATCTATGCTAGCTGTGGTGACTAATCTTATTCTCTTAGATCAACACCATCTCTACGAACGATGATGAAGGTCCAGCCTGGAACAAGTTCTGGCTGTCTATGGACCATGAGTCTGATTCTATGGTGTCTGGAGGCAACAGCCATCACCCTCACACAGCTCACCGGTCTGTAATTAGCCCTGACCCCTCAAGGCCTGGTTATGACAGGGAGAACAGCGTTCTTCCGAACGACTCTGCTTCGCATCACGGTGATGAACACTCTGAACTGCTGGTTGATCACCAACTTCACGAAGAACATGCGTTCCCATTCAAGTTCAAGGCGCCCAGTGGACGTGTCCATCGGGTGAACATCCTGCCTTCTGCGGGCCTGGCCGAGCTGGTTGCTCATGTGACTACCAAGCTGGGTTCCGAGGTCGAGGCCATTGGAGGACCGCCTAGTTGTGAGGAAGGTAAGCTCAGCAACACCGGGTATGCACTCAGCTACCTTGATAACGAGGGCGATACGGTCTCCATCACAACGGACCAGGATCTCGCGGATGCCGTCCTGCTTGCCCGGCAATCTGGCCGCGACAAGGTCGATCTCTTCGTGCACGATCCCACGCAGCCCCCCATCCCCGCCACGGTCGAACCTCACCCGCTGCCCGTGAAGCTGCCCAGCCCGCTCGAGGAGAAGAGCGCTGTGGACGATGAGCAAGTGACGGAGGAACCCGTCAGGGCGACTAAGGAGCCCGTTCCCGCCTTCAACCGCCAGACACCCGAAGAGCAGCTCGTCGCTGGTGTGCCGAACGAGCTTCTCCTGCCGGGTGCTATTGTGACTTTAGCGGCCGTCATTCTGGGTGTCTTCATTCTGAGCCGTCCCAGCAGGTAATAGACGATCGCGCTCTTCAGCTTCTGCAGTAGTGTGCCAACCATCTCGTGGTGGTCTCTCGAACAACCCATTGTATCTTCGTCTTTGCCTGTTGTGGGCAGTGTTTATTTGTATTCGTTGTGTTTTGTTATTGCGTACTAATACCTCTTTCGTTTTTATTAACTAACTACCTACTTACTGTATTGGATGACCCCCTCCTCTTCGTCTTCCTGCTCGTCCTCTGTCCCGAGAACTGTTTGCGCATTGATATCTTGTAGCTAGCTAGGGTGTACCACATAGTAGGACTTTTGACATTAAGACTGTGTCCTATTACTGAACCATATCTCTGGTTATGATCATGATTGTAGTTCTCTATAATACATAATAAATTATATTGATGAAGGCGGTGGAGCTTCCCGTCGCACGTTGGGCCTGATCGGGTTTAGCGGTCCGGTTGGCGTCGTGTGTTCCCGAGCGAAAGAAAGATGCTTGACTCTGGGAATTTTTGGTTTTGGCTTCACATCCCACTTTCCACGGTCTCGCGGTCAGTCTGCGATTCAAACAGCCTCTCTCCGCGAGTCCAGGCCAAGCTGCTGTTACGGCGGCGGTGCGGAGTCTGCGTCTGAGCTGCGTCTTTCACTGAAATCGACCCTAACTCTGTTTGGCGTCTCCCTAAGAGATATTCAATCGGCCAGTGTCCACCCCACCGAAAACAAAACCCCCGCTCGGGTGTCAAAGGCGACTCGCGTCTTCCGGTCTCTTGAACGCGAGCCTTTTCGCATTATATAGGATCTCCTTGAGTCAGAGCAGTCAAAATGTCGCTGCTTCCTCCCGAGGTCCACACAGCGCTGTCCCAGCTGCTGCGCGCACTGACGACCCCCGACAATACCGTGCGATCCCAGGCGGAAGAGCAGCTGAACGGCGAATGGATTCAAAACCGCCCGGATGTTCTCCTGATGGGTTTGGCTGAACAGATCGAAGGAGCAGAGGATCAAGTGGTAAGTGGACGAAAACACCTCTCTGTCGTCCGTGATATACCGTTGCCTAATCATCGAGTGCGGAACTGTTAGACGCGTTCCTTTGCGGCCGTGCTGTTTAGAAGAATATCGACAAAGACGAGCAAAGATCCCAGAACCAATGAATCCAAGGAGCTCTTTTCCACCCTTACAGATGAGCAGCGAATCGCTATCAGAACGAAGCTAGTAGCCTGCTTGAGCCGCGAGTCTGTGTCGGACGTGCGAAACAAGATCGGTGATGCTATCGCTGAGGTTGCCAGGCAGTATACTGATAACGGTATGTTTGGGACAGAAGGATACATATATTAGTGCTCTTTTATCTGACGACTACTTCTTCAGGTGAGCAATGGCCCGAACTGCTGGGTGTATTGTTCCAGGCCAGCCAGTCTCCCGAGGCAGGTGTGCGGGAAGCAGCCTTCCGAATTTTTGCTACGACCCCGGGCATTATCGAGAAGCAGCATGAGGAGACCGTTGTTGGTGTTTTCGCCAAGGGTTTGAGAGATGACAACATCGCCGTATGTGGTTTGAAAATCTGAAAATCTTTTTTACGACAACTCCTGCTGACCCCGTTGCAGGTTCGCATTGCGGCCGTGGAGGCTTTTGCTGCTTTCTTCCGTTCCATATCCAAGAAGTCTCACTCGAAGTTCTTCTCTCTGATTCCCGATATCTTGAACATCCTCCCTCCCTTGAAGGAGTCCGACGAGAGCGAGGAGCTTTCTCGTGCGTTTGTCTCTCTGATTGAACTGGCTGAGATTGCACCAAAGATGTTCAAGCCTCTCTTCAACAACCTCGTCAAGTTCAGTATCAGCGTCATTGGCGATAAAGAGCTCAGTGACCAGGTCAGACAAAACGCTCTGGAGTTAATGGTGACGTTTGCGGAATACGCCCCCAACACCTGCAAGAAGGACCCCATTTTCGCCCAGGAGATGGTTACTCAGTGTCTGAGCCTCATGACCGACCTTGGAATTGATGACGAGGATGCTGAGGAGTGGAACGCTTCTGAAGACGTGAGTCCCAACTATCCCAGTATCTGTACATGCGATCAACAGTATTAACTCCAGCTCCAGCTTGATCTTGAGGAAAGTGACTTGAACCACGTTGCCGGAGAGCAGGCCATGGATCGTTTGGCCAACAAGCTTGGTGGTCAGGTCATCCTTCCTGCAACTTTCGCCTGGGTTCCCCGGATGATGTCGTCCTCTGCCTGGCGCGATAGACATGCGGCCCTCATGGCCATCTCGGCTATCTCTGAGGGTTGCCGGGACCTCATGATTGGCGAGCTCGACCAGGTGTTGGCCCTCGTAGTCCCAGCCCTGCAAGATCCCCATCCTCGTGTGAGATATGCGGGATGTAACGCACTGGGTCAGATGAGCACTGACTTTGCCGGCACAATGCAAGAGAAATACCACGCGGTCGTCCTCAACAACATCATTCCTGTTCTCAACTCGGCCGAACCGAGGGTGCAGGCTCATGCTGCTGCTGCCCTAGTCAACTTCTGCGAAGAGGCGGAGAGGGGCATCCTTGAGCCCTACCTGGCAGAGCTTCTCAGACACCTCCTTCAGCTTCTTCGCAGTCCTAAGCGATTCGTCCAGGAACAGGCTCTCTCGACCATTGCCACCATCGCCGACTCTGCGGAGACGGCATTCTCCCAGTACTATGACACTTTGATGCCATTGCTGTTCAACGTCCTGAAGGAGGAACAGTCGAAGGAGTACCGCTTGCTGCGTGCAAAGGCCATGGAGTGCGCTACCCTCATTGCTTTGGCCGTTGGAAAGGAGAAGATGGGACAGGATGCTCTCAACCTTGTGCAGCTCCTTGGTAACATCCAGCAGAACATCACGGAGCCTGACGACCCCCAGTCACAGTACCTTCTCCACTGCTGGGGCCGCATGTGCCGTGTCCTGGGCCAGGACTTCATTCCATACTTGCCACACGTTATGCCGCCTCTTTTGACGGTTGCTGCGGCCAAGGCTGATATTCAGCTCCTTGATGATGAAGATCAGATCGATCAGGTCGAGCAGGATGAAGGATGGGAGCTGGTTCCCCTCAAGGGCAAGGTTATTGGAATCAAGACCAGTGCTCTTGAGGATAAAAACACTGCCATCGAGCTTATCACCATCTATGCCCAGATCCTTGAGGCTGCCTTCGAGCCTTATGTCCTTGAGACCATGGAGAAGATCGCTATCCCCGGTCTGGCTTTCTTCTTCCATGATCCGGTCCGTGTCTCATCGGCCAAGCTTATCCCTCAGCTTCTTAACTCGTACAAGAAAGCTCACGGTGTTCAGTCACCCGGTTTCGCACAGATGTGGAACAAGGTCGCCGAGAAGATCATTGAAGTGCTGAGCGCTGAGCCTACCATTGACACTCTGGCAGAAATGTACCAGTGCTTCTACGAGTCCGTGGAGGTCGCAGGAAAGAACAGTCTCACCCCTGACCACATGCAGGCCTTCATCCAGTCGTCCAAGTCCACACTCGAAGACTACCAGCAGCGTGTTAAGCTACGTCTCGATGAGAAGGCTGACCAAGAGGATGGCGAGGAGGAGAATCTTGACTACGAATACGCCGTCGAGGACGACCAGAACCTCCTTAGTGACATGAACAAGGCTTTCCACACTATCTTCAAGAACCAGGGTCCTTCGTTCCTGCCAGCCTGGCAACAACTACTTCCATTTTACGATGCGTTCATCACCAGTCAGGACCCGACTCAGCGCCAGTGGGCCATCTGTATCATGGATGATGTGCTTGAGTTCTGTGGCGAGCAGTCATGGAACTACAAGGACCACATTCTGCAGCCTCTTGCGAACGGTCTACGGGACGAGAACGCTGCCAACAGACAGGCTGCGGCTTACGGTGTCGGTATTGCTGCGCAGAAGGGTGGTCTTCCGTGGAGCGATTTCGTGGCAGCCTGCATCCCTACCCTTATCCAGGTGTGCCAGCATCCTCACTCCAGGACGGAGGAGCACGTGTTTGCTACGGAGAATGCTTCAGCCAGTATTGCCAAGATCCTCCACTACAACGCTTCCAAGGTCCAGAACCCGCAAGAGGTTGTTGCTACCTGGATCAACACTCTGCCCATCACATTTGACGAGGAGGCTGCGCCATATGCGTACTCGTTCCTAGCTCAGCTCATTGATCAGTAAGTCGTCTCTCCCATGCATTTCATCATGTTGTTTACTAACATCCCTATCAGACAAAGCCCTGCTGTTCTCTCGAATGCCGACAAGGTCTTCGGTTATATAGTGCAAGCGCTGGACGCGGAGACTCTCCAGGGCGCCACTGCTGCCCGCGTTGCCGCCTCGGCCAAGCAGCTCGTGGCCGCTACTGGCCTTAACGCAGAGCAGATCCTCGCTAGTGTAAACCCAGATAACCAGGTGGCGGTGCGGAGCTATTTCCAATAGAAATAAGGAGAAGAGGACGAAGAAAAGAAACGTGTTTCGGCGTGTGATGTATTTGACATGACCTTTTGTTCTATCTCCCCATGTGTGCGAGTCTGGCGAGGTGCTCTCTTTTTATTCCAAGGCCCCTTTTTGACCTGGAACACTTTGTTGATCGATGGTATAAATCTTCGCGCTAGTTTGGCCTATTTTTTACATTTTATCTACCTATGACCCTTTGATATCTCTGCCAATGTCAGATTCATTAAATCATGTGCCCTTTCCCGACCCTATGACCTGACGTTACCTGGACCTGGATCTGGACCCTGAATCTGATCTGGACTGGACTGAACTCAACTGGCCCTGAGCCCCCGCCTATGATCCCCATGATGCATCTGTGATAGCTTTCTCCTACTATCTCTTACTAGGTTCTATATCTCAAAAAGAAAAAAAAAGTTCGATCTAAATGAAGCTCCCGCTCTAAGAGTACGTTGGCGTATGGTTTTTGTTTCCTCCCATTCCGATCATGGTTGGGTTAGATGGGTAAGTAGATAACTAGAGGGAAGATTGAATAAAGAATCCATACTATCGGGAGTAGGTCGACTTTCAATCCTGAATTTCACCCTGGAAGGGTTTTTATATATTTTGCTGGTCGCGTTCCGTCGTATTTATATATAGTCTCAAGACCGATGCATCCATAGTCGAAAGGTATGCGAAGTGAAAAGTAGGTGGAATTAACTTGATTCTATTCATTTGCATATTATTATATTATATCATATATATACATATGTCACTGTGCCCTGTTCGTTATCCATATCCTGGTATATACAGTCCATCCAATACTATACAAGACATCGAGTAAATGGAAACCAAATCAAAAGGATATAAATGACTTTAAACTTTTCCCCGCTTGCTCCTTTTCGCCTTTCCGTTTGGTCGTTATTGAATGATATAGCAGAGGATCGTGGGGAGAATATACTGTACAAGAGGGGGTAGGAGGAGGGTGGATTGAGGATTTCGAGAGACATGGTATTTAGCAATGTCCCTTTAGGTTGAGTGGAGAAGAGGAAGATTGTCAAGTCGTGTCATCATTGCGGGTTGTTTTGGATCCCGCCATTGTCTGAGAGCTCGAGGGGGTCGACAACGTCCGGATCGTGTGTCGCCTGTTGCGTCGTAGACGGAGCAGTAGCACTGAAATGGGGACTGTTTTCATTGTTCGCATCTGCTATGTTATTGTCGTTGAGTCTGTCCAGGGTCCCACCAACATCGGACAGCTCCAACCGGTCAGCAACTGCGGGATCATATGTTTCTTGTTCCAATGTATCCTTGACCTTAGGACGAGGGCTGGTTCTTCCGGTGGAATTGGAGCCCGTGATCGTGCCGGTATTCTCGCTGCTGCCATTCAAAATCCCGCCAACGTCAGACAGTTGTAATTGGTCCGCTGTGGCTACATCATATGTTGACTGATTCGAATTGGCTGCATCGTAGTTACTGCCATTGCCCTCCCTGAGGATATCTTTGAGGTCACGTAGTTCTGAGCCTTCTGCCGGTATCTCGTCGACTGTTGAGAGAGGTGAACGTAGGTCACTGTCATGAGAGGACTCTGTCTCGCCTGATTCTCCATTTTTCTGGTAACTACTGCCACCTAAAATGCCTCCAACATCGTTCAATTCGAGCCCAGCAACCTCATCTTCTTCAAAGGTAGGGCCGGGCTCTCCGTCAACGTGGGCGCTATCTGGATCTTTATCGCTGTCCTCATACTGAATGGTATACTCCCTTGTGCGCCAGATGCAAACAGGCCCAACGGACGGGATATGTGTGAGAGGCGGTCCTGTATACTCGTTCTCGTGGTAATCGTTATTGATACTGGCCCTTTCCGATATACCACCACTTTCGGGACGTGGGGTGCAAACCATCGAGGCAGGGACAGACGGTGGAAGAGGGCCACCGGCAGAGATCGTGGTTTTGCCTGTATTCTGGTTCTGAAGGGTCGGTATAACAGAGTTCCGATCAAAAACGCTTCTGTTAGAGGAGCGAGTGCGGGAGTGGGATAGAGCAGAACCAAATCGAAAACTGCGGGGACTCGTACGGGGTCCATGTGAGGACATGCTGTGGCTCTTCCAGTGTTTCCTTTTCTTCAGCGGCGACCGCCTTGATAGTTGTGCAAGGCTAATGCTATTGCTTCTGCCGCGGTTTTGTGTATTCCGTCTGGTTGGGCTGCGTAACCAACCCGTGAAAGGTCTCGCTGAGTGTTCCTGGTTGCTACCCACCGACGAGGGAGAGGTCAACGCAGACTCGTTATTGCGTGAGGTACGGCTGCCCAGATGGATGCTGGAGTAAGTTCCCGATAGATGGGTCGCATGCGGATCCCAGGCAAACTTGAATCTAGCAAGAGTTGAGCGTCTGCGTCTCCTCTCGGGAGCTTCAAATCTTGCTCGAGCGCTCTCTTCATCATAGTAACTCGCAAAATCAGAACCTCTCTCGGATGTACCTCTACTGCTGGAATACTTCCGCTGTAGTAAGATGACTAGAGGCCGGACTTTAGGAATAGACGCCGCGATCATGACCACATTGTTCTCTAGCCTGGAAGAAGAAAGGTATTAGAAAGGCCATCCGATGGCAAGGGAAGAGAAACTTGTCAACTCACGTGTACCATATTACGAAAGGAACAGTATCATCTACAGATGAATCGACGGTTAGACACCGAACAAAAACAAAACAATAAAAACCAATTGGAGGCCTAGCACGTACATGTGAAATCCACGGTGCTTTCTAATCTTTTAAGCTCGACGGTCTTGACAATCGAGGCAACCATTGCACTAAGCGGATTAATTAATAATTAATTCAAGATGTCAGAGTCAGACGGAATCATTCAACTCACATCAAACTTAATCCCATTAGCACAGCCAGGACAACCTTGGTCCACTTGCGAACGTTGAGATGCAGCACGACAGTCATGCCGATCACTGTGAGGACCAAATCTGACAATGTGTTTATCGCTGTACAACAATTAGCCTATCCATTCTTCCTGTAGCGTCGTTGATTGAGCCACGACGTACCCCCTTGAGCGAACCCGATGTCTGGTTGCACATTTACTGAGACGCAATAGCCGGGCACAGATGGGTCCCACACCCTTGAAGTGGGATGGCACTGGGCAAAAAGGATGATGAAAGCCAGGAAGTTCAGAACGACCTGCAGTGAAATGAGGATCCAGAGCATGATGCGGCGAACAGTCGTCAACAGCCACAGCACTGACAGCAGGAACAGCGCATATGAGATGCGGCCCAATGTGGGCGAGATGATTCCCCATGCAGCACCAATGTACTCATATCTGACCACCTGAACTCTATCCTGAAAACTCAGATAATTGGAATGCTGCCCCAGACCCCTGTGGACAGAATATGTGAGTAGTCCATTGCCTATTACTTGAGAGATCTCCACAGACCGTTAGTTATGGCCTTTCCCAAGGGGAACGTGTGAATCTGATCCAGGACACTTACCCAGGCTAGGATCATGAAATAGTCATCCGTCGCAGTCTTACGTTGGATTCTGATCTGGGCATAGAAACGCAGCATTAAGACAACGGTCGTCACACTGAGATACGTCCAGATGGTCACCAGGACCGCGGTTCCAAGATCAGATGGCTTGTCCTGACCATGAGGGACTGGCGACCGGACTGTGTATGTCATCTCCAGGGATCCTCAAAGGGTGTTTCTGGACGGACTCGACGAGCGACCAAGAAGGACGCTCGTCTCATGCTGTCTATATAATGCTCGATCAGGCGAAGGTTTTCACAGGTACGACAGAGCGTGCCAAGATCGGGTCCCAGGAAAATGTCAGGTCCCAGAAAACAAAAGAGACCCCAGAAAATGAGCTGGGAGCCCAACGTTTGAAGATCGAAAGAGTGCAGGGACGTTCGCCACGGTCTACAGTGACAAACTGTAAGGGTGACAAGGGACGCCACTCCGGCAAGAGTCGAGATTGATGTCGCGAACGTAATATGTCAGATCCCACTGCCAAGACCTTCTTGAACCGCCTTTTCCCTCTCAATTGGGATTTATAATGACTAGCAGAAACCGGAGGATGGTCCGATGCGAGATGGAGGTTGGAATGCTGGAGACCACATCGAGAACAGCGGGTGGTGCGCCAATGGGGGGTACCACAGGACACCAGAAGAACGAATCGAGAAAATCAAGGGCGGATGATGCGTTCCATGGATACAGAGGAGATCGAGAAGCAGAGAAATCCGCTGGATCTGATATAATCTGATATACACGAGATTGCAGAAGTCAGAAAACGGCGAGACTTCAGTCATGATGTATGCTCTTGCACCGCCAGCCAATCAGCAGCCATCGGCGGCTGCCGAACAGTCCGTTTCAGGAAATCCCCCGTTTTTCGCATGCCGAGGTTGATATCAAGAACTGAAAAAGAAGAATATTTTTTACATTTCCACGGGAAAAGAAGATGATCAGGAACCAGCTGTCTTGGAGACTGTCGGTCTTTCCCGGTAAATGGTCAAGGTTATGAACAATGACTCTGTTGTTTCGGGGCTTTCCAAATAAATCTACCACGGTAACTAACCGGGATGCCTACTCTATGAACATCCGAGGCTGAGATGATACTCTTAAGTATGTATCGAATTGGTTGAATGTCTTGTTACTACTGTACATAATATAATTCTCTATATCACGGCAGAACAGGAGACATCACGCGACATAAGTTACCTAAGGTAGGTACTTGATCTCCTCTCATCCTAGTTAACTAGTTAACTACTTAGTTACTTACCATAGAAATGATGTAATCGGGTAGTTTGAAGTTGTTTCGAACCTACCTAACCTGGGCAAAACAGTAGCCGCGTTATATGGTATCTTCCTTATAATTTCACTTGCATCTGCGTGGAGTTGTTGGATCTTCGAACTATGTATGAATGAATGTATAAAAAGGCATATTAATTCCATCGGACTTAAAGCCGACGGCCCGACCCCGCCGAACTTGCATGAGGGGGCAGTTAATATTTATTTCCAATAACCAGCAATAACAAACAGTTAGAAGAGGTTATATACGAAAAGAATTCTCATTCCAATTCAATTGTCTCTCCTATTTACCCCCAATCCCATCTCAACCAATTGAAAGAAAGAGTAAAGGAAAGCGTCGCTCTCACCATGCCATCAACCCCTCCATCCGGCTTCCAACCCCGCAACATCCTCCTGTTCGGCGCAACTGGCAACATCGGCAAGTTCATCCTGGACGCTATCGTCAACGCACGAGATGATTTCTCGCGTGTCGTCGTTTTCACATCCCCAGCCTCTGCGCAAAGCAAGGCTTCTTTCTTCAATGATCTGAAGACGAATCGACGCGTCGAAGTCATCACAGGCGATATCACGAACGAGAAGGACGTCACGGAAGCATACAAGGGCATTGACACCGTCATTTCCGCATTAGGTCGTACTGTGATCGAGGCTCAGATCCCATTGATCCGTCTGGCAGATCAGGCTAGCGATGTGAAATGGTTTCTGCCGTCGGAATATGGAACTGATATCAAGTACTCGCCGGCGTCGGCGTCGGAGAAGCCGCATCAGGGCAAGTTGAAGGTGCGCGCATTTCTGGAGAACGAGACGAAGGATCTGGCATATACATATGTCGTGACGGGGCCGTATCCGGAAATGTATATCAAGGGTTTCCCCATGGGTAGGGAAGTTGGGGGTTGGGACGTGAAGGGGAAGAAGGCGACATTGTTGGGTGAGAAGGGACTCGATCCAGTTAGTTTTACGACCATGAAGGAGTGAGTTATCCCTTTCGTATACAATCCCTGTTTCCCCCCTCTATTTCTGCAATTAACGACAGTCGACGCTCATGACTTTCTCCCAGCGTCGGAACTCTCGTCCTAGCAACCCTCCGGCATCCCTCTGCCTCCTTCAACCGCGCTCTCAAAGTAAACTCCTTTACGACCACCCCGGCTGCCATTCAGGCCGAGTTCGAAAAGCAGACAGGCGGTCAGCCATGGACCGATGTACAGTACACACCTCTGCCTAGACTGCGCGAGCTCGAGCAGCAGGCTTGGGCCCAGGGCAGCCCGTCCGCGGCCGGTTGCACCCTGCGTCGTATCTGGACAGAGGGTGGCACGCTTTATGAGAAGAGGGATAACGACGTGATTGGAAACCCGAAGTTGACTACGCTGGAAGAGCTGGTCAAGGACATCGTGAGCTCGCAGGGGGCCAAATTGTAGTACAAACAAACCGGAGACACGTATGACAGTGCATGTAATTAACCATTTGGAACAATATATATATTCTTCTAGTTATTACATCCATGAGCTTATACCGCAAATAGTTAAATCTCGTTCTATCCACTATACAAGTCAAGTTGTCACATTTCAGGAGTCAATATAGACCACATCTTCCCCCGATCTACTCATGAGCACACAGGCAAAATGGATCACGCCTGCGGCCCTACAACCATCTCCAAAATCTCGAATACCTGCTCTTTCTCCTTCAATGGCACCGGATTCGTCACACAACACCGATCTTTAAGACTATTCACCGCCAGCTGATCCAGCTTATCTCGACCGACTCCAACATCCGCCAACGATCTCGGCAAGCCCAACTCGCGGATAATAGCATCGAGCACATCACCCAGATCAGCATTTGCCACATCAACCTGACGCGTCTCCAGGACCTCAGATACGATGGGGTCCGAGGTCAGGAAGCCCAGGACGCGCTGTTGTGAGTCATTATTAGCGTTCTTAGAAGCGTTATATTTGCATACTGCCGGAAGGAGAATGCAGCTTGTTTCGCCATGGCCGACGCCAAGGGGACCGAGCTAGGATGCAAATATCAGCATCTACTAGATACTCTTGAGATTCTCACATATAGGAATATTCCTATACTTTATCTAGAACCATACCTGATGCCCAAGTGCCTATGAGTGTATTTATTTAGTATATATCGAATAGGTTTAACAAAAACAGAAAAAAGAAAAAGGAATAAATGTAGAATAGACTATTGGCACGATATTAACATTTATTATTATATTACATACAAGTGCCACAAACTTCGCCCCGTCCGTCAAGCTTCCCGCTCCCAAAGTAACAAGGAGATCCGCATTGACAGCGCGTGCATCCGTGGCGATCCCTTTCTGTCATGGTTTTGTCTGTATTTAATTTAGAAACTCATTGGATGGTGTTTTGGGGATGAGGGAAGTTCAATAGTAATGATGTATGGGGAAGAAGACGACCAACGACATATCTAATGCGGGGTTAGCATAAGTATTGAGAATTATTATTCGTCCACTTCTATAAGTATAGAATGGATATCTAAGCCCCTGATATTGCCCACTAGTTAAGCATTCATAGTACACAACGTACTAATTAACTAACAAGCATATAACTATACGTGGAGCCAATGGGCACGCCAAATGCGGGACAGAAGTTTTGAGCATACGGGACGATATGATTATGCAAGACATGAACGTAGATATATATTTATATATGAGATTGACAACTTATCCAGGATATTTAAGTACAGCAGACCGCCAAGACTCCTTGCATGCATGATGACAGAAGAAAACGAGCCTTTTTTTTGAAGTACATGAAACAGTAGCTGATTTATTTTTCTGCCCTCCAGCAGTGAAAACATACATCAATACATGTCCGAAATTTACTGCGCCTGCTTGGCCAGCAGGTTGAGCGCGCTACCAGCGAGGATGAAGCCACACTGGTCCTTGCTCAGAGTGTGCTTGACTGGAATCGTCAGGGTTTCGCCAGTCTCGCGCTTCTGCACGCGCAGCTGGATCTCGCCCTGTCCACCGGCCTTGAGCACATCGTACAAGCCCACGGTGTCAACAATGTCGTTGGCATCGATGCGGTCGTAGTCAGCCTTGTCCGCAAAAGTCAATGGCACGACACCCTGCTTCTTCAAGTTGGTCTCGTGGATTCGAGCGAAGCTCTTGGCCACAATGATACGGCCACCCAGGTAACGAGGCTGCAGAGCAGCGTGCTCACGGGCACTGCCCTCACCGTAGTTATCCTCAGCAACGACGAGCCACTCGATGCCAGAGTCCTTCCACTTGGCAGCCAGATCCGGAATCGAGTACTTCGCGCCAGCCTCATCGTAGGCCACGTTAGTCTCGCCCGTAGCAGCGTTGACGGCACCGATCAGGGTGTTGGCAGCGATGTTAGGCAGGTGACCCTTGTACTTGAGCCAGGGACCAGCGGCCGAGATGGTATCAGTCGTGCACTGACCCTTGACCTTGTAAAGCACTCGAAGGGCCGACAGATCTCCGGCAGGGAAGGGAGCGAAGGGATCCAACTTGGCGAGACGTTCCGATGTGGGAGAGATAACGACTTCCACGGAAGGGTCTGGGACTGCTGCCGTGGGCTGGAAGGCCGGGTTGCCAGACTCAAAGCCCGCGCTTGGCAGGTCAGATCCTTGAGGCGGGGCGAAACGGAACTCCTCGCCACTTGGAGTGGTGATAGCATCCTTCATCGGGTTGAAGGTCGTGCTGCCGGCATAGGCCATAGCAGTCACAACCTCGGGGGACGCCAGGAAGTTCATGGTACGTCGGTTTCCATCGTTACGACCAGGGAAGTTGCGGTTGTATGAGGTCAGGATAGCATTGTCCTCACCCTTACCAACGCCGTCAGTGCGCTTCCACTGCCCGATACAAGGACCACACGCGTTGGCTAGCACTACACCACCCGCTTCAGAGAAGGTGTTCAGAGTCTGGTCACGCTCCAAGGTAGCACGGATCTGCTCGCTTCCAGGGGTAATGAAGAAATCGGCTTTGGGCTTGAGGCCCGCAGCGGATGCCTGTTTGACGAGATGCTCTGCGCGGGTCATGTCCTCATACGAGCTGTTGGTGCAGCTACCGATCAAGCCGGCTCCGAGGGACTCGGGCCACTTCTTCTCCCGGACGGTGTCCGCAAAAGCCGACAGGGGAACGGACAGGTCAGGGGTGAAGGGACCGTTGATGTGAGGCTCCAGTTCAGAGAGATTGATCGTGATGAGCTGGTCATACTCCGCCTGGGGATCAGCGCGGAGCAGACTATGCGGGCCCGAAGCTGCGATCTCAGAAGCTGCCTTAGCGACGTGGCCGCGGTGCGTGGCCTCGAGATAGGGCACATGGTTCGGCGAGAAGGGGAAGAGAGAGGTGGTGGCACCCACTTCCGCGCCCATGTTGCAGATGGTAGCCATACCGGTGCAGCTGAGCGTCTCAACACCAGGGCCGTGGTATTCGATCACGAAGCCCGTACCGCCACGGACAGTCAGCTTGCCGGCTAGGTGAAGGATGATATCCTTCGGGGACGTCCAGCCGCTGAGCTTGCCCTCCAAACGAACACCGAGAATCTTAGGGGCCTTGAGTTCCCAGGGCGCATCGACAAGGGCATCGACGGCATCAGCACCTCCGACACCAATGGCAATAGCTCCCAGACCACCTGCGTTGGGCGTGTGGCTGTCGGTACCCAGCATCATCAGACCAGGGGCAGAGTAGTTCTCCAGCACAGTCTGGTGGATGATACCAGCACCAGGAGGCCAGAACTCGATTCCATAGCGCTTAGCAGCAGACTCGAGGAAGTCAAAGACCTCCTTGTTTCCCTGGATGGAGGCTGGCAGATCCGTATCGGCACCGCGCTCACCCACAATCATATGATCACAGTGGATACTAGCAGGAACAGCAGTCGAAGGCAGACCGCAGGACATAAACTGGAGCAGCGCCATCTGGGCAGAGGCATCCTGCATGGCAACACGGTCCGGCTTCAGCTTGAGGTTGGCGCGCCCTCGGATGTCACGACCATTGTTCGTATCGGAGAGCAGTGACTCCTCCGGGTTGGCCAGATGGGCGTAGAGAATCTTCTCCGCGAGTGTCAGGGCCCGCTGAGAGCCCAGCACCCGTCGCACCTCCTCGAGGTTTCGTACAATCTTAGGATAAGGCGGAGAGCGCGACGAAGCCGCCTCCGTTGCGAGGGTGCGCCTGTGCAGACCGGGTCGCGGCGTAAGGCATGGTGCCAGCTGTAGATGGACACAAGATATCAGTAAACAAACTCAGCGGAAACGATTCTACAGAGACACTCACCCTGCGCGAGGCCGTGGCCCTCTGCCAGATCAACTGCCTCACCATCTCGATCCGTTGTCGTGAGGAATGGGGGAGTTGGAAGTCCGAGTCTCGAACTTTTAGGGCTTTTTTCCCCCGATGTTTTTTACGCCTTCCCTGATTGGCCAACGGCAAAGGCCGACCTCGGAGATCTTCATGAAGGACGAAAGCATGAGATGGCGCAATTATTTTATTATTTTTTATTGACACAAAAGCTCAAGCAAATTAAATTCCACTGTAGGCTACTTTCTATGCTACAAGCCGTGATATATGACTGAGACAGAAGGGGTGTGTAAAGCATCATTGCGCCGTCAACGCCAGTCCGGATCCAAAGATAATACCTCCAGATGATCCCTCAACAGATAATGAGACGAGCCAGACGACAGAGGCGCACTCAGGCCTCCGTCTCGCTCTGTTTCCCGTCTTCCCTCTCTACAAGCGACGTGCGCAGATCGTACACGAGATCGTAGCACTCGGCCAAGAGCGCGTTGATACTCGCCTGGCCCTCCGGAATGTCGCTTCCGACATAGAACTTGCCATCAACTCTCATGTTGTCGATGGAGTTCAGCTACAAATTGTCAGCGTCTACACTTTTACTACATACTCTTCTACGGCAGAATGCTCACCTTCATACTGTACGGATACAGTTCGCGCGTGTTGGAGACCCCGCCAGATTCCTTGACCTCAATCAGACAGCGCCGCAGCGTCTGCAGCTGGTTGAAGATTGGCAGTAAAGCCTCTGAGACAGGCTCGGACGAGATGAGGAGCGCGTAGATATACGCATAACTCCGCCGGATCAGGTAAAGCAATGTCTGGCCAGGCATCAGTATGTTTTTTTTCCCGGGGTCTCACAAAGTCATGCATACCCGTTGCGCGTGAAGATCGGCCGGTTGCCCTAAGGCATCAACAAAGTTCCCATCGACCCGTGCCTCGTCGATACGGTCGAGCTTTCTCTGGTACTGGAAAAGATCCGTCTCTCGCAAGGACCACGCCTGGGTGACAGATAGGCGGTCCAATTGGTTACGAATCTCGACCAATCGCTCATACGGTTCGCGGAACCGCTCATCGATCTTTCCTTGTCTGTCCCTTGTCAGGATATTCAGTCACCTCATGGTTTGTAGGGAGCAATTGCATACCGCTCCAGGACCAATTCAGACCACTTCCAACATCGTTCCAGCAATGCCTTGACAAAATCTTGGCCCTTCAACGGGATACCGTCTGCTCCCACGAAGTTGCCATCCTTCAAGGTCGCCTCAATCTTCTTTAGCTGCTCTTGATAACTTCGCACTTCGGAGACGGAGAACTATACAACGGAATCAGCGGCTGCCTTTCTCTCCTAGCAGTGTACAAGGACTCCCACCTGAGAACGGGTGTTCGCGGCCGAGGTAGATCGCAGAATCGAAACAAGCGTTTCATGGGTGGGCGCCAGCTCCGGGTCCAGAGTCGCAAGCTCTGCGTGCAGCTTGTCCAAGAGGTTCTGGCATTGCACCAGCCGGCTCTCCAGGAGCTTCAGCAGATGTGGTGAATAGGTATTCCGGCCTCGGTCCAATGTCTGGCGCATATTCTTGAGAGTGTTGGTGATCGAATCTAGGTCTTTGGCGCTGTAGAAGCCGGCTTCTTCGAGGTGGTCCAACAAGCGCTGGGGAGAGTCAGAGGAACTGATTCGCAGCGGGTGAAGGGAGTCAGAATAGAGCAATACCTGAACAGTGGTCGCCAGCGAATATCTGCAAGAAAACAAAAAGGATCGCATGTTAGCCAGTCGGCGCTGCTACTTCTCTGGTACCGCAATCACTTACACAGCAGGTGCTTCATTGTTCTTCCCAACGGTCAAGAACAGCAACGAAATCAGCTGAAAGCAATCATCGAGCACGTAGTCCACTGTACAAAAGCCGCAGCCAAGCAGTCAGCCATATGTCCTTTCATTCCATTATATATCATCACGCGCAGGCCCACTCAGTGCTAACGTCGATTGTAAGGGCGCCGCCGGTCCTGGTCCTTGCGGACGCTATTAAGCCTCTCAACTTCAGAAACGACCTGCTCGTAGAACGGAATCACATCACGAGACTTGATGTAGGAGGACTTATCCTGCTTCAACAGCAAGAGTCCGTCGCGGATGCGAATGAGGTTCTCGAGGATGGGCTGCTCGTGCGGATCAAGCGGGACGGGCACGGCGGGGGATTCCATGGCGGGATCGAATGATCAGTTGGGAGGAAGGGAGGATTAATGCATGCGCGTAGATGGAAACGAGAGGATGGTTGAGCTTCCGGGCGACTGGTCAATCACAGAGATGGCAGTGCAGGCAATCCAGGCGATAGTTAAGTGGTTAGACTAACTAGTAGTTAGAGTAGAGTAGAGTAGAGTAGATAGATAGATAGTTACAATGAAGCCATCCATTATTATTCATGATCGGCTATGATGGCATCCGCTTTCCAGCTTTCGTTCCCGCCGAGGGGTCGCCAAGGCGCTAGGCCGCATTCGGGCGGCACGCGGTCTCGTCTAAGCGAGGGCTTTTTCCGCACACACTTTAGATCCAACCTGACACTATAGATCAAGATCGAACTTCGAGCTCGTCTTCAACTTCCCTCTCACCACCCGCTCCCCTCGAGACTTCATCGCCAGTCCGACCTCGACCACCATGTCTCACGCCGAGCTCGCTGTTTCCTACGCGGCCCTGATCCTCGCCGACGATGGCGTTGAGATCACCGTACGTGAATTCCCTCTCCTGTGATTGTTCACAAAAAATTCGCTGCATGGGATAATGGTTTATACAATGACTGGGATTGCAAAAAAGAGGAGGGGCACAGCGAAAGATGCAAAGGAAGATCGGCATCGTGATCGCAACAATTGACTGACTCGTGTGCTCTACAACAGGCCGACAAGCTCCAGACCATCCTGGGTGCCGCCAAGGTCCAGGAAGTTGAGCCCATCTGGACTCAGCTCTTCGCCAAGGTAAATTGCGCATGATTCTTGCGGTGTCGCACAGGTGGCCTGCTTTATTTCCCCCGGGAATCCGCGCTGATCACACCATCATGATAGGCTCTTGAGGGCAAGGACGTCAAGGACCTCCTGACCAACGTTGGCTCTGGTGGTGCCGCCGCCGCCCCCGTTGCTGGCGGTGCTGTCGCTGCTGATGCCGCTCCCGCCGCGGCCGCCGCTGAGGAGAAGAAGGAGGAGGGTACGTGTTTCTTGACTCCGGACTGGCAGATTTTTCTCATGCCACCCGGATATCGCCCCCAGACCGTGGACTATACTAACTGCGAATACAGAGAAGGAGGAGTCCGACGAGGACATGGGCTTCGGTCTGTTCGACTAAGCGCATTCCTATATCGTTTCCTTGCTTCTGTTCCATGTTTCCTCGTTTCTTCTGTATCGTGCAACGACACCGGTCACCATGATGGGACGGAAAAAATTATCAATGGGGGGTTCTCTCTGGACACTGGGCGCAACCCGCGCAGGCTGGTGCGAAGGCTAGGAAATGGAAAATACCGGACGGGTGGATACAAGGTGCTGGGATTGGGATGCCGCTGGGATTTCTGCTCTTCAATCGCCGCCGCCATAGGGACATGACGTGCAACCGGAGTGGACTGGTCGTGCTGTGAAAACAAATGTTCGAGAAATTCCTGCTTCTGCTAGTTGTAGCTAGGGTTGCCCAGATTCTTCATGTTACGTATGAAATGCGACCATGAAACAGGATCCCGTCTGGATGTTCAGTCCAGTGTCCATATTTTGATTTTGATTGTTTACCGTCCCTCCTTTTTCCCCCTTCCGTCCCATATACGACATCACAGCCTCTCGCTGAGAGATCCTCCCGTAAGATATAAAGAGATGTAAAGCCCATACATACATATACACGAGTAAATGCCTGATTTCATCTCCGCAGTGAAACAACAGAATGACACGATAACAAAACAGCAATTTTTGGGCCCTTCCCGTATGCCATACACTCCTCTCAGCTGAATATATATGAAAATTCCGAAATGCATGGAAAAGACACAGGATAAACGATGCAGTTGAGAAAAAAAAAGCAAAAACACTAGGAACAGTAAAAGGGTAAATGACTGACACGGACCTCAGCCATCAATGTCGACATCGATGGCGTACAACTCCGGAGACTGGTAGCCTACTAGGCTACTGCTGAAAATTGTCGCTGTCCTGCGGCGTACAGGCGGAACTGTCCGAAAATCGTGACGTCCTCAACCATGGTGCCCAGCGAACCGATCAACCATGGGATGTTGGTGATAACATAGTCTCTTGCAGTAGAGTGGCAGAGGATCTGGTCGCGGCACGGGTGGTCAGCTACGCTCATTGGTGATATTAATGTATCCAAATTACAGCATATAACTTACCCCTGCACCGTAGGTGAGGTTGCCTAGAAGGGAAAGGATGAAGAAGAGAAGGGAGAGTCCTAGATAATAGTTCGAGGATTAGCATCTGATGTCCTAGTGACGTCGCTGTCGTGGATAAATACCTTCGCATGACTTCTCGCGGTAGTTTTTATAGATCTGAGGCAAGCGCGCACTGTTGTCTTGGTCAGCATAAATCCACCAGAACTTGATGGTATGTGCACTGATAAAGTCCACCCACCTCAGATAGCACAGGGCACTGGCATATCCCAACACTTGCGCTCCCGCAACCATGTCCTTTTCGCCGTCGTGTTCTTGAGGAGCTGGTGTCCAAGCTCCCGTCTGCCAGGCAATTACCCATCCGGCCGCGCCAATTCCACAAATGGCGATCACGCTGAGTACGTTCTTCGTCCAGGCTTGACGACCAGACTCGGTCTCCTCGACGATCTTAGCCAATGCGTCCTCCGGCTGACTAACACGCCGCTGCTGGCCATCGTTTATGGAGGAGCTCGACAGACCCCCGTTGTCGCTCATGCGTCGTCCCAGCAGAGGAGTAGTGGGATCGGGGGTGGATGAGCGTCGTCGGTGAGCCTCATGGCGTGCATTGCGATATTTGTAGTAAAGACATTGAGAAATCAGGACACCGTCCGCGATACAGAAGTAAACGGCAATGGCAACTATGACCGGCACCAGTCCGGCCCAAGCAGCTCCGATCAAATTGGTCACGTCGCCGACGAACCATACAAAGAGAAAGGCAAGCGAGACGGCCTCCGCGCTTCCATTGCGATAATTCTCAATTAACTGGGGAACCTGTGTCAAGTCTGTCAGAATATACGACCTCGTGTATTGCCTCCATCGAGGTTATCTGGTGGACAGGATGCCTTATCACCCCACTACCACCGATCGAGATCGGGAAGCACATACCAGGAGGAATATCCAGCAAGTCAGGGAAATCGAGCCCAAGATCCCTGAAGCAGCTTCGCGAGGTGTCAATGGCACTGGTTCCGTCGAACCAGTGCTTCTGTTTCGCAGCATGATATCCATTTTTCAGGTCGTCGCCCCGAACGAGGTTAAGGCGAGTATATGACCTCGATGAACGGTGACGTCGGGGAGGCGAAGTTATGGTCGGAGATCGCCTCAAGGACTAAATGCCCGTACTGAACTGAAAATACAAAATCGCATGAGGATCTCAAGAGGATCAATCCTTCCTGCCAGTGATCGGGACCGCGTGAGACGAGAAACGGGGAGAAGAGATTGCACCTCGTGCGCGCAAAGGCCTACCAAAACGATGGCGCGGTTACATCGGCGGCCTGAGGCGTCCACCCCCAGATAGTGACTCATCACGTGGATCCGCTCCGATAAGGGCGCGCTTATCAGTTGACTTCAGTATTTTAGTATGCAGTTACTAATGCTTCTATTGGTCCTCGAATGCAAAACAAGGGTATCTCTATCAATAATTTTAGTTGGGCTTCCCGATATATATATTTTACATGCAGTCATCTCAGTTCATGTTCCAAGCGCAACTTGCCCACTCAAGGAGAGGGGCCGTCGGCGTCGTTGAGCTCGTCATCCTGCAGCCGTAGTTCATCCTCGAGCATCTCAACAACTATGTCTCCCACGGCTTCTCGCACAGGACCGTGAAGCAAGCCGTCTCTGGCAGATTCCGGTTCAATAGCGCTGAGCGCTTCTACGTAGTCGATTAACGGCGAGAAACCGATTGCATCGCCCCAATTCCCCCGGTCAACGCCGTGCTGACGGAGGAAACCCTGTAGGTTCTCCAGTCCGGGACCAAGCAGCCACTGTCTCAGTAGAGGTTGGTTTTCACTAGATGGGCGCTGCTCGGAGTCTTCGAGTTCCGTGGGATCACCAGGAGGAACGTCCTCTTCAGTCAGCTCCTCGTCACCATCCCGTCGGAATCGCGGGAAGTGAAGCATTCCATTGTTTAGCTGATCCATTAAGTCGCGTAGCCATTGCGGACGCCCTAGCTCGGCGGTCTGAGCGAGGTACGATGGCGTCGGATCGGATTGCTGGCGGAAAGCTTCAGAATCGTACGGCGGCAGAGGGTCAGAGGCGGAGATGCGTCCAGATAGAAATCGCCCCGGCAAATGTGTCGTTACACTGGGGACGTCGGAGAGAACCACGTGACGTGCAATGTCCAGTGTGATCTCTGGTGGCTCGACAGGTTCTTCCTTCTCGGGAAGAGTATCTGCCACTTCAACAATAAGGGAGATGGCCTCCGGTGTATTCCAGAGATCCTTGGCACGGGCCATATAGAGCTCACAGAGAAGCTCTTGTGACTGCGTAGGAGGCATTTTGCCCCAGATACGTTTCGGCATTGGCTGGACATCGAGTTCCTGCGCCAACTTGCAGAACACCCATGGGTACCGTAACATTGCCAGGCGAAGTTGCTCCCGGCATTCTTTTGGTTTGTCATGACGAAGGTAAGCCAGAGCAAGAGAACACTGAATATTCGGGAACTGCTCCCAGCGCCTGCTGAACAACGTCTGTGTGCACAATTCGATGAAATGTTCATATTGTCGACCTCGAAGGGCCAAATGATCAATTACAAGGTTGACACAATATGGATCATCCAAGTCGAGGCTGAGCAGTAATTTAGCCCACTCATATGCCGTTCGCCAAGTGCCCTTCATTCCGAGGTTCGCAATATATCTCCAACCGACCAGCCAGAGCTCACGATTTGCAGCGTGCTTGAATTCGAGTCTTGCTTTTCCTTCTTTCAGCTGGTTCCCGAAAGACGAATGGGCGGACCGTCCGATGTTGAAGAGTGCTCGCTCGAGTAAGTCCGCAGAGACAGCGTGATCACCTTGGTGCTTGGCGATATCCGAGACTTGAAGAAGAGTCGAAATGTGGTAGGGATTGTACTGTAGAAGATGAATCAATCTCTGCGGGTCCATGGATTCCACACACATATCGAACTGCCTCTGTACATCCTCATATCCGGGGTTATGGAGTATTTTGTAGACAGTAGCACCGGTTGGCAGTTTCTCCACGACCTCCATGCCTAAGCCTCCGCTTGGGGCTCGTGGCCACTCGTCTTTACCTTGCATGAGGACATTTCTCCGCAGTGCCACTCCTGCCAGACTCTGACCTCTGCTAGCTGGGCTGTAAGCGCCTGTCAGGGCGCGTCCCAAGTCAACCATTTCTCGGTTCCTATCTCTTCGTCGACCAGTACCAGCACCTGATGGCTGGTCAAAGGATTCGAGCGCGACATTTCCGAACAACTTGCGCATCTCATTCACGGCATTCAGAAATTTAGGTTCGATCGAAAGGAGTTCGTCGGCCGTCTTTGGGAATGGCGTCTGCTGTGCATTATCGAGCCGAGCGGCACCCTCATCTGCAGTAGTTGAGGGGTTCTGCCCAGCTGACAGTTCTTTCAAAGCTTTATCAATCTCGTCTAGTTCTGTGTCATCGGATCCAGGGCGGTTGTCTTCGGTTGGCTTGGCGGCCTTCTTTTTCTTCTTCTTCTTGTTCTTCTTCTTAGAGGCAGTTGATGAAATCGAGACTGGCTTTGGTTCTGAGGGCAGAGGTGCTGTCTCCAAGGGAGCTTCGTCCGATTCTTCGTCTTCGTCTTCCCCCGCATTTAGCAGGTCAAATGCATTGAACTTTGGTTTCGACGGCTGCTTCTCAACCTCCTCTTCACTGGATTCCTCTTCTCCCTCATCCTCATGTAGCACAGCATGCAGTGCTTCCTGCTCGCGCTGCTTTTGCAGCTTCCGCAGAGCACGCGTCGACATCGGAACTGTTGCGAGAAGGGTGAATCACGCGACTTCAAGAATATTCGCAGACAATTGCATCGACACAGGTGGTTTGTAAGCACCTAGAATGAGGGTATGAGGGTATGGGAATATGAGGATATGACCTGTAGACGGTTGTGGCGTGCTGGTTCTAATTGCAGTCTTGCTGCAGTCCTGGTCTCTTTCCCCTCCGGCCTCCGCAGTCATTAATTATTTCAGGCCCCGCCGGTGGCAGTGACGGCATCACCTAATTGGGATTAGCGTGAAGTTGTACCATAGAAAACATTTGGAATGAGTAAGCAGAATCGATTATGTCATATCACGTGACCACATTCCCACGTGACTCGTTCCTGCCCGGATCCTCCTGCTGTCCGAGCTCCGTTGCTCCATCTCGGCTTCAGTTGGCGACGCATCAACTTCATGGTGTCCTGGACCGCCTGCTCCGCTATCGAGCCTTTATCATTTCAATGAGTCGCGCGGCAATCCAGGCTTTCCGTACTGCGCGCCGTGCTCCAGTATGGAAGGTCGCAGGTAGAAGACCTCGCGCCGTCTCGTTCTCCAGCAGCCATGCATTAAGCATTCGACCGTCATCCTCGGCTGGGAAACACTCCACATTCATCCCGGCGTCATTACAGTCGTCTATGCATCTCCGCAACTTTTCCCTGGCCTTTATCTCAACTCTAGTCGCCTCCGGGGCCTGGTACGCATACAAGGGGAGCACTGCACAGCAGACCGCTTTCTCCAACGGAATCAACGGAACATCCATCTCGAGCCCTGCTTTCCAATCTCGGAGCATCTCGACGGGCCCTTCTGGAACAGAGCCAGAAGAGCCAGCGCAAGCAACACGCCGTGCTCTCTTGGTAGAGAATGATCAATTCTACACCGCTACACTGTCAGGAGATCAACCCCTCGCAAAGTATTCGGACGATTCAGATCGCAGAGTCCTCGAAATGTTGACTCCCGAGCAGGCTACTCAGAAACTGCGGAGGAACGAGGAGTCGTATTTGGTGAGCCGCGGTCAGGGAGTTGTCCGTTATGATATCGTTCAGGTGCCCAGCAATTCTCCGATTGAGGACGATCATGCAGAGAAGATTGTCGAAGTCCCACAATCAGTGGCCGCTACAAGTGATGGGGCTTCAAGCAGTGATTGGATGTTCTGGTCTATCTTTGATGGACACTCGTAAGGCTCTCCTCCAAACCTTTTCATGCTTAAGTACATACTAACGTGGGACAAGTGGTTGGACCACTTCCGCTAAACTGCGTAACGTCCTTATCTCCTACGTGGCTCGGGAGTTAAACACAACATATAAGGCTGCCGCTAGCGATCCGTCTGCCCTCTCGCCGTCTTCTGAAGCGATTGATACTGCAATCAAACAAGGCTTTGTTCGACTGGACAACGACATCGTCTACGAGAGCGTCAACAAGGTCATGAAGGCAAATTCTAGACGGGCCGCAGCAGAACTATTAGCCCCTGCTTTGTCCGGCTCGTGTGCCCTTCTCGCTTTCTACAACTCCAAGTCAAATGATCTGAAAGTGGCCTGCGCTGGTGACTCTAGAGCCGTTCTGGGACGTCGTGGCCCTAGTGGAAAGTGGACTGCAACGCCGCTCTCCGAGGACCAGACCGGTGGAACACCTTCGGAGATGAAGCGTTTGCGTGAGGAACACCCTGGAGAACCTCACGTTGTCCGTAATGGCAGGATACTAGGTAACCTCGAGCCGAGTCGTTCATTTGGAGATGCTTTTTATAAATGGTCGAGGGAGACGCAGGACAAGATTAAACGCCAATTCTTCGGACGCACTCCGCACCCGCTATTGCAGACTCCGCCTTATGTTACTGCTGAACCTGTTATAACCACAACTAAGATCGACCCAAAGCAGGGCGACTTCCTTGTCCTGGCAACCGACGGTCTCTGGGAGATGCTGAGCAATGAAGAAGTGGTCGGTCTAGTGGGACAGTGGATCGAACAACAGCAATCTGGAGGTGCTAATGGTGTTAGCAAGCCTTGGCTGCAAAGCTGGTTCCGCTCGGAAGCTAAACAGCTCCCTGTGGAAAAGTCCCAGGTCACCAACCAGGAGGGCCAGCGACCTCCGATTCGCCAGCAGCAGTATGATATCTCAGGCGCAGCTAGCCGATTTGTCGTGGAGGACAAGAACGCCGCTACGCATCTTGTTCGAAACGCCATGGGCGGCAAGGACAAGGACATGGTTTGTGCTCTTCTTACTCTCCCTAGCCCGTACTCCAGAAGATACCGGTAAGTTCGCAACTCCATTTGACGGTTGCCTACATTCCGTGTCTTGACAACTGACCCATTCTGCAGTGACGATATCACCGTTGAGGTCATCTTCTTTGGTAATGGCCCGGACAACCGCACCGTTTCAATTAACCAAGAGGCTAGCGCTTCTCAGGACAGCGCCAAGGCTAAACTCTGAATAGAACTTCCTCCATCGTCATTCTAGAGCAGTCTCTGCTGCAGATCTTTCTGCACCTTCTGATATCCCCAGAGTATTTGTATTATTCTAAGTGGCTGTGATTCTGGCGTTCGGTCTTGTATTAATTTGCGGCTGATTTGATGTAGAGGACATCGTTCTTGCGTCGGTGAACCAATAAATTCTTGAATACTATCTCGATATTGTTATATTCGTCTCTGTAAACCGTCCAGTACCTGACAAGGGTGGATCAATGCTATAGGCGCTTCAATTTAGATTGTGCATCACAATTTATCTCTCACAGGGAACCGTGTTGAGCCGGGTTGGTCTTGGGGTTGATATCCATGATATGTAACTTGAAAGATCAGCCTAACGTGCTTGGAAGCCTATATGTTGTCATACCAAGTCGAGTTATTATGCACTCATGTTACCTGGATCTAAACGTGTGGTCGGGCCACTAAACTTCAGTCAGTGCCTGGAAACTCTTATGGATGTGATTATCACGCTCTAGACAAGGCCTTACGAAGCTGGTCTCTCAGCATACGTTCCAGCTCTGGACTTTTTATCAAAATATCTTCTCACCTGATGTGGCTTTCTTTACCAAACTCATTTCCATCGCACTCATTATCTTTAAATTCTTGATTGAGACTAACCTGTCGAAGGGATTTGTGACCCGGAGTTCGGCAATAGATCTTGGAAGTGATTCAAGTGATTCGGGCTCCACATGCACAGCGATCTCATGCCATTCGATCTCTGTGGAGATGAGTTCAGACATCGCTTAAGCAAGGTGAGAGGTATTAATAGTAGCATTTGAAGTTGATCATCCTGCTCCTGACCCCGGAAAGTAGCGGATAATAATCAACTGGTTGTTCCGCCGACTCGATGTTACACTCTCCTCCTAGGCCACGTGCCAAAGAATTGCCCTTGCAGCAAATCGCTTTCGCTTTCACTTGATGCTACACTACCAGTACTAGTCAGTCCGAACTCCATGGAAGCGACCACAGCAAGCCTTGCGAGTCTTATATCCAAGAGACTACGGAATGTGATGAATGTAACCAATAAGAGAATGGGATAATGTATACCTAGCTTCTCGATACGAGAGAGCATGGAGTGGACATCAAGGGTCCCAACCGTTGGACACCCCGCATTCTTCGGCCCTTCATTCCCTCATTTTCTTTATGACTGTGTGTCAACAGTGAACTCAATCCTCTCGCATTATGATCTGACAGTACCAAAAGAACCCTTCACTGTATGAACATGGTTCTTTCATTGGCCTCCATCCCTGGACCCAGGGAGATGGTTGATGGGTGGGAGATATCTTGTCATCATGTTCTGTCATCTGCAGTCCACTCTCATTCCAGAAAGACCATGCTTTGTGGTTGGCTGTTCTTAATATTCCAACCTCGTTTCCTTGGATAAAGGAATGTGATTGGCACCATCCTATCCATGAGAACCGGGACTAAGGACATCTGACGTTAGAAACATGGCCTTGACATTGCAGCTCCAGCAATCGCTACCCTCCCAGTGACTGACAGTTTCACACCAATTTTAGGGACCCTGTCAACTTAATTAAGCTCTAGTTAGCAAAAACTGATAATAGGGTCCTTTCATAGCTCTTGCGGTACAAGGAGAATCTAGAGGTGATCCTTTGTATAACAGAGACAATACTGCTCGCACTTCCCAAGAACCGGTCCAAAGCCATCTAGGAACCCCCCCCCCCCCCCCCCCCAGGATTTAATGTCTTCCCCAAGGGATGCCTTGCATTGACCGCGCGGAGTATCATCATCTGCCACGCTAGACAAAGCCCACGGCGCTGACGTCAAGAAATGGGCGGGTTCTAGCCCATTCTCACCCATATTATCTGGTAGGAGCTGCTCTTGGTTTGCTAACTCTGAATAAGCATTGATAGCTACTCCTTTATTACCATTATCTATTACTGTTGCAGCACAGTCCTCTCTTTATTATCATTATTGGCGTTCCTTTTCTCTCCTATGCTGACAACTTGCAGTTCTTTAAGGGGAACAGCATCAAGTGTTCACAATCAAAGAAGACAATGACCTTGGTATGTTAGATATTGTTACGTCCTTTGTCTAAGAATTTCCCTTTGGCCAGATCCCATGAAAGAGGCGCGGATGTAGCCACACCACAAGAGAAAATTGAGAAAATTTCTATCATCTTCCACACCCATGGTGGTTTCGTATAAGAAACGCTTGTCCCATACTCTTTTCCTGGTCCCATAAAGCAGAGCTTCTCAATATCTGATGCGAAGTGTTAACTTCTTAAAGGACAGCTCATCACTATAATCCCAAGGTGAGGGTCACTTACCCGACCTGGAAGACAATTCGGTAAGTGAACGCGTTGAATGACCTGGGGAGCCGTACAACTGACTCTGTCAGATATTTCCCCTTTATATTCTCTCATTTTGTGTTTACAGGCACACAATGTCGGAGCCTCCGTTGAAACGTCTGAAATCGGCCAGCTCCGATACCAGAAGCCATTCTTCTGGTAGCCTTCCCACAACAGTGCATCTGGAAGATGTGCCACGAGCGCAGACACGACCACCACGCATTGACACTACTATGCGCTCTGGGGTTCCGTTTCAGCAAGAAACCAGTGGTCCTCCGCTCACCCCAGCCATGCGGGCGACCAATTTGAAGACTATTTCGCCTCAAGTTTCTCCTACATCTGTACCTCTTCCCTGGAATGAACAATTCGCCTCGACATCCTCTCGCAGTCTAGGAGAACGTACTCTATCTATGTCACAGTCACAGACGCCTCGACAACAGACGATACAATTTGCCGAAGATCCTTTCACACGTACAAATAAACGGAACATAAATTTTAGTCATAACCCCCCGAGACCGCATCGAGAGATCAATATCGGTACAGCTGCTCCCCCGCCACGATGGGTCTTAGTGGAAGACGCGCCCGCCCAACAGGATCCAAGCGCATGGGAAGAGAAATCGCGAGCACGATTGGCACGGGGGAAGTCTATCGGGAGACAGAGTGCAGCCAGTGCTGAGCCTGAAACACAGCCTGGAACCAGTGCACGCTGGGATCAGGAACTGAGAAAACTCAGGTGGCAGTTTGAACCAGGATCCCCCAGCGCACGTGGAGAGTTATCGGAAGCAGGATGGCAAGAGGCTGCATGGAGGAGGCTTGAAGAAGCTCTTAGAGATCCAAAGATACGGCAAGAGTTAAGAGAGAAGATCAGTGTCGGCCCTTTAGACAACACTATTTACAGTCTAGAGGATCCGTTGCCACCTATGCCCCCAGCTCCGACCTTCTCTGGTGCGCAAGTGAGGAAGCCCTCAATTCCTGAATCTTCTGCATCGCTGTCGACGATGAAGGAGTCTACCTACTACTATCCCGATTACGACCGTCCCTCTCTGGCGGTTCAACCTGGTACCTATGCTCCAGGAAGAGGAGGTCCAGCGAGCATGGCGCGCAGGGCTTTGGATCAGATGAGAACTGCGATCGCTCTCTGGACAAACAATAATACTCCTCGGCGAGGATCAGAAACTGCGCCTATGATTTCGCATAGTAACACTGAAGAACGACGGTCTAAGGAAGCGCGGCGGTCACCGCAAAGTTCACAGAATCTCCTGACTACTGATGAAGAACGCCAGCAGCAACTGGTTGAGAACGATTATTCAGAATACCAGGAGGAGCCTATGGGTAAGTACAAATATCTTTGGTTTACTGTTGTATTCTTATTTCTGGCAATGTTCTGCTGTCTTTTCCTGTATTCTTTCAAGATCATCAGATGAAAATTACTCGCCCGAACTGTAAATGGACATCTTGTTAATAGACATGGCCAACAACACAGAGCGTGAGTGTATGTACATAGTACAGAGCGCGAAGTGGCAGGATAAAGGCAATACGGCTGATACTTTCTTTGAAATTCATCCCTTGCATACAAATCGTTCCTAGTATACGAAAAAGACTGATACATCTCAATTTTCATAGGATGTCAATCCACTCACAACATTCCTCGGAATGATCCGCAGCCAACCAGGTCCCTGGTCTCAAGAAGCGAACAAGAAATCGACTCGCTCTCTCAACCAGCACATGGACTCCCAGAAGCTACCTCCAATGAACGACGACGGGAAGCAGTGGAATCACTCGTAAATCTAAGAACAGGTAACGTCAATCTGGCCAGCTCGTAATTTGGAGTCTTCGTGTTCATTGCAAGGCTGATAGATTTCCAGGTGGACAACCAGCGCAAGAGGCGCGTCCGACAACAGGAGGAAAACAGATTCCCGATAGTGCAGGTCAGAGGCTACGGGCCAAGCAGCAATTAAAGGTCGATCAGATCGGGAAGGAGGAACAGCAGGAGCGTTTCCCTAAGCGTCCTCCATTCCGGCGGATGAAGATATGGTCCGGTGTATGGCTTCCGAAAGAAGATATTGACGAAGATGAGCTCGCGCAATTGGCACAGATCCCGCCATCAACAGACAGGCCATTCAACAGGATCAAGACAATAACCGTGAGGGTTAGCACTACCAATGCTTCTCCCGCTTCCGAGCCTAGCAGGGTTCAACGAGGCGCTAGAGGTGGAAAGAAGAGGGCCAGGGACGTAGCGCCTCAGAATGAAGACCTGGCGGCAGCCCAGGATGAAGCTTCGGGTTCTCAAACGAAGAGGACAAGGAGGAACCCTGCGAGGAGCACAAGAAGAAAGTGACGGGATTGGCTGAGTATGGACTAGGTAGACTGCACGCTTCAGAGTTCGCTTGAAGTATAGACGGTTGGCGTTACGGATTGTTTCTAAGATACGGTCTGCTGGAGTTTTTATCATAGGTTTCTAGACTTGGTTGGCATTTGGTATCATTCAGGACTTTCGGTTTTCTTTTGCTTAGATTCAATAGTCCAGAGCTTACATTATCCATATATTACTATTCACCAATGTAGATTAGACATGAGTTATCCTAAAGGTAGGGACTCGGTTAACCCTATTTCTCGTCACGAGACACAGGGTTCTCCAACACAAACAAGGCAAACAGGACTTAGATTCGATAGCTTTCTCATGTTTTCATCATTCATAGACCACAGCCAAACAATAACTCAGTCCGCGATGGAGCTCGAAAATGTTACACCTTCTGAAATCATCTTTTCGAAGAAGCTTTTTGCGTCGGATTTCTCTGTCGTCTTTCTAGTTACTGTGCGTAACCAGGAATGCGTTATGAAGGTGGTAAGTCGACCTGCTAATGTCACTCTCAGGTATCGTATTATTGATTTCAGAAGCACCACGGAAGAGGTCCGCCGCGGTACTATGAGCGTAAAGACCGTGAATTGGACATTCACGTGCTCGAAACTTCTGCTTACACCCGTTTAAGAGATAAAGGACTCTGTGATCGAGGAATTGTGCCTCGCTTCTTGGGCTCCATGAGGAAGTTCGACCAGTCGTTGTGCCAGCCTTATCTAGAAATATTCCTAGATGACGAATACCCACCTAGTGCTATTTTCCTGGAATATGTACCCAATATGGAAATGATTACGTTGAATAACTATACGCAGCAGCGGATGGATAATCTCATTGCTGGAATACAAGAGATACATAAAGCGTTGGTACTACATGGGGATCTGAAACCGAGAAATATGATGGTCGTGAAAGATGATCCAGAGAGAGTTATCTGGATAGACTTCGATCGGGCGGTAACTTATGAAGAGGCTTCGATCACTGATTCCGAGAAATCTCTCCTGGAAGATGAGGAGATAACGCTTGTTTATTTTGAACAATTCATGGTTAGTTCCCCTGTTATCGGGATATACGGATCAAGTTTTCTAATTATTTCTAGGAAAACGATTTGGCCAAAGGGAAACTCGAAGATGCGTATATCTTTTATTGCACTTGATGGCTTTGTGTCTTTGGGCGTCATGTATTATGAACCATGATATGACAATGCACGTGTGGTGCAGGGGCTTGTTTCTTGTCAGATAGACAAGAGAAGCCTGCTCTCAAAACATGCGACTGCGTGGACTGAGAATGGATAGAGACCAGCGAACCCTAACATTTCGACCTACACTGTCATTAGAACGACTCAAGCCATGATGCTTGTCTTCTCGGCCTGTAAAGTATGGAAACATATTGTTGACAACCACACAAGGGAATACTGGCTCAGAAAGGCTCACATATAGTTTCATCGTCATTGTAGAGAGCATAACACCGCTCCTTATTCAAAGCAGCGTTAGGAGGGCCCCGTGGAGAAATCTAGGATGATAATACATTCCCTAATCGATTAGAAGGGCTACTATCGAATCCAACCTTAATCCATGTGCCCTGCCACACCTACGTCTCTGTTAGGTGGATATGGCGACACTGAAAGAGATACACATTCTGGGATTGAACTAGTAGGTCAGAGCTACGGAAATAACATATTAGATAGAAGATTTTCTGGCTGGGATTATAGATAAGAGAGCGAGACTTTTCCAGTTATGATCTGAGCCTGCGACATAACTTAGCTGGTCATTGTTTTATTGCTTATAAGATCTCTGTAACCCATAGAATGTCATAGTCCACTTATAGCTCATTGATACCAAGGTTTCTTTTCCTCTTCGTGACTTTTTATAGCTGTAGCTATGATGATGTTATATCGACATTGCATAGTTAGTTATGTATGCATTATGACTAAGCAACGCGAAGCATTATCGATACAAACCAGGCAAACATGAATGAAGCCGTGAATAGCAGGACTTCGTGACGGACACATCGAAGGAACTGCTGTCTCCAGTTTATTGAAGGACCGTTACTTTCTTGCCAGTGATTGCAATATTTTGGAGTGGTAATGCCACTGGCGTGATATCAGAATAATGGATTGAACCAACAAGCAGGTATTCACTTACCATTGAACGAATACAGAGCTCCTCATTGAGCTACGACCTTCGCTCATCCGTTCTTGCTTAAGCTTGACCTCGTCGGATTCTGGACTAAGGGTCTAGCGGCCAAGGACTTTTGGCAATATGTTCAATTTTACGCCTCTTCTGGGCGCGCAGTCGTCATCTTCAAGGGCGTCTCAGTCTATATTGGAGCTTGATGGTGGAATCAAGATTCTGGTGGGCGTCGGTTGGGATGAGACCTTCGACACGTTGGATCTCTCAGAGCTAGAGAAGTAGGTCATTCATATATATGGGAGACAAGATCATTACATGTTAACTAGTATTTTAATTAGGCATATCCCTACGCTTTCGCTCATTCTTCTGACCCATGCAACGCCCGCGCATCTCGGTGCCTTTGCGCACTGCTGCAAGACATTCCCTCTTTTCACCCAAATCCCCGTCTATGCCACAAGTCCTGTGATCGCTTTGGGACGGACACTCCTTCAAGATCTTTATGCTTCTGCGCCTCTCGCCGCTACCTTCCTACCGAAGGCCTCCATATCTGAACCCGGGGCTTCTACATCAGCTGCGTCTGCGGCCGCGTCTGCTTCGGGAGCGGCGGCGAATACAGATGGCGGAATTTCGAGCCCGATTCTGCTTCCACCACCGACTCCGGAAGAGATCGCAAGATACTTCTCTCTCATCCACCCCTTGAAATACTCGCAGCCGCATCAACCGCTACCTTCGCCCTTCTCGCCGCCCCTAAATGGTCTCACGCTAACGGCCTACAATGCGGGACATACCGTCGGAGGTACTATATGGCATATCCAACATGGCATGGAGTCTATTGTATATGCGGTCGATTGGAATCAAGCGCGCGAGAACGTGGTTGCGGGAGCGGCCTGGTTTGGAGGCGCTGGAGCCAGCGGGACGGAGGTGATAGAACAATTGCGCAAACCGACGGCTTTGGTCTGCAGCAGCAAAGGAGGAGACAAGTTTGCCGTGTCTGGAGGACGGAAGAAACGTGACGATCTACTCTTGGATATGATCCGGAGTAGCGTCTCTAAGGGCGGTACGGTCTTGATTCCCACCGACAGCAGTGCTCGAGTACTAGAACTGGCATATACACTGGAACATGCATGGCGTAATGCTGCCGAAGATGGAAGTGGAGACAATCAGCTGAAAGACGCACAGTTATACTTGGCTGGGAAAAAAGCTCATGGAACCATGAGACTCGCGAGGAGTCTTCTGGAGTGGATGGACGAGAGTATCGTCCGTGAATTTGAAGGCGTCGAGGGTATTGATGCGACTGCTCCCGAACGTTCACAAGGCAGAACCGATTCACAAGCTCGAGGGGGGCCAAGCCAAAGTCAGGACAAGAAAGGGGCGAAAACTGCAGGACCCTTCGCGTTCAAACATCTAAAGATTGTCGAACGCAAGAGGAAGCTTCGAAAGGTCCTTTCTGACCAGGCACCTAAAGTTATCTTAGCTTCTGATACATCGCTGGACTGGGGCTACGCTAAAGATACTTTCCGCCACATTGCCGAAGGACCGCACAACTTAATCGTACTGACCGAGACACTCCCCTCCCAGAAATCATTTGAGGACGCGCAGGAAGCTGACAGAGTGACGCTTGGTCGCATGATATGGCAATGGTATCAAGAACGAAAGGACGGCGTTGCCTTGGAGAAAGCCTTGGATGGAGAACTTCTTGAGCAAGTCCATAGTGGTGGGAGGGAGATCACTCTGACCGATGTTCAACGGGCCCCCCTTGGCCCTAATGAGCAATTGTTATATCAGCAGTACCTCGCCACGAAGAGGCAATTACAAAATACATCTCAAGTTCGGGGCGACGGTAACCTCGATAATACGGCCGATGCACTGGATGACGGGGCCAGTTCAACCGAGTCAGAAGACTCCGACTCGGAGCAGCAAGGAAAAGTCTTGAACTTTTCCGTATCATTGGCCCATTCCAATCGAAATAAGCTAGGACTCAGTGACGAGGACCTGGGTGTCAATGTTCTTTTACGACGAAAGAACGTCTATGATTACGATGTTCGCGGGAAAAAGGGCCGTGAACGAATGTTCCCCTATGTTGCCCCTAGAAGGCGTGGGGACGAATACGGCGAGTTTATTCGGCCCGAGGAATATCTTAGGGCGGAGGAGCGTGAAGAAGCCGAGATGCAGCAACGCAGGCCTGACTCCCAGGGAGAGACCAAGGTTGGCCAGAAACGCCGATGGGATGAGACGGGGCCAAATGGAAGGAGACTGTCCGGAGGCACGGGGAAACGCCAGCCCCTATCCCGAGACGGGAATAAAAGGGGTTCAAGTACTGCAGACGACCTTAGTGTTGGTGACGAAATGGCAGTTGACGGCGTGGAAGGTTCTGAAAGCTCTGAAGATGAAGATGATGCGCAGGTTTCTGAGGAGCCTTCCAAAGCGGTGTATATCAAGTCGACGATGACAGTTAATGCCCGCATTGCTTTCATTGACTTCAGTGGTTTGCATGACAAGCGAAGTCTGGAGATGCTTATTCCCTTGATTCAGCCACGCAAACTGATACTCGTCGGCGGTACCAAAGAGGAGACCACAGCTTTGGCAGAGGAATGCCGTAATTTACTCGCTGCCAAGGCCGGTGCAGACTCTTCCACCGCAGCTGCTGTGGATATTTTCACACCTGCAAATGGGAACACCATCGATGCTAGTGTGGATACCAATGCTTGGATGGTCAAATTGAGCAACAATCTTGTCAGGCGCTTGAAGTGGCAGCATGTGCGCAGCCTGGGCGTCGTCGCGCTAACGGCTCAATTGAGAGGACCAGAACTTCTTCCACCTAGCGATGATACGGCCGAGTCGGCCAACAAGAAGCAAAAGTTGTTGAAGGAGGAAGCGGACTCTGTCGACGGCTTGACGGAGCAGCCAATGAAGCCGTCAGCAGCGAAGAATGACGTCTTCCCTGTTCTTGATGTTTTGCCAGCAAATATGGCGGCCGGAACGAGATCCATGACACGACCGTTGCATGTTGGTGATCTTAGACTTGCTGACTTGCGGAAACTGATGCAGGCCGCTGGCCACACTGCGGATTTCCGCGGTGAAGGAACACTGCTTATTGATGGGATCGTGGCCGTGAGGAAATCTGGCACTGGTAAAATCGAAGTCGAGGCTGCAGCTCAGGCAGCCGTGGGAAGTCCACTGGCCGGTGGCCGGGGAGAAGGAAGCTTCTTGGCCGTGAAAAGAAAGATATACGAAGGTCTTGCCGTTGTGGCCGGCGGGTAGACATCAATCAGATATCTTTCGCCATGATTGTTTATTGCTATGTTCAATTCCCAAGACAGACCTTCGATTTCAACACGAATGTATTCTATACCCTGCTCTATTCAAACACGTGTGTTCCATCTTTGAACCTTTCCATAGACCCAAAGACATTGGCTTTTTACTTGCTCCACGTCGATCTGGTAGTTCGTGCTTTGTTACCCAAACACTGGAGTATAAACGAGCACCCACTTCTCCTGTACTGGGTTGAGTCACCATGCATCATGACTCTTTCCAGATGAAGGAGCTACGACGTAGCTGTCACGTCGAGGAATATTGTCACTGTGAAGATGATGGATCGTCTTGACCGCTACGTGAAGCAAACAGATGTGTCATATCGAGTCACTCCTCAACCACTATATAACTATACGGAAATATCCTCTCTTCTGTTGTCTCCCTTCTATGATTTTTCCATCTACCGAAATTATCAAGCTCATATCCATCTCTCTCTGTACTTGAAGCTAAAGCATCTATCATTTCCATAAGAATCAACCTACAATATACACACTTCCCACAACCACTCTTGAACTTCTATATCAACAACAACATCGATGGCTCCTCCTCGTCGATACATCACGCTAGACGGCCAGCCTCCGCTCGGAGGACTCCCTCCAAACGTAGCTGCCGCTATGCAGCATCGAGCACGCGAGTCTCCTCCGCCATATACCGCAGCTCCAGCTCCTCCCGCTACTCAACTTCCGCCACAGCATGGACACCCCGTCTCCATCAACATCATCCCAGAAGCAACAGTCTGCTACGTCCCCCGTCCAATCATCGGTGCGAACCCCAGCTGGCAGCCATGGACACCACTCGTCATCACACGCACACCTCCCAACGCACCCAGCTGCAGCTGTCATGATACAAAACCCGCCAAACAACCCCCTGCAGCATCAAACAACCCACCCTTTCCACCGGGTAGTAATATGCCCGGCACGACCGATAGTCATCCAGTCACTCTCTCCTCTGGAGCCGGCTACATCTTCCCAACGAACCACACGACCATCCATCTCATCGAGCCGAACTTCCTTCCTTTCGCGCACCCTCCGAGACAATTCAAATGGCGCGTCTACAAAGTTCCCACGACTCTATCCCTATCTGAGCTTATCGAGAAGGTTTGCGTTGTCGATTGTCCAGAGGGCAAGACGGCTGTTAAGGGAATCGTGGAGTGTATCGAATTAGGCGATGGGTGTTGGTTGCGAGGGCCGGAGTTCTGGATGGGAAAGGGGAAAGGGGAAGAGGATGCGATGAAGGGGAAGGTGAAGAAGACGCTGGCGAGTATTGGGTGGGATGAGAAGAGGGGAAGTGTGGCGAAGCCGGTTTGGCTTGCGGTTGTGGTGGAGTATGTTTGAGAGGTAGTCTATGCTCTTTTATTGTTATTCTTTTTTAGGGAATGCTTCCTTGGGTCTTGTGAGAAGAAGATTTTGGATTACTTTTGAGAAATTGAGGGTCAGGCTTTGTGCGATGTTTGCTTGGTCCAATTTGGCATCGTGTTATGTACCTGCGGATATTGTGTTATGATGTGTGGTAATTGGGGACATTTCATTTCTCTCTCCAAGTATTGTGGTTTGGGTTTTATTATTGGCTTTTGTCGGACATGCGAGTATGTAGCAGCATAATTGAGAAGATTGAAATTCATATGACATATATATTCATCATCCATGGTTTTGTTGTTAAAGATCCGAAGGCCAAGTGTACAGAAAAGAATATATAAAAAGGACATCATGCCATGCGTTCCATGAGTGGTACTCATTCAATCTCTTCTCCGTTTTCGTCATCTCCGTGAACACCTTCCTGTTCTACAACCTTCGCGCTCTTGGTCTCCTGCTGCTTTCTGCGGCGATGTTTGATGCTTACGTAGATGAAGAAACCGAGCTCAGACACGACAATCGCCAACCAAATTGCCAGAGCCACAGCTGACCATCCTGCATAGTACATTCCCGTACCGATGTTGAAGATTCCCAAACAGAGGACGCTTCTCCCCAGCCATACATGCAACGTGCTGAACAGAGACCGTCTATGTTGCTGGACGAAGACGATGTGGTGTTTGTACCCGAGCCATCCTTGCAGGATGAGTAGAGATGTTGCTACCAGACCGATGATCTTGTGTGTTCCAAGATGCTTTGCGCGCGAGAGCATGTATGCGGCGCTAGCGATGGCAAGTAGTGACGCGATCAATTGGGCGACCCAATGGAGACGGAAGCTCTGCGAGTGTGGCCAGCGGATCGCGACGGTGCCGAAGTAGAATATTCCCATAAAGCAGATGGTCATGATGAACCCGTGGATTTTGACAGCCATAGTTGTTCCCTTTCCATGAGTTACAACCCGTATGCCGAACGATTGTTTCTGGCTGTCCATGGGGGGAACGGGCTCATCTGTGGAAAGAAGAGTCGAATGCATGTCAACAGCAAGATGGCCATGACTTTGGTGAACGTCCAGTTTTACACCAGTATCCAGAGAGTTGAAAACTTGGCCTCGATTTTCTGCGAACATCCACGGCTGAGATGCGGAGTCAAAATCGACACCGGGCCATTTATCACAAGAGTAGCAGACGATCTCAGCAAGATAGGTCCCAGTTTCAGGAACAACAATTGCTTTGGTGACATTAATCTCCGGCGCAGTATCTGTTACCACTGTGGGCACGACATGTCCGGTAGCTGTCCTCACGCTAATAGCTAGCTGCTCCTGGCTGGCATCAGTGTATAGGATAAACATAAGAGCACCGGCCATCTTTGCGCCAATCCCAATAGAGAACCAGCCTCCTGTGCTGTGTGGAGTTGCTGAGATTGAAAGGTAAATATCTTTTCCCCGAGATGCATTCTCTTTGCTGGACACTGCCATGCAAAATTCCGGGTCACCTTTCTGGCAATATTGCGCTCCTGCTGAGAGGACAGACTGCCATTGTGCAACCGAAAGCAGTGTTAGTAGACACACTTGAAAAAAAGATATTCTCATTGCGAATAGAATTCCGTCGCAGCAAGAGAATTCTCGTAATTCTCCTCTCGATCTTTCGGTCTTTGTCGCGGTGTTCACTTAGCTGCCAGAAGTTCGGAGCTGAACTATGTGCGCACTCCACAAAAAGGCCTCCCTGCAACTCCTCCAGCACTGCCGTTCAAGGCAACGTAAGCTATATTTTCCTAGCCTATTAAGTGGTCGGGATATGAAATGAGACGGCTCTATCGTTGCGCAAGAATAGGTAAAGATAGGCTTGGGGACGAAAAGGCGCTTGTCACCGAGTTCGGTTTAGCGTGTCCATCTGATATGCATGTGGGCCAATCTGCTTCGTCCATTCGTTGTTCGCAGCGAGTGGCTTAGTAAGACCTAGTATGCTGGGAGATCTTATCATCAAGTCCTGGATTCAGACAATAATGACAATAATACGACTAGTATCAGGTGAGTAAAGTGCGCATTCGACACGGCTAGATCATGCGTCTTATCAGATAGATCCACGAGTGCCCATGGAGGCCGTCTAGGAATGAAGCTCTAGCCTCTAGGTTAGTCCCCAGGCTTGAGTACTCCGCATGTTGATCTAGCCTCTTGAAAACTGCATTTTACCTTCCTCTTTTCGCATGCGGGTCCGAGTGGCACTTGTGACGCCGCATGTACGGAGTACTGTACCATGTTGCCCCGCCTGTTGTAGAAGTTCTGGGAGATCGACAAACTAAAGCAGGACAGATTTGAGAGATGCATGGTATGACGTGATCTAATCTTGTATTACGTGGGCGTAATAAGGTAGCTTATACACAGCATAGTGCATTTTCTGTTCATGGCTTATGCTAAACGTCGAAATCGTCCGGGGGATCGTACGCCCCTATAAAGTCTTCCGTACTGATAGACTGAATGATATCGTTTGTTCTCGGTCCGGTATATTTCCTGCAAGCGAATCGTGAGTTACAATGAAAGTGATAATTGATGAAGGCAGAATCGGTTCATAATACCATCGAGCAGAGACCCACCACCACACGAGGGAAAAGATGGCGATAAAAGCTGCAACACAAATAGCGTAATTCCTGCGATGTTGTCAATATCGTTATAGGCCTTGCACGAACGATAGGTCACTTACATGTTGGCTGCCGTCACAGGTTTCGATGGAGGAAAGAAGAGTATCACGCTGATTAAAAGTACCCAGGTAATAGCGATCAGATTCAATGGTGTTCCCCATTTTCCCAGAGTGAAGGGGCCTTCAATAAACTTCACCCGCTTCTTGTAGATTTGGTGAGCAAGGATGACAGAGATATATGACAGATCGAGTGCTGGTGCCGTGACATTGAAGATTGCTGTGGCGGTCTGGGTGGAACCAATGGCAATGCAGTTGAGGCAGACACTGAAAAACACCACGAACCAGACTGCATTTACCGGAGTATGCGTGTATTGATTGACTTTCGACCAGATACTACGGGAGATATTAGAACTCTTCCGCAGAGATATGTCTTTTCGGGCATGGCTTACTGTGAAAATGGCAACGCCTCATCTCTGGCAAACGCATATGCCATTCTCGTGTCTGCCAGCATAGCTGAGCAGCCCGTGAAAAACTGAACGAGGATAGCGAAAGACCACATTATCGTGCCTCCCGTCCGGCCTCCAGCATTGAGGAATATCTGTGCAGCTGGAAGGCCCGTCGCTGTGTTTAAAATCCCATCCAAGTCGGTCAAACAGAAGCACATTGCCACTGTGAGCATCCAACCAAAGACCCCTGAGACCAAAACTGCTGTCTGGATGGCTATAGGGCCTCGAATGGCCGCATCATGGGTCTCTTCTGACATGCTTTGATCCAAATTAGCTGATGATCCCTCACCGTCTCAGTCGCCACTTACTGTGTTGTTCCGTCATAGTCAGTCATGGTCCAGGCCACGGATATGAAACCTAGGAAGAAAGAAAACCCTTTCGAGCCCCATCCAGAACCATCTGTAACCGTAGTGAAGACCCATTTAGCGGACTGCTTCTCGGGTGTGAGTACTAAGAGGGCGATACAGATGCCTATTGACGCGAGGACTGTGGAGCTTCAGTTAATCTCCTCAGTACTAGTAATCATCCGCAACAGAGCTTACTATTAATAGGTGCAAACCACATGACGATCCGATGCAGGCTCTTAGTGGTCAAGGAACAAATTATGCCCATGAGACATAGCATTGCTATTGCTAAGAGGACAGTTTGTAATGCAGTACTTTGAGATATGAGCGACGTCACTGCTGTTTTGAAGGCGGCTGAGGGTGGACTCACGGCGAATACTCGTATTTCCCATCTTCCAGACTCGAGTTCATACTTGCGCAAGCTAAAAGCATCTGGCTGACTGTGTATGCCACGCTAGACACTCCTGCCGTCTGCCCAAGCAGGTTGCACCATCCCTGAACCCAAGAAAAGATGGCAACTTGGCTCTCAGGCACGACATGCTTTGTGACAAAATACATCCCTCCAGCGGTTGGATATGCTGATACCAGCTCTGCCACGGAACTTCCAATGCACATTGCCATACAGGAGCCGAAGAACCAACACCATACCGCCGTAGCTGGCCCTCCTGCCTCCAAGGGGGAGCCAAAAGTCGCAGGGACCGACCCAAGTACTCCCAGAATGGATATCGCATAAGACACTGTGGACCATTTTGAGAACTCACGTCTCAATTCCTAATGCCGATAACTGGTTAGCTGATCGGAATCAATTCATCATCGCTTCGCCATGGACGCACTTGTTTGTAGCCAATTCGGGCCAACAAGCGTTCGTCATCATCTCGAATAGTTGCCATACGAGGCACAGGGGTGGCAGTGCCTTTGTCGGTGGCCTTTTTACTGTCCCTAATATCACTACCTCCTGACTTGCGAAGAGATGTAGACGTCAGATCCATGCCTTCAAAGGAGAACAATCCGAGTCGTATGGATAAAGGAAGAACGGGGGAAACGAGAATAGAGTCGACACCAGAGCATAGATATGATATAGCTTTGGGCTTGCTTCATACTTTTACCTACCAACACGACAGTTTATGGAGCTGTCCAGGCGCACGGAGTATATTCCGTATGGTGGAGCCAACCCCTCTGCTTTAGGGCATTCCGGAACAAGTCAGTCACACTGGTAGACTGGCAGTCGATCCGACTGAACGTCGGTATGACAATTCTAGTTCTGTGGCTGCAGATGAGATGTTCGACAGCGGAGCACCGGGCTAGAACCAGTGGTGATAGATGTATACAGCCGTTGCGGTGAAGGATCACTCAGGTTCACAGCCTTATCACGTTTTGGAAAGAAACTAGTCGCAACCTTGGTAACCCACTCCAGGGCCACAGGTCAAATGTCTTCTCGACGAGTGTACAAAACACAGCAATCATTGGAGTCCAGAGCCCAAAAATATAACAGGTACCTGTGGTTGGTACCACTTGTCTTAGGATCCTAGAAGGGTTGAAGTCTTCCCGGGTAGAGGGCCAAGGAAAAGATAAGAAAACAGCAGGGAACATGGATGACAGGAATTGACCGGTTGAAAACCTGGTGGACTGTTTTCTAGTGCTTTCTTAAGCCATAAACTAGCTCCCCGGCTAGCCGGGATGAAACGAACAATCTAGCAGTCGGGATCGTCCCTCGACTCTCTCCTCCCAGGAGACATTGGCCGATACATTGTGCTCAAACGGCGCATTATTTGAGAGCGCCAACAATGCCATGAGATCTGCAGGCCCTGGATGACTTCCCGCTCGAGGTACAGGAATGTAACCAGTTTGAAAGAGCCTGAGGATGGCAGGTATTGTTGTCGCACGCAATGATCTGATAGTGAGAGGGGATGTGGAGGTCGGAAAGGGAAGTAATTAATTAGTTGTGAGAGTTGGAGACGCTACGGGAGATTCCAGCCAATCAAACCTGCGAGTTGGGGGCGGTGAGCAGACCGCTCGCTCTACCGTCGCCTTCCCATTAAGGCTTTCACCATCGTTCATATCCATGCCCAACGTCTTGCAACTGGGCAGGGATTTTATTTGACTCATTCAGCAGGGCTGATGTGATGCAAGCCGATGTTGGCTAAGGAATGATTCTTCTAAAGGCTAAGTGTAGCTATTCTGGGCGTGCGAGCCAGGATCGCGATGCATGTACATACATACATGTATGTATGTACAACATGCTGCAAACGATGGTGACGCAAAACTCGACGCTGTGCTCGCAACGGTATACTTTGGATATACTCAACTCCTAGAACCCATGGTCTGATCAACATGAAATCAGGAAAAGGAGGGAATCAGAGGTAAGTACACAGCACCTTGAGAGCATACTTAGACATCGCTACAACCTTTTAGACATCAAAACTGCCAAACTTGGTGGTATGGTGGGGGTCCTTGCCCCACTCCGATGACGGCCGATGAGAAGCTACTCCATCCCTCGTATGACAGTAAGAATACACAACGATCGCCCTTCATTAGGGAGAAATGACAATATCACGCTGATCAGCTACTAGGCTAGCCGTTTGGAGGGTTTTCAGTTGTACGGGCCAGTGGGAGAAGGAATACATTAAAAGGTTAGGTACAAAGGACCACTCACTGACAGCTAAGAAGCCCGGACATTTCTTTTTCCCTCGAAGTGAAAGCGCATCTTGCATGAAATATCTGGGGCGCCGTTACAACAGTTACGTGGGTAATGGGCCATGCATATATGTCTGAAGCTTTTCACACTCGCCGGTACCTAATAATGGTATCGCGTGGTCGGAAGTCTACGAGGTCCTCATTCGCAGTTCTGGCCGCAATAACTGTGTCAGTGGATCCTCGAAAAAACAAAAACTGTTGCCCAGTGCCGTGTAGCTCACACTAGACGACCTTGGACGTGGCATCAGCACTTAATTAGTTGTTGTCGTACCTTTAATTCTGCCATCTTCTACTCCTTTTCAGGGCGACAGCACTCATCGCTTCGCACATATGCACGCCTGAATTGCAATGACTGATTTTCCTTAGCATTCATTCAAGCTGGACCTTTACCACCTCAACATAAACCCATTAGCATAAGTTGGTATTAGAGGGGCATCGCTGGTGGACAATTGAACACCCGTTAACTAGAGTACCTAGCCATCATTATATACTTCCGGTATTCATGTTCCAGAATTATTACTTTTTTCCGCTGTTGGACATCTGACCCTTCATTGAACAATTCTTATTCCATAACCATAGCTGTATCGAGCAACGAGGAGATAAAAATTAGCATCAACCAGGTGCAAAGTCAAGTATAAAGCTAGATAAAAACAAGCATCTGTTGCTATTGCAAATAGGATATATTAGGTATGCCATTCTCGCACTAGACGCCACAAATCATTATAGCTATATTGTCACAATGAGGTCGCAGAAGCTGCTACAACAGGAATATTCTTACCTTTTCCTTCGAGGATCGATATATTAATATTATTCTTTGTTTTATACTCCTCCTTACTCCATAGTCGGTCGGGGCCTGGACCATGTGGACTAAAACGGCTTAGTGCCAACTTTGCAAGCCAGGAACGTGCACGTGCCAGCTGTGCTCTCGGAGCGAAGTAAATCCGTCCATATTATTGTTCCGGACGCGAACTCCCTTAGGTGGTCAGTTCGTTGCGGCCAAAGGGAAGCTTCGAGCAATAACACCCTCAAGGGTTTGCTCGAATTCTATTTTATTATTTATCTGAATCCGGAATTGACTTTTCCAGAAATATGGCATTTTTTTGAGAGAAAATATCTCAAGCTGGGCCTCAAATCTATCGAGTCTCCGTCCGCCTCCCTCATACATGGTAGGCCGTCGGATAGAGCATCATGGCGGACTACACAATGTACCATGCCATGGGTCAGGGAGTCGCTCCCAATGAAGACCCTTCAAACCAGCAACAGAACCAAGCTGCACCACCGTACGATCCTTCTGCCGGCCCCTCACCGGCCGGATACCAGCAACCTGTAGGTCCCTACGGATATGGAAATGTCCCCCCGAATGCGCAGCCTGCCTACGGTGCCATGCCGGCCTCGAATTTCAGCCCGAGTCCAAGCCCAGGATACAATGCAGGCTCGGCTGGTGGGGTTGGAGCTCCAGCGGAGGATCCAATGTCAGGATTATCATCACAGATGGGTGGATTGGGAATTGCGGGAGACGCCAGAGGACACAAGAAGAAGCACAGACATGCGTATCATGATATTGGCGGACCTGGAACATCATCGCCGGGGTTAAACGGTCTGCCTCACGGTGCCGGGCAGCCTCAGACACAATTCTTCAATCCTGGAGTGCAGCAGCCACAGCCATTTTCGCCGGTTCCAGGTCCGATTCCACAAGCTGCGAACCCAGCAATGGGTGCGACACCTCAACCAGGCTTCCATGGTGGTGGCACGGGGGGTGTCTCTGCTCAGGGCAAAGTTGATCCTGAGCAGATACCCAGCATTCCAAGGTCTCGAGATATACCGGCACAGTATTACGCTCAACATGTATACCCGACGATGGAACAACATATCCCACCTCCTGCTGCAGTTCCATTTGTGGCTCACGATCAAGGCAACTCATCCCCGAAATATGCGCGCCTTACGCTGAACAGCATCCCCTCTACCTCAGACTTCCTTTCCTCTACCGCTTTGCCTCTGGGCTTGATCCTGCAGCCGCTCGCACGCTTAGACCCTGGCGAGCAACCTATACCGGTGCTAGACTTTGGAGACTCTGGTCCTCCACGATGTCGGAGGTGCAGAACTTACATAAACCCGTTCATGACCTTTGGATCCGGAGGTAACAAGTTCGTTTGCAACATGTGCACGTTCCCCAACGAGGTCCCGCTCGATTATTATGCGCCACTTGATCCTTCTGGAGTCCGCGTTGACCGTCTCCAGCGCCCAGAGTTAATGATGGGAACGGTCGAGTTTATGGTGCCTAAGGAATATTGGTCGAAAGAGCCGGTCGGTCTTCAATGGCTGTTCATAATCGATGTCAGCCAGGAATCCGTGAAAAGAGGATTCCTTAAGGGTGTCTGTGAGGGTATCATGGAGGCCCTCTACGGCGGGGACGATGAGCCCGCCGAGGAGGGAGCGGACGAAGCTGCGAAGAGAAAAGTTCCTCCAGGGTCGAAAGTCGGGATCATTACGTTCGATAGGGAAATCCACTTCTATAACCTCAGCGTAAGCTCATAGAGTCCCTTTCGATTGTGATGTACGAATCACTCACACTACACTAGCCACAGCTAGATCAGGCGCAGATGATGGTCATGACTGACCTAGAAGAGCCTTTCGTTCCTTTGAGCGAAGGCCTTTTCGTTGATCCTTATGAATCAAAGTGAGTCTAGCTGCTGCGAATCTGCTGTCCGATGGCTGGGACTAACACCATTAGGGATGTCATTTCGTCTCTCCTGGGACAGATACCGTCGCTCTTTTCCAAGATCAAGAATCCCGAGCCTGCTCTACTTCCTGCAATCAACGCTGCTCTATCGGCCTTGCAGTCCACTGGTGGCAAGGTAGTATGTGCCATCTCCAGCTTGCCGACTTGGGGTCCAGGAAGACTGGTCATGAGGGAAGATCCAAAAGCCCACGGGACGGAGAATGAGAGAAAGCTATTCGCAACAGAGCAGCCTGGGTGGAAAAAGACTGCCACAAAACTTGCAGAGAGTGGTATCGGCGTTGACTTCTTCATTGCCGCTCCTGGAGGCGCCTACATGGATGTTGCAACTATTGGTAAGTATCGCTATCATTCTGCGATGCATTCATTGTTGTTGACAATTTCTAGGCCATGTCGCTGCGGTCACTGGTGGCGAAACGTTCTTTTATCCCAACTTCCTTGCGCCAAGGGATGTTCGGAAGCTCTCGAAGGAGATCGTCCATACCGTCAACCGCGAAACAGGTTACCAGGCGTTGATGAAGGTCCGCTGCTCGAACGGCCTCCAAGTCTCTTCGTATCACGGAAACTTCTTGCAACACACCTTCGGTGCGGATCTTGAAATCGGTTCAATTGACGCGGACAAGGCACTGGGTGTCCTCTTCAGCTATGATGGAAAGCTGGATGCGAAACTCGATGCTCACTTCCAAGCCGCTTTACTGTACACCACAGCCAGTGGCCAACGCCGTGTACGGTGTATAAACATTGTGGCTGCCGTTAACGAGCGAGGAATGGACACAATGAAAGCCATCGACCAAGATGCAGTCGTGGCTATCATTGCCAAGGAAGGTAAGACACGGGCATCACTTTATTTCCCATCTAGTCGTCGCAGCTGACACCAGAGAATAGCGGCCTCGAAGACGCTAGACAAGTCCTTGAAGGACATCCGAGCTAGCATCACGGAGAAGACGGTCGACATATTCAGCTGTTACCGCAAGAATTTCTCCGGTTCACATCCTCCCGGCCAACTTGTACTGCCTGAAAATCTCAAGGAGTTCTCGATGTACATGCTGTGTCTGCTCAAATCCCGGGCTTTCAAAGGTATACCTGGTCTTTGCTACCGCCATCGGGACAGAGGTGCTGACGACTTACAGGCGGCCACGAAACCTCGGACCGTCGTACTCACGACATGCGTATGCTTCGCTCCATCGGCTGTACCGAGATGTCTCTCTATCTCTATCCTCGCGTGGTCCCGATTCACAACCTGAGTCCAGAGGACGGTTTCCCCAATGAGGCTGGTCAATTACAGGTCCCACCGTCACTACGAGCTAGTTTCTCCAAGGTCGAAGAGGGAGGCGCCTACCTTGTTGACAATGGTCAAATCTGCCTGCTTTGGCTGCATGCACAGGTATCGCCCAACCTGCTAGAAGATCTATTTGGCCCAGAGCACAACTCATTACAGTCTCTCAATCCCCACCTGTCTTCCCTTCCCGTACTCGAGACGCACCTCAATGCGCAGGTCCGCAACCTATTGCAGTACTTCTCTACTATCCGTGGCTCGAAGGCGGTCACAATTCAGCTCGCCCGTCAAGGCATGGACGGCGCGGAGTATGAGTTTGCTCGTCTCCTGGTGGAAGACCGGAACAACGAGGCCCAAAGCTACGTTGATTGGTTGGTGCACATTCATCGCCAAATCAACCTCGAGCTAGCTGGTCACCGCAAGAGGGAAGATAGCGCTACTGGGGATGGAGCTCTGTCGAGTCTGACAGGGCTGCGGCCGGCTTACTGGTAGTGATGGTTGAGTTAGAGAGTGCATGAAATGAGACATGAGCGCATTGCAGCATCAGCTATAGCATAATCTCACTTCTTTTCTGGCCATGCCAAAGGAGCTCAGGTCTATTCCCATCGACATAGTTATCAACTACTAGTGTCCACCAGTGTCCCTGGTTTCTCGTCATAGTGTCGGCAGGAACCTCGGCGCGTGCTTTGGCGTAAATCCTCGGCCAAAGCATTGACGCTGTAACTATTTCACGAAGGAACCTAGTAGCTGCCTAATACGGGCCAACAAACTTTAGTAGACACCTCGACTATACCTAGATATACAACAACACGGCCAAAGCGCATGAGGCGTAACTATCTGTCAGGCACAGAAGAAAAGAAAGAGTTAAGCTCTTGATCATCCGTGACGATCGCGGCCGGTCGCATATCCGGCTGGCGATCAGCATAGCCACGTGGATGGCACTAAGGACCAAGTTAACAACACTGGCGCAGGACGGATCGCTAGAACCAACGACAGTCTCGTATCGAATATGAGGCAGCAGAAAACCAACTGAGGCTGAGGCATCATCGGCCTCGATATCAAGAGACGTGTCTACCAAGGGGAGTGACCGCCTTGATGCCAGGCAAGTCGGTGAGAACTTGACGCTGGATATGTTGCTTGGATGCGACGTGTCTCTTTCAAGCACGGAGGAGACTTCCGGTTAAGGATACTCTTTAGCCATTTCTCGAGGAAATAGCCTGCCAGATGCGTCCGTGAGATATGGACTAGACTACGGATAGTCTCTCTTTCTCTATCTAGGAGATGAGATGAGGAGAGAATGGCGCTGGTTACTACTGTACTCCGTCGAGGGGTCCAGAACAGAAGTCTCCGAATGCGAATGGCATGCCATCTCATCCCATCCCACCAACCAGAACATCCTGGGCCGAGTTTCCCGGGGCGAGAATCGGGATATCGCACTCAGTGGGAGGGTAACTTCTCCGCCAGAGAGACTTGCTGGTTATTGACTCCAGCTGCGGAGAAGAGAGGCAGGCCTGACTGACTGTTCCTGGGGCCAAGAAGTTCGAACCCCTGCTCGATTTCCCGTGCGAAGTTATTCGCGATTCGACAACCATACACCGAAGTTTCCCTTCGGATGGTTCAGTCGACAAGACAAGCGCTCAACTGGGATTTTGATAGGCAACAGTCCCCGAAATCACCACAAGAGCGAGTCTCCGCCGTGGGACACAGGAACGGCCCTTCCGGATGACACTGCAGATTCTTCCCTTTGGAGTCTGAGCCTCTGAGAGTCTGAGGTCTTTTCTGACAGTACTGTAGCCTATATCCACCGAGAAAGCTTGGCGAGTTGGTCCAATACTAGAGGAATCGGCCAATCTAGTGCCATTTGGATGAGTCCAGAGTTTTGTTAGTGGACGCATTACTGATTCTAGAACTCTAGACTGCCATGTTTCTACACAGGGGAGACTACGCTTTTTTTCCAGGACCCTGGATGTCAGCGTCCAGTGCGCTGGGGGGTGTTGGCACGGCCTCACTACGATGTTCGAACATGAGTGCGCGAGCCTCGACCGAACGAGAAGCGAGCGACTAGTCCAAAATAATGTCGGAAGATGAGCCAATCGGACTATCGCGATATTCAGGCACGCTGCAGGAACATGGACGCCAAATGAATTTTTTTCTTTTTTTTCTTTTATTTTTTATTTTTTTCTTGCCTGAACATCATATGGTCGCCTCTGTGATGTGTCGGCTAAATGGATTCCACGCACCTGGGCCGGTGCCACCTCAGGCAGCGTGGCATTCCAAAAAATCCTTCAGCGCAGCACAGCCTTATTGGCGATCAAACCGCCGATGTGTTCTCTTCCCCTCCACATAAAACTTTGATTTGATGTTCTCAGGTCCCCGGAGTCCATAGGGCTTTGACCAAGTGGAGGCGCAGGGCTCGATGGCGTCCCTGACAGGATAACCTTATACACTTCCGATCCGCAGATTCTTCCATCGCGATCCAAGGTTGGCGGTGCGTGGAAGGGAAATCCCTAGCTCAGCACATTTCTCGAACCGTTCCAGATCATTGGGCCCGTCGGTCTACAGTCTCTGCTTACAATATCTCATAGGCTGGTGGCAAGCGGTTCCCGGCTGTCTTTTCACCAACCGGATGGTCAAGAATATACCGATGCTCACCCCGTTTCGGGCAAGTAAACCGTGGCATATGTCAGGTACCCTGAAGCTTCCAGGATTCGGTGAAGCGCATCGGCCTACAGGATCACTGCCCTGGATCAGGCCGAAAGTTACGCAGGCGCCATCCCGTCTCTCGGGTTCCTTCACTCTATGCCCGCGATATTGTTCATGCCACATGGGCTTACCTGCTCAACACCCGGTACCTGGTCCAGACTCTTCTCCCGGGCTTTTGGCCTCCACCTGATTCTATCATGGCGCTGAAGGGCTGCCTCCGCTGGCCCAGTCGGCTCTCCACCCCCATGCCCATCCCATGGATGATGTCCTTCTCACGAAGAGTTCTTCTCTTACGGTCCACTCTGGCAAGTGTTTGATCGCCTTTGCCAGCACATCCCAAAAGTTATAAAGAGGGTCTCAACTCCCTCCCGTTCAGGTCTCTTCTTTCTCCATCCACGAGAACATCTGACACTCTCTTCTATATATATCAAACCACTTCCATTCTCTACAGTCCTTTGAAAGGTCAACTGCTTCAGTCTTTACAGCAACAATACCTCCCAACATCGTCACTCCCTCCTATCAAACACAAAAAATCAAGATGATGTTCTCCAAGATCCTCGGTCTTGCTACCGTCTTTGCTGGAGTTGCCTCCGCGCTCCCTGCTCAGATCATCACCCGTTCCACCAACGGAACCGCTTCCGCTCAGACCACTGGCGGTGGAGTCACCATTATCAACAACCTGGGCAGCGACCTCTATGCCTGGTCCGTTGCCAACAATGCGGATGTCCCCATGATCACCCTCAAGGCCAACGGTGGCACCTACTCTGAGACCTGGAAGACCGACCCCAACGGCGGTGGTGTCTCCATCAAGCTCGCCACCCAGCCTTCCCAGGCCGATGTCCTCCAGTTCGAGTACACTCTCTCCAGTGACACGATCTTCTGGGATCTCTCTTGCATCAACATGGGTACCAGCTCTGAGTTCACCTCCAAGGGCTTCGCCGTCACCTCTGACGATAGCACCTGCCCCACTGCCACCTGTGCTCCTGGCGACACGGCTTGCGCCGATGCCTATCTGATCCCTACCGATGACCACGCCACTCATGGATGCCCGTCTCAGGACAACCTCGTCCTGAACATCGGTAGCAACGGCAACTAAAAAATCCAACAAAGACAAAATTTCAGATCGATTCCTGGTGAATCATCGATCATTCCGGGCTGATTGATCATGATTTGAGAAACGATCGCTGCTCACCGGATGAGCACGTTACCACCCTCCAACATGCAACCAGTGGTTGTGGTTGTGAATCGAGATATCTGCGATGTCCTATGTGATACCCAGATGAACGGTTCTCTGATTGGTTTTGACGATTAACGAGAATGGAACGGTGTAACGTGAATTGGATACTCCTTGACTGGAGAGTTCAGGAAGAAAGATACCCCTACGGATAGAAGAGCTGGATATGCTCTAGAAAGCAGTCTTTTTTTGGGAAATTGAAAGGGAAAAAATGTTTTCAAACACAAAAAAAAAGCCTTGATTTTATCTTGTCTATAGTGTTCACATAACTAGAATTCTATGTGTTCCTTTTTTCATAAAATACCTTCCTTCCATCTGTAGGATCTATAACAGTTCTCTAGCTCTATATTGAACATCGATCACCACCCACCACCGCTGACCTCAACAGGAACTCTTGTTGCCGTCTCCAGCCGTTATTCTTGCTGGAAGTGTGGAGCGGTGGCACTCTGTGGAGATCAAATCCACACCCGCGTCCCGTCCGGACGTTCTCGACCGCTACACTTTCCCATCCTTCAAGTTCCCATCAGCGAGAGAGTTAAAAACTCTTTGTTCGCTTCTTCTTGTCTTGTTGCTTTCTCTCCACTTGTCTGACCCCTCCGGGCCCTCCCCGCCCACAAACCGGTTGTCAAAGAAAAGGGCTTGGACTACACACACAAAAAAAAAAAAAAAAAAAAAAAAGAAAAAAAAAGAAACAGGAAACAGGAAACCCCTCCCTGCCGCTTTACAATGATTGATCTGAAAATCCATCCAAAGACGTGTACGTAGACATGAACAGTGTTACAGTGGAGTACTCGTGTTCCCGAAGAAGAAAGGTCTCAAGACCGGTTACTCTGTCTGGAATAATAATAAAAACTGGCTTCCTAAAGTGGGTTTGTTTAACTTCCTGGTAGTAACTTAATAATACATATTAATAGGTACAACTGTAGACGTGGCGTGGTGGGTTCTGATTGTTTAATGGAATTATCTAATATATATATTCCTATTGGTTAGTACATAGTTAGTTAATTACTTATTTGATTGTGATTATTATTACTTTATAATAATAATATGTATGTATTACTTTCACGCGCCCCCTCCTCCTTCGGAAGACCTGATGTGACCTGTGTAGTTACACTTGGTGTAGAGTAGCAAGTCGGTCTTCTAATGTTATTATTAATGCTGATAACATGTGTTGTATGTACTGCTCGGGTGGATTCATGAGATCTGTTCAAGCGAATAATTTCCCTGGTGATTATGTATATACTTTCTTTGTCCTCGGAGCGATTTCATGTTGGGTAGATAGGTGGTTTTTTTACCATACTCTCTGGTGTCTGGAGAGAGTGCGTGAAAGGTTAATATATTATTTCATCGAATTTGACGCACATAGTAAGTACTCTATAGTACGCTTAGACGCCATATAAGATATCCAAAATAAAAATAAAAAAGGACTGACAGAATCACAATACTTCATCCTTGACCAGAATCCATCGATCTCAGAATCCTCCCCGATCTGACCCGATGGTCTAGTTAACCTTTTAGAATAATGGGCTCTAGATCGCGCCTAGAGTCTGGGCACTTGCGGTTTGAAGCTTCCCCGATGGCGCCAGTGCAAGGCACAGTTACACTTATGCGAAAATGGTAGTGACTACTCCGTAAGCGCTTTAGCTAGAGTGATTAGCCCGCTCTTGCATGTAAGTATGTACCTGGCCCGCGATCGGATGGATGTGGACAAAAGGATATAATAATAATGTTGATGACATCGATATTATCCTACGTTCCTTGAATATTCGTTCCTATATACCCAACCCATGCCCTTGTGGTAGTCAATAGCTGCCGTCGCCACGCAATTTGCATCATCCCGCGACTTGGGTTGGCATTAGAGTTTTCCTTGCCAAGTGCAATAATACCGGAAAACAGGAAGCAGACGTTAATTAACGATTAATTAATTCTTCGACCGATTGAGCCTTTCTCCGACAGCCCGGATTTTTTCCATGGTTCCATGGGATCGAATAGCTTTCAACAATATATACGCGACCAACCGGTAGATGATCGTACACACCCCCAACGCCATAACATTCATTGGAGCGTTCGTGTCCAGATTATATAGCTGCAAAACCTGCTCGCCGGTGTCAATAGGACACTGGCCGTTTGCGAGCCGCTCCGCAGCTGTACAGGTGAAGGTTTGGTGTTTCATCGAGTAGGGCGCGAGGTTGGCGATAGAGTACTTGATAGGGGAGAGATGGTTCAGGCCTTGCAGGAAACCATTTAGGTTCAAGCTCATGATGCCCCCCATGATAGTGGAAATGGAGAGGAGGACGGATGTGATGTTCACGGAGAACCCTGCATGAGAGAAGAGTGTGCAGAACATGATACCTACGGACTCGCCACAGTTGATGATGCAGAAGCAGTTGAAGGCGCAGATCAGGAACATTTTACCGGTCCTTTCGAGATCGCAGACTAGGGCGGCAAATACCCCGAATATAAAAGACGAAACGATTTCAAATGGTAACTCGAGTGTGGTATATTGCAAAATAAACGTCTCCGTCGAGTAACAGTTGTCTGCTTCCTCGCGGTAGAAGACGTCCCGCTCGTTTGGATAGATGGCGATGTTTTGAAGCATACCTTGAAAGGAACCGTATTAGCATCCTCATTAATAATAGGGGTGATTTAAACTGGTGGATTCCACATACCGACAAAGTAAAGCGCTGCAAACTCTTGGATGAAGCCCATGCGCGACTGCACCGCCGGATAGTCATGCTTCAAGGGCGCAAAGAACAAGGCCATGATTATGGAAATGCCCACCACTTGCATGATACGAGACATCACCAGCGGGGGCTGTCTCCAAAGGTTGATAGTGGATCGGTACAAGACCAGCGGAAACGTAACCGTGAAGGGATGTATCTGCCTCTTGAGGCTACCCAGCTCAGCTGGAGTGGCAATCTGTGAAGTCTGCCGACCAAGGTTGTGAGGCAAATGTTCCCAGTTGACAATAAGTTTTTCGACCTTCTCTCGTGTCTCTGCCTCACGGTCCTCCTGTTGAAGGTCGACAGTGATGAGATCCAACACAAAGTCTGCGGGATTGGTGGTCTTAGGGCAGTCATATCCCAAAGATGCGAAATACGGAAGCATCTCTCTGCCCGGCCCTGCGTAAACTGGATATCCTCCCCTGGCAAGGAGAAGTATGTTGTGAAAATGACCAAAGACATCCGATCGAGACTGGTGGATAGTAAGAATAAGTGTGCGTCCTTCTGCAGCCAAGCCCCTCAAGACGTCGATGATCGAGGTAGCCGTGAATGCATCTAGACCGGAAGTCGGTTCGTCTAGAAGCAACACCTTGGGATCGGTCAAGACCTGTATGGCGATACTGACCCTCCTCTTCTCACCCCCGCTAATACCCTTGATCAGGTCACTGCCGATCAGATTGTCTGCGCAGTCTTTCAACCCCATTTTCAGTAGAATTTCCTCTGCGCGCTGATTCTTCTCTTCTCGCGACATCCACGATGGAAGCCTCAGACCAGCTGCAAATCGAAGGCTTTCACGAACGGTGAGCGACGGCATCAGAGCGTCATCATCCTGCGTCACAAACGAAGTGACCGATCTGATGACGCTCTCTGAAGGCACAGCACCATTGTATAGCATGTCACCAAGCACCCGATACTGGGTCCACAGATTTCCATGAAGTCTTCGCGCGACCGAGTTCAATAGCGAGGTTTTGCCAGATCCGGAAGGGCCCATGATAACATTCAACTCTCCAGGCCTGAACTCCGCGGTTATAGGTCTCAAAACCTGCAGGGTACGGGACCTTCGACCAAGCCAATCTCTCTTCCGTATCTGCATGGCATATTTGTCAAGCGAAATTGCGACTCTGCGAACCTCTTCTGCTGAACGGGCTGTGATCTTCTCCTTGCCAGCTGACAGGTCGACATCTGCCTTTCGTGCCTGGGCAACACCGATTCCGAACCGGTTGTATTGCAAGAGCAGACCTGCAAGTAAATAGAAACCGATGACAAATGCAACAAGGACGATTATGGGTCGCCATATCCAATTGTTCGGCATACCGAGACTTTCCATGATATAGCGTCCCGTGTACTCCTTGCACGCAGGGTCTGTGGGATCTTTCGAGTACGGGCAGTCGTAAAAATGACCCCATGGAGGACCATTCACTCCCATGAATTCGTTGGCACAGAGCGCACCGAATGTGTAAAATGTATATGCCGTCCACTTTAGCCATCTGACGTAGACCGGGATTTGCTGCGACTGGACAAAGTAACCGCATGCGAATGACTGAAGCGTAAATGAAAGGTTACCAACCAAACTTGCGCCAGGGAAATTTCTCGCAATACCGATAGAGACAGCGGCGAAGGTCACCGCGATATAGTGCGTAAGTAGGGTAAGACAGAAGAAGATGAAGAATTGACCTGCATCTAAGCGATATCCTACCATGAAGTAGAAAATTACCGAGAACAACAGGGGAACAGGGAGGTCTTCAAGTGGAAGACGTGCTGCCCTTCTGCTCAATAAGAAGGCTGGCACCCCAACCACGCCCTCGTTTCGTTCCCGATCAAAGAGTTGGATGTCTATTGTAAGGCGAAATGTCTCGTAAAGGAGAATAAGGTAACCGTTCAGACTGCTGGCGGTGTATAGACTTCCTTCACGGGAGCGGATACCTGCAAGGCTCTCGTCGAGCTGCAGAAAGATCCAACCGTTAATGACAGCCATCCCCACGGCCTCGAGCAAACTTCCAGCAACACCAAGAGGATCGCGGACAGTAGTTATAAATGTGCGCGAAGTCAATACGCGGAACTGTCGACCAAATGTCACGCCTCTGGGAACCACCACTACTGGAAGATGGTGGTGTTCCGCATCGGGACCCGTAGAAAGCAGCGCCTTCTCATTACCTGCTTTCTTTGCCATCCGATCTCCCCATGATTTTGTCAAGAAATCAACTCGAGCCTTCGACTCTGCCTCCAGTTCAGGAGATCGATTATCAAGGGCAGCCAAATCAATGAGAAATTCCGCCGGGTTGACAAACGGAGGCAATTCGTAACCACAACCCTCAAAGTACGACACTGAATCTTTCACAGGTCCACTATACAGTACCGAGCCGCGAGCCAGTAGAATTACATTGTCGAAGAGGTCCCATATCTCTGAGCGAGGGGCATGGATGGAAACGATCACTGTTCGCCCAGCTTGCGCTAACCTCTTCAATGTCCGAATTATCTGAAAAGCACTTGTTGCATCCAAACCTGTGTGGCAAAGTCAATGGACGATACTATGTCTCTCATGAAGGCCTACGTACCAGTAGTAGGTTCATCACAGAACAGCACCGACGGATTCGCCAGCATCTGGACGCCGATGCTCGTTCTTCGTTTCTCTCCACCACTACAGCCCTTGTGCATGTTGTTCCCGATTCGCGTGTCAGCACATTCTTTCAGACCGAGTTCCAGAATAACCTGCTCCACGATACTATGTCTCTCATCCTGCGTGGCTGGCGGTGGGAGTCGGAGATCTGCAGAATACCGTAGGGTTTCTCTGACAGTTAATGTTGGGATCAAGATGTCCTGCTGCATAACATATGCGCTGCTTATGTGATTGATATCCGCGTCGCCATTGAATGTTGTAGCTCCTGATATCTTCAATTTATTCGATCCCATCCTCCTCGCCATCACATTGAGAAGCGACGTCTTTCCCGAACCACTGCTCCCAATAATTGCCGTCAGACTGCCGCTTGGCATGTCCGCATTGACACCATCGAGGATGGTTTTGGCTGTCTCTGGGGGTGGCTTTCCCCGGAGACGATTCCATAATTGGGGGGGAGGTGTTTCCCATAATGGAGGCACGGTGCCGAGAAGTACAGACAAATTCCGAACTTGAACATCTACCGGATTCACTGCGCGGAAGTTAAGATTTGTATCGACTCCCTGTGTACTCCCCGCAATCAGCGCGGGGTCCTCATGGACGTTATCTCCGGAAAGCTTCTCCTGGCCCATGGCGAGCTAACCTTCGAGGGCCTTTTAGCGCTCAGGTTCAAAACTCAGCATCATCGTCTCCGCAACCAGTGACGACAGAAAATGAGGAAAATAAAGAGAAAAGACTGGTGAGTCTGGTGTATTATCTCTAGCTAACGGTAAACCGCCCGCAATGCAGTGAGGGCCGGATGAATACTGCCGGAGCAGCTCAAAGCGTTGAAGTCTGCGCGGCGTTCGAAGTCAATCAACTGAACAATTAGCTCGCAGGGGGCAGCCTAATTAAAGGTATTGCCCATCTTTTAGCTATGTTTTTGGGTGGGGATAGACAGGTCTCAAAGCATCGCACGCGAGGAACATCGAACGTGGAGCATCTGATGATCGAATTTGCCATGGCCAAAAGAACAACTTAATAACCATCCGTTTGGAGGGTCGCATACAGCTCCGACGAACCAGTGGGTGGATGGCCGCAGTCGACGTACGTCGCTTCTGGATCCTTCGGGGCTAGAAACCCCCTAGAGACCTCGCTTCGAGCTCTTCGGGAACCTAGTCTTTGGTATCGGCCTCGCTAAGGGCATCGCTACCTCATCAGAACCGCTCGCTTCGAGGTTGTTAACCTCAAAAAGGCTTCGCTGATCAGAATGTACCCGACATATTGGTCATATTCAAGTCGCTTATCTGTACACGAGGCGGGGCGAGATCCATACAATGTGTGTTACTGAAGCCTTGTCGGTAAGGCGACCTTAACTTTAACCCGATAAGGATGTTGTAGATGAACTCCGGGGCTCCATAATCGACCCTGCTGACGACTCCTCAGGCTTCCATCTCCATCTCAAGTGAAACGTAGATTAACATCGATTCTTGTCTGTTATCATTATTATCGATTCTTCGTCGACCTCGGCCCAATATCATTGGGTTTCTCGCGAGAGTCTGCGACTGTGAGGTGATACTCAATGAGCATGCAGTATGGCCGTCCGCCTGCACATGGCAATCTCGCCAATAAACCTGCCTGCTGAGTGCTGACCACATTCAATAATGTGCCACATGTGATGACATGAACGGATGATCCCACGTGCAGTTGCGACGTAGTTATAGTTACGCAATGAGGTGACAAAGACTGCAGACACGTTGTTCCGTCAAAGATCCCTCATAAGGGTGCTACTGATGGCCCAAGTTAGCGTTCAATTCGGTACATCATACACCGGCGTTTCAAACGTTAGATATGCATAAGTAGAGTCAACATCGAGTCTCGACCAATTTCTTAGCGATCCTGTAACCTTAAGACGCTGCTACCGAGGGCAGACTCATCAGGTAGAAACGACGGGAAACAGGGGAAATAGGGAACCACTCTGTCCACAAAAGAAATGGTGAATTTTCTCGCACATAAGATCTCAGCTTAGAAGATGCATGGCTTCCTAAACTCGGTTAGCTTCTACTGTACGTCACTGCAGGGATATTGATTCTGTCTAACAGCCATTCTCAGGGAGGGCTGGTCCATGGGGAAATAAGAATTTGAGGTAGAGAGTATGTACTGACCTGAACTGTCTGAGTATGGCAGATTTAGGCGCTAGATTCTGTACTTATATCGTCTGTTTAGTTCGTGTCTGAACTATCGCCCTGATCCAACTCAATCTGACCCTGTGGCTAAGTATTGTTTCATCCAAGAATACAGGGGTTTTGTCGCGATCACTTGCAGCAAGCTTGAAGCAAGCCCACTTCTTTAACCGACTGACTGCTGCTTTCTCATTTACTGAGATCACAGCGTCATCTCAAGACCAAGTCACGACGATAAGAGCCAAGAAGGTTCCCAAAAGTAGGCTGCATGTTATGTGCAGGTCGCGAGGTTGAAGTCACTTTTTCAGGTGGGGAGCATTCCTGTCCGACTTTTGGTCTGTGTCATCATGCCTTTGTCGCTTGGAGCTCCCAAAAGGATCCATATAAGGTCTGCAGAAGTGCAATTTAGACTGTGAGGGGTTCAGTGACAAAGTAAGAGTAGTTATAACAGTATTGATACAGGTGTGATGGATAGTTTACAACTCATGAGGTGTCTCAATTATCTAGAACCGCGCAATTGCCAACTCCATCCCTCCCACCGCCTCCATGATCCATACTTATCCAAGCATGTTTAACCAACCGAACCAAACACCTCCAATAATTCCACACGTAGATACCCTCATATACACAAATATGTCACTTGGAGAGTGTTTACTTGACATTGAGACAACGGAAAAGTAAGGAAAACTGTAGAGTACAAAACAAATAAATAAATGGCAGTCAAATGGAAACATATAGACACAATCGAAGGAAAGACGTAGACATCGTTAAATTGCAAAGGCGAAAGACTTTTTCAATCAACCCCAAAAGATACCCATAGACGCCCACAGTTTCCTAGCGAAGACCTTGTACCTCGACCCTCGTAACGGAAAATAAAACTCATGCCCCAGCTCCGGTCGCCTCGTTAATTCAGCGTCAGCCGACAAAGATCAGAATCCCCTGCCACTGGGAGTATCCTAATGGAACTCGAAGCTGGCAATCAAACCAAAAGGAATTATTGCACATTGATGAATATGAAAGGCGTTGCTGGGACTGTTAGACCCAACGGAGAAGGCGCACATCTTGTTCATGTAATCAAGAAGTCCATGTGCATGTTGTTGATGATCTTTTCCCAGTCCCAACTGTCTTCAGTATTCGTGTCCATGACCTCCCAGACTTTCTGCACGACAGTCAAAGCCGGTTCGATGTTGCGCAAATTGGAATATGCTCTCAAGGTATCGAATCCAGCCCTCACTCTCTCACGCTGCCTTTCCAAGAAAGAAGAGCAACCGAGAAGGAATAATGGCATCAGCATGATGCTGTAAGCCCCCGCGTCCTGAGGCAGCTGGTCCAGAAAAGCTAGACCATCATCGACAACTTGGCTGATCTTGTCGCTAGGACGTGAGGGACGGATAGTACGGTAAAGGTAAACCCAGGTCGACTGACGGTATAACTGAGCTGCGTACCAGTTGGACGTCTCAGGGGGATATGAAGGTTCCCAGACACGGAGCGCAGAGTCAATGCGAACAGCTTCACTTAGCGTCTCGTAGTCTATAGCGGGCTCATATCCTTCGTTGTGTCTCTGCCGGATCCTGTCTCGTAGCTTCGTGATTTCGGATATAAGACTAAAAAGGCCATCGAAAATGCCTAGGAACACGCCTGCCTGCGGTTGAGGGACAAAGTCGGGAAGACGGAGATCACCGATGGCATGGACGGGACGTCGATCCAAGCAGGTCAAGGAGTTCGAGATCTCGTGATACTGGAAGAATTCGATGATGAATTGGCGGAACTTCTCGTTTCTGGGCCGCTGAGTGACCAGCAAGTAGCGTGCGGCATCCATATGAGACCTGTATTCCCCGTTGGTTTCTCCCTCACAGATCGTGTTCAGACAAAGCGCAAGAGTGGAGGCGATGATAGGATCCTCAATCAGGAGTTCGGGCTCCTTCACATTCGCGGACGTTGTGTTGATATTTTCTCGCAAGTCTGTAATGGCGCGATCGAAGTGGTAATGTTTGCGCTCCTTGAATCTGGGTTCAGGATCCAGAGCTGACAGATGCGACCCGGACAGGCACATCAGAGAGTGCATGAGGCCTCTGTGTTGCGTTGCCATGGGAAGCAATATCTCTTTGAACGGGTTCGAATCATCATTGATCAACGTCAAGACTCGACTGAAGTCATAAACGAAATGGTCCAGAAATCTGCGATCAACGTCCGTCTCGATGCCGTCAATCAGAAAAGGCAGGCCGCGAGGAACTGCAGTCAGGGAGTTTCTTCGAACAGCTTGGAGTAGATTAGTGACCCATCCCGGGTAGGCGTCGTTGTCGAGGGTACTCATACCATCTTCGATCTTCTGTTTGCCACTCTTCCATATCTCCTTGGGAGGATAGCCCTCGCAGACCACGGCATTTTTCTGGCAGTTAAAGCACGCAGGCTTCGTCTCATCGCACTTCTTCTTCCTGCGTCGACACGTTATGCAACCCGTCTTCGACCTGCCCTTTGCGATCTTGGCCTGTCCTCCTGGCACTGGCAATGGGTGTTTGCGCGGTCTCCCTCGTTTCCGTGGAACGTTGACGGGCGCGCCCGCGCTGCTAGACGGCTCCGCCTGGTCCACCGGTTCGGATGGCTTGATCGCATCCAGACTTTCAGCACCGTCATCGAGCTCTTCCACCTTTGGTATCACATCTTGCATCGGTAAATCGGTATCTCTGGCTGAAATCACCGCGAATCGAAGCGCCGCAGAGGATCTCGGAGACTGAGCGGGCTCCGACCGGCGTCGCGCTGCTGCTGCGAGTTTGTGAGGCGCAGAGTCCGTAGCAGGACCATAGCCTGGCTGCGATTCCGCCCGCGGACTGCCCAGATCATCTGAATTGTAGTCAGTCCCGACGCTGGCGCCGTGGGACTGACTGTCGTCGGTCGAGGAGGGCGTCTCAGGCATGGCAGCGGGGCCGCTTAGAGTCAAGGAGGAGAATGTGGAGTCGCTTCGCTCGAACTCGTCGGGGAAGAGAAGAGAGCCATGGCTTTCAATATGTGGAGGGAGCACGAAACTCGAACTGTGCTGCATTGACGAAAAGCTGAATCCCCAGCGTCCGGGAGCACCACGGACACCGTGGGAGAAGTGGTAAGGAGCTGGTTAAATGAGGGAGTCCCTGTTCGCGCCCTGGAGTCTTTTGGGGCGGGGGGGCAGACTGAACTCTAGGCAATAGTGCGTCAGCTGGAGATCGAGTCGGCCACCTCAGGCCACTTTCTCATGCGCCGGTCTAAGAGGAATGCAATGCTAATAATGGATTCTCTCTCGATGGAGTGATTGACAGCTCTATTGCTCCGGGGCTAATTGAGCATGCGGGGAATCCCAGTTGGACACAGGATGATCTGGGAGGTAGACGGAGAACAGAGCGCTCAGCCAGTCCGGCACTCACTCACTCAGTCAGTCCGTCAGTCAAGAGTCAAGACCCAAGGAGCAATGCAACGAGGGCAACTAGTGAACAAGGTGAGTAACTAGTCCTGGGTCCAGCTAGCTGGGATATCAGTTCTGGAGATGGCTTCTGGGCGGATCGAAGGCTGCGTCCGCCGTCAAGAGTCCAGAGAAGTGGACGCACACCCTTAGGTCTTAGGATCAGTATTGATGATGATATTGATAGCAGATGGGGTGTCTATCCCTTGACCATAGTATGGGGTTCCCTGTCCGAGGCAAAACGGGAGACGATCAGACGTGCGAGCTATATTGGCTTGGGGAGTGGCACCAGGGACAGAACGGACAGGTGGTAACTAGCAGAGGATATCGCTATATCTACCGTTGACGGGAACGAGGGTTGCCTGGGTCATCAGGTATTTATCCCAACTGCCCTTTCTTCTGCCGGAGGTATTGGTAAGTTAACTATGTTCTGCGGCGTCTCTCTAGGGACTACTGAAATCGGGCGGGCCGGCCTCTTCCACCCTTCAACAGGCTGCCTCTCGAAGACCATACAGCTGCTAAAGGTTCTGCTCGAAAGTCATAATACTCGCCTTCGTATTGGACCATGCCCCGCTCCTTTTGCCTTCGTTCACACGATGCTAGTCCGCTGGATCTGTGTACGATGAGGCGGAGGTCTCTAGTCGACGAACTTTCGAACTTAGATTCTACCAGTGATCTTTGCGATTTCAATAATAATTCTCTGGCCTGCCCGGCTCTCCAGCTTCCGTCCCCACTCAACTGCATGTTAATCTTCATGGTGAACATTTTACGCAGCAGTTGATACACGGCGTTCATGCTCCCATCTCGGTCCCTTCCGGTGGGCCTCCCGCCAGGATTGTCCATGCGCTGTCCATATCCATGATACTGATGACCTGGGGAAGTGGACCAGGGTCTCTTCCCGGCACGGACATTCGCTGCCATAGTCGCGGCTGGAAGAAGAAGCTATGACCGATTTTACCCTCAATCAACCGTCTTTGCCTGCCAGGATCGTTCCTCGTCTGAAGCGATAATAGGTTATAACCATCAATGGCTGGCAGTCTCTTTCGATGGCCTTGCCTGCCACGACTGGTCGCTATTGGGCAGATTTATGTGACAGACACAATAACGGAGGCCGGTTGTGCGGTTCAGGACGCGCCCACCCTTGTCGCACGACTCCACAAGACTTGTAAGCGTCATTAGTCCATCGAGATCTGCCGCGCACAACTGAGGAAGGGAAATTAAGCCGTGAAGCATCAATGCGTAAACTTCCCCGGCGTGCTCCAGACCACCGCGGCTATACCGAAGATATGTACTGTACTCCTACCCGAGGGCCACGGATTGCATGTATTCTGTTGGATTCCATACAGGCTGGCAGCTACGGAAGTTGGACCGCGTCTGTATATCGATCAGCTACGTGGAACCTCTTAACCCTTAGGTGAATGACTGTTTTTCGCGAACCGAACCTGCGGGGTGCTCTAGTCTCTCTGACGCCGCGGCTTCGGATCATCCATACTGCTACCTGGCTGATGCTGAGTCTCGAGGGGACTCGAGTATTATGTGGAGACTGATCTGCCTTGCTATGTTCAATCGTCCCAGCAGGGGCACAGGATCTCGGTTGATCCCTGGTACATTTTGTTTGTTGGCCAGACAAGATAATCCGATGTCCGCATACTACATAGATACCCCGGACTCGAAAAATATCGAACGCCAGCCACAGGAAGATCCTGGATTCGAAGCAACTTAGCCGAACTGCTTCAGCCCGGGAGGACGGTAATAAGTGGCACGGTATTATTATGGCCCTCTGCTTGTGGGAAACTTATCTGGACGACTAAAATACGGTGGTCCTACCGTTCTATCTAGTCTGCGAGGCATGCATCGAATAAGCTTGGGCAATAACCGAAAAGGTCTGGAGGCCAAACCGCTAGACTACGGAGAAGTGCATCAGAATTGACTGCCAACGCTAGTAATCATGCTAGTATGCAAATTACACCCCTATCCCCGAGGAAACACCAGATTATTAGGCCTCGCCCTCTTTAAATAAGGATATTGCTTCTGTTATTGAATAAATATATAACTTATCGCTCCGGAATATCTTTGTACTTATAATCATCTTAATATAATATATCATTAAGCCGAAAAAGAAAAAGAAATATGGGAAGAATGTGGTAAATTAAGGCAGCTATTTTGGTGTACAAAAGCTTTTACAAATTTAGTCCTTTATCCCTAAGTAGTTTAGATAGACAAAATAATTTCCTAAAACATCTCTAGAATTAAAATATGTAATTAGTAATACAATAGTATTTATCCTGTTATTACTAGCGTTGGCAATCAATTCTGATGCACTTCTCCGTAGTCTGGTGGTGCCTCTCAAGTGCCGACCGATCCTAGCCGGCCGAGTGTGAAACAACAGTGCTAATCATTATTATTAATTAATCTCAGGGACAGGAGCGCCGGAATCGACTGCGTATTAAGTTATTGCAACCTGGGCTCAGCAGCCTCTGGGATTCTTTCTATTCGCTCTTTTTCAAACATCTGCAAGTCGCATCCTTTCTATATTCCAGAACCGACGTGGAGACCCAACCGTTCCTCCAGCACGACCCCCACGCCGCCAACATTGGCACTTATTTCTATACCTGCAGTCAGCCGCAAAGGCTCCAGGGGTTATTCTGGGCATTACTATCTCCTTAGCCGGCAACAGGGGGCTCAGCAATCGTTATAATAGGCGAATGGCCATGAATGGAAAGGAACGAACTGCCCCCAGTGCAGGGGGCGCCTGGTTGAGAAGCCTTGCAAATTGGGTAAGATTCACACCCTCACGGCTCCAAGAGAATGCCCAGATACACCGTATCGGAATAGCACACCAGTTGGGATTATATTCTACTCTACAACATATCTTCCCGTCAATTTGATCTTTCAACTTGACGGGATAGTTCCCAACCTGGCGATTTGATGCGAACCCCTCAAAATTCTTTTCTTTTGTAGTTAAGATACCCCACCGTCGAAAATTATCCGCCCGGGAGCGGCACGCCCGTGGTACCCCCAGGCGGCCCTTCCCGCGTTTCTCCCAGCCAGCCGTCCGCAAGAAGTCACTGCGCTGAACTAAATCTACTAACTAACGTTATGCAACAAGATTTCTCTCTATCTATCGGATACCAATGCTGTTTGCCTGAAGTCACTCCCTCGCGCAGACAGTTAGGTGGATTTACCTGCTGCATTGCCCGCTGCTACCCTAAAAAGGGGGCGTTTCTTTAGTTTCTGTTCCGTACTCGAACCGGCTCAAACCTGATTCCAATACTTAATACAGTAGCAAGATCGCCATTATTATTGGAGTCTCTTGACGCAAGATGCTGCTGGTCGCCACCTCCTAAGCGGTCGCTATCTTTGAACCTCGTTATGTGCCGTCTTCCCCCCCCGGATTACATGCCTGGCCAAGATTCCAGAAGTTGTCCATGGCCTATCAGCCCAGCAATCCTTGCTGCGAAAAAGATCATGTGGTTCCCATACGAGGCGGTCCTGTCACATCCTGTTGAAAGCGGATTGTCAACAACGCCGCAGTGATAGATACGTGCAGGCGACAGACCGCTCCTCATCCTCAGATTTGGCCCGTGGATGAGATGATTCCCTAAGAGTCCTAGTTACATTTCATCCACGAGGCGGCGCTAGGGAGTGTCTTACACGACCGTATCTGGGCGCGTCATCGACAGTGGGTAATCAACGTCTTGATAGAGAACGGAGCTCTGAAAGTCCGGAGTCCGTTCGTGTTCAAGTACACTAGTTGAAGGCGATCAGTCTTTTGTGAAATCACAGCCACTCGTGTCCTCAAACAGAGCAACTCCTCGCTTGGGAATCTTTTAATGTGGTCCTATGGCACATTTGCGGCGCATATTAGACTTTGAAAGCCTCCGATGCTGTGGAGATTGTCGCCCTCTTAACCATCGCGTTTTCTTACTCCCCGCTCTCCGCGAGATCATCTGGACAACGCCTGAAGTTTATTGGCACGCAGAGCTGAAGCTGACGGTGGTAGATAACCTAGTATACAGCCATTACTTCATCTTGCAGTATTCTTGGATCTTGTTTGTTGTTCTCCTTTATTATACTGACGATCTTGCTGACGCGTTGTGAATCATACGACTTAGCGCGCCCAACCACAGATACTAATGCCGTTTAACTAACTATCACCATCGTATTCGAGCGCTCTCAGTACGATTATCGCAGGCTCCAGCATTCTATGATAGGATATTCTTGTTCTCTGATGGATATTTTCAGAAATAGGCATTTGAGCTTGTAGGACTAACAATATTATCAGTACGTCTTACCCCACATTTTCGCAAAAGAAATTTTCCGAATACATACATAAGTACATTATATGTAACACAGTGTAGCACAGATTTGCCCTGGAAAAAGAAAAGAAATATCCTGTATAAGCGCGAAATTCCCCGCATCTCCGCCATATGCTTTGTGTATCGTGCAGATGCGCTAGAAGATCTCAATGTCTACGACAGGGGAAGAATTTGAGTGGAGACCAATAGGTATATAGCACGTGCTAATATCCGTGACTTCCCTTTTCGGAAACCATGATGCCAATAGCGATAAGTATCTGTATGACTTCTACACAATGGTGTAATTACATTTCTTTCAACGAAGCACAGTCACTGAGGAACCCCCAGCAATGTTCGCTGTTCCATTCCCATGCATCTTGAGAGAATTGCGGCGAACTTGTCGCCGACGCATCCTTAAGGAAGATACAATCATACCCCTTGCTGAATGCATCCATTAATGTTCCACCAACACACTGATCTGTATTGACACCAGCAAATAGCAATGTCGTGATGCCTTCTTTCTCCAGATAAACTTCGAGATCTGTTCCAGATCCCCACAGTGCAGACATGCGATTCTTATGTATCCAAACATCAGGCGTGGATGACCGTCTCGCACCTTCGAGATAGGCTCTATCCAGAGGGGTATACAGAGCAGTATTCCACGCATCGCGCATTAGCACACGACCAGCTTCGACGGTGGTACCATCAGGTAATTGGATTGGGCCCAAGTCCGCTCCGAGACCCTTGTATACATTCGGATTCTTTCTCTTCTTGCTATTGTCTGGAACAGCTTCGAAAACTCCAAACGCTCTCGTCACACCTGGTGGCATAGTATTCACTTCATCCTCAGTGAGGCCCCAATTCACCCACAGAACGCGAATGCCTTTCTCTCTCGCTGCGGGGATACCTATGTCCATAAGCGCCTTCGCAGCAGCGAGGCCTGTGCTCTCGGTGGGTCGACCCAGTGCAGGTGAGAGGAAGAAGTTCTGCATGTCGATGATGACGAGAGCGGACTTTTCAGGTGCCAAACGCAGAGTATTCGTGGTCGTTTTCAGAGTGGTTGCATTGGAAGAATGGCCCCGAGTGAGGTCAATAATTCCTGTGGCAGGTTCATAGAACCAGTGGTTTATTGGATCGGTGCCGATTTGAGTCGGTTTGCTGGTACTATCCAAGTCGACTTCTGAACCGTTTGTCGCCATTGCTGCCCACGTTTGTTTTTTTGGGACTTGACTCAGAATTTAATGCACTTTCGACGTTTCAGAAGAATTGAACTGATCGATTGATCAATTGACAGCATCCAGCTCTAGACTAGACACCTCCCGTCGTGAAGCGTGCTGGTATCCGGGCGCTGCTTATAATCAGACCCCGCAGCGATATAGCTGCTGCGATAGAGCAATAATGCATGGTGGGGTTATCAAGCTTATCTCCCCCGCGGAAATATATGCGGCGAAACTCGCATGCAACTAATGTATATTTATTAATTATCTTACTTTCCTTATCTGGTTCTTCTTGTTCCTCAGCTGCCTCATATGGTAGGTGATCATCGTTATCGGCCTTATCAGGTCTGGCTTATCGCATTCAACCCGCAATTTTCGTTCAGTTTGGTGTAGTATGGGGCTTAAGCAGTATAACTCGGCCAAAGCTATCATTATGAATTGAAGTCCTGTTTCGGTTCTATTGGAGTTGTGCAGAGTCCAACTGCTGCTAACATCCAGGACTAAGATGTAGAATTAGAATCGATTCTAGGCTACATGTCGTAAGATGAACACATAATCTCAGCAATAAAGGTCCGAATGTTAGGAATGATAATAGCTTTAATTATCTAAATCTCCAGCGAAATGTCCGTAACTATTATAGGTATAATACATCTCATAGCTGTTCTTATACTAATAGCTAGTTACCTCGGCTAGAGTTAGAATAGGGTATAAATACAAGAATGCCGGTCATCTTTGTTTCAATTCGATAAAAAATCAACCTCTTGCCTTATATAAAATGTAAATATCTTTTCTTTTCACTGAGAGATGACATTCTCCTTGCTGGACATTGCAATATCACCTCTCAAGAGATTTTGTTCTGTTGCAAGCACGGCCACAGTCGGAGTTCGTCTTCATTCTCAACGACATCCTCATGTTCGTTTTCAACGGCGTCACGCTCGTTCTCAACTAGGTCCCCAATGGTTCCTCTCGCGGTCTGCGTCTCGCGATCATGATGGGCCGCTAAGTATGGACCCTCTCTGATGCCAGACTGGATGTCAGATATCATGCGATCGACTCCGTCTTTGATTGTTTCCCTCGGCGAGAGGGTTGTCAGGCTTTCTCTCCACAGAGCATTTCGCTTAAGAAACCGTTCTAATGCGGGAGACGTCATTTCAAGTAAGCTATGAATAAGGGCCTTGTTATTAGTGACGCTCACGGTATCGGAGTGAAGAAGTGATCATTCTCATGATTTTTCAAAGACGGACTGATGGCGATAAGTGGGCTGATTATTCATTTCCTGGGTATGTTTATACGGTAGGACAGGTGTTCTATAAGAAGAGTCTCAGCCGTAAGGGTTACAGGCTTTTCCTTTCTCTCCGGGTCTTTCATGGCAACATGTTTTTGCTCAATCCCGACGCAGGCTTGCAGGATTATATCGAGCTTCCAACGAACTGTAGCCTCGCTCGTGGGGTCATGCCCCAAAGCCTCCTCTATATCTTCGATTCGAGATACCGGGGCAAAGAGTTAAAAACAGGAAAGAAAGCGTTCGTGGTATTTGGGAGGGACCCGGACTTACAAACGACTTCTGGCACTTCTATAACATCTCCCTTCTCCAGTTGCCAGATTTGCTCCTATTATTTATCAATTTTCAGACTGAATATATCTCACACTTCGGAAAATCTCGAACTGCTAGCCGCCAATAGCGGTTGTTAGTCCGTCTTGCCTAGGAAATCATCTGCCTCCTTATGTGCATCTGGCTTCATGTCCTTTAGTGAGCGAAGTAGTGCTTTACAGCAAGCGACCCTTTGACAGAAGCTTACTCATCGTCATCGTCGTAACCGTCGTCAGAATCAAAAAGCTCCTCATCATTGACACCAGCAGCGTCACTGATCGCGATAAGTCGTTGGAGTGTCCATTGCATTTGCAAGAGTTCTATAGATGGGAGAGGCTTGCTTTGTGGATCATCGGTGGTCAATGTAAATGTATCTCCGGAGCAAAGTTTTGTTTCTGACAGACCATCGAAGAGTCTTGCATGCCTTGGGCCTGAGTCCAATATTGCATGGAGATACGGGCGTGCCGTGATTCTCATATTTTTCGTGAAATCTCGACTCTGTAACCAGAAGAAACGAATTTTAAGCGACTTTTTATCTTCCCTCATGCTTAGAGGCTGAAGGGCAAATCGAGCCCTCCCCCATAGTCTGTGCGCATTGGGACACAGTGTTAATAAATTCTGACAGACTTCTATTCCGTCATCTCCAAAGATCTGCCGCTTCCATTCATTTATTCTGTCTTCTGTCCAAAAAACCGACAAAATGCTCCAGAAGATGAAGTGCTCTTGACCGGCCGGCCTACTTATAGCGAAGGGAAGGATATGGCAGACCTCAATGGGTTCGCCTGCTTCTGTAATAATACAAGACTTTTGATCTTTTTCTAGGCACTGTTCATTGTTAGCAAATCTTCTCACAAATCCGCAATAAATGGGAAGGGTCCCAGTATGAGGAGTAAGGTAAAATACAAGCTTACCAGCTTTTTTACGGCCTTCGAATGTTTGGATGGTGTGACGACTTCTGATGAAGTGACTTCTTCCGATGATATTTGTCCTATTCTTCGTTTCCTAGGAGTCTACGGAGTATCTGGGGTGGAGTCATCATCATCGTCGCTCTTTTTTCTGCCTCGCGCAGTCCCTGAATACCAGATTATTATTTACCAAGGAGATGTATTTTTGATAATATGAAAGAAATAGTTGGCACTTACAGGATCTTAAAGCCTGGACACTCTGGGAACCGACAAGGAGGTTAATAATAAGATTAGTAGTAAGTCCTGTCCGTGACTCATGAACCGCATCAACAATCTCCTGGAGGCGTTCCATATCCGAGAACCAAAGACAGGACCAAGTAGCACTGTCTACCGTGCTTATTCCAGTTAAGATGCTAATCTCTTCAATGAGTTCAGCTCTTCCTGTCTCATTAATCTCCGGGGCAATCTCCAAAGTGGTATCCATAACTGAGTTATAAAATAAAAATAGCGTGGACAGTTCAAGAGACGAGAATGGCTGGTCTGGTTTGACTGCTTAAAGAGTAAATCTGATGAAGAAAGACTCCGAACTTAACGAGGCTGATGAGGAACTTGATAAAAACAAAGGAGCTTAATTATCTAACGCTTGGTAGGGCATTCTGGTGATTGATAGTCAAGGCGTTGTTATAGAGGAAGAAGGCTAAGTTTATGCTAATGCTATCTGGGAGGTCCAGAGTTTGATATATACGCTATATTTAACTACTAGTCCTAATTGGGATTCCGAATAGTATGTCCACGGGTGAAGTCTGCGCCAGACAGTGAATTCCTAACAGCGCGAACAATATGATATGGGTCTGTCTGGTCGGAAGGTATAAGGCTGAAATTATTGGTGTCTGATTGTGTGCACTGATCAATTGTCGATGACAAGGAATGTACTTAGTAGATATTGTCTGGTCTTCGGAAGCTAGATGAAATGGCCCGAGATACTTGTAAAGCCCGCATACCTAATTGAGCAAATTGCATGAAAAAGCAATTCCTCGAAGAAGAATAGATGGATTAGCTGTGTCTATTTCACACTTACAGGGGTACAGGTACTGTAAATCCGTTTGCAGGCTCCTCCTAAACTGGCCCCCTTTGTTACCCAGCCCCGCCTCTCATGCCTTTGACAAACACTCCAGTCCTCTTAGGTTTTTTACCAAGGTGGACTTTCATCCTCCTCCTTCTCCTTCATCATCATACTGCTTGGAGACTCTCTTGTCTGTCAGCAGACAGAGTAATTTAAAGACCAAATTATGCCAATGTTCTCCTGATTCGACCCACAAGATGGATATCCATGACGTCTCGCAAGAATCTGAATACCTGCAACTCCTGCAGAGGCAAAAGAAAACTCTTCAGAATGCCCAGTCTCGCAAAGGTCAGGCTCACAAGCCGACCAAGTCGCGCAACGAGATCATAATGCAGTTTATGTTTCACCACATGATGAGCAATAACAGAGCCGTGCGCGCTATCCGATCCTCTTTTCTGCCACCCGCCTACTACCCCTCTGTTGCAGCCTCAAGTGAGCTGAAGAAAGCTCTAATCAAAGATCTCACCCTTGAGACTCATCATCGTGGTTCGTACATTCTGGTGAGAGCAGTTACGCCGACTCACAGAATGACTGCGATCATGGCCGTGGTGGAGGATGAGAGAGGGGATGTTTTCGTGCTGCAGCTGTACAACCAGGAAAAGGATCTTGCTACTGATGGCCGGCTCGTTGAAGGAACAGTAATGCTTATAAAAGAGCCTTACTTGAAGATTATGGCTGATGGAAATTGTGGTCTGCGAGTTGACCATCTCTCCGATATTAGGTTCATCCCGGAGTATGACCCTTTGGTGCCGTCGGTATGGAGAGGTCGGCCGGAAGATCATGCCTCTGCCATGTTCTGGAAGACAAAAGGAAATGGACTCTTTGACAAGGCTGCGTATTATCTCGCTATTGACTGGTGCGTTGGATGGATGATGATAGTGAGAAGACAAGCTGACTGGGATGAAGCTACTCCAAAGCTCTAGATTCCTCCCCGACTCTCGAGGAAGACATTACCATCAGGCTTAATCGTGCTCTGACTTGCCTCAAAACTCACCAGTTCGACGCAGCCCTTCGTGATGTCGAGCTGGCCTTGGCAAACGACGACTCCTTAGAGAAAGCCTTGTTTCGTAAATCCCAGGCCCTTTACTACCTCCACAGATTCGAAGAATCCTGTGAAGTTCACAAAGTGCTCAGCAAGGCCTACCCAAATAACACCTCTGCTAAAAGTGAGTTCAATCGGGCTACCGCACGACTCGCGGAGGGACGGAGTGGCAAGTATCCGTTCAGACAACTACAACGAGAGGCAACAAAATGTCGCCCTCCCCGTCTTGACCGTGCGACATACATTGGCCCTGTCTCAGTGAGGTCCACAGAGTCTCATGGACGTGGTCTATTTACGACAGAGGCGGTCCGGGCGGGTGACCTGCTCTTTTGCGAAAAGGCCTTTGCACATGCTTTCCATGACGAGGCTGGCGATTCGAGTGATCTTTCGCTCTTGATGAACCTCGAAACACAGACTATGACAATGGGCACACAAGCAGAACTGATCAGCCTTGTTGTGCAAAAATTGTATAAGAACCCGTCTTTAATGTCAACTTTCACTGATCTGTACCACGGCTCATATACCCCGGTGGGTATCTCCGAGGTCGACGGTATAACTGTCGTTGATACGTAAGTACTACTATATACCAGGCCAATATCAAACCGACTAATGTTGTCAGATTCCTGGTCGAGCGAATAGTGTCCCTTAATTGTTTCGGCTGCCCGGTCTCTTCGCGTGCATCCCACATATGCACCATTAACAGCAAGGCGCATGAAGAAACAACTGACAAGCAATTTCATTCCTGCGGTATCTGGCCTCTCGCATCCTACATCAATCACTCCTGCTACTCCAACGTTCGCCGTTCATTTATTGGGGACATGATGGTGGTTCGCGCCACGCGGGATCTCCCTGCAAATACTGAGCTCACGTTCTGCTACAAAGCACCCTTGGACCATGACACTAAGATAAAACACCTGGATCTACAACACTGGGGATTCCAATGCAGCTGTGCCATCTGTCAGGATCTCCATGAAACGGGGAGTAGTGATTTAACAAAGCGGAAAAGACTCACGGCTGACTTGGCGAAGGCCTTCAAGTCTCTGTCCCGCACCCGGAGACACAGTGCTGCGGTCGCAGAAATCGAAGGTATTATTGATACGTTTGAGAAGACATATCGTCAGCCATCTTTGGAAGTGCCTCGTCTCGGGATCTGGAACGCATACTTGTCCTTGGCGGCAGTGCACGCCACGGGCAGTCAGCCGCGGAAAGCTATTGAATTTGCGTTCAGAACGTTGGAGTCGCTGGGCTACATAATTGAAGGTGGGCGACTTCCGCATACATCTGGCATGATGTTACTTGTCAGGAGATGGGGCTTGTTGATGGATGGTCTTGTCGGGTGCTGGATGATCCTTTGCCGAGTGTATTGCGATGTAGCAGCCGACCTGGCTGATCAAGCGGAAGACTATGCGAGAACAACCTATAGGATGTGTGTTGGTGAGGATGAGACGTTTGGGGATACCTACAGTCGGTTCTCAGACCGGGTCGACGGGCTTATTGTGGGCGTGAAATAGGTCTATGAATCTCGGATTGGATATGGGCAAAAACATCATTTCAGAAAGTACAGAGACATAAATAGTGGAGATAATTTTCCAGGAGGCCCAGACACAATAGATTGACACTAAATTTAATTATCCACTGCTGGTCCTTATCAACATAAATAAAATCCACATGCACGTCTCGGATCTGCCGATATTTAGCACAACAGGCTATTTGCATTGATAGATTACTGAAGAGCATATAATGAGCGTTAGCCCGTCCACCTCATCGCGAAGTCACACATATTCGAATTCTTCATGGTCCTCTCAAAACCAAGTCCTTCGATCTGTTGAAGTCCGTCTGGTTGCCGCAAATAGGGTTGCAGCCCAAAGCCCTGCCAACAGTCTCACACTTTGAATTAGTCCCCCAAGAACAGATGAAGAACTGCAGACAACGGAGAAACATAAACAACATCCGAGCATGCTTCCGGATGAAAAAACGAGGATCGTGGGAGCTATAGAACATCTCGAAACCAACACAGAGTTTATTGATATTCCCCCGCAGCTAACGAAGGAGCGTGGTACTGGTAAAGGTATAGTTCTGGCACTCCACATGCTGGAGATGGTAAAATGTAGCTGGTGGAGTTGGCACGAATGGAACTGGATTATCAACGGCATTAAACACAGACTGGGACACCTAGTTCTATTTCTGAATGGAACCTACAGTGCAAAAAGACACCGCAGCTTTATATACAATAATGCTTATATCACTACGGCAGGGTTGTGACTGAGGCCACTACCTACGAGCTCCTATATCCGCGCAACTCCTTATCTAATGCGAGTGCTCACTTCCGCAATGATGCTTTTTCCCACTAATAACTCTTGCGCTATATAATTTGTATGGAATCAGAAACGGAGATGCCTAATTTGAGAAGGGCTTCAGGTTAGTATTTCCTTGCAAGTGCTAGGGCCAGGATGTGAACACACTTACTTTTTTGAAATATTGATGTCTTAGCATATGTCCCATTCCAGGCTGTGTATAAATCTAGGAATATTCTGTGTTTTTTAGGAGAACAGAGTCTATTTTCTCCAGGTCACATCAAGGAAGAACTTATACCAACAGACCATTCTGATTAAAGCAGGATGTAGGTTCTATCTGCAGCTCCTCCATGTAGAGGTGAGAAGATGAGCTCCATAAAGTATAGTGAACGCTGCTGTGCCTGGCTGGTGGACACTGCCGTGATATAGCAGCAGGCTCTTGCTCATACAGTTTATGTCTAGAGGACTATACCGCCTAACTCCGTGTGTATTCAACTTAACATGGCCTGACCATTGTGTTTATCTCCGGAAGAACTTGCTCCGGTATCTGCAGTCTCGTGAGCGCGTCCTCTTTATCCTCTCTTCTACATTCTCCCCTTCTCGTCATCACCGTCTTACGCCTGCATCTCCCTAACGTCGCTCGTTAATCGTTTTCATCCACTCTTTCATCGAATCTCACGTCTAACCATCGTTTTGACATTGCTAAATGCCCTTTTGAAGAGATAAAGTCAATATGCATACTCATCTCTTCATGGGACTCCTCTTGGCCTTGCTTGCCAGTCTTGGTTCAGGAGGCAGGGTCTCTAAGTGGTAGGTTATTTGCTGCTATCATCTCTTTCTCTATAAGGACCTTCATTCTTCTTTATATGGCATTTGCTCTATGGGTAGTGCAACCTTCCACTTTTCTCTCGGGAGTACTCATTCAGATAATGTGTCCACTGTGGACATACTCGGCTGTTGGGCCAGAAAACGAGATCTGAATCTCTATGTTGTTGAGAAACACCTGTAGCATCAAACTCTTGGGTTCTGTGTATCACTAACTCTATATTCTGCAGGTCACTAGCACACAACTGGAACACTACTAGCACTGACTTCTTGATGGACACATCCACTTCAATTCACAATATGTCTCTTGCTGCCCCCGTTGTTCTTACTCATGTTGCTACGCTTGTCGAAACGGTCACGCTCACTAGTCCTGTCACTGTCACAGCCATGACTACAGTTACAGGCACTATTACCTTCCCTCCTGATACGGTATATGTGACTCTGACTGTGGTCGACCCTACTTTGGGCTGCATCATTTCTTTACCTGCAGCACAAGACACCGTCACAGAGGTTCCACACATCGGTTCTCATAGCGAGACCTCGACCTCGACCTCGTCTGATGAGGATTACACAGTGACAAGCTTTTTCACCTCTACTGAGACAATTCAAGTCATTTCTGCTCCCAAACTGTCTGCAACTCCTGAGGTGACAAGTGTTCTTCCCTGCAATGGACCGAGCAGTGACCACCACGCTATATCCCAACCCTCGGAGGCTTCCTCAAGCGATACAGCAGCCGCGTCAACAGAGACCATAACTGTTTGGCCTGTTCCAGAAGAGTCAACGTCGACTCAAGAGACAACGACTAGCGTCACTTCTACCATCACAAGTGTCGTTACGAAGACTCGTGCGCCTGTTTCTGAGGCCAGTACGAGCTCTGCCATGAAGTTAGCAACTCTTCGATCCACTGGGCTCAGTACTAGCTATCAGAATGTGACTTACGCATCGACTGCAAGCTCTCTCTCGGCGTCTATCTTCTCACCTTTCCGTTCTATTATGTCCCTTTCTGTTCCGGCCATCAATCGTACCATGCGTGTGAGACATATGCCGAAACGCGAAGCTGATACGTGGATCACTGCAACAATCAATAGAGAGACCGTCTCATGGGGAAAGAAATACAATGCCCTGATACCTAGCTGGAGTTCTGTTACTGGAAAGAATCCCGGAGGTCCTGCTATTACCGCTACGGGGACCGTTCCATCTCCCATCAAGATGTCTACATCAGCGACAACCTCGACATTCACCCCTACATCCCCGCTGACTCCTTGTGGTGAAGTTGCAGATTTCAAGATTGATGTAGGTGGAAAAATAACTCTCAAGGCTCGACAGATAACTAACAGTGGACAGTTTGATACACTTCCCGCTCCGCCTGCGCCCGGCCTCTTCCCTCCGATCTTCAGCCCATATAAACATTTCTTCTTCACCTCTGGTTGGTATTATGGAGCATCTTATGGAGGTTACAGTCCGGCCTCCCCTCCATACCTGGCTGTGCACCAGCAATCCCCATCTCTCGGTGCATATGGTGACGCGGCGTTTTCGGTTGGTCCACGAGTTGCGGATGACAGGTTCTGGTTCAATGCTTCGTCCTTATTCTTCGGCTGCCGCGGTCCAGAATTAGCATACTGCGAAGTCAGAATATCCGCATTCAAATATTCACCTCAGGCTGGAACGGAGTACAAGGCTCATGAACACATTTACTTCATCCCAGCGTGTTCTAAGGCTGAAGATTGTCCATTGCCGCTCCTTGCCCTCAATTCGAAGTTTAAGGGTCTGACTAGCATGGCGTTCAGCGCAACAGTCGCCAATATCTCCGTTCCTTGGGTGATTGACGACATCCAGCTCGGTTGGTACAACGACACTTGTGCTGCTGGGCAGGTCCGCGCACGCTCTATCTAAAGCCGTCTCTTCATCTTGGGATGGTCCACTTGATGAGTATGCACTGCATTCGCAAAGATCGGAAGAAAAAAAATAATAAAAAAAGTATCGGGGAATGAAAAATGAAATGAAATGCTAAGACTGTTCAATTTTCGATGGATTGCTTTACTCACGCTTGTCAAATCTTTTATGTCACTACCGGATATGAAAGTGGACTGAGCCTGTATTTCTTCATCGAATGAGAGAATGATTTCTGCATGAAAGTGGAGATCTGTTTCTATATTTTAGTTTTCTCAATATTTTTCCTGTTTCGTAGGGGCGCGCCCTGTCTGATCATATGGCTGGGTACCTTGTAGGTCTATGGCAATAAATAGAGCGGCGGAAAGCCTTTGGTCCTGACACTTAGGGTCCCGTCTCTTCGCTATCATCCGTTATACGCTCTATAGACTGAATATGCCACCAGTGATCAAGAAATGATGGCCTAGTCTATATCCAATATTTTCATATACCTCGGAGATGATTCTTATTAATGGACTGCCACCTTGCCAAATCGCCCACCTTCCTCTACCATTCCGATCCTAGGTTACGAAGAGACGTCACCTCATCCGCCATGACTCCTCCGGAGATTTTCCAGGAAGCTATCGTTAAAAGGTGGACCACGTTGAACTACCTCAAGTAGTTCAACCAACACAATACTTTCCGACTCTTTGTTTGCATGATTGAATTTAGTTCTGGCCATACCACGAAGCTGGATTCTAGGAATGGAGAAAGAGAGCGTATGGGAGTTATAAACAGAGCCGCCTACCATCCTATCAAGCCAAACAGTGACCGAGTCTGGTCGTGGAAGTCGGCTATCGGGCAGTTCAACGAAAACTCGAATCAATGTTAATTGGTCAACTACAGAATCAGCTGGTGACGTTAAGTCTGTTGTCTCATTTGCAGTCAACCCAAGGGTTAAGAGATGACAATTTGACGCTGGCATGGTACGGGGAGACCATATCGAAATGTAAGATCCCAGGATGGTGGGAGAGCTGTGCGGAATGCCAATCCAAATCCTCTAGATTCGACCTTCTATCTCTTCGACTTCGACCCTGGGGTCGAGACACATCACTTTCACCGTCAACTAGTTGAAGAAGTTTCCACAAGACCTCTAGGAAGTAGAGCTCGAGCCCGGATCAACCAGGGCACGGTGAGTGGTCCACAACTCCAAAAACCTCCGAAGGATGCGTGTTTCGTAAACTATATCTAAAATATTACTAACTAGAGGCTCTTTCGTTAATGTCGGGTCACAAAGGCGTGCGCACGTGGTCTGTCATATCATACTATTGCATCCATGCCCTTTAGGATGCGGCAGTCACATCAAATGGAGTGCCTTTCTAGGAAACCATACACGATCTAGAAAGAAGAACTACATACCTTCCTCACGTCATCCATAATTCTCCGATATAGTCTATATATTCTCCGCTATACACCAAACACCTAGCTTTCCACATGAGAGGGCATCCGATCTCAACGGCCTATCAGATTTTCAGGCCTCCCCCTGTAATGATGTCAATCATCTCACACATCTCAGACGGAGTCAAACTATAACGAAGGATCTATGAGGAGACATATCCGTGACTGTTAGCTCACCCACTCCTGCCGTCGTGGGTGAGCCCTCCCGTATTTTCACTTCCTACCGTATTTGCACTAAAATTCTTAGGTACCTTTTATATGGGAACACCATACAAAAGGTACATAAGGCCAAAAACAGAACATATCTAATTATCTCAATATTTTGTTAGAGGACACCTTTATTTTAACTAATAATATTAAAATTTTATTATTAAATAACTTATATTTAAATTTTTAAAAAGCTCTAATTAAAAGTGAGAGATATATTGTTATTTAAAGATTTCTCACCAAAAATTTTTTGTATGGGGAAAGTAAAAAAGCAAATGCTTACTTTAATAATTAAGATTTTACTTTCAAATTAAAGATATAGGTTATTATATTGTATTATTGTATTATTATCAATTAAAATAAAGGTGTCCTCTAACAAAATGTTGAGATAATTAGATATATTCTGTTTTTGGCCTTATGTACCTTTTGTATGGTGTTCCCATACAAAAGGTACCTAAGAATTTTAGTGCAAATACGGTAGGAAGTGAAAATACGGGAGGGCTCACCCACGACGGCAGGAGTGGGTGAGCTAACAGTCACGGATAATCTGCAACAGCGGAGTTTGAAGCTTACGGACTACACCTAGCGTCTACAACCCGAGCCAATCACTGCAGAGCCGCTAAGATAGAGCCTCTTCGTATAAGCAAGACGTCAATCGGTCCGTTAATTATCGAATATTCGATCTTCTGCTCCCGAGCCTCTACGAATAAACCTATCGCGGTAGAAGAAATGGCAAGCTAAAATCTTACACTCTCGGCTCTTACTACCGCTGAGGCGCCCTACTATCCGAAGAAGTAAGCCTGGCTATGTCTATGGCCGAGATTATGCTTATTAACCTTTTAGTTGTAACTAATGTCTCTATTTCCATATACGGACAGAAGTGTGCTCATGTGCTCCTGCTTAGCCCTGCTACGATAACGCAATCTTCGGGGCAGTGAGATCACGATGGTGAAGTCAGATTGGATTATTGACGATGTCGAATTACCTTGATAAGCGATTAGGCAACTGGATAATCCATCCGGATATTATTTTCCTGGCCGAGGCTCTGGGGGGGGAGGTCCGTGAGATGGAAAAGGGCTATGCTGGAGATCTGCATATTCTTCTTCTATTTTGATTTACATGATTGGATTCAATCAGAAGAAATATCCTCCCAGTACAGTCTCGCTCCTTCTTTCTTTCAAAAACTTCACTGGTTAGCAAATACTGATGCCTTCTGTCAGCTGTAGTCCGTGCGTTCTCATGACCATAGAAGATAATATCTCCAACGTACTATAGCCGTCCCAACCATGTAAGAGGGAGCCATCCTGCATTACGCTAGAATAAGACACTGAACTAAATATCCAAATAAGAACACACAACTCTAGCCAAAAAAGAAAGCCATGCAGTATCACCACTCCGATTCAAACAAAGAAAAAAAATAAGCACATTTAGAGCCCATGCATATTACATGAATATCCCTGCACCCTCGGCAAGGCGTATCGGGATAAGATGTGGTGGAGTGTGGGAGGCCTTGCAGATCCGAGAGATACGCAAGGATCTGAATCCGTTTTTTTGGCCCCATACTTAAGTACTATCTAACTGACTGACTAGTAGGAGATATATCGTCCTTTCCAAATTAAGCTTTCTTTTAAACAATCCCATAATATAGCTCTGGAAATAAAGGGTGCGTGCAAATGGTTAGCGTTGCGATGATGATGATGATGATGATTTGTTTAAGAATTTGAGGCTGGCTAGTGAGATCCGCGGCTGAGAAAGAGACTTGGTCAAGAGACAGCCTAGACCCAGCATCTTAGAGAAACAAATCAAGAAAGAAAATGATACTAGGATATCCCAATCTATCTATCCCTTGGGGCTGAAGTTAGCAGCGTGGGCCTAAACATATATCGTTAACTATTAAATACATAACCTAATAAGGGATAATGCATATATTTGCATAAAGACTAATTAATTTCCCCCAGTTATCGTAATATATCATTTCCCATGGCTGATGTTAGTATCCGATAACCGCCAGGAAGGAAAGCGTCTGACCATCAGGAGTTGATATATGCCACACCTCCATTCAGATAAAGCCAACTTTCAACTCTTCTAAATATATCCTGCAGTACTGGCTACCTACCAACTATCTGGGATGAAGGCGAATCGCCGTAACATAAACTAGACAACTGCATGTGCCGTTCTTTAAAACAGCACCCAATGTGCTACCTCGAATAGCCGCCGCAACGGAGGATCGCCCAACGTGAGACAAGCTGCGCCGCTGTACTGCTGGTCTACGGGAGAAGGTGAGGGGTTAATCATATCAAATTCGCGCGTGCATCAATAGATGATGCTGTGTTGTTGGGTTATCTAAAGTTAGATTTGTGTAACCAACTCCTGTTCTTGAAGTCAGGGCTGATAACAACTGAGATGCCGCGTCTCTACGCTATTGGTTACAGGCGGTTGAACTGGGATTTTCCCCCCTGGCGTTTGGATACACACATGCGAGTAAGATGTTTAGAACCAAAATTCAAATCATAATAGAAATGGCAGCGAATATAGCATTCGGACTATTTTGAATGTACAAGCACTGAGCCACCCGTGAAATGCGAAAAGGACCCCGCCAGTATGCTCACCGATGATCTAACCACCTGCGCAAGTCCACCATTGACAAATACAGTAGGTCGAAATTCACCATAGAAGAATCAGATGGTACATACCCCTGGATCCCGGAGCAAGATCGCCGGTCGGATGGACCAGGTGAAAGGCAAATTCATGTCAGAAGGAAAGAAAGCGTACAAACATCGAATGCAATCGTGTAACTGATGTCAATGACAGCCCATTTCCCATCTATAAAACTATTAGACCCATTTCGCAATGCTCATTCCCATGCTCGAAGAAGTACCCGTGAAACGCCTTGCCGAATAAACTTGACAACGATCAACGACAGCAAAAAAAAAAGTAAAGCAGATAGAGACCACCTAAGAATGCGCACCGGTAAATGTGAGGTGGCAACCGCCGTGACAATGCCAGCTGCATTGAGAAAGTAGGAGCCTCTCAAAGATACCAAGTCGGATCCGGTATATAGAACCAAATAAATAAACAAGGTGAAAATTTTGTCCAAGGGAAGGGAAATTTCTGTGACCCCGACGCTTTAAGCGGTGAAGACACGGTCCAGTTGACGAAGGGCTCTCATGTCCTCCCCACCAAATCCTATCTTTTCGCTAGGAATATCTTTAGGTCCATCAGGGGCAGTTCTGGGACTCCGGCTGCCAGGAGCTGGCAAACCTCCCTTGAACGCATCAAGAGGTCCTGAAGGTGGAGGTGCCGTAGAAACAGGCAACGTATGTGCGGGCGCACCGTTCATGAGAGCTCCAATGCTGGGCACGACAGTACCCGAGGTCCCAGGCTCGAGAGGCTTAACCGCACCATTAGCAGGTGCATAATGTGCCTGGTTTGGCGGAATCTGCCTGAGCACAGGAGGACTAGGAACTCTTCTTGCTTCTCCATTTGGTGGGACTTGCTGGGCCTGTGACCGTGGAGACATCAAGCGGGGATCGACAGCTGCCGCAACGTAGGTAGGGGAGTTTCTCTGCTGGGCTTCCAGTGTCCCATTTGAAGCGCGAGGCGAACGTCCTGCAATGGCGGGGAGGGTAGCGTTGGGAGCAGCACTGGACTGAGAGGGCGGAGGCAGGGTGGTTTCTGGATGAGGTCTGTCGTAAGGGTTGGGTAGGGCTGCTTGCGCCTGAGGCGGCGGCAGTGCTGGATGTTGAGGGTACGCGAGCTGACCAGCAGCCCCCGATAATGGTGGAAGATAGCTGGCACTGTATGGTATCGATACAGTGGGCGGCGTTCCCAGGGGAGTTGGTGGCCACGCATACGGGGGGGTATACGATTGAGGATGAGTGGCACCTGAGCGAGGATATGCGGCCATGGGATGAGGAGATAAGGAAAACGCAGCACCTGCCATAGGCCCACGAGTCACGACTGGTAGGTTCTGCTGATCGTTGACCGTCGATTCGGGATAGAGACCCTTCTGCGGGCGGATATGTCGCAAGGCAGGGTCGGTTGATGGCTGGTTAAGGTTGGGGGCTGTCGGGTGCGACCGCGCGTAGTAGCTGATGAGATGTAGATGCTGCCCGGTTGAAGTTGTGATGCTGAAAGACTGCTTCATGAGACCATCTGGCTTGTATCGATAGCCATCGGGGCCCTCCTCGCCGTTCTCACCATGATCCTCATCGCTGCCTCGAGTGCTGTCGGGTGTCTTTCCGGCTCTTGCGACGGAGTTGGAAACACTGCCGCCTCCACGTTTGCCTTCCATTTCCCTGTATGTGAGGAAGCTGCCAGATACCCTGCTCGCGCTCCATGACTTTCCATCCGTCCATCTCCTCATACCAGCTTCCCTCTCATCCCACACAAAGACGGATCCCGACTTTATCGACTGTCGTTCTTTTTCTGACAGACGTCGCTGTACTCTCGGGAGAAGCCCAATCCGGCAGGCTTCAAAGAGGATGATCGCGTCCGCAGGAGTGCGGACATGTCCGTGGTAGGTCTCCATCAGAACCGAAAATGCAAAGGGTCGTAAATAGAGTCAAGCGCCCGTCTTAGACGAGGGAGATAGTTTATATGATTCCGGGGCCGCCGATCAGGGCTCTTCCCGTGATCTCTGGACTAGTAACACTCAGACGGGCTGCATACGCCCAAGCTAAAAACCAATGCCAGCCAAGCTTACTGCAACTTGTTTTCCGTCAGCACGCTTTTTTTTTGGTTTCAGGCGGACGTATGTAAGCGAAGGAATAGTATGCAACGTAAGCAGGATGGCTGCAGTGCCCCCAGAAGAGTGAAAGAGAAAAAAAAAGGCAAGATCGTCAGGGAATGATATAGCCAGGTAGGAGCAGAGTAGTGAATAATGTATGTATCTATCTGCCCTGGCTCAGAGAAAAGAAGTCAAGAGGAGGGGAGCGTTTAGAGTGTAGGAGAGAAAGAAAAGAGAAAGGAAGGGGGGGAAAGGCTATGGTGTAGAAAGGGCCACGGTATCAGATCGTGGACCAATATGCCATGTGGGTAAAAAATGGGGGAGAGAGATCGGACTTCTACGTCACTCAGCAGACAGAATCTCCTCTCTTTGAAAGTCTTGAAACCGCACAGAAAGTGAAAGCCAAAGCAAAAAGAGGCACTGCTTTTAGCTGTGGGGCGGCAAATCATCCAGCTGGGATTCTTGTTAAACCATCGGCGCCGAACCGCCCCAAATGGGAGATCAAAACGGCGGGCGCGAAACAGGCACAATTTAGAAATAGAGATAGATACGGTGGGGAACGGACTCAACTCTGGCCTCCACAAGGGTCTGACTAGGAACAGAACAGTAACTGACCAGACAAGCTGCTTCCAGACAGAGATGGTATGGAAGAGGTATTCACGCCCGTATCAACAACAATGATCCCAACTGTTGTTTCTCAGTCAGGTAGAGCCAGCCGATCGAAGAAAGCCAATATCAAATCGCCGCGCCAGCTGCGACCAGGATGGAGGACGGTTGTTTTTTTCTTTTTTTTTTTTTTAAAGAAATCCACCGAAACAAGGTTAAAAATGGCTGAGCAGCGGAGGGGGCGGAGGGGCACAAGCAGCAATGAACCGCGAGGGTAAGGTTAGCGATGGAGGAGACGATCCTTCTCCCGCGTCTTCGATTTATTAATTTTGGTATTATTATTCTCTCAGTAGTGGTTGAACGATCCGTGCAAGCATGGAATCTTAATTCGATGATGTCTCCACGTCTGAACCTGGGAAAGGAAGCAGATCCCCTTTTTGGGGCAGGGATAATTATGTGCGATGCAACAGTCGATCAGGAAGAGCAGAAGCTAACTAAGTTATGCTTCTTAAGGTTGTTAAGGGAATGAGCCTAAACGGAACAAAAGAATCTGGAGGTGTCAAAGGTGAGGGAGTGAGAGAAAGAAGAAACAGATGCTGATGATCACAGACGCCAGAAGGAATGCGGCGTCCCAGTGGCTGTTTGCTTCTTGGCCGCCTTTTTCCTTCTGCTCCCAACTAACTCTCTTTTCCCGTGGATTCTCATCGTTCATGATTCAATCAATAATCTATCCTCATCATCCATCCTCCATCTCCATCTCCATCTCCATCTCTCTTTTCCTCCACAAAACAACAGCCTGAAGTGTTATCATCTCGTCTATCATCTGGCCCTTTCCTTCTTCTCGCATCTACGATACAAGTCTCCAACTGAAATCCCTCCAGACGGCTCTCGACCGTTCCTCTGGCCCTGCAGTGCCCGTTCGCGGCATCTTCAAGCGAACACAGCACCCCATAGGAAGGGATGGTGGCGCTCTGATCCCTTGGGGTCTTGGCTAGCGCTGGACTTCTGAAGCTTAAGCTTAATCCAACACGAGGAGACGGGGCGCTGAACCGTACAGTACGCTACAGGACCCCCCCACGGTTACGAATAATTAGAGTCAGTAGGGGTCAAGCGCTAAATTCAGCCAAGGTCCAAGGATCGTGAACAGCGCCGTCGGAAACCCCGTCGGCCGTGGATGGCTGCTGCTGATGGCGCCCTTGGTGACAAGCAAATCGAGAGGCTGGGACGAGCCGCCAACATGCGATTTCTCATGCCAAAGCCACGGTGGTCTGTCAAACTATCTAGCACTTGGCGCCAACGGGGGCCAAGCATCTCATGGTTGCTGATCGCGTCGCTGAAGGGTAGAGAGTCTCCCAATGATAATAATGGCGATCTCCAGAGACGGGAGATCAGAATCAAACGTGCTCAGGGATCTTGGCTGCTGGTCCCATGCAAGAAGATGACGGGCGTTTCCACACAGCCATCCGGTTATTTGTCGGTTCACGTGTGAGACAGCAGTTTCCTGAATAGGCTTTGGCACCAATATGGAGCTTATCTGGCGCTGCCGCCTCCTGGAGACGATACTATAGTTCCGCTAATTTATGCCTCGTGTACGTGCATAAGCGACCAGCACTTATAGTTGCGCCCCGACCATCCCGATTCTAATACACTAGGCGCCATGGTGCCATTATTATTCTAGCTCTGACAGCAAACAAACATTCTCGCTACGGCCAGAGTTGCCCCTTTCACATCTTGGAGGTAGTTTATCTGTCGAGGCACGCGAGTGATAGAGACACTTATTTTAGTCTCAATTGCTGCGTACGGTTACGGAAAATACCATGGGCGAGACCAGTGTGACCGACCACAAGAGATGTTCTGTCTGGATACGCTACTCGAGATGTCTCATATCTATGGGCAATCTTATCAGCTCCGGTGTTGCCTCACATTTCGCGCATCTATGTACATGTAGTAGGGAAGGAACCTCCGTGTCTCGGAACCTTTCACAGACGCTCATGTTTCTCAAATATAACTATTCCAACTGACCACTGCCTCGGACCTCGTCGCGTCCTTTGTCTTTAATCGTCATCAGACGTCATTGTCAGACCATAACCGATGCACGGAATATCGATATTTTGAAAACCCATTGAAACAGCACGCCAGGCTATGTGATAAACGAGTCGATAGATTAGCCGTCATTTCCGTCAGATCACCGCCAGCAGCTTGGTTGGCATAATAAACTACTCATCTGGTATGGAAGATGACTATCCTACTGGGTGTCTGATATTCCATGAGCCTAAACCAGTGTCGGTCTCTAATTCCAGTAATCTGAGACAAACCGTGGCGGACAGATGCGCTGGCCAAATATATACCTGTCACTACAAGGACATACATGACTCGTGCAGCAAAAGTTGTTGATGATTGTATCTATACTAATTAACAGAAACACGGAAACCCAAGGCTCCAGGGGGACTTTCTGGCTCCACTGATTGCGGTCAATGTAACATGAACAATATCAGAGGCTTCGCAGTGCGTCTCGGGATGATCGTCGCAAATGTGACCAAGGCTCCAAGCCAATCCGACTACAATGCGAAGAATGATGTCGGAAACTAATAATACTTTTCCATTATACATACGAACGGACATGATTTTATGACAAGTCCGTTTCAGGTTTCAACCCGCGCTAGAATCGGTTCCATGGCAGATCGAGGAGATTCATATTGGCAGACAAACGCCGCTGGGATGTTTCCTGCTTTCCTTCTTTCTCTTTCTTTTTTGTTTGTCATCATGGTACACGGAAAACACGGAGCACGTGTAGATCAACCTTCTTCCTTGGTCTTGGACTGCTCCACATTCTTGGACCGAGCATTGATGATGCCCAGTCAACAGTCTCCGACGTGGAATTAAAAATCGGCGGCTAGAGACTAACCGATCCACCCAGAGCGGCGCATCTGCATTTACTCTACTTTGCCTCAATGCAGGAAGACTAATATTAGTCCGTTCTTGTTGATTCGATTCCGGTGTACAAGCATTGGACCATCTGATTGCTATGTCTGCCAGTCTCGCATCTGGAACACAGCACATATAACTGTCGACTATCCGAGTATTCCTTATTTTGGAATCAAATGATACAAAGAAGAACACCCTTGCGGTATTACCACTACTCGTTCCACCGCCGAGAGGTTTATATCTCCCTAAATCTCCGCTCGCTTGGTACCAGCATCCGAACCTCCGTGACTGGCCACTAAAGCCAGAAACAGAGTCTTGATTGGCGTCTGGCGGGAAAGCCGATCCGAGGAACAATGTCGAGTAACTTTTAGCATTACTGCATGGCAAAAGCCACTTATTTGAGACTATCGACAAGCGACAATCTATTCCTAGCTCGTCACCACTTGACGCGAGTAATCCGCGGATCTGAGTTACGAGTATGCACGACCCCATACTTTGTCGGCTTTGGTTCCATCCCCCCTGGACCTTGACGACAGATCATCCGCGTCATCTCCTAAGCAAAACCCTGTTGTTACGTATTTACCGCTTGTCGCGTGCTTCGGAGTCTCTCCAGACATTCGTGTCACACTATCACCTGCGCGGCGGAACAAACCAGAATAGGGTTTATTGTATTTATTGTAATCAAAAGTGTCAGATCTCATTGCGCACAGCCTAGCAGATTTCGCACCCCACATCGTTTCACCGGTTAACCTTGAGCAGAGCTTCTATCCAATAACCCCTCACTGCAGAGGGCACAGTACGACACCAGTCATAGATAATTACCTCGGCGGTCTATTCACTAAAGTCGTGCTTGCCTCGGCCGAGACACTATCTATTGTATATGGTAATGGTACGAATGCTGCGCCGCGTGCTACATAGCAAACGATGCCCGATGCTACCATGATTTAAGGTATCAGAGATCGGTGCCGCCGTGAAACGTTACACAAGCTTATCTCCTCTAGGAAAATAATCGTCTAATGGAAGACAAAGCGGCCGAGTCTAATCATAAGAAGACCCACGAGGAAAATGGACAATTCCCCCGGTGATGTCCAAATAATAGATACGCTCCGGACATATCAATTCTCCCTTGCGTGTCCTCTTCTACAGTACCATACGTACTGGGCACCTGAATAGTACGATGGCATAACAGCAAACGTCCCGGTATGCTTATCTTGCGTCACTGCGCCCTTGCTTCGTGCATAGTCATCCTCAGGCGCTCTACGGTGTGACTACGCAGTACACCCGAATCGCGACTGGTCTCTGCAAAGCTTCTCTGCGCCATGATTGACCGACCAGGCATAGCGGGTAGCTGCACATCTCCCAGATAATGACCATAACAAGCTGCATATCGCGTCAGGGGTCGCTGTTGCAGTATCACTGAGACATTTTATCGATTGCTGCTTATAGTCGGGATCTGCTCTTTCTTTCTTTATTGCATCTGCATCCGACGTATGCCCAATTTTACAGCATTATTATTCATCGCCTGCTGCATCAATACTAATAATAATGAAAATCCTGATGGACTTCCGAGGCTCCGACACGCATGAACGAGCTAAGTTAGCAGATACCACGACAGAGCTAACATGGACAAGCGCGCCCTAAGCATGGATTTAGCTATGGCGCAGGCGCACACAACAAAGTGCGATCGAGCGTAAGTCAAAGGCTTAACTGCGGTAAGGTTGTTAAGCATGATCAAGCCACCTCGGTTCAAAGGGCAAATTAAAGGGGGGGAATCCTGCGGGGGCGATTAAAAAAAAAGAAGCAGGCAAAAAGTCAGAAAAAGCGAGAAAGCCGAGCGGAATCTTACGTTTTCTGGAATAATGGACGGGTCAGGGTAGAACAAGGTTAACTCGGGGCCCACGCACCACGTTTTTTTGCCTTTCTTACCCTGTGCTAACGGCTAGAGGAGTCAGGACTATTATTATTGTTATTATTATTACGCATACGAAGACGGATGGATCTTCTTGATCAACACCAACATAGCAGGGAGCATAGCCGTTCATATCCGCCAATCCACCGGACTGTGTGTGTGATATTACCAACTCAGCCACCGTGATGCTGGAGACTTGCTAAGAGGTTATTTGAGGTTTTTTACGTATGGTATTCTGCTTCTGCGCAGTCTTGGCTGATTATTAGCGTTAAACTACTCCGTACTTCCTCCTTCGGGGGCGCACTGACTCGGTGAGTCGCTAGGTCACAATCATTGGGCTTTGCCGTCTGACATAGTCGGCCCTGGTGCGTCTTGGCTCTATCGACGACATGGAGCGGGCGAAAGCTAATTGTTCTTTGTTCACATACTCTAACGCCCTGCCGAGAGCCGGTCTGCTCTTACATCGCTTCTCAAGTCTTGTCCGTCACAGTCCAGGAGGCTGCCAAGCTGGGGGCTGGTTTTGGCGATACCAGTCAGCGTATCTAGTAGGGATGTCACCGGGTACGAGCTCACATTCAAGATCGGAGCTTCCAATCATTGGCCACTTTAGGATAAAGGGACGCACTGCCAAGAGAAAACAGAAAGCAAGAACTGAAATCTTTTACCACGCAATGCCGAGGAGTTGAACCCATGCGATCATAGTTGAACAGCAATCAACCATGATCAGAGTCGGGCCAAGACAATCGCTGCATAAATTTCGCCACGCTTTGCTATCTAGGTAGTTATTACTAGTGCTTATTGGTACGCCGTAACGCCGCCTCCCGATTTTGGATTTGTTTCCACGGATCCAAATTATTATTATGAAAGTGACAAGACCGATTCATAATCTCTTGCTAATCCGTCCATTTACTTTAATAATGTATATCCCGTATATACGCCACTGGAAACCGTCACGCATACGCTCGCGTGTTATCTAGACCTTTCTTTGAATGTCACGAGGCCATCGCGGACAGTCTTGATTACAATTGAACTAGAGTCCATATGGAGATCGGACCAGGCCACGAGGGCGCTTGTGTAAGAGCCTAGATACTGCTAAACCGAATCACTAGTATCTGGTAGACAAAGCGACTCGTGTATAACGACTATTCATTTATATTTGTTTCAGCCTTCTCAAGCCACGGCTGGTAGTGATATAACCAGAAGGACATTGCAACTTGTCTAGAGCTTGGTACCGAGAGTTGTTCGCTTGACCACCGTGCAAGCATTGAGAGATTAGAGTAAATTTAAATTCCGATTAGTGTGTTTGAGAAACAATTTCCATGAGATTGTCTGATCCTTTTTCATTCCAATCCTGAAGCCACTAAAACCTACAAACACTTGGCATTCGTCCCCAATATGTTGTTTTTATTATCCCTCACTACCTCTGACGACTCACTAGCCCCATTCCTTACAGAAGAGGCTGGAATTGGATAGCTTCTAGACCTTCAAAAGAAAAACAGACCTTCCCCAGTCTAGAGTAAGGATCAATCTGAGAGGGAAGGGCGAATTGAGCCGCCGTTTTACAATGCCAGATGTGGCGCGGCCAGAAGTCGTTCTAGATCCTGGGGTTTTCCGCCAGCAGCCGAGCAATGCACTTGCATCGTGAGACCAGAGACAGAACACAACAATGATAAATGTGTTTCTAGCACCTACCACAGCTAAGATTGACCCAAATTCTTCTATGTACACTAACGATGAGACTACCGCCCTTGCTTTCTGGCTTTCTAACCTTTCTTGGAACCGAAACCTGGTAAAAAAAAAAAACGGAAATCTAGACGCTCACACACACATACCCCCCGAGCCTTCGCCGGATCGGTCCTTCTAAAACCTTCACTTTATTTTCAATAATAATAATCTTGGCCCTTTTTTTTTCTTCTCTCTGTCTTATGCCATGTGGTACGCCTAAACGGCGCCATGGTTCGAGCGGGCCGACTCCGAAGGGAAAGTAGGAATACTAATCATAAAATGATAAAATACGTGTTCACTATAATAATTATTTCCTCGGCGTTATTATTATTACTACGTACTAGCTAATAATAGTTAATAATAATTATGTCTCAGATCTCGGACTCTAACCGATGACGCTTCACGCTCTTCTATCGGCCCAGACCGAGAACCTAGGTACTGTTTCGTTTCTGAACTAAATCTAAGTAAAGTACGTAGTACGTAGTACTCTGTATTATTTAATATTATTATTATTATCATGTACCATACTTAGTAGCAGGAGTCGTATACTGAGTAGTATAGTATACACGTAAACGGACCATCATGTGAGCTAAAAAGGAGCCCACTTGACTCGTGTTTTCCGATCTTATTTTTTTCTTTTTTTTCTAGACCTTTCTCTCGTCTATTATCGTCTATTGAAACTCTAAATAGAACTACGATACGAGGGTGATGGGGGGGAAAAACATGGGGGGGAGGGGGGATTGGGGGCGATATTATTTAGTTCGTTCGTTCGCGATCTTGGCTCGCTTTAGTAGTACATACATAATTATATCTAGAGAGCCGTCACGTTAGCTAGATAGGGCGGGTTGGGGCTTATGGCTTTATTTCGTGGTTTATGCCTTGTTTAGGCAACAGCACCGAGGAGCGGGATGTAGTTAGTTATATGGCGATTACGAGGAAGACTGGAAAATAGGAATAGGGACTCGTGTTTATACTTTACATGGACGACGGATTGTTATTGGATATTGTGTGATGAGCTGTGATTAATGAGGATATTCTTCATGTTTTGTTTAATCAGCTGAAAAAGATGCAGGCTCATTTTTATGCATGGCATGGTGCTATTCAGGAAGGAATTATATGGAATTAAATCCTCTCAAGAGTCCCGACAATCCTTTGGATTAGGATAATTAGAGGAAGTATTCTGATGGTATATTATATTGTACTGTACATTGACAACTCGCTCTATGGTATAGTGAGAGAAGATCCCGAGAAGCAATATATACTTACCTACTCATATCTTCTGGTAGAGTTAGTCTTTCTGTCGAAAAATAAAAGAAACGGATTTAATTATGATAATTGCGTGATATAAAAAAGGACGCGATGTAATTTCGGACTCAAGACTAGGTGTCTATATCTTACTTACAGGGGATAAATAATTGGTTGTCGGCCTATTATTCTCCTGTACGTTCGCTGGTTCATAATCTAGTTAAAAATGCTTCGAACCTCACTTTCTAATCACCTTGTCATGCATAATAGGTAGTAAGTAACTACGTGACGACTTGGATTTTCCCTTTGCTTACTATACTAACTTACTCGGATGATCCTATGAACAGCTCTTGCCGTTGTTTAGACTGTGGTCTTGGCTGAGAGTGTATATATATATATATATATCTCATAGACCATATCTCTTACTATGCATTTACTAGAACTGATAGATTGAGAGTCCTATCGAGGACCTGGAAAGGAGGGTAGAATAGTTGTTTTCTGGGCTTAGGAATCATACTCCTTTCTTTCCTGATTGGATTGTGGGTTTACGGAATCAGCTACATGCTTTCTTTAGAGATGAGGAAATGTAGAGTTCTCTGCGTGCGCGTAGAGAAAACGTCTAGAGTTGTAAAATGAATCGGACGAGAATGATAATTTTTCTTTTAGATCACTATGCCTGTTATGTTTCATTCGAGGATATAGGACGAGTAGATCGATGTTGTGCCAAACGGAAATAAAATAAGCCTAGAATGGCTCGGATATCTTTCAATGGTACACTATAGTACAGTACTAACACAGATATATCTGAGTGGAGGCTAGTTATGGCGGATATTTTTTTTCGATATGCTTCTAGCAATCGGCTCTTCCGAAATGTCTCGGGAATGGCACGATGTCTCGAAGGCTGCTGACACCTGCCAAGTATCCGAGAAGTCTGTCAAAGCCCAGGCCAAAGCCGCCGTGAGGAGCGGTGCCCCAGCGACGAAGGTCGGCATACCACCGCAGGTGAGCGAGGTCTTCGTTCGGCAACAAGTATGGATATGGAGGTTCCTCCGCTGAGACAGGAGGGGACGAGGAGTCGGCTGGTGGAGGAGGAGTCTTGATGAGACCGTGCTCACGCATATTCTCAATGATGTTCGGCAGTCGATGTTCACGCAGGGAGCCGCCAACAACTTCACAGATCTCAGGCACTAGAAGATCGAAGCATGCCACTGTCTCGCCCGGTGGTGAGGCAGCTCCTTCGGTCTCTGAGAGCTGAGAAGGAGCCATATAGAATGGCTTGACCTTCTTCGGATAGTCCGTCACGAAAACAGGAGTACCCTTGTAGATGACGTCGACAATGTACTTCTCATGTTCCAGCTGAAGGCCATCAGACCACGATGGTGGAAAGTCAAAGGAAGCACCGTCCTCTTTAACAGCATTTTGAAGCAGCTCAATTGCCCGTGTGTATGTGACACGATGCCATCTCGGCCCGTCCATCAAGCTTTGCCATCTTTCACGTAATGAAGAGCCCGATTCTGCATTCTCCTGTCCCGACTCTCCTGTCCGCTTGGCAGACAAAATCTCCTGTCCAGCGGGTGTGGCATAGAGCCGTCGTGTGAGATCACGAATGACATATTCGACCAAATCTGTGAGCGAATCCAGATCATTCGTGAAGTTGACCTCGGCTTCGAGCATATAGAACTCGCTCAGATGGCGTGGAGTGTCGCTCTTTTCCGCTCGGAACGTTGGTGAAAGCGCCCATACATTTCCTAATTCGGCAGCATATGCCTCAAGATGAAGTTGGGAAGAAACGGTCAGATATTTCGGCGCACGAAAGAAATGCTCTGCTTCAGGTCCAGATCCCATTGACTCCCTAGGTATGACAGTGAACGTTTCACCAGCGCCTTCGCAATCCGACGATGTTATCAACGGTGGCTGCACCTGCGTGAACGCCCCTGAAGGATGTGATCTGAACACGTTTCCTAGCTGATATATGCATTCTGAGCGAAATCGCGATAGGAGGGAGCTGAAGGGTGTCCGTAGACGCAGGTGGGGAATCTGTCGAAGAAAGTCGGGAGAATGATACTTTTTCTGAATGGGATATGTCTGAGGAATGTCAGCTTGATAGCCCAGGGCTTTGCTTAGCAGTTTACCACTTACTTCAGCGTCCGAGGCGCCAACCACCTTCACGTCTGTAGTTTGGAGCTCATGACTCTGTTCCTTGCCGGGAGGACATGGCTTCCACAGACCAGATATCTCAACTGCCGCACCAGTAGTCAAACTAAAAGCAAAACCACGTGTGAGCAAAATCTATCAGATATAAGAATCATCTTGTCGCGCCTGAGTTGATTGCGGAGGACATACTCGGCAGCTTGAGCTGGCGTCAGGATCGCCTGTAGCGGCTGCACCGTCGACCCGTCTGAGATCTCTGCGAAGGCGAAGCGTTTCTGTTTCCTAACGGAACGTATAAATCCCTGGACCTTGACTTCTTTGTTCTCATAGATGCAGTCGCCGTGTCGCGACGCTCGGAGGATCTGCGCACATCGTAGCGCCGCCGGAGATGCGATCGTCGATGGCTGTTGGTTAAGCCGTAAGACCGACGTAGCAAAGCTCCGTTTCCATGTCCGCATTTCCCTTCCTGTCAACTGGGCACGACCAGTAGCTTAAGGTCGCGCAAAGCGTTGCATTGACGATTGATTACTCTACAATGTTGCGGTGCAGATCAAAAAAGGTCCGCGTCGATGACCGAGCTCCGGCGGAGCCTCCCGATTGGCCGGACTAGCTTATCGAGATAAACTGGGAGTTGGATATAAGTTCGAGCTGCAACAATATATATAAATCAATCAATTACGGAATTTATCTTGTCGAGACTGTCATGGACCGTTTACAAAAGATTCATTGTCATTAGTATTCCTAATGTAGGATCCAGAGCCCAGGCCACATTTGCGCCTTGCATAACACAATCAAATAAGAGACCCCTGTTGTTCGTATGCCTTTCTTTCTTCTTCGATCATATCAATTGCATCTTGGATCTTTCCGTCGGCCGCTTCTGCATAGATAGTCATTCTCTGCCGACCTCCCCTCATACTGCCATACCCAAGCTCAAGCAGCGTTTCAACGCAACCAGTAATGTGCCTGCGTCTGGTGTCAGATCGAGGGCCGGACCCTGATCCCTCGTTATGGTTGTGGATGTCATCAACGGGGAAGCCGCTGGATGCCCGTGAAATTTCATTAAGGCTGGTTTGTTGGTGAGGGCCCTGGTCATTTTGCCTCTCGGTAAGCCTAGCATGGCGTATCCATCGCGGATCGTTTGTATCAGGTGCACAGACAGCGGAACGTGCGCTTTGCCAACGTCTCGGGAGCATCTCTGGGTTAAAAATATGTTTAGAAGGCTCTAGAGGCCTTCTCGAAGGACCAACAGTTGTCAACGTATTGGATCGATGCGGTCCATGCAGTACACGCCGTGGAAGGCTGGCACCACCGTATTGATCGTATGGCTCACGCGTCGACATTGGTCGCCTTCCTCTGTGATAGGGTGAGCGCCTGGGCAGTGATACTGGCTGTTCATCTGTGGAAGCGACTGGCACATCGCCCGTATCAACGAGAGCGGGATGAGGGTTGCCATCTTGGTTCTGTCTGGCCTCCGACATATTAATATGAGCACATGGCGTTGGGTGAGAAAGGCGATGGCTAGTTCTCAAGACGTGTGCATCTACCTGAGAAACAGGCGGAAATTCTGGTATTCTCGCCTTCGTATTCAACTCCGCGAGTTTCCCAGGAGAAGGAGTGTCTGCTGCCCCGACCCCTGGACCTCCGGACAAAAGGGAGGGGTAACGAGCAGAAAACTCAGGATCAACAACAGCCTCATCAAGCATGCTAACCCCTGTGTCATTCTTTGAGCTCCCCTGAAGCGTGGAGATATTTTGACACTTCGCCATCGCTGAGGGAGTTCCGGCTGTGCACACTTTCTTCGAGAAGGAATCCTTAACCTGAGGATATGCAGACTGCGATCTGGGGTTCAGGAGCCCTAGAGGACGCTCCGTAGCACCCGATAAGGATGCAGCGTTATCCTTGGAGTTATGTAGCGCGCCGTGACAAAACTCGAGATTGATAGAATGGCCATCGATATGAGCACCCTGAAGAGCTGCTAGTGCTGCTTTTGCAGAATGAACGGATGGAAAATGCAAGTACCCAAAGCCTGCATGCCTTCCGCTTTCAAGATCGACCGGTAGATCCACTTTGACCAAAAACCCTTTGGAAGCGAACACGTCTTGAATAACCTTATCAGTCACGTTATATCCAACATTCCCGATGAACAAAGTCTCTTGCTCGGATGCGGGCGCCTGAGAACTAGTTTGGAGGGAGCTAGCAGCCTGAGAGTCTGACTGCGGCGGCGGTGGTGGTGGTGGATACGGGTCATGTGGAATCGGCAGATTGCCTGGTCTTCCAAAAGGAGGCACCGTAGGTAACTGCCACGTAGAGAATCCAATGTGTGGGTAAGATGCTCCCTGGAGGGAAAGTGGCGGCTGTCCAAACGTAGCAGCTCCCTCATCGGTCTTAGTCTGGCTAGATTCTCTGTCAAAAACTTCCTTGTGAGTGTCGTCTGTGATATCGGCTACCCTCTCTTTGCCTTTTGAAAAGGAAGAAGGACCGGATGTCTCATGTTGTCCCTGCATTTCAGAAACTGCCGAGCTCACAGTGCTGCCAGGTTGAGAATCGACATCCGGGACAGCGGTGTCTGTTTGAGTGGAAGCAGATATGGCCTCAGCAGAAGACTCCTGGGTAGCGCCAGAGCTGAACGATGGTCCAAACTCAGTGCGGAAGGACTCAAACAAGGTGCGGCCAATTTGACTAAATTCACTGGCCAGTTCGCGGAAATCATTGACGGCCTGCTCAGCCTGAGGAAACTCCGGGGTGCGGACCCTATTGGCGGGATTCCCTGAGACAATTGAAGCCTCACCAAGGGAATATGCTAGATTCTTGACACAGCCGTCAAGGGCGGACAGCGCATTCTGTAAAGTTGGTCGGATTTGTTCAGGAAAGGCCCTCTGAGCGCTTGAAACTTGACGCTCGATTTCCGGGAGCCTAGCCCTCAACTCTGACCCGACAAGCTCTACTTTTCCAATCACATTATTCATAGCATGAACAAAGAGGTCTGCCGGCCTGGTGGCATCAGAGGGCTGTTGTGCTCCTTGCGTCTCCACAGGAGTAGAAATGCTAGCTCCAGGCCCTTCACGTTCAGCGTCAGTGTGGGCTTCCATGATTCTGGACATTTCGGCTTCAAATGCAGCTAGCAGCGGTTGAGCCTCATCGCCAGCAGGCGGCTCGGGATTTGGTGTAGCCTCCGGCCGTGAGCTTGCCCGCATGGACGCATTGGTAGAACAATTCATAGAGGCTCCAGGCACCCAAGGATCACCTTGGATAGAAGGTAGAGAGATAAATCTCGAGGTGCTAGCATCAGGAGTCTGCCTCCAGCCACGCATACGTGCGCCTGCCTCTTGTGCCTACTCTGTCTCAGCATATGTTCTTTGGAGTTTCTGGCTACTCGATAACTTACCTGTCGCTTTCCTTCGGCAGTGAGGAAGGAAGTGCCGGATTCTTGCGAAGCAACCTTTTCTCCAGTATAGTCGGTGTTTGCTGGCATAGACGAAGAAGCTGCGTCGCTCACCTGAGCGGAGGAGAAACTGGAAAGGGGAGCTTGCTCTTGTTGTTTGCGGGGCGATGGTTCTCTCTTGGGGACCTGAGGCGGGTTGCAAGCACGGAGCCAGCGTTGACGGATGTCAACAGTGCTAGCATCTCCAAAGACCGGTTTAGACGGTTTGGATTCGCTCACATCCTCAAGGGAGGTCTCCTGGGAAGATGATTGCTCTGGAAACCGGTTACTTCGCTCATATCTCTTCCATAATTCTGTGACTGAATTCGATCTACGGATATCGAATATATGCATCGGATTCTGGTCATCTTGCGATGAAGATGGACCAGGAGAGGGAGGAGAGGCCCACGGCAGAGTTGAATCGAAAACAGGATCTTCCAAACGTTGAGACAGCTCCAACGATGAGCCAACCTAGTTGAAAGTATTAGCATCCGCTTGACTATATAGACTCAGTCAGTAGTACTTACAGTGATAGTCTCTCCGTCATCAGGGTCCATATACGTAAGTGCTGCTCGTGGATGGGTGGAGATTATGTGATCATATTCGGAGGCAGAAAGTACAACCACGCCATGTCGTTCATCTCTCCGTACATCGTGGGTTGTTCGGATTTCTGTATACTTTGCTGCTGTATCCTGAGAAGTACTCTCTGCTGAGGCAACGGCGTGCAAATTCGCATTGGCAGTCTGGGAAACAAGGTCCCTGACCTTGAACGGTTGAAGCATCTCGTGTAGTGGCGACGATTCGGATAGTTGAACTCTCCGACGTTGATGGCAAGGCAACGAAACGGGACAGTAGAGTCGCAGTCGTCTTATCCACGAGCTGTCAAGCAGGATATTGCTGAAGCTATCATGAGAAAAGACAATACACGGAGTTCTCGCAGATAGTAATGGGATAAAGAACAACAAAGATAAGCAGCTTTGGATGGCTTTGCAATAACGAGGTAGCCTAGAGCTGTTGGGGACTGCCTAATCACTTAGCCTCGTCAGACACTCATGGCATATGACCATTAGCAGACGAGAGTGTGTACGACAAGAAATCCGAGGCCAGCAGTCACTGGCAGGACGTCTGTCGGTCGCGTACAATAATCCCGACCAGCAGAGTCGATGATCGGTCATTGATAGACAGGCGGATAGATGATGTATAATTAGTTGCTTCACCTTCGTCTGTCTTCTCCGCCTTCTGCTGTCATTCAAGCTGCCGACTACTGCCGCCCCCGCCTTGCGATCGCCGCGCCATTCCTCTTCAGGCAGCCCGATCGACGCGTTGACGGCGATGCGATGTCTTTAAAACGGTCTCGATCTTATCATATCGTCTCGTCTCCAGATACTTTTTAACTCCTGCTATTGCGCTCTGCTTCACGAGTTATATATACATATGTCTATCAGTTGACTGCTCCCTCCTCCTCACAGTTATCGCACCTGGTTCCGAAGAAGGCAGAACAGAACCTGTCACGCGCTCGCCCTCGTTCGCGATTCATGAGTATCTATCTAGCTCAGAAATATCCAACTTACAGGGCAGTGTCAAAGTCAGATTGTCATTGGGGAACAACTTTCTGTCCCCCTCCAGCCTACTATCACTATGGCCCGCAGCGATCATAAACCATCCAGCGAGCGCAATGTCAAGCACGTCGTGCTAGGAGACCTCCTCTTCAAGACCTGGTACCAATCAATATACCCCGAAGAACTCGTGCCAAAAAACACAGATCGGCTCTATGTCTGTCGCTGGTGTTTCCGATATTCATGCGACGTCCACGCCTATGCAGGCCACACCCGTGTCTGCCAGTATCGAACAACCCCTCCCGGAGTGCAAGTCTACGAGCATGACGGATATTCAGTCTGGGAGGTAGATGGGGAGGACTCGAAACTCTTTGCGCAGAATCTGTCGCTATTCGCGAAACTGTTCCTCGATCATAAATCCGTCTTCTTCGACGTTTCTTCCTTTCTGTACTACATTCTCACCTATGTCGACCCGGCCGATCCGGAGAATTACTATATTCTAGGGTATTTCTCTAAAGAAAAGCTATCATGGGATGCAAACAACCTTGCCTGCATCCTCATATTTCCTCCATACCAACACAAGCAGCTCGGAAAGCTTCTCATGGGCGTGAGCTATAAACTAAGCGGCTGGGAATGGGAAGGGGGCGTTATCGGCGGGCCTGAGAGGCCATTGAGCGAAATGGGACGCCGCAGTTATTGTCGCTTCTGGGAGGAACGGATCGCTAGGTATTGCCTAGTTGGCCCGCCAGGAGGAGGCCAGGAGGAGCTGGTGCAACAGAAGCAGAGCACAGGCAAAGGGGCGAAGAAGCGTCCCGCTCGCCAACGGATGACAGTCCGCGAAATCGGACTGGCTACGGGTATGTTAACGGAAGACGTGATCACAGCTCTGAAAGGAATGGGTGTTGTGGAGCCGCAGCAGGGCAACAAGAAGCGCAAAATAGCATCGTCAGCTGCAGAGGAACTTGCTCATAGTGAGACTGTGACGGTCCGCAAATCGAACGTGCTTGAGTGGGCCAAGATCCACGGCGTCAGTCTCAGGGATCCTGTGAGAGAAGAAGGGTTCCTGGGACAATGGGCAACGGGGAATATGCAATCTAGTGGCCATTCAGGGTCAGAAGGAGAGAGTGACTGATCAGGTGGCAGTATGTCGCTTCTATGGATACTTGGGTCTGCATGGTTGGGACGGCGAGGATGCTAAAGATGATACCCCTTTTATATTTTTTCTAATGTCAGTTTGAAAATCTGTTAACCTGACACTACCTGTCTGGTCATACATATATGATACGAATAATGGATAATATGGGCATGATTATTTCTGCATCCGTGCATCTAAAGTGGACTCATTGATACATTTATTTCAGTACACCTTTTTCCTTTTTTTGGCTGAAGAGGGATACTTCCAATATAACCTATGGAGATGTCACAGCCCTTATGCATTACTCCTCCATTCCAGCAGGACCGCCCGATTTACCCATCTGGCGTGCCTTCAGCAGCTCATCGCAGAGAAGTAGATTCGATGCGATGCCAGTGCTAGATGCGATGCAATTCCGCAGCACACGGTACGAATCGAAGACACCCTCCTGAACAGGATCCATTGGCTCGCCGGTAGCCAGGTCGAGACCGACAATGTTGCCCTCCTCCTGTTCACCCTGTAGGGCCGCTAGCGAGTCCTGGATGTCGTGGCCAGAGTTGGCAGCTAGAGTCTTGGGAATAATGAGGAGAGCCTCCGCGAAGGCAGACACACCGAACTTAGCCTTGCCCTTGACCGTCTTGCGGAAATTCTCCGAGGAAAGGTGCGTGGCACAGGCGATCTGGAAAGCTCCTGCACCCGGTACAACGCAGCCGTCGACGATAGTGTTGTACACCGAACGCAGACCATCTCGAACAGCGTCATTGATCTGATTGATTGTGTGGGCGTTAGGGCCCTTGATGAGAATAGTGACAGACTTGGGGTCCTTGACCTCCTCGACAAAAGTGTACTTCTCCTCTCCGAGCGTGTGCTCGTAGACAAGACCGGCCCAACCAAGAACATCGGGCGTGAGGTCATCGACACTGTTCTGCGCAGTACCACCGCACACCAGCTGGAGACGTTCCATGTTCCTTCTCTTGGCTCTCCGAAGGGCAAGAATACCATTCTTGACAAGGACGTCCAGACTCAGGGGGTCGATACCCTTTTGGTTAATGACAACAAAGCCCTTCTTAGGGTCGTTGCCGCAGACCTGCTTCTTAAGCTCCACGATCTTCTGAAGCTTTGCGTCGACGAATCTACGCTCGCTCTCTACCAGCTTGTCTCTCTGCTCGGCGCTCGAGTAATAGAAGCCGGAGTTGATCTCAGACTTTTCATACTCCAAGCTGACGTTCAGAGTCAGAATGAAAGCGTTTTCCACTCGCTTCGGCATATCAGGGTGACGAGCTCCGTGGTCGAGTGCCAGTCCGCGGATGAGCTGCGTGTCGGATGCAGTCCGGTGCTGCATCTTCATAATCTCGATCATGTGCAGGTCGGGCTTTGTAGGCTTCTTATAGATAGCGAGAACAGCGTCGACAATGTCAGGGGTCAACTTCTCGGCCAGAGCACTGTTGAGCTTTGTAGAAAGCGACGTTCGGGCCACGGAGAGCAAGAGTTCACGGTCAATATCCCGCTGTAGCTTAAACTGGTCGAGGAACTAGCAACGGGGGAAGAGATCAGCCACAGAGTCTCAACAGCATTGTTGGATATCCCCACCTTCAACGTCTCGTTCTTTGCGATTTCGTAGCCATCCGTCAGTACTCGAGGGTGCAGTCCCTCGGAGATATGGCGATCGGCTTGTTTGAGGAGCTCTCCAACCGTGAGAACCACAGATGTTGTTCCGTCTCCAGTAATATCGTCCTGGGCCGTGGCTGCACGTGCAATCATGACCTTGACAAAATATGAGTCTCGAGAAAGATTTCGGGGGACAAAAAGGTGCTTACGGCAGTGGGGTTTTGAATTTGCTATAACCGTTAGCTCAGATATCATCAGCACAGGGAGTTTTAACGAACCATCTCTCGCAACAGAACATTTCCGTCCTTGGTGAGCTTGATCTATTCCACGGTCGAATGAGTATTCGTCACTGTATAGTTTCCAAGATGATAATAATGCGTACCCCGCCTGCACCGTCTACCAACCTAGAAGAATCCGTCAGTATCATTACTCCACCCCAGTGTCCGTCTGCTGCAACATACATCTTAATGGTCCCAGATGGACCAAGATTCGACTTCAGGACATCTTGGAGACCCTCTCCGGCACTGATGTTTACCTTCAAAGCCTCCCCTCTCCGCTGCAAATTGTCAGTCTCTTCGTCACGGAGGGGCACTTGGGTTGGAGTCCTACCCTCGACTCGGCCTTGGGGTTGAGCAACTGCGCCGCAGACATTGCTGCAAACTAAACGAGAAATCAAGAAACAAAGCCCTTCAGGAAGAAGCAAATGTTTTTGTGACTGAAGGTGATGTGATGGTAGGCCAAACTGACGACCCGCGCTGGCACGCAGCTGGTGGTTCACCCGTCGAACGCGGTGAGCTTAGTTTTGCCCAAAAAGCCCACATTGAAGTTCGCACTAGCGCCGCCGCAGAAAAAAAAGAGCTCCGACATCACGAATCTCGATTTCGACTTCTCCAGCCTCTAGAACTCCCCCACCCAACAGCGATTTTATTGTCGCAACACTCTGGAGTGTGGGCAGCGAGACATATCGCTCGCGTGAGGTTACTTTTTCGTCGAATTTTCGTGGCCTCAGATCAATCTCGCCATGGCCGACTACCTGCTGTTCGAGAGCCCGATGGGCTACTCGCTCTTCAAGGTCGCACACCAGGCGGACACTGTCGGAAACCGCCTCAAGGAGGTTCAGGAGGGTGTGCAGGATCTTGCGAAGTTTGGAAAGATGGTCGATTTGGCAAGTTTTCTGCCTTTCGAGTATGTCCTACGACCTCCGCTCCTTTCGCTATTACAGACCTAACGAAAAGTCTTCTAGAAACAACAAACAGGCCCTCAGTGAGATCAACGATGTTTCTGAGGGAGTCGCCTCCGAGACTCTGGTTAATTTCCTCGAGCTGAACCTGCCGAAGCCAGGCAAGAAGAAGAAGATTTCCCTCGGTGTCTCGGATAAGGCTCTCGCGGGTAGTATCAAGTCCGCTTTCGACTTCGTCGACTGCGAGACCGGCGATACCAGTGAGGTTGTCCAGGATATGCTCCGAGGCGTCCGACTTCATGCCACGAAGCTGCTGAAGCAGCTCCGCGAGGGTGATGTCGACACCGCTCAATTGGGTCTTGGTCACGCCTATTCGCGTGCCAAGGTCAAGTTTTCCGTGCAGCGAGACGACAACCACATCATCCAGGCTATCGCTATCCTCGACCAACTTGACAAGGCTATCAACACCTTCTCTATGAGAGTCAGGGAATGGTACGGTTGGCACTTCCCTGAGCTTGTCAAGATCGTCTCAGACAATCAGCGCTATGCTCAGGTTGCCCTCTTTGTGAAGGACAAGACGACCCTTACTGAGGAGAGTCTGCACGACTTGGCTGCCCTTGTGGAAGACGACGAGGGTGTTGCCAGGAGCATCATTGATGCTGCCAAGCACAGCATGGGTCAGGAAATCTCCCAGACTGACATGGAAAACGTGGTCTCCTTCGCCGAACGCGTTGTGAGCCTTTCCAAGTACCGCAAGAACCTCCACTCCTACTTGGTTTCCAAGATGAGTGTTGTTGCTCCCAATCTGGCCGCTTTGATTGGAGAGATTGTCGGCGCTCGTTTGATCTCTCACGCTGGAAGCTTGACCAACCTCTCCAAGTACCCGGCATCTACTGTTCAGATTCTGGGCGCGGAGAAGGCGCTTTTCCGCGCTCTCAAGACCAAGGGCAACACGCCCAAGTACGGACTGCTGTACCACTCCTCCTTCATCGGTCGTGCTGGTCCCAAGAACAAGGGAAGAATCTCGAGATTCCTTGCGAACAAGTGTTCTATCGCGTCTAGAATCGACAACTTCTCCGAGACGCCCACCACCAAGTTTGGAGATGTCTTGAAGAAGCAGGTGGAGGAGCGTCTTGAGTTCTACGTTTCCGGCGCCGCGCCCACCAAGAACGAGGTCGCTATGGTAGGTTTCAATGGTCTTCCTTTACAATGTCATTCACTAACGTGGAGCAGAAATCTGCCATGGATGATATCCTGGCCGACATCGAAGTTGACGAGCAGCACAGCGATGTCGAGATGGAAGATGCTGATGACAAGGCCGAAAAGAAGGAAAAGAAGGACAAGAAGGAGAAGAAGGAGAAGAAAGAGAAGAAGGAGAAGAAGGACAAGGAAGAAAAGAAGGACAAGAAGAAGAAGAGAAAGTCCGACGTAGGCGACGACGACGTCTCTGACAAGAAGAAACGGAAGCGCGACGGTGAGGTCGAGTCGTCTAAAAAGAAGTCGAAGGCCTAATCGCTACCATATTATGGGATGGGTCGGAGTAATCGACGCGGCGTTCTTTCTGGTTGATTTTGTGATCATGTCTCGCTTTATTTACTCTTGTTATTTATGTCTCGACGGATAGGGATTTTGTTGTAAAAATACGTGTACTAGGCAGCTTGGAACTGTATCAAAAATCCGTTTAGCACTGGCCTTCCTCATAATACTCCCTTGCTTGGTGAAACTCCTCGGGAAAAGTGCGGAGAAAGTGCGGCAACGGGCAAGTATGACGCCCACCTGCTTTTCCTCCATTCCGCAACGCTACTAGGGATTATCTCGACAAGGCCTCCCATCAACTACAGTGAAGCCGCAATGGCTATCATGCTGTCGTTATTCTGTGAAGAAGTGCTCCAGCTCAGTTGAGCAGCTCTTGAGATCTACATCCCCGTTTGCGGTCTCATCGCTCACTACTGATTTCCCCACAGTCGTCTCTAGCAGCCCCGCTAAGTAATACATAATGGCAACGCTATTACCATTCAAGTCGCCGAAGCGCAAACGAGAAACTTCGGAGTCTGACTGTTATAGTCCATCTGCCTCTCCTCCATCGACTATCTCCATCTCCAGCTTTCAGGAGGCGTGCTTGCGTGAAGAGGAGGGAGGCTACAGTCCGCGAACCGCAGTCGCAGGACGTCTGCGCGAGCTTGCTATCCGTGGTGAATATGTTCCAAATCCAGATTTTGAGATCTACAATCCCCTCGAGGATATAAAGCAGACATCTGGCCAGGTGGCATTCGGTCTGCCTACGTCAGGAGATGCCGATATGCCAGCATCATCTTCCTCCGCGCAAAGCGACCATGTCTCAAGCGCACAATCTAACGCCATCTCCGATACCCAAGACACAGATAGTGGTATGAAAACACCAACCTCGTCGTCCGATGCCACACCTTCGCATAGCCCACGCAAGAAACGTCCAATAAAAAAGCCCATCAAACCGCGCAGTCGGCGAAAATCACCGCCTCTAGCTAGCAAAGCTAGCGAAGACACGCTCACGTGGCACGATTCTGAGATTACAGGACACGAGCCTAACGATCCTAATGACGATGGATATGGTATCAACGGCATTGGATTCAAACCAACGGCCGCGATAGCTTGGGCCAGGTCACAGAAGAGGCAGAAGCAAGTGTCGGATTGGAAGACACGTGAAGCCCGAGAAGAACGAGAGAGACGAAGGGAGCGGCGAGAAGGGATGAATCGAGAGAATGCTAGTAATGTACCAGAAAAGGTGGTACAAAAGAGGGTCAAATTCAGCACGGATGACCTAGTTCACTGATACGAAACTGATACGACTTTCTGCACTTGGCGCATCGGGTTAAGGATACGAGCAATCATTAGAGATTGACGGGATATGATGCTTTTTCTTCCCATTGGATTGGAGATATCAACATTGAATTGGATATATTTTACAGGTTAATAAAGGGCAAGATGCCAGTCGAACACACAATAAATGCTCCCGCCATGTCCACTCTGCAATGACCATTTTGAAATCCCTGACAACTCCTTGACTCCCATTTTTTGCGTAGGAAGAGAGGTTACCAGAATTTATAATTCGAAAGATTGGTCCAGCTCTTCCGTTTCCGCTCCTCCTCCTGACGCGCTGCCTCCTCGGCCTGTTTCTGCTCCTTCTCTCGTTGCTTCTTCAATTTGAGCTCCTTCATCATCTCCACAGCCTGCTTCATACCATCAATCTCCTTCACTCGTTGGCGCTGGCAAAGTTCGTAGGCGGCAATCGAAAAGACAGCAAAGGAGCCCACCGCCCAGTTACATGCTGGCCAGAGAGACTTGAGCCCTATATGAATTGTAATCAGATCGAATTGTACTTTGTCTGACAGTAACATGCATAAGTTTACCTCCAACAACACCTCTTAGTCCACCCACGCCAAAACCAGCTCCAAGTCCGATGAGTAAGGAATCGCGCGAACATGGTGTTTTGTAGAATGATGATATCTCGCTTAGAGAGATAGATTTGACGGTATCGGCCACCGAAATATCCTTCGCCTTTCCTCCTGCGTTACTGTATGCTCCAGGTGCCATATTAATCGGCTCTTCCGGGTTTCCAAAAGCCTCCCATAACTTTCCGACTTGCGACTTGGGAAGCTCATGCTTGGGTTTTTGGCCTGCGGCAGAGGAAGTCTGAACTGCAGATTTATCGTCGATTTGTTCTCCGGCGGGGGAGGAACCGGCATCCCGCGTGTCACCTGCCATGGCGAGTTTCTGGTCAGGAATTAACTGGCCGTTGATATCTGAATCTGAATCTTGTATATCTTCTGTATATCTTCCCCGACGAGGTCCAAACCGGCCCTCCGGGTAAAGTTTAGTTTTTCCGAGATCGGACGACCCACCAAACGCCGCGTCCCAGACAAGACAGTTTCTCCGACTGTGGAAATGGCAATAAACGCGTTTAGTGGAAAACGCGAACGCGTCGAAGGTACCGGTAGGGACAGGGCCTTATTCTAGGCTCTAAGTCCATCAATCGCAGCGAACACATTCAACATTACTATATTGGCCACGGGACAAGCAAGAACGAGCCATGCCCTGGTTGTCTTTGAACTAATTCGAGTTGCTTTGTCCATGGTCAACTGAATTCCTTCCCCCGATACCCTTAGTCCCCAGAGGGGTACAGCGCAATGCCTTCACGAAAGCCTAGCAAATATGGAAATAAGTTTCGGTCCAGCGCCGCATCTTTCAACCCCAAGAGGGCAAAGACAGTCGAATTCGCGTCTCTGCGGTCGACAGAATCGACATCTCAAGATGAGAAATTCGAAGCGATTCGACTCGCGAACACTATTGATGAGACCATGGGCTTCCCGCGCTTCGAAGCCGGCCATAAGAGAGTGGGATGGCTCATTAATATGCACAGTACCTCTATTGAGGACCCGAAAGTCCCTGGTGGTCGTGCCGGTGTCGACTTCTATTTCCTCGAAGATGACGGAGGCAGTTTCAAGGCGACGGTAGAATACGACCCGTATTTCATGATTGCGGCGAAGAAAGGGCACGAGTCAGATGTGGAAGAGTGGTGTAAGAGAATGTTTGAGGGCCTTATCAAGAAAGTGAATCGGGTCGACAAGGAAGATCTGCAGATGCCAAACCATCTGCTTGGATATCGAAGGACTTTCTTGCAACTTAGCTTTGCCAACGTGAGCAATCTCTTGGAGGTCCGAAAGACCCTCCTACCAATTGCGGAGAAAAACAAAAAGAACGTGAATGCGATGGATACTTATGCGGAGATGACCAGGTCTGTATATCCCAGTATTGTGTTTTGTGCAGCGTGAGTGCTAACTTGAAACTAGTGCCAACGCCGGCTTCGATCTCTTTGATGACGAACTAAATAATGACCCACGACCTAATGGCAGTGTAAATGCGAGTGATTTCATAATTGATATTCGGGAGTACGACGTTCCTTACCATGTTAGAGTGTGTATCGATAAAGGTGCGTTTCTTTATTCTTTCGAAGGCTTTCATTGCTGACAGCTTATAGACATACGTATTGGAAAATGGTATACGGTGGAATCAAAACACGGCGTTATTTCATTGACTTGCATAGAAGAGCGACTTCAGCGAGCTGACCCTGTCGTTCTTGCCTTTGATATCGAAACCACGAAACTACCCCTAAAGTTCCCTGACGCCGTGATCGATCAAATCATGATGATTTCTTACATGATCGACGGGAATGGATTTCTAATCACCAATCGAGAGATTGTGTCTGAGGACATCAACGACTTTGAGTATACGCCAAAACCCGAATATAGTGGCCCGTTCGTGATCTTTAACGAACCAGACGAGAGGGCCGTTCTCGAGAGATTCTTCGGCCATATCAAAGAAGCTAAACCGACTGTCATTGCCACATACAACGGTGACTTCTTCGATTGGCCCTTTGTTGAAGCAAGAGCCAGTGTACTGGGAATCGATATGTACACCGAGATTGGCTTTCGGAAAAACAACGAAGATATCTACCAGAGCGACCACTGTGTTCACATGGACTGTTTTGCTTGGGTCAACCGTGACAGTTATCTTCCGCAGGGAAGCAGAGGTCTGAAAGCTGTCACAGTCGCCAAACTGGGCTATGACCCCGACGAGCTGGATCCTGAATTGATGACGCGGTATGCCAGCGAACGTCCACAGACTTTGTCAGAGTATTCAGTTTCAGATGCCGTTGCCACTTATTATTTGTACATGAAATATGTGCACCCATTCATCTTCTCTCTTTGTACGATTCTACCCCTCAACCCCGACGACACCTTGCGAAAAGGAACCGGGACATTATGTGAGATGTTGCTCATGGTCCAGGCGTACAAGAATGAGATCATCCTGCCAAACAAACATAAGGATCCGCCAGAGTCCTTCTATGAGGGCCACCTCTTAGAATCGGAGACCTATGTTGGTGGTCACGTCGAGAGTCTTGAGGCTGGAGTGTTCCGGAGCGATATTCCAGTCAACTTTTCCGTTGATGCGACAGCTATCGACGAATTAATCGGGGATCTCGACGCTGCGTTGAAGTTCAGTATCACAGTCGAAGAGAAGAAGTCTCTTGACGACGTCACCAATTATGAAGAGGTCAAAGCCCAGATTGTGCAGCGTCTCCTCGATCTGAAGAATACGCCCGTTCGCCAGGAGTGCCCGTCCATCTACCATTTGGATGTTGCTTCTATGTATCCGAACATCATGACGACGAACAGACTCCAACCAGATTCAATGATACAAGAGTCTGATTGTGCAGCATGCGATTTCAACCGCCCGGGAAAAACATGCGACAGGCGACTTCCGTGGGCATGGCGAGGCGAGTTTCTTCCCGCAAAGCGCGACGAGTACAATATGATCCGGCGAGCGGTCGAAAACGAGAAGTTCCCTGGGAGGACAAAGAAATCCCCGATGAGGATGTTCAGCGAACTAAGCACAGAGGAACAAGCTGCCGTTGTGAAGAAGAGACTGCAGGAATACAGCAAGAAAATCTACCATAAAATTCACGATAGTAAGACCGTGGAACGAGAAGCTATCATCTGCCAACGCGAGAACCCTTTCTACGTCGATACAGTGCGCAGCTTCCGAGATCGAAGATATGATTTCAAGGGGAAACAGAAAGTATGGAAAGGAAAGACTGACGCTTTGAAGTCATCGGGTGCTCCCGCTGCAGAGATTGAGGAGGCTAAGAAGATGATCGTGTTGTTTGACTCTCTACAGCTTGCGCACAAAGTCATCCTCAACAGTTTCTATGGATATGTCATGCGAAAGGGGTCTCGTTGGTATTCAATGGAGATGGCTGGAGTAACTTGTTTGACTGGTGCACATATCATCCAAATGGCGAGAGAGCTCGTTGAACGCATCGGGCGTCCTTTGGAGTTGGATACGGACGGTATCTGGTGTATGCTTCCTGCGACATTTCCTGAGAATTTCTCCTTCACATTGAAGAACGGCAAAAAGCTAGGCATCTCCTATCCTTGCGTTATGCTCAACCACCTTGTCCATGGCCGATTCACGAACCATCAGTATCAGACACTTGTGGACCCCGCAACCTTCAAGTACGAGACACACAGTGACAATTCTATCTTCTTCGAAGTTGATGGACCATACAAGGCCATGATTCTTCCAACCTCTAAAGAAGAAGACAAGAACCTGAAGAAACGTTATGCAGTCTTCAACCACGACGGTTCACTGGCTGAACTGAAGGGTTTCGAGGTCAAGCGCCGTGGAGAGTTGAAATTGATCAAGATCTTCCAGACGCAAATTTTCCGCTTTTTCCTGGAAGGAACTACACTTGCGGAAACATACGCAGCCGTCGCTAGGGTTGCGGATCGATGGCTGGATGTTCTATACCAGCATGGATCAACACTGGCAGACGAAGAGCTTATCGATCTGATTTGCGAGAACAGAAGTATGACCAAAACCCTGGAAGAGTATGGGAACCAGAAATCTACGTCTATTACTACCGCGAGAAGACTGGCAGAGTTCTTGGGAGAGCAGATGGTCAAAGATAAAGGTCTCAACTGCAAATATATCATATCTTCCAAGCCCAGAAACACCCCTGTGACAGATCGAGCGATTCCAGTGACGATTTTCTCTGCCGAAGAAAATGTCAAGCGATTCTTCCTACGGAAATGGCTTAAGGAAGACCCCGGGGACATGGATCCAAGAACAGTCATCGATTGGGACTATTACCTCGAACGTTTAGGTTCCGTTGTGCAGAAGCTGATCACTATCCCGGCCGCCCTGCAAAAGATTCGCAACCCCGTTCCTCGAGTTCCCCATCCGGACTGGCTACAGAGACGAATCGATATGAAAGAAGACAAATTCAAGCAGAAGAAAATGACAGATATCTTCCAGCTGACTGAAAAGAAAGCATTGGCTGATGTCTCAACCAACATCCTTGAACATCGTGTCCCACATGCTACTGATATCGAGGATGCACTCGCGCGTTCTGGGGAAAGGTTGAAGTCGCCAACTTCGAACAAAGTGGCCCAGAAAAGAAAATTACCGGAGGGTCCTTCAACGACATCCCTCGATCCTTTTGCCAGCCTTCCTGCTACGATGCCATCGATCACTGATGACTACGTCGGTTTCCTGAAGTACCAGAAACAGAAATGGAAGATCCAGAAGCAAGCTCGAGTCCGTCGCCGACAGCTTTTCGGGGACAGAGTAAACGTTGCATCAGACTCACTGAGTCATTACTTCAGAAATCAAGCAGAGATGCTCTACATCAGCACGTGGCAGGTCTTGCAGCTTCGTGATACTGAAATGCCCGGAATCGTACGCGCCTTTGTTCTTATCGATAAGAAGGTCCATGCTTTGACTATCAAGGTTCCCCGTCAACTTTTCATCAATTTCAAGGGTGATTCGCTGCCGGATGTGGACGTGCCGGGGTGCGATGTGGAAAAGGTCAACCACATACTGCCAAACGGCCATCCTTCTGTCCATCTCTTCAAACTCACACTGTCAGAAGATACGTATCTGAACGAGGCGGAGAAGATGGAGGCGCTTCTGCATCATCCAAGTGTGGAAGGCGTCTATGAGAAGAATGTCCCCTTGAGCGTTCGCGCCATATTAAAGCTGGGAAGCCATTGTACCTTCGACGAAAGTCAACGTGGCGTGCTGGGAGATGGATTGGATCATGGATTTGACCTCTCAGCTCTTTTACATGCAGCGCCAGAACAGCCCTATTTAGCGGAATCCCCATTAGCATACCTCTATCTGTACCACGTTGTATCCGGGGACCGACAAGTCTTTGCGCTTTTCTCGACGCTAAGGGATGAGGCGCATGTCGTTATCCTGAACCGAACAAGAGACGTTCAGGGATTCCCCAACCTGGACAAAATTTACGCAGAGGCTCTCACGAGGAAACTCCAGGAAAGTTCGGGCGAGAAGTTACAGGACGCGTTCGCATATCAGGAGAAGCTGCACTTCAAGATTACTCAAGTAACGACGAGACGAAAGGCGCATCTTGAAATCGGTGACTTGGTAAAGAAGTTCCGAAGCGAGGAAAATCATCCAGTCATGCTCGTTATTCAGTCTCAGCAGAGAGAGCGCTTATGTCATGATATACCGATCCTAAAGGAGTACCCTCTTCTTACAGTGAAACCAGAGGCAGCCGACATGGAATTCCCTCCTCTGGGCTGGCAGACTTTTGTTGCCAAAAGACTTGTTGGGCACTACGTATATCTCGGAGCATGGATCCAAAGCCTGACCTTGTTGGCGAGATATGGAGACGTCCCTCTTGGAAATCTTGAGAGTGAAGATCCAAGGTATCTTATCGACGTGTCATACGCGAGACGGCTTCAACAGAACAATGTCGTGCTCTGGTGGTCTTCTGGTCCCCGACCGGATCACGCAGGATACGAGAAAGATGATATTGTTGGACCCTTGGAGAGGGTTGATATGCCCTCTGTCAACGTTCCAGGGACATATTCTACTGTCTGCATCGAGCTTGACATCCGCAACCTTGCTTTCAACACTATCCTCACATCATCCCTAATTAATGAATTGGAAGGCAGCGATGCCCTTTTGGCACCTTCCGCTCCGGCAACCAACGGTCCAAGCGATGGTACGGGCATCCTATACTCAGAGAAGGCATTTGCATCCGCTGGTGTCTTTGTTCTGCGCGAGATGGTAAAGCAATGGTGGACCGAGGTTTGTTCGGGCAACGGTATGGCGGATATCATGGTGCAGCACCTGATCCGATGGATTGAGAGCCCGGCCTCTTGTCTCTACGACCGGTCCCTGCATTACTACGTGCGGATGATGTCAAAGAAGTCTTTCCAACAGCTCATGGGTGATTTCCGCCGTGTGGGTTCGAATGTCATCTTCGCTAGCCCGACGCGTCTGCTTCTGCAAACCACAAAGACTGAGGTAGGCAATGCGTATGCGTACAGTCAGTATGTGCTGAAGTCTATCCGTGGCAATGCGGTCTTTTCCTTTATCGACCTGGAAATCAAGGAATACTGGGACTTCTTAGTCTGGTACGATGAATACAACTACGGTGGTAAAGGCTGTCGAGAGGTTGTCGAGTCGGACAATCAGCAGCTTGAGACGATCATGCACTGGCAAATGAGCCGGTTCCTTCCTGCTCCGATGCAGACGGTGTTCCACGATTGGGTGGTCGAGTATATTGAACTGATGCACGCTCTCAAACGACCAGGATCTCACGATGCTGATATCTCATCTACTCCTCGACTCACGCAGATCCCCGGCAAACCGGCAGATCCTGACAGTGATCAAATCACCTCTGTCCTTACTGACCGCTTTTCGAAGCCGCTGAAGAAGCAGATCACGGGTCTCATCCGGCGACAGCGTGATGAGATGTTGCACCCAGAACTGGCGTCTGACTATGTCTTCCCAGTGCTTCCTGGGGCAATTATAGACCCTAATGCAGACAATCGCAATCCGTCTCTGGAGCTGGTCAAGTCGCTCATGCAAGTCCTGAGTCTCTCGAAGACGACTACTCTGGAGACTCGACTCCTGCGTCGCGAGCTGCTAGCACTCTTTGAGGTTCGAGAATTCAGCGAGGAAGGTCGATTTGAGAATCCCAGCACCAGTCTCAAGTTACCAGAGCTGGCCTGCAACGCTTGCTGCTTAATCCGTGACCTCGATCTATGCCGGGACGAGGACGTGCTTCCCGGCCTGGATTCAGATGGGAGTGTTGCGACGGTCAAGGCCTGGCGCTGTCCCTTCTGCCAGACGGAATACGACAAGCTTGCTCAAGAGGAAACACTCATTGGTCAAGTCCAAGGAATGATTGTGGCGTGGCAGACGCAAGATCTAAAATGTTCCAAGTGCGGCGGACTGAAAGTCAGCGACTTCATGGAACATTGCTCGTGCAGTGGAAATTGGGTCGAGACGGTGAACCGGGCGGACATGGAGAAGCGACTCCGCGTTATGGCAAGCGTTGCGAAGTTCCACGGCTTGAAGCTGCTGGAGACAGTGGTAAACGGGGTTCTCGGTGGGATTTAGCTCTGTCCCTGATTCGTATCGATTGTGGGTTTGGTTTGGTTAGAGTTCCTTTTGGCACTTGCATTGCACCGGCGTATGAGGACTGACTGGTAGCGTAATTTACTTGGTGTTCGGGATGGCCAAGGGGACGTATATAACAAGTCAATTAATTATATCCTGGGTACGAACAAACGCTATCTGTGGTTGGGTTAGGTTGGGTCACGTATAAGCTGCGCACTGCGAATCAATCAAGAGTTTTCTTATATATCACATCACATCTGGTGTTATCTGGGCGATCCCATGCAACACTGCGACTTCAAGAATGCCATTATTATTATCGCTCGATCCTTCATCGCCGATCGCTCAGATCCACCAGCCCGATGGAAGGTCTGGATCCCCGCGGGCGCCAACGTGAGTGAGCATCGTCCATTCATTCTGGCGACATCTCTCGTTCTTGTGCCATCTCTCTCTCTCTCTCTCTCTCTCTCTCTCTCTTCTTCGTCCGATAATTTCCTATCTGGTAATTACACGGTTGACACTAGTATCTATCTACTTCTCCTCATTCTCGCCAGTGAGACCCTGATCTCGGAGCAATCAGCCCTAAGCCTCAGCCCCGCGGAGGTAAGTAAGAAAAGAAAAAGCTTAGGTCGCTGTAATTTAATTTAGTCGACCTGTCATCCGACGCCGGTTCTCCTCACAAACGGTGGTTCTGCAGGAGGAATCTGATCTCGGATTTTTTTGTCCTGACAAGGCTCTTCTCTTCTTTGTCTGACGTTCTTCTTCATTTAGTTTACCCGCAGGTTCTGGATCCAGCGGGGTAATTGGTAATTATCCACTGGCTAACTATCCCTCTCTATTCATTCCTCATCCGACTCGCGATACAACACGACCCCCGCAACCTCGCCTGAATGGCATCGCAGACGCAGACGCAACCGCAGCCACAGCGGCCGCAGATCCAGCCCTGTCGGTATAAAACTGGAAAGACTCTAGGGGCGGGCTCCTACTCGGTCGTGAAGGAATGCGTGCACATCGACACCGGGCGGTATTATGCCGCGAAGGTCATCAATAAGCGGCTGATGACCGGCAGAGAGCACATGGTGGTTAACCCTGGGGATTATATACTCGTTTCTGTGCACTGGGAGAAATAAGAGTGCTGATGGGTTCTGGATCGATATCAGGTCCGAAATGAGATCGCCGTGCTCAAGAGGGTCTCCATGGGCCACCAGAATATCCTTACGCTGGTCGACTACTTCGAGACTATGAATAACCGTACGTGCGATCATCTGGGCGAGAAGAATCAGGGTTCCCCTAGTTGCAGAAGCTGATCTTATACTCTCGCATACAGTCTACCTAGTGACCGATCTCGCGCTTGGAGGAGAGCTCTTCGACCGTATCTGCCGCAAGGGTAGCTATTACGAATCAGACGCCGCAGACCTCATTCGTGCGACCCTATCGGCGGTGGCATACTTGCATGACCATGGCATCGTCCACCGTGATCTCAAGCCGGAGAACCTCCTATTCCGCACGCCAGAAGACAATGCAGACTTGCTGATAGCAGACTTTGGTCTGTCGAGGATCATGGACGAGGAACAGTTCCACGTTCTGACTACCACCTGTGGAACGCCAGGATACATGGCACCAGAGATCTTCAAGAAGACCGGGCATGGGAAGCCAGTGTATGTGGTTTCGCTAAGTAGTCGCTATGTTCCTTCGCTGACTTGGACTTCCTAGGGACATCTGGGCTATCGGTGTCATCACCTACTTCCTTCTGTGCGGTTACACGCCTTTCGACCGCGACTCCAACCTCGAAGAGATGCAGGCCATCCTCGTCGCGGATTACTCCTTCACTCCCCTCGAGTACTGGCGCGGCGTGTCATTGACAGCACGCGACTTCATCAAGCGATGCCTGACAATCGACCCCAAGGCGCGCATGACTGCTCACGAAGCGCTGCAACACCCCTGGATTAACCCACCCTTCGACCCTGCCGATCCAAGCAACTTCGGTTCCGGCGAAGACTTGCTGCCGACAGTCAAGAAGAACTTCAACGCGCGTCGGACACTGCACAAAGCCATCGACACTGTGCGCGCCATCAACAAGCTGCGCGAAAGCGGTGGTCTGATGATGGATGGGGTCATGAGCGTCGACCCGAAGCCGGAACACGTTCACGGAAACCAAGTATTCGAGGAGAAAGGGCATGATGGAGCTATGGAGATTGATAGTCGTTCAAACGCGCGGGGCCAGACGGAGCAGCAGATTCGAGATCAAGAGCGGAGAATCAAGGAGACAGTGACAGGTCTTTGGAGCAAACAAACGACGCACAGGCGTTAATCGTGATCATCATCATCATCATTGTTCATCAATCAGAATACCAATACCCGTATATCTTAAAGTCATGTTATCCGTTGGAAAAGATCGTGAACTGCCCAATCTCGATCTATGAATTTTCGCAATTGGTGCTCTCCTTCTAAACTCTCTTTTCCAATCATGGAAGGGACAGGGAAAGACAAGAAAAACGGAAAGAAAGAAAACGCCTATACATATCCTCTTGAAAGTACATACATAACCCTCAATGCTCGGTCTTGTCATGCGATGTCCATGGGCCTATTATTCTGGCAATGCCTTTCTGAAGTGTGCGATTCTATCCCGGGGTAACCTGAACATTCAAGCATATATGAAACCTAGCGTAATCTGTTTGTAGCTTTTTTCATCTATCTTTAGTAGTGTTTTATGACTGGACGGATATGTACATCAAACTCTAATTTGAGTAGTTATTCGGTTCTATGCGTAAGAATCCACACTCGTCATGACTGTCAGTGTTGAATACTAGCACAAGTACGCTCTCGCTCTCCATGTTATTGTACAAGTACATCTTCTACGGCGATAATCTGATATTGAACGTGATCACATACTCAGCTTTTTCCTTGTCTCTCATTCATCAGTACATACAGGCGTTAAGAGTCAGGAGTTAGGAAGTTCAAAGGGTTTAATGCGATGAGTAGGAAGAGCATTGACTGCATAAAAAAATATGGAAAGATGCAGGCGAGGAGGTCTAGGCAAGAAGAAATAGATCTATAGAAAATCGTTTCAATCGCAGCGTAAGAATTTTAGAGGGCGAGTCGAGTCATAATTATCTCTTCAGGGAGGGACAGAAGCTTTTTTTAGGCGGATTCGTTCTCTGTAGGCTTGGGGGACTCGACGGCACCACGGACACCTCCCTTTCCACCGACTTCTCTGGCGGTGATCTGGATGCCCAGGTCGGAGTTGATGTTCACCATGACCTCGACCTTGCCGCCGGCCTTGACGCCCTTGATGGCGAACTCGGCAATGGGCTTCTCGGCCTTCCAGACCAGCTCGCGGATCTCCTCCTCTTCGTCCTCGTCGGAGTCGAAGTCAGAGTCCTCATCCTCCTCATCGTCCTTGGGCTTCTCCTCCTTGGGCTTAGGCTCGGGCTTGGTGACCTTGATCTCACGAGCACCTTCGCAGACACGGATCAGAACGTCGCCGCCCTCCTTGGGGACTGCGTAGTGAGCGACACGACGGGCCGGCAGAGCAGTCTCGGCGGGAATAAGAGGACGGAAGATGGACTCGTCACCCTCCGCAGCCACAAGCTGGACACCGATGGCCTTGCTGAGATGAGGAGTGACAGTAACCATGGGGTGGATGGACTGCTCAATGTCTTCGGCATCGAATTCCTGGATGAGAGATGCCTGGATGGCCGCACCACGGGCGATGAGGTCGGAGGGGTTGATAGCAGAGGGGTCTGTCGAGGGCGCAAGAACCTTGGTGGTCTCAGGGAAGATGTTCTGCAGCAGGCTGGCGATCTTGGGAGTGTGAGAGGTACCGCCGACGAGAATGACCTCGTTGATGTCCAGAATATCCAATTCGGCCTTCTTCACAACATCCTGGATAAGACCAGTGAACTGGGCGAAAACCTTTCCGGACAGCAGCTCGTATCGGGTGCGGTTGATGGTAGAGCTGAAGTCAATGCCATCCGCAAGACTCTCGATGCTCAGGGTGGCGTTGGTACCCAGGCTGAGAGCCTTCTTGGTGGCCTCACCCTCCAGCTTCAGCTTGGCCAGTCCACGGGGGTTCTCCCTCGGGTCAGTCTTGTGCTTTTTGATGAACTCCTTAGCAAAGTGGTCAATGATGATCTGGTCCAAGTTGGCTCCGCCAAGTTCGTAGTCGTGAGCGGTGGCTAGAATGGTGTAGATACCTCCACGGGAGGCAACCACGGCAACATCAGATCTCGTACCGCCCAGATCGGCGACGACGACCAGCTTGTCCGTGACAACAGCCTCTGGGCGTGCATCGTAGGCCATCACAGCAGCAACGGGCTCGTGGATAAGCTGAAGCACCTCAATTCCGGTGGCCTTGGCCGCAGAAACCAGGGCCTCGCGCTGGGCATCCGTGAAATCAGTGGGAACCGCAATCACAGCGGCGTTGACATCCTTTCCGAGGAAGTCAGCTGCAGACTTCTGCAGGCGACGAAGGTGACGGGTGGTGATCTCAGAGACAGTGACAACGCTGGGCTCTTCGCTGGCGCTGTCACGGATAGAGAACGCGACAGTAGAGGAATGCTCCTGGGGGTGAGCAGACTGGTGGCTTGGGGTCGGGTCTATCGATTTGAATCTATATTTTTTATTAGCACCGGCACCGGCACCCAACTATCATGTTCCTCTGCGGGGTTCCCCTTACTCCTTGCCCAGGTAGTCCCTGAAGTATGCGACAGTGTTCTGGGGGTTGCGGACGAGCTGTGCCTTGGCCTGGGAGCCATGGTATTCCTCTCCCTCAACGTAAGAGAGAATGGAAGGGATCTGGCGGTCTGTAGTAAAATGATCGTCAATTTCTCCATTCGAATGGCCGCAGACGCCCGTAACTAGGGCTGGATTAAAAACGCACCTCCATCTTCGTTGGCAATCACCTCAGCCTTCCCCTCCTATATTCACTACTGTCAGTCCTTCCTTCATATCTGGGACAGCGACCATATCGCCCGAACATACCGGTGAAGTGCGGGCAATCGAGCTGGTGGAGTTACCAAAGGAAACACCAATGGCATATCTCTCCGCCGCCACGCCGTTCGACTCGTCACTCATCTTTGAGTATAGAATATTCCGGTTCTCGCGGTGGTGACAAGAAGGAATGTGTGCAGGGACACGGAAGAGACCAGGAAAGGAGAGAAGGAAAGATTAGAGCCAAGAAAACGGCTTCGATCGAGCTGGATCACGAACGCTTCACACTCGTCGGGGAAAAAATCTTTTGAGGCGTTTTTCTTCGAGGCGGGAGTGAGCGGGTGGCGGTGCAGCCTTATCGATAAGCGATGCGGCGGTGCAAGGAATTCTATCAAGGGTTCTATCAACACATTCTGTCTTTTTATTTTCACTCCTTTCATTGAAATTATGATGCTGGTCAGTGATAATAAGCCGGTGAGTATATTTCTGTGGAATTGTTATGCTTGACAGTACATGGGACTGCTACTCGTGCTATATCAGCTCACAATATATCTATGCACAATACAAAGAGAACTATATATTCATCAATAATTGGCTTTCTCTTATAACATGGACGACATCATCTCAGGGCCACTAGAACACGGAAGGAGATTAGGTATCGCAGATACGTTAACAAGTGATCATAGTCGCAAATAGAGGCGCCCAACGTCGATAACTCGATCCTTATCTGAGTCTCTGAGGACGGAGCTTCACTGCGATGTTGAAACTGTCGCAAAAAAACATCTTGTAATCTAGTAGGTTGTATCCTATAATTAGGATTCAAAGAACCTGCCTCAAACGGATGATTGACAGATTACCTGGCGTTCGCTTTGTGCGCCGACAACTTCACCAGGGCTAGGACGAAGAATTTCAAATCCATCGAAACATTCGAGGCTGTCTTCTCTCTTAGCTGGGATGTCTCCCATTGGATTCTCTGATGAATCACTCGATAGTCCCTGAGCTCTGTCGAATATTGGAGACTTTATATTCTGCTCCCACCGCTGCCCAGTTTCTGGCAAACGCCGCTGCGGTGTGGTGTGGGGGGACAATGAGATCGATGATTTGATGATACAATCAAGGAACCGATTTATATTGACGCAGCCGGTAGTAGTAAAAGTGGTGAACGGCTCCGAAATCTGTAAAAAGTTGCCACTCAACCTCAGAAACTACCAAAGTATTCCATCCGACACGACGCCATAAGTAGTGTCGACGATCCTCTTCGGACCCTTGAGAGACATGCGCTTTTGCTGGAATCCAACCATATACGCAACTGCTTGGGAGATCCCATCAGATCCACCGGACGAAGCGAAATTATTCTTCCCCTCCATGATGACACAGATGGGTTCAAATTCTGAACCACCAAGTGTGTCGTAGCCCAAGGCATAATGCGCGTTGCCAGTGATGATTTCTCTTTCGCCAGGAACTCGAGTCTCTACCGGGTACTCTCCTCGCAGAGATATTTTCCTAGCGGCTAGCTCCTGTTGCTGCGCTTCTAGCCGGTCAAAGAGAACGAGGTCAATTAGGGTTCGAGATAAGGTCCCTGAAGAATCTCGTCTCCGGAACTTAGCGTTCTGCATTCTTTTTCGGACATCCGCTTAAATGGGCGTTACCAATCCAGTAATCCAGGGATAGCTTTGCGGTAGCGTCCAGATTATCACCTAGACGCGAAGCCTGGGTGACCTTTAGTCCAGATTTCACTTTTTTGAATGGCGAGAGCTGTTCCGATTCGACTATGGCCGTTTTGATTGTCTCCAGAGCTTCTTTAACATGCTCGACTGGCTCACCGTCTTCGATGGCGGCTATGAGGTCGAGTAGAATTTGGACCAAGGACCCCTTGACACGAGTGGCTGGGCTCGAATCGGGAGCACTTCGTTTATATCGTGTCGATGTCGCTGATTCTGACATTCTGGTGTTTGAAGTTTATAGAGTCCTGACAACGCTCTCAGAAGTTCGACGCAGATAAGGGACTAGGGCCCAGCTTGATGATCAGCAGTTCAATAGCTAATGATTTGATGAAATTAGAGGTGATCTTGATAAATATTCTCGGGTGGGTTGGCTGGAGTCTTTAGCGAAGACAGGGCTGAATGAAATGAGTGCCCTCTGCGCTGGAACCTTGGAGAATGACCACTATAAACCAAGATATAGTCTTTTTGAAAACTCTAAAGTATAATGTTAGCAATAATGGTTCTTCCTTAACCACGCTTTGCTTTAGTTAATTAAAATAGTCGATAACGCTTGATTAGCAGAAAGGCCTTAAATTTATACAATGAATGACACTCAGACTAGTATATGTATTTAGCAAGTATTGGCTTTCTCTGCAATATGAACTATATTACATTATATTAGTATTGTTGCTATAACGAAATAAAGTAGGTATCGTAGACACGTTAACAAGTGGGGATGACCATCGATGGAAACATCCAGCATCCTTGTGAATGTGGCGGCTTTCAGCGCAAGCGAGTGACAGGTAGTCGGAACTATGGTGGTGGGTGTATAAACCCCAAAGCACATGACTCGGAACATTAAGAGGAAGATATGCGGAAACGTGACCCAAATCATGTCTCGTTAACTCGGGGAAGATTTGACGATCGCGGGGTGTGGTTCCCTGCTGTCCCTAGAGAGCGAACGCATGGCGACTGCAGCTGCTGTTGGACCTTCAGAGAAGCAGCCAGCGAGAGTGGTAAAGATAGTACGACACTTGCTGTGGAATCCCAGTGACAAAGAGCTACATGGACAGGCGGAGATACGAAACCTCTTAGTTTAGACGGAAGTCTCTTTGCGGCCAGCGCCATCAGCGCCATCAGCGTAGTCGCGAGTCGAGCCGCTCCTCCTAGGACCAAAGAATCCGCGCCGTCTCTGTTCCCGTCCACTGTAGCCTGTGTCCTTGCGAATGGTTCCACCAATGCAGTACAATAAGCTGGCAAGGAAGAGACAGACCGTAGCAGTCCACATGAAGGCGAAGGCTTTGACACCGAGGTGCGCTTTCTGACCGTTACGGTTGAACTTGTCGCGGCCTTCCACATAAGCAGCACTGGTTGACGGGTTAGCGCATTGCAAGATATAAGACATCCACCGCGTGTCCAAGTGAACTTACGTCATGAGAGCGGTAGTGATAGTCTGGAAGGTCAATGCAATCAAGCCCAAGAATGAGGACACGAAGCTTCCGATGCGAGTGCACAGGGCCAGAAGACCGATGAAGAGCGAGAGCACCGCAAAGAAGAGCCCGATAAGCATGAAGGCAAACATGAAGCGGGTCATCAGGTAGTAGTGATTCGTTCTGGAGTCAAGTTAGCAATCATCGACCCTATATGACCGTTAGGAGCCATAATTACCCGATAAATGCATGCGGGACATTGGTCTTGGTGTGGAAGTTATGCTTGCTGGGAGGATCCAATGGGAATGCTGGATGAGATGAGCCGCAGACGCTGTGGCCATGAACATTGACCCGGCAGATGCTCCAGAACGTCCATCTTGATTCTGTAGGCGCCCCAGGGATATTGGCAGTATGCGCCTGGAGGAAGTAGATTTCGTTCAGCGGCCTGTGGTTATTCGCACCACCCAGCAGGGTGAGGAACATCAGCAGCAGCGCACCCGCTGTCAGGAAGAGCCCCAGGAAACCCAGGATTGGTCCTGGAGGAGGATGCGATTAGTTTGCCGTGGGACATGAATTGGATTGGATAGGATAAGGGACCCTGAAGTAATGTACTTACTGCCTACAGCCATTGTGATCTAGGCGAAATGATCCGAGGGGACGATAAAGAGAGAGGATTCCACTGCAAGCTCGGATGAAGCGTAGGGATGGCAATGGCAGGAGGCAGTCGCTAGATACCGACCTGGTGTCAAAGAACGCTCAGTGTGGAATTGTCCGGACACGTCCGGCTGAGGAGAATGGAGGGTGATATAAGTGTGAGCCCAAAGCTGTCTCATCCTGGGCGACAGACAGTCTGGGGGGTGGGATGGGGGGCGACGTCATCTTTTCGCAGCGCACCAAAGAGCGTCGTGATGGTAGTGTAGTACTCAGACCAAGTTGCATCTACCATCAGAACTAAACTACATAAAATGATGTACACCACATCATCATGTTCTGCTCCACGTTGAGTTTTAAGGTTAACTCGAGTGCTCTAGCCGTCTCTGGTGTAGCTGCCACCGGTTTATGATCGCTCAATGGCCCGTTCATCGTGCCTCTTGGCGACTCCATGGATTGTCGTGACGTCGGCCAAATCACGATGCCATCGCGCTCCAATTTCTGCTGCTGAGCCTCGGGGACCTCCTCTGATCTCATCTGAATTGGCCATTTGTGCTACATCTGTTTCCGGTTTAGATCTCTCGACCTTGGTTCACCGAACAGGCTGTCCCTTTGCGGCAACTTGGTTCCTATCATCTTCCCTGGGAACGTGGGCCAATAAGGCTGACGATTTAAGCGGTGCAGCCGCGAGTCTTCAGCCCTGCTCGTCACTATCCTACGTGGAGACTGTCTGACAGATCATCATGGCGACCTGGGCATACCCACCTCTTGCTCCAGAGCAGTTGAAGCGGGAAGAAGACAGTGCGTTGGTACGCCTACCATCAGAACAGGCAGATCCAGCACTTGCGTCAGGGCTTGTGGTGCTAACAAAAACTTGTACTAGGCCAAAGAGCTCCAGTGGCTTTTATCATCGCTGCAAGAGTCTCTAGCGTCCCTGAGAGAGGGCCTGCAAGAGTGCAGGGCACTTTTGGCTCCGAAGGAACCGGGTTCGACCCTCGTGCTCTCGTCGCCGCGGTCAGAAAGCCTCAAAGGCTTCGTAACCCGGGTAGGGACTAAGGTCATCAAAGGAGTAGGTCTCTCAAACCCGCAGAGCCTGTCGAATATGTTTGTCACTGCTGCGCCCCAAATTCTGGATGGGACAGAGAGACTTCCTCTCTGAGATCGCTTTCCCAGTGTCACATCCTTCTTGCACCAATATGGTTTCATGATCACAGACAATGTACTAAGCTAAATATACGTATAAAGGATATCCAGCTGCGGTTAGCTTCTCTCCCGCCCCCGCGGGGTGCTACGAGCACGCGCTTATGTCTTTCCACTGTCCCGGGTGCCCCTGAGCTGGTGTTGCGTCAACTGGCCTCGGTACGCGATTCTATCAATCAAAGTCTCGATGTGGTCGACGTTGGCACTTATACGGGCGATCCACACAATGCGAATTTCATATCTGGCCAATTGCACCTTCTCAGGGAGAACGTTGCAGAAGCATGTCTTGCCTTGAAGGGCGAGACAGATGAAGTCAAGGGGAAATGGTGGGAAACCAATGTGGATGAAAATGTAAGCGTCTTCCTTTTCATCACAGCTACTTTAAAAACTAGCCACTGATAGAACGCGCCAAGGCGTTCGATCCTCCATTGCCACCATATGTGTCCTTTCATCTTGTGATCGAGGAGGCAGCATTGGTCCTGTACATTAGGACCTTAGAACCCACTTCTGCCTCCAACACCCCTGCGTCTTTCACGCCCGATATATCCATAAGCGGATTTTCGATCCGTGAAAGACTGTTTGGACCCCGACTGCCTCCCCACGACGAGGCGGGCCAGGTCTTTATATGGAAAGGGCAGGAGGTCAAGGTTAAAGAAAAGATCCGTGTGGAGAGTCAAGATCCCAGTCTGATGTCTGCAATGTCTAAGATAACTGCCCTGCAGCATGAAGTCCAGAAATGGATTGCAGCAGTCAATGTGGTTATGGGCCAGGATGATTCAGTGAACGAAGAATGAGCATGCTGCGTTCCACCAACCATTGGATACTCTCACTGTTTACTTTGTCCTCGCTCGATTGACTTAGCAGGTCTGACCCCTATTGCCTTCGTATTCTAACCAGGGTTTACACCAGCAGAAGTACTATTTCTACCCAAACTTCAGGATGAGACACTCTATTGCATACTTATGATTTTTCTAGTATCAAAACTATTTTGGTTACCGTTTAGATCACTCCCAGGGCGCACATAACCTCGCTGATTGCTCACAACCCGTATTCCATTTCTCATGAAATCGACTGTGTAATGCGTGTGGCCAAATACCCAGATCTTGACATCACCCGGAATCTGCCCCAAAACATCACTAGCAAATGCGAATCTCCAGGGACTCTCTCCGTGCTGCGGATTGGAAGTTCCTTGCAGACAAGGCGCATGATGGGTCACCACCAGAACAGATCGTGTCTGAATCTGTTCTTCTTCCGCCTTTGCATTTTCATTCCGTATTGACTCAATTTCCTGTCCCAGCCAGGAGAAATCCGAATCATGAGCTGCATTATGCTCATCCACCGTCCAGCCTTCGATATTCTTATAATCCTTTATTTTCGACCGGACAATATCCCTGGACTGGTCCGGAACTTTAGACCAAAGCGTGCAACCCAATAGAGTAACATGAGAGCCCGGGATATCAAAACGCCTCTGACGCAGGAGGACAAGACGCCCATTCAAACAGGATTCCCGTTCAAGCCGTCTAGCCTTTTCGATACCGGCTGCCACAGACGCCTTGTAGAATTCATGATTTCCAAGAACAAGAAAGACCAATTCGAAACGGTCCGTTTGGTTCTTGATAAATTCGCGATATTGTTCATAGTCCGCTAAGTACCCAACGTCGCCTGCCAGAATGAGATATCTAGCGCAGGCTGGGATTTCGAATTGTGAATATTGTTCGTTAAGTTCTAGGTGCAAGTCAGATAGGATCTGAAATGAGACCAGGGACCTGTTTGATGATGGAGGTGGTGTTCCTTGGATTACTGTCTCAGTCGCCATTGGTGTATCTCTGGAGAGGATTGTTCCTAGTAGTTATTAGGCTGATGAACGACTGAGCGGTTCGGCTTCTGGTGAGATCAATGCAGATCAAAACGATTAAGCTCCCATTGCCAAGACTGAATTGGCGGAACTTTATCAAGGACCCATTTGTACTATATTGTCCCCCTTGGAATAGACACCAGGAGAGATTCTTCTCGAGGTAAAAAAAAGTGATGAATAAATCACAGAAATGTCTATACAGCAAACTAAAGAGTCAAACTGGCTGATTGGCGCGTATTATCAGGGGCAAGCGGAGGGTTCTCAAGCCAGCCAATCAGAACCCGCTGATTGTGATAGACAAAATGTCTTGGCGAAAGTTTTCCTGAAGAGCTCTCTTCGGTGGCAAGCAGGGGAGTTCCTTTCCACCAACATCCTCATTCAACAGTTTTTGGAGTGAGAAGGGAAGGTATCAGGATGCTCTCCCGACCTCCAGCATCCCAGGCCTGCCGGGTTAGCTCTCGCGAGTTGTTGCAAGCGCTTGTGCAGAACTCGACGCAGCCTGCATCCCGACAATTGCTCCGACACGGGACTGCGAGCTTGGTAACTCCGCGCTCTAGGCCATCAGTTGCGCGAAGGACGTTTTCGTCTTGCCTTGTTTCGGATTCGAAGACAAACGCTGTTCGTTCGAGCTCCACGAAATGGCAAATTGGAAAGCGATGCGCGTCGACTGTAGCCGCCGACAAAAAAGATCAGATTTACGCGCTCATCGATAAGATCAACGACCACGAGGGGCAATTGGCCGAGCTTCTGTTCGAACTCGATCTGATCGACGATCACCATGGCGTTCTCAACCTCGAGGGACCGGAGTTGGACGATGTCTTCAGTCAGACTATTGGCCACCGGAGCCAACAGGTGCTGGAGGACCGGGTGAGAATGGCGAGACAGGAGTTCGGGGAGACGTTGCCCGAAGGTCATTTGAATGATCGTGAACTTGAGCTATATGCACGACTTTACGGGCAGCCGATTATCGAATCTCAGGCCTTGGAGGAAGAGGTAGAGGACGAAAAAGAACCCGATCGTTTGTATCGGGAAAGCGTCGACGGGGATCTGGAAGAGGTTGAATTCGAACAGGTCGAAGCAGAGGATGATATTCCGGTTGTTTATGATATGGAGGCTCCACAGCCAGAAGAGGAGACACTTGTTATGACTCGTGCGAGGGAGATTGCTGAACAACTGGGAGGAGAGGTCATGCTGGAGCAATTCGCTCAGGAAGCCGTCCCGGACCCTACGTCTAGACTACACCCTGCGACTGAAGCAGGGAAATTCTCGACAGACCCGAGCACTATCTTTCTTCCGAAGGATACGGTGACCGGACCGATTTCTGCCATCTTGTCCAACTTCTCCAACAAGCACATTTCTGAGGTCGCTCATCGTACTTTTGGTGGACAACGGCTTCCGCACTCCACGACCACCCCACCCGCACGAGCACAGCTACCGCAACTGCCCATTCCGCTTGAAGCCTCTCAAAACCACATGAGTGAAATGGAGGCGAACGCATACATTGCTGCTTTATACCCCGGCGTCTACGCTACCACTCTGAGTATCTTGGTTGAAGTTCGAAAGCGCCTGGGAAGCGATTGGATACGGCGCCTGATCACCCAAGAGGGAGGTCCACGAGTACTGGATGCTGGCGGTGGCGGTGCGGGAATTCTGGCCTGGAGGGAGGTTCTTCGCGCGGAATACGAGTTGATGGTCCCTGACCATCCGAAGGAAGAGCCCGTTCCTCTGGGTAAAGCCACTGTGGTCACCGCCTCCGACAGTCTGCGAACTCGTGCTAGTATTATGCTTGAAAACACGACGTTCCTCCCGAGATTGCCGGACTATGTCCATGTTCGAGATACTCCTACTCTGGATGATGAGAGAGCGCCTCCTAAACGAAAACAATACGATATAATCATTGCACCCCATACTCTCCTTGGTATCGACGAAGGTTATTTGCGGAAGGAACAGGTTGAGAACCTGTGGTCTTTGCTCAACCCTGACGGGGGAGTCTTGATCCTCTTCGAAAAGGGTCACCAAAGGGGCTTCGAGGCCGTCGCTGGTGCTCGTGATATGCTTCTGGAACGACACATCTCGAGCCCTGGTTCTCGGGAATATGAGAATCTTACAGAGTCTTCCGACGAAGAAAGATACGTGAAGAAGGAGACGGGAATGATTATCGCACCCTGCACGAATCACCAGAAGTGCCCTATGTACCTGGTCCCAGGTCAGGCCAAGGGCCGAAGGGACTACTGCCGTTTCGAACAAAGATATATCAGACCCAATTTCCTACAGCGTATTATTGGTGCAAAGGACCGCAACCATGAGGATGTGCAATTCAGCTACATCGCCGTCCAGCGTGGTATTGACCTGCGCGAGACCCACAATATCGTGCAGGGGCCCGAAGCGACTGATGCGGCATTTGCTGGATTTGAGCATCTGCAAGATGAGGCAGAACCCGTCGAGAAGCTTGAATCAGTCGCAGCCTCGAGCGGATCAGCCACGGAAGGCGAAATACCCTTCAACCCCCTTACCCTACCGCGTACTGTTTTCCCTCCCATGAAGCGCCGTGGACATGTCATTTTCGATTTATGCACTTCGGCTGGTAAGATCGAACGTTGGACTGTCCCTCGCTCTTTCAGCCGCCAGGCCTACCGTGATGCTCGTAAGGCGCACTGGGGAGACCTGTGGGCGCTGGGTGCGAAGACTCGGATTCCCCGCAACCTGAACCTCGGAGACAGAAGCGGAGAGGGCAAGAAGGAGAGACTAGAACGGCGAGCTGCTGCCAGAGCAGCGATGCGGGAAGAAGGTGATGACGATGGTCTGGCTGCATTCATGGAGGGTAAGGCAGACGAAGAGATTGTTGCCCCTACACGGAAGAAGGGCCAGACGATCCCCAGTTGGAAGAAACATGCCGACAAGAAGAAGGTCCGGCAAGCCTTCAAGCAGCAGTCGTCCAAGCAATTCGAAGCACAAACGGAGGTTTAAAAAGGGAGCATTAGTTATGACCAGGTCTCATTATCTGAAATACCCTGCGGCGCATTGATTCGGGTTCTGTTAACGGATATCTCATCTCTCACCTCTCAGCTATGGTCAAGGGATCTGGAAAAAATGAAAAGGATAGCAGGCGTTGTATAGCTATTAGAAAATCTGTATAATATGATGTAACCATTTGCATGTATAGTATTTCACGTTAAAAATTCTCCAATTCCTAACTCTCTCTGATACCTCCAGAGACGCTTTGCTCTAGTATCTCAGCAGGAGATCCGTCTCATCTCACTCGTATAGGAGTATCCGCAAGTCCCGTGGCCCTCCCTGGAGCATCTGTGTCCACCAGAAGATGAATCAGGGATTGAGTGGCCCGTGTGAAGTTGATGCCTTCACACTGGGAACTTCAGCGTGATATTAATTCAGCACCTCCTTAGAGGATAATGCGATTTCACGCAACATGGCGGCTCTCTATCCGGTCTTCTCGTAGAGATTCCTGAACTGGGAAAGCAGGCTGCGCGAGCGCAAGCCCTTCCTGAGGGTACGAGAGACCACTTATTCGGGCCCATGATCTGTCTCGATGACGCCCGTCCAGCAATACCATCCCGTGAGGCAGTTTTCGTGAACCTTTCGCTGTAAAGGAAGCCCGGAGCTTTCCTCCATAGTACACAATCTTCTCCATTGTCAATCGGCCCATCACTTCACTGAGCAGCCATACTCTTCCTCAATTCGCGCTCTCTCTGTCGACTCTGCAACTCCAGACGTTCCACCGCATATTTCAATCGTTCCTTCTTCTGGATGAGCTTCCTCAGTTCCGCCGCCTTGCTTCCTCCATCGCTCATTAACCGACGGCTCTGGAGCTTGGCACTCTGACCCTGGCTGTTATTCGCGGACAAGTGGCCCTCATTGGAGGACAATCGGCCTTCTTGGAGCTCGCATTTGGCTTTGAGAGACTGTTCGCGACGGGCTAAGCGGTCGACGTGCTTGGAGGCAACGTGTAGAAGGTGTGTGATGCTGGGTGTAATTTCGTCGAGGAGGGATTGTTGCGCTTCGCGCAGGGTTGGTTCCGGGAGAAGTTCGAAGTGCTGTAGTGGAACATTAGGAACGAAACTGGAATTGGAATATTATGGGGCCCGTTGGAAAAGACTCACTCTTGTTGTCTGCAGAACCTTTGATAATCTGGGGAAGTCGTTTACGCCATTATCGAGTATATTGATGGATGAATCAAGCAGCTGCAAGGATGATCGGAGAGAGGAGACTGAAGATGATAAGGAGGCGGCCATGTTGAGAAACAGCTGAATTCACTACCTTAGAAGAAGAAGATTTCGTGGTGAGAGGTATACTTGCACTGAGCAAGTTCAAAAGAACGATACTCTCTATCGTCCTCACTGTTTACACCGCGGAGGGGCAGATCGGACAGCCGCTTAAAGCGGCAAGGAGCCTCGCTTGAGGCGGCAACGGGCTGGGAAGTTCCGGCTCCGGGCCAAACCTCGCTCCTCCGTTTGTCCTGCTACCGCATCTCCCATCAGCTCCAGCATCCTCCACTCCCTCCGCATTTCAGAAGCAATTACGATCAAATACCTTCTGTCAAAATGTCTCTCCTCGGAAAGAAGTGGCCGACCCCTGTCGGTGAGTCGCCCCCCATGATCTACACGCGCCGCAATGGGTGGTCGGGAGAAAGAAACTGACAGGAGACTTCTACTACAGCCAAGCCTATGGCTCCTTTCTTCGTTGCCGGTATGCGAATCTCCCTATCTGATGTCTTTCAGGCGATATAAGCGCAGCAGCTTGAGCGGAAAATAGACTCAATTGAGGAAGATGGTGATGATGGAATGACTGACACTGTATTAGGCCTCATCATGATGTACGCCATCAACTCGGCCGCCAACGCTCTGCCTCCTCGTGAGTCACACCCTCTTTGAATTCGTCTTTTTTCTATTAGGTCAACGGACCATGCGTCTATTGTCCCTTCGATATTGCGGTTAGAATCGATGTGAGCTGGGAACGTTTGCTAACCCGACATTAACCGCAGCCCCGAAGAAGGAGGAGTCGCACTAAACGCGACAACGAGAGCTTGATTCTTGATCACGATCTGACAAGAAGGGATATCCATGGTTATTGATTAAGTCCTGGGTGGCCCTCGGTGTGGGCGTCGAGTTGGTTGCAATGCGATTACTTTGTACAAAACATAGATATTTGCATCCAATACTATTCGACAATATAAGCAACTGCACCACCATTTTGAAATTCCGGATATTTATTCATTTGATCTTTCTGCTTGTCCTGCTCACTTCGCCGCGATATACGGCGGACTCCTACGTAACTCTGGCAACTTCACATCCCGCCTCAGGTCAAGACGTGATATTGTAGAGTGTCTAATTGCTCACAAGTCCTGTAAATACACTCATATCACTCAGTCGTTTCGAGAAATACTACCTTTGAAAGAAAGAAAGTAGTTGTCGGGACACTTACTGTAGACGATATGATATGAGTTCAACCCATGACAATGATACGTCAAATAGTTTAATAAGCGATATTAATTATATCCAATCCTCAAAAGCAATTTAGCTTGCCCTATTCATCATATCTGATAGTTGCTGCATGTCATCCGATATCGTTTTCTTGGTTCCTGAGGCTACCACGAGGAATATGTGGCGCTATTCCGTATCGGGCGGAATCATTTTCGCTGAAGTCCGCAAGCTCCGCAGGCCCGTCTATCGCGACAACCTCCATTCTGGCAGCCATAGTCAATCTCAAAGGCACCAACCATGTCGCAGTTCAGAGCGAAGAGGCTGGATATCAGTGGGTTCATCAACCCTCGCGTCATTCGTGACCACACCAAGCGGAAGGTGGTCGAGCAGTACGAGCCAGAACGGTAAGATACAACTCATCCTTTAGATGCGATGCGTATCATCGCATCACCTTTTTCCCACTGAATGATTATGGATTGGTATTGACGTATATCATCCAAATAGCCAAGCACTCCGCTACATCATCCGCAACACCAGCCTTCCTCAGCGTATGCGTGCACAGGCCCAGCTCCAGCTTTCGCAGATGCACGCCTACACTCGCCCGACCCAGATCAAGAACAGATGTGTCGCTGGAGGAATAGCGAGAAGTGTGTTCCGTGACTTTAGAATGGCAAGAGTAAGTTCAACCTATGAATCTTCGCAATCCGGCCGCACTTGCGCCTGTTTTCTTTTTTCTTTTTTGTTTTTGAACATCGCTAACGACTTGTTTCTTCAGTACCAATTCCGTCTCCACGCGCTTGCTGGAGAGCTGCCCGGTGTCAGGAAGGCCAGTTGGTAGATTCTGTCAATGTCTCTTCATAATGAGAAGCGAGTTGGAGCTATTTGCAATTATGGGTTCATCTCTGCATACGGGCGTTTTTTATTCTGCGGATGTAAATGTACAATACAACAATCACTGAAAAGAAATATTGATCAATCTTATACTATGCCATTCACTTACACTTTTTCTGTATTGTGGGCTGTGATTCGGAACTTGCCCTGATCAGATGGTGAAGTCTGTTTGCTTGATGTCGGAAAGTTGCAGCCAGCCTTCTCAATACAAAGAATCCCCTGTTCTTCCAGGACTCATTCACTTTCCATATGACTGCCAACCCCCTCATCTGAAATTTGACTTGGCCCATCTCAGCACTATCCCACAGAAAAAGCTTCAGTTTTCACAACAACCTCAAGAGACATCGAGACTAGTTCGAACTCAGGAATCCAGTTGCAAGTCTCATACTAGAGATTTACTCCGGTGCATAACTATCCTCTGTTATTATTCGATCTCAGTTTCTCTTTGAACGCACAGCACCAAACATGTTCGTCTTTCGCCGCGAGGACCTTCCTCCAGATCCTGTTTTCCCCGCTGATCTCGAGAAACTTGGGTGAGCATGGTTTCATTTTCTATATCGAAGTCCAGTCGAAATGCACAGACTTTGAGAAACTAATCCAAGCGTCTTTCATCCAGATACTTCATAAATGACAATGATCAGATCAGAAAAATATCAGATCCTGAGAAGGAGTTCGTCTTCAAGATCAATAGAAATGATCGCTGGAATCTGTTAAACAGGGAAGCGATGAATGGTATGTCGTACTTCTATATCTCTTCGATATGCTTTGACATCCTTCATCGCTTCAACAGAGGCCCCATCTGACAATATATGGGAAATGCTTACTGTCTAATGATACAGCTTGTATTCGCTCTATCGTACACTCTCGCCTATGCGCCCTTGGTCTTTCCGTACTTAGACTCCCACTCAACGCCGGGCCAGAAGAGCGCCATGTCCCTATCATGATATCTTCAAACCTGAAGACTGCCTCTCGCGTCATCGTTGTTTTCGGCGAACCAGTCCAGGATCTAGGTATTTGGGCCTATCGAACTATCAGCACGGAAGGAATCGAGGCTGGTTCAGCCGTTGCCTTCGCCAAAGCCGTGCTTGGATACGAAGATACGAAGACCGATACGGCTCTTATCCTCGCGAATACCGGACAGCTTATATGGTACAATGCAGAGGGTCGTGCCATCACACACCCATCATGGCTTGCTCTTCCCAAGGAATCGGCTGTTGATCCCCTACCCAGGATGACGCATCGTAATAAGATTCCTCGCAATGGAAACTGGGAGGAACATGTTCAATGCGTGTTTGAAGACGTTCTCAAGGCGAGAGGAGAGCTCTTGAGTGAAAATGCAAAGATTGATATCATCGGTCTTGCAGAGGGAGGTCTGGCTGCAGTGACGTATTTGGCGGAGAAGTGTAAGTTGTGAAATTCATCCTGGATAGCTATTTCTTTGGGGTTTTCTATATAATGCCCATATGATCACTATTTTTATATAGAAGAGAAAAAAAACCCCTCGCTAACACGGATTTCTACTCTCTAGGGCCAGAATGGAGCAGCCATATCTCAGCCATGTGTCTGGCCAACCCTCTTCATTACAACGGCATCCATATCTTCCCAGACCCATCATCTGCATCCTCTGAGACGGAAAACTCATTTGAGAACTTCATCTCTTCCCGCTGCCGTGCCTACGTCCTATCCGATCGTCCTGTCAATGACCCTGTTGCTGGCGCAGCTGATCATAATTGTAACTGCTATGCGTCGGGCGAGGAACTTAATGTTGAATGTATCATGCCTAAAGCGTGGAGGAGCATGATGGAGTGGCTTGGAAAGGCTCATACGGATCCAAACTTCGGGGAGGTGCAGTTGGTTCTTCAAGATGATGTGGAAACGACGGCTTCAGCAGATAAAGGGAGCGAGGAGTGAGTTTCTAGTGAGAGGGGGTCGTGGACGGTGGAAGTCCCTGGATATCGTCTGCAGATTGCAACATGCAACTAATCGAAGATCATACAGTCTCATGTCTGTGCTGGGCTATATCGTAGATGATGGTTCAATTCATGATGGCAAACCTTCCTGCGTAGTAGGGTATATATATAAACGTCTCTAGAAGTAATAGTGTCCCAGTAGGGTCCTAGTAGTCGAATATATGTACATAATCTACCAATCCGTCTCACTCTCGCTGCCCGGATATGCCTTCTTCCTCAACTTCCACATGGTCTTTTTCTGGTTGGCGCTATCGCCCGGTCTCGAGGATCGCCTGGTATCTTCCACGACTGTCATCCATGGGACATTGCCTGCGCGTCGTACCCGTTCTCTTAGCAGCTGAGATACCTCTTTCTGTTTCCGCGCGTCTGTATGTGTCTTCTTTGATGCTGGTTGACCGGCCTTCGCTTTCCTTGCTGCTGCCACATTGGCCGAGTGACGGCGCTCTGCTGCTCGGGCGGCGTAATACTCCTCAGCGATTGCCCAGTCGGGATTATCCAATTGCCCGCGGACAAGGACGATGCCTTGGCTTGTCTCTAGCGCATCGCGTATGGTAGAAATCGGGATGGGAGTGACGAGGTCTAGTTTGCGGGTTGAAGGGTGGATGCCCCGGACAAGAGCGAGGCCAAGGGAACGAGAATGTTTCGGGTTGAGTGGGGTACAGCTGCCAGATCCGATAAAGAGGTAGGGGAGATCCTCACGCTGAGTGCGAGTTATGAATGGCTGCAGAGATGATAGAAGCGTAGATTGTGACAAGGACTTGTTGGCTGGAGAATCGGCCGCATCATCCATGTTAGTGTCGGGATCGATATCAGACTGTTCTTCCTCATCTTCCATTGCGTGTTCCGAAAGGTCAGCGTTGGCCGGAAGTCCAGCGATAGCGTTTTGATTCTCAACTGCAACAATAGATACGATGGAACCATCCAACAGATCATGGAGAAGCTCTGGGTTGTGATGTGCACCCATTACCATGACTCCTAATATCCCTTGCCGTGAACCGGCGTAGTCGACACTCAATGGCTGCATGCGGTTCAGAGGCGTATTATACCATACATGGCTCTGAATCTGGGCTGGTTGGTATCTGTGGAAATATGACTGCATCTGCATGGAACGCAGTTGTGCACTGGACCTCGTAACGTACTCGGTAGGCTGCGAAGGAAGTGTGATCATGTTGACCATAGCTTCACTGGCTGCCTGTGCGAGAGGCTCTGCAACCTCCGACGGTCCTTTCTCACTCATGTAAACAACATCTGATAGTCCAAGCGACTTGATAAGCCATGTGGCAACCTCCAAGCCCAGTCCGAAGATCCACCCTGGGAAATTGATGATCAAAGAGCATTGCGGATAATCTGCAAGTAGTCTCCTGTAACGATCCATAAGGTCCGTTGCTGCGAGTACGTAGTGGTCTGGGTCTTCTTTTGGTGAAGTGGCCCCGATATGATGAGAGCGAAGAATAGACCCATCTTTCGATCCGTCCAGGGATGGATGGGAGAACGGGGGACCAAAGCACGGTGTACGTATATGGGCCAGATATACTTCCCCCATGGGTGAGAATTCCGGCTGTCCAGGATCAAGGTCCAAGAAAGCAACTCCATCAGTATTGCTGTAACCGTTTTCAGTCTGCGGTGCTGGACTGAGCAGGTGATTCAGTAGGTAACGGCTAAATGTCGACTTTCCCGAAGCCTTCGGGCCGCACACAAGCACTCTGAGCCCTCCGACCTTCTGAGACAGATGCTTTATAGCAGTGCTCCATTTCTTGTCGAGATGCAAAGGCCGTAGGTGCCGCCCCAAAGGGTCATCGGAAGAGGTGTAAAGCTGCAGAAGGGTTATTGAGAAATTCAGACTGGGTAGTTCTGTGGGGATGGCATTACTTACAACAGAGAATGTCCGTCGGGAATTCCCTTTCAAGGTCGCCTTATCAGCAGCCGTACTCTTGCTATTCCATATTCGCTGGTACAGAGGCGATAGGTCTTCAAGTCGGTATATGCCACTATGACACGAGCTGATCTCAACTTCCGCATAACCCTCGATTCCAGTGACGCACTTTATAACAGGAAGAGAGTGAGTAGATGGCGCATAAACCCTGTAGAGATTGGGCGACGGGTGCAATTTCGCACCCATCAAGCTGATCACGCCCCGTTTCACCCAAATATCGTACTGTCCCACGGCAACCAGATTCTAGTGTAGAGTAAGCGACTGATGCTTGTACCAATTGAATAGAGGACCAATTACCATCTTTTCTCTGATGCGAACACAGAGCCGATGCTCGTCAGCATAGACGATGCTAGACTTGTTCAGGCGTGTCTTCGAAAGAGGAAAGTTCTCGATTTCGGTTGCTACGTTCGTGGGAGATTCGTAACTTGGAAGAAATTAGCTTCAGTGATCCAGTCTTTGGCAATTATACGAACCTCTCGTCATCCTCATTTTGCGCGAGGATCTCTTCATCAACGCCATCCGACATGCTGATATCTCCATTTCCCTCTTCCCATCGTGATTCATCCGCGCTGGGTTCGTCAGACCGTAGTTTTGACACCTGCGGCGCAGATTCCACGATAACATCCTGCTTTCCTTCTGCAGAACTTTTCTTGTTCCTTCTTCTCCTATCGGGACGGGGCTTTGCGCTATCCGTCCATTTCTCATCTGTCGGAGGTGAAGGCTTCGTCCGTTTTGTCGGAGGCTCTTCCGTTGCTCGAGGATCTGGTGAAGGACTTATGGGTACAATGACCTGTTGCTGGGATTGCCTAGCTCTTCGCGCAGCAATGGCACTGAGTGCGCTGACAGGAGCTGGAAATATTCACGTCAGTAAATGCTCTGCGCGGAGATAGAACTTCTTAGCGGGGCCACGAAACGAAAAAAGCATCATACCAGCTGATTGCTGCTTCTCGGCCTTTCTCTTCATTATCAGTGGCTGCGCCTTGTGACTGCTGTTCAATACAAATATCTGCAATCATAAAAAGCACATTGCTGAGGCACACTGTCAAGCTCCAAATGCTTGGTGCAGCGGAGATCTAGTCTTCTCCGAAATATTCGAGCTGCGGGACTGATAAGTTGGTCCGTGCTTGGCGGAATCGAGAAAAAAGTTGCCCGCAATCAACCATCCAACGCCTTTATCGCACCCAGCAGGCTTCTGCTCATAGCAACATATCTCGTGGTCAGTGAACCCGTGATTGTGAGCGCTAGCCCATCCGGAGAGGCTTTCTACCAGAATATTTACAGTTCTCAGAGAATTGGCATTCTACCAGCCTCCCGTATCTGGCGCTTACCAACTGCATCTTTCTGAGCCTACTCTATTATCGCACGCTAATCCAGCATGGCGCGTCAGTCGAAGATTGATCCGCCCTCAGAGAGTGGCGATAGCTCCTCGAGCGGCTCGAGCGTTTCGGAGCAGACTGTGAAAAAGTCGAAGGTGCCGGAATCGCGGTCGGAGACGAAGACAAAGAGCAAAAAGCAGCAAAGTGACTCCAGTTCCGATAGTGAAGGCAGTGATGGATCTAGTGGAAGTGAGTCGGAAAGTGAGGATGCTTCGTCGCAAAGTGGAACGTCGCAAAGTGGAACGGCGAGCGAGTCGTAAGAGCTCCATGGAAGGATGCGCGTTACTTTCTAATACTGACTGCTTGGAATAGCTCCTCAGAAGATGAATCTGATAGCCCGCGCGAAGCTTTCAGACCACCGCCTGGATTCAAGCCCGTCAAGTCTCAGCGCACTCCTTCCTCTGGTGTGAAGTCCATTCTTTCGGACCTCCGAGGCAAACAGATCTTCCATATCACAGCTCCCGCCTCTCTACCTCTTTCATCGATCAAGGAAGTGTCGCTCGCAAAGGTCTTGAGTGGAGAGCCCGTGCTGGAACACAGGGGTGTGCAGTACGGGATTCCAGCAGACAGCATCAATCAGCAAGATGCTGATCAGAAGATTCTGCTGGCCTACGACGAGAAGAGCCAGACCTACCACAGTACCTCCATCGGAAACATCCAGAGCTATCACTTGCAGGAACTGGTTAGCCTGCCTAAGGGGACAGCTTACAACAAGGAGAAGCCAGATGCCAGCAAGCCTCCGCGACCACAACCTAAGGACTTGAAAATGCGTTTCCGACCAGTCGGGAGCACGTACGGTCCCCCTGAGACGATAGGTACTAGCGATGAGGAGTCCGAAGGAGAACAGACTTCGTTCAAGTTCCCCAAAGGATCCAAGGCCGAGCGGGAAGAGCGAAAGCGCAAGCACCAACAGACTGAAGGAGACGAGAAGACTGTGGAAGTGGCTCCTCGAAAGAAGTCGAAGAAGCATTCCTCTGAGGAGAATGGCAAGGCGGAGCCCTCGCAGGATGCTGCTGAGGGGCAGGGTCGTGATAAACCCAAGAAGTCGAAGCACAGTGAGGAGAAGAAGCGCAGGAAAGCGGAAAAGGCTGCATAGATGTGGGCAATAGGCGTTTTGTGTGTGCTTTTTGACACGGATTTCCTTCTTTGACTTTGGCCTAGAAAAGTTCGTGGGATAGATGTATGTATGTAAACTGGTATATTTGTTGCAACAAGAGATAATCTCCCTGGATCGGCTGTGCCGCCAGGGAAGGGTATACTACGCATCACTCTCATCAATAGCTACTCCCACAACTTCCTGCACCACTAATGTAGGATTGGTAGCCTGTAGAAAATAGAGATAAATAAAATATATAAACAATAAAGATATAAATAATGAATGATATATAGAGAACTGATCGTGATGCTCCGATGTCGTCCACCAGGTGCTCTCGCTAGCCGGAAACAGTCGCCAAGGCCGTCCGGTGTGGCCACGAGGGGCGAAGCGGCAGAAAAAAAAATAGATAGAGCGGCGTTTGAAATGTCCGCATCGGACGGCGATCCAGAAAAAAGGATCTGGGGCGGACTCACCTTTTTTCCCTCCTCGATTTAATCTAATCCTCTCTCCTTCACACCCTCATCCTGCGTGGAATTTGTCTCTGGATCTTCGATTTGACTCAGAAGACATCTCTTCATACACAATGGCCACCTACGCTCTGTCGTCGTCCCACCGGGACGTGAGTATACCCCGCTATCTCATCTCACGTCGACAACTGCCATACTGACTCATGGACTGTAGCTCCTCGAGAAGTCTCTGGTCGAGACCGACCCTGAGATTGCTGCGATCATGGTATGTCCCATTTATTGCAATGTTATCTGCCGTTCCAGGGCAGATATATATATAGATAAAATATCATTGCCAATGTTCTCGAGCTGACCACCCCGCTCCATGCAGGAAAAAGAGATCCAGCGTCAGCGCGAGTCGATTGTCCTGATTGCTTCCGAGAACGTCACCTCGCGCGCTGTCTTCGATGCTCTGGGCTCGCCTATGTCCAACAAATACTCTGAGGGTTACCCCGGTGCCCGTTACTACGGTGGTAACCAGCACATCGACTCCATCGAGCTCACCTGCCAGTCTCGTGCCCTGAAGGCTTTCAACCTGGACCCCGCCAAATGGGGTGTCAACGTCCAGTGTCTGAGTGGTAGCCCTGCCAACCTGCAGGTCTACCAGGCCCTGATGCGCCCCCATGACCGTCTGATGGGACTGGATCTCCCTCACGGTGGCCATCTGAGCCACGGCTACCAGACTCCCCAGAAGAAGTATGTTTTGCCCTTTCTTTTCCAGGATATCGACGTGCCATGGTATTAACACCAGTATCAGGATCTCCGCTGTCTCTACCTACTTCGAGACCTTCCCCTACCGTGTTGACCTGGAGACTGGCATCATCGACTATGACACCCTCGAGGCCAACGCCCAGCTCTACCGCCCCAAGTGCCTTGTTGCCGGTACCTCCGCCTACTGCCGTCTGATCGACTATGCGCGCATGCGCAAGATCGCCGATTCCGTCGGTGCCTACCTCATCGTCGACATGGCTCACATTTCCGGTCTGGTTGCCGCTGGTGTGATCCCATCGCCGTTCGAGTACGCTGATGTCGTGACCACCACCACTCACAAGTCGCTCCGTGGTCCTCGTGGTGCCATGATTTTCTTCCGCAAGGGTGTCCGCAGCACTGACCCCAAGACCGGTAAGGACATCATGTATGACCTTGAGGGTCCCATCAACTTCTCTGTGTTCCCCGGACACCAGGGTGGTCCTCACAACCACACTATCACTGCCCTTGCCGTGGCCCTCAAGCAGGCCGCCACTCCTGAGTTCCGCCAGTACCAGGAGCAGGTTGTCAAGAACGCCAAGGCCGTGGAGCTCGAGTTCAAGAGACTCGGCCACAAGCTCGTCTCCGACGGTACCGACAGCCACATGGTCCTGCTGGACCTCCGCCCCAAGGGTCTGGATGGTGCTCGTGTCGAGGCTGTTCTTGAGCAGATCAACATCGCATGCAACAAGAACTCCATCCCCGGTGACAAGTCCGCTCTGACCCCTTGCGGTCTCCGTGTCGGTACCCCTGCCATGACCAGCCGTGGTCTGGGTGAGGAGGACTTCAAGCGCGTGACTCGCTACATCGACCAGGCCATCAACCTCTCCAAGGAGATCCAGGGCCAGCTGCCCAAGGAGGCCAACAAGCTCAAGGACTTCAAGGCCAAGGTTGCCTCGGATACCGTCCCGGAGATCCAGAACCTCCGCAAGGAGATCAGCGAGTGGGCTTCCACCTTCCCTCTGCCCGTCTAAATTGGAACTTGAGTCCAAGGAAACGGCGTCTATTTGTTTGATTTCATTTTTCCACTTTTATCTTTCAACATGGATTGCAAGCGCAAAAAAAGGTTCCGGGGAACGGGGTTAAAGAACAAAATAACGATATCAAACAGGTCTGGCTTTTCAACCTAGCATGGGGTCATGGACTTGGATATGAGCATGAGTGCTGTGATGTCCTCTTCAACAAGTGATATTTTGATATTTCAACATTCGACCAGGCGCTTGGATCGTGTAGTACGAAGGTTAATTCTTCGCCATTGAGCTCTTCTCTATTATATGGATCGCATCTATAGCCATTGGGCCAAAACATAGCTTCAAACCAAGAAGCACCATCTTCTTCATCTTTTTTCAGACTCTTGTTCAAAGTCTCTTCACGTTCCGCAGTATATCCATCATCAATTCATTGTAGGAAGGATGTGCTGCGCACCGGTGGACGGTGTGGTCTCCTGTAGAGCACAGTGCGGAGGTTCCTGCTTCCGGCGATAGAATCAATCTTGGTCGTGCACATCTTACCCAGAGGGACTGTCGCCCAGAGGGACTGTCACACGCGCATAACTCGAGCGATGTATAACCGCGGTGTGATCCTCCATAAAAGTAAACGTTGTTCTCGTACGCCTTTGACTGGCGTCTGTCTTCAAGTGACCATTTTCGTATCCTCAGCCTGGTCCCCGCCCGCAATCCTTCCAAACTCCCCGATGACTCTGCGCAGCCTGCTGATACGGTCCTCCAACTCCTCGATCTCCTGCGATTGATCCTCTACAGTGCGGTCGACATCTGGTAAGGCTTCGACGACTGTGCGAGCTTTCTGGATCCGGATCTTGATAGCACTGGCTGCCGTAGGGAGGTCTTTCACATCCAAGGGCGGCGGCGCATTGGGCCCCAGAGCAGCAGCCCCGGACGTCGAGGAGGCTCCTGAGATACCAGCGGTATGGTGCCGCTGCGATGATCCGTTGTTGGAGGTGCTTGTTCCCGCGCCGCCGAGGTTGGAGGGCTGCAGGTGTTGAGACTGGCCCGGACCAGAGGATGAGGGTCCTGCGCCAGACGCATCTCCGCCGTCTCCAACACCAGCGCCAGAGCTATCACTGCCCACCTGAGCTGCCAGCAACCGCAGAATCAGGGCATGAAGCTGTGGGAGAAAGTCGAAGTTCTGCGGAGACGGGAAAGGCACTGCGCCTGGAGAGGCTGCGGCGGTTGCGCTGGGGGTTTCGGGCGCGGACGAGCCTTTAGCCAGAGGCGTGCCGGAGACAGGAGATCGGGATGTCATGAGAGCAACAATAATGATGATTAACCGTCCAGATGTGATTGACAGCTGTTAATTAGCATTTAGCCAGGGCGACAGTCCGTCGATCCGTTAGGGTAAAGTCGGAAGAAGACAGGACGAACGAGGATGTCGGGCAAAAGCAAAGGAGCGCGTCTGACGTCGGATGATCGCGAGCGACCAAAAGTGTCACCGAGACTGACTGCCCCTCCTCTCTCGCCTCACCGGGGAGGGCCGTCTTTTTCTCTCCTGCGAACCTCCCACCACGCTTGTTGCAATAGTGTTTCCTCGTGGCTTCTGTGCTTGTTGAGCAGTCTGGATTCATCTGGTATCCTCTGAATACACCCTGGTAGCAGCAACACTTGTCAATTCCATTCGTCCCGTTTCCATCTATAGATATCTACTTCTTTTCATATCATAGGACCGTCTGATCCATCACCATGGCCAAGGTCGACCACAAAGTCTGCCTGAGTATGTCTGGGCTTCTTGTCTTTTGAAACTATGATACGAACACCAGCTAATGCGTCTCTACTATTGCACAGTCGTCATCGATGGCTGGGGTGTTGCAGGCCCGAACTCCCCGCCCGAGGGCGATGCCATCGCCGCCGCAGAGACCCCGCACATGTCGGGCTTCGCAGAGGCCAACTCGAAGACTGCTCAGGGATATACCGAGCTGGATGCATCTTCTCTGGCAGTTGGATTGCCCGAGGGCCTCATGGGCAACAGTGAGGTCGGCCACTTGAACATTGGTGCTGGCCGCGTCGTCTGGCAAGACAGTGTCCGCATTGACCAGACTCTAAGGAAGGGCGAGCTGAACAAGGTCGACAACATTGTCAAGTCATTCACCCGCGCCAAGGAGGGCAATGGCCGTCTGCACCTCCTCGGTCTCGTCTCGGACGGTGGTGTCCACTCGAAGCAGGACCACCTGTTCGGCCTGCTGAAGGTCGCCAAGGAGATTGGAGTGCCCAAGGTCTTCATCCACTTCTTTGGCGATGGCCGTGACACCGACCCCAAGAGCGCTACCAAGTACATGCAGACTCTGCTTGACCAGTTGAAGGAGATCGGCGTTGGTGAGCTGGCCACCGTTGTCGGTCGTTACTATGCTATGGACCGTGACAAGCGATGGGACCGCGTTGAGGTCGCCGTGAAGGGCATTGTCACCGGAGAGGGTGAAGATAGCACTGATCCTGTCAAGGCCATTGAGGACCGCTATGCTAAGGGTGAGAACGATGAGTTCCTGAAGCCCATCATCTTCGGTGGCAAGGAGAGGAGAGTCCAGGGTAGGTTGAGACAATTCCCCTTTCACGGATTCTGCTCAGACTGACGACAATGGATAGACGACGACACCCTGTTCTTCTTCAACTACCGCTCCGACCGTGTTCGTGAGATCACCCAGCTTCTGGGAGACTACGACCGCTCTCCCACGCCCAACTTCCCTTACCCCAAGAACATCCACATCACCACCATGACCCAGTACAAGACTGACTACACTTTCCCCGTTGCCTTCCCTCCGCAGCACATGGGCAACGTGTTGGCCGAGTGGCTCGGTAAGAAGGATGTTAAGCAGTGCCACGTTGCTGAAACTGAGAAGTACGCCCACGTTACGTTCTTCTTCAACGGTGGTGTCGAGAAGCAGTTCCCTGGTGAGGAGCGTGATATGATTCCCTCTCCCCGCGTTGCCACCTACGACCTCGACCCCAAGATGAGCGCTGCCGGTGTTGGTGAGAAGATGGCCGAGCGTCTGAGCCAGGGCAAGTTCGAGTTCGTCATGAACAACTTCGCTCCTCCAGACATGGTTGGCCACACTGGTGTCTACGAGGCTGCTATCCAGGGTGTCGCTGCCACGGACAAGGCCATCGGTGTCATCTACGAGGCCTGCAAGAAGAACGGCTATGTCCTCTTCATCACTGCGGATCACGGGTAAGTTATAGTTCCTTTACTATCATTATACTGTTGAGTCCAGCTAACCTCCGGATGTAGTAACGCCGAAGAGATGCTCAACGAGCAGGGCAAGCCCAAGACCTCTCACACTACCAACAAGGTGCCCTTCATCCTGGCCAATGCCCCCGAGGGCTGGAGCCTCAAGAAGGAGAACGGTGTCTTGGGTGATGTCGCCCCAACTGTCCTTGCCGCCATGGGCATTGAGCAGCCCGAAGAGATGACCGGAAAGAGCCTTCTTGTCCGGGCATAGATTCCCTTGCACATTTAATCTCGTACAGTTAAGGGGTTCTCAGCTCCGGTTCTATGACTGCTATTTGATACTATTTTGATGATGATAAACGAGGGATAATGGTGTACGTGAATTGCTACCAGGAAGTCTTTTTTTGGTGATGTCGGTGTTGAGTTGATTCCCTATACGCATGAGGAGTGAAATGACGGTGTAGAGTAGATGGGGGTGTTGTTTTTTACAGTGGGAAGGGATTGGCTAAAGAATTCTGCTCAAGTGCACACCAGCATCGGTGTATGAAAACAATTAACAACTTTTGTGTATATGTGCACATCGAGACAGCTGACTCCAGCTAGTAAAGTAAGGTCCTAAGTCTTTTTTGCTTGTAGTCAAACAGGCATATTTCATCGACATCGGGCTTCGACACAATCAGGAGAGCCAGTCATTCTGATTATTTTGTTTATATCCTCATGGGCTCAGTAGAATCCCCCTCTTTTCCCACATAATGAAGATAAACATTATTCGAATCAAGACTTCGGCCATGACCATTGACCACCAAGTTAACAGCAGATGGGTGAACGGCCAACAAGAAGTCCACCTTATACATAGGAACCAGACATTTGGTATCTTCCTTCAGATCCGCACGTGTCTCATCTCGTTGAATTAAACCAAGCCATCATTGCAGTGGGTAGCGGACCTTTTTTATGACGCCGCAGCCGCGGCAGCCTGCTGCTGGATCTGAGACTGGAATTGGACGACCTGGAAGAAAGACGTGGTCAGCTTGATTCCGAATATACTCGCTTTAGAATGAGGGCTCTTGGAAATGCGTACCTCTGCGCGCTTCTTGTCGCTCTTGTCCTGAAGATCTTGGATCTGATCCTCAATTCGCTTACTGTAGAAACGGCCTGCGTCAGTAGACTGCGTTCGAAGATTGCAAAGCAAAGCAAGCCTAGTGGACGTACATCTCCTTCTCGATGAACTCTAGACGACCGTCCACTGCCATGGTGGCTTCGGTCTTGTCCTGCTTCAGGAGGACGGGCCCCACGAGCTTGTAGATATTTGCGTCCTCATCGAGGGAAGCGAATTCCTATATGCGCCGTTGGTGTCATGAACAATAACCGCAACTTGCGTGCTTCTCCTTATCCAAGAGCGGATCAATGCGCACCTTCTGTACAGCCTTGTTCTCCTGCTGCTGCGACTCGAGCTTGTGACGGGCCTCGATATTGGTCTCGAGCTCTGCGGGACGTCTTCGTTAGACCCTGACATCACAGGAAATGCGCGCGGGGAGAGACCTACCTGTCTGCAGCTTCTGGTACTCGTCCGATAGCGCCTGCAGCTGCTTCTGGACGTCCGCCATGATCGCTAACTGGTGCAGTTGAGGGGGATGTTGCTCTTGGAGCACGAAGGTCTGGGCTGTTGGATCGCTACTCTACTTAGCGGGGCGACGCCGACTTCTCCCCACGATAACTTATCGAGCTCGGCCCTGCAGAAACAACAACCGTTAACGACCACAACATAGACCTCATCCTCGCGCCGTCCTGCCATTCTGTCTTCCTTAGGACGTCATTTTACGACAGAGTCATTCCATTAATCTTCCTTTGTTTATCTACCTCCTATCTCTTCCTCTCGCGTGCCCCCATTTGACTCGCCGCCGAAGACCAACCCTTGCGACGACTTGAACCGCGGTGAGGCGGTCACGATAATTCTCGTCTTTTCTACATAGCGACGACCTTTCTAGCATTTACGGAACGAGTTTTCGCCATGAGTAATACCGACTTCCTGGGACGGGCCATCGACACGGTCAAGAAAGCCATCGAGCTCGACAATGGCGGCGAGTACGAGAAGGCGTACCAGACATACTACTCTGCCTTGGAGCTGTTCATGCTCGCCCTGAAATGGGAGAAGAACCCCCGATCAAAAGAGATGATCCGGGCCAAGACCGGCGAATATATGGAGCGCGCGGAGAAGCTCAAGAACCACTTGGCGCAGCAAGGGGAGAATCGGAAGAAACCCAGCGCTGTAGGCGCGAACGGGAAGGTGGCGCAAGGAAGTGGGAAGGGAGCGTATGTGAACTCTGGTCTTCCTTTATATTATACTCTATTTTGGCTGGAATCGTAAGCTCGAAGTCCTGTGCTGATTACTTGAGATTTGCTATAGTAAGGAGGACGAGGAGGAGGACGCCGATGCGAAGAAGCTGCGAGGAGCTCTGGCCGGTGCTATATTGTCAGAAAAACCAAACGTTCGATGGGAGGATGTTGCTGGTCTGGAGGCAGCCAAGGAGGCTCTCAAGGAAGCCGTCATTTTGCCTATCAAGTTCCCTCATCTCTTCACTGGAAAGCGGCAACCCTGGAAGGGTATATTGCTCTATGGACCCCCCGGTACCGGAAAGTCGTACCTGGCCAAGGCTGTCGCGACGGAAGCAAACAGTACTTTCTTCAGTGTCAGCAGTAGTGACCTGGTGTCAAAATGGATGGGTGAGAGTGAGAGGTGCGTTTGCTGAATTTGACTCCCTGTTGGTGTTGGACGTTTGGACTGATTCGATCTCCAGGCTCGTGAAACAACTGTTCAACATGGCTCGAGAGAACAAGCCCGCCATTATCTTCATTGACGAAGTCGACGCTCTCTGTGGGCCCCGTGGTGAGGGTGAATCAGAAGCGTCTCGACGTATCAAGACGGAATTGCTTGTCCAGATGGACGGTGTAGGCAAGGATTCTCGAGGCGTGCTGATTCTGGGCGCAACGAATATTCCTTGGCAACTCGACGCTGCCATCCGTCGACGATTCCAACGAAGAGTTCACATCAGTCTTCCTGACATCAATGCACGGATGAAGATGTTCATGCTGGCCGTGGGCTCGACGCCGTGCGACCTGACGCAAGCAGACTACCGGCAATTAGCCGAGATGAGCGAAGGATACTCCGGTAGCGATATCAGCATTGCCGTTCAGGATGCGTTGATGCAGCCTATTCGTAAGATCCAGACTGCGACGCATTACAAGAAGGTAAATATATATACCTTCCCTTAACATACATTCTGAAAGCAGTTACTAACTGATCACTTGAAAAGGTTATCGTTGACGGTGCCGAAAAACTCACTCCCTGTTCACCGGGTGACGAGGGAGCGATGGAGATGTCATGGACCGAAGTTGAATCAGACCAGCTTCTGGAACCGCCGCTGGTGCTCAAGGACTTCATCAAGGCCATTAAGAATTCGCGACCGACGGTCAGTCAGGAAGATCTGACGCGGAACTCGGAGTGGACGGCAGAATTCGGCAGCGAAGGTGCATAGGGTGCCTATCGGAGAATTAACATAATGTTGCCATTCTTATTTTGTTCCCTTCCTTTCCATTTTCTCTCGAAAGTCAATCAAGGTAGAAAGCAAGACTACAGAGGTGACCATTGGCCTGGGTGATTGATCTGGTTTCAGGTGGGGAGAGCAGGTCATGGGGAGCTCATTTTCTCTATCATTTGGCTCGTTAACAATGGGAGCTCCAATTTCGAGGTACCACCTTTATTTGTCTCTTTGGTATACTCTTCACCATACCGCGCGGTGTTCACAAGCGTTGAAACTCAGGTTGGGCGTTTTTTTCTCTTCTTCGATTCTTGAGTTCATGAATATAAGTAACGTCTGGATTCGCGTCCTCTTTTCATTTTTTCTTTACATTTCTTGGTTCCCATATTTTCTGTTCATGGGTAGAACCAACTGATCTCACTTCTTCAACTGGTTAAATGGGCGCAGACAAATAAAAGAAAAACTATGATCATTGCAGATGAAAAATATCAAAGAAATTAGAAGCTCTGAAAAGGTACTCTAAAAATTCGTGGTCAACTTACATGACGCTAGTTTCGAAGATGCTAACGTACTGTGTTATACAGTAGAGAGAGTCATATATTAGGACTCACCTAGGCGGCCCTTCATAGAGCTGTCTAGACCACGAGCTTTATGCATGAATCAGTCTATACATAGGTGTCTAGACACTCTAGCCCCGATAGGCAGTAATATAGTATATACACACTACCGGTTCCGTCCACTATATACTTAAGTATGAACCACGAAGAAGAAGAAGAAGAAGAAGCATCTACGCCTTCCAGTTCTTGAAGTCACGAAGCCATTTCTGAACCGTGCGAATCTCCCAGTAATGAGCCTCGCGGATGAACTGAGGTTCTGCATCAACATCGAGAATGCCGTAGCTGTTATTCTGTTAGCAATGGGTGTCCCTCCCCCTTCTCCTTACGAAGTTGGGGTTGTAATTAATATTAATTAATATTGCTTGCTATTCTGCATGCTACTCACCTATCCCAATGATGGCCAGCGCCATTGATTAGCAATTCTGGGTGTTTGTTGGTAGAGTATCGTTGCGGGGCATCTTTGCTATGATAACATAGTTGGTTCCAGACGTCGGAGCCTGGGTGTTATATAGTTAATCATCTTTTCTCTCATTCTTTGATAACTATGTTTCTGGCCACTGTATAAAAATACAGGGATGGAAAGGAAAGTGAAAGAAAAGAAAAGAGCATGTATGAATGAATACACTTACTACCATCAATAAAAGCCAATCTATCCGCACTGATATTGAACCCGCCGTATCTATTCCAATAATTCAAATCAGGCGTAGACGGAATACTATTATACTTGCCCTTGGGAAAAGCCCATTCGCACCACTCCTGCGTATAATTAACCTGAAGGACTCTTGAGATCAAGCTCGGTCCCGAAGCCGGCGCGACTTGATAAGCACCCTGCTCGACGCACGTCGTATATAGATAACTCCTCGTTGCGGAATTACTCGTGTCTGCCCAGAAACTGCGGTTCTGGGTACCAAAGCATGCGCTGCTATCGTACTCGCCGCTCGGGCAGAGGGGTAAAACGACGTTCTTGACGTAGTTGGCGTAGTTTCCTAGATTCGTCCATGGCTCCCCGTTCGTGTAATTAGCTAGCTCGTAGTCGATGGCTGTGATATTGTCCGGCGCGTTGATGTCGGTTACGTTTCGGCAGAAATTGAAGAAATCCTCCGACCCATAGGTCGAGTTCCAGTTGAGCTCTTGCCAGGTGTTGGTTGGGTAAATGAATGGACCACCGATGGGGAAGGCGATGGTTTGCGCGAAGTCGCGGATGTCTTTGAGCGCTTCGAGGCCGAAGATCCGCTTGAGATGATTGATGGCGGAGTGCGCGTTGTTCGCGACCAGATGGTCGATCTTGTCGATAATGGCGTTGATGCTGGCGACACAGTCCTGGGGAGCATAGAGCTGGATCGGATAGTACCACTCGGGGTATGCTAGTTTGCCTATGATGGGAGCGCTGCTTGCGATGCCGCCATAGAGCGTATTGCCATATGTGACGAGCGAGAACGCCGTCTGGGCTCCAGCCAAACTGCCCCCGTAGAGAATCCAGGGCGTTTGGGGCGCAGTCAGGTCCGCGTCAATGCCTGGGAATTGGACATGTTGTGCAAAATACTGGTTATCAGCGATGGTCTGCTCTTGAGTTAAATACGCAAGCTCGTCGATCGTGCTGGTGTTGAACGGATAGCTTTCCCCATAGTAGCGGTTCTCCAAGATCACACCGAGGCCATTGGTCGCTTGCATCAATATCTGGATGATGCCCGTCTGGAGATTGGAGTAGCGACTCTCGGCCGATGTCTCCCCGCCGATGTACAGGAAGACAGGCCCGCCAGGCTTGTAATAAGTGTCGTCGAACACATACCGCTGCTTAAAAGTGCCGTTGGTATGTGGTGCATAGCGCGTGCTGTTGGGGAAATGATCGATCTGAAAAGGTCGTCAATGGTGCTAGCACTTCTTGGAATTGAGATCACAGTCCTTATCCTCCACCAACTTACCGGCTGGTCGAAGGTGTACGGCGTGTAGGAAGTCGGCCTGGGGACACTGGTAGACTGAGTCGTCGTCGTCGTCGTCGCAGCGGTCAGACCCAGCAGGGTTGTCGCAAGGAGCACGAGCAGATGCATATTGTCGTATCTAGTTACACAAGAAGCAACAGAGCTAGAACGGGTCAATCTTATTATATAGCTACGGAGTATTACTACGCAGTAATCGCCAACTGACTACCGTGTATGTATGGCATTACCAAGAATTGAGACTCATACCAGCCGGGAATGGAAGGGAACTACTGCAAGATGACCTGCAGTTTCGGGTAAGATGTGCTCGTGGGACGACTGACAATCATCGAATTACAGGCCCGTTAAGTCTGCAGTGGAGGAACTTTCGGATCGTATCTCATAGCCAGGGTGACATCGGGCCAAGTCAATGTCGGTATAGCTGATTCGTGTACTAAACTACCGCTTCCAAAAGAGACGATGGCATTGCATGCTCCAGTTAGACACATCTCGTCTTACGTGATATCGATGCTCTTCTCCGTCAAGTCAACTCGATGCTTAGCGCGGGACTTCGACCGGTTATTGTCGGATTTGGAGTGCAATTCGGATCTTCGGGCTACAAGTTGCAAGCTGAACTGATTGACGGACAGGTAGATAGGATGATATGGATAAAAAACAAAGGTCGCTTCCCTTGGCAGATAGGTAGAAAAACGCGAGGAACCACTTTCAAAGTCTCCTTTTTTTTATTGTTATTTCTTTAGCGCTTATCTATAAACGTAATAATAAGCATGTGTATTGTTAACTTATCGGCAAAAAGTCCATAAAAGATAGTCCATCTCTAAATAACTTATCGGAGTATAAAAGTAGTCGTTAACCGTGAGTAGAACGTAAGAATGTACTGTACCCTGCCCTATCATTTCCCTCCCTTCCTCCTTTCCAAGAAGATCTCCCAAGACAGATCCAAGACAAGGAACTAGACGACAATGCAATGTATAGAACATTGAAAAAGATCCCGCCACATCCAAAAAACGCCCTCGATGTGGTATCCGGAAACAATGTGCAAAAGTGATTGAACAGACAGAATGAATCGCAGTCCAATGACTCCAACATTCCAATCCGAAAGCAACCCAAAAGAGAAAAGATTTATCCGCATCACTCGATACCCTTACGCCGCTGGCTTTCCCTCCTCTTGATCAATTCGCTCTTAGCTCGTCGGAGGCCATCGCCTATTTTCCGAGCCTTGCTCCATTCTTGGCTCATGTTCTTCATCCGTACGGTAGCCATGACCGCAGAGATTACTGTTCGAAGTTTCCGGCGAGGGTCGCCCATCTTCTTACGATCGGGAGCCCTGATGCCCATCTCCGCAATCATTCGGAGATCGGCTTCGTTACTGTAGCACAGAGATTAGCAGGGAAGCACCAAACAAATGCCCATGCAGAGCCGCGCGCGACATACCAAGCAACCCTAACTCGTTCTCCCAACTCCATCAGTCCCTTACTCCAGGCAAGATCACGACGGAACTTCTCTTCTCTCTTCAGCCTAGCTCTCAGCCAAAGTATCTCCTTGCCGAGACCACGAATCTCTTTTTCATGTTTGCCTTTCCGGTCTCCCTTCGTATGACTTTCCATTGCTTGTTCATAGCGATCCTGTAGTGCCTCAAGCTCTCGAGCAATTGAATCAGCTCGCTTGATGGAGGAGGCACGTTCCTCACGGATTCGTCGCAGCTGCGCCTTCAATTCATTCACGCGAGCATCTCGCTCAGAGAGCTTAAGAGCTAGAGATTCTGCTTCAATAGTCGATGACTTAAGAAGCTCGTTGAGATCTTTCTGGTCTTCTTCCCTGAGGGCAGCGCGTTCGAGTTCACGGTTCTTCTCCTTCAAGCGCCTCATAGCTTTCAGCGCATCTGAGAGTTGGCTCCGGAGTTTCCGTAGTTCCTCCTGGACTTTATCGGAAGGAGAAGACTGCGGGGAGTGAGATTCGAATTTCCTCATCTGCAGATCATGTAGCTCCCGCTCAAGTTCCGCAATACGGGTCTTAAAGTCGCGGATAGACGACTTATGGTCAGCTTCTCTCTGGAGCAAGGTCTTTTCTCTCTTGCGAGCTTCATCCAGACTGTGACGGAGCACTGACACGTCCGCCGCAGCGGTGGAAACGTCATTATCGATAGCTGACTGCTGAGAGAGATGTGTCTCCAGTTCCTGTACACGCTTTTCGAGGCGTTGCACCTTGCTTCTAGCTGAAACCAGCTCGCGTTCTCTGCTGTTCGATTTTTCGAGCAACTTGTCCTGGAGTTTGTCAATTTCAGTCGATAGACGGCTTTCCTCTGCTGTTGCCCTTTCGATCTCCGAATTTAGCTCCTTCTCTATGGAATCCCTGGCCTCGACTAATGCCGCTCGTTCCTCCTTGAGCCTATTCACCTCGCTTTCTAGGCGCAGCTTCGATTTCCGTAGTTCGATCTTCTCCTGGTCCAAGCGGTGAGTGTCGTCGAATTTGTTCTGACCACGGTCGACGTGACTTTGAAGCTCATCGCGTTCGGCTTCCACCTCAGCCAATGAGGCTCGAGTGTTGTGTAGGTCGATATTGACCTTGGCAAGTTGGTCACGAAGATTCTGCTTTTCGCTCAAGGCTTTATGCAACTGGTTTTCCAGATCAGATGCACCTTTCTTCAACTGGCTCTTGGCATATTCTTGCTCCTCCTCCAGGCTTGCTTGAAGGAGCACAATCTCGTCTTCCAGAGCTTGCACTCTGTCTCTGAGGGCTGACTCTTCTCGCCTGGCGATCCGAAGTTCATCCTTGACAGAGAGAAGTTCGTTCCGCTGCTCGTCAAGAACCTGTCTCTTATTGACGATATCGTCGTTGAGTTCCCTCACCTGCCGGCTCAGCACGGCCTCCTCATGTAGATGTCGATCCTTCTCGCTGTCAATGACTTCCTGGAGCTTCGCTTCTCTCCCTGAGAGAGTTAGCTCAACATCTTGCAATTTCTCGATGGTGCGCTTGAAGCCAGCCGCTTGCTCCTCCGCTCTTTCTTTTTGGGACTGCAGTGTTCTCTTGGTGCTCTCCCATCGGTCCTGATCAAGCGCAAATTGGCCTTCCTTATCTTCTATCTCGTGCTGAAGAGACTCGATCTCTTCCTGAAGCCGCTCGATCTCCTCTTTATATTCGGCGTTAATAGCTTGGTTGTTGTCAAGAGCATGCTGTCGCTCATCTTCTAGCGCTTCTTCAAGCTCTCGGATCGTTGACTGTGCTTTCGCCAGCTCTCGCTGCAGGCTCGCAGACTCGTCAGTCAGTGCGGAATGCCGAGTCTTCAATAGCTCCTTTTCATCCGCCTTGCGGTGAACATCATCCAGGACATCTCTCAGGCGTACAGAGAGATCGCTTCGCTGTTGCTGAACCATCTCCCGTTCGCTTTTCACTCTTTCGAGTTCCTCCTGTAGCTTACGGTTCTCAGCGGTAAATTCTTGCTGCATCTCTCGAAGTTGTTTCTCTAGATCAGCTTCGCGTCTGGCCTTGGTGCCGAGCTCTTCATTCAGATTGTCATGGTCTCTTCGCAGCTCCGCGAGCTCATCTTCCAATTTACTTGCCTTCTCCTCGAGTTGGCGGCTGAGCCCTCTTGTGTTGAAAGACTTGTTGGCCATCTCCTCCTGAAGCTCCCTCAGGTCCTCTTCGGCCTTCTGCTTCTCCTCCATTGCTTGATTTTGAGACTCCTTAGCTTCTTGTGCCTCAGACCTCGCTTTCTCAAGGCTTTCATGGAGCTCCTCAAGCTGCTCTTTTGCGCGCTCTAATTCCGCTTCCAGTTCCGCGGCAGCTTCGTTTTCTTTCCCATCTCTTTCCTTCAGATTGTCAATTTCTTCCTCGCGTTCATCGATAATCCGATCTTTTTCTCGGACGCTTGCTTCAAGATCCTCAATCTCGTCCCGAAGTCGTTCGATCTCCTCTGATTGCTTGTCTTTGGCCTCTTTAAGCTCTTCCTGAAGCTTCTTGACCTGATTCCCTCTATTCTCGACCTCTTCGCGCATCCATTCCATTTCGCGTCGTCCTTCCTCATCGAGCTGTCTTTTCTTGGCCTTGTCTCGAAGCTCCTGAAGTTGCAGACGATATGCTTCGAGGTCGCGCTCTGCTTGGAGAAGGTTCTTCTTGTATCTGGCAATATCTCTCTGCATCGTGATTTTGGTGACCTTCAGCTCCGTATTTTCTTGGAGAGCGGCTTGATTATATTCGGGACCAGCTTTCTGTAGTTGCTCCTGCAGGTAGTGGATCTTCAATTTCAAGCCAAAGTTATCCTTGTCTAGCTTGTCGATTATCTGCGCGTTTTTTCACATGGTGTCAGTAGTGTTCTTCCAGCCAGACGTTATCCACGTTGATTTCCGCAGATGTCGGCATCAACCTCTTACCTTTTCCTGCTCCTTCAATGTCATCATATTTTGACCATCACTGACTACACCTCCATCTCTTCCCGGAAGCATTGGTAAGGGAGTGCTTTGCGCACTACTGCTTGCAACCTCCTGAGGGAGAGGTGTCACGTCATCTGTGGCGGTCGCATCGTCACCGTAGATATCCGTCATGTCTATGGGCGGCAGTCCGGGCGTATTAGCGTTGCTTCGATAGCTGGCTCTTAGGTATGCGGGAGTTTGCGGCACGCCATTCCCTCGCGCAGCAGACATATTTCGCAGATAATTATTCCTCGTCGCGCTCTTCATCATTGGCGTGAATTCGCCCTTGGGAGGCGCTGCTGATGGCAGATTTCTTCGATGGTCCAATGCATTTCGGGTCGTCTTTGGTCCAGAGCCTGCGCGCGGCGTCCTGAGGCTGAAACCGCTCGAACCGCGTCGTCGTCCATTTTCCATTGACTTGATAATATCATCCTCCTTTGATGGCGTCTGAAATGAATTTTCTACCGATTCCAGTGCAGACAGATGAGATCTGGCGACACTCCGTAAACCGTTGGTCATGTAAGTCGCGTTTCCGTCGACTTCGGTGCGCGGCGTGTCGATGTAGGGCAGCGCCATGGTGGGCGCCGGAGCACTAAACGCGTATTATCACGATGATCGGGGTTCGATATCAAAAGACACAGCGCATAACCATGGCCGCAATTGCCCTGTAAAAGTAAGATATACGGAGGCAGAATGTAATCAAGTTCATTTAGTGGGAAAGACGTGTTTGGGCAGAGCGGGCGCAGGCGTGTATGGCGGCCCGTTGTTGAATTCTAGCCGGATCCGGACTAGCTCGCTGCGGAGCTTCGAGGGCAGAAAAAGCATGCGGGCCGACTGTTTCTCCGGATATCAGTATGCCTGCGGGAATATTATTGTATGAAGTCATTCCATACGGATCGGGGGTTGGATATTGTCAATCATTTTGCGCTCAAGATGGCGCCTATGTCGCAGGAGGACCTCGAGTGGTTCAAGTCCACTTTCCATCCGATTCCTAAACCCCAGCTGCCGGACGACAGCGTGGAATACTCGCTATATCTTATTCCCTCCGGCCCCGCCCCCGCCGCCGCCGAGGAAGCTGCTGAAACACGGTCGCGTCTGCACGAAGTCCAGAAGACGGCGTCTGAACTCACGAAGACCTTGTTGAAGGATTATATCTGGCAGCGAGATGCCTTCAGTCTGGAGATTGCCAAAGAAAATGGTAAGGAGTCTGCTGTTGCATTCCGCCAACGGTGGCGAGAACCGAAGCTGACATATATCTACTACTAGGTATTACACTACTGCGAGGGCGAACAAACTATGGAGACTCTATTGAAGATGAATGGGTCATTGTGTATATCCTACGCGAACTGACGAGAAGGCACAAGGATCTCTGGGTCAAGGTCGTAGACAGTGATGGCGAATTCCTTCTTGTCGAAGCCTCTGGTACTCTGCCAGCATGGTTAGAACCCGAAGTTGCAGACAATCGAGTGAGTCTATGAAAAGCGGTATTTGGCAGAGCATATCGAAACTAATGCTGGAAATAGGTGTGGATCCATGATGGCGAATTGGTGATCATACGACCGAAGCAGGAGCCGAAAGGCTCCAAGAGAACAACGGAAAAGATATCGCTCGAGGAATCCAGACGAATTATACGGGAAGAGCCGAAGCGACTTATGCGGTCTGCGATGATACAGGAAGAAGCGTTCTATAGGCTACGGAACTATCCCAAGCAGATCAGTGAAAATCTTCACTCCGCTTTGGTGACTCTTCCACGAAAAGTTGCGTACTTGCTGCATCAGAAACCTGCATACGTTTCTCCTGCAGTTGAAACTTTCTACCTCAGAGATCCAATAGCTCTTCGACCACTCTGTGCCAAAGACCAAAACAACTTAATATTCAAACCGGATGATCTTGTAACGGTTAGCGTGCGGTTCACGAGAGTGGGATATGCACAGCTGAAGAGCCAGGACTTTCCCGTCCCTCAAAGTTGGATAGGAAAACTACCACCGAAGACAGACCAAAAAGCGTACGACCGTGCGGAGTTGGGGATGAAATTGTCTTGTGGGTTCGAGATGCTACTCTCCGACCCGCAGAATCAGGACAAAGTGTCTGTGCGGGAAATTAAACTATTGCTGGAAGACGTCAGTACTGGAGATGAGCAGCTGCCGACAGACGCTGAGATCGCGAAGTGGGATAAGCGGGAAGATGACGAAAAGTGGTTGGATATCAACTATGAGGATCTGGAAGGGGAGCTAAGAGGGAAAGCTAAAGGAGAGGGTGCCGACAAGCCAGGAGCCTTCGGTGATGCAAGCGCTCAGGAGAATCTGCAGCGCATCGTTGCTCGTTTCGAACAATTCCTGAATGATGAAGCTGCTGATTTCGAAGGTGCTGATCTTATCAACGAGTTTGATTCTGACGATGATGACGACGATGACGGTGACGACCTCAGCAGCGACGGTGAAGACAAAGATGTATCGTTCGATGAGGAAGAATTCTCTAGGATGATGAAGGAGATGATGGGGTTGCCTTCAGGCTCCGAGCCCAAGGGTGCCTCCCGTCCAACGAACCAGCGCAACAGAGTAGAAGAGTTGGACGATGAGTCAGAAGATGATACAGAGCAGATTCAGGAGCTGTCACGGCAGATGGAAGCTGAGTTGAGAGGTACTGGCGTGCTTGACCTTAATCGCCGCTCTAAAGGCCAGCACCAATCTCTCAAGGGAAAAGGACGTTCTACGAGCAACGAAGGCGATAAGTCGGAAGACGAATTAAACACAGACGAAGATATCAACGTCAATCTCGCTAAGAATCTCCTCGAAAGTCTACAGAGCCAAGCCGGAGCAGCTGGTCCTGGCAGCAACATGCTTGGCATGCTAGGAATGCAGATGCCCAAAGATAACCGACGATAATCGACCTACACCACTATTTGACGGGCTATGAATCTCCCTAAACCAGATATCATTTGGGCCAATTGTCTGGATCGAATTATCCACTAATACATCAGACTGGATATGCCAAACACGATTAATCTCGCTTTCCTTCATCATCCATGCTATGCAACTGCTTGTCTTGTTCCGCCATTGCAAGACCAAGCGTGAGTATCCAAATGCTCCGCCTCACAGATCATCAAATGGCCGGCAATAACCGCAAATAATCACATAAAGGAGAGCGGCTATGCAAGGACTCTAGTTCTGGGCGACGTTAACGTCAGCCGAGTTGAAAGGTACGACGTCGCCTTGCGTGGTCGTCATGGCAGGAGCGGTATCCGTTCGTTCTGTTTGCACCTGTTAGCACTCTATTCGAGCCCGGTTGTAAGCAAACCGGCAGCAGTGAACGCTTACCATGGGTAGTGATTGGAGCCGCAATAGCGACAGCTGCAAGGAGGGAAAAAATGGCGACGGTGAAACGCATTTTGGAAGATTTGAAATTTGGACTGGAGAGTATATGGCCTGAGTTCTGAAAGGAACGGCTTTTGGAGTTCGAGATAGAGAGCGAGAAAAGAAGTCGACCGGCGACAAATGAACACTGCGTACAGAAAGATTGACGGTGGACGAAAGAATAGGAGACTCCAAAGAATTGTAGAAGCTTGAGGGAGAAGGAAACTTGCTCTGGGAGTGTAAGAAATATACTTCCTGACAATTATATAGACGGCCATCGGCCTCATAGAAGGCAGCACGCAATCAACAAGGAAAATGCTGTGTACGGCATAGCCCAAAATGGATGAATCAGGGAACTTTCCAATTCAGGTCTATACTACGACAGCCCCTGTGAGAGAAGCGTCACAAGCATTCGCTTATTACAGTATGATTCCTACTACATCTGGAAGTGGACTGGATGTGCCGGGCAGAAATGAATTTGGGGCGGTCCTTATGCGGATGGTTGCAGATACAAAATCAGTAATGGGCTGCGGATCGTCTGTTTGATGGACAGGGAGCTCTTGGTCTGTGCCTTAGCTGAGGATTGCGGCGTAGAGATCTGATACAGGTCTCAAGCGTCTCTGGATACTCGAGACCATGTCTGTCTGAGATCAAATGGACTCCTGCTTGGCAGGATCTTAACCTCTTATTGGTAACAACAGGATCGAAGCAAGATAAAATAAGATCTACATTCAATTAACAGGACTTCCCAGTCATTTCTTTTCATCGGGATATGGATGATTTTTCCAAATAGTATACTTAGTCACCGCAATATACCAATTCGCCGCAGTCCGGTGCCCCAACAGCCAGTGGCAGCAGCTATTCCAGCTTCACGCCCTGGACCAGACCGCTGTGGGTCATATAGACCAATATCAGTTAGCGAATAATGCCGCGTCATCGAGGTACGGGGATGAAAATCTTGCAAGACAGCGTACTTAGAATAGCATCGAGGAGAATTATGGTACGGTCCCAGGGGGCGATTCTGCTTTCTAGGCACCGCCAGGCGCTCAACGTCACCCGCAGCCCGGCCCGATAAGCCCTCACGTGCGGGCTATCTCCCATTTCCCCTGGGTCCTCGCTTTCCCCTCGGTCGTCTGGAGTACGATCAACTCCACGGACGATCGGACAGCGTTGCACCGCTGCTCGAACCGTGAGGCTCAGCAGATCGAGGCCTATCCCCTTCGCTGGCTGGAACCTGCGGGTAGAAATCTTCTTTCGTTGTGATACTGCTAGCACCCCGGGATCTTCGTTCAGGCCCTCGTTGCTTGTATCACCGGCCCCCGCTTCTGCTCTGCTACCTCAGAACAACTCCAGCGGAGTAGGCCTGGATCTGCATCGACACGGACGCCGTCGTTATTGGAGAGATCGTCCTGCTCTTAAAGATGGCGACTCCAGCTCACTGCTATTACTGTTTCGAGTCTCTTGCGGCTTCGTTTGAGGACCGGGAGCCTCCGAGCTTGGCAGCTATAGAAGATCTATGGGAACAACATGAGCAGGCCCTGGAACTCGCGGCTCTGAATGGCAAGAATGGGCTGGGTCAACAGCCTGTAGAAGATGAGAATGTGGATGGAGACAGCGAAGATCAAGATGGGCATACCAAACGGCCTTATCCGCAGACGTTGCAACTGCCCAGCGTCAGCCGTCTTCAGTCCTCGGACTCATCGAGTGCATCCACAACTCCTTCATCTTTGTCTATCAGCTCGTCGCGATCTGACTCTACAGCCGTGACCACCCCGAGCTCCCCAGCGGACGGCCCTGGTTTCAAACGTCCCCGGCTGGATGAGTCCGCATATCCACTGTTCGTGACTTGGAATACCATATCAAAGAGTGGCCACAAGTCATTACGCGGATGTATCGGGACATTCGAAGCCCACGAGCTTTCTTCCGGTTTGAGATCTTACGCTCTCACTTCGTATGTGCAGTGACCTGAATATACCTCCCTCTATCAATACACTACCGTATAGACATCGGAGAGACTAACATGCCACAGTGCATTTGATGATACCCGCTTCTCTCCCATTCCGGCGGCTCTCTTGCCATCACTTTCCTGTTCCTTGACCCTCCTAGGCAGCTTCGAGCCGTGTGAGGATGCGATGGACTGGACCCTCGGGGTACACGGACTACGTATATCTTTCATACATCGCGGAAGACGTTACGGTGCGACATACCTCCCCGATGTCGCTGTTGAACAAGGCTGGACCAAAGAGGAGACCGTAGGGAGTCTTATGCGAAAGGCTGGTTACGATGGTGGCAGTGGTCTGTCGAGAAGGCTCCTGCGGGGCAGCAGTGCCTCTGGTGCTACAAAGCCCTGGGAGGAAGTCTCCAACTTCAAGGCAGTCAGATACCAAGGCCTCAAATCCAGCGCAAGCTACGACGAATGGCAGGAATGGAGGAAATGGGTTAAGTCCCTCAATGACGGATCTGAAAAGCTCCTTGAAGCCTAATCCGATTCGGAAACTTATTTAGATGAGACATGACTGATGACGGGGTTTCAACGTTTAATTTGGAATTTGGAATTTGAACTTACTTTGAACTTGTGCGCTGGCTATGAATGGAAGACGTAGGAAAGGCATCGTATTATTGAATACCAAGCTCCAGAGGCTCGCGTGTCATGAGATTGTATACGTGCAAGATCCAGTGTTGAGTTTGTAATAGCAGAGCCAGGATATACAATTAAGGGGTCCACTCATGATATGTTTTGCATCTTGACAATTATCTGTTGGCATAGTGCTCAGAGGGACTGATGGAGTTCTCCTGTAGACGCGGAGTCTGAATCGAAGTTGACGTCTTGGACTTGAGATCAAGAAATTCAGTCTTGACAAAACAAGGTGTGTTTGATATCCTCAAGAGGTTCCTCGCAACAGCAACGCCAGGACACATCAAGAATGGGGATAAGAGACAGAATGAAGCGAAACAATGCAAATACAAGAACTGAAGTGCGTTCTGCTAGATACAATGACTGGCAGTATCCCATGTCCATGAAGGCGGTGTTCTCTTGTCAGTGTTGAAGCCAGAAAACTCTAGAATATATATGTTCCGGTACAGTGAAACTGCTATCTCGGAAGATATGAACAAAGAATGCCAGGGCCGTATTTAATCCATGGTTGAACAAACTAGAACCTGGAGATCCAGTAGGTTCTATTGACCAAGAAGGGTACCAGCGTTTGATAACTCTTATGCAAGCAAACTGCGAGCAGCGTCTAACATGCAGCAGTGAAATCGTATGACAATTTGGTAGGTCTCAAATAGGGCCGGCCCGTTCCTATAGAATCATCATTGCGGCATTTTGTCGTTGTTCCAAGGGTACGTAGCAGGATCGAGACTAACTATTACACTATTACTTTCTGATTTCTCTCTTTCTTCCCTTTCCTGGAGAGACTCTCCGAAGTACCGTTGATTTCGATCGAACCAGTTGCAGCCTAGAAATATATCCCAAAAGAAGGAGGCATCTCAGGGCTTGCCAAAAAAGCGAGTCCATTTCCCTCAGCATGTCTCCATGCCAGGGGAAATCCTGCAGAGATTAGATAGATGCCATGTCTCATACGGTTAGATCTAGCGTATTCCCGAACCGAAGACAATGGTGGCGGTATCAAAAGAACTATGAACATAGAAGCGATTTGGGAGGGGAGATAATCAATCGAATCCTATTAGACGCGGATATGGTAATAATGGCCAAAGGATGTTCTTTCGAGGACGGTCTCGATCTCGGATTGCGAGTAATATCTGTTTCTCGGTCGAATCCACTGGATGGAGAACCGAGGCTGATGGTGCAATGCAATGCAAGAACAAGGTCAAAAGACAGCAGGCTTTGCACTGACACCCGTGGTTCACTTGTAACATACTTGGTAACGTATTGTATTTAACTATCGCGTGGCTGATAATTGGTGCTGACTGTACCATACGCCGCTACCACGCCATTGCGATTATTGCTGTTCCCGACATGGAGACTATAAGTTTTCCCGATTATGTGTGTTTTTTTTTTTCTATCATAGCTAACTAGTTAAGTAAGTGGTGCTGTTGGATTAGAAATCGTTTCTGTGGAGTGGCACTAATCCAGACAAGGCCTGACCTTGGCTCAGCGCCTGAAATCCATAATCATAACTCGGTGGTTGGGGAGTGGAAGGTTGTTTCGAGGACTGCTATCTGGGAGCAGCCATCCACATCTGACCACGAGTCCATGGGAGGAACGAATGACGGAGCGGCTGAAAGTAGTCGGCTCAGTCGTGTTTCGTGAAAGCCAGAAAGCAGATTTCCAGCATATCCGTTTGCGTGCAGGAGGTCCGTGAGGGCGATCTGGAGGAAGCATGAATCTGATAGGGACATCGGGGACCTAGCAAGCTACCGGTAACGATGGAGCTGGCTGGTATGGTATGATATGGTGTATACAGTACGGTACAATACGGTATGGCGATCACAAGTGGACTACTGTACAGTACTACTAGTCTAGTTACTACTACTACAAAGAAACCTGGCCGTAAAATACAGAACTTACCATACCGCCCTGCCCCAGTTACCGTAAAACGCTCAACTGCCGCCAGCCCTTCCTATCGCTGTCTCGTACAGATCCCCGATTCCTCTCTGATCCGCTTTCTCTTTCTTTCCTTATCCTCTTGCTTGAGCCGCACTCTGGTCTCCCCACCATCCCGTCACTTGTCAGTCTTCACTGTTTCAATTCATTCGAATCCCTTTGTGACGGCAGACAATCTCTTTGCGGTTCGAGTCGAGTGACCAACATTTCTTTCGTTGTTTCCCCGTCCGCCGTCCGATTCCTCCAATGAGTTGTTCGCATCCAACTCAACCGCCCTTCCGTCCTTGATAGACACGACTTTTCTCCCACGCCATCACCACCCGTCGCGTAGACATGGTGGCTCCGGCCTCGATGGGAGCGAATCTGGCCAACCCTCCTCCGTCCTCGACCTCTCGACAGCCCGCTCGCACCTCCAGCACCCATCCGTCCCACTCCCATAATGTGCCTCTGAGTGCGAGACGGTCTGCGCCGCTGGACCTGTCGACCGTTGAACGGCGAGGACAACCCAACGCGGCGCGAGAACCGGTGAAACGGGTGCGCCCGCATGGCTTGCAGGAGGCTCCAACCTACCGTCCGACGGAGGAGGAGTGGAAGGATCCTAACGAGTATATCCGTAAGATCGCACCGGAAGGAAAGAAGTACGGCATCTGCAGGATCATTCCTCCGGAGAATTGGAATCCCCCATTTGCGATAGATACAGAGGTACGAGTGAATTCGAAAAATGCGGAGGCCCCCCGGGTTGCTGTGGTCTCATCCTTGGTGGCCACGGATTGCTTGCGCGGGCCCGCAAACCCCCCTTTCGCAGCGTCCTCGGACGGTTCATGCCATGGTTACTGACGCGTAGTGAACGTAGCGATTTCATTTTAAAACCCGTCGACAGGAGCTCAACTCGGTCGAAGGAGGTATGCCCCAGCGTTCAGCCAGACCTGCTGCCGGTGGAGGAGATCCGCAGCCCAGTTCTGACCCGGAGCCAGGAACCCGTGCGAACCTGAACTATCTCGATCAGCTCGCCAAGTTCCATAAGCAGCATGGGACCAACCTCAACCGCTTCCCCAGCGTTGACAAGAGACCCCTCGATCTATACAAATTGAAGAAAGCCGTCGAGGTCCGGGGTGGCTTCGACCAGGTCTGCAAGCTGAAGAAATGGGCCGAGATAGGTCGTGACCTCGGCTACAGCGGCAAGATCATGTCTTCCCTATCAACCTCGCTCAAGAACTCATATCAGAGATGGCTACAACCCTACGAGGAGTATCTGCGTGTCGCTAAGCCGAGTGTGCAGCAGCAGCTGGAACTTGAGCACGGTGGTCCCTACACTCCATCGCCTCATCCGTCACCGATGAACAAAAGGGCTGTATCGGATCACAATACTCCATCGCGTGATTCGCCAGCAATCCGTGCATCTGTAGCTCTGAACTCCGTACAGGCCGAAGCGACTCCGGACAAGCCGACACCACCGGTGGAACAGCAGCCACCACTTCGCCCCTCCGGTTTCACACCAGTCAATGCGAACCCTGGAGGATTTACAGCTGTTAACAAGTCTCCTTCGTTTGTGGCCGTCAACAATGGTCCTACCGCAACAGTCAAACAGGAGGCCGAGAACGGAAATCTCACTCCCAAGAGCATAGCTGACCATCCCTCGGCCACTCCCGCGAGCAATGGCCATGGCATCAAGCGTGCCATCAGCCATGACAGCCTGACTGGCGGCTCTCAGACCGAGAATGGGGATCCTGATGCGAATGGACGTCGCAGTAAGCGTCTAAGAAAAGGTATGTTGCAGGATACTCTTCTCAGCCCAAGCTGTGGGAAGAGCATTTAAGCGTAGCCCGAAGCGGAAGATAATGACTCGTGAGTCTAGATGCGCCGCCTCCGCCTACCGTTGCTGGATCGCACATGAGCCTGCTACGACCGGCTCCGCCTCGGATGCGACAGAACAACGGCAACCGTCGAACAGGTGATGTGAGTTTATATATATATATTTTTTTTTGTTTTTATTTCGTTTGTTTTCCGTGGAAAGGAGCACCACTAACTGCTATCTAGAAATGTGAAAGCTGCGGCAAGACAGACGACCGTCCATCGATTCTTCTTTGCGACAGTTGTGAGAATGGTTACCACAGATACTGCCTGGATCCTCCTATTAACTCCGTTCCTGAGTATGATTGGCATTGTCCCAAGTGCCTTGTTGGAACCGGCGAGTTCGGGTTCGAAGAGGGTGGCGTATACTCCCTCAAGCAATTCCAGGAGAAAGCGAACAACTTTAAGAAGAACTATTTTGCCCCGAAAATGCCATTCGATCCTGTCTTGAACACGCATCGTCGTGAATCAGAAGACGACGTTGAGCGCGAATTCTGGAGACTGGTCGAGAGCTTGACGGAGACTGTTGAAGTTGAATACGGTGCAGATATCCACTCCACGACACATGGCAGTGGCTTCCCGACCGTGGAGCGGAATCCTCTTGACCCATACTCTGTCGACCCCTGGAATCTGAACGTGCTTCCTTTCTATGGCGACTCACTCTTCCGACACATAAAGTCCGATATTTCTGGAATGACTGTGCCTTGGGTCTACGTGGGCATGTGTTTCTCGACTTTTTGTTGGCATAACGAGGACCACTATGCTTACTCCGCCAATTATCAACATTTTGGTGCCACAAAGACGTGGTATGGTATCCCTGGAGCCGATGCGGAAGCTTTCGAGGAGGCCATGCGACAGGCGGTTCCGGAACTTTTTGAAGGGCAACCCGACCTCCTCTTCCAGCTTGTGACACTCATGCCACCCGACCAGCTGAAAAAAGCCGGTGTCAACGTGTATGCTCTCGACCAGAGAGCAGGTCAGCTCGTCATTACATTTCCGCAGGCCTATCACGCCGGATTTAACCACGGATTCAACTTCAACGAGGCTGTCAATTTTGCACCCACGGACTGGGAACCCTGGGGCGCCATGGCCATCGAACGGCTGCGGGCATTTAGAAGGCAACCATGCTTTTCTCACGACGAGCTGTTACTGACAGCTGCTTCAAGAGATAGCTCTATTAAGACCGCTAAGTGGCTAGCTCCCGCCCTGGAAAGGACTTATAATCGGGAAGTGGAAGAGCGCGCAGCTTTCATTAGTCGTCACAAAGAAATAGCCCCGCACAACTGCAAATTGGGTTCGGATGATCCTTCTACCACGGGTGACTGTCAACTGAACTTTGTGGTTGAGGAGAAGGATCTCCCCGAAGACGATTACCAGTGCAGTTATTGCAAGGTTTACACCTACCTGACGCAATTCCGCTGCCATAAGACGGGAAAGACTATCTGCCTGCTCCATGCTGAGAGTTACGACTGCTGCGGAGAGCCGTTGGCACAACGACTGACGGGACCGGACCATACTCTCCGCTACCGGATGAGCAACGATGCCCTGAAAGCCGTGATGGACAAGGTCAAGGACCGTGCCAGGATCCCCGAAGCGTGGTCGGAGAAACTCGACAAGGTTCTGGAAGATGAACCGAAACCCCAGCTGAAGGTCCTCCACAGCTTGCTAAGCGAAGGTGAGAAAATCCCATACCATTTACCTGGCCTTCAAGATCTTGCGGCATTTGTCCAGCGCTGCGACAAGTGGGTAGAAGAAGCAAATAACTACATCACGCGGAAACAACAGAACCGCAGAAAGAACGAAAAGGCTTGGCGCAAGGGCAATTCCGTGAAGGCCGCGCAGCTGGAAGAACGCGATCGTGAACTTCGCAGAGTGGAGAATATCCACGCCCTACTTGCAGAGGCTGATAAACTTTCCTTCGACTGTCCACAGATGGCGGCACTGGAAGAGAAGACCCGCGAGATCGACAAATTCCGTCAGGAAATTAACGCCGCCCTTAGGAACCCCCACATCCGGTCGGTTCAGGAAGTAGAAGACCTGGTCGAATCGAGCCGGAATTTCAATGTGGATATCCCCGAAGTAGAAGGACTCGAGCACATCCTACGGCAAATGAAATGGAATGACGAGGCCCGTCGTAAGCGTGACCAGTATCTGACCCTGAAGGAGTGTCAGGAACTAGTCCAGGCTGGTGAGAAACTTGGTTTGGCTGACAATAATGACCACCTGCTCTTCTTCAAGGAGTTGAGTCGCCAGGGTGAGACCTGGGAGTCAAAGGCCAAAGAATTGATGTCCGCTGAATCTGTACACTACCAGCAGCTTGAGGCCCTTTCCGCGCAGGCCTCTCGGTTCCCTGTTTCTCCTGAGATCCTTACTGCCGTCGATGCGATCTTGACAAAGCAACGGGAAGCACAGAAACAGATCCAAGATATCTATGAGAGAAGTAAAGACCCGGACTTTCGGAAACGACCCAAGTACAAAGAAGTCCGCGAGTTGATGGAGTCACTTGAGCAACTCAACAGTCGGCCAACCGGGGCGATAGACCTCGAGCGGGAACAAAAAAGGCACGAGGACTGGATGAGGAAGGGCAAAAAGCTGTTTGGAAAAGCCAACGCTCCCTTGCACATTCTCAAATCTCATATGCAGTACGTTGAGAAAAAGAATGCGTCTTGTTTCGATCTTGAAGATAGGTGTCGGCCGCCCGTCGAGCCCGCATCGCGCGAGGGAAGTCCCGATGGCCTTCTGGAAAACCATAGCAGTGGCATGTGGGGAGGTGGCAAGTCTAGGAAGCGAGACGTCTTCTGCATTTGTAGGCAGTCGGAGGCTGGGATGATGATCGAATGTGAAGTCTGTCATGAATGGTAAGTCCCCTTTGATTGACTCGACCCTAGCCCTTAGCGGCGGTCGCGACTAACAACTCTAGGTACCATGGCAAGTGCTTGAAGATCGCTAGAGGTAAGGTCAAGGAGTTCGACAAGTATACGTGCCCAATCTGTGATTGGCGCCGAAAGATACCTCGCGACGCCGCTCGCCCAAAGATTGAAGATCTCCTGGATTGGCAGGCTGAAATCCCATACTTGCCGTTCCAACCCGACGAAGAAGAGGTTTTGGAGAACATAATCAATCAAGCTACTGCCTTCCGGGATTTTCTGCAGAGCTTCACCAATGCTACTTGCACCACCACGGAGGAAGTTCCGACATTGATATTCTATCTGCGGAAGATTGAGGGAGCTGAAGTTCTTCTCGCTTATGAAACCAACTTCTTCCGTCAGGAGATCCATAAATGGGCGCCTGTGGCACCAGAGGCTCCTCCGATCCTCGAGCAGTCGCTCTCAACACGCAAACCTCGCCCTACGAAGCAACAGAAGATAATGGCTCAACTTGGTGTCGAGCGCCCAGAGGATCTTCCACCCCATCTCCGACCGAAGCAGAATAACGTTGCGAAGCGGAAATCCCTAGAGTCCCAGACCCCGCGACCACATCCATTGCAACCAGCCTCTCAGTTCAGTTCTGATACGCCAGGAGAACGAGCTCGATCAGTTTCGGCCAGCCATGTCCCAACATTGAGCGCTTCTAGCACGCAGCAATCCCAGCCCTATCCCTTTTCCGCCAATTATTCGCTCGTCGCGAGTGATCCTACTCCAGCATTTGCAGCTGGATCTTCAGATTTCTTACCTGCCTCTCACGTCCGTTCGCCTACTTTTGCTCCACGTTCTCCGTCACACCATCAAGGTCTAGATCAGCCGCTGTTTAGCCCACCGAGCTTCAATCGCGATCAAAACGATGGCCCTTCAGGTGTTGACATGGATGGCAACAATCCGTTCGGAAGCAGCCCTCGCCAGAACTTGGATGATGTCTTTGCCGATCTCACAAATCAGGACCCAGACCCGGAACCGGAGCCTGAGATGATGGAAAACACTCATGCCAATGAAGCTTTGGAGGTGTTGGATGCGAGCAACAGTGGAGAGCACTCTGCGTCTCCTGAGCAGGCCAACGATGAAGCTGGCGAGAAGGGCTTGGCAAACGGTAATGCCGATGGCCGTGAAGATGCCGCGCGGAATGCAGAGGATGACTTCTAGTCAAACCAGTCATTCTGTAATTCGTGTGCTCTATCTGCTTCTTTTCAGTTCCTACTCTGGCTTGCATCACACCCCTCCAAATGCTCAACTGGGTTACATCGCTTGTTTCCTGGGCCGTTCTGTGGAAGCATATCTGCTTCCTTCTCACTATTCCTATCGCATTATGTCGATGGGTTGCTCGATTTTTGCACTTCGTGATACTCCACTTTGTCACTTCTGCTTTTTAAGACACCTCCTGTTCCGATACGTTTGATGATGTAGGGTGTTGCGGGGTCGAACATACTAGGTGGCTCTAGCCTTCTATACACGGTTTCTTTTTCTGCCTTGAAAATCTTGTCTGCTTGTTACTCGTATGAGTGTCTATTTTGCCTTTGAGCATGATGAGTGTTGCCTTCGTGGAACTTTTTGCTTCTATATGTCCATGTAAACCTATGTGGTGATGACACGGGTTCAGGCGGGGGAATGTCGGGGGTGTCAAGGTTGTGCTTATTTGTCTGATTCTTGTTGCAGAGTTGCTCGGATTTTTACCTCCTTCCTCCCTTTTTACCTTGAATCGACTGGCTTCCGATTAGGTATTGAGTGTAATATTACTGGATTTATCAACAGACAAAGAAATAAATGTGTATGATTAGCTATCTTATTTCATCAAGCCCAATGTCACCCAAACAGTCGTGCTCGACGATCTCCCTTTCAGAACTGTCTTTATGCATCGGAATAAGCTGCCAATGCAGATTGTCCTCCGGTATGTATAAACAATACATTCAATTCTTTGCTGTTTACGGTCGCACCACTTCGCGCAGACCAATCTCGAACAATCTCCCCGCTTTCCACCCAATGTAACAAGCCCCGAAGAGTCTTGCCTGTATAGACAGGATCACCAATGAGGCCGTCCGTTTGCGCCACCCTATTTAAGGCAGCCTTCGTATCTGGATCTAGCTGTCCATACGCGGAGCCCACGAAACGATCATCAAGTCGGACATCGTCCAGGGAGATATCGTTCTGAGGCTCAAGTCCAATCATCCCCCCCGCAGTGCGAGCGAAGCGAACAACGCGTTCTTCATGATATGGCTTTGGTTTTGTTGGAGAACTCATAATACCGATGATCTGGCGCTTAGGGAACTGTTTTCCGTCTTCACTTTGTCTTTCTTCTTCTCGCGTCTTTTCCAGCAACTCGAAGCCGGCGATCAATCCAGCTACGGTACTGCCACTGCCAAACGAGACGAAGATATAGTCGAACTGTCCACTTCCCTTCAATGTTCCGCGTTGAGACTCCTCAAGTTCCTGCTTCGCGATTTCGAATGCACAACGTGCGTAACCCAGACCACCGAGATGATGCAGGCTTGCACCCGAAGGGATCCAGTACGGGACATGCCCCTTGACGCGTAGATCCTGCAAAATAGGTTCGACTGGGTCTTTATCGTCGGCGGCTTCATCCGGTTCCAGCATCCTAACCTCTGCACCGAGCATGCGTACCACCTGCACGTTACCCGTTTGCTGGAACACCTCTGGATTAGTTGTCGAACGCAATCCACCGCCTGTGCCCTTGTGAAGAAGCACGACGGCCTTGAGCCCAAGAATCGCAGCTACAGAAGCAACTTGTACTGTGTGATTGCTTTGTATAGCGCCTTCGGTCACGAGCGTCGTCACTTTCCTTCCGTCTTCCTGTGGACGGAGGATGTCCGGGACGATGTATTCGAGTTTGCGATACTTGTTCCCGGAGCAAGCGAGTGGAGAGCCGTGGTCTTCTCGTTTGCACCATATGTTTATGCGTGGATGTGAACTCGAGTTTGGGACATCGGTCGTGTCTTTTGCGTTTGCTGCATCCGTGGCGGATGCGGAGAGATGAGGGAGTGGATGGATCGGAGAGGGATGGAGGTATTGTAGCGGATATAGAGGGATTTCAGAGAAAGGGGATGGGAGATCTAAACTCGACATATCTGCACGATGAGAGAGGTGATTGTAGGGGTTTCTTGACGCGAATGTGGCTTTTTGGATGTAAGATACGAAGGTAGTAGAAGAAGAGGAAGAAAAAGGAAGATACTGGCTGCTGTATTGAGATGGGGACGTGGAGATGCTAAGACCTCTATTGATCAAGAGGCTATTATACACTGTACGGGTGCGATATCTATACATTGCAAAAAGGACAACTGAACTATAGCGACATTGGGGTCGATGTCGATAGTTAACAGAGCATGGAGAGCGATGTGGGGAAAGATGATACCATCGCGGGGAAAGGAGGAATCTATCAAGATCAGAGACTGACTGCGCGCCAGTCTGTTTGCTGCCAACATGCCTTTTCCTTTCCCAGACCCATCTCCATCCCCATCTATAGCTCCTCTCCTTGTTTTTATATTCTAAATTGCATGTAAATGAAACTTCACTATCACGATCCGATAAAATGATGGACCAACGTAAGGCGGTGAGCTGTGATTCTGCCATTGTGTGACATCAGAGAAAAAAGGACCAACTGCGAGATAAATAACGATGTTCCATAAGAATCATATCACCAGGAAGACTCTCAGTGCCCTTAGAAATTTCCATGGACGCATCTGGCCCAGGTACAGACCATTGAACTTGATCAGACCTTTCTCCTTTCCGACCATGTCAACCGACGTTTCGTCTCGTGTCGGTCTGCTAGAGTTCCTCAGGCGATCCCACGCCCTTCAAGCGCAATATATCGCCGGCCATGCTTCCTCCTCTGCTCCCATCCATGTCCTGGGAAACACGTCTGCAGACCTAGACTCGATTATCTCCGCGATAACATACTCCTATTTCGCCAATGGCCGCGTTCCCTCTGGGAAAGGAAGACCGCATGTCCCCCTCATAAACCTCATCGATGTCCCCTCAGGATCGGAACTCCGTCGGTTGCGTCCAGAGTTCGTGACCGCTTTATGGTGGGCGACAAATACGGACATATCAGAATCAGCAAACTGGCAGATTGACGGGCACCAAGCGGCGAATTTCCTCCGGGAGCGTCTGCTTACGATTATGGACCTCAAGGCACTGTTGCGAGAACACGAGCGCGCAGAGGGCGGTAGACTCAAAGAATGGAACTTCGACACGACATTAGTTGATTGGAATGCGCTACCTCTGCGATCAAAGGATGGGAAACCTGGAAGAGGCTCGATTGAGAACCTGCTGGATGTCCATTTCGACGTGGTCGGCTGCATTGACCACCATGTCGATGAGGACTTTGTGCCTCCGGCAGATTCGCTTCCTGCTGATAATCTGCGGATCGTCCAGCCGGGGCCAGGGTCATGTACATCGCTCGTTGTGAGGGAACTGCGATCGCGAGGTCTTTGGTCCGACAAACCGGCTGCGGATCTATACGGGGCTGTGGGATCTGTCGGGCCTGAGAACGCAGCTGCGATTTACGAAGCCCAGGTTGCTAAACTCGCACTGGCTGCAATCCTGATAGACACAACGAATCTCACCTCTGAAGGGAAGGTAACAGATGTCGACCGCGACGCAGTCGCGTTTCTGGAGACGAAGATTGAGCACGGGTATTCGATACATCGTTCCTTGCAAACCGCCCAGCATCCTCAGTGGAGTCGTAACGCTTTTTTCGATGCTATACAATCTGCAAAACAAAACAGCCTTGACTTTCTCACGACCGAAGAGATACTGGGTCGAGACTATAAAGAATGGATGGAAACGTCTTCTACATCAGGCACTTCCATCCGTCTGGGAATGTGCTCTGTTGTGAAACCTATCTCGTGGCTAGTCGAAAAGGCCAGTACCTCTACCAGTTCCACTATTCGGGATCAAACCAAACAACTCCTCAGTGACATTCAGGACTTCTCCCAAACGAGAGAATTAGATGTCGTTGCGATTATGACCGCATTCGTCGACGCGAACGGTCAGTTTCAGCGGGAACTGCTAGTCTGGTCAGTGAACACCGAGGAGGGTATCCAAAGGTTGGTTAGGCGATTTGCAGAACAATCCTCTAAAGAACTAGAACTAGAGGACTGGACCGACGGTGATAAACCCACCGTGGCTGAAGAAATCCGTAGCATTCTCAACAGCGACACATCTTCCACAACGGGATGGAGACATCTCTGGCATCAGAGGGATCTAGCAAAGAGCCGAAAACAAGTCGCGCCGCTGCTGAGAAAAGCAATTTCCACTTAATAGTTATACAGCTTATACCACCATAATGAGAAAGAACTAGCCTCTTGAAAGCCAATACAACATACTGCGACTACTGCTTTAAAACCCGAGATTACGCCATATAACTATCACGCGCCAGAGCGGAAAAAGCTGAGACATAAAAAAAAGTCATTTTTGGTAACTTTTTGAATTTTGAACACTGACAAATAAGGTTTTCCTTAATGACACCGAAGCTTGCCATGCAATCCTGATCTTACAGATGCAATGCGTTCAGACCAAGAGAAATGAAAGGGCCTATCCCACCCAAAAGAAAGGGAATCATGCCCCCGAAAAGAAAAGAAACATGATAATGATAATGATGCAACCTTGCAACTCCGAAAATGTATGGGCCGGCTCATAAAGCAGGAAAAGAAGTGGGCAATGCTGCAAATTCCAACACAGGAAAAAAGAAAGAAAAGAAAAGAAAAGAAACCTCAAGGCCAGAACCTGCACCTAGTATGAGCACATATTGATACGCTTATCCCTCCCGTTCCGCGACCACTTGTGATGACAAGGTCCCTGGTCCTCAGCACTGGCTGAAATAGAAGCTTGTCAAGAAAGTAAACAGAAATCACATGAAGGAAACATGTACCATCACCGAAAACCGAAACGATGCTGCTAAAATCGAAACATTACAAACATGGCCAAAAAAGAAAAACAAATAAGTGACATCGAATATGCAACGGTTCTGTCAGATCAGTAGCACTCCCATTCACAAAAGACGCACCACCGGGCACTTCTGTCGGCCAGCACCAGGCCACGCCAGACTCCCCGTTCTCCAATCTTGATGACAGTTTCCCATACGCTGCCATCGGCTGCACCGTCCGCTGGAGAATCCGCGCCGTTGGCGGCGCTGATCATGTGATCGGCCTTCCGAGTCAATCTGAGGATTTTGCCTGATGGTGATTGAATCGCCAGCTTAGCGGGCTTCTCACGACCCTGGGTTGACTTGGAGGATGAAAGGGCGGACGTCGAGGCAGAGAACTCGTGGGATGCAGAAGAGGTGGTTGAACCGGCGGCGCTAGATGCCATACTCAATGCGCTAGATGGCCTGCCAAAGGCACTATGGGGTCGTGAGAAAAGCGATGGCGAGACTCGTCCGTCGGAATTGTCTTCGCTACCAGTAGATTGTAGCAAAGAAGGATGTTGGCGGACCGCGAAGACAAAAGTGTTATTGATCGCAAGCCTTCCACACTGAGGCTGCATGACGTACAGATCGTGACGCTGGGCATGAGGCGTAGGATGGCGAACGAGGAACTCGTAAGGGGGGTTCTCGCCAGTATGGATGATGGGAAGAGAGAGCGCAAGCGGATGAGGGATATCCCTAGTGGAGTGCATGAGACCCTTCTTGCCTGCATAGATCTTCAGGACCCCATGGCCTTCGTCACCTGGCAGGACTGCCTTAATAGTAAATCTTTTCTGACCACCAATCCAGTCAGGCTGAACCAAAGCCCTCTTCCTTACCACGTCACCGCTCTCGAAGAAATCACCGTCTGCATCCCTGGCAAAGGCTGGGGCCTCTACCTCAGCCGCACACTCAACGTCCGCAGGGACCAGAATTCGAATCTGCATTACCTCGAGGCCTTCGATCCTGACCAGACTAGTGTCGTAATTGGGCATTTGGAGACCGTTCTTGAAGTAGGGAGGACAGGCCGCAGGAAGCGCCAGGAGGACGTCAGGCGAAATAGGAGGACAAATGTGCTGTTCTTCAGGATACAAAGGCACGTGTGTATAACAAATCTCGAGGGGCCGTGCCAGAAAATACCAGCTTTCGGCGGATTGGGAATTCGTAGTGACGAAATTGTTCCTTATGGGATTTGTATGGCTTGCAAGGGAGCAATCCATTATACGCCATTCTCCGTCGACTAGAATCGCATTCCACCAGTGATTCGGTCTCTCCAGACTGTCCAATTCGGACAGTTCCCCAGGAGTCTTGAGGAATCCTCTGATAACTTCCGCATGTAGTCCGACAGCCGCGCACATTTCTCTCACGAGTATGGCAACTTCTTGCGGACTGCCTCTCCTAGAATTTATGACTCTCCTCATGTCGATATCCACGTCGTCCTCAATGGGTTCATCCCATGCTATCTTTTCACTGACCCACGTGAATATAGCACGAAGTCTTTGGACGTCACTCTTATAGGGCCGACAGACATAGCCCTGAGCTAGACTTGCGGGGTTAGTCATCGGCGGCAAGCTGTTGACAAACCGGGCGCTCTTGTCCACCAGGTTGAGGTTAACCGCACCCCAGTTCGTTGGCTCACTAAGAGGTAATCCATCAATGCCTTCGTCGCCTTCTGCCGTCTCGTAGAGCTCCTCGACAGCATAGATGACAGGATGATCCATCATTTGGCATCGTTCGGCCCTCTCAACTCGTTCATTCGAACTCGGGGAAGTTGCACGGTTAACATCCCGCCGAACTTGCACCCAGTCAACACTTCCAGGGCCGCCTAGTCCCATTTCTCGGGAAGCATCCTTGCCATGGATAGTGGCTGAGGAGATAGCTTCGGGGAATCTCAGCTTTGTGGGCGAGGGGGAACCGCCACTTTGACCTACTGAGATGCTGCTCCGAGCGGAAGCCGCTCCTGTCTTCGCAGATTCGATGATTTTCTTGAAGAATCCCGTCTTCTTGGATTTCGGAGTCGAAAGTCCTCCAAACACGCCTGGAGATTCGGCGACAGAGCTGTTTGCTGGAGAAGACCAAGGTATCGCTGATGATGCCCCCTGCCTTGAAGTATTATGGCTCGAATGGTACGAGACCCCGGTGAGAGGCGTCTGGGGTCTCGAGCCAGCCTTTCCTAAATCGCTGAAGCCTCTTGGGCGAGCCGTATCCATAGCTGTATTCGGTCTCTCGCTGAAGCTTCCAATCTTTCCCCTTCTAGCAAAGCTACCTGCACTTGTAGCACTGAGGCCTCCTGCAGAAGGTCCGCTCATCACACTCTGACTTGTCTTCCCGGTGCTTGTCGTTCCATTTGTGGTGGTGCTCTGCACGCCGCTCGATGAGTTTGTTGTATTTGACTTGTTTGTGAGAGTACGGTTCAGGACGTTTCTTCCAAGGTCCACTCCTGATTTGCGGGCCCTGAGTTGCGGCTGAGGTGCAGGAATCGAGTGGTATCTTCCACGAGGGGGGGGCGGGGGACCCATGTCCTCCGAAGGATCCTGCATGCTATCGACGGATTCCCCATTCTGCTCGTGCAGCTGCCTTAGCCGACTTTCCATTCTCTGCACATAGTTACTGAGTTGGGGTGGGCCATCATGATATCTGTCAGGGAAGTTATGGCTGTTTTCATAATTGTTCCCCTCGGGATACGGATCGGTGTCGCCACCAAGACCCAACGATGTTAGGGGACGAGCATTAACACGCGATGGACTCCTGTCACGCAGAGCATCAAAAGCATCCGGAGACCAAGGATTGGCAAAGGTCGGCGGAGGGGACGGAGAGTGGCCCTCTCGCGGAAGACCCATATCTTGCAACGAAGTCATCACATCTTCCATAGCGTCCCTTAAAGGGGAGGGGGTATGGCCATTGATTTCCGGCGACGGAGGAATTGGTGAGGGCGTTCTAGATACAGCCAGATACCGGTCATTCATCTCCAACGGAGCGGGAGCCGAAACATCGTTCCGCGTCTGGCTGTTGACTGCCACCCTATGCGGAGGTGGAGGCGGTGGAGGCGGCGAATCTTCGCGTTCTTGATAAGAGCCTGGAGAGATTTCGCGGGATGAATGCCTCGACCAAGGATCGTGCGGCCTAACTGGGGTTGGCTCATAAGACTCAGGAAACGGTGCTGGAGAAACCGCTCTGGAATGTGGCCTGGAAACCGAGCTACCGTATCTCACCATCGCCATTGATGGTTCCTCCCGTTCCTGGGGCTGAGGAGCGACATCATGGGTCGAGACCCTAGACATATAACTGTTATGCCTCATTATATCCATTGACTGTTCCCCTAGCTCCGGGGGGTGAGGCGAGATACCACGCGTCGGTGGCCGGGAAACGGAACTGTTCTGTCTCATGATATCCATTGACTGTTCTTCCAGTTCTGGAGGATAAGGTGAGGTACCACGCGTTGGTAGTCTGGACATAGCACTGTGATGCCTCACTATTTCCATTGATGGCTCTTCTGGCTGTGGAGGACGTGGTGATATGGCACGAGGGGGTAGTCTGGAAAAGGAACCGTGATGTCTCGTTACTGCTGTCAGCGGTGCCTCCGGCTCAGGAGGACGTGGAGAAACAGCACGGGCAGGCCTCTTGGACCGTGAAGAGGGTTTTGACAGAGAACTGTGCTTTACCGCCGTTGTCTGTGTACGCAATGGCTGCACAGTCCTTGGCGGGGTATTATCTCGGGGCGGAGTTTGAGGTATCGAGCTCGCTAATGATGTTGCCAGTCGAGACGGGTTTGAAGAAGGCGGAACAGCCTCTTTGTGAGCTTGAAACGGTTTTCTGAAAACGGTCTTTTGCTTCTTGGGAGCGGTATTCAACCCATTCGATCGTGACAGACTTCCGCCACTGACGATTGGGGGTTCAGGTCGACTCACGGGCACGAAGTCTTCCCCTAGGACCGTCACAAAGTTGGAGGGAAAGAGTCCCATCATACGCCTATCGCGACGCAGTCGCCCCATCCACCACTGTCCATCTCCCGCGTTCAAGCATTCTATGAGATCCCCCTCCACGAAACCCAAGTCTCGTTTGGTCTCACCTCCCCACGAGTACACTGCTCGACACCAACAGGGAAACCGTGTTGGCAGCTGAGGCGCCTCGAGCGCCATGGCGCTGGTATTCAATATAAAGTACTAAGCGATCGTTAAACGCTAGACACAGAGGAACGACAGATGTTGCACACAATTATGGCGTAGTGTTCTGCCGTTGCTGTCGACAGGGCTGGGGCGGTCGGTTTGCGGCTGAATGTCAGCAGGGAGGACTAGCGTGGGAATTTGTGAATGCTAATACAAAATAGAGAAATAGTACAGATAGGAAAAGAGAAAACATAAGAATCGACGAGCCACTAGCAGCCTGGCAAGCAGACGCAGTGGTTGGAGATAGAAGAGAGTGACAACAGGCAGGGCTGAAGACGGTGAGGCCCGACGGGTGTTTTGACCGGGGTGTTTACGTGGGCGCCCTATCGGGAATAGCGCAGAGCGGGTGTGCTTTATCGATAAGCTTAACTCCCGCCGTCCATGGATCAGGGCGAGCATCTCTGGACTTCAACTGTTAGCCATGCGTTATGAGCCAGTGCTATTTCTGCCAACATCGTGGAATAGAGCCCTTTTATTTATTCTGTTTACTTGTCTGGGAAGACCATCCATCATCTCACAGCGGGTGGTGGCTGCCAAATGCTGTCCAGGTTGCCAACACCACCCTCTCCACCACCGCTAGCGCCAGCATGGACCACTTTTGGGTTTGAGAGCCAACCTCACAAACAGCGTATCAGCAGTTGAGATAAGTGGTGGCACGCACTAACTAAAATTGTCTTGAATAATCTATTTGATTTTCCACTCATCTTGTTGGAGATCTAGGTGGCTGTCGAGAACAGCCCCCTCGTTGATTACTCGAAACACACTGTGTCTACGAAGACTGTAGGTTAGATATGTCTTCATCGCTAGTGCAGAGTCCACAGTCCATCACAGGTGGTCATTGCGCAAACGAATCAGAGGCTAGTGCACTGTTGCAGGCATCAGCTCTAGTTTCAAATCGGATTTCTTTGTTTGCATGGTGCTTCCACGTTCTTCTACCAAAGTTGGCATTTTTCGAAAGTTCTTTGACTGCAGGAGAAGCATTAGTCTTGAGAATGGGGTTCCTTTGTTCCGAGAGACACTAAAGTATCAGCTTGTCCCCAGATCTCCATTTCTTTAATGCTCCTAACCAATTGCTAGCTTGCCATTGTAGTCTACGAGTGGCCTTGTTTGTTGTCCCCGTCGTTCAACAGCATGTTCCGTTTTGAGATCTGGTTAGGCTAATGCCCAAGTTAAACAGACCCCTCCACATAACCCCAGCCAGCGCGAAGATATGATTATTCTCCGTATCTCAAGTCCAAAATATAATGTTTAAAATAAGATATCACGGCGATGTTTTGAACACTTTCGACTACGTATTGACACAGAACACTAGGCGGTCCTTGTGAACCAGCCATATATATATATATATATATATATATATAGAAGCGAGGGCATAAGTCATTTGCAACGTGATAAGCATCCGACCCATGTGGCATACCCAATTCCATTCTTTTCCCTGATAAACCTAACAGAGAGCAGGTGCTTTTTCATTCATACCATCTCATTGTATGTGGTCAAACACTTCTTTATTCGATATCGTCAAGTGGGGCTGGACAAGCGGGATCACCAAACTGATTCGAGATACCACGCGGTTGATTTGAGTTCTAGCAAACGACAATAAACCGCATCTTCGGTGATTGACATAGCCTACTGACTGTGCTGTTAAAACACCCGGTCGCTTATACCTGACAGCTGAGACTGGAATGCAGGTTCTCCTGATCTTGTAACTGCCAAGCAAGACCTTTGTGATGGAAGCACAGTTAAGCGAAGCGAAGCTTTCTCAGCCTGTCAAAACTCAAAGAACATGAGACCTGACTTTCAAGCCCGAAACATAAAAGCATGGAGTCATCCCACTATGCCAGAGGTCCCCTATCATCATTAAACTGTGCTCAAATTGCTTCTCCCGATTAGTCATGCATTCGGGACATGTCTCCGAGAGCCTTGCAACTCATCTTCCCAGGAAATGAAAAACCAGGAATTGCTTATTCTACGAGAGCACTCCATTTCCGTCCTCACGCTCTCAATTGATGAGGTCTCGATCCTGTTACTGCACTCCGCCAAGGAGCACCCCATTCCACTCAATGAGTCATGAAGATGTAACAATGTAAGATTATGTGAAAATTCAACGGAAGACCGGATACGGACGCTTGATCCTGGGGTATTGAGCGGCTTACTCGATTAGGCCATCGCGTCGAAAGGCGTCGGTCGTCTCGGTAACATCAACTCGACCATCCCGCTTCCGGTGGAGCGCTCACATTCCAGACATTCGTGACAAATACGGACATCGTATTCCTAGCTTCACGATTAGACGTGTATACCTCTTCTCCTTTTGCGTCCTATATGGTCTTTACCAGGGTCATTCGAGACTTATACCCATGGTTCTTTTTGACTGATTCAGAGAAGTGAGGACGGAACCGGTGATTCAAGGTACTTGAAAGATAGGGACAGCGATTCAGAAGCCTTAGATATGCTCAATATGAATTACGTTGTTACATTTCCCCAAAAGTCGGTTACATTTGTCGTATCTATAGGACTGTTAATGTCACATTGAAATTGTCTCCGCCTTACATTGACAGAGTGCAGATCTCAACACAGGAGAAGCCAAGGCACAGGGCAGGCCTGGACTGAGCGTGAAACCACCCCTACGAGGCTGTTTGCGATCGATAAATGTATGTTTCTCGAGAAAGGATGAATCAGGCCCCTTTTTTTCAGGGGAATGCGCAACTGTACCTTAGCTTTGTGCAGGCCTGGATGGTAAATCCGTTCTCTGCTGCCCGTGGACATATGCAGCAGTAACTACTCCAATCATTGGATAGTCATTCTAGGCACTTCAATGGGCCGTTCTCAGCTTTGTCTCTAAGACAGTTATAGCAGACTTGAGTTTTGGAAGACTCCGCCTCTGGACGTATGGCAGTTGGATCCCCCGCACCGTATAACGTGGCGGTTCAGTTTTTCTAATTCTGGAATGAATGAAAGTCTGCAAACGCTAATCTGGATATTTCGGATCAAGGAGTAGATAACTGTAGGTCTTATTTAGGTTGCCATCGCTGTTGAATCCACGGACTCATTCTTCCATTTAGGTTCCTTTTCCCAAACACACCAACATCGCCTCTTTGTCCCTCGGCCTTGAACGGCTGTTGGAATTAACGTTATGGCTCCCCTGAAGTCTTTCATGGCGCTGTGCGCCGCATCCCTGCTACCATCAATCTATGGGCGCCACGTTCCTTTCGAACTAAATCTCACATGGGAAGTGGGAGCCCCTGATGGAAACCCCAGGGAGATGGTTTTCATGAATGGCCAGTTCCCTGGGCCGGAACTGCGAATTGATGAGGGCGATAATGTTGAGGTTCGTGGGACTTGATGAGGCTCATTGCCTTTTGCTTCGCTAACGAAGATTGCAGTTTATTGTCCATAACAACATGCCTTTCAACACCAGTATCCATTTCCACGGTATAGAGTATGTCACTCAGTTATAATATGCTGTTAGGATGCTCTTTGGAAAACAATACTGACAATTGACAGGCAACTCAACACTGTATGGTCAGATGGTGTCCCCGGCCTCACACAAAAGCCCATCCAGCCAGGAGAAAGCTTCACTTATAAGTGGACTGCTACTCAATATGGCACTTACTGGTCTGTTCCCATCTACAATGTTGACTGCATCGAACAATTACTCAAAGTATAGCAGGTATCACTCTCATGCCCGCTCTACCATGGCTGACGGACTTTATGGCCCAATCTGGATCAAGTATGTGATACAAATTACTCTCATTTTAAATGAGACACACGCTAACCAAAACAGTCCCAAACCGGGCTCACCGCAACCATTCGAATTGATTTCCAAAAATGAGGACGATCTTAGGGCTATGCGTCGTGCAGAGGCTAATCCACGCCTTGTTGTTTTGTCGGATTGGGATCATCTGACATCTGAAGAGTATCAAGGTCTGCAGGAATACAGTGGTCTTGACATCTTGTAGGTTTCGACGTGATCGCACCAACAGCATGTACCGCCTGCTAACTGCATTTCAGTTGCGTCGACAGCATTCTGATCAACGGTAGAGGTGCTGTGCACTGCCCTAGCGCCGATGAGCTATACAGCTACGAGACTCCTTACCTTAAGGGCGCGATTGATAACTTGAACTTGACAGACAAGGGGTGAGTTAATCCAGTATAATTCTATACAAAGAATCTTGCTAACGCGTCTTGTTCAGATGTTATCCTAACATTTTCAAGACCCAAGGCGGTTTCCCCTATAATGAATCCAGGATCCCTCCGGGTGTCAATTCGGGCTGTGTTGCTACCACTGGAAGTCAGGAAGTCATCGAGGTAGATCCTCAAGAAGGCTGGGCCAGTTTCAAGTTTATCAGTGCGGCTTGGATGAAATCCTTCGTCGTGTCCATTGACGAGCACCCAATGTGGGTCTACGAGGTTGACGGTCACTACATCGAACCACAGCTTGTCGACTCATTCTCTATGTTCAATGGCGAACGCTATTCGGCCATGGTCAAACTGGACAAGACACCAAAGAACTACACTATCAGAATCCCAGACACAAATGCTGACCAGATCATTGCCGGTTTTGCAACACTCTCATACAAGAACGGCAAGGATCTTGGGCCGTCAAAGCCTTATGTCAACTACGGCGGTCTGAATGTCTCGGCAGATGTAGTCGCTTTGAACGTGAAATCACTGCCACCCTACCCGCCGATTAAGCCGGCAGCGACCGCTGATAAGATGCTTAACCTTACTTTGGGACGCATCAACTCTTCATGGCAATGGACACTCCAAGGCAGCCAGCTTTGGGATGTTATGGCCAACCTGGATACTCCTCTTCTGTTTGATCTCGATGCAAGGAAGAACCTTGGAAGCAAGCTTACTCCATCGACTAAGAACGGCACATGGGTCGACCTGCTACTTCAAATGGGCGAGTTCCCCAAAACGGCTCCGATCCAAGCTCCCCATGTGATCCACAAACATTCTAACAAGGCCTTTATTATCGGGTTTGGCCAAGGGTTCTTTAACTGGACCAGTGTCGAAGAGGCTGTCCAACAAGCACCTTCAGATTTCGAATTGGAAAACCCCCAGCTAAGGGACACATTTGTCACCAACGCTCTTACTGGGCCTGCTTGGATGCTTTTACGATACCAGGTGGTCAACCCGGGCCCGTTCTTGCTTCACTGTCACATCGAAACCCATTTGGCTTCTGGAATGGGCGTTGCCTTGCTCGATGGTATTGACAAATGGCCCGAGGTTCCTCCGGAGTACGCCATCTAGAAATAACCTTCACCATGTCCGGCGTGTATAACCTCTCTGGTGCATCTAGAGTTAGAGTTTCGGATTTATTCAGTTTTAATATCATTTTTAATCTTTTCCGTGTTCCAGGCACTGTCGAATTAATGGTTCTATGCGAAATTGCGCCTTTCATGTATGCAAGTAGATCGCCTAAAAGTATACTTGACATAATAATTAATTCCTTTTTATATTTTTATTCTTTGTCTTTGGAGTATATTTGGAATTTTCTGCTTTATTTGTCATATCGGCCGAAGTCGGTAACTTTTGCTTACTTGCTATCACTACATTCCATGTTTTCCTTAATTTTTTTCTGAACGACCACAAACTTTGCCCTGTGTTCCTGATGCATCCGGGGACTCAGGTTTCTGGCAGGACAAACTTGTTCGAGCACGCGAGGGCGATATCCGCTACGAGCCTCAACTCTAAAACAGTTGATGCTCGCAAGCGGAAACTCGAATCAATCGGGACTCTATAGGAAGAAAGTGTCTGAGTCATGACGTTTTCTAAGTATTGCCCTATTTGATCCATTAATATTGTATGATGTTTGGTTGTTGTAAGATCTCAACGGAGTCGAAAGGCTAGAAAATGCAGAGTCATGACGCAACTAATTGCAGGGCTCTGGAATGGTCTAAGGACTAAGTAACTACTTTATCGGAACAATAAATGATCTGTAATCGTCGAAAAAAATAACTTGCATGATTCATGTTGATATCGGTACCATCAGTTAGGTGACAAGATGATAGTTGGGTTTCCGGATGCATCTGGTGCTTGAGGCAAAAGCCTCATGATCCTGACAAGGAGCCTGGGTCTTGGTCTGACATTTATACAAAATCAACTATATCCAGATATGATCTGCAAGCCTAGAACTGGCAGACTAATGCGATCCAGTTAGCAACACCCATGCGCTATAGGATAGTATTAATAGGGTATCATCGAGCACGTGATCCTGTATATCTATGCGGTAGCGTCGCTGTAACCTTAGCTGCATGCGGATCGCCAAGATCAACTCCAGTCAAACAGTTATCTGGATTACGATGAGAGCAATCATCCTGATCGATGTGAAGAGAAACAGTATTGCAATTAGTCTGGTACAATGGCTAGACCACCGGATACTGTGGAGAGGATCCAAACAATGCCGGAAGCAACAATGCCCCTTCCAGATCTCACGGGGATACTGCCAGTCCTTGCGGACAGCTTCAGAATCCTTGCCTCCTAGTCCTCTTTTGTGGGCAACCCATGTCTTATCGGACAGTGATACAGGTATAGCTATAGGATTACATCCCGGATCGAGTAGCCCGCTGACCGTCACAGGTAACGGTGCCATTGACGAGCTCTCCACCTTCGATGGATCTTAGTCTCGGATCCGAGATATTCGGATGTATGCGCTTCGCTAATCTCTGGTCCATTGGAAGAAATAGCAAAACGTGGTCTTCCTTGATTCTAGAATTCCTGACCTCTGAGTCTCGTCGGTACTACTTACCAAGTGAGATTCGAATAATGACGAGACCAAAAGACAGACCACATCGGGGAACGATGTGGCCACTACCAAGCCGTGGAAACAAAGTAGTACTTTGCCCACAGAAACCTTGACCCTGATACTCCTGGATCTTTCCCCATAAGAGGAAGGTCTGCCATAGCGTATAAAGTATGGTTTCCCTTAGGGATAACTTTCTTCTCAAGGCATCGCAGACTATTCGATCCGCAGGGGAAGGAGAATCGCCAACCATGCGAGTAACTAGCCGCGTCTATCTCTTCGGAGATCAGACCGGTGAGTTCGAGACCGGACTTCGCCAGCTCTTGCAGGCGAAGAACAACAGTCTTCTAACGTCTTTTTTCGAGAGATGCTTCTATGCTTTGCGGCAAGAAGTATCCAGGTTGCCTCCATCACAGAGACAAATCTTCCCTCGGTTCACGAGCATCGTGGATTTGCTAGCAAGACATCGGGAGTTTGGACCTAATCCAGCTCTTGAGAGTGCCCTCACATGCATCTATCACTTCGCATGCTTCATCAAGTAAGTAAGCCCCATCCCCCATAGGATGTCCCTCATATGATATCATAAGACTCGACACTAATACCTGATAGTCACTATGGAGACGGAGGACATGCCTATCCCTCAGCATCAGAAAGCCATATAATAGGTCTGTGTACCGGGCTGCTGGCGTCTGCTGCTGTCAGCTCCTCCCGCACCGTGGGAGAGCTGATTCCTGCTGCTATCGAAACAGTTACGGTGTCTCTGAGACTCGGACTGTGTGTCTTAAGGACAAGAGATCTCATTGACCGCAGCTATGAAAAGTCACAAAGCTGGTCAATGGTAGTCTCCGGGCTCAACGAGGAGGAAGTTGGCGCACTCATTCATGGATTTTGCCAGCGAAAGGTAAGATACGCATATATATTATCTATGGAAATATATTGACAATAGTAGTCTATTTCTCCTTCGTCTCGGCCTTATATCAGTGCTGTGAATACCCACAGTTTGACTATCAGTGCTCCTCCATCCATCCTGCAGGAGTTTACGAATGTCTGTCTATCCAAGGAGAACAGGCCCGTGAGAGTTCCAGTTCATGCTCCTTATCATGCTCCCCATCTCTATGATCGGCGGGATGTGACCAGTATCCTGGAGTCATGGCCGAAGGAAGAGCTTGCGAATTATACTCCACGGATTCCTGTCTTGTCCAGTGAGACCGGCGAGATTATCCTGGCACGAAACTTGCACGAACTTCTCGGAATTGCTCTCGAGGAGATTCTGTTACGAAAGTTATGCTGGGATAAGGTCCAGGATGGCTACGCGTCAATGCTGAAGCGAACCAGCAGTGCTGCTTGCAAAATATTTCCAATTGCATCTGCTGCCTCCCATGGCCTGTCTGCTGCTCTGAAGCGGACAGGTGTTCCTGACGTTGAGGTCGATAACACCATCAGCGAATCAGCGAAGGCTTGTGATAACGAGAACTCTACCGGTAGAACCGAGCAATCCAAGATCGCGATTATAGGACTGTCTGGAAGATTCCCTGATGCCCCGAGCCCCGAGCACTTCTGGGATCTCCTTTACAAGGGACTTGATGTCCACCGGGTAGTACCCCCTGATAGGTGGGATGTGAAGGCCCATGTCGACCCTACGGGCAAGATCAGAAACACCAGCAAGGTACCTTATGGATGTTGGATTGAGGAGCCTGGCTTGTTCGATCCGCGGTTTTTCAACATGTCTCCCCGCGAAGCACTTCAAGCAGACCCAGCCCAGCGTCTAGCGCTAGTGACCGCCTACGAAGCCCTTGAGCAGGCTGGCTTTGTACCTGACAGTACTCCTTCAACTCAGAAGGACAGGGTCGGTATATTCTATGGCATGACTAGTGATGACTACCGTGAAGTCAACAGCGGTCAGGATATTGATACTTATTTCATTCCTGGCGGAAATCGCGCTTTCACCCCTGGTCGAATCAATTACCATTTCAAGTTCAGCGGTCCTAGCGTGAGCGTCGATACGGCTTGTTCATCCAGTTTAGCAGCCATTCACCTGGCGTGCAACTCTCTTTGGAGAAATGACTGCGACACTGCCATTGCAGGCGGCACTAATGTGTTGACGAATCCAGACAACTTCGCTGGCTTGGACCGGGGTCATTTCCTCTCTGCAAAGGGAAACTGCAACACATTCGATGACGAAGCAGATGGCTATTGTAGAGCGGATGCGGTAGGCACCGTTGTCCTCAAGCGGTTGGAGGATGCTCAGGCGGACAAGGATCCTATTCTTGGTGTTATCCTTGGGGCTTACACCAACCACTCCGCTGAGGCAGTGTCAATGACCCGACCCCATGTTGGGGCGCAAGCATTTATCTTCAATAAGCTGCTAAACGAAGCGAACGTGAGCCCTCGAGATGTTGGCTATATCGAGATGCACGGAACAGGCACACAGGCCGGTGACGCAGTCGAGATGAAATCGGTACTGGATATCTTTGCTCCCGATTACACACGGGGACCCAGTCAATCGCTCTATCTAGGTTCCGCCAAAGCCAATATTGGACATGCGGAATCAGCCTCCGGTGTGAGCTCGTTGATCAAAGTACTCTTGATGTTGAAAGCGAATACGATTCCTCCACACTGTGGCATCAAGACCAAGATCAACCACAACTTTCCTACCGATTTCAAAGAGCGCAACGTCCATATTGCCTTCAAGCCCACTTCCTGGGAAAGACCTCAGGACGGTAAACGGAGATTGTTCGTTAATAACTTCTCTGCTGCCGGTGGTAACACAGCGCTGCTGATAGAGGATGCACCTCTTTCTACCGTTTCGGGTGCCCCGGATTCTCGTTCAACGCATATTGTGGCTGTCTCAGCGAGGTCTCAGTCGTCTCTCAGAAATAACATCCGGTCCCTTATGAAATATGTCAGCGAATTGGACGGCCAGATTGGAGGCGAAAACTTCCTCGGGAAGCTATCATACACCACAACTGCTCGCCGTATACACCATCAATTCAGGACTATGGTCAGCGGATCTAGCTTGAAGGGCATTCAAGAGGCACTCTCCTCAGCGGCTTCCCGTGACAGCTTCACACCGATCCCTGCGTCGACTCCTAGTATCGGCTTCGTGTTCACGGGTCAAGGAGCGCAATATACTGGTATGGGCCAGCAGCTTTATAGCAGCTGTTCCCAGTTCCGGGATAATATAGACCGTTTCGACTCTATTGCACGGAGCCAGGGATTCCCGTCGATCGTGCCCTTGATTGATGGAAGCGTTCCGGTCGAGGAGATGAGCCCAGTTGTTACCCAGCTTGGCACAACTTGTTTGCAGATGGCCATGACTAGATACTGGATGTCATTGGGAGTGAAGCCCGCCTTTGTGCTTGGTCACAGTCTAGGAAACTATGCTGCGCTCAATGCTGCCGGAGTGTTAACAACTAGCGACACAATATACCTAAGTGGTCGTCGCGCGCAGTTGCTCCAAGAGAAGTGTCAGGTCGGAACTCACTCAATGCTTGCTATCAAAGCAAACCTTGCACAGATCAAGCCATTCCTTGACGATGATGCTTATGAAGTAGCTTGCATCAATGCTCCAGGAGAGACCGTCATCAGCGGTCTGAGCGCCAATATCGACGTTCTGTCTGAGAAGCTGACTGCGGAGGGGCTGAAGTCAACCAAGCTGAGAGTGCCATACGCGTTCCACTCTGCTCAAGTGGAGCCCATCCTAGAGAGCTTGGGAGAGGTCGCGCAAGGTGTTACTTTCCACAAGCCTTCAATTCCAGTCGTTTCGGCTCTACTTGGCGAAGTGATCAACGAAGATAACTGGGATGCATTAGGTCCCCGTTATCTGCAGAGGCACTGCAGAGAGACTGTGAACTTACTTGCTGCGTTGGAAGCCACCAGACACGCAAAACTCATGAATGAGAAGACCATCTGGATCGAGGTAGGATCTCACCCTATCTGCTCTGGAATGATCAAGGGAACACTTGGTCCCCAGGCGAACACCGTCGCATCCCTACGCCGGAATGAGGATACTTGGAAGGTCCTCTGCAACAGCCTTTCCGCCATCTACCTTGCTGGAGTGGATATTCAGTGGAAGGAGTACCATGGGGACTTCACTTCCAGCCATCAGGTTCTCCAGCTTCCTGCTTATAGTTGGGATAACAAGAACTACTATATCCCATACAACAACAATTTCTGTCTTACAAAGGGTGATCCTACGGTCGCAAAGATTGAAGCGGCACCAACCAGCCAGTTTCATACAACCTCTGTCCAGAAAATTGTGGAGACTCGAGATGAGGGTTCTAAGGCTGTTGTGGTCATGGAATCCGACCTTTCTGACCCTCTCTTGAACCCCGTCATTCAAGGGCACAAGGTCAACGGGGCCGCTCTGTGTCCCTCGGTACGTATACCACCTTTACACGTAAAGTGTGACTATTGGTGCTGATAACTGCTTTTAGTCTCTCTACGCTGATATCGCCCAGACCCTTGGCGAGTATTTGATCGAGAACTATAATCCCGCATTGAGGGGATCAGGACTTGACGTTTGTGACATGACGGTGCCAAAGCCTCTGATCGCCAAGAACTCTGGCCCACAACTATTCCGTGCTATGGCCACGGCAGACTGGGAAGAGAGGAAAGCTAATATCCAGATATATTCTGTGAAATCCGATGGTAAGAAGATTATGGATCACGCATCATGTCTCGTCAAATTCTCCGACACCCATCTCTGGGAAGCGGACTGGAAACGCCATTCATACCTCATCAAAAGGAGTATTGAACGACTCCAGAAAAGTGTCGAAGAAGGTCAGAGTCACAGAATGCATCGCGGTATGTTCTATAAGCTGTTCAGTGCTCTAGTCGACTATGGCGACAATTACAAGTCCGTTGAGGAGGTTGTCCTGGATAGCGAGGAGTACGAGGCTACCGCTCGCGTTAAATTCCAAGCGAAGAGTGGGAACTTCCATCGCAACCCTCTCTGGATTGATAGCATCGGCCATTTGACAGGATTTGTTATGAACGCCAACGATGCTACGGACTCTCAAAGTCAGGTGTACGTGAACCACGGATGGGATTTCATGCGCTGTCTCAAGAAGTTCTCGCCGGACACGACATATAGAACATATGTGAAGATGCAGCCTTGGCAGGGCACTATCTACGCTGGAGACGTTTATGCCTTCGACGGAGATGAGATCGTTGCGGTTTACGGCGGCGTGAAAGTATGTTTTTCCTTGTACATTCTCTTGGGCACGGAGAAACTGACTTCAAATTAGTTCCAAGGGGTTCCGCGACAGGTGCTGAACACTGTCCTCCCACCTGCTGGGGGGTCTAAGGCCGCTCCAAGAACAACTGCAAGAGCTGTTCCGCCTCCCCCGATCAATGTCGAGAAGCCGAAATCCTCAGTTGAGGCCAAGGCAGTCTCAAAAGCTGTTCCTGGCGACCCTGTAAAGTCAGCAGGACCAAGCGTGCTTGTTCAGGCCTTGAAGATCCTGGCAGAGGAGATAGGTGTATCTGAGGCGGAGCTATCGGATGACCTTGTATTCGCCGATTACGGCGTTGATTCTCTTCTGTCATTGACAATAACAGGCAAATTCAGGGAGGAGCTGAACATGGACTTGGAATCATCGACATTTATTGACCATCCGACTGTCAAGGACCTTAAACAGCTTTTGTCCCAAGCAAGTCCATCTGACAGCAGCGATTCCTCTGAAGAATCGCACTACTCCTTCCGTGATTCCTCCTCAACGGAGCCATCGACTCCCGGTACTCCAGCATTCTTCTCGCCCAAGAGAGGGAGTGTAGTCACTAATGTCGGGGAGAGTGAGACAATCAAGACTATTCGCTTGACGCTCTCCGAGGAGATTGGTGTATCTCCAGACGAAATCACGGGGGATGCTAATCTGGCTGAAATGGGCATGGATTCGCTCCTTTCCCTGACAGTTCTCGGAAGATTGCGCGAAACTCTTGACATCGAGCTTCCTAGTGACTTCTTCATTGAAAATCCGACGATGGATGCCGTCGAGACTGCTCTTGATCTCAAGCCCAAGGCAGAACCTATTCCCTCCGAGCTTCCTGTGCCGATTCAAACCGCCGCGGGTGATGAAATAAACGGAGTTATCAAGGCTAATTCAACTCATCCACCAGCTACTTCCATCCTGCTCCAGGGAAATCCTAAGAAGGCAACAAAGACACTGTTCCTTTTCCCCGATGGCTCTGGATCGGCTACTTCCTATGCCACCCTCCCTGCAGTTTCATCCGACGTCTGCGTATATGGACTTAATTGCCCATATATGAAGAACCCTGAGAACCTCAAGTGCGGCCTTGATGAGCTTACCATTCCATACGTGGCAGAAATTCGACGTCGGCAACCTAAAGGTCCTTATAGCTTTGGTGGATGGTCAGCTGGAGGGATCTGCGCATATGACGCTGCACGCTACCTCATCCTGGAGGAAGGCGAGAAGGTCGAACGTCTGCTTCTTCTTGACTCACCATTCCCTATCGGATTAGAGAAACTACCTCCACGTCTGTATAGTTTCTTTAACACCATCGGCCTCTTCGGTGAAGGGAAAACACCACCTCCCAAGTGGTTGCTTCCTCATTTCCTTGCCTTTATCGACTCCCTCGATGCCTATAACGCTGTCCCATTCCCATTTTCCGACCCCGAACTGGGCGAAAATATGCCAAAGACATATCTTATCTGGGCCAAGGATGGTGTCTGCGGTAAGCCGGGCGATCCACGACCAGATCCACCTACCGATGGCAGTAAGGACCCAAGGGAAATGCTTTGGCTGCTGAACGACCGAACTGATATGGGCCCTAATGGGTGGGACACACTTGTTGGACCAAATAATGTTGCTGCTATCGAGGCCATCGAGGGAGCTGATCACTTTACCATGATGAAGGGCGATAAGGCGGCGAAGCTCTCCGCCTTCATCGGAAGGGCAATGGCAAGCTGAACGAGAAAGTCGATGACGAGAGCCTTTTCCTTTTACTTTCCTTATTTGTTTCGGTTCCTATCTCATACTCGGCGTTCCAGGCTCTAGTTTTTGCTTTCTATTTGCAGAATCGGAGTCGACGCATTTGGTTTTCACACTTTATATAACCGCCTCTTATTTTTTATCAAGGGCGAAATATCTAGCTATAGCTTTATAATAACAGTAATATAATGTCTCTATAATCATACCTGAATACAACCTCTCCAACAATATTCCACAGGGCCTCTCTACAGACAGTAAAACTCCAGCTGCCACCTTGCATGGTCCCGAGAGAACTGACTTAGCAGGTTAGAGCATCAGACTACTATGCCAAAAATGCCTCGACATATATAGGATGATCATAAAACATTTCTCAACACCAGCAAAGAACTTTCGAAAGAACGATCAAAAAAAAAAAAAAAAAAAAAAAAAAGAAAGAAAGAAAGAAAAAAAAAGATTGACAACCTGTAAGGCTGCAGGCGCATCCTATATTGCTCTATAGAGACGTATAACACAAAAGATTCTGTGCCCGGGCTGGCTCCAGGGAATGTAAGCTGGATGGAGGCAACCATCCGACTAAAAAGACCACGCCCGGCGTTCGATAACCAGCACCGTAGGTACTTTATAGCCTAGCAGTCCCTATCCTTAAGGAGGATCATGACACTCAGCAGCTTCCATGTAACAGGAGAGGCTGGGGTATGCGCACTTTTCTCGTGGCATTGGACGTATTGAGATCTAGAGGTGCATAGAAGGCGGTTGGCCCTCTCGCGCTGGTTCTTTGTTTCCTATTTAGGAAATATAGTTTCAAACAACACGTGAGACCCATACTGTATCTGGGAGTCAGTGGAATTGGAGGAACCAAGTGATTATTGGCGCCCTTACTAAAGCTTAAGATGACTCGGGTGAAGATTAATAGACGCTAACCAGCATGAAAGATAGGATTTGTCAGTACTTATGCTCCAGTCGAACAACTCAGAGGTTGAAATATCCCGGTTGGAAATGCTGAAACTTAAGGAGCAGATAAATGGACGTTTAAGTAGTCCTTTTGGCGCAGTTACGGCTAGAAGGAAACAAGATGGGATACACTTATTCTAGTTCTGCTGGCACGGTATAGATAACATCCTGGAGTCGTCAATTTGTCCAGAGCGAGGCATGAAGGGGAGAGACATGCCAAAAGTCGATCTCAGAAGTACTAAAAAGACAGACGGGAGCAATGGATATGACTGAAGGTAAATGGATCAACTCCTATACTCCACGAACTCAACAAACAAACGACTCATTGATGACGCCAAACTCAGATCATTGAAATAAACTGTCCATTCTTTAATGGATCAAAAGCGCTGAAAACATTCTGCCCGCAGTTGATCGGAGATTGCCCTCCTCCAACATGGATGAAGTAGAAAGGATTCTAAGTAGACATTTCTGAGCTGAATCTAAGCGCACTGCCTCTGCCTGTTGCGCCTGAGTTGTTAACGCCTGGGCTAGTAGGACGACTGTTCGTTGAGGCCCACTTAGGGCTTCGCGGTTGAGTGCTCGTAGAACGCGTAGATGGGCGGTTTCTTTTAAGATCTCTAAGCTCATCTTCTTTCCTGCGTAGCAGCTCATCTCTTGATGCAAGAGTAGCTTCCAGCTCTTGCACTCGTGCGTAGTGCCTAGAGTCATCATTGCTCGTTTTAATTTCCTTGAGCTGTGCCGCATTCGCAGTTGCCTTCCGTTTGAGTTCTTCATTCTGTTCCTTAAGTTGACGTATCTCGAGACCGGACTGTGCAGCTGCTGTTGAAGCGTTCTGATATTGCTCTCGTGTATACTCAGATTGCTTCTTCTCGTAATCGGCCCTTCTTTCAAGGTTCGCATTCTCTTGTAAGAGACGGCGTACTTCTTCACGAGCAGCTTCAAGGTCAGCTTCGAGACCACCACCACTCTTTAACGCTTCTCTTGCAGCTTCTAGGTCATGCTTCAATTGCGTGCGCTCATCTTTCAACTTGCTAATCTCGTCACGCTGCCTTTCAAGTCTTTGCTCTAACTTGGTCACCGTCTCAGCCAAACGGTCTCGTTCCTGCCGCGTTTTATGAAGATCCTTGGTGCGTGACTCGTATCGGTGTTGCAAACCTGCCAACTCTATTGTCTTCTGCTTGTTTCCAGATTGAGCTTCAGAAAGAGTTGCCCGAAGCTGCCGTAATTCAATAGCATGCGTGTTTTTCATCTGGATAAGACTCCTCTCCAAGGATTGTAAGTCATTGTCTAACGTCTGAGTTGGCTGCGCGGTAGAGTCTGATACCTGGCTGGTATCTTGGGATGCTAAGAACCGCTGTCTCTTTGTACTACGCGCATCTGGGTCATCGCCATCCTTTTCTATATTAGTCATTCTTGCTTTTAAAAGAATATCCTCTCAACACTCACAAGGACCCGTTTCTGTAGAGAACCCGCTGTCTGCATATACTGAACACTGGGATCAATAGCTTCCGGCCCTAAGGCAGAAGCAATTTCCGCTGGACTGAGAATCTGGAGCGGTTCAATCGTCGGCCAAGACCAGCTTGCGTTGAAATTGTCAGAAAGAAGATATGAAAGGAGTTCTTCCGCATCCTCGTGGACATTGAGGGCATCATCTTGAAGATCGCCCACTGTATCATGAAGGCGATAAATATAATGTGCAAGAAGGCGAAGGCGCTGTAGTTCAGCGAGATTCGGTAAACAACGCTCAATATGCTCGCTGCTATTTGAAATAAGAAATCGAACAACAGGGAGTAGGTTTCCATTCCGGGCAAAGGTTGTCCGCAGGTGCTCTATAGAAGGGTTCTTTGCATTGAAGGACGAGTCGAGAGAGAAGATGGCAGTTGGGTTTCTGTAAAGCTCAATGACACCATCACTTTGCGCTGAGCGGATCCCGAAGCTCAGTGCTCCTTTGGTCATCGATATCTCGACATTAGTGCCACTGCCCATTTCTGAACGAGGTCGAGTATATTCAAATCCCTTTCCCAGGAGGTATCGCTCCACGAGATCTACAGTGTTTCCTTCTCGTACCATGAGAATAATGTGGAGCTCATGACTTTCCGCCATCTCCACAAAGTAGCCTAGCAGTTGAAACTTGGAGCTCGAATACTCGGCCCAAGCAGCTTCCTTCTCTGGATCACTTGGTGAATCTTGAATGTGTTCAGCTATGTTCAAGTCGGGGTGTACTGTTGTGTTGTTTAGCTTCTCTACCACTCGGCGCATCTGAGATATCACTTGTTCTCGCTGTGAAAGTCAGAGACCAGACTACAACTGTCGATAGATTATCGGCTCACCTCATTGTTCCCAAGTATCGATTCAGATGTGAATAGAGAGTGGAAGTTTTTGATGACATGTGACTCGTCGGTTAAGATTCGTTCATAGACGTCCTTCACCCTAGAATCCATAGGAAGAGTCATGGCGAATTCTGACGCCCCAAGTTGAACTGAGCCGGGAGGAGCCTCTTCCGCGGGAACGACAGTCAAATCGCTGGGCTGGATTGTCTGCATCAGAGGGCCCTCATGGTATTCAGGGAGTGCAGCTCCAGCGTACGTTTGTCCGGGCTGGTCATGTAGATCGGCTGGTGCCGCATGTGAAGTCGGTTCCTTATCCACTCGAATACTAAGAGGAGACGTAGTTTCGGGTGCTGATGCTGCTGCGGGTTCAATGTCCCCGGCAGACGACGGAGTGGCACTAGCACTGACGCTTCGCAAAGTTCGAGGGGGAAAATCGGCCTGCAGTTGAGCATACAGGCTCCTCAGTTTTTCCCTCGGGGTAGAGCCAGGAACATGGTCGTATCTCTCGGGGACACCGGATTTTGGCGCCCTGCTGCTATCCGGGCTGTTCTCCATGATGGCGGAATTCTTTTCGTAATAACTGTAAAGAGTTGGGAATAACGGCGTGATCCTACGACAAAGGATAGGTTCAGTCCTAGGGTTTGAGTCCTGGGTATGTCTCACGGAGACAGAAAGCGTGCGCTGGCTAAGATTGTGTAGCCCGTAGCCTGTTTGAGATCTGACAGGGTTCTGGTTAGAATCAAATACGGTCTCCGGAATTGAACTTATTTGAGACTGTGTTGACTTTTTGGCCTGGGTAGATGGCGTTTCGACCCGCACTGGAAGGGCTTCAGGAATGGATTGCGTCTCAGCTATCTCATCCGCTTGGATTGTTGTAGTCTGGAAGTAATAGACGTCTCGCAAAGACCGGCAGTATTGGTTAACGATACGATCATGAGATGAACCTATCGACCCAGATATTGCACTCGAAGACGATATATGAGTCCCAGTGACAAGCGAGCTTTGTGTGCTGTTAACGCTAGACTTCTGTAGAGCGCCTAAAGTCTGCAATGTCGCACCAATTGAACGCAGAGGAGTATTTTCCACAGATGATGTGCCAGTTGTTGATGGTGGATTTGAGCTTTCAAGAGAAGCACTTCCCTGTATGATGTGGTGTTCTCCTGTCGTCTTATGCGTGCTTTCCGTACTCTGCGTCTCCGGTACCGTCTTGCCAGGTAAAAAAAGCGGCGATGGCGATTGAGAATTGGATCTTTCTGGCTCCGCTGAGCTCTGCTGAGAGCTGCCAACGCTGTGAGCTGACTGTCTCCTTTTCCCTCTGTACAGTCTTCGCCGTCTCCTCGACTGAATGTCTACCTTCTTTTTCTCTTCCCAGGCTTCTATTGCAGCGTCGTTAGCACACTCTTTCGGTTCCTATTGTACAATTGTTAGTATTGCACTTTAGCAGATAGAAGGTTGGAAAGAGTATATATATGTCATTGAGATTGCGGGCACTCGGAATGCTGATATGCAGAATTGGAACGCAAACATACCCAAGTCGGCGAATACGGTCCCTTCCAGTCAATGAGATATCTCGTTCGCGTCTCGTCGAGGATGCAATTAATAGGGTATTCTTCGTCTCCAATATCAACTATCTGACTGTCTGTACCGGAAGTAAATGAGTCTTGCGTAGTAGGACAGTGGCTAGTTATAGTAGACAATGTACTCGATTGCTTCCCTCGGCGCGCCATTACCTATGCGCGTCGGGCCAGAGTTGCGAAAGTTGCACAGTCCATGACGAAAGGATTATTGATTTTGGATGGGTAGGATGCAGAAAGGGACCTACAGATCGTCCAGTAAGTTCTGTCAGTAGAAAGTGAGCAAGAAGCTCTCAATCATGCCGGTAATTAGAACGGTAAGTTGAATTGGCCGGAGACGTGACGGACGCGGCGGTTGACCGCCCGCACGTGATAAGGAGCCCTTATCGAAACCATTATCAGACTAGCTACCATTGAAGCATGTTTCTCAAGATGTCATAGATGGTCACTTCATACAAATTAAAAGTGTACTGTCTAGAATTTTCTGGTATACGATCTTTCTCCATATACAGTCTCGCAAGTTGAGTGTGTTGATCTGTCTAGGCAAAATGGTCTGGTTCCACACCCCAGGTCCCTAGATGCAATGCATTGTATCGCAGTCTCACCTACATTACCATCAAGCCCAATAATCACGCGTGTCATAGCTATGGCCCATTGTTCTCATGTTCTTTCTTCCATGCATCGAAGTCAAAGCCGATCTCCTCCAACGTCCGGATGGAGCGGCGCTCTTCTCCCTTGCTCTGGAAGGCCTTCTTGATCTCTGGGAAACGGTCCCGCATCCACATTTCCTTTTCTCCCCATCTTGTTCCCAATTTACCCTTCCCCTCAGTACCTAGTTCCGATTCCGTTCTGGCCTTTCTTGCCCAGTCATACAGGAAGTTGAGATATTCAGCATCCTTCGGAAAAGGTAGAACATGAAACGCTTTGCCGTCTCCCTTCTCTGCAACAACAGACTCCTCCCAAGCTTTCATCTCCGCCTTGGACGGAAGAGTTAACTTTCCAGAGAAGACTCGTGCGAAGACAGCAGCCTGGTTTTCAGATAGGGGAAATGGTATGACCTTCTGGGGAAGGGTCGGAAACACTAATGTAGGATTCTCAATATAGAACAACTGCTGGTAGATATTGAGAGTCCTACTGCCATCCCGAATCACCGGTGGCTGTAGGGATGATAAGAACGGAAAAGAATAGAGATAACCCGTGCAAAAGACGATGGCGTCGATTCCATCCTCTATCCTTCCATCCTTGAATCGAACTGCACGCTCGTGAGCACTGGGTGACAGAAACTCCACTATCTCGGGGTATTCGATCCTGTCGGCCGCAGGACCAGGTGAGAGATACGACTCCGACCGTGATGAGGCTAACAGAGGTCCTTTGCAGACCGAAGCGATCTGAGTCCCAATATCAATTCCAGATGCAGAATTGCCTACCACGATGACCTTTTCCCCCCTAAAAGCTTCCGGGGAATCATAAAATTTGGAGTGTGAGATGACCCCCGGGTAAGCTAGATTCCATGCCTCGATCCCCTCAATGGCAGGGACGTAAGGAACATTGTAGTGGCCGCTTGCAACCACAACGGCATCGTATGGATCCGTCTCAACGCGTCCATTTTGCAATTCTTTCCTTGTCAGTATCCAAGAATTTCCCGGTCCAGTAGTGACATCGAGAACTTGTGTCTCGAAATGAATTAGCTCCCTGATATCGTCGGCGTACTCATGAAGGTATTCCGTCACGGTCCGAAACGTCGGGAATAGCTGAGAATCCGCTGGAAACGGCTTATCGGAAAACTGCATCAAATCCTTCGGAATGTTGGTTTCTAGTCTTTCATAGAGAGGTGATAGAAAAGTTGCTTCTTGGCCTTCTTTGCTATTTCGTTTCTGGTGCCAAATGGGCTCTTCGACTGGCTGGCGTGGATCTAATTGCGGAACAGGGGTTGTAGCTCCAATTTTGTCGGTTCCAGGTGAATAGTTCCAGGTGCCTCCGGGTGTGCTTCGCTGCTCGAATACGTCGATCTTATCGAAGCTCTTCTCAGCGAGGAGATACCTGGATCAACTTCATTAGCAGGAGCAGATCGCGATATGCGATATCAGCATAGGTGAGATTGATAGTTCCATACTTGGCCGCCGCAAGGCCGGCGGGCCCAGCGCCAATAATGGCTATATTCCGGATCTTTGAGATGGCAGTCATAATGACATTATTATAAGGGAGGATGTGAACAACAGGTGGCTGTGAAATGCGACTGTTCGGCCCTGAGGAAACCCCGCCGGTTTTATCTTATCAGACCATCGGACCCATCTTATGTGCCCTTGGCGCCACTTTGGAGGCAAGTTGCGCCATCCCGGCTCGTGTCCTGTACTCTGATCCGTAACATAAGTCAGTATCAACACTCTACGAAGCTGCTGCGAGGTAAAACATGGAAAATATATGGACAATATGGTAGCTGCAGAATGTATCTCAGATGATCATCCTCTGCCAGAATCGCTTATATTTACAGGACGCCGTATTGGCTATTTCTCAACAGTCCACATCTCCCTGCGTGGACTTATTGCAGTGGAGAATCTGTTCCATAAGTTTAATCACACTGTTGGGATAGTAGTAACTACAGAATATCATGTTTGATGCTGTCTACCTCCAACACGCCTGTCCTCGGCGTAAATACCGATTTATATATTACAGCCAAAGCCGGCGAGCCAAGCTTGAGCTCTACCTACGTATCGTACTGTACCGCCCGTAATAATACAGCCATCACCGACTCCGACACACGAGGTTCGTGATGCAACCAGGCAAACCGTCAGACCTTCTTCTCAAATCCCACAACCTTCGCCATCATCGCTCATAGCCTCCTAGTCGTTTGCCTGAGAGCTGAACGCGCTCGACACGAGATATCATGTCGTGATCTCGACAACGAAGCTTCCAAGATCGAACAATGCGCGCGACTTTTCCTTAGCGACCGCGATCATGGACTCCGACGATCGATCTCCGGCTGCTGGAGCTGTCGCACAATCAGCCCATATACCAATATCAGAGCTTTCTCCGGAGCGTGAAGATATAAGTACTAAGTCTGTGCATGCTGTGGTGACACTGGTCTGGCCATACTCGTCTTCAAGCCAGTCCCTTAGCCTTCTGCTCGCCGAGCCAGATTTTCGTCTTCGACGTTCCCAGGGCCAAGTGAAGGTCAACTTTCATGGTACAAGCGCGCAGGAAGTTGCCCAGACTCATGTGGGCATTGGTGACGAAGTCCACCTCTCCCTGAAAGGGGTCAGATGGACGGACACCCAGGGACCGTTAGCGACGCCGGGCAGAAATGTCAGCTGGGATATCAACTTCGAGAACCATGTAACACTTGAGGTACGCTGTCACTCGATAACACGTTATTTGATTTATGGGCTAAAAGATGATGCAGATCTCGAGAGACTCCCGACCTCTAGCCTCAGTGCAAGTTGATAGGCCAGCATCTCCGCCGCAGAATGATGGTTTCGCAACGCCAGCGAAACCTCCAGCTATGAATCTACACACGGAGCTGGAAGGTCCGTCTGTGGGATCGGCTCAATGGGCGTCACCAGCTTTTCTACGATCAAACCGCCAGTCTCTGGGTAGCGTTATCGGCCCTGCATTTGATCCCTTCGCGGAGGAAGATGGCTACGTACCGGGAAAAGGAAGGAAGAGACCCAGGTTCAGCATGCGCAGTAATGAATGGCGACTTGTTGATGAGCCTGCAAGTCCGGTCAAAGAGGAGACTCCCTGGGGTGAAATGGAAGACATGGATATGCAAGATGATGAGCTAGAAGCTGAGCTGGCAGTGGAAGAAACCGCCAGCAATCTGAATGGAGCAGGAACACATTCACCGAAACATATAGACGCAAAAGACGTTGCAGCTGAGCCTATGGTGACCGAAGAGTCTTTATCTGAAACTGCCGCCGGGCTCGCAGCAAGTGACAAAGCTCTCGCGCAAGATCGAAGTATCCAACGACCTCAAGATGCTGTGGAGGTGGTACGCAAAGATCCTCAGCTAGAGTTTACACCTCCAGTGGTGGCTTCGCAACGCACCAGCCGTGCTCCTACGGATACACCGCGTCTTCTGCCGCTTCTTTCCCCAGGACTTCTCGTCCCCTCGCCACTGGTAACAGTCTCTCCAAGTCCACAAGGTTACTTTCCGACGGTGGTTGAGTCTACTACATCTAGTGAACCTCCAGTGGTTTCCGTGGGTTCTGGCGATCATGAAGCGACAATCCAGAACGGCCCCTTACAGGAAGCTCCTTCGCAGGATCTATTGCAAGAGGCTACCGCACGAGTCCTAGAACATGCTGCTGCCGATGCCGTTGATGCTTCTATGGAGGCGAATAAACCTTCATCATCTGAAACAATAGCTGGTATCAGTACCCAAGTTCCTCATTCTCCTCCTGTGGGCGAGTCCGACGTCTTGATAGAATCATCAAACTTCCAGGTTGTCGAAGAAGGAGTACTTGAGAATACAGGTGAGATCGCAGGGGTAGTTGAGGAAGCAGCTGAAATTGATGAGGCGCGGTCGTTATCTGAGTCCGTTGAGACAGAGTCTGGCGGCTTCGACGAGGATGATGAAAATATCAGAGAAACCCGGCATGAGGATAGAGAAGCTCAGTTAGGGGATGGAGAAGGTGTCGATGAGCATGAAGAATACGAATCTACGGAACACGAGGAAGGATATTCCAATAGATCTCGAAATTACTCAAGGTCACCTCCTGTTCCTATTGAAGAGGAATCTGAAAGTGAAAGCGAGATAAGTGAGGAAGAAACAGAAGCGGAATTCGAATATGTTAAACGAGAATATGTTAAACCCAGCAACCGGGAGAGCCCTGAAGAGAGACTACATGATACGGCTTCTTATGTCGCTGAAGACGAGTACGATGACGCGGAAGAAGATGAGGAACAATCTGAGGAACAATCTGAGGAAGAATTCGACGAGGAATACGAGTCCGTTCATGTCTACGAGGACGAATCTGAGGAATCACTAGGTTCTGAAGCCGACTCGGAAGATGCGCCTTCGACAAGACCGCAAGCGCCAGCTCCGGAAAGGACTGTACATCCGGAAATTATCGTTCTAGATAGCGACAGTGAAGAGGAGTCCGGTGTGGCTGGAAACCATTCCGTAGTCCCACCGGAAGATCAGAGAGATGTCCTCGTGAAAGCGACTGCAACAAGGGATCAGAATGAGCTGTCGGTCTTGCGTACTGTACATGCTGAGGGCTCAGAAGAAATCCAGGACAACGAAGAAGGCATTAGATACTCTGAAACCGAGGAGTCGCAAGATAGCGAGCATTCTGAGACTTCGGCTGCTCCCGGATCCCCCGCTACTGGTGAAGATGTATCAGACAGCTTCCAGGAGGAGAGCGAAGAGGAAGTCCATCAAGAAGTTCAGGAAGAAACCCATCAATATTTCCATCGGGAAATTCAGGAAGAGGCCCGGGAAGAGGCCCGGGAAGAGAACCTGTCACCATCAGAAGAATCGCACGGGTCCGTGAGCTATCCTTTCTTTACACCCGAGACCGACCTGCAGCAGCCGATATCAGACGAGCACAGTGAAAGTGCTATAGATCCTGAGTTACTCCGATCACAACAAATACCACCGACGAGTGCAATAAACGACAATAACAAAGATGCTCATGAGCAAAAGGATGAGGCCCTGCTGTATGATCGAAGTTCTAATCTAAGTCGATCCCGTGATCAGGGTCTTTTCCTTGACGGACCAAATTCTCCTCAGCACAGCGGTCAAGTCGAAAGAGGCCAGCACCAATATATCGAACTTCACGGTCAATTACCTACCCCTAATGCTACGCAACAGATGGATCCCGTGTCTCCAGAACCGGATGATCACATCGCTAGGCCAGAGTTTATGCCCACTCCACGAAATACTCAAGATCCCTTTACCGAACAGTTACAAGAAGACCAGCCAACTCTCCCAGACACTGCGTCACCAGCGCACATTGAGATAGTGTCCACGGATTTTAATGGTCAGAAAGAAGAAAATATTCCGGGTGGCATAGTGCAACATGTGTCTCGACATGTGTCTAGCAGAAAATACACAGCCACCGTACCTGTCGAAGACAAGCCGCTGGCCGCAGACGACACAGGTCTGGACCGCGAAGAGCAGCCAGAAGTTCAACAGAGCATTGAAAGTAATACAGATGTCGTTGATCGCCGTCCCGTGCAAGTGAGCGTGGAAATCAGTCCTGCTGCGAGTCCGCCGAATCCCCCCGCTCTTCCAGATCGTAAAGCAAGGGGCTTTCGCAGCGCACATTCTTACTTCGCTCCGCTGGCGACGTTGTTCGACCTTTTCAATTCCGTGATCGATACAATCTCAGTCGTTGTTGAGACGTCAGCTGTGTCCCGTTCCGCGTCTGGTCCCCGGGATTACTTTCTGACTCTGCAGCTTACAGACCCGTCAATGGCGGGTACTATACTTCCCGCACAAATATTTCGCCCTTACAAGACGGTCCTGCCAGCTGTGAAAGAAGGAGACGTGATCCTGCTACGTAACTTCAAGGTCCGGACTTTCAATCATTCAATGATGCTGCTCAGCACAGACACCAGTGCGTGGGCTGTCTTCGACGGCGAGATGGACGAAGCTCGCGTGGCTGGTCCGCCAGTGGAATACGGCCTGGCTGAACGCTCTTACGCAGACAGTCTACGCGAATGGTTCCGCGAAGATGGCGCTGCTATGGTTGCGGACTACAGGCTCCAGTTGTCCATCGACAGAGCTAGCAGAGGGGACACGCCTTCCAGCAGCGCTGCCATCAGCGATACCGGCAGCATTGACTCGGGCTTGCGTGAATCACGCGGTGACTCGCTTTTCTCACACCGCGGGTCCAGACGCAACAGAAAAGGTAACCGGCGAATCACTATCCATGAACTGAGAGACGGGACGCGATATACAGAGGTTGGATCGCCCTCTGATAAGGAGAGCATTCACGAATTAAGAGACGGCACAGTCTACGCGAATCTTTGATTTGCTCATGCTGCAGCCAGTCCAGAGCTCAAACTGTGTAGAAAAGCATGCATGCCCTGCGCTACGCTCCTGAAGCTCGGGTTTCGGGTGTAAAAAAATCATTCATTGTGTATAATTGTTGACCGCGTACATTCCATCAAATAAGTATATAGCTCAGTACATTCTCTCCGGCGAGGCCTAGTAAGATAACGAAGCACGGATCTACTTCTTGATCGTGTCAGGTCAGCAGTGAGAAAACCAAGAGAAGGACTAATAAAGCCACGGTTAAGGAGCCATGACATTGTCAGACTTTGCCTTTCTACCTCAAGCTCAACCAGCAACCTGCTAAAAGCAGAAGTGTAGCAGCGGTTGAGCCCCTCGGATTACCAGAGCCTCGTAGGGTATCTTCATAACGGATGACGACGACGCCAGGACGGATTCGAATGGACTCGACGTACCGAGTAATAATAAGTACGGCGCACGCGACAGAATCAGGATCCAAAGGATGCTATCATCACAATCATCATCATCATCACCATCGTTCTATTACAATGCCTGCATACTGCAGCGACATAGGTCTTAAACCTCCTCGAAAAGAAAAAGAAGGGCATGTCCCGTCGATCAGGTCATCACCGCATCATGGGAAGCTGGAGAGCCCTCGTGATGATGGTTTTAGACGCGGGGTCCGCACGAAACGGTCAATCTCGACACACTCATCGGAATCGCCAGCGCAGTGGAGGAATGAAAGAAGCTGCTGGCGATGATTTGAGTCGGTGGTCTTGGGTTTTGTGGAAAAGAAAAAAAAAAAGAAAAGAGAAAAGAAAAGCGAAAAGAAGGAAAAGAAAAAGAAAAAGAGACGGTGCGGGTGGAGCCGCCGGGCTGGGCGGTGATTGGCTGGGCGCCGGAAGAGGACGAGCGAGAGCGACGGCGAGACGTGAGGATGCTTCTCTGCGTCGGTCTCCAACAACATACATACTCGTCTCTCTACGTCCTCGATCAACACCCTTAATCCTGCCTCACACAGCCCTTTTACGACCTCGACCCCGCCGCTGCCACCTCCTGTACGCCCTGTTCCATCTATTCGGCCCATCTTCTATCGTCTACTAGTCTCGCACGAAGAGCCACCACACCCCCCACTAGTGTCAGTCCCTACCTGATGACCGCTCTTTTTCAGAGCAACTGTATACGCTACCTCGATGGATAACGCAAACCTGTGGACGCGGAGAGCAAAGTAAGACCATCTGACAGCCTTTTTCCTGTAGTCTCAGGACCTGTGTCAGGCCCGTGCTGACCGCGATCATAGCTCCAGCAAGCTGTCTCTGTCCATGTCCGGGACTGACAGAGACGGTGGCGCCCGAGTCGATCTTCCCCGCAATCACACAGCGAAGCGCTTCGGTCCCGACAGCTCTCATGGACGGTCGAATCCCTTCAATGCGATATCTCCTCTCTCCGCGGGCGCGTCCTCCCCGTCGATAAACGCCTCGTCCGCTTTCGGCCTGGGGTCTGGCGCATTCGCGTCGTTCGGTTCTTCAGCCAAGACTCCGAAGACGCCCTCCGGCGGTGCCTTCGATCTCAGCTCGAAGACTTCTGGTGATAAGAAGGATACGCATGAGACGGAAGGCACGGGGACGGACACAGTGAAAGCGAAAGGCTCGACGTCCTCACTCAGCACATCCGCTTCCACCATCAAGACACACCCTCTCAAGTCGACGTGGATTGTCTGGTACCGTCCACCCACACCGAAATACTCAGACTATGAGAAGTCAACAATCGCACTGGCATCCATTTCCACGGTTGAAGGCTTCTGGAGTGTCTATTCCCACCTGAAGAGACCATCTCTCCTCCCGACTGTTTCCGACTACCACATCTTCAAGAAGGGTATCCGTCCCGTCTGGGAAGATGAGGCCAACAAGAAGGGTGGGAAGTGGATCGTCAGATTGAAGAAGGGAGTTGCTGACCGGTACTGGGAGGACCTTCTGCTGGCCATGGTGGGCGACCAGTTCGCGGAAGCTGGAGATGAGGTCTGCGGTGCCGTTCTTAGCGTGCGGAGCGGAGAGGACGTGTTGAGTGTCTGGACGAGGATCGACGGTGGAAGGAACATCAAGATCAGGTAAGTCTGGACTTGTCATCAACAATAGCTACATATATGGCCCTTGCTAACCGACGTATAGGGAGACGATCAAGCGATTGCTCGCCTTCCCGCCAGACACCAACATCGTTTGGAAAAGCCACGATGACAGCATTGCTCAGCGATCTGCTATCGACCAAGCTCGTCAAGAGAAGGCTGCTGCCAACGCTGGTCATCATCACCACCACGGGGGTGACCGGCGGAGGGCTAATAATGCCAACCACAACAACAGCAACAGCCATGATGACACAACGGGTGACAAGGGGAAAGGTTCGGCGTCTTGAAAAAGGGTTAAACTGAGCCTTGGTATGGCCCTGTATAGTAAAGGTTAACTGGCATGCGTTCTTCACTGGGTTGGGGGAAGGCTTGGGCGAATTCCTGCGTCTGCTTTAGTTTTAATGCAAGATGACATGAAAGGACCAGCATCTCGATGCTATGTAGTCTACCATTGGTATCACGATTGCTTCTACATTGGGGGGTTTTACGGGTGATGGGGACAATGGCACTTCTCATGAATTCCTACGATATCTATTTCCGTTCCTTCTTCTTCGTTGTAAGATAGCACCATCGCAACAGCCCTTCTCTGGGGAGATCACGGATTTTCTCACTTTGAGATTTGTCCACAGTACCCCTTCTTCTAGTTGTTGACTCGAGAATCATGCTCTGCGGCGTTGACTACTTTTCTTCCACCAGCAACAACATGCGTCAGTATCATCAGTGCGTCCGTCAGCGAGTCAGCTTTGCCTTCTACGTGGAAAACATCACTATGCTCTTTGAACCCTCTTTGTGTACGCCACGCGAATATGCGGATCGATGTTGTCTGGTGTTATTCTCCCAAGGACATGGTGCTCCCAATTATACTGGTGGATGATTTGCAAGGTGACAAGTTGAGAATGATAGCAATTGCACCGAACACCCTTCGTGTTCGTCATCAATGTTGCAAATCAGAAAAGCGTCGACAATCTACCTAGCGGCTTAGGGCCAGTTGTTTGCCCAATGAGCCACCAATGGAGCCGGCGAAGCTATGTAGATGCGCCGTATGCTACCTTCCAAACCAAAAATTGTAGATTCTAGGTATATAGTAGGTTCTGTGCTATTTGGAGAAGGATAATCGTTATTGTAATTTTCTTATCCTGCGTGTCGGCATATGTACTTACTTTCCCTGCTTAAGAGATACAAATTATACACTCCGATTTTACCATTAAGCAGTTTTGAAAGGAGGGGGGTTATGATAGCTTGTCATCTTAGTGCTGGTTAAGCACTTGCAGGAAGATGATATATACTATATTTAATGCTCGGCTGCTTTACGCTACATACTACGTAATACTGTCGAATGTCTCTTCGCTGCCCTGTGCCAGAACTGTAGATATATCGGTTTAACTCTCAATAGGTGCACCACTCTCACTTAATATTGTCGAATTATATCCCGGCACACTCAGGAATACTGAAACAAGAAGCTAAAATTAGAATAAAGAGGAATGACGGTGAGTATAGAATACATTGCTGGTTTTATATTTACAAGGAACTGAACTTAAGGACCTCGGGACACTCTCCGCAACTGAGTATTGCTTATCAACTACAGCATCATGCCACCCCCTTTGCTGCGACATTATCCTACTTCAGCTTGCAATGTCCCTATCATGGGGTATAGAACCAAAAAAAATTAACAAAAAGAAAAAAAAAAAGATGTCGACAGAACTGGGATTCGAACCCAGGCGGGCGAACCCACAGGCTTACTATTTGGGGTGTTAGTTGGAAATTCGAGTTACGGTGTCTTTGTAAAGGCTACTTACGCAGGCCTGCACCTTAACCACTCGGTCATCCTGTCAAGGTGATGGAAGATTTTCCATTTTGGCGTTTCTTAAATTTGACATCGAGACACCAACTCCTCAAACTCACGTGATAGACACTTTTTGGTAAGCATAAACATTTAACTTAACTAAAGAGCTTCAACATAAAATCTTACTTCTGGATTTAGATCGAGTGTTTCTAGCCTGTAATAGAAACTGAAAGGCTAAATTCCGAAGGGACCAGCTCAGTGTGGGGAGTATTGTGGAGCGTGGGAAACAGCAGTATTGTATTAAGACTGATAGCTGGAGTTCTCAGGAGCGTATTGTTTGTTATTCTGGCAGGGGGATGCCGGCGGATTGCACTTTCTTCTGACAATTTCCTGACATTTTGTCAAATTTTTGCTTGCCTGATTAATGAACCTGCCTGCATGTCGTCATGAAGCTGGGGCCTATGGCTGACATTACTCCCACTCAAGAGTTTCTTCTTTAGTCGTCTTGTTCACAACCTGAATATTGTTCTTAGAATCTCCAAGCCCTGTCATTTACGGTTTCCAAAACATTCGTTCGCCCCTCCTAGATCACCGGCCTTCCATTCTCAACGTTCCTGTCATTTCCCCTTCTTTACATAGAAAGAAAAACTCGTCCTGCTCCGATCAAGCGCAGGAAAATTACCGATTATCTTCATAGATTGAGAGGCAGGCTTGACTAAGCAGAGTATGATTTACTTGGACCTGACACAGAAATGATGACTGACTCCAAGCAATAAATTCATAGGAAGAACAAGCCATGTCACCTAAGTTTCCAGATCATGAATCCTCTATCTCCATTGATATCAATGAAGGGCAAGCCTTCCAGGAAGACCAGGACAATGTCAAAAGTGATAAAGGAGACGGAGGACAGAGGTCTAACCAAGGAGAGGAGGAGGAGGAGGATGACGACGAAGGTAATGAGCACAAGGAAGACGAGGAGCATAAAGACATGCGCGCCCAGAAAATCAAATTCACTGGAATAACTGTACTAAACGCAAACAGTCGTGTCCCAGATGGGGACGACAATCCCGTTCCTTGGATACCTGGTGCTTCCGTGAGGGAAACTGTGTACCAAATCCGACAATTTCTGCGGACTCGCCCAATAGCCATAGTGAGAGTTATCCGAGAAAGCATAGGTTCCGGGAGGGAAGGCGATCTCGAAAAGGCACTGCCTTACTGTGGATACATCTTCACAAATGGTCCTTGGAGAAATGCACTGATAAGATTTGGGATCGACCCAAGGACTTCATTTGAATATCGCCTGTACCAAACTATCACGCTGAAAATGGAGTGTGATCCTATTATCGAATGTGGGAAGGAGGACTGTGCTGAGAAAGATGATATTGCCTTCCCTCAACTCCTCAAAGGAAGGGACAGTGATTCTCATCTGATCAACGGAAAGAAATCCATTCCAGACGATAATACCTGGCAAATCTGTGACATAACAGATCCTCTTTTGCAGAGCATTGTAGCCACGGGACAGCTCCGTTCCGAAGTCTCGTGGAAGGATGGATTCTTTTGGAATGGAACAATGGCTAAGCTTGAGGTCATTATGCGCGATAAGTTAATCTGTCTCAGAGATGGTAACATCCCTCTCGATGATGAATACAGGTGCCTCCTAGGTTTTCCTGAGAGATATGAATCCTCACAACGCGATCATATCAGGTATGGCCTAGAGTTTGGCCAGACCTATACTATGAAGCAAGCTTTTTTGAGAGGGAAGATATTACGCAGGGCACGCATATCTCTTTCCCGAGGATCGATGATGCAGACTCAGAACGGCTCCCAGAACAACACTCCTGCACTCGAAAAGCCGCTGACCGAAGACCAACTACAAACAATTGATAAAATAGGAAATAAACAGTCGGCTCAGCGCCTTTATAAACGAACATTAAAGATATTTTCCAAGGAGGAGAGGTTGAATGCAATTGATTTTCTTCGAACACGGAAACACGTCAACCCCACAACTGGACAGGAGCGACCCATTTCGATCTCAAGTGCATCTGAAGTCCTCTACATCGGCGAGGGTACATTGAAACGGTGGATAAAAGAGGAAGGAAAAATCGTAGAAATGCGGCAGGGGTCGTCAAGAGCAGATGGGCCAAGGAAAGAACCCGTCAAGATAACAGACCAGTATGATTCAGGACATTATCCATTCCTCATGCTATCGCCAGAAGAACTGCACAGCTATGAAGTCATACAACGAAATGAGTTGCACAAGGTACTGCCTACGACGGGATTCCTCTTCTGAGATAATTTACAGATATTTACTTACTATGGAATAGCTACATCCTTTTGAACATCCAGTCCCTTTCATCGGGATAGAAGGAGGCCGATCTGGGCGACTGAAAACTTTCGAGGATGCTTATAAGTATCTCGGCCAACAGACCCAGACTTTCCACATTGGACATCCACTTGAACCCTCTGAACCCTCTACAAATAACAAGATGGAAAAGCCAGTACAACTTCCAGATCCTAATTCCACAAGTTCCTACCTGAGAGACCCAAAGTCTCAGGGGATAATCAAGAAAATGACAGCACAAGAAGTTAACTCTTGGCTTTACAGCCTTTCGCCAAAGTATGAACCCAGAACACTTTGTTCAACAGAGCGAAATCCTTTCTATCATGAGTTGACGACGTGTGTTGCCTTTATATGTCAGCAGATGATGGCTGCAAATGATAAGGTGAGCGATGATAATACATATCTCCGCTAGATACCGATGAAGTATGTTGATTGTCTGCATAGCTCAAGTCTGCACTTCCAGTCCGGGTCGAGTTTGGTTACGACCAACCTTTCCAAGGTGCCCCCCAACAATGGGCCATTAAACTTTTGTTCACCACTGACATAGAGATCCTGCTTCCATTGGCACTATGTCTAAAGGGTTCTGTTAAAGATGAAGTCGCTCCCGACTCCCTCTATCTTCAAGGCTGGACTATAGACCATGCCTTGTTGCCTTGCACAGGGCAGAAAAGGATAAGAAAAAGGGAGAAGTCAATCAAGTACATGCAACAATTTTACGAGAACTCACAGCCTATTTTTGACAAGTTCAGGTTGAGTCCAGTACTGTATATCACAGATGTTGATATGCTGTTTCTTAGAACGCCGGGTTGGCGGCCGCGTCGGTTTTCTGCAAGGTGGACACTATACAGTACAATCCTCCACACCAGCTACCGATTCAAGTCTCCACTAAGCCCTGTGTATGGAACATATATGGATATTGGACTAATGGTTGATAAAGTCCTTGAAAAGGGATCACAAGTTTCTTTCATAGTCCCACCTAAGCACCCCTTCCAGCTCGTCAAACTGAGCCAATTTACACTCGACCATGGGACTTCTGAGAGTAATATCCTGTCAGACTCGCTCCACCAGTTTACTGCTGGTGATACTTCGTCTCATATCACTTTGCGATTCAAGGATATTGAAGATTACTTCTACCATGAAAGCGCAGTTCCTGACTCTGAAGGAATATACCGTGAAAGATTACACCATGCGCTTAAGTCGAGCGTGGAAAGAGGTTTCAATTTTGTGGACAACAAGAGAAAGTGCATGTTTTATACGTGCCCGGAGCCTCCATGGTCCTCAAGAACGTACTACTGTCGCTATCACTCTGGCGCACTCATCAGGCATTTCTTCGACCTCACTCCTTTATCTATTGACGTATCCACAACCGCACATTCGGAACTGGAATTATCGATCACAGACAGCACACGAACCACCTTGAAGGAACTCAAGACCATGTTCTTGAGGCCTGAGAATACTTGGATCATGGACTTTGAGTTTATTTCCATGCCGGTTAAGTACTCACCAATCCCACTACAACTTGCAATCAGACAGATAGATGGAAAGCTGCTGTATTCGGGTAATGTGGACTACAAATTGTCCATGAAGGACTTGGTCGAGATTACTTCACCGTATGTCTCAGACAAGCATGGTATGATGGGTACACTATTCCTGAGATGCTATGGAGGTCTCAAAACCAATGGTGAGACGCCTCCGAAGATCAGAGACCACCTTCGAGATGTTTGCGGCTACGACAAAGACAAAGTTCAGCTATTATCCTGGTTTTCTGCTCATGACATGCAATGCTTTCTCAGAATCCTTTCGGGGAATGATGGCTTAATCCAAGACAAGATGTCTCATCTGAACGCATCAAATTTTCAATCGATCAATGTAGGTAAGCTATGCCGAGACCTCTTTCCAGGGCTCGCCTCGGGCAGACTTGGGACAGTGCATCAATATCTCGGGAAGAATACGGATTCATCCAGCGGAGAAGATTACCATAACGCCTCGTACGATACTGCAGCGATGGTGGACATTATCAATGTTCTCGTGGGGTTGGTTTAAGTCCATTTTGGAATCCCTGGCACAGATCAGAAAGTCGACCTAGGAGAAATCACTAGATTGTTTCTTAGCCAGTTAATTGGAAATAGGGTCAGATGACAGAGTATGGGATAGGGGGGAATAAATACGTATTATGTTGTATTGGGTACATACATAGTAGCTGAATATTTTATTGAACAATATAGTTGTATTGAAAATAACCCTTCACTCAAAGTAGAATATATTTACACTCCCGAAAAGAGTATCATAACTAGCCCGAGAACAGGTGTTATACATACGGAGTACAACGCAAGCCTTTAAACGCCGGGAGGGTTAATAATAATATCTTACATTCAACCAAGCGCACTCCGAAAGGAGTAGATCACGTTAGGTACATTAAAAAATCCGAATAGGCTGAGATGCCTACTACGAAGCACACTCTTCGCTTCACGGTCGACTGGTGATCTGGCAAGATTAAAGAAAAAAAAAGATTTAAATGCCGACAGAACTGGGATTCGAACCCAGGCGGGCGAACCCACAGGCTTACTATTTGGGGTGTTAGTTGAAAGTCGGGCTACGGTGTCTTGTAAAGGCTACTTACGCAGGCCTGCACCTTAACCACTCGGTCATCCTGTCAGATGATGACTATTTTTTCCCGAAATACGCTACTTCATCCAAACATACAGTGCCCCATGGCTATGACCTCTTAATTGATCAGTCTTTGGAGCACTGGATCTCCGGAGGTACAACGGCTTGCCTCAGCTTGGGTGTAGATACTGCCACTCAAGCGCAGGCTGAATGCTCACCTGTAAAACCAGGCCTTTCTTCTTTCTTCGCTTCTTTCTGCTGCAGGCAGCCAACATTAGCCGCGTGCGCTTTTTCTTGATGACGTCCCACTTGAAGCTCACTTCTACCTGAGCCTGAGCGATGCCCAGAGACTTCGACCTGTTCACGCATCTTCCCTTGTACGTTCGCAGCGAGCGCAGACACTTCTCAATAAGCGCCCCGCATCATTTAAGTACCAAAGCCCTCTTGCTAAGAGACTTGTGGCACTGACCGCGGGGCTAGTTTTCCGGCAGGTCAGATGCTAAACAAGATACGGAGCGACGACGCTCAAGATGATGAGCGCAGGTTGTTCCCGAACTTCGAGTACGTAATCCCACAAGCATTCCTGTCGTCTGTAGTGCTCACTCTTTTCTCGGATACAGCAGGAACAGTTCGAATGCGGTCACGATCATTCCTGGAGCTACATTCAGAAAACCCGGCAAATTAACGCACGTAAGCAAGATCGCGGCTCCCTCATGAAGACGGCATCTAACAGTATACATGGATTAGGGGCTATCTCCGTTTCGGCCCATAGACACAATCGCGCGTCACTCCAGACAAAGTGGGCCAGTTCGTGCGGCGGGGAAGGGGAGGCAGCTGGATGATCGCAGCGTTACAATTCCTGGTTCTTCCCACCGCGGATACTCTGTGGAACTGGATGAGAATAATAGGCCGACAAAGCGCCAACGTCGAAGCCTGGAGGCGACATCGGGTCCGGTTGTCGATTTGATAGACGTTGAAGATATGGAACATCAGACGTCTCCAACAGGGACGTCATCCTCGTTTCAGCACACGTCCCGTCTATCTTCGACATCTAGCCAGCAGTCCGTACGTCCAAAGAAATCGAAGGGGACAGGGAAGAAACTAGACGAGTATAGGAACGTGGAACGGTTAATGAGCGTTGGTCACGCACCGACCAGTCCTCAGAATTATTTCCACAGAAGACAGGTGATTATTGAGGATGACAATGACGCTCCGCCTACACCAAAAAGGAAACCTGGAGACACGCGAGAAGGTGCCGATCGGACTGAGACTGACAAAGTCAACCGTGACAACAAGCCGGAAATCCTCGACAGTGTCGAGATTTGCAATACAAGGAACCAAAAGGATGTGACCGAGCTGGAAAGTCCAAAGTCTCTAAAGAAATTCTTTTCGACAGACAGTAAGCGACGCGGATCAAGCGGACGAGAGAGCCCGGACGAACTACAGGGAGATATCACCGTGCAGCGTGCGCCTTCCTCGCTGAATGGAGTGCATGCGAGGGAAGCCAGTGTCGGTTCCTCATCAGCCGACCGATCGAAGAAAGATGCCTGTTGGCGATCATCTCCAAGCGATATTCGTCCCGTGGAATTCACGTCCACCTCCGGAAAAGATCGAGGAAAGGCAAACCGGAAAGAGAGGTCAGACAAGGGTGCTTCTCACAAGAAATTGTTCGAAGCAGACTTGTTCCGTTTCGGCCCTGTCGAGCGTGTATCTTTCGAAGGACAGGGCTTTGAACTCACTATCAATAAGGCCCGAGACACTCTTTGCCTGGCGGAAACTGCTGACAAGGACAGCACGAAGGGGATTGATATACCGCTGCAGAAAATCACGACTGTCTTCGAAGGAGAAAGTCCAAGTCGTAAGATCCGTTTACGTCTTTCAAAAGTGGAGGGCAGCGATGAAATGGTAGATATACAACTATCTTCAGAGAAGGAAAAGGACAACTTCTGCAAGGTCCTGAAGCGGAAAGATATCAAATTTTTATCAAAAGAAAGGTATGCGTTTGTAGTGGCTTCCCACGGACCTAAAACTAATGAATCTGCCAGTGGGTGGATGGACGCTGCATTCAATAGGAATGAGAAAAGAACTGCTGCGCAGAAAGGTCGCTACAAGCGCCTCAACGACGCAGAGAACAGCGAGGAGCCTGTTCAAAAGTCGAAATCCGAAACGATTAAACGGCCAAAACTTTCCGAATCTCTCCAAGATGACAGCGCCAACACCAACCGCTCTGCAGGGTCTATGATTAGTCGACCCCCGCGTCGTCTAGGCGAAGCTTCGAGTCATGCGCAGAGCCAAACTGAAGTCCCTGACCCGGACAGTCACAGCCATCCATCCAGAAGCGGATCTGATGAAGGAGTCGCAATCCCTGTCAAGAAATATATGGATAATTCCTTGTACGAACGAGAAACACGGTCCAAATCCCGGAAAACACAGCCTGCAGTCATTAGGTTCGCGAATCCATGGCCCCCAAGAAGAAAGCTCAAATGTCAGCTAACAATGACCCAGCGATGATAAGGAGCCAACAGTAGAGAAAGCAGTGTCCGCTTACAAGCCGCGAAAGTGGTCGAAATCCCTTGTGTACCCTCGAGTGGGAAAGAAGAAGGCTGAAGTCGATGTACATGATCTAGAAAGACTCCGTGACGGAGAGTTTCTCAACGATAATCTCGTCGGTTTCTATCTGCGATTCCTTGAACATCACTTGGAACGTACAAGCCCTCAAACGGCGAAGAAGATCTATTTTTTCAACTCCTACTTCTTTGAGACACTTACCAATCTTCCGAGAAGCAAACGTGGGATTAACTATGAAGGCGTCCAAAAGTGGACGAGGAATGTCGATATCTTCAGTCATGACTATATCGTTGTTCCTATCAATGAGAGCGCACATTGGTACGTGGCTATCATATGTAATCTGCCGATCTTGGAGCGCCCTCAAGAGGGTAGTCCCGAGCTCGAAGGATTTCCTGATAAAGAAGTCTCGGAGGAGCGTTCAGAAATCCCTGAGACTCCACCAGCTGTGGCGGAAGATAGTTCGGTCAACGACCCTAACGCTATCGGCAATGTGCACTCGGATTCCGGTAAAGAAGAGAAGACCCGTCAATCACTCGCTTCAATGACACTTTCTGACAATAGAGAAGTCTCCTCGCCCACTGGGGAAAAGGTTCAGTCTGGGACAGCACCGGAAGCTGACGATGATTGGCCGGAGGGAGAAGAGAACCCTACCTCGTCACCCCCGAAGTTCACAAAGCCTGGTGATTATCCTCGTGAGCCAGAACCGAGCCAAGAACAGGAAGATGTGTCACGGAAGAAATCGCAAGCGGCCGATAAGGGAAAGAAGCAAAAGAAGAAACAAGGACGCTCTTTGCCGAAATACGATCCCAAGCAACCGGTTATTATTACGTTCGATTCCCTGGACCTCCCGCGCTCGCCGACAGTAAGATGCCTCCGTGAGTATCTCTACGAGGAAGGGAAGTCTAAACGCGGAATCGACGTCGATGTGAAGGCGATCAAGGGGATGACGGCGCGAGAGATCCCACTGCAACCTAATTTCTCAGACTGTGGTCTATACCTACTGGCGTACATGGAAAAGTTCATCCAGGATCCAGATTCTTTTGTGACCAAACTTCTTCAGAGAGACATGAAAACGGAGACGGACTGGCCTTCGCTGAAATCCGGTCTCCTCCGCCGTCGCCTTCGCAAGTTCCTCGACGATCTGTATGAGGAGCAGGAGGAGGCACGGCGCCATAAGATGACCGAGACAACCACAATGGCTGACAGGAAGCCAATTTCATATCTATTGGGGCCCAGTCAAGTCTCTAAGAAGATAAGGAGCGGTGACAAGCCTGCGCGGAAATCTGAAGAGCATGATGCATTATGCTCTAAGGACCAGAGTCCCTCCAAAGATCTCCCTGGAAACAGAAGCAGCCCGGAGGAGCTAGTGCTAAGACAGTCGAATGGTGATTCGTCGCAGCAGGCTGCATCAAAGGACACCCTGAAGAAGGGAACGCCAGATGAGACAACTCCAAGACAGCCTGAGGTGGATGATACAACTGTATCAGGCCCAGTTGGCGAAGCTGCAGAGGACGCCGCAGCAATAGTGCAGCCTCCCGCTATGAATGACACGGCACTCGAAAGTACGACTTCGGACCGCGAAGTGATTGAAGTACTTGATAGTCAGTCACAACAAGTACCAGCTTCTCCACGCCATCTCCGTCATAGCAAGGGAAAGAGACAGTCAGGACCTCGACACGCAGAGGCAGCTGACGATGAAAACTTCCTCGATGAACTGCAAGAGGTCGTAAATACGTCCCCAAAAGTTAGAGTTGAGGTGCAAGTTCCAGGGACACCACCCCTTGGCAGAGCAACGGCACTTGTGGAGGATAGCCCGCGGAGAAGTCCGCGACAGGCGAGACCAACGAGCAAGTGAAAGGAAGACTGAGTATTTTGCTGAGACGCGTCAAATGTTTTGTGTTTCAGCCTCTGGAGTTGTGATCTGGGTTTTAGCTTCACGAGAGCGCGACCACTTCCGGTTTGCATTTATATCTTTCAATTCGCGCTGTAGAGTTAGCGTCCTCCGTGTTGCATTTTCTAGTGGCGTTTTACACGGGGAATGGCCAATGCTCGTCTCCGCGGGTTCTGGTTTTTATTACATAGATGATACCAATATTTGCAAGCACTGATATTTAAAAACACCAGTGTGTCTCTATTATATCGCGATATCTTTAAGTAGGCCCGCTAGTTTTCCCACCGAGAGAGCTCGACTTACAACACCATCACTCCAAAGTGCTCTGCCCTGATTCCTCTGGTTCATTTATGCCGAGTCCTCTTTCCAAACCCCCCCTTCTTTCTATGCCAGAACACACCTCCTCACCACTCACTTTCATCCGCCTTTACCCACCAACTCATCTTATCCCTCTTGAAAGTCTCAAAGTCCCACTCGCCGCTCTCCAATTGATCCTCACCCGCCGCCCACACATACACCACGGCATCGACCTCCTCCCCTTCATCCGCGAGCTCCGCTTCCGCCTTATCCAACATATCCCTCAAATGCTCGTCCCCTCTCTTCGCAGTACTCTCTTCCGTCCTCCCCCCGACGGCGGCGGTACTGCGCAGGACGCGCACTCTCACGGGCTTCTTCACATACTCATCCCCTTCGAACCGGTCCAGACGATAGACGTCACCATCAGTAAGGCCCGAAACGACGGTCCCTAACACGGAAGACTCGGACGAACTGCTGCTGGGGATAATTCCAGGATAATCAGCATTGCGGACACGATGACGGCGATATCCATGTAGAATGGCCGGTCGGATAGTCAGCATGTTTTTCTGCCAGGGTTCCGGGTCAGGACGGCCGTGGCATACGCGGTGGAGGATTTGGGGAGCCATGAGGGTTCCTGTGTTGTAGATGGAGATTGTGTTAGATTAGAGAGAGAGAGATTTTGATTAGTTGATGAATATAAAAAGATATGCTAGTGAGGATGGCATGATGATGGTGGTTGGATTCTAAGCTGATTCGATCAAAAGTTGTTTGATTTTTTTTTTCGAATTTCAACTAAACACCTACCGTAAAAGAAAAGAGTATGGTCCCCCATGATTTTTGTTCATGTGCTGGGAATTTCCCCAATTGAGATTCGTCGTGGTCTGCTTGCGTCGTGTAGGAAGGAAATGATAAACCAACAATGAGCGAATGATTTGTTCAGTTGATGCCGGAGAATAAGTAAGTACTGTAAGTAAGTAAAACGTGCTTACGCCTTTTCTGAACTGAGATAAGTAAGTACGAAGACGTGAGAGATCTAATCTCAAAACCTAGCAAAATTCCAGATTATCCCTCGCAGTAGCCATCTAACGCGGAGAAATATCTACCAACATCGTCATTGTTCTTCCTTCTCTCTCTTATCTTATCGGTCTCCTTCAACTTCCCCAGTTTCAGCCTGTTTGCTCTGTTTGCCTCCATCCTTTCTTTCCCGCATCGCATCTCCGAAGCGTTCTTGAAGCTCCAGCTGGCCTGAACCGGAAAGCAACCCCAGTCCCACGCGCGCGTCTCTCAGTCTTTTTTCCTCTGCTCTCTCCTCTGGAGCGGAAAAAAGGATTGAGAAATATTCTCTTTCATTTTTGTATTTTTTTTTTCTTTTTTGAATCGTTCATATACTATCCTGAAAGTGGGAAAAAAGGAGGAATAACATTCAAGAGAAACCGCGGGGATGCATTCGACAATCAACCGCACGCAAACCGTCTTCGGTTTCTTCACGACGGTAGCATTAACTGTCGCAGCGGCAATTGCGCTTTCGGTTCTACTATATCCAGCTGATGACGTGACGAGTAGTGTGGAGTTGAAGAATGTGCAAGTGTATGTTTGTCTGTCCCCTTGTGTGTTTCTCGTCGTCGCAACGGGGGAGAAAGAAAGAAAGAAAGAAAGAAAGAAACAAGAAACTAATGATAATTTATCGGGGATGTAGGATCAAGGGCCGACCGCATTACTACTCTTCTAAAAAAGAGGAATACGCACGAATCAGTTTCGATTTGGATGCTGGTATGGAGACGACATCTTTCCTTTCTTCTCTCTCTCGCTTACTCGCAAGAGTATTATCTATCTATCTGTTTATCTATCTATCTATTCCCGAAATCTACAAGACTAACAATTTCAATTCTCTCCATCGCAATAGACCTCTCTCCGCTATTTAACTGGAACACGAAACAACTCTTCGTCTACGTTTATGCTTCCTACCCTTCTTCTAGCGATGCCCTTGCAACCTCCGAATCCATCATTTGGGATAAGATCATCCCCGCTCCGGAATCGCCTTACTCGCCTAGCGTGTTGAAGGAGCGCTTCTTCCCTGCCAAGTCTACGTCGAAATCGAAGAGTCGGAGACAATCATCGTCTACCAAGCAGACACAGAAGAAAGGGGAGGGCAAGCCCGGTGTGCTGAAGCTGAGAAACCAGAAGCCAAAGTACCAGATCACGGACATCACCGGTAAGATGGCCGAGAGACAGAATGTCACGTTAACTGTGGGATGGAACGTGCAGCCGTGGGTTGGAGCACTCTGGTGGAGCGCTGGTACAGGAGCAGTCCCTCACACGTCAGGCCAGACCGGCCAGAGTAAGACCTTCGATCTTCCTCCGTTGAAAGGTACCCGGCAAGAGGGAGCAAATGGTGATGCGGCCAAGACGAAGGCGAACGCATGATAGCTTTTTCCTGAAAGACGAATATTGAAATTCTCTTGGGGCTGCAGCGATAACTATTCATTCTGTTTTCTAAAATAAACTATCTGCCTTGATGGGGCACCCGACGCTTGTAATATTGTAGAGAGCACATGATAAAAAAGGAACGACGCATCAATCATAACCCTGTGTCACATTGAACTATTAAAATAGTATGAAATATTACCAACCATCCCGTGCGCATCATGGGAACCCCCGGATGCCACTGAGGAAACGCCATTACTGCGAGGCAACAATAAGACGATCGATATCCGAAAGCAGCCTCCTACCCGAAAATTTTTTTTTCTCGCGTCAATTGGCGAAGAATCGTCATTGGATCGTATGGAATCGGTCAGATCTTAGGCTGCTGGAACTGTTCCATAAGTTGTGCCATAGTTGTTGCCAGCAGCCGCAGCCGGGGGAGCGTTGTGGTGATGGCCACCGTTTTGAATGCGGTCGGAGTAGACGCCAGGCGCCGGGCGGGCCGCGAAACGGCCCTCCGCACTCATCCGGCGGCGGTCATAGTAGATGTACTCCAGATAGAAGGCATGTATATGTCCCGGGAAATAACTATCGCATGTCAGCATGGATTGCCATCGCACATGTTTGATTTCCAAGGCGGACTGCTTACCCTAGGATTGTCAAGAGAATGTTGATGAGGAGATCTGCGCCGCAGCCAGCAACAAGGAACACTCCGACCGGAGGGACTGCAATGGAGAGAGTATCAGCAATTATTGCCAAATAAAAGACTGATCAAGGGCGTATCCAGATGTCGAGACCAGATCTGCGTTCCTGACCCACATCCAAGGCAATTCCACCATATAGTTATCATAGTTCTGCGAGCAACAAGCGAACCGCCATCCTTTCCAGATCGAACCTCGCAAACAAAAAGGGAAGACTCAATGGCTTGGAAATTCACATACTCAGAAGCGTTATGATGATCAAACAGATCATGCCTAGTGTGCCTGCCATTGTGATTTCCCTTGCAAGTCACAGGTATGTGCTTTGTTCACTCTTCTCTGACTTGAACTGCAGGACTAACGTCCGCGGTTTCCGCTTTCGACTTCTCAACTGCAGCTGGTCCTCCTGTAATAAAGTAGCTCAGGAAGATGATTGCAAAATAAAGCACAAAGATGAGGACGGGAATGCTATCGTCGATCGGAGTGTATATCCGCTTCATGGGGAGCAAGTATTAAGTGCGAAGAGAGTTTTGAAAGACAAAAGGACAAGCTAGGAACTGCAGTTACGTCACACTGGAGGGCGTCACTGGACACGTCACGGCAAGATACAGTAGTTAGTTAGACGATGTGAAGATCGACAGCAGTTAGTCTAGTGAGACAATAGCTCAGCCATCCAGAGCAAAAGGAAGAGAGGAAAAAAAAAAACAAAAGCCGCGGACGAGAAGGAACAGTCCACATGACGTCATCCGGCCCGACCACGGCGCCTGCTATTCTGGGAATAGCGCCAGGCCGTCAGGCACCGCGCAGGGCTTAGCGGTCGATCCATGGAGAAGCTCCTTAGTCTACTGACTCTACCAGTCTAGACTCTACAGTAACTACTGAGAACACTCCAGTCCGGCCAATAATAAATCCTTTGTTGAGTAACTACCTATCCTATCACCTGGTTCTAAACGAGTGTGAGTAGCTACTAGTGATGGAGCACTATACATGATATAACCTAAGGATGCCACACCAGAGAAGAATATACATACTGACCGCGGAGAGAGAACGCGTAGCAATCAAAGCCCAACATATATGGGCGCAGACACAGAAATCATTGTACAGTGGCCAGGAGAAACGATCAAGGAGTCCTAGAGAACAACTCGATCAGTCAAAGACACCGCTACCAACGTTCCCAGCTTCCGCTTCGTCGTCAGCTTCTTCCCCATCATCGACGATAAATACAGTGCCGTAGTCGCTACACCCGCTGCCAAGAGACTCAAAGAGAGACACCTGCGAGGTATTCTCGGAAGAGAACCAGATCGCTTCAGCGTTGGTGCCCAGAGACATACGTTCATCCTCGTGGATCTGTCTCATTCGCAGCAACAGTGCTAAAGCATCGTCACGGCGGATCAGCGGTGGCTCCTGGGGTTGTTCGAGCTCATCTGGTCTAGACTTCCCATCGGGAGCCGGTATTCGATATGTCTCTTCCGCGGTTTCATCGACCCCGCTCGTCGTCCCTCCAGAGGGATATGCAGTCGTATCATCCGATGAGAAGAATGGCCGCTTTGATTTATGTCCATTACGTTCATGGATATCTTGGCCTGACAAGATAGTGCTAGCCTCTCCCTTCGGTGGCGTGGGAGAATTTAGCGGCAGCTGACTCGCAGTAGCCATATCCCGTGTCCTTCTAACTTTGTAAAGACAGGATCTTATGTCGTCCCACAGCTCCTCTGGACAGGCAAGGCGCTCGACACTCTCACTGGGCATCACATGTTCCCCATCATTGCTTGACTGTAATTGGCGCCGAGGCCGTTGACGAGGGGTAGCAGCGAAATCAATGAAATAGTCCGCTCGACGTCCAGGCTTTGATTCCTTAGCGAACTTCCACGCTGAGTATCTCGCTTCAAGATCGGCTGCGTTATTATCAAACCGAGGAACAGGACTGTTACAATCTGACGGGGTCGAGGGGTGTGGGTACTGCATCTTCTTCAAAGTAGATGGCCGAGATTTGTGAACAACTAGTGGAGCGGGCCTTGGAGGATCAACGCAGTCAGGAGTTGCGTTGACGGGATAAGCGGAGCTCCTCTTGTTAGCTTGGATCTCGAGGTGTTCATGTCGATAATGATAAATATCAGGCACACCTTTGTGGCCAGAAAGCGATGCAGGAGAATATGTGTTATGAATATCAACATCCAATGGCGGGCGAGTAACCGGATCGCATATAGTTTCCTCTTTCGTGTCTGTCTCGTCCACTGCAAGGTTTTCCCGCGTGATGATGTCCAAGCTTCGATCTCGAGTATGATGAGAAAACCTCCGATTCCGCTGCAAAGTCACCTGGTCCGTCTTTGGCATCACCCTAAGCCGTATTTGCGTTCTCATGGTCTGCTCCAACGTCGGAGTTCCGAAGTTCTCTACCAGCTCAGCTTTAACAATTATGTCGAGTATATGGACAGATGATGGATCGTAGGGCTTTGTTTCGAGAAGTCTTCGGCGTACCGGCACTGTGCCAGAGAAACTGCCAACCTTGTGGTCATAGCGGAGCCAGTCGACATTAGCTGAATACGTGAGACTGATCTCGCCCTTGGCAAGGGCATCTTCGAAAAGGTCCTTCAGTGCGCAGCAGAAGCTGGGCCGGAGATGAAACGCTTGCCCTTCTTCGACCTCGAAGTCAAAAGACTCGAATGAAATATACGGAGGGTTCCAGAGCAGCTCTGCCTGGGTAGGACCATCCACGTTAGATATCCTGGATTTGGGTAGCCTCGTGAATTTGACGCTGGAGCTACGGATACTGGCACATGGATGCGAACCAGGACCTGATACTAAAGGGTCAATGAAACAGTCTTGGTTCCGCAGAAATCGTAACAGGCTTCGATGGACGTTTTCAGTCGACGCAAACCAACGAAAGGCGGTCTTTGTGCTATCCTCGGCTTGGATCATGTCAAAGACAACCTTCAAAGGATCAAGCCGCACAGATATACACGGATTCTTTGTAGAATCTTCGACCAACTTTGTCTGGGTGCCGTCAGACGATGTAAGCAGGGCCTCCAAGTTCGCTGCCAGAACGAGCTTGAATGTTTCTTCCCAATGCAATATCTCCGCCGCCTGAGAAAAGCTGAGCCGTTTCCACGTTTTTACGATATCGAGTTGCTGGATTGCAGAAGGATTGAGAGGCGATTTCACGTTGTAGACGAGGTCCGGCGGGTGCCATGATGCACGATAATCTAGAAAGCGCGGAAGGAAAACCTCTTGCGTCAAATGACGAACAGGAAACGAGTGTCCCTTGATAACCAGGCGACCGGAACTGCTAGGGGCCTCCGATGGTTTCTTGGGGTCCTGCCTTGGGTCCTCTGGAGAAAAATGGACGCAAATGTCCAGAGGTGCGTCTCGCCGAACATCATCGTGGTGCGCATTGCCATATTGCCAGTTTCCAGAAGGCAATCCCTCTCTCCTTTCCGGTGCAATTCCTACAAAAGGCTTTCGTCCTGCGGGTGGGTGCTGTCTTCGCAAATTGTGAAGATGAGGAAGATTATAATGACGCAATATAGCTGGATTAGTAGGATGAGAAGCTGCGCAGTCTCCAATGATATGTTTTTTGAACTTTTCAACTGCCTCCGACGCCCTAGGATGACAGTGTGCGTCTCCTGATCCGGCGGCCATCCATTCGTTTCGAGTCCAGAGTTCTTTCGTGTCGAGTGAGTGAGTAGTTTCGGAGCTTGTGCGAGCATGGTTGCGGTAAGATGGGCGGTACTGAGAAGGAATATCTAACATGACAGCTCCCCTGCAGCCGTTAATCGCTTGCACTGGGTAGCGTGGACAGGGATTAAGACTAACCTAAGCGGCCAAGTATTCATTGTTGAAGATGGTAGGTATACGATTCTTGCGATATAATCCAGCTAGACATAGCGAGAGTATGGTTCTGGAATATCCTATGGGGTGTAGGACGTGAGATATCTGAGGTAGCGTAGAGTAGTGTTATCGGAACAAATGCATCATACCCAAGGAAAGCACATTTCGAGCGTGTGTTGTACTGCAAGTACGCCTTGTTCATTTGCGGAAGGCACGCTACACGCGGACAGTGAGATCTTGTGATACCGAAATTAATTCTAATCACCGCGCCATATAAAAAACGGTTGGTAGAAAGCGGTAGGTATCTATTGATTTGGGTGACAAGATCAGACTGCGTCGATCATAGCTCTCGTGGTTACTTGTTCGTTCTTGTTCCCGAGCTTCGATATCTGGAGGAACGCGTCGACTCCATAGCCTTCTAGGCTGTGTAGTTCAAGGTTACCGGCCCAATATTCCGCATATACTCTGCTCATGGGGAGGCCCATGCCAAGCCGCAGATTGGGAGGCCGTGAGCTTAGCGAGGCTAAGGAGCTCTCTCGATAAGTCTCTCTGTCGGCAATTTTCCGATCAGTCGATACCGTCAATTCTTGCATCGTAGCAGCCATCGTGGGGACTTGCTCCAGATTTTTCAGACGGGTTTGAGTCCTGGGACCCTTGCTGAAAGACCATAAATACGGAAGGATTTCACGAGGGATTCCGCCTCCCTGGTCAGAGATCCGCAGGATAACATGCTGAGGTGCCTCGCAGATCAGCACTTCTATAGGCGGTGGCAGTTCCGGAGAATCTCGATACTTTTCCATGACGGCTTGTATCGAGTTACGCAGGAGCTCACCGACGATATACTCCAGATGGCTTAGTATATAGGGGAATGTCGCCTCGCGATGGCCTTGAATAGTGATATGTGGTATCTTGTCCAAACCAGAGCTTTGCCTGAGGAGATCCTGGGCAAGCTTTCCGCAGCGTTCGACTACTTCCTTTGCATTGCATTTCAAAAACACCTCGCCAACAAAGTCAGCGTTGAGATCAGTGCGGGCCATCGAATCTGGAAAATGCCACGGAGAATTGAAGGTTTCTGTGAGAGCCAGGTGTTGTTCTGCTATGACTCTGCGAGATATCCTCTGTGCAAGTGGTCAGCCATATGCACCCTTGAGACTGGAACCAGGCTTCCATACAGCACGCAACAATGTATTCATGAACCGGTCCATTTCACCCGGTTCCACGAGATCTTGGCATTCCAGGACACCCATCGCGAGGTTTGGTATCACGACCAGGTGCTCCTTGAGAGCATCACGTAGAATGTCGCAATATCGGTCATTGTCCTCTAGCGTCCTGATTTCCGGGACCGTCCGAAACCTCTCGAATGCTTTGTAGTATAGTTCGTACACAAGGGACATGTGCGGATTGGACACGACGACGTATGGTAGCTTTTGCATATCTCGCAGACGGTGGGCAAGCCTGGCTTCCAGTCAGCTATTACTTTCCATTCTTAGTTGCTCAGGTACCATATCACTGACCTTGTAGGAAGCTCTGTACGGACATAATTTGCAGAGCTGATCAAGCGAGCCTCTGTCAATGTCCGGCCAAAAAAGGTCAGCTGCCGTAAACTGATCGGCCTGGCCTCACGTTCCACCCAGCTAATTGCTGTCAGCAAAGAAGCTCACGTAGAGGTACGAGGAAGACGGGCATACTCATCGAGCACTGAAGCAGGTCTCCACGGCGGAGGGCTATGCTGCTGCTGTACCGAATAGAACCTCACTTGCTGTGCGCATCTCAGCCGGACGTGTCGCCAACATCGAGCTGGATGATTCAAGCGCATACTGATCAGCCATGCAAAGCAGTAGTGACCAGAGAGAGGCGTCAATGATGCGGACGAGAATCAGCTCGTAGTTCCAGACAAGCAGTGCGCCCGTCACACATTGCTACTCGGTCCTCGTTGCCTGAGAAGCAGAATCGCTCGTAGTCCACATTTAACCAATTTGCTGTGAATGGTCTCGTGTCGGTCCGCCGGTGTCGGTGCAGCTATTATTCTTAACTAGGGCAAGCCCGGTGACTCTTGGTGCAAGTTCCAGTTCCACTGCTGGCGCCACCCCACGGGCAACGGGAACTGCACCCCGCACGCATTCTAGATCGTTAGTTAGTTACTCGGTGCAGATTAGTTATCACCAACAGATTAGTTAGTTAGTTACTTTTCTCTTTACAAGATGCTCGATGTACTGTAGTCCTTATCTATCAGATTGCGAGGTGACCCCAGTCTGAAATGTTATTATTATTATCTGTCAAGGGAATCACTAGTTACCAGTACACAGCAAAGGCACGCAGCCTGTGAAAAGAAAGCAGTGCGGACCACGCGTAACAAAACCCCCGATATTGAATCAGACCCCCTTCTCTAGTAGTTATTATTTTATCGGATTCGAGGATCACGCTCCTCCTCGCTCCACCACCAGGAACACTTTGCTGACATTAATTCCGATGTACGTCAAATATGTTCGCACTGGAAATACGAAAGTTATGAACAGTATCTTTCCAAGAGGCCATTGAGTGCCATGTCGCGAAGAGCCCACCCAGGAGCTCCCTCCACGATTGTTGTCTGGGCCACTCAGTCTGCCTCCTCTTCCTCTTTCGCTGTTGTGATATAATATCTCCCCTTCGGTTCTCCTTCCTTCTCGTGCTCAAGCGTTAATCTGGCGAGGTGAGCCAGAAGGTTCTCCATCTTGATGTCCCCCTTGGTTCTCTTGGCTCTGCCCAGATCAGTGAGCCACTGGACCTTATTCAAGACAAAGTACACGAGCGCAATGACGATGGTCACACCGAGGGAATAACCCCAAATGCGGACCACAGTGACAATATTCGTCCATCCATTGCGGGTTTCGACATACGAATCGTGCGGAATTGTCGGCATCGTCTGGTTGGTGAACCAACCGAAAAGACAGAAGATCGTCGCGATTACATCCACTCCCAGAATCGCTCCGACTAAGTGGACGGATGGCCATGTATCAGATCCCCTGGTGACAAAAATCAACCAATTCTCGGTGAGAGCAACCTCGAGGAACAAGACTTCCTGAATAGATCCCCAGTTCTGGATAATGCCCCCAGAGGGAAGGAACATCGACCCACGAATTACCCATGTTCCCATGGCCAACAAAAGACCAAGAATGATAGATATTACCCATATCTTAGGAAGCTGCCATTCCACCGGCCGCAATTCATATGATGCATGATCATATGCAACTGCGACAGTGGCAAGATCCGCGAATAGAGCAAGGAAAACTATCAGCTCTACTCGAATGCTCTCATTAAGAATGATCATGGACGTCACCAAGTAAATTTCCAGATGCAAGCATAAAGCAATGCGATATTGAATATATGCTTTCATGCGGTGGAAAATCTGACGGGCAACCTTGATCGAATCAATAATAGTAGATAAGCCAGGTGCTAGGAAGACAATATCAGCAGCAGACTGAGCCGCTTCTGAGGCACCCTCCACAGCTATACCGCAATCTGCTCGCTTCAAAGATGGTGCATCATTAACTCCGTCACCTGTCATTGCAGTCAAGTGGCCTCGCTGCTGGAGCATCTCAACAACTTGATATTTATGCTCCGGGAATACTTCAGCAAAGCCATCTGCTTTTTCGACGAGGTCATGTGCCATAGCGCCGCTAAGGCCACCATGGATCAGCTTATCTGAATTGTAGACCTTAGTACCCAGAGCCAACATCTTGCATGTCTCCTTAGCAATGGCAATGGCATCACCCGTGAGCATTTTGACACTGATACCTAGATTTTGAGCTTCAGTGATCGTTTGAGCTGTATCCTCTCTAGGCGGGTCAAACATTGGCAACATGCCAAGAAGAGTCCATTCTTCTCCTTCTTTTTGAACGGCGACACCGAGAGAGCGAAATCCACGATGGGCGAACTCTTGTGCTTTATCCCTATATAGATCTGCCACCTTCTTTGAACATTTGGATAGTTGTAGAACCGCCTTTGGGGCGCCCTTTGTGCATGTGTATCTAACACCCTCACAGCTACAAACTGTGACGATTCGTTTGGATACAGGATCAAAAGGGATATACTTTTCGGTCTTCCAACCACGTCGAAGTATCTCCCTGGCTTTTGGATATTGCCTGAGCGCAAGAATTGTGACTTTATCGATCGGATCTAGCGTGTCGATATTATGAGAAGATGCCAGTACAGCCACTGCAAACATCCAATTGATATCGACACCTTCCGCAACGTACGGGTTGCGAATGCTCAGTTTATTAGCAGTAAGAGTACCAGTTTTGTCGGAACAGAGAATGTCGACACCCTTTAGAATGTAAGGTTAGTCCACGATAGGGAATAACGTCTGGGGCAACATACTGCTAGAGACTCGATGGCTGTAAGCTTCTGCACTATGGCCTTCCGCCGAGCAAGGTAGGCTGCTCCCACCGCCATGGTAGTGGTTGTTACAACAGGCAAACCCACAGGAACTCCGATGATCAACAGAGATAGAGTGTAGTGAAGTAAAGTTTGCTGTGGTGGGTCGGCGATAGGGATATGTCGGTAAAAGCCTCCAATCCATGCTGCCAAAATCCATGCCATAACTAGGACGAGAAGAGAGGTTCCTATATTGTTCATCACCATCTCGAAGTGGCCTGCCCCAGCAGCACCTTGTACCATGGTTGCCGTACGCCCAACGAAAGATGTTTTCGCCGTTGTCTGAACTACCGCGTAACATTTCCCGCGCTTGCAGGTAGTCGTATAGAAAATGGGGTCGCCCATGTATCGGTCAACGGCGAGAGACTCTCCAGTAATGGCAGAATGATCGCACGCCACAATCGGATACCCGCGCCGTTTCGGACGCTCCTCGTCCTCTTTGCCAGCATCTTCGGCTCCTTCTTGGTCTCCTTCTTGCTTTTCTTTCTGTCCCCCTTCTTCATCTTCGCTTTCAGAAGATGACTCATCAAGAAATCCTTCTGCTTGCATCCTCTTGAATTCCTCGAAGCCGTTGGGATCATTGTAATCGCAAATAACCTTGGCGTCAGCCGGGACAACATTGCCCTCCCCTACAACTATCTGTTTGAATATGTTTAGTCATCGGTATTCAGACTCTACCGCGTCAAGACATACCACATCGCCTGGCACGAGGTCTCGAGCTAGGACCTCTTGCTCTTGTCCATCCCGTACAACCGTCGTTCTCAATGCGATGTCTCCCTTCAGACTTGCGACGACATCTGCGGCTTGTTTTTCTTGGTACCAACCAACGGTAGCGTTCAAACACAAGATACCGATAATAACACCAAAATCGATCCAGTCATTCAGGCCTGCAGCAAGGAGGACCGCCAATTCCATGACTAAATCAAGATTAGCCAAGTTCGCTGAGGGATGTCACGCGTATTACCATATAGAATTGGCCCCTTGAAATACGACATGAATTTAGCGATAGGATTCTCCTTCTCGGATACCAACTCGTTCCATCCGGAGCGGCGACGCCGGTTTATAACCTCTTCAGACGAAAGACCTTGCTTGATGTCTGTGAGGAGCCACTCGTCTGGGAATTTCCCAGCGTCTGCCTCCGTTCTCACGCGGACTCTCCTTTTCCTCCATGGGGCGTACCAAACTCTTCTCAATTCAGTTCCTTCCTCTTCTTGTTCTTCTTCCGCACCAGGCTCCCGATACGTAGAGACGAACTTGACCAGTCGGCCGTATTCGTCCAGATTCTCGTCAGGGATTGTGGCCATAGAAGCACGAGAAATACGTCTCTTCTCCCTGGATGGCGCCCGTTGTTCCACGTCGCCTCCACTGCTGGAGTCTTGGGCCATGACTGATAATGTTCCCAAGGTGCACGGCAGATGTAGCAATTCTTCTACTCGTTGCCCTTGTTGCTTCCTCCTTCCTCGTGTTCACGAACGCAATTGAGAGCGACGGTAGGAAGATGAAACGAGCAGGATGAAGGTGCTACCGCCCATGCCATTGTAAAGTCTTCATCCCCTCCCTATCCTTGAGGTGTGTACATCGGATACGCATCCTCGTTCCCATGGTGGGATGTTCCTTTGTTCAATCATGCTGACGTAGGAGAGCAGGGGTATTTCTGCAACCCGTAGCGGGAATATTCAGCCATAGCATAGTTCAAACTCGACGGAGGGTGTTGAATCTTCCCGCATATGGACTGATCGAGAGTGTGCGATCAGCCTCGACCGACTAGCTCTTGGGTTTAGCGTAAGATTTGTCGTTGACCATACCCTTACGTTTCTAATGAGGTTTGACGTGTCTTGACGTGTGAGGAGTTGTGTGAGGAGTTGTCGCAGTGCATGAAGAATGCCTTGCCTCACCTGGGCCAGGGACGCATGGCAAGCGATTCGTCTAGACCCTTGAATTGACTCTGAACAATGGAGTTGTTGTGTGAAGTCGGCGCTGCATTTCGATATTGGGAGAATGGAAATCAAAACAAGGGACCGCCATGCGGAGAGCCTTCCACGACGTTGGTTGGATGGCTAAGAGCTCGTAGATCCATGGGGTGACAAGCTTGTCACGCGGTTGAAGTTATATAGTCTCAAATCCGGGGTTCGTTGTTCTTGGGGTTGACCTGTTTATCCAAGGGTTCCGATGGTGCTTTGGCTCCCGAGTGTTCCGACAGCTCCTGGGTAGGGATTACAACTGACTATCCGTGGCATGGACCTTGACAGTAACCCTGCCATTCAGATTGTCCATCGTGATTTGCCTATCGTACTGGAGAATTACCATCTGCAAGATGCCTCTTCAAACTAGAATAATGTGTTAGCCCCACCTGAACCTGATGAGAGTAGCTCGTGATGGCAGATGTTGGTGTACGGGCCTGAGGGTTGTCTATAAACCAACACTGGCTAGTTATTCGTACGTTTATCTCGTTGCCAATCGGGCTGGTACCTACCTGGGTATGTCTCGTGTACCCGTGGTTCAACACGACCGGCTAGATGCCTCAAGAGTTCACAGTAGGAGCTTTCTTTTCTCGTCAGCCGATCCTAGAAAGTAGCCTTTCCATCAGTTGACTGATTCAGGTCCGATAAGAGCTCGTCCTATCAGGCGACAGCCGCTTGTCTAGAAACCCAAATCGAGATCTTACCCTTGGATTATTAGTTAGGCACGCTCTACTTACAGTACGCCCCGACTACTGTAGCGAGGCTGCCAGAGATGGTTCCGAGACATTCAGCCCCACCATTTGTAGAAGAGACATGATTTGTGTCGAGAAGAATATATTTCCTTCTGCTCTTCTGTACGCGACTAGCACAGAAAAACCATCAAAAGCGAGTGTAGGGCAAAAAATGCTGTGTTAGAGACGATGAGAGGCGCCTGACAAGGGCGCATTCTGTATTTGTGTCCGGTGTGATACTTAACTAACTAGTCAACTGCGGGTTCAAGTAAGAACTCTAGGAAGGAATGGCTGGAGGCAGTGAGATGAGTGAGCTGAGTGAGACGAACACGGTGCGACCACCCGATACGGTTTGCATCAAGCTGAGCACCTTATGAGACGAGCTATTAATATTACTGAGCGTCAATATTGCTATCCTGCATATTTCTTGGCGGTTGGGGGCCTTATTCTTCCCTTCTTAATTCACAATTCACCGCCCGTTGAGTATCAACACTGTGGAACTGGCTAGCTCATAAGTAAAACGCGAATTCCCACACCATGGCTCTGCCACCTCTAGACTTCAAGGTGTGATATTAGATCAATCTCTGTAATAGATGACCACTAATGATGATTCTAGCTCCTAGCCACTTTGGCAGCGGTCTCCGGCTCGGCCCTGTTTCTCAGTCGGACAGCTCTACCATTTCTCATCGTCCCATCTCTCCCTACGCTTTGGCTTCCGTTCCGCAAAGGGAAAGCCGAGGTTCTGTTTAAGGAGATTATCAAGTACTCCGAAGACATCATCCTGGACCCCGAATACGGTATCGCGATCATCAGTTCTGACGGCAACCGGCCAAAATGGAACACGGTCATGGTACGATGCGTTGCCTTTCAAGCATGCTCCATCAATTCTAGCAGTGAGCAGATTTACTGATTTTTCTTTTCAGGGCCCTCACATCGATCCTAATCCGAAAGGGAGTTTGCACATCTATTCTTATGCGTCAGACAGGACCATTCGTAAGGTGCACCTGGTTGGGTTCCCAGAAGATGCGGACTTCCACCCTCTTGGAATCAACTACTTCCGCGCTTCCCACGGTGATCGAACAAGACTGTTCGTTGTGAATCACGAACGGACCGGGTGTAAAGTGGCTGTATTCGATATCGACTACGATAAAGCGGAAGCCCAGTATATTACGTCTATTTCTGACGGCGGCAACAACATTTTGTCTCCAAATGCTCTTGCTCCGATTTCATATACTTCATTCTACGTGACGAATGACCACTACTTTGTCAAGCGTAGGAACCCGCTTCTCAACACCCTGGAAACAGCATTTGCTGTACCCCTCGGGTGGGTCACTCTGGTTGATTTCTCAGGAGAGCAGCCAGTGTTCAAGACCGCTGCGAGGGGGATCGCCTTCGCCAACGGCATCGTCATAACACCGACTGGGAAAGAGGTTGCTGTCGCATCCACGAGCGCCAGTTGTATATACATTTACGAGCGCGATCCCGCTACCAACGAGCTCTCTCTGGAACCTGAGAGAGTCCAGGTGAACTTCCATCCAGACAATCTTAGTTTCAACGAGACTCTAGACGTCAAGGACCCAAGTGTATTCGACGAGGACGGCAAGTTTCTTCGCGGGCTTATCGCAGGAGGGGCTCCCTCTGCTAAGAAAATCTTCGAAATGGCACGAAATCCCGAGAAATGCAGAGCTCCTTCAATTGTGGCAGAGATCCGAAGAGGCAATGGAAAAGATCCGGCGCCTTTTGCAGCCGGGCCATCAGGCCGTCGGAACAAATACCGTGCCTTGACTTTGTACCAAAGTAAGTACCTTTGATGAGCCTGCTTTCTTCAAAGCTGACTTCCCTCCTTTCTCTCCAGGTAACGGCGAGCATTTCCCCACCAGTACAACGGGAGACATGGACTCTAAAAAAGGCCGACTCCTTGTCTCTGGATTGTATGCTCACGGGATCCTTGAGATCTCTTGGGACCCGAATGAGCCTCTCGACTAGACGGCTGAGGGTCCAGGAACTCTTGATCCGTATTGTTATTTTTACTCAGCAAGCGCAATGACTTTCTTTGTACTTATGCAGCACTTTTGGTCTCTTGAAGCTGTATCATAGCGAGAGCACAAAAGAGATCAACGTCCTCTGTGAATAGCGACAATAAAGTAAATTGAGTGAAAAACTGCTTATGCGGAAACTGCGGCGCTTGTACTAAGTAGTCCTCTCACTTGGCTCTTCCTACATACCACAGAAGAGTCGGAATAGATCCAGAGAATGAAATAGAGTTCCTTCAAACGTAACGATTCCTTTCTTTGCAAGGATTCATAATCTCCTTCAATCAAGCAATGGCCTACTGCCTCCTAATCCAGATGGATGAACAGTCGGACCATTAGACCCAGCCTGCTCATCTCCACCAGCTCCATTGGCACCTTCCTGACTCCAAGGGTCTCGGTCTAACCCAGTACTCGTCCCATTCAATGCCGGCCTTGGTCTCGTACCAGGATCTTCCTCACCGCTATGGTTGCTTTCTGCCGCCGTACTATCATCATGGTCATCGTCTCTGTAGCCGATCAATGGAGGGTCTGACCTTCCTCTGCGATTCTCGATCTCGGAAGAGGAGTTGAACACCTGCATGGATTCTATCCGGTTCCTAGAGGTGCTGTAGTAATGCAGAATAACCTGTCATCAGGAAAGGGGAAAGGAAAATCATCAGCATACTAGCCACTAGTAACGAGAGAGCAATACCCAAAGAAAAGAAAACTGAAACGCAGAAAACATACCTTCATCACAAAGACCACAACCACACTTCCCACCACCAATCCAGCAACACTCCTCTCTTCCTGACCCCAAACAGCCAGACAACTCCTCCTATATCCCAAATTCACCTCACACGCATCGTCCCCATATCGTTTTCCATCTTTGAACGGCCAGGCTCTGTCCCGCGTACTTCTCAAACCGCAACATTGTAGCGTATCCTGAATCGTGCGGATCGCGGGTGCATTCTTATTATGGAAATAGGCTTGCCAGGTGCGCTCGAGGCTGCAAATCTGGGTATCTGACGGCACGAGATACGTTGTGGAGAGAGTGATGATGATCGTAGGGAGGATGACGAGTAGGGCATTTATCAATGGGACTAGGATGATTTGAGTTGTTCCTGACTGATTTCGTGTGTTTCTTGACTTGGATATGCTTGAGGATCTGTTGTAGAGTGTGTTGATGGCCGGTATGAGGAGAGTAAGCATAGGAAGAAAAGTTCCCGTTGCGGGGATTGCGGTTGGGAACGGAAGGTATAGAGAGGTGGTGCGAGTCCATGCGATGCTTGCAGTCAGAATAGAATGGTTAGTTCGAGGGCTTATCTTGTATGATGGGTGGTAGATCTCTCTTTCTGATGCGGGTTGTGGTCGAATTATTAAGTGAAGAAACATACGCTCCGAGTATGATCGAGATCGCTCCAAACTGGAAGGTAGGTAGGATATGTTAGAAGTCGCTTTGCATTTGATTGTAGTAATTTTGCTCGGCAAATAAACTCAGGAATAGAAGGCAAGAAGGGAGATAAACAGGAAGCAGTATACTCACCAGTATCAAAAGGATGGTTGTGACCGTCATCGAAGGTGGTCGTACTAGGCAAGACTGGAAAGGCATGACTGAGAAGATCCTTGGGGTCAACTATCGTAGTAAGGAGGAAAACAAATATTTGATAACTGCTGTATACAATGAGCTATCCTAACTTCTGCGTCTTGTTCAGAAGCATGTGTAGAGCTAGATTAATTTGGTCAAGCTCCGAATGGATGGGAGAGCACAGTTTAAATGGACCTCACCTCCAAGCTGAGCTGCCCCTCCCTCTGAAACACTTCTTACCAGGATCAATATACCTTGCACCTGCAGTGCAGTACATACAGTTCGTACGCCGCCATCTCACGTTACCTAGGCTTTTGGTTGGCACCAAATGCGGGGTTCGATATGCAGATAGTGATATATTCGGCCTATGATGGCGTGTTATCTTCCACGACTTACCCTGCATGGTTTAATGCTGCAGACGGAGTCTATTCAATGTTTACTGGCGAAGGGAATGGATACCTATGCTCTCTAATCGTTGGGCGTTGTGTAGTGATAAACACTTTTGCGCCGGGTGTTTGTCATGTATCGAGTGCACTGTCTCCTTTTTTCTTTGTCTATTTCTAATGCACAACAGAATATAATTGATGTTGATTTTTCAGTCCACTCTAGACCTCATTCATGCAACCGTAAAAATGTGATGTAATGGCGCAGAACAGTGGGAAATATGCCTTTACCTTCCGCCCTTGCCAGATGGAACGTTGATGAAGACAGCAGGCTTGCCAGGACTGTAAGGCTTGTCAAGCCTGTAGTAGCCCTTGCGCTCGAACTGGATGATGTCGCCTTCCTTGAGCTCGGCGACGTTGCAGTCTGTGACGGCATCCTCTTTAGTCTCGAGGTTCTTGCTGATGAAATCCATCATATCGTCCTCTTCTTGCAGGGAATCCTTGGTGAGAATATGGTCGAAGTAGAGAAGCTCCGCAGGGACCAGATCCTGACCCTCAGTAGCGAGCCAAGTAACCTTCTTCTCTGTCTTCTTCACATCTCCCTCGAGGTGTAGATCAAGCACAAGCTCAGTGACCGTGTCACCCGACTTCTTTATCTCGCGGACAATAGCGTTACCCCAGTTCATCAGAGTGATCTCTTCGTCTTGCTTGAAGCTCCTGGCGTCCTCCTGTTCAAGAACAATTGAAGGGCTGTAGACAACCTTCTTCATTCCGACAGCAGGATTCTTGCCATGCTTCGGCTTGTTCTCCGTGTAAGGTGCAGGGGCACCCCTCACTGTAGCCTTGACGATGTCCTTGTTCAGGATAGCAGTGTGACGGGGAGCAATGGGATCGATGTGCTTCTTGTTCGTAGCCCTACGACAACATTAGTATTAACGACTTTTCTCAGATGGAGTATCAAACATACCAGAGCAGACCCCACTCAAAGTTAACAATATTCTTGCTCGGACCCTGCTTGAGGATGAACTCTCTCAGGGCCGGCACGGTCATACCACGTCGTCGGATACCGCGGATTGTTGGCATGTTAGGCGCATCCCATCCCCAAACGATACCCTGATCGACCAGCTTGGTGAGCTTTCTCTTGGATAGAACGGTTCGGATGAAGTTCATGCGCGCAAAGTCCCAAACCTGGACATTGCGAAGCTTGAGAGTATCGAGCATCCATTGGTACTGGGGATTACGGTCACGGTACTCAATAGTCCTGAGAGCATGAGTAACACCTTCGATAGAGTCGACAATAGGACAACAGAAGTCATAAGTGGGGTAGATCTTCCACTTCGTTCCCGTGCGGTGGTGAGGCGTTAGGTTGCAGCGATAGATGACAGGATCACGCATAGCCTTGTTGGGGTTATCCACGGAGATCTTAGCTCGAATACACCACCTGAGGCCCTCCTCGGTGCCCTTCTTCATCTCCTCAAAGCGGGCAAGGTTCTCCTCCACGGAGGCATCACGGTTCTTGCTGGGAAGACCCTCCATTCTCTGGTGCGCCATCGTCTCCTTGTCGGTATCATCGGCATAGGCGTTACCATCCTTGATAATCTGGATGCAGTACTGGTACATCTCGTCGAAGTAGTCACTACTAAAGGTTACCTTGTCGGGCTTGATGCCCATGAGAGCGACGTCCTCCAATATGACGTCCTGGAAAAGCTGTTTCTCGTTGCTAGGATTCGTATCGTCAAAACGGACCAGAAGGGTGCCATTGTACTTCTCGTGCGCGAAGTAGTCGTTGAGGAGAGCGGCCTTCGCGTGACCGATGTGCAGGTAACCGCTGGGTTGAAGTTAGTTAAATGAGAACATCAGTGTCAACAAGGGTATGAACTCACGAAGGCTCGGGAGGGAATCTTGTCACAACTCCCTTCTCCGTGTTCTTGAGCGAGATATCATAGCTTGCTCCCTCCTTGGACTTGGCAGCCTTCCTCTCCCTGGCTGAAGCGTTCAGGGCTTCGTAAGCAGCAGAGGTCCATGGGCAGAGTTCCTCGATGAAGCGGAACCAACGAGAGAGGTTGATGAAGGATCCCTTCTTCACCGCAGCCACACCCACGCGGTTGCCACGAAGAGCACCCCAGATAGCGACATCGGGCGCAGACAAGGAATAGCCGACAATGAAGGAGCGCAGGATCAGATGCTTGTCCAGGCGCTGCAGGTGAGGCTCGAGCGCCTTGAAGTCGAGAGTAACCAGGTTCTCTACCTCAGAGAGCCAAGTATCCTCCTAAAATCACCGTCAGAAATAACCATGCAGGTGTCTTAGTGGGGTCATCCATACCAGCTTCTCATCCTTGCCCTTCAGGAACGGATAGGTGGCACGCAACTCCTTAATTGCATTCTCCGTACCATACACTGGGCTTCCACTGGGGCCATTGAACTTGACAACAGCCTTGTCGCCATCAGGCAACACGGCAGTGTCCTCGTAGGTGACGGCGATCAAAGGGCTGGGGCGCGCCTCATTGACCGAGGTTGCGACGAGCAGAACAGGGAGCAGAGCAGCTCCGTTGGCGCGGTTGGCCAGCACGATTTCGGAACTTGACATTTTGAGAACAGTGAAGACGAAAGGAATACAATTTATCCAATTCGACTTCCCTGGTTCAAGACAAAAGCAGAACAAAAACCACTGCTCTGGCGGGGCAATAGTGGTTAGTTAGTCACGGCCCCTCCGGCACTCCGCTGACTCAACCACTTTCCGCCGGCGTGCGTGCTCGCCCGGCGCTACGTTCTTCCGTCGTCGCCCAAAGCTTCGGACTTCCTGAAGAAAACAGTCGAGGGATTCAGCATCACCGTTTCCCCTTCGCGCCAACGCCATGGCTTCCACCGCTACATACTTGCCCGCGGTGGCAAGAAGTCTGACAGCGTCATGTCGGTCATCAATTCGCCAGGCTGCCCCGATGGCGCCGTTTCTCCTTCCTTTCCAGCAGCAGGTCCGGGGAGTGAAAAGCAACCCGCAGGCGAAGAACAAGAAGACGACCAAGAAGAAGGAGAAGGGCGCGAGAGAGTTCAAGCAGAGAGACTTGAAGGATATGGAGCAGTACAGTCTCTGTGATGCCATGAGGTATGCGTTCTGTGGCCATTGTTGGTTCACGGGCAGCGATTAATGGGACTTTCGATCTAGGTATATCCGCGCATTCGAAGTCGGCCGTGATCGCTCCATATCCAAGTACGAGGTTCATATCCGTTTGAAGACAAAGAAGGATGGCCCTGTCATTCGAAACATGCTTCGATTCCCCCATGCAGTTCAGTCCGAGTCACGTATATGCGTCATCTGTCCACCGGGAACGAGGCACGAGAAAGAAGCCCGCGAGGCGGGAGCAGTGCTCGTGGGAGAGCAGGAGGTCTTTGATGCCGTCAAGAGTGGCAAGATCGAGTTCGACCGATGTATTTGCCATACCGACAGTCTAGATGCGATGAACAAGGCCGGATTGGGACGGTTTTTGGGTCCCCGAGGTCTGATGCCCAGTGTCAAGATGGGTACCGTGGTCGACGATGTCGGTGCCCGAGTGCAGATGTTGCGTGGAGGTACCGTGTACAGAGAGAGAGATGGAGTTATCAGATTGCCTATTGGACAATTGGGATTCTCCCCGAACGAGTTGCGAGACAACCTCCGTACTACGATCGACCAGATCAAGAAGGATGCCGCAGGACTCAGTGACCGAATTACGAAGGAAATTTATGAAGTGGTAAGTTCTGCAGAGTCATCTGCCGTCGATTGTCCGAAGACTAACCAACTGCAGGTGTTGAGTTCCACCAGCGGCCCTGGCTTCAGCTTGAACGGCGAATTCAAGTCTGACAGTTCCCCAGAGCCGGCTGCCTTGAGCGGATTGTAATATACTGTTCTGTTCCATACATTTTGTTATATCTAAATACAGCAAGGCGTACTCTGGTATTATGTGAAATACTCATTTTTGAAACTCCGGACTCCGTCGCTATGCCATGAAAGATTACGATGTAGCAATGTGCTTCAGATCCTGAGTTGTTTCAGCGCAGACAACGCACCTGCCTCTTCGCCGATGAGGTCGTACAGGCGCATAATCTTTAGTACCCTTGTGTCCTTTTTTTCTCCAGACTGCTTTGCCTGCTCTAGGGCCGCATTGAGGTCCAAGAGCAGGGTGGCCTTGATTTTGAGGATCCTCGGTTGCTGATTGACAAGGAAGGGGTGCGTGTCTCCTATTCGCTCCGAAAGGATCGCGATGTAAACGAATTTCTGGATGTTCTGCTCCAATCTTTTCAAGGGCACAACAGTTGTAGTACCGGTCTCATCTCCGAGCTCATCGCTGTCGTCGTCGTCATCATCATCATCGTCGTCGTCTTCATCACTCTCTTCTCTTTCGGTATCTAGGATGTCTGAGTCGGTATCTAACTCGTGGGGAGATCCCAGGCCAGGCTTCTCCGGCTCTGCGATCATCAATCGTTGTTCGAGCTCCTCAATGCGCTCCGCAACGTCGAGCAGCGCTTTTCCCACGTTGGTCTGGTTTCGGAGACGCTTCTTCTCAGCCAAGAGCCTCTCCAGCTCCAGCCGTCTCGCATCGACTCGGTCCCTAATCGTCCCGACGTCTCTTTGGAACCCCAACAGGCCTACGCGAACTTCCTCGATCTTTTCCTCTCCGCCATGTAATGCGCTACCGAGTGACAGGAAGTCCTGGTAGTTCTCATTGACCAAGTCGAGGAGCTCCTTATTCAGTGACTGGCTCAATTGACGCAGTTCGAGGCGCAGATCTTCGAGCGTCTGATGGCGGTTTGTCAACGAGGACAGAAATCCGGCCGGATCGAAGTCTGGCGCCAGGAAAGAGGCGCGCGAGAGAGGCTTGGGGAAGGGAAGTCCGGACGTGGTCTCATCGAAGTCGGAACCCGAGTCGTCGGAGTCGCCAAACTGCGGACGTCAGCGCATGCGCACGGGAAGGAATCAGGATCAGGACAAGGACAGGACACGGCCTACGTAGAAGCGGTTCATGGCGGCAGGATTGCCCTGCTGCAACAGGAGATCTGATCTCTGCTTTGGGGGGGGGAAGTTGTCTGGAGAGAGAGAGAGTGGTTCGAGGTGCGGAAACGGGCTGGTCAACAGAGCTTCCGACTCGTGAATTCTCCCACCGCTAAGCGCTTGCCAACACACACATCTGCGACTTTCGACTTTCGCATTGCAGCCTCCATGCAGCGCGTGCCACGATGGAATAGGTCAGATCTGACTGTAACTCATCCGCTGACTGGCTCTGGCTTCGCTCCATCGAACGAACCGATCAGGGCTGATTCTCTACCGCCAGTTTCATCGCTCACCGGCGGGGTTGTTTCGTCCCTCGGCCGCTTGTTCTCCCTCCGCATTTGCTTGCGATCCCCGACAAGCACAGCGCTTATACGGCCTTGCGACTGCGCTCCTGCAATCCTCCCGCGGATGTTTCGATGAGATGGACGCCAGGTCAGACAGGTCTTTGACCCACCACGAGGGCTATCGACTGTCCTCCTCCCTTCCCCAGCAGAGCTGGGCGCGGCCCTCTGCCTCGTACCCCTCCCCCGCCGCTGCGGCGCCTGTCTCGTCCCCAGCTCGTCCTCGCAACACTCCGGCCGTCGATGAATCGACTCTGGCCCATCGTACCACTGCTCTGCGCCAACTGAATGGCACTCCAAAGCCTCTCTCGCGAAACCATCGGCAGAACAGATCCATTGGCAGCCGGTCGACGTTGGCATCCCAGCCAGTCCTGGTCCGCTCCTACTCGGGCGAGGCCGATGATAATAAAACACGACCATCGTCCTCAACCATGGCTTCAGGCCCATTCTCCTTCACAAGCGGCTCGAGGGGTCAGCAAACTCCGCCGGAGTTGCCTTCGGTCCAGGACTTCAGCATTGAAGGCATTCTCAGTGCCATTGAGCCTGATATTCGGAGCACACTCGACTCCATAGCGGAAATCTGCGGACGCAGCAAGCTGAGTCTGGCGAACGAATATGGAAGTCATATTGCTCCCTTGGGTGAGATTCGTGCTCAGCCTGGAGGCCTGGTGACTGTGGAGGAGGCCAGTTCCAGCAGTGAAAGACTAGCTGATGACAATGTGGTCATTGTGGACGATGATACTAGCTTCTTGGACGGTCGAAATAATTACTCGCATCCTGCCTACGGCTTCCTGGAAAACCTCAGGAATACGGCACATGCCATGGGATACCAGGCCAACATGCCCCCTTCCGTGGGAGACACGGCCTCTATGCAAGCTCAGCCAGATACTCCCAGGTCTGTAGCAATCGCAGATCCAGTACTTGATATGGATACGCAGGCTCAGCCAGTGCAGGTCACACATGAGCACTCACCCCATTCAAGAGCTAGTAGCCGTGCGCTTCTGCGGAACCGTAGAGCAGCGGCACAGAGTCAACTGGGTGACATTTTGACACCAGCGGTCGTATCTGAGGTACACATTGATGTTCGTGCCAATCAGCCGACTTGGCCGCTGACACCTCCTGCTACTCCCGGTGTTCCTCATCACGATGGCGTTGATAGTGATAGCCATGCACTTGTACCGGAACATGACTGTTCGCAGGATGCTATGGACAAACGGTCCCTGCTTGCGGATTTACAAGGACTGCTATCTTGGCTGAAGAACTACGCACAAGGAAAACCTTCCAGTGCCGCCGAGGCGCCTCTGCACTCCGCGGAGACCAGTTTGCGTGCCATGCTCCAGCGGCATGACCTGCATGAAAATGGCCAGCATGCTACAACATATTCTCACTGAGAAGAGGACCAACAACCCTCAAACTCGAAATGATTATATCTCATGTTATATCATCCTTCCTACAGTGTTTGATTCGTGATAGGATCTCTTTGGCACCTTTATTGGAGCTCTCCATTGAAGTTGATACGATAGTATATATGGCCGGCCATCTTTTTTTTTACACCTCTAGTCATGTCTATGACTTAATGCTTATGACTGAACGAATATTCTACGACACGTGCAGCACACGAGGGAAAAATACTGGAACGGATTGCTTTTCTGTTTACTCTCATCTCATGAGCTATGACCTAATGAGCCTGATATACGATCTACTCTAATATATTTTGCATATTTCACAGCTAGCCTTGAACATAGAACTTACCGGACACGCTACATTCATTGTAAATTTCACGATAGTAAGGTAGTTGAATTCATTTAGCAATAATATCTTTAGCAATAATATCTTCTTCATCTCAAATAGATAGTATGAATGATAACGGAAACAACCCTCTTAAACGCAGTCTAATAAGAGTCGTATGCCACATAATATAACCAAGAACTGAACAACATAACATGGTGGTATCGAATAGTTAGGGTCCCCTCAAAGCACTTTTCCCGTAATCAAAGGAAAATACACCCCCCGGCCTACAACTCGGACCGGAAATGCAAAGAAATGTAACATACAGTCTCGGGAAACAAAACTAGAGCAACGAACAAGAACCAGAATCATAATTAAGACGTGGGCCTCATTCCCTCTCTATATTTTCAAGCAACGTCTTCGCGAACCCCTCGAAGATCGGCAGGGACCAGCAATCCTTATACCTTTCCACGAGAGGTCGATGATCCTCCTCAACGGTCCCATTTTGCTGCCCTTCTTCTTCATCCTCCTCATCGCTCTCGTCCTCTAGACCCGCGGGAATTTTGCCCTCGACGATTTCCCCGAACTTTACATCCACAGGCACTGCGCCTAGGAACGGAAGACCCATCTCCTCAGACATGACTCGACCACCGCCGCTCGAGAACACATTGCTCACCTCCCCGCAACACGGACAGGCATAACCAGACATATTCTCTATGACTCCCAAGATAGGAATTCGAGTCTTGACGCAGAAGTTGGCTTCCTTCCGGACGTCAGATGTGGAGATCGCTTGTGGCGTAGTGACGAGAACCGCACCAGCGAGACGAGGTAGGCCAGATGAAGAGGACGCTTCAACAGATGTCGTAGACATCGTCAGTAACTGCTCTGCCAGGGCGATGTGCTCATCACTTGTCCCCGGCGGAGTGTCGATGAGGAGGTAATCCGTCTCGCCCCAAAACACATCCGTTAAGAACTGGCGCACCATTGCGGTTTTCTTGGGTCCACGCCAGATAACAGCGTCGCCGCGATCGCGAAGGAGGAAGCCGAGGGACATGCAGCGGAGCGAGCCTCGTTTCGCGGTCTCAGAGCCTCCAGTTATGGCATCGTGTACGACGACGGGTAGCCAGCCACCCGGTGCTTGGGTGATTTTTGCATCTTCGAGTCCCACTAGGCGCGGGATTGAGGGACCTGTAAGGTCGACGTCTAGAATGCCGACGGATTTGCCCTGTAACGAGAGAGACAGCGCGAGCTGGAGAGTCACGGAGGATTTGCCAACGCCGCCTTTGCCCGAGAGGACCTGTTAGGGTAGCATTAGAATATGATTAGAGATAGTCCTTAAACTAGACGGATCACATATTGAGATCATTGGAGTAGATTCTGTACGCGGAGTGGTCCTTCAATGACAAGAAGAGCTCATCTCTCCATCACATCGTTATCGATAAGTATGGAGAAAAAGAGCAGACACAGGAACAAAAATGGCGGGGGAGGGGCAGCGCCACTTACCAGCACGACATTCTTGACACCTTCTAGAGGCATTTTTCCTGGTTTATTCTCTTCCTCAGAATATCTCCTCTATTAGAATTATAGAAGAAAGACAATGGTAGCGTTATCAGAGGTCCATCATCGCGTGGGGAGATTTCTTTTTCTTACTTAGTGGCTTCTGCGTCATTCCGCGGAGCTCTGGCTTATCAAGCAGTTTTGCCTTCCGTTCATGACTAACTTAACCTTCACAGTATTAACTAATGGACATAAAGGGGCTATAGCAGATTCAATTGTCCACTCAGAGACTCTATGATTAGTTCTCAGGACGCTAGGCTTCCTATCATATACTGTCACTGAGACCCTTTTTTCCGATACACCTCCATTGAACTAATTAGCATGCGACTTCTAGAAAACACCAAGCAACCCAGTCAATCCATCGCACAGCTCCAAGTATGTACTACTTACTTATGTACACACGTCGCCGAAGAATTCTCTATCTGATCAAGTAACACTCGTCGTCAATGACTCAATTGTACCAACGTGTTCGGGTTGTTTCTGACATCTTGAATCATCGTCGACTTCGTGACCCTGAATGAAAGCCGTGCTTTTAGCAAATTCCGCTCTATCAAAGTGACAACCTCTATTCTCCGGACCTATTGCAGTGATGGCAAATATACTCATAGCAACCACCGCAGTCGCGAGGGCCATTGCCGGGCCATAGGCTGGAACTTCAGAGCCGTCTGCTCCGCTCGTATGGTGTCTCTCAGCAATGCCGTGAACTATACGCACGGAAGGAGAAGCGACAACACTACCCAGCTGGCTGGTAATTCCTACAAAAGTTGACCGTAGTCCAGGGGGAGCCAGTTCGCTGAGATGTATTGGGATTACTCCCCATGCGCCCTGCAAGAAGAACTGCATGAGACATCCAGAGACAGATAGCCCAACCATCTCATCTGGAAGGATCCAGGCGGGAATAAGAATGCACCCAAGGAGTATCGTTAGGATGATTGCGCGACGTCTACCAAGCCACTGTGAGAGATATCCAGTGGCACCTCCGCCCAGACAGCCCCCAACCCTGGTGATAATGCTAGTATGGCTTGCATCAGAGTCATCCAGACCTTTTTTGGTCATCACAAATGCCTTATAGCTGTCGTGTGAGAAGTTGTGACAATAGTTGAATAATGCCATGAGGATCGTGCAATACAAAAACAGCCTCCATTCTCTGACAGCTGCATGCTTGACGGCCTCAAATATCCTCATTGAGCGGTGGGTTTCATGGTTGATGTCGCTCTTGGACTTGATATAAAGACTCGATTCTGGTGCGATCGTCTGCAAAGCGGCAATACCCATAGAGAAACCAGCACCGATCCAAAATATAGTCTCCCAAGGTCCAGTCTCTTCTCCAACAACGAGGTTGATACAGGCTGCAGATACGAAGCCAGTCGAGAATCCTTGCTGAACTATACCGGACATGAGACCCCGGGCATTAAGCGGACAGTTCTCCAAAGCCATAGATATGGCGTTTCCATATATTCCTCCCACAAAAATACCAAATAGGAAGCGTACGACAATAAACTGAGTGAACGACTTGCTGTTGACTGTTCCGATTTGCAGGATCCCCAGTATGAGCAAGTTGACAGCGATTGGCCACTTTCGACCGAACTTGTCACCAATGAGCCCGAACACAACGGCGCCCACAGGGCGAAGAAGCAACGTGAGACTGACCCTGTCCGATATGGTTTTCTCAGTTTCCCCGAAGTGTTTCGCGAGTTTGGTGATTTGGATGCCCAGACCATGTAAGTCAAAGGCACTAGCAATCCATGCAAACAAGCTGACAATAAAAACGGCCCAGTCTCTCCAGGATAGCTGACGCAGAAGTGATCGGGGGTATCTTAGCTTCTCTGGACTTCGCCATTCAGTCGTGACATGTCCATTATCCGTTACAAGGAGGCGCTGTTTCCAGATGAACAAGTCACTGAAAGACTGTTTCGCTGTAGCCCAGGTACCCTTCACGATGGGTACCTCAGCCCCATCGACGGGACCAGTCATCAATATTGAGCCGCCAGATCTGCTAATTCTTCAAGGCGTAGAGGCACAAGAAACCGAAACAAGTAGCCGGTGGGGCTGAAAGGTATATAAACAACGAGGAATCAACAGTAAGAACTTAGTATAAAGATCCGTTTCCGCATATGTAATATATCAATAAGGAGCGAATAGGTTGAGTATACGATGGAGTAGTCAAAAGCCAAGGTCGAAAGTGAAGCAGTAATTATGATGCTACTTGTGTATATAATCATGCGGATAACGTGCAATGCTGCCTGGGAAGGCACATACGTCTTACACCCGTCTAGGAAGCTTCGACAATCCACGGGACCGCTTCGTAGATATCTGGATATCCACGAGTAGAGCTTGTTGGCTTTTAGACGAAAACCATCAGCATTACATTTTGATTTAATCTTGGAGCTGCTATTATGCCTTATCTAGTCCAACCTAGCACTCTTCAACCCTTACGGAAATGTGACTGAAAGGCAGGGCTAAGGCTTCAAAGCTCTGCTGAATTTAAACCTAAAGGTAGCCTGCTATCCAGACATTTCGGAGACGAAGTGTCCTGGACAAGCGAATTACATACACGGCGGAGTCTGCGTTCTCATAAATGTTCAAGTCCATTTCTGTACAACCACACCACCCCGCTTGAAGTCAGGAAGGTCGCCCAGAACAGCACTCTTGTCGCTAAGTTCCTTGCTTGGGAAAGTGGTCATCAGCACCCACGGTCGAGATTGGCTGGCAGGGCTTGCCGCGGAAACGAAGGAGTAGACGTCGCCAATGGTGTGTGTGGTATTGAACCGGGAAGTCAGACGTGTGCCATCGCCTAGTCGAATCTGCAACGTGACGACAGGCTGTGACTCGTCCACGTTAGGTTTCACGGGTTCTGCAGCAGGCGCGGAGGCAGCAGCAGCAGCAGCAGGTGCCTGGTTCCTCACACCAGGTGTAGGGCTTCCCAGTCTCTGACCGGTACCAGAGAATGGCTTATACTTTGGCTTCGGCTTCGTATAAGCCTCCTCGTGTTGCTTGATTTCAACATCGACTTCCTGACCAGGAAGAACGTTCATGATAGAGAGCGGAGCGCGGCCTTGACGAATTCCATCAAGGATCTCGGCATTGCCTGGATCGTCAGATCTGTACAGATCGCCGTCATCGACAGAGAAACCATCTCTCCAGAAGTGAAGTGTTCTGTGCACTCGAGGTGGGCGTTGAGGGATTCCTGCATTTGGATCTTCTACTACCCGGCTGGGAGCATCATCGCCGCCAAGAGTGCGCGCCGTGCCGGAAAAGTAGGACTTCTTTTGCTTGGGCTCATCAGACGGAGGTTGTGCCCTTTGCATGTCAGTAAGATAGCAAACCTGAAGCCAGACTGCTGGAATACTCACCTCCTCGCCTTCTCGAGAATCTTGCGTTTGATATCATCCGGGTTCTGCACTGCCAACCCGGACTTCTCACCGCCCGCAAAGAAGTCTTGATTCTCCGTCTCGTCATCTTCTGAAGAATCGCCACCCGCGCCTGACTGAAGATCTCCCAGTGTAGCGAATTTCTTTTTTGGTGCTTTCCGCGAGGTTGAGGAAGATTGCTGCGGGGTAGAAGAAGACAATGCGGGACTACCACCCAGCGTGCGTCCACGGGGTCTATCTGTAGAGTCATCTTCGGACCCAAGTCGTCTTCCGCCTCCCGTGTTCATTCCTTGCAGAGCTTCGTCCTGCTCTGCAAAGAACTCTGTCACTGCGGCCTCGATGTCCCACTCGTTGGCGTCCAGGAAGTGGCGCGCCTAATATGAGTCAAGACAGTCAGCAAGACGCGATCCGTAAGTCTAGATAGAGTAACAGGGAGGATGAGTATTGTCCCACCTCTGAGGGGCCTGTGCCTGTCATGGTACAGAATTGAGATACGATCTCATCCTGGTCGGCGGGGTTCGACGCCATGGCGGGAACAAAGCGGACGTTGGAGGAATGAACGTGGCCCAGATATAGCTCTCGATATCGCCAGGCAGGATGAGCAAAGAGTTGCAGCACGGAAAAGAGGGGTGAGGAGGAATGGAAGTTTGCTTTGGCTGATCTGGACAGTGAAAGGTGAGCTTAGAGCTTTACTGTAACTCTCCGCCTTTGAGCTTTCAGAACATCGCAGGCAGCCCGGGTACGTCACGGTTGCCTGATTGGTCACGCGGTCCGGGGATGTTCCGGCTTGTATTTATATTTATATTTATGATTATATTTACTGTATTACAAGTCAACTGGAGGTGATTTGCTACTATAATGAATGATTCTGAATATATAACTACTCATATCTTCCTTATTCTTTCAAGAAAGGGCGATCTTGTAGACAAGAGTGGCTGAACCACGTGAGTGAGTTAACTCATTCACTGCCGGAGGATCCCTGTGTTTAGTTCAACAAAGACCACTTAAAGAACATTGATTGTTGTGCGTTATAAACTGGAGTAACAGCTTATAGATGATATAAATAGCCATGCTGGATTTCTAATTTGCAAATAGCTATCCTCCTTTGTCTTGTTTACCCCAGGGACTGTTTCATTGATAGCTACCTAGGTACCTAGTTTGTTACAAGCGGATTATCTAAGCCGCGAGCCCTCCTACCTTCAGTCAACGGTTGCAGACTGGGTTCCCTGGGCCTGATGCTGCAAACCGACCCAGATTCACTGCCATAATCAATCAATCTATACACTGATCAAGTCTCCTCCCTTTCGTCGGAGAAGGAGATGACAAAACTGCTCTAACTTCTCACCTTCTGCCGCCTGTTGCTGCAAACCCTCCACTAGGTCCATCGGTGGCCTCAACAACATCTCCCCGCAATATGGCTTCTGACGACAACGGCAGCTCGCGCGTCGAGCTCTACGAGTCAGGCCTGACCGTTCCATCGGATTCTGAGAACTACTCTGCAAACCACGAATTGTCATCTTCTCCTCCTTCGACATCGAGCTCGCCTCTGATCCTATACAAGCCCCCCACGCTCTGGAGCATCCTGCGCGGGGCGGCCATCAACCTCGTTCTGCCCTTTGTCAACGGACTGATGCTGGGCTTTGGAGAACTATTTGCACATGAAGCTGCTTTCCGCCTGGGCTGGTCGGGTACTAAGGTGCGTCTACGATTCAGTCGATAATTATCTTCGTCTAGAGATTCCTACCTGTGCCTCGCCGGTCTTGCTCGAGCCTTACTGATTCGCTTTCTCCAGATCTTCCCCACCTACCGACGCTCAAGACCTGTTGGTCCCGGAATCGAAGCGCGAGAGATCCCGACGAGCAGGAGACGCGGTAATGCCGTGAACCTTGAGGACGCGATGTCTCTGGAGTGAATTTCCCGGATGGAACTGGGGCTTGGCTGGAAAGCCACCAACCCCCCAGAAAGAGTAAGGATGATGCGCACTATATGACTATCTCTTAATGTGGCCATTATCGTTTTTGTACATAGATACAGAGGACATCAGTACAGGCCCCGACTGGATGGCGTCTAAGGAGTGTTTTGTTTTCAGTGTACTACAACCTGATCCAGGGCTTGTCGGATTAAATGCACCTCTGCACTAAATATCATGTAGCGCACAATGGGACTTGATACAGATTTCTTTTCTGCCATTACCAGGAAGACTAGTTAACTAATAGCGCACATGTATCCTGCTTGTTTGTAGACTGCATAATTAACCGGCTGCGATGGATGGCATTCCGGCCGCCCGGCAGAAAGTTCTTGGCGCAAAAAGTGTAGCGACACCGCGGAGACTACAGTATTCATCTGGACCTCAACCCATCTGTTGCCCGGAATTGCTCCGCCATCGTACTTCAAAATGCTGGGCGGAACAGGCTTGAGAGGTCCTGGCGCTGTTGCTGGCCTTGCCAGGCAGAGATTGACTACGTCTGCATCTCCCAGTCGATCAGTTTGTCTTCCATTCATTCTCCGCGTCCCAGCTCCGATGCTGACTTTCATGGCTAGATCTCCTCTTTTGCCGGCCGCGTCCCACGAGTGTCTGCACGCTTGGGAAAGGCAAATGCCATTCTCGCGTCTAGCTCTCCGTCGAGGGCCACAGCCTTGCCAGCATTTCGAACAATTTCCGCTCGTTTCAACTCTACCTCTTCGGCCGCGCCGGCAGCTGCCGCGACAACTGCGAATAGTGCTGCTGCTGATGGCACAGGTGCGCTGGATGCGGTCGATGTTACCGATCTATCTGCTACAGATATCACACAGATCCCCGAGCATGTGGGATATCTGAAGGACATCGGGCTGGACTATGGATGGGGTCCGTCGGCCTTTATCGAATATGTCCTTGAGCATATTCACATCTACACCGGCTTGCCATGGTGGGCAAGCATTGCGGCAACGGGTCTATTAGTCCGTGCTGCTCTTTTCAAGCCTACGATGTCCGCATCAGATACCTCGGCCAAGATCTCGAACCTCAAGCCGATCTCCACGCCTCTTCGGGCCAAGATGATGTACTATGCGCGCGAAGGTAATAACCAGGAAATGCTGAAGGCCAGAGCAGAGTTGCAGGAACTTCATGACCTCCATGGAGTCAAGTCGTGGAAGGCTTTTGTGCCTATGCTACAGATTCCTATCGGATACGGTTGCTTCAGAGTCGTGAGAGGAATGGCCGCTCTGCCGGTGCCCGCCCTCGCTATGGAGCAGATTGGATGGTTGAAGGATCTGACTGTCTCTGATCCTTACTTCATCCTTCCTACCTTCGCGGCTGGATGTCTGTTTTTGACCTTCCGGGTACGTATTGATGTCCCATGTATGTGTATGTGTATGTGAATACGAAGACACTAACAACCTACAACAGAAAGGTGGTGAGAACGGAATGAACGAATTCACCAGGACGACCATGGGCAAGGCTATCCTTTACGGTCTTCCCGCTATTTCGTTTGTCTTCATGGCCTTCTGGCCGAGTGCCCTTCAGATCTATTTCTGCACGACTGGTGCCTTTGCTCTGTGCCAGGCGTATCTTCTCAACTCCCCCAGCTTCCGTAGAAGATTTGGCCTGGAGATTCCCATCCCCGCGCTGCAAACATCCGCGGGACCTTCGCAGGCGGGCGGAGACAACACCCCCAGCAGGGGCCTTCGCCTGATCTATGATGCGATCGAGGCGGAAAAGGCCAAGGCAGCCAAGGCTATGGAAGAGAAGCCCGCAGCTAATGTAAGCATCATCGACCGTGCCATTAACTCCGTCAAAGAAGGCTCCAATAAGTTCAGGAGCGAGATGCAAGAAAAGATGAACGAGCTTAGCGGCCAGGGACCGGTAACAAATGCTCACGGTACGCCTGCAGCGCCGCCGAGACTAAGTGAGAAGGACCTGAAGATGGCAGAGGACTATGACAAGAGACGGAGAGAAGAAGAGGAATGGAAGCGAGAGGAGAGAAACCACGCTCGGAGAGAAGCACACCTCCGAGCTTTGGAAGCCGAGAGAGAGAAGGCCAGACGATCCTGGCTCAAGCAGAGCCAGCAATCCGCAGCCAAAGCCAAGGCCAAGCAAAGGTGAAAAGAAGAAAAAAACAAATAAACCTTCTGTGGATCTGCATTCTCTCGTTCTGGTTGAAACAAAGGAAACTATTTGGTTTTCTCTTGCCGGAGTTTTCGCTGTTGACGGCAAATATGTATTCATGGGAGCTTTCCTTTTTTTTTTCGCACCGTTGGCAGAGGTTATCCCCGCTATCATCCTTGTAAATTATGCTGCTATGTACCATTGTAGACTTCATCTTCAAGAATCCTATATAAGAAACAAAGAACGCAATTCTTGATCTTGTCGGAGACCAGAAATCTATGCCCCCTTTTTCCAAATCATAGTCTTCTCGGGAGTTCTTCTATACCTGTAAATGTGAAGGGAAGAAATAATCCTATATGTATATAAAAAAAAGATCACATTTCCCAATCCAGCACGGGATAGAAAGAGAGAAAATAAGTCCTAGACTCCAAAATCTACACGAGAAAAATATCATCATAATTCCAGAAAGGAAAAGAAAAAAACCACCGGAGAGCGCCTCCCGCTCAGATGGAGCCAGTTCCATTAATATCAAATCATAAAAAAAAAAAAAAAAAAAAGACAAGAAACGAACAAAATACCCCCGGAGCCCACCGCGATCTCACCACCCCCCCACCCCCCAACTCCCTCAGGGATCGAGGTGGAACACCCTCACGCCACCACCACCACTACTGCTGGTAGAAGAAGTGGAAGAAGAAGCGGAGGGGTCCTCCTCGTCATCAGACGGAGCGAAATCGTCTAGTAACCGGTCGACCACGTGCTTGATCTGGCCATATACTTCCTCGATCGTATCCTCGGCTTTCACCTAGATGAATCCCAATCAAATCAGCTCTGATTCACCTTCATACTATTAAACCCGGAGGGGAGATAGGGGATAGGAAACTCAAAAAGGAAGTCACATGAAGTTATTTGGACTACTAACCGTAGATACGATACCCTTGGCACCGAGGAACCGAATGACCTGCCTGCATTCACTCTTGAACCGAGCCAGGCGTTTGGTGAAGATCCGTTCGTGTTGGAGGAACAGCTCGGCTGCATCCTGGTCCAGGGGGATCCCCAGTAGATCTACGGACCGGAAATACAATAGGTCCTGGGAGCACTCCAGGTGAATAACGTGGCGGACTCCGAGGGACTAGATCGAATAACAAAAGTAGGGTTAGATATCAGTAGTAACGTATAGATATAGGAGTCACGTGGGTAGGGTTTAAGAGGGAGTAGTTTAAGTGAATTGAATGAATTAAGCTAACTTACCCGGGAGTAGTCAAGATATTGGTCGATCGAACAGGGGAATCCATCAAGGAGGAACGTGCAATCGCCGTCCTCTACATGCCAGGTGATTTCGTCCTTGATAAGAGTCATGATCAGGCCGACTGGGGGGAGTTTGCCTTCTTCACGAGCGGATTTGACTGCTGCAACGGCGCCGGCTGGGCCGGTTTGTTCGAATCCGAGGAGCATAGCATCGACATCTAGATGAATGAGATCCAGCTCTGCAGCGAGACGAGCGCAGTGTGTGCTCTTTCCTGATCCGGGACCTCCTGGATAGTAGATTCTTTATTTTAGTATGTGGCCAGTTATATTTATAGTGGAGTATGCGAGGGCAGTATTGATGTAAGGAATCTTACCTATGACGAAGATGACTGTAGCATCATCCAAAGTCCGGCGGAGGGGGGGACTAGTAATGACCATGGGATCTCCATCGTTGGTTCGGCGCACAGGCGGACTGGGAATCCAGATTCCTTCCATTGTCATTGTAAACGGATTTCCCTTTCGAGTAGATATGCTCTATTTAGACCGTCGATGAAGAAAGTGTCTGAACGGGGTCCGTCGAGCAGCTGTAGGCCGGAGTAACAGCAGATCAAACACGAGGTTCTCGATGGTCTGGGTTCAGCAAGTACAGAACGCCGAAAAGTAGCAGACAGGAAAAGAAGAATACCAATCTGCAGACTGAAGATGCGGTTCTCGAGTTGTTCAGGACTGTCTGGAAGTAGAAGAAACGTGAAGATGTAGATGCGTATGCAAATGAGCCAGAGGAAGAAAGAATAAGTAAAGAAAGACCAGAAGCTGTGATACCCGAGTTGAAAGAGCGGTTTCTCTAGTCAGAATCTTTCCTGAAGAGGTGCCTTTTAGAATATATGAAGATCTGACCCGAGATCGAACGTCCCGATCCAGAAGTTGGATACCAAAGAGAGGTAACAAGGATAAAAGAGAGTAATCAAGATAGCTCGAGACAGACCCAAAACCCTTCTTGGAGCAGAAGTCTTAGGATCTCCCCGTTCAAAAGTCTTCTTCCAAGATATCAAGACCCAAATCGTCGAGCTCAAACGCTGAGATCGAGAAGTTAGTCGGGTATCAAAAAGAGGAACGAGAATGCAGAAAAGTAGCCAAGATAGCTGAAGACAGGTCCACCACCCTAGTAAGAGTAGAGATACCAAATCCTCTGTTCAATAGCTTTATCTGCAAGAGTGTTTCTCGGAGAATGAAGAGGTCTGACTCGTCTCGAAGCTCAAACTGTCAGATCCAGGAGTAGATATCTTAAAGAACCAAGAATGAAACAGCAAGATAGCCAAGACAGCTCAAGACAGCCACGCAACTCTACTCAGAGTATAGAATAACCATCGTTCTGTCTAGCAGCTCTCTCAGCCAAGGTGTTTGTCATGGGAAAGGAGATGTCCTGCTGTCTTTGTCGCAGCCGCGTGAGGATATATGACTCGCCGAGACCGACGACTAAGCAAGCACACGCAAAAGGGGTCACTTTTTTGCAAAATCAATGGCCCCATGACAAGAATTCACTTCATAAGTGTTGCTGGACCTTTTGTTAGGAGTCAATGACATCGTTGCCTAGCTTGTGCTGAGACGAGCTGACTGAACTGGATTGATTACTGAGCAGTACAGCGCAGGTTCGTGCTGTTTAGAACAATCTGGACTCTAGTTTTCTTTCCCATGATAATTCAAAACAAAAGGTGATTGATAGGTTTGGATATTAACAAAGAATTGTTTCCCCGAAAGGGTAACAAACAGAAAGACAATTCAAACAAGAGCATAGTCCGGTAAGTGAACAACTATACTGTATGAGAGCGGTTCATGTCTCGATTCGGTGGCAGAAGTTGTCCCGGGGACAACTTCTGCCACCCTAATCGGCAGGATCTCCGTCTTAGAGCTGCAGAGCCCCTAGTACTAACAGCAAAAGTCAATTCTCGCTATGATGGACGACGTCAACAAGACCGAGCTCGTCGTTGCCGGGATCATAGGCGTGGTTGCCCTCACTGCCGGTAGAGCCATCTTCTCGAATATCAATCAAGCTCCCCGCAGTATTCAAGAGCAAAGAGCATCGCAGCAATCGGGAGAAACTTCGAGTCAGAAGTCCACGAAAAGCAATAATGGGTGAAAGCTCCGTATGTAGTAAATCCCAAGCAGCATGGGACAATCTGTCCTGATAGCAAAATACAAGTACTGATCGCATCACACTTTTAGGAAAGGACGACGACACAAAAGAAAAAGAACCAATGATAAATGCCAGTATGGTCTCTGACGATGCTAGCAAGAAGGCTCATAATCCGAAAGACGGATCTCGAAATCCATGGAGTAAGTCAAGCCGGTCATAAAGCTTGAACAGGAGAACATGCTGATCTAGTGACAAGCTCCTGGAAGGATCTGAAGCCCTGTAATGACAAGATACCAAAAGGAATCAGAAGGCTGCAGGCATAACGAACAACATATCGTAAACATGATAATCAAACCTCACTCTTCGTCGAGTATACTATATCCAGATCTACCAAAATGCCCGGAACCGGCCTTCTGATAACAGGCTTTCGGGAATCGGCAGGATTGAAATGCTATTTTACGGAATCAGCCACCACCGTTTCTCATAGGCGAGAGCCCCGTAATACTGCTAAAAACAAATCTCCGAGAGGACGCCACGAGCTCAGTGCAAAATGAGGCTTCGTCGAGCGTTAAAATTAATGCATGGGGTAAATTAGTAATAAATCCGCCCCCGGGTCCCCAGGTCATATTCGCGGATCACCGTATGGTACTGATCCTACCTAACTTGTATGTGATCGTCATAACTTGACTGCATTTCCTCGCTGTTTCCAGCAATCCAGCCCTCTAGATACACTCCAGACAATATGGAATCACAGCAGCTCTCACCGTAGTGTGAATTCATCTTCCCTAGCGATATTTATAAAAAGAAAACAGCCCCCTATGTAGGAAATTCTTGGCACTGTATCATTTCGGCGAGCCAAGAGTCTTGGAAGTAACAAGTAACTAACTAGTCAACCACTCGTAGAAATGTGGCTTGAGGGGGAAAAGGGACTGGAAATATGGTCCTCCTCGTGAAAGTTGTCCAGTAGCAAGATAAGATCCAGGGGTTATTAGCAAATCATACTGAATGTTCAATTCTAGATCGTATGTTAGCCTAAGCCACAACATTATTATTGGAGGAATGTGGAATTCCGCAAAGTAGCGGCCCCAGCGTATGTTCCACCCAAAATATGATACAGCATTCAATAATAAATTATGCTCACTGTTTGCGGATTTCACCGGAGCTTTGTGCTATGTATTATTATTGATGGGGATTCTCACATGCATGTCTCAGTCAGGATTGCTATATAGGACTCTCCTCTGGATATGGAATTCCTTGTATATTGACTAATTAGTTAAGACATGCTACGAAATTGCAGTCTCTATACTTGTCTGAATTGTCTCCATCTATGGTAACTGTACAGATAAGAGAAGACAACGTAGACTCCGCATCTTCTCTAGAGGAAAAGAAAAAGAAATTTAGGAAATGGTAAAATATTTGTGAACCATCACTTGAACTCCTGAACACGATGCGGAGGGCCCGGAAGGCTGAGCAATTAAGAAAAAAGAAAAAGAGAAATTGGTATTTTGTCCCAAAAAAAGACAAGTGATAATAGGAAATGCTTCGGTTCTGTCCGCACAATGCAATTATATCGGATAACGATTGGTTAGATCACGACACTCGCTGACTGGCCAGCCAGAATCAGAGCGTGTTCATAGATCTGTAAATGGACAGACACATAGTCGTCTTGACCAGGAAAGTGATACTTGCTGATGCAAGGAATCAAGAAGAGACGGCGGGCTGTGGTTATCGAAGGGAATGACATCAAGCCGTAGGCATCGGTAACGACGTTAGCGGCATGGGAGGATGAGGCTTCTCGTCCTCCTCGAACATTAAATTCTCGAGCTTCTGTGTCATTCTTGCACAGAACGGGTCGACATAGTTCGTCCACAGGCTGGCACAGATGTAGACAAGCACGATCCAGCAGGGGATACTGATGGCAACCACCCACGGAGGCCGGATGTGGAGCCATGGTGGCGGAATAACATTACCATCCGCATCGACGGTTTCCTCCCAGGGCTGCCCAGTGATTCCGTAAAGCATCCAGACTAGGGGCACCCGGAGCAGGGTACCGTGGACGAGATACACAGCGAAACTCTGCTTTCCAAGCCAGAGTAGCAATCGACTCGACAAGAACTCCTTCACTCCTGGAGAAATGAAAATGGCGAAGATGATGCAGTCGGCAGCGATAGCGGTATATCGCTTTCCGATATTGACTTCTGGCGGGAAGATGTAGTTCGAGAGCCACAGCATGGCATTCGACCAGCCGGACCACTCAGGATGTTCTCCGGGGTATCCAGCAACGAAGAGACCAAATGCACATACTGATGCGGCAACGATCTTTCGGAGCCAGCTGTGCGTGTCAACGAATTCCTTGAAGTTCAGATCATAGGACAAATCACAAAGGAGCATTCCGTACACAGCCTGCGTCTGGAAGGTCTCTGTGGGAAAAAGGTTAGCGACTAGATACACCGTGCCACGAAACGAACAGGCAACATACCAACATCCTTTCCTGCGTCCTGGTGGAAGTAAAGGAGCATGCCGACGTAGACCATAAAACGATAGCGGAACTTCAGATACATGGTGGCGAACAGCAGGATATAGACCAACATCGAAGCCTTCAGAAGAGGCAGGAGAGCCCACTGGTGGTCATCGTAGGCCATGTATCCCGTCGTCCAGGTGCTCAGGAAGTTCTTGAACAGCCGGATCACCTCCTTATAGAAGGAATCCTCCAGGTCCGGGGCCGCATAACGACACCACCAGCAGTCAGATCGGTTGGCCACCGTGAAGCCTCCGCACTGAGCGATCACCCACGAAATCACCATGGCGATGGTGGCCGGGAAGATCAAACGAGGCGGACGGCGGAAGGCACTCTTGGCGATGGTCGTAAAGGCGGACTGGGTGTTTCCCGCTCGGGAGAGCTTCAGCGGCTTCAACGCACACACATAGCCGGTGAGAAAGGCGAAGATGGTGACGCCAATACGGCCTTGCCACGGGATTCGGAATACAGGCCACTGAAGCAGCCGCGGAGCTGCATCTGGTGTGTCGCGCGGCGAAAACAGATCATAGTCCCATGCTCGTGCCAAATGGGTGAGGACTACCATAAACGATGCGATTCCTCGGAGACCCTATGAGAGTCATGTCAGTCTCTTGATGGTCGTGGACAGCTGGAGAATTAGACATACATCAACCCATTTAACGGTCTTCTTGGGATCTCCCTTCACTGAGGGGTCTCCGCCGGACCATGGGAGCGCCGCGGGGATGGTCTCCCGCAGTCGCTCGTAGATATACGAAGGATTGTAAGACATAGTACCGTATGAGACGCTAAACTCGAGAGAACCCAATCGACATATCCAACAAAAAGAGGCAGAAGGTCCCTACCCGGAAGGTTGCTGTAGCTGGGGCGGATGCTTTTAATAGATCAAAAGAATGACGAGGAAACGATAGATAGACCGGGGAAATGCAACCAGGTTTAAGCGTATTGTCTGTTAGCAGCCGCGTGAGCAGGTAGAAAAGGGATCTAAGGCGAGAACGGGCAGCATACTGATTAATTTGGAGAAGGGGGGCAAAAGCTCCATGTCCCAGCCAAGAAGCCGGCCAAGCCAGCCAAGAAGACAAGCCCATGTATGAGCCTATTCCGAGGATCGATTGCGCCATATCCGGAAGTACCATGACCACTCGTTGACTCCATCCAGCGGTCGATCTGGTACCATCCCTTCCATACTCGGTTGTGAACCACTCAGAGTACGTCAGTGTCGCGGCTGCGAGCCGTCGCCGGGAACAGTTGTTGGTGAATGACTGGTAATGATCATTGTTAGCTATCCTGTGCAGTCTTTTGCTTCCTGTTCCTGGCCTGTACCATACGGAAGGAGAGTAGGTATCCGCCGTCGGCCCATGCCAGAGCCCGTTTAGGGAATGGGGAATACTCAAGAGGGAATAGAATAATATTTAATATTATTATCGAGAGCCCTTGCGGTGAGACAGCGTGACGGTTCAGCTCTGGGCAGTTCCACCGGTTCAGTCCCTTGTGGTGCCGGATTTGGCGTTGGATCTTCTTAACTCGCTCGTGGCCGGAACTAAACATGGCCCACGATCCACCAGTCCCTGGGCCGTCTTCTGAACTTGTCGCCGTTCTCAGTCGTGTGCCCCTTGGATCTGCCGCTAAGAAAACTCGTTAAGGTTAAGTCTGTTCTCCAGTATCGAACTTATTAAGCAGAGGTTGACAGCTAGTTAGTTAACTAGGGACTATCCAGTAGCCTCGGTTCATACGCAACAACAGCATTCATTATTTAACAGCATTGTCTTCCATACTTCTGGTCTCGAACCACGGATCACATTCGAGTCGGCGCGGTATGTGGCCAGTGGCTGTCAACTTTGCAAGCGGCCCTCGACAGAGATAAGGAGAAGAATTCAATCAGAACAATCACAATGCCGGGATCAGTTCGTGACCAGGTCTGGCCCAGAACGTGGATTAACTACTATCGACTCTGGGTTGTCGCGAGAATGTAAGACGCGTCACCTGCTTCCACCGTCTCCGTACGATGATAACATTGCGACGAGACAAGGCTGTAACTGCATCTTGCTCTAGCTAGCTAGTCGATGCGCCCAGCGGTTCTCCAGGCTCCTTGCGGCGTAGATGAGTACGCAACGGGGAGAGAGCGCGCCGCAAGAGACCATTTGCAACCCCCATCACGCCATAAGGAGGACGCGTCTCATGGCAAAGTACTACCAAGAATCAGGATACGCTCTGGAATGAATGATATGGAACAAAACATTCGTCTTGGAATCAATCAGCCCATTAATCCACTAGCAGATCGACACTGGAATTCATCAAGATAAAGATGATTAATGATTAATCACTCGACGGAAAGATAGTTAACTACTTAATTACATAGTTAGTCAACTGGATGATTGAAATGGACTCCTTCAGATCGATTAAACTATGCCTGTCATACTCGGGTTATAAACAATTTTTCAGCATTGACCAGGCAGCGACAGAGCATCGGGATTCTGCTATTCTCTTCGATAATCATTCGATAAGTATTATCCAGGGCGAGATATTCGCTATCTATCGAGATTCTAAGTACTACTGCAACCCCAGAAAGTAACAAGTACCTATCAACTGATACGCGCTAACTATCCACTAGCCTGCTGGATTGTGAAGCGCAACTATAGAATAATACAATTATACTCCATCTATAGATCTATTTATTAGTCTAGTCCAGTTCCCCAGACAAGTTTACTCTACTGAGAAAGTAGCGTTTGAACTCGATACTCGATTCGTCATCAGGGGTTCTTAGCTGACCGCGCTGCGACCCTTTTCGACTTTTCTCGTGGCCCAAAACAACAAAGCACAATCTAACTAGACTGGTTCGGAACGCTTGCGACACTGATAATCCGAATAGGTATCCCATCTCTCCTTGAACTGAACTAAACAAGGCTCTAACATCTGTCGGCTGCGGCAGCTCACGGTATCAGATTTGGTTTGATCTATACGGAGAAGTGCATCAAAATTGACTGCCAACGCTAGTAATCATGCTAGTATGCAAATTACACCCCTATCCCCGAGGAAACACCAGGTCTCGCCCTCTTTAAATAAGGATATTGCTTCTGTTATTGAATAAATATATAATTTATCGCTTCGGAATATCTTTGTACTTATAATAATCTTGATATAATATATTATTAAGCCGAAAAAGAAAAAGAAATATAGGAAGAATGTGATAAATTAAGGGGGCTATTTTAGTATACAAAAGCTTTTACAAATTTAGTCCTTTATCCTTAAGTAGTTTAGATAAATAAAACAATTTCCTAAAATATCTCTAGAATCAAAATACGTAATTAGTAATACAATGGTATTTATCCTGTTATTACTAGCGTTGGCAGTCAATTCTGATGCACTTCTCCGTACTTACCTTAAACTGCCACTAGGAGAACTCTAGACTTGGCAACTCCAGACTTTGCATAATAATGGAAGCAGTCGTTTGAAAGCCTAGTTGGGACAGAAGAAACGTGAATATGGATTGCATCCTCCTGCACGCATCTCTGAATGGAATAGAGTGCCAAGGGATTCATCTCGATTGCAGATCTGGGCTCGTGTGTGGGACTGTCAATGACAGTCTCAATCCTACGCTGGCTAAGTAGTCTAGTTGAATATCCCCTGGCAATGTTGTAAGAGCTGGATCCAGTTCAAACTGCAGCATCTAATCGCAACGGAATCAATACCAGTATCATCACGTTCAGGCATCAACTGGAGAATGAACGATCATTATCCATCCCCCATGGCCCACTGCTGTTTGGCGACAATAGCCTTTGCCGTACATAGTTAACTTAACAACCACGACAGAGTCCCTGAGAGTGGTAGCTCCAGTCTTGCAATGATGTGATATAGTGGTAAACTGTCATTCATTCTTTCATTAACCCTATTCCGAATAGCCAACATTATTATATCTAGTCCAGTAAAGAAATAAGAATTCCCGTCCTGAACCTGCGACTAGAAATATGCTCCGTAGTAATGTACATGGTATCATAGAAAAAAAAAACTAGAAAGTCAATGGATAATGTGCCCTCTCAAGATCAATCCCAGGATGCAACTTTTGTGGACATGAAGAACTTTTTTCTTTTCACCTGAATGTGATCTTAAAGCCTTATCGAAACAGCCTTCTGCCACCAGAGCCAACACTCCACGTGAAGGCACCCCGAACGCCCAGATTCTGCAAACTCAACCCCGACATTCCGACCCCGCCTCCTTCGCAGTCGCGCTTGTACCGCCGTAGTGCCTCACGGAGGTGCGTCGGAAGAAGCTGGCCGCGGTGTGGATTGGGAGGAAGCTTGAATTCCCGCTTTGGACGGATCTGCTCTTGACTAGGAGTAGCAGGTATTGTGCTCTGCGATAACGGCGCGCTGGCCGGATTGTACTGGCCATTGCTGGGAACTGATGGAGGAGGTATATGGTGAGGAACCGAAGACGGTACAGTGTCTCCATTTCGCTCAGCTGGCTCTTGCTTCACGCCGTTCTGCTTCTGCTCCGTTGTTGCTGATGTCTCCGCTGACTTGGAGGGTTCGGGTGTCGACTGAGACGCGGCTTGGGCTGCAGCTGCTTTTGCTGCTTCAGCTCTTGCTGCTTCTGCCGCTCTGACCTCGGCCAGTCTAGCTTCTTCCGCGGCCTCTTCAGCCTCGAAAGCAGCCAGAGCAGCCTGATCATGGGCCTCTGCCCACTCTGCCTGCACTGTTCGAGCCTTTTCGATGATTTCTCCAGCAAACACCTTAGTGAAACCGTTAATTGTTGTTACCACACTGGCCGGCACAGACTGCGAAAGCGCATGGTTGACGATTCGACGCAGAGTTTCTTTTCTTAGTTTCGCACGTTTAAATAGATCGTAACGAGCAGATTGGATCGGATTGAAGGCGTCAACGAGAATCCTGGAAAACAGTCAGATAAGTACGAATCCAACTTATGGGAACGCTTTTGCAACACATACGCGAGATTCTTCTTCTCGGCCTCCGTATCCGTAGGGCCTTCGTCCCCCCCCAGCAGCTCTCCCTCATCGTCAAAGTCTTCATCCTCATCTGCATCGTCGCCGCCTCCCCCTCCACCTGCTCTGACCGAGCTACCATCTGCATCAACGGAACCTGTCCGCGTCCCATCAACCGTCCCCGCTCGCGTGCTCATGGCATCTTCCCTTTCTCTCTCCTTCTCGGCCTTGCTCTTGCGACCGCGTTTCTTCAATTTCGCTCCTGCGAAAACACCTTCACCCGTACCCACGCTCGCACCGCCCAAACTCCCTGTAAAACTGCCCGTCACACTGCCCGCATCGCTGGCCGCGCTAAACGCGCGCGGATCTGCAACAGAAGAAGCGGGAAACGATGTCTGTCGAAGCGGGTGCATGCGAGGGCGCTTGATGCCTGGCTGTGATGCCGTAGACGAGATAGAAGGCCGCTTGCGCGGGTTGGGCGGGTTTTGCTGAAGGGGCGGAGGCGATGACATCCTGACGAGAAGCTAAAACTGGTATTGCTTTTTCTGTTCGTGATTCGAATAGCGGCGCTGTTGCGGTGAATATACAGCGTATTTCCACCACCTGCGTTTTGATGGAGAATAGAGTAACGCAAGCTCCGAGATGGCCGAAATGTAAGGGTTTATTCTTCAAGGTCTAATACAAGTTGATGTCAATTTATTAGAAGTCATGCGAATTTGAAAGGACTGCTGCACGGGTGGCGGGGTAAGGGTGGAATAATCCAGAGGTTGAGTGAGCAGAGCGGAGAACATGTCGCGGAGATGCGCAGATGAAGTGAAGCTGATGGATGACCCGATAAGGCAAGCGTGCCAAGACCACTTTCCATTCACTGATGGTATCTATTGTTCCATGCAATAACAATAGTCCATCGCAGAATATTTATTGCGGAATATTTATTGGGATTCTCTTCATCAGTGCTCTCCATACATGCTCATTATTACATTTTCCAGGTATTCACCTGGCCTCTGTGGACGTCTTGGTCACCAGTCTTCTTACAACTACAAAAACCACATCATACTAAGTGGCTTTATCTTCCTGATCTTCTCCAGAGGCAAAACTACCTTGCCATCACGCACATCTCACATTAAGAATTCATTAGCAAGTTACATAAAGAGTGGTGAGAAGCGAAGCCGAGATACAGATACGCAAAAGCCAAAAAAAGTCCATATACTCTTCTGGCTAATATTCCAACGCTTAGCCCTAATAGCAAAGGAATGTGCGGTTTCAGAACAGAACATCAGACACGGGAGACGAGATACAAGAAATAGAAAACCCATGAGCTTCCTTTTCAGGTAAGACCATGGGTTATAGCCAAGGGAAACGACCCCAGATTCATCAGAACCCATACTCTCCAATCCTCGGGGCACCGCCCTTCCAGTCGTTGCGCTCATAGTAGCGGAAAACCAGATCGTAGCCATCGAGATCGTGGACGATACGGTCAACCCGGCGGTAACCGGGGATTTGCTCCATCCCGGCATTCCGGCGAGCAGCGTGACGAGAAAGCGTCTTAACGCTGTCGACGTCGCTGTCGGCTTGATCGACGCCTGGCTTCGCCTCGAAGAGAGTCACGCTGAAACGTCCAGGTTTGAAAATGTCCACAACGTGCTTGACGATGTCAGCAGTCTCCCGGCCCTTCTGCGCATGGGGCACGTTTGTCTCAAAAGACGCGTAGGAACAGTGAGGTTCCGGTGTGACGTGCACAGTGAAGTAGTGCGTCCCAGATGCACCTTCAGGGGCCGGAATAACACCGTTAGCAGAAAATCCGCAGGGAGTGAACAGATACGCATCTATGCGAGACTCGGGATATTTGCTGGTCGGGTAGACGTCCGACAATCCACTGGTCTCCGATACGACAGTTCCCAGCGCATGTCCTTCCGTAGTGAGCTCCGGGGGCAAGGTCTTGCCGCCGTCGGAGCCCTCGTCACTCATGTCCGAAGAGTTGCTGAACACGTCGAAGTGATCTTTGCTCTCCTGCTCGATCTCCCTGTAACGGGTTTCTGCGACCGCACTCGCATGGTCGAGATAGAACTGCTTGGCGTTCTCCTCTTCCAGGTCCGTCATCAGGATCTCAAGCGTTTCGTCATACTCTTCGCCCTTCTCCACTTCGGTTTTGGCCGCAGCCATATCTCCAGGCAAATTGAGAACCTTGGTCTGGGTCTCATGCGTAGGACTCTCGGGAGGAGTCAGCGTAGTATATGGCTCGGTCAAGTACAAGTACCAATGCTCCCCGTTCATCTTTCCAATCATGTAAGCGCTTCCACCAAGGAAAAGCTTGTCCAAGGTATTGACCTCATCTCTCCAGCTGCGGTGAGGGCCGCGCTGGCGGTCTGGAAAGAGGAAATTCTTCCGACTGTAAAACACACGATAAGGCGCAGCAGCAACGCCAATTCCCCTCGACGTAGGGGCAGTGGACTTCGGGAATCCGGCAAAGAGAGCCGCAATCTCCAAAATACGTGGTAATCCGGATAGCAGTGTGGTCGTGCCACAAGTCTTGAGGATCAGTTTGTGAGGCCAGACAAACATGCTGGACTCGGAAAGGAGATAGGCGTCGACATCATCGGACTCCACGATAGACAGCACCTTGCAGTTTACGAGGTCAAGCATGTCTTTCCATATTTCCGCAGGAACGGCCTTAAGGCCGGTAGGCTCAGAAGCTCCGAGGAGATTCTTAGCAGACGGAGCGAACCAGACTTCTAGAAGCTTTTCAGGTCCTAATGATCATTACGTTAGCAATATGACTCTGGCACAAAAGGGATTTCTGTCAAGGATGACAAACCTTCGAATGCATTTGTCGAGTCAAGATCGACGGTAGCTTCATGATTTATCGTAAGAGACGGCGTCCCGGCAAACGAGGACGGGGAAGTCGTATAGTTCTTGGGGATCCCAATGTACACCATATCCGTCGTTCAGCAGAGATACGTCTGCTTATAAATGGGGATGCGAAAGCGAAGAGCGATTTAGGAGTGTCCGTGATACTTGAGAGAGCAAGCTTGTGGAAGCACTATCTGCCACCCAGACGAACAATGCGGTGTCCGTCTGAGAAGAGAAGGCCCGTTATCCAAACGGAGAGGCTGGCAAATCGGCCAGCTAGGATGATCGTACGATATAAACTCCCCGAAGGGTCGTTATGGAGGTCGAGTGGAAAGAGGAAGGAGGAAAATCTTGGGGCAGGGAATTGTGACTATCGGAAGTGACCCTCGTCCTGAAGATACCGATACCTGTTAGAGTATCGGGTCTAGCAGCCGAGAGTATCTGCTCTGCTGGTAATATGGCGTAGAGATTTGTAGACGTGAAAGTGAGAACTCGTGTTATCTGGGCCTGGGTAGCAAAAATGAAGAGTCAGTCTGGGGTCCACATCCCACTAGATGGCAGAGGCACTGTCATGACAATATTCACGACGCAACATATTAGAGACAGCACAGCCCTGTTGCCAAACAGTCACAGGGTAACAGAACCCCCACAGGAAGAAAATGACAACTGCAATGGCAAGAGCGAGTCGCCCTCTCCCGGAGGCAAAACCCGCGAACGGGAAGAGATTCAGAACCATAAGTAGCCAACAAAAGGAAATATTCACAGTCTGTAACAGCAAAAGAAAAATATAGACAACTTACTTCGAGGGCTTGGAGAGGAAACGCAGAAGGTCCTTCGGGCTCATGGAGGACAAGGTACAATTCTGCTTAAAGAGAGAAGCAGCTAAACGCCACTGGTTAGTACATCAACAGAGAGGACAACGGCGTTGAACCCCTTCGAGGATGCACAAAAAAGACCAGAGACGTGATTATGCGCAATAGAAAATCGCCCGTCCAAAGGAAGAACAAGTAATTGTGCCTCCTTTGAACCCTGAAAAGACGGCGCGGGGTCCAGTTAGGGCAGGTTTGTTGCTCGTGTGTGTGGGTTGACCGAATTCGTGGGGTGCTCCGAAGACGAAATAGTTAATCTCTGCAAAAAATTTCAAAGGGTCAGTGCCTAATGCGCGGGGAGCAGGCAGAAATGATGATCCGCAATTGATCAGGACATTGAGGAGAAATCCACACAAGGACAGAGAAGAGAAATAGTAAAATTCCTTACCGAGATGAGCAGAATATGATGCGTCGGAGAAGACGTTTCCACGAGGGAGAAAGAATTGCAGAGAACCGGCTGGAGCTGGACGCTGAGGGAAACACTCGTGTGACACAAAGAAGGCGGTGAGCGAGGTCAACACCAGTCGGGCACGAATAATGAATGACTACGAATCTATGATGGAGTAACTAAATGCGCGATTCCAAGTATCCATCTATGATTTGCCAATGCATGCTACTAGGGGAGTTATATAAAGAATCCATGAATGCATCGTCCTCTTAATCGCAAGAGGGTATCGTAGGAAATGGTGCCCCAACCTTTTCAAGACTACCATAACAGAACAATGAATAGGTAATGAAAACACAGTCGACATGCTCGTTTCCCTCCGAATAAGCCAACCAGCACCAGAACGCCTAAGGACCGTAACTACTGTGCCTGGAGATTCTTACTGCGCACGAAACACCTCCATTCAGTCTCCGAGGATCGCATGTGCCAGCTGCACCTCCCCTGCGTCCGCAAGTCGCGCGGCAATGAGTCCTCCGACTTTCTCACTGAGGCGATCCCTGAGCTCGTCCGTGACAATAGCACCGTGGCCATTTGCGAGATGGACGCGCCCATCCTCCAGTGTCGATAACACTGCCAGCAATGCCTGCAAGACCTTTTCTGCTTCTGGTTTTCGAGGGTTGTCGTCGCTGAGCCCGTCTCTCAGTAGCTGTTCGTAGAGTTTCAGATTAGGCAAGATGAGCTCGCGCACAACGTCTGGACCTCCAATGGCATGCAGTCCGATAATCGCGCCGTAGTGAGTTCCAAACGGTTTGGCCGGATCCAGAAAGTTTTTAAGGCATGACCGTGCCAGTCTAGGCTTGAGCGTATGTGATGAATGCGAATATTTCCTGGCAATAAGTCCCAGAAGAGAGGCTGCCAGATCTCGTAAAGCGAATTGCTCCGCTAGGTCAGCATTGCCTCCAAGCTGTCTTCCGATAAGACATGTCAAGACAGGGGGGACGAGAGATGCGACCTGTGATCCGTCAGCTAGATGCAGGTAAAACATCGTACTTTGAAACTTACATAAGGGTCCACATATAAAGACTTGTTCTGAATCAGAGCTTCCGCCATGTGCATCACCTGCGTCAAGGCAAAAATGTCTTTCAAGCTATGCGTAACCTTCTCTGAGATGAACTGAACAAAGTACGGCACCAGCTGGTGCAGACCAGGATCCTCTCGCAAACTCGAATAGCCAGAGGTTCTATATTCTTCGCTGGACTCGTCCAAGAAGGCATTGCACACCTTCTCGAAGTAAAGCTGCAATTCTTTGGAGAGGATATGTTTGACAAGCGGCTTGACGGCGACATTTGCGTTGCCGCTCATAGCAGCCAAGTTCGGGTTCGCGTTCGATCCCTTCGATACGAGCTCGAGATTGCGCGAATCGGCCGATGTAGGGTTCTGAGGGATAGATGGCTGCACGCCTTCGACTGCCAACCAGTGCGCTGAATAGGCTCTATTAGCAAACCGTCCGATCTCAAAAGAGATATATAGACACCTGCATACCTGTAAATGAGATCTCTCTCGGTACTTTTGGCAGCGGCGCATTAATGAGCTTCTCGAAATCCACCTCCTCATCCTCCACGTAAAACAACGGCTGTCCAGGTCCCAGGGAAGCTTCCCCAAATCGCAGCGGTCGCGACGACTCGTATCCATATAGAGGCTCGACGTCTAGGACCCGTAATGCAAGCGCTATATCCTGCGTCGTGAGCAGTGTGCGTTTACTGTGTCGCATGAATTTGAGAGCCTCCTCGAGCACTTGAGCAATGCGGTATTCGACGTCGCGCGCGAGGTTCTCGATCACATCGTTGTTCAGGTTCGCGATGCCAACGGACTCCGCAACGTCACGGATATTATCTGGATTCCAGACAGACATGATGAACAGTAGTTTCTGGGGAGGTCTGAAATAACGAACAAGGTTCGATAAGTGGCGGCGGCCACCGCGTCGGGTTAAGTACTGATGCTATTAGGTATCCGAAAGACTAGTATGAAATTGACGGACAGCGAGTCGCATTCTGAGACAAAATCTCGAGATTCCCGGCAGCAGTCTGATAAGAAATTGCAGGCTGCTGGGAGCCACTTGAAGAACCAAAGGCACTTGAATCAAAGTCCTGTCACTGCTACTCCGCTGTTGAAGCTATTCCGCGGCGAAAGAAAGTTGCACTTGTGGGTGACCCAACCGACCGTAGAAGATTCTGGAGGCCTGAGGCACAAAGGAATCAACAGTACTCAGTAGTAACATCCTACGCCATTTTAAACATATACATGCGAAATTAATTGTAAACGTCCCATAATATGTTGTGGTAACATATTAGTATTCGTTCATGGTCTAGTATCATCTTTATTCTCACACTCATATCTGGTCCTGGTTAGACGCAAAGCTAGGCGCCGAATAGCTAGCTATATATTTATGTTGATACAGTGTGTATCTCCTTCCAAGCGAGTCATCCGTGATGGCGACTTGGTCATGAATGAAGACTCCAATCGGGATTGCCTTTATTCTTCACACTGGTCGGTAGTATGATAATGATTGGCGAAGCTAAGACACGAAATGCATTGGGCTGTTCTATATACAAGCCCCGTAACCATGCAAGCTGTATATAGTTGTTATTGGCCACCTCGAATCGTAGTGTAGGTAGCTATCAGGCTATTCACAATCTTCTCCGCCTCTTCTTCACCCGATGGCTTCTCTGGAGGAATGGTATCTGCCATTGGAGCCGCTTCTTCAAACGGGACCTCTAAGGTGACGGTCTCAGTCATTGGGGTCGCCTTAGTATCGATGCGAAGTGTTCTTGTGAGAGGTATGGCACAAGATTCACTCTCAAGATACTCCCTTTCCAAGCGAGCATTATCCAAGTGGGCAAGAGTGCTTCCTGTCGAACGAGAAGTATAATCCGGTCTTTCTAGTAACCGTGTCCTTTTTGACACAATGCGGACTTTCCTTTCTTCGACCCGGGGCGTGTCGAGAAGAACTTCTGCTGGTCCTCGGAAATCAATATGTAGAATCTCTTCCTGAAAAGTCCCAGAAGCCTGTGTGCCGGACAAGAAGGCATCACGTTCGCTTTGTGTAAGACTGGACCATTGGCCCCAGGGATCTGAGCCATCATCTCTTTGCCACTGCGTGAGCTGACTCTGAATTAATGATTGCTCTAAAGGGACGATGGTTGCGGTGTGGTAGATCTCGAGGCTTTTCCCAACCACTGTTGCATGCGGTTGGATTTCCCACGCTGATAACTCCTCGACCATAGAAGCTGGGTTGTTGTCGTATATATACCGAGGCGATGGCGGTGGACTCCTGGTATTGTTAGCGATATATTATGCGGAAGGTAGCTACCTGCCTAACCTTTCATGACTGTCATCATCGTCTCCTCGACATCCTTGGTGTATCGGAGCCGTAGTTACTCCAAAAGACGGGTGTGTATATTCAGGTGGTGGGCCTCGGGTGTCTTCCTCATTGTCTGGGTTGCCAGTGAGAAAACCAATATCAGGATCTCCTTTCCCGCCGCGACCAGCCTTCGCTTTCTCTGCAGCCACAATCGATCTGATCAGGGAGATTTGCTCATCAGGATTGATAACAATAATCTTTGAATTCTGCGTAGAATTCAAATTACCACTGAAGACGTGTTAGTATGCCGCACGTTGCCAGCCAGATAATGCTCTAGGGCAGCAACAACTTACCTTTGCGTCACGGCTCTAGAGTAGGCCAGCATTGTAACCTGCAGAAGCATCATCAACGACTGTTTAGCCTCTCCCAAATCCCCACGGATTTCCTTTATCCGCGGCTGGAAGAACGGCCACTTGAGCCGTTCCGTCGTGGAAAGCTTGATCTTCTCCCCCTCATTGAACCCACGAGAGCTGATCTGTTTACTCGCTTTCCTCAACTCATGATCAACATCCATAAAGAGATCTTTACACCGATTCCCCAGGGCCTCCGCGGTTTTAAGCCCACTTTCACTGAAGAGGCTATTCCCGGAGTCCCTCTCGCTAGAATATTCTTGTCCCGAACCCTCGCCCTTTGCTGGGGGTACTTTCTGCTTCATCAGTTCCCCCAATTGCTGCAAGATATTGGCCGTCAGGGAAATATCTTCCGCGATGTTGCTGATGGAGGAGGGCGCAGTCTTCACTTGGCCTGCAAATGCGATGAGTCGCAGCGATGTTTGGATCCCCACATCAGCGATGCCGACTACAGAGGACGCGGCACCGAGGGCCTCCATCGCGATGTCAACTCTTTGGAGCTAGTTCCACGATTGAAGTATCAATCTAGATCCAATAGGATTGTGAAAGTGGAAAAGTGGAATTTGGACGAAATTCAGGTATAGAAGAAAAAAGGTGATGTGCTCTTCAGCTATGACGATGTCATTCATGCCTACACTGGCGGGGCATCGGGACGATCCTCGATCGTCAAGCCTTAAAAGTGGGCGGGCGATCTCGTTCTCGCAGCTTTGGCAGCCTTATGCCTCAATTTCTGATCTGAGCTCCCGAAACGAACACTGTGGCGGCGCTTAGACATCGGCCTACCGTCGCATCATCGAACTCTAGTTAACCGTGTTGGTAGTATGCACTCGAAAGCACGGCCCATGTGGTGAGAATAGAAACTCAGAAAGATCTACTATTGTAATTGATCAGCTGAGTTAATACATGCTTCGCGACGATGCAAAGGGATTGATATGGCAGCGTACTTAGCTTGGTGGTCTTCTCAAAAGCCAAAACCGACCGAAGAGTGAAGTCGCGTGTATATTACACTCGGTGAGGTGAATGCCCATAATTTCACAGAAAACGATATTATGTATTCTATTAAGCTCTTAAGTGGCATAATAAGTGATAAGGGGAGGTATCAAAAAGAGCAGAAAACGACAACGCTTATTCAATCCCGCTATCCTCCTGGGTATCAAACGAACCGGCGTCCTTGACACAAACGCATGTAGTTGTGCTATAAGCCGGACATGAAACCAGACCAAATCCAGCCACAAATATCACCATAATCCATAGTATAATCCTGCCTTCTGTCAGAATACATGTCAAAGCCACACGAGACATAGGAGAGCACGCCGAACTTCAATAAGAGACAAGGGTATCTTATCAGCTAGGAAAGCTGCAGCATTTATTCGGCCCCAGCGGGAGCCAGCGCAGCTGCCCCGGCGGCGGACTCAGCCTTAGCTGGTTCTTCCTTTGCCTCTTCCGCCTGCTGCTCTTTAACTGGTTCAGCCTTTGCAGGTTCTTCCTTAGCCGGTTCTTCCTTAGCCGGTTCTTCCTTAGCCGGTTCTTCCTTAGCCGGTTCTTCCTTAGCCGGTTCTTCCTTAGCCGGTTCTTCCTTAGGCGGTTCAGCCTTTGTAGGTTCTTCCTTAGCGGGCTCTTCCTTAGCCGGTTCCTCTTTGGCTTCCTCCTTATTAGTTCTCTCCTCGACGGGCTCTTCCTTGGGCTTCTCTTCCTTGACAGGCTCATTAGACGGCTCCTCCTTCGCAGCGTCCTTTGGAGGTTCTTCCTTAGCAGGCTCATCTTTAGTTGCAGCCGGTGCGGGCTGCTCGTCTGAAAGACGAGGAGTCGCGCCGCTCTCTTTCAGTTCAGGTGCCTTTCCACCGTAAGACTTTGGAATCTCATCCGCAAAGGAGAACTCGCGGGCGAGATTCGCTCCATTGGTGATTGGGTGGAACTTCCGCAGTGTGTTCTTGCTGAGGAAGACTTTCATGGCGGTGAACATCCAGCCCATGATGGCAGGAACGTTGACGAAAAACTTTTCCCGGAGAAGCTCAGGGTAGGCCATACTGAACACTTCGATTGTCTGCTTGGAGGCAGCACGAATGGTTGGATTCAAGCGCAGAAAGCTGACATTCTGGTAGTCGTGGACCTGAATCATCTGGTATGGGTCTTCTCCTGTGTAGTCAATCACAGACGTCGCCTCGCCCAGCTTCAGATCCTTGACAGCAATCTCCATGAGAGCCACACGCCACTTGATAAAGCTATTGTATCATAAGAATCAGGAAGGACCATAAGTGGCGACAGAGGTACTTACTCATCGACATCCCCGAATGTTGCGTTGATATCCTTGACGGCACCATAGATGTTCCAGGTGAAAATCACCTCTCCATTTTTGGGGTCTTTGTGAGAGGTGATATATCCCAGACCACCATACTTGCTGGCGTTAAAGCTCGTCTCGACCAGTGCGGTGGGGTTGATCTTCTTGCGCCATTCCAGGGCCTTGGTTAACTGCTGCTCAGCCAAAGCGACATTGCCTTCATTGGCACGAAGGAACTTGATCAAGATGTTGGCCGTTGGGGGATGGCTGGCGTCCTTGAGGGTAACACCCCACATCTCACTGTGGCCGGTTTTAGAGAGAATAGAAGGGAGCTTGTCAAAGAACTGGCTCAGGGCCGGGTTCTTGGCAAGGAACTCTGGCTTCGCTGGCGCAGCTTCAGCAGGCTTTGCCTCTGCTGCATCGTTCTCCTTCGTCACTGCCGGCTCTTCCTTGGGCGCCTCTTTGGATTCCTCCTTTACGGGAGCGGCGGCTGCATCAGCAGTGGCAGGCTCGTTTGTGTTGGCTTCGGCGGGTTTCTCTGCAGGTGCTTCTGAGGGCTTCTCCTCCGGGACAGCAGCAGCGGTGTTCTCTGCGGTCGGTTCAGGGACCTTCTCTGCGGGCTGGCTGTCAGGGACAGCCGTTGGAGTGACCTGCTCGGTAGCAGACATCTTCTGAATCGCTTCGACAAAATAAATCTATTCAGACCTGAATCAGTAAAGGCTCCAAGGCTAGCAAATATGTGTAGCCCTCTTGATGAAGAGGCCTGAAACAAGAACTATGCCGATGGACGTATCACAGGCAACAATAAATTAGAGTGTGAGCGATATCGGTGCTTCCATGGAAACCTCAAACTAGTACAAAGCAAATTAAAATGTCTATTTGAGACTTACACTGCGATACAAGATCTCTGATGCAAAATATCGTGCTCAATGCAGTCGCGGTGCGTGGGCTGTCCAGCGTGGAATGTCTTGGAAACGGGGGGTTGTGTTTCTCAGGAGATTCTCAGGAGAAGAGCCGGCGGAGATAAATAACAGTTTATTAATTACTCCAAGTCCAGATAGTTACTTCGGGCTGTTCAACGAGTAAGCTCAGGAGCTTGGGGCAGCTGCGGCCCGCCCCATCGGGTCACGTGGAAACCGACGTTCCTGCGCTAACGGCCGCCTCGTACAGTCTGGACTGCGAAGATGGGACTCGCCAGCCGTGTCGTTGTTTCATCTTCACCTGGAGCATTCTAGCGAAGATGGTGCTCTAATTGGCCGTAGACTGCCCGCAAGACACGACACTTCACGAAGAATGAAGCATTCTGGTGGCACAAGCGCCGGCTCTGCTTACCCATCAGTGGAAGACAAGCAGGTCTTGTTTCACATCAACGCTCCCTTCAGATTAATTAAGATCATATTTAGCGAACTTCGCATGGTACTGAAATTACATTATGTATGTATGTATGTATGTACTTTTGTTTCAACGTCTTGACGAGAATATGTGCTCAATCTGCCACCTCCTTCACAGGACCTCTATACAGTCTCCTGCCGTATGTCCAATAGCTAATGAAGCTGATCGCCAACACTCCCAAGAATACCACGCTGGTCCAGTTGAAGTTCTCTGTGGTGACAGGGATAGTCGAGGGGAAGAACATGAAGAATGAAGTGAAAACAAGATATACGATCGAAAAGAGATTGACCCAGAGACCAAGTCGCCCTAGGCGCCAGGGCCCGAAATGGATACTATCCCCGCGGAGCCTGCGTATCACAAGGAGGATGATAGGCATCATGTAGGTGAAATACAGTGCAACCGTAGCGAGTCCCACAATGGCAGAGAAGGCTGCTGTATTCCCGATGTTGATAAGGCCCAAGAGAAGCAGCATTCCAGCAGTGACCATAACGGCGGTGACTGGGAGAGCACGTTTTTGGTCAATCTGCAACGAGAATGGAAGTTAGAAGATGATATCGGTGTATACGGGAAAAGGTTTAGCTCACATGTGCGATACGATCAGAAAAAGGCAAGCCATTGTCTCGTGCAAATGCCCATGTGGTGCGCGAAGCCGACGCCATGAGTCCAAGAGTGGAAAACACAGCGCTGGCAACAAGGCCACATACCATTGCCGTTGCTGCTTTCTTGGAGCCGGTAGCTTGGTAAAATATTTCGATAATAGGATACCCTGTTGGCGTTGCTAGAGCTGCCTGAAGATCCCCCATGCTAAACAGCACAGCGATTAAGAAGCCGAAACCCAAGGCGCCGTTGAGCAGGATACTCATCATCAGCGATCGTGGGACGATCACTTCAGCATTTTCGATTTCCTCGCCTGTAAAACGATGAGTCCAAGATCTCAGATGCCGCGAAGGGGACGAACTTACTCATATGTGCAGCCCCATCCCATCCGGTAAAAGGAAAGGCGCTGGTCATCAGACCAACACACCACGCGATACCATTGTTGTTCCAACCCCCGAGACTCTCAAAGTCAGTAAATACAAACTCTGCAGAGTGCTGAGGGGCCAGGTAAACCATGGGAATGAGTAGGAGGAAAAACATGCCGACGTGGAGCAAGAGCATGAGAGTTTCCAGGTGTGGCAGATATTTGATGGCAAAGATATTGACACAAACACTCAATACCACAATTGCAGTGAAAAGCAGAGTCCCATGCCATCGCTCAAAGACGTATGACTCGTCATTCAAGACCAACAGCCCTTGGATAATAGTGCCACCTAGGAAGGCAGGTGATGCAACTGCTGCCATCCAGGCAATGACTGTCACCCATCCTGTTACCCAACTGAGATGTATCGAAGCGCCAGGGGGTGAGAGGAGCGCAACCCAGTGATATTGTCCTCCTGAAGTTGGGGCCCTTCACATTGTTAAATGACTTCCTTTCCTGTGAGTTCGTTTGAGGACTTACATAGACGCTAGCTCTCCTAGAGAGGCTGCAGTTGCTAACGTCCCGAAGAAGCACAGGATATATCCATACACGAGCGACACCGGGCCCCCATTGACCAGACCACCTTGCAATAGACTGCCTTTATCAGTGATGTGCGGTTTAAACAGGAACCAAGGGAATCCTTACGCAGCCAGCGGCTCCCATGTAGCCATTAATGTAGTTGAAAATCCAAGCATCGACATAAAACCGAATTGTCGCTGAAAAGGCAGAAGACCGTCAGTATCTATGCTAATTTCGCAGAAACGATGATCCCAGAGCAACTGTCTTACCTTAAGCTGTGGACGTTTCCCCTGTCGCTGCAGAGCCTGTGAATCCGACAACTGTTGGACTTTTCGAGACATCTCGCTGCAGCTCTCGACACCATCGTCGAACACCGGTGTCGCATGACACTGCTTCTCGACATCATAAACGCCCATTGCCGGTAGTTCCTCTCCTGGAGGAAAGACGTCAAGTCTGTTTCGTACGAAGGGAATGAAGATCAGAACTATTAGGTACAAGAGAGATTTATTCACTGAGAGTTATGCTGCGTTTACTGCTATGCCTGCAGTTGCTGTGACGGAACAGCACACGCCCAAAATAGGATGCTATACATGTGTCACAGAGGAAGTCCAAGGACAATTCTTGTATCTACATGGAATCGATCTCTTAATGTATTACTCACGAGGCACACTGCCTCACGTCGGCAGGCCAGTCGCGTCTCGATCCCTGGCTAGAACAATTGGCCCATGCATAGAGCAAATATCAGCTAGGAGACAGAGTGCCCTTCCGGCATGGCCCTCCGGCGCGGAGAATTCCGCTGGATAGATTATCTAGAAAAGCTGTCACAGTATGGTATGCAAGGGGGGTGGAGGGAGCTTTCTTCCTCCGAGCTCGAGGAAGTGCATTACTTCCACCTAAACCACCGCGTCGCTTCACGGGAGATACTGTTGAGAAAGACAGTGTACGTTAATTATGATAGGAAAGATACTTTATTTTATTATACGGACGTATCATGTTTCCCCGTATATATCTGGCGGCTTTTTCGAATGTTGTCGCTAACAACATCGATGACAGGGATGTATACCTGCGCCCGAAGGTAAGCGGGGAGAAGAAAAAAAAGACTAGCAATATAGATTGAATTAGTCGCCTATGCCTTTCCCACAGAAAATAATCGAACTGCCGATGAAGAGCTCGATGCTTCAAGCATGTGGTTATCCATGGAGATACCCCTCGTGGCATATGTCGCTCTTACCCTCGCGAACCATGAACGACAACCGCGTGGTTGACACCAGACATACTCTAGAATCGCACATTGTTCGCTCGCGACTAGAGCTGGGAATTTGCCTTATCTCCGAAAGGGGCTATTCGGTTGTCGCGTGGCCGTTAGGGAGCTTCATTGAGCTGAAATAGAGTATGCAGCTTGTCGCTAGTCGATATGCAGAGCAAGGGGCTGTAGCTCCCTACTTGACCGAAACACCCAGCACACAAAGTACAGCAACACCACTTTATAGTCATTCACAAGGTGCAATTTTCAAAACCAATCTCTCTGGTTATGGTTCTGCTGATTTGGTGGTCATCTGGGCTAGTTGTCAATCTCGGGAGACTAACCAGAGTAGATTTCCTTGGGAGTTAGCGGAATAGGTATTCTCATCATGTCTTTTCGAAACACTCTGGGAATGCTACTATACATAGATCTATTCACATCCACTGCTTTGAATCTATGTATTAGATATCTCGTATTTCTGCAGGATTGGCCACAATCACAAGACCACTGCTCCTAGAGTAGTTCTGGGGATCCAGAGAGTCCCAGCTCCAGGACCCTCCTGTAACTACAGCGGACCCCATACCTTGCATGGGTTGAAAGGACTCGAGCTAATTTAAACAATGCATTCACCGGACATCAATCCTTTTCAAGATTTCAACTGCCGGAGTTTATTCCTAACTTGGTCCAGACGCTATGTCGGGGATAAGCGACAGGAATCTTGTCGAGCTCGAAGTTGGTGAAGATCACACGGAGCATAGTGCATTCCAAGTTGTTTGAGCCAGAAGCTGTTCCTCTCTCTCCCTGCAGAAGCATTGTTGCCGCAGATTCTGCCCATGACAGAGACAATAGGCGATCGATATCGTGTTGCTACTGATTGTTCGCTGAATACCTTCAGCCTCACAGAGACAAAGAGGCTTAGATGTTGCCACTGGATCAACTTGTTTAGGTTCTATATGTATCTTAGTTACTAGTAAGGCAATCAGCGCCATGCATTGCGGATAATGCGATGTGGCTTGCCGATCTAAGACATGGGGAAATTGGCTCTTTCCTGGGCTTGCACATACATCATCTATCAGAGGATAATCGTTCTTATCTAGCATTATTGCAGGATCTTAGCCTCATATCCAGGATCGACATCTTCATATGAAAACCGCCCATGACCCCCCTCTCCCGCCTCCCATGAAGAAAGATATGAAAGGTTTCGCAACTTTCGAACGCGACTAGGAGCTACCACTTCCTCATATTGAGTTATACATATTTATTATCTGTCCTACAGCGCCAATGCATGAAAGAAACTTACATGTGGCACCATGGGGTTACATTCAAAACAACTGATATACATGCTCTCACCCCCGCATGGGAAGATCACTCCTCAAGACCATGGAGGCTACATTGTGATCATGACTTGGATTATGATGTCCCTCATGAGCTTAACAGTTCTGGCTAGATTACTGACGCGCATTATCCCTGTTACAATATATGGATGGGACGATGTAGCAATTGGTCTTGGGATGGTATGTTTTTCTTTTGTTAAGTGGATATTCGAGACGATACACTGACTCCCAGACGAAGGTTGTTGCCATAATTCAGTCCGTCGTTGTCCATTGGGCAGTGAACAATGGCATGGGACGCCATTATAGTGCGTTAAACTCTCATGAATTCACACTGTACAGCAAGGCAGGCAACTGAGGAACTTGTATGTGAGGGAAAGAGTCGGGCTAACCCGTCGAATAGTACAATTACGCCGCTCAAATATTATTTACCATAGCGCTCTGCTTCGCAAAACTTTCCGTTTTGCTTTTTATCTCGAGACTCACCCCTTCAATAGAAATGAAGCGGGTATCTCGTGTCGCAGCGGGAATTGTGACAGCATGGGGCATGTCGTTCGCTACTGCACTCGCATTGCAGTGTAAAGGACCCGCACATTGGGATTTCTCGCAGGAGGAGAACTGCGTGGATAGAGTTGGTCGTCAACTATTCCTCCATGATTCTATGTGTTCTAATATGTGGATATTAGTCCAGTCTCTACTGTCTTTTCGGGACACTCGATATTATCACAGAGGTCGCTATCATGAGTCTACCAGCGTTCATTGTCTGGAACGTACAAATTACGAGACGGCAGCGATGGACGGTTATAGGTGTATTCTGTTCTCGTTTGTTGTGAGTTCTTCTAGTTTGAACTCCTCAACTGGGTCCATCTAATATAGCCTATAGTGTCTGCGTTTCTACGGCCTTTACGTTGAGTACTCTACGCCCTTATCGTGAGGCTGGAGATCAGACTTGGAATGAGGTAACTCCTCAGATATGGATACAGTATGTATGCCTCAGAGTCAAAGGGCCTGTAACTTAGGGACTAACATACCATGGTTTAGAACTACACAGGCATTATCTCTAACGACAGCTTGCATCCCTTGTCTTCGTCCTTTTCTCGCCTCGCTTGAGTCCGGCTTCATTGACTCCACGATGCGCTCCCACATCAATAAGACCTATGGAAGCAGCTCTGGAAGCGCTGCTAAAGGTTCAGCTTCTGGTGGCAGCCGTAGTGATGGCAGCAACCCCACATCTGAAGAAGGAATCGAGCTCAAAGCCATTGGGCGAAGAACGGAGACGTCTAGAGTGGCAATCCTAACGCCGGATAACAATCTCTTTACGTCTCGTATGGCGTCGACGAGTATTCAAACAGACGCAAGGAAAGCTAAGGCCGCATTATCTGGCCTTCAGAAACGAACAGAATCAAATTTCGACGACGGTCTCCCGTTCAGAGTTGGCGACAGAACAATTAGGAAGATTTCCAATCATCGGTACCAAATTCCACCTCGACCACTTGGTAGTTCTGGTGGTGAATCCACACGCCCCCTGAACGACTCTACGGAGATGGTGCTTTTTACGGACGATGAATCGAGTACAGAAGCAGATCATCGAGGAAGGCAACCTTTTGAGTCTAATAGGGGAAACAATATTAGGAGAGCCAGAGACAGTCTCGACTCATACAGAGGGGGGAAACTATCTTATACTTGAGCAGAAATAAGATTCATACAGCGTTCTTTGTTTATCTCGTTTGATGATTCCCCATGTGCTACGTCTCAAATTCCCATCTCGAGCGTCTGAAACTACTTTTTACTGTACATAGCGCATTACTGCTACATACTGGTGCGGTCCAGCATACGAAGGCGTGTTCATGCATGGTATCCTAAGACTTTTAATTCAAAGCGTATATAGATGGACATCCCGAATTTTGGTATATCCCTAACTCTGGTTATAGAGGACATCGACTTATGAGTACCGATCTAGAATTATACTACAACTTTATCCACAAGTACTTGGCAGTACCAAGGAAATGTTGAACGAGCATCTATGATTTCTCCAGTGCGGACACCTGGCCCCTCAGCTAACGACTTTTTATCCCTTGCTTAAAGCATGCCTCCCGTCCCGCTTAGCCTTACGCCCCCTCCCCTAACTGTCACCTTCGCTCGCGATAGTCTAACGCTACTCTCCTAGCCAACCGCCATATGCGAAGCAAGGGCGATCATTATTGTCTATAAGCGAGGTATGACAGAACCACAGATAAGAGCATGAAGCGGCGATAAGCGTGTCTGAGCTCAGAGATCTTATTAGTTCCCCTCTGGCATGCCGAGCCTGTTACAGCCTTAATTAGGAATTCTTAGCAAAATTACTTATAGAATTGCTTTTCTAGATTAGAGAAATGCAATCAGACGACTAGGATTCAATATACCTCTGTATTTCCGTCAATGTCCATAGAGTATAACTAGCGGGTAAGGTGGCTAAGTATTTTTAGTCTAATACGGAAGCTATTTGGCCTAAATTCTAACAGGAACAGCATAATGATTAAGTGCATCTATATACGGGTCTTTATCCGCCATGTCGATATGTTATAGATTGATACACTAACTATCTAGTATGGATCTCGCAAGGATACTATATGCTGTTCTTTTCGAGCTTTGGCTCAGCCATTAGACAGTAACCTGGTATTGCTTGACAGATTCAACCGCCCTACTTCCTTATCAGTCCACCAGGGAATTCAATTATTTACAACTAGATCTGGCTGGATCCAGTAAATTCCAAAAAGACGTGTCGCGCATCTTAGCTATCGAAATATTTTTATTTAGATCATCCTTATGATTTTCAGCTTAAGAAGTTGCCGCCACACATGCCTTTACAGCTTCATTGGCGGTTGAGGCTTCCCTAGGCACGTTATATTCTCGACAGTGAGACGAACGGTGAAGGTACCAGCTGCCATCCAAAGGCACAACAACCAGAGGTCCAGCTTTACAGTTGCCGCTGCCGGCCCTTTACACTAGGTATTTCTTATTATAAAACCTAAAAGCTTAGGAAGGAACTTAGGGCCAAGAGGGAGTATTATCAATAGATGATTGCGGCACTTTGAGAATAATAAACAAGAACTAGATGCAAGATCTATGTTAAGAAGGAATACCGGGCGCTCTAGGACTCTTTTATACATATACATGACTAACTATAGTCTACTAGGATTATATGTCATATTACCTAGTGCAAAACGAGATGGAAGATGAAAAAGAAGTAAGTATATAAAAAAAACTGCAAAAAACATACAACAGCCGGGATTCGCTGGTGGTCACCCACCCAACTACTAACCGGCCGGCGTGTGGCTTAAGTACGGCTGAGCGGACGGGAAGCCCTGTTTTCCACACCCTATGGTCGTATGTGCTAGATATTGCTCTTAGGGATGTTATATAGTTACACTATTTCACTGTTCAAACCAAGTACCGAAGGTCCCGGGAGCTGGATAGCCCCTGAGTGAGACTGTTAAAAGGTATTCGGATTAGATATGTCAAGTCCAATATACTGGATATCTGAAAAAAAATGATCCGTGGTTCCTGAGAGGATTTAGTATGACAAGAAGCCATTTGCTTGAAGACCAAATAGGTCAACTCACAGCTCGCTCTATTGCGTTGCAGATTGCTTCTGTCGAATTTCGCCACATATAGCCGTTGACAATATCATCGAGGGGACAGCCGACGAATTGGACCAAAGTCCTAGTGGTAGTCTGGAGATTTCTAGTGAAGTTGCGGCTCATGGTGGAAATTGAGTACCTTTCCCGGAAATATGAAGAATACAATCTGAAAACAATGAAGATATTAAGGATTGTCGATTTAGTGCAGCAGTAAAGTTCATCCTATTTAAATCCTACAACGGCACTCAAAAGACAACCAAATCCAGGAATTCTTCCATTAATGACGCCAGGCTCTAAGGCCAGGGCTGTGTTTCATGCATAGAGCGCTCAATGTTTTAGACAACTTGTGGCCATCCAATCTACCCATTCCGTACAACTGGTAGGGTTGCCTCCAATTGGAACGTGTATATAGTTATCACGCCCGAAACGGAAACTAGTTTACTTAGGGTGTGAAGATCACTTGGCGCCATACCTATCCAGGTGCTCTCGAATCCTGGTGAGCACATCTTTTGTATGATTATTATTATCATTATTAGCTATTTCCTTTACCTACGCGCTCGACTAGGGAGCTTTTGCGCTCAACTTCACGATGCAGCAAGCCGCACGAAAGGCTTGGAGTATTTGTATCCCTGACGTTCGCAGAAGCTTGACTACATGTCTATCCTCTACTTCAATCTTTAAACAAGTTTCCCTACCCTTAAGTCCGAGGAGCATATTCGTGCAGTATCGAACAGTCATGTCGCCATCGCAGTGGACATGCACACCAAGAGTGTTTCCCACCTCGGGATTCGAGCTACTTGACCAGTCCATTGAGCTTGATGAGGAAACACTGCCGACGTACCAGCCTGAGAAATACTACCCAGTCAACCAGGGTGAGATACTCAATGATCGGTATCAAACGCTTGCCAAAATAGGGTACGGAGTAACCTCAACGGTTTGGCTTGCGAAAGACTTGATGTAGGTGCAAGATTTGTCTCAAGCTAAGTATCTGGACGAGGCGGTTCTAATAGCATGATAAAAATTAGCGCATCAACATATGTTGTTTTGAAAGTCTACGTAACCGGTCAAAACAGGGATCACGAGCGAGAGCTTCACATCTACAAGCACATGAATCTGAAGGAAACAAAGCATCCCGGCAGAAACTTCATTCGCAAACTCCTGGACCATTTTTACATCCAGGGCCCTCATGGCCGTCATATCTGCCTTGTTCACGAGCCTCTCGGAATGAGTGCAGATCTTCTGGTGAAGATGTCTCCTGGACAGGCAATGACGCTTGATCAAATGAAGCCAGGTATCCGACAGCTGCTTATCGCTCTAGATTTCCTGCATTCGGAGTGTCACATTATCCATACCGGTAATATACCCAACCCCCCCGAAGAGCTTGTAATATAGGCCTAACTCTGTCGCAGATCTTCAGCTGAAGAATTTACTACTGCCGGGACCGGAGACAAGCTATCTTTCTCGATTTGAAGAAGCTGAAGTCACGGACCCATCGCCTAGAAAAGTTCTCAGAGACCGAACAATCTACAAGACTTTGAGTTTCCTTCCAAGAGGTGGGCTGCCACTTCTTACTGATTTTGGGGAAGCTCGATTGGGCGACAAAGAACACAATGACGATATCATGCCGAACATTTACAGAGCTCCTGAAGTGATTTTGAGATCGAGTTGGGGTTTCAAAGTGGATATCTGGAACGTTGCCATGGTAGTGAGTTTAAACTTATTTTGACTTTGGCTTGACAAAAATGAAAAAAGCTAATATTTTGTCATATGTAGGCCTGGGATATCGTTAGCCCTCGCCCCCTTATCAATGGCAAAAACTCAGATGGTATATTTGATGACCGCGTCCACATGGCAGAACTAGTTGCCCTTCTAGGCCCTCCACCACCCGAATTTCGGGAACAGAGACACCTCAGTTCGGCCTTCTGGGATGAGTCGGGCAACTGGAAGGGAGTAGCCCCGATTCCAGACACTACTCTCGAGAGCCTGGCCGAGAAGACTGAAGGGGAAGACAAGGAAGGGTTCTTGCGGTGGCTCCGGATGGCCTTGCAGTGGAACCCCGAGGACCGGTCGACGTCTTTGGAGTTATTATATGATGAGTGGCTGATGAAGGGGCTAGGAGAATGAGGTAGGACATAGAAATAGTACGGCCAAATGGAAGCAAGGGCAGGTTCTTAGGAAACGTCCTTACTCAGAACCTCATCAATGTGGGTATTATTTCCTGAGGCGAGCGAGTTGATCGGAGCAGAGTTGGTGGGATAGAATTATGTGATCAGCAGGGTTGGTTTTACAAAGTTTGGGCATCCACCATCAAGCAAATGGTGTTAACAGGTAGGCTTCATATTATTAGTGGTTCAGCCTCTTAACTACCTAAGTCTCCTGAATTAAGCAATTATTCCCAGTAGCTCCAAGATATTATCTACGACGCAGTTGACTAGCGACAGGCTATCAGACAATCATATCGGTTACCTGTGTACAAAAGAGCTAAGGGCGAAAATCCGATGCAAGATACCTAGTGCTCGATTTATCCACGCTAGAAGTGTTCCAAGTCGGTACATGATCAAAAACATGATAAAGAGATGAGGGGCATGCAAGACATTAACGGCCTCCCCCCGGTACCAAAAGGACTAGATCAGTCAAAGTCCTCTTGTACCGGAGTGCGAGAACCATCAGTGGTAGCAGGGGGAGGTAACTCGATAAAGGTGAACTCCAAGACGCTCAAGAAAGAACCAGGGGGACAATGTTTGCGCTCGAATCGGAATCGCTTATCGGCCATTCGCACCATATTGATGTATTCAACCATGGAACGCGCTCTTCCCATATGGAGAGCATGCATGCGTATATCCGTTATCCGTCCCTCCATTTCGATGGCCTCGCAGTCCCAATCCACATCATCCATGAGCATCTCGTTGATAAAAAGCTTGGCTCCATGATTCATTGCCTTTCCCACGCCACGTATGATGTCCCTCGCAAAATCGTCAGACCACGACTGCATGATCCAGCGGTAAAAGTAAGCATCGGCAGTCACTCGTTGGCTCTTGAAAAGATCATTATGCTCGAAAGTAATACGTGTTCTGTATCGCTTGGGCAGCGACTTTCGACCAAGAGCGACAGCTTCAGGAAGATCTTGTACGACAAACTTGAGATGATGAAACCTATCCGCAAGAGCCATTGAGATGTGGCCAGGACATCCTCCGCACTGCGGTGAATTAGTCGACCAGTACTATGTATGCCGCAGACAAAGGATACCTACTTACGTCAACAACAGTATTAACCAGTCTCCAGTCAAAACAAGATATCACATGCTCCATCGAATATTGTTCGAGCTTGGCAGTGGCAGCCATAAGACTTTGATATTCTTTGGCGTCTTCAGGAACGCGCTCGATGCGTTGCCAATATGTCTCCAGTGCCTCACCACGTTCTTTATGGGAAATGCTCCAAGCAGAACAATAGGGATTACGACCAGTGGGATCCATCTTGAATGACTCGCTGATCTCCGCAGCAGTTACCAAAGCTTCTTTGAATCCCCAATGCAAAGCGTGAGCGGTATTGCGGTCTTTCATAAAGATGGCAGAAGTGACATTGTGACTGACGAAACCGGGTCTAGGCTCAAATAGAAAACCAGCAGCAGCAGCCAGACGAACATAGCGAGCTAAGAGATCCTTATCAATATTGACAATTCTGGCGAGGTTTTCGTATGAAATGTCATGGTTCAGAAAGATCTCATAAGGCACGCCAAGATCCATCAAGGCTTTGATAGCACCGATTTCGTAACACTGCAAATCTGTCAGTGAGAGGTCAACTATTCCTTCTCTGTGATCCAGGACATACCTTATCATGAAGCATGCGAAGGAAGATAACAGGGGGTGTGGCCAACCGCTGAATCCGAACGGCAGCAGCGGAGATTCTCTGAATGGCCTCATAACACTCTGGGCTGACTTTAGGGAAAGCAAAGGGGGCATCTTCACTCCAAGAAAAGTCGGGGATGTTTTTTTCTTCAAATTCTTTGATTACGATATCTGCATCCTCTGAAATCACCTCAGCCAAATCCTTGATACCAGACATGGTTGGACTGATCCGCCGCTCGAGGCGTGGTGAAATTGATAAAACAGTCAAAGACTAGAAGAACAGTTCCTGAGTCATCACCCTGTACATGTGTGGGTTGACGCTCAAAGGATGAGGATAAAAGGTAGAGACGCGGAACATATCACGGTCCTTCGTGAAGAGGCGGCAGTAACAGTGTCTCTTTATGGCAGAATTGCTACCACTGAGCAGGTAAAGATAAAGAGGCCCTCCGCGGTGAATCGAGCTGCGAGAGCCAAGGGTGTGTTGCAGCCGCACATCTCCTGGACTAACCCAGGAAGCGAGCCTCGCGTTAGGTTCGTTGGCCATACCATCGATTGCTTCTCTTGTCAACGGAGTTTGGCGTCACGATAGATGTGCTGAAAGCTGACTTGAAGGAAGCTTTCGAATAGTCGACACGGAGACCCAGAGACAACGAACAGTGGGAGGGGAGAAGCCTCCGTCTACTGCGGAGGCCGCCCAGGAAATTCATCACTCGAGCCATTTGTAAATACGTCGACTCGGAGTACTCTTTCTCGTCCTAGCAGGTATCTATCCACAGGAGTTTAGGCGAAGAGCGCAGGAAGGATATCAGTAGTGTTTTATCAGTAATCAGAGCTTCCTACTAACGTAGGAACTTAAACAGCTTTGGAGAGACAACAAAACATAAAATATAATGAGCATAGGAACAACATCACAAAAAGTAACCAAATAAGCAGGAAGACAGAGCAGAGCCTTTATCTATCTACATCACAAGATGTAAGTTAATTCAACTATATACCGGAGTTACAGTATCTCCGTAGTCCAAACAAGCATGCATGGCTAACTTAGCGCCAATTTTAATTCCGTCTAGTCTTTCCCCAGTATGTTTTCCGTCTGATGTCCAGGATGTGTGAAAGTAGGCACTCTTCCTCCCCCCTTGCTGCGCTAATCATAACGGCATAACGCCAAATACCAAATCAGGTAGTCTTGAGCAATAATCTGTCCCACCAGTTATGCATATCCTTGCTGTTTAAAAAGCAATATGGTGGCTATAGGCATGCCTGGGAAGTTTCACCACATTTTGATAGCCTGCTAGTATGTGGAGATTAAAAGCTGGGGTTCTAGATTTCGGGTCCTTTTGAATCTAAAATAGCCAAGGGCCGCTGATATTTTTCTTTTTCTTTTTCTTTTTCCCTTTTGAGGTGCTTCATTATTACTATTTGGATGACTGCATATGGTAGAATTACTGGACTGTCTTTTTTGAAGGGAGCAGCAACTCACAGGTCAGTGTGAACAATCGCATTCGAGTATGGTTGTTATACTAACAGAAAGCCAGGTAGTGTCTCTACATATACCATTTCCAACATATACGATTCATTTGCTTTCCCACCTCTTGATTTCACACATACCATATTTTGTGCTCCACAAGAAGATAGGTAGCTTCCCAGCATCAAACTCGAAAGCGAACATAATGCCATTCCCAACTCACACCTCACGAACCTCCTCTCCCTCTCCATCAATCAAGAAGAGCCCAGCGAATGAATCCAAAGAACAACAAGACAAAGAAGAAAAGGACTCCAGCACCACCGCAATGGACAACAATCCCTCTCCACCCTCAATAACCATCCGCCGCGCAAAGCTCAAAGACTCCCAAACCCTCGGCACCATCTTAGCCGCCGGGTTCATCGACGACGACGTCTTTGGCGAATATCTCTTCCCCCACCGCCGCGAATATCCCGACGACTACCGTCTACAATTCGCACGGATGATGCGCTCGCACATGTATAAACGCGGCCATCGCGTCCGCGTTGCCGTGGACAGTTCAAGCTCTCGTGTGATTGGCGTGGCTAGTTGGGAAAGACAGGGGAGGAAAAAGACGAGTAAATCGACTACTGCTACGAAGGAGAAGAGATCGAATAATGATCATAATAATAATTCGGTCTGTTTGCTTTTCAAGCACGTTGCGATTCGATCCCTCGATGCGATTTCCAGTATTATCCACCCGGATCGTTCCGTGTCTGTTGAGAATAAAAGGAACTTTGACGCTGAGGTACCAAACTATAAACACTATTGGTCCGGTTCGCGCTCTGAGACGTGGTATCTCAGTTTTCTTGCCGTGGATGCCGAATATCGGGGCTGCGGGGCGGGAAGGGCGCTCGTGGAAGAAGGAATCCGATGGGGAGAGACGGATGGAGTCTGTGTCAGTTTGATCTCGACAGAGTGCGGAGATGGGTTCTATCAGAGGTTAGGGTTCGTGGATGTAGGATCTGCGACGCAGGGGGCGCTGAAGGGCCTGAGAGGTGGGAGTATTAAGTTCTATGAGAGACATTTGGAGAAATCTGAAAAGGAGGAGGAGGATGAGGAGAAGCAGTCATGAAAGTGGGACTGGAACATAGCAATTGGATAGATAATTACGTATTTTCACGTATCATTGAGTAGCCTGATCGGGTTCTGGGCCATATAAAAGCAAGTATGCCTTATGGCATGCTATCGTAAAGACCCCACGGATTTAGAAAGACAATCAGAAAAGGCAAAGATGGGGCATATAAAAAAGGCAGAGCACATAGGCAATTGCCTTCACAGTTTCATGATTTCTTTCATTCATCCCTACAACCAACACCGGCAGCAGTGTCACCTCTAAGATTATACATAGAGAAAGAGTGAACAATGCGATATCCTGCAGCCCAAAATCCCCAGCCAAAAGAAAACCCAACCAGCATAAAAACACCCAAACAAGAAAATGCAAACTATTGGGGAATATGAATATAAATGTGGAGTATGAGAGAAAAGAACTTAAGTGACAAGAAGGTATCAAGAGAGGAGCGGAAATAAAATGAGGCGTGACTAACGGCAGAGATCTAGGGGGTCATTGGTGGAAGTGATGGTCGTTCTTCATTTTCCGTTCACAAAGTGCTCAGGAATCTTTGGAACAGCAGGAGGCTGCGCAGGAGTGGAGTTTTCATCTTCGTCATCGTCTTCGACCATTTCATCTAACTCCTCAGGATGGCTGGAAGAGAAACCAGCTGTCAGTAATGGCTTCAAGAAAAAAAAAAGAAAAAGAAAAAGAAAGAAAAATCAAGTATTGCACGATACGCGGACGAGGAATAGATGACTTACGCAAGAAGACCCTTGATATCCTTCATCTCATAGTGCCTCTTCCTCCGTTCCTCAAATTGACGGTGCTTCTCTCTAGCCTCTTCGGTGGTCAGGAGGTGCTCCCCGGTCTCTTCCCCGCCATTTGCATCCTCTGAACCAACAATAACATGCTTTTCGCCCTTGCTGGAATCACCACTGAGACTGCGCTCGCGGAAGATACGCTCATCACCAGTTCTGGAACCGGACGGGAGCTCTTCTTCTGGTTCACCCAGTTCCAAGTCTGGAATGTCCTCCTCCCGCATTCCCGATTTTTTCTTCTGTTCTGCATGCTTGTTGTCGAGTTCATCGACAACGATGTCTTGAGCGTCGATAAGTCTATCCTCTGCTTCTGCCAATTCCATCTCATCCTCATCTTGCGATGGATCGTAATGTGGCGCATAGGGTGTTTTGGGCTCATCGATCTTCATCTTGGCGGTTTTCTCCTGTTCCGCCAGGTAGAGATTGGCCTCATCCCACCTCAAGCGGGGCGAATTCTCGTCGTGGGCGCTGGCGGAAGACTGGCGCCTGGAAGTAGAAGCCCGACGAGCATTGGAAGAAGAGCGTCGGCGTCCAGCATTCTGAAGGGTGTTCTGCATAGTGATCTCTTTGGTATCAACGAGGTCGGGAGATGGCGTAGCGATCACCGCCGCAACAGGCGCTGCGGGAGAGACTTGCGGAATCTGGGTGTTAGAATTTTTCAGGATGCCTAGAGATATACATTAGCATCCTCCCAAAATAGTGTAAAAATGATAGCGTTTGTCAATACCCTTTGGCCTTTTTGGCACACTGTCAGGGCTCTGAGCGGCCATGGCAGCGGGGTGGTGGGACGTAGTCATGACGACTGCAGTCTGGAGTTTTCGAAGGAAGCTTGGGAGTGCTTTATGTTGGCGTAAAGTGTATATCAGCAGGGTGCTGGCACAGCCTGTGGACTTTGGGTAGAATGTAGACCGATATAAGGTATGGTTTTGAGGAGCGACAGATGGTTCTCGAAAGGATCCGCAGCGTCTTTCAGCTGGACAATATTAGATAATAGACGGAGACACAGCCCACCACCTGGTCGGTAAGATGCAGCACGGCAGCTATACGATTCAGGAAGGACAGGAAGCTGTACCCAAGCAGGCGAAGCTGGATAGTTAAAACGTGGAGGACAAGTCGGGGATGTCTTTGGTGTTTGTCCAGTTCCTGAACTTCCGTCGCTGTTTGTTGCTGCGGGCACGTGGGGTCGGGCCGCGATGACGTCGGTCGCTGAAAACGACAAACAGAGAAGAAAAATAAGGAAGAATAACCGAATCTTGATAAATACTTTGATTCAGTACTACGATTGTTATTATTAGAAGACCCGCCAGGCAATGGGCTACGGCAAAAGATGTGGCTTACACCTTTCATTTTAACCTAATTCTCCTACTTCCAGCGCACGCCTCATCCTCCACTCCAGCACTATGTATGCACAACCCTGCAATTCTGCCCTTTTGGTAGAAAAAAGAGAATGCTCCCCCTGGCAACAACAGCAAACGTATGTTTGGCGGCAAGATACAGACCGTACAAGATTCATATGTCGAGGAAATTGCAGTTGAAGGCCTCCGTTAAAAGTCCACGCAGTTGACCGCAGCTGAACTCCGCCGATGTAGACAGCCAAAGAGATGCCCGCACTATGACTCAGGAATCCGCCCACAAGAAGGATCGAGGCAGACGAGAAAATATAAAATAAAAATCAGATGCAATGATAAGAAATGGGATATCAAACGTAAGGGGTAACCAAGTGGCGCGACAGAAACCATCCTTGCAATGGTGACGGAAATAAGAAAGGAAGACAATAAGAGAAAACCGAAGGATGGCCCAGACAAGACGTTAGCACCAAAACAGAAAGCCAAGAGTCGCATGTCCGTGACCATCAAGATCCAGCACGGTTACTGATCCCAGCACTCAAACCCGACAAGTAATGCGCAGGGGTGTAATGAGCAAACGAAAGTCCGCAGTGATAAAACATCGACAGTGGTATAAAACAAGGGTAATGGGAAAGGACAGATTAATCAAGATAATGAGTGAAAAATATAGAGAAGTTTAAGCAATGGAATCAAACTCTTCTCTCTCTCTCAGCCTGTTTCGCGCCAACTCATCGCCACCGTTGGCAGATAGCTGCATCCAGTGCAGCGCTAAACACATACTTTGCGGATCCGACTTGGGATCCTTGTCACGTCGGTACATCATCTCTGCCTTGAATGTGTCGCGAGGCAAGGTTAGAGGGAGAGTAACCCTCGGCAGAAGCTCCGGGTGCGTTAAGTAGAGAATGGCAAGCTCACGTTGAGCAACGGGGTTGCCCTCCTTGGCTGTTATAATCCACATCGCGGCCGCATCTTCGATGGCATGGCCAGGCCTGTGGTATTCGTAACTATGCGGAGGGTGGCGTCGACTAAGCTCTTGAGAAACAATTTTGTCGGCGATCTCCACCATACTGTTACAGACCTCGTCTTTAAGACTGAGGGCTGCTAGTCCGAAATGTAGAAAAGCGGTCCCGCTTTCGGTCTTGTTCAGAATTTCGCTGGGAACAAAAGCAGATACAAACTGCAAGTCCCTAAAAAGCGTCTTTGGTTGGATATCTTGCAATAGCGTCCGCAGGGTATCAACAATCTCGCTCTCCGTCGGACAGAGATGGTCGGATTGTCGGGAGCTAAAAGAAGAGCCAGCGACAGGTGAGCTAGGCGCCTGTGCCAGACTTTCAGGGGAGTAGCGGAGCCTCCAGGGCTGTGAAAAGCTGTAGCGTAGGGAACGGTTCTGCTGTAGATCTGACATTTTCGCCTGCCCAAGAGCGCTGCTCTTAGCATTTAATCGGTCTTCAGCAGAATTACAGAGGGAGGCGATGACAAGTGTTCTTAAGTCGCGAAGAGCCTTCAGCTTGACAAAAGGGTTGGCATGTCGTGAGAAGGACTCTATCAACTGGAAAAAGGCGGTGCGATAAGGGAAGCTCGAGTTCTCAGCTTCGTCTTGACTGACAGAGGACTCCTGAGCAATCGGTGTTGGCGCCACAGGCGTATGTTGTCTGGACATGATAGGGCCCACGGATCTACTCCGCCGACGCCCTACATATCGATCTGCGCCCATTTCAATTTCATCACGGTTTGAAGCAGAATCACATTCGTCCAAGAATTTCCGGATTCTTGCCCGCTTGGCCATCTGCACCTGGATTCGCTTCTGATTCAAACAGTTGGTAAACCACGCATCCGTCTCACTTCCGCAACTCCAGACGGGGGAACCCAGGTCACTGAGGAGAAGACTAGTCAAAGTCTGTCTCAATTCATCGAGAAAAACGCTCTTGCCGTGGATGTTGCGCTCACTTCGACGTGGAGGCGGCACCGTGTCGCTGAACATCGAAGGCGGGCGAGACTGAAAACTGGAAGCACTGGCCGCGGACTGCGCTTGCGTGTGCGGTGCCGACCAGAAGGTGCTGTAAGTATCAGCTGTGGAGCTGGACGCCGTCCTCCCCGGCGAATCCCCGATGGACGAAGTGTCGGTGGCTCCGGCATCTCTGGGCGCTCTCCATTTATCGGAAGCCAGGCTTTGGAATGACGACTTGCGAGCCAAAGAAGGCGCATCATTGTAGGGTCGTGAGAAAGCCTCAGATACGCGACTCAAGCCGAAAGTCTGCGAGGCGTAGAGTGCATCTTCACTAGCTATACTAGACGGCCGAACGCCCGTGGCAGCAGAAATCCCAGGATATCCTCGAACTGAAGATGTCTCATACTTCGCGCGCTCCTTCTGGAATAGCTCACTGGACCACAGGACGGGAGCCTCCGACATAGTATCTCCAATGAGTCTGTTGATGCTCGACTTCACCTCATAGCAGAAGCGATGTATTCTTTCTTCGCCCTTGCAGAAATTGTCAATACCGTGATGCGTCAGCCATTTTCTAGTTAGATCGACTTGTTCATCAGACAGTTTGTTCGGGCCACCTTGGCTGCTTGGTGCCTTCATCACGTTCATAACCTGTACTTCTGGCTTCTGCAAGAAAGACCCCGCCAATGATCTGGCACCGTTTCGACCACGGTGCTCATTTGAAGAGTGTCTCTGCAGACTTGCCGAGTATACCATCGTCTTTAATGCAAGAGCCACATGCTTCGCGTCTTCGTATCTCATCGAATTCTTGACGTCGGTCATGTACCACATCTTGTTGCGGAGTCTGGCCAAATCCTTCGTCATTTCTTTCATTTTTGTCTGCAATTGGTCCAGGGTGCGGTCGAGCATGACAAAGCTGCTTTCGCAGCGCTCGATGATTGAGCAGGACAATTCCAGCGACCGCTTACAAGATGTAACTAGTGGTTGAAGGATCCATGAATCATTGACAGGATGTGGTGAGAATTTCGCGGCTCCACGGCGTAGTTGTCGCGACGCATTCCACCAGTAATGAGCGCCGATGAAGTCAGCCTGCTGCTGACAGAGAGACAGTGCATTGTCAAATCGTTGTTTCAAAGGGCAGGGGATCATCTGTTGAGGGTAGAAATACGAGCCATAGCTCGAGCGATTCAGGGCTTCCTCTTCGTGTACAAGCTTGACTATAGCCGTCTGCAGGGCCTCATAGTTCTCCTCTGATCCTATAGTCGTCGATCTAGCACCGTCATCCGACACATGGTCGTTTTCGGGGTCGTCCTCATGGGACACTACCCAGTTGAGAGACCTGCCATTGTGAGTGACAAGAAGGACTGCCCAGTCCTCTGCCATAGGGTGATCCAAACTGGGACGGTCATCCGATTCAAGTTCGAAGCGGATACGGTCCACATTCTGGCTTAGCGGGCATCGCGGCTGCGATACCAGGCTACATGTCGAATCGCTTGCGAGACTATTCGCCCTTGTTACATCGGGAGAAAATACCGTCCTGGTAGTTGCGGGTTGGGACGACAAAGCATCAATTCTTCCTTGGAAAAGCTGCGACTCAAAAATCCGGCTAGTTCGGCCACTGTGAGACTGAGGCGGACTAAAGGAAAACGAGGACATTCCCGAGGGCGAGGAAGATTCAAAGGACGCGCAGATGGACTTGGGGAAGAGCGCGTTCAGAATAGTGAGGATATCCGCGGCAGAGAGGATCAGGAATGGCGAAGGTAGGCTCGGGGAAGGCTCAAAGCAATTGAAAGCACCGTTCGCCGAGGGGTCGCTATCCAGTTCGGGATGGGCCTTTGGACTGCTGCGATCAAACCAGGAGATCATGCTGTCTACATGCTGTCTGATACTAGGACGAGCCATCGAAAATTGAGGCCTGCAACAAGAGTCAATCTCATTCTCGACGACAAAGGGGGGAAATAGATGAATGGGTGAATGGAGAAGCCATACAACGAATGGAGGACCCTGAAGACCTGAGACTGCGCCCGGAGTCCAATCTGTCCCAAAAGCTTCTCCCGGGCATCCTTGCTGATGTGAAAGTCGAGTAGAAGACCGTGAGTCTGTAAAAAACCGATTAGTAAGTCAGTGTAAAGCAACAAAGAGGGCGGGTTGGCCTACCTCTGGATAGCATAGTGCATTGTGCAAGAACTTGGAAAAGAACCACTGCACAAGCATGTAGTCGAGAAAGCGGTCCCGGGTTTCAGGTACGGTTAACTTTCCAAAGATGGCTCTTCCCATTTCCAAGGTACCGTGCGGGAAACCCCCTTCAGGGTTATCCAGGATTTCGAACAGGGTCTCCACGGCTGATTCAAAGAACTCCTCAGCGGCATCGGTCCGGAAGGGATCTGGCGGCTCAGCATCGAAGCTGAGCCCCAAGGGGCTTTCGACATTCTCCAAAAGGAAGGCACCTTTCTGCAGGACATCCATGAGGTAAAGCTCAAATTTGGGTTTAATCTTCCAGTGGCTGCACAGGCTCCATGAGGACAGGATGTATCCCACGAAAGAATGGTGTTTACTGCCTCCATGGGAGAGAAGTTTGGCGCACGTGGAGGACCAAACATCCAGACGCAAGCGGGACTCGGCAGAATCAGAATTCAGAGAAGGGGCGAATACGTTGAAAAGCAAAGCGGACAGAGCATCTGTCCGCTCAAAGGCCAAAGCATGGTCTTTGTAAGGGAGAGATTGGGTAGTGGTGCGTTTAGAAAACAAGAACTGATTCCTAGTTCGGGATGCAAAGACGGAATCACCGCCCTCGAGTGCCGTGGCCGACGAGACGAGGGCCGAGAGTCGGGAAGGCGTGAGGCTGCTGATCCTTTCGAACAAAAACTGCGGATCCGTACGAACCAAATTCAAAATCTCAAGGAGATCGCTCCTTGATTTGGGACTCAGCTGATGCAAGAAGCTGGGGGAATGGTTGCTTTCCGAATCCAAGGCCAGAGGATTCCCTTCCAACGGGTCCTGTCGATGGAGCAGGCGGCGGGAGGCAGAATTGAAAGACTCCTGGATCTCGTGGATGGTGTTGTAGATGACCATGAAATTGGCTTTGTCGCCATGTTTGAAACCGTCCACTAGTCCTTTCTGGACCGCAGTTCCAACCCGCAGGAGGCGCGCAGACAGACCTATGGAAACCCTGGTAGCTCGTAGTCGCTGTTCCAGGTACCTCCGTAGCACCTCACGGTGCCTGCGCTGGCAGTACAGAACGGCAAACTCCTCGAATGACGCTTTGGGACTTTCCAGAGGGGACGGAGCCCCAGCCGTTGGGGAGACGCTGCGGCCATCTGGGAGCATCCTAGGGGTCTGGCGGGAATCCTCGCCGGACTCACCTTGGCAGCAAGTTGGGGGATCAGAGATCTCGTCCGCACCGGACAGAGTGAGCTTTTCAGAGAAGTTGGCCGCCGTGACTGAGCACGCCGCATCCTCTAGTAGACGCGGCGAGTCACATGGTGAAGGTGACTCGACGGGCGACGGGGGCAGCGCTGGTAGAAGATGTCCAAGTCAGTCATGATGTTTTTGTCTACACGCGACAGAGTAGAAGAAAGAGGACAGGAAAGAAAAAAAAAAGGGGTCGCGCATCGAGTCCGGGCTGGGGAACCGCGGATTTGTATGTCGCGCACGTACGGATCGCATAGGCCAGGACCGGGGGAAGATAGGCATGTTGGGCATCAATCATCTTGCCATGGGCAAGCTCGCGGCATCTGTCTCGAGAGTCGTCTCGAGAACGCACGATGCCCCTGGCGACGGAGAATGACCTATCGCATGATTCTGCTGGCGAGCGTGTGGGCGACAGGCGATGGTCGGTGATGGTGGTGGTGATGGTGGTGTTGGTGGTGATATAGACGTCCGACGGCAGCTCCAGGGCTGGAAACGTGGGGTAGTGGCAGGACCCGGCCGCCGCACGAGTCGCGCGAGAGACAGTCGGGGGATTCAGCTTACTTCTTCTTTTTTTTTTTTGGACGGTTTGATTTTAAGTAAGACAGAGATGCGAAAGAAGGAGAGGGTCACAGGAGACAAGATAGGAAGACGGCGATGATTTGAGACGAAGAGAGAGGCCGGAGATGAATTGGCCTTGGACGACTAACTAGTATGAGGGACGAGACGAGCGACGAGAAACGAGAGACGAGACGAGACCGAGTGACTCGCAGGCCAGCCCATCCACGACTCACTAGAGGCCCCTAAACAACTTAGTCGATTCCCTTCAGGATGACAGGTTGCTCCGTCGTGACTCGAATCGGCCAGCTGCAGGCGGGGAGCGAGTTGTGGCTGGTGCGACACCACGTCGTCGACTCAATCTGACCGCTCTGCTCGACCTTCTGGAATTGTCGCCTCGAACTGATCGCTGCTGATCGGCCACGTCGTTGGACGAGCGAAGGCGACGATTCACCGCATTAGTTGCCTCGCGGTCGAATCATCGCGCCAGGGGGCGGTTGATGTGCTGGCATTGCAGGCCCCACGGCTGGAGAAAGATGACCAAGTCGATGAACGATCCCATCGCCCATGACGCATCCTGAAGGGAGACGCCAGCTGAAATGGCTATCGTCGGAGGTGCACGGAGAGCGATAGTCCTGCGAAGGGGCGAATACGCTTCAGTTGTTCTACGGTATGGTCTCTACAGTCCATCGGAGATGGCAGAGGAGGAGGAAGAGGAGAATCCAACGCCACGGGGGCAATCATCAAAATCACGCCAAACGCATCGTCTACTTATCATAACTAACTAACTACTACCTATCTATCCCCATCTCAACAACAATCATCAGGGGAAACAGTCGCTGATCCCGCCACCACTGCACGTGTCTGCTCTTCTGTACATCATCCTTCCCCCCAGCGATTGCGGCTGGAAGCCTGTCTACTGGATCGTATTCAAGCGAGGGGTTGCTGCAGTGGAGGGCGACCCGTCGCAGGAAGTATTTTATATTCTCAGGTCCTATCAGTCTTACTGCTTTCCCCTCAGCCGTGGCCTCAAACCTGCGCTCAAGGTCCACCGCCCGTCGCGCAAGTGACAACGCAGACGTGCAGCAGACTATCTACGGACCGCGCCTGCTGGTGAACCAGATCGTACCTCGAACCTCTTGCTTCTTCGCTCCCCTCTGATCACGAGAACCCGAACCCGATCGGGGTGCGTCGGATCTGGTTGCGTCTCACCAGGTTCATGGCAACTCCAATCTGCACTCCGGACGGCAGACGCTGAACGTCCCGAACATGCAGCTCACAGCCAGCTTTGCTTCAGATCCAGGGGACGACGGTTGATCCATTGGCATCCCGTTAGCTACAGGAGCTATCCGGACGTCTCAGTCCTGGAACTTGAAGGGAGACTACTTAGGTTACGATGCAATATGCGGTGCATCTCTTTTTCTCTCTTCTCTTCTCTCCAGCTCCAGCTGCCGTTCTAGTGACGCGAAACTGACAGGCAACCAGTGCATGCATTTAATGAACCTCCCAAGTGTGAGGCGACCGTATTCATAACAGCTCTGTGGTTGCTATTTCACGATCGGTGACGTCTCCGTTCCAGTTAGCTAGCTATTGCCGTCGATCCTCTGCCGGCGCCGTTCTTTATCGGGGTATACAGCTGCAGAAATGAGGCTGGCCAAGCTCAGCAGAAGACTGGAAGTATTCGCCGCAACGCTTACATGATTCCAGGTGTCCTTCTTGGTTTTTACGCTGGCTATTGGCGTCCCATTTCGGCGGCAGCAGCAGCATCGCTGCTACCGAGCTCTAATGAACCTATCCCCATCTCCGTTTCTCGAAACGAGAAACATAACGTGTCGGCCTCGCAGCGACCTGCACATATCCCCTATTGCAGCATCCAGACCCTGCACGAAGCTAAAGGCTGCTTCGTAAACATTATGGACCCATGAAGAATTCCAAGACTGCCTATATGCCGGGGTACAGGAGGCCTAGACTTTCAAAACGTTCAGCGGAGCATTTACCCGATTCTGCTCCCCCCTGTCCGTACAATTTCCCAGCAGCTCAGAAAGATTCACCAGTCAGACAGGTAATTGCTTGCAAGGATCTTATATTTATGTCCAGGAGCCATCCATCAGAGGTCCACGTACCTAAAGAGTCATACTCGGATTCCATCTATTATCAGCCTCATCATGAACCACACCACATCTTACCTGTCAAAATTCCAGCTAGCTACATGCTCATGGATTCATCCATCCAGTCAAATCCTCATCCAAAACATCCCATTCTCCATTGGCGGAGTAGCATGACCCGATCGATCGATCCGAACTTGCTCCCCACAAACTGACCTCGCAGCTAACTAGTTTAACTACCACACATCCTATGCATAATTACTCGGAAAATAGGAAAACAAAGAGCCTGCTTGCTGAGACTCCCATTCCATAACATAGATAATGCTTCATGACCACAATAAACATATAATGTAAATATCCAACTATGTCATTACATGGAGACCACTTATCGTGGTTGCAAATGGTGGAGAGATTCAGATATCAATTTCCTCAACCAACTAACTCTAGGTTCGATTTCGATTCAGATTCAGTGTGTATCGGAACGCCACAAAGGTTCAGTTCCGACGGCTGATGATGTTGTATCAAGACGTATTTAGCCCCTGTCATTTCCTGATAGAAACGTTGTGGTAGCAGAGATGATGATGATTATTTCGTGGATTTTTATTTCTATTTTATCTCCAGCTCTGGGAAGATCTACGGAATAGCAACAATAGGATTTAGATGAACCGAGGACTTTTTACATTTCGATATCCTGGAATTCTTCGAACCCTTTCTTCACAAGCTCACGATATAATAGCCATTGAGCTTTTTTCCTGACGTAGTCCACCATCTAACTATCTCGGTTACTATATTTATAATTATCAACAAAATAATCTTGGCAATAATTCAGAGGTAATTATTAAATCTTGAGAATAGACCCGGTTCCTTATATAAAAACATAACCGATCCAGATGAAGAAGAAAGGAGAGAAATTCATAGCCGTAGACAAGAACTTAGGGTAAATAAAATCCCGAAGAATATCAAAGAAAATCGCTCCATGCCCTAGGATCCATAAATTCCCATGTCTATGTTTTTTTTTTTTTTTTTTAGACATAATGGATCCAGACAACCTTTTTTGGCTAAGCCACTGAGACATTTCATTATACAATACTGATATTATATGCTCTTCTTCGTATTTTCAGTCCCTTTTAATCTTCTCCCACCAATAGTCCCCAGAGACACTCAACCTTACCCTCAACTACCTCAAGTCGTTCTAGAAGAATCACTGATAGACTAGGAGGACTAGAAAAAACACCTGCTTCATTATCCTCATCCTCATCCTCATCTCCTTGATTCTTCTATAATGGTTGGAGGCTAGGCTGACAACGACCTCGTAGCATATAAGGGGACTGATTAACAGGTTTCCAAGGCGGAGGCTTATATTCCGGAGAGGATAGCTCCTTATAGACCGATTCCGATATCTCCTGCAGGATATTCAAGTATTATTTAACTTCCTATATATCTAGTTAATCGGCGGTATTATATCAGGATTGAGATAGAGGATTAGCGAGCATAGTATTAAGGGTAAAGGCAAGGATCTAAGTAATTGTTGTTCGGTAGAGTCAATGCTTATTATTGTTAGTAATATTACAATTAGGGATAAGTAGATAGTATTATACAACTAATAGGTCTTCTATAATATAAAGATAAATAAAAGCTTCCCTAATATAAATATAGCCGTATCGGATCCCGATATTTAATATATAAGAAAACAATTGAGTGATTATTACCGCTACTAGCCGGGTAGCATAATATTTAAAGCTATTGCCATCCATTTTTATAACATTATCTTCTAAGTCTATCTTATAAAGGCCGGTATATATCTCAGCAAGCGATAGATTATAGAGAATTTAATATTTAACTATATGTATCGGGACTCGTTGCTCGTTCAAAATAGCATAGATACAAAACTGGTCTGTATATTGGTTATATTATCTCCGATACGTCGGTAATTGTATATTTAGTACTCTTCCCCAGGTAGAAGATTAATATAGCGCACAATCCGCGATCTGAAGCTGAATATTCAACTAAAAAGGTTATATCACCTATATTATTATAGCCCTCGAAAGTGACATTTTTATAGAGCTTAAAACATCAACAAAATCTATTATTATTACACACCTTATTCAGATTCAATCGCACAAACCTATCCACAATATCGCTTTCGAAGTCTTAAAGTTAAATTTCAGATCTTATTAATTAAATATCATTTCAAATAAACTCTAATTAAATACTTAGATATAAAAGCGCAACATAAAAAAAAATCTAGATCTTCATAAAATGCTTCTTCCCAGATTAACCTCCTAACGAGCTAGAAATTCTTCCTAGGATTCTATACTCTCCTGGGCCGTCTTCTATTAACAGGATTACTAGTTAGATCTCCTTAGGATTTTTAGAATTGTATTCATCTCATACTCTGGCTATATTGGTTTAAAAACCTACTACTTATACTTATTACTGTAACTACAGTTCCTACCGCTTTATATCCTAAAATCATCTATGGTAAACAGAGTAGTGCCGGACCGGCTCGCTTTTATACTCTTACGATTACCGCCTCATGTAGCAGTGCAGATGGTCACCAGTAGTAGTTAAGCAGTTAGTTAAACAATATGGAGTAGGGTGCTGTAGCTATCTATCGAAGATCGTTACCGGAAAGATGTCTCACAAGATCGGCCATTATTCAAGTCTTAGAATGAGATCATAGTTGATCACATGTCGGGATCTAATCCGAATAGAATCGAGTAAGGGACGAGACTGACTTCATCGGGCACGGAAAAAGAATGCAACCATGCTTGGCTATGGGACCAAAGTTGATGATTTATTGCCATTGACTAGAAGTCGAGTCGGATCACAAATTCAGCCCTGCAAGAGCATACATCTATATCACTAAGCTGAGTAGATTGCACAACCCCAACATAAACAATGACCCCTACACCTTTCGCTAGTTTGTCTCGTACAAATGTAAAATGCTCACAGTATGTCAAGACCCAGCAGACATATAGCAATATATTCCTCGTAGAAATGATTAACCAGGATGACTCGATTAGAGCAGTCCCGCAATGCCTGTAAAAAAGAACAGCGCCGTAACTCCACCAGTCGTCCGATATGACCACATTATAACATGATTGGCATCGCTCAAATATTAACGATCGAAAAATATGCGATATCTTATTTGCAGACCCATTTCTTGTCAGCTTCTTTCTGGCCCACACGGGTAGCGACGCTGTTCAGGGTATCCTTAAGGACATCTTTGGAGACCTTTGGGAATCTAACACATAAGTCAGTACGCATATATCAGTTATACAAGGTTAGTTAATACATACCGCTTCTTTAGGATCTCAATGAGACCCGTCTTCGTGAGATCACTTCCCACGACCACTTCTTTGAATTCTGCTAGGTGCTCTGGAGGGAATGATTTCTTTGTTTTGCTGGCGGGATGGCAGGGTAACGCGGCTCCTGCTTGACCGTCGGTGCTACTTACTGACGCACCTTGGCCGGAAAGATTCATAAAAGCATGTAGAGTCGAGCGTCCGGAGGGGACAGCGGGCGCTGGCATCGAACTCTTTGCATTTGCACGTTCTGCCACCTTCGGTTTCTCCCAGTAGGCGCCGGAGAAAGGGTCGATGGGAAATCGTACTGCTTCAGATATGATTTCGACCTTGTAAGACTCGAGTTCGGGATCGATGCCAGCTTCCTGCCAGCGCAAACCACTACAGACAGGCTCCAAGTCACCCACAATGGGTCGCCGCTTGCCGTCGATCTGATTTTCGTCGTCATCGTCCAAGAAACCATCCATGTCATCATCGCCATCGTCGCTTAGCTCCTCTTCACCTTCAGAGTCAAGATCTTCTCCTTCTTCAGGCTCCTCCCATTCGGCTTCCGAGTCATAATCGTAATTCGTGTCTGGTAGTTGGCGCTGAAAGGGGTTTCTGGAGAGTTTCATGGCATCTTTCTCGGAAATGCGCTTTGTATAAGTGCCTTGATAAGGGGGCCGCACGTCCTCACTGAATTTTAATGTCTTCATCGTCACTTTCCTGAGCATGTCCTGCGGCTTGGCTCCTGGCTTGGTCGGGTCGAGCGGGTCTTGGGACTCCTGCCATTTGAGGAGAATCTCCTTCACAGGCACTATGTGTCTGGCACAGCGGCGCCTGTACGGTACAATATTGAAGATCTCTGCGAGTTTTGATACTGGCGTTTCCGGCAGACTATCACCACCGGATTTGAGAGATCTGTCTAGCTTTTCACGAAGATGGCGGAGAGCTTCTGCGTCACGTTCAAATCGATTCACAGGGGCAACCTGCGTATGGGATTGTACGAAGAAGTCCGGAAACGCGCGCTTGTAGTCCGATACTGAGTCAGTGGACTCGCTCGCCGGTGCGTCTTGACTAGAACCATCAACAGCACCAGCAGTAGCCACTTTGCTTGGAGACCCCTGATTTGTAGATGAAGATGCTTGTGCAGATGACGATGTCGTGCTTGGTTTCGCAAAGAAGGCGTTCAGTCGCATTTGGGACTGGAATCAATTAGTTCTTAACTTGAAGAGAGCGAAAAAAAAAGACAGTTGCTATTACTTACCTTTTCCTTCTTCATCTTTTCTTCCTCTTTCTTCTTTTTCTCCTCTTCCTTAGCTAGCCGCTCTTCCTCCTTGAGTTTCTTCTTCTCTTCCTTCTTCTTGCGTTCCTCCTCGCGCTCAGCATCCCGCTTCTTTTTCTCCTCTTCCTTCTGACGCTTTTCTTCCTCCTTCTTCGCCTTCTCTTCCAGCTTCTGCTTTTCCTTCGCTTCCTTTTCTATCCTTTTCGCCTCCTTGCTGGCTGGGGACAGCTTGCGTTTCTTCTGTGCGCTTGCCGCACCCGCGCCGGCAGGCTGTTGAACAGAGGTGGTTGAATTGGGCGTTGAAATAGTCGCTAGAACCGAATTGACCGGCGTTGTCTCTTTTGCCGGTGTACGGCCTCGTTCGATTGGGCCGCCCGAGGGTTCAGTTGGGTCATCGTGCTGATCGCGACTCTTCTCGATTGTTCCAGACGACGACTGCTGTTGTTCAGGGGCACGGTTCTCCTGATCGTTGCCATCGCTGGAGGTCTGTGTACGCTTCGTGTCTGGTTCGAAACCCTCCACTTGTTCGAAAGACCGTTTTCTCGACGCAGTTGGCGATGGAGGAAAAGACTGAGAGAGAGAAGATGAAACTGGAGGAGCGCTCTCCATGGCCACCTCCATGCTGGACCAATTCAGGTAAACTTCGTAATGTATTGGGACGGGGGAAATCAAAGGAATGCCGAGACAAGACTCGTAACCATCAGGAAGGAATCAAGAACGTTCTTCTGCCAATATTTGAAGGAAGCAGTAGACGTTATCGATTCTGTAGAGGGTATAACAAAAAGACAGGATATAAGTAAAGCCTTGCGTGTATAGGGTTGGAGGGGGGAGTTCATCCGAACACCGTTGTGGGAGGTGAATGAGTTGTCGTGCTCCAGACCGTAACTATCTCGGACCATGGCAGTTGCTGTTCCGGACGCGTTAATTGAAGTTTCGCGCCTTCCTTCGCGTCGGACCTGGTCTGTGCGTCAGTGCTCCCCATTGGCTGGACTCCGCATCCTTCTCCGTAGATTCATTATTGATGATTACTCGAAATAAAACATAGGTAACTACAGCTATAAATTGGGATAATGGAAGTCGGCTGGAAGTAGCTGGTCAACTAAGAGTAGCATTGGCCAGTATATTAGAATACAGGACATAAGTACAGTAAAGAGTCACCGGTTTCTGGGAGATCAATGAACCGCTATTCACAATACCTAGTGGGCTCTAGTCAATGTCGGTCAAGGAATTTGCTATTGCAGTATTACCAACAGGCAAAGGAAAGAATAGAGGCAAGCAACTTGAACCTTGATGGTTATGATCAGGCATCGAAGAGCGGATAAGCACTTGTGTTGGGAACCCCAACCATGTTAGGCATTTGAGTAAAAGATTGATCGTCTACACTTAGGATTTAACTACAACTAACTGCAATAGCCACACGCGATTTCAATATATATATGTATATACTTCTTATGATTAATATTATGATGTTTTCTCAGGAGACCCAATGCAAATATCTAAAGCTGGCGCGCTCTGAGGACGATACACTGCTGCATACCGAGCATGAATGCAATGTACAGATGCACACAAAGCACAACGGATAGCACAATAACGAAGCCATATAGATCACAAGAACTTAAGGGCCGCAGACACCATGAAGCCGAAAACAAATGGAATAATGCCGACGCCAATGCTAGGGTGCTGGCACCTAAACTTGAATTTGAATCGATGTGACAACCGCCACCCCTCAACCGAAGCCGTATCCGAACTCCTTGTTAGAAACCATAACTCGCAATGCAAAAGGAAAGAAAGGACGCAACCAGATCGAGACGCTAAAATGACCCGATGTAAACGGTCGATAATAGTAACCTCCTAAGTCACTAGGACTTGGGACACCAAACTTGCAGTCTCTCCCAATTACCAAAGCATGTAATGCACCAAAAAGAACCCACGTGCTGGACTGTCTGGCCAAGGAAATAATAGGTGTATCCATGAGGATTATTGTTTTCCGACGACCAGATCTAGTCCGGTTACAAGGCCACACCGCTTGGCCTACTCAAAACGTTCCCCTCGCAGTTGGTCTAGTCGTTGTCAGGGTTTGCGACAAATAGTCGCACCCCGGTCATGGTTGATGTGCGATCATCGACGCTACCTCGTCGCCTTAGCTCATCTGCTGTGCTAGTCTTCCTAGCTGCAGCTGCGGCTGCGCTGGGTGCCGCCATGTCGCCAACACTGCCAAAACTGTCTTCAGGATCGCTCTCCTTGTTGCCATCTTCCGCGAAGTACTCATTCTTTTCTTGAGCTTTATCCTCGGGAGTTTCCACTTCGGGGATATCTGCGCTCCCGTTTGGAGGTGTACTAGTGCTGCCATATCTGCTGCTCGTTGGGCGTTGATACCCGCTCGGATAACGGGTGTTGCTTCCCAAGGAGCTACGACCGCTACCAGTTCGACGATGGTACGGCAATTCGTGGTTGCGGGCTTCCTCGTCTGCATCACCTACCTCGTTCGCACTTAAGCGTACAGGAACGGTGGCGGCGACAAAGGTCGACGGGGAGAAGTCAGTCGCTCCTTTCCCTCCATGATGCTTGATTTTACCACTGCCTAGGGTACCTGTGCGTCCAGCGCCAGCGCTTCTGTGGACTTCCAGGTACGCCCTCTTCTTATCCGCCCGTCTCTGAGCCAGGAGCCGAGGGTCTTCAGGCTGTGATCGATCACACCAGACGGTAGCCTTTTGTCTCCGCATCAATGCAACATATCCCATCTGAGAATTGCCGGATCGTGATGACGAACTCCGGCGCACATCTGCAGACGGACCATTTCCGGTTGAGCTGGTCGAGGTTGTGGCACTAGACAAGCGTCTCGAGGGCGGGTAATGTGCCGGGTTTGTGATGATAGGAGGAGTCGCGGTGTATCCGGTTTGCTGAGGAGCCATCTGGGGAAGCACAGATGAAGATGACGTGCGTGTACGGTTGTGAGCGTACGAGGAAGCGCCGGGAAGCGCGGCGAGTTGCTGAGGAGCGTTGCCATCGAAAGATTGAAAGGGGAATCCAGTGTTTCGTCCAGGTAATGGCTTCCGCGAGGGAATCTGATGAGGAGGCAGGCGATAATCGGCCATGTTGGGTGGATACTGTACCCCAGCCATTTGGGGCGGTCTTTATCGGTCGCAAACAGAGAGAGGAGAGGGTCGTCAGAGGGACTGGTGTTCTGGAGAAGCCAGAGATAAACTCAGAGCCAGGCACTGGCCTGGCGACTCGAGCAACCGCTTGTGCTTGTGGTGTTAATTGAAAGACGGCCCCGCGAGGACACTGATGGCCGCCACCGCAATGATAGAACAAAGGGGAATTTTCTGCAGTGTAGTGTCATCGAACGCCTCCAGGCGTTATGGGAACAGTGATTCCAGCCCGACACGGTGCAAAATGAGGCTGTCAACACGGGTTTGATCTCGTTCGATCGAGAACGCGTGGTGAGATCTGACAGGGGGGCTGAGACCTGTTGTCACTCCTTCCTCAAATGTGACACAAGAGGGGTTCAGCGACGACTGGACGGGACACGGCCTGGGGGCGGGTATAAGAAGGGGAGAATGAGAGACACAAAACGGTCCAACAATGGCCGGAGGAGGAAGGAGAAGACAGGAAGTCAAGAGATGTGTCGCCGTTGGGATGTTTTGACGGTCTCTCTTTTCACAGACCAGAGCGGAGCTGGGAAGTTCCCCGGTCAAGGGCGGCTGAAGTCGCAGTGGCTAAAGAGTCGAACCATCGGTGCAGCGCCGTATCACTTCGTACCCGCTGTTCTAGCAATACCAATACGTTACCGTACCCGAACTCGTACGAGATCCGTCTTGGCCCTACCAAATCCTCTCTTTTTCTTCATCTAGCGAACGAATCAGACAAGAAAGAGATGAGTAAAAAAAAAAAGGGAATAATAATATCTTAAGACACCGCATCCACTCTTTTGACTTCTGTTCTTTTTCTACTACTAACTAACCATTGGAAGACCACAGTGGAAGAAGAGAAGAATGACAAGAATGATTGATGGCCACCGGCAAGGCAGTCACTTGACGCTCTGACCTCTCGATGCGGAAACCGTGCGACCCTAATGCTGCGATGAGGGGAAAGACGAGGGGTGATGTTCGCTCCATACATTGGTAGTTGTCGCGCAGGAAGGAATATCCGTCGACTATTCCCGGCTAACAACGTGCGCGAGTGGACTCGTAGGGCTAACGCAGCAGCTGTCGTTGGCATTCTTCGCTAGCTTTCTTGGATAGTCTGGACTCTGGACCATGGGCCAGAGTGATGTTGAGAACGCGATGGAACAGGCGGCATGCGCAAAGAGTCGCGGGAAGAATGGAAGGGACAAACCGTCGCGGGAAGTCCTCTCTCTCTCTCTCGTTACAAAATCGCCCTTTTCGGCAAGTTAATTCCATCCAAGGACTCTGGAGGACCCAAGGGATTCCTTCATGAAACCAGGCACCCAGAAAAACCTCGGGGTCGCCGGCCTTGGATAAGTCGCTGACAGGATGACAAGCAGAGTCAGGCCCACTATCATCTCAGGTTCTCCGGATATTCGATGCCAGCTGTTGCGCATTACGTCCTTCCCTGCCATGCGAAAGGGTTAACAGTCCCACTAAGGATGTGGAGGAGATAGTGATAGGCGACGACTGGTGGTGGACCGGTCGTAACCAGGAGAAAGTTGGCAACAACAATTACACTGTACCATAGATAATCTTTTGAGGCTGCCAGGCATTATTATTGCAAGTAAGTATGTCCAGTACATATGTGCAGTCCATCATACTCTTGTAAAAAAAAAAATCATGATGAGCATAAAACGCTAGAGCCATGTGGTAAATAATAATTACTGTCTCAGTCAGAGCAAATAGTATGATCGGGATGGCATCAAGTAGGTAACTAACAAGACGGAGCCGTTGAAAAAGCTCAGACATCCCGAATTGCTTTTACTTTGTACTTTGCTTTAATAAATTCTGGAGGGAACGAGTGGCGGAAGGGGACGATCCGGTCATGACAATACCGATACAGGACCGAAGGTGGTTTCTGCCGCGTTCTCTGACGTCGCTGCTGCCCCACCTCGCAAGAAACGCCTGGAAAAGACAGAGAAGAAGAGAAAAGAAACGAGTAACTAATTCATTCATTAATTAATTAACTAATTAACTGATTAATTAACGATGAAACCAACCATACTGTACACGTGCAGGACTTGATCCTCCTTCACTACAAAATAAAACTTGACTCTTCTCAAATAATCTCGTCTAACTAACTAGGTAACTCCCCGTAGCAACCGTCGTTGCGACTATCGGGCTCGAGGACGCGGGTTAGTTATTGGCTGTAATAATATTTAATCAATTATGCATATCACGAGTCTTCGCGCGGCCCCCCAGGTGACATTAACTAGTATCAACATCAACGGTGGTTATGCTACCCCAAGGGTTCTTCTATGTTACATCCGCTATAGTGTATTATTCCCCCCGCAGAGGTTTCAACAAGGATGTCATTACCATATGGTATTCACTTACATATGGTACATATGGTACAATAATACTTTGGTGTATGGTAGCCGCTTGTTACATAATTATTTATTTACACATCAGTTTGTTCTTGGTCAACTTAATTATTACTGTTGATTTTGGATTTCCCTAAGAACAGCCCTATCTCTCTCTTTCCCAAGACGTCCGAGGACGGAGTCAACACATAGTTATCACTATGTATTACTGGGACAAAAGCCAAATAATAATAGAAGAGAATTGATCTAATACCGTTTCAATTCCTCTTTTCCGCCTTTTAGTTAATAATAATCAGACGGTTCGGCAGCAGTAGCCCTCTCTTCGGACATCCCGCGCGTACTTAAACGGCAGAAACTCGCGTCGTTCTTGTTCCTTCTAAGACCGGAGACTGTCCTTCCGAGTACCTAAATCTGTGGGGAATCCGATCGGCAGCCGAGAAACGCCCTAGTTATGAGACGGGAACAGAATTCAACAATGTACCTACTCTCAAGACTATTATCCTTTTTTCCTCTTTTTTTTTTTTTTCTTTTTTTGTGGCTGGGGTAAGACATAACGTGTAGTGCGATAACTTAATCCCATTTCAGTCAAAATATTTGCGTCAGACTTCAGATTTTTCTCAAGTAGAGCCGAGGGGTGGTAAGTACAGTAGTGCTACCATCTCCACGAGGTGGCTGAGTTAGTTAGTAGTAGGTAACTAGCTCTGTATACCATATTCGGGTAAGATGGGGCTTTGTCCGGAGAAAAGAGATATCGTTGCCTCCACCATGTTCCATACCTAACCAGAAGAAGAAGACCCAGTAAGTATGGATTCAGCTATGACGCAAAAGACTCACAGAATGAGAAAATGAAGAGAAAGCTAAAAAACGGGGGGGGAGAGGTTTATCATGACATCGAGGTTTCAGATATCAATCGAGTAGGTAATTAACTAACTCTAAAGAGTCCTGAAAATAAACGGTTTATCTGCTGTGGATGGGCTGCTTGTCCCGAAACACGGATTTGGCCGAAGCCGCTGATTTGCTACATACAGCATGGGTCCGGACACGCTCCGATGTTTGATTACCTTCTTGGGAGACGGGTTGGAGATTTCCTTCTCAACTGCCACAAGGATATCATATGGTTGGTTTATCTGTTTAAGAACAGAAGAGCATACTTACTAAGTCAGTTCCAACGACAAAGACAACTCTTCACCATCAAAGAAAAAGGGAATACATAGCAAATCCAATGTCCCCTTACTCAGTAAACCTGGATTGGGAAGCACATACATGGGATAATGGGCCTAAATGAATCTTTGTTTTTTTTTTTATTTTTTTTATTTTTTATTTTTATTTTTTTTTTTTTTTTTTTTTTGGTTTTCCCCTGAAAGCTATATAGAATCTTACATGCATCAACCAAACTCACAGCTTCGCCCCCGTGGCCTTCACAACAGTCCCATCATCTTTAACATTGAAATCTCTCCCTTTCCTCCACCCCATCCACTCCCGCAACGTCTCCTGTCCTCCCATCCCGACCTCAAGAACATAGCCTTGCCAACCCCCATCGTCCGACTTGATAGGTATACCAGGAGTATCCGACAAATCGACCGCCAGTCCCTGCTCATGGCCCCTCTGCTGAAGCTCATCTTGCTCCAACACAGGAGTCGCACAAGCATCCGTCCCATCGAAGATAGCTTCCCATTCACTGCGTGTCTTTTCCTTGAATCGTTTCTCAAATATAGATCGCAGAGCAGGCCAATTATCCGGATCGTCTCGAGTGGGGATATCCCTCGGATTCAAGTCCAGACCCTTTAGTAGGTCTTTGTAGAATTTAGCCTCCAGAGCCCCCACGGCGAAGTATTTGCCTTGATCTTTCGTTTCATATGACGTGTAGAAAGGACAGCCGCCATCGAGCAGGTTTTCTCCGCGCGGTTTATTCCACGCTGGTAGATCTCTCGATAGCCGTGGCATCGTCGCGACATATGCAGATCCATCGACCATATTTGCTTCGACGATCTGGCCCTTCCCCGTGCGAGATCGGGAAAGCAGCGCGAGAAGAATACCCAGGAAACACATGGCGCCGCCACCAGCGAAGTCGCCAAGGAGATTTATCGGCGGGTACGGCGCAGTATTTGCAGGTCCTAGCATGGAGAGGACTCCAGACACGGCGAGATAGTTGATATCATGACCAGCCATGGTACTGTATTTTCCCGAGCGACGGAATCCCGTCATGCGGGCGACGATCAGTCGTGGGTTGCGTTTCAGCAGGACTTCCGATGGGGAGAGACCGAGACGTTCCAGAACGCCAGGACGGTACGGGTCAATGAGGACATCAGCGGTGGATATCAATGACAGAAGCACTGCTTTTGAATCCGGGTTCTTCAGGTCTAAGATAATAGACTTCTTGTGTCGGGTAAGGAGATCAGCAGCAGGCGGCGGCGCAGATGCTGATACGCTGCGGTCGACGCGCAGAACTGAGGCGCCGTAGTCTGCAAGAAGGAGACCAGCGAAGGGACCTGTAGGTCGATTGTAAGCAGCTGCATAGACTAGCTATATCGAAGCCATTGGCATGTTTACTGAATGCCAACGGAGGTAGACAAACCAGGAGCTAGACCAGCCAACTCCACAACACGAGTACCCGCCAAGGGCGGCGCTGATGATGCCATGGTGAAAGGAAAGCAAAATTAAGACTAGGATATTCAATATTAAGCGGTCTTGCACGTATCAGACCTGCTATGATCACTTCAGCGCGTTTAATGGATGGTCGTTCATTGGTCGTTGGGAGTGCCAGAGGAATACAGTATGATATTCAGCAGAAGAATGACAGTATGCCAACGTCCTGTTCCGACGAGACCATTTTCTCCCTTACCCCATAACGCTATGGAGTTAAATACTCATTGATACCCTAGGACCTCGGATGGGAGGTTGCTCTAGACCTTTAACTGTGAATTGATTAGCGGGGTCAAACTGGTTTGGGAGCCGAGGTTCAAGTGCGGGCGGTCTGTGCTCGGACAAGTATCTATAAGTACTGTACAAGATGATAATTCTTGTCGTGGTTTGTTGGAGTTGCAAATTATATGTACAGTACATATTCGGGCACTCTATTCTACATGGTCACTTGAATCTATCGTTTAAGACATCTACATGCAGTCAAAAGGAGCCAACGCTCCGTAATATCAGAACCCTGAACAATGTCAGGTATGGGTGTTGTTATCCATATGGGTACTCGCAGATAAGCGCATCATGCCAACAGACATGAGCGGCAAGACATGAAACAAGTGGCTTCGCAATCAGTCTGCAGCCATTCCGAAAACTCAAAGAAGAATCCGTCGTTCACAGAAGAATGAGAGGGCAAGGCTCGTTCTGATCAATAGTTGTCATCATACCGGCCCTCTTGCTCTCCCTGGTCATAAGCGTTCTCAATGTTGTCATCAAAACGCTCGACGTCGCCGACCTTCTCCCCAACCCAGCCAGCGACGTCCTCTGGGGCGTCCTCGACGTCTTGGACGGCGTTGTCGAAGCCGTCTTCTACGTGGTACTTGGCACGGTCATAGTCATTCTCGATATCATCAGGAATCTGCTCGACCTCGCCGACCTGATTCACATCAACGGTTAGAACGAGGAAAATTATAATTGGATATGACTCGAAAAAAAAAAAGTATTCCCTACCTTCTCGCCCGTCCAGCGAGCAGCATCCTCGGGGAAGTCGGCCACATTGTTCTCGATCCGGTCCTTGTCCTCGTCCCAGTCTTCGTCTAGTTTGTGAATAATCCCATTAGTCACGACCCCGCCAAGCGACCGTGGCAACAGAATTAAGAAACATATTGAACATGGACATGGATTAGGGTCATTATAAACGTACGGATCTTCTCGCCTTCGTGCATGAGCAGGGCACCACCGACAGCACCAGCGGCGAGACCAGCAACACCATATGTCAGCGAGTGGTCCTTCTTGGGAGGTTCCTGCTGGTACGACTCTCCGCGATACTCTCCGCGGTACTCTCCACCATATGACTCTTCTCGGCGGTATTCACCACCACCATATCCTCCCTGAGATGCAGGGTACTCCCAGGTTCTCTCACCAGTCTGCTCGTTCACAAAGAAATAACGGCCCTCGCGCGCGTCCCAGCGAGCAACCCAGGGCGGATAGACCTGCGGGGGCGGCGGAGCCTGTCCATAGGAGCTGTTGCCGTAGGAGCCCTCACCTCCGTAGGAGGGTTCGGCAGTAGAGGAGCTATGGCCTCCTCCAAACTTGCTCTCGATAGCGCCCTCGATAAGTTCTCCGAGGAAACCCATCTTGTTGACAGTATGGTATCTGAAACGCGGTTGGGTTCGAGTAAAAACGTGAAGCCTAAAGCTAAAATATTATCACTGAACGTAACGTCAAAAAAGGCTCAAGTGTGGCTATGTAACGAGGTGGAGCGGGAAGTGAGAGATCAAGATCCCTTTTAAATGAGAGAGAGAATGGAAGAAAAGAAAAGAAGCAACGGGGCCAGCTGACTGCAGCCAAAAGAAATGGCCGTTTATCAAGCGCGCCATTCACGATGAAACGAGCCAAACCCCGCCATGGAGCAAGCAATTAACTTGCCCCCCTTTCACAGTGAACTAACTAAGTAGTACAATGACACAACCGCGACCCTCTCATAAAACGAGCTCGAAGCAATCCCTCCCCAGTCTTTCTGTCATCACTTCTTTCTCCTGCTATTCTGACCGAGAATCCAATAATTACTACAGAGAACCAGACAACCAGACCTGCAAAACATGAGGGGGCGTTGGAGAGAGATCGACAGGGATCGAACGGTTTGCCTAACAGTTTAGACTGACTAGACAAGATTAGAGTATTATAACCAGGCAAATCGGATTATGAGGGAATTTTACGGTGATTAACTACTACCTACTCTAGATATCAAATCTCCCTATCTCCTGCTGATCGTTATCTATAATTTCTGGAAGGGAATAATAATATCCTCTTTAACTGTGTCAATCCTGTCGGCGATCTTCGGTACTTATCCCACGAGCTTTTCGGATCGTCCCGCATGTTTCACCCCTTTCTGAGGCGCAGTTCTTGGGATTCCGGAGTCTTGGAAAGCTTGTTCGCGCAAGCTAAGCCACCCAGTGAGCCCCGGCGATCTAGTCTAGTCTAGTCTAGATTTACACTTAATAGGTAGGTAGGTAGAGAATGACTTGCGCCATTTCTGCTTTGCTTCAATCTCATCCAACGTTCGAGTTTCGGCCGATCGTCTCCCAGAGACACGGGCGGGCGCTACTAGTTCTGACTGTTGATCCGACAGTTCATCTTTCCAATTGTGAAACGCGGGCCTGATCGACATGCGTTCTCGTGTTCTTGCTCAATCCGAATGTAACTTGACTTTCCCCTTGGGGAGGAGATTCAGAAGAAGAAGAAGAGAGAGAGAGAGGTGCTAGTAGGCCAGAGCCTCACCTGTCTCTGTGAATTGGGGGCTTTGAGCTTTATGCTATCCTATCTAGTCTAGTGAACGATTCCGATCTCGTCACCTTAGGTGGATAGATATAAACTCTTGTACATGGAACATGTGTATTATATGTGTGTGTGGATATGAAATGAGCTCTTCAACGAGAGTCCAGTAGCGATAGATATCTTCACGGCATGTAGGACCGGTTGAATCTGAATGCCATGGTTCCTCAAGAGTATGGTAATCACCCTGTCCTCCGTCGTCTACTTCCCCGCCTGATAGAGGGGGAGATGTAGAATCAGTATCCGCATGTTGTTCACTTCCCCCGTCTGTCGAAGTACGACACGGATCTACGTGCACTACGATCGAGTCGACTGCTGAACAGTATTCTAAAAGCGTCGGAAAAGAGAATTCCATTTTTTTTGCACAAGCGTCCCCGTCCTGTGGTCCGTCCACGCCATGGTAGTAGCTAGCTAGAATAGGACAGGACAGTGAACCTCGTCGCTATCCCGTCAATAGCCATGCCGTCGTCATCCAATTCCAATAGCCATCCCCGCCGGCCGGATTAATGCAAGGGTCTTCACACTCAAGGAAAGAGAAAAAGAGCAGAAACAAGATTCAAAGCACAATAACAGAAGCGAAAGGCACACGCGCGCACGTACAAAGTCATAGAGTAAATCACAAAGCAATGAATGTCTCCAGATGAGTCGTCTTCAGACGAGACTCGAGCCCAGCAAACCCGCCCGGGCTCAAGAAGAAAAAGGAGTCTGTCTTCATCTGTCTATGCCTGCAGAGCGTTGAAAGGAAGATCTCATCATCCCTGAGACGAGGAGGAGACTCCTGCTCCATGATTCGAAAAGAAAAGAGGACCAAGAGAACTGAAGAATGCAAGAAGATAAGAATCAAATGTGCAATAATCTACACGGCGTCTTCGTAAGACAACAATGGGATATAGTCTGGTGGAAAAGTAGTGAAACAAGGTCGTATGGTATATCACCGGTCGGAGACACGAAAGCAATACCGAGGATCAAAGACAAACGCCGACCGCAGATGCAGGACAAAACCCCAGACAAGATGGCTACTGCCCGTTACCCTGAATCATTGCGCGGAAGTCGTCGTTGCTCTTCGTGGTCTTTTCACCGGATTTCGACTCGGCCGCAGCTGTTGCGGCCTGATCAGCTCCCTCAGGACGTTCGCCCCGTTGTGCGGATGGAAAACCACCACGCTTGACACCCAGTCCACCCCGTCGTCCGCCTCGGGCACCGGGCTGTACAGGACGCTTGATAGGAGCTGCCGGCTGTGACATGACGGTCACGTTATCTTTCTGCTTGCCGACCTGGATACGGTCCGTCTTTCGCTCAGCTTTCTGTTTCAGCATCTCCGGCACACTGCCGACATGAAGTTTTCTACCTGGCGCAATCTCCTTGCCCTCGAGCTCCAGTGAAGCGCGTCCCGCAGCATGCACATCTGCATACTCCACGATTGCGCCCTGATGGTCCGGCCGCAGCACAACCTTTATGAGTTTCCCATACGGCTCCGTCATGGAACGGATACGGGCATCATTCACAGTGTCTGGAACGTTCATTAGGCCCAATGTGCGAGCTGCACGGTCGCGCGCTGTGTGCTCCGCATCGCCCGAGGACAGTTCCATTGCGTTGCCGTTCGGCTCCACTGACGGAGACTTGGACTGGCTCACACGGGATACAATGGTAGCGGACACGCGCTTGGCCCCGGTGGGCGTCGACAGCCTCACCTGTAGTGGGCGCGAACGGAACTCTCGCTGATGCATTTCAAGAGCGGCATTTGCCTCTTCCTATTTGGAGTCAAGATCAGAGTCAGCATGAGAGACAGAACGCCACGGGTCACATAAGAATCGTTACGTTACCTTTGTCGCGAACACAACATAGCCAAATCCTTTACTGCCACCGTCGACTTTCCTTGGGATACGTGCCACCTCGACCTTGCCGTACACGGAAAAAAGGTCCTTCAGGTCATCCTCACTTGCATTCCAGTCGAGGTTCGATACGTGGATCTCGCGTCCTTCGTGCATAGGTCCATGCCGGTCCTGTTTTCGAGATGGGTCTGAGATCCTGGCTACCAGCCGCAGATCCTTCTCAACTGTAGTACCGTCTAATTCAGAGGCTCTATGAGCGTCACTCGGTGACTTGAATTGCACGTAGCAAAATCGACGGTGGGTGTTGTACTTCAGCGACGGGAAGCGCACGTCCACAATCTCTCCGTACTGTAAGAAGTGTTAGTGCAGCACGGCACAGACCGACATAAGAACACATTGTACTCACCTTCTGGAAGAGGTTGCGGATGTAGGCTTCGTCGGCTGTCGGAGGGAAGTTAGTGACGAACAAAGTGGCTCCGCTTCCCAGATGGACGTCGATGGTATTTCCGTCAAGAGTCTTCTGATCACGAGTCAAGGCGACGGCAGCATCTTCCTTCGAGTCGAACTCGACCATGGCAGATGCCGATTCATCATGACCGGCCAGCACTTTCAGACTATTGATCTTGCCACACTGGGTCTCGTCAGCAGGTAAATCATCGCATATGGAGTCGGTCTATACTCACGTCACGGAAGAACTGGCGTATTTTCACGTCAGAGACATCTTTGGGCAAATTCTCGACGAACACGGTTGCATTCTCACGGTCTCTCTTCACGGGTGGCGGCGTGGCCTCCTCTTGAGGCTTGGTAGCTTCCTCAGGACGGGCCTTTTTGGCAGGCAGGCCATTGAGTTCAACTTCCTCTTCTCGCTTTCTCTTGGCCACAGGAACGCCATCCTCCGCTGGCGGAGCTTGCTCTGCTTGAGCGGGTTGTTTAGCAGCAGCTTCGAGTGCCTCCTTTTCGCGTCTCTTCGTGATGGCTTTCATCGCCTTCCGGGTTTCCACCACAGCGAGCTGCAGCTCATCCGAATCCTCGTAATCTTCGCAATGGGCGATATACGTAGTCATGATCTTCTCCGGCCAATCGAGGTCGGTCCGCTTGATGGCCTGCTTCAGGACGGCCGTTGCGTAGCTGGGGTTGGGTGTCCTTCTGGCAGCGTCCGCCGTGGCTTCACCTTGGACAAATTTGCTCCAGGAGATCAGCTCCCAACCGTAGTACGTGAGCCAAAATTCGTAGCTGCTTCCACGACGTGGAACGAGGCCTTTGAACGTCTCTCGCGCGCTGTCCCAGCTACCACTTTCACTGAGGTACCGGATGTAGATGCGCTCTAGCCGGAAGAGAGGGTCTCCCTGGTAAGATTTGCCGTATTTCTTCTCGCCTAGCTCTTGGACACTTTCGATGGCCGACCGGATACCCACCTCAGCCACATCGAGATCCTCGTCGGTCGAATCCGGAAGGAAAGCACGCCGCCGCAGATAACTGCACCATGTGGTATGCACTTTAAGGACTTCCTCCATGCCTCCGGCATCGAGTAGTCCCGTGCTGGTGGCCTTGTGCTTGATATCGGCGATCTTCGTGAACGACTGTCCCTCTCTCTCAGAGCTCAGGAGATACTGAGACCATAACGAGCCGCTCCACGGACAATGTCTGGTGCCCCGGTCGAGGGTAGAAATTGCTGAGGCTGCAGTCTGTCCGTGGATGGATTCGTCGATCAAGAACGTGACATAGTCCTCCCAGAGGTTGACGTCGGTGGGGAAACGGAGAACGGCTCGTTGATACACGGCGTTGGCGAGGTCGAAGCTGAAATACCGTTTTCGACGGTTTCGGGTCACTTCCCATTCGATGTACTGCAAGAACGTAGCCCATTCGAGGGTCTTGTCGCCCGACTCTGCGGCCCGCTGGAGTTTCATCTCCATTTCTTCGCGAGCTGCGTATTTTGTCTTCGCTTCAGAGGCTCTTGCGACCATGTCGGCCATGACGTCCTCGTAGTTGGAGCTGCCGTAGTAGGTAGAAATGAAGGACGAAAAGAGCTGGAAGCTTTGGTCCCAGGTAGCGTGAGGAGTCAGTAGACGGACATCGAAGAGGCCCCGTACCTGGTTGATCTTCTCCTGCGTGGGGGAGCGGGAGAGATCCTGCAGCATCAGCTCCAGGAAACGGTCCCAAATGAGATGGCTGTCGTTGATCCGCCATCGGGTGGCCTCTGCGCCTCTGTGCCACACTTCTACTACTGATTGCCAACTGAAGACTTCGCGGCCCACAAGCCGATCCTCTTCACTCCAGGAGCTCTGACTAGATTCGCCTGAGGCTGAATTGTATAGGTACAGCATCCATTCTCCATAGATATGCCAGAGCTTGGTGCTGCCGTACTCTTCCTCGACCGATCTCTGGCACAGTTCCATAACCGCAATGCGCTCCTCGACGGTCTGTGCCAGCATACTTTCGTCTTGGATCCACTCCGCCCAGAGGTCCTCGCCCATAGCGAACAGTTTGTCCATTTCTTCGCGAGCCGTCCTCAAGTCCTTGAGGAGATCGTACTTGCGAGGGTCCCCGTGGACATCCGGGTTGGAGGGAGGATACACATGGTCGACAAAACCCTTATGCAACAGCTGAATGAACTGCACATGGGAATCGTAGGAATGAGGGTTCTCCTGGACGTGAGCGAAAAGTTGAGTGGCCAGGTGTTGAGCATCAGAATTGAGGGAAGTGTCTGCGTAATTCCTCCTGGCGGACTCTCGAGAACCTTCCGACACGGGAAGTTCGAAAGTGCGGGCGGAGGTTGTGTTGTGTGAGACAGGGTTAACGTTAGGATACATGGTGGACGGGGAGAGCTGGCTCTCATAGGATTCGCTGCGAAGGATCGGAGCATTGGAACGCTGAGGTTGATGATGCTGCATCGACGCTAGATCGGCCAATGTATCCATCCCAGGAGTCGACGGCTGCCTTGCGGAGGGCAGCTCACCTGCTGGCGGGGTCCCGTTTCCGCCCCCCATGTTGGGACCACTGGGAGGACTTGCTGTCGGGGGTGACGGCTCTGGCAATCGACCTGGCGCATAGACATGCTGCGCAAGTGGAGACGAGGTCATTCCTCCATGGCGAATGGAGCCTGAACGGTTTCTCCGAATACCCTTATGCGGTGACAGCGCCGCGGGCTGAGAAGACGAGGCGGATACCGGGAGCGGTATTGTTGCCGGCGTGGACTGTCCCGACTGGACGGCCGAATCCTGCGGCGAGAGAAGCGAATTGATATCCATATCTCCGTCACAGGCTGGTCTCCCGACGTGTAGCAGCGACGACGCAGACAGAGACCCTAGGCAGGACGACAGACACTACCGGTCAGCTTTCCGGGACAGAATGTGAAGCGAAGAAGGGAGGTCGAGCTAAAGGGAGTCCGTAAGACACCTCATCAACGAGTCCATTCCTGCCTCAGCCAACCCAGCTCTTGTTCTTTTTTTGCACCGCAGCTCCTGTTGGCAGTAGGGCGGTTCTCTCTGCTCCGCGGGCACGATGGGAGGAAACGACGGCGCAGGAATCACGCAGGACCGGTGATACCGTTTGCCAGAGGGGTACGAAGACGCGAGAGGAGGGTAGGAGATGATGTTGTGAGGATTGCAGGGGGGATGAGACGACGAGGAGGCAGGCGCAAGAGGTTGTTGAGAGCTTTTGCCGGCGTCGGGTGGATTTGCGTCGGGGAACGGGCAACGATGCGGAGAGAGCGCCCTTGCGCGAGAAAGCCAGCAGGCAGGATGCTCAGGGAGCAAACGAACGGCGTCCCGATAGGGCTGGGCAAGGATGGTGGGAGGATTTGAAGGACGAGGAGAGTAGGAAAGATGAAATGTGAGGCCGGTGGATCGTCGAGGTGGAGATGACGGGGTCTTCTCTGGTACGGGGACCAGAGCTCGTGATGAGAGCCGCGCACCGTCCAGTATGCGCCGTTGACGTGCGCCAGAGAGACGAGACAGGACGGCCGTGCGTTCCTTTCCTTTCCTTTCCTTTTTCCTTTTCTTTCTTTATTTTTTTTTTTGGAGGGAGGATTTCTAGACTGCAGAGAATTTTTGATTTCTGATTCTGATATTTGTCATAATTTTTAATAAAATTTATTGGATTTTTGCTGGGCTACGCTGCGGCGGATCATCTAATTACCACCTGCGCCCGGAGACAGGCCGGGATTTGGGATTGCCGCGACCTCGAAGCTCTTGGGAAGAAGAACCTCTCGTCACGTCTGCAGGCGCCGGCTTGGGTGAGGCTGCAGCCAAGGAGAGCGCTGGCTGGGGCTGTTTGGAGGCCTCTAATACGCAGCAGGCAGCTAGTTTAATAGCTAAAAGCACTGGATGAATCCAATGAATTATTTAACTAGTTAGTAGTAGCATTTACAGTACAGTAGTTACTTGCGTAGTGAGGTCACAGCGAGCAGCTACGGGGAGCATTTGGCGGCGAGAATGCAGTAGTTAGTTATTAAGATGTAAATTAATAATTATTGGCTATCTAGACCAGTTTGGTTTAATTAATTAATTACCTACCTAAATTCAGTTCACCATGTATTTTATTGTTATTACTGGGGACTTAACTAGACTGTAAAGAAATTCTGAAGTATGTAAGCAGATGCACCGCCATATGATTACATAAGGTTCTGTGGCTAGTGACCATATACGGTGCACCAGACCATCCATTCCCGCTGTTTCCGTCCTCAGACCTCCGACACTTTTTCTGCGGCTGCTCAATATCGAGCACCTCCGGAGTTCCACCATCGCATTGTGCAGCCCCAGCGTCATTATGGCTTCTCTGGGGGCTGTTCATCCCTACCGGCATCTGGTCCGTTCTGGTAAGTTCGTGGTTTTCTTCCCCTTTCTGCGTTGATGGAATATGGCATATTACGCGAGACATTATTCATGGAGCAACGCAGATTAACTGATATGATATAGCCCGGACCGGTGTCCCCGTCGTCCCTCGACGAACCTTGACCTATACCCCCGTCCGACGAGCCCAGGAGGACGAAACCTCGAACCCACCAAACAATGCGGGTTCTGCTCCTCGCCAGTCCGCGTTGTCCTCGATCAAGAACTTCTTCTTCGGCGGGAAGAAGTCCGATGGACCCAAGGGCAAGATCACGCGCCGTCCCGTAGCCCCCCAGAAGAGAGAGGGTTCCCTGAGTGCAGACTCCATCTTCGCAGAGGACGAAGCCTCGCCCAAATTGGTCGCCTCCGGACGAACGCCTGCTCGCCGACAACCCACCCAGCAGCCGGCAGAGGAGGAAGCCGATGTGGAATTGGAGGCACGGAACCGGTCATTCATGCAGGCCGTTCTCGATCCTCGGCCACAGGCCCGTATCCGATGGGAACGCAAGATGGTTGCCCGCACCATTCGCCGTCGGGGCCGTCTCACCAAGACGGAAGAGATCCTGCGGTCAGAGCGAGAGTCGCTTTCCAAGTCGCACTGGTTCAAGACGTCCGTGAAGAAGTTGACTCCGCTGGCCCGCCAGATTGCCGGAAAGAACATCGATGAGGCCATTCTGCAGATGCGCTTCAGCAAGAAGAAGGCGGCCAAGGATGTCCTGGAACACCTTAAGCACGCCAAGAACGTTGCCATTGTCAATGCTGGTATGGGGCTAGGCGCTGTCCAGGCTGCGGATGGAGAAAAGCCCAAGCCCGTCACCGTCACGCTCAAGTCTGGTGAGCGCAAGGTCATTAAGGAGCCGACCGACATCTACGTTTCGCAGGCCTGGGTCAACCGGGGTCCTTTCGGAGTCGAGTACGACCACCGCGCCAGGGGAAACATCAATCTGATGCGTCCACCGCACACCGGTCTGTCGGTTATTTTGAAGGAAGAAAAGACCAGAATTCGGGAGTGGAAGGATCGCGAAGCCAAGGCAGGGCGCCAGCGCAAGTCCCAGCTGTGGACCCAGCTTCCGGATCGAAAGATCACCGCACAGAACCAGTACTACAGCTGGTGATGTCTGTTCTCCCTTGCTTGTCCGCTGGAGTACAGCTCTCTCACCGTGATGAAACGGACGTTGTGATGCTGTGCCTGGCTAAGCTATCTCTCTCCACATTCTCATTCTTCTCAATGTACGACCAGCATATTTGTTCGCGATTTCCTTATCATCTCAGCCATTGAATAGAGGGACGTTCCACAAGTCAAGAATATGGGTCAGATTTAGTATACCACCTGATGTTCTCGACTCGTCGCATTGGTTTTGTGGTCCGGCGTCTCAGACCCGAGGGCAGGAGTACTTTAACGGCATGGATACCTTGTTAGCTCCATCTATGTACATGTACAATATGAATTCATCTCCAGGCCAACTGCAGTAGTTTTGTACCTTTGTATCTTGTAGGTGACTAGCAGGGGAAAAAGGGAAAGGCTCGATGGTTCCACTTTATATTATTTATTATCATTGCAACCAGAATTATTATTACAGACGAATATTGTACACAAGTTTCACGCGCGGGCCATGGTATCTGACAAATCGCATCACCAATGGTCTACCTTAGGCGCTTCCTCCTTCAGTCATTATATTAAACATCAGGCCTCCCGCTCATAGTAATTACTGCTCCTGGTCTGCCATTATTATTATTATTCCAAGCCTGCAAGAACTCAGCCTCGAACGCAGAGAGGAATCGATCGGCTGCATCCATGGCTGCCGCGGCTGACGGTCGGGCACCCTTTCGGGTTTAGCGTTGCTGCAGTCGGGAACCCCATCAGGAAAGGCCGAATACGAGATTCTCCGTTGCTGATTGGCTCAATTCCACAACGTAGTACTGCGCGATGACTCGAACTAGCGGCCGTCTTGGATATAGACTGTCTGCTCCCCCAGGATCTTTGATAATCTCTAGTTGCCTGGATTTTTCCTCGTTTACGCCTTACTACGGCCATACGGCTTTTGAGTGATTACATACAAGTCTCTCTGTTTTTGTTGAACCGAATTCCTCCCGTTCATCTTAGATTGTATTGGAGTTATCTGGCGGCGGCTGCCTGCTACCTGTCTCTTATCCTAAGCTCCGTCTTGGTTTTGGTAACAAGGGACTGAGTGGTTTCTGACCTACAGATTCAAAGAGAAGTCTACAAGTGCAACAGTTTGAATCGCAATATATTTCCATACCCACTTTGTGATATTCGCAACATGTCGGCTAGTCCGCGCCAGTGGTTGAGTCCGATGGAAACCAAGGGAAGCATCAATCACTATTTCGATATGGATGCCGATTTCCAGTTCCTTGGATGCGATATGGACAGCGATCTGCGTATGAGATCCCGTTTTTCGTCCAATAGTCAGCTTTACTTTTCCATTACGGAGTCAGCTGATGCTACGTTAGTACCGAATCTGTATGATTTCGACGCCACCTTTGGACCCTTGGAGGGTTGTGAGAATGAGGTAGAAAGCAGGTCAAACGTGGTAAACGGTGTTGTGCCTTCCGTTCAGACCATTGGTAACTCATTTGAGTCCAACTCTACATCGCCTCAGTCTGCATCAGATTTCACGACTCCTTCTTTTGACAATGCTTACTTGTCACAATACGACACGCCCCTCGATGCAGATGAGCAGTCGTTCCTGCAATTGACGTCTGCCATTCGACAGCTAGTACATGCCAAAGCAGATGCGAGCCCGAACTGCGCATCAAACAAGGAGAAGCGAAGGGACGCTGCAATCTCACTGCACCTTCAGCTATTGCAAGATTTTCCTGTCGACGAGCCATGCGTTGTCTCTGATTCCTCTGTTTCTGGTCATTCTTTCGACCCCTGTTCTGAGTTCCTATCTTGCGCCGATTCCCCACTGTCCGGGACAAACAGCTTTAGCGTGGAGTCTCCGATACAGGCTACGAAATCTCCGTCGACACCTTCTTCATCCGCATGCGTGTCAAAGCGAGAAAGCCAGCGGGCTACTTCGAGGTGTGCTAACCGCGGAATTGAGTTGGTTCTCGATTTGAATATGAATGAGACCGCATCTCGGCCAAAAAAGCAGAAGCCCAGGACCCAGTCACAAAGGGAGAGCTACATCAACGCTCGCAGGAACGGCGCCTGTGAGAAGCACAGGAAGCAACATAAACGGGTACGTCAAACCCCCGTTATTAATTTACTGTAATGTTGTTCTGGGACCATAGTTGCTAACCTATTTATAGTGCCATTGCTTCGACAGTGTATCTACATCTATGAGCTCTGTCAAGAAGATAAGGGCACAAGATAGACCATCACCGGTACAAGCAGTACAAGAACGCAACAACAAGGTGTTGCAGCTCGTTCAAGCAGGCCACGAAGCTCTCAAACAAGGTGCCTCAACAGCCGCAGAGTCAGTTGATGCCCATCTTTCCCTGGCTGAGACGTATACGTGTCTCTTCCCCGGTTGTACATTTACATGCACCACTGTTCCCTCGCTCGAGAGACATTACTATCGGCATTCCGATGGGTCGTCGCCAACCGTCTCGCCCACCAGTGACACACAGCGAGTTCGATCCCGTGTGTCGCACACACCACAATACGTCGACCGTCCCGTTTGGGAGAGCTCGTCCTCGGACGCGAACGCTGTATCGGCAACCGAATCTCCGTTCGTACATACACAAGGCGGACTGCAACCCAAACATCTGGATGTCCATGTTATACCAAGGTCGTCGTCGACAGCGGGTGTCCCCGACTCGAGCCAGCAGCTTGACTACACGTCGTCCTACGCTAGAACGGCATCGGACAACAAGTCAGGCAGCCCTGAGCAGTATGATGGCCGACAAGAATTCTGGCGCGACAGGCAAGTTAAGCCACAGAGCTCTGTACCTAGCTCTGTACCTCTTGAAAGCCCAAGCGAGCGCAACGCCGTAAAGGACTCGAGCAAAAGACGCGGAGACTCGACCATTAATTGGTTGGCCCAGGCTTACACAGAGATTCTCTACCGCGGATTCGTTGCCATCAGTTTTTCATGGTTTTTCAGCAATCTTTTTGGCTGGTTGCAAAATTTCGGGAGTCTGTCGATGGCTATTTCCAGCAGTCGACAGCCTCACGTATATGGCCCCCTATTTTGAAGAGGATATCGGGCACATGTCTGCATACGTTGTCCCATCGTGCATATTCCCACCGATGATGTGGAAATGATGTGGACGGTCGCAGCAATACAGGAGTTTAGGAGGAAAATTGTTTTTGGTTCAATTGGCTTTTGAGGCCATCTTAGCGGTCTAGAGCGTGATACAGCTTTGCGTTTCATGCAATATCAGAATAAGGGCTCTTCTATGCATGTATCTCTATCAACAACACATCTCTCTAGAGAATTGCATATGAGATTTGAAGTAGTATGAACTCGTGCATAAACCTCATTTTAAATTCCCAGTCGCAATTATTGTCATTTATTATTATGATAGGCGCCAACCGCAGGCGGTGTACCACGTGGCTCATCCTGTCGCATCCGGGCGGAGGGAGAGGGAAATTGGGTCAGGAACGGTAAAGGAAAAGCGAACGGGACGTCTATGCTCGACGAGCATGAGGTCATTTCATCGTGTCTTGTAGATCTCATTTCCCATCCATCTCATCATCCCTGATGTGAGAGTCCTTGTTTCATCCTTATTTCACGAGCATCTATGCTCCGCCGTTGGATACGCTAAAAAGATCATGATTCCGCTAATACGCCGCGCACGACCCCACGCCCGCTGGACGGGCGATGGGCCCCGCTCGTCCCTTGAGGACGACGAAGAGGTGGATGGGCATACCTATCAGCATTCGCGACAGTCTGGGAGCGGGATATTTCGAATCACCGTGGTCATGTAAGTATATGTTAGCAAGAGTTGATGTCTTCGCGCGTCAACTTCGCGTGATTGTCCTTTAGTACATACTTTCCCTTCAATCATGGCATTGGATTGGACTGGAATCGCAGCTAACCTGTACTATATACAGTCCAACATTGGTTTTCCTTACTGTCCTCGTTACGGGACTCATGAGCATGGCTGAGTCCATGTCTTCTTCGTCGTATTTGACATATAGCACCGTTCCAGGGTTCTTTCTCCAGGATGAGCCAGATACGGATCCGAATGCGTTCGATTATGTGCGTCGCTGGCTTCCTTCTTTGGAAAATCCATGGCCCCTTCGCTTGATACGAACCGGAACTAACAATAATGGTCTCAATTAGGTTGCTTCCAATTTTGGCTTGATAAACCGTACTTATGACACAGATGAGGAATTTGATCCTCACGGTGACAAGCCACAATGGGAGCGGTTTGAGAATAAAATGCGCTCGTTGGCCCGTGACAGCGGTAAGGGAGTACATTATAAAGTCCTCTTCCTCGGACGCCATGGTGAGGGATATCATAATGTGGCGGAGAGTTTCTATGGGACTGAGGCGTGGGATGTATGTTATGTTTTTTTTTTTTTTTTTTTTTTTTTTTTTTTTTTTTTTTTTTTTTTTTTTTTTTTATCTGGTCATTTCAAAGCTTAAGTATATATACTGACAAGCCGATTAGTGCTACTGGTCTCTTCAGGACGGCAACGAGACCTCAACTTGGGTGGACGCTCATCTCACTGAAACGGGAATTGCACAGGCAGAGACTGCTCATCATGCCTGGGAGAAGCAGATTGAGAATAAAGTCCCGGCGCCGGAATCATACTACGTTAGTCCGTTGAACCGTTGTCTAGCCACGGCGAGTATCACTTTCTCGGGGCTTGAACTGCCCAATATCGATCCATTCCAGCCTACCGTTAAAGAGGTATGTAAAATGAGCAATGGCTTGGGTTGATGTCGTGGAAATCCCTGACGTATATCTCAGTTGCTCCGTGAAACGATTGGCCTTCACACGTGTGATCGCCGTTCCTCCAAGTCTGCCATTGCAGAAGAATACCCACACTACAGGTTCGAACCCGATTTCTCGGACGAAGACGTGCTTTGGGACGCCAAAAGCCGCGAGTCAGATTCCGCCCGCTCAGCACGTCTCCGAAAACTGCTCGATGACATCTTTACGAATGATGACAACGTATTCATTTCTTTGACTGCACACTCTGGTGCTATCACGAGCATCCTTGAAGTGATTGGGCATCGAAAGTTCCAGCTCGCTACAGGTGCGATGATACCCGTCGTGGTGAAAGCAGAGCGGATCTCGGGGGAACATCCTGAAGAACCGGTTGAACCACCAACTACAGCGCCGAAGTGTGAGATCAATCCTATTGGGGCTTCTACTGCTCGTGGAGTCGCGGTCTCAACAAAGGCGTAAGATGGCTGCATATGGAAGAATCAATGATAATATCTGTATTATATTAGTGCGAGCATTCTCTCTTTTCTACAAAGTAGCGCGTATAAAACCACCCCGTTTGTTGGCAAGGGCCCTCCAATTTATTTGGGCGACGATGTATCGCGATAAACCAACTCAGGATTCAGGAATATCGCGACTGCTCAACCGATTTAGCAGAAGAACCTTGGCATCAACCTTGACATCTTCAATGCGGTATTTCTTGGCCATACGATGCATACTTATTCGATGTAGCAAAGAAACATATTCACATTGCATAGTGACATACTACATATCGCTTCTAGATCAATTAGCCGGAAATGAAACCGTCATTGCGATGCAACGTGTACTTGACACTCGAAATTCTTTCCTCCACCCCTGGGTTGATCTGGAGTGAATCGACATATGGCTGCTGCCTGTAAACGTTGAGGGGCTTTCTGCATCTCTTGCCCAATCTGGAATGTCATGTCCCACTCCGCTTTGTTGACATGGGTGTTGCTGCTATTACCCGACAGGCAGTCATTCAGAAACACCAGATTGTCAGCATCTTTTCCTGTTTATCCCCGCTCAGGGTTTCCTCTCTTGAAAACCTCACCCTACACTCACAATCTACATCTAGCAGCCATGGGCCAATACTGGATCCTGTGCTGTCTTGACACGAGAGAACATCTGCCTACCGGTGGTATTAAACTGGGAGAGTTTCTGTTCGATTGTTCAACTGGGCACATGACAGATCTCCTTGCCGTGCCTGTTCCACCGAAACGTTCAAGGTGAGTTTATGCCCTCTGATTCAACTTATCTGCGGTGCCCATCAGCAATGTAACGCGATCATCCAGCCTGAAATTCAAAAGCGCCGCGACTTCTCACTCGCCTTTCTTCAAGCTCCCTGCGGAAATCCACGATCTTGTATTCGAGAAACTTGACATTTTCGATGTAGTTGCTCTCAGCCTTACCAATGGATATCTTTTCAACATCGCTGAGAGACACATCAACGCTGCGTACATGTCTCTTCTGGGCCAATGGGCCGGAAAGCGTCTTATGTGCATAGGCGACTACCTTGAGGTCGGGGATGAACCGTCTTGGTTCAGCGATGAGGACAAGAGGCTGCTCTATCCGAAAAATGCGAATGGTGGAGATATTTCCACGACATATAGCGTCAAGCTATTTTCAGGCCTGGTCTACCAGATGCGTAACCATCTCGAGAGGATGAACGACCCTCTTCTCGCCAAGAAGGAGCAGTGGGTAAACCGTCTGCGTGAGATCATCTGTCCACCGCTAAAGACATTCTATCCGGAAAACCAGCCGTGGGTTCTGCGGAACTTGACTACTAAAGAGTTTGTGCACGCTGAAGCGATCGCGCTGAAGAAGGAGCATATTCATGGACCGGATATCGATTTTCGAGGATTTGGGGAGTTGGTCGTGTCTCGTATCTGCTGGTCTTCAGATCCGTCTGTTTCGATGAAGAACACTACCCGAATTCATCGCGGAAAATGGACCGGTCATCGATTTGATATCACCACGCTGGCGAGACACGAACTTGACATGAAGAAAGATACGTGGAAGGATGTTAGTGAGGAAGCCAAGAGGGAACTTCATATGATTTGGTACAGCGAATTCTCCCATGAAACCGTGGAACAGTTTGAGGCTATGTTGAATAACTGGAATGTTAAAACGGTGCGGAGGGCTGAAGCTCCCCTATAGTATCTATGAACCAGAGGAGTTACAACGGGAACTTTGGTGCAATTCGTGCTATCTCCAGCTATGTTCCCTTTTAATACAAGACGTCAGGCTGGTGGCCATGAATGAATGAAGCACTTCTTCCCAATCAAAAATAAAGAGATAATCAATATACAATCTCTAATATGTCAAAACACGTATCTCTATAAGTGTCTAATGCCCATTGGCAAATTCTTCGAGCAATCTAACTAACTCATCCGGCTTTTCTAGTGGAATCCAATGACCACATTCGAATTGCTCCGTACGGTTGTTGTGAAGATATTGCTCGGTTCTCGGCTTCTGCAACTCTGGCACGCAAACACGATCATATGCTGCGGTTACCAGCAGAGACGGTATATCGAGGCTCTTACTCTCATCAGTTGTGAACGTAGAGTAGTACTCCTGATCGACCCGCCGTGCTGCGGACTTGTACCTGGGATAAATCAGCCGGTGTAATCTTTGTGCGACTTATGAGAAAAGAAAAATACCAATTCAACGGCCCCGTATACTTCCCCTTCTGAAAAATCCGCGTATGCGTATCGAACTCCTCCTGGCTCACCCACGGAGGCGGAGCAGTTACTTTCCCAGCAGTAATCCATCTCTCCGCAGCGCCCAGAGGCCCCATGTCTGTTTTCCAGACTTCCGGGGTCGTTGGGTATAACAGCGACGTCAATGATTCTGGATTTGCATCAATCACGCTCGCGGCTGTGTCTTGGTTGAAGAATTTCATGTACCCGAATGCTGGGTATCCGAGAAGTTTCTCGGTAACGGTATTGATTTCGTCGATGTCGAATGGACCTGGTGGGAAATAGCCGACGGCGAGAAAAACAATGCCTGAGAATAGCTCTTGGTGGGCTAGAGCGATGATGGAGAGAAGAGCGGAACCCCTTTTATTCAAATTAAAATGGTTAGTTATTGACTTGGTATCCCGATCTCACATTTTCAGTAACGACAAACCTACGTTGAAGAAATCAATGAATAGAATAAACTCACCAGTCATGTCCTACTCCAATTACTCGATTGAGTCCTTCATTACGAACAATCTCCACAACATGATCTGCCATCCGTTTGAACGAATACGCATCCACCTCTTCCGGTTTGTCCGAGTCGCCGTATCCAAGCAAGTCAGGAGCAATGATACCGTATCCGCCCTCCTTCAATCCAGGCACGATACGACGCCAGTCGTAGCTGGAACTCGGAAACCCATGCAGCAAGAGAAAGGTAGGTTTAGTTGCGTGTGCAGCGGGAACGCGGATGTAGGCGTAAGATGTCCCGTCAGATAGGGTGGTCTTTTTACTTATTTCTGGGAAGATTTGGAGGGCCATGATGGGCGCGAGGGATTTAGATATTTAGATGTAATATGTCAGGTTATGTGGATAGGGATGGTTTCGTCTTTTGCTGACGATTATTTCATACAAGTAGTGTCTGCTCGCCCATGCTTTATACCTATGGGCCTTTTTAAGTATGTGTTCCACTTACCCCTCCATAGAAGGATTTTAGGCCCCCGACTTATGCATGCTCAGGGGTTACCTGATATCTGCCAGGTTCGTACGGAAAGAATCACACTTATATTAGACCACAACACCCATCATTACAAGAACAATAAAAAACAATAAACGAAAAAGAAAGGGAAAAATACAAAAAGCTCACACCCCCACCACTCCTCTAAGAGAGGAGAGATGGAGGTGTTACGAAAACCCCCGCCTATGCTTTTGGCGGGCAGGGGTTTTCTTCGAAATCCCATGGCCCATGCCAGGGTTCGAACAGGAAGCCTCCAGCTAGATGGGGTGGACGGGCTTCGTACCACTGCGCCATCTGGACTCCCTGATTGATAGGGAAACCTTTGTTCTGATATATATATGGGGCTGGTGAATGGGAGGGTGCCGGATTCTTTGTTGTCGCGTCCGTTTGGTTGCCTTGTATATTGAATAGCCAAACCGCCTCTAGTAGCTTGTAGAACTCAGCTAGAATTTAGTAATTAGTCCGACAGCATCATTGATCTCTAGTCCTTCATGCAGTTTCATCCCGAAGTATACCTCGTTGAGGTCATAACATACATAACCATGGATATCTAGGTGTTGTACCTAGCCTACATATGCATCCAAGGTTATTGATCCTTTAGCTAGAACTGATTCAGATCGGCAGGATACTCTTTTGAGAGCGGAAAATTATCAACAGAAGCACTACGCTCACTTTCACACACCTTCTACTCAGCAGTTGGAACAGTTCTACGTGCCGATCTCAAAGATTTAATAAAAATCTAATTACATACGCTAAGACTGCTCAGCCCGAAGAAGAAGAAAAAATGGTCGAACGACTTCTTGATTTCCTTCATCTTGACCTATTGGCGCAATTCGTTCGCAGCTTCAAGAATGCCCTCACAGATCCCCCAGACGTCAGAGCGCAGAAGGACTGGATCTCCGAGTACGAATGTGACGAACAGCGCGGAGTGGAGTTATTACAATTAAAGCACTACTGGGAGGATGAAAAACGCGAATTGATTCGAGAAACGGCTCGAAAATCTACTGCAAAGGACATCGATGAAAACTACACCAAAACCCTCAAAGCATATGACAGAGAGATTGCCAATGTTCGCCAACGGCTCTTCATCCATCAAAATGCGATGAAGAAACTACTGGAGGAAAAAATTGACATGTCATACACACGCAGCTGGGAGTTACCGCGACGCAGGACTCGCCAGGGCTTCAGCCTTGCATGGCTTAAGGAAAGCAAGATATGCGCACGTACCGGCGGCTGTTGCGGACGACCATGTGCATGCTGTGAGAAACCCCTGGTCACACATCTCGAGAGATGTTCTGGGCTCTTTGAGAAGGGCAAGAAAGTTGTAGGGCTCTATGGGCACTGCACGACGAACTGTCGCTGCTGCATTCTTTACAGGAGACTGCCAAAGAAAGAACTGTCAGTGGGATCGTCTTAAGTCATGATACAAGTGTGCAGCAGATATAGGGTGGCCATTTACCTATAGTCCACAGATTCTGATGGAATTTCTCTGCAAGCGTTAGTTGCTAGAGCCTGTACCCTGGGCCTTGAATAAATAAAGTCCTGCGAGTAGTTTGGCGAAGCTGGCTTGTGTGACGAGTGTAGACGTTCCTTTTCTTTGCTTACGACGTAAACACTCTACAGATCTGTATGTGTCCTGAGTAGGGATTATCCTATATATTTGATTTCAGTCGTACTTGGCCAGTATCTCTCAGGTACCATCGGATATTCAAGTAGCGTAGTACGGCACAGATACTGCCATCTCGAACAACGACGATGTTGTTGGCACAGGCAGTAATCACGGTAGCTGTTATCCGTCTCCAGGGCCATCGTATTGGCCATCATATTCATTATTGACCATCTGTATCGAGCATCATGTCGAGTCTCTACTAGGTCGAGCACAGATAATCAAGTTAGGAAGATGATTGCGGGGTTGAGCAGGGATGGCGGGCACTGGCCTTAGCGGGCTGCCTTTGCCTACTCCAAATCGGGCACCAGAGCGCTTCTAGGTAACTATCTTCATCTTCATCTCCATCTCCATCTCCATCTCCATCTCCATCTCCATCTCCATCATCCATCGTCATCGATCTTCGGTCCCTCCTTTTTGTTTGTTTACCCCTTCAGATTCTCATCATCGATAGCGCCATCATCCCTTTCGTCTGCTTTGCTCTCCACGCCGCCTCACCACCGCCGCCCGTGGTTCACAGCGCTTCCGCCCAGCATTCCTGCCATCCGCTCCGCCCACGACACTTGGCTCGTCCAGCCAGACTAACGGCTGCTGGCGCCCCCAGCGCTCCACACACGGGCTGTGGGGAGAGCTCGGAAGTTGCACAGTCAGCAGCTTCAGAAACCTTGGGACCGAAACCCAGAGAATCTATCACGTCACGTTGCCCGTCGTCGTCTGCCATGGCTGCCGCCTTCGACGACGAAGACCTTTCCATTCCTCTCCCCTCCTTCGACCGCGATCGCGATCGTGACTCTGACCGTGACCGTGTACGAGCCAGCGGGGGAATCCCCAACCCCATCTCCAACTCGTCCGCCATGGCAATGCCTCCGCCTCCCCGACCCAATGCCCGGGCTGATCCCTCGGTGCAGTCGCCTGCCACCACCAGGGACATGCAGCGGCTAGACCAGTACCACACCGTCAAGGTCCTGGGTGAAGGATCCTTTGGCAAGGTCAAACTGGCCATTCACCAGCCCAGCGGCCGCCAGGTCGCTCTCAAGATCATCCCGCGGCGGAAACTGCTCTCGAGGGACATGGTTGGCCGTGTAGAGCGGGAGATTCAATATCTGCAGCTGTTACGACATCCACACATTATCAAACTGTGCGTCTCCTCCCCTGATCATTCCGCAGGTGGTGCGAGGAATTTGACATTGCATTGTAGCCGCTGACTCATCTTTGGAATATAGATACACCGTTATCGCAACCAAAACTGACATTGTGATGGTCCTGGAATATGCAGAGCGGGAGCTTTTCGACTATCTCGTCAAACGTGGGAGATGTAATGACGACGAGGCGCGCAAGTTTTTCCAACAGATCATCTGCGCGGTCGAATACTGTCACCGGCACAAAATTGTCCATCGCGACCTTAAGCCGGAGAATCTGCTCATCGACAGCGCCAAGAATGTAAAAATCGCGGATTTTGGTCTCAGTAACATTATGACGGACGGGAATTTCCTCAAGACGAGTTGCGGTAGTCCTAATTATGCAGCACCGGAGGTTATCTCTGGTAAGCTGTACGCGGGGCCTGAAGTGGACGTCTGGAGTTGTGGAGTGATTCTTTACGTGTTGCTTGTGGGCAGACTTCCGTTCGACGATGACTATATCCCTGCGCTCTTCAAGAAGATCGCTGCGGGAAATTTCCATATGCCGTCGTACATTTCACCAGGAGCCGCCAGGTTGATCAAGTCTATGCTACAGGTGCATCCCGTCCACCGTATTACAATCCCTGAAATTCGCCAGGACCCGTGGTTTCTCAAGGATTTGCCCAAGTATCTGGAGCCACCGCCAGAAGAATTCATCAATACCGGTGTCGATCCGAAGAAAGCCATTGACCCGCGGAACATTGCACCGGGAAAGCCAACGGCGATACAAGAAAAGATCCACCGAACGGCTGTTGCCAAACTCGAAAGGAGTATGGGATATGCTAAGGAGGACATTGAAGATGCATTAAAACGACCGGAACCTAGTGCCGTCAAAGATGCCTTCTTTATTATTGCGGAGAATGAAATGATGCAGACAAATTGTGAGGACCTTATTTCCTGCTCTCAGGCGTAATAATGGATGCCAGAACATGATCAACCTGCTAACGAGTCCATAATAGCCCCCACTGATGATCAACTTGACGCCTCCTCCCCAGTCTCCTCTCCCCCTCAACCAGAGAGATATGCGCAGTCGCCCCCGGGAGCCGGCAAGCAGATGACGGCTGCGTTCCGTAAGAGAGATGCTATATCGCCTTTAACTTCGCGAACTCCGGCAACACCTCCATCCGCGCAATCACAGTTGGCCCAGCAGGACGACGATGATGATGAGGATGATTCGCCTCGTGTAAGCCATGTCAGGATTCTTCCCACGAGTCTGCCATATGTCCACGAACAGATCATGGAGCAGCGTGATCGTGATATGAAGGAGAGGGGTTCAATAGACGAAGGCCATGGAAACGGTCTTGACGAGCAATATGGATCTGCCGATACGGTTGCGGAGCGCTCCCCTGAAGAACAAGCGGCCACTGCTAGATCGCTCAAGCCACATGCACGCAGCGTCGTAGATCTAGAAAAACTGCGTTTTGAACCTCCTGAAGGGTTTACCGCTCCCACACACACGCCAAAGAAAACACGAAAGTGGCAGTTTGGAATTCGATCGCGGAACCAGCCGTATGAGGCGATGCTCTGCCTGTACAAGGCCATTGCTGCTCAAGGCGGAGTCTGGGAGATCGAGCCTGCTGAAGCAGGTAGGTTTTCTGAACGATCGTTTCTTCTGACTTAGATACGCTAACCGAATTCAATGATCAGAGGGCGTTGATTCCGATATAGATCCTGGCATTCCTGTGGACAAGCGGCCTCTTCAGCGCAAATATCCAGATCTGCCCTCGAATTACTACATCCCGAGAGATCCTTGGTTTATCCGCGCCCGGCTTCTCAAACAAGGCGTCAGAGCTCCCGGTCTGACGGGTAGTGCACATAGCAGCAGAAGCGATCTGGAGGAGTTCCGGCGACGAGTGCATCTCATGGGCGGATCTCTCCCGGATGAGACCTTGGCTGCTGTTCATGCCAACCTTGACAATGCTAGCACCACGGGCCCTGCGTCCGCTAGCCCCCAGCATCATTCATTGCGAATCACACACGGTGTGTGGGTGTTCATTGACATTCAGCTCTATCAACTAGAAGCAAACAATTACATGGTCGATTTCAAGTGTGACGGATACCAGAATGTGATCCGAGCTGAAGGCGATACCGAATGGCGCCCCACAAGCAAGCGGATCAGAAATAAGGAGAAGGAAGTTACAAGTCCTTACCCGTATCTTGACGTTGCTTCTGATCTCGTCGCGCAACTTGCGGTTGTGAGCTAGTCGTTTTTGGTTTCTTGCATTGCATCTTCTCAGCTTTCTTGGTTCTATTATCGGCGTCACAGGGTCAGCGATGCATGGGTTAAAAAGGCGAAGTAGGCGCCATGATGATTTTATGACTTGAGCCGCTGCTTACTATTATTAATTTCTATTATTACTTCTTCGTTTATATTGTCTTGTTGAACCGGCCGTGTTGGCGCTGGTAACATTGATTACATTTTGTGGTTTCTGATTCTAGTCTATTGTGTAAAGTGCGGTACATATGGATGCATATGGAGATCTCAACAAGCAATGGGTTTTCAAGTACATTCCGATGTCGACTGAGAACGGCCGGCAGATTTTCTGAGAGGGGCCACCAAATGAATCTATTCGTCCAGCTATTACTGTATTCTCGACAGACGTTCATCACGTTATAAAAATAGGATTCAGATACTAAGGCGAGCTGCTGACAGAATTTCCAGATGTATCAAAGGATCTTCTAATTCTAGCGTAGGCAGTCACGTATATACGGTCGGGTTAAGCCCGGCTAGTCAGTTACTTAGACCGCAGTCAGCGGGACGGACGAATTCACGGACCAAATCGATACGGGGATAAATAGATGACAACAGCCAACGTCTGTGGGCAATGATAGATCTGTCTTGTTTCGTTTTATAAGATCACTTTACAATTATTGAAGTTGGCGTTGAGGTGAAGTTGTACTACTGCACGGGATATCGCTTGAGCTGCAGCTTCAACCTACTAAGGGATCGACACCTCCAAAGAGAGATTCGCTCAACACTGAATACAGACACAGGTTGAATTTCGAGGATATATATTATATACAATATCCAAAATGGTCACTCTCCAAAAAGTCCGCGCCAATAATGCGTCTCTCAAAGAACTAGGCCCAGGCCTCGTTGCTGTCTTTGGTATGTTCTGAAACCACCTCCAATCCTCGCCCCATACCATACCATACCACACCACCGTCTAGAGATATAGGATAAAATAAAAAAGCCAAAATTGAATCCCTATTAACAAACCCCCATAGTCGGCGGTACCAGCGGAATCGGTGAATCGACCGCCCGCGAATTCGTCCGCCATACGCTCTCTCCGCGCGTGTATCTCGTCGGCCGCAACGAGACGCATGCATCGCGAATTATCGAAGAACTGTGCTCTCTGAACCCCGATGGGAAAGTATCATTTATCAAAAGTGACGTGTCCCTCCTACGCAATGTCGATGAGGCGTGTGAGGATATCAAGAGGAGAGAAGACAAGGTGAACTTGTTGTTTATGAGTTGTGGGTTCTTGTCTACGAAGGGGAGAGATGGTGAGTTTCTTATTTTCCTTCAATTTCCTTTTTCCCTGCATATTAAGGATGTAAAAGTACTGAACTGTGTCAATTTGCACTCTTATCTTTGTGTTTTAACTCATATCAAATCCAGAAACGTCCGAAGGCCTCGACAAGAAACTCAACGTCCATTACTACTCCCGAATGCGATTCATATACAACCTCCTCCCACAACTCACCGCCGCATCCACCACCACAACAACAATAAATAGCCCCTCCCCTCTATCCCGCGTCGTCTCCGTCCTGGGCGCAGGCCAAGAAGGCCCCTTGAACCTAACTGACCTCGCGTTAAAACACAACTACAGCCTACGAACATGCGGCGCCCACGCCATCACCATGAACTCACTCATGACGCACGAACTCGCCTCCCAGAATCCAGGGACGAGCTTCATCCACACGTACCCTGGAGTCGTGAAGACAGGAATCATGCGTGATCTTGGTCCGCTGGCGCGGTTCGGAGCGGAGGTGTTTTCAGTTCTGGCGAAGCCGTTTTTCGTTCCCCTGGAGGAGAGTGGAGAGAGGCACTTGTATGCGGCGACAAGTCAGGTTTTTGTTCCGAAGAGGGATGGGGAGGGTTCTACTGCTGCTGTTGCTGCTGCGGCTGCGGTGGGAAGTGATGGGGTAAAAGGAAGCGGGGGGTATTTGTTGAATTGGAATGGGGACGTTGTCGGGAAGCAAAATCTATTGAGAAAGTATCGCGAAGAGGGAGTTGGGAAGACGGTGTGGCAGCATACGTTGGATGTGTTTCAGAATGTTTGTGGTACGAAGGATGGGAAGTACTGATTTGTTTTGGTATTATTATACCTATACTCTTGTCTCGGATGAGGTGGAGGGTTCTGTAATAATATGCATGTATGTCCTCTCGGATTGTTTCCATGACAGATCTGTTTCTTATCTATCTAGGCGTTCCGGGAAGAAGAAGGAGGGGGGGTAAAGACATCTCTATTCTAATTTCACCTCTCTTCAACTCATTCATCATACTACTGTTAGACGAGAATACAGACACTATACTTAATATATGTATCAACCAACAAAAACCCTCGGCATTTTCAACTTACAAACAAACAAGGAAAAGAACCCACGTGCTGTCCTACAGAATTCAACTCACCTTGTCCCCTGACCTGATGCGGTCCACATACATATATAGGTACATGTACTACACACTTACATCCTATCGGATATCTCCAATATATATGGCACCACTCCCCAAAAGGGGTTTAAGTCAGTGACACCGCGTCCATAAATCCCCGCGCGACTTCGGAATATGGCCAAAGTTGGGCAAATTGAATTGAAGGAAGTCTAAAGCCTGAAGCCTGATTAAAGGCTGGAATCTGCATATGATAATATCAAAAGAAAAGTAGTATTGGTTGGGATTGTTCATTACAAATTTTACCTGTACATTTCCCGGTGCACAGAAAGTTGTAGAGGTACAATATAGAAGGTTAATATCTCGTACAAAATTTCCGAAGCCCCTAATCATGTGCATGCAGCCAAAAAAAAATTGCTCTCCCTCTACAGCCCAAACAAGGCCTCAAAATCTGCACCTTCTGCTTTAGCCCTCGCCCATATCTCGTTACTTTCACGTGTATGCCGCTCAGAAGGCCTCTCAGACCGGGGGCCTAGGTACGAGGCGTTCTGAACCGCATAATACAGATATGGCCAGATACGGTTGATGCTCAGGTCATCCAGCAGCTCCTCCGCTGTCCGGTCTGAGCCTGGCCGCGACTTAAATTTTTCACTTCTCATAATGTCCTCAATCTTGTCCACGGCGTCACGCGCTGCGCACGTGCGCGCGTCATTCAGCAGGTCTAAGATGCCTTCTGTTTCCCACCATGTGGCATATGAGTACTGCATCGCTTGGGCCATTTCGTCACAGCCGCCGCTTTCAGTTACTTCGGGTATGAAGTTGCATGCGTTATCTGGCTCGAGGAGGCTGGGCAGAATAAAGTAGGGGTTAATTGTGACCGCAGCCATACCGAGCTTGCGGGCTTTTTTCACGAGCTCGCTCTCGATCTTTAAAAGGGACACGGTAGATTCTCTCTGGAATTTCGCGGAGAGGGGACTCCGAATCACGGCCAACTCGATCGCCTCCCGAAGTTCGAAGGGGAGGCGAGTTCGCGTGAGGAGGATCTTTCGGGTGATCTTCAAGTTGCGAATATCCACGAGTAGTTTCAAATTTAGTATCAGGACAGCAATGATGTGGTTCAAATTCGGAAATTCGCCGAGAAGGAACCCGGGATCCTCAAGAACATCAGCCCCGGAGATATTGAGGTACGGTAAGGTCATATCGCCCCAGTTGTAATCGCCGTCTGGGTCACACGTCGCCCACCACTTCACAAAATCATAGCATTCTTGGTCGCGATCCAGTCGCAGCATTATCGCCGGCACAATGTCTCGTATCCCCAGATTGTCGGCGCGGCAGAGTCTTAGCATATCCAGCAAGTGCTCGAGGGCTTCGTGGACACTATCAAATGTGCCAAGGGGAAGCAAATGATCCCATGCAAGCTCAAACCGTGCGCGCATATAGCCGCGCGTGTTGAAAATGCCCCAGAAGTGGCCGACATGCGTCTCAAAGGCGTTGGCGGGAGTCATGAAATCCGGCGTGGCATTGCGGACGCGGCGGTCTTCTTCGGCGAGTATAGCGCGTGCTTTCTTAATCTGTTTACAAACAGATTTATGCAGGATAAAGTGAACGGTCTGGTGTTCGCGGTTGCAGTAGTGGACTGCGCGACAGCCGCTGCATCGGAGGAGCTTTCGGCCTGTTGCTGAGCATTGAGCACAGCGCCGGCAGAGGGATCCGGTCGGGCTCTTATATTGGCTTGGGCTGTGCAAGGTGCTAGCCATGATGCCTCCTGTAGGAACCAACCTTTGAGGCACCACAGCGGTCCAGGATACAACGCGATTGAGTCGTCCGAGTTGGACGGAGTACGGAGCAAGTAAGTATACAATGAGACGGTTGCTTATCTGCCCACCTACACCGCCTGCCCTAAGTACTAGTTACTGTCTTCGCCATCGCCAGACTCGTCTTTCCCGCATTCTCAGGCCCCAGGAACTCACTCTTCTGCCCTTAAATCTTCTCGTAATCATCTAATGAGCCGCTCTCATCTGCTTTATTTGGCCATTAGTCTTTGCCGTGTTCTCACCAGTCAACTTGGCCAGTAATAGTAAGGAGTCAGTCGACTATTCGGGTCTTTTTACATTAGACATCGATGCTATCATTCGCTTAATCCAACACAGTCACTTTGATAGCTTTCGTTCTTCTCTTCATCCTGTGATCCTATCTGCGAGGCTGGATCCTCTTTTTTTCATAATGAACGTCAATCGCGCCAGGGTTCGAAATGTTTTCATCTACAATGGTGCTACAGGCGACCACTTCGGTGGAATGCGACAGAATGGATCGATAACAGAAGCGGTGTTTCTATGGATCCTGAGCCATATCCTGCTCATTACAGATGCTGAGCTTGAAGTCAAAGCTCGAGCTTCCCAACAGATCATCTTACCGACAAGCAACCGCCTTGAACCTGGTGATTATGACGTCTACTGCAATGGTAAGTGTTATGATCTTAACAAGTACTTCTATGATCCTACTTTACTGACTGAAATAGGCTCTATTAAGCTCACTAACGAACCCTGGGTGCTACGAATTCTATCACATAGTGTCAGTGGAAGAGAAGAGAGCTTTCGTGAAGGATTACGTAAACGAGATGGAAAGTGTGTCCTATCAGGTTTCGAAAATCTGAACGCGGATATTGGTGACTGGAGCCCCTTTGAAGGAGCCCATATTTTCCCGCTTGAAAAGGAGAATATATGGATTACGCAGAATTTCGGAAGATGGATCACTGATATGGACTATGCGAATGGAGTTTCGAAGATAAACAGTTGTCAGAACGGATTACTTCTACGGCGTGATCTTCATACAATGTTCGACAATTACCTCATCTCAGTCAATCCAGACGTGAGTGACTCCGCAGAAGATATTATTATTCTTTTGGTTACTAATATTTTTATTCGTTCAAAGGACGGCTATAAGATTATAGTATTCAATCGTGACATCTTTGGTCTCGATGGACGAGTCCTGGATCCTGTATGTCGTAATCCAAGAGACCTGCACCGCGTCTCAGATGAGTTACTTCGGTGGCATTTCCGGCAATCAGTCCTTGCGAACATGAGAGGCGCTGGTGAGCCTATCTTTGAACATGATTTCCCAGCGGGAACGGATATGATGAGGGAAATTTATGAAGGCCCCAGTGCGCAGGAAAGGTTTGAAATGGAAATTGCTTCGAGATTACGCGGATTCGAGATTTAGATGATGAGGGAGAAGAGACATTTCCAGAGTGAAAATTACGTCTGTACGACTTACTGGTCTTATTTTTTTTTAGCGTGGAATGGGCAGTCATATAAGGAGCTTCAGAGAAGGGATGGTTAGCATGATCCAAAAGACAGCGTCAGGTATCACCGTTTCTGGCCGCCAGTTAACCATCTCATCATTAGACAGAGTATATATATTCATTTCTATAGGTGAGATAAAATTCTTATTCAGAACTGGCGCTGTCAACAATGACCGGCAATAGTCGATATTCGAACGAATTAAGAAACCGGAGAGGTGTGTACTCGCATGTATTGTATAAGTCTCTCATATCTCACAAAAACATATATATATAGCCCTCACATTAAACACCAACACCAATTAACACCCCCTAGACTAGTAGTGAAGTAGAAAATACGTGAGTTAAGAGAATCTTTCAAACGCCCCTCGATGACCTCGTCCCAATCCCACCCGGACCGTGCCCATCTCTCCTGTCCGATCGTCCCCAGGATCGAGTACTAGCCCCAGCTCCAATGGAATTGGACGGTGAACCAGACACAGACGCCCCACGAGAAGAAGACGTAGAGACCGCCGCAGATGATGCAGCGGATGTCGCCGAAGAAGATGTGTTGGTCACAGCTGCACCTTTTGCGGACGAAGCGGCGGTGACCGCCGTTGGATTGCACGTTGCGCAGATGAACACGTTGAAACCGTGTCCGTCGCAGCGTGAGCAGACGGAGTCTCTGGTAGGCGGGTTATTGAGTTGAGTGATTGGTTCTTTCGGGAAAAAAAAAAGGAGAAGAGAGGAGAAATATACAGGGAATGTTGAGTTTCAGAGTTTGATGGAAGAAGGGAATAGACAAAATTTTGCAACTTGTATGATAATAAATGCATGGCAGATAGGAAAGAAGATCCTACCAGAACATTGTGCTTGTGCGAGTCCTGAACAGAAATAGGCAAAAAAAAAAGATTTGAACATACCTTGGCGCATTTCCTGCACACATACTGCAGGTCACAACGGTTCTGCCCCTGATGCAGGACACATGCTTAGGGTCTAGCGACAGGGGCGCCACGCTTGCTCGAGACATCACTGCTCTATAACAAAAAAATAACCCCGAGTAGTAGTGTTAGCCCGCAATTCGGCCTGAGTTGAGAACTGAAGAGAATCGCGGGTTTTATAATAGATAGATATGTATCCGTAAAATGGTCAAGACGATATATTGGTGCGACAAGATTTTCGACACTCCCGAAACAGGTAAAGACAGGATTGTTTAGTTGGTGTCTGAAGATTTTTGTACTTACTTCTTTCTCCCCCAAAACGATCTCCTGAGGTTACCCTGTTTATAGAAGATTTTCGCTCCTCGATCAGACAATGCTTCAACCGACACCAGACGGTAACCTGCCACGCAATGTGGAAGACACTGCAACAATAGGAAATTGAATATTTCTCAGGTAGAGCTGCAGTGTCACTCAACGCAAATTGGTATTCTACAATCACTGTGAATAATCAATATGGCAGAGACCTCCGCGATACAGCATTGGTGATACTAAGTTTTAGTTCAACCTGTCACGGCTTTGGTGGTGGAGTATAAAAGATCAGCAGGACACAAGCATGAAAAGCCTAAGTTCTCACGTTAGCAATTCATGTCAATTCTGTAGACTGCAGGCCAGGTCTCAAGCAGGAGAGAAAACATCTGGGACAGCAGCTGAAATCGAATGTTGGTGTGGTGTGTTCTATGATTTTATACCGTACTGCAGTTATCGATGGCTTCATGTTATGTCAGTGGTCCTTGACAGACATTATATTTGAAATTACCATCCCACAAGGTGGACGGACAAGGGCACCATAGACATCTGAAGCTACGCCGGGTACATCCTACGCTGGCTCGTCCCCCAAAGGCCCAGTCACCTGTCCACCGAGAGAGGTTAGTCGAAAATAACTGAAATAGCGAGCGTATTGCACAGAAAAGGGGCCCCAATCCAAGAAGCTACACTTCGTGGATGTCAGACTCGACTAAAATCTACAGTTGTTGCGTTGTGCTGGCACAGCGAGTATCGAGGATCACCAAAATGGCTGCCTCCAATAGCAGTAAAACTAAATGTCGTACAGGCAATTGGCACTTGGGGAAATTGTCAATATCATCATCCTTCACCGCTTCGTGTCCAGCCTAGTAGTCATCTCAGATCTTTCGGAGCCGTTCGCGATTGTCGAATCAAGATATGCCAACCTCGGAAGGCTTGCTGCGGCTAGCATAGGGCATCAATAGATAATTCCTTGACAGCTTACGTTGACAGGACATATTTAGCATGTATGCGCGTGCTGACTGGATACAGGGGGTGAGCGGAACACGGAGTAACAGGACCTCATCGTATTCGTGGACACAGCAAGCCGGCCATGCCAAAAGTCCATACTGAAGTCGGGCGCAGCTGCTGTTACTGCAACGTTGACATCCATTAGAGAGGTAAAGGTGTACTGACGTAGCCAGGGCATAGTCATCTCTAGGCAAGAGATGAGATAGATTATCATTGAGATCACAAGGACATGCACATACGGACTACAAACGCTGCATGCCGGTTGGTTAGGGTTGTAGCCGGCTGTTTGTCGCGATCATGTAGGTCCAGCGCTGGCGGCTGCTGAGGGGAAACAAGAGAAATTGCCCTGGGAGGTTAGCGCTCTACTGTCGATAAACAAGGTGATATGCGTGTAGCAGCCAGCGCAGAACAAGGATATCGGGGAAACAGGTCTTGAACCCAAGAGTATTACTACCTTCTGTAACAGGGGAGGATGTCATATTGTATTTTCCGTCATATCTCATGTTCCCCTATAATCCTTTTCCAAAATGTTATGCAGAAGTTTTCGATTCTCAGTTGGAAATTCTGCTCGTTTGAGCCACATAAATAAATAGACAAGGGGAGGCCAAATCCCGAGTTCTCTCTTATTGACTGGTGGTCATCTAGATCTCAAATATAAACCAAATACCGAGGGCCACTTTGAAACAGTCGATGGAATAAGGTACTTACGTCTAGTACAATTCTTGACACTTGCCTTGGCAGAGTATTAGGCACAGCGAGAGCCAAATGAAAATGGACAACACGGAAAAAGAGCCCGCGCCAGTCGCACAAACAAAAGATTCCAACATCTCTATCTAGGTTCCTATGATTCTTACGCAGTATCAGAGTAATGACAGAGGAGACTGGAAGAGTACGAGCGTTTATAATCACCTGAAAGCTGCGCTCGCATCCTCCGTAGAGATAGAGAGTTGTGACCGACCTGAGATCCGATGAGATAGGAACAGAAATTCCTTTGGCAGGGATTGACGATCTAAGCCCCCGCATGAGACGGGTTACAGGCACTTAGGGTCCGCTTCTGCATGGCCGCAGTTACCGATAGAATTGAAAGTGTCAATCGCATGGTCGAGGTCAATAAGAGAAATTCATTGGTGGAGATTTGTTTAGATGATAAAAAGGTTGAAATTGATTCCTTTCTCTGTATATCAGGACAGAGACTCGCCATCGTGCTCGAAGTCAGAGCCCCGGTCTAGAAACAAACGACGATCAGGTAGGTATGATGGGCCCAGACGTCCGCTCTGTCTTTGGGAATGCTATCCTGGGCGTGGGAATTTCTTTGATCAGCAAGCATGATCCAGCCAGATGTATGTACCGGAAGCTTTGATTGGAAGACATTGCCTAGAGACACAATTCTGTTCAACGTGAGTTCTGCGTTGGGACTCAACTATCAATGATGGAGACTGCGGCATAGACACGTTATCCCCGGTCTCTAGAGATATCACGCCAGTTGTTTAGATGAAAAGAGTGTGTATGCAGGCCATACCTGTTCTTGAGTTCCGCTGTCTGGGTTGCCAGCCGGCGCAGGACCAGTGGTTGGAGGGGATGTCCTAGGTGATGCGGCAGAGACTCCAACTCAAACATCATTCTGTACTTAAGAATCCGGGCCTATCGGGCAACTAATCAGATCGGGAAGGTATCAACGTCTCAATCTCGAGATTAGCAAGAGAGAGAAGAGGTCTGTCAGTCAGCTCGACAGCACACAGAGCCTACCAAACGGCAGAAAACAGGATGATCACGGTTGCCTCGCCTGGCCTGACCTCGACACTTGTCCCTTAGGTCCTTCTTTGAAACACCATGAATGCATTTCTGGAATGGAAAATTAGGCACACAGCGTATCTTGCTGCCGACCAACAGCGGACATCCATCAAATTAGTTCGTCTCAATTTAAACGAGCGCTGCTGGACAGACAACACCCTTCAGCACCCAGGTCTGCCTCTCATACTACGTTAGAGCGGGGTCCTACACGGTGTAGGTACTCTCCAGATTTTCGAACTAACGTCCTCGGAGCGCCCGTTCACGGAGTACGCGGAACCTTAACGGGAGAAGAAATATACCTGTACTACAATACCGATGCTACAGATATGATGGTCCTGAAATGAATAAAAGAAAATTTGAATTGGTTTGTTGCTGGATATTCATAGGTAAAGCCTCACATGGGCCATATCACACAGCGGCCCCTGCTGACTGCGATGAGAGGAATATTGGCCTCTAGACGCAAGATTTCTTCAGCGTGCAGTAGTGCAACCACCCATGGTAGCAAGTCGCCAGCAGGAAAGAGGGGTGCGAACCGGTGGGGGCGGGGGTCTCTGGAGATATGGTGACAGAGAGTCTGTAATAGTAAGGAAAGAAAGAAAGAAAAAAAGATCGAGCTGCAGCAAGAAACCTAATGTGAAGCCGTATTAGACAGTCACCCTGGGTAGCGATTCCTACGATGTCCACCGTATTCCCTAGCAGACGCACTAAAAGATAGCCTTCCCCTGAGCTAAACGCCTTCGAAATCCATAATCACATAGTCCCTGAAACGCCAGTCATTGTGTGATTCATCGCCATACGGCCGTAGGATCCATACTCGTTGTTCAATTGCATGGAAATAGGCTTCAACCAGTGAAGAAATCCGGGGGTAGCGATGCCAGACCGGCAACAGTGAGAATGCTGCCGACAAAAACTCCGCCCAAAGCGACAACTGCATCTCTGGCTAACTTGCGGCGACGGGAGGGAGCATGCGTTAGCTTTGCACGCTTTTGACAATGCCCGTTATCAGATACACCGTTCCCGGCGGATTGTTCCTCGGAGACAGCAGGGATCTTGATGAGCTCTGGAGGAGAACTGTCAAGGTCATTTATAGGTAGCTGTGGCTGAGCGTCTGGAAGCGAGGCCACATCACCAAAGACACTTTCCAACTGAGCATCCCTAATAGACTCGCCGCAGTGACGTAGGTCAGAGAACTCATCGAAGTAGGATGGGCCAGAAACAATCGATTCCAATTCCATTTCAGCCGCCTTTCTCTTCAGAGAGGTCCTTGGTTCCACTGGCTTGCAGTCATGAACAATATCAGCAATGGACACGCGTGTGGTTGCAGTGGACTCTCCAGTTCGTCTCTCGGTAGCATGTTCAAGTGCCAATGCGGCCTTGTCACTGTTAGCAACACTACCACTCTGACCCGTACACTGCGGAAAGAGTGGCGAATGTGTGAAAGACGGAAGAGCGGTCTTTCCAAAACTGTTGTACCTAGGTAGCGGTTTCATGCGTTGTTCCTCCACGACTGGATCAGTACGGTGGTCCACTAGGGTAGATGGCCCAGGGAGAATGATGGGTTCCATAGAGCCAACATTCTCAGTTGAGGGTCGCGTATGGTCGAGCATGAAAGGTCCATCAGAATATCCGTAAGAGCTAGGGGCTTTCACGAAGACACCAGATGGAAATCTGCAGGGCCGCCACTGGGATGCATGGTCCGCGGCCGATGGTCCTGCCCATTCATCGATACATGGTCCGGTAGAGAGGGTGGCGTAGACTGCAGGAGGGGGAGTGTACGACTTGTTGGTGGTATGAACGTGGCTGTTGGCGAAGCCTTGTTCGAACGACTCATCGCTGGAACAGGATGCACCGGCGTCCTCATCATCTTCGAGCTCTTCCGACATTTGGGATTCGGAATCTTCCTCACTGCTGTAAGTCTCAAGATTTTCCCAGTCATGGTTGTCCGAGAAGGCACCTGGAGTGAAAGCCGCTGGTGGGGTCGTTGTTGGTGTCACCAGAGCCTGGTCCTCGTCAACGGTGACAGGCACCTTCCGCGTGCCTTCAGCCAAGTCTGATCCATTGGCCGCGGGCTTGGACTGGGATGCCTTAGGGCTCGAGGTCTCCGCATCGTCTCGCGTGCAGCCATCCGCAGCATCTTTGCTGAGAGGGGATGTAGCCGGGGTGGACTGATCTTTGGGGTGGGTAGAGTCTGCTTCAGATTCGTCGTCCGAGTCGGGAACCGTGAATGTTGTCACTTGCTTATGGCAAGAGTCACGAACTATTTCGATCACCTCATCGTCGTCGGGTACAGAGAAACTGTTCGTGGATGGCTTCGTGGGAAGCTCTCCGGGGGGTTCACTTGGCTCCTTATCACTAATGAGGGGTCAGTATATATAGTCATACCCAACCACCCAGGCATACATACTCATTATCGAACCACTGACACTCGCAGCGAACCTTGAGGGGAGCAAAAGTCTCTGGAGAAGAGAAAGTTAGCCCTGCATGTAGTACACACAGAAGAGACTATATAGGCTGGGACAGTCGATAGAACAGAAAAAGCGAGTCAGGTAGTAGACATACCAGAACCGCGAGTGACTTCATTCCCAAAGGTGAGTATATCACCGCTCTGTACGGTGACATCTTTTCCGGTAGGGATCTTCTTGTCATTGAGTGCGGTACCATGCATAGAGCCGTTATCCCGAACGTAAACAATCTTTCGCAAAACGTCAGTTTGAATTTATCCCCTTGTCAAGCCAGAAACATAGATGGGAAAACCGACCTCCTTGTCCAGACGGACCCCAATGCGGGCATGATCCCTTGACATCACTCGCGATTCGAACCAAGCATTGTTATGCGCAGGGACAAGGTTTTTGGACAGGCATTTGGAAGACCGTCCGATACTGACGTTGTCTTTGTCCGAGGCAAAGGTCAGGGATCGAAAGGGGAGAGTGTCTGGTGAATAGATAGGGTGGAGGGTTATGACCGCTGCTAAGCGTCAGTATCCAAGATAACCGTCCTTATCGGTTGTGGATAAGACCTACCGTGTCGACGAGGCATGATGACAGCGGTTAACCAGCATAAGTCTTGAAGAATATCCTTTCGATCGACATTCGAAGTCTGATGCCCGCAGTCAGGATGAGGGGACTCGAGGACAACTTGCTTTGGAAGCAGTCGACACCAGCGTAGCACAGCTTACCTAGTCGTACGCAAAGCAGCCCCACACGATCTATGGTATTCAGGTCTCTTTCTCTCTCTCAAAGGCAGAGCTCCGATCAGGACGGAACTCGCTGCCAGAGATCAGAAAAGGCCTGAGAGGTGATGTAGTAGTAGTAGATAGTAGATGGATGGAGCAGAGGATGAATGAATCCTCACGAGAGAGAGGGGTAGAGGGAAGTAGAGGAACGGACCGGAGACCCGATGAGGTGAAGCTGAGTTGGGCCCAACCGGGCGGAGAGAGAGAGAGAGTCCAACGCAGGTAACTTCGCTAGCAGGCAGAAAGACGAGTCACCTGCCTGGATGGCTCGCTAGCCTTGGATGACCGTGCTGGGAAAGCGCAATAGGCAGCCAGTCAGACGGTCAGTCGGAACGAGAAACGGGAAGGCTTCGCGGGCTGTTGACTCACTGCAGCCTGTCTGTACCGTTAATGAGGTGTATCTACTCGACAGGACCTTTGGAGATCGAGGCATGAGACTGTCGTCACCAAGGGGTGGCCCATGGATGTCTGCGATACATACAACAGACTGATAGGCAGAGAAACCCCGCCCCTTTTGGGCCCAGAAGAAGCGACGGAAAGCTTCATCTGTGATTGGGGCCAGCGGAACAGACAGCTATGGTACCGTAAAGAAGGAGAGGAGTACGAGTAATGTTTCGAATCGTGTCCCAGACCGTCGCAGATTTGATTATACTCGAATGTCACCATAATGCCTACCAGTTATCTATCGTCCATGGAGTCAGCAGCTCTTCACAAGGAACTCGATGACCCCAGATATCATTACTCTCATAAATCGACACTAATAAACGATACATACACCTGCGCTGGAGGGGCATCTCACAGATGAGGTATTTGCAAGCTGATAGGCGGACATTGCGCCCGCTAGCTTAGGTACCCCGTTTGAAGTCAGATGACGGCGCCGATAAGCCCGCCCGCAAACAGGACACTAATAATAGCCAAAAGAGCTCCAGGGATAAGATGAACAACATTCCAACACTCTCACATTTGATATAGTACAACTCTCTACGTACCTCGGCTAACTGAACACCCTGCCAGTGATCCGTTCGACAACACCCAGGCCCTTCCTCTTGTTTGCAATGACCCCAGAGGCAGCGTTCATCGAGACAACAAACAAACCAAAGCAAAACAAGGCCAACAGGATCAAACCCGCTCCAGATATTAAAATACAATCACAGGAAACGACAGCGACCAGACCCGAAGGAAATAAGCCCAGGGAGGAAGAAGGATTCATCAGGCACATGTGACCCAGTCGTCCGGTTCAAGAGATCACAGGAAGATAGATACGAAGGGACACTGGCCGGCTGACAAACGAAGACAGTCCCAAGAGAGACCGTATTTACTACGTTTTTTTTTCCCGACCAGCTCAATCGATTGATCGAATGCCCAGGTTTACAGGCCAGGGGCGCCACCGATACCGGCTCCCATGCTCTGCAGACGGGCTGCCAGCTGGGGGTATTTCTCCTGAACCTCCAGCTGCGTCCGCGTAGCCTCCGCGTACGAAATGGCGTTGACCACTTCGGCCTCGGTACGTGCCAGTTCGGCCGCTCTCTCGAAGTACTTGAGCGCCTGCGAGACCTTACCCTGCTGCAGAAGCAGCTGGGCCATGGTGCCAACGGCAATGTCGCATTCGGGGTCAACTGTGACTCGTCAGTGATTACATCCACTTGGTTCCTTATTATCCAGAAGGACTTACTGATGAGGGCCTTCTGGCACAGGTTCTCCGCCTCCTGGAAGTCGTGCTTCCACTGGAACACGGCAAGAGCCTTGTTGATCAGGGGCAGGACATTGATACCCATCGGCTTGCTGTTCTTCTCCATGTCCATGGCCTTGTCGAATTTCTCAACGGCCTCGGGGAACTTCTGCTGGTCGAGCAGAAGCTCACCAAAGTAGTTGTAGACATCGGGGATATCCTCGAAGTTCTTCTCGGATCGACGGAATGTCGCCATGGCAGAGGCAACAGAACCCAGCTTGTACTGTGTCACACCCAACTGGATGTGGGAATAAATGAAACTGCGGTCCAGATCAATCGACTTCTGATAATCCTTGGCGGCTTCGGCGAACTCTCCGAGGATAAAGTGGAGCTGAGCCCGGTGGTAGTAGATGTCGGGGTCATCCTTGTTGTGAGTAATGGCCAGTTCAAAGTCATCCTGGGCAGCATCCTTGTTTCCTGCTTGACGTTAGCTGCGGTTCAAGAGATCAACAAAGAACAATATGGCTTACCGAGCTCAAGGTGCAGGCTGGCACGCTTGACATAGCTCTGAACCAGGGCCGGCTGCAGCTCCAGACTCTTGTTCAGATCGGCCAGGGCGGCCTGGGCGTTTCCTTGCAGGTAGGTGAAGGTAGCGCGCATGTTGAGCGCGTCCGCTTCATACTCACCCAGGTCACCTAGCTCGAGGGCCTTCTCGAAGGCCCGGGCAGCCTCCTCATAGCCGTCACCGGTCTTCTTTTCCAGGGCCAAGTAACCCTTACGGAGCTGGCCCTTGCCAGTGTCCTCGCTCAGTTCTGCAGACTCCTCCAAACCGGCCGGTACCGGCTTGGGGCGGAAGCTCTGCAGGTAGTTCGAGACAAAGGTGGCATTGGGAAGCTTCTTTCCCTTGGCCTCAATGATCTCCTTGCCCTTCTTTTCCGCGACCTTCTTGAGCAGTCGCTCGAGAGAAAGACGGCTGGTGTCGTTTGTGAAGCTGTCGATAATGCAGCTGGCCGTGAAGTCAAGGAGGGCTTCGCTGAACTTGCCTAGGTGCTCGTAGGCAATGGCTCTCCGGTTGAGGGCCTTGACGTATCCACTGTCCATAGCAATGGCAGCACTGGTGTCCTCAACCACCTTCTCCCACTCCGACAGAGCATTGTAGCAGGCTGCCCGGTTGGAGTAGAACACCGGATCGGGCTTGCACAAGATAGCCTTTCCATACAGGTCAATTGCTCTGTTGTAATCCTTTGACCCGTAGGCCTTGTTTCCGGCGGCTTTAAGCTTGGCGGCATATGCCTTCCTGGTCTATAAGACAAGTCAGCTGGAGTCGTTCCGTGACGGAACAAACGAACTAGAAAAAAAAAATGTTATGTGGTCCACACACCTCTTCGTCGAGGTTCCCGACGGTCGCCTCATCGACCTCAGGAAGCTCATCAGATGGCTCCCCAGCCTTCTTCTTGGCCGACTCTGAAAGCTCCGTCAGTATAAGGCCGTCCAGGCCCATAATGCCGCGGTCTCCGACGACATACCATCCTGTGCGGATGCAGCCTTTTCCGCCTTCTTCTCCTCCTCGGCCCTCTTCTTCTCCTTCCGTCGCTCCTTCTTGCTCTTCCTCTTCTCCGCAGACGGTGCAGCAGGCTTGGTGCTTGAGTCCGAGAGGTAGTAGACCACTCCGGCGCTAGTCACTACCACCGCAACACCGGCGATGGTGTAGACAACAGCCTTATTCTCTGAAACCCATGTCGAAATGCGATCCCATACTGACGCTGAGGAAGATGAGGAGAGAGAAGATGTATCAAGGACCACGTTCTGAGTGGCCGTCGCTGGGGGCGGAGCGCTCGACATGATGCGCGTGAAAACAGGAAAAAGCGACCTTTTTTTCGCTTCCGACCGAAACGTCTGCTCCCACGAAAGCCGTAGGATTAAAAAGAATTATACAATGTGATGATTAAAAGCAAAAGGAATAGAATGGAGAGAATGACGGAAGGAGATCCCAGGAGATAGACGAAGGCGAAGCCTTAGCGGAGGAATGGCTGCTCTAGAGGGATAGACCTTTGAAAAGTTATCGAGTTCGATGATCCGGGCGGCTGTTTGGCTTCTTCGGGCTCGCTGCTGGTCTTCTTCCCGAGCTCTACCCAGCTGGGCCAATCAGCGGAGCCCCGGGCCGTGCTGACTGAGCGCGCTATTTGGTGTCTTTTTGCGGAAGATTGTGATAAATGCTCATCCGATCTTCAGACGAGTCTGTTTGGGGAGATGGGAATGGTCTATTCCTGAAACATTCCCGTACTGGAACCATCGTCGAAGATGGTGTTCCTGAGAGAAAAGCGCCTGATCCGGATCGTATACTCCAGTAAGCGTCTTCCCGCAATAGCATCATGCGGGGACAGAAATCACAACAACGCGTCGTCCTGCAATTATCTTGCACAGGAGATGGACTTGAAGTTAGATACGTAGAGGTTCCAAGGAGTATCCAGGGATAATTATCAGTTGCTTGTTAGCCTGTTAGGTCGCTAAAGCACATGAAGCACGACCGGTCCAACGTCATAGTTAAGACTATGGCAGTAACCACAGAAATACGCACACAGGATCTCTATCTCTAACTATATATCATAATTTCTTCTCAGAATGAAACGACCTGGATAAGGGATATGACCCTGTAATCGAACTGCTTACTAGTCTAGTAGTACTCAGTCATGGTTATCTTGTCGACTGCTCTCTTGCAGTATTGGAACCGCTGCTTTCTAGGATCAAAAATTAGCCTCGACCATGCGGTGAAGACGACAACTCAAGTTGAACTGGGACGGTCTCTACACTAATCCGTAACAGAGGAGCACGGTTTTTCCTTTCCCCAGTTGCAGATCTTGAACGAGACTCCCCATGGTCCATGCTGAGAGTTCATGTACGCCGTGCATGGGTCAACGTGTCCAACTGCCGTTTGGGGTCGTCAACATTGGCTATCGGGTCTTTCGACGGGAGAAATTATGGCTGGGCATATTCCGGGGAGATCTAGGCCCCGCATACTTGCTTGTTGGTGTGGTCAATAACAGTGTGCCCTCGCGATCATCTCTCGACTCCAGCGATCGCGAGCAAATGAACCCTTTGTATCACCCTCCATAAGTCTCCGTGCACGGTTCCGCTGAGCTCTTGACGTAACTCTGCGCAGTCCAGCAATGCAGCCCTTTGTCTCTGTCGCCACTGAGCATATCTGCTGTGGAGTATGGAGTTCTGGATACGCTCCAGACTCCAGAGTATCAGGATTATTGCCTCCAGAGCTGCTCGTATTCTCCAGCGCATCTGGTCGCTGATTGGCTGGACACGGGGGTCTCACGTGAGGTAATGCTGACAACCCCGCGTTTCTGATTTGGTTAGCGCCGGCGACTGCAGGAAAGCTCTCGGAAGCAGAAAGTGCAGGATTGTCCGACCGGCCCAGAAGAAGCAGAAAAGCAGACGACCTCGGGCGCCTCCCATCTTCCATCCTTACTCCAGGATTCCCCCAATTCCCTCAAAACAAACCAATCCTCTACGTCCGGCGATGGGCATTTCGCAATCATGAAGTTCTTCGAAAACGTTTTCAGCTACGACTATTCCTTCCCTGCTGTCTCTCTGGCTTATTTTCTCCGTTATCCCAACCCTTACTCCCGTCATGTCCTCACGACCGATGTCATCGACCGCTATGTTGACCCGGAAACTCAACGACTCCACACCACCAGGCTTCATCTGAAGAAGTCCAAAATCCCTTCTGCCATGCTCAAACTCCTTCCCAAGGGCATTGGCGGATCGGACAATTCCGGTCAGAGTTTCATCCTCGAAACGAGCGTCGTTGATCCCAAAGAAGGATGGATGAAGACGGAATCCCGCAATATGGAGTGGACGGGCATCTTGAGCGTCGTTGAAAAGCAATTCTACCAGCGACAGCCCGCCCTGGATGGTAGCCAGGACCTTGCCGGTCTCTCGATCGACCAGAAGAAAGATGAGCGAACAACGGTCAAGACGACAGTCACCTTCCTGTCGAGACTCGGACAAGGCAAGCTACTCGGACATAAGAGGAAGCCTGAGTTGCCGCCTACCGGAGCCGACAGTGAGAGCGAGGAGGACGTTCCCAAGCAAGGTTTCTTCAGCTCGTGGTCCACGGCCGGTCTTCAGCGAACTATTGAGCTGATCGGCGTCAAGAGGACCCGCGATGCCATCCTGAAGAGCAAGCAGGGAATGAACGTTGTGCTGGAGCGTTTGCGGAGCGGGGGAATAGTCGGTGTTATGGAAGGCATGCGACAGGACCGCGAGGCGACTTCCGGCCCGGAAGGCCCCTGGAAGCGCGTCTGGCTGCAGGGCAACAACCTCAAAGAAACGGCCTATCTCGAAGACGACGACAATTAACGTCGATGTACGAATGAAGCGGAAGACGAACGAAGAAAGATCTCTCATGCATATTCGGTTTTGGAGCGCGGAGTTACGGAGCTTGGATTTTGTTATTGACGGACACTCTCCCACCACCATCGACTATCGATTTACCACGTACTGGAGCTATTTTTGAGGGCACACAGGAAGCTCTGTTGTATTGGGCCTGAAAGACACGGCAAGATAAAGAAAAAACAAAATTACCACCAGTTGTATGATACTGGGAAAATCCCTGGTGACCATGGTGCTTTCGCTCTCGTTGCAGGAGGAAAGGCCAGCTGTACATTAGTGAAGCATATCTTCAATCTTCTTTGACTCTGTCAATGGTATTAGTATTTCTTTTTGAAGACATCATCAAAGCATTTGGTCCCTTAGATCCCACAGTAGTTCATTCTGCAGCGAATGCCGCAGGTATTAAGGGCGCAAATGCTCCGCAGTCCACGGAGACCAGGCGCCGGAAGGATACATCTCATATAAAGGTAACACGTATCCTACAGAACCCCACGCTTTGGATACTACTTGAGTGTATAGTGACACAAATTATCAGACGACCAATCCGGGTCTTCGATCAACGAACAGAAACATAAAGGAAGCAGGACAAGCTGAAATAACGCTGAAAAGCTGAAAGGCTGAAAGGCTGAAAGACTCCTAGACCCACACGGGCCAAGGGGAACTATTTCAGAACTACCTTGCACCGCACATTTGCTTAGAAAACCAAAAGAAGTCCCGGCGCCGAAAGGGGTAATTTCTAGCCATATTATCTCGATGTCTTGGATGGAACAATCTGCTCCGTGTGCTAATATTCAAGTCAGCTCAAGTCGAGATCATGGTCTCTGTTGCTATGACCAAGTTAATTTCAATCTGTCGATAGTCTCCTCCTAGTTTATGCACTTATATGATGCTGTGTGTAGATAGTATGTGACCATAGAAGACTACTGTAGGTACTGGCGATGTTGTTTACTTGAGATTATGATTATCTATTGTTATTGCTGGTTGGGCGAGAGTGCCTCAGACGTCATTGTATATCGGCTCTTGTCCGTAATGATACCCGGGATCTTGGCAACGTTGTTCGAAAAATGTTTCTGGCGTTCCTGGATGTACTCCTGTAGTCCGTGCTGTACACACAAGGGTCAACAAAGAATAATCCTTTATCTTTTAGGTTGCTCACCACGGCTAATTGATTATAGTTAGCCGTCCTTCGTCGGATGACTTTTCCAAAGATCGATACTGATGCACAGAACAAACACGTGAACTGTCACTGCGATTATCGATATCTCCCCGTTCGAGGTCCTATCAATGATCATCCAGGAACTCTCCCAGGCGAAGAAAGGATCAGCGGTGGCTAGAAGCCCCGCTAGCGTTGCAACGGCCAAGACACCGGTATGCTTGATGGGGGATTCAAGAATGCAATTGTTGGCATTGACACAGAGAAGATGGATCGCGGTTCATGCGACGGATGGGTGAGTCTGATGACATGGGAGGAATCTGCGTCGAGTTAACTATCTACTCGTCTTAAGGGAAAGCCCGAGGGGGGAAGACTCCGTTACTCTTCTGAAACAAAGCAACTCACCGATGGTTTATTCTTTTTTTGAGTTGAGTTGATCTCCCGCTCCGTTCAGGCTGTTGCGGTCTTTCTATCCGGAGTCTTGGATCAGAATTACCATAATAATAATACTTAGTGAACGCCGTCAAGTGGTTTCATCTCCAGCGGGGTGGGTTCAGTAATGGCCGTCGCCCAGTGAGCACTCCGACGTACGCCGTAGTCACAAGTCACAAGCACAGTAATACTTTAGGAGTCATATAGCGAGCTGCTAGTGAGATACGGAACTTGCCGGACAATCCGATAGAGCAGTCTCTTGCCTTTTAGTTTGTTCATGGCATGCCCTACTTCGAGTTTGGGTTTGGCCGCGTCGGGATAAGCGTACCTGTAGCAAGACTACCGGCAAGCCTCAAAGGGACCCAGCGCGCCGCCAGCGCGCCTCCCACTTCATTCTCGCTGCCTCACCTCCTCTTCGTTCGATCCTCAATAATTCACCTCTTCTCCCCCCCAGCACGAGGTCGTGAGCATGCAAATTGCTGTCCAGATCCTCGACTCTCCGTCGTTGTCGCCCCTAGAGGTGACTGCGACGCTCTCCCGGAGATGAGACGACCTCCGAAGCTGCTGCTTTGGATGGCCTTTCGCAGCGTGACCAAACTGCCGTCTCTGCCATTCCTCATTCTCGCTATCGTCACCCTCGTCAAGGCTCAAACGTGCGCCTTCACAGACGACAGCTGCATCGATCCCCTCGCTCAGACAGCTGTGCCGTTGTCTTTCAGCCCCCTGTTTCCGCAAAACATCACCTTTTATTATGGCTTCGATGCCGCTTATCTTTCCGCCTCGGAGGGTTTGTCACTGGACGGACAGAGTGAAGGACCGATAGTGAAGGGCAGCTTCTGGCTTGGATACGGTTCTCATATGTCTTCTACTGACGTTCACGCCAATCATACCTCCGAAGTCGCCGTGCGCGTGGGAAACCTGACTGGCTCCCCTAGCGGAGGAAATAATGGCTGCGATGGTGTCTGGGGATCTGAATGCTCGCAGGAGATCAAACACCTGCTGCAAGGGTCCATCTACGACCTCTCTGTAATGGGATCCTATTACACCAATCCCCTGCAGACAGTACTCAGGCAGCTATGGCAGACACCACTAGCAATTGTCTCATGCCCTTCAACTTTATTCACAGTCCAGACAATTCCGGCTGAATGTACGTGTTGCTCCATGCTCGCCCTTCTCTTGTTTCAAGATGTGCTGACGGCAGATCATAGCATTCGCCCAAGAAAATGAAGTCGGTCAGTCGGTGCAGATTATGGACCCGGGGAACAGTGTCTCGCCGTGGCAGACATGGTTTGTTCACGGGGTTTCTGCTTCTGAGCAAGCGGAACAGGTTGCAGTCGGGATCCTTTCGAGAGGCCCGACCTATGCTTCCGAACCGTTGAAGAGTCCACATGATGTGCAGATTGAACTCGTCTGTGTCAGGGCCCCGCAAGAAGCACGTTGAACCAGACATGCTTTGTCCTCAGGACACAAAGAAGCTTCGATGTCTGACATCCACCTTATGGGATTCCAAGGAGGCGATACAAGGGTATGAGGAAGACTTCTGTGGGGTGTTTCAACGATCTCCGGACGCTCCCTACTCTCCACCCAATAGCTATATTGAGCACGCCCTAGCCCACGCAAGCACCACACCGCCTGAGGCTCAGTTGTTCAAGCACACTTATTCTCACTCTCGGTGGTTGAAAGCCAGCTGGTGGTTAGGAATATTCGCAAACGCGCTATCGTCGAGGATGACGCATTAACCTTTTCTGAATTTGGACGCTAACTGCGGCCTCCCGCCTCTACACATAGCATCTTATGCTTACTCATGGATACCCAAGTCGTTTGAATGTTTATAGAGTTGTTTGCTCGAATCAATATTCTTATATCTCCTATTTATATCCTCATCGTGCAGATCTTTTCGCCTTGTTCGTTAGCCTGTGAACAAACAGATGCCGAACTTTCTTATCTGATCGGATAACGGTTTTAAGCGTGATCTGTCTCGAGAGGCTCAAGATATCTTGCGGGGACTCGGGGACAGACTTAAATGACTGTCCTTCGATTAGATGAGGTCCGTGTCAGGCTTGTCGCTGCAGCAGGTCAAAACCAGAAGCGATTTACGGGTAACCGATGTGGATGTTTACCGTCCGCGCTACATCTCTCCGCCCCAGCGCTTTGCAGGATACTTTTCCTGGATAGACATTCCAACTTGCGACTCGAGTCGACAGTTATGACATTTCGGCATGCGAGTTGTATATACAGAACATGGGATAATGCATCATTCCTATTTTTATGCAGCTCAAAGGGCTCCTTCCATCCTCATCATAAACCACGGCACCGTGTCTTCGTTTCTAGCCCACGATCCTCACCATAAAGAACGCAGGACGGATTACAACGTTGTCCAGTGCATCTCTTCAAACCAAGTACATTGCCAGAATTCTCCAGGTCGGGTCCATTGGTAGATTAGCTGGCAGTTGCAGATGTCAGCTTCGACCTCCAGTTGTGGAAGGACGGGCACGTTGAATTGGGTTTGCGCTATAGATGCACCACTAGGATAGGAAAGTGGTTAAAAGGGAGGGGAGACGAATTGTTATCAACGACAAAATTAGACGAACCATATGCTAGCATATCAAGCTTTTTACATCCTTTAATCAATCCTCGACTCTTATCTACAGCGAACACGCATATACTATCAACTCTGCTGTTTGAAAACACACTTAACCAATATCTATATACATACATCACCAGGTCGCATCCATGCCTTTCTTTCTAGTATCTACAGCACAAGCTCCAAAACCAAAATTAATCCATGGACCCTCAACTTAAGCCAACTCAACAGGCAAAAAAAAATTCCCAACGGTAATTTCCCCCGACTGAAATCCACAACGTACTCTCGACATCGGCAGCGGCTCCATCCGGCCTATGGTATGGCATAGTTACCGACGTTGAAACGGCGTCATAGGGAATCAATCGTCGGAGCGGCCGGATCTACTCTAAGAAGACGACATCAGGTTACTGTCTAGGTACATACCTACACGTACAAAACCGGTTTGGTCTATTCCTATCCCTGCATAGGTGAAAGGAGCCAGTGGAGAATAATAGAGACTAGAGTTGCGCTGGTTATTGATAAGATCAAGAGTGCAAGATTATGTATGCTCTTTCTTTTATATATAATGTCATCGTCTCTCTTTTTTATTCTTAGTTAATTCCTCTGTGTATAGTTATGTAAATGCGAATAACTATAACTACCTATATATTCACCATAGAAGGATGAATACGAATAATACTAGATAGAGTATGTACGTAGGTATATTATTCCACTACCTCCCCAAGTTTATATCTCCACTATGGGGTATTTCCCAATAATAATCTAGGCTTGCCGTACCATATTATATACACCGCTGAGATGTATCATTCCCTCCCCATTTTTTTCCTTTTCGTATTAATTTAATTAATCCTAGTTTCGATTTTGTGTGGACTCCAAAAAATTCTGTTTTCGATCGAGAGGGAGAGAGAGAGCGCGCACGGGCAGAAGTCGATGATGTCATTTGGGAAATCGGCTTTTCCGCAGGAAAGTTCCGCATTCCTATCATGATGTATAGTATGGTATACGATAGATAACTTAGGTATCACAGGTGGTTTTAGTTCAATTGATTAATTGATTGATTACTAGCTATAGCTTTTCCATGCATGGGATATTTTAAATGAAATAGTACGATTTTCTCAACCCCGGATAGTTAACTATTCCAACTAAATACATACATAATTAAACGTTAGGACGGAGAGGCGCATGGACAGGACTCAAGAGTATTGCATCCGTCCTATATGCTTCTGGTCTTAATTGTCTCGTTCCGTGTCAATCGTAACCGTGCGCCATATACCGTCCGTTATTATTATTGATGGAGAAGATGTGTCTCTCATGGATTATACCCCCTGCCATAAACCCCATACCATACCGAGTCCAGTAGAAGAAACTTCTAGGATCCCCTCTCAAAGCTTCCTGGAGACCAGGGACCCTAGTAGACAAACGCAACGCAAATACAACCGAGAAACCAATTGGTAATACAACCTCCGCAGGATGAGAGGATGGAACAGTAGTCGTCATAGTGCAGGCGTAGGAGGGTACAAGGCAGGGGTGAACCCTCACCATTCATCCTCACACCAGTCATATTAGAAGAGTAATTAGGGATTATATCGTAGGGACACCAGGAGCATGTATCCAGACCGATCCAGGACGGAACATTATGTCACTGGTTATAAATTCTCGTGCTGGAAATCAGTCAGATATCATTTCCATCAGAGTTCATTACCATCATTACTTACCTCTTTTATTCCCAGATCACGCCTCTCATATTTAGACCTGGGACATAGCCGGGCCTCTGCGGGGAGCGCGGCTGCGCAGGTTGGCACCAGTGCTACGGGAAGCGAGGATAGAGAGAACCAACGAGCCCATAAAGCAGGCCCAGGCGAACCAGAGGAAGGCAGTCGAGGCCTGGCCTTCACGGCAGCGCTTTTCCCGGTGGCGGGAGTTGTTGGTCACATCGTTGTGGAGGAGGTACTTCTATTGTTTCACATTGACGGTTAGTAGAGATGACTTAGAAAAATAAAATCATGGCAGATGATATGCTGGAGATGAGGAAAGACGTACCTGGTTGCTGCAGCTGTGCGCTTCCAGTCTCGCGGCCAGAACGATTCCCGAAGTCAGGAAAAAGATGGCGTTCAGAGTGTCGAGAATGATCGGGATAATTGCGTGGAGACCCCATTCAGGCTCCCAAGTCATCGGGAAGAGGAGGAAGAGCGACACCATTGAGAAGGCCGATGTGAACATAGCATAGTTCACCGAAGCGGGGTTTCCTCCATCGAAGGCTTGGGCGATCATGTTACCGACCAGAGCCATTACAATGAGGGTAAACACGAACTATAGGAATTGTAAGCGCCATTGATTTATCACAGCTAGTAGATCCCTTGGGAATTGCTTCCTACCTCTAGTGAACGAAGCACTAGACCAACAGTTCTCGCAACCATCTTGACTGTATTCTTGGAGGGCTCGTTTCAATTGGACGGTGGTTCTCTTTGGTAAGTATAACCCTCTGGCAGTGATGCTTGCGCGCAACGGTGATCGGGAACAGTGGCGAGTCGATAAACCCCAGGCGATCCTTTCGTCTGTTCTTCTTGTCTTGACAAGCTGCACGAGTCGGATTTACCGTCCGCCAGGAGGGCTTCCTCGCAGATTTATGATGACTTCGGGGTTGGGCGGAGCGGGATATGACGAGATCTGTCAGATGTCTGCTACGTCATACCACCGACGACTTTGACACGCAGTTTTGGACGGTGGAGATGAGGGTTTCAATCAAAGTAAAATCTAGATCTTGTCTTGCAACGGATTTTGATGGATAGATGGATAGTTAGATAGATAGATGGATAGATAGATAGCTTTTCTATTCGAGAGAGAAGCCATATCGAGGGTGGTTGATTGTATTCTATTCTACTGCCTAATCGCTGTCTCCCTGCAACGCCAATAATACCTCTTTGCTCTCTCTCTCTCTCCCTCTTCTTCCCCTCCAATGGAGAACTCGTTAGGGCATGTCACGCGGGCTGAGCCCTAAACCCCCGGTGCTGAGCCCTCAGCCCTAAGCCTCGAGACTGTCCTATCAGACGGCGATTCCATTCCGCTACCATCCGACTACGAAACGCAGTTGGCAGTTTGGCCAGTCAAAGCAAGCGCAAGTGTTGACGTAGCTGTTGCACGATCCTTGCGCTGCGCCGGGTTGGTGGAATTTCGTGGACCAGTCATCATAAACTTGGTTCTACTAGAAGGAGCTGATAACGGACCGTGGAGTAAGTACCATACCATGGAGTACTCTAGAAGTACGTAGTGGAGAACAGCGCGTAGTTATCAGCCAGGATCAGGATCAGGATCAGTATCAGTTACTCTACAAGAGCGCCAACCAGCTTCTTCATCTCAGGGAAATTCCCCCTCGAGACTTATAATAATAACCCTTCTCTCTCTGTTTCTACAGCCACAAGCCATTCTGCAAAGATCCCTTTTCCCGCATCCGATAGTATCATAGTCCCGTCAACGCTGGTAGTCCAGTGGGTCAAGCAGCCCGGGTCCGCACATCCGGGTCCGTCGCGCGATGGGGATCACGCCTACCTTAATTGCAAACCTTATCTGGGCTGCACGAGTCACCACAGGTCCGATGCGATGCGACTCTCGCTGGGTCAGAAGGCTAGACTGCCATCTTTTAGCATGTCTGTTCTCTTTTTCCCGCGTTCTCCTAGTTTACTAGGTAGTTACTTAGTCCGGCGCTTAGGGTAGGTTTACATCATCCGAGGTTCATGGCTGCTACATTCTCCGAGAGAGAGAGAGAGGTAATTATCGTGCTGTCGGAAGAGGAGGGTTGCGATACTTGACTGCATTCCAACGTACAGAGGATATTTGCCATTCCATGACAGCAATTGACTCTCGTTCTTTCCGGGTCCTTATTGTCGATCAACAGCTGGACCTTCAGGATGCACGTCAGACCGTACGCTGAAGATATATATATATATATTGGACTTCTAGCTGGGAAGATGTATTGTGCGTGTCAATTGTAGTGCAGTTAAAGGTGCATAGGTCCAAAGCTGGATTCTGAAAGACTGCTGGTTAACGAGTTGCCCCGCTTATTTCCAATTGCACTCTAAATCCTAGATACCGTGGCCAGAGGTACGACCAGTACGCTGTGCGAATAGTAGTAGAAATAGGAAACACATCAGTGCTTCCTGTCGAACAGAGAAGAAAGGGTAATTGTTCCTGATGATTAAAAGGTTTTTCTAAGACGAATATCTCCGTTGTTTAAGAATTCATTGGTCGCCGTCACATATTATCCCGCTCAGCTCTCCTGGCCTAGCTTGCCTAGCGCTTCGTTCAAGAAGTCATTGGCGTTCATCAACTCCGTACTTCCATACACCACCCTCCGGCGCCCGTGCAGACCGGAAGATCCAGCTCCAGGGCCTCCCGCACCTCCCGCACCGCCAGCCTGACCGCTCGTCCGCTGCACCCAATCTTGCAAGTTACCGTACTCGTCCATGCTACCACCGCCAACCGTGAAGACAATGGCCTCGTTGAAGCCTTGTCGCCGTTGACCAAACGTCGCGCTCGTTCCGGGTCCAACGCCTCCCTGCGGTCCGCCGCCGGGAGAGCGGGACGCGGTGGGTGGCATAGCACCGCGCGCGTTAGAACTCCGTGGATCGAAGTAAAGGTAATCCTCTGTCTTCGCAATGGCAGAGCTCGAGGCCGAGGCAGGATCCATTATAGACTCGGTGATCTTGGTGAGCGTAAGATCCTTGTTTGCAGGTAGGAAGTTCTTCACCCCCGAAATAAGGGAGTCGAAGTTGGCCCCCAGGGCACCAGAAGTGATCCGGTCCGTCAGACGGTTGGATAGTGAGGAGAACCCGCGGAAAAGGTCCGACGATTGCTGCTGGGGTGCACCAGTCGCAGCGCTCGTCATCATCGTCATACGGGTGATTTCGCGAACACGTCTCACGTACTTGATGGAGCTAGTATCGCGGACACCAGCCCGCGTAAGTGCTTCCTCGAACTGGGTCATCTCATTTCGAGAGAGATCACTCTCAGTACTGAGGAACCAGATAATGAAGAGGCGGAGTTTATCTGTGGGATCACTACCCTTGTTCGGATCGTTGATGAGTTCCAAAATCTGTGCTTTGGTCTGCTTCCCGATATTCTCTTCGAGCTGGAAGAAGTTGTCAAGCTGGCGGTCCTTGATACCTTTCAGCAGAGCGGTAGCGATGTTCATATGCATATCCAATGTCGCCTTGCGTTGGCGCAGCTCTGGAAGAAGCGTGATAGCGGCCTTCAATTGCTGCGCGGAGGCACTGGTATCATTCTGAAGATCTTCAATGGATGAAGCGCCAGTTTTTCTCGTGATCTCGTTGGCGTCCTCCTTGTACCGAGTCAGCTCTGTGTCGATATTTTCCGCTACCTGCGGGAATGGGACGCCAGCATTGTTTTTCCAGAAAAAGTCAGTTGAGTTCAAGTCATAGGACCGTTTAGTGGTTCCTTTCGCTGGGTTGGACTCGTCCACGGGTGTCTCCACTGTAATGCGGTTTAGCCGCATTTCGAGGACGTCCTGAACAAGAGACTGGTATGTCCATGAGTGTGAAAGCATAGGGACAAGGTCAACACTGCGGTCGACGATTATCAGGACAGGCCTGGAGGAAGGGACCCCAGCAGCACTCTTCTTGCTACCAGAGAACAGGTTGTCCTTGGAATTAAGAATATGATCGCGTAGTTTTCGGTCAAGCTTGGTTGCAATCAACTCAGCTGGACCGCCCTTGGGACACCGTATAATTGGAATGCTCCCTATGATTTCAATGAGTAACATGGCCCGTCGAACCAAGAAAAAGGGCCTCACATACCCATGGTAACGCTGACGCTGAATAGCCCGCTCACTATCTTGTCCACCGTGGCATCCAGATCCTCATCGGTTGTTTCTGAACTGTTGATCTTCCAGTAGACATCCCTTCCCATTCCCAGACTGAAGAGGTCGGGTTCTGCCACAACAAAGTTCAAATATTGATCGTATACTTGTGCGACATATTCTGCCGTCCCCGTCGATGCAATCTGCGACGCGAAATCTTCAAGGAGCGGCCGGGGAATGGAAGACAAGAAATTTACGTAGGCCGGAGAGTAAAGGCCCCGGGAGAGGTCTGAAGTAATAAGTTGGATATTGACGGGGGTCGGTTCGACTAGGTAGACCACAGGAACATCTGGAATTGGGTATCGAGGAGAGTTGATGTTCCTAGCAGCGGACGGTCAGTTGCGATGCTACAATAGATACAGGATGAACAAGGAACCGCATCTTGGGAGCACACATACAAATGAATCGTTACACCCCATGCGCGCAAGTCATTAACCCGCAAAACACTACTAATCACATCTCGGCCCATGTTGTCGAATACCAGGACCTTCCATATGGGGTCGCCATCTTCATTCAAGATAGGAGTTGACTGTGAAATAAGTCCATTGGTGGACGATTCGTGCGACGTATCCGCGCCATGATGGGTGTCATGATTCAAGTTAAGTATCTTTTCGATCGATGCTATCGAATGTTGTCAATCTCAGTGAGTTTGGCTGGATTCCTAGAGTGGTGCACAACCTACCGACCTGACGGTCCCGAAGCGACGCTGGATGCGATGCCATGGTGGGTGGCAGCTCCAACACTAAACGTTCACGAAGAATGAGCACTCAAGAGAGGCTTCATGACACAAGGAAATCGCACAACACACCCCAGTCACCATAAAAACCAGTGCAAGGAACGTCTTGTCTATCAACGCTTCACCAGGTGGCCGCATCGCCCTCACCATCCACCTGGCATCCCGAGGAGCTGTCCCCGGCCGTGCTGACATAATCTAGGCAAAACATGCAAACTGCATAGTTACATGTTCTCGCTAGTCCCAAACAGGCATAGTGACACAACACCTCAAACTGCCCAACCTCACCCAGTCTCTCCCTCTCCTCCGTCCTGTTCCAACAACCACACTGCGACCATCCGATCCTTTCGTAAAGCGAATGTCTATCCTACTGGATAGCTTTTGAGAATGGCCCTTGGTATGAGGGTTACTTATTTTCTCGTTTAAGGCAAGTTTAGGACGGGAATCACAACTGAGCAGGTTGGACGTGCAAAAGTCGTCCGCAGTCACTTGTGTCAGGGAGAGTGAAAAAAGAAAAGGCAGAGTGACCCAGACGTGAGAGGCCAAAAACAGTGGGAGGAACTCAGAGGCACTGGATTTCTACATCTACTGTACTTGCCGGTGTATTTGAGATTTTGAATCCTTTGGAAGATCACCGTCTTTTAAAAGGGCGAGGCAAGCACGCCGTGGAGCGCTTCAAGACCTGGACGCGACCCGCCTGAAGGGATCAGTGAAAGGGGAGGACCTTAAGGACGCCTGAGGCATCTACGCCGATCTAACGCAACGTGATTCGGTGGGCCTTGTCCCGCGCTTTCTGCCACCGTTCTAAGGCACCTATCTTACCACAGTCGGGACCTCGACTCGCCGCTTTTTGCGCCACTGTCTGTACCAGCATTTTCTTTTCCCAAGACAACGCATTTTTTCTTTTTTATCTGGCCGTCGTCTACATTCGGCCATTTGCGACTATTCTGTGCCGTCGTTGCCCAGACTCGCATTATTTGCATGTTGGCTCGCCCGGTCAGAATAATCTAATAAGCTCCACTGGCGTCCCATTTGACTCCGATCTAAAAGCGGCGAGCGGTGTGCCTTCCGAGAGCACGTGTCAGTCACGTGACCACATTCACTTGGCATCCGCATATACTCTTATCACTGCGCCCAGCATGGAGCAGTCATCGGCGCAGAATAATGTGCCTCATATGCATCCTCCATCAGTAACCTCTGGTTCTGTACATCCAGAATATTGGAGCTTGTATTCAGCTGGACCGGACCAGCAACAGCCATTGGGCAGCGGTTGGAACCATACAGTGTTCCAACAAGCTCCTCAACAACAGCAACAACAACAGAATCATGTGCAACAGATACAAGAGCCTAACCAAGGTATCTACTCCCAGAACCCGCCATCCTGGCATCAGAGTCCATCCCTGCAACATCATGCAGTTTCTCAGCAGCATTCGATCTCCCCGGGGCCACAAGGATATAACATTCCGCCCCAATACCAAATGCAACCTTACCGCCAAGAGCACGTTGCATATGAGCCTCGTTCTCTGACGCCATCCAATCCCCCGGCATATGAATCTCCATATAGCTTTGAGCCAAGTTTCTTTCAGCCACACCAGGTTCAGCTGCCGGAGACGTACTCGCAACCGACATCACAAAGCGTACAACGCCAGAACACTCAACCATCAAATGTGCCTTCCAACTCTTTCCGGCAGCCTATTACACAGTATCAGATGCATGCTGATTTTCCCGAGAATATTGCGGTATGTCAACGAATACAGGAATATTCTTATAGGTCTTCGATACTAATGTGGACCAGCATTCTCATGTTAACTTCCCTTCTACTTCTTATCATGAACAGACGCCTAATCTCGCTTATCAAACGAGCACTATCAACCCGCAGTTCCTTACCACGTCACAGCAGGCATCTAATCAGGCTCATGCCGCTTCTCATCAAAATGAGTTCTTCCAATTCACCCCCGCTGACTTCGAGCGTCCTGATAACACCAAGTAAGTCTCCCCAGAGCCTATCTCAATACCAGTCAGGAATGCTCATGTTAGGTGTAAGAAACTACGAGTTTTATCATCATCAAGACTTTCAGCCAAATGCCCTTAATCAGACAGTTCAACAACATCATGAGCCTACCCAGCAAAGCCAGCTTGACCTGTCTACTCAGCCTACTATTCCTCAGCTTCTCCAGTTCCGGAACATTACGTCACAGGGTGACAATCAAATACCCGTGATCAAACAAGGTAAGCTCAGATTCTGCTTCCATGTAAGCCCTTTAATGTTAACGCGCGTAGACCCCGGTGTAGTGCCGCCGGTGAAGCCTGCGAAAGCAGCCGCACCGAAGAAAAAGAAGTCCAGTCCGACAAAGTCGTCGCAGACAAAGGTCAAGAAGGCTACTAGCAAGGCATCTACTAAGAAACAGGGCTCCAAATCTGCCTCTTCCAGTTCTGAGAGCGACAGTTATGACGATTCTGATCTTGACATCGAGATACCCGAGGAGCCGTCTCCTATTCCGGCTACTCGTCCGCAGGATCCGGTGGCTGCAGCCGAGTATGATACACTCAAGGCCGTCTGGTCGCCACGTAATAGGCGACCAGCTGTTGACACAATAAAAACCGCCCTTGTTGCGTTCAAGGATGTCGTCAAATCTGTAAGGGATGCATGGAAAGAACAGAGCCAGGCCATGAAGGTAGCGGAGAACCAATCCGACAATAACAAGGCAGCCGAGATCAAGAAGAATGTCACTCTTCAGCGCCGGTTAATGGAGGTTGTTGTCAATACGGCCTTGGAGAAAGGCCATCCGATCATTGTCGAGAAGTATGTCCATGCTGATTCATTTCTTAAACACTTGGCAGAGCGTCATTGTTTTCATGGGTGTAGATGTCTGCAGCAGAATGAGAGCTACTACCATGTAAACCTGTTAGCGCGGACTCTCGGCCTGCTTTTGAGAAAAGGTATAGATAAAGGCTGCTGTCTCCATATCCACGGGCTACCGTATGCTTCAAACGAACATGGTATCATCCCAAAAAGCTACGCCGGTATAAAGATCCCGTTAAGATGCAGACTGGAAACACCGGTCGAGAAATCACGCGCTATATGGTCATGGAGTACTCTCAGATGCGACAACATGAAAAGACCCAAAGATATTTGTTTCTGCCTCCAATTTATCCTTTCCATCTCTTGCCATCATTCTCTTCATGAAGAAACAGTTACTGACCAGATGTCCAGACTAGGTGAACATCCTATGGCTGTTGCGGCAATGTATTCTTTTCTCTTGGACCGACACCAGGCTTCTGATTACGAGGGCAATTTAACGGTTAGCCTTCTGAAGGTAAGATCTTCCCATTAATAATTTCTTTCAGTGCAAGACTAATATGTTGAAAATGATCAGCTTCTGGCTCGCTTTGTGACTATGGATGAAGATGTGCTGCAAAAAACCAATGTTGCAAAGCTTCTGCCCAGGTTCATGAAAAAGGGCGGGCAAACAGTCAAGGACTTGGCACAAAAGATCATAGATAATGCGGCTGCCTCCACCAAGAGAAAACAGGAAGCGGCAAAGGCACCGACTAAAGAGCAGCCTCCAGTGAAGACAGCATCTGACACTACTAATGGTACTTCTCAGACTGAACACGGGGTTAAACGTCCTCGTGAGGGTGAAAGTAATGGTCTACCAGCCACTAAGCGTGCAGTGACTCCCTCAAATGTCAAGACTGCCACCAATACTGTCACCGGTGCCAGCGCTAGTAGCAATGCCACTGTCCCCAGTAAACGTCCAGCAGAGGGGAACGCCGATGCAAAAGCAACATCGGCGCCCAGTAACGGAACTGCACTTCGGCCCAAAGCTAATATTGTTGCTCCAAAACCTACTAGTCTTTTCGGAAGCCTAGCTTCTGCTTCCAAGAGACCGGGCACTTCCAATGCGGCACGCGCTGCTGCTGCTGCGAAGGAAAAAGCGAGGTATGTTGTGAAAACTCGTGTTGTTCATACGTCGTGTACTGACAATCACAGCGCTGCTGCTGAGAAGAAGGACACTCCGCCTCCACCCCCTCCGAAACCAACATTTTCGTTCGGAGATCTCCTGGCCGACCTTAATAAACCGAAAGACACCGCCTCTGAGAAGCCAACGGAGGAGAGGCCCCCTGAAACAGAAGAAGAGCGCAAAAAGCGGCTTCGGAAAGAGGAAAGGCGAAGACTGCGCGTTACTTGGAAGCCCGACGACTCGCTTACGGAGATTCGCCTCTTCACACATGATCCTGAAGAGGAGACCGGTCGTGATTCGAGTTCGATTCGCGATGTAGGCGACATCAAGGGAGAAGGCCGTGTGCTTAAAGAGCACAAGGACCTGGACGACTTAGAAGACGACGAAGAAGTGGGAGCCAAGGAAGAAGAGCTGCAGCCCTATGGTGGAGTCTCTGGTACGCCCATTTGTGTCTCTGCTAATTCTAGATCCCGGCTAACTCTCCTAGAAATCGACTTTACCGTAATCGAAGCGGAAGACAGGGCGCGGAATTATGTCAAACGGGCAGGCAATCTACAGCCATCGAGCCCCGAGAAACAAGCTCAGGAGCATCGTGAAGCTACCACGTTGATGGTGGTCCACGCATCGCCTGCAGATATACCCTCAACCCCGAAGGAGCCGCCGCCTCCAGGTGACGAGGAAAAGGCGCCTGAGGAAGTATCATTTGGTGAGCTTCCGGATCATGTCAAGGCTAGGCAAGCACGTTACTTTGCGATGGTCAACCCCCAACCAGCTCTGCCGCCTCAGCCATCCGTGCCAGTGCCAGCGCCTGCTGCGCCTGGTGGTGGACTTGACATATCAAACCTCCTCAAGATAATCCAAAACGCACCACAGCAACGTCCGACACCTCCGCCCCAGCCTGTTCAGCAGGCTCCGCTGTCGGATCTTGAAAAAACGATCAATCTGTTCCGCCAACAGCAAGGCCAACCACCATTGCCCCAACTCCCTCAATTCCCTATTGCGCAGCCTCCTGTTTCTCAGCCTCCAGCTTCTCAGGACATCAATTTGCAGAAGATCCTGGCTGTCATCAATGCTCAAAAGCAATTACAGCAACCTCCTGCTCTGCCACAAAATCAACCGCCGCAACCTGCTATGCCATCGAATCTCGCTGCTATTATTTCCCAGTTTACCAATCCAGCCCAACAGGGTTTTCAGGCACAACCTCAGCAGTCGTCCAATCAGCATTATGAAGACCCGGAGCGCAAGCGCATGCGTGAAGGTCTTGGCTACGACGGTCCCAGTGACGACAGATACAGCCAACAAAAGCGCCCGAAGATGTATGTGGATCCTAAGGCAAAGAAACATGTAAGTAGCGGCCTCGTCCTAACTTAAGACGCGCTGATACTGACTTCATCATAGCCCAAGGCTGGTCTGGTCGCTTGCCGGTATTGGCGCGAGGGCAAATGTCTGAAAGGCGAGGATTGCACGTTCCGCCATGACCCTCTTGACTGAGTCGTCGGGCGTCACATTCAACCAACTTCCTTTCGTTTGATACCCCTGTTCTTTTTTATCTACGTGGCGGATGTCCTCGTTATGCATTGTGGGTCGTACTGGAAATAGTTGTTTTCTTCCTACACCGGTCACAGGTCATGATTATGCATTTTGTCATCGGACGGTCAAAGATCACTCTCCCACAGTTTATACGGCGTCCATTCCAGGGGTACTATAATCCGGTCGGGTTTCGGTATCGAATCATCTTTGCCGTTTCAAAGCGTTCAGTCGATCATGTTTCAGAGAAGGTGTTTCCCCTCAAAAGACCTGTTACTTTACCTTTTCTTCATGAAATTCTTCTCGTTCACATCACGGGCGGTCATCTTCACCGCTATCATTCAGTGGCGAGGCATCGAGCCATGGCATTTCTTTCAGGTGTTCTTGTCAGTATGTTATTATCCGTTTGAAATACTGTACATTAGATGGCGGTAAACCTAGCCATAGAATAAGTATGAAGTTATGATCCATTGAATATTCTCTGTAAATCGGCTGCAACTCGGGACTGTCCGACACATGTACATACGATCCTAAGGATCTATGGCAATCGAAATAGTACTAGTAATCCCTGGAGTAGTTATCTGCGATAAACAGTTCTGCGCCGACGCATATCTTATCTGTGGGGACTTCTGGTTGCTCCCCACGTTAACGACCCCCATCCCTGTCACTAGATCCTCCGAAGCTCTGACAAATAAGTACCCATTCATTTGTTCCACATGCAATATAATACGCTGTCTGTCTCCCTTTTTTTAATGCTGATTCACCACACTCCTTTATCTAAGATATCACAGAAATAATGGTTTTGCGCAAGATCTCAGCAGCCGAGATCAGCGGCCATTGCCATGAAGACGACGCCTGGATGGTCATCAATGGCGTCGTATGGGATGTCACTGGCTTCGCTGCGAAGCATCCTGGAGGACCAAAAATCATCGCAGACCACGTTGGAAAGGACGGAAGCAGCATGTACAATGATATACATGGCCCTGGACTCATTGCCTCTCACCTTGGGTCTGACAGACAGATCGGCGTGGTGGACAACCAATACAAGAACAGCCTGGTAAATGAAACCAAAAGGGAACCTAGCATTCCCAAACCAGACTTGAAATCGATTGTGGATCTTTCGCAATTCGAAAAAGTGGCGGAGAAAGCGCTGAAGCAAAGAGCCTGGAAGTATATTTCTGGTGCAACGGAGGATGGAGTGACGCACGAAGCAAACTGCGAGTTCTACCGGCGAATTTTCTTCCGACCTCAGATGCTCAATGGTGCAGGCAAGATCGATACGAGCACTGTTTTCATGGGGAAGAAATGTGCACTGCCTTTCTTCATCGCACCCACGTCATCTGTCAAGCTCTCTCATCCGGACGGTGAACTCGCGCTGGCAAAGGCCTCCGTGGCTCATGGAGTGCCACCCTGCCTGCCTACTATGTCCTCGTATGCCCTGCCGGAGATTGTGGACGTCATGCCTCCTTCATATCCCTTCTTCTTCCAGCTGTATATGAATCTAGATCGCTCCCAAGCAGCACGGACGTTACGGCAGGCACGGGACTTGGGGGCTCAAGCGATCCTCGTAACGGTTGACTTGCCTGTGATGAGCAAAAGACAAAATATCGACAGGCGGCAGTCGCCACTCCAACGAGAGACACAGGAGGCTCTTGAGAAGAAAGAGGAACAACGCCCAGCTGCTCAGGAATGGTCATATACCCCGAACAACGTCGCCATTGACCCAGACCTTCAATGGAAAGATATCGAGTGGATCCGGAAAGTGACCGGATTACCTGTCATTCTGAAGGGCATCCAGAGTGCAGCAGATGCAAAGCGTGCATTCGAACATGGCTGTAGCGGTGTCTACATTTCCAACCATGGCGGCCGAGCTCTGGACACAGCACCTCCAGCGATACTTGTTCTCCTCGAGATTCACGCGACTTGTCCCGAGATCCTGGGCAAATTGGATATCATGATCGACGGAGGTATTCGAAGAGGATCAGACATTCTGAAAGCTATATATGTCTTGGCGCGAATGTCGTTTGTATCGGGCGCCCATTTCTCTATGCTCTTTCCTACGGAGAGGCGGGTGTGAACCACGCCTTTGATAGTACGTCTTATCGCCCCAACGTTTCGTTCCATTGTGGAACTATACTGACTAAAGAGTCACTGGCAGTCTTGAAACATGAGCTCGAAACTGCTATGGCATTACTAGGAATATCCAGTCTTGACCAAGCACATCCAGGGCTCGTCAACACGAGTCTCCTAGATTTCATGGTCTACCGTACTGACAAGCATCCATGGGCCGCATATCCGGTACCACGGATAGGTGGAAGTAAGCTGTAAGCTATGAGCTATATAAGGGATCCAAAAATAGAATAAAGACGCTTGTGCCGGGGAATTTGGGAACAAGCTGCAGATAGAGTTTTGACTTTGACAATAAGAACGTGGTGGTTGAGAGGTTTTCGATCAAAGAAAAAGAACTTAAGTGACTAGAGTAGTTGTCAGGAGGACAAAGATTATTATAGGAAGTAAGGAAGATAAGAAAAGCGAATCTGGCATGTTACAATTGTATTCTAAAATCTATCCTGCGCATAAGTTGTTGTTTTTCGAACATAAATTCTGGTTCATTTGATCTATAGCACGCTGGTGGGGTAAACTTTCGACAAGTGGCCAAAGTTAACAGACAACCGTTCAAAAACAATTAATGGCGCTCAACCTACTTGGATATCTCATCACGTCCTTGGAATCTAGCCTTTAACGACTCGCTATGGGATTGACCAGGGCAATCAATCTAGAGATAAACGGCTAAAAAAGAGATTGTTCAACTAGACATCCAACATGGAGGACGGAGCAACTCTAACAAGATGCGACCACCTTATCATCGTCTGCTGTCATGCCATTTACATTGGGGGACCTAAACATGGATTCTCAGAAGATGAATGGTACGTATTCCCTGCTTTGCATTTCGCCTGGTATTTCTTTCTGTTAGTTTCAGTTGCTTAAACATGCTCGCCACTAACTAACTACATGTAAAACCCCTGTTTATATAGGCTGATAGAACCATTCCAAACCGGGGAAACACCAACTTTTATTAAACACATTGAAGAAGGGATCAGACAACTGCGAAAGTCTCCAACTGGTCTACTTGTCTTTTCTGGGTACGTATCATATCTGCCAACCTGTATCATTTATCCCGAACAGGCATGTATTAATATCATGGCTAATCTTTTCGTGTTTGAAACTTGTAGAGGGCCTACTAAGAAATCGAAAACGGATTTGAGCGAAGGAGAGTCTTATCTGGTGAGTAAAAAAACAAACCTAGTCTATCGAGCTTCTTTTCTTTTCTTTTCTTTTCTTTTCTCAGCACCATGATCGGAGGTCACATAGGGAGTGAATATAACACTTCTCATTCTTATATTCAGCACTTCCAATTGACATCAGACCCAGAACCTCGCCCGGGAAAATAGCATTTTCACCAATACCGAAGCATCTGGTCCAGCAACAAGTGTCAATCCTGCGCGTATCATCGCCGAAACTCACGCTACAGATTCGTACCAGAACGTCCTATTCTCCTTGCTCCGCTTCCGGCTATATACAGGGAGATATCCCGACCGGATAACTGTCGTGTCTCACGAGTTCAAGCGAAGACGGTTTCTAGATTATCACTTTCCTGCCATTGGATGGATTCCCAGGACGATAGCTGAGAATGCAAGCAGCATGCAGGGATGGGAAGGAGAGGGATGCAGGGTCCATTTCGTAGGGATAAACCCTCCGCCGGAGATCACATCTCCGGAGTCCTTGGTCGAAGGAGAAGAGAAGAGAGGGGTTGCTTTGTGGGAAAAGGATCTGTATGGGACTGGGCCTAAGCTGGTGGAGAAGCGTAGGAAGAGAGGCTGGGGAGATGGGATGGAAGATGGGATCTTTGTCAATGTTGGCTTAGAGCCTGTTGTGGAGAGGTTGGTGCGGTGGGATGGCGGCGCCGAGAAGAACGAATGGTTCAATGAGATTGATCAATTACCGTGGAGTTCATCGGATGATGCCAGTGGGATCAGGAGGGTTCCTGTTTGAGGCCCCTATTACCTGTCACATCTACCGTGGAGAAAGGAAATTGAGGAAGAAGAAACCACATAGCGCTTGCTACACCATTTCTGCCTATATTCACATAGGCTCTATATCATAGCCGACGTGATAAAATGGATACCATGCAATATACCAGCGCCCCTTGTCAGAAAGACCCATTCCCCGAAACGCCAGACATCAGATAGCTGTGATACTGAACAATTGTGTAGTTCAATCCGCCAGTCTATAACTGACTAGTGTATCGACCCTATGGTTATTTGTGCTGAAGCTCCGCAGCTGAACCTTTTCACCGTTCTTGATCTCCTTCGCATCACTGTCTCCCCACTCGACGGGCACCTCGGAATCCGCATCGGCGTATACGAGGACGTTGAAGGTACAGTCGCCATCTAGCACGGGAAGGAAAGTCACGGAGGCGGTAATCTGCCGGAAAATTGCCTGGATCTCGTCTTGAATCTCCTTTTCGGTCTTTTTCTCGGCGGGCTGAGCATCAACGTCGCTGCATAACAATGGTCAGCCACAGGAGTCATCGGGTAACATAGTCCAGATCCATACCCTGACGAAGCATTCTCCTTGTCCGCGGTCTTGCGAGAGGATTTGCTCTGCGCTGCTTTCCCGAATATTTGCACCTGGAGAGTATGTGCCGTTAATTCTTGCCTTGAATCAGAAGACGCATGCACCATGGTGGTTCCGCACATCGAATTGCCATCTCTCAACATGTTCTCCGGTCTCCTTATTTGTAATGACAACAACGAGCTTAGATATTTTCCCTCCAATCATCCACTTGTTCAGCTGTGACATAATCTTCTTGATGTAGGCTTTGACCTGGTCGTCGGCGGTGACTGGGGATTTCGATCAGTATCGGGGCATTCGAGGACAGCGATTGAGGAACGAACCAAGCATGTTGAGGCCATATTTCTTGACACTATAGAAGTCAGTAGGGTAAGACGATACTGAAGAAGGATAGGAAACCCTCACGTTGTAAAATCCTCGGCAGGGTAAACACCTCGCTGGAATCTAGACGTCGATCAGTGTGTGCGTTATTGGACTCTCAGTCATAGCTGTAACGTACAGTATAGAATTGATTGAATACTCGAACTAGAAGGTATCAGTGCTGAATCTCTATTTGGGATAAAAAGGTACTGACAAATTCAGAAACGAGCTTCGACGATCCTGTCCTTGGTGAGTTCACCAGCCTCTAGGAGCTGTAGGGGACATTGAATCCTTACCCTTCAGGGACAGCTTGTGCACCTTTGACTTGTCCTTCTCAGCAGACATCTTTAATCGCAGTCTTCCTGATTTCCGCAGACAGGTAATGATTTGTTCCGTGAAAATGGTGGTTGAAGAGCAGAGATCTCGCTTGTTTACCCCGATAGTCGCCCTGGCGATCACTGCTTAACGCCCGCCGAGGTCTCCACACCAGAGCCAGAGCCGCATCCTGACCCGGAGCCGGAAATTTTTAGAGGCTCATGCCAGCACCGCGAACAAGATCCCAGGTCTAGATCCCATAATTGTGGTCGATCCTGATCAATGCAGATACCCAGATGCGAGGATGTCTGCAGTTAGCCAGGTGGCTGGGCACCGCTGCGGCGAGACGTCCGGCTGCGAGCCTGCTCAAGCCGACCTTTACTCATGATGGCCGCCGATTCTTCGCCAGCTCCGCGGCACGATATGCACAAGCAAGTAAGACCGTTTCCGATTTGGAGAAGAGGATCGCCGCGATACCTCTCGAACGGTACCGCAATTTCTGCATCGTCGCCCACGTCGACCATGGCAAGAGCACGTTGTCCGATCGATTGCTGGAGTTGACGGGCACGATACAGCCGGGATCAAATAAGCAGGTTCTCGACAAGCTTGATGTGGAGCGAGAAAGGGGTATTACAGTCAAAGCGCAGACGTGTACAATGATATACAATCACAATGGAGAGGATTATCTGTTGCACCTGGTCGATACGCCCGGACATGTCGACTTTCGCGCCGAAGTGTCACGAAGTTATGCTAGTTGCGGAGGAGCTCTGCTTCTCGTGGATGCCAGCCAAGGTGTCCAGGCGCAAACGGTTGCTAACTTCTACCTGGCCTTCGCTCAGGGACTGGAGCTGATACCGGTTATCAATAAAGTCGATTTGCCCTCAGCAGACCCCGAACGAGCTCTGGAGCAAATGAGAACATCGTTTGAAATTGAGACAGACAACGCCGTGCGGGTTTCAGCAAAGACTGGACTAAATGTCTCTGAAATCCTGCCGACAGTTATCGAGAAGATCCCAGCGTATGTCGTTCCGCCCGTATAGGTTCGGCCTTCACTAACTGATTGACGAACAGGCCGATCGGTGACAGCAAGCAACCACTCCGCATGCTCTTGGTAGATTCGTGGTACGATACATATAAGGGGGTTATCCTACTGGTGCGCATATTCGATGGAGAGATCAGAGCTGGCGATCAAATCGTCTCCTTTGCAACGGGTCTCAAATATTTCGTTGGCGAGGTCGGTATTATGTATCCAGACCAAACCCCACAGACTACGCTCCGTGCCGGCCAAGTGGGTTATATCTACTTCAATCCCGGTATGAAGCGAAGTAAGGAAGCGAAGATTGGGGATACATTAACCAAAGTTGGCTTCGAGAAGATGATTGAGCCGCTCCCAGGTTTTGAAGAACCACAGGCCATGGTCTTCGTGGCAGCCTATCCGGTTGACGCAGACCACTTCCCTCACCTGGAGGACAGCATCAACCAGCTCTTACTCAACGACAGGAGCATAACCGTGCAGAAGGAATCGTCAGAAGCTCTAGGGGCTGGTTTCAGACTTGGCTTTCTGGGCACCCTGCACTGTTCCGTCTTCGAGGACCGGTTGCGACAGGAGCATGGCGCAAGTATTATTATCACGCCGCCGACTGTGCCTGTCAAGATCGTCTGGAAAGACGGTAAGGAGGATGTTATCACCAATCCATCCCATTTTCCGGAAGACGATGATCTACGCTTGAAGGTCGCTGAACTTCAAGAACCCTACGTTCTCGCCACTATCACCTTCCCGGAGGAATATCTAGGTAAGGTGATTGAGCTGTGCGAAGCGAACCGGGGTGTGCAGCAGAGTCTGGAGTTCTTCACGGCCACCCAAGTCATTTTGAAATACGAACTTCCCCTTTCCCAGCTGGTGGATGATTTCTTTGGCAAGCTCAAGGGATCTACAAAGGGATATGCCAGCCTGGATTACGAGGACGCTGGCTGGCAGCGGAGTAGCATCGTCAAACTGCAGCTCCTAGTGAATCACGCGCCTGTCGATGCTGTCTCACGGATCGTCCACTACAGCCAGGCGGAGAGATTGGGTAAGCAATGGGTTACCAAGTTCAAGGAGCACGTCGACCGCCAGATGTTCGAGGTTGTCATCCAAGCTGCTGTCGGACGAAAGATCGTCGCGCGAGAAACCATCAAACCGTTCCGCAAAGACGTGCTTGCAAAGCTGCACGCTAGTGATATTACACGACGAAGGAAGTTGCTGGAGAAGCAGAAAGAAGGCCGGAAGAAGCTCAAGGCGGTTGGCAACGTTGTCATCGAGCACAAGGCGTTCCAAGCCTTCCTGGCCAAGTAAGCATTCGCTGCTACTTGACCTGATCTGTACAATAGCTGTATATCAGAGCAACGATACATGTATAACATCTATATCAGGATACCCTAACATAACAGAAAGGTGGAGTTCTAGTTTGAAAGTACCCAACCAACTGAGAGATGCAAAACTCAGCGCCATAGATCCAGAAGCTATGCAGTATTATTATTATTATTATTATTATTATTCCTGTCAATGTTCCAGTTAGAAGAAGACACCGCGTGTTGATCATCGCAGAGAGCGGCAGGCGGTGGCGCTGCCGGAGATGCGGGAGCTGCGCGGCAGAAAAAAGTTTAGCCAACCCCGCCGCGACTATTGATGATTAATGGGATATGACTCTTCACACTCAAACCCTCAACTCTCTCTCTCTCTCTTTCTTTGCCGCTTTGGGACTACTTGGTTGCGATATCAACGTTTCCTTAGCCGAATCTCGTTTCTGCAGCGCCCCCTGTTGGCAGTGTTCTCAGCAACAACACCTGCCCGACGCCATAGTCGTCTCTCAACTTCAACTTCTGCCATGCTCTGCCCGTGACTACAGCGATGCAGCCTCCGGAAGCTGTGCAGGTCGACCTGGGCAAGGCCCAGGTCATCGATCGCGTTCCTAAAGTGATCAAGGAACTGAAATTTGGTGTTATGTATGTGTATCCTGGCTTCGTTGGTCTTCTGTGTTCGGCAATCTGACAGTTACTGACATGCACGTGCGATAATTTAGGTCCAACGATGACATCGTCAGCCAAGCCGTTGTTGAAGTCTCGGATCGCAAGCTGTTCGACTTGGAACATGATAGAGCTGTCGTGAAGAATGGTCCTCTCGACGGGCGCATGGGTATATCGAACAAGTCCGGCACCTGCGACACCTGCGGTGGCGCTCTTCAAGTTTGCAACGGGCATTTCGGCCATGTCAGATTGGTATTGCCAGCTTTCCACGTTGGTTACTTCAAGCGCGTCATTAGTATTTTGCAGGAGATCTGCAAGGTAGATAAGCCTCTTATTCCGGCTGTCTTTGACCTCTTACTGACATCTCTAGGAATGCTCTCGAATTCTTCTCCCTGAAGCGGAGCGCCGCTCATACCTTCGCGAGCTCCGACGCCCTGGACTCGATAACCTACGTCGAATGCAGATTGCCAAAAGGATCAATGAGCGGTGCCGAAAGACCCGAGTCTGCGAAGGATGTGGCGCCATCAACGGTGTGGTGAAGAAGGCCGGTACCAGCGCTCTCAAAATCACCCACGACAAATTCCGCGCTTTCAATGCATCCACGTCTGTGAAGAAGATCCCGCCTCCCAGCAAGATTGTCTTCGATCGCTCCTTCGAGGAGGCCAGGAACTCTAACCCGGAAGTCGACAAGCATGTGAAGAAGGCCCAAGACGACCTTAATGCTCTTCGAGTTCTGAACCTATTCAAGGAGATCACTGATAGTGATTGTGAGCTCTTGGGTCTGAACCCGAAAGAAGCACGCCCTGAAATGTTCTTGTGGCAGTTCATTCCCGCACCACCGGTTTGCATTCGTCCATCGGTTGGCCAGGAGGCTGCTTCGACTGAAGATGATCTTACTGCTAAATTAGGTGATATTGTCCAGAGCAATATCAACCTGAAAAACGCACTATTGAAGGGCGCACCTGTTCAAACGATCATGGAATGCTGGGATTACATGCAACTGCAGATAGCTGTGTATATTAACAGCGACGTTCCAGGTCTGAACAAAGCTGATTTCGGAAAGCCCATCCGTGGATTCTGTCAAAGACTCAAGGGAAAACAGGGTCGATTCCGTGGAAATTTGTCGGGAAAACGTGTTGACTTTTCTGGGAGAACTGTCATTTCTCCTGATCCGAACTTGCGCGTAGATGAAGTCGCCGTTCCGATCCTTGTGGCAAAAAACATGACCTATCCTGAGGCAGTCACCAGGTATAACAAAGAGAAACTGCAGCAAAGAGTCAGGAATGGTACCAAACATTGGCCTGGAGCAAATTACCTCGTCAAAAAGGGAACAAGCTTCAAGATGTTCCTGAAGTACGGTAACCTTAATATGATGGCAGATCAGTTGCAGGAGGGAGACATTGTTGAGAGACATATCGAAGATGGAGATATCGTCCTCTTCAACCGCCAGCCGTCTCTACACAAGTTGAGTATTCTCTCTCACTTCGCCAAAGTTCGCCCGCACCGAACTTTCCGTCTCAACGAGTGTGTTTGCAATCCTTATAACGCGGATTTCGACGGAGACGAGATGAACCTCCATGTCCCCCAGACGGAGGAGGCTAGAGCAGAGGCCATGGAACTGATGGGTGTGAAGAACAACCTGGCTACGCCCAAGAACGGCGAACCCATCATTGGTGCTATCCAAGATTTCATCAGTGCGGCATACGTCCTGAGTAGCAAGGAGAGATTTTTCAATCGGAAAGACTTCACGCAAGTCTGCCTCTACATGCTGGGCCCCGAAGTCCGGTTCGACCTACCTCCGCCTGCGATACTCAAGCCACAGATGCTTTGGACTGGTAAGCAAGTCTTCAACATTCTGATGCATCCGAATAAGGATGACCCTGTTCTTGTCAACTTCGATGCCCCCTGTCGAGAATTCAAGCAACCCAAGGGTAATACACCCCGTGATCTCGACCCTAATGATGGCTGGCTGGTTATCCGTAACTCGGAAATAATGTGCGGTGTTATGGACAAATCCACCATCGGTTCGGGAAAGAAAGATAACGTCTTCTATATCATGTTGAGAGATTACGGCCCCGCTGCAGCAGCAGAAGGTATGAACCGTCTCTCGAAATTGTCTGCTAGATGGTTCACAAATATGGGTTTCTCAATTGGTATTACCGATGTTTATCCAAGTGAGAAACTGCTACAGTCAAAGGCAAAGCTTGTCGAGAGTGCCTACGCCACCTCCGATGAGGTCATTGCCAAATTCAAAGCCGGTACTCTCGAGAAATCACCAGGTCTCGATGAGTCGCAGACTATGGAACAGCAGATCTCCGGTATCCTGTCCAAGGTTCGTGGACAGGCTGGAGAGGAATGTATCTCCCAGCTGAGCAAATGGAACTCGCCCCTAATCATGGCCACTTCTGGCTCCAAGGGTTCGAGTATCAACGTCGCTCAGATGGTTGCCCTTGTGGGTCAACAGATTATTGCGGGTCAGCGTGTCCAGGATGGTTTCCAGGACCGAACGTTGCCTCACTTTCCGAAGAATGCTCGTCAACCTTTATCGAAGGGTTTCGTTAGTAACAGTTTCTTCTCTGGACTGACACCTACTGAGTTCTTCTTCCACGCTATCTCTGGACGTGAAGGTCTTATCGATACCGCCGTCAAGACCGCAGAAACAGGATACATGTCTCGCCGTTTGATGAAGTCTCTTGAAGATCTCTCTTGTCGCTATGATGACACGGTCCGAAACTCGTCCGCCAGTATCGTGCAGTTCCAATACGGTGACGACAAGCTAGATCCCGTCGACATGGAAGCCAAGGCCAAGCCTGTGCACTTCGACCGGACCTTCATCCACGCTGAATCAACCACGTACAAAAACGATGAGCGCAGCTTGCTTCCGGACGAGATCATGAACGTATGCAGCGAAATGCTGGCGCCGGAGAGAGCGAAGCTCGTACGAAAGGATCTCCTCGGAAATGAACTTGACTATAAGGACACGAGTGACAATGGTGTCGATCAGTTCGAGAGCGCTCGCGAGTTCCTGGATTCTATTGAGCATTATGTACAACTTAAGGCTAACCGTCTGGAGTCCCGGGCTGGAGACGCCAATGCATCTGATGAGGACAGTAAAAAGGGTCTTAACCATACCGGAAAGTTGACGGAGAGAACACTGAGGGCTTTCATCACTTCATGTTTGACCAAGTACAAGAAGGCTCAAGTGGAACCTGGTCACGCCGTGGGTGCAGTCGGTGCACAGTCTATTGGTGAACCTGGAACGCAGATGACGTTGAAGACCTTCCACTTTGCTGGTGTTGCCGGTATGAGTATCACACAGGGTGTTCCCCGTATCAAGGAAATCATCAACGCTTCCAAGGAGATCAGTACTCCAGTCATATCCTGTGAATTGGTCACCAAGGACAGTATCATCGCAGCCCGAATTGTCAAGGGTAGGATCGAGAAGACCTATCTTCGCGACATCATTCACTATATCAAGGAGACGTGGACTGGCAAGGAAGCTTACATCACTGTCAAGATCAACTGGAAGACGATAAGTGACTTGGCTCTTGAGCTCACTATCAGGGACATCGTCGAGGCCATCAAGAGGAACAAGCGTTTCAAGTCCGAGGACATCAAGTTCCGTCAGTCGAGATCTCACATTCATGTGCACGTCGACCAGGATCCGAATAGCAAGATCTCTCTGTCGAAGACAGAAATTGCTGCGACAAGCGCGGACCCATTCCTTCGCTTGAAGCACCTGAAGCGTCTCCTGCCAGATATTCAGGTGCTCGGTCACCCTCAGGCTGCCCGTGCCATTATCAGCACAGACGATATTAAGGGGACCAACAGGCTCCTTGTCGAAGGTTACGGTCTCCGTCAGTGTATGACCACTGATGGTGTGGAAGGCCATCGCACTGTCACGAACAACATCATGGAAATGAAGGATGTCCTGGGTATCGAGGCCGCTCGTACGACCATCGCCAAGGAAATCAGCGACGTCATGGGCGATATGGGTATTGATCCCCGTCACATGCAGCTTCTTGCCGATGTCATGACCTACAAGGGAGAAGTGCTGGGTATCACTCGATTTGGTCTTGCTAAGATGCGCGACTCCGTCCTGCAACTGGCTTCGTTCGAGAAGACTGCCGACCACCTCTTCGATGCGGGTGGTGCGGGCCGTACCGATCTCGTCGAGGGTGTCTCGGAGTGTATCATCATGGGCAAGTCCATCTCCCTTGGTACCGGCGCAATGGAAGTTGTCCGCAAATTGAACTTCTACGAAGGCCAGATTGGGCCCAAGAAGACAATCTTCGAAGACTCTTGGTCTGAAATCTACGACGCACCGCTTGAGGCCCGCAAAACCAAACGAAGAAAGAGAGTCTAGACGCATCTTACTTCCCACGACATTTGAGCGGATCAGTGAGCCATATTTCCTGATGCCCAAAGAAAAGCAGTTGTATTTATACCTGTATGATGGCCACACCATCACTGCAGAAGAGCCAAAAAACATGGTCACAAAAAAGGCGAGAAGGGACACAAAATTTCAAATGGAAGCATCGTCTCTGGGCGTCTTGTTCTTTCTTTTTTATATAATTGGAGGGTATCTCTGCATATTCAGCGGTAGCGGGTCTATTTTCTGGTGATTTTTTTCTTCTTTACTTCTCTCCCATTCTGGATATTCCTAACGTTCCATACAACATCATCGGTCGTCATGTATATACCATTGTATGCCTAGATGTATGTGTATGTAATCGGAGACGGAATAAAAAAATAAACAAGAGCAAAACAGATCTCGCAATGAATGAATGAGCTTACAGATGAAATGGATAGAAATAGAATGAAAACATAAACCCAGCTGTATTCACGGTTGGTAATAGCTTAATTATCCTGTTTGCCGTATAGTAGAAGAAAACAACATTGGATCGATCGGTTCCCTCTCTTTTAGTTTGTCCATATTTATCTCAGATGCTCTCTCTATAGCTATATCGAACGTTCTTGATGCTTCTGGGCTGTGGACTACTTGGAGACGACAAAATGAGATGGGTAAAATTAATGTCGCGGCAGGGCGATAATAAAGAAAGGCTTCAAGACATGTCAAAGCCGTAGGGGTCGGTAGAGGGATTAGAGGGATTGATTGGAACAAATTCGCTGAAAATGAGATTGGTGAATTTGCATGTAATTTAAATTTGTCTCCATTGAAAAAGAATAAACAATGTCTGATATCGCTACAACAACAGAAGACAATGGGAATATAAGAAAAAGGAAAAGATGAAACCCAAAAAGGTCAGGCTCATACACTATCGGGAATAAAACAGGATCCCTCCTTAGAAAAGGCCTGGTAATCCATTCGCCCAAGCCACAAATAAGCGCCGATTGTGTCAACTGCGTCTTCTCCTCGCAGAGACGATTTCTCCCGGAGAATAAAAAGAAAAGGATGATAAAATACACGCAGTTAAAGCCAGGGTGGAAATGGAACGAGAGAAAGGAAGCCCATTGGAAACAACGTCGTCATATCTACGAAGACTTCACTTCGTTTGAATCAGCGAAAGGGCTCGTGTTTCTTAGTGACGATGACCGAGAGTGTGAGCTCCCTCGCTCTGACTTGGAATCTCTGGCTGCGTTCGTCAAAGCTTCCTCTAGGAGGCGAGTCGATCCGACACTGCTCCTCTGACGGTGAGTGCCTTTCCCATCCAGACTATTTCGAGACGTCGAAACCGCTGTGTTGATAGCGGGGCCAGATCCTGACGTCGCGTGCGTATCCGCGAAAGGACTGTCAGGGGAAGTGTCAGCGACAGATTGTCGGACACTCTTGCGCGTCGGCCCAGCGGAATCCTCCTCGTCCGAAGACTCATCGTCGAATGTTGAAGTGCCTCCTTCACTGGGCTGATTAGCGGAGGACTCGGGTTGTCCCTTAGCACTAGACTGAGGAGAATTTGACGAGGCGCTGTCCTTCAGGGGCGAAACCTTTCGGACATTGACCGGTTTGGCAGTAACCGTACGCGCCACGATCGGACTACTCGAAGTTTCAACGACTCCAGCCTTGGCCAATTGCGCTGTAGTTATCGCAGGAACTTCAGGGGCATCCATGCCAGGCTGTGGACTCCGCGGTGGCGTTTGAGAGGGTATGCTGCCTGCGGACTTGACGCTGACCATGGCAGCCTTAGTTCGGACGATCTGTTGAGCAGGAACGGGGCTGACGATAGCATTGCTGCGATAGATGGTAGTAGCAACACTACTGCGTGCCAGGCTGGGCGCGAGACTACGACGCTCGTTCTCAGACATGCCTGACCAGGATGAGTCACGTAGATCACTGGGCATGAAGAAGTGCTGATCCGCAGAAGCGCCTGGCAGCGGCGGAACCGGTGGCACCAATGTCCCCGGCGTGTCTGGAGGCGACCGGTTGGTGACGCCAGGAATATATGCAATCTGAATGACGTTTGATGCGCGCGTGAAGACTGTCGAGGCAATTGAGGCCACCGATCTTCGCGCCTGCATTGGTTGCCGGTTGTCTGCGGTTGCGAAGTTCTTTTCGAAAGCCTCCTCTTCCTTGCGCTTCTTGCGGATGACGAACCACCAGAAAAGAAACACGCCAATGGCAATGACTGCAATACCTCCAATAACTCCACCGGCAATGGCGCCTGCATTGCTTCCGCCCCCCGAACCGCTGGAACCAGAGTCTGAGCTGCCGTTATCGACAGGGGTGCAGGTCATCGCCGCGCAACGGTCGCAAGTCTGCGCGATCATGGTACAGGCTTCGTTCTTCGCACATGGCGGGCAAGAGAGGCTTGTAGTAGGACATAGTACGCAACGTTTGAAGATTGAACGTGCAGCTGAGAATTGGGAGTCTAGTAAATGACTTTCATCAGAAATCTGTCGCAACGAACCGGCGAGACTGTTCACCTACCGTCAGAGAAAGACATGGCGAAAAAATATGTACGACAAAAAGGTTGAATCCAAGTGATATCCTGGTCATGTAGAGGCGGCGAGCCGATCGTTAAGGTTGTAAAAGGAGAGTCAGACCGATCAACGGTACAAACAAGAGGGTTGAGCGAGTGTACGAAGTGGGTGGTTGGGGATCAAACGAGCATCAAGCGCGGTCGAAAGCCGGATGTCCGGATATCATAGGGTTGTCTCGAAAGGAACGACGTGGAATTGGATCATCAGATGCTGGACATGTACAGTCAAGCTGCAGTGATCATGGTCTTCTCGTGAAGCAATCGAGACGACGAGGCGTTAGTCCCTTGCTACCGGCGGTTAAGGTCCAGCAAGATGTAGCAACCGTCCTAGAACCAGGAGGATGCCCTTCTGCGGACAATGACCAGCAGAAGAAAGTATCGAAAGAAACCGCGATGCCGATACCTGTCGCGGGGAAGAAGAAGCAAGATTGTAGACGTTTAGATGGAGACGGGGAGGGAGAGGAGAAGACGGTGGAGAGCGAAGTTGGTGCCGCACCAAGCCGTGCCTGAGTCTGGTCCGCACACGCACCACTGTTGCTCCACGACGTTTTGTTCACGATAATCTCAAGGAATCATCGCGACAGGATGATCTATCTATCTCCATCTATGGCTTCGCTCTTTTTGCACATCATTGCAATCTCGACCTGATCATCGACGTCGATCTACTATGTCGTGCTCCCCCGTTTATCTAGCCTGCACATCTTTCTGTTCTCCCAACTCCGCCGCATCTTGCTGATTGATTGACTGGCTTTGCCAACCAACAGTACCGGCAAATGCGTCTCTCCCATTGCCCGTACGACCTCTCTGGCGCCAGTGTTTCTTTTGCTGCACCAATCGTTCTTTGTTCACCTCTTGTGCGTGGCCCGTGGGAATATGATTATGATTCTCTAGTCTCCTCGAGTTCTCCTGGCCCGAACGGTCCCACGTCTCCTGGCCGCGTTGCTCCTGAGATTATTATTACTTGCGCTCTCTTCGAATCAGCCGTCATGATGTCCACCCACTCTGCCCGCTAACACAAGGCCCCCAGACTGGCCAGCCGTTTTTCTCCTGGCGCCTTTACCTACTTAGGTCTGGTCGTCGTGCAAAGACCCATCGTCGTCTGCGCGAACGTGGGAGGTTACAGGGCTGGAGGTTGCATCAAGTCGTGCGAAGTTAAGAATTCAGTGATACGGACATTTTCCATGGTGTGTACTCAGCCGGCAACAATGCTTCTGGCCTATCATGGTTGCAGGGTCTTATGTGCGACAGACGCATCCATGAGTATGTGTCCAGTGCATGCCATGACGCCCCAAGAAAGGGGGTTTTTGCGGACTTCCAAGGACGAAACTCGTCTCCCCTAACTTCTAAGTACCCGAAGATAACTATTCCGCATCAGACTATTGTGCCGTCCAGAAACTCTCTGTTTGGCAATCCATCCCTGCCACAGGTAGATGGGCGTAAATAAGTCGTTATGCCTATTGAGGCCAGACAAATTATACGTTATTATTGTTTAAATAAACTTTTATTGTTCGATTCATTCCGGGGGGTGACATTCCACCGAGCCTAGGTCGTTTTCGTTCGCGGAAATGAGCTTTATGCCAAACAGGGTCCCTGGATGAATCGATAATATCCGTTAAATATGTGGCTATGAGAATGTCCACATGGCATTTCTGGGTATCGTCGTTATCGTGCTGTCAGCTCTAAGTTATCAAAGTTCTTGAGATTGGAATGCCAGAAAGGCTCGAATCTAGACCACCTGCCAGGGGCATCATTTCCTGCTTATGGCTGCTGCGGATGGCAACTCGTTTCGAATCGCAAGACCGTATATTTTCCTATGTCACGGGAATGGTTCTCGTTTAGCTATAGCAATGGTCTAGAGGCTTCAATAGACGCTTACACTATTACTCCGCACAAGTTCGCTAGATCGAATATTTATCCACCACATACCGAATCGAGACTCAACGCAATAATATGTAGTGTAGACCCGACACGCCAACGATGGAATCCTGCTATCGATTTACTGACATTCAAAATAAACATATCTTGCACGCGTGGTGATTCTCGACCCTATAGACTGTTTGGGATCTCGCCGGTGATGACCGAAACAATTTCAACGTGTTCTAGCAGTTTCATAATGCAATTGCCATTCTACTCTACCAAAGGCCCATAAGGATCTGCTTCAGGGCACAGTCATTCAACGGTAGTTGGTCAAGATCTAGTTAATGATGATCTTGCGCAGACAAGGTCATGGTAACAAGACAGGCCCGACAACTTTATACCACCTATTAAATGCAGATGGCAATCTCTCTATGAAGCATATCCTAGCGTATCGTCTATATAAATTCGTTAGTTACCGGTGATCTTCATTATTAGTCATGTCATGAATCGTAACTAGTTAACTAAGTACTCCTTTCGATTACGGATGACCTTGTCCAGGCCCCAGGGGTTCAGGAAGCTGTGGCACTCGAACTGTATAAAACGGCCTTTTTACCTCCAGCAACGAGTGTCCTTTGAGTATCTCTTTGAAAGAAACGCCATTCCTACTGTAATTATCCAGCAACCGAATTTACATGACTCGCGGTAACTACTCGCACAGTTGGCGCTCGATGCCCACCGCAGCATGGATTATGTGGGAATCCAGGACCACAGAAGCAAATGTTCTGAAGGTGCATTTAATACAGGAATAAAATCTTGATTGATTGCTTAGAGAATTAAAGGTAACCGAAATCTATCGGCTATTTATGCTCCCTGACTCTATCCTAACATTACAGCTACCTGGAGCTGAACTGAACACTATCTTCACCGTCCCATGGTTCCAGCTCCATCTGTTTTGATCCGGGAGCATCCCATTGCAGCTGCTACCCGGTTTGTCTGTATAGGATGGGAGCAGCGGATTGCAGCAGGTTTGCAGCTCGTCTCCGCAGAAGCCGTGAGCGCTGACAAAATATATATATCTCCTCAGCCCCCTCCCCCACCTACACTCGCGACGTCAACAGGCGAAGCACCATCTAAGATGGAAATCATAGACAGTTATACGTAGTTACCCCTTGCTCACGATGTTCCGTACCAAATACTAAATAACAAAGCGCGTGGCGCTCGTCTATTATGCGATAAATCAGAAAGACAACATTAGGCGCGTCGGGGGACGCGCGGCCAACATTTGGCGGCCAAAGTTTGTTAAGTCTGACTGACAAACGAACATATCATATTGCAAAGCATGAAAGAACCAACTGGAACGGGCCGAGATCCGAGAATTCTTCTTCAAGTGGGAACATCAGCATTGAAATTTTGAGTCAAAAAGTTACAGTAGGGAAAGCATCCTAGTGGTTCTCGGGTAAAGGAGGAGAAAGTGGATGAGGGGATTTCACGCGAACCGGAAGAGTTTATAAGCCGATTTAACTTAATCTTCATAATCATAAAAATAATAATAGTTCATTGTGCAGAAACTGCGAGAAGAAAAAGAAGTCCGGATGAAGAGGTTCGTTTTTCCATTCTGCTGCAGATAAGCCATAACGACCTACATAGGTAGGTATTTATACTCTATATATAGAGTTAAGGGCACCCTTTTGGGGATATTTATGTTGACTCTCGATTAAATTACCGGTCTATCTAGCGTGAAGAACCAATTCAATAATAATAATAATAATAACATACCAGTTTGTAAAAGACAATCTAAACGCGCTATCTAGAGTTATCGATTCCTTCCGTCTTACACTGCCGATCTCCTTTCTCGAGCTTCTAGAAGTCTAAAAGAGTCGAGAGTCCGCCCCACGTTGAGAAATGCCCTGTGAAAAGGAAGGTAATAATACAATTTCGATTAAGGTCGTTCGAGAACAATAGATCGACAAATTATCCGCGATCGCCAGTATCCGAGCCCCAGGCCTAGAACCCGAGTACGGTACTATTAAATAACGGCGAGACCTCATGAGTAGAACCAGAAAGGGATTATTTATTTCTGGTAAGCCTATTCGTCCCCGAAGCAAATGAGAGGATCGTGGACGCTTGGGAGTGTGGCTTGTGGGATGTTCTTGTTCATTTATGGTGGTTACCGAATACTAATGGTAGCCTTATTTACCGTGGGCCGCGAAAATATCTAACTATTACCTCTGATCAGGGTTCAGGAAGATCATCGGAGAGAGAGAGAGAGAGAGAGTGATGCCGCTCAATAGTCGATAGTAGTTGCATTATTTTTATTCTAAACTGTCATTGGAGATTGAGCCGCGTCAGGGTTGAAGAAAAGGATTTTTAGTACCCAAAAATAGATGCTACTATGCAGCTTCCCGGTGCCATTATTTAGGGATACGATAATTGAATAAAGTAATTTACTCTGTTTCTCGGGAGTCGGAACGTCATGAACGAGCCACTCAGGGAGCAGTACACGCGATAGAGTTAAACAGACGCGATGCTACCATGCTGGCAAGTCAAAGCATCATCGGCAAGTCAAGGCATCATCTGCAAAGTCAAAGTCTGGCGGTGTCGCAATTTGACAGATGCAGTGTCCTTGGGTCGCAGCGTTATTGTGGCTGAGCGCACAAGATCTGGTGCAAAAGGGACGCCGTAAGCACGCGCTGGCGACGAGACTGGCCGTTATTGGGGCAAATAGAAACCCCTAAGTTAAGATCTAGACCGGAACCAAAGGAAAGTCAGCGGATCAGAACGTTGGCCGTCTCAGGGGCCTGTCTGGGACAGCGGATATCCAGTCAAAGGCGCCGGCGGGGACAGTGGCCACCGAGTAGTTAAGTCGACGTGTAGTCAGATTGGTCAGACGGATCGCTCATGGGGTGAATCAGCCCTCTCGACAGGGCTATATTTGGAACGACGATGGATTTTCTCGGGATATGGTGAAGACTACCAACGGGAAGGCGCCGGCGTCGGAGTACAGTAGTACTAGCAAGTCAAATGCTTGGTGTCGCGCGCAGACTGTTCAGATCGGTGAAAATGGCAAGGAAAAAAAGAAGACGATCGATGATCCAACGTGTCATTCTGGCGAGGGATTGGAATGCGACCGCAGGTTGGGTCGTTAGGGTATTGAGACTTGGCGGTATTCTCAATCCCAGGAGTTGCTCGCTAGATGACGGTGGGAGGCGTTGACTGGGAATCCTGCGCACACTGTTAGTCAGGATCGAAATGTATAGTTAGTTACGGAAGAAATAGAAGGCCTCAGTCTTTCTAGAGGCTGGGTTTGGTGAGAATTGTTGACTAGATACTCCGTACATGTCTCAGCTCTCCCGCCACGAAGTGGGGAGGACTACGAGGGAAGGAGATCAGCGCGTGGTGAGGCGGGTTTCAGACGTCGAGTAGTTCCCTCATAACGATCTCCTGAATCATAACACCAATGGTGCCCCCGTCTGTGGTAACTAACGGGCGTATACGAGAGGGAGAGGAGAGAAGATGCAGAAATGGTGTAGGTCAGCGAGTGTCTGGCAGCCGGGTGCATGCCAGAGGGAGAATGGCAATAACAATACGGAATCTTTGATGGGTTACAACGAGGCTAAGAAGGAGCTGAGATGAACGATGTATTATTATTATTATGCATAGCATGGCGTCAAAGACACCCTGTGCCTGTAGATCTCGCCGTCGCCGAGTATGTCTGGTGAACCAGCGCCCGGATGGTGTTGTCCAGCATCGCCATACCCACCGGCCCAAGGACCAGCGCCCGTTAGCGACCTTAGGTCCAGAAAAAGACCTCCCCAGTGACCCCGGCCGCCGACTACAGTTGTCCTACTGAGATCCCCTGGCCGTGCTTTTTTTTCTGAACAACAACAATAATAACTTTTTCTAATCTCCATCCCACGATCCATCCTGGATCTCTAACAGAAACACGCCGCTCATCCAGAACAGGAGTTCTGCTCCCGTTCCGCTTCTCAGCCCTGGCGGCTCTGCCTTGACCTACGCCCGCTTCCCCTCGTTCGGTCGGTTCCCAGCTACGCTCGTTGTATTTGCTCTCTTTAAAAATACCCCAACACCGGCGACCTGTCGTGTAGCCGCGTGTCTTTCTTAAAATCACTCGACTGCTCAGTTTTCTTTTTGGCTGGGATCTTTAGATCTCCTTGTCCTCTACAATGGCCTACCAGCACACGGACGGGGCTTCGCCCTACGACGAGAGCCATCGGATGCAGGACCTTTCTACGACGGCTGTGAGTCCCCACAGATCGAGTGGTTATTTTCTGGCTCAAAACGGGATACATGCTGACGTGGATGTATAGTATGGCCGCGAAGACGATGTGGACGCTTCCCACGCGTTGCTCAACCAAGGCCCATTCAACGGCCCCTTCGATGACCCTCACCAGAGAGGCACGTCGCCCATGCGACCGACCTCTGGATACAGCTTGACGGAGACATATGCCGGCGACGCTCATGCTACTCCTGCTTATCATGATCCGTACAACACCGCTGGGTCGACATACTCGGGAAACACCATGGAGAGCCCGGCGGCCGCCTTCGGTGTGCCGGGCCGTGTCGCATCGCCTTATGCTCGAAGCGAGACCTCTTCAACAGAGGCCTGGCGCCAGAGACAGGCACCCACGGGAGGAAACCTGCGCCGTTATGCGACCAGAAAGGTCAAGTTGGTGCAGGGCTCGGTCCTGAGTGTCGACTACCCGGTCCCTAGTGCCATCCAGAACGCGATTCAAGCCAAGTACCGAAACGATCTTGAAGGAGGCAGCGAGGAATTTACGCACATGCGCTGTATGCTCTCGAAACACCCTCTAGGCTCTGATCTTCATTGGACTGACTAAATTTGTAGACACCGCTGCAACCTGTGATCCGAACGAATTTACGCTCCACAATGGTTACAACCTGCGTCCAGCGATGTACAACCGGCACACAGAATTGCTCATCGCCATCACGTACTATAACGAAGACAAGCAGTTGACTTCTCGAACATTGCACGGTGTGATGCAGAACATTCGCGAAATCGTGAACCTCAAGAAATCCGAGTTCTGGAACAAGGGTGGTCCTGCCTGGCAGAAGATTGTCGTTTGCCTAGTCTTCGACGGTATCGATCCTTGTGACAAGGATACACTTGATGTCTTGGCGACTATTGGTGTCTACCAAGATGGTGTCATGAAGCGTGATGTCGATGGAAAGGAGACCGTGGCACACATTGTCAGTATTTCTTTCAAGTGAGCCTGCGGATGGCATTTACTGACAACGCTATCAGTTTGAATACACGACCCAGCTTTCCGTTACTCCCAACCAACAGCTCATTCGTCCCCATGACGACGGGCCAAGCACTCTGCCTCCAGTGCAGATGATGTTCTGTCTGAAGCAGAAGAACAGCAAGAAGATCAACTCCCACCGATGGCTGTTCAATGCGTTCGGCCGTATTCTGAACCCCGAAGTCTGTATTTTGCTGGATGCGGGTACTAAGCCCGGTCACAAGTCACTCCTCGCACTTTGGGAGGCGTTCTATAACGACAAAGATCTGGGAGGTGCCTGTGGTGAAATCCACGCCATGTTGGGTAAGGGTTGGAAGAACCTTATCAACCCTCTGGTGGCGGCACAGAACTTCGAATACAAGATCAGTAATATTCTGGACAAGCCGCTGGAGAGTTCTTTTGGATACGTCAGTGTGTTGCCTGGTGCCTTCTCCGCCTATCGTTTCCGCGCAATCATGGGTCGACCGCTGGAACAGTATTTCCACGGTGATCACACGCTGTCGAAGCAGCTTGGAAAGAAAGGTATCGAGGGCATGAACATTTTCAAGAAGAACATGTTCTTGGCCGAGGACCGTATTCTGTGCTTCGAACTGGTCGCCAAAGCTGGTTCCAAATGGCATCTCTCATATGTCAAGGCTTCCAAGGGCGAGACTGATGTGCCCGAAGGTGCACCTGAATTTATCTCACAGCGTCGTCGTTGGCTTAACGGTTCCTTTGCGGCCAGTATCTATTCGCTCATGCACTTCGGCCGTATGTACAAGAGTGGGCACAATATTGTGCGGATGTTCTTCCTCCACATCCAGATGTTGTACAACGTATTCAACGTGTTTTTGACCTGGTTTTCTCTCTGTATGTGGTTGACTCCTATGTCTCTTGGAACCGCTTGCTAACTGGCTGCAGCATCTTATTGGCTTACTACGACTGTCATCATGGACCTTGTCGGAACTCCTGGCACCTCTAATAATGACCACGCATTTCCCTTCGGTAATACCGCTACACCCATCGTGAATACAATTTTGAAATACGCGTACCTGGCGTTTCTTCTGTTGCAGTTCATTCTCGCTCTAGGAAACCGGCCGAAAGGGTAAGGACTCATTAGTTTCCGTCGACAACGTGGAATCAAGGCTAACCAGTCTCAGTTCCAAACATTCATACATCTCGTCTTTTGTTCTCTTCGGTATAATCCAGCTTTATATTGTAGTTCTGTCGATGTACCTGGTCGTCAGAGCGTTTAGCGGAAGCACACCGACCGATTTCGACATGAATGATGGCGTTGGTGCATTCCTCTCATCGTTCTTCGGGTCTTCCGGACCTGGTATTATCATCATTGCTCTTGCGGCTACGTTCGGTCTCTACTTCGTCGCCTCGTTCATGTACATGGACCCGTGGCACATGTTCACTTCCTTCCCTGCCTACCTCTTGATCATGTCCTCTTACATCAACATCCTGAACGTGTATGCGTTCAGCAACTGGCATGATGTGTCATGGGGTACCAAGGGTGCAGACAAGGCGGATGCTCTCCCTTCAGTCCAGACTAAGAAGGAGGCGGATGGGAAAGGCGCCGTCATCGAAGAAATCGACAAGCCGCAGGCCGATATCGATAGCCAGTTCGAAGCCACCGTGAAGCGCGCCTTGACCCCGTATGTTGCTCCCGTGGAGCACGATGAGAAGACCTTGGAAGATTCCTACAAGAGCTTCCGAACGAGACTGGTGACTTTCTGGATCTTCAGTAACGGTCTGCTCGCTGTCTGCATTACCAGCGATGGTGTTGACAAATTTGGATTTACTGTAAGTGCACACTTTACCATTCCCTTCTTTGCCGAGTTCCTGCTCACTGGTCCTCTAGAACCAAGCCACGGTGCGGACCACGCGCTTCTTCCAGGCTCTTTTGTGGTCGAATGCCGCAGTCGCGCTCTTTCGTTTCATCGGTTGCTGTTGGTTCCTGGGCAAGTCTGGCATTATGTGCTGCTTTGCTAGACGATAAACGCCTCCAGGGCGACGTGCAGTGGACGGGCTGCTGCTTGCAGCTGGCTGGATGGCAGAGGCTCCGTGGCACAGTGCTCAATACCCGTCGGAGATTTTTGTACTGTACTTTAGATGCCATTGTTTCGTCGGTCTTATTGATTTAGGTTGGATCTGTACTACTCGACACGGCTGAGCTTTTTTCTTTTTCCCATGTTACATGCAAAATTTTCCAGCTATTAGCGATTAAAATTAAATGCATTCGAAACTATATACAGAAGCTTTATTATTCTTTCAATGTATGTCTTTGTGCTCCTATATGCTATGATAATGTGGCCTTGTAGACGTTGTTAGAAGGTAAACGACAGGCTGGGCAAGTCGTGGCAACATATCATGTCTTAGGTCACGTTGGTTCCGGGGATAAGATCGTTATCGGTTCCATGCTTTTCCCTCAAGTCTCACGCCGACGCCATATTGACTTCCTTTTACCAACCAGCATCACTTTCTTTACCTTCACAGAACTAGCACATAGTCCTCCCTCTGACCGCTTTTCTAGACCGTACTCCCCGTCAATCTACTTGAAACGGGCCACAGCCTACAGGGACTCTGTCGCCCGCACCGCTTTGCGGAGATCCTCGCGTGCCGCATAACCCCGCAGGTCCTCTGCGTTTGCAACTCTTACCACAGGAGCTAGCTTCCACTCTCCCGCACGGGCACCTATCTCTGATATAGTTTACTGTGAGCTTTAGGCCTAGGCCGCTGGTGCAGTCAAAATGTTGAAAATATGGTCAATGGTATGCTCGCAAGACTTCGTGACAGTCGGGGGCGAATCTTCGGATGACTAACAGGTGTTCGTTGTACAGAAGCAGAAGCAGCAACAGGCTGAGAATGCTGCAGGGGGTGCTGCAAACAAGAAGAAAAAGGTTACAGCTGCCCAGCTGCGAGTACAGAGAGGTGCGTATGATCTCACCTCCCCCCAACTCTGGCAGCCGTGTGTCTTGAGCCGTTGACATGCTGACATGGCGTTTTACGCATCTATCAGATCTGCAGGAGCTCTCTCTCGGAAGCACGATGAAACTGTCATTCCCTAACCCAGACGATATCCTTAACTTCACCCTCACGATCGAGCCTGACGAGGGCATGTATAAAGGCGGCTCCTTCCACTTCAACTTTGCCATCAACCAGAACTTTCCGCACGACCCTCCCAAAGTCAAGTGCACGCAGAAGATCTACCATCCCAACATCGACCTGGAAGGAAACGTGTGTCTGAATATTCTGCGAGAGGACTGGAAGCCGGTGCTGAACTTGAATGCCGTGATTGTGGGATTGCAGGTGAGTTTACTTTGCTTGATTCTGTCGATTTCGCAGAACATCATAGCTTCAACTAGAATTCTTGCTAACTTGCATCTCTAGTTTCTCTTCCTCGAGCCTAACGCGTCCGATCCCTTGAACAAGGAGGCGGCCGAAGACCTACGTACGAACCGGGATGGCTTCAAGCGCAATGTGCGGTCGTCTATGGCTGGTGGATCCGTCCGTGGTATACAATATGAGCGCGTGATGCGATAATGTTATAAGATTCAAGGTTAAGTGAAGGAGGCTTGTCCCCAAACATAATCACAGCAGTCGTCGGTCAGAAAACCTCTAGAATAGATGGGAACGGGGAGTAACCGAAAGTTTGACGGGCGTCCTCATCATTGACAATCGGGGCAGTGGATTTGGAAGCACTCATGTTGTTAGGGAGTTGAGGGGCGTTGATAAGAGACCTAGGAGGGAAAGAGAAGAGGCGGCTTGGAAGACACTTGCTGTGCTCGACCCGTCACCACGATACTGGCACTTCTATTCTCACCATAGCGTTTCATGATTGGTACTTACGAAATAGAATCGTGTTTATAGTTTTGCTTCGTGTTCTGCGGGCAGAAATGGAATGGGACGATTACATATGGCTGATATGCTTTTTATTGCTCTACTGGACTTCTTTCCGGGCGAAGATAGTATTGTGGCGTACATACTTTGCAATATACTGGCCTATACGTATCAGAGTTGGTTGTGCAGGCGAGTCATCCGGTCAGGAGCGCATGGAAGAGGCATTTCCAGCCCTATAGCAGACTAGCATAGCTCCGGCTAGCACAACCAATGCCCCGGATATACGGTGCTACCACGGGAAGAATCGTTAGGAGTATATGGGGGAACACCGATTCTTGAACATGTATATATACACAGCGGATCTGGTTCAAACTTCGCATTTCATTCCGTCTGCATCCTTAGGTCTGACTCTTATCTCTATGAATCGATCCCGCTTCCAACAACTTAAAAACAGACAATCGTCAAGCGCAGTAGGAACGTCGACTGGAATCGTTCGTTTAGGCCTTCTGGTTCAGACGCTCCTGCTCGAGCTTGGCGTAGTAGGTGTCACGAGCGCGGACACGGGGGAGGTGGAAGCCTGTGAGGGAACCGAGTCAGGACCAATTTTTGCAGGTATAGGTTCGTTTTGAGAACGAGACAAGAAGTGAGGAAAAGAAATTCTCTGATACGTACCGTACCACCAGAGGTAGCCGAAGGTGGTTCCGAAACCTGTTGGTTCGACGTCTCTCTGTCAGCAATTGTTTCTCTGAACACCTGAGTTCCCCTCAATTCGAGCATATCCCATATCCCCCATTCCGCATCCTGGACGCCAATTGCACTCCGTATCGAGATTTCCGAGCCATCCGCTGGTCTTAATCCCATTCAAGGCCATCTCACGCTCAAACGGAACAATAAAGAGGAGGTTCAACTAACCGAAGGCAGTGGCCAGGTCAAGAACGAGGCCCCGGCGGAGCATCTGTACAAAACACACCGGTCAGTATACACGAGATCCATTCAGAGAAAGAACTGGACCCCCCCAAGTCTCGTTCCCTGTCCGAAGTGCGCGGCGGGCGAGGCCGGAAATAGGAACCAGACGTGGGCGGGACGGCTATTCAATCAGGGAAAGGGACGTACGCCGGTGATAGGGGCGACAGCGGTGGCCATTGCGGCGCGAGGTCGTAGCAGACAGGTGGTAGTGCGACGGCGAGAGAGTTGTTTGTGCGAGGGACCGTGTGGTCACTGGATGCTATGGAGGGCAGAGAGTCGTCGTAGCAAGAGGGAAGACGAAACGACGTTCTGCTCGCGGAAGAAGCTCTTTAGCGTAAGCGACGCTCCGGGTGGTGTGAGTGGTGGATGCCTTATGATCCAGGCGACGATCAGGCATGGCATCTAATTGACAGCCATGTTATTAGCAGGGATGGCGGCTACAAGGGGTGAATGCTAGTCGAGTAATGTATGTCTTCCAGATAGATTCAGGTGTTGCTTTTCCCGTTATAATGCCTATATGGCTCAGATATCGGCCATGCCACTTCAATATTGAGGCTCTTCGAGAGAGTCAGAGGCTTCCGTCAGGTGTCATCACGTGACATCCAGACGAGCGGCCAGCATCCGCAGCTCCATCTTTCTTCCACGCCAGCATCGTCATCTCGACTCGCCAGCGCGCCTGTCATGCCGTCTGAAGAGCCCGCTATCAAGCGGTCGTCATCCTCTGCGCCAGGAGACTCAGATCAAGCAGTGTCGAAGCGCATAAAACGACACTACCACCATCATCACCGTCTACAGTATCCTGTCGCGCCCGAGCTCCCGGAGCCTGCGATAACCGATGAAGTATCAGTCGACCACTTAATGAACCGATCGATCGGCCAGGTGTTGCGCGAAGTGGGTTTCGATCTGGCTGATCCTGTCGCGTTGGATGGATTCCGCAATGCAGCTGAAGAGTGTACGCCAGCTACAGAGGTGCAATAGAACGATGTGACCATTTCTGACAGTAGCTTCTAGACATTCTGAGATTCGCGGCATACGTGCGCCAGTCCATGCTTTCCAGTCGCAGGTTACAGCCTATTCCTCCAGACTTTGAGCATGCCCTTCGACAGAGCTTCGTTAGCGTCGACGACCTGTCTCCATATCTGAAGTCGCTCCCCGCAGTCGAACCAGTCCGCACACTCTTGCCCAGTCCCCCGCCTGATGAGGATGCATTCACTGCGCTTCCTTCTCTTGGACCTGCACTCAGTGGTGAAGAAGATCGTGTTCGGAGCGCCTACATCCCGAAACATTTCCCCGAGTTCCCCAGTAAACACACCTACCGACATACGCCTGTTTTTACAGACAGGGAACACGACCCTCGGAAGATCCGAGAGCGCGCAACGGAGGATGGCCGATTAGGAGAGGAGGCTTTGCGCAAGCTGGCTCGCGCAGCCTTCAAGGATAATCAGCTAGCTGCAGCTTCACGCGACAAGAAACTTTGGGGACGAAAGAACGAGAATCTGGAGACCATGTTCGAGAAGACGATTAAGGGGTTGGCCAAAAAGGCGCAGAGGAGCGCCGCCGATGCTGCACCCTCGATGGACATCACTTCTGGCGAACAGAAGCCGCCGCGGCCCAAACTGCCGATCCATTTCGAGCTGGGACCTATCGTGAATTGCGAGCGAGACTTCTGGCGAAAAACCGCTTCGGCGACAGGAAGGAAAGCCGAGAAAAAGCAGACAGACCAGAAGGATGCGGTCATGGCGACCGTGGAGGGCTGATCCGCGATGCAAGCTAGACATGTAAGCACGAGAGTGGTCTGTCGATTTGGACGATGCATGGGCGGCGTTGAAGGCGTTTACAACAAGGTTAAACAAGATACCCAGGAGATCAATAGTCATTGAGATTCAATATGATTCAATTTAATAGTAGAAAGGCGATGATTGACAATGGGATATACAGAACCAATTCTTCCATGTATGTCCTCGCCCAACTCCGCCAGAGAACGCCTTGTATGCAATGTAATATATATACAGTTCATCTCATACGGTGGAAATCACACCGTATTCATGCCTTCTTTCCGCCCGCATCCCTCCCACCTTATGCGATCTTCCCATCTTTGTGTGCGTCTTGTAGCTTCTCCCACGATGTCGTCTCGACTGTTAATCCACCAGCGCATCTGCACAGAAACCAGTTAGCTGACTCTTCTGTACCAGACCTGACATATATGCTTCAAATGAAGATCCCAATCCTCTATCCCAAACACCCCAGCGCTAGAATCTGCCCAAAACCAAGACAAGACACATCCAGAGCCTGCTCAAACTCACCTCCGAAACAGCCTCAGCACAGGCTTACACACCACCACACCCGGCGACGGGACTCCCTCCTGCGGTGGATTACACGAGTACTGTAGCATTTCGCGTAACTCGCATTTCTCCAGGTCGACCGGCGGGCCTTTTCGGCGCTTTTCCTTCCATCCTTTGTACACGACGTTGACTCGTTCGGGGAGGACTTCTGTCGGGAAGACAGGGACTAGGGGCGCCATTGTGTTTTGCGCCAGTTGTTTATTTGATTTTATTTTTTGGAATAGAGAAGGTGGAGATGGCACAATGGGCCTTTGCCTGGTGGTTCTCAGGTGGGCTGTTTGTGCTGAGGAGTTGAGTCCCGATGCAAGCGCGGAGCGGAGCGGGAATTAAGATTAAGTTCAGATTAGAGTAGAGTAGATGATCGATATCAATCACTCACTTAGCTCCGCTAACACAAATCAACAATTAGATTCCGCGTATCTGATGAAAGATCATTGATATAAGTTATGGTTATACTCAAGATGTGCCACGTCGATTGACAATTCCTGGATCGTTGAGTCCATGGGGCTAGCTATGCAGTTTTTGTGGGAAACATCCAACAATGGCGGCCAACTTCGGGGAGAGACTACTAGCAGAAGTGAGAGAAGAGACGCTTGATGAGGTATGTTACAAGCTACCTACCTTATACATGTATTGCCATTTAACCGACCAGTATACAGTTTCTGCATGACCTGAGAGCTTTTAAACCAGACCAAGGCGATGAAAGGTCGTTTTTCTTGGGTGTAAAGGAGTTGGATGAGCTCCTGGAGCTCTTCCTCCCTACACCGGCGTCTGCCGCGACGGCCATTGAACCACCACGGACACAGATTCCTGCATCTACATTTGCAGGGTTTGATGCTGGCTACGACAGTGGATTCCCTGCAGGCGCTGCAGGTTACGAAGAAGAGAATGTAGATGAGTACGGAACGGACGTTCCTGTCCCAGTTCCTACGCCTAGACCTGCCCCAAATCCGAAGAGAAAGCAGCCAGTGGTAGAAATCACCAGTCCTTCCTCTGCAGCGGGGAAGACGCAACTGCTTTATTATTTGACTGCCGTGGCTATCCTGCCATCATCGTATCATGGAAGAGACCTGGGTGGGTGTGACGCTGCTGTCGTGTACATTGATACTGACGGACGATTCGATGCCAATCGTCTCGGGGATATTGCTTCTGGCATCGTCCAGGAGAGGCTGAAGGCATCGTCTTCAAATCCCGCTGATATAGTATCTAGGGAGGAAAGAAAGGCGGAAGGAGATGACATAGGAGATGACATTAATGCCCAAGATATCAACGAGCTGGTCTGCAACGCTCTCCAACATGTCCACCTCCTGCGCCCACAGTCATCATCATCTCTTCTAGCGACGCTTCAACAACTGGATGCTTACCTTTTAGACGTCTCCCGTCACCACTCTGCAACACGTCCTCTCCACGCCATCTTCCTCGACAGCGCGAGTGCCTTCTTCTGGCAGGATCGGTTGCGTGATGAAGTCGCTAGGACGGAAGAGATTGGACGTCCCGCAGCAGAGATCGACAGAGACCGTGATCAAGGGCGCAGTTTCCATCTCGCGGTGCTGTATCGCCGGCTGGTAGTCGAATTGCGGCGGCTTCAGGCAATTTTCGACTGTGCAGTCGTATATACGACATGGGGCCTCTCTCGTACAAAGAGTTCTTCCGACTACGGTCCTACGTCGTCGCATTCTGGTATCAGACCTCATCTTCCTCCACCATGGGGCACATTTCCTTCTCTGCGTTTAGTTGTCCAGCGAGAGCCGGTCCGACGCTTTCCTCCTGAGGCAACCCTCCAGGAGGCGGAGCGAGATGCGCCATTACGGCAAGAAGTCGTGGCTCGTGGCAAGTTCTGGGCATGGGTAGATACCTGGGGACGAGAGGAGTGGCCACGTCGGATTGTGGAAGGGCTGGAAAGGAGAAACGGAGGGAGATTTTCCTTCTGGGTAAGCGATAAAATAGTTATAGGGGAGGATAGTGATCATCCCATGTGATGTGATCGCGTCTAGTGAAATTTGATTCGAATTCTATCGATATATGGATGACGCTCTATCGTCCGATGCTCATGGATATCATGGATATCAAAATGCTGTCGCCGCCCCAACTTATGCGCCACTTACAAGAGAAAAGGCATCCCTACTTCGCGGACGCAAACAACTTTCCAATTGCCTCCACTGTTGTGTTACCGCCGCTGAACACGATTCCAACATCCCATCCTTCTTCTCCCGCCTCCTTCTCGACCAAGCGTCGGAATTCCTCATTGAATAAACACACCGCCAGGCCAACAACGGCACTCGGCTCTACTACGACCTTCATCCGCTCCAGGACCAGTCGCATCGCGGCCTTGATCTGATCCTCAGTTACCGCATACACGCCGGCCACTTTATTCTTATCCGAGATGACTTCCCAATTGATCACTCCAACAGGTGTCCGCAGACCATCGGCGATAGTGAGCGTCGAGACGGCCTCAACCCGCTTTCCAGCAGCCAAACCACGGCAACAATCATCTGCGCCCTCAAAGGAGGGCTCAGCACCGAAGACACGGGTGGTAGGCTTGTCGGAAAACCAGGTAGCCACACCAGCGTTGAGTCCACCGCCGCCAATGGGAGTGAAAACAGCGTCAAGGTGGGCTCCAGCCTCATGCGCAGATAGCTTCGGGTTTGCCTTCACCAACTCCGCATATTGCGCCTCAAGCTCTATACCAACAGTTCCCTGACCGATAATGATATCCCGGAAGTCATACGGCGGCACAAGAATGGCACCTGTTTCTTTCTGAACAGTAGCCACGACAGCTTCACGCTCCGGGGCCGTTGAGCCGGAGAAGATCACGCGAGCACCGAGTGATTGTGTGCCAGCGATCTTTGACGGGGTCGAAATACTGGGCATGACAATATGCGCGGGGACATTAAGCGTCGAAGCTGCGAGTGCGAGGGCTTGTGCATGGTTTCCTATTTCAACGCAATTCATCCAGTCAGTTTAGAATAAGATTTCAATAATGACCACGCGGCGCATAACCATATACGACGACTATCATTATATAGCTCCCCCACCCACCGCCCAAAAAAACCAAGTAAAAAAACAAAACCAGATAAACAACCCCTCATACCTGAACTATGCGTAACAACCCCTCTCCTCTTCAACTCCTCCTCCCCAAGCTCATCACGCAATCTCAGAACGGCATGAAATGCCCCCCGCGCCTTAAACGCTCCAATGCGCTGATAATTCTCGCACTTGAAAAAGAACCGGATCCGAGGCCGCGCGGGCTCCTGGCCTTCGAACGGCGTACCCGCGAGAGCGGACGGATCCTGAGGAGTCGATGCGATCGTGTTCAGTGTCGAGCATGTTAAGACGGGTGTCTTGTGGATGTATGGCTGGATGAGTTCGTGAGCGGCCTTCACGGAGGCGGGGGTGAGGGGGCGCGCGGGGTCGGAGGACATGGTTTGGACGTAGTTAGGTAAGAGGGTTTTAACTATATCGTTTTCACTGTGGTTCTGTGAGGGATGGTTATCTGATTTCTAATTGGGGATTGATGACTGGGGAGATCGTGAAGAAAGAGGGTTTTGCGGGGAAGGGAAACCGATAATAATAATTACGGGAGGGAGATTATTATTATGGTAAATGAGGACCCGATGGTTTGGATCTCTAGTAGATACAGATGTGGAGACGAGCGCTAATACAAACCGGAGATAAGAAGAAGTCTACGAGTCTACGCAAAGTGGGAAATACGAAGAAAGACAAATTGGAAGATGATAATAGATCGTACATTAACTTTTTTTCGTCACGGTATCCTAGTATTACATAGCTTATTTCTGGTTCTCGGGACGGAGAGAGCGAACAGCCTTTCCGGCGCGCCAGATCTCTAGATCACGGATGTCCTGCATCTCCTTCTCGTACTTCTCACGGTAGTCGGGCTGAGAGTTGTAGTCCAAGCTGCGCTGGGTCTCAGTGCCGTCACGAACGCTGTCGTACAGCTCGTTGAACAGAGGCTTCAGGTTCTCCTTGAAGCGGCTGGACCAGTCGATAGCACCACGGCGGGCGGTGGTCGAGCAGGCAGCGTACATCCAGTCCATACCGTTGGCACCGATCAGAGGGTACAGGGACTGAGTGGCCTCCTCAACGGTCTCGTTGAAGGCCTCAGAGGGGGAGTGACCGCGCTCACGGAGGACCTCGTACTGAGCAAGGAACATACCGTGGATACCACCCATCAGGCATCCACGCTCACCGTAGAGGTCAGAGTAGACCTCCTTCTCGAAGGTGGTCTCGTACAGGTAGCCGGAACCGACGGCGACACCCATGGCGACGGCCTTCTCCTTGGCCTTGCCGGTGACATCCTGGTAGACGGCAATGGAGGAGTTGATACCACGGCCCTCACGGAAGAGAGATCGGACGGTACGGCCAGAGCCCTTGGGAGCGACGAGGATGACATCAATGTCCTTGGGGACATCGACCTTGGTGAGGTCCTTGAAGACGGGAGAGAAACCGTGGGAGAAGTAGAGGGTCTTTCCCTTGGTCAGGAGAGGCTTGATGGTGGGCCAAGTCTCACTCTGGGCGGCGTCGGAGAGGAGGTTCATGATGATAGTACCCTTCTCGATGGCAGTGTTGACATCGAACAGGTTCTTGCCGGGGATCCAGCCATCCTGGATGGCCTCCTTCCACGAGGCACCATCCTTGCGGACACCAACGATGACATTGAGACCGTTGTCACGGAGGTTGAGACCCTGGCCGTGACCCTGGGAACCGTAGCCGATGAGGGCGAGGGTGTCGTTCTTGAAGTAGTCCTGCAGAGAGTCAGTCAGCTTTTCATTGCTTCGATTGCGTTTCTGGGTTGCTGGCATTGCACACTCACATGGAGCTTCTCGCGGGGCCAGTCCTCACGCTCGTAGACGGTCTCCTTGGTGCCAGCGAAGTCGATGGTCTTGACACCACGGGTGGCCATAACCGGGGCCACACGAGGAGTCACCGTCGCCAGCGACGGACGAGGGAGCGCTGCCGTCATGACGGAGCGAGGAGCAGCAACGCGCGACAGGCGCAGAGCGCGGGAGAAACCTCTGGCAGCCATTGTGAAGGATGGAATTGATACAATTGAGGGGAGATTGTAACGAAGAATCAGACTGGGAAACGGGGACGATGAGTCTTCTTATAAGAACGAGCGCGACAACGACGAAAAATGGAGAGGAAGCGGACGGATCAGGTGATTCCGGAGTTGGACTGCTTCTCCCCGGCCGATGTCGGATGGCAGTCAGCTGATCATAAGAAGAATCAGAATCAGAATCAGAAGAAATAAGAGAGAAAATCATCCAGACGGCCAAGTCGAAGAGAAATACTTAGTACTACTACTACTATAGAGCACGGATGTCGAAGCAGCCAGCAGTGTAATTTATTGATTTATTGATCGATTGACCTCCAAGATAGACATCAGATGTGCGTTGCAACATGCAGCATGCTGCTGTGCTGCGGCTCTGCTCAGTGACTCTCGCTGTCGTGCACTTTCCACCACTTTTTCTTCTAAAATAATAAAGTCTTTCCATCACCTCAAACATCCACCTACGTCACGACTGATCTACATCTCTCCATCTTTCCGTCTCTCTCTATATATCTGAAGGGATAGAGAGAGAGATAGAGAGACTCTACAGCATGCCATGAGCTCCATCTTCACTCCCAATATCGGCGCCATCCCCACTATCCGCACCCGCAAAGCTCTCCTGCTTCTCGATCTTCAGAACGACTTCATCCGCCCCACTGGTGCCCTTCCTGTGAGCAATGCAGCCGATATCCTCGACCAGATCCCCAGTCTGGTCCAGAGTTTCCGCCACACCGGAGATGTAGTCTGGGTTCGGTCCCAGTATGCAGATAGCCGGCCACTGCTCGATCCCAGCACAGGTGCAGAGCGTGTCATCCTCACGGGGCCTGGCAAGGAGCCCAAGAGGAAAAAGAAGCTACAGGGACAGGAGGACCAGGATTCTGAGAAAGATCCATCGCATGTCGACGATGAAGCCTTTTTGACTACCAGTCGCTGCTGTCTGCCCCAGACCTCTGGGGCTCAGTTCCCGGCCCCTGTACTCTCCGCCATCGATCCCCAGGACACAGTCATCGTCAAAACGGACTATTCCGCCTTCCAGGCCCCGACCCTGGTCGAGTCCTTCCGTTCGCGCTTTGTCACGGAGATCTATTTGGTCGGATCCCTGTCGAACGTTGGCGTCTACGCCACGGCTCTCGATGCTGCCCGCCATGGCTTTACCGTCACCTTGATCGAGGACTGTCTGGGCTATCGCAGCTTTACCCGTCATGAGGAGGCTATGCGACGCATGGCCGATTTACTGGGTGCGGACGGGGTGACGGTGGCGGAGCTGTTGGAGGAGCATGACTGGCAAGAGACGGACAAAATTGCACGGGCCGGAGGCAGTCGTTCCCAGCGTCCTACTACCCCGGCGGGGATTGAGACTGTCATGGATGACTTGCTTGTTAAGGCGTCTCCTCGCGCTGCTCCACCAGAAAATGCTCGCCCCAAATCAGACAACAAGGAGGAAAAGGAGAGAGCGGAAGAGCGTCAGCATATCATTGAGGCTGCCATGAAGGGAACCGCAATGGATGGGCTAGGCGACATCGAGATTGGATCTGACTACGGTGATGAAGACGATCCATTAAACCTCGAAGCGTACCGTCAACATGTGGCCTCGCATGCCGCCGCTCGACTCTCTCGTACCATGCGTGATGCTACGGCCCCAGCGCCGGAGCCTGGCGTCAAGCGGACACGAGCTAAGATGCGGCGTATCAAGAACCGGGATACACCTCAGTCTCCCTCCGCTACGAGCGCCAAGCCCGCTCCAACCTCTGATTCACGGCCCTCCTCCGCGCGAACATCTCGTCCAAAGGCTCCGGAAGGGCTCCACCAGCCTGGAGACCAGATTGGGGAGGGTGACTCGCGTCTCCTGTATAATCTGGAACTGTCTCCGGATGCTTTTGCGGAGGTTCGGAAGGAGGTCAACTGGCAGAAAATGTATCATCTCTCAGGCCAGGTTCCTCGATTGGTCGCAGTGCAAGGCCAGGTCGGGTCAGATGGGTCTATGCCCATTTACCGCCATCCTGCGGATGAATCCCCACCGTTGCAGGCGTTCAGCCCTGCAGTTGATCGTATACGAGCTGTGGTTGAGCCTATCCTAGGCCATCCCCTGAACCATGTGCTCATCCAACTGTACCGGGATGGGCAGGACCGTATCTCAGAGCACTCAGATAAAACCCTCGACATCGTGCGCGGTTCTTTCATCTGCAATATCAGCCTGGGCGCCCAGAGGGTTATGATCCTACGCACTAAGGCCTCTGGCATCTTATCGACGGCGTCCCAGACGTCCGGGGATGATGCAGATATTGCGTCTCGAAAGAGCCAGCGCGTCCCATTACCGCACGGATCGCTTTTCATTCTCGGGCCAGAAACAAATCAGCGCTGGCTGCATGGAATCCGGCCGGACAAGCGTCCGGAATCGGAGAAAACCGCAGAAGAGCGCGCCTTTGGGGGTGAGCGGATCTCTTTAACCTTCCGACATATTGGTACCTTCATAGACCCTGCTGCAGGGACCATATGGGGCCAGGGTGCCGTGTCGAAATCGCGAGATGGAGCGGGACGAATCATCCATGGTGATCCCGCGGAGACGGAGCGGTTGGTCCACGCGTTCGGCAACGAGAATCATGCAACGGAGTTCGACTGGGATGCTGTTTATGGCAGCGGTTTTGACGCCATTAACTTCGTTACGGTTAGCCCTGGAAAATTGGTGACCAGCGGGGATTTTGTTGGTGACCTACGGGTTCGACTCGCCCTGATGGAGAACGGCTTGCGATATGAGACTGTGGATCCTTCTAATTTTGAAGGGCTATCGAACGCACCACGACCGATATACTTGGATTCGGATGGGCCAACGACGGCTGGCGATACCCAGATTCTCGCCTATCTAGCGCAAAGGCCGTCCTCGAGACCGGGCGTGGACGGATTGCGCGGAGGGAACCAGCTACAGCACATTGAACAGCTGTGGGCGAATTGGAAAAAGTATCGGATGGGAGGGATCAAAGGGGAGTTCACTGCTTTGAACCCGTGGGAAGAGGCCTTGAAAGGACGGCACTACCTCGGCGGCCAGACTATCGCGATTGACGACTGCTCACTCTGGCCGGTGCTACGGCAGATGGTGCAGGACAAGGGGCCCTTATCAGCTACGGCGTTTCCCAACCTTAGCAACTACTACAACCGGATGGAGAAGCGTGGCTGTGTGCGAATCGTCCTCGACGAGATGATGGGTGGAACTCATCCATGAGGTATATGGCCTGCTGCTCCGACAGTCCCTTTTTAGCTTTGTCGATTTAGCAAAGACTCGACTGATTCAGCTTCGACGAGGTGATGCCGATTTTTATGACGTCTACGAATTTCACGAGCCTGTAAGGAAAGTTCTGGCTATAATAGCGAAGGGAAAAGTTGATACAGGATGCGATCCGACCACATCTTTTGCAAAATGCTCATCTCAATTCTTATCTATATATTCTGTTTATATTTCTTTTCTTCCCATTTCTTTACTTCTAATTTTTCATTTTTTTATTTACATATATTCAATTTGCAACTTTCTGGTTGAATGATTGTGTCACTCGGACGAAGGGAGTACGTCTTTTCCAGATCGCCATAGACAATGAAATATTTTTGATGCAGTCGGGCTACTTTCGTTTCCGCATGTACCTGCTTGATTTCGACTATACCCTAGTGGCATGACTTTGCTTGCGGTGAATGTGGATATTTCACTCTTTTTGCAGTGAACACTCAGAATTATCAAGATATCAGAATTCGATCAATTCGTCTGGTATCTGTACTGGCACCTGATGGGTATTGCATTCTCGTCTATATACAGTCATCTCCTTCCAAAATGCATTCCACGCAGTTCTTGGGCTATTTTACATGCATGTATATATAATGGCTACAATTTTTCAAATGTCGGCTTCTTTTTCTGCATTTGAGAAAAGATAGCTGACTGGATATCATTCGTCTGTAGAGCAGCACTGTTCCAGACACCAGTGTATCGTAGACCTAGATAGATATCACGCATACGGTATTAGCAAAAACGTTGCAGCATCCAACAGATTCGCAGCTGCGTATGGAACTTACCATCCTGCACAGAATGATCCCTCGACCAATTCAACAACTCCTTCGTCCCCTGCACCGCAACGGGACTCTTACTTGCGATCAAGGCCGCCAGATCCAGCGCCGCCTTCACCGTCTTCTCCTTGTTTTCATACACCCCACTCACCAAACCCACCCTGAGCGCTTCCTCCGCACCGAAAATCCTCGCCGTCAACGCAACATCTTTCACCCAGCCATAGTTCCCGACGACTTTCGGGAGACGACTCAACGTGCCTATATCAGCCGCAAGACCAATATCCACCTCCTTCACCGCGAACCGCGTATCGGCTGCAGAAAGCCGGACATCTGCCGCCGTAGCGATGTCGACCGCTAACCCCAGTGCATAGCCGTGTATAGCGGCAATAACGGGCTTTTCACACCGCTCGATCGCGCTGATGCAGTCTTGGAATTCGACGATATGGCGACGGAGAGTAGTCGCATGGCGGGCGGTGTCTGAGTCGGAGGGAGAGAAGAGAATGCCTTGGCTGGCGGCTTTGACGTCGAGGCCGGTCGTGAAGGCCTTTTCGCCGGCGCCGCTGAGCACGATGGCGCGGACGGAAGACGAGGTGGAGAGGAGGTCGAAGACGGTGCGCATTTCGAGCCACATTCTGTAGTAGTACAGAACATTTAGTACGGTGGTCAAAATTACACATATATAGCGTAGTATTCAAATGACGAATTGAGAACATGGACATGGACATAGTCATTAAAAATGAAATCAAACAAAGAATCACAAACTCACTCCTCATGAAACGCATTCATCTTATCCGGACGATTGATCTCGACGTGCGCGACATATTCCTGAGGATAAGTGATGACGAAGTATTTGAATTTCTGATCTGTTGCCATAATGTATAAATATATTTCCTCTAGTATCGAAATCTTTCTCGATTCTTTCTGATTTTGTAATTTTTTTCGTGTCCAATTGATGGTATAAGGAAGCTAGGTCGTTGGTTGCTTAACGAGGATATATGTATACGAATATGTATATATATATAGAAAGGTATGGAATCCGATATTTCCAAACCTAGACTCACTAATATGGAGGGATTTAATGAGTATGACTTTTGGAAAACATGCGAAGTTAATAAGTTATGGGTTCAATCTACTGAAGAGCTGATGAGATGATGCGCAGAGTGTACCTCGGCTCGGGGGTCATGTGCCAAGAGCTGATTAGATAGGTGTGATCCCGAGGTGCGATGTTTGCCGAATTTTAAGTACTCTACATCTACAAAGGGAATTAATTAATTGATTGGGAAAATAATATGAACTTGAATAATGTATTAAATTCAAATTATGCGATTAATTAACATAGTCGTAACGTCGTCACTTGCAAAAGGAGAGATCTTCATGCAACACCATGCCACTTCCACTGCCATCGTCAACCTTTGAAAGAAGGAGAAATATTAGGTCGTATTCGTCATGCTCGAAGAACGTTGCTTGATGAAGTTGATTCGATCGACAGTCATGCCCGAGAGTTGCAGAGGGGATAAGAAAGGATGTCGGTTTCAGAAACTAGAGGAAGATTGGATCATGGAAGGATGACCGTCGAGAAGGAGTAGTGATAGCGGAATGCGTTTACTCCGAGATGGTGATCTTCTTGGCCGAAGGAGCAGAAGCCTTGGGAACGACAACGGAAAGGATACCGTTCTTCAGGCTGGCCTTGACGTTGTCCTGGTCGACACGAGTCGGGAAGGAGAAGGTACGGTGGAATTCTCCAATGGAGCGCTCGCTGACCCAGTACTTGGCCTTGGGCTGGTCGGCCTTGGAGACCTGCTTGTCACCGGTCTTGGTGACTTCCTGGCCCTGGCCCTGGCCCTGCTGCTGGCCCTGAGCCTGGCCCTCCTCACCAGGCTCAGGAGAGTGGTACTCGCGCTCGGTGCGGCCCTTGATCACCAGGGTCTGCGGGTCGCTGAACTCAATGTCGATGTCCTTCTGGCTGATACCAGGGAGCTCGCCGTCGAGGTGGTAGGCGTCCTTGGTCTCACGGACGTCGAACTTGGGCGCGAAGCCGCGCAGCTGAGGGTTGGCGCGAGTCGCGCGGTGGACATCGTAGTCGTCGAGAAGACGGAAGAGAGGAGCGAAGTCACCAGCTGGGAATCGTGGGAAGAGCGACATTTTGATGGTTGGTTTGTTTGGATGATTGAAACTTTGTTAAAAGCTTCAAAGGCGGTTTTGTTGTTTTTCGTTATCGAATCGATCTGATAATCACTGAATCTCTGGTTGAGAGAGAACCAGAAGCCAGAGCAGTCTCGAGGCCATTAATATACCCTGAAGACATGGTTCGAGAATCTGCGATAGCTTCACTGCGAAGTATGGGTGACGTTAACTCGAACATCCTGGGGAATTCGCGCAATGACGAGCAGGGGCGAGACATGAGGTGATACTCGCATCAGGACTTCACGATGTCTCGATCGGAGCTTTCGAGCGCGTTCCAGCAGCTGCCACGTGATTCGCCGCCACCCTCCGCTCCGCTGGACATTCGCGGAGAATACAGCCATGACGGAAGATTATTGAGAACCCTGGAGCTGGTGATAGTTACACTACATAGTGGCGGAGGCTGTGGACAGTTCGAGACAGCTACACTGCACAACACAGACCGAATGGCGCCACGTCCTACCATCGTCATCTCGCAGTAACGTTTCTATTAGATCAGGGTCTTTTTTTGATGGAACGAAGTTAGCAATTCGAACACTTTCTAATACGGAATTCTAGGCCTCGGGGCGGGACCGACAGATGCATATCATGCCATTGCTAGCGGATATGACCAAGGAAATAATCTGTCTTCTTGAAATTACAGCTGCTATGTGCTGTACTTAACTGAGTTGGATACTCAATGTTGCCAAAAACGCTAATGGCCGGCAGAATCCTCTGATTGGTTACATTTTGACATTCTGAGCTCGGATTCGGAGCGCTATAATGTATTTAGAATAGTTCTGAACGCGTGCTTCTAATTGGTCAAATCAAATATCAGATACTGCTGATTGTATTGCATCAGATAACTAACGAGTATACGTACTTGCTCGCCCTTTTCTTTTCAACCATCATACTCCCTTTACTTCCTCTGCTACCAATATATCATCTATTACTAGGAAATTTAATCGCTGTATTCATTGTATCCTTCCATTCCTCCCTGTTCGTACGATAAGTGCCTCACCCGCACCTCCTCTTTCGGATTCACAGTTGAATATTCATTCCCTTCCAACCCCCACTTTCATATCTGCCCCTCCTGAGCATAAAAAGACGTCTCTGTCCCTTCCTCTTTGTCTTCCTTTCTCCCCTTCTCCTCGCGCCCTATGGGCCGGCTCTACCTCCTTCAGGGCCTGGCCCACTGTGCTGGTTTTTGTTTACAAGTATCGAATATGAAGCAAAAGCAACGTACGAAAAATATCACCTGTGTATGAACGTGGAAATATCGTCTCAGATGCAGAGGATGGATTTCTCTCGCACCTTTCTCTTGACACGTCTATCTTTTATTATAATCTGCAATGCCGTCTGGCTTGCCTCCCTAGTGATACGATTATTTTATTATTATCAAAGCGTTTCCATCAAAAGTCCTTGATGAACTTGACGAACAGCTGCCCGGACGTCTAGATTATTTCCTCACTACTTCAAACCTTCATCCTAAAAATGCCTAGCCAACCTCACGAAGAAGCTGCTGGCTAATTCGAGGCTATGCTTATAGTTCTTATAATTCTTGCCGCTCAAATGAATGTTAAACGTCCAATCTATTATCTAGGAGCCACCCGTATCGATGGTAATGATTAATTGGCCTGGCTATGCGCATGTGCATGATACGTCGTACCTTGTCTTCGTGCATTCCTTTTGGGATCGCCCATAAGATTGGGAATGATATTCCTCCACAATATAGCCGTGTCATACATACCCGATTTCATCCTACCATGCAGCCGATCTACGTGCAGCTCACAGTCCAATACCGTAAGAATCTGATCTTCCCAATGGACGAGTAACTGCTTTTCCATGGTGGTATCGATTAGAACCGGGAGAGTATACTCTACCCTACAGCTCGTCCTTGAAGGTCGAATTCTCGTTCAACTTCTTGTTTGCTCAGCTAGTTACCTCTTTAAAGAGAGAGATTCATTGCGGCGGTGCGATACCCTGCGGGACGAGGCCCACAGTGAACAGCCAAGTTGTTTCGATTACTTCCACCCTAAACGCCAGTATGTGTACACCTTGTATAGCCCAAGCATATGCTCACTGATACAGCGGCTCCAAACCGTGGCACCATCATGTCATCAGTGAACGGACTAGTGTAAGTCCTCATTATGCACGCCATATACACACAATATTAGGACCCACGGCAACCAAGGCGAGCAGGACGGACTGGGGGTTTATCATCGATTTCTACCGCAATCCAACAGATCGCAACTTGCGCATGCTGTTTTTCCCTACCACTGCAGACTACGAGTCAGGACACCTAAGACCTCCTATCGACGGCCAGTGGTTTGATAAGTATTCTTTGCCCCGGCTGAGAAACGTTGATATCGGGATCAAGGTGGACACCCGCCGGCCAATGTTCTTGTCGTCCCTAAATGACCAAGAGTATGTGGCCGTATGGAAAAACATGAGCGCTAACAAGGAGATGACCTGTCCCACATGGTAAGATCCAACTTAAGTTAGGTCTAATGCTGTTTTAGCTAAACTAGTACATAACAGGGACGGCTGGATGAAGCTGAACAAATGGCATATGCTCACCTAGTTAGCTGCGATATCCAAGTGAACGGAAACCAGTGCTGCGGTATGAAGGTGTCAATACTTCGAATGAGGCTACAGTTCGTTGGAAGATCGATATAATCCTGCAAGCTTGCGTTAGGACTGAGCAGAAACATATTGCTATGAAAGAGCTGGAGAGAAAGAAAAGGCCTGTAACCCTCACGGCTGAGACCCAGCTTGAGTGCAAAATTATCTATAGGGGCGAAACTTTCCTTCTTGTTGGTTATTTGTGCCTTCCCCAGACTGCTCTTTCTATAACCAGTGCCCCCCAGAGGTCCATAATATCCGCCTCTGAAGCCCTCCGTCCTCATGCCACCAACACAATACAACAACACATTTGAAAACTTTCAAGATGGGCTACGAGTGGGCCGAACACACGTTAGTGATCATGGGGGTAGTTGGTGGGGCGCTGTTCTTCCTGAGCGTCGCGCTAAGGGGGGGGGGCATGGCGGCGAGGAGGCGTGGGAGGCGGGGAGAAGGGGGGGGGAGAGGGGGAGGCCCAGAGGAACGACACCCATACCGGGGTGCGACTGTGGCAGGCCGCGAAGGCCTTTATAATAACGGCCGCCCTGCTTGGAGAGGCCCGGGAGGTGGGAGAAGGGGGCGGGAGGGCGGAGAATGAGGGAGTGGAACTATACAATATGGTGATTACGGGATAGGCACGAACCTTATGATTTGTGAAGCTAAAGACAGGGATCCCTAAGGCAGCGGCATGGCACAATGCTTAGCCTATATGGGTAAGTTAACTAGTCCCAGTCTATTAAGCGTTAATTAATTCTATTATATAGCAATGGTTCACCAAATTCGCAAGCAAGAAAACCGAATTAAAAGTATTGTCTAGGGCTGCGTTATGAATGTTAATACGTTTAGTTTCCTATATATCGAGCATAACGACAAGGTAAGCGCTTCTACGGTTCTTCTGTGATATAATAACCCTCATCTTTTTTTTTCTCTTCATAGTACTCTGTCTGGCATACATAGCCTGTCGGCTATTACAGTGTTTAGTCTTTTTCGGCGAGTAGTATCCGGGTCTAGAGGCCCCTTACAGCTATTGAGGCTAGGTATATTATACTCTTATTATTGCCTTTCACATATATTCATTGAGTATTGCACCACGATCATTGACGGACGTTACTTCTTCCTTGTCCTACCATCGTACATGGCACGGTACTCCAATGGCAAGTCTCCGCAGGGCTATACCGATCGTGGGACATCTTAGATTAGGAAGACTCGACGATGGGACGATATTACAGTTACAGACGTTACGAGACCTGTATTTCCGAAGCGAATATGACACATCGATACCTCAAATCCGGACATCCGAATCATACGGTCAGCCCATCACAGAGAGCCACAAGAGGCGGCTAAGTGAGTCTGATTCGTCCCAGCAAAATGCAGCCAAAAGACCGCGATGGGCTAACGGAACGGACCTCTCCAGTGAGCTTAGCAGCAGCACAAGATATCAGAGTTTACCTGACCTGGCTGGCCCTGTTTGGAAAAGGAGAACATCGAGTGCAGATAATATACAGAAGAGGGTGCGTCCCGAAAGACGAAGCCAAAAATAGCTACCACTCCCAAGCATCCTATCGAGCTCATGAAAACCCCTCCGAATGGGCCCTGGGGCCCGATGTCCCTACTGAGGAAACAGTGAAGCGATTTGCACCTCTTTGCCTTGGCGGCTTCTAAGATGTGAACCCGATACAAAAAGAAAGCAACGTTGCCAGTGGTTCAGTGATTTCCCTTCCCCCTTCTGGCCTTCTGGACTGGGCACTCGCAGAATAGGTAGTTAAGAAGTCCAGCTCAATTAATCAATCATGAATTAAGATTAAGTTATGTAGCCATCCCGCTCCGTAAGAGAAGACATGTAACATCAGGCGAGAGAAAGAGCCTCATTCTGATTCCGACTCTTCTGGCTGCATGACCTTCTCATCCAATTCCTAAAATACTTTCATCAGCATGATGAACTCCCATAAGGATAACAACGAAACACAAAGAGCGCTCACCCTTCCCAACCTAGCCTTCAAATTGAGCAACTGACTTTCCTTGATGACTAGGTGGCGATCATCGTCAAGGTCCTCGACGATATAGTCATGTCTCTCCTCGTCGTACTTGAGAATGATGGCTTTGACGGATGGGTCGCATTCGATCAGGACTCCTGGGTTGTGATCAGATTAGTGTGTTTTTTCGTTCTTTATCATTTCACTAATCATTAAATGCGGCCAAGAGAGTCTTCTGACAAGGATATGGGATAGGAAGAAGGGCTATTCTTTGGGGCCTGCATACTAACCCTTGACGGCACGAGGCATGGTGAGCGAGTGTGGGATAGGTAGGTACTTAAACTCGCAGAGTGATCGTAAGTATTCGACAGTGAGTCAGAGCTTTAGTCCCAGTTAATAATAATACGCGGACTCAGATGACTGTATACTCTACTCTAGTATACAAAGTATTAGTACCTTATCCACCAGGAGAAGCGAAGGACGAGAAGAGACTAAAGTGGCGGAACCGGGGCTAGAATCGCGGAAAGTTTAAAAAAAAAGCCCAGCCGGTATCGGGATCAGAAATTCACCGATTGGGCGCGATGCCAAGACTGCGATTATCTACTATACAATTTGAATCTATATTTTCAGTGAAATTGATCTAATTTAATGTTCTCCGTGTTCTATTGAACATGATGGAGAGTAGTGTTGTCTTTTTTTGAGGACTCGAATTGATTAGGGAGTATATCTAGCAAATGGCGTCCGAGGCCTAAAGTATAGTATGTACTCTACTCTATCCATCAGGCCCAGCTTTTCCATCCCTGCACCTAATCTATGTATTAAATTAGTAATAGCTAGGAAAGAGGATATCATTATTTATTATCATAACTTATGGCGTAGCCCTACGCTTCCGCCTACTGGCACCCTTCCATTGCAACAGCATGATCGGCAACACGCTGACAACGGCCACGAGACCAGCAATCAGACCGGCGGAACCTCTCAGTCCCAGATTCGTAAACATATCCGGGAACCAGAAGGGGCCGATAAAACCCCATATTTGGCGAATAAGTGTGATAAAGACCCCGACAGATGCAGAGTGTTGTGGATGGCAGTCGATGGCGTCTGAAGAAACTCGAGTTAGCATGAATGGCTGTTCAACCAGTTCTGGGAATCGACAACATGAAAGCGTACATGTAATTAAAACAGTGGTGGTGACCTGGTTCCCAAATGCTGCAATTCCAATACCGATAAGAGGAGTCACGTCCCAATGCATCGGCACTGCCCGGTCGATCTGAACGCAGAATACAACCATCCCCACAATAACACAGATAAAGCCCAGGTATGAACTCCAGAGACGATACTCGGAATGCGGCCGTCGTCCTTGCAGCTGCTTCGTGCGGCGATTCATCCAGAAATCGGAGAATGGCCCGCCGAATTGTTCGCCGATCACTGTTCTGGAAAAGAAATCAGACTCAGCCCGCGGACGTATGTACATACATAAGATACAGACGGCCAAACTTACCCAATGATAATCCCCAGAAACTGCAGCCCGATCTGCTGCGGGTTGAACTGGAATTTCTCCTGGAAAAGCTGCGGGATCTCGACCGTCCCAAGGACGCATGCAAACGCAAACACAACCGCATGGCTGATGGTCGGTATGAGAACGTCGCTGTAGCGCGCAAAGAGCAGTGGCTGGTAGAAATCAGCCAGCGACAACGGGGTGGGATCGATTCGTCGGAACTGGAGGTATTCCGCCTTGAAGGTGCTGACACCCGGCGTGCTCTCTCGAACGTATCTGGTTTCAGGACTGAAGAATAAGTATCCGAAGAACTGGACAGCGTTAACAATGGCGAAGATCCAGTAGACCCATTTCCACCCGACGTGATACGTCACGAAACCCATGATAAATGGCCCAGTGGGAGGTCCTAGGGTGACCAGCAGCCTGCAATAACCCTCAGTCAGCAGACACATCCAACCAGCAAGCATGAAGTAACAACATACGTCCAAATACCCATCTTCTGGCCACGCTCATGCTGGAAGAACATTTCCGTCACCACTGCTGAGCCAATACCGATTGGCGGGCTGATAAAGATAGCCACCAGGATGCGACAAGCCATCATCGATCCATAGCTCTTACTCTCCGCGCATCCGATATTGCATATGGCCGCACATAAAGTTGAAATGAGCCATACCGGTCGCCGGCCAAAACGGTTAGATATGGGCTTCCAGACCAAGGGCGAGACTCCCAGAAACAAGATCTGAGATTGATTCCTGTTAGAATGTCCGTGTAACCGCCTCTCAGAGAACAGAAATCATACCTGCACAGACGTGTAATACGAGGCATCTTGCAGGGAGACATGAAACATCTCAGCGAACGATTGATAGGCCGGAATGACGCCGGAGGCGATGAAGGTTGTTATCAGCGCATGGAACGCGACCAGACTCAGGTTCATGTGTTTCTACAGCGCGCTGTCAGTGACGGTCCTCGAGCCAATATGAAGACAAGATAATGGCTTCTTCTACCTTCCAACTCGGCCAATTGAGAGGATCCGCCGCAGAGGCCGACGGGAATGGGCTGAGCTCCAATGTCCCATGACGCTGCAGTATGTATTCTCTGTGCTCGAGCGATATGTTGAGGTCTCGTTTCTCCTCGAGATCAACCATTCCAGAAGTATATTTCGTGTCTGCTGCCCCGTCGTGGCTGGACCTAACTCCGCCGTCCAAGACGCCTGCTTGGCCCTCTGTACGAGCTGCAGCCATCTTCCCTCTCTGCCTGGGACAAGCGACACTGCGACAGTGACTTGACTCGCGTGGGGACCGTCAACTTTATAATAATGGATAGGGACGTTCCACCACAGAGAGTGGAGGCTAGATACGCACACACGGGCCCTATCACTACGGAAGTTTGCGGAGGAGGCCACTAACGGCGTGAAGCTAGGATATGGATTGGAATCATTGGATAGATATCGCGGCTGGCGGTAAATAATCCACCGTGAAAAGGTACCTTAAACAGCATGGGAAACTATCAGATCTACACAATCCACGCTTCTCGACGAATGAGTCCCTCAGGAGGAAATGCTCTGTCAGTTACAATCGCAATCAATCACCCACAGCATAATATATGACAGGTAAAACTGAAATCTTTGCAGACATTGTGCTTGTGCATTTTGACTTGACGCGTGGACTTGTCGTCTGCTGGATCCACCGTGGCCGATTAGACCGATTCTTCATTGTTACAAGTTGCCACGGGACGATCTCATCAGGCCCACTGGAGATCATCCCATCTTGGGAACGTTGACAGGAAGGAGGATGCCAACGCAGGTAGGATAGTTATTGAACGCTGAGAGAAGAGATGTTCTCCAATGGTCTCATGAACTATTGTGTATGGTTCTACAGATCCATTCCTATGCAGAATTGGCTAGATACAGCGGGTTTATCGTCTGTGATTCAATGATGCGCGCGAAAGACGGTGGGAAGCTAAAAAAAAATCTAAATCAAGGTGATAATCTTGGCATTTTCCCGCGATTTTTATGTAAGCAAGCACCAGAAACAGTTATCTTGCTGTTCTGTCCTGGCAGGATATGCAAAGGGTGAAATCTATCTCGAAGGGGACAGTCGATGGAGACACAGATACTACAGTGTCAACGATCTAACTATAAACCCCACGAGCAGAACTGGCTTCTCGAAGCTGCGCGTTGACCCACAGAGCTGGCGATCCGGTAGACATTCCGATCACGCAATAATCTGGGGATGTGCCGCTATATAGACTCCATCTCACTGCCAGACTACGTATTATTTATTCATAGGCTGGGAGAATTCCTTCTCCAGATTAACAGGACAGTTTCCCAGATAGGAAGTACCCGACCTTACTCTGACATATCCGTTGAGTTATAAAATGGATCCAAAAACGCCTGCCACCCGTGCGAGATCTTCTATGCCTCGCCTGATGCTCGCTCAGGAACGCTATCGGACCTACCAGAGGCCTCTTCCAAGTGACTATCTGGTGCATTCCACCCGGTCCCCGCCTGCAAAACAGTCATGGCAAAGGCAAGTGCACTACCAGCCAAGAACAAGGTTCTCAGAGCCTCCTCGTAGCTGTGTATGGCAACTTGCTTCTCCAGACCATTTAGAGCTCGGACGAATGCTGGACCTCCAACCAATTGGCGGACCAGATCTGGCCGGTATATCCCATTGTTCGCAAAGCCAGTCTCCAGACTTCTTTTCAACACACGAGTAAAGAGGCCCCCTCCAACAGCGGAGCCCACGCTTCCGGCTAAGCCACGGAACAATGCAACAAGGGAAGTCACGATATAGTGTACATCTGGTGTCGTAAGATGCAGAACATGCGACAGCGTATAGTTAAGCAGCGCCCCAGTGCAGGCACCATTGAAGAAAGTGGCAGCCACATACATGGCCGCGTTAGAAGTTGATGTGGAAAGTGGTGTGAGTGCAAGCAATGCGAGGGTAAATAGAAGGTATATTATCAAACACGAACTGTGATTTTGTCAACATTTTTCTCATCAGGGAACATCAGCGAACGTGGGCGTACATATAATAACTTCCTGCTTTCCGAATGTGGATCCATCCAACGAGCAGACCTCCAAGGCCAAATCCGGCATTGGTAGGCACCAGGATTAAGCCTGCTGAAGCCGGTGACCAGCCTCGTACGGCGATGGCGTAGACAGGTGTGTAGAATAAAACGGCCCAGCGGGCTACCATCACACCAGACCCTGCAAAACAGGTCAAGAGGACACTGCGTGTTTTGAGTACGGTCACCGGGATAATGGGCTCGGAGCTATACTTTGACTCCACGAACAGAAACGAGACAAAGAGTAGGGCTCCGAGGATGAGTGGCGTGATAGGGATATCGGTAGACGACAGACTAAACAGTAGAAGGACTAGCGAGCCAGTCTGCAATGCGTTGTAAGTGACTTGCGACCTGGTTATAAGCAAGATGATACATACGAATGTCAAGATACCAAGATAGTCAACGCGAGCCAGGCTTTGTAGCAATGAGCTTTTCGAGGGATCTGTTGAATCGCGAGGTGGTATTGCCAGAAATAGAAGAAGCCCTGTCACAAGAGAAACTGGCGCTTGGATCCAATAGATGCATCGCTAGGGGATTCCCAAAATCAGCATTTCTTCAGAATAACCCTTGCAGCTTCGCGACTCACCCATCCAAAATGTGGAGTAACAGCCCCTGCAAGAACCGCTCCAGAAGCAACGCCCGTGGTGAAACCAGCATTAACCATCCCAATAAACAGGCCCCTGCGTTTCTTGCTTGACAATTCCAGTACCAAGATTATTGATGTGGCCATAATTCCTGCGCCGCCACCACCTGTAACAACGCGTCCCAGCAGAAAGACCCAGAGCGTCTTCGCTAGTGAAGTAATAAGGAGCCCAATTGCCATGACGATAGAGGACCCTAGAATATAGTTTCGAGGCGAGAAGATCTGAGACAATCGGCCGCCCAGAGGGGTGATGCTGGACATGGCAATCTAGAACTGTCAGAAAGAGCTCAACTAAGTAAATAATCGTACGGGCGTACCAGAAAGGATGATGTAAACCACGTCACTTCTGAGAAGGCATCCAAATCCGCTGCGATGTCTGATTGCGTCGTGGTGATCATCGAAATATTCGTCGCTACCCCTGTTAGATCCACCAGCACGACGAATCACACATTAAACAAGAGCTTTACCTTGAATGAAAATAAGAATTCCCATCAGAATACTTATTGATAACGTCCGCACGACTGTCATACGCCCGTCTTGCTTGTTATCAATCTCTGCATCGGGAGTCGCCAGCAAAGGCGTGTTCTCCGTGGTCGAAGCATCCTCTCGTCCTCCTATTGTCATCTTGAAATTAAAATTCCGACCAACTGGCCTTGAAATTGTGAGCAAAAAGAAGGTAGAAGCATTGGGATAACAGGGCGGAAATTGTGGAGTTGAACTGCCTGGGAGCATTTATAATCTCGCTATCACGGAGATAACAATCGGGAATCTCCGCGCTCATCTCTGCGGTCACGTGGGTGAGTTCTACATCATGTATATCAAAAAATGATGTGTTTTCTGATAGAATCTAGAGACTCTAGGAATTTCTATAATCTGATAGTCTACTATATCGGCAATTGAACGGTATCAGATGAAGAACTGCCTACATTAAGCCATTATGTACTCTAGAGGTAACTATATATAATACATATAAACAGATTTTCCAAGTGGTTATAAAAGTTATATAAGCCATATGAGTTAGCTATTTAATGATCAAGATACCTGAAGGAAATAAAGTTCAATGATCCCTTTCAATCAGCTCTCCAAGTCCCGGTCTCATTACTTGTAGCACCGTGCGCGGACGCATGAAAGTCGTATCAAACTATATTGATAGACTGAAGCAGCCTGAAGCTTGGATTATTTAGCGAGCTCAGGTGAACTATTTATCCCTGTGATAGGGCTTTGGCAAGGAAAGCATTGGGGGAAAACGTAGGTAGGAAGTCTCCCAGACTGTCCAAGGTACCTAGCTGGTAAAATCTAGGAACTAAACTTATATCAAATCCTACTTGGAGGACGAAAATAATCTGGTAGATCATACGTCGCTAAAAGAATCTGTTGTAAATAGCGGCAGTTGAGGGGTCTTGTATATGCGTGTAAAGTTCTAAGCGCCGAAACAAGTATCCAGTTGCTAGTGTCGAAGCACAAAGGCCCCAGCACATACCTCATTACCTGAGAATGAGATCTCAGATACACGGCTTGATCCGAATTCCTTAACAAGATATTCATGATCTAGAACTATTTATTCAATTGATGCTTAAGCATACGCTATATCTGATATGTGTTCTGGCCGTCAAGTAGGCACTGCGGATAGGCTATTTTTGCTTGGCTAAAGTGATTGGCATCTAATAAATTGACGGAGGATTTGGAATATGAGATAAAAACAGTCTTTAGGTTCTATGGTTCAAGCTGTAGCTATTGTAGACTTAAGGATGTTATGCGTGATATCTTACAACGAAACCGTACAGTCGACTCGTACTGCTGCCGGGTTCATGAGACATTTTTAAGCCTACGGAAGAACCAAGATGTCTTTAAATAAGCGGTCTCTTTTCTGTCACTAGTGATTTCCACTGAAGGTATACTATGTGAGGACTCCACGGTAAACTGAACAAGGATCTTGAATAGTCTAAACCGATTGCTACCTGTTGGATAGCTTAGGTAAGTGATAACTATCGACGAGGGCGGAATTTGATCCATCCATCGGAAGAAAAATACAAGATGCACTAAAAATAGTAATATGTACAATATCAGGAAGTTGGATTAGATAGACTCCTGTCTGACTGTTTCCTTGACATTCGACTCTTAGGGGAATTAGAAGGCAGCGTTGGCCATCTTGGCTCCAGGGAACTTGCCAATGAGAGCCGGGACGAGTTCCTGACCGTCCATGGTGAGATCCTTGAAAGCCGGGCAGTTCAGGTTCAACAGAGGGGTCATGATAACATTCTCGAGAGCCTTCAGTGGACCTGCGAGAGTCCTATAGAGCGTGGATAGAGAGTTGGGGCTAGCGAACTTGAGGACCTCCATGACCAGGCAGAGCAGATTGTTGCCCTGGAGCAGAGTTGTCGCGTTGAGGACACCGCCAGTGATGTCTCCTAGGTTGACGCCGGTGAAGCTGTTAACCGTACCGGTGTTGCCTCCAATGCTGTAATAGTGGATATCAGACCCAGGAAATAGAAGTTTTTTTTTTAGACGTGAATCAGAGCCAACTTACCTGGCGAGTTCCGGGTACTGGACGAGGAAATCCAAAAGATCGACATTCAGCTGCACCAGACCGTAGTCCAGCGGGGTCTTGTACCAGTTTTCGGGGATTCTCTCCCAGCCCTCCTTGTACGTGAAGTTACCCTCCTCGCCGTAGATAGCGAAGAAGTCGCGGACGATCTCCTTGGCTGTTACGGATTAGCTCCTGACCCTGCTCACTTACCCGCCATCAAAGGATAATGACAACTTACTCAGAACGCCTGTAGGGTTCTCCTCCGAGTGGTTTGCAAAAAGACGGAGAGGGAAAATGTATCCTGCATTTCGAGCGATGGTTCCAGTGACAGGACCATAGTAGAAGTTGGGGTTCGTCTTGATAGATTCGTCAAAGCGGATTTTTGCTCGCTTGGCCATCAAATCCGTGCTGAACGTGCCGTCCTCCGACATCTCGTACCACTCCATGAATTTATCCATGTTAAGTCTGTAGTTGTTGCCGGTCACGTAGGTATCGTCCCGAGTATTGGAAGAGTCCGCTTCGATGAAGTTATGAGAGCCGTTCAAGCCGCGGGGCTCGCCTGTCAGCTGGAGTTAGACCTCATAGAGGTTCGGTTCTAACAGAGATATTCCCATACCAAGCACACCACCCAGGTTATCAAGCAGGTTGTTAACGAGGGGAGTTATTCCTCCAATAGAGAAACTCGGGTTGAGTGACACGACATCGCCCGTCCACACAGTACCCATGATTCCGAGGACAGAGGCGAGATCTATCCCCATTCCGTATACTATTCCAAACGTCAACCATCCCTGTGCCTCCAAGGCAAAATAAGATTGTATAGGACTGACCCTTGTTGATCGCGGGAACGACATCAACAAACTTCCGAATCCGTCAGCAATGGATAATTCCTCTATAGCTTGTTCAAAAAGCTCTTACCGAAACGACTCCATTGCGTGGGATATAGCCATGGTTCGCGAGAGCATTGAGACCAGGGCATGGTCCACGCTGGTCGCCAGCCTCAAAGTTGGGCGGCTGGAATGCGTGTTCGCCAGTCACTACTTGCTATCAGAGAAGCGGCCATGTAGGATTACAACTATAGAACGGACTTACAATCGACAGGTTCTCTGAGAGAATTAATCAAGAAACGTTTATCCAACTTCTCCTTCACCTGGGCCTGGATATCCGCATAGGGGCAACGTTTGGCAGCTGCAAGTCCACTGCTGGAACCTGACATCAGTTTCGCCATATTTTCTGCTGTTGGCATGGCACCGACAACGGAGGCACCGGCGCCCAAAAGCGTCAGTGACAAGAAGGAATCCCAAACCCTCATGATTGATGATGTGATCCGTTTCCCGTCTAAGGCGAAGATTATCTATATGAGCGACAAAAAATATCCCGACTCTCTCCAAAAAAGAACGACTAGGTGAGTATGATGCTTTCAACGAATGGACGCCTGCCGGCAATGCACAAGAGATTGCTCTTTCGAACGAGAGGGTATTCGAAGAGTTCTATTCTCTGTACAGATCAACACACATCGGACGATGAAGATTGGTAATGGAGGGCATATTAGTCGCCCCCTGCGCATGGACCTCAGTCTACGATCCCTATTCCTGATCCTCTCTCAGCGGTAGACTTCGATCTCATTGTTGCCGACTCAAGAAGCCATGCGGACACAGCCACTACCGCAGGTCTATAGAGCAACCCGCTGATGGGACCGCTAACGTCTAGTCGAGACATGACTGTTCTCGATAACTGTTGTTAGGTCTACGGAATGGCTTCCCCGGGTTTCTTCCCGCTCGAGTTGTCAATTTCATTCATAAGAGACGGGCGACCTTGTTACTGGTGTATGAGGGGGATCTCAATCGGATATTCCGCCCGTGTTAGAGGCATTGGATGGGCTCTTCTCTAGTACTCAATGTGTAGATCTGACCTTTTCTGGATGGCGCCGGCTTGTTTCCGCTCGATTGACGGCCGCGCCAATGGTAGAGAACACTAGATAGAAGAAATAGGTTAGAGCCGAGCTTCGGGGTCTTAGCCCTCAGCCAAATCCTGAAGTCTGGAAATGAGCGGGATATCTCCACCGCTGAAGAAGAGCGGAGGTTATTACTAGTTCCATACACGGCGTTTTGACGCTTTGCCAAGGGTTGATCATCCCCACGATTCCATTTGAGCAATAAGTCAGAACGAGGAGAAAATTTGAATTTCAATAATTGTCAATTCAATCTTCTTTGAATATTACTGGATCGAAATGGATAACTGATTTCGTCACTTCTTACCCGAAACCATAAAAATCATAGCAACTACTCCAATATCTGTTGAACCCTCATACGGACACTTCTATTTCCCGGCTATTTAATCCACCGGTATTTATGGTCAAGCGTCATATCTCAAGGAGATCGTGCCCTGATCGCCATTGCCACGTTGTTTAGCATGGTGCCGAGTCCGCGGCCGGTGCGCAAACAGTCCCTGTAGCCAACTATTACTCCGTAATCGACGTCTGTGCTTTTTTTCTGCAGAAGTCAACGGGGTCCGGATCGATTCCTACAGGGTGACTATTCCACACTTCTGGGATTCTCGCCGTTCCTTTCTCATTCAGATCCAGGAGGTCAATTGAATTGAATTTATTTATGCATAAATAGCTTCCAGGGATTCTACCAGCTGGGAACCGGGGGTAGGTCTCTAGAACTGCCCGATACAGACATATAGAGTATGCTTATCGTACTCTGCTCAACATTTGGGTTATCTTGCCAACTTGCAGAGTTGTTTCAGAAACGGACATGGGGTGCAGAAAGGATCCGTATCCATTTTTCGATAGTCTAACGAGTTTCCCTTATTGCTAACTACAGGGGAACTTTCGGCCAAACGGATCGTAATAATATACGATAGCTGAACGGCCTTCCAACCAGAGCATCTTTCGAAAGCTTTGCCAAGCACGAGATGCTCCTGAAGGCGCATGTTTCGTATCTCAAGCCGAAAAGTTTCTGGAAGCTGTGGCTTTGACGGTGTGCTCAACCCCCCGGGATGTAGAGTACTGATATCTCCCGCGCGGCGGGAAGTATGAAGTCAACAATAATGCTGCTTGTTTACTGGACAGCTCTAGGCTATTCTTCATCTAATTGTTCAGGCAGGCCAGGGTCTTATTATTATCTTAATGTGATTCTGATTATGTGGATTAGCGCTACGAGCCAGCTGCAGCCGTCAGGAGGCGTTTGAGGCATCAAGATCCACAAGGGACGACGCTAGTTGGTCGACGAGATTCCGTTGAGAATCTGGGATCTGTCATGTAGATCCTAATCTTCTCCCAAGAGTCAAGAGCGATGCCAAAGACGTTTATGTGCGGAGCAGGTCGTTCGAGACTTGATCACTGACTAAAGTGCTTCTGCATCTGGGTGATGCTAGTAGATCCTGTCCCAATCCGGTAGGGCAAAGAGATACTCTAGAGTTGAACTGCACAAACGCTTGGTTCCGTCCGAAGGGCGTTGCCGCTTCTCAGGGATCTAGCAGTTCGTGACTGAGGAGAAGCTACTTCGAGCGAGTGTTTGACTACATATGCGATTAGTTAGCACATCATCTGTCCCTGACCAGGAAGTTGACCGTTGAGGACGCGTTAACCTGCAGGGCTGGATATGGACACTGATAGTTACCCCATGATCAGCAGAGAATGATTGATAAGAACTCCAGCTCGCTATATTTGTGTCCGACAGTCTAGAGCCACCGTTGAAGTGTCCGTCCGGCGCATTCTCCACGAAAATGAGGTTTCTCTGGACCGTGGCTGCGGCTGCAGCCCTCTTCACCACCGCAGTCCACGCGGACCTGAGCCAGCTCGCAGCCGTGCTACCAAAATGCGGCGTATGTTGTTCTGAGTTCTGATTTATGTGCCAAAAGAAGAAAACTGACCATGGCAGCTGGAATGTCTGATGACGGAAATTCCGAAGTCCTCATGCGCACCAACAGACAGCGTATGTGTATGCACCAATCCTCAGCTCAATGAGATGATTACTGCTTGTGTTATGCAAAGCTGCACAATCCGTGAAAGCTTGAGTATATCTACCATTCTTCATTTAGCGCAGAGGAATACAGCTGACAAATTCCAGCGACCAAGAACGTCACCTCTACAGCTTGCGGTGCGCCGGTTCGGGACAAAAGCAAGGCCATCTCTATCGCTGGTGTCTTAGGCGGAGTGATTGCTCTTATAGCGGTAATCATGCGTTTGACTGCTCGCTTGCCTCAATACGGCGGCGGATTCGGGCTGGACGATGTCGCCATGATTGTGACAATGGTAAGAGCTCGTTGCTGATCAAGTGAAAGAAAGACATAAGCTGATTCCCTGGAAGCTTGTGGTGATACCACTGTCAGCACTTTCGGTGCCTCGTAAGCAGTTCCCTATCAGATTTCGTCACTCTCTGGAGTTCCAGAAAAAAAAAAAAAAAAAGAAAAGAAAAAAGAAAAGAAAAGAAAAAGCTAATATGTGTGTTTTCTAGTCGCCAATGATGGACTTGGTAAGGACATGTGGACAGTTCCGTTCAACAATATAACGAACATTCTCCACGTGAGCGACTTTTTTCTGATATATGTGTTTAAAGACGACATTAACCGATGACAGATTTATCTCTTCTCCGAGATCTTATATTTCAGCGCTCTCGCATTGACGAAGATATCCATTCTCTTCTTCTATCTCCGCATTTTCCCGAAGCAGTCCTTCCGCAGGCTGTGTTACATTGCTATCGGCCTTAATTTTTCCTACATCCTTACATTCGTGTGCGTCGCTGTGTTCCAGTGTCGGCCGATTAGGGCTGCCTGGTTGCGCTGGGACGGTTCTTACCCGGATAACTGCAATAACATCAATGGGCAAGGCTGGGCAGCCGCAGTGATTAATATGGTCTTCGATGTCATGGTCATGAGCTTGCCCCTTCACGAGCTTAGCCAGCTCGTCCTCTCACGTAAGAAGAAGGTCTTCGTGATGTTTATGTTCTGTCTGGGGTTCTTGTAAGTTGCTGTTTCTGAAAAGACCCAAAGCAGCCTTATCGCTGACAGAAATGCCATAGCGTCACCATCGTTAGTATCATTCGACTCCAGTCACTGGTTGAGTTCGCTACCACTTCGAACGTGACTTGTACGTGGCCTTCGCTCGTTCTTCTAAACACACAGGATTCACTGACAATAATAGGGGATTACGTTGCGATCGGATACTGGAGTACGATCGAAGTACATGTTGGTGTGGTTTGTGCCTGCTTACCGGCTATCCGTTCGTTACTGTTGCATATTTTCCCCAGTGTTTTCAAATCGACCACAAATGCGGCCTCCAAAGCTTCCATGTCTCACTCAGGAGCAGTCGGATCTCGATTGGATGGTAGGATCTCTCAAAGACCAAAGGAAGACGAGTCGGATTTTGTCCCCCTGGTGGATATGGACAACAGCAGCCAGGCTCATCTGGGCCACCATGTCTGACGAAATCATCAAAAAAAAAGTTCGACATTTGAAGAGCGTTTCATTCCATTCAATTCTGTTTCATTGTATTTTTTTTTTCTTTGTCTTTCCGACGCGAATACCCTTTTATATGCTCCCAGCGGCTTATCAGCTGAAGTACTTGACTATATTTTTTATTAGTAATGATCTCCGACCTGTCTGTCACAAGAAACAGTCTCATGCGAAATTCATTAGAAAATTCTCATACTAAGAACAAGTCTACATAATAGGAGTCACGTGTGTAAGCGGTCTTGAACGTCTTTGAGATAATCGCGGAATATATTGACTACAACTACGGAAATAAGTTCTCGAACGAGACAGGGCTCAAAGGTTTATAAAGTAGCTATAGAGTGGCAGAGCCTGGGTACTCTGACTCTGTACTTCATACAATTGTTATGGCAATCGGAGACAGATACCGGTAGGCAGGCGGCTGGGCCCGCCAGCAAGAAGAATGATACTCACAGACTGGTAATACGCTTTATTTACTCGCTCCACTGCCTGTCACTTCAATTTTAAAACTGACAAAGTTCACGCTGTCTGGCGCCGTTCAGGATAGTTGAGGGACTGCAGAAAGATGACAGCCGACTAAAACAGTTTATTCTGTCGATCGCCGTTGAGAAAAAAAGTCCTCTGGTTTATGCCCTATGGTGCAGGAGACTTTTCCCGCTGATCCCTTCGTCGTGGCCCAGGGACCGGGTTGCGATTGGCATAACAACAGACAGTATAGAGCATCGGTGAAGCTTGTTACGACGATCTTTGCCCCGGCAATAATCTTAGTACCAGTACTCCAAAATCCTTTCTTTTTTCAGACCTCACGGCTATCCTCCAGAGGGCTAATGGTCGCAGACAGTTAACGGAATGTACCGGAGATCAGCAAGAGTTCCCACTCCCCGGAACCGAACCGTTTTGTTTATACTGATGTCTTTGCGGATTTCGTTCGAATACTACTACCGCATCTGACAGCGGCATATCCACCGTACATTTTGAAACCACGATGAAAAGCCATGGGCAACTTGTCGCTTACCGGCGTCAACGCTAGCGGGCTCTTGCCGTGAGCCATCTACTCGGGAAACGATAGCAAGTTCTGCAGACTGCTGCCCCTAGTGCGAATCCTTTCTACCGTGTCCTTGGCAGCTCCTGGAACGTGTCTGGAAACATTCAATTTCCCGGCGACCAGGCCAGTGGTATAAGCCATTCGCTCTTTCTACCGCCACAACTGCCTGAGCGGGCGCTAGGTCTCGATGGCTTGACGGCGGGCTATTACCAAGAATACTGCGCGGCTTACGGAGTGTACCATATTCGGCCAAAATCGTCTAATATCTGACGATCCGACGGATGCGCTTAAGGACATCCTCTTCGAGTTAGTTTTGAGGCGCTAATCCATGCCGACGGGTTATCCCGCAGCATCCGTACCTGACGCGATGTATGGAATCGCGGATGGATCTCCTGGTGGCTGATTTAAGAAGCCGAGCGAGTTTTGACCACCCCGCATGCACCTCGTATTTCCCCAGCGGAACCGGGACGATACGACGGTGTCTAGACGCTGGTGCCGTCTTATGCTAACTAATGGTATGTATATTGTTGAGTCTTCACAGCTGTTCCGGCGCGCTACGGGCCTCCTAAGCTCTCATAGCGATGCGCTACCACGGGTCATTGGTCATGGCACTGGCAATACTGCGCATCAACATTGCTCTACGCTGTACTATGTTGCCCGTTACGCGGAACCCCTGTTGTTCCTGAATTCGAGCGTTGAGACTAAACAATTCGGCAGCCGTTCCTCGTGGGGCATCCGATCAGTCTGCGCCCCCCTGCTGGGCCTTTTAACGGCATCGCGTATAGTTACCGGCTTGTACAATGATCCATCCGTCCTTCTGGACGTTGGTAACAGCAGAGTCGGATGGTCGAACTGTCTCAAGCGGCCTGCAAGCGAAATCCATGATAGCCACAACGGCCCTGTGGCCAATGTATTATTCAGGGGAGAGGAACGCTGATCTTCTACTGCAGTCTAGCCCACCTTGTGCGTGCATTGACAGGGACTAGTATCCAGTATGTGTATAGCTGGAGTTAGGATACCATATGTCGAAGCCTTATATTCAGGACCCTACCATCTCATGTAGGACTCTGCCAACCAGCCATTCAATATTCCGACCATCAGTCATTCTTTCTTGCGTTGTCTGGATATTGGGACGTAAGAGCCCCCGTTGCGAAAATGCTTGTCATTAAAACCCTTAGTTTGCTTTCTCTTTTTTCTGCGGCCTTCGCGTAAGTTTTGACCTATACATATATGTGAATATTGTTGGCGTGTACATGTCAGCTAACCGTCTATTATTTACAGGAATACCCACGCCCAGAGCCATAGTAGATTTCACTACCGCTCTAATAATGTCACCGTCGACGAGTACGAATATGTAGTCGTCGGTTCCGGTCCTGGAGGTGGCCCCCTGGCGGCCAGACTAGCTATGGCTGGTCACAAAGTGCTCCTGATTGACGCTGGTGATGACCAGGGAAATAACACGATCCAGGAAGTGCCAGCCTTGCAACTGCAGTCGACGGAGGATGAGCTCCAGAGATGGGACTACTTCGTCAACCATTACTCTGACCTGGAGCGCCAGGAACAAGACAGCAAGATGACCTACAAGACACCTTCTGGTGAGCTCTATGTTGGACAAAACCCTCCTCAGGGTTCAGAGCCCCTGGGTATTCTCTACCCTCGCGCGGGTACGCTTGGTGGCTGCTCGGCACACAATGCCATGATTACCATCTATCCCTTCGAGAGTGACTGGAACAATATGGTCTCGGTTACTGGAAACGATTCCTGGGCGCCCGCCAACATGCGGGACTATTTCGTGCGCTTGGAACGCAATCGCTATCTCCCAAACGATGTCATTGGTCATGGTTACGATGGATGGCTCGAGACTAGCTTGACAGACTTGACTCTGGTGGCCGAAGATCCCAAGCTGCTTTCTCAGGTCATCGCATCTGCAACTGCAGCCGGCAAAGGCCTTGTGGGAATGGTGCTCAACACCGTTGTTGGACTTGGTAAAGTCCTCGCCCTAGACCTCAACAACGACCTCCCCGGTCGTGACAAGGAGACTGGCCCTTGGCAAGTTCCTCTGGCTGTTAAGCTTCCTGACCAGAAACGTACCGGCCCCCGCGACTTTGTGATGGAGGTTCTCACTGCTACCAACCCTGATGGGTCCAAGAAGTACCCGCTCGACCTGCAGCTGGAGACTCTGGTTACCAAAATCCAATTCGATACCTCTGGCTCTACGCCTAAGGCTGTTGGAGTTGAATATCTGAAGGGCAAGAGCCTGTACCGGGCTGACCCTCGCTCTGGCAACGTCACTGGAGGTGTTCCTGGCAGCGTCAAGGCTAGCCGTGAAGTTATCATTGCGGCCGGTTCATTCAACACCCCTCAACTCCTGAAACTCAGTGGTATCGGACCCAAGGAGGAACTCCAGCAGTTCGGTATCAACACTCTTATCGATCTTCCCGGTGTGGGCAAGAACCTCCAGGACCGCTACGAGACCACTGTCGTTGGCAAGGCCCCGACCGACTTCGTGATCACCCAGAAGTGCACCTTCATGCAGAAGCAGCCTGATCCGTGTTACGAGCAGTGGAAGAACAATGCTATCGGAAAGGGCGTTTACGGATCGAACGGTATCGCCATCGCTGTCACCTACAAGTCTTCCACTGCCGATGATGATGAGCCTGACCTCCTGATCTCCGGTGCCCCTGCCAACTTCCGCGGATACTTCCCTGGATACGCCGACAACGCCTTGGCAGATGCAAAGCACTGGGCCTGGATCACCCTCAAGGCTAGGAGCCGTAACAATGCTGGAACGGTTGCCCTGCGCTCTGCCGACCCTCGTGATACCCCCGTCATCAACTTTAACTCGTTTGACACCGGTGTCACCGCCAATGGCGCCGCCGACAAGGACCTCCAGGCCTCTTACGAAGGCCAGATGTTCGCCCGTAAAATCTTCAAGGACCTTATCCCCTTGGACGGCTCCTTTGCGGAAACCTGGCCCGGCACCAACGTTACGACTGAAGAAGAGATGAAGGACTTCATCAAGCGCGAGGCTTGGGGACACCATGCCTGCTGCACTGCTCCTATCGGAGCCGACGACGACCCCAACGCTGTCCTGGACGGTGACTTCCGGGTCCGTGGCGTTGACGGTCTCCGTGTCGTCGACGCGTCGATCTTCCCCAAGATCCCCGGCTACTACATCGCTGTGCCCATCTACATGGTCAGCGAGAAGGCCTCCGATGTTATCCTGGCGGATGCTTCTTAGATTTATCATCATATGCGTTGTCTAGACCGGCTATGAATTCACGTCGGCTTTTCCCCTGTGGGTGTGGGTGCCCTGGCTATTCTGTTTTTCTCTTATTCCAATCCATTCCCCTTCTTGCCCTCCAGTGTCCGAGGTACTGGTATTATAAGCTGGTGTGTGCCTTTTTTCCATGTAATTAGTACGGTTTCGAGAGACCTCTTTCTGCTTCTTATTCTTCAGGTATATAAAAATTACAATTATCTTCGGCTGGCGTCAGGTGTTATCCTGTACAGTTAATTAGCGATATCGTCACATTGAGAATTGATTACGAGTCCATATAATAGCAGTTGCATTTTCATAACTAAAGTCATTATTCATTGTCGAACTAAAGCTGGAATGTAGAACGTCCTTTCCCGGTCCACTATAAGCCCTCGATCGAATCGTCCCTCGGACAGGTCCCGAAAAAGCTACCATCTCGAGACGCCAAAATACTTACTCCGCCTGAAAGCACTTGTTACGCGGATGCCGGATCAAAATCCCCCGCTGGAAACAGATTCCTTCAATCGCCGTAGAGGATTCGCCGGATTCACTAACTACCAGAGCAACTATCTATCTATTATCTTCCATCTGAGTACTAACTAACGAAGCTTTTTTTTTTCTCTTTTCTAACCAGATCTCCGGTTTCAAATGTTTCAATGCCTCTAATTAATTATTATTAGCTAGACCAGATGAATGAATAAGTTCAGTAACTAACTACATACGAAAATAAGCTTACTATTACTTAACTTTCCCACGCGTACTTAACTACTCCCCGTTGCCCCGTTTTCTTGAAGGTCATATGACCTGTGTGTTCTTAACTAGTTAACTAACGATCTTTTTCAATAGTTAATTCGTCAGTACAGTAGTTAGGCCAGATACGCTAACTAATTAACTAGTTATTTATTCTTGAGCTGTGTTAACCAAATATACGGCGAAAAAAAAAAAATACCACCATATACAATGGTAGTGATATCTTAAATTAGTTATTTAGTGACTGAGTTAGTATTTCTTAGTACAAAGACATCATTAATAATGGTGGAAGGCCTAGAAGGCGAAAACGGGGGGTTGAGCTGGGACTCAGAATGAAGATCATCGTCCCGGCTATTCGGCCCGGCAGAGACAAAGTTACGAAGCAGTCCTGAACATGGAAATAGACAGCTGTGCACCTCACAACGGCCACTATCTAACGGCTTTTTTGTGGGTAGATTAGCTCTCTTGTTCTTATTTCTAGGGGGGGGGGGGGGGCAAAATAAGATATATAACCCAACTAGAAGTTCGTCATTTGGACTTCGGATATCGTAAATACCTATTAACTTCAACCTCTTCCCCAAATATACGCAGGAGGCTAATCTACAAACTCTCGAATAATGTTGTATTAGTCCATTCCAATAAGTAACTTAAAACCACTGTATAATAGATACTCCTGGAGTGGTACTCTTTCTCACACAGAAATAATGGATGATGTAATTCTACGAGGAGATTTGCCTACCCGCAGCATTTTGCCGAAAAGGGTTTTATGAAAGAATCTAAACTATGATGATCATTATTAACTACTACTTACTCATCGCCTAGCTGCTGCCTGTACACTTACTTTTCTACGTCTATAGCTATGAGAAGTCTTTACTTCTAAGATCCCTACCTGACTCCTTCGTTCTCGATAGACTGCAGATCCGCTCATTTATCTTTAACCTTGCCGGTTCGACGAGGAGATACGCCACTGTATAGAAAAACGGATATCTATAGTATTATCGTAGTGCTGAAGGAGTACATGAAGAAAGATTTCAGTGTGGATAGTATAAGTTTGACGGATTGTGTTAACATTGGGCTGGTGATGAAGCAAGCCGAATCGTTAACCTGCACATACTAATTGTGATATTGTATGGCAGGCTCAGTTAATGTAAGTAATACCTTGTAATGTAATGCTTCTAAGATCTACTGCGGGATGAGATCATTGAAGAGAATACATATGAAATATTTTATTATGTATAACTTTCTGGCTACAGAAAGCACAAGAGGAACTAAATCGAAAGTAGATTCGATGTCATTCACACGTCTATTTTGGTCTTCGTGCCGCTGTACGGCTCCGGGGTATCTTTTGTTTTCATGCGTCGTGCCCTTCTTAGTTTTTGTCTCTTTTTTCTCTCGTCCTGTTCATCAACTCATATCCACATTTGGTATCGATCTATCCAAACAGCCGCCAATGTACCTTTCAGTACCCGATTACGACAGCCGCTCGATCCAGATAGCAGCACCGGGCTACATGTTGCTGTTAATATAAGAGACCAACTCGGTAAGCTCCTGGCGGCGCTCATCTTCAAGCTGGTCCTCATCGCTCAGCACGGACTGGAAGATCGGCAGCAGGCGGGGGGTGAGCTGGCGGACCGTCGGGTCCTCCCACTTGTCTATTGTCATTGTCAGTAAATGTACCACTTAGTGATGGAACTCAAGGTCTGGATGGTAACATACACAGCTGGCAGATCATGCGGTACAGAGGCTCGTTCTCCTCGTAGTCGTTCTTCAGAGGCAAGACCCCAACGAGGGCGGGAAGGACATCAGGAATCGGGACGCTGTCCTTGTTCTTGAGGATCATGCGGCTGATGCATCCGGTGGCGTTGTCCTGAAGACGAGAGACATCCTGGTGCATGCAGTTCTCCAGTCGGCTGAGGATCGTGGGATACTCCTTGACAAGCACATCGTTGGCGTTGGACTTCTCGATCAGACGGCCAACAGCATAAGCGGCGTTGGACTTGGTTTGGGGGTCCTCGTCACCCAGACGGTGGATCAACAGCTTCATGAAAGTAGACGTGAAGGGGGTGACAGCGCCTCCCATGCCAGTGATGCACTCGGCCAGGACACCGACAGCAGTGGCGCGCTCAAGAGACTCGGTGCTACCGGCGAAGCGGAGGACGGTCTTCTCAAAGATCTTCCAGAGCTCGGCGAAGCTCTCGCCCAGAGCAGCGGCAAGGCCGGAGATGACATCGAGAGCAGTGTCAACCACGACCCAGTCGAACTCGGAGGTCTCATCCAGAGTCTCCTCGGCTGGGCCCCACTCCTCCTGGCAAGGGTGCTTCTTGTTGACAATGTCCATGATGAGCTGGATGACATTTTGAAGGACACCCTCTTCCGCAACGAGAGCAGGACCGCAGTATCTGAGGTTCTCAGCCATGTTGCGGTTGATATCGGCAACAGTAGCCCTATGATCAGCTGAGTTAGCGATCTGAAAACATACACCAGGTATTTTTCCATGAATCAAGGCAATAAAACATAGTTATCAGGTTACGTTGGAAAGTATCGCTTTTTCACGTCAATCGCGCTTTGCGCGTCCGAGTGAGCTGGGATTACGAGTGTGTCATCATATAAAAGGGCTAAGTGCCCTGAGCAAAGCATGGTGATAATAATGAATAAACAAATAGTAAAAAGTTGTACGTACCGGTCATCTTCCTCAGCCCACATCTTAATGGTGGCGGTCATGAGGATATCGCCAAACTTCTTGACCTCACCAGCGAGCTGCACTTGCAGAGGCAAACCAGGTCTCCACTTCTCCATCTGGCCGCTCTCCTCGGCAATAGAGAAGAGGGTGGCATAAGCACGGTGAAGGGTGCTGATGGTGCTCTTACGGACACCTTCATACGGGTGCTCAGCAAGGGGCATGATGAGCTCAATAGTCTTCTCGAAGTAGGGAAGGAAGGAGCTCTTGGCGTGGGTGATGATATCGCCGATAACCTCGACAGCAATCTCCTTCTCGAGAGCAATAGGAGTGGTGGCCGTGATGTCATCCCAGGCGTCCTCCTCGTCGAGGTCGAGATCCTCAATACCGCCCTCATCGTCATCGTCGGCACTGGCGACCTTGACCTTACGGCCAGCAATGGTGACCTCCTGGCCAACAAGATCCTTAGCGGCTTCACCAAGGTCAACATCAAGGTCCGTCTCCTCCTGCTCGACACAAGCGGTGAGGCCCTTGACGACGCCCTCCAAGAAGGGAGAGAACTGCTCAGCGTACACCTTGGACATAGAGCCCCAGAAGATGTAGGTGCTCTCCTTTAGGCGGGAGTGGCCGAGGTGGAGGGCCTCCTCGGTGGCACGCATGAGGGGCTCGACGTAGGGCTGGTAGCGTTCCGGTCCGGCGGAGGCAGACATCTCACCCATAGCATCAGTGACACTAGCACGGAGCTCCAATTCATCCTCGCTGTCCTTGACGGTAGCGAACTCCTGCAGAAGGTGCATGGACTCATCGAAGAAGGGCAGGAAGGCCTCGCCGGCAGAGGAGGCAAGGGAGCCAAGAGCACTGGCAGTCAGAGCCTTGATCTTGAAATCGGGGTGCTTGAAGAGCTTGTGCAAGACCGGGACGAGCTCTCCTTGGTAGGGAACAACATCCTTCTCATCCAGTCCGTCGACAACAGCATCGATAGCGCTGAGGCCAGCCTTCATGATGTCAATGGTCGGACCACTCTCCTCACCCTTGTACTCCTGCATGGCACTGGCTAGGTTCTGGAGGAGCAGAGGCATGAGTTTCTCGTGCTCTCTGCTGAGATCTTCAGCCAGGTCGTCTGCCAGGCGAGCAACGCTGTGAAGAGCAGACTGGCGGACCTTCGGGACGGGGTCAGCCAGCAGCTGCAGAACGATGGGGAAGATCTCCTTCATCTGCGTGCTAATGAAGTCTGGAGCTCCCTCAACGCACATTCCCAGGGCCATGATACCAGCACGGCGGTAGTCTGGGTTTGCGTTGGTGAAGTACTGGCCCAGGGATTGCAGAAGGGGCACAACAACCTGACTGGGAGGGAGGCTCTGGGCAAGGATATCCAACAAGGCGAGGGAAGACCTGGCAGGAGTGATATCGTCATCGTCCTGACCGGGCTCGCCCAGCTCAGTAGCGATGTGAAGAGCAGTACGAGTGAGCTGCTCACCGATGCGCATACCCTGGATCTTCAGCTTGCGGTACTGGACGCACTGCATGATGAAGCTGAGAGCCTGGGTACGGGTATCCTCGTCCATGTCGGTGTTGGCGGCAATCTCGTTCATGAAGACGACGAGATCCTTAAGGTGCAAGTTCATGAGTTGCGGGTCACAGCCGAGGAGAGTCTGGAAGACCTCGAAAGCCTGCATGATCCGGTCCTCATCCTTCTGGTCGATGGCTTGTCTGAGAACGGCCACCATGGACGGGAAGAGCCCCTGGAAAGCCGTGACAGGAGCCATGTTCTCCTCGGAATCGAGGTGCAGAGCAAGCTTGCTCAGGGCCAGCAGAGTGTTGATGCGGACCTCAGCACTCTCGGGGTCCTGGATAGTCCTGCTGAACAGGTTGAAGAGATCCTGGAACTTCTCCTCGAATCCCTCACCCAGAGTCTCCAGGACAGTGAAGAGAATGTAGACAGCAATGGCACGCTCCTCAGCCTTACCAGAGGCAGCGGCCTGGATGAGGAAGTTGGGCAGATCAGCCCACTCGCCATCCTGAAGGTCAATCTTCGCGATAGCAGAGATGATACGAGCAGTAGAATGGCGAACCAGGTCCGAGCTCTCTCCGACAGTCGCGCGGAGCAGCTGCTCGCGGATCTGGGGTTTCTGCTCAGGGGGGACAGTCAACCAGTGCTTGCCCACCAACGACCGCGCCTCGACGGCCGCCAGCTGCCTCAGGTTCTGGTCATCATGCGAAGTCGCAATCTGGATCAGGACGACAAGCGATTGCGGCTGGTTGTAGAACTCGCGCTGCAAGACCCCAGTCGCTTCCTTAACGTTGCCCTGAGCGGCTGTAAAGAAGAAGAAAAAAAAAAAAAGTCAGTCTCCGCCGTGAAGAAAACAAAGAGAATGCCACATTCTTGCCAAGACCAGATGAATCACTTACGGTTCAGGACAATCTGCAGCTGCTGAAGGAATCTTTGCTGGTCCATGATGGCCGATGGATTTTTTTCTTTTCTTCTCTAAAACGTCGCCTTGCGTCGCTACGACGCAGTTGGTGCTGCGGGGTCACACCCAACCCTTTCTTTGCCTTCTCTGACAGCTGATAACTGCTCAGAGACAGGTTAGAACTGTGAGATCCCAAACAATCCAGAGGGGGTATCCCACAGTGAATATTGGATAAAGAAAAAAAGAAAAGGAAAAAACACAGAGAGGGGGGGAAGAAAAAGATGGGAAGTGGGCGATGGTGGGCTGTTTTGTAGATAAGTCCCAATTTTTTTTTTTCTCTATTTTTTTTTTTCGGTTGCTGGCGCGTTTAGTTCGCGGACCGCCTTTTCCACGTGTGGCATTTTCTCTCGCTCATCACTCTGGACTGGCCAGCTGCTGGGCCAATGTACCCACCAGCGCTAAGTTACAAGATGATAGTCTGGAGGACAAAATTTATTCTGTTGCTAAGATATTGTCCAGGGGTTAGCGTTGACGGCCTGGTAATTTCCCCCACATGGAGGATCTACTGTATTCTGAAGCAGGTGGGATGGTCAGTTTGCTGCGGCCTGGTAGTACCAGATGTCTACGGAGCAGATGCCAGGTGAATAACAAACAGTCTGGGGTGATAACAAATACCAAATGTCCCAGAGGATTGGAATAGCAACGAGCAATCAACTCATGAAAATAGCCTCTGGTTCAGATACTTTGGACTCCATGTCTTCAAGCCTGGGGACTATCTAGAGAGAGAACCAATATGACAGCCAACCGGATACATAAAGCAGTCTTTACATATGTGGTTACTGTCTACGAAGCAAGAGTCTGCTGTGAGATGTAGTTGGGACCGGTGATATGTGATATTCATTACACTAATTCGACGCCTGTGTACTGCCTTCCCTAAAAATCCAAATTGCATATTGTTCAAGACGTTTACCTCGTCTGTTGAGATCCCGGACATCAGAAACAAACGTTCGCTGCTGACAACACGTCCTAGTATATAGTTCCGAGTGGGTGTTTGCCCAAATGCTAGCGCAGGACATCATAAATGACAAAAAGGGACTGCGTGTAAATCAAGCGCAACTGCCAACATGCCTAGTCATCATCCGAATCGTAATCATCATCCATGAGCAAGGACCGATAGCCTCTCGAAGCTAGGTTCTCCTCAAGACCGCCATCGGACTCAGGATCGGCGTAACCTGGATGGAGGTCAGCATTGCAAGGGGCAGGGAATTTGGACATAGCCACGACTCAAACTTACCTTCACCGCCAAAATAACTGAGGGCAACTGGCAAGAAAACAAGGGCATGAAGAGCCGCAAAAATGACAAGTGCGAGCCACACACGGAAGTAGTAAATCTCAAAGATCTTGCTGCGGGTAAACGCGAGGACGAAGACTCCCAGAAGCTTCGTGATCGTGACACCCGTAAAGACACTGCCTCCAACGTTGACCATTGCCGTCCACGCACGAGCGTCCTTGCCGCGGAACTTGGTCGGTACCTTATCCATGATGCTGCGCGAAGGGAACATAAAAGCTCGCGCAATATGTGCGCAGAACTCGACACCAATGCCCACACAGATGATCAGATTGACAAGGGAGACAGCATTCAGAGAGACACCGGCAACAGCCATGGTTCCTATGATATCTACCACAATCATAACCACGGTAACGCTGACCACGGCCCCAGTTGCTACCGAGCCGAGAAGGACAGAGGTCACGAGGAATATAATAGCAACCGCAGAGCCAAGCAACGCGCCAGTCAAACGGATGATTGAGGCGTACTGGTCAAAAAAGATATAGAACTTCGAGTACGGGAACACATCGATGTTATGCTCTTGAGATATGTCGTTCGCAATACGCCGTGCCGCCGCATAAGCATTGATAAAGTCTTCTTGGCTTCGAAGAGGCGTATGGCTCGTCCGGAAATGGCTGGCATTGATCATCACATGCTCCGAATCGATCACCACTGCGTTTCCGTATGCCGCTTTGCCTCCGAGGGGACAATCGGCGTCTGTTGGTGATTGGATCCACTTCTCCGCGTAGTGAACGAACTCATTGCCTTCCGGCATACCGTATAGAGAGATGTTCCACGGCGGCTGGCGATTCTCAAAGCAGAGTTCGTCATCCTCCACACAACATTGTTGTTGGGGGTTCAGCCAGTAAAAGAAGTCATCGATCCAGCTGGCTGCCGATCCAGAAATATAAGACACATTAGGGCGCTTGGATTCCTGCTCCAGCACGAATGCAAGCGAGTACTCCTCACAGCTCGTAAACCGCCCGCATAGTTGCTGCTGGTGGGCTCTCTCAGTGACGTTGACGTTGCGGGTCACAAAATACACTGGAGGTCCAGTACCAAAGTATGCGTATAAATCGTTGAAATATTGAATCAGGTAGGAGTCACTGGGAATTGCAATCCGCTGATCAAGTCCGAGTGCAACCTCCGGGATAAGAGCCAGACCGGCAGTGAAAAGCCCCAGGAACACAATCACAATAGCCACCTTAACCCTGCGGCCGAGGAGATGAGGCGCGTATACTCTGCGAATGAACTTCTGCAGGAAGCTCTCCTCTTCCTGGTCATCATATACTTGATTTTCAGGCATGCCGGACGAGTTGGCCTTGCGAACTGTAAGACACGGGATGCAGTCCGCACGGAGGCTCTCAACTCTGCGCTGGTTGAGCGCCAGTACAGATATGAACATGGTGATCTGCAGGATTGCATTGATGAAGACGGCACCAGCGGCATAGGCTGCAAAGTTTTTGACGGCAGGCATGCCGACGAACGCTCCTAGGGCGAAGGCAGCTGTCTCTGTAGTGGCAGAGAGCAGGATGCTGGGTCCCATCCTGCCCACTGCCCGAGCAATACGCTCATCGATCTCTTCATCCGGGTGCGTCACATTGATCCGCTCAAACTCGTGCACGATCAGGAAAATGTTGTCGACACCAACGGCAAGAACAAGGAATGGGATCACTTCTGCGATGATCAAAGTGACCTTGATGCCGGCCGCAGAAAACAGTCCAACTGAAGCAGACACGGACATGAGCACAATAAGAATACCGACAATGCCCAAGGTAAACTTGGACTGGACAAGAGCGTTGGCAGGGTTTGTGAGCAATGACTTCCAAGTGACAGTGACGGAGCCAAGAGCCATGGACACATAGATAAACATGATCACGTAGCTGATAACCACGATCTTTGCGTCGGTGTTGGTCGATTTGTTCAACTCCTGTCCAAGACTGACCTCCGTGTTGAAAGACACCCGCAGGCCACGCTCCTTTGCTTCTTCTTGGACATCCTGGAGCAGACCCTTGAGACTGTTTTCCCAGTCAATAGCACGGGCTTCTCCCTCTGTGCCTTGAGCATGGTTGTTCAAGACCCATGTAACGACAAGTGCTTGTGCATCAAGTGGATTGCCGGTCTTCTCGTAGCCGCCCAAAATCATGTCGGGTTTGAGGGGCTGCTGGAACTCAGGAAGGCAGGTAACATCGCCAGGAGACTCGGTGCAGTGCTCCAGCCGATCTCTCCAGGAACTCGGGTCTAGATTGCCACCAAAGTAACCGGTCACAGACTGGACCACGCAAGCATCCCCTGTGGGCTTGAAGCAGACATCATCCAACGACAACTGCTCCTTCGGGGAGATCATGCGTCGCGCCCGGCTCTCAACGTCGACCCACCAACTGAGGGTCTCGTAGCTCAGGACAGGACCGGGGCCAGTGGCAGAAGTGTCGTTGACGAGGAACGCTTGCTCTGCGCGGTAGAACGGACCGAAGTTGGTATCGAAGTATTCCTTCTCCAGCGCAGCTGCAGAAGATGGACTGACCCATAACCGTACGGGATCAGTTTCAACAGTGAACCACAGCCAGCCCAGACTGAGCAAGGCCACAACCAATGTGCTGGCGGAAATCGTAAGAGCGGGGAACCGAGCGCAGAAGCCTCCTAGTCTGCTGAACGCAACGTCGAAGACGCTGTTCAGTTTATATGGACGAACAGGCTGCTCCAAGTAACCACCGTTCCGCACAATCTCGCCCTCGTCCTCGTCTTCATCAGGAGACGGGTCCTGAAGGAGTCGCACGCGCTCAGGCTTGCGGTATCTCCGCTCCCTGAACGTGACATAGCTGGAGACGGCAACAACCAGTAATATAAATACGGAATAAATCAGAATAACGGCAAATGACAAGCATGGCAGTAGACCGACTTTGCAGTACTCTTGTTCCGCGACCTTGGGCAGTTCCGGACAGACCTCTGGGCAGTCCACGCAGGAGCAGCGGAACGCCGGATCGGAGTCATTGCACGCCTTCGGTTTGATGTCCAGTGGCCTCATACCGTAGTCCTCAGGACCACTGGGCTGTGTCTCGTAGTTGATCTGGAAGGGGCTACCCAGTAGCTTCTTGTCGCCCAGGAACTTCATGAATTGCGTGTAGTTTTTGGCACCGCCTCCGATAAAGTCAATGGCTTTTCCACCAGACGCTCCGTTCTTTACATTCTTGCAACTGTCATAAAACCCGCTCTGGTATTCCTCTGACCATAGGTTCTCAAGTTCGGTGACCAGGTATTTGCCCGCACTATTCTTCTCGACCTGGGTCACGTTGACAAAGAGCGATTGGTCCGGAGAGCAGGTGAACGTGCAGAAGGTGCTGAAGAAGTTTTCGCGACACGCTGGACAAGATGCAATGATTCCTTCTGCCAGTTTCAGATTCTTTCCTAATGCGTCGACCTAGAGCCAGTGGTCTGTCAGCACAAGGAATTAAATGCGCGTAAAAGCTCCTTCCTGGAGAATCGCGCAGTATGAGGATGATAGAAAGGAGAGGATAGTCTCACCTGCTCTTCCTTGCAGCATACAGGACCTTCTTTCCACTTGTCTCCGCAGAGACCGACCAGCTTCGTCCGGACACTCTCTTCTGGTTCTGCAGCAAGCCCATTGTCTGGACACGGCAGTTCTCCACCAAAAAAGGACTTCTTTCCGCAATGACCTCGAATCGCACAGCGACCAGGTTCATGTCTCTTTGTTACTCCTTGGCCCAAGGCAGCAGGCAACAAGGCCGCTAGACCGAGGATGCCGAAGGAGAGCTCTAATCCGCGCATCCTGGCGAGATCGCGAGCTGGTCAATCTGACCAGTGTCTCGAATCGACAGCTTATCACTTCACCAGCAGCGTCGAATAGCTCTCTGGATCGGTAGTCATTAAGGAACAAGACAGGGCGTAGAGAAGCGGTGACGTAGTGGGTGAGTTGGACGCCGATCGGATCTTTCCGAGATAAGTAGAGGACCACAGCTCTGACGGGGGGGAGTCTCAGCGAGCGCGATCAATAGCTGAAAACCAACGTCAATAAAGGAAACGAAAGAGAAGAGCAAACCGAATAATACAATCCGATCAGATGGATGATAAGAGCATCGAATATGGGAGCCAAGCAGGAGTGGTCCGGCACGAGTACGTAAGCGGAGGCAGCCACGGTTGGGCGCGGGGGAGAACTGGCGCTAAAGCCAGGAACGGCGCATGGTGTGTTTCGTTATTTACTGCGATATAATAATAGGTAATTAATCCTATCTTACGAGCATTGAGATCTCACCCATTAGGTGTTGGATATTGGATAGGAAGCTTGAAACTTTCATTATTCTCAGCAAAGCTAAACCAAATAGACACCGCAATTCCATCCAGCCCCGTCCAGCTCCACGCCAAAAGCCACGGGAAATACTACATACCCAGTACTATATATATCATAGCCCTATTTCCCATCAACCTTTCTCTTCTTCCTCGCCGGAGCCTTTCCCTGAGCCCGCGGCAGAAATTCCTCCGCGTACACCTTGAAGAAATCCGGCGGTTCCTGCGGATGATCACCCGTGACGTCGTGGAAGGCAGTGGTGGAGATGTAGTTGGTCTTGCCTTCGCGGACGAGAGAGTAGTATTCAAGCAGGTATTGGATTTCCGCCTCGTCGCTGTCGGATTGCGCGTGGAGGACTTTCTTGGCTTGTTCTCTAAAAGGAGCGATGATTTTCCATTTTAGTATTTGAATTTTATTATTCCAAAAAAGACGATCAAGTAGTAGAGGGTAGACAACATACTCGGAGATATCTTCAAATTTGAGATCGGATCCAAGTGCCTTACTCGCAGCGGCGGCGAGTTCATCACCAGCGGTAAGCATTGGTCCTGTTGTTGATAGGTTAGTGAGAACGAATGCACATCTCGTGAGCAAATTACACACCCGTCATGATCATAAGCTGGCCTCTATGCTTATCGCTAAAGCCATGTTTACCCTTACCGCATAAGACATGAGCGGCGAGGAGGGCAACATCCTATCTGTGTCAGCAAAACAGATCACTCTTAAGATAAATATAGTTCCAAGGAACTTACACCCAACGCCACAGGCGCGAATTTATGATTCTTCCCAATCGGAATAGGAAGTTTCCCTTCCTTCTGAGCCTGAGGTGCATAAAGCAGAAGATTCTCAGCATAGAAACCGGCTCTACATTCAACCAGTCAGTAACAAAAAAACTCCATTACAGCAGCATGTGTTTTCAGAAAGGCAAAAAGGGGAGAAGAAAAAGAAAACACACCGAATAATAACCGGCGAATGACCCGTAGCCGTCCCCGGATCCCCTTTACTCGCCATGAACAGCGTTTCCAAATCAATAAACTCTCTCAATCTCGGCTGCTTCTCCCTCTCTGCAAGGTCACACCCCGCGGAACTGATAAACAACACATTCGGAATCCCCGCCTGCTTCGCCGCATTGATGAGCTCTGTCGTAGTTTGGATCTTCTCCTTATGCGCCGAAGGGACCAGACAGAGCGTATCAGCTTTCGTATCCTGCAGCGTTTTCACTATCTCTTTCAGTTTCCCAGGCTTATGCTCGACGATGGTCGCGCCTAGATCTTGTAGATCTTTGCAATGGTCATGGGACGTGTTCATCGCTAGGCCCGTCACGGTGCCGATTTCCTTCTGGAAGTTTTCGTCTGTGAGAAGGAGCTCCGCGATGAGGAAGCCCGTATAGCCCTCAGCGGCGGTGACGCATACATTGCGCGACATGGTGGCGGCAGCAGATTCTTCCTCTTCGTTGTGATGGTAGCGGAGAAGAATGCTATCGATAACAGAATCGCAGGACTTCCGGAGAGACGACGAGTGATAGATCCTGGACTCGCGGGGTATGCATCTGTCCGTCATAATATAAGGAAGTCAAGTCTTCCCCCGCTCCTCTTCCAATAGATCATTGTATGGTAGGATCTGGGTCACGTTGCCTGCGTCATCCTGCCATAATGGAAGGGTCACAGATGAAAGTAACAGAACAGGGATTAGGTTGATGAGAGAAAAAAAAAAGTTGTATTCCTGCAACGTCAGAATTGGACGAGGGGAGTTCACTGGGGCTGCGTGGCCATGGTAGCTCCTTTTGTGCCTGTTTCCTTGCACGATTTGGTTGGGAAAGGGGCGAGACGAGCTGCAATCGTACACTGAGACACTCAATACAATACCTCGAGAGTCAATCATTAACGAAGAAATGATTCCGAAGACGGGTTGCTCTTGAATTTCTTCCAGCGAAGTGTAACTGTAGTAATGGGCAAAGCTCAGGCCAATTCTTCCCGGCCATTGGCCAGTTTGCCTGTGTTCCAGATCGTCGTCGATGTGCACTGGCGTCAGTCATAGGACATAGCTAACTTGGCGATCCGTCATTGCAACGGCCATATTATGTGCTTATATCTACGTCACGAGGGCGAAACTTTTAGACGAGAGCAGGAAAGACGCATGTTAAATGGCCAGCATCGAACGGGCATCAAATCGCTGATAGAAAAATACCCCAAAGTACTAACTATACTACTTAGAACAGACCCTTAGCTGAGAGTTGAATTAGAACAATAACAACTGTAGTCGAACGGGCCCGCACTAAGAATGCAGGAACCGAAGCTGGCTCAAAGAATGCAGCCATTAGTACATACATATTTCCGTACACCTCTCCTCATCCACGTGTATCACGCTTATTCCGCGTGTTAGCGATCGTATCTTCTCAAATCATCAATAGATACCGTGGATTTCATAGTACTCGTAAAAGAAATAGACGAGGGAATAAAGATAAATCTCTGGTCGAAATTGAAAACCAGACGTGACCATCTCGTATGACGTTGCGTCCTGTCGGTGTGGACACTGGCTCGGGGAGATACTGTCTCCGCGTGGTCACGTCCTCCTGGATAATGCAGACAAGAGAACAAACGGAACAATCGGGAATATAGAAGAAATCAACAATTCGATATCGAAACCGCCTGACTGCCCAAGTCGTTTGAGCATCCCGGTTACACACGCCTGTCCCGATGTCCCCCCAGCCAGCCTTGATATGCATTTCTTTTATATCCTTGCGCTTTTATTCGACGTAAAACTGAGCCGGTTTCGCCCTTTTTCGCCGTGAATCCAGAAAGTGAGCAAAATCCAATACACGAGAACACCGCTGTATCAAATGGTAGCGAGCTTGAAAGAAGACCGTGAGAACTAAGCACCACATCCGCGTGGTAGATTCGCGGGCGAGCTCTTCACAAGGCACATATTTCTGCCGGAATTCTAGTTCACGCGTCCCATGATATCTTCCACATCCCTCTGATTTACAACCACACCACCTTCGGAACACCGTGCCTTGGTCCGTAGCTCTGTACAGAGAGAATCGACATCAATTTCGCCACTGCGGAACTTCTCCATGGATTGTAGGCGATCCCTATACATAGTTAGTAAAAAGACAGGGCAACATCAATTTGAAAGGAAGAAAAGTGAAGGGAGAGAAACATACCATATCTTGGTGCAAGTCATCATCTGTGATTTATCCTCACCGGGAACAACCTCGTCGTCATCATCTAGCTTGTTATCGATATCCGATATGAGATCTTTCTTGGGGCCCAGTGCAGGCGGACTGGTGACGTCGGGGAAGTTGTGGAACGGACTGCCCAGGTCGGGCAGCGGGAAAGCGTCATTGAAAAAGTTGCCAAAGTCCTGGGACAGAATCGCCTCCTGCGGATCCCGGTAGTCACCGAACAAGACTGGATCGAACTGGCCACCGTTCTGTTGACTGAGCCAGTCGAGTCCAAGAGGCTGCTGGTCTTTAGAGGGTTGAGATTGGCCTGGCGTACGCGACAAGCGATTAGTTCCATTCATCGCTGGAGGTATGGGGTTCTTGATATTTCCGCACGCCAGGCCAAGCTTTTCGCAGAAGGATTTCTCACCGTCAATGGTGCCGCACTGGTCCTCCGTCGGTTGTCCCTGCTCATTCAGCTTTCCTACCGGGGGAGAATTCGAACCCGGCTCCGGCGAGGTCCCGCCGGACGACAAAAGGCGACCCTGATGAGATTCTGATGATGAGTAGGGAGAATCTGAATTAGACACGGTGGAGCTGACGGGCGCCTGGCCCTGCGAGCCGACCGTATTCTGTTTCGGGGCAGCGGTGCTAGCAGCAGGATTATTGCTCCGCACCGCACCCGAGGCATAAGTGCCCTTCATATTCATACTGGAATCATTCCCTGTACGACGTGCGCCGTTCAGCTTGTCAGTGGCTGTCTTCCCAGGGGCCGTGGACGGCTGAGCGGGCGACCCGAATTTTGGAGAAGCTCCGCTGATACTTGCTGACCCCAGAGAGTCTCTACCTAGGACTCCTGGTGCAGTGCGGAATTCTGATGCTGGCCCTGCTGCAGAGCCATTTTCTTTAGCCACGTTCGGGTTAGCCTTGGCTAACGAACCGTTATTAAAGATATGCGCACCCGGCAGATCACCGAACTTGGGGAAATCAAAATAGAAGTCGTTGTTGCTTATTCCGGAGAGATTCCTGAAATGTGTGTTCTGGATGGCTTGCATGGGCGAATAGCCATTCCCACTCGTGATCCAGGACAGTCGCTTACGGTATTCCCTCAGTTCCACCTGCAAGCGCTCCACCTGCGCACGCAGGAGTCCATTTTCATGGTTGGTGGCCTCTGAAGCCTTCTCGAGGCTTTCTACCTTGGTTTCCAGGTCCTTTAGATGCTTTTCCTTGCGCTCGCGGAACGCTCGCTGGGCGGCACGATTCTGAGCCTTGCGCTTCTACGGGATTGTTAGTTTAGTCAAGACCACGACACGTCAAGGCAGACAGCATGGTGAAGGAAGTGCTCACAGAGGTCGGCTCGGATGTGAGGGGCTTCCTGCCCGGCTTCTTCGCGGACTTCTCATCACTCTCACGTCGTTTCTTGCCCGCTTCCTCGGGCTCCGATTTCCCATCCATGCTCTTTCTCTTCTCTCGATGCTCTTGCTCCTCAGGGGAGACGGAATCCGGTAGATCGCCGATCAATTGATCGGCGCCTTGAAAATCGAAATCGACATCCGGGTCAAAGTCGAGGAAGGGGCTCTCCTCGAAGCCCAACTGGCCGGAGCCGATGGTTTCCTGACCGGGAGATTCGAAGAGCGTGGGTGGCATGGTGAAATGGTTGGAGTGTGGCTGCTGGGGACTCGTCGTGTCCGGCTCCCGCTTGGGCTGCACGCCGTCCGTGGGGGCGTTCTTGTCCTGCTTCTGCGATGGGTTATTCGAATGGAGGGCAGCCAGCAACAGGTCTTGCTGGCCGGGAGAGAGATAAAGGTTCTGCTGATAGAGAGTGTTGTAATCGGCCATCGCTCAGTCACTTTGGGGCAGAGAAATGACTCGATTGATTTGGATCCCTCGCGCGCCGGGATCTGACTAATCGATCCAGACCAAGGATTCGCGCAACGTCGACGATAAATTTGGAAGGCAGCTCGTGCTGTGAACTGTCTGTATCTATGGGGACGGGCCTCCCGCCCGTTCTGATCGTGATGGACTGCTCTGAAGCGTGTGGGAGGTCAGTGCTGGGTGTGTTGAGGGCGAAGGCGTGAATCACTGATGCACCAGCGGGCGGCACTCAGGAGATTTCTTCGTGGCAATTGGGAGTGTGGTTGAGGACTGAACTTCGGCTCTCCGTGAAGAGCCTGGGATGGATTCGAACTGAATGCGGTCAACACCAAGACCAAGGGTGACAGCCGTCCGCAACGAGCGAGAGAGCTGGTGGGAGAGGGTGAAATTCAGGCAGAGAAGCGTCGACACCTTCTGGTCGATGACGAACGATCTGGATCGCCTCGCCAAGATGGCGGGGGCGGCGGTGTATGGTGTATGGTGTATGGGTATCGGCTTGAGACCGGAGGCAGCAGCTGGCCAGAAGCCACTGCAAGGAGGGACGACAGTTCCGGATCCGCAGAGCTGGTTGAGCCACTGGGCCGAAGTGTGTGATGAATCAGGTAGATAGTAGTAGTCAAAGAGAGATGGGAATAATTAAGCGGAGGATTGGAGGCGAGCAGAGAATAATGAAGAGTTCTATGGTAGAATGCAATCGTACCAGATGGAGAGAGAGAGAGGGGTGTGGCCCCCGGAACGATGGACAGCCAGACTTTCGAATCGGGATAGACTACTACTACCTAACTTACAGAGGCAATCCGCAGCCCGTTGCTTCTAGTCTAGTATAAGAGGACTGGCTATTATCTATTATTACTGCTGGGGAAACCTGCAAGCAATGTTCCAGTCTAGCCGTGCAGACCACAATCATATTCATACCATTACCGTAGATAGAGAGAATAATAGAAATTGAATCCAGTCTCTCCTATCTTTTCTTCCTGTGAGAAGCGAGAAAAGAAAAAAAGAGGCGAACCAGACAGCCAAAAGCGGCATGGAGAGTCGGTCGGTTATTCTTCCGAAGCCAATCAGCACGAAAGGGGGAAAGCGCACACGGTCACATTTGTCAGCGGCTCCGGCGGGCTTTTTAGGGCGGCATTCAATCATTCGAGAGTACCAGAGAGTCAGAGACTCACTGAAAGATTAGGTTAAATTCAATTAATATTAAAAGGATCATTAGACTAGCTCATAAAATTAGTTCGTTCGTCGCTCCCCTTCTGTGTTCTTCTAGGGGAAAATCATCGTTGGTTTTCTTTTTTTTCCTCGCATCTGCTGCTCTTCAACCCAATCAGACACCAGCCGGGTCTAACGTTTGATAACCCCGGCTATCCCCGGCTGGCCGAGTGCGATCCTAATCTTATTGCCTACATTCTTCATGAACTCAAGTCTACGTGAAAATCAGTTAATTAACTCCGTTCACTCATGAGAAAAGAAAAAAAAAAGTGAGAGACGACCCGAAAGTGAAATAACAATAATCATAATAGCCACCATATGGTCTTCATCCCGCTATCACTTGTTCCGCCCTTCTGGATGACCGCGATGCGATGGAGCGGGAGCGTCGATCTGGAATCTCCTAGTCTATCTAGTAGTGGCAACCAGTGCTTCTTCAAACCAGTTGACCCCCTTTGGCCCTTTTGGAGTATCTAGGCCGTTACCGAGTGACGTGAGCTCGTCGCTGAGTAGTCTCCGCGCTGATCCCCCCGATATCGAAGGTTCACATCCATCCATCTATCCGTATATCTCCCTGTAATAAACTCTGGGAGCAGTTCCGACTCACGGATGTAAACCCGTATAGAGTATACAATATATAGTATAATCATAACTGTGTTCCGTAGAGTAGAATCAATGAGCTAAATAATAATAAGAAGAATAACTGATCGAGAACGTCCTCAACGGTCTCCCCGCAGCGGCGGATCGCGGGACGGAGAGACCACGTGACCGCTACCTATCGCGACGTCGCGTGTCCCAAAGAGGAATCCGTCCTCCACAGCCCAAGCCCATCGCCTTCCTCCACGTCCCCCCGCACACCCGGTCCTCTTATCGCATCATTGTCGCTGTTTGAATCCCCGTAGGGAAACGGGGAGTTTTGTTTCATCATAATTTAATTCCAGCCCCGTATTGGTCTTCCTTCCTGACCAGGACAGACAGCCATGGCGGATGTGGCGGCCCTCGAGGCCGAGGTGAAGGAGTTCAAATTGCAGGTATGCCAAAACAATTCTCTACTCTATCCCTCTAAAACCTAGGAATATCCACAGACAAGACATGGGAACTGACCATCCGCACAGCTCGAAACCGTGCAATCGAGCTTACAGGTAGACCCCGAGAATGCGGAATTGCAGAGCCTAAAGGCTGAGCTTGAAGAATTCATAACTCTCACCGAAACCTCCATCGCGGAGCTCAAGCCTCCCCCTCCGCCGACTGCGACCCGGAAATCTCCCCCGCCCGCGCCCAAGGAGAAATGGTCCAAGGAGAACCACCCCGCATACCAAGCTGGGTATCGCAGGCCCGCCGTGGAGTCTCCAGCGGAGGAAGCTCCCTCAACGCCTGCAACGTTCTCCGTCAATGACAATGTGCTTGCCCGCTGGGTGTCGGGCGATAATTCTTTCTACCCCGCCAGGATCACCTCCGTCACCGGTTCCTCCAGCAACCCCGTATATATTGTCTCCTTCAAGTCCTACGGGACCACGGAGACGCTGACCGCTAGAGATATCAAGCCGATTTCCAGCACCAGTGACTCGCGCAAGCGCAAGGCTGATGGAATCCCAGGGACTCCGTCTCCTCCCACAGTGGCCGCCAACTCGAGCGTCATCTCAGCCGCGGCTGATATCAATCCGGCCCTGGCCAACCAGGCCCGCAAGGAACCCAACAAGATTGGCGAAGGTCCTGCCCGGCCGGCCAAGGTTCCCAAAAAGGTGAAAGCGAACCGCGAGCTCGAAGAAGGCAAGATGAAGTGGAAGGACTTTGCCAGCAAAGCCAAACTTGGACGGCCCGGAAAGAAGGAGAGTATGTTCCGAACGCCAGAGGGAATCAACGCTCGAGGTATGTCTTGTCTACTATTTCCGCTCTGGTTCCGGATCACATTGACTGATTGGTTTCTTCAACAGTTGGCTTCACAGGCTCCGGTCAGCAGATGCGCAAGGATCCCGGACGCAGTCGTCATATCTACCAACAAGCGGACGAGGATAACTACTGATTGCTCGTTCGGTGTTCAGCCTCCTAACTACTTATGATCTGTTTCCATCACGCACTGACGATCTTTCGGCGTTTTCAAAACCTGCCTTGCACACTTTCTATTCATATTGGTTCATGTCTTTGTTGAAAACGAAAAGAAAGGCTCCAAGGTTGTTCCATTTGCAATGGCTAACTGGGGTTGGCGCGCACAGATATTCATAGTCTACTCTCGAGTCAAAAAGGGGGTAAACATCATCCTTTTATTGGGTAATATAGAAGAAAATGGAATGGGAGGGCTATCGGTAACTGTTCTGCTTCTGATTCCCATCTATTTAATTGATATTGCACTCTTTCTGATACACACCTGTCTGATGAAGATCCACTTGTCTAGTCTAGTCAACAGTCTGCTCGATCGGGGAGGCGAGAAAAGCATATCGTTTTCGAGATCCGTCCATTGTCCTGTAAACCGGGCTGGCAGCAATGTCATAGTGTAGAGAACATGTAACACTCTCCCCGCCCAGAACGCGGTCATATCTCCATGGGGAATTCTCCGCTAGTACATACATACAATCAACGTAACATTATATATGTTTTTATTTATCATATAAAGTCGAACAGCCAGAAAAGAAAAAAAAAAACAATAACTGAACGCAATTTCTTCTTCTGTTCTCCCTTTCTAGCTTGATGTAGCGGGAACAATTCAAGTTGAAAGGAAAAATAAATCCGCATAACTAACTAGTAACTGAGCTTATATACACCAACATCAAGACCCCTCTGAAGCCGTGTTCTCCAAGCCATTTATAGGATTTACGCAGTAAATCGCAGAAGGCCATCTGCAGATGATAGTCGGTTTCCTATCTATCCTCCTAGATGGGAAATTGGGATAGTGAAACGGACTCTTGAGAGAGATTTATTACGGATATCGCTACAATATTCTCTGCCATGCTCAATATATTTGACCTGCTAAGATCATTTATTTCGTGGTTTTATCCCAAGATTATTACTCTACACTACATATCTTATTACTAGTTCAACGCTGGACAGGTGGGCGGCAAGGTAGGAAAACCCCCCACAAGGATGAAGAAAGCATAACGAGAAAGAAAGGGAAGAAATAGAAAAAAGAACTAAGGTGTAAAGGGTATCGCTATTGGCGCCTCCCACACGGAGATGGAATTAAGTACAACACAACACTTCATCAGGCACCTCTCTCCCCTCGCTCTCGTCAACATCGTCTCATCATCGGCCCGGTGCAAGCGGACGGCGAAAGAGACCAAAGTAAAATAGTGTAAAGAAAACAGTAATAGAACGAAGACAAGCAAGCGAGATTCGCCTGCCAATCCCGCAAATCATCACGTCGTCTTTCGTCCCCCCGCGTAGCTCCTATTTCCTTTGCCCGGCACTTCTCATCATCCCCCTAAGTCTTGTTCAAAAAAGAATCTCCACGGACGGCAACCGTCACCAAAGGTAGCAACGGCCTAACAAACACTTTTTTTCTCCACGCAAAGGGAAATGAAGGTGATAAAGTACAGGAAAGGTAGAAGTAGCTGAAGGAAAAAAGTGAGGAACACTGCGTAAGCCTACGAGACGTTGGACATTACAGGTCCGGACCTCCTTAGGCGCAGACAAGGACCCTCAAACAAATAGGGCAAAAGGTTCTAAAAAAAAGGGAAATGAAGTAGGAGAGAAAAAAGAAGAAAAATACATATCTCGCTCGGAAAAACATGTGATAAGAAAAATCACACGAAGGAAATTGGGGGACTAGTGGAAAAGGGGCACACTTTTATCGGATGACATAGCGGACGAAAGCTAAAGGGCACAATGACCTTAGCAAACGCTTCACGAGTCACCAGCAGACTGCGCAGGCTTCTCAGCAGGAGTCGACGAAGTCGAAGCAGGGGCAGGCGAGTCCGAGCTCGCACCGCCCTTGGTGAAGCCACCGCGACCTCTGCCACCACGTCCACCGCGGTCGCTGCCACGGCCTCGGCCTCGTCCACCAAATCCACCACGACCACGTCCGCCCTCACTGTCGCTGGCGCCTCCGCTCTGGTAACCGCGCTGTCCAGCATTCGCTCCGCCCCGGCTGCTAGCCTGCCAGGTTCCAGCGTTGCCCTGTGGGCCGCGGGGACCACGGTCTTCAAAAAACTTGAGGTTCGGCTTGCGAGGCTGACCAGGAGGGCTGGGTCTCTTGTGCTCTGCCGGCTGGCGGTCCAATGCAGCCTTTGCCTCCTCGACAGTAGCGAATGTCACAACATGGTTGAACTTGCCCCACTTCTCAACCTTCTGGATCTTCGCCTTGTCTTCTTCGGGGAAGAGGTCGCGGACAGCCTGTTCATTGTCGACGTTGGAGACGAACAGTCCGTTGCTAGCCTTCTTTTCACCCCTAGGGATAGGAGACTCGGAGGGCTTCTCAGGCTGAGTCGCGCCATTAGTCTCCGCTGGCGCCTTAGGAGACGCTACGCTTGGCTGCGAAGAAGCAGCAGTGGGCGGTTGAGGAGTCGCTGGCTTGGGGATGACCGGAGCTGGCGATGCCGTAGAACGCGCAGGACCCTGCAGCTTACCCTGAGCTGGCTGGGGAGTAGGCTGCTGTTGGAAAGGCGCACCAGCGCGGGGAGGCTGTGCCTGGCCAAATTGAGGAGCAGGACCACGGGCCTGAGCTGGCGCTGCTGCAGCGCCTGCAGGACCAGTAGGCAGAGCTGACTGAGCTGCATGGCTCATGGCCTTACCACCACGGTGGGCAAAGTTAAATCCTTGAGCGCGCATCTCCGTTCCTATCCGTCCACCTTCGATCTCCAGGGCCAGGTATCCGAAAGCAGCATCTGCCAAGTTGAAGTTCCACATGTTCTTAAAAGCACTCTCGTCAACTTGGCCAGCACCGTTTCCTGCTGCAACCGGTCCACCGAAGGGGTTACCTCCGTTAGCAACCGAGGGCATCTTGTTGACAATGTCGAGAGCGTTTTCGAGGAGGGTCTTCTGAGCCTCATTCGACGAAATCGCACCTTCGACCTCACCCCTCACGGTGTCCCAAACGTCGTTGAAGGAAGCTTTCGATGCTGCGAGTTTACCGCGGTAGTGATCAAGAGTCGGGTTGACGGAGAACTCATTGTAAGACGAGCCATAGCGGAAATGCAGACCAGCGGAGATCGAGAAATCGGCCTTGAGAGTGACAGAAAGCTGGTTCAGCATACCCTCACGGGCGGGAGAGGCATGCGTGACAAAGATACGAGTCTCAGAGGGATCGTACACACGGTTTGCAGTGTCGACAAGCTCACCCATCTGGAGAAGGGTGGTCCACATAGTACCTTGCCCACCAGCAATAGTGGTCTTGCCCTCGCCGTTGTCAAACAGCTTATGCATGACCACAGCACCTCCCAGACCGAGAAGACGGAGCTTCACACCTCCGATATCTAGCAATCGCGAGTTGGCCTCGTCAATGATGTGCAGCTTGTCTACCTTGTATTCGCCGGATCGGAATTTCTCCAGAACGCGCACATCCTCGCAAGCTCCCCATACAGTGTAGACTGGAACATCTAGGGTCAGTCGCTTATCTAGGAGCTGTGGCAGCTCGGATAGAGGGAGCTGTTCGGGAGAGAATCGTTGCTTGATGGACTGCTGCGGGGGGATCTGAGCAATGGTTCGCTTGGTGCTCTCAGGCAGGAGCGGAGAGTACTGTGCCACGTGCTTCAGGGTCCTGTGCTTGTTAGAACATGGCTCTCTAGCATAACAATGCACAACGCGACAATTCAAAGTGCGCAGAGCTCCCGACTTACTTGTCTGCGATTCTCTCGAGAGAGGTGTCGTCGTAGAAACCGAAGTCACCGGTGTGAATGATGTAATCCGCACGAGCCTGCTTGGCAAGCTCATTCAACGACTTCAGGTTTCCTGGAATCGGACATGGTCAGCTTACAAATGTCCGCGGTCTCCATACAAGTGTTCTTCAAGCCACCAGGAATCTCTCCGTACCTCTGACATCCGCAATACACAGCACCCTCACGCTACCAGTCTGCATGACTCTGCCATTGTTAGGAAGGAGAGGAGTAGCTCCGGGAACAGCACCAGTAGCGGTTGAAGCGCCGTTCGGAAGATAGCCCGTCGAACCGAAGTTGTGAGGACGAGGCTGGTGCAATGTTTTTGTCAGTCTCAACTGACATCCCAAAAGCGCCTGTGGGAGCTTGCGCTGCGCGAATCTGGAGGAACACATGCACTTACAGAAGCCATGAGGGAGGTATGGAGTGAACTCAAGGTCGTATTTCAGAAGGAGACGTGTTAGAAGAGAGGAACGTGGGACGGTCGTCAAGGACGGAGGCGGTGGTTGAGATCTCAAAAGGACAGGGTAGGGGGAAAACGCGCTAGAGGAAAGTAGAGGCCGAAGTGAACCGTTAGGAGTTGCGTAAAGGCTGAGGATAGAAGAAGACGGCCTGGGGAGCTGCCGGCTATGGGAGGGAGTAAGGAGGAATGATATTAAACGGGGCGGGATTCAGAAGACGAAGGAAGCGCAGTCAGACAACAACAGGAAGAGGCGTTGTTCGTTTCCTTTCGGTCTGGGGCAGCACCGTATCTTATGTAAGCACGCGGCTCAGCGATGTTGTTGTTGCCTCAGGCGCCGACTGAATACCAGATGGCATTGAGGATGCGTATTATCGCGATACATTCATGCGAGAATAACGAATCTCGAGCCCTTTTCTACGGGCGTCTCTTTGTATTAGAAGAAATCTGATAAATCTTTCTTGTCCCGGCAACAAAGACCTTTATGATTGGCAATACTACGGACTTAGATCCCGAAGATGGTTATCAGCATGTAAGTAAGTATTTTGTGATTGCGGGAAACTTATGCACAGTGTATATGATTAGCAAATATATGTGCTGTCTTATATATTTCTGTTGCAATCAAACACATTGTTGCTCACAGGTCCTCGGTTTTTAAACCAGCAGTATTCAAGTCCTCTGCATCCGCAGTTGCCGACCTCGTGGACAACGCGGAAAGTGAAACAGATCCAGGACCCTCCAGCGCCAGTAGAGCCAAATGACCGCCCACTGTCGGCCGCGCTTTGCACAAAACTCCTACGCCTGGCTTGTTGCCTTGAGCGGATGTAGAGATGTACCGATCAGAGAAAGGCCATGCATTCAATCCATTCGTCATGAATGCCCAGAGATCGTCTACAAACTGGTCTCGGGTCGTGGTACCAAATGTGCCAGCCAACCACATGTTCCAGTCAGACTTGGCCCAATCTTGGCGATTGTCAAGAGCGACCCCGTATTCACCTCGCACAGTTTGGAAAAACTTGCTTCCCATTGCATAGGCGGACGTAGGGAACGTTTCGAGGTCTAACAACACATCCGGATAAAGGTTATAAGGGGTCTTCCATGTGGAGGGCATATCTGGGTACTCTAGGACGAAGTGAGTCCTGTTCGGATCTGTCCCGAGTCCGTCAGTATAAAAGATCTTTGCGTGCTCGTCACCGATATCCGAGTAGTTTGTGAGTCCGCTGAGTTTTCCGAACGCCTTGAGACCGACAGCAGCCTTGATAGCAAGGTTTGTCTCGTTCGGAAGTGGGCCAGCCGCATCGTTAGTGGAAAGTTGGTTAGCTATGTTGATGCTATTGTCCACCAGATAATCTGCATATTTTTGCAACATGCCGGTATATTGTGCCGCCCACTGTGTGTCACCAGTCGCCTTCGTGTATGCGTATGTAAGAATCATGAGATTCCCCGTTTCTTCAATGGGCATGGGTTCTGCTAGTTGATCGTCGTGGCCGGTAGCATTGGGATAGCTACTCCCAATGTCGTGAATCACGTAAGGCAGATGCCAGCGTCCAGCTGCCATATACCTCATGACCGGTTCCAGTAGGAGTCGAATGTAGTCAGGGTCCATGACGTAGTAGATTGGAAAAGCAGGCATGATAATATCCACTGTATTAACATTGCCGTCGCTCGAGATTTCTTTTATGAAGGCCAGAGGATCGCTGGTATCAAGCGTGTCATAGGGAATGGTTAAATCAATTCCAGCATAAGCTTGTCTCACAGACAGTGTCACTATATCAGAGTACTTCTGGCCGGCGACAGCTGTTGCTTTCGCCGAGAGTTTCGAGTCCAGCTCAATTGATTCGCTCAGTGCACCTGCGTAATCGTCCAGAAAGTATGACACCGCTTCTGCAGTCGTCGGGTACTTTGAGCGATAGTAGCCTGTGTATGCTTCCCCCAGATAGTTGATCGCCTTTTCTCTCACGTAGCCGACAGCATAAGTCACGGACTGGCTTCCCGTCACGCGGCCAAGGCTATGAGAAAGAGCAACAACTTCACCAGGATTCCACTGCGACTGCGGCACAGTGAACGTCCCATGGCGGGCAAAATCAGATCTCGCGGTATTAGCTGGCCCAGAAAAAGCAGAGAGATTAGATGATAGAGATGGCTTTGAGGCGAATACCACTTCGCCCCAGAGAGCCATATCATCGATCTCAGTGTACGTTGCGGCATTTTCAGCAGTCAATGTAAACACGGAAGTTGCTTCCTGGGTCCTAAAATTCTGTTCAGTATCAGTCGAGCCAGTCCATTCATCTCCGATATCCGAATATATCTGGATATCATGGGATCCCGGACTCGACACGGATACCGTTAAATAACCTGCGATCTGCGTTAGTACGGAATTGGACTCCGATCTTTGGCATTGTCACTCTTACTGAAAGGAAGCGATTGTCGGAGATAGTTGGAAGGAGACACGGGAGACAGGAAGTCCAGAGTAAATGTCACTGGGCCAGCATTGAGAGTAAACATCGAGTGAGTTGTTGTATATTCTGCCTTCTGGACCTGCGCTGGGATAGTAGTGTTCTCAGAATTGGCTACTCCCATCAAACTGTATGCTTTTCCGTCGACGCGGCCAATTATCGACCACGTAAGATCCTGACCGGTCCAGAACTGAGGCGTTGATGTTGGTAGGCTTTCTACCAGGCTGCCAGGAATCCATGTTGACAGATACGGATTGCGTACTGCCAAGGGATACGAAGGAGGCAGGGCAGGCTCATAGTCAACGCCAGCGTTGACTGAAAGTACAGACAGGTAAAATGCAATACATTGACCGACTCCTAGTCGGGCACTAAGCTGGTACATTGGTTGCAGGATGGTACTGACCAGTTGATCGGAATCTAAATGTATCCCGAAGAGACGTTCGAACGACGCGTGTACCAGCAGCACGAAGGACTGAACACTTGAGACAACAAGATCAGAAAAGCGACGAGCACCAGGCTCCATATATTGCTGGCGCCATGCTGGCGCTTCGTGTAGGAGATACGCCGCCATTCTCTAGCTGGAATGCGACGGCCCAAGTCCAGAACGTTGACTTGGGGAGTATGTCGATGTTGTCTCCATTCCCTCTCTCCAAGGCCTGAAACGGGTGCATAGATGACTAAGCTCTCGGCATTGTTAACTATGTTAACTTGTAGTCTTGTACATACAGTTTGCTTTTTGATCAGACGAGAATCTGGCCATACACATTTCTCCTTTGTCTAGATCGATTGTCTAAGTTGTAAATCATTGCTCGTTATGCCTCCTTCCCCGCATCACCAGATGCCATCATGTGCGCCGCATCTCGGCTGGAGCTATAAGATCTCAGCTGAATGCACAAAATACGTAGCGTGCATCTTCTGTAAGGCTACACAGTAGAGTCACCACATTCGGTATGGCATGATTGTCATTCGATACATGAAAACACTCGAGTGGTTGGAATAAACTAGACTAGGTTCCCCCGCAAAATCATTTGGAAGTTGATACGAGAGCGGAGGGATTTAGCGTGCGGGAGACGGCTCGTTCCCTGGTCGGCTGACTTGAGACAGAACTACAGTATGTATATCGGAACCCTCGTGTTACAATGCACGCCATCAAGAGTGCTGAGTACATGCACTTTGGCAAGTGGAATATTGGAAGTTCTTGGAATTTTTCTTAGGAGCTGATTGACGCACCCGAAGGAAGTGACACCCCGGTTTGGGTCGAGTCTTCCTTGAAGACAACTGATAGGCCTCATGTAAGGTGTGTGTGATCTATATATGCCGCACTAGTGCTTACCTTAGGAGCACTGGAATATTTCTAAAGCCTTGTATGTACCAGAAGGAAATTTGCTGTTAACCAGCTTTTCATCGTTCAATGTTGTTTCGTGTTCGAACCATTTCTGAGTGTATCAAGCCAGCGGTGAATATCTCCGCACCAAATTACATTCCCCTCCTTGTGAAAGCCGCAAGGATGGAAACTTTATAGGTCAATGTTTACGATAACTATTGATGTCGTGGATCATTAGCGGTGATTATTATTCACCTAAAGCAAGCAGATGCACCTACGTCATCGAATCTGGGAAAATATAGACGTTTTAGCTGCCAAATGCCCTATGCATCATCAACTACCACATGCTGCATTTGGAATATACATCAACCTATTTTGAATTGATGACAGAATAATAATAAATCAAACCTGGAGCATGGAAATTTTGTCACGTAATGATGCCAAAAAAAAAAGGAGCGACCTCTCCGTTCAGTGCTCGAATATATTTTGATGAAATGGCGGAGTTCTTCAGTTACATCGCCATTGATCAGCAAGACAATACTTACAGCAGTGACTCCCTGGAAATCTCAAACTATTTAAGACTGCCTCGCCAATTAGCAGAAATAGCCGCAATTTTCTTGCGTAGAGTGTTTTGTACAGTACATAGGCGGTATGAGGATCGAAGGGTCTAAGATGGACAAGGAAGCTGCTAATAAAATGAAGTTGTCCTGCTCAGTCTAACTGTCTAAGGTTAAGCATTTTAAGCACTTGATGGTGCCTGCATATTTAACTACTCATATCGGAAATACCTCCCTCAGTTTGCACAGATCGGTCGGACAAGGGAAGGTGCTGGCACTCACGAAGGCCTGAAAATTGCTAGATATGCGGTGAAGGTAGGAGATCTTGAGACATCGGAGCCACTGTTACCCACTTGGCTTATTTCTTTCTTGGGTCTTGAGTCTTGAGACACCGTACTTCGGTTCGGATGTGGGCGCATGAGAAGTGGCTGATAAACGTGGGATCAGCTGTCTAACTCTTGAAGTAGAAAAAGAGTAACACGCTAATCGTCGACCTCGTAGATCGTGGCTGATCTACAAAATTAGAGTAAATGTATTCCGTACCGTACCTACTACGACCTAGTACCTACACACCGCTCTGCATATTATTACTATTCTGCCTTACCAGCAATGAAGCGTTATTCGACCTCGGCTACGGAGTAGTTACTTGAGATTCAGCTTTAATAAGCCCAGCTGATGAGTTGGTCAACGGGTTTTCAGCCCGTTTCGCTAGCGTGTCTTGGAAGCGTTGGCAAGTGCATTCTAGCTGCTTCCAGGAAAGTTGTGTTTTTCTTTCTCCACAGAAGCTTCTGAGCTTTGTTCCCAACGTCGCATATAGAACCTATTAATATCTCTTTCAGTGTGGCACTGGATAGTAGCAGGTGGCGGTATCAGGTAGGTTTGCTATCCGTATTCGAGAATCTCTTGGCGACTATCTAATCTTGTCAGGTCTGGCTTGTCAAAACATTGGGCACTGCACGTCCTGACGCAGTGATTTCCATGATCCACATGCGCTATAATGGTCTGCACTCCACAAGCTCCTACGTTATACTACTTACTGTGTAGTCTGGCGTTGGCAATCCACAACGTCTAGCATCATGGAACCGGAAACCCAGCTACCGGGACCCTCTATGTTCAAATTGGGGAGGCCGTTTCTAACGGCGTGCAATGCAAGGGAACCGATCTGGATGCCAAGTCAGACCAAAATATAGAATGTTTCCATCTCTACTTGCGGTGTGGAGAAGAATATTATTATTATTGCTGGACTTCCTCAACATGCCCAGGACCCCATACTTCAGATGTCCTCTGAAAGATGGATTACTCGTCCATAAGAGTAAGGAGTCTCCGTTGCTATTACTGTCACCACGTAATACTTCAAAGCAGCTTTTATATGCAGGTATGACTTCGTTGTCTAGCATCAACAAATTAGACTACTGCACTTAGGGAAACAGTCTGACTGTCCAATGTCAATCACTCATACTAAGTGAACCAGTGTTTGAGACCAGACTTGAAGCCGCTCACCCGCGCAGAGTTACTGGAGATGGACAAGGAATATCAGCTGCGCCTGGCCAACAGTTCCCCATAGGGTTGATTTAGCGTCCCACGGGGCTTTCACTTAATCTCTGGAGGGGCAATCTTTGATATCGTGAAGGTATAAAGAGGGGTCACAGTTCTTCATTCCGTCCCCCCGTCCTTTGATATCCAGAATCATCACTCTCAAGTTCTCCCTCAACTTCTATAACACCAGATCTACTATTCACAATGTCTTTCCACGTCAGCTGCGAAGACATCCGCATCGAGGTTCTGCCCGGTGACGCCACCTACCTGTGCTGTGCTGGCAAGGACGTCGATGGCAACTGGCACCCTAACCGTCTCCGTCTCGACGACATCATCGGAAACAGCGATGGTAAGTCGCGACTACCTGTCTGGCTTTCTAGAGATATCACCTTGGATCCTATATTCTATATCCTATATCCTATATTGTCCTTGGTCGTTACTTAGAAGATGTCAAGTATATCGCTGACTTCCCCAGGCTGGTTCATCTGGGGTGGCCGTGACTTCACCCACAGTGCTCGTGAGATCCACCTCGAACACGGCGCCAACGGCCCTCACCTCACCGCTGAGCTGCCCATGCGGGATGGCGGCTACCGTGAGCGCCAGGGAATCGACCTGGCCGACAAGATTCGGAACGAGAACGGTCGTCTGATCTTCCTGGTAAGTGGTCAAGAATATTCCCTAAATCACCATCATAAGGCCAGAGTCCTAACCGCTTGAATATGATAGGGACCTTGAAACATCCCAAAGTCAGTACATGCAGTTAAACGCGCCTCCGCATCTGAGAAGAAAGATGATGGAATGATTTAGGGCCCATCCACACAAGAAACGTGTGATGTAGATGCTAGAAATAGAGATACCAATACACATGGACTATCATGGGAAATGCCATGAGTCGATCATAACTGTGGGAAGGAAATCGTAAACTGTCTTTTTTGTAGAGAATAGACATTAGTTGAAGCAGATTCAATGTTGGAAGTACCAATGTGATGGTACATGTCTATAAAAACTCTGGTTAACTACCCATAACTAACCCCCCCCTTTTTTGAGAGCTGATTATCAGAGACGACAAAGACCACCTTCAACTCCTAAACAGTCTCAATCCACCCTCTTCCGCATCCTCATCACTCTCCACACCATTCTGGCCCGCTTCCTCGTCATCATCCTCTTCCCGCAGCTGACTGCTAGCAGTCTTACCCAGCAGCGACGCGAAGAACTCTTCACGCGCCTTATTGGTCCACGTCCCCCGATCCTCTGGTACCATGAAATTCTGCAGCTTCTCATGCACGGTATACCGCATCTTGCGGCCCTTAGAGGCCTTGGTGTCAACAGCTCGCTTGACCTTGTCCTTGCGCATGCCCGTCGTGGGGTTAACGGCTGGGAGTTGGATATGCAATGTCTCGACGCCGTTGGTGATGGCGTCGGAGGAAGACATGCGTTGCTCGACAAGGTCGCGGAGGAGAGATTGGTAGAAGAGGGTGTCGTCGTAGACTGGTTGGGGGACGTCGTTGGAGTTTGATGTAGTGCCATTCGACTGCCGCGAGCGCTTGGAGGCGCGTTCGCCGTTCTCCGAGGCGATGTGGGCATCTAGAACAGCAGTGATGGTTTGCTGAGAGCCAGAGGCACTTCCCAAGAGCTTGCCTCGGGCGTTTGGAAGAGTAGCGTTCGACCCGCGCACTTTGGCTGACCATTTGTCTAGAATGGCGCGGCGGTGGGCGACAGATTCAGCTTCGAGATCCATCATTCGCTTCCAGAGGGAGGCAGACGAAGTCGTAGCAGACGCGGGAGATGGTCGCTTTCTCTTCTTGGACGAGTCCTTTGACTGTGCATCAGATAGAGCAAGTCGTAGGTCCTCAAGAGTAGTCCAGAGAGCCAAAGCAGCGGATTCAGCAGAGCGGATGGCCTCTTCGTCGACTGAGTCCGCTTCCTTCGCAACGACTGGGAGAGAATTGATAGCAGTGAGTCCCTTCTGCAGCTTGATACGAGTATTGAGCAAAGCATCAAAGGTGGATCGTTGTTGCTTGACAGCAAAACCCTTGGCCGCATCCGCCTTTGCAGCTTGCGAAATGGTCGCCGCAATGGTCTTTTGATCGGTAGCCATCAACCTGCGAAGTTCCTCCCGCTCTTCAGACTGACCGACTGCCGGCGCCGGGATGTTATCATCTTCTTCTTCCTCGTCTTCGTCATCCTCGTCTCCGCTGAGAGCGTCGGAATCGCCTTCGGAGACTTCCTCACTGCCCTGGTCGCTAGCAGAACCGTCGACCTCCATTCCATCCTCGCTATCTTCCTCTTCATCCTCGCTATCTCCCTCTCCATCCACATCTGCGACCCGAGACTGCTTGCTAGCGCGGAATTTGAAGTCCTTGAAACGTTCCTCATCGCTCTCTCCGAATGCATCAGCGCTATCGATCTCGTCGTCGTCATCGTCAATCTCATCTCCTTCATCTCCAGACTCCTCATCTTCCTCTTCTTCATCATCGGAGACGTCCTCATCTTCTGACCGCTTGGCGAAAGGATCGTCGTCACTCTCCGCTTCGAGGTCCGTTCTGCTCACTTTGGAACCGGCATATTCCTTGCCTAAGCTTACCGTCTGCGGCTTGCGCAACTTGCTCTTTCTATTACGACTGTCAGATGACCTCTATTTTTTTTTTTTTTCCAACATGGAAAAGGAACACAGTGAAAACTCACCCTACGTCCTCATAATGTTCCCTTCCAGCATTATCATCAGCCACAGATCGGTCATCGTCGCTGCGCAATCCATCGTCCTGGTCTTCGGGATCGAAGTCTGTAATAATAATAGAGAATGTTAGCGATCTGATCGCACCTAGCGAACATGAAAGATCCCCTCAAAATACGATCCGAATTGCGACACTGTATAAAAACCATACATACCCTTAGGTGTAGGATCCTCCAAATCTTTCAGTTGGTCCGCCAGGCTTCTACCCAGCGACGACCGAGGTTTCTCTTCTGGCGCCATGACTGCAACACTGCGTTGCTGCGTCGCGTTGTCTGACTGCCGTTTTCCTTTTCCCTGCGTTGCGCAGAAACCAAGCAAAAGCTATCTCGGTCGTCTTATTTTTCTTTTTTTTTCTGGTCCAAAAATTCCGCCGGGAAAAATTCCCCCCAGCGGGACCGACGAGAGCTAAGAGTTTCCGCCTATCACAGCTCAGAATAAGCAGGGCGGTGAGAACAGAAAACAAAGAGGCGCCGCAGTCATTGAATTAAATCGTGAGATAAACGAACTTATTCCAAGTAGACGAAGAGCTACCTGTCAGTCAAGATGCGCCAACAGCGTCTCTTCTCGACGCTACGGGCATTACAGTCCCATGATAACCCTCTGGTATGCTAAACCACTTGACCCTATCCATTATACCATCTCCAGGAATTGCTAGCTGAATCGATTCTCTCAAAGGGTCTACCGCGCTCCGGTACTCCGCCATCGTTCCCCCGCCGCCGCGGACTCCCAGAGAAGCGCAAAATCAGAGATGTAAACAAGGTCATTGCCGTCTCTTCCGCAAAGGGCGGAGTCGGAAAGTCAACAATTGCAGGTACATATACATATCAATTTCTTCCAAAGGGCCTATTTCCCTCGTGAGAGCTAATGTCTCGGTGCTGTCGTTCCGCAATGTCTTACTATATACGACCTGCCGGTACTAAATGGCGGAGGATGGCAATACGGAACATTTTCTTAATATATATATATATATATATATATATATATATACACGCATACATATAGATGTTGACTGTATATTCCTAATAGTGAATCTCGCACTTGCTTTCGCCCGTCGTGGCATTCGAACAGGCATCCTCGATACTGACATCTTCGGCCCTTCGATCCCAACACTCCTCAACCTCTCCGGCGAGCCTAGATTAGACGACAGTATGCACGCCCTTTCTTCAACTCTACTTCGTCTTCATTTTATCTTCCCTCACAAAAGGCATACAATAACTAACCAAGAAACAATTCGCTCAGAAAACTGCCTCGTCCCACTCACAAACTACGGGCTCAAGTCCATGTCAATGGGCTACCTCCTCCCTCCACCGCCATCATCCACCACTGAATCTGACCCCTCCGGCTACCAACCCATGGACACAACCCCGATCTCATGGCGTGGCCTCATGGTAACGAAAGCCATGCACCAGCTCCTCCACTCCGTCTCCTGGGGCCCACTGGACGTGTTGATCATGGACTTCCCGCCAGGGACCGGCGACGTGCAATTGACAATTGGCCAGGAGATCGTGGTGGATGGTTCGGTGATCGTCTCGACACCGCAGGATATCGCGCTGCGGGATGCCGTCAGAGGATACGGGATGTTCCAGCGGATGAATATCCCCGTGCTGGGCATGGTGAGGAACATGGCATTCTTCGCGTGTCCGCATTGTGGGAAGCAGACTAAAATCTTCTCGAGAGGGGAGCATAGTCATCATGATCATGATCATGAGACGGATCGGGGTGTGATTGCTGAATGCAAGAGACTGGGAATTGACTTCTTGGGTGACATCCCGCTCGACGCCAAGGTCTGCGAGGATGCGGATCGAGGTGTCCCCACGATGGTCGCTGAAGAAAGCGACGAGCGCAGCGCCAGAAGAAACGCTTTCCTCGGTATCGCGGAGAAAGTCGCACATAAAGTTGGGCTACCTTGGTGAGATAAAGTCCCATGCGTTTCAGCAGTGGGTTATCCCACTGTCGATGCTGGAGGCTACAGAATCTGTATACTATTGTGCCATTTTACGAGAGCGCGGATCTTCAAATCTCAATGTATTATAATATATGGCGTCCAGGCGTCTACTGTGATTGGACTATATGCAAAGGGGTATGCGAATGGGAAAACAAACGGAAAATCTGTGAAAGCGCACTGTTGGATCCACGATAACGAAGGATTTCGTACTCTAACAAAAAGAAAATTGCCACGCTTCTAAATGCTTGTAAATAACGTATATATAGGGTATAAAACGGAGAAAGAGATCGAAACGAAGGTGGTCTATCCAAAAAGAGAGTTTGCTGCCTTGCTAAAAGCATGCATGCAGCTATTGTGAGAGTGGGATTTCCGGGGCGGTAGTGAACTCGTCGCGCTCAGGCATAGCAGGCCGAGTCTCGTTCGAAGACTGTTCAATGCCCTTCCCTTCATCACCGATGGGTGATACCACGCCCGAAGCACAGTTAATGGACCGCACACTTGCTGACATCCTCGAATGATCGGGTTCTAAACCATCAGTGAGAGGACCGGACTGTCCCGTATTGTCAGACTCTTGTCGGTATATGGAGTGGACTTCGTGAGACAGGCCGCTCTGTCTCTTGGCTTTCTGTCCGATAACGCCGGGGGCTCCAATGATCGCGATCGTGCTTGCGTTTGGATCTGGGCCCCTATCTCCATCAAGACTGGGTGCAAATCCATCCGACACGATGCTCATGCTTTCTCCCATGTCCGAAGTCACAGTAAGAGTAGGTCCCTGTGATCCTGCTGCCGAGGGCGGTCTATATTCAGCACGCAACGACGACCCTCGAATTAACGGAGCCACGCCCCTGGCGTTACGGAGAGTTTTAGTGCTTGTATTATCATCAGTGATGACAGATCTCGAATCGCCCGCATCAACATCGGTTAGGATGTAGGATGCCGATATATGGGAATCGGAAACAGGAGGTTGCAATGATGTAGTGTCGGTAGCCCCAGCAGAAGTTGCCGCAACAATACCACCGTCGGCCCCATTCTGTGTGATCGTAGTCGGAATACTGGATTCTCCAGAGATACTGGCTTGCCCAGTATCACTCACGGCACGTCTTCGACTAACAGATCTGCTTCGACCAGCTGATGAGAGTGAAGCCGCATCCCTTTTCTGTAGGGATTTACTCCGACGACGGGATGTAGTCGCAGCTAGAACCGTTGGCGCATCACCACCGGTGATTCCGATGTTCGCTGTTTGGTCTGCCTGTCCCGCTCTGATCTCTCTTCGCAGTGTCCTCTCATCGTGTTTAGTGCTCCAAGCGTTCCACATCATCACGAGGGGGCTCCTTCGATGACGTCTCTTGCTCGTACCCAGAAGAGCCGACCGTCTGCCTGCCAGTGCACTTGGAGGTGGAGTTTCACCATCAAATCGCTCGATACCAGCTGCCAACTCTTTGATGCGTGCACTCTGGACCTTGAGCTTCTCTTTTGCGAATTTGTGATCCCATTCTTTCTTGGCTGCTATCCATTTCTTCACAACGTCAGGATTGATGGCACCAACCTTCTCAGGAGGTTGCTGCAGAGCTTCAAGTGACTCGGGAGGATCCAGAGGGTAGATGTGGGCTTTCGTGTCGACTCTCTGGCGGATCATGTGGTGGTGGAATGGTGGCAAAGGATCACCGGCTCTCCCAACGGAAGAGGGCATCGTGTTAGTTCCTTTCCGCTCTGAATGGTCAGTGTTATGGTCATCGGTATCGGTGCCACTAGTTGAGATGACGGAAACATCGTCGTCATCAAGGATGTCGATCTCTGTCCTCTGTGCACGAGCAAGTGCCCAAGCTCCAAACTGTGCAATTGATCTGAACATGTACTTGGCAGGTCTTGTAAAACTCAATGTTGGTGCCACATGGCATAGGCCATCCCACACCTGCAACTGCACAAACGTAGGTGCGTATTTATTGAGAATCTCTCGGTTCGGATCATACTCGTTGAGATATACGTCGTTGGGAGGGTATTTCTTTGGATCGGCCGCCTTGTGCGCGAGGTAGATCTGTTCATCGCGCAACATCTCACCGCCTCCTGTAAGAATCAAAAGGGGAGGAAGACCACCAAGCGACGGTTGCAGGACAGGAGATACGAGTGGGTGAGAGATAAGTTGGTTTGTCGTGTACATTTGAATCTGATCCTTGATCTCCAGCTCCTTGTCGTCCACGATAACCCGCAAGTTGTCAGCAGGTTTGACCGGCGCTTGAGGTTCTTCTGATGGTGGCACTTCATCTTGATGACCTGGATATGCGAAGTGCGCCGCCTTCTGCTCTTCGGAAAGATTAGTTTGACGCACGGTATAGCCGTGAACGTGAGCCTCGTGCGACTCCCTGTTATCGTTTGAGGTGGCCGGCTCCAGGCCCTTGCTTTTAGCAATTTGGTCGTGAGCACCTTGCTCAATCGCAAGCATATCATCTGCATTGGGAGGCGGCCATGCAGCAGATGGTTTCTGCATGAAGCCGTAGGGCGGAATATAGTCTCCAGGGTTGTCTTTGACTATACTCGGAAAGGAATGTGTTAGGTCAACCCAAGGAGATATAAGTATACCGCCAGCTGGGAGCGGTATTCCACGGTCACGAATTGTAACCAACATACTATAGAATTCATCAGCTATGGAACTTCCCTTGTATGATTCGGAGAGACTCACGACACCACCATTCCACCGCCAGCAGAATCTCCGGCCAGGATGATCTCCGTCGGATCATGTATGCTGAGAAGATATAGATACGCTGCTAGGCAGTCATGAAGTGCACAAGGAAATGGAAATTGCGGCGACAAGCGGTAGATGGCTGTTCTCTGTTAGTTTCGTCATGTTATGCATAGTTACATCTGGAACTCACTGCAACTAGTTAGCTAAAGCTGACAACGGATCATAAACTGGGTTCCAGGGCCATACCGTGCAAATACTCGAGCTTTCAGCTTCCGTGCATGTCGCTGCATCTGATACCGATGCGTCTCCATGCCACCGAAGAAATATGCTCCGCCGTGAACATATAGCATGACGCGCTTGCAATGAGCACCAGAAGCTTTGTTTTCATTGTAATCGCCTCGCACCTCGATCCATTCCGCCTTCAGATCTTGCCCGGGTAATCGCCATTGCCACCACTTCTCACCCCCAACGCGCTTGACGCCCTTGGGACCCAACTCATCAATCACCGTCTTTGCCGCCGTCGCCAGATACTCCTCGGGTATCGTCACGACCTCCGACCTGACCCAGTGCGGACTTGGAATCGATTGATTTGTGAAGGCCTGGAGGTCTTCGACTGTATGATACGATGCATAACGGAGAAACTCGCGGAGGACATGCAGGGCCTCGTCGTACGATAAATGATGGGTAGGCTTATGGCGCAGTGATTTACGATGAAGGTACTGTCAAGGCGATCCGGTTAATACTCACTCGAGCATGTATAGGGTCGTCAACTGGGCCGACAGAGACACTTTCAGGGGTACTCACATGGGATATAAATGTCGACACTACTGTAGGGGCCACAGCTGCACCCAGTGATAGTGTATGTATCGTCATAATGCTGGTCTTTCCAAAGCACACCTCGAAACAGAACGAGCGGAGGACCTATTTAAAGGGAAGTTTGTATTCGAGGGACTCAATGACACTGTGCATGTGGAACAATTGCTTTGCTGTTACTTGGCGTTCACGGGGCAATGCGACAAACAGTCCAGCTATACGCGCTCCAAAAGCAGAGCAGTGTCCAAAAAGGAGGGAAAGGGAGATCTTTGATATACAAAAGGGACTGAACCTGGACGGGCAAACATGGAACCAAGTTCGCCTGGGCCCCTGGCGCCGAAGCAGGACGAAAGGAACAACTGGGGAGAAGAGAGACTACGGTTGGTCGGATCAGCAGTTGATCCGGTTGCACAAGATCTGGGGAAGGAGCGACTCAACCCTGGCGTCGGTGATGTCATGCGGCTTGCTCCTGCCAGGTTGGCGGGAGAGCTTCTTCGCGCCTTCCTCTTTCGAGTGTAGCTTTGTTTACGTCACGGTCGCTCTTTCCTTCCCGCCATCGCAGTCGTTGATTGCCCTTTCCCAGCGTTTGTTTGCTTCCGACCAACAGTTGGCACCAGCTTCATCCGATCATCGATGCGAGGAAATCTTGCAGAAGATGCTTTGTATTCCAGAGCAACTATGTGGCGTCCTCTTATGGTAGATTATGTAGACGATATGCCGATATGCTCCAGTTGATATTTCCCCCCCTGCATGCCGGAATCCACCGAACGTTCCTGCGGGTGGTGGTGAAGAGGGTGTATGACTGAATATAGGCAACTGACTTTGTAGAAACAACACAGATATCCCATTTGGCCACATCCTAATATTTCACAGTTATCGATCCATATTTGTGGAAGAGATGCGCCAGAACTAGTTAGACATCAGATGACGGCATAACTGTATTGAAGGTTAATATTGATAGAACTACACATAGTACTTCCTACAGAGCAAAAGCGCCAATATGTGTCCAACAGAAATAAGGGACTGGACCATGTGCTTTGCTACACTGGCCAGAACATTGACATTATGGTTATTCACTGTGATAATATTATTAGGATGAAGGCCCAAACCATATGTCCTGATATAGTTATCCCTGCTCTAACGCCTAGCCTTCCTGAGACAAACGTCAAACGTCGCACGAACCACGGCACCGTTCCCATCCAGCTCCGCTAGCGTTTTGTGATAGCATCCATCCCGCACCATAATAATAACTCCAACTCATTGTTCCCAACAACATCGACGGACTAGAGGGTCTGTTATACTACAGACTCGAAAACAAGCTCGCCACTATGGCCGATTCCGATAAACTTCCCACGCAGATGAAAGCATGGCTCTACAGCAGCACTGCTGGCGGGATAGAGAAGAACCTCAGCCTCTCCACTTCCGCACGCGTGCCGCCAACCGTCCGCCAGGACCAGCTGCTAGTGCAGGTGATTTCCGTGTCTATTAATCCCGCCGATATTAAGGTCCCCGAAGGCCCTATTACTCGAGTGATCATATCGAAGCCTGCTTCGCCGTGTATGGACTTTTGTGGCAAGGTCATCACCGTGGGCCCTAATGTCACCGAATTCGAGCCCGGCCAGTTGGTATATGGATCCCTCGGGTTACCGACGCAATTCGGGACGTTAGGAGAGTATATCATCGCTCCCACCAGCGGCACTGCGCTTCTCCCAGGAGGGGTCGATCCCGATCATGCAGCAACCCTTGGAGTTGCCGGTCAGACGGCGTACCAGGCTCTTGAACCCTACGTGAGTGCGGGAGACAAAGTCTTCATCAACGGAGGCTCGGGGGGCTGCGGTATATTTGCCATCCAAATTGCCAAGCTGCTTGGTTGCCACGTTACCACATCTTGCTCGACGAAAAACGTGCAGTTTTGCAAGGATCTCGGGGCAGATGAAGTGCTCGACTACACCGCTGTGGACGTCACGGCGACCCTGAAGGACAAAGGCCAGGTGTTCAGCCATGTAATCGACCACATCGGTATCCCGTTGAACCTCTACAGCGAGTGCCATCACTTTCTCCTGCCTGGGAAGAGTTTCGTGCAAGTGGGTGCAGCATCGATGCTGACCTATGTCAACCGCGTAGCAAGACCCAGGCTGTTGGGGGGTGGTCGGAGAAAGTTCGACATCTTGCTGTGGAGGAACAAGAAAGATGGTCTGGTACGTGTCGGAGAATGGATGCATGAAGGCAAGATCAAAGCGGCTCTTGACAGCACGTTTGAATTCGAAGACGCCGTCAAGGCCTTTGAGAAACTGCGGACGGGTCACGCAAGAGGAAAGATAGTGATACACGTCACGCCAAAGCCGTAAAATGCCTTATTCGGACATTATGCCAACATATCTTCTTAAATCTTAACCAAGCAATTGCGGGCAATTGTCTCCACTGTTATCATGTGAAGATTGAGGTTGTTTATGTATTATACTAACAATCGTTTTCATGGGCTGCATGTACACTTATATTTTGCGCCCTCTGCAAACAAAATTTCATCCTTACATCTAGGATGGCATGATCAGAAACTATTGACACGAGCGTTATAACCAGTATCATGCTCGTCAGTATATAACATAGTATCTCTAGTTCAATCATCACCAGCAAAGCTTTTTTCTTTCTTTTTTCTCAGTTGAAGAATGTCAAAGCAGCAAGAGACATAGCATCGATGCCCGTTTTTAGTGTTGGCTCAATAACAGGCGCAAAGAACGGGGAGTGGTTACTAGGAAGCTCTTCTAATTTCCCCCGTGCCTTGGCATCCTCCCATTTCTCAGCATCCACACCACCAAAGTTCCAATAGACATACGGAGCGCCAACTGCGGTAGCCAGAATCGAGAAGTCTTCACTGGCAGTAGATGGTTTCGATTCCACCATTCTGTCCTTGAAGTAGGGATTGAATGTCCCCTTGAGCTTCTCTACTGTTGCCTCATCATTAACAGTTGATGGGCTAGAGAATGTACGTTTGATAGTCGGCTTCTCTACAGCACCGGAGGCCTGGCACTCTGCTTCGATGATTCTGTGCAGAGAATTTAGGACACGTTCCCTGATCTCTGGACTGTACGTTCGTACGTTCAGCTTCAGATCCAAGAAGTCAGGGATGACATTCTCCGCATCACCGGCATGGATGCTGCCGCAAGTCACAACCGCTAACTCGCCTGGCGTAACCTCTCTACTGACTATCGTCTGTAGACGAGACACGAGCGAACATCCGATGACAATGGGATCGATGCAATGATCCGGCATTGAGCCATGCCCTCCGCGACCGTGAATGCGAACTGAAAACGAGTCGCTGGCAGTCAGAATAGGGCCAGCAAGGACAGCGACGGTCCCCGTCTTCATTTTCATAACGTGCTGTCCGAGTACAACATCCGGCTTCGGAATCTTGTTATAAAGCCCATCGTCAACCATCGCCTGCGCACCATTAAGGTGCTCTTCAGCTGGCTGAAAGACGCAGATAAGCGTTCCACTCCAATGCGCTCGGGAGGAATGCAACACAGTCGCAGCAGCCATTAAGCTCGTAACGTGTGTATCATGGCCGCAAGCATGCATCGTTGGTTTTTCGACGCCATCAGTGTCGACCATGCGTTTCTTGCTTGCGTACTCAAGGCCTGTCTTCTCAAAAACAGGCAGGCCGTCCATATCTGCCCGCAAGAGAACCGTTTTACCGGGTCCATTGCGCAAGACACCAGCTACACCATGGCCGCCAATCTTGGTGTGTACCTCAAAGCCTAAGCTCTCAAGATGCCCAGCAGCTATGGCAGCTGTCTGCTCTTCTTGGGACGAGAGCTCTGGTGAAGCGTGAAGGCGCCGATATATGGCCTCGAAGGGGTCCAGCTGTGGACGATATTTCTCCACAATGGCCCCGAGGTCTGTGGTCGCAGGTCCTAGAACATATGTCAATATACCATGCGGTCGTAGCAATCGACGACTTAGCTCGGGGAACAGAGATCAATCATTAAACTTACGAACGATGCGTTTTATCGTCATATTTTAGCGTTCGTCACTGCCAGAGAGCGAATTGCTGTTTCGAATAAAACATTGTCTGAACAATATCTATAAGGAGAATTTTCAATTGCGTCCTCGATTGTTGTTACTTTATTACTTTAATGCTGGCTGGCGGCTCCGGCCGTCAATGTTCCTGATAAGCACGCCCTATCTTAGAAACAGCCCAGCCCAGCCTCGGTTTCTCTCCGTCTTGATGCAACTAGCACTCTCCGCTTAATCGAATCAGGCAGGCGGGCGATATTTTGGTGTTCATTGCTCCCCGCAGGCCTCCGAGCTTAGGAGCGGGGTATTCGGAGCTCTAAGAGTCATGATGTAAGACTCGTATTCAGGATTTTCGTCAAGTCTTTGGAGTCTTTGTATCGAGCTGGCAGATTGGCAAGGTACACGATTAAAAATCCATCTATTGTATCTCAAAGATTCAATATGACCGCACTAGAATACGGGACTTCGATCTCAACAATACCTCCCTTCTGAACAGGCACCGTCTCCCCTACAGTAACATTATGCAGCCGGACAGGCTTTCCTTCATCCAGCTCATAATTATATGACCAACCATCCCATGTAATTCCCGTTACGGCATTACTTCCATTCGCGGACAGTCTCTGCACCGATAATGTACAATTCGTTGAAGGGATCTGGAAAGTATATTTGGCGGACGGTCTTTCGGCCGTTGGGTTCGCATCAGTGTAGTTATACTCCACCAGATTAACAACAGCGATGCGTTTCAATCTATCCTTGACGTAGGCAGCATATGCAGCCTCAGTCTCTTTGTGAAGGGGTAGATTGACAATCTGCACGTCGTCGCCTCCACGGACCATTTCTGCCACAAAGACGTTTCCGTAATACGGAGCTTTTGTTCCAATGGTGGTCTTATTTGTCTGGATTGGTTGCCACGCGTTATAACGGTAATCGAGGCCCTGGTGCATGTGCGTTCGGCGAATACCCTGTGATGCACAGTATAAGTTGAAGTCAACGCCCCAAAGAGCAGCGCCGAAGGCATTCGATAACCCCGGAGCGCCCTCGTTGTATAAAGAGTTTGTTTCCCCGAGAATATATGGAATGCCTGGAGTTAAATTCTCCGACGAAAGGATGCGAGAGATATTGACATGTTGAGCCACGCTGTTGACAGTAGAAGTGTGGTTCATCAGTGTGTGCTGCAAAGTCACTCCAGGTTGAGTAGCGCCGCCAATATAACTGCACGTAGGTCAGTACTCGATGAGATACAGAACAGACCAACGCATACAGGGTCTCTTACTTGTGTTCCGAATTCAGAGCGATATCATGGTCAGTGTTGAGCCCCTCCCTCCAAGTCGTCACAGGATTTAAGCTGTTTGAGACCCCAGCAAAAGATGGCGCGATATACTGATATTTTGAATCGTTCACCATATCTGGACAACTCTTCTCGAGGGCGCTCTTGATAAGTCTGGTCTTAGTCAACCATTCATCGACGTAGTCTTTCTCCGTCCAATTCGATGGTCTGACCGGCCCTTGGGCAGAAGTTTTGTACAGGTCTGGCTCATTGCCCAATTCCCAATAAGCCAACTTGCCGCCTTGCAAAGCTTTGCACGCCAAAGGCACGGTCGCGAGCAAGCTGTCTATACCTTCGCTTCCGTTCTTGCCGAGATTAAAGCCATGGCTAAACTTCGTTCCTGGCCACGTGGAATAGGACTCAAAGTATGATGGTCCGATAGACAATATTGTGGGATAATCGGTTGATTTGCTTGGAACGATAGTTCCATTCGTAGCGCTCTTCAATAATGGATCATAGAGCGCATAGTCCCTATATTCCTCTGTTAACTAGCAGAATAGCTTTTTTCCCGGTCGGTCTCCAAACGTACTGAGTATTTCCTCCTACGCGAATAATCGGTTGTGCACCCTGGATATTCCCTATATTATCTAACAGGTTCTTGGAGAATATATTTGGCTGAGATTTATTGCCTGTAGTGCATCAGCACACCCGGTATTTGTGAATAATCCAATTCAATTATACCTGCAAAATCCGGGAAAAAAGCGAATTCGATCGAGAAGCCCACGAAAGGTTGCAATACCGGAGGGCCTGCGTCTGCTGGAACTTTCTCATTGACAGCGACGGCATTGCTGGAGAGCGGCGTTGCAACAGCAACAGAGGCCGCAGCAAGAATAACTGGGACTAGCATCGCGTGGAATAATTGAAATGAGGCGTGCTTGCATGAACACTGAACCAGCGGCCATGGTCATCATTTAAGTAAAGAGGGCCTCCGCAATGTCAGATGCCATTGTTGCTACAAACAGCCCAGCCATTACAGTATGGCCGGGTTAATATGCCATTAGTCTAGATCCAGGAACATTGCTTTTGTCATTGGAGCAAGATCTTGGGAGTTGGAAGTATCGTGCGGGGCGTGGGATCAAAGTGCCTGCGTGGCTGAGGAGATCTACAAGCGGAAATGAATGTTATTGCTGGAAAAATTACTGCCTCTAACAGCGCTATGCATTAGGAAAATTAGGCAGAATTATCCAATTTTTTGCTGAGACATTGTATTCTGCCTATCAAGATTTGAACAATGGGGTTGTGCTCACTGCCTCAGAATTTCAGATCTTCTGACTTTTCCATCGAACGAATGTATAGACAAGAAATATACTATGGTGAAAACAAAGGCCATGTGCGATAGGCCAGGATCGATGAGTGAGCTGTTATCCAACTTACCACCTGTCATATGACAGTAGAAATTGAGAAGATATCATCTAGATCTTGACGACGGAGAGATCCTTGATTGAATATGTTGTGTCTAGAAAACAGCAGTGTTAATATTCTGAAACAACAATCAAGATACGAGGGGCCTACTTGTTGTTGGACCCGGAGAGCCAGAAGACCCTTCCATTTGCAGGTCAATAATACTGTCGAAAGATCAGTAAACACAGGCATCATAAAGTGTTGTCACCAAGGTTCTACTTACAGCCACAACGGTTCGTCAATATAGTCAGAGCCATATTGAGTGGTCATGAGAATACCATCTAGGTAGAACTTGACGGAGATGTTCGAGCCATCTTCGTCCCGAATCTCAGCTTTGACCGTGTGGAAGTTATCCGGTGAATCATATTCCAAGTTCTTTGCTTCGACGGAAGAGGAAGTCTGACCACTTGTGAGATATACAATCACTGCGAGAAAACTTCACATCGTAACCAGGACTTACGTTGAATGTATTGAAAGAGATGTCGCCGTTTCCTGAGACAAAAGTTGTTTGCATTGATATCTGGAAAACATAGACATATCTTGCTGACCTTTCCACTCGGCGATATCAATCTCCGGAGGCCACGAATTTGCACCAGTGACCCAGAATGCTGGCCAAGTCCCTTTTTCTGTCGGAGCTTGAAACGACGCTTGAATGTCGTAACCAGATCCAGACTCAACAGTGAGTTTATTCAGAGCATACACTGTTCCAGAAAGGTAGTCGATATCAATGCCGCCGCTGGTGGCTGGCTGACCGCTTGTAGGTACAGCAGTTAGCGTAAGGGTACCTGCAGTCTTGATCGTAATGTAATCATGGTCAGACGAGTTTCCGACCATTCTTGCGGCACCATTATGATCGGAACCCCACGGGTACAAATATCCAAAGTAGGTTTCCAGCTCAGAGTACGAATTGAAGCATGAAGTGGGTATAACCGTTGTTGAAGCATAGGCCAAAGTGGCCAACGAGAATATGGCTGACAGGTGAGGCATTTCTGTTGAATTTGAAGAAGCCAAGAGTTCTGCAAATCTGAATATAAAAGTGGTCTCCTCACGAAATTACTTGCTAGTCCGGACGAAGCCGAATACAATCGAAGGGAGACAGACGCGGCTTTTATATGATGAGGCCTCATACGTATAGAAAAAAGGAATAACTGAATAGGAGACCACGTCCGGTCAGCGATTCCAACCCTTTTTTTATTTTCCATACTACCGGAAGCATAGGGTCCGCGACGAAGCTAGGTCCATTGGTGGAAAATGTAAACTGTTGCGTTATAATTTGTTTCATGTTTTTTGAGTTCCCTGCTCATACCACGAGAGCCGATCGAGAGCCCTGAGCAAAGCGATCAGCTCACTTAAACTTGACGCTGCAAAGTCGTTCGATTTGGCAACTTTCAGTTTAGGTGCCAAGAAAAACCAGTTTCTAACCAGAAATGATGATCTCGGTATGTTTCTTGCCGCATCTCCATGTTCATGAATACGTCGCACTAATTGTGCATTTACTCTCAACCTAGCGTTGTAACGATTTAGATTGGTTATACGAATATCTTTCCATGAACAACCGCACATGTATATGAGGGCAATTCAACAACTTTTTTGTTCCTGCTTTACATACCTAAGTGTCCATAGACCGAATCCGAAATCATATCAGCAAAAGAGGGAAGCTTTCCGGTGGCGGATATCCCAGCAACAGCTCGCAATGTTCCTTGCACGCCTCAGGATGCGATTCAAGAACAAATATTCTTCAGAAGTGCAGAGACGTCGTCATACCTGAAGGGAGTATTGCTGAATGTCGACGGATGCTAGTTGGGTTCGCTGGATTCGTTCCAGGGAATCAGGAGAATCCGAGACCAAAAATCGAGTCCTCAGCGATTCTCTGTATGCCTTCCAAAGTTTGCGGGATTTTCAGTTCTGGAGGCATGGTATGCATCTCTGTTTCCTACTTTTTGCACCAAATTTGGCTACCTGCATCTCTCTGGGGATATTGAGTCTCCACAACCGACAAGCGACCTTTGGCTGCTTTGATATCGAACAAGCCATTTCAATAGTTCATTATTGAGGCGTAAGTTCTATCAACACAAAAGTCGTCGGTCCAACAATCAAAGTTATGGATGACAGGTCACGTCGAAGCTGGGAGGGGGCATACTCTTCAAAGATTAACCTTATTATTGACTACTTGGGACCAAGAATAGCGGTGCTTCTTCGCCACAGTTCATACAAGGTATTATTTGAATTGGTTGAAACCAGAGAAATTCCCTGTCCAGTAATAAGTGAGTCTTCTGCTTCATTGCGAGATTCTCCCCACACGTGTAAACTTGGAGAAGACATCTGCGACAAGTGTCTGATGAGTTTCCTATACTGAGAAGCCATAAGCGGTCTTTCGAAAAATGTGCACTAAGACATACTTCGATAGATTGCTGCATATACCTGCAGCCACATTCAATATCATAAATGGAACGCCCCAGTAGGTCCGAATTTATGACCTCTATCAGGCACATCCAGGCCGCGAGCTAACCATGAGCTTAAGTTGATGGTTATCGAGAGATCACACATACCCACCTCTGGTTTTCGCCTTGTCCAATTGAAACCAACAAACAGAATGTAGTTTCTGTTATATGAGACACTCAACTCGAGCAAATGGGAGAAAAGACAAAGAGGCCGTCCGAGGGTGGCGCACTGATCAGTATAGCAGTGGAACGTCGCACATCATGAACTCAAAGACCGTACTTTACACATGTGACACGTACAGTACAATAATAGCAGTATACAATTTCTGAATTACTTCACTCTAGGAAAAGATAAGACTGTTTATTCAGATATAGAGCGAATTTTCTCTGACACTGGGGGATTAAATGCCTTCCACGGTCTGCACATTGCGAGTACCTTCCTCCGTCCAGTGCATCTTTGCTATCGGTGGACAGCAGCGAATAATGGCAGGCAGCGAGACAGGTTCTAAGAAGGAAATCAAGGGCAAGCGCGAAGAGAAGGAAAAGCCAAAATCGAAGCCTATATCCGAGAAAAGGCGACTTCAGAACAGACAATCTCAAAAGACATTCCGTAAGTCTCAGGACCCAAAAGCATAGAGGACGCAACTGACGTTGTTTCCAGGAGAGAAACATAGACGCCAGAAGCAACTACTTAAGAGGGTTGAAGGCTCACGGAACCTCAGACCACTTGCGGTCTCGCCAATCTCGCCATCATCCTGGAGTTATTCATCTTCATCAATGCAGTCGAGCGAGGTGGCTGATACAGCCATCACGCCGTTGTCAACTACCTATGGCGAAAACAGCGGGATGTTTATTTCCCCGGGAAACCTATACCACAAAGCCAACCACTCTCTCGATGACCTATGCTATCTATCGCCGTATGAAGAGCAACCCATGCATGTTTCTCCGCATTATCTGACTCCTCGACCGAGTCTGCCCAATATACCCAGTCCAGACTGTTGGAACTTGTCATCGTGGGCCGATCCTGCTAAGCCAGGTGAATTGAGCGAGCATCAGAGTATGATCCCTCGACACGTGTTCAAGATAGTTATTCTATATCTAACTGTCGTTCATCAGATGTGCCAATCTTAGAGGATCACCATAATGGGGAATCTAGAGAGATTCTTTCTCAATTACTTATGCAGGTGGACGACAAACTCGACCAGGATGTTGTCGAGCAGATTATACGAAGACAGCTGAATGTTTACGACGTACTTACCGCCGGTTTGAGTCTCTTGCCACCAGAGACTCCGGTTGGAGAATCAAGAGATCAGAGTAGATCGCCTTGGGGCGACGAGACAGGCAATTGCTCTCTTCAGCAGTCCCACTTGAGGAGACGAAACGTCCCCTCGTGTCCAACAGAGACACACTTATTCTTTCCCCCGGCACAGCTAGCTGGTATGCAGAATAGACTCAGCCTCATCTGCATGTCCTTTTGTGAAGCGTCCAAAATAAATGCGACCATGTTGAATATGGCTAGGGCATCTATGGGCCCGGGATGGAACGCAATCGAGCCATTCTCGGCATCTACACCAGGAAATCAATCAACCGGTGGAATACTGTCACCATTCTTCGAACCAGGGATAAGCGAAGAAGCCGCGGTGAAGATGTGCAGCGTGAGCTTTGCAAACATGAAACCGTTTCTACGCCCTGTACCCGCGCAGCTTATGAAAAGTCATTATTCCTATATCGACACGATTCCATTCCCGAGCTTCCGAGAACGAGCTATCAGTATGATCTGTACGAATCCTCCGATGATCGACGAGAAGGAGCTTTTCCATGATCTCCTGCATGATGGACTCGTATGCTGGGCGCTAGATCCCACAAAACCAAGCTCTTTTGAAACAGGCAGTGCCCCATGGGATCTTCGCAGCTGGGAGGCTCGACCGTGGTTTTTGAACAAATGGTGGATACTAGTTGGTGGGACCCAAAGCGAAATCTATAGACAAACTGTGTGGTGGCGTGAAATGCGTGGTGAAACAACCGTGGATCTGTTGCCCGGTGTTGACACGGACTTATTGCATTAACGCATCGGAGTTCTGGTTATACATGTACTATATGGGAGGAATACTTGTGTCTGTATTTATACTTTTCATTTCATCTTGGTTCATCTTTGGCGTGTCCCGTTTGAAGAGATAGGTAGTCCCAGAAGCAGTGAAGCAAACTTGTAATACTCCATATCATGTAAGAACTTGATGGCGATGGCGCTTCCTATAGACTTGGATAGTAATCAGAAAGGAAGAAATAAGGTATCTGTCATTGTTGGGTGCTAGACAGGGGGTCGGATCACACATACCACAGCAAAGGTACTTGTGGCACGGGAAAGCAATCCATATTTAGAAGGCAGCAAAAAAAGCTAGAATCATCCGCAGAGTCAGGATAAGCAGTGAAACACTAGGATCATATTTAACTCTCTCACAAAGACTAGATTTCTTTATTCCTATCCCCATGTTTGCCGTATCTTTCGTCCGGCCCTTTGATTGGTCGTTCGTTTTCTTTGTTCGAAATAATCGAGATACTTTGCGTCGGACAGGCGAAAACAAAACGAAAATGAAGGCAAAAGGGGGATTTTCATTGCTTTCAATCCTTTAGTATTAAATGCCGCTGCACTCCACAGTACTAGATCCCATCATCCATAATTCGAATCGCGCACTTGCCATACTCGATATCGCAGCCGTCACAGATCCTAGGCCACAACTATATATATCCATCCACCATGAAAATCTTCAGCTTCGTCCTCTCATTCATGTTCCTCGGAGCTGCTACCGCAGCGGTCGCTTCAAACTCGAGCAGTCAGAACGGCGACGAAGTTCTACGCAGTAATTGCGGCCAGCTCTGCACGAGCAATCAGGACTGTCGCGATGGAAAATGCCCCGTATGCTCTAGTAAAGATAACGTCTGCAGTGAGTATCCGGTCTATGTTTTTAATTTATTTCTTCCGGTCGAGAAGAATTGGGTTTCTTTAGTTTTTCTATCTTCACTTTTTGATTGAAAAGAATGCTAATCTGTGAAGGCACCAAATGATTCAGGGCCGTATGATGCATGGTTTTCCAGAGACTGTGGGAATTATCGAGATGAGATTGATGACTCGGGGAAGCTCAAAATTATAGCGAAGTGGCTTCTTCTGTCAGATTGCAGCGGAGAATGACAAAAGGAGGAAAAGCGGAGTGCGAAAGGTGCTACTATTACTTGGTTCACATCTTCGGAATGTTATTCGTCTTTATGTGGAAGAATCTGTCAGAGACTATCTACCCTCCAAATCAAGCTGAGGATATTTGCAGAATGGAAGGATATGACTCTCTTTAATCTGAAAGCAAATAAGTCACTGAACTCTCCACTTTCACATCGATGAAGCAGTGCCCGGCAGATGTAGGTATTTGACGCAGTGGAGACGACAAGAAGTACTGTTCTTTGTTCAAATTTCGAAGATGGCGCAGTTGCAGATATGAATTTGTAGCATCGATCAATGGATATTACGTAGTTTGTTGATCGAGAGGTAGATGCTCTCTGGTTGTGTATCAATTGGGCAAACATGCATGCTAGTACCGCATGAAGTTAGACTACAAGGGAATCAGTGGCAGAAAGCAAGATTGAAAAGGAAAAAGGTCAGATCCTTTAGCACTCTACAGTGTAAGTAGAATCTGAAGTGAGTGGCATTTGTTTAGAGAGATATACAGCTTCTTAATACTCTTTGTCGGGTGTTCTACGCCAGGTTTAAAGAAATGAAACCTACATCCACGCTCATCTGGAACCGTTGTCCCTTTTCATAATGCGGTGTACTTGAAGCAATATATAACCGGGCAGTAGGAGAGTTATCTATACTCCCTCGAGGGCACCGCTGGAATTACACCCATTAGCATGTCAAGATATCACAAGAGATAGAAGTGAGCGAGAACTGTGTGAGGGTACACCCAAGTGGTGGCAACCTAATGTCACTCAGCGGCAAAAAGCAAAAAGACCATTGCGGCACACTGCAGCCTATAATCAAGAGGACATGTAAGTCTGAAACTAAAGGACTTGCTAGAGCTTGGAAGAAAATAGCGCATCCACTGCATTATGCAGATTTCTACGTCAGACAGTCAATCACATGGGACCAACAGCCCCAGGTAGTGAATATCCGCCTTATCTCAAGGCATAAGGGTGGCAATGGTTAGAAGCATGACCGATTTGCGGTTGATCGGTTTAACAGAGGTGGTCAGAGTCGATAATGAAGAATGCTGCCTAGTATCAAACAGACCCCAGCTGATCACAATGATGACAATGAGATAGCAGACGTTGCCTTGTCGTCCATGAAGGAAAGTCAAGTGGCAAGAGGTACGAAAGTTGCTCCTAGAAAAGAGACAGATCGTCAGAAAGGAACAGAGAGGATCGATAGTAGTCCCTGCGGATAGCGGGAAAAACAGACTGGTACACGAGGCTGACTAGGAGGCTGAAGAGGGATTGTCATGCGGCGCTTCCTTGTGGCGGCCCCGACCAACGGCCATGGGAAGTGTACTGAAAATGGGAGCGATCCGAAATCTGGTCGAGGTGACCTGAGGCTGAGGCATGAGCAAGCCACATACCTGGTTAGGCCAAGCAATATGATCCTGCAATAAGCGTGGACATGTGGCGGCTGATGGATCAGGGTCTTGTGACAATATTCGTGGAAATGCGCATTCCCTCAATGAGCAATTGACCACGAATATTGCGAGCGAAATTGTACAATGGGCGGCTTTCTATGAAAGCACAGCAGGAGATATTCTTGGAGATATTCCTGTACCTCTGAAAGATAAGAAAGTCAGTAACTGCCAGTGAAGGGACACGTTTTCGCAGACCACAACTATATCGGCGGTATCTCAGGAGCCGCTTAGGACCAGTGTCTAGAGAAGCAATCCCATTTAGAATAGCTCATTGATGCGGCTTTGGCTGAAGTCAATCTTCCCGTGCATGCAGGAAGATGTTTTGCACCATACTGCTCGGATGGAAATGGTTTGCCGCGGTCGTGTTGAGACTCTGAGTGTAAGCGCTAGGGTATTAGAAATCGCAACGGGCCTTTCCCGAATTCCTATGATTGTTAGAAGATGATGTCGCAGGAGACCATAGCGTCGCTATGTTTAGTTCTCGAAGATCATGGAGAACCGCTGGGGCGTAGACATGAAACGTTCCACTGCCACGATTGGTAGGCCAAAGGGGGCCGTCTTGCAAATTGCGAGCTTCAGCGGTAAACCGAGTGCGCGTCAAAGAGATATGGACAGCGCGAACACTTATTTTTCGGAGACTTCTTTTGACATGCAGTCTCTTGTAAGCACTTTATGATGGGTGTGCATTTCGTGCAAAGCAGAGCCTGTCCGCAAACATCCTAGAGTATGCAGATTTCATGTATGTAGTGGCCTCTTTTCTGCATGCTAAGCAATGACTTCATGCCAGGGACGGGATCTGGGATGATTGACTCTTCTCCGCGCGCCTGTGATATCGGCCAGTTCGAGCTAAAGTCCCTGGGCTGAGGCTGAGTTCGTATTGTTGAAGTGGATTGGCGCCTGGAAAGGCCCCATCTTCCTTAGGCAACACCACACGGGATCATGGAAGGCGGGTGGAAATCGATCGCCTGAAACGGGGAGATTAGATTCTGTAGGGAGTAGATATCGGCGATATTCTTAGAAAATCGATATTTTTGTAATAGTGGTTGCGGGAGAGATCGCGGGCCAGAGAAGAGATCTAATGACAGGGATTGAATCGTTTGAAGTGCTGTCTCATCAGTCGCCGGCGGCCCGAGGCCAGCGGCAGGGGAACGAATGCGAAGTAGCGATGTTGAAGCATCTTGCAGAGCATGCAACAGGGGCGTCATCGACTCAAACTGCATTCACGGATCGAAAGGTCTTCACGGTCGACAGCAGCACTGGTTCTCGATCACTGCGGGGAAAGCAAGCTCTGGAGCGGATAATTCCACCGACATCGTGTGCGTGCGGCTAGCGAAGGGATCCTGGTGTCTGCTGGATGAGTCGATCTCCTGGACGGTCTGCTTGTCTCTGAGCGAGTCATCACCAGCTGGCTGGCTTCATGAGGGTCTCCGCTATGTAGTCACTCTCTGGCGTCATGGCCAGACAGTCGAATGATGGCATGGCTGTGAAGATACGGTCGAGTCCGCAATAGAACGGTCGGCGTATGCACCGCCAGAAGCACGGTTGGAATAGCGCAGGATGCTCATGCTTGACCGTTCTTTGAGCGTGTAGACAAATCAGAGGACGTGCAAAGGGCCGTTGTTGGTGCAGAGCTGGAGCAAAGAGTGTCGGAGAAAAGCACGCTTGACCGCTCCAGCCTCAAGCTAAGCAGTTCATGGAGGCCGCCAGAACGAACAGCCACCACGATCAATGCCATCTGTCTGTTGCTGGTCCACTCAGCGAGCTTTGTCGCTTACTTGGAGCCACCAAGACGGCCCACGAGTCAATAAGGGACCCTGATCCTGTTCGTCTGCTCTAGTGCGGATGGAGACGCCAGTCGCTGCTGGTCTGCAGAGGATTCCTCGTTGCCTGGTATCTTCCCACTGGCCGGTTGTGCTTCTATATATGAATGCCGCGTCTCGTATGGCCAATGTCTGGGGTTTAAGAAGAGCGACCCTCCCTGCCTGCACCAGGAACTTCTATACAATACATCCCAGTCTTTCTTTCACTGGATTTTCTTATATAAAACCCGTGGTCTCCATCATTGTTTCGCTGCTCATCCTCGTGACTTGGTCCTGAGTCAAGTACATACATCAATCAGTCACCAGTACCAGTTTCCGACCATAAATACTTGGACGCTGCCCCCGGCTACTATTCTTTCCTGAGGACACACAGGCTTCTTGCTGCGCTCTTCAACACCTTTTGACAGACCATCTGCTGTCTACACTCGCACAGAAGCAAACCCCTTCAGACAAAGTGTCTCCCATTCAGTACACCCACATACGCTACTACTATCCAGCTTCTCGCCAACCAGGCCAGAAGAAGACAGCCCACGAGGGTGCTCAACAACCGGGCACTGCGCCGTCTAGAGTTCACTACTATTCGCCCACAATGCCAGCCATCGAGGTCTACGAGTATCCCGTCCATCTGGAGTCGGAGCTCCGGGACGACGAGCTGTATGTCGTTTCCAGATACGAACACCATGCAGAGCACTGCGCACGCTGTGCCAACCCCCTTCGAGCCCTGAAGGAAGACAGTGGATTGTGTCAACGAGGCTACGGCCACGCGGAGCTCGTCGCAACCTATCTCTTCTCCAGACATGACAAGGTCTATTCCGTCGCTCGTGAGAGCGGCGAGCCTACCCGCGTGCACATCCCACGTGAATACAAGAGCGCCAATGCTTTGCTCCTCGCCCTTGAGCTTGGCCTAGAGCTTCGAGAGGAGAAACCCCTTCCAGTGATCACTTACGATGTTGGCAAGCCAGCTACTCCCCGTCGATCTGCTGAGGTTGAGGATCCATATCCCTGTACCGAGATTATTGAGCGATCCCCTCAGACTTTGAAAGGCTCGCGGACGATCTGCTACCGGTCCCCACGAGGCTCCCCACACCGTGGCTCTCTCTACGAGACTGATGCGGTGGACCGTCTTGAGCGTCACTCTCAAGTATACAAGACCCGCCGTTCCACCAGATACTTCCGTTGATGAGGGACGCATCCACATCTCTGGACTACTGCTACTCCGTATAAGGATTACGACTCTTGGATTTCCTATCCACAAAGATTCCCTGAATCGACCCCTCAGAGCAGGCCTCTCTGTACCCGTCGATACTTGATGTAGCTTTCGATGCTACACTACACTCCACCCGGAGGGAACACGCATTGCCTCGGTTTCAGCTTCATACTGTCGACATTGCTGCGCATTCCTGTTTCTGGAGACCAAAACAAATCTGGCACACCATGCCTTTCCCAATACCACATTACCGCTAAATCGAGGGATTTATGCATGTGGGAGAAAGCTAGCCATGATTTCATTTCGCCGGCAACTTGCCTTTGAGCCTTTCACAGACAATACGGCGTCGGTGGTAATGATGCGCGAGAGCGCATCACAAATGCGAGAGCGCATCATTACCACCATGGATTGGACCCACGGGTTCGAAAAATGACTACAAAAAAAGATTTTTTTCTTTGATTGATACGAAAATTATCATATCACAGAGATTTCCCTCTCCACCAAAAGAGAGAACAAAAAAACAAAATGAGCCAAATGACTCACCACACACACTCCCTTGTCATGTTCATTTTCCTTCTATCTCCTACTATGTATGTACTACACTTCGCGGAGGGCCGATCAGTGGATGCATACTACATAAAGTACGCTACTACCACCAAGACAAGACGGGACCCTTCCCGCATGGGCCAGTTCTTTCTGATAGGAATATTATTGGTTTCTATATACCCTCCTTCATGCAGAGTAAACAATACTAGCAAGTTTAGATTCCTACCGAATCAACTCAAATCCAGTCCCAATCAAAATACCTTCCATCCCGCGATTTAGCTGCATACACTTAAGACATGATTAGCCGTCCCAATCTGTCCCCATGACTCAGCAAAACACTGGGAAACGATAAAAAACTTGGTAATTCCTATAGTCGACGATGTCTTCTCCAACACCACCATCTCAGATATATGTCTCGTGGTTCGTATATCGGAAGAGAATCGAGTGTAGATCTATTATGAATATATCGCATGACAATATGCATGCATGCATGGATATAATGAGCGACAGACAGACAGACAGGCACACAGGTACTGGATGCATTAAATCATGTAGAGTTAAAACACTACGCTCCAACAACCCAACCTCATTCCTGTTGCACTACTGTAGAATCCTCGGGAGGATGGCTCGTGCACCAGGCTATCTATTATCTACCCATGATATCCATCTAACTCTCATTATCCGCCTGCATTAGAGTAGTATGTATGCGGCCCGCGGGGGAGGGAGGCACTAGGCAGACAGGATACGATAGAGTCAGACTAAAACCCTTGCTTTTTACCAGTCATCATGAAGGAGGGGAGATTATCCCGCACGTGGGTACAAATATCTTTTCTCTCTTGTTCCCTGCTGCAGTGTATGCACAATCCGCACATATACGACCTGTCATCTTTGCGTTGTGGATCTGTGGCTGTGCGTGGGAATGGGGTAGTAGATAGCCTGTCCGTGAGTTTAAGGATTTGAATGTATCTGCCTGGGGAAAAGAGGCTAAGATTTATTTGTTATATTCGACTGCCCCCGGTTTAGTGTAAGTAAGTAAGTAGTAGTAGTTATCGGGGGAGAAAAGAACTTTCCCTAATTCGGAACTGCCTGAAGTGAAGGTTGGAACCTTGGAAGTTACCTACCTTTCTCGCTCTGTTCGCTTCAACATTCACTACCCTTTATTCTGCAGCCTGGAGCAGCTCATTCACGAAAAAGATATTCGAGGATAAATCCATCCCTGATAGTGGGGGACAACCCATTAAAAAAAACCACCATCACCTAGATCTATACAAGATAAATCAATTCCGAGCAACCACAAGAAATTATTAATACATCATTATTTGTTCCTTTTTATCAAATTCTTTTACGAGATTAAAAATACTAGCAGAGTCCAAGAAATGCAGCAACAGACCAGAAATTCAAATCGTTCACCATCACCTATCCGCAGGAATATATCACGCAGTTCAGAATCAAATGCCGATTACGACCCAACTTATGGGATTCGATCCGGCCATAATTTCGAAACACGACAAAAATTCACTCGGTTTCTAGAGGAGTCCTACAAGAGGTTTCAAAGCTCCGGCGGGCCACAGTATGTTATGGCTAGGGGCATTAACAAAAAAGCCCTCGACTGGCTGGACAGTCGCCGCCGCACACTCCCACCCATGCGGGTATCTCACGATGAAATTGAGGAGAAACTCATTATAAAACTCGTCTCACGTCAGCATGAGGCTCTACACCGTATATTTATGCATTTCGTGTGTAAGGAACTTGAGAATATGGGAGTTAAGATGCTTGACGACTTTTGGCTCGAAGGTGCTGGTCGTGAGGAAGGCAGACAGTCGCGAAAAAAGGAGCCGGATGATTCATTCAAACCTCTTCATACTCGTCCCAAATTCGAAGACTCACCGACGTTTGTCATTGAGGCTGGTTTAAATGGAACTCTTAATAAACTTCGCAACGACGCCTTTTACTGGTTAACACAACCCAGCCAGCGTGTTAGGATTGTTGTGCTTATACATGGCTTCACAGAACGCAAGGTCATCACTATAGAGGTATGGCAATTTCTTGATAATCCACGGCCGCGTCGAGCAAGATCTGCAGCTAGATCTAGAAGACCTACGAAAACGCAAACTTTAACAATCAGGAAGCGGGATAATAGCCCGCCCATTGTAACTGGTGCACCGCTTCTGCTTCCAGTCGATGCTCTCTTCGAAATTGTCCCGCCTTCGGTCACTGAAAATGCCGTTTCACTTTCTGCACAGATCCTCGAAATGTATGCAGGTCCAATATTCAATTCCATGCAATAACTATGTACGGATATATCCAATGCTTTTCAAAGTCGTCTATGATAAATTCCAGATTTTGAGGCGATAAGGGGCATACTTTTTCGTCTCTAAGTAAGCGATTTTCTCTTCGTACATAACTTGGAGCGTTGGAGCAATTCTCCGCAACTAAGAATGACCGACCTGGAAACTAAGATTCTGCTGATATGATCACAACTTCCTCTACCATGAAAGGCATCACTATCCCCGAAGTCTGGCAATACGGCGACGGACCTGGCAAGGAACCAAACCCTACGCCGGGACATCCGGACACGGATACATTCGATACACGGAAGCTAGTAAACGTACTCTGGGACCCAGTTATTTATGGTTACCCACCAGAGTACGTGAAACTATGCGACGCATGGGTATACGTGGTCGTTAAAACGATGTCGCTAGCCATTCGAGCATATTATACTATCCACGCTAAAGATAAATGGCCAGCTCAGCAAGACCGCAGAGATACCTTGCAATTAATCTGATACTTTCCTTACATAGTCTCTAGGAGCTTATACTATGTAACTAGCCAGCTGTATACAGATAGATATAGAATGATTCCCATCACGCTTAACTACTACACATGCTGATATATATCTATACTGCACATAGATGGTACCAGCACATCATAGGATTACAAGACTATTTCCAATAGCAGAGATACATCACAAAGAAATGGAAATCCGTGAAGTAGCTCCCAGAATAACCCAACGTAGGCGGTCAGAGATAATGATGGCAATAACAAGAATTGACTCTGTTGTGATAAACAACACCTCGCTTAGCGGTGAACTCCGTGCTTCTGAACAGTGAAATTCACGCACAGTGTTGTCCTTCTCGTTCGATCCTACAGAGATGAGACCTTAGCCAGCTGAGGTCCGTTCATCGTTCCTAGGTCGTCAGACTGTGTATAGAGCAGTTCTCACGCGTTCGAAGTTGGTCGATATCGAAACATCTCTCCAGCCCGTTGCCAGGTAGGGAAAAATATCTCCTTTTTGGCGTTGTTCCCCATAAACCACAATAATCAGTTTGTTTTGTGTCTGACATATTCGGTTATTCCCGTATATTAGGCAATTTTAAGGCAAAATTTGCTGCCATGGTCACTGAGGGCCATAGACTCAGGGGAACGATGCCTTCTAATCCCCGTCTAGATGGAACAACCGAGATCGATGAGCTTTGCCGCTACCTTCGCTCTCTCGTGGTCCTGGAAAACATAGACGAGCTTTTGGAGGAGCGTTTCGATGATGTTCCCCCCGAGTTCGAACCTGCTCTTTTGTCTTGCATGCGGAATCAGTCAAACTCCATTGATAGCGACGATGAGGACGAGTCTCTTGGACTCAGCGGCGTCCCAGTCAGTGCTGTCAACGGAGACCCCGCACGGATCTCGCGTCGCAGGAGAGTTGATGAGGAACGTCATCATGCTTTGGAAGCTGCCGAGCTCGAGCTTCGCGAGTCTGGGGATTTGTCTCAAACTCCACGTGAGTATCTTATCAACGGACGGACCGTCGATTGGGTGCGTAGCTTCTACGAGTCACCCCCTGAAGACCCAGAGCAGTACGACGTGACCCAGAGCACCACGAGTCCGGTTCCTTTGGGATTGCTTCATGGTTATGACCCTGAAGAATACGAGAATGAATCCCCGCCCCAGGTCCAATACATGGTGCATAATCGACGCTGGGGCCTCCGCGATGTCGATGTCATACCAACTATCGAGGAGGAAACTTCTGCTGACATCCAGATTGCTGAGGACGGGAAAATCAAAGAGGAAAGCGATCAAATGGATTGGAAAGCAGACCTTTCTAACGAGAGTGTCGATGATGCAGACCGGGAGAGTAACGGAGATGCTGAGGTTCCGCCCGACATGCGCATCACCAGGAGTGGCCGTACGTACCATACCCGCGAGGCGCCATCTCCAGATAGCCGTCAGCCGGGCAGAGCGCGCCGTCGTCCCGAGGCTGCGAGGGCCGCCACGAACAAAGGCAATCAAAGGAACAAGAGAAAGACTGCGAAGGGGAACGAGCAGGCACCGAAAACTAGAAAGCGTCAGCGATCCAACAGTGATGACGACGGAAGGTCTGAGGACCAACAAGGTAGCTCAAAGAGACAGCGGCCACTGAGACGCAGCAGTCGACTCGCAGAGGCAGGAAAGGCATCTTCCGTCTAATTATGTCTCAATATGGCCACGGTAGTTTGGACCTTCTTGTAAAGACCGAAGGATAGAGCCTTGAATTTCATTTTCACGGTTGTGGGGGCCTTCTTGAGACAGCTGTTGGCAGGTCAATATTTTCTTTGGCGTTTTCCAACGGATGGTCGGCATGTATGTTTGCGAATTCCAAATGTGCTTCAGAGGGTAAACAATGGTGGTTGACAAGATTCGTCCCACATGATTAATGTATTCAGCTTGCCCGTCTCGATTAGGGGGCGGATGTAAAGATCAGATAGCTCATGCGAATGAGACCTGCTATCCTCAAGAGTGACACATTATATAATGTATATTTTATATGTAGGGAGAATCAGTTGATACGACAAAAGCAAGCAGCAATTCTCGCGAAGGAATAAACCACGGCGTCTGCAGAGACTTGAACACAATGCCAACCGTCATTGATGTAGTCAGAAGAGGATTAAAGCAACTCATGTTATATGCACGAAGAACACCGAAATAAAAATGAACCAGCTTTGCTATCCCCAAAAATAACATTGTGCCGTAGTGACAGATCATTTGAGGCGTAGTTCAGTTTACACGTTAATCTGTTCGGAGAGAGGTAGTTGCTGATGTGGATATAAGATATCAATCTAGTAGCAATATGTATACTTCTGCGGCGCAGATACAAGGAGAAGCTGTGGCTGGTGTGCCGCCTTCGAGATCGATCAAGTGCGGTTGGATTGGTCGCCTGACGTAAAAACTCATACTACCAGATGGCCTGTCGATGATCATATTACCGCATCGGTTAACTCGCAGCACCCAGGACTGGTCGATCGATCCGAAAGTCTGTTCCGCGTTTTAAATGGGGTGTAGTGTCTCATCCGAAGGAAAGCTTTTGTAAGACAAGATTGGCGGTCATTCATAATGATTTCCTCCATCATCTGATGAATTTGCGGATCGTCTCGACATCTCGAGTTGGACGCGGGTAACAGTGTGGTCAGAATGGGTCATGTGACCATCCAATATGTACCTGCTGCTGTCCTCGTAAACTGACGGATTGACGGATTGTTGCGTTAACGGATCAGCGTGCGCCTAGCAGGTAATGAACGGTAACTGCGAATGTATCTAGATCTAGTTCTCGCAGATAGCTGCAGAGGACTAGGTGCACAGTTCTGGGCCTCTTGAAGGTTGATGTAAATCCCGGCTCATAGTTGATAACTGAGTCATGAGACTACCTCCCGCTCTTGGAGCATATCCCAGGTTGGTATCTTCACAAGTTCATGTGTAGAGTCTGGACTATTACCAGCCCTCCATCGCCCGGCCTCCTTTTTCTTCGCGACATAGTCCTTACATTGCCGATCAATAATGCTCCAGTCGACGACTTTCGATTCCGACAGCACGCCATCTGCATTGAGTCTCTCAATCGCGCTTCTCACCCATGATATGCAATTCCAGTCTGGGCTTTCCTGAATGATGGGGACGCCTCGTAAGCTTGCATCGACACTTGAAGGGTCAGCTATCTTGGCGATCAATACGCGAATCAAAAGACGATATCGAGTGTCAGATTCTCCGAGTCTGGACGCTTCGAAAACCCAGGGTTGCCCTGATACACCCGGTCTAATTGTGTTCTTAACGTGGTACTGCACAGCATCATAGGGATCCTCGTCGCTTTTGGGCCCGACCAAGAGAGCCCAATGGTAGCTGTCGGGAGGCGCCTGTCCAGATCGAAAATAGAGAGACACGTAGAGACGTGGTTTGTTAAACCGCATACTGAAAATAGAAACAGGTCTAATGTTTTGATGCTGCTATACTGCAGAGGGATACGAAGAATAACAGCGTTGAGGTACCATGCAGACGTGGTCAAAATGTACCTAAGGTGACAGCAAAGTGGGTCAGGACGAAGCAGGAACATAAATAGTTCTGAGACAATGCTTCAAGCAAACGACGACAGTTCTGATCAAAGGCGCATAATGAAGCAAAAGCAAGGCTGGATGTTGCTTTAGTGCGGTAGCCTATTGATAAATTCGAGACATCTGGACCGTACATACATACAGAACCTTGGCCATGTATCGTTGGGTTAGTGAGTGAAGGCGTTGTGAGTTATTGATGCCGCTTTGCGTACAGACCTCTGAAGCAGCGGGCTAGATCAGATCCCAAAACATCAGAATAATGCGGGAGTTTGTCCAGAAAATAGAGACGTAAATCAAGCTCGACAACGAGAGATGTTGAAGTTGGGAGTTCCTGGCCAAGGGAGCAAGTCGACCACTCGGCCTCGACCGTCTGGTCCGCAGCTAACCTAACCATATCTGGCAGTGTATAGCCACGTGACTTCATCTCGCGATGAACTTCTTTGGCCGCGGAGCCGGAGAGCTTTCGGAGCGACAAGAAACATTTTGCGCCTTGCGCTACGCAACAGACAATTCGTCGAGCTGAGAATTCATATCTCTCCTGAGATACCTGCTCAGCGCCTTCGCTTCAGTCTATTCGACGGGCCTGTTGAGTCGGGGACTTCTGGATTCACTTGGAGGTTTCAACGAAATCGCTTTTCGGGGCTCGGCCTCAATCCGTCCTGTCCTCTCAGATCAATTCACATTCACACTAATCACAATGGCGAAGAAAGGTTTGTATATTTCCAGCCAGAACTGGCTTCCTTGTCTAGGATATTGTCGGCCTGCAAGTCCAGCTGGCTCTCCTCATTTTCCATCTTAGCGATGCGGAGACTGACATGCTTCTTTTTCTGTATATAGCTAAGTCGCGCACTGTCACCGTCCGCCTGATCTCCATGGCAATGACTGGCTTCTACCGAACAATGATCCGACCGCGTACACATCGTCCACTGAGCATGTTGAAATACGATCCGGTCGTGAAGAAGAAGGTGCTCTTCCTCGAGGCGACAAAGGGAGGAAAGGCAAAATAAACGAGCTTGTGGTGTATGGATAGTTAGTCGGCCAATTGGGTGAAGACATTAAGCCAGGATGGGACGCATAAACCGCAGCCATTCTTGAGGAAATGGGCGAGTTGATCTTCCCTGTCTATTGTCAGTACCCTTGACCGAGTTCTCCGTTTCTCGAGATGGATTGGGTATTCACCCAAAGTGATTTATTGTACATTGTACGACTACGGCTGTGAGAGCGACGGATCATCTCCTTCGAAGAGTCGTGCGTGTGCCGCATTAAGAAGTCTCATCCCTGACTCTATATAAAGGTTGGCGTTAATAGCAATGGATATTGATATTTCTATGTTTAAATACTGCATATTCTTCTAAACATGGCTCCTATGGTTATTATTCATCCTTGAATGAAACATCCGCTTCTCCCTGCTACTGACGCACATAACTCTACATATTAGCACATTGAATATTCGATATTGCGTCTCCTTTTCAACCCATGGGTCTGACTGTCACTTTGAAGCCTGGATTTCCCGATTGAAACGGTCACCGTAATACTCTCCTTCTTCTTATCAGTTTCCTCGTGGCAATCTATGGACGTCTTAGCTTACCTCTAGACCTGCGACGACCACGAGTGGTGCTGCGCGTCGCCGGGAGATGGTGTTGGTGGTCTCTCCGTTTAGGACGTTGGCTTCCGGAAGCCGAGATGAGAGGACTAGCACCATTATCAAAGTACCCAGAGACGGTTGGTGTGTCCGTAACGGATAGAGAGTCTGCTACAGAGGTCCCATATCGTTTTGCTCTTTTGTTTCTTGGACGCTCTGGCGTTTTTATTGCGGCACCTTTCTGGATGTTGCTCTCCATTAATGTAGTAGACCCTTTCAGAATGCCTTTCGGCGCTTCTCCGCGCTTGATCCGATAATTTGCTTCTGACTGGTTATGGATAGGAGATTCGCCATTCCGGCTCGCGGAAACAGAAGGCGAGTCCACGCTGGTGAGGCTGTCTTGTGTTAGCTGTCCTCTAGATTTCCGTTTGATACCAGTCTTTTTGGTAGCAGCTGGGTCAAGTCTAGACTTCGTCTCTCCATCTCCTTTGAGATTAGGTGCATTCTGCTCTTCTCTCTTCGGCATTTGTTTTCCTGCTACATGATGGTGATCGAGGGCCGCAGCACTTTTGTCTGGCATATGCTTCACAGTTATTTCCTTTTCGGCATCGTGGGCGGATTTTGCGGTGCTGATTTCCTTTCCGGCGGCCAATGTGTAATGCCCCTCCTTTTCTGATAAACCTTCCTGCGGCGTAGAAGGTAACTGGATTCTGATATCGCTCAAGCTCTCGCTTGGTGAACAAGGGACATGAGTGATCGCATTTTGAACATGGGAGAAAGGAACTATGGAGCTTGGAAGACGTCTAGAAGAGCCGTCAGCCGGGCCGCTGGCAGATACTTGGGCTTGAAATGTCACATGTGGGCTCGGAGACGTATGGCCACTCGCATGGACACTTTCAGACCGATAAACGACCTCTGTGCGGACAAACTCCCTGGACTGTATATCTGTGGCCTCGTTCAGTATTTTTATCATGCACTATTCAGAACAGTCAGGCGAGATTCTTTATCTTACCGTTGGAAATATGGCGAACTTTCTCCTGTCGTGTATTCGGTGTTTTTTGTACTCGAGTATCGAGCATCTCGTTCAACCGCCCCTCAATGATCGGCCATGAGACCTGAGGAGGATTCCCGGACTCGATGATACCCAATTTCTGGAGGACTAATTCTCCTTCCTTCTTCCATGATTCCGATTCTTGGATCCTGTGGAGAAGTGAATGCATCTCTGATTTGGCCCTGGCCTTTCCCGACTCGAGTGCACTTTTCGCCGATTCTGCAGTAACGAGTCTTTCTGATACGGACCTAATTTCACCCTGTGCCCCTGATAGTTGTCCTTCTAGGACATCAATTCTTTTCTGTAGTTCCTCAGAATTCTCCACAGGCCTTCCTTCTGTACCTGCACCGGCTTCTTGCCCTGGCGTTCCTTGTTGCCTATACTCCCCTAGTTCCGTCTCTAGTGATACGGCTCGAGCCTCACATTCAGCTAGTCTGTGCTGCAGATATCGTATATCTTCCTCCCTTGCAGTGAGCTACATAATTGTCAGTAAGGCCCATCCGTCTGCGTTGGGGAAAACCGACATTTTCCTCCATCTCTCTTTGTTTCACGCTTGATTTATCTTCTGATTGGCACTAAACAAATCAGTCTATCTTCGCTTCTGACTGAACGTCCAACTTACAATGGTAGCTTTCAACTCGCTGATTGTTTGCTCCAGCTTTTGTGCACTCGTCTGTAGAGCAGTCTTCTCCTTTTGTGCTCGATGGAGTTGCTGCTCAAACTGAGCCTTGATTTTGTCTCGTGCTATAATACTTGCTCTCCCCAGTTCTTCGCGAATTTTTGCTTCCATGTGGCACATCTCATCTTTCAAAGTCGCCTTCTCACGTTCGAGTTGTTCAAGGCGCTCCTCAGCATTTGCTGTGTTCAATCTCGTCTCAACTAACTCCTGCTGCAAAGTTTCTATCTGAGATTCCTTGTCCTTTATCGATTCAAGCGCTTCTGTAAGAGCAGCAGACGTGGTTTGAAGCTGAATCTGGAGTTCTGGTACCGTGGGAAACATATCCTCTCTGCTTTTGATAGCGGCATCGTTCATCTCCCTCTCGCAGTTTGCAAGGCTTTCCTTTAGTCTCATCGACTCTCCTGTCAGCTCAGTCTCTCTTAGTTGAAGCTCCTTTGTTATCTCTCGAAGCTTTAGAACAGTCTCTTCTGATGTTTTCAGTTTCTCTTCAAGTCTTCCTTGACGTTCCCGTGCATCTGCAAATTCATGCGACGTAATGAGAGAAGAAGACATGACATCTTCCACTCTTTGTAGCTGTCCATGCATCTCAGTTCTGATCACATCCTGTATTTCCTTAGTAATGTCGAGATTTCCAACCGAATTGGTCACAAGCGCCTCTAGACTATGAAATGTAAGAGCAAGTCATCACCTGAGGATCTCATGTATTACCTTGATATCTGAGTAGCAAGTGATTGGTTCAGGTCTCGAATGTCAGACTTCTCTACTGGATTCTTCTGAAGCAGGACGTTCACTGATTCTAAACATTCTTGTAGCACGGGAGGTATGGCGGACTGAAGGATATCCTGCGAAGATTCCCACCTTTGCTTCACATGCTCAATGACAGTATCTAGTCTACCTAGAACCTGCGATTGCATGTCTTTCGTGAACTTCAGCTGAAGGCTATGCTCATTTGCTGAAGATTGTATATATCGTTCAAGCTTCGAGACGCGCCTCTGCTCATAAAGGAGCCGGTCATGGTAATAGGATGTCTTATCCTGTGCTGAACGTAAAGCCTGCGTCATAACATTGAAGTCTGCTGTAATTGCGGCGACATGTGCGGGCTGCTGACTGACTTTGCGGGAAGCTTGATCAATGTTCACTTTTATTTCATCAAGGCACTTTACTAACTCGCTTTTCTCTTGGAGTAGTCCCGCTTCTGTTCTCTTAAGGTCATTCGCCTCGTCTCGCAGAATCTTGAACTCCTTTCCCAGGCCGTTGAGGACACGTCTTAACTTGGAGAGTTTCATTTTCCAATGTTCCGACTGGCGTTTCCTAGTGTCGATTTCTATTTCCTGCTCTTCTTGTCTGGAACGACACTGCTCCATCTGGGCCCTCAACGACTGGTTCTCCTCGCTTAGCTCAACTATATCTGATTTCATTTGCTCTCTTAAAGCAGAATTACTTGCTTCCTGCTCCTCTCTTTGACGAAGTCTCTGGATCAGAAGGTAGAAGAGATCTTCTTCCGACGGCCGTGAGTCGTCGTTCGAGAGAATAGGAGATTCCCGCCGTGAACCTCCGACTCTAGATCGCTGCTTCTTTCGATTCTTAGTAACTTTGTATTTTCGAGTCGTCAATGGTGTTGGCAGCACTGGCCCACCAGCGGTCTCGTACTCGCGAGTATGGGTTTTTGAAATGCATTGTTTCTCACTTCTAATAGACTCCTGTCATATAAAGTCAGTCTTTATTCGCGAGCGGGATCCATAAAGACCCAGAAAATCCAAAGTTCCGCTATCAGCGTCTATGGTTCTTCCAGATATGGCTTGCATGAGCTGTTCTCCGAATTGTCCGGAAAGGAACCATCCTGCTGACACTTACCGTCTGGTCTTGAGGATCGGTCGCTAGGCAGTATTATATTAGTCTCAGACTCTTATTTATAGACTGTAAACTTACTTGAATGTCCCTGTTCCCCGGGTGCATCATCACCATTAGCCCCGGGTCTTTCTTGTGTCAAGCCACCATTTCCCGTAGCGATCAAAGCTTGGTGCTCTGGTGCACTGTATTCGCGAGCTTGATCAGGCCGTTCTAAAAGTCCATCGGGATTTGGTGATCCATAACTTGCTGCCCTATTATTGTGTATTATCACTTGGGGATAGGGCATTCGGTTTGGGGCGGCTTGACTTTCAACCAGTCAACACAGATTCAAATGTAACGGACCATATACGTACTCATTTCCAGTAGACACGTTTTCGTCTTCCAAAGCTAGGGGCTTCTGTCTCTGTCTTTCTGTTCCGGGATTACTACGCTTCGAGACGTTGGACTGTCGCCCTGGTGGTGGACGGAACGAGAAGGTAACATCTGTCTGACTAGGGTTTGCATAACCGAAGTCTAGCACGGTTGATCCAGATCTGGAAGGACGCTGAATTGTAAAGGGCGTTTCCTTCTTCGCTCCTGATGGCGTAGCTGTGAATGGCACCGTGTTCTTCTCGATAATTTTCTTTGATGTTGGGGATAGTGCATCATCACCGACTTGCGACATATGAAATAGTAGTTCATCCTCTTCGGAATAAGCCAGTTGAGATACTGAATTATCCTCACTCTGGATAGCAGGGCGATTACCGGCTAACGATGATTCTGATATCGCCTCTTTGCGGACTGAAGACTCCATTTCCCAGATATCACCTACTAGGTACACTAGGAATGGATAGAATTGCCTTAAATGAGCCGACGCGATCCGGCCTGAGATGAAACCAAATAGCTCGTGAACATGGACAACTGGCTCGAGATATTTGTCTGGACAGAATGCAACGATCAAGAAAAACAAGAACCTCTCGGGCTCCTTTTAAGGGAGATCCAATATTTAGACAATATCAGTTGAAATTTAGAGACCAAGGCCGTGGCTTTGCCTGCTCTGTTGTGAGGACTCGATGAGAGAACCCTCTGGATAAAAGAGCAGAGGTGGACGCAGGAGGTGGCAGGGCGGGCATACATGATCTAGAAAAGGAAGGTACCCACTAACATTTGCCCACCGGGCTCGCAGGCGCCCTTACTACTTGTATTACACCATGAGGCAGGAGTATCTATCCTGGTGCACTAAGACGCTTATTATTAGAGAGGAAAGCCCAGACAAATTCTGTATATTGCACCGCTACACTCATCAACAGACTCGATATATCCCACCTTGTCTAGTAAATGCACTTCTCGTATGGTATCACGTAACCCAATACATCCGTTACCCAGGTTGTAACGCTGAACCCACGATATTGCTCTCTTTCTCTAGGGTGTGAGAACAGAAAGGCCGATTTTATTGGCAGAGGCACGGTGGACAAAGCGTAACAAAGTCTGAATAAAGATCCAAACTTGGCATCTTGTTATGATGCTTCCCATTGTCGAGGATCGGGGCCAGACGTATTTAACTAATCGCCATCCAAGCACGCTGAAATCGCAGGACACCTTTGCGGTACCAAAGGCTAGAAAGCCACGTCTAAACTTCTCTCCTTGAGAGGTATTAGTACAGATTGTCGGTTTGGGAAATGGAGTAGTAACCTACCAAGTAGGCTCGGGATTTTCAACAGCGGGTGTGCGGATAGCATTCCTATCGCCGAAAGGATTATTTTCGTCGTCACTATCGTCAGGCTCCGACTCCGTCTGTGTCTCGCTACGACCACCTGGAGAGTTCCGGAAGGCAGATGAAGAGGTGGTATTAAAGGATAGACTAGTAGGCCTGGGCGGCCGGGGCGGTGCTTTGTCGAAGACCAATCCTGCAAACCCTTCGCTAAGATCCCTGTCGCGCGTCGGCGAGTAGCTACTTCTCGTAGGCGATGAATATCCCTCGAGAGCGCCATTCTCATCACTGTCCGAATCATAGTCAACGCTCTTGTCCAGGACCTCAAAGGCCATTAGCGCAGTGACAAGCTCTTCGTTGGCATGGATGAGACCTCCCAGAAACTCCTCGCTCTCGACGTGCTGGATGTAGCGCAATATTTGTCGTCTAAGTTGCTTGCATAACTCAAAGCGGTTCATCACTTCGGGGTCATCGCTCACTCGCTGACTTTCGCGATCCACCAGTCTAAGAGCGTTCAATAGGTTTGTACCGGCTACTGACGCGGCAGCGATCGTCTGCAGAATCTCAGGTTTCTCCTTTTCGAGGTTGAACGGCCGGCCTCTGGTGTTCCTTTTGTCCTTCTTCTTCGAAGAGCTCAATAGACTGGATTTGCGTGTGTGTGAAGACGAGGTCGGTTTCGGACTAGTGAGTATCGTTGATGGTCCGTCTCCAGCGGAGACAGATACAGAATGACCCATTGGTGGTTCATCTCCTGTCTCCCTCAGGACTTTCGCTTGCGCCTGGCGTGCGGGTTGTTTACGCTGCGGCAGCTGCTTATAGAGAGCTGCCACCCGCTCCATACCTGGAGTGTTTTTGTAGGCGGCGGCCCATTGCGCAAACAGTTGCTTGCATTTCGCTTTAACCTCGACGTCCGAAAGAGAATCCGTAGCAGCGATGCGCAGTCTTTCGAGCAGAGGTTCATCTGCAAAGCCACGCAGGAACCGTTCTCCTGCATTCTGGATTAGAAAATCTAGGATAGTAAGAGCCCGTAGTTGTCGATGAACATTTCCGTACTTGCTGTTTCTCCAAGTTAACGATTTGGCGCAGCATTCCAGAGCACCAGGGGAACTCACAGCTTCTTGCGGAGAGCTCTACTCGCCTCCGTCGGACCGCTGCTTTGTAGACGCACTACTTCGATGAGATCGACAATTCCACTAGAGTCATCAACCTCATATTGCTCGCTAGTGAGACGTTCAATCTGCACTGTTATAGCGGAGTACGGTTTCTGGGAGAGTAGGTATTAGTCATGGTCCTGTGTATGTATACGCAGTGAATATAGAAAGCGGAAATCGCAGTTGCAGGATGAGTTCGTCTTCAAGAGTGAGATACAAGCAGGGCTGATGTACAACACACCCTGTTTTTGGTGTTTTAGGGACTGAACTGGTGGTATCAATCACACGGATAGAAATTCTGTGATGGGACTCACCGATCCTGAGAACATGATTGATAACTAACGTGCCGGCGTTCGTTACCGACTAATATTATAATGTCGTACAATTGTTCAAGTAAATTATTCGAGAATCGCCCTTATAACAGGAAGATAGCAGGATATCGCGATAGATCCGATATGATTCGAATTATAACTTTGGCTTCTGTGACCCAGTTCACAGACACTGGTATATGGAAGCAGATCCAGTGATATGTAAATGACTGCAAAGTTGTAACTTTGATAATGGATGTGTCAAGAGTCAGAACCCATTCAGTCACTCGTGCATGTCAAGCGTTCTTGGCGTGTAGACGAAGCCGCGCTGAGGTGGTGTGCAAAGTGTCACTTCTCAAAAGGGAATGACAGTAGGCAAGCCTTTCCAATCACCACATAAAGGCCTCTCACTGAGTGTATATACACCGTGGGACTTTAGCGGACGTGAAAGTACAATAGAGGATGAAACACAGATGAGTTGATATCAACCACTTGGACAAAGCGTGCTCGTGACTGCCCCTCTCCAGTAACCAGTTCCTGATGGCCGGCTTGGAGAGGCTTAGGGCGGGGCCGATGGCCCGGTATCGTGACGTCTCCCACTCGAACGGTAAGTTACAGATAGACAGGTAGGCAATTATTATTTACATGTACTGTACCAACTGACTACCTACCTATATTACTGCTTCTTCGAAAACAAGAGCCATTGATTCTCAGTGTATATCCCCAGTTTTGTCCATCCTTCAATTTTTAAGCTACATGTCAGCCCGCTCCGCGCGTACCAAGCCATCTTCACGCAAGGGAAACAACGTTGTTGCCAAGTTAGTTATCTGCTCCACTCTCATCCTGGCTCTAAGCGTTCTCATTAGGTTCCGTTCTCGCCTGGGCCTTTTCTCATCCCACTTCCCCTCCTCTACTCCTACAATACAAATCGCAAAGATGTCGTACCAGAAAGAGCTTCGTGTGGCCGAACTCGCGGTCCAGCGAGCGACACTCCTAACCCAAAAAGTCTTCCACGAGAAGGCCAAGGGTACTCTGTCCAAGGATGACAAGTCGCCAGTCACCAAAGGCGATTTCGGTGCGCAAGCCCTGATCATTCAGGCTATCCGCAAGAACTTCCCAGACGACGAGATCGTTGCTGAAGAGGAGGCCAGTGAATTGCGCCAGGACAAGGCCTTGAGTGCCGAGATCTGGGACCTGGTCAAGGACATCAAGTTGGAGGATGCTGAGAGCGACAGTCTGCTGGGCGGACCGTTGCCCAGCGAAGAGGCCATGCTGGATATTATTGACCAGGGAAAGAGTGCAGGTGGACCGAAGGGCCGCATCTGGGCCTTGGACCCCATTGATGGCACCAAGGGTTTTCTGAGAGGAGGCCAGTATGCGGTCTGCCTCGGTCTCATCGAGGATGGAGACGTCAAGGTTGGAGCAATTGGCTGTCCCAATCTCCCCGTTGATGATACTGCGCCGCTTTCTGCCGATATTGGTGGACAGCAGACCGACGACTCCGGAAAGGGAGTCCTCTTTGCTGCTGTGAAGGGTGCCGGTGCAACCAGCCGACCACTATCAGACGGGGCTCTCTCTCCTAGCAAGCCCATTTCCATGAGGCCTGTCCCTGATATTTCGCACGCTGTCTTCTGTGAGGGAGTCGAAGCCGGACACTCCTCCCAGGGTGACAATGCTGCTGTGGCTCAGCGCCTGGGAATCACCTCACCGAGTGTGCGACTGGACTCGCAAGCGAAGTATTGCTCCATCGCCAGAGGAGCGGGAGATATCTATCTACGTCTGCCAGTCAGACAGGACTACCAGGAAAAAATTTGGGACCACGCAGCTGGGGACCTCATTGTCCGCGAGGCCGGTGGCAAGGTGACGGACATCCATGGCAAGCCCCTCGACTTCAGCAAAGGCAGGACCTTGGCTGTAAACAAAGGAGTCGTCGCCGCTCCAAAGGCCATTCAGGATCAAGTTATCGATGCAGTGCAGGTGGTCCTCAAGCTGAAATAGATTATCTCGGAGCGGTTACTTGGTCGATGGCGTGTAAATACCCTCTAAAAGTACATTGATACCAATGAACAGAAGAAAACCATGCTTAGATAGATATACATGCGCCAGAAAATAGACAAAATAATAAGATCATTTGATCTTCTTGGCCTTCAAGCGGATTGTCTCCCCATTCACGAAAATACCCTTTCCCTTGTACGGTTCAGGCTTCCTCCAGGCTCTGATCTCTGCCGCAAACTGTGTAACAACTTCCTTGTCTACACCTTCCAGCAGAATGCGCGTCGGCTGCGGCGTACTGGCTTTCACGCCCTTCGGGATAGGCAATTCAATTGGGTGAGAGAATCCAACTTTGAGGGAGACGAATTGCTGGCCAGGGTATTCGGCAGTAACGGTTGTAGCTGTCGATTCAATGGAAGCTCTGTAACCCACACCAACCAAACTCAGAATGCAGACATGGCCTTCTGAGACACCGAGAATGTAGTTTTGCAAATGTGCTCGAATTGTCCCTATTCATTAAAGCTGTCAGAGCCGGGCACCGGAGCAATGCAGATTGGCAACGTACCCCACATAGCACGTTGATGAGCGATAGAAGGGTCTGCAACAGTAAGGGAAGCTTTCTTCTGTGCTTCGTCATGGGCAACATTGAGGAAGGTCGGAATCTTAAGAGTCATCTCGCCTGGCGTAGCATAACGCGTTAGTAACTGGAGAGCTCCGAGGACAGCATGAGCAGCATACCTAGCGGCCCCTTCACCTGGACTGCGGTCTTAGGGATATCCTTCGCTGATCTTCCGCGAGTCTGCGCCTGCGGCAGATCAATAAAATTCAGGGACACATCTGGAGGTATCGATATCGGGGCACCGCCGACACGAGATTGCGCCGGAGATGTTGTCGAGAAACATTGTGCCCGCAGCGGTTGTGAAAAGGCAGGAACGAGAAACGAGGGGACTGCATTGTTCCGGAGAGGGTCCCGCATCAGCTGCCTGAAGCAGCTCCGCGATACTGCGCACGACATGGCTGCTTATGTTGCCGGAAACACTTTTGTATTCCGATCTCGAATCTCGAATTTGTCCCCCGGGCCGGAGATATGATTGTCCAAATGCAGCTAGTGCCATGATCACGTGACTATGTTCATACTGCCTTGCAATATCCTCACCACTGCTATTTTCAGCAATTGCCGTCTTCAAAATTGCTTTTCCGTGATTTTGTAGCGTGTGGTATAAGCTCATAATGTGAAGCAACCCTCACTAGTGTGAGTGCTGAGCAGCTGATAGCCGTCTCTCAACTGAGCTGTAATCCCGTACTCGTCTACACTCTCCTCCTGAAGACTCATCCTTGCTTCGCTCCCAGCGACCGTGGAGAGATTGTTCATTTGCTCATTTTTACTCATTCAAGAGCATATATCTTCTTCGTGGATTTCCTTGATACAGTGGATTATCCTGCCTTAGAGGACGGTTCAGTTGAGATACCTACTTGATTTGCATTTGACTTAATTTCATTCTAGCCTCTTTGTCCAATTTCGCGTCGACATGCATCCCCGGAGGATTCCATTTCATTTCCATATTTCCATGCTGTTGTTATTTTTAATTTCTCTTTTCTCGATTATCAGTAATGCGAAATCTAAAGGAGATGGTATGTGCTTGGTTATGGCAACCCTTTACCCGACGCTTCTCTTTCGACTTGTGCTGATTATTTAGTAACATCTTCTCCTAGTCCTAATAGATCTAACTACGACCTGGATCTGGTCGACTTTCTGCACGTGAAAACATCGGAACATGATAACGTATTCAAAGGGGCAATTCAGCTATTAGAATCCATGCAATCATCCCCTTCCTGCAACCGGATTGCAGCATCTAAACTTCTCGCATCGTGCAAATCTATTGAGAAAAGCGCTTCAAATGAGAGGCAGCCTACACTCACATCATTAGACCGCGTGAAATCCGTATACGCAGCTAGGCTTGCTCTCTGCGAAATCGCCGAGGCAGGAGCCGCTATTCCCTCATCATGTTCACCGTTATATATCTCTTCGTCTCCCAAGAAGGCTGTGTCAGGATCGATATTTGGCCAGCAGTGGGCTACGCCCGATCAGTTAAATCCGAGTTCAATGGAATCGTTGGACTTATGTCTCCATGCACTGGAATCGCGACCGCAATGGTGGACCAGCTACAGTAATAGCAGACAGAACGCTGTGATGATATGCCAAGCAGCGAGATTTGACATCGAGAAAGAAGAAGTGCTGGAACTACATAGAAGGATAACAGAGAATACTCTACGGTTAAACAATGGGTTACAGGACGCTATTCAAAATGCAGCCGCCATGTCTGCTCAGCATAGAGCTTTCATCCTCGCAACAGAATCAATGCAGAGAGATCTTCTTCGCGATATAGAGGAAGCTGGAGCTTCAACTCTAAGTATATTTCCTAGACTCATCAATGGGATCGAAGCCGCGGTAGGTTCGACTATAACACGCATTATATCATCACTCGGAGGTGTGGAAAAGGACACAGCCAACTTGCAAAAGGTGAGGCGTGCAGTCATTGCAAAAAGGCAATATCTAAGTCGTACAGGATGTCCGGGACACTACTCAACAAGTCAGCCATCTACGAGATGGTCTCCGCGTCACTTATGAGGAAGCTATAGCGAAAAGTGCTCAACTTGCTCGATCACATCAAATGAATGCAGAATCGAATCAAGAACTCGCGGTATCTATTCAGACTTCGCTAAAGTCTCTGTTGACTGAGGATGTGGTAAAGTTGTCGGAAAGTCTAGAAGGCTTTGGAGGTTCTATGGTACGCGATGTTTTCTTTCGTCTAGACCGAGTATACTGATTATGCCTTTAGCAATGGCTTACGGAAGCTCTCTCTTTGATCTACCAGCAGGAGGAGTTGATCCTTGAGGTATGTTATCAACGCAGTTTACTAGCAGCCGGTTGACCTGTTTTAGCGACTTCAAAACTTTCAAGAATCACTGGCGGAATCTGAAATCAAGTCCGAAAATCTACGCAAAAGCCAGGAATTGCAGGCAGAATCTCTCAAAGACCAGACTAAAGCACAGGAAACACTCGGTGAAAATGTTCGAATCGCACAAGCCTTGCTTGATCGGGTCGTAACCACCGCTGCAAACCTTCAGGCTACTGTCGAAGAAACAGCGACTGGGTTTCAGGGCCTCCCTAGTTTTCCCGGCATGGTTGGAGTTTATTTTCCGTGGACTCTATGTTCACTTCTTGCTTCTGTGGTCGCTGCGCAGCATCCTAGAATCATTGCTGGTCTTCTCTTCCTCTCTTACGGGAAGTACAACCCGACCTCACTCTCTCAGAAAACTGGGCTAACTATTCAGGCAGGCGCTTTCTATATCTTCAGATTCATCAACTAGCATTCCAAGTTTATGTTCTTATTTAACGCCCTGATAACTCCCCTCATCCGCAGTAATTTCTGCCTTGTTCGATCGGCATTGGTAAATTCAGGCGATTCAGATTCTTTGTCAACGCCTTGTCTCTTTCTCCAAGTCTCAGTGGTCTCTTTTTTTTTTCCACTTGAAGCATGATGCCCATGTTGTTATCGGTTTGGCATTGTCTAACCGTGGTGGGGCTTTATCTCTGTTTTTATTTATTCTTTCCCTTCTGCCAACTATGCTACATGTTATTTGGAGCTTTGTATTCAAGCAGTTGTGATGAATACTTCCCGCTCATCGATATCACTTAGATGATTAAAATTACAGTTATTATATGCTATCACTGTCACACAAAATAGATGGGATGAGCCCTCAATTACCATGCAGTATAATCAACGTTCAATTTTTTGGATGTTTATTGATCCTGCAAATCATAGTGGCAGAAATTCCCTGACATAAGTAATGCGGAGACAGGCGGTGGCAGCCGGCAAAACCAGAGCATATTAACAAAGGATGGCAGAATATAGTAGCAGAAACCTTTAATATACATGTATAAGAGACGTTTTATGGCTATTTCTGGATTTCGGATGTACTGAACAAAGATCTTGAAGAGCGAAACTATTACTTAGACGAAGCTATGGGCACACAGTGTCCGTGTTATTACCGCCGACTCCCAGACCGCCCTAGAGACTGTAGGCGCCACTCCACTTCCAGCCCTGCGGTTTTTGAAATACAGCTGTAATGCAAGGCATCTCCTTCCTCTGTTACTGCGTCATTCTTATCATGTCTTGGGCCCTGTAGGTGTCTACTAATTCTGTCTACAATTATTGACCTGGTGAAGAGCACTCTGGCTTTCCAACTAGAAAGCTGCTTGATGTACCGTCAGGCTCTCCACTCTCTTTAGCTGAACCCAGGCGCGCGAACCCCGCTGAAAGCGTTTATGCCCTTCCATCCCCGCTGCAGTGGGACTTAGTGAGCTTTCTACAAAGAAACAATATCCCATTGATACCCAAAGTTGAAATCGCTTTCTGCTCTCGTTTCTACTAGTTCGCGCACTATCTCGTTGCTTAATCGCGTCAATAAGCGCTTCCTTCTCCGCGGTTCGGCGAAGATCCTACTGCATAACCGATTCGCAAATTCCGTCTGCGCAAATCACAATCTCCAAAATGGACGACCACAATCCGGACATGGAAGTTGTCGATGAGTTCGCGCAGACGCGTGGCGCGGATGACCTTTTCGATGATGAGATTATACCAGTTTCTGCAGAAGAACAAGCGCAGACAGTTACGGTGGAAGAGGCGACGGAGGATAGACCCGCGAAGCGCGAAAGCGATATACAGGCAAAAGAAGGAACCTCTCCTCCGAGGTTCCGTGGCGGCGAAAGAGGAAGAGGCAGAGGGCGAGGGAGAGGTGGGCGTGGTGCCAAAGCATTTCACGATCGAGGTTCAGCGCGCGCGGAGACTCATGCAAAGAACAAACCGGGCGAGAAAGCGGCAGATGGGTCTGGCAAGGAAATAGACGAGACAGCCGAAGGTACACAGGATGACAAGTCTGCCGAGGGAAAGGAGAAAGCTGAAAGCGAAGGATCTACTGGAAAGCCTTCAGATGGCCCCCGCGTTCAAGCTGTCCGGGGTGATAGAAGTGGCACAGGAGGAATCCGAAAGGTATGCCAGCCTTGCCCTATATTTCTTCTTCTTCTTTTGACTCGCCATTACTCACCTCTTTCCAGCCGAAATTGACGGAAGACGAACTTTCTGCACGCATTGCAGCTGCAAAATTGCATGCCGCCAAGATCGCCGCTGCCCACGCTCGCGCTGAAGCTGACCAAGCATCATTCCAAGAACGCGAGAAGGTTGCAGAAGAGAAAAGACGCCAGGAGTTCCAGAACCGCCGTGCGATGGACAATGAACGTGAACGGAATAGGCTACGAAAACTTGGCGCTCAGACAGGTCGTGAATGGGATTCTACCAAGCGGGAAGAAGACTATAACCCTCGTGGAGGCGGCAGCCAGTATCGCAGAGGAATGCATGGTGGTGTTTCAGGATACACGCGGCATACCCACGAAAACGGCTCAGATAGCGGAGATAGCCACAGAGGCGGCCGCGGTCGTGGTGGCAGAGGTGGTCGTGGTCGAGGCCAGCGCGGTGGTAGAGGAGATCATTTGGCATCTAATGGTCACGACCACACTGCAACGACAATAAACGCTACTACACCATCCGCACCGGTGATTAACAGTGACAACGAATTCCCAGCCCTCCCCGGCAGTTCAACAAAAGAGCAAGGTCCAGGGCCTACTATCGTCACCGGTTCTACATCTCCCGGAGACGCCCTTTCGGGAGGAACCAAATCGCCATCAGCGCTCTCACCATTGACACCGTCTGGCGGCGGATCCTGGGCAGAGCAGGTCGAATCGAGTGGAGCAGCAAAGGCCTAAACACGATTGACCGTTTCTTCGAGTTCCGTACTCTGTGAATGCGATGAGGGTTATCCCATGACACCATTATACATGATATCCTTTTTGTTTTTGTTTTGTTTTCTTCTCTCTTGTGCGAGCATTGCTTGCATTGTTAATTTCTATACAAGAAGTTGTCGCTCTAGAGTGCTTATACTTTGACCTTGCTTGGGGGGGTTCTCCTTCCAGTTGTCCTTGGATTCTGCAACGCTTGTTTTTCCATTGCCATACTGTTTTACGCTCACGAAGAAAACATGTGAATACGTATTGACGCTACTTCGATGTTCAAAGCTCGATGTTGACGATTCTGGGAATGATGTTGATGACTAAGCCAGCTGTACCAATGGCAAACGAAGTGAACCAAGCTGTGTTCATGATGATCTCATAATGCATCCCTGCCAGGGTTATCATGTCTATCTTTCCGTAGAATAGAATAATATATAAACTGGAAAAGTCCGTTTGATTTACGCTACTTGCTATACTTAAGGTAGCTGAAACTCCGGGTCTATTGCCGTTGACAGTGAACTATAAACCGCAGGTAAGGTCACCTTCCGCATTTATACACATGCTCCCGGACAACCACCAGAGCCACCTAGAATTAAATCGATTTATTTCCCCAAGGATAAATGACACGTCGATCAATTTCCAGTCAATGAATAACAATATCAAGAGTGACGCTAACATGATTCGTATCCATTCAACAGTGATTGAACCTGAGTTATATCTCTTCTTTACACAAAGTCTATCTTTCAATAAACACAACATCAACGCTCGAAAAAAAAAAAAAAAATGTCAAGCCCATACTCTAACGAAGGTGCTTCGAACCACCCCACTACAGGATCGCGCGGCGGTGCCAGCGCGATCCCTACTCCCGCCAACAATACCGGTGGCGGATCTGGCTGGGGCGACAAAGGTATGAAGAAAGGCGGCGGAGGCGGCGCAGGTGGAGTGAACCTTGGCGGCGAGGGTATCGGTCATCATCAGGTATGTGAATGTCTTGTTATGTTATATGCAATCCATGTTAGTGTCAATTCTGTCGAAGAGAGATGAAAAGCTAGTTAATACTTTCGATGGGATTGCGTAGACACCCAACCCAGCAGCGTCCTTCGGAAACTTCCTCGGACTCCAGGACCAGAAAGAGGCTGCTCACAATAACTTCGAGCAAAAATTTGAACACGCTGCTGGAATTGAGCCTCCGAGGACGTTGGATGGTGAACCGACCTGCGAGAGTGAGGACCATAGCTTCGCCAACCATAAGCCCGGATGTCCGGAGACCATGCCGGGGTGGAATAAGGTGAAGGACGCTTATAACAGGTGAGTTGTGAACTGCCGGGATAGTTTTGGAGTTGCTGGGTTAAACAAGGTGCTAATGATCTGTGTGATGTAGTGCTACCAAGAGCTTGTAGATGTGAAGGGGAGAGCGCAAAGGCCATGATGATACTTATGATGACATTTGTCGAGGCTTGATTTTCTTTAATTGGAATTTTGACGTGAGGCGTAGTCTGGCGATATATTTTGATTTTATGTACAAATAATGATGTATGATGGCTTGATAAATTGCATGTTAAAACATTTAATTGGGATTTCAAGTATTGTACATCTAGAATGTCTTAGCGTATGGGGCCTTTGTAGACCGTATTATTTATTCCACCTTGACAGCCTTTCCGCTCAGTTTATCTTTGAGAGCAATAATCTTCCCGCGAAGCCTCGACTTCAGTGTACCTGAAGTGAGTGCAGCCACCTCGTCTAGTGCCACGAAGCGACGAACCAACAAGTTGAATATGCTTCCAAATGCGAGGGCCATAACTGTACTTGTAAGAATGATGACATTATAGGGCATGCTGAAATCAGGGGTAGGCAGAGGAAGAAGGAGGCTAGTCGTGCGGATATATACTGGCGATCCGGTAGAATTGTCCTTGAGCTTAATCACCGCTGGGGCAACGTTGAAGCCACGATTGGCATCTGGCGGATACTCAGTATATCGAAGAATTGCCTTTTCAAAGTCGTAGATCAAAGTGACAGTCGAAGCGGCGGGAACACTTAAAGCGAGCTCTAGCTGAGTGCCTCTTTCTCTGTCAACGGCGGGTCGGTAGAAGATATCCTTGACGATCTCAGAGACTGGAACATGTCTTTGAATGCCATCTTTCCCTGCAATCTTCGCCTGGAGTGTGTGCAGATAGGGGCGCATAAACCAGGGAAGGCTTTCGAAATAAATGAAATCCACGGTCTCTGTTTCGGACGGATTGGTCAAGATGGTCCGCATACCGCCACGCTCCTGGCCGTGGCCGATTATCGTCCTTTCCACGTGCAGACGAGGTTGTTCCAGCGGCATCTTGGTCTGAAGTTCTTGTTCTGGAAGAACTAGGTCGAAAGGATTGGAGCTAAGCAAGGTATAACTCCGAGAAAACCCTTCGGGGTCCCTTGATTCAAATGCCCCTGCGGTGATATAAACCTCCCTCTCATGCGGTGCGTTGATGCGAATCGTCTTTGAACCGGGACCCGAATCGTCTGTGAGAGGGCAAGCACCCTTCACATTTCGACCAAATATTTCAGTCAGACTCCAACCCTTTTCCGTACCCTTTTCCAGCGGGTAACATGTATCTTGAGAATTGTACTGCTTGGAAGGATCGCAGGCAAGCTGTTCCACAGGGACCGGACGAGGAATCGGATTGTCTTCAAAGGTTAGAACATTGAGCAAAATTAACGACAGGTAGATTCAGTATCTTACCTCGTGGTCGCTTCGATCTATCAATGTCAAGAACCATGTCAACGGTCTGCTCAATCTCGATGAGACACTCGCTTTGATCCTTTGGACAGACGGGTCGCACGTCGATAGACATGCTCTGCCATGACGCATCGAATAGTTTGTGTCCATCGAGCAAACTCGATACACCTGCTTTGCCCTTACATGGGAGCAGCTTTAGGAACGGTGTAAGGTTCTCCGTACATACTACCTCTCCGGGGAGCACCCCGTGTAAGAGGTGAAGCTGGCTGGAGGATTTATGATCACCGGCCTGCTCGAAAGAGACAACGGGTCGAGTTGTACGTGTAGAATCAATGAAGTTCAATGACGCGCAGAACAAACCGGACAAGGACTGAGTCAACGTAATCCATTTCGCGAAGGCCCTGGTTCAAGTTAGCATCCTGACTCTCCTAACAAACAGTAGCTAGAGAATTGCCATACTTCTCCTCTGTCGGAGCATCTATCCATGCCCATATTTCCACTCCAGTTGCTCCTTCCTTCACGCCATTCCACGGCCTTGTGCCCCAGCTCTCCGCGTCCCAGCGACCCGTTGTAAAGCGAAGATGGAGCTCTTCAGCGTTCGCATGCTGCAGGATCTGACCTAACGAGCGCGGGAAATATCGAAAATTTTGTTGCTTGAACGATTCGAGTGATGCATTGCTTCTGAAATTAAATGAGGCTAGCAGCGACGAGGAGGGAAGAGGCGTAAGCTCGAGCCGTTCATGGTAATCTGACGCCGCGGATATTGAACAGAACAGCGCCGCCAAAAGGATGCGGAGAAGGAAAGAAAGCGAAGTCATACCGGCATGCTTGGCAAAGGACAGACTCCTAGGCCAAGCAGCTGGTCTGCCACGGTATCTGGCAGCAAGGAAGAACTTGGTACTGTTTTCTATGAGCTCCAGGCCCTTTTTGTCCCTTTATGATGCTGCCATGTTGGAGATGCGCTACGGAGGCCGGGGTCGCAGTCCCGATCGGGTTTAGCCCAAACACTCCGCAAAATGCACATAGTTGAGATCGACGCACGCTTTTACTGTACGAACTTCTTTCTTGATTTATTTTATACAATTACTCACACCAGAGATATAAGTGGAAAAAAATATTCAGAAGCCCATTACTTACTGTACTATGTATGAGCAACGGTGCCTGGGAGCGCATATTGCCTCTCCGCATGGATGTGATTGGTCCAGGAGCCGCAACCGCCACTAGCGCCACTCCGCTCCATCTGTCGCATCAAAAAGAATCGCGAGGGAGCTCGAACAGCTCTAGCATCAGGCCACTACAGCTTGCGAAGGAGAGGAAACCCTTGCTTTCAGAGCGCCAGTAAATTTATTCAGGATGGCGGCTGAACAAAGAAAACTGCTCGAGCAGCTTATGGGAGGTTAGTGTCCCCAAGTCCACCCTCGCGCAATCTGAAAGGCATCAACTGACAAGTCCGTAGCGGACCAGCTCATGGGCACAGGTGCTGGGTCCCGTAATTCTCAGCTCTCCATCACCGACCCGAAAGTCTGTCGGTCCTATCTCGTCGGAACCTGTCCGCACGATCAATTCACGAACACGAAGCAAGACCTTGGACCATGTCCTAAGGTTCACAGCGAAGGGTTGAAGGCCGAGTACGAGGCTGCGTCACCAAGTGAGAAGGCCAAGTGGGGGTTTGAATTCGACTACATGCGCGATATGCAGAAGTATATAGAGGAATGCGATCGCAGGATCGACACGGCTCAGAAGAGACTTGAAAAGACCCCAGACGAGATTCGACAGACGAACAACTTGGTAAGTCGCATAGTGCCCGCAGCAGAGCTGTAGATAAGGGAATAAAGCTAACAAGTTCTTTTTTGTTTCTGATTCTAGCTGAAACAAATATCTGATCTCACTAAGACCATCAACACCGGTCTTCTCGAGATTTCTGTCCTCGGTGAGACGGGCTCTGTCGCCATGGCCCTGAACGAACTCCACAAGATCCGCACTGCCAAACACCAGAAGGAAACGTTCGAGCGTGAACTCAAGACTCTCTCGGATACCTCTGGCCCATCCGGCCATCAGAAACTGCAGGTGTGTGATGTATGTGGAGCGTATCTGAGTCGACTGGATAACGATCGCCGTCTGGCGGATCATTTTTACGGAAAGATGCACATGGGATACTCCGATATGCGCAAGACATATAAGAAGCTCAGTGAGGAGCTCAAGGGCCGACCGCCGCCTGTTAGACACGATGAGGATGACGCAGGCTGGGGTGGACGTGGAGGTGGCAGAGGGCCTCGATATGGTGGAGGCGGCGGATATAGGGGGTACAACAAGCGTGGCGGAGGCGGTTATGGGCGGTGGTAATCTTCGCGTTCTTACGGAGTTGTCTTTGCATAGCGTGGGCGTTCTGCGTGCCTTTTTTCTAGGTCTACTCGCCGTATATTATCTAAAACTACGACTTTGTTAATACGCATGAGTGATAGTGGATGTAGTGTAATGGGATCAGTTTCAATAGTGGATACTGAAAAATAACTTCTTCTTTTACTATACAATGTCTGCAGTTTAAACCGACTCGCCATTATGACTACTAAGGGCACCAGGGAGATGAAAGTCCTCATGCGAGGAAAGGCTGGATTCCATATCATTAATACTCAGATGCACAGCAAGATAGTAATGACAACGCCATTCACCTTCCCACCCAGGTATGTACACCATGAGAGATACATCGCTGGCGGAGTGGAAATAGCCCCAGGAAATGTCCTGGGCTAGAAAACTCGGTCCACCTCAGCACAGGATGGAGGTTCGTAATTTTTGGTCGCAGAACCCGAGATACAAGAGATCAAATACAATAGCATAAACACTTCGAGGACCAGTTACCGAATTCAGTGGACGACCGGGCTTCATGAAGAAAGAAAATAGATCCAGGCTTTGGGTATGGAGTAGAATGCCCCCGTTAACAGAATATGAGAATCAAATAAGCAAAGAAATAACACAAAACCAGTTGGTATTCATGGTCCAGAGCAGAAACATAGTGTAAGAAGTGGGTGAACAGAAGTCGCAGGGCTACACGCAAAAGGACCAGATGAATGGATCCGCGTTATCCTGCTCTCTGCAGCTGTCCACCAGTCGTAGCCTTGTAAAGCTCTTGCGTCAACAGATTGTAGTCATTGGCAGCAGCTGGCACCCTCAGGAGAATATCTCGTACAGTACTCAGCTGTGACATGTCAGCGTTTGGTGCTCTCTGTAGCAGCTGCTCGATCGCTGGAGCCTTTGCTTGAGGGCCAAGGAGCTGGGCCGCGGCAAGAGCACCAGTCAGCTGCATGTGGTGAGGCTGTGGAGGATGATACCGCTGCTCTCGCGCAGCTAGATACGACTGCTGCAAATGCTGCTGAGCAGGATCAATTGGAACATTATGAACAGGCATGTTTCCCACATACGCCGACTGGGGAGGTGGAGAGATATGAGACCCTGGCACAGCAGCAGCGGGCACAGTGTGAGACTGTTGCGGCGTGGCCGACGTAGATGTTAAAGGGCTTGCAATACTCATGGGAGGTTCCTGGCTCGGCCGATAATGAGCTGGCTGAGCTGAAGGTGTATTGTTGCTGGAATCGCCTGTCTTGACCACAAAGACCACTAGAAGCATCCTCTCCAGAGTAGGCTCTTCAAGTGTATTGTTCTCCAAGAGCTCGATAAACTCAGGCTTCTTCGTTGACCCGGCTTCGATGGGCACTATATACGTATCTTTGACTGAAGGGAGTGGGTGTTTCCCGATGACACCGTATCTTTTGCGGTCCGCAAAATAGTTGAAGAGTTTGTCGAACCCAGCACGATCTGCCGGAAATTCAGGGGCAGAGATCGAAATAACTGTAACATCCGTCGACGTACTGAACCTCAAACCACAGAGGTAATTGCTGGCAAGCTGGATATCTATCCGACCATCGATCAAGAGGGTCGACGGAGCAAGCTGGCTCCATGGGATCCTGCCACTGAGGTCTGCTCCTCCAACATGCTTTGCAGACGCTGAAAACTCAGCAACAGGATTCATCACAACCCTCCCGCGCCAGATCAGACCGTCATCATGGAAGTCCTTCGGCGAGTAAGGCGGAGACTCCGCCTCCTCGTCCTTGAGCAGTTGGTCGATTTCTGCATCTGCCTGCACTCTTCCTCCGGTAACAGGCTCACGTATGTTCACAGGCACCTCGGGGAAGACCTGATCATGAGTGGTACCGCCAGGTGACCGAACAGGCTGCCAGGTGTGCTGGTCCCCGTCAATGTCTTTATCCCCGGCACCTGTATTGATATGGTGAAGACGAGCAGAGCCATGCTGATGTTGTACATTAGGGCTAGCTGGGCTATGTCTCTGGTTGTCATCGGAATCGTCGACTGGACGAGTGGGAGCCTTTGAAAAGATGGACTCAGATGCCACGTTCTGGTTGTCGTCTTCGATGATTTCCTCCCCTTTGTGGGTGCGTCTTATCCGTGGCCCTAGCTCTTGTACGATGATGTGCTGCTTTTCAGCCTCCCTCTTGATCTCAGCATCTTTCTGCTGGAGCTCCTCACTTGCCATATCCTGTGAACTCATCTTTGATAGTGCCTCGGGGGAAAGACTACCTACGAGCAGACGATCCCGCAGAGAAGGATTCTTCTTTACGTTGAACAGGATCGTCCGTAGTTGTAACTTATATGGCTCGCTCGGTTCTCCTGACCCCCCGCAAATATTCTGATACATGGCATTCTCGATAGCAAGACCGAGCTGCCGCCCAACATCCTCGGCTGATTTCTCGGCTGGGAGCTGGAAAGAACCACGCTTCAGAGCTTCAGGAATTTGATCTACAAAGAGCTTGACTAGGGCGCTCGCAACACTCCTGCGAGCTGGGTTCGCAATCTCTTCAGGGGTCCCGACCGTACCTGGTGCGGCCTTCTCTTCGACTGGAGCTTGCTGCGGAGGGCTCGCAGCAGTATTCGGATTTTGCCCATGGCCTGGTGTCACTCGCCCGTTGTGATCTGCATCCGGTTTGCTCTGAGACGACAGCCGTCGTTGCTTGGACTTTGATTCCTGTTTCATGGTTGTTAGTTATCTTATCCACAAAAGGAGTGGTCTTGCAAGACTTACCACCTCAAGTTCTGTGGCTTCTTGATTCTCTTCGAACTTGCGCTTCTGGCCGCTATTCTGAAGGGTTTCGGACGTCGCTCCATTCTTCTGATCATGTACGGGCGTCGCGGCTGGAGCTGGAGTCGGGGTGGCCGTTGTGGCAGACGGGAGTTCAACGCTCACCTCAGACTTTGCATCGCTTGGGCGAGCCTTCTTGCCTCCTTTCTTGCCTTTCTTCCGCCGTGCTTTCTTCTCTTCGGCCTGTTGTTGTCTTATCTTGGCAGCCTCCTCCCAAGGCTTCTCGCCACGAGCGATCTTATCCAGAAGGACTTTGTGGTTCTCGGGTTTGCATTGTTCACAGAAGTATTCCGCCGGCTCTTCTCCTTTCGCGAAAGTGAGACCCATACAATCATTGTGCTGCCATGCTGAACACTTGTCACAACATATCATATCACGTTCCACGTCTTCCTCCTCCTCATATTCACCACAGATGCACCGGATGATTTCTTCCTCCTCGCTCGGTGCCGGGGTAGGTTCGGCCGAGGGTTTGGGAGGTTTGTCCTTAGACTGAGATTTGGCCTTTGATTTCTTTGTCGGAACATCCGGCGTTAAATCGAGGTTCTTGTGCTGGCCCTTTGTGGCCCGTCCGGAGCGTCGAGGTTCATCTGGTTTGTGGTTAGCTGCGTGCTCGTGTCTCAAAATCAGGGGATATCGCCAGAACGCCACCGCTCGCACGAGGGAGTTCTATGATCCCTTGGACTCGGGTATCTAATAGCTTACCAGCCATGATGAGGATAGACAATAATGTATGACTCGAAATTCTACGACCAGAGCGATGTCTTGAGGTTGTTGCGCCAGCGGGCAACTATCTTTCTACGGCATTGAAAAACTAGTAATACACGAGGTTGGAGAGACTGGACTGAAATACGAAATATCAGTCCGCTGTTGGTATTATTCTTTTCCAACGGTTCCCGCGCGCTCCGGTGAAGATAAAGCGACCTCAGTGACCACGCGGTGCGCGAGCCTGCCGGTTGTCGCGAATCCTAATCCTGGGTGGTGTTACCGGCCTGGATCAACTCCAGTGGTAGTCAAATCGCGCGGTACTATTGAACGTATCGCGATGGAGATCGAATGCTCGAGTGGTGTGTTTCAGGCGTGGGTCTTGCTGAGGAGATGAGCTGAAGTCGAAACAGACGGAATTTGAAGTCGCCTCGCGCGACGAGCTTACCTAATAACTGTCACGTGAATAGAGGCTCCGCGGGGAGTCTTGGCAGCCGTCACAAGATCGGAGCCGCGCCCAGATCAAGGCTCAGCGGGTCATCATTCTCACCTCCAGCTCTTTTCCACTCGAACGCAACAAGACATTCACTGATCTCGGTTGTCATCACTCAGATCTTAAAATCTTAAAATTAGAATAACAAAGCATCCACTTCAGCCTTTGTGGTTACGCGCCATGGCAGACGTACGATCGTTGCTGCGCAATGAGCTCGCCTCCCGAAGGGGTACTTCACAAGCAGGCCCCTCAAAAACGCGACTCAACAAGAAGCGCAAGGTTGATGCTGACGACAATATTACGCGCAAGAAGCTAAGGCCTGCTGGTTCAGGTGCTGCGCGATTACCACCAGATACGGGAAAAGTTGAACCTCCCAGCGCAGAGGCTTTCAAGGACGAAGAATTGGGGGAAGAAGAAGAACATGCTGGAGTCGAGCCTCCGCCAGAGGACACGGATCTCGAAGCGCGTGATACAAGTGATACTGCAGCGGCAGGTCAAAGTAACCAGGCCATTGACGAGGATGAGTGGGCAGCCTTCGAACGCGAAGTAGCCTTGCCGACACGCGTACCTCAAGCTACTATACCTGCTGCTGCCGCAGCAGCTCCGACAATCTCAGCAGCACCGATGACCGCGGAGGAAATAGCCGCGCAAGAAAAGCAAGACAATGAATCAATAGCACGCGCGCGGGAAGCGGAAGCAGAGGGGGAGCGTGAGGACGCGGCCCGGTTCCTCGAAGAAGAGTTTGATGAGATGGATCAGTTGGAAGAGCGAGTGAGACGATTGAAGCAGAAAAGGGAAGAGCTAAGACAAAAGAAGGCAGCAGATGAGGAAGAGGCGAAGGCCCTGTCTAGCGCGCCTTCCGGGGAACAGAGACGAGACCAAGCCGGGGCTGAGAGCGAAAGTGACGAGGATGACGATGATTGGGATGATTGGAGATTCAGGTAGTTATGTCAGGGCTGGATGATTTCCTTTACGCCATGTAATAGTACTATATTGATACCCCTGTGAAAGTATCCGAGTGTATTGGGCAGAAAAGTTGGATGGCTGGCATGTGCTTTGCTACAGCCCGCAAATGCGAGTATTTCATCATATATGTTCATAGTAAGTGTGATATATACATCATAAGCAAGGGATTAATCAGCCGCGCCCTCTGGTTTATCTCGTACAGACTCATTATTAGACCCCATATGGCTCATCAGTCCCTCCTTGCCAACTTTCATAGCCATTTCAACCTCTGCTTCCCCCTCCCGTAATAGGTTCTTACCACGCAGCAGATCACCCCTCTGTCTCCTCTTTTCTTCCTGCACCCTCTTCTCACGCTCTGCCAGTGCCTTTTCGCGCTTTTCACGTTCCAAATTCTTTTTGTCCAATTCTTCTCGCTCCTCGGCGGTTATGTTCTCGTTCTCTGGTGCAGGAGGCAAAGTTGAGATGTATGCTTCAATAAGTGGGTCGCGCACCTTTGGCGGAAGAGAAATGTACCGGATATCAGTAAGAACAGGCGGAGGAAGTGCTTGGATATTCGATGACCTGTTCAATAAATGCAGCGGAACAGATTTTAGCAAGCTAGAGAGATCTGACTTCCTGGTGCTTTCCGGAAGTTTGAGTTGCGATATGTGCTCCCTGTAGAATTTCTCCTTATCCTTGTCTGAGAGCTTCGTGTCTTTCATCTCTGGTTCTTTCCTGAACTTCCGCTTGAACTCAGGCCAGTAGAGTTTGGGTGTAGCATGTTCCTGGAGGAACGCGAGGTACCGAATTCTGGGGTCTTTTTTCTCTTGCTTTTCCTTGCGTTCCTTCAGATCCTGGATACGGTCTCGGCTCCAGCTCGACCATGCTTCTCGCCTTGACTTCATATTGGGCAGAGCCGTATATCTGCTGTCCTCTATGATCCGTCCTTCTTCGATTACCTTTTCCCACGTCGTAAAAGGATTGATCTGAAAGTCATCGAGAAGGTCACGGAATAGCGCTATCGCATCCTCTTCTGTGAGTGGTAATCCTTCGGCACCTTCTTCCCATGCCTCCTCGCCCGGCTCTCCATATTCACCGGGATCCAACCCGTATTCTTCGCCCATTGCTGCAAGTTGATATTCAATATCCTCTTCGTTGAACTCTAGCGGCTCATCTTTGGGGACTTCGTCCTCCGTTCTGGCACGCTTCGATGGCTGCTCTTCGCCTTCGCTATCTGTGACTTCGACCTCTTCATATTCATCGCTGTCTTCGAGGCCACCGGCTACTGTTTCGGCTTCCGCCTTCTCAGGCTGAGAGGGCGCCGTGGAGACTTCACGTCTATCTGCCGGATCGTGTACATCTTCCTCTTCGGTCTCCTCGCCACGTTCTCTCCTCTCTTTCTTCTCTCTTTCGATGCGATCATATTCCACCACCCCTTTCAAAACCTCTTGAGGAAATTTCCAGAAACTCTCATTTGTCTCTGGATTATGTACGAATCGTCTCCCCAGTTTTGTCTTAACCAGCAGCCAGGGAGCACAACCTGGGATTGGGTGTTTTGATTTCGGTCTGTCCTCTGGTTCCCGGCGCCTTCGGTCCTGATAATTTCTTCCCCCTTTGAATCCTCCACGGCCTGGTCCATAGTGACTGGGAAATGCCCCAGTAGTACCAAATCCTGCCGGTCCATACGGGTGCGAAGAAAACGGAGGAAGATTTCCCGGAGCAAAGTATGCTGGGTTTTGCTCCTGTATAGGTTGAGGGACTGTTTGGGGCGCAACTGGAGGCGCAGTAGGTCTTTTATAGGTCGATTGTTTTGTCTCTGCGTTGTAATAGTACGTATGCCCTGGAAGCGCGTTAATGGTAACGAATCATAACCAAACAGTCATGTTCATGAAGAACAAACCTGATGGTGCTTTATGCTCGGTCCATCCAGGTGGTAATGGAGGCGGCGGAGTATAGGTGGATTTCAGCATCGCTCAATTAACAGCGCAGCCAAACGGGGGAACCTTCAAACGAAACCTGCCGCTCCCGTGTGGGATGAGTGCTGCGTAGTAGTGATTGCGCAGGGCTCAGGAACGATCTATGTATCGGAGCTTTCTTTCTATGGGGCGGGCGAAGCTGGAGAACTCAGATGGTCCGAGCTTGGCGGATGATGCTTAGCCTGGGCGGACGCGCGAGCGAGTTGCCTGAAGCTCGACCAAACCTCCAGCTTGCTCCGACCAACTCCCGCCCTCTCATCTAGCAATCTCCCAGAACCCCGCCACCTCCTCTGACTTCAGGAGCTCATTTAATCATTACTAGTCACCTGGAGTCCAGACACGATGTCGAGAAGATATGATTCAAGGGTATTTTCATGCACCTTCGGTCCTTGCTTCTGCGGGTGAGCTCTAGCTAACGCATCCATGCTGAATGACAGACTACGATCTTCTCGCCAGAGGGCCGTCTCTACCAGGTTGAGTATGCTCTCGAGGCTATTTCGCACGCGGGTACAGCTCTAGGCATCCTCGCAAAGGATGGCATTGTTCTCGCTGCGGAGCGAAAGGTGACCAGCAAGCTGCTGGAACAGGATACGTCAGCCGAGAAGCTTTACATACTGAACGAGTAAGGAGTTTAAGCTGAACTATTACCTGGGTCTTGCCAGCGCATGCTTACTGACGGCTTATATTAGTAATATGATATGCGCCGTCGCCGGTATGACTGCCGATGCTAACATTCTCATCAACTACGCCCGTCAAGCGGCTCAACGTTATCTCTTGACCTACAATGAAGAGATCCCCTGTGAACAACTCGTCCGCCGTCTATGCGACCTGAAGCAGGGATACACGCAACATGGTGGTCTCCGTCCTTTCGGTGTTTCTTTCATCTACGCCGGCTACGACCCACACAGGCAGTTCCAGTTATATCAAAGCAATCCAAGCGGCAACTATGGTGGTTGGAAAGCCACTAGTGTTGGTGCAAACAACGCCAGTGCGCAGAGTCTGTTAAAACAGGATTACAAGGAAGACTGTGATCTGAAGGAGGCATGCGCCATGGCCGTCAAGGTATTGAGCAAGACGATGGATTCAACGAAGTTGAGCAGTGAAAAGAGTCAGTAATTCAGTTGCCGCTCTTCTTTGACTATCCATGGCTGACAGTATCTCTAGTCGAATTTGCAACAGTAGGAAAGACCAAGGATGGGAAGATCTACCACCACCTGTGGAATGCGGATGAAATCACCGCGCTGCTAAAGCAGCATGGCCTGGCCAAGGAGGACGAGGAGCCGGAGGCTGGGGAGATTAAATAAATGATAATGATTCTTGTTTGGTTTCATTGGGACACTATGATCGACGTGGTCCGCCATCAGGGCCCGTCAACACCCTGTAGCCGTGACGGTGATCTTCAAGGTGACGATTAGCGATCTAGGCATATGACTCTATCTCTCTGATCTCCCATTGAAGCAAAATCTTTTGAAATGTCCAATGAATCTTTCTCGGTTGCGCGAAAGCAAGCTGCAAGTAATCACTCCCGCATCACAAGCGCGACTGCCATGACGTGGCGATCAAATACGGGAAGCTGAGCGCCAAATAGTTCTTTATCCTGGATTATTCTCGACTTTAGACTCCATATGAGTTCTGTTGCAACATGAAATAGTCGACTTATTGGTGCGTCCACGTATAATGTAAGAACCAACTCATGTGAGAAGACACTGGATATATTAGACCGCTGCGCACCCATCTATTCCCTACTATTCAAATATACTGTACATTTTAAGATCTTGATAGTTGTTTCTTTGGACACTGCTCGTCCGCAAGAAAAATTACCTTCATTCTCTAACTACTATGTCTCTCAGGATATTACATGCGTCTGTCCTGGCCATGGGGGGTTGAAACGCCGAAAGAAGAGAGTAACTAATCTCTCAGTTGCCTAACCAGCTCCCATTCCTGGTCTCCAAACAAGCAGTACTGTCATTCCACAAAACAACGTCAAGAATCTCCCTCTTAAGGAAAGTAGAGGAATTCCCTAAGAATTAAACCCAACCTCTGCTAATAACGACGATCATGTGATATAGTACTAGATACTTGGCACGTGACTTAGATCCCGTGGGGTTCTGTCGTCACGTGGTGAACGCATCCCTAAAAGGTCTCCCAACAACAGTCCATATCATACCTCCTACCCATTTAATCCTGTCTTCATGTCGACAATGGAACCACTCCTCTCCTCAATTCTTTGAGAGAAGCTGCGGACATGTCGTGAGTAATTTGAGTTATCGCTAGTATACGCATTGTCTCGGTACGATGATCTATATTTACCTCGGCGAGCCGCGCATTGACTCTTGGGCGCTTAACAGATGAAACTGCTCAATTCTATTGGCAGACACAATGATTCAACATATAATGAAACAGGATACAAGATCTCTCTGCGAACCTTCAGCTGATCCACTCACCGGTTCCCCCAGTTCCCTCACGAACGATAGGAAACGATAGGACAGAAGATATTACCCGAAATTTATGAAACAGGAATTGCGTTTTAACGCGTTGAAAGAGACACTGGATCCCTGATGACGCTGGAAACCCACTGGTTCTTGAGTCAACTGCCACCATCGTTCAGCCAAGCGCTTTCCTCCGGGTTTCCCGTTCATTCTGCAGCTGGCGGATTTCTTTATCAAGTTCCATGATGACCTTTCGTGATCGGTCCATGGATGCTACCAGGGTACCCCCCTCGCGCTTCCATCTTTCCAACCTCTCTAGTTCTGCAACTCGACGGCGATGTTTCGTCTCAATCTTTTCGCAGAGACGGCACTTCGTGGGCTCAAACTCAGTGACGTTGACGAGTCTCATGCCGCAGGTTTCTCCGGTTCGATACTCATAATTGCACTGGTGGGCGAAGCTAGTCCAGCTCCAGTCTCCACATGCGAACCGCTTTTGGTTGTAGAAGCACATGCCTATCAGATCAGTTAGCGATGAGCAAGCTTGGGGCCTTATCAAACCTACTTGATCTATCCGAGGAAGGTGTTTCAGCTTCTAGTTCCCTGACTATTGGTTGGGCTTTTCCGGCTCTCTCTTCAAGAACGATTGATAGGTTGTGCTTCGACGTCTTCTTCACACGCTCCCCAGGATCTGAGGGGTAACTTGATGCTCCTTTCTAGTGCACAGTATCGAACTGCGATGACTGCTCGAAGGCTTTCACTTCAAAATCACTTATCCAGGAGAACGATCATAGCGGACCAGGTCTCATATTTATGTTTCAAGATGCGTTACTGTCTATTTGTTCCGACTTCGACACCCCACCGTTGTCGATCAACATGCTCGTCAACGTGGGCTTACTTTTGGTGTATTACTTTATATCGCCCCAGTACGTCTTTATGCATTATCGTTGGGTACTATCATCCCTCCCGTGGCGGCGATGTCGAATGCTTAGGGCATGTTCGATCACCCCTGGTTTGAATTTCACCTGCAGCTTCGCGGACGCATGCAAGACCTGAAAGTCGTGGCATGGAATTACCCTTGATTGTACTGGAATATCGGGAAAATCCCCGCATTACCTGAACCTGGGTGTTTCATTGAGTTGGCGTAACAGTGTTGTCGACCTCGCCATAACCCCCGCTCATCCTGTTTACCTTCCAAATAGAGATACCATCTTGGGCAGGGGCCATCGAACCCGAAAGTCCGATTGACCTTGTGCATGGAGACCTAGCGGACAAGTCGTGCCACCTGTCTTGGTTGCTCATTCCAGCCGCTTTTCATTCATGGATACCTTGTGTGTGTATTGCAGGGGAGTCGCATCATTTTTTTATTCTTCACATAGCAGATACCGACGTCTGTGGCCAGATGCCAGCCCTCGCGAACGTAGCATGCGCCACCTGTTCGTACCTCTCGTTTGCCTTCCGTCTGTCCTCCATTTAGTGGCGTACTAACCTTTCTCTGATGCGTTGTCAATGTCATGCTTCTCATCAGTTGTCAGATCCTTGTTGGAAGCACTGGCACTGGGTCTTGCTCAGAGAGGATGCCTTTGCACTTCCTGTTCTTCTAGGCTCCCTCTCAAGCCGACTGCTAATATGGCCTGCCTTACGTCCCAGCGTTTCGGCCGCATGTCGACCTTATGTAACATCCCATAAGAACTATTATCATTTGGACCCAGAGGCCTAGCTTCGAACTATTCCTAGAACAGGCTTCTGACTTTCGTACCCGATGATCCGGGCGTCTTTTTCTCATTATGCGCATCATGCAAAACAATTATTGCATTCTAAGATGGCTACTGTTCTCGACGCCACATTAGTTGTCTGCAGGGGAATGCTCAAACCACAAATCTCCCCGAACCCAGTTCTCTTCAGCTGACCTCTCAAATCTGCAGAACCTCCATCTCGCATTGGGCTCCGCCTAAGTGCAGTGTCCATTTCCAGATCCATGTTTCTCTAACACAGTATGATAAGAGCCTATGCCTGAGCATCAACTAGGAAGGCACACAGTCTGTGACACGGTACAACTGCTGTTTGGACCACCTGAGTCTGCATTAGACCTCTCCCATTATCTGACGTGGCGAAGCATGTCTGGTGCGGCTTCTGAAGAGTCGCTATTACTCCCCAGGGTTCCTGGATATAGATGAGGCGAAAACTATGCCCCAGACTATTCAGCAAAATTAGTAACGTGAACGATGTGTGCTGTGGCATGAAACTACAGCTAAGGAGGTTCAATGCATTGTGCCCAGGAACTTTCCAGTGTACGTCATGAGGTGCATCATCGTCCTTCTGTTCATGCAATTCACTACTTTGACAGGGGACAACGGCCCGAATTCGTCTGGAAATTACATGTCCAGCATGAGGGGGGTGATTATACAGCGACCACTTGCCAACTCAGCGGGCGTGCGAGTTTCGACAACCTACTCTGAGATGATGGAGACGGGGATTCGGACGCAACAAGGAGATGATCGGTGTTGGCGGCTTGGACTAATACTCATTCGCCACCTTTTCAAATTGCTTTTGCTTCCGCTATTTTCTGCCACGTTCAGTTCTCACTGTTACAGTTAATATGTCTCCGGCTCAGAGCACTGCCATATTGCACGCTAATCGTCCGAAGGCGTTGCAAGTCACCCAATGGCACGCACTGTCTCTTCCACGGCAAACATCTTTCATAGTGTACAGATTTCAGGGTTCGGTGAGTGCCGTTATACGACTGCTAGAGATCTTATATTTGGTTATTAGATGGCGTGCGGGAACCATCTACATGTCCCATTCAGCTGGGCCCTTTTGGTAATCGTGGTCGTGGGTCCAGGCGGAGCTGATTGTGAGCCTTCTGTTACTGCGACCAATGGTGCTTTTCACAAGACATCTGGCTCTTATGATCCGCTGCTCTGGATGGTCGCTCCAATCTATGCGGGTTTTCTATTGGGCTATATTTCCGTGCATGCGATTATCCCGCTGCAAACGCTAAGTAAACACCCAGCCATTTCCGAGGATATGCAACTAGGAAAGCTCCTGTTATTCAGAATCCCAGTGTACGGGATATAGCTTAAGGCACACAAAGTCTATTAACACCCCTGCATGCTCGGGATCCGTTTCAGTCGTTCGAGCTGTGGGCTGCACCAAATATCAGAGATCTTCTCCGAGCCCACCTGTTACTGTGCATAGTCTGTTTCTGGGTCTTCGATTCTATGTGGCTCATTTCTGTCGCAAGCTCATTGGTGCCACATTTCGTGATAAGTGTTCAGCTCGTCACCTAGTTTCATCCGAGTCTTACAGCTGGTTCTATACAGAACAGAGCTAAATCATTTGATATCTGTGACTTGGCATGGCTACCCTCTCCACGGTATGTCTTTTACGTGTCAAGGGGGGGTATAATGAGAGTCGCAACATGCCCATAGATATTGGAATGCTTTTACAATGCGCTTCACTTCAGGCATGATACATTACCTGCCTGCGCGAATTTTCACTTTCGGTAACTCAGCCTCGCATTACGGACTCCTCTGCACCGGCCGGGCTTCTAAGTGGCATTTCATCCTGGAAGCATTCGTTTCGTCAAATGCCAAGTCTATGAAAGAACTCTCTTTTGAGGTAAGGGAAGCCTCTGATGTTGGGTTATGCCGGTTCGTCACAGGAAGATCTTCATGTTAGACACTCACACATGCAGACTCCCTACTTACCCGACGTCACTTGGAAGTTCGATACGATAGCCGTAGCTAGCATCGAGTCCTTCAATCCGGCCCATTTTGCCTTTTGCTCTCCGCCAGAGGGGGAGTAGGGGAAAGCTGAGAGAATAAAGAAAGATGTAGACAGGAGTCACTAAAGTAGAAGAGGTCCCGTGGCCATCAATCTTCATGATCCATGATTGGTCTCCAGTGCCAATTTTTATATCCACAACACCTTCACGCGTATAATATTAGCACACTTGATCTGCCTTGTTTGTGTAGATATGTCCATTGTCGACAGATTGGCACGTGATGATAACAAGATGCTGCAGGTCCGCCGTGACGTCACCATGACTTTGGCAACCAAAACCACTCGAGCTCCCCAGAACAGGCACATCTCGCTTTTCTTCAACATCTCTTTGGCTCGAGCTGATTATCACGGTCAATTGATGTAAGTCACAGTCATTCGATAGACATGTTTTCTACTGAGAACTAATCACTCATCTTGCCTCAGCAGCCAACGGAAACAATATATATTCATTATCTCTTGTCTGTCGTGGATTAGGTGTCACAAGATCTCGTACCATAGTCATTGACACAGCTTCGAAAAGAATAAGAGGAAAAGGAATCACAGAAACCGCTCAATTCTACAATGACGAACCCAATTGCTTCGCTCCGCCATATTGGCCGCATGGTCCGCGCTCCAGCCGTGGATTTCAGAGGCACACGAAGTTTTGGTACGAGATCGACATTGTTCGCTGAGTCGAGCCAGAAGAGCATCGACCGTAATGAGCTGAAGCCCGAACGGAGCGAGTATTCGAAGTCCGGAACCGACGACGAGGTAGCTGGTCATCCATCAGCTTTTGACCCATCGAAGACGTCACCCGAAAGTGAGGTACAAGCTTCGTGCGAGGAGACTCGACAAGAAGGGAAGTCTAGCAATCCTCTGAATGTCAGCCCTGGAAACAAGGACGTCAGTCAGGCACGCGACCCGACAGAGGGCGGAGCAGATGCGAGTACTCCACACTCGCCGAGTTCGCGAGGAGCACCACCGAAGAACAAGCAGGTAAACAAGCCGCATTGAGCATCATGAATAAGATGAATATTGTGCGGCCAGGAGATGGGGTAGCTTGAGATGAGGGACTGCGCATTTCTGTACTTTTTTTTTGCAAAATGTTTGCATATCAATGGTCGATGCTGAACATATTAGAGATACTCCTGTTTCTAGAGAATTACAAGCATACAACTGTGAACGGGATATCAAGCGTAAAATGGTGCCAGTGTAGGAATGTAATGATCGAGCAAGCACATAAATTAATGCAACACTCTCAAGCAATTACTGAGCGGAGAATAACGGCGATCCTAATATAGCATTTATGCGGGATCTTTCCACTCTGTCCGCCCCAGGCGGATGATGTCACTTCCTCCAAGCACCCAGACCTTCTCGTTGCCGGAGGGAACGTCCCCTTCTAGAGCTTTAAGACCTGCATTAACCGCAGCCTTGGCGATAACATCTGAGTCTTGGGCCCAAGTGTCTTTAAGGGCGGAGTGCACCTTGCCTGCGACGCCAGCAATGAATCGGAACACCGCCTCGGTGGGCCGGCTCTCTTCGCGTTGACCAGAGATCAGGCCTGGTCGCAGGATAACGGTTTTTTCGAAACCGAGCGCTTTTACATCCTCCTCAATTTCACCCTTCATGCGCGAGTAGGGGATGGAAGAGGTTTTGCTCGCGCCGCTTGAAGAGATGAGGACGTACACCTTCACGCCGGCATCGCGCGCAGCACGCGCCATCTCCACGTTCAGGCCATGCTCTATCTTATACTGGTTCTCAAAACCGCCAGCTGCAGCGCGTGTTGTACCAAAAGCGGAGAAGAATATTGAGGGTGGTGGAGTAAGGGAAGAGAGCTGAGAGGCCCATCGAGAAGTATCGGCATCGACGATGGTGGTTAGCTTAGCAGGAGGAGCGGCGGAGGCTGCGGGTGGTGTCCGCCTGGTAATAGAATCGATGCGTGAGATGGAAGGATGTGCGAGAAGGGTGCTCAGGATATGGGAACCCTAGATGATTAGGATGCGCTGATCAGTACTCAAGCGAACTCCCTGAGGATGGTTGGTAATATGTCAGCAGAACATACCACCATACCGGTGGACCCGATTATCGCAACGGACGCCATAGCGATGCCTTATGTGTGTACAACTGATGCTTTAACGTCAAATGAGGTGATGAATGAGATGTAGCAGCTCTGTAATTCAGATAGGAGACTGTCTCTGCGACGTTGGATGTTTTATGGAGGATCAAGATAGGGCTGTCGCATCCACGTGCCGGAGGCATTACGTGACTGCAGTTCTGCCTCGACTTACCGCTTTTGGTACGATGAGTCAGCAACGAATGCCAAGATCTTTATCGATAAGAAATTGCGTGATCGAGACTAACCGTATACGGAAAGACGCCCTGTCTCTCGTCCGATAGTTTGTCGTTTTTTTTATATATCCAGGCGGGATTTGCCTCGTTTCCCCTCATTCTTTCTCTATTTATGCCTCTGAGCCTCAGATATCTGGTTCTCTGATCTAGGTATCTCTGGTTTTTGACTCATTTTCAACATGGGCTCCTCTACTCCTGCCCTGTCTACCCTCGTGGGGCCGACATATGCCACTGCGCAGACTCTCATCCAGCAGGTTGCGTACGCTCTGTCGGACAAGCTCTTTTCCTACTCTCCGGAATCTTTCGATCTTGATGCTGCTATCCGGGAGTGGTCTGCACGCAAGGAGAAGAACAGCAATGGCGAATCTCCCGCTGTCCAGACAATGGAAACCCGCCAGGGTGCCGGTAGCATTGCTCTGGGATATCTATTCTCCCCGGACTTCGACTTGAAGAAGCGTCACGTTCCCCAGGGAATTGTGGCCTCGTCGGCTACTCTGCCTTACCTCCGCTCCGCGTTGGAACAGCTTTCTCTTCTCTACTCCGTGGCTAGCCCTGTTGCGGCCCACGTCGCTGCTGTGGACTACGCCGGCGAGGACGGTCTCGTGTCGGACTATGTCACTGCTCTTGCCCTTGCGGAGGAACTTGGCCTGGGTCTTGTGTCTAGTGCTTCTGCCCATGAGGCCCAGCACATGGCCCTCTTCACCACTCTGCTGGCCTCCGTGCTGCCCTCGATCCACATCTACGACGGTGTTCGCGTAGGTCGTGAGACCACCCGGGTCATTGACGTCCTGAACCAGACTAGCCTAACCCGCACCCATGAGACCGTCCTGAAGCAGCAGGCTGATGCGCGCAACAAGCACCTGGACAACCAGGGCAAGGCGCTCAGTATCCTGCAGTCTCTGAACGCTGAATTGGGCACCGACTATGGTCTCTTTGAGTACCATGGCCACCCAGAGGCCACGTCGGTCTTGGTTGCGTTTGGTACTGTCGAAGCCTCGCTGACTGCTCAGATTGCTGAACATCTCTCCAAGAATGGTGCACGCGTCGGTGTGGTCAATGTGCGTGTGTACCGTCCATTTGTCGAGGAGGAGTTCTTGCGAGTCTTGCCGCAGTCTGTTAAGACCATCGGTGTCCTTGGCCAAGTGCGTGATGACCAGTCTGTCCAGGAGGAGGGTGTCCACTCTGCCCTGTACGAGGATGTTCTGGCCACTGTGGCATTTGCTGCTGATCGTCCTCATGCGCCCACCGTGGTTGAGATCAAGTATTCTCGCTCCCAGCGTTGGACTCTGGTCAACGCCGCGGCTGCCTTCCAGCGCGTGGCCGACAAGCCCATCTTGCAGGACACGCAGGAGCAGGCCCTGCAACTCCTGGACCCTGCCCATGTGCAGGAGTACATCTTCTGGGATCTGGATGATTCCGTCTCTGGACACGCTGCTGTCAAGTTTGGTGAAGCTCTGGCTACCGACTCCGCCAGCAACGTCACAACTAGCACGGTGTACGATAACTTGGTGCAGGGTGGTGTTGTTCGCGTCGATATTCGCAAGAGCTCCAAGGCATTGGATACTCCCTACGCCGTGAACACTGCTGATGTCGCCTACGTGGGTGACGTCAAGATCTTGGCCGATGTCAACGTTTTGGCTTCCATCAAGGACAATGGCAAGATCATCGTTCGTGCTCCTGGTGTCAAGGACGATGAGCTCGAGAAGAAGCTTCCTGCTGCATTCAGACAGGAGCTTGCTCAGCGCGGCATCTCCCTTTACATTGTCGACTCCTCGGCCACCGAAGACGCCTCGTTGGAGCCATTGATCTTGCAGACGGCCTTCCTGCGTGTTGCTGAGCCTTCTGCCGAGGCTTCTGGAATCCAGAAGCTGTCCAAGGTTGTCGGTGACGCCGCTACGGTCGAGAAGGTCTCTAACGACCTGCACAAGATGTTGCGCCAGATCGAGGTGCCTGAGTCGTGGACTAATGTCGAGGATGCCGCAACAGCTCCTAGCTTACCCACTGATGTCACTGCTAACAGCTTCGTGCCATTTGACAAGAACGAAGTGGAGCCTCCATCGCTGCTGAAGGACTGGAAGACCGCCGCCAAGGGTCTCGCCTTCAAGGAGGCCTATGGAACAAAGGCTGCCCTCCGACCGGATCTTGCGGCCAAGACATTCACGGTGCATGTCAAGGAGAACCGTCGCTTGACTCCTGTCACCTATGACCGTAACATCTTCCACATTGAGTTCGATCTCGGCGATTCAGGTCTCACATACGATATCGGAGAGGCTCTGGGTGTCCATGCTGAAAACGACTCAGAATCCGTCATGGAATTCATCAAGTTCTATGGCCTCAACCCAGAGGAAATTGTGGAGGTGCCAAACCGCGAGGATGAGTCAGTTCTGGAGAACCGTACTGTATACCAGGCACTCATGCAGAACGTCGACATTTTCGGCCGTCCTCCCAAGCGCTTCTATGAAGCTCTTGCTGAATTCGCCACTGATGAGAAGGAGAAGAAGGAGCTGCTCACTCTGGGTGGTCCTGAGGGCGCCGAGGAGTTCAAGCGCCGTGCTGAGGTTGACACCGTCACCTACGCTGACATCCTGCTTGAATTCCCCTCTGCTCACCCTGCCTTCCACGACATTGTGCGCATTGTCAGCCCGATGAAGCGCCGTGAGTACTCCATTGCTTCTTGCCAGAAGGTCACCCCGACCTCGGTTGCCCTGATGATTGTTGTGGTCAACTGGGTTGATCCCAATGGCCGCGACCGCTTCGGACAAGCTACCCGCTATCTCAAGGACCTCAAGCCTGGCACTCCAGTCACTGTCAGCGTCAAGTCCAGTGTGATGAAGTTGCCTCCCAAGTCTACCCAGCCTCTTATCATGGCTGGTCTCGGAACCGGTCTTGCGCCGTTCCGCGCCTTCGTGCAGCACCGTGCCATGGAGAAGGCCCAGGGCAAGGAAGTTGGTGCTGTCCTGTTGTACATGGGCTCTCGTCACCAGCGCGAAGAATACTGTTACGGAGAGGAGTGGGAAGCCTACCAGGCCGCCGGCGTCATCACCGTCCTGGGTCGTGCGTTCTCCCGTGACCAGCCCGAGAAGATCTACATCCAGGACCGCATGCGCCAGACCCTGCCTGAGATTATCCAGGCGTACATCCGCGATGATGGTGCTTTCTACCTCTGTGGTCCCACCTGGCCTGTTCCCGATGTCACGGCCGTGCTGGAGGAAGCTATCACCACCGAAGCCCAGGCGAACGGAAAGAGGGTTGAGGCTCGCAAGGAGATCGAGAAGCTCAAGGACCAGGAGAGATATGTCCTGGAGGTCTACTGATCACATTGATTCGCATCTGCAGTCATTTCGCGTTAGAAACCATGATATCCAGACACTTTAGCGAATGATAGATAGATACCTGCTTTAAGTAATGATTTTCAGGATCAATGTGAAAAGTTTCTCTTGCCGTACAATCTAAGATGCAACCTAAATTTCCTGTTGGAACTGCTGTCGCATGCAAATCGTAGCATTGTAGGCTCATAATGTTGAATATGACTTTTGTGTAGCCCCAGTAGGCCCCCTATCTCTATGCAACTCCAGGGTATCTTGATATAATATGCAGCTGGCTTTTTTTGTACCTCCCACCAACTATCGGTTGTTAACCACCGCCATACTATGCATAGTATATGAAATATTGTGAATAAGAAAGCGTCCCAGAATATTTGACGATTTTGATATGAAGAAAGTACTTTCTCGACAAACGCGCAACTTTTACCGTGGTGTTATGCCCTTCCGATACTACCCAGTTTAGTTTTCCCATATGCGCCTCCCTTCTCCTTCCGCAATTCGAGCGCCTGGCGATAAGGTGGTGCTGTAGGTGGTTGCACTGGATCCAGGCTGACATAGCCTTCGGGTAAGGCGTACGAAGCGTCTGAGTCCCAGGCCGATAGGTCACCGCAGGCGATGAAGGGAGCGATCCAGCGGCTTTCCAATGGATGGATTCCCCGCGGCTGCGATGAGGGGTCCAGAACTCGCGTCTGTGTCAAGTGGTTGGGGGCAGTGGAGACTGGTTCTGATACTGCAACAGGAGTGCGATCTTCCCGCTCTTCATCCTCTCCATCGGGCATTTCGATCTCGACCGTATGGTCAGGGCCAGTGGGTACGGCCGCAGCACCTCCAAACAATGGATCTTGTAAGGCACCTAGTCCTATTTGCCGTTCGCCATCCCCTTCTCTGGTGGGAGGGATGAACCCCTCGCACACAACGAAGGCCTCTAGACTGCTAGCACGACTGCTTCGGGGCTTCGCCACGGAGACTTTCTGGAAAACGGTCCGGAGCTGTGCGTATATGATGTCCACGTCTCTTCCGCGGAATATTTTTGCAACGAATTTCCCACCTGGCCTTAGAACACCGATCGCCAGATTGAGCGCCGCGTAGAGAAGTTGAGACTGGATATAGATATCCAGGTCGTGGAGTCCAGTCACATCGGGGGCACCGTCGGACAGAACAAGGTCCACCGGGTGTGGTTGTTTAGAGACGGACTGGGAAGATGAAGTGTATGCCTCTGGGTCCAAGGCGCGTAGAAGCAGAGGAATTGTCGATGGATGCGTAATGTCGGCCTTCAGAGTCGTGATACCTTCCAGTGGGGCCATGGGCTGGAGATCAATAGAGACGATCTTGACATTTTTCCGAGGCTTCAAGCCTGTATCCTCTTCTTCGCCGTCTTCCATATCTACTGCAGCATCATCCAATCGATCTTTGTACTTCTCCAGTCTCTCCAACGCTCTCTTTTCTTTCCGTCTCTTCTCTAGCCATGCTCTCCGTCCAAAGCTCTCGCCTTTGATCAAAACTCGACTGAGCACTTGACTCCAACTACCCGGAGCGGCGCACAGATCAACGACCCGCGTGACGCTATCGGGGTCTGCATGAGCGAATAGGTCGAATTGTTCATCGATCTGGATGAGCTTGAAGGCGGAACGAGCGCGCCAATTCTGCTCTTTCGCCAGACGGTAGTAGGCATCACGTTTGTCTTTGGACGACTTCCCCATAGCGGAAGATTTGAGACTGAGTTAGTATCTGTTTTCAATTTTATCTCCCAGTTCGGTATCCAATGTAAAAAAAAATCTTGAAAAAGCATTTGCGCGCTCCGAGGAGTCGTCGGTGATCTTTTTCGCGGACGTGGGGGAGTGCGATAAGATCAGGCCGAAAATGGCGGGCGGAGTTTTTCTGCCGCGTAAAAAAATAACTGAGCAGCGCAACAAAGAGACGAACATTACATTCTCCTCACTTAAGCGCCGCATCGTTCATTCATCATGGCTAAGAAGCGAGATCGCGACTCAAAGGGCCAAGGGGCCCCTCTTAAAAAGAAACAGAGAGTCGACAATGTGTCCAACGACGCCGTCGTTGCGTTGGACGATCTTGATTGGAAAGCGGTTGCTCTCCCAGACCGACTGGACGATGCAGAAGGTTTCTTTGGGTTAGAGGAGATTGATGGGGTTGATATTGTGCGACCTGAAGGAAAGGGAGAGATTAAATTCAAGGTGCGAATTCCATGTGGTTTGCTGTACGAGGAATTGGGATCAATACTAACTTGACCAAATAGGCTGCCGGAAACAAGCCTACGAAGTCCATTCTGAAGAAAAATATTACCCCCAAGGAAGACGATACGAACTACGATGACGAATGGTCTGGATTCAGCGATGGTGAAACAAAGGAGAAGCCTGCTCAGGATATGGACGAGGCCCACGAGGATAAGGCCGGGGCAGACGACTCGAAGGAGAGCAAACAGTCAAAGAAGAACAAGAAGGAAAAGCAGGAAAAGAAAGAAAAGAACCAGAAAAAAGGCAAAGAAAACGACACGAAGCGGAATGATCGTGGCCTCCAGCCCAGTTTATCCTTCGCTGCTCTCGAGGACATGGAAGAGGACGGCGTGGATGTCTCTGCCTGGGATCCGCTTGGATTGTCACCCGAACTGCAAACAAGTCTGTCGAAGCTCAAGTTCGCGACACCGACAGCTGTACAAAAGTCTTGTATACCACATATCCTGGACGGTCATGATGTTGTGGGCAAGGCCTCTACGGGTTCAGGAAAAACATTGGCTTTTGGTATCCCCATCCTTGAACATTATCTGAGCCAAAGAAGAAGCAATCCCACGGACCAAAAAGACGAAAAGAAGACATACCCTATCGCCCTCATACTTTCTCCCACACGAGAACTGGCTCATCAGCTAGCTAAGCACATTGGAGACCTGAACACACACGCACCCGACACTAATGCTCGTATCGCGCTTCTAACGGGAGGATTGTCGATCCAGAAACAGCAAAGATTGTTGGCGAATGCAGATATCGTTATTGGTACTCCCGGACGAGTATGGGAGATTATGAGTACTGGACAGGGTCTCATCCACAAGATGCAGAAGATCAAGTTCTTAGTCATTGACGAGGCAGACAGACTTCTCAGTGAGGGCCATTTCAAGGAGATTGAGGAGATCATAAATTCGCTCGACCGGAAGGAAGAGAATGGGTTCCCTGAAGAGGAGGCAAGTTCTGATGATGAGGAAGAGGAGGAGGAGGATCAGCGCCAGACTTTGGTCTTTTCGGCAACATTTCACCCCGGGTTGCAGCAAAAGCTAGCAGGCAAAGGACGCTTCTTCAGTGGTGACCTGCTGGACCAGAAGGAGTCCATGGAATATCTGTTGAAGAAGTTGAACTTTAGAGAAGAACGACCGAAATTCATCGACGTTAACCCTATCCAGCAGATGGCAGAAGGCTTAAAAGAAGGGATCGTGGAGTGTCCAGCAATGGAAAAGGTTAGTGCTCTTCTGACACAAACACCCTAAGTTCAATATAGTCTCATTGATTCTAATAATGACTACAGGACCTGTATCTATATACTCTCCTCCTCTACCATCCAAAGCATCGCACATTGATCTTCACCAACTCTATCTCCGCTGTACGCCGACTCACCCAATTCCTCCAAAATCTAAACCTACCTGCTCTCGCTCTGCACTCTTCAATGGCTCAAAAAGCCCGTCTCCGCTCCGTTGAGAGATTCTCGTCACCATCGTCAGACCCTAGCTCCATCCTCGTCGCCACAGACGTTGCCGCCCGCGGTCTCGACATTAAAGGCATTGACTTTGTTATCCACTATCACGTTCCTCGCACAGCTGACACATACGTCCACCGATCCGGCCGTACTGCTCGTGCCGGCGCACAAGGAAAGAGTGTCATCCTCTGTGCCCCTGAAGAAGTCGTCGGCGTGGCCCGTCTAGCCGCGAAGGTTCACACAGACGCCAAGGCATCCAACACCAAGCGCCTCCCTCTGGAATCCGTTGAGCTCGACCGCCGTATCGTGGCTCGCGTCCGTCCTCGCGTAAATCTCTCGAAACGAATCACCGATTCTACCATTGCCAAAGAAAAAATCAGCTCTGAAGACAACTGGCTCCGCGCAGCGGCCGAGGATCTCGGCGTGGACTACGACAGCGAAGAATTCGAAGCTACAGGAAAAGGCAAAGGTCGTGGTCGCGGTGGTGGTCGCCACGAACGCGAGAAAAAGGCCGGTAGCGTCACTAAAGCCGAAATGGCCGGTATGCGCGCTGAGTTGAAGCAATTGCTTTCACAGCGTATCAATATAGGTGTTAGCGAACGGTATCTCACTGCTGGACGCGTTGATATTGAGGCTCTGCTCCGCGGGGAAGGCAACCAGGCGTTTCTGGGACCGGTGGATAAGTTGGATTTCTAGTCTTAAAAGAGCGGGACAGACTCTTGTTCTAGTCCTTTTTACTGTATGTATATATATAGACAATGACCCGTAACTAGAATCCCGAAAATAGCGCAGGTTAATTTAAAAGTCACGAAATAGTGTTGCGCTATTTATGATCTAAAAACATTGGGAACTCCTAGAGCCGCTTTCCTGGGACTGCTTGTGCAGTCTTATGCTACATGCATAACTGGCCCGCATTTGTATACGTACCTAGTATAGAGAACCCCCAGCCTCTTTAAAGTGGAAATGGAGAAATATATTGACGGGATCGAGGATCTCGTACAATCATAGCACTGCCGCGAATAGCGTGATATCATAATTCGTCTTTGATCATCGTTAAAGACCCCATCAAGACATAGAACGATCTTCTCCGACGACGCATATGATGCTATCATGCTGCTATCGATGTCTGATATTCTGGCCTCAGCAATGAGCATTCCAACAGAACAGGGTATACGCGAAGAACTGATTGTCACACTCAATCACACCAGATAACAATGTGTGCAATAGAGCTTTTTCAGTTGTCGCTCATGTATTGGCCACCTTTAGATGAGAATGTTGCCGCTATGAGGGCGGATGACCCAACCAAAGCACAGCGCAAAAAGTGGACTCGTCGCTATAGACCCAATATACCCCAGAAAAAATAAACAAATTGATAGTAAGATATGAACGGTATTTATAGTCATTTCAAGCCCGTACAAGGACGACTAACTGTTAGTAGAGGTATTAGTAGACCAGAATAGACTAACAGTAAACGCAGATATCTGCCATCAGTAGATAAACGCCATATGATGCATTTTTCGTCCGTGATGTGAAAAGAGCTAATGAGAACAATGGTACTTTCCCACGGATATGTATTTCCGGAGAAAAGAGGGCTGCGTGCTAGGCGGGAGATTGCGATCAGTGACGTTTCATGAACCAGCCGCCTTTTTCCCATAGCCCAGGTTCATAGAGGCAAGAATTTCGCACTTTGTCCTTCAGCACTCCATCAAGAAGACTATTGATGCGTTTGAAATCAATAGGCTTGAGTATCCATCCATCGAAGCCAGAGTCGATGTATATTTGGCGATCTTTCTCGACCAAAGACGCCGATACAGCAAAGATCGGAATCCTCCCATTGTAACGAGCTACGGCAGATAATAAGGTACCGGATGCTTTGCTTTCGAATTCGCGGATCATTTTTGTAGAATTCACGCCGTCCACAATGGGCATCTGCAGTTATGTCAGCACAGACGATGATAAAGTGATTTCTTGTCGACCTACCTGAATATCCATCAACACAGCATCGAAGGAACTCGATCTCTCACGATGGGCAATGGCGCACTCTTCCCCGTTGACAGTCAAATGAACAGTATGGCCAGCTTTCTCCAATCTCTTCTGTATGATCTTGCTATTGATCGGGTCGTCTTCCGCAACAAGTACGCGCAGACCAGACTCCACCCCGGAAGGGTTTAATCTTGGAGATACACTAACATCTTTTTCGCGAGGAATCTCTAGGCCCTTTGTTGGCTTCGGTGATTTAGAACCATCTATTGACGAGGTTGGTCCCGTCGAAGATGATTGGGACGTATTGTCTTCTTGGACGCGCAAGGCACTCAATGGAACGCCCGAGTCAGTTACCGATTCCTGGCCCGGTAAACGAGGAGAACCTAGCGGCATCACCGTTCGTGAGGGGACGGTTGGGCTAGAAATTGGAGATATTCTATTTCCTTGCGTAGCTAGAGGACTGCCAAATGGCACCCTAGTGGTTTGATCGGTGCCTGATATGATTGACGGGCTATCCCCGCCATCGGGAGCTCCATTCCTGCGGTTTCTCCGAGCGTGAAGATTCTCATGCGCTGGTTTCTGGGAGAAAGGCCCATCCTGCATGGCGCTGATAAGTCGGTCAACATCACTCTTTCCGCTCCGAGCGCTATTACCACTGAGACTGCTGGAGTTACTATTTCGCCGCCTCGATCCACTGCGACTCTGGGAATTTCTGTTAATAAGCAGAAATTCCCCTTCGATTGGCGGCGGTGTCTGCGGTACATCACGTTCCTCAGCTTGAAGCAACGTTTGACGAGTCGCAGGCTTTTCTTCATCGGCAGGTAGTGGGAATCTTAATTGGATCTTGAAACGACTGCCCTTCCCTTCTTCGGACTTGACGCTTAGCTGGCCCTGCATGTTGCGAACGATGCGAGCAACTAGTGCCAATCCCAGACCAAGAACAGGTTTCTGTTCCTCGTCTGAGCTCTCGCCTGACTCTCGGATGTTGTAATGTTCATAGTAGATCGGATCGTGCTCACTGGAGACCTGCTCTAACTCTCGAAAGAGATTTTCCAACATATCCTGGGACATCCCAGAACCTGTGTCACTGACTGCCAATTCGACATCCATATGGTCCGGCTCTTGCTGGCTGGGCGAAGGCCAACTCTCAACAGTAATGGCCCCTGATGACGTATGCTGCATGGCATTCGAAATAATGTTGGTTATCACCTGCCGGACACGCCGCTGATCGCCCAGGACAGATTTCGGGGCTCCGGGATACTCAATAACATTGTAGGCAATGTTCTTTCTCTTAGCTTCTCCTTCAAACATCTCGGCAGCTTCTTTTAGCGTGGTGTGGAGGTCGAAAACCTCGTCTTTGATCAGATTCTGTCCATTTTCGGTATTTGTCAAGTCTAACAGGTCATTGATCACGTAAATAAGTGATTTGGATGCCGAGTGCGATTTCGCTAGGTTCTCCCGGATTTCGCCGTCTAAAGAGCCTTCCAAGGCGATTTCCAGGTAGTTGACGATTGCATTAAGCGGTGTTCTCACCTCGTGAGCTGAATTGGCCAGGAGTAATTTGGTTAGTTGTGTGCTTTGCATCACAGCTTCTTTCTGTCGCCAGACTTCGATAAACTTCCCATAAACAAGGCAAAGAACAGCCGCAGTCTCAACGTCTGCTTCGCTCCACTCGCGTGAACGTGTCATGATAGTTTCCTTCCACGTTTTGAAACTCGCGCGAGGCTCGAGATACGCGGCTGTTCCTTCTTTGTACCTTTTTTCGTAAGGATTCCCGGCCCACTTGACTTCTGTTAACTGTCCGCGCCTGAAGAAGACGATAAAGTCACTGCCCCCAGAAGACAGTGGGACATAGAGTAGGCCAGATATACTTTTCAAGCCTGGTGGATAGTTTAGATCCTCGAAGTCTTTGGTGATATCGTGAGAAGCTAAAACTGAACTGATTCGGCGCATCCGCAAATATTCCAGCAAGACCAAGACTTCTTGGGCCTGAGCAACCCGACCTAAAATTTTCGTCTCATCACGAATGGAAAGAGCACCGTAATCTGCATCGAAAAGTTTCAGAAGATCATCCGATGAGGCGACGATGTACCCGGAAGGGTTTGTTTCAGTGGGAACTGTATTGATAAGTTTTCGCGCTTGAAGACGAGAGGCATATGATAACCGTTCGATATTTCTCGACGTCGTATCACCGATCAGCCGACACATCTTTCTGAGTGGAAAAGACACCCTCATGCCTGATGTGCCATAGGAATGACATGAGATGAGGCCCCATAGTTCGTCGAATGCATTTATACTGATGGACATTGACGATCGAGTACCCATATTGGCCAGGTACTTCACATGTATGGGAGACATTGCGCGTAGATAAGTGTATGTCATATCAATAGGCTCCTCCAAGTCCTTCACAGATCGACAAACTAGTCGAGCAGTCTCCTGATCGCGATCATACAGTAGACGGACCTTGTTAATTCTGTAAAGATCGCGCGCCTGTTTGGGGATATCCGATGCAGGGAAACGCAGTCCCTTGTATAGATCTTTAGAAGCTCTCGGGTCGACTATCTCTGAGACAACCAACCCATTCCAGCTGCTGTCGAACTGGTAGACCATGACTCGATGGAATCCCGTCAGCTCCTTCACGATGCCCACAAGGACGTTAAGGAGAGCATCCAGTGTCGGAGCATTAGCAAGCTGTTCCTGGACTTGAGATAACATATTGAAAACTTTCATCGCTGCTGCCTCTCCCCTTTTGCTCCTTGCACTGCGCAGCATTCGCAAGGGAAGATTGGCGCTGACGGTACTTTGAGCTAGTTCATCAGCAGTTGGAGTAGTCCCTAGCGTATCGAGTGGCTTATTCGGCGTTGTCTCTCCATCCACATTTAGTGGATTGATCTGGTCATCTTCCAGCTCGAACTCACATATTATATAATCTTTGTTGACATCGTTCATGTGGATGGCGCACCAGAATTTTCTCTCCTCTCCGTCCGGTTGCTTGATAGACAGTATGAAAACTTCTGGGCCCTGTATCTTTGGATCACATCCCTCGTCTCTAACGAAATCCACATGATCCAAAAGATTATCCTCCTGCTCCTCTGACAAGATGTCGCCAAAGCTTTCCAGTGCAAATAGTTCTTTTGGAGAATATCCCAATATATGTTTCGAATTCTCGCTCACGACCCTAACTACCAGCTTGCCTTCCGTCTCTTCATGCAACGCAATCAAGACGCCAAAGCTCTGAACCGCGCCTGGAATGTGGATCGGTTCGTCTTCGCAACGTTGAAGTTCGTCCCCATCTCTTCCCGTTATTATTGCATGTCCATCTTCGGTCATGACGTGTTTGAAGCGCGTTGTGAAGAGATAAGGCGTTTCTTCCTCAGTGCCAGTGCTGCGAGGTATATCCTGGCCATCCAGGCGCACGCCACCGTCGGTACTAGAGGCCATCGAAATGCCGTCAGTAGAAATGCGCCCGGAGCCAACATCTTCCCCAACTGGTTGCAGTGTCGCCTTGTGCGGTGAGAGAAAGTCGGTTTTCGAGTCTGTTTCACCTGGAAGCAAAAGCTCGTCGTGATGGCGGGGATCTTTTTCAGCATCTGCTGGACGACTTTGGATAGGTAGTATAGACGTATTTGATATACTGCCAACAATAGATGACCTTCGCGTAACATTCACGGAAGATGAAGGTTCATCTGTCACATCCTCAGAAGGAGGTGATTGCAACCAAGACGGTCTAGGATTCACTGAAATCACTGACCTGATAGGGAAGACCCGGTCAGCCGTATCTGGGCTCAGCGAGGGTAACTGCGGGGAATGTGCATTCGACGAAGGTGATGGTGCTTCCGATTGCGTCCCCGTCATTGTAGGGACCTGGACGATCACTGAACCCGATGATCTATTCTGGCCAAGAGAGTCTTCTCGGCCTCTTTGTCGCGCATTGGCCTCAGTGGTACTGGTACAGTCTATCGTGTCCCTAGACTGAGAGGCTTGATCGCCGCAAGGGTCGTTGGATGCCATTTCAGGCAAACAATAGCGAGCGACTTCCACGTATGAAATCCACGATTAAAAAGCAGATTAAGAGGGTCTCCACAGCGTACGGCATTTATTGCACTTAATATTTATGGTGGCCTGTTTGATACCAGCGGTAACTTGGGAACAAGCAGGCAATGTGGTTCTGTGCGATTTGTGCCTACCAGTAGAGGCATTCCATCTGGCTCCCTAAGCGTTGAGAAAGTAGTTACTGTCAGGATCGTAAACCTCTATCGGCTGCCACAAAACACACACTGGCGACCAGCAGATTTTGATATATCGAGGATCTGCACACGAGCCGGCCACAGGGAGCTGGTGATTGCTAAAGTATGGGAATGGCTGGTCCCAAGGAAACGGGCTCCGGGGACTGAGAGAGGGTCCTTTGGGGGGTTCTGGAGTACAAAGAGAAACGATATTGAGAGTTTCGAGAAGAAGAAAACTAGAGGGGTAGCTTGTGCACAGCAGAAGGAGAGAGCGGTATGGACGCGCGCCTCCGTCGCTTGCACAATTTCCCTCCGTACAACGGACCGTTGCCCGACAGGCTCGTCTGTCTAGAACTTCCAAGGCCTTGAGAAATCCGAAGGGACAGACCAGTGGACCGTGGACCAGGACAGCAAGACTTTGTCCGCCCAAGGTCAGTGTTTGTTTTAGACCTCGGCGCCGTTCTCTGACACTGACATTGGATGATCCGTGAGGCGTGCCTTGTGGCTGGTGGCGCCCGGATCGTCTTGGATGCTGAATGATACTGGATGCCAAAGACTAGCTGCCAAAGAAGGACTAAACTCATACCACGACCTCCAGGAAACCTTGAATCGGGAGGTTCCCCATGGACTTTAGCACCGGACGTTGGACCGTCGCTTGTCGGCGAACAAGGAAACCGGTATTGGAGATGAGCTCTTGTCCCTCTCACTGGGCTCTCGTCCGCCACCAGGGCGGGGCAGACATGTAGCTTCTAACTGGAAACTCTCCAGGGAAACGGCCGTTCAATCATATTATCCAGTTGTCTACACCTGTCAAGCATCAAGGTTTGATATCCCATATCTCTATGGCTTCGTCGTCTATGCTCTCAGATCGAAGGAAGCGGGTGCTAACAGCATCATGGACAGTCTTGAGAAACGGTCGATGATCAGCTATGATAAACACAGAGACGACACAGCAGCGGAAAGGGGACCATTGCGCGAGGGATATGGATCCAAAACCAAGGAGCAGGTTTCACCACTCCAGGCACGCGATGCTCAGACCTCTCGTCTCATTTAAGATTTCCGAGGTCTTCACTCTAATCGTCGCTCGCTGCGGGTTCTATCCTACTTAGCGGAGAGATCGGCTCTTCCGGGATTATCCACGACCCCGTCTGACTGTCAGGAACATGGCCACTGAACCAAGGTCACCAATAATACTAAATAATGAGCCTTGGGTCGTACAGGTTTCATAAATCTCATTCTTCCCAGGAACCGATGGAAAAGCCGCTCCAGTGTCTTTCTTCCCCGGATTGGAACGTGCGATCTTCGAGCTAAGCCGGCATTTTCCCGATCACCGCTCTCCCTTCAACCGTGATGTTCTCTTGGGCACTTCTTTTTGGAAAACTAACATCTCCCGGACGGCACGTATAATAGCTGGCAGAAAATGGGCAGCCTAGTTTTGGACGCATCTGAAGAAAAACCGATCGTAGGGCTTAGACGCCTGGCCCAGCGTTCCTGGGCCTCTGGAGATCTTTTCCGCCGCGGCTGTCCCGATGACCGATCGGTCCGCCACTCGAAATGCACTATGATTTGCTGGCATTCTATCCCGAATCGTCCAAAGAAAAGAAAAAAAGCTGCTCCCATGCTTATCTATACTCCCGGCACTAACGCTGAGCTTCCAGTCTGTCTATGCTTCGATGCTCTGCGCTTTGTAGACTCCGACAGAGAAGAGATACCGACCCTACTCATCATTCTGATTTTGGGTGGAACCAGTTATGTGCCAGAGCGTTATTATTTCCTTTCGCAGTAGCGTGAGCAACTCACAACCATGGATCTCTTTTACTGTACGATTTGTGGCGCAAGCCACCGCAAATCATGTTTGTCGCACGTGACCTCTCGCTGTCATTGAAAAAGCTTTCGTTCACTCAGAATGCGCGGATGGAGTAGATGGGCCAAGTTCCAGATTATCATGATGGCGGAGTCTCTCCGTACTCCGTATTTCCTACCAAGAACCGGCAGTTCTGTAAGAGAAAGGACAAATGCTGGCGTTCCAGGCGGGTCGAAAGACCCGTCAAAGTATCAGAATATCCCCAGAAGAAACTCCAGTTTCTCCGGGCATCTCCGCTGGAGCGAGGCCCTTTCTTTTCTTCCCTTTTAGGTAACTAATATATCTACTAGCTGGTTCCTGGCCTACCTAGCTCACCGGATATCAGAAAGCCACAAGGTGTACTAGAAGCGGCTTCCACTTGTGTAAGAGAATGTGAGCAACTGAGTGCAGTACCTGAGAACATTGCTCCTTGTAATTACCGCAAAAGTATTCCTCCACATGGCTGATGCCGTGCGAGAAGTTCGACACGACGCAAGTTGAAGCAAACTTCTCTCGGATAGCGTGTTATTATTGTACAACGTAGCCAATAAATATAACATAATATCACATCTTTTTAAACCCTCCTAGCTGAGGAATTCCGAAAGTGGGAGATGAAACATAAACCTACCCTCTAGCAATGTTTGAGTATTCTTACGGAGTATATATCGAATAAATTCTGAAATTCATAAATTCAAGATACAGTAACTTATTAATTCTGATTTATTGTCAGCGCTTACGGCTTCTGATGAGAGCGAGCTGCGAACCTGCTGCAATCCGCTGCTCCTACCCTCTACAAACCTGGTAGCAGCTGCAACGGGAAGCTACTTAGATCCACCTGTATAGGATCAAAGCAAACGGAGCTGGAACCATGGAACGTTCGTTCAGTTCAGCTCCAGGCAGCTGTAATGTCAGGATTGAGTGAGGGAGCATAAATAGCTGATAGATTTCGGTTACCTTCAATTCTCTAAGCAATCAAGGTTTTATTCCCATATCAAATGCTCCTTCAGAACCTTTGCTTCCGTGGTCCTAGATCTCCACAGTTATTGGTCTAAGCATTGATCGCTCTATCGGCGGAAATTTAGGGAGATGTGCCTTTCAAGACTCCCGCTACATAGTAAGATGCCAAGGTATAGGACGAAAACCGAGCAAATAGGTAGAAAATAGCTATATTCCGGGTAGGACATTAAAATATCCTCCGCCGCTGCATCAATTCAGAACTATAACTAACGTATAATAACTAACTACCCCTTGTCAAACTGGATAGTGATCGTGGTAAAACTCCAGCTCATCATCAGAACGTGATCTTTTGGGCCGGGGGCTTGACGTCCATGATCTCTTCGACTCTTCCGTGGTCTTATCCTTATCAGAGCGGGAGCTCCTCCTGGATAGAGAAAGGACTGATGGCAAAGAGCGGATTTTGGTCATAATGAGACTGAGTGACAGTTTATCGAGATGTCGAGCACACGGAGGAAGACAAGCGACCTGGAACCCCACTCCGATCTCGACGTATGTCCAGAAAAGGATGATGGAAACAATTCCTATCGTGAGTTCCGGTTAGCAGCCGCATAGGGACAGGATATAGAGCGAAGGAAGGTGTTCATACCTTCTTGATCAATCGATGGCAGGCTCGTATGGAGGACCTTCGTGTACTGATTCGTAGTTCCCTGGACTTGTATCTGGATCCAGACGATCATTCTCAAGAGTCCTGCAACCACAGCGCTACAGAAGGGTCAGTATCGATATTACCGCACCGAACTATCTAATCCAGGACGGACTTACAACACACTGAAGAGAAAAACGAGTGATACTTGGAGTTTCTTCCAAATGCTCATGTTCAGCGTTCCAACCTGACGACGTGTTAACAAACCAATTTCATACAATGCTATGCTGGTTCGATTTACATACCATGCAAATTGGCTCGATCAAAATCGCAAGATCCAGGACCCAACTGAAGACTGCGCAACCGGTTTGCATCGCGAACGTGTTTACGCATTTAGTACGGAGCGAAGTGAGACTGGACCAGCTCACAGCTGGGTTTGAGCCGCACGCAAATATTTCAAAGAAAAGGAACACGACTGTCCACATGGTGACAAGGATGATGAGAGTCCAGTTGACATAGTCAAAGGGGGTTCTGAAGGCGCGGCCTGGTTTCCCAATGCAGGGAATGGTCAGTTCATATCCATCATAATGCGGTCTATCTTGTTTCTTGAGGAATGGCGACTTACCCTTGAATATGCGGCGAAACAAAAACAAGAGCGTCAATTTAATGAAACCAATAGTAAGCACATGGCCTATCCAGAAAGCGTATTCGAACTGATATCTCTTGCTTTAGTATTTCTCTCCAAGACTAGGATAGCCCGAGGAGACAGAAAACGGACCTTTCCAAGTTCATGTTGTTCTGTTGGGGTGATCCCTGGAATTGAATGTCCGCCGATGATGTTCATTTGTGCTCCTATTAATGATATTCAGGATACAGCGTCGGGAGTTTATCGGCATAGTCTCTTACCTATTACCATAGCAACACCGGCAGCTATGGTAAGGAACTACAATGAAGTATTAGCAGTTGAACATCTCTCGTCCAGCACAGGTAGTTGCTCCAAGACTTACGGCAGCAGGAACAATGAAAAGGTCATCGATTTCGACATTTCTGGAATATCGCCGCCATCCGTATGCTCTGATAGCAAGCGATATGACGACAAGGACTGGAAATATGATACCAATGGCAGTCACACTGCCTTTATTAACGTATGTCATGGTTATGGTGGCCTTAAGGGATAGACATCGACCGATACTTTCTGGAAAGAGTTGAGGATCGAGTCCTGATCCTATGTAGGCATTAAGGGCCAGTCCAGGTCTGTGCCTATGTACACGCCTGAAAGACCCATATATGTATTACAGCGCAAGGGATCTCGCCATCATGCAACTATGCCAGAGGGATCGTGAGAGGGTTCACAAGCCAAAGCGCGAATAATAATGAATACGTGTTTTGCATACCCTGCCTCATGCCTCATACTTTCCTCAGTTGGGAAATGGATATGCGAGGCCTAGAAGATGATGTTTTCAGTCCATTGGGTAGTAGCACACCGAATATGCGGTTACACTGCATGTCAGCAGCGCATAAGGAAACTAGGAATAGTTATTGGACATAATCCTAGCTCAGTGTACGATATTGTGGGGGCTGAAAGGCAATTGATCTCGATAATCCAACTTGGGTTGTGCTCAGCCAGATCTGGAAAACCCCCGCATCGGCATGGAGTAAGCAGGTCCTGCTTCAGCCCAACCGTGCGTGAGTGTTATCGGCGTTAACTATAGTTTAATCACATCAGGTGGCTATGTACGGAGTACATACATACATGTACTACCTGCGAGAATTTGGACCCCACGTAGCCATATGATCGGCATATCCCGCTTAAACCCAATAAAGTACTAAATTAAGAATTCTGCAGGTGGTACCAAACTTTTTATTTTTATTTTTATTTTTATTTTTTCTATATTGTGCTGACGATCTATAGTATCTTGGACCCCACGTGGATATGTGATGGGCTACTATGTTCATACTGAGCCAGATGATGGTCTAAGTTAACCGCGACGCGGGCTATCATCAGCTTTCTACTCTTATCGAATCTGGCCACCTACAGTACTTTATCGGTGCTACTAGCAGAAGGACGTCTCATCAATCCCGTCTTGAAAACACTGCGAGATGGCGTCGACGGAAGATGGAGAGAAAAAGCCATTTCTCCCCGGCAAAGAAGACGAGCCTGACTACGAGGATGTTGTCAGAACCGAGAAAGGGTTTACACGATCCCGGTTTCTTAAGACGAATGGTGCTCTCTTCATACTTCACATAGTCTTCCTGATCTTGAACATCTCTGTTCTCATCTGGAATTTACGCTTTGCGGGCGATCGCAGAAAGGGTGATGATCATGGAGATGTACTCAACAAAGTATATAGTAAGTTGCTCGAAAAGATATTGATTCCAAAATTCGTCCGTTTCATTCGCTAAATGCTACGGGATCTTATATAGCACCCGCGCAATCAGCTCTCCAGTACAAAGTAGAAGAACTCAATTCTGGACATGGCCAAAATCCCTTCGCAGGAGAGCCTCGCCCGGAGACCGACAAAGCATGGTCAGATCTACTCAGAGGTAAAGTATCACCAGCTTTCATTTGACTCTTAATGCGATATATAGGAACAGAGTTGACCGGCTATTCTCTTTCAGGGGGCATTATCAAAATCTCCGAAGACGAGCTGAAGAAGTTGAACAAAACTTCCATTCCACTACAAGATGGGAGTGGTTACATTGCTTATCTCGAGGCTATCCATATGCTGCATTGTGTGGTACGTCGATTAGTCTTTTTTTGATGCTCCTTTCTATTTCCGCACGGAGCCTGTCTTACCGTACAGTAGAAACGAATTTATCAATCTCAGCACCCCGAACACTATCCAGAGCTCCAAGGCACTGATGCTTTCGCGCCAGGTCACTGGGGTGAGAATACCTTAGCCCTACCTATTTTTATTATCTATGCTAACACATGGTAGATCACTGCCTCGAGGTTCTCCGCCAGGGAATCATATGCAACGCCGACATAACGGTGAACACGTACTATTGGAAAAGTCCTACCGAGATTCAAGGTAACAGAACAGGGGTCCGGAAATGCACCGACTGGAGCCGGATTCAGAAATGGGTCGATGAAAGAGCGGTCGATTTCAGAGGTCCTGATAAGTTCCTTGATACTTTGGTGCGAGAGAATTGAAATAAACTTGGCAGAACAAACATGATAAGATTTTGTATTCTATATTATTCCCAAGATATTAATGATGACTCGTTAACTCCTAGCCAGTATTAATAACCTTCCAAATATAAGAAATAAACAGAACCCGAGATTTGGTCATAACTCCACTTAAGAAAGAATCGGAGACGCCTTTGAAACACTTGATATGTAAAACAGGAATGAATTTTATGACTTCATGGTCCCACCAACATATCAGTAGATGCTGCCCGATCCAACATCCACTTATGCAATTTATCCCAATTGACGCACTTCTGAACTTTCGGAACATGGTGTGTTGGGATATCCTGTCTGCGCTCTCCCCAGTATACTGTGTACATGGAGTAGTCCGCATGACACATGCTGCCTTGACGTAGGAAGTCGAGACAGTGGTCTGGAAATATGCGTAAGCATCCACAGAAGATAAATGAAAAGTAATTGAAACATTCAAGAACGTTGAGGGATGAGAGCACTAACCTGCGTGGGATCGGAGATATTCGAATTGTCCCCCCGTTGGATCCAAGTCTGGGTAGAAGTGTTCGTGGTATAGGAATTGTTTGATGTTTTTCTGTTTGCAAGCGCGCCATAATTAGAATCTCTATCCCACTCGATTCCGAAAGAACATCCCGGTCTTTTTGAACATACCACACAGTGAAGGCTATGAGCAACTCCCAGGCCCGCTGCGTATCCGCCATCTTTCAGCGGTATAGAGTCAGAACCGGATTGCTTCAGCTCGTCATCGGATATCCGTAGTAGTGTTCCTAAATGCATATATCATTAGAAACTACCCAAAAAAATACACTGTTATGCAACAATTCACCTTCCATCAACTCATGCATTGATTGCTCCCACTCTGGCCCTGGAGGGCCGGTGAACCGCGTGTCATTAGGTATCATTGCGCGGTATTCATATTCAATGATGTCGTTAGCCGGTGCTGCAACGAAACGATCAGTAATATGGTCTTGATGTTTGTTAAAGGAGATGACTCTCTTACAGTATGGATCTGCAACCTGGCGACGGCTAGCATTCTGTATATTGAAGCTTGAGAGGGACAGCACCGTCACACTCAAGAGTACACAGACAACCAGTAACACCGCATTGAAAAATAGCGAAACCGCGATAACTCGATTTCTATTCCTTTCCGAACGTGCTAGATGTGAGCCCTTCAAGCTCTGGTCTTCGCTCGCGCCGTCCAAAAACGGTCTTTGCTCCTCGGTCGACATAGCTTAGTCTTTGAAATGCGCGACTGGAGAGACTAACAACGACGAATGTAATAATGAACCTTCTGGCAGTAAGAAGAAATCTCTGAAGGCTCTCGAGAGATCAGCTGCCGCAATGCTATGGAAGAACAGCACCGAAGAAAGGCGGAGATATCCAGAATTGGCTTCACTTCTGATAGTAAGGAACCCCTGCTACCGGGATTCCTGGACCTTCTGTAGTATCCAATAGTCCTAACAAGGCAGTTCTGATCATGAATTCTCCGATGTGGGACGCTGCCTTTGGGTGCGAGACAACGAGGTCAAATTCTTCAGCTAGGAAGCCTTAACGCCAACGTTTCACGGTACATCAACCCTGCAATTCTGCAAGGAAATCGGGCTTTGTCCGATCTTATTGAGATGATCGAAACATTTTGGGGAACTCGACTCACATTCATGTGTAATGTGCTTTAAAGTTCCAATCTGGCCGTGCATAGTAGCCTGCCTAACATTTAGTGTAAATATAGGGCGAGTCCACTTAGCTATCATAGGGGAAATCTAGCCCCCAACAAGTCGTACCATAGATCCATGCGTGCTGTTCCTGGAAGCTGATTGACAGCCATGTGGTGGGGGCCACTCGTATCTCTGACCATCGTCATCGACTCCAAATATGAAGAGTTACCGCGTGATTTTTGCTGAATGTGGCTGTATAGGTTGCATATAACTGTGCTCAATTGATCCGTATGTTCTACAGACACGATTGGGTGGAGCGTTTGGGGGCTATGCATCGTGTACATAGAAACGTTCAGTTTACGGAAGCCACAAAAGCATATTCTAGTCTCATTCAACATGTTCGGCGCTTAGCCACCAAAGCCAGAGGTTTGTGCAATATCCAAAGATCTGCGGTGCCAATCAGAGTTAGCTGTGGCATTGCTACCTACCTAGATAGATTCTCAGTGATGTTCAGCACACGGTATTTAAAGACTGTATATCATTCCAGAGGGCTTGTGGTAGAACTAGCCTTCCAGATCTGTCCTCCTTCGCTACATCTTTCAGACAGAAAGTATACGACTCGCTTAGAGATAATAATACTCACTCTCTTTAACAACGCTGGCCCCTCGAGTCCAAGACCACAACAGAAATCCACCATGAAGCAGTCCCTCTTTCTCACTTTCTTGCTGGCAGCTCTTGCTACAGCCGTGCCGATCGCTTCTGGTAAGCTGCAAAATCTGTATTACTTGCATTATCCGCAGTGAGCTCACCAGATGATTCTCTAGCGGTAGAGCGCCGCGATGGAACGACCGAGTTCGATCCCGATTTCGGATTCAAGAAGCGCGATGGTACCACCGAGTTTGACCCTGACTTTGGGTTCAAGAAGCGGGACGGCACGACTGAATTCGATCCTGATTTTGGGTTCAAGCGCACTTGATGCGAAGCTTCGATTCAACGACAAGATTCATGACTGATGCTGGAGTTTGGGCCAACGGGATGAGGCGGGGAAGCGTTCGTTACCTGCATACATTACTTAGTTCTTAGTTTCTTGGCCTCATGAGAATGTCTAGAGTACTGTACTTGGAAACATTAAAGTTGGCTCATCAGACGGCTTTTCGCTCGAAGCTATGTTCCCGCTATATTTTAGTCAAAATATGCACTGTATAAATAGTTAATCGCGCGGGGTATCTGCGGCAGTACTCACTCCGTACATAGTACTCCGTACTTGTGCTTCTTGTAGATCACCAACAATGCATAGACTCTAGGGTATCATTTGCCCATAATAATCCTACTAGCGTCTATCTACCCATCCGGGCTCTGTGCCTATGCAAGCGCCGGGATAAAAAGCAGACCAGGCTGTGTTACTTTCAGAGAAATAGCTAGGCTATGGATATCTTGACTGCTTACTTGCATTCAGACAAAGGAAAAAGGTGGGGGCCAATTGCTCCCACCGTTGACTTCATATAACACCATACTTCAACGGATATAAGAGAACGCGGCATCAGGAGAAGTTTGCCAGTCTCACTCTTGGCTCACAAGAGAGATAAACATATTCAATTAGCGCCATGTCTTCTTCAATCCGCATCGCCATCTCTGGCGGTGGCCTGGCGGGCGCGGCCCTCATTCAAGCGCTCCTCCCCCATCCGCATCTAGATGTGCACATCTTCGAGTCGGCCACAGCTTTCAAAGAAGCTGGTATGGCCTTTGGAGTCGCTCGCAATGCACTCACTGCTCTTGATCTCATCGGACCGTCAGCGGCACAATGTCTCGAACGGGCTGGTGCCGTTCCCATGCGAGGAGTCCGGTTCATGCTTGCCCAAGGCGAAGGAGCTGGCAGCATGATCGATGAAACAGACAACGATGGACAGCGCGTCACCAGCATCGTCCACCGTGCTGCTTTTCTGAAAGAATTACTGGCTAATGTCCCTCAAGAGCGCATGCATGCTTCCAAAAAGCTTGATAAATTTGACTGCAACAGCGATGGCTCTCTTACGCTCCATTTCACCGACGGGACTACCCACGAGTGTGACATCCTCATCGGCGCTGATGGAATCCGCAGCACTGTTCGCAGACTTATCCTCGGAGAGAACGACCCCGCGGCCTCTCCCAGGAACACTGGCACGTGGGCCGTTATGGCTTTGAAGCCGTATGCCGCAGCTCAAGCCAGCATCGGCGAGGGACCCGTCAACATCGAGGATGCCCGCGAGTATATGTGGATTGGAAATGGAGCTTACTTGATGCACAACGTCTTAAACCAGGGCCAGCTGGTGCAGTTTGTCATTGCTGTACACGAGAAAGATGCAGAGTCATCGGACCGCTGGCATCGGACCGTGAGCGCTGATGAGATCAAGAAGATCTACCAGGACTGGCCGCCGCATCTATACAAGGCTGTGACCGAGGTGCGTTCTATCTCTCTTGCTTTATCTTATTCGCTACTGACGAGAGATTATTGTAGCTACTCTGTGACCAGCCCGAACAACCCGCCATGTACCTCTGGGAACATCCACCCGCGCGCACCTACGTCTCTGGCCCTATCGCCATCATGGGAGATGCTGCTCATGCCACTTCTCCTTGGCAGGGATCAGGCGGTGGCATGTCCATCGAAGATACCCTCATTCTCTCCACATTGCTCAGCCACGCAAAGACCCCTAGTGAAGCGCAGATCGCCTTGAAGGTATACGACCAGGTCCGGCGCCCACGCACACAACGTATCGTTGAGTCAAGTCGAGGCACAGGGTTGATCGCGCTCGGCTTGGGTGAAGAGACGAAGCTGGACCTGGGACAACTGAAAGCGAAGTTGTTGCCAAGGTGGGATTTCATTATAGATTTCGACAACAAGAAGCACCGTGACGAGGCTCTAGAAATATTCCAGAAGGAGTTGAAGTCTTGAAGTTGACCTCAACAGTAGCTAGCATGTTAAATACATACCTTCTCTGGTTTTCAAACTGCAAGAACATTGATTAGCGCACGAAACTATGCGTCCTTAATGGGTATTTTTCTCTCGAGAAGCATAGAACTGAAAAAAAGTCTGAGATAAAGTAAAAGGAATAGAAGCCTTGACGACCAATGCTAAGATATCCCATTCCCAGCAGACATAAAACCAAACAGGACATACTTAACATTCGTCACTAAACCCGCATAAGCCCAAATGACCATAGAAAGGAACAAAAATCATCATCCAACTCCCTCATCAACAGCCCAAAAAGGCAAACATGCAGCAAAAAAAAAGGAATCATCCTCATTGGCGTCCAAACGAGAACATCGATCCCCACCCTTTTCGAGCCGGCACTGGATCACCATGCGCTGAATTCGAATCCGCAGCCGTAACTTCAACACTAGTCGCCTTGATCGGTTGAAGCTCCAACCCCTTTTCGACATCAATCTCTCTCCTCGATCTATTCCTTCCATATCCATCCATCTTAACCGCACTTGGGTTAATGTTCGATCTCTTATCAAACCCAGAGCGACGGTCATGATGACTCTCCTCCTTGACTGGGGTCAGAGAAGACGAAGCCTTATCCCCACGGCCTGATTTCCTATTCATATCTCGAGTTGCAGTCTGTGGTAAAGGAGATCTAGCTGATCTGGCGAATCTCGGCGTCAATGGTGTTCTGATAGCTTCTCCGACACGACGAGCGGATTGTCGGAGTTTTTCGCGAAGACGCCATTGTCTGCGTTTGGCGATGAGGTAGAGGAATGCTGATGAGACTGTATCATGTTAGTTGGGGTCTAGTTATATATCGGGTATTCGTGGAGGGTGAATTGCATTATGGGTAAGCGAACCTCCGAGAATGACCACGACTCCTACTATAGTTATCAGGATCGCCATGGCTGTGGTTGATAGACCGGAAGATCCGTCGTCTGGGCCAGATGCCCCGGCTGCATTTTGAGCTGCGATGCTGTCTGAACTTGACATATTGAAGGGATAGACACAGCAAAGTAGAATGAGGAAGCAATCTGTCCGTGTGAGAGATATCCTCTAGTTTAGTATCGAGTATCGAGTATCGAGTTAAGAATGCTAGCAACCTTTATTCTCCGGCTAATAAATAGAAGGACGACAAAGCGTCTTCAGGTTGAGAGACAAACAAGCAGATTCACAATCAAACAGAAGATCCTCTTTTCGAGAAAAAAAAAAGTACTCAGCATAGAAATCGAGAAAAGAGAAGAAAAAAAAAATCACCACAAGCGGGGGACCACATAGAGATCTATCTATCTATCTATCTGGGCCATGTATATCATCCGGGGGGACATGGCATGCATCAATCCCCTCAACCGCCAACTTAACCCAACGTCGTTGCAGATCCCCTATCCAAAGCCACCATCCTCCAACTTCATAGGCTGCCTTTCCTTCTTCTCACCCCTAACCTTAAGGCTCCAGAACCTCTCTAGACCCGTCACTCAACACCCAAGGCAGAATCCTCATGCAGTGCGAAACCGATATTCACGAGACTCATCTGGCGAATCAGATGTTCGGGCCTTCTGTTGACGGTGGTGGAATTGGCGCCCGTCGGCACGGCAGACAAGGGGTGCGGCCAATGAATGGTGGGCGTGGAGCGCCGGGGGATGTGCTCATCACAATTGTTGTTTTTGGTTGTTCTTGGCGGGTGGTGGGCTTGTGAGTGGGTGCGAGATGGGCGTTTAGTCTAGATGGATGGATGGGGTATCTGTTGATTGTTGGCTTGATAGTTGGTGAGGGTGTGCTACTTAGCATCTGGGGGGTTTTAACTGCCCAACTAGCATTACTAGTAAACCAGATAAGAGCAAGTATGAAAAACAGCCAAAGCCGGGACTATTATATCAGGTAGGACCTCACTACTCCTTACACAGCATTCATGGCATATCCAGTGATTATTCTTAGAATCAATGATATCTAGGATGAAATTCATACAGTGGCAAATTCGCAGACGTGACAGCTTCTATGAAAACGTTACGAACGCAAATCGAAGTATATGTATTATCACGTCCCTTGGACACCAAAAATAAATATATCTAACATGATCGCTCGCGCAAAAGGGTATTTTGGAATATCAGGCACGCACAAATAAGACTGAATCATCAAATCGACCTGAGTGGAGTTATCACAGGACTTTAACCTTCATCCATTCAACTGTGCCAACACCCAAGTTGAGTCCGTTCCGCGCCCACCATTCCCGAACTCGTTGTTCGGCCCCCGAAGATGGATCCGCGTCTTCAAGGGCTTCTTCAATGTCGCAGGTCTTGAACTCTACTCGTAGTCCACTGCGTCGCCACCACTCGAGAACGTCGTCGTGTCCATTCTTTGTTGCACCGACAAGGACCTGGTTATCGAAAATCATCTTCGGTCCCTTAAGACGGAACCAAAGGTCGAGGACCCCAACGTGTCCGTGTGTGCTGGCGATGCGAGCAACGGACTCCGTATGTGTATAGGGAATACCAGAAGCATCCCACCAAGCTATAGAAGCCGTGCTACCAGATTGGGCGGCGAGGAGTACGGATTTTCCGGATTTGAGAGGAATTGGTCGCGAGGGCGGAGCATTTGCAGAGGCGTTCTTCCACCATTCAAGGACATTAACGCGGCCTTCCGCACTTGCAGATTCGAGTGCTCGTTCGGTGTATCGAAGTGGCAGACCAGATGTACGCCACCATTCTAGCACATTAACGAAGCCAGCTCGAGATGCTCCGTCAACCGCGTCAGCAATGTATTCTTTCGTCGGGAGAGCAGCAGCGTCACGCCACCACGTCAGGATGGTAGGGTTCCCGTAGATGGCAGAGGCACGATAAGGAAGATTGGTCAGGCGGGTAGTGGTCCAGAAAAGATCAAGGTGGTTTTCGGCAAGGTAGGTGAGGATATCGGTTCGAGAAAACTTGAATATCAGATGGCATGCAAGATCTGACAACGGCTTCCAGCGAGGTAAAGCTTCGATGCGGGACTTGATGGCTGTGAATGAGCCTCTGAGAATGGTGTACTCAAGGGATGCTGGCGTTGACATTTTGAGGACGTGCGACTGCCACTCCTTTGGAACTGGCAGATTCGTCTGGATGCCGACGGCTTTGGCGATTTCCCAGTCCCGCAGGTGGTCTTCGAAGATGCTCAACCATAGCTCCAGCGGTAATGAGCGCGGGCCCTCAGCCCTGCCAGATCCATTTGTAGGATGCTCAAGGCGCTTCTGCATTTGGGCCCTAGATTTATCTAAGGGCGTCTGCATAAGATCCTTTGCAACATTCTTCTCAACTGCGTCGTCTCCTGGACGATCTGTTCGTCCATTATTTTGTGTGTCGGGTGAGGACAGTCCGAGTGCCTTCCGGATAACCTCGTCGAAAACCCCCAAGCCATCCCAGGGCACCTGGACCAGTTCGTCCGGGCTCACGGACTTCCACAAGATAGGAGCAATGACACTGACCCAAGGCCAATACGTCTCGATATCCCTCAGTTGCCGTTTGGTCAATGGATTCTTCCATTCCTGCAACGTCATGCCCGGAACCAATACCACAGACTTTGTAGAATCCCACGCCCGCAACAATGCCAACGTCAGAGTATTCGTCAGGCCGGAGAGCATCGACCCTAAGGTGCCCGCATCTATAGGGGCGACAATGAGCATATCCGCCCAGTCACAGAGCTCTGCGGCTTTCGCCCTCAGCCACCTCCGCGGCCCAGTCTTCCTCTCGAAAGTGTGACTTTCCACCGAATCCATGTAATGCGGGATCTTATTCGCACCGGCGAGCAAGGCGGATGGTTCGTCTGTGATCAATCGTAGTTCCACATCCGGGTTCTGAACGAGGGAGGGCAGGATGGTATCCACGAAAGCACTGTCCGTCGACAAGAGGAGTCGTCTGCGACGGCCGGTCGCCGTGTCTGTCTCCTGGTGCTCTCCATTGATAAGTATTGCACTACTGGTGCCATTCTCGTCGAGGTGGTCGTCGTCGTTATCTTGGTCGATGGCCCTCTCGCGAATGCACACCCTCTTGACACTCTTCTGGTCCTGCGGTATCACTTGGAGATCCGCACAGAGACCGATAGCCATCCTCCAGATCGAGGACTTCACCTCACACCAAAAAGTTTTATTGTACTCGCGGTACGATAATCTCGGGCGACGATAGCTGAGGATTCGATAGTAGGACAGTCAGGATAAGAAGGAAGTAATAGGCGAGTAAGACTGGACAACAGACAATCAATCTCTCCAGCTTTGACAGATATCCGCAGTCAGCACTAGGATTGCGCCCTGGTCTGTATAGATGAACGGTTTCAACAATAGCGGAATCACTTCCGGACGGTAAGGACGGGCAAAAGGATCGTTGTTATACACGGCCCACTTCGATCTGGCGAGAAGAAGTCCGATCCCTCTCCACTGGATGTCCGATGTAGGGTGCGTAGGGTAGCAAAGGGATCGCAGATCACCGTCTGATTTCTTCCAACGAATGTCAAGCACCAGTGCAGTTCGAACGTGTCAGCCGTTGCTTTGATCGGACGGACAAGGCGGTGTGGAATGGGAAAGCTGCGGCGTTGGACGAGAAGTGGATGGTCGATATGCACTGGTTCATCGAGTTGTAGCTTCAAGAACAACGATGCGATTCCGTCGCCACCTCTTCGCCCCAGCCGCAGGGTTCTTCTTCGAATACCAAACCAAACCAAACAATCCAAATTGCATTGAAATCGCACTTCTTTGGTTCGGTAGCGTTAATTAATACATGACAGTCGTGACCGAGACAATTCCTCCGTAACGGGCCCAAGCTCTGGAGAAATAGTCACTAAAGGACTCCTTTTTTCAACTCGATAACGGACTATCTTCGGCCCCTCCTGGAGACGGGCTCTACTCCGTAGTTAAATAATAATCAGTCTAAAACGGAGGCTGCCCGGTTGGCGATCGCTGGCTGGCTGGCGTTCTTTTTCTCTCGCCGGGACCGCCACTTCGTCCCGCCAACCACTCGCCGTTCGGGCTTAATAAACTTGACTTCAGACGGACGTAACCCGGTCGCTCCAAGTATTTTAGATATGCTCAAGTCTGGATCTCGTTTCGGCAAATGACAAGAATCCTGGCATTATTGCAATATCTCAGGATTTCGATGTTCTGGACAGCTCACTTCTGCTAGCTAATAATTACCAGCCCTTGCTCACAAGTAGGTAGATTTTAGCACCGGAAGCGTTACTGCTGCAGCTGAAACTACACAGGTACGGGATGGATGATACATGCAGGAGGTACAGGAGATGATACTTTTAGGTAAACTCTATAGTAGTGCCAGCAATCTGAGCTTCGTGGTCGATTATTCTTGTCGGTTGCTGATTTGAGGGTTCTTTATCTTCAACCAGATAAGTCGTTATTGTCCGTGTAAATTTCTATACGTTGTTAGCCATGCATATACGAGAATTACACCTGAGAGACTAAGCTTGTATTCTCGTGTTTCTCAGGTATTCAACCGTCGTCGGACAATTACGGTGTGGTAAAGTTGCATAGAATGGAACAGATCAAACTGAAATTTCTTCATTATATTTCGTGCCTCATCATATGCGTAAGTTCTATGCATGCATGCATGTCTATCCAAGAAGCCATGCCGTCTCTCAACAACTGTAATAATGTGTCAGTTTTGGTATGTACACGCTGACCACAACATCGTCCCAACGAGTCTTGCATCTACGTATCACTCCTGTGCGTCTCGTCTCTCTAGGTTGTTGTGAAGCTTGTGCTCTCGCATAGCGACACTTGATAGGGCCCCGAGAATGCTGAGCCCAAGCAGTGTGATGAACACGGCGCGAAGAGCCTCCATGTACACTTCAATCACACCGGGCCTCCAGTCAGCAGGAAGCTTGTGGATCTCATCCAGACTGTCCCTGATTTTTGGAATCAGTTCACCAGCACCTTCTTTGTCACCAAACCGAGACCACAGTCCAGATTTGAGGACGTTCTGGAAGACGGCAGAGGCAATGGTGATTCCAATAGTACTCCCTGTACTACGGAAGGCATACGAGGCAGACGTGATGACGGCCTGGTACTGGTGCTCGACGGCGGAGATCAGAGCAACCAACGTCACAGTGAGCATACCACCGTAGCCCACACCGAGGAAGAACAAGTAAATGAACGGCACCCAAGCAGGCGTGGAGAAAGTAAAGGTGCATATCAACGCGGATGATCCGACCAGGAAGAACATGAGGAGATGGTTGAAGATCATATAACGGCCGTAGACTCGCATCAGAATGCCCGAGCCCAGAGAGCCTAGAGCAGTGCCAATGGCCTGTGGAATCAGTCGCACGCCCGCGGCTGTCGCTGAGTAACCTTGCACCTGGAAATAAAGCGGCAGGTATAGAAGCAAACCGAAGACGGACATCGTACCGAACCAGTTCGCCAGGCAAGCAGATAGAACTGTCCGGTGCAGGAGTAGTCGGACTGGAATGACTGGCTCGGACACCACTCTGTCTTCAATATAGATAAACACCACCAACGAAACCAGTGACAGCGGAATGGTAGTCAGAACCAGGGGATGTGTCCACGGGACCTGGTTACCGCCAGCATTCAGACCCAATAGCAGCAGAACCAGCGTGATGACTAGAGTGATAGCCCCAAGGAAATCAATCCGCTTGATCCGTGACTTATCTGTCTCTTTCGCAGGGACTTTCACCTTGAGCGAGACCAAAATGCAAGAGACCGCGAGGAAAGGGACCTGGATATAGAAGGCCCATCTCCATCCCAGGGTATCGTTAATCCACCCGCCGAAAACTCCTCCCAATCCACTGCCAGCTCCGTAGCAGATGTTTCCAATGCCCTGCCAGACGCCTCGCCTGCGCAGTGGTACCAAATCCGACGTGACAAAGGTCGAGATTGCGGTGAGTCCACCGCCACCCATACCGGCGACGACGCGGCCGAATACAATGGCCCCTTGGCTTTTGGCAAGACCACATAGCAGGTTTCCAAGCCCGAAGAGGATATTGCACACCACCAGGCCTGCGCGGCGGGAGTATATATCGGTGAGCTTGCCACTGAGAGGCTGGAAGGCGGCATTGGAGATCAGATAAGACGTCGCAAGCCAAGACAGAAGAGACAATGAATTGAACGAGGATGATATGGGGGCAGAAAGTGTCGCAACGACCGTGGTATCTGTTGATCAAGGCCAATGTTAGCCAACTGCCCAAGTCCGCGCAGAGAAGTGGATAGCAAGAGTTCTCGTACCCAAGGCAGCTAGAAATACTCCCAGCCAAATACTACCAAGGATCAGGACCAATTCCTTCGTCGTTGGTTCCTTGACAATGGGCGTCTCCTCAGAAGCCACTGCTCCTCTATTCTGGGCCTCTGCCGCGCCTCCGTCACGGTTATCCCGGAGAAGTGGCGTCTGTTCGGTCGCGGCAACGCCATTGCTTGATTCCACTTCGGGAGCCATTCTCACACCTGCGTCTCAAGAAGGAGAGTGATTCTCAATCCCTACTCCCCGTTGATTGTCTGAAGGCAGAAGACATCTTGACGAACAGCTCAAGTAAGCTTGATGAGCGGGTGGGGCGTCGATGAACTCCACCGAGCGATGATAACAAACAGTGGGGGAACTATTCCCGCTCAGGTAGGTATCATCGTCTACCATAGAGTATGCCGACTCATCGTAAATGAGAACAAAGTTCCTACCAACAGGAGCGGAGAGGGCACAACGGCGTGGCGTCAGATCTGCGGACAGTAATGTCGGGAGAAACACACAATGGTCCATTTCGATCCGGAGTTACAGTATGCCGCTTCTCTGTGAGAGGAACATACCGGACATGTCTGTCATGTCTATCACATAAGAGTAGATACACTGCTCTGGAAGATAAAAGACAAGGCTGAGTGACACGCATTATCGCTAAGATAGAAATCAAGAACGATGAATATGTTGAAAATGGGAAATTATGATTAATGTTGATTCAAGTCTGATCCAGGTATTTAAGCCCGTTCCTTCTTCACAAATATATCTCAACTTCAGACGCGGGGCATACTTAATATCTCAGAAAAGTTTAGCATAAAGCTGTAATACTCCGTAGATATGCATAGTGGGCCCATCTAGATTCCAAGAAGAGACTATAGCCGGGTAGGCTATAATATAATGCTCTCTATAAAACAGTAGTAGATCCAAGTTCAAGTGGCCCGTGAACCGAATATCAGTCGATCAACTTGGACCTATTTCCGACTCAGATATGCAGCTATGTTAAGCGTGAAGGAGAACTGCATACAAGAAACCTTCTGAGACGTTTTATGTCTACGATTGGGCCACCCTATGCAACGGTATGTTGATGTCCAATGCGAATTGTATGTCTCTATGGCTTCGAATTTTGATAGCGACCATTACTCCTAATCGAGCCTCCAAAGACAAGAACAAAACTTGTATCTCTGCATATCTATGGGGGGAAAAATTCATCCTCTGCTATAACGTCGAAGTCCTATAAGCCTTATTATTCTATGGAATCTATAACCATCAATGGACGGATTCGTGAGCCTACTGAGGGTCAGACAGGAGTGTTTCGGATATGAGTAGCAAGTTGATGGATTCAATGGAATCGACTCCTCGAGGATGTTCATGTCTCTATGGTACGACACAGATGCTCCTCTCTCACTGTGTTACCAGCTAGCCCATGTTGTATGGACACTGTTCGTCGGCGCATCTCGACGAACTAGTGGGATGGAGTCGGGACCTCCCGTCGTTTCACAGCGCAGCTTGGGGGCACCAACTCTGCTCCTCAACCACTGACAAACTGGCCGTTTCCAATCCTCGATATCCAACATTCGCACCATCTCTACGGCAGTTGCTTCACTGTGATGTTCCGCATTGTTCGTCGTGCATCGCGTCGGAGCTCGCCGACGGGCGACCATTCGGTGGCGCGATCCCGGAAGCTGGCTGGATTCAGCTCAGTCTCGCGACCATCCTGTGACCGAGCATCGATTCCGAATCATCCCTCTACGGTAGAGTAGTGGCGTGATAGAGACCGTTAAAGGTGGAGAAACCAGTAGAGATTCCCGTTCGTAAGCTGTCAGATGTAATTGCCGGACCGGCTCTCGATCCGTGCTCCTTGCTCTAGTGATTATGACTGCCGGAAGTGTGGGGAACTGGGACATATACAAATACGGGCTCACTTCTCGAGGGATCCAGGCATTCAGATCAGCGATCCATCAAGCAATCAATCAATCAAGCATTCAGAACAGCAACAAGACTTGTAAAGCTCTTCCAACTTCCATCTTTCCGCGAGGCTTGTTGAGACTACATACCTGAGCAGATACACTTAAGCCGTGAATCCCTACTCTTTACGGGAAATACCAACTTCGACCATCCTATATAGAACGTCCACAAAATCATTCCAAAATGCGCCCCTTCCACACGGCATCTCAACCTCACCACATCTTCACTCATCGACCAAGCCCCCACGTGAACCGCCTCACTGCGGCCCAGACCCCCAAAGTTGGTCGAATCGGGCGTTGGTATGTCCTACATCACATCACCTCTATATATAAAACGAACAAATCTCCTAACATCAACTCCCACTCACAATACAGGTACCTACCATCCATGGCTCTAATCTGTCTCGGTTAGTTCCTCCTTTCCCAATTCCCATTACTTAAAAAAGCCAAATCTTCAAAAAACCCGCAGTTTCTTCTCTTCTAACAAACAAAACAGGCTTCGGAATCACGAACTACATCCGCAGCCATCCCGCCACCAGCAGCGCTGGTAGAGACAACCAACTCACCCCACAGCAGCTGCAACTCCTCGAATCATATGGAAACCGCAACACATTGGACGATGTCGAGCGAGCGATGGAGATCTACGAGGTGCAGTAGCCAAACATAGCCGCTTCTTTTTTTTTTGTTTTTTTATTTATTTGGGTCATCCAGCTCTGATACGGGGGTTGTTGCCGTTTAGGTACCCAAGTGATGATGGCGGTGGATAATGAATTGGTTCTTCTTCCATTGGAGGAAGAAGAGCTGCATCGGCGTTCGGGATGTTTTCGATGAACGAACGAGGCTTTATATTGTGGAGTTTTTGAGGGTGTTGGGAGTTTCTGGGATTATTGTTGCTTTTTCCATAGCGATGCTAAGCGCCTTGTTTCTTTCTCTCTGGTTTTTTTCTGGAAAGAAAGGGAGAGTTGAGCGCGTCTCTTTCGATCTGAAACTCGGCGCGGGCGTCGCAGTTTGTATGCTCTATTGCTGCTTATGCATTTTCTCTATGTTCCGCAACGTGACGATCGTTGTGCGGGCGATGTGGATGATTCATGATGTGTTAGCTAAATAGCTACGGGATAACTATTCGAATCATAGCCTGATATGTGAATGTGAATATAATGATCCATAAAAAGCTTGGGCCTAGTTGTCTAGGTTGATGTATTGATTTTATAAGTTGAGAAAAGGGGTTCCTAGCATAAGATGCATCAAATCATCAAGTCGTAAAGTACAGTACAGGTGATTGTCGACACTTGGTTTCCACATATAAACACCTAAGTGAGAACACTGTGATGGGACAACCGCAGAGGTTTCCTAATAACTCTCCAGGTTCTTCTCAACCACGGAGAGGATACACTCAAGACAGTTCCTAACATCCTTGCATGGCCATCTCTTCTGCCGCTGAGGATTCACCATGCCTTTAATACACTCCGACAGCGCCTCAGCTACTGAGGTACCGTCTCCCATGGTCATATCGCCACAGTCAACCTTCGCGCAGAAGTCCGAAGGAAGAACGTCATTTTGCCTCCCTGTCACATGCTGGCCCCTCGTGAGGTCCGCGAGGACAAACTGGCGCTCCATTTTCGTATTCAGCCGGTAGATAAGTTCAAAGAGGATCACCCCCAGAGCGAAGACGTCCAGTTTCTCATCGATCACATAAGGGTTGTCAGCTTCAGGATGCTGGTCACTTGAATGATCCGCATTCTCTTTGCTGTGCATCGCTGAGTACATGGGTGGACAATAAAACTCGGTTCCCACGTGCCGTAACCGCTTGCTATTATCCTGAAGAGATGTAACGGCTGTTCCCGGACTCGAGTCGCTTATATGCGAAATGTCTGCAACGAGGCCAAAATCGCCGATTCTGGGGAGGCAAGAGTAGGTAGGAGTCTCTCGCTTGCGCTTACACGACTGGCACTCGCTGGTCTCCTTGCCTTCAGGGAAAGATAGGAAGATGTTGGCTGGCTTGAGATCTCGGTGGACAATACCCTTCGAGTGGAGATACTCCACGCCCGAAAGGATGCCAAGAATTATTTTCAGTGATGGTATAACATGGAAGCAGTGGCGACGCTTTTCAGAGTGGCCGTGTGGCACTCTAAGACTCTGAGGATTGAGATAGGTATTCAAGCTAATAGGGTGCAACGACATTTGAATATGCAGAACGACAGCGGGAGCCTGAGAGCCATATCGGGGTCTATGCCGGATCTGTAGTCTGGACCTGTCCTCGCTCAATCCATCTGTGAAAATGTCTCCATCGGAACCTCCCATAGTTGACATTAATCCACGCGACGAAGCGTCAAAGTTCCTCGGTATAGACTCGACGTCGTCATCATCATCTTCAACATGAGCAGAGCTCTTCTTTGAGCGGTTCGACGTTATAGTCGCATGGCTACCCCGGCGCCTGGAACTTTCGGCAAAAGATGTCTCCTTATCGTTCGTAGCTTCCGACTTGGAATCTTCTGCGAATATAATACCGTCGTCTGAGCCCCCGAAACTGGATATTAGACTTTCGGCGCTATCATCCGTCGACGGATGGCCAGGTTCGTGTTCAGCTCCTCGAACATTGTCCAGTGAACGCCCGTTGGCAAATCCATCAGCTTGTTCAACCCAAGCACCGTAGTATCGAACAACATTTGTATGCTCCAGTCGAGCCAAAGTTCGAATCTCTTTCATGATATGCTCCAGTTGCCGAAGGCCACCTTCTCGTAGTAGCTCGAGGCGTCTTCGGCTCAATGGAATCTTCTTGATGGCGTAATTCTGCCCATCAACATGGTTCCTGACATGATAAACCTCCCCAAATGAACCGCGACCTAACATCTTGACTTCTGCGAATTCCACCGCATAACGGGACAGACGATTGGGAGATTGTGGAGGAGGGGGAGAATCGAGTAATGAGAAACCCGCCGGTGAGCTCGAGAGCAGATATGGCGAGGGTTGAGGTGTGCCTCTGAAACTGATGCGCGTCTCCACCAACCCAGGAGTTTTGCCTCTAAAGCCACGCTTTTTCATATCCCACCCCCCTGGTTCCTTCACCGTGGGTTGCTGTAGATGTGTAGCTGTGCTTGCCATGAGCTGCTTTTCCTGGGTTTGCGAAGGCAAGGAAGAGTCGGTTATAGCTCCTTTGGTTGACGGCCCTAAAGGTCCGTTGAGGTTCATCCCTTCTAGGGCGCTGACCCCCAATACGTCGAGACTATCCCGGTAGTATTGTCTGGTTAGGCCCCAATCGTCGCTGTCGATTCCATTGGCGAGTACACCATGAGAAGACAGGAACTGAGACTTGTAGGCGTACATCTTTCTGCCCAGGTACTGGACCTCGGGTGATTCTCGGGTATATCGTCCATGAGAGCCTTGTTGGGAGTTGAGGATATCTGCAGCCCGGGTCATACAATAGAACTCCAACAATGCTGAAGTCATGAGCGTAGCATGTCCCTCAGCATCTACGTCGAGGACCGCATCCTCATCCGCATCTTCTGAGCCCTGTGCCTTTTCATAGGAGCCGGGGTCACTGCCAGCCATTGAGCCAAGGCTACCTAGGATCCTTTCCCCCGCAGCATACCTATTCTGCTCGCTTGAGTTGCGACCAGGACTGGGGTCCTCGTACTCAAAATCATCCGTGCTGGACTCAGGATCAGAATCAGAGATGTCAGCTGCCGATCGAAACATGGACATCGTGCAAGAGCCTGCAAAAGGCCAACGGGATTCGAGCACGTGATGCAGCTTTAGAAGTGCTGGATATATGGTATAATCCCATGTGATTGACGACAGGGATTGCGGTATAGAGGCAGCACTAACGGTGCTTGGAGTGAGAGATCTGATTCAGACCCCTAGGCAAAGGGAGATATGAGTGGCAGCTCTGAAATATCCGAGACAGGACGGTAAGTTTCCCAAGTATTTCCTTATCCAAAGGACGGGAGAGCTGCTAGTGTCGGCTTGTTCGTGGAGCTTTTTTGGTCACAATAATAACGAGAAGTAAGTAAACATAATTCAGTTTGGGGAATAATGCCCCCGATTCACTGTCGGAATTTCCATTGCTTTCTACGCAAATGATCCACGTTGACAATAGGGCGTGGCACGAGAGCCTCAGCACTATGGTAGGCAACTGCCAACAAGCGAAAAGAAAGGCCAGGTGTCTCAATTGTTATGAACGAGAAGGGAGATCCAGCAACGTAGATCGATCGAATTGATGAGTTTTCCCCCGACCCCGCATGCCAGGTAATACGTGAATGTGTACAACTGTTGGCAGCTTCATGAATCATCGGTGAAGATCTTAGCGGGCCCACCTGAGGGCATTCCCACCCGAACTGGAAAAAGTTGGAAGCCTAAGGCCTGTAAATCTAGCTTATGTAATTGAACTGGCACCAGTTGGGAAACTGCACAGGAGTACCTAGGTAGGTAACTACATACATGCGTGGCTATATACCTATGAACCATATATTTAATATTAAATATTTCCTTTCTTGTACGCGAGCAACCAACTAAAACTCATTTACCAACAGTGGTGGCACGTCCATCTCGCGAACCTGATCAACAATCTCCTCCAGGCTTGGAACATCTCTTTCTTTCAAGTTTTGCAACAAGCTTGGCTTGATTTCATCTCGCAGAATCCCGGCGATTAAATAAGCCCAGTCTCAAAATGGATCTATGGGTCTAGCTTTGCCGAATATGTCATCGTGAGATGTCAATATATGTAGTACCTTGGAGCTATTATTCCTGCAAAGCGGCTGCTTGTGACGATCTCGAGGGGTTTAGCTCGTAGTAGTCCGACGGCCACTACAGTGTGTAGCCTTTTTGGCTCAGTGGCTTATGGAATTCGGCTGGCGCCTAGACATATCGCGCAGCTGTCATGTAGGAGCGCCATCTGTTTAGATGTCTTCATCGACTATCACGCAGAAGGTGTCTATGTGACAAATAAGAACATCCGTATAGAGACGACGTCTGTTGCTGTAGCGTATAGACACTACACATTCTACGCCAACATCTTGAAACAGTTGAATGTCGTTGCACATATTTCTAAGAGTATACACTGTAAAATGTCACGTTTTAGCTAGGCCCACAGCCTTTACAGGCCATCGAATCGTGTCCCTCCACGATATGTCGAGCTGATGATAAATTGTCTCAAGCAATTGATAACCCCAACTTTTCAGCCACCAGCGGTTCCCCAATGTGTGCAAAGGCACACAGTAATGTGCGAGGATGACAAGCGCCATTGGTTGTCGATCTCTCAGCAGGGAAATATACAACGGCTTTATGATAACAGGCCATCTGAAAGCAATCAGGTGTCCGAGATCGGAGTAGATCTTTTCGAAAGAGACGAGAAGTTCAGCAATTGCATGTTCACATGCTTCTTTTTCCTCATCCGAGAGACCAGTTCTCTTTACGTCCGCATTGAGGACCTCAAGCGCAGCTATGTTGTCTCGGACCTCTTGTGGGACGGAGAGCGGATCGATGACCACATTTGGCGGGAAGAAATCGGCTATCTTCTCAATCCACTCTGAAGCAGCCTGGACGACTTCATGGATGCCCCTCAGAAGATTAAAGATCTGTAGCATTTCATCGATAAGTGGTAGAGGCTCAGCGCCTGTCGTATGGGTAAATGCAAGCGCGAGGACCGCAGCTATGCTGGAGAAGGCGAACATTGCACGGCAATTCGACGGGGTGATATCATTCAGCTCTTTTCGAAAGAGAGCCAGCGCCATGCTCTGGTGCGTTGTTGCGAGATCAATGTAGTGTTGACGTCGCTGACTGTTCTCGTTGAGCTCCAGGATATGCAGAGCCGAAAGGGCCAGCAGACCGTGCATCAGGAACGGGTGTACCACTGCTTCCTTGGGAACCGAGATTTGCCAGACAAGTTGCGATGATTCTCGATCCGTGATGGTTTTGTAACTGACTGTTGAGTAATGATGCATCAATTCCAAGTCATGAAGATGTAAGTCAGAAGTCAGATGCACATCGCGACGATGCACGGAAGGGTCTAATATGACAAGCGGATCTGACGCAGGAGACTGCGAATTGGAAGACCCATGGCCCAGTCCACTGCTCTGCGCCTCCGGTAAAGAGACGGAATTGGGGGAGCCAACTGAACTCTGTGGCGTTGATGCACTCTGAGTGAGAAGCCGTCTGTTCACAGGCGACAACGTATAGACACAGTCTATATTGTGTTTTATGCAATTTCCACAGCGAGGTGTCTTTTCATCACACTGTTAAGCTAATCAGATAATGCCGTTATATCCGCAGAAACCAGGGTCTGGTTGCTGGGTGACCTAGAGCTTGAAAAGCAGTAATTTACCTTGATGCGTCGTCGTTTGCATTGTACACAGCCCAACCTGCTTTTCGAATGTGGCCGTCTAGTTGGCATAGTTGTGGACTGGGCCTCTAATGTCACCAATCTCGCCGCTTGCCCAATTCGTTTACCCAGTCTGAGATGAGTTTTCTGCGCCGCATAGTAAGGTCAGTGTGATAAGTGAGAGCTTTGAGCTGGCCCGGTAACAGCTTCGGTGCGTGATTGGACTATCGCATTGGCAGTGGGCATAATGCGATGGAAGGATCATAGAGGGAGCCTCATAGGATGTCTATAAGAGCATCTTATTGAGAGACAAGAAATCTAATTGATGTAACATCCTGGCGTTCGTTAACTTAGGTATCTCCATTTGGCTTAATTTGATTAGCATGACAGGTGGCCCGAGCAGGCATGTAGAGGTCAATCTGATTGGCTGAGAACCCTCCAAGGCACGTGAGCGGGAGTTCACGCGTAAAGTGTCGTCACGTCGAAGGCGCGACTAGAACACGATCAGATGCTGCGCGTTCTGCACTTTCAATAGGACTGTAGGCGACAGCAACATCATCAGATGCGTTGCAGATAAAGTCCGCATCACCAATTCATTTGATTTTCGCCTTTATCTCCGGTGACTGTTTCGTCCATGAGTTACAAACATGCCTGAAGCTATTGCAATGCCCCAGAAGCGGGTTTTGGGCGACGCAACGAAAAACGCGCGCAATGTCGTTATCAATTCTCCAAACACGGTCAAAAAGCGAAAGCTGGATACTAATCAGCCGGTAAATATCAATAACCCGACGCGAAATGGCGTCCCGAAGACGTTCGGCTCCAGTCAGCCACAGAAAAGCCAGTTCGAGGAGGAGGTATTGGAGAAGTTGACGCAGGACATCAACGGTTTGAAGCGGAACAACTCGGAGAAAGATCAACAGTGGGAGCGTCCTGCGCTTGTTAATTTTGATGCGGCCAAGGATGATCTCTGTTTTCAGCAAATCGATGCAGAGGAAGGGACATTGTTTGGGGGAAAGACCACTGTCAAACTGTTTGGTGTCACAGAGGTATCTCATTTCGCGTGTGCTTATAGCTCTGATTCATACTAATCACTCCATCTGTAGCAAGGTCATTCGGTTCTTCTCCATGTTACAGGGTTCCAACATTACCTGTATATCGCCGCCCCTGTGTCGTTTCAGAAATCGGACTGCGAAGGTTTCAAAGCATACCTGGAGACAAGAGTGGCTCAATACCAGCCCGTTATTCAATCTGTCGAGATGGTCATGAGGGAAAACATATATGGGTGGCAGGGTAATCGGAAAAGCCCTTATCTGAAGATCACCGTGACGGAACCGAAGTTCATCAGCAGACTACGGTCCACCCTGGAGAGCAAGGACCAAAGTATCAACTATAAGGGCTTGTTCAACCCCATCGAAAACCGGATCCTTACATTTGACAACATTCAATATGTTCTAAGATTCATGATCGATACCGGAGTAAGATCCTCTACCATTCACCCAATGTGACAGCTAACGGCTGACATCCTCTCAGATCTCGGGGATGTCGTGGGTAGAGGCGAAAGCTGGCAAATATCGTCTTCTGGCTGACAGAGAGAAACAATCAAACTGCCAAATTGAAGCAGCCGTTGATTACCGTGAACTCATTGCGCATTCCCATGATGGGGAGTGGGCCAAGATGGCACCGCTGCGCATCCTTTCCTTCGATATCGAGTGTGCTGGCAGAAAGGGCATCTTCCCGGAACCAAGCCAAGATCCTGTCATCCAGATTGCCAATGTTGTGACCCGGTACGGAGAGTCGAAACCTTTCGTTCGAAATGTCTTCGTCCTGGACACCTGCAGTTTGATTGTCAACACTCAGATTCTGGAATTTGATAAGGAGGAGAGAATGCTGATGGCTTGGCGAGAGTTCCTGGAGAAAGTCGACCCTGATGTCATCATCGGATATAACATCGCAAATTTCGATTTTCCGTATCTATTGGACAGAGCGAAACATCTCAAGTGTGGAGGCTTTCCCTACTTTACGAGAATGAAAGGAATGCAGTCACAGGCCAGGGATACCAACTTCTCTAGCAAGCAAATGGGAAACCGAGATACGAAGTCCACAAACACCAACGGAAGAATCCAGCTTGATCTTCTCCAGCTGGTCCAACGCGATTATCACCTTCGCAGCTATACCCTAAATTCGGTCTGTGCGGAGTTCCTAGGGGAACAGAAGGAGGATGTCCATCACACCATGATCACGGAGTTGTTCAATGGAACACCGGACTCGAGACGGCGTCTTGCTGTCTACTGTCTGAAGGATGCGTACCTGCCGCAGCGTCTGATGGACAAATTGATGTGTCTCGTCAACTATACAGAAATGGCAAGAGTTACAGGAGTCCCCTTCAATTATCTTCTATCTCGCGGTCAGCAGGTCAAGTTTATCAGCCAACTGTTCCGCAAGGCTCTGGAGCAGCAGCTGGTTATTCCGAACCTGGATAAACAAGGCGAGCAGGACTACGAAGGAGCCACAGTCATCGAGCCTATTCGAGGCTACTACCCTGTGCCCATTGCGACGCTGGATTTCGCCTCTCTGTACCCATCTATCATCCAAGCGCACAACCTCTGCTACACCACCCTTCTCGATAAGAAGATCGTCGAAAGCAGAAACTTGAAGAAAGACGAGGATTATATTGTCACTCCAAACGGTGACATGTTCTGTACTCCTAAGATCCGCAAAGGCCTGCTCACCCAGATTTTGGAAGAATTGTTGAGTGCGAGAAAACGCGCCAAAAAGGAGCTGGCGGTTGAAACCGATCCGTTCAAGAAAGCTGTGCTTAACGGAAGACAACTTGCACTTAAGGTCAGTGCTAACAGTGTCTACGGTATCACGGGTGCCACTGTCGGGAAACTCCCTTGTCTGGCCATTGCCAGTAGCACGACTAGTTATGGTCGTCAGATGATTGAAAAAACGAAAGAGGAAGTTGAAAAGAGATATACGATAGCGAATGGCTATAGCCATGACGCAAAGGTTATATACGGTGATACCGACTCTGTCATGGTGAAGTTTGGGGTCAAGGAACTCGAAGAGGCCATGAAACTTGGCCAGGAGGCAGCAGATTATGTGTCCTCCAAATTCATCAAGCCTATCAAGCTCGAGTTCGAAAAGGTTTATTTCCCATACTTGCTCATAAACAAGAAGCGATACGCAGGGCTCTACTGGACCAATCCCAAGAAGTATGACAAGATGGACAGTAAAGGTATCGAAACTGTCCGACGAGACAACTGCCGACTCGTGCAGAACGTCATCGAGACTGTCCTCCACAAGATCCTAATCGACCGAGATGTTGACGGTGCACAAGAGTAAGGATCGCACAACCTGGTATTGGATTATCCATATGCTAATGAGTTACGTTACAGATATGTGAAGAACACAATTTCAGACCTTCTTCAGAACAAGGTTGATATGTCCAAGCTTGTGATTACGAAAGCCCTATCGAAGGAAGACTACAGTGCGAAACAAGCACACGTAGAGCTTGCAGAACGCATGAGAAAGCGTGATGCTGGTTCTGCGCCGACGCTCGGTGACCGAGTCGCATACGTGATCATCAAAGCTGCCGGTGGCTCTAAGAACTACGAGAAGTCCGAGGACCCAATCTACGTGCTCGAAAATAACCTTCCCATTGACACGAAATACTACCTCGATAACCAGCTGGCTAACCCGCTCGGTCGTATTTTCGAACCTATCCTGGGTGAAAAGAAGGCTAGTCAGCTCCTGACGGGTGAACACACGCGTTCTATCTCCGTGGCAGCCCCTACTCTTGGTGGTTTGATGAAATTCGCCAAGAAGACGCAGACTTGCATGGGCTGCAAGAAGCCCCTTGTAAATAAAGACGAGATGAACGGCGCTGTTTGTTCGGACTGCCGTCCACGTCTTGGCGAGTTGTATACCAAGACAATGAATAAAGTGTCGGATCTCGAAGTACGGTTTGGACGCTTATGGACGCAATGCCAGCGATGTCAAGGAAGCTTGCACTGCGAGGTTATTTGCTCTTCCAGGGACTGTCCTATTTTCTACATGCGGATGAAGGCCAAGAAGGACGTTGAAGACGCGGAGAAAGAACTCGCACGATTCGACCACGATCCTGGTGCTTGGTGATTATGATGATATGCTGCATGCTACTGGCTCACTTGTTCATTATATCAGTTTCTTGGGAGGCGCTTTTAACTTGGGGTCCTGGTCATTGTACTAATTAGATTTATTCAACACCACACTGAAGTTTGATTACTCGGCTATGTCTTGATGAAATGGCATACATACTTTGAATATGATTTGATTCCTCGTTTGAAGTATCCAGTCTCTTTGTCCGGCATAGATTCTTGACTGGAAAACCCGGCTGAGTCCTGTATTACGGTCCACATGACGGTTGTCACCGTAGTGTAAGCACAGCTGTAAGATGATCCTGGAATAGTGAATAAGAACCAATTCACCAGTCTCAAAGGTCATTGTTAAGTCTGCATTGATCGTGGTGTTTCCGACAGGCGGTCTAGTCTTGGCAACCATTATCAGTTTAACTATTTTCAGGAACCTAGCTAGCTGCATAATTATTACTGCATGATGCGGAGAGACAAAACCTCCGTCTAACCCCGCAACACGACCTCAAAACCTCACCTTTCTCTCTGGAGCTGCTAGACAGCAAATATGGTTCCGACGAAAGATACAAGTTCCAAAAACCCAACGGTGGAGGATGAGATGGACGCTGAGAGCAACAACGCAACTTCCGGCGCGGATCGCAAACCCGTCGCATGGTCGGAGGTAAGCCCTTGTCGTCCATTGAGAAACACATAAGCATTGAAGCATGCGCCTCGCGTCAATTATGTCCCCTGGTAATGCTAATGATTGGAACTGGATAGATATTCGCCCAACACGAGTCCAGCCTGGCGTCGCATTTGTACACACTGGACATGGTGAAATTCCATGTCGCAGCGGAGTCCGAGGCTTTCCGAACGGTGTCCTTGATGCTCGAAAGAACAAGGCAGTTAATGGAAGATTTCAAAGTGATACAAAGGGATTTTGTACGTTAAAGTCTGCTGGTTGATTTGGGATTGAATTTGTCTCAGGCTTACGGATTTGTTTTCTCCCTGCAGTTACCTCATACCACGACGGAGAAGATACTCCTGGGCACCTATACGAAAGATCTACCAGGGAAACCCAGCGTCCATGGCGATCGTGCTAAATCGGAAAATGCGTCTACTGCTAGCTCACGAGGAGCATCGGAACCCTTCAAATCGCAAGATCCAAGTCGAAAATCGACCCCCTCCTTCTTCTTCGATTCGAAACCTACACCGGTATCCAAACCTGAGCAGACAAAAAAGGGGAAGAAACGTTCATGGAGAGACGATGAGGAAGTAGAATCGGAGAATGTGGAAGACACTATGGGTTTCGCGCAGAAGCGAAAAAGAACAAATGGCTTGGTTCCCGGCCATGACGAAGATGTGAAGACTATCATGCCTGTATCGATGGAAACGGAGGACATATCAGACGAAGTGGCACGTCGATTGAAGATCAGAGAGGAACGGCGCAAAAATAGAAACAACCCCCCCGAGAAAAGGAAGCGGGAAAGTACGAATTCGAACGCGAGTCGTCTATCTCTCGAAGACACAACGAGGCCGAAGAAAAAGGTCAAGTCGAGTGGCGTAGATGCAAAAGAGGGCGGTGTTGGGTCTAAATCGGAGAAGGACAAGAGAAGGAAACGACACTCATCGGGGCCATATTCGGAGGACAACAGAGCAAAGAAAGTGAAGAATGGGGATCGATAAAGGCTCCAACGACATTATCCATTCTCCGATCCAAAATCGAGGTGCGGTCAGGCGTTTAGATTTCAAGGCCGATCCCATCTATCATGAAGGCCGTCGCAATGCCGTCCACGCATATGGGTACTACTTGGATTCCCATTGACCCTTTCCAACTCTTCAGCCTTGACGAGGTCTCCGAAACACATCTTGGGCTACTCGGATGCCTGCTGTCCATTGATGGGACACACTGAAGAGAGATACTTGCCTTCCGGCGACTTGATTCGGAGAATCAGGCGGGATATCTACCCCAGATCTGGTGAAACTGGGGAAGCATACCGTACCTGCCTAGCATTGTGGAGGAAAGTCAATCGCACCGGGTACTGTATATAGCCGTGGTTTGATATACCGCCGATACCAAAAAGGTGCCGCCCACCAGGCAGCGGCAGTTCAATCGCTTATTATAGAATATTATTCACTACGAAGCAAGCTGCACTGGCTCCTGGAGCCTTGTATAATAATCCCCCCGGTCCCCGCGGCTTCTGTAGGATTTTTTTCCTTCTTCCATGAACCATCACATTGCCCCAGACCACGCATAACCACAAAACAAAACCACAAACTGCTTCGAAACACACGCTGAAAACTTCTACAAACCCACAAGTCAGAGCTGGAGAGCTGTTTCATGCTCGCAATTGTTTAGTCCTTCTTGCGAAAAAAAATCTCAAAACTCCTCATAACCTTCAGGCAAAACAAAGCCTTTCTTAAAAATTCCGCAAAAATCCTTCTTCTGCTCTCGTCATTTCTCGTTCTTGCTTTACTCAAAGGCTCTCGACGCACCCTTTTCTACTCGGCACTCGAAGCGCGGAATCCGGAACTTGCTATTTACAGCTGGGATTTTCCGCTCAAAACCTTTTATATAGGCAGCGAAAACATAGGCGCCTATACTTAAGCTCTGGAGCACAGCTCGAGCTATCATCATCATCACTCTGCGGGACCGTCCTCTGCCCGCTATAACTCCGACCTTGGGAACAAAAGCCCAGGTCAAAAACACTTGTCTCGGCTGACGATTGAAGCTTTGAGAGACCCCCCCGCGCGCAGGGGGGCAAATATATACATATCAAAACGGCATAGTATAACCTTGGAGCAAAGCTCAGGTATACATAACAACATGCCGCGTGGATCTGGGAGAACCGAAATACCGGCGAGCCAACGGAAGCCAAAAGTAAGTACTCCACATGTTCAGATGATGTATATCTGTACAAGCTTTCCTTTGCTAACGATATCATAGAACCCCAGAACGGAGCCCAAGCGAGACACAGTCAAGAAAAGCACATATTGCTATTCTCGCCAGAACATCATTCAGAGGATGGGCCGGTCAATATTACGGGGTGGTTACCGAATTGCTAGAAAGCAATGGCTCGATAGATGCTCGCGTGTCTCGGACATGGCCATTACTCAAGAAGAGTATCCGGACACCGATGTCATCATGGAAGATGCGCCAATGTTGGCGCATACAGTAAGTTGCATATCCTCGTACATGTACTGTGAGGTGACCACCAGCTAACAAGGAGTAATATAGGTCTCCTCACTTGCTCAGGTTGCCGACGATTACGATTGGAACATCGTCGTAGAGGAACTGTGTTATATGATGGCGGCACTAACAGTAAGTAAACATCTTTTTACTTTCAGTTACTTGTATATGCAGACTAACCATTGAAAAAACAGATTGCCAGCCATACAGAAGAAGCACCTGAGCCGCAGTACATCGAACTCGTGAGACGACCTCCACCAATTAGCCGACTCCCGACGACTCCTAGACAGGAGAAAGAGATCCGATTGTATCTCGACCAAATTGCACATTCCCGGGACGTCAAAAAGGCTAAGGAGCGTCGCTCAAGACACAAAGTCGCCCACCTGGGCAGTCTCATGGACGGGACCGTCCAGCGTCTGAGAAACGCCGGCATCTCAGACGAAGAAATCTTCGACGACGTTGACGAACGCGCCGAAAAAGAAGATGGACGGATCGAGTACTGCGTTAACGACGTCTACCACCACAAGACAAGCGCACATGTTCAACATGTTGAAGACGTCCGATCTCAGCAACAGAGCGAGATCATCTATTACTGCAAGCCTCGGGATCCGACTGAAAACATCACACCCAAGCGGATCGACCCGAGTGCGCAGTGTCCTTTACCAGCAATCTGGAAGGACCATCTCCTTGCAGCGCACATCCCGATGCGCATGAAGTGCAAGGAAAGTACGCCTCTTTTCAAGCAAATCATGACGAAAAAACTTCATGATAGTGCGTACACCGATTCGTGGAAAGTTATCGACTGCCGCGATCGGGTTTTCGGTGGTGTCTGATCAAAACACATCCAAGGGGGCCCCTGGATGGACGACACATACACCTATATTGGCTATATATAGCCCTTTAAAAGTCTACGGACTATAAAAGACACCTGTCAAACGGACGACCGACGCATCGGGAATCATACATGCCTCCGATATCAAGCAAACATACCTCGTTTCGTGGAGAGCATAGCGTCTAAGACGCAGCGTCATCATACACAAACATCCATCTATATATATGGATCACACACGTCCAAGACACACAACCAAAAACTGCATTCCAAACTGCAGACGAAAAGGGAGAGAATACCAATATCTCCAAAGAACAAAACAATACTCTCGTCAACATCCATCTACATATGGATCGAGAAAACAAAAATCAAATCAAATCGAACATCTTCGAATACAAAAATCCATCTACATATGGATCGAGAAAACAAAAAACAAATCAAAATCAAATATCTTCGGATATAAACATACCATCGAAAACATCGAACTGCAACATCCATCTACATATGGATAAGCAAAACCAAAAATCAAATCAAATCAAATCAAACATCTTCGAATACAAACATTCGATCGAAAACTATATACTCCATCGAACAATGCGCTCGTGTCGCAAAACCACATACGTCTATATACATCCTACAAACTCGCAAATCGCATCAGCATTATAACATATAATGCATTCATCAAAGATTTTATACGATTATTTATATCAATATCGACGAGAGAACACTTTACGAAGATACGAATTACGATTCAAAAAGCATTAGCGACATCATCATCATCATCATCATCATCATTATCATTGACGAATTACGATTTACGATTTACGATTTACGATTTACGATACACGATATATGATCTACGATATACGATATATACTTCATCTTGACGAACCAAGAAAACAAGCGACGGAATTTTTGGGACATTGGAGTTGAAAGACCAAAAGGTCTCTTTTGAATATTTGTTTCATGTATTTTCTCATTCATGTATAGGGGAGTACTCGAAGAGAAGACGACGCATACATCCTGTACACACATACAAAGTCATGTATCGGGGAAGAAGAAGAAGACGACGCAAACATCCTGTACACACATACAAAGTCATGTATCGGGGAAGAAGAAGATGAAGATGAAGAACGCATGTACTCGATCACACAAAAGAGGGGACGATACCAATAGGCTCTCTAGGGTTTTTGGAGGTGTTTTCCCCTAGGGCCTACCCTTCCAGGGTGGGATAGAATTATGGCCTATATGGTGAAGAGGACAAATCATGTTTCCATCTACAAGTCATGTATATAGAGATCCACATACGGGGAATAGCAAATGCACCACCTCCTTCCCCTCAAGTTGAATGATCCATTAATGTTCTGATTAAGTAGAGAATTTCATAACTATCGTACATACAATGCCGCCTAGAATACATAAGCTGATTTTTGATAAATTGCTAGCTGCCTGGTTATATAGGGCGAGCTGCAAAAATATCCGACCTGTCATTCTTTTGTTTGATAATAATATTATACATGTAGTACAGAGAAACATGTCATCATGCCCGATTCATCTGCCAAGCTACCTTTCACCGGTGTTTTTATAACCAACTGATGGTGGAGATCGGTTCCGGGTGCGCTGCGAGCGAAAGACCCTGCCATTCAGCATGGGACTATATCCCATGCCGTGAGTGACGAGTCCTAGCAGAAACGACCCGATCGGCATTACCTCTGATGGAAATAGCTATAGTCATCGTGCCCCCAATCGATCCATTAATTTCTTCCTCCCAGCCAACACAGCCAGCTCATTTCTTCTCACCCGTCGAGCCAGAAGCGTCCTGATCCGATGATTTCTTTCCCCAATTCCACACATCCCAAATATGCTCCATGATCAAATCTCCATAACCCTTCCCTTCCTCCAACGCTTTCCGCTCCTCCTCCAGCCGTCTCTCCTTCCAACCAGGCGACTCGTCTCCCATCCAGATGCGCTCCGCGGCACTCTTCTCCTGCTGCTGTTGGCGCTTCAACCGTTCGAGCTCTTCACCAACCAATCCGCCTGATCGTAGCTGCGCCTCTCGCGCAGCGCGCAGTTTCGCTTGGATCTCATGCGCGCGCTCCGAAGGCAGCGGGTCCGTGATCGCTGTGGTGGGAGGCTTGACGCGGGAGAGACGCTCTTCGAGACGCTCTGTGATGCTTCTTCCGGTACGTTCGCGAGTCAGATGGTTTGCGGAGACGAGGAAGGCGCCTGTTAGTAGGACGGTGAGGTGGTCGAGTTTGCGAGGCGGGATGGCGATGAGGACGGGTGAAGCGACTAGGAAGGTCATGGCTGCGTAGTTCTTGAAGCGGATATAATCTGCTTCGCGAATGGCATTTTGACTCGGTGGATTATCCCCCGATGGAGGAGGAGTTGTAGTAGTAGCCGTGGACATTATGTTGTTGGTGGTTGGTTGGTTGCGGGTAGGTATTCTTTCAAGATGCGGATTCGATGAAGGTAGGTGAAAGATCCAGAAAGTGCAGAAATCCGCCTTAAAGCACTTCTAGTTCAAATCGCAGATTTCCAATTCCAGAAATAGTAAAAAAGATAAAAGTACAGTGATAGGTGTTATGCCGCGGTAATCCGCTCAACCGGCACAAAGTCCTCATCTTCGTCTTCTTGCATCATCAGCCTTTCCGGTATAAATTTACGGCTGTCTATCAACACCATCAGCGCAGTTCAACCATTACTTAAACTTGCGTGATTCCAGCCCATGTCAATAACTACTATGGTATGTAGCTAAGAGAGATCGACAGGCACAGAAAAGAGCTTCTATCCAATGAATAGGGTTAGAAAATATTCCATGAGGGAAAAAGAAAACAAGGCCAAGAAAATTCGGCGTCATCTGGATACCTCCAAGTTTACATATGAGAGAGAGAGAGAGAGAGTCTGGGGTCAGGTAGATAGCCCCATGTATTTCTTTTCCTTCTCCGCGCAACTTGAGTCTGTGTTATGTTAGCATGGGAATTTACTCAATACATACATGCTCTATCTCTGTATAACGAAGTATGCAGGACACGGATCGTGCAGAAATAAAATAAAAACATTAGATAGATGGAGTGTGCCCGTGTCTATATTTATTTATTACATAGACTTGAAACCCTAAAATGTATCAGCTCCGCTTTAATTAGACACACCCACGAATAACTATATTTGTCCGATATTTCCAACACGCACCCATCCCGTGGCAGATGATGCAACGCGATCTAGATAAAGAAATCAACTACCTTGGCAGGCTTGCATCGCGATCTACCCCAATCATCCGATCTGGATCTGTGCGGGATGCCAAGTTTTTTAGTTTCACCGTGACGTTTCGTATCTATCAGATCTTCGCAAGCAGGTGGGGGAAAAGAAAGATGTGACTTGTCAGATCGGGAGGTGCGGAAACGTCTAGAGTACTCCGTATCAGATAGTGCCCGCTGTGTGCGTTTTGTTATTATCCTCACTCATACCTAGACGGGCTGCAGTAATAATAATAATGGTGGGTTGGAGCGAGATTTCTGGTTCCAAATTGGGAATCTGCTTGGATTCTAATGGCTTTGGGCAAAGCTAGATGGATGTATAGAAACGTCTCTACGCTCTATTTCTTAGAAGAGAAAAGATAGCTAGCAACATGATAATGACGTAGTATTAATTTGAACAGAAAGGGACATGTTTTATTGTCCGAAAATGGTAGATTTTGGTAAAAAAGGTAATATGGACATCTTCTAACGCTGGTCTAGAAGACAGGAACCGAATAATAAAACTCAATATGATATCACTAATCCTGACACATCCGAAGCATGGCTCGTGAAACGAAGCATATGACCACAATGAGAAATGAAAACATTAGACCCCTTGGACGCGAGGGCGACGTAGAATGCTTAGCAGCACTCCTCGAAGGCCTCGAAGCAGCAAAGACCAGCGCAACTATAGCACATCTACCTGTCAGTAACTGGGTCGCCAGTTTCCTCAGGAGGGTTTACTTACACTCCGCAGCAGATGTCTCCAGCACCAGCACCACCACGCAGGTTCATGTTCATCTGCTCCTGGGAGCCCTATCCTGCTTGTTAGTTGACTGGGGTCTTTATCTAGTTCGGATGACAGGAGGAAGCCATCATACCGGCTGCTCAGTGACGACCCGCTCGGTGGTAGGAGCGGCTGGGCTAGTCGGCTGCTCCGCAGTCATAGTGTTGGCGTTCCATGTGCGCTCCGGGGCAGCTTCCTGCTTGGAGGACTTGAACCAGTTGAAGACACCGTCACCGAACATCTTGAAGTGTGATGGGGTGGTAGATATGTGGAAATGTTTGGCGTGAAAAAAAGAAAGGATCTTTTCAGAGAGATCGATTAGATATCGAGCTGAATGGAGCAGAGACGGATGTGGAGCCGACAGTTATGATAGAAGAAGGAGGAAAGAAACACACAAAGGGGTGAGAGGGCTCCATTTATTAAGTTGCACGGCTCGATGAGACCGCCGGCGCCCGAGCACCCCTGAGGGAGTTCTCCGCCTACCAGTAGTCACTCATGGTAGGACGAGTAAGTTCCAGCAACGACTGGGTGTTTGTTACCGAATAATCCAACGACTGGCGTCCACTGGCTTCTTTCACCAGTGGAGGGCGGTGCGGGGGCGCTGATTCAAGCAATAATAATTTCACCAGCCACTGTGGAAGTCTAGAGGAGTCGCGCAGTTACTAACTACTAATTTTCAGGATCTCTCAGAGTCTCAGCTGAGCCCTTCAAGTGCTAGCGTGCCTCAGATAAGCTATTAGCCTCGGACGGTGGGACGTCTGTTGGCTGTTCGTACTCGTATTAATTATCCATAGGATTATTAGGGAGAGAATTACAATAAAAATAACTCCATTCCAATTCCTCAATAATAATAAATTATCATCATACTACATTCAACGGATCCGACACGAGGCTGAGCCATGGGTCCGTGGCGGTTACTAGCAATATAAGGAAACCGCAGTTTGCTGCGTACCTTTTTTTTTGCGCCAAAGTACCATAGAATTGCATCCGTGGAATAGTGATTAACTTAATATTAATCCATTATTGCTGACTTATGCTACTACAGCGTGTCAGCAGACAGGGAAGAATAACTACTAACTAACTATTTAATTATTGCCGTGCAAAGGACACAGCGCAGGACGAGCTCTAATCCGATGTTCACCCGTCACGGCTGTCTCGGAGCCAACGAGGCTGATGCGAGCCCTACCGAAACGTACCGAAACGACGTTAGGCCAGTTAGTGAACTTTTTCACCCCTCGGGGACGAGGATGGTACGGACTAATTGATACGTAATCCGACTCATAACTAATAATCATCTCCCATGGCTGCGGAATACTCTATCTAGTCTACCATCGAAACCCGTTTGCCATACAGTCAATTCCCCGGTATTATTATTGGAAGTGCTGAGCCACAGAGCTGGTTCGCCATCAGCCACTCTGGTAGTTCTCCAAAGCCTCGAACGTCCACGTCAGACTCTTGGGAAGATATTCATTATTATTATTAGTATTACTGCACGGAGACCAGTTAGCGTTAGTGCAAATTAGTTACCGTAGTTCGAGCCGAAATCTATGGTAGGCTAAGCCACTGGAGTTCAAGCTTTGAGCCAAGCTTTGTATCGTCTAACGCGCGTCGCTATACAACGACGGCGCCGATCCGCCCCGTTTGGCGACTTCCTCATTGAACCTTGGAAGACGATCGTCGTCCTAGACCGTACGCAAGACGTTGAAGTTTGAACAGCCCATTTTTCAGCCTTACTAGAAGCAGTCGGATCGTTGATGCTAACAGATAACATCCTAAAAGGGCAATACTTAGAGAGCAGTCGCAGCGGTCAAATTCCGGGGACGGTCCTGTCCGGCTCCGGCCTCTTCCCGTTGACCGCTTCGCTCTGAAGGAAAGAAGAGCACTGGACAACAACTACGTAGGTCCCGTTAACCATCAGCTACACAGAGAGAAGCATATGGACGATCATAGTTTCAATATCAAAAGATATGGTTATTGCTGATCAGTGTTCAAATGCTTTTTTTTTGTAGACAGGTGGTCTGAAAAAGCGCTTAATAGTGGAGTGCAGTACATGTCGCGCATGGTTTACATGCAATAGGCGGCCAGTCACCCACCAGATCAGAACCAATGTCAACTGTATCTGTGAATATTCGCAATTTTGCCATGCGGAAACTCTCGATGAAAGATAATAGCAAATTGTGAAGGCCTGATATAGAGTTAGCGCTGTTCTTGTTCAGAGGCAAGGACGCAACTGACTCATTTATGATGTGACAGCTCCCCAGCGGTTGATCTAGAAAGCGCCATTTCAGGAGTGACACATGTTAAACAGGACCAGGACTGTGATGCCTTCTTTTCCCGTCTACGGGAGTCTGCCCTTAACCACCTTATCCAAATCAACGCCAATAGTGGTGTTCTTCGGCATTTCCGTCAGAGTTCCTGTCTCGAACTTGATAGTGCCATCGTTCAGATAGCCGTTCGGCTCGATAACACCACCGGTGATCTCTCCGATGAGCTGCGCATAGTTATCCATGTATCTGATATTGCAGCGAGTTGTTGCTGACTCGCAGTGAGCCACCAGCGCGGCAGTCGCCTTGAAAACACGCATGCATCGTGGACAGCTGGTTACTTATGGTTAGTGCTGAGGTCTTCTGGGATATGGAAGACTGTGTATGCTTACCGCACCCTCGACGCAATATTGGTCCTGATCAAAAGGTGTTCTTCAAAAGACCTTGCGTCGTCAAAGTACCCGCAGCCGCACGGGCATCTGTAGCGCCCGACGAAAGAGTCGAAGTACACAGTTGCGTCCCAATGACCGAAAAGGGTATGAAGTACCTGGCCAGCAGTTGGAAGCTTTCGAGTGGGATTAGTAGGATCCGACAGAGTCATACCCGCCTGAGAGCCTTCGTGCCTCCAAGAATCCGAAGAGTTCTTGCTCCTACCGGCAGTAGACTCTCCGTCTTGCTGATCCAGAACTCCCTTGTTCTCCTTTCCCTTATGGTCGATGGAAAGTTCAGAGAACGCCATGAGGTCACTGGACTCGGATGTCATCTGGCTTTGCCTCTGTTCTCCGAGCCTGGGCCAATGCTTCAGCGATAGCTTGGTAGATGCAGCGGATCTGTTGCCATCGTCTGATTTCGGCTGATTATTGATGGCCTCCTTATTGAGACGCGCAACGTTGCTAAGACTCACACCCCCACTGGCCTCACGATCATCATCAGATTCAGAGCCAGGTGCCAGGGAGGCCCTTAGCTCACTGGCCTCCAGGGCGTATCTAAAGGCCGTCTTCCTGGCGCGCTCCTTCACCAACTGAGTCGAGCTAACCACTGGACATTCGTTTTTGTCGATATGATTTATCATTGTCGCTCCACTCTTGAACTTGGCTTGGCAATAGCAGGTCAGATCTTGTTCCGTGCGATGGTTCTGCGTGAGAGGAGGATATGATCAGTCCCGTTCACCAGTGTCTATCTGAAGACGGTCGAGGCAACAAGACCGTGGCTATCAACAAACCTGCATGATATGGTGGTCACGGCCACTCTCACTGCGAAACTCCGAACCACAGATCGGGCAGATAATGTGTTTGTTGCTTTTGATCTTATGAATGAGCAGCCTCTCCTCATCCTGGAAATCCTCATCGCATCTGCTGCAGTATTCATGTTCCAGATCAGAGATTTTGTGTTTTTTCATCTCTGCATCAGATCCAAATGTGCGACCGCATCCTGGAAATGTGCAAGGCACACGGACACGAGACGGTGGTCCAGGCATGGTTTGTGATCAGTAACGAACACCCTGTGTCGATGTTTGAGGATTCCCTAGGTGAGTGCCGTGGACTAAGGTTAAGATGAGGTTTGGAGTTATGACCGTGGGAAGCAGGGATGAAGGGAGTCGATATGGAGGTGAATGACCAGGATATGTGCTGAGAATAGTTAGGAATAGCTGGAGAGTGAATGTGGGGGTTTGAAAAAAACTGCCTCGTGGATGAGTGCAGAAAGAGGGAGGGAGAAGCGGAAGATAACAAGGCAGTCGCGGACATGAGACCTTGCAAAAGCAACAGTCAACTTCCGCTGCACGCACCCACAGAACCATGTAACGTTTGCCCTCGACAAACGACATGAATGATGTGTTTGATATTCCTTCTCATACAGGGAATTTACCACGCAAGAGACCCCATATGTCTATTTATCAAAGATGGATGGTTCTCACCTCGCTCCGGGTCTGGAGAAGTCACTTTAAAGCTTATCATTATGACAACGGGGAAAGAAACATCGACTTCGAGTCACATATTTCTCCGATTAACTCATACTATATGAAGATCCAAGATACAGTATCTCAGTCCTTGCATCAGAGCGCAGCCTAACATATCTAGAACCTTGAGAATGGCAGCCTGGATACAATATTAGCATCTCTTCTCGATCTTTTCCAACTTACGAAAGGCTCTCACCATTTTCCGCGCAGAGTAATGACGGCCCAGTTGTTTCCGTCCTTATCCGTCTCCTTTTCAACCTTCGTGGAGAACGAAATAGCACTCATGATGCCATCACCAAACTTTTCGTTCAGAACCGCCTTGTACGCATATCCATAGTTCTGCACGATCTCATACAACCGGTAGATCAAGGGTTCCTTCGGAGGCATCTGTACCGTGCGACCACGGTCGGGGAAGCCACTGAGCTGTTCCTCCAGCAAGTCGTGCGGAATTCCAAGAAGCGTAGAAAGCTTCTGGATGTCTTCGGACGAGGCCTTTGCCTGTCCGTAGAATATGGCGGCCGTCGCTACCTCATTGCGTCCGATATGGTTTGCGATTTCCTCGAAACTGAGCCTCTTGTTTGCCTTCGCCTTGAACAGCGTCTCTGCAGACGCTGGCAGGTAGGGGTGCTGGGTGACCTGTTGCGAAAACCATCAGCTAGCTACTATACCTGTATAGCAATGGTCAGACCTACATCAAGCGTTGCGAGCGACATTCTGTTGGCGGATATTGAAATAACAGGACTATGGCGGATTGAGCAATGCTGAAGATACCGACTCAATGATATATCCATACGACTTCTGGAGCGATGTCATCCTTATATAATAATTAGCCCTTGGCCTTCTCCAACTCCTGGATCCGCTTGAAGCGGGGGGAAGCATCTGGTGTTCGGGAGATACCAAGATCCCGACGCGGGGTTCTCTCGTCTATGCGGGGCTTGTTCTGCTCTCCGATTACGGCAGCATGTCAACAATGGGAAACTCAATTATTGTATAGAAGGCAAAGCAACCTATTTTATAGCGTTGATAGTCCAGCCGCGACACATAGCCCTGTCTATACCTCCGACAGACACATTGGTCTGCAGAGCTGCCCCTCCACGACGATCTCCAGCTAGTACTTTACAAGTGCGACACAGCCACATCCTATCACCATGTGGCATAGCTGCTCTGGTGGCATCGCTGGACTGAAGAGCGCATCAAATATGGGTTCGAGGTGGGCCATGTCCGTTACTATCTGCTATCTGATCCGTCATGGACAGCCTAAGTGGTGGATAGCTCTTGCGCCGTTAGCAGCTGAAACGCGAGTGAAGAAGCTCTTAAACATTAGCGGGGGTTGGCACAGCTTGACACGGCTCAGAGCGAGCTGGCTTAAAAAGTCCAACTTACTCAGTGCCACACCGCGTCTTCTGGGCTCTCTGGGTATTTCATCGGCAAGAGAACTCCTTCCTGTGACTGTCAATTGCTCACAGAGACTATCTGCTTGAGACCTCAGTTTAGCCTTGCTACGCTTTTCAGTTTCTTTCAGCCTACGATCTCATTGAGGACAATCCCGCTTAGCTCCACGAGACCTCCAAGCAGCATCCAGGAACGGGACTCGTGCAGAGATAGCTCGTCATCATGTCGGAGTCATACGAGCCGGACTACGAGGCAGAGCCGCAGAAAGAAGACTTTGTGTCAAGACTTATCGACAAAATAGGAGAAGCAGTAACAGGTTCCGATGACAAACATGAGGAAGAGGCTTCTCCGGAAAACGAAGTTACACCTTCGAACAACGCACACAGGTATGGCAGTTTTGCTCCTCAGAGGGGAAACAACGAAGTGAAATGGCATGTCGATGGATGCAACTACTTCCATGCCGTGTCTCTGGCACTGGAAAGGGCCGAGGAGACTATTTGGATCCTGGACTGTAAGTATTTCACTGTACCGTAGTTTCAGCAATTGTAGTCTCCCTAACCTCTTTCAGGGTGGCTTTCCCCAGAGCTGTATCTCAGACGGCCTCCCGCGCAAAATGAGCAATATCGTGTCGATCGAATGCTCCAAGCTGCTGCCGAGAGGGGCGTGCATGTCAATATTATTGTCTATAAGGAGGTTACCCAAGCATTAACCCGTGAGTGTCATGTCTAATCTCGGACCGGAGGTCGTATTGCTGACTCTTACCTGTAAACAAGTGTCATCTGAGCACACCAAACAACATCTGGAAAGCTTGCACCCCAACATCCGTGTGTTCCGCCACCCGGACCATGCTCCCAATAGCGAAGAAGTTAAAGATACCATACTATCCAAGTTGAAAGGGTTGACTTTGGATACTGCCAAACTATCCAGTATGTCCGGTGAGGACCTGAAGGAAATTTATGGTTCCAAGGAAGAGACAGTTCTTTACTGGGCACATCATGAGAAGCTGTGTCTCATTGACGGCAAGATCGCTTTTATGGGCGGTCTTGATATGTGTTTCGGGCGTTGGGACACGAACCAACACGCGATCACGGACTTCCATCCCGCAAACCTCGACGAGATCGTGTATCCAGGCCAAGACTACAATAACGCACGGGTCCTTGATTTCCAGGACGTTGCTCACTGGGAGCAGAACCAGCTCGATCGCAAAGCTACCCCACGCATGGGATGGTCTGATATATCAGTCAGTTTACGTGGCCCTGTGGTAGAGGATCTTCGGAGGCACTTCGTCGAGCGTTGGAACTTCATTTGGGAGACAAAATACAACGCCGATCACGATGACAATCGGTATTCCAAATTGACCCTCCACAGAGGACCAGCAGGAGCTAGTCTCGAAGACAGAAGCAACGAGCAAGGCTGGGGCCTATCAGGGTTTGGGCATGCTCTGCATGATCGATTCCATCATTATATTGGCGGAGAGGGGCATCACGCCGGCGGTCAATTTAAATGCCAAATTGTTCGAAGTTGCTCTCAGTGGAGCCATGGAGTTCCCACCGAGCATTCAATTGCAGATGCATATGCGGCTATCATCCGAGACAGTAAGCATTTCATCTACATCGAAAACCAGTTCTTCATTACTGCAACAGGTGATGAACAGAAGCCCGTGGAAAACAAAATTGGTGCTGCCATAGTGGAGCGTATCTTGCGAGCTGCCCGTGCTGGTGAGAAGTACAAAATTATAGTCGTGATTCCTTCCGTGCCCGCTTTTCCTGGCGATCTGCTGGATGATTCAAGTCTCGGTACTCGAGCGATTATGGAATTCCAGTACAATTCTATCAACCGCGGCGGTAACAGCATCATGGAACTCATTTCTAAGGAAGGATATGATCCAGAGGAGTATATCAGATTCTTCAACCTTCGAAACTACGACAGAATCAACGGTGGCGGGGTGGCATCCCAAATCGAACGGGAGAGTGGTGTAGACTACGAGGATGCCCGTAAACAACATGATATCGCCACCGGAGGATATGGTGGATACGGCCCAGGAGCTTTCAGCGCCGATGCTGAGACCAGAGGCTCATACGAGCAGTATCAAGAGACCGCCCAGCAGTCGCGTGCGGGCAGCCGCTGGGACTCCGTCAGTGAGTGTTATATGCTCGGTGGAGAGGACATCCGGAATGTCCCATGGGAAAACTCGGATGATATGGATGAGATAGACGCCTTCGTTAGCGAAGAACTCTATGTTCATTCTAAGGTAAGTCACACATGGAATCATATTATGAAATTTCTGCGATGCTGACTAGTTGAAGGTCCTCATTGCAGACGACCGCATCGTCATTTGTGGTTCAGCAAACCTGAACGACCGTTCCCAGCTTGGTACTCATGACTCGGAGATCGCCATCATCATTGAAGACCCGAGGCCTGTCGAGACCACGATGGACGGCAGACCCTGGACAGCAAGCCGATTTGCGACTTCCCTCCGTCGACAACTGTTCCGGAAACACCTTGGTCTGCTGAGAGCGCAGGACTGCACACAGCTGAACGCTAATGCTGAGCCTGTCGGCGTGCCTAATGTGGACGATCTAGATAGTGAAGAGAGCCAACTAGTTGCCGATCCCCTGTCCGATGAATTCCAGGATCTCTGGATCTCGCGTGCTCATACGAACACAGAGGTTTACCGGGAGGTCTTCCACCCAGTACCGGATGATACTGTCCGCAGCTGGGACGCCTACAAGGAATTCTTCGAGAATTATTTCCACAAAGCCGTTGAAAATGCCGATGGTAAAGACGAGCTTCTCGAGAAACCAGCGAAGTATCAATGGGGCCACGTGGTCCGTGAAAACTTCCCCGAGGGCCCTGAAGGTGCTAGACAGGTGAAGGAATTGCTTAGCAAGGTGAAAGGAACCCTGGTGGAGATGCCCCTTGTCTTCTTAGCCGATGAAGATGTTGCAAAGACTGGACTCAGCTTGAATGCCGTCACGGAGCCGATCTACACCTGATCTATGACTCGATGTCTGTGATATGAGTACTGGGTTCTTTCAGTTGGCTATGTGCATGTACAGATATCTAGACATCGTCCCACATACGTTTACCTATGATCTAATTGGGAATTGGAGAAGAAATCTTCGAATATTCTTAGGAGCCGTGTAGACGCAGCGACTTCACTCTACGTTTAAGACGTCTCTATGATAACGCACAATCTACCTGGCCGGGTGACACTGTCCAGTTGCGGGGTGTAGCATCTTAACTGCGGCATTCCCGCCTTTCTCTGAAACAATGGACACAATGCTGGTCATTGTAAGCGAGGATCTTTGATTTAGGAGAAAAGCTCCTCGTGTAAAATCAAAATAGATCTACCATCCGTACTTCCTGAGGAAGTGAATGCTTGTGCCCACTTGAGTCGACTCGATGAGAATGAGAACAATACGAATGGGCCATGTTACCCAACAATGGTCTAGTCAGCACCCCACCCCCCACACGAATATAGACCCATTAGTTCTTCTCACTCTACATATTGTTCTCCGTTTGCCATTCAACCCGAACAATATGTCGCCGGTATTGACCATTCGGGGTAAACACATGATATTTTGGAGGGGACATGTCATATATAGCCTTCAATCCTTAAGTTCCCTTTTCATGATTCTTCCGCATCAACTTTTTACTTAGTCTACATCAAGGTTGCAATATCTACGAGACATTCATATCTCGAGCACGGAGTCGCCTTTACAAGCTTCAATCTCTACGTCTTTCAATAACCTTGAAAAGATTCGCGATCGCATATACCATAACCTCTACCGATCTTTCCAGATGGATGAAAGCTTCGACAGAAAGTCCATTCCGCGTACTGTTCGAAATACAATACGTTATGGTGAGTGGCATTTTGCATCTGGCCTTCGGATAATTCGAAAGCATATGTCTTTGATTGTACCTGATAGCAAACGTGCTAACTTGTCTCGATTAGCCTCACCCGGAGGCGGCTGCATCATCATGTAAAGAAGGAACCCTACTAGAAATACAGTAAGGGATGATTTGGCCCTCTGGGTGTCGCAAGTGCTGGGCACTCGGCTCCAGCAAGTTCCGACTCTGCTCTGTTACATACCTACTATCCAAGATCAAGTTTATGGAGTCACGATCATTCCTACACCATGCAGTCGAATAATATACGAAAGATATGCGTATTCCGAGACTCGGTCGATTAAGGGCGGCTTGTCGATATGCTGGAGAGTGTCAATGGATTATTTCACCTACCACGCATGAACTACGGTTTTTGGCGCACGCCTGTTTCCGGTTGTTTTACCAAATACCACTTCGGAGAACGAGGGAATTGAAGTCAAGGCCATGGGTTTCATCTTCTCTTGCTGTATGAAGCCGCAAAGGATCGGGATGTTGTGAGCATCTCTCTATTGGACCTGTCGCTGGTGAGAGATGAAGGGAAAGACGGCTATCAGAGAGCATGCAATAAGAGCTTTGAAATATCGACCTACGTATTCAATTATCTTCCCAAAGACGGCTCTCCGGCGACTCAATCTCTGCATTCGATATACTTCTCTCTTTGAGTACTGCCTACGGATCGCTACTCCACTCTGATAACAACCATTCCTCACTATGCATACTTTCCTTTTCAAATAGTATCGTCTTATCTCACATTTTCTTATCCTCCTTTTCCTATTACGCGCTTCCTTCGATCGGAGGCTGGGACTGCGTTGCTCCAACAATGAGAATCAGGTCTGCTAGTGTGAGCAGGAAAACTCGCATAGTTTAGCAAGATAGAGCAAAGAATGAGAACCAATCTGCAATATTTCTGCTCGAGTATGGCTATCATGGAAAAAAGTTACATATGTAGAAGCGATATAAGCGGAGTATCACAGACTGAGACAGTAATAGAGAAGGCTGCAGAGTTTCAACAAGGCCTCCAAATGGCCCTTTGCTTGCCGCCGGTCTCTACGGCGTTCAGGTGGGAGCGAATATACTCTTTTAGACTCAGCCTATAATAACTGATACATTCACCCGGTCTGCTGCAATGCGGTAGGCTCCAAGTCGAAGGCAATGTGGCTGTGATCATCGATGTGAAGAAGCAGGTCATTGCCCGGCGCTAAACCAGGGACATTTATTGGACGCACGTTGATACTTCCTGATAGCTCTATTTCAACATCTCTTTCCTGTGAGGTCTTTTGATGGATCGCTATGCGCTACCGCACAGATCCGGTGAGATTCGAGAATTTGACGCCATTGATTTTGTTGACTCCGTCATTGGGGATCGCCAATTCTATTCCGTGATCCCGTCTTCACGAGGGTCTTCTTTTCTTGTACATACGTAGTTCTCCATTGTGGACACGGTCTATATGGCCCACAGCCACAATGGGCATCCGGTCTGGTGTCTATCATGCGGATGTTTTCCGATTGAAGGCAGCAGTAGCCTTCAAATACATAGATAGCTGGAAACCTTGCCTTCTAAAGGCGCCACACCTAAATGACGCACACGCAGGGCACCTGCAGGGTTCAATGCCAGCAAGCTGAGACCGAGGACGGACCAAAAAATAGTGATGCGCCGGTTCGAAAATTCGTGAAACGCTTGCCAAGATTAATTATGCGAACCTAGCCTCGACTGAGGTCAAATAACAGCAGACAAATGGGTTTCTTCAAATATTTGACACAGGAGCGGCCAAGTCGCTGTTCACTGGGGGTCTTAAAAAGTCGGCTTCTGCGACCATGCCTTAATCAAAAGTGATTGCCACAATGCTAAGTAAACGATAACCGAGCTGATTGAGAATTTCCGTAGTTCTGCTATTAAGTAGACGCCCGCTCTCCTGCAGGGATCTAACTTTGGAATCTGCAGCTAATTAATACAGGGCGCTTCTATACGATTGATCATAGAGGCGGACACCTGCAAGGCTGCAAGTCGCAACCGAGTCGTCATGGCAAACCACGCAAAAAAAAAAAAAAAAAAAAAATGCTGGAATGGCTGCCTAACAGTATAAAGTGGTCAGGTATTCTTACCTCTTTCCCGCGTACGATATGGGTCTTTTACCTGAGTCTGATCCGTACAACAACTTATCGAATGCCTATACGGAAACATCTGTGACCACGAAAAAATCAGATGTCGACATATGACTATCTCATCGTTCCAAGTCAACTGCCCTCTACCAGATAATATTACCAATTATGTGTCGGGTCCCGATACAAGAGGAACGCTGGACATTCTCTGGAGTTCTATTAGCATCCTTCTACTCTGCACCTGGTCCGTTCAACACCTCAGTGTTCCGCTACAATTCCTTCCCCTGTCTCGCGAGGATGGAAAACACAAGCGACAATGGTGGAAGTTTCGACTTGCCGATCACCAGGAGATGAACCGCAAGATCTATCTCTTCTTTCGCAAATTCAAATGGCTAACGGTCAATATGATCGTACCCGAGTTTATCCTTGCTCTGGCACTTTCAGATTGGGTTCTTGCCAAAAAGTACTTGGCAGAATTTGAACCTTGGGCTAAGCATGATGGTGTTGAATGGTCGCTGGCCCATACATATTTTGCCAATATGGGAGGTTTTCTGATTCGCTTTAGAGACGACGGTAAGGATCATGATGTGTCAGAGGAACAAACCTCCGAAACATCTGAAGGACAGTCAGAGATAAGGGTGAGCGGGGTGTCTGTCGAGCAGGATGTTGAAGCTGGTGTGCGGATGAGCCGCAGAAGCAGCATAGAGACGGACAACATCACACTCCAGAGCGAATCGCAGGTGACAGCAATCGAACCAGATGTCCCACATGTTATAGTATGCCCGAAAAACAATTCCCCGGCGTCTGAAAGATCTCATTCGTCCAATACAACTTCTGAAGAAGGAGCCCACCAAAAAGAGCGAGGTGATCTTATCAGCTACCTGAACAGCTCGAGGCTTTGGATCGATCAACACGAAAAGAATATGGTTCTGTGGCAGAGGTATCTTGGACTCGATTGGCAGGTTGATGAACAGAATCAAAAGGCCATGCGACTCGCTATGCAGGGGGATAACTCAGAGCACTCGGGAGAACGGTTGCTACTATGGTACTCCAATATCCGAGTACTTCAAGGCACCGTCTGGTATGTCGACGCTCCGCAACTGCTCCTCGCGCGCGAGATTGGCTTGATCAATAAGCTCCCCGTACTTTCTACTGCTCAGCTCGATGACCAGAACAAAGACAGTTTCCTGGTGCGATCAATCGCTCTAGCACAGGTCTTGTGGCTCGTCATAGAAGTGATAGTCCGACACACTCAAGGACTACCAGTGGCACAAGTCGAAGTCGTTACGCTCGCATTTTCCGCCTGTTCCTTATTTACCTATTTGCTGCTGTGGAACAAGCCGCAGGACGTGCAAGTGGCCACTGAAACCACTGCTGCCCGTCGACCAGAGGTCCATGAAATCAAATCAATAGCTGCAGCTGCCCCTGCAACCTTTGGCCCATATCGAAACATGCCTTTCATGGCAGGAAATGCGATCCACAACCACGGCGAGATAGAATATGGCTTCCAGACTGGTCTAATACTAGGCGGGACCCTTTTCGGTGGGCTCCATTGTCTTTCTTGGAACTCGCACTTTCCAACGTCCGCGGAACGGATCTTGTGGAGGGTTTGCTGTCTCATCGTCACAGCAGGTCCCACTATGATTGGCTTGGTTTGGAATGGTCTAGCTGCTTTACTCCGCTTGTTGCCTCGGATGGCATCGAAATGGCGCCATGTGGCCATTTCGGTCTTTGCCCACATTTGTGCCTTGATGTACCTTGCGGCACGAGTATATCTGACTGTTGAAATGCTGCGTGCGCTAGCGTTTTCACCGCCAGATACCTTTCTCCAAGTCGACTGGTCTCGATACTTGCCTCATTGGATGTGATAAGAAACGATTATTACGATTATTCTTGACGATGATGCTATATCGGTATACCAATTAATTGATCGTCCAAGGAGAAAGAGTATGTTATGCCATTCTACGGCTAGTAGTATTCATGGAGGCATGAGAGAGGGGACTTTGGGTTGCTAGGAGGAACGAGAAGAATATTTATTTCATGACGTCTATTGTGATTCTACTGTGCAACACACGCTTTCAACATTCCGGGCCCAACCCTGAGCCAAAAACAGAACAGAGATACATACTTCATAGAAGTCCCACTAGCAATAAGCCATCTTAAGAAGATGCTAAGTGGCTCGTGTATATTCGTATTGACGTCTTAACACATCATTCTGAACGCTTAAGAGGCAGTCTTTGTGCGAATTTCCGCCACTTTGGCAATATCATCTGCACTTGGTTCTTTCAGTGCTGCTTCTTCAATATCAAACACATCTGCAAGCGTCTCTTCGACTTGCTCAATCAACAGAGATATAAGGCCGACAGAACGTGCCATTCCGATCTCACACAGCTCCTCTCCAATTGCAGATTCAATCCGGCCGTCACCGCCCATTTTAGACAGATCGCTCTCGAATGCTCGACAGAGAGACTTTAAGGGCCCCAGGAACTTGTTTTGGAAATAGGGGTATGTCTTTTCGAGCTCGAGGAGCTGGCGGAGCTTTGGTGAAGAGAGCAACACATAATAGAGACTTAGGGAAGCATGTATTGAGGGCGCAAGAGATTGAGAAAATCTTAACCACGAGGCGACAATTCCAGACGTAGTATCGAGTGATAACTCGCCCGAGTTGAATAATAGTGGGAAGAGAACGGAGAAGTAGTGCGGATCTGCGAAGACTTGAGGATCTGGGAAAGAGACGGTGGTTTTTCCTGCCGTGCCACCTTCCATATCTGCAGTAGACGACAGTATTTCATCTTTCAGCCATCCGATTGCACTATCCCTTGCGAAAAGCAGGTTCTCCTTCTCTAGAGCTCTGCGAATGATCTTAAACCGGGAGGTTGATGAGGGGTGACTATGTACGACAACAGCCGGGATGCGTCGGATAGTATTGTAGATCTGATGAGATGTGCACGCCGTCAATGTGAGCACAAAGTCCTCATATTCCTGATCGACTGCGATACTCTGAGGTATATTCTCAGTTGAAATGATCGTGAGAGTGAGGAGTGCATCCAAGAGCACCTGCGGTTGTTCGATATTCACTCCCTCAGTAGCGGTCGGCTTGCCGATAAAATTGAAGAATATACGAGCAAGATCGGGAAACACTGGAATTTGCACAACTTCCTGGCCTGAGGAAAATATCTTCTTGTTTGCGACCCGCGCCGCCAGTAACAGCAATGATCCATGTCTCTCCAGTGATATCTCGTCGGCTGATTTAGGAATCTCTTCGAAGTCGAGCAATGGTGGCTGTTCCTCGGGTGGTATAGAGATAATGCGTAGCAATTGCTGGTCGTCAATTCCGAAGTCTCGTGATAGTGCCTGCAGAACGTTCCGTAAGCAATGAAGCACAGACACAGACGAAATACCGTGGTCTTACCGTGATCTTTCCCAGTATCATATCCCTCTCCCGCAGAGCTTTCGAGCTGGCATAATGTTCCGTCTTAGTCAAAAGCGATGGTATGCGAGACTCGGGGTGCAATTTTTCGTGTAATCGTATAGCCCAGCACATTCCCGACTCAGCTGAATTCGTAAGGCTCAGCATGCAGGCCTTCAATAGTTCTATCAACCCGAATTGTAGAAGCTTCTTAAGCAATGCCTGTTCATCCGATGTCGATGGATGGCTGTGCGTCTCGGCTTCCGGATCAGGAGCAGAGGCTTGTGAAACTCTGATGAGAGAGGATTCACTCGCCGCCCGAGGTGGCAGCGCGGGCCGCTTCAGCGGCGACACATCTCTGAAGAACTCCAGAAGAGCAGTAGTCGTTTCATTGGTGGGCATCAATGTATATGCCTCCAAAGTTGCCTGTAACGATGTTGCCAGGAACCGACTAGGATATGTTGTCTTAATGCGGGAATGGAGGACGGATAGCATAGCCAGAAGGCAATTGAACTGCATGACGAAGCGCGGAAGCTTCCTCGTGCCAGTGTCCGATTCATCGTCACTTTCAATTGCAGTATCTTCGAGATCTTGTTCTAACTTTTCAACATCCTCTAATCTATTATCGCTCTCTTCCAGCTGATCCTGGGTCTCTTCGTCATCCTCCCCCGGCTGCAGCTTCATCAGAGCATCCGAGACTCTGAGAATAACCTCTCGAGGATTCCCTAGTCTTGCGACATCCTGAAGACAGTCCTGCGACTGTGGAAGCATAGGAAGCAGCAACTGGACCAGGTCCCAGCCAATGTTTGTGGTCAACGTTTCATCCTGCAGGAGCTTGTGCAGCAGCGGGAGTCGGGCGGGGGTCAATTGGTATTCGAGGAGAGTCAGGTAGGTCAAATAGTCAGTCGCTGGAGGCAGTGCCTTGACCAAAGGGTCTTCTTCATCCGCCATGGCTGCAGCATTCAGGGGAGTCCAAGTTATAATAGGACAAGCTGGCTCCTGTTGATGATGATTTCCATGGAGGTTCTGGCAACGTGGAGATGGAAATGCGGGGGGACTGCCTGGTCCTGTGATAAGCAAGTATCACCGGCAGAATCAAGCCGCCTTTATCTATCTGCCACGTGCATCTTTCCTGGAAGTGAAAGCTAAGAAGTTGTTAAGCTACTACTTTATTATTAACGATCATTGTTTTGTCAACTAGCAATGCTAGATAGCATTCCACATGGCACATATACTCTGGATCTATCAGAGTGCTCGTCGGACACAACCGACCGCCCTAGTCTCGTTCTCTTCTGCGCCTGCTCGAGGCTAACAGTGGGAACATAACGTTAGCCTACGGGGCTCTCGACGCGCAATCGTGAGTATTTGCCAAATCCTCGATCGTCCTGTTCCTACTAATATGAAATGGGTTGGTACGGGATAGATAATCTAGATCTCTGGCATGACCTAGTCTGAATTCCATGCGGCATTGCTGCAGTACGCTCCAGCTCAGCGATCAGCCTTCCGGTTCAGCTATGAACCACAGCAGACCAGTTTAGAAGCTACAGTGATAAAATGTCAGTTTGATATAGTCCAATCAACTATTATTGAGTGGTGGTGATTATTATTCACGATGCACCGTTGTTCCCGTCTATACTTATCCGTGGAGACGGCGACCCCATCTTTGATACGGGGATTAGTCCCCCATCTTTGGTCTTTAATCGATATGCGAAGTGGTCTGATTAGAACCCCGCAATCTTGTCTCCTGTCCAAAGGGCATAATAGGTTTTATATCTCCCAGAATGCCCAAGACATGCGAAGTGCGTTGCACGAAATAGCATTGGATGGCTCACAGGATCGTTGGCCAAGGAATTATCCGTACCGCAGTCAACAATACAGATACCTTCGAAAAGCTGCTTTAGACTCTTAATTTGATTGGACCACGAAATCATCATACATATACAGAATCTTTGTTCCAAGATGGTCGCGCAGCTTGAGGTAAGGAGAGTTGTCTCGTCCATTGCGTCGGGTAACCGTCAAATACTTAGCCCGCTTCTAGGTTATCATCGTTGGGGCTGGCCTCGGAGGACTAGGAGCTGCGACGGCGGTACTTCTGGCCGGTCACAAGGTCTTGGTCTTGGAGTCAGCTAAAGAACTGGGTGAGGTAAGCTCATAGCACTGTACGGAGAGCTTTTTCAGTCAACATATTAATTATTTTGCGATTACCAGATTGGGGCTGGTATACAGATTCTTCCAAACGCCTCACGTATACTACGGCACTGGGGCATGGAGGAGACATGTTCCAAGCATGCCTCATGTCCTAAAAAGTGTAACATGATCAGATGGAAGGGAGAACATCTGAGCTCACTAGACTTTATCGAATCATCAAAGCGCTACGGAAGTCCCTTCTGGGACTTTCATCGTGCAGACTTGCATAGCGCCCTATTGCAGCGTGCTCTGGAACTCGGTGCTGACGTGCGTACTAATTCACGTGTCGACCAAGTAGAGCACCAATCGGACACTCCAAGAGCGACCGTCGTACTTACGGATGGCACGCGGTTCACAGCGGACTTGGTGGTAGGTGCCGATGGCATTGTCAGTCGTACTAGGGAATGCTTCCTCGGTCATAGCGACCCTCCGACGCCCACAGGGGACTTGGCCTATCGGGTCCTCTTGGACCTCAATGAGATTGAGCTAGAGGAGGACGTTCAGAAACTGATAGAACCAAGAGAAGTTAACTATTGGATGGGCCCTGGTTGCCATGCGGTCTGTTATCTGCTTCGAGGCGGGAGGTATCTGAACAGTGAGTCTGAGATTATAGACACGACGTCATCAGATCCATCTCTAACGGTGACAAAGTGGTCCTACTTGTCCCCGACGATATACCAGATGGTGGCGCGAGAACTGTTGAAGGAAGCGTAACCGAGATGAGAGATTTGTTCAAGGACTGGGATCCACGGTGAGTTTGAAGTCTTCTTTGCCTGGTCTACCCAAATGAAAACTAACTCTCTAATGCCCTTAGAATCGGAAAAATCCTCGCACATTGTAAATCAGTACAGAAGTGGAAACTCTGCATTCGACATGAGCTACCAAAATGGAACCATCCATCTGGAGCATTCACCTTACTAGGTGACGCCGTGCATGCTACTTTGCCGTACTTGGCTTCTGGGTGCGTCTACTTTCTTATTTCATGACACAAGGCTAATATGCAGATAGAGCCGGGATGTCGCTTGAGGATGGCGCTGTTTTGGGAGAATGTCTCTCTCGAATAAAGAGCAAGTCTGACCTCCAGCTTGCCCTTGATGTTTATGAGGCATGCCGTAAGAAGCGTACGTCCAGGATCGTCGAACGAGGTAATCTGTAAGCTCTGACCCCATACTCCGTGTTTTGTCTATGATCGTCTCCTGACATTGCGACCAGTCAACAATACCTGTACCATCTTCCCGATGGGCCTGAGCAAGAAGAACGGGATAGAATCATGCGTATGAACCCAACACCCCCTGGCGACCCTCTCGTGTGGCGAGACCCTGAATTGAGTCCGTGGCTTCTTGGATATGATCACATCAAAGACGTAAGTTCCACTGCCAAGGGTTAGATCATCCCAGTAAATTGACTAATGCCTACTAGGTCGATATGCGCTGGCCGAAGCCTTCCGTTTCCGAACGAAGCAACATGTAAGGACGAGAGTAATGAGCCATGCTCATCCTACCTACTGACTTTGAGCACATTTCAGTGCCGAGGCCGAGTAGTCTATACTGTCTTTGGGTTTCAAAATCCGCTATCTTATTTCTTAGATGCTTATGAGACCTGTATGTCTAAAATGACAGACCCTCCTCGGTAGAATACTCGTTATTTAGTGAGTACCTAGTATGAGTCTCTGTACATATTTACGGAACCTATGTAGTCGCATATCTATACAAACTTAGACAATGATATTTAGTCTGATTCTACGAAACGATCTACTTCTAAAGGACCCCAATTGGCTGCAACCAGACCGACTGAACCATCGACAGTTCCAGACCTAGAACTATCTAAGCGTGCAGATCAAATGCGCACTCATATGCAGGCCTAACCTTCCTGCCACTTAAGGCAGTGGAACTAATAATGAAATGCACGGTGTAATATGCTTGATTACGTGTCTAGATCTTGTATCCCGCACTTAAGATGCTTAGCTCTAGCAGGTAACCACATACCGCCATGCCGATTTGTTTTCTTTCGTCCTCTATGTAGATAAATGTGATCGGGTTATCCCAAGGTTGCTAACTGAATAATGCAGAAAGGAACCTGATGCAGCCAGGAAACCTTTGGGCGACGGTGGTGCGGGTGTTGTTCTCTTTTACTATAATAGCTAATTTAGCTTGCTGTCTCAATCTAGACCCTACATGTTACACGATACGGGAAATATATGCTGCAGGTATCGGACCGATGTTTCAGTTATCGAGTGTGCCCGAGTGGTCCCTACTGATCTTCTTATCAGGCACCGAAGAGCTCTCCGCTGCTACTTCCTCCGAGCCAGACTTCTCGGACACATGCCGACGAGGAAAGAAGAAGAAGATCACTCTTGGCTTGCAGGATCAAGATGTTGCCGTCTTACCTCTTGCGGGACTCTCGTGGCTTCTCGCCATGGATACATAAGCTGCCATCTAACCGCTACCATGATCGGAAATGAGAAAACATGACAGCAGATTGACGTCGAGACACAAGCCAATTTTTTTCGAGTGATAATTCACACATTGTAACCTAGGAGCCGTTCAGAAAACATATTACACGGAGTCATCATACAGGAAGGAATGTCAAAACCGTTTTTCATGGCTGCCCAAGAGCGGCCTCTATCGTCGGCAGTGCTTGATGATGAGAACGATGCATCGCAGTCCAAGCATAGATGGTTCTCTGGTCTCCGCCTACCCAGATACGTTATCGCGTCGATCACTGTCGCCTGCGCGGCGATGTTATTTGGGTATAGTTTATACAAATCACTCGGTTGACAAATATCTAATAAGACAATAGGCTTGATACGGGGTGCATCGGCCCAGTAACGACTATGCCAGAATTCCTGGGATCATTTGGCCAATTTTCTTCCACGATACATGGGGCAATAGTCTCAACAATTCTAATCACTGCGTCCGTGACTTCCTTTTTTGCAGGTCACCTGTCGGAAATTCTGGGTCGAGAACGCGCTGTTATTGTTGGCACGACAGTATTCTCCTTTGGAGCTGCTATAGAAGCGGGCGCGACCTCCTTGGGTATGTTCGTTGGAGGAAGAGCGGTCAAGGGCGTCGGTGAAGGATTCTTCCTTAGCACCTTAACTGTGTATGTCTCCTCATACTCAACTTGTCGATGTGGACTAATGTAGCTGTTGCAGATATATCTGTGAGGTGTCTCCAGCTAGTAGGCGCGGGTCTCTTGCGTCACTGGTTCAGTTTCTGACCACAATCGGGATTTGTGTTGGTTTTTTCATGTGTTATGGTACAGTGCGCATTGCTTCGTCGGTCTCATGGAGACTTCCGTCGGCAATACAGTCTGCTCTCGCTGCTATTCTCGCAGCTGCATGCTCAACCCTTCCTCCGTCTCCGTGTTGGTTGGTGAACAAGAGACGGTACACAGAGGCGTACGACGCAATGGATAAACTTGGCTTGCCCCGTGGGGAGCTGGAACTTGACTCTGCTATCCTATCTCCCTCGTCGACAAGCTCAAGTCTTACGGATATTGAAACAATGAAAACAAATAGGTTCGCAGAGGTCTTCACTAAACCATATTGGAAGCAGACTGTCATTGGGATGTTCATGATGGTTATGTGCCAGTTCTCGGGAATAGATGGCGTGTTATACGTACGTGTGACTTGAGCCCAGATATACCATTGCTATGAGAAGGCTAACATAAGCAGTATGCACCGACTTTGTTTAAACAAGCCGGACTCTCAAGCACATCCAGCAGTTTCTTGGCGTCTGGCATTACCGGTATTCTTGGTGTGGTTGTGACTATTCCTGCCTCCCTTCTTGCCGACCGTTGGAATCGATGTACATCCCTGATAGCCGGCGGACTCGCGATTGGGGCATGTATGGTGGTTATTGGCTCACTTTACGCTTCTAATAGTGTGCATCCAAGCAGTGGTGCTGGTAGATGGGTCGTCATAATCAGTATCTATCTTTATACCATATTTTTCGGTATAAGCTGGGGAGTTACGATAAAGATATATTCTACAGAGGTACAACCAGCACGGACAAGGGCTGCAGCCAGCAGCTTGGGGCAAGGGGTCAATTGGGTGGCTAATTTTTTGGTCGCCTTTACCACTCCTATCTTCCTAGCCCATTCGTCTTGTGGTGCCTACTACTTCTTTGGGTCCTGGAACTTACTGACTGCTCTTGTGTGCGTATTCTTTATGCCAGAGACTAAAGGACGGTCTCTTGAGGCGATAGAGGCCTCATTCCATCAGTCGGCAGTCAGTGATATTTTTTCCAGGTTTCTACGCAAGGATAAGCGGAGCAGCAGCGAATCTGCTGATGTTAACATTCCGGTCGAAGTTATTGAGGTGAAATAGGATCTCTTGATGTCTAGTGGCAGTGATTCCTTGAAAATAGACTCATTCATAGAGTTTTCATGGTTTTAGAAATAGAGAGGCTACAACCGAGTCATTATAGACTCTCTAAAGTCAATATTAGCAGATGCCAGATTTATCAACACGGGACGGCAAAAACAGCGAGAGCATCCCGTGAAGGCAATATCACTACTAAGAAATGAGATTCTTATTTTCGCATTATATACACATATAAGAGGAGCGCTAGACACCAGATTCGGTAGAATCGTCTTGCTCGACGTCGTTTTCACTCTCATATGACTTCCACGCGGCACAGGTCGTGTCCAATGTGTCATAATCAATCAGACCTGAAATCTCGCTATATCTTTCTATGAATTGAAGAGCGAAGCCTTCCTCCGTATGCCAGCCTATGTGGCAGTGCATTAGCCAAGCACCGGGGTTATCCGTCTTGAAAGCTAGCACGAGATACCCAGAGCTAGGAAGCATGGCTGTATCCCGTCGTGGCGGATTCGTCAAGCTACCCAAATCAGACGAATTGTACGTTCCTGTGCCTTGCGCAAGGATAAAAAAATCATGGCCGTGGAGGTGAATCGGGTGTGGCACTGCTAAGGTAGTTTGAATGACGATATAGGCCCATTCGTTGGCGTCGGGAAGTTTGATGACGCCGCTGCTAGTAGTGAAATTGGTAATGTTATTATAAAGCTTCAGAAGCGTTGGATCGTTCCATTCAACTTGGAATGTTGTTTCGTTCAGGTACCAGCGGAACAGGCTCTCTGAATTCGTTCCGACAGTCACGTCTTCGAGGTCCTGCCAGGTCCCTGTGGAGACGTCCTTTGAGACGACAGGCACGAGGTTACTGAGATCCTCATCATCGCAGGAATCAGTGTATGAGTAGCCTGTAGTTGTCGGTGTAGATGGCGAGTCACCATAGTACACAATGCCTTTGATATTGTCGGTGCTGTCATTGTCGGAGCAGGCCTCCTGGGGAATTGCACGCATCCAGAAGTTATCCGCCACGTCGGATTGATCGGCGGTCACAATAACATCGTATCGCTGGCCTGAGAAATTATTCCATGTCAACTATGGTTCACTCAAGTGGATCAAGAAGTCCTTATTACCTATTGCAATATCCAAGACGGTAGTATTGTATGGCTCAATAGGAACGAGGTCCGCTGCAATAACCGTAAGAGTATGGTTATCTATGGAGAATTTGAAGTGTGTATCAATAGCCGCATTCACCAGGCGGAAACGATAGGAGGTGCCAGCGGTAAATGAGGTGTTGAATCTATATCCGGTCTGGTCGGAATCACCATCGTCTCCGTAGACATTGGTGCCATTGATCAATGCATTATCCAACGTTGGCGGTCCAGATGACTGCGCCGTGGGGTATAGTTCGTCAACAGTTTGATGAGACCAATCATTGAGGATCAATATTCCCTTGTCTTCATCATAATTGGAGCTTGCAGGTCCATTGATGATTATGCCTCCAAACACACCCTCCCATGCCTGGAGGTCGAAATGGGAGTGATACCAGGTACTACCATACTGTGTGGCTCTCCAAGTATAGGTTATGGAATCTCCAGGGGCAGTTGGACACTGAGTGATGGCGACTACGCCATCGTTCTGGTTCGTATAGTTTTGGCGAATGCCATGAAAATGGATGCTAGTGCCGTTCTTTGATTCTGTCAGGCTGTTTGTGACATGAACAACGACGGTATCGCCCCAGTCGGCCTCTAAGGTTGGACCAGGGATAGACCCATTGACTGTTAGGGCAGTCCTCGAGTAGCCGTCAGGAGCAACAGTTGCCTCGATCAGCTCGAGATAATACTCCCGCGTGACGCCTGTATCTGGGACTTCGGACGTGTAGTCGGTATTTATATCATAATCGCACCATTCAGTTCGTGTGGTGGCAGTGTTTCCAGAGCAAGCACTCCGTTTTGCATTGGATGTATGTCTGATTGCTGGGTTGGCTGAAACAAGACAAGCCATGCTCCCAACAAGGAGAACGGAGGAAAAGCGCATTGTGAATAGACGGTGCTCTTTATAAAACGATCGGATATGAGCAAAAGTAGGAAAGACGCAGAAAGAAAAGAATTCTGTATGGTCCCAATTTAACAAAAGAACTTGCGGCAGCGCCCCTGGTTAAAAGACCGGAAATAAAGGAGAAGACAGATGGATAGGTCTATCGTATTACCTTCCGGTCTATACCATCTTTTATATCTTATCTTTGAACACCTTCAACGCGTCGGTCAGTCAGCCAGTCGGTCATGAAGACATCTCAAGTCGGCCAAACTGACCGTTTGTGACCCATCTTTTCGCTTTGAAATCTCTTCCGCATGATAAAGCCGCGAATTCCAGTGGAGAAAGATTATATTTTGAAACAGACCTATACGAAGCCCGACTGCGCCTGGATAGATGTAGGCGCTGGGGTTCCAGAACAGGTCTGCAGGAACGAGGGTTCGAACAATGGTTCATCATGTCTATTTCCGAGCATCCGCGGACGTCTATATATAGGACTATAGTATGGAGTAAACAGATCCGGTGTCTTTGAATGGCTAAGCGTTAGTGAGATCTCGAACCAGGATACATCGTCCAGTAATATGGAGGAGTTACTTAATCAGTCCCCGGTGTAAGGCGGTTCCCGTCCTATATCTCTAGATTTGGCAATATACGATGTATACCGTCCACTTAGGAATAGCCCATGAGGACCGATCAGTGTATAATGGAAGTCATCACCACTACCAGTCCTACAGATCATGAATAGTTTCGCGTATCCGTCTTAACAGACCTCACGGAGATCATTTGTTAAACAGGTATCTTCAGTATCCTGTCTTGTACTCTAAACAGCATGGCGAGGACAAACGGATCATGTATTGGACGCTGGAGTATATTAATCTAGACTCGTCAGCGAGCTATATTCTTCTATATTTGACTATTTTGCAAAATTCGGAGAGCTCCTTCTTTTCTTTGCGACTTAACTTTGGTGACGCGTCGTAGTGAATTCAGGTCTTGGCGGCCACGTATGGGGCAACTTTTGAACTGCATCGACTTCATGCGATCTTTCTTAACTTCCAAGATTTTCCCAGATAAGCATGTCAGAACGGGCACCGGGTCGAGATCGTGGACCACATTGCCAAGGCCCTCGGGTGCGTATGTTCGCCCGCCTATCAATACGTCTCTCCATGCTATAATTGAACATTTATAGTGATGACCCATCGATCACTAAGCCACATGGTTGGGTACTTCATGCGCGTCTCTCAGCTGAGAGTGACTCGTCCTATAATCCCTGTCTCTGTTGTTTCGTACATCTGGCCAATGTTTCCCTGAAGTTCAAACAAGGCGAGTTCTCACATAGTATATGTGCAGCTGATCGCCCACGATAAAACACAAAGTCTTCGTACTATACTACATTCTGAGTGATTGAGACAAGAAAAAAAAGGCCCCGTTTGATCTCTAATCTATCTACTCTAAAACCGCAATGGGTACTTTATCATTCTTCATTGGCCTCCTAGCCATCTTTCTTCCCCTTTGCTCTGCAGCATCCCAGGATATGTTCAACTTGTTTGCATACGGTGATAATATAGGCGGTCTTCCACTGGTCTTCCGAGATGGTATACATACATATCCCCTATCGATACCCATATGGACTCTACTAATAGTTTACTAGGATATGCGCAAGTTGGTGACCCAAACAAACTAAATTCTTCGTTTACCAAAATATATTGTAGGAGCCTTGCCGTCACTTTGAGAAATGATATTTTCTAACGTTCATATCAGTCGATACGAACTCGAGTACCTCGCAGTGGGTCGCAAACCCTAACAACACTGATAGTTCTGCGAACGCAACATGGTCCAACCAAGTACTGTTCGTCCCGGGGCCATCATCGAGCGACCACCGTATTGGATTCGCATCAGATCCCGGCTCTAACGTCACAACTACATTCAAGACGTACGGCCAATTCGTCTTCGTGGTTAACACTACAGGAGAATGGGAGTCTGCATTCTACGCGCAGTCTACAGATACGGAAAATCTCTACTCTCTTCTCTGGAACCCTGGTGATTCTGAAGACTACATTCCTGTGACACTGAGAACTGTCGCGCCGTCAAATTTCCAGGACAGTAACGAGACCAGCAGTAGCAGCTGAACTTAGAAGGAGAAGTAGCCAGTGTAGTTGGGAAAATGGACACTTGTCGGTTTCGCTATCATTCTCCCTATCTTTTTGTCCGGCCTAGTTAGGAATACAGAAGTCACTGTATCATCAATCAAACCGAGAAGGTATAGCGCTTATCCCCTGTAGGATGATTTCGATTTCTAAATATGACCATACCGCCAGCAGGGAACTTTGGCTATCTATTCAGTCGCTAAATCCTCCCAGATCCGTAGAAAGTACAAGCTTTACAGGAACCATTAAAGTCATCTTCGGATTTTACCAGTACAGGTCGGATGGTATTTTCACGACAGAGACCTTATCCCAATATGTCCAGTTTAACAAGAAAGTTGTACTCGTATAGAAGACTTATTATTCCCGTAGAGCACCCCGTGTACTAATGGTTCTGTTTCCGATCTTTTCCCTGACCCTCTTCGAGCGGTTCTGAATTGGTATTCCAAATACATGGATACCTAATATATAGGTATATAGAATGTTGTTACATCGAGTTCAAACACATGCCAGTGCACATATCTCAATTACTATTAAGCCATCGTTTCTACAAACTGTACATTAATTTGATTCTACGAAAACCTGTTATGGTAGTTCTCTGTCCAAAACCCAGCACCAAAACACGGTCATATAGTCTAAGTTCAAATATATTCCTTGGCTGGCTGCTATTATTGCTGTGGCTGGTGACCCGAACCATGGTTTATGACTATCACTATGTATCTACGGAGTAACTTCCCGTAGATCCGTCAAACTAGTGCTTCCCCCTGAGACCCATCCGTACCATTGTTCCAGTAGGTGCCCTGTCATAGATCGAACATTAGTTACAACCTTACATGACAGGAGAGTCTCTTGATAAGTAATGGCTAACTAACAGCTAGACGATCAGCTAGTTAATAATACTGCTTATCGAATTCATGTGCCTTGGAAGTATGCATGATGTTTCGCGCCTGAAGCTCGGTCGCATCAATACTGTCAATTAATAAAAGAAGCCCGATTATCTTTTTTTTTTTTTTTTTCCAATAGTGTCTCTCCTTGCTGAACAGTCTGTGGGACTGGTTTTTCTTGTTTGAATTGGATCGAATCGAATCGAATCGGAGAGGAGTGTCGCGATACATTAGGTACCTAGGTAAGTTAATAGGTAATTTGTACGTACACCAATTAAAGTAGAGAAGCGCTCATCAGCCTTATGGCAGAAAACAAGAAATCGAGAGTGACAATCCACACATACCATACAACAAGAATAACCTTCACTAGATCTCATCGCTCGCACAAACTAAATCATCAATTATTGCCTGTTACAACTTAAGTTAGTATATGTCCCCCAATCGGGCCGTGTGGCTGAGCTCGGGAAATCAGACTATTCAAGCCACAGCACTCGCCACAAATAACGCAAGCCTCTTTTGACGGGTCACAAAAAACCACAAACCGCCTTGATTCAGGGGGGGGGAACACAAGACAAGACATATGCAACTTTAATTTTAGGAAGATCGAGATCCTAGAGTTACCGCACGGACCACAATGCATATGCATCATGCTGGATGGCTTAATTTCAAGTGCATGGTTTGTATGATCGGGTGAAACTGATGTGTGGGATAGTCTGTGTGTTTTTTTATTGCAGAATAATAGTACAACAGGTTTGTGAGGTATGTACTAGATGAAAATGAGAGACAACGGATGTAGTGCATATATTAGAGTAACTTTGGTTTTTTTTGGACAATGCAAAAGTACAAGGGATACCCGACAATCTGGGAAGGATAACAGAACGCTATCACTTGGTGGTATATGAAACAAACAAACTGGAAGATGTTTGAACGCCATATATGCTGTATATCTAAAAGGGAAATGGTCAATTTGGTATCACAGATAGAGCGGCGAAAATGTAAATGACGAACATAAGACAGATGGTACTTTGTACCGTGACCCAGGACTTGACAAGCAACGGTTACTCCTGGTTGGGATTACCATGCAGGTGAAGCTGGAGTTATGAATACTCTACATAACTCACAGCTGTGGAGAAGCACATCCGAGCTTGACAAGCATCTCCCGGTACGAGTTCATCTGGGCGAGCTTGAACCGCTGGATCTTACCACTCGGGGTACGTGGGATCTCCGCGACAAAGCTCACACCACCATCAAGCGCTTTGTAGCTTGACAGCTGGCTGCGCGCGAACTTGTACACCTCGTCCGCTGTCAATTTGTTTTTGGACAGGCCAAGAGTCGGTACAACGAAAGCACGGGGCACCTCGTTGTGTCCGGCTTGATCGAGGGTGACGCCGATCACAGCAGCGTCGGCGATCAAAGGATGCTGCAGGAGAACAGCTTCGATCTCTGCTGGGGCAACTTGCCAACTATCGAAAAGTTAGTCTTTTGTCGGGTAGATCTCACAGGGCTGGTGGTCCAAGCCCACAGGGGCATATGTGGCGCAGTACATAGATTGGAAAGGATGTGGATGTAAGAACTTACCCTCTGACTTTGATCAGCTCCTTGGAACGTCCGACAATATAGAACTTTCCATCTCGGACACATGCGACATCGCCAGTCCTAAACCAGCCGTCCTGGTCCTTGGATGGGATTCCTTGCTTGTAACAGGACAAGAGTCCCGGACCACGCACATAGATCTCTCCCGGTTCCCCGTCAGCACGGACCTCATTGCCTTTACTGTCAACCAGCTTGACCTCTGTGCCTTGCAGCTGACGGCCAATACTGGCAGTATCATCCTGCTCGCCGTACCGCATTTGGAACGTAACACCTGCTTCTGTCATACCCCAAAGTTGAGACACGTTGGCATCACGGTGCAGCTTGGCTTTGCATCTGAGCATCGCGGCGGCATCAATTGCCGCACCAGCGATACCAAGGTAGCGGAGAGAAGACAGACCATCCTGATTGGGTCCACTGTAGCGGTTCAAGGCGTGCACCATAGCAGGAACCATGTAGGTTTCGGTGATCTGGAACTGGGATATGCAGTTGATGTACTGCTCAAGGTTGAAGCGGGGGAGGATGTAGACCGGCTGTCCATAGCGGATGGGGAATATGTGGGCCCATAGTGCACCGAAGAGATGAAACATCGGGATCGACATCAATCTGACAGGATCGTATGGGACATCATAGTTGATGATCGAATGCTGAGATATCAAGGCGTAGTGTGAGAGAATGGCACCTTTAGGAAGGCCACCTGTGCCACTGGTCGTGAACATTGCAGCTGGGGTAGCTTTGGCGGTGGTCTCGTCGTCAAATGAGATCCAGTCGCTTTCTCCATGCTCCAGGAGATTGGAGATGTTTAGACATTGGCTGCTGCTGCTCCTGCTGATAGACTCATTGTTTCCAGTCAGAGATCCACGAAGGGAATTCTCTGCTGCCGCAGCCTCATGGTGGGTGCTGGTCAAGAATGGTTCCAGGAATGCCATAGAACATTCATCCATCACGCAAATCTGACTTGCCACAATGCCCTTGGCTACTGTAGCCTTGAAAACATTAGGCAGTCCTTCCGGAGTGGTGATAATGAATTTAGGTTCCGCCAGATCGAGGAAGTGATCCAGCTCATGAGCTTGACTTGATGGGTTAACACCCATGTGAACACCACCTGCACCGACAATACCGAAGAACAGTGCGGAGTATATGACCTATGAAATCCAGTTAGCTTGATCTTTGGTATGCAGGGAACGTCATATCCGACGCAAGCCGGGGAAAGTGAATAACACATACGTGATTGCCCATATGGACAAGCACACAGTCACCATTCTGGAGGCCGTGTGCCCTCAATCCCGCAATCAAGGTCCGAACGAGGGCTCTGAAGCGGCCAGCGCTGAGAGACCGAGTTGGATTCTCTGCGTCAATGTAGAGTGGCTTGTGTTCATCAAAGGGGACAGGAGGGTTGAGGGCAAATGTAAGAAGGTCCTTATAGATCTTGCCGATTTCGGGACCATTGGCCGCTGATTGTGAAATCAGTTGAGGGCTCATTTTGGAGAGAAAGCTCCAGATTGAGTTCAGGTTAGGAGGGAATAATTTAACAAGAGAGGAGAGCTCAAGCTCAGAACATCTATACAGGAGATCCATCTTGGAGTTTCTGAGTAGTACTATGTCAAACAATCGATTGACAAAAACAAAGTTCGTGAATGAAGAAGGTAATTGGGAGGATATCGGAGGTTCTATTTATCTCTCCCTTTCGGAGTGGAACTACCATGAGTGAAGGGAAACTGTCTTGTCTCAGCCGTCGGGATCTAGTTTCATACGGAATTGTGATGGATGAATCCGTGATACGGAATGTGCGAATGCGGTGGAGTGCCACCATCTACAACACCACCAAGACATAGTCCAGCTGAACTCAAAAAACAGACTCTGTTAATTCCAAATTATTATGTACTCAGTGACTGGGGGCGATAGTAGCTGATGGGCACCATGACAGCCTTGCATGATCGATTAGCTCGCCATCAGACAAGATTTGCCTTCCTTGGCCGGCTGTCCTCATGTCCAGTCATCCTATCCTCTGTCCTCATGGCGTGGAAACTAAATCCATAGTCAGTGGGCTTTTTCATATTCTTGATAGCCGCTTCCAATGATATCGTCAAGTCTGCCAACATCTACCCCTCCTAGATTCATGCCTGGATCGGTCGAACGGTAGGCTCGTCATACCTCCTGCGGTGGGTAGCTGAACGGACGATGCTGCATGATGACAGATGAGGAAGTCTGTTTGATGGTTAGGTATTTACTGACTCATGTGGTGCCATCTAATGTTCCCGTCCCCGGCTTAGTTCGTAGATAAGTTAAGCTACGTGTGGTGGAGAAAGACCCTGCAGAAGGGATCGATCGTACTTTAGGGCTAATGATCATCTAACCAACTGGAACCTCAGGGAATCAGGCGGGGCGATCACGGATGATCAGCTAGGATCGATTCCAGAGGCAAGGGGGGCTGTGGAGGGTGTGCATTGCTAGGTCATTTGCCGTAGTTTTGGGAGTTGAGGAATGCTATGCCTGGTCCCTGCGCGGAATAAGCTGTTTCTGGCAATATTGTGTGCAGACACAAAAGGCCGCCACATTCCAGAGAATACAAGGTCATTAATAGTCTTGAATTATTTACTCTCCACAGGTGATTGATTCCAGCGGGACAACCGTTTGCGTGGAGAAGGAAGCCTTCACCCCGAGTGTCTCTTCATATATAGATATTCTATATTCACGTCTTTTCCCGCACCCCTCGAGTTCTGTCTTTATATCCTCGAGTATTCGGACACCCGGCCACATTATTGCCTTTCAGCCTGCATTGATCAGGGAAAGAGGTACAAAATGTCGGTTTCCGAGACGGGATCTGTCCACGATCCAACGTGGTCGTCTTCCGACCTCAGCGCTCCAAGTACCAATACTTCACAGGGCAGTGATATCCACTTGATCCGTGATGAGAAGAAGGCACTTTATCCATACAAATCGGTTGCTGTCCAAGTCGACTTGGAAGCCGCTCGAACACCGGATACTCTTCCCGATCCAAAGAAGAAGAGATTCGCCCCAATCCGCTTCGTCATCCTCAACATCTATCGACGTCTCTTCTCGTTGGTTTTCTTGGCGAATATTGCCACATTCATTGCAATCATGACCACGGAGCGGAAACTTCTGGGCTTTGTCAACGCAGCCGCGGCTAATCTGCTTGTCTGCGGCCTGGCCCGACAACCTCTGGTGGTGAACTCGATATTTGTCAGTGTCTGCTCGATACCCAGATCCGCGCCAATGTGGCTACGTCGATTTGCTGCCAAAGTCTATCACTATGGGGGTGTCCACAGTGGCTGTGGAATCGCCTCTCTGGTGTGGTATGCCGGCTTCATTGGGCTGCTCTCTCGACAGTATTTTGCTGCCGGAGGTGCTCCAGGGATTTCCACCGCGGCAGTGGTGCTGTCCTATGTCATCCTTGGTCTCCTGGTCGCGATTATCCTTGCGGCATTTCCCATGTTCCGCTTCAAGCGACATGATTATTTCGAGCTAACCCACCGCTTCTCGAGTTGGCTTGTCTTGTCTTTGTTCTGGGCACTCATCTTCGTCTTTTCGGAAGACGCCCGAAAAGCGAGTCACCAGTCCCTTGGGCAATACCTGATCCGGCTTCCTGCATTCTGGTTCCTGATTGTGGTGATCGTCGCCATCATTCACCCCTGGGCGATGCTACGCAAGGTTCCTGTGCCGCAAGCTGAGCAGCTCTCAAAGCACGCGGTGAGACTCCACTTTGACTATACCACGACCGCCTTTGGGAAGGGGATTCAGCTTGCCAAACATCCCCTGCGAGACTGGCACGCCTTTGCTACCTTCCCAGATCCTGACGGACAGACCTTCTCCGCTCTGGTCTCGCGAGCAGGTGACTGGACATCTGACACCATTCAGAATCCACCCACCCACCTGTGGAAGCGCGGCGTCCTGATCTATGGCTTTGCATATGCCATGAGGGTCTTCCGCCGGGTCCTGGTGGTCACGACCGGGTCCGGGATTGGGCCCTGCCTGTCATTCCTCGGGGACGAGAATCGACCCGAGCTGCGGGTGGTGTGGCAGACACGATCTCCACTGCAGACATACGGTCAAGGCGTCCTAGACTTGGTGGCACGCATGGACTCTAATGCAGTCATCCTGGATACCAGCAAGACGGGACGGACCGATATGACGCCCCTCATCCAGCAGCTGGCTGCGGAGTTCGAGGCGGAAGCTGTGTGCGTGATCAGTAATCCTGTTCTGACAAAGAAATTGGTCTATAATTTGGAGGCAAGGGGCGTACCGGCCTACGGCCCGATCTTTGACTCGTAGTTGTTGTACATAGGCCCACGAGCTATATATTAGTCTGTATTGAATTCATGGTTTATCCACCTGAAAAGCTGTCTTTTTTTGCGCGCTTATGTCTAGTCGATCATCGTTCGTCCCGGGTTTCCGGGACCTGGCGCAGTGCCACGATGCACTCGAGCCAATCGGGGATCCCAAGCCGTCAGAGCACTAGTGCTGTGGTTGATGGGGGGTTTTAGAAAAAAGTAATATACGGAGGAGAGCAGAAGAATGTTGTGGTGGGTGGGAGCGAGGAGGTTTGCAGGCAGCTGTGGCTCAGCCGATTGTTGTGTCGAGAATAATACAGCAGTAGTAAGTAGTAGTAGTTTAGTCTAGCGTCCGATCTGAGATCGCCCTGGCAGGATCCACCGCAAGCCATCGACTGCACACGCACACAGACCGCAGAATGGCACGAACCAACAATCAACCATCAACAGCCAACAACCAACAACTAACAGCTGACAACCAACAACCAACAACCAACAACCAACAGGTAATAATAATAATAATAACAATGATCTCTCCAGAGTCCAGCCAGTAGTAGCTCATCAAGCGCTTGGCTGGTCGATTGGTTTCCATCAGAAGGTTCGAGCTATCGTCCACCAGCAGCCAACAACTTGTCCCTGTCGTGAACTGGATATCCAGTTCGTCCACCGGCGAAGCTCGGGCATTCCGCAGTCAAAGGCAGATCCAACTCTATGCCAGACTAACCGCGGATATCGCGACGTTGTCCAGGTTCCCGGAGACACGTCAGAGAGGCTTTGGAGAAGGGGGGCAATAGTTCGACATCTAGATCTGCCAAGGTGAGGAACTAGAGGATCTCCAAGATGTCCCATTTTTCAGATGCGCGATCGCAACGTGTCCGGGCCTGCAACCCAACCGGTTGAGACATCTCTAGCGCCAGCAGCAGTCTGCCAATCTGGACGAGCATCGCGATGTGCCCCTTGGGGATCTGTGGCTGAAGACAAACCCCTCTAGAGCGGCGCTGGGACGGGCGGCCGGACTAGAGGATCACTGCAGCCCTAGACAGCTCCACGAACACCCGTTTGGGAACTCGGCCACTTCAGAGTTGTGGATGGCCTGTCTTTTGACGTCAACCGTTGGCCGGTCCTGTCAAAAACGAGGCTGATGGCTCATCGTTGCCTTCAGAGATCTGGCGTGGCATCTCAGGCTATCTACTAGGCCATCTACCATATCATACTCTATGGTACATCCCCGCCCGCCTGCTGTCAGGTAGCAATACCTTCCTTGGGTCCGGTGCTGAACTCGAACTCTATACACTGGGCAGTCCGCTACGAAAGGCTTGAATTCCCAGAAGTTTGGTATCGTCCAGGGTTTCACAACGGAGATCCTGTCAGATCGAAATCTGCAGGCCTGTCCCTAATGGGAAAGAACTTGCTATAGCCGCGACAAGCTCTTCGGGAGAACTGGCCGTGGTCAGCGGACAGTCGGATGAACTCGATGCTGAACAGCCGCCGAGACGATTTGCAGTCCAGGCCGATCATCGTCCTAAGGATCCCCCCCGGAGTATCTCGGGCAGCCATCGCAAGTCATTATCAATCACCTTGTCAAATGAAGGTGTCATCTGAACCTGGATCTTTTCCAGGGCTCTAGCCATTAAGAACTAAGAACTATTAACTTCCTGTTTGAGGGAGACACTGCTGTGTTGCACAGTTCGCGGTCAGCGTTGAGGAGAGCCCCTGCTCTTGGCCGTGGCTGACTGACGATAAGGCATGATTTGTGATTCTCTCTATCTACCTGGTCAAGCCTCCAAGAATTGGGACTATGGATACTAAACAAATACATACATACATCCACGGATACTCCCAAACTCGCTCTATCCGGGTCCTGCAGCGTAGACGTCATGCCGTCCATCACATCAACCCCGTCTGAGCCATCCGCAGGACTTATCCATGGAGATGCAAAGCTTGGCAGGATAGGGCGAGTCGGATTCGGCTTCCAATATGCCTGCTGCCGCCCCTTGTTGCGTGATACAGGACGTTGCTCGGTTGACAGGCGGACGCTATCTACCTCTCCGCAATATTCAAGAAGGCTAAAAAGCCAGACCGCTTATCTCTTGCTCGCTTGTTTCTGGGGAATCGGGATGCTGTCGACGCTGTCAGGTCAATAGATCGGCGTCCGCCATGCACGGTGTCGCCTTCAGGCACCCCCAACCAAAGAGCGGCGCTGGCTCGAAGGATCATCACCGTAATGGGGAAATGAAGATGCCCTTGTAAAAAAAAAAAAAAAAAGATCATCGCGCGCTCCATGCGTTCGTAGATACACGGTTCTTTGCTCTTCTTTCAGAGCCGATGGTCCGCACAAGGTTCGATCGCGCGATGTCTTCCGGCCGCATCCGGGTTTAGTCGCAGCCCCCAAAAGAGGCGCGCAAAGCAGTTCACCTCTCAGCTCCTGGAACTTCCTCTCAACCTCTCTCTCCCTTTCTCTGCTACCGCTCTTCCCCCCACTGCGCTCCCCGGATTGAAGGGTGTCTCTATTCTATCGACATTCATATTTGCATGATCTTAGTTTCTGCCCCGACGAGACCGTCTCCATAATACCGGGGTTTGATCGACCGCCTCTTTGCCAGCATCCATCTATCATATCCGCGAAACCCACCGGCTCTGTCATCGACAACACGCCCGCGTTTTGCATCGGTCGATTCCACTAGCTGTCAACTTGCGACGGGGGTTTTCTTGTCTCGCTTGGTGACGCAGTGCTGGGGATCGCGAAGACAGTGCAGTCTCCTGGTAACAGTGACGACAGAAAGAGAGGGGGGAAAAATCAGAAGACTACCGCTATGGCAAACGAAGGACACTCGTTCTATACGCCCTCCGGCCCTCCCCACATCTCGTCGCACTCTCCTCAGATCGTCGATGAGTTGATTAGCAAATACTCGTCCACCATGTCCGCGTCAACCAGCTCCTCCCCGGTGGCTTGCTCGTCTGCCAATACGCGACGCAATGTCTTGCAGCGGGTGCTGGATCGCGTCCGTGTCCAATACTATCGCTACGAGGTCACCTTCGGACTTTATGTCATGACGCCGGGTGAGAAGTTCGTGGCCAACACATTTGTCCTTGTTTTCCTGTCACTCTTGGTCTGGGCCCTGCTGCTCTACTTCCCCGCCATGCTCTACCAGAAGCTCAGCCGTCTAATCTGGCTTCTGACCGGACACGACGACGATATGGGAGCCGTGTTGGGAGCGATCGAGACGGGACTCCAACCTGTTACCTCGGCATTTCCAGCGGCCATCACGGCCGGGGCTTCCTGAAAGGCAAGACCACAGGGCATGCTGTCATGGGATGCCCGACTGTTTTTTTGGAAGCTCGATCTGATTTAATTGATTTGGTTTCCATCTTGCTAGGGGAGTCTGCTATCCCCAATATGAAATAATGTGCCGGTTGTACGTCACCCTTGGATTCTATTGCAGATTTTACTGGATTGGCGTTGTGGCTAACATTGTCCAGGCTGTTTAGATACCCGAGTCATTAATGTACCCGGCTGGGAGCGCACATCGGAGTTTTCTATTTTCTCCATTTATTGTTTTTCTTGATGACTTTTCATATACTACCTCATAGATTTAATAATGATACAGGGGAGGGACCGACGGCGATGTCTAATGTGAAGTGAATAATGACCGACGGTCTGCTCTCGTGATTACCGGATGCTAAGGGCATTCTGCCCCATACTCGAATCGGTTCGCCAGGAAAAACGAGCATTGGGTGAATCATTCGTCGTTAGCATCTGGTTTGTGATCTATGGGATACGCAGGGTGTACTATAATGAACAGGAGGTTGGTTTTCCGGCGTGGGCTCAAGCAACCATGTCCACTTATGTGATCATAATGTCAACCATGTATATCTAATCTCGCATTTCTTGTCTAATAAATATCTACTTTTTCCTTTGCCTTCTGCCATCAGTATCATCGCGAACTCTCAAAACACGTCACACTGCGGCGTAGTTCTACCGCTAGACGGCGTTCGCAGCATTGCTAAGTGGTGCATAGACCTCTGATCGACATCGTAGGACTTTCTCTGGCCGTCTAGCGACCAGACATGCGCTAACCAGTCCTTATTTTCCGGCAAGTCGATCTCTAAGTATACACATAGTCGTCTCAACCTTTTATAGATTCGATTTCCTGTTCCCAGCATGTCAGATTCTATTTCCTTTTTGTTGACAGTCCTGGAGCAAAGCGATATTCCACAGAAGCGTCGAAAAGCCACACGGCCTTGGCTGTAGGTAACATGTGCAGACCGTTAGTCCACTTGCATAGTATTATTCTAATAACGATGATGACAGCTGGGACTAAGTGGCTTAGGCGCGCCGCGTGGCAGGTTGTCAAGAAAAGATATAAAAATAAAATAAAAAAAAAGGCTGACGACGATGATGTTTTGGCGTGTGCACCGCCCGCTCGTGACTGGATGGATTGATTTAACTAGTTAAAGCTGCCGACGGCGTCTGTCAGCTCCGATCCTCATCAGCATTCTTGCCAGCTCTTTGTCGGTTTCAGGCCGTCTCTTCGCCTACCCCTCTCGTTTCTCGCGGTTCTTTCTATTGAAATTCCTATCAATCGCTTTGTCCTTTGGTCACTCGCTGGTCGCGTCTGTTGTCGTGGAGCCGTTGGATCTCCGCAACCCCTTACACCTCCCGCCTGACGGCACCCGTGTTTCGAACGGTCCGCTGCATAATATTGGCTGTCAAACGTTCATTTCGCCAGCTTGTCGCTGCCAGACTGCAGAGAACAAAAGGGAGCAGCCAACAGTACCTCTATCCTTCGTTTGCTACGCGTCACCCCTCGTTTCTGCCGGCGCCCTGATGGTCTTTACCGTATCCATCTTGTTACCCGTCGTTGATTAAGACCACCGAGAAAGAGATTTCCCATATGTGAACTGGGGTCCAAGATGGCAGCCAACGACTACTATAACAGCTTCAATCATACAGACTCGTCCGGCCGTGTCCCTCCGTCGACGCATTCCTTCAGCCGGCCCACGCCGCCGCCCGTGTATACTGGACCGACTGATATACCTTCGCCGTATGAGAACCACAACGAGCACCCCATCAACCACCACAGTCAAGTATCACTAGCCTCTGAAAATGACTATTATGCGCAGGGCGGTAGACCGCCCACTCACGATCAATATGCGGATGATATCCCGCTCAAAGCGAATGCCCAACCTGCGATAGTAAACGAGGCAGATTGGACGCACCAGAATACGCAGTATCCGCCCTCTCCGGAGGGCTTGAACACATCACCGCATAGACGTCGAAGGGGTGCTTTGCCCGGGAAACGCGGTTTCTTCAAGAAGAAGATCCCGTGGGTTACATGGCTCCTGACAGCTATAGATATTGGTGTCTTTATCGGAGAACTTGTCAAGAGCGGTAAGGAGAACGCACCCTGTTCGGTCAACCAGAGGTCGATACTGACGATTCTGTCACAGCACAATTGACTGGAAGTCCCATCGAGACCAAGCCCACATTTAACCCCATGATCGGTCCTTCGTCGTATGTTCAGATCAACATGGGGGCGCGGTTCATACCCTGCATGAAGAATGTGCCCGGGGTTCAGAATAATAATCAAACCATCAACTGGAGCTGTCCGAACTCGACTACCACCGATGCGAACGATCCCAGCAACCAATGCACGCTTTCCACACTCTGCGGTTTCAACGGAGTACCCAACCCGCATCCTGGAGGTTCCCTCGATGACCGGCCAGAACCTGACCAGTGGTTCCGCTTTATTGTCCCGATGTTTCTTCACGGTGGTTTCATTCATATCGGTTTCAATATGCTCGTGCAGATATCTATGGGTGCCGATATGGAGAGGATGATTGGCTGGTGGAGGTATACACTCGTCTATCTTGCCAGTGGCATTTTCGGTTTCGTCCTGGGTGGAAACTATGCTGCGCAGGGAATTGCTTCTACAGGAGCGTCCGGAAGTCTGTTTGGTATCCTAGCTCTCTTCTTGCTGGATCTCTTCTACACGTGGAAGGAGCGCCAGTCGCCATGGGTCGAGTTTATTTTGATGCTTGTCGGCGTGGGGATCTCATTTGTACTCGGTCTGTTGCCCGGATTGGACAATTTCTCCCATATAGGAGGCTTCATCATGGGCCTTGCACTGGGTCTATGCCTCCTGCGTTCTCCCAATTGGGTCCGCGAGCGTATTGGACTGGCTCGGACGCCATATGTGGCTATGAGCGGCGGCGCGGGGCCTGGTACTGCAGAGCCCGATGATAAAGCAAAGAAATTCACCAAGCAGCCTCTCGACTACTTCAAGGGTCGCAAACCGTTCTGGTGGATCTGGTGGCTGATTCGGGTGGGCGCGCTGGTCGCAGTGATAGTCGGTTTCATTGTGCTCGTAACCAACTTCTACAAGTACCCCAAGTCGAACTGTTCCTGGTGCTACCGGTTGAGTTGTCTGGTGAGTATCTATCTGCCCTTGATATTTCGCAGAGCAAATGCTAATGCCTCTGCAGCCTGTGAAGAACTGGTGCACAGAAGGCAATCTTCAGTTGACTGGTAGCAGTAACTAAGATACCCCCCTCCCTGGAAGACGATTGATCTTCCATCTTTCATTGTACATTCTCCGTTACGATTATCCATAGGGCCGGATTACGAAATTCTCCATCGAGAGAGGCCTGTTGTACCTTTTTCGTTTCTCGTTATCAGTCCCACTGCATCGTACATGGCGTTTCCGGGTAGGAAAAGGCTGGTCAAACAGAGTGCGGGCCTTGCCATAGCGGCAAGCATAGGGCTGCGAGTGATCGTTGGCAGAATGCTATCTCGATCGTGTCGTTTTTATTCGAATGTATTTTCTTTTTTCTTTTTATTTCTACAGGATACGCTGAGATGTCGAATTGGATAATAGCCTGTACGGCTTGCTAGTGACCATGGCCTCATCCCAGTAATGGAAGGACAATATAACAGTAGAGAAAATAAATAAATAAATCAAAATATATTTAAATATAGAGACACGGAGGTGGCTGAGTGGCTGCGCCCTGACAAAAAGGATCCATGGAAGCGTCGCAACTTAACTGATTAAGCGGGTCGAGGATTCATCAGCCGGAGAACAGCAAACTAGTTAGTTAGTTGATCCTCCACGTCTCCAGGCCCTTTCTTCCCTCCAAGAGAAACTGGCTATCTCTGCGGCTGTTAATAAATAATAACCATTTACTTGACGATCCTATCGAAATTCACCGTTATTGCTTCTCTTCGAATCCCTTCGCCTGTTTCATTCCCGTCTTATCGCAGGATGCTCCTCCGCTCACGGCAATGACGGCAGCCTGCGTGTGAACGCCCGCGCAATCTACAGCAATCTACTATCGCACACTTTATCTCTTCTTCTTTTCTCGTCTCTGGGCGCTGTTATTGAAACAATGGCGACTCTAGCTTCCCCGGCTTCCCCGCCGTCAACACCGCTCAAACGGCGAACGCGCAGCTGGGCCCGAAGGGTCGAGCGGTATTGCTGCGTTGCGGCAACCTACTTCCCTCTCGCCTTCGTTTACAGTCTGTCGACATGGGCGGTATATGTGGCTGTTTCGGTTGGCTCGTTGTCTCGCCATGGTCGGTGGATTGGTATGGGGACCTGTCGCAGAACGAAATCACTCATATCTGGTGACGTGCTGACCATCGCTCTATCGCAGGCTTACCGAGCAACATCGCCGCGACACTCCTTTATATCCTAGCCGAAGTTTCGTACACAGTCGCTGTCTTTACTGACCCGGGGTCACCTCTATCTGCCCGTACGCGGGGGAATAATCGCCATGGATACAGTCACCTCCCAACTACCGAACTCCCCGAGTTCGTATCCTATACCGTCAGCTCGTCCGGGGGGTCGCGATTCTGCAAGAAATGTCAGTGTGTGAAGCCTGATCGGACGCACCACTGCTCTACCTGTAAGAAGTGTGTGTTGAAGATGGACCACCATTGTCCGTGGCTGGCAACTTGCGTGGGATTGCACAACTATAAGGCGTTTCTACTCTTCTTGATCTACATCTCTGCTTTCTGTTGGGTTGCCTTTTCTGTTTCCGGGTATTGGGTTTGGAATGAGATGTTCAGCGACACGCGGTATATGGACACGTATCTACCGGTTAACGTGATCTTGCTGGCTATCCTGTCTGGCATTATCGGACTCGTCCTGACCGGGTTTACCGCCTGGCATATCAGTCTGGCTGTGCGGGGACTCACTACGATCGAGTCTTTGGAGAAGACTCGTTATGCGTCTCCGCTGCGGAAGACATTCGAAGTGCAGCGAGCTCGGCTCGGCCCTCCAGCTGGGCAGGAGGATGAAGGTTTTAGCCATCGACTGCAGGAATATGGTCAACAGATCGTCCAGGCTCACGCCAATTCTATCCCCGGAGTCACTCGGGCAGAGGAGGGTGAGGAGAGGCCATCTCCCGCCGTCGATAGTTTTGGGTTCGAACGCCCCCAACCGCCGGACTATTACGGTGATCAGGCTGCTGGCCAGACCCCTGCGCAACGGGCTTTGCATCGAAACTACAATGACCTGGAGAGAGAACGGGAGCGGGAGCAGTACGAGGAGTACTTGGATTCACGGGACAGTGAGAAGATGCCCAATGCGTGGGACCTTGGATGGCGTCGAAATCTTCTTCATCTGTTCGGTGAGAAACCGCTCTATTGGGCCCTTCCGGTCTGCAATACAACTGGCGATGGATGGCACTGGGAAGCTAGCAGGAAGTTCCTCGAAGCCCGCGAGGAGATCCGGCAGAAACGGGAGCAAGAGCAAGCCCAGCAGGAAGAACACTACCGAGATCTGTACGAGCGGGCTCTGAGCACCAACAGTCGAAGCTACAGCCAGTCTAATCAACGGTGGTCGCCGACAAGTAAGACACTCACTGGCGGCGACACTTCCCGACCCACCACTGGTGTCTCGATGAAGACACTGGCCCCGATGTCCCCTCGTCCACGACCAGGTGACAGCGATTTCGAGGACGGTCTCGATTCCCCGCCTTATGGCACCAGCTGTGAGGGCAGTATCAAGAAAATAAGGTACGCACCACGAGAGGCAGGTAGGCCTCCACCTAGAGTCCGCAAGGGCACTGGCAGTGTCTTTGGCACATCCGTCGCCAGTCGAAACAGTGAGAGAAAGCCATCAGATGAATGGCGGAACTGGGAGTGAGAAGCAAGTCGTTCTTTCTTTCTGCATTGATTGAATCCACCAGCATATTTGCCATTGTGTGTTTGGATGGCTCAGTTGTCGGCGCTTGTGACATATACCTGAGAAGCTTTTCTCTTCATCATATTTTTGGTTATCGCGTCTATTTTTTTCAGACTAGTCAATGGGAGGGCAGAGCGTTAGGGTTGCGTTGCAGAAATGGCCGGTCTTCTTGATGTATAATATGATGCCAATAGCAAGGATGTACTCGGTATACGCCCGGAGTATGTTTCAGTAATTTGCCTTTTCTATTCTATTTATGAGCACCATGAACAACTTCTGTAATACGCAGTTCAGATGAGTATTGGACAGCAGATCCGGCGAAACTAACTCGCCAAGAAACCATTGGAATGTGACAAACCAGCCACTCTCGCTACGAATAGAACATAGATAACATAACTAGTCAGACTGCATTCAAAGTAACCGACCGTATGGCCACACGAGCAGAAATAGATTCTTGATTTCAAATCAATGGCCCAAACAGGATCCTCGAGTATCTGTGATTATTATCTGTAGTCGAATCCTAACTAGAATACGTAGTATTGAATCTCAGCAACGCTCCTAACTGGTTAGAAATTCTCCGGGGAAGACACTCTCATTCTAATTAATTACATTTTACTATTCTGGATGCGGCCCAAGTGGCGTTTCCATTTGATAGTCAACTTCCGAGGATAGAAGGAGAAAAAGAAAAAAGAAAACAAGAAACCAGGATGAATCCGGAGGTTCGCCGTATCCTGGTTTCGGATCTGGTTTTAACTAGATTTTAAGACGATTTTGTGGCCCAGCGGAACCGGCAAGTTGTAATACTTTATTTATTATTATCTGTCCTTTTCGCAGACATATAATATGGCCTACGGCCCTGCTCCTATCCTATGCTATCTATCGAACTGTTTGTTAACTGCCTTGTCTGCGTTTGCTTTCTGAAGACAAAGTCGGTTTTCAATTTGACAGACCAGATCTGCATAACTACTAGTTGATTGAATTGAATTAAGATAAGATTGCCATCTCCCCTCGTGGCGTCTACCGTTAGTTATCGGGTGACTCCGCTCTGGTTCCAGTCCATCCACATCATAACTATCTATCTATCCCATCTTTCTCTCTCCTACTCCCATTCCACGACAAAACTAAATCGATTCTCTTCGAGAATACGAGAAGCTTCAATACTCCACGAGCTATCATACCCTCAAGACAGGAAATCAGAGAATCAAAAAAAGTTCATCCCCCTATCCAAAGAAGACCAACAATGTCCCCCACACTCCGCCGATTGATGAAAGAAGCCGCCGAACTATCCGAATCGTCTCCCTCGCCCTCTCCCTATTTCTGCGCTCACCCAGTCTCCGACGAGAACCTATTCGATTGGCACTTCACTATCTCCGGACCACCTGCGCCTTCTCCCTACGCCAACGGCATCTACCACGGTCGCATCGTCCTCCCGCCACAGTACCCGTTGCGTCCGCCGTCGTTCCGCTTCCTCACGCCCTCTGGTCGGTTCGAGGTCAATCGCGAGATCTGTCTGAGTATATCGGGTCATCATGAGGAGACGTGGCAGCCAGCGTGGGGGATTCGGACGGCGCTGATTGCGATTCGGAGCTTTATGGATGCGGATGCGAAGGGGCAAGTTGGGGGGTTGGAGGCGAAAGAAGAGGCGAGGAGAGAATGGGCGGAGAAGAGTCGTGGGTGGACGTGTGATGTGTGTTTTGGGGGGAAGAAGACGAATGAGCAGATCTTGACGCAGTGGAGGGAGGTGTGTAAGAGGAAGGGGATTGTGGTTGATGAGTATGGAGGGGAGAGGGAGGTCGTTCCGGAGGAGCTGAGGCTTGAAATGAAGAGTGAGAAGGAGGGTCGAAATGATGATGATGATGGCAAGAAGCAGGTTGATTCTGTCAATGCTGCTGCTGCTGCTGTCTCATCCGCAGAGTCCTTCGCTCAATCATCATCATCGAATCCCAATTCCTCGTCTTCGCCAGCTACGCAACAAAACGCAGAGCAGCCCTCTTCGTCTTCAACACAACATACCAATCCGTCTCCATCCACGACAACCACTACTCCCAGCCCACAAACAATAGTTCCTGAACCTGCTGTACAAGAACGTCTACAACCAACACGAACTGTCCCCACGTCAACCCGGCAACAAGTCGCCGTACAATCCTCCGACGGACCATGGCTCGATCGCGCCATCATCGGCGTGGTAATAGCGCTGATATTTATGATCTTGCGGAAGATGACGACAATGGATGCAATTTAACATGTGGCCAAATGCAGACGGGTTATTTCTTGAAATTAGATTGGATTGGATTGGATTGGACTAGGCGTTCTTGGGAAGGAGGGGGGACTTTATCTATTTTCTTTCTAAGATTAGGATACGATCTATTGGAAAATAGGAAGCAAGCGGGCGAGTATGGGCGTTATCATTTTCTTGTTTTTGTTTGGGATACTGTTCTTGGCGATATTTGGGTCATTTGAATTGCCTTTTTCTTCCACCATGTCCTCCTGCCTACGCTGTATATATGATCATTACGACTTTCTATGTTCCATAGACTGGAGAATATTTGTGAATACTGTGATTGTTTAAAAGTTCAGTGAAGTTTGGAATGCTTCTAGCTCCAAAGTTCGTTATGGTACATCCATCTAGTGTACAGTTCTTATCCAACCGGATAATAAATGATGAATCCAGACAAGACCGTCCCGCTTAGTATGGTACATTTACCAACGTCAAACCTCGCTGGGGAACTGAGTGCAAATGCAAAACATGTTATGGGCAAAACCACATTCAAGAAGAGAGATGATAGAAGAAAAAGGAAAATGTACAGTACAGACCACGATGGATCCTTTTCAGACCGCAACAAAGTAGAATCACTCGATAACGAGCCACCACCATTCCTTAACAAACCAACCTGGCTCATTTTCTCGCTCTCGTTCCTGCCCCCGTGCAACTGACGTCTGGTCGGCAGCTTCACGACTCACGACACCTACTTGTTCCATCCACTCCAGTAACAGCTCCACCTCCCATGCACCCATGGTCGGTTTTATCATGCTTGCGATGGAAGCGGCGCTGATGCCAGGGCGGAGTGCCACCGTTCCTATGATAGCCGCGACGGCTAGGTCCCAAACGCTTTTTACAAAATTCCGATGGACATCGAACCAGACGGGGACTCTCCCAGGGAATGGCTGCAGCGTCCACTGCGGGGCGGATGGCACTGGGGTTGCTGTATCTGTGCGGTCGATTGTGCCAATGTCCATGTCGCCACGCGGAGGTGGGATAGTTGACAACTTTTCCCTGATCGGATTCCCGTAGACGTACTTCCCACGCACCGGATGCACTTCAATTGCAAACCGGAGCTTGCTCTTCTCGATCAATCTCGTGAGATACCCGCCATCCGTCAGACCGTACTTAGCCCTGGGAGGGTCTCTGGGCCTGAGGATGATCCTTCCTTCAGATACCAGATTGATGAGGGCTAATAATTGACCGTCTTCTGCAGCATAGCTGACCTCGTGATGGTTCTGTTGTTTGAATTGCTTGTCCAGAACAGTCGTCTTGAACCGCGCTGCTACCTTAAGCTGCGCCGAGTCAATCGGCCGCCTGCGACTTAGCATCGCTAGGAAGTGATCGGTAATATCATAATTTCGACCGGGAGTGATGCGGCCTTTGTTACCCATCGAAATAGAACGTTCCGTAACCAGTGACTGCACGGCGTCGCGAACGAGTCTTTCGCCGAACCGCTCCAATGCTTGTCGCGCATCAGCCGGTCTATATGCTTCCTCTGGAGTGATAATGTTTGCTCGAACCCAAGTCTTTACCGTCTCCAACTGTGCGAGTTCTGCCCGCCTCTGTGACATGCCAGGACGGTGTTCTTTAAGCGGTATTGCAAATGGCACGCTTGTAAATAGCGACCGCTTCCGTGTAAGAGTAACAGTGGTGGTGTTACGATTGTAGATCTCCTCTATCGAAATCGGAGGCTCTGTTCTGATTTCGAACAGTCTATCAAACTGATCCCGAGTGGCAGGCAGTTCTAGGAGAGTTTGGTCTGATGTGGGAATGTCCAGTTGGCTGTCAGCCCACTTCACTATCCATTCCCAATCGTACGCGTCCAGATTGCCGTAGTCAATGGCAGGGACTTCGTCATTTTGATACGCCTCTATGAAGCGCTCCTGGAAATCACTCTGCATTTTGGCCATCTGTAGCCTACTTCTGTTCGTAATCGTCCTGCCACGGTCTTGTATGAATTGTGGGTCATGGCCCGGGAATGCCTTTGAGACAAGATCCCAATCAATCATTCTGCCTTCAATTCCACCTGCCAAAGTCCGCACGACGACCATCGCGGTTGTGAGCTTTCGGACGAAGTCATCAGGCATTGCTTTGATAAATCGGTTCCGTCGAGCAGAGAAGCGGGATGGAGCTTTTCGTCCCTGCGATTTCTGTGCTTCCACCTCTTCGGCCATAACAGATTCATTCAATCTCGACAGACGCCGGCTTTGCGGTGCAACAGTCTCGAAACGTGCATCTCCTTCTTGAAGGTCTGAGACCCGAGTTTGAGCAGGAAGAAGGCGAGAACGAGGGCGTAAGACCCGCTTCGGAATAGGAGAGCGAGCCGGATGCGAGACAGGTTCATCAAAGTCGAACCGGATTTCTCCTTCAACAGGCGCTATATCAAAGGAGCCATCGACAGTCTGGTTGATGTAGCGAAGGTTGTCACTGCGGCGATCAAAGAGCTGCGAATTCTGGATCTCCCATCTGGCGATGGCATCGTTATCCAAGAAAAACTTGCTGGAACGAGGGTCAACCTCCGCTGAAAAGTCGACTTTGTGTCTTCTAGTCCTGGACATGATATCATCAACAGACTGAGGCAGGGAGAGCCCGGGGATCTCTTTGAAACCATGTCTGGGGTATGCCGCCAGACCTGCATCTGTAGAAAAGGTCCCTGTCGAAGGATGGAATTTCTGTACTGGCTTCATGAGCATGGCATGAGGAGCCATGGCTGATATCCGATGCCATATTCGCTTCATCCTACGCGGTTGTAGAGCCTCAGTGTCTTGTATCCGTCCGTTCGTTCTCTGCACTATGCGCCGTCTGCCTTCTGTACCAGCGAGGCCAGGCCTCGATATTGATGTCAAACTGCTGAAGAAAGCATCCTCCTCGTTCAAAGGACGCTGGATCTTCATCAAACGCCTCACCCTTTCTTTGCGCCGCGGGCTTTTAGAACGATCACCTTCTCCCTCACCGCGAAGCAAACGTCTTTGGATTCTGCGACCTCTCCTCTGTTCCAGTGCAACGACGAATGCGGGTTTTTGATGAAGCTGCACAGTGATATCTTCTCGGACTGGCAGACTAGTAATGGCCCTTTGGCCTCGTGCAGGAGTAAACTTGTTACCACTCTTTGTGAGCTCTGGGTTGATCTCAACATTGGGCGGGAAATAGAACCGCGACCCTGCAGCAAGCATCTTTTTCTGTAAATCCATGATTAGAGGGTCGTCTGCGGGTAAATCTGGCTTTGTTATCATGGTCTTTGTGACCATAATGCCTTTATCGTCCATCCCACTAAAAGTCATTTGACGTAGCTTGCCAGCATCAACCATGTGCTTCACAGTCGATCTGATCGTCCTAAGGTCAGGCCTTTCTGTGTACCTAGTCTTAAGCCAAGCTGTCGTGAATGGATACCAGAGCTCTGTGCCCAGCGGATATGCACCTCCAGCTTTTTCAATAATCTCCATCACTATGTTTCTCCGCAGCATGGTAACAGAGCCTCCTTTTTCCATTCGGACTTTCTTCACTTTCCTCTTCCGTCCCGTAGCTTGTATAGGTTCTCCACCGTCGACATCCGGACGTTCTCCTGTCGCAGCCCCAATGCCTATCCCCGAAGTTTCATTGGGTGTATTTGCCATAACACTTTCATTCCCAGCGGCACTTTCCACCTTAGTCAATGCTTGTAGCTCTGGTTCCAGTTCTGGCACTGATTCCGGTTCCACTGCGTTTGACACTTGTCCTCTCTCTTCGAGGGTATGTGACTCTGTAGCCTCCACGGCGCCTGCAATCTCCCCCTGGATTTCCGTGTCAGCCGTATGAGTAACCTCGGTCGACGTTTCGCCTTGCACATCATCGACCTCCATTGTCTGCACAGTTTTTACAGTCTCTGGTTCTGGCTCTGGCTCTGGCTCTGGTTCTGGTGCTGGTTCTGGCTCTGGCTCTGGCTCTGGTGCTGGTGCTGGCTCTGGCTCTGGTGCTGGTGCTGGCTCTGGTGCTGGTTCTGGTGCTGGTTCTGGTGCTGGCTCTGGTTCTGCCTCCGGCTCCGGCTCTCGACTTTCCGTTGTGGTTGAGATGCGAGGGCGCTTGCGCGGTTGATTCTCTTCGATAGGAGACTGGACCGGCACATCATCACCGGCGTCTGCCAGTACATTATTCTCCTCATTTTCTATGACCTTCTGTATATCTTGAGCCTTCCCTCCAGTGCTTTTCTTTGGTCTCCCGCGTTTTCGAGTGGGCTGAGGAACAGGCTCTGGTGGATGATCAGCTAACTGGTCTTCTGTGATTTCCTTTTCTGCTTCGACGTCCGGCATGTGCTGATCCGGAGCTGCAGCCGTTTCCTGTGCATTCACGCTTGCAAGTGTCTCTACACGTGCTTTCTTAGGTGGCCGGCCACGTCTCCGTTTAGCTGGTGGGGGTGTCACAACGGCCTCAACGCTCTCAGAGAAGGTTCTCTTGTTACTATTGGCACCAATGACTGTATTTTGACCAGTTTCCTCAACCGGATTTTCGGCCTGCGCAATTGCGGAAGACACGGCCTCGGGCGTAGGCGCTGACACAGCAACCGTATCTTCAACTTCCGCATCGGGGTCTTCTCTGTCAGAAAACCAAGGAAGCGTCCTCAAATTTGGTGACTTGAAGATAGCGATTTGGCTAATCCGAGGGCGTCCCTGTCTCTTTCCCATCGGCCGTCGTCTGCCACGAGGAGTCACATAGACTCCAGAGTGAGGACGCTCCATGAGTACGACATTATACTCTGTCCAGGACTCATCCAGTCCCATGGCTTCTAGCATTTCTTTCTCCGACATTCCCGGGTAGCGTGCAGGGTCGTACTTCGATAACTTGTGGCGCCTGACGGTTGGCGTTGCCGTAGCGCTCTCAGCATCGTCTAACTCTGTTTCAGGTAAGACACGGCCCTTAGGAAGAAGAGGAGTCTCGTCTGGACGGTCGGGAGAACCTTCTTCGCGTGCCTTCTTTGGTCGTCGCCCGCGCGATTTCCATGGAGTCTTTAGACGTTCTAAAGCGCCGTTGGGAAGCTTTTCACGCCCATCTCTGACAACTACTAGACTGTCAGCATAATCACATGCAAGATATACGGGTATTAGAAGCTTACCATAACTCCCATCCTCTAGCATTACTGCTACAGGATCGCTCTTCGAGCGGAAATAATCAGCTGGCTTCGCTGCAGCGGCACACTCAAGGAGAGTGGCATCGCCTTTCCTCAATAGATCTTTGGTTGGAATATCCAAAGGAAAGCCGAACTCATCGACTTGAGGAACTGCATCCACAGGTGGTACTTCGATATTCCCACTTTTACCATCCCTAGGGATGAACTCTACTGCTTCCCAGCTCGCCTGCCCCGCATCAACCAGTTTGCTGAAATTCCGAGCAGAATAATGGACATAGAGAGTTATGGTCTTGTTGAGCGCCGTGTCTCGAACAAGGGCTAAGTGTCGTAGATGGGGTGGTTGGGATATCTGCCAACATTCGACTAAGCGGGATAATGCGTTTTCCAAAGGCCTCCTGAAGAAGCCACCAAAGCACACTCTTATCGTTTCCTGCATCCTCTCAGTTAGTATTGGCAAGGCTTACAATCTCAAATGCAGGGTGGCTCACAATGTTTGTCCTTCCAACTGTCCCAGAACGATCTATTGCTTCAAATATCAAATTGTAGACGTTTCGATCAGGGGTCCACGTCGGAAGCATTCTTCCACCTTCTTCAAGGCCTTCCTTTGTGACGACACCAACATCTTGTGAGCCGGAAGTGCCAGCTCTATCTTCCTCGCCTTGCAGATCCTCATCGAGCTCCACACTGGCATTACCTTCCTGCTCTAGGTTTGCGAACAAGTTTCGACTATCGTCAATAAACAACTGGATATCCTTCTCGGATGGTTCCCGAATAAGCATGACACAGGGGTGTAGAGCTTTCATCGTATCAGCATACTGTGACATAGCCCTCACGCGCTTGAGGACGCCGATGCGCTCGAATTTTCGAAGCGCGCGAGAAAGGATCTTCCAGCGCCAAAGGTCGTTAAAGCCGAGAATACGTTTAAGATCGATACGTGCGATGACACCGTACTCTTTCAATATCTCAAAGAGCTTGTCGGTGAATACTTTAAAGTCGAGTATATGTTCCTTCTCTTCCTTCGAGGCGTCTGCTGGGGTCTCCGCGCTATCGAAAGCTGGCTTGGCTTGAACGAATTTTCTGAGTGTGCACAAACTCGTTCTCGCCGATTTTACTTGGATCGCTCTCTTTTCGATATATCCCTTCTGCTGCAACACATCCGTACGCTTTGGTACCGATCGCTTATCTTGGCCACTCAGTCGGACTAATTCTGTCTGCACTATTCCTCTGGACTTGCGAGAAGCAATTATCGAAAGGAGTGCAAATTCTGTGGGTAGAACTTTGGTCACATCCGGTCCATGGCCCGTGATCGCGAACCATGTCCGTTCTTCAGAAACGAACACGCGAGGCACTTCACGACCTTCAGATACTGGCGGTTTGGTCTCCGTGTCGGGCGCAACTGGAGAATCAACTGTAGGAGTATCTTCCTCATTTGTGGCTGGTGTCCCTGAAACACGCTCCTCTGCCTCGGCCAAGGTGAGATGGTTCCATTCCCTGTTCTTGCCGACTGATACCTCAGGATTCCTGGTCAGCCAGGACCAGACTTTCTCCTGAAACGGTCTGTTAATGGAGGGAATGCGGCGGTGTGATGCGCCTGAGGCATCTGATACTCCATCTTGAGCAGCACGTTTGTAGAAAGCATCGACGAAGGCCAGAACATCAGATGGAGAAGCCCCTGGAGATAATTAGCCTTATCCCAAAGAATTCAACTATCTTAGAAGATGACAAAAAAAGAAGATTCGCAAGAATATTTTCCATCAAGCGCAGTGAAGTACAAAATCACCAGGGTGTAACACTTCATTGGCCAACGCAGTAAAAATAGAGAAACAAGCCAATACTAGAAACGATCTTTTGTTCATTTCAAACTTGGGGTATCTGGCACTCATGTAAAGCATGCGTCAAAACGTGATATAGAAAAGAAAAGAAGAGAGGAAAATCAACGTCGCTGGGGTAAAAAAATCTAAGAAATCAAAACACCAAAATATAAAAAAAAAAAAAAATACGAAAACCAACATGCGCATCGATGCGACAGAGCGCAAACCCCTCGTGAGGGAACAATACGTACCCTGATCACCGCAGAGAGCGATTTCTGAGAGCAAAAAATCGATCAAATCGTTAAAACCGCGGGCCATGGTTACCTGGGCCTTGACAGGCCCTTCAACTGTGATTCCAGGGTGTTAGTGCGTTCAGGTCATTTGATGGCGACTGCGCGATTCGAACTCGAGTCGCTCGAACGAAAGGGATGAGCTCTTTTTTTTTCTTCTTTGGAGGGGAAAGACGTCAATGAGTGAGTTGAACTTAACTCGATTCGGTGGCGGGGGCGGGGTGGCACGTGCTACGCCGCCATACAGCGGCAGAATACACACCGCCCGGTGCCTGCATACCAGAGCCGATGTGGTGTTGCGATTTGCTCGATCCTGTTTGAGACGATACTAGTCTGAAGGGAATAGGGTAGAACGATATTAATGCTTCGATCTTTCCCTAAAGGACCCAGCGCCCGTAGTGGTAACAATGTACCAGCCTTTACGTTGTGCTCCTGGCTGTTTCTCGCTTGGTAGACGCGTAGTATGGCAGAACATACAAGGACTGCAGAAGGGATCAAGAAAGCAGCAGACGTGTCTATATGACTGCCCAGAGGCATAGATTGGATCAGTGGTATACTATGCTAATTAGATCTAACCAGTATTCTAATACTGACAGATGTGTTCATCAACTCAAAAGAACACATCATTTTTGGAAAATAGGAAAAACACAACCCACATGCCCACAAGACACGTAGGGGTATCAGCCAAATTGTAGTTAAAAAAAAAAAAAAAAAAAAAAAAAAAAAAAAAAAAAAAAAAAAAGATAAAAGACGGACAAGAAAAAGACAAGGCTGAAATCCACAGAGGAACTTCAACTCAGTATCACGATATCCAGTCAATCCCGAAAAGCCAATATCGTGCCGCCAAATGATTAAATACCAAGCATCTCAGACGCCATCCCTGCTCTCAGCAATGCAATTGGAATTATGCAAACCATGCGCCTGAAGATCCATCCGGTCGTAAAATGCACGTCCATAGACACAATAAAATGAAATCAACGCGAAATGGTAAGGTCGGACCAAGACGTCTCTTGCATGAATAAGGATCTCGTCTTGAGAGATCCAGATGAGATCTCGGTATGCGGCGAACAGTGTCCAGCAACCGTTCCATCCACAGCCCGTTATTCATGGCTCATTTCATTCCAACGAGCCCTCGAACTCTCTCCACCCGCTCGATGGCCTTCTCCAACATATCAAGCCTCTTTCTTTTCTCCCCGTCTCTCCGTTCGAGTATCTCCACTCGTTCTTCCAGTTTAGCACGGGCTTTCCGCTCTTCAGCCACCATCTCATTCGCCTGACTGAAAAGCTGCGCCGTCAGTTCTTCAAGCTCCGAGTTGGCCTGTGACAGCCTCGACTCTGCTGCCTTCCGCAGGTTCTGTTCGCGGCTCAAGGCATCCTGCAGTTCGGAGTTGGTGTGTGCATGGTTGGACGATGCACTGCTTGGACCAGAAGATGTGGCAATATTTCTGCGATACGGAAGGAAAGACGTGAAGCTAGTAAGACGACTTGTCTGCGGTTGCGGCGGAAGGGATTCCGGTGCGGACGAGGCGAGAGTCGAGGTTGTCCCTGCCACTGAAGGGCCTAATACTGCTGCTGGTGCAGAGGACGTAGATGATATCGAACCATTCTTCTGCGAATACGCTGGCGTTTGCGAACGGAGTATATTGATCTCGTCTTCGTAATCGGCAAGTTTCTCAGCTATAAGCACACAAGGATGTCAACAAGGGGAGGGTTTCTTAGAAGATGATAGTGCCCAGGGGAAAGATAGCAAGATCACGACTGTACATAATCTACGGATCTTCCAGCTTTGACGGCGAGGCAAAAAAAAAAGAGATATCTCTTACCTGTCTGCGCTTGCCTAGCCGTCAGAAACTTGACCTGAGACTCGAGTTCCTGGATTCTTCGCCGGGCCTCGTCGTTGATCTGTTCTGTCGAGACAGGAACATCCTGGCCGCAGTGAGGACAATGTACTCCAGATGCAACAACCACCGTGCCAGTCATAGGTGGCAGCGCTCCAACGAGGGTCGTTTTGGTGGTGGTGGTAGCAGTCGTTGACATGTCCAGGACATACGGCGGTGGGTCGGGCCAGTTAAGCCAAAAGGAGAAATTCGTGTATAATAATAAATACTTAGTTCCCTGGAAAAGCAGATCCTCTTACGGCGATGGCTATACTGCTTCGTAGGTAGTTTGAAGAAGTCCAAAAGACGACTCGAAGACGCCCAGGTTCACGAATCTAGGGAGTCAGCAGTGAATCCAGGGCCATTCCAGCCTCATGTCCGGTTGTTGCTGTCCAACGTGCGGCTCACTAGTCGGTCTCAGATGGCGATCCTCAATGCCTGCGCCACTAGATCCCCGCCACGAACAACGGCCGCGCAACTGACTAACGGTGTCAAACCTCCTTCAATCTCCACACTAGTAGTCCCTGGATGTTGTAACGGATCTAAAACAGGACGAGACGCGCTCTCAATTTGGGCAATTTATGGGTCAGGCCGTTTTAACGGTCTGCACGCTGTCCTCCTATGTCTTGGAACTTGAGGTTACTCGGCGCGATAGAATAAAGACAGCCGGAAATCAAACCCCTACAAGAAATCATAACCTCCAAGGTCCTCCTATTTCTTGTTTGGATATATGGTGTTCAATTCTCACATCAAAATAAGAAGTGAAAATAAGCGATACCACGCCAGCCAACAATATGGGGCTGCTTGGGGGCCACATTTTTGGGGTCGGTCTTAATTTATATATTTATGGTACTCCGTACTCCGTACATTTATCCCAGACCCCTCGTATCTATTTTTGTACTGTACTCCACAAACAAACGCCTTTAGACTCTAAGGACAAGTCTCTTTATACCACACCAAGACCCCCGTTGGACTCCCTGCTCGCACTCATAAGCTTCCCAGACCCAAGTCAGTAAAAGCTTTATCTATTCATTATATGCCCACTAATGGCCCCCCAAAAAGTCACAATTAGTCGGCAGTGTCGACTAAAAACACTCAGTGCCAGAGGTCGAGCAATCCCATTGCAACACTACCAGCCGGGCAATTAGAAAGCTCAGACGTCCTATACATCCACAGAATACTGAATATCTCAATTCTTTATTGTCTAGAAAAGAGGGGGCGCCCGTTATCAGAGAGTTATCTTACTTGGTTTGCCCTCCAAGTTGCTGCTTCATAGCCTGGAGTATACACAAAGGAACACTAATCTCAGCCCCCTTAATCGTAGTATGCCGCTTAAGAACCCCAATTACCGCTCCAATCTCGAGACTACATAAGCACACGGTGCATCCTTCAACAGTAGTAGTCTATCAGCTTCTCACCCTGTCACGAGTGATCTTGTCGTAAATCAGAATAGGATGCAAGGGGCTGAACGTCTAATTGCGGAGGCAATTCCTAGTTTTGGTCATGCGCAATCTGAAAATAATAAATTTTACTGTATGTGGTCGACGAACCTTGGCTTCTCAACGGATATGGCTTTATATCGTGATTGCAGATTCTCTGGACTCGTTCCTCTCGGCAAATTAAAGAGTCTGGTTGCACTCATATTCATGAAAGACAGCATCGAAATCCTTTGTATGGTGCTCGTTTTGAGTTTATGAAGCTGCAATATAAATATGGCCATGGCGGTCCCCTTCACGACGCTGGCCATAGGAGACGCAAGAATAAGACATGGGCATTACTAGTACTGTACTATAAACAGTGCTGTTTCTAGACTAAGTGAAGCAATTCTCAATGGTCTGAATACGTAGTGCATCCAGTAGTCCTACACCATTTTGGCTTCAGGACGTACAAGACGGATAATCTTAAAACGTGAAGAGAGTTTCCATATTTTCGTAAACCCCATGCTCTATCGACTCGGTTTGCTCAGTCATAAAAAAAGAAAGAAAACGAGGTGACAGGAAATAAGGAGAAATTCTAGATAGCAGTTGCCCAGCAAAGCTCTTCAAGTTGGTATGACTCGACAGCATTCAAGAGCAGATGGAATGTCGGAAAGTATCCTCGCTCTTCCGTCTTTACAGACAAGGTTTTTTGGAATGCTGTGTTGAACAAAAGAAAGTAGCTCTCCCAGGACGAGAACTATCATAGACTTCACACTTAGTCCTCCTCGATCTAGACGACGCAGACACAGAAAGACGGGGAATAAGTGACACAAGTATCATAAAGAAATAGTAGATAGGCGAAGAAAAGAAGACATCAGGGTCAGCTACCCACTTCTCCGTTACCTCTCAGCATGAGCCGTCACAGTCGTAGATATGTGATAGATGATCCTCACATGGGTACAGTTAGGTGATGGGAATACAAACAAGGTAACAAACTTTTGAATCATTGAACGATGACAGGGCATTAGTAGCGCAACAGGGAATACTAAGACGAAAGACATCATGAACCAAAAAGGAGGCTCAAGTAGCTGAAAGGCGCAGGCGATCTAGAACCGAGCCAAAACAGCCACCAGGATGAGTAAAACCAGGCCACTTCCGTAGCTCGTGCAACTTGGGTGAGAAAGTACAGCCCTTGAGCACAGCCTGACGGAAATGAAGCGATCCTTTCCTTGAACCACCGTTCCCCGCAGGACGGTGGACGCACTCGAAATCGGAGCGCCAGGCACGCCAGTTGACAGAACAAACTTGATCAACCGCGCAAGCGAAGAAGAGTTAAACATCCAGCAGACTCCACGACACCAAAGACAAGCACGATGCCTCGATCCTAGACGGTTGCGTCAAACGGGTATTAGTACATCTACTGGAATGCACGACCAGACTGTCCGCGACGGCTGTTGCGCTGCTTGGCGCTAACTGTGCTCCAGCCCTCATCATCCGCGGCCTCTGCAGGCTGGGCAGGACTCTTTCTCCAGTTCTCGTTTGTTTTGGCGGATGCAGCATCTTTGGGGGCTTCCTTCGATCCCTCTTCCGTCTTCTCTTCCGCTTCATGATCGGCAGTCATGCCATTCTCATCCTCGCCGGCCCGCCGGAGGATTTCGAAGTTCAGGTTCTTAGCACCCTGGGGTGTATCAGCACCGCCGTCTTTCGAGCCATTGGCATCGCCTTCTCTCTTTTCAGTCTTGGCCTGTTCCTTTGCGAGGCGCTGCTTCTCAGCCTTTTCCGCCTTGGCCTTCTCATCAGCTTCCTTCTTTTGACGAATAGCCAGCTGACGCTTCTCTTCGATCTCTCGCTCCCTAGCGGCAGTATCAATCGGTCGCGCCGCACCGAAGGGATTCGATTTCGGGTCTGCTGGCCGTGCTGCAGGTGCTGCGGGTTCGGCTTCAGAGACAGTCCTCTTCTGTAAGTTCAGCTTGGGTCTCACTGCTGGCGCAGGAGCAGCGACAGGAGAGGGAGGGTTGCTAGGCCCCTTTGGCGCAGGGTCAGGTCGCATCTTAGATCTCCACTGGTTGTCAAGCTCCGGGGCAGTTGGGGTTCGCTCTTCCTTGAATTCGCGTCTGGGAGGCCTTGATCCATCCTGCGATCGTCCTTCGCCCCAAGCGGGGGAGCTTCTCCTGAACTGCGGACCCTCATTGCTGCGCGGGCGACCGCCCTCTCTAAGGGGCCCGCTCACAGGGGACAGAGGACCTTTGCGTTCCCAGTTGCCAAAGTCTCTGACCTTTCCATCACCCTCGAAGTTGCGTCGGCTGCTAGTCCGGTCGCTTCCAGCATCAGACACATTGTCGAAGCTGCGACCATATCCGGGCCTGTCAGAGACACGACGAGCATTGGGAAGATCCGGAAGAGGTCCCTTGCGAGACCAGTCACTGAAGTCCCTTGTGCTTTCTGGGCGGTCCTTGGCTATAGATAACGTTAGCGAGCCATGTCCTCGAACCGGGGGATATCAGGAAACCGTACGTGGATCCGCAACGCTGACTCTGATCGCCCGTCCCTGGAAACTGGTGCCTGAATAGGTGAGGGCCTTCTTTAATCCCTCGACGCTAGCGAACTCGACATATCCGAATCCCTTCGGGGTCCTGGTCAGTTTGTCCTCGACGATGCGTACGTTTGTCACCTCGCAGTCAGCGAAGAGATCAGTGATGTCGCCCTGGGTCGCATCGAAGGACAGGTTCCCAAGATGAGCGGTGTAGGGAGGCTGGGTTGGAAGAGGGAGTTCTTCTCTGGGGGTGAAACTCGTACGGTCACGGTCTAGGTTTTTAACGTCAGTATCAGATGCCTTCGCGCACACACCGGGACAATCGGGATTTGTACCATAACCATTAAAGCCAGTCGCGTTGCCCATAGTGCGGCGTTCACCTCCGTAGCTGGTCAAGGACGAGGGGGCTATTGTGAATTAGACATCATATTTCGAGTAAGAGGTATCGCACCAGGAAAATATGAATGACATACCGGCTGGATATCAAAATTGTCAGCAAGTGGTATAATCGTTGGAATTTTGATCTTCAACAGCATGAGACTCACCTGGAAGGGGCACATCGTCCATCTCGTCGGCCCACGAGCCGAGACCTGTCCATCATCAGTGACTGACGATCACCCACATAGATCTCCGCCACTTACTCTCATCGGCCAAGAAGGTCGATATGGACATCTTCTGGGCTTTGGGCTTTGCGGGCGCTAAAGACAACAGCATCAGTACGATACATCCTCATCACTGCCGGTATAGATAGGGTGTGGGATGGGTGGGAGCCTGGAGACGAACCCATGATTGCGGTAGTTCAAGTGGGAAACGCGCCCAGGCGATTGTGCGCGTCTCTGTTCGCAGAAAGGGGGACGCTGAAAGATGGAAGAATCCTTCAGCAACGATAGCAGTGTGTGAGTAAGTGCAGGGGCCGGCGATGTCAGACCCAAAGGTGATGTGAAGGTGGTAGGTGCAGCAATACTCCGCAGTGAAGAGCAGAGGGGAAGTAGGCAAAATGGACTTTGGTCGTTTCTCCGTGAGGATAAATTTTAGTGATGACGCTAGAAAAGTCAGCCTGAGGCGTGGTGCGGCTCCTTTGCCGACGACGGCAGCCACGCTCCTCTGCCTCGAACCACCGCAAGTCTGGAGCGCAAATCGGCCGCTAATCTAGGAATTCCTCTTTTTCTTTCTCCCGGTTCATTCTGCTCGTCTGGCTTCTTCGTCCTCTCTTCTCGTTGTGCTTCTCGGCTGTCTCGACTTGAGATTCGCCGGCCGGTGGGACCGGATCAAGCCTTTCATTCTAGAGTAGTTATCATGCCCCAGCCCTCTAAGTATGTAGACTATGGTAAAAACCGGCAGACACTAAAACATCCGACCTGCAGGCCCTGCGTTCCATTCATCCATTCCATAGATGGATCAGCAGATGCTTCAGATACTCACTGCAACTGACCTCACTTCTCAAAGAACATCTACTGAACAAGGTGACATTGTCTCATGCTGACTGTTCTATCTTCCGGATAGTTAACTAACCATCAAGAGATATTATGCATGGTACTGACTAACTCCATTCTTTAACTTACCATCGGAGCTCGAAAACCTGCCAAGACTCGTTCATTCCATGACCGTATGCGGTGCCGCTACCTTCTTTTATGCTGGGAAATATCATATCCAGAGTTCATCCTCAAGTGATTCTCTGCGAGTTTCTTGAAGTAAAAGGGTACCCGATACCAGGGCATGTTAGCACCAACACCAACAACAAGAGCTGAGTATGTGTTCTATTGAGCCTGAATATACAGTCTGGCTTCGATGCATATTGCTACGAAGAGCAGAGCGATATCAGTACGGCTGTGATGACCATTTATGTCGAAACGATCCAGTGGCACTATAACGTCCTTGCACGTTTGCATGATGAGTTGCAAAAGACTGTATGCCATCTGTAGTAAGGATAACGGCCAGCGCCGAATGGAAAAAGAAGATCCATGGCCCTAACCCCAGATAAACCAATTTCCAACGGTAACTTAAGAACAATGCTCGAATTAGCGGACCGTTCGTCCGGCGGCCCTGCTCTGCAGAGCTTAGTCACAGCCGGGGTGCAGCTGTGGCAAGGAGCTGTCATACGATGTTCCAAGGGTCCGGGATAGGGGATATCTACGAGGAGTATAGAACTGCCAGTTGGGTCGACTGCTTTGACTGCTACTGCTCGAGTAGTACTAGGCAGTGTCTAGATCCCGGGATAGGAATTCGTGCAGCTGGCCAATCAACGTGTGATACTACTGACTTGGGATCGGAATTACTCCTCCAGCATGAATTCTCAACGGCCTCCAAAGGTCACGTCGTAACATATGTGAAGCAATATGATCGGTTATGCCGCCCTCTATAGTTCTCCCACCAGAATAGTAACAATAATAATTGCCAAAATCTGTACTCGAATCATCACGATATGTTCATAATTAACCATATTGCTCTGATTACATAACCATAGTGTTGATCACGTGCATATCGCTCAACGCTTCGAGAATTGCAACACCCTCTACGTTTCCAGAGCGCAGGAGTCCTCGACGGCAGGTTTAAGACGCATTAAAGCTGCGTAATGGGCCAAGATGGGTGGGAAGGATGAAGCAATTCCAGTTTTTGGCTCAGATGTTCTCCTACCAGCTCTGAAAGCTGGGGGTTTGAGCGGTACGTTTTCCCTTGCACTTTCTTTTCTTCCCTGCTCGAGAGCGGAGACCGGTTCTTGTTATGCAGCTGCATATGTATGGGATTCCATGATTGCTTTCTTCTGAATTTAAGCCATGAAATCGCAGGACATGCCACTTTGATGATGCCTTAATTACTGTGTGCCTGTGGCTTTGTGACTGACTGACTAATTTATTTATTCATACAGGATCGGCTGGTCTGCTGTACGGAGGTATTTCTGGTATCCTCACCAGCTCTCCTCACCAGGTTGCCCATTCAGTGTCGCATGGAATCCATTGGTTTGCACTAGGCAGCTCATTTTGGTGTAAGTACATTTTTTACTCAGGTCTTGTGTGTTTTGGGCAATATTTAAAAAAAAATTTGAAACTTAGGGTTGAGGAGTAATATTCTGAAACTCCATTTCCAGAACGATGCTTCTCCGAAAGAACGTGCCTATACGAGCGCCATTTCTGGTGGGGTTGCGGGAGGTGCAGTAACGCGGCTTATGGGTAAATTGAATGATTGTATTTATGTGATATTCGAAAGAAAGTCCACTGACGAACGTACGTAGGTGGTCGCCTTGTCCCAGGTGTCGTGATCTTCTCGATGCTGGGGTATCTTGGCCAGAGTTCTTACAATGCCATTGACCGATGGCAGGCACAGCGTGCACAGGAGGGTCCATCGAAGCCCTTTCTGCAGCGGTTAGCGGACTCGAAATGGGTCCCGTTGAAGGCCCTCTCCGATGAGGACTATAAGCATATGCTGAGCGAGAAGCTACTGAACATTGAGGCAGAGATCGCGCTTATTGACGATAAGATCCAGGACCTCGAGAAGTTGAAGGCGTCCAGCTCGGAAGTGAAGGTGCCGGAATCGAGAGCGAAATAAGAAATATTACTTATTATTATTATTCCCTAGAAATAATAATCACTTACCTGTTCAGGCATGTTGCGGGACTGCGGCGTATCCAGCGTCTCGAAATACGGTGGTGGGATAAGCGAGGCGAACAAACAATATTAAATCAATCCCTATTGAGGACATTCGAGGCTGTACTCTATGATGCTTGGCCCCACCGCGGTCGATAGTTAGCATCCCCCTTCGTTGCGTATGTGGTGAATAAGAATTCGATGCGCGGAACTCCCGGGACCGGCGAGAGTTTAAGAGCGGGAACCTCTTGTGGAGTGGCAAGACCAACAATCTTTTTCTGATGTTGGTGATTTTTTTTATGTTGCCGGAGCCCCTGGACAATTATCGTGTTAGGAATCAGAGATCGATGTTCGGGGAGTTCCTCCTACCTTAGGCGTATCTAAATCGAGAACATCATTAACGGTCTCCCTCTTCTTATGGTGATCGTCGAGGTTAGAACAACTCCGTGTCTGCTAGTCAGGGCCTGTGGGCACGTGTCTTGGGGCTCCTGAAGGAGAAATCGTAATAATAATGCCTCCGCGACGGGCGATGTTAGTTAGTGTCGTGTCTCCGCTTTTTAGCTTCGATTCCTCGCAGTGAAAGACGGCAGCTCGGATACGGAGTACCAAAGCATTATTATTGCAGACAAAGGACGCTGTCGTTCGATCCTACTACTGAAAACGGACTGTCCACGATAGTGTCACAGAGTTATTTAGTTACACATCCAACAAGAATCGTATAAGTTATAATTTAATTACACGAAGCAGGCTGGGAAAGGGCTTCCCTCCAAAACGAACCACCCGATAGATAGATAATAGTTCGTGTCCGGATCGCCCATTCCGACCGACGGATTGGCCCAACAGCACACGACGGACCGGGACCCGGCGCCAGGGTGAACGAACAAGCCTCTCTGCCGTTCTGGAAGCGCTGCTGGAGGGGACAAGAAGACGGAGAAGGGACTCTAAGAGAGGCTTGGTCAGGCTTGGTCCGCAGTTGGTCCGCATTCTGTCCTCTCTGAAGTCACTGAGTCTAATTTACCTGTCTGGCCTAAAAACCAGTAATATACCTCTCCCAACCGATCTCCGTTTCCCAACCCATTCCTGTTGGAACGGCCGTGCCTTGCAGTGGAGGAAAAACAAGGGCAAATAATACAGAGACAAAAAGAAGTTGACACGCAGCATGAAAGGTTCACGACAGCTACGTTTCTCTCCCGACGCTTCGCATCCGGGCGCGCAAGCCAGAGCCAACTGAACCCTGAGCCACCGGCGGCAGCATCGCGATTACGGCTTGTCCGGCTCATGCGGTCGATGCAGCCATAACAACAGACTTTATATCAATTGCAGCGGGGGATCGAGGCGGTTGCTATCGTTTAGATGCTTTGAACGGCATCTGGCCGTGAAGCGGAGTGAACCGGTCGTGGCCACGCAGGCAAGATGACTTTCTTCAGCCCGACGACGCTGGTGGTCGGCTTCCTGCTCCTTTACCTAGCCTCCTTCATACTATTGGCCATTATACGCATCGGGACTGGCATTTCGATTCAGAGAGTTGGCTATTTCTCCCTCCGACGCATCGCATACGCCCCGAGGGAGGGGATACAGCTGGAAATCCGCGGGCTCGGGTTGTCACTCCACCGTCCCTCCTTTGCTAAGCCGACATGGGTCAGCCTCCGGATAACGGACTTGAAGGTAACTTGTGACACGAAGGCGCTGGAAAGGAGTAAACATGCAGCGCATCAGCGAGACGGATCGATATCCTCGGATCACTCGTCGGACGAGACAGATGTCAAGGACACGGGATCCGGCCGCAGTTCGCCTTCAAGGTCGCGGAGTAAGACGTGGAAGACATTGACCAAGGTGAAGGAGCGGATCAAACGGGTCCACAGACAGATACATTGGTTGAAGATGGTCGATGTCGTGGCAGCGAACACCACGATCCACTTTACGGAGGCCGGTTATATTCAGGTTGGCTATCTCACGATGGCTGTGGATACCAGGCGCAAGATGGTGGATAGAGGGAAACTCTTTCGACACAAGAAGGATCCATCTGGGGAGCAGAGCCCTGCGGAATGGATGCTGAATGTGCGGAATATCCTGCTGGCCGTCGACGGCCACGATCCGATGGAATTGGTGGATAATATAGGGATCAACATACACGGACTTCTCTACAAGGATCTCGAGGGTCTGAGGGACACATCGGTTGCAATCAAAATTGGAAGATTGCACGTTCCTTATGACGACCTCATGACATTGTCGAAAAAGGTGAAGCAGTCCAATTCCAACGTATCGAAGGGCGACTCCCCCGAATTGGACGGTAAAATATCTTTCGCCGATTTTGTCGAAGAGTTGGACAGGCCAGGAACTCAGGAGGATGCTATTGTCCAGACGGTAGCCGACTGCAAGGAATTCGCCAGCTCTCTGTTACGTGGTATACAAGAGTTCCAGATAGCACTGAGCTTTTTCAGGGCGTCGAGACGAATCCAGCCTGCCGTGGAGGATCAAAAGTCCATGTACCTCAATGTTGTTACGCACGAGATTGGTGTGGACCTGCACCGAATGGATCCGGAGACCCCAGCACATCGGATGTACTTCCAACGGAATGATGTTGCTCACCAAGCCCTGCTAGCCGCGATCTCCCTGTCTGTCAGTCTGGATGACAGCTCTGGCGAAACGGATAAGATCTTGTATGTTCCAATGGCTACCACGACAATCAAAACTACACTACCTTCCAAGACCGTGAGTTTGGCCAATGAGAGTGATCCGGAGGAACGCAATACCAATGTTCTTTTCGCCAACCTTGTGGTGACATCGCCCTCTGTCGATTTGGAGCCGCAACATTGTTCTCGATTACTCGATCTAGCGCAGACACGGGCATCGTCTCGAAGGAAAAGGAATAATAATAATAATAATAACCATCGACTGATTTCGCGCCTGCTACCTAAACTGAGCATCAAGTTGTCGATCCATGAACCCGTTCTTCGATTCGTCCTACCCATCACAGAAACTGCAGGATCCGCACCCTGTGACTACAACCTCCTCATATCTTCGATATCTTCAATGTCTATGGATATCGAGTCGTCTCACTCGACAGAGGGCGGACTCCATTATTCCTTGTCATCCATATACAGAATCACCTCCCATCAGTTCTATTACCAGACCCCCGCCGGAGTGAAGCATAACATCTTGACTACGGAGAACATGGAAATCAAAGTCCTGCTCAATGCCTCTCCCGAAGTTTGCGTTATCGCTTCAGGAAACATGAACTGCTTCTCGGTTCATATGGTTAATGATGAAGTTAATCGTGGGATTCGCCAGGTCATCGAACAATTCCAGACCCATGTGCAGCCGAAGAAGACGATGCCCGGTGATGAAAATAAACCAAGTGTGTTAAGGAGGATACCACCGTGGCTTTTGAGATTCCAATTTGAGGCTACCGGATCGAGCTTTGAGGTCGCCGGCTTTGACTCCAGTGTCTCTGAGATAAATCGTGGCATCGCACTGCAGCTGCAGTCCTGGACTGCGGATTATAGAGCTCAGAAACTTGAGCCGAATAGGACGCTCCCCAGACGAAGGACGTCTACTCACTCTACTGTTGGGGACGAGGCGTCTTTCCTCTTCCCTCCCACATCACCGCCTAGAAGTTCCCGTCAGGGACAAGCTGACGGCAGACGGTTGGCATTCCATGTGCGAGGCCTCGAAGGGTTTGCGATAGAATCGGAGGACTATATAGAACCGGATCCATTCTTTTCAATGCCTCGATTTGAAGTCGCTCTCAGCACTCACAGCGACCCTCATGGTCCTATATCGCACATCAATTCCGTGATCAAAGGGGTCTATCTTGAGTACTCGCTCTACCGATATTATTGCCTCGGGGTTGCAGGATACGTGCTACGGGACACTTTCATGCGTCCTGCGCAACAGGGTGCAGCACCTACAGGCGATTATCGGCTTCATGATTATACTCCGAAGAGTTCGGCCCAAATCCCGCTGTCGCCTTCAGCCAAAAGAGAGCTCGTCACTGTTGATGTCAGAGCGACTCTCATACAAGTTAAGGCTTCATTGCCTTCTGATCCTCCCATGATGGTGCAGATATACGGCTTCACAGCTGGTCGTCACCGCTGGACGGCTCCCTTCACAAGATGTCAACTGATTCGCCTTCATGCGGAAGCTCCTAAACTGAAAGGAGTTTGGGCGAGAATTGTCAGTATGAACAATGTGAGGCTCGATCTACGTGAGATCCGCCGAAAGCAGGGCGATATTATGCGTGAAGAACGCTCCATCGACCTGTATACGGATTTCATTCGGATAGGTGTCCCTCATCACATGATTATGCACCGCATCTTCGACAATTGCGTCAACGCCATGAAAGCAATGAAACAGCTGAACCATCGCTTTAAAACTGGTTCGACCGAATACGTTCTGGGAAAGGAGCCCGAACCTCCGAAAAAGGTCCCTAAAATCTCCGTTCGGAGCAAAGCGTTATTATTTGAATTAGAAGATGACGCCTTCGAATGGAAATTGGGAACGATATATCGAGCTGGGCTCATGGAGCAGAGGCAGCGTATCGCTCGTGAAGATGCTTACCATCTGAAGCTGAAGAGAGTGGCAGAGTCCGACCGCCGTGCTTCGTCCCGCCTGCGAACTCGGTCTAACTACGCAAAAAGCACCCAGGAGCGCACCAGCGAAGACAGCAAGAGGAGTAAGAGTGAAGATAGACGACCCAGGAGGTCTTCTTCTGAAGATCGGGGCAGGAGGGGGAGGAAATATCGCTATGATACCGAGGGCACCAGTTGCCTGAGCTCCTCCGCGCAGATAGCGGCTGATGAAGCATGGTACAAACTACAAGAGCATAATGCCCGTACCTGGAAACTCAAAATCGACTCTGCTTTGAAGTTCCAGGATACTTCGATGAGGGAGATCCGGAATCTGTTCTCTGGCGCGGATGAACCGCCCGAAGAGGCGGACGACAACGAGGTCATTTTGGCCATTCCCAATAGACCGGGGCTTATGTCCGCGCTCATCAGCGACGTGAATCTTGTGATTGACAAACCAACGTTTCCTCTCACCGAATACGCCCAATTTCTTCACAAGATAGGGAAAGGCATGCCGACGGACATGAAGTATTCCCTGCTGATTCCAATGGGTATCCGGTTAGACATGGGTGAGGCTCGAGTCAGCTTAAGAGACTACCCGCTCGATCTTTTGCATATCCCAGCGCTGCGCCCTGGGCAGTCGCCTCGACTACCAAGTTGGTCTCTGAAAACCAATCTCGTTATCGCTGAAGAATTCCGCGACGAGCAATCCGCAAGGCACGTGCAGGTAGAGATCGTGCCTGCGAGCACCATGCCTGATGGTTCCACAAATCCTGCCTTTTGTCTCGACGTGCGGCGAACGGTCTCACCGGTCAAGACGTACTCAGAGCCAATATTTGAGATTAACACGAGTCTTCCCACGAGCATTTCCTGGGGTATGTCATATCAACCTGTGATACAGGACATGATGAAGATCATTGAGGGCTTCACCAAGCCCGAGATCGATCCTTCGGATCGAGTTGGATTTTGGGACAAGATCCGAATGAGCTTCCACTCAGCTATCAGTGTGGTATGGAAGGGCGATGGCGACGTTCATTTCAGGCTGAAAGGATCCCGTGATCCATATGTCGTCACAGGTTTCGGTGCTGGATTTGTGATGTGCTGGCGAAAGGATGTGCAATGGAACATCCACCAGACCGATGACCCACGGGAGTTTATGAGTGTCACTAGCGGAGAATACGTGCTCGCAGTTCCGGATTACAGCCACGAAGCACGTAGCTCCTTGGAATCTCCAATGGACGACGGCGATAGTGAGTCGTCTTCTACTGATGTGAAAAATACCGCTTTCTTCAAAAAGGTCGTTATGAAGCTGTCAGGAAACGTTCGATGGCTGGCAGGGTTAGTTTTTGAGCGCGATCTGGATAATGGTGTCCGATCGTTCCAGTTCAAGCCTCATTACGAGGTTGTCCTCCGCAATCCGATATACGTACCGGAATCGGATCGACAGGTGAGTCGCCCATGCCAAATAAGTATGGGCGGGTGCTAACATCGAATAGGACTATGATGCGTATAAGGGCTTCCGAAGCAACCATATTCACTTGTCAATCGCTGTCGAGGCCCCGAATACAAGAGAATGGGTTGTTGGATCCCCTGAGTCATCGACGAGTTATAACACGGTTCATTTGACTCCACGGTTTTTCACGCACTTCTTCAATTGGTGGTCACTCTTCTCTGGAGTCATGTCCCTGCCTGTTCGTCAAGGTCCTCTTTGGCCCGGAATCACCAAGACAAGCAAGAAGTTTAGTCGACACCTCGCCACAGTGAAGTACAAGCTTCTTTTCGCTCCGTTGTTTGTGGCTCACATCTACAAACATAAAGACCAAGAGGATTACAGCGAAGATGTGGTGACTGCGACGGGCATAAAGGTTCGCCTTGATAGCTTCAGACTCGACGTGCACCAGAGGCGTGAGCAGATCAGAACGATGATGAAAGGGCGCTCGAAGCAGACAAAAGCTAGTGCAATGCGGATCAACCAGACCCAACTTGACTTCCTGAGGGCCGATTTCCGGGCCGTTTCCTCGAGCATCGAAGGCACAAACCCTGAGGACATTCAAAAGAACACCGACGATGTCATCTCCACTTTCCAGCAGCCTGTCGCGTCGATAGATCTATCTCGTTTCACGATCCCGGATCAGAACATGGATTGGATTGATATGGATGACTTTGTTGAGCTGGACTGGATTCTGCCCCAAGAGTCCAACCCTCGGACGCAAATCTTGCCCCTTGCATTCGCACCCCGATTCACATATCTGCGCCAAACAGACCACGGGCAGGCCGATTCCGAACAGACTGGATTCAGTCCTTTTGGAGACGAGCCGACGCATGAGTGTGTCATTTCGCAAGACAATGACCCACGACGTGTGCAAATGGAGCTAGTCAAAGAACGCTTAGCTGTCCTTGAAAGGCAATCTGCCAAGTTTGACCAGACTCTTCGCGAACAGGAAGAGGAACTGCGTGAGCACCTGGATGATCCCGAGGTCAGAGCCAAGCGCGATCTTCTTATCAGGCAGGCTGAATCACTGGCCCGGAGACGCAAATTCCTAGGCGGTGGTCTTCGTCGTCTCGAGAGGCAATTGACCGGTCAAGATTCAGTTTCAGACTTCGAGTTTGGAAGCCAGAATCGTGAAAATCCGTCATTTAGGACCGGGGAGAACTCCGAGTCAATGGGCAATGGGGACGATCCCGAAATTGCGGGCCTCTACTCTTCTCCCAACGACGATTTGGCCACTGATTTCAACAACCGTTTTATAATCCATAATATCCAGCTCAAATGGAACAACTCGCTGAGGAACATCATCCTCCGCTATGGACACCAGGTCAGCCAGAGACGAGGTTTCGTATATTACATGTCGCGAAGGGCCGTCAAGTTTATTCTTGACATCGTCGAAGAACAGAACAAGGCCAAGAAGAAGGGTCCAGGATCATTCACAGATACATCGCCATCGATCTATGAGGACCTAAACAACACAGAGAAAGATGACGATGGCAGTGTTGAAGATCGCATAGAACAGCTCCTTAATGATGCCAAGCGCTATGTGAACGCCGATGACAGTGAGACCAGTTCAAGAAAAGAGTCTCGAAAGCGTACAGGATCGGCAGACTTTAGCGACAAGATTGCTCCAGAATTCACGGCGCAGAATAGCTATCACTTGCGCCTTATAGCTCCTCAGATCCAGCTTCAAAGTGAAAAGAACCCGAAGTCTGTTGCGCTGATAGCTGCCAAAGGCATGCAATTGAAGGTGGTGTCTATCATGGATAAGCAGCGCGTGGGTGACGATGTCAGCGGCCTCATCCAACGCCGTTTCTCTCTTGACATGGATGGCGCTCAATTCTTTGTGGCAACGCAGAAGAATCTGATAGCACATCTGCAATTCTACGCCGGAAACAAATACGGGAATGCTCCTGGCTCTGCATGGCCACCGTGGATCACCCTGGAAGCAATGTTCGACTTTGAGCTCAATCCCTTCGGTTTCTCAAGAATCATCCAGAAAACCTCTGCTAGTCTGCGCTACGACAAGTACAATAATCTCCGGCTTAAGTACAATGAGGAGGTTGGCCAGGAAGGAGGCGATGAAATTAACGATGACAACAGGGAAACTCGAATGGACCAGATCCTCGTCGACTTCCCTCGCGTTAGAGCAATCTGTGATTCTGCGGAGTATTACTCCATGTACATCATTGTCCTTGATTTGTTGCTCTACAGTGAACCGCTGGAGAAAGTGCGGAATGAGCGCTTGGAGAAGATCATGCTTGCATCCGACTTTAGCGATCTGAGAGGTGCCCCGGAGATGGTTAGCAAGCTTCAGGAACGCATTCGACGTCTCGAGGAGATCAAAGAACATTTCCAGGTGCAGGCCAAATACCTGGACAGGCAAGGCTGGGAAGACCGGATGACACTGGAGAGAGACCTGACGCACTGCGAAGACGAGCTGTTCTTCATCATGAAAGCCATCACTACCTCGCAGAGGAGAAACGAAGACCGGAGTGGATCGGGGACGAACGGTCTTCTGCGTTGGAACATTTCCGCGTCTGAGGTGGTGTGGCATCTGATGAAGGATCCGACCGAGCCTCTGGTCGAATTCCAGCTGCGGGATGCGACATATGAGCGCACAGACAATAGCGACGGCTCAAATCACAATCTGATCAAGATCCAGAGGCTCTACGGTCTGAATCTGCTGCCCGATGCACTGTATCCTCAGATGATTGTCCCTTACCTTGACCAGAATCGGCGTTTGGAAGGACCCGACTCAAATATGCTAAAGGTCGAATGGTATATGCTGGAAGCAGTCGCTGGTATCCCGGTTCTGGATGACTTCGAGGTCACGCTCTTCCCACTCAAGATACAATTAGAAAGAGACACGGGCCAGAAGCTGTTCGAGTACATCTTCCCTGGGGTAGGTGGTAATGCATTTGAGAACGGCGGATTCTCTCCATTTATGATCCCGAACACGAACCCTCTGGACGACGATAGCGAGAATGAGCAAGAGACGCGTGAATCGTCTCCAACCGAGCAAAGCAATGACAATACGTCCGGAGAAGAATCGCAACACTCGACCGGACCTGGAGCTATCCAGTTGCGCTTGCAACCGACTCTCTCTTTCCCAGATCAGAGGAGGCAAGCCCCGCGATCAAACAGACACAGAGGCCTTATGATGACGCCCTTACACAAGGACAGCAACCGCCTAGGGCCCACAGATGGAGTTGAGGCCGTCAATCGCCCGTCAACGGGTCACTCAATGCTCAAGAAGAAGTCCGTGGATAGCCTACGTATGTTGGCTCGTCAGCCTACAAATAAGTCAGCATCGAACATTTCCGCTAGCGGTGCCAGTGAAGACAAAGAGAGAGAGAAAGAGAGAGCCAAGAAATTTACACTTGGTCGAGCGAACAGGAGTAAATCCAATGCGGCAGATGACATTTCACAGATGATGTCTCGTGCCTCAAACTACATGACACTGGCCCATGTGAAGATCAATGACGTGATCCTCTGCTTGAGCTACAAGGGCAAAGGAGGACGCAACATTGAAGACGTCCATGATTTCGTTTTCCGTTTGCCTGTCCTGGAGTATCGCAACAAGACATGGTCAAACCTCGATCTGGCTCTACGACTCAAGAAGGATGTCATGAGGGCTCTGATCTCGCACGCACCTGCAATTCTCGGTAATAAATTCTCGCACCATCGACCTTCCAAACAGCAACAGAAGCGGCTTCGGGAGCTTGCGACTTCGTCCCAGGTTCTGCCGAATTCGGACAGCGTCATCAATCCGCCATCAGATGAGCCGCGGAGCATTGCTAGTCGCGATTCAACCAGCGAGCTTTCCGAATCTCCGTCGCGAAAGTCCTTCAATTCCAATGCTTCTCCTCTGGCACGTTCTACTTCTCTCGACTCGAGCATTCAGGGCTCCCATGACCACAGCATCCGCGGTTCTCACGAGCCGAACATTGTGGTATCTGACTCTCGCTCTGCGAGCGAAGTCGATGTGGACAGGCACTCCCAGGTGCGTTTTCTGTTACTCTACTGTCTCTGATGTCCTCGGAACTAACTGTCAAACAGCATAGTAACAGTTTCATGCACAACACCCTTACTAGGCATCTCACTTCGTCGGAGTTTTCGTCCCGCGAAGCCGACGCGGATGAAGACAACGATAGGTACGTAGAACATGACACCTAGAGCATCTCGTCTCGTGTCACATCGACTGACTCTCTTACAGTCCTAAGAAAGGCTTCCGCAATTTCGGCCGAAGGCTCCTGTCCTCGCGGGGCGGCGATCGATGATCCTGAGCACACTCCTCACCGAATTCCTCTTTGCCAGATTCCACTGTACGACATTGCATAATCCGATTCATATATACGACTCGTTATAGACAGCATTGCCCGGAGTTCGTCACATTTTCCCTTTGGAATCTATGCTATACATATTCCTTGAAATACCCCCAGCCTCTGGCGCTTGTGGTGTTTGGCCGGTGCAACGGGAGGCTAATGCTCTTTTGTCTTTCTCGTCTACTACCCAGAAATCCTAATCATTCGCAAATGTGTTGTTTTGAGCGACTTCTTTTCTGAATTCCAGCCAATGGGAGTCAATCATCACCGATGCCGTACGAAAGGTGTCTTGATGCCTCAATACCTCATCGTTGATTTCTTGTGTATTTATTTTTCCGTTCGTTTCTCAGCGTTGTCTTACATTTTCGCATGTTCTTCTATTGTGTTCCATTGTCGACTTTGAAAGGAAGCGTGGGGGGTTCAACATGACATTTATGGTGAAGCGAACTTGGTATCCTTCCTGGATATTTTAACTTCCTGTCTTTCAATATATATCTGATCGTGTTTTTCTTTTCCATTTTTGTGTACAAATTTCGTTTGTGTATTATTGTAATTGCCACCCGATGAGGAGTGGGAAAGGAAAGCGGCGAACAAAGAGGGGTTATGAATGAGTTTCCACATGGATATAGAGAGGATTTGGGTTATTTTGAGAATACATACGTTATTTATTTTCTGTTGATTCGTTTCTAGTTAGACGTGGAGTAGATTCGTCCATATACAGTAACAAACAAAACCCCACAAGAATCCCCATGGCGAAAAGCGGATGTTAGCCTAACGGGTTAGTACAGCTCTAGCTATAAGTAGATGGCCTGGTTTCCAGCCATGTTCCATAGGATAACTCGCTCCCATCGACCACTCTCCAGGACGGTCCGGTCAGAAGATGCGAGAAAAGACAACATTCACACTATCGGCGGGGGCAAAACAGAGCCTGCCACGACAGTCCGTTGCTTTGAACTGATCGGCTGGGCCATATGACGCGAATGACGCGGGTTTGCCGCCGCTCAGCGGCGAGAGTTGCGAAGGGAGCTTCAACCTAGATCATGGTGCTTGTTCACAGCTGCCACCGCGTTTCTTTCCTGCGCTGAATTCTCTCCGGACACTTCTCTAGATCGATATCGCAACGGACATAAAATACCGTGGCTTTTCCCGTTGATCCTTCCTGTGTCGCTGCTATCATCATAGGGCGGAGGCCGATAGCCTCCTCCTCCAGCTCGTCATGGCGAACCGGGTGCTGACGGCTCTGGTCTCCGTTCTGTTCTTCGCATACGGGTTATTCACTTTGTCCCCGTATGCATCCAAAGCTCTCCTGTCTGGACGAGCCTTCTCGCGCGCGTCTGAGAAGGAGGTCAATGAGTTGAAACTAGGTACGATCACGTTGTTGTGATCTTTCTGCCTACGTCACTAGCGAAATCTCGTTTGAATCAAGGAATCAACTACGACTAGCTATGTTTGGAGAGTCATGAGAGCTTGCTAATTGTCCGTCGAGTAATTTCAGCCAGGGATCGATTTTGGAATCTGTCAAAGGGATTCTGCGGTCTCTCGCACCAATTCCTGACCCTCCGCAGTGGCTTCAAGTTCCATTACCTCACGAGCGTCGTACCTGGCAGTGCTACGGCGGCCCGTTCGAAGAAGCCACTGGTCATCCTAATCCATGGCTTCCCAGATAGTTGGGCGGTATGGCGCCATATCGTATCTTCCCCTGCTATCCACGAATCGAGCATCTTGGTTGCTGTTGACTTGCCGGGATATGGTGGGACTGACGGTCTGGACGAATATTCGGCGACAAACGTGTTGGAGAGCTTGACAGAATTCATCATCTCTCTCAGGGAGCAGTATGGGATCGAAACACCCGTGGATTCAAAGCCGCTAAGAAGAGTCATCATTGTTGGCCATGACTGGGGTTGCGTCCTGGCGATGCGCCTGGCGGCGGAAGCACCCCAGGTAGCTGACAGATTCATTCTTACCAATGGGCCATTGGTAGGTGTTGCAGCTATTACTCCTCAGATATACTGTTGCTAATCATTTTCTCACTCCAGCCTGGCCTTGTCGTCTCGAATGTGCGACGCTTGCTTTCATCGGCCTTTAAGATGTTCAAGACGGCGTTGAACTCGCCACTCCGCTCCCGATCGACGTTTGCCAAAGCGCTCAAGACGGTCAGCCCTGTGTTCCGCCAGCTTCGTTTGTCAGGATATATCTTTGTCATGAGATTGCCCATATCCTTTGTCCGCTTCCTGGGATACGCAGGGGATTACGCATTCCTCAAGCGCGTCCACACGATCGCCCACGGTGAAGAAGGACTGTATACGGATCGTGACGCTGCCGAATCCATGGCCAGCACGTTAGGTCCCTCCGCGGAAGAATGTAAAACAACAACTCCGCAGGGAGAGTCATACCCACTCTCCGTCAAGAAGGAGCGCGTGCTGGGCAACTTCGAGCACATGGCCAGATATTACAGAGAGGGAGCTACTTTAGGGTCCTGGAATAAGTCTCTCGAGACCATTGCTTCTCTGCACAGTATCAATCGTGGTAGTGAACTACGACGAAGCACCACTGGGAAGGGATTATTCGACGATGGACCTGACGGAGTCCTCAAGTCACCGGCGACCATCATCTGGGGCCAGAAAGATACCGCGCTGGAGCCTCATTTGTGTCTGGACGGAATCTCGGACTACCTTGACTCGAACAGCCAGGTCATTATGCTTCCACGGACGGGCCACTTCACACCAATCGAGAGGGAAAGCCGTGATGCCTTGGAACTGGCCATCGAATGGGCCGCTCAGGGTGATAGCGAAGATATCGGCTCGGTGATCGCGATCAGTTATCCTGGCGCAATGGTTACGGCGCGGAAGTGATATTTCTCCCACGTCTTTTCAGGGAAGGGCCACGGGAAGAAGGATCGGGGCAAGCTTGCTTCTTTTTCTTTTTCTTTTCTTTTCTTTTTTCCTTTTCGGTTATATACTTAGGATGACGAGAGACAAGTTTTTCTTCTTCAGTTGGTGCTGGGGGCCAGTTTCCGGGGTTCGGGGAGTTCTTATGCCCATTGATCTACTACTGTATGACTAGGACGTTATTAGTTTCTATAGAATCAGTTTGTTTTTTTCGGAAATTTCATGCGCGTTTCATGTAGACCAGAACGATGATGGAGTACTCTAGTAGTTTCGCTAACGGATCTCCTCCCCACGAAGTGCATCATCTCGCAGGATTAGTTACATGGGCGGAGTGCTGATCGTCCCGAGGGCTGCGGAGGCGATGCGGATCAACAAGATCAATTGGTGCTCACAGCAGTCGATACGCGGAGAAGAAGGCTACCTTGCGATACGCGCTGGTCACCTGGGCTTTCATTTCCTGGAGAGGATTATTGCGGCGGAGAAGGGGATTCACAGCAGAAGTAGCAAGTGGCGTTGAGCGATGCTGGAGCGAGGTTACTTAGTGTCGACTAAGTCAGTCAGTCACCAAATCCAGACTCCCCCAGAAAACAACCATCATCGCATCAGATCTCCAACCTCCGCGCGGTGGGGCAACCGAGCTCTCGCCCTTCCCCCTCTTCCTCCATCGACTGCTGCAGAGTCCTTCTTTACAATATTGTGTATATAGTGTCCTCAATTCTTTCCGGATCGCCCATGTATTGCCTGGCGCAAGCATCCCGTTGCCGTTCCTTGCAATCGTGTGACTTTATGCAGCTGTCGTGAGAGCTTCCGTCGCTTGCAAGCGGGGAAAAGGACTACCCAGATCGTCGTGATTCTTTGCAATTGATTCTATTTAGTCCTGCAGTGAGGCCGGAGGAGCTGCAGATTTCCCCAGCTCCCGTAATTGCGTCTTGCGAGGCCCGGGAATCGATTGCCGCCAGTCATGGCTGCGGGAGATGGAGCTGTTTATTGCACGGTGAGCTTCGCTTGCTTCTGTCGACGATTTCGAGAGTGGCCATGTATGTACTAACGTTTGCGCGCGCAGCTCTTAATGAGCGACAATTACCTCCCGGGTAAGTATTACTACCTCCCACGTCGCGCAAAGGAGAGAGTCTGTCCTTTTTTGCTAACAATGGCCACTAGGTGCGGCCGTTCTCGCTCATTCCTTGCGCGACAACGGGACAAAGGCGAAGTTGGTTGCTCTTTATACGCCGGAAACTCTGCAGCCCGCGACAATTGCTGAGCTCCAGGTAGGCTTTTCTCTGCATTGCGTCTGGGTCCTCTTTCCGGTTACTGACCACAGCGCAAAAGAGTGTTTACGATGAAATCATACCGGTTAACCGGATCACGAACGCAATGCCTGCCAATCTCTGGCTTATGGACCGGCCGGACTTGATATCGACATTTACGAAAATTCAACTATGGCGCCAAACACAGTTCAAGCGCATTGTCTATATCGACTGCGACGTGGTGGCCGTACGCGCACCGGATGAGCTTCTGTCCCTGGACGTAGATTTCGCTGCCGCGCCGGATGTTGGCTGGCCGGATATTTTCAACAGCGGAGTGATGGTCCTCCGACCCAACATGCAGGATTATTACTCCCTTATCGCGCTAGCTGAGAGGGGGATCAGCTTCGACGGTGCGGATCAGGGTCTGTTTAATATGCATTTCAGGAACTGGCATAGGTTGAGTTTTACGTACAACTGTACTCCTAGCGCCAACTATCAGTACATTCCGGCATACAAGCACTTTCAGAGCACGATCAGCTTGCTTCATTTTATAGGGGCCCAGAAACCGTGGAATCTCCCGAGACAGGTGCTACCGCGGGAGGCGCCTTATAACCAGCTATTGGGGAGGTGGTGGGCTACATATGACAGGCACTATCGTCCAGAGGTATGGTCTTTCATCTATGTCCTTGAATCTCCCAGGTCCGGGAATTTTGACTTAGGATAATAGGTTACTTCATATGAACCCGGGTACAGTCAGGCCCTGCCGCAGACTAACCCGCGCCATGGTATTCCCGAGACGGTGAAGACCGTGGATACCCCGTCGGCCCTCTCTACTCGATCAGCCCAGATCTACCAACCTGCTCCTGTGCGACCCGTGAAAGTGGCTTGGAAGGAGACTGGCCAGACGACTGGTTCTACCCAGCAGCGTCATTATGGGGGTCATTTCCACGTTCATCAACCGCCAGCACAAGTAATAGAAGACGCCTCGGCCAATGCCCCACAAGTCGTGCCTAGTAACCCGCCCCAATACCAGGTGCAAGAGCAAGCCCGGATTGCGAGTGCTGTACCGCAATATGTGCGTGGAGAAGAGCATGTATCTGCGTATATCCAACCTTCACATGAACCACAGCAACACGCTTGGCAACCTCATCGTGAGGAGCCGTGGCATGAGCAGCAAGCGGAGCCAGCACCTGCGGTCGTGCATCAGCCTCCCCCGCAAAAGACCCAGTCTCCAGAACCTCCAAAGGAGAGGCCCTTTTCGCCGCCCAAGGCGGAATGGGACGCATCGCGGTAGGTCTACCATTGTGTAATCAATACCGGTACAAGCTAACACTACACAGAGAGCCTCCTCCGCAGAATTCAAGGCCAGAGGCGATGGCGCTACAAACCCAGACATACACTATGTCTAAAGACACGAAGCTTTTCCGGCCTCCAGGAGCGTATCCTGAAGCCCCGAAAGATATGTGGTATAAAGTGCCCGAAACAAAACCTGAGCCGTCAAATATCACCCCAATATTCCCTTGGGAAACCAGAGCACCTAAACCGACACGAGTTTTCCCGGATGAAGTATCTGAGACATCGGAGTTTCAATCTTCTACTCGTCCCAGGTCTCCTTCCTTGGTCACTGACGCGAGCGGGCCTTCAACAGAAACGCCGTCCACGCCCCCCTACTCGCAGGAACCCTCGGACCCATGGACCACTTACACAAGGTCCAATGCATGGGACGAGGTCCCAGAAATATCCAAATACATTGAATCGATACAACAATCCAGAAAAGCCAAGACGCAAGTGATTCCTGGGACTGACAACGTCTCCTCGCCCTCCAAAGGAGCTGAGGACCGGAAAGGCAGCCTGAGGATTACCGACTTCCCTTCGGAGGTTGAGCGTCCTAGTCTCCCCGTCACGCCGGCGCCAGTCAGGCCAGCAACCTTCTGGGGCCGAGACGTAGGGGAGACGGGTACAGAACTTCCAGCTGCTAAGGGAGTGCCCCGGCAGGAGGAATGGGTGGGTCTCACAGTTGATGTGTTTGTACACCTCCTGCGAGTAGCGTACTTATACTGGCGATTGACAGAATCCGATGGCACGGCTCGAAGAGCTCCGACGCCGTCAGTCAGAGCTACTCGAACATCCCGATTCACTCCTTGAGAAAGTTGCCCAATTCAGGGAGGCTCACTCGGAGTAGAACGACAGCTCATATTCAACCTTTTCGCGAATGTACTCTACCATGTTGAACCTCCAATAACTTTATCAAAGCTCCTCATACGACAAGGGAGCCAACCATCTCGCTCATTCTCTTAGTTGATGCTATGTAAATCCGATCTTGCTTTGGCGTGTTTCAATCTGGGCATAAAGTTCGCTTATACCCGCTTTATTAGCGCTTCGTTTCGTTTCATGCATTGCGATTGCTACAGTGCATTGCATTGCTAGACTTGAAGTTTCCGTTTTCGTTTTTATATTCTCTCTAGTTTCGCCTTTCGGATCTCTTGTTTGTCGATGAGTTAACTCTATTCGATTTCATCTTTGTGGTGTACTATAGCGAGGAGCCATGAAATGTACTTTAGATTGCAACAACGTTAAAAAGTCTTTCAGTGATGTTCTGTTTCAGATAGATTCCGAGTATTACGTGCGAACATGCGAAGCTGACGAAGCAAAGCAGAACTCAATCTTAATAAATGATGATTGGCTTCTCTATTTCTTCGTCCGGACGCTTTCAACAATCAATATACCTGTTTCGCAGTAACCTAGTGTCGAGTGATATGATATTATGCATGTTGAGCAGGGAAATGATATCCGGCGGATTTGGTTGAACCAAATGCACGCTCTTATTATCGTTCTTTCTGAGTGAATATCCGGATTCGTCGACGACAATCAATCTAGCGTTTTCCCTTGAATCAAATTCACGTTGACTTGCCGACCACCGTAGGATAGAGAAACATTCTCATCTGTCGGACAATTCATATCGATACGACGTAGATCCAGTCCAGCTCGAGAAAACCCCAAAAGAAAATTACATCGATCCAAGCGCAAGTTCTCAATACGGTCCAGTAACTCTCTCAATGTCTCCAAAAAAGGACCGGGATATTGTTCTTCTTTCCGTCCGTCGTGATATGGCAGCTGCAATTGCGATAAGCAGACTGTGCGTAGAGGGACACCGCTCCCATTAGCGATCCAGACAGCCTTCGATACGACATTGAGGTGATGTTCGTAACTCTTTTCTCCCAGTGTCATGTCCAAATCCAGATACGACTGTAGCCAATCTCCCTTTTCCACGGGCCGACAGAAGTCCACTCTCAGTTCTGCTAGTTTCGGAAGCTTCTGTAAAGCAGAGGATAAGACGGCTAGGTCTGTATCGGTGTTGATGATCCCGCGTTGCTCTTCACAGATCTTCTGTAGACGGTCATATATGACCATATAAGAAGGACATTCGCCATCATGATATTTCAAATCATACAATTCTTTCGCCTCTTCGACATATCGATGAGTTTGAAACGTGAATAGATTCGACGAATAACATTCGAAATCCAAGATTTCTTAAATCAAAAAAAATTCGTTCGTTCTAATAAGGTTTTCAACGTAGGCGATGATATCTGGAATAAGAAAAGGCCTTACCCGGTCTTAACAATTGCGGAGCCACATAGATGAAGGAGACGGTATAGTGACGAACTTCGGACTCGATGAAGCTGCGGAGTTCATCGAATCCAGGTTTTGAGAATCGAAATTCAACCTCGTGGAAGAGAAGAGGTAGGCATATTTGTCTGAGCTTTTTACTGACGCATGAGAGTTGTTTGAGATCTGGGATTTGGAGCAGGTCGCGGATATCGTACAGGATTTCGGTTGGGAGAAGTTCGAGGAAAGTGTTATGGTCTGTTGAGCTCATGGCGTGTGGGATCGTGAGTGCTAATCGTCTGCTTTGCTGGGTTTATATAAATAAGTGAATATCAATTTTTGAGGTCGCTCAGGTACTAAAAAATATAAAAATATAAAATAAAAAATGGTGAAATAGATAGAAAACCGAAGAGATGATAAGATAAAGAAAAGGAAGATAACCACCCTTGGAATTGGACGTGTCTTGATATTGAATTATTGTTGATGCTCACGAAGGTGGCCTATTGATTTAGGCCGTCAGCGATAGTATTTATTTATATAGCACGTACAGTTCGCAGCACGTTTGCCACTAGATAGACAATAGAACGAGAAACTTCATCATACCACGACTAAAAGGGCAATTCAAACCGGGGTCTCCCAGTTCCTATGAGATAATCAGTTTTTTCACATGTTCTGAAGGAGTAGTAACGCTTTGGATTTAACCACCGTGAACTAGCGAAAAACCATTGGTGACTCAACGCTATCTGATCGGACGCGACTACTGCTCCTAATTTTCCCGTTGTAATGTTGTAGCGGTTTGGTTCCGGGAGTTCTCGCAATAACATGATGGAACTGTTTTGCTGATGGCATGACTGAGTTGTTTTAGTTTCGCTCGGGAGACGCAATGTCATATGTTTCGTCCCGATGTAGATGGGCTTTCTGACCAATCTTATTAGCGAACCAGAGAAGAAAAGGGTTGATCCCGGTCAAGTGCCTGTTCGTATGGCCTCGGTTACGAATGATCGAGAGTAAGGTTAATGTCTATTGATCTTATCGAAAGTCTTCTTGGAAGGATCCAAACAACACAGGTAAGAAGCATCAAAGAGAATGTGATAGCACGAGACGTAGGTGTAAATAGTATTCAAAAATAGATCCGGAAGGCTTTCGTTGCGTGTGGGTGAGCTCTCTTAAAGTTTGCAACCAATGTTTCCTCGCGTCGTTATATTTCTTCAATGGAACTAGCGATTCTGTAAAGGAATAGCCAACTCTTCCAAGAAGCCTCTCATCCAAACGCATCCTGTGTTTTCGTAGAGAAACTGGGTGCCGCCACACTAGACGAGACAATTCCGGAACCTAACCAATTATCCTACCACAAGTTTTCAAAGTTGATACTATTCATGCTTCCCGATTGATGGAATACTAGTCATATGAGATTGCAGAACTTTGGACCGCAAGGGGAAGTTGTAGATATCTTGAAGTTATAAGCTACCTTAGCGATAACAACGAGCAATCATTTCTAAGAATATCTTTTCACCTCATGATGCTAGCAAGCACAGACGCCGTACGAAGAGAGGAGGAAACTGGAGAAAACCGCCCCAAAGAAAGGCCAAAAGAGGATATCGTAGACAGAAGAGGGTATTAAGCTATTTATACACAACTGGAAACTCAGACCTTTCGTCCATGTCGCGAATAGAAATCGCACTGCTTGATGTGCTTTGCTTTTCCGGTTTTCTCGTCAAATAGGCTGAATCCATAAGTCGCGGCATTGGGTGGGGTATAGACTAGAATAAGATTAGCATCACGATACAAGGTTAGAAGGTTAGCTATATCTCAACATACGGTGTAGCGAAATGGCGAAGTTGCTGGGGTCGGGGTTCGAGATTTTATGGAGACCCAGCTTCATAGATGGTTAGTACACATACTTTGACCAAGAATCATCCCGAGAGAAAGAAAAAGGTAAGATGGCGATAGATGATCACAAACCTTATCAGACATGTAAGTCACCTGGTTCTCGCCATATTTGGTCTGCTTTGTGATGTGGAGAGGTGACGATTGTCCTTCCTTGACCTTGTCCTCTTCTGGCCACGCATAGAGCGTTTCCTGCAAGGTGCCTTTTAGGACCTGATTTTGCAAAGGCAAAGGTTAGTTAATTACATCATTCCAGAGTCTCACAATGATGAATGGGCAAATACCTTCATGACACAATGTGCGTTAGCATGGTCGTGGATTGCACTCCCTTTACCCGGACTCCAGACAAGAATAAGCTAGATTTCCCAAGTGGGCGCAGTTAGCACACCGTCTGAGTATCTAATGGCGTCCACTAGCCACGGAGCGTATACGGATTCCACTCTATATTCAATTCATACCAGGTTGCTCTTTCCGTTACCCTCGTCCACCAGGTTTCTTGTATACGTCCTACTGGCGTCTCCCATCGCGTACATCGTCCACTCTTGCTCATTGGAGACATACTTCTCCATCAGCCGTTGGATGTCTACCGGGTCGACATCGTCGGAATCAAGACCTGAGCTGGGACCCAAGACAGCGCTCAGATCTGCAACGAGCTTTTGGAAGGCGTCCTGTGCCGTACCATCGGCTTCGGACAGAGAAGACGACTCCGAACCGTTTTCGAGGAATGGCATCCTTACGGGTTTGCAGTACAGCTTGTCTTGAACTCAGATAACTCTGTAAACCCGCCTATTCAATGGCAGCGGATCTTCCAGTAAAGTTTCCCGCCTGACTAGATATAAGATGCGTGCAAGCTTCAGAGAAAGCTTTCGGTCTTGGCCGGAAGTTGAAAGAGAGTTTGAGGATGGAAACGGTCCGAGAAAAAAATAAATTGAAGTACGTAGCTGCCTATAGGTATTACTAACGGCGATTCGGATATCATATCAAGGGAAGCACAAGCGTGGTATGCGTATCCTCTTGAGGACGGCGGAGTGGTGAGTATATCTGATATTATACGGAAGGTCCAATGGAGAGCGCCGTGAGGCAATCTCTCTTGTCTGAGCCGCCGCTTGCCACAAACATGGTCGAAGTTGAGCACGCAACGCAGCACAGGAGAAGACGCGATCAACTCCGATCTGGCTCCGATCTGACTTTTGGGTGCCTTGTGGGTGCCTTGTTAGTGCCTCAGGTCAACGCCCCGCGGCGATAACTGGGGCTACACTCACCGCCTTTGGCAGAATCCCGCGAAAGCCATCGAATAGTGGCGGCGACCACAAATCTATCTCAAAGATTCTTCCCCGCAAGAAACTCTTGCGACATCCTCTGCACACTGCGCCACCGCTATACGCCTGTGTGTGCTGCATTTTTTTTTTACCAAATACTGCACCTTTTCAATCATTCTAAGCGTGCCTCAGCGCGTGCGATTCCGCAAAAATGGCGACGACAGTGGACAAGGTTCGCTCTGCCTCCGTTCTTACCAAATCTATGAAGAATGACACTGACACATGATCTCGTACTGCAGATCAAGGAGATTGAGGCCGAGGTTAGTCAACGGATTTTCCGTCCGAGATGCTCGAAGAAGTGGGATACTGACACTCCCGCAGATGGCCAAGACTCAGAAGAACAAGGCGACATCATATCACTTGGGACAGTTGAAGGCTAAGCTTGCGAAGCTAAAAAGAGAGCTCCTCACTCCTTCTGGTGGTGGAGGTGGTGGAGGTGGTGAGTATATGTTCAAATAGTGTGATATTATCAGCTCTGTCGAGCCTCCGCTGACATGCATATCTCGTAGTCGGTTTCGACGTTGCCCGTACTGGTGTCGCGAGTGTGTAAGTACCTCTCATTTGTACACAGTTGCGTATCTGACACTGACACCAAATGCTAGGGGATTCATTGGCTTCCCGTCCGTGGGGAAGAGTACGTTGATGAGTAGATTGACTGGCCAGCATTCCGAAGGTTCGTGACGATCCTCTTGTCTTTGTGCAAGGGAGGAAAAAATACTGATAGTCATGGGTAGCTGCCGCATACGAGTTCACAACCTTGACGACTGTCCCTGGACAGGTCATATATAACGGTGCGAAGATCCAGATCCTGGACTTGCCCGGTATCATTCAAGGAGCCAAGGACGGCAAGGGTCGTGGTCGGCAGGTTATCGCTGTCGCAAAGACCTGTCACCTCATCTTCATTGTTCTCGATGTCAATAAGCCTCTAACGGACAAGAAGATCATCGAGAACGAGTTGGAGGGATTCGGAATCAGGATCAACAAGCAACCTCCCAACATCGTCTTCAAGAAGAAGGACAAGGGCGGCATTTCCATCTCCGCTACGGTCCCATTGACTCACATCACCCATGACGTATGTTCTACAGCTGTAAGACTTTGGGATTATCCGCTGACATTTTCCAGGAAATCAAAGCCGTGATGAGCGAGTATAGGATCTCCTCTGCTGATATTGCTATTCGGTGCGACGCGACTATCGACGACCTGATCGACGTTCTGGAGGCCAAGAGTCGAAGCTACATCCCCGTCATCTATGCTCTGAACAAGATCGACTCGATTTCAATTGAGGAGCTGGACCTTCTGTACCGGATTCCTAACGCGTGCCCCATCAGTTCGGAACATGGCTGGAACGTTGACGAGCTTCTGGAGCAAATGTGGGAGAAGCTCAACCTCCGAAGAATTTATACCAAACCCAAGGGCAAGCAGCCCGATTATACGGCTCCAGTTGTTCTGCGGTCCACCGCGTGTACTGTCGAAGACTTTGTATGACGCCTCTCCTACTTCTTTCTCTCTAATCCAGGGACTAACTGTACCATCAGTGCAACGCAATCCACAAGTCGATCGTGGAGCAGTTCAAGCATGCTATCGTCTATGGTCGTTCCGTGAAGCATCAGCCACAGAGAGTCGGTCTTGCTCACGAACTTGCAGATGAGGATATCAGTCAGTGACCCCGTCCCTGTTGCGCTCAGCAAAGCTTCCATACTAACTTTCCTTCACAGTTACAATTGTTAAGCGATAAACGGCCACTCCCAATGCTGAACACTTCCCCTGTCCGCATGAAGAGCTGGAGAGCCGATCATGAGGACCTGGCCTATAGCTGACTTGCGCCTGGCACGGACCTTGGGCCACTTGACAGTTGCTTGGAAGGGGATTTGGATTCGAAAGTGGTCCACGGGATCTCATCTGAGACACCACGCAGAACTTGATGAGAGCGGGGAGTATGGAAACAATGCTACCAACTGCAGCTGTGGTTTGGATAGCGTCCAAGTATCCTGGAAGGGATTGGATTGGGTCTTGTCAATGCATTCATAATGCAGGGTTGTTTTCCGGATCTGGCCATTACCACCAGGTATTACGTGTCATAACTTACCAGGGCTCGACAGGGTTGAAATGAGGTGGAGGAAGATGACCGGGGAAGACTGAAGGGAACATGGATTAATCAGCGCACAGGGGAACATCGCAGGCTTCCTCTGGGCTGGATGAGTGTTCATGTCAGGGAATGATTTGTTCTGATCAGACAAGCATAGCGAGTTCCGCTTTCCTTGTGCGAAGACGTGTCTCAATGCGCATGTTGATAAGACTGTTCCGATACTGATATTTGGAAATGTGATGACCAAATCCGGACTGGCGTCCGGGAGCAAAGATGGATTAACGAACTTATCTGCGCGGTTGTGTCAAGAATTCAGGAGGTTCCTTTATAAGAAACGGGGACAGCGCCCATGGCTGTGACATCCTTTCTTGTTCGTGTCAGATAGCCACCGCATGGCCGGCCTATCGACGGGGATCATGGGCCTTACGATTCCTGCTAGTAGAGAGCCCTGGTGGGAAGCAGAAAGGGCTGAGCCTTCGCATGGCGAGCAGTGCCGAGTTCCATAGTTCCATCCGCACTTGGGGTCTGGATCGCTCGTTGAGTTCGGATCCGATAAAGAAACTTGTAGATTGTAATAATAGCGGCCCGTGCAAACCATCCTAGTGCCATGCCGTCTGTAGTTACCTAGACAAGGTACTCTGTCATTGATCGCTGTCGCCCAGATGACAATCCGGTTAGCGGATGAAGCGGTGCCTGCGCCAGGCGACCAAAACGAGCAGTTACCCTGCTTCTTTCGTCATTCGGGAGATCTCTGTCGAGCCGGGGATCGCTGAAGTATCTTATCCTTGGCCAATTTGTTAGTTATTTTCTTTTCTTTTTTTTTTTTTTTTTTTTTTTTTTTTTTTTTTTTTTTTTTGCTTTTCCACGAGATGCGTGCCGGATGGTCCATCTTAGGCCCCTGAACGCCTATGGTATTTCTCCCCACACACCACCGGATCCTTCAGCCAAGAGGCTGTTGGAGAAGCAAAGCTTCGAACGTAGATCCCGGCGCTTAGAGTAGATTGCTGCAGTGAGACATTGGACGAGACTGGGCTGTCTGGAATTACATTGGGCGACCAGAGCCCCGTTCGCAGTGCGGATTGGGGCCGGTTTGTAATACTTGTAGTGAGTAACTGATAGTACCACTTTCATAATCTGTCGTCAGTATTGGCCGCAGCGCTATCTGCGGAGTGGCAGTATTTAATTAATTAATTGGGCGAGAGAAAAAGAAAAGAAGAAGAATGGACCAGGACGGTTGAGAAGAGAGAGAGAGAGAAAGAGAGAAGAAGGAAAGACATTGTTTGATTGTTTGTCTCGGAGCACGTAACTTAACTAACCTCCTCCGCCTCGCACGTCCGTCGACTCGACCCCAACAGCGTCGTCTTTTCTTTGACGGTTTGACCAGGAGCTATGGCCTTGTGTTTGAGAGCGCCGGGAGGAGGTTGGCAAGGTCACTAACTGGAGCGTGCTCTACGTTTGATCTTATCCCCCCTCATCCCCCTCCTTCATTGTTATTGATTGAATCTACCCGCTGGCGCCCTGTCACACGTTTTAGTTGCCGCCGGGGCTTGTCACCGTCGATATTATTGACTTGATAGCGTCTCTAATGGGGTCTTCAAGCCCATAGGTTGATTGTCAGCACTGTGTGTGCCTGTAATTCTTCGATGTCGCACGATGCTGGGCGTCCGCCTCATTCCGTCTGGTCCTTCAACCATCCAGCTGATGACGATGGCAGCTTCCCCTTCGCAGTTCCACGCGACGATGAATTAGCCTTGATGACCGTCGGACAAGTGTGAATATTACATAGGCTGGCACCACGTTTCGGCTGCCCACGCTCATGTCCAGTTGAATTTGGTCCCTGACCGTCTGGCCAGACTATGGGCTGTACCAGATTACTCCATACAAGCGAGCAGGCTTTTTCCTTTCATTATTTGCGTGGCTGACGATAAATGCGCAGCGCCCCAGCGCATGCTCCACGTGAAGGGACAGCCAGAGCTTTTCAGGGCCAATATCACGACAATACTTCGTCCGCGCAACTCGAGTGGAGCGGAAACTGAAATATCAATATCCGTCCTCGTGGCCCTCCGGCAGGGGAGCAGCGTGTATGGCTTGAGACTCTTAGACTATGGCTGAAGAAACCGTTCAAATCTGAAAGAGGACGAATCAGTCATTCCTCCGTATGACGGCGGAGACCGTTCGCAAATCGTGCACCTGCAAGGCTATGTCGATTTTCGAACCACTTTTCGGGCCGTCTCGACAGCTCCATTTGCGGATCCTTTAGAGCGCCACGGCCGCCGGCGAACTAACCATACAACGACCAGAGCGAGATCCCTCCGATCGTCCTAACGACGGAGTCTCCTTTCCAGGATGACCAAGGACTGCCCATAGTGGATCGCGGTGGGCCTGGGGACTGGCCCGGGCATGCTTCAATTCTTAGAGCCGTCGTGCTGAGAACTTAACCTTCTCGATGCAGAAACTATGATAGGACTCTGCTCGACGGTCCTGTTCTGCCCATGTATGGGTACTTGTAACATATCCTCCACTTGCTGTGCTTTTTGGTCGCAAGTACCGAGTGCTCGACGGTACTAGGTACTTCTTCCGCCGCCGTTATTCTTACTTTTTATTTCGGCTTCGGATTTCGCCCAGGAAATGGATCATCCACGCTTATACGGCCGAGACCGTCGTGCACTAAATTCGCAAAACAAGACCCTCTGTCGATCCTTCTTCGGGAGTGCACTGATGAGGCCATGATGCCCTGGACATTGTGGCTCACTGTTGGTCGCCATTATTGCTATTATTCGCCTCCCCTTGACAATTACCAATGGATGCCACTGCCCCCTGCAAATAGCACGATGATTATGATTGACTCTATCTAGGGCATCTCCGCTGTCCTCGTGCTTCCGTCTCCACGATCCACGTCCACTAATCTTCTATCGACCGATATTGTCACGATCTATGGATCGAGTCAGGGAACCCACTCACATCATCATAGCCTCTTGCCCCGATGCTGTACAGAGAGCGTCGAGCGGTGTTTTCCTTCCTTGGACATGACCATGCCGATGTGGTCCGGGTACCGTCGATTTTGCCCGGGACTAGAGTAGTTGTACTGCTCGCAGGGTTCACCATGATCGGGGTAGCAAAGGTTGCTCATAATATTGGCCGCTATTATCTCCCCTTGGAAGATTCGAGCTTTGATATCTCATGTGAACTGCCGTTTTATTGAGCCACTAAGCAGGAACTGCCGTTACGTTCCGTATGGTATCCCAATACTTCTGTGCTGTACGTCTTTTTACATCACGGTAATTTGGCTTTAAAATATCCCGGTCTAACGTCTCCTTCGACAGCCAACCATGTTAAATGGATGGCTTCGACCCCTCACCATTTTTTTGCATGTACCCAATAGTCTTGCGTCTTCCGGTCTTTTTCTCCTGCTGGCTGTCATTTCTCTCCTTTTTTGCCCTTCCTCCCGTCGCCGCTATCTTGCACGGGCTTTGTGTTTAAGTAGTTTCCTTTTCGGTTCATCGCCCATAGTTAAGCTGCACTTATCGATGCCCCCCTGGTGCCTTGTCCTGAATCCTTTTTACATGCCCTACCCGCTGCAGAGCACCCACCATCCGCCCCTCACTACCTTTTCCCCATCCTGCATACTCCGAAGAGCGTCCCTCAAAAGTCAAGAATAGCTCCCCTGTACATGCTGCAAATACTTATCATAGTACCTGCTTCATTCCGAATTCAACGACTCCGGGTGATCGGGATTTTCTTCTCTCCCGCGAAACTATCTACTGCTCTTTCATTCTTCCGTCCTAGATCTATCATGTCTTCTTTCTCTTCAACTCGCATCTAGTCTTGGAGCTTCGCTACTATTAAGTTTGCAGTCGGCTTGGTCCGCGTTTCACTGACCTTGTGCGTCCGTGCTGCGCTGCAGACTGTCCTTCCCTCAACAGGAAGCAAACCAGCATATTCAGCTCTATGGATGTATCTCCCGCCATGGATACAGAAGCTCATTCCGGACAGGAGAATGATTTTGGACATTCACAGTGGGTTGAGATGGGCGGCTATAACCCTTCCCAACAAACATCCCCGATACCGGATTTCCACGGGTTTGGTTATGGACCTGCACCTATAATGCCAATGGAGCCTTCCTATAGCATGTCGATACCGCCGTCGTATGCATCACTGCCTTTGGCTATGCCTTCTCATCCATGGCCGAGTATGTTGACGGCGCACTCAAGTTTCCATGAGGGGGGGTTGCCACCGGCGCCGGCGCCGGCGCCAATCTCCATATCACCTCCAGCACCCATTCATCCTATACGCACAACATCCACCGGATCTACCCCTAGGAGGACACTCACGGATGAAGATCGTCGACGGATGTGCCTCTATCATGAGGAGAACAAAAATGCTAAGCAGACAGACATCGGAGGTGAGCTTCTTCTGCACTTGTATATGATCGAAAACGCTAATTAAAGGGAATGTAGCCTTGTTTGGGGTTGAAAGAAGGTAACCAAAATTCACTTTCTTTTTGATTTACTATATGAGAATAAAATCTGACATTCTGAAGTACTGTCTCCAAAGTTCTACGTCAGAAAGAGAAGTATCTCAACCCTGATGATGGATCTCGCTCTCCTATCAAGAGGGCTAAGGGCCGGGTTCCTGATATTGAAAAGGCCTTATCCAATTGGGCAAGGAACTATCAACGTCAAGGCTATCCTTTAACGGATGCCATGATCAGGGAGAAAGCGCATTTCTTCGCGACCACTTGTGGTAGTCCTGACGGCAAGGAGAAAGTGCTCACTACAGCATGGCTCGAGAAGTTCAAACAGAAGAACAATCTACTGGGAGCAAAGTCACGGAAAGGTTCGATCGATACGGCAAGCGACATTGGAAGTCCTTCGCAGTTGAATACGAACTCGAGTACTGCTTCGGCTTCGCAAACCCCAAGTGGAGTATCACCGATATCCCCCGGTGGATTGACAACGCCGTCTCCAGTGTCTCCTCCAGCAAATCAGGATAGCCTGCGGAAAGACTCACTTCAAGGTTTTGATTTTGGCAACGACTACCGGCCCACGCACGCTCAGAGTACAACTTCCCTTGACACGGCGCCTTCCCTCACGGCCAGTATGGCAAGTCCGACATCTCCCTTTGTGTCTGACAGTCCGTACACTCCTACGTTGCAGAATGGACTCCCCTCTATTGGCAGTAATTCAAGCAGGCCACGAAGCCAGACATTCCCGCTTGCTGCTGCTATCGAACCGGGACTGCTCTCTCCAAACGGTTCAGCTGATCAACTTACACCGAAGAATGTCCTGCAGGAATCAATGTCTACCTCCGTTCTGGACTCGCCCCTTGATGATTCAGCTCTCGACTCCGACGAGCCAACTACGATCAAAAGAAACCACAGCAGTCCCGAAATCAAGACTCAGTTGATGCAGCCGCCCCCATTGCCAAAATCAAACACTACTTCTCCAATTAGCGCACCTTCTTCTCCCACTCAAGATGAGGCACGTCGCGCCTTGGAGCTTGTTATGAACTACTTTCAGAATCAGCCTTCAGGTCTAGGTGCACATGACTTCATGACGATTGGAAAGCTCATGGAGAAGTTGGAGCTCGCCCAGAATCAAGCCTCTATACTTCCTGGGGGGCTGCACCGTATCGACGAGCGTGAAGATGGGCTTCGCGTCAGCAAGAAACGGAGTATACACTCTTTGACTTAAGATGTTACAGATGTCGTTTCAGGCTGTTCCCTCGCCGACCAGTCTTCCCTGCTATCCTATAATTCATAGGAAGCACGATTGTACTTTTCATTGTGTTGGTTGCACACGGGCTTCATTATCAAGTGTAACCTGTTTGCTCCAAGCAGATCTGAAGAAACGGATCAAGATGGCAAGATATACAACCATATGAGAGGGCAACCTCGCAGGCAGGAGTTATTTGGTTTTATTGTTACTTTCTTGCAGTGCAGTTCTCTGAGGAAAACAAGTGATCCTGAGCAACGCCGATTCCATTGGATCGTGCGCTTTGAATACACGCTCAGGCACTATGTCCATTCCCAACGCCTTTTCGAATCAGCGCCAGCCATCCCAAATCACGGCCTTTATGAGATTGACAACCGACTCCTTCGAGGCATACAGCCGGAAAGTGTGCTGATCCTTGGATTTTGATGTGGACTGGACGCATACGTCTGCGTTTCTGTTTCTATACTAATCTGCTGTGTCCCATTTTGTTATCTATTCCCCCCCTTCTTTTCATGTTGACCATTGCCCGATTTTGTGATCCACCCCAACGTTTTGCATTGTGGTTCCATGTACCGGGCACATTTTCCGGTATCTAATCTATTTCCTTACTTCCCATCATGTCACAGAATTGAATACTACACTCGATCCGCTCGCGCGGAAACAGCCTTTAGCATAGGGTGCAGGCCCTTATATACCTTCACAGGCAGTGCGCATATATGTCACATTTTCCCTTTCACATACCCCATTTGTGTTTGTTCCGCACTTCATTTCTCTCTTAACTGTTATTTATCTATGATTATGTGTCTCATAGCATAATCTTTCAACCCGTACCTAGTCTTCTCTTGATAGCCTTCTTTTTCCCTGGATATTCCCCCTATAGTTCTGTTATGGCCGTCTTGCTTTCATGTGTGTTTTCTTCCACCTCTCTCTCCTGTGCTTCGATTTGTCTATTTATCACTTATTTTCTCTTTGGATCCTATGTATGATCATCATATCATTGACCTCGCGCATGCCGAATCCGACCCGGAAGTAGCAGACAACAGGAGGGATGAGATTCTCACATTAACTATAGCGACTGTATACATATACATATCGAGACTCAAGTTCCATTAGTTGCTCTTTCTGGTCTTCTGTTCGATATGATTGTACATGCCCAAACGCAACCAGGCTGGTGGAAGAGCAGGATTATCGGTTACAAAAAAGTCATGTATTACGGGAGGCAATCTGATTGATAATCGATGATTAGCATTTATTTATTACGTTTTTGTGCTTTGATATAATCCTATTTGTTTCCTGGGTACTTTTGAAACAAGAATAAGAGAGAACAAGGCGCGTATCTCATCTACATGTGGTCTTCTTCATGGTTGGTGGAGAGAGTAACCCCTCTGTCTTCCATCAGCTCGGCGACATCGCGCTCCAGCAACTCAGGGAGGAGCTTAGCGAGTATTGCTTCGATTATTGAGAACATGAGATGGCGATTGCAGTATGCGTTGGAAAAGGGATCTAAAATTTCGGTCTCGATGGCGGACAGGAGAAGGTCCTCTTCCACCTTGTCGATATTCTCAGCGGATAAGGGCAAGGCCCGTTCGGGGAAGGGATTTCCTCCCTCGGGTACCAGACCTTCATCCTGCTGTTTCTGAGGCTGCTCGACAACCGACGCACTGACTACATCATCCCTGGATATGCAGAAGAACGCTCGAGCGACAGGCCGCGGGATCAGGGATAGGAGCCTCTCTGCACATTGCCGTTTGATGGCCGCAACTTCAGAGTCGGGACGCTGTCCTCGTTCCAATTGCGAGGGTGGTGTTGTAGTGAGCGTTGCGGCAGGGGCTTCTGCCTCGTTGTTCTCTACCACAATGGGTGGGATTTCACTAATGTTCTGTGAAGTCGGAGTCGTGGACGGATTGACATTAGACGATGGAGTTGTGCGCGGACTCGTCGGGAACATAGCAGTCCGAATCGCAAGAACAAGGGTCGGCAGGAGGGAGGGCGTTAGCACATGCTCCCGGATTGTCTCGTGGAGGAATCTGCAAAAAGAAACAGTATCTGATCAGTCATAGGAGACGGCGGAGAAATTAAGACGAAAAGTGATATATCTCAGGGATAAACACGGTGCGCGTCAGTGACAAATAGTAGTGCAGTGGGCTTGTCTATATTTGGACACATTTCGAAGAAGTTGGAAGAAGCTGACGATAGGCGAGGCAAAGAAAAAAGAAGACGAAACAATCATGTCGAGTCTAAGGGACGCGGTCTCGAAGGCAAGGTTACATGGCCTTGGCTCATGGCTTGATAAGTCGTCCGGGTCCTGAAGATTCTTGTAGAATTCCTTCGGCCATAGACAGGGTACCGATTGAACACTGTAGAACACCGCATCGCTCTAAAGGCGGTCGCGGGGGAGGCCGCAGCTTAGGCAGGATATCGAAAGAAAGACCACAGCGGTCGAGACGCAAATTTGAAATTTTGGCTGCAAGAAATTCCCTGATTGGCTCGAATAATAAGAGCCCATGGGGCACTATTGCTTGCATGTTCCAAAAGTAGCATGGGCGTCATGCGACCGGACCATGGGTGATCGCCCGTGCCGTGGCTGGCTTATGATCTAGGATCGGTGTTTGCGTCTCCCGCAAAAGATAGCAGGTACAGTGTTTGCGGGGTTCTGGCGAGGCATTCACCAAGATCATCCACCGTGGTGAAATGAGGTCGACTTTCGAGCAACGCGGGAGGGAAGGGCCGGTCCAGGATGCGTTTAACGGAAGATGCCTCACAGAGACGGTGCAAGCGAACCATAATCCGCGTGTTCAGGCCCTTTCAACGATATGGAAAGGCGCATGTCTTAGCTTTGGGTTTTGGCCTGGATCTCCTGCAGCCACTCTCGGGGGGAAGGACGGAAGCATCGAGGGGTCAAAGTCTAAGAAAGCCGAGAGGGAACGCCAAACCGGTGTTGCCCACGCTCCGAATGGCCCTAAATGGCCAGTCAAGGTAACGTATCGAGCGAGATGCCTAGGCAGCAGGGACGGGGCCGGATGAGCGACAGGGAAGACGGTCGGCGATCCGACAAGGGCCTTGTAACGCAGCGGTAATGAGACGATACAACCTGGTAACGACTTGTACGGACGAGGCGGCCGTTATCGACGGTGCAGATATCGAAGTCCCCGATATCGCGGAAAAAAGAGAAGCCTCAAGGTCCATCAGGGGCATAGACAAGCCACGGATACTCGTTATCCCAACCCGATATTGGCTGGGAGTCACCCACCATCAGATCAAGTGACCGCAGCATCATGCGAGCAGACATGTCCGCGTCTTCTTGGCCTTCCAATGAGACATGCCAAACCCCTCAAGACAGCGGTCTGCGTAATGCCCCGGTGCGGATCATGGATCGAAGATCGCTATCCCATGCACTCGATCACGTACATTTTCCTTAGATGGAGTGCCCCAGACCGTGACAGATGGTGGTGGATCATCCGGGTGATCGCAGCGGGCCGCGCCAACACGAGGAAAAGGGGGCCAGTGAAGAGCATTAAGTATAAAAGGAAATATTGAGCTTACCTATCAAGAACACCATCCGTATCCCCCACTCGACCTGGGCCAGCCAGAATCCAGTGTTGAGCAAGTGCTAATGTTCCCGCGAGCCATGGCATGCGTCGGGGAATATCCAGCAATTGCGATAACATCCCGTAGAGCCGATAGTCGAGTACGGGACGCTTCGTGACGATTTTGGCCGGCAAGGGCGCTATTCTCGAATGGGTCGTCAGACTGGCAGGATGTGCCGGGGATGGAGGGCCCCGAACGGGCATCGTAGGCTGCGTGGATGCGACGCGGAAAAGTCCTGTAACCACGAATCGAAGGACGAGATATCCCAGATAGGCATATTGCAGGATCTGCCATAGCCAGATTGAGAATTGCGATTGGTTCGTCCTTGACGAATGATCGTCGTCGGATTCATCCGCGGTGGACAAAAGCCCAAACTTCTCCAGTCGGCTCTTCTCGACTCCTTCCGCGTCCTCACTATCTGCTTTGCCCACGCTTCGTTGTGTCGCTAGATCAAGGAGTTTGATTATCGTCTCCCAGACGAACCACCCTTCACAAGCCCTCCCGCTGACTTCATTCCCAAGGACCAGATCGGCAAGGATATCACCGACCAATGTCCGTAAACAGACATTCTCCAGATCCTCTGTTGGAAGAAGGACCGCCAATGCACCCTGCACCAGCAGTTGCCGATATGCCGTCTCATTCTCAAGCTGCATCGTCCGTGCCTGTGGGTCCGAAGGGTCTGGAACAGGAGAAAGCGCTGGATGTGGATTCATGGCATGATAGATGACGTGCAGAGACGAACGGGGCGCAGCCAGATCAGACTGATGCTTGGCTGTTCGGTACGCTGCACAGGAAAGGAGGCGTCAATACTTGAAACTTCGACGGGACATAAGTGAAAGGGAAGAGTCAGCCTCACAGACTATATGAGCCTCGACCAGACCAGGAATTTCATCCAACAGTAGTTCAGCAATGTCCACGCGTCGTAACCTCTGTTCCAGAGCACGAGTGCAATGAGCAATCAGCTGTAGGATTTCGTCGACAAAAGCACGGTCCGGCGTGATCTTGGCGTACCAGGAGTACACAAACTCCCTGATAATGATCGCTATGAGCGCGTATAACTGATGGTCGACATCATTGGAGCTGGTAAGTGGTGGGAGCAGCTCGTCGAGCGGTCGAGGAGTTGTAGCACCATAGCTGTTGGCTTGCGGACAAAGAATGCGCCGTATCAGGGCAACAGTAGCTCTATCATCGGCCGGATCTGGCTGTTCAGAACAGGTCGGGGGTCTGCGCAGCCGGGCTCCTGATGATGGTCGTAGTAGCGGCTCAGTCTGAGCCCTTGAAGGTGCTGAGAGATTGGAGGCCTTGGAGGTTGACGTCGTTGGTCGGGCCTTGGGGTTCGACAGAGGGGGTAAGCTCGGGGTAGGATGACTGCTCATTTCATCTCAGTCCACGCTTGAATGTGGGAAGTTGAACCAGGGCATCAATTGGCATTTTCTTCAGAAATGCAAATTCTGAAGAACCGATGTCGAGCATCGATGGCAGAGATCAACACGTCGAGAGGTCCATCATCGAAGCTCCCCGGAAGTTGATAAGTGATGATAAGTCACTTTAACGGCTGCGGCTCTTCCGCTCCCCGGAGCCTTCCCCGAACAGGCATAGTAGGGCTTAGGGTTGGCGCTGTTATCGATAAGCCCCCCCCTTATCGCGCCATACTGCACCTCAAACCAGTCATCAAGTATAGTTAACTATATCAACACTGCACAGGTCAAGTCCCCCCGGGAGCACAGGGTAGTAAGAGAAGATTCCCATTCATTCAATTACCTCTAGAAACCATGTCTTCACTCACAAACGAGGCTCCCATCCCTCTGTGGTTGGACTGTGATCCTGGTGAGCATAATCCCCTGACCGCGCACTGGTTGTTTAGGTAAATACTGATTTCCACTTCTCAGGACACGATGTGAGCCTTGCTATTTGATATAATACTTCACAATCAATGCAAAGCTGACAATATTTTTTCGATCCGAATTAGGATGCCTTTGCCATCCTCCTGGCCATCCATCACCCATCTCTGAAGCTTCTCGGAATCAGCACCGTTCACGGTAATGCATCGCTCCAGAACACGACCGCCAACGCAGGCAGCGTGCTCGAAGCCCTCGGAAGGCCAGATATTCCCATCTATCCAGGATCGAAGAAGCCCTATTCGAGACCCGCTGTTTATGCTCCCGATATTCACGGTAAGGCAATCTTCCACATATCAATTATTGGCGAGTGATCCTGGTATAAATATTGAACACATTAACTCTCTAGGAAACACCGGTCTCGACGGCACCGACCTGCTGCCAAAAGCAACCGTGCCCCCAGTAACAGACAAGAATGCCATCCTGGCTATCCGTGATGCTATCCTAGCGGAGCCAAAGGGAACTCCATGGCTCGTTGCAACTGGAACCTTGACGAACATCGGTTTATTGTTTGCAACCTTTCCAGAAGTCGCGGAGCATATTCAAGGTCTGAGTATCATGGGTGGAGCAGTTGGAAATGGATTCACTGATGCTCCTATGAGTCGATTGCCTGGTGAAGAGGCACGCATTGGAAATACCACGCCATGGGCGGAGTTCAACACTTATGTGCGATTTCCTAATTTCCTTTTATCCAATCCTACCTTTCTAGAATACGTCGAAATTATATAGTATCCCCTCTGTTTAAAGCATCATATATTCGGCCTTCTAACATGCAAGTTTATAGTGTGACCCGGAATCCTCGCAATCGATCTTCTCCAACCCCATCCTCGCACCAAAGACAACTCTCATCGCCCTCGACTTAACTCACCAAGTCCTCGCCTCGCCCACCGTCCAGTCCCGCATCCTGACCGGCACAGACGATCTCTCATCCGAACCGACCGTCCTCCGCCGCATCCTCCACGCCCTAGTTACCTTCTTTGCATCAACCTACGAAACCGTCTTTGGTCTGGACGTCGGCCCACCGCTGCACGACCCCCTCGCCGTCGCAGTGATCCTTTCGAATCTGAACCCATCGTTCGCCAAAGCCCATCCAGACAAAGCGCTCAAGTTCAACGACAAGGGAGGAGAACGCTTCATCGTCAACGTCGTTACGGACGGCAAGCATGGGACAGACGTCTCGGTGACAGGACAGTTGGGGCGGACGGTCGTTGAGCCAGCTACGGGTGGTGGTGGAGTGGCTATCCCGCGCGGTGTTGATCTCGATGCATTCTGGAGCATGATCACTGATTGTATCCAGCGCGCGGATGAGTGGAATGCTGCTCGTGGTAGGAAGTGAGATATGTTATGTACCTGATAAGATGAGACGCGGTGAGGTGAATATCCGGATGGTATTTGGGATATGCTACAGTCCTTTTATGGCCTTGGTTTTGGATATGTGAATAATGCCATTGCGTACTTAGACTTAGATTGCGTTGATGGTGGAAGTTAGATAGACTGTGCTGCATATTCGATGTGAATGGATGATATATGCACATTAACTCCATATCTATCGATAGGACATGTCCCACAGTTGGGGGACTATGAGGGTTTACTGCTCCTCTGCTAAGACGATGTTTGATACTTCTGTTCCAGAACTGCTTTATGCCTCGTTCTCATACCATCATTACTACGTTGATGTGGATTTAGCCCACCTGGCCCCAATAGCCTTTTGAGTCTTCATCGTACTCGTGAGAATGATCACCATTCGCGGATACCGCCATCGGCACCATAGAACTCCTTAGGTTGCCAGGGCTGTGCGTCCTTGGCTACTCGCCGCACCATCTCCTCGTCCACTTCGATTCCAAGTCCGGGGGCGGTCAGCGCCTCGACGTAACCGTCCTTCACGTCGAACACCTTGGGGTCTTTAAGATAACTCGTGACATCGTATTCCGTATCGGTGTTGTAGTGAATACCTAAGCTCATCTCCTGGATGACAAAGTTGGGCGTGGAAAGGTCGACTTGCATGCAGGCCGCAAGGGCGATAGGGCCGAGAGGACAGTGCGGTGCAATGGCGACATCGTATGTCTCTGCCATCGCAGCGATGCGGCGCAGCTCGGAGATGCCACCACAATGGCTGATATCGGGTTGCAGGACATCAACGCTCCCATCCTCGAGGAACCGCTTCACATCCCAGCGGTTGTAAAGACGCTCGCCCAGAGCAATTGGACAGCTGACAAGATTCGAGAGGTGTTTTATGCCTTCTGGGTGTTCAGACAAAAGAGGCTCTTCCAGGAATAGCGGATGGTGGGGTTCGAGGGCCTTTGCAAGTTGCTTGGCCATGGGCTTGTGCAGACGGCCGTGGAAATCTAGGGCGGCATCAAGACCGATTGACTTGACTCTCTTCAGACGCTCGACACTGGATTCGAGCACGCTTGGGGAGTCCAGCCAATTGACGTCTTCAGTAGCATTCATCTTGACAGCCTTGAAGCCCTGCTCCAGTCTGGCTTTACCAGCCGCTTCCACGTCCGCGGGGCGGTCACCGCCAATCCAAGCATAGACAGAGATTTTGTTTCGGACTTTTCCTCCCAGCAACTGGTGAATTGGTACACCCAATCTTCGTCCCTTCAAATCCCAGAGTGCGATGTCAATGCCCGAGATGGCGGACATGAAGACCGGGCCGCCGCGATAGAAACCTAGACGCCAAGCTGTCTGCCAAATATGTTCGATGTCGCTGGAGATAGCAGTCAGTCAATTGCCGGTACGAGACCTTGTCGTAATGCACATACTCCGCTTCATATCCTTGGAATCTCTTGGATAGTGCTGAAAGGGTCCCCTCGATAGCTTCCGTATGTCCTTCGAGAGTACTCTCGCCCCAGCCATACAGGCCATCTTCATCCGTCACTTTTACGAACAGCCATCGTGGCAGCACTCGAAAGTACTCGATGCTCTGAATCTTGACCATAGTGGAGAAAACGAGGGGCACCAGTGGGGGAAGCTTGGGGTTTTAGTTCGATCCTCAAGTCTTTGCGGGTGTCTTAAGACCTGTCGCGGTAATCGTGTCTTCAAAAAGGACCAGGTCTTCTTGACGACGAGAAAAAGAAGAAGAGAAATTGAAAGTTGCGATAGTCATAGTTATGAGGAGTTGCTGTTGAGTTAATCACCAAAACTGTCGGAGTTGGTCCGTCATGTAATACTGTACCAACCCCCACGCAAAGTCGCAAACCAACTATCTTTCTCGAAAGCGGACCCATCCGGCACGGAGACACGGGGAAATAATAATATTAAATTTAGTGTCGACCTGGGATGGAGCAATGGAACAAGGCGGACCACCTGGAGAGAAGTGCAGAAGAGTTCTTCCACTAATGCATGTTTACTGCGAGGCCATTATTGTTCTCCGGGGAAAATATTTCGTTTCGCAACCCTGCGGTCGGCCAGTATTCTTATATCAGTACCAGTGTAGTTGTATCAGAACAGGACTTTCCTGCTGTAAGAATAAATAGATGCTATCTGTGAGCAGGTTAGTTGGATCCGGGTACTTATGGCCTCCCCCTGAGATAGAGACAGAATCAGGCAACTTAGGACCCCTGAGGAAACAGAAGCTTGACGGCATTCTGGAATATCACCAGAAAGAGCCATGACAGGTTGTACTAGTAGATCCTTAGCCTCATGACGGGTGAGAAAGATGAAACATCCTCGTCATTAGAGCGCCCAGGACGTCGCTGATGTCTCAAGTCGACGCCAAAAGGAAACATCGGGAGGTATTATTATTTCTTCTCGTCAGGACTGGACAAAAGACGAGCAGAACAAAGGAGAGTGAGACCCAGTAATAATTAAGGGCAGCTTGTGCAGCCTCAAGAAGCTGGTGTGTTTGTAACGCCCCGAGGCTCTGCGCTGGAATGCAGTCAGTCTATCTATCGTCTCCCCCCACTGCCTTGCCGGCAACCCGCTTTCGTCTCCAACTCGCCCCGGCCAAATCGCCTCCATCTCCAACGTTCAACTTCCAAAGCATCGCAGACAATCTGGGTCATCGCCCGTACGTCCCTGATCTCTGTTGTCGCTCTGAACCCCCAATTAAAACTAAAACAAAACAACGTATGCGACTGCGTCTGGCCTCTGCGACCGTCGATCTCTGTATCTCGTAAGGCTGTGGCAGATGGAATCGTCCAGATAGACCGCCACCATGCCACCCGCGAACTCACCTTCAGTATGGCGCTCTTTCCCGCAGGATGATGCCTCGTGGCGGTCCTTGCCACTCGCTCTGGTTCCTGGCGCGATGCTGGTCGAGGAATCCGCCGCTCGAGGCGTCCATGCTCGACATGATCTCGCTAACTCGATTGTCTTACAGCAGGAAACACCGGCCCTCTCATCGTCTGCCGCCAGTCCATATCTTCAGCAACTCGAGGCAATCTCCAGTCCTGTGCCAAATTTCGCCGCCACTCTGATCGCTCATCCTGAGACGCACGATGCCAATGACGAAAACGTGAGCTTCCTGCGGACTCGATTGCGATCATCCCCGGAACCGCCGCTCAGTCGACAGCGTCGCAGGAGACAGCAGTATTCGACCGACGATCAACAAGACCAGATGGAAACGGATGACCAGCGGCCGCTACGAATGACTGTCGAGATCAATCGACGGATTCCTATTGTTCGCCGGCAGCGAGAGGAGGCAAACACAACCCCTAACTACGAAAACCGGGTGTCGGGCATGCGATCATTATACGGTTGGGCGCCGGGGTCTGATGACGACGGGGAGGAGGAAAGAGACGATCCTTCCCACGAAAGCTCGGCCATGTCCTTCGGAAGAGGAGAGCGCGATCCGACACGGAGTAGTAGCAGTCTGAGAAATGGCCGACGGGAAGCTATCGTGAGGATTCCACCGACATTCGCGGGGGAGCCATCAGAAGGGGGTGGTCTTCGATTTGGAGAGTCCTCCATCACGGCAGAGGCATTATTGCAGTCCGTCAGACGTCAGCCAAGGTTCTCGAGGACGAGGATGCTGCAGAACTACATATTGGACCGGGAACGGCAGGAGCAGGAGGAAAGGGAACGGGCATCCGCTTCGTCCACTTCGAGAGCATATCGATTCATTCCCAGCACACGAAATGACTCCTATAGAAACCTGTCCCATTCGGATATCCGAGCCCGGATCAACGCGCACAGACAGATGTACATGGAAAACCCACCCAGTTCGCGGCTAAAGGAGACAATCAAGTACCTGGAGCGAGTGAGATTCTCGAATTCATATGAAGAGAGCATCTCATCGGCCGCGGAAGGGGGGTTCATACAGTTTGATTATTTTACATGCAACGAGGATGATTTCATTCTCGATACTACATCAATCGCACCGCCGGCGCAGTGCTCTTGGCTCCAGCCAGGAGCCGTATTCTCCGGGTCCCAACGTGCGGCCAATAGCTGTGGCGCTCAAATGCTATCACATCGCGTCCCGAGCCCGCATCAGAACGACCCAGTGATCGTGAATGGTAGTGATACCAACCGTATCAGCGTGTATACGAGTAGCGGTCGTCGCTATTGGGCCAACAATCTCTACAGCCTCACGAATAGCAAGGATGAGCATTGGCCGGTGAAGGTGACAATTCATAGTATCGACTACAATACGATGACGCTATCGGGAACGATGGAGGCTTATAATATCCCCGATAAGACTTCTCCTACACAGGACGCCCATATCGTGACCTTCCTCGAAGGGGAGATCATTGATTTCAACAAGCATACTCTGGAAACGAAGAGCTTCAAAGCAGATGCCGAAATCGACAGTACCTACTGGAGAGAGTTGCAACCGTTCAAGAACCTCACGGATGATGAGATGATCAGGAACCTTGTGAGCAAGAAATGGCTTACGGAGGAACTAGCGAAGGGGTGGATCCTGATGCGATGGAAAGGTAGGTTTTGGCAGATGTCTCCGCATAGTTTCTCAATCTGACTATATGACAGAACGGTGTTTCGTCACACCTACCGATTCCCGACAAGGGCTCACGATATCCGGGTTCTACTACATCTCTCTCCGCCGAGACAACGGCCAAATCGAAGGCTTATACTACGATCCAGGCAGTTCTCCTTACCAACAGCTGTCTCTGAAACCAGAGATGGAGAAGATGATGTTCCCTGCATATGGCTTCCGATGATCTCGACCTAGTTGCATCTCTACGCATCGAACGAGTACACATCTCTTAGAGGAGCATTTGCTCTTGTTTTGTTTGTCATCTTTCACTGCTGGGCCGTCTGTCTATCGAATATTGGACTTTCTTGGCATCCATGGTTGTTTGAGCGTTATTGGAGGGGACTCCCCAATGTGGTCTCTTTTTAGCATTGGTCGGTGTTTCTCGCTCGTCGTTGCACTCTCGAGCGGTTTGTTGTTTTCATTATTCATACTGCCTCATCATGCTCGACCTTCCCAAGATGTCTGTCACATCATCTGGAGCGCTTTTAGTCTGTCTGCCATACAGTTGGCATTCCACGGGCCGGCGAGGCTTCGAGCAGCTAGCCATATCCATGTGTAGATAAAGTAATTGGAACGATGGATATATTCCTTCATACGGTTTCTTTTCCGATCTTACACATGAATACAAACTTTGCGGAAGCTATGAGAAGTAATACGATTATGATGGATCATCTTTAAGTGATTTCCTCAAGATTCCTTTTTCATTTATCATGTATATGGCAAGCTAGAACCAATGGCGGCCTTGTCCTATCCCCCACAAGTATCTAGATATTCATCACACGCATGATAACGATCAGGATATAACGACCACTTCCCCCGTTGCCGTTTGCGTTTGCGTTGCGAGACGAAGCGAGGCAATCGACAGACGGGTTAGATCATAACAGAGACGTAAGGGTGAAAACGTCTACTGCTCGGTCTGGAAGTAGTTGAGGAGGATGGAGCGCTCCTGGGACTCCTCACCCCAGTCACGGACGACAACGCAAGAGCAGTTGACGACCTTGCGGGCGTTACCCTCACGGTCGAGCTGGCCTAAACACACACAGACAAATCAGTTAGAAATTCTTTCTTTCTTTTACCATTGATTTGATCCGATTCGATTCAGATAATAGAGTAAGAGTAAGGGTAAAGGAAGGGGGGGGGGGGGGGGGGGGGGGGGGGGGAGACATACAAAGACCAACCCACTCGCCGAGCAGCTTTCCATCAGGGACCTTGATGAGAGGAATCTTGTGCTCAGAGCACAGAGCAATGACCAGCTTCTTGTAAGCCTCCTCCTCGCAGCCCTCGTTGAGGACACACATGTGAGCCTGGCGACGGTCAAGGGCCTTGGAGGCCTCGCGCAGACCACGGGCCAGACCGTCGTGGATCAGAGAGATCTTCAGAACGCCCTTGAGAGCGTCCAGGACGGACATCTGGCCGCCGGCACCGGCATCAGCGGAAACTTCGACCTCGTCGGCGGTCGCGACAGGGACCTCTTCTCCGTCCGACTGTTAAAGAGGGGGGGGGTTGTTAGCTTTGGATTCTGTTTTTTTGTTTTTGTGTTAGGGAGGATATGGTGGGGTGGGGTAAGGAGAGAGAGAGAGAGAGAGAGAGAAGGAGGGAATTGAGCTCCGAGACAAGATCGCATTTAGCAGGAAAGGAAAAGAAAAGGAAAAAGAAACAAGTCGGTCTCATTTCCAATTGATCCTTCTTGTCTCTTTCATGACTCTTCTTCCCTTTCCATGTTCTCTTTTGGTTTTCTGGTTCCTCTCAATTCCCTCCCTCTCTCCCTCTCTCTGTCCCTCCCCAGTATTTCTTTCGTATATTGATCCATTCATGCGACACGGGAATATCTTGACTGCATACCATTTTGATTCGCTACCTGCTTTTCAAGAAAAGTAGCTTTGGTGTAGTTTGTCAAATGTCGGATTATCCTCAAAGAGTGGATAATCGAGAGTCGTAGGGGGTGTGGTTTGGTAGTTGAAGATGATTGATCCTGAAGATTCGACTCTCGTTTTGAGAAATTTCCCCCCACTCGGCTAAAGTGCACAGTGTGTGCCCTATAATTATGTAATCCTCAACTACATGAGATTCGCCAATCAGAGTGTGTGGATCACGTGATTTATAGTCTCGAGAAAACAACATTAATGTTGCCGTGGCTTGTTTTCTGAGCGTTGAAATCATTATTCTACTGGTAATAATGGCTTCATATTCACTTCGCGGAATAATTATCCACTGTATTGCTTCATGGTTACCTCTGTGGTACTCCTTACAGGATCATGAAATAAATGTATAGTGAGCAGGTCTCAAGAGGAGCAAATCTGAGCCCAACGGGTTTTCGTGCCCCGTCAACATAACTGGAAGCCGCGAAAAGCGATCAAACAGAATGAGGTATCATAATCATACAACCAAGGAAAGGATCCACCTCAAATACCACAGACAGGTCGAATACTATGACCCACAAGTATGAAGGACGCAGTGTGAAGAGGGGCTGTTGAATTAGACATATGTACTCGGTCGTGGAGGACCGTAGCCATTGGTCAGGCCGTTAGGGGGAGCATGTGCATCGGTGGCGTTTTCGGGATGCGAAAGCCCATAGACGTGTCCGTTTGTCTGCGGAAGTTCGGTCCTGGGAGTGTCCAGCGTAGGTTCACTGTCGATATGCATCTTCAGCAGCTGGATATCGAGACCATGAAGATGAGGAATATGAGGAACGAGATCCATGAAGTCGGAGAGCTAGTGACATGTTAGCGTGATCCCTATAGCCAAAGTAGACCATGTTACAATCCAACTTACCCTGACCCAGAAGACGTGCTCCATGTCAAAATACTTAGGTCGTGTTTCGCAATCCTTCTGCATGATCTCGCCAAAAGACAGGTTGAGGAAATCTGAGTCGTCCGCTTGCACGAGGATCCGGCGTGTTACGCGCCAGAGGTTCATCCGCTGAGTGGGTGTCGCGTTGCGCTTCTCCCAACTAGCATCTGCTTGGAAGTTAGCTCCATGTTACGAAACAGGACCAAAGGGGAAAACGTACATTGAGAGAGTTGCAAGTCGTTGGTGGCCAAAAGCGGAGCGACCAGAAAGTTCGGTACCCATCTCTCCTCTGCTATGTCAGGCTCGCAAGACAGATCGATCTGCCTGGTTTTGGCTGTCACCACCGGCATGAACTGTTTCAGCCACGCGTGGCTTCTTGCCCTTGGGTCATTCGATCCCACAAGGTTGGCAGCCATCCGAAGTCTGTTGGGCAGAGCGTCGCGACGTCGTTGCTCCTGTTCCTCTTGTTCCTTCCGCAGCTTCGCGACACGAATCCGTTCCTGTTCGAGTCGCTTCTGGCGATCATCTTCAGCTTGCCGGATCCGTCTCTGTTCGGCCTCCTTGCGTTTGCGTTCCTCCTCCTCCGCCTTCTCACGAGCGAGACGGGCGGCTTTCTCTGCAGCGTCCTTGGCATCTTCTTCCTCCTTGGCGATTCGAGCCTTTTCAGCCTCAGCAGCAAGCCGTTTCTCTTCCGCAATACGCTCCTCCTCTGCCTTCTTAGCTTCCTCCTTGACCCTCCGGCGCTCTGCTTCTGCTTCCGTCTTCTTGGCTTCAGCCTCGGCATCAGCGCGCTGATCGACCTCCATGGGAATCTCCTCCAGCACATGGGGCTCCTTCTTCTTCTCTTCCTTGACGGAGGCTACACTGTCAGACGATCTGGCCGATGTGCTATCTGCAGCCTGGGGCTTGGCCCGTGCGGCGTCCGGAGTGTGGTTATCAGAGTGCCGTGAATGCGGCTCTGCAGGCGATTCTCCATGTCTCTTGGCTGTCCCATTCACTTTCTGAGGTCCTTCCGACACGCGTCGTTTCTTCTTTTGGAGCTCATCTGAATCGCCTCCGTGCTGCTCACGGCCCCGTGAACGTGACCGCTCAGATGCATCACTACTCCGGGAACGCTTCAAAGACGGGACACTCAGTTTATCTCCCGTGGTCTCTGAAGCTGTATCCGTAGGGCGAGGTCTGGAAGCCTCTTCGCGTCCAGACGCTGCTTCAGACAACATGCTGGACTTCTTCTTTTCGCGATCCTGGGGTGGACGGCCAGCGATCAGACGTCGTCGCTTGGGGGTTTCTTCACTGTGGGTGCTGGGTCCGGAATCCGCGAGACTTCGGCCAGAAACAGCGGATTTGGCTCTGTGAGATTCAGAGCGCACTGAGTCCGCTTCCGAGGGAGCGACAGAATGTTCACTGTGGCTTCCGTCCCGTGCAGATACCTTGGTGCGCATACCGCCATGAGGTGACCGCTCCCGGTGTGCACCCGCTCCATCTCGTTTCTTCTCCCTCCTTATTTCTTTGGCGGAAGATTCCTGATGGCGGCTTGGTGGCGGGCTTCGAGCTGCCTTTCTCTGAGAAGCTACCGGCGACGGTGATCCTCTCCGTGCAGCCCTCTTGCTCTCCTTCTCCCGTTCCATATCACGAGCCCGACGAGGTGATCTCACGTCCGGCTTGCGCATCCTGCGCGCCTGGATGTAATCATCATAAGCTTGTTTCAGTATATCATACTCCTCCTGCCAGTCATCTCCCCTGCGCTCCCGCGCTAATTCGAAATAGTAACGGTCACGGAACAGACGACGAGCGGGGTTGAAACCGGGTTGTGCGAGTAGAAGGCGAATAACGGCAAGGTTCCCTCGACCAATCGCTGCTAACATTGGCGTGTTGTAGCCGGGCTTCAGGTATCCATTTTGGACTGGGTCCGGATCCGGATCGGCATATCCAATGCCTAGTAGCAGTTGCATCACTTCGTCATGCCCTCCTTTGGCCGCCGCTATCAACGATTCTGCATCGGCCTTCTGTCCAACATTAAGGATGTTAGCAACTCCCGCCATATCCCCCTTGGCGGCAAACTCCCGTAAATTCTCGGGAGTAGCCTTCGTCCACAGTAGATCATTCCTTGTAGCTTCGCTCCTAACCGTCCGCCTTTTGCTCAGGGATGGCATCGGAGGCGGACTGCGACCATTAACCGGTGGAGAGTCGCGAGGACTGGCCGCAGAGACCGCTCGAGAGGTGTCCTTGTATCCGTTGGCGCTATGTTCATCCGAGCGCTGTCGACGATGCGGGTTCGCTTTGGCCTCAGCAATCACACGTCGTATTTCCTCGTAGTCTTCTGAATCGGACGGAACCAGCTCGTACGGTTCATCGCCTTCAGCATTAACCACCCGGGGATTAGCCCCCGCTGCCAGCAGAAGTTTCACTACTTCCAGATGTCCGTTCTCCACGGCGTCGATGAGAGGAGTGTCCTTGTCGATATTTTTGGTGTCCACTTCACAGCCTGCGTTGAGCAGGAACTCCACAATCGGAGCACAGCCTTCCAATGCAGCAATCTGGAGGGGGGTATTCCCCGCGTTATCCGCGACATTCAGATCCTCCGGTCGTTCTAAATGGCGAGCTTTGGCCGCCTCGACCTCTTGGGCGGCACAGGCTCGAGCCAGACGCGTTCGACCGTTCTGATCGCGCTGCTTTTTGTGGGCCATCTGCTTGGCGGGCGACATGGCCGCCGTGTCCACAGACTGCAGCCTCCGGAGGTGCGAGGACGGTAGCGGCGAGCCGCTGGTCGACGAAGATACGGACTGCCTATCTTCCGAGCTGTGACGCTGACGGCCTGTCATTAGTGGTGGTGGTGCCCGTCTCTTCCTCTGGTCCGCGCTGCTGTGCTGCGAGCCCGACGTGCCTCTCTTGTGTACGCGGTACGTGGGGGACACCGATCGGTCATCTGAGATGCGACGTGTTGATGGGACTGTGTTGGCCGACTTGCGGTCCCCATTGCGAGCGGGCTCCGCGCTGTGTTGCGGACGCACGCGTCGGTCCGACTCACTGTCGCCATCTCCCACGCCCTCGCTCGAGCTTCGTTTCCTGGCACGGCGGTCCTTCTCCGTCCTCGAGGTCAGTGATGCATGTGATGAATGCCGTCTGTCCATCCGATCCGACCAGCCATGCGGCTCCTCTGTCCGCTCCGACTTTACGACCGACCTGGAGGGCGATGTCACCCTCGACTGGGTGCCCGACCGACGAGCACCATCATCTTCTCCCTCGCGGGGGTCGCTTTCCATCCTCTTCCGCTTCCTGAAGTTACCGTCCGAGGGCGGTGCGTCCAGCTCCATCGTGTCGATCCGGTCATGTCCTTCGTGGGTTCGTTTCTGATCGTGCTGGATGAATCTCCGCTTCTTCTCGGGCGACAGCGACTCCCGCCCCGACTGGATAATCGTCTCCGCCTCTGAATCGGCCTTGGGGCTCGACACCACGACACCGTCGCCTGGAGCGTCGACCTTCCGGGGGCTCTCCCGGGGGGGCTCTGGTCGGGAGGGTTCTAATCGGGGGGACTGCAGACGAGGGCCCGTGGAGGAGTTGTCGTCCTTGAGGGTACGCGCAGTCTCTGCCAACCCCGAGACGGCTGGGACAGACGGGGCCGCCTCAGCGTCAGTCATCGCGGTAGCACCTGAGATCTGGGGTTTCCGTTCGTCATTTTCGGGAGCCGTGGCTGCCAGCGTGCTGCGTGCTGGGAGCCAGAGACAATGGCCTGGGTTGGGGGACGAGAACGGATGTGTACTCGACCGGTCAGTGAGCTGGTTGATTGCTGTTTCAAGAATAATGAGGGGGGGGGAGCGTAAGTGAGAGCGAGAGCGAGAGTGAGAGAGAGAGAGGAGAGAATCGATTTTCGAGGCGGACAGGGGGGGGAGGTGAGAGAGTTGGTTGTCGACAAGGTAATAATATGGGGAGCGGCTATATATTGTTACGGGGGGCTTAGCACGGAGCCCCGTTGTGGGTGAGGAGAGGGAAAGGATGGCGGGTGGTGTCGTGACGGCGTTGAGTTGAGTGGGAATTTGGGATGTGCAGGAGAGAGAGGAGGAACAAGAACGAGTACGAGAAGCAGAATAATGCGAAGAGGAAGAAGTGGAAGAACTGCGGGCGGGAAAGGCAGACAATGGAACTCACTAAGTGAACTCACTAACTCGACTCAACTGACTGACTGGCCTGAACTGAACTGAACTGAACCTGAATCTGAATCTCAGTGGCCACCGGGTTCTGCCGGGCGGGGAGGGATTGTGGCGGCGGGCATTCCTGGTCGAGTTGAAATTATGATTATTATTATTATTATTATTATGGTACTGGTAGATACTCGGTAATTAATTAATTATTATTATTATTAAACAGAGGGACTCACTCACTCTTACTCTCTCTCTCGAGTTCTCATCTCAGTCATCTCACTCACTCAACTGCTCCAGTAACTAACTAATTACTGCTTGTCTCAGCCAGAAAGGGGGGCCTCTCGATCGCTGGCTGGTCGACTGCAGCCACCGCCTCCACCCGCCGATCCCCAGCGCTGGCCGGTTTCGTGCTGGATGCAACAGGGATCGCCGCCTCCGGTGCGGATTCTCACTTCACCACTATGCCAATTAGTTTATCATCAGTTGCATCGGGCGTAATTTAATCATTAGTTGATTGATTAATTACTTCGAGTACCATCTGGTATTATTATTATTATTATTATTATTATTATCTCTGGTCAATAATAATCAGTTATGAACTAGTTGGTTAGTGAGTTCATTCGTTCGTTCAGAAAATAATGGGAGAGCGATCTGGAAGCTGCTCGCATGTATCTCTCTCGTGCCGTTTGTCGCCTTGCTCTCGTCTCAAGTTTCAACAAGGACAGGGTTGCCATGCACGCTGTCGTGGCTGCAGTCAGACTTGAGTACTCAAGTCCGTGCTCACTTCCAAATCTCTCTCTTCTCGATCTCCAGTCGGTGAGGGCCAGGCCCTGCTGAAGAAGATAGAGTAGTTCAGTTACCAGATAAAACAGGAATGCCACCCCCAAAACACTTCCTGTCGTGGGTCAAAACAACAACAACAGTAAATAAATAATAATAATAACAATCAAATAATCCTGCACTGCCCAGATCAGAGCCCATGGGGGACCACCCGTGGATCTGACACCAGTTGGTTAGTAAATTAATCTAAGTCGTAGATAATAATAACCACTAGGTATCTTCCTCGAAGCCCACACTTCTCGCTGCCGTCCGCGCGTCTCCATCAGGCTCGCTGATAAAAACCAACTGTCGTCGACGTGACGTTCACACTCTTTCTCTGCCTCTGCACAAGGAGAAGAAGAAGAAGAAGAAGAAGAAGAAGAAGAAAAGGAAAAGGACAAGAAAAAGAAAGGGCAGCGGAGAGAGAGAGAGAGAGGAAGATGGCGACCGTCGCACACACGGTCGCGTCGAAATGGACGGCCGCAGTCCAATCCACCGCCAACAACATGGACGCGGTAGACGCTGTGCGCGCCTTCTTCCTCTTCGCAACTTGCACGGTACGATCTGGCTCCGTCGCTTGTCTATCGTCTACAAGTCGGCTGAGATGTCCAGAGTAGACGCTGTCCGTCAGCGGGATTCCCTACTTGCGTGCCCGCTTCGTCGACTATGGCCCTCGTGCCACCGACTCCTCCAGGTCGGCGTCGACTATCGCCGCGCCTCGTTCACCGCTGACTCGCTTCATCGATTATCTGGCGGCGTGGAGAGTGCCGCACAGCTACTTCATCCATTTCTATGTGCTGTCCGTGCTGTCGTCCATCTTCTGGGCGACCCAGCTGCTCTCCCGCGGCCCCGCGTTCAGAGTCATCGCCGCTCGCGTCAACGAAGAGCATCGGTCCAAGTCCATGTCGCTCAATCAGGTCTGGCTATGTTGGGCTCTGATGGCCATCCAGGGTGCTCGACGGCTCTATGAATGCATTGCAACAGCGAAGCAGTCCTCCTCACAGATGTGGTTCGTGCACTGGTTTCTGGGACTCGCCTTCTACATAGCAATGACGCTGGCGATCTGGATTGAAGGAACAGGTAGGAGAGTTCTCATGGGATCCCGCCGGGGCTGCTGGCTCATACTAGGTTCCAGGCACCCTCCTTGCGCGAGATATCACCCTCGATCATCTGCGGGTCACCAACGTCCCTACGCCGCGGACGCTGCTGTGTCTGCCTCTCTTTCTGTTGGCCTCGGGCCTGCAGCACGACTGCCATCATTACCTGGCGTCTCTGAAGAAGTATACCCTCCCTGCTCACCCACTCTTTCTCTCGGTAATATGCCCTCACTATACAGCAGAGTGTGTCATCTATCTGGCCCTGGCCCTGTTGGCTGCCCCTGCCGGAGAATCCATCAATAAGACGGTCCTCTCCGGTCTGTTCTTTGTCGCGGTCAACCTGGGCATTACCGCTGCCAGTAGCAAGCGATGGTACATGCAAAAGTTTGGCGAGGAAAACGTGCGGAATAGATGGAGGATGATCCCCTTCCTATATTAGATTAGAATCCGCCTATTAGAGCCAGTTCGATGCGAGAGCCGTGAACCACAGAGTCCATATCTGTTCCCCATGGTTTTCACGTGAATCATCTGGCATGGGTGTCAGGGTTCTTCCTAAGGCGGCAATTTCGCCAATTTCAAATGCAACCGGTTAGAGACCGCTCCAGCGAGACGGAATTCCCGCGTTGTGCAGGGGTTGATGGATGGATTGATAGAATTCTTTTCACTTTTTTTTTCTTCTTCCTGTCATCGTATACCCAAAAACCTGCCACTGTTGCCCAGTTTCGCTACCTTGATCACATCCCGATATGTGAGGCTCATCCTCACTTCCCTTTCATACGAACCGCGTTCGTATCTCTGTCGATCACCCAGTAGATCCCAGTTGCACACCGTTTGCGCCGTGAGATTCTCGTCCCGGTTCGTCTCCGCAATGCCGTGCAGATAATCCGTATACATGACTTTCGTCGTGATAAGCAGACTCCGCGGCTCCTGGAGGATCCGGTAGTGTTGTGGGCTAGCTCCGTTCTGCTCCTTTTGACCGTCATCATCGTCCCCGTTGGCTGGATCAGGAACGGGGCTGTCCGACCCTTCTCGCCGGTGCTGCTTCTCGTACACGTCCAGTACTATAGGCGCTCCGAGACTCACAGTCGCCACGAGTGGGTAGTACGCCGCTCCGTCCTCGTGTGGCATGATCCCCTGGCCGGGCCGGTACTCGTTGATCAGGACATGGTTGGGTGCTCCGTGCGGCGCGTCCGCGAAGATACCCAGCTCGTCGAATCGCGGACTGATGATCGGCTGTGTCAGCCAGGTCGGCAGCGGGGATGCGAGCAGCGTGTTGGACTTGGAGAGCGCCGACGGCCACGACTGGAGACGGCGGTGGGAAAGCTGCGTCCAGCGCGGAAGCGGGACGGTAGTTATCTGTTTTGCAACATTAACAATCTCAGAAACCACGACAAAACTCGGGCAGGGGTTCAATCTGGTGTGTTTTCCGCCAGAAAAATCCCATTTTGGTGATATAGGCATCCCAAATAGGCGGGTGTCTCGTGACATCAAACAGGCAGTGCTCCCTGAAAAGGGGGTAGAGCAGATAGTATTTCTCAACATTGAGTAGGCATTCAGAAAATCCTTTCAGGAGCAGGAGGCTAAACACAAGAGATAGACACAAACACGGAAAGACAAAACAAGGAAACACCAACCTTCTGTAGCAACCTCTCCTCCTCAGCCTCGCTGATGAAGTTGGGGATATAATATGCATCTTCCGGTAACGATGTAATCCGCGCTGCTTCCAGTGAGGTCATTCGGAAAATGGTCTTTCTTTCAGAAAATGATGAATGAGGAATAGGAATATCCCTCCTTTCTTCTTTCTTCTTTTTTCTTTTTCTTCCTCCTTTTCCTTCTCGATCCGGCCTTGCCTTCTGGTTGCTAAGAGCGCGCCTTTCTGACACTATGCATGAAGAACGTAGCAAGTAGTTGGTTTAAGGAAATGACAAATGAAAAGGAGAAGCGGGTATACGACTAGGAAACAAATGCCAGTACGATATCCTTCTTGTAACTAGGCAATGTTTGACTCAAACGCGAACTTCCCTCTTCTGACTGACTCCGCTGCGACGTGAATGTAAATCGAAAGTGATAACTATCGTTTCTTTCAATTCTTTCTTTTTCCTCGCGATTCTCCCAAGACCAAGAAACCTTAAATATCAAGAGAAAACAACAAAAGGAACAAAAAAAAAGATAACCAGATGCTTTGCTTGTACAGAAAAAGGGAGTCATAAAAGTAAGTTAGTTAGTAGGCAAAAAGATGGAACAAGAGATGGAAGAGAATGACCCCCCGGTCTAGACCGATCAAGGAGTTTCGTGATTGCTCCCGACCGAAGACGGCCCATAGTCTACCTGTTATTTGTGCCTGAGGCGTCACGGCAATCAACACCCCGCGCGCCGCGGGCCCTCTTTTCGCCGAATACGGCCCAAAGGTTCCTATGCCGGCGTCATATTGGTTGTTGGTGATCAATATTTAAAATCAAAGGGAGAAATAGCCAAGTTTGCTTGCAGTTTCTACACTTTGTATTTTGATTCGAGGGTGTTTTCTATCCATCTTTACTCTCAAGGACGGAATATTTATATGTTTCCGTGGTGACATATTCATCCCACTTTTTTTTTTCTTTACCTTTCCTTCTCTCAGCTTCTCATATACATATACGATCTATTCAGATCTTGAGTTATGGCGCCCAAGAACAATGTCAAGGGCGGCAAAGGCAAGGGAAAGGATGCCTCTGATGCTGGTGGGAAGGACGCAAAGGGTGGAAAAGGATTGAAGCCTGCTACTTCGATCAACGTTAGACATATTCTTGTATGCGGTATTCCCTTTCTTTCTTTTTTTTTTCTTTCTTTCTTGCTTTATGTTTTACTGTATGACCTTTTGTTTGTCTTTTTCTTGTTTTTTTCCCATCCAATGATCGCAATAAATCCGATACTGACAATCCATCCAACAGTGCGAGAAGCACTCCAAGAAAGAAGAAGCTCTCGAGAAACTCCGTAATGGTGCGAAATTCGATGATGTTGCCAGGGAGTATTCAGAAGATAAAGCTAGACAAGGCATGTATCAGAACCCTTCGCGCTATTTCCTATATATATTTGATATTATGCCATAACATGCTCCTTATACTTTCAATTTTATATGCGTACTTGTAGGGAAATCATACCACAGCGCATCTCGCGGTGTTCATCTCATATGTTTCATCATTTACGTTATACTGTCGAATTGCTAACCTCTATCACAGGTGGTTCCCTTGGCTGGAAAGTCCGCGGTAGTCTCGATGCCGCTTTCGAAAAGACGGCTTATGATCTCGAGCCTAGCACAACTGCCAATCCGAAATATGCTGAGGTCAAGACTGGTTTCGGGTACCATATTATTATGGTTGAGGGGCGGAAATAAGATAGCTTTATTTGAGAAGTTTCTGTTTGGAATTAATTCATGATTATATATGTGTAAGATCAATATGCGAATTTCCGTTTCTATATCACTTTTTTAATGAACTACGAATCTTTGCTTGGTTTCAGGGAAGGCTTGTCATTATAGTGACGCACTGCATTTGGTAAATATATAAATTGTAAAATCTTTGGGGAACCTAATACTCAGGAATTTGCTAAACTTGTCGGAGGACCATGAAATTGAAAGCCATTGTTGAGCAGGTGCACATGCCCTACAGTACATATATGGGACGACGGGATTCATCAAACTTCAGTTCTCCTTAGCTCATAGAAACAATCTCCAGGAAATCCCCATGCGGGCTAAACCACATGGTCCAAAAGTTTCTAAACTGTGTCTGTGCTATCTAGATTCCAGACAAAATGCCCGGCGGCAACAACCAATTGGAGAATATCACATCTCTCTCTCATGGCAGAGTCTCAGTTATCCCGGCACTAAGTAACCAATGGTTCGCGGCATGCAGAAAAGATATCATCTTGGATTCAGGCTGAGTGAATCAGACACGCGAGATAGTTCCAGCCGAGACAGTTCTCTCACCCCGCTTTAAGTACATAAATGCTTAGTGCGGGTTCGCGTGGGATGGTCGCTCGAGAACGAACTGGAGCCAAGCACAACGATGGAGCCTGATCTCACGAGAGTTCGAGACATCTGTTTTGATATCAGAAGCGGCGGCGTCTCTGATTCATCTGCTGACGCTCTTGACACGCAGGGTCCGCGAACGCTGCGGGATGGATATTTACATACTGCAGTTAGCTTCGCGCCTATACCTATCGAGAAACAAAATGGGCCAGATCAGGCCTCCGAGTCTCGATTCTAGACAAGAATAGATTCTAAATGGCTAAATATCCTTTCTTCCCCCCCCACGAAGTAGTTCTGATGTTCTCTACTAAAGATTGTATGTGACACCGCCGCTCCATGGGGTTGATTTATCGAAACGCTAGGGAGAAGAAACCCCCACGACTTCGGCATTCGAACCACCGAACACCAAGAGCTACGACTCTCTCGCACACTTTTCTTCCGTCGTCGGGGATTGCCCTGGATTCCTAATGCTCCCGCTCGTCCGACATAGATCTACTAGACGTATCATAGAATCGTTCGCGGTACAGTACTTCTGAGAAGCCCAAAGTACGAAATAGACCTGATAGAGAAGGTATATTGTCTAGTGGACGTTGACAGGTATTACATAGCGGATGGCGATCTATCTCGATGTCTCCCACTTAGGTCCAGCTTGGTCTGGGTCCATTTCCTGTCGATTAATCCCAAGGTTTACCGGCTGATCTTAGGATCCCGATGGCACGGACATGCACATCCAGACTGCATGGCTAGGCGTTCGGTGCGGCAGTATCTGATCGCCTTTGTTCCCCGGCTGAAGCTCCAGGCCCTTGCTCGAGGTTGGCCTTCAACCTCGTGTGAGAACTAATTGGTGTCTCGCGCTGTGCGAGTTAAGCAATGCTGTTACTATATCACCCCGGTGAAAAGTTATTTCCATTTTGATCTTCCTAGTCGCCTACTTGATTTGCTGGATTATTTTCCGTTGCTCTTCCATTGTCCGTTTTCTTCTGCCGGATCATTCTTTTCGGCCATTTCGCTGTACATACATACATCTGGGATTCGCTATATAAACTTCCCTTCTGTCCCCTGTCCCATCGCCCTTAGCGTACACTTCACTATACTATACGTGCGCCTGATTAATGAGTTGAGTTCCATAGCACATTGGCGTTGCGATTCAATCTCGCATCCTGGGGATATCCTGTTGCTATAAATACGTATAGCACGGACCTGCTTTCTCAATCAAAGACTTTATTTAGTGGCTCTACCCAATGTCCCAATGCCCATTCTACCTTTCTACGCTACTCCTGATCATTGACGACACTGCAGTGTCTCTATCCTGATGTTCGGTTCTCGCGTCTCTTCACCATTATACCCATCATTCAGCCATCACTCCTATACATCAGAAGACTCAGGCTCCGCTACTACTGCGCCTATCCTGCCCACAGGCGGATGCCAATTTATCCTCTTGCACTCATCTACTCCTGACCAGCGCTGCTCATGCCAGGGCTTCCGCCTCCATGAGAGCTTACCGGGAGCTCACTGTGAGTGCGGGCACCAGGCATGCTATCATTCCCATGATTCCATACCGCAGTCGTCGACGGAATGTACCTCAGCAGGCTATTTAGCCTTGATGGATAAGATGCGAAGACTTGAAGCTCAATATGAGCATGAAAGGAAAGTCTGGCAGGAAGAGTTGAATGAGGAGCGACGAGCTCGTCGGGAAGATATTCGCGTTCTTCGAGAGGCGATGTATTCATTGTATAAAGTTGTTGAGCAAGATATCCCGCGACAGTTTGAATATGTGGAGGATAAAATTGAAGGATTGGTGGATAGTCAACAGCAGTTACAAGAGAGGGTCATGACTGTGGATGATTCGACTATGGCTTTGGAAGACCGAGTGGCTAATTTAGAAGATGAACAAGATTCGAACGATGAAGGGGCAGTCGATGATGAGGATGAAGTTGTTGGAGAATCTACAGAGCAATATGGCAGCGACATGGCTGCGCTTGATACCTCTCTCGCTGGGCAGATAGCAGTCCGCCCATCTGTCCGCGATGGGTTTCCCGCTTCAGGCAGCGATGAAGCTTCTATCAAACTTGCTGAAGCCTCACGGAAGACACATCTGGACGACCAAGATCAGTCATTCCAACTACCACCGAACCCTTTGCATGCTGTCAACCCTGCGCAATTGAAGCGTAAACGGCATGGGGTTGATCATGAAATGGCCGAGTCTACTGCTGAGAGCAGACATTCTTTCACCCTACCAAGCCCACCGCCTCTCTCACTTTCAAGTCCAGATCAGGGCCCTTCTCGGTGTCATAGCGAGCCAAGCATTGCACCATACTCTTCATTCGGTCTGACGAGTTGACTATCACATATTCAGCTGTCCACTCTAGCATTGATTATTCGAACTCGATATTGATAGAGGAAACAGGGCAAGATCTCAGATTTTATATATGGGGAAGACAGGTAATATAGGCACCTTTATTTCTGCATCTAAAGTAAAGGGTTTGGTATTATTGTATCCATCTATATAAAGTCTAATAGCGTCACGCCAAAGTTGAGCAGCGACAAGAAGGGGAAGAGCAAAAATATACTCTGGTCTGATAGACATTCATGATATTGTATCAGGACGGTAGGTTTCCACCCCGTCATAGCTCTTTCTCAGCCGCAGCTTTCGCTTTAGCTTTCTCTTTGGCCTTCTTCTCTTGTCTCTGGACGATGCCCTCGGCTCCAACACCGCCGAAAACGAGCGCCACACCTAGCCACTGGCCGCGAGAGAGCGAGTGACCAAACCAGAAGACGCTGAGGAGCATAGTGAGCATCTTCCGTGTCACGGTGACGGTGACGAGCAGAAGGGAGGAGAATCTAGACAAGGTGTGGAAGATGAAGAGCTGGCCGATGGCGCCGCAGATAGAGAAGCCGAGGACGTCCTTCAAGGCCTGAGGGTGTCGGGAGAGGAAAGAGATGGCAGAAGAAAGCTCCGATCCTGTGGATGGAGGAATCGGGAGCGGCAGGATGGATAGAATGACACTGTTTGAGAGATAAGGCATGACGAGCAGATAGGCGGTTGTGAGGATGGTGGAGAGGACGTTCTGCGCGACCATCATCTGCGGACCGGAGAACTTGGTGTAGAGGTGCGGGGAGCTGAAGACATGGTCTTGAGTAGTGTTGGTGAGGCCGTCGAGGAGGAGGTTGATGGAGAGGAGGAAGAGACCATAAGCAGATGAGCCACTGCTGGCTTTATTCGCGGACGCTGCTGCTACCTTCTTGCTCGTACCTGGATGGTACAATGTGAAAGTCGCTACGCCCAGGGTGACCAGCAGAACAACACCGTACTTGTACAGAGGATATCGCTTCCGGAAGATGGCCAAGTGAAGGAACATGACCGGAAGGAGTTTGCAGGACTTCGCGAGGATAAACGTCAAGTAGTCGATATGCGCCAGACTAGCGTAGCCAAATGGAGATGCCAATGAAGAGGATATGCTGACGAGAATCAGGGGAAAGAGGATCCGACGAGTCGGGAAGATCGAGGGTACTTTCTGGCCCTTAGGTGTCGAAAAGTACAGGTATAGGAAACCCGTTATGGCAGCGAAGGAGGATTGAATGGTGTTCAATACGATAGAGAAGGTCCATCGCTCTGTTGGGGGTTCCGGCTCTTCGGTTGTTGCGGGACGAAGAGGATAAGCGGTTGTTGTGATAGCTTCTTGCAGGACGGCCCATGATAGACTACTCGTATAATAAGACTTAGCTCTTCAATCCTAGATCCTGACAGAAAAAAGAAATTCCTTACAAAGAAGCATATATCCCCAGAACACAGATAGCAAGTTGTACCAATCCGGGGCTATCTGAAGGTGGTGTAAGTGCACTGCTGATAGACGCGCTCCCATCTGCCGCAATTGGCTCCTTTGTCGACCCATTTGTCTTTCTGTTATTTGGACCCGGCGAGTCCAAAGGTGAGTGCATAAACCCAGAGGATGGAGTGCGCTGTATAGGCGCCGCCTGCTTCTGTCGTGCCATGACAGCGGAGGGATGCTGTATGTATTAGTTACGATAAAACGGGTGGTCCCGTCCGAGGAATGATGTAAAGAACTCCAATGAAGGGCTGTTCAAAGGGACAAATGATAGGAAGTGATTATTCAAGAAAGCATCTTCCAAAAAGAAGGACAAGAAGGGACGTCGGAGGCGAGAGTAATCCAAGTACTCCTTGATGCCATGTGTTCAGTTATCTGAACTGGAGCTCCAGAACGCGGAGTCCGGTAAGGCTGACCAGCGCGCTTTTTCGCCGCACGGGGTTGGCGCCAACCCTAGTTTTCCTTGCGCTCTCGTTGATCCCCGCATGAAGAGATCAACCTTCAACCTCGCTGGAGTAGACATCAGAGAGCCTCTATTTTACAGGATTTCAATTGACGCACATTCCCTGGCTAGCTTCCACGCATCAACAACTCCAACAACGCTAAACTAGCCCTGCGATTGAAGCCATCCGGAAGCTGCGCATCAATCCGACAAAAGTTTCAAATCACATCTACATTATCGCAAACTCCAACATCCACATCCACATCCTAACTCGCAATTCACAATGTCGACAATAACCTCCCCTCCTAGTCCCTCCGCTCTCACATCACTCATCTCCGCTTCCGGTTCCTCAGATCCCATCTCCGCCCTCACCACCCAGATCCTCCACAACCTCAAGCACCAACATCTCTGGACTTCGCTACAAATCCACCAACTCCCCAGCACAACAGACCAAGATGCATCTATCCCCTTAATCTCTGGTATTCCCCCGAACCGTCTCTACACGCACCCAGACGAGCAGCTCTGGATGCTCGAAAACAACCTCCGTGACGACGACATCGGGCCCGAACGCTTCTTCGTCCTTCCCACCACGAGAGGGCAGAAATTCACACTGCGGAAGCTCGCGGGGGTTTTTGATTCCCTTCCTGAGGTGGAGGAGGATGAAAGACCCCTATTGACCCAGGTGACGGATGATCAGAAAACCAAGGATAAAGCGGAGAAGTTAAGCGCGTATTATGAGCGGCGGAAACAGATGAGCAAGACGCAAGAATGGGGTGGGAAGAGGTTGCTCTTGGCTATGGTGGATAGGGGTGTTGGTGGTGATGGGACGGTGGTGTACTATGTCATCCAGGAGGGAACGGTCAAGCCGAGACAAAACTGAGTATATGCTTTGCCATTGAAACATCTATACCTCAGTATCAGGCAATCTGAATCGCGGATCTTGTGCTCCTGTGCTGAAGCCTTGTCCGGGCCGGCCGTTGAGCGCGAACAGGACGCTTTTGATCGAGCTACTTACAGGAGCTTTATCGCTGGACGCGCATGCTGAATGGGCCCGGCTAGGGGCTTGACTACGATAGTATCCATCTCGGTCATGACACAGTCACATTCGTCGATATATACATCAGTTCTATCTCACAGACTGGGGATATATCCGGGGCGGAGATGCTATCTCGCCGAATTATGTACACCGAGAAGACCGGCAGGGGAAAAACAAGGGCAGGCGAGCGTATCCAAATCGACCCAACGCGGCAGGGTATCGTCTTCCAGATGGAACGAAAATGACAGAAACACAATTAACCAACATATACTCAGAAGCTTCTTCAAAGGATGGAAGTACGTCCAAGTTCAACTCCAGACCGGTTCTCGTCGATGCGTTCCTGTTCCTGCAAGCAACTCTTACAGTAATCTTCGTACAGATGCTTGATCTCATTTCTATGTTCGCCAAAGAGGGCTCCTGCACGTGGAAATGAGTTGAAATCGACTTCTGTGGTCTCGTCGTCTTGGTTGAGCAGGAGCTCAACCTGGTGACAGCGACGCGTCTCCTGTTGGAGCCAGCGTTCCCACTCGTTCTGGAGCACTTCCCGCTCAACGCTGTTCACCACACGGAGTGCAACAATGAGATCATGTCGGTACATGCCAAGCCGCTCGCGAGTCTCCTGAAGACGCCTCGCTGCACTCTTGGATATTGCGTCTCTGGGATGGGTCGAGGTCAAGGTCAGCGGCAGGTCATAGTTAACCAGCGTCTGTTCGTGGAATGTGGAGAAGCAACTGCTAGAGCCATTGCCATCAATACGCCACACCGTGTTGTTGGCAATCGCTTCGTCAATATCCCTCAGGTAAATTGCTTTGCTCATAACATTGTTCGGGGTTACGCCCAAACGAGCCATAAATTTCCCTGCGTTTCTCTCGTGCCACCAGTCGAAAGTATCTCGCGATGAATAGAACCCATTGATCAGCAGGCTGGAGAACAGTAGGACCAGTATGACGGTGTTGGCCCGAGTTGTCTTCCAAATCCAGCGTAGCAACGCGAAAGTCCAAAGCATCAGCGAAGAGACTGCACTCTCCAGGAAAGACAAGCATGTCTCAGATACCAACTGCATCAGTGCCCGCTGCTTCCGAGATCTGCGGAAACCTAGCTTAGAAAGAGCATCAGATGGAAGCTCAAACCCCTGCTTCTGGTGTCCGACTTGGCCAAAGATAGTAATGGCCCTCTTTGTCCGGCTGTGAGGACCCAATCGTCGCACTTGATCACTGACTAGATCAAGAAGGTCCAGAGCGTCTTGTTCCAGGTCGCTCAGCGCTTGTTTATCAATGATATCTGATAAAATATTAGCCAAGAACCTAGTTTACCAGAAAGGATAATGCTCACTCTTCAGCAAATAGGGAGACCATAGCCATTCCACCTTCGTATAGACCGCAATCTTGCATCGGGACTTGGCGACGTAGGTGATTACAATCTTGCTGACAAGGCGAAAGCTGCGCCGGAAAGGCAGATGCCAGGCCGTTCTCTTGTCAGTAACAACGTAACACAGGTGGTCGTTTAGGACGTCAATTATTTGATAGTCCGATACTTTGTTTTCTTGTGTCCGCCCTGTAGGCTGTAAGTAAAGATCCAAATAGCAACAGCTTGCTAAGACATACCAAGGAGGTCGACCGTCTCTATCTGATATGACATGTCTCGTCTCATATGCCGTGACTCTGAAGTGATCCACGGTCCCTGTTTGATATCTATAGATCGTGAGCGACACCTCCAAATGTACAGGCAGCCAGTAAAACTCACTATGAACCCTTCTTTCCTTCAGTAGCATTTGCCAGACTGCGCTCTTGTCACCAAAGAGTACGTGGAACAGCGCTTTAGAGCTGATCTCGAGTACCCTTTCTGCGGCCAGGCTCAGATTCCCCTGAGGAATATACTGAACAGGCTGGGCGGGCAATCTGAACTTCGCCACATCCTTCCCGCGATGAGCTTTAGTTGAGTCGAGCTCAAGATCTTTGTCGATATAGATAGGGGCTCTGATATCCCTGCCAGCCTTTGCGGGGATGAGGTCGCCTGCAACAGCACTAGCATCTGCCGGAGTGCTGAGAGAGACGTCTTCCCAACTGTCAACGCTAAGAGCCCTAGAGGGACTCTCGGATTCCATCTTGATCAAGGTCTTCAGAATCGCTTCCAAAGAAAGCGGCTCCTCAGCAGTGGCTTCGCTTATCAGGAAGTTTATTCTTCTTTGGAGAAGTCTCAGAGGCTCAAGGAACGTCTTTATAGTGATCCTGCCCGGGGTATCTTGTCCTATTGGCGGAGCAACGTGGAGGAACAAGAAATCGCAATCTCTTCCGGGCGCAGCAGTAACCTCTGTAACTGCGCTAAGTTGGACGCTTGTTGTTAAAACAAGGCCATAATAATGGCTGTAGAAATAGATGTTTCGTGTCGTAACATAGGCTCTGCCGGGGAACTCCTGTTGGTCGTTCGGGCTCCAGGTAGCTCTAAAGACTAAAACCAAGCTCTCTTCTCTGTTCACATTTGGGAAAAGAAGCCGGAACTGGGCATCTTGTGTCCTGAGCAGCTGAGGATAATAGCTAGGGTACTCGTGCGGAACTCCGATAGCAGCCCTCTGCAATTTGGCTGCGTCTCCATCCAGACTAACTGTTTGTCGGTGACGCGGTCCTGAACGTTGAGTCGGAGCTGCAGAGTCATCTGACTCTGCCGCAATGGCGTTCTTTGACGAATCACTCATAGGAGATCCAGGCTTCTTCACCGACGAGCCCTCCCCGTTAGATTCCGGCTGAAGAGCCCTTTCACGCTCCAGCTTATTAACAAAACCCCAGTTAGAGCTGCCCCAGAGATTGGCCATCATCCCGCTCGGCATGCCCCCCGTGTTGTCTGAGAATCCAAGTCCTATTCCTCTCTCATTGCTCACGATAACGCAAGCCTTGCTCATACTTGTGGGAGCAGGAGGATTAGCCAACGTGGGCGGTGCTAGAGACGTTGGAGGAGCTTCACGAAGATTGTAAGTGCGACTCTTGGCTCCGTCGTCCGTTGTATGCACGGGCAAGGGAAGAATACTATGACTCGCGGAGATCAGGCTCGCGATACCACCAGAAGGAGGCGGCATAGGTGAGCTCGGTCCAGTCGTATTCGATTTGCGGTGTAGATCCAGTTTCTGAATTATCCTTGCTGCGTGATCTCGTCCGCTCGATTCTTCCCTATCTCCAGTGAGCCGTCTCGAACTGTGGAATTCGGCGCTGTTCCGCATGGCCAGGCCGTCCCGCTCAGGAACAGGTAGACTCCCGTTTCGATCTGTTGAAGGTAGCTCATCATTCGCATTAGGAGTTAGAGACTCGGAGGGATCGGCCGCAAATTCTGGCGCTGGAGGCTGAGAGATCGAAAATGCAGGATCTTGCACCGTGAGCTTTCCCGAAACTGAAAGGTCGGTACTCGCAGGGTTCTCCAGAGCCTTTTGTTTAGCTGCCTCAAAGGAATTGATCCATTCCATCAGTTCCTTCTGGGACTCTGCTTGCAGCATTATAGTATTGTTTTTCGTCTTGACCTCGAAACAAAATCTTCGTTCTTCTTGAAACGCTGGTCGAATGCTGCAGAGCAACACGCCTATTCTTTCGCTTTCTTCCACACCTCCAGTTCGAGAGCCTTGTACGAGACAGCCAAATATTCCGTTCTTGAGAAAAGCCCAGCGTCTAACCCACACCGTTCGAGTAGGCTTTCCCGTGAACGTCCTGAGATACAGCCAGCCCTGCTTCTCTGGTTTGATTCCTTTGTCTTTGGATAGCTTGAGAGATGGCGGGCCATGAGAACCAAGATAAGGAACCGTAGAGACAGAGTAGTCCTCGAGCTCGCGAGAAGGCCTCGCCGCGTGCTCAGCAGCTTCTTCGATCTGTTTCCTGGCGGAAAGCAGTTCCCGACGAGAGTTTCTTTCGCTAGTCTCCATCTCATGTGTCCAGCCCTTGATACGTTCCATCTCGGGGCTGCATTTGGTGAACGTCGCAACATGGGTGTCATGGATGGTTTTGGCTTCCCGCCATTGATCGAAGAATATCCGTACCAATAATCGATCCAGCGCATTCCGAACTTGAGGTGCCTGAATACAGAAGTCCATAGAGGCTTTCAGATAAGCCTTACGAGCCTCGTGGAGCTGAAAGGCGTCTTCTCTGAGGGCAGATGGTTCTTTCGTCTTCGCTTGGCCCGAATATCTAGCCAGGAGATGGTCGTACTGTTTCTGGGTTTGATCTAAGATACGGCGAGTCTCCTGCAACGATGTGAGACATGGACTCTAGCGCCCGCATGAACTAAGAGACGCACCTTGAAATTTCGCAAGTCTCCCTGGATAAACGCCTTGATGGGTTCAACGACCAGCTGATCCAGTCTCCTCATCGTTGTGATCATTCCATTCCAAATCTCCCTGGCGCTTTCGCCATACCGCTTCATCGCCTGCAGTGTGTAGTCATGGTCGAGGACGGCTTCGGAGACGTTGATCGGGTTCGTGGTGTACGCCAGAAATGTGTTTGTTATACTCTCAAAAGCAGACAGCTCTGCTGTAAGTTTTGCTGCGGACTTGGCGTATCCATCGAGCCATCTTTCTATGAACTCGATCTGGCCGGCAATATGTAGGGTGCTCGCACGGAAGGTTGGAGAGTCAAGAGCAGCTTCTTTTAGTCCGACGGGTCTATATAGGCTGTCAGCAACTCGTTCAAGCTGTCAAACGGGATAACAGAGCAAATGCGAAAAAGAATTTGGCTGGCATACACGACACTGACCAGCTTCCCGTGCTGGGGTACGGGGGAATGTTGAGACGTCGACATCTAGCGCACCTGTCGAGCTGTACGACAATGCACGAGTCGATGAGAAGCCCTTGCCCAACTGTCACCGCCACTGAAGCGCAAACGAGAACACAAACATACAGGTCTACGTCCCATTCGACTCCAATCTCTCGAAGTCGTTTGATGGATGGAGACCATTCATGTATTATTGTCGAGATGCTGTTCAGCGCGTCACCCTGGTGAGACCGAGTGAGACGATCCGGGGTCGGAGCACGGCGGCTATTGGTCAAATACGTCAGAGACTAGAGGCGATAGTCAGTGGAGAATCTCCGCCGCCTGAGGCTGCAATACGCCGATACGAGGGCGGTGTGGTCGAGCGTTTTTTTCTGCCGCCCACTGCAACTTTTTTCCTGTAGACGGACTAACGCCGCGCTGGGGACGACTACTGTCTGAGGTTTGCAATCGCTGCCAGTCTCTGGCCTTTCTTCATTCTGCATTGTTCTGTTCTCTGATTTTCTTCAATCATCATGGAGCCGCCTGCCAAGAAACCCAGGACGCTCCTCGACGACAGTTCGAGCGAGTCTGAAGGCGAAAGCGGAGGTGTTCGCCTAAACGGCGACAAGGCGACTGGCGAGCCAGTGCTGAAAATCAACGAGGAGTATGCGCGCCGTTTTGAGTACAACAAGAAAAGAGAGGAAAAGCAGCAGTGTGAGTCCCGGCTGTCGAACACCACTCATATTTGCTGGTACTGATTTCAATTCCAAATAGTGGAGGCCAAACTGGGTAAATCAGTTGCTTTTGGTAAAAAGAGAGCGCACGATGATGATGATGAAGATGCATCCGGCGGCTCTGACGAGTCATCGTCAGAAGAAGAAGATGAGGATGGAGAACTGGTTACACCGGATCTCGACAACGAGATCATGGCTACCTTGAATGCGATCAAATCAAAAGATCCGAGGGTCTACGACAGCAATGTGACATTCTACTCTAAATTCGACGAAGATGCGTCCGGAAAGCCTGCAGAAAAGAAGGAGAAGGACAAGCCTATGACCCTGCGCGACTACCACCGCGAGAACTTGCTGAAAGGTGTGGCAAACGGAGAAGAGGAGGAAGAGCAAGCTCCCAAGTCTTTCGCGCAGGAACAGGAGGATCTGAAGAAGACCATCGTCAAGGAAATGCATGCTGTGGCGGATGGATCGGATGACGAGGATGACGGTTTCCTTGTTCAAAAATCAGTCACACATCCTCCTCCTGAGCCTAAGAAGAATATCGAACTGGATGTCGAAAACGCGGACAAAGACCCAGAGACTTTCTTGTCGAATTTCATGGCTGCCAAGGCGTGGATTCCTGCGGGCGGATCAAATGGCCTGAAACCGTTCGAGTCAGATGACGAAGAGGAGGATCAGAGGGCGGAATTGTTCGAAGAAGCGTACAACTTCCGGTTCGAAGACCCCAACAAGGTCAATGAGAGATTAATCACTCATGCCCGTGATGCAACCAAGGAGATATCCGTCCGTCGGGAGGAAAAGAGCAGCCGCAAGAAGCGCAGAGAGGCGGAACAACAGAAGAGGGAGGAAGAAAAGAAGCAGCGCGAGGCGGAGAAGAACCGTCTCCGCAAACTGAAGATGGAAGAGCTTGAGGAGAAGGTCAATAAAATCAAACAGGCTGCAGGCATCAGAGCTTCCGAGTTCACGGATGAGGACTGGGCTCGATTCCTTGATGATAATTTTGACGATAAGCAGTGGGAGGAGGAAATGCAAAAGCGCTTCGGTGAGGACTACTATGCTGCGCAGGAAGAGATTGAGAGCGGAGATGAGGACGGCCATAAGAAGAAGCGGAAGCCCAAGAAGCCTACGTGGGATGATGATATTGACATCACAGATCTGGTCCCTGACTTCGAGGCAGAGGAAGAGAAGCCTGATGTCGATATGGACGAGGAAGACGGCGAGGAGGGATCTAAGAAGAGCAAGGGGCAGGAACGCAGAGAAAAGAAACGCGAAGCCCGCAAGGAGAAGATGCTGATTGAAGAGGCCGTTGACCGTAACCTTGACCTTGACCCTACTCTTCTCCCGGGTGCTACCAAGAAGAACGCTGGGCGTTTCCGCTACCGTGAGACATCACCCACGAGCTTTGGTCTGACGGCCCGAGACATCCTCATGGCCGATGACGCGCAGCTGAACCAGTTCGCTGGTCTGAAGAAGCTTGCCCCCTTCCGCGACCCGGAGAAGAAGCGACGGGACCAGAAGAAGCTCGGAAAGAAGGCCAGGGTAAGGCAATGGCGCAAGGAGACCTTCGGAGACGAAGAAGGACCGAAATGGGAGATCCCTGTGCACGAACCTGCTCCTCAGAAGGAGGGCAACGACGATGAGATGAAGGTCGACATTCGCGAGGGAGGATCCAAGAAGAAGAGGAAGAGATCGAAGAAGCATTAAAGTTGTGTACAAATGCATTGGATGAGTATATCCCGGGAGTTGTATCCCTGCCTCCCACGCTCCATGTGATCAGTTTAGTTAGTTATATTGGGTCCAAAAGTGAATAGTTGCGACTATTGATTGTCACCATACAGGCGCAAGTGGATAATTATTGTCATTTTCTCCTTTTTTTTTTCTACCTCCCGTTCGTGATTCAGTAGTTTAATTGAACACAGGAGACCCTAGCACTCCGGGTTACCATACTGCACTTTTAACCTCCTCCTTCAATCCGGTTCAAGAAAGGTTATGTGTTGTCGTCTAGAAGTGAACATCATTTTGATTCCAATATTGACAAGGAAGATTGCAAGTACTCACAATGTTGCATAAACCCAGAGACTGCATCGTTAGGTACTCAGCGTTCCCTCAGAAAATATATATTCCGAGCGACCAATAATCGCATCGACAACCCAAGATCATCCCTAAGCTTTGTCAAACTAGTCACCACCCTATTAACAAACTCCATAGCAATATTATCATTATTATAACGCTGAGATCAAATCGCCATCAACCCATTGCTATGCGTGAGTTCTAGCCTAGTTACCTGAACTGAGCGAGTATGGCAGTGATAGTTATCTCGGCATTCCCCGTGCACGAGCCTTGCAGGAAGGAAATCGAGTCGAGCTACCTGCCTACCTTAGGTAGCTAGCTTCGTAGCTCCCCAGCTAGCTAGCTGATGATAGTTAAATAGCAGCCAAGCAGAAATGACCAAATCATCGCAGCCAGATGCTAAGTTATATTCTTACTAGAAGCTAATGCAAGAAAGTAAGGAAAAAGATAGACTAAAAGCGGACTTTTTTCCTTTGGTTCTTTTGACAGCTGTATAAAAACCCCAATGAGAAAAAACTCTGCATCTGAATGACGTCTAGACTTTTCGTTTTTATTTTTCTCCTTATCTAAGTTGATAATGCTGCCCAAAGATCTTTTCTTGTTGGGTTTCTCTTGTTTTTGAGCTTCGTGCTCCTTGCTGGGAAGAAAGAGCGGTCAGAAGAAGCTATAGCTCATGTCGGATGGCAGGCATGTTTGGGCTTTTGGCTTCGACGCGTGCTACGGGGTCCTCATTACCTGTGTTAGGTAGGTAGGTAGTGAGCTATGGAGTTTTTATGTCAATGCGTAGAGGACTGTTAACTCCTCTTATTAAGAGAGAGAGAGAGAGAGAGAGAGAGAGAGAGTAAATCTCTTGAGAGAGTCGCGAGAATAATAATAACGAGAGTTGTCCGATAACAAATTCCGCGAATCGCAACAAAGAGATAAAATAATAATAATAATAATCCGAGCGTCGGGAAGTGTCTCTCTTCTTCCGTATTAATTAGCGGAGGGGGCTCCACTGGCCCCAAAATAAATCATACTCTACGTAGTACGGGTAAACAATAATAATAATAATAGCAGAAGTTTCTTCTTCTCGTGCGTGGAATGTTACTTCGGGGGGAATTATGCTTTCTAGGCGTCCTTCTGAGCCTTGTCGTGCACACAGTAGTAACCTGAGTCTAGTATTATTGGGGGAGGTATTTGCACAGCACGCACACATAGAAAAGAAAGCAGAAACTTCTGGCTTTTGATATTTGGGATTTTGATCTCTTCTCTCAGAGTGCAGTTCTCACGGTCAAAGGAACGTGCCCCGGACTAAGTAGAGAGGACAGGTGGATAGATACGCACCCTGCCTTACCGACCCAGTCATGATTATTATTGGACACGGCACTTTTTTTTCTCCCATATGGATATTATTTAATGAATGGTAACGAACGAACCATTGGTGGCGAACTGAAGATGGAAAGTAGTCGTGTGGCTTGCTCGTGTTTGCTTGTGTCTCTCCGGTGGGGAATGAATATCTGCCGTGGTAAGGTCAAAGTCTCAAGAACACGAGATACTATACGATAGAGGTATAAAAACGGGTGTTCTTGGAGATATGTCCTCAATTGAGTTTGTTATCCTCTTGCCAGCAAGGCAAGTTACCTGGACTAATGACGGTTTACAGCTGCATACATTGGTAGGCCACGTTTGGGTACATGAATGTACCATATGTATGTACCTAAGGAGGCCCATCTAGCGGACTTCATCTGCAGGATATTACTGCTAGATAGTGTGAAGAGGAAAATCGATCCTGAACAACCGATCTCTGGTTCTGATGACGCGCCTCATCCAGTATAGATCAGCATTTCGCTGACCAGCTCAGTCGACGGCCATGGGATCCGGTACCGTGGGCCACGAAAGCAAGCTGGCTGGATGGGTGCGCAATTCGCTGGTCATCGGTGGCGGCGAGGGCGAGCAGGATATCAGCAAAGAGATGCGTCCTGTATAACTAGCAGTTGGTTATGTTAGAACTCTACATAAAAAGATGGATGAACAAATGGATTTAGCGTATTCTAATTGACACTTTGGGAGAGGCTCGAGAGATTAATATTAATATTTTGCCATCGGTGGCCGGGGAAGCCTCGGGAGTGGGGAGAGAGAGAGAGGCCCAGGACAGAAAGGGGGCCGGCAAGACGGGGAGAAGGAAGAGCTGGAAGCAGGTCAGCCGCGGGCCCCGAGAGGATAGTTAGCAGCAGCAGCAGCAGCAGTAGCAGTAGCCGGCTGTTACCAGGGCGGCAGTGGAGACCCAGAAGAATCAAAATAATTCTTTAAAAAATAATACACCAGATCACTGGCAGAATCGAATTTTTTCGCTGTTATGGCGACGATCGGGAGATGTCGGTTGCCTGGGCCAAGGTTAGCCTAGCGGTTTTTTTCGCCCAGTGGAGGCAGCCCGGCCAACTCCAGTCCTGTAGGCCCTCCTAGCGCCGCCCAGCTCGCTTCTTCCCGCTTACAAGAGCCGGCGCTCGCTATTTTTTCTTCCCTTCCTCCCTTCTCTCCTTCTCTTCTTCCCATCACATCCGGTGTCTTGTCTCTCACTCGACACACTCTTTCCCTCTCCTCTCTTTCATCTTTCTAGTTTGCGTGCGTCGCAGCTGTCAAGATGGCCAAGGGTGAAGTTAACCAGGCGGAGAAGTCCGTCCTCGGCATGCCGGTAAGTCCACCTGGTCTCTTGTCTGCCCATCGAGATCCGTCTCTCCACCCATCGCAACGCGCGTGAAACCCGCCTGCATTCATCGCAGGGCTCTTGCGATGCTGGGACAGAGTCGAGGTCGAGTGGTTACAGGCAGTTTTGCTCGATTGAGCCACAGAATGCTGACGGTGTCGTGGTTGATAGGGATTCGTCGTCGACTTCCTGAGTACGTTGGAACCCAATCGAGCCTCAATTGATCCTTCGATTGTTCTCTAGTCTAGAGCGATCGAATTGGCTATCAATCAAGAGCCTGTAAAGTGCTGTGAATGGTTCAGTGAACTGACTTGCATGTAGTGGGTGGTGTTTCCGCCGCCGTCTCGAAGACCGCTGCCGCCCCCATTGAGCGTATCAAGCTCCTGATCCAGAACCAGGTAGGCATTAACCCTCTCGAGCTTCCGTGAAATGGAAGGAAATGTCTTTTTTTTTGGTCCTCAATGGGCGTCATCTCGATCGTGCAGTCGTCGATACGCCTCAATTTCGCCGACCGAAAAAATTTTTTCCTTCCGGCTCTCGGCATGCCGGCTACTCTTCGAAGGGGGGAACAAGGACTAATGCGACTGCGCTATAGGATGAGATGCTTAAGGCTGGTCGTCTCGACCGCAAGTACGACGGTATCATGGACTGCTTCCGCCGTACTGCTGCCTCTGAGGGTGTCATGTCCCTGTGGAGAGGTAACACTGCCAACGTCATCCGTTACTTCCCTACCCAGGCCCTGAACTTCGCTTTCCGTGACACCTACAAGTCGATGTTCGCCTTCAAGAAGGACCGTGATGGATACTGGAAGTGGATGGCCGGTAACCTGGCCTCCGGTGGTGCTGCTGGTGCCACTTCCCTCCTGTTCGTCTACTCTCTCGACTACGCCCGTACCCGTCTGGCCAACGACGCCAAGTCCGCCAAGGGTACTGGTGAGCGTCAGTTCAACGGTCTCGTCGACGTCTACAAGAAGACCCTCGCTTCCGACGGTATTGCCGGTCTCTACCGTGGTTTCGGTCCTTCCGTTCTGGGTATCGTTGTCTACCGTGGTCTGTACTTCGGCATGTACGACTCTATCAAGCCTGTTCTCCTGGTTGGTCCTCTTGAGGGCTCCTTCCTCGCTTCCTTCCTGCTCGGCTGGACTGTCACCACTGGTGCCGGTATTGCTTCTTACCCTCTGGACACTATCCGTCGTCGTATGATGATGACCTCTGGTGAGGTAAGTATCTTCTTATATACCCTACATTCTGAGGGCATTGGCTGATTCACCATCCACAGGCCGTCAAGTACAGCTCTTCCCTCGATGCCGCCCGCCAGATCGCCGCCAAGGAGGGTGTCAAGTCCTTCTTCAAGGGTGCTGGTGCTAACATCCTCCGTGGTGTTGCCGGTGCTGGTGTCCTGTCTATCTACGACCAGGTTCAGCTCCTGCTCTTCGGCAAGAAGTTCAAGGGTGGCTCTGGCTAAACAGTTTCTCTCATCGAGTCTGTTTATGTTAAGACCCCCAGTTTGGGGAAAGGGGATGATCATCGCCTGATCTAATTTATGTATGGTTAAGCGGTGACTGGAGGTGTCCAAGATAGAGATGTGCATCAAGGTGGTTACGGTCATTCTTGACGCATAAAGCAGTGTGGCTTTTCCTTTGGACCCGTTGTACTTTACTGCCTGCAAGCTTTTTTCTCCGTCTGTACTTCCATGGTATGCAATAAATTTGCTCACTTGTTTTGGGGAATCTCTTAAAACCCTGCGCTCGGATGCGATGCGCATCTCAGCAATGTAGAATTCGGACAGATCGCGACATGTCACGTGTGCAGGACACCCGCGTCACGTGAGATGACGTCCTCAGCCGCATCCATCGAGCTCCATCATACCTCTTACGCTGAGCTTTATCTTGTAGAGATTATTCTAAATCTCAAGACTTCTTTCTGTCCAGATTTGAGACATTCAAAGTGGCCCGGTAACGATGGCGCCAATAACCGGTGTGCCAACTTTCGGCAGTGCTCCCATAAACCCTAATACGGCAACTACTGCATCCCATGCTTCAGGGACGACTCCTCAGACGGCGTCCTCGAATCCTGAGGCTCGTGGAGACAATGAGGCTACAGTCACTGCTGCAGAAGCCGCGACATCGACATCGACGTATCCACAAGCACAGCCAGGTGCCGTTCCAGTCCCAGGTCCAGCTCCGACGGGTGCTGTAAGTGCATCTCTATATACACCCACGCCCATTACGACCTCTCCTCCCACGACAACAACGGATCAAAGTGCTCTGTCTCCGCCTGCTCCACAGCCGGGGTCGCGCCCTATTCCTCCACCTGCAGCATCGCAGTCAGCAGGAGCCAATGACCTGCCTCCACCTCCAAAGGTCGGCGAGGTGCCCAAACCCGCATCGTACTATACGCGAGCGACGCCACCAACAGCAACGGCTGGCACTGGCACTGGCTTTGGATATACCACCCAGGCAACGCCTGCACAGGGCCTGAACGTCCCAAATTCAACTTCTACTCCGTATAATACGATGTATCAACCTCCTGCGAATAACACGCAGCTCCCGACCTATAATTATGGTGCTGCAAGCAGAGGACCAGGTGGAGATGTATTCCAGGACGAAGAGGAAGGAGTAGGTCAGGCAATATGGAAGACTGCGAAGTCGTGGGTGCAGACGGCGGGATCGAAGCTTGCGGAGGTGGAGGCTGAGGTATGGAAGAGGGTTGGTTAGGTTGATATGGTGTACTTTCTAAATTCGATGATGGGTTCATTTGCTTTGCTTGGGAAAGAAGAGATGAGATGAGCGAGTGAATGGATGGATGGATTGCTAGCGATAGGATATTGCCTTGGGTAGGATTCGTGGTTTCTATAGTCTCGATCAGTCTTGTGGTCCTTGTGATATGATACCGATACTTACCATGCAGGACATGGGCGGGCGTTAGTGATTCAATATACACAGATTACAATTATCTTTTTCCTGGGTATATATATTTTTTATGTGTATATGATTATGGGCTAAAGAGATAGAGCAATCGTAATGGAGTAGTGAGGCGCATTCTTTATATGATCCTATATCATATATCAACAACTAACATCTAAATTTTCCAGTTCCAGCAAGAGAAGAGAAATATCGTGCCCACGAGTTATATTATCCTCAACCCAGCAGGAGCAACAGCGATATTTAACCCGATGCAAATCTTGCATTAACATCAACTCACCCAACTCTCCCTAATCTTATCCCATTTCAGAACTAGAAACAAAAACAGAAACGATGCCTGATGTTTTTAAAGATTCTACCCCATAAAGCTCAGATGGACCTCAAATCCCACCCACAGCATACTTACGGAAAGCTAACTAATCGCCACAACCTGCAAGAATTGCTGCAGAATACTTACCCAAGTTCATACATACTTACATAAATACATACAATCCCCTTCCTCATGATATGATATAAGACGAAGAGAGCAATCGCGTTTAGTTAAGTCAGCTTATCTGGTTTCTGGATCAAGTTAAGACACACATAAGTTAGCCAAATCTCTTATGAGGTGAAAAGAAAAAAGTCGCTCTCTGCCAGTTGTCAATATTCAACCGAGTTGAAGTGAGCTGGATTTACCATTAAGTCAGTAACTATCAGTATCAGGTTGATTGACACAATATGGCACGCTCTCAACCGTCCAAGAAAAAAAAAAAAAAAAAAAAAAAAAAAAAAAAAAAGAAAAAGAAAAAGAAAAAATTCACAATCGACTCCCTCCCAATTCCATAGGTATCGAAGCACACTCCCTTTCAAAGCAGACAAGATCCCTCGAAGATAAGACTATACTCCTCTGCTGGATCCGCATGCAACACTGCGTGGGGGCGAACTCAGGGGACCGTGATAACCAACAAAAGAGCTGCGATACGTTAACTAGGTTGAACATCGAACCCTTACATCTAACAGTCATAACTCTGAAATAAAAGCAAATTCCTAATTCTCAATTGTATTAGATAATGGACGTTGCTGCACTGCGCTGCGGGGTAGGGGCGTGTTCTGGATGAAAGTGCCTTCCTTGTCTTGGGTGTTGGTCTGCGCGTTTGTTCTCTACTTGAGCTGGAGAAGATGATCACAACTTTTCATAGTCATGATGCTTTTCAATAAGCGCTACAAGCTCAAGTGGCCCGTTTCCCGATCGAGATATCAAGTTGGTGGTACACAACGGACGTTTAATACGCCTCGTGTGGGGTTGAACAGGCGTGCTATATCGCAGTGGATGGCTATATAAGTACACCAGAGCCAAGTTGCACCCACACATCTACTAGAAAAATGTTTGATCCTACAACTTAAAAAGACACGATATCCAGGGCGAGCTCGAATTCGAGCATCTTGATTTAAGTATCTAGACCTAAACTCATAGATATACTAAAGCCCAGGAATGTTGGTCGACAGATATCACCCAGTGCAATCAATGAAGACGACCAAGGTGGGTTGAAGTAGGCCACTGAAACGCAACAAGAAAAGAGCCCATATCAGTACGATACAGCTAAGACGACCAACTGGAACTCTCCGTCGTCCATGGCACATTTTCTCTTCCAACCAAAGGAGTCCATCGCCAGTCTGGGAACCTCGCTGGAGGCTCCTCGCATAGTACCGTTATCATGATTAGAAAGGAATATGCCAAATAAGTGTCATAACGACCTGTTCCCGCAGTGCATAGGCCATAGGATCCGCAGGGACAGTACCGAAAGAAAATAGACCGCATCGTAGGAATAAGCAGCGGAAACTGGTGAGCTGCATAAACCAGAGCAGGGGGTATTCGCGCAAGTCAGAAAGACAAGGCAGTAGCGGCCGAGCATTCAGCGCATGTCCTGGCGCAGGCTCAAGGCCGTCGTGGCTAGAATCCACGAAAGAGTATCCCAAAACGATAATGACAGAAGTGTACAATAGAACGCCATATTGCCCAAAGGCAAGGTATCCCAAATCCCAAAGTTCCTCGTCCCAATCCGAAACCCAATACCAGAAAGCACTATTCCAGCCAGCTGCACAGTGCAATGTATGCCAATTAAAAACTGGCGTCTCAATAGAACGACCATATAAGGAATGTCATGAAATATGTGCACGCAGTCAGTCCGGCGCGGACCAGCTTCAGCCGGTCAGGAGTGCAACCTATTTCCAAGAACGCGAAATATAAAAGCCTGCGCCGATGAATATGATGTTACATAGAACCGAGTCGCAGAAGGGCCTCAACTGCGGCTCGTTCCTCTTGGTCGCCACCCAGTCCCTCTGGAAGGGTAAATCCAATATGTTGAATAGGAAGACGGCCTGGCACAGACTTGGCCAGCGCCGACGAGACTGGACCACCAGCGTGCTGGAGTGGCTGTCTCGAGGGGATGGCGATATTATTATGTACAATGCCACCCCCAGAGTTGAAAGACCTCGCTCGGAGCGCGTCAGCTCCAATCTGGGCCCAATCTTCTTCGTCGGTGACGTCGCCTTCGTCCCAATCTTCAGCGTCGTCGGGGGCCTCTGAGGACGAACAGTATTCCCGCCCATCGCCGTCGAGGGACATTTTGTCCGCCTCATGCTCCAGCATGGAAACGTCCTCATGGTCTCCATACTCCATTTCCTCAGAGTGGGAGAAGACGATGGAGTCACCGGTCATGCTGGTCCCATAGGGAGCTGCATTTTCCTTGCCCATCCAGGACCGTCTGTTCGGGATCTGCATGCCCTGTGGATGGTAGGAGTTGGGCACGCTGGAAGGAGGAGACGGATTCTGAGCGTGACGGTCTCGCGACGCCTGACCCCGTCGACGCGCATCCCAGCGTCCCCATCCGACCTTTTCAAAGATCACTTCACCATTCACTCCTCCGCCTTCACCAACACTACCTCTGCCTTCCAGAGCACCGACTACCAGTCTGCGCGCTTTCGCTGGAGGGATCCCCGCGAAGCCTGGAACAGAAGTTGTCAAATAGCCCATCACATGGCGGATCGCCAGCGGGCCATGGTTCAGCAAGATCTCAGGAAGATGATACTTGGCAAGCATGGCGGGCGTGATCGCTCCTGCGCTCTCCAGACCACTCAAACCAGCAGTCAGGGAAGACTGCTGCGGCTGGCCCTGGCTCTTGCCGTGGTCCGTCGCGTCCTGGAGATCGATATCCGAGTCCACCTGGGCGGGTGCTGAGGGAGGAGTGCCAGCCATCTTGGCTTGGTGTTTGAACGCCTGCGGAGGGAGCGATGGCGATATGGAGTTGGGAGGGGTGGGCAGTTGCCCATGATGATGGCCGGAACGAGCAGCAAAGCTGTCCCTACCGCCACCCGACGCGAAAGGCGAATCGCGAGGTCTGGGTATATCCATCGATGCAGTCTTACCAGCGAGCGCCATGGCGATGCTGGAAGTGGCAGTTGGAAGAGCCATGATCACGAGGGGTCTGAAGGGTGCACTGTGACCGAATGAGTCAGATGATGGCTCGGACAGAGAGGCCACGAAGCCCGTGGAGATGGGTCGGGAGATAAGGGTAGATCGAGAGATAGCAGATGGGCAGCACGAGGAGATTATTATATCTGACCACAAGCAAGAACAGAGGCACTCACGTCACGCTAAGGCGACTATCCAGGGTTCGATCGACGTGTTGACACGGTGCTGGGATGAGCAGACCGTGACGGACGAAGCTACCGGGAGTATGCGATGCGATGCGATACAATAGCGGTGACGGGGGTAGACGATCGCGAAGTCGAACAGAGCGGCGCAACGCAACTGTCCTAGGAAGACGAAATGCGAACGGAACGTGGATCTTAAACTGGAATCTCTCTCTCGGTTGAGAAGAGAGGAGAGAGAGGAGAAGGAGAGGAGGAGAGAAAGAGAGAGAAGCGCAGGAGGCAGCGCGTACAAGTAACTAGCAGGGCGTTCGGGAGCGGGGGCGATGGTTGCGGCCTGTCCGGGCGAAGGTACCGTTCGATTACACAGGGGAGGTACGGTGAAGGTACGGGGGAGGCGGTATGCGTAGTATGGCGATCTGGCCCAGAGACGAACAGCTGCAAGTACCTGGCAGGTACTCCGGTGCTGCACGGCGGGAAACGGTACGGGGCCTGACGGAGACGAAAGCTCCTTTCCCCCAGCAGATGCAGTTGATGGACGAATTGACTAACCAACTAACTGACTCTAGCAGTCTCTAGTCGCTCCCATCTGCTCCACGAGACAATGGAGATTCCTCGAGATAGCTTGAAAGTCGCGCGTGGGCCGTCTGGTTGGCCGTCAGTGGGGGAAACAAACGCCGGGAGCTCCCGGGGCGTTCATCCGCCCGGTGGTGGATATAGTAGTGATTCTAGTGATTCTAGTGATTCTAGTTATTCTCCTAGAGTGAGTATTATTATTATTATTACTATTATTGTGGTATCGATGGAGTTCTAACTCTAGAGTAATTATATGTAGTTAAATCACTCAGTTTCCTGTCTTTAGGACCTAGGTATAACTCTCTAGTGTGTATTTATCTCTCGTCCCCACGCCCGTAGAGTCTTCTCCAGGCGTCCACTAAGGGGGTCTTCCGGTGTAGAGTACGGACCGACCATACATAACAGATGCACAAGGAGTGCAGCGATGTTCTAAGAAACATGATGACGGACGAGATCGCAGGGGAATCCCCGACTGAGCAGAATTCACCCGAAAATTCTCGTGCATCCAGCTGATCTGATCCTTCCGTCCATCCATCCATCCATCCATCATGATGCTGCTCGTTCTCCTCCCACGGCCCCAAGGGTCCAAGCCATCGTGGTTCCCGGTCCAACCCTATCTGTCTATCTATCTACATTAATTTTACATCCAGTCTTATCAACCGTCGCGGCACGTGGACCCTCTTCGACTGCGCCAGGCTCCCCGCGTGCGTTGAACGCCATCGTCACTGGCTGCACAACGTGCACATTGTACGGTCGCGATCCTCCTCATCCAAGTACCCCGCCACGCCACGATCCTGATCTTGGATGCGTTCCTGACGTCAACGCGTCGGAGCCAGAAGGTCGCTGACTCCGTATTTATTATTCTGGTATTATTCATTCTACAATATTCTCTCGTTGTGCGGTGGGGTTGTGGAAAAGAGGGCAGTGTTGCTGGACAAGCGAACCAGCAGTTGGAAGATACACTCGTGGCTTGCTCTGCTCGTTAACGATGACTGGCAGTGGAAAATATGGGCATTTTTCACTAGACTACCGTTGCCTACGTACCATAAGATGGACCATACAGTGGATCTCAAGGAATGCTACATTCCTTTCCAAGAAGTGACGTTTTACATACGTGCCGTGTCCATGGAAGTTTTCTTCCGTCTGTTCAATGAGCCATTTCGGAAATCTGAGACCGCTACGCTGGAGTTGATGTCGTCTCAGGATTGATGCACATGTCGCTTGTCAAGCCTGTGAATGGGTCATAGTCAGTCATTGGTAACTAACTACCTAGGTAGAATCTCGTAGACATTGACATCCTCTATCCAATGTCTGTCGTCCATAAACGGGAACTTGAAAGCTGTCTTGGCACAGATATTATTATCTTACGAGACCACATGGTTAGTCTTGCTATGCATATCTTCTGCTCTTGCTGCAATATGCAAAATCTACACAATCATGTTATGCTGCTTCCTTGCAGGGTGGAAACTGGGTTGCGCTTGGTTATGACTCGGCTATAAATAGACATAGGTCTAGGTCTTGAAAAGAATGCTGTGACCTGGTTACGTATATGCCATATGGGAATGTCATATCTGTCATTCCACTGTCCCTGAAGAAATACATACAAGGGAGCAGCCCGAAAATATTGGTATGCACTGAGTCACTGACTGACATCTGGAGGAAGCACAGAGCTGTGTCGCCTTTCACAATGTGACAGCTAGCGACTCTACCGCCGTTTTCAGCCAAGTCGAGGAAGTCTTTATCGGTCTTCTTCTTGCCTCATGAAGCATGATGGAGGAAATAATACCTGATATCACTAGGAATCAGGTTTCGACCTTCGATGCGGCTGGACCCGATCACTATCCCGCTCATTTTACCCCTCTTGAGGGGAAGGAAGGCCCTCGGTGATCTATTTTCAACGGAATGAATAAGCTCGAGCAGATTCTCATCAAGAATCACGGGGAACATCTCTTGACAGAAACGCCCAGAGTCGACTTTGTAGTCTGCAATATGACCTGTCCTCTGGGAGGACTTTATCGACTCAACTTAATAAACAGTTGCCTCTTTCTGGGGCGTAGATTCAAAGCCACACAGCGTCAGTGTTCCTGGATGCGGTGGTTTCCTGGATATATTATTCGGCCAGAACTACTATCCAGCTCATAGGTATTTTTCCTAATCGACGTCGTATCTAAATCAGGAAGGTCATCACGCTTTCAACGATGGCACACGCGCAGATGTTGCACTGTCTCTGGCAATCGTCCTCTAGATATATGTATCAAGTATCTGTCCTGTTATTCCTGTCGGCCGATTATTGTACCGTTAAAGTTGGCGGGTCTCCGCGCAAGCGAGGTCTTCGGATCGTTGACATTTAGTTACCCCCCTCCCATCAACAACCCGTTTTGTAAGCTGATCGGATCGTGAACTCGCTCGTCGTCTCATTACCGGCACGACCATATCCGATGAATGACCATCTGATCGGCTCAATTCCGTGCAAAAGAACCCTCTGGGGAGGAAGTGGAACACGCGGCCGCGGTCTACGAAGAGGGGAAATCTGCTGTGGGCTTCTCACAGCGCCTACACCGGGAGCGCTGGAGAGCGGAGTGAAATAATATGATGCTGTCCACATCCAAGAACATTCGCAGTGTCTTTTGGCGGGGCACGGTGGACAACGGTAGACTGCCGATGTAGTTCCCGTTCGAGGAGAAAAGGAACTACACCTTCCTATGCCCCCCAAAGGAGAGAGTCGGTCATAACGTCGTTTGCGACATCCGCAGTTTTCGGGAGCCATCTAGCGGATGTGGTGATTGCCCGGCCGATGCAACACCGTCGAAGACCAGACCCTGACTGACCCATCGGAGAAAACACGGGGAAAAGTAAACTATCGGGTTCGTAGCTTCTGCGTAAATCATTATCTTACCTGCACTTCTCTCGTCTACATATTACTGCTCCTTCGTTCGTGACTCGTTTCCGCTGAAGGAACCGTAGACTCGGGAACCTTGACAAAGATGGCATCAAACATGACGGCGGGGGAATACTCCCCTGTTGCTGAAGCTGATCGTATCTTCAAATATCTCTGTGACCAGTCTGAACGACTAAGCCTACCGTCGGAGGTATCTGCGAACAAAGATGCGGTGTCGTTCTACTCGGCCGCCAACGAAATATATTATCCGATCCCGTTCAAAGAGACAGAGACGATCGCTGCGTTGAAAGGAGTCGAGGGATCCGTGGCTGCCGCGATTGCTGATTTGCGGTATGGCCAACCGGCACAGAAGAGAAATGTGAAAGTGAGCTTGGAGAAGGCGACTTGCTTTGGTTGTCAGGCGTATATGGCAAAGGTAGACGGACTGGGAAAGTTGGATGCGGGCGTTAGAGCGAAACTGAAAGGTCAGCCAGCCATTTCAAGCATTTCATATTACTACTATCACATGTGACTTCCGTTTCGAAAGCAACGCGTAAAAATCATAGAAGTCGATATACTGACGGTTTCCAGATACGGATCTCCTGGCCGCTCAATCTAACGGCTACCGTCGGATGTCTGCCAATCTATACGAGACCAAGAACGATGGGGAATTCTTCCATATCCATGGCTCGCTGGAGGCTAGCACTACGTTGAAGATGATCGGGCTAGAACCGTATCGACCGGATCTCACAGATTATCACGACATCATCAAGGTGATCGAGAGCCAAGTCAGGAAGTTTACCACTGCCGAGCTGGAGGACATGAACCGTGAACGGAGACAGGCTGGTGTAACTGCATACAAGTACGAGGATTTCATCAAGACGCCACACGTAAGCAACTTCTCTCTTAGTATAAGAACAGCAGATACGCTAATACTGGACGCAGGGAAAACTCAATGTACAGGAGCCTCCGTGGAAGGTTACCCAATTGAAGGGCAACCTGCCTCCCACTCCATTCCCAGCCCCTTCCACGGGAGGACAGAAGCCCCTAGAAGGCATCAAGGTTCTTGAGCTTTGCCGTATCATTGCAGGTCCAACCGTCACACGTGTGCTGGCGGAGTATGGCGCAGACGTCCTCAAAATCACCGGCCCCAACCTGTCAGATGTGCCCTTTTTCCAAGTGGACGGTAACATGGGCAAACGTGCTGCGGATCTAGACTTGAAATCTGAGCCAGATCGTCGACGATTCGAAGAGTTGCTTGCCGATGCGGATGTTGTCGTGGACGGCTATCGTCCGGGGGCCATTGAGAAACTTGGCTACGGACCTGATGCGCTTGCTGCCCTGGCAGAAAAGCGTGGGAAGGGTATTGTCTACGTGAACGAGAACTGTTTCGGCTACGACGGCGAGTGGGCAGACCGTGCAGGATGGCAGCAGATTGCAGACTGTGTATGTGGCAATCTCTTATTCGTGATCAGTTGCTCTTTTGTGCAACATATCCCATTCCCCAGCTGGACACTTTTGTACTGATCTTTGAAACCCACAGGTCACCGGAATCGCCTGGGCCCAAGGAAAATTCATGGGCCTCAACGAACCTGTTGTCCCTCCGTTCCCCATCTCCGACTACGGCACCGGTTGCATGGGAGCCATCGCAGCACTGACGGGTCTGTACCACAGAGCTAAGACCGGTGGCTCCTATCACGGAAAAGCGTCCCTCATGCACTACGACCTGCTCCTCTTCGCAGTCGGCCAGTACTCTCCTTCCGTCCAGGAGAAACTACGCGCCTCTCTACCACCTGAATTCTTCCAGATCCGTCACCACGACAGCGTTGACCGGATTTCCGCAACGGCATTGAAGATCCTCCGAGAACGGTTCCCCCACCTTTTCGTCTCTCCTGACGACAAGTCCGGCAAGGAATCCTACGTGGAGAAATGGTGGTCGAAAGGATACAATGCCGACATCGAGGTCGTCCGCCCAATCACCGAGATTGACGGTATCGAGACAGGCTTCGTAAGAGCCAGCAGACCAAACGGCACCGATAACGCATCGTGGGACGACTTTTCCAAAACAGAAGAGGACTATAAAAAGAGCCAAGCAACTAATGGCGTGAATGGAAACCACATCTAGAGGCATCGAAGCGTTGTAATTCTTTTTTTTGTTTTTACGTCGTCATTGATGCATTTGATGATATCCTGAAGAGCCCTATATAGGAATATATAGACACTATCCTCCACCTTTGCTCTGCGGCCAATGTAAGTATCCAGCCTATTTTCCAATAGACATCTGCAATGAGAATCTTCTATTGTAGTCTCTCATATAAGCATATAAGCATTCATTCAGTTTGACAATACCCTGATAAGTCAGTCCGTCATGGCCTATGTTAGTTAACTTCTCTTGTAACCACAAAAGCTACTACGCAGCTAAACATGGAAAGTAAATAACTAAGAGAGCTCCTGCTCTCAAGCACGGGGAGACAATACCTACATAACCCAATTTTGTAGATACGATACGCGCAAACATCGTTGCGGCAAAGGGTTCTAAGAGCAATGTGGTAATATAGAAACTTGCGTTAGATAACCAGTTCTCATAGAAAAGGGACCACCATATGGAGTATTATACTATTACCCGAACATTATTATCGGATATGCACCACCTCCTAACTACCTAATATCTAACTGAGTAATTGTTCCCATTCATAGAAACCTCCATTCCAAATATACACCACATACGACTGAAAGGGGAAAAACCGAAAGAAGAAAGTTTCATAAGCAAATGAATACAAGAATGACAATCCAGAATCTATGGTACAGGATTTCCATAACAAATGCAATCGAATTGAATCCCCCCCACTAGATACATCCAAAGTCATCGGCCCGCCGCCCTCTCTCCGACTCCGATAAGTAACGATAGCCGAGGACTAAGAATCGGAGATGCGTCCGATGTTATTCCGAAGAAGCATCATGTATTTGGAAACTTTGGGAATGGTAAGTAATCATACTGGAGAGATGGTTCGGATAAATCTAGCCAATAACTTTGGTGGGAGAGTACATACATAACTCGGTTGACTTCAGGTCCTAGTTTAGTTGTTAAGTTACCTAGCTAACCAAACAATAACTAATTGTTAATATCGTGATTAATAATGTATGTTGGACGCCCTTTGACTGACTGATTTCCCCTCTAACTATGCTAATAATAAACTTAATCAGTGGTCATATCTAATCACAGACGTCATTCCATTCTTCTTGTCTTTCTCTTACCCGCGGAAAGGTGATTCGAAAAGCGTGTTCCCGAACAACCTCATTCAAACCTTGGGATATTTATCGGGTTCTCTCCATTTCCCTTTGATTTTACGCCAAAATCAGTGAAGAAAAGGGGGCAAAATGTCATACACCATAGCATACGATACTTCATCCGCGCCGTCAAAGGGCCGCGAGCTGGTCTCTTTCATGGAGGAGTTCTACGCGACGAGCGACGACCCCGCAGCACACGAAAAGTATGCGAGGAGCTTCACGCCAGATGCGACGCTGATTATGGGACCGAAGGTTGGAAAGGGATATGACGGTATGTGGTCAACTTTTCTTTTCTTTCTTATTTTCTTTATTTTTGAACCGTCTAGTTATTGTTACCTTTTCGGGTCACTATGGAAGTAGGCTCTTTTTTTAAGAAATAGGGAGAGAAAAAGATGCCACCACTCCTTTCACTGGCCAAGACGACAAGGTTTCATTTTTTGAAATTGTACTGATTAGTCGAGCACAAAAACAGAAATCCTTGCGCTACGTCATGGTCTCTGGACGCACGTAGCGTCGCGAAAGCACACTCCCGTCAAGGTCTTCTTCGGCGGAGAGAACGAGCTCATGCTATACGGCAAGGTTCTCTACACTCTCAAGGCCACTGGTAACCAGGTCGAGGTGCCCTGGGCCGGACGCGTGGAGTTTGCCTTCGACGAGGCTGGAGCTAATCCCAAGATGAAGTTCTACCAGGTGTATCTGGTACGTAGACCCAGAATGACATCCTGGACCTATACGAGGACTTTCTTCCCCAAGATTGGAACTCCCGCTAATCGTCATATCCAGGACACTGCCTCTCAATCGGGTAAATGAGCGAGACAATAGATATATTCCCATCATCTCAATGCTCCTCATGATTCCTCGCCTCCATGATATGACGATCGATCATGTGAATGGCGTGGTTCCGTACAGATGTATCTGGCTCGGTAGAAGATCGGCTGAATCTTGATTCAACGGCCATAGAGCGTCAAAATGAATGAATTCTTCGTGAATGGTACTTAGGTCCGGTCCAACTAGATCCTCAGAGCCAGGATAGATGAGTCCCTCGACGCTCTCCCCAGAGTGTTGTCCGTTAATTCCTGTAGCGGTGATGTCCTGCATCACGTCTGATTGGGCGTCTTTAGATCGCCAATCCCATGTGTTCTGTGCAGACAGGTAATTCGACGTCATCGCGTTATTAGTTGGAGAGAGGCCAGCCACGGCAGGCTGCGTGGCGTTGAAGAGGTTCTCGATTGGATCTTGCTGCGTTGATTCCTTCGCCGGCATGTTGGAGGTCTTTGCGTAAACAATCGTCTTCTGAAAAGACGTCAAAATCGTCAGATATCGCTTCGACTGCAGGTCGGTTTCAGCGCAGTATTGGTGAAGCGCGAGGACTCTCTGAGCGATAGAGTCGTTCTCAATTAGTGAGGACTATAAGCCCAGCCGTGAACATCCAATGTCTAATTAACGTCAGTAAGGCCACACGCTGCATACCCTGCTTGCTACTCACATGATAAATGGGTTTCGTCGCGGAAGACACCCCTTGACTCGAATGGCCTGGATGGCCCGGATCATATGGATTGCAGAGCGAACACACGCAGCCGAGTATTTCTTCAGCTCTGGATTCTCTGCCACCTTGTTCTCAGCTGGAGAATTCGCGTTTGGCTGAGAGGCCTGGGACCCGCTAAGGTGCTCGTCGAGGATCTTCTTCACGTGTAACAGCAGGAATGGACGAGTGAGCAAGACGATGTTTTGAAAATACATCAGCCATATATGGAGCTGAGCCAGAGCGATCGCAGGGTCGTCATGGGGAGTTGGGACAGGATTCCACTGGAGGAATTCGGGTAGAGACTGTGTCCAGTTATGGATGTCGACTGCAATACCCCGGGCGATCTTGAGTGATATCTTCCGTTTCCTGTAGACGCGATTCAATATAACGCCTAGGATTTTGGCGGACTGAACAGAGGCAGTGAGCGTATCGGAAAGGAAACTCTGGTCTCCGTGAGGTGGGTTTGGCGCAATGTTGTTAGATGAGAACAATGCATCCGAACAGTCGTCATCATGGATAGCTGTCGGACGGCCCAAGCAGGCAGAAATAAACCGGTCCATGACGTAGAGACTTTTCCAAAGCATCATTCTGTCTCCTCAGTTAGTCGCTTCTCGCAGGACAATGTGCTTGCCAATTCCATGCAGGGCGATCTTGACGGGGCTAGGGAAGGAGTACCTATGTACGGACGTTGAAACCCTTTCCGACTCGTTGAAGATAAGCTGTGTCTCTACCCGATGCAGCCCTAGGGCATAAGCTAACCTGACTGCCATTCCTGCACAAGAAAGGTCAGAGAAATCCAAGCTTGACAATTGTGGAATGGGGAACCAACCGAAATACGCCCAGGCAGTATTGCGCTTAGCCGCCGTCAACATATACAGCGTCATTAATAGCAGGGCTTGTATCGAAGCAAAATCTCCATCCTCAAATCCAGAAACCGAGTCCCTGAAATGCTTTGCTGCGACAAAAAACATTTCGCTTCTGTCCACCTTATCCGAGCTCAGCCGTCGTAGGATTGCAGCTTCAGATGCGGACCGTTGTGGACTGGCGGATCGCAGTTGAAGACCATTTGCGAATACCAGATTCAATATACAGAGCCACGATGGTTCGGCCGCCAGCGGGTTCTGGTACGTCCTGTCGACTTTCTGTTTGAATAAACATTCGTCGAAAATGTGCATGATCCCCTTTGTCTGTTACTAGATATTAGAAAATTATTCAACCATATTTGACGACGGCTATGTTGACCGACATTAGCAAAGAAGGACTCCACCAAGAAGAAGGCAACTTCTCGATCTGGCAATGTGCACGTGTGTTGATGGGGTGGCGGAATTGACACTGAGGCTTCGAGAATCTTATGCCGCTGAGGATCGATTGTAAACGCAGAAGAACCCACAACGGTGCCAACCAACTGTCGGATGGTTTGCAGGTATGATAAAGGCGCCGAGTCACCAATGTATACTAGATGCTCTTTTGATAAGACATCGTTCCGATTCGAAAGAAATCGAAGGTCAATGGACACGTACACATTCTCCCCTTCCCATCATTCAACATGCGTGAAGCCTCCTGCATCTCCGCCTCATCGGTCTCCGAACTCCCACTCTGCCCCGCAGGCTGTCGTGATGAATCCATCTCGTTCGTCGAGGGGAGTGGATCGCCAGTTAGAATGCTTTGCGAAGTTGGTGATTGATGTATGACTGCTCCTGCGCCGAGTCCATCTTGACTCTGAGTCGACTCGCTCATGCTCCCTGATACAGAGAACGAGCCTCGAACATTGCTATCCCCACCTTCGATAGAAGGAGCAGACATTCCCCGCCTCCACTGCCCTTCAGGACCGTCACGGTGTTTCTGGCTGAGGCGCCGTTGGGTAGTGGCTGGCACAGGCTGGATGAACATGCAGTCCACGGCGCGCTTGGAGCAATTGTCGCATGGATAGGTACCATTGCACTAGGATGGAAAAGATCAGTCTTGTGCGAGGCGCAAAAACCCGATAAGGATCGAGGAGATGCAGTATGGAATTCATGATTGCTACCTTCTGTTTCCTTCTCTTGCAATTTTCACAAGCCCTAGCAGCCCGAATCCTGTTCTCGGGCGCCACTTTTTGGCGAGCCATTGTCGGGTCCTCGCGGAGTCAGCGTGATCGGATGGCAGCTTTCGGATCGATCATTGTTAACTATCCCCTGCGTTACTTAGTTGATCGGAAAGAGGGGAGTGTCCGTACGACAGCCGCAAACTGCAGCTGGCGACGTGCTTCAGACCAGTCGCTTTAGCGAAGAAGCGCGAATGAATAATCAAGCAAATAAGTTAACCAAGTTAGTTAATGCACAAACTTCAAGAGGAGATGGCTTTCTCCACAAGAACGAAGGCGTCGCGCGAAGTCGGGGTAACTGGTTGGAGTTTGGAGATCCTCCCCGGCTAATGATTCCGTCTGACTTTCGGCAAAGGCTAACCATCCGAGCAGACGTCAACGGCCCGTCTAAATTACATTATCGTACTCATCAACAGCTCGCTTTATCTACATAGCCTCATCGTTCCCCCCGCGTCCCAAGATGTTGTCTAACAGTGACCCCTCTTGCCCTGCTGTTGGCAACCAGAATCCAGTTCCACAACAATGCCGTACCTCTTCATTCAAGACCACAAGCTGCACTATGCGGACTCCCATCCGCAGGGGGCCCCAAGCGGCGGATTGACCTTCATTTGTATCCATGGATTGGGATCCTCTCAGAATTATTATTTCCCTGTCATTCCTCATTTGACAGGCAAGCATCGTTGCATCGCTTTCGACAGCTATGGCAGCGGACGATCGAATTACACGGGTCTGCAGACGAGCGTGGAGTCTATCGCCGAAGACGTGCTATCAATTATGGGCGAGCTGGAGATCCCAAGAGCGGTCATGGTTGGCCACTCCATGGGTGGCATGGTTGTGTCCCATCTGGCGGCTACACAACCTGACAAGGTCCTTGCAGTCGTGGCCATTGGGCCAGTGCACCCGGAGAGTAGTACCGCAGAGGTCTTTGAGAAGCGAATTGGAATGGTGACTAAATGTCAGTTGAGTGTTGCCATTTGGTCTACCTATACTGATTCTTCTATGAATACTGACCATCGCAAAACAGCTGGAATGGAATGTATGGCAGACTCGATTCCTAACCAGGCAACGGGTTCTCGCGCAACAGCGCTCCAGAAAGCCTTCATTCGGGAACTGATCTTGAATCAGACCCCTCTGGGCTACGCTGCAGCTTGCAGGGCCGTCGCAACGGCACGCCCTCCTAATTATGCCGGTGTAAAAGCACCTTTCCTGCTCATTGCCGGGCAGGAAGACAAGTCGGCACCAATGGATGGATGCAAGTTCATCTTTGAAAACATCCAAAGCCAGAATAAGAAGATGGAAGTGCTTCCGGGTGTTGGGCATTGGCACTGTGTCGAGGCCAGCGATGAGGTTGGCAAGCTCATCGCCGAGTTCGCAGGAACCCTTCAGGCTTGAGACTTTGGGGGCGTGGAGCCGACCATTTGTGATAATCAACTTTCTACGATTAAGCGAATAGACATTTTACATTATAGAAGGATTGTGATCGATTCTCGCGAAAGATAATATAAAGCCGGAGCTTTCTCTTAGTCAGTGACTATCATGACGAACTTATATTATGGGAGCTATCCCAGTCACTTTATGGAATAACTGGAAAGAGCAGAGGTTTTTGGTATCAAATTAAAGAAACAATAGGCGACAGCTCATTATTAAATACAGATAAATCATTAGACTCCATTCGTCTTGACGTTGCCAGGAACAAGCCTAACATCATACTCCAGCTCAAGCGCAGCTTGAGGATCATCCTTTCGAGGAACGAAGTCCACAATCAAAGAGTCCTTGACCGCAAAGACAGAGTCGTTAGTGAGGTAGCGATCGCTGCGGTCGAAGATCTGTGTCGTCAGAGGCCTGTAGCCCTCGTATGTCACCTGAGGGGAGTTAGCTGCGCTATTTCTTCACATGTAGCTGAGAAGAGATCAGGATGTCATCTTACCAGGAGATGGATGTGTGCAGGACGGAATGGATGTCTGTCCATAAGTTCCAATAGCTTTCCAGCGGGGCCTAAGTGAACATCAAGTGTCAGACCATGCGGTAACGACGGTGTGGGGACTGCACATACCATCATCTGGAACTGGATAAGGAGTAGGTCTCAAGCAGTAGAAGTAGTATCTGCCATCCGCATCCGTGGTGAATTTACCCCGTAGGTTGTGCTCGACCTGGTTCGGATCCTGCTGCTCATACAAGCCGTTGGTCGAGGCCTCCCAGGCTTCAACGACCGCACCAACGAGTGGCTTCTTCGTGACAAAGTCCACCACTCTGCCGTGCATGAAGACCATCTCTCCATCGTCGACGCCCGTCACCATGTTGTCACCATTCTTCCGGTGGGGAGTATCGTGACGGAAGAAAGGTCCCAGGATGGCGGTTGCGGTGGGTGCATCTGCTGCCTGTTCAGCCAGCTTGAAGGTGATCTCGTCCACAAGGCTGTGCTTCCTTTAGTATATAACCCTCTTCGGTGTGTCTGCTGCTATCAGAAGTATGTACTTACGACTCCAGTCCGATGACATCGCACAGAAGTTGGCCCTCGTTTCGTTTGTGATCACTCATCTGACCGGCCCGATTGATGAAATTCACACCGGTCATCCACTCATCAACAGTGATTTCATTCTCCCGTGCAAAGTCATGAATATGCCTTATCAGACTGCTCATGACCTGACGCATGCGGGGAGACGTCTTAGGGCCCATGGCGTTGATGACATTGTCTGTGAAGTTGGGGTCGAATCGATGAGTCGCCATGGTTAGGTAGTTCGTTTTTGAGGTCCTTCTTCCCGTTTCTACGTATGCAAGTTCTAACTGGATGCCTGGACACGAGGGACGAGGAATGGGATCACTCTATATTAGAGGTAGAGAAATAAGCTTTTGGAGAAATCTGGGGAAACTATAAACCAAAAAGAACAAGGAGCATGAGACACCAGCATCCGAGCGCATATGACCTTATTTATTGAGTTAGAGAGAACGGTTGAATTGATAATCATAGCGGAATGTTTGGAGTCCAGCTCGTGCCACCTGAGATGCATGTCTGTTCCGAAGGTCACCTCCAAAGACCCCGCTAAGAAGTCCGCAGCCTCGGATCACCTAGTTCTCAGAACAGTAATACCTAACTAATCCCGTCCAGACAGCCGGTGACTGGTACTTGTCGGATACGGTCCATCCTCGATCCGAGCAGAATACCACAGCGACAGCAGAGTCGCTCCTCTGCAACCCCACACCGTTTCGGATCGAAGACAAGGACTAGTTACTTATATAATAAACGTTAAGTTAGGGCACGTGGCTAGGGCTGTGGCCCTGTAATTATCCTATTCCTGACACCTAATTGGATCATACCCCAGAACATACCCCGCGTCGAGCGAAGATCGGATGTACGGAGTAATAATAATACAGTAGTAGTATGCCTCTCAGCTACACATAATTGTGCATTTGTATTCAATACAGTAAATCCTAGCTATAACGAATTGAATCAGACCGGCACTTTTGTTCGTTATAGCGTGGTATTCGTTATATCAAATATTAGGGAAAGGTAATTTACGTCATGTGATCATGGTAAAGAGGAGAAATTTTTCAATATTATGTAATAGATACCTGAAAATAAAGGGATTTTATTGGCTATTTCAGGATTTTTACACGTGACATATTACTTGTTATAACGAATCCCCATACAAAAATGACAGCCAGCTAGGGATTTGTACCGAATTTCGTTATAGGGCAGATTTAACGAATTTTGTATGGGGGTTTGAATTAGACACGCTGTTCGGTTCGTTACAGCGAAAAATTCGTTATAGCTAGGTTCGTTATAGCGAGGGTTTACTGTAATAATCATTCGGCGTCCCCTTACAAAGTGTGTCATTCTTCTGAGATCTTGACAAAATCCTTATTCAATGATATCCCCTGCTCCAAGGATCTGAAATTAATTACCTAATAAGTCGGCTTACAAAGCGAACACCAGGTGATCTGTCAATCATCCGTTTGCGGCAGATTCTTTGAACTGATTATAGGGTTGAACCCACTAGGTTATTAGATCACTAGGATCTAGATTCTTTGTATGCTCAAGATAGATATGGGATCAAATCGTCACTAGAATTGGAGGTGAGCACGCAGTTCAAGTCATATAGGTAGACGTTGCTTCCGTGCTCAGGAATTCGACAGTATATCTCCCTCGTTCGGGTCAAGCTGAGGTAGCGATAGATTCATTCCCCTTAATAATGGAGTTTTCCGATGCTCTTGGCAAATATGGCCCCACGAAAATGTGACGCAGATGCTTATATCAAATAATAGAGCATAGAGCAATATGCTAGGACTTTTCTGAATACCAAGAATATGGAAGTTGTCTTACCTAGTAGTCTTTCCGGTGTGGGGAACTTGGGCTGCAACACGTCTCTACTACCCGCAACCAAGATGATACACACTATCTTGAACCCACGGTCAGATTCCATTTGTTCGTATAGTAAGCCAAGTCTACAAGTTTTTCATTTCTAGTCTAGGGATTTGACCCGCTCACTTTGTCCTGTTCAAGCAGAGTAAGGAAGATGTCCTTGAGCCTATAAAGAAATCCAATGATCCGAGCGCGATTTTGCAATGATAAAAGACCCTTTAGTAACTTTCGCGATCGAAGAGCAAGAAATTGCCAATCAACAGGTGTTCTATTATCGATCAGATCTTGAAATTCAAAGATCAACTCTGTATGGCAACGGCTCTGCCAGTACGTATCAGGTAACCGCCATCCGAACGCAGTGAGGATATTTTCTGCATCCTGGCTATGTTGATCATAATCAATTGTCTCAATTATCATGATTGATATTTCGAGAGGAATGTGAGATAAGATTGACTGCTGCTGTCGTTTCTGCCGGTGCGGCTGTGGGGGATCCTTATCTCGACAGGAAGAGGCCTTCCGTGCACGAGCTTTTTGAATGAGATCCCTGATATCTGATATAAGTACTGGATTTCGCCCTGTCGGCGCCGTCTTTTCCCACGGATGATTGCCATGGAGACATTCGCTTCCCTCATGCTTGAAACAGAACTCCTTAGGAGAAGGTGTCAAATACCACCACTTATTGTTTTCCTTCCAGAACTGCAAAACTGCTTTTACAAAATTCTTGAGATTGGCTTCTACCAATATCTGCCCAATGACACGGTCAACGAGTAGCCAGCAGTGTGGGTGAACCGTATACCCAATTTCTTGATCCTTTTCCTTGTTTGTGTCCTGACCTAATATATTCGCTGTGTGAAAATAAGCAAAATCTCTGTTAGAGCTTGGGCACGGCCATGGCCCGGCAAGGTAAGCAAGCCCCGAATCACGTGGGACTGGCGTGGCAGTACATGCATTGAGGTTCAGTTGATTAATAGTAATCCCTGAGATTGCGAAGTGGTCATTCTTCGATTTGTGGAGAACTATACATTTATATATTTAGATCTATATTAGTAAACAATGTACGCATTCCATCCGTAATTCCTAATATGGAGGTAAAAGGAGAAGGGGAAGGACAAGGAATCATAATACTTGTTCTATAAAGGCACATCCACAACCAAGGTTCGCTGTGAAAATATATGCTCTCGAGTTGCTTTGCTTGTACTGTCACAGTCGACGTTGGGTTTGCAAATTGTTTCCACTCCTTATAATCCTCGAATGTTGGATCCGGTGAACCGCAGATCATTACTCCGCATACTATACAGCATTCATACGGGTCTCGAAAATGCGTATCAATAAAGAGAGCTTGATGCATTATTTGAGAATAAGCTTGTTGTACTCCAATCAGAATAAAAAATGTATGAAATGCAAGATGAGACAATATCTGCTATATACAAGTAATATAATTCAAGACAGTTATTATGTTGTTCTGATGTCATTCTGAGCCTTTCATTCTAGGCAGCATATGACTTTCTGTACGTAGTCGTCCTAAGTGTCAAGCCGGAGCTAGCCTCAATTATTCAAAGGAAATGGAATTATGTCGAATCCTTGAGCACAGAAGCGAGGCCTGACCTAAACGACTTGAATTGCTTGCTTGCTTCTAGATCTGGGGGGATTTGACCCCATATTTATCTTGAGCATACAAAGAACCTAGATCCTAGTAATCTAGTATAATCAGGATTCAAAGAATCTATCGCAAACGGATGATTGACAGATCATCTGGCGTTCATTTTGTAAGCCGACATATACACACAATATTAAATGAAACACGCTGTTTACAGTCAACTACAGTATTTCTTCAGAGGTAATGCCCCATCAGTGGTTATATCGATGTCTTTTCCTGCATGAACCCACTGGAGAATGTATCCAGATCGGCAACATCTTCTAGCTATTGTGCTATTTTCAGTTTACTTTCTAGGCGTGGTTAGGTGAAGATTATAGTAACTTCCTAGCAACAGGGAAATCGTATTGGACACTAAATACTTCTAGCGAAAGGGGTTCCTTATATCTGGACTTGTGCAAAGTTGAAAATGGAAGACAGCAAATCCTAGTAACGTTAAAGACCAAAGAGTTCTCTCTAATTCTCACTCCTGCGTCGAGTATCCCTAACCGGCTCAATTGTCGTCCTTAATACTGGACCCTTCGTCCTCAGTGGCATCCATCATTGAAAGTATGGTGGTTCAGCACCATGGAGTTTGTATTTCTGTTTTCTAGGGACGATGAACGTCTCAAATTGACCTCCGTTATACACAGTACCGGTTTCTGGATTATACATTCTATCCAGCCACTGCGAAAATGCCCGACAATTATCAACGAAGGCAGTATTGACATATATATATGATGCTCTGATCCATATGCGTTCAAATCCAGTTATAAGGGGTCCAACGTAGCGAGAGATATGGAGCTCGATCATATCATCGGAAGTAATTATCATCCAATATTCCGCTCCACAGAGATAGCAAGAGCGCACAAAACCTGGATTGATATCTCGAAGAAACCTTTTTGCAAACCTATCAATTCTGGCGTGCGGGCATATCGGAAGCCTTAAAGTTCGACATAGATGGTCAAAGCCATCGAGACCAAGATCCGAGATCCTCCCAAGATAGAACCGGGATATAAGGTGGTTGGTGCCTGGATTGAACTCCACATGCTCAGAAAAGCAGCCGCCAGCCTGGACTGTGACAGGTAATGTAAAATCCTTTACTCCATACATTAAGGCCCGCAGCTCGGCAAATACCATTTCATAACATATGCCAACCCATATCATCCTCGACTTATAGCGACAGCTGCGAGTGACTGCTATTGAGCAATTTTGCCTCTGCTCTTCAATTGAGAACTTCAAATTAACAGGTTTTAATAGGCCGGGAAAGCTTGATTTTGGGTGAGTTGTTGTGCACGCCCAACAACAAAAGGACCTGATGCCTTTCCCACAAAGTTTGTCAAATTCCATTAAGCGGAGGATATGAAAACGACCTTCGATAAAGTCCCAAGTTGGGTAGACTTTTGCATCCAGCAACTGTTGTATATTAACAAAAGTTTGAATACTGGTTCTCGCGTTCCAGAAACGAGCGCAGCTTATCATAAGACAAAAGGTCTCAGCCATAGGAAGATACTGACAAATGTGATAGATCAATTCGAGAGGTAGAGTGTATAGAGATGCTGGATGTTGCCCATTAAGGGTTCGTATTGTGTTCAGCCGTACTGAGTTGGCAATTTTCATTAATGCTTTATGATGCCCTCTCCTATAACCTATTAGAGGAGGCATTTTGTACAATGAGTATGGTAAAGAGTACAGATTGAGAGCTGGTGAACAGAATGTGAGGTGCGCCGCCTTAAGGAAATCCATTCTTATAGTTTATTACGAACTCTGAACGTAAGATATCGGTAGCGCTCTATAGGGTTCGCCCACACCTTTCCCCGTAGGATTTAGCCCATCGCACAGTAGATAGTAATACTATATAGCCTGATTCAGCCACTGGTTAATGAATCTAAGGAATCTGTACCTTCACATCCTTGAGGTCGTCGGCCTCCAAGATAATACATAGTGATGACTGTGCGTAGTGAGAGATCATACAGTACCTACTAAGTTACATCTTAGATAACCACTCGACCAAAACGGAGAATCTCCGGTTCGTCTTTTATCTAACTCCAACGTAGCTAGTAAAACTACCTAACCACTTCAACCACCAATTAGTCCCTACACATGCACGAGGGATCAACACAGGACTCAACCAGGTATTATGTATCAGATAAGGTCATCGACTTTTCCATCTTGGACAGAAAGCGGACTATGGCTAATTTATTCTGAGGTACATAAGGTATACATGTTTTCTAGTCCTCCAATTTCTCAATCTACCGTCTTCCCCATTAGGCTGCATTGACAGAGAGGCTCAATGTGGAAGTATCCCACTTCGACGGAGTGAACGAGGCGTTTGAATATTGAAAAGCGGCTTTAGTTATTGAATAGGCCCGGATCGTTGGTCTGTATTGATAGGCTCCCAACTGTATGGATGCTGATGTGGAACAGTAAAGCACCATGACAAATCTGGTTTCTTGGACACCATTTGGAGGATGACGGCTTTATGATAGGGATTGGGTCGACTCGTTTGATCTCCGGTGTGCGAAGGCATGGAGAGTGGTTAATTCTCTGGGTTGAAACAATAGCCAATGGTTCAAAACAGCTTGCAAAAATTGAAATGGACGGCAACAGTTTCAGTTGAATGGAGAGACAGCCCAGAAGGAAAATTCGAAGAGCAGCTCAATATAGCTACAGCCAGATGCCGTACCTTTTGGGAAAGTCATAGCTCGATTTTCTGTATCTGCGACTGTTCTGCATCGAGGAAATCGGGTCCTTGGATTGAGAAGCGCCTCGATCATGCGTTGTTGAATGGAGCGGTTCGATTGAAGCTTTGTTCATGAAATCGATTTGATGCCTGGTTCTTGTGAGTTCATCTTGGTTTCCCCGTCACCAGCACCAGAAGTGTGAATTCGACGCTCCAGTCGAGGCACCGGTGCCCTCCGCAAGGCACTGGTGAAATAGTATGACCTCCTTCACTTCCTCCCCTATCTCTATATACCTCTCATCCTCCTCCTCCTTCTCCCTCTCCACTTTCCTGCCGCTGGGCCTGCTGCCCTACCCCGTGCTCGATAGCTTCCAGCCAGAGCACCGCATAGGCGAACGCCGTCGCCGCCTTCCATGCTCGTGGCAGAGTATCCAGTTCCTCCCCAAGGCTCCATGCCTCTTGGGCTGCCCTCTTTCCGGTCACGAGAACATGTATACCTACGCAAACGTAGGCCACCGCCGTCATGACGGTTACAAAGTCTCTGATCACAGCCATGATTACAGCGAAACCGAAGACCGGAAAAGACAGGAAGGAAATATAGGAAGAAATGAATGGAAGAAATGAATGCGAAAGAGGACATAATTGACCTCTGGGGGGCACCAGTAATGGAAACAGCAGTTTTGGGAAGGCTCAAAGCTCAAATGTCACCATCAGCACCTGCCTCCTCCGGTATTCGTATAAGCTGCAAGGTGCGAGCAGTATCTGGATTCTGATGACAACACAAGCTCCCCTACCTGCTACAAACAGCAGTAGTCACGGTATAGTTTGATTCCCCTTTATCAGAAATTGTACATACTCATGATTTGTAGTACATGAGCATACCCGCCATCGCGCACGAAGTTAATGATCTCCGAAAAGACAGCGATGAATCTGCAATATACGGCATCTGGGATGTCATCCTGAACTGGACTTTTCCAGTCACAGCGGGATATATCACCCGTCCACAAGTAAGCCATTCGTTTCATGACGGCAAGAGAGGATATTCAGATTTTCATACATTCGAATTGGGAGTGCAACCGTGGAAACTCTTCCTCATCACACAGTGCAAGGCGTACAAACTGCAGAGTTATGAGTCTGTTTGGGATAATGGATACTTCCAGTTGCGAGAGTATATCCGCTCCCAGCACCCTGACAGGACTGCCACCTCCCCTATTTACGAGATCTTAGCTGTTGGGCAGCGCGTGAGCTTCTTCTTATTCAACCCTGTAACCCAGCACCTGCATGCATGGCGGCCAAGTGCTCAGTGGGCATTGGCACATCATACTGCTCATGGAAAGCGTCGGATTTCTAAATGTGAAATGCCATTCTAATATGTATCTAGCTAATAAAATATATAGCCTCTAGCTACTAAACTAATTGCCCATTCTGATATCTCCAATGTAGACATCCGTAGCCAAGTATCAACATCGCATCCTCCCTCTATCCACCCATCTCCACGTGACCACATCCTTCCCCTTTAGGCAATCCCCCCAAACAAAGAACACCCCTATATATTCCAGAATAACATAACCCCAATCAACAGCGGAGTCCAGATGGCGTAGTGGTCTGGAAAACCACCCACAGCTCCATCTAGCTAGAGGCTCCCTGTTCGAACCTCGGGGTCGGCGTGAGGGCGTCAGAGCCAAAAAGATTGCTCTGGGCTCCAGTGACCGTCAGAAACGTTCCTCAGTTCTTAGAGATTGCAAAAGCCTGCCCGCCAAAAGCAAGGTGGGCTTTTCGTAGCACCCCACGGCTCTCTGATATAAAGGAGAGGTGAGGGTGTGAGCTTTTTTTGAATTCGGCTTTTTTTTTTATTTGATGCTTTTCTTAAATGCTGGTTTATAGACACGGAGGACGCTTGTGTTCAAGCTGCCCTTGCATACACTTTGAACAGCCATTAGGTTGATACCGGATACGAGTTCAGATTGAATTATATCTAAGCTATCATACCTATCCTTCTACCTGGTTTCTTGTATTTTCCTCTGCCTTTCTGGATTCTTTTCCTTCTTTTCGGTTCCCTTTCGCCCCTCTAGTATCGACCCTCTTCCCCTTCGGATGTGGTTTCCCAGTCAACTCGGACGGCAACTCCTGGACGACCTTCCCGTTCTCAAAGAGAATCCCCAGGCCTGCCTTTCGTTCAACAACCACATCGAAGAACTCAAGCGGGACAACCTTCTGCTTGGTATCTTTTCCATTGCTCGCTTCGCCCGTATCCATACCCTCACTGAGAATGACGCCATTCTCACTCCGCCAAAACGGACACCCAGCCTCCAGCGCTTTTTTCAGATTAATGTATATCAGCACCTGCGCGTCTCTGCGCATTCCCGATATCACATGTCCGTTCTGGAGATCCTTCCTGCTATCCAGCAATTTTACTTGTCCACCTTGACCTTCTGGCATGATGGATTCAAGCGACGGCCCTGTCGCGAAGTGGACATGGTTCCGACTCATACATCGCAGTCCCCCGGAAGCCAGGATTGCCGGCCATGCGGCGTGATATGTACCATGCACGACTGTATCTGGAAGGGCCTTTGCAGTTTCTGGGGCATCGTCGGACAGAGATAGTCTTTCTAGGAATGAAGCCGCATCTACTGTCTTGATACTGTGTCCCTGAGTAGCGCGTATTAGGAAATGCGATGGATCTGAATCATCGACGGACAGCGCATGGGCCGTCGAGCTCTGCTGCTCCTGACTCGTAGAAGGCGCGGACCCAAGAATCGTCGAGGAATCGTCCTCCGCGGGTGTAGGCCCCTCGTGTGTTCCGTCTGCGACGGTAGATTTTGTAGGTTCTGCGGTGGCTTCTTCTTTCGATGTGTCGGCCGAAGCGGAGGGGATGTGTAATAGCGCAAAGCGCTTTTTATCTGACGAGTCGACAGCGTGCAAGATCTCAGGAAAGGTGACTTTGAGAGACTTGATCTTCTTCCAGGCTAGCTGTTTAGATAATAGCAATCAAATAGCCCGTCAGCATCTACCTTCGTTAAAACGGCAAACAGTGGCCAGAGGGTGGTTTAAGGCCAAGTGTACATACCACGTCCGCCACATTAGCGTAGCCTTGAGAATTCATCTTTAGCCCTTCCCTTTCCGCCGCATGTCGTAGGAGATAGCTTAAAGCTTTTGAGACTGCTACATCTCGCGACGGCTCACGTCTGTCTTTGCGCGGTCGAGACATGGTGGGCCGGTGATGGAGTGCAGTGCAGTGATGAAGGGAACGTATCCGCAATAGTCCCCGGCTGCTCAGAGCCGTAGCTGCTTTTCAAGGTTCGATATGCTCTATCTGTGTGATGGAGTGATCAGTTTTGATACAGGTAGTACTGTAGCGTGACCGGGAAAGAAAAAGAAGTAAGCGGTACCTGAGTCAGGAATGGCCCTCGTAGCTATACAATATAGAGCCACCGGCTAGTGATGTACTCTCGAGTTAGAATGCCTAGAGTAACATCTAACTGGATTCGTGAGCAAAGCAAACGCGTCTTTCTGCAGAATTTCCGCGTATGCGGGGTTTCGTAGAGCTTTCTCAGATTAGAGTAGATCAATTGTGGGGGCGCGGCGGATGTTCCGCTTGACATCATCGCTTCTTTTCCGCAGTCGTGCTGGTTACTGGATGTAGAAATTTAGAGAGAGATATCAGACATTCAAGCCTGCAATTTGTTGCAGTAGGTTATCATATTTTGTTGGCAATATAGCTGCTACGATCTCGGAGCAGCAGTCGACGACCTTGCGTTATTACTGTTATCCTAGTCCCATGGTTCCCACGATTGATATGGATGTGCAATATTTGTAGGCCTGTATAACTAAGCGACTGGTACACTTGAAATCTTCTATATAATACAATAAGTCCCCAATCCATCCTGGTGGAGGCGCTATTTACTCGCTCTTGGCCCTCGCACGCTCCGTCGCTCGAAATCTTCGCTTCGGGCAGAGCCAAATCCTCGCCTCCAAGAGGACGCCATTGAAAGGGTGAAGGACGAGGGACGCAATCAAAATGCACAAATGGCGCAGAAGAGCAATCAGTATGAGGAAGTGTGAGATAGTAACACACGGAAAAGTCTATCCTGCTGAAAATGTAATAATGCTTTGACTCAGGCATGATGGAGCTCATAGTGCCCAGGAATTCCATAGTCTCAAAGTTATGTTGTCCAACTGTAACAAACAGTCATGCGTCGGTGTTCTCATGCCTCCAGTCACGTCTCCAGTGTTCAGTACCGGATATTAGACAGTCGAGCGAGGATACACCACTGTTCAGTCCATGCAGAATTTTCTCCGCGTTGACTTCAATCTCGGAGTCCTTCTACCAAGAGATCATCGGTCACAAATACAGTTGCATTCTGCAACAGGACAGATCTTATGCCGAGAGAACCAATCTCTGGCATGATGAGCATGGAAACCATGGTTACAGTTGATACAGAAGACAACGAATCTCCGCATAATGTCTTCTTCCGTACGCTTTTGGTCGCCTTGAGCAGCATCCGCAACGATGCAGGCTCTTGTCATTGGGTCAGGAGAACCCAACCACAATGTACAGACACCACAGCGCGGCATGTGGCGTCCACACCTAGGGCAAATTGTGCCAGAAAGAGAGCTCGAACCAAGCGGATTTCCAGCAGTGGGGTGCACGACCTCCCCGCCGGACTTGGACGGAGTGGATTGTGCCAGTGGCCGCGTGCAGTAGTTACAGGTCAAGCTGACCTGTTGCTTTGGCGGCGAGACCAGCCTGCGGCCATCCCAGGTCACAGCGAACTTGCGGGAACCGACATCGAACCTTGCCCGTTCGAGCTGCAACTTCCAAGAATTCATTTGCCAACGATAGGTCTCGCGCCATGCATTGAAGCGAGCCACCACTGCCTCGTCATCGATGAAACGCGGAACTGTGTGACTCATGGCAAGAACCGAGGTCTGCACATCGTTGAACTTATTGATGTAGGATTGGAACAAGTCCATCGCAGAGTTTGTAAGCCCAGTGAGTACAATTCCCTCTATATCACCTTGTTGAATAGCTTCCGCCGTAGCATCCCTCAAGTATAGAGTGAGATCATCATCCGGGAGCCACCGCAGAGCAACCTCGACGCGATACCTCAGAGGCAGAGTCGTCTCCTGAATCACAGAATTCCAATCACCTTTGCTGACCAATGCCAGGATAGCTCGAGCATAGGGATCAGTTAGTTCTTTCGCAATCTCTGCACAGGTCTCTTCCCAATCTGAGTCAGCTTCTCCTTTCGCGGCACCAGCAATAGCCATTGCTAGCAGCTTGTGAGCTTGTGTCGGCTGGTTGTTGCGCAGTGCCAAATAAGCAAGTTTGGCTTCGTCCTGGAAAACTGCCAGAGCGGCTGCTTTTGTATGCTGCTTTTCAGAGACAAGTTGCTTCACAGTATCTTCGAGGCCATTTTCAGATTCTGCGGCGCCGCAGATATGAAGGCATAATTGCCGATGTTCTAGAAATTCTGACGTACAACCTTTTATTTCGGGAAGCTGCAGTTGATGAGCAAGTTCTCTGATCGTTTCACTGATATCGATTTCTTCGCTTGTGACTGGACTGACTTTTCGGCTGTTGAGACTTGTCCCTGGAAGTTCGTCAGCACAAGCAGGATACTTCGATAGCCAGAGACGTACCAAGATCATTGTTCCAGATACTATACACTCCGAGATAATTCATATCAATGCCGTTGATGATCATTGAATCTCCAGATGAGTGTCCTCGGGAACCTTGTTACATCAGCATGTGCATAGAAAATCCTTGTATGCGAGGACTTACACTCTATCCAATCCCATAAGTCCTGGAGATGAATGTCATCGGCCAGTATCTCCTTGTTCTTGGCGCCGTCGAAAAGATAGCCTTCTTTACAACGGAAGCGACTGACAGTCATCAACGTCAAAGCATCTCCCACCTCGAGTGGAGTACCTAGTACTCCTAGAGATAATGAATGCTCTCTGTTTTCACGGCTCGAGAGAGGCTGAACACCATCCCTCTGGGACAGACCATCTATGGCCCCGTTTGACGCTGGCTGTTCCCCCGACCCTGGCAGCGTACGATGTCGTATGCTGCTGACCACGTCCGATATTTTCCTGTCGGCTCCAGAATAAGGATAAACCACCTCAAAGTCGGCATTTCCAGATGAACCACCACGGACCAGCACTCCCTGAGAGGAGAGACGGACCGGTGGGCATGGGGGTTGAAGAGTGGCAATTTCCACGTTCCCATTGCCGGCTAAGGTGATGGCGCTCGGTTGGTTTGAAGAGCTGATATTGAGGAAGTCGAAAGAAACTACCCGTTCGGATTCACTGCAGCCACGAGTCGGATGGGTGTAAGGGCTGCGAATATCACGTACGTGTTTGGTATAGATCGGTTCCAGGTAGTCCCTGGAAGAGCCTTGACCGAGTGTTTGATCAAGGTTGGCGCTTTGGCCTTCGGACATGTATTCTTTAGCGATATCATATGCTTTAAAATGGCCTTTATTGGAGAGGACACCTAAACAGCCCCTCTTCGTTCGGGAAAAGCGCATACTCCAGATCGTACTGTCCCGATCCAGAACGTTTTTGAAATCCAAGGCGGGCCCCAGCTGACTTTGCTCCGCGGCGCCTGGCGCAGATGGAACAGAGACGAAGCGTGATCCTGCACGACGATCCCAGACACAGATCGTGGGTTCATTTGACGTATAGCAGGAAGCTATGTAGTTTTCATCTAGCCAATCAATGGCCAGATTATGCACACAACGCGTTGGAAACTGAAGTGACGGGTTTCCAATTCCCTCTGTATTATGGTCAGTAATAACCAAGGAACTCGAGGGCAACTATCTCTGCTTGCCTCGTAAATCGTAGATCCTGACAAATTGCCCCTTGACGCCGGTTACCAGGGTATCAGGCTGGTCCCGAAAGAACTTGATACTAGTGATCGGCTCTGAGCTCGCAAGCTTCCGCAGCGGCTCTGCAACCTGTCTGTTGACTCCCGTCCCTCTGGAGTTCACGGCAGACAGTCGTTGATTAACGTCCCAGATATTGAGACAGAAGTCATTGCGGACTTTATCCAGCCCTGCAGCTAGCAGACCATGTGTACTGAATGCAACCGCATTACAGTACCGTTGATTTCGGATAGGAAAAGACAGCGACTCTTGAGAATCACCAACCATTCGCAGAATGGTAGCTTCTCCAGAAGACTGGCCCACGGCAATGAGGGACTCATCTGCGGGGGACCAGTCGAAAGCGCGGAAGGCAGGCACTTTCGAATGGGTTGACAGCACTTCATAATCCAGGTCTCGGCCATTAAATTCGGTGACTCTGCATAGTCTGAACGACTTCCCTGCGACATCCACGTACAGGAAGCGCTGCTCGGCCGTGGTGGACCACGGTGACCAGCGAATCGCTGTCTCCATGTCTGCGTGCCGTGGTCACCAGTTGTTGGCAGTCTGAGTATAGAGATTAACCTAGCCGCCGGATCCAGCTCCCATCTTTCCACGCGACCAGGGAGCGAAGCTCGACGTCGTCGTCTGAAGCGCGGGACGATCCCTAGATCAACGCATCTGATATGAGCTGGATCTGTTTCGCTCGTCCAGCTAGCTCACGATTGGTCCGTTGGCGCTTTTGCTGGTCCTCAATTGGTGGTCGGGCCGAGAGATGATCCGGATCCCGATTGGGGTGATAATAAAATAATATCGTCCTTATCCGAAACATTTAATTTTCGACTGTTAAATAATGGCACGGTGACAGACACAGTTTCAACACGGGGATTGCAGTCGCGCTTCTCTGGTGGATAACCCATACTCCTCGCTCTATCAGGGCCACTTCACAAATTCCGCATCTACAGATATCGCGGCTTCATCCATCGATATTCGCACTTTTGCAGGATCTGTAAATCTCATGGCGTCTAAGCGTAAAGATCGCGAACTGTCTGAAGATGCTCCTCCGGCAAAGAAATCGCACCTGAGCAAGAGCCATGGTGTCTCGAAGAAGGGTGCCCCAACTCCCAGAAAGGACCGTGTTGTCCTTTCTGTCAATGAGCTGAAGAGGAGGATTCGCGATGTCAAGCGCCTCCTCGATAGAGTCGACCTCCCCCCGGAAGGAAGAATCACACAGGAGAGAGCCCTGATCGGATACCAGAGGGACCTGGAGTCGGAGATGGCGAAGCGCAAACGATCTGAAATGATCAAAAAATATCATTTTGTCAGGTTCCTGGGTATGACCCCATATGGTTTCCAAGACACTACTGTGAACTTTTCGACTGACCATGGCCTTCAAACAATTAGAAAGAAAAACTGCTACCAAGGAACTCAAGAAGCTCCAGCGACGCGAACGCGAGATCTCGGAATCTGACTCCCCGACCAAGAAGGAAGATCTGAAACTGCTCGCCTCACGGATCCACACCGCACGGGTCAACTTAAATTACACCATCTACTCTCCACTTACGGAGAAGTATATCTCCCTCTACCCCGACAAGAAAAAGAAGAACAAGGATCGTGACTCTGGGAATGATGCGAATTCCGACTCCGACTCCCAGAAAGGCGACAAGAGATCAAGGTCCGAGTCGCAACAGCCTCAGGAGTATACTATCCAGACGAACGACTCGGGAGAAAAGCCTCCACTGTGGTACGTAGTGGAGAAGTGCATGGCAGACGGAACGCTCGATCTGCTCCGCGAAGGGAAGTTGAACATTGGTGCCGATGGGAAAGAGAGTACTACCGTCACCGAGCTGGCAAGTGCAAACCGGTCTGTTCCAACTCAAAAACCAAGTAAGGAGGAGAAACAGAAGAAGGAGAAGTCAAAGACAGAGAAGATTAGGGCGGACTCCAGGAAAACATCTCAGCGCGGCGGAGAGAGCGATGAGGACAGTGATGGTGGTTTCTTCGAGGAATAAGCGTCAGCTTTCACATGGATTCTTATATAGAGCCATTGAATGGCCCAGCTTGCTCCCTCGCGGGCAGTTCGACAGCCATAATCCGTACCGCTTGTCTTGACAAGCGATGAACATACATACATACATACGACATAGCGACCACAATCACATGATACCCGACTACATCATTATAGAACTATTGCAGTGGACAGTCTCTCAGCGCTGCAGGCTGGTTTTGATGAGTGTTGCGTTCCAAAACAAGAGAAGCTTTGATCATATCTTCGCATGGGATAACTAATTTCAGCCTGTCTCATCGTATTTTCTTACTCTATCTTGGACGCCTACTATAGCCGTCCCCGTGTGGACATACTTAGCTGTCCCAGTCGTCAAGTAGTTATCAGACGTTCCCCACCTAATATTCACATCTTCATCCACTGTATCCCTAAAGGACAATGTATAGAATCTAATCACATCATACTTCAGTCCGAGCCTCCATGCCTATCATTTCTTCAAGAAAGGAAGAGACCAATATGCAATTTTCGGATAAGTATTACAGCGGGGAAACCCGCCCTATCAATTCTCCCCGCCGGCAAAAACAGGCATGCGCGAACTAAATAGATAAACTATTGTTGGTACCTATCTATCCATCTCCAAAGCCAATTAAAGTGCAAGTACGTCTCGTTCCTGATGTAACGTCGATACTACCCTGAAGCACTTTTTTGATGTTCCTTCGTCTTTGTGACTAGAGTTGAAGTCTCTGGATAAAGTTATTCGGTAATAAACACTCCATTGTCAGGAACCTAACGGCTAAACTGGTATATCTATATGCATCCTCTTCGATCGAGAAAAATTAGAACTTGGAAGATACAAGTATACATCTGCGTCCATGCAAGATACAATTTAAAATTCAATTACTCGGAGATAAAACCATTGTATATCTAAAATCACTCTTCTGACCTGAGCTAAACAATGAGAATCTCTCTATACACCTCTATCTTCTTCTTCTCCTCCTTCCTCCCTCCCGAACACTTCTGCACCGCAATCTCCAACCTCGCACCCCAATCCTCAGCATCCCCACACTTCAACTACACTCTCAACACATTCTATCTCAATGGCCAACCCTTCCAAATCATCGGCGGTCAAATGGACCCCCAACGCATCCCTCACCAATACTGGCGTCAACGCCTCAACAAAGCCCGCTCCATGGGCCTAAACACCATCTTCTCATACGTATATTGGAACCTCCTCGAACCCCATCCAGGCGAATGGGACATATCCGGAAATAACAATATCGCACAATACTTCCAAATCGCACAAGAAGAAGGCCTCCACGTGGTTTTAAGACCGGGACCTTATATATGCGGAGAGAGAGAATGGGGCGGATTCCCAGCGTGGTTGAGCATAATCCCAGGACTGGATGTGCGCACGAACCAGACGCTTTTTATGAACTATGCGAAACGGTATTTGGAACGATTGCTCGTAGACCTGAGACCATTACAGGCTACGAGAGGGGGCCCAATTCTCATGGTCCAGGTGGAGAATGAGTATGGGAGTTATGGGGATAATCATAACTATACGGCTTCGATGCGGGATATTCTGCGACGGAATTTGGATCATGGGACGATATTGTATACGAATGATGGAGGCGTCCAGTTGGATCTGGAGGGAGGGAATGTTCCGGACGTTTTGGCTGAGATTGATGGAGATCCGGCCTCTGGGTTCGAAGCGAGAGATACTTATATCTCTGATCAATCGGAATTAGGCCCTCTTCTAGATGGAGAATACTACACCCTCGCGCCGGATCAATGGGGTTCGAACGCGACGCGTAACGATCCGGAGGAGGGAGATCAGAATACCATTGAGGGATTCGTGAAAGATCTAGATTTCATCCTGGGCGGGAATAATTCCATCAGTCTATACATGTTCCATGGCGGGACGAATTTTGGATTCGGAAATGGCGCCGTCTGGAGATCGGAGAACTACCTAGCTGCTTTCACGACGAGTTATGATTACGGCGCTCCTCTGGATGAGAGCGGACGGACGACGCCTCTGTATTATACCCTGCGGGAGGTGATTCAGAAGTATTCACCGAACGGAAGTATTCCAGACGTCGTGGCTGACGTGCCTCGATCGTCCATAGCGGATTTCGCACTCCATCCCGTCGGAGACCTGTTTGATTCCCTTCCTGAACCTACTCATGTAACAAAACCTATTACAATGGAATTCCTAAACCAAGCATACGGCTTCATTCTCTACGAGACCATATCCACGCGATCCTATTCCGGTCTCCTCAAACCAGGCGATCGACCACGAGACCGTGTCCTGGTCTATATCAACGGGCAAAAACAAGGCGTTATTGATTCCATCTACGAGACGCCTCCGAAGATCAACATCTCACTATCCAAGGGAGACAAGTTACAGCTCCTGGTCGAGAATCTGGGTCGGGTCGATTACTGGTCTCGGGAATCCGGGACGGAGAATGCACTTCTTCAACCGCATAAGGGAATCGTTGGAGACGTTTTTGTGGGAGGTGAAGTGCTCGAAGAATGGGATGTATATTCCCTTCCACTGGATTCGCCTCCAAATACTACTAAGCTGTTGAAGAAGAAGAGGGATAATAATGTCCAGAAAGGCGAGTATAATAACAGCACCGTGCTGTCCAAAACGCCCGTTTTCTACTCGGGCAAATTCCTCACTTCTAGCAGTAAGAATAGCAGCAACATCGCAAACGCAGAACTGGCTGCAATGGAATTGGATACATTCCTATCCATCCCGAACGGAACTAAAGGCGTCGTGTGGATCAATGGCTTCAATCTCGGCCGATACTGGATTATCGGACCACAGCAATCCCTTTATTTACCGGGGGTGCTGCTGAATAAAGATAAGGATGGGTGGAATGAGGTTTTCGTTTTGGAGCTGGAGCCTGAAGATGGCAAGGTTATGGTTGGGCGCGGTTTGGCGGAGAGGGTATGGGCGAATTTCCCGGATCCAGACGCGCCTTGATCCAAGAGAGTAAGTAAGGGGGAAGGGACTGAAATACAGAAGCAGGGTATAAATCTATGTGAAGTTGACGGGGAGAGTGCTGTATATATCCCAGGGGCTCGCCTAATGATATATTCTTTTCTGTTTGTTACTTCACGCAGAATAGAAATTTAGTGGTGTAGTGTTGGGTTTTATCTAACTTCGTCGTCCTGGAGCAATACAGCTGTATGTGTTCATCCATACGCTCCTATCCAGTCGGACTCCCTATGGAAAAGGATCGGTAGATGGAATGCTATATCAAGACTGAAACGAGACCATATATTTGGTCCCAAGCCTAATGACCTAGAGATCAATTGACAGACTCCTAGACGTGATAACTCCGTCCTATATCTAAGTAAAAACGAAAAATGATAGACAAGAAATATGTAATGCTCCAAAAAGCAGACCTGTCTTTGTTGAAGCCGAGAACTCCCTGCTCCGCCATGATCTGCCCATGGAGGGCGATAAGATGAAGATGAAAGGCCCTTGTCCATACTTAAAACGAAAGTCCAGCTCTGATAGTCGCCCCCACAAAGGAAAGTGGCAACAACGAGGGCGCATTCTATCTATAACACCTGAAAACATGGAATGCCATGGTTTCCGCGTTTGAAGATCCTTCACTCATTGCAGCATTGTCTATTACGACATGCGTCGACTTTGAGATCAGTTTCGGATCGGTTATATCATATGATGGCGTCACGCTGTTGAAGTATGCAAGTTGCGAAGGTCGCTGTTCTTCTCAATCCTCTCGCGCCCATTTTTTTGTTTCAACCAATAATGCTCCAGGAAATAGCGCACGTAACGCCATGCAGAAACCACAACGAGAAAATGAGAGCGTCGCTGAAGGAACAAAGAGAAGAAGTATAAGATACCGAGAGAAGGATGAAACAGTTGAAGGACAGCAATATAGTGAGGGGAAGAGAACGTGTTAAAACCGGGTCAAGACCCGTAGTCGTAGGTCATCGAGAGAAATATCTTAGCGGAATCTGCACTCTTCTCACATAACAATGCAGCCGCCGCTCCGTGCCCTCCTTCTAGCTCCACCGACAATGGGCCCGAAGCCTCCAATACCAAGAGCCTCTCCGTCCCCTTCGTCGGCATTATATATTCTTTCGACTTCACGAGCGCGACGGCGCCGTCTCCTGGCACCGGCACCACCAGCACCAGCTTCCTCCGTGACCATCATGTAATCAGCCCACTTGCGGTCCAACCGGCTGGCAGAGACGAGATCTCCCCGCAGGACCCGCTTGGTATGCTCATCAACCGTCATCTGCCAGCCATAGAAGCATTTGAGCTGGATGATCTCGTTGGGGTAGGTCTTGGGCATCTGAAGGGCGGGCGCCGTGGAGAGAGTGGTGTAGGTCCCTGACGCGTTGGGGTTCGTCGTCTCCGTCACAGTAATCACCGCCGTCGCAAGGTTCTTGCGAGAACGAGGAATGTAGCAATTGCTGGAAAGCACCTCTCTCACGCCAGCCCAGGTAACATTGGCGCAGTCGAATACCACCAGTCGCAGGCCCACTTTTGGCGGCTTGTCACCGTAGCCGCGTCGGCGTACTCGAGAGCTAGCTTCCATAAGGGAGAGGTCCGAAATCCGAGTGTTATCCATCTCAATTGATCGGATATTTGGACAGCTCTTGAGAATTTGAAGCATTCCCTGGTCACCCAGGCTCTCGCAGTAACTGACGTTGAGATGCTCAAAGCGTTCAGCACAAGGCGACCTGGCGATCTCCAGTAAGGCATGGTTCGAGAGCTTATCCAGGTCTTCAAGATCGAGATGGGTCAACCGGGGAGTGGTGCGGACGATGTCGATAACCGAGTCGTCACTTAGCTCATAGCACTGGGAGAGCTGGAGACCTTCAAGGTCCGGAACGTTGTGCGCGAGAGCTCTGACGCCGGCGTCAGTTAACCCGGTGCAGTGATGGAGGTCGAGATGTTTTAGTTTTCGCGGCGGGACAATAGGTCTGCCGGTCAGGAGGTCGATTTCCGGATCGACACCCTGGACCAGAACCTTGAGACTATCGTCAGTCACATCCGTCCGGTGCATGACGAGCCTCTCCAGATTGTTAGTCGCGAAGAGTCGTAGCATAAATTCCTCGTCATCGAAACCAAGGATTTCACCCGCACGAAGGTCCTTTAACCGTGTACATGACTCCACGACCTTCTTGAGACCTTTCGTATTGACATTAGTACACCATGACACGTTCAGCGTCTCGAGATAGGGACACGCCTGAGCGATAATCCTCATAGCTGAATTGCCGACTGCTGGAAGGCCAGAAAGGTTCACATGTTCGAGTCGGTTGTTACGCAGGAGGAAACAATGGACAGATGTCTTGTCAATGCGACAACCCTCTAGGGAGAATTTGACCAAGTTCCGGCATGCAGCAGATATTGTCTCTCCGTCAGTAGCCCACTTGTCTCGCAGTTGAATACATCCTCTAAGGTTCAAGTCCCTAATGAACGGCCCACCTGAAGTGAGGATCTTCACGAGAGAATCGCTGGGGATGCGGCTGTAGTATTCAGAGGCATCAACGCTGGTCCACAGCTGGCCATCAAAACACATCTCATGCCACGACTTGGAGACGGTGGAGCATCGGACGATCTCCTGCGGTGTAAGATATTGGAAGATCTTCATCTTCAGTTCATCTGGCATTTCCTTCCAGAAGTCGAATTGCTGTTCTTCATGTTCTTCAACGGGCTGCACGACAGGCTGCACCGTGGTCTCTTCTTCAACCTGTGCAGCCCCTTTCTTTGCGTTGTCATTCTCAACCTGCGCTCCTCGAGAGGCAGGTCGCACGTCTGCTGGTAGACGGACGGTCATGGACTGAGAGACATTGGGAGACGAGCCTGGTCCTACCAGACGAATGCGGGCGCTGCCCTCTGGAGACGTCGCACGCTGGTCATTGGAAGCGGTGGGCCGGACGTTTAGCCCGGGATAGAGCTGGGAAGAGCTGCCATTGCCCAGACATGCCGTATAGGATGAAGATCCCAGCGAGATACATGACATGGAAGCTTTCCCACCACGCTGGTAACCAGTCGAGGCAGACCGCGTGCGTGGAGCCAATGAGGGACTGGAGGACATGCGCTGCAAGCTCTGCAAGAGTCTCTTGCGGCCCTTCAGCTTCGGGGGTTGCTCCAGTGGGATCTCGCCCGCCGAGGATGTTGGGCTTGCTGGGGACACCAGCCCCGGGCTCTGCACAATGTCGTCCGGAACCCCCGAAGCCATGGTATGATGCCTAAACGATTGAGACACTTCTTGTGTTTTCCGAAAGTAAGCGAGAGAGAAAGGAGGAGGCAAGGGGATTTCCACCGGGAGCCTCTATAACGATCGCGAGGACAACGACGGACTGAAAAGGAAACCCCAAACAGGAATTCGCTGGTCGGGGCTGGAATGGACTTTAAGGTCGTAGTGGACGCGAAGTCGCAATCCCGGGGAGCGTTCAGCTCAGACACTCATTGCTGCCAACGACGGCATGCAACAAGATGGATAAGCCGTTTTGGCACTTGACCACCAGCGGAAGAGAATGAGAAACACGAGCAGTCCAGCTGTGAAGAAAGAACCTCGCAAGACCGGGGAGAGGCTGGCGACGACGTGCGCACGACGTGGGCGGGGAGAGCGGATGTCAGCGAGTCGGCGGCCCTGCTCGGGTTATTTAGCCCAGGGTCGGGAAGCGTTGAACCACGGCTCCAGTCAGGACAATCCGGGAATCGGATCAACGGTGGGGAGAGAAAGATGGATAGATGGATGGACAATATTAATGTCCGATGGGCAGCTGAGGATGTCAGTTGCTTGCTCCTGACCGCGAGGGGCGGGCGTGACTGTGTAGCGATAAGGGAGAAAGGAAAGAAAGAAAGACAGAAAGAGGGAAAAGAGAAGAAGAGTAACGCAGAGGAGGCTAAGATGGGAAGAGCTGAGATGGATGGAGGGATCAGAAGCACAGATAGACGTCTAGAGTAGAGTAAAGTCGGTCTGGAAATCGGGCTCGAACAACACGAGGGAGAAGATCGAGAACAGATAGTTAATTAGTTGATATCAGCACCCAAAGACCCTGACGGTTTGCTTGTCAGCCGACGCAGCGTGCCAGCTCCGGTGTGGATGGGGACGAGAAGCCCGAGAGACATCGAGATCCCCAACGGCAAAGGGGAACAGGCAAAGCAACGAGCTGGTCGAGAAATCCACAGACTCTTCAACCAAAAAGAAGAGAAAAAGGGAACATCCACAAGCCAGAAGACGGGGTCCACCGGATGGCGCAGAACCAGCTGGAGAAGAAAGAAGAAAGACAACTCGTTGTTTGCCATCGGGCATGTCTCATCTTTTCCCTCTCCGCTCTTCTCTTCTCATCCCCCCCGCTGCCACCGAACTTATCGGATAACTTATCGATTAACTCACGATAGATAACTCGCCCATCCGCCCACATGGCGTCGCCTGCCCGCCCTAAAAATGTCTAAACAGCGTTCGACGGCTTTACTTAGCCCCGAGCACTAAAAAACGCTTAAGCCGGCTTCTCCTCCGACTAACAAACCCTCATCCACACCAATATTAATACAAGAGCGATGAAGCCGGTCCTCTGCTCGAGAGATAAGGAGAACATGGAATACCATAAAAGATACCAAATGGCCACGCGAGCAGATCGCCTGGCAGTGTCACACGGAGACTCGCCCATCGCCAGGGTGGGAGACTGAGTCGATCTGACATTCCTCGACAGCGCCAGCCAGGCGGTCAGGCGCAGCATCTCACCAGCCCAGTAACTATTGGATAGATGGCTCGATTTGACGATACTGAAAAGCATACTTGGTACCCTGGATACTCTTATGTGGTTCAACCACAAACAAGTTCCGCCCATCGCTTGGCATGGAGCGCGATCGTCAAGAAGTATTCTATACTTATGTCCCCGTACCATACAGATGGTACTTGCCTGTCCTCCAGGTTACTATTAACTCAGGCTAGTTATCTGAATAGACTGCCCAAAACACTACCTATCTATACTCCGTAGTTACTCCGTACACGAGAATACCATAATAGAGTACCATAAAATATCCCTCATAAAAAAGAAGACCTTGATTGGCGGAGAATCTACCTAAATTTGGCTATCCGCCACTCGACTGGAACCCCCTCGTTTCTCTCCCAACTCCACAGCGTCTTCAAGAGTACGGTGTACAGTGGTCGATTATTGGTCCTGATCTCGTAGCTTCGCCTCCACGATACGCCGATGGAAATAACAAATGACTTGTTCGCATATGCCAAACCATACCTATGTACTGTACTGTACATACTATGGGTCCTATGGGGTACATACTGTACCTATCAGCTAACTCCGATGCAATGGGGATTCTCAGGGGTAACTAGCTACCGACTCATAGTGACTATCTATATATTCTAGCTATCGATGAAAATGATTGTTATTCTCATTTGATGTTACTCGAGCTTGAAAACAGACTTCCCCTGCACAAGGGCTTAATAGGTCAGAAGAAGCAAGTGCCGACCGAGGGACCACCGGCTAAGGCCCAACGGATAAGAATTTCATGGACTTTGAAGCTGACTCAGTATTCCTCGTCATCACGCGAGATCATGGATTGATCTCGGAGAGGCACGTGGGATGAATACGCTGATTAGGGGATTGCGCCAATGTCCTGGTCGATGACGATAGAGTTCTGGATGAGGAATCCGATCGTCATTTGAGTTCTTATACAGTGTAGTATAGAGTAGATAAACAGGACCTAATTACTCGATCTACTTTCAATATTCTCGATTTGCGCATATGTCAAGCAGTAGTGCTTCTACAGGTCAGATGACCATGTATGGCCGGTCAGGAACAGATGCCTGCAGGATCAAAAAAATGCTGAAAACCAAGGGGTATCTTGTCTTCTCGCTCTATCCAGCAAAACCTAGCACCAGTCGGTCGAATTATTGCTCTCTGCTCTTCCCTCACCATATTTGTCCCAGTTCAAACCCGAGCCTTTCTTCCGTGAATGTCCGATAATGATACAGAACCACCGGTATCTCTCAGTCCATCAGCCAACAGCAGTCACCCATTACATTATTGAGCACCTTGAATCCATGTTGGTAAAGGGGGAAAGACAGAAAGTGCGATCAACGCATTAGGTTCTGTGACGAGAAAAGAATCTTGGTCATGAGGAGAAAAGAAGGGGTGAAAAAGGTGTTAAATCTGATATAAAAAGAAATCGCTAAAGGATAGATCATAACACGTGCATGTCTCTATACCTTCCAATCCCGTAGCAAACAACTCTTTTTTCTTTTTCCGCCTATACTAAAGAAAATCGGCGTATCATAGATGCGAAGTGAGGCAGTACCTTGTACTCCCTTTCTCATATGGATTCCATCTCGAGGAAGCATGTTCATGACGGCATATCTTTCCACCGGTTGCTGGCTTCGTGTAACTTCTCAAAACCCATTGATCGTAGAGTTTCATCAGACGTGGATACTGAGTCGAATCAGAATAAGTCGTGTCATCCGTCAATCATTACTCAGCTATCCTTCATCCAGGGATGTTCTACCACCTCCGAGATGGTGAGACGATTGTCGACATCGCGGTCTAGCATCTTTCGGATGAGGTCGATACAGTCCTCTGAAAAAGGGACGAAAGGCACTCGAAGAGGGTGGTCTAGGATCTCGTCGATGTTGTAAAAGGGATTCTCTTTGTAGACGATGGTGTAGAGAAGAATCCCGAGGGCCCAGACATCCTGTTCCTTGCCCCGGTAGGACTTGCCTTGGAGAACTTCGGGAGCAGCATAATCTGTCATTCTGTCAGCGGAACTCCTAGATAAAGAGAAGAAAGGATGGCTAACCTATTGTCCCCACAAATACGTCAAACGGGCCGTTTTTGATGTATGCTGCACTTCCGAAATCGATGAGCTTAATCCGACCTTCACCGTCCAGGACAACGTTTTCGTCCTTGATGTCCCGGTGCACAACTAGGGCTTTTGTGTGAAGGTGGTGTATCGCGTCCACAACTTGTCGGAAAATATTTCTGCACTCTCCTTCGTCCATATTGGCACGCAGCTCAATGTAGTCGAACAGGTCCATTCCAGGGAGACCATGTGGTTTCATCTCAATGTAGTAGTTGATCTCGTCCTCAAAGAAGCCTTCCATCTCCACGATGTTTGGATGTTTCAGACCGTCTCGACGGAGATAATCAAGGACGTGGATCTCTAAGGGCACAGTGCCTAAACGCCGGTCACGTGTCCATGTATCGACAAGAATCCTCTTTTTCGTGACATATTTCAGGACAACTCTCTTGTTTGGGATTTTCTTCAGACGTGCCAGCTTCACCTGGCCGTAAGCGCCTTGGCCCATTTCTTCCAAGATCACGTAGTCATCAATCGTCCTCTTGGCTGGCATCTCTGTTGTCGAGGCCGAAGTCGCCTCAGGAACTGGTTGTCCGGGCTGATCAGTAAGTGGTTGAGACGCGGCTTCACTGAGCTGCTGGCTTAGAAGTGAAAGAGGCTGTTGGTTGTTCCCAGAAACAATTTTCACTTCAGGAGATGCCGGAACAGGAGCTTCTGGCGATCGTCCCGGCGACAGTTGCGGTGGGGGTGTCATGCTCTCTGACGTTAAGGCGCTGGGAGAGAGAGCGCCTGCTGTCCTGGCAGAATGAATCTGTCGGGAGTAGGTGATCCACAAAGCGTACACAACTTCTGTCACAGCCACTGGCTCACTGTTGCTATCATCTGTGTCGCTATCTTCTTCCGCACCCTTCTCTTGTTTACTAGGGAAGACAGTCTCACTCTTAACAACACGCATCTGAATGTCCACTGACATAATGGAACCATCACGATGCCTAGCGGCAACACCAGTTGGCTGTAGAAAGATCGTCGCGGCATTAGCTTTTCCTTCTCGAAGGAGGGAAAGAGCTCTTGCTCGCCGGAAGCTATGCTCGGGAATCACAATTCCATCGACGAGAGGGACTTTGTCTTCTTCGGTCAAGACGCGTAGAAGGTCGTCAAAATGAGGGATCAACTCAGTGACGTGCAAGCCTTCAGGTCTCTCTTGGCCGAACAGAGCGGACGAGAAGACTGAATTCGTACTGATTATATTCAGCGTGGATGATGAGAGTACCATCATTCCTGCAATGTGAGGGAAACTGGAGATCCGTAGGTTCCGGGAGCCTTCGGCCTTAGATAGAGTAACAGGGATATTGTAACCGGCAGGGATGCGGGCGGTGAAATGCTTGATCTCAGCGATCCGGGAGGCACCAGCGTCATCCTCGATACAGTCTTTAGGCAATCGTGGAAGAAGTTCGGTAATATCCGTACCCGCCCTCACGACTGTTGGGCCCCAGATCTTGTCAATGTCGCCGCTGGCATCTACGACTTGACCTTTTTCGTCATGTCGAATATATGCGATATCCTCTGTAATCTCCTCGAGAACCCAGATCAACCCACCACGCTTCTCCATGACCCAAAGACTCGCTGAACCTCTCTCCCCATCTCGCTTTTGAATTGGAACAACATCACCGCACAACAGGACTCCGCGAGATTTGTTCGACGCATGGTTTGGTTTCTTTGGGTACCGGGCGCTGGTGCCATATCCGTCATCAGTCTGCGCCCTTTTGGCCTTTTCTCGCGAAGACGGCTTGCTGAGAAGTTGTGCTGTCACACCACTTCTCATCCCAGATAATTTCGAATTCACGGCATTAACCCGGGACTTATCAGGCTGGTTCTGGGATCTAGCAGCCGCATCAGTGCTCGGATCACGCAGTTTTGACTCAAGCCAATCTCTGCGCTCCTCTTGCACCACTTCTAGAATACTCAGTTTGCGCACTTCTGCCTGAGTCACGCCAAACACAAGGCAGGCGAGGTCATTGGCGGCCAATATGGTCCATGGTGCTTTCGCTTCTGTCCGGAATACCGCCTGGGCAACGGGTGTCCATTTGCTGCTGTGACTATGCACGGGAAAGCCTGAAATTCCTAAGCCGAGAGCCGAGCTAGTTGCCGGAGAAAGTGCATCCGCGGCATTGTAGGGTTGTGCTAGAGTCTCCATCAGCTTGCTCTGAAGGGAAACAGAGCTCAGATCCGTGTATGTACGTTTTAAGCTTACGCGCCTGGATGAGGGAGCCGATTTCATCTCTCTCTTCTGGTTAAGGATTTGGTCATCTGGCACCGGGCTGAGAAAGCGAGAACCGTCCATGGCAGCGGCGTGACTATCATCTCGAGGCGAAAAGTCCGACTCCCGGGGTAGTAAGTTTCGATCATTGAAGGCCTTCTCAAAGACATTGCCGTTGTCCACATCTGCTGGTCCAGTAAGAGGTCCGCGGCCTGGTCCAGTGGAATAACCTGCCTCATCTCCCAGAACATGTGCCCTTGACAGAAGGTCGACCATACTTTGGATCTCCGTATCACCATATATCCGGGCCTGCGCATTCACAATTCCAGCGTTGCTAGCATTCCAACCGAATCGGTCCCTCATGAAATCAATCGATCTTTTCAGAATATTCTGCCTGCTGTGTAACAACTCCTCCGATTGTTGGGCAAATGAGAAGGAATGTAGGGATTCTGAAGGGAAACGGTGGAGGTCTTCCATAGCTGGTGTACTCTGACCGGGAGCAAAGTATGTTGAAAGAGCCCTGGAGGATTGACCGGAGATGGGAGACGGGCACATTGAATGAGGAAGAAGCGAAGAGGTAGATGCGTTTGGCATGGTGAGGACCCGCGACTGTGTACGTATACGGTCCAGTCCTGACGGCCCCATTCCATGTTCGTTTTCGAGTAAAGGCGACCTACGGGGGTGCATCAATTGTCAAAATGTATCAAGAATTAGAATCGTCCGGCCTAGGACCAACCTTGGCATACGATCGGTCTCAGATAGAGAGCCGTCGCCCGACAGCCTCATCGAGGAGCTTTGGTCATCTCTCGTATATATTGACAGATTCCCTCCGCTCGTCGATTTCGATATCCATGGGACAGACTCTGGGGAGGCAGAGAGGGGACCCACGGGGGATGACAGAGGACTTGGCTCTCCTGTTTCCAGACAGACGTTAGCAGGGCCTGTACTGAGCTTTTCTAAGTTTGACAAGAGCTTTGGGCCTCAGGAGATCAGAGAGCTGATGCTATCACCATCACCACTGCCGGAGCATTACGGATCTTATCTCCGACGCGATGGGTAAGATGCTCGTAAAGATGTTGAGCAGGAGTCCAGATTCACCCCATATCATATTGTGACCCTTCGGTCGCTTTCTTTTCTAGGCACTCTCTGCATCATCCAGAGCGATGACCATAAAATCCCGACCCACTGCCTGAGTCTTGCTGACGGCAAATATAGAAAGGATAATTTGACTAACCATCGTCATTATATGAAGAACCTGGCATCCTCGACAGCTGCAAGAACCGACAATAAAGGGCGGACGATCGGATCGATGGGCTGGAGAGACACGCTGCTATGGGCTAAGACAGTGAAAGTCTTGTAGAGCTACATCAGACGACGTAGGTGGACCGCGTTCCCAGGAAAGGCTTGTCGTTGGATTTGGATTTCTTCCACCTCCGTTCTTTCTATATTACCAGATGTGCGACCAAGCCCTGACCACCGTGACCGGTCACTTGTCCTGCTGTTTCCGTCACTGGATCGTGGGCGAGGCTGAGATACAAGAATCAAGCGGGCAGCTGCCTCGATCAGTCTGAGGCACAATGCGTTGCATAGGGTCCTATGACATGTGCGCGCGCCGGTCGCTTTGGAATGTCCGACTGTTTCGCCTCCGCAGAGGGGCGACCGTTAGCCCAGATGGGGGAAGAGCCAGGAAGTCCGTCCTTCGAGGACGGCGGACGAGGGGTAGGATGGGGGGGAAAAAGAGTTGGTAAGAGATCGAAGTTGGACAGTCGTTTACGGCAAATGAGGGGGGAGTATAGGGATGGTATGCACCAAGGAGATCGACGATTTCTTCGGGCAGCTTATGGTGATGTAATTTAGGCGATGCGAACCTCTGCGAGGGGGGCTGTCCCTGGCCGTGTGAAGACTAGAAAGAAACGAGGGTCGCTTAGAAGGCCAGGAGAGGTCTTCTCGATATTCTTGGTTTTTTTGCCCAACCGGGCCGTTGGTTTCTTTTCTGCTGTGGCGGGGAGCAGGTTCGCTCAAGGTTGTGGTGGCTGTCGAAGCTACTAAGTACCAAAGAGGGGAGAACGGACGACCGACGACGCTATGTGGAAAAGCGAGCCGCGATTATCGATGGACTATGAACAGAATGCCGCGAACAGCAATCGGCTCGACGCTGACGACGTGACTTGATAAGTTGATAATAACTAATACAGACAGACAGACCGTGTTGATTATCCTCTAGCGAGTCTTCAGTTCTCAGCCAAGAGACAACTCGTTTTAGTGGATCAAAATCGGCCTGTTCTCTGCCTCAACAGCTGCAAAACACACCTAGTTCCTACGACTTAACTACTGCGCGGATCATTTCTGTTTGGTAGCCCAGATCGTACTGTCTTGCCTGACACAGCAAAGTACACGACGTATCTGGCAGTGGCTGTTCGGGGCTACCGGCAAAACTACGCGTCGCTGTAAGGAAACCACTCACGGAAACGCTATCTACACTCATTTAAATCTTATTTGATCGGATATCCGGTGTTTCCATCATCCTAATAGGGATACTGAACTCGCAGATAAAACGTGAAGTTTCCCTCGTCTTTCGTCCTGTCTGGATACCTACACGTGGAGACCTATTATCGACTTGCCCGATCCGACCCAGCCGATTGATGAAAATTTCCAACGAGAACAGCCGAAATGCTCTTGCCTCCACTCTAAAAGCCTTTACACACATATGCGCGTATCTGTGCGAATTGGAATTTCTCTAAAGACTGAGACTTTCCCTATCTATCAGAATGTTGCTGCTTTGAGTACAATAATAAAGATGTTCTACCCCTTGCTCAGTGGAGTGTCACGTGGGTCTCCCCGAGCTGCTCACTCGTCCTTCCATACTTCCAGTCACTCTGCCAAACGCTGCGATCCAAGGTTACACGTCGCATCAGAATTAGAGTGCATATCGCGAAACCACGCATCCTCTGATAATTCCTTGGCTCTTGGCCTATCTCTAGGATCGGGCTTCATTATCCTGAGTATCAATTTCTTGTCATCCTCGCAAATCTCTCGCGTTGTCGTGAGGTGGAATGGCTTCATCATCTCCCGAGGGGTATTTTGCATAATCCATGTCAGGACGGACAGCCTTTTTTAGTCTGCAATCTCCTCATAAGATTCTGAGAATGATCCAGAACTTCCATTATGTTTCATGATGATCTTGACTTCATAATCTTCGTGATATATTGGAACATCTGGTTTGAATATATGGAACCTACCTCCATAGAGGATGCTAATGAGCTGCATCATATTAGCATAACAGAGCTTATAGCTGAGGCGCTCGATCTCAATAAGGTTTACAATTGCCCCGAAGGGCCCGATGTCAGTCGCGGTATCCCAGCTCATCTGAAGATGGGCCTCAGGGCTGCGGAAAATAGGCGTTCCAATAGGATCGTCTCGTCCAGCATATGTCGAGTCTGCACGAACATGGCGAATGCTTTTGACGATAACATTCTCATCTGTTGAGGCACTATATAGGTAATGTCACTGAAATATTGCTCGTATGTGATTCACAATCCCGAAGTTGCTTTGTCACGGTGTAGATCTCTAATCTTCCTCTCAAAGCTTGACCCTGGGCTATTGGAACTACCATATCGGCTACGAGGTCTAAAAAGGGTCAGGGTTTGGCGACTGAAATCGTTCTCTTGCAACGAAAAATAGTAATAATATGCATTCTTCCTCGACGAGAGTCAAAAGTGAACTACATGCGAACATGCAGGGCCCGGTCAGGTGATATACCCTGATTATATGTACTGGAAAATGATATTGAACCCCCAAATCATAACCTGTAAAATAATCAAATAGATTACGAAAGCTACAAATACCAGACAATCTATTCTACACATGACCATAATAGGGTTCCATTTCTCTCCTTTTGCCTTATGCACCGGAATTCCAGCCCTCCCTAGATGATAGTTCAAGCCACGATGCATTGAAAGTTGACTTCTACGGAAATTCAGCCAGCCAGGTGGGAACAGTGAGATGCATGTCGCGGATCTTAGCATTACTTAGAACTTATCTCGCATTTCACGCGCTAAGAGGGGGCGATTGTGAGGAATTTTCTAATATGATATAATTTCTACGTTCACGGCTTCTCGAGTCCCATTGGCTCTAGAGGGATCTGTATGCTATACTCTACGGTGGGTGTGGAGAAAAGTAGTCCATATATCTCTTCGTGCCTTTATTACGCGTAGCGGGAGATGGAAATGGAATTTCGCGTCTCTGAACCATGATCAAGTTATGATACCTACTACAGTAGGACGTTGATCACTCGCTGTGAATGGGAATAGGAATATGGTAACGGGTATGAACCTAACATTAGCAAGTCTACCTAGTATTATTGTGTTTCTGTCACTCTGCTCGTCTTCAGCTATTGGTGCCGCCAAGACTACTCAGCACCAGACCATCGTCATCATCATCACCCACGGCGAACTTTTTCCGATTTTCCTCGCCTTTTCCATCGGTGAAAAGAGAGTTCTGTCTGATCTTGTCGCCATGCCGACTCTGCTCCGGAGGCACCGAAGCGGAACTTACAAAACTGGAGTGATGGCGCTTATCACCAAGCATCCAGGAAAACTCTGAGTCTGCTAGGGCGTGTCGCTGTGCTGGGCGGAGCGGTACTGGCTGTATTGGCTTGGGGTTAGAAGCGGTGTTTGCTGCGATTCCACCGCTCTGTGGTAGAGTCGGTGTAATTTGGGTTGCATTGGTCCCGTGCACATCGGGGCGGACTACTCCTTGCTTTACACGATCCTCGCCATTCTTCTGAACACTTGTTTCATGTGATCTGTCTGAAGGTGTTATCGCTTTGGATGAGTCCTCGAGATACGACTGAACAGAACGGGCTTTCGCCAACGCTTGATCGAATGCCTCCCTCGAAGTAGTATCAGTGGGTTGCTCTGCTTCCCCAGTCTGCGATTTCTGTGACTGGAGGACATTGAGCGCTTCACCCAGCATCCGCGAAAGCCGCTTGTTGCGATCTTCCAGAAGCTGGATCTTCTTATTCAGCTCTGCCACGTGCGGTCCTCTAACCCGTGGTGGGCTCTGTGAGCTGGAAGGGCTCTGCCAAGGCCTCGAGGTAGGCGATGACGCATTAGATTGAATTGTCTGTATGTTTCTTCTAGCCTCGTTCATGGCTCCCCTGACAGCCTTTGCTACTCCCCACGCTTCCGTTCGACGCTGGATCCCCTGAGAAACATCCTGGAAGATCGTCTCGAGATTCTTTTGGCTGCTTCTGGCTGGTGATCTGCCTGGAGAACTGCTCCCGCTGATGCCCCTGGACTCTGTACGAAGCGACGTCGTCCTAGCGAGCATTGGCCTCGTCTGGTGTTGGAAAGACCGCTCAGGTGGTCTTCCTGAGTACTTAGATATCAGAAAAGATCCTCTATCGGCTGTCAAGTTTTGTTCGAGGTATAGTGCATCCTGTACGAATGTCCAAGGCGGATGCGGATGCGGAGATGGATAGCGAAGTAGTAGGGAGAGTGCCATTGGGTAGTCGGCCTCCAAGACTAGTATTCAAAAATCAATTGACGCACAGTCATTCCCCAGTGTCAGATAGGACACTCACGTTGCCAGCGAATCCGCAGAAGCATTGCGACACAAATCAAGTCAATCAGCTCTGTGCGTAGGCCTTCTGCAAAAATGAAGTCCCAGAGAACCAGAACATCGTCAAACGGGAACTCCCGACCGAATAATAGGCGGATCCAGCGCCTTGGACTGTCAGTCATGTTCATAGGGAAGCGACTCCTGACTTACGTGAGGAATATCTGTGGAAGGATCTCAATGGCATATAAATGCTCAGCAAGTCCTTCATCAGCAACTGTTAAGAGACCCTGATGAATGTACTGGCAGCGATTAACGATGGGGGCCACATCCATTTGGCCAGCTCCGGAGCGTTGTTCACCAGGTTCGTAGTATACCCTAGCGACTTGCATGATGGTGCAGAACAGAGTAAAAGCATCGTGCTCGATAAAGGTTTCATCGAGCACTTGCAACATCAGATCATCGTAAGATTGATCATCGCCCATGCTTTGTAGAGATTTCTTTTCAATGCTGTCACGCTCCACTACCCATAACACGGGTGCCAGCAATTCATGCATGCCCTGCCGGTATCCAAGATCTGGGTTAAGCTTGGTATATATGAATAATACATCCAACATCTTAGCCTTTGTAGAAGGCTCCCGGAAAAAGTGATTATCCTGCAAGCATCTTTCCACATCTTGGTATATCTCTGCTCTTATCGCTTCGTCGCGCCGGAGGGACTGCCATGGAGACTTTTGAGGCACAATAAAGGTCAGATGTCCGAAGATTAAGACGCCACGGCAGCGGACTGAGAGTAGCATACCTCCTCGTCCTCCGCTAGTGGGTCAGCGGTTGATGGTAGGTCATCCGGATGCTCGATATATTTCAAGAAGTGGTCTCGTAATGCGGAGTAGGCGCTCCGCGAGTCGGCTATCTTTGACGGCCATTCTGAGATATCGAGGTCATTGTAGAGTAGGAATGCCTTCGTTCTCGTCAGCAGTTAGTCACCCATATGTTGGGCCGTTGTCATTGACCTTCCAATAAACCGATCTCAAGGTGTCGTCGCAATTATCGCTATCGTCTTCGAACTTGAGGGCCCGCTTTAAGTCGGAGGGCCCTTTGCTGCTTTGGAAGATGGCGTCCCACCTCTTCCTGGAAGAAATCATGAACTCATGCTCGGCTCTGATTGTTATTTTTGGACTAACCTTGACTCTTCGACGGTTCTCATGGCATCCCAGGTAGCTATTTACGAGGGCGGGGCGGGTTTGGCGTGGTTTGAATTTAAAGAGCGAGGAACATGGATCGTGATGATCGCGGGGAGGGCCTTAGGTACACAACTGGCCGCTACTTATCGGCTAGCCACTTGCAGAGCCAGATCAAGACATTCTCTGCCTTGCTTGCGGTTAACCCATGATCCAACCAAGCCCTACAGACTCATATGTTCTTACTGACATTTGACACATGATTGTTTGGAGACTAAGACCATTTCCCATGATCATTGCGATTTATGGATAAGAAAAATTGTAACTAAAAATTATCATATGGTAACATCCACCCCGCCACTTTGATGAAACGTTAAAAGCCACAAATACGGCACAGGTGACAGAAGAGCTTTTAGCTCGCTAATTCCTCCTACCTGTAACTAGTGTGCTCCATATCTTTAGAGGACAGAGATTGTTACAAAATTTCGGTCTCTGAGGATCTGCAGTCTCTATCGTGATGATGTCCTTCAGACGAGAATAAACGCTGAATCACGTGCCTGGAGATCGACATAAGATTCCCTAGTGACACTAGCACTACCAAAGTCCGAGACTCTGCCGGTCTAGCATAGGCTGCATAGCAGAAGTGTCCGAATAGGGGCCCTCGATTGCGCGATTTCCGGTGGAAACAGAAATTATTAAGAGCTAGACGCTCTGGATTCCGTGACCGGCACGATTCTGACGAGTCAGGCTCACCGACGTCCCGTCCGTAGCTTCGCCGCGGGGATCTCCTCCCGCTGCCCCAGTCCGGCGTTTCGGGGCTACGTATATCCGTGACCAGATCTGACTGTCATCGCGGGGCTTAGAAAAACTCTTTCCCCCTCCTCTGCGTCCTTTTTTTTCTTCTTTCTTTCCTCATCACTCTTCCTTCTCTCATATTTGGCTTCTTTTTGCTTGGAAGTCAAATATTTTCTACCTATTTTATTCCATTCTTTGTCATACAGAGCCACAATGGTTCAGTCTTCCGTTCTGGGTTTCCCCCGTATGGGAGCCCTGAGAGACCTCAAGAAGGCTACTGAGGCTTACTGGGCGGACAAGATCTCTCAGGCTGATCTCCTGGCTGAGGGAAAGAGACTCCGTGCTGCTCACTGGAAGATCCAGAAGGATGCCGGTGTCGACATCATCCCTTCCAATGACTTCTCGTACTACGACCAGGTCCTTGACCACATCCAGCTCTTCGGTGCTGTTCCTGAGCGTTACAGCGCTCAGAAACTGAGCCCCCTCGACGAGTACTTCGCCATGGGCCGTGGTCACCAGAAGGGTGGTGTTGATGTGCCCTCTCTGGAGATGGTGAAATGGTTTGACAGCAACTACCACTACACCAAGCCCACCGTTAAGGATGGCCAGACTTTCACCCTGGCCAAGGACCCTAAGCCCGTCCGGGAGTTCCTCGAGGCCAAGGAGGCCGGAATCAATACCAGACCCGTTATTCTGGGACCTGTCTCTTTCCTTGCTCTGGGAAAGGCCGACCGTGGTTCCACCGTCGACCCCATTTCCCTGATTGACAAGCTTGTCCCCGTGTATGTCGAGCTTCTCAAGGCTCTCAAGGCTGCTGGTGCAGACAATGTTCAGATCGACGAGCCGGTTCTTGTTTTCGATCTGAGACCCGAGGTCAAGGCTGCTTTCAAGCCTGCCTACGAGACCATTGGATCCCTCGGTGCTGCCGCACCTGAGCTCATCGTGGCCACTTACTTTGGAGACATTGTTCACAACTTCGATGTTCTGCCTGCTTTTGCCAACCTTAAGGGTATTCACGTTGATCTGGTTCGCAACCCCGAGCAGCTTGAGCCGGTTATCAAGCAGCTCGGTCCCAAGCAGATTCTGTCTGCTGGTGTCGTTGACGGACGTAACATCTGGAAGAACGACTTCAAGAAGACTCTTGACATCCTCAACACCGCCATCAGCGCCCTCGGCAAGGAGCGTGTCATTGTTGCTACTTCCAGCTCCCTCCTCCACGTTCCCCACACCCTCGCCAACGAGAAGAAGCTGCCCGAGGAAGTCTACCAGTGGTTCTCCTTCGCCGTCGAGAAGGTCCGTGAAGTCGCGATCCTTGCCAAGGCTGTTACCGAAGGCCCTGCCTCTGTTCAGTCCGAGCTTGACGCCAACGCTGCTGCCATCAAGTCTCGTGCTGAATCTCAGCGTACCAACGACCCCAAGGTTAAGGAACGCCAGAGCCAGGTCACTCCTGAGATGCACAACCGCAAGTCTCCATTCGAGACTCGCTATGCTCAGCAGAAGAAGCACCTCAGCATTCCCCTCTTCCCTACGACCACTATCGGCTCCTTCCCCCAGACTCAGGAGATCAGAATCCAGAGAAACAAGTTCACCAAGGGTGAGATCACTCAGGAGCAGTATGACGCATTCATCCGCAGCGAGATCGACAAGTGCATCCAGATTCAGGATGAGCTTGGCCTTGACGTCTACGTGCACGGTGAGGCCGAGCGTAACGACATGGTGCAGTACTTCGGAGAGAGACTCGAGGGTTACGTTTTCACGACCCACGCTTGGGTCCAGTCTTACGGATCTCGATGCGTTCGTCCCCCGATCATTGTCGGTGATATCTCCCGCCCCGCTGCTATGACTGTCAAGGAGAGCAAGTACGCTGCCTCGGTCTCTAAGAAGCCTATGAAGGGTATGCTTACTGGACCCGTTACTTGCCTTCGGTGGTCCTTCCCTCGTGTCGACGTCCACCAGTCTGTTCAGGCCCAGCAGCTTGCCCTTGCCCTCCGTGACGAGGTTGTTGACCTTGAGAAGAATGGCATTTACGTCATTCAGGTTGACGAGCCAGCCCTTCGTGAAGGTCTGCCCCTTCGCTCTGGCAAGGAGCGCGATGCCTACTTGAAGTGGGCTGTCGACAGCTTCAAGCTCTCCACTGCTGGTGTTGAGGATTCCACTCAGATCCATTCCCACTTCTGCTACTCTGAGTTCCAGGACTTCTTCCACGCCATTGCTGCTCTTGATGCTGATGTCCTCTCCATCGAGAACTCCAAATCCGACGCCAAGCTTCTCAAGGTCTTCATCGACGAGGCTTACCCTCGCCACATCGGACCTGGTGTCTACGATATCCACACTCCTCGTGTCCCCTCTGAGGAGGAGATCAAGCAGCGCATCTCTGAGATGCTTCAGTACCTCAAGCCCGAGCAGTTGTGGGTCAACCCCGACTGTGGTCTGAAGACCAGAACCTGGGATCAGGTCAAGCCTGCTCTGACCAACATGGTCAACGCTGCCAAGTCTTTCCGTGAGCAGTACAAGGCTTAAACATGCCTTATAACTTCTTTCAGGAACTTATCAGTTCCATTTCCTTTTCAACAAACTTTCAACACATTATGAATTTGAGATGATGAGATGATGATGATACCCCAAAATAGGCGCCATTCTCAACGCGGCGTTTTTTCGGGCATGGAGACGATCAAGCTATATTTGCTTCAACAAGTTGCAATTGGGTGGTTAGGGAATAGGCGTTCAACATGTCTGAGACTATGATCCCTTCAACAAGAGATCCAGTCCTGAGCTAGCATAAAAGCGGATTTGATGTATTAAACGGCGTCACAAAATAGAATTTCTAATGGTGCAGGCTTATGGAACCGCATGGACGGTCCGCAGCCTGCTCGATATCAGCACCACAGGTTTCCTCCGGGAATTAACTCTTTTTTTTTCGTATTTCTTCACACGTCATTGGCATCATTAATCTTGCAACTTTAGTAGGCCTCAGAAGCGTTGGTTTTCCATACTTCACGCTGTATGTACGCTCGGTAATTCCTAGACGCGAGACAGTATTCACATTAACAGACCCTTTTGTTAATTCCAAGAATTGCAAACAGACGTAGTAGCGGAGTTAAGTAATACTTGAATATATGGAGATCATCTAGAATTGCTGCTTAAGGGGTAAAAAAAAAAAGAGAGAGAGAGAAATCGTAGGACGCTCTGTAAGTATGGTCTGCCGTGATCTTGTTCTTATTGGCTCCCCACTGTCAAGGTCGAACCGAGCGCCGTCATCATCCGGGTCGCTGCAAGCTCTACCTAATAATAGCTGCACTGCTACTAGCAAGATCTGTATCTTTGCAAAGACTATACCATACCTTCAACGGCCATCTTCCTGGGATCCATTTTTCGTGTTCCGAGGAAAATATTCGCTGTCAGGGTCGAAGAGAAACACTTGCTACAATTCACTTGCAGTGAGCGAGAGCGATGGTCCAATGACAGCAGCCGTCAGGACACAGGAACTGTCCAAAACCTCACAGACGATCCGGGGCAGGACAATAGAGCACCAAGGAGTCATTTCTCCTATACTTCCATCAGACTCTGTGAAGATTCACAATCCCTACCCATAATGTCGGCAGACTTGTTGGCCGAATTCGGCTCGGGCTCGGGCTCGGAGCCTACTCAAAATGCCTCGAGGCAGTCGCAACAACGTTTTCAGAATGTTTCTCTCATTCCTGATCTCGATTTCTCCGGAGATGTCCCGGCACAGCCTTCCAGCAGTGACTCAAAGACCGTTAACTTTGGGTCATTTCAAGGAGCAGGGCACACCAGTGCCAAATCACCTATTTCAAGCCCGCCTTTGGCCGAGAGTATTTGGCGCCACGACGACAGTGGTGCTGATGTCTTGTTTGATGCGACCATTGAAGATGCTCCTCCTGATGACGATGATGAATGGGGTGAATTTGAGGCCCCAGAGACTACGCCTGATGACCAGGAAGATGTCTTCGCCCCAAACGTGAGCTCTGCTCCGAAGGTGACCCCTGCACCAAATCTGGCTTTCGCCCAAACTGCGGCAGCCCCAAGAGCACCAATTGGCACAAATTCGACTAGTAAAACTGTATCTGGAAGCTCTTCTGGAGTTACCCATTTGATGGATCTACTGTCAGTCGAAGATAACGCACCGCCAGTCGAAACGAGGCAACCGTCCGCAAGTATAAACGGCAAAATTTCTACGGAAGATCGTTCAAGTCCCCGAGGCAACACTCTAAGTACTCTGCAAGCGCCTATTGCCAAGGACGAGCAAGATTCCTTCGATGAATGGGGAGACTTTGTTGATGCCGACGATTGGAAACCTACCACCCAAGAGCCACTCCCTGATACGCAAGTTAAGAAACAGAACTCGAGTAAGCGCACTGTGAATGATACACCAGCGCCTTCACTCCCTGCAGCTGCGAGTTCCAGAAGTGCACGCACGCCTCAGACAAGCCAGGTCTCGCAATCACAGGTTCGACCGACCAATATACCTCCACCATCTGTATTACTACAGTTGTTTCCTCCACTATTTGAGCGCCTTCAAGAAGATACTACTGAAGCAAAGAAAGATCCCAATAAAGGCGCGATGTCCCTCTATTTGGTCCTCAACCTTGCTTGTACACTGAAAGTGGCTTCCAGAATCATTGCTGGCCGCACTCTAAGATGGAAAAGAGACATTGTACTAAGCCAGAGCACTAAGATCGGCCCGGCTCGTTCTGGAAAGCAAGGCGGGATGAAGCTCAGTTCTGTCAGCAAAAGTGAGAACGTTAAGGAGGAGCAGGAGGCTGTGGAAGTACTAGACGCCTGGCGTCGACGGGCTGCGTTATTCAACTCTTTGATAATATCAGCTGGGGAGCGTCCAATCCCAGTTATAGCAGTGCATGCACCTGTGGATACTGTAAAGGGTGCCTTGAAGGCCCCGCATGCATGCGCCCTGTGCGGGTTGAAGAGAGACGAACGATTGCCAAAGATCGATGACAACGCTCAAGACAGTTTTGGAGAGTGGTGGGCAGAATACTGGGGACATACCGACTGCAAGCAATTCTGGGAAGAACACTCCAAGTCCCTGAATCAACGCTGACTTAGGCTATCTCCTCTCCACCATCCCTGATCGCGAACAGCTCGAGGGGACTTGGGCAATATGTCTGAGTGTATCATTGTCCAAGATACCCAATGGCTCTGCTACTCCTCACCATTTCCGATATATGATCTTATGACAGTCAATACGAAATTAAACCATCTATGTTCATGCCATTGTCACCATTTGCCGTAAACCTCCAAGTGTGATTACCAGCAGCCCATCCGGAGCAAGGATACGAACTCTAGTCGATGCGGCTTCAAGTTGATTACAAGGTCACGGTATTTATAGTCGCTTCAGTATACGTCTGTCATGGAAACATAGCTGACGTCGGATCGCTATAAATAGTAACATAGTATCGTTTCGAATATGGTCCTGCAGGACTCGTTAATCTGTAAGCCAATGTTTTAAAATTGTTGTTGTATAGGAATATTGTAACCACATCCAGCTAATCTACAACCAGGAGGTCTTAACTATGCAAGGTAGACAGGATTCTCTGTGTAAGTCCATGTGAGCTCGTCAAGGTGTGGATATTTACTAGAAGCGGCGTGCCGGATAAGGAACGATAGGGGGGAGTTGGTCGGCGGGTTACTGATAAGCAGGCACGACTCGAGATAGCTGGATGGCCTCCCGATCCGGGTGCTGGTAGGGCAATCCAGTGCTCGTGCTACACAGTATCTTAGCCTCTTTTGACTTCTCTCTCATTTCTCTTTAAAATGACCATGATCCGAATCCATCTGTCTTAGTCGCGCGTGGGCCGAAGCTTCTTCCCATGGGGTTCCAGTTGCACCAAAGTTAAGCGTGACACCGCCCGGCGGGTGCTTCTTCCACCCCGGCAGTGCAAGTCACCCGATAACTCCATCCTGCCATCTCTCTCGTCCCCGCGACGATCCAAGATCCTGAGTCAGAGGCCTCATTTGGAGCGATAGGGTGGTGAGCCCGTCAACCCGGATAGGTACTTGAAACCACCACATCCCGCCAGACCTACAGCCCACGGCCGAACGCACGGGTGCCACCTTTCAGGCTTCAGCTCACTTACTGCGGCGATCCTTCAGGAAGGAACTCCGCATAAGAGAGCCGTCGTTCTGGTTATACAGTTCCAGGCTGTCCTGAGCTGAACGCAGTGACATTCTAGGACTGTGATCCAGCTGAAACTGGTTCCTCTTTAAGTGATCATCTTCCCCGGACAGCGGGTGGCTATCAGAATCCAGATTCCCCGCGCGGCACGAGTCTCTACCACAACCTCAACCCACGCAACATCTCTCAGAAAGAGCTTTACGAGGATTTCCAGTCTTCAAATCGCTCTCGTACGCTGGTACTAGAGTTCCGATAGAGTTCCGACTACCCGCCCAGAAGAAAATCCGCCAGCACCTCTTATTAGGCCTCCGGAGGCTGACGGTACAACGCCCCCTTCCAGGCAAGACGTGCAGGACATAGCATACATAAGGGAAAGAGCCGACATCATGGGTCTCTCGTACAACGTCTACCTCACTTCGAATAAGATTTTTGGGTGCAAGCACTGCAAAACGCACTTGGCGGACTACAACGATATCATCAGCCGGGTAAGCAGGCCTCCAGTGTCTTTTGTATGACTGGCCGTTTGGTCGGTTCCACGGGAGCTTTCGCTGATTGCTCTTGGATGTCTAGAATTTCCGCGGTCAGCATGGTAAAGCGTACTTGTTCAACACAGTAGTCAACATCACCCAAGCCGAGGCCGTCGAACGCAACATGACGACTGGTCGACATGTGGTCCGAGACATCGCCTGCAGGCAGTGCAAAGAGACGGTAGGGTGGAAATATGACAAAGCATACGAAGGCAGTGAGAAGTACAAGGAAGGGAAATTCATCCTAGAAGAGGAGCTACTCTGCGTGGTGTGCTAGAAGCACGGCTATCTGCGGAAGGGCTCGCTCGAGAGACTCCCAGGGAGCCCAGATTGGAATGAACCTTCGTTGGCGCTCAGGACGAAATACGATTCAACAATCCCATCAGACCTTCTGGAAGGCGCAATAACTTGATTTCGTTTCGGTGGATGGTCCGGACGAAGGCGTTTGAGGGAAACATGCACCTTCATCAGAACATTCGGAGTTGACTGGAAGACTTGGAGGCTTGAGATTTAGGCGCGATTTGACGTTTAGCTTGGTGAAATCATGAACTCTCCCACTGTTACTCTCACATCGTCATGGACGATTTACATGTCAGTCTTGCATTTTCATGTTGTTCCATCCTGGGATTATAGATTTTCGCAACAGCTTTGGATTCCAAAAATCTTCAGTTCATTATATCAGAATGAACGCTTGTTAGGATGCCGGACTACTTGTAACTCCGACGAGGCAGCAAGGGAACTTGATATATGCGTAATATGAATGAAATATCATCGATACTCCCTGTGCGAGCATATCTTGCGGCCGGGGCCGGATAAGCAGAGGGTTAGTGATAGGACCTATAATCCCAGCCGTCGTTAGGGACTATGTAGTAGTCTTATCAAGGCAGTATAAATATCTCCTGAGACTTGACCCCTATAACTCCATCAAGGCGTGATGGTCGGTCGTGAATTAACTAACCGACAAAGCTTCGGCTCTGTCCGTCCAACGCCTGTCACACGCAAGTACTCTTAACAATCCCGTCCATCCCCTAACTCACTCCTTCGGGCTTAGAAGCAAACGCACTGCCCCTCCCCCGCACTTTTTCTTTTGCTTTTCAGCCAACCCTGCAAAGGAATGACGCTTCGCTTCGATCATTTGGTCGTAGTTCATAGAGTGAAAATGCACATGCAGGAGAAGATTATTGGTCTCTCATACGATACAACATTCAGCCTTGAGAAGGTTGAATCAATTTCTTGCCTGGATGGGTTACCTAGCTGAGAAGGGGGAAAAAACGGAATAATCTCGGTCCGAGAAGTAATCAAATACCTAGTATCAAACAACCCTTTTCGGGACACAAAAAAAAAGGCGCCAAATAAGGAACAAGTACGTACTACTTTTCGCGGTAATTAGCTAGTAGTAGTAAATGAAGGATTGGGAGGTGACTGTCGAATACTCGCGATTACTGGATCGATCGGACTCCATGTGGACATTCGGGATGAAATGCGAAGTGGCCCAACTGGGGCACTTCGGAGGAAACGCCGGATGGCCAAGAAATGATGGTAGTGATGGTGGTCATGGATAGATGCGGCAATAATGCGTGAAGTTGAGAATAATATGTTGGATACAACTGCATTTCTGTTTTGATACTATAAGTCAGATCGGGATTGTTGCCGATATAAAGATTGATCTTACTACTTACACTAATTATCATCTTAGCCCAAGAGCAGGGGTCTTTCTCCTAAGTAAATACCGTATAATACATCATGGTTCCAACTTCCTAGAGTGCCCCGGGTTCCCCGCTTCGGGATCCAGAGAATGGTTTGCTTGGATCCCAGAACCGCAGACTCCTGTAGATCGGTCATCGTATCCCAAGAAGAAAAAAAGTTCAAGTTCCAGAGCCGAGGGATCAACCCCGCTTCCCGCACCTCCGCAGATCCGTCTCGCTGGGATATAAAGATCGCATGGGACAATAACACGCCTGGGGCGCTTGCTGTCTGAGAAAATTCGTCGCTATTTCCTTTCATTGGTGGCCCTTGGGATCTCTGCTGCGAGCTTCTAACACAGCCCGCGCCAAGATTTCCTGACTGTACTCTCTCCTTCTCTCTCTCTCTCTCTCTCTCTCTTCGGCTCGGAGGTTGCGTAGCTTAACTATCAGGCTCGTGACTTGTATCAGCGAACTGTTGGAGGATCAGGTTTTCCAAGGAAATCAGTGATACTTGAAAACAGCGGAGTTCGAACTCTGTGACAGATTAGGAAAATGGCCACCAAAGATACGATGAAGGCTGTCGTCTTTCACGGCCCAAAGAAGGTTGCTCTTGAGGAACGCCCAGTCCCCAAGATCCAGGACCCCACAGATATCATTGTCAAGGTGTCATATTCGGCGTTGTGCGGCAGGTAAGTAGAGATATGTTCCGTGTCCGGATGGTCTGCAAGCGACATCATATCCAAAAGGTCAGAAATTGCTAACTGAGGGGTAGCGAACTCCATGTGTACCGCGGTCACCAGAAGTCAGCACCAGGCTTCATTATGGGCCACGAGTTTACCGGTGAAGTGGTCGAGGCTGGCAGCGCAGTGAAGACAGTGAAGAAGGGAGATAGGATTGTGACTCCTTTCACGGTTTCTTGGTATGTAACCATCAGCCGCAGTCGATATAGAGTAAACGGGAGAGATGCTATAAGTAGCTGTCTGTTGGACTTGCGGGGATTTAAACTAGTGGGGGATGACAGATCTTTGAGGACCTTGGTTGCTAACGTCAGTCCATTTTAAAAACAATAGCGGCGAATGCTACTACTGCAAGCACGGCTTCTCCTCTCGATGCGAGAAGTGTCTTCTCTTCGGCTGCCCTCTGCTGGACGGAGGTCAGGCTGAATATGTGAGTGACCTCAACCATCATATTCCGGTTATTGCTTCTCAAACAGATACTAATCAAGTTCCTCATAGGCTAGAATTCCTCTCGCTGATGGAACCGTCATGAAGGCCCCCGAGGGCATTGACGAGAAGGCCCTTGTCCTCATGGCCGACATCTTCCCCACCGGGTACTTTGCCGCTGCGAATGCTTTCAAGGAGTTCAAGAGAGAGGAGGTCGCCGATCTCACTGTGGTCCTCATCGGATGCGGACCGGTTGGTCTCTGTGCACTGATCAATGCACTCGAGTACAAGCCCAAGCATCTGCTTGCTGTCGACTCTGTGCCTTCGAGACTTGACCTTGCCAAGTCTCTCGGTGCTGAACCCTGGAACTTCCAGACTGACAGGCCAGGACTCGATAAGCGAGTCAAGGAGCTGACAGACGGACGCGGCGCGGACGTTGTTATTGAAGTCGTCGGACTGAGCCCTGCCCTGAGAACTGCTTTCGACCTGCTTCGACCGTGGGGAACTATCAGCAGTGTGGGAGTGCACAATGCAGAGATCCCGTGGACCGGAAACGAGGCCTACGGTAAGAACCTGAAGCTGCAGATGGGCCGCTGTCCCGTCAGATCCATCTTTCCTCAAGCGTTGGAGATGCTGAAGAAAAACCAACACAAGCTGGGGTAAGTGACCTGGAAACCCTGGGTGCGATTCATCGAGCTAACGAATATAACCAGATTCATGGCAGACAAGGTCATGCCTCTCAGCCAGGCCGTGGAGGGATACGATCTCTTTGATAATATGAAAGCTCAGAAGGTTATCTTCGAGGCCGACAAATAAAAAGCTTTCGCGCTCTCTGCAATATATTCAACGTTGCAGAGTTGTTTGAGCTGGTCTGCGTATCTGTCTGTTGGTAAATTACAATAGCAAGGCCAAGGCTCAGCCTATCTAATGAGAATTATGTGAAACTTGTATATTACCAGCCAAATATTCGTCATCATGCATACGTAGCAAGCTCAAAAGATGTCCTGCATGTATGGATATCGATTCAGATCGGGTATTTCTCGGCGTATATCGCAGTAAAGCCTCCGCCAGCGACCTGGATCTTGAGCATTCAAGCTCTCGGTTCACGTCATGAACAAGGAACCTAATAATCAAGAGATAATCCGGCACGGTGATTTGAGGAAGCGGAACGGACCAGCATTTGTTTAACTAACAGGGATAAGCGGTTGAAACGCGGATCTACACCAACGCCGGTCAGAAGCAGAAAGAACAAAGCGGGGTTAGCTCGAATTGCTCGATTAATCCCTCCTCTCGCTTGCACATGGCGGGCGCAGCTTCGAGAAAAGAGGGAGAGAGGCGTGTGTCTATAACCAAAGTGTGGCGGGAAGAAAGCTAGTTTATTTAGCTGGTCTCCGGAGGCGGACAAGAAGACCGTGGGACCATGTACTGGTACTGTACATAATGAGTAGAGAACACGCTGAAACGGATTATCCAGTTAATAAGAAAAGGACCAAAGCAGTATACATTGGTGTTGGATGAAAAGAATAGGCTGAGAATAGACAGATGGTCATTGACAGAAGAAGAAGATGAAACATGCAAGCTCAGCAAGTTGTTCCTTCTGCGCGCTCACGCCTCCCACCACCAGCGCCCTCACTCTTCTCCATCCTCTCCGCCGCCTCCTCATCCTCACCTCTCACCTCCTCCTACCCACCCACATCTCTCTTCAACCACGCTTCTTTCATCCTCATCCTCTTTATCCCATCCTCTCCTCCTCTTCCTCCCTCAGCAACCCTTCTCTCCCCGCCGACTCTCCTCCCGAATCCTCTCCGTCGTCATTCTCCGCCCGCCACTTCTCCGATTCTCTATCCACCTTACGACCACCTCTCACCTCATCCCCCTCTTGCTTTGTGCCGGTATGTCCATATTTTCTTTATATCCGATCTTGTATCCGGAAACTTGCGTGCTGTTGTGTCTTTGAAGCACAGTGTCGCAGTTTCATGCTGTCGATAAGCAAATGCGCATTTTGGACTCGTTTGACCGTTCTTCATCTGCGGTGCCTCCAAACATCTGACGGCAGACACTGATCGGTCCTCCACCAGAATTACCCATCTTATCGTCGATCAAAGCTTATATATTTCGATAATTTGTCATTCTGTCAACAATGGCTACTACCGAGACCAACGAGAACCCCGCCGTCGTGGATGAAACCCTCAATGATTCCTTTAACCGCGTCAACCTGGGTCAGCAGGCTGACTTGGAAGGCGTTCCCAAAACCGACGAGGAATATGCGCAGTCGATGCTCACCCTGCGCGCTATCGTGTCCTCGAAGGAAGCAGGCGTTATTATCGGCAAGGCTGGCAAGAATGTCGCGGATCTGCGCGAGGAGACTGGTGTCAAGGCTGGAGTGAGCAAGGTCGTGCAGGGTGTCCATGACCGTGTCTTGACAGTCACCGGTCCCCTCCAAGGTGCTGCGAAAGCCTATGCGATTGTAGCCAAGGGTCTCCTCGAGGGTGCCCCTCAGCTAGGCATGGGGGGCATTGTTGCGAACAACGGGACTCACCGTAAGTGGACTGTTACTCGATTTCATTCTAGCATTGACATGCAAATCATCACTATCTTTGAATACGAACTGATTCGGGTACAGCTGTTCGTCTGCTCATCTCTCATAATCAGATGGGAACCATTATCGGACGCCAGGGTCTCAAGATCAAGCATATCCAAGATGTATCCGGAGTGCGCATGGTGGCACAGAAGGAGATGCTACCTCAGTCAACTGAGCGAATTGTTGAAGTCCAGGGGACCCCAGAAGGTATCGAGAAGGCTGTCTGGGAAATCGGAAAGTGTCTAATCGATGATTGGGAACGGGGAGCCGGTACTGTTCTGTACAACCCTGCAGTTCGTGCCTCCACTGGTCCAGGAACACTCAATGGTCTCGGAGGATCCTCCTCCATTGGTGGTAGCTACGGTCGTCCGTACAATCGTACTGGAAATGGTGCGGATTTCAGTGACCAGACTGGTGGCTACAGCAGACGCTCCAACTCCGACGCTGGCAGCCGCGGCATTCCTCTTGTCACTGAAGACGGCGAGGAAGTTCAGACCCAGAATATCAGCATCCCTTCAGACATGGTCGGGTGCATCATCGGTCGGGGCGGCAGCAAGATCAGCGAGATCCGACGGAGCTCGGGCGCTCGTATTTCCATTGCCAAAGCTCCCCACGACGAGTCTGGCGAACGCATGTTTACGATCATGGGCAGCGCCCAGGCTAACGAGAAAGCCTTGTATCTCTTGTATGAGAATCTCGAGGCTGAGAAGATGCGCCGCAGCCAGCAGCCGCAGGAGTGAGAGACCTATTGGTGCATGTGACAGACGGCGCTTCTATATCAACACCCTCTCGTCACGCTTCATGGTCTAGTGCCCTATGTCCTGGGCGTGTGTCCGTCAGAAGCTATCCATGGCTCACTGCGACCATTATCGGCTGTTTTTCTAAAAAGTGATTCCCATTTCCAACCATTATTTTATTGCCACTATGCGGTGTCTTGATATTCTTAGACGAGGTCCTCGCTCGACGCGACTGTCATTATTTGACGACGCCACCGCGGCCATTTTAGCCTCCCGGTAATTCACATTATCGGACTCCAGTTGCAAGACTCGCCTGGCCACGTCTTCAGTGCAAGGCTTCAGGCCATCTTATCAGGCTCGTCGCCTCTTGAGGCATTTTCTCTCCTCGACCCGTCTTCTCTCCTTCCTTCCGCTACCTTTCCCCTAATCATCGTTATCCGCAAACAATACGCCTGGGCGTTTGACGCTCCAAGAAAATTCACTACTGTCTCCAGTCTCCCTTCTATTCCTTTGTCCGTGAACGCACGCCGATCCTTGAATTTCTCCACCTTTTTCTCCTGTCTCATCCAAGCTCTACCTATCGTCTCCTACTTGATCTCTGAATGTCCTTGCGCTACCTGCACCTCACGCACGAAAAAATATAGTCTCCGTCGACTCATCCCCGACCACTCTCACTTCATGTCACTCATCTTCCCCCATGCCATTGGACGTGGATGCCCAGGAATATTCTCTTTTGCCATGACAGTCACAAACAGACAAACCGTTACGAAAGATGTCACCATCTGACCTGATGTGGAGAACGGGATTGAACGGTAGACAATCAATATGACCTATAATCAATAATAAATGCAGAGTCATGTTTGTCAGGAAACAGCTCGAAACGTAGGTGGCGTTGGTAGCTCAATAAGAAGGCGGTAGGGCTGAAAGTACCTCCAGTCTTAATGGTATACCTACAGTAGCAGCCTCAGTAGATATTGTGAGTCACGGGAGATACTAACTTTGCTGTTGCATAGTTGATGACTCGCCAATGATGAAACAAGTCAGATCCGCCTATTTGTACGTGTATCCAGGGGTGCATTATGTGTACGTAGCGCTCATAGTTCTAGAAGATCCATTTTTACGTGGACGCTCACTCCCGCGCGGGGTCCCAAAGAGGAATAACAACCGCCGGGGCTCCGCCGTTCCAGATACGTCTGAACATAAAAAGCTTACAAGGTCCCGGTCTTTTGAATTGATGATACATTGCTATCTCTGTTGTATTGGAGCAGTGCGTGGTACTTTGTGCTTGGCTCTTGAAGACAGATATCTCATTCCATCATCTTCCTTCATCCACCTTTTACTTGTCCGGTTTTTATACATCGAGAGGAATTCAATCAGGCCAGGGAGGTCCCCGTTTACATTTTCCTATTTCATATCCTGAATAGGAACAGAGAAGAAAACAAAAAAAAGAAAAAAAAGAAAAAGAAAACTTCAAAGACAAAAACTAAGCAAAATGCCCAATCCCAATTTCCACCTCCTCCCCGCTAAACCAGAAGACATCCCTATCTTCGCGGACATCTTCTTCAGCGCCTTCCAGAGCTTTTTCATTCACGAATGTCTACCCGACATCCCATCCGTGCGAAACTGGTGGATCAAGAGCCAAGAAAAAGAATTCCAAGATCCAGATAACCTGTTTCTGAAAGTTATTGAAAAGAAGGAGAAGCAGAACGATGGAAGCAACGACGAGGAGGATCCCATCGTGGCGTTTGCGAAATGGACTAAACCCGTCAAGGGAAGGAAAATTCCTCCTCAACCGGAGTGGCCAGAGGGTTGTAATGCGCAGTTGGCAGATGCTTTTTTTGGGACGTTAAGCGATGGTCATGCGCGGGTGATGGGGGAGAGGACGCATTGGTGTAAGGTTTCCTATTTGAAATTCCCACTTTTTTTCTTGAATTAAGTTAGGTACTTATGTGGGAATTTCTATTAGTTCTTGCGTTGTTGGGAACTCGCCCTTTGTACGAGGGGCAAGGTGCCGGGTCTATGCTTCTGGCATATGGCCTCCGCAAGGCGGACGAGGAGCAGCTCGATGCCTTTTTGGAGGCATCGCCACCGGGAGAGCCGCTGTACCTGAAGCATGGGTTTGAAGTTCAGGAGAGAGTAAGTGTCATGGTACCGGTTGACGGGCAGCTGAAGCCGTATAAAAATGCTTTGATGGTGAGGAAACCGAAGCCTCTAGTAGCGTGAAATGGCTGCTATTAAGCTGGCATATGGGTCTTTCTTCTACTCTTGAGCGAGAATACAGAAGATTTGTTTCCGATTTTCACATCCAGGAGTATCAATGAGATGATATCCAACGATTGTTCATATGAACGTCCGCTTATAAACAGCACATTATTATACAAGTTGGGTATATATATAAAACATTTTCCACGCCCACAACGCCATCTGAACACCACTCCCATGGGGGAAATATACACCACGAGGGAAGAGGATATACCCTGTACACAAAGACACGGTCACCTCATCCTCATCTTTTCAGGAAATGTCTAGCTTAGCTAAACATATAACCGCACCGGACTAGGCGCAATAACATCCCCGGACGTAAAACTGCAATGACCATACTGCCCTTCGTCGAGTTTGGCAGTATAATGCCAAGGACTCGGACTATTTTCAATTGCATCATCGTCATCAGCAGCATCCGCCACTAGCTCACGCGTTCTTATTATTTCGTAATCTTTATTTCGACTCGGTAAGGAAGAAGTCGGGCATGCAACCCGATCTGGTGAGGAAAGCCTTTCTCCTATTAAGGCTTTATTATCCTCCTTTCGGATAGGGATTTCTCCCCACATGATCGGCTTGAGCGCATGCTCGTTATCGTCGGTTAGGGGGTGACATGCCGCGCTAATGGCAGCGCTACAGCCATGCACGAGAGGCATATTCGATTGATACCATCTCAACCCCAGACCCAAGACGGCGAATACCATGAGACACCCCAGACCGATAGCGAAAATAATCGCGATCGGTGAAAACCCGCACGTGACGATACGGTCGTTGGACATGAGCTTGCCGTACATATTGAACTGAAGGATTTCGACGTAGAAGATACTTTCAGAAACGAGCCAGTGCAACATGGCGGAGACGATTAGGAGGGGGATGCCGTATCGATAGGGTAAGCTAAGATAGTATGTGGAACGTTGTTGGCCCTTGGGCCAGGAGACTCGTAAGGGTTTGCGGGACATGGCGTAGTCGTCGTATTCGGCGGCGAGGAGCATGTTGGTCAGGAGGCCGTTGTAGAGGAAGTAGGCGGTGGAAACGAGGAGTTGGGGCACGTTTGCGAGGAGGATCATCCCGATGAAAGAGGAGCTGCCGCCGGTTGCGCTGAATGCGGTGATGAGGGTCGTGGGAGTGGCTGTTCCGAAACCCAGTTGCCAGAGAGCCGGTAAGGCTGCGGAGCTGCCGTAGCTTGTGATGCTGGCGATGCCGTCAGAGAGGAGGAAGCCAGTGACAGAGAGCAGGAAGACGCATCTGCGTGGTTGGTCAGTAAAGCTGTGAGGAAGAACTGCAAGCCATGGGCTCAAAAGGAACCCACAAGGTAATAGTTACGACCCAGCGCCAGATACTCACAGCTTGTATCCACCTCGTTCTGGGAGGGAGGACATCTGGAATCCTTGATGGTGGTGAATACTTCACAGTGGTGGTCTGCTTATTCGGAGAAAGAGGGTTCTTCCACGACCAGGGACCTTTGCTGATATTCTTCATTGACAATAGACATCTACCCTCTGTAGTGGGATCAGGCCTGGTGAGGAAGGACGATATGGCATCTCCAACTGTCAGGAAGATCTCCTTCCGGTCATCCCGAGCCGTCAAGAACATGCAGACGATCTTGGTGAGATTGCAGAGAATAACAGCGATGCAGATAGGAAGGCTGAATAACAGCTGGCAGTCTTGCTCTGTCGTCTGGCTGAGACAATGGTCGACTGGTGCTGTGTTGTAGCTTCCGGTGCCTATCTGAGATGCACAAATCGTTCCAGTCTGACTGACATTCGCTCTCCTGGCCCAAGTGGCATTCCGCCAGGCGGTCCCGTTGTCAAGATCCTGTCGCAGACCTGCCTCGGAAGAAGGATATTGCCATAGTATGTTCTCCAAGTTGTGTATATCGAGGCATAAAGCATCGTCCTGTCCATACTCACAAAGGTCCGGATCCATTGATGTCGAGCTAAGCTTGACAGGCCCATAAGGCCCATCCACCGTCGCCTGAAGTAGAGGATATGTCCAATTCTCTATCGCTACAGACCAATTATCGAAAGATGCCTGTACAGAATCCTTGTTGCATCGCCCCCAAGAATCACGCAACGAGGAACACATCCATAGATAGGATTCCGTTGCCGTGAACATGTCTCCAATGGCATTGCCCGTTCCTACCCAACGTAAAGACTGGTTTCCGATAGTGGATTGATCGTTAGTCACGACAACGAGTGTTCCTCGACCAGAGGGGTAATCAACAGCGAATGTGTCGATGCATTCTTGTTTGGTAAGCCTTTCAAATCTCCCCTGCGACATGTTGGAGTAGAAAGCGTCCATGGTCGCCGCGATGCTAGGTTCAAAGCAGTTTATATAGTCCTTGGTATGGTTGCCCGGATTATTAAAGTCAAAATCGGAAGACACAGCAACAACAGCATATTCGTTCGTTCCTACTGTAGGGAATACAGCCGAGTTATATCTGCACGGAAACCACAAATCAGCACCGAGTCGTGATCAGAGAATCATGTTTTCCGTTTCTGCCATCAAACCCACATCAAATGAATAGGCAACGAAGTCATCAGCAACACGAACCACAGTACGAATCTTCTTCGTCCGACAAAATTAAAATTCCCAATACTCGGCGTTCCAATATCCAGCCACGTCCTCTGAGCATGGGCGCGGTCGACATCTTCGCGGGACGGTGATCCCAAGCACTGCATGCAGTAATTACTCGCCCCCAGAACGAGCGTACTCAGCACGTTGATGACTAAATGGATCCCGCTGGCCCAACCTTTGGTCCTGGAGCATTCTCCCTGGTAGAGCACTGAAGCACTGGACTGCTGCTGCTCGTCTCTCGAGTATGCGATGGCGGTGGCCACGATGGTGAGGATGATATTGACGAATAGCACGACGGAAGTCACACAGGCACACACGAGCACGCCCTTAACCCATGCTCGTTCATGAGTAGGTTGAAATCCTCTGCCGGCGTTGATGAGGTGTATTAATCTCGGGGATGGTTTGTCGGTTGACGCATCTGGTGAAATAGGCGAAGTTGCTTCATGGACATGTTCTGTAGAAGAGGAGCGACTCTGACCTTCACTATCATCAAGATAGATATGTCAGTCAATAGGACAGGGCAACTTGATACAAGATACGGTCGGTATATTCAACCTTTGAGGCGACAATAGATCCAAATCGATCCAACCCTTCGAATCTTCCAACCGGCCAGAATCATCGCGCTCAAACGGCCAGAACGAAGAACGCCTTCTCTTCCGGGCCGTCGGCAGTAGTAGTGTCTCATCCATAGTACTCACTCACCCGCCGTTCCCTCCAGCCTCAGATAACGCCGAAAACCAAGCTTAAGCGATGCGTGAGACCCCAAGTTCCAGAAGGAAAAGAAGACAAAAACATAATTTCGGACGAAAAGCTACTCATTTCATGACTTTCTGATTCACTATTATTATGATCTACTCGAATCTAAGCCTTGTCAGGGGCAGAGAGACTCCTGGGGAGATCTTTTGGGGGCCTTAAAGTGGAGTCTGCCAATACACTTACGGAGCAACTGTTCTGGTCTTAGCTTAGATAGCCGGATTCTTGTCGCAGGAGGTTCAGCCTCATGGGGCCTGTTGGTTCGAACTTCGTGCTGATATCCAGAGAGGCCGCTAGGTTCAGACAACGTTAATAATGTTTATGATGAGCGTGACGACGAAGGCATCCTAAATCCCAGAATCCGGAAGAAGGAAGTTCTACAGTAGACTAAATTAGTTGCATAGAATAGGTAAGTAAATGCATATATAGACAGTGCCTTGGGTAGAAGGGGATACTCACAGATGAAGTTCACACCAGCCAGCTGCTGCTGAGCTTGAACAGCGCAACCAGTGGCAAGGCGCTTGCCCAGGCTACCGTACAGGGTCTCAGACCAAGAAGTCGCAGCCAGGCTCATCTCAAACTCGTGATTTGGTTCCTGAACAAGTTCGTTGCCATTTGGATGTCTAGTTATCTGTTTCTAGAAAGTGATCCAGTGATCATTGCCGGGTTAGCTTAGGTAGCTATGTAGTTGTCTTCTCTTGGTTAGTGAACGGACATCTCGGACCAGGTCTGTGAAGGTAAATGGCCGCTGGCCTAAATATATCTGATCCAGTGACATATTTTCTAATCTTTCAACTTGTGAAGTAACTATATTTCCCTCGCTTCAGCTGCTAATGGAAGTCCCTACGATATATACAAGTATGTACAATTCAGAGACTGTTTATAGATCCTGTTTAGGACTACCTACGGAGATCAGAAAGATCGAAATAGATATATATTCACTGTAAAATTGTTTGTATACACACATGCAAAAATGTACAAGCCAAGTGCAAAGCCCAGCGGGCCAATAACATCGCAAAATGCAGCACAAGGATCCAGAAGCACCAACACCGTGGCTGTGCAAGCAGAAGAGACACAGCTAATTTGCCCGGGTATCTCGATCATGAAGGAAACCACGAGTCTAGAACTCCGCACTTTGCAACCGTTTCGGTAATCCAGTGCCTTTTTGTCGAAAACTAAACGCCCTCAGATGTCCGTTTCAATATCTTCGTCAGGCTGAAATCATAGAACATGTGCTGAAACTGTGGGACGCCTTGAAGATAAGTTACAGTAGGTGTGATCGATCATTAGATCATGAGAAGCGCCACTTTTGATGGTTTCACCGCACCGCAAAACGCCAGAACGAGCAAATATGGAACGCGAGTAAAAGCGACGCAGCGCTATGCAAACAACGCTATGTAAATGGTTGAGTAAAATGCACAATCAATAAACGCCTTAACTGACTGGATTGGCAACGTCTCCTGAAGCATTCATCGTACGTTGCCGAAGACCAAGTCTCCGTGCACCAAGGCTGTTTGTCCGAATCCGTGGCTGCTGAATGCTAGTATAACTCGTTGCCGTCTTATTTGACGGCGCAAAAATGCGGCTTGGAGTCTGCTGGACCGAGTCTCCTCCGTCGACCGGTCCAGCTGTGACATCCTGAGGACTTTGGACCATGGCAGAGGAAGCCAAGTATCTGCGAGAACCAGGCTGTACATTCACGCCGGAGACGGAAGGAGCGTAGTTGCTTGCAGGCGATAAAATACTTCTGCGGAGAGGAATAGCGGACGAGACTGTCGGCGTACGTGGCTGCAGCCGTAGTTGCTCTTGCCGGGGTGATAAAGGTTGTCCCTGCTGAGATTCCGATGCACGACGAGAAGCATATTCACGAGAAAGCCGCTCCCGCGCCGGAAGCCGGCTTCCTGGCGTTGCATTTCCGGCATCTGTTAGACTGCGCGCAAGAGGACGGCCCAAGGTGATGGTCTTATCATCAGCGTCCTCCTCGCCGCGCTGTCGCTTAGAACGAAACGAGGTGGATATACGCGAGAGCCTACTTGGGGGAGTAGGTGTCTGGGTGGACTGGGTATCCTGGGAGTGTGACGCAGCCCCGGTTCCAACAGTCATCATACTCGCTCTCCGCGTCTCCAGTCGAGTTGGGACGCGAGAAGATGCCTGGAAACGATCCAGGTCTTCTGGCTCCTGGCTGATACCACGACGATATGAGATGGGAGGGTTTCGCTGTTCCGTTTCCGTGGTATTTGTTCGGTTAGGGTCAGCCGTCGTTGCATCCCGGCTCCCAGGACGTGTTTTTGGTAGAGAGATCAGTCGTTCGTCCGCCAACGCGAGACAAAGCTCGGTCAAACTTCGACACATATTGTCTGCTTTTCGCTTCGCTTGTCGCTCCGACGCAGTGACGCCGTTAACGACGGAGACACTTCCGGACGGCGACGCGGTGGAACCCAACATAGTGACCAGAGTCAGCGCATCATTAGCTGTGGTCTCCAGTGCCTGATACACTTCCCCGTTGAGGACAGTTTTTGCTTTGGCTAAAGCTGAGTGCAACAGTGGATGGGTCTGGCTGGAAGGGGCCGTCCCTTCCGCGTCGAGGACCGGAGCGCTTGCTTTTCTACGGTGCTGTTTGGGAGAAGGTGACAATGTCGTTACTGTTGTAGTAGCTGTCTGAGGCCGTTCTCCGGACGCACTGGATATGGCGGCTGCAGACGACGGCGGTAATTTTCCGGTCAGTTCTAGTTTCCGGATTCTCGACTTCAAGTCATCCAATTCATCCCAGACCGTCGAAGGAGCATTCGTCGACAGCGTCGATTCGGTACCTTCCCGCGTTGATCGATCAGTGTCGGGCTTCGATCGTTCGGCTGCGTCTGATTTTGAAGCCTGACGAACGGTGTATGAACTAGCAGTTGTTGAACGTCTATGGAGGCGAGCATCATTCAATGATGCCCGCTTATCGGCGGAGGTAGACAGTTCCGGGGATGCATCCTGGTTGAAACGACTGAACCGACTAGAAGGCAGTCCGATTGTGGACCTGGCGCTGGAGCCGTTGAAATAACGGATGCGATTGGGCTCGTCCAATGGATGCGCTGAAGCTGGCGTGGAGAAGCCACCAAAGCTGTGGCTGAAAGGCAGTGACGGGGGATTATCCTGAGAATATGATGGAGTCTTTTGCTGGGCCAGTTGCGATTGGTCCGGAGAAGGGGTCTGCTCGTTGACTCGAGATGCGCGGGATGAAAGCGCGGAGATTGCGAATCTGGACGACTGCACAGTCGTTTGCCTTTTGTCAGCGCTTATTGGAGAGGATTTGCGCATCAGGAATGGCAAAAATCATGGCAAAGGCCATGCTACAACAAAGCGGGATATGAGCTTACCCTACGACTCGCGGAGTCCCGACGGTTCCCACTGGATTTGGCGATGTGGAGGAAGATGTCTTCGTTCTTCGACCGATTTTCGTCTGCACTCGAGTCCTTGCTACTATCCTCCATACTTCGCCTCGCGAGGCTGCGCGCCAATTGATCTCTGTCGGAGGTCTGGACATTGCTGCCCAGATAAGTCGAAGACATTGTGTTCTTGGAAGCCGTAGGAGCGGCCGTCCGGGGCGAAGACGGCAACTGTTCACGGCGCTGCGCAGCGGAAGGGTCGTTGTTCAGAATGGCATCGATGCTCACGGACAAACGGCTCTTCTTCCTGGCCGGAGAGGCCAGCTGCGACGAGGACGCTGAGCGGGTGATGGGAGAGAGATCCAGGTTGACGGAGGGCCGGCGTGTCTTGTCCTGCAAGAGCGAGCGCCGGGTGCTCAGGGCGGGCGGCGGACCGTTGGCGGTTTCGATGCCGTAGCTGCTGTGGGACGCGGGCGCCCTCCTGAAGTGAAACGACCTGGAGTCCGCAGCAAAGAGGAAGGGCTGGATGGCGTTGTTGGTGGTGTTGGTGATGGTGGTGCTGGTTGCTGGCGATGCGCTGATGTCTCCCGATGTTGACGATGGAGAGAATCCGGCACGCGCGCGGTCACGGGAATCGGGGCTGTTCGCGACGGCAACACTGAGAGACGACGACTGCGGCGAGGGAGGAGATGCTGGCACAAGAGAACCGGTCGAGCTGCGCAGGTTGAACTTGCGCGAGGAGATCTCCGCGAAGGCAGGATTCGACAGTCCGTGGACGCTCAGGGGCGAGACGATCTGGGGTTCGGGCGGCGGGGAGAAGCACACGGAGTGGCGGGCGGGCTCGCGCAGAGGGAATTCTGACGATGCCCGCCGTCGCACTGCTGAGTCGGTTTGTCGTCGCGGTCGTCCCCATGGCCTCTCTCTGTCAGTGTTCCTCGTGGTGTTGAGTTCCGGCACCGAGGGTACCGTCTCGAGGCGCATTCTTGCGGCGGGCGCATCCACGGGCGCATCCAAAAAAAAAAAACTATCTATCCGATTACCGTTTTTCTCTTCCTCTCTCTCGCGCACACAAGATCAATCCCGACGGCGAGGATGGCGGGACAAGACAGCCAGCAACCCTGTCAAGTGCGATATTGGTTTCCTCGAGGATACACAGGCATTGGGGATCTGAAAGTCAATCGGGCACAAGATGAAGGATAAGAATAATAATAGTAATCATGGGGTTCACTCGCGCCGGTGTCAGTGACCGCCAGTTTTCAGACACGACTGGGGCACTCTGAACGATCCACTGCTGGCCAGTGCTGCACAACCTGTCAGGACTTAGGAGAGAGTCTCGTTTGGACGCCTCAAACGAACAGCAAACAGTTGCCACGGCATCACTCGAGCAACCTGGTGGCTGCAATCGATGTGTTGAAGTTTACGCGGTAATATCTCCTACTCTATTTGTGTGGCCGTCCGGTCTACAGAATCAGGATGTTGGGGGCTTCACAATGTCCCCAATCAATCGCTAACTATCCCCAAAAAAATAAGAAAAAAGGGACACACACACATATGAGATATATACACAAAACTACATAGCTGTCACAGCTATACCAAAACAATCGCGATCCTCGGTTCGTGACCGTATGGTCTTCCAGTGAGGGCTGTTTGAAGTCCGTCGCGCCATGGTTCGCAACCGTCTAGGTGCTCGGTCCGCCGCAGCTAAGTAGGTGAGCTGTCATGAAGGAGAAAAGAGCCGGAGGGAAGATGGGTCTTAAATCATAACAACGACACAGTCTGCCTGATAATTGCCTACCTTCCCTGGCAAAATTTTTATGCTTGGGATTCGCAGTCATTGCTCTCACCTGAGTCACTGCAGATACATAGTTACCATCTCAAGTCCTGCAAGACCTTGGTAGTTAGTCCGTACGGCGCTACCCAATTCGTTGAGTCGTTGCACGTTTCACTCCCCATTATTATGCTACCAACTCCCCTCTCTATTGAAACCTCTAGACAATTGACAGAAAACTGCGAGAATGGCTGTCGGAAAAGCTGTCTAGTGTCTAACTTAAGGGATAAGGATCAGATCAATCTCTGTCGCACAACTTGAACTAAAGTACTGCCATTATGCAATGCTCACTGGGGGCCGAGAAAAACCGATGTGGTGTGCGCCCATCCAAACCACGAATGAGTTCAGATAGTATCTCAATCCCGCATCAGATGGAAAAAGACAAGTCCCAGATGCTCCGTAGATAGAGTACGTAGTCTAGAGCTACAGGATAAAATCTGCACCGTCGACCACAGCAAAGACCAACTTCGATCATCATGTCCGTCCCTGCCGAAAGTCTATCTCAGATAAGCTCCCCGCAAAATCCGACCTCGACATCACCCACGTGTGTCTTATCAACACGTCCACGTTGCCCCGTTGAATGCCACTGCCGGTACACCATACAGTGATTCATCCATTTAATTACCGTGGCGATCGGGGGCAACAATTGACAATGACAATGACATGCTTGAATGAATGCATGCATGCCACTTGTGCCAGGTTTTAGCATATCTGAATATTGGACTTTTGCATACTCTACATTAACTGGCTTAGCCCATGGCGATAATTAATGAAGTTGCTTGCCTTGTAGGATGTCTCATTCTTCCCTGTATTTGAATTCATTCATTCATACGGACTGGCTGGAATATTGACCAGTACCGGTCCGTAGTAGTAGATTCGATAGTTAAAACCTCTATTCGTCGCGTGATGTCAAAGAGTTAAAATGTCTTGACGACGGAGTGATCCTCCTAGGGTTTCTTACCCCGTTTGAATAGAATCCTTGTTCCGCAATGCATGCTGCTGACGGACCTTATCCGCGTGACCTGTAACTATGGTACGTGGTAATCGACAATATCCGTATCCGGATCGTAGGATGGGAATGTCGTTACGGTTCCTTGCTCTCACAACCTTCCAAGCGGAAAGGCATAAGCAGGTGACATATAATCAAAACAATGATTGCATCATTTGAACATGACCAACGCTTCAATAGTACGAGAAACAACGGTGATCCATCAGAGCATACGGAGTGACTCGAGGTTCAAAGAAGCTCCTGGCATCCCGCTAGAGCCGAGACGACGATCATACGGACGGTACTCCGCGTGGAGCACTTCATGTCGAACCGCTTAAACTTACATCCCTAAATCCGACTGAAGCGGTAAACATTCCTCAAGGATGATGACATGTATAGCTGTAGCGCTGAATCAAGGTCTTCACCAAACGCCTGGAACCGCTCATGTTTCAGTTACCTCGGTGGAAAAGGGGAGCCTAGACTCCTGTGAGCAAGTATATCGAGGAGGGCTCTCAAATCTACAGCTTTGGAGACAGGCTGCGGCGGCAGGTAGGTATACCCCTTGCTCTCAATCACGAAAATAGACACCCCTGGAGGCGGTAGTGGCGTCTCTGGGTTAGCTTAAGGGGTGCTACTCCATAAAACACCCTGGCAGTAAGCATCTATTTACGGTAGCTTGGGGTCCGTGACTCTGCGAGCGTCTCGGATGAATGAATCAGCGCCTCACTGTCGGGAATGAGCAGGCTCGAGACGCGGAGCCAAGGTCATTGGAGAGGGTTAGCTCTGTTGACGGATGAGTTTACCCTCTTGCGTCCTCCACCAGCACTCGAAGCAATCACTGCATGGCATGTCACAGGAGGATCGTTAAGTCGACAGCCTGGCTGTTGTCACTTGAAGGGCCAAGAACAAAGGGCAGTTGTCTGCTGGATAGCAGGACAAGCAGAGACTGTAAGAGACATTGATATCGCCGGCTAGTACTACCGGAGATGTGGGATGCGACATAGTAGTAGTATGCTGCATGAGCTGGCAGATTCCTCGTAACAACATTTCGGGACATTTCTACCTTTGCGGCGGTACTTCATCTCCCTGCAGGGTTCTTCCAGGATTAGCTAGTGGGTGTTCCGGTACGCACTGCCAGATGGGGGTCCTCGCCTGCCTTAGCCTGCTCCTATCAAGTCAGCAACGATTGAAATCGGACCTGACTTGAAACGCTGAACTGCCAGATGGTGCTATGGCGCAGGAAACAAGCAGTATGCGGCTCCGTACTCGTCTGCGGTTGCATTGTTCTTGGCTGAGGTACGACGCGTGGAGATGCAATCCTTCTGAGCATTGATGATGCAAGTTCGATACTTGACGCGACGGCTGGGGAAGTAGTAACTAGTGCATGTTGCTTCGAATATGGACGAGCATGAACATTGAATCTGCCGTTCATGCTCTCCGGGATTATCAGATATTGTTTGCCCGGCGATCTTCGGGGATTGTCATCATTTTTGGCTTTGATCAAATATTTTTTTCTTTCTGTTTCTTGTCTTGCGCGCCACGTGGGAGACGCGTTTGGACCGGGCTCGAGATTTAGAGCCGTAGAGTCGGACTACTGGGTGACGATAGTCCATTGTCCCATGGGACCAGTATCCTGTAAACTCCGCACTAGGGCCATCTGTCATTGTGATTGACACAATGAGGCGCTCGTGATCAAATGCCTGGTCGGGATCAAAGACACATCCGACAGAGCGGATGATCTGACAAGCACAGTCCACGAACGTGCCAGAGCTCTGTTATCTTGTCTGAACAGAGAAAGGAGAGTGTTTGTGGCGAGAAGAGAGAGCCATGGCGAGATGGAAAGCGATGACGGGAAATGCCATCATTGCCAGCCGATCCTGTCTGATCGCCGCGTCTGAGACACGCCAAGGGTGTGCACGTGACATTACCGGTCGCAGGGGCCATCGCGATGTATCGTCGATGTATGTTGATGGATCGTCTAGTCTGCTTCGCCCGTCCCTCGGCGTGTTTCAGGTCCGCACAAGCGTCCCTGAGACCCTGAAGGCCAAGTGAGGGGCGCTTCCTCCGCAAGGGCCATCACAGTATCGAATCTATCGACTGGCCGTCACCAACAACAGCCCCAGCGCCGGCGTCAAACCAGACCAGACCCGTGCCGCATTTTGGCCCCAGCCCATGCTGCCGTCCCGGGATGGGGACATTGTGCGTCTTGCTTGTATTGTAGATTCTAATTTGACCAGAAGGGAGGAAACACGAGCAAGATCAGTGAACGAGGGGGTCCTGGTCAGCGGTGGCCAATCCTTCATGCCCGTTCCCCTTTTCTGTTTCCCTGCCATTTACTCACAAGCAGGTGTTGCAATTGTTTCCATTCCCCCATAGATAGCTTGTTGCAGTGATAGCTAGTAGCACCGTATCAATTGACCTGCCAGAGTCGGATTTGGATCGTGGAGCAAGCACCGGTCAATCTCCGTGTACTGTTCCATCCGATTGCAGAGGTATTATTATTCTTCTTCTTCTTCTGCTCAGCGGCTGTTTCCGGCGTACCGTGTTTGAGGATGGATCGACAGGGTATCGAAGCAGCGCTGTGACATCGATGCTCAATCGCACTGGACACTGCATTGCTACTGACTTCCACGCTTGCCGCGGTCGTTTCTTCATCGTGTTTAACAGACTCGTATTATAACAGCGGAGAATCGGCTTGCCAAGGACAAGCTGGTTGCATCTCTCCCACAGCACTGACGAATCCAGGTGGTTCTTCTTGTTGGATCGCCTGCATCGTCTGGACGGACGGACCCTACCACTCATCACGGTCGAGTTTAATATCCGTCTCGATCAGACCTATTATTGACCGTGGGTTGTCCTGCAGTCGCATGGTGGATGACCAGGGCAATCTGAATCGGGACATTACAGAAAAAGAGAACCTGTGGTTTGACAAAGGTACGCCTCCACTGTCTTTCTCTTCTCTCTATCTCTCTCTTGTCTCTCTCCCTCTTGTCCCGATCCATTTCAGCCTTGCACAGGGGGCGGTGCCTCGATGGTGGAGCGAGCCCACGCTTTCCACGAGGCAGCACGCCGGTTTGCGCAACCTGAGCTGCGATGCGAAGCTTCAGTTTCTGCAGAGGGCATGGGATTCGTTCATGCTGTTTGGGTGCTCGGACAGGTTCATGAGAAGCGGCAGGCCTGGTGAAATCTGATTTGCGTGCCCGTTGCCGCCCGGGGAGGCATTCCAGAGAAAAGCCTCTGATCCAGCATCGCCCCCGAACAAGGGCTAAATTTAGAGCTGCGGTCGATGCCGCTAATGCGATTCCCTGCCTCGATTGGAGTCTGCTAAACTGCTGCGACTTTTGGCTGACCGGGGCTTTTGCTCCCCACTCCAGATCATCCTTTGCCGTCCGTTCCCAGAGTGACCCTCGCTCGCTCTCGCATCTCCATCAACCAAAAAGAATCTGCCTTCTCTTCTCGGCCGTCGGGGTTCTCTGTTCGACAAAAGAGAAAAAAAAGAAAAGAAAAAAATTCTCTCTCCTCTCCGTCGACCAGAAAGGGCCGTCCTCCCCCTTCGAGCCGCCTATTCTACCATCCTCCATCCCATCACCTATACTCCATTCGTCAACCGGTCCTCCTTTCTCTCCTTCGCTATCCGTTTCACTTTGGTCATTCCCCGGAGGAACGACTGTTCCAAGGCTCATCGCGAGCGCGGGCGATAGGCTTCTCTCTTTCTTCTCTTGGTTCTCTTCCGTTCCCTTTCCTCCATACTCGGTGGGGGATATAGATTCATTCTCACCCTCGGTTCGACCGTTGATTGACAGCATCTCTTGCTGTGCAATCGATCAAGCCGCTCTTTTGCTTTCTCAATCCGAGTAGCAGTCCAGTAATTGATCCAAGGGAGGCTCTTTCCTGGGTAGTAAACGGTATGTTGGAGACTCTCTGACGCTGTCTCTGCCTCACATTGTTTCGGGCGGAGTGGTGCCTGTCTCTTCCTCCCCCGCCAGTTGCTGTTTTGCAATTCGATCCCAAGCAAGCCATCAGATATATCATCGGTCTTTCTCCCGTGACTTTCTGTGGTAGAACTCTGGGGTCCCTTTTGGTCGTGGGCGGGACCCTCCTTCGCGCTGCTCTCATTCCACAGAGATGTTCCGATACGCAAGGACCGAGACTGATGTTGCTCCTCTGAAAAGGTCATTTGCGCAGGTAGCAAATTCGACATTTTCCTGTCTCCCTGACTCCGGATGCGATCATCCATCCATGTTTTCGCATCCCTTCGAAGAGAGACATAACCCAGACAGGGTCACTCCCTCGAAGCGCAGGTCACGCTCCGCATCCCGGACCAGGATGCCTCTCCAGACCAGCGCGCCGTCCGTACCGGCGTCGTTTCCGTCGTTCATGTCGGTTTTCGGGGGAATATCGCACCTGCGTGTGGGAAGGAAGGAAGAAAGTATTGGTACACAGACGCTGGGGCGGCGACCGTCGAGGGTCACCGTCAACACATCGCGACATTTCCTCCCTTTCAAGCACCGCGAGAGTGTCTCATCAGTCACGTCAGAATCCACAGACTCGTCACCAACCACAACGGTCTCGACCTTCGATTCACCCTCCGTCACAGACACGTCTCCCAGCTCGTCCCCGGAGTCACCTTCGTCCATGCCGTTCCACCCAAAGCTCGCATCATCGGAAAATGCCATCACACTCAAACGAACAGAGAGCTCTGTGCCGACGAGCCAGTCCGACTCATCAGAGAATGCCCCCAAATCGACGCGAGGAGAGTCTCCCGGGAGACGAGCGCGGAACCTGAAGAACCTCTCACTCAAAATGCCCGCTCCTTCCCCGTCGCGACCTGCCATAGCCACTGCATCTGTGATGGAAACGGGTTCTCGTCATCTATCTGCTCCTCCCTCCCCAGTGCATCCAGTGAAAACAGGTCGACGAAAGCCCGCCAACCTGACCATCCGTACCCCGGGCCTGGACAAGTCGTTCTCAAATGGCGGGATACCACCTCCGACGCCCTCTATGCGCCAGTCGCTGCGTCACATCGAGTCCTCGCCGTCTCTTCAGTCGGTCTTCTCCCCATCTACCGGGCCAGAGGGCGGAATGCAGCTGCCGCGACCCGCTACACAGCATGGTACTCGAGATATGCCTGGCACATGGGAGGAAGGTCTGTCGCCAATCCCTTCTGCGTCCACCTCGAAAGAGATCCTTCACGACCTGGCAGAGGAAGATGATCACCTTGATTCGAGAGAGTCCACCCGGAAGAATGAGCGTGGCTATCCGGATGGACCTACCTGCATTTACGACTCTGGTGTATACTTGTATCTCGAACCAACTGCGGAAGAAGCCTCGAAATTCGATGTTGTGGTCAACGTGGCCAAAGAAATCCCTAACCCGTTTACGAAACAACCAGAAAATAGTAATAGCATAATGTCTACTTGGAGAAGTGCAGCGTCGGAGTCGAAGAGACAGTCGATGGTGGAACCGCAGACAGCATTCTCGGATATCTCCTTCAAATCGGCTTTGGAGTATCTGCCAGCCGAACCAGAGAGTGCGTCGACGCCAAAGACGGAACAGTCGAGACCGGAATACATCCATGTCGGCTGGGACCATAATTCAGAGATCCTTGATGACCTCTACCCTCTGTGCGAACTCATTGACGATCGCATCTCCAAGGGAAAGAAGGTTCTCATACACTGTCAGCTTGGAGTTAGCCGATCGGCTTCCCTGATTATTGCGTACGGATTGTACAAAAACCGGGATCTGGATTTCAATGCAATGTACGGGATTGTGAAGTCACGGAGCTGTTGGGTTGGCCCCAACATGAGTCTCATTTACCAACTCACGGATTTCCGTTCTCGAGTCCTTCGTGGAGGTCCGTCGAAGCCAATCCCAGCAGAGTGGTTTATTCCCGATATTCCTTATCGGAAATCTGACCCCACACCTGCAGATTCGAGCACCACGCAGCCAAAGCCTGCTAGCAGTGAACGAGAGACAGGATCTCGTAGCGTTACTCAGGCTCCTCCCTCCGAGTTGGGCGTTCCCAAGTCCGACACTTCGCAGAAGCGGAACGTCTCTCCCCGACCGCTGCCATTCAGAGAGGGATACAAGGCGGCGGAGGCTTCGAACAGCTGTTCCCAGCCGGAGACTACGCGGAGGGTGGAACTAGTTCGGTTTCCCACGGTGCAGAGGGACCTTGTCATGCAGGATGCGCCCGCTACATCTTCGGTATTGTCACCTCGGGAGGCAGACTTCATGCTCAATGGTTTCTCTCACGGAGTGACTGGGAACATGACAGTCAAACTCCCATCTGACTCCACCGGGCTTGGACAGGAGGCGGTTGATCCTCGATCGCCTCCGCAAAGCAAAGAGCCCATCATAATGAGAAATATTGACGAATTCCTTTAATGCCGGGTTAATAACAGTGGGCATCGCAACATTCTCAGGGTAGAGAATCCCTGAGAGAAACAATGATGCGAGCTTCCTATTTTTCGAACTTTATTATACCAGTTCCCTCATGCTGAGAACTGCATAGGGAAGCATCATGACCAAAGCGGGCTTTGTTGTCGTTTTATTCTGCACAATCGTTATGCATACTTATTGGTCACTTGCATTTTCGCCTCTTTGGATTCCTGCTGTGGGATTCGGTGCGATTTGTCTGTGTCTTTTCTTTTTTTTGTTTCCGCCGCTATCGTTTTGACTAGCATGGTGCTGGGTTGCTCTATTCTCCTTTTGCTCCTGGCGTTTTCGGTGTCCCAAAAATGACCCCGTGGGCTGCCCGATTGCGGCGCCCGGTAACTGTAATATTAGTTTGGGCCTGCATTTTCGTTCGCTGCTGGCATTTTTTTTCCTGCCATTACACATCCTCTCATTCGTTCTATTTGACTTCTTTCGTTTTCTTGTTCTTCTCTTTACTTCACCTGCGTGTGAAAGCCCATTTTCGATGTTTGACTGATGCGCTCATGACGTCGGGAACAGAAGTTGGATGCAGACCGGGTCATAGGTTTAATACTTCACCTGTGTTACCGCGACAAAATACAAGATGCATTTAACTCATCGTATCATATTCTTGAACTTTTAATTCTGTAGGCATTGACGGCTCTACTGGACTACGTATAGTGCTTATCCTTACCTTGGAATTGACGACAATGGCTGCCCTGTGGATAGTTCCTAAGAGGCCACGACCCTGCCACGTATGCATGTGCCTGTTGTTAGGATAGGAGGCCCTGGCATAAAACTCAGCCAGCTGCTTATCATGATTGACACCAGTGTCAGATAGATTCTGTCATATAGGAACTTTAGTCTAGTCATGTTTGAAACTCGAGCTCATGCCTGATCTTTCTATGTTGCGTAGTGCGCTCCAAATACAGTCGAGAACCGCAGTGTATCTCCACAATTGAAGCAATATCATACGATGGCAGTCGACGAGCATCGTCATCATTTCGATGTCCGACATTGCGATCTCGAGACGAGACCAGTGACGGCGTGATTCCTCTTAGCTTCTCCTCCTCCGCACGAGACCAGCAGTATCAACGACGAAGCTTGCTCACCCACGGGAAGGATATCTGCTTCATGTCGATTATCCAACGAAGAAGAGAGTAACACTGCCATATGGAACGAAGGCGGCGCTCAATGGCATGAAAATGGCCATTTCGGCCATATCAGCCATTTCATTATTGACCAGTTCCATGGTACATGCCCGGAAGAGATTTATTTAAATGCCAGCAAGAGACTCTTTGGTCCTACGCATCAATGCCTAGCCAATACTTACAAATAGGGCTGTTCCTGTGGAGCTGTCAATGGCAATGAGTTGAATTTGACGAGAAGTAAGATGGCGTTGGAGTTCTTCGCTTTGGATGATTTCACCCTATTATGCAGTCGCTTGGGTCGCCCGTTTCGATTCAATGTCAATTTTACTCTTCTTGTCGCACCCAACTACTGTCGATAAGAGTGTCATCGTGCTGGGAATCGGTGGAGATTCTTGGTTATTCTTGGACTGAGAGACGTGAACAGATGCATGTATGAATAAAGAACTGGGTTTGTTCTTGTTTCTTCTATCCTTTCTGTCTCTTTCTGATATGGACGCACAGAGTGTAGAATTAGACACTTATACTAGACCTCGAAGGGAAACGAAGATAGCTAGGTCGTTCCCTGGAAAAGGCCGCCAAATTGGGATTCGTCCTCGACTCGACATGTTAGGGTTGTTCCCGCGGGGAGCAGTCGGGTGAGAAGCCGAAAGAGATAACGATTGCTGTCCTTATCTTTGATGTCGGTTTGTCTGGCCGTCTTTGGCAGGTTTGTCCTGCAGAGTATTAAGCATAGTAAATACAGATTAAGATCACGTGTATACAGAGTTGTAGATATATTACTCTGAGATCAGTCTTGATCACATCCAGCATCAACTAATCGAACAAAATGACTCGCTTACCTCTGCCTGTTCCTCCTCCAATCGACCCCTCCTATCACCCCAAAGCATCGATAACTACAGTCCCGGCGAGCACCCCGGTTGATTATATTGTTGCGATCCTTGAGCGCGATGGCGGGGTTATCCTCAAGGACCTCGTGTCCCAGGATGAGTTAGACACTATCGAAGAGGAAGTCCGACCTTGGAGCAACAAATCGCGCGTACATGCAGACAATGCTACTAACGGAGACGCATTTCATATAATCCCGCCTCAGACAACCCTCGTGCCTGGTCTGGTTGGCAAATCCAAGACAGTGGCCCAGATATGTGAACGGCCTGTTCTAGAAGGGCTGCGCCAGAAGATCCTCCTCGAGGAATACGTAGCTAACCGCGAGGGTCACGTTGAGCCCACCGCTATTAGCCCGTTACTGAGTCTGAGTATGTCAATGAATATCGGCTATGGAGCACCTCGACAGCTCCTGCACCGCGATGACACTATCCACGGGATTCGCCATCGGTGGAATGTCTTCCAGCCATGGAGCTTCAAGCATGTCTCTCAGTTTGCGTGTCTTATCGCTGGATGCGAAGTGACGCGGGAGAACGGGGCCACGATGTTCGTTCCAGGCAGTCATAAATGGGACGATGACCGATGGCCGACTGCAGATGATGTCAGCTTTGCAGGTATTGTATTCTCTCTAGTGTTCTCATTTCGAAGAATAAATTGCACTGACAACCGAAGAAATGTCCGCTGGTTCTGCCTTGATATTTCTTGCCGCTGCCTACCACGGTGGTGGCCACAACTCGGTCCCAGGCTCAGTCCGAACGATGCACAGCCTGTTCTTTGTTCGAGGAAATCTTCGCACGGAGGAGAATCAGTTCCTTGCTATTCCCAGGAGTAAAGTGCGAGAGATGAGCCCAAAGATGCTGGAACTGCTCGGGTACAAGAAGCCCACGGCGAATTTGGGCCTCGTCGACAATATCAGTCCGCATGAGGATATAGACGGAATATGGGAGAGGGCCATGCAGTAATACTTTTCCTGTGGATGATAAATGATGGCTTTCTGCCAGTCGACCAAAAAGGAGAACTCCTTGTTGGTCTGCCTGGATCTCTAACAATAAATTAAACGATATTATAACGGTTGGTAGTCTGAATGCATCTATTAAGGGACTGGCAAGTGGATGAGTAGGAACAGTAAGTTGTAATCTATCCTCTATAACCTTACGGAGGACTTATGATACCTGTCTCTTAGGTCAACCATGGACAGTCACAAAACAAGAACCCTGCATCGGAAAAGGTCTCTATTCCCTTTTCTATCTATCAATACTGAGGATAAATGATCTCGTTTTCGGTCGGCAAAGGAGCGGAATGTTCTATATCGTTCTACCGGGAATAAAGCGATGTATCGAATGATACTATTTAGCAAGGCAAGTATAACCGGTTAGGACCACCCTCGCCCTTTGTCGAGTTCAAAGTGGGAAAGCATGGTCATATAATTCGAATCTCATTACTAATTGCGAGATTGATTACTTGACTCTATATCTATATTATCTCTATAGCATACAAAGAATCCTGATGCTTTGGGTCGAACAAGTGTCGACGGCAGAACCCCGCCCGCCGATAAGTGAGGCAGCTCGCGAGCGTCTCTACAAGATGGCTAAAGCCGTACGCATCACTCCGGCCAGCATTGGGAGGAGGGCACATCCCTATTACTCGTGCAGATCTTATTTTACGAGGGATGGATAGAATAAGACCGACCCTTACTGCAAGCTCGAAGGAATGATATGGTTAGACTTGGCCGTGTCGTAAATCCGGATAGAGTTTAGCTTTGTATGGAGATGTTCCAGAAGGCGCTCGTTTTACGGTGAAGAACGGTCACTGCTCCCATTCCTCTTACATACTATTATTTTATTTCCTTTTATTTCCTATCCACTCTCCTTTGGCCAATCTTCAATTATCACCACTGAGACCTGACAGTTCCGTGCTCACTAAAGAATATTTTGCCCTAACCTTGCTCCACTGGTACCCGCCGATAGTTACATGTTCTCAGAAGGCGTCGCTATGCAGTATTTTGCAAATTGACACATGGATTTCAGGATATATAGATAATCTTGGGTATCCTAGGTCTATTATTCTCTAACTGAGTTGTGTTGAAGGAATTTGGCATCAGCGTTACCTGTTTCCATCATGCGTGGAACGAAGGTTGCCACACGTGCTTTGCGCTTCAATGCCTCCAGGAAGTTCGCTACCGTTACTCGGCCTCAAGGGCCATCAGGCCTGAAAATAAATGCCGAGAGACTTTGGGAAACGTTACATGAGACATGCAAATGGGGTGAAGCCCATCGATATGGAGAGTATGCGGCCACCTCCTTTTCAAGTTGACCTTTCTAATACGATGAGATCCTAGTGATCCAAAGGAGACGGGTATGGCACGTCTGACCCTCAATGATGACGACGCACGCATTCGACGCTGGTTTGCCAATGAAGTGCAGAATCTAGGATGTTCCCTCTCCGTAGACCAAATGGGAAATATGTTCGCACGGCGATCTGGCCGGCTGAGGTCCCCAGCACCAATGACTGCTATGGGGAGTCATCTCGACACCCAGCCTCGTGGAGGCCGGTATGATGGTATTCTAGGTGTGGTGGGGGCAATTGAGGTTTTGCGAACGATGAAAGAGAACAACTTCGAGACTTACTACGATGTAGGAGTTGTGAACTGGACTAAGTGCGTATTGTTTGTCATTTCATTCCTGTTGAGCTAATTGCTGAACCACTTTTAGTGAGGAAGGGGCTCGATTTCCAAAGTCCATGTGCTCTTCTGGTGTTTGGGCAGGCATCATTCCGATCCAAGACGCTTGGGACCTGCGCGATATTCACGATCAGAGCGTGACTCTTCGATCCGAACTCGAGAGACATGGCTACTTGGGCGATATCGCCTGCTCGAGCGATCCAAAGTCAGGATACCCACTTGGTGCTCACTTTGAATTGCATATTGAACAGGGGCCTATTCTTCAAGAGACTGGTCGATCAATTGGTATCGTTCAGGGAGCCCAAGGATACCGATGGCTGACCTTGACTGTCAAAGGAAAAGATGCACACACCGGGACGACTCCCTTGAGCGCTCGCCAGGATCCATTACTTGCCGCCTCTAGGATGATAGCCGCTTCCAACGATATCGCAAAGCGGCACAATGCATTGGCCTCAACTGGTATTATTAAGGTGCCATCAAATGCATCTACCAATACAGTTGCCTCCGAGGTGACTTTCACTATTGATATCCGGCACCCACAGGATAGCACTGTACATGCTGTTCAGAAGGAATGTCTTGAAGCATTCTCTACCATTGCGTCCCAGGATGGAAAAGGCGTATCGTTTGAATGGACACTAGATACAGACTCTCCGGCCGTGCAATTCGATCGGAACTGTATAGCTTCTATTCAAGCAGCTGCAGAATCCCTTGTCGGACCTGAAAAATCGATGCTCATGACCAGTGGCGCAGGCCATGATAGTGTCAACACCAGCAGGCATTGCCCATCAGCAATGATCTTTGTTCCTTGTCGGGATGGTGTTAGTCACCATCCGACTGAGTATTGTACGCCGGAAGATTGGTGAGTATCTCCCCTGATAGTTTCTGTATGAGCTCAGATTTTAACGTAAACAGTGCTCTTGGTGCTCAAGCTTTGCTTGAATCAGTTGTGCACTATGATAAGTTCCGGGCGCAAAATGCAGAGAAATCTTAGATTTGTATAATTATTTACTCGATCATTCCGCAACAAAATGTTGTAGTTCCACATAAAAAATTAGAAAGAAGAAAAAACGATTCTAGTATTAATGGCTTTAGCTATATTTTCAACTAGGCTATCAGGCAAGATTCAAGGAGAGACGACTGAATGGATGAGCGGACATTGCCGATGTCTAGAGAAGGCGCCAGGAATCTTATCAGCGATCACAACTTTCGTCATGAGCTACACATTCGAAGCGATTTTTAGTTATTTTTATAGTTCACTCAGGTATGTGAGTTCCCCACCTTCTTTATAGTAGGCGATGTCGTCGGAAGGCGCTTTGTGGTCCTCAAAAATTCTGGTCAAATGAAGTCGCAGGTGAGTACTTACTCAGGGGTACAAAGAACATGCTGATATCGTCGATCTAGAAACACTTCTTGTGATCAATTGCCCATGCGGTACGCCTGCATCGCAAAACATTCAACATGCCGTCCCGACGACCAATTTACTTCAATCCCGCAGCGGCACATGAGCGCTACAGTGCTGCACGAAGCGACAGTCCGAGGCAATTTCATCGATCGCTTCCTAACTATGCGCCTACATCGCTCGTATCGCTCCCTGGTCTCGCGACAGAACTAGGTGTCCGCGCTGTCTACGTCAAAGATGAAAGTAATCGATTTACCTTGCCATCCTTCAAAGTTCTGGGTGCATCATGGGGATGCTTTCGTGCTGTCACGTCGTATCTGGGATTGTCATCGACAGTTGACTTGAATGAAGTCGCGAAGCAAGCTAAAGACAGCGCTATTACTCTCGTGGCAGCAACGGAGGGAAACCATGGGCGTGCTGTCGCGTACATGGCGCAATTGTTGGGCATTATTAGTATTATTTTCGTCCCGGATCATATGGACGAAAAAACACGTTCTCTTATTGCTGCGCAGGGCGCTCAAGTCGTCGTCGTGCAAGGAGATTATGATAGAGCCGTGCAAGAGGCATCAAGCCACACACAGAATACCAGCGGTGCATTGTTAATTCAGGACACAGCATTTGAGGGGTACGAGGATGTCCCTGCATGGATTGTTGAGGGATATTCGACCATGATGGTTGAAATTGAAGAACAGCTGGGAGAGCTCGGGCTGCGTAGCAGTGTGGTGGTTACTCCTGTGGGTGTTGGTAGCTTAGCACATGCTGTGTCGAGATACTGCAAGGCCCAAAACCCACCTGTTTCGGTTGTCACTGTCGAGCCTGACTCTGCACCATGTCTGATATCGAGTCTAGATGCCGGAAAACAGGTGACATTACAGACATCCTCAACAATTATGGATGGTATGAACTGCGGGACTGTTTCATCTATTGCATGGCCATACTTGCAGCGCTTCGTTGACGCTTCTGTTACTGTATCATGCTACGAGAGCCATTCCGCGGTGCAGTATCTTTCTTCACGATCGGTTCCTGCTGGTCCCTGTGGGGGCGCGTCATTGGCTGCGTTGCGGCATCTTGCTGCATCGGGTGAAGCTACGTCGCTTCTGAACGAAGGCTCGGTTGTGGTTCTTCTCAGCACTGAGGGTAAAAGGGACTATCCGGCCGTACGCGACGTATCTGTGGATGATGCTGTGAGCTTGACTCAAGTTCTCACACAGATAAACTCTTCGAACCCTACATTGTCCTTGGCGGACGGAGTGGGTGAGAATCAGATTGTTGACTATCTGGTTGCATGGCTCCGCCATCGTGATATTGAGTATCACCGGGTTGAGACTGTCCCTGGTCGACCGTCAATTATAGGGATCCTGCGCGGCGCTGGAGGAGGAAAATCATTGATGTTCAACGGTCATCTCGATACAGTCAGCCTGTCCAGCTACGAAACGGATCCTCTGTCAGGATCTTTGGGAACCAAAAATGGCAAACAGGTTGTGTTTGGGAGAGGTAGTCTTGATATGAAGGGTGGCTTGTCTGCAGCGCTCGCCGCCTTAGCCACTATCAAGACTGGCGGAAGTACCCTTCGGGGCGACATGATTGTCGCTGCTGTTTCGGACGAAGAAGATGCTTCCCAAGGAACAAGAGACATCCTGGCAGCTGGTTGGCGTGCTGACGCGGCGGTCATTCCAGAACCCACGAGGGGTGTCATTGCAACCGCACATAAAGGCTTTTTGTGGGTAGAGGTCGACATCCTTGGAGTTGCTGCTCATGGATCGGATCCTTCAAAAGGCGAGGATGCTATCCTCCATACAGGATGGTTTCTACGAGCTCTAGAAGAGTACCAGCGCCAATTGCCTGTCGACGATGTCTTGGGACAAGCAACACTGCATTGCGCCCTGATCAGAGGCGGCGAAGAGCCATCTTCCTATCCGGGACTATGCACGCTCACGATCGAATTTCGTACAATCCCGTCTCAAACCGAACAGTCTATCTTGCACGACATCACTGAAATACTGAGAGGCATCTCACAGGAGAATGCTCGGTTTCGATTCGCTGAACCTCGCATCAAATTATCCCGTCCCCCACAGAAACTTGCTGCTAGTCATCCTTTTACAGAACAGCTTGTGGCCTGCGCGTCCAGGGTTTTGGGAAGACGACCAGAGGTTCAAAGCGTTCCGTTTTGGTGCGATGCAGCCTTACTCAGCGAAGCTGGGATCCCATCAATTGTATATGGTCCTGTCGGTGAAGGCCTACACAGTAAAGAGGAATGGGTTGAGGTGGAGAGTCTCCAGGAAATGGAGAAGGTGTTTATACAATTAGTAGAAGAATTCTGCTGTTAGACTTCGATGACATCGTGGAGATAGATGATCCATCAACCATCAAGTGCGGGTAATTGTGCAATGTTATATATGGCTGGAAGAATGACAGTTAGATGATAAAACCTGTACATAAGAGACTTCTCAGAAATCGAAGATTTTTGTAATTTCTCTTGACTTTTCGTGAATAAATGATCTCAGATCATCCAGTCGATGTTGCATGGATTGAGAGTGGGCTAACTTGTTCGGGTTAGGTCACATGAGTCAATGGTCTGCAAAAGTACCTGTCGTCGAGCAATAATTCTACATCAGATACCAGACCAACTGATCCTTCGCCGGCTTTATGATCTTTATGATCTCAAATTCTATCAAATTTCCACGGCTTTTTTCTGTATCTTTGTTGGTTCTCCGTAGGATCGGGTGGTAATGGATCCGCCATTTCCCTTCGACCCTCCTCATCTGGAGGATTCAGTTGATCCTAACATTTTATACAATTTCGATCAGTACTATTCAGATAGTACTGATCAGAACGGAGTGGTTCTACCCCAAACAGAACAAAGTCAGGGACCTTTCCAGCCCTTACCATTGGTAAGTGACGCTCCTCCCATGCCTTCAGTCGGGACTTCTCCGTTACCTCTATCCCAGGAGAGTCTGGTAAATGTATCTCAATGGCTAGAGGGCTCGTATCATCCTCCTGTGCCCTGTGCCCACTGCCGCAAGTATCGATTGCAATGTCTCATTATTCGGACCACAGAGGCCAATCCAAACCCAACCATGGCCTGCTCCAGCTGTGTAGCCCTCTTCCGGGAGTGCAGTTTAGCACGAGGCGAGAAACGCCACCCATCACAATTTGAGACTCAGTTTCCAGTATTAGGCCATCTCCATGGCTTGCCGGAAGTCGAAGATGGAGTGAGTGAGCAACATTCTATAGCGAGAAATGATCTAACCATGAAATTTAGAATAACACGCCAGAGCTTCCGTTCGACAATGTCAATAATAAGGCGCGCAAAGACTCTAAACATTTTGTGAGAAAAGGTGCCCGAATTCTCAGGGAATGGTTCTATCAACACCAGGAATATCCGTATCCCACGGAAGAGCAAAAATCGCACCTGTCACAAGAGACCGGTTTTTCACAGAGAAGAATTTCGACTTGGTTTGCCAATGCACGGCGGCGCCAGAAACAACAGCTCCGTTCATCAACGCTTCCATCAGTCTCTCGTTTCCGTTCGGGGTCACCCATGATTACCAGTACATTATCGACGATGACTCCTCTGGATCGTTGGCGAGCGTCACCTCCAGAAGATGAACCTGTCTCTCAATCTGTTATTCAGAATGCCATTGCCTCGGCTGCAATGGAGACTGACGCCCCTTCTGATATTCTCCCGATGGATGGATCTATGGAGGATCTGTTCGATTTTGATGAAGCCTCGTCACATCTAGCTTCTTCCGCCTCAAGCTTCGAAAGCAGAGCATCGGAAACATCCGATAGCGTTTCTTCAGCATACCACTCCGCAGGAGACGGAGAGTTGCCGTTTCCGCTGCTTCCCAAAAGGACACGGCCACGGCAAAGACGGCCCAGACAGGTTCCTGCAGGAGACGACGGTCGATATCAATGCACGTTCTGCACACGAACATTCAAGAAGAAACATGATTGGTCTCGGCATGAAAAGAGCGTCCACCTTCCACTCGATTCGTGGATCTGCGCACTGGATCTCAGCCATATTCAACAGCTTACGGAATCTGAACCACGCGAATGCCCTTTCTGCGAGATCCCATTCCCTCCTCCTACCCACTGGGAAGAACATGATTTCCATACCTGTGCTGCAAAGCCAGTAGCCGAGCGATCGTTCAGTCGAAGAGACCACCTGTGGCAACATCTCCGCAAATTCCATGGATGCACGAAAAGCCCCGTTCCTGATCTGGATGCCTGGCGCGGCACGGGCGCGGATATCCAGAGCCGCTGTGGGTTTTGCAAGTGCACGTTGCCCACATGGAGTTCGCGCGTAGACCATTTAGCGGAGCATTTCAAAGATGGATCTCGTATGCCTCAGTGGGAAGGAGACTGGGGTCTAGATCCGATTGCATCAAGCATGTTGCGAAATGCAGTTCTGCCGTCCCAACGGTCCTTGACGAGCTCATAAGGTTACCATTCATCATAGTACCTAATCTACAAATCCTGGCGGACCACTGAATATTTCTTGTCTATGAGAATGAAACTCTGTACCATAGCGCATATAAATAAAATATAGATATCAATGTAACTAATATTAATGAACCGATCAGTCGTTAAAATTGTCTTTTCCCATACAGGTTAGATCTATGGCTGTCGTACTCCTTTCCGTCGTCCGTGCGTTCGTCCCTCGGCGAGTCGACGGCGGAAAGGTGAAATTCAAAATGTCGAAATGTCGGAATTTCAACGACAATTCCTTCTCCCACATATTAACCCTACATTCGATTCCTGAATTTCAATCGATTCCAAAGTATTCCCAGTCTCATTTCACTCATAAATCATTCAAATTCCCGAATTTCATGGTGGTTAAAAAGTTATTCCAGAATTTCATTTTTGAAATTCAAAAATCCTACAGGGGAATTTCAGCATTTCTCCACTGACATTTTCTTATCCTGCGTTAACCCTGCGATCAATTTTTGGATTTCATTCACTTCTATATTCTTCATAATCTAATCTCACTAGAAAACTACTCAAATAGTTATAATTCATGGTGGTTAAAAAGATATCCCAGAATTTCACTTTTTGAAATTCAAAAATCCTAACCGTGAATTTCATCCTTTTCCCACTGAAATTCTCTTATCCTGCATTCATCCTTCATTCGTTTTTTGAATTTCATTCACTTCCATATTCTTCATGATCTAATTTCACCAGATATCTATTCAAAAAGTTAAATTTCATCGTGGTCAAAAAGATATTCTAAAATGTCACTTTTTTCTTTTCATTGCGTTTTTCTTTTTAGTTGCAGATAAGCTCCGATAGGTACTTAGTTAGTTATGCGCTAGACGTCACTGCTCTTATGTTAGCGCCAGAGTTAGCATTTTGCGTCAGGAACCACTTCTCCATCCACGAGAGAAGGGGAAAAGCAATCATACAGGAAAACAACTACCGCAATGGCATCGGAAAATCCTCAGACGGAGGAGAGTCATCCTCAGCTTTTATCCCCGAGTGAATTGGGGACGAAGGAATAGTAAGTATCGGTCGTGATTTTTATTCTCTTTTTTTCTTCCCCGGTACCCCGCTATGCGACCCCTCAATTTCTGCGATATCGATTTCGCCTTTCAGAAATTAGAATATATTATTTTCTACCAAAAAAAAATTAAATAAACTAACTCGTCCATTGGATACTCTAGCTGGGAAACCTTCTATGACCGCAGCCTCTCCCACATCTCCTCGAAGCGCAAACCGGGCGCACACATAACTCCTACTCCCGAATACATCACCCAGAAAGCCCAGGGCAATAATGATTCTGACGATGAAGAGGAGGAAGTCGACGATGACGACGACCCCGGTACATCCTGGTTTTCCGAACACAACGCCCCCGAGAAAGTCCTCAAGTTCCTGACATCTGCGAAATTCCCGCTCTCGCCACGCAACACCCTACCGCGAAGCAGCACGTCCGCGACGAATAAGAAGAAAGGACTTGACAAGACGACGGAGCAGCCTAGTATTCTGGATCTGGGCACTGGGAATGGGAGCATGTTGGCGCTATTGCGGAAACGTGGCGGGTTCAAGGGCTTGATGGTCGGTGTGGATTACTCGCCGCGAAGCGTGGAATTGGCGCGGGAACTGCAGCGGTTGAAGATCCATTCGGCGTATGAGTCGGATGATTACGATGATACCGATGAAGAGTCCTACACGTCTGATGCAGTGCAACCGCCGGAACCGGATGAGGAAGAGGATGATGTCGTCGTAGCGGATAATGAGAGCGCTACGGAGGCGATCCCTGTCCCTGATGAAGAAGAGAGCACCGAGATTCGTTTCGAGGAATGGGATATTCTGGGCTCGACGGATCCCCTGACGAAAGAGGAAAAGAAAGCGCAAGGCGGAAAAGGTCTGGATTGGTTTCCCTATGAGAAAGGCGGGTTTGACATCGTTCTCGACAAGGGGACTTTCGATGCCGTGTCACTCTCGGATGAAGTCGTCGACGAAGGGGGCAAGGGCTCTGGCAAGATTGTCCAGAGACGAGTATGTGAGCGGTACCCGGACATTGCGACGCGGCTGGTCCGCAAAGGTGGATTCCTGGTTGTGACGAGCTGCAATTGGACGGAGGAGGAGCTCATACAGTGGTTTACCGGTCGCACAGGCGAAGAGGCAAAGGACGAGAATGGGGAAGATGGTCTGTACGTTTGGGGAAGAGTGGAGTATCCGAGGTTTCAGTTCGGAGGGCACGAAGGACAAGGAGTATGCACGGTTTGTTTTAGAAGGAGATGTGGGAAGGCTTGATGCATGAAGCGTATAAAGAAAAAAAGAAACCCGGGATTTCCATCATGTCTAGAGCATTTACTTCGTGTGACATGATTCAAAAAGTTTTGCTGTAGATCAAACTCGGGATGAGCTAACTTAACAGAGAGGAAGAAGAGAATGTTTAGGACCTAAGCCTATTGTTTATTTTCAATATAGCAAGAAATACAATTAATATTAAGGACTTCTTCGGCATTTCCGGCCCACCTATTTGAACAATCGCAAATACAATTACTACAAGAGGATAGAATTTCCCTTATTGATGCATTGGCAGCGCTGTATGTCGAATGTTGAATGGGGCACGGAAGCATGGGCAATTGATAGCTGCTTGCTGCTCGCTCGCTTGCTTGCCTGAATCTAGTTCTAGGGGGTCCTCGCATACAAAGAATCTAGATCCTAGTCATCTAGTAGGTTCCATCGGATAATTGCAAACGGATGCCTGCACCTAGCATTTTGTTGAGCTTTGGATCACGGAGTTGAGCGATGGTAGTAGGTATAGCTGCATATCCGTTGTCTCAGATAGCTACATAGCAAACAGGTGCAGCTCGGCTTCATACAGAGATCTGGAATCCGACACGGTTGCTTTGTACGCCGAGAATATGAGCTGACGACATTGCCTGCATCATTGCCTGACAAGAGTTATGTATGGGTGAGCCACAGATGCCTAGATAATTCCATATTTAAGTAGCATCGCATTCCGGCAACTTCTCTTATACTACCTCATAAACTGGGACTATCCACGAGACATAGAAATATCAGCATTACTTAGCCCAAAAAGCCTTTCAGAATATTTCTTCGATAATACAAAGATTATCAAAATGCCGAACGAGATGACCAAGTCCGATTCAGCGAGGATCCAGTCCTCCCAGGTACCCGTTACGCTTCAGCTGAGCTTCACATCCAGGCTAATTCTGTGAATAATAGGCCAAAAGTGGTGGCGACATGTCCTCGAAAGGCTTTGCCTCTCGCGCTCAAGCAGCTGGCGACCGTTCGGCCAACTCACAGTCAGCGAGTCAAAGCACCCAAAGCCATAGTTCCTCGGCATATACCAAATCATCGGGTTCTACGGGGCGCTCTCAATAATGGCTCGTTGTCGCCATCTCCTCCCCAGATGAAACGGGCTGTTTCTATTTACTTTCTGGATGCCTTTGCGTTGGCGCGTGGGACTCGACGATGGTTTTCAAGACTATTAGTTCTGATTCCCTCGGGTTTTCAAAGAGGAATAAAACAGCTGCGTTGATGCTGTGTCTGGCAGCGCTCGGCGGTGGGGTTGATTTCTTTTTTTCTTTCTTTCTTTTTTTCTGTCTGTCTCTCTCTCTCTCTCTCTCTCTCCTCTCAGTTACAGATGCGCCAATGCGTAGTCGAAAGTGGCATGTGACTTGGGGGCGGTTTAGAAAAGGAGGCGAGAGCTGGGCCGTTTTACTTAGGGGGTTTAGAGATACTTGCATATGGCGACGCCGGATTCAACACGAGGCGTACAGCAAGAGTTGCACTGGTACAGTAATTCAACATTAGCCGCTTACTTTCTTTCCAACTGAATTCTTCCTATATGTAGGAGTGTCTTTCAATGAGAGTGTATACAAGGAAGGCTCACTAGCAACGCTTGTACTTAGTCCACTGCTTTAGTCTCGAAAAGATCAAGCTTGGCTCACTGTCGTTATGGCGCATTCAAATACGTTCCGCAATAGGCTGCGCCAACGATTCAATCGCTTTCGAGATTCACGTGTTGGCTTACCACAGGACACCCAAACAAGACCAAGTCTTACGACCAAGTAGGTATCACGGCCCCATCAGTGAAGCGGTGCTAATCAGATAAGAAGTCCAAGATCATCTTCGCAGTCCGAGGCACGCACTGCCGGCTTGTTGTCTCTCAACGAAGAAGCGGGTGATGGCCATCGGGAGTCAGCCAACACTGTGAATGATGAGGGTCAAGTTCAAGCCAGTCAGAGCTCTCACCATCGGAGCAGTCTTGAACGGACCTTGAATCCCAACCAGTCGACTCTTTCGGGCGACAATGGCGACGTTATTGTGTCTTCAGACCTTTGGAGTGCAGCATATCGTGAGGCAGTTGAGAATCTTGGAGAGGACATAGACATTGCTATTTTACAGGGAAAGAACGTCGCACAGCTATTCAGAAAACTCGAAGAGACTGAGAAAGATGTAAGCCAGGAGTCCACTTTCTTGAGGGGTGTGAGGTTCTTGCATTCTTTACAAGTACCTCTTGAGAGATTCAAGCTAGCGTTGGATCTGGCAAGTCCGCTGGCAAGCATTGAACCAACTGCAACGACAGTTGTTGGTGTGGTCAGAAGTGTGACTGCGGTGAGTTCGATCCATAAACAAAATCATTTCTTTTTTCAGCGCAGGCCATTTATACCAGAAGTGCTGACTCGTTGTCTGTGTGTAGATTGCTATCAGCATCGCAACTGCTGATGTGGACTTCGCGCAGCAAATTGCGGAAATGCTACAGCGACTTTCCTACATTGACGACTGTGACACGCTCGGCCAGAAAACGGGTAGGAAAGATATTCACAAGGTATACCTAAATATACATACATACATATACTGGCTTTTCTCGACGCCTTTCCTAACAATTTGCAGGCACTCGTACTGGTGTACCAAAAGATCTTGGAGTTCTATCAAGCTGCATATGACATATTGACCAGAAAAGGAGCGAGATTGATAATGAAAATGATCTTGGAGACTGACCGCCTTCCAAACATCATCCAAGACTTCATAAAGTATTCAGATATTCTCCGAAACCTTGTGCAAAAAGCAACATGGGAGGTCGTGGAGGACATCAAATCCATGCTCTACGATCATGAAAGTAAGTTTCCACACACCTATGAAATGCGCTACATACATTCTTATCCGGCCCAGTTTCCAGATGGCTAGGTGGTGACAAGATGAGCCGCCAGACTCAATACCATTCGTACCTGCAGGATCTTCGAGATGATCAGGCTTGTGAATTCTTGCTGAAAAATACCAACTTCATTAACTGGTATCTCGCCCCCGATTCTCAGCAGCTGGTGATCCTGGGCGATATGGGCAGCGGAAAGACTGTCTCTATGGCATTTCTCATAGACGAGCTGAGTCGAAGAAATCAGCATCAGCTACCTCAGCCCAAGATATGCTATTACTATTGCCGGGATGACGAGACAGGTAAGGCTATCTACATAGTCTCTGCTCTGGTTCTATCCCTGCTCGAGCAGCTCCCGGGCCTGAAAAAGCCCTTCTTCCAGTGGTACAAGCAGGCTCAGGCTTCTGGTATATTCGATCCAGCAACAAGCATCAAGAAGCTAGAAGAGTTCCTGGAGGGGCTTGTGGACGGAATTGATCGTCCAGTCTTTGTCATTATCGACGGTCTGGATGAGTTTCACAGCGCATCTCGAAATACTCTTCTCAGGTTATTGAAAACTTTATCGCAAAAGATTCCGGGATTCAAAACTATACTGTCTTCCCGTCCTGAGGAAGAGATCTTGGAGCAGCTGGACGGCATGGCTAGAATCGAACTAGGCTCTGACGCTCAGCGAGATGCCATTATCGTTGAGACGACAGTTCAAAGGCAATTGTTTTATCTATCAGCAAATGTCAAGGCACTCGTCATAGAGAGACTATCTCGCTTAGCGCAAGGAAGCGCTATATGGACGAAGATGATCGTCGAGCTTATCGAAGTCCGCAAAATCAAAGCACTCGATCCGATGCGTGGCTTTCTGGAAAAAATACCCTTGCCTAAACAGCTCTCAGAGCTCTACGTGACGCTGTTTTCTCGTTGCACTTCCAATGATCCCGAAAATATAGAGCTTGCCAGTACAGCTCTGAAACTGCTCGCCGGCACACACAGGCCTCTTAGTATACTGGAGCTCGCCTGGGCCGCTACTTTGGGCGCAGCTCCACGCACTACCACCATTGACGCTCTTGCTGAGCTGGTAGATCATCAAAGGGTTATGAGCCTTATTCATCCATTCATCGCTCGCGTCGATTTCAGTGACCTGAAGAAGCGCCAGGTTCGGCTCGTACACCAATCGGTGAAGGAGTTTATTATCAAAGAATGGACTTGTAGTCTTATGGGTCCCGCCTTGACAGAAACTGACAAGGTTGGTTCGAGTCTAGAGGCACTGGTATTGGATATTTGCATCAGATATCTTCTCCTGGATGATATTGGCAAGAAAGACCTGTTCTCCGAGGAGCAAGTGGCAATCGCAGAGCTACCTCAAGAATTTGACCTGTTCAACGATGATGACGAACCGGCCGATTACGATCCATATTGCACGTGGCAGTCGTGGGAAGAAAATATGACTCGCTACGATCCAGCTGAGCGTGGCTTTGGTGAGTTCTTCGCCTACGCAGCGTGCTATTGGCTAGAGCATTACGGCGCCAGCACAGTCAACCCGCTTCCAAGCTTAGCAAGTATCGAGGATCTATGCCACGCGGGCTCGACTCGACTTCGCAATTGGATCCAACAGAATCCTCGCCCAGACTGCGTGATCACGGCTAGATTCGAATTTGACAGCAGGTTGTATGATCCCCTCAGCATCACTTCGCTCTATGGATCAGAAGCCATGCTACGCGACATGCTTGAGAATTCGGACTTTGACACGGACAAGTATCTTCGAAACCCGGCTATGGGGGCCGCTGACCAGATTTTCCTATGGGGCGACGTATCAAGACTCGGGCTACTCTTCCTGAATGCTAAAATCGGCCCTCAACTGCAAACTCTGGAGTTTTTTGACCTTGTCATAAGAAGATGGTCTGACCCCGTCCTATCACGGCACAACCATAATTGGGATCTTGTATTCGACCTCGTCGATCACATATCTGATAAATTGGTCCAGGAACAATGGGGAAACGAGCTCTTGTATATGGCTGTCGGTGCAGGATGCACGCCCCTGATCCGGCGGCTAATGACGAGCGCACAGAATAAGCCAGAGCTTAGGAGTGAGTTGCTCCGTGAGGTTCGATCCGAAGGAACAAAAACGTTTCAACACATGACGGACCAATTGCATCAATCGATCGGATAGGCCGTCTGGGGAAACCACATTGATGTGGTAGAATACTACTCCCTGTCGGAAGAGCTACTTTTACATAGGTAGTAATCGTGGTAATTTCAATCCCCGTTTCGCTCCTGTGAGGAACGATGATAATCATTCCTTTGCGCGCGGTTGTGCAGGTTGGTGATGTAGACAATGTGTGTGATCTCTTAAGTACTCCGAGATGGCAACATGAATCAAATCCACTTTCAGCTCTGACCTGTGACAGCGAGGGTGGAATGCGGTTGAGAGATAGATAGAAGCCCTGAAAACGAGGAGAATATGCCATAGATTTTTACAATTGCTCTGTTCAATATTGTCAAGATAGCGTCAACGTGTTAGTTTAGAAAAAGAGATGCTTTTAATAGTAATTCGTTTCAACATACAATAACTAACTAACTAGTAGTAAGTACTCTCCCACATTATTTATTGGGAACGTAATATTGTTGTGTCTAATTTCTGCCTCTACTTATTTCGACGATCCGAATCTGGCATGTTTGCACCATTTGCATGTTTACAACTATCGTAGATATACTAAAACTTTCCGTTTAGCATCAAATTTAACTAGCCAGTAGTGGGTCATGACATAATAATAAGAACAGAACAGAAAAGAAAAAAAAGAGTAGAAATTGACCTAGAAGATTTTTCCCCGGACAAACTACCGAGTAAGTGGGACAGGTGGATCGTCGACTAAAGTACTCTAGACTAGAATAAGGGAGCTATATTAGTATATTTAGTCCTTTTAACTATTATTCCTGTTTGCAGAGTACCCAGATATCTAGAGAATTATGACGCAATTTAGTCTATGGCGTTCCATGCGCGTCTTTCAGCGACAGACCGCGTCAGTCAGGTCTAACTCTAGCGATGGTCCTTTGTGGATTACTTGCGGGCCGGCAGCAAGAGTGACTAACTGTCTGGATCCATTGTTGAGATTTCGTGTCAGACAATATTAATGAAGCAAGAAATGAATGTGCGAATGGAATGGGGGGCAAGTCTCTAGTAGATAGGTAGAATTAGACGAAGGATGATGATAGTTAGGTAGGTAGGGTTTGGAAACAGACGTCTGGACTAGTAGCTTCGATTCCGGTCTGATTTGGTTGAGTGGGACCCGACTTCCCGTGGTTTTGGGTAGGAGTTTGCTATTATTATTATTATTATTATTCCTAGGTGATGATGGCTCATTTCCGACTGTTGAGAAATGGTATGAACATGTATGCCGGTCAATCTCCGAGATTACTGGATCTCGAGGCATCAAGAAGTCAGTCGAGACGACTGCTGGCATGAAACGAAATGTTCGGTCAGTACTGCTGATCTCAGCCTGTGCTTTTCTAAGCTGTTCGTATAAGGCAGACATCCTGTAAATATTGAGCAGTAATATACTTGAGACTGGATCCTGACGATAAACACTCTATACTCTCTCTAGATAGTATGTAGTACCATAGAGCTTCAGCCAGTGCAGCCACCCGGCATAGGGATCTCCTATTATCCAATAAGATGCGCTCCCATCTCGTGGGGGACGCGCCACATGCCACTGGGTCATCATCGGAGATGGAGATAGAGATCTTCAGGAAGATCATCCGTAATTAATCTTCGTGAGATCTTAACGAGATCTGAGCCGTTAGCGGAATCATCGAAGAGCCCCCAGACCGGTTCTCGAAGATTAATTACCATGCCTGGCATCGGAGCTACACTCCGGCAATCGATAGCTACCCCGAGGATGCGGTGTAGGCAACTCAGTTGCCTCTGGCTTATGCCCTGGCGATTCATTCGCAGAGTTAGGACATGATGCAGGTGATTCTGATCGATTGGCTGCGGGGAACGTGCTCGACGATGACCATGCAGCAGGAGCTACGTGGTCCCCCGCAACTTGTGCATATTAAGCGGTGAGCAGCCCAGAGGATATTCTTCCTACGGTGTATTCTAACTAGTGAAAGGAGTAAGCTGGTATCATCACGAAATGAAGAAACAGAGCAAGTCATCAATTGGTGGAAATGAAATGCACCTCCAATCTCATACAGCCAGCATGTGCCCCTTGGACCGCTCTCGTAGTGTGTAGGTGTGTGGTCGTTATATGAGCCAAGCATTGCTAAACGATATCATATCATCCGACATTTGGATAAAATATAAATAGTAAAATAATACGGAGTACAAATAGGATAAATCAACATGGCGCCATGGAATCGTCAGATGGGTCAAAGCTACCCCGGATCACTCGCGCCGCGAAACAGACGGACAGATTTCCAGCTGGCAGCAGCAGATGAAACGAGTTCTTTGGAATAATTAATAGTTTCGGCGCTTGTGCACGGGTCGAACGAGGGCTAGACTAGACCAGGGGGCGGTTATGAAGATCGTTGGCTTAACTATCGCTGACGATCGGGGGGAGCCTATGGTAAGCTCCTCGGGCATATTCTGAAGATGAGATATGTACCATATTATCCCTGGAGGGGACTGCTCTGATTCGATGGCAGAGATCTCAGCGCCAGGTGTCCAGCAAGCAATTGACCACGACTGCTAGTGCTACCTGAAGCGGTACTACTAGACTATTACCAGTTAATCACTACTGTCTACACCGGATAGGCAGCAGGATATGCGTAGTTAGTATGGTATGCCCATGCTGTACGTCGGGAATCTGTGTCTGGCTGGTCCCCACCGGGTGCGTGTCATGATTCATGGGCGCGAGGCGATGCTCGACATGAATCCTAGTTCGTTGTTTTGGCGAGCAGCGGTTGCACACACACAAAACATTCTTGTTTCAGCTGGTGTGCCGTGGGTTGCAGAGCGCTTGCATTCCGGCAGTGGCTCAGAGTCTCAGACAGAGAGAGAGAGAGCATGGGGGAAAAGCAGCCGCCGGGGTGGATCCGGCCTAGACTTGCCAGTGCCTAGTCAGCAGTCGGGAGGACCATCCGACCGTTCGCGTATTATGGCATTGTCTAGAACGAGAGAGGTGAACCATGGGATGGGATTGCGATTGCGATTGCGATTACTACCAGAAAAGATGTTGTACCATAGAGAAGAAGAAGAATAGGTAATTATCGCAGGTCAGGTGCTTCTGGTCAGATGTCGAGTTGAGTTGGAATGGATGACGTCGCCATGTGACGGGTGGAGCACGAGGCGTGGAGGCCACGAGATGGATGATTATTATTATTTATTTATGAGTATAATATATTAATATTATAAGACTATATTCATACTCTATCGAGGACTGCTGATGGGATAGATATTATTGTTCGAGAAAAAGAATAACAACAACAAAAAAAGTCCAGATCTGCCAGATCGCAACTCCAGTTACCTGGACGGCCAACTTGGTCCGTCCGTCGCGCGTTCTCGTGGCCAAGTGGTCTTCGGTGGCCAGCGGGTGATCGTCAGGCAACGTGGATGATCAGGATAAGTTACAGGGAAATGATTTCCTGGCGGCAGAGACATCGTCAGTTGAGTCTTCAGAGGTGAAGGGAGAGGAAAACGGGATTACTCGGGTCGATGACGCGATACGGGACGAGGCGATGGGGGCAACCAAGGAATTGCTAACGAACGAATGAATGAATTAATATCGATCTATCTCCGTGTCTGATCTCATCTTACTATTTATCTCCTTATCCATGACTAGTTATTTACTAGTTACTGCCTAGTGAATATGAATTTTGAAATGAGAGGAACGTGTCCTCATTATTATTATCAACTAGGTATTACTCCGTACCTGTCTAGGGGGGTAACTAGATAACTACTAGATAACCGACTGAGGTGCTCGTGTAAGCGCTGGGACGGCGAGACGCTGCATGCAATGGGGGCGCTTGGATCGATCCAACGGGCGTCCAGCAGCCACCGGGCAATTAATTAATCACCTGCCCATGCAAGGGAACATTCTGAAGATAATGATAATCATATCTACGAAAAATAAGAATAAAAGGTCGGAATGGAATCAGCGCAGTTATTTAGTTAGTCACGACTCACTTACTGTCTGGAACTCGAACAAGGTGGGGGAACAGCCCATCCGGATCCGGACGTGGCCAGTCCGCCCTCTAGTTAATAATATTAAACAATGATAACTAACTCCCGTCAGTAACTAATCAATGATAATAATAATAATAAGATCCAATTCCACCAGCGAATTCAATCAATCCAAAAAAAGACACTAAAGAATGGGGCCGGCGAGGGCGAAAAAGAGGAGTTGCAGTGGATCGGCGACATCATTGCGCTCCACCAGCGAGAGAGCCAGAAAAGGCCAGATTCCGGTCTCACTGGCTGGCGACTCTTCAGCTGGAATTCCGCCCCGGCTGGACGAGACAATTTGTTCATGAATTAGATGAATTAGTTGGTTATTTTAGTTGGTGAGTTAGTTAGGTAGGTAGTTAGGTAGTTATCATCCTGCTCGGCTGGCTGAGTATTTTATTCTATTTTATTTTATTTATTATTATCTACAGTGACCATAGTTAATAATCATTAGCGCCTATCTTGTCTTGCCTTGTCTCTGAGTCTCAAATAATTCCCTCCGAATCTATCTATCTTAGGTACCTAACCTAACATAACTAACCTATCGGCTCCACCACTGTCCATCCTGTTCTCCTTCTCTTGTCTTCCACCCTTTTAGTCAGGAACGCTTTCGGGTTCGTCATTCCAAGAAAATCCCAAGGAACAAAAAAAAAATAATATTAGGAAGACAGAGAGAATCCCTTCAATATTTTACTCTACTCTACTCTATAATCCATCCCCAGCAACACTCTAGCCGGCTACCAACTTTCGTCCCACTCGGTCGCACCGCACCGACAAGCCTCCTCTCTTCTTCCCCCCCGCAGATCCTCCTGCCAGTTAAAGACTCCCGAAGCCGTGGATGTCCTGGATCCCCGCAAATTGCCAATAAACCCGAGCTATTTTTACGGCAACAGGAAAGCAAAAGCTCCCTTCTACATTTCAACTTTCCCTCTCCCGATTCTTCTCCTGTTCGCTCAAAGAAACCATTCTGTCTCCTGGCCGTTGCGCCATCGCTCCCCGTCTCCCTATCCAGATCCTCGCAATTGCTCGTCTAAGTCACCTGCATCGCCTATCTCGCACCACCCGCTGAATCGGATCGCTTCACCCCCGACGGACGTTCTCTCTTCTCCCTCTCCCTCCCTCTCTCTCTCTCCCCTCCCCTCCCCCCGACCACCGAACTCCTCCGGCTGTGTGTCGTTGAAAAGGGGCAGAGAGCGCGAGACCTGACCTAGCACACAATGGCATCCTTCAAGGTAACTTCCGTTGCATTTCACTGAAATCTTGGGAGGAACCGTCCCGACCGTTGCTGACGCGGGAATTGGTGCTGCTGGCAGGAGTCCTCCATATCGCGCCCGTTCCCTCAGTCGGGCCTCCCCGTCCGACAGAGCAATGCTCGAAACCATTCGCATGCGCACTCGATATCGCTGGGTGCCGTCAATACCAACCATCGCGTCACCCGTCGGAAGAGTATCGCCTCCGCCGCCGCTGCCAATGCCGCTGCGGCCGTTGCGGCCACCATGAAGGACAGCGGTGATCCAGTCACGATTCCGATGGCATCGCACCGGCGGAGTCTCGCTGGCCGCAAGGGTCTCGAATCGAGCTCCCTCGGAGCCACGTCCGCCCTGTCGTCCTCTCTATCGCGGAGCGTGAACGCTGGCTCGGACCGCAAGACCTCGCCCAACGCAATCGACGAGAACTCCGCAGCGGAGGGCAGCGCTTCCGGAGCAAAGCCCGTCAGCACCAAGAGCAGGAACCGACGCGCCAGTGAAGGGTCAAACCTGAACCGGGGCGAAGGGAAGCGGGTTGCCAGCGAACTCCGCTGCGAACGTTGTGGGAAAGGGTATAAGCATAGCAGCTGCTTGACGAAGCATATGTGCGTATACCCCCCTATCGTCCCGCTACCCGGCTCGAGACGGGGTCCCATCGATACCGGCGCCCTCCATGTCGTTTGTCGTGGTCACCCATCTCTCCTCCAGATCCCTTGTAGTCTTTACTGCTAGTACTACTACTACCACCACTACTACTACTACTACTATTCTTGCTCCTCTCACACTCCTCACCTCTCTTCCTTCCCGTCTATACCCAGGTTTGGTTTTGATTGACAGTTTGTGTGTTTTGGCTTAGGTGGGAACATGACCCAGCATGGCAGTTCACGTCGAAACTCCTCATCTCCAAGCATCAGCAAGTCCAATTGCTCGAGGCGGCCACCGTGCTGGTCAACATGAACCAAGAGCCTACCACCGAGATGGAGTCGGAGGACTCATCGGCCTCTCCCGCGACATCATCCGAACTCCGCGATGGACTAAGTTCCACCGAGACGACGCCGCCCCCCATGGACGAGGACGGGCCAGAGTTGCCCGACACACCAGCCGGCTACGGGAAGCGCTATAGCGTCGCCAGCACCTCCGCCTTCTCGCGCTCCTACCAGTCCAGCTCCTTCGCCGACAGTGCGCCGCTGCATTCGCCCGCCTTCTCGCATTTCCGCCATTCCAGCATCGATACACGTCCCTCCACTGCCGACACCGGGAGCAGCGACGACGACGATGAGGCGGATCTGGCCGCTGCCATCGGTCTGTGCAATTTTGGGACACCCCGCACGGGGCCCGTGCCCATGTCGCCCGATGTACCTCCAGTGCCCCCACTGCCTGCTCGATTCCTCGGCCAGAACATTCACAGCAACCCTCTAAGCCAGTCGGCCGCTGCGGCCATGCCTTTGCCCAGTTCGGCCTCGACGATCTATGGATCATTCTCGTTGAACCCGTCGCTGTCGTACAAGGTCTCGGATGAACGAGATGTCAAGATGGAGGATGTCCACCGCGAGTCGAGACAGCGGCGCAACGCCGACGTTGATTTTGGCAGCCGTCACCATGGTGAAGACGATGATGACGGGGTCTTTGGCCTTATGGAGGAGTGAACAGAGTGGCAAGCTCCTCTGTTATAACTGCCTGTTTTTTCATACGAAGTGTGGAGACACAACGGGAGGGGGCAAGAAAACCCTCGCGTCGTCCCACCCATCGGTTAATGCCCATTTTGCACGAAAGTATACGAGCTTGAGCGGTCCTTTTGAGCAATCTTTGATGATGATTGTGCGTGTTGGCATATCCATGTGTGTTTTGGTCGGTCGAAATGACCGCAGGAGTGATTATCTATTCTTCTTTCTTTTTATCTTTGGTTGGGGCCCTTGGTGCCCTTGGCTGTACGGGATCAGGACCATCAGGCTCTGTGTTCTTCTTTTTTTGGTGGGCAACACCACATCTTGGCATATCTACTAACCTTACCTCTCTCTGTATGTAACCTACGAACCAATGCCATGAACATAACAACCGACAAGTCCTTCAAATACACTTACCAGTAGGATAATTTGCAGGGTAATAATGCATGAAGTTATAAAAATATTAGTGTTGAAAAAATAGAGTATCAAGTCATGATCCATTAATTCAATACAGAGATAGTAAAAATGATTGCTGTGGATAGTGCGCAACATTCGCTCGTTAAAGTGCAGTGTCATTTTACGATCTTATCTAGCGATGTAATAACTAACCTATCATCCGAATAACCCCCGATGGTCTAGTTGGATATGGCGTTCGGCTGTAATAGGATTTTCCATTGTTACCGAAAGGTCGCCGGCTCGATTCCGGCTCGGGGGAAAGGATTTCTTTTTTCTCTTTTTTTTTTCGCTCCCGCTGAGTTACCTTGTTTCCGTGCGTAATGGTATTCTATGAATTTTCTTTTTCTTTTTTTTTTCCCACTTATAATTCCTAGAAATATGTTAAAATTAGGTATTTTTTTTAGAATATATCCTTCGTTGCGCTAATTGAATTAAGTATAGTCTGGAGTGTAGGTAAGTAGAGTTATATATATGCATTCCCGGGATAAGAAAAAAAAAAAAAGTTCGTATATGCATCGACCTAACTAAGTAAGTAAGTAAGTATTTGTCGAGATTTAGGATCATGTTTGGTGCGTTGCAGTTCCTTCTTTTCTTTTCTTTTCCTTGTTTCTGAAGGAAATATCGTAAAGAGCTAACTCTGCGATAATAGTTATAATGCAACGACTGCTGAGTTATATAGAAGGACTAGGGAGAAAGGAAGGAAGAAAGGAAGGAAAGAAGGAGGAGGCAGTGCGACAATCCGGCTTATCGAGTTAATAGTATCGAGAGCAACTAGAATGGAAAAAAAAAATAACCATGCTAGAGTCCAATGACAAAGAGACGAAGGGTAAAGTAATGCAGAGTAGAGTAGAGTACCTAGATAGATAGAAGGGTAAGCCATCAACGACTAGACGGGATAGAATAGATCCCTTTGCAGATTATAGACTAGACCTCCACTACGGGGCGCAGGAGGGAGATAACAGAAACCGATCAGGTTTCAAATAGAAAGATAATAAAAAAAAATTCGCATTGAGTGCGTGCATGTAACTTCTGCACGATGTGATGTGATATGATATGAAATGAAAATACATGAATAAGAAGAAGAAGAAATATGAACAAACAACCAACCAAACAACCTCGAGGTGCATAGACATGAGAAAAGAAAAAAGTACAAGAAAAGCAACCTCGTAAAGTAAACCCGAATCCCAATCCCGATATGTGTATGTGCGATACAGAAAAAAATTGACACCAACTCCGTCATCAGGGTATAGTCCATCTCCATAAACTCCATGGGTATCTCAATACTGAACAGTTCGTCGTTCATTAATCATCAGTCATAAACATGACTTGTCATCCCGTTATCCATAATCGTCCCCAATTCGTCACCAGTATTGTACATATGTACGTACTGCACATCTCCACCAGTATTGTATCTCTCGCACAAGTTATGCCCGTGTGTTTGGCATTGTGTCAACGTCTCGATCTCTGTTTGGCTTTTGAAAGTGTTTGCCGTGCCCTGTTCGCTCTCCGCGCTATGCATCTGCATCTGCAGTGCTGTGTGTAAATGTTTGTGCGTCTGGAGGCTGTTGTATGTATGTATGTATGTATGTAGGTAGGTAAGAAAGAAAGTGTGACCGCCGTAAAGAGGAATGTGTTGAACGGTATGTGGCAATGTAAATTGCTCGACGGTCTGAAGGGGCGAGGTGTCTGCCATGTCAATCGCAAAAGTCAGTGTACGCGCACGACCGGCGGTAAGCGTCGAGTACTTACCAGAGAGAGTGAGAGAGAAAGAGCTGTCTATTCACGAGGAGTGGTCTTCCTCGAATCAAGAAGTCGATTCCGTATTCGGACTTTTGCTCTGGCTTTGCAGTTGATACCGTGACTGCGGCGAATGTGTTTCGTTGACGCCCGTTCGTACGTCATTCTGTTGTGTCCGAGTATTGAAACAGCGGAGCGAGAGGTCTGTTCCTCAGAAGATGTGAAAGAACTCGGAATCGTTTTGAAAGAATCGACAAGTAGATGATGTGATCGTAAGATGTGATGGACGTGAAGACTCGTTACCATGTCGGCGGCAATGGAAGTGAAACGGGTGTCGGTATCGATATGCAGCCAGTAGCCCGTTGTACATGCGCGTCGATAACATGGTCCTCTCAGGAGAAGGTCGGAAAGTGATGTGTGAATCCAGAAGAGAGAACAGTGGTGAGGAGAGAAGTGTTCCGAGTCAGTCCAGATGATAAAAATCAGGTGTGGTTCTTCGTGACGAGATATTCAATAGCGAGTTGAATGATGTGATGAGAACACGCGAATGTCTCGTTGACGAGGTTGCGAAGGTCGGAGAGAGATGTGAAGCCGACAAGATGACAGAGTATCGTGATCATCGTAGCAACCGTCGTAAGAAGTTAATATCGAATCAATCCGAAGTGTGGTGAAGGTAGACAAGGAGATTCGATGGACACGCCAAGGAGGTTGTTGGTGAAATGATGAAAGCAAGTACAGAAGTCCGTAGACTACGGTAGTTGCGTTGTACCGATGTCAACCTCAGCTAAGTATCCTGAGAAGCCAGTGAACAGGATGTAGAAACCTCAGCTAGTCGAGATCGTCGAAATCAAGGCACCGTCAGGTTATCGTGCCGACCGACAAAAGAGCTCAACTTGACTGAGGCAAAGTGGTGTCCAGAAGGAATATGAAGAACCGTAAATCTGCGAAGCACGACAAGTCGATCGAAATAGCCTTGACCGGGACGAGCATGGAAACGAGCACCGTCCAAGGAGACAAGACGCAGATAGAAGATCGATCGCCGTCGTCGTGATATCGCAGGAGCCTTTCTTCGCGCCGTATTCATCGAGTAGAAAAAGAACAACGCTCAACATCATGACCTGCTGGCGCTATCGAAGAAAGGCTTGAAATCGTCGTAAATGCGGCCTGTCGCTCGGAGCTGCGACCTTGGACCCTCTAACAAGGGCAGACGAAAACAAGCAACAAAAGACAAAAGGCCTATACCGATCAAATGTTGACATCCGTCAGCTGTTGTCTCTATACTGGAAGCAGATTATGAAGACACTCACCTCCGTACCGCATTTACGAGCCGTACGTCAACTCACTCCCGAACTCCATCGGCAACCGTTGGTCTCCGTGACTGTAAATTGCTCCGCGTACCCAAATCGACGTGCACTCAGCCTGCAAAGGTCGTGGAAGACACATTGAGAAGCCCATCGACCTGGCCACTTCTCTACCTCACGAGTCCACCCGCAACAAACTGAAGGGACAAGCCCGCGAGGTTCCGCCAGAGGGCAGACCCAATCAGCGGACCTGTATACAGTCTGCGCAAAGCAGATCGGAGGCCGGTCCATGACCAGGCGGGACAAGAGCTCAAGGTCCCAACCGACAATCGCAAGGCGAGATGCTGTACTAGCGAACTAGTACCGCCGGTAAGGGCCGTTTGGAGGCATATACGGTCCGTACTGCCAGTTGTACGGCGCCGAGTACCCGTAATATGCCCCGTACTGAGGCCCCTGAGCAGGCCCGTAGGCACCAGCCGGAGCTGGACCATACGGACCAGTCTGAGGTCCTCCGTAGGGGGCATAATACGGAGTCGGAGCCGGGCGAGGACCATAATGCCCATAACCCGGGCCATAGTAAGAAGACGCCGCAGGTGCCATCACAGGCCCCAGGTTCGGCGTCCGCGCCGGAGGAGCACTGGGCACAGGAGAGGCTGGTGTCATCGCGGCAGACTGTTCGATCTCCGCGATCAGTTTCCCCTGCTTTTCCCTGAGTGCCCTCCTTTGTTGGCGCTTTCGCTTCATCTGGCTGGGTCTGTTCCTATGGCTGGCCGGGGCGGGCGCATCTTCTGCCCCTTGGACGACCTCAATTGCCGTCTGCTGATCTGAAGAGGCAAGATGCCTCTCCCAGTTCGCAGCTAGAGCGCACACGAACTGGAACACCATCACTGGCGCCAGATTCTCCGGACGGCGAACCACAAGGGCCCACTGCCGGGGCAGACGGAAGCAAGAATCGTCCTCAGATACATCGGATGCGTCCAGGGACTTGGTCGTGAAGGACTCGACGGCGCCATCGGCGGTAGCAGTCGAGCCCGCAGTGGTGCAAGATTCCAGCTCTGGGAATGCCGCAACCGCCCGTCGTCGCTCGAGACGAGAGATGGCCTCCATCACCTTGCGGTGAATCCAGACATCCAACGACTCTTGCTTCGTTGGGGGAACAACAGACACAGAGCTGGTGGAAGTACCCGCTTGATACCCGGTAGAATCCCCCGAGATCAAGGCCTCATTTCCTTCGACCAGGGCAACCACCGCGTCGTACGCAGATGGCACACCGTCGGCCACAAGGTAGTGGGCTACCTTGGGTGAGGACCAAGAGTCGAGAAGACTCTCCAGGTTGTCAAGGGCCTCTTCCAGTTTGGAAGCACCAAGGGAAACAAGTCCCGTCCAGCGGGCCCAGGCGACAGCTACCAAACCCACAGCTAAGACCAAGTAACCAGACGCCGACAGGGTGAAAGACGAACCCGATACCGGTGGTTCGTCAGAGCTCGTGTTGCCACGAGATGACGCCCCGGTCTCGTCGTTACCCAGCCGGATAACCAGGCTGAGTCCTGTCTCCACGTCGGTTGGAGTCACGATCAGTTCCTTGGAGCCGTCATAGACGACTCCGCGGAAATACGCCTCCCCGTACCCAGGAGGAACATATGCAGAGACAAGCTCTGCCAGGTCGTAGACCCCTTTTGACAGGGTCGTCGCGTGCATGGCGCCGGATAGTCGCTTCACGAAACCCTCTGAGGGATCGCTCAGCAGTGGCACGGGCAGGAACGTGCCCCAGAGGGCCACAAGGGCGAAGATCCCAACGAATGGGAACAACATTCTGGTCAATACAGCTGTGAGACAAGTCAGAAAGGACGTCAAAACGAGGATAAGGAGAGATATCATGATGATCCTCACGTGTATTGAACCAGAGAACAGAGAAATCTCGTAAGAGCAGGTCGTTGTGATGCTGTGGTGTGCGTTGCGTGCTGACTCGATGAGATGATGAGGAGAAGGAGAGAGAGAAGGAGAGAGAGAAGGAGGAAGAGGGACGAGGGGGGTATTTTAACATCGAGAACTTGCTGGGGGGGCTGGGGCCAGCATTCACTGTTTTGAAAGAAAAACTTCCCAGATTGGGTAGGAGTAACACATTATGAGGAACACATCAGGGGGGGAGGCCGCCGAGGTGAAGTGAATCGTTTTCTCGAGGCCCAGGTAGAACTATCAGGGGCAATGCGGAATGCCATACTGAATTGAAGGGCAGATATATAGGGGCTCACGAGATGCATAAGAAAAGGAGGAACACAATAGAAGAAACTCGAGTCACTGATACTTGAATCCATTCCTTTTATCGATTGAGAATCATAATAAAACGAAAAAAGAAACCGAACTCCGTCCCGTAGGTGCGCAGAATATTTGTGCGCGGAATATTTGCCATAGAACCTCGTAAAACCACTTTTAGTCGACGTCCATTTCCTCCTCGATACCACCATCCACCAGCATCCTGGTCTTCTTCTTCTGTCTGAGCCTCTCCTCGCCGTGGACTCTGGATGCAACCTTGGCAGAATCCGCCGCAAGAGGCTGGCCCTCTTCTCTGTCGCGCAGCTCCTTCCGGATGAGATGCTCGCCCTCTGCAACGACTTTCCTGTCTTCTTCCCGCTTGCGGTCCCGAGCCAGCTTGCCTGCCAATCTCCTCTTTGTGAACACGTGCTCTCTGCGTTGTCTGATCTCTTCCACTCTCTCCATAGCCTTGACAGTGGCAGCAACGAGGTTTCTGTCGTATCTGACGGGGACGTTCCTCCTCTTGGCGAACTGTGACAGCAGCAGAGACGAGTCGACGATCATCTCCTTGCCGTGCGCCGCACGGTGAGCCTTGGTCCACTTCAACTTGCGGGGTTGTCTCTTCATCTGTAGAAGGAAAATATATTAGTATCGGTTCGCGAGTAGGAATCTCCGGTATCAAACACAAGGGTACCTTAAAGTTCTTGTGGCATTTTGAAGAGCCTGTATCGAGTTCCGTCAGTTATAATGTCCCACGTCGACCTTGTCATAGACGGAGATCGGAACACTTACAAAATCTGAACTGTTTTGCATCGAGACGGCAGAAGGTAATACCCTTGCTGGGGTAAACCGGCTTCGAACATATATGGCACGTTTCGACACTGGAATTCTCATCAGTCTTGCTAAATCTTTTTTTTCTCTTTCAATCGTCGACACAAGATTTATGGCAGCACATGAGCGAACTTCCTGGTGCCATCCACAGCTCATGGAAATATGATATATACATACCGCATGATTAATTAACTAGCCCCTCGATGTGGGCTGACTTCCAGAAAGATATGTCGCTGTCGGAAGATTTTGTTATCGCGCCGTCAAAAAAGGTCAGTATAAACTTTCTCGAGGTTCGGATGTGGAGCAGCGATTTGGGGGTGACTGCGCTAACCCGAAAAGGGCCACGAAAGCGCCGCCGAACGGTCCGACTTTTATCTCCATCCAACTTCTTTGCGCTTCCGCGACTTCTTCCTCAGCTCTAAACAGTTATCTCCTGCTCAATCCCTTCGATTCCACGGCCTGTCGTTCGTATTAGCTTGTTATTGCATTTCTGAAAAATGACCTCCACTCTCGCTGTTGGTTTGGGTATCGCTACGGCCGCGTTTCTGGTGAGTAGACCTCGGATCTCCGAATTCGCCATCGGCTATTGTTCAAGGATTGGTTACTGATGGACCATCTTACAGGGCCGCGCAGGACTTGTCGCATTCCGCCGCTACAAGGGAGGCGTTAATGCTGCGGGTAAAGCGTACTATAAAGGGTATGATGATACTGGTTGCAGCCAAGGATCGTCTTTTGACTAACATGAGCGCAGAGGCTTTGAACCGCGGATGACTCGTCGCGAAGCGTCTCTCATCCTGTCGCTCTCGTACGTTGACTCTCATATGTTCATTCGAGAGACATGTGCTGACTGCAGAATAGCGAGCGTACCCTGACGAAAGACAAGGTTCGAAAGAACCACCGCCAGCTGATGCTCCTCAACCACCCCGACCGAGGTGGAAGCCCATATCTGGCGACCAAGATCAACGAAGCAAAGGAACTTCTGGACAAGACCACCTAAACAGTCTTCGATTCGGGATTGGAGAAGAGATAATGCGGTTAAAGCGCGTATAGACTTGTATTATACGAGAGAGAGAGATGGCTTTTGTGGGTGCATAGCGTGGCGTTGGTTCTGGGTTTATGAAAATGGGACCTCTTCTATACTCTTATCGAGTCATGTTGGGAAGTTCTACTGGACTGTATCGAGATCGCCGCTCCTGATATATTTTCCATCGTATATAATACGACCTTACGTTGAACGCTCATACTTGAGCCTCCAGCAATTCCATCATTCCTTGCATACTATTCTCCAATATCAGTAGAATCTAGTTTTCTGCGAAAGGCTGTCAATCCTTGAAGTCAAGGTTGTCGTGCGCGACTGCTCCAAGTACGTCGGAACTCGAAAGACAGTGCCCAAATATGATAGACGTTCGAGTTCGAGGATGGTCCGTGGAAGCTGTAAGTCCTTGTGCGTATTTCAAAAAGTCACATTGCTACAGAAATCGATGTTCTTTCTAGCAAAACTAGATGAAGTTCGAAATGCCGATCTGGACATCAGCAGTAACAAGCCTATAATAATAATCCCGGAAACTACCAGTCTAGCAGTTTCAACTAGTTACTACACTTCAGCCCAGACGAATGAAGATCTCCCAGGATAACTAGGCATTCACCCCATGTTCCGTGGCTACGGGCGTCATAATCTTTCCTCCACCGGTACGAAAAGCTCCTAACAGTTTGGATATACACCAAGCTCTTTAGTTGCGCGCTATTTTGTTCTGCCATGAGCCGCCTACTACTATTTACATAGTCCTACGTACGCATATGATGTAAGATGACTAGCAACAGGGTATGCTGCCTAGAGCTGAATACTAGACATATTCCCTTGCTACAGCCTAGTTCTGTAACACATCCAGATAAACAACTCACGGGAATCCTTCGTACTTTGACCATACCCACAGATACTAGTCTGAGGCGAAGCGCTTTCCTCTTGGTGTCTCCGTCTTTGGCTGCATATCGAAGCACAGAGACGGGCAGGGAGAGGTCTTTTTACTGGACAAGCACTGAATTCTTCGCGCTGACATGCCATCAAGCCTTGTCAAGTGCAGCGATAAACCCATGTTCAGGATTGGCTGGAGGATCTGCGACAACGCATGTTCGACGCTGTTATCCATCACGTGATACGTACAGCCGTCTCTAGTGCCTCCAGATGATCTGATGGCCCCTCGTTTTGGCGCCCAGGTAGCGACGAGTGATTAGGTCTCAAGAGGGCTCAGTACAATGACCGCTTTACTCGTCCTCATTGGGCCCAGAGTGCCTGGACATTCCTGCGCAGAAATCTGGCTCAGTCCATAAATTCAGAGCACTGCCCGGCGCCCATCTTACGGTGTCTGTTAAACTAACTTATCTTGTTCTTCTATTATCTCGCGGAGCTCCTGCCGGGTTGCGGGGTTGAAGCAACTATGGCTGATCCTCTTTCCGTTACAACTAGCATCATAGCTCTGGCGGGTTTCGCCCTCCAGACGAGCAAGACGCTGTATACTTTGCTGGACAGCTTTAAGTCTAATAGACGAAGCATCCGGGAACTTCGAGAGGAGCTTGAGTCTCTACAGGAAGTTCTGGAGTCGTTGAAACGGCTAGCGGCTGAGAACGAAGGGGATCTGGAATCCCTCAAGCTTCCTCTATTTCGCTGCGGGAAAATCTGTGAAGAGTTCGCAGAAGTGATCGAGAAATGTACATCTCATTCCCAAGAGTCTCGTACAAGCTTTCGGGACTGGACCAAGTTACAGTACAAGGGCGATGATATCACGAAATTCAAAGTGAAACTCAGCGAGTACAAAGCGACTATCAGCATTGCGTTGGCAAGTGCTACATTGTAAGCAGCGTCCTAATATCGACACGGTTTTAATTTTGGAGATTGCTGACGTTTCACTCTGATCTAGTCGAACTGTGGCTATCACCGCCAATGTACTCAAAGAGTATAAAGATCTGGTTGATAATACAACATCGGATCTTTCGGACCACCTAGAAGAAGTTGAACAAAAGCTTCAGGATCTCTCATCACGGAATGTGGAATCCTCCGGTGATATCTCGGAACTGCAAGCTATCGAAGAGGAGCGGCGTAGCATACAGCAGTGCCTCCAAATCTGCACTCAAGTATCGAGCTACATAGAGGAGATCCAATTTGGGAACCCAAAGAGCCCTAGTTCTGGCCTCGAGGGGAAATCGCTGTCCGAGGCAACCAAAGCAGCTGAATATTTGAAAATCTCGCTGGCAACGAAGCTCACTGGAAGCACCCTTGAGGAATGCAAAGCCAGGCTTCACGCAGCATCGTCACAACTGAGGGTCCAATTGGAGTCTCTAGACAGCAAAATCAGGTCATTGTCAAAGCAGCGACCCAACCTATCAACTGGAGAGGCAGAAGATCTGAAGCGATTCAAAGAGGAACGAGACAGCATTACGCAGTGTCTTGCGATCTGCACAGAGGCATCAGATCTGGCTGATAACCCTCGAACTAATGTCTTTGAAGACATTCAATCTGCTGATTCATCGCATCAGGTCATTGTCTCCACGCTCGGAGACCTGATCACTGCCAGGCGTGTTTCTGCCGAATCAGGCTCTGCGCAATGGCTTGGTCAAATGTCGGACGAGACTCTTCGATGTCTTGCTGAGAAGTACGTTCCGACTGCAGAGAAGGAGAATAGAGATCCTGGAGGCGAAAAAACAGCTGGTTTTGCAAATAGATATGGTGCTGGTCATCAACTGAACAGCAGACATGGGGATGCAAAGCGAAGCTCTCCTAGCGGCAGTAGATAGGTATATAAATGATGATTCAGTACAGTCGAGGAAAGATGAGATAGTATGCGTTATGTCACAATGAACTGTCACGATTATTAGGAACAACGATCACAATGCTTAGACGGACGAAATAGATAGCTCGTCAAAGGAGGCAATACAGCGTTGTATGGAATGCCTTGAGTGTCATCAGGCGCATACGCTCGTGTTGACAGAGAACCAGCATAGTGTCTCCAAAAATAGACTCCAAGTGACTAAAACATTCCGACGATGCGTGACAACGGGGTGTAGCGCTAGACCTGGCGCTGCGGCCACTGAGGCCTTACGGATGGAGTAGGTGGTTCGGAGAGTATACAATTTCTGGAACCCATCCACTTATCGCTTTCTGGAAATGCACGTGCCATTTGATTATTCCGGAGACCGATCTATGTGAATATTTATCCGTTCTCAACAAGGTGCCATATAATTTTGAGGGGCTAAAAGGATAGCTCCCATGCGGGAGAATTGCCGACAGCTGGCATAGATACCGATCCAGCTAGTAGCACTTGGTGTCTCGAATACTTCTTCATTTGTAGCCGTGCGTAATACCTCTGACGCATACTCATCGGATATGCACCATGTTCTCCGTTGACCAGATTTTGTGGTCGGACTATTTGAATCCGTATCACCAAACGGCACAGTGAACCGGCTTGTCGACAATGCCGGTGATGCATTTTCTCCTCCTGACTCAAGCAGAAACTGCGCCCTGGGTCAGTAAGTGAGTTGTGGAGAGGATGGAGCCTGACATCATACCTCGATTTCTGTGACACTATACCCACTGATGGTCACAGAGAAGCGAACGACCCGGCTTCCGTCATTCACGTTAACACACTGGTGGCTGTCTGCAGGAGACCCAATAATACCCGTCTTCTTTGACTTATAGCTAAAAGCAAGTCCTATTATGACTCGTTCTTGAAAATAAGCTGTGATACTAGTCACTGGCCCTAATTCGTCAGTAGAAGCGGTATGGAAGAAAAGCTTTTGGACTTGGTCAACCGGCGATATCTGCGAAGGCAATAATAAAAGCCGGGAAGAGCCAAATGTATCTTTCATAACGCTAATAGCCCGAACCAGATCGAATGATGAACTCAAAAGCCATGTAAGTCCGTTCTATTCCAAGTCAGCACGATTTGGTTAACCATGAGAAAGCAGGAAATGCAAGGCTACCAACAAGATATTCGTGTGTTCCTGATTGATAATGATGCCGCATACATCCGTTTGAAGAGCCACAGAGAAACGTCTTACTTCGATTGCGCGTTGTATCGATCTTGATGGCAGTCACTCGACCCTGGCCGACATTGGTTGACCTGCGGTCCACCATTCTCATCCATATGGTCACACTGCGTACTTCTTCGTCCCGAGAAAAGTCCATAGCATCACCTTCGTTCATCCATTGGCCGATGATAGTCGAGCTGTTGTACCAGTCATGGTAATCAAACCTCAAACCGCATATAGAAGATGGGAGTTGGGATTCTTCAGAAGAACGGGTCGATACTTGGACCCTTCGAACTCCTATTAGTGACGCATAGGTGCCATACACCGATTGGCCTTTCGTCCGCATACAGAATGCAAGTTCCTTATCGTACGAGGCCTGACTTTCCGACAGGTTATGAGCATGGTCGACAGAGCGTCTAGATCTTTGATGATAGCCTTCGTCGCTTGGCTGTCCTTGAAGACCAATCCTGGAAAAATAAGTTTTATATCGAAATTGCTAAGCAGAAATCAGTCTGGTGCAATATAAAGAGGGCATTCAAGCACACACCGTGGTTGTAGCTATCAAGCCTGTCGTGACAATGCCTCTTGGCAGTTCTGGACGTAGCTTTTCCCTCGAAAATAACTCAGACCGGCGACGGAGACCAGTAAACAACATTTGACGACCGCGATTTGTTGATACCTGATTAACACGGTTTTGTGAGTTATATAACCCAAAATTGGGAGCGGCTGCAAACCTTTAGACTACCTATTCCACCTATTCCATCCTGGAGATCGCCTACTGTCATCTCGATATCGCTGATGCGTTCACCGTTTGGACCATCGATCAAAAATGATAGGGCAACCCCGCCACTGTTTCCAAACTCAACGCTTTTATCGGTATAGAAGAATCGTACACCGATAATTGGACTGTAGTCACCAACCATGTATATCACCATCCTTGTCAAGGATGATAGCAATTTGCCTCGCAACCCGCCAAAATCGATGTTAATCAACGGCTCGAACGTAGATCCCGTCTGTTGGGGTTCCAGAGAACTAAGCACCAGACCAGCGTATATAGGAATTCGTGGTGTCCAAAGGTGCGATTGGATTAAGTCCGACGTACTGTCAAACAGAGCGTCATGATCATCGGAGAGAGTCATAGTAGCCCGTTGAACCAGACTAAGAGCGACAATTTTGTATACCTTAGTCACGATCGTCAGCAAAATGGAATGGATATGATAGCCGCGACCTATACATACGTCTAGACCAGCGACCATATGAAAAGTCGCCGAGTTCTCAGGAACAACTAATGAGCCGTACACGACACCTTTGCCCTCATTCTGTCCGATCCAGTGGGATGGCTCATGTTCAATGAAGTGTAACTGAATTCCGACTAGGCCCGTTGCACGAAATGCAACCTCGACTGTTTTAATTTTTGCACTTGGTGGGATGTGAATCGATTCTGCATTGGCTGTAAGGAACCCCATAGAAGATAATTTGGTGCGCGAAACTTGTGCGTCTTGAAATTCAATCCCTGAAATATAACAACGTGTACCAATGTGGACTGTAGAAACCCTGATGTTCCCACCGTCTTTTGAGAAGCGACGTGGAAATTCCACGAGTCGAAATTGTTGCACGCGGCATCCGTCGGTCAACTGATTGCTATCATAGGATAATCTCGCACAAAGAGAGTGGACCCCTTGAAAACTTTCAGATAGGCCACCTGAAGATAAGGTGCTGAGTCTTTGAGTCCACTTATTGTCCGTTTCGTTATAGATTTCGGAACCAAGCAGTCTCTGATTTCTATAACGTTCAACAAGGGAGTCGAAAGAGCCCAGGAGTGTCCATATTCGCCGCCGGTTAATTAGGGGTGCGTTCTTAGCCTGCAAACAGAATCTTGTGCCAAGGAAGAGTCGATACCAATCACGTCTAACTGAAAGATCTGGACACAGAAACCCTTGTTCTCCGCTGACTGTGAACCGACTCCTCCAGAATGAATGTGGGAGAGTTTCACGTCTAGCGACCAGAGCGAAGTGCCGATTAACTAGTCTTAAATGCGCAACTTGTGTCAGACGTAGATATGATAGTACCTTGTACAATAGCTCGAGAGGGAGTCTTCCCAGGAGATGACCGAGGCCGTTTGAGGTAGGTTCAAGCACGGCATTCTTCGCTGAGCAATTTGTAGAAAGTACTTTCGAAGCATGGCTTTCCAAATCATCCAGTGAAGGTATTGTATAAGGATCTGCGAATAAAGGCGAAGACATGTCAATAGGCAATGGACGCCCGGTAGGTTTATGGGTGGCGGCCGCCCCTTTGTAGTCATGACCAAAATCAAAGCACGAAAAAGAGGGACAAGAAGTCGTGTAAAGTAGATCGAAGATACAGTTCAATGCATCGTCAAGGTTATCTGTGCGTGAAAGCCTCGCAAAAAATAGCTGCCAACACAAGTTATGGAAACCATAGCCCCAATTTGTTTCTCGTGTTTTGCTTTGGAACAGCTTTATATTGTTAAGCGTAGTCGCATCTCTATAGGACAGATCGCTTTTCAGAGGCGCCGCGAGGATGCTTCTTGTATGTATGATTCCAAGCCCAGATAGAGAAGGTGGCGTATCCTTGTTTCCAGTGGTGAAGATTGCTCGTATCTCTCCTAACCATGGTCGCTTGCGAGGCGGAGAAACCAATTCGTCTGCGCGGTCTGCTAGGAGAATGACACCGCAGAACGGGCAATATACGTTTGGGCATTCTTCCATTGAATCTGGCTAGCGCTAAGTGAAAGAGGAAGACTGAAAAAAGAACCTTTGTCAAGTTCATCGGTGAACTCCTGCTTATCTTGTGAGATGCACATTGGATGTTTCAAAAGGTTACGCGAGGTCCCTAATTAACTACACGTTTTTGACCTTGAATACCTAACTACCTAGGTAGATACCTTAGTCATCGAACTATCGACTGCAACTCATCGTAGTCAAGTTAATTTATCAACTACTACTCCCTGTCAATTCCCAAGCTTCGAGGTCAAAGCTATAGAATTGTCCACGTATTTCTCTCATTGCCTTACTCAGTTCAGTTCCAGCCATTGCCATTTCGTTAAATTGGGTCTGGTCATATTTTGTCGTACTTTGTCCAGGGTCTAAGTAAGCCTTAAGCTTATGGCTGTCTGCTAAGAACCTAAAAGTGTTCATCCCGTGAAACGGACAGGCGTCCCGTGAGGTCGTCTAGAGATATTTTTCTTATGAGGACCTATACTATACTATGTGAACGATATTGATCTTCCCGTTGTAATGATGGCCCGTGTCTCCCCAAACCATGGTCGCTTACGAGCCGGAGACACTACCTGATAGGAGGATGATGCTGCAGAACGAGCAGTATATATTAGAATATATAGTTTCGCTAGCGCTCAACGAATATGACTTCTTTCAATCAGGTTAAAGGCAAATTGCGGCCTCTGTGCGAGTTCTTATTGACCTTCGAGTCGATTTGGCAAGGAAGAAAGACCGGGACGGGGAAAGGCACCGGCAGCACGACTAACCATCTTTACTTGAGTGCATGTACCTCAGTGTTCTGATGATCTTGTCGTCATCCGACCAGGTCGTTCGTCAGGAGGCCTCTACAGTCTTCATTCGCTGGCTAGACTAGAGGCTAGAGCACTAGTTAATTACGATGATATGCGTTTCTTAGGCGACCGACTATCTAGTGGCCGTTGGTGACAGGATGGTTACCCAGACAGCTCGAAGCTCAACCGCAATGGACGTAGACAGGTCTGTGCTATCAGTGAGAGAGGCACCTGCTCGTCAAATTTTAAGTGTAGTTCCTGGAAGTTTAGGAAGGCCACAAAACGAGTCACTGAGGCCTTTCAAAATACTCTAGAGAATCAGCAGCGCCGAGCCTGGGGCGGCACGAAGGCAGCGGACGTGAGAAATACGAATCTTGTAGCGGAAAGCATACTTCCACAATAGCCCCCAGTTGATACGATACACACCTCGGTGGCTGTCCATGCCTGTGCCGGCCATCCTACCATATGGTACTCAGGGCATTCGCCTAGAGAACTAATCACCATGTCACTTGAACCGTTTTGCCACCATCACCAATCCACGTGGGGGCCCGCCGCATGGCCAGAGCAGAACGGTGAGTGGTATCATGCTTGCTTCAAGACGCTCGCAACGGGCACTCGAGCACTCTCTGAATGAGGCCTGACCAAGAGTTCATGGCGCTGTTGGGTTGACGGGCGGTCTTCGGGTCAGCCCACCTGCACATTAGAGAAGTCGGACTGCGGATGCGGAGGAGGCTGGACGTACCGTTAAGTATCTCTAACCGAAGCCACACGAGTGGGAAAAGCCAAGAGATCCAATAATGATAAATCGTACATTAATAAACTTGATACAAAGGCCCCAGTGGCCCCCATCGGCCGTGACGCCTCTAGAACATGGAAAATCCCGTGGGAAACAAGGAGAATTTGACATTAGACGAGCGGACCGTCGCTCGGGATGGGCTTGACGGGGCCTTCGGCGGGTTAACCATGGCTCGAGCTGGGCGTGGTCGATGATTGCCCCGGAAGTGAAGGCGTTAGTGTTGTGCAGTCTGCGAGAGTGACCTAACTCGAGGGTCCAGATGAACTAATTAATTAACGGACCTGAAGGCTGGGGCTCTCGATAGAACAGCTTAAAACCCGCCATCAGCCCTGGTGGGTCGTCATATCCAACCGCCCTCGTCCGCTGGCCTTGATTTTTTATGTTCACTCCCTCTGCACCTCTATCTCTCTCTCTCTCTCTCTCTTCTGTGATTATCCTCTCCATTGTTGCCACTTGTTGGTGACTGTCGGTCGGTCTGAGCATCGCAGTGCGCCTCCTGTCGCGTGAGAAAGATCCCTCATGGCTGCGTGAGACTCTAGCCCCCTCCGCAATTCGTGCCTAGCAGCTCAGAAGCGCCCACACGACGTCGAAACGCAGATCGCATTGTGCTGCCAACGAGGGACCACTTAGTAAGTTGGCGGAGTGCAGCCTGTTTCAAAGACACAGCAGGGTCCATGTCCGCCTCAACCGCTTCCTCGTCCAATATCCCTCCAGGTTCTCCGTCCTCAACAACAAGCACCCGCAGCGGACGCCTGAGGCGGCTCAGTCAACTGCGATCCTACACCCAAAACCATTTGGCGGCACACTCGTCCAGCGGCCATCGTTCCTATCGAAACACACTCACGAGGGTCGTCGGGCTTGCGTCGCCGTCGCACTCCAGCGGCGGGCCTGAATCCCCGCCGCTCACGGGCAACAGCAACCAGGGTCCATGTCCAGCTCCAGCTCCTAATCGGACCACACCCTCTCCCGACCTGTCGGTCCCCTCAGCAGCCAGTTTCAGCGGAGGGTCAAGCTCCGAACTCCCAGCTCAAGTATCCTCCGAATCTTTACAATCGAGTCCGTCCGACGATCCAGAGTCGCAACCGTTGCGGGGTATGACTCGACCTAGGACTGCATCCTTCAACCGGCCAGAGTCCGCTGGTGCGGGGACGGGAGGTTCATTAGATGCAGCAACTCCTCTGAGAGCGGATGTGCGGTCTTCTGAATCGACGCCCCTGAACCAGGTGGGAGTGACAGACACACCAGCCTCTCCCGCCGCGGAAGGCCGTTCAGGAGGGTCGGGGTCGAAATCGAAACAGAAGGCCACCATCAGGTTCTATGCATACCAAGATCCTCATCAAAACTCCCGACCATCGTTACCCTTCGCTCCTGTGACACGCGCTCTACCGTCCGAAGATTCGATCATCCGCGTGGGCCGCTACTCTGAACGTGAAGGGATTCCAGTGGCAAATCCGTCTGAACCCTCTGATGCACCAGTGGGCTTCAAGTCGAAGGTAGTGAGTCGGAAACATTGCGAGTTCTCCTTTGTGAATGGTCAGTGGCATATCAAGGATGTGGGAAGCTCGTCGGGGACGTTCCTCAACCATATGCGGCTGAGTCAACCCAACATGGTGTCCAGACTGTATGCCGTCCGAGATGGGGACATAGTCCAGCTGGGAATCGATTTTCGAGGCGGAGAAGAGATGATCTTCCGCTGTGTTCGAATACGGATCGAATGCAACCGCAGCTGGCAGCAGAGGCCTAATGAATTCAAGTATGTGCCCCTTTCAGCGTATGTTATCGGGCAGAGCTGACTTAGTGTGTAGTAAAAACACGGAGAGTCTTATCAATAATCTTGGAAAGGGCACTACTGCTAATTATGCTGGATGTCGAGAATGCTCGATTTGTCTGGGCTCTGTCTTGGTAAGCTATGGTAGTCTACAGACAAAGAGATGTCACGATGCTAATCGGCTGCAGCGGCCCTACCAGTGCCTCTTCATGGCAGCATGCGCTCATGTGTGGCATTATAAATGTATACGGCGCCTGATACATACGCCAGAGTATCCTATGTTCCAGTGCCCTAACTGTCGCGCCTACACCGACTTGAGCGCCGAAGTGGATGACTCGAACGACTACGACGAGGAGGAGGAGGAGGCCAAACAAAACGTCCCCGTGAACAATGAAGAATCAACTCCGGAACCCGACTCGCGAAACGACAATAATCATCCTGGTGATCGATCAGAGCCTACCGAGAACAGTGTTCAGCAACAGGGATCCTCGACAGACGGAGAACTTGCCGCCATGGCCCAGAATGTGCACCTAGAAGGACAAAGTACCCCAAATATGGAAGCAGCGAATGGTCACAGCTCCACTACTACACCACAAGATTCACCGGGTAACAACGTCGAACGCAGCGCCAGCATCGATATACCTGGCTTGCAAAGCCTCTACCAGTCTCCCGGCGGCGCTCGCTATCGGCGAGGTCAGTCAGGTGCGGACAGCCCTGTTGCTGCGGACACCTTCGAGGATAACCCGTTGACGCCGCGAAACGATTCCGGTCCTTTGGCATTCGATGGGCGCGCAGGCAGGTCGTGAGGACCGTCTCCCTCCGTTGCGCGTAGTTTTCTCACTCTCCCTTTGTACGTGGGCATTACGGAACATATTTCTATCTGCCGGCGTTCGACCTTGAGCCGCTTACCTGTTTCGCATTAGTCTGACCGGTCTTCATCGATGTTAGTTGATTCTAGCTGTCATGGAGGGCGGTCCATAGAAGGCGTTGTGTATATCTGTCTGCGTTTGAGCGGCTCCCTTGGCATCGGTGCGCCAAGTTCCGGTTTCTTCCTCTACGACTCGATTCGCCGTATCACGCTTTGCTACCTCGCATACCCGATTTGTTTTTTTGTTCATCCACCTCCGTTGCATCTATCTCATATGGGTCCACATCTTCTTTTTGTGTCAAACACGAATATGCCTTTTGACGGGGGAAAGAAGTGCGCCCGGGATCAATCAGTGGCGCTGACAACGGATAATGCATGATACCTAGGAGTATTTTATCTTTTCAAGGTAGGCTGGCATTTTGGTGTTCCTTCTTATCAGATAACACGGGAGTATATTTACTACTATCGCCATCTGGCACACTGCATCATGGCCTTCACCGCATTCTATGCTCATGATGGACTATACACACCGTCACGGATAGCAATGCAGATGCCGTACGTATATAATAAACGCAGATCATCTTTAATGAGCTCATTATATTACGAAGATAATTATTGTAGAATTTATAGACATAGGAAGCAGCAGCAACTGATGTCATCGCACTGTCGGTGCTGGCATATCACTCGCCATATCATCTTCATCTTTTTTGTCTAGTCTTTTGCCTAAATCTTCTTAGGCGCTTGCAGTGACGGTCTCATCTGCTGTCTGGTAGATTAGTTAGCGGTCTTGACACCACGAACACCAACCGAAGCAACCCTCGGCGCTCTTGGCGTCAGACGGCTATTCATTAGCTCCGGATACTTATGCTCCCGTGTTAAGAATGCGGTGTCACCACCGGCGATCGATCTCAGTGACGGCGCTTTTGTTGTGCCGTGAATGGTCGACGAGCTACGAGTAGACTTGAGACAACAGAAGATATTCCTCTATCTACTCCGTACGCGTCGTGGGGTCCAGATGACCAGTCTTCCCGTGCCCCCGCCGCGCTGTAGTCCGCTGTCAACAATGTTTCTTCGACTTTTCTCACCAACATTATCAGGTCGTATCTACTCTTGATTCTAAACCTATTCTACATAGCTCTTGGTATTCTTTTCTCCGACTGGAAAACGTATACAGTGCTGTTACTCGCGCCCCAGAAGACGTGAGATTCCTTTTAGGTTCAACTCAAGCTGCTGGGACCAGGGTTCCCCACAATCCTTGGCCTGATAACACGAGAAAACCGACGATACATCAGACGATAACAATGAGGTTCAGTGCACCTCCGACCCCGACGGGTTTCCAAAGTCGCAGTCGTCGGAACACTGGACTGCAAGGTGTCAAGCATCATCAGCGGACAGGCACTCATCCATTGCTTCTCTCCAGTCGACGGAAACCTAGAAGGTAAATTAACGACGCCTGTTATCTCCACGCCCCGGCGCAGTGGTCCGTTGACATTTTATGATTGTAATAGATGGCCGCTAGTTCTCCGATTCATAAAGGGAGCCGTCCATGCCGCAATCATTGTACCTGTGATGCTGCATGGATTGTTCACGGCCTTGGTTGTATGTCTGGATACTTATGTCTTCGAGACCGTGGGCTTACCTTCGACAATTGTATGCATTTGAGACCCGCTGCCTGGCTCCGCTGTCTATATATCCCACCTCTGACCGGCAACAAAACAGATCCCATCTCTCTCAATAGTCGTCGGTCTTATGCTCGTGTTCCGCAACCAGACATCGTATAATCGATTCTGGGACGGGCGCAATGCCGTGAGCACGACGAATTCGTGCATCCGTAACCTAGTCCGGATGATCCTGACAAACAGCTACAGCACCAATGGTCCATTGACTCAAGAAGAGAAGGAAGATGTTGAACGCACAGTCCGCGTCCTGATCGCCCTCCCATTCGCTCTCAAGAACTATCTGCGTTCGGAGTGGGGTGCCTGGCAACTGGGAGCCACATGGGACGAAGTCCTTGAGAACGGTGCCGGACCCATTTACAATCCCGAATATGCAAGCCTCCTGCCTGTCGGACTACAGGCTCTGGAGGATAAAGGACTGGGTTTGCCATTCGAACTGACATTCTTCGTGGATTCTTTTGTAAAGCGGGGTGTCGACCGGGGTTGGTTTCACGCACCAGGGGCGAGTCAGATGCAGGCTCAGCTGAATACCCTGACGGATGCTTATGGCAAGATGGAAACGATCAAGCTGACCCCTATACCGGTCGCTCATTTGTAAGAATGGCTCTGCTCTATATCAAGCAGCAACGGGAGAAACTAACTTCCTCCAGAATTCACCAAAAGCAAGTCCTAGCCCTCTACGGCTGTGTACTTCCCTTTGCCATGGTCGATGACATGGGATGGTGGACCGTGGCCGTCTGCACTCTGATCATGTTCACCTTCTATGGTATCGAAGGCATTGCCTCTCAGCTCGAAGACCCCTTCGGCTACGACCGCAACGACATAAAGATGGACGCCATCGTCCTCGACACGAAGACCGAACTGGACGTTATCCTCGCAGAATGGCGCAAAATGACTGCCGCAACAGAGACCGTCCCTCAGACGTCTTCCTCAGGCGCCAACTCGAACCCGACCAATGGCGCGCAAAAGAAGTATCGGCATCCAGACATGTTCGTGAGAGCGAGACCACGCACGTCGGTGCCCATGTCAGAAGCTGCCGAGGATTGATCTTGGGCGAGCTTTTGAAGAGCTCCTGAATACACGCTTAGAATCAAGTGTACCGAGCCGTCTTGTTACGCGAAGACGGATGGGGGCCGTACCCGCTATTTTGATATAGGACTTCACAGCTTCAATGACCACGTTGTCCGTCACTGTGAAATGGAAAAGATGTAGGAGAAGAATCCCGCGCCTGCTTTGAGTCTCTCAGAGTTCTCTAGTCATAACAGGTAGCTGATGTGCGCTGCGGTGTTCAGATGTAGCCTGAAGCTCAGTCCAGACACTCCACCTCACCTGACTACAATAACATCGAACTGCCTACTCCAAAGCACACCGCTTTGAGAACCGCTCTGAGCCCATATTAACAGCTCTATCAACTGCTATGGATTGAGGGTTCGACTCCAGGCATAATCGCAATACAGCATAATCACCACAGCCCCATACGCGCTCGTATCCGCATGCAAAGAAGCTCAAAAAATAGATCTCGATATGCATAACTCATGATCTTTTTTTGAAACAAAAACACCCAGCAAAAAAATCCAGGCACTATGACGCTGTTATCTCCCGCCCTCCCGGAGTTTGTCCTGACCATAGTACCTGGCGAGCCTTTCTTTGGAGGGGAATTTGGGGACCGGGGGGGCCCGCAGTCCTTAACCACTAGTCCACTGACTCGTTAGAATAGAATATTCTTACTTTGATATATATACTCTCTGGAGGAAGTCAGGTGATGGCTTGGGAGCTGCGTGGCCCCTCGAGGCACTTCAATCAATACTGTTCCATACTATCCAGGACCTATACCCTTGTTGCATTGACATCCCAGCATCCCTTTTCTCGCAGATCTCACCTAGAGAGCATTTGCATTTGCATCCACATCGACGCCCTTATCTCCATCACGCGTGAAGTACTCCATGCCCTAAACACCTTCCTGCCCCCTTTCTGCTGAGAACGTAACCTGTTACTCTATTAGTCTATCAAACAACCTATCTTACACCTGCTGCCTCACCGCCAATAAAGCAGTTCTGTGAATACGATCCACATGTACCCCTTCTGTCTATGTACATACTTTACACCTTCCATGACGTGAATGACAAGAAATTATCATCAATCAACGATTGTACTTATGACTGCTTTGAGACTATACGAGAATATCCAGCACGGACAGGACTATATGGGCAGGAACTATGTATATAGACATATAGATAGGATCTTGTATTCTGCAAGTGCTATTTTAGGATTTGGCTGCAAGTTACATACTATGCTGAAATATCTAGACTGATTTCATATTGGGTCAATCGAAGGGAAAGCAGACGAGACAATCGTGACCACTTCGATCATCGAAAACCAAGGCCTTCAATATCAAGTAGATAGAACCCCACACGTCTCAACCTTCGTGCACGTTCCTCGAGAGATCCTTCCGAACTCCTCGCTCATTTCATGGTTGACGATATCGACAAACGATGAGTACATTATGACTGATACTCGTGGAAAGTATGTGAGAGGCTGGCTCTCTCGAGCTGTACTCCATTAAGACCGCTGTGTCTTATCCATGTGTGCGTCGCTGTTGTCATCAAGGTGAGCATTTGAACGCATACCAACACGGACGCGAAACTTACATGCCCATAGTTGATCCTCCTTATTGGAGTTGCTGGTCCCCTGACGTCTGTCCTTCGACGCTCTTTATCATCATCCGAGTCCTGGGCAATTATGATTGGATGACGATGAGAACCAACATCTGAAGCGGTAGATTGTCTAACTTCCTGATTTTGGAACCGACGACGAGCAGGTCTGTGAGTTGGAGACGGCTCGATGTCGCTCTCAGCGATATCCGACATATGAACCGTCGACGAGTCCTCTTCGTTGGGAGCAATGGGAATGCTAATACTGTATAGATACCTCTCTCTTATCTCTGCTCTGGATGCTCTGATGAACTGCGCAAACTCTTCAAGCTTGTGCACGTCGTACTTGACTTCACCCATCGCGTCAAGAGCCCACTGTTGACTCCAACCAAAGTCTCTGCCGTGGATAGTCTTCGTGCCATTCTCACACCAGAAGTCATACGCAGCTCTGACGTTCCAGTAGTCTCGATGGTCTTTGAGCTGGACTTCCCATATATGCTTCAGCTGGTAGAACTGCCTTGCCAACCACCAGTATCGAGCCTTTAGGTTGTCAGATAAGTATATCGGGCAGCTTATGGGAATATCGATCTCAGGTATCTAACAATATAGCCGTTAGCATATGGCAATAGCTTAAGAAGCACGAGGCTTTGACGCGTGAAAGGACCAGTGAACTTACGTAGAAGACGGGGTTTCCGTCGCTGTCGTATCTCGCTTTGTTCATCGTGAACAAGGGTGTCTATAAATAAGCAGACTGTTGCGAGACTGAGTTTTCCTGCGATTCTGTGTTTCCAGATCCGCACTGTGGTGCGATTCCTTCGATAAGTTATCACCGACGACGGGAAGTGGTGGGTGCGTAGGTGCCGTATCTGAGTGTTGTCGGAAAGAGCCAGCAGAATCTGTATCGTTGAGAGAGCTTTCTAGACGTAGAATAGGGGAACTGAGTTACTACCCGAAGGGAATGCCCGTCTTGAATCGACACTGTACTGCTGGTGCTCTTGGGCAGGTCACCTGGGCACTAGGCCATTAGAACGCAAGAAAGACCAAGTGAGGAACCAGCTCTATAAGGAAGCAGCATCTAGTCTATGTCCTTCCAACAGTACAACATACGGGCGCAAGTGCAAGATTGACGAAAACTTTCAACATTTCGTAGTAACATCTAGGTATGTTGAAGTCGTAATGAAAACGCCTCATGATAATATACGCCCTTAAAAACTGTCCAGGGCTAGTAAAATTGCAATGTGGGTATATACATAACTGCTTTTCAAAGAGGGGCTTCAATATCCCCTAACACGTTCTCAATTATAATATCAGGAGTGACTCCCTTTAGGAGCTTCGACACAGCAGCCTCGTCGCTCCCGTATAGTAAACTCCGGTCCTGCTCTGGAGAAACGACAGTTATACGGTGACGGTAAACTTTCTTGGCCGCCAATGCGACGATTGATGGAGTAACATAGTCAAGACCATGCAATGACGCCAGACATCTAGTATCTGTAAGTAGGCATTCCATTTTAATGTCATGAACATACTGACTTTGACAGACGTAATAAGTGGTTTGTTGCCTTGGCAGATATCCCGCCCAGAACAGCTCGATTCAGACGGAGAAATACAACAATGTCTTGAAGATAGCGTGCTACCTCTGCAGAAACAGTTACACTGTTGCACATGTGTCGGATCTCCGCAATAGCCTGGTATATGCGTAAGCCGATATTCTCCGAAAGCGGTCGTAATCAGATACCTCGCGTGTGATGGCATGGCCATTTATAGCCCTTTTGGAGGGTATGAAATTTGGCTTTCGCACTACAGAAGATATCGACGCTTGATTATCAGATATCGAGTCATCCCCTTCAAGATTAGGATAGCCATCCTGGGGATCGTGAAAATGAGAGATAAAAATGTGGTCATTCTATCAATCATCAGCAATACTCCAATATTCCCCAGTGATACGAGACCCTCACTAGATGCTTGTTCAGGGGTTTTGGTCGAGATTTCTCGTTGCTAGAAGATACCACAGGGATAAAGATAAAGGCTGCTGGAGTGCTGTGTACAGCGTTCCTGGTGAATATCCGCCCTGAACGTAGCAACTATGTCACGTAAGATAATCATTCCTCATGATTTGGGGTTATCATTACCTCAAGAGCCTGAATTTGCACTTGCACACTGGCATCATTGAAGTTTTTGGCAATCACAACATTGGCCGTCTTTCTTTCATCGAGATAATTATCTCCAATAGTGGTTCTCGCTGATCGGGTGTCGTGAACGCTCCGGAATGAAGGGTAGTAGTCACTGGACTAATATCTAATTAGGAACACAAAATGTCCACTTCTCTTCTCGTCGAAGAAGACCATGGGGTTTGACATTGACGCATAAAGGAAGTAAAGAGTGCCCCATGCACAGCCTATGTCTCTAGAAGAACGATGCTGTACCTTTTGAAAGCGCTCTTCGAATAATGCAACTCCCAAGGAACATTCTGAGGGAAGAAGAGACACCCATGCCGCAAAAAAGAAACATACATGGAGCCTACCTTTGCATACGTTGATGGGTGATGTTCAGACCTGTCGGTAGCAGAGGCCAAGATTCCGCCGCTGAAGTCATCAAGAGACATGTCCGAAGAACAGTCCAATAGGGCATAAGAGAGGCCAAAAGTGCTTGATGATATCTACACGATAGTATAAGCGTTATACTAATCTTCCGTGAGTCCAAAGGAGCAGAATCGCAATACCAACGCCAGTTCCTTGGCGAGATCATCAACACCATCATGCTGTGTCTCGATAAGGCAGTGCTCCTGAGAAGCAAGACAGACAAAAACAGCAAGTTCAAGATCCGACAATTCTGGGACAATATTAGCTATCCCTGGATGTGACATTTCTCCCTGCAGTACATGATACTTGGGAGAAAGAAAAGAGTCATGTAAGTCGTTGCAATGTAAATTGTCCAGTGGCGAGGGAGCATTATTGAAGGCATAGCTCGACGCTAAGACATACAGGTCCGGTAAAAGGCGGTCCGTAGAAATTGCGCTATGGTCGGATATAGTTTAGCGCGAGCGGTTCGTGGACGTTACCCCATGGGAGACTGCGTAGCTGGGCTCGCTATCACGATCTTGTTGATTCACAAACAAGAACATAACACGATGAAGGAATGACTGGACTGTTTACGCATATAGCCCAAATTTTGATGTGAAAAGGCTAAGGCTTAGTTGGATTGATGGCTCCATCCAACCCATTGGCCGACTGGGAGAGAGTCGGGGATAGCTTCTACAGAAAGGTGCGGGTCTACGATGCTGTCTTCGATGAGGACCTCGAACTGGAAAACTACATCGTTGCCGGGGCGCCCCATGGAGGAGCCATTGGTATGGTCTTCAAGGAGCTACATCGTGGTGAAACCAGCTGATTAGATGTGTAGCCCTATATCGCGACCAGAGCAAGCTCTACAGATACCGCGACGCTCAGACCGCCAAGTCAAGTATTGACATTTATTCCTGCTCAGGGAAGATTATCAGCAAGATAAATGTGTGTAAACATTTTCATATGCTTATGTCCAGGAAATTAACTTGTCTAGTGGGAGTATGGCTCTATCCGAGGCCTTGGCTGGTCTGATGATGAGGACCTCCTTGTTGTGACCGAGGACGGCACGGTACGGCGATATTTCGGACTCCATGGTGATTTCTATCCATTCTCTCTAGGAAATGTAGGTGTTCTAAGAGCCATCTGTCTACCACGTCACTAACCTTCTGAGACAGGGTGCAGAAGAATATGGGGTCAGAGAATGTCGGTTTTGGTCCTCTGGTTTCGTAGCCTTGCTCTCTAACAATCAACTGGTTGCCGTGTCTCAATACAACGAGCCCAGACCAAAACTCTTGGCTACCTGTCCAGAAGGAGAGGTGTTATCATGGTCGCTAATACCACCTGCGTACACACTTTCCCGCTCTGTGGAAGTCTTGTTAGCCGTGGATAAAACCGTATATATGGTTGACGCGACAGAAGCAGAGGATAGAATGCTTCAAAACGGCCCTTTCAAACATGTTAGCGTGTCACCGACTGGTCGTTTCGTTGCTCTTTTCACTGGGGAAGGAAAACTGTGGGTTGTGAGCAGTGATTTCCAGGAGAAGTTCAGCGAATATGATTCCAAGGCCAAAACGCCACCTAAGACTGTGGAGTGGTGCGGTAATGATGCTGTTATCCTTGCGTGGGAGGATGAGGTACATGTTGTTGGGCCTAATGGAGCGGCTTGTCGGTATGTACTCCCTATAGCCAAGTCAACGGAGAGTATTGCTAAGAATACCAGGTACTATTACGATGGTCGCGTACATGTAATACCCGAGTTTGATGGCGTGAGACTGATAACTAATGACGCCTGTGAATTTCTACACAAGGTTCCAGGTATGACAGCCCCCTTTGCCTTGTCGAATTGGTGACTGATTCGTCCAGATGTAATGGAGGAGGTGTTCAGATTAGGATCTACATCGCCGGCCTCTGTCCTTCTGGATTCTGTTGACCTGCTGGACAAAAAGTCGCCTAAAGCAGATGAGAACATCCAAAGAATTCGGCCGAATCTTCCGGAAGCTGTCGATGTCTGTGTGAGGGCAGCGGGATACGAATTCGACCCTAATTGGCAGAAGCGCCTGTTGAAAGCTGCCTCGTTTGGTAAATCAGTACTTGAGCTATACAACAGCGATGACTTCGTTGAGATGACCGAGAAACTACGAGTACTGAAGGCTGTCCGGGACTATCAGATTGGCATGCCAATATCTTACGAACAATACATCCGATTAACCCCCGAGAAACTTGTTCAACGCCTTGTAAATCGACACGAATATATGCTCGCAATACGGATATCAGAGTACCTACTCATTCCGGCAGACAAGATCTATGTTCACTGGGCAAGTCAGAAAGTGAAGGTCTCTACCGCAGATGATGATGCTGTATGCAAGCTTGTCGTACAGCGCCTTGAAGGAAAGTCTGGTATATCTTTTGAGCTAATAGCTCAGTCAGCTTATGACGAGGGTCGATCTCATCTCGCTACCCAGCTTCTCAACCATGAACCCAGAGCTGGAAAGCAAGTTCCTTTACTTCTTACTATGGAGGAAGACGAGATTGCCCTCGACAAAGCTCTTGAGAGTGGAGACACGGATCTTGTGTATTTCGTCCTTTTGCATCTAAAGAAAAAGCTCCCTCTCGCAAGTTTCTTCAGGACAATCAACAATAGACCTACCGCATCCGCCCTTGTGGAAACTTCCGCACGGGAAGAAGACACAGAATTGCTAAAGGATCTATTCTATCAAGACGATCGGCCAATAGATGGTTCAAATATCTTGCTTTCTGAAGCTCTACAACAGACAACTGTTCAGGCCAAGACTGACAAGCTTCGTTCGGCCTCCCGTCTATTGTCGGATTCAAAAGACGCTGCAGTGGTCCTTCAGCAAAAAGCACTGTCCGAGGAGATACAGCTACTCAAGGTCCAGGAGAGTCTGGACAAGGACGTCGCTGATGGCACCGAGTTTGTCGGTCTGAGCGTCAACCAGACCGTATACAGATTGATCCGGTCTGGATACGGGAAGCGCGCCCAGAAAATTCAAAGCGAGTTTAAGATGCCGGAAAAGACATATTGGTGGATACGATTGCGAGCATTGGTCGCAAAGCGTGACTGGGGGGAGATTGAGGAAATTGCGAAGATCAAGAAGTCTCCCATAGGATGGGAGGTAAGTAGCATCAATTCTCGTTTATGGTCCACTCTAGACTTTAATAAGGAGTTGCTGACACGCGTGGCTAGCCTTTCTATAATGAGATACTAGGCGCTGGAAACACCAAGCTCGCTTCGAGTTTCGTTCCCAAGTGCACCAACTTGCCTGTTGCTGACAGGATTGAGATGTGGGTGAAATGCGGGATGGTAGTCAAGGCCGCGGAAGAGGCGCACAAAGCGAAAGATGTCAATACTCTTGAACTCCTCAGAGCGAAGGCATCCGGGCCGGCCGTTGGGGAAATTGATCGGATGATCAATCAACTTAGACCAAAAAAGTAGATACCATGAATGTACGCTCACATTGGCTCACCATGCGTCTTGTCTAAACTCAAGTGATCTCTTCATCCTCATCGAGTCCCGCTGGCTGTTCGGCAACAGGATCAGCTATTGCTGCGGAAAATACGGTTTGTCGCGTAGACTGCTTCTCGGTGTCAAGTCTTATACTGTTATCGTCGTCCATAGCTTCGTCTAGTTCTTCCTGGTCGTCATTTTCCACCTTGAGGGCTGCCGTAAATCTATTTGACTTCCGGTTCAACTCATCCCAATCCGCCTAGAATTCGAAACATTAGCAACCCATCCCTTTATGAGACCGCAGCAAAAGGTGGTCATAATTGGACAGGAATAATTTACCCTTCGCCGGTTGATCACTTTGCTTTTCTCAATGCTCTTATTGACTTTCTTCTCCAGCTGATCCATAATAATCTCCGCCCTCTCAAGGCCCTTTTCCTGTCGTAGCCTTTGGGCTCGACTTTTAGGTTTCGACTTCGACTTTTTCTTTGTGATACCAGAGCTCACATGCGCTGCAGGAATCTGTGGCGTGTCCGGTCGCGGAAGAGAGGTCAATGACTTTTCGACATCGACAGAAGGCGACGCAGCTCGCCTTGCGGCGCGTGAGTGTGCCGAAGCTACACAGGTGTCAGAAAACAGCATTATTTTTTTCCCCAGTTGGACAGACTCACGCTTTGAATTGCCCTTCAATTTAGGCGTTTTGGCCATGATGGTGGATAACTAGATTCGTTCCCACAACTCGAATCGCTTGAGCGCAGAGTTATCGCATATCGATAAAAGTTTTCCGGCGGCGGACAGCGACCACAACCGCAGCGCCCCAGCTTCCTATCCGAGAGCCTGGGGCAAATGATACTTGAGACGACCCGTCGTGTTTCAATCCGGGGAAGCCATCTTCGAAAGAAATCCAGGTCTCTGGCTGGTCGATGGCTGCCGATATTTCGAAGCTCTCATGACCTTCAAAGCTTCTTTCTCTTCTTCACCTTCTTGCAGCAGCCTCCTGCATATTCTCACTAGCCATGAACGCTCGTCTGGAGCGGTACAATACTCATGTCTTGAAACAGTTGAGCAGTGACGGCAGCAACCGTTATGACGTCTTACTCGATAGGATACAGAACAGTCCTGCCATAGCATACACTGTTGCAACTCTGGTATTTCTGTACTTTATCCTGAACTATCTTAACGTCATACCTTTCTCGATCACCCACGGGCTCTGGAGCACTCTCGTCTATCTTATCCCGTCAAGGGTTATCTTCGCCTTGGACAAATCCGCCGGATCGGGCAGTACAACCACAGGGTCGGATGCGATGAGTCTGTCGAGTTTTCAAGCGAAGAGCGAAGCGATGCAGCGGGTCCTGGGTCTGGATAGCAACACGTTATACTCGTTCTTCCCCCGCGCTCGATCCTTGTCTATTGGGAATGTCCTGCTTGGTGGGAAAGACCACATACCACCCGGGCTGGGAAACTGGGATAATTCATGTTATCAAAACAGCATGATACAGGGAATGGCGTCGCTAAAGTCGCTTAAGGATTTTCTCGACCGGAACATGGAGGAGTTTGCGGAGCGAACGTTTCTCTCGACACATAAAGCCTTGAAAGATATCATAGGCCGCCTGAACGACCCTTCGAACTATGGGCAGAAGCTATGGATACCGCCTGATTTGAAATCAATGAGTAGTTGGCAGCAGCAGGATGCGCAGGAATATTTCTCGAAGATCGTGGACCAGATAGACAGGGAAATTCTGCAAGCCTCAAAGGGGAGGACAAGGAACTTTGGGTTAAAGGTTGCTGGGCCACAAGAGCATGTTGTTGGAATTTCTACACCGTCGCAAGACACTCAAGGTCAGGGCCAGGCCAATCAAGCAACCGAACAGAATCCTTCCATGCGGAATCCTATGGAGGGTCTGCTTGCGCAACGAGTGGGCTGCATGAAGTGTGGCTGGACTGAGGGCCTCTCCCTGATCCCCTTTAACTGTCTTACCGTTCCACTTGGAAGAAACTGGGAGTATGATATTCGGGATTGTCTGGATGAATACATGGCCCTTGAACCAATTGAAGGTGTCGAATGTGCCAAATGCACTTTACTGCGGACGCGGGAGCAACTTCGCCATTTGCTCGGCCAGATAGCCGAGGAGACGGAACTTGCGAATGGCTCCAGCTCACCTAAACTCTCAGATGCACTTAGGAGCTCTGCTGAGGCTAGATTGAAGGCGGTCGAAGAGGCTCTCGAATATGAAGATTTCTCTGAGAAGACTCTCCAAAAGAAATGCCATATCCCTTCCAAAAGCCGAGTCTCCACAACGAAGTCAAGGCAGGCGGTTATTGCAAGGTCACCGAAGTGTCTTGTGATTCATGTTAACCGGAGCTTATTCGACGAGAACACGGGAGCTCTGAGGAAGAACTATGCGGAGGTTCGATTTCCCAAAACCCTCGACCTGGATGAGTGGTGTTTAGGCACGAGGACTGCGATTAAAGGAGAGGATGCTCCAGAACAATGGGTCACCAATCCCCGGGAGTCCATGCTTCCTCGGCCTGGATCTAGTGTGGAGGTGCTAGATAGACAGTATGAATTACGTGCTGTCGTCACTCATTACGGCCGACACGAAAACGGCCATTACATCTGTTACAGGAAGTATCCAACTGACGCGTTCCCTGCCACTGTCCCCGAAAGTGTTCTCCAAGCAGATGGGGAGAAGGAACGGCCCGAACGTTGGTTCCGACTGAGCGATGATGACGTGCAAATGGTCAGTGAACGCAACGTGTTCTCACAGGGTGGAGTTTTTATGCTTTTCTACGAAGCCGTCGAATCTCCGACGCGGAATGCGGACGCTTCTCCTTCTTCGACGGTTGAACTGGACGAAAAGGAGCATGGATTGGCTACTCCGCGGAATGATGCCTCTGCCAGCGCACTCTCCATTCCGGCGATGTCTGACCAGGACGAATCTTCATCGAATGCATCAGGGTCTGTTGACATGGGCATGTCGGTTGAGTCTCGAACGTCGACTAATTCTTCATCCCCATCACCTTCCGAGACATACGAACCTCATGTTCCCCCCTCTTCCTCTCTGTCTACAGACAAGATGGCGAATGGCGAGGTAACGGTTATTGCCCCTTCGGCACCGTCAGCTTCAGCCTCTTGATATCTTCCGTGCGGCTATGCTGCTATGACTTTTGCCTCATATATCACATCCCAAGCATGATACCCGGGAGGATCAGCTCCCCCTGTATTCTTTTCTTATCATACTCTTTGCATTGGGTGATCACCACGCCAGGTCCGTCTCTGGAATCGGAGTATTTGGATACTATTTCTTCCTTTTTGGATGACTGCATTATTATCATCATCACACATGCGGAACGGCAATTACGTGGCCGCTTTACTTTCATTGGGAAAGGCAGTGGCTCGGTTGATTTTTCGGAGTAATTGGGACCATGTATAATTTATCCATAGCACAGATTAACTATCTATGTATACCTACGCCATAAACAAGGGCAAGCTAGGATCCCGAAATTGGCCAGGGATAGGGGTCACCAACAAAGTCCTACGTTGTAGTTATCAGTTATTACATCTTCCTGCTGAGTAATGGTGGGTACAAAGACAAGGTATCTAAAAAAATAAACCTGATAGCAGATTGTTGGCGTTGATTGCTATGCTAGGTTGTCGGGACGTTGCTAGTAGCTTAATCATAACTATACCGTGGTTGCAGAAGGTATAGTCCAAAATGCAGGAACCTTTCCCTGAAGTAAATCATTTCAATGCTCTGCATCAACTCTCCATGGCCGAATTTTTTAGAATACCAATTAAACGAAGAGATCTTCTGAAGAACATCCTATTGTGGAGAATATAAGCTGCGCTTCTCAACTTCGTTCCTTCAATCCCATTCCTCGACCACCTCGAGAGCTAGTACCTCCGGGAATCAGCTGAAAATAGCATGCGTCGCTAGGTCGGTGCTCCTTGATCATTGCTGTATCCGCAACACAATCGCTCATGAAGAAGGCTTGAAAACTCATGAGCGGCCCTTCTCGACTTGGTTTTGGTATAAGTTTGATGAAATGACGTACTGGCGCACACCTAAGAGAAGTAGAAACTTCTGCTATAACCGTGGTTGATTAATAGATATTTTCTCTTTCTAAGCATAATACCGTATACTATGCAGTAGCGGTAATTATATCTAGTCTCTATTCTTAGTTGCGTGCAAACCGATCTCCCTTGTATATAAGTCAATTTTCCAAATAGTCGAAGACACCCGCGTATAGAAGAAAGTAAGATGGAATATGCATAGATCACAGGATTCTAAACTGTCTTTTTCCGAACAACAAAACGAAAATCAACCGTCGCTAGTGTGTGAAGTCTATATCAAAATATGAAAGTGGATATCCGAATGGAACAAAAATGAAAGTTGCTAGACTGTCAAAGGTCATTGCGATGTCGAGGTGCCTTGCGTCTCAGCCAGACTCTTGCCTGCACCACCCTTGAGATAGTCTTCGTGCTCGCCGACCAGCTTACCACCCTTAACCCAGCGTTCGCGATATGCTGTTTGACGCAGCTCCACGAGCTTGTTCAGCGCGGGCCAGTAGATGGAGTGATCATATTCGAATTCGACCTCGCCACCAACGGACTTTAGAAGCTGGGTTGGTGGAACATGACGACGTAGGTCTTCGTTGAACTTGAGTTTTTCTCTCGTGACGGGATCGAGGAAAGGGGAGATGACTTTGAAGAAGCCCCAGATCATGAACGGGACTAGAGACCATGCAGGTTAGCAGAGAAAGGAAGGCTAGGGTAACTGGGAGATGCAACTCACCATTCGTAACCAATGCCCGACCAAGTCTCTCCGGGTAATGGTTCTGGAGAATAGAAATCGTCTGCTTGCTCTGCCCGATCGTCGCATTCTGCCCAGACTTTGTCTCCTTGAAGTCAACCATCAACGCCAGGCTCTCCTGGCCTGGGGGCATGAGGTCGATCACGCGCTCGAGCATGAAGACCAGATGCTGAATTTGGCGATCGCTCTTTTCGGTGTTCTGTCTGGATGGCACGAGGTAGAGACATGGTCGCCCATTGATGTCATATCCAAGAATGACTTGTTTTCCAGTTTCGTTCTCAGGTGAAATATAATCCGCCGTCAGCTTCTCGATTCCGTATTCGCGTCGCCAGGCGAGAGTTGAGCGAAGACGGGCAGTTGCATCATTGACGTTCCACTTGCACGCTCGCAGGTAGCGCAGCAGACATTCTCTGGTGAGGAACATGCGTTCATCCTCAGTAATCTGCTCAGTGGGCGCATTTTTGGCCGTCGTTGTCGGGACCGTTGTCCAGCTCGAGACCGTCTTCAGGACTGTTTCATACTTCGACTGTTGATCCGACGTCAGCTGTGGTGGCGGGGTTGGTCGCGCATCGTCTAGAGGACGGCCAAATGGTTTCTTAATGACCCCGTCGGCCGAGGACAATGGGAATTCTTTGGCGATCTGGTCCTCTACGGACGCTTGCCGGGTTGTCGACTGCTGTCCCTGATCGCCTGCAGCAGGGGTTGGTTGCTCCGCCGGTAGGGCTGTAGACTCTGGGTTGGAGCTAATGGCAGCTGGAGGATTGGCATCGCCGGAAGGTTCTTGAGGAGCGGACATGATGGATAATAATAATAATAATAATAATAATAATAATAATGGTTGAGAATGGATTCTAGAGAAAGCGCTCCGTATAAAAAGGACACGAGCGCCGTCCGATGTTGTTTTGCTGTCGTAATCACCAAAGATCGTCGGTCCCTGAATTCTCTCCCGCTGGTTCGTCACGTTCCGGAGGCCGAGATGACGCTGAGTCCGAGACGCTTTGCTTTTCTTAGAGTAGATACATATTTGGCGTCAGTTAATCAACTTAATCGTCAACTCTAGTGAGTGTTAGTTAATCTAACTAGCCCGTCTTAGTGTCGACTCTGCACTGCCGGCGCGCGTTCTATCAGTCCCGACGCGTGGAGGCGCGTCTGGAGTCAATTAATTCCAACTCCGGTCATTATTTGGTAGTACTACCTAACTAACGATTATCGACTCGACGACACCACTTTGGAAGACTGCGTATTGCGCGCCAGGCGGCCTCATACTTACTTTGAAACCTCAGGTCCATACACTGCAGGAAATTGAGAGGCCTGTCCAGCCAGAAATATGGGAGATGTTGTCGACGAGCTCAACGAGCTCTTCGCGTCCTCGTGCCCCAATGGACTGCCCAAGGATGTGCTCGCAGAACTACAGTCGATCTTGCGCGTGCATGCGATCTCCCCACAGGAACTGTTCTATAAATGGGAATCTTACAGTTTGAAGATGGGACCAGATGAGACGAAATTGAACCTCGATACGGTGCGCATGTTCAAACGGGATGTGCAGGACACATTGGAGAGAGAGACCAAAGGGAAGAATGCGCGGAACACAGAGAAGAGGGGCATAGTCACTGCTACGCCCCGTGGAACAGCCAATGCTGATATCTTTGGGATGTGGGTGGTGCACATTATGAATATAACGATATGAATCTAGCTGACAGCACCAAAGGCTAGATGAATTGACCCCAAACACACCTCATGGTCGCGGATCGGCGAAGCGCAAGTCGGATTTTGGTACTCCCTCATTATCGAAATCTGTCAAATCGGAAGTCAATGGATCGCCTCGCGATATTAAAACCCCTCAGAAAGCGACGAACGGCATTACAAATGGACCACAGTATGTAGGAACGTTACTTACGCAGGAAGACATGGGATGCTGACAGGACCAGAACGGTACCTTTCTCTGAGCGCCAGAATCCCGGAGAAGTCATCGAGACACTCAACGCCCATTTATCCATGCCAGACGCACCCATCGCTCCCTTTTCCGAACCGCGCATCAGGCCGACAGCGAATACGGATATGAAAAAGTTTGGATACAAGCCCATGGCGATGCGTCTATCGGAAGCCTCAGAGATCCTTGATGACCGGATAGATGAGTTCATTTCTATCTTCCAAAAGCAATACGGCGATGAGGATGTAACTTTTGGAGATGCCGCAACTCAGAGTACAAGCGAAATCATTGCCGTGGGTCGAATCGCGTCGGACAGTCTGGAAGGAAAGCTGAACCCGGCCTCTCTCGTTCTCGAAACCTCCCGGCGAACAGGAGCAGGTTTGAGGGTGCCATTGAAGGTCGATTCGTTGCCAGTGCACTTCTTCCCAGGTGAAATCGTTGCTCTCAAGGGCATCAACGCATCTGGGCAGTACTTTTCTGTCAAAGAAGTCCTGCCAATTCCTTTACTTCCGCCAGCGGCCTCTACACCTGCGGCGCTAGATGCAATAAATGAACGACTAGGAGGCAGCGAATCTGCCCAACCGCTGAATGTCCTGATCTCGTCGGGACCGTACACAGCGGATGACAATCTCGAGTTCGAGCCCCTGAAGGAACTATGCCAGAAGGCTGCCGATCAGTGCGCAGACAGCTTGATCTTGATGGGGCCTTTCTTAGATATAGAACACCCGCTGGTCGCGTCGGGAGACTTCGACCTTCCCGAAGTGAAAGGATATGATCCAGACACTGCAACCCTTGCAACCGTCTTCCGGCATTGCGTTACGGCTCCCCTGCAGCGACTTGTTGCAGCCATTCCCAGCGTTACTATCATCATGGTCCCCTCCGTACGGGATGCAGTGAGCAAGCATGTGTCCTGGCCACAGGAACAACTCCCCAAAAAGGAGCTGGGTCTGCCCAAGCAGGTCCGTATGGTGTCGAACCCAGTCACTCTATCTCTCAATGAGACCGTCGTTGGGCTCTGTTCTCATGACGTTTTGTACGAATTGAGAAGGGAGGAGGTACTCAGCGGTAGACCCAAGGAGGGTAATCTGCTGACCAGGTTGCCCAAATACCTGATCGAGCAGCGACACTTTGCTCCCATTTTCCCTCCAACTTCGCGAGAACATCTGCCAAAATCGGGCGTGGAGGGTGGGCTGGCCACGGGGGCCATGTTGGATCTGAGCTACTTCAAACTCGGTGAATGGTGGAATGTTCGACCAGACGTGTTGATCACGCCTAGTCTACTCCCCCCGTTTGTCAAGGTAGGTCGTCTCACTAACAGACACGCTGCCGGTAACTAGTCACTAATATATGTATCTTTCATCCTACAGGTCGTCGATAGCGTCCTCGTCATCAATCCCGGCACCATATCAAAACGGAGAGCCGCCGGGACGTACGCCCAACTCGCCATTCATCCACGCACCATGACGGACGAAGAGCGCGAAGAGAAGCAGCTAGGCCACAAGATCTTCGAACGGGCCCGAGTTGATGTAATCAGAATTTGATTTCTTTTGATAGTTACCTCCCATTATACGCATTATGGGGTAGGAGATGATTGGCGTTAGTTTGGATGTATTCGCAGGGCAGCTGCTCCGTGCATAGTTGATGTTTCCTTCTTGAAGTAACTAATGACACACAAAACCCCATCATGACCATACTGAACACCCAAACTCCATCGCTCAAACCCCAGAGTAAATAATAACGCCATGATACATAATCCACCATCTACCTCAAACAAACCACCCTCCTCCCACCCATCAACGCCCCAGCCTGCTTCATCCTCCCCGGCTGATTCCAGCGCCTCGTCGTCTCCACACCGTTATTCGCACCAGCTCTCCCGCGTCCACTCACCAACTCCTCTAGCCCTAAATCCCTCCACACTGCCTCCCTCCTATTCTCCATAGCGCGCGTAATCCCAAACGCCGCATGCTGATCAGGGACGACATCATCCTCATCTTCCGGATTCAGAGGCTGATACTGCGGAAGCACATAGATGTCTTCGATAGGCAAGAAAGACGGCACGGCCGTGGGACCCGAGGCCGTCGAGCCGTACGTTACGCCTGACGCGGCGTGCGGATGGTTATGTGAAGATTGCAGAGCGATGTTCGTGTAGAGAGAAGTGTGAGGGCGCGTGAAGTCTTCGAAGAAATCAGCCAGACGGGGCTGGTGCATGTGGATGTAGGTTGGGGAGGAATCTTTGGACTGTTTTTTTCACGAGGGGTTAGTTTTGCTTCTGTAGGTAGGGTGTTTTGGGTTGAAATTTGAGAGAGGAGAACTGTACCATTATGAGAGGATATGCGAATTAGGCGCGCTGGACAGTTCGATACAATATGATTCTGAGTAGATAAGAGAATTTGGAAAGCAGGACTACCTCGTCACTCGCTGCTTGCTGAACAATAATGAATGAGACGAGAGATGTGGAAGGTCGATCCCAGTGTTGTTGGAGTCCGATGAAGGTTTATGGAAACAAAGGAGACTTTGTGCTATACCCACTTAGCTACAATCTCCAGAAGACACTCTACTGGAATAGATTCTGCAAAGTGTAGGTTCAAGCCAAGTGAAGGATTCCTCTTGCGCTGTATGATAGTAGCAAGCACATCGTATCGTAAACAGTTGCTGGTTCTGCCGTTCTTCCCCGCCTTCCAGACTTCGGCATGATTGCGATTCTGCCCATATGGGTCTCTACCGCCTTCCTGTGTCAGAATTAAGGTCTGCGTATTGTTTTCTTGATTGAAGCTTTTTACAAAGACGGGCAATAACTATACACTCATGGATACTCATCTAGGCTGACTTTTCCATGGACTTATTATCTGCTATCTTGGAAGGAATAATGACAACAAACTCTAAACGTATTCCAATCGCCTCGAAATATTTCGATTGAATCGACTATCTACCGGTGATGATTAACTATGCGGAGGCCGCAACAGTAGCAAGTGAAGACCCATCCGGTTTTCTCTCCTTTCCGGGATTGTACTTCTTGAGTCCTTCAAATGGCGGCTGGCTACTTCTTCGTACCCTCCACATCAGGGCCGGTTCATTATTACCTAGGTCCTCCAAGATATATCCCCTAATCCCAGCCAGCGAAACAGCCTGGCTGCTAACTTTTCCGGTCCGCTGATAAGGAAATGCACAACCCGAAAATCCCAACGCCCTCTATGATCTGGCAAGGTGTAGTTCTGGCGGAATGGGGGTTCTGTCCTCGAAAGAGTACTCTACCCCCGATGGCGAATTAGTAGTGGTGAGACCGCAGCTTTCAGTGTGCTGTTCGCTGCGGGTTCCGAACTGCGCTGCCCCAGTAATTTGCGCGGTTATTGGGCTTTCCGGAGTATCATTTTTGCTAGCCCCTTCAGGGGCGAAGAGTGCTTTAAAGCGTACAAGCACCCAGTTCACGAGTTGGTGCTCATCCGGTGCACGATTGGCACCGCGCTGGGTGGAAGACTGCCCATTTCTGTGATAACCATGTCCACGTACTCGGCCGGAGTAGCGTCGTATAGAATGTTGAGTAGTTGCAGGTTAGGTGTCTCCTTCCAATCCTTGAGCGGGGAGTGTGAAGTTTTGCTGAGAATTGAATTCGCGGAGTTCTCGATATTGGCGCTGCCACTGTTCGATTTGCTGCCTTTCGCCTGCTTTGGTTCTGAGGGAGCACCCTTGGGGTCTGGAAGGCCAGTGACCTGCGTGGGTGGGTCGACGGCCACCAGTTCATCCGCGTCCGCGATTTCGTTGACAACGATACTGTCCAAGGCCACACGGTCGGTGAACTTGACTGTCTCACAGCACACAATGACAGGGATCTCTGCACCGCCAGAACGCTCCTTGGCGGACATGGCAACGAGCGCTGTTCCCACACGCGAGTACAATCTTCCATTTCCAGTCATCGCGTGGGCACCCAGGAAGACTTTGGTGGCATCTTTGATGGCATGGCTGATACCGTGAGTGAGCGAATATTGCACCTCCAGTCCTGCATTCGCCAAGGCTCTGGCGAGGTTCTTGCCCTCAAACAAGGGGCGTGAGTCAATGATTGAAACACGGAACTTCTTGCCCTGCTCGTGAGCCGTGATAAGGGTCTGCTTTACGATCGAGCTTCCTGCAAATGTGACAATCACATCACCATCTTGAATCTTCTCGGCGGATTTACTGGCGATTACTTGATCTGCCAGAGTGATCTTCTCACGGATGAAGCTATCGATAAAGTCACATAGATTTGTCTTAGCCGTAGCCTCTGGGACCGCCGGGTCGATAGATGAGATTGACAGCTTCAACGCACGAATAGCATTTCCCTGGCTTATAGAGAGTGGACGGCAGGTAGATAGGTAGGTGATCTGATGAGATAGGTATGTCATCAGGTGACGAGCAAGAGATGTGCCCACAGGCGTAGTGTAGGATTCAATCACCTGGGCACAGCATAGTCAGCAACGGCAAGGAAAAAGAAGAAAAGAAGTAACCACAGAGCTATACTCGGATGTCGAAAGGGTGGAATGAATAGAACTCGTAAACATACCCGTTTAAAGGCAAGCAGAGTCGCGACACATCGTGCACTGCTACCACAGATGACATAGTCCCTCATCTGCAAGCCCAGAGCTAGCACAGCGGGGTGAACTTCTTTTCCAGCACCAGCAATTGTGGTCCGCCTTTGCTGTCCATAAAGATGACCAAAGACAGCAACATTCTTATCTTCCTTCTTCGTTTCCGCGGCCGTAGCCTGGGCAGAACCCCGCCGAGGGGGTTGCAGTCTCTGGCCCTTCTGTAACTGTGAAGCTGCAGCGTCTTTCCCACCGGCAGACTGGCCCTTCTTTGGAGTAGCCTGTGCTTGTGATGGTGCGCCCGCACCACCCGCCTGCTCTCTCTCGAGCTTCTCCTTCGCTCGCCGGGCTGCCTTTTCGGCCTTCGCCCTTTTCTTCAGTTCCGCACCCGTGAGCTTTTCTGTACCGCCAACAGCCCCTCCATCCGCAGAGGCTTCTGCTGGCTTGGGCTGTTTTGCAGGCTTAGATCCACCGTTCGTTTCTTTTGGCTTTGCAGAAGGCTGTTGTTGTTGTTGCTTTTCCTGCTTCACTTCCCCTGCCGGTTTTTGCTCGACGGGCGCAGCAGAGGCAGGGGCTGAGGCGACCGGAGGCGCAGAAGTTACCTCCGGGTCTGTAGAATTCGACATGTCTGATAGAATCTGTAGAGAGATTGCTCGGACGTCGAGAGGGGCATTGGATGGTTCGGGGTATCGCGGTGGTTGCGGTTGTGGTTGTGGGGAGAGGACGGTTTGACTCACGCGGATATGATGCCACCAGCGGCAGAAGAACGCTGCGAGCGACGCAGGGCCAAACGGCAGCGGCCAAAGCCCCATAGCTTACTCCTGCAGCGGTTGAGCCCTAACTGGTCTATCGGAGCGGGGAGTGGCTTGACATTTAATGATCGACTCTGCATCGCATGGAGTGCAGAACAGGAGGGGAGAATTTTTCAATTTTTGTTGTGATTCTATCAATGTTCTTGGGGTTGGGGGAATTTTTTTCTACTGTTTTAAACAGGTACATGATGCATGCCTGGTGTGAATTCCCTATTAGGCAGCAAATCACGCTGGCAATTCTCAGCCTCGCCGCCCTCTGGGATAACGAATTAGTATGCTTCGATGGAGGGCGGTGTCGATTCACCAGAAATAGAAAATTTGATTCAATCTCCATTGATGGAGCCGCCATTCATGCCAAAGGACAGAGAAGTTTGTACACAATAAGCCACATCGCCGGGGACAATCTCGATCAAATGACATCTCCATGAATCGGGTATTGATTAACAAACAATCAGAGCTTCCTCCATGACACCTTAAACCCATCCCAAGCATATTATCTACTATCAAGAGAAAACCAAACACCGTGAACCTGACTCCTGTGCTATCCCCAATGATCGTTGCTCGTACTGTTCCGTATCCGTCATATCAGTTCCCAACACGACACTGAGACGCATGGGCCAACATTGGGAAATCAGTGGTTGAGGCGGACTTCCCTCAAGGTGCGGCGTCTGCGAGCCTCATGCTGCTTGATGATACCAAAACGTTCGTGGTCTGCAGCCAACTTTCTCTTAAAAAGAGTCAGGTCATTCAAGATATCTTCCATGCTGGCCTGCATTTCCTGCGCCTCAACCTGGCTAGCCTCAAGCTCGATGGCGTTGTCTTCTTCCCAGACGAGGTCCGGTTCAGGCTGCAACTCAGGAGAAGGAGTAGCAATATCACGTTCGCTTTCCTCCGCAGAGTCGTGCTCTTCCTTCTCCTGAACGGAACCCAGGCTACTCTTGCGCCTTTCGACGGCAATCGGAATAGGATTCTTCAGACTTTCGAGGGCCAGCTTAAGATGAATGCGAAGAGCCTCATTCTCCGTCTGGAGCTGCCGGATCTTGCAGTCAGCCACCATCTTGGTCTCCTCCATCAAGCGCTGCATCTTGTCGACCTTCTGCTGATACTCCTCTAGTTTCTCGTTCGACGCCTCACTCTCACGCTTATTATTATTGGCCGTGGCCTGGCTCAAGTTGAGCTGCAGGGTGCGGATGGTATCGGCCATCTGCTCAATCTGCGCATCGCGCTCTGCCGCCGACACATGGTCTTGGTTTACGATTGCACGCGTGCGAATATGCTTGGCCTGGTCGGCGTAACGAAGAGTCGACAGTGTCTCCTCGTAATCCGAAGGAGAAATGCAGGCAATCATGGCCGTCTTCGAATTTCCACCCAGGCTATCCTTCAGCAACCACGTGAGAATCGAGTCGCGGTACGGCACCACATCCTTGCTCTTGCTCTTCCTTCCGCTGGGGCGCTGCTGTTTCGGGTCAGCCAATGCCGCGATCACCCTTCCCAGAGTGGTCAGCGACTTGTTAATGTTTGAACCCTCACGAAGCCTCTGGCCAGTGGCCTCCGTGGATTTGGCACGTTCGGATCCAGCGAGATCAACCAGTCTAATACGAGCGTTCCGTTCTGTGGTCTCATCAGTGTTAATGTCGTGATGGATCTGCTTCAGCGTGATGGTGAAAACCGCATGAGACCGCGAGGACGTATCATTCATCTTCGTGCTGGCAGTGGTACGTGAGGTGTCACCCTTTCTCATGTACTTCATGAGTTCCGCGAAGCTTCTAACAGGAACCTCAGTCAGGTCCTTGACGTATGGTCCGTCCGTGGGCGATTCGCGAATCTTGAGGTAGTAAGGCGGGTCCGTACGTGGAACAAGCAAGTCACGCACATGCTCGTTGTACACCTCGAAGTACGACACGCGAACATTATAGCTGATGTCAGGACACTGGGAGTTTTCGATGCGCTCGAAGAGATCTTCGCAGGTGCGAGGGATCAGGCCAGGCTGGTCAGGCGTTCCCATCATGGTATAACTCTTTCCAGAGCCCGTCTGGCCATATGCAAAGATACAAGTGTGGTATCCCTCAAAGTTGTGGTCCAGGAATTCCTCTCCAAGGGAGTTGTACACATCTTCCTGGTGGGCATAATGTTCATCTGTCTCATCGTGAGACCAAAAGGAATTGTCAAAGACGAATGACTTGTCTTCAAGTATCTTCCCGCGTGCCTGCGATTTCGGTTTACCTGCATCCGCAAGATCAGGCTTCGGGGCCAAAAGCTTGGTAGTCTGAGTGCGCGGATCCATTGAGATGAGGCATTCCGCTCCACGTTCGATCTCTGTTTGAAACAATTCCAGTGTTAGCCACTACTGGCGATTGGAGCTCTTCGACACCTTTTCGTGCACCACCCAACAGATCGAGGTATGCGACATGAGAAACGTACCTCTTGGCAGGAACTTCCTGACTCTCACGACAACCCGCACGTTACCTCCGGGGACCGGGCTCGAGACACCATCCCGACAGCCGGCTGGTACCACCACACTCTCTCTGGATCTCAGAGATGGGCTTGAGGCCGAAGACCTGAAGGTTGCAGCGGATGCGCTCGAAGTGACGCTAGTCGCGCCGGTATGCCCACTGAGCACAGTTGATCCCGTACTCGAGACCGAAGAGTGTGAGCCAGGGCCATATCCATGACTCGGGCTGAAAAAGCGCGTATCGATGTCCATCTTGTCACTGTTCTCCCGCAACAATCGTTGACACTCAGCAACTAGCTCCCGTTGACGTTGAAGAAGTTGATGGTACATACATGCATAAGAGAAACAGAAACGAAGTCTTAGGGTATCGAAAATCGAAAGCAGACGAAGTCTCTAGCATGCACGATATTTGAGCTGCTGGTTGCAGGAGATGCGCTGCACAGCTTCGTTGATGTTGCTTGTGTTTGCGATGACTTCTGTTGGTTGACGCGGCGATAAAGGTCAGCTCTCTTCCGCGACAGAGCTTCCCCGCATAGGGGGCATGCAAGGGCAGTTTCCAGTATTGACTTACCACAGGCAGCTGGATCTCTAACCTGAGCCTCCAGGCTCACAATCTGGAGCTCCAGATACTGCAATCTGTAGTGTTGCTGTTATATCCGTGCTGTATGCAGGAACTGTTGTCCTTCGTTATGGTTTTGCTTGAACAAGTTTAGGCGGATTGCGGCAGGTAAGCAAGTGCAACCATTAAGGTTTGGTGCGACCGCATGGCTGGTGCGTTAAGGGACGGGACTGTTATCATTGCGGGTAGCGATTTTGCCTCCAACTGGCTTAGAACTTTCCTTCTCGCAATTCTAGCCCGGGTAGAGCTCACTTTGTTGCTATGGCAATTGACAGCCCTGTCGCAATCTTACGCAGGACCAAAAGTGCAGAAGGACCATACCCAGTAAAAGAAACAATAATAGCCCAGACCTATAGATTTAGGCAATTGCAGCGTAACAGACTTCTACCTATATGGTTTTTATATATAACTAGCTTTCAAACTACCCCAGAAATCATCTAATAGATAGCGTTGAGGGTCCTCGATGCATATCATGCTCAGATTCCCCGTTCTAATCCGTATACACGCGACAGATGGGGTCCGTCAAGTGACGTGGACCAGCGCCGGTGTGAGAAATCAACATGTCCTGCAGAGCAAACACTACTAGTCACAAAGGATTTACAGTAGAACAAAGCGGATGGTCTAGAACCTTTGTATCTTTATCAGAAACAACAGTGAATAATAGAGCAGGGCAGAAAGTGGGGTTGGCGACCGTTTCTCTTTCTTCAGGGCCACAGTACTGTAGAGCACTTTGCTCACATACCTCTCGCTGGTGACACGATAATGGGAAACAACCTTATTGTAATGATCGAATCGGGAGTGAGTAATGTATAATATGCTTAGTACCAGTCATCTACCAAAATGGGTACATATCTCTATCGATTGCTGTACTGAGAAAATAGACTCTCTAAGTGGCGCAAGTTATGTAGAAATGCAATAATCAAAAGGATTATAGAATCATGCAAGTCCTTTAGGCAATAGCTCCTTCCCAACCTCCTTAAGAAGGAACTCATCCTTCAGCGTAGGGATCTTGCTCTTCGCCTCAACCGTTTCGGTAATCCCCATCGCCTTGCAGAGGTCGATCACTTCGCCATCAAGAGGTGCCTCGTATATGAAAAGACCCAATGCGAAAAGGAAGCCGTGAAAGGCCTCCACGCTCTCTTCCTCGGTGCCTATCGCTTCTAGGAGAGAGGCGACCAGCTCAACTTGGTCTGCTTCGGGTAATTTGTCTGAGCGACCTTCAAACCGCTCGTTATGATTGAAGGCAGCCAGGTTGTATGCCAGGGAGGCGGCCACCACTCGCAGATTCGTCTGACTGTCAAGCAAACAACCGGTGAGGAGTCGGATGCAAGTCTCTCGGAGAGGCTGGTAGGAAGCGATCTGTTCAGGATAAAGAGGGGTGGTAAATAGATTGCAAGCGAGCTGAAGCATGACGATACGAAGGTTGTAGGGACATGATGGAAGGTCATTGGAACGTGAAAGGAGAGTGAGGAGTGTCTTCTGTTCAGGTTCCTCGGCGAAGAACCCGCTCACACGGGGATCAAGAAAGGCTAGTCGCATCATGTCGACAAAAGCAAAGTGGATATCGGATGGCAGGCTGGGATAAGTGGATTGGATGAACGCAGCAAGCGACGAAAGGTTGGGGATCGGTGTTTCCGCTGGCATATTCGAGTTCCTGGCCTTGATAAAGTCGACAACGGACTGAATCGTCGGATCTTGCCCGTGAGATCCGATCTTTTGCTGAAGCTTCCCGAGCGGAGGTACCTTCTTGTACGTAACGTAATTTGTGAGTTTCCTCTGGAAGCTCGGCAGCCTTAACTGCGCATGAGGATGGGGTGGGTGAGCCATTTGAATGAGCATGCGGACGTTTCCTCGAAGCTGTCCCGGGTTCGCGCCGCTCCACTCGTTCTCTTTCTGACCCTTCAAGAAGGTCATGAATGTCGGAGTCGCGCGGACGCCATACTTCATGCTTACATCGTAGGCATAGTTCAGGTCGACTTTTATCAACACAGCCTTGTCTCCTGCCTCCTCTGCTAATTCGTCGTATGTGGGATAGCAGATTTTGCATGGCGCACATGTAGAGGACGTGAAGAATATAACGGCACATGAGTCCTTAGCGCCAGCCAGCATTTCTTCTAGCTCTTTTAGATTGCTGACATTGTGGACTTGGCCCGTAACAGCAACTCTCTTCCCTGGCGCTGGCACTCGTTCTTGCGGTCGTGCGACTGGAGCAGCTGCGGATGGAACCTCTTGGCCCGTTGGGGTCTGTGTAACTCCACGCATAGCTGACTCTAGTTGCGGTTTCATCATCTGTCCAAATGGAGTGCTCAGGAACGTCTGCGGTAGACTCGTTATGTGCTCTGGGATGCCCTTGCCGACAAGAAACATGGAGAGGTCTTGCGTGAAGTTATTGCAGTTGTGCAGGAACAGATCATAGGACTATAGATTTTTGGAGTCAGCCAACTGCCAACTGTACCAAACTCTGATAGCATATTGGGTAGATGAAAATACAGTACCTCTGGAGTATAAACTTCAGCCAAAGAGTTGATATATTCCTGTATTACCTCCCCCGGAAGCTCCGTCCGACCCATGTGCAGAACCTCCATGGGCTGGCCATGGTGCGTGGTCCCAGGCACTGTCTTCTGTATTCCATGGCCGAAGAAATATTCCACGCCGCCAAAGACAAGAGAAGTGTGGTAAATTGCGTCTATCTGGACTCCGGTCAAAGCGAGCGAATACTGTGATCGCGCGTTAGAGAATCAGCCAGATGTATTATCATGTAGCACATACAGCTCGCGCGAGACCCTATTCCCACCGTTAGTAAAGAAGTTCTTCATAAATCTATGTATGCGACTCCACCTTTGAAAGATCATAAACGTACAGCTCTACATCCATGGCGATAGAGCACGATAGATAGAGTACTCTAGAGCGAACGCGATCTCTAGATTGGAACTACAGAATATACAATATATTTCCGCAAAAGAATGCAATGAGATATGTGAGGAAAGGACAGTATGGTGTAACAGGTCTGTATCTAATAGACTACGCGCCGTAATGCTGGCTCAGCCCTGCGATGCTAACTAGGCACCGGGAACCATAACGTCAGCCCTCGGTGTTTCCATGAGATACTAGCGCCCGCCGCGTGACACGGCTAGCCTCCGTCATTTAACAGCGCTTCAACTCGAAGAAACATTAAGTAGAAAATTATTTATGAAACGATACACGAATATTCCTATAAGACTGAGAGCCACGCAATATAAAGCAACTCGTTACTAAAGGTTCAGGGGCGCGAGTGGCTCATTCCCTGTAAGCCCTCTTTTTCGGAGAAGAACATCTCGATATTCCAGATATTCTTTGTATGCTGGTTTCGGGACAGTCCTATCTTCATTCTCCCATACTTGGAATCTAACCTTCTCCCAAACCTCAAGTTGACGAGTAAGATTCGTGCTCGGTTTGATTCTTTGCTTTGATTGAACAAAATGCAATACGTCTGCTTGCTGCATATTAAACTTGCGCATAAGATAGGCAATGATAACAGTCGGCGAGCGTGATATCCCAAGATCACAATGAATTAATATCGCCCCCGAAGCAGCACCGCGCCCCTCGTCATTTGTTTCATATTCGCCCTCGACGGGTAAGGAGGGCAATGAGGAAAGAGCTGGGGACGCCATTTGGTCAATAAAGTCGCAAATATCACTCATATGGGCGAGGAGGTCTTGGGTCGACGAATCTGCACACTGAACCCATTTGTGACGATATTCTGGAACGCCCGCCTGTCTTGTAATGGTATTCCACCATACCCATCGAGCATCTGTGAGAGAGACAATTGCGTTGATATGGTTTTTTTGAAGCATTTCCCGTTTGTATGATGCCTCGACATTTCCCAGGAAGAGACCAGGGACAATCTGCCTCATCCGAGCCGTAAATGCCATCTCCCACTTCTTGTTCCTCTCCTGCTGAGAAATTTCTCTTGTAGCATTTTTACCCGTCATGTTTGTGCTCCTGGCTTAAAGCTAGGGAGAGGTCTGAGGTTGCTCGTAAGGTTAAGGTAGATGGGAAGTTGTGGTGCTTGGTTATTACAGTAAGACACGAGGAGCCAAGCCCGGCGAAGTAAGTACTGTACTTATCGCAACGTTAAGTTGGTCGCCGTTCCGCCCTCCTGCTGCCTGTCCCGCGCCGAACCAGACCGACACCGCAATGCGATAGCATCCAGTTCTGTTTTCTGTTCCAGCATTTAGGTTGAAATGGTGCGTATCTCATATATTGCTATTCTTGTGATTAGTAGCTAACACTTCATTCTCCCACAGCCCCCGAAGCGCCGAGGCGGCGGAGCGGCCGCAGCAGCTACCCCGAGGAAAGGCAGACAGTCCAAGCTTGCGAAGGAGAACGACATAACAGCTGAGGAAGAGAATGAGATCAAGGAGGCTTTCCACCTCTTCTCAACAGTCAATGAAGAATTTGAGGACGAGAAAGAAGGCGTGATCCGTACTCAGGATGTGCGGAGAGCTCTTGTGTAAGTCGTCCGGATCTAGGTCGTGGCCTTCGCATTGTCGCACCCATCAAAGAAAGTCACGGTATCAAGGCGACTAATCCACTGTACAGAGCTATTGGGCTTCCGCCCTCTGACTCCCAAGAACTGTCTTCGATTCTCGCTGCTATTGACCCCACCTCGACGGGGTTCGTTCCATACGCCCCGTTCCTCTCCGTTGCTGCTGCAAAATTACATGCTCGTGGTGACGATGCCCTTGACTCCGAAGTCGAGGCAGCCTTCCGATTGTTTACACTGGGAAACGATGGACCTATCACCCTTGGTCATCTGCGCCGGATCGCTCGTGATTTGAAGGAGGACAGTGTTGGAGACGAATTACTGAAAGACATGATCCGGGAGGCCAATGGCGGAGCGGGTGTGAATGACGGCGTGACGCTCGAACAGTTTCGCGACGTGATGGCTAGAGCAGGAGTGTTTTGATGATCTCGGACTGTCTATATTCTCGTGCTCAAGGAGTTGGTGGCTTTGCGGAAGGCGTTTCTTTCTTCTGGTATGGGTCTAGGAGTCTACTTTCGGCGTGCATTTTCCCTTGGAGGTGCCTGTGAATGCAGTATTTTAAGTGCATACTCCGAACATGATTATGATATATTCGATGCCAACCTTGCACACGCTGAGAATGATAAACCTGTAAAGAAATTACATTTGGGATGAATTCCGAGGCCCTCACATGGACCGTTGCGCTGAAGAGAGCACAGAGAAATGAATCAAAGACAGGGTATCATACTATGGCCAATAACTATACATAAGAAAATTTACATTAAAATGTATCTGATCAGTTGTATATGATAAAAAAGAGGGCAATAATGCACAAGTAAGTTTCATGGCTGATGATTGTAACGCCAGGCGATGCCCCGCCACCCCGCCTACTTAGTTAAAATTTATCGATGTGATAAGATCAAGAAAAAAAGATCTCTGGTCCGACTTCGCAACGCGACCATCAAAACCAGACCATCACATTCCCTTCACTCTTTCTTTCTCTGACTTCAAAAATTAATACCTGACAATGGCTCCAGCTGCGATCGATATCAGCACTGAGGGCGTGGATCCCACCGTCCTTGCACTGCGCAAGACCCTCACTAACGAATCTGAGCCCCTCGCTCGCCGCTTCCGCGCCCTTTTCTCGCTGAAGCACCTTGCCTGTCTGCAGCCGCCGAACGAGAAGACTGTGCCAGCTATTCAGGCGATCGCTGCTGGCTTTGCCTCTTCTTCGGAACTTTTGAAGCATGAGCTCGCATACTGTCTTGGCCAGTCGAAGAACCGCAACTCTGTCTCCTACCTTGAACATGTCCTCAAAGACCCCCAGGAGGATACGATGTGCCGGCACGAAGCCGCGGAAGCTCTGGGAGCGTTGGGCTATGAGGACAGTTTGGACCTACTGAAGAAGCTACGAGATGACAGCAATGAGTCGGACGTGATCAGGGAGACCTGCGACATTGCTGTTGACAGGATTCTCTGGGAGAATTCCGAGGAAAGAAAGGCCGAGAAATTGAAGCAGAGGTACATTGCTTTCATATCTATTCCTTTTTGGGTGACAGGGCTAATACATGATTTTCCCGTGCAACAGTGACTTCGCTTCTATTGATCCTGCTCCACCGCTCCCGCTGGCATCCAAGGAGCCCTCCATCCCTGAACTCGAGGCGACACTACTCGACACGAAACTTCCTCTTTTCAAGAGATACCGCGCTATGTTCGCCCTTCGCGACCTTGCGTCCCCTCCAGATCTGCCCACCGCTGTTCCTGCTATTCACGCCCTCGCGAAGGGACTGCAGGACCCTTCTGCACTGTTCCGTCACGAAATCGCATTCGTCTTCGGACAGCTCTGCCATCCAGCTTCGATCCCAAGTCTAACAGCTACACTGAGCAACCAGGAGGAGGTTGGTATGGTCAGACACGAAGCCGCTGAAGCGCTCGGAAGCTTGGGCGACGAAGAAGGCGTTGAAGAAACCCTGAGAAAGTTCCTGAATGATCCGGAGCAGGTCGTGAGGGATAGTATCGTCGTCGCTCTCGACATGGCAGAATACGAGAAGAATGGAGAGATCGAGTATGCGCTTCTACCCGATACAGCGGTGCCAGCCGCCTGAGTTTGTCGCAAAATTTCCGGCGTTTGGTGTTGATGATCGGTTTCCGCTCCCCTTAGCTTGTAAAAGCTGGTTTGATTACGTATATAAAAAGTATTCCGTTCAGTTTTGTACAGTTTCCCTGGAGAGTATATTAGTACTGCGGAATCCAAGAGCAATTCAATATGGCTGGCATACTTGTAACCGCAAACACAGGAGTAGAAGATCGTGCTTCCTTCATCTGCACTACGCAATTGGACACTCGTGTAGAACATCTCCTTCCTTCCACATCTTTCACATGTCCTCTGGGCAACGGCTTCGGTCTTTCTATCCTCGGTAGTCAAGGTCTGCACTGCGGATCTCTTCGCGCGGAGAGCGGAGGGAAAAGCATTCGGTTTCGATTCAGAAACGATAGTCTTCGGGACAATGTCTGACGGCATAATGAGTGATTGAAGCCTCAGACTTTGGCTGAGAATGAGAGAAACTCACCTCTGTTTCGCGCTCCGCAGACATCGCAGACGATAATAGTATTCACGTCGCCTCTTGATTCCTGCAGAAGGTTTCCGCAGTCAGTGCAGAAAATCAATGATCCAATCGCCGACATTTCGTGTGCGCAGTCGCGTATATTTTTCTTTCACAAAATAGAGTGCTTCCTTCAAAGACTGTTCTACGGTAGAAAAACCTAACGCGCAGCTGCGAATCGTAGGGATCTCGATATTAAAGATCGAATATTTTTTTTTCTTCGGAAAGGATTTGCACGGACCGAGAGAGAGAGAGAGCGGGAGCCAAGCGTTGGGCGGTGGAGCAATTCATGGGCGGCAAAGAATCACGCTTGCAATGCACGGCGCGCTTAACGAGCGGGTGCCTGGCATCGTATCCAGCATTTCAGAGACTATTTCGAGGGGAAGTGCACTCAGTGCCCATGACCATGACTCTTGAGCTTGCAGTTCCTCATGGCCTTGTCTATGAGCGGGAACCGCTTCTTTCTCTCTACTAACCTCCCCTCTAGCAGCTCATCTCCGTGACAGGGACAGACGTCATGGACCAGATCCGTCACCCAGCGGTCCAGGTGGTCATCAATGGCCATCCGCAGGCCGCAGCTCATGGCCATGGAACCGTTAATGGCACGGGGCAGCGGCATGTACGGCCTTTGTCAGTCGATGAAGCGCTGCGGTATTCCCCGATGAGCAGTGCTCCCATCTTTGGTCTAGGTGCGTTTTGATGACACTTCAATCTGATAGTAGAATCTTCTCACACATTGATATTGCTTGATAGACTGTATCCTTCACCCTGATATCGGCCGTTCTTCGACCACCGCTGCAGTTGGCCACGACCGCTCTGCCCGCAATACCCTACATGACCTCGATAACGAGACTCGCTCCGGGTCTGGCGAGTCCACTCGACTAGAGACGACACGGGAATATCTGCAACAGTTGTTGGATGGGGACCAGTTGACTGAATTGTGAGACATTAGCGTCTCCAGTTATTATTCGCTTGCTGACGATACCTATAGCAAATTCAAACTTCCAGCTGGCACAGCAGCCCCGAGTACCCTGTCACCGACTCCCAACACTCAGTCTATGGGTATTCATAGTTTGGGTCCGTTCGCGAGGATGATGCTGGAGTCAACGGATATAGCGTTTCGGTGTAAGCTGCTTCCCTCAAATCTTAAAGGTTGTATAGGAGCATCTCATTAAGAAAGTTAGATCCTGCCCCTGCGACACCCAGCTCCAAATCCAAAGATGGAGATCGTTCTCAAAAATCTCTTCTTACACCAGTATCGGCATCAAGAGGACCATCATCATTTAACGAGCAAGCCTCCCTTCGCAACAATACTGCCAGTGTGCTCTGTGCGAAAGAAGGATCTCCTCTGAAACCCACCGTCGTCGTTCCTCCTCTTCCGCCATCGTCTCAGCATACGGAATACGAGCCGCTTCCCGACGCGAGTCCATTCAAGAAGAGGAAGTTAGAGACAGATGTCACAGGTAATCTCAGAGCGATACGCCTAAGAGACCAGAAGGAAGAAGCAGATGCCGCCTTGTTGAAGTTGCAGGATATTCTACACGAGATATTCGAGGCTGAAGATCGGCTCGAACCTGATACATCATCTTTGGCTGCGACTCCGGTGTTGAACGCGATCTTTAAAACAACTAATTCACTAGAGGTCAATGGCTTCATCCTCACCTCCGAGGTACATAGCCGCCTTCAGAAAGCTATCCAGAAGGTGGTAAGCTTCGGGAGATTGCAAGATATTCCTTCTGATTACTTGACTCGGATCCAGAAACTGTGCGAGGGGCCTATAATCTCCGCCCAGGCCCCAGACCTGAAATTAGATGATCCTTCTAATGATTCAGAATCTCAAGAATGGCTGAAGAAACTCGAAGATATGCAAAATGCACTTTTAGCAATCAACACACTACTCCAGACCATGTCCGGAAGTGGGAGTGAAAGGGATCTGTGCCCAGAAGAACTCGTGCAAGCAATCCCAGGGGTCTTGAACCAAGTTTTCGATAACTGCATCATCCCTGCCGTCGAGGCGCGGTTGGGCGGTAAAGGCTCACAATTCTTCGAGTTCTTCTCTACACAGAGACAGATCATTGGAAGTCTAACTCACCAAACCAAGAAAGTCTTAGCTTTGTTGGCAAAGTTCCTTTCCAGAGTCGACGTTTCTGAAGGCACTATCACCGCAACGGAGTTCCTCGCGGCCAAATTAATTTTCGTGGAGAATGCTCACAATGACAAAGAATCCGCTGTTGGCCATCAGAGATACGAGTCTGTCCGCCGTGGAGCAATGGACGTCCTCGCTAAGATATTCTCGAAGTATCCTCTTCAGCGTCCATACATTCTCGATGAGATTCTCGTCTCATTAGAGAAACTGCCTTCCACCCGTCAAAATGCGAGACAGTTCAAGCTCATAGATGGCAAGAATATCCAGTTTCTCACTGCGTTGGTGCTGCAACTCGTGCAAACCACTGCACTAGAAGTCCATTCGAACAGACCGTCAAAAAGTAAACGCCGACTTCCTGTGAAGCCAGAGAAGGGTAGCGACGACGACGACGAATTGTTGGGTGACGGTGACGACCAGGAAGACAGTGAGTCCGATGAAGACTTACCAGCATCTCGAGCAACGTTCCACCGGCTTGCGAGTCGAGTAGACCGTCTCCATGACAATGCGGTTCGCAGTGCGCAGTACATAGTGAAGTTCATCGTACAGCGTGCCATGACCTCGACGAAGACTGGGGACCAGCCGTATCGAAATATTCTGGATTTGTTCACAGAGGATCTCATTAGCGTTCTCGGCTCTACGGACTGGCCCGCCGCGGAATTATTGTTGCGTGTGATGGCCTCTCATATGGTTGGTCTCGCTGATCATGATAAGAGCCCTGCGACTGTGAAAAACATGGCACTTGAAATATTGGGCTGGATGGGATCCGCGATCTCGGATCTCACGGCTGCTGCACAACACTCGATCTCTTCTATGGAGGACACCGGTAGTGAACTCACGGAGTATCTCCGGCAGCTGTTTGACGAACATTCACGACATGCATTACACCCTGAGGACTTAATTTCCCCAGAGGGCCCCTACCGCATTGCTCTTGAATATCTACAGGACCGTGACTTGGGTGACTGGCAGCTCACAAGTGCTCGTGGCTACTACTTGACTCAATGGGCCAAGACTGCATGTCTCACCTACTACGATTCCAATAACAAGGACCTGGTCAGTAGAAGCAACGACAGCGAAGAGCTACTGATCATTCTGGCCAAAATGCTGGAGGACCCGGTATGGCTAGAAACCCATAGGTCTGTACAATATGTTCTTCTCTGCAGGGAATAATGCTGACATTCTTAATAGCCACTTCAACAACGTCTCTTCCGCTCATGGCAAATTCGCTTACATTATCACTGTCTTAAATATGGGATTCTGTAAAGCTTTCGACATGATATTGAAAGTACTACTAAATTCTATAACGAGTGACCAAGCCAAGGTACGTAGTCGCAGTCTGAAGAGTGTGATTGCCATGCTTGAGAAGGATCCGAATCTGCTTGATAGGGATGCCTCCGTCATGCGGGTTATCCTCAGATGTGCGACCGATGCGTCCCCCATGGTCAGAGATTCGGCGCTCTCACTCATTGCAAAATGTATAACTCTCAAGCCAGCACTGGAGGAAGAGGGTTGCCGGACCATTTTAGCTTGCGCCGCAGATCCAACTCCCGGAGTCAGGAAGCGTTGCATTGGACTGTTGAAGGACATTTACCTGAAGACCGCGCGGAATGAGCTTAAACTTGCAATGCTGGACAGCCTCCTCCAACGCACTGGAGACGTTGAGGAAGGTGTGGCTCTTCAAGCTCGCCAGACTTTTGAAGAGATCTGGTTGACTCCTTTCCACAATTCTATCGACTCGATCCAAGACGCGCCGAAGTTGAAAGTTGCATTGTCAAAGCAGGTCTCTCTCATAATCAATCTGATCAGGCGGAGTGAAGCTGCTGTGGACAGTCTCGGCTCATTCCTAAAGAAGATCTTGTCTGACAGCTGCAAGACTGCGCCTGCGAATTTCAAAGTATGCAAGGCAATGGTCTCGAACATGTTTGACCGACTTGTTGATGACGCAGAGCTGTCGGACAAGGAACATCAGCAAGCTCTATTGCAAACGATCACGGTTTTCGCCAAAGCAAATGCCAAACTTTTCAGCCCTGATCAGTTGAAAACATTACACCCGTACATTGGCCATCTTGTCACTGCAGATGACCTCTATATCTTCAAATCTGTCGTCGTGATCTACCGCTGCGTTTTACCGTATGTATCTACGGCCCACAATACTCTCTTGAAGGAAGTTCAGAATGACCTCTTCAAGAGTGTCGCGAAACTTGCACGAGTGGAGTTGAACGAGGTCATGGCGTGTTTGTGGACCATTAACGGGGTGCTACAGAATACCGAGCGGTTGGTCAAGCTTACGATATCTGTCTTGAAGGGCATCGAGCAAGCCAAGAAAGTAAACCTTGCCGAGAGCGGCAAGGCAGACGTCTTGGCCCGCGCGAGAAGCTATGTGCGTATTGCGGGTTGCGTGGGAAGGTATTGCGACCTGGAGCAGTATGCACCGCATTTTAAGAATGCTTTTCCAGGTTGGAAGGGAGGTTCGGTCGCTGGTCTGATGGTGGATTCCATAATTCCTTTCACATCGCCAAAGCAGCCTGTCGAACTGCGAGTTATGGCTTTAGAGAGTCTGGGATCTATATGTCAATCTTGGCCAGCGCAGTTTGGTCGGGAAGAATCTAGGCGGGTCTTCTCTCAGGTCTTCAAGGAGGATAACGCCAATCTGCAGAATATTGTGCTGAAGGCCTTTTCCGAGTTCTTTGCCATCCATGAAGGCAAGTCAGAGAAATTGGTACAGCCTTCCACAGGAGACACGGAGAATACCACTAGGCTAGGAGGCTCTCTCAAGGCAAGCGATAATGATGGAGCAGCGGCATTGATTGCCCAACATTTCCTGCGCGATATGCTACGGGTTGCCCAGTCGCGGCAAGATACTTACTCATTGACTGCCATTGAGCTTATTGCAAGCATAAACCGTCAAGGTCTTGTTCATCCGAAAGAGTGCGCAGGTGTCCTCGTTTCCCTGGAGACCTCAACTATACCAGCGATCGCTAAAGTTGCTTTCGACACGCACAAAATGCTCCACCTGCAGTACGAGTCCATGTTTGATAGAGAGTATATGAGAGCAGTCCAAGATGCTTTCTATTACCAGCGTGATGTTGTGGGTGATCCTATGGGAGCTGTGGCACGTCCCTATGCGGCGAAGCTGGCACCGCTGTTCGACATCATCAAGACAAGTAACAGCAAATATCAGAAGAAGTTCCTGGCGAACCTCTGCTCCAAAGTTAATTTCGAACTAAAGGACCTGGATGTGTCGGGAAACCCGCCCGAACACTTGTTACTCTCGAGGTTCTTGTGTCAGAATCTGGCTTTCTTCGAGTATGGACAATTGGCAGAATTACTCCCAACCATCGGCTGCATGGAGCGCATCGTAGCTGCCACAGGCACCATTATTGGCCACTCGATCGAGACAGATATCTTCCCCACTACGGTGGAACCTCCTCCGCTCCTCCAGGAAGGTTTGGATAAACCAGTTGACATGGTGACCTTACCGACGTCGCACTCCATCAACCCCCAGACCCTGCGGCAATTGACCACTGCAGCCGCAGCTCTGTCGATGTTATGGGAGGCTCGTACTCACCTCCGCCGTCTCTATGGTATCAATTCTCACGTCCGCCAAAAAGAAGGCAAAAATACCGCCAAAGAATTGAACAAACCTCCCACGAAGGTCCATGGGGTGACTGGAGATAGGTTTTGGGAGGCAATCACCAAGAACATGGCGTCCCTGGATAGTGAAGACAACATGCTCGCTAAATGTCGGGAGTTCGCAACTCTCCTCTCGATTGACGACGAATTGAAGGTTTCTGCACACGATGACGCCGAAGGGGACAGCGTTGACGAAGGCATGGACGTGGATGATATGGGAGCTTCATTTATCGCCAACGGGATGAAGCCAACGAAACGCAAGAACTCCGTTTCGAGTGGTGGCCCACCTAAGAGGCCGAAGGGGAGGAAGATGAGTGCCGGGAAGAAAAGGTCCAGCACTGAACCCGAGGATGACGGGTTCTAGGGGTAAAATAATGGAGGACCAAGGCGCTTACCATAGAGGATGTGGAACACACGAGGACCGGGTAATGGCGTTCTGGGAGTCAATATTATTTTCTTTTCTTTTGAGCACATCATTGGCGCGTGACACCTCTGGGAAGGATTTCTCTTTTACCAGTGACATGCTGGAACTGCATCTGAGGCGCAGGCAGTCGACGGTGGGCGTGTTAATACCTGGAATCACCTGCCATGGTATCATGATTACTGGACAGTTGCATATTAGACAACTAGTATTATTTGGGCCACTGGCCTCAGTGTCATCTATTTAATTGCTTGCGAATGTATATTCTAGTTTAATACTTGTGCTGTTATAACTCTCGTGTTTAGTCCAATTTGTGTAGGATCGTGTGCTAGTTAGATCGCCAACCGATTCAGCAGCAGCAGATCACACATTGATTGGGATCTACATTGCTATTTTAGATTTATACGAGAACTGTTGCAGTTTTTCAATTAAAAGAATATTCATTGCTATGCGACTTTCACTGTCATTATGATCATAAACACAGGCCGCCCTGTGGCGGTTGTCGTTCTTTGGTCCCCAAGACACGAATATACTGTACAATCAAGACTGACGGTTCTAGACCGAGCTCAGCCAGGGGATCCGAGAGACAGCGCACATAATAGATGGCTTTTAGGTCATTCCAATCTTAGTGATAGATATCGCTGTGATCCGCCTTGATCAGATCAGCTCCCTTCTCGCCAATCATGTACACAGAGTTCTGGATGCGGCAGTCCGGGATGACAGGGATGATGGAAGCGTCGATAACACGGAGGTTCTTGATTCCGTGGACCTTGAGCTTCGGGTCTACCACTCCTTGGTCGATGTTCTTCGACAGGCGGTTGGTGCCGCAAGGATGGAAAGCAGTCTGGCAGCGATCCAAAACAGCGTGGTTCATCGCCACATCATCGTCCAGGGGCATCTCCCAGGGGTATTCACCTACGACGATGTCCTTGAAGCCTTCACCCTTGGTAAGGACATCATAACTGAACCTGATACCTTCTCGCATGGCAATGATGTCAAGGTCATTGGAGAAGAAGTTCAGGTTGATGTTAGGCTGCACGAGTGGATCCGCGCTGTTGAGAGTCACCTCGCCGGGGTCAGAGATAGGGCGCACCAGGTCAACGACCGTGGTCATATAGCAACCCTTCTTAGGAACGGGATAGTGCCATTGGAAGGCGCTACCGAACATACAGACGAAGTCAAGTTCGAAGTGTGGCTGTCCGTATGGGCAAAATGGGTCCTTGCCCCCATTCGCGGCCTTTGCCTGACGGTATTTCGGGTCTCTTTCCAGATACTCGTCGATGCGAGGGAAACCCACGAGCTCCAGAAGACCAGAGCCCACAGGACCGGTGTGGTCTTTCTTATAGGCGCTTATGGCAGCCTGGTTCTGGGGAGTCGGTCGCAGAAGGACATCGTCCATGCCGTAGCCATCCTTGACCTGCAAGACGAAGGACCTGGGTGGTCGATCAGGTTCTGACCGACGTGGCGGGAGTCCACGACGACCTCGATACCGTGTTTCTCAAGTTCATGACGCGGTCCAATACCACTTAGCATGAGCAGCTTAGGACTCTCGAAGACTCCCTGAGAGACGATGACCTCGCGATTGGCGTAGAAGCTCAGCTCATTGCCAGAGGCATCAATGACGGTCACTCCCTTAGCAACACGGCTGGCTTTATCAATGATCAAGTTCTTTGAGTGAACTTGAGGTAGGATAGTGATATTTGGCTTTCCCTTCAAGAACAGATAACTTCCAGAACGTACGCCCTTGTAGATTGAATCGACACAATGGGTCAAACCGATCATTTCTCCGTCGTAAATATTCTCGGTCAGGGGTAAACCCCGTGAGGTCCAGGCCTTTGTAATGTTGTCGCGGAAATCAACCAGGGCGTCAATCAACTCCGAATGGGCAATATTGAGAGGGCCGCCTGTTCCGATTTTCTTTAAGCTGGAGTTGTAAAACTGGCCATCGTCGTGGTAGGTTGCACTCTTGCGGAAATAAGGCAGGAGAGGATCCCAAGTCCATTCCTTGCCTCCATACTCCTCCCACATATCGAAGGTGGGTTTACAACCCGGGACCCAGGTGAAGTAATTGAGAGAAGAGCTTCCACCGAGGATTTTGCCACGAGTGTTGGGCTTCTCGATACGCTCGTAGTCGTCGCGTTTGACAAGCGTGGTCTTGTAAGCCCAGTCATACTGGCCGCCGCGGAGGTTCTGGGCATTTGAGGGCACAGTGATTTCTTCGATATTTTCCGAATCCTTCACACCCGCTTCGACAACAAGGACATTGATATTGGGATTTTCGGCCAGACGACCTGCGACGACGTTACCCGCGGTACCGCCTCCAACGACGATGAAGTCGAAATGGGTTCCGCTCTTAGCCATGATGGTTTAAATAATCATATGAAGAACAGCTTGTTCTTCAACACCTTTCGATATGTGGGATGTTCAAAGGACTGATTGAATTGTTGAAAGTATTCAGTCCTTGGAGTCCGTCATTATATACGTTCGAGCTTCCCAGATCCTTCAAGTATCGATCCCTTCGTCATATTGCGGGTGCGCGGTACACGTCCCTCTCGTCGGAAAGTCTATAATACTGCAATGACCGGTTTCGTAATCATGTACATCATCGAGTCTTCACCTTGTGGGTGGTCGATGTCAATCGATTTTACCCAGATGTCATGTTAACGTACGAACGCGGGATTCTCTGGTTGCAGGGCGGAGCGCGGGTTCTCCGTGTTTTTCATCTCCCTCGTCCAAGATCAAAAGGGATCAAGGTCAATTGTATCACTTTGTTCGCCACCGCAATGCTTTGTCCTGCTTGGAACATGCGGAGTATGACAGATCTACTACTACTCGATGCGGAATGGGACAAGGAAGATCTATTAACGAAAAGACCCAGATGAACGGGAAATAAATCCAAGGTCAATCATACCGAGCCTGTATCTGACTGATATGTGGATATGTAGATCACTTTAGTTGGGGTATTTATTTTTATAGTAGTTGGTAGTTTGATTGACAGATTACTTGAACCTCGATAGGTTTAGCGCCCGTCAGGAAACTTGATCAGAACAGCAGTTCGATTAGTTAGTAGATCCACCCCATGATGGCATTGATGTGATGGATATCGATTCCGCATCCACTGCGAGATTTACCATCTTTCGAACGTTGCATTGCATTCTATGGTGAGTCCTGCATTACGAGATACAAATGCAGCTTTCGCATTCAATGGCTAAGCTCTACCCCCGATCGTAGAGTCATTAATATTACTATCCTGATATTTTGCTGCGAGTAGCTGTTCCACTGAACTCACAGGTTCAGGCAAATATGACGTATAAGATCAAGTAAATAGGTAATCCGGAAATTCCGATATGACATCTCCATCGATTCTGAGCCGGACGAAAACAGTTAAGGTTACGGGACGAGATATAAAGTGAGTTAATGACCACCTCAAGACCGTTGAGTATTTTTAGGGACCATTGTGATCGGCGGTTGACAGGTTGGTATGCATGCGGAGAAGCACTCCCGAGGATACAGATCAAGCATTCCGTCATTTTATTTGCTCATAGTTGCAATGCTTGTCTTACAACGCTGTTATACGACAGGTACGAAGATTTGGTGGGATAACAATGTCAGCGCGCGACCTGCCGTGTCCAATGTTTGCAGATTCTTTGATATGGATAGAATCTGCTATATCCATAGGGATACATCATTCTTGCCAACTCTCTGACATATACACCTTGCTTCCATGCGCCAGAGGATTCCGCAAGTTATTATAGTTACGTCTTTCAAAACATGTTTCTTGCTTGTTTTAGACTTGTGGAAGGATTCTGTTAGAGATCCAGGCAGACCAACACGAAGGTCTCCTTTTAGTCAACTGGCAGAAAGCCATCATATTCCTTTTGGTCCTAGTTAAGAGCATCCAATGATTGTTAATCTGACGAATCCTAACTCTTCACTATGTTGGACCCTGCCAGTTGAGTGGCTACCACTGTTAAGTGCAAGTGAAGAGAAGAGGTTCCTGATATTGTCATTACCAGCGGCAAGTACGCCGGAAGCGGTGTTTGTGTTGTCATTGTAGTGTAGTTCGAAAAACGGCGCTGTGGGCGCGCTTAATTAGTGTCCTGGTTTAAGGATTCAGACTCATCTACCCCAGATCCCTAAGAACAGATTAATGTATTGATAATAGCTGTTCTATGTTATTTTTATTATCAGCTTCTGCTATCAAAACTGACCCATGTATGTGTAGTACTGGTATGGTATATATTGTTCCCAGCTTTTCTGGATCACGCGGCATATGCACTACAAAAAGTATTGAACGACCGCAGGCAGTAGGGACGAGAAGGATTCAGCTTTTTACATAAATTTATCGTCAAGACCCCGAGCAAGCACAGGTGTTTTTATAAACTTATATCCAATCGTCAAAAGATTGCTGCACCAACAAACATGATTTTCACTCCGGCGAATAAGATACTCTAAGGCAGGAAGAAATTTTGATGTCCAATCCGGTCATCCATGGCACCAGGGTTATCTATCGTTGACGAAAGTGGCATATCCAGGGACACGGGGGACACGTGGGGATGAAGCGTGGAGGGTTGTCCTTGAGCCACGTTCGAGAAATGTGCCTTGGCTTCCAATGTTAATAAACAGAGGGATGTTTTCTTATTGGCTGGCCTGTGCCTGTTACATATACATACTCTAGAAATAATAAGATGAGGACTATGGTAGAACTTTTTGCTTGGCTTGGGTGTATCTATATCCGGCTTCCCTAAGCTGTCCATAGCGATGTAACGCGGGAAAGTCTATCTAGATCTAAAACAAGCAACGCTGTTGTCTATCAACAGGCCCTGCGTACTTTCCCGTAGCACTAAGGTACACTTAAAGGGTAACTGTCCACGCACAGATTCACCGGGTCTCGAACTGGCATAGATAAGTCGTAGAGTGCGGTCTCGTGTGGGGACAGAGAATATATTATTATGTTTCGAAACTCCGTTCTTTGGAGGGAACAAGCCGACCGTAACCGTACTGAACCATGTAGAGTATTAGTTTCTATAGATATGGAATAGGCCGCGAGAAGACAAGAGTACTACTACTAGTTCTCAGCTCCGAGCAGGCTCCTTTGATCGGAGTTGGCGCTGCCGACTTTCCCGCCTGGTGAATCGGTGAGAGACCGAAGATGCCGAAAGCCGGAGGGTCACGTGAGTGCCAGCCGCGCAGGGGCCGATGACGTTGGTTCCAAGTTGCCAGTGCGTCAACAAGATAGTACCTAGTTAGTAGGTAGTTAATAGTTATGTGATTATCTTCTACTGAGTATCTCTAGTCTGAACTCATCTCTGCAATCCATCGCTGTCATTCTCTCCTCTCATCACGGCCTCGTGTTTCCGTACGGTCACGTTCTTTTCGTCCTCCCTTGATGCCAATGGCTTTGCGTAGGTTCACTTGACTGGCTTTCGTTCCCTGTCGACGTACCCTTCGCTGAGCTCGCGTGTTGCAACTCGTCATGCACACGAGTTTCCTGCGACGTAAACTGGACTACTCAACGCTGAAGAGAGTTGGGCTGCAGTCCTCGCGATTCAATGGCTTCCTGAAATCGGTCCCTGCGGGGATCAGCTCCCCCAGAGCCCTCCATGTTCCTCGCCGCATACCCGTCACCCAATATCGGAGGGTCCAGCAACTCTCTCGTCCGTCGCCCTTCCTCGCAATTCCCATCAGACACAAGTCTGTGTCGGCGAAAATACAGGCGGCGAGACGATCGCCTGTTGTAAATTTTCTATACAAGCTCTTTGCGCTCTCCGGGTTTTTCATCATTTCCAGCGGTGCCGCCATTGTCGCGTTCTTCATCTACGATGCCACCACCTATCGCGAGGATCCCAACGCGGAGGATGTTCCTGTGTCAGAGTTGGCGTTGAACCCCAGACGGGGTGGCCCCAAGAATCTCCCCATAGCAGAGGTTCTGATCGATGATAATGACTCGGATGCCATGGTGGCCCAGAGGGATAAACCGAAGTTGGTGATACTTGGGACCGGATGGGGAAGCGTTTCGCTGTTGAAGAATCTGAACCCGGGTGACTATCATGTGACTATTGTATCGCCAGTCAACTACTTCCTATTTACTCCGTTGCTACCCTCTGCGACAACAGGGACGCTGGGGCTCAGATCTTTGGTCGACCCTATCCGACGGATTGTGCAGCATCTGAACGCCCATTTCGTCAAAGCTGAGGCGGAAGATGTCGATTTCTCGCATAAGCTGGTAGAAGTATCTCAGGTGGACGCAAATGGAAATAAGCAGCACTTCTATCTGCCGTATGACAAACTCGTTATCGGCGTGGGTACGTGATGAAGTTCAGATATGAGGGGTCTCTTCCAGTCAACGCTGATGTTAAAAAAACAGGTTCTACCACCAATCCCCATGGAGTAAAGGGTCTAGAATACTGTCACTTCCTCAAGTCAGTCGATAATGCTAGAGCCATCAAGAACAAGGTGTTGGAGAACCTGGAACTTGCGTGTTTGCCCACAACTTCTGATGAAGAGCGGAAACGGCTGTTGTCTTTCGTGGTTTGCGGCGGTGGTCCCACTGGTGTCGAATTCGCCGCAGAACTCTACGATTTGCTGAACGAGGATCTCCTCTACGCCTTTCCAAAGATCCTGAGGAACGAGATATCGGTCCACGTTATCCAGAGTCGAAGCCACATTCTCAACACGTACGATGAGGCACTTTCGAAGTATGCCGAGGTAGGTTTGATCTACTGGTCCCCTCATTTTGAGCGTGATGTTGACGGTTGAAGGCCCGTTTTGCCCATGACCAGGTCGAGGTTTTGACCAACTCTCGGGTCAAGGAAGTCCGACAGGACAAGATCCTCTTCACCCAGAAGGAAGGTGATAAGACTGTCGTGAAGGAGATCCCAATGGGTTTCTGTCTCTGGTCAACCGGTGTCTGTGAGTACCAACCGCGTGGAAATAATCACTCAGGGAACAGAAGACTAATCATTGATTCCAGCTCAAACCGAATTTGCCAAGAAGATTGCAAAGAAGCTTCAAGGACAAAATAACAAGCATGCTCTTGAGACCGATTCTCACCTGCGACTCATTGGCGCACCCTTGGGCGATGTCTATGCTATTGGCGACTGCTCCACGGTTCAGAACAACTTGGCAGACCACCTTGTCACCTTCCTGCGCACTCTAGCCTGGGAAAAGGGCAAGGACCCAGAAAAGATCCATTTGTCTTTCAAGGAATGGAGAGAGGTTGCAAACCGAGTCAAGAAGCGTTTCCCTCAGGCATCCAGCCACTTGCGTCGGGTTGACAAACTCTTCGAAGAGTACGACAAAGACCAGTCTGGGACTCTCGACTTCGGCGAACTTCATGAACTTCTCCGCCAGATTGACTCCAAGCTGACCTCCCTTCCGGCTACCGCACAGCGCGCTAATCAGCAAGGCCAGTATCTTGGAAAGAAATTCAACAAGATCGCCGCCGCACTTCCGGGCATGAGAGCCAACGAAATCGACTACGGTGACCTTGACGAGGCTGTCTACAAGGCATTCCAATACAGACATCTCGGTAGCCTCGCCTATGTCGGAAATGCAGCAGTGTTCGATTTTGGCGGTCTCAATTTTAGCGGCGGCCTTTTGGCGGTCTACCTTTGGCGCAGTGTCTACTTTGCTGAGAGTGTCAGCTTGCGCACCCGTATCATGCTGGCTATGGATTGGGCTAAGAGAGCACTTTTTGGAAGAGGTACGCATATTTCCTATATCCCCCCCCCCAGATGAAAACGCTTCCTATTATCTTGCTGGCATATATATATATATGACTACTTTCTAACATGTGGCCTTTGGATAGATTTGATGAACTTCTAGAGTCAACAAACCGCGTGTCAGCGTATGAAAGCTTAATGACTTCGGAAAGGATGTATATGGGTCTTTGCAGGTGGTTCAGATCTATTATTTCGTTATCGTTGCGGTTTAACAGCCATCTAAGACAGATATTCCATGTATCTTACATTTAAAGCGAATTGCCAAAAAGGTTTACTATCCTATGATGAAGAAGACACAATCGGTCCAGAAGTAAAATCAAATCGGGGTTTCTGACTATAGTTAAAGAGTAGTATGATTATCAGATTTCGTCAACCCGCCACGGAGTGGATAACAATTGTTCAAGGTAGGTTTTGGAATCCTACATCGACTACCAAGTTATAAACGGGTTTGAGGATATTGCAAGATTGCAGAGATGTCATAATCATATTCATGAGGTTTCATCATAGTTATCAATTATTTATTACTATCCATAGTTGATACAAAACCATAGACCGGCCATGTGGATAGGATCCCGCTTCAAGCGGCGATCACGAGATCATCGCATCGAGATCTCCATTGTTAGTCATCACTGCATCATTTGAGCTGCCGTTGTGGCTTGAACGCCCACTGCCATCGTTGGCAGTCTTCTCAGGTACCAGTCCTAGGTCGAGTTTCTCGGGAAGGTCTTTCTTCGCTTCCCGGGCCTTCTGTTCTGCCCAAGCACGCAATTTTACAAGGTTACGCAGCCGGGCCTCTTTACGAGCGCCTTGGCTTTGCAGGATAGCTTCATTCACTTTGTTTGCGATGTCTTTTCGCAAATCAGGGTGAAGCAGAGAAGAGAGCTGAGGGGCCAGGTTCTCCGATGGGAATATTAACAAGGCCAAAGTGCGCTCCAAATCTTCAAGAAACTGAGGATTTGTGGGAGCTCTCGGGGCAAGTTCCGCAGTTGCGAAATCAAGAGCGGGGGTGATGTCTCCATTAGGAGAGGTAGTACACTTTCGGATTAGCTCCACTAGCTGCAAGCGGAGAAGCGAAAAGTGCAATGAAGGGTTTTCATCGAGGATCTGAGACGACTGTTAGTTACATCGAGCCATTCTGGACAACTGGTGGACGATAGAAATGACAGGAAGGTAAACGAATGTTGCTGTTCATACTGAGGACTGAAGATGTTTGTTTATCATCAACACCCCGAAGGGTGTATTATGAGTGGTGCATGAAACTGGTATAATCATAGCAAAAAAGGTGGGCAGGAAAAGCAAAGAAGTTCTGGATCAAACTCAAGGAGCATGCATACCTGAGGATTGAGCTCATTGATTTTCTCGATGGCTGTTTGGATATCCCCAGAGTGGATCGCGCTGCGAATCTCGACTCTTTCCTGGATTGACTCAACATCCAGCCTAGGTTGAATGTTGGCCTCAACAGCAAATCGCTTAGCAGCGGAGGGATAGCCGTTGGTAACGAGGTAGTCCATGACAAGGTAGTTGATGTCACTTCAGGTCCACAGTTAGCGACAATCACCATACAAAAAATGCAGGCGAAAGAGAGACAAGAAATGTAATTCAGAAAGACAAGTTAACATATTCTCCTCAAGTGTTTTTCAGAGAGATTCCCAACTTGATTTTTGACGCATCATGATAGGAAGCGACAGGTAGCATAGGAGAGTAACGTACGTTTTGGACGGTCTGACCTCGTCGACCTTGCGCTCGAAAGAGTGCCATGTTGGCGTGTTAGCGGAGGAGCTGGGAGACATCTGCCTGCTGTTAATACCAGAAGCGACGCGGTCGCGGAAACGTCGGGACCATACAAAGTCGGCAGACGTCATGATGGGAAACGAAGGCTAGATGAATTCAGAGAGCTGAGCTCTAAGGGATTCTCCGGTGTTGAGAAGAAGGAGCAGGCAGCATAGCCAACGAGACGGAAGCCATGGAGGGATTCGTCTCGCGGCGAAGGTCTGGTGACGGAGAGGGAAAGGAAGAAGAAAAGCAGTGCGGGCGACGTTTTAAGGCGGAAGCGAAGGTCTTGGCCCTAAGCTTGAAAAAGCAGCCGAGCTAACCTGTTTCCGACCAAGCGAGACAAATTAGACGAGAAGCTCTCTAGCTTGCTTGCTATGTGCCACCAGCTTTCTGTCCCAGGTCTCTGCCTCCTGACCGGTAGAATCCAGCTTTTTTCTTTTGCTCTAGTCGGTCGAGGTTTGAGATTGGAGGACTGTATGTGGTTTTCTACGGCCGGTTCGTACTGGGATCAGGACAGGTTGTGACCATCTGGAGATGGAGTCAGCTCCGCCCGTTCTCTCTGCTAGGACTGAAGCACGTTACTCTCCACCATGGGCGGATTTGACTATCATTGGTATTGCCGGCAGCTCTGGCTCCGGCAAGACGTCGGTTGCAATGGAGATAGTTAGGTCGTTGAATCTGCCGTGGGTAGCCATCCTCGTAATGGTATATCATCGGGATCGAAGGAAAGATAAGAAGAAAGCTTGACCCTAACTGTCGGCGGCGCAGGATTCCTTCTACAAAACGTTAACTCCGGAGCAACATGCCAAAGCTCATGCAAACGACTATGATTTCGATAGTCCAGAGTCCATTGACTTTGACATCTTGGTCAATACTCTGCGTGATTTGAAACAAGGGTAAAGTTCACGGAGAAGCCATCAACTGTCTCTCTTGGTCACTTACTGATGGCCATGCCGTCGAAAGGAAGAAGGCAGACATACCAGTGTATTCCTTCGCGGACCATCAACGACAGCCACACACTACTGCTCTCTACTCGCCACATGTGCTGATCTTAGAAGGCATTCTGGCACTCTATGACCCCAGAATTCTCGAGATGCTTGATGTCAAAGTAAACCGCCCTCTCATGGGTCAATGTTCTATTATCCTGAAGCTAATGCATGCTAGATATTCGTTGAGGCGGATATGGATGTCTGCCTTGGTCGAAGAAGTGAGGATCCTGCGTCCCTAACACCTCCAGGACGTCTCTAACCTGCGCTTAACAGTCATACGCGATGTCAAAGACAGGGGCAGAGAAGTTGAAGGTATCGTCAGGCAATGGTTCAAGTTCGTCAAGCCCTCGTACAAGACATACGTGGAGCCGCAACGAAGCATATCAGGTGGGTAACCGTTCACACAGAAGTGGTATACGAGGGCCTGACAGATTTGAGACATCATTATTCCCCGTGGAATTGAGAACAAAACGGCAATCGGTATGTACGCTGCCTTCTGTTTCCATGTGCATGCGACTAAGGCTTTTCAGATATGGTCGTTAAGCATATCCAACGATGTCTTCAGGAGAAATCCGATAAGCATAATGCCGACTTGATGAAGCTGAGCGTTCTCGCTTCAACCGAGAAATTCTCTTCTAATGTGAAGATTATGGCGCCGACTCCGCAGTCCGTCGGCATGAATACCATTCTACAAGACCCGTCCACAGAGCAGGTCGATTTTGTCTTCTATTTTGACCGACTGGCCTCATTACTTATAGAAAAGTGCGTTTGCTTTACCTCCCGCTGACCACGGCTTACAATCTTCTGGCGAGACCAGAGTCGCTGATGAGGTTACAGGGCCCTCGACTATACCGATTATAAGCCAAAGACTGTTACGACACCTGAAAAGAACGAATACAATGGTGTTTGCCAAGCAGGCATTGTGTCCGCTGTTGCCATCCTACGAGGCGGGTCGTGCTTGGAGACTGCGCTCAAGCGCACTATTCCCGATTGCATTACGGGTCGTGTCTTGATCCAGACTAATGACCGCAGCGGGGAACCTGAATTACATTACCTGAAATTACCTCCTGGTATAGAGAAGCACTCGTCGGTCATGTTGCTGGATGCGCAGATGTCTAGCGGAGGTGCCGCCTTGATGGCTGTCCGAGTGCTGATCGATCATGGCGTCGATGAGAACAATATTATTTTTGTGACGTGTGCTGCTGGTAAGCGTGGTCTGCAGAGACTGACAACCGTTTATCCTGGCGTTAAGGTCATCGTTGGGCGGATAGAGGAAGAAGGAGAACCAAGGTGGCTCGAGAAGAGATATTTTGGTTGTTGATCTATCTGGAATACATATACAATCTACGTATATACTTTTTTGATTCGAAATAATGACTCATGTCAAGGCATATACTCCGATTGAATAGATTAATCAAATGCACACTCAGTGTACGCTCTCATTGACGTAGTGCTATGAACTGACCTAAACCCGGAGCTACATGAAAATATAGAATCACAATAGCCATCTTTCGAGCGTCATAGGACATCGCTCGCGATATCTAGCGTGGAAATTGCTGAATGCTCAGGGATGACTGAATACTAAAGTACTATGATATCAACCTCACAAACCCGACAAGAGCATTGCATTCGATCTACTGTCAGTTCATTGAATTGGGACTTGGATAATCGCGGTCGCCGCTCGGAGATAACGCACGGACCATGTCAAAAATTCCCAAGTCCTCGCCCGCGATTTCATCGCGGAAATATCAGAATTCAACAGGCACAAACTGACAAACGCAATTTTTTCCCCAGAGGAAAGCCTCTTTCATAGGCGGCGCGCTTTTTTCGAGGCCTATCCAATCTTCCCATTCTTCCATTTGCTGTTCTTTGCCTACAATTTCTTTTGCCCGCCACAATGCCTGATCCCGGAAAGAAGAAATCCAAAGGCAGCGGCGGGAGCAAAGCTGGAAAAGCTAGCGGTCCTATTATCAGTATGTTTCTTGTCCCCCTCTCTCGACATATTAGCCGCGCGATATCCTAGGAAGGAATTTCATTTTTGTTGGAAGCTGACTTGCGATTTGTAGCCGATCCGCGATTTGCCAATATCCAGAGCGATCCCCGCTACCGACTCCCCAGCAAGCGCCATACACATGTGAAGCTCGATAAGCGTTTCTCGCACGTGCTGCACGATCAGGACTTTTCTCGTAATGCGGCTGTCGATAGATACGGTCGGAAGTTGGCTCGTGATGATACGAAAAAGCAACTGGAGCGATTCTACCGGCTAGATGCCGCCGAGGGCGAAGAGGAAGAGGAAGATGATGACTTGGACAAAGTCAGCGTGGATGATGACGATGAGGTCTTGAAGGAACTGGAAAAGGCTGATAAGAAAGCATACGATCCCGCGCGTGATGGTGGGTTTTCTGAGTCGTCATCTTCCGAGGAGAGCTCTAGTGAGGAAGAGAGTGAGGAGGAGGAGGTTGATGAGGGCGAAGAGCTGGAGTTTCCGACGAAGGCACAGACAGATGTGCCGGAGGGAGAGGTCACGAATCGCATAGCGGTGGTTAATCTGGATTGGGATAATATCCGCGCAGAGGATCTCATGGCTGTTTTCTCGAGTTTCGTGCCCACCGGTGGTCGAGTCCTTAAGGTCTCGATTTACCCTAGTGAGTTTGGAAAGGAGCGGCTAGAAAGGGAGGAAATTGAAGGTCCCCCAAAGGAAATCTTCGCTAGAGACGACAAAGATGAAGAAGAAGAGGATGAGGACGAGGAGGAAGATATTGATTCCGAAGACGAGGAAGAAAAGATCAAGCAGTCTCTATTGAAGGAAGATAAGGGTGAAGAGTTCAACTCCACCCGCCTACGACAGTACCAGCTCGAGCGATTGCGCTATTACTATGCTATTCTCATCTTCTCCTCGAAGGAGGTTGCGAAGCATGTCTACGACAATGTGGATGGAACCGAGTACCTGACCAGTGCCAACTTCTTTGACCTTCGATTCGTTCCAGACGATACTGATTTCTCCGACGACAAGCCGAGAGACGAGTGCGAGAGGATCCCGGAGGGCTATAAGCCTAACGAATTCGTCACAGACGCCCTGCAACACAGCAAGGTGAAGCTTACATGGGATGCGGATGATAACGTACGAAAAGAAGTGCAGGCCAAGGCCTTCAAGGGCAGCAGAAAGGATATCGACGAAAACGACCTGAAGGCATACCTTGGAAGCGACAGTTCAGATGATGAGGACGAGGAAATTGAAGAGGTCGATGGCGAGACCGGTGAGAAGTCCACCAAGAAGGTGTCCAAAAAGGAAGCGGAAAGACAGCGCATGCGCGCCCTGCTTGGACTAGACACTGGAGTGTCTACAAAATCCAAATCCAAAGGCCCTGTAGGGGACATGGAGATCACGTTCACGTCGGGTCTAGCTGGGGCACCAGCCAAGGACTCTGTCTTCGAGAATGAACCGGAGCGCGAAGAGACCACCATCGAAAAGTACGCTCGCAAGGAGCGTGAGAGGAAGCAGAAGCGAAAGGAGAGGCTCAAGGCTATGAAGCGCGGTGAGACTCTGCCCGAGGACAACGAGGAGGCCGAGAAGGATGGCCAAAAAGAACAGGCAGCGGCCGAGGAGGATCTGGGCTTCGATGATCCTTTCTTTGAAGACCCCGACGGCAAAGCCGCCGCAATAGCCCAGCGCAAGGAGGAGCGACGCAAGAAGCGTGAGCAGCGGGCCGCCGAAGAAGCCGCCTCAGCGGCTCAGCGTGCGGAGCTCGAGCTGCTGATGGTCGACGACAAGAGCGCCGGCGTCCAGCACTTCGACATGAATGAGATCGAGAAGGCCGAGAAACAGGCTCGCAAGAAGGGCAAGAAGGGCAAGGGCGCAAAGGGCGAGGTGGAGGCACCCGCAGACGATTTCAAGATCGATGTCAGCGACCCCCGATTCTCCCGTCTGTACGAGAGCCACGAGTTTGCCATTGATCCCACAAACCCGCGCTTCCGCCAGACTTCTGCCATGAAGGCCCTACTCGAGGAAGGCCGGAAGCGCAGAAGAAACCGGGCTGAGGAGGACGAAGATGGTGAGCGGGGCGGAAGCAGGGAGTCGCAGAAGAAGCAGAAGAAGTCGTCCAAGAACGAGGGTGGAGAAGACGACCTGAAGAAACTGGTTGCTCGGGTCAAGAGCAAGGTGCCCAAGGCATGATTCAGCCATGATTCAATCCGATTATAATCTTGTCAAGGGAAAGCGAACCGGAAAACAAAAGTCCATGTGGTTTGGGGTTGGTGTTTATGGGAATTTTCCGGACATATCTTTTTTTCTTCTTTTTCTCTGGTCTCGTACTTATGCAGGATGTATGTATGTACTGTATACATTGTGAGCTACACGCAGGCGTCTAATCGACGTGTATTCCATCAGAAGAATAGAATTTCAACATTGTATTAACATTTCGTTCTTTACGAAAGTATATGGTAGAAGATCGTGGATTCGTAACATCGCCTTGATGTATCGTCTAGTAAAAAAGGTCACGCGACCACACAGGGGAACGGGAAATAGTGATAATCAAGGATCAACTACGCCGGATAACTCTACCACAAGCTCCCGTCTGATAAAATACAATACTTGCATGAGTAGTAAAACTGGATGAGAGCCTCTAAACTATCCCCAGACTAAGTTGAGTTAGACTATCAGCTAGTTAGATAGATAGGTGTCGCGTGCGCTCAGGGACGATCCAACGGAGCGGAGCCCGCGTGGTTGCAGACCGGACGCAGTTTGAGTGGCTCGGACGAACCGCTGCTTCCTGCAGGGTGTAATTATTGGCCTCTGATCGTGTCCATCATTATCTGATTATGATTGAGTTTATTATGTCTGTTTCTCCAGCTGGAATCATATGTATTCGCATTATTGCTGGCGGAAGAGATATAACTATCACTATCACCAACTGGTTCAAACTACCAGCCGCTTACTAAGGCCGCTCACCGCCCTTTTGGCCGTTTGCTCCCGCTCTCCCGCCGTCGAAGTCTCTCCTCCGTCCTCCTCCGCTTTCTCCCCTCAGCTAGTGAGCATTGCAAATCGCTGCTGGTCGTTGTCTGGGGACGCTTGTTTTTTGTTCACGCTATCTCATTTCATCATCTATACACCTGCTGAGCCCTTCCTGCGCTTTCAATTCATCCCTATCATCGATTCATTCCCCCCACGCTTCCAATTTACTGTCACTGCGCTCTCACCTCGCTCCCCGCCCTGCCTGCTGGATCTAGTACGCTGCATATAGCCCCTCAATTAGTCGACGGTCGTGTCGCGGGGTTCCCCAAGGAGACAGCCGACAGACGTCACTCCAGGCTTCGATGCGAGGAGCGTGGTGATTCAGCGATGGCGTCTCATTGCTAAGACGTCCTCACAACCTCGTCGCCGCCTGGCTTCCCCTGTATTCTCTCCCTTTTGGTCTTTAGTTTGGCAGCAACCCCGTCACCATGCTGGGCAGGCTGTTGAGCACAGCCGCGTCCACTTTGAACCCGGCGAGTTATGGCTCTCGAAATGCCGCCCATCTGGAATCGGTGACAGAGGAGGAACACACTTCGGGTCTTTTGTTTCCTGACGCGAGCCTACTCCGGCGCTCCAATGCGCACGCGTATCCCCTCCAGACGAGCTTCTCGTCTCCGAATGCCTCGACCGCCGGCGCATATGATGATCGCGGAGGATTGGAGCTAGATGCAGGGAAGGATTTCCGTGTCCTCATCGCACAGAACGCGCTGGGAGACCGGGATGAACCCTGCATACTGCTTGACACCCGCATGAATGCAGACCAACCTCCGCAGGGCCTGGGATTAGATCCTCATGTGTTCGAGGGTCCATCGCGCAGACACACGAGAACAGCAAGCCTCACGAAGGCACCGCCGCGGCGTGCCTCGGTCCAGACCACCGGGGTGCATCAGTCCTCCCTGGTGGAACCCAGACCGCTGGCGATGGCAGCCAGCGCGAGGAAATCGGGTCCGCTGAGTCCCGGAGCTTTTAATCGCACCAGAGGTAGAAGCTCCACCTTGTCCGCTGCAGTGGGGGGTCCCGAATCTTATCATAATCGACACGCCGGCGACTCCAGCGAATACGGACTTTTGAATTGCATCTTTGGAAGCAGTGCTTTTAGTTATCGAGGTTCCTCGACCAAGATACATATCCTGTCGGCGGATGGTGACACCGCAAATAGTTCTCCCGGGGCCTCGCCGTCCCACCGTGGCCCCGACAATTATGGCTCACGAGGCATGACACAACGCGGCCCTCTGGGACGGACACCTACGGGCGGAACGCAACCCGGCCCTACTTCTTTACAGGACAAGCTGAATGACCCGAAGCCCCCATCAAAGGTGATAGTGCTCATCACCAGGATGTTTAGCGTCAATCTCCCTGAAGCGCGGGATGGTTCACCGGACGCCCCGGAGTTTATTTCTCCTTTCCAAGAGTCGCTCCCTGATGGATACCCCTTCCCGGACATCAGCAAGCGCAAAAAGATTAAAGAAAAGAAGACTCCTATGTATGCTGTTGCGATCAGCATTCAGATTCCTCTGGGTGCTAGACATGGCGCCCGTCCGATCTCACGGGTGGGTCCCCAGGGAGCAGACCCCCTCAAATCGGGCGGCTCCATGTCCTTCTCCCTTGACTCTGCCCAAGGGTTTGGTAGCTCCTTTCTCGAGGAAACTCTTTCTTCGCCGCCGGCGAGCCTGGACGAGAGGATCGATCTGCTCGTGGATCATTGGGATGCGATAACTCGTACACTGTCCCGTCTCGAGAGATTAGCAAGCAGAGAGATTCTCTCGCTGCTCAAGCAGTTCGATGCCTTGTCCAATCTCCAGCCCAAGCCGGCCAAAGCACCAAACATGCAGAGAACGAACCAGACGATAGTCCAACTGCCGCCGAACATATTAGCGGGAAACACCAAGCTCAGAGAGGAGGCGTTGCTATCGTCACAGCGCATATGTTTCGCTCTTCGGATACCTCGTGTAGTCACGGGGCAGAGCAGATGGGGGGTATGGCGTGAAGAGGCTCGTTGGATCGCTCGAGGATTGGGAGATAAAGAGCATAACTTCTTTTTCCTCGTCCTCATCACCTCGTTCCTTGGCAATCATACCGAATGGCTCAGCTCCCTAGGACCAGATTGGTATCGGCGGCGCCATTACCAGCAGCAGAAAGCCCAACAAGACGCGGAACCGGTAATATCAAACAGAACCGTGATTGTGTGTCCGGACAAGATGACTGCTCGAAGACTGATATTCCTCTTGTCAGCCTTCTTGCCAGCTAGACAGCGCTTCGAGCCTCCGGCCTCGCCCTTCCGTCCTGGATCCTCCACCAGTGCACGGCCGCTCTCACAGAGCCCTCCCAGTGTTCCGCAGCTCCGGCAGGAATCCCTGCGGAGAACAATCGAGAGGCGGGCCCGTGCCCAACGACTCAACCTGGATGATAGCGACAGCCATGAAAGGTCGATCAGCGTGTCGTCTAGCGAGACTGCCCACCGGTCTTCTGATGATGTCGATTCTGTCGCCGTAATGGACTACCCCAAACCGAGGAGGGAGTCGGATGCACGCTCTATCAGAACCATGAATCTCCCTATTCATACGAACGACACGCGGATGAGGAAGGCCACTGCGTCTACCGCTTCGACAATGGCTCCAAACTCGACGGTTCCCGTGGCTCATTTCGCTTCTCAACAGAATCGGCGCGTGCCTGGTAGACGAGAGCGGTTAGAACCAGATGAGACTGATAGTTTAGCGTCAGCAAACCTACTTCGCAATCTGCAGAGGAGCGAAAGCTCCAATATTAGTTCTGACAGCAATAATCCTGCCGGTGGCCGTCGATGGAGTGGTATGTTCTCTGGTCTCTGGGGTTCACGGCAGGGATCGTCCGCCACGGATGATACCGAGATCAACGCGGGTCCGACTACTGAACGGAGGCAATCTGCGCAGATTTCCAAGCCAACACTCAGTCAAATGGCCCAAGAAGTCGCTGTTTCCGACGAGCAGACTTACAAGGAGATAACGCCAAGCAATAAAATCACCATCCCTTCATCCTCCGCTGCTCCAAAGGGATTGGATGAGAACGCCCAAGAGCTATCGTCTCCGAATCCGGAACGCAACAAGGAATCGCCTCTCAAACTCTCTGTGCGTGGTCAAGATGGCGTTGTCGACGTTGATCTCCCGCTGCCAGGGTTTGTCTCTTTGTCGTCTTCTGGCGACTCGACATTGGCCTCTCCTAAGAAGACACGAACTTCAGTTACTAGCGTTGATGCTGTTGCGTCGACACACAGCAGCAACTCAGGGTTTAACGTGCCAATCAGAGAGAACGATGGGCCCAACACCAATGTCGCCGGTTGGCTGAAGAGCTTCCACGAAGACTTCCTTCTCCAGGCGGTAAGGCCGTATGACAGCTTGGAAACAGACGTTAAGAGAGCCATGTTGTCCGAGGCCGCCCCCAACCCACTTCCTGGCTCGACCGATCTCGATGGAGCAGAGAGGTGGGTTGATGTGGCCACGACTCTGATCGCCGATACCCGGACTTTCAGCGTTAAGCGGCTGCGCCTGAGGCGGAAGATCCAAGGCAACGGAACACCACTTCGAACCCCCACCTCGCCCTTAAACAACTCCCGTCCGGTGACCCCTCGCCAGCGTCCTGAAACGCCCTCATCTACAACCCCGTTCACGAGTTTGTTCTCCAATGCCGGCCGGTCTCGTAAGGATTCCATGGCGACGATAATCGATCCTGCTGCGATCAACGAAGCCGAGGAAAAGTTCGTCGAGGAGCCCGTGATGGATTTGGATAGCATATTGGTCGATGCAGTCGAGCGGGTCTTGGCACGCAGTGGCCAGTCCTCGGTGGTGCCTACGCGACCACCATCTCCCAATCGAGGACGCAAGGAAGACACGTCGGATGCTCATTCTGTTCACGGTGATATCCCCACCGTGGAAGTGCCTCGTGCAGAGTGCCGCAGAATGGTCCTGGGCGCGTTAGAGGAGGTTGTGCGCAGTGTGACGGCTGAGCGCTTCCGCGAGGACGGCGATCCTGAATTAGGCCACCCCGTGTCATCTGCAGACAGAGAACAGAAAAAGAAGCTCGCCGCTGTCGATAATACCCTGAGAGAGGGAGTCCGCAAATGGCTACTGGATGTCGAAGAAGCTGTCTGATACAACACCGTGTAGTATATCGTGTACATGCTGATGGTTCAGGCGTTGTTTCGGTCCAGCACTGTTCGGGATTATCCTCTTACTCTTTTGCTACGAGAGCTATTTCTATTTTCTATAAAGAGAAAGTGGAAACTGACGATCGGGGATTAGCAAGGGTATGGGGAGTTTGTTCTTTTTTCCTCTTCTGATCCAATCAATGCAGTTCATGCATTTTCACCATAAACGTCATGATACCCGGTCTTCATCATTCCTTTTCGATACGATTACGATGTTTGATGTTATGTTTTCTTTCTTACCAATTCTAATATCCTCAGTCCGCCCTGGACCATATGCGCTGGCGTCCCTTCTTCCTTTTATTCCTATGCAATTCTATTCTAGCGATTGCTATCTTTTTTTTTTCTCTACCGGGCCACGGTAAAGAAAATTTCAACACTCAAAGCTATTCTTGTAATTCCAGGATTCAAACATCTGGTAGCGTTTTTCTTTCTAGAGTAGTGCCACGAGTAGCGGCTTTTGGGGGTTCTATTGCTTTTATTATTATTATTATTATTATTATTTTTAATGGCCACTTTTGCCTTTTTTTGGGTCCTAGGAGGGGGGGAATGTGTGATGCCGAGTATCATTGACAAATAGACATAGTAATGAAATTTAGAAAGTCATTTATCCTGTATTATTATCATCATCTTCTTCTTCTTCATATATTATTCGTTCTTATATCCTAATTAAGGGCTCGGAACCAAAAACAAAAAAATGATTACTTCGTGTTTTCAAAGTACAGGACCTAAATATCCACTCCTGGGACTTCCTGTCCTACTCGTATTAGGTTCGCGGTACTGAGTTCCTGTTCCGCTGGTGTCGTTGTTCGACGACGCTGATTCTCCTGGATGTCGAGATCCAAAGGTCGCTGGTGGCGAGATGTGATGACCTACGACGCTTGCAGGAAGTTCCAGGGATGGGATTGATGAGTCCAATGTCGGTGTCGGTACGGGTCCGACTCTTGTCGAGACGGTTCGTACCTGCGACTCGCTGTAGAATCGCTCCAGTTTGGCAGCGTCGTTACAGAACTCTTCTAGTTCGTCTTTGAAGCTTTCTGGCGTGCGGACGAGATTCGCAGATTCAATGCAGGGAGAAGAGTACGAGCTCGCGGGGCTACTTCCTTCAGGGACGGGACGGAAGAGAGGGGATGGGCGGGGAGAGACACGGTCGAGGGGGTCAAAAGTGGCTGCTCGTGGCCGGTATTGATCTGGACGGTCGCTCCGGTCGAGTCGGGATGCATCCCGTGCGAAGATAGCTCTGGTGCTGTACAGACGGTTGGCGAGAAAAAGGAAGTCGCCTTCGTCAGTTATCTGAATAATGGAGAGACCTGATCGGTGGATATATTGAGGGTAATGAAAGTCGGGCTTTCCCCATGAGTACGAAACCTCAACGTCTGGGGGATACGAATCCCACGATTCGAAGTCTAGCACATAGTCTAGTTTCTTGAGGAGCGCTTTTTGGTAGTAGTGTTTGTCGGGAGTGCCTTGCTGTGTGAACGATGTCGTATTGTAGATGGTAGGAGCAGGTGGTTTGGGGGGCTTCACTTTGAGCTGTATCCTGTACGGCTTTCTGAAAGGTTGAGTCTGAGGAATAGTACACGCTTCTGCAATCGGCACCTGTACGAGCTTAAGGCCGAACTTCTCTGCAGTCGATGCCCATGACGCAACTGCATCCTCAATAAGCTTTGGAGTCGTCTTCAGCCATTGAATTTCGATATGGAAGCAATTTTCGGGGTTGTGCAGCCGATCATAATGAAGGTGCACAAATTCGGGACGGTTGGATCGCTTCCTAGGATCCACATCGTATTTCATGCTCTTTGAAAGCATGATAGCCACTTTCGACTTAGATTTAGACGGTGTATTCAATGTCGATGTAGCCGTCTCATCCGTGCTTTCGGACCTTGCCCTACCTCCCGAAGGAGAGTCCTTCGGATTTTCGATCACTGGTGTTGATGGGACGGATTTATCCGGCTTCCTGGGTGCAGGGAACCACCCCGTTCGAGACTCGGGTTTTGAAACCCGGTACTCACTGGCGATCTGGTAGAAGTAATTGCCGTCCCTGAAATTATGCCTCTTCTCGACGTGTTGAAAAAGGCCATGCTTCATCAGCTCATTACCGAACTCGACGGCCTCTTCTCGCGTGTCGATATCGCGAAAGTTTTGTAATAACCAGGTTGTAAACTCGAACCCGATGAAGCAGTTATAGTGCAGTCTCCAGTGCCATCTTCTGTCCATCATGCGAACACCTTTATCTCCCTGTATCATCTGTGCCAGGGACGATAAATTTACGCTAGACCTCTCCAGCAGTTCGGAGTCGGGAAGCAGTTGTGCTGGCGGATTATCAAGCCCGGGGTCAGTGAGCAATATCCGGTCAAGTTCGGCAGCGACAACCTCAGAAGGATTTCTGGTCTGGTACATGATGTTGAGTGGGTTCTGGTCCTTCTTGTGTGCTCCACTTTGGAATCGTTTCTCGTCCTGCGGTACGTACTTGTGCCGCTGCCACATATGCGTCAACTGGTTGATTCCAAGAAGATGGATCTCTTCCTCATTATCTTCATTGAATGATTGCATGTGACGTTTAGAGTGAGCTGGCAGTCGCATGGGGATCAGAACGTAGCGAACCCTCCAAAATCGAAGCTGCTGCGTAGGATTGATAAGAAGATCCCGATGACCGGCTAGATAATTATCGGCATAGTTCCAGTTGTATTCCTCTTTGAGTGGCTCCAGGTTCACATCCCTGATGTCGTATTTAGTACTCAGGTAAGTTCGTATTGCATACCTGTACATCCTACAACGTCCTTTATCGGACAGAAAAGCGGCTGATGTTCGACGCGTGAACCTGGTGACCTCGATCTCCCCACCTGCTATACAGACGAGCCGGTGAATGGTATTTCCCATTGAAAGGTAAATGGTTGTACCATCTTTCCCGAGGGAACGGTAGTCAAAAACATTCAAAGATTCAAGCTCGTACTGGCCACAAGCCTCTGCAACAGCGCTTCCGATGATGATCTGAAAGCCATGCGAAAGGCGTAGTGATATCATTTCGCGCAGAAGGACGTCTCTGCCCTTCGGGGGTTCCTCTCCCTCGACGTCGTCATTCGGAAAGACTCTGTATGGTGTTTGTAGATAGTCAGATGCTAGTTCAGCACTCGTTGGAAATTCCTCCGTTGTCAGCGGCAAGACAGCAGGCGATTTCAAACTTTTCCATTTAACAAGGGCAACATGTGGAGGCCTTGGGTAGGCGTGCTGCCAGCGACCAAACCAACCAGCTTTGCGTAGCGTGTCTTTTGTAGTATTAGAGGGATTTATAGAGCGCACCCACGGAGCCAACGCCTTGCTGGGAGACTGGCTTGTCGATACATCTTCTGGGCCAGCATTGAGGGTGATATCCACTTTAGGCCCTGTTCTCTTCATGGGAAATATGCCGGTGGTCTCAGTCTGTCTGCCCTGACCATAGGGCACTTCCGTTGTTGTCGTGGAAAATGAGTTTGATATGACAGAACGCTCTGTATCCGGTTCTTCCGGTATTTTCTTGCTGGCAACCTTGATAGATATCGGTCGTGATGGTGTAACAGCGGAATTCTCAATAGCTTTCTTCATAGTGACTGGTTTATCGGGTGTTTCAGTAGCACTGGATAGCGACGCAGTTTCTCCTGAAGAGGAAGATGGTCGTCCGACGCTCATAGTATCGGACAGCACTCCAGTGGACTGCTTCCTGTTCAAGATGGGCGTAGCCCTGGCATGTTCAGCATTGACCTCAGTACTCGCCTGAGCCCTTGGAGGAGCAGATCCTAGTCCACGTAAAGCGAAGCTAATCGTACGGGAAATGCGTGAAGGTCGAGCTGCCGAACTTGTCTTGATAGCTGGCTTTCGAGGAGAAGCATCCTTAGTTGCAACAGGACTCTTCGATCTTACTGAAAGTGCGCCCGTTTTCTCCAGATTCTGAGAGCTAGAATGTGATGAGGTGGAACGTTCCAGGGCATTCTCCTCGTGCTCTTTTAGACTTGTCACTGATCGGGCCGAAAGACGATCATGAGCCCGAGGTATTTGGACCTCTGGCTCAATCAGCTTCCTTGACTTTTGCTGTTTCCGAGAGCGGCGATACTCAAGAGATGGGTGGAAGACGGCATCATCATACTCGTCCATCCAGTTAAGTACCTTCCTCTGGTATTTAGTTGATGTAGGCAGTATCATATCCCTGGGGTTGGCTAGGTTTGGGAGAAACGGTTCCGGCCGAAGACTGTCGCTCAGGGGTGCTTTGTATGAGGAATTCGGCGAGAACAAGAATTTGGCCGCGTGCGGGCCAACAACGCTTGTAACGGAGCCAAAAGATTGTGACATGCTATCAAAACCACGATGCCCCTCAGAGAGGTAAGGGATAGATATATTTGACTGTTCGCTTTCCATAATGCCCATCATCTGAATCTCGTACAACCTAACTCTCGGTACGAACGTCTTGGATTGCTTCGTGACTGTATGAGGAATGGGAGCATTGGGGTCATTTTTAGCGATGCTCCGAGCTTCTCTATATGTTTTTGGGTTCCAAAAAGAGATATCAACCCAATGAGGAATGCCAAAACACCACTCTTTGGATTGGTCCGGGTTTCTCTCCCTGGACATCGGCCGAATGAATGACCCAGGTGCACTGGTTCGAGGGGACACATGTGACGATCTTGACATAAGACTCGAGCCATGATAGCGGAGTTCCGGTGACGAATAGTTGCTGTGGGTTTCTCCCATGGTCGAACTTGTAGGCCGCTCCTTTGGCCTACGGTACTTAAACAAGGGAACCGAGTGGAGTGGCATGGGACTGAGGCAGACAAGATCAATTGAGATCCCATAGTTCGTCAGCACTTCGGTTGTCGAGGCTAAAGATTCGTATGAGACTTCAAAGACTCCGGTACCAGGGGTTATTACGACGATCGAGGTGGCCGTGTGGAGCATATCGCGGTCGATGTGGTCGTATGCGAGATGAGAGGATGCAAAATGGATGGCCTCGAGTAGATTCCCACGCAAAGAAGTACTGGGTCGACCAGCGATAATCGTTTTCTTCGGCTCATCGCCTGAATTAGCCCCGTTATGACCGGCTGTTGTTGGAGTGTCTGCACTATCAACAGTCTGAACAGACACATCCCTCAAGAAGGTCCGGAAGTCTTTCTTTAACTCATTGAGAATAGTGGTCCAATGACCACTTGCCATGTCATTTACCACCACGCGGTAGAAATCTCGTGTTGGCACGCGGCCTGGATCAGAAATTCTTCTCAATGTCTCCGTGTTGAGCGCGGGAGGGCCAGGATCGAGAGTAACGTCATATTCGACTCTGGTGAAGAGCACAATGGTGACTAGATGTCTGGCTTCGATATTTGCCCACCGTTTGAATAACTCTGGAAGAAAGCCATTGATGACGCGGCTAAAGAGGATATCACCGGTTCCCTCCGCGTCAAAGTCCCACATCTCTCGTGACATTTGGATGAAAAGAACATATTTTGCTGACTCGCTGCGGAAGACAGGAATCGTGCTGGGTGCAAAGTAACCCGATAGGACCTTTTTACCTCTTATGAATATGTTTTTTATAGTCGCTTTGATGCCTCCCATAAAGAGGATCTTCTGGCCCTTGTAGATGGTCTTGTCCACCAGTTCGGACATGACCAATCGCCACATGTCCGAGCGGACGAGATACTGGTCGCGGAAAGCGATGTCGACGTGAGCTGCCGAACATTGTGAACGATCCACGACTGACAGAAGGACCTGTGACCTGTTCTTGAAACCGAAGATATTGGCGACATTGTTTGTCACCGATATCTCTAGTTTCGAATGGCGCAGTTTGATATCTTGCGGGACCGGTTTGACCACGAAGAGATACCGTCCTTGCGTGTGCGACTGGAACTTGCCTTTTGGATGGAAGCCGGAGCTCTGGTTGATGTCGGCACTACTCTCATGGAGGGACCTCGAGCCAAGCTCTGGCTTCAGCTGAGAGTGGGACGCATCTGTAGTTCCCCGAACAGGTGATATCTCAATCACATCACCCACTTTGACACCCGTGTCGCTGAAAGCCGCCTGATTGAATAGAACCTCTTCACGAGAGAAGTTCTCGTCGTGAACCCATATCGTGCATAATCGTCGATTGAGACCTGTCGGAGGCTGCTTGATTGAGCCTCCGTCGCCCGAGTACGCCGGGTCATAATGCGATGTTCCCACCGAGCGAGAGGTCCCCAGCGTGTCCAAGCTCGCCGCACTCACCTGCCTCAGATGCGAACCCTTTACGGGCCCGCGGGGAGGCATCATAATTGCCAGAGGTCCATGTATCGAACCGGAGATTCTTTTGACTAGTCAACGCAAGACGTCGAATCCCTCACGGGAAGGCAATTATTGAGTTGGATATCGAAGAGCACCGCGTCTACATATGTAGAAGGCGGTGAAATGCCAATCATGTGATTTTACTTTTCTCCTGATAAAGCCATCAATTGATCGGCTTTCAACAATCATGGCAAGATGGCCGAGTTGGTCCAAGGCGTCAGGTTAAGGTCTACCTTAATAACAACTTTCAATAAGTTCCTGATCTGTGTATGCAGGCGTGGGTTCGAATCCCACTCTTGTCAAGACTTCTTTTTTTTTCGTACCTTTTTTTCTCCCTAGAGAAAATTTGGTGAGGCCCGTAAGGGAAGGTGGACATGATTGGTCGGCAGCCGAAGCCCAAGTCCATCGCTCGTTCAACTATGTACAGCTTGATATTAATGTCGGAGCCTATGATGAAGCTGGGCTCTTTTTGATTAAAAACCTATATTGCCACCTTTATTTACTGCGACCAAGAAGACATTAAGGACTGTTTTTTTTTTTTTTTTTTTCGATTCTAACTACTAGGTATCGGTATTGGTTCGGAGTAAAGGATCCAGGTCTTTAAGCATGATATATATATATACCAGCTTTGCCGTCGTGAGATGGCCACAATACGTTGTCCTTCCAGTCGTGAGCTTCCAGCAAGACCCACAATGGCTGATTGCTCAATACAGCCAAGGCTCGTAGAAGGATTCTGGAAAGAGTTAATTCGGAGAAGGTGGTTTCGAATATCAAGCATGTTTGATGCTGCCTGATCTGACTCAAAGATACTCTATCTTAGCATGGACGTCATGGAACTTCTAGACGACTGTGCCACTCCGCGCGAGAGAGTGAGCATCGGTCTAGGGTCGAATTCGAACTGTTTGTACTCAGCCTTCAACACAGTGGAGTTGGATACCAGCAGGACTCTGTTCTTTCAGCTGCACCTGCGCTTGAATGTCACCAGGGACTCAGCCATGCAGACAGAGTAAGTGGAAAGAACGAATGGGGTGATATCTTAGTTCCTCAACAACATGAATCAGCGGTGTATTTCGTCGCTTATAAAAATCTATCTGCCTATGCGCCACTATATTATTATCGGAGTAGGGTGTACTGTAACTGTATAGACGGATGTGGCGGTGCGGGAGCCAGCAATTAATTTTCAGCCAGTATAACCGATGAGCCTGACCAGAGTAGAACAAGTACATACCTTATTGCAACTAACCTGGAGTGCCTAGGAGGATTAGAGTATTGCCCAGGATACGAGGTCCCATGTACGCACATTACTTCATAAGTTCATACATACCATGGCGGGCACTAACGAGCCCTGATCGAAGCAATAGGACGGCATGTGGTCCAGACTCCGCAGATGCCACCAGTGATGGTTAGATTTGAATAATTATTTGATACCTTAGGTACTCTGCGGCCTAGTTTAATGAGCACACTCCACAATTCATGCGCCACACACTAACAGACGCATTGTGGCTTGTATGAATAGGCGTCTAGAATACGCAATAGTAACTAGAGTGTGGCGGTAAGCAGGATTACTCTATGCAAGATTTCCAGCGAAAGCAGTGTTGAATCAAGAAAGCCACCATTCTGATCGCGCCATAAACGAGAAGGGCCATGAAACAGGAGAAAAGGACGTCAGTCGCGAAGATCAACACGGAACAAGTGGACTATCAAACACGGTTGCCAAGAGACACCGTCGACGCGGTAGGATGCTTCAACTCGTTTGGCTTGCCTAAGCTCGCTTGGCTGTCTTGGCTAAAGTGGAATTTCTCGGTTTCAAGCTACGAGACTTGGCAGCATCCCCTACATCCCATCCCTGGCAGCGGGATCTGGGATCTCGTCAGTCTCGACAATTTCGCAGAACTGCAGAATCAGCGCTGATGATTTTGATAAGTCAGATTGATAACGCCGTCCTGTCACGACCAGGCGCCTAATATTACTAGCTGGCATTAGGATCCCCCTTAGCCACTGGGACTTCCCGCAGCGCGTTCAAATTTCCTGTTTGTGGATAGCTGCGTGGCCCAACCATTACCAGGCACACACACTGGTAGTGGGACGCTAATTGAAACCAGGGTCTGTCCTCTGTGGCTGAGCAATATATCGGCGTCTTCAGTTCCCCTGGTCGGACAAGATCAGAATACAGCAGGATGGTTCGCTGGCAATATGTGATGCGATTATCTGTGTCTAGGGAGCCAACACAATAATAGATGGCAAATGTAGTAGAGTACTTTAACGCTGTAGACCCTTTCAGCGCGCAAAGAAAAGAAATCTGCTGTTGTTGAAGAATATAACTGCTGTCACTCTTGCTCATCACAATCTATTATCTTCACTTATTACAGAGATCACTTGCAGATCATCGGGACCCAGCAAAGCTTTCTTTGTGGAGTTCAGACAGAGCAAGCATCAGCGGACATATCACACTGACTGCCGCGACCAAGTGGAACGCCCCTTATCGTTTCAACCTTACCCGTGTGCTTTTTTCCCATTCATTATTATTCTCTTAACAGCGAGCCCTACCAACTGTTGTCACTCCCTTCGCTCCTGCATTCAAGACAGATTCACAATGCGTAAGTGCTGCCACCCCTCGATGATGATACTTGCCCAGTTGCGCGGAACTGATATCCCTTGGCGATAGATATCTACAGGCGTCACGCCAGGCAATTGGCGTGGTATGATGATGAGGGGGAGCCGACCAACCACAACCCATTCAAGAAGTTCAGAGCACGTCCACGGCACTCACGGTCGAGTCGTCTGGAGAGTGGATTATACCCTGTGAGGACGGCTGGCGATGTAAGAACCTCAGAAGAGCGACGAAGACGCGCCGACGTCGCGGGCGGCCTGAGTGGCCCTCAGCATGCGGAGACATACCATGCAGCAGAGTTGTCCAGCGCAGACCGTACGAGAGCAGCGTCCTACAGTGATACTGACAAAGGTGGTCTTGGACAGTCGACTGAGAGCAACGATCCGATCAATATTCCAGAGCCTGCTCATGACGCTTCAGGGGAGGGCAAGCCGCGACGGAGGAAGTTCTTTGGGAGATTCAACGACAAAGATGAGGGTGATAAACTTGCGCTGTCAGAGTCTCAAGAGTCGATGCCCGACAAACAAAAGTTCACTGTGGTGGGACAATTGAAAGCGACACTATTCAATTCATGGATCAACATCCTTCTATTCGCCGCTCCGGCAGGGAGTAAGATATTGCTCACTCGAGTCGCGTTTCCTAAGGCTAATGTTTACCAGTCGCCCTCTACTACGTTCATGTCGATCCCAGGGCAGTGTTCGTTGTCAACTTCATTGCCATCATGTAAGTGCGGAACGGCTGAAGCCATGAAGACCTCGGACTGATATTGGACAGTCCACTGGCTGCGATGTTGAGTTATGCTACGGAAGAGATTGCGCTACGGTAATTCAACTTAATATCTGCTGTCGATTCCGTCCCAGCTAACAAATTGTACAGGACTGGCGAGACCATCGGAGGTCTTCTGAACGCGACTTTCGGGTATGAGGCTCTCTTTCTTGCGGCGGAAAATGTCATCTGAGGCTAACACGATTAGCAATGCTGTCGAACTGATTGTTGCGATCCTGGCTCTTGTCGACAACCAGGTTCTCGTCGTGCAAACGTCCTTGATCGGAAGTATGCTCTCTAACCTGCTGCTCGTCATGGGAATGTGCTTCTTCTTTGGTGGAGTCAACCGCATGGAACAGCACTTTAACGTCGTCGTTGCGGAGACAGCAGCGAGTCTGCTCGCGTTGGCAGTTGGCAGTCTTGTCATCCCAACCGCTTTTCACAACTGGTCTAATGGTAAGTGGATGGATTCGGGGGGGTTTTAGATACAATCCAAGCTAACAGTCATGATCACAGCCGGTACCCGAGGAATCGCTCCTTTGTCTCGAGGTAGGTTCATCGACAATCGGGACTATCACCATCACCATGCTAATGACAATAATATTAGGAACTAGTATCATTCTCCTGGTCGTGTATGGGGCGTATCTGTTCTTCCAGCTGAAATCCCACACGGAGCTTTACAACCAACCAAGCCAGAAGGTTGAAAAGCGATTTACCTCGATAGGCCAAGGTGACGCCAACAAAGGAATTGCCCGAATGGGTCAACTGCTGTCGACCAGTATCGGAGCACCGGCAGAGCAGCAGGTGCAAATAGCAGAGCCGGAAGATGAGCCCGAGGAACCTCAGCTCAGTGTTCTGGTTGCGTTGATCACGCTCATAATTTCGACTGTCCTTGTGGCTCTGTGTGCGGAATTCATGGTCGACTCCATCGATGCGATTACGGCGACAGGCGCTATCTCGAAGACATTTGTTGGACTGATTCTCCTTCCCATTGTTGGAAACGCAGCCGAGCACGCCACCGCTGTTACGGTGGCCTGCAAAGATAAGATGGACCTTGCGATCGGTGTGGCAGTTGGATCCAGTATGCAGATCGCTCTGCTGGTCCTGCCTCTCATCGTTGTCATCGGATGGTGCATGGGTAATGATGACATGGTAAGTAAGATCCGCTGAGAAACGCATTTGTGGCCTTTTTCTTTTATGACCGGACGAGAAGCTGACTGCGCAGACTCTGTATTTCGATGGATTCCAAGTCATCCTGTTGTTCATTGCTGTCCTTCTCGTACGTGACGTCCCCCTACCCTAGTCTTTCCCCATCCAGAGTATAGATAGAGGTACTAAATAACCTACTAGGTCAACTACCTGATTGCAGACGGCAAGTCGCATTGGCTAGAAGGTGTCCTTCTGATGACTTTGTATATTATCATTGCTGTTGCCGCGTGGTAAGTCCCCCTCTCATCTGCGGAACAAAACCCATTTCGATATAAAACCAGTTGAAAGAAGAAACAAGTCCGCTGACGAATTTTTTTTCCCCTACAACACAGGTTCTATCCTTCTCACGAGGACTCCACTGGATGAAAGAAAGAATTGCTCGAAAGAAAAAAATCTTGAATTATGAGCGTCAGAACTGGGTTCTGCACGTCTTGTCTAGCCCATCCAGCATTTTCTTATCATTTATCTTTTATCCATTATATCGGATACTATGTACTACTTATTCTTCTCTTACGATAAGACCAAACCCCACTGACCAGGGCTATCATTATGCCATTGTTGGAATTATTCAATTATTCTCTACTAGGTTGGGTTGGGTTGAGTTGGCTTCTTGTATCTTTTTTCTATACTTTGTGTCAAGTCAAGATGATACCAAATTATTCATTTCTTTTCTTTTCTTTTCTTTCCTGTTCTTTAAATAATCCAGCGAAAGACAAGTAGATATCATCACCTTTTCAACCTCCAATACATAGAGTACTGCTTATTATTGAACGGTCTAGGAAGCTACGTCGGACCTAAGTGTTGAAATGGAGACGTGCATATTCTATAATTAATTAAATTACCAGCGGACAGACCGCAGTGCTCACTTTCCCGTCCCGTGATAGAGCAAATGACGCACAGTACAGTACAGTAAATACTTATTCCGATTGGACAGCCCGCCATCCAGGTCGGTAAAAGGATGAGATCAGATATCGGGTTTTGGATTAGATAGGGAAGCGAAGCGGTCTAGGAATGAAGTGCGCTAACTAACGTATAGTTATGGGGATACTACTAGTATTCTGGGGGACTGCTCTCACGTGTCTATATGTTACGTTGCTTTTTATTATTCCGAACGAGCCCAGGATCAACCGCGGTCTTTTTTCTCTGACCGACCACCGTAGGGATAGGATTATTGGGGGGGGGAGAGGGTTGGGTTGTCCAACCTTGCGCAACCATTGAGTCCCAGGACCAGGGATCCCCGAGAGCCCCCCCGGATGGGGTTGCTCCGTGTGAGTTGCCGTTGTCTGAATACGAGTCGGTCGATTGATTGATTGATTGGATTCTGGTGGTCTGAATGGGTGAACATGCCGGTAGTAGGTATCCGGACATTCTTCTTTGGGACTTCCCCGCGGGGAGAGAGAGATAGCCTAGAGACAAGACCGAAGACCGAAGACAGAAGAGAATAATGGGAGGGGGTTCAAGTTCAGTCCTTTTCTGTTCGGGTCGGTTGTCTTCGGTGGCGGCGGCGGTGCCACGTCGAAAAAAGAAAACCGTGCGCCAGGTCGTACCCGAGCACGCTTCAAAGTTCAGAGGTTATTATTATTAACTCCTCGTGTGACCAGAAGAGAGGATGGCCGAGGAGCCAGCTGAATGGAGAGTTGCCAAAAACAAAAGGGAGCCAGAAGTTGCGGCTGGGGAACAACCGCGGGGTAGACTAACTAAGAGTCAAGCCCAGACTTTTTCCTCCACAACAACACATGGCAAGTTGTCCGTCCACGGCAACCCGCGTCAGCATTCCTCCGCCATCTTACCGTACCAGTCAGTCAGTCTACCAGCTGACCCGAGGGATAAGCCGTGTGTATTGTCATCCATGTAGTTAGTTAGTTATTTAATAATAATAATAGAACAATACCTATCATGATAGCAGTAGCAAGAACAATAATAATGACTTTCCCCTCCTCCGGCAGTGATTGATTTGAGAAAAAAGGCGAGCACGGGATCGTGGATCGGGGATGACCGGCTGCGGGCGCGCACGGAGGTCGGGCAACCAACAGCCTCGGGGACGGACAGGAGAAAAACTAGAAAAAAAAAGAACTAGAAAATGAATACTAATACATAATACAAATAATACCCCCAGAGTCACTGGTTTCTGCTTAGCGGGAAAGAGAGAGAGAGAGAAGGTTAAGTTCAGGACTAAATTGACGAGGATTGTTAGTTACTTGGGATCTAATTTGCGGGGTTCAGCCTCGGAGAAAAGAAAGTGGTTTTGCTCGGGACTCTCTGTTCAGGCCAGGACCTGCGGAGAAAAAAAAGTTACGGAAAAGGCTATTTCTCGGAGAAGAAGAAGAAGAAGAAGAAAGACGCGATGTTCTTTTTCTTTTTCTTATTAACTAATAATATTGGATTATTCTTGTTTCGGGGTATGATTTCATCACCGGCTGCTTTTCTCTTTGTAGCCGGCTAAAAGGCAAAATGAAGTCACGTCGTCGCTTTATGGAACTGTTGTACCGTAATTAATTAATTAATTAATTAATACCATACATACATACATACATACACTGACTGCATTCCCGACCGGAAGAGAAGAGAAGAGCTGAAGAAAGAGTGCAATCCCGGTGGGCTATAGAATCTAATCTGCAGGGAATCATCAATTTAATTGTCAACATAAAAAATAAAAAAAAAAAGACAGGAAGAAGAAGAAGAAGAAGAAGAAGAAGAAGAAGAAGTTGGCCTCGGGGACTGGCCATCCACCGTCTGACTGCCGATCGGGAATCCTGGGGCCGAAACTGGGCCAGGGAAGCCGCCACGAGTAAGAATAATCCTGCTGGGGGAGAGTACCATAGTTTAGGAGTGATTATCTAGTTAGTTAGTTATTTATCTAGTTAGTTAGTTAATTATTTAGTTAGTTATTCGACTCCGGATGACCAGAATCATCACTGACTTCAGCTCCCGGTGTCGGCCTGGTCGACCGGCAAAACGATGACGGCCAGCCCAATATCGTGTCCACCCGAACGGCCGGGCCAGCTTTTTGCATTTTACTCATTTACTCATGAATCAAATAATAAACCAACTATCACGATAATGGTTAAGTGAATTACCATAGATGCTACTAGTTACTACAGTACTAGACCCAGCAACTAGCAACTACTACTAGATACAGGCACTAGACTCGGAATCCGTTAGTGTTGAACGAAACAGTGCCTGACGGAACCCCCGGTTTTTTCACTGTTCGCTCGACCCGGCATCTGGCTCTCCCCGCGCAAACTAGCCCTGGATCTGCTGCTTTCCCCGGGTTGAAGGTGAGAGAGTCCCATCGCATCGCATCGCATCGCATCTATCCTATCCTATCCTATCCTATCCTATCCTTTCCTTTCCCATCTCATCCCCATCGTGCCCGATCGCCATCCGAGCTTCTTCTCTTCTCTCTTCTCTCTCTCTTTCTCTCTTCTTTCCGTTCCTCCTCATTTTTCTCCATTCTCATGCCGCTCCCTCTCGGCTCTTCCTCCACAGCGTTCCTCACCCCGGACCGTTGAAAATCCAACATCCCAGTTGGGGACTGTCTGGTCTCCACTTGCCTCTCGCCGTCGCGCGTCCTTGCATATCCCGCGCTCTCCACGATGCGCTGCTGATACTTACAAACGAACAAAACGGACAAAACTAGTTCAACCAGTGTCGCTTCTTCTCTCTGTCCTACACATTCTTTGTTCTCCATCTCTCAGGCACACAAATCTCCTCCCCCTCCCCTCTTCTCTCCCGTCGGGCTGGGAGCCAACCTCTGCCAGGTATATTCTAATATATTATTAACAAACGCGCTCCCCCCGTCGCTTTCCGGGAACCTGCGTCTGACCGGCTTCTCCGGGCGTCACGGCCATCGGTTTACCTAACCGACCACTACCACCACCACATTTACCAACACTTACCCGCCATTGGAGATCGGTGCAATTGATTCGGAATCCCATCCACTGTTGTCTGTCTGCAACCACCAGTGCAGCCTTTGTGGTTTTAATTTTCTACATCCCGATCGACCTGTTGACTGCTCTGGCTCCAGACAGACCCGAAGCACTGAGCAACCTCGGAGCTGGCCGATAGAGTCCCGAGTGAGCGCCAGGGCCGGCCGTGGTGCAACACGAGAGACACTGTCCGCGTCCTCGTCCTCGTCCTCTCCCCTTTTTCTTTTTTCTCTTTCTTTGCTTCAGCGCAAAACTGAATCCCTCTGTCCGGGACCGCTGTGCACCGTTTCGTGCATTCCTCCAAGCGGGGAGACCGCCCGCTCTCTTGATCACACGCCCCCCAAGATGCGCTCCAGCATCGCCTGCTCCCGCTGCCGGCGGAGCAAGATCAAGTGTGTCAATGCCGGCATCGACACTACCTGTCGCGCCTGCGAATCCTCCGGGAGGGACTGTGTCTATCCGACCCCGGCCATCGGAGTGGGCGGAGGTGCCGCCAAACGAGATATTGGAGCGACCATCGACGGTGATGATCGGAATGGCGAATGGGACAGTCCCAAGCGCCAGCGCTCGCGCAAGGCCGTGGGAGGATCGAGCGTCGGCGCAAAAGATGCTGCCCGAGCCAATGGGGATGTGCTGGAATCCTCGATTCTGACCGTGAAGACGTGGGAGACCTTGTTTGAGCTGTTCCAGGCGCATTTCTCCACCGTCCTGCCTTTCCTCCACCCGACCACCTTTCTCAACCAGATCCGCCAGCTATCCGCCTCCCAAGGGGATGCGCAGTCCACGAGGGATCTGTCCCAGAGTCCGGCGCCCAAGCCGGAACCGTCGCCATTGATCCTCCTGGGCGTCTTGGCCCTCACCGCGCGCTTTCACCCGCAACTCGTCGCCTACCACTCTCCAGCATCTGCGGGCAACCCGTCCAATCCGCTGGCGGCGTCTGAGTTCTACGCAACGGCGCTGCGCAACAAAATTGCTGGCGTCGACGGCCTGGGCCTCACCATCCCGGACCTCACCCGGATCCAAGCACTCCTGATGCTGGCCCTGCATGAATGGGGCATGTGCCGCGGCAAGAGTGCCTGGGTGTACGTGGGGGTTGCCATCCGGCTGGGGCAAGCCATGGGACTGTCCTTCGAGCTCGAGAACGACCTGACGCGAGATCCAAACCGATCACCCGTTTTCAAGGCGGAGGCGGATCATTTCGGCGTCGCCAAGAGAGAGGAGCAGAAGGAGCAGAATTCGGATGATGTGATTGCCCTGGAGACGAAGCGGAGGACCTTCTGGGCGTGTTTCATTATGGACCGCTGCCTGAGCAGCGGCAAGTATCGACCACAGATGATCAACGTCTACGATCTGGACATCCAGCTGCCCAGTGATAATGCCTTTGCGTTTGGTGAACGGGTGCGGACATCGCGATTGAATGACGGCACTTCTCGCCGGCCCCCCAGCTTCGATGCCCAGAACGTCCAGATCCCGAGTCTCCGTCAGAGCATTGGGTATGGAGACGAGAAGCTGCGGAACGGCTCCATGGATTCCAAATCGTGGTCCTCGGGACGTCAGCGCAGTGAATCTGGTGATCACGAAATCGATCGATGGGAAGTAGGCGCGGAGGAATCCGTCTTGAGCAGAGTGATCCGGATCATCAGAATCTGGGGCAGTATCGCCAAGTGGGCCTGTGCTGGTGGAAGAAGGTCCGCTCATCCATTGTACATTGCGTCCCTTTTACAATTGTTCTAGCGTTGCTGACCAGGTCCCAGGAACGAGAACTATCCACCATGGCATCCGGAATCCCGCTTCATCCAACTGCGAAGCATGCTAGCGGAGTTTCAAGATGTGCTACCCCGCAATATTCAGTATTCTCCCCGGAATACGGACACTCATATTATGTACAAGCATACACTGGCACCATACACCGTGATGCACGTAGTGTACTTCCTGTCAGTCATTGTGCTACACCGCGCCTACATGCCCTTTCTGCCTATCCGATGCGGTGAACCGCTCGGTCCGCTGGATGAACCGACCTTGCCTGTCGACAAGTACCACCCTCCGGACGGTTTCTGGAGAGAGAGCGCCCGCGAGTTGTTCAAGGCAGCCCGCCAGATGATGGACCTAGTCGTCACCTGCCAGGAACGTGGAGTGCTCGTGGAGACCCCGCTTGTCGGATTCGCGATCTACAACGCGGCCTTTATCGGAGTCTACGCCGCCCATTTCAGCCATATGGATCAGGAAGGCTACATGTGTTCCAAGTCGGCCGCGTCCGACACGGTCGCCGTTGGAAGTCCCGGCCAGCTTCAAGCTCGCAGGGGACTCGAGATCCTGCGTGAAATGCGGCCGCGGCTCAAGATGGCTGCAGGATGGTTCAGAACGATCAATCGCCTCCACACCTACTTCTCCAGGGTCAAGAAGGATTTCAGGAGAAACTCGCGAAAGTCGGACCTGATGACCGGCCACGAGACCGCCGAGGCTCATACAAACGGCGTCCGTCCAATCCGTGAGGGTGGGACAGGAGGAGGCCTGGACGAATTCAAGCTGCTGGAGAAACTCTTCCTCGATTTTGGCATCTTGGAGGACCAGCTGCCCGAGAACGACCAGGATGGTGGTCTTCCTCTCTTGCCTGCTGCTGGTGAGCGTGGTGTTACTGCGAGCGATGCCGGAAGTAATGCCGTCAAGAGTGAAGCTGGTGACGGCTCCGAATCTCAACTCGATGGCGCTGGGGGCAGACGAGAGTCCTGGATCCCGATCAACAACAACAGCCCTGTGCATGGAATGCCGGACGGCGAGCGTCAATTCGAACGTCGTCCCAGCCTGCCTATGCCTCCCGGTCGACAACTGCCGGCTCAGTCGCCATATTCCCTTCCCTCCCTGCAGCACCACCCTCACGGCCCGATCGCCGCCACTACTTCGCCCAGTCTCCCATCTCTCACTTCCCCGAATGCATATGCCTCGCCTCCAACGAACCAGCCTCAGTCGCAGTATCTCCCCCCTACGAACCGTCTGCAACCTCTCAACTCGTGGGTTACGGCGCGTCAGCAGCCACCGCCGCCGCCTCCATACTCTCAATCGCTTCCCCCGATCAGTGCTGCCGCTCAGCACGGGTATAACATGCTGCCGCCTCCCGGCACCACTACTACTGCTAGCTACGCGGTCACGCTGCCTGTCGCGCCCTACGAGGGATCTGATCCGTCTGTGTGGTCGACCAGCTTTGGTGGCGACGACGTCATCGCGTTTGTGGACGGCTGCAGCCACGAGCTGTGGCCGTCGACCTCGAATCTAGAGGTTGGTAGCCCAACCGGCTGGCTGAGCGCCCTTTGGACCGATCTCCGATAAACTGTGCGGCTGTCATTCCATCACAGCATTTCATTTCTTTTTTCGATTTTTTTTTATCTCTTCTGGCTGTATTATTATCGTGTCATCACGTCCTGTACTGTACTGCGCCGGCAATTCACCCAGCTGGCTACGATACAAAAAGGGAAATATGGTGTCATAAGGGGGTCGGGATTTGGGTAAGGCATAGGAAAAAAAAAGCGTGGTAATTCAGGGGTCGACACTCCTGCAGGTGTTATTGGGTGACTCGATCTTTATGGTGTTTCTTTTTCCTTTTCTCTTATCTGCCACTAGCACTGTTCCATCTTGAACCTACGGGTATTTGTTTGTTTGTTTGCGTCATGTTCTGTTCACGAGAGGTGGGATTATTGCCCTCGTTTTGACAGATCTGTTATTCTTCCTTATGTTTCTGGACCAGACTCGTGATCTCTTCCACGACGAGATGCCCCCTGTTCGTTACTTGTTGTCATTGCACGCCCCCTACTAGCAGTTTAGGGATATGAAACTGTATGAGGTCTATTCCCAGCGCGCTGTGCGTGTGAATTTACCTGCTCCAATAACCGCAGTCTCTTTTGAGTTTCTCATCCATAGTCCCTACGGAGTTAAGTGGCAGTCGATCGGTCGATCAGCCCGTCGAGTCGTCTGGCTCTCGGTCTCTGCAATATCCGTCCGGATCAAAGGCACCCCAACTCTCAACGGGTACGATACGGAACTAATCGGGAAACATTGCCTCGGCCGCCCCAAAAAACGTCACCGAGAAAAGGCCCCCAAGTTCGAACCCCCAGAAGATCATGCGGGGAAAAGCAAGACTCCGTTGATTGACCGACATACCTCCGAAAGTCTAGATGTGTAGGTTAGTTACTCTGCTCATCTTTCAGGTCGGCAATTGAATTGAAATTTCGGAAATCCTCCTTTTTCATAGAGTCAATCATACAGTAAGACATACTACAATAAGATTATACTTCATACTGTACTAACTAATTAATCACTTTACTTTACTTTCCCCCACGCTCTTTTTCATTATGGTTGTGTACCCCCACGTCTTGTTTGTTTTTTTCTTTTTCTTTTTTTCCCCTTCTTTCGGTGTGGATGACTAGATACTTAGTAGATCTCGCAAATTTCTTTTTCCCGAGCCCACACCCACAGAGACCGAAAGGTACCGATCCCGATTTACCCGTACCGGTCAGCCGCCGGCGTACCGGGCTACCGGGAAGTAAAAATCGATCAATCGATGGGTGAGAGAAAAGCCGAGAGAGAAATAATAACTTGCTAGTTAGTTAACAATTCAGTTAACTAATCAATGATGGAGTTGCCCTCTACAAAAGAATAATAATAATACGGAGTACTTGTCATGGCATTATTCACTTAATTCGCATGCGCAGAGAAGAGAAGAGAAGAGAAGGGTAATTAACTACTCTACTCTACTCTATGTACTCTGTAGTTATTTATACCGACTCTTGATAGTTAGTTATGTAGTTACTGGCTTTAAATCCATGATTTATCGAGCCAGCACCGCTTGCAGGGACGGACTATGTATGTACTCGAACTCAAGGCAAGGCGTAACTATGGGACAATCACCAGTAGTTAACTACGTACTTGGTAGGGGCGAGACGCTGGTTCTCACTATTCATTCCCTGTGACAGAGCTGATAGATGGTGTTGCTGCGCGGCAATTCAATTAGCATTTTTTTATGGCCTCCTAGACATTTTTTTTTTTTTTTTTTTTTTTTTTTTTTTTTTTTTTTTCAGGGAAAAGAAAGGCAAAGCGAAAATATCTACGATACGATACGACTCAAATTATTCAGAAGGCCCGCGGTGCCTAGGCAGGCTTTGGAATGGGAGGTCAGGTTAGGACAGGTCAGGTCAGGGCCTAGAAGTACAGAGTATTTATATGGAACTGACCGTGTTCGAAGTTAGTTAAATGATGTATGTATAATGAAAAGAACAGCTGATCGGAGTACTTACTCGCCCTGATGTCTGTGTGTAAGTGTTGAGTATTTCTGTCAGTTCATAGCAACTGTGGCTTAAAACATCTTCCAAGGCAAGCAGATGGATGGTTCAGGGCTGCCGGGAAAACTCGTCTCTGAAGCAAGAGCTGGAAAGTTTTGAGCGCTCGCGTATTTCCCTGCCCGAATCGAGTCATTCGTTGAGGTTCAACAATGGAGGCAGTAGTGGCACTATGGCTGCCTATTGACGGGCCGTAGATAGCCACGTGCTCGCTTTCCGCCCCCCAGATATAGCGAGGTCATGACAGGAACAAGAAAGATGGCTTACACTATAGTTTTAATTAGGTTCGTGTCCGCGAGATTAGATAGTACGCATGGGGAGGCATGGTGAAAATGTCCATCGAACGCGGGAGGACGTACATACCTACCTACCCTCCCCATGGGTATAAGATGTGGTACATACTTCCCTGAGATCGATTAAACGGTGCTTGTCCGTGCTTGTGGCGGAAGTGCGGAATCATCTCGTTATATTGCAGCATCTATTGACACGATGCCTTCGTTTATCTCCTACCTGCCTCTGTTCGCCGCAGCAGCTGGCAGCGTGGCCGCCGCGCCAGCAGTAAACACCACTATTTGCAATGGCCACACGTATATTTATGAAGAATTGGCCGGCTACGGCTTTCTGGCGAGTGACAAGCGCGATCGATACGGAGACAGCATGAGCCTGGGGTCGTCCATTGCGCTAGATCGCAAAACCTGGTCACGAAGGGGAAACGTATACGAGGGAATACTCTATGGTCTGCCGGGTAATGACCATTCCAGCACACTCTCATCATCATGGTGGGTTGTCAGAAATTGCTAATGCATCGATACAGACCGTGGCTGGAATACAAATGGCACCCTTAGTTTCGCAGGGCGGATTTACAAGCTCCATCTGACGCTGTCATTGAACGAGAGCGCTACGGTCCAGCATCCGTCAGGGCCCAACCTGAAGATTGAGTACTTGGACAGCATCATCCTGCGCGATCCCCTGGGTCATTTCACCACTGGCCTCGATGCCAATGCCCACGGACCGTATCTGAGATATCCAGAGTTCCCCGAGGTGCCATCTGCTCGATACAGCGGCGACGGCTTTGGCGGTGCCGGTCCAGGAGGCTTCCAGCTATCGTTGGATTCTGAAGGTCTGGCCTTGGGTGCCAATGGCACCTTCTGGATCAGTGATGAATACGGACCCTATGTCTACCAGTTCTCCGCGGAAGGCCATCTGCTGCAGGCGGTTAGTCCTCCGGATGCCTTTATTCCCGTGCGAAACAACTCCGTCAGCTTCAGCGCGGATTCCCCTCCGATATACAACCCCAGTTTGGAAGTCATCCCATCCGATAACCCTACGGGACGAGACAATAACCAGGGTTTCGAGGGTCTCACCCTCTCTCCCGATGGAAAGAAGCTGTTCGCCCTGATGCAATCTGCATTGAACCAGGACGGTGGAGAGAAGAAGAAAACGAGAAGATACGCTCGATTAGCTGTATACGATCTGACTGGATCGAAACCCCTTTACAGCGCTGAGTATGTGGTTCCTCTGCCATTCTACAATAACGGCACAAAGGTCGCAGCGCAGTCTGAAATCCACTACATCTCCGATACCCAATTCCTAATTCTTGCGCGCGACTCCAATTCCGGCCATGGTCAGAGCTCCTCTGAGAGCGTCTATCGACACGTCGATGTCTTCGATATCTCGAATGCAACCAATATCAAATCGGCAGCAAATGACGGTTTCAACAGCACGATCGCTCCATCTGGTACTCTTACACGGGGGATCATACCAGCGCAATACTGCTCCTGGCTTGATTTCAACGTCAACAGCCAATTGAATCGCTTCGGGGTGCACAATGGAGGAGCTCAGGATTCGCATCTCCTGAACGAGAAGTGGGAGAGTCTCGCATTACTCCCGGTAGATCTGGATGGTGAAAATGAGGAGAATGAGTATTTTCTCTTCTCGTTCAGTGATAATGATTTCGTCACGCAGAATGGTGAGGATCTCCTGTTTCGAATTTTTTATTATCAGCATATGGTTTTATGTGTGTACGTCTACTAACCTACCGTTTCATAGGATACATGAATTTCGGTCGCTTCCAGTATGCTGATGCGAGTGGCTACAACCTCGACAATCAGGCCTTGGTGTTCAAAGTCAAGTTGCCTAAGGGCTCTAATCCGCTTGTGTAAGGAGATGGTGGGATTAGAATCATCGGTACCCCTATTAGTTCCACAGTACTCTGTATCTCACTGGTAGTATATACATACTTCTGTGGCTAATTATAAATATAGCCGTACTCAGGTTTTATGACCACGCTTGGTGAATTTATCCTACTCTTTGGCACGATCTAGGACCGGATAGAGGGACAATCCACATGATGCATGATTGATACCCAGAATCATCTAGCGAAGATAAAACAATCTAGTTCCCATGATCAACCACCACCTATCATAAACAGTGACCACAGCTAGAATAAAGAATACTCGAAACGTCACACTTCCATGAAGTTCAGAATACCCTACTTAAACTTCAAAATAGTAGTCCCCAATGCTATCTCGTCAAGGCCACGCCATCTCCCCCAAGAAGAACTAACATATGACCCCCACGGCCGTCCACAGCAATAATACAACTCCTCATCCTCGCACCACGCTCCTTGATCCATTCCTCATCGAGCTCCGTGCGAGGAGCATGAACACCGATATGCAGTCTCTGAATACCTACAGGGAGCGGTGAACCGACAAGAAATTCTGCTCCATGCCAAGTTCCAGGGACTCTGCGCCTAGAATGACTGAATAGCTTTTGATATACTCGTCATGTTGCCCTTGAGGAACGATAGCCTCAACAGCTGCTGTACATACTCGTCTAGCCGCTGCTCTCATACTTGACAATAGATACTTCAGGAACTTGTTATCTAGGGAACTTCGACTGGATTTTGTCCGACTAGGAAATGTGGTACTAGGGTGTCCCTCAGGCACGTATCGACCACTTATCGCAGCTGAAATATGAACTAATGGTCTTTCCAATTTCGAAACTATCTCATCGAGTTCTCTGAGTCGGTCATTTCCCAAATTACAATTTACACAATACATATTCCCAATTACATATCCATGCCTAAACCCACTTATACTCCAAGAACAACCAACACAACAGAACCTTGCATATCTTACCTCATCGAATACATAAAAAGAGGCAACAAACAAGAACGCAAGAGAAATACAGCAATACCGGCCCCCCCCCCCCCCCCCCCCCCCCCCCCCATCCCCCATTAATAAACAGACCCAGCCCTTCTCTCATTATTCTTCTCATCAAAACAAATACACATAGCAGCAATAAGAGCCATATCAACACCCGGCGCCACAACTACCCCATACGTCTGCTTGCTGAAAAGTAACTCGCGGCCACGGAAAATCTTCCGATTAATGCGTGCTACCACGGCACCGGTATGATCATCGATAATATCAACTATATTATCCATCCAGTTTCCCTTCATCTTTAAATTCACTATTGTGCCGGTTTGAGGGGATGTGAAAGTCGCAGTGGCTTTGGAGCCGATTACTGGATGTAATATTAATTAATTAGTTTATGTGTTTCTAGAATTCTGTGCGTTGCAAAAAAGGGGAAGAAGAAAAAAAAAAAAATGGAAACATACGCGTAATACTATTCCTGACTTGTAGAATTCTATTCCCGACCGAATCATGCGCAGCGAAAGTTGTATGGATATGAAAATGCTCCTTGACGATATCAAACAAGTGATTGCCTGCCATATCGTAGATCGATTTACGGCCCGAGATCGTCATGACTTTTCCTTGGACTTTTAGTATCGGCTGGCCGTTGGCAAGCTTCACGTCGAAACTATCCCCTGATAATGATAGGATCTTCTCCTTGAGTATCATTGTCTCGGTCTGTCGAGCAATGAACTGGTCGAAAATAGCGACTGGTTGAGTGACGGGAGGGAGCTCTGATGGATTCATTGTGAATTGGAAGTCTTCTGGTAGTTGTGAATTCGCTTGGTGAGAGAAAAGATGAAGTTTTGGAAGTATGGATAGACTTTAGAGGCGGGATGAATGATAGAGAAAGTAAATAGACCTCATCTTCTTTAACCTCATTGTTGTACTACATATAGAGTGATATAAACACTACAGCCATAGTGCGATTTCTAAATAAAGTAAACCCAGTAATCGCACAGACCTCCGCCAAGATGCCAGTGCTTACATGGAGATCAGACGACTTTTCGGTGAACGCTGAGGGGTTGACTCGTCGATCTGGTTGAAGCTACTAGTACATAGTTAGATGTTGTAGCCTGGCTGTGCCGCTGTGCTGTCAGCCTCAAGCTGGGCGGTGTAGCTGAGAATGAGATCCTCTGCGGTCCCCATACAGATATCTACACTTCTCATTACAGGGAACTACCTAATTAGTTTCTTTAATAACACAGAGCTGGATCTGTGCATGGCAAGAGAAATAGATGCTGCTACTATTGTCACTGAATGTAATCCTTTGCTATACATCAATTGTGGTTCTGAAGAGAAATACACTTCGTGTGCAACTATACACCAATAAAATGTGCAAGCACAAGAGATATTCCACATGATGCACTGAGACACTTCCAGATGTGCTCCATTAGAGTGCAGTCGTCTCGTAGGAAATAGAATATGTATGAAAAGCTCTGCTGTTACCTGGAAAGAAAACGGAGAGAACTTTAGTGCCACGCAGTGGGGTATAAAGTGAATATCAAAAATAACAAAGTTGTCCCGCAGAGCCATTAAGAGGTTGCCGATCCTGCCTCGAGATGCTGGGGAGAGATAGTCGGGCTGAATTTCTCTGTGAGGCTGCCGTGATCCTCGGGAATTCTAGCAGGCTGCAGCTGCTGAAAAAAATAATAGCAGTCGAAGAATGAACAAAGGTATTTGTCACGAAATAAACGGACGGTAATAGGAGTCCGAGACCAGGCTGAGTTGTGCCGTTGTCAAAACTCGGAAAGCAGGAAACCTCTTCCTAACGCCGAACAAAATAGATATGAAGAAAGAAGCTGTCGTCAAGGCATGATACCGCATGAGAAAAATGTATCTAAACTGGGATGCATCTAAGGTGTCGTTAGACTTCCCCCTCAGCTGCTATATCCCGCTCAATAGTTTTCTGCCAGTGTTGCGGAAGACAGACGCAGACAAGCGGGAATGCTTTTATTTCTCCTGTTGGTTGAGGAGACGATGTTCGGTTTTCTGACCCGTTTGACACGCCACTGTCACGCTGGACCCTGTGCTTCCCATCAAAATCCTCTGCTCGTTCATTGACACGGATACCGGTGGCCCAGCCGTCGTCCCAGATACCCACAACCTTCAGGACTTCACCTCTTTCCAGTTCAAATTCGTCAGCAGCACGTGGTTGGTATGCCCATAGAACAGCGACCTTGTCTCCCGGATGAACATCGTCCTGGGAGTAGTAATCTCTGAAATAGGGTAGCTGCTCGGACTGACCGCTCGCAACACCCTCCGGGGAAGAATATTGCGCACCAGTGCCGGAACGTGGAGACTGATCGCTATCTCCAGCAAGTATCGAGGTACTGGAGAGCGAACCTTTGCGTCTGTTCGTGACAGGAGGGCCTCTTCTGGAGCCTATGCTGGGACTAGCACCAAATGTCTCCGAGTCCGATGAATCACTGTACTTGCCAGGGATTGCCCTGGTACCGCTGGCTCGGGTCCGTGACGGAGAACGCGAGTCGACTTGCAAAGCAGACATGCGTGCTACACGCCCACCCGCCAGGGCGCCGTAACCCTGTGGATCAGTGCTTGTTCGTGAATATTGCATCTGAGACAGTCCTTTTCTTTGTGGGGTGGGTTGATTCAAGATATTGGCAGCTTTCTGGTTCCGTCTGCGGCGCATGCAGATGCAGAGAAGTGCGAGCAGGGCAGCCAACAGGGCAAATCCTGCCACAGATCCAATGACAATGCCCGCAATTGCGCCACCAGAGAGGCCATTATTATGCTTGGCAGAGGAAGGAAGAGAAGTAGATGTCGAACTTGGAAATAACGGGGGTAACGTAGAAGGCGTCGGTAGGTGGACATTTGCGCAACGCCCCGTCGCATTTGAATTAATACAGCACGAGTCGGTAGAATTCGGAGAACTCGATGCGCAGTAGCTGCAGAGACCGACGGTATTCGTTCCATATCCACAGTTGTCCGGCTCGTTTTGTGCCCCCGAAATGCATGTTCCTGTCAGGGAATCCGCTGGTAACGCGCACACGGTAAAATCGGCCCTTATCTGGCTCATAAAATCCGCCTTTGGTTTCCCGCATAAACTTGGGTCAACTGCGATTTCTTCCTCACTTGTAGCTACCAGCGCCTGGTGTACGTTAGCATATGCCCAACATCTGGAAAGCGGGTGGGCCCACGGACACAAGTCTCTGCACACAAGGGTTGGGATTCAGCGGCATCCAGGCTGCAAGGCTGCTTCGAATTCTGTATAATTCCATTGCAAATCATGCTAGTGGTGTATCGGGCATAGTAATCGGTGGTGTTGCTGAGATCGACATTGGAACAACCTAGCAATTGCTGATATCTAGCGACAGTTAGTTCCGCAATACAGTCGCTTAGTGTTATGGCAGGGCATACTTCTCCTTGACATAGCCGGCTTTAACATAGTTGCTCAATTGCTCGTCGAAATCATTGAGATTAGAGACATATGCCAAGAAAGGACTGTCAGGTTTGTCAACATGGTTGCCACATATTAGATTTGAGATCCTCGACATACTATAAGGCGACCAGGCTTGAATCGGTCGATATCGACGAGGCGTTGAACGCTGGGCAAGTGGTAGAGCCTGACAATGATATGCAGGAACCGCCCATTTTGGGATCCTGGCCAGCGCACCTCGATGACAGTAATGGGATATGGCGAAAAGAAAAAAGAAAAGCAATTCAACCTGATAACTGTTCGGATCTTCGGATGGCTGGAGGACTTAGTACGACGCTGTCATAGTGTTCTTCGTGACGGTTGTAACGCGTATTGCGCAGGTGGTGACTCGACCGGCCAAGGATGCAGCGGGGACAACAGATCGGAAAGGAACGTGCGGTAAATAAAACAGCGAAAAAAAAAGAGGAGACCAGAGAGATCTCGACGAAGTGAATCTAATCTAACGAGAGACTGTGGCTCTAGCAATGGCAGGAACCGTGGATGAAGACGAACTCCAGCAACGAGTGGACTGGCACCAGTAGGAGAGAAGATAGAAGAAAAGACGGGGGAGGCTGGCCAGCGCAGAAAGCAAAAAAGGCAGAAAGGCTGACGAGACACACGACCGGGGTCGACGGGCTAGCTGTGAGCGTACTGTAATCTTCTATTAAAGCTGCGCGACGAGCACACTGGCGTGCTTGAGTCTTGAGGAAGCGAAAAGCCTGCTGGTCAGGGACAGCGCCGTATCTAAAAGGGGCCGGGCCGGCTGCATGGGACAAACAGCTTTCAGACGACTCCACTGCGGGTTATGCCCACGCTGTTGTTCGTCGCGCTTGGAGCTTTTTTCTTTAGAGAGATAGAGAGTCGACAGCCGGAAGAGGCGGGTCACTAGATTGACAACAGGTCGCTTGCTGGCAGTTTCAAGATTGCGTGCAGATGGTCGAGTTACTGGACGGTGGTACGCGGTGGTATGGCGGTGGTTGGTATCGCGGAGCGTGGAGATAGTGATGCGGTTGGCATCAACCTGCAACACAACAGAACAAGACTGCTAGTTACTCTACGCAGCTCGCCTCAGTCTCGCCTGTCAGATGCTGCAGAGCTTGACGTGGACAGCGCGGACGTCCAGGAAGTTGCCAAACGCAAGGTTAGTCTTTCTGTAAGTGCGAACCTGATAAAAATAATCATAATAAATATGGATCGACTAATAAGAATCTTCTCTGCGGGAAGGAGACCAGCACAGCACCCGACGCTTGACAAGGCTTGGAGGATTATTAGAGACATCAGCAAGTCGTCTGTTGTTGGCAGTTCCCCTGAAGCGGGAAATGAGATCGGTTCCCTCCACCGTTCCTCCTCCACTGAGAATGGCGGATCCTGGAGACCGTCGATCGCCGGGCGTTCGTCTAACAAGACGCTACCGCTGTTTCAGGACATCGAACCTCCTCTAGCTCTTCCGGTCCCTGGCTAAGAGTATCAACACCACCCGTTTCAACATATGGTATGGTTGTCGCTGTGAACCACGGTTCCTTTAGACCCTCCGTGGCATATAACTCCCGAGGGCTTCTATCCATGGTTCCCTAGATGGTGATATAATTTCATCCATGCTACCCCAGATCTAACCTCCATAACCTCATAATAATAAGATCTATCAACAGCCAGCTGCCGGACGAAATGAAAGTCGCTCAGATCACTGCAAGCCTCAACGCGGCAATCAAGGAGCAACCGCCATTAGCAGGCCCCGAGACGGGCGTCGTTCCCGGTACCTGCAGTTTCGCGCTGCATTAGCACGTCGACGGTCAGGATCTGTTTGGGGAAATTTGAGAGCGTGGCTTGGAGTTTTCTAGTTTTCTCCGGTTGGTGAACAGGCCCTCGTCGCTTCCGCCAAATGATGATTTTCCCGAGTTGCAGCGGGAAAACTCTACTGACGATCTGCGCTTGTCCCGTTCCTGGATCACTTTTATCTCCAGTTGGGAAATGAACATTTAGAAAAAGCCCCCGTGTGAGACTCTGGGAGCTTTTCAACACTCGCCTCTGCCTTCCTCCAGCAAGGATTGCAATCAATCCATTCAGGTGAGTTCGCGGTCCTTGCGCTTATCGAAAAGACAGAGTGCTAGTTATGAGAAGAGGCCTCCTAATAATAATTAGTAATTATTTCTTTCTTACCTTAACTATAACTAGTTACGGTAATTTGTCGTGGTGTCCGCCCAGGCTCAGTCGTCCTCTGTGTGATTTAGGCTCTACTCTAGGGCAGTCCAGAATCCTGTTCCAGCTATTCTATAAAAGGTCTCTCGCCCGATACATCACGTAATATACGTTCTTCTGGATGGGTGTCTAGCGTCTATCATGCAGCGTGGATTGACTGAATCGAAGCTCAGAAGCTTCGAACGCACTTTGTTCAGTGCCACCGGAAAGATATGTCACCATTAGACTAGGCTATTGTATCACAAATAATGACAGTCCAGGTATCCTAAGTGAAGTCGACTACCAAGCAAGGATAATTGGCCAACGACATAAGTAAATATAAATATTAGGAAGTCCAATCACGCACAACGTAGGCCTGCATTTCTATTTTGAGGTTATAGTCGATATAATAAGCCAGCGGAATCCCTGCTTTCGCTGGGCCTTACTGGGCGGCGCCAAGTTTTGTGATTATTATTGGACTCGGAGTATCGTCATTATTATTTACTGTCACGGTGTCAGTATTCATCTACAATTCTGGGGCGCGCCCACAGTGGATCAAACATAGTGGACGGGGCAGGCACAAGGTCGAACTTGGAAGACCCTAGCTGGTCCCTATGGGGTTCATGCGAACGAAATAATAATCACATAGCACAGGTCTTTTAGATCCTTGATAGAAGACTTACTCCAGATAATGCCATCCTACATGATGCTTCACGTCCTACTCCGTACACACAGCCGGAGTGTAATCATGTGAACTCCAAAGCGGGAAGTGAAAGGGCAGTCATGTGATGAGCTCGTTCTCCGACTCAGCCTCTCAACGTCATGATATCAGGCACCAGAGTAAACCCCCACCTGTCTCTTTATTGCCATCAGTACTTCTCGATATCTAGTATAGGTTGCTCTTTGGATTAGATTATTTTCCATCGTAACCAGCTCCCCCGATCGAATTACCGCAAGTTAGTCAGTGGCTATTCGAGCCCCGCTGCACCAGGAATGTGCGGCTCAGACGTCTTCCTCGCCATATTGGCGGTATTCTTCCCTCCCATCGCAGGTAAGCGACGGTCATTTCCATCTCTTGTTCAGTCTCATAGTGTTGTCAAAGTTGCAAGTCTATTAACGAACGATACTAACTTTTCCAAGTCTGGATCAAGGTTGGCATCTGCACCGCAGACTCAATCATCAACATCGCCCTCTGCTGTCTCGGATACGTTCCTGGCTTGATACACTCGTGGTATATCATCCTCAAGAATCCCGAGCCGGATTACGATGACCCCAATTACGAGCCGCTGGAAGGCGGACGAGTGACATATTACTACGTCTCTCATCAGCCCGAGGGCCAGACTCGAGGTCGCGCAGGATACGGAGCCACCGAATCAACTCAGCCTCGACCACCGCAGGCACCATCAACCACACCCCAATACCAAGGTGATGGTGGTGTTGGCAGCAGCGAGGGAGGAGTCCCGCCACCCCCGTATACAGAGGTCATCAAGGGTGACCACAAGGTGCAGACCCATGATTAGGGAACAAAGGGAAACTTGGTGGAGTTAGGGTGGTGGATAATATATGCTCACGACGAATGATCGGTCTGATGTTCATACAGTGGGTGGACGGATGTTAAGCGCACTGACGACATCTTTCCAACGACATGGGTCCTTTCAGTGTTTATGATGTTGAACGCACTAGATGACCCCATGCAAGATATTTACAACTACGCAGTCACGTCGGCACATAGTCTTGGAGAATCCAGGCTGTAGTCCCAGGTGACTGGAGGGTGGCAGATAATGCACGTGGGCCATTTTTTCAATAACGGGGTCATTCATTAATCGAAAGAGGCGTACAAGGATATACCAGGATCATGTCTACGTGTCTTTCCTGGTAGCAAGTCTATTCTAAGTAAATTTATTAATGTTTGTCTTCTGGCAGAGGAGTAATGACTGTGTCGATCCATTCTCTGGTCTCTCCAACCGAGTGATATGTTCCATTGAAGAATGGCCACAATATCAACTGAAAGATTGAAAGATTAGACCACAATGATTTCTGAGGACCCTTAATAGTCTAAATACTATGGAAATCGCCCTTCGCTGGGTGGAATCATGGGGTTTGGATGGAGGGCGGTATATACTTAGTTCGCTGTCCAATGACATGGGATCAGCGGGTGTTCCGCACCGGCCCTGATAGGACTTCGCTCAACCGTCGAAGCTTCTCCGACTCCGAGGTACAACTTTCCGCAACGCTACCTCCCTCAACAGCACATCGAAGCTGGACTGCTCCTGTGCGCCAATACCCGGCGATGCAGTCCATGCCATTGCTGCTTCGGCAGTCGCTTCGATCGAGCGTTGGTCTTGCGAAGGCCACACGTTCCATTCGCTCTCCGGTGCTTCTTCCCACGGGCCCGGAAGCGCTCTCTCTCGGGAGGAAATCCGCGCGGACGTTCTCTATTTGTCCACAATGTCAGTTCCGAACACAATCGGTATTTCGATTCTCCAGTGAGCAGGAGGATAAATTGAAGGAGGGGAAGCCGTTAGGGGAGGAAAAGAAGGATGTGAGCGAATTGGATCGGGTCAAGGGAGAACTAGAGACGGAGACAGGACTGACTGTGACGAAGGCTACGGAGAATGCAACACACGAGGAGCAACAGAAGAATACAGGATCTCAGGAGGGCTGGATCGGTCGCAGTCTTCCTTCCTACCTTGAAGATCACAGGTCGCAATTATCTAAGCGTTTCACAAACCTGATGGACAACCTTCAATCGAACGTCTTCATTGCGGGGCAGCGATTGAATGACCTGACTGGATACTCTGCCATTGAGGCTCTCAAGAAAGAGATCCTTGACCAAGGTAAGACGAAATATGTGTCTAATCGCAGCGAAGTTCATTCCTAACTATGGGACCCCACAGAGAACCGAGTGAGGGAGACCCGTGCTCAGGTCCGCGAGGCGAAGGATGCCTATGCTGCCGCCATAAACCGCCGCTCAACCTCTCAACGCGAGGTTAATGAGCTTCTTCAACGGAAACACGCATGGTCACCTTCAGACCTGGAGCGTTTCACACTGCTGTACCGGAATGATCACGCCAATGAAGTCGCGGAAGCAGAGGCCCAAGAGGCGCTCTCTGTCGCTGAACAAGAGGCTGAGGAGGCAGCTGCACGATTGAGCAAGAGCATCCTCTCTCGTTACCATGAAGAGCAAGTTTGGTCAGACAAGATTCGACGAATGAGTACATGGGGAACCTGGGGCCTGATGGGCGTCAACGTGCTCCTGTTCCTCGTTTTCCAGGTTGCCGTGGAACCATGGCGCCGTAAGCGCCTCGTGAAGGGCTTCGAGGAAAAAGTCATTGAAGCTTTAGAGAAGGAGAGAACTATCCTTCAGATCAAGGAGGCAACCGGCGCTTCTGAGGCCGCTGCAGCACCTGCGGTGCTGGCCGCCACAACGACTGCTCCTGCGCCGGCTGCCGATGTCGCTGCGGACGCTGTCGTCGCGGATGCTGTCGCCTCTGAGGCTGCTGCCTTAACAGCAGCATCCGAGGGAACAGAAACCGTCGATCTCACAAACACCGAGCAGGTCATAGCTCCTGCTGAGCAAGACACAATCTCCACTACAACAACGACATCATCTGAACTCCCGAAGTCAGATTACTGGCAATCCCAACTCCCCTCCACCCCTTCTTTCTCCATTGAATCCTGGAAGCAGTGTATCCATGACCTATTCAGCGATCGGAGCATTGCTATCTCTCAGCGAGATCTCACCACAGTGACGATCCAAAGTGCCGCTGCTGGAGCCGCGATTATGGGCTTACTGATCGCTATTGTCCGCCCGCGCTGAGCAAGAGGAATTACATACCCATGTCCTATATTGATCCCTATATGTGGGAAGATAGAATTGTAGATATCTTTTATTTTGTATCACTTAAACCCTTTTTTCTTCGTCATGAATCGTTTAGCAAAATTGCGCTCGCAGACCAGAGCTCAATGCATACATTTTTCTTTTTTACTAGCCAACAACTCAATGTAGGACTACTCCTGAACTGGAAGGGTAGCTCGGTATATAGTCTCTCTATTGATTTTATTGATTCTCATCTTGTACATGGGTGACTTGACACATAAGGAGACTACAATAGACAGAACAAATGAAATGAAACATCTGAATGATATGCGGATAAAGGGAAAGCTAGTAAAGACACATGTAAATCAGACAAGCCGGCTGCCTCCACTCTCTTGTCTGACCGACCCCATAGATGTCGATGAACCAGGCTGCCAAAAAGCCAAGGGACGGGATTACGGTCTATACCCTCCCCTGAATTTTTCTGCAGACAATGATACAGGCTCTATAAATTTCGTCTTTGTCCATATTGAAACACGTTTTTCATCCGGACAACCTCCTTGGAAACTGTGTCCGGAATCAAGTCCGCCCTGGATGTAGACGGACTGTTTAACCGATGACAAGGCTGTCCTCAGAGGGGAAGCTGTACTGAGGAATCTCGAGGTTCAGGGGAGCAGGACCCTTCCTGACACGGCCGGAGATATCGTAGTGGGAACCGTGGCAAGGGCAGAACCAACCACCGTAGTCACCAGCCTCACCAATGGGGACACAACCAAGGTGAGTGCAGACACCTATATGCAGAAAAAAAAAGCACGTTAGACCACCCGCTCCTGTCCTATTTCGAAATACCGTAACAATCCCGGTTCTCTCGAATCAGTCATGGAGAGAACACATACCAAGCATAACCAGCCATTCGGGCTTCTGCACACGGTCAGAGTCGGGCTGGGGATCCCGCAGAGTGGTCCACTCAAATTCCTCAGCCTCTTTGATCTCATCTGGAGTACGGTGACGGATGAAGACGGGCTTTCCACGCCACTTGATGATAACCTGTAGAGACCGGAAATTAGAAACTGAGAGTACTCTAGACAGATATGTAGTAATTGACACGTACGTTCTTTCCCTCAGGGATCGATCCGAGAGCGACTTCAACCTTGGCCTGGGCCAAGACATCGGCAGATGCAGACATGTTGACGAGGAAGTCTGTAAGCAAACATCAGCATTCGCCCTTAAAACCACCGCTGATATCCAAGCATATCATCCTTCGCCTATTATTTGCCCTCCCATCACAACTAGACACCGTGGATGCTGCAGGTGGTGACCTACCTTGCACTGTGGCCTTCGCACCGACCGCGCTCACCAGACCCATGCTTCCAGCCATGAAGTAGGAGAAGACCTTGTTCGTCGTGGGGGATCGCTTGGAAGCATACTTGCTGAAGTTAGGGATCTTGGTGGTATCGCTGTGCTCGTGAGTGCGGCCGAATGGGCTGTCGAAGGAGGACTTGGGCGCAGCATCCGCGACTCCTCTCTGCTGGCAAGCGGAAACGGCGGCGCGAGCGGCGGGCAGCTGTTGCCGCGCGCAGGTGCGCAGCAGAGCGCTCGAAGCGGAGGCGAGAGACATGGCGGGTGAGTAGAGAGGAAGGGAGATGCAATTGACGAGAATCGCGAGTCGCGGGGAGGGACGGACGTCGGAGGTGGACGGTAGAGGGAGGATTTTCGAGGTTGGAGGTTGAAGTCGGACCCGGCCTTGGTGACGGTCAGTAACGTGCCAGAGCTTTCGTCCACCCGAAAACCCGGAATCACGGCGCCCCTGATTGGCCGGCGTCCTCCCGCCCAGCGACTCTTCCGAATCCTCCATTATTATCATCATCATTATTATTATCATTGCTGGAACAATCAATGGTCCTTCTTTCTACGGGCTACGATCAGAATGCCGTCGAGTCACAGCTTATCTTACTCGATATATGCATAGCGCAGCAGCGCCATCTCTCTCTATTGCCAAATACTAATGTCGAAAAAAAGAAATCGATCGCAAACCAGAATTCTCTCCCTGATGTGCCTGCCCATGACCGACCCAAATGCACCATAACCAAAAGACAGCAAAGCAGGAACTAACCCTTTCAACTCCACATATTATAATATGCACGCTATCATATCCATCAGCACTATCCAGTCATCTCCACGTCGCGGTCTGACGGCCCACGGCCTTGGTCCTTGACGGTACGATCAACCATCAGAGTACTCAAGGAACCCGGACTCTGACTGGTTATTCTTGGCTGCGACCCTATACTCTGATGATAATCATCGCTGTCGGTCCGGAGGATGGATATATCGCGAGGTCGCTCCACGCCATTTTCGGTCGGTTTCGTCCCGTTCAACGTGCGCTGACCCTTCTCGACGACTGCATTCTTGGCAGCTTCTTTGGCCTTCTTCTCCTTGAATTGTTTGTATGTGGTCGTCTTCGGTATGACGTCTGACAAGAATTCGAGATTGTCGATTCGTGACACCGCCGTTGCTACCGCTGGTCAGCATGGACACTGTAGTGCACCGTATTCCCTTTTATTACCAAGATCTTTATATTGTAGTGTCTTTCGGGGCTTCCTTTCTGATTTGACAACATTGTGTCCTTGTTCCGCCAGATATTTGATAAACATCTCCTGTTTGTATGTGAGCCGATACCGTCTCTCGAATGGGAGAAACCGAGAAGCGCAGCGCATACTGTAGCTATTGCGATGGCGAAAGTAGCATTGTGAGAGCATTGTGTAATATCGTCATCAAGCTGAATGATCTTTTTAACCCTCGATACTAAACATTCGTCAGCGTCTAATGCTTAGAAAGTGCTGCTGCGGATCACGACTGACAGGGAAGGGCACTCTGGCCGGTTATTTCGTCAGAAGGCGTCGAGGCGCCGTTATTGGGAGGCATGGCTCGATAAGAAACCGTATATCCAACGCACTGGTCCGAAAATTGTTGATCGAGAGGGGCAGAGGAGGGGCTGCGATTCCTGTTCTGTGGACGGTTGCAAGGCAATTAGAGAAATTGTTAAGAGACGTAGGAAGAAGAGATCTGGCGCGTGCGGTGTTCTAATCCACGGCACGCGAATTCGCCTCACAACTTACAAGTATAGGAACGTGCAAATGTGGTTCCTAAGGGGGACGTCTCTGCTTTAATGCCTGACTATAAAACTAAAATTTGAAGTCATCCCGTATAATAGCGTAGCTATTCGCCTGCCGTAACTCTAGATGAATCTATTGCACTCAATAATAATCTATGACGATCTGGAATTTCAACGCGACGCCGACTCCGAACGCGGGAACCAATTTCACGTGCAGCAACGGTCGGAACTAGGCAGTCTACAACACCGTCGCCCAAGCTCCATTAGGCACAAGTTCTTCTCAATTATGCGAATGACAGAGCCGATGTTATGAGCCAGCGACAATTCTCGTCGACCTCCGCGCAACGGCTGTCTGTTGCGGCTGATCGTCGACTCCCGCGGAGGGTCTCATCAGGCCTCTCCGTTTCCGGGCAGGCCGACGATGAATCAGCGGCAAACGCACAGAATCCAGCGCTCGTTGAGGAGATCAGGGAAATCAAGCGATATGAAGACTTTACAACGATAGACTGGGTCCAGGATGCGGTCCAGGAGCTATCCCGCAGACGGGCCAAGCGCAGGGAGGGGTCGGGCTTCTGGGACAAAGAAGGTACACTGGGATGGAGGCGCAAAGTTAGAGAATCCTACGATGCCGGTCAGACATGGCTGGTCGTTACGATTGTGGGAGCAGCTATTGGACTGAATTCAGCGTTCCTCAATATCGTGACAGAGTGGCTATCGGATGTCAAGCTCGGCTACTGTACCAGCGCATTCTATTTGAATGAACAGTTCTGTTGCTGGGGTTCAGAAAATGGTCTGTACCATCCTCATAACTGGACCAAGATCACTGCAGTGCTAATGCCGTCGTAGGCTGTCCCGAATGGAGACATTGGAGCTCCATCGGGTTTCTAAATTATATCGCGTACTTTATCTTCGCGGTATGTCAACCCCATCTATCACACAACCATACCTAATCCATCATAGGTCCTATTCGCCTTTGTATCCGCTACCCTGGTCAAATCTTTCGCCCCTTATGCGGCCGGTTCTGGTATATCGGAAATCAAGTGCATCATTGCGGGCTTCGTAATGAAAGGTTTCCTAGGGGCATGGACACTGCTGATAAAGTCCATCGGATTGCCTTTGGCAATAGCATCTGGACTCTCCGTTGGAAAGGAAGGACCAAGCGTCCACTTCGCAGTTTGCACTGGAAATGTTATATCTCGAGCTTTTAGCAAATACAGACTAAACGCCGCGAAGACGAGAGAAATCCTCACGGCTACAGCTGCGGCTGGTGTGGCTGTTGCGTTTGGCAGTCCGATAGGTGGTGTGCTATTTTCATTAGAGGTACGGCTTGCGCTATCAAAGCATCAAGTATAAGTCCTAATTGCTCTATAGGAGATGGCGTCCTATTTCCCACTGAAGACTTTATGGCGAAGTTATTTCTGTGCTCTTGTCGCAACCGGGGTACTAGCGGTATGTCTCTGTGCTTGTAATCCGTCGCAGGTTTCTAAATCTAATCGGTATTGCAGTTGATGAACCCTTTCAGAACGGGCCAGTTGGTCATGTTTCAGGTTCAATACGACCGTACATGGCACTTCTTTGAGCTTATCTTCTTCATCTTGATTGCAATTTTCGGTGGCTTGTATGGAGCTTTTGCGATAAAATGGAACTTACGAGCGCAGGCGTTTCGAAAGAAATATCTCTCACAGTATCCCGTCGTCGAAGCCACGGTTCTAGCAGGCCTTACTGCGCTCGTCTGTTATCCAAATATGTTTCTCAGGATAAACATGACGGAAATGATGGAGATCCTGTTCCGCGAATGCGAGGGGGGTCACAACTATCATGGGCTTTGCGAGTGAGTCTATAAAAGCATCATTGATGAAAACAGACCCTGACGTGTCTTCAGTGCCAACAATCGGTGGTCGATGGCTTTCTCTCTAGCAATTGCTACTGTCCTTCGTATCCTCCTTGTCATCATATCATACGGCTGCAAGGTGCCTGCTGGAATCTTTGTGCCATCGATGGCAATAGGCGCGACTTTTGGCCGGATGATCGGAATCTTTGTCCAGGCTTTACATGAATCATTCCCAAACTCAAAGTTCTTCTCCGCTTGCGACCCCGATGTGCCGTGTATCACCCCTGGCACTTATGCCTTTCTTGGTGCAGCAGCAGCTCTAAGTGGCATTATGCATCTTACAGTCTCTGTTACTGTAATCATGTTCGAATTGACGGGGGCGTTGACTTACATTCTCCCTACTATGGTGAGTCTTTATCCTACCTGGCCTACATGGGTTCTACTTGGACAAATACTGACATTGATAAGATCGTCGTCGGTGTCACCAAGGCAGTTGGAGATCGCTTTGGCAAAGGAGGAATAGCAGATCGGATGATCTGGTTTAACGGCTTTCCCTTTCTGGACAATAAAGAAGATCATGTCTTCAACGTCCCAGTATCACACGCAATGACTAGCAACCCGCTGTCGCTACCAGTCTCCGGCTTCCCTCTTCGAGAAGCCGAGCACCTGCTTAATGATAACAAATTCCAGGGCTTTCCTATTGTCGAGGACCGTACTAGCAAAGTTCTGTTAGGGTATATTGGACGAACGGAATTGAGATTCGCCATTGAAAAGGCAAAACGTGAAGGACTGGTATCCCGAAACACGAAGTGCGTGTTCTCAAAGCAAGCTGCGGAGGAAGCTGTTGCGCATAGAGCTGAGCACCAGGCTCCGGTTACGTTTGATGATATTGAGACTTCGGCCGGCGCGCCAATCATCGACTTCAGTCGCTACGTGGACCATACTCCCCTGTCCGTCCATCCTCGGCTCCCGCTAGAAACGGTGATGGAACTCTTCAAGAAAATGGGTCCTCGTGTTATCTTGGTCGAGCACCGCGGCCGTCTCAGCGGACTCGTGACCGTCAAGGATTGCCTGAAATACCAGTTCAAAGTGGAAGCCGAAGAACACGCCGTTGCTGCTACCAATCCATCCTGGCTCGGTGCTTCTGGCATCAATAATCAACCAGACAGTGCCGGCACGCTGGAAGAGAGGATATGGAACTCCTTCCTGTGGATTGGTACGAAACTGGGGCTATCATCTTCGCGTGTCCGCTTGGAATCGAGACCGAGAAGGCCACCGGGCAGAACACAGTCATCGTCACGAATCCTGGATGGGACAGAACAGGACGAACCGAGGATTGAACTGACAGAAAGATAGGTGGTATTATCGCTTTCTATGATACCTTATTCAATGTTGCATGTTATCAATGAGTGACGTCCCCATTTTATTCTTCTCTATGTCATCAACATTTGGATGGTTTGAAAAATATTAGATTCGAGAAATTAGATATCAAGGCCGGTTCGCATCGGCTCCCACTAGCTGCGAAATCAACTTTCAATATAGAGTGCAAATGCCCCTTACGCCACCTACAACAATAGAGCCACAGACAGCCGGAGCTCAAATCAAACCCAGTAAAACAATCACAACCTCACCACACCATTGTCACGACGACCTTCTCTCTTTCCGGACCCCCCTTCTTCCTCCACATCGCTCAAATCCTCATCTCCCCCCAACAAAGCAACATTCTCTCCTTCAACTCCGTCCTCACTCAGTCTTGCCGTCCTCCTACCAGTCGCATCAGCGGCGGTCGTGTCTTCTTTCCCAGACTCATCTCTCATCCCAACCAGTATACATCCCGCACCCATCATCGCAGCACCCACCCACCACAGTCCACGGACCTTCTCACTAAACACAATCATTCCCAGTAGAGCGGTGACGAAGAAATTGGCCGAGGTGTTGGTGATAGATACTTTGGTGGTTGATTGCGAAGCAGTCAGTGCGCGCGTGAAGAGCGCCCACATGATGAAGTTCGAGATGAGGTTTAGGGCGAAGCAGATCTGGCGGTGGATTGGGAATGTCAGTAATAAATTCCATTATTATAATGGAGTATGGCATGTCTCGGGTGGGAAGGTGTGTGTGAATTGCGTAAGTGATGGTGCAGATGTTCCCCAACGGGTGGAGTTGGGTATTATTCGTAAGAGAAACTCAGCGAGTAGGAACGTACCGCTCGAACAACGATTTCAACGAATTCATCAGGTAGATGTAAGAAGTGCGAGATAGAGAGGGAAATCGAAGTTGTTAATTCGGTAGTTGTCCTATTTGTCAAGTTCAAAGGTAGTCAGTCATTGTCAGCCTGGAGCAAAGAAAGCCGCAGCTTTTTTCTTTCTTTTTGTCTTTCCTTTTTTTTTTTCTCCTATTACTGAGGTAAAGGAGATGACAATTACTCGAAAATTCATTCGATAGAGTCTTTATGAAATGGTATAGTGAAGTATAGTTGGGGATGGAAACGGAGGACTTACAGCTTGGCAAACAATCCGTTCAACGCAGCGAACGTTCCACTGGCAATGGCCAGAACCAGCCACTTGGGCTGCGACGAGAGGGTGCTTCCCATATCCGATGATCTCAATTAGATGGCATGAACTTGAAATAGTAGCAGGTATCTGGGGATAGGCTCCCTTCAATGATCCGAGTGAGGCGCGACGCGAATGCGGAGGCGGAGGTCGTGTTGCTTAGATTGATAAGGGGAGCGGAGTGGGGAAGTGTTCTAATGCTATCTAAAGTATGATCTGCAGTTCCTTTCAAGACATTTAAATCGGAACAAAGTAGTTAATATTACTTTTCATGAAGTAGAGAAGGATTAGAAATGATTATGTACAATTTTCTTTTCGATTGAATATACACACAACTGAATTATTGTAGTGAGTGGTAGGAGTGCTTTCCCTCGTCCTCTTCTTTTCCCAGCGCCGAGTGTTGATATTTTTCGACTTGGGATCTCATTAGGCGGAATGTCAGTGTCATTATTTCAGTACGCGATTCTTGTTCGTAAGTACCAAGTCTATCTCTGGCACAACTGGCGAGCAGCGATTTTCAGACGTCTCGGAATAGCAATTGTAAACTGCAGTGAGTCCTCAAGGAGACAGCCTCTCTATGCGCCACGTAAAGACGTCTTCTCCGTTTTCATCGGTTCTAGGAGCAACTCGTACATAGCGGAATCTGTCATGGAGTCTGCTGCGACGGCCTTGCCAGAATTCCACCGATTCTGGAACGATGCGGACTCCGCCCCAAAAAGGTGGAAGCGGGATCTCTTCAGTGTCGGCAAAGCGGGCTTCCATCTCCTTGACTCGCTGCTCAAGCAAGCCGCGTCCATCATCAATGTCCGTCTTGTTAATGTCCTCCTTTAGATCAGCAGAAGGAGAATTGGTCTCATCTTCCGCTAGGAGCTTAGCATTGCTCTTCCGTCTAGGAGGTAATGTTCCGGGCTCTGCTGACCACAGAACTTTGCTCTGGTGACTCGCCCAACCGCCAATTTGACTGCCTCGCTCTCTCGTCCGCCAGTACAGTTCACTCTCTTCCCTGCTGAGTGGCTCCACAAGACCCTCGATCCGGACTTGACGTTCAACAGCAGGCCAAAGGAACGTAAGTGCTGCCCACTTATTGCCCAACTCCGCGGAAATGTCTTGCTCCTCTGCAGCACCTGTGTCGCTCTCGTCAAGTCCAAGATTGTGATAAGCCTCTTCTGGGCTAGTCCAACCCTCACCGGGACCATTAGCACCGAACACTTGTTTTCCTTTCCCTTGTCTGCTGCCCCAGTTGCTGTATACCACCCATCCCCTCTCGTCCAATTCTTTGAGGTATAGCACGCGTGCGCTGACCCGTCCAGAGGGCATAGATGCGGTCGCCAGTGTGCAAGTTTCAGGCGCGGATGAGGGAGGGAGCCTAGGATCATGGAACCAAGCGTTGAATTGGCGGAGAGGATTCGTAGGATGTAGCTGCGAAATAGTGAGAGGAGGGTTGCTCACAAATTGATGTGCGCGAGCAGGGTGGGAAACAATATGGCTTTCCATGACGGAGGTCGGCGTTGATGTGTAGGACCTGGGTATCTCCTCTGTCAAGCGGGAAATGGCTGTCTTCGAGAACGTAGCAGAAGGATCAGCTGTTTCCGTTGCTTGTATGACGGGCTCAGGTGACCCGGCAGGTACTTGGATGTCTCCTGGGGCAACTGCAGAATGTCTCTTAGTTATACGAATTCTTCTCTAGCTCAAGTCTCAGAATGTCGCCATACGGGGTCCGTACAGATCAGTTTCTTCGGATGAATAGAACTCGACCGCCTCTGCTTCTGATCCTCAGAGGGACCGCCAGCATTGGCGCCAGACCCAGAATCTCCATTTCCTGCCATATTCCCTGAGAAGCGAAGTGCTCTCCGAAAGGAAACTTGCGACGGTGGATGAGAGCGACGGATCAGTGAGTGGGCGGCTGGAACCGGTAAACAGAGGCGCATGTAAATCTCTGCTTTGTGCAATGTGATGTGCTTGACTATGAGACAGTGTAAAGCCAGCAGCGATAGAAAGAAGACTGAAGAGGATTGGAAGTAAGAATATCACAATCGGTCTGAGTCGATTGCGCATCAGGTACTCTACGGGCCGTTTCCTCTTGCAGCGGGGCAATTCCGGAAGGCATTCATTAGCCATCTTCCGCGGGGTTCTCCCACCAGCCACGACTCCATCTGCAAGCTAGATAGCTGAGAACATACTCTACATTATTGCTTATAGCCATATCCATTATTTGATAAATTACTTAAGGCAAGATAGTCCAGTGCTAGAGAGTCTAGTAAAGTCCTCATTTTCCTGTTTACTCTTTATTTCCCTAATGACATCATTCTCTTCATCGTGGTATGAATTATCGACTACTCCGTCGCCATTACAGCTGAGCTTTCTCTGTGCCTCTTCCAACTGCCGCTAGAATGGCGTTTTCAGTGCTCTTCAACCTTGCTTCCGAAGTCTTATACAGTCTAGGAACTCCGCTCTCCTCGAACGGCCGATTTTCTCGAATCATCCTAGAGATACCCTTCGCCGATAAGAAGACTTGTGGCATTCCATGGCCTGTGAATCCCGCCAGTATGTATTGCTCTGGCTTTCCAGGGACACAACCAACGTGCGGTAGATAATCACTCGAGTATCCCATCACTGGAGCCAGTTAGCGTTTGACAGCCTGGTAGAGACATGTAGAAGCAGATAGGGACTAACCACCAGTCCACACTCTATCCGTATATGCTCCACTGTCTTCCCAGCCGCGGAAATGGCGCTGCATATAGCCATCAAAGTAATTCTTGGCTGGCTCAATGAGCTCAGAATCATCTACGACGTTATACCAATTGCTCAACTCTGGCAAATACTCAGCTCTAGCTCCCCCAACGATAATACTACCATCGGGTCGCGGAATGAGATAGTCGAAGATAGTCGGACTCCAGCGCAGACTATATGTATTGGGAAGATAGGGAGATGGCTTATCCTTCGGCGTCATAATCCGACTGCACATTCCACGAACAGGCACTATTTTGCCCTTGTACTGCGGCAGAAGTGCAGACGTATATGCGTTTGTTGCAAATATCACCTTCTTCGCTTTTATAGACCCTCGAGATGATGTCGTTACCGTCCATCGACCACTCGAGGGATCGGCGGTTCCAGAGATCTCAGCCACTGGAGTATGTGTCTGTAAATTGACACCACGGGACAGAGCAATTCGGAGTAAATGAATGATGAGTCTGTAAGGCCAGATAGAACCTGCTGTAAAGCTCGTACAGCCTCTAGCGTCCTTGACTCCGCATACCTGATTGCCAAACTATTAGCATCTGAGGATTTTCAATACGGGCTTTAGGGCAATTATTCTTACGTTTTCAGCCTTGCTGCCCGGTGTATACTGGACATCCAGCAGCGACACGCCTGCCTTCTGGAGGGCTTCGATATCATTCTTCACCTTTTCGTTTTGAGTCTCGCTAAGAAAGACGTCAAATGCTCTCGTAAGTTGGAAATCGCAATCTATGTCTTCCTTCTCGACAAGCTCCTTTATGGCGTGGAGATGTGCTTTCTCGAATTCCGCCAGTTCTACTGCTGCTTCAAGACCATACTTCGCAGACATGTTACCGATAGATGCATACAGAGAAGGCTTGATATGACCCCCTTCAACACTATATCTTTAGCCCTGTCACGATAATTTCCAATAAAGTGAAGCTAGACTCACCATTTCTCCCAGTCGCCCCGGAACACGCTTGTCTTGCTTCGAGCATTACAATTGATGGCGGGGTGGGGTTCTCATCTAGGAGATGATATGCAACAGAGGCACCAGCATAGCCAGCGCCGATGATCACTATATCGCATTCTGAAGGGAGACTTTCTGTAGAGCGGTAATCGTCAAGTTCGTCAGGTTGGGCTCTCCAAAAGGAGACCGTGCTGTTCGGGACCGGAAATGGCATCTTGTCGTTTGTCGCCAGTTTGAGGGGTGGGCCAATCGATATTCTTAATGCTGGAAACAGCTAGAATCCAGCTTAGAGAGAATTGGATAAGTCGATATATTTGAAGATATAGTAGGATAAAGACTATTAGCGACTTGCAAAACGTTTGTCTAAGAGAGTCCAGCAGATGCGTCTGATTAGATAGCGGATCGGTCGGCAGTAACCGACGCTTTACATAAATCCGCTAAGGTGTTCCCTTTTGCAAAAGATGACCCTAGATAGCGCAGATAGATAGGTATCTATCCTTTATTAAAGATTTACTAAGATTTCTCTACGAAGGACTGGGTATCCGCGATAAGTATGGTACTTTTTGCCATGCATTGAAGGACACGATTGTCATGAACAAATAACAAATATTTTGTTCTATTGTTGCGCAGGATCTCAGACTGTTTATTCTCAAACATGATAATGTAGAGCTTACCTACCCTGCCTGGGCATTATCATGGTTTCGTGTACCGAATGTCCTTGTAGCTGTCATGTCAAGCGTAGTCCCGATTGAGTAGATGCTTAAGGGACGCTTGATCTCACCAAGTCAAGAATATTCATACTACGGCTGCTATCATCCTTAACTGAGGAACGGTGTATCTCTCCTTCGACTAACCTTATATTTTAACCTGCAGTACCGAGCTGGGAATCAAGATCCGCTAGTAGTTCAGTCCAGTCGGGAATATCGAAACTGGGCGCCACCGAGAAAAAGTCGCTCCATAACTCATCAAACGGCTGCTGTTGAAACTGGTCATGTTGGTTGGTGGACGTCTCTGGGGGGAATCCAGATTTCTCGTCACCGTGATCAGTGCGATGCCCGAGTAGTCTGTCTGTCATCTTGCTTTTGTCCATCTTAGGGACTGCCAGATATCCTATGCCAGTATCACCGGCCCGGTGCCGTGCCTTGTGTCTGTTCAACATGTCTCTCAGGCTTCGGACGGCCTTCTGTAACCCTCTAGACATGCCAAGGTCCGGCTCACTTTCTGTTCCTCCTGTCGAAGAGCTATTTTCCAGCAACTGACAGGCTGCTAGGATATCTGCTTTTCTTTCCTCAATTTTCAACTCGTCAGGGTTGAAACATACATCCATAGCTAACACTATCACGGCCATGAGAACATGATGTTGGACATAATAAAGCTTGGTGAGATCTTCCCTTCCCGCCATCCGGTTGCGACGAATGTCCAGTACCATCTCCGCTGAACGGATACATTGCATACGGGAGTATGCGAACTTTGGCTCAGATGATCCACGAATCAAGAATGGCCGGTGAAGACGTGTGATATGCGTATAGATCGTGAAGTTGATAAATGATCTCTGAGGGTCCAGATATGGCTTTTCACGAAAGACGCTCGCGTCACTTTGGTAACTGTCTAACCGAAAGAACGGAGGGAGCGATTTCAGAAAGGCACTGTAGTTGTGATCAAGAAGGAGAATAGTATCATAGATCTCGTTACTGCTATCGGCGCCGGGGCAAGAAAAGTAGGACGGCGGAAGTCGATCCACCACCTCCCGAGACAGCGTGGCTGCCTTGATACGACAGATAAAATAGGTCATTGTAGTCGGACTTGTCAGGGGTAACCCATAGTCCTCACTATGTGAATAGGTTTTGCTTGTCGTGATTGAGTCGTCATCGACATTGCTAGGATAATTGGTTTCTATCTGCCGAGGATGGAGTAGGTACGTCCCTTCCTGAGGGCCGCCTATGCTTGCTAGCAGCCTAAAATGACAATGGTTAGCCAGTAGTCTTAGTGAAACTTCCCAACGTTTGGTTGTACTACCAGTCTGAAGAAACGATGTGCCACCACAATCTCCTTTTCGATTCAACATCAACGGGATCCATGCCGTTTCGCTTCCGTTCCTCCCAGTCATACGGCGTGTCAAGCCTATGTATTCGCATTTCTTGCGCCATTCGGATTGTGGAGAGCCAGAGACCATGAAAATTAGTCGAGAACCCACTGAATTCCATAGAGAGATGAGTGATGGTCACTAGCGCCTGTAATGCTTCGGTGGATGCTCGTATTGGTGGGGTCGTTAGAAGGAAGACTGCATATCGAAACCATTTCTCGGAGAGAACCCTTGGTGGTTCACTAGTAGAGTCAAGCTCTTTGCCCTGTTGGTCAAGGTACGCACTCACTGCAAATATGCTCAAAGCAAAGGCTAGGCGAGTTCTCGTTGGAGTCCGTCCATTCGAAAGATCTCCGTACATCTCATATAGATTTGACCATGCTGTCTGGACGTGCAGCATATGATAGAGGATATTCACTTTGGTAAGGAACCTTCGTAGCAGATCTTCAGCCACTGTAAGAGTAGGTAGACTGTCGAGGACTCTTGAGATGTCTAATGGGCTAGTTGCCTTAGATTCTGCCGCTTCTCCAAGCCCATTCCAGAATGAACAAGACTATGGATGTCAGTATTCCGCTGGAGAGGAATAGGACTTTTCAGTGTATTACCGACATTATCCTCATTGGAAGCAGAGGCAATGGCTGGGGTAGTCGCCATGTCTTCCAGCCATCGAGATGCAAATTGTTGCTCTTCATCTTGATTCTGACGACTCTTGGGATTGCCAGATCCACTAGGTCTTGAGAAATGATGAGGTACGTCTGTGTTTCTCATATCTGGTCCGAAGACCGCATCTTCTAAGCGTCTCAGACGTCGTGCAAAGCTTTATGAATTCCAGAGTTAGAAAATTACTAGCGATGTAGATTCAAGCTCGTGTATAACCTTTCGTGATCTCCCTCTCTCAACCTCATTCCAGTACTGACAGGAACATAAGGAGGTGGCGACGGTTGCGCTTCCTGAATGGGGTCTACCAGGAAAATATGAATATTAACAAATCGAATATATATAACATTGATGTTGCTCACCGGCTGCATAAACGCATGTGGTATTTCTGGACGAACAATTCGAGCAAGGGCGTTCTCTATCGCACTTGAGCTTCCTCGTCCGGCAAAGCTGACACGACACTGGCTGCTGTAGCGAAGACCTCTTTGGTGGAGGAAGATCGCCTGTAACTGTCCTCTTCATCATTGCAGGCTAGGTATATATGATCTGTCTCGAGAATCTATCGATCGAACGTCGTGAGCTATTATGGCGCAGATGGTTCCATTTCCATCCATGGATGACTGTTGTTGATAGTCCTACTGCAGAAAGCACTACTAGCACTGCATTGGAGATAACAAGTGGCTGTTATAAACAAGAATAATGATGGGTAGTAAGTAGCCTTCTATATGATGTTGAGAGAGCAGACAGACCAAATCGCCTCACGGAGACCCGTGGGGCTCCATGGAGGGATGTGGGTCCAGCGGACGCTTGAAGTTCTATTGCATTGATTGATTATCTTGGAATTAGTAAGTTCAGGCACAAATACATAGTTAATAGGAGACCATTGTGTGAATCGCAATTTGGGAAATATCATAATAATAATGCCAGACTTATAGTGAAAGCCTGATATTAAACTTCTCCTTCCTAACTGGGAAAACATTAACAGGAAGGAATATAAAGAACCTCACTTCACTCCCGCATCTCACCCTTAAGTATATCACACACACAAAACCTCATGAGCTGGTCAGTCAATAAATAAAACCTAATCTTGTCACTTGAAGCTTTCTATGAGCAATATACATTACAAGAAGCTCCTACATCAGAAATATCGCGTATCATTACATACAAATCACTAATAACATAAACTTTCATTGACTAGGTACCATTGAAACACATCTTACCCGACCGTCAGAAGAACATCTCTGAGTGATATGTCAGATCTAGGACCTCTACGGAGTTCTCTTTTTTGGTCTAGTCATTTAGTCGACTTCCGTCAGTCGCTGTTTCGAAGTTACGTCGACCGCATAAAGAAACGTCAAAATGACAAAACATGGACACAACTGTACGTCCACGGAGAGTTTGGTACAGCCGAATATTAGCCAGAGTCCTTAATTTAGTTTTGACATTTCTTTTTTGTTTGACATGCTGACATTATTTAAAGGTATGGAATGCCCTTGGTCACAAATACATATACGCTATCGCCAGAGCTCAACGAAGAAGACATCAAAGCAACTGTGAAGAAGCTGTCGAATCCTGAATGCACGGACACAGCAGAAATATTGAAGGAACTTGCTTGCTTGATTGAATCTAGGGGGAATTGAACACATATTTAACTCTATAGGTTCACAAAGAATCTAGATCCTAGTGATCTAGTAGGTTCCATCCTATAATCAGGATATCAAAGAATCTGCGGATTATCTGCCGCAAACGGATAATTGACAGATCACAATTCTAGTCACTGCTGTTCGCTGTTCGCACACCTGATCAACAATGCCTCCCTTTACGCTGGTAGTTTTTGGCGGCCGGGTGTATGACATGGCCCTGGCAACAGACTTTGTGATGATAGGGAAGAAATTTATCGCAGACGGGCTAAATCCGACATGTCTCTCAGGTACCAATCTCCAAGATATCACCAATATGTTCGGGCCGTTTCTGTTCGGGCGAGAGGACTTACGAGCGAGGGTCCCCATTTACGACAGCCAGGAGGCCATGAGGCCATTCTATCGACTAGAGGCCCATGGCCTCAAATCGCACATCATGAACTGGATCAGACTTGTCTCCGGCCAGGTGCGCCCTGGCGATCGCATTATAATCGTTCTGATCGGGCATGGTAACCAGAGAGACAGCGCTGTCACACTATATCCTCAGCACGCAAAGCAGGAGTTTCTGTCCAAAGCCGAGATGGATGCCGCTCTCTCTATCTTGCCGCCCAAGGTCCGCCTTTTGATTGTCAACGAGGCCTGTTACTCCGGAACGTGGGCTATGATAGCCCCGGATGTAGGTGCCCAGCGAGATGTGCTTGTCGAGACAGCAGCCACCCTCGACGAGCAGTCCTGGAGCTATACCTCGGGCCCCGGCCGAAACCGGTGCTCTTTGTTCGGAGCGGCATTTGTGGAGGAGCTTACCACCTACCCCGAGGGAAGGATCTCCCAGCGTCGCAGTCGAATAGTCGACGAGATGCTCCATGTTGGGCCTGACCAGAAAACCTCTACACCGCTAGTGATTCCCTCCGCTCGCGCTCTTCTGTCCCACAATATCTCACACTTCATCCTCACACCAAGAATTGCGACTGCCATCACGAATGCGGCTTCTGCTCAGGATCCTCATGAGGCACTTCTGCAGTCACGGACCTCTGGCCGGAATTTTTGGAGAAGACTTCGTCGCGTGATGAGTTCACCAGCGCAGGCGTTAGGGGGAGACAGCCCGGTGAAAGATGGCACTGGTACTGACATGAAAGTTCTCGTAATAGAGAACTACCTGAAAGACCTCGGGCCGCTAAAGGCCGCGCTCGACTATTGCACCCTTGCAACAGCCTGTCAGCTCGCTCTTGAAGGCCGTGGGCCTCCGGATTTGCAAGACCAGGTGATAGCTACTATTGCCTGGCAGGCAGTCCAGATGCAACGGGTTAGCGGATTGCTAGAACAGCTGGCCGAGCAGGGCCTGGTAATAGATGTAGTCGACGTAGAAAGCGCCGATAAAGCACTGGCAGACCACCAAGAAGACATTGTGGTGCCCCTGGTGGAGAGGTTTCGTGACGACGACAAGCTATCGTGTATAATGGAACCCCCGACTGAAGGCCATGTTGGTGTCAACTTCAACGATGCAGAGGACTGGCTGATTGGAATCTTGGCCTATAACTGGCTGATGTACCCGGACAAGTTCAATCTCGATCGCGTGGAGAATGAGGTGGTTGCGTTTTTGGCTTAGTTTGTGTGTTTCTCGCTTTTCTTTCTGTTGCTCGCCTGATCTGATTTACTAGTGAGCTTAATGTCAGTAGAGCGCTTCTGTATCTTATAAACAACAAATGTGAGAGAAGCAGGTTTCTATTGTGCGTAAATTCAATATTCTCGGCTCAGATAAGATATCTTCGGTTATGTCCTGCGCATCAATCTAGAAATCGCCGATAAAGCACTGGCAGACCACCAAAAAGACATTATGGTGCCCCTGGTAGAAAGGTTTCGGGAGGACGACAAGCTATCGTGTATAATAAACCCCCCGATTAGAGGCCATGGACTCTATTCGGTACTCTATATATGATTGAACAACTGCCCAGATCTGTTGGTCTCCTTAACAAGAAAAGCTAATACCATCGGTTTCTATTCCTCACCATGCTCTATGCTCCCAGCCCATCCCAAACCGTGGCGCCGAGTAATGCTGTAGTACTGGACTCATTTGCAATGCTGGAAGGTTCGCGCGCATCAGTAAAATTAGACCCTTCAGCAAAGAAATAGATTCCATGACACCCAATGTCGAAAGCACCATTAATATCGGCCGGATAGTAGATACGTGTCGAGAGAACAGTCCGTTCGTTGATAAACACCTCAAGGACACTTGAGTCGTAGAATGCGTGAATGTGAAGTGGTTCTTCTCTTTCCTCATCGACTCCGCAACCATCGCCAGACTTGGTGTGTGAAATATACGTGAACAAGGTGTGAGGGCTGACTTCAGGTGCGTGATTGACAGAAGTATCAGACTGCTTTCTCCATATATTCGGTCTCTCAATCATAAAGGTCTCGCTATTTTGATCCCAAACGAGTAGAGTCTTATCCTGGAGAGCTACAAAACAGTAGATTAGCCAGAGCCCACACCTTATCTTGTACTAAGAAGATGAGGAGGCTATAAGAAGTGTCTATATTGCTTACCTGCGTCATGGTATATAACAATACCAACTCGACTACACTCATGGCCGACATCAAATCTGGCGTCCACTTCCCATCGGGATGTATACAAAGGCAAGAATGTGGATTCAGTTGTCTTGGTAGTTCCATTTCCAACAGGATACAGTCGAGAGTGAGCGAAATCGGTCTTCCGTGAGTTCATTCGAAGTCTCCGCAGTCTTGGATCAGGGCTAATCTTCATGGTTCGGATTGTGTGTGTCCCAGAATCGTCTGGGGTAGCTTCGATAGAGGTGATGTCCCTAACATCGGCTGTCGATCGTGCTCTCTTCACGCGGTGGATCGTCATCAAACTGAGCACTCGTGGCAACGAGATCAGACCACTCCAACCTTGTCGATGACGCAGGTTATCAGGCAAATCCTCCTCTGTGATCCAGCCAAACACGACTTGCTGCTCGATCACGGGGTCCCAGAACGAATTTGCTGCGTATAACAGTCCGTTGTCGAAGATCCCACCAAAAGAGTATTCCATAAGTGCAGCAGACTTAGAACCATCAGATGGGTTCCTCTCCTTGACACACATCCACAGCTGTGACCGATGGATTCTGGAATCTCTTGCAATGGGGTTGTCAGCACGTTCTTTCTCGTCTCGAGGTAGACAGCCCTCCGACCCCATTATGAGAAAATCACGCGAACTGCCTTCGTTATCTGTGAGGGTGACCAAATTGGCCACCTCCCAGTTCACCCCAAAATCTCCAGTCCAGCGCGAAGGTCGCAGGTTGAGTCCCACATCTATCAGAGGCCCAGCAAACTTCCATTCAGCCAGATTGTGCTCGTTGATAGTGTAAACGAACACTGTTGGTGTTACATCAGAAAGACCGCCTGAGATGAAACCGTACAGCACACCTTCCCGACGGACCTGTGCTGGTGCAGACCTCCAAGATGAAATGAATGGGTCTCTCCAGCCGGTGACCTTAAGACTCTCCGGCGGGCCAGGAAGAATGGGGTTAAATGGCAATCGCTCCCACGTGTCGCCCCCATTGTGCGAAACAGCAATACTTAAAGTCTCACATCCCGGGGTATAGGGGATCGTAAAATGTATAGGAAGTTGGTTGACCGACGTGTATAGATAGGTCAGTGTTCCATCTTGCTTTCCATCAACATTGGTAGACCGGAGACAGCCGGTGAAGATACCAAGACGGTCATACGGAGCGGCTGGGACAAGGCATGGCTGCGAAAATGTTTCCCATGATACGAGGTCTTTTGATGTTGAAAGCCCCCAAGATATGTTGTCCCAGTCGTTACCATTGGGATTCCATTGGAACGCCAGGAGATACCGTCCCCGAGAAGAGTCATAACCCGGACCACACGGATCGTTTAACCATCCATGGGGTGCCAAAAGATGGAAAGATGGACGCCATCGCACGAAATCGGAGTGGTTTCCTTGCGGCTTGCGGCCGACGGTGCTGATGTCGGTCTCTCCGAGTTGGTGGTGGCCCGAGGTAGGAAACGGGTCAATTGACCGCGCTGTTGTGAGTGTAGACATGTTTAACTGTGTCTATTGAATTCTTAAGCAATGCAAAAGGAACCTTCCAGCACAAGAGAGCATTGGAGAGGATCAGGAGATGATGTTATAGCTCAATTGAAAGCTCGACTACCCATCTGCATCGGTGCCTTGGTTAACCTGGTATGTTGTCTCCGGCGAAACATTTAGCGTCATATTTGAGGAGTATTTTCGGCAAAATCAGAATATCCTCTTCACATCAGCAGATGCATTCTTGTTTTCCTCGGTGACTGACTGCTTCAGTGTGGTCTGTATCACAGCCGGAGAATCGTCGGCGAAACTCACTATTTACCCCAGGTCCAACTTACCTAGTTTCGCCGAAAATCTGGGGATTACGTGCATCTGGAGAAATCAGTTCACCTTAGATGTCTGCCCGGGGCAATTACGCTCAGATGGGGACCTCTTGTATGATTTTTATAAATGGGAGACGGATCTACCATGGGAGTTGCAATTGTCTCGTGCGGTGTGTGCCTTTGCCGGTGATCCATGCACTTTTCTTGAATAAATTCCACCAACATCATGTCGTCGCCCAAGGAAAAGGAAGGAATCGCACTTGATGAGATCAATTCCATCCATATCCAACATGTCGATGGGCTCAAATCAGCACCAGAAATGGTTGATCCGCAGAAAGGCGCCGTGAATGCGTTTCTTATACTGGCATGCATTGCCTTTGGCTCTGCTTCATTCCTGTTCGGCTACGATGACAAAGTCATCTCTCCTATTGCCGCCTTGACTGCATATGTAATATCACTATCTATCTGTCAGAAGTCGATTGTGGGAGACCACCGTACTGATCTCATGATTCTCGCAGGTCGAAAAATACCAGGGTCCCAACCCCGTCACGGGGAAATTGGTCCTGACTGCACGGAATCAGAATCTAGTCTTTGCCGTCCCCCTTGTCGGATCAATCATCGGTGGTCTTGCAGCATCCCCTCTAAACAACCATTTTGGTCGCAAATATCCGTTACTGGCGGCATACGTCTTCTCCCTCGGAGGAGGCTTCCTCCAGCTCTTTGCACCTAACCTGGCTGCATTCGTCGCTGGACGCTTCTGGAACGGCACTGTTATCGGTATCGCCAATGCAACTGCTCCTCTATACTTGTCTGAAGTAGTCCCACCGTCGATGAGAGGTCGAAGTGTGACTTCGATCAATATCTTGTCACTCATATCTGGCGTCGTCTCTACTGTCATAGTGAACGGCACACATGACCTCGAAGGAAAAAAACAATACATGATCCCACTTGCTGTACAATGCGGACTCCCTGTTCTTCTGTTCTTTCTTACTTTCCTCCTCCCGGAAAGCCCTCAGTGGCTGGTGAGCAAAGGACGCATGGAGGAAGCCCGCCGCAATCTTCGCAAACTCCGTGGATTCTCCGATATGCAAGTGGATGATGAGCTACGGGTCATGAAGCTCTGCGAGGACAACGAACGAGCCCTCACTGCCAACGTACGATTCTGGGAGATCTTTGATCGACAAAATCTCAAACGTACCCTTACCGCTGGGTCTTTCTACTCTTTGAACCAGGTATCTGGCGTCATCCTTTCGACCACTTATACTACCGTCTTCCTCACGGAGCTCGGAGTCGGTGACGCATTCACATTTACCGTTATCGCATCTTGCTGTACCCTGGCGGGCAGCATCGTTGCTCCCTTCATCATCGACCGTGCCGGAAGACGACCCACGGCATTTGTAGGAATGACCCTCCTGCTCATGATCGACGCTGCTGCCGGAGGCCTCGCCTTTGATACACAAAACAAGCAATCCGTACTAGCCATTGCCGCATTAGGATTCATTTTCAATTTCTTCTGGGGGGCCTGCTTCTACTCACTCTCCGCACTGATGCCGTCGGAGATCGCAACGCCCAAGTTGCGCAACCACACCATGGCATACACCATCGCATGTGCTCAAACGACAGCCGTCATCACAACATTTGCAGTCCCACAATTGACGTCTGCGGACGCAGCGAATCTGGGTGCGAAAACATATCTCATCTTTGCGGGTCTGATGGCCTGCATCATTGTTTTTGCTTTCTTTTTCATGCCGGAAACAAGAGGGCGCACTTTTGCGGAGATTGATGAGATGTATGATGCTAACATTCCCATGTGGAAGTGGCGGAAATACCAGACTACAACTGAGGCTAAGCAGACGAAGCTGGTTTCTCCTGAAGAGATGCTGTCGGGTGTATAGACACATTTTAAGAATGAGGGGTTTTGTATATACTTCTCACCTTCGGTAGGGGGCTGACATACTCACAACTTAAGTACCTAAAAGAAGAAAAAGTTCATGTATATTTGTCGAATGTTGAATGGTACGGAAGGAAGGTCTGATTCGAACTACCTTAAATTTGCTTGCTTGAATCTAGATCTGGGGCGGGATTTGAACCCATATTTATCTTCTACCATATAGCATACAAAGAATCTAGATCCTAGTGATCTAGTAAATTCCGTCCTATGTTTAGAACTTGCTATAAACGCACGATTGACAGATCACCTGGACGTACGCTTTGTGCGCCGACAATATTCCATTTTATGACGACTATCTGTAACCCAAATAGTAAGTCTGCATGTAAAAGAACCGCCTATACTCTGCTATTTTCTAAGCTGATAACAAGATTATCTTACGAAACCTCTTTTATAGAAATGCTTTTAAGGATGTGATTAGGTATATGACCCGGTTGAACGTAAAGATACATTGGAAGTCATCTGAAACGGAAAAGTAGACCGAACATACGGCCTAAACTCGGATATCCTAAGTTGACACTATAACCTAGTAGGAACAAAAAGGGAATCATCCTTGGGAAGAAGGCGCAACAAGTTCAGCTGTCTCTTTGTACTGCTCCATGTAAGGGTGGTTTCCTCCACGGAGAGTCTGTAGCAATTGCATATATTTGCTTGCCAGAAGTTGCAGTGCTGGACCGCTTGTTGAAGTGGAGCCTTCCATATTCCCAGTATTGTAAGGCGCCATTATTGCGCTGGTTGATATATTATACAGTTTTTCAATCTGTGGTCAGTAAGTATATGTTCAGTACCAGAATAGCCATTCCTATGTGGCGTTTTCACTTACAATTCCAATCCCGTGGACTTCCATTGCGCTGATACGCAGCGACCTGCAGACATCTAACGTGCGCTCGGCGACACTGTACGCGAAATCAAAACGCAGCTCCGGATGCTCAGAATCAGATATTAAAAGACCGTGAGTCAGGCAGAGATGCCATATTCTGTTCTGCACCCACTTCTGAGTGACAAGCACATCCGCGCATTGGGTCTCAGATAGAAAGCTTTGCAGAATTCTCGTTGTCTCTGCCGAGTGCAGAAGACTGGAATGATCGGGATCGAACCAATCGTTACTCCTATATCGACTAGGATCGCTCACGCGGGCGAGATTTTCATGCATGCTCAAGGCCTTTCTTTGATCAAGTATCTGGCACCGTCCTTTGCTGGCGTTGCATCGAGCGTTCCAACATTCGACTATGTCTTCGTCTATAGAGTCAAATATCTCCATGAGGAGGGCTAGACCCATCATCCCTGCAGCATCTTTTTCATTATGGACGATGATGCCGGAGACAAGACTGTGTGTAACGTTATGGATAAAGTCGTCAGTAGGACGCATCGTAAATCCAGGTCTCCCAGTGAAGCTGATCGAATGTCGGCGTTGAAGTGCATACGCTCTGGTATCTGGGGTCAGCTCCGTCATGAGAATTCTCTATCAGGAGATCGATGTTACCTTTCTGTCACAGAGAGTACCAAGTAAGTCCTCAGCCATTGGCCCTTCTCTTCACCTGAAAAATCAAGGTAAGTGTTGGGATCATTCAGACGTAACGTGGATGCCAAATCAATGGCCTCGCGCAGTCGCAGCCGTGCCGCATTATGCTGGTTACTTCCAAATAGATATCCAAATAGGAAAAAGCTGGTCAGGACAGCTTCCAATGTCGGATGCTCGCCAAAGTCGGATGAACTGCGCATCTTTGTTGCCTCATTCATCATCAATCTGGCTTGATCGGCTCTTGAGGAGGAAGTAGGGCGTTCACTGATGTCGATCGGTTGCGTCAAAGCAAATGCGCATACTGACAGCAGCATGGCACCAAATTGTGGGTTTCTTCGATGCTCTTGGGACAGAATCCTGATGAAGATAGAAGACCGGTTGAGAACCGGTAATGTCGGATGAAGCCGATCGAAATACACATCGATCCAAGGAACCAGGCTGTTGTCATGGATATAGGGCGGCCAAAAGGCTCCCATTTGCTGCTGATCATTCGAGGACAAGACATCAGAAAAGGAAACGTTCAAAGGATTCTCAGGTTGCAGGTTAATGGCACTGGCCCCGAGATCACCGTCAATAAGGGGAGGAAGAGTCGTTTTAACATATATATTACTTCCAGAGAAACTGAAAGCCGGCGTCTGCGCGCTAAGGCTATCAGGAAGCCAGTACTCAAGGTCACGGTTCTCGCTCCATGAAGTAGAGCCGTTATCTAGGGCTGGAGTAGACATGGCAGCAGCATCATAGGCCGAGGTTGGCCCCTGGCCCATTTGGTGCTGTTGCAGGTGGTGCGTGTCCACATGGGAGATAACTTCAGAGTTAGATATCGATGCAGATGGAGATGAGTGAGCGTCAGTTGCACTGGTTCCATGACTGGACGGACGCTCTCCAGTGAAATGATGAACGTCAGTCTGAACGGGGTGCTTCCTGGATTGGATCTGCTGCTGTCGAATTTCTGACACGCGGCTTGAAAGAAATTGTCAGGAAACTTTAGCTATATATAGATTGATATTGAGGGAAACATACCGACCAGCCGGACCGCGTTTCTTCTGCGGTCTGAGAAAGGTGCATTCGAATCCCATGGAAGCGCATGTTGCGCATGGTCTGGATAGGCTGCACTACATTGATATTCGTATGTAAGCACACACTGTCATGTAATTAAACGATATAGCCTCCGCACCCTAGTTTTTCGTAATTTACATTGGTCGCAAGCTCGCAGGGTGCTGTTCCTTCCAGGAAGCCTGGGAGAGCTCGCAGCATCCATGACGTGAGGATCTCTTGGCAGCCAACTGCATGGTTGATATAACCGCAGATCTTGGCCGGACAGATTTCAATTAAACGCGCAATGCATGATAGAATTCGTCCCCAAGATAAGCAAGTTAACAGCTAGCAGAGCCATAATGTGATCAACGATATAGTTACATCTGGAGTTGCCCACGCGGCTGGGAGAAAAAGGAGTGGAGACAGCACATGACTTCCCGAACGGGTAATTGTCACATGACTCCATTGTTTCATATCGAGGTTTCCTTGCTCTTTCTTGCATGAATGTCCATATTTCCAGCTCGGATAAGATATCTGCTGTTACGTCCTGCGCATTAATCTTACATATAGGCCGTCGTATTACTGCGACCGTGCCACAGCTGTTCGCGGGGTCCATGGAGTGATGTGGGTCCACCGTTGGACTGTGCAGAGTGGGGAGCATGTTCATATGGTACTCTACACCAGTATATTATTATCCCATTCCGCATTCAGATTGTTCAGGAACTGAATATAGATCAACCTAACAATAGGCGTCTAGAATTTGCCTTGATTGGCCGTCTACACCGCTTCTCATCGAGTCCACGGATCCATTGTCGTCCGCGGAGCGCGCCGTTTACATGAAGGATGTGGTCCATTTATCGCAGTGCATCCAAATCCTGCATGTCTATTGCATTCTGGAATGAAGGCTATATAAGGGGCTATGACTGAATCCAGGATGAAGAAATTCAAAGTGAAAATACGGAAATTCAAAGTCCTGGGCTTGATCTTGAACAAGTCGCAAGATCATTACACTTCTACCTTTACAGATTTAGCTCCTCTATCCTTATAGAAGAATTCTACGAGCGTTTGATCTTTCAAGATGTCGTCACCACCATCATTAAAAAGCATTGCAAGTAGCCTATCTGCTAATACAAACCTCCTCACCCAACTCCTCGAAGAAAAGGGTCTACCGCAGCCATCGCTCTCTGTCCGCGATGGACAGCAGACCGTACCTGACAGCATAGAATTCGAACAACTTCATGCAGCAAGAACAGCTATTCAAGAACAGGCGCAGCTCCTATTAGATTTGGTCACCGGCCCGGTTGAAATGGCTACCACATGGCCGATCTGCGTATGGACATGCATTGGTTTGATCTATATAGAGACATGTATGTACAAGACTAACAAATACACATCTTCTATACAGAGCCTCCATGACACCAGCGCCCTCATTCTCATTTACCACTGCAAACTGTACCAGCACATCCCTCTCAATGGAACCGCTACATTCGAAAACATCGCAGCGAAATCTGGCCTCGATATCCACCGCACCCGTCTCGCTCTGCGTCACGCCATGACACGCCGATTCTTCTGCGAACCCCAACCGAATCATGTCGCTCATACTGCCGCGTCCGCACTTCTCGTTACGCAGCCTGACTTTGTCGATTTCCTCGGGCACCAACTGAATGATACTCTCCCTGCCGTCGCGAACCTATCGAAAACAATCGATAGGTACGGGAATTCGACAGAACCAAATCACAGCGCGACGAATGTTGCATTTGGCACTGACGAAAATCCAATGAGTTTCATCGCTTCTGGAACGGTTTCTGGACCCAGGTTCAGTGGAGCTATGAGATGGGTCGCTAAGACAGGGTCGTTCGATGATCGGCATATAGTTGAGAATTATCCGTGGGATGACTTCGGGGAGGGGACGGTTGTCGATGTACGTTACTTTCTTATACTGCATGATGCATGCAGTTTTGGAGATGTTTATCTACAATTTTTCTTTGCAGATACTAATCGAAACAACAAACAGGTGGCAGGCGGAACGGGTCATTTATCCCTATCCCTGGCGCAGGCGTACCCCAAGCTCAGATTCATCGTTCAAGATCTCCCAGAGCAGGGAAAAGCTTTTTCGGTCCCTTCACATCTACAAGACCGCGTCCAATTCATGTCTCATGATATGTTCCAGCCGCAACCGATTGCAGCAGATGCCTACATCCTCCGTCTAATTTGCCATGATTGGCCGGATGTAGCGAGCTCTCAGATTCTTCGCCAGCTGGTACCTGCGATGCGGGACGGGGCGAGGATTATCTTGGTCGAAGCGGTGATGTTGGAGCCGGGGCACGTATCTGGGCCGGCGGAGAGGGTCTATAGGTATGACTATTTAAAGACTTCAAATCAAGAAAACGAAAGAAGACTAACGTGTTAATTGAACAGTACATCTGCACTCCACATGGCCGTTACGTATAACGGCAAAGAACGCACCGAGGCAGAATGGGAAAATATCATCAAGAATGCAGATTCTCGGTTGAAGCTGAATCGAGTCATTACTCCTAGGCGAAGTCACTGTTCAGTGATTGAGGCTGTCTTCCACAGTTGAAGCTTAAGCTGACGGAGTAACTACTCCAATCTAGCAACTTTTTAGGATAATCATCTCTACTCGATTTGAGATACTCCTGTGGCGTGAAAACACAAATGCTCTCCTGTCCGCTCTATCAGAGCGTAGGACCGCAACGTCCCTTGATGCTACGGTTTGGGATAGCCTGGCAGTATATGATAAACAGCAACTCGTGATATTAATGCCACCATACTCTGCTTCCGGAAAGCTTCGGCAATGTTAGTGTCAGTTCAGTCAAAAGCGTCGTGGATAAAGTGACTCTTTTAACAACTGCGACATCAATCAACCAAACATTAATTACAAGTGAAGTTAATAGCTCAACTGCAGGAAATCACCTGTGAACCGGTTAGTTATACCTTACTGCCCCTTAATAAATGACATAGCAGACGCCATTTTACGCCTCGTACGCTGCTCATCTCGATGCGGATGTATTACGGTAAAGGTATCTATTGGATTGCAAAGAAAGCGGCATTTTATTAGCGAATAGAATCTGTGGCCGAAATGCCCGCGGCAATCTGATCAGCTTTTATTCACCGAGCGTCGTCCTTTCTTTGAACACATTCCCCCCTTTTTTTATTTTCCCACGGAACTGCGGCTTTTTGTCTGTTTCTGTATAATGGAAATGTAACTGCGGTATGCGATCTCGTGGCTCATTCTTTTCCATATCGGATAGTTATTGCTCGGTGGATTTGGAGATGATTCTTGATAACTAAGTTCCGTTTTTGGTCACTCGTTAGTTATATCATGTCGCTTATAAAATGGATGTTGATTAGATTCTCACCTGCTGCGATTTTCAGTCTAGATCAGAAGCATGAATAGAAAGGATCTGCATAGCCGGTTCTTCAGCTCCTTTCATACTACTTAGACCAATCCTGTGACATCGCCCAGTCTAGAAAGCCCGGTGACTGCATCTTCTCCATAAGCGCACGTCCCGCCTTCTCATTCTCCTTCGCCCTCTCCAAATCCTCCTGCGTAGGCACCTGCTCCAATTCCCTCGTCTTAATCAATCTCTCTTTCTTGTCACGAATTTTCTTCAGAATTCCATCCAGAGTCGTCGGCCTAATAATCTCGTAGATATCGAAGGTCATTTGCCCGCCTGCAAAGCTAGGTAGTACCGCCCTCCGGCTGAAAACAGACCTTGGATTTCCCCTGACTCCGGAGTAGTGTGCATTATGGGGATGGGGTTTTCAAGACCACATCGTTTTGCAATCCTGCCCCATTCTCCGTCAAGAAAATCTATGTAGTCAGGGTCTGTAGTCCATCCTTCAGGGATTTCTTCGGGCTAGCTTCTGTTAGGGCTACCTACTGAGCAGAGACCTGGAGAATTTGGAGTAACTTACACTTAGAGAGTGACTCATGGTTATGAGATAGTAGCAATAAGGAAGGTTGTGTAAGTGGTGAAGAAGATAGATGGCTTGGGAGTGGTTAAAAGGAAAGAAGAACACAACTATGGATGCCTACTTGACTGCCATGTGACATGGAGATGACGGAGAGTCGGAGACTACTACAACCAAAAAAAAGCTAGAGACGTCCTTACTAGGTACTTTTGAGGGTTTAAGCCCAATTCTAGTTTATTCTGTCTGGTACTAGTTAATAAATCCCTATATAATGTTCCTAAACCTCGGTAGGCAGCTGCCCCTTCGGAAGACCTGGGCTGACCTGTGTACTCAGAGAGCTTGCTCTCTATCGCTCTCTGTCGATCTCAAGTCTAAGAACCCAGAAACGCACAGAGACATCTTCGTCGTTTAGGATGTTTTGTTTTAACCTGACCTAAAGGGACTGAGAGATCTGCAGGTGCGGACTGTAGGCTGGCGTCGTGAATATCAGAGTAAAGCAAAGAGCAATATACGGAGACAGGTGAAAGATCCCGGTCAATTAAGAGAGCTATAGGGAGAAGGGGAAACGGAAAGTAGAGAATATAATGTTTTCTCTCTTTTTAATCATTATTCATTTATTTTTTTTAATCTGCAATGCCGGTCGTCGTCACGTATATGTAGACAAGATAGGCACTGACAGTCAACGGCACTGACTAGAGTTGATGACATAAATCCACTCGCAGATACCGTAGATGGCCAGCTGGAACCGATCAGTATCTGAATCCACCAAAGAGACCCACGATATTATCAAGATCCAGGAGAGAGTTGAGAGGTGTCTATAGAAACCAGAACATCGAGAAAACAAAACCAAAACCATATTGGTATAGAGGCGCCGATTTCCGCTGATAAAGAAAATGCCAACATCATTAGAGATAACGCCATGAACACTTGCACGCTTTGTCGCATATAATACATGTGAAACACTCAACGCCTTTTGCTGATTGTGTTGATCGTCATTAATCGGAAACAGATAGAACAATTTTTTTTCGGATGCCCACGCAGCGGCCATCAAGCTGAGAAGGTTGCAAAAAGGGGAAACCAGCCCTGGTATCGCACGCAGGCAAATTATTAAGATGTCTTATTCGGAAATCCTTGCAGGCAAAAAGAAGAAACGAAGCCTGAAATGAAGATTGCATCATTGAGACGCTCCAGTCTTTAAGCGGTAGGAAGGATGGGAACGCCGCCGCCAACGAGTTCGACGATCTTGCTGGCAACCGCGGCGGGATAACCACGCGAGAGCATCTCCTGGACGACGCCAGAGGCGCCCTGGTGATCTTCAGACGCCAAGAAAGCTCGAGTCATGGCTTCGTAGGTACTAGGTTCGCGCTTCTGGATACCAATACCGTCGTAGATCGACTTGGCATTCTCAATGTTGCCTTCCGCAGCCCAGCCGTGGATAAGAGTGTTGGCAATGTAAGCAGTCATCTCAACGTTTCGGTTGGCCATGTCCTTGAGAAGATCCGCGGTGGCCGAGACCTGGTGGTTGGCAACCATCGCCTCGAAGAGAGCTTGGTACAAGCAGGGCTGCAGACGAATTCTGCCGTTTGAGACGACAGAATCGAAGACCTTGCGAGCACCCTCCATATCGTGCATAACACAGCCCTTGGCGTGGATGAGAGAAGCGTAGTGAACGGCCTCCGGGTGCTGTCCGGCGGCCTTGATCGATTCCAAGACCTTCTCAGCAGCAGCCATGTCCAGCGGCTCCAAAGAGGCATAAGCATCAATGAGAAGCTTGTAGGTGTGCATCGTCGGTTGGATGTTCTTGGACTGCATGCGCTCGTAGTAGGCGAGAACCTTACTACGATCACGCTTGGTGTTCAGGAAGTACTGGATCATGGAGTTGTAAGGAGCCGGACGGGCCTTGTAGTTGGGCATGGACTCCATCTCATCAAACATCTCTTCCGCGAAGCGCTCGTCGCTGACACGGCAGAGTGCGTTGACAATGGTTCCATAGGTGACGCTGGTGGGGCGGACACCGGTGGCACGCATCTCGGCAAAGTACAGCAGGCAGTCATCAATCCTGCGGGCCTTGCCCAGCTTACCGATCAGGGCATTGTACAAGAAGGAAGTGGGTTCGACACCCTCCGCCGTGGCTCTGTGGAAGATCTTCACAGCCTCCGTGGCCTCGTCGAAGGTCTTGGTCGATTCCTTCAGGGTGGTGATGTACAGCCCAAACGTGTTGGCAGATGGAGCTGCACCCATGTTCAGCAACTCCTGGTGGTACTTGGCAGCCAGGTTGCGATCACCCAGAGATAGGCAGGCCGCAACCATGGCATCCAGGATCGACACCCATCCGTACTTGACGACACTGTACTGAGGGATGAGCGGGACGTCGTGGCGGGCCATACCCAGAATATCATGGACCAAGTTCATGCGGCCACACTTGGCAGCAGCGGTGATGAGCTTGGCATAGGTGATGTAGCGAGGGTGTCTGCCAACACGACGCATATTCTTGAACTTCTGCAGGGCCTCGTTCAGGTGCGAGTCTGGGCGTCCGCTCGTGCTCTCCAGCTCGTCGGCAATGATGGCAGAGCCACGGTAGTCGGTAGTATACGCGTACGGGTCGAAGGTATCCTCCGTCGACGGGGCACTGGACACGGGGGAGGACTCGGAGACGGGCGTGTATCGGGAGGGCGTGTACGGCTGCTTGACCATCGGAGCCAGGTGGTCCTGCCATCTCTGAGCGATGTCCGGGCGGCTGTCAGCGAGCTTGGCCATGGCCTGGTCGACCAGACGGGTGGTGAAGGCATCCATGGGCAGTCCGGTAGATAGAGCAATGTCGACCATATGGGCGAAGCGGACGGGATGGGCAATGTCGAAGATGGCGGAGTTATTCAAGAGCATGCCGGCCTGGACCTGCAGGGCGAGAGTGAGGTCGGGGGCGCTGAGCTGGGAGATACCCATGGGGCCCAGGCTGGCGATGGCATGTTCGGCGACGGGCGACACCAGCCCGCCGTTCTCGACCATGGCCCAGAGGAGGGTGATAGCGGCCTGGGGAGAGAGCACGGCGGCAGTCTGCATGAGGACACGACCGAGCAGCTCCAGAGCCTCGTCGATCTCCTCACGGACGGGCAGCTGACGGTGATGGTGGTGGTTATGAGAGCGGATGCGAGCGAGCATGCGACGGGCCTCGGCCAGACCCTCGTCGACCTGGCCGCTCTTGAGGAGCGCGACGGCGTACATGGCCGTCGGCTGGATCCAGTCCGGCGTAGCCTGACTCCGCGCGAGCACTGACCAGAAGGGACGAGCAGCCGCGACGTTGCCTGACCGGACGTGCAGCGCCAGCATCGACACGGCCGCCTCGGGCGACTCCGAGGTCAGGCCATCGTACACGGTGCACGCAACTCCCGCATCGCCTGCGTCCGCCGCGGCCATACAGATCTTGCTCAATGCTGCTTGCAAAGAAGCCCCCTGGAGCCGGCTCTTGGCCTGCTCCACGGCCTCGCCAAAGCGGCCGCCGTCGAGCGCGTCCTGCACCAGCGCGTCCTGCACAATCACCTCCTCGACCGCCTGCTGCCGCTGCTCGCGATCCTCCTGCACACTGTCGAACGAGGACCGGATTCGCTCCAGGAAGCGGAGGCCGCTCTCCTTCTTGCCGCACGAGAAGTACGCCCGGATGAGGGCCGCGTACACCTCGCCGTCCCGACGCTCGACGATGCCGAAGATGCCTTTGTCGTCGGCAATGGCCAAGGTCCGGTACTCGTTGTAGCACTCCACCGCACTCTTCAGGTCGCCCATGGCGGCAAAGGCGTCAATCATCGGGGGGAAAATAGCCGCGTGAGGGATGACCTTGTGCGTCTCCATATGGGCGTAGATGCGAATCATGTCCTCGACTTGGCCGTCTTCCGCACAGGCCGTTATAAGCGAGCGGTATACCGGTAGCGGGAACACGAGTTCCGGATGGCGTGTAGTGGCCGTCGTGAAGAGCTTCATCGCGATAGCCAGAGAATGGTCTTCCGCCAGGAGCTCACGCTCCACCTCGCTGGATTGAAACATGAACTTGCCAGGTTCCTCCATCCCTCCGAACCGGGTGCGCTGCTGCTCGAGCACCTCCTTGGCCCGGATCGTGTCCATGGCTCGCGTGACGAGCAGCTGTACGAGCGTCTTGTACGTCTCCTCGCTGGGAATCACACGGCGCCGAAGCATGTCCGAGTAGACGTCCAGAGCCTTGGGCACGGCATGATGCGTATCCGCGTGCAGTTCAATGGCTGCACGAAGCAAGGCGTTATACGCGGCCACGGTGGGCGTGAGACCGTCCCGGAGCAAGTTCTCAAAGGCAATAGGGATCTCTGCATACTGCTGTCTCGCAGCGAGCTCCACGATCTGAGCAGAAGATTCCCGGGATTTCTCAATCGACGCAGTTTCCACTGCGTCGACATCATGCGTAGACGACTCCTTCGTAGACTCTACCGTAGAAACCGCCTCTTGGGACTCTGCTGTCTCTTCCGCGTTTGCATTCTCTTCTTGAATCTGGATCTCCCGGGCTACCGCCTCTTCAACCTTGGCACTGACATCGTCATTCAAGGCGGCCTTGTTGACCCGCTGAGAATCGTGGAGGTCGTGGTGCGAAGATTCCGCAGTCTCCGTGGCCCCGTTGCTTTCTCCCGCCGCATCTTTCGAGGACGGCTTCCAGCCAATGCGTCGGTTGAACTGGAACTGTCGCCAGTCGCTGTCATCGCCGGTCTGCTGGGCATGCTGCCATGCTGCGTAGTAGGCCGCTAGCCCCGAGTCTCCCGACCCGGAGCCAGCCTGGCTGGCCTTTCCGCCCGCACCTGAGCTCGAAGGGTTCGTGAAAGCATTCTGAAGCTGGGTTGTTCTCGTGTACTTGCCGGGATGACTGGCGATCTGGTTGAGGGAGGTTGCTGACGACGCGTAGGACGACTGCGACGCCGCAACTACCGACTGAGCATAGCCATGGGTAAAAGCTTTTGTGAAACTTTGGCGCGCGAGGTGAGTAAACGGCTTGAACACCATTTATTTGACCGGAGACCCCTTCACGGAGAAGAGGATATACTGTTATTAATAATGTCAGCCTCCGCGTTGTTGTTTTCCATTGGTTTCAAGAGTCGAATCAACAACGAGTGTGGATACGTACCTCTAAACCACTGTAATGTTGAAAATGCAGGTTCATTTGACGACTGTGAGCCGTCAAAAGAACGCGCCGGCTGAAGCGGACGAAGCGAGTATTTAGTATCGAATCAACTTGGTCGTCTGGATTCCTCGAGGTAGCTGAGTTGCAGTCCCCGATTTGCTGACAAGACAGGAAATCCGATTGCCTGACCAAGAGAGGAGATTGTCCCGACCAACCCAGAGAATGACTCTATTGCAGTCTCTTCGGGTCTTCTACGGTCTTAGGGAGTCCTTCCAGAGCAGGGAGCGGAAGGAGAATGGGAGGTCGAATAATCATAAAATAATGAATTCAGAAAAAAAAAGAGTGGCCTTGGGGAGAGAAGAGTCGACAAGCTGGCGTTCCGAGGAGGATTTATTCGCACACGAGCAGGATGCCGGCCAGACGAATCACAGGCGCCGTCCGGTCTTTCGGGGAAGGACACCAAACTCCGGCGCCCGCAGCAGAGCAAACCAGACAAACACGGTGATGGCCTCGGCCCAGAACAGCAGGCGGTCAGCCCACAGACGCCGTCGTCAGGTGAAAAAAAGCGCTGGTCAGATGTTCGCCCGGTGGGGAGACGCGCTGAGCGCCAATCAGCGTGGCGCCAATTGCGGGAAGAACAGGAGATCCCCCGGCAGAAGACCCGTGACTTGGTGACTAACCAGCCCAACACCCGCCGTGACTCAAGCGCCTTCCCGGTTCTTTTTCTCGGGCGGCGGGAAGTTCTTGGGTGCCGTCTGTCCCGGGCACGTGTCAGGGCGGATCTCCGGCCTCTCAGTCGTGCCGATCGAACGGCTTGTTCTCGGCCTGCGGATGATGCATGACAATCGAATGATAAGACTTTAATAGATTATTATTATTTTTATATTATGATACTCATTATGATCATTCGAACTCTAGTAGATACCCAGGATGCTTGCGCCAAGGAAGAATATAGACGATAGATCAAGAGAAAACTCTAGAATTATGCAAATATTACCCTTCTATACGGGTCCTTCTGCTAGGCTGCCACAATAATGATGTGGCTTCGTCCGCCCGTTTTCCTCCGCTCGGCCTATTACTTACTTATTATATCCATCCCGAGGAAGTTTCCGTCCGACTACTCCGTACCGCACACTCCATTGGCAAGTAAGAATTAATAATAATCGCACTCACTGTCGAACAAGCGATTGCAAAAAAGGAGTACCATAATACTGTACGTGGGGACGCAGCTGGACCCAATTATTCACTATGCAATAATGGATAGATCATAACCACACTGCAGGGCTTGCATGGTTACTCGACTTCGGCCACCTCCGCTATCCTTGTCCTACAGCTACTATAATTAATTCACGGCTCGACTTGCCGCTCTTTTCATATGACAGTGCTCAACAATCACTGTAATCGTCCTTCTTTTCCGGGTGACGTGCATCTCCAAGCGTTATGGTTATGGTATATGCTGCGAACCATGTGTATGAGAGTCATGACCCCACATACACGAGACGCATGTCGAACGTGCTTTGGCCTGGTCCATCTTCCCCGCATTATTCCCTCGTCAGCTAACAATTAATGGCCCAAGGTGCGTTTGTGACGGCTGTCGTTCCACGATATGTATAAACTTTCTGCTTTTCTGCATAGGCTTGCTTGATAGCAAAATGGCTCTGTGGGACAAGTATGAACCGGAACGGATCATTATGATCAGACTCACTCCATGGTACGCACGGAGACGGTCTCGACAACATAGAATCCAGGCCACCATGTCTACCTTCTTGATGGATTTCAACTAGAACTGAGGTCCAATCCAGCCCATCTGAAGCAAATCTTATCCCGCGGTCCCCGATCCTGTCAAATAACGAACTCCAAAAAAGGTTAGTGCATTACATTGCCATAATTCTATCCTCCTTCTCGTTTCCATGTATCACAATATGCGGAAGTCTATGTTGTCCCAAGGCTCTGTATAATACATATTGTATATACAATGATGAAAGATCTGCGGTACCAGTAGTGGACTGTACCAACTTTACACTGGCTCCTCAGCCACAAATCGTCAGGGGAGGGGACCATACAAAACGAGCAAACATGAACATCAGCCACTCCTGAATCCACCCCCGATGATCTTCACGACGTTTATCAGTGCATATTGTTATGCTTCACGTCAGTTGATTTTGCAATATCAGTGCTCCACTGAGCAATCATAGTTGACTACTACCTTCTCAGAATGTATAGCATTGTTTGTGAGTGCCTCGCAAGTGTATTGAACCATAGCGACTTTCTTTGTTTTTTGAAACTCTCTTTCCAACCACATAATCCAAACCCCTCGCCGCAAAGCTATCAATCTGCATTGCTCTTCTAGACATCCATGCAGCGACCGCTCTTTGTCTGACGATATGTTTTAAAAGAAACAGAAAGCGGCAATTTATGACTGACTGACTTCTCCTTAGAAAAACTGATATTGGATTGAACCCTCAACCTCGTTCCTTCCGTTTCGGCCCCACGAGCACGGATCCCCAATCATTGCCAGAACTTCTGACCTTTCCGCTCTTGAGCAACTCTACTGCTTTGTAGCAAGCAGATAAAGTGTCAGGATTGAGTGTGCAGTGGTGAGAGAAAAGCGACAACCAGATTACCCTCGATCAGCTCGCCGCAATGTCTCCTTTAGCCTCTGCAACGACCGCTCTCTCGGCCCCCGGTAAGGTGTTGCTTAGCGGTGGCTACCTCGTCCTTGACCGCGACTACACCGGCACTGTTTTTGCACTCGACGCCAGAATACATGTCATTGTCCAACAGCTGAGGAAGCAGCCGAAGAAGGACCCGTCTGGAACGGAGTCAGTTCCAGCTGCCAGCGCGCAATCGGCGGCCAAAGGCGATGCAGCGGAAGGAGACAAGAACGATGAGGAAGAGGTTATCTTTGTCAGATCGCCTCAATTCCTGGACGCGGTCTGGGAGTATTCTCTGGAGAGGTACGACAATGGCGGGGGTGTAAAGGCTGTACAGAAGGGTGAGGGGTGAGTACATTTGTCGAACTAAGGTCGTCCGGACGTCCGTTGGCCGCGGACTGTCCCGGCGGATCTTTTGCTTGAATATTTATTGAGTAGCACATGCTGATCTTCGCTAGACGTCGGAATCCATTTGTCGAGACTTCCCTGAATTACGCTTTGACTTACATCAGCTACGTCGCCGACTCTAAGGATTTTGGGTCTCTTTCCATCACCATCCTGGCAGATAATGACTACTATTCAGAGACCGCCTCGTCCAGAGGCCCAGCTGCGTTCTCCCGTAGTCGTTTTGCCAACTTTGGGGTCCCTCTGCACGAAGCGCACAAGACGGGGCTGGGATCTTCTGCAGCTCTGGTCACAGCTCTGGTTTCCGCCCTGGTAATCCATCGTACCATGCAGCCTGACGATCTAGGTGCTGCGAGAGATAAGCTACATAACCTTGCCCAGGCGGCCCATTGTGCGGCCCAGGGGAAAGTGGGTTCTGGCTTCGACGTAGGAGCCGCGGTGTACGGGTCCTGTCTTTACCGACGCTTCACGCCGATCATCTTGGAGAAGGTCGGCGACGTAGGCAGTCCAGGATTTGAGGAGAGGCTCTTCTCTACCGTCGAGGATCTCGATCAGGAGCATCCATGGGATACAGAGTGCGTTGACTTTGGCATGAGGCTCCCTCGAGGCATGCAGATGGTCCTCTGCGACGTGGACTGCGGATCGCAGACGCCTTCGATGGTCAAGAAGGTCCTCGCCTGGCGCCAGGAAAACAAGGACGAAGCAGACCTTCTCTGGACCGCTCTGCAATCCAACAATGACCAGCTCCGAGAAGAGCTGAAGCGGCTCGCAGAGAATCCGGGATTTCCCAGTGCTGATGGCTTCCAACGAGTCCGTACGTACCTACAGCGCTCTCGAGAGTATATCCGCACCATGACGCGCAAGTCGGGCGTTCCTATCGAACCCAAGGTACAGACGGAGCTTCTCGATGCGGCATCAAGCCTCGACGGTGTCATCGGAGGCGTTGTCCCTGGTGCAGGCGGATACGATGCCATTGTGCTCCTGATCCGAGACGACCCGGAAGTGATCAGCCGCCTGAAGTCGTTGTTCGCGACCTGGCAGAGCAAAGTCGAAGATGACTTTGGCGGAAAGATTGGGACCGCTCGGTTGCTGGGAGTCAGACATGGGTCCGAAGGAGCACGCAACGAGATCCTGGAGCAGTATGCAGGATGGATTTGAGCTTCTGCGAATCATCCTTCGCCACTAGCCGGAGGATATCCGTTACACGATACGACGCTACGATTGCATTCAATACCCGACTACTTCATGAGACTATTCAGCGTATAGCATCAGTACCATACACACGGAGTCTTGAGCAATTGTCCGTTTGCTGAAATGAAGCTATTTCTTAGATGCAAACTCTAATGTATATTCTCGTAGCCCTTCTGGAAGATCTCTTATCGAGTCGTAATTCCCATGTTCTGCAGTAGGAGATATCGACCATTACTATGATTAATGCAACTTTTTGAACCCTTGGACTAAAATGTTTCCACCTTGGGGATTCCAGCAATTTTAGCGTTCTAAGAGTTTTCGTCCTCGTTTAGATAATTTGTTGTGGAATAGAATCGTGAGACTCAGCGTAGAGTCTTTGAGCATGAGGTTATTGAAGAGTAAGATAGCGTTTATTCGGAGCTCAAGGTAAAACTCGAGGGGAGGCTTTGCCTACGGTAAGACATAGTGGGCATATACTGAATAATAACTGAGCGGCATAAACTGATTATCCATATCGAACTGAACTAAATTGAGCTGCCTGAGTAGAAGCTTGTCTTGTTCCTCTATTTAGCTTAAAGGCCCTTTTAAAGTCTTGAAGCTAAACACATGTAATCTTTAGATATATATTTCCTCCCTTTAGTACGATCTCCCCAGTATATAGCCTCCCCTCTTTTGTGACAGACGCCCTCGTCTGTCCTTGCGGCTATTCTCAGCTTTTTCTATACTAAGAGTACTTCTTCCTGTAGCAAAACCGCTCCAAACATTCTTGAGTATTATACCGCAATTTTCCCGTTTCGCAGAGTTATTGCCCTTTCTCTCAAAAATAATCTCATACCAATTCCATATCTTGCTTTATAACAAAAAAAAAAAACAATTCAGCTATAACTCCCACTGAGTCCCATTCTGCTTGTCCTAGTATCGCCTTCCCAATCGCGGTAACTCCACTGACTAAAATATCAAAGGGTCCGGAGCCACCTTGATCCTCCCTTATCTGGTTCCTTTCCTGATAAAAGGTCCCTGCAACCTAGAGCTGTGTTAATAGCTTTGCGCACTTTCTATGTCAATGAAACTTGCCTTTGTTGAGGCCTCGAAAAGAGAAATCACTGTCCCAACTGTAGCACAATGCATCGAGTTGGATTGGAATCTGGACCAACCCCTAGATCTTAGTAGCTTAGAGGTCCTGAAAATAGGGACTGATTTATTAATGAAGATGACGTGCCCAAATTGGGTTGGGGAAAAAAAGGGCCCAGAAGAGAATTATATAAAATATTGTAGAGGGGAGTCTTCAGGATCTCGCTGGCTTGCAAAGTCTGAGTATAGTGTCAGAAGTAGGATATATAACTAAGTAAAAGGAAGGTTAATAATGATAGAATGATCACTCAAGATAATTATAACCTAGATTACTACCTGTATAATAGCGGTAGATAACCCATCGCGCCTATCCCGAAGACTGGAAGAGGAAAATTTGCGTGGACAAATCATCTGCTTCGTTTAGGTTATGACTGTGACTGGAAGGACCAAAGCAAATGGGTAGGAAGATTAGATGGTTCAGACACACAGACAATGGTTCTCGTCCTGGCTTTGTGCCGAGACAGAGCTACTTACCCCTCAGCTGCCAGTAAATGCGGTGCAGGTGAATGACCAGTGACCTCATTCTCGTATTCCTGGACGAGCTCCTTCGCATCTCCGAGGTCGTTAATGTCGTACCATGCATCGTATCGCGGCCCCCAGCCCTTCCAACGGACCAGATAATTCGTAACGACACGACGACGGCGGCGCCGTGTGCGTTTGTCGATGAGGTTCTCGATCTCATAGTGTTCTGTCCCATCTGCTTCGGTATGGACTGGCGGCATAGGTTGTGGTCTCCGGTCAAAGGGGTCGTTCCCTGGTGGCGCCGGTTCTAGATGTGCAACTGAGAACACGTTGTGGACTCTCCAATGCGGCGGCAGTTCTAGTTTATACGCCAGAGCAGTACGGAAGTGGCTCGAATATATCCCCAAATGTGTCTTGTGCATAGATCTTGACCACCTCCACCTTTTCCGTGAATCGCTGTATCCCAGGTACAGCCTCTTGAGTCACTATTAGATGAATGGTGAAGCTGACAAAGGTGAAATCCTGGATCTATCTAACCTTGAAGAGGCTGCGATACTTCTTCGTCTCAAAGATGTCACTTCATGTTATTCTGTCTGCGATGAAATCTTAAAAAGTATTAGAGCCTTATGAAATGCTGGATACAACTGGAACAATGAACAGTTCTGCAGATTGCGAGCAGAGTTGGTCATGATACCTGCATTGGTTCAGGAACGGCGTAATGCGAACGTCCCTTTGCGGTGATCCACCAGAGGCGCTTCCAAGAAAAAAATATCCTGTCTCTATGACACCGATGAGACATGATACTGGCGCTGAGGCCCCTCGACAAGATCTCAAAATGATTCACGTATATGATTTGCGAGCTGAGATCAATCACCCAGTCTGATCTCTATATTCACTGGTCGCGCTAACTGACTGATGCGACGCTATACTTTCGAGCTTTTGACCTCAGACGGTACGCTGCACTCTAGCAAAACTTATGATATTGCGGATGAGAAGCGTCTTGAAATCGTGTCCAATTTCATAGTTCATCGAGTGGAAACTGCAATCAATTTGTCTCCAGCAAACACATCAGTCAAATGACCTTGCACTATGTCCAACCCTCCGATAGGTAGGTAGCTCATGGCTCTATGGTTTCCAAACAAGTTGGATATTAACTCTCATTTAGATTATTATTATGATACCGAAGCCTTACATCGATGTCGACATCTAGACGTTAGTCTCACGCTTCTCCACGAACATGGTCTCGCCCGCAATCCTACTCTTGAGCAATCTCGGATTCTTTAAAGAGCGTTGCCTCCTTACTGTGGCATCTGGAGCGAAGCTCGCTGAGCTTAGATTCTCTAGCAACTAACTCAGCCTAAAGGTATTTATCTCTTTGGGCGAAGCTAGAAAGGCGCGGGAGGAGCCCGACAGGAGGAAGGCCTGCTTGTAGGTATGCTCCAACATGGCATAGGGTGGTTGGTCCTTTTTTGAGACTCGAACTTTTCCAGCTACCTTCCAAGCCTTGGCCAATATCAGTTGCCGGGCTTGCTCTCTTTATGACAACATATATGTTCAAGATTCATTGGAAATTGGGGCATCACTAGCTTTGCACAGATAGATATTTTCAGATTGGTTCAGTAGATTCACGCACACTTTGCTACTAATGAAGAGCTATATATCTATCTTTACTCATACAGAACATCTTTGATCAGATGTATAAGTTATCGACTGTACCCAGGTAGTACAAATATAGAAGGAACTAACCAATCAGAACGTGTCTCAGGTGAGTAGCGTAAAAGGAAACGTTCTACCAGTAAATTGATCCAAATTTATCGCCTCGCTAGCGCTCATCGATTATTGAGTCGCAGTGGGGAATGTGGCTGAAGACGCGAAAGCCACTTGACTGCTCTGGAGCATTTTATTATTACTATTGCGTTCTGCGTTTGCGCGGCCTGCGGGAGCAACGACCGCCCTTTGTCAGGATCCTGGGTTAACTTAACCATCTATCGGACAACCAACTTCTTCTCTTCGGCCAGCTGGCAGTTTATTCCCTCCTGCTCCCATACGCAGTATCACGGCCAATGCCGCTGTTGGTCGGTTTCTGATTGATCCTTGCAGGCGATCCCTAATCGTGTCCGTGTCTCCCTAAGATCTTGAAGGGGCGACACTAACAGGCGGCGTCAGATCGGAGCATAAAACCCGCGCCCCAGTTGACACATTCCACCAGTCCTCCTTGTGTCGATGGTGTCTGCTTTTTCTCTTCTGTCGCTCGTTTTCTGGACGTGATTCATCTTCTCTTTCTCACAACGTTCGTTCCCGAACTCTCCTTCTCGTGGTTCGCCTCCGCAAGCCACGACGTCCCAAGGGCCAAGTGGCCGCCCGGGAGCTATCCGCCACATCGACAGACGACGCAGCAAAGATGACGGCTGGGTCGGGGAGATATGTTCGATACCTCCTTTTTGCAGTCTTCGTAAGTGCCCGGAGTACACTCGATTGATACCGGTGGTGATGATCGGAATCGGATCGGATTGAGCGTCAACGGATTTAACTAACCTTGCTCTTGCGACGCGCAGGGACTGGCAGTTTTGTTCTTTATTTCCAAATCTTCGATACCCCTTCCCGACACGGCGGGTCTCGTTAACTTGAAACCTTCTAAAGAGGAGTCGAAGGCACCGGATACTCAGCCACCATCTGAAGGAGGACAGGCAGAGGGAGCCCATCCGGCCGACGAGCGTGTAAATGCTACGTTTGTGACATTGGCCAGGAACTCGGATGTGTGGGAGATTGCGAAGTCGATTCGACAGGTCGAGGATCGCTTCAACCGCAACTACCACTACGATTGGGTCTTCCTGAATGACAAACCCTTCGACGACACTTTCAAGAAGACTACAACCGCACTGGTGTCCGGCAAGACTCATTATGGTCTTATTCCCAAGAACCACTGGTCCTACCCGGACTGGATTGACCAGGACAAGGCCAAGAAGGTTCGAGAGGACATGGGCCAGCGCAAGATCATCTACGGTGACTCGGTCAGCTACAGGCACATGTGCCGCTACGAGTCTGGCTTCTTTTTCCGCCACCCATTGATGGAGCAGTTTGACTACTACTGGCGCGTGGAGCCCAGCATTGACCTGTACTGTGACATCAGCTTCGACCCCTTCAAGTTCATGAGGGACAACAAGAAGAAGTACAGCTTCGTGCTGAGTCTGTACGAGTATTACGAGACCATCCCTACGCTGTGGGACAGCGTCAAGAAGTTCATGAAGGAGCACCCGGAGCATATCGCAGAGGACAACTCCCTCGGCTTCCTCAGTGATGACGGTGGCAAGACTTATAACAAGTGCCACTTCGTATGTCCCTCTTTCGCATCCTATGAGTAGTCTGACTTGCTAACGTCTTCCCAGTGGTCAAACTTTGAGATCGGCGATTTGAACTGGCTGCGTTCTGACGCTTACCTCGAGTACTTCGATTCCTTGGATCACGATGGCGGTTTCTTCTACGAGCGTTGGGGTGACGCTCCCGTTCACTCGATTGCTGCCGCTCTTATGCTGAAGAGAGACGAAATTCACTTCTTCAACGAGATTGGCTACTATCACGTCCCGTTCACCCACTGTCCCACAGGAGAACAGACTCGACTGGACCTGAAGTGCCACTGCAATCCCAGTGACAACTTCGATTGGAAGGGATACTCCTGTAAGTCTCGTTGCCGTCTTGTTATGTCTTGTTCCCGGACTAACCTTCCCTAGGCACGGCTCGATTCTTCGAGATGAATAACATGGAGAAGCCGGCTGGCTATGAGGATGAACAAGACTGACTAACCGTATTACTGGTAGTCTGCGGGGTTCTGGTTGCCATACTATCTCTTGGAGTAGCGACGCGGAAGTTTAAAAGGGGCCGTAGGGCTCGTATAACTGTTGTTTCACCGCACGGTATCTTCAAGGAAGGTTAAATACTTTCAAGGTATATGGCGTCTGCGGAGATAAGCGGCCATCTATTCCCCAGTGTGATGAAGTGTAACAGTTCATTGCATGGCGGTGGTAGCTCATCTCTACCTTTACGAACCTTGCTCTACTTCTTTTTGCTTCGGAGTATCGGTTCGGCATTATGTACATATATAAGGGCTTCGGTTTATCACATTTGCTAATTGACCAGTCCGAATTCAGGGACTCTGGGTGGAAACAGAAAATGAAGAGGGTTTGAAGTTTCGCATCAGTAACTGGACGCACAATCACTGGAATAGTCTCTAATAGGACAATTTGTGAATGCGTTTCTTTTCCCATTTGTTTGATGTCGGACTATTGGACAAGAATGGACTTTAGTTACATGACATTAGAGTTGCTTCGTGCGAAGAACTTAGTATGTATCAGCTGATCTGTTATCGGATAATAATATCTGTCCCTCTGGAGCGGAGCGGGTCACATGGTCGGATCCTTCTCTTAGAGGATAGAGGTAGTGATCCTCTTTTTCGTCACTGGTTTTGTTTTCTCCCATGGTAACAAAAGAGTTTTCTTGTGCATAACGCAAGGTGATAAGGTAGTAGAATTGTCGTACAAAACCCATCATATCGAAATAGATATAGTACAATTCAGACAGTGTCGTCCGAGAAATTAATCATTCCAGCGCCACGGTAGTATTTAATTCGATTTTGAAACAGCCATTTAATCCTTCTTCGGCTTCTTGGTTCCGTACTTGGAACGACTCGTCAACCGGTTACCGACACCGCCCTGTATAACACGATTCGGGTTAGTAAAGCAGGGTCTCGTGCTTTCATGGAGGATTTTTCTAAGCGCAAATTCAAAACAATGAGGAGAACGTACCAGATCCAATGCTCCTCGGACAAGATGGTACTTGACTCCGGGACAATCCTGGGCTCTACCACCGCGGACGAGGACGACACTGTGCTGTTGGACGTTGTGGCCTGTTATAGATAGATGTGTCAGCATACAACTAGGACTATATCTGCTGAACGCTAAAGGTCCATGAGATCCCCATATGCTCCTCCCCCTCAAGTTGACAAAAAGGAGATATGAAAGGCAACGGCATTATAAACTGACCTTCACCAGGAATATAAGCCGTAATCACACGTCCACTACTCAATCTCACTCTGGCAGTCTTTCTCTCTCCCGAATTAGGCTTCTTCGGCTTCGTAATGCCCGTCTTGAGACACACGCCCTTCAACTCCGGCCGGTTGTGCAGCGCCGGCGATCGTCGCTTACGCGTGGGCTGCGGCACACGACATCCCTTTCGGACCTGGTTGTATGTAGCTTGTGCGCGAGGGGTGCTGGAGAATGAGCGCGCCGATGACCATGCTGCAGCGGCGAAGGGCGTGCGGAGAACTGGAGTGAATGGTTTCGAGGTCCGGAGAAGAATGGACGAGGAGGGTTTGTAGCCGGAGATGGGAAATGCCAAGGGGCGAGGAGCAGTGGCTGTCCGCAGAGAGCGGAGCAGCATTGAGGAGAGTAGGGACGGCATTATGAACTAATAACCAGAGACGGTACCGGTTTGCCGTGGCTGAATGAGGGCTGTCTATCTCCTTCGCGATAATTTAGACTCGGAGGCTCTTCTTCGACGGAGATACCGCGTCACGTGAACGCATATGGCCTTTTGCGTGTTTGGCTGCTGTGCTGTGCCGGATGAGCTGCCTGGTACGCGCGGGCTGGCTCTCTGCCTGGCAGTCAGTCCAGACCTGGGGAAAGTGAGCTGTCCCCGACCTTGCTTTGCTTCCTACGAATACGACCATCGCCTTTTCATTTGCTACCTGCCATTCAGATCCTGAAGAGAGATAGAAATTAGAAAGTTCTCTTCTTGCTTGGACTATATCTAGATAAGTGCAACAATCGCCAACATGGTACGTTCAGTCTCATCCGGCGTCATCATCACCACCGCCGGTAGCTATCATAGCTGCCACATAACCCCCCGCCCTCGCAAAGGCCCTGGACATGATCATACAAAAAAAGGATCAAACGAGAATATAAATAAGGGAGAGACTATGATACTAACACCGTCTTCCAGTCTCTCCGCATCGCACCCCCGGCTGCACACCCAACCCAAACCAGCAACACCACCAACCGGAGCCACCAGCCCATCACCGCACCGCACCCCTCGAAAGGCGCTCCCTCCGCTCCCGGTCTGCGCGACACTCTCCGTGATAACCTCACTCTGCCCGCCCAGGTCGGAGCCCCTTCTGCCTCTCACATCCCCGCCCCGACATCGACGCATCCGCTCGAGGCTCGCCTGCTGGCGTGGCGCGCCACGCACGATGCCATGAAGATGGAGACGCTGCGACGGGTGTACGGTATCGCGGAACCCGTGAGACGAGGCATGGAGCTCAAGATCGTTAAGGATGGAGAGTTTCGCCCTGCCGTTTTGGGAGGTGGAAAGCAGCCCAGTCTGCATGAAGATATCTTGGTGCTGGGTGGAAGGGATGCTGACATTGCTTGGGAGGATGTCTTCCAGGGTATGTCGTCCCTCTTTTTTTCAACTCGTCCTCGCAATTTATTGTTATTTCAGTTACTGATATTATCTTTGTTCTACAGGCGACGAGTTCCGAGAACCACCCACATTCCATGATGAGATGGAGAAGCGATTGAAGATGGATTTTTAATTCTGTCTGGTGATGTTGTTTTGTCATGTCCGCAAAGTCTCTTTTTTTTTCTTTCTTTCTTCTTTATTACTTGCCAGGGAACCTGGAAGGAAATGAATCAAACTTGCAATATTTCATGGATGCGGATGTACCATAAAACGCATACAATGCTACACCTTTAGAAATCTTCATGTCTTTCTAGCATTGTCCTTTCCTTTAACAGATACAGAAGACAGGCATCGGGATTGCTTCTACGTATCTCGTTGATATACAAGAGCATACAATTTGGAGACTGCATTGATGACACAACGCGTGAACGGTCAATTCCATTCCAGTCGATCCTCGAGGAAATCAGGACAGTAAAGAAAAGGACGGCTATCTAGTACAGACAGGCAGACAAGACACTGACGATCCATCATCTCATCGGCCACCGACATCAAACACGGGACAAGCCATTTGTGAATTCACGGAAACACGACACAGCGCAAGGGGACGGGAAACCTGTTGGGAATCGAAAATTTCAGGGGTGACGCTGCCATATAACCTAGCATAAGAGCAGAACAAGGACAGACTGACGTGCGTCGATGAGTTGATGCGCAATCTCAGATAAACGTGTGGGCAAATGTTCCGAGGGGTAGTTGAGTGTACGGGGATTGATATGGGCTTGCAACGCAAATCGCAGGGAGGTATCAAGGGGAGCATACACGTAATATTATGCAAGAAGCAAGAAAATGTCAAAGAAGAGAGGGAAACATTGAATACATGGAATGCAACTGAAGTAAGATCAAAACGCCGTTTCCACACGCACCGATTCCCAAAACGCGGGTAAAACAAAATGATCCGAGCCGAAAACAGAAAAAAAAAAACAAGTCAATCAAGTTTGACCAGACGATAAATGAAGATAAGAAAGCTGCGGTAGTGACAGTGATCGGTGCAAATGACCACTGATACCGATGAAGCCACCAGCCTATACTGATACTGGTAACCTGACACGGTAATGTGCAATTAGCGGCGATCATTGCAACTGCTCGTCATGTGAGGTACAACTTGAAAGTTGCTTATAAGATAACGCAATGGCAGCGAGGGCTTCTCTCGCTTGCTTCCCGTTCCCGGCTGTACTGGGCTTTGGCACCCTTGGTATCCTCTTCATCCACTACTTCTTGTGGCTTGATTGTCATGTGTACGATATTCGGGGTATCGCGACTAAACCTCGAGTCTTAAGGGATAATGTAAGCCTCGTGCATTGAGCGAATTAAGTCAAGAGACATACCTGACAAAGGGGCTTTATCTTCTAGCAGCTTGCCGAAATAAATCAGACGAATTGAACTTGGAGACGATGGGCAAGGCTCCCATTCTGTTAATCAATTAGCCACCTGATTGCAGTACGCGGTCCCGCGTGTACAGGACAGCAGGTCACTCGACGCTGCGGAACACACCTGGTCGCCATTCTCTCAGAATGAGTTCCTTCAGAGTATATACGCTCATGCGGAATGGATCGTAGTCTTCAACATTGACTGCTCGTTTTCGTAGATATTTCCCGTCGATCTTGAATGGGTGTCTCGCTCCTGTGATCAAGAGAAGGGTGATAACCAGCGATGGCCCTTCATCTTCGACATCCTTTAAAGGAGTAGAGGGTTGCTCTGGCATTGATTCGCTCTCTGGCGCACCAGCTTTTAAGTCAGACACTTCAGAATCGGCGACGTTGGTAGGCCTCGCTGTTTCTGCTTCACTCGGGGCAACAGAAGGAGCCGGTGCGGTGTTATCGCCACTTGTTGTCGGTTGCTCAATCGCGGCGCTAAGTTCCTGCTGAATCTGCGAGCTGCTGCCCTCGACTGTCTCTCGAGTCTGAGGAATCTGATTGTCCTTATCTTGGGAGACATCAACCGTCGAGGGAGCTTGGCCTTCACGGACCTCCGCCGCCAAGTCCGATTCCCGGGTATCGTTTGAAGCCATCACGATCGTCTCGTAGCGTCGACTATGACACACGATTGAATCGGACTGGTCCCTCGCAATGAGCGAAAGAATGCTGATGGAAAGACAACCCGAGCAAAGTACTTTAGTTCTAGGGTCGGGCGGAAGAAGCGCTGCCGTGACGTTGTTAAGGAAACGCTGGCTCCCTTGCCCCCTAGAACTAAGCGCGCAGCAACGAGAGAGACCGTCGGACGGGAGGAATACCGCTCGACAAACAACGATGGCGGAAAAAAAAGTGGCAGCAAAGGGATTGTAGACAACCCCTTTTTCAAGCTAGCCACAGGGTGAGGGATACAAAAAAGAGGGTGGATACGGTGGTCACTGGTGGATGAGGAAATGGCAGATCAGGGTCGGCGGCTCCTCACTTGCCTCTCCGCCAGACTCGGTCGAGAACAAACAGCCCGTGACGGGGGAGAGAAGGCGGCGCGGAGAGAGAGGCCACTAGTTAAGTCTGACAGAATCACCATCGAACAATTAATATTATTATTTCTTTTCCAGCAACCTTCCCTTCTGGCTTTTTTGCACTGAAATGCTGATCGGGCCAAGGAGACTTTTGCGCAATGGCCGCCGTTGGCCCTAAAGTGGGTTAAAAAAGTGACATCCTGGTCAGATGCGGACAAGCCTTGCCCCTTGGCTCGTCCAACAACTTCAGCTCTCCTCGTGCAATCGTCTCTCCTAGCAAGTAGATGGATATACATCCAGTGGCTCGGGGTTAGTAAACGATGTTGACTGTCATTGATCTCAATATTTCTTGCAGTACACCCGCAACGTGGGTATTAATGCCACCATTACCGACCATTGGCTTTTCTTGTATGTATCCTGTTATTCTTGGCATCAAATAATCTCTTCTGACATAGTACCGAGTATGTAGTATATTGCCACCACGGGTGAACCTCTTGCGTGCAGGTTGTATTCCTAATGTTATCTCTCTCCCGTTTTTTTTGTCTTTCTGAAACCTCCGGTGAAACATTTACTTACACCAGCCACAACGTGATCTAGATTTTCTCTACCAAAAATCCCAATGATTACAGGTTGCGCTGCCAAGCCGATTATACAAGAATCTAATTTCATACAACGGTGGGACACAATTTAGTTCGAAGATCCTAGTTGTTTAGTTGCAGGTTGTTTGCGGGTTGCTGTCGGTGACCTGTGACCTGTCCCACCTACATGCCAGCTTGCTAATGAATTGCACAAGGTGCACGGATGTGATACGACAGATATGTAGCTACTGCTCTAATTGAGCACCTGGTTGTGGACTCTCTCTTTCACGAGTTGTTGATGTGATTGTGGCCTTATCCATATTATGTTGAACTTTACCAATTGAGCCATGATGATTGGGACATCTCTACGCAATCGGAGGCAAGCGCCAGTCATGGAGTTCTCCTGAATCAGAGAAAAGAGACCAAAATGTCATTTCAAAATCAATCCAGATGTCTATGGAGGTGATATGGTATATTCGGTGGATGATGACGAGCCGAGCTCAGGTACGGAAGGAGAGCTAGAAAGTCGAAGGATTAAGTTTATAGAGTAGCGTAGCAAAAAGCTACGTAGGTATTTTATTTTATGCATGACCCGGTAAAGTTTTCATATATAGTTACCAAGGTTAGGTAGCTATATCATGATCCCTCCTTTAATCTATCACGGACAAAACGGGCAAAGCCTCTCAATCGTCTGTTGCCTGAGGCGGCAAAGTGGGTAGAAGCACGGGCCACATGGCATTTCGCAAAGCCAGTGTGTGATATCAACGGCATGACTGCACCACCCTACAAGGCGACGCAATCCCACTCTAAACCCCCATCTCGTCGTTCTCTTTCCGATTCAGGTCAGTTACGATGTCCTTCTTCGGCTTCGACACGACCCTTCCCAGGGATCGTGCTGCCGCTGGGGGGAGGAGGGGTATATTTGAGAACCCGGATCCCTTCGCCGAAGTGGCTCGCGCCAAAGCTGGAGGCCACGACGACGACGATGATGCGTAAGTTTGGCCCTACGGTCGTTCAAGTTTTCTACAGTCGCTGATGCGCTTCATGACAGAATCGATTTCGAAGATACCTATGACGGATTGGGCGACCAGCTGGACGAAGACCAGGATGCGTTCAACGAGGACACCTTTGGAGCCGATGATGTGGGCAAGGATTTCGACTTCTTCGGCAAGACCGCACAGGTATCGGATGTCCTCAGTGAGGAGCAGTTCCGATACAGCTTGCAACATCACAAGCCGAGTCCTGCTCCTCAACAACCTGCTGCTGTGTCTACTTCTACGTCTACCGTGCAGAAACCCAAAAAGACTGGTTATGAGAAATACAACGATCCAGGATACATTCCTGAGATCACGGCCAAGTCGAGCGTATGGGGAACTACGCCAACACAGAAGTCCCATGTAGAGCCCCCGCAGGCGGCACCGGCGCCGGCGGCGTCCAGGAACATGATGAGCCTGGAGGAGGTTGAAGCTCAGATGCGCGCGCAAAGTCAACGAGTCACGGCTCCTCAGCCTGCAGTCTCGATTCCACCTGTTTCTGAGTTGCCTCCTATGCCGCAGCATGGCCAACCGATGCCTCCCATCCCCTTGGATGCTTACGCCCAAATGATTCCTGAGAGCGTTCGTTTTGAGCAGCAGGCTCAGTTTGCTCGAGGCATACCGCCTATGCAGCCCTTCCAAGGCCATCAGCAGCCGCTTCCAGAACCATTCCCTGGGTCTGCCGTCCCGCCTCCAGCACCGTTGCAACTCTTGCAGAACCAAGCCAGACCTCAGCAGGTGCCTCAGCAGCGCCACGGTGGTCATCCACGCGTGTCTCGACAGCCGCAGCAACCGGTAATGGGACCAAATGGCCCGTTGCCGGTTATTACCAACCCTCAGCAGCTGATGAACCTTCCGGAAGACCAGCGCATGGCTTATCTCGTCGAAGATGCCAAGCGGGCCAAGCGTAACCACAAAATCTTCCTTCTCTCGAGAGGCAATGGCTTGATGACTCCTCAGGACAAGAACTTCATCACGCGCATTCAGCTGCAGCAATTGGTAGCTGCGACAGGAAATATGGCCGACCCAGACCCGGAGGCTGTTTTGTCCGAAGACTTCTACTATCAGGTCTACAGCCAGATTCGAGGTGCTCCAAGGCAGCACCCTCGCCAACCTCTTGGCCACTTTGCTCAGACATACCTCTTTCAAACAGGTAGCCGCACCGGTGGTCATGGCCGGAGGCACTATCAAAATGCGGATAACCACATGCAGAGGATGCAGCAACAGGTCCAGCGTGCTGTGGAGGCCGCGAAGCTCAAGCCCAAGAATAAGCAGTTGATCATCGAAGGCAGCTTGGGAAAGATTTCGTTCAGCAATGCCAAGACTCCCAAGCCTTTGCTTAATATCAAGCGCCCGGAGAGTTCAGAGGGCGTCAAAACCGCGAAGAAAACGACGCATACGGAACTGAGCCCGAGTGATCGCAAATCGATCCTTAAAAACATTGAAAGTGTCTACGGAGCTCTGATGAAGATGGAAGATATGGAACGTAATATGCCTCCGCCGCCGGATGAGAGTGATCCCGAAGCTATTTCCCGGCACATGGAATGGAGACAGAAGATTCAGGCTCTCAACCAGAAACTCTGGCAAGAACTGAAGGTCATGGAGCCCATCGTACCCGGATCGGTCACCCCTCACCCGTTCATCGCGTTCTTGTCATACTCGAAGGGAAAGAAGGCCATCCCTCGTATATTCCGGCATATTGACCAGGAGCAGCGGGTCACCATCCTTACCATGATTGTCGTCCACCTGGACTCGCTCGATGTGGTGCGCTGGGCCCAGCCCCGGCTTGGTGAGGTTCAACCACCTGCGGCGGTGCGGGAGGAGATCGAGCTCTTCTCCCAAGCTGTCATGCCCAGCCTTCTCGGCTATGTGAGCGAAGCCCCCTTCAACATTATCATCGGTCTATTGGGCCTGGTCCTTGCCCAGACGCAGGTACAGACCGTGGCCCGAACCAAAGTCGGTCTTGGCATCCTCACAATGCTCCTCAGCCGTGCTGAGATCGTGAAGGAGGCCGGCCAGGCCGATGAGCGGGATTGGCAGCAATGGACCGAGAAATTCAATGTTCTCTTCGACACTCTTGAACCGATCCTGGCTGACATCTTCCCTGGATCCATCAACACTGGGGATGATATGTACGTGTGGCAGTTCCTCGCTGCCGTGGGTATCGGAGCGAGCCCGGAACAACAGCAGCGCTTGGTTATCGCAGTCAAGTGAGTTATCCCTCTGATCCGAAGTTTTCATTTTTCTGTCTATGGAGGCATTCTAACCGGCATGCAGGGACCGAGTCATGGAGACAGTAGCCCAGAGTAAGACACTGCCTGCTGACATGGCCAGTCAGCGATTGAGCAATGTCAACCTCTTCATGCGGGCCATTGGACTGGACGTCGAGCTCCTCGGCTAGACCCATCCTCTAAATATCCGGTCCGCGACCTCCTTCAGTCTCCTACTATCTAATTATACGCGCCATTAGGGCTGCAGTGACACCCATGACTTAATCCACGACTGACCGGACGATGACATGCGGAATGAAACCACGATTTTGAGCGCGAATGCATGGGATGACCATATCTGGAGTATTATTTTCGGGCCGAAAGCCGAAGCACTCCCGGGGGAGGGAAATATCGAACCCCTGGCATGGGGTGACCATGGACACGAGATGAGTCTTTGGAGGCAACGCGGACTGGCACATGAGGCCAAAAATACTTTCTACACTTCTACGTCCGTTGCTGCGTGGCCGTAGCAGTGAACGCGATACATATTCCCCAATGAATCAGATTGTACAGTATATGCCGATGCATGTGTTAGTTATACGAGTAGCCCTTAAGATCACGTATGATGTCGAGACGATCGACCCAGCTGTTGGTGGCCGAAGTTGGCCAACCGGAGAAAAACCAGGCCTTCGGAACAGGCGACCCGGGCGCGAGATCGACTTGCAGTATGGAGTATCTAATATAACATGGAAGGGAATTAATTGTAGGATACGCAGATCTTGGCATGACTCGTGCTTAGCGGGGTGACGGCGCAATGAACACTGGGGACGCCCAGATAGCATGGTCGATTGCATGACGAGTCTGCGAGAGATCATGATATCTGAGAAATTACAGAGATTCGAGAGAGCCGTTCGAGCAACTCGGGCGATCAATCACGATGTCACTGGTGGCGTCTAGCTGGTACGAGATCGAAAACGTGCGAGCGTGAAATGAACGGGTTGAAGCAATCAAATCGATTAATTAATTGATTAATCTCCATGGCGGCCCCTGAAACCTTCAGCTCCATCCCGCGTACTGTCGGGTGATCGTCCTGGCAATAATAACACGCGTGCCGATCAGATGCTGTGCTGTCCTCTCCGACCACCTTTTTATCTCTCTCGCTTCCCCTCGTTGGTTTTTCCCTCCCTCTCTCTATCCTCTCGTCTCTCTCTGCCAGCAAAGCCATTGTGGAAAAGCATTGAAGGCATCCAACTCTTCCTCCAGATCAATTACCCCGCCTCTAGCAGACCCCACCATCTGCACGTAATCAATCAGTCTCGTTGTTTAGCCCGAGTCCGATTCGATCGCTCTCCACCGTCCCTCCATCGTCGTCACCAAGCGTTAGCTATCCCACTACTACAATAATGTCTGCTGGATCAGTTCTCGTTGCCGGGTAAGCATCGCGTCTCTACGAGGAACTACTATACTCCTCTACGCACTCGATTCGTCCAGGACAAGAAGCTAATTGCGCCGGCAGAGGAACGGGCTACATCGGCTCCTTCACCGCCCTTGCCTTAATCGAGGCCGGCTACAAGGTCGTCATCGCAGACAACCTCTACAACTCGTCCGACGAGGTCATCAACCGCATTGAGCTCATCTCTGGAAAGAGACCTGAGTTCGTCAAGGTTGACATCACCGAGGAGGGTGCTTTCGACAAGGTCTTCGAGACCTACCCTGACATCGACAGTGTCATCCACTTCGCCGCGCTGAAGGTGTGTAGCTATGTTTTGTTTCTTCTTGGCTACGAGCCGCACATCAGAAGCCCTGGCTTCACCATGTATTGATTGCTAATTTCCCAATGACAGGCGGTCGGTGAATCCAGCGAGCGCCCCATTGACTACTACAATGTCAACGTCTACGGCTCCATCAACCTCCTCAGGTCCATGCTCAAGCACAATGTCACCAACATTGTCTTCTCCAGCTCTGCCACCGTGTACGGTGATGCCACTCGTTTCCCTAACATGATTCCCATCCCCGAGGAGTGCCCTCTGGGACCTACGAACCCTTACGGAAACACCAAGGTCAGCGTCGAGTGGGCCATCACGGACGTCATCAACGCGGCACGCAACAACGCCATCAAGGCCGGAAAGCCTGAGGAGGCCAAGAAGTGGAACGGTGCTCTGCTCCGTTACTTCAACCCCGCTGGTGCTCACCCCAGTGGTATCATGGGAGAGGACCCCCAGGGTGTCCCTTACAACCTGCTGCCCCTGCTGGCCCAGGTCGCGACTGGCAAGCGCGAGAAGCTGCTCGTCTTCGGAGACGGTAAGATCCCCCGGATTAACTTCAATCAACGAATCCAAGCTGACAAAGCGCAGACTACGCTTCCCACGATGGTACCGCCATCCGCGACTACATCCACATCCTCGACCTGGCAGACGGTCACCTGAAGGCCCTGAACTACCTGCGCTCTCACAACCCCGGTGTTCGCGCTTGGAACCTGGGTACCGGCCGAGGCAGCACTGTCTACGAGATGATCCGCGCATTCTCCGCCGCTGTTGGCCGTGACCTTCCTTACGAGGTTGCTCCTCGCCGTGCTGGCGATGTCCTTAACCTGACTGCGAACCCCACTCGCGCCAACACTGAGCTGGGTTGGAAGGCTCAGCTGCCTCTTGAGCAGGCCTGCGAGGATCTGTGGCGCTGGACTAAGAACAACCCCCAGGGTTACAGACAGCAGCCCCCTGCTGAGCTGCTCGAGCAGCTGAAGAAGAAGAACTAAAATCACAAGGAGTTGATTGGTCTCCAGGTTCGCAAAGTGTGCAGCCCTGCCCACTCACTACTCTAGTAAAGGAAGAAAAAGAAATGAATTACGACAGTTGGGAGGATATCGGGCAGGAACAGGAGGGAGAGCGGGAACGAAACGAAATAAAAAACAGACCACATAGGCACCCTTTGTATCCCACTCGATTCTGGAAGCTTAAAACAAACAAAGCAAGAGGATCTAGACAGGAAGAGAGAACAGGAGATGCCTGACGCTTGGAATATAGGATATAGCGTCCCGTTTTTGGACATTTTAGCCGTCCTTTCTACATAAATTACCCCTAGACAGTTATAGAAATCAAGACTTTTTTTGACATGATCTTTATTTAATTGGTTCGTATATGTGGTTTAAAGGGGACATTGCCTGCCTTATGATACTTGTAATTTTGAATGGACCGTTCCGAGCTGGCATGCGCATTAATTATTAGGGATCTCCTACTAGATATTGGGTATAACTATATACGTATATTGCAACTATAATTAGATACAGGAATTAACTTGGCAGGATTCCATAATCAATCCCTATTTTTGTGATCCTCAATGTAACGAAGCCACACCCATTCTCATTTCTATTTATTTCGCTTTACGACTCCTTCTGGATCCGGGGGTCTGCTGAGCCTTAGCAGATCCAGAGCTTTCACTCGTAGTAGTGTCCTGCTGCTGTTTCTTTTTCTTCTCTTCCTCCTCCTTTTCTTTCTTCTCCAACGCTCTCCTGACAGCCCCTTCTTTCTCCTTAGCTTCGATTTGCTTCTCGCTGAATTCCCACAGCCGCTTGGCAACTGCTTCGTCTTTGATTTCCTTCCGGAGTAAATCGACCTCGCGACACTCCTTGATGAACCAGGGGCCGGTGCCACGGCCGAATTTGGCTTCCATGGTCGCGTAGAGGAAGCTCTGGGCGCCCTGTTGGGGAGATTTGAGGATCAACCACCACAGTGGCCATGTGAGGAGATAGAAGAGGAGACCCCAGAGAGAGCCGCGGGTGAGCCAGCGACGGGTTCCTGGCGTACGGCAGAAACCCGGGTCGACGATGAGGACGCGCGCGTTGACTGGGAATTTGTCCGGTCTTTTGTACGAGGAGAGGTGAGACTGGAAGGAATTGGCGAAAGTCATTAGGGCGAGTTTCGTCATGCCGAACATATTGTGCTTCTTGTGCGTGTTGGTGTTCTGCTTTGTTGCCGTGGCTGTCTTGCCTTTACCTCTTGGCTTCGCTGTTGTTGTCGTTGTGTTTGCAACGGCTGCGCCTTCAGTCTGCTTTAGATCTATCGTGCCGCCGATGTAGCTTGAGCAAGTAGCAAAGACGATCCGCACGTCTCTGTCCGGTGGCTGGGCTCGTATGGCAGGGCTCAGGATGCTTAGCAGATGGAAATTGGCCAGGTAGTTGATCTGCCATTCCGCGTCCAGCCCATCCTTGGTTATTTCTCTTTGTCCGCCCTGAGGCACCGCCGTATTTCCACAGAGGATGATCATATCCAGACGCCGTGGCGGGGCATTGTCAACCCATTTTGTAGCGAAGGTGCGGATGGAATGGAGAGAGGACAGGTCGACTTGTTCTGCGTATATGAGCTGGTTCTTGGTCGAGGTCCGTAGGTCTTGGATGTAGTCGACGAGGAAGATATCAGAGGGCGGATGTTGAGTTAAGAGGATGATCTGGGCGCCGCGAGATGCGAGTTCGTGGACGATGGCAGCTCCTATTCCAGATGTTCCTCCCTACATTGTGAATGAAACAGATCAGCCATTTGTATCTTACTAAAAAAAAAAAAGGGTATATTAGATTTGTATCAGGAAATCACTGTTCCACTCACCGTGATCATTACCACCTTCGAGTGCATCAATCGCTCCGACTTATTGCTCGCGCCGCCAAAGTACACCTTGAGCGCCGCGAGAAGGATCAGCCATGGCACGACCTTCAGCACGGGATAGAGATAAGGAATGGACGGGAAGCCCTCGCTGACACCCTTGACGATGAAATGGACGGGCATGGTATTAGCGTCGAGCCCCCGGGATTATTGTTGAAAGAGTGTGTGGTTGGAGTTCTCAAAAAAGACACTCGATGCTGATTATTACGTTCCTGGAGAGAGAGCAGCCACTCTATCGGATAATGCTTAGCGGACGATCTCCCGCCGCCGCGGATATGACTTCACTTGTCGACCAGTTGCCTCCGTTCAAGTTCTCTCTATCTCATTTTCTCCCTCGCCCACTTCGTCTGCGGGGGAATCAGAGACAGGTATTTATGGTATTCTTTGATTTATTTTCGCATAATAATGTCCTACGAAGACGACGATTATTTCCTCCCACTCGAAGACCAGCGCGTCTTTGGCGCAGGCATCCGGAGGAAGCGCGTGCAATTCGTCCCCTCCGCAGAGACTCTCAACACTACAGACGATGTCTCGAATGCTTCTCAAGCAGCGCGCCAGTCAAGTGAACCTGCTGCAAGTATTGCAGATCGATATCTATCTATCGTACTTCCAAAGGAAGCAAAAACACCATCAAAATCAGAAGACACACAGCGGGAACAGACTAAGGAGTTAGAAGAAGAAGAGGCCCTCAGATCCTCCGCGCCACCATCACTGCCCACCACAACCATATCGCCGTCGCAGGACCTATCCTCGCTCAAAGGACCAGCTTCTACACCAGAGACCGCAGAACGATGCGAAGTCTGCAACCTTCCTCTCGTCCCCGCAGTCTCGCAAACGGCCTCCTCGTCGTCTGACGGGAAGAAGATCCTCCCTCATGAAGCTTCTCTCGTGCACCAGCTCTGTCTCTCACACTCTCACCCTCCCTCCCACCTCGATCGTACACGACATGGTCTGCGCTACCTAGAATCATACGGCTGGGATCCCGATAGTAGACTTGGTCTTGGCGCGCCAGGACGAGAAGGGATTCGAGAACCGATCAAGAGCCGCGTGAAGAACGATACCGTCGGATTAGGCGTCAAGATTGACCCGCTCAAGGCTAAAGCGTCCGCGAAGGAGGCCAAGGTGCAGAAGTTGAATGCGAAGGAGGTGAGGAAGATGGAGATGGAAGGGAAGAAGAAACGGGAGCGGTTGCAGGAAATGTTTTATCGGAATGAGGATATCGAGCGGTATTTGGGAGGCGGTGGTCGTGTTCAAGGTTTGAGATGATATCGAATTGGGACGGGTGAATTGCATATTTTGCTGTTCCATGGCATTGTTTACATTGTATATACGATTGTGGTTCTTTGGCTTTTGTTATGATACCCCATACAGTTATTTGAGTTTTTTTATTTTTTTTTTTTTTTTTCAGATTCGGGATGCAGGACGCTGAGCTATAGATAATAGATATTGGGATCTCTCTGGGTTGAAAGATTTCCGCGCTACGGTTATCTGCGCTTTGCATGTTACATACAAGATAGAGCACCGACTCAAGAAGAACGAGCAGATATCATCCACACCAAGACAAAAAAAATGCGTATGCTCGGTTTTTGTACCATTGGAAATGCTCAGGGAATTGCGGATTCGAAGCAGGATGGTATCAACGCGCTAAAAGTAGGATAAGGAAGAGGGGAAGCAGACAAGACACGGAACCAGTAACGGGGAGGATATCATGATCGGTGGGACTTGCTTTTGGCATTGCTTCCCAGGTTCATTTGAAGAAGTGGTGCTTCTTCTTTTTCTTCTCCTTCTCCTCCTTAGGCGGTTTCCCTGGTGGTGCACCGGACGATCCGTTCGGCTTGGGATTAATGGACATCGCGGCCATTGCGTCGCCTGGAGGCAGAGGTGGGTTAAGAGCCGGCATTGGCTTCTTAGCGACAGGTGCTGGTGGCGGCGGCGCGGGCTCTCTCTCGAACAAATGTGCCGGCGCTTGTTTCTTAGGCCGCTCTGCTGGGATATCTAATCGCCGCTTGTCCACACTGAGCTCTCCCAGCTGCCGCAGGAAGAGGCGCGGAGTCAACATGTGCGAAGTCACAAGGAAAATATCCTTCCCTGACGCCTGGGAAACCTCGTAGCATGCTCGAGCTTCGGAATAGGTAGCTCCTCCCGCCATGAACACTATGAGACGTTGCCGGGGCTGGTCATTGGAGGAACGTGTACGTGCCCAAGTTGGTTTGGCGCTTCTGAGAGAGGATTGGGACAAGGTGTCTACCGTCCCCATTCCATCACCTTCAGCTGGCGGGCGCGTGAAGGGGAAAACGGAACGATCTAAGACCCCTCGCAGGTGATCCTCCAGCATCATCTTCACATTGGGCTCGAAACGAGAAAGGTTCACTTCCTCCGACTCAACAGCAGGAGGCTTCCTAACAAAGAGAGGTTGAGGCGGAGTCTTTGTATCCTTCAGAGGTTTCTCGACTCGCACTCCCAGCAGTTCGAGGTTTTGTATAACCTCTCCGTCCTGGGGTGGGAGCTGGGCATGAGCAAGAAGCTTCCTGATATCGCCACCAAGTAGGCCATCTCGGTAGATGAGATAGAGAATTATGAGTCTCAGGCGATCTGGGGGTGTTATGGATGGGTCGTCCAGAAGTCGTACTATCTGATCAGCCATATTTCTAGGCTTCTTATAATCTTCGTCCAGGCCAGTAGACAGAGACTATTTGCCGTTAGTGTATCATAGATGTCATGGACTTCCCGGTTTGCATACCTGTTCCACTGAACTAACTTCGATCAACTTTTGCTCTTGGAAAAACTTCATGCATTCCTGCGCCATGTTGAGATGAAGAGTATAGAGATTCTTGCCCTCTTGGAAATCTGATAGACCAACTAACATATCCTTAATCGTGTCGACGCTGACTTTGTTATCACTGCGAAAGGGACAGTCAGCTATTAGATCAACAGGGGACGTAACTTGAGCCACTCACTCATCGGCAAATTGAGGATTGGCAGCCCTAAACTTCGCAAAATCCTCGCCCAGTTTACCCAGAACATCTTTCATGTGTTGATGTCTGTAGTCGACCCAAATTCTGTCATTGTCTGTGATTTCCATGTCCTTAACTTCCTCGTTGTGACTTCCCTCATTTATAACAGTCTTGTACGTGACTTTGTCGCCGTCTTTGATCGGCAGCAGGTCGTGTACCATTGCCTGATAAGTAAATTCATGGATGAGAGGAGAGAAAAGGTCCATGGAGCGGTCCACCACGAAGAGGACACCGCGAGGCCTGGGCGACGGGGGAGGAAAATCTCTTTTGGCCTGCGCGAAGTTATCCAGTTCCTCCTGGATAAACCGAGCAAGATGCGAGCATAAGACACTCGCTTCATGAATAGGCGCCCTAGGCTTATAGTACCGTATCGTCGGGTATTCGCCCAGAGTAACGCACACTGACACAATCTTTTGAGCCAAGTCCTGCAAATGATCCCGTATCAAGGTATTGCATCCAGGATGAAAGAGCACAGGAAAGCTCCAGGGGTCTCGCAAGGTCACTACATGCGACTCTCTGGGAAAGAATCCGATGTTGAGCACTCGGAAGTCAGCGATCTGCTCGCGGGCGATCTGCGATCTCTCTATCCTGTGGCGCTGTTTAGGGTCGAGAACTAAGAAGCGTTTAGAATAACCAAGCCGAGTAATCATGGGGAACAGGATGCTGACTTGATGTCCAGGCCAAGTAGCCTTTCCTATATCGTTTCCGCTCGAAATCGGCCATGAGGCAATCGACAATATGCGGCTGCGGGGTCAGAATATAGAGCGCATCCATGTCAGGGTTCGCCGGCCGTTTGTGTTCGATCTGCTCGATGTCTTCTCGGTATTAGAGAGATCCTCCAGTCTCCAGTATGTAAGCTTACTTGTCACATTGAGGTTGAGAATATCTTCGTCCTTCGTTACATTGTCGATCAGTTTCTTGCTGTCCTCATCTACCACCAAGACTTTCCACTGCGTTCGTGTCAGAATCAGGCCGAACTATTGTAAAGAGGACGATGTGGGAACTCACTTCTTCCCCTCCAGCATAGCGGACCGTATTCAGGAGAACTATTGAAGTCCATATTAGCATATCTCCCAGTCCAGGAATGTCCAAACTCGGGCACCTGTTACCTACTATCGCGCTGGATGTTGATTATGGAGGAACCCATTGTTGCCTGCGGGACACCCACAGCATGGGACCCCGCACCGTCTGTTCCGTCTGTTTCGTAGACCTGAGGATTTGAGTGTACAGTTCGAAAGACGAAAGATGCTTAGTAGGAGAGAGAATGAATCTGCAAGAAGAGCTGGAGTGTTGCAGCCAACAACTCCTGGCGCGTGTTCCCCACTCCGGAACCCAAGAGGAACTCCGAGTCCTCCAAAGCGCCACCGCCTGCGGGATGGATCGACGCTGGTTTTGATAACGCTTTTGTCCAGCTACAAAACACTTTACCATCACCCCAAAGACCTCATGCGGACAACCCCCGTCAGAGCGGACAGCTGACGAGGTCGCTGTCAGTTGAATTTTTGTTTCCCGTGCCTTGTCTGGTACCTGTCAGCTTTGCAGTGTCTGGCAATGCAGCTATGGACAAGCTCGGGCAGAGGCACCCATTGCCTCTTTTGCTTCTTTCGAGTTCGATCTGTGTTTCCTCAAACTGAGCGATCATTTTCGACAACTTCTGTCCTTGCTAGAGCTGGAAAGTCTTCGACTTCTGATAGTAGCCGTCGCGCGTTGAAAACTACATCAAAGGTGCGGCCACTGGCTTGCGGTTCCCCTACATTCAACTAATTGAAACAACAGAGCTCGAAGAAACCGCCAACTCATCTCACTCAGTCATTCCGTCACATTTTAGCGGGTGAAGATTTCCCAGCCGTCGTCGCATCGGTATTGCACGATTCGAAGGAGAAATTACATCCATCCGATCCGGCGCTCAAAGGCTGGGGCAGGATCCAGCGGTTCGTTCTAAATGCATCCAAGCTAGAGAACCGGGGGAACAACAGCTCAGGATGGAGTCCTTTGCGACAGCTAAACTTGTCGCTGAGACAGGCCTATCTTCGACGGGGCATTCCAGGTCTGAGAAAGGAACTCGACCATTTCATACGATCGGACGCCATCACGAATCAATACTCTACCCCGAATCTCGCAGATCAGAGGAAGGTTACAGACCTGCGATATCCGGCTGAATGGTATCCCCATGCGCGGTCAATGCAACGGACAATCCATCTGCACGTTGGCCCTACCAACTCGGGAAAGACCTATCACGCCTTGAAGCGTCTCGAGTCGTCAAAGCATGGTTTTTATGCTGGTCCGCTGAGATTGCTAGCCCAAGAGGTCTATCATCGGTTCAATGCTAAGGGTATACCATGTGGTCTTGTTACCGGCGATGACGTCAAATTCCCAAGTGACCAGCAACCACGTATCGTGAGCAATACAGTTGAGATGGTTGGCCTTGGAAAGGAGTTCGAGGTTGGAGTTATTGATGAGATCCAAATGATTGCTGATCCGAAACGAGGCTGGGCTTGGACTCGCGCGGTGCTGGGCGCCCGCGCTACAGAACTTCACCTCTGTGGAGAAACAAGGGCTGTTCCTCTCATTCGGGAACTCGTCGCTCTCACCGGAGATACGCTCGAGATCCATCACTATCAGCGACTGAACCCTTTGAAAGTCATGTCCAAGAGTATAAGGGGTGATTTGAAGCAACTTCGAAAAGGCGACTGTGTGGTATCTTTCTCGCGTCTCGGTATACATGCTTTGAAAGCGGAGATCGAGAAGGTGACCGGAAGACGAGCGGCTATTGTCTACGGCAGTTTACCGGCTGAGATTCGAACCCAGCAGGCAAGTCTGTTCAATGACCCTGACAATGACTACGATTATCTCGTTGCCAGTGATGCGATTGGAATGGGTCTCAATCTGTAAGTTCGAGTTTCCTTTCCGTTTTCTCTACTATATTCTGACTTTGACCGCAGGAGCATCAAGCGCATTATCTTCGAGACATTGGTGAAAAGGATACCCGGTGGCCTCGTCAGGCTCACCGTTCCTGAGATCAAGCAGATAGCAGGACGTGCAGGACGGTATCGGCCAGCCACAACTTCGCATGCCAAATCAGGTGCCAGCGAGGAGCCTGACGTTGGGCTCGTTACCTCACTTGAAGAAGTAGATCTGCCGTATATTCAACAGGCCATGAGCATCGAGCCTGCTCCGCTGCGCGCAGCGGGTATATTTCCCCCGGATTCAGTGCTCCAAAACTTTGCTGCATATTTCCCTCCTGATGTTCCTTTCCAGTACATAATCAAGCGTGTATTGGACCTGGCCCAAGTACACCCTCTGTTCTTCATGTGTGACCCCGTTTCTCAACTGCAGAACGCAGAGCTCATCGACGCTGTGCCTGGACTTCGGATCGACGATCAACTTGTCTTCATGGCTGCTCCAATCTATGCTAGGGACCCATCAGCGCAGGCTGTCACTCGTGCCTTTGCCAGGTGTGTGACTGAGAATTCTGGCGGGCGTCTACTTGACATCCCAGAATTGAAACTTGAGATATTGGAGCAGCCTGTGTCAGGAAAAAAAGAGTACTTGCACGAGCTCGAAAGCTTGCACAAGTCTATCATTCTTTACTCATGGCTGAGTTTCAGATTTGGTGGCATTTTCACGGATAGGACCCTCGCAGCTCATGTGAAGGAACTTGCAGAGGAGAGGATGGTGAGAGCTTTGACAGAGTTCTCCGCCAACAAAAAGCTCATGAAGGACGCTTCGCTTCGCGCTCAGATTGCGCTGCAAAAGCAAATGCAGGAGCGGGATCGCTTACTTGCTGAGGCGAACCTCGACGCTACGAATCAGGACACTCTCCCTATCAATCTTTCTGCCGAGGAGACGAGGCTCGAATCTGCGGATCAGGACCTTCTCCCTGTCGAGAGCTCAACAGAGGACTTGTCAGCAGAGGAGAACAGTCAACCGTCTTCCCCCTACCAGACAGGGGCGTGAGATTGGTATATGTTGAATGCTGTTCGGCGCAGTAGAAGGTACGCTGCTCTTGTAGCCTTCTATCCAACAGCAAACCCGGGAAAGATCAGTCTCGGAAGGCGGTGTTCCCATCCATTTCGTGTACCACCAAAGAGACTATAAACTGTGTACAACCTGACTGCTCTTATTGCGCAGATGACCAGTGTTCCGGGATATCAATTTTTTTCTTCGCACTCTTATGTACCATATTGCCATATATACTCTCTGTACTTTCGGCGGGTTTCTTACGGACGGTTGTACTTTGACGATGATTACCTAGTCACGATAGGCCAGTGTCTTTATCAATATTATGATTTGTACTATCTGACCGTCAGAATCGAGAAATAGTAACCTCTCCAATTCAAACAAAGTAAAAAGATCACTGTGAGCAAATACTGAGTGGAAGTATACCGTACAAGGCATATCTAGGTATCTTTTGTCTTTGTCGCAGTACAGGGTCATCGAATACTTCGAATACACGTTTTCAGGAACTAAACAGAAACGTCTAGGATGATGATCCGTGATTAATGAAAGCAATGGGACTTGATTTTTTCCAAGTAATACTGAATATCCTGCAGATGTAGTAAGCTGGTCAAAATATATAGATCTCCGTTTCCCGGCTAAGTATTCACCTACAATATGGCTAAGTTGAGTGTGCTTCTAAAAAGAATATACGGTAACCCTCTCAATATCTACGGTTCAGTTTCATATTGAGTTCACGTTGAATAACAGGACATCAACTGTTGCTCCCAATAATAATAATAGTCCAGGGCGCAAAATAGTTCATGTGGCGACGAAAGCTGGAAGCTTAACTGTTTCGGGGTCCGCCACAACGATTTTCCGCCACAGGTTCGGACTCCGCGATCGCGACGGGATATTGAGAAACAAGCGCTTTTTGACGTGAGGGTGTTCTACACTCTTCAACGACTCGAACGTTGCTTCGGTCGGATTTATCGTCGTCCCTAATATCTGGTCATGGATGACCTCCAGTCGTTGGAGCTCTTCTCGCTCATCTCGCGAGTGACGAATGAGCTCCAAAACCATCTGGGGATCAACGATAAGACACTTGCGGAGTTTGTTGTTGACCAACATCTAAAATGCAATTCATTTGCGGAATTCAGATCGTCACTAGAGGCCATGGGCGCCGACTTTCCCCAGAGTCTGATGGAGAGTATCGACCGCCTGGTTCTCACGATGCACCCGAAGTACAAGACGAAGCAAAACGTGGCGAGCGAACCGACCGGGGATAGTAATAATGATATGGATGCACTGGATGCTATCGAGAAGAAGGCACGCGTTTTCAAGGGTCTAGCGATGCCGGATAAAGAGCAGCGGTGGGAAGATGAAGAACAGCCGCGGGACAAAACTGCCGAAGACGACGCAAAAGCGGGCGCTATGGACGACACATTTGCTATGCTCGAAGGTCTTGCAGGAAAGGCTCGGGAAGATCGAAATGGCTCAAATGGTGACAGATCTAGCAGAAAGAGGAGCAGAAGTCCGGATTATGGAGAGTACAGCAGCGGTCGGAGGCGCAAAGATAGACATCGGTCGCGCTCGCGCTCGATATCGGCAGGTCGCGAACATTACAGCAGACGCGAACGAGATGTGGATGAGTTTGGGAGATCGGTGAACAAATCTCGCAGCAGGAACGATGAGTACCGCAATGGTCACAGCACGCGCCGAAGAGGACGGGATCGCGACGAAGATGACTACTTTAAACGACCACCGACGCCGGAGCTCGATGATCAACCGGTATTGTACAAGATATACGACGGTCGTGTGACGGGAGTGAAGGATTTTGGTGCTTTCGTCAACTTGCTTGGGGTTCGAGGGAAGGTCGACGGGTTGGTTCATGTTTCTGCCATGCAAGAAGGTGTGCGCGTGAACCATCCGTCCGATTTGGTGTCCCGAGGGCAACCGGTCAAAGTCAAGGTCATTAACATACAAGGCTCAAGGATTGGGTTGTCGATGAAGGAGGTTGACCAAGTCACCGGTCGTGATCTTGTCCCGCAACGCCGCATTGCTTCTGGCGCCAATATGGAACGCCTAGATGGCATAAACTCGGATGATAGATATGGCAGTCTGAGCTCTGGCGTGCCCGTCATAGAGGATTCGGATGGGAAACCGATGAAGAACAGGAAACGTTTGACTTCACCTGAGAGATGGGAGATCAAGCAATTGATCGCATCGGGGGCCGTTTCTGCGGCTGACTATCCTGACATTGACGAGGAATATCATGCCACACTTACCGGAGAGGGTGATTTTGAAGAAGAGGAGGATATCGATATCGAGGTTCGAGAAGAGGAGCCTCCTTTCCTGGCTGGTCAAACCAAGCAGTCTTTGGAGCTCTCCCCTATTCGGGTTGTCAAGGCACCTGATGGCTCTCTTAATCGTTCTGCTATGGCTGGCACGAACCTGGCCAAAGAAAGAAGAGAACTTAAACAACAGGAAGCACAAGATAAGGCAGCAGAGCGTGCAGCTGAAATTGACCTCAATGCGCAGTGGCAGGATCCCATGATTGCGCCGGAACAGAGAAAGTTCGCACAAGATCTCCGCAGTACCCAGCTTGTCAAGCCTGATGATTCGGTACCAGAGTGGAAGAAAGCTACCATGGGCAAGAATCAGTCATTCGGTAAGAGGACCGATATGACTATCAAGCAACAACGAGAGAGTCTGCCTGTTTTCAAATTTCGAAATCAGTTGCTCGATGCTGTTCGAGACAACCAATTGTTGATTGTGGTCGGAGACACTGGATCAGGAAAGACTACACAGTTGACGCAGTACTTGGCTGAGGCTGGCTACGGTAACAACGGCATAATCGGATGTACTCAACCGCGTCGTGTAGCAGCCATGTCTGTCGCAAAGCGTGTCGCTGAGGAAGTTGGCTGCCGGCTTGGTGCTGAGGTTGGATACACTATTCGTTTCGAGGACTGTACTAGTCCAGAGACAAAAATCAAGTATATGACTGATGGTATGCTTCAAAGAGAGATCTTGTTGGATCCTGATCTGAAGAAGTATTCTGTCATCATGCTTGATGAGGCTCACGAACGTACTATCGCTACGGACGTCCTCTTTGGCTTATTGAAAAAGACAATAAAGCGGAGGCCGGACCTGAGGTTGATTGTGACCTCTGCCACCCTAGATGCCGACAAATTCTCCGAATACTTTAACAAATGTCCCATCTTTTCTATACCAGGACGGACATACCCCGTTGAGATCTTATATTCCAAGGAGCCGGAAAGTGATTACCTTGACGCTGCTCTTATCACGGTTATGCAGATCCACCTTACTGAACCTGCTGGTGATATCCTTCTTTTCTTGACAGGACAAGAAGAGATAGACACTGCCTGTGAGATTCTGTATGAGCGCAAAAAAGCACTAGGACCAAACGTACCGGACCTTGTGATCTTACCCGTCTACTCGGCTTTGCCTAGTGAGATGCAGAGTAGGATCTTCGAGCCAGCACCGCCCGGAGGCAGAAAGGTCGTCATAGCTACGAATATTGCCGAAACCTCTATCACAATTGACCAAATCTACTATGTGATAGATCCTGGTTTCGTGAAACAAAACGCCTACGACCCAAAGCTCGGTATGGACTCGCTGGTGGTCACTCCTATCTCGCAGGCTCAAGCGAAACAGCGAGCTGGACGAGCAGGGAGAACAGGCCCAGGAAAGTGTTTCCGACTATACACGGAAGCGGCATACCAGTCGGAAATGCTACCGACCTCTATACCCGAGATCCAGCGACAGAATTTGTCACATACTATTCTCATGTTGAAAGCCATGGGGATCAACGATCTTCTGCACTTCGACTTCATGGATCCCCCACCGACAAACACTATGCTTACCGCTCTGGAGGAGCTGTATGCACTCTCTGCTCTTGATGACGAGGGACTGCTAACACGACTGGGACGGAAAATGGCCGATTTCCCGATGGAGCCAGCCCTTGCAAAAGTTCTTATTGCCTCTGTCGATATGGGATGTTCTGAGGAGATACTCAGCATTGTCGCCATGCTGTCTGTGCAATCCGTCTTCTACAGACCTAAAGAAAAGCAACAGCAGGCAGATCAGAAAAAGGCAAAGTTCCATGACCCGCATGGCGACCATCTTACACTGCTTAATGTCTATAATGCATGGAAGCATTCGGGTTACAGCAATCCGTGGTGTTTTGAGAACTTCATTCAGGCTCGACAGATGCGTCGCGCTCAGGATGTTCGAAACCAGCTTCTGAATATCATGGAACGCTATCATCATCGGATAGTCTCCTGCGGCAGGAACACCCAGAAGGTCCGACAAGCCTTGTGTACAGGCTTCTTCCGAAACTCGGCTAGGAAAGACCCTCAGGAAGGATATAAAACTCTCATTGAAGGCACGCCTGTTTATATGCATCCCAGCTCCGCACTGTTTGGGAAACCGGCGGAGCATGTCATCTTCCACACTCTGGTTCTCACGACAAAAGAATATATGCATTGCACTACCGCTATTGAACCTAAGGTATGTCCTTATTTACACTGTGGTCGATATAGTCTTGATTGCTAACTTTCTACTAGTGGCTCGTGGAAGCAGCTCCGACGTTCTTCAAGGTCGCTCCGACAGATCGATTATCCAAACGCAAGAAGGCGGAACGCATTCAGCCGCTGCATAATCGCTTCCAGGGAGAGGACGACTGGCGTCTCTCTGCGCAGCGCCGGCAAGGCAGAGGTGGTGGTGGTGGAACTTGGGGATGATAGCAGCTATCTTCAAGCTTCTAACGTTTGCAGTTTTCTCTACTCATGGTCGATTCTGGGCGGCGTTCTAGACTTGTTTTATTCTCAGGAATTTTTGATCCATCTCTCCTGATGCCTCTCTACTACCGTTGTCCCATTGACGTTTGGTGTGTATATATCCCGTGCATGAAAGACTGCAGGAGTTGCGGCAACAGTTCATGCTATGTCGAATTGTAGACTAAAAATCGTGACGGATCTGGTTGTTCACAGCGATCATCGTAGTATAAATTAAACTACCGAGTAGGTATTTGGTTGCAGAGGTGGCTGCTATTATTATTACATGGTTTGTTGCCTTTTACGGAAAGCCGAATCAAAATCGCTCACGGATGGCTTAGTCAGAACTCTCCGTGCACCAAAAACTTCATGATGTCCGAGCTCATTGATCCACGCATTACATCCTGGAGTACATCAACTTTCAAGGCCCCATATACATCAAATAACTATAGTTTCGCAGGACTGTCATAGTCAGTGGGCGCTGTTCTGATCGGAAAGTTCTGATCGTGGCGCTCGTAAGCCGCCAACCAATCACGAGCGGAGAAAATCTGAGACCGGATATTTTCGAGCAACATCAGAAAGCTCGCTCTCTCCGTCAGAAGTAAAACTATAGCCAGCACTCAACATGGCCATTATTGACTCCCAGTCTCCTCGAGTTAAGAGGCGGAGGATTGATAATACTGGAGGCTCAGGTCCAGCAGCTGCGAGTAACATCACCGATATCACGTCGCATACGCAAATACGAGATCTGCTGGTTTTTCAACAGAGCGCCAATACCGAGACCAAGCAAGGTATGTAGAGAGTGTCGAGGCTCACTCGAAAAGGCTGTACTGACAGGAACAGGAATCAATAAGTTCAAAAATTTTCTCACTTCGATCAGCAACTCAGAGAAAGAAAATGAAAAAGCCAAGAAGCTACGAATCCTCAAGGCTTATTGCGACTCGCAATTTTCCAAAGTTGGAGATGGCGATGATGCGATTTGCTTCCCAGACATGATACAGACCTGGAGCTTTGCAGAGAGTAATAATCATGAATCCTTACTGACGGTGGTGCCTTCTGTCCTGGCTCTTTTCATCAAAACAGTCTCCAATCAGCTTGAGTTCCGTGATTTTGGCTTGGCACTTTGCAAATACTTGATGCAAAAGGAGCAGCTGAGGCTTCTGAATAGGGGTCTCACATCTTCAAAGGCCAAGGAACATCTCATCTCGCCCTGTATCCGTCTGCTCACGGAGATCGTTAGTTTCGATGGTGGAGCTGTTGCACGACTGGTCTATTCCAAACGTGATATCACGTTCAAGAGAATCGAGATCTTCCTCACCCCGAATAAGGCTCAAATCGAGGACGTCTCAGACGAGGGCCGTAAATCGACGCTTAGACGCAACGCTCAGCGTTATGTTCTGGCCAACCTTCGATTCCAGCATGTCTCTGCGAAAAGCGACATTATTGAGCAACATAAAGTCATCAGAGCGTTTTTGGAATTTGTTCGGAAAGATTCTCGTGATGTTGTCATCGATATTATTAGGGCCATCGAGAAAGATATTGTCAATGATTCTTCTCTTTCCCGAAACTCGAGAAGCAGGTTCTTCAACAAGTGGAACCTAGAGAGGCTTGTGACGCTCTATGGATATGACAGAGAATCTGAGGAGCCCAATCCAGAGAATATTTCGATCGCAAACGAGATTCATAAGCTTTTGTTGAAGGTTTGCACCACTCCAGAGCTTGGCGTGCTGCTTCCTGAGACCGGCTGGTATCCCCTTGGAAGCGATCCTGAAACCATTGCAACCGAAGATGATGGCTCGATCGATCTCGGGCTTGACTCTCCTGTGTACGTCGACAAGTACAGAGAGAATATTCCGATCCGTAACGGAACATTGTCCGCTCTTGTCCAAGTCCTTCGTCCAGAATCGGATACACTCCAAATCGAGCTATTACTGGCAATCTTTAGAGCCGCCCCAGAGCTTGTCGCAGATTTCTTTACCAAGCGAACCATGTTCACGTCGGACCCGAAACCTACGCCTTCCTGGCTGGGAGAATCGGCATTCCTGTTCTCAACCGTGCAACTGCCGGTGCCTGCTAATTGCGGATGGAAGGATAAGGTCCCGGCGATGCCTCCACCTGTCTCGGTGGTTATTGAGAACGTTTTGCCGCGACCCTTGACTCAGAAGATCCTTAGCAGATGCTTAAATCAGAATACCGAGGTCGTCACCCTATTTGCAGTTCGAATCCTGACAGTAGCTTTCCGGAAACTCCAAGCTGTCCTCAGAGTTTTCAATGGAGATCATGGCATTGGTCAACCATTCTGGAGTCAGGCTTCCTCCAAACTTATTGCCGAATTCTGTCGCCGATGCCCTCCGATGAAAGATGCCATCCTTCTCTTCAAGAGAACGGCTAAGGAGGATCTTCAGCAGCAGGATGCTGTTGCAGAACTACTGTCTATGTTCTACGAAGTTATTCCCACCGTCGCCTTCGAAGAAAATTTCGACGTTTCTCTGGTTATTGTTGATATATTAAAGCAATTGGAAAAAGACGACATGGAAGCAGAGGATCGCGAGCTACTCTTGAGTCAACTGCAGAATGTTCTGAATATTGCTCAGCGATCAGCATCGATGCGTTGGTGGCAACAGCCTGGTGAGTTTAGATTGTTGCTATTGTGTGTATTGACCACAAATTGCTAATTCCACCACAGCCTCACTTCAATATTCCGCTTTTACGTCCATCCTTAAGGTTCTGGTTGAAGCGCGCGGGGAAGAATCTCTTGGGCAGATTCGCAAACTACTGCAATCCGTCGTCGTGGAACACTCGGTTCTCCACAACCCCGACCATGCGTTCCATGCATTGATGTCCTCACTCGAGAACACGAGTGGCGAATCACTTGCTTCGCAGTTGGCATTCCTGGATAACTGCATCTGTCGTCTGGTGAAGAAGCCAGTGCACTATCAGGATCATCTGGACTCCTTAGTCGAGGAGGAATCTGCCCCTATCAGCCTCTTGCTAGCTGCAATCAATGAACAATGGCCGTTTATAGTAAAAAATGGCAACGTTGCGCAAGAAGAGGCTGTTGCGACGTGGATTGCTCGCTTTATGAAAGCCCTGAAGCAAGCTGGAGAAGACCCGAAAGCACTCCGAAAGGTGGCGGACAGTCTTGCTGCTCAGACCGAACTAAAGAAGAGCAAATCCGCTATCAAGAAAGGTTTAAAGTCGGCAGAGGCCTCGGATGAGCGGGTCGATGGTGACAACGTGTCTGGCACCAGGAATACCCAGAGCGCGTCTAAAGCCACCAAATCCGTGGACCTGGCCGAGGTATTTGGTAGCCTGCCAACAGAGAGCAAGAGTCATAACGTACTTCACAAGTGGGAGAGGGAAGAACTGGAGCTTGCGGTGGAGCAGGGCCAGGTCGCAGGGCTGATGCTCTGTCTGTGTTCTGAACATGACGAGATCAGGAGACAAGCTGCCGTTGGTATATCTAGGTTGATGATGAAGCTCAAGGTAAATTTCACGATGCATATAGAGAAAATTCAAAGACTGACTCCGTTCAGGATTCCAAGTACGTGGAATGGCGTCCAGTTTACATTCTGGCAGGCGAACTCCTTGAGACTATGCGGAAACAAGGCTTTGAGAATCCACTCCCCTGGATCGCAGGAGAGTGCGCTGCTAGTTGCTTGCGAGTCTTGACAGATCCATTGCACAAATTATATGGAAAGGTCAACCTGTTCCTTCAGAAGGCCCCCTCCTGGGAGGTGGTAAAGCTTCCATCCTACTGGATCGACAAGATCTTGCTGCATGAGCCTGAATACGACGACGGCTACTTCGAGGAGATAGATTGGTTGTTAGACCTGTTTGTAAAGGGTCTTCGTACCGAGAATGTGCGTATTTTTCTTTCCTTTTCGCTTATCTCTGTTCTCCAAGGACTGAACTAATGCGACCGCAGGACTTGGAAATCTACCGTCGTGCGAACGTCTTTGAGCGTCTTCTTTCTCTCTACAACTCTCCAACGCTTGCAACATCCGCGAAAAGAAAAATACTCCATGTTATCTACCGCGCAACGCAAGTCGGTGGCAGCACAACCCTAGTCACCAGGGCGGCTACTATCAGCTGGATCCAGAGTCAGATCGCGGGCTTGGACAACAATGACCTTACAATCAAGGCATTGGCGAACGCTGTCCATGACACCGCGGACCACGACCGGATCAACAAATGGAGCAGCGCTGCACTGCCACATGTTGTGGAGCATATAGCTGGGTAGATAGACAGGGCAACTTACCGGTAATAATACCTAGTTACATGGCGGAGGGAGAAATCAAGGTGGCGGTTCTTATGCAAGGCAGTGTGCGACTACGCCGAGCGATCCAGCTCGTTAGCGGTTACCTACCAGTACAATAGGTAACGATAATTCATGGTATAGTCATGATTCTCGATGTGCAAGGAGCTAGCCCTAGAGTATAATGAGTGTAGTTAAGATCATCTGTGGTTAGTTGTCGAGTGGAGCACAACAGTGAACTGTTCAATAATGAAAGCGTCGGAAAAGCCAAGGTTGCGAGGTTTTCCCCTTTTGGCAGCCAACGAGCGCCCGATCCTGCGAAGCCTTCTGCTGTCCCTCCACCACCGACCGGAGCTCCAACTAACCAACCTCTCTGACGACTACTGCTTGCTACGACCCCATCATCACCGTTCTTACTGAAGAGTTGCCTGTTGAAACTCGCATTCGCCGCCATATCTGCTGGTGGAAAGAATCTGACCGCTCTTTGCTGTTCTGCCGCCATTGTCATAGGAAGTTCCTCTCTTGAGGGCTGTCTTGCCTGCGGCAAGCGCCAGCTTGCTTCCCTCGCCTCACATCTTTTACCTTTCCATACAACACGCCTTCGGACGGACTACGTTTCTCTCACGACTCTATCGCCCTCTATAACGCCGCTTTCTACTTGATGTGTCAATGATAGCCTCCTAGTACCCCGCAAATAACCAAGCACACATACCCTATCGTCCCTCATGGCCCGACGATATCACATCGATGAGCTGCTTGTGCTACGCGCATCGCCTCTGGTCACGAAACCGGACAAATTACCTCCGATAGAAGAATGGATGGGGTATGGTATCTATCAGCGTCTATTTGCGACTTTCAGCTGACAAGGAGATGCCTAGTCCGATCCCTGATCCAGTGACGCAGCGTAAACCTACCAATTCCAGAGACAACAATAATCAAATTGAAACTACTCCAAACAGACGACCTAGCTTGTTCGAGACGCGGCATGTATCGCGGGGGTCTAACTCAGGTAAGTCAAATCGTGACGATGTCCCGTTTGACATGGGTTGGGAGGCCACCTGCTGATTCTTTATTGTGCGCGGTCTACAGAGGATATCATTCTCGGACCTCCGAAGACGGCCTTCGCATCTGCTTCTCGCATCTATGGGAAATCGTCATCAATCGATTCCACTGATCGATCCAGGTTCAAGGACATAGATGACGTCAAGAATGATCGATACAACTTCCGAGAAAAGTTCTTCAAGGACAAAGAAAATGGGGAAAGAGATGCCGACAGGAGAGATACGAGATTGGGTGCCACCAACGGACGACGCGGTGGCCGCGAGGATAGAGAGGAATGGAATAACGGGCGGCCACGTCGCACTTTTGGTCAGGATGACCAGGAACGAAGACCGAAGAGGAACGGTGAAGTTGATCGATGGGATAATCGAGACAGGGAGAGGGACCAGCAAGATATCGGGTTTGAACGAGGAAATAAGGATAAGGATGGACGCTTCATCTCCCGCCGCGATGGTCAGGGTAGAGGCAGACATGAACAAAGCTGGTTCCGTGACGACGCGGGTCAGGAGGCGCAGAACATCGACGATGACAGACCATCCGCAAGGAACCGAGATTGGCGCCGGGATAGACAAGGTGCTGACCGTGAATGGAACCGGGGTGCGCGATTTGAGCAAGACCCGGAATGGATGGATGCTACGGATCGAGACGAGCCGCGCCAGGCTCATACACAGGAAGATTTCCAACGCTGGAAAGAGAGAATGAAAGCTGGCTCTGCACAGCCGCAGCAAAATCAGCCGCCAGAGGAGAAAAATGCGATTCCGGAACAAGCACCTGAAGGTGCGCGAAAGACAGAAAGTCGGCCCGCGGAAGGCGAATTGTTCAGTAATGTCAGCACACCATTCAATGCGGACACCGGTCTGGAAAAGTTCTTCGGGTTACTGGGTGACACCAAAGCAACTCAGGACCCGGGTACTCCAGGTCCAACGGAGTCCGCAGCGAAGAAAGAATCTCTGTCTATAAAGGGAGGAAAATCATCTCGCTTCGCAGGGCTCTTCAGCCCTTCAGCAGAGAATGCCAACAGGGAGCCCGAGACTCTCAACAGGCCAGCCCGCCCGAATTCTACTGATGCGGATCAAGAAGGGTTCCAACGGATCTTGCAGATGCTTGGATCAAGCAAGTCGCGCAATACCACTCCGCAGGTCGACGGTTCGCAACAGCCGCGCCCAGCGCCTCTTCCTGCAGAAGTCTCGAGATCTTCCACAACATTATCATCGCCAGCAAGGGAGCCTACCAATAGACCAGATTATATGGGATACCAGGATGCAAGGAACAGGAACTCCGCAGGCCTTGAGTCGCTCCTTCCTCAAAGTTCTCCCAAAGAATCGCAGGCAAGTATTCGGGATAGGGAAAACTTGCTCCGCTTGATGCAGCAGGTTCGCCTTTCTCCTGCAAGCGGTCAAGCCCAAGGAAATCTGCAATCACCAACTACAGGACCAACCCCGGGCATACTACATGTGCCTAATTTGCTATCTCGTCCCCAAGGGATGCAGAAGCCGCAGAGAACGCCGAGCTTTTTGGATGACCCTGCTATTGCAGAGATGTCAAGACCTGGTGCCGATCCTAATGAACAGCTGCGTCGAAGACCTACCAATGGTATTCAGATGGGGCACATGGAAGGAATGACACGTCAAAGGCCTACCAGTGCTATTCAGATGGGGTACATGGAAGAAATGCCATTCCCTGCTGTTCCCCAAGGACCCCAAACGCCCGGAGAAAGAATTCCTCAGAGCCATGGCCAGCCTCCGATGGTTCTTCAGCGACCACCAGGATTTGAGCAGATGCCAATTCCCGGATGGGGAAACCAGCCTCCCCAGAGTGGCGGACCGGGCCCTCTTGCTCCGCCACCTGGTATCCCTGCTCCATCGAGAGGCATGAACCCGAACTTCTTGGCTGGTCCTATGCCCATTCCTGGGAACATCCCTCCACCGCACGAGCGCCAGCCATTCCCACGTGGACCTCCACCTGGCATGATGCCTCCGCCGGGATATATGAATATCAACGGACTGCCCACCTCCGCTTTTCCACCGATGCCCCATACTCCTGAGGCTATGATGGGGTTGCCTCATTCAGGGCAGGGCCCAGTCGGGGCTGGTATCGCTGGACCTCAGGGCCCGCCACCCTCGTCTAGACACCTCCTTGAAATGTTTGGGCAAACCAACGGCGCGGATATCCGAGGCGGGATGATGGGCCCAGGGCCTTTTAGGTAGAAGCCAACAACTATCGGCTTTATCTGTCCGTTCCTGCTCAATCCACGCTGAATGAGCATACATTGGACTAATCGTTATTCACTCAGTTTTGGAATAAGTCGGCCCTCTTCCTTCCGTTTTAGCTTTTTTCCTCGCGGTGCTCTTAGCGGAGCTAGGCGTTGCTGTTATTTACTGGTGTTTATTACCTGTCTTTCTTCTCTTATTTGTCTTTCTCGCATTGCGAGGATGCAAGCATAAAATTGGCAGTGTGGAGAATCGACTTATTCCGGAGCTGTTGTTGGATAAGAGCCAGATGGGGAGGACGTCAATACTGCTAGTCGCCTTTTTTAAGCGCTCGCAAGTGTTGTCGACAAAGAGGGCAATGGACGGGTTGGTATTGTTTGATCTTAGGCTCAATGTACCTCCGCTTTGTATATTGTTGAGCCCTGTAGAGTTCGGCAGTTTCCAATCAATCTAATGCTCATCCTCCGAAGTTGCTCTATATATAAGCTTAAGATATATGCCACCTCACATCTTAGTGTAGAAACGTGAGTGATCTAATCTACAATTAAGTTTGACCTTAAACCTGTGATCTCCACGGATGAAAACTACCTATAGAGATGCAGAATAAAATTGAACAATTAGGGAAGTTGAACAGATGACGGTGTTTTTATTACTGTAAGAAAAGGGTCATAAATCACTTGACATTCGTAAAAAACCAACCAATTAGAGGTTCCTGCCATCTAGTTGCCCTCTTTGTATATGACAATCCTTACAAGCGTCCCAAAGCGAAGTAGTACTGGCGTCCTCCTCATCTGATTCTTATCCAACAAGTAACTAAACGATGGCACTGCACTCGCTTTCATCTGTGCTCATAAGCCACAAGATCTGTTTATCTAAATACCAGGTCGCTCGAAGAGAATCCAAGATAGCATCAACATTCTTCCCGGCTGCGTGCCACTTATTATCAACTATCTGTCACATATGCTCGCTGCGTGATGTTAGCTGATAAAAACCATGTATCCCATAGTTATTATCGCTGTCACGGCTCTTCACTGTTGTGTAGACACAGAAGAGCATCCGTATAAGTGTGTATTATGCAGCAAGGTCTTCGGAAGGAGAAACTAAGAGTTACCATCGTACTTGAGGAACTTGGCATAGCGATTACTACTGTGTAGTGGTGTCCTCATTTGTCATTCTATAAGTCATAGCATCTACGGAGGAATCTCGGATGCTGGCGAGGAGTCTCTGATAAACCTTGGAACTATATACTATACATGGTTTAGTACTATAAGAAACCATACTGCCCTGTTGTACCGCCATATCACATGTATAATAACTTACAACTGCTGCCTGCTCCTCGATAAAATAACTCAGCTTTCGAACTGTTGGGCTCCCATCTCAAGATCAGATCATCCCTCACTTCTTCACTCTCTAGACCTTACTTTTTCGCCATCTAGATCTCACTTCTTTCCTCTTATTGAACATAAGATCTGTTGTTAGTTACTCACTTCGGTCTTACTGCTCCTTTCATACTCACTTCACTCGCGATGTCTTCGTCGCGACGCACTCAAGACGCCAGTGATGAGTCTAACGTCTCTCAGCTGTCTGACACTCTACGCGCTCTCATAGTGCTTACGAACGAACTCTCTGCCCAACTAGACTCTCAGAAAAACCAGGAAGTGCAACAGCAGCTACAGTTGTCAGACGATTCTTCTCCTGAAACAATTCTTACGAGAGTGCTTTCTCCTCAGTCCATAACTAGCACCGCGTCATCTTTCGCCGCCTTTCATCAAAGCCATCAGCACGTTGCTGTGACTTATCGAGTTATTGGATTCGGCCAGTGCGGTCTTGTCTTTGAGAGGCCAGGAAGAGGATTTGTGGTCAAAGTCGCGAAGCCAGCTTACGAAGAAGCTCTGTGGGCGGATTTCACAGCTCATCACCAAGTGCGCCAAGCGTTCGAGCAGTATCAGCAGCAGCATAATCAGGATATGGAATGCCATGTCCCTAAGGTTTTTTCTTACGTACCTAAAACGAACCAGACCTGGTGGGAATTGAATTCCCCATTCTTCGCAGAGGTCCACGAATCCGTGCCGCTGCCTGCAATGGCTCTCATAACAGAGCGTATTTTCCCTCTCCCCAAGATCGCCCGTCAAGCTCTGATCAACAAGTACTGCCCGCCTGAACTCCGACCTACAGTGAGCGCTGATCCCACGAACCGAGACTGTCTGGCTCGCATTTATCTGGGGCGTCGCCGGCTGGCAGGAGGCCTACCTGCTCCCAACTTCACTCTACGCAACTACAACCTCTGCCTAGACCAGATGCTCGAGCTTAATCTACCTGTCAAGTCACTCGCGTCTGCGATGGGTGAAGCCTTAGCTCTCATCCACTGGTGTGCAAATGTGGATGGCTATGACATCGAGTTCGTGCTGGGTGGTGAAGGAGACGTCGTCTATACTCGTGACATGTCAAGTATCCTGACCCTGACAAGGAGCCAGTTGCTTGCTATGCAGCCGCATACAGACCTTGAGAGCATGATGTCAGTGAATTTTAAGCGACGTACTACGCGGCTTTGGGTGCTCGATTTCAACCTATGCAGCCTGTGGCAGGAGAGCGCTGGTTGGGAAAATCCAGACGCATTGGTGGCGCACTTAGTGACAGCGTTTTTTGAAAACGACCCTTACTATCCTCTTCCATTAATGGAATTGGATATCGATCGAGAGCTGTGGACAGTCTTTAGCAATGCCTACCTGGACACTGCGGCACAAACACTTTCGGCGCCTGGAAAGGACATGAGGTTAGCGGACTTGCCACAGAAGTTTATTGATGCTTGTATATTACGCGAAAGAGAAGCTTTGGCCAAGAACCTCGGTCATGGACATCGAGAGTTGAAGGGGTAATTAGTCTTAGGGAACCATAGCATTATCACACTTCGTTACCACTGTCGTATCATAGCTATATTGAACTATTTAAGTAGCTAGTTACTGGCTAAAACCTAGGATCCAAAGTGCGTTCGACCCATATTTAGATAGATTAAAAACTACATCTATGAATCTAGTAAATTGTATAGTCTTTAAGTATCAACAAATGTAACTTCTACGCAGCTAAGGGATAATGCTCCAATAGATCCATAAAGTACAGAGGAGGTTACCCGGTAACTTACAAGAAACAATGCAGCAGTACCATCTATTGTGGATAGCGGCGTCCCTTTCACCCGATATTCACAAAGACTGCTTGTCTATATATTCACCTACATCATTCCCAGGTCCGTTTCTCCTCTTCTTACTTCAACTTCTTCTCCGACCTCTTCTTCCACGTCTAATAACTCTGCTCGCTATTGGACTTTCTAGCCCTCTCCTCTTAGCCATCTGTTTTACCATGGCCACGACCAAACCCGTTAATGCATACAGCCGCCAAAAACACACAGTGCGCCTTAGAGACTGGGCTTTAAGCCTCAAGGAAGCAATCGACGCTCTTCTACCGTCTGGCACCAAGCGATATCGTCAAGTGGCTGTTATAGGCTTTCACTGGGAGAATGACGACATGGGGGTATCAAGTCTAGAAGATAATTTGTTAAAGATCTTCAAAGATATATACAACTTCAATACGGAATCTTATACGATCCCTACGGCAAACTGCGCATCTTCCCTGCAGATTAAGCTTGGCACCTGGTCTCAGCACTGGGCCCGACCGGATGTCCTTCGGATTTACGTATATTCAGGACATGCTGGACCTGCTAGCACAACTGATAATCGCTGGTACATAGCGTAAGTCATCTGTGGTATCATGTTTTTGTTTAAGTTTCTTTTAGCTAATTTATGAAAGTGGAAGGGCCGGTCCCAATGGTATCGTAGGCCCCAGAATTTACTGGCAAGGTATACGCGATGGAATCGAAAACTGCGCCGGTGATGTGTGCTACATTCTTGACTGTTGCTCTGCTGGCTCTGCGGCCACGTACGATGGTCCAGAGATACTTGCAGCAGTAGGCTGGGAACAAATCGCCAGTAGTAGTCTGGCCTTCTCCTTCACGCAAACATTGATCGACAAGCTCCGCGATTTGAATGGACAGCCAGCCACTCTAGCCAATCTCTACTCTATGATCCTTCGTGACTGTGTACGCAGTCAGATTGGAGCGTATCCTGTGCACATACCCAAGAAAGGACGTTCAAGCATCGTTCTGAGCAGAGTGCCAGGTCCGAGATCTAGCGATCCTCAGGCGGCTGCTTCGATGCAAAATTTACTTCGACGCTATGGAAGGTCGGAACACCGAGTGTTATTGAGCGTTCAATTCCAACACGATATTCAAAGACCAGATGTGCGATGGATGGCGTGGCTCGCAAACAATCTTCCTCCCGGACTCCTCTCTGTCGACATTCAAATCGAGGCTTATTTCCAGGGATCGAATCTACTTCTTGTCACCGTTCCAGTTGAGGTCTGGACAATGCTTCCGGCAGATAACAGCGCGTTTAACTTTGTCGGGCATGTTAGTTCAAATAATATCTTGCCTCAGATGATGAACAACATCTCCTCCTCGTTGCCCGTGAGGAAATATACAAAATGAATGGGTTCTCCGGGATCTGTGCCAGTTATTCCTCTCTCTTTCCCAATTCGCCATCTTTGTACTTCTGGAAATGGGTGCCATTGAATCAATTGTAAGCGGTTCTGTGAAGCTCAGCAGCGTTTCTTGATTTCCCAGTGCTAGCACCGGACAAAAATAAATAAGGAGGGACATGTCGTTTATCAATATAACGTTCAATGTACGGGGAATATTGCTCGAATAATTTGTTTCGTAGTTCCATGGTAAAGCGCGGGAACATCTGGTAATCCCAGTCCCTTCTCTGATTGTTGCGAAGAAGGGAAGAATCAGGCAATTCAGCTCATCCAGCATCAACGTAGAGTATTGACTTGAGCCAGCCACCAATATCTAACAGTTGCTTGATCAGTAGCCAGAAGCAGAGATGCAGATCGATTCTTGCTAAGAGAAGGCGAAAAGGGAAAAGAGGAGGGCAGAAGGCATCTTAAATAGTCGACGAATATAAAGAACTCGCCAGCGCCATGATCCATAAACTGCCAAGAGATGGATCTGTTCTGCAAGATGGACCTCAACCGCTTTCATAAGTACAATTATGCTTCGTCTTCATCCGCTGTATGTCTAATCTTCTTATTGAGATTATGCCCGGTATCCTTGTCCAGCGTACAACGTACGGGGAAACCTCCCCTGGTGTTATCGGAGAACGCGCACCACGTGTCGAGCTCCGCCGTCTGAAGCATGGCTACAGATAAACCCTGAGCGCTCTCTGAAGCCGAATGATGTGATGTTTGATAATGAATATAAGATGATGGATGATTTGTCTATAGTATGGTAGGGACGTGTGGAGCGTGGAGAACCTGAGCTTCGTGCTACTTCTAGTAGACGCGCTTTAGCGGAACGGATCGCATCCGTGGCTAGCAAGCGAAGATGCGGCCGGTTCCTCATGAGCTTACAACCTGTATTCAATAACACGTTCAGAGGGACAGACCAGCTTGGAGTAGGATTTAATGGCGTATCTGGATAGTTTCCGCAACACTCTGCATAAAAGCTCAGTAGACTGAGAAGCTGAATCAGGTCAAGAATACGACTACTACTACTACTACTACTACTACTACTACTACTACTACTACTACTTCTCTGTTGTTAACTTATTGGATCCAGCTAATTGAGTGTTTTAACTAATACCGCACCTGTATCTCACTATCACTGTCTTTTTCATTTCTCCTTCCTCTGGGGTTCTTTCAAGTTCCACTTAATCTTTTACCTATCTCTAAGGATTTCAGAAATCCTAAAGTGTCAAACCCAGATCCTGATATCTTAGCTTTCTCCTCCTGGACCCATCTAGTTAAATATCTCATCCTAGTTACACCTCACCTAGACCTCACCATCACTCCTCCACACCTAACAATATGGAGCAGCCAGAGCACACGGAACCTTCACCCGCGCCTCAAGAAGGCACAGAGGCTGAGGCTGTCGACACACTCAATGTCGACGCCAGGCTCAAGGAGACGGTTGAGGACCGCAGGAACCAGGCTCTGACCAAGGGAAAACTGGCTCTGGCGCGTCTGAAACTCAATCAACGACTGAAAAATGAAATATCAAATCGTGTTGAAAATGACAAGACCGATAACGCCACTACGAACGAAGCTACGACGGAGGCCAATTCTGTCGGCCAAGTTCAGACTGATAATCTCACTCCGAATCACGACTCGACTAATAAGGACTCACAAGACTGGGAAGCTGAGTCTGAGAATGAACTCTCTGAGTCCTCTGAGTAAGTCATCTCTTGTCTCTGTTCTTTTGTCTACATAGTTAATGCTTGCAGATACGAGAAACTCGAAAAGTGGTATGGCGGACTCCGTGATCCCACTATTGAGGACATGATCAAGTGGCAGGCGGCAAAGTTTAAGGAAGAGACCCGAAAGAAGAGACTGCTCAACAGAAAGAACCTCAACGAAAACCAGGACGAGTCGGTGGATAATCAGCTGTTCTGCTCTGAAGATGAAGGGGAGGCTCCTGGAGCTTCTGCAAAATCTCAGGATGAGGGCGAAGGCGACCAGCCTGCAAGTGACGAGCTTCCTACCTCGACTCAACCTGTGAACAAAGATCAGCCCACCAATAAAAGACGAAAGGCCAACAGAATCTCTGCTGAGGAAAGGAGAGGCAGTCTACAACTAGGTCTCGATATTGCTTTGTCCAGGACTAAAAGCACTGCTAAGAAACCTTTTCGGAAGACCCTCAATGGCCCCGCAAGATCTTTGGGTGGAAGAGCTACCAGGACTAGAAAGTCGAATATCGGCGAGAGTGTTCATGGGAAGCCACAGACTAAGAAAAGAGGATCAAAAGCAAACGATGTGGACTTCGGGTCATTATTCCAAACGGATATAATCGCAGATGCGCATGAGAATTCGAGATTACCGGTCCATACCTTTACTAAGAAGAACAAAGATGATGCTTTGGCGGAGTTAATCGCTAGTATCCCTACAGCAGACAGAGAAGACGCAGTTCCCGATAAACGATTGGTCAGGGAAGCAACAAGGAAGTTTACACGGCCGGCAAAAAGTGATGGTGATGGTGGCTGGAGAATAAAAGGAATGGCGACTAGCCTATACAGTTATCAAGTTCGTCCTCCGCTATGGTATTCATGGATGTTAGCTAATCGGTCTATAGGTCCTGGGAGCAGCTTTCATGGTATCTATCTCTACGTTAACGCAACCAGTGGGCTATACTTTATTGACTTTCGAAGCGTGACAGGGAAAACGGACCTAAGAGACCTCATGGAGGATTCCTTTGCGACGTTATGGGGTTCGGGAAGACTATACAAATGCTAGGTGATATCACTCCCCACGTATCTTCCCACCACAATAGAGTCTAACAAGATATAGCTAATATGGTCGACGGCGTACCCACAGACAGGGATGATCCGGCAAGGACGACACTCATTGTCGTCCCAGCACATCTTGTTTCACACTGGTAAGCTTTGGTATGATTATGGGTACTTGTCAAGTAATAATTATCGTTCTAGGGCGAGCCAAATCCAGCGGCATTGCGAAAAAGGCGCACTGGGGTCCATTATCCTTTATCACGGGAAGTCAAGAATAGTTTCCCAGGACGCCGTGAATGACCTCCAGATGTTTGGTGTCATGTAAGAGCATATACTTCCGAAATACATACATACCACACTGACCATTCTACGCAGAATCACCACATATGACGAAGTCAGGAGATCTTATCCAGACTTCAAACCGCCGGACGAGTTGACTACCGAGACCGAAATTCAAGAGTGGTGGGAGGACGCCTACAAGAAGCACGCTGGTCCTTTGCACCAAATCAAATTCAGAAGAATAGTCCTTGACGGTTAGCTATTCAGAATGACTCTTTTCCCCTCTATTCTTTGTAACTAATATTGCCACAGAGGGACATTACATCAAAAATCCAGAATCCAAAGTGTCTATAGCAGTACGTGCTCTTATAGGCCATTATAAGTGGATTCTCAGCGGAACTCCCGTACACAAGTAAGTACGTCCAATACGAGATGGATTCAATAACAATCTAATCATATCTTGTCTCCTAGTGGAAACGAGGAGTTCTTTCCTTACCTTGATTTCTTGAAAGCTCCTCACATTGGGCGCTATGAAGTATTCCTTAACAAATATTGCAATGTATACATTACCTATCCATAACATCTCCCTCTATTTGACGCCCGCTTCTGACCCTGTGCTTTGATTAGGGAGATGAGATGGGCAATATGCGTCTAGTAAACATACTGAAGCCAATAATGTTTCGCAGAACGCACTCAGCTCGGCTTTTTGCGATGCCAATACTCAAACTTCCTGATATAGGCCAGAGAACTGTCGAGATAGAACTTTGCGAGGCCGAGAACAAGGTTTACCATTGGATGATCAAAATGTTCATTGACCGCATTAACGGTAAGCTGATATATTACATATTAACTAGAGCGAGGTATTGATGATTAAATAGGACTTTCCGAGCCCAAAAAAGTGGAACGCCAATATCGCTGCATCCTGACGATGATTCTTAAATTGCGCATGTTCACCAGCCACCTTTTGGCTGTACAGGATGTCCTCAAGGAGATTATAACACAAAATGTTATAGACGACCTGAACCTCCTGTTGAAGAATGGAAGCGACCTAGAGGACCCTTCGGTGAAGATTGTGAATATACTTACTGCTTTGAGATCGGGAGCCCCTCCAGCTGAACCCCAGAAAGCTCCTGAGCCCAAGGGTCTATGGGGAGACCAATCAGCAAAGACCCGTAACAGCCTTATCACTCAATTCCGGAAGATGATGACAGATCTCCATTATAGTGAAGCCTGGGATGAACGGTTGGCGCGCACGACCTGCCCTAGCTGCGGATCTGTACCCGTAGATGCCTGCGTGACATCGTGTATGCATCTATATTGCGAAGAGTGTCTCCTTCATCTAGGTCAAAGTGCACAGGAACAAGGAAATACACAGAGGATCTGCACTAGTTGTGGAGAGGAAATCCTGGAAACCGCACACTGCGGCTCTGTGGAGGATCTTAACATCGACTCGACTTCTCCTTCATCTCAGCTCAACCAAGGGAACAAAAAGTCACGGCCAACAAAGAACAAGGGCCAGAAGCGAAAAAGGAGCCTTGGACACCATGATGATCCTGATGATTCCGATGATGAGTTTGACTGGATCCCTATTGCGGCTCATATCATGCCCAGCGCAAAATTAACTGCGATGACTGAAATCCTTGCGCAGTGGATAAATGAGGATCCAGAGACAAAGATAGTTGTCTTCACTCAATTTCAAGCAGTGATCCGCATCATCAGTGCTATATGCCAAAGAGAAGTATGGGGCTACACGTCTGTACGTATGACAACATTCTCAAATACAGATAGCTAGATATTCTGCTAATACAATCTTCAGCTGACTGGCAAGATGTCGATCCCAGCTCGGGAAAAGGCAATGACCGATTTCAGAGAAAGCGAAGATCTCAGAATCATGATTGCGTCTCTCAAGGCTGGCGGCATTGGACTGGACTTAACCATGGCCAACAAATGCATCCTCATCGACCCATGGTGGAACGAAGCCGTGCAACAGCAGGTAAGCAAGGATACTGTTTTCAATACTCACAATTTCTACGTGCGCAAACACTTATCTCTTTCGAATCCCACTAGGCGTATTGCCGACTATTCCGCATCGGACAGGAGAGAGAAGTGGAAGTTGTGAAACTCGTCGTGAAAGGGAGTATCGACGAATATATGATCGATCTCCAGAATAGGAAGTCACTCGAAATCGACAAGACTATCGGAGAAGCGGCCCTTTCTGATAGGCAAGTCTCCTCGCCTTCACTTTGATCTTATATCTCTTCGCTAACGCACGTCCAGGGCTACGGTTTCTGAACTACTGAAGATGTTCGGCCAAGTGGAGGAAGGCGAGGACGGTGTACTCAGGGTGATTTCAGACTTGTAGAAAAAGCAGGAATAAGCGTGCCAGGGGGAGAGAGAAGTCATTGGTTCTCCCACCCCCTCCTCTCTATCCTTTGGTAACACGGGAGGACACCTAAGTTCCAAAAATTGGTTTTCGTGACGTTTACTCTGCTGATACGGGGAAGCGCCTGAAATTTTTGGTTTTTTTTGCTTCTATGGATTCTAACTCCGATAATGACAAGGGCGGATGCCTGAATATCAGATTTCAGGTTCCAGGGATTTGAACGAGATGATGAGACGGAATGGCGCTGAGGTTTCAGATACTGCTTCTACAGATTGTATTTTAATCAGATGATGCTGGGGAACGCCTGAATTTCATATTTTCATTGATACAAATCTCATTCCGATAACGATACTGGAGAACGCCTGGTATTCAGATCTTGCCTCGTAGACTTTCAGACATGGCATTAAAATTCCGTAATAAAATAAAACAGATAAGAAAACTGGGTTTATTTTCACATCTCCTCGATGGCGCAGTTGGGGTGTAGAACGTAAACAGTCTTTTCTGTTCGTGCCGACTGCTCGCCATCTGTATCCTCGACAAGGCCTTCGCCGCGGATGGGCATGAGAATATTGTCCTGCAAAGTAAAACTGCGTTAGTACAGAGGGGATCTTGAAAAGCAAGGGGGAGGTTTATAGAAGGTGAAGGAAGAGAAAGAACACGAACCTTGACCATTCTCTTCAGCACCTTAACTGCTAAGTCACGTTCGCGCTCTAGGTCCTCCTCGCTATTCAGCTCGGATTCGATCTGTTCGAGGTACCAGACGAGTAGCTCCTCTTGTTCGACACCCTCGCCGGAGTTGGACTCGTCTTCGTTCACGCGTCGTACGAACAGATTGAGGATCTTCATGTACTTGTCGTATGTGATCTTGGTCTTGGGGCGGCGCTGCTGGACTTGTTCTTGTTGATTATCACCAGTATCGCCCATGGGGCTGTCGCCGTCACGATCACGGGGTGCCGCATCGGCCATCTCATCGTCACCATCGGCGTTTTGGCGGGCAGCTTCCTCTTCCTCGTCATCGACTTCGACATCATCCTTCTCGACAGTGACAATGCTCTGTCGTAGCAGATCATAGGCTTCGCGAACAAAGCTGGGGACAACTTCTTCGACACAGTTGGCTTTGGCCACAGCCTCAGACAGACGGATCAGTGATTCGAGCTGGCGCACAGTGATGCGGTAAGAAGAGCGGCCAATGCCACCCTGAGCGTCGTTGGCGCGGAGCTCCTTATATTTCTCGACCAGCAGGGCCTTAGCTTCTTCGGTGAAGACAGGCTTGAAGGTCCTTGCGAATCGGATATAACGCTGCAGCTGCTCTGTGCTGAGCTCAGGCTCAACGGCCTCATCACGGTTCATGTGCACATTCACGATGTGCTCAGCCAGATTTCGGTCAACAGCTTCATTGGGCTCATCACGGATGACGAAGAACAAATCGAATCGACTCATAATGGGCGCGCTGAAGTTGAGGTTTGCTCTTAGCGTCGTCTTGGGGTTGTAGCGGCCTCCGATCGGGTTGGCTGCAGCCAGGATAGAAGCGCGTGCGTTCAGGGTGGTGTGAATGCCAGCTTTAGCAATGGATATGGTCTGCTGTTCCATTGCTTCGTGGATAGCAACCTGGTCACTGATATCCATCTTGTCGAATTCATCAATGGCACAGATTCCGCCACCGTTCTGAAGAAAGCGGTTAATTAGATGGTTACATGGGAGCAAAAGTTATGGATATGGAGATATAACTCACAGCAAGCATGAGTGCACCGGCTTCAATGGTGAACTCGCCAGTCTCTGCATCTTTAACGACCGACGCCGTCAAACCAGCTGCAGAAGATGCCTTTCCACTTGTGTAGACTGCACGGGGATGTAGGGAGCAGATGTACCTAGATTATGGTTAATAAGAGATGGGCGCAATGAATGTTGATATTAAACCCGGCACTCACTTCAGGAACTGACTCTTACTTGTAGAGGGGTCACCAACAATACAGATGTTGATGTCTCCACGAAGCTGCATACTCTCCTGCTCAGTCGTCTTGCTCACTCCTCCAATGAGTTGAAGAAGAAGGCCCTTCTTGATTTGCCTATGGCCGTAGATCATAGGCGCAATGGAGTCCACTAGACGGGAGTAGATATACTCTGAATGGACTAGTTTCTTCAAATCCTGGACTTCATATGGGGTAAGAGTCTGAAGAAGTGCCTCCTGGGCCATATCTTCATCCCCTTGTGGCTGCTCATTTTGGTTTAACGACGCCAGAATATTGCCTGACTGGCCGTTCAATTGCTGGTTGGTTGCCTGGCCTGGGGTTGACAGGTCTGGCGTGACCATGCAGGCAAGGAAGGCCAAGCGGTACGTGAGATCCCTTACACCCAAGGACTTGAGACCACTAACACCGCCTCCACCGACCTCTGAGCCGCGGAAAGCACCGTTATCCCTGTTAGCCTCCGGCCGTACCCCAGGAAGTCCAAGCTGGCTGACATCAGGGACCACTATGAGGGTACCCGTGAAGATACACCTCTCTCCAGCCTTTGCTCTGTCCACCATCTCACCTCTCAGGATGACGTCCATAGTTCGAGGCATGCTACCCGTTGGGATCTCATGAGACGACTCCTGCAACTTCACCTTCTGCCAATCAACAAAGGTACTCTTGCCGATATCGAGGCGCCAGCCGATACTGTTGCCGCACAGATTGTTCGGGCATCGGGGAGGTTCTGTGTACCGGAAAGTCTGCTCCACATTTGTGCACGGAGTCTTACAGGCCTCGCAGATGAAAGTGCCTAGGGAAAGCTCCGGTCGAATTTCTGACGTCCTTGTGACTGTCCCCGAGACAGAGACGAGTTTGCCAATCTGCGACGTGCGCAGCTGACGCAGTCGTGATACTAGGGGGAGGTTGTAGAAAGCTAACGAGAAAACCCTGTCCGTTTGCTGATGGCGTGTCCTCTCCCGAATCGAACGGGCGAGATCCGGGTTGTCACTGACACTGGTGTTGGCCGCCATGACGGAGGAGCTTGCCTGCGAAGTGACACTGCTCGCTTGACGGTGGGCAGCAAAATAATCGGGTTCATATTTGGCGATTAGGTTATGCAACGCCTTCGTCAAAAACGGCTGGAATCGGTAGTATTGATTGGCGATGGCATCTGCCAGAATCTGGTTATCCATCGAAGTCAAGTGTGTGAAATCAACATAGAGCGTCGAAAGACCAAACTTGGCCATGCCGTGAATCTGCGCAATGTAGTACTTGTCACTCAACATCTCAGAAGATGGAGGCAGGGCTGATGATGTGGGCTCCTCGACATATGTCTCGAGCAATTCCTCAAAGGCTTGCTGCACCTTCTCACCGGCCAGATCAACGACAGGTGGAGGCGGGGGAGCGTAAGGGTTTCGTCGAGAAGTAACGGATCCATTGGGGCCAACGACTTCATCGTCTGGGAATGCCTGCGCGTCACTCATAGGTCCATTGCTTTCTGACATGGGCTGCGGTCGTGAGCTCGATGGTTGATCCGACCCTGGAAATTGTCTGTTACGAGAACCTGCGCTGGAGCCCAGCTCAGACTGGAGGACGGCGTCGAAGAGGGAAGACATGGTGCAAGCTGGCGCGAGGCCGCTGGAAAGCCGCGATGGGCTCTAGGATCTCGATGGACGGATGTGCGTAGTCTGCAAAAGCAGATGGTCGTGGCCTGAGTTAGTTGACTGACTGTATTCACACCGACGGGATTAATATTCTCTGCAATTGATGATTTCTCTATCTTAGCGCCCCTCCAGCGCATCCCTTTCTCTTTCTGGCGGAAAAGACGCGTGAACGCGAACACGTCGGGCTTACATTGATCCAGCTCCCGACGCGTACAGTGGTTTTCGGGCCGGCAGTTCTTCCGGCGCTCCTCGGCACGGGATCTTGGCGCGGGCGGTCGCTGCGGGAATCTCGCGCTAGCCCGATACGGTAAACGGTCTGACCCTCCTGCTCGCTTGGACTGTGATGTGATTGGCTCGTGTGGCCGCAGATAAACATCTGAGTAGCTGCATCGCAGCGGGGGAGCCAATAGGGACCCCCGGGCAGCCTTCCCCCTCCTAATTTCCTACCGCGGTTCTATCATAGCAGAACGCAGAGTAACAGTAGTAATCGTCTAAAAGAGCATGGTCGGCGATCTGACAGACGGCATCTGTAAGCATCTGTAAGCATCTGATATGCCCCGTCCCCAGTGCTGGTCCTCCTTTTCGAAGTCTCATTCATCATCGTGGCATGGATTCTCTCTGGCCATCATCAACAAATCTGATTCTGTCGGGTTCTGTTCCGTCCCCGATTTGTCGAGCTCCGTCGCTTTCTGTTCTTGCTCAGCTTGTCCGGACGAGTAACTAATGGAGGCACCTGAGGCCTCAGCGCCAGACCAGGCGCCTTCAGCCCCATCAGTCTCGAAGATGGATTTACGAACATCCAAACCATCCCCAAGAGCACGAAGAGAGCGTTAGTGCTCCATTCCATTTGAGAAAGAACGAATCCTGACCAGGTGCTCAAACAGCCAAGCAACCAAGGGCGAAGAGACGTCCGCCAGTGAACCAGGAGAATACTGGACAGGGACAATCGTTTTTCTTCGTCGATCCTGGCTCGTCGACCAGGGAAAAGCGAGCGCATGTAATGCGACATCATATTCAAGAGAAGCGTAAGCAAAACAAAGGGGCAATCAGCACGGATCAGCAGGATGGCAGACCCGGTCGCTACCTACCATGGCGGAAAAAGCAAAATAAAGAGGAAAAAGACCGATCATCTTCATCTGCGGTAAGTACTCGAGCGCTACGGGAAATCACTCTCACATGATAATTGTACCCGAGCTTTTGAGATTCTTCTATTGTCATTTGGCGACCATGACCCTATTCGCACAAAAAGATTGTCCTATCTCCTGGCCACAGACTACAAACGCTAATTTATTAACACAGCCGGAGACTTCACTCCTATCTCCCGAACTACAGCCTGTTCAGGAACCCACCCCACGGCCACAGGATGCACTTAGTTCTGCGAGACGAGATCCATTCGATAGTTTCCCTCTGTTTCTGGAACCCGATGACTACCAGCTAACAGATCTCTGGACGTCGAAACTGGCCTACTGGTCGGGACAGAACCTTCATATGAAGAATGCCGTCTTTCGAGCGGCCATGGGGCACCCTGTGGCGTTCCAGGCAGTCATACTTTGTTACTGTGCTCGATGGAGGTCCCGGCTATGTGGCCTGACTCATGATCCCGCCGTTGAAAGTCGTGTCAATATGGTGGAGAAGGCCACTAACGATGCCATTGGGGGGGTAATAGGAATGGATGAAGATTACCTTGCCATGGCGCTGACCGGTCTATCCTTGCAAGAACAACGGTTTGGCGAGAAGAGGAGAGCGGAACAATTCGCAGACAACGCCGCGCAGATTATAAGGTCCCGGACAGGGACCTCTCGTCTTGTCGATGTACTTCTGCACTTCGTCCGATCTGTCTCGGCACCGTCTGATGCTGCTATCGATGCTGATGGTACACGGTGGCTGGTCACTTACTTACGGAACGCCGAACGGATCATGGCAGACCAGAGTCGCGAAGAGTTTCTGTCCCTCGTACCAGAACGCCGAGATGCCTTCCAGTTTGAAAGCCCCTTGTATCCTCTCCTCGCAGCTGGGCCTCGCCCGACACAGGTGCCACTTGACCACCGGATATACGTAATGCAAAGCATCCCAACACAAGATATGTGTCGAACAGCAGCCCTGATATACATAACGACAGCACTTTGGGACTTCAGGCACTCGCCTAGTAGAACAGCCCGTTTTCTCGAGCAAACCATGTTTCACGTGAAGGAACGTGGCCTTGATCGCTATCCCGCCTGTGAATCGTTTTTGTGGTTGCTACTGGAGGAAGTTTATGACCCGGACCTGAAAGACCCCGAGCGGGCATGGTCCACGGTCAGACTGCTCAATATGCACAAGGTGCTCAGCCCAAGCGTGCAGTTCCACTTCAGTGAACTCCTCATGAGTTTTCTGATGCTGAACAAACCGCTGCGGGGAATCGACGCATTCGAGGAAGAATTACTTCGGCCCGTGCCGTGAATATTCAGCAAGTATGTCTGCAAAACGTCGAGTGATACGTATGGCTGCATCGGCCAGGCATAAGACGGCAAATGGTAGTCGAATGCGGATTCGACAACTACGTACCTGAGTCGTCTTCATTGTATATCTTGGCTTTCTGTTTACGGAAATCCAGAATACTCCGTACATTCCCAGCCGAGTTCCCAATGGCTGCGGGGTTTGGTATGCGGGGGAATCCACGAAATTGGTCAAGAAGGAATCCCCCCCCCCCCGGCTACCAGCTATTCGTGAATGGATATGATGATGATCGCACGTAAATCGGGGCAGCGTGAGCAGCACTTCCTTCACATGCCGCTTCTGGAATGCTGAAGAAGGGCGAGAATGATTTCCTCAAGACCTGTCCATGAGACCTTTACCACCATTGAGGGACAACTGGAGACATGGACCTGGCGTCCATAAAGCGAGACAATGACGAGGATGGAGTACATGGATGCCGAAGAAAAGTGGCAGTGCTATTCCTCTCGCAAGGTATACTTATTCAGTGGTAGGGGTTATCACTGGAGTTACGAAACCACGTCCATGTGCGGGAGGGACATGACAGACCTTATTTGGAGATGCGGACGATATATGATGATCTGTGCCGTCCCTTGATCGGCACTTGCATGGCTGATGTTGCATATAATATGCGTACGTGCCAATGTGTTGTTGGTTTTCTCATCAATGGAAAAGTGTTCTAACTTATCATTCTTTTCATCAGATGTGGGCCCACTTGGGCTCCATGAGATCAGCGGAAGGATAAGATCTGAATGTGATCGCGGTAGATCCACCTATCAAAAGTACTGTACAAGAGTCTCCTTGGGAACACCTAGGAACTAGAGTACTCTAAAGTAGACACTGCGATTGTGCAGAACTTTGAACTCGGTCTCCATTATCCCAATTCGATAGCCTATCAAAGGGATCGAGACGTGATCTAGGATGAGCCACATGTGGCTGGTGTATGCCGCGCCACGCCAGCACTCCGCAGGATTACGTATGTCGACGGTTCAAGAGTAGTTTTAAAGACTCACCGAACTTGAAGAAATAATGTCTAGCTCGAGTAAGGGTTGGAACCTGGAACTCTCCTGTACCATAGAAGCACAGAAGATACGTAGACAGCAGCTCTGGCGTCCTGGCCTGTCCAGGTTGGTTCACTGGTCCGTGTGTAAGCTGACACTCTGGATGGCTTGCTTGGTATTGCATGAAACTTGTTTGAATGGTCGAGAAAGAAGGTGGCCGACTAAAACTTCGGACGTTTCAGCACCTGCCCCCGGTCTGCTGGGCAGCCTGGGCAGCCTGGGCATTATTATTTCCATCCTGAACCTTGGAGGTGGCGTATGCTATCTTGGTCCTGTCTTGGACTCTGACAGGTGTTGCGAGAAGGCACGGACCGCAATAGCCATCTGGTTCCTACTCATGATTCATCATACGCAATCTGCACCGTGTGTCACGATTGGCGCCCGTAGAGCTGACCCAATTGCTGGGAATGGATGTGCGAGCGCATTTGTCTTAGCCATGAGCAGAGTTTTTTCGGCCTGGGTGCTGAAAGCATCCTCAACAACAGTACTCCGTAGTAACAATAATGATGTCCAGGAAAAAGCACCACTTGTGGTCCGTGGATCGATTCACACATGGGTACACCAACCTCGGGCGTATCTTGGTTCCATCATACGCTAAACGGGTCAGGGGTTCGCCAGCGCCCAGATCGGTCAGTCAATAGCGGACCTGCCCAGGAACTATGATGCTATCAGTCGCCCGCGCTGGACGCTCTAATCGACGCGAGTTGCCGGTACCACGGGAATTGATGACATAGTTTGGCGTACGGGATCTGATAGATACCGTAACCCAACCCAGTTGAAAGCCCCATTGAGCCCTGTGGACCGTATTGTAGTTCATCGCAGTCCCGGATCGACGGAGAACTGACGCTGGTCAAAAAAAAAAAAAAAAAAAAAAGCCTTTCTTCCTTCTGGCGCTCGTGTTTTCCCCCCTAATCAGTCCGTTTTCGTCCAACTGCGCCACAGATCAATGGCGCGTGGAGTGGAGAGAGAGAGCACTCTTTAGCGTGTACTCCAGGGCTTCGGTAGCCTTTGAGAGAGTCGTTTGCCGGATCAGGGATCCTGTGCCAGCTGGCTGAACGGGTGGTCACTGGTAACCATGGTCCTTTCGTCGACCTGAGATAGCAGATGTGGCTTTCCAGGTGTAACCAAGAGACGATGTGGCCGTGCGCTGTTAGGTACTTGATGATGGGTGGCAAGGAAAAAGAAGATCATGATCCCTTTGGATGGGTTAATCGGGGGGCTCGACCGTCTGCAGCGGATCGATCTCATTTCCGCATCGCACAACAGCGCTTGCAGGGATCGTAATCATTTGTAGTGTCGTGGCAGCTTATCTCGTACTCGAGTCTCGTAGAGTTCTCGTCCAGTCCAAACACGGCATCACAGCATTGCTGGCCAGTCAACCTCGTAGTCGGTTGCCACATTGGTCGTGTGGGGGAAGCGTCTAGCGGAGTAGCGTCAATGAGTTTGATATCATTTCCCGGTGGTTGATCCTCCCTGGCGTTGGTATGTGCGATTGAGTTCATAAGGAGCCCGCCCTGCAAAATATGCTTTCTCTGGGCTGGACGATCATCAACAAGAACTGGTCCCATAACCTTTGGCAAGCCGTGTCCACCACTTTCAGCTTGCCCCTCCACGCTCCCTTTTAGGTCTTTTGCTTCCCTATCTTATTCTTGTTTTTTTTTTTTTTTCTTTTTTTTTCTTTGATGTTATTGTCTGCTCGATTCCCTCCCTCTCTTCCTTCTTTTCCTGCCAGTCGGCTTTGTGACAGTGGTGGTATCCCCGCGTGTAGCTGTGAGTATAACAACACCAGTTGCGATCGGAGGAGCCTCTTCGGATTCGAGCTTCCAAGATGGAGGCATACGACGAGGGCATAGTGCCCATTCATTATGGCCTCTTCAGGCGCCAGGTAAGTCGTGCAATCCTTCGCATCCAGAAGAGAGGCTTCTGGGTGGCGGCGCGGCGAAGTTGACGAGATCACCAAATCTCATGGCTCAAGGCGTCGCATTCGCGATGGTGCAGGCGCGCTGACCCCAGGACAGAGTGACAGCGACAGTACTCAGAATACTTCGAATTCGGCTTCTGGTCTTGTGTCCACGTTGGTGGTCAACTTGGTTATCTCGGGTGCCATGGTCCTCCTCTTCGTCCTGCTGCGTCGCCGCGAGAAGAGGACTTATATGCCGCGTACCTACTTGGGAACCTTGCGGCAATTCGAGCTCACTCCGCCCTCCTCGACTGGCTTGATTGGCTGGATCAAGGACATGTACCGGCTCCCCGATACCTATGTTCTGCAGCATCACTCAATGGATGCGTACTTCTTGCTCCGCTATCTCAAGATTGTCTCGATCATCTGCTTCGTCGGTTGCTTGGTTACCTGGCCAGTGCTCTTTTCGGTCAATGCCACCGGCGGTGGAGGCAAGCAGCAGTTGGATATTTTGAGCATCTCGAACGTGTCGAACACCTTTGGCCGATACTACGCACATTGCTTTATTTCCTGGATCTTCGTCGGTAAGTTGCAATTGACAGGAGAGAACACCAATCGCATTATAACAAAGCTGCAACATAGGATACATATTTTTCACGATCACTCGCGAGAGCATCTACTATATCAACGTCCGCCAGGCTTACGCCCTTTCGCCTCCATACGCAAACCGCATCTCGTCTCGGACTGTCCTGTTCACTTCTGTTCCTCAGGAGTATCTTAGCGAGGCGAAGATACGCCGAATGTTTGGCGACGACAGGGTCCAAAACGTCTGGGTAGCTACCGACGTCAAGAAGCTGGATGAAAAGGTCCAAGAGAGAGAAAAGGCTGCGATGAAGCTTGAGGCCGCCGAAATCAGCTTGATTAAGATGGCGAACAAGGAACGACAAAAGTCTATGAAGGGCCAGCCCGCCGAAGAGGAAATGGCACATCTGGACAATACGGTTGAGGATGACCGGGATGCTGAATCAGGTTCTGTCGCCGCCCGTTGGGTCAAGGCAAACAAGAGACCGACTCACAGACTCAAGTTCCTCATTGGCAAGAAGGTCGACACCATCAACTGGGCTAGATCTGAGATTGAGCGTCTAACCCCCGAGATCGAGGAACTCCAAGCTCGTCACCGTGCAGGTGATGCCAAGTTGGTCTCGTCTGTTTTCGTCGAGTTCTACACGCAGACGGATGCCCAGTCTGCGTTCCAGTCCGGTATGTCCTCTTTTTAAGCACTTATACAGCACTGGAGTTCACGATTTACTAATCCTCCTTGCAGTCGCACACAATCTTCCTCTCCACATGGCACCGCGTTACATTGGTCTTGACCCGACTCAGATTATCTGGTCGAATTTGCGCATCAAATGGTGGGAACTTGTCATTCGATATGCTGCAACCATTGCCTTTGTGACTGCCATGGTTATTTTCTGGGCTATTCCCACTGCAGTCGCAGGAGCTATCTCCAACATCAACTTCCTCACGAACAAGGTCCCCTTCCTCAAGTTCATCAATCACGTACCGAAAGTCATTCTGGGTGTCATCACTGGTCTTCTGCCAACCGTTATCATGGCTGTTCTGATGGCTTTGGTACCTATCATTCTGCGATGTAAGTGTACTCCACGGTCATAATTCTGATGAGTAGTAGCTGATGGTGTTTTGAACATTCTAGTGATGGCCAAATTGGGAGGCTGTCCTAGCTTGGCTGCTGTAGAATTGAGGACTCAGAACTTCTACTTCTGCTTCCAAGTCGTCCAGGTTTTCCTTGTGGTCACCCTCGCCTCTGCTGCGACTAGTGTGACTACTAAGATCATCGAAAACCCTACTTCGGCCGCGTCACTGCTAGCCCAGAACATCCCTCTTTCGTCTAACTTCTACATCTCTTATATCATCCTTCAGGGATTGTCCTTCAGCTCTGGTGCTCTCCTTCAGATTGTCGGTCTGATCCTGTCCAAAGTCCTCGGCAAGGTCCTGGATAACTCTCCTCGGAAAATGTATAAGCGCTGGGCAACCCTGTCTGGCCTTGGCTGGGGAACCGTTTTCCCTGTTTTCACACTGTTGACGGTCATTGGTGAGTCACATTGCTTCATAATTCAGAGAATCCTTGACTAATCTATCGACCTTTAGCCATCACGTACTCCTGCATCGCCCCGTTGGTCCTGGGTTTCGCTACCATTGGTCTCTATCTGTTCTACTTTGCCTATCGATACAACTTGCTCTACGTCTCCAATGCGGAAATTGACACTCAGGGCAAGGTTTATCCTCGGGCTCTGCAACAAACTACGACCGGATGCTACCTCCTCGTTGTCTGCCTCATCGGTCTGTTCGCCATTGGTACTGGTTCCGACCGGATGGCTGTTGGACCGCTGGTCTTGGAGATCATCTTCCTTATCTTCCTTATCCTTTACCACCTGTCTCTGAACAGTGCCTTGGAGCCCCTGATCAACTATCTTCCCAAGAATTTGGAAGCTGAAGAGCAGGGCCTCCTCGAGTTGGAGCGCAGCAAGCTGGGCCAGACCAACAGCAGTGACCCTACCAGCTCTGTTCCGGACGGTGACTATCCTGACAAGGTGGACTCGGTGGAGAAGGGTTTGCACAACACTGCTCTCCCGGCCCCCCACAAGAAGCCTAGCATCCTTGCAAAGTTCCTCCGCCCAGATAAGTACACAGACTACGCCACTATGCGCCGTCTTGTGCCCAATACCCTGGACAGCATCCAGTATCCTCCAGAAGTTGAACGTGATGCATACTTCCACCCCGCGATTACTTCGCAGGCTCCTCTTCTCTGGATTCCTCGTGACCCAGCTGGTGTCAGCAGGCAGGAAGTCAAGCATTCGCTGAAGGTAATCCCCATCACTGATGAGGATTCCTGGCTGGACGAGAAGAACAAGGTCCACTGGAACTCCGAGTCAGGCAGACCGCCTATCTACGAGGAGAAGATCTACTACTAGTTGGATGGTCTTTAGACCGGGCCTCGTTATCACCGAAACAGGGTCATGTCTCTTGTCTTGGATCACAACATATGGACCCCATTGGAGTCATGCTCCTTGTATTTTTATTTCTAATTACCCCTCTGGCGGCTCTCCACCGAACTGATACCCATCTGACCCCCATCTTCCCACCATTATGGATTACCTAATTCCCTATTATCATTTTTGTCAATGTTGAACATCTCTATGAACTTGGAACTCTCTATATGCTAAAGTAGAGTAACGATTTTTTGTTTGATGAATCTGCTCTCTACGGTCTATAATTTGCAATAGCGACAGTATCCAAAACTTCTAACTAAGCATATCCTTATTCCATAATTTGTGGTTTCATGTTGCCTTTGTACTTTTAATGTAAAAGCACCCCATCCTTCTGGGCAGGGCCGAACAGCATCATGTCTTCCGGCTTCAATTTACTCTGGCATTAGCGTTACTTAGCAATGACCATGACATCATGATTTCAGATGTAGAATCTTACCTCGGGTAGCCGTAGATTGCTATTATCCGTCTTTTGTGACCAGACACAATTCGCACAAGACCCACGAAAGAACTCAGCTAGGACGCAGCAACCCTCGAAAGGGCCGCGTTCAGCGGCACAGTGCAATCACTGCGGAAGGACGAGCTCTCCTCTGGACTGTACGAGGATGGCGTTTACCTGGTGCTGGGACGTGAGTTCTTTCCGCACGCAAGGCTCTCCAGGCGAGGACAAGCTGGAAGAAGAGGAGAAGGAGAAAGAATAGACGAAGACACCCTGATATAGGCGTGCCTATGATTGAGACCGGCAGTCACTCAGAAAAAAAAATGTAAAGCTAAGGATAGCTCTTTTTGTTTTGGCCAAAGAACCACGAAGGTAAGGAACTGCTCTTCGGTTACAGAGGAGCCAGACTTGCAGAGCTTTCATCTGATTGATAGACTTAGCTTGAGATCCTTTACTGGCCTTATTTGCCTCCCATTTGACCTTCTTGGTCGTAATCTGAACTCCATACACCTCTATATCTGATCCACGAGTCGATTACATGGTCCAGCGTTGCGGACTCGGTGGGGGGTAACTGAGAGCTTCCCGATCTGTCCTTTGCACCTACCCTCTGAAGCAGGTTCTTAGCTCTTTGGTAGTAATGAGTTAACGACTCGGTTTCGCGTTGGTGAAGCCGTGAGACTTCACTGTGAGATCACGCCACATCCTTAGTTCTGGGAGTCGCTGTAAATTGCTCGATGAATCATCGGTTGCTCGCTCAAATAGTTCAGTGATCCCTATAGTCCCTTCAGCCCAAGCTGCTGCCTCGCCAGTCAATTATTTTCCCTCCTTACCCTGTGGAGCTATCGAATATGGTATGATATGGGCGCATTGGGTAGAACCCCAAATAATCTTAGACTTTTCTTCCTCAGGCAGTTCAGGGATACCAGAAGACAATTTCAAGCCCCTCGAAAAACAGCTTGGGATTGATGCTAGTAGACTCAGTGGCTATCTTCCATTCCCCACTTGTACAGTACTTCTTGAGCCACTTAGAAGCCGACTGGTCAATGCCTCCTGAAAAGGACCTATAGAGGCTTAAACTCCCGATATCCCATAACAACGCCGTTATCCTTTATCTTTTTTTTTTTTTTTTTTTTTTTTTTTTTTTTTTTTTTTTTTTGCTTTGTAGGGTATTTCTGTTCGAGCAAGCGATGGGGGACCATCCTTAGAGGTAGTCGGGTTGTTGGATGACTCAAAAGACTCTTCCTCTCTTAGAGAATAGGCTTGTCCAAGCAGAGTCCTTAGCACAATCTTCCAAAGACCTACTCGTATCCCTTTAGGGAAGGGTGAGGAACCTGTTCAAAGTGGAAGGCGCGCCCTAAGTGATGCCCTTGTGCAAGCAAGTAACAGAGGAAAGCGCTTAGCTAACAGAGATAGGACTAACTAATCCCCGCTAAACTCCAAGATAGAGGGGAAATTTAGGATCTCTTGCAGACTGTAACATATTGTAAGGGGGAAATTATTAATATTTTAGGGCTGAACTCTGGGCAGACCAATAAACGACGGGGTCATAACAGGGCTGAATGATGGTACAACAATAGGCTCAAGGACTAGGCACAGTACGTCGTGCTCTATAGACTGCTTGAGACGACAGATCAAATGGGTCAACTAACGCTCACCCAGGGCCCTAAGTATTGAGGTCCCTGCGTCGGTCACCAGAAGAAACAGACTACTCTGAATCCCTTGCCAAATGGTGATCGCATAATCGGTATTAATCGTCTTTGCTAGCAATGTGGATATCTTCAAAGAGCAAATCTTCAGTAGAATCTTCTATGCCAAGCCGAGGAGATAGAGTTATTATAGCGGGTATGGTGCCACCATAAGCTAGCGCAGGCCGTGGTTCTTCATTATATTAACAAAACGCTGCTCCACGTCATCTGATAAGTTGACTTGTCCATGCAGTTGTAAGTGTTCGAAAAAGATTCTCAAGAAGTCTGCGGTATCATCCTAGGATGAAGTGCTTGATATTGAGCAAGCTTTCCATCCAGAGTTTGTTTGGCCTAGGCGAAAGTAGCAAAGACATTGGAGGACACTGGAGAGCTTAGGTTTTCCCGCGGGATTTTCAATAGACAACTCGAAAATGTTCTAGTCTTCGTGCTCTTTATGTATTTGCAAGAATGGTATGTCGAGTCGCTCTCTCCAGTGATATCCTCTATGATAGTTATACAATTCTGGTTAAGAGGATTCAAGACCTCTATAATTACCTCCTCTTTCCAGTCAGTATAATTTCGATACAAGATATATAAGAGATATATACTTACGTTAGCTAGGATAAACCTAGCTGTTCCGATTCTGAGGGGTCATTAGTTACATATGGCCACTTTGGCCGCAGTAGTAACAAGAGTGTTATACTTATAAGCACTATAAAAATTATAGTTAAAGTATATTTGCACTGTGCGACTCTTTTTTGCTATTTGTTAATGTTACCTAATTAGCTAGTATTAGCGATATGAGGGATAGATACTTACTTACTGTTGCTCTTCCGATAATAAAGTGAACTTAGAGATCTTAACGGCGGCGGGGCAGGGCCTTATTTATAAAAACTTTCGCACCTACCTGTCCTATTATTGCTGTGGAGCCCCTATGTCCTCTCTCCTAGCACTTTCATGTCATGGAGCGCTACCTCATCGGTGAGATCAACGAAAATATGGACCTTAGCACGACCTGGCATCATCGAAATTGAACAATTAGGGGACAGACTGAAAGATCCTCAAGAAAATGGTAAGGTTAATTCACAAACTAAGTGAAGCAGGGAATATGTGAATAAGGAGAATCGACTGAGCTTACTTGGGAGGAGAATGAATGCCTCGTCACAAGGTGACTGCACAGAGCGCGGAGTGTGGCCGAACATCATCAAACATAGTTATACGTTCAGCCAGGACTCGCTTGCCGTTAGTTGGTAGACAATGGAACCCTTTTAGCGTGAGACTTCTAGTACTATGAGGTTCATGGTTATAAGTCCTGGCCTCTGCCTCTTCTTGAATAAATGCAGACGGGAGGTCGGTATATAACCCGCTGCTCTTACTGAAGAGAGAGAGAGAAACTATTAATCATCTGTTCAGATGTGCTGTCACCATAAATCGCTATGGCTAACAGACTAGGTTATGTTGATAAGCTGGATGAGGGATAGTTATAGGAATACTCGACGAGGTATACTTGTGCTTGTGGACTGATTGGTAGGAAGTAGTAACTATAGAAGGAGGAAAAAGCAATCGCAGAAGACGTTCCCCAGGTCCTAGACCATTCTGAAGTGGGTTGAATATACCCAGAGGAATTCACACTTAGCCATTAATACTAGATGGTGAATCTAGGATAGCAAGCAATTGAGTACACTCAGTCTCAGGGATATGATTAGCTCCCTACTTTTGAAATGCGACGCTCCTCATTTTGTGCTCGTAACTTTCAGTTGAAAAGCTCCTTTGGTAAAATCGACAAAACCTCCCTTGGTATCACATTTTTCCGCCCACACTGCCTGAACTCGCACGCCATCCCAAAGATATTTTCTTAAGATCATACATAATAGTGAACAGATACCACCTACTCCAGTTGAGAACTGACTGGCCAATCAAGCCAAGGAACCGACATGATGTGCCTGCTGTTCAGCAAGATGCGTCAAAGCATCTATGGCGATATGGACGACTGGCAAGACTGGCTCTGGCAAGACAGGCTCTTCGTCAATCTCCATATCCTGAATTGCCAGAAGATGCTCTTGGATGGTGGTGCGTTCACGGAGCACCATCCTACTTCCCCGGGTAGAATGTGGAACTTCCTCTATCTCGGCTGCGTCCTCCATTTCAGTATCAGCTTCCTCATCCTCTAGTGCCCCTTCGCTCATATTTTCCTTGTCCTCGCCAGCATCAGGGTACCATCTCGGGTCAGGCTGCGATCCGTAGATGTCGTAGTCGAAAGGATCTTCGTAAATCTGAAAGTCCGAGAAGGATTTCAGAGGAGAGGTGAAGCCTCCAAATCTCATAAAACCACTATCGTAAATCGAAATAAGAAAGGTTTGATCAGTGGGTGATGATTGCTGAAGGAGCGTAGGCGATTCCATTGGCTGATCATCGATTGTGTTGCCTGGAGAACACGGTTCTTCTTGCTTTTCTCCATCTGCTTTCGACGGCAGATGGATATCACCATTGCTCTTGACTGGGTCACAGGTGAGTCTGGCCTTCTTTCTAGGAGGAGGCATCAGGAAAGAGTCTTTTTCGGCCATATCTTCGTTTTCGTAGTCCCTTCTGCGCGCTCGAGGCTTGTCCATCGTTATAGTAGGCTCTGGAAGTACAGATTCCTGGCTCTTGTTCTTAAGGGAGGCAATCTTCTGACGGCGGTATAAGGCGGCCTATTTAGTTGTCAATTTTCCATTAGAAAAAAACAACAATTCCATGGCACCTAGGAACAGCGTACTTACGCATTTTTCCACATCGAGACAAAGCAAGAGATCAATCTCATCCATCATTATCGCGCAGATTATCCCCAGCCTTCAATATATCTGATCGTCTGCCTGACTGTAGCCTATATGAAGCAAAGAGCATTGGGATCGTTAGCTGTCTATCTCTATTTGTATCTCGAGCCCTCATCTCCTGTATTGCATCTAGTCCTGCTCTTTGATATATATCCAAAAGATGTTTGTACGTCCGGACGAAGGGGACACAGGGTCCTGACTGCTCTCAGCTGCCATGGAGTAAAGACCTGAATTGAGATCCATCAGAGTCAGAAACTAATCCCCCCATTGCCTTTTCGTGATGGAGATGTCGAAACTTACAGTAAGAAGAAACCGCGGACATGGCCGAGATTTGATGCACTCATCTTATGTGCAGGAAACACGCATACGAGCACAGAGTAACCCAGGCTGGCGTCCATCAAATGGTCCACCGTCACGTCCAGCAGACTCGGAATTTCTGATAAAAGTATTGAAACACGACTCGTTCATCGTTGACTGTATCCAAAAATCAAAGAGCTCAGGGAAGCAAGTCGAGTAGCATCGGGAGGGGTTATTCTGAGCGAGAACTTGCCTTGTCTTATCTGGAAGTCCCTCCTAGGTCTTCAGTCCGTATAAAATAGATAGAAGCTGTCAAGCGACCTGTAAAAGTGGACGACGAAGGAAAATAACGACTAGCACAGACGATGAGTGAACTGATACTAAGTCATAATATAGAGGATAAAAACAAAGAGCTGTATCAAATGAAAAGGTCACAGTGCGAGAGAGTAAAATTTCATTAAAGAAGTAATCACGCTGTTCAGATTTGTGTTAAGTGAACGTTGTTAGGGTGCTGACCCTTTACCTGCTGGGTTGTTCAGTCGTGTTAAACCCGCGGCGACTTCCGCACAGTGCAGAATAAAAGAAAGCACTTCTATCCAGACAGGACGCCGTGCGGTAGCAACTTCAGCATATGTCTCTCATCAGACACTGAATATATAATTTGTATCGCAGTCCTTCGAATATTCGAATATCTGTCCCCACCGTAGTAGATTTATGAATGACTCCTGTCCTCGAAGGCCTCCCTCCCTTGGTCTCCATCATCTTCGAACCTATAGGTCCAGATAGCATCTTCTTTTTAATGAGAACATCGAAGTCAATGAGGAAGGGAATAAATGGCATATATATGTGGTCGACGGAATAAGCCAACGAAAATCTTCGCATAACGCGGAATTAGACTTCCTCATCGCTTAGGTAGTAAACTAACTATACAACATCACCCAGAACGTTTCCTTGACATTAACACCACTAAACCTAGATCCTATACAGAAACTCACAATGTCTGGCTTGACGACCAGCCTGTGCCCTTCGAATGTCGCTAATCTCGTTGCGAACGGTCTCTCTCGTCTAGCTGGTCCTCTGGTTGGAACGAAATACGGCGAGTGGCAGATGAGGATGTGCATGGCCCCGCGAGTCTCTATAACCACAAGACCTCCTCATATCTCTATTCAAAAAAGCTGCTTCATTTAATTAAACATGATTCTGTCGCTAGAGATTTGCCTTCTAAGATAGTAGTGAGATTAGAAGATAGATACCTATGCAGCGAGTGAAATAGTTCTTCAATCGGGCTACAGATTGGTACCTAACGTCTTGAACACTAATTACCATTCTCAGTTATCCGAGTTCAGTTTGTCCAATTCTTCTATCACATGAACCCGTGAAGTGGCGAAGTTAGATAATAATGACATCTAAGATGCAGCAATCTATTACATGATTATTCAAAATCAAGGCATCCATCGGCCACACCTCGAAAGAAAACCTTGGGGTAACTACTTATTTCTATGCAAAAAAAGACTCAACATCTAGACTAGAACCGACCCTGAAACTCCAACCTAGTAGTTCACACCTGCTTGCTAGTAAAGACCCAAATCGACATCCCTTCACCGTCGTCAAAAGAAGAGCAAAACAAACAACAGCCGAAGCGAAAGTAAACTGACCAAGGCATAGAATAGAATTCCAAATACTAATAGTAAAGTATGACAGACATCCGGCGGGCCGAAACCTAATTTAATTCCCTTTCGTACGCGCACAGACGTCGATGCGCATTGTCCTTGTTTACTCACAGCAAGCCAGGGCAGTTAGTTCCAGGCTTAAAGTAGCATTTTCTTTTTTAGGGCTTTTTAGCGACAAGTATTCCGGTGCCCCTGGCCCGCTTATTTTATCCTTCTACCAACAACAACTATCGAGAGCCATTATTAGTCTGGTTTTTTTTTTATTTGTGAGGCTGGAGGCTCGTGGGTAAATCGAATACTGTAGTAGTTAGTATGTAATACTAATACTACTAATAATAATAATAATAATATGTAGTATATCTAGTCGCAGCCACCCCCTCCCGAGAGAGGAAGCGGAGGTTCTAGACTGTTGCTGTTCCTTGGAGTTTGGTGCAAATCCTAGATCTTAGCGGGAATGGGCGGAGATCACACCGAGTAAGACCGATGCTGAAGATCATGCATGGCATGTGATGTGATGGGATGCAGGGTTTGTTTGTGAATGATTTTTTTTTCCTGCTGGGATTCTTCAAGAAGGAGGACAAATGCCGTAGTGTATCTATCTTGTGTTGTTTGGTTTTTGGATTTTGTTAGAGGTGTTCTGGTGCTGTAGGTAGGTCGAGTATTACTTATTGCGAAGTATTTTCGTTAACTAAATAATACTCTGTGCCAAATCCACCATGGTCATCACGTGTGTCTAAGAGACACACACAGGCCACCTAGGTGGCCGCTTCGCCTTGCCCATGAGAAAAGTCGCATTACTGTAGGGATGGCCTCGTTAACCGAAGGAGTGTGTGATCGAGTATTTAGATATCTCATAAAAAGCATCATGCAGACTCGAACTTACCGGCCGAGAGGATTTACTTAACCGGGATACCTGCAGAGTGATACGTAACTGTAGACAAAGAGCGATAATCTCAAAATCAGGACCGGGACACGAGGGAGTAAGTAAGTATATTATTCCCATACCATATGCAAGAGAACTCTCCCCCATCCTGACGGGGTAGAAACATAAGTAGGACGTAATGTAATCACTAATGGATCACTCCCACAGAGACTAACTATCCCCAGCGAATCATATGAAATGCACCAACCGATGCAACTGAGCGTTGCATATTCCCCTCTTGCTGTCATATTCACTGACAGATAACGCTGCTGACAGCTGCGCGTAAGTGGCGTAGTCTCCCAAAAGGCAATCAAGACCACCGATTATTATGGTGTGTGTGTATGTGTATATGTGTGTAAGTTTGTTGGAGCCGGAAATACTCTACATAGGTAGCAGGTGTCGATCCCTTCGAAACAAGCACTGGCATGCTCGTCTCTCTCTCCCTTTCATTGTTGTTTCACTGTACCTCTCTCTCTTTCTCTCGATTTCTTTCTCTCCGCATGTCTCCTCGTTGGAGAAAGGGGGTGTGACACGCAATCATCGAAAATAGGAACACATTGGGCGATGATTTCCCCATGATACTGTTTCGATCGCGCGTACGGGGTGTACGTTGTACCCCTAAAACAGCAAATGCTGTCTTAACATCGGAACCTCGGCGACATATGTCCAATGTCCGTCCCAGCCCTATGTCGGATTGCTCTGAATTCGGCCCTGTCGATGGAGCAACTGCCATGATGTGTCCTGGCGGTCAATCAGCTAGTCTGATCTGGTAACAACTCTGGACCGTGCTCGCGGCGTGAACCCGGCTTTGCATCGGTCGGTAGAACGATCCTTCCGATGTCCCCCCATTGACGGAGACTTAATTGTTCGATTATCGATGTATCGATGTATCAGTGCTCAAGTGGAGAGATGAATTGGTGTCTTGTTCGTAACATACAGTTACGTTCGTACTTTACATCGTCATCGATTGTGGCGCTACGTATTATAGAGTAGAAAATTAGGGGGGGGGAGCATATTCTTGACCCAACAACGACAACAATACAATAGTGACAACTAGAATTGCGAGGCTTAAAAATTTGGGTTGATACTGCAAGAGACATTTCTTAGCTCCCGCGCGGGAATGTCTTGGTTGGCTCACAGAAAGAGCTTTTGGCTTTGGTGATCGACCAGTAAATGGGCGACGAAATATTTACTTTTCGAATGCGGATGCGGAGCCGTCATCGGGCCGTCCATAGATATTGGGGGAGCGCGCCTGATGCGGATATATATGATGGAGCCTGGAGGTGAACGCGCAAAGCGATACCAACCTCTAGTCTAATCCACTAGTTGCAACGTCGCTGGCTGCTGGCACAGCAGTGAACTTGCCGCAGCAGTTCTGGACCAGTTGGGTCTGCAGCTCGACGCTTTTTGCCCTAGACATTTGCCGGTGACGAACAATTAGAGTAGTGACCAAAAATTGGGCAACCGACCGACAAGGGTCCGGCCTCTTCAGCCAAATTGTTCTCTCACAGGATCACCTTCCCTGTCGGCGGCAATTCAATCGGCCACCTAAGACATTTCTTGATAGCACCGTCTGCACCCGGAAATCTCATCAATGACCAGGCTTTCCGAAAAGACATGTATTCTCCTCGAAAAGTGTGGTCAACGGCGCGGTCGCCTGATGCTCTCTGCCTGTGGAAAGTTTTAAAAACAGATCTTTACAGTCTGCGACTCTGCGGTGGTGTTGTAACTTGAACAGTTCTGTCAGTTACCCGAAACGGATCTCAGCATTAGTGCCCTGGCCGGCGCTTCGTGGCCGAGAGTGAGAGGAAGAATCCATTGGTGATCGGCCTGTGCCACTCTATCACCCGTCGGCTGTGACAGGCGGGGTTATTTAGGAGAAGATATGGCGAAGATGAAGGTAGGTATCCATCTGGTCATGATTGAATGTTCCATCTAGAATCAGGTAGTAACTAGTAATAATACTGCTGGAAAAAAGTCCAGGGGCACATTAGGCGGTAGGCAGATCTGGCATAGCCAAACCCCACGAGCGGAGCAGAACCACAAGTTCCACAGAATCCCTTCGAGCATGTGGCGGAAAAGCGAATCAGGGCGACTTCCACGACTATATGCAAGAGCAAGAGAATTTTCATTATGTAGCGGGAGATTGATTGCGCTTTACCGCCAAAACTTGACTTGACTATCATCAATAGTAGCCATCATGCAAAGAAAACTCCACATCAAACGTAGATACGAGCATGAGGCATGTGCAAAATAATCAGCCAACGCCCCCATGCGGACCGATACGGACCAAACTCAATGCGAAAAAGAGATCCAAGAAATAATATCTGCATGTCCAAGGTTTCCTTTATGTGCCTTGGATGACAACGCGTCAAAATGAGCGGTTATTGTCTGCCCGACAATAAGAAAAAAAAAAAAGAAAAATATAGTAAAGGAAATGACAGAATTAGGTATCACAGAAGATAGGTATCACGCTAGAAAGGAGGTTCACGGAATGAGAGGCTATGCAAAGGCTGCTTTTTTCCTGTCACGAGTTCCAGCAAACGAGACGCTAAGGATCAAATGCCCACTGCCCATGGGGAAATTGAATGTAACCGAAGGCCAGGGCACGCTAGACGAATACGAAGATTCAGTTCGTTCGGATCACATCCGGAATCGGGAGGCGGAGCGGAACGCGGCCAAGTCGATAGATATGGATTCCGCAGAAGCATTATCATCAACTTCGATGGCTGTCGAGCCCGGCGCCGGTGGCTTGCCATTCTCCGCCGCTAGGGCAGTCACACCGGTGGGCTTGTCTTTTGCTGACTCGTGATTCGGATCCTCCTCTTCTTCCTCTTCTGTCTTATTCTGTTCCTGCAACCTCTTCTCCTCCTTCAAGCGTTCAACCTCGGCCGTGGCCATCTCCAACAAGATTTGGAACTTCTCCTGGACGCCCTGCAGTTCAGCGGAGCAGTCTCCGCAGCGAAGGAATTGGTGGGCACCTGACTCGCACATGCTCTGTGCCAGCTCCAGCTGCTTGTCGGCAAAATCAAAGGGGGATTCTTTCTTGGTGTTGCGCCTTGGGCCAACAGCAGCCGCGAGTTCGGATGCCGTCTGGGCTGCGTTGATCTGGCCGAAGGTGGTGGTCGACGGGTCACTCAATTTGGAAAACATACTCATAGCAAAGCCGCCCGGCCTGACCATCTGCGACATTTTGCCTCTGCGGATGTTATTCCTCGCGGAGCCGATATCCCGCACCACCTGTTCCATTTCCTTCTGTGCGTGGCCGTCGTAGTGGACGACGACCATATGGCGCGTCCGAATGATCGGAGGAGCATCGTCGCCCGATCGAACTGACGGCTCGTCATCTGTCCGTCTCTTTCGAGGGTTTGCGGCGGACGCGTCCTCGGGAGGATTCGTGTCATCGGGGCGAAGCGAGTGAAGTGAACTGTTCTTGCGCCGGCGCGGCTTGACATGCGTGAGTTTCTTGTACTCTGCGGAGAATTCGGCGTGTTTGGCGGCCGTATACGTCGCCAGGTCGGAGACTCGGGTGATCCATGACGGTAGGTTTTCACTAAGGTAGGCGAAGCTTTGCAGCGCATCCATCGAACGGGCGGCCATGGCTGGTGGCCGCGCTTAAGGTTTCGTTCGATAGCGGATGGGAAGGTTGCAAAGGAGATGTATCTCTTTACGTTCGTACGGTCGTAAAATCGTTAAATCCCACGGATTCCAGACCGATTTGCAGGCTATGGTGGAATTGCAGGCAGATCGCGAAGAGAGAGGGGAGAGAGTGAGTCGAAACCAAGTGATGGACGGCGGATCTCTACATAGCCTGGCACCACTCGAGCCGCGGCAAGAGAAAGGGAGGACAGCTCCAAAGGCGATCCGGGCCAACCACAGACAGTGAAGCAGTGGGATTGGACTTGTCTCCCTCGTCTTCTGTGCAGAGGATGGGAAGAATGGAAGAGGATAAATAATGCAGAAGGTAGAATCGGAACGTGGGATCAGATCGATGGGGAGAGAAGAAAGACGACGGGGGGGGAAGAAGAGAAAGATGTCGGTTGGTATGGGCAGCAGCAGGTACTTAGTCTACTTGGCCGGCCAGGCCGACAGAACCGTAGAGAGGGCAGAGAGAGGGGGGGAAGACGGCAGGGCGAGGTCGGCGGTAAGATTACCGTTTTTACCGTCACGGACGCTGCCCGCCGGGTGTAACAGGGGCTAACGTAACGTGGTAAGGTGGTACCGTAAGATGGTAATAATGTCTGTTACTGGAACTGTCTATCCCATTTAATTAATTCCTCGCTCGTCGATGACCAAGTAATCATCTTGTCGCTGTCTTTTCTCTGTCTCTCTTTGTCTGTTCGTCTGTCTGTTCGTCTGTCTGTCTCTCTGTCTATTCATATACCACGGTGGGAGGATAATATCGAGGCAGAATGTGAGCGACCACTCGAATTCTTTCTCGAGGTCCCGTAGAACAATACTAAACGCCTCCCCCCTGTCAGACTAACGCACAGCGCGTTCAACGACCAACGGTCCCAGTGTTAGTTACCTATCTCGAGACTGACCCTCTACGTGTGCTTGCTGCCCGGAATCGTACTTCTGATCCTGCAGCATCACTGCTTAACTACAACATCATGATTCCTGAAAGCGGCGGTGAGTGAGAGCCACAGAGCATGCAGTTTTGCCCCGTGCAGCATGCGCATATGCTGCGGTTGGACCGCAACGATCACAGTCATCCTCAAAACGAGAGAATCGGACATGGCGGCGCTCGGATCGTGCTGGGACTTCTCTCAAATCTCATCTGCAGAGATTATTATCTGGACGGAAAATCTGGTGGCCGGTGCCAGGCCCCGTGCCCCGCCAGGCAAGAGTCTCAAGAATAAGAACAATAGTCAGTTAGTAGATAATAATAATATCAAATAATGTCTACAGAGTAATGAAACTATTAACTCCATACACTGACAGTGTCCCTAGTTCTCTTTCATCTCAGCTTTAGAGTTATAAGAATCCATAGGGCTGTTGGGAGCAGGATTGAAAATCCGGCAGTTGAGTGAACCGGCAGAGGACGGACAATACCCGACTCGTTGAACCTCAAAGCTTCTGGAAAACGGTCTGGATATTATTTAGCTAAGCCATGGCGAGAACACATCCGAAGGGTCCCGTCAGGATGACAGTAGCCGATGCTGCTCCAACTTCCAACCCATTATTCTCTCTCCTCTTCGGACTTCCCCAGTCTGAGGACGAAGCTTGCGTGCGTACTCCATAACTACTTGCATCCACGAGAGTTAGTTATATAAAGCGACATGCCTCAGGAAACTCTAGTAGTTAATCGGCGACTTGGCGGGGACGCTCGGGGATTAAGGCTACTGCCAAAGACGGAAGGCGGTCTCCGCGGAAACGGGAAGAGGAGAAGGAAGCCGCGGTTAGTGCCAGTTTAGCGGCTGAGGGCTGCGGCAGTTTCCGCCCGGGCCTTTTTATTGCTATTATTCGTCCAGAATCAGGTCAGATTCAAAATAATAATAAATAAGAATAATAATGCGAAGAAGAAAAAGAGAACTGTCCGATGCCGATGCACGACACGGCCCGCAGTTTGACGCCAAATAGGGCTTTTGGCGACGGGCGAACGGAGTTATAGAGTTATATTATCATACTTATCATCAAATTCCACGATGTTACTGCAGTTCTCCGCATTCTACCGTACAGTCGTCCGTCAGCCGCCCGAGGGCTGTGCCACTGTGGCACCCACAGATGTCAATTCTGTAGTCGGTGGTCGATTCCACTCATCGACAGGAGAACAGTTCGTTCTCAGTCTTTGAGAGAAATAATAATAATGCATAGAGTACGGAGTATCTACCATACTCCAACTTCTCCAATTTCTCCAACTACTACTCCAGCGGATCATACCGCCCCCAACGCTGCTCGTTTCACCTGGACAGCGGAGACCGTCCCCATCAATCACGTGGCGCGGCTCCCGATCCGTGATCTGCGTCTTGACGATCAAAGGGCCACGGCACCACCGGACGGACGTGTTCTCCAGAAACCCCCATGGCCATCGTTGCTGCTGTCATCATTGACCCCTTTTGTATCGATGCATTATTATTATCTGCGGCTGGCAGTATCATGATCTCCCAGATAATACGCAACCCTCGAACCACTTGTTGCCTGCAATCGTCGTAGATGCGTAAGTATCAGGTGATCATGCTGCATCGTGGCTCCTTACTTTTTCACCGTCTATGATGTGCATTTGTGCCCACAAATATTATCAAATATGATTTACACAGGGTAGAGAAAACTAACTGCTTCTGGAAGCTTCAAAGTATCAATCACAGGCATCTCACATCATCAAGGCCAAGCTCAGTGACGGGTGAAGGCTGTCTTTACCGTACCTTTTCACTGCTTTCTTTCATCTCTCGCCTTGTTTCTTTCCTCATCATTGTACTCTCGAGCCCCCGTGTGCCTATGCTTGACGGCAGGAAGCACGTGGAGATGGCTCGGACAGACGTCCCATCATAGTTACTCTGCATTGATGTAAACTCATTGACATCGACCCGAATGCATATCTCGCAATTCCTGCAGATGTTTTATTTTTTTCCTTTCCATCTAAGCTCTTCCAGTCTGGGCATTACACAGCGATACTTCATATCTAATTGGAAGGTTCCATTGATGTCACAAGATATGAGATATATTCTGTCATTCCGCACATGATATGTTCATTGCCACTTGTGATACCCTATGAATAGCTTCAGGGAGACATTGATACTGTTTCGAATCTTCGAAGCAAGTGATTTGCTGTTCAATCAATAATTATACAGGACAAGTGAAACAATTGTGAAAACAGCTCGCAAAAGGACACCGCCATGCAAGAGAATCAGGAATTTGTGTCCGAGTACCGAACTTGCTGATGAACCCGCAAGAAGGACATATGCTGGGTATAATCAAACAGGGGAAGCAGACAGGACAAAACGAAACAGATTATGAGAACAACCCGCAGAAGAAGCCCGCCAAAGAATATCACGATGCAAGATAGTTGATGATTTGTGGCTGAGTGTCAGCCACGCGGTTTCCGCAAGAACATACTCTGGGTATCACAAAACAGGAGAAACAGACAGGACAAACCGAACACCGCAACATCACAAAAGCAAGAAAAGACAGAAACCGCTCACCTCCTCCCAACGCCAACATATGCAGAACTACTGCGGCCTGTCGTGCCCGTCTCAGGCCCGTACCACCGAGGTGCCGGACCCAAGAGGGCAACGACAGGCGCAGACAAGACAAACCAACAGAAAACTCAAGACCAGACAACAAAACAAAACAACGTACAAGCCCACCCTGGGCCATCTCACCGAAGCGGCAGGCCCAGGGGGCAAGCAAGAGGAAACCAAAAGACAACCCACAAAACAACCCACGAAACAAAAAGACCAGTCCAGACCCAATTCAAAACCTATCTTTCTCGCGAAGGACAACAAGACGCCCGACGAGTATCCTCTCACCAGTAGGACGAGGGGAACTTATCCACCCCTCGCCCACTGGTCCGCCCAGCCGTCAAGGTGGTCCTTGACGGCTTGGAACGCCTCCATCGCGGCCACCCACTTGGAGTTGGCATCCTCCACCAGAGCTTCGAACCTCCGGCTTTGGACGCGATGGTAGGCGATCATGGCGGACCCTTCCAGGTTGTCGAGTGGGAAGGGGATCGGATACCGTCGCTCGGGAGCTGCGGCGGGTGTGACGGTCTGAACCGTCGAGGCGGGCACGACAGGGTCGGCAAAAGCGACACTCTGCGTTGGCTTGCGTGCCCGCCTCGGACGCTTCACGGGAGGTTTGTTCTCCTCCCTGACCGTGGCGGTTGTCGCGCCAGCAGCGGCTGCAGCCTCTGAGTCGGCTTGAGGCTCTTCGGCCTCGCGCTTCCTCTTCGAACTGCCCCGAGTCTGTCTCTTGGCAGGGCCAGCTGCGGGCCCAGCGTCAAGAGAGGGCTTTGTCTCCGAAGAGACGGCACCACCCTCCTTCTGCTGGGCCTTTCGCGCCCTCTTTGCAGGTGGGGGAGCCTCGGCCTCCACGCCCACCACAGAGACGTCGTTGTTGTTGGCGTCCTTTTGCTTGTCAGCTGCGACGCCGACCTGGGACCCTGCATCCCGCTTCCGTTTCTTGGAAGGGGAGACGTTGCTCGCTGTGGAGGAAACATCAGAATATCAGCTGACTTGTTCATAGATAGGAGATAACTTTCTAATGCTAACGGAGAAAGACATCATTGACTTACCATCGTCGAGTACCAGACGATGCTTGCAACGTATCTTGGCTCTTTTGCAGGGACCACAGGCCGGGCCGAGCTTTTGACCCTCGGAGTCATTGGCTGCCGAGGAAAGGACGCCCTACATCAAACGACAGTCAGTCACTGAATCATGAAAAGAATGACAACGTCCAGAGACGAAAGAATGGATCGAGTACTTACTTTCTTGCCCTTCGCGGGCGCCGTTGGTTTTTCCGCGGGCTTCGGAGCCCCGTTGTTGGTGTCTCCCCCAGCGGCCTCCACCGGCTGGGGGTTGGGAACGGGGCCCGACGCGGCTTGACTCCCCCGCTTCTTGCGCGGGGGGTCGCTTCTCAGAAGCTTGAGCCTCCCTGAGAAACGCTCCCTATCGAAGTGCGTTGGGCACAGTTCGTAATGGTCCTTGTAGGGGCCATCCTCCAGGGGGGTGCCACAGATGCGGCAGACGACTTCGATTTCGTCGGCCATTGTTCTTCTGTGGCGAAGCAGAAGAGAAGAAGTATGAAAGTTGTCGAGAAGAAAGAAGGCCGTTGGAAAGCTAGTCCAACCGGCGCAGATGGTTGTGTCGAAAAGTGCAGACAAGACTCGAAAGGCCGTCAGCAACGAGATGTCAAAGTGGTGAGGTGAAGTAAGAAGTTGTTGAAAAGTGCAGAAAGAACTCAAATGGTCACCGACAAAAATTTATCAAAATGATAAGATAAGAAGTTGTCGAAGGAGTCTTGGAAGCAGCGAAGTGCAGACAGGGCTCGAGCCGTCAGCAACGAGATGTCAGGGTGGTAGGGTGAGAAGTTGTCGAAAGTCTTTCAGCAGAAAATGCACGAAAGAGTCGGAGGATCGCCAGCAGCGAGTTGTCAATGTGGTATGGTAAGAAGAAGTTGTTGAAAGGGTCTTTAGCAGCGGAGTGCACAAAAGATTCGGAGAGCCGTCAGAAGAGGTTTGTAAGTCACCAAAAGGTCAAGAAGAAGGATGAAAAGGAGTTAAGAAAAGGCCTGTCAGAACGAAGTGCACAAAGACTCGGAGGGCCACCAGAAGAGGCTTTGCTAATCCCCAAAGTTCAAGGGTGATGATGAGTTCTTAAGAAAGAGGAAGAAGCTCGACGTGAGGGTTGTCCAGAAATCTGAAGATCAGCGCGGTGTTGATGTCCGCACGAGAAGATGTTTCCTGAAGGATCGGAATATGATCTGGAGAAGTATGAAGAATGAAAGAGTGATGACCAGTTATGAAGAGGATGAAGAAGCTCCACGTGATGGTTGTCCAGGATTATGAAGATCAGCAAGATTCTGAAGATCAGCGCGGTGTTGATGTCAGCGCGAGAATATCTTTCCTGGAGGATCGAAATACGATCTAGAGAGGTATGAAGAATGATGAAGAATGATGACGAGTTATGAAGAGAATGAAGAAACTCGACGTGTGGTTGTCCAGAATTCTGAAGACGAGCGCGATGTTGATATTCCACGCGAGGTCTCACGAAACCCCTGAACGTTCAAAATATGATCTGGAGGAGTATGAAGAATGATGAAGAGTGATGACGAGTTATGAAGAGGATGAAGAGGATGAAGAGACTAGACTCGACGTGTGGTTGTCCAGAATTTTGAAACCAACGCGTTGTTGATGTCCACGCGAGGAGATCTCACGAAACCCCTGAACGTTCGAAATATGATCTGGAAAGGTACGAGATATGATGAAAAGTGACGACGAGTTATGAAGAGGATGAAGAGACTCGACGTGACGGTTATTCAGAGTTCTGAATACCAGCGTGATGTTGACGTTCACGAGAAGAAGAGGTGGAGAGAAGGAGAGGAAGAAAGTAGAGAAAGGTTGTGTGGGAGATGCTCTTTATACCCTAGGTGGGTGAAGCCAGAGCAACACAATTAAGCGAGTGTGTGTATACGGAGTGCTCCGGTCCATCTGTTGTTATGATATCGAGTTGTGTTCCTTGCAGGCGAATCCCAGGTGACAAAGGCTTTTTACATACCCTACAAGGGTCACCGACGTGGTAAAAAAAGAGATTCGGCCATTATTGCGGGGATCAGGAACCCAGGGTTTATAAAGATGGCAGAACTGGGAGTATATTGCTTTACTGCTGATATCTGCTTCTAGACTGCATGTCACAGGCTTTTTTAAGGCCACAACTCCGTCTCAACCCACCGTTTCCCTTGCTCACCGTAATCTCCAATAGAGTTCCACTGGAACCGTCTTGGTTTCTCGTAGTCATTGAGATCCAGTCGCTCGACTTCCTCTGGGCGAATGACAACGACACGGAAGTTCTTCCTGGCTGTGGGATCATGGAGGTCGTGGACTTTCTGACCCAACTTGATATTTGGATCGCTTGGGACTTCAGTAACAGGATGTCCTGGTGGTGGGTTTCTGAAAGAACCTGCCGGTTGCAAGTTAGCATAAAAAGGAACAAAGTTGTCCGTCTATATCGAGACAATTGGAGTGATATCAATGAATATGTCAATGGACAATGCCCGGTATGCAAGCCGCATAATAAAGCACATTCAAAGAACAATAAAGATCCATCCCATAAGACATAAAGAAAAACAAAATTCACTACTCACCTCTCATAACCGGAGTATGGTTCGCAAAATACGTAGTAATCTCTTTCTCCCAGCTCCATTCTCCTCCCACAGCCGTACCACCTGCATCTCTCAACCTCATCCCCTTCTTAATCTCCTCCCTCGCCTCCAATTCCCCTCCCTCTTCCGCTGAAGCTCCAATAACAAACGCCCTCCCTTTGATCCTCCATTGGTTCTTGGCCTCTTTCGCCCAAAAAACCGTCTCGACCACGCCCTCAGACCCCACCAGCTGACCCGTCTTCTCCATCCTGACATCGGTCGTGAACGTGAGCATATCACTTTCGAAAATCAACGGATTCAACTCATCCTCCTCTTTAAGCTGCTTCTCCGCCTCGGGGTGCAGTTCCGGCTGGCCCCAGAATGCGCGAAATCCAACATATCGCACGCGCGGCACCCATTGGCCTTGCGGAGCGCGCGATATGGTCGCGAGGGCCATTTCACGACTTGTCATCTTTGAGAGATGGTCCTGGAATAACTTTCGCCAAGGCGCGGCGGCCGCTGGACTTGCGGGAGATGCCATTGAGGAGATACTGCGAAATTGATTGATGTGGTGGTGATGATTGAAGATTCGAGATGCGAAGAAGGAAAGTGGCTGATGACGGAATAGCGTAGATACCATTCAACAGCGGGTGAGATATGAACGGATAGGATAGATTTTATCAATCGGTATCGTATCTACACGCCTTATATCCGATAAAGCTGACGTGCAAAGGGCTCCGGTAACTATGCCATGTACCTGCTGTTCGTTCGTTCGTTCGTTGACCCCGCGTAAGCAGTATGTAACCTACCTACTTAAATACGGAGAATGACACAGTCAAAAACTTCCCCAGGCTGACCACACAGAACGCTATTCAACCGATTCAAGTGTCGAATAAACACCAAGTAAAGGGTCGATCCTAATCATTCATCTACAAGGGCAAGAAAACAATACCTCTTCGAACGGACGTTCTGGCTGGCCGCTGTTGACGTCGTTTTTTTCTTGGCTCGCTTATCTTATCGTTGTCACAAGCCCCGCTAACTTACTTTACTCTTATTCCAACCCACCAGCTCAATCACCTGGTGCTTTCCATGTATAAGGGATGTTGCTTATTAGCGCAGATTTACCTTGTATGGGGGATTCAGTGGGATCATTTTATGTATACACGTAACAATGGTCTAAGTATACAACCGTTAAACTGACCAAAAATAGAAATATATATATAGAACCATATACATGAGAAAGCCTCTTCAAAGAATAAAACGCAGCACACGAAGCTGGAATACGAAGATTTGAAGATTTGAAGATTCAATGTTCAGAATTTGCGATTCTATCAGACCCCGAGATATATCCTGTATAACTCAATCCGGTCCGTGTGCAGAAATCAACATGGGTAACTAGCGGAAGGGGGAAAGCGAGATTGGGATAGACTGTCAGGGCCCTATGGCTGTTGTCAGCATATTGACATTGTTTGACGTCTGATCTTGATCGTTGTTAATATATATGGAAGATAATAAAGCACATTCTTTAATACCTGAATAGTGGTGTGTGACGTCTCCTTGATGTCGGCTGCTGCACGGATTTAGCAGGTTTGTCACGGCCTGGTCTAGGATGGACTCAGGTTGGAACTCGGACAGTCTTTGCGCTAGACCGAGGAAGACAGCTACAAGAGCCACAAGATCTCCTAGATCACACGACACAGCAGTTTATAAGTCAACTACTCATATTATTGATGTAGATGTCAGAGGCTTAGCCACTGGATGATTCCACAAGCAAAGAACAGCCCTCTCTTAGAATGCCATTTAAATATAAACATACTATGAAAACAAACTCCACAAACACCGAAACCAGCCTGTAGATCAGTACATGAGCTTTTGTATCGTACTTTTCGCAAAACCGGCAGCCCCTAAATAGAAGGCCTCCGGACCAGTATGCAAAGACCCCTGATTATGGACCCCCCATTCCTGTCCTCCCATACGACAGCTAACAGTGGACGCTAGAAGGTCACATCTGCATCTTGTCTTCATCTTCTTCATCAGCTCCCAGCGCGCCACCGGGTATCCGACCTTCGTTCAGCTCCTTCTCCAATCTCGTGATCTCCTGCAAGCTCTTGGCCTCACGGATCATCTTCTCGACGCGCTTCCTTTCTTTCTCCGTCAACTTCACGCGGATCGCCTTATCGCTCGGCGCACCTGGTGCCGCCGCAGAAACATCGAACGCGCGGGACTTGATGCCGATGATCTTGGATGCAAGAGACGTAGGCTCTTCATGGGTTCCGAACAGCTCAGCAGCTTTTGCGCGCTCAGCATCCTTGACCTTGTGATAGTCCAGGAAGCGGACGGAAGGAATGCGCCAGATGACGTAGTATCGGTAATGCTGCGCTGAATTAGCTACTAAGTCTTACGGTCTCAGCTGCCAACCTTCCTTACCTCTTTTCTCGTGACAGGATTCTCCAGTAGAACCAAATGCGTCAATCGTGTGAACTTCCCAAGCGGATCTAGGTCGGCCAGTTCGTTCATATTGTTCGACGTCAGGACAAGGTTCGTTAGATTCGGTATCGAAGAGGCCAAACTTGGGTGGATCTGGCTGACTCTGTTGCGCGCCAGCATCAGGCTGCGGAGTCGGGGAAAGAAAGGAAAGTTCGAAAGGGAGGAGATATCGTTATCCGTGAAGTCGATAGCATCTTGGTCCTATAGAAGACAAAACGTACATATAAGCACTCTTCCAAGTCTACTTTCTCAATAATTACACAGCAGACGGGTGCGCATTGGCCCGTTAAAATGCATGCTACCAGCGCAACGAGGCCTTGAAATGACGCGACGACAGAGTTGAGTTGCTATGACATACCTTTGCAACACCCAGATTCTCGATAGCCGGAATCTTATGCCCTATACGCCACAAACACACGAACCGATATCAATGGTGCTCTTTTTCCAAAGTGTAGTACCTGCCCTTTTCAGGTTTTGGTGTGTAACGCACCTCGGAGATCCAGCTCGCGCTCCTTGAGCGGGTTGATATAGGAGAGGGAGTTTTGGATAAGTTCGACGGTCAATCGCATGATGGTGGTATGAGGGATAAATACTGTTCTATCGCGATATCATGAGAGTAAGAATAAAAAGTCGATAATGTCCGGGCAAATGCAGAATCGAAAGCGCAGAAAGGTGTATGATGGAGGTGAAGCTCGTCTCGGCGGGCAAAAGATCGATCCGCGCAGCTTCCAAACCAAGAGACTGCGGAGGTCACGTGTGCACCAACCCTCTATTAAGACGTCAGTCTGTCCCGACTCCAGACCCTACAAAGATACAATGTCGCTTGGTAGATCTTTTGAGCTGTCCTGGTATGAATACGACAAAAGACTTTCCAGAGGGCTAGTTACTGCACCATAACCAGCGTGATAACTGATCTGAGATGCCTTTAGTGGCCCTCCCGGAACTGTATGATCAATTCAGGGACAGGAGTTTTGACTTTCTTGAATGAAAATAAATTGAAGGCTGCGGAAAAGTAATTACATCAGATACACATGAAGGTAGAACATCGAAGATATATATATTTGTAAATCAAATTATCGTCAACGAAGAGACATCAGCAGAGAACGTCTGATCCACAGACTACCGCGCAAGCAACAAGTTGGAAGCAGAATTCTGAAAATCATCGTACAGGACGTCTAACCAATCCATTACCTAGGATGAACCGAAACACCGATCTAAAGAACTCCGTAACGAAACCATATGCAGAATACCGTACCCTCCCCGGAAGCCAGCTAATCGTCAGCCACAGGCGTCATCAAGGGCGACTTATGATGAGATCTTATCGGACTGCCGGCTCTCGACCGTCGTCCGTTTGAAGTTGGGCCCAAGGCTATGGGTGTCAAGTGGTCTCGACTTTCCGTTCTGACAGCCAAACCGGTCCGATCCATGCGGTTCCCGCTTGAGCTTCCAATTCCCAACCCAACACTTCCACTAGAACTGTCGTCAAATCCGAATTTGAAGGTTGGGGTCTTTGTTGGAGACTTTGTGCCATTCCAACTGAATGCCCGCTTCGGCATGCGATAGGCCATCGAATCGGGATCGCTACTGCCGTCACCGGGATCTGAGGCTTCTCCCAGTTCAAAATCACGGCTGCCATCCTCGAGGACCCTTTCATACGATGCAGATCTTCGTCCAAGAAAGGGAATTTTGCCGCCAAAGATCCTTCGCTTCTTGTGAGGAGAGTGCGGGCCAAAGTGGAAGAAGTTGATGATTTTATGGTAGATGCGAGAGCGACGATTCCGACCGCAAGCAAAGAAGGCAGCCAGAATGACCAAAAAGACAAAGACTAAAACTCCCGGAATCCTCCTAGGAGATTCCCCGGCGAAAAGGGCCTCCTGCCAACGCCCCGACTCAGCCTCCGGAAGCAGCTCAACACTGGGATACTGGAAGTCACCCGGAATGCCTGGGACATTGCTACCAAAGCCCACTGGTAGAGCATCTTCCTCGTCTGGAGGCACTTGCGCAGAAGCATAGAGCACCATTTTCCCCAGCGTCCAGCTAACTTCGGTAGAGTCGATTTTGTGGACAGGCTGGAAGGGATCCAGGAAACCTTTCTCCTTGCCATGCTGGAGAACCTCTTTAGTTCCATTATGTCTTGAGCCCGCTGTATCTTCGAGCCCAACGCGTGGTATCCCAATGCCGCTGTGCAGCACATTGATGATCCAAGAAGCCTTGAAGCAGACCTCATATGCCATTTGCCGATCGACCTTCTTCCCCCACCGGTGCTCTGCGATGCCAACATCGAGGGAATCCCAGTCCTGCGAACAGAACTCTTGTACTCTTTGTTGGTACGTATTGAAATCGTACGCCTTATCCTTATAGCCCATCTCGAAGATCTCATGCGTCGTGTGCCAATATTCACTGATACCAACAAAGTGGTTCACGTCGAAGTCAATAGCTGGGACGTGTATACCGTGGAGCAAGCAAGGTTCATCCGGGCATGGCGCATCTTTGTCCAGCAAAGGGTATGTCTGTCGAAGACACTCATCGAATTTTCCCGTGCCTAGAAGATGGACGTCCGCGACAGAATCGGCAGAAAGCAATTGCCCATCAAGAGAGGTTCGCAGGCCAGCAGGAAGGCATGGATCTGGTAATTCCCTGCTTTCCTCCCCGCTTGCTTCTCGGAGGTGCTTGATGTACCGATTGCGAGCCTCGTGGACCCCATATTCTAGCCAGGAAGTGACAAACACTTTGTGCTCCTGAGGAGAACCATCCACGTTCCGCATTCTCAGCAACTTCAAGTCGTTGGCATGTTTCTCAGCCTCGGTGGCGTTGGGAGCAAAAGCAATCTGTGCTGAGGCACCACCCATATCCAAAAAGCCATAGGTGCTGTGTCCCTTGCCATGATCGTGCTTATCCGGGGCATCGAAGCTGCCCAAAAGGTAGTTTGTGGCGATCCAGCCATACAATCCTTCCGTTTCCCCCGAAATTACTTGGATGTGAAGATCGCAGTCGGGCAGCAAGAAGTCGGAATGCGAACGGGTGTAGGAACAAATTCGATCGAGCAGGAGCTGTCGTTCGACATTACCTAGTAACCGCATGCCAGCTGTGGCCAGAAGAAATATCGGTGTCTCCTTCACGGCATCCGCCGGCACAACCGCAAGCGCATGCTGCAGCAGCGATTCCAGGTGCTCCGGACCGACCTGGTCTATCTTGGTCGCAAAAGACGACACACCTAAACGGTGGATATCAGCAAGAGTGATGTCTCTCTTGTGTTGACGGTTCCAGTATCACCCACCAGGATGGATCTTCTTCGTCCATTCCTCCTTTGTCTTGATTTCCGGTAGCGACTTCAATCGCTCCGGATCCGCCTCCTTGCGCGCCTTATTATTATCTAACCATCGATAAACATGTACTCGAGTCCCCTGCACATGGTAATTAGAAGCCGTCGACTGCAAAGACAATCTCCAGAGTATACTCACAGACGAGCCCGCGTCCAGGATAACTCCATATCGCCCTGTAGCGCCATCTCATCAGCACTTGACTCGTGGCTCGGAATAAGACTGCTGCGAGTTACTTACATTTGCCCATTTGGAACGGAATCCGTTATGAGAGCATGGCCCGATAGAACGACAGGGGATCAGCGAATGTATGGCGAGGCGTCGCAACTGATGACGGCCAGCCTGGTGAGATTGTGTGTCTGTCTGGTAGAGGATTCAAACGCAGTCAAGCAGCACCACGGCAGAACGACCGAAACGAATGGCGGGGATCAATAATAAAGCGATGGACGAGCGAGAGACCGGAAAGACGCAGATATGATAAGAGACAAACGTTCATCGGGGGGACGCGACAGCTCGGAGGGAAAAGGTTACAACGGGCGGCGATCCTTGGCGGGAGGCTTTCCGCACCAGGAAGGACGCAGGCGGATCATCGTCCTTGATCGGCTTCACTTCACGTGGCGAATCTTCGAGCACTGCCGCAGTCCGATGTTTTCGTCCAGACTATAATAATTATAATAATTAATTATAATTATTCGTCCCAGCCTCTTGCAACGAAAAGGGCAGTCAGCAGATGATGACGACGCTTCTGTCGCCGGAACGGTCGCATTTGATGGCCACGGTTTCTCGAACTCTATGGATGCCATCGATTATTCTCCCTGTCGCAGAAACATGCAAGGGCCACGTCCAGAGAATGTCAACGATGAAGTGACACTTGAGAACCCTGGCGACGCAGTACTCCGTACCATACATAATCATTGTTGCAGATCGACTTCAATCCTGGATCGTCATACCATCCGTCCATCCTCCTCCGCATGGGAAATTGCCCTAACTGCCATTCTGAGTTTCTGGAAACACTATTTGCTATGGTATTGGATTCTACCATAATTAACTAACACTTAGCTTATCTGACTCGACGGAACTACGCATCCAGGTCTTGATGCCATTGTGAGAGGCGATGCGGGGTGTCCCCCATGACGTGGGCACCCCCCGGTGTATTAAGGCACGGCGTTTCAGGTAATAGACAGTCTAAAGGAGTATGGGGACTCCTAGATTATTGATCTGAAGCCCTTCCCTGCAGTTCCGGCGATCATATGAGGCCACGAGTCTGTCATGCTGGCCAGTCCCGACTGGGCCAAGAGAAAATCACTGCTCTATTTATAAATTGACCGACTCTAAGCGACAAAAATAAACATCCATACACAGTAATCGCATTACTTCCCGCTCTCTTCAGCACTGGAAGCGGGTTGCTTCTCAGGAGCAGGTGAAACCGGCTCTGCCTTGGCTGGTAAAGACAAAAAACCGGGGGTAGTTTCAAACATAGTCCAGTCGCCAATCTGCTCATCAATGAATTGAGCTCGGTCGAGGCCAATCATCTCCTGCTCCTCATTGACGCGGAGGTTCATGCCGGGAATGTACTTCAGGATGTACAGAAGGATACAGGTAACGACAAAAGAATATGCCGAGATAGCAGTGACCTCGGCGAGCTGCTTTCCCACCTGCACGCCGTTGCCATTAATGCCGCCGGTTTCCATCGTGCTCCCATCCAGAGCGGACATAGACTCGGAAGCGAAGATACCCGTGAGAAAAGCTCCAACCATACCACCGATGCCATGGAGCTTGAAGACTTCCATGCCCTCATCAATGTGTAGCCAGTCATTGACATTCTGCAGGGATGAGCAGACGATAGCAGTGATGAAACCGATGCAGGCTGCCAGCCACAGGGAGACGAACCCAGCAGCCGGTGTGATTCCAACAAGGCCGGCAATGGCACCCTCGCACGCGCCTACTACCGAGAATTTGCCTTTGTGCTTGATGAAGTCCACCAGCACCCATCCCAAGACACCGGTACATGCCGCAGTGTTGGTGTTGAATACAGCCAACATGGCTCGCATGGACGCGTTCAACGCAGAACCACCCTGACTCCCTGTTAGAACGGCACCACAAAAAGAAGGACTCGGATACATACGTTGAACCCAAACCAGCCGAACCAGATAAATGCGGTTCCAATGAAGACCAAAGTGGTATTGTGAGGCTTGCCATGAGAGGCTTCCCCATGGTGCAGACGCTTTCCAAGGACCCAGGCATAGGCGAGAGCAGACCACCCAGAAGCGATGTGGACGGGGCCGCCTCCGGCAAAATCAAGAGCTGGCAGATTATATAGCCATCCGTTGCTATTCCATGTCCAGCAGGCGATAGGGCAATAGACGATGGTGGCCCAGAAGAAGCTGAAAACCAGAGAAGGGAGGATATTTCCTCTCTCAAACGCTCCACCAACCACGATTATAACCTGGAGAGATCAGTCTATGATCTTTGGGGGTAAGCTAGGGGTCGGCTCACCGTGCAGGCACAGAAGAGAAGCTGGTACAGACAGAAGACAATCTCCGGCAGTACAGCAGATCCCGGGGATGGTGCTACAAGGACGTTCATCAAACCGAAGTTCTTGAGATCCCCAATGAACGGACCAGCCGTCCGGGAATACGCCAAGGAATAACCCCAAAACATCCACTGAAAAGTCGTGCTACCAACACCTCAGTTCATGGTTCTTGTTCGGTAACCGGTCTGACGACTTACACTGCAAGGAGCATTATTGACTGGAACAACAATGCCAGGGCCGATTTCCGCCGGGCCAGACCGCTGTAGAGCAGTCCAATCCCGGGGATAATCAGCCAAACAACGAAGCCGCATAATATGATGTATACATAATTCCACTCAAATCCTTCATATTGAGCGTTGACGTTCACCTTCAGCGGATTACCCCCGCTGGGCTCAGACGCATTGTACACGGGCTATTCCAGTCAGACAACAATCATTAGTTAAAATCCTTGAACCAGAGAAGTGACAATTGCACATACAGCGTCCGCCATTGGTTTTACTGCCAACAAGCACCAACCTCCACTATTGCCGAGCACTGCTGACTTGAACAGGCAAAGGATGGCTACGTCTGCGAGCTAAAGTCCTCATTCAGTTTTTGACGGACACGCAATGGCCCGCGGGACCGCACCCTATATATTATTCTTGCTATCCGTTATCCTCTATCAGCCCCATAGTGGCGGATCGTACATCAGCCTTCATTAAGACACCATCCAGAGCGGGCGTCCGCTCCACTCGCCGCTTGCTCCTTCCGGCTGGCAAACGCGAAGAGCCCTTATCTCTCTGACGCCTGGCTCACACTCGTTTCCCATACGCTGAACCAAGGCCAAGGATCTTAGCAGAGAAGTGGGAGCGGACATTTACGGAGGGGAGAAATCAAATAAATAATTCATGTGACTCCGCTGGCGCATTTCCTTTATCAATATCATATCACAACAAGCTGCGCCGCAGTCGTCACGACGAGGCCTAATGCTGGAAGTTCCTGCGCGTCCGGATTAAGCAACCATATCTGGTTTAGACTCATCTCGCCTACTGACACTTTATCAGAAGGACGATCGGGATGTATTGGCTTAATAAGGGGCCTTGATTGGCGGTAGATAACAAACTCTTGGCATCATTTCGTATGTCAGTCAACTTACACATCTAACTTACCTAACTGACCAGCGGGATAGTTAACAATAATATTAGAATTACACCCCAGTACATGTATGCATACATACATACTAAACTTCACTTCTTTCACTTGTAAGCGTGATTGACAGAATCTACGGGTTAGATCCTTTCCGTCTCTGATCTCGGTCGGGAAGTGTTTCATCTGAATAATGGTAACTAGTATGCACATGGAGACCTCCTGGACTTCCTTGCTTTATCGGCAAGCAACTACAAGAACAGCACGAAGGCACAGAGAAATTTCCGCATCAAAGCCTTGATGTTGAAACAGTACCTGCAGAAAGGGCGTCGGTTGAATCTGCCGCTAATCCACCTCGAAGAGCAGATATCCTCAAACCCACCATAATGTAAATGCCGATGTGAGGTCGATTCTACGAGATTACTTTTTGAAAGTCTGTGCAAATGCTTTTTGCAGAGGTCGACAGTGTATTCAAAGACCGGTCTTTCGTATCCTACCATAATAATCATACCGGAGATGCAACGTGATAAACGCTGTAATATGATGAAAGGAGATTCGCATTGTCTCCTTGTCTCAAGGTATATATTTAGTCTTGGAAAACTGGAATAAACCATAAACATAAAAACAAGACGAATCCGCCTTGTCTCCACGTATAACAATGGGTATTCGCCGATGAAAAGAATATCGATAGGGTTCATGGTGTGTCACGTATATATGTATATGGATATGGATGATTCAACTGTACAGGGATCGTATCGTAGACAATAACACACGTAGGTGTCAGGAAGCTCGAATCTAAAGTTTCGATACAGTCTCAATAGCCTTTCTACGGACTTTCGGCGATGAGACGCCCACGTCAGCAGTCGCGTCAATCGGCTGGGGCACAGAGGCGGTTTGGTATAGTCGACTACCGACGGTTTCAGACATGTTGAGGACGCGTGATGACACGGTAGCGCCATCTCGACGATTTTTGCTTTTGGGTCGTGTCAGCAATTGCTTTTCTGTCTCAAAGGGCCATGGAAAGTTGGAAGAGAACCGGACGCAGTTTATAAATAAAACTTACCCTTCTCTCCTCGATTGCGCAATAAGCTCCGTGAAGTCCCAAAGACGCCCACGGGCAAGCAGCTTGCCGGTGTTTGGATCTCGCTCAGGCGTCCACTCGGGTGCCAATTTCATAGTGACCTGTGAGCGGAGCTCCTTGTTCTTAGCAACTAGAATAATTCCCTCTTCTTCGAACCGTTGATAGGAATTCTTCAGGGTCTCCTTGTTGACTGCTTCGAAATAGGAGAGGTCGCCTTGATGGTACAGAGTCTTGCCTAACTGCAAATGAACGCGCATCAGACACAGGCACCTTGAAATGATCGCTACTGGATGGGGATTACCAATTGAGCGCTGTCTTGCACTTTCTTCATATCAAGCCACACGTCCGTCGGCTTGTCCAAAGGTGGAGTAAGACCCATCAATGACACTGCGCCTAGCCATGCCGCTTCGATGAAGGGCCAAATCAAGAAGCAATAGAAATCGTAATTTTCTCTTCCGCATTGACGTTCTGCGTCGCTGAGTTCGATGAAAGTTGGCGCGCCGGAAGCGTCCCGTGTGACCTTGATCACATCGTCCTTTTCTAGACCGCGAAGCGTATTCTCCAAGTTCGTCGTCAGACCATCGGGAGGGAAGATGAACTCGCCGCGGAAAAGCTGGGGATTGTCAATTCAATGAACTGGTAACGTAAGAAATGGGAACGTACCTGAGACAGGAAAGAAGCCTGTTTTCGCAGAGCATCGTATGTGATGCGCTGGTTCAGCGGACCTCCGCCCTGCTTAACCCTTGTATACATTGCTGCCGACACCAAGGCTTCCGTGATAAAGAGGTGGATCGTCATATTGCGGTAGAAAGAGAGCTGGAATCGATCCACGGCATAATACGTTGGCTCGGCAAGCCCGCTCACCTGGCCAACTAGCTTCGGTCCCATGACTTCGAGTGCGCGATCGACGACTTGCTCTGTAGGTGCTCTGTAAAAATGCGCTACTCTTCCACCTTTTGCTCGAACTCGTTCGCTAAGCCATTCCAGTCGCCGGATAAGCTCAGCTTTTCCGACACCACGACCGCGAAGAGTTAGGAGAACAGTTCCAACAAGAGCAGTCGGCATGATGACGGAGACATCGTTGATCTCAGAGAGAACTCTGTAACCTAGTGTCCGGAGTATCCTGCCTCTTTCGTCGGGAGTCAAGCGTGCACTGAGGTTCTCTGAAGGGGAGAGAGATAGTCGTGTGATCTGTTGCCCGAGGAACTCTTTCAAGCTCCACGGTTCGTGGAATCGGACATCCACGCGACCAAGCTTAAGAGAAAGAACAGACGACGAAGAAATCAAATCGGCAAGACTCTCTTTTCGCTTTGGTTGACCAAGTAGCTCGCTGATATAAGACCTGAGACATAATTAGTGATACTGGCAGAGAGATAGATAAAGATGATGGTGGCATACTCGGTCTCGACAACCTTGTCGTACTGCGTACTGACGGGACATATAATGGTATCTGCAACTCGCCCGGACAGAACGCTGTCAACAATGAAGCTGAGAATTCCAAACTTCGGAGGCAGGAGCTTCCCAGTCCTCGATCTTCCTCCTTCAATGAAACATTCAAAATTAAACCCCTGCTGCAGGAGAACGTCTATATATGTCTGTACAACTGTATGATACAGCGGATCATTTCCAAAACTTCGTCGAATCCACATTGCACCTAGGCCCTGTCAATAAACCATGTGAAAGAGTGGATATAGGATATCTCATACCTGCATGCTGCAGGAAAGGTCCTAGTAAAGGAATATTGAGATTATCTCCCGCAACGACCACGGGAAGGCCGATACCAAGACGATAGGAGATAAGTTGTAGTGAGACGTAGTCCACATGGGACTTGTGGCAGGGAAGGAATACAATAGACTGCTTTTTCTTGGCGGCCTCCGCAGCGACACTTCTGAGCCTGAGGACTTCCTCACTAGAGACATGAATCCCTACGCATGAGAGTTACTAATCTAGCGCCTGAGTCGGCTCGTCTCAGAGGCTAGCTTACCTTGGTGATATGCGCGAGTAAGCAACTGCGTGCAGAGATAGTACGCCGATCTAATAAACCTCTTGCTCTCCATCTTGCAAATCATATTGTCCAGCATCGTGTCGACCACTTCATTCAGATTGCCTTCGATCTCATTCTTTCTTTTCAGTTTAGCCTTTTCAAAGGTTTCTATCTTGGCGTTGAGAAGACCTTCTCGAGCTTCCACTTCCAAACGCGCCTCAGCCAGCTCCTTTATTTTGTTCCGTAGCAGCGGGTTCGCCAGAATGAGGCTCTTCATCCTGTCGGTAAACCCGGAATAGAAAATAGGTTGACCGATCACATCGTCGTAGGCGCGCCATCCCGAACCCGACACGAACAGACTCACTTCGCGCAAAAAGTCGAAGGGGTTCTCGCGGAATCGTCCCATCCGGTGGACAAGGTTGCGCTCCGTGATGCCATGATCCTGAGGTTCTGGGCCACCCGTGAAGCCGGAGGGGTGGAGAATCACTTGGTCTCCGACGATCTCTAGATCTGGGGCTGAATGAGCAGCATCGGCTGCCGCCTTGGTGGATGGCATTTCGATGCAGCAGTGCTCTCTAGCAATGCGGAGTTCGGAGACGAGGGGGTAAATGTATGTACAGTACAATGATGGTCAACTTATGCCATTGACGCTAGAAATGCGCAGAGACCAAAAGCATCGCGGGAACGTACTCCTCACAGGACGTCTTCGAAAGGAGTTCAAGACAGGAAAGAAAAGACCGACAATTAATAATTGCCAACAGACGTCGATCATCTTCAGAGTCCCCGGATTCTTCCCCAGACGCCTCGGATGGCCATCACGTGTCGGCAGTTGTGACGGAGCGCTAGTCCAGATGGGGAATGCGCAAGAAGGATGAGCTCAACGCAGCAGACATCATCACGGTGGATACGGAGAACAACTAGATCTCTTCTCGAGTCCCCAATTGCACAAAATGATGGTGCCTGTGTGCTTGTCCATCATCTTCGCTGGGGGTCCTTTCACTCGTCTGCACTCACAACGGACAAGTCCTTAGGTGGACGTTTCACCATTCCCTGTCAGTTACTGATACCGAGAAAAAAAAATGATGTTTCAGTGGCTGAGAGGCTTCTCTGGTAAGACATCAAATTTGTCTCAAGACTTCGTTTCCAGGATTTCTAACTGAATTGGCAGCGGTCGCTTCTTTCCCTGCAAGGATGACAGCCGGGTCGCAGATTCGCCAAATGCATTCCTTCCAGGTATTCCGTGATGTCCCTCCTCTCCGCCAATTCCGACGACAGAAATTGCTCGAGAACAGGACCGTTGGCCTCGTTCCCACCATGGGCGCTCTTCACGACGGACATATCTCTCTGATTCGTCAAGCAGCGCAAGACAACACCGATGTGGTTGTCAGCATATACGTGAACCCAACGCAATTTGGTGTCAACGAGGACCTGTCGAGCTATCCGCGAACGTGGGATTCGGATGTACAGAAACTGGAGGAGCTGAACAAGGAGCTTGCTGCCGCTGGGGGCGCAGCGTCAGGCCGTATCACGGCGGTCCTGGCTCCAACGTCCAAGGTCATGTACCCCACCTTGCCGCCTAGCTCAGAACCGGACGGCCATGGCTCCTTTGTTACGATCACCCCTTTGGCGACGAAGCTCGAAGGAGCATCCCGCCCGGTCTTCTTCAGAGGCGTCGCTACAGTTTGTACTAAACTCTTCAACATTGTCACCCCCGACCGCGTGTACTTCGGACAAAAAGACATTCAACAATGCGTCATCATCAAGCGCATGGTGAAGGACTTCCATATTGGCACAGAAGTCAAGATCCAACCGACAGTACGCGAGTCGGATGGCTTGGCCATGAGTTCCAGAAACGTCTACTTGGGAGCGCGCAGACGTGCTGTTGGGCTGGTCCTTTACAGAGCATTGAAAGCCGCCGAAGAGGCGTTCAAATCCGGCAAGGTCACTCGCAGTGAGATACTGGGTGCTGCCAACCGTGTGACGCAAGACGTATTAGCTGAGCAGCAGGCTCTGCCGCCGTCTGAACGGGCATTGTATGAAGTTGACTATATATCTCTAGCGGACCCCGAGTCTCTAGACGAGCTCGATGTGGTTGATCCGTCTGACGGTGCCATCCTGAGTGGCGCCGTCAAAATGCTTCCCATCGAGGCCCCGAAGTCCGGAGAGGACTGCGGATTGGGTTCGGGTGCTGTTCCCGTGAGGCTGATTGATAACCTCATCTTGAGCCTTTCGACTTGATTTTGATGTGTACTTCCAGATACCCACCGCGCATCTCTATTTTGCATTATCCTCATGATTCGAGGCGGTATACACTCAAAAAGGGATTTTCTGTACCAATAGATCGTGCGTCATTGACTAGGTGTCACAGCGCAAATAAAAGCGGTTAACAACGTTATCACAACATGGTAGATTCGAGAAATAATAGAGAGACATAGTACTGCCCAGATTGGAAACTAGTAAATTTTAGGGCAGAAGCTTAGGGTTCGGAGATAATCGCGGCCCGTGAAATTTTCCATCTGCGACCAAAGCAATCCCCACTCCATGACGAGAGAGCAAGAAACATCCCATCTGTTCTCCCCCATAAAAGTCCGAAATCATGGCGGACGATGGTATGCTTCTGAACTTCTCCATCGGAGAAGATATCATCAAGCCAGAACCCAAATTCAAGGGCGGAACATGGAGGGATCGATTATCCGCGAAGAAGATTGCGCTACAGCGGTCGAAATTTCCGAAAGGCGAAAACAATAAAAGACCAGGACAGAGCGATAACGCGAATCGGATTCCACTGCCTCTTTCGCGACCCGTCAAGAGACAGCGGACAGATGGTGATTTCAAACCTGCATCTAGCAGCGCTGCCGTTGCTGCTGGTGATGGCGGTCGTAAATCGCAGTCTCATCGGCAGCAGCAGTCTGGACCTCGACAGGTGATCTCTTCACTTTTCTCGTTCAATCCGACCCCGAAGACGGAAGATGAGAAACCAGCGACGGAGGATACAGCGGCGGAGCCGACGAAACCGACTAATGCGCCGCTGATTGATGGTCTCGATACATTCACAAATCTCGGATTGTCGCCTACGCTGGCGGCACATCTCCTGACGAAACTGGAGCTGAAGGCTCCCACCGCTATCCAAAAGAGCTCAATGACACATCTACTGAAGGAGGAATGCGATGCGTTCATCCAGGCTCAGACCGGCTCCGGTAAGACGCTGGCGTACTTGTTGCCGCTGGTCCAGAGAGTTATGGCACTTTCCGATCCGAAGAACGACAATGGGTCTAAACCGAAGAATGGGGATGCTGCTGTGCATCGTGATTCGGGACTATTCGCTATCATTCTAGCGCCGACGAGAGAGCTGTGCAAACAGATCTCAGTGGTGTTAGAGGGTCTACTTCGTTGCGCGCACTGGATCGTCGCGGGCACAGTCATCGGTGGTGAGAAGAAGAAGTCAGAGAAAGCAAGGTTGCGGAAGGGTTTGAATATCCTGGTAGCTACGCCCGGTCGGTTGGCGGATCATCTGGAGAATACACAAGTGCTCGATGTGAGCAACGTCAGGTGGCTCGTGCTGGACGAGGGTGACCGACTGATGGATCTGGGATTCGAGCAGGAGATTCAGGGAATTGTAAAGAAGCTCGATGAGAGACAGAGACCTAGTCGAATCCCAGGACTACCTGCAAAGAGAACCACTATCCTGTGTTCCGCTACTCTGAAGATGAACGTCCAAAGGCTGGGTGAAATCAGTTTGAAGGACGCCGTGCATATCCAAGCAGACCCAGCGGATGAAGATGATGAGACCAGAAAATCCAAGGAAGATTCCGAGTTCATGGTTCCGGCACAGCTGAAACAGTCCTACGTTGTCGCTGCTGCTAAGCTACGGCTGGTTACTCTCACGGCTCTCATGAAGCGCACGTTTGCACGCAAAGGTTCGGTGATGAAAGCCATCATCTTCGTGTCTTGTGCAGACTCTGTGGAGTTCCATTTCGAAGTATTTACGAGAAAGGAGAAGGAAGAAATCAAGGAAGGGAATGACCATGAGGCGGACGAAGAGAAGGATAAAGAGGATGAGCACAGCGACAGTGACGATGACGATGACGAGGAGGAGGAAGAAGGAGAAGGTAAAACGGACAAAAAGGGAAACAAAAAAGAATCCAAGCAGAAGTCAGACCCAAAATCTTCGCCTCATGGCACGATAGCCCCAGCAACCGCCTTCTCGAATCCTTCCAACCCCGTCACAATCTACAAACTCCACGGCTCTTTGCCTCAACATGTCCGGACGTCTACTCTCTCAGCCTTTTCCCGCAACCGTGAACCTTCTGTTATGATTTGTACAGATGTGGCATCTCGTGGTCTGGATCTGCCTAATGTCGACTTAGTCGTCGAGTATGATCCAGCCTTCAGTGCAGACGACCATCTGCACCGTATCGGACGTACCGCACGTCTGGGTCGCGACGGTCGTGCTATGATCTTCCTTCTTCCGGGGAACGAAGAGAATTATGTTGAGGTCATCAAACGAGGCTATCGCGATGGGGGAAAGGCGTCGGTGAGTCGCACAGATGCCAATGAGGTGCTCAAGCGCGGTTTTGGCGGCAATTCGAACATTGCCAGTAAGGACTGGGAGGAGAAAGCGACGGAGTGGCAGCTCGAGGTTGAACGCTGGGCGCTGGAGAATACCAAGTATCTCGAGATGGCACGCCGGGCTTACCAGTCACACATCCGCGCATATGCCACACATGTTGCCAGTGAGCGACACATGTTCAATATCAAGGAGCTGCACCTCGGCCATCTCGCGAAGAGTTTCGCGCTCCGTGATCGTCCGGGAAAGATCAACGTCCCTGGTCTGAGACCAGGAAAGGAGGAAACCAAGAAGGGATACAAAGCAGAGAGGAAAACAGGAGCAGTGGCCGGGCAGAAGAGGAAGAATACTTCTGCCAACCGCGTCGATGATGATGATACTCCTGGCGCAGCTGATGCAGCCGAAGCGGCCCGCAAGATGAGGGCTAAGATGAGGGAGCACATGGGAGGCGCCAGTGAGTTCAATCTTGCATAGTTTTCTTCTCCTTTGTTCTCTTTCCTTTATTCTCTTAGATCATGTCAGTAAATGTGTTATTTTGGTACGTCATGAGACGATCATTTCTCAATAGATATCCCATAATGAGATTTTTCCATCCTTTGAACCTGCTGCCAGCCAGTGTGTCAGCTGTGCTTTTTGTAATCTCTGCGTCCGAATCGCCGACAACGAGCGGTTGCCTTGTTCTTGAATAACGTCGTAGTGGCCTGAAGTGGGCTCTCCAGCCGCGTTGTCTATAGCCTCTGCTTGCGAGCTGAAGCTCGACGCATCAGAATAGATATTTGCCCATGCAACCACGAAACAGCCTTCTTTATGCCACTTCAGACACGCCATCTCCTTCATACTCTTGCAAGTATATACCCGCACTCGTGCATCCCAGCCTGCTGTCGCGAATAGTTTCCCATCGGACCGGATCTTCAGGCCCTGTTTGCCAGCGTGGCGATCATTTACCACCTTGATAGGGGCCATATCGTTCCCGGTCAGATGCGTTGGTACTGCTGTCGGGATCGGATGCTTTACGACGAAGGGATCCGCACCGGAGGTGACAAAGAAGTCTCTGGCGGGGGACACGTCGAGGGAGAGGATAGGCTGTGAGTGTGCGCGGCTTGCGTAAATCTTCTGCCATTTCCATGGAGTGGAGGGGACATGACCATCGTAGCCACCGGGCTCTGCAGGATCTCGACGGACATGGACCATCGCTTGGCCATCTTCGTAGGCGGATATCACATAGAGATCTTGATTTAGCGCAAAGTAAAGATTGACCGCCATGACCATTCCGGTTTCCTTTGTGTTGTCCCCAGTAATCGTGGAGACACGGTGCTCCGACGGGAGGTGGAAGACGTCAATGTTCCCGGAGTTAAGGGCATTGGGAACCGCGATCAACAATGGTCCTTGGGGGGTACGTTGTGGGGGAATCTCCTTGCTGTTCTCCTGGTAACTGGCCGTCTCGGCTGAACTGGAGATTATTGCCTGTTTGTCCTTGGGGTATTTTGGCAACGGGCAGAGGGCAAAAGCGCAGAAGTTCAGCGCGTTGACAGCCAACGAATGAAGAAGCCATGGCTTTGGCCCAGTTCCCGGTTGGGATCCTTGCTTGAGATCTACGGGAAGAGCCTTGTCAAGTAGCTTCTCATCTTCGGCAGTCGTCTTCCATACACGCAGTTTGTGATCGCGGCCATGTCTTGGAGGTTGATGTCAGTATATGTTAAAGGAAGAAGAGGGAACTGAGGAGAGGGAATCTGATCTACGAGATTTGTACGAATGGGGCACAATCACATACGTGAATATCTCCATCTCTCCGCTTTCTTCATAGTAGAATCCCTTGGCTTCTAGGATCGCGCCCTCATGCGCTTTCCAAACTCCAATGGGTCTTTTGGTCACCAAACTCCAAATGATCACCCAACCATCTGCGTCCCCGGAGAGTAGGTGCGCATTATGAGCGAAGAAGTTCAGCGCGTGGATTGGCGCCGCATGTCCACGGAGCACATAGGCCGGGGAGGCTGGAGGTAACAGTCCTTTTTGCTGAGATGGATGGGAGGACATAGTTCCCGATAGTGAGTCGGCAGCTTTACCCGACCCAGGAGTAATAGCTATGCTGATGGCAGAATTCGGTTGTGACAGTGTCTTCTCACAGCCCTACCCTTCGACAGCAAGCCAAGACGGAAGGGAGTTGACCTGCCTCGAGGAGCAATAATATCTATAGCTGCCGTTCTAGAGGAAGACTCTTCCAAGAGAAAAGCAGCTGGACGATCCGGGTGGATAGTTAGAGCATCTGCATACTTATCGAGCTGTGGTATTTCTTTGAGTTGATGTCTCCTGGATGCCAATACAAGAGCATTTAGGAGCAGGTAGTAATTGGCCGATGCTCACAATTTGAACTCTTTGTCACTTGAGCAGTTGTTGCCCCCAGTCGTCCGCTCAGGGGCAGCGTTTCTTGATCAACAGTGAGTTTGGATGACACTAAGATTTCCAAAAGAATCTTGAAAGAGTTGCGGGAAGTGCAAGCGGGACCCACGAGATCGCTTGGCGCTGGACTTCCTCTTAGTACAGTAAGAGTAATCTCTGCCTCGCCCACTGGCATCCCAATAATAGCCTTCTATGTATTAACTTGATTAGCTTTTCTGATAGGCGGGTAATGATATATTAACGCACCTGGTACTGGGGTGCTGCGTCTTTTTGACTCGTCCGTCATTACCATCCGCGTTTTATGCAGTACATACAAAGACAGTAAGTGATCTACAGTACGTTGCCCTACTTGCAAAGGTACTGTACATACTACATACTGATAATATACAAGGACAATAGTATAGCCATTGGACGGGCCCTTGAATATATGTGGTGGCTGTTAGACTGTCTTAATTCTCTGGCAGAGAAAGATGAAAGCAAAGAGTAAGTAGTCAACACCCAGTAGAAGTGGATATACTGTACGGTACCTTATGGAAACTACCACATGGCCCACTATTTCCCAGATAATATCCTCCGAAGCAGGCAGCAATTCTCGAGGTATCCTGACACCACATGTGAAGGCGTTGGAACCCCCATGATCCCGTGCGTCCTCAAGGCCCGTGGCTGGCAATCCATGGGAATAATGGGGCAAATGCCTACGCAGTACTTGATGAACGGGGCTCCGCGCAACAGGGAGATCCTTGAAATCCACTATCGGAACTATTTTCCTGACAAGATCCCGCAGAAAACACCAAGAACGTACCCCATAATGCCACTAACTGCCATGTTTCCACGGTCGACTGTGTCCGTCGAAAGGGCCACATTGAGTTGCGTGATCCTACTGTGAGGGAGATGGGAAACTGGACAGTCTCTGGCTCACAGCTATTAGTTACTAGCGTGGTGCGAGTTATGCTTCTGGTAATGCGACTAAATTAAAACTTCCCACGAACGATTCCCATGATTTTCATTGCTGGTGCCGACCTCATTAGAATACTTCTTACAGACCACTAATGCTGTCATCTTCCCACTAGCTCTAGCTGTTGTTCATTGATATCAGGAAGCGGGAAGACAAAGTTGACATCGGCCTCGAGTAAGCGATGATACTTCCCGCGAGCCAGGTAAAATAGGGTAAAAGGTAATAGTTAGCTCTCGGAATATGACTACACTTCTCATCATTCGCTCTCCAATCAGCAGAGGATATTCGAATAGTGGCAGTCGGCAGAATGTGGCACTGTCAGATTAACTCTATATATATTATTTCATCTCGAAGTCAAAATATTATAATTACCAATTACGCTCCTGGCCCCTAAACTCTTCAATTCATCTTCCGCTTTTCTCGAGATCTCTCAGCAAATACAGTCTAATAGATACTGCATAGTTGTGTTTTCCACTCAGTAGCCAACAAACAGGACGAGGGCTGCGCGAGCCACACGCATGGAAGAACAAAAGACATCCATGTATATGTGAACCTGCACGCGAATATTAGCATGGACCCAAGTCTCAGATATATTTCAGCAGGTCGAAATGAAGAAAAATCAAGAAAGCAGCCGGCTATCTCTCCGGCGAGCGATCATACACGACCTCAACGTCCTGGTGAAACCGTGCAATCCGTGGAAAAGAAAAGCCACACGGCCCAGGGATTTATCCCCGTCGGCACGGGATAATAATAATATTCGGAGACATGTCGCGTGCGGGCGCAAATCAGACTTGCAGGAAGAATCCTCAGACAAGCGATAGTTAGTTAGGTAGTTAGCTGTTGTTCAGATGCTGACCTTGATCCTGGGACCCAGTAAGTAAAAGCCCACTTACATACTTGGCGATACGGAACGCAACCCCGGCCATTAGTATCGATCGGCCAGCCGTGGGGAACACGTTTTCATCTGCGTTTTCTCTGATACTCAATTATCGGCACTGGATCCATAAACGAAATTTCCGACAGCGACTATTGATTTTGACTTTGGCCACAACGTTCGACTGGCGCTCTGCCCTCCGGATAGAACAATGGTTTCTGTGCCAATTGCTAGATTCTCTTTGCATCCCACTAACCGGCTGCTCCCGACAAGCTCTGGCCAGCGGACTTGCAGATCCCGAGAAAATGCGTTATTCCCTTCTGCGTAGATTGGCAACGGGACCTGTAGAGTCGGCATATTAGTTCAGAGACAGTATCATATCATGCATGATGTCCAGTGCGGACTCATCTGGCAGACGATGTCTAGAGCGCTACTTAGTGGATACCCTCAAGCGCCGTGGCTGGATAACCTGTTGCTGCAGACGGATCGCCCATGGGTTTGGGAACGATGGAGAATGACATCGGCGGGCTTGTCCTCTCTGCCCTGCATACTTTAGATGCGATGCAGCGGAACTTTAGCTGCTGATGATTGGTGTTTCTGCGGAATCCAGAGGATCTGTTTTCCAAAGAGCAACTCCCATACAAAGTCTCTCAACGATTCGCCCAAGATGGAAGAGGCAGGCAAACTCTCGCTTTTTAAAGGACGCTATAGTTCTTCTCTGTGTGCCACAATTCTGCTCTGGCTAGCACGGAGACGCAGCAAGAAGTCATGTTTATCCGATCGTAATGTGTTCCTACCAGGAAAATGCACCTCTCGCGGATCATGAACGATGATGGCCGGCGCCAGCAGCAGCGGCGTCATTCCAGCCAGAGTCTTCGATGCTCAGCACCTCCCCCTCAACGCAGTATGTCTGATTTGTTCCCCTTTATTTTGCTTGCTCTCGCATGGCCGTAAGTACAGAGTTGACCAACCCCTCCCGCAACAGCCATCCCGAGCTCGCTTTCTCCCAGCGCAGAGAGCGCATTACCCAAGGCCAGCAGCGGTCGTGCCGCTAGAGCCTGCGAACCTTGCAGACAGCGGAAAGCCAGATGCAGCGGGACGGAACCCATGTGCGCTCAATGCGAGGCATTGAAGCTCAAGTGTACGTATACAGGCGGGAAACGGGAGCGGGATAGAATGTGAGTCTCTAGTAACGAACAGTGATTGATTATATATCATTTACGTGCCCGCCCCCCAAACAAGACATAATTAAATAAATATAAGAGAAAACCGTTCCTGCTAGTACTAAAAATCTATCTAGCCATCTACAAAGCCTTCTGAATGCCGTCAAGGACTATGAAGATGTCCTCCGTGATATGCTTCCGCGAGTATCGTACGAGGATGCCCAGCGGATACGGTTCGCTCTTGCACAGGTGAGCTCATAACCTTATGACATGATCATTACTTGCAAATTCTCTTTTGACCATCATGATTTTCGGGACTTCCATTGACCATTGTATAGCATGCAGGCGTCGCGGAGGAAACACGAAATCCATTTAGCTAAGACGGGATTTCAACTCAGATTTACTATATTCGCGGGGAATTATGAGGGTAAAAAGAAAAGAGTGTTGATTTCGAAGCAAGCCGCATTTTCTTAAGCATGAATGCCATTTTTCAATACCGGTTACAGGGGCAAAAAGCCTCCCACATAATTTTGCGGTTGCGGTTGGTTTTGATCAGTTCTCATGTCTGGGGAGGGCAAAAAAAGGTACAAAAAGGCACAGGAATGGGTTAGATCTATCTTATAGACTACAAAATGATCGCATCAATTCTCAACTTTCACAATATCTTCGTTTACCTATAAAAGTATGTAGAAGCAATTGATCCGCGCGCGTATTTGAGATCAGGCTAGTCCAGTCGCGTAGAAACAGGGAATATATATACATCGCTTAGAAATAGACAAAAATGGCCGAATCAACAAATCTGACGTACCGATCGAGAGGTATAGTACTTAGGAAGCAGAATATGTGCAGCTGGATCAGAGAAGAACATGGAGAAACAATAGGATATAGTAAAAGAAACATAGTGGTATCATCGGTTATCCACGAAATGATGAAAAGCACTGTACCGGAACGCCGATGACACCATTGCCGCTGCTCAGTTGAAATTTTGCGCTAATAAGTATATTGATAATGGTCGAGATGGTTATGCGGTGCAACGTAGTGATTTTGATACGGGTGGTTCTCCATTGAGAAGTCCGCGGTAGCCATCAACGGATTGACAATACCGGAGGGAATCCTTGGCCGTGTCATAGGTGGCATGGCGGAATTTAGCAGAGAGCCAGCTGTCAATGAATTTCCACCAGGTGTATTGGAGCTTGGAATCCAGCCCCACTTCTCTTGGAGTTCTGACTTCAGAAATCCAACTCTCCAGCCGGTCTCCTTGATAATCTTATCAAGGATCTCTAGTACTTCTTCTTGAGCTTCTCTGCCCACGAGACATTCAGCTGCGATGGCAAGACAGCGAATGGAAACGCTCGCGACGCCCCTAATGAAATCAGCAAAGGGTTCAACGGCAGGTAATTACGAAGGGAGGCTTCTCACCTGTCCTTGACGTGGGCGACGATTCCGCAAATGTCGTGAGCATGGCTTTGCTGCATATTCCGCATTTCAGGGCTGAATTCAGACTCCGTCGGATGGACCTTGGCCAGGAGTGTGCATGCAGTATGGTAGAATAACCGGGCAACAACAGCGGAGCGTTTGATGAGCCTAAATAACATTAGTTTTTTGAGCAGGAAACACATGATGTGGACCGGCATACCAAACTTCTGGAAAAGAAGACTTTGAATTAGTTTGCCAAGGCTGAAGATAGCCAAGCGGCATCATTGACCGAGGCACATTCTTCGCCCACTCATCGCACCAACTTTTGTATGTGTTCCACTCTTGACATCGTTGACTGATCCTAATATCGTGGGCCACGCGGTCAGGTCCCTGAAACTGCGGGACTGACGAACGGAAATTTGCGATCTTGGCACAGATATAGACTATCCGATGAGTCCATAGTTCCTCGTCTCCGGTGATGCCACCCGGAACTAAACTCATGTTCATGTCGACACCCCAGGTATCCGGATCCCACGCCATCTTCCAGTTGAAGTGCAAGCAACTCAGTAGTTCCATTCCGACATTCAGCCAAAAACACGCACCCCCAATGCCCGGGGTTTTCGCATCCCAACGGCACTCCTTGATGAGAGCTCTAGCACCCGCGATATGATTCATGCGTTGCATTGCCTTCTCACACATAACTTCATAAACATTGAGAATAACTGCGGTCGTAGCACATAATACAGTGTCCCTGTCTGGGTCCTGTAAACAAGTAAGGAGCTGCCGTGAGACTATATTGTAGTAATGCAACGCCTTGTCCTCCCCATATGATGGGTTCACAAGGTAGAGGTGCCTTGCTCCACACGCCATGAAGGCATTCAACAGCATAGGCTCACCAAGGGCATGGAAAGGCAAGATATGGGAAAACTGATTACGTTAGCTAGTGAGTAACTGTGAGGGGTTATGGACATACGTGTTTGTTTACATCCATAGAATCCATCCACAGACCAACTTCTTCAACAAATACTTGCATCAGAAGGACTTCTTCCGCACTGTTCAGATATGTCCGCCCGCCTGAAGACTGCATCATTGACATTTTAGGCATATTGAAGGATGGATGTGGCATTGTATGGTCTGCGAAAGCAGGTTGTGGGGCAGAATATGAGCCGTCGTGAAATATATGCTCATTGATGTCTGTCTGATGTGGCTCTGAATATGTTGATAGAAGAGAAGGGGTGACTGGCAGACTCCTTCGAGCAAGCGTTGGAGCGCCCAGGATATCAAAATCGAAACTTGGCGAATCATCTTTCTCCATAAGAGGATCCTGTTTGAGAGGCGGATATCTTTCGAAGCCACCTTTGTACTCTGAAGCGATCTCCCTTGACTCATCCTGAAAGGCAAGCTGAGTTCCCGGTGGATGAGCAATGTTGAATGGAGGAGCAACTGTCTGAGTGTCTATGAAGTTCAGTCGAATGCCACGTTTACAGAGCCTGTCAGACTTCTGGCAGTTTTGACATCTGGGCAAGGCTTCATCACACTTCAAATGTCGCTCTCGACAAGTAAGACAGCCAGTGCGAACACGCCTTGGCTTTTGCGCTTCTTTTACTGTATCTCTCTGCGGTTTCGACGCATGATGCGGCGATTGGGAACTGGAGCTTCTCGGAGACGGCCTCTGGTCTGTATTTAGGGCTCGCGTCTGTGACTGGGTATCGAAATCTCCCCCAGATTTGCGGGAGCCGGAAACGTCGTGGCTCGTCGATGCTAAGGAAGCCGCCTCAGCAGCGGCAGCAGTAGGAGCTGCGATATCCAAGGGAATATCGAAATCTGCTAAATGGCTGCTGACGGCGGAAGCCATGGCCATTAGTTATAGCCACCAGATAATATCACGTAGACTTTCCACCAGTCTCAAAGCGCCTTTCGCGCCAGAGATCAACCTCCGCCCAGACCCATATAATTCAGCGCTTATAGGAATGTCGAACCTCCGAGCGATATCACACGTATATCAGGTGCACTGAGCGTGGCCGGCACGCGTGCGACTATGGAATATAGAATATTGAATCTTTCCGCAGAACGTAGCATGAACTCTGGGTGTGACAGAGCTTCGGGGCAGGATGCAGAATAGACAGCTGTGGGCCGCTGCTTTGCACAGACTATGGTCGAGGATTCTCCGGTGCAAAACAGTGACTTTCTTCCCTCCAATGGAGTGCTCGAGATGAAGGCTGGCGGAAGATGCTTATCTGCTTTCGTATGGATCGGTGTCAGCTATGTAAAAAGAATTTCAATTCCTGGATTGTGCAGAAACGAGACAAGTGCAACGTACCACATCATCCGCGTTGGATGTAGACTGATGCGATAGAATGAGACTGGGATTTGCAGGAGAACGGCCAAGCACCATGGGAAAAAGCGATTCGATGGACGTGATGATAACCTTCACGTCTGATCTCCAGAGCACAGCGGGGATATCTCAATTCGATTGCGGACTCGGGGAAAGCACAGACTGGGGCAGCTAGTGGTTAAGTGAAATTGACAACAGGACGTTGAGCGAAACTCCGCATCATCCTCGTAACGGCGAATCTGCACAGAGACCATATCAATCCAGGTGGTTCGCCTCGAACGATCCGTCTGTCACAACTCGAGTGGGCACATCTCGCAGATCTGGTGCGCCGGGGCGGCTAGGCCGTAGTGGAGGCAGCACGCGGCGGGATCGGCGGGCATTCTCGGGGAAAACGGTATATACGGAGTAGGTTCAAACTTCAGGGCCATCAAATCTTAAACTCTTTTCGACGCATCGCATAACTGGCGTGGAACGAGCGTGCGCCGGCTGATTGATAAAGACGGCTGTAGAAAACACCTTTGGCCGTGTCCGTGATGCTGTCGGCTGCAGGGAGCTCAGCGCGGATCTTCGTCTGGCCAGCGGGCAGTGCCAAGTCTGGGGACTCGACACCAATGCCCTCGTGGAACCTGAAACAAATGATGGTGTATTCAAGGATTTCATCCCCCGGCAGTCTCAGATATCAGCATTCGCGCCTGCAATAGGAGATGGTGACGAGTTTGTGTGGCGCCGCTAGGAGAGAGACGAACTTTTGGGTAGTGGAATGGAGTTTTCGACTGGGAAGCAGAAGCAAGAAGAGGCTACTCTTGCCGTTGCACATCACAGCAGATGTACAGTAGATATATCGGATCATCAGTCTGCAACTGAATATTCCAGTATGTAAGACTGCTACGATAAATCACCGGTGTCATCAGCTAAGTGCCTTCTGTTCCTGCATAGCCTCCCATGAATATCCAACTCTATAATTGCTCCTTGTTGTTATGAGAAGTGGAGTGTTTTTGGTGTTCAGTGAATCAGTCCAGTTTTAGGATTCCAAATTCTCCACTGCCACACTCTCAGAAGCTAGTAAGTTACAGTACGGGGTATATCTTCCCATATGGGTCTCAATGGGGAAGGTCAATAACCCTCCGACAGGGTGTAGTCACGCCTCCTCTGATAGTATTCAGGCATCTCAAGAGTCTATCGCTCGCGAAAGTGCCAAAGCTATCTGCCTAGTCCGCCCACCCAGGAATGAATCGAATAAATGGACGCCGTGCCCGAAACAAGAGACCAGCGAATTAGGAATTCTATATCTTCTAACTATTCGCCTCTCTGGCCAGTGCGGTATTCCGCTGGGATGCCCCTGATCGCAACGGGTAGATATGAAACAGTATCGCGGTGCGACACGGACACTTTTGTCGATCACCACGGAAAACGAAACCTCCAGGCAGTCCTCTCATGTTAGGTATATCCTCGTCAAAATCCCATCATAGAATAACTCATGGCATTCATCATCGCATTGTATTGCATTTCATATCAAAAACAACCACCAAGGTTCGGTTCATGTACGTAAGTGAAGCCTCGAACTGTCTGCTCCCCTCCATGGTCGCATGTATCCATCAAGGCCTTGAGAACGCGGTAACAAGTCTTGAAATATAATCTCTGTTCGAATCTCGCATCATTTGCGATCTCAAAAGTGATTCGACTCCCCTGTTTGACATTGTAGCAGACGCGTCTCACAGAGGGAGAGAAATTTGACGTTGCTGGACCATATGAGCCACCAAGAGCGTAGCATGCTCGTTCTGCATAGGCCCAAGTCTTGCTTTTGGAAGCACCATCATCATCATTCCGTATGACAGAACAGCCATAGTAGCAATGACTGGCAGATACTAGAGGCGAAACAACCAGTAGGAAAAGTATTATCGGTTTGATAATGTTTGTGTGGACGATCATCGTGGGAGTCGTTTCGGACCAAGATCGTACAGAATTGGAAAAAGAAAAAGAAAAGCAAAACCAGATTTCCAAAGTCCTACAGAGAGATCAAGGTGCTTCGTATGGCTATTAAATAAACAGTAAGCTGCAGCCCCCATCCCTCGTGTAATTCATAAGCACTATCTGCCAATATCCATATTAGGCCCCGAAGCAGCAAATCATCATGAGAGTAGCAGTCAATATTCTTAGTCCAGGTAGCACAAGCCACTCTTTAAATAGAAACCCTGTTTCCAGACCTCCAGGCCCCAATACAGCAAGAATCCTCCGATCTATTTCGCTGTCGACGGTGTGTTTATTGGCGCTTGGCGTAAGATATGGCCCCCATGCGAGCTCTGTGTTTACTTGGCGTCTGACCTCATACTGCGATAGGCAATCTTTAGATATTAATTAGATGCACAGAGATTGACACGTGTAATTCACTTTGCTAAGTGAATGATGTATATTTCAAATGGATGAAACCTTACGATCCATCAGACAAACGATGAGAAGATGCCATACTTTAGCGTCAGAGACAAACAAAAGGAATAACGCCATAGAATTTTTTTTATACAATAGAGATCGTCGCTAGTCCCTGAGGACTATTGGATACGATTATCCAGAAACGTACTCAGCGAGGAAAATAGATCTAGACTCGAGAATCGCGATATAACGCCCGTTGTAGGTCTCCAGATGTTGGAGGTTACGATTTCAATCTACTCTATATGATTCTATGGGGGTCCTCCGTACAATATCAAGATGACCGGAACTCCTTTTGCATTCCCTACCTATCTAACACGAATATACACGTTAAGGAACACGTTAGGCCGAGAACCCCTTTTTTTTTTTATGCAAACGGTGCTTGGAATAGACAATTTTGAGAAGGATGAGAAATTGCCAAACTGGGGAAGAGAATAAAGAAGCGCCGATAACATGCACATAATTTTGGGCATACAATAGAACGGATGGGAATGCCTTTCATGAGTTGTGTCTTGCCATTGATAATTCGAAGCAGTCATAACCCCAATTTGCATATTCTAAGCTTTTTTTTTAACAACTCAATTGACTTTTTGGTCCGACATTTATCAGTCTGGACTTGATCCAAAGATATCAATCTGGAAGACGAAATTCCCAAAGGAGTATAAATATCGCACGGTCCATACAGCGTAGTATTTTAGGCCAGGCCTGACCACTGCTCTATTCCTTGCGCCCAAGACGTGGGAGCCGGATGCGAAGGAGAAGGAGAAGCATGAGACCTCCGAATACGGCTGCGGAGAGAAACGTTACGTGCAGGGCGGCACCATAGGCGGTCACAACTATTCCATATCAGTAAGACTTGAGAAAAAAAAAAAGAGAATTATTATGAACGGTCTTCTTACCTTGTTTCTGATGCACAGAATCCAAGTCTGCGATAGACTGGACAGACTTGCGCACAAGTCGGATAATATTCTCCTTTTCTGGCCCAGTGACCAGTTTCTCGAGCCGGAAGTAAAGCATGTTCTGGAAGATCCAACTGCTGATAGCAACGCCCATGACGGATCCCAGATTCCTCCAGAGACCAAGAGTTGTGGTAGCAACTGCTTGTTCATCCTGATCACTTACGGCCAGGATGGAAACGGTGATAGATGGGAAGGAAAGTCCCTGTCCACAACTTGATATGGAAACACAGATCATTGTCAGCCAGTCCGGAGTGGCAACATTCATTGAGCTTGCAGCTAAGCCTCCTGCGAGCAGCAATGCACTCCCGAGGATCACAGTGGGCTTAAGACGCTTGCTCCATGTAATCAAGAATCCGGTACTGACACTCGCACAGGTTACAGTAGCCGTTGCTGCTACCAATCGCAGACCGGATTCAGTGGGCGATACGAGCTTAACCGCTCGGAAGAAAAGGGGGGCGTTGAAGATAATCGTGTTGATGGACATGGAGCCCAAGAAATTACCGTATATCAAGCTCGCACGTGGGTCTCTCGACAGGAGTGATACAGGCATCACTGGGCGTTCAACATGGCGTTCATATCTCACGAAGATAATAGCCAGAATGAAGAATATAATAATGGATGATACGACAAAGTAACGTCCATAGCCTAGGTTGAGGCCCATAATCAGGATGGTCACTCCTAATACTAGGATAAATGAGCCTGTTAGATCGATACGGCGGATCAATTGTCGGATAGTCGCCCTCTCGCCATCCACCTTTTTCAAACCCAGGTCGGAAGGGGTCGTCCATGCAGCTACGAGCATGTACACGAAGATGAATGGAAGTTGCACAACGAAGGCACCTCGCCAACCAACTTGGTCACAGAGAAAACCTCCGAAGGCAAGGCCAGAACATCCGCCAAGACCTAAAGCAAGATTGATATATGACTGGTAGATTCCTCTGTATTCAAGGCGGACGAGATCACTGCAGATGATCATACCCATCGAAATGACTCCACCAGCACCCAGTCCACAGAAAGCTCTGGCTGCAATGAAGCTTTGGATGCTCTGGGCAAGGGCGCACCACGCAGTCGTCACCAGGAAGACAAAGATCGAAAAGAGATACACCGGTCTTCTGCCAAAAGTATCCGAGACGCGACCAAATAGAGGCATGAAAGCAGTCGATGTGAGTAAGAACGACGTCGTGAGCCATGCAGCAGAGTCGGAAGCATGGAAATAAGATGTGATAACTGGATGACTCGACGCCATCAACGTCGAATCAAAGAGACTAACAATGTATCCCAATTGAATACCCCCGAATATCAACCAAAATCTGGTTGGCGTGACATTGTTAAATCTCGCTGCGTAACCAGTAGGTTCTGTCCCATCACCATTTTCTTCGGAGACTACCGGTCCTGGCAGCGACATGCCCTCGATTCCCGGTTCAGGGTCGAGTCCCTGTGGAATGGAAGGGACCTTTGCTAGGTTCAGGGGCGCGGACTCATCGTCCGCTCCGAAGGATGATGACCCAGCCTCTGCATGGTTTTCTGAACTTGCGTATTTACGCGACTTGTCTGGTTTCAACAGAGGAGTTGACTCGTCGATACGAGGCCTGCTCGAGGGTTCCCCGTTTTTAGATGCGCTCATTATGGCGGACTATCGCGGCGGTATGGGACGAAAGCGTTAACAGGGAACAAAGTACTGTACAATCCAGAGAAAATTGCGAGTCAAAGAACGACTTTTTCCAAATCCCCTATTTTCACCAACACCACCACACGAGATGCAGAAGTTGTACTTAACTCGATTTCCCGTCAGTCCGATAAACTGGCACTGACTGAGACTTTCGAAAAAAGTGGTGCCGGGGATAAGAGCGGCGATAGACACTAGGCTGTGGGTCTAGTTAACTACCTTAGGTAATTATTGTGATTATTAATCCTCTCAATACTCCACCGTGCTGCCACTCTTCCCGTTTATCTACCTGCAAATACGCCAGGGGCTTTTTGCTGTGAGAGGACGGTTGATTCCTCGTTGTAAATGCGGCTTACCAGATGAGTACTAAGACTCGAGACCATCCGGATGCTTGGTGGCTAATCTAAAAGAGGTTGTGGCCGATGAGCGATTGGCGGGCGGTTGCGCCGATAGATGTCGTTCCGGCTCGCTCCGTTCGTATGCACAGTCCATCGCTTAAATAGGAGTCATATCCAATCAACATGACTGTTCACAATCGGTCCACTAGTCGAGTCGAGACTTCAAGAGTATTACGCAGAAATAGCGCAAAGAAATAATACAAAGCCAAATGTTCTTATAGTGAACTGTTTCCAAAAAATCTGATCTTGAACCAATTCCAGACTCCTTCGCTTAAAAATCCAAAAAATACTCAGTTATGGGGGAAAAGAGAAGAGAAAAAGAAAGAAAAGAAAGGAGAGAAAAAGAGAGAACGCGGCCCTGTTGCGCCACGAAAAGAAATAACCATCTGTTATAAGTTCTCTCTGGTCGCATTGACACCTATCCAGAAGCCTTCCATCTCCCATCGACACCGCAGCGCATAATCAATTACCTCTTGCTGTAGCGATTTATCCCACGATTTGACATGCAGAGAAGCCACGCCTCCCTCCATATCCTGAGGGGTCACAAAGTTCATATTCCAGGTATAGCTAAGCTTTTGCCAAGGCATGTTTCCTTCTTGGCGGTGGGCATAGTTCAAGAGATTCTGTTCGGGCATCATCGGGTCGAATCTGTCTGGGATCGAGAGCACCGACATGTAATAATGCATGATTTCGTGGGAAGGCGAGTAGAGGAAGAATCCAGCGTTGAGATAATTTCCGCTTGTATCGGGCGGGAATGAATGCTCGTATGTGCCCGCTTCGGTCTTCCCTGCGAAGAGATAGCGTTCAGGAAGCGGTGGTTCGTCTGGCTTTATTTCGTCCCCGTTTTTCTGACTGTACATGAATTGGGCAGCAGGGTCATCGAAAACACCATCAATCGGTCTCGTCAGGACAGTGTCTCCGTCCATGAAGAGGACCCTTTCATACGGAACAATGTTTGGGTCGAATAATCGCAACTTCGTCCAACAGTCCTTCCATCGAGGCTCTGTCACGGTAAGGTTGGTCTGCACCTTATCGACGGGGATGACAATTGCTCCATCTTCTGTGAGCCTCTCACGGCTGGCCGCACTCACATCATCCGTTACGAGAATGAGGAACGGGATGGAAGGGTCGAGACGCGTTCGCGGCGAGTGCCGTAGCTGATAAGTGAGCGTCCGAGTAGCGATCAGATAGTTGCCATCCTCCTGATACTTCCAGCTTTCCGATTCTCCAGTGAGGAACGTTGCGACGGCAATATCGCGCCTATACTTGGTATTTCCTCGATGCGAGTAATGACTTTGAGAATAGAGACTTGTGGCTCGTATAGATGCGGGTGTGGGTATGTGATCTGTAGGCGATAGAATGATTGATAGCCCAACGATAGTCAGTATCAAGCTTGCTGCAATTTGGACCTTTTTGCGAAGAGGTACCGCCATGTCTTTGAGCAACAACCTCCTGGAGATCAGGAGCAAGTAGCCGATCAACTGACGATGCAGAAAAGGTTTTCACTCGTAGAGTTGGGTAGGATAGATACGGAGTCCCCGGCTCTCGGAAGGGAATTCGAGTGAAGAAAAAGTGACAGCTACGCACAGGATGCCCCATGATCCAATTCACCTAATATAAGTATCGACATCTCCTAAGTCTCCCTGAAAGGTTGGTTACATCTCTTTGTTATACGTAGTGTCTCGTATACTACTAGTACCTGCATGGTGCTAATGAAGAGCGCTTCCGTTCTCGAAACAATGTGACATGGTAGAAAACCAATCATCGCATACTCCAGGAACAATCTTGACAGAAAACCTTGTATTAGTACAATACTCGACTGTGATCGCAATCACCGGATCGTCATCGCAATCCAGTAAAAGAAGAATACCCCTGGGAAGAGTTCAGCGCACTGCCTATTATTAGGAGGTGCTTTCCAGGGATGCGCGCCTTTTGGAGGATATAGATCGCTACTATTGGCAAAACTTTACTTACTTAGCGCCGGGCCCCCTGCAACAATATGTACCTAGGTCCTTAGGCGCCACGCAGAAGTACTGCTTGCAGCGCTTCGTCGTGTTCCGGCGGCAAGAAATCAGGTTCATGGAGGTGCTGACAAGAAGTGCAGCTTCGAGGATGGAGAGTGTCACATTATCCCATCGCACGTATCTCCGGATACAGGAAAAATGCCAACCGTTCAGGCTTGAACAGAAGCGGACGGCAATTTACATAGTTCAAAATGCGGCGGTTCTTCCGATAAGATCGCTGCTCCCATAAGTACTTAGGCGGTGAGAGATATACGCCAATCAGGGAACTGCGATACGACTAAAGGCGTTGGTGACTCAACAACAGCCACAGTTTGTCTTGATCTTTCAGAACGTCAGAGACAAGCCGGGCTCCAAGTTGATTGTGCGGTATCGTCCGTTTTCTGGTACCTAGATTGGTGACATCTTATTCGGAAAAGCAACAGATCTCTAAGCTCTAAGTTGTACAGCCCTACTGGATTACCCCGCTATCGAAATGCGCCGCCCGCTTCGCATCGCGATTCTCGAGACCGACACGCCCCTCGAAAGGACCAACAAGAAATATGGCGGATACGGTGGCGTCTTTGAGGCCCTCTTAAAGGCCAGTGCGAAGGCGTTAGGAGAGCCCGAGAAGTTGGATCCGGAAACAGGGCTGGAGATCACGAAGTGGGATGTTGTCCATAGAGATGATCGTTACCCGAATCTCGACGATATAGATGCTATCCTCATGACTGGCTCTAGTATGTCTCAGTTATACACAGTATCTACCTTTCCCGAATCAGTTCATGAAGATCATACCATCCAGACCATAAGACGTTCCACGGATCCCATGGTTCCCATAGTTGCTGACTGAGTCATACCCACAGGACACAACTCCTTCGACAACATTCCCTGGATAAATAAGCTAGTAGAGTTTGTGCAAAAGGTCCTTGCTCAAGACCGTGTCCGCATCATCGGCGTCTGTTTTGGTCATCAGATCCTCGGTCGCGCACTCGGCGCCAAGGTTGGTCGGAGTGACGATGGTTGGGAGATCTCGGTTTGCGAGATGGATTTGACGGAGAAGGGGAAGGAGTTGTTTGGACGAGATAAGCTGGTGAGGATCTGTGGACGTTAAATTATCTCACTGTGGAAAGATTGCTAACCCTGGTCCGCCTCCTGCATTATAGCGTCTGCAACAAATGCACCGCGACATCGTCTTCAGTTATCCACCAAATGTGATTCCTCTCGGCTCTTCTCCTCGCTGCGCCGTTCAAGGAATGTACTCACCTCGCCGCTTCATTTCCGTTCAGGGTCACCCTGAGTTCACGAAAGAAATCATTTCTGATATCCTTGAGGCACGAGCCAAAGCTGGAATTTTTGCTGGGGAAGAATTCAAGGATGCGATGGCAAGAGTTGGAAACGAAAACGACGGCCTCGCTGTCGGTGTTGCATTCTTGAAATTTTTGCTCGAAGACTAGACGATAAATGCCTATATCCTAGAGATGTCTATAGAAATACTGTATATAAAGACTGTGCGTGGACATATTAGAGAGATGTACTGTATCTATTCTTTCGGCCATGTCCAGAAGCAGCAATGTTTTGGTAAACCCACGAGTCCATAGTCTGATATCGTTAACTAAGAGGGTAGTCATCAAAGAGAAAATAGTCTTTTGGCAAACTCCGCACAAATATTAGTATACATGAATCATCAACCGGTGCGTAAGCAAGTAACTTCACGCACTTGCAGCATATTTTATCACATAGGGAACCCCAACATCAAGCATTGGGATCCTCTTTTTCTAAGAACGTAGGATCCATATCAATACGCCGTTCGAATTTCGACCACCAGTCCCGGAAGGCTTTGAGAGGCACCACCTCCTCCCCCTTTTGTGGACTCGACTCCGCAAAGCTCGCCAGGAAGTTGAACGCATTCCCGATAATCCGCTGCGCAAGGACCTTCGTAGTGACTTGTTTGTTTTGTCGCTGCTGTTCAGGCGACTGTCGCACCAGCGCGGTCGAAGGAGCAGTCGGGTTTCCTCGGGCACGGAGTTCAGCCAGCTGAGCTGCAACGCTCTGAACTGGCTCGACGGAAATACCCAGTACCACCGTTCCTCCCATTGACTGTCCACCTGATAAGTTGCTCGCTCCCTCGTCCAGCATCTCGTCTTGCTCTTCTGCTTCTGACCGCCGAGGCTGGTCTGAAGGCTCACTCGACCTGACCCTGAAGATCGCTGACGGCTTTTCGTTTGCTATCGCCCCAAGGAACTTGAACTGCGGCCCATTAGGTGTGGGATTCGACTCTGGCAGCTGGATGTAGATTGCAGCGGCTGTGTCCGGTGGTAGGACCGTGCCTGGTAGGAAGAAGACAGCGACATGAGCGAAGCGAGGATTGGAAGGGAAAGTGAAAGCGAATTTTGTGGCTTGTCCGTTCGGTTGAGGATCGATAGTGGAGATATCAGTCAGACATGGTCTGCCTGGAATGACAACGGAGAACATGGCTGGGGCTTAGAGCTGCCTTGCGATGGGTGCTTTGTTTGCTGATGGCGGGGCACTGCGCAAGGCTCAATTGGAGTAATAGTCTAACAGACAGAGCTGAATTCGATGTTGGGTGTAACCATCAGATATCTCATGAGCTATGTCACAAGAGATTCAATTGTTATAAAAGGGCGGACAAGTTTACCAGGAGGACAACAAAATTGTGCGAAGATCTTTTGGCGCGTCAGAGATGGAAGCGCAAAGAAAGTAAAGCTCGACCGGTGACGAAAGGCATCCATCCCCGAAGCTCAAGCATTCTTGCCCTTATCGATAAGGGCTTTTTAGGTCCTGAATCGGAAACGCCAGCAACTGACACGAGCATCTCCGTATCGATACCATCCCCTGCCGCAAACAATTCTAGGTTGACGCCAGGGAATAAAAAGGTCGCTTTCGAAATGGGGAAATCAAACCTTGACCTCATCAAGGAATGCGACAAGTATAACTCCCCTAATACAATGTTGTTGTCACTTTCGAGGCACAGGCAGACATGCTAACCGTCCCGACTGAACAGTTTCCCCTACTACGATGAGGACCCCGCGTACTACAAAGCTCACCTGAAGACTTACCATGCTTTCAAAGTATCCGGCTGTGATGCAGTTCTTGGATACATCCCTAACGATGTTGTCGAAAATTTCTACTTCCCTGAACACTGCTGGAGTGTCGACTCCACGGCTCAGACAGTCACACTTGTGACTGCTCCTGATGCGACGCCCGCGCAGCGCAGCGAACTAGTGGCTCAAACACTTGCAGAGGTGGTAAAGAGAGACACCTTCAAACTACTACACGGCTGGCGCAATGAGATGTATGCTGTCTATGGCCCTAAGGGAGAATTCCTGTTGGAAATGGAGCGCTCTGCATCTCCGCTTTTTGGTATTGTCACGTACGGTATACACATGACTGGCTACGTGGAGGATGAGCAGGGAATTCGGATATGGGTTCCCAGACGCTCTAGAACAAAGCAGACTTACCCGTCAATGCTCGATAATACTGTCGCAGGAGGGATAAGCACTGGAGAAAAGCCATCTGAGTGCGCTATTCGGGAAGCCATGGAGGAAGCATCTCTCCCAGAGGATGTCGTGAAGAAAGGCGCAACACCGGTAGGTTGCGTGACATACTTCTACGTCCGAGATCAAAGGGCGGGTGGAGAGACAGGCCTGCTACAGCCGGAGGTCGAGTACATCTACGATCTCAAACTCGATGCCAGTATTCAACCGAAACCTTGCGATACCGAAGTCGAGAGTTTCAGCTTATGGAGTTTGGACGAGGTCAAACAGGCACTGAGAAACGGAGAATTCAAGCCAAACTGTGCAGTTGTTCTCATTGATTTCTTCATCCGACACGGCATCCTTACACCGGAGAACGAGCCTGATTATATGGAGATCATGGCGCGACTGCATCGTCGCTTAGAGTTCCCAACAGTCTCACATTTCACTGGATAGGTACATAGATAGATATCATGATTAGAAAATCGACCCATGGAATCTAGCAATCCTTTTTTTGTCTCTTTATACTGATGCCCTAGTCCCTTAACAACGCCGACGCTAAATGCCAAAAAAATGCAACCCGCTTTTTGATCCTCCCGAGAAGTCAAATCAGCAGCCAACGTCTGTTGGACTCTGTGGCTAAGTTTTCGGTATAGCGCTTATTTCTTCAGAAGCAGGTAGATATAGTCGATCCTCAGGGGAGCGAGCTTCTTGTATGGACCTTCAAGGTAGAGCAGGAGACCCCCGAATGACACAAACACGGCCCTACAGTGAATTTTTGTCAGAACTAGCATGATTCGTGGGCTTGGGAAAGCGGGATAATATATAGGAGCATTAAGCACATAACTATGCTCAAAATTGGAAAGATTCCTCAAAGGACTCACATGTTGCCAGCAGAAGTTCCCTCCTCAAATCGGTACACCTTTCCATGACAGACGTAGTCATAATCATTTGCCAGAGTCTGCTCTCCGATTCCAACGTCTCTCCAACCACCCTTGCCGACAGTGTCATCTTTTCCATCAAGAGACAACGTAGATGCGAGCGCAAGCGACAGGGATTCGCCAACGGCACACGGGTAAAGTTCAGTGTTGATATCGAGCGTGAAGGTAGTAAGAGAATCCGAAGAAGTGCAGCTCAGACGAGAAACGCGGTCATACTTCTGCGAATTGATCGCGGTGATCGTGAAGGTGTCTTCGAAGAGTTGGGGATCCGACATGGTCACGGTGGAAGGATGGGTGTCAAGAGGTACAAAAAATGTTGCTGAGTCTGTTCCTTGCGAAATGGATTATGCGCCGCGAGATATCTCAGGTGAACAGCAGCGAAGACGGGGCGGTAGATCAGCAAAGAGGCTTTCTTGAGAAGCGAAATCGCGAAAGCCGACTGAATCTTTTTTTGTCGGTTTAGCGCGCTGCTTTAACCGCCCGAGCTGCCTCACCGCCAAAGTGGGATGCCTTCCCAAAAGCGGCCAGAGGAATATCTAATTTCTTGAGCTATTCAACTACCCCTCCAAGAATTCATACTCTACATCCTAACACTCTTCTACGTGCAATAATGTCTTTTCGGAAACGAAATATAGGTCTTTCCTCTGGTAGCGATCGCTCCACTGCACCAGCTCCGGCCGTGCAGCAGCCACAAACAGCTACACCAGCCCCGGTTGCCGGAGTACGACCTTCTCCCGATGATGGACGTCCGACGACGTCTACAGGAACGCTTTCGTTGGACAACCTCTTAGCTGGACACGCTGGGATTCCACTTGGGAAAACGCTACTTATCGAGGAAAATGGAACAACAGACTTTGCAGGTGCATTGTTACGGTTCTACGCAGCGGAGGGTATAGTTCAGGACCATAGAGTGCATGTCATTGGAATGACCGATCAGTGGGGGAGATCTCTGCCAGGTTTAATCGGGGCAGCAGATGCAGGAGAGGAGAAGGTAGACAGACGGAAAGAAGAAAAAATGAAGATCGCTTGGAGATACGAGAGGCTTGGCGAATTTGGGGCCGGGATCGCTGGATCAAGAAGTAAGAAGCTCCTCTAAGCTGCCGTGATTGCGATTCAAATTTTCAGTGATTGTGAGAGAACTATTCCACTAACGTCTTGTAGCGCGAGCACCTGCGGGAGACAAGAACCAGGGTTCGCCTGATGGAAGTACAGCGCCCAAGTCACCGACCTTCTGTCATGCTTTTGACCTCACAAAACGCTTGACACATCCATCTCTTTCTACTATCGATTATATACCCATCACACCGTCGAGAGGCTCGCCTTATACAGCCGCGTACCAAAGGCTACAAGCTGCCATTGCTTCTAGCCCTTCGAACACGATTCACCGCGTTGTAATACCATCGATCCTGAACCCCGGTCTATACCCGCCCGAAGCTGGTCAGCCAGAATATCTGTTGCAATTCTTCCACTCCTTGCGTGCGCTTGTAACGACATACGCTGAGCGCATCACAGTGATGATTACGCTCCCTTTGTCTCTCTATCCTCGATCGTCTGGTCTCGTGCGGTGGGCTGAGCTTCTAAGTGATGGGGTGATCGAGCTCTGTCCCTTTCCACATTCGTCGGATGCCATTGCGACGTCAGGAGCTGCAACAGCACAAGAGGAGCCACCACAAGGCATGCTCAAAACGCATCGGCTGCCTGTCATGCATGAACGCGGCGGGGGTAGTGATCAAAATATTGGTGAAGACTGGGCTTTCACCCTTAGTCGAAGAAAATTCGAGATCAAGCCATTCAGTCTTCCACCAGCGGAAGGTGACAATGAAGCACAACAGAGCGCTGCCGGTGGCATGCCCAAGAAAGCAGATCTCGAATTCTAAACAGACAAGGCCTTGTTTGCTCTCGGAGAAAGACTTTATCTATCGTGCTCCTCGTCATATTCCGGTTCTCTGAGCATTTCTTCCAATTCAATTTCCTCGGACATCGCAGGGCCGCTATTTGTCATGGTACGAAGGTAGTTCCGGTCGTACGAATCTATGCGAGGCCTTATCGGAAAGCCCGCAAAGTGGGCTCGTAGACTGTCCCCCAGGCAGGATGAAAGAGCAAGGAAAACTGCGAAGGAATTAGTTGGATGCTAGTCGACGACAGCTGACTACTACAGACCCAGGAAAATCACGAGAGGCGCGAAGAAGATCAAGACCATGAACAGCCAGAAATTCATGACGATGGTTGTTGGAGTACAAAGGGACCTTGAGAGCAATCGAATTCACGTAGCTACAGAGATGCTGGCTGTTATCGTTCGAAATCTGCGCACTGGCAAGTTGCGAATGCCGCGGAAGAGTGAGCTTCATTTGCTGTGGATGCCTCAGGTTGAAGTGGGGATCTGAGCCCAAAAGCGGAATGGCTTCGAACGGGCTTTCACTTTTTCCCACATCGCAAAATTTCGACTTCTCTCTCTCTGCATGCTTTCTTAGCAATAACGAGCTCTGGTCTTTGCAGGCCAAAACCAGAGTATTCTCTTTCATCTCTAGCTTATGTGAATGGTAAGTTCCGCCACCTATCTGCAGTCCTCCAGTCTTTAATATGATTATACAACTACTATAATCTGTCAATCCCCTGAAGCTCATTTTTTTAATCTCATTAATATCGAGCACCTGTGATTGAGAAACGTATTGAAAATGATTAATCCCTTCTTACATGACCTGCTCACATTGCCATTTCTTGTGCCTGGACGCTAACATTTTTGGCTTATAAGAAGGTACGAGTTTTCTGCTTTCGTCTGTCTCCGCCATGAGCACCAGCAAGCAGATTCTACCGAGTCTGCCAATCCAGATTTCCTTTGTGTCTGGCCGTTATCTGCTCTTTTCTATCGATGCAGTTACATATCTACGACGTGAACACAATATCTGTGGCGTCCTCATTGGCACTCTTCCCCAAATCCCACAGCAGAATGTGTTCCTCGGTCTCCCCCTCGAGTTGATGCCCGAAGAGGCAAGGCTCTTGGTTGACAAGGGAGTCGCTTGCATCGTGGATGAAAAGAAGGCGCACAATGATGGGATGAAAGCGCTCATGCAAGAAGATAGAAGGCGCTATCTGCAGGACTTGGAACACGAAGGACTCCAGGCTTCACGTATACAAGCAGAGAAAAAGGAGCTGCAGAGAGGAGAAGCCCTGAAGAACCTTGAAAAGAAAAAAAGCGCGAAGGTGAAAGTTACTGACACCGAAACTGCTACTAAAGACCCGGCCGTAGCAGAAGATGATGTGGATACAGAGCTCTTTCGTCCAGATCAACGACCCGGGAGTGCTTTGGCGTCATCACGCGCATCTATCATTCCGGATACACCGTTTGGCATTACCCCAGCAACATCCTATCCACCTCTTCAAAGCCAAGCGCAGCCTGGATTACTGCTGCCCAAACCAGATGTGCCAGCATCTTATCCGTTATACGCGCATCTCCACTCGAAAGGATATTTTCTTGCACCCGGTCTGCGCTTTGGTTGTCAATATCTAGCCTACCCTGGTGACTCGCTAAGGTTCCATTCTCACTTCCTAGTTGTCGCGGCTGACTGGGAGGAGGAAATTGATCTAATGGACATCATTGTCGGCGGGCGTATGGGAACTGGAGTAAAGAAAGGCTTTCTGATCGGAGGGGCTGAAAAGACGCTCCCCACATCGGAATCTGACACTAATGACAGCGTACGCACATTTAGCATTGAGTGGGCTGGAATGTGAGCGATTGCTAGATCTGCTTTCTACTCACGAAGGCGGTGCTCTAAGCTGTGCCTGTCTGCAGCTCTTATTTTCTCCGTAACAGGAGTATCTGATGCAGTCGTACAACACTTCCGTGTATACGGAGTCCAGTTGTCTGGCATAGCATAATATGCAACGGATCCACGGACAGAATATCTGCTGAAGATATCTCAGGTATCTGTTCTGGTCTCGAGAGTCCACAGGTGATATCCTGTTCTGATGACCATGTTCCGCTAAAGGATAAAGGATAAAGGACCACAAGGCATCACAGCTTACAGCGATAAGCTAGGTCGAGGCCACAGCATCTCCAGCTCACTGATGGGACTAAGGATGTCCTCGTCGATCGCGGATTGATGCTAAGGGCGACATTTCTGTCACAGCCCTATCCTCTCCGGGGGAGTACAAGTTCAGACGATATCGTCTGTTAAACCCCGATCTTCGTATGAAAATCAGGCTTAGAACAGCATAGTGATCTTGGCCAAGCACTTCTAATTTTTGAAGAAATAGTTGACGAAGATAACGAGATAAATGCATATTGTGTACGATATTTTGATTCCATCTACGTTAATTCCCGGCATGTGGTTGTAATAGTAGTTTTTAACTGATGCTTTTTAAAGCGTATCCACCATATCCTGGGTATGGTGATTCAGAATGTATCCGCGGTCTCGTTCTTGCTTCTGTACTGTACAGGTTAAACCCTTTCTGCTTCTATCCCCAGCTGCCCGCCGGAAACGCAGCCCGCAGTTCGAGCGTTTGACACAGACAGGAGGCGTCCAATAACGTTTTTCAAAGTGCATGTCCAGAATTCGAGAGGTCATGGCATCTTCAACTGACGTGCTTAAGGAATTGTCGTGGTTGAAGGTAGCCATCAACAGATGCGGCTTGTGGCCGGAGAGCAAGTTGCGAGATCCACCGAACAGCCGCTCCCTGACGATGAGCTCTCGTCTGCAGCTTTCGGGATGCAGTGCATTGTCCACATCGAACTCACTTGGACATGAGCGCGTGGTCTTGCACGGGTCATCGATTTCCAAGAGTGCACATTGCCAGTCTTCCTGGCAAGGAAAACACACCAATATGTTGACCACAACTGCTGCACAGTATGCGGCCGAAAGCAGATGGAATATCGCTTCGCATATATGACAGCTAATCCACCGTCAAAGTCACATACTCGCGCAAATGCTGCACCGGAGATGCAGAAACCAGAGTTGTAATTGCCATAGCTGGATCATTTCAGAGGTAGTCGATATTCTTCCATTTGAACTTCTTGCTCGCACGGTCGACAGGGCGGTTCTCGAACTGACTGCCATGTAGTTCGAAGACGCATTCCTTCTGCGTTTGGGTTCCCTCAGTCGCTTCTTTATCTCCCTGATTGTTGGGTAGAGGGACGGTAAAACGGAAGATAGTATGTTCCTTAGGAATCGCTGCAAATAAATGGTAAGCAGTGTCCTTTTAAAGTAGTATGTAATGAATCAATGAACTGCGGAAACGGGGTGTGATGATTCTTGAGGGAACTTAGTCCGATGATTCGGAACGTACTCTTCATTTCATCCTTCTCTGTCACCACTACAAACGTAAATTTCGAGTCTCTCACCACGATCCCCTTGAGTCCGACTCTGCTTGGGCATTTGCTCCGCACAACCTCCATCTCCGCGCCATGGTAGTCTGCGCTCACCAGCTTACTCCCATGCGACTGCGGTGTCACCGCCGTAGTCCTACCGTCCTTTATACCTAAGATCTCCTGCATGTACTCCACCCACATTTTATGAAGGCCCTTGAAGATCTCATATTTGCACTCTTCCTTCGGCAGATCGTGGATTCCAGAGATTCGCTTCTCTCGCGCGGACAGCGGCTTCGGTTTCTGTTTGCGTAGGAAATATTCCTTCTTGCGCAGCCGTTGGAGACGTCGACGGTTCCTGTTGTCTGCCGGGGTAGGGGACGTAGGACGCAAAAATAGTGGTTTCTGCTTGATCCGTTCTGTGAAGAGCTGCTCCGCGGTGTCGGGCGAGTGAGCACGCGCGATGAGCTCGTGTGCGATGTGGTTTTGCTTGGCCATTGCCGGAATAAACGGTTATATCAATATGCTACCGGTTCTTCATGCTTGTCTCTGGAGGCGTGCACTGTTATTGTGGCAGATTGTCGAGCAATACGGCGGCGAAGCACTCGAGATAGTTATTCAAGATCAGAGCCTGCTAAGCTTTCTTCGACTCTTATTGGTTGGACTGTTATATGTCACGTGATCTATAGATTGCAGATATTCCCCCATTACCTGGTTGATTTATCAATTCCATGACATCCCAGGAAATCTAGATGTTATTATTAGAATCTTAGGCAATGGGTGATCGTTCAATACCCGGGATCACACTCCTTGTCTTTGTGTAATAACTATAACGAAGGAGTTGATAAATATATGTACGCACCCCAGCGATACCCACGTTTCACGAGCTTTTTTTTTTTTTTTTTTGATGCCTACACGGACAGCCAGGAGACGAGCTCAGGAGTCGAGTCCGCATGTATTCTTTTTATCTAAATCATTGTTTCAGTTAGATTTTTGTATAATCTAAGGTATCGTAGATCAATCCACAACGTGTGGGTAGGTTCACTCCGGAATATCCGACTTCTTGTTTGATCTCTCAAGATGAACATTAGTTATCAGTGTTTATCAGTGTTTAGTAACTACTCCTTCGCAAATTCGACTCTAATTGTAGTCGAACACGCGTTTGCATTCCTGCTCTCTAGTTGTCCCACATTGCCGATATATTTGCATTAGTAGGTGTATGTGAAATCGTCAAAGGCGACGATCTTTTCATGTGTATATGTCGTGCACTGGTACCTCGGATACCCCGAAAGGCTATGGAGCCCCTTTTTGCGCGTTATGCTGTCTCTGTGTAACCGGGGTCTGTCAATAGTCGTCCTCCCTGAATGCTCCATCGACCCGAGGTCAGTCGTAAAACAGAGAAATGTCGCTGGCAAAAGGAAGTCCGTTCATTTGTCAGCCTCGTCGCAAAAGAATAATGCGACCTAGAGTCAGTATTGCCTGCAGACACAATGGCAACGGTTGACCCGAAGGTACGGAAGAAACCGTATTGACGGTTTCAGAAACATAATGTTTTGGCGACTAGCATCGGTTTCTCCGAGTCCATAGCAGGATCAAGTTCGCTGCTTTATTTAAAGTTAACCTGTAGATACGTCCATATTCGAAACATGTACTCCGTAAGTGGAAACCGGAGTTCTGTCTCCGAGGTGGTCCCATTCCTTAAGTACTCATGTCCCCATCTCACAATAGACAATAGTTAACCGCTCGATAGTCCGATCGATGGCTTTTCCCGAACTAGGAGCTGATTTCCAGCTCTCAAGTTCGCAATTGAGCGGATTGATTGTTGGTCTGTGCTGTCGATGGAGCTGGCGAATCTGGTATGGATAATCTCTTTGCCCTGCCACTTCCAATCGTTTTCATTCCTACTGCGGTCCTGGCAGCAGCTTCATGTGAAATTGTTCTTGCAGGGTATGTATCAGTTGAACTATACTTATTCAGTTGCTCAGAGCGAAGGAAGAGAGTAGGTACTGACTTCTCTCTCTGGATTGTTACAATCTCAACATTGTCGCCAACGCTCTTCAGCCCTCCCTTACAAATTCACTTCAGTCGATCTGAGATTGTCCTCACCGAGCAGTTCTATCGGAGTCGTCATTTCCCGGTCAATTGCTGGCCCAGTAACGGACTGGCTGGCTTTCGCGCTAAATAGATGCGTAAGCGGAATGAAGACGTTCACAAACCCGAACACCATCTTCCTGCCCTTCTATTCCTGTTCTTCGTCGGCCCGACTGGTCTCATAGTTTTTGGATATGCCGTCTCTCTGCAACGGTAGATTGTCCAGCCCCCAGCCGGGACCGTGATGGTAGCAGCATCATTGACTCTAGTCCCATCGGCCATGCTCACATATGTTGCTGTTGTCCATCCAGGGATAAGTGGCGAAGCGTTGGTTCTCATCAACAACAAAAAATTGTTACCTTTGCTCTTGCGACGAATGGAGACGTAAGTATGGCTTGCTATATCCGGTGTAGCAAGTCTGTTCTATGATATGACGGCATGCCAATAGGGCGTTTTGGCTTTGGAAATCCCTCTTTATTTTTCTGGTGAATGGATGACAAGGAAGGACGAGCCGTCTCTAATCTTCTTTTTTTATATCAGGGATGGCGTTCGGAGAGTTTAATTACCTTGCAATTTGAATTTGGAAGGCTTATAGATTCTCATGCATCGTAATATATATTGACCTAGCTCCCGGTTAAGCTCGGACTAGATCAGTTCACATACAAACGTACGACTTTTTTCTGACTGCAGAATAAACTACTATTGAACTGCAAATCAGATACTTAGACGATAGATTTCGGTATTCTCCTAGTAGTCAAGCAATCCAGATTATTTCCCCCTCAATTGATCAGCTTCCAAACCTGCTTCCGTGATCCTAGGATTCGACAAGATATCATCAGATCATCACTACACTTGCCGTATCTTTCTTTCTTATTTTACACAATTGAATGAACGCTCACACTCGCTGCTCCAGAGCTTTCCAAATCCTTAACGTGAGGGGGAAATAGTAGACCGTTTATCGTTATCGAATGATGAATGCCAAGCCAACCTCATACGACGCATCACATACCATAGAGAAGAATAGCAGGGAAAAAAAAAAGTGGCGCAGGCAAGCCGTTTCTCGGAGAAATATCCATAACGATCAATAAATCGGGGTCCCCCGGGGGGTAGGGAAACGTGATGGATCCAATGGCATAGCCAACTTTTTTCTTTCCAAGTCAACGGATTTGTCCCGCTTTCTGTCATCAGTCATCGTCACCCATCACCTACGAATAGTTACTCTATTTCCTCTAGATAGATAGACCACCCAACACGATAACCTTTCCCTTTTGGATAGTTAATGCAGGGACGATATCTTAACCAAACCCAATCACACGGGGAACGAACATGCCAGTTCCCGCCCGTGACAAGGAACAAGGGAGAACTGGGAGGAGGGGGCTTTCACCACTACGAGGTATCTGATAGGGCCTCGAGAACTTCTCGTTTCGCAGAAAAAAAAGAGGCTAGGAAATAGGCTTTCAACGGCTTTAACGGCTTTTCGGATGTTGATCTCCTTGAGACTGAGTGAACTTCGGCTTTTTCTTTTTTTCTTTTTTTTTTCTTCTTTTTCCCCTATCTTTTCTTTCCGACCTCGGTTCGGCTTAGCTGTGCCCTAATCAAATCAGCACGTTGTCTTGGTCGGAATTATAGGTGATCTAGCAGCGTCGCAAGAGCGGCGCAGACATGCGCGAGGACGTGAAAGGAGATGAATGCGGGGATGGGGGGCGCTTTAGGGTCTAGTGTGCAGCCGGATCGGACGTCCCGTATGTAGTAGTGTAGAGAACAAGATCTGGGTTCTAGGGTGCATGGGGGAGCATAAGTTTGTATTCTAGATGGGATAAGTTACCAGGTTTCGTTGATTTTGATGTTGACCGGGCGGGGTACCTCTCTCGGCTGTTAGTACTATATTGTCCTTCTCGTCTAGAATGTTGTTTTTGGTGGCGACGTGCTGCGGCCTTCCAACGGGAGGCGAGCGTGTGCTATGGCTATGGCTATGGACATGGACATGGACATGTTCTCGTTTCTATGCAAGGGAAGAAATTGGAGTTGGAGTTGGTAACTTCTAGCGAACACAGGATCCACGTACTGCCTCATCACAATCTAGACTGTTTAAGCGCTGCAAAGCTGTCGAGTGCGAAGCAGAGACTAGCTCTAGAACGCTGCCTAACTACGGGTGCTGCCGTAGTGTGTTCGTTCACCGCGGTATGGATTTCGTCTCCTGATGGTTCCATCGGCCTTTGCACAGTACTTTGCGTAGGCATGATTATTGATCCCGTATTTGAGGAAGGTTGCCTCGATGATGCTGCTGATTATGATGCATTGCCCGTCAGCAACCGGTTAGTTATACAAAAGTAAGGCGGACGCCTTGTACTTATGTAGCATTATCACAAAATAGTAGGACAATACTCATGAACGAACGCGGCGTACTGCATCTTTTAGAAGATGCTGAATAATGAGATTGTCCGACTGATTGGCGAACGCGATAGCCAGCATATCCGCTGCAAACCAGCATGTACCTAACATAGTAGCTGGACCCAATCACAGCAGAGATAGTCACCCAATTCTGATACCAGAGGGAGAATTCTCCGATGAAGACGTAAGACACGGCCTGTAGCCCATTCCAAGAGAATGCGCTGTCTTGGACTTCTGGAGCGAGATCTGCTGTGTAATGTAGCACGACCGTCATGCTGGCTAGACTGGGTTATCATCACACATATTCGCATCTAGTGTATACATACTATAAACGTAAATAGCTTCTGGAACCGTCGAGATGTAGCTGAGAAGCATGGCTATCGTCGAGTTGAAGAAGATCTCCGCTTCCCGTCATGCGATCATCCTGGAGATGCGATAATAGTTTTCATCACTGTGCCGCCTGGAGCGAACCTGATGGTGCTGGGGCTCTGCTAGCGGCAAGGACAAGACGATCACCGCTGGGACCAAATCCTGGAATTATTGTTTCCAAGACATGGCCCTATAGAAGCAGTAATGGTACTCCGTAGTCGTCATCAATCTGTGGGTGTCTGTATCAGTGTATATGTGATTCTTTTTGCCCGTGGTGGCTGGGTCTTCGGGTAGTTGGCTTCTAAATCGATAAGGGTCATCATTGTCCATAAATTTTCACCGGCTGTCAACACTATTAGATAGTCAGTTAAGAGGACTGTGACTGTCAGTGTTGACAGGTTTTTTAGCAACCCTTTAGGCTCGGGTACCAGTACTAATGATCAGAAGCCGTGCTGCTAGCTAGTACTGACTGCTGTATTATTGATTGATGCCATGAAAGGAACAAGACAATTAGCGGAAACGAAAATAACTTACGGATACGGCGCAGTGGGGTGTTTCGGACGGGTACGGGGCCTATACGGGGTGATCCCTCCGGACGGTACTCCCGCGCGTCAGGGACCATGAAACCAGTTATTATTATTTAAATTGTTCACGGACGGACTCCAGAGCATCCAGTGGAGAAACCAGAGAACGGGGAGATGGCTCAATCATAATTGCCGCTCCACGTCGAGCGTACACTACATCTATCTAAATTCTAACCGGTAGAGCATTGAATCGTGTAGTCTCTCTCAGTCGTACCAGAATGACTCGTGTAGGCTAGGTGCGGATACTCTCCGGCTTCCCGTTCCCGCGCCATGGTCCAACTTTAAGGGCGTGTTGCTAAAGTATCTTTGCGTGCTGCGAGGCTGCCTTTGGATGCACGCTGCGATGTACAGAAAAGACATAATAATACGGCGTCGACGGACGAGACAGATCCCTCACTGCTTGGTACCATGATGTGGTTCAAGGCTGCTGCATGCACTGTTCTTTGTCGGGACAACTGATGCTGCCACCCGCTCGATCTACGGGAAACCCTTGATCTTCTCTCTTCCTCCAGTGCGAGTATTTCCCCCTCTGGGACAGACGACTCCTGAACCGACCGAAAAGAATGGCAGGGAGAGATGGGATATATCATCATCGTCATGGTCTCAACGCCGTTGGAAAGGAGGGTCCATTAAGACAACGCCCCTGCGGAGGATCCTTGAACTGCGACAGCGTTAGTGAAGAACCCAGCGGGAGTCGAATAATAATGGCGGTTGATGGCCCGAGAGAATCATGCTTAGTAGTATCACCTTATACCCAGTCCGGAGTAGCCGTCGCAACCGGGTTGTGTCTGTCTGTCTGTCTCTTCGCCCTCTGGCCTCCAACTAGTTAACTAATTAACTAGTTTATCAGTCTCTTTCCTCTCTCCACCAGGTGGGCCCGCGTTCGTTCCCCTCGGCTGTGGCTCTCAGACCTCCGCTAGAGAAGCATCGCGCTCTGGTCGGTGGTCTGCAGACAGGTGTTCGTTCCGTGACGGTAGCCGGACTGGGTAGGTGGCTTCAGCGTAGATGCAGTCCAGCCAAGCAGGAGCAGCGTTCAGGTAACTAGTTATCGGTTAAACTCCCCATCTGAAGTCCCGGCTGGAGTGTAGCAGTAGTATTATTATTATTATTCGGACGCACCCGTCCTGTCTCGTCGAATTCCCTCTTTTGCCTGCCTCGTATCGCGCGTCGCATCCGTATTATTCCTCCACGCAGTGCTGGGCGAGACTGAGAAAACTGCAGCAGCAAAGAGAAAGGAGAAAAAAACCGATTCTCTTTTCTTCTTTTCCTCATCGTCCATCTTGTCAATAATCCGCGTCGACATTTAATAATACAATACTAATTTGTATTATCAACCCATCCAGCCCACTGCCCGCTGGTTCCCCCCGGGCCCAGTGAGCCGTGTCCCTGCTGTCCCACACAGATCCTGTGCCCCGGAGCGTCCATTCACCATACATAATAATCGCCTCGCCCGCCCGCGTGGTTCGCCATCCGCCTGGGAGTCCCAGGGACTTGGTCTTGGGGGCTTTTTCAATGCACCATCCAGAACGCATTCTCACCGCTTCCTGTCGTTCGTCACTCGTGCAGCATCCAGAGCCGTCTGGTCGGGCGGTTTAAATAGGAGGTTCTTCAGTGACTCTTGGTCGGGCAGTCAAATCAACTGTGGGTGAAATTGGGTCGACTTCGGACGACGGACGATCACCGACGGGAAACGTCTATAGCAAATATTTATCTGCACCGTCGATACTCACGAACCAGCGTGCATCCTTCTACGATAGCCATCTGATGGTTGTGACATTTATCCGATTTATCTTAACTGAGCAAATCCAAAAAAGAGAAACCCCCTATCGCGACCATGTCGAGTCCTCGTCCCAGTGAGGAGAAGCCCGAGGGCCTCTCCAAGTACATCCAGAGGATGAGAACGGTGCTGCGCAGAGGCTCCAGCTCGAAGCGGGCCTCTGTTTCCAGTATCGGCGAAGTCCTCGGAGGCGAATCGAGCAAGTCTGCAGCGTAAGAAGCAATGCGAAATCGTGTATCGTCTGAGGAATGTCTATACTAACCTGTCGAACAGTGCCAAGACAGCTGCCCCCGCCCAGCAGAAGAATACGACTCCTGCTGAGAAGACTACTGCGCCGGGCCATTGGAGCTCCATGCAACAGGAGAAGGCGCGCGCTCTGTTCGCCAAGTATGGACTCACCCTGGAGCCCGAAGAGTGGATATCGTCTCGCAACTTGAACGTCGAACGCGTCGAGAAACCGATTCGCATGAGGGTTCGTCGCACCTGTCACCGCTGCCAGACCACTTTTGGCCCCGACAAGGTCTGTGTCAACTGCCAGCATGTGCGCTGCAAGAAGTGCGCTCGTTATCCTCCCGCCAAGTCCAAAGAACAGAAGGAGCAGAAGGAGGCGAAGACGAAGGTCGCAGCCGCCGCTGCAGCGAAACAGGAGGCTCGTCCGAAGCAGCAGAAGACCAAGCTGCCTGTGCTTACGATTCCCTCCCGCACCGGTGGTCAGGATCTGGTCCGCAAACCGATCAAGCAGAGGGTCCGCCGTTACTGTCACAGGTGCAACAATCTCTTCATTGGAGGAGCAACGGAGTGTACCCAGTGCAAGCATATTCGTTGCAAGAAGTGTCCTCGCGATCCGTATGTGCTTAAAGAAGAGTTTTTTATGTCGAGCACTGTTACTGACTTTATACTAGGCCTAAACTTAAGAAATACCCAGACGGATATCCGGGTGACGCGGAACCTCCGTTCGAACCACAGCCACGCGTTTGGAAGAAACCCAGACGCAGGGTTAAATGGCACTGCGGCAAATGTTCGACAGTATACCAGCATGGCCAAAGTGTTTGTTTGAACTGTGGCAATGAGAAAGGACCCGACACTATAAGGGAACCGTATGTTAAGCCCCATCCGCATATACCACACGTCCATTCTAACTGATTACACAGGCCGAAGAAAATTAAACCGGAACCAGACCCTGAAGTGGTGAGGCGTGTCGAAGAGAGGCTAGCGCAACTGAGTCTCAAGACTTGACAAGATATCCGGATGGTTTTGTTGGTAGATGTCGAGCTTAGATACCGATCATTGGCAATCATTCGCACATCTCCTGGCGCGTTCCAGTGCTTTACAATCCTTTCTCAACCAAGACTCTCCTGTTAACGATTCTTACGATGACGAGCGAAACAACCTTGGGTCCTCCCAAGGCAAAGATGAACCACAACTCTAGTAGCATTCTGCTGCGTCAACACCCCCTTATCACTGCCTGGGTTTTGATGCCAAAGTCATCCATCCATATGGCTTTGGTTAGCGTGTGATATCTTTTACTGCTCTGTGTGCTCTTCTCTCGCTGCTTTCACTTTATTGCGATTGATACCTATACTTGGCAGGAAAATGATTCGACTTTGCTTCCTGCAATTCCCATAATGATATCCCTCATCGCTTTCTTTACACTGCCTCCCCCGTCCTTCATTCAACACACTATCAGTACAGACGATGCGCCTTGCATATCGATAGCAACCACAATATACGCCTTGACAGAGTCAATTCTAAATCTGCACGAACACGAATGACGTAGCACGATCTGTCTGTCTGCCCTTGCCTTCGTGCCATTTCACCTACCTGATTACATTATTTCCCTCTTCCCGTTCCACAGAGGTCCGTGTCCCGATTAACCGACCTTGTTCCCAGTAGTAGCAAATTATAATCAATACGAGTAGAAGAAACTGAAACGATCTTGCTATGGCAGAGGAGCAATGAGGTGTAGGATGCCAAAAGCGGGCGTTTAGTCAGCTACCCTTGTGTAGTCACGTAATTCACCCCCGAGTGGCTCAAACCCCCGACTGGATCAGCGCCGTATTGCATACAAATCAGCCAGATTAGCAGCGCAATATCTCAACCACACAACAAATAAAGAGGATTAATCTTTTGAATATATAAGCATATACCTTATAGAGTATATATCTTCATTTTTAAAGATATTATTTCGAATTTGGTTCTAGATAAAAAATGAAACACGAAAATTACAATAGCATTTCATATTGTCCAAGGAATTATAGATTTTTCGAATCAATCCGTTAAATCTGTATTGATCATATGTTAGTATATTATAAATACTAAGGACTAGTCCTTTTCATTTGCTATATGGTTGAGAAATTGCGCTGCTAATCTAGCTGATTTGTATGCAATACGGCACCGATCCATTCGGGGTGAATTACGTATTTACCTACAGCTTCTTCCCCTCCAGATTCCCATCAGGACCTTGCGTCCCTGTCAAAATTGTATCATGTTCACCATCAATTCGGGAATCCTCCAACAAGTAAGACCATGATAAACCATCATTCCTGTTAGCAAAGGGCTTCAAATCTTCGTCTTGTCGTTTTCAGATTCGTGGGTTCTCATCACTTTCCATCATCCCTCCTATCACTGCATCGTTTTCGTGTCATTTGCCATCAAGAGTCGTCGTTTGATTCGTCGTTGCCATCGAAAAAGCACTATCGTTGCATGATTTCGTGCTGTTACCATCAAAGTCATCGTTGCTTGGCCGTTGCATCAAAAGCTCGTAAAAACCCATCACTGCGTCCCTGTCAGAAACCGTTGACAACTCCAAGGAGCATCCACAGTCTCTGCGGTTGCCCTCTTCGTTTTGGTCAGCATTCCGTCCTCACTTTTGCTTCCTTCATTTCGACCATGTCTGTGGTTCCGAATGGTAATCCCCTGCGCTCAGCCAATCATCCGATCTCACATCATGAGATCTTAAACAAACTGCACCGTGAGCTCAGCCAGGGAGAGGGAGAGCAGTCGTTGGAGTGGGAGCTGGTGGACATTGCCGTCGCTGAACGGATTGGGCAAAAGCTTGATCGTACATTGGAGAACCGGAACATTAGGTAAGGACTTCAATTGGCAAATAAACAGGCTTAAGTTGACCATGCTCTGAACTCTGTTAGATTCACGTTTGACGCCTGTACCAAGACCTTGCGCCTGGTGACCATGGTCTCAGATATACATGAGTGCCATATCCCTTGGCTCTCTTTCTCGTTTGGGGAACTTCGGGCCAACGGCCTTCTTACGACGCCTGAATTTCGATCGATCTCTATCCATGTATGTACGAGTAGGTGATTTCCATCAAATCCAGTCTATCGACCGGCCTAACCTAAAGTTAATAGGATTCACTGGCTTTCTTGGCCAGTACACCTCGTCACGCAAGGAGCCCGATGCGCATATCATACCACTCTCACTCGATATGCCCACGGTTGTCGTTGAAAGTGGTTGGAGCGAGAGTCGGGCACAGCTTCAGAGAGATCGTGACTTGTGGCTGATCGGCGGACGTGTCAATGTCGTGATTGTTATCAAATGGGTAAAGAACAGTTCCAACGAAGTAGCTGGAGACATTGCTGTATTTGACCTCGACTCCCAAGGTGCTGTGCGCTGCCTTCAACAACAGGTAACTATATTCAAATCTTATGTCTATCTTTGTAAGTATGTACATCCAGCTAACATTAGTTATAATCATAGATAATTTTCCCAGAGCCGCCGCCAAGCATCGCCGATGCGCAGCAGATCCGCCTCACTCGTGGCCAAATCTTCGGATCTTCCCTCCCCCCTGGGCAAAATGCCGCGCAGATCCTACCCTTGGAGCTCAGCGAGCTTCGATACCAGGCAAGAGCCTCTCTGCGTCGAATGGGCCTCACCCCACAAGGTAATGTAGGGCGAGAAGAATGAAAAACAAAATTTCGAAAAATACCTAGGTATGCATAAGTATCCCGTGTGCGAGAAGTTTATTGTGTAGTACTGTACATGTAAGAATACTCCGAATGTAGAGCGCGAAAGCCGCCAAAGTTGTGGTTTGTTGCAGACAAAATAATGTAGATACGCCCGAGAGGCCTGAAGAAACCACCACGAGTAAGGAGTGACACCTAGTCGGGACCAGTGGCTGATATACTTACCCAAACCAGAAAGTACTCTACTCTATTTTTTCAAGGGCCTAGAAGTCTGTGCGGAGTCGAACCGAAATAGTTAATTCAGATGGGGACAACTCCTCCGGGTAGTATTATTATTGTGGACCTGTGCCCCGTCCTTGGAATTCGCATTTATAATAATAGAAGCCCTGTCCATCTGCGTCTCAGATGAGATTCGTCAGGATCTCCCCCTGGGCCTGTCATATAACGGTTACCAACGGGGCGCCGTTGAAGAACCTTGTCGCTGTCACCTGTCAAGAAGTCGATAGTGGCCGATTAATTTGATGATCACAAGTCCCTTGCCTTGGCCTTTCTCCACTTTGGCTCTCTTCCCGTTGCCCCTTTCGCGTGGTATCCATGTGATGGCAAATAATAATACTACGTAGACGATTAGTTTTGGCAGCGCCACGATCAAATTCAGGTCCGCCCAGTAGGGAACGGGGTAGATAGATAGGGCACAGAATGCCGTAGTTATGGTATAACTCTGCTGCGTAAGCTATGTAGTCGTTGTCTCACAACATTCCGCCACACATTCCCGAAGCCACAGCAGAAAATCTGCATTTTGCTCTAGATAATAAGCGTGACAACGAAAGTACTTACACAGTAACATATTCAAAGATAGCAGTCAATAATATATGAGCAATGCATCGTCTTCTAGGTTCAGACTATGTGTGCAGATCGTAAAAATTCTGCAGTCTTGCTGATGATACTTCGTCAAAGAAGATCAATTCCAGAGAGAGCTGCGGAAAGCTCAGTTGAATAATGCCGAGTTCAGTAGTGATTCCCTAGGATCCGGGGAAATAGGGTCCCCTGGCTGCCGCGGTTCCAAGCGCTATGTACTCCGTAGTTCGACTGAACGATGCGAAGCTTTGGAACCTGCTTTGGAACTTGTAGATGCCCCGATCTACCACAGCAAGACCTCAGTAGGGAAGAATATCTCTTGCTTCTCCACGGATTCGCGTTGTTCTTCCAGCGTATCTACCTGATAGTCTGAAATACATAGGGAGTCTGGAGTCGAGACCAGCAGGCCCAACAGCCGGTGGCCAGACCATCGGGATTTGATGCAGCCATACGTATTAGTTACCCGAGTGACAGACGATCCTGGTGTTTAAAAGGGTGATCTTAAAACCGTCAAGAGCTCACGGGCCAAGATGGATGTAAGGTTTTGGCGCGACATGCGCCGATTTTCTCGAACATTTGCCGTAGATAGTACGTACTCCGTACTCCGTACTCCGTAGATGTAGTTTGGCAATAGCCTCCCTGTCAGCAGCTGTCAGAGCCCGGCTATGTGATGTAAGGGGGATAGTTAAATAACTTAACTAGTGGCGTGTTGGGTGCAAATTACTCCGCATATACTGTACTAGCATAATCCGCCCTGTAACTAGCTACTGCCTTTATTATATGAGAAATATCCTTCGGAACAGAGGTATGTGCAGATGACGAGTACAGCTGGTAGTAGAGTCTTTTGAGATGACAATCTTCAGGAGGAATAGCCTGTGCTGACTGTTTGGTCCTGTTTTCTGCTTCACCACAAGACCCCTGAACGAGGGTATCTACCGGCATTTGGATTCAGCTGCACAACCTCGATAGCAAGCAAGGAGCAACTATTGCTTTTTTCTCTTTGAGTCTCTGTTCTATCATCTTAATAGCTCTCTCGTATTCTCTATCAATTCAATTGATCTTTCAAAGATACCCACTGGTCATCTCCACACTCCGCGGACCGTACCGCAGCCCACCTCTTGTCCGCGGACCCATCACGGCATTGAGTTAATTGATGTGGGTAGAGTTCTAACTTCTGTCACGGATAGTCTAGATACCTGTGATACACGCCACCTTGCCGTTGTCTTCCCAAGGACATGGTTCCCGGAAGGCAGCAATCTGCGTTACCTGTTGTACTTGGTTGAGGGGCCGGTTGACTTGTCAGAACCTTATTATTATCTGGAGTATATGACTTGTCTCGTGCATTCAGCGTTTGGCACCATCTCAATATTGGGATATCTCAAGGCTACGGCACGATTTATGGACGGTGTACTTTTTCACGTAGCTGGCAGCCATCTTGCCTCCGTGATCCAGGCAGCCTTGCTGGAAATGCACTCGCCATCCGGGGCACGAGGCTGACAAGGCAAACTAGGACCTGTCGAATGCATCCTATAGTCGAATGCATCCTATAGTCAGATTCTCGTTGCAAGAACGCTTGAACTAGTTATTTGCTCCGGTCTTAAGATGCGCGGCTTAAAAGCGGTGTACGGAGTAAATCCCCATGATTATCTGCTCTGATCATGTGGGAGCTAGTCGAGTCTATTTGTTGCCATGTACCGTAGCCATGTACCGTACTTTGGACAGCAGGTAGAAGGAAAAATTGCTTAGTGTAAGTAGAGTACGAACGGGGTTTGCCTTCATGCTCAAACTCAACTAACTGTACGGTATAGACGCCGGTCCTGGGCATGATGCCTTCCCGAGGACTATGTTCCCCAGGTTCTTCATACCTCGGGATTCAATAAGGAAAGCAACGCCACATCGGGCTCTGTTTCACCTTCGCCATCAAGCCCTGTTCCCTACCATTCTGCAGAGAAGACGACAGTAATGCCGTGATTGTCGGAGAGGGGTAGCAGCCCCTACCGCTAGGTGGTGGATGATTAACGGATCAACAGAGATAGAATTAAGCGAAATGGGCGCTTGCTGGACTAGTTATCTTCCCATTCCAGTACCGAGATGGTGTTTCATTACCGCAACGCACAGGCTTCGGAGACCAGTCATGGGGGAAAAACCGCCACGCCGCTTTGGAACGGTCGAGGTTCACAACTTGAGCGACTCAAGCAAAACGCTGGCACTGCCAATCGTCCCGAAGAAGTGATCCCTTCATCACCAAGCTGGCATCTGCCAATTGTAACCTCCCACGCTTCTTCCAGCTATCTAGGGTATGCGGATGCATGCAGGCAAACTATTATCGCAAGAAGCCACAGGGAGAAATCCCAATAATCATAATTAATAGTCGACGATTTCCATCTCGCCGACTCCAGATCCCGACGGGCTGGAAACTAATAGGATCGCCGTCCGAGAATCCGGCAAAAAACGGCCTGACAAGCGATCCAAGCGGTTTTCCTGCAACACAATTCCCACCTAGATCACTTAGCGAGACGCTCAGGCCGCTCGTTCTCAGTGGTATCGCCAGCTGTTGGCTGGAACCAGACCAGGAAATGCGCGCTACCGCAAAACAAACTGCGCGTTGGACAGGGGGTTTTTCATCCTAACAATGCGCTTCTCTGAGAGTATCATCGTGCTCCTGGTATTGCCCATGTACGCGTTGTGTATGCTGGGCGTATGCAGTTTAGCTTTCTTTACCCATACTAGACCGGTGGGTTGGTCGCGAGGTCGCGAGGCGGCGTCTCGCGAGGTGGCGAGGTTTTTGTTACCAGTAGATTACTAGTAAATTACTATTTTATATTAAAATTATACTAATATATATTAATAAAGATTAAAATCTAAAATTTTTAAATCTCGCGGGGTGGTAAGTATAGGTAAATCTTATCTTGCGGGGTGGTAAGATTGTAATTGCTGTATTTTATACTAAATATTATTAGTTTTATTAGTAAAGTTTAATTACTATTAAAACAGCTTAGTTGTAAATTATCATTATACTGCCCCGCGAGACTGTGTAAATAACTGTTAGATCTGTATTAAAATTAAGCAAATACAGGCTATTAATTTTAGCTGATCTACTAATATATACTGGTAGATTTCAAAATCTACAGATACAAAAGACTAAGTATTATTAAAGGCAGAAGATAAAAGGGAGTTAGTAAGTAATATCTCCTAGAATATACTAGGTATTACTAGTTACTAACCATAATAACTAATTAGAAATATTTAAGATAAATTATAAACTTTTAAAATTATAATTATATATATATATATATTAAATATTCTATTTTAATTTATTTTAATATAAACTAAATATTACTAATATAACTATTAACTAATATATTTATATAGCTTAATCATTTTTTAGAGATATTATAATTTACTGAAATATAGTAGTTATTACTATAATCTAGTAGTTAGGACTAATAATTACTATAGTAAGCTCACAGGAAATAATTGGCCTGATAGGAGAGTTCCTATACTAAGCTTAATAAGCTAAGGATTTATATAAACAATATAAATATTTTAGCAAGTAAAAAGTTTAAATATATTAAAAAAACTTTTAAAACCTTTTTATTTTTAGATATTACTTTTCTTTAGCTATTAATAGTCTTATTAAGATTATTATGGCTTTAGATCTATCTTAAAGACTCCTAGGAGTTATAAAATCTAATAATATTTCTAATTAGAATTAAAAAAATGATTATTTAGTTTATTTTATTAAAACTCCTAATATCTTAGAGATATTAAATGAATTTAAGCGGGAGCCTTAGGATAAAGACTCTAATAATAAAGATCTTTTGAATATAGTATGTTAATTACTATTATATACTAATCTTTATTATGATAATATTTATATTACTAATACTATATTATAATATTAGATTAATAACCAACTTATTACTAATATATTTAGTAGGGAATCTAGTAACTAATTATTAGATCTAGAGGAGTTATATCTAATCTTTATTAATAGTTTATTAGAGATATTACTTTTTTCTAGATTAACTAGTGTTAAACTAGGTATAAAACTGCTTTTTAGTATTTTTAGTTAAGCTAAATACCTTTAATATTCTCAGATAATACTAGAATACCCTAGTATTTATTTTAAAGGTATTGCTT